CAGTATAATCAACATCCGGACCTCAGTATAATCAACATCCGGACCTCAGTATAATCAACATCCGGACCTCAGTATAATCAACATCCGGACCTCAGTATAATCAACATCCGGACCTCAGTATAATCAACATCCGGACCTCAGTATAATCAACATCCGGACCTCAGTATAATCAACATCCGGACCTCAGTATAATCAACATCCGGACCTCAGTATAATCAACATCCGGACCTCAGTATAATCAACATCCGGACCTCAGTATAATCAACATCCGGACCTCAGTATAATCAACATCCGGACCTCAGTATAATCAACATCCGGACCTCAGTATAATCAACATCCGGACCTCAGTATAATCAACATCCGGACCTCAGTATAATCAACATCCGGACCTCAGTATAATCAACATCCGGACCTCAGCTACATTGCCCCATCTAACTGTACTTAAACACACCACTGCGAATTAGTTGGAGTATCCATGGTCACAATCGACTCTCTTAGTAACGTAGCCAGTCGTCATATTATCTTCTCAGTTGATTGTGTGTGTGCTTAGTTTTTCTTCTCCATGGTAACAGTACTATTTTGTCTAAGAATTACAACAGAATTTGTGCGATTTTGTACTTATTATAAAACAGTTGCCAAGGTATGGCCAATGACACTACAATGATACTATGATTTTTTAGTCTCTTCATCACTGCTTGTCACTGTTGTACTGTATCTGTCTCTATTTCATATACCCTTGACTTGAGTGCTTGAATCCTTGATTTTATTCCAAAGCTCCATTGTGAAAAAGAACTCAAATAACACTGCATACATATCGACACAAGCTGAGCAGCATACATTTTTGGCATCTTCAGATGTGATCGGCATTTACTAATCAATTGTGAGCTAGCTAATACAAAATACACTACGAATGGGTTAGGCATGGAGGGGAAGAAACAAATGCTAAGTATGAAAGACTCAATTGAAAACTACAATGCCATGAGGTGTGGAACCCCATTGGTTAGAGTGTGGACTTCATCGTAAATTAAAAAAGTGAACTACTCCATAGTCAAGAAACACAGCTCCACTATTGCTAGTGCGAAGCCGTCTGGGTCGATTCCTCACTACCTTGGGTCAATCAACTATTGTACATCCACAGTTGCAACCTTCCATTATGCCGTCATGCTATATAAATGTTGGCCTGCACCAGGTATTATACTTGCATTTCACTCATTCTCCCCAAGCATAACTGATTTGTCACTCTTTGAAGTAGTTCTGGACGATTCCATTTGGCACTGTGATGTTGAATCTAGACTTATTCCCTTTTTCTTCTACCCATTCAAGTCTATACAACTTTGGATTATCACCACTGGATTCATCTGAAATCCCTTTTATTTTATTGCCATGCAAAGCAAGATACATGAGTTTGGTTGGTCTTGGAAACGTCAACTTGACCTCCTCAATTTGGTTGCATGATATATCCGACTCTTCGACGAAGCATGTCAGGAAATGGATGTGACCTTTACAAAGTTTGTTATCTGCGAGGTTCACTAAAGTAAGGTCCTCAAACAAGTAAGCCGTGCTGGGATCTCTTCCAGGTTGTTATGCGACAAGTCAACCTCTTCAACACAGGCAGGTGATTCGACATCAAATCTTGACAAATTACATCCGACCAGAAATAGATACCTTAAAGCAAACCCGAGTGTCAACTTTGTAAATTCTAGATTGCAAGTTTCTTCGAACCTATCGACAATGCAACAACTCGATCGCTGATATGTTTAAATAATTTCATAAACTTGTCCATATCAAAAGAGAACATGTGGTCAAAGTCCAAATTGAATGCCAATGACACTGTATCGCTAGGTTGTAAGGACTCAATCAATTCGATCAAGTGAAAAATGTCAACTTTGTGCTTAGGTCCATAAGAAATCTTGGAGGTTTTTCGTACCGATTGCTCAACACAGTATGTCTCTACCACTTCATACTGCTCTCTATTCAACACATGGGCGTCTTTAGTTCTCGAGTCTAGGAAGTTGTAGTCATCTCCATAGTTTCTTGAGGTTCCGCATTAGTAGCAGAATCGTCGTTCTAGCGTGTGGTGTATGACACTTTTGACATTGGAGCTGTGCAGCAGAAAGGGTTCGTCAAAGACCGATGTAATTTCCTTCATCTCAATGAAGGCGTATACCTTTGAGACCCCTCAACAGAAACTCAAGACACGGGAACGCATAGCTCGACCCCCCCATAGCTCGACTCCCACAATGGTCCATTTTAACTGCGGCAACTACCTTACCATCTCAAAGCGTTAGAGCTCGAAGATGAACCCACAGTAATCAATCTCCTTATGGGTACCATGTACCAACTATGCAGGATTAAATGAACAAGTTTGATTGTAATTTCCAAATTCAATGTCAACGCTTTATGATGTCGGTGGTGGCGGACAGGTCGAAGGCTATCATGGTCAAGTGAGCTTGGTGATCTCAATATCTCATCAACCTTACTAGGGCCAACGGAGCCAGTTTAGTCATGCATGATACAAAAAGCGATATTGCCCTACACCGCCAATTTACTGACGAAAGTTTGACTCTAGCTGTAGTCATCCCATTGACTGTATTGTCCATTTAATTGTTTGAATAGTATTAGTTTTTTGGTTTCTGTATATTTTTCAGACCTTGATATTTTGTAGAACCTGATTGTTTCAACGCCAGTCAACGTAATTTCCACATGTCAAAACACAGGACGTGAGAAATTCAATATTTGCGTTTGTATTGGAGTGGGGCACGTTTGCACATCAAGCCCGCCAACAAGATGATGTAATGCGTGTGGGACTAGCAGTGGAGTGAGCTGGGTTATGAGCGAATTACGCCACGATTGAGACAATATTCGTCATCATGCGTCAATCAAACGTATTTAAGTAATTGTTCGATATTCTTCAGTCAAATATAACGTTCTCCACTGCCCTCTATAATCACTCTTTGAATACTGACGTGAAAGGTTCTTAGAACTGCCTGTGGCAAAATGAAAATACGTGCGAATTTGGACAATGACCTCTAGCAACCTCGTTTTACCCTTGAGGCATTCTCCAAGCCGGTTCCATTAGGGATATATGACATAAGAGTATGAAACTTCCAGCAAGTGAATTCAACGCCTTTTGGTCAGACTTGAAACCTAAAATCAACTGCACTTGCTCAATCCAATCGAATGTTGTTTGCAAGAAGTGGAACCCGTTAAGCCCAGTACCATCTTCTCAACTAGATGCAAGATTAGCTTGGTGTCGATAAACAATGTCACAAATTTTACGCTTTCAAAGACTGTTATTGATTTTTGTTCATACCGATGTGAATGTTCCTAATAGGAAAACTCACTTTCAATTGTTTCATGAATGATCTCGTTGATGCTCAGGTTTTGCCAAATGTAACATATTTGCGAGAAGGTTGTTGCGGTGGTCATATCAAAAATGGAGACGATGGCAGAACTTCAGTTATAGATGAAGATCTGTTTTGGTAATATTTCAAGCGAGTTGCCACCTCAGGTGCTGAAATGAGTATATCTAGAGCGCAAGCTACGTAGAAAAGAGATGCATTTTCGAAAGCATCGTATACGTAGTAGTAGGCGATACCGACTTTGACAAGGGTTGAATAGAGCAGTTGACTGTTTGAATCGAGTTTGAGTTTAGAGATTTGTGAAATTGTCGATTTTCAAAACCTTCGAGAAAAATTCACAAAAGCATGGAAATATCGAAAATTATGACAAATTAAACCATCTGGTTGGACAAAGATTGCTGTAATTTTCCCAGAAACCACTATATACTACTTACTTCGTTGCAATATAACGGGTACTCTCAATGAGATCTTTTCACTATTTTGCAATCTCACATCAATCTTTAAATAATATATTCTCGCAATAAGACAATTTTGAAAATCAGGAACCAAACAAAAATCAACAAGACGCATGGGTCTTACTTCTAATGAGCCCATATTCGCCGTGATAATCAACTGTTTGACATATTTGACGTCCTCGAACCTCTCTGTTGTGCTCTCACTGTTTACAACTTGTTTCTCCCATGGAATGGAATTGACTGAAGCGTAAGCAGCCCCACCCGATTCATATCCAACGTTCTGCACTTTTAAATGCACATATTTTGTAGTCAAACCAGCCAATCCTTTTATACTCTTGATCATTTCTGGTTCAACTTCCAATTCAGGTGCTTCTTTCATCAATTTCGATAGATGAAGAGCATAATTTTGAAAGCGCTTGATCGTGAGTACATCAAAATTATCTTGTGACGGGCTCGTTCCTTTAGTCTTGTTTTCAAAAAGCATCTCGGGGTGTATTACAATCGGGATTGGGTGCTTCTTTGATTTCACGGTGAGCGATACTAGCTCAACCGAAATGGAGCGAAATTCCGGAGGGCTTGATCGTTTGTCATTGACATATACAATGTCGAGTGGAATATGCAAAGTGGTTGCAGAATGGTTTGGGTACCTGGGTGGACTGACATATTCCATCACATACTCCTTCCTTGGCGTGGCAAGTGCAAGCATTCCAGCAACTTTCGACGCACCGAATACAGGCTTCTTTTTGATTGGGTAAAACACCTCATACACCTTGCTCTCATCCAACTTCTTTGCTTTGTACATTTGTCGCATTTTTGAGAGCTCGACCGAGCTTGATGTTGGATGTAGATTTGTTTCCTGCTCACTTCCATTACTTGAAAACGGCACCAATCCATGCCCTTGCCGAGTCATCTCTTTTCCAGTTGCCATCTTTTGCTTAATATCTTCAACCAACCCACTGTACAACAATTTAGCCTCCTGATTAATCATTGCCCGATTGAGGGAAAATACTGGCTGTGTGACGGGTATCACCCTTATGTACACGTAGTCTTCGTTTGCAACAACATACTCGTCCGAGCCAAGAAGTTGATTACTGTGATTACCACCCAAAAGTTGTTTGTAGTTACCGGCGCGTCCAATAACTCTTGCACTGACTGCATAGCTTATCGAAGCATCAGTAAACAGAAGATCATTTGTGATTGAAGCATACTTTTTGGATTCGGCTTCACCTTTCCATTTGTGTCTTAGGGAGCTAATGGTTTCACTTTTGCTGACTCCCAACGTGGGCGGCACCTGCAAGTGCTTTATCAAAGAAGATTGACATCCATTTTCCAAAAGTCTTTCTGGCATGACAAAGGCAAAAAACTTTTTGTATGTAACACCAGGTTGAAATACCTTCTTTGGATCCAAGTGGTAATATGTGTTATCAGATGGATCAAATGAGTTAGAATGATCAGCTTTGTAGGGGTTGTTGTGATCCGATTTCAACCGATCAAGGAATCCGTCATTCCAAGAGGCATTAAAATCAAACATCGTTAGAAACGTGAAAGTTTGCAGTGACTGATCCATTAGGGTATTGTTGGAGTTGCCAAAGCTCAACACTCCTTCTAACTGCACTGTAAACATGTCGAATGGGATGGGTTGTTGGGTTTTATTTGTGACTAGCACTACTCCGTAGATTGAATCACCCTGTTTGTATTCAACACTAAGGGGATCAATAACGGAGTAGGTTTCACCCGGTTTTCCAATGCTCTTTGTGAGGTGGATTGTGACATGTAACAGTTTTGCAACTTCCTTGTTGAGCGATGTCAATCTCTTGAGCCTGTGTGCGTTTTCCAATATCGTTTCTTGATTATCGTCGTCTAGTTCTGGCTCGGGTGATGTCGGTGCAGATTGAAACGGTTGAATCTGATCATACAATGGTGGTTCTAGCCTCAAATCCTCGATGGTGGGTGTCAAGTTTTTTGAAATGGTGTTGCGATACATTTGGTACGATGGTAGAATGTTGATGAGCTCTTCATTGTCCCTACCTTCATCCAACGGAAGCTTTAAATTGAATTTGTTTCTGCTCATCTTAGAGTGAATCAATTTCAACAGTAAATAGCAAACAGTTTCCAGCTGTTACGTCGTTGATGCTTTGAACCAATATTGATCACAGAGGACTTTGATAATTGAATATTTTGTGTCAATCAATTCTTTCCTCGGCATCGCGCTTTGACAGAAATTCCAAAAGAACTTAGTTGACAGAACTTAGTTGATAGTGGTGATTTATTGTGCACCTACACTCACTGCGATTCCACTTTAATCCTAGATTTTTATCATATATTCCTATAAAAAACCTATTCTCTAACTAAAACAGATGCAGCACCCATACCTGTACCAATACACATAGAAGTGACACCAATTTGTCCTGGCTTCATCAATGGTAAGATGGTGGCATATTGTCTAGCACCAGTGGTTCCCAAAGGATGTCCTAATGCAATAGCACCACCGTTCAAGTTAACCTTGTCTTCGTCAATACCAACAGATTGAATGGAGTACAAACATTGACCAGCAAAAGCTTCATTGATTTCAAAGATATCAATGTCGTCAACCTTAAGGCCGGTTCTGTTCAATACTTCTGGAATGGCAAAGGCTGGACCAACACCCATAATTTCTGGTGGGACACCAGAGACGGAGCAGGCAACGTATTTAGCGAGAACTGGATATCCATTCTTTTCGGCAAATGAACGTTTCATCATCAAAACAGCAGCAGCTCCATCTGAGATTTGTGAGGCATTACCGGCAGTGGTGCTACCACCAAAAGCAGGTGGCAATTTACCCAAACCAGCAGGGTTAACATCTTTCCTTGGACCTTCATCAGTTTCAACAATGATTTCCTTTTCGGATTTGCCATCACGAATGATGGATCTGATTGGCAAAATCTCTTCCTTGAATTTACCAGTAGCAATAGCATTTTCTGCCTTGTTGTACGATTTGGCAGCAAATGCATCTTGTGCTTCTCTTGACACGTTGTACTTGTTGGCAACATTTTCGTTAGTGATACCCATTGGAATCAAACAAGAAGATACCTCCTCTCTGTCAGCCAAATGTGGGTCAAATTGAGGAATAGTCTTTTTGTAGTACTTGGACATCGATTCAACACCACCAGCAAGTCCACAATCGATTTCTCCAACAGCAATCTTGTTTGCGATATCTGAGATTGCCATTAATCCAGATGAACAAAATCTGTTGACGGCAACGAAACCAGCTGTGTAAGGAATACCAGCAGCTAAAGCAGCACTACGATGTTCAAAAGCACCGATACCTGGGTTCAACACATTACCAATAGCAACATCTTCGATCAATTTTGGATCAACCTTGGTCTTTGCAAGAAACTCTTTTAAAAACTCGGTCAAAATGAAATCAGTACCAACTGATCTAAATGAACCTTTGAAACCTTTACCAATGGGGGTTCTGTAAGCGGCAACAATGACCACATCGTCTGGGTGCTTTTCCAAAATGTCTTTCTTGGTGTGGTCTTTAACTTGACCGTTTAAGTTGTTGAGTGATTCCATGGTGAATAAGCTGTAGTGAGTAGTAATGAGTAGTGGTGGCGAAAGAAAAGAGTAAAGTAAAGTTGGGTGGAAAATTGGGAAAATATGGGGAACAGTTGGGAAAAATTTAAATTTCTGGCTCTCGCGCTTGTGATAATCCCCATACATAGACTCTTTTGTTCTCTTTTTTTATTTTTTTTACCCCCGCTGACCGCTTTATCGGTTATTCAGAGAGAACATAAAAAAAATTAATGGAAAATGATGAACTTTACCCCACATGTGGGCTTTCAGGGGGAGAATGGAGGAAATGGTAGTGGATAAGATGAGAGGTTGGCTTAGGTATGGAGACTCTACGAATGGTTTACATATCACCAGCTGTGGTGAATCAGTGTTTTGAGCATTATGGGGAATTAGTATGTGGAGTTAGCCTTTTTCCGCTAGGTTTTGAAATACCGAGGTTTAGCCTTTCTTTTTTTTTGCCTACATGCACGCACAAAATTACATCCGAGCTACCAACGAAAAAAGAAAGAAAAAAAAAAAAAAAAAACAGATGTCAGAGATCGCACTGTCACGACATTAATTCTATTCTATTCTTTTTCAAAGCTAAATATCCCTATAAAAGGTTCTACATTATCGGGTCGTCCTTCTGGACAGGGACCTTTGAAAATCAAATCTGGTAATTGCTCCTCATCGTCACCTTTGTTCCCATTCTCAGACTCGTTCTCCTGGATTGTGATTTTAGTAAAGTCAATCCGTAACATTCCCTCCTCATCTATAACCACGTAAAGCTTATACTTTTGGTCCTGTAGATCGCTGGCATGATTGTAATGTATTAACCCGCGAGTACTTCCTGTAATCAGACCCAAGGTGGATCCAATACCCATAATTGCTGCCTCAGCAATTCTAATATATATACCACTTAAACCAAATGGCGAGCAATGTAGCTCCAAGACCGCTTCATTACAGTACTGGAAGGTCACTTGCAGGTCCGTTGTGAGTGATGTTGTTGACGACATGGCGTATGTTTTGTCGAAAAGAAAAAAAAAAAAATTAAATGAAAAAGAAATTTTGAGTCATCATTTGGTAGTGCATATTGAAAAGTTGCAACAAGGAATGAAACATGCAAAGAAGTGGATGAAGTAGATCTTCCTCGAAGGAGGCATCAATTAGTAACGTTGTAAAATAGAACTAGTGTCCATCTCTTTTGGTACTGTACATCTCCCAGAATGCCCTATTGTTGTTGAAATTTTCGCGCTTATGCAAAAACTGTGGCTTTTTCTATCAACAAGCATCGACAGTGATGAGTTTACTCAAGAAACCAAGGGCGAACGTCGCTTGCAATCGTTGTCGTCAGAGCAAGCTAAGATGTGTCAACAGCAATCGATCTACATGCCAACGATGTGCGGAATTGAATTTGAGTTGCAGTTACACCTTGAAGGCTTCCCAAATGAAGAAAAAGAGTTTGATGCCAAAGACAGTTAGTCAAAATCCAGTTATTCTACCCAGCAAAGAGCTAATCATCGAAATGGTTCAGATATTTTTCGACAACCAGTATAAAGGGATTTTCCCTATATTTCACAAGCCCACGTTCATGTCATTTCTAAGGTCCGACGAGTTCAACCCAGTAACCTTTATTGAGCAACCACCAATAACAACACCATTACAACCAAATACAGTGGTGTTGTTAGCAATCCTTGCCCTTTGTGCTCGATTGCATAAAACACTTCCTGATGCCCTCAATGCGTCTCTCGATTTTGGATGGCATGCACGAAAGTTGGTTCTGGCTGAGTTTGACAACCCAACGTTATCCAATGTGCAAGCATTGTGCGTTCTCAGTAGTCACGAATGGGGGGAGGGAAATGCTTCTAGAAGTTACATGTACGTTGGCCTAGCTGCTCGGATGGCAATGATTTTGGGGCTCAACGAAGAGCCAACAGGAACAAATGAATTGGAAAATGAGGTGAGGAGGAGAGCGATTTGGGGAGTGTACATGATGGATAGGTGTAACTCGAGTGGCAGAAAAGGTCATTCATGCATCAGTTTATCTGATATCCATGTCAGACTTCCCGATCATGAGAGAAACTTTATATTTGGCGAAATTCAAAGTCAATGTTTTCGAAATGACATCGACAAGTTGGAAACAGATAGGTCAAAAATATCCTGCAATGGGTTTATGATCTATTTGTTTGAAATATGGAGGGAAATTGGAACTTGGGTTGGCTTAACTGAATCGAAGTTAGACCCATTAGCACCTTGGGATCCTGAGTCTTCATTTTACAAATTGTCAAAAAAATTGGACAAGTTTGAAGAAACCCTTCCCACTTCTCTTCATTTTTCTCACCTCGAGGAGCATATCAGCTATGGTTCAGCTGCGGACTTTGCCTACTTCCACGGGTTATGTTTCTTGTGCCGAATTTTTTTAAACCGGGAGTATTTTTACGCCCTGCCCGATATTGGTCCTCGAGGTTGGTGGAACGACCTTACTGCACAATTGTTTGACACCTTGGACAATCTAGACCTGATAACGAAAAGATTGAAGCCAATGAATCTCATGGTGATTGCTCCTTTCACCGGGTTTCAAGTATTTACAGCTGGTGCAACTAGTTTGTACATTGCTGCTTACCCTGCCAAAGTATTAAAACAACACTTTCCTGACCAATCGATTCAGAGGTTTAAGGCAAGAGCCAGGGACTGTCTAACCACTTTGAATAGTTGGAAGCAATCATGGGGATTGGGCAAGAACTGGATTGAAACACTACACAAGTTGCAAGAGATGTTTTCAGAGGTGGCAGACTTACAGGATGACGAGATACGACATAGCATCAGCGACTATGGCAATATCGAAAACACAATGCAAATCCTGCATGTTCTTTCCGATGACACTACCGGGGATGAAGCTTTAAACGCTATGAATAATTTAGATTTATCGTCTATTTTCCCTGATTGGAATGAGGCTATGAATTTATACAACTAGATGAAAAAGAGTATAGAAATAAATGTGACAATAATAAGGTATCCAGGGTGAAAGTTGGTGGCTTCAGAATCAACAATGATGTCTCTTTTGAATATCGAGGGGGCCACTGTAGTTGTTATCGTAACGTATGTGGTGACTTCAGAAGCAAAGAGACCACCAAGCCAGTTGGTGGTTGTAGGAGCTGTTTGTGAAGTGGTTGTCGGAGGAGTAGCTACTGCTGAAGTGGCCACCGCAGAAGTGGCTATATCAGAAGTTGTAGCTTGTGTCAGTTGCACAAAGAATCCATTAATCCAGTTCAAGAATGCATTGGAAGTGGTGGCGGTGGTGGCAGTGGTAGTGGTAGGAGTTGTAATTGCCGTCGATGCAGATGCTTCGCCAGTGACAGTAGTATATCCAGATGTGGTAAAACTACCACTTGCCGAGTTGGTGGATGGTGATGATACCGACCCTTGCAATGCTTCACTTATTCCCTCCATGTACTGTTCCGGCACTGAGGAGATGTCCCAAATGGACACTCCACCAAATGATGCATCATTCTTGATGGTTGATAATACATTTTGCACTGATGACAAGTCCACGTATCCAGATCCCGCTGATGATGGCGATCCAGCAATACCCAAGTACAATTTAATATTTTTCCCACTTGCGTAATCCCTCCACGTATCCCAGTTGAATTGCTTATCAATAGAGCAATAGTTGTTGTAGAATTGAATGAAAGCGAAATCCAAATCAACCTGAGACATCAAGTCGCCAACTGACTCATCAGGGTAAGGACATTGAGGGGCAGCAGAAAGGTAAAATTTTTTCGAGCTGGATGCAAAGTATGATTGCAATTGTTTTGCCAATGCAGGGTACCCCGTTTGATCCTTGTTCTCAATATCAAAGTCGAAACCATCAACCACAGCATCATCAAATGGTCGCTCATTGTCTTGACCACCACCAAACTTGTTCCACAAAGTGCCCGCAAAAGTTTCAGCTTCAGAGTCACTTGAAAAGCCATAGTTGCCTGTAGCACCTCCCAATGAAAGGAGAATGGTTTTGCCTTGATTTTGGCATGATTTGATATCCTGGCCAATTTGAGAACAATGTAAAAGACCACTACCAAAGGTTTGTGAGCATTGATTAGCAAAGTTCAAGCTGAGGGAGGGAAAGTCGTTCAAAAATGACAATATAATGATGTCTGCTGGCGACAGGGAACAATAATCACCCAAACTTTGTTGGTTTCCGCCGGCATTTTGGCCCCAATAAGCAGCTATGTTTGATGCAAATGTGAAACGTAGTAAGAAAAGGATGAACAACATTGGCTTTGAAGACTGCCATACTAAGAAGCCCAGTCCCTACCATAACGTCGTTTATATATACACGGGACCATGTCTGACACAAAGAATACGAAGAAGAAAAATTGTTGTTTACCTAAAACAGATATGAAACTGAAGGAGGTGTTTTAAGGAGTGTGTTCAAAACAAGAATTTTTTCACGCTTCGTATGAAGACGCTTCTTTGTGGATGACGCCAATTAGCATACATGGGATACCAGCCAACTCGTACCACTTGACAACCCTGTCTTTACATCACAAGTCGTGTCACTTTCCTGTGACATGTGTCCTTCCACTCAATCGACGTGAAAATCTTTTTGTCCCGATTAGGAAATGATTTTTTCAAAACACAAAAGTTAAATTTTCCAGATTTCGCAGTCTTCTTCAAACATGGTAATCTTTTCATTCACTATACAATTATAATAATGCTAATACTAAGAGAGAAATTGCCGATCCACAGCCCAAAGTTGCACCGATATTGGAGGCAGATGTAGAGGAGTTTGTTTTTGACTCAGTTGTGGTGGCGGCAGCTTGACTGGATTCACTTTTCTCGGATGATTCAGCTGAGCTAGAGCTGGAGGAACTTTCCTCCTCGGAGGTGTCTGTTTCACTTGCAGCAGTTTCATTTGAACTTCCTTCCGATGCATCTGCAGTTTCGGAAACGACATCAGAAGAGTCTCCTGTTTCTGAAAGGGCTGATAACGATCTAAGAATGGCATCAATTGCTGACGAGCCTTTCGGTCCAATTGGCGATTCACTAGCTTGCACGGTGCTTCCCAGCACTGATGTTAATACTTGACTGGTATCATATGAGATGGAAATGGTGTCACTACTAGCAGCCGTAACGACGGAAATGATAAACAATAAAAAGCCGTTCATTGGGGATGATGTCGATAACTTGCTTGGTATTCGAGGTGGATGGTTGAGTATTTATATCGCGACCAATTTTTGGTGCTTTGATTTTGTGTACATACCTAATTAGGAATTTTTCGAAAAACTTACGAGAAACGAGCGCCGCACCGTACTAAGGCTGCAAAAGCATCAACTGGTTTGCATAAACCCAGAGGACGCCGTTCCCTTGGTTCATTTTCCTCTTCATCACGTGTAGAGCAGTAACTACACATGAAAAAAGTAAAGCTTAAAATTAATTACTCACAACAAAGCTAAAACAAACAAAGAGATAATAGATCCGCAGCCCATTGTGGCAGCCATGTTTGAAGTTGTCTTGCTTGACGTTTTATCTGAACTTGTTGACGCGTCCATGGATGTTTCACTTGTCTTTCCACTAGAGGTTGTTCCAGTAGCCGACTTGACGGATTTAGAAAGTGCCGATAAGGTACTAACAACATCACCAATTGCTGAAGATCCCTCCCCTTGAAAATCACTTAAAGCCAAACTGTTTGTGGGAAAAAGTGTAGACAATGAAGCATAAGCCAGAGCGGCATCACAATACAACTGCTTCAAACCACTTGGTGAGGTGTCAATAACATCTTGCAGGGTATCACAACTTTGAATACAATCACTAAGTTTTTTCCAATAATCATCATCGTTGAGCTTGCAAATACATCCCAACACGTTGCTCTCTTCCTTTTCACATTTCTTTGTTAATGCTTTGCTAGCATCGATGCATTTTTGACTTTCGCAACCATTTGCAAAATCTCTGATGAAGTTGAGTGCTGCAACAGCGGAAACAATATAGACTAAAATAATGTTCATAGTGTTGTGGTGTTGGTGAGAAAATCTTGGCAAGAAATATGGGTCTATGGGGGGGATATATATATATATATATAGCCAGGGGCATTGTAACAAGAGCTGATCACTTCGTATTCGAATTAATGACTAGCGCCGTATCTGCAGTTTTTTTTTTTTTTACGATTTACCAAACACTTCGGCTAAACTTACCAATCGTATCATAAATCTATTTAAAATACACATTTGAGCTTTTCCTATGTACCACTGGCTCCACGGCCGATTCACAATCGTCTTTTTCAATCGGATGGTGGGCACGGTGGGGAAAATAGACCACATTCACTGGCGGAAGATAGTAATGACTGGAAATAGGGTAGTATTTATATCCATCAATTTCGTTCAAATCAATGTCAGAACTGGTTAAGTTTGTTTGTTTTGGTTTATCAGTGGGTGATACATGTCCTTCATCCAATTGGTCATCGATATCATCTTCAGTTGACTCTAGACTAACATGCTCCTCTTCCTCCTCTTGCTTGTCTCGTGCCAGTTCTGTAGCCAATTGGTAGCTCTTTTTCGACAAGTATGGACGACACCGTATCAAAACATCCTTCCTTTCGGCATAAAAGTTGGGATTCCTTCCACGAACGATGATTGGTTCACTCACCAACTCAGCAAGTAGAAACTCATTGGTGTTTCCACTGTTGTTGAGATCAGCCATGTCATCAACGTAGTCGTCGTAGTAGATATCAGCAACCACACAGCTCAATTTCGCCTTCAAGTGATAATAGTTTTGAAAAGTGAGATTACCATTGTTTGGTGTGGCATTCTTAAACTGTAGCTTCTTTACGGCAAAGTATTTGTCCAATTCATTGTTGGCTCCTGATTCATTTAAGACAACAACGTGCTCCGCACCTATACTTATTGGCTGAACAATGTCATCCTTTGGTTCATGCTTCATCACTTCCTTTTCATAATCTTTCACAACAATGGGGACATTCTTGGAATTGGAGATATTTGTCACAGCTTGGATCTCAATTCTGAAATATTTTATAACCCTTGTTGTAGAGTACCCGTACTCACTTGTTTGCAACTTGAGCAATTTAAAATCATTGGTGACGCCAGCAAGTCTCATGTTAATTAACACTTGAATATAATTTCGCCTGTAGCAAGACACAATTTTTGGGTCTTCGAGGGGCTTACTTTCTTCCTTTTGTAGCTCATTTTTCGTAAACAAGTAGTTGTTATTATCAATATCATTGGTAAAAAATTTTCCATTAAGAAACCCACTAAACTCAACCGATACTTCCTTGTTGTTATTGTCGATAATCTTGTAATCATTTATACTGGTTGCTCCCGAGGGTGTTAGATCCAAAAGCTTTTTCAATTTCGCTGGCTTGTAGTCTATCTCCACTAGAGCATGCTTAAGATCACGTTTCTTTCCCTTGGGTTTCTTTTTCGGGCTAACGGGTTCCTTAACTTCTTCCTCGAGCGGCAAGTCCATTTCATATTGCTGGTTCCTTTGTAACGGTTCACTTTGTGCGAATGCATTATACGGTTGTATATCTTCTTGAAAGTATGGGTACATTGGATTGTGAAAACTTGGATAATGTGCCATGAAGTTGGCGTCGTAGGGAAGATATGGTGCATAGTGATTGACATGAGAAATCAGTTGCTCTTGTTCATCTCCTGTAGGTCTGTTGATGAAGTTGTTATTATTAAGAAAGTCTTGGTAACTGGTGTTGTTTGGCAATGAAGTGGACCCGGTATTATCTTTGGGAAGCAAGTAGTTGGATGTGTCAACTAGCCTTTCAGTCATAGTAGAAGCAGTAGCAGGCGTTGTCGGTGGTTGAGGTGTATGTTGAAGCGAGTCTGGCAAGAACAATGAGGCCAAGTCTTCTGTCCTATCACTGGAGTTCATCGTTTTGAGGTTTTATTGTTGAGTTTCTCGGAGTCAAATTGCGCGTGATATGAAAAAATAAAGTCCCCCCAAAAAAAAAAAAAGAAAAGATTCAGACGCCGAAAAAAATAAGAATCAAAAGTTGGGTTTCGCTGGGTTGTTGTTGTCGTTGCTGGTTAGTTGAGTCTGCAATGCAATAATTGTATTCTTCAACCACTAAAAAAGTCAAAATGGAATACAAAGCGAATTAGATTGTACGTGATGAAAACCAAACAGCAGATTGGGCGTCTATTTATATTGAATTCAGTCCGCAGCGTTGGTGAAAAAATGTGTAACTTTTGCTAAAAAGAAACACAACAACACAATGGAGAGACAGTATGATTCCGAAAATGTGTACCCAAATTGAAGAAAAAGTTTCTGTTTGCGTGGAGTGGGGTACAGTTTGCTGAATTTCTCAAAAACAAGTTTTAGGGGAGAGAGAATAAACCGTAAGACAATGGTTTCTATCACCAGATAACTTATGACTTTCTGGAATAAACTTTAGCAATTGGGTGTAATGGGATTAAACTTTTTGTTTTGGATTAGACTTTAGGTGAAACTTAATTATGAGGATTTTGATTGCTATTATACTGTCAAGAACTGGAGGTTCACCCGCAGTTCAATATTGCGATAAAATGGTTGGCAGATAAAATGGCTGGCAGATAAAGTGGTTGGCAGATAAAGTGGTTGACTGATAAAGTGGTTGTATGAATTGTTTTGCTTGTGGGTTCGATCGAGTTAGCGTTTGATAAACCAAACCTGGACGAGTCAATATATACTTTTTTCCAACTCCGTTGCCTTTAAATTACACTTTTTGAAACAAGAAAATAATCAAGGAGAGCTATTTTGATATGAAATCGCTATAATTATCGCCTGCCTATTTGAATGACATATTTTTTTCAATACACAACTGGCTTGGGCAATGACCACTTAATTGTTGCCTTAGATCTGCTTTTTTGTTTAGTATCATTCATCATTCCCCACAGTCCAAAACAGAAATTATTTTTTTCAGACACACTTGCTATACTTCACACAAAAATTAACATCCTTGAAGGAGAAAAACAACTTGAAACAAACTATAAGCTTCCTGTAATAAGAGTTACCAATTACAAAATAATAAAGTATAAAATTTACATCTGTTGTTGGGTGAAACGAAAAATCATGACCTCTTACACAAAAAGGAGCAAGGAGTAAGGAGAGACTAGAGCATACAGCGTAAAATAAAATACGAGGATGGACCGCACAACAACGTTTGACTCCTGAACCCCTTCCCCTCTTTTTGTTACAAGATCCATTACGCTTCAGTGCGTTTACTCCTTTAGTAGATACGATCAGATACTGTCCGCCTCAGATCCACCTTTTTTGTATTGTAATTTGCAAATAATAAATGATGGCAATGACAGCTGATCATTTGAAATTATGATGAATTATAATAATCGCTTATCACCTTATTGTGCTTGTTTTCACTTGCATTAACCAGCAGCGCCCAAACTTTAATTTTTATTCGTAAACCGTTCCCTGTGTCCGGTTTACAAAATACCGCCAAAAAGTCGCCTCTAAGAAAAGGCAAACAAAGAGGAGGGTAGGACTATGGAAACAATGAGGCGGGTTAGGGCAAACACTTTTCCTCTCCCCATTAACTCACACTCAAAGATATTACGACAAATCACGTGTATTCAATCCCATACTTTTCACCTACACTGCTGATCAGGCCATTGGTGGGGATATTTGAGATTGCATAAACCCACAATTGTAAACTGTAAACCGGAGGTTGCATAAACTCAATGTGTGAAAGAGTTCCAAGATAGTAACGATTACTTGTCTTTACCTACTAGCGTTGCTCCTTCTTCTTCTTCTCCACCTTTTGCTGGCGTATCCTATTTTTTTAAACTTTCAGGGATTTCTAGGAAGAGAGACTTTCATGCGCAGTTGCAGCTGCAGCTGCATGTGCATCAATAATCATTCGATTAAAGTGAAACCGTAACATGCGACGAAAACCCAGAGCGAAGCGAATCCTAAGGTTTAACTAGGTTTAAGCTTGGAAATCACATGTTGTTAGAGCTGCCTAATCACCCATGACATCATAGCTTTAACAACCGACGATTGTTTCCAACACAGCCTACTCCTAAAACACAATTCGCATACTCTCCATTTCTAACTAATTAGTAATATCGATCGGATCGGATCTCAATGGGTTTTGTGTACCCAAGTTAACGCCGTACATTGAGTACAAAATTGTGCCTCATTCGGATCAATTTCTCACTGGTCAAAGACAAAGAAGTCTTCAACTCCAATATCCATTAGTTAAGCCCACTTCTCCCACATTTTAAGACTTTAACGAAACTACCGCAAAGCTACGAACCGCCTCAAAAGTTCCCACCTCATTGTTGTACCGTACAAGTAATCTTTAACCCCCCTCACCCTTCCCCTCGCATATAACAAAATCGTACATGTTTCCCCTGTTGCATTATTACCCATTGTTTCCATAGGGTTTCTCGGTTATTGGGTACGGCACAATTGAGAATGAAAATTTCAGATAATGATTTTTCAAACCACAAAGTCTTCTTCGATGCGGCACTTTCTGCATCCAAAAGAAAGATCATAACCATTGTCCATGAGGGAAAACAATAGGATAAAGTAGTTTATTGTTGATCTATTGGTATATTCTTTCTTTCGTATATGCCGTTTGTTCTATTTATAACAATTCCAAAACAAACAGAGAGCGCACCCAGCGACGAAAAAAAAAAAAAAAACTACACACACACACACACATTACACCGTGAGTGCAAAATCGTTTATATTATAAAGGAACACAGAGAAGTCTAAAAGTCCACTACCTTGAGAGAGCTTCTTCCACAGCACATCCAAAATGAGCCAAGATTCAGTATACTATGGCAGGTCAGTCAACAAAGTGTACAACCAGGAGTTCATTATTGATCGACGATTCAAGATCATCAAGGAGTTGGGTCATGGGGCTTATGGTATCGTTTGCTCAGCCAAATACGATGATGGCACTAGCGCCGACCCAAACACCAATCTGTCCTCCTCAGCTGACGGATCATATGTAGCCATCAAGAAAATCACAAACATCTTTAGCAAAAAGATCCTTTGCAAACGAGCTTTGAGGGAGATTAAATTGTTACAATTTTTTAGAGGACACAAGAACATCACTTGTCTTTACGACTTGGATATTATCCCCAATCCATTGACTGGTGAATTTAATGAAATTTATCTTTATGAGGAATTAATGGAATGTGATATGCATCAAATAATAAGATCGGGCCAACCATTGACTGATCTGCACTATCAATCATTTATATATCAAATCTTGTGTGGATTGAAATACATTCATTCAGCAGATGTGCTACATAGAGATTTGAAACCAGGGAACCTTCTCGTGAATGCGGATTGTGAATTAAAGATTTGTGATTTCGGTCTAGCCAGGGGCTTTTCAGAGAATCCAGAACAAAATCAAGGATTCATGACAGAGTACGTGGCAACGAGATGGTATCGTGCACCAGAAATTATGCTTAGTTTTACAAATTATACAAAGGCAATTGACGTGTGGTCTGTTGGATGCATATTAGCAGAGTTGCTTGGAGGTAAGCCAATTTTTCGAGGTAAAGATTACGTTGACCAATTGAATCAAATCTTGATGATTTTGGGAACACCACCGGAATCGACATTGGTGAAGATTGGTTCACAAAGAGCACAAAATTATGTGAGGTCTTTACCATTTATGAAAAAGATTAGTTATAGACACTTGTTCCCCAATGCTAATCCTTTGGCGTTGGACTTGTTGGAAAAAATGTTGGCATTGGATCCACACGAACGTATTAGTGTCAATGAAGCATTGGAACATCCATACTTAGAAGTGTGGCATGACCCTAGAGACGAACCTGAATGCCAGGTTAAATTCGATTTTAAAACATTCGAGACATTTGAAGAACTAGATGAAATGAAGCAACTTATCATGGAGGAGGTTAGAACGTTCCGTGATTTTGTCAGAAAACCAATAGAGGAACAACAACAGATACAATTGCAAATGCAGATCCAACAACGTGAAAAACAAGAACTGGAAGAGCAACAAAGACAGAATCGATCTCTTGATGTTAGCTCGTCATCAAATATTCGGGAAGATGACTACCCCAAACCACAAGAATTGAATGATTTTTCTTTCCAAAGCCTTGAATCAAACAATTATCAATATGATTCCGGAGATGCCAACATGAGTGGCATAAACTTGAACGATTTTCCCAACACGCTAGGACCAGATTACTATAAACTCGAAGAAGAATTGGGGTTTGGACTAGATGGAAATGCGTTTGACAATTTCAATCAATAAAAGCTTAATTTATATGTACTGTATATTTGAATAGATCGCCATTCTTACAAAAACACCACACCGCTTGCTGGTCTATCACAACATTGCCAATCTTGCCATCGGGTACAATACTTGTCAAATCTATAGTTACCAACGGTATAGATATCGATGGCAAGTACTTGTCGTTGACAATTGGCGATATAATGGTGCTTGTCTGAATATACTTTTTCTGCATACTCTTCTTGCTTCTTAGATCAAGCAACAGTTTGTATAAAGAAATGATTGTTTCAGTTTGTCTTGGTTTTGGCGAATGGTCATCCAGCAACATACTGGTCAAGTTTAAGCCCTTGGTGGATAACAAATTTGTGAATGAAGGTGTGTTTAAAATTGGATCTGAAGATGACAAATTTCTTCGATGGGCAGATCTTGAATGTATTGGTCCTGGACTGGGGCTTTGTGCCACAATATGGACACTACTTTTCTTTTCATGGATCGATCTTCTACTTTCGCGTGGTTTGCTTTGGGTGGCAGCGTGTGGCTTCTTTACCTTCGGTACCGCTTTGTAGTCAAACTCCCATCCAAATACTTTTCCATCATCTCCACAACTGACAAGTTTGTACACCAGCTGTGACTCATCAATATCCTTGAAAAATTGAATTGCCTTGACCGAGTTCGTATGCCCTTTGAAACGACAAACAATTTCTATAGATTTTATTATTGGTGGGTACAGCCTCTCAGGAACAAGATCTTGCAAACTTTGGGTTGCCGTCATTGACGTATAGTGTGAGTTATGACTATTTACTGTACCACTTCTTGACCGCCCTGCACGTTCTGGTTTCTTCAATAAGGCATTGATGTTGTAGTAGGTCATTTTGAACACCTCAATCAAGTCACCTTTCCCCACAACGGTGAAAAATCTCAAATCAGGACTAAACTTGACATCGGAAACACCCGTGTTGAAGTAGTTGGATACAATATCGGTAACGATACTATCGGTGACCTCCTCCTGATCAAAACGATAGGAAAACATGAAATCGATAAACTTGACAAATCCATCTTCTGAAGCCACAGCTATCAATGATGGCAACATGTCATTTTGCAAAGAATTTTCCATTGACATCGTTGATGCAATGGCCGTTATCGCTTTATGGCACAATTTAAAGTGACCAATCAATTGATCATCTTTGGGTTCCCCAAATACACTTAGGTCAAACTTGCGGAAATACGTGACATATGAGTCTGTCCCGACAACTTGTTTTTTATAATCTAGCAACTCATTCTTTCCAAGCGGGTTGAGGATAAACACTTCACCATTGGACGTCCCGGCAACGACAAGATAATCATAAAGGGGATGACTTATCGCATGCACCGTGGACACATTCGCCGGATGCAATGCTTGCTCCAGTGAATTCAAATTCAAATCAATTTGTTTCATCTTCATACTCCTTGGTTTGATAACCACTACTTTGCCTTGATTACACCCAAAAATTATTATTGGCTCCTCATTTAACACAAATGCCGTTAAAGATGTTATGATACATGTACTGCTGAATTGTAGTCGTAGCAATGGCTGCTCAATCTTCTTCGTCTCTATTATTTTGGTGTGTTGAAACTCTGACGAGTCCGATAATCCTATGACATTAAGTACATTAACATTTGCCGATATCAATAGTTTCCCACATGAAGCAAAATCGTCATTGTAGCTCAAAATACTGACGTCCGATGCTTCCACGTTATCATAAATCTCGTCCTTGACAAATAGCTTGTTGAAATTAGATGTCAACTTATTAAACGGATTCTTTGATTGAAATCTAGGCTTTGTTTCCACGATTGTTGTCAATGCACCGGGATTCATTGTAGCATTTCGAAAAGGGTCTTGTGTCAAAGGATTGACATTTGCTCCGATGTGCAAGTTCCCCTCCAGTTGTTTATCACAATGAAGCACTTTTTCTTTAAATGCATTTACCACATGGAGTGGCAAGGAAACATAAGTTGTTGATTCAAACGGTCCCAACGGCGGGCGAGCTATATTCAAATACTCGCTATCCAATTCCAACTTCGCATTAATCAGTTTCCCGATTGTCACTGGCCATGCAATTTCCATTGTCGATGCAGGGACATTGTTCGGTAGTGGGTAGTGCACATTATCTTCGAGAAGTGTGTATCCAGGACATACCGAGTTGAGATACATCGATGCATTGGCAAATGGCGCCTCTGTATTGTTCGCTGTATTCTGTGCCATCTTTAAATATTAAAAAGTCCGAACTTTGTCCAATAGGGGTCCCTCGGTAAAGTTTGGAAAGTTCAAAGCAAGATCAGACTAGGGTTTCAGATAATGCTATCAAATATTGAATTTGAAACTTGCTTAATTGAACATAGATAAGCTATTACCCTCTTACTGTAAGTAATTTTATTTTTTGGGTCCCCAAAAATTTCACACTGATCAAACAAACAAAAAGGCCAACAGAAACGAAAAAATAAAAAAATAGAAAAAAAAAAAAAAAAAAAAGTTTTGCAAAAATTCAACCGAAAGCTTTTCACGATAACGCCGATTTAAAACTCCTCTACACTCATGTTAAGACTACTTCAGAAATCCACAACGCCAACAACGATACTCAGACCATCTGGTTTTGTAATCACACCCTTATTCATAGGTTCCCTCAGGTTCAACTCAACATCTAAAGATGTCTCTGCTGCTAAATACTCACCCAAACCCGAGTCAACTGTTAATATCGATGACTTGTTAAAAAACTCGATCCCGGACTTGTCCTTTAGTGAGTCTATAAATGAAAGGTTTGGGTTCGAGGCTAATAGGCAACCAACTCCACGAGAAGTTGCCAAAGGTATCAGGGAGTTTGGCACCAACGCTGGAAGAACAGTTGATGTCAATTATAATAACTTGGCAAGAGCATTCACCCAGATTAAAAGAATTGGTAATGAAAATAAGATTAGATATTTACAAAGAGTTCAATCAAGATACATTCGTCCTGCTAAGTATAGGAAACAATTGAAAAGAGAGTGGTGGAGAAGGAAATTTTCTGCCGGGTTCAAGAACTTGTTGGCACAAGTTAACGATGCTAGAAGAAGAGGTTACTAATGTGAATAGCTTGTAAATATTGCAATTGTGAAGATCCTTATTGTTTATCACGTTGTAAACTTCGCCGACAGAATGCCGAGGCAGGGGCTAATGGTTGTGTTAGAGGGGCCCAACCTCGATCCGGTATTTCCATCGCCTTAGTGGATACACGTTGTGGTGCATTCTTCAATGGCTGATCGTGCGCTTGATGAGCATGATTTTGTAGTATCTTATCAATCATGAACATTTCGCAGCAAAATGTGTGTAATACTTCTTTGAGTGTTGTTTCGCAACACCATGGACCTTTTTAAAGAGAAGAGGGCAGTCTGCCGATTGAAAGGTAACAATACAACTTTCGCCTTATTGTTAGACTCTTCAAAATTTGATGAGACTCTTAGACATCATCAACCAGCTATGTTGATCCATCATGGAGGTAGGCTAAGAAAATTTAACACATTTCTTTAACCTTGCCACAAACACACACACACACACCTAGAAAGCATTCAACCTTTCTAGTGGAGTAGTTCCCCTTAACACTGGGTATAGCCGCTCCTTGAAAAATGTGTATGTATGTCTTGCGTTGTGTCATTGTCCCGCATTATCACAAGCGTACAGCTTACACCCAAAGCTAAAGTCCGCGCGGAAATTGTTGTCTTTCTCCGTTCTATTTTTACCACTTCCATTAGTTATCTTCAATACCCCACTGAGTCTACCATTGAGTAAGTTCGTGCAATGCTCGTGACGAATACAAATACCCCGATATCTTCCATGTTGCAATATGAGTTTTCTCCCCGAGCTCAATTTTTTTTGCACACGCAATGAGCAAATCTAGATTAAATAATCCCAATCAAAAGTACGCATTAATCACAGGTGCATCATCTGGTATAGGGTATGAACTTGCCAAAGAGTTTAGCAAAAAAGGCTACAAGGTAATTGGAGCTTCACCACAATCCGTCTTACATTTGCAGGATTCCCTAGTCGCTGAGTATGGAGTTATATCTGTCCCGTGTGATATCACCAACCTCGATGATTTAAGGAAATTGAAGGACTTTGTATTTGAAGAAACCGGGGGTTATTTGGACATCTTGTACAACAATGCAGGAATTGCTCTTGGTGGTCCCGCTACATCAATGGATGAAACAAAGGTTGATAAGATTTTCCAAGTGAATGTCATAGGCCATATTAATGCAACGAAGCAACTTACTCCATACATCATTAACGCCAAAGGGTCAATTGTGTTTACTAGCTCTGTTGCAGCAAGAGTGCCTCTTGCATGGACTAGCATGTACTGCGCCACAAAAGCTGCCATAGATTCATATGCTCAAACCTTGCATGGAGAAATGGCACCATTTGGAGTCAAAGTTCACAGTGTCATCACTGGAGGAGTCAACACCCACATAGGTGAGGGAGAAAGCGTCGATGAAGCTGAGAGACAATTTAAGGATTCCTTATACTATGTGGATGGCGTCGTAGAAAGTGGCCTCGCAGCGAGGGATATGGCCACGCATGGAATTAGTCCTCAACTGTACGCAAAAGATTTAGTTCCGAAGGTGTTGAAGAAATTGACAAGGTTCAATTTATATGGTGGAAGGTGGTCCTATCTTCTTCATTTGATGGGTAGATTTTATCCGTTGTGGTTTGTGGAATTCCTCATGCAATTGCTTTTTAAGCAACACAGGGTTTACAAGAATATTAGGAAATCCAGGAAATAAAGTAGTTAGTTACTTGTGAAACAGTTATACAGATGAAACTATTGTCTTCTTTGTTTTATTACATGTATACTTGTCAATGTCACATTGAAATAGGCGTAGCATGCTAGAACCGACATGTTTGATCTCTCTAAAAGCAATCTCATTTGGTCCACGTGTCGAGGGTTTTGAACAGATTCAAGATCGTGTCTCAGTAGTTTCGAGTTCGCAAACTTCTGTACCAACAACGCATCAGCAAGGGATAATTTCGAGACAAATCGTTCCCAGCTATCCGAAAAGAAGATCTTATAAAGGTAGAGCACCAATAACGTTGCCTAACGTGTATTGTTATCTCCAATTTATAACCTACGAGAAATAGTTCATTTAGATCTGCGATTTTGTGTCAACTACGCATTTCCATCGGATGGAATCCCAATCAACAAAAAGCTCGCATTATTGTTAAACAAATTGCACCCCTCTCAACAAGCAAGCGACAAATGTCAGGCAACGTGCACAAGAATGACCAGCCAATACCTGCAATAGCTAGCCATTTAGATCCGAAACATGCGGTACATATATTTCCCGAACAGCTACAGCCGTTTCGTTCAGGTATACTTGCATATGGCGCATCACTAGCGTCCACATTGGTTGGGTACCCACTTGATACTATTAAAGTGAGAATGCAGACACACAGCCACTTCAAAGGATATCTTGACTGTGCGAGGAGGACATACATGGCAGAAGGAGTTCGAGGCTTCTTTAGAGGTGTTTGGGCTCCACTCATATCGACATCATTCTCCAAATCCCTCAATGTGTCAATCTACACCTTCTGTAAGCCGTATATTTACACGGCAATGTTTCAGAATAACTGGTATGGCAAAGTACGACAGGAGCACCCATTTTGGAGAAATCTTCCAGTCTGTTTCATTTCCGGTTGTGTAGCTGGGGCCGGAGTTAGTGTATTTGCATGTCCCTTTGAATTCATCAAAGTGTATTCCCAATTGGAGAAACTTGTTACTGCCAATTCGTCATTGGGAAGTGTAAAGACAAGGTTGGGGACGCCAACTACTTTACAAATTTGCAACACAATCATTACAGCCAAAGGGTTCAGAGGACTTTATTCCGGGTTCAAGCTACACCTTCTTCGTGATTCATTGTCTACGGGAGTGTACTTCAGTTTGTATGAACTGATAAAATTATTCACAAACGACTTGACCAACAAAAACGGGTCAATTAACTCGCCATTTACAGTTTTATTATCTGGTGGTTTATCTGGTGTTCTAAGTTGGATCATCATCTTTCCCATAGACACAGCTAAATCGCTCGTGCAAAAAGCTGCTGTGGTTAATATATTTAGAAAGCTGCACGGGTTATCACTGACACCAGTTGACACTTATAAAAAGAAGGACGGTTGGTTTTATCGAGGGTTGGGAATTTCCATAACGAGATCGTTTTTAACAAATATGGTGTTTTTCGGAGTGTTCGAATTTGGTTTGACCTACCTAGCTTAGACTGTTTACATTATTTATTCAATTTTTTCGTTTTTTTTTCAAAGGCGACTTTGATCTTGTACGAGACGCAGGATGATCCATAGTGGTAAACGATGATTGACGCAACAAATCATTTGATGCCACTCTTTTCCTGCCCCTAGAGTCTGACTCGTTCTCCCCAGTTTCATTAACATGTTGTTCCTCAAAAACGTTCATAGGCTCGAACCGCTCGATTTCACTCAAGTCCAAACCTAGTATTCTCCGCCTCCGTGAACGTGCCTTTCGTTTTGATGGGTTGCGTCGATGTATTGGCAGGGCAGTGATTTCCGTAAACTCAAGTGATGGTTGTGTGGTGTCCATACGAGTGATAGTCTCCAATGTCGCTTGTATTTCATCTGAGACGTGACCAGTTGTTGGCTCGTCTGGTAGTTCACTTACGTGGGCGGAGGTAACCACGGAATTGGCATCATTGACATCAACCCCATGTTTCACCACATCTTGATATGCATCGGGTAACTCACTTTTACTCTCCATGCTTGGGCTACTGTATCTTGAATCGAAGGTAGATTCCTCTTCAATTATGTCTTTCTCGACAACTGGCTCCAATGGTGGCGTGGGCACGGGCAAAGGCACAGGCACAGACACAGGCACAGGCACAGACACAGACACAGGCACAGGCACAGACACAGGCACAGGTAACACTGCAATCTCTGGCTCCACTATAGGCAACACCAGAGAGGGTCTATTGGCTTGCAAACGATGCCTTATACTCTTTCTCCTTTTCCTTCTTCTTGTTGAAGGACGTACGTGTGAAATTTCGACATTGATACTTGTAATCAATTCTCCATCGTCTTCATTCTCTGACAGTCCATGCAGTTCAACTGAACTGTGAAGGCTTTCAACTACCTCCGCAAATGAATGCAATCTCTTAGAAGCAAAATCGGCAAACTTAACGGCATTGGGGGTTCTCTTGTCCGAGACAGTACCATGTTTCTCCTCACCCAATGCGCTTGCTTCTTCCAAAGTTTCACCTTCATCCATTTGTTCAACAAATTGGGTTGCCGCTTCAGCTATATTGTTTTGCTCGCTTCTGAAAGAAGATGTGCTCTCGTTCTCATTGCCAACTTCATCGATGCTATCACTGTCATGCGAGTCTGACCCACCTTCATCAACCATTTCAACAAAATCAGAAACAGCATTGGCCAAAGATTTGATGGTTTCAACACCTTGGCTAGTTTCTTCATCACTTTGCAGCGCTGAAGCCTCACCTGTGTCCATCTCTTCGAAAAATCCGCTAGCTGCTTGTAATACTCCTTTAACGTTTTTGTCATTGGGTGGATATTCACTGTCCCGCTCCTCATTGTATGAGTCATCCTCGTGAACTAGTTCCTCATCAGTTTCATCAACATTGGAAGCATCGTTAATAAAGCCATCGTTCAGACTATATCCAGGAAGGAGCTCTTTTTCAGCTACATCTTGGCTTGGATTGTCTTTAATTTCCCCTTCCACCATCTCTGTTTGGTCTCGATGGGCGCTTTCATAGTAGGGAGCCTCCTCAAACAAATGTCTTATACGAGAATATTCCCCGCGATATACATCTTGCAAGAAACGCTCCACGCCTTCGGTAGTGGCTGTCGGGAGCAATTGATTATCAACGACTGCAATACGCAGATTTTGGTGTTGGTCGGAATCCGAAGATTCCACGCGAGACTCTTCCCCTTGGGCTTTCTCTCCCACTGAGACTTCAGTAGATCTGGCTCCATGATCTCCTTCATCATCATGAGTCATCGACGAGTCCCGGATTACTGGTTCAGGTACTTCTGTATGAGTCGCACTAACCAGACTTGTTAATGGCCCAATATTGGGGAAAATCGAAAGTAATCTCTTGCGGATCTCTGAAGGACTAAGTTTGGTCTCAGCTGATGCATGCGAGATTTCTTTCTTCAGCACTCCACGCGAGTAGCCTTCTCTTGCGCTCTTAACACGCAGATCATTCGGTGTAGCCAGCACAGAAAACGATTCATTTTGAATACCATCTTCATGATCCCCGTTTTCAGCTAATTGATGAGCTAGATCTAAAACGTCTTGAACGAGATCGCTGTAAGCATCTCTATTGGTTGACTCAAACTCGTAATGACGTTGTTGAAGCTCTGTTTCCTCGTTTTCACTGGACTCAATAAGAGCATTACTAGTCGATACTACTTCGTCAGTTTCACTATGACGTAATGAACCTGTTTCAAGCTGTACGTTGGTGGTGGTGGTAGTTTCCTTTGTGCTTGGATCCTCTATATGCTGTCCCGAGCTAGCAGACTCATAAATGATCTCATTTTCATCTGTGTTTCTCACTTCTTCGCCTTTCTCCTCATCACTTGAATTAATATGAATGACAGTAAGGTCCTCTTCGTCGCTATTACTATCAGTACTAATTACGTTGACTTCACCTTCTTGCACATCAGAGCCAGTGCTTGTCACGGTAACTTCCTCGTATTCACTATCAGGACCACTGCTGATGCTAATGACCTCATCATTTTCATTAGCAAGCCCAGCCAGGTCGGATACGTCGGAGCTTGTTGTCTCCACTATTGGAATGTCGTTATGAGATTCCTCTTTCTCAAACTCATCTCTGTTGAGCTCGTCTCCACCAAATACCCCCTCATCTTCATCCAATGCCGTTGTAGGTTCATTGTCGTTGGTCATAAAACTTGATTCATGTACAGTGTCAAGTATCGGCGTGTCAATATCCTGTAACTCAGGTTCTTCAGAAACAATATGCTCGGTTGCTGTATGGGAAGAGTTATTTGGGTTTAGTAGAGACGTTTCTTCTCTACCTTGTCCAGATGTGCGTGATTCTTCCATGAAGTCGTCTAATTGTCCTCTATCCCCGTCAAACTCCTTTTCAGAAACACCAACAACTGATCGAACACTACTCTCGTGAGGTTTTATGTTGCCGCTAAAATATTCAGAGGACTTGTTATGAACTTGTTCCGCAGATTCAACCTCCATATTGTCCACCTCGATTTCATCTCGATCATCATCTACTTCCATTTGGTCCAGTTCTATGGCACTAGAATTACCGTCAAATGACGCAGATGTTTCGCTAACGTCAGCATCAATTCTTTCCAACACAGGCACAGGGATTCGTCTCACTTCATTTGGACCTTGAGTTTGTGCCAGTTGTTTATTCAAATCATCTAACATATAAGCGCCCAGTTTGAGCTCTTTGCGTTTTGGGTTGCTCTCATCAGGTGGTTCCGAGAACGACTTTATACTCCTCTCAAGATCCTCAACTGCATCAATCTTTATGTTGTATTTTTTTTCGGCCTCCTTTAGATTTTGCAACACAGTTTCAGGATCTTCTTCTTCTTCAATTGATTTGAATATCGGCGCTGGAGGATTCTCATCACTCAGGTATGCGGCTTTGTCATCAACTTCACCGATTCGAGCTTCAGCCATTTCCGTTTGAGCTGACACAGTTTGAGGTACCTCTCCATTATGAGATTGCAGAACAACAATCTCTTTTTGTGCGTTAGTGTCGGCAACATTATCAGGTTCCTCTCGTCTGTCAACATGGAAATCACTTTTATGTGATTCAAATTGACTCTCGTCAGCTAAAGAACCTTCGGATCTGTTTTCATCCAAATCATTGACTTTCATTCGGTGTTCGTTCAATTCTTGCGCGTAAAATGGATCCGGAACAGGGGCCATCTCTTCGGTTCGGAAATCTTTATCTTTCGAGGTTGCATCAGAATCGATTTCATCCTCCTTTGAAGCTTTTGCGAGGTTGTTATCAGTGTATTCGGCATCAGCCATGTACCCCGATTGTGCATGAGATTCCTTGAAGCTGCGCGATGATCTATCACTTAGAGCCCTTGAAGCAAAAGCCACTAATGTACTGTATGTGCTTGCAGAAACACGTGATTTTTCGTCATTGTCGTCATCTTCTTCATTCTCCTCATCCGCGAATGCTTCTGCTTGTGAATCAAAATTTGAAGGCATGTTTTCCAGCTCAGACTGCGAGCAGGATGAGGTTGATCTAGCACCAATTGAGATAGGAACAGAATGTTGTCTTGAATAGCTCGCTTCGGTCGATGCGTATTCCGTGTATTCCACTGACTCGATCTCTGAATCGACACTACTTTCACCCAGCAGATCAACTTGAGCCACCTCCATTCGAGAATCATGTTGATAGTCATCAACTTGAATCATAGATTTGAATTCATCATCATCATCGGGTTCGTAACTGCCACCATTCTCTTCTTCTAGGTCTTGCACATGCTGCACAATCGCCTCCCCAGCCTTGTTTGGTGAGGTATTCTCGTAATCAGGTTGGGCTTCTTCTGAAGAGATTTCTTCGACAACAGGCTCGAAACTAGACTCCTGCGACTCGTCTCTTTTTGCTTGCGAATCCAAATAACCTTGGGGATGGTGATTTGTTTCGGTGTAGTAAGCATAGTCTTTCGCAGTTCGGTAATCGTATCCCCTATCTATCTCCTGTTGGTATTGTTCTCTATAATCCTCATTATCTCTGTACCCATCATCGTTGTCATATTCTTTCGACGAATAGCCTTCCTCTTCTTCTGAGTAAGCCTCCTCGTCGCTGTATTGCTCGTCCTCGTATAATCCCTCTTGCAGATGCTCCTCTCTCGCACTATATCGTTCTTGTCCATCATCCGAGTTAGCGAAATTACTGCCGTATGGATCTATTCTCCTAAAGTTGGAGTGTCCATAATCATACAACTCTTGAGATGTTTGAATTGACCCAGAGGCGCCGCGATAGTTTTCCTGATACTCATTCCGAGAAGGATGTAGTGATTGGCCATACATATTATGCACTATCTCCGCCTCCGATTCTTCACTAGACGAGATTTCAATCATTTCACGTTCGTCAAGCCCTATAGTGCCACTCGGATAATTTTCTAATTTCTGTATCTCTTGATCCTCAGAGGATTGTTCATATTCTTCTCCATCTTGTTCCACAGTTTCATTGTTTGACTCCTTCATATCAACGTCATCACTTAAATCAACTTCGTTCCTCTGATGATTCCAGAGTGAAGATCGATGAAAAGATTGTAATTTTTCAGACCGAGACTCTGGAACTTCATGTCGCAGCGCGAAAGTAGTTTCTCTTTCCCGTTTTTCCACAGCATCCCTATAGGCAAGTAATTTGCCCAACTTGACAAAATCATCATCAAAATGTCTTTGTTGCATATCCACTTTCAATTTTCTTTTCATGTCCTCTTCCTGCTTTTTTTGTATCAACTCGCTTAGCTCCTGTCGCTGCTTTGATTTCAAGTTTTCATAACGTGATTTGATACTGTCAATCCAATCAACGACGTCATCGGCATCCTGCAGCTTAAAAATTGTTAATGAGTTGTGGCTATGGGTTCGATCATAGTGAGACGTATTCATGCTTATATCATGTAATGAAAGGTCCTTGGAGTGTGATTCCAACTTGCGAAGGCCATTTGTTCGTGTACCATTATTGATTGTTGTGGATAGTGCTGAATGATTCGACTGTTGCTCATTGTGTGTTGTATCGTTGGATTTCGTGCGGTAAAGTGATGAAAGTCTATTGCTCATTGTCAACGTAATTATGTGCAGGTTGATTATACTGACGACCGACTTGTATGCAATTAATGTTTCAAAGATGGATGTTACTGATATGTTTTGTCTCCATCTTGCACACCATTTTTCAAAATGTGATGCAGAGTCGTGTCGAAAATATGCGACAATAAAAATCACGTGACCAAACATAAGCTTTTTAGCAGCCTCCTCATAAATAACCTCATGGTGAAATAGTTGGTGGAAGCAAAAGTATCGACGGGAAGCAACATGCAATTGCAAGCTACGCCTATAGAACTTTTGGAAAAATTTGTCTCTCCCATTTATTCTTTGCCATGGATGACGTTTCAAGGTTTCCCCACTAACATGTCTTGATAATACAAAGTGTGAAATCTAGGTTTCTAAAAATAGGTCAATTCTGTCAACAAGTTATGGCTTTTTGCGTTTGAACTTGAATCGAAAATTCGGTATTGAAGAAATACTATAATAAGAAATATTGCATTTGCGGCTACTTTGTCGGGCAAATTTCAAGATATCAAGAAGAAACTTGACGTGTGCTGTTGAAACCCTTGAGACGCAAAGTCGCTTAAGAAATCTCGATTCGAAAGAGAATATCTGCTTTTGACAGCAGAGGCTTTGCAACGATGGCGGTGCATGCTTTCAGCAATCGTGTTTCAGCTGGCTCGCCACTTTTAGCTATAGACTATAGTTTTTTTTTTCAAATGCATATACAACGTACCATGGAATCGTCTGTTGCTCTAACAATTTCATCTGCACCAAGTGAAAGCCGGCTTTAAGAATTTCTTTTTACTTTTTCTTCTTGTTTGTAACACAAGAGATTTCCCAGTTTGAGTCGCTTATTTGTATTTCCGAAACTAGAACTGAAATGCTTAAGGTCTACGCAAGGACGAAAGTAATTGTGGAAAGAAATGGAACTGCCGAGTGGGATTGTAGACGCATGCGATTTTAGTACAAGTGTACCCTATCCCGCTACAAAACAGTATATAAGCGTCATACTACATAATCGTTACAGAATCCCATACTTTTTACCTGCAACTCTAACTTTCTACGTCAGTAAATTTACGAAATGCAGTACATAAAAAGCGGTTGTTTGTTATGCAAAACATAGCCAAGAATCGAAGGTCTTTTGAATTTTTTTTTTTTCAATGCCCTTGTTTCAACGATTGGTATGGTTATGAATATTATGAAATTTGTGATGCACACAAAAGGAAAAAAATCTCATGTCACGAATGGAATACAGGGTGAGTCCCGAGCCACGCCAGAGAAAAAGTGGAAGAATTCCTAACCAAACAATACATTACTGTCGTACGAGATCAATTGGGGTCAAGTTGCGAAAAGCACATTGCTCTGGCGGTATACATTCCAGTAAAGAAGTGAACCTAGAATCACGGTTACAGTTTTGTGTACTGTTCCAAAAAAAAATAGAACAACTTTAGTGGAAAGTATTATTGTATGTATGAGCTCTTATATGTATGCCAATGTATTTCCTAAAAGAGATTATAGTTGAGCTACCAATAATAAAAACAATGTAATAGAGTTTAAATCACACTGACAAAGGAGTACAGTCTGTGTAAAATAGTTAAGGAAGAAAACCATTACGGGAAGTACGGGGGCATTTGACTCAGGAGGTACAAACCAATAGAATTGTTCACTTTCAATTAATTCTCCTCCAACTAGCCATCCACAGGTCATATGACCATACCGTTTAGCAATAGCAATTCGGAAATGTAAAACTCAAATAATAATATTTTTTTTGCTTCTAAAATACCTTTTAGCCCCCCTTGCATATAAGTACGGTTTATTAAAATGTTATATGTACATTGGTCTATCGGTGGCTTCGATGGATTGGCATAGCCAATTCCTTCCTTCTGAGAAGTGGACGTCATGGCTCCCATCTGATCCGCTTACTCAATCAAAAAGGATTGATTTGTGACCAGTTAAAACACCCGAATAATCCACTCGTTGGGTCATCGTGAACCACAAAATGCTAATCTAGAACCGACCTACAAGGGGGAGTACGAGTGAGGCGGGAATAGAAAAAAAGACAATACAAAGATGAATAGATCACTAGTTTCAAAATGGCTTGTATATCAATTGTTACTATTCCGTTGTCTATACAACGGAGTGAAGGATCTGTTCTCTTATTGTGTTATGAATGACTCTTATTGTAAAATACTCTTTTCCTCCTCCTTGTCTTCCTTGTCCTTGTAAAGTTTTAGTTTACGATGAAGGAAAAAACTTTTTCTTTGCCAATTTGTGTACCAGTTTAAAACTGCATAACAATAAGGTTTATATATACTCAAATTGCAATTGTTTAATCAAAAACCATCCGTTTCATTTGGAAAACAACTAAGTAGTTATAGAAGCCTAGTTTGAATAAACAATATCACTCATACATAACGCTAATGAACCAAGAATTTCTTTTTTCTTTGTCCCCATTTAAGAGCTTAATTGTCGCTGGAAATTTCATCTTTCTGCTCTCTCTCCTTCTCCCCTCATTTTTAAACGTTTTCTTGAGAATTTTTTTAGTAGACTCTAATTAGATCTGCAATTCAACTTCCTCGGCCTCGATTTTATAGATGCTCAGCGCTGCAAAGAAAGCTACATCCCTTAGGGCCCCATGCAATGCACACAAGGAGACTTTAGGAACAGCATTGCCCCAACAGTCAGTGCTAGACTCCAAACACCCTTTATTCCCTAAGGGGGGTCACGCCCACCCCAGTGGGCATATTTCCACTGGCGCTGAAATGAGACCAAAGCAACAATGAACAGGAGAAAAAAAAAAAAGAAAATTTCTTTTTTTGTCTTTTTGCTACTGATACTTACCATGTTTGTGTAACTTCTTACATTATTTTACCCCGTTGTACATTTACAAACAGAATTAAGAATGGCTACACTGACTCTTAACCATAAAGCTTGCGATTTGGAAAAGCCCAGATGAGCTTAAGCCCAAACTCTATAAATAGCATGCGCAATTCCTCCACGGTTTCTCCAATTTCTCTTTTTAACTATTACAACATTCCCCCAACTTACTTTCAATCGCTACCTTCAAATCTGCTTCCCTGACCACTATCTGTATATAAACACAATTACATCTTTAATATGACTGTAGAAGCAACATCACCAATTGACGATATTGAACAACAACGTCCAGTATACGAACCAGAATACCAAGAAGCATACACTAATTCACCACTTAAAAACCATTTAATTGCCTTCCTTGGTGAGTTTTTCGGTACATTTATCTTTTTATGGGTTGCTTTTGTTATTGCTCAAATTGCCAACCAAGATCCAAACATCCCACAACCAGGTGGTGGATCTGATCCAATGCAATTGATTATGATTTCATTTGGGTTTGGGTTTGGAGTGATGATGGGTGTTTTTATGTTTTTTAGAGTTTGGTGGTAATTTGAACCCAGCAGTTACATTGACTTTAGTTTTGGCTCAAGCTATTCATCCAATCAGAGGGGTTGTCATGATGATTGCACAAATGATTGCTGGTATGGCTGCTGCTGGTGCTGCTTCAGCAATGACTCCCGGTGATATTGCATTTGCTAACGCCTTGGGTGGTGGCGCTTCAAGATCAAGAGGAGTGTTTTTGGAAGCTTTTGGTACTTTTATCTTGTGTTTTACTGTATTGATGATGGCTGTTGAAAAATCAAGAGCTACTTTTATGGCTCCATTTGTTATTGGTGTTTCATTGATGTTGGGACATTTAATCTGTGTCTACTACACTGGTGCTGGTTTGAACCCTGCAAGATCATTTGGTCCTTGTATTGCTAGTAGATCATTCCCAAATTACCACTGGATTTACTGGGTTGGTCCAATCTTGGGTGCCGTTTTGGCTTGGGGTGTTTGGAGATTATTCACCTTTTTGGGTTACAAATCTTGTAATCCAGGTCAAGATGGCGATGAGTAATTGATGGAGCTTAGCTTATTTGAGGTTTGGTATTCACAAAAAGAAAAAAAAAACACGCAAAAATACGATTATATTCAGGGTCTTTAATATACATAACTTAATGATAGTACCTATATCATCGGTAGACTTAAGAGTAGCCTCTTTATGCAACGATTTCCTATCACTCTATTTACATCAATGGAAAATGACTCTACAATCACCTACTTTGAATTCATATCACTCATGGTGAACAACAAGTCCTCTTCATCCTCACAATCATCTTTTTTACTAGCCTTTCTTCTCAAAGCAGCATCTTCCTCAGATGCATCTTCAATCTTGAATGATGATCGGTAGTCATAAATTGAGGGGCTAGTGGCTAATCCTGTGACAACAGTTGTTGGTTTGCTTTTGATAGAAGGTAATACACTTGCTGCATTTCCAGGTGTACCACTACTGACACTATTTGAAGGGACTGAATGGATGGACGATAATCTTGTCTGGCTAGCTTTTCGTTCTTGATGGCTTGTATCAGTTGTGTTAGTGTTGGTGTTAATATTGGCGTTAGTATTGGCGTTAATGTTGGTGTTGGTGTTGGTGTTGGTGTTGGTGTTGGTGTTGGTCGGCCTTGGAGGGCTTGTAATCGTGGAATGAGCTGCATTAGAAGAGTTCCCGCGTGATACAATCAACGGCCGGTTGGGTTCAATACTGGTAGCTGTTGGTGACGTTTCTCTCAATTTTGATTGCAATGACGACACGATCAATTGGGATTGGTCAAATGATCCTGGTGGCGAATTTAATGAACTCTTACGGCTACTTTGTCTTGATTGTAACACGACACTAGCATTGACACTATCACCCAATTGCTGATGTTTACCCTTCAACAGTTGATATCTACGCAATATATTCACATCATTGCTATCAGCTGACTCAATAATTGGTCTTGTCTTGACAGAATCATCTGTGTTGCTTCTCCCTAATTTCAAGTCCGATTTGCTATCAATCATTCGCACAAAATCATTAATGTCTTCATCCATATATAACCCACTCAATGCCGCATCAACACTATTACCATGACCAAAATAATCAGACAGTGGAGTATGCTGACGAATACTAGTGTTGCTGAAGCGACGACTGGCTCTGGAACCAAATGAGGACGAGAATCGTGGAGTGTTGTTGCTGCTGTCAGGGTGGGAAAACAACCCATCATCATGACCAGTGGATGAACTTACTGATCTGGGAATTGAAGTACCATACGTATTACTGTTGTTGTTGTTACCAGCAATTGGGACAGCATTGGTGGATGGCGTGCTACTTCTTGGATTTCTTAGAAATGCAGCCAAAGACGCATTAGATATTGATTTGTTGCTGGTGATTGAAACTTTTCTCTCCAATGAGGAGGGAATGTTTTGCACAGTGGTGGGCTGGCTAGTTTGCACACCCGCGTTGATTGGTGCCGGAGTCGGTGAAATCTCGCGTGACCCAACTTTGTATGGTTCCCTTGTAATAGCTTTCGTTGGCAATGATTCACCTTTGGTAAACAGTGGACTGTTACCCTTGGATGAGGTCAACGATGACGAAGGTGAAAGAGACATTAATTTCCTGGCATCCTCATCGCGTTTACCAAAATGTGCTGATAGTACCTCCTCGTGTTCGTGTAGACAAAAGTCATAATGATTCCTGTATGCTATTGAAATTTTCAACACACCCATGCTAGTATTGATTGGAGTGAAGTTTTTTTGCGTAGTATGTGATTGCTGTAAATTGGACAGATCAATAATCGGTTTAGACAAGCCAATTCTTCCCTTGGAACTTATGGGCTGATTTCCGTCGAGGATCTTGTTTCCCAAGGACAACTTTTTCATGTTCCTCTTTTTCAACTTATAAGCTGGCATTAACCTAGAGTAACCATATAGTGTCCTAAACAAAATGATTGCCTGTTTGTAGATTGTCAGTAGCTCATCAGCTGTCTGGCTGGGCATTCTTTGGTCAAATTCGATGAGCCAACGCTCTAAAACAACTTCCTGCTTTTTGCCGTTTGCATTTGCCACAGTCCAAGGGTGTTTTTGATCATCAAATAGCACCAATGTTTGATTTGCTGGCAATTGTCTCAAGTCAAGATACGTTTCAATTATCATTGGTGGGATTGTCACCACATCGGCTGTTTTCCACAACTTTAAATCTTCTTTGCTTGCGCCATACAAAGACAGCATATGAAGGTTGAACCATTTGTTGATTCTTTGACTTTGTTGGTCAATGTTGTCACCATATGGCGATTCATTAAACGATTGCGATTCAAACAGTCCTCTCGAATCTAGTATAACTTGAGCTGCTTTTGTAAAGAAATTTATCAATACTTGGGTAAGCTTTGCAGTTTGCTTCTTGGCTATAGCGTCACTTTGAGGTCGAGTATTGTAATCAACTGACATGGTGAATAATGTAATGTGTTTTGTAACTTTGGATATTTGGTGTGGCGAATAAGTTGGACTCTTTCTATATGGAACTCAGGCTATGCATAATCACTGGAAATATTTTTCTCCCTATAGGATTTGATTGGCGTTGGATGGTCTATGTTTCGCTCCTATTATTTTGAAAATGACAAACTCTTCTTTCCAAGAGTTTCTCAATGATGCTGAGTAGGGTGTATTTGTTTGGTTTTGTTGTTGCCAAAAGAAAAGAAAAAACTGTGGTTGTAATTTGTGTGTATGTGTCTGTGTTTAAGGAAAAATGATCCGTAGACGCGAAAGTTTAGTAATGTAATCTCTGTTGTTGCTTTTTTAGGGCACACACAACACGCTTTGTAGATCTGAAGGGCCCGAACTGTGCTTAAATATATCTCTTCAAGTGTAGACTATTTGCCGAAGCCTCTTCTTCCGTATTGAAGTGCCTATGTGAATGAAAGGTGGGAAGCGTTGAATAAATACGTGTATCACTCGTGCTCCTTGTGTAAAAATGCGTGTGCAAAATCTAAGATGGAAACACACTGAGTGATGATGATTTTGGTGATGTAGCAGATACGAAGTTCTGTACGTTGATTGTGTTGCTTGGTGAAGGGGGTGGTGTGATTGTAAAAAAGTGTAAGGAAAAGTTGTGTTTGGTTCTTTCTCTTCTCCTTGTTGTTGTAAAAATGACTCAGATTAGGGAGTGAGTGAGCGTGTGCGTGTGCTTTAGATTGTTGTGCTCTGTTATTGTTTTTTATTTTTTCTCTTATCTCAGGCAATGATAAGATACACACCCTCACTATATAAATAATAATTACGATAACAACATACATCATTACTATTACTACATTATACAAACTATGGATACTACATCATACTACTTTATTTTCACATGTTTATGCTTGAATGAGAAGCGTCACCCATGTTCTGATACATAAAAATAGTTTCCTGATAGCTCCAGTATGAGCCAACCTGTCTTAGATCCGATCTCATCAACTCATACACGTGGCCGTAGCATGACTAATATAAAAACTTTTAAGAGTATGACCAACAAGAACTACCAACTTAATGGTATCACTAAAGCCTCCACTACAGAAAAGAGTCACCTGTTGATGTAAACTCGCTTAATATACGGTTTCTTTCCCCGCTGCAACATGCCAAAAAAAAAAAAAAAGAAAAGGAAACCTTAATACTGAGTCAGCAGAACAATAGTCCTTTAGTATGTAGTTAGTAGTTGGATGTAACATCACTCAATATATCATATGATCTCTGTATGCAAAAAGCGTATTGAACAGGGTGTTATTCCTCTTTAGTTGGCGGTGACTGGGTGCTGGCCACCTCATACTCTTGTAGAGTAAGCTCACTACAGTGGTTGTAGCTCTCAACGTAAGCTTTTTCTGCACAAGCCGCACCGCTTTATGGACCGCATTGATGGGGCGAAGAGCGGGAAGAAAGACAAAAGAACGGACTGCGTCTCCATCTCGCCTCATCGTAAATGAACCAGAACCAAATTTTTTTTTTTTTTTTCCTTTGTATGTAATGCAAAACTCATCAGCACCACAAGCCTAATCACATATCCCGGGCTAGCCCTAGTCTACGAAAAACCTGTCATGGAGAAAGATAACTTCGATATAGTGAGGGCACAATCCCCCAAATCATACTTGTACACATCGGTCGCGCTGACTCATTTAGGTGAAGTGGCATCAAAAATCATCTCGGTGCTAATTGCCCAAGGTCGTCAAACCGCTAAAGAATTGAGTCAACGTACCCAACTTACATTAAAATCAGTCAAGTCAGCACTTGTTTCATTAATTCAACTTGGTTGTGTATATTTCTGGCAGGACAGGGATAAATCTACCCATTACTCGCTCAATGAAACTGGGTTAAAGATATTGATCAACAGTGGTGATATATTGAACCACATTACTCAAGAATATGGCGAAGAGGAGGCAGAAGTGGTGCAAAATGTAATGGAATTGGGTCATATCAAATTGGAAGAGTACCTTAAGCAATTTGATCAGGATAAACAACAACGTTTAGCCAAGGAAAAGATCATCCTTCGATTATTCAATGAAGGGTGGTTAAAAATGTTGCGTGATTTTGATAACCATGACATGAATGATATTTGGAATCAATTATTTGAAGACACAATGAAGAAAACACCACGATCAGCAACAACTTCAGAAATCAAACGAGTGGCTGAAATAATCGCCACTTGTAAAGAAAAGATTTTAAAACTTATTGAAAATCCACCAACTGCTGATTTGTACATTCATGAACATGGAGTAAAGAAGTTGAACCCTGAATTGGTGCTTTGCTTCAACTTGGCCCGATTCGAAAAACATTCACGCACAATAGCATTTACAAATCTAGCCAAGTCAAGAATTGGTGTCTTGTCAGCCATGGTTTTCCAAGCTGGGTTGAAATCAATTGAAAGTAATAGTCCTGATTTGACACATCCTTTTCTTGAAATTGATGGATTGTTGAATGGTCCTGGAGATGTTGATGATTTCAAAAACGGGCAAGAAAGTGGACTTGTTGCTGAGAAAAGGATTATTTTCACCGCCAAGGATATATTGCGATCCCTACCCAAGGTCTTGGATTTACATGGTTCCATTATTTCCAACACTCTGGGAGTAAATGTCAAGAGAGAATACCCAGAGGACGATAACGACGATAACCTGGTCGATGCCACCACAAAGAAGATGAAACTAGAAAATGGCCACAGCTTAGCCACATCATCATCCACATTTGACTCTTCTGATGACAATGATGATCGAAAATTATCCATTATTCAGCAACATCTACAATTACTTGCATCAGGGACCTATACCAAATTCATTATCGAAGTATCACCAGGTCGCTATACAGTTTCATTTTGCCACCTATCACAAGCCGTCAAACAGTTCAACTACGAGTCCCTAATCAAAGCCACAATGAAAGATGACACATTCCGCGTACTTCGATGCATCAAACAATTACGATTAGCCGACGAGAAATCTATTGCTCAAGCAGTACTACTCAAGGAGAAAACTGTCAGAAGTCAAATCTATCAATTAGTTAAAGCCAACATTGTTGAAATTCAAGAAGTTCCCCGTAGTGCTGATCGTGCTGCATCAAAGACTTTTTACTTGTTTCGATACAAGCAACAACCTAGTTATGATCAATTGATCAATAGTTTGATTTTCGATATGGGCGAAATCATAAATATTATTACCCAATTTGAGCAAGAGAATAAGATTTTGTTGGATAAATGTCAACGTGTTGATGTCGAAGGTCATGAAGAGGAATACTTGATTGAGTCGGAATTAAAAACGTTGCACAGTTTGCAAAATCGGAAAATTAAAAATATTGTCCGGTTTAATAGAATTAAGTCGTTGTGGGATATCTACAACTTGTGACGAAAAGAGAAAATACATATAATAAAACTGCATTCAAGAATACATTGCTATCCATCTCTCTAAACGTGTCTAATTAAACTCTATTACCTCTGTTCTCTATTCATCATCTTCGCCATCATCTTCCTTATCTGGACCAACATAAGTTTGTGGGATATTAACCTCAGTCTTGAACTCATCCAAACCAACTCTTTGGGCGGTCACTTGAGCAGTATGATCTTTAGGTACATGATCAATAGAATCAGACAATTCAACAATTGCCAATGGCCCCCAGAGCATAATACCAGTAAGGGCAACAAACCAACCAACTAAAGCACGTCCTTCTTTGGCGTAAACACTGAAAAAGGCTTCTTTATTGGGCCATGTTGGCAATCCTTTTTGACCATTATTGATATCGGTGGAAATTTGTCTAGTAAATCTCAATTGTCTGATTGGTTTGAAACGCAATTGTGATTGGATAGTTCTTCTAAACATAGTGGATTCGGATACGAGAGTGACAGAGTAGAAAGAAGAATGATAGAATGAAAATTTTCAAACAGTTTCAGTTTCAAGAGGACAAAAGCATTTGCAAAGAGAGCCCCCAACAAACAAATAAACAAACAAACAAGTAAACTCATTCACCAATGAGACACAGTTCAGTTTGGATTTGTGTCGATGACATAATTCTTCTTTTAGTTCTTTGTTGTTCTATTGTGATTCGCAAAAAAAACTGTAGCAATGCTAAAAAAGCAGAAGCAAAAAAAAAAAAAAAAAAAAAAAAGAAATTGAAGCTGAAAAAAAATTTCTCGGATGCCAAAGATTTTGTGTATGATAATAAGCGGTACCTCAAGCCGAGGTAAACATCTCCATTCTCTATAACGTCTGTTTAAACCCAGCAAAATCAAATTGGTCTTCCACTAGGCCACCTCCACCATCTACCCTATATTTAAGCTTGATCCTAAGCTTCAACTTGGATCCCGGTTGACCCGAGATTTTCAAAACTTGACGTATTTGATTTTGGTTGTAAATTAAACTATCACCACCTGAAGTTGATGTGATGTGCAACTTCTGCGTTTTGGGAACAGCAATCAAAAGTTGAAATTGATCGATTTTGGATGGAGTTTTGGAACTAATGATTGCCTCTACTGTAGCGTCACCATGAACAAATTGTCTTGGAACAAATGATACTTTTACATTGCTATTTTCAAATGCAACAATCCCCTTTTGAGCACTTGAGTTGGCGACTTGACTTGTTGTATTCTTGTTGCTGTCACCAAATATATCCGATAGTATATCATTATTAGCAGTTGCTGGCGCATCATCAGTATCAATTAAATCCAACAACAAATCATCTTGAGTGGAGTTTGTGGAAATACCAGCAGTAGCACCACCACCACCAGAGCCGCCTTCATTCCGTTTATGACTATTACCTGTCTTGTGCAATTTCAATGATTCGCGTTCCTTAATTGGTGGCGCTGGCATTTTAGCAAGCAACCCGCGCTTCAATGCCGCATCCTGGCCAAATATTTCTTGATACTCCACTGCTCGAATTTGAATCTCCAAATTTGAATCGTATGTCTTGGAGTTGATTATTCGCCTCAACCGTTCAATCACTTGAGAGCTCTTGAACTTCACCGATAATTTCAATGCTGATGTCAATACATACGCAGTCAATTGAATGTGCTCTTGACGGGAGTATGTAGAATTATCAAGCAACTCATCAAACAAGTCAACAATTTTCGCCTCAGTCACTTGCTCCGGTTTGTCACCCACTTCAACTGTGGATCCCAATATCATGTCCCCATACTCACCCAAAGTCCAAATGGTAACCAATGCTAACCCAAATTGACTTTCATCCTGCAAACATGACGAAAACAACTTCGACACAACATGCTTCTTCAACTCCTGGTCATTACACTGCAAAATCAAAGCAAGCATGTTGGAAATGATATCAGGTGTTAACGCGTTACCTCCAGCTTTCAAAGTTCTGACCAAGGTATCATAATGCCATTTATCATTTGGAGAAAATTTGTTTGCAGCAATAGTCAACTGTGAAGTCACATACAGTTTCAATTCTTGGTCATTGCACTCTTCCAAAAACGTTAAAATTTCTCTCGCCAACACTCTTATATTTTGTTCATTAATGATACCAAAAGATAACTCCAACGCTCTTCTTTTGATGGAAATATCTCCATCAGTTAAACAATTGACAATGGTTGATCTATGCCTCTGAACAGCCAATGGCTCAATATTGACAATGCTCAATAACGTATCTAAAGCAACATAACGCGTATTATTATCCTTTGTAGCAAGGAATTTACCCAAGATATTGACCCCCAAGATCTTCAATGATTGATCAGATTGAATAGCAAAAATGGTCTTGACACATTCATACAAGATGGCGTTGGCAGCATTTTTTCCACTATCCAAATTCGATACAACTTGAGTCAAGATGTCGTTAATTTCTTCTGAAAAGGGTAAGTCAATTGCCAATGTTCGGATAGCAGACAATAAACTAACTTGCAAAAACGGATCAGTCGTACCCATAACATCATAATCTGGTTGATACCCCATAGTTGTAACTCGTTTCAAATGACCAACAATCTTGGGAATTGTCTTTGTCAAGGCTGATTTATTTTCACTCGATACATAATACAATGCCTCAATCAACCTCAATGTACCCAACAACACCGATGAGTTTTTCTCATTAATCAAATCCAATGCTTTCGGCAAGAAAAACTCTGACAAATCAGGTTCCTTTTCGACCAATTTAGCAGCAACAAAGCATGCCTTCTTTCTTAAAAAATTATTCTTTGAATCAATAATCGTTTCCACATTGGTGTACAAATCACGAGCCAATTCAGGTGAGGCAATATTACCAAGACAACAAAGCGCTAATCCAACAATGTATGCATTGTGATGTTGCATGTCATTATCCAATGAGTTTGTCAACAAGGTCAACACTTCTTGATTTTCATCCAAAATCAACATGCACGCCAAGTATCCCAATCGTTTGTCAGCAAATCGGGGCGACGCAAGTAACTTGAGACATTCCACTTGACCGAAATGGGTCTTTTCACCCATAATGTACAAGTACAACAATTTTGAAATATTGATTCGCCTTGTTGTTTGATCAAGACTGACATCTCTGAATGATGTCCTAATAGCGGCCGATTCTTTTTGAATAACAGCACGTTCGTCAGCAATCGTCTTGGCTTTACGAACTGACTTGATGAAAGAACGTAAGGATCCCATTTGATGGATGTAGGAGGAGTTATTGCGAGTTTGTTTTGATGTTACAGAGCTACGCTGTCTGTTTTCCTTTTTTTTTTTTTTTCTTTTTTCAGAGCCTGTTTTGTTGATTTTGAGATTCTTTTGTGTGAGGTGGAACAAAGAATTGGATCAGAGTTGAAAGCTAGGCGCGGGTGATTTCGTGAAATGGAGCAATGACAGAGCTCAAGACTATTCTCAACCATACCGCCAATGCTCCAAGCCTCTACATCTTCTTCATTATAAAACTATATTTCAATTAAAACATTTGTAAAATGGGTGCGGGGATTAGGTTATATGATAAAATTATCTACAAAACAACACACTTCTTCTTCTTCTTTTCCTTCTTATCTTTTGCCCTCAATGAAGCTCTAGTAGCAGCTTCAAACACTTCTCTAACTCCTCTTCCAGTCTTGGCGGAACATTCCAAATAATCAGCAGCACCAATCTTTTGAGCAACAGCCTGTCCTTCAGAAGTTGAAACTGGTTGTTGTTGTTGTTGTCTCAAGGCTTCAATGGTATGGGGATCATCTCTTAAATCAGATTTACAACCAACAAGAATAATGGGGACACCTTGACAGAAATGCAAAACTTCTGAGATCCATTTTTCCAAAACATTATCCAAAGAATCGGGTGAATCAACTGAAAAACAAATCAAAATGACATTTGAATCTGGGTATGATAATGGTCTTAATCTATCGTAATCTTCTTGACCGGCAGTATCCCAAAGTGCCAACTCAACTTTTCTTCCATCAACTTCAACATCAGCAACATAATTTTCAAAAACTGTGGGAACATATACCTCTGGGAATGTACCTTTGGAAAATACAATTAATAAACAAGTCTTACCACAGGCACCATCACCAACAATGACTAATTTTCTACGAAGTTCAGCAGGACCGTTCACCATTGTATTGATATGTATATGAATGTGTTATGTGATGATATATCGGTTTGTAAAAAACTCTGTCTTATGAGATATTATGTTATGTTAGACGTGTGTTTATAGTTTGTTGAGAATTTTTTTTCTTTTCTCTTTTTTTTTTTTTCTGTCGATAAGGAGAAAATCGTCTTTAAGTATGCAAAAGAAAGAAAACAAATAAACAAACAAACACCACCAGTGATTGAGGTCTTTGGAATTGATCTATTTGGTTGTCAAAAAAGAAATAAAAGGTGAGTACTATATGGTGGTTAAATCTAATCTAATCGTGTGATTTGATTGATTGGGTGTATATAGAAATGGTAATAAGAATAAGGTGTGGTGGTGTTGAATGAAGATCACAAGAAAAGAAAATTTTTGTTAATACAAAATGTAGGCGCAACAATTGTGGAATTTTCAGTGTCAAATTTTGTTGTCTTTTGACACTAACAAAAGGTAATGCTATAAATAATCAAAATACGTTAATATGAGAGAAGGTATTGTTTTTGTTTTGTGGCGGTGTACACGCACTGAAGTTTCTCGTGTAATTGGAAGTGGCTGAGGGAGCAGAATGTCAAAACGATACTCTTGAAATGCGCAGTCGCTATGCATAACTGGACTCGATTTCGTGATGCGTGGATAGCATATGTAAGGCGGGCTGTAGACTGTATGGACTAAAATCAGGTCATTCTGGTACCTACTACACATTGACCTTTTCCATTCACGCCTCGTGTTTACATAACCCTTCTCCCTCTACAATGCAGAAGCATATCACAGTGTTGTCACTCTCTTTCTGTCTTTTCCATCCGTTTGACCACAAAGAGCCATTGAGGTACAATATTTGTTCCCAAAGAATCATATGCTCTGGCGAAGAAACTGAACTCGAATTGGGTGTTTAAGTTTTCTTCTCTCTCGCCCCTTTGTGCTTTGTGATCTTATAATCCAAAGCAATTTGAGATTTCAAAATTTAACGTGTCACCCTCTTTCTTTTCTTGCTTGTGTCGTATTTTTTAAAGCTTAGACCCCCTTCCCCCTTTCGAAAATTCTCTTGGTAGCAGCACCGGTGGAAAAGAAAAAAAAAAAAAGAAGATGATAACAACCGAACAGTGCGAAGGCAATAATCAGAATAGTAGAAGTTTTGTTTTTACGAGGTAACATCTTTGACAGCTCTGCAATAATGGAACTTCAGCGGAGCTCATGTCCACGGAATTTTTGCAACTTCTGATTATAACGAGTACTCCTATTACGCCTTCCAAAGTATAAAGCTAAATTACAACTGGTAGCATTTGATTAGGGTATAGCAATTCTTGGCCTCATCATTATCACTTTCAAGTAGTGTCAATGGTGTTCATGACTTTGAGACTTAAGTAAAGAGGTAATCAAGTGTTTAAAATGCCTGGTATTTTCAATAATCTCGCATAAAAAGAGTTCTCTATATTAAGTATCAAATTTTTTGGAATTTGTTTGAATTTGATTGCTAAAAAACAACAAGATTAAACTATCCCTGAGAGTGGTGCATTTTACAGACTCTTCAATTATGAGACCCCACAAAATTGGATAAGATATGAAGGAATCTGCCTAATAAAGAAAAAGAAGGCTCTTTATCTTCCATCAACCCTTATGCTTACGGACCAAAAGCTATCTACGCAAATATAAAGCACGCAATAGTACGTGCTCTTATCTTCTGCTATTTATCCAATTGGAATCACCTGCTCAGCACACCACTGGAAAATTGTGGCTCATTGGTTGTGAGTGATAAGAAATAAGGACAACATTTTTCAAAGCTTATCTTCTTTTGGTGCCTTACGGAAAAATCCCCCTCTCTCTTTTTCTTTTGCTATGAGTTTTTACGCACAAAAGATAACAAAGATAGATGCTTGTGACATATTAGAGATAAGTTATCTAATCTACACAATTATTCTCCCTCCCACTAAAGGAAGCTTCGAGGGTGGGACAACTTAATTCTACTTCAAGGTGGAGCTGATATCGAAGCAGCAATCACTCTCCACCTTGGTGAAAAAAAAAAAAAGATCTACAGAAAGAAGAAGTTCTAGCCATGCTATATAGAGAAAGTTAATTACACAAAGACACGAATGCCTTTATTTGACCAATAATACACGACTAAACTTTTTGCCTAACTCCTCAGCTATACATATCGAGCTAAGTGCATAAAGTACCGACAAAAACGAAATCCGTCTCCTCACCTCCAGCTTGAAGTTGTACCCCCCAGCTAGCTCAATTGTATTCCCAATTAGTAAAGAACGCGCAAAGTAAGTTTTCGCATTCTCCACTCCTCTATTATGTCTTATCAATTGTATGCATTTTTTTTTTTACATCTCATCTTTTCTATTCGTTTTACCCAACCTTATCTAATCTACTTAAAAAGGGGAAAAGCCTGGGAAGGGGGGGAAGCGGAGTTGAAAATTCAGCTTATCCAAAAATAGAAAAGTAAAAAAAAAAAGTGTACAACTCTATCAAAAAAATGCCAAGAGTGTCAAAGAAGTAGTCTTGTGTTAGTGTTAGTGTTAGTGTTGGTGTAGATAAAAGTAAAGCTACTAAAATAGAGAGAGAGAGAGAGAGTGTGTGTGTGTGTATGTGATTATATTATATTTTAGTAGTAGTATATGTTGAATCAGACATTAACACAAAATAGAGTTAAAAAAAATAATCAGACAGACAGACAGACAGACAGACAGACAAAAACAGAAGAAGAAGAAGAAGAAGAAGAAGAAGAATACAACTATTTGCCTTGCGATTGTTGTGTATACTACTGATTAGATAACAAAACACAAAGCACCAAACAAAAAGATCGTACAATAAATGAAGAAGTGCTACTAATTATAAATAGTGTGCAACAGTACACTACCATTTTAGTAAAAAAAATTTTTACCTTTTTTTTTTTTTTTTTATTTTTAATCTCTCTTTCTCTGTTACTGATAAAAACAACCAAATTGTTGTAACAAACATTATAATCACATCATCATCATCATCATCATCATAAGAATTAGAAGAAACAGGTGCAACACATACACACACACACTGCACACCATAGTATAGACGTACATTCAATTGTCATCCCTATTGCTATCACACGTGGCCACTAAAAAACCCATTCACTTTGAGAAGGTGTGCGCTATAACTTAGATAAACAAACTCCTTGTTCAATCAATTTTTTTACAACACACATCATATACATTCGTTTATCGAGAAGGGTTTTTTTTGTTTTCTCAAAAATTTTTTTTTTTTTTTTTTTTTTTTTTTTTTTTTTTTTGGTTAATTTTTCACCTCACATTCAACCAATTGAAAAATTTATTTATCATTTAAATTTCCTTTTTTTTTTCACTTTTCACTATCAGTTTGTTCTTTTCTTATCAAAGACCGTATACATACACACACACACACACTAACACACACACCCGCACGTTGATTATCACTCATTGCTACTACCATCACCAAAACTACTACTACTACTACCACTGACAGTTACTTCTGCTACTTCTACTGTTACACTTGTACATTATAACTATTACTTCAACCATGGCTTTACTTGATATTCAACTGCGTCCTTCTCAATCAGTACAGTTGAAGAGTCCACCTACAACTGCAACAACTGCAACATCAACTTCTACTGTGCTACCAAAGTTTGAAGATACATTCAAAGCAGCAAATGGTGAAGACTTGACTGTAGTTCAGCAGCAGCAGCAGCAGCAGCAGCAGCAGCAACATCAGCAACTGCAGCAACTGAATACAGCTGCAAATGAAGCAACCGGAACTGAAGATAACCACCACAGTTTTCTTCACCACGCAGAGTTCAGAACGAGCCATGTCAAGGAGTCAGCGACAACACCAGCTTCTGCCTTGTCTACCCCACCTGCAGTAAGACCTAAAGTGGAGTATGAATCTAGTGGTAAACCATCTACTTTCCAATCTCCAAGTTACAAGACTGGTGACATTATTTCTCACCCTTTGCCAACTCCACCATCAAAGTTGAAGAGTCACGAATCACCATCTTTACCATCACTTGGATCCAATAATGAAAGTGGTTCGTTTCCCAAGCCAACAGATAACACCAATTTACCAATAGCCAATCACCACTCTAATGCTACTGCAAAACAACAACCGCAGCAGCCCTCCACTTCCCAAGTAAGCAACGAAAATGGCTCGTCATCATCATCAAGAACTAATTTATCAAGTCCCGTTTGTCGAAATTGCAAGACGCAAACTACACCATTATGGCGAAGAGATGAAACTGGTCAAGTGTTGTGTAATGCATGTGGCTTGTTTCTCAAATTGCATGGACGACCAAGACCAATTAGTTTGAAAACTGACACAATCAAGTCAAGAAATAGAGTTAAACAAAATGGTGCAGGAGGAACTCATTCTTCAAAGGCAGGAGCATCAGCGTCTTCAACAAATAATCCTGAATTGAAATCAAAAGATTCCAAATCTGGTAGAAAATCTCCTAAACTGAAAAAGTACAAGAATGGTGTATCTGGTAACTCAAACGGTGTAGAGTATACACCACTTTTACCAGCATCTACCACTACTACTACCAGTGCCAATGCCAACTCACCAGCAATTTTCAAACAAGATGGAACCGGCAACAACATTAGCAACAATAATAATGGTGCTTCCGGGTCTCATTCATTTAACAACTTGACTTCAATAAATGGAAATGGATACTATCAACAACGCTCGTTGCACCATACACCACATTTCCCACCACATTTACCGAACCACGTGTTGCAAGCACACCAACAAGTGCCTTTACATTACCCGTCGTCAACTCCAACTCAATTCGCTCCTGGATTAAGAAGAATTACCTCACCATTGATGCTTTCAACAACTACATCGTCATCTGCAGTGAGAAATGAACCCATAGCGGGAGGAACTACAACAACCACCACTGGCACCAACGCCAACGCCAACGCCAACGCCAACACCACTTCTACAGTAAATGCTTCGTCAACCGCGGAATCGAATTCAATGCATGCAGCAGCTGGGGTGTTGGAAAATTTGTCGAATGAACTAGGTCCAAGCGCCACATTCAAACCAGAATTTGGTATTGGGTCTCGACAAAAGGGGATATCATTGATGAGTAATAAGGAAAGACCTAGTGGAAGTGCAATGTCAACTGCCACTGGCTCTTCGTCATCGATCTTCTCAAGTGTAACGCCACCTCAATTGCCACGTTTACCAGCGCTAAGCACAAAGTCACCGGCTTTTTCAGCTGTACAATCAAGATCATCAACACCCACATTGCCACCTTTGCATAAGGTTGCTACTGGTGAGATAACCTTGCCCTCATTGAATAGTTTTACTACTCAACTGCATGTACAGCTGCTTCCACATCAAAATCAACAACAGTCATCATCATCTATTGTAGCTCCCCCACATCAACAACAAATTGGCTCAGAGCAACCTTCACATACTCCTAGTCGTGATGAAACCCCCAGAGGAGATGACGATAAAACATTTAAGGACCGTGACAACAGCAACAGCAACAGCAACAACAACAGCAACAACAACAGTAATGGCAACAGTAATGGCAACAACAGTAACAACAACAACAACAATGGATCCAACACCAATCCCAATCATGAAGTCACCATTTTGAAAACGCGAATTTCTGAACTAGAACTCGTTAACGACTTGTATCGTACACGCATAATGGAACTAGAAGCAATGGAACACGCAGCAAGGTTACGGGAAACATCAATGAGGAAAAGATTAGAAGAAGCTGTTGAATTACAAGCTAGCCAATTGGATGAATACAACCGTAAACAAGAATTGAACGCGTCACGATTTGGCGTTGGATCAGGACAACGATTATTGTATCATCGCCCTAATGATCCGGAAATTGCTGCTGCTGTGTCGAATGCCAAAGTTGTCGGGTACCAGCTGTATTTACCTCAAGGTGATCAACAAATGGCACAAGCTCAACGTCTGGGGATTCAATTGAGTGAACGATTGGGTCAGTCGCAAAAGCAACAGCAGCAGCGAGATGTTGGGGAATCGAGATCTGGATCAAGTAGTAGATCCAACACACCAAAACCAGGAGAGGTTCCAACACATGATAAATCGGCTGATACTGGGTTCAAACTCCCTTCATTAAAGAGAGATAATGAAAATGCGTCATCTACAACTCAAGGTAAGGAAAAGAAGTCGAAATTGAAATAAAGTAGAGAAAGGGGGAGGAGGAGAAGGGGGGAGAGAGAGGAAGCAAGCACCCACGTCATAAATCTGTAATAAAATGGTTTTGTATAATTTTGTGTATTTCAACAAACTAATTTCAAATGTAATTAAAAAGAAAAAGAGTCTCTTTGTAACAACTTCTTTGATCAAGTACGCACATCTGGTTCTTCTTTACCCAAAAACTGCTTAAACTTCAACAATTGCAAAACGAATTCAACATCTTTAGCCAAATACTCATCAACTTTTGATTGATAAGTTGATGAATCATTGCAATGTTTTTCCAAATACAAACGCACCGTGGCTCCGGATGACCCTGTTCCTGACAATCTGACAATAAACCTCAACCCATTGGTGAATTTGATAAACAATCCTTGTTTGGAAGATACTGATCCATCCAAATCAGTGTAGGAGAAATTCTCAGCTTGTTTGATGATATATCCTGGTGCTAATTCATCACCGGGTTTATGTTCATCAACAATGGTTTGTAACAAGTCAATCAATTTGTTGGCTCCTTCACTAGAAACATTTTCATAATCATATCTAGTAAAGAATGTTCTTCCGTATTTATCCCAAAAGGAGTTTTGCACAATTTCAATTGATGTTGGTTTACCTGGGTTTGATTTATGATAATCAGCCAACAAGTTTAACCAAGCGACAATGGCCCATAATCCGTCTTTTTCTCTAATATGGTTTGATCCAGTACCAAAACTCTCTTCTCCACAAATACTCAACTTCTTTGCATCAAATAAAGAACAGAAAAATTTCCATCCAGTGGGGACTTCATACACATCAACGCCTTTATCTTTGGCCACCAAGTCAATGGCACCGGAAGTGGGCATTGATCTGGCCAAGCCGTAGATTCCTTGCTTTTTGAAATAAGGAATAGCATCAGCGTATTCAGATATAATTGCAACCGAATCTCCAGGAGAAACAAATGTACCAGCACCATAAATCATATTTCTATCACCATCACCATCTGAAGCAGCACCGAAAGCTATACCTTCCTTGTCAACTCTTTCTACCAAAGTATGCGCATAGGTTAAATTTGGATCCGGATGCAAGCCACCAAAATCACTCAACGGTTTATAATTTTGAATTGATGATTCAGACAAACCCAATTCTTCAACGAAAATCTTGTATCCATATGGACCAGTAACACCATTCAATGCATCAAACAACACCTTAAACCCATCTTCCTTTGTGGCTTTATCCAAAAATGATTTGATCAATGGGAAATCAAAGATATCCTTCAACATTTCGACATAGTCCTTAGTAGAGTCGATTACTTCCACTTCAATAGGTCCGACTTTAACTTGGCCAATCTTGGAAATATCAACGTCTTCCAATTGAGCCAATTTGTAACTGGTCAATGTCTTGGAAATTTCGAAAATCTTGTTTGTCACCGATTCAGGTGCGGGTCCACCATTACCTAAATTATATTTGATACCCAAATCATTGTTTGGACCACCTGGGTTGTGACTTGCAGTCAAGATAATTCCACCAGTAGCTCCCAATAATCTAATCACATGAGAAGTAGCTGGCGTCGACAAGATCCCATCTTGACCCAAGATAACTTTCTTGACCCCGTTGGCAGCAGCAATCTTGATTATCAATTGAATGACTACATCATTATAGTATCTTCCATCACCACCAATAACCAAAGTTGCATCTTTACTTCCCTCTGGAATGGCATCCAAGATTGCTTGAATAAAGTTCTCAGTATAGTGAGGTTGCTTGAAAACAGTAACTTTTTTTCTTAAACCAGAAGTACCTGGTTTCTGATCTTGGAATGGTTTGGTATCGATTGTTTCTACCTTGACGTCTGACATAATGCGAAGAAGGGTGTAGGTATTTGTTGTCAATTGGTTTGTTCTGTAGCAAATGAAATTAAATTGAGGTTTGTCTCCTTTTGAAAACTTTAAAATCATTCAAAATATAATTTTTCGGGGTGACATTGTTCAAATCCTAAATTAACCGAAATGCTCCTCCACATTGAGACTCCACAAATGAAAAGAGGAAATGTGTTGTAGCTGCTTCATTGATCAGTTGAATTATAATAGATATTACAATTGAGTTGCAATGAACCACCTTTCTAACTATCTTTCCTCTAAGTCAAGCAAACTTACTGCTTTTCCATGATCAGCAACGAGAGGCGCCTGTGTAAGCCAGATACTCGTCCGCGGCCTACAAAACAAAAACTAAGGCAACAATGCATCCTATTGCATCGCACGCTTGTCTCCCGCATCCTAAAATGTAACCACTCCACACAGCGACGTCAAGGCGACTTTTGTTTTTTCTTTCTTTTTGTTTCCTTCGCTAATGACACAAAGTTGATAAACTGAAGTCTCCCCAACTCCGGTCACCCAACAAATTGTAGAGGAAAGTATGTAGGCCAGCAAAGGCACTTCTTGAAGTGTTGTTGGGTTTACAACTCGATGCAGTTGTAGCAGAATTGTTGTCAAATGAGCATTAACTAACTGCCATTGATATTCCACGTGATACAAAACTCCAATCGATATGAACTCATTTAAGAGAGTGCTTGATTACTTTTACAATTTTAAAGTTAGAATCACTATCATCAAAGTAAACAAACATACAAACTAACCCAACAATGAAATGAAACGTCAACATCCCTCCAGATGATCAAGGGAAGTGCCCTTTTCTTGGACCAAAGTATCCATCAGGAGCCAGTTCAGTAGCATTCAACGAACCAACCATATCTCCATCATAACCAGTGTAGACAACAGTATTACCCCACCAGTTGATATCTTTTTCATGATACATGACAGCAAAGAAAATGATGATTGATGAAAAAGCTACACCAGCACTCAAACCACTTGAAAGAAGATAGTTATACTTTTGCCACCATGCCTCGTATTTGTTCTTGATATACCACATGAAAGCGAACGAGGCATAAACACTTGGGATGTAGTATGATAAGTTATAAGGTGCGTAGTTCAATATGCCTCCAATGACAATTGCTGGTTCAAACGTCTTCACATATTTTTGTGGACCCCATTTCTTTAAAGCAATGCAGGGGAACGCCAATAAGAAACCAATCAAGAAACACCATTTCAAAGTTGGGTATAAGTTGTCAAAAACTTTCTTGGGACCAATAACACCCCAAAGGACAGAAGCACTGTAGAAGGTTCTTGTGTTTGGGCAAGTAAACTTTTGGGTGTTATAAGGATCACAATAATTTTTGATACCAGTGATTTGATAGTTCAAGATTGCCAATTGGATGAATGATGCTATGAGGATTGAAAGCAATTGGACTCTGTAGGTTGCACGTGGCGGAAGTTTGGCATAGTGACCTTGTTTCAAATCATTTATGAAATTTTGTGCTTGTCCATCAATGTTGTAACCTAAAGCTTTGATGAATGACAAGGCCAAACCATTACCTGGGATAGCATAACCAACAATCAACTCAACCAAGACATTCAAACCAAACGAAAATCCAGTTCTGGCATACACAGTAGTCAATGGAATCAAAAAGACAAAATTGATACCCAAAGCGAAAAAGATACCCCAAACTGGAGTTTCAGCTGGATACACTTTGACACACAATATGGCCAAAACGATTGAGATGACCAAAATAATCAAATAAGCCCACTCTGGCACTTCTGGGTATGCCCTCATCATGACACTGTGTGGATCATTGAAACCTTCATATGTCGACTTTCTCCAATTCTTTAAGGCTGCACCTAATCCTTTCATAGCATGCCACATTTGCTTGTACTGCATACCAAACTCATAAACAAAGTGGAATGGGTAAATAAGGAAGAAGGCACCATACAAGACCAAGTTAGCAGCGGAGTAAAATGGAGGGCCAATTTCCTGATACTTTTCGTTATCAAACAAACTATTTTCATTAACCACCGCCCTAACGCTATATGGTTCACCAGTGTTTGTGAAAAGACCATTTGAGTTGATTGGCAAGTACTTTGTCCATTTGTAGTTGGAGTAATAAACCCCAATAATGGTAATGAATCCAATAAACATACCAACAATCATATTGGTTTGATTGTAGAAGGGGTAAGTCAAAGGTTTGTTACGATTGATAATGTTCCAATCAAATGTAGACACCGGATTGAGTCCTAAACCGCCCATAAATCCAGTGACAATAGCCAAATTTTGATTACTAGGCTTAATCCACGCCAACCAAGAGAAGTTTGATAATGCTTGAAATAAGTAGTCAGGAACCCAAAAGTAAAGAAATGATGCAGCAAAGGTAATGAAAAAGAATGAGTATCCTGAAATTGTCCATCCATTGATGTTTTGTTTCTTTGACTTGGTCAACAATGCCTTGTTCAACGCAAGGTTAGGCAAGATACTAGGCCAAACAGCTTGAATGGGGTAAACTGCAAACTTACGGATTAACCCAGCCAAACCAATACCCAAAAAGTTTGTTGACAAGATCAACAATACTTGGTAACCAAAGTCAACCCATTTGTTGTCATAAAACAATTCAGACTTTTGCATCAAGATGTTGTACGACACATATGACGTACTACCACCGGTAACTGAACAGAAAAGCGTTGCCAACATTTGCTCTTTGAAATTGTAGGGTCCAGGATTTAAGTCAATGACCCAATTCTTCCAAAGTTTGATTTTCCATTTAGGCAAGATCCATTCACATAACAATCCACTTGGGTACAAGAACACTTGAACAACGGCCATGTCAAGAGTGATTGGAGGTTGTCTTTCGGTGAAGAATTGGTTAATAACAGCTCCAATAGCAGTCCAAATGATACCAATGAGATAAACTCTAAATGTTTCGACTGGTATGGAAGGATCATCAAATGGGAGGGTAACAGCTCTGACTTCAGGGTATGGAGACCAATAAGCTACCAACACTGCTTCCAACCTAACTTGCAAGTCCCAATCAACAATTTCTGGTCTACCAGTCGAAGGGTCGTTTGATGACGTTTCAGCATCATGTGAGAGTGTTGAAACTTTGACTTGGTGACCTTTTTCATCAATTGACGACTCTGACTTTTTCTCATCATCGGGGTGGTGAAATCCATGAGCATTATAATCAACCAACTCTTTCCATAGGTCCAAGTCATGTTCCTTGACATTGACATCGTCTCCATGCTCTTTGATAGCATCCTTCAATATCTCAACAGCTTCCTGAGTTGACATCTGCTCAATTTTTTCAAATATAAAAGTACATTCAGGTGGCAAGTCTTCAAAGCTGGTTAACGCATCAAAATGCAACCTTTTCAACACATAATTTTTTTGGGTATCAGTTAATGTGGTTCCAACTTCTCCTATGGACAATGGGTTCGATAAAATGGCATCCAAATTAACCTCATGGTCTTGCGTTTGTAAATGACTGCCAGCACTGTGAAGCGATGTTATTGGAGCTGTAGTACTAGCTACTGGGTGAACAGTTTTCTCGCTATTCATTACTTTGAACACTGATATCTGCTGACACAGTTTGGTGGGGAATGAGAAAATACCATAGGAAGAAATGGAGAGGAATCCGCAGTTCTTATAGACAACAGAGTCGGCCCCAACAGAACGAAAAGTGTTACATGACTTATTTTCACCTTTGTGCATAGTATGGAGAACAATAGGCGCCGAAGTTGGGTTGTTTGTAGCACGAAAAACATCGAAATTTACTCGTACGGCACCGACGAGTCTTCAAATTTGTGTGCTTTGTTTTATAGATAACCCACTTCGCCCCATTTTCTAATGACCACAGCTTTATTCAATGGCAAACAGTAGTAAAGTACTTGGATTATGTAGGGCCACATGAATGGCCCTTTTCTCAACCCTCAACAAGTATATAGTGAAATAAAGATCACTCGTTTTAGATTGGATTGAGTTTTACTCTGCGATTCTGTACACAATCATATCACCAAAGGACTTCAAAAATTGGTGCCAGTTATTGTAGGTTACGTAGCACCAAGCTCAAGCATGCAATAGTTGTATGGTCCTAAGTGATCCAAATGCCTTAAAATTGGAATGGCACATGTACAGAACCAATGACTAGGATTTTTTTTTTTTTAGTATCTTGTGCATAAAGTTTAGAGCCTCCTTACTAGTTGGAATGACAGGTTCCCCCTCTCCCTCCTAAGAAAAAAAAGAAAAAAAAGTAATACTTCTATAACTACAACTTTTTTAGGAAACGGCAAAAATTACACCTACGAGGTACGTAGTTTGGGTGACATTTTCATCTTTTAAGTCTCCTAAGGCCATACGACAAAAACATTGGCAACCTTTCGCGATTAAAAGACTTGAGATTTTTTTTGCTTTAGTTCTTACTGTCGTTGTCACGAAATGAAATCTAAAATTAGATTGCAGATCTCCCTTCGTGCTAAATATGAAGGAAATCTACACAAAACTTATATGGTCCAAATAGGAAATCAGATGTTTCTTTCAAACCAAAAGAGTGGTTGTCCAAGATGAGTCTCAGGTGTTATGTGACTGCCTCGTTCAGGTATATAGCACAGACATCGTTCTTTACTCCTGTCACTTCTACAAAACGATATTATTGGAAGATAAAGTATTTTTCTATTGTTTTGAACTCACATTAAGTTCAATGTCCGACTTTGTGCAAAATATCAAGCGCGTTGGTGTATTGCCGATCTATCATAAATTTCTCTTATTGTTTTGCCTTTTGTGCCGTGTGGTAACGGACCATAGGAAGCAAACAGACGGAGCGCCTAGTGATACGAATAGTCATTGAACCGGCAAAGCAACAACCACCAATGCCATACTGAGTAATTTGTGAAGTTGCCATTATCTCGTTTTGATTTAAACCATAGGAATGTTCATTTACTGAGCATCTAGTTGTCAAGATTTCTCATCCGACAAGCACACCAATCTGTAAGGGGTGAGCTTTTTACATTGAAAGACAGATACGACGAGCTCACACATGGAAGTACATGAGGTCTCCTTTCTCTATGCAATGTTCTAAGAAAATAAAACACTCTTCAACGTTCATGTCGACGAAGAAGTTCGTTACGTGCGACACTGGATTTGTCTCGAGTGCAAATTTTCAACGCTCGTCGCAACAAAATTTCCTTCTCTAATGACACAAAATCACCTAAATCAAATGCGCTTTCCTTTTTACTTCCTGGTAATTTATTTAGTTCAAAATTTGAGAGGCGCAGGAACCACTCAAGAGTAGAAAAGCCTATTTTAAAGAAACAAAATTATTTTGACTTGACTCAATGCTCGTGCGGCTCTAAATTCACAGAGAACTGAATACCTGCGCACTTCATATACCTCGTTTTGGGTCTGGGATTACGCTCTTTCCTTGCGATTTGGGGCCTTTGGCTTTAAGTCTTATCGTGATTACCGCATTTCTGGAAGCAAAGCAAAGATTTCAACCCACCTTTCATATTGATCTCGCATAGTTCCTTCGCATAAATCTACAGCAGGATATTACCGGAACCGCGACTGTCATTTACATGCCAAGCAAAATCAAATGCTCTCCTCCATAAAGTCTAGTACACGCGTTACTTATATTAAAATGAACAAACATACAAACTAACCCAACAATGAAATGAAACGTCAACATCCCTCCAGATGATCAAGGGAAGTGCCCTTTTCTTGGACCAAAGTATCCATCAGGAGCCAGTTCAGTAGCATTCAATCTTCCTACCATATTTCCATCATAACCAGTGTAGACAACAGTATTACCCCACCAGTTGATGTCCTTCTCGTGATACATGACAGCAAAGAAAATGATGATTGATGAAAAAGCTACACCAGCACTCAAACCAGTTGAAAGAAGATAATTATACTTTTGCCACCATGCTTCATACTTGCCCTTGATGTACCACATGAAAGCCAAGGATGCATAAACACCAGGGATGTAGTATGATAGGTTATAAGGTGCGTAATTTAACATACCTCCAATGATAATTGCTGGTTCAAATGTCTTTACCAACTTCTTTGGACCCCATCTCTTTAAAGCAATGCAGGGGAACGCCAACAAAAATCCAATCAAGAAACACCATTGCAAAATTGGATACAAGTGACCGAAGACTTTCTTTGGACCAATAACACCCCAAAGGACAGAAGCACTGTAGAAGGTTCTTGTGTTTGGGCACGTAAACTTTTGGGTGTTGTCCAACTGGCAATAGTTCTTAATACCAGTGATTTGGAAGTTCAAAATAGCCAATTGGATAAACGAAGCAACGAATATAGAAAGCAACTGAACCCTATAGGTTGCACGTGGTGGAAGCTTAGTGTAGTGACCTTGTTTCAAATCATTTATGAAATTTTGTGCTTGTCCATCAATGTTGTAACCTAAAGCTTTGATGAATGACAAGGCCAAACCATTACCTGGAATGGCATAACCAACAATCAACTCAACCAAGACATTCAAACCAAACGAAAATCCAGTCCTGGCATACACAGTAGTCAATGGAATCAAAAAGACAAAATTGATACCCAAAGCGAAAAAGATACCCCAAACTGGAGTTTCAGCTGGATACACTTTGACGCACAATATGGCCAAAACGATTGAGATGACCAAAATGCACAAGTATGCCCACTCTGGCACTTCTGGGTATGCCCTCATCATGACACTGTGTGGATCATTGAAACCTTCATATGTCGACTTTCTCCAATCTTTTAAAGCTGAACCCAACCCTTTCAATGCGTGCCACATTTGTTTGTACTGCATACCAAACTCATAAACAAAGTGGAATGGATAGATAGCAAAAAATGCCCCGTAAACAACCAAGTTGGCAGCGGTGTAGAATGGAGGGCCAATTTCCTGATACTTTTCGTTATCAAACAAACTATTTTCATTAACCACAGCCCTAACACTGTAACTTTCACCTGTATTTGTGAAAAGAGCATTCGAATTGATGGGCATATATCCCGTCCACTTGTAGTTTGAATACCAAATTCCAAGAATTGCAAAAAACCCAATAAACATACCAAATATCATATTGGTTTGGTTATAGAAAGGCACCTCCAAAGGTGCGTTCTGACTAATCATGTTCCAATCAAAGGTGGGGATTGGATTGAGTCCTAATCCACCAATGAAACCAGTGACCACAGCAAGGTTTTGGTTATCAGGCTTGATCCATGCTAACCAAGAGAAGTTTGATAATGCTTGGAACAAGTAGTCAGGAACCCAAAAGTAAAGAAATGATGCAGCAAAAACAATGAAGAAGAAGTTGTATCCTGAAATCTTCCATCCATTGATGTTTTGTTTCTTTGCTTTGGTCAACAATGCCTTGTTCAATGCGATGTTAGGCAAGATACTAGGCCAAACAGCTTGGACAGGATAAACTGCAAACTTACGGATTAATCCAGCCAAACCAATACCCAAAAAGTTTGTTGACAAGATCAACAATACTTGGTAACCAAAGTCAACCCATTTGTTGTCATAAAACAATTCAGACTTTTGCATCAAAATGTTATACGACACATATGACGTACCACCACCTGAAACCGAACAGAATATAGTGGCCAACATCTGCTCTTTATAAGTATATGGTCCAGGATTTAAGTCAATGACCCAATTCTTCCAAAGTTTGATTTTCCATTTAGGCAAGATCCATTCACATAACAATCCACTTGGGTACAAGAACACTTGAACAACAGCAACAGCAAGTGTAATTGCAGGTTGTCTTTCGGTGAAAAATTGGTTAATAACAGCTCCAATAGCAGTCCAAATGATACCAATGAGATAAACTCTAAATGTTTCGACTGGTATGGAAGGATCATCAAATGGGAGGGTAACAGCTCTGACTTCAGGGTATGGAGACCAATAAGCTACCAACACTGCTTCCAACCTAACTTGCAAGTCCCAATCAACAATTTCTGGTCTACCAGTCGAAGGGTCGTTTGATGACGTTTCAGCATCATGTGAGAGTGTTGAAACTTTGACTTGGTGACCTTTTTCATCAATTGACGACTCTGACTTTTTCTCATCATCGGGGTGGTGAAATCCATGAGCATTATAATCAACCAACTCTTTCCATAGGTCCAAGTCGTGTTCTTGAACATTAACATCGTACTCATGTTCTTCTATAGCATCCTTCAATATCTCAACAGCTTCCTGAGTTGACATCTGTTCAATTTTTTCAAATATAAAAGTACATTCAGGTGGTAATTCAGTAAAACTCGTCAACGCATCAAAATGCAATCTCTTCAAAACATAATCCTTTTGAGCATCAGTCAAGGTAGTACCGACCTCACCAATAGACAATGGGTTTGATAAAACAGCATCCAAGTTAACTTCATGATCTTCTCTTTGCAAGTGACTGCCAGCACTGTGAAGTGATGTTATAGGGGCTGCAGTCTCATGTACTGAGTGAACATTCTTCTCACTACTCATGATGGGTGCGAGTGGGAGCTATTCTTGTTGGAAAGTGCTGTAATTGAAAATTTTGAACAAGAGAAAGAAGGTGCAGGGTCTACTATTCTTATATGCTGTTGCTGCTGCGCAATAATCTCAACAATTAATCACATATCTTTATTGTAATTTCATCTCTATGCATACAATAGAAAACAAGAACGATCGTAAGTTGGTTGATATGAACCACAAGAAACAATAAAACACGCACGGCACAACAAAGTTGATCAAGTGATAAAGTTAATAAACTTGTTTCCTGTAACCACAATTAGGTTCAATTTCGAATGCATTGGGCGTAAAACAAGACGCCTCGTGTGTGGATAACACTCACTTTTGCTTTTTTTGTTGCAATTTACCAGTGTCACACAAAAACTCGTATCTAATCAATTAAATTGAAACTGGTTATCAGTTTCGTTGAAAACGCCACTTCAGTTCATAACCAGCTTGTTGCGGAGATACAAAACACCAGCTGAGTCTGGTCACCAGAATTGGGTGATACCTGAGTGTGACCTTGGAACCATGTAAAATGGAGCAGGTATGAATGTAGATATTCAAACGAGTATGGCTTCATGAATTTCAAAAGTCAATCCACAGTTTCTATTTTTGTATTTTGTGCATTAGTTTTGAAGCCTAAATTTCTTGAAATAACTTTCAAAAGGTGGACAGGATCAAAAAATGTACCGGCTTTTTCGCTAATGTTGGCGGTTTTCAATCAGTTCAGATATGACAAACTCAACTGTGTTCAGCTTGACTGCTCGTTACCAGTTGAACCTCTTTTCGCCCTTGCTCCGCTAGTATTTTCCTGAATAGCTAAGTGTTTTCATGTAAGCAAAATCAAGTCATGCGCAATGGGTAAAATTCATTATCAAAAGTGGGTTAACACAGAAACTATCGATATTTCCACACAAATACTTTCCTGTCAAAAATGTTAATCCGTGCCAAGTATCGCATGCTATGAGACTTTAGTCACTCTAAACTTTTCCAAATTTTTCTTGGACAAGCCTTTTTTTTTTTTAGTGGACGTGTGTTCGTACGGCACCAAAAGGCGGATAAACCTTCAATAAGCTTATCTGTGGCATCAGGTTGATGGCATTTGAATCTCGAGAAAAGGAAAAGCATCACTATTTTTGATGATGTAGTAACTACAATTCTTACGACGACTGCAAGCACTTGAAACTGATCGGTTGAAGGGTTTTGGTTACACCGTTCAAACTCCTCTGTCAACTAACCACATACACTTTTGATAATATTCTTTTCTCGCAATTTTATTGGATGATAACGTGAGTTTTATTGCTTGATGCCACATCACTTTTTTATTGTTTTCTGAAATTGTGGTTAGCTTTCTGATAATGTAAACAGGTTTGTGTAATCGAACTCGGAATCTTATTTAGCATTTTCTTTTTTTTTTTTCGTGCCGTACGAAATTGAGTGTCATATTTATGAGTATTTGAGAGATGTGAAATGACCCATTTTGATTATGCAAATCAAGCATAGCAACTCTTGAGATGGTTACTAAGTCAGAAAGCTTCACATTTGGTGGGGACCTGTTTCCACCTCTACTCTACTTCATACAAAAAAGTAATTGGAAATAATCTTTTTGAATCAGTGATGGAATTTATCCTTTTTCCGGCTAGATTTGGGTTTGTGTCAACACTTCCTAAAGGAGACATTTTTGACGTGATCTAAATTGTATTTCTGGTAACAAAACCATAATATTGGTCTCGTGGTTTCATGATAAGTTTACCATGTCGTACCCGACCAAACACCTGCTGATTCAGCTGAGTAATATCTAGAGGCAGGTTCGAGTGGTATGGGGCATGGCTTTGTTGGCGTCTGCTTTCGGCACCCCTGTTACGCGAGCTCAATTTAGCGATGTTGCATTTAATGCCTCTCTTGTGGGGTAACCATTCAACCGAGTGGTTGCAAATTGCTCATTGGATTTCAGTCATGCAAACACAGTTAAAATCAAGTGGACTGGGAAATCAGTGAAATCGTAAAAGCCCACGGTCTTGTTTCAAAATAAGTATTGCTATTGTTCTTTTGTCTTTCCCCACAAAATAATAAATTTGGTGCATCAGATTCGAGAGTGAGTAACAATAAAACACGTCACTCGATTACTCCGCGTAGTGATGAAGTGACCTAAATGTGGCCAGCAATTTTGATTTTCGAAATACCGCTTGTGACGGCTTGTGGGTTATTGTCGAAATCACTGATGGACCTGTTGTGTTAAACAATAAGAGGAAAATCCCAAGGCACAAAAATTTCAAGGAGTCGTTCACAAAGAAAAGTACGCACTCCCCTCCCCTGATTGAGACACCTCTGAGAGCATGGTATTCCTTGTGATTGCGTCAACATCAAGGAGCTTGTAGATCGAAAACCGGAGAGGCCCTATAAGGTAGTGACTCCCACAAAATATTTGAAACATCTCGCTATGAATTTATTACGTGGGTCAACTTTTCACCTCTTATAGCGCGCTGTCATAACATCATCATCTTTGAACTACAAACTAAATACAGTATAAAAACCTTTTTTTCAACGTCTCCCTCTCTTCAAGGATAATGCCCCTTTCTTGGACCAAAGTATCCATCAGGAGCCAGTTCAGTAGCGTTTAACCAACCTGTCATACCACCATCGTAACCATTATACATGACAGTATTACCCCACCAGTTGATGTCCTTCTCGTGATACATGACAGCAAAGAAAATGATGATTGATGAAAAGGCAACACCAGCGTCCAATCCACACGAAAGTAAATAATTGTATTTTTGCCACCATGCCTCGTATTTGCCCCTGATATACCACATGAAAGCCAAGGATACGTAAACACCAGGAATGAAATAAGATAAGTTATAAGGTGCGTAGTTTAACATACCTCCAATAACAATTGTGGGCTCGAATGTCTTTACCAACTTTTTTGGACCCCATCTCTTTAAAGCGATACATGGGAACGCCAACAAAAATCCAATCAAAAAACACCATTGCAAAATTGGATACAAGTGACCAAAAACTTTCTTTGGACCAATAACACCCCAAAGGACAGAAGCGTTGTAGAATGTCCGACCGTTAACGCATGTAAACTTTTGTTTATTGTCTGGTTCGCAATAGTTCTTAATACCAGTGATTTGGAAGTTCAAAATAGCCAATTGGATAAACGAAGCAACTAAAATTGAAAGCAATTGGACTCTGTAGGTTGCACGTGGTGGAAGTTTGGCATAGTGACCTTGTTTCAAATCGTTGACAAAATTTTGAGCTTGTCCATCAATGTTGTAACCTAAAGCTTTGATGAATGCTAATGCCAAACCATTACCTGGAATGGCATAACCAACAATCAACTCAACCAAGACATTCAAACCAAACGAAAATCCAGTTCTAGCTGCAACAGTAGTCAATGGAATCAAAAAGACAAAATTGATACCCAAAGCAAAAAAGATACCCCAAACTGGAGTTTCAGCTGGATACACTTTGACACACAATATGGCCAAAACGATTGAGATGACCAAAATGCACATATACGCCCATTCAGGTACTTCTGGGTAAACTTTCATCATGACACTGTGTGGATCATTGAACCCTTCATAAGTTGATTCCCTAAAGTTTCTAAGTGCTGAACCCAACCCTTTCAATGCGTGCCACATTTGTTTGTACTGCATACCAAACTCATAAACAAAGTGGAATGGATAGATCGCAAAAAATGCCCCGTAAACAAACAAGTTTGCAGCAGAATAAAATGGAGGGCCAATTTCCTGATACTTTTCGTTATCAAACAAACTTTTATCATTAACCACAGCCCTAACACTGTAACTTTCACCGGTGTTTGTGTGAATAACATTCGAATTGATGGGCATATATCCCGTCCACTTGTAGTTTGAATACCAAAGACCGAGAATAGTAAAGAACCCAATAAACATACCAGTGATTAAATTGGTTTGGTTATAGAAAGGCACTTTCAATGGACTGTTCAAACTAATCATATTCCAATCAAAGGTGGGGATTGGATTGAGTCCTAATCCACCAATGAAACCAGTGACCACAGCAAGGTTTTGGTTATCAGGCTTGATCCATGCTAACCACGAAAAATAAGATAATGCTTGGAACAAGTAGTTAGGAACCCAAAAGTAAAGAAATGATGCAGCAAAAACAATGAAAAAGAATGAGTATCCTGAAATCTTCCATCCATTGATGTTTTGCTTCTTTGACTTGGTCAATAAAGTTTTATTTAAGGCAATGCCTGGCAAGATAATTGGCCACACTGCTTGGACAGGATAAACTGCAAACTTACGGATTAATCCCGCTAACCCAATACCCATGAAGTTTGTTGACAAGATCAACAATACTTGGTAACCAAAGTCAACCCATTTGTTGTCGTAAAACATTTCTAATTTCTGCATCAAGATGTTGGATGATACATATGACGTACCACCACCTGAAACCGAACAAAATATAGTGGCCAACATCTGCTCTTTATAAGTATATGGTCCAGGATTTAAGTCAATGACCCAATTCTTCCAAAGTTTAATTTTCCATTTAGGTAAGATCCATTCACAAAGTAAACCGCTAGGATATAAAAAGATTTGAACAACAGCAACAGCAAGTGAAATTGCAGGTTGTCTTTCGGTGAAAAATTGGTTAATAACAGCTCCAATAGCAGTCCAAATGATACCAATGAGATAAACTCTAAATGTTTCAGCAGGGATAGTTGGGTCATCAAATGGAAGAGTGATTGCTCTAATTTCCGGATATGGCGCCCAATAAGCAATCAATACAGCTTCCAATCTAACTTGTAGACTCCAGTCAACAATTTCAGGCTTACCAGTTGAAGGGTCAATAGAATCAACTTCACTTGCTTCGATTACTGATGTGTACTCGGGAAGTTTGTCCTTTTTATGGTCATCAGAGAATGACTCTGTTTTCTCTCCTCCTTGTAATTGCTGATGCAAGATTGATGGTTGGTAGTCAACCAACTCTTGCCATAATTCCAAATCGTGTTCCTTGATGTTAACATCATTCTTGTGGTCTTTTATGGCTTGTTTTAAAATTTCAACAGCTTCTTCGGTCGACATTTGCTCAATCTTTTCAAATATAAAAGTACACTCAGGTGGTAATTCATCAAAGCTAGTCAATGAGTCAAAATGCAACCGCTTCATAACAAAAATCTTTTGAGCGTCAGTTAAAGTGGTACCAACTTCACCCAAGGACAATGGATTGGACAAAACAGCATCTAAATTGACTTCATGGTCTTGTGCATCCAAGTGACTTCCAGTACTGTGAACGGATGTGATTGGATCCACACCACCAGACACTGTTGCTACCTTCTCAGTACTCATGTTTGGATCGATATTGCTGAATAAGGTGTGTAGACATATACACCCAACTATGACAGGAGGATTTTATCTCTATATATACGTAGATGCACGTCATAGAGTAAAACCATCCTTTCAAGTGTCTCCGCATCCGGCTAGTGGTCGTATGGTGAAGATCTGTATTGTTTTAAAACAATCATGCGATGTTGTACAAAGCAAAGCTTATTGTCTAAACTTCACTCAAAAAGAATGGTGCTCTCCATGCACGGCACCAAAAAAGGCACGAAAAATGATTCTTCTAGTGACCTTTTTAAACCCCTCATAGAAAACATATTGCATTGATTTATGTTCAACTATTCATTGTGGAGGGTTGCGCGTTTCAATAATTTTCTAAAATTAAGCTTTTGTCACACAAAGTTCAAAAGTTGATGAATGTAGTAATTTAGTACAATTTAAGCGCTTGAGCATAGAATGTGACAATGATCAGGCGCATCTTGTTTGGTTTGTAAGGATAAATTGGTTTCTTTTGGTTTTATAGAATGAACAATGTGCGTTGAATACACTTTTCCATGTGACTTAATATCGAAGGAACTTTGCTGTGGTTGGAGTCAGTGGTTCAAGAGAAGATTCTTACAGTGGCAACATGCTAAAGACTCCCAGCTACTCAAGGAAAGATTGTGCTTTTACTAAAAATGTGGGACACTAGCTCATAAACTTCTTGTGATCCTTCACATTTGTAACATAAATATAAATTGAAAACAAATTTAATCATATGGTCGTCTTCTGACAGTGAAAATTTTGTGATGTAACCAAATATCCCGCAAAGATTAAAATTTCTTTTTCTTTTTATTGTTCTTCAATTGTGTGAAGCTTTGGAAGACAATAGCCACCAGGTGTCAAAATTAAAACAGAGAGCTACTGGCAAAAATACCCCCGAAGTTGATCTCGGCTATCTTATGACTTTTCTTCCAAAGCGGATAACCTCAATTCGAGACCTGGGTAGCTACGTCGTTGATTTGTAAATCCTAACTCCATCATTGTTGTATGTATGATTATTTTCGTCTTAACCCTATTGGCAGATAACAATAGACAATAGAGATGCATTGTGGTAAAATGTTTATATTATGCATGGCCAAAGTTTATTCAATGCATCAAGTTCACCTCTTTTTTTAGCGTCCGTCAATGGAACATCTTTTCCGTATTAAAGTATTGAGTTTTTTCAAAATGTGACAAAAGTGCCGTACACACAAAGAGTGAAAAATCAATAACCTGCAAACCTGTCCCCTCACCTTTGTATCGCACTAAAGACGGCATTCGGTGCATGGTTTACAGAACGAATTGTATTCTGAAGAGTAGAGCTTAAATTATTGGTGATGTTTGATATTGCGCGTTTTCACATGATGAAATATTCTTACCGATATTACCTTGGTTAAAGAAAGGGTTGTTGTTCTAGGGGCTAGCACTTCAAAATCTTGGCTTATTACAGTGACTAAAAACACTCTTACTTATTAGAAATCAATCAACTATAAAACCTTAAATGGTGGTGAGTCTGCTAAAAATTTTATCAACGATTCGTACTTCAATCATCAGAATATACGAGGCGGAAATTGCCGAGAAAATAATGCCCCCACCTATCATTGTGACATAGAGATTCTCGTATAATAGAAATTCTTGTGCACGCTTTGTGTTCATCCCGAAACCGCAATTCCTTCGACGCCCCGTCAAAGCATTTAGCCGCGAATGAACGAATTTACCAAAATTAGGCATACTGATATAGTTTTAACATTACTAAGTTACAAGTTCTTGTCTCTTAAAACCGTGCATTACACGGCACTTTAGGTTTTTTTTTTTCTGATTTCAAACATGCAGAAATCGGGCCACCAAAGAAAGTTGCAAGGAAAAGTTGAAGCTAAATCTTCATATAAATGGGAAAGTTTACCCGTGATTTTACTTTGTTCACTAATTAAAGTAATTCGAACGTAAAGCTTCAATCTCTTCCTCGGATGAAATCTTCTGATTCAGTTTACGAGGAAAGCGATGTATAGAACTTGTAGTGGTTTTACTTTGACATTTGAATAGCATCCTTTGCAAAAAGCAGGAACTCTTGAAATCTCTCCAAAGTTTTGTTGCAAAATGAGACCAAAAAAAAAAAAAAACAGCCTGAACTTTTGTTTTTTACCGCATAAGTGCAAGTGTTTGATAGGGATGATCTGTATAGAACATGGAATGGTGGAGGTATCCCCCACTAACTCTTCGCAACTCGATATTGTTTTATGAAGCACACTCTCAAGCTTTCGTGACAGCAACTTCAGCTGGAATGCAAATCTCAAGTGGGAGTTGATGAAAAGAGTAACGGGTCACGTGCAAATATTTGATTTGTTTTGAGAAAGCCGCACCATTGGACAAGCCAATAAGTTGAAAGCTATTGTTTGTGAGGCAAGATAGTGGTTAGCTTCCACGTCCTTGTAACACTAATCTTCCAACGCATGAACGAGGTATTGTGCTCACCCTTTTCATTGTTGAAACAAGTGAGTGCAAACGAAGGCTCACAATCAGTAGTCTAGTCTATCTAATGGAATGCATCATGTAATACGTGTTAATTTTCATATCCTCGTTTATGTAGAAGGTGAGAAAACCAAAAAAAAGTTTATTTTTAGTCACGATTGAAGTCAAAGGAGTACAAGTTGTTGCCCGGGTGTAATCAATCCATTCAAGCAACATTGCTGATCTTATTAGATGACAGTGATTGTTACAAAGACTTAACTCGAAACACCAAACTCTTTGCTTTGATATCAATGTGGTTAATTTTATTCATGCAGATTAGAGTTAGCTCTAAGCGTTTGCTCTTCGCTTTTAAAGAGGAAAGCTTCTAAACTCTATCATTATCTCCCAGATTGAAGCTACACGCACTATTCTCTTTTCCTATTTATACTTTACAAGATCCGCCTTATAAACTACTCAGTGTGGAAGGAATTGACAGTTTGAAATAGCATTACCACACATACTGCATACAACCTTGTACAATGTAAACAACAAAAAAAAATCAAAACAAAACAACAGAGAAAAAAAATAGCACCAAACAAGAAAAATCAAAACTGTCAACTATAAGAAATCATACTTTGTCAAGAACCATTTCAGCTCCCGTACCACGCACTCACACAGATATCCACCACTACCAATCCATCTATCTGATCCCATACACCAACCAAAAGAGAAAGCCACAGTGATTCAATAAACTTCCCTTTGTTTATACACAGTAAAGTGTTCTTACTGTGTGTTTTTTTTACGGTCCTCCCCCTTATTTAATCCAACTTTTCGTCCTTCTTTAATAACTTTCGCCAATTTTATATTTTGTTCAAGCTTAACCCTCTAGCCAAAAACCGTTGTGTATACGCTTGTGCTGAGACCAAGATACTATTACTACCACTTTGTCCTTTCCCTACTCACCCTTTTGAGTTTTACATATCAAGAAACCCACTAAGTTTACCACCATGAGTAAGGATCCCGATGACTATAAAGAACCCATACCAGAGGACAAATTAAGATCAACTCAAAAAGCGCGCGAATTGGCATCCCCAATGCAGGCAGTGACCAGAAATGATGATGTACAAAACTATTACTATGTACGTCATCCACAAACATATCCAATTCCAAATACTGCACCACCATCGGATAGACGGTTAGGTGCGAATAGGCACTCGCGATCACATTCTCATAATTCTGATCAAAAGAACCCCAAAAATCGATTATTCCACCCACTTAGTCATAATGCTTATCAGCAGTATCCCACATATCCTATGAATGTTTCGTCCCCAAAACCTTCATCTGCTCCCCCACCATCACCTCAAATAAGACGACAACAACAACAACAGCAACATCCTAGCTCTAGCAGAAGTCCTTGGAACAATGAACAGCTGCATAGACCAACCGATTCACAACCAAATTGGACGACATTGATCCCGCCCTTGTCTGATACTCCAAGGGAATCGAATTCGGCTTTTCCCAATCAACAACAACAACCGCAGCCACAACAATTGATCAATGTGAGCTCAAGTAACGGACACCATACGCCAGATATGCAAAGACAAAGTTCTCGTAGAGGGGGATCATCATCACATAGATCAAACCTCGACCCATCTCAAAGGCACTCCATTGCCATATCACCAACACCTGAAAAGCAAGAAGCCAATGAGGAGATACGAGTCAATAAGGATCCGTTGCCTGCACCTGACCGGCAACCGACAATGTCTGGTAGATCCAAAACAAAGAAAAAGAGCCGAAAAGTGTGTCAGAAATGTGGACTTGAAATCACTGGTCAATTTGTACGTGCTCTTCAAAGTGCTTACCATGTCGATTGTTTCACTTGCCATGAATGTGGTAAACAGTGTTCAGCAAAGTTTTTCCCATTCGAAATTACACGAGATGGGACTTCGACACAAGTCGCTCTTTGTGAATACGATTACTTTAAGAAGCTTGATTTGATTTGTTTTAGTTGCAATAATGCGTTGCGTGGGCCTTACATTACTGCATTGGGCAACAAATACCATTTGGAACATTTCAAGTGTTCAGTTTGTCAACACGTGTTCGATTCAGATGAAAGCTATTTTGAACATGAAAATGATATATTTTGCCATTTCCACTATTCAAAGTTGTATGCGTCACATTGTGAAGGGTGCCAATCATCAATTTTGAAACAATTTGTGGAGTTGTACCGAGGTGGAAGGACTCAACATTGGCATCCAGAATGTTTTATGGTTCACAAGTTTTGGAATGTTTGCATCACTGCCGACTCTGTTGGATTGCAAAAAACATACGGCTTAGCTGACGAGAAACTAGCTGACTTGAGGGCTATCAAAATGTCGGATTCCAGTCTCAACTCAGAAAAGCTAGTGGGTATAGAGCAACACATTGAGCAGGTTGTAATGAATTGCTGGTTGATGTTGTCTGGGTATGAACAGAGCACTGCCGCATGTATCTCCGATATGCTTCTTAATGCGTGCACAGGAAATAAATACAACGGTTTAATCGTCACTGGTAAGTTGATTTTAAATGTTGAAATTTTGTTTCGTGCTTTGGATTACGTATTGCAGCAATGCAAAGTGGCATCAACAACACTTGTGGTGAAGAATGACCTGCCCGAGCAAGAACATCTGGACTCTTCAGTAAATGAAAACGAATATTTCCAATTTTTGAAAAAGGAGCCAAGAAACATCACAGGAAAGATTATGAGTTACTTGGCCATTTTGAGAAAATCAGCTAGTATATCCAAATCTGGAACTTTATCAGCAGAGTTGTTGTCTGTTATCACTGGGTCTGCTCACTATTTGAAACTCTTGATACGAATTGGTTTGTATAATGCATTAAAGTTGAACAAGTTGAACGGAACCACTGATGCATTGAATCATTTTTTACAACTCGTTTCAACGTATGAGATGATTGAGTCGAATAAACTTAAGAGTATTGAAGACTTGGAAGAGTTTAAAGCGAAATTGGCCGTTCCTCTGAGTTCGACAGACGCTTGTACTGCCTGCTCCAAAAGTATTGAGAAATCATGTGTCAAACTTGGTGACCACAGGTGGCACTGGAAATGTTTTGTGTGTTTCAGGTGCAATCAACCCATTGGTCAATCGGAAGTTGGCCTAGCCCGTTTTGATATTGCACGCCAATCTATCGTTTGCCCACATTGCTATGATGGAAGTGGAATAACTGGGTTTGAAATAGTAACCGATTTATCTCAATTGGTTTATCTTTTGAAGATTGCTTTGCTACGGTCACGCTCAGTGATGAATATTGAGTTCAATAACCTTACAATCGGACCAAGAGTGGAAGAATCAGAGCTTTTGCAAACGCCAAACAATCAACACGAACAAGATGATTATAGCAAAACTTTGGATGATGTAACTAGGCTAAGAAGTAAAAGACAAAGCCAGAAATTGTCGCAATCGGTTAAAAAGAAGGCAAGAAAGTCGGTAATCATCACGGCTCCTGAGGGTGACCAAGCGCACCAAGATGAAGTTGATATCTCAAAGGCTGGAGATAGTGGTCTTTCTGCTGATCTAAGAGATATGGCAATTCAAGCACAACCTCCACCACAGTTTGGAAGGAAAACAAGTAGTGGGTCGCAACTCTCCTTTGATGGAAAGGAAGAATTATCTGTCAAAAAGCAGCTACAAATTAGAGATGAGCCTCAACGACAAATGACATCAACACACCTCGATCGTACATCTGATTTATTAAAAAACGAGAAGTCATTAACTTTGGACGACATTCCAAGAATTGTAGCCGCTGAGCAAGCTCGTGATCAAAGACCCAATGCTTTTAAGCATCAAAATAAGCTATATCAAAGAACAAGTTCCCATAAACTCAAGGGTAGTGGACACAGTCCTATACAAACTACCCCCAGTAGTGCCTTAGATCATATTTTGAACACTACCACTGCCCCTGGTAACGAGATTCCCACTGTTGGCAAGCAAAAATTTTATTCTGAGTTGACCAAACGGGAGCATTTCATTATGAGGCATATCGCCGTTGCGATTCTTTGCCAAATGAGTCATGACAAATTCAACAAGGATGAATTGATAACGATGATTCAGTTGAAGAAACCGCCGACGTTTTGGGAAAAGTTAAAATTTGGTGGCGGTGGTGCATCAAAGGACAAGGTCAATGCGGTGTTTGGAACAGAATTGAGCATATTAACTAAGAAATATGGAGTCGATTCAGACCTTGGTGTTGGACCTTCAAAGTTGAGAATCCCTATTGTTATCGATGACGTGATTAGCGCCTTGAAGCAAAAGGATATGTCAGTTGAAGGAATTTTCAGATTGAATGGTAATATTAAAAAACTTCGCGAGTTGACGGAACAAATCAACAAGAGTCCATATAAATCACCAGATTTCAGTGCTCATACTGCGGTTCAGCTTGCTGCGTTGATGAAGAAATGGTTGCGTGAGTTGCCCACGCCATTGCTAACATTCAACTACTATGATTTGTGGATTTCCTCACAAATAGAACCAACCCTCGAACTGAAAAAGAGGATCCTCCAGCTTACATATTGCTTACTACCTCGTGACCACCGGAATCTACTTGAGGTTTTGCTTTACTTTTTCAGTTGGGTGGCTTCATTTTCTGAAGTGGATAAAGATACTGGATCCAAAATGGATGCACACAATTTAGCCACTGTTCTAGCTCCAAATATTCTCATATCAAAACAATCACAAGGTCAAAATGATCAATCTGGGGATGCTTACTTTTTGGCTATTGAAGTTGTAAATCAATTGATCGAGCAACATGAGGAATTAAGTATTATACCACCGGAATTGATGAAAATTTTCAATGCTTGTGGGTTTGATGGATTAGAGAAGGATCTCACAACTAAAGAGATATTGAATCAAATTGAAGCAACTTTGAAAGAAGATGCAAAGTGATGTTATAGCTATAATGTACAAAATGTATTATATAAATGGGGGTGCAAAAACTTAGTGTCGCAAAATTCAGCGACAAGTCCATTTTCTCATTGTCTCATTTTACGATTTTTGTTTTTTTCTTTTTCTCTCTGTGCGTTCTCTTGCAAAATGACTACCCAACCCGATTTATCTTGACCATCATTTGATGAGAATACAACTACACCCGCTTATCCCGAATACAATTACACCATGTCAGCACTCACATCAGACTCACTAAAGCAAATAATCCAACAACGTCTAAATGCAGAACTCGTTCAAGTCGAAGACATGTCAGGAGGGTGTGGACAAGCATTTGCGGTTGTTATTGTATCATCGCTCTTTCAAGGCAAGAACAAATTAGCAAGACATAGGTTGGTCAATAGCCAGCTACGAGATGAAATTGCTTCAATCCATGCGTTTACGCAGAAAGGTTACACGCCTAGCGAATGGACCGAGCTTGGTGGAAAGATATAATAATAATAAGTGGACATAGCGTGATAGTTAGATTAGTCTTCAGAGGGTGTATACTGAGAAAAAGCAATGTAATTTAATGTATAAATTCTAAGTAATTTTAAAAAGGCTTCATGAATGTAGTAAGCCGTCGAGTCCAATCTCTATGTCGGTTTTTTGCAGTCTCTGTTGTATTACCCACACACAACCATTTAAATCAAATTCCTCTTGTAACCTCTCGTGTGCTTCTTCATAATTACCAACCACAGCACCAAAAGCACAGCAAATATAATAATGATCATAATCGGATACGCTTTTAGCCCGCCGTCACTAGAATCAGCCATTAAACCAATCAAGAATGGAATTCCAGCAGCACCCCCACCACCTAAAGCACAGATGAAGCCGATACCGACAGTTTGGAATTTTGCAGGTAAAATATTGACCAGTGCAACAATTGTAGTGGGGAATATAGGACCAACCATAGCTCCCGTCAAGAATACAATTATAAATAGAAGACCTACTTGTTGCGTGAACGATAGGAGCCAAAAGAGCACATACCCCAATAACGAACCGACAATGTATGCAAGATTTGCCATCAACTCAGTAGTGAAATAATGTGCCGTGACAAAGCCTAGAGCGCATCGACCAACTGTGAGTCCAAACCAAAAAGTGGTTGCAATGTGTGATGAAGCCTTGTATGTCCAGTTCTTAATTCTTAAAAGGTAGGTAACCAACCAAGCACCAAATGCAACCTCACCACCGACATAAATGAAAAGAATTCCCGCGAACCCCCATATGAGCGGCAGTTTCACAGCTTGGGCAAAAGTAGCTGAGTGTTCTTCATCCTCTTCGTCGTCCTCGTCAATTTCAAAATTTGTCTTGTTGATGTCATCGAGTTCAACTTCATTTGGATCTGCACCATCCTGTAGCTTGTTCTCTTTGGACTTTTGGTGCCTTAACTGCGCCATGTACTTGTACTTTTTTGGTGTTTCGAATCTAAATGTATATCCAACTAAAACGAGCACAGTTGCACCAAAGGAAGCTACCAAAAGATAATAAGTATTCCAATCCCACGGACTGCTAGGCTTCTCCAAGAGATATGTGATTAAACTAGGTGAAACCAAACTTCCGATACCATAACAACCATGCAAGATCCCCAACAATTGGTTCGAATCAACTAAATTACCCATCCATGCATTCAATGATGCATCCAAAGCGCCGAGACCCACTCCATTCGAAAAATAACAAATAAGAAAAATAAGAAAAGGTGGTTTAAACGATGCACTCAAATTTCCCAAACACATTGCCGAGGCACCCAATACCGCTACCCCTCTGATTCCCAACTTATCATGAGTCTGGTTGTTCACAAAGGCCATTGTCAAGTAGCCCAAGACGGAGCAAAAGAATATAAAACTAACGTGCAAGTCACTAAGATGATAATGCTCTTGTAGTTTGGGAATCAATGTTCCAACAGTTTGCTCATTTAATCCAAACAAGATGAAAACGAAGTAAGCGGAAACGATTTGAATTTGTAGTAGTCTCGAATGCCTCCAGTTGTTTGTGTCTATAGTGAGTATTTCCCCTTCAAACTCCACTTTTTGCAATGTTGTGAAGCTGGATGGATCAGATACTTCATTGTTGTCGGTGTTTTCGTTGATGAGCTCGGAGTAGCGCAGATTAGCTTCTACTGACATGAATGGAGACTTCTAGGCAATTTTCGAATAATTACTGAAGAAGTGTAGTGAGTGGCTGTATTCTTTGTCCGTCCTTGAATTTAAAGTGCAATTGGTTTTCTTTTCTTTCATTTTTTTTCATTTGCTTTCGGAATAACTTTCGCTAAATCAACCCCTTAGCAAATTTGCGACATTCTTACAAAATGTGGAGAAAGGATGCTTCCACAGTACATCTTTTCTTCTATTGGAAACGTTCTGTGCTCCCCCGGCATTGCTTGGCTGATCTTTGACCTAAAATTACACTGTTTGGAGCCACAATATCTTCAATAGGAAGATTAAACGTCCATAATTTGTACAGACCCGAGAAGGAGTAACTTGCAATGAGCACCATCACTTTAATGGGAGTACCCGGTGCTCACTCTTCTTATTTGGGGTGTCTCGGCCCAAACCTAAAAGTGTGTCAATCTGTTCCGAAGCTTCATTCGGTTAGTTATCGGTAAAACTTCGTTCCGAATCGGATGCAACTTTCTTTCAACAAAACAAAAAAAGCTTTCAAAATTTCGAAAAAAGTATAAGTTACCATCATGTAGCTATGAAACATGAAAATCGAATTTGAAAAGGTCACCACAAGGCCCAGACAATGCAGCTACAGGATACTAATCTATTCAAGCCTATAGTTATTGGAAATGATGTCCGATTGAGCCACAGGGTGGTGCACTTACCAACATCGAGGTCTCGATCCACAAATGATGGAGAAAATTTTCCAACCGATTTGATGGTCGATTACTACGATTCCAGAAGTAAGGTGAAGGCATCATTGACAATTTTTGAGTCAACCTTAGTCTCACCTAGAAGTGGGTTGATGCCATATAAATCAGGAGCATGGAGTTTCGAACAATGCAAAGCCCTAAAGCTAATAACTGATAAAGTTCACGCAAATGGATCCTTCATTTCGTGTCAAATATTTGCACCAGGACGCACATCAAATGTACACTTGCTAAAGAAGAAGGGGCTTCCTTTTGCTGCCCCTTCGCCCATATATCACTCCCCAGATCAGGCAAAAGCTGCAAGGAACTTGAACTACCCCTTGCAAGAGTTGACCGTTAAGCAAATACATCAGATTCAGCAAGACTTTGTAACAGCTGCATCGAATTGTTTGACGGTTGCTGGGTTTGATTTTGTTGAGCTCCACGGAACTTCGGGATTTTTGATTGAGCAATTTCTTTCCCCCGTTTCCAATATGCGGAATGATGAGTATGGTGGGTCAGTTGAAAATAGGTGCAGGTTTTTGATTGAGATTATCGAGATGTTTATCAAACACCCTAGTATAGGATGCACGAGATTTGGGGTGAGGTTAAGCGCTTGGTCAACCCATTTTGGAATGATTTACCCACATGATGAGTACCCCATTGATGAAACTTTTCCTCCTTTGCTTTATTGTCAACATGTGTTGTCTTATTTAGAGGAACTTAAACAATCTGGTAACGAGATCGCTTACGTTTCAATCCAGGAACCACGTGTGTCAGGATCGCTCGATCAAAATCCATTGGGTAGATCAAACTCCTCATTACTACTGAAATGGTCTGGTGTTATCATAAGAGCTGGTGGGTACGCCACAAATTATAAAGGAGATCCAAGCTGTATTGCCTCAAACAACTCCAACTTGTCCATTGTTGATGGTAAAATCCAGCATTACTCGTCATTAATTCAAGACGTCAATTCTGATGACCGAACAGTAATTGGATTTTCAAGACCGTTTACTTCCAACCCTGATCTCATCGAGAGACTTCGAACGAATAAGAAATTGGATTTGTATCATCGAGAGTATTTCTACACACACGAATTGGAAGGATATTTGACCTTTGGAGAATACGTTGATGATGAGCTCTACTCGAATACTTTGAAATTGTCACAAAGGGAGTTACACAGACAGGGAAAGTCACTCGCCATTAATGGCGCATGTAACAGTGAATTAAGTGTATAGACAATGCAAATCGCACAATCGAGGAAGGGAGGTTATCCCTTTTGAAGTAAAGTATAGAATGCATTATTTTGTGTGCATAATCTCTCAAGCGGGAGTTATTGTAGCTCTGGTACAGCAATCTACACGTGACCTCTTGCAGCGCGTTAAAGGTGATTTATCATTTTTTCTTGTTTTTACGCGACAAAGAGAATGTAAATAGAATACTCACAACTACTCTTCACACATTCGAGTTGTCTTTACAATATTGATTCATCGACCCCATTACTTTCGCAGTTCATGTATAGTGTTATAGGAAAGAAGATTGCCAAGATACGAAACAAAACACAACAGTGATATCGTATTGGGAAAAAAAAAATAGCAATGAGTGATATCTCCGATTCTGATGAAGAAGAGAGGAGATCACTCGATGTGTCACTAATATCGAGACAGATTCTTCAAAGAAAACTATCACACCTCCCGAATAGGAAACGACAAGCCTTAGAAAATGCTTTGGGGAGATTCAATACCTCAACTCCGCTCGATGTACTAGCTGAGGAAGATGAAGTTGTTGAAGATAGCGATAAGGAAGCCCTGATGGAAGTGGAGCACATACACAGCGGAACCAGCCCAAAACCTTTGGAAACCGTTCCTATACATTTTGAGAATGAAGAAAATGCAGGGCACCTACAGGCGTACATTAACTCCAAGTACCTGACTTTTGTGTCCGAAAGGAGTTTGAGAAAACGTAACTTTGCTAGTACGCATCCTTACTTATCAGATCAAGCATCCTATTTGGGACTAGCAGATGCACACGAGTTGAACTCTGTGTATGAAGAGAATGGCCAGAACCTTGAAGCTGTTGTGAAACTTTTAAATTACAACTATTTGAGGCTAAAGAGCAAATACCCTAAAGATGAAAAATTCAAGCAAAAAAGTTTTTACGCCATCATAGGGAAGCAATCAAAGGAGGCTCAACAAGAGGAACAACAAAAAGAGAGGGGGAGTGTAGGGTCAGGTTTCAATGGCGATGTCGAATTTACAAATGAGATGAATCCAAGTACCCCCACTTTAGACCAGCATTTAGAATCTTCCCAATTACTGGATGATGTGGCATATGATGTCAACAACTACGAGTCCGAGGCAGACATTGATTTAGATACTGAGCTGTACTCTAGTTCTGATGAAGAAAATGAGAAAGAAAATTTATATGTCAGGGTTGGTGGCCGATACAGAAAGGAAAAAAATGCTTTGAAGGGAATATTACCTGAATCTGCTAAGCACCTACCTATATACCAAGCAAAATTTTCACGGCTGGTTCAAAAAGCTAAACCCCAGCGTGCATTCAAAAGGGGAGTTGCCATCAAGAAAATAGGGAGCAGGAATCGCTCATTTCGGTTGCATGATGATTTCGAGGACACTTTTTTAAACGACGATGACGCTGAATACGTATCACCCGAAAATTATGTTACGAATGACTTGCTAGCGGAGCAACATGATTTATCGCAATCTCGTGAAACAACTTTGTTTCACGATTCGGACATATCAGCTAGCTCTACATCAGAGACGGAGTCAGACAGTGATCTAGATCTATTTTCATTCAACGACGATGAGCGTTATGCCTTACAGAATACGAACGATGTTTTGGGTGAAGCTCTTGAGAATGACGTAATCGACCGTATGCTCACATCCACTGCGCACTCAAGGCTGGGACGAATAAAATTAACGCCAAAGATCAAACCCGGAAGCAGAGGCTATCCGTATGACATTGGTAGACAAAACGGGACTCATGTGACAAGCAAGAATTCAGCTCGGAGGTCGATAACTCGTACTGCCAGAAGAAAGTCGAGTTTGGGTCATGCTAGAAAGCAGCATGATGAAAATATTACTTGGACTGCACGCTCTGGGTATAATACGATTGATAACTTCGCGTCATCAGTTGACGAGAGATCCAGTATGAATGTAGCGGAACATTCACTAGGGGATGTGGCTGAAAACGAGAGAGCGCCTACTGCTCGTGTTGCTTCGTTTCAAAGACAAGCTAAACCCAAGTCCTTCACTAAAGCACTATTCACAGGAACTCGTAAGCTTATTAAAAAGAAAGAGAAAAACTGCGTTGCCAATCAAGGATTGATCGAAAGCTATTTCGGACCGTCAACTATAGGATCTAGAAGCCGCGGTGATCGAGCACCACTTTTAGCATCTGTTGACATTGAGGCTGAAAGTCGTGAACAAGGATTTTATCAGTTACGAAAGCGACCAAAAGTTTTCAATCATTATTCCAATGATCAATTGCAGTTGTCTCATGAACCTACGTTTGCTCCAGGATGTTTACTCAATGATATTGAATTGATGAAACTCGGTAATACCGGGGACGGTAAAACATTCCATCGTTTTGAAGATCCAATTTCAGTTGTGTTCGAAGAGAAGCATTTCCAATTGTCCTTGCTTGACATTGATGGTTCAAGGGAGCTGGCAGACCAGTTGTGCTTGCTTTTGAATTCAGAGATTGTTCGGGGTACAATTCGTAAACGGGACTTTTACCACTGTGTTGGGGCATTGATAGCTTGGACCTTGATTCTCCAACGCTCTCCTTCGGAGTCAGATTGGAGTTGGGTCAATACAATGGTTGCTTCGCTTCGGGACAGTTCAGTGATGAAACAAAGTGACAAATTCTTTTGCCTTCCATACATGGTTTTACTTCAGTACAGTATGCTGATTATGGGTCTTATAAATGAAGGAGTCAGTAGAAGGCAAAATATGGCTGTTTATGGAGTTTCGTACTGGTCTTGGTTTTTTTCCATGGCAGAAAGTGTTCAATTTGAGATGTTGGATTTTCGTGGAGGTTCTGCAAACAAGCAAGCGGAGTCATTTTATGTCATGTGCAGGTTGTTAGAGTTGCAAGGGGTTTGGTGGTCCTCGATTTGCATGTCTGTGCAAAGTTATAATAGATACAACTTTTATGACCTTTTAGAAAGCGTCTTTTACCTTTGTTGTATAACGAGAAAACAGGCCACATGGGAACCATTGCAATTGGTTTTTCAAAAGTTTAACGACACTACTGATTTAGGACTATACTATCGGTACATTGAGATTGTCTTCAGCATGAACCGTATGAGGAATTGGAAAATCGATGATAAATTGATTCTACAGGTGTATGGAAACATAACATCACGAAGGTTTGCCAATTTTCCAGATGAGGACTATTTTCTCTGTGTGCTTTCGCAAGTCAGGTCACGATTTGATATACCAGGAGATTCGTTCTTTAATAGGTTTTTGCAATTACTATTTTGGCATATTTCATCACTAACAGATGGTTCCCAAGTAAAGCGACTTGTAACGAAGTTGCTATCATTCAACACAACACAATACTCAAACTCAAAAGAGCAGCGGGCCATGTTTTGCAATAAATTTAACTTGTTGATCTTGTTGAGTCTGATTTCTAAGACCAATTTGAGGACACAAGTGGAGATTCTCATATCATCCCTCAATGACATTACCGACTTAAGCTTTCTCAACCAAGCAGTGGAAGGAATTAGCGTTGTGTTTGAAATCGCCTTGTCTAAAGGGGCTAGACTTCCAACAGAGGGTGTGGATATAATGACAAGCAAGTTAGCATCGATGGCGTTTTCCACTCCCGGGGTTTTGAAATTGTGGAAAAAGTTTCTACGCTTTTTGAGATCCCGAATTGAAAAGTCACAAGTAGAGCCACCGAGTTTGATTCAGATGTTATTACTAATCAAGCAAATGAAAGTGGAGTTGCCAATAAAACTCAATATAGATATTGCCGGAATCGGTATGTCTATTGGTGAGCAGCTCCTTGCACTCAAAGGAAAGCTAAGGAATCCCTTGGTGATGAAAAGTCTCAACACCGTGAAAGAGAAATCACTTGACACTGCCAGTTCGTATATGCACAGGCTAGCGAATGGCAATGAGTTTTCAGAGATGAGTGATAAATTGATTTGTGATTGTATCACAATCTGGATTTTGGTGTCTCACCTTTTGGACGAGAACGGGGATAAACTAGTGCTACAAACATATCCATTTATAGGGAACGAACTGGTGCGAGGTCGTTATGTTTTCCACTTTTATATGGAAGTGTCGAGGTTTTACAATTTGAATAATTGCAAGCAATCTGTTGTTGTCAATGTCATTCAAGGATTGGCCTCTTTTAAGACACCTTTACGACTTTTTGAATTTATTGATCGCTTGAGCGGTTTAGGATGGGTGTTATTTTCCTTCCATAGGTTGAGAAATGTGCCTGATAATGACTTGATCAGCACTAAATTCGGTATCTTGAACAACATGCTCAATCGCTCGAGTACTTGTGACTCGCCGAGTGAATTGAATATGATGGTTTATGAGGTGCTAAAGAGTATCAAGAGGGAAAGTAACAATTGCAGTAATGCTGCATATAAGGACTCTTGTATTACCTTGTTCAAAGAAATGACCTTTTATACCCTTGATAATAGAAATGGGGCCCTTTTAACTGAAATAAGATCATTGTTGGGTGTCGAAGCAGAGGTGGTGAACAATGCGCATCAGCTACACCACGATTTTAATGATGGTCTTGAGCTAGACGACGAGTTTAATCTGGGTGAGCATGAACCCCATGTTCTCGCCAGCATGGAAGAATGTAATTCCAGATTGCGTGGTTTGATGGAAATGGAAGACAAGAGCGAAGTCGGAAAGTGGAAAAGTATTTACAAAATTTTGTTTAAGTACAACCTGGCTATTTTTCGACATCGGTCCCAGTTTTCGACCAAGACTTTCATGGAGGTATTCAATATTTTCAAGAATGCATTGGATGACGAAAGTACTTTTGGGGAGGCAGAAGAGTACAAGGTTCGTGCATTTTCCCAAATTTGTGCCATATTGGGTTCGACTCGGCATGTTTTGTTTGAGGGTTATTGGGTGCCTTCAGATTTAGAGTTTATGTTCAAGGAGTTTGAACAGAAATTAAGAAAGGCTTTCCCTTTTGTGGCTACATCGATTCCATCAGAGAGTAGTGTTGACGGTGGAAAGCTTGACCCAGAACAGGAGCTTATTCAAGTGTTTCGCCAAACATTCTCCGGCTACACAACTACAACTGACGAAGTATATACCAAATTTGATCTTGAATTTTAAAAATACATATACAATTATTGAAGTCCTCTTTGGCTCCTGATTAATGAAATTTCTGATTCTAGTTTGTCTTTGGCCTTTTTCACATCCAACAAAGTCACCACAGTCCTCAAGAGTTCATCGTACTTTGCCATTGTCTTCCTCGTGGGCATTATTGGCTTGACGGCACTTCCACCTGCAGTAGGAATGTCTAGCTCTTGCATAAGTGCTGCGGCCATTTTCAAAACAGATTGCTTCTGTTGCAATCCCAGCAACCTCTGCTGAGATCTCAAGGTGACACCAGGGGTCAACTTTTCAGTACCATGATAATACAATCCATACGCTTCCTCCTCTTTTTGTGTGAGCCGTTTCAATAGTAATTGGTGGATAGCATTTGCATCTTGTTTGATTGCTGAACTTGTGTGATAGTTTTGTTTCAATAAGCTAGAAAGATACTGCTGTAGTTGAGTTTGAAAGCCACGATCCCGTTTGTAAGATGATGATGCAGCCAAAGGTATTGGTGGTGGTATAGGATCCTGTGCAACTAGCTTCTGTTGCTGTTGCTTCTTCTTCTGGTGTTTATCGTATGCCAAAAGATTGCTGTACAAGTTGGCAATGCCTTGTGATGACTGAAATTGAGCAACGTTTTGGGTAGATTGCGGAGAGTCTAAAAGTCCCAACAAGTTGGATCTCTCCATAAGCATCTTTTTTGCTGCCAATTCGAACCTTCTAGCTTCGATGACTAGTGACTCCTCTTCTGCAATTTCTGCAGGGGTCCTGAGAAGAAGATTTTCGAGATACTGCTTCCTTTCAATCTCTTTCTCTTTGGAGTATGACCTGATAGAATCTATGAGACTCTGGTTTTTTATTTCTTGTCGAGAAAGAATCTTCTCGCAAACATTGTAAAAATGCTCCTTAAGATCCTCTGTTGAAAAACCTCCGCTTGGAAATCTATCCTGTATAATTGGCCACTTTAATTCAAATGATTTGCAAAGGTCAAATAAAGTTCGAGTTTCTTGGTAACTCCACTCTTTGAAATGAGACGATTCGTTGATGTCTTCATGCTCCTTGTCTTTCAAATCTCCCTCTGCTGATGTATTGACAATCGTCCCATTCTCTGCTTTATCATGTGATGTTTTCTCCTCTTTCTTGTCCTTTGTAGTGTCGTTTTCTTTTGATGTGATGTGCTCGTGTTCGTTATTTTTTGGTTGGTTCTTATTGTTGTCGGTACTCAGTTTTTCTTGTCGACTTTTCTCTTCAGCCTTACTTTGCTTCTCATCCACGAGGTCCTTCCAAATCTCTGTGTAAGTCTCTTCGTCCACCAATTCAGGAATATCTATATCCACGTTGAATCTTTCAAAATAGTACGGCTTCAGGGACTCCTCCACCAGCGCATGTAAATTTTCGGATCCTTTCACCCAATGCTTCAACTCGATCCCATCTGTTTTTGCCTTGAAAATCAATCTTGTCCACGGACTTGGTCTAAACCCTTTTCGATCCTTGGTATTTTGGGTTGGCGTTAGGCCAAGTGAAGGCGTGTTAGGACCCACAAGATTGTACAACTCTCTTGCCATTCCCGTGAGTGGTTTCAGTTGACTGCCGTTGCCTGCGGCACCCTCTGACACTGCTGGGGACAATTTCTGCTTTTTGCGAGCTGGAAGTTCATCTCGTTGAATTTCGAGAACATCTAGTACGTCGTTGGCTGACATGAGGGCTCTGACTACCTTTTAGGAATAGAAGTCGTGTATTTTTTTTTGTTCTTCTATAGATTTTGTTGATTCTTAAAGTGGCGCTACCGAAACATCACTTTCATCTCTATGCTATATAATGATATACGTTTCTGTCATTCGCATCTCTCTCCAAATACTCCTTGTCAATAAGATCCTCGATCTGCTGCTTAATCAGGACCACCAGTGGTTGAAACCTATTGCTCAACTGTTTGACTAAACCCTCAATCAACTCGTTATGCTTGACAGTTCTTCTAGATTTCAATATCCTCACTATGGCGGCATTGATTTCAATCCTTCTCCCTTCTGAAATGTTTGCATTTACAGCGTCAGTTTCTTCTTGTTCTTTTGATTTTTTGTTCTTACCGCTTGCAGTTGAGGATGCTAGGGAAACAGTTGGGACCTTGACTTTGACGGTAGGTGACTTAAATTTATCATTCAAGCGGAAAACATCGTCCTCTTTGATATCTTTGCTCATTGGTATTTTGATCAACAATCGCAGCTTCGGCGCAACAGCTATTGACTGCAAGTGTCGCTTAAGTTCTAGACTGGGTATACCTGTTAATTCGACAATATCACGGTAAGAATACTCCTTTGTCTCTTCAAATGCCAGGTTAGGTTCTCCATCCAAAGACAGGCCTGGTGCGAATAGTAGCATGATTATTGCTGAGTACACTGACAAATTAATTTCGTATGTTTTCGATGGATAAGTGATTTTCAAATCAATAGATCCAAACTTGGGTGACCAATAGAGTGACTTATTATCGTTCTTTTTTCCTGAGAGCCAAAACTCTTCAAACTCACGTATTGTTTCCCTCAATTGTCTTGGCCATTTGAAAGCAAACTCCTCGCCATCTGGTTTGCTACTTTTGTAATCTTTTGTTAATGAATTTGGCCAAACTGAAACGTTACAAATCTTCAAGTCTAGTTCAATCAAAGACAGCAGCTGTTCAACCTTTGACAAATGATTTTTCCAGTCCCGAGTGGTGTCTCGCGAAATCTTAATATCCTTGTTCATTTTTATAACTTTATCCAAAGACGAAGACCCCAATTCTTCGCACAATTTGGAAAGAAGCATTTCTTCGATATCGCCACTCTTCAGAGCTCCAATAGTTGAACCCTTTGCATTTAAAAACCTTTTGGCGAAATGGTTTGCGTAGTAAGCCTCAAAAGCGTCCTTGTCTTTAATGAATCGAAGTAACTGCACAGATTTGTTCATAAGTATTTCAGTTTGATCACCGGATTGAGTTGACAACTCCTTCCCTGTTGAGCCTTTGCTTAATTGCTTTATATGGTAATCCATGTAGATTGATAGTAGATCGGGAGCATTAATTGAGGTTGCTGAATTTTTTCCTTTTGTCCCGTTGATGAAATCTCTCATTGCATAGGTTAAAGTCTGTTCAACGACAAGATTTTGATCAAATGACTCTTGCCAAATTTCGAGCATGGACGATCTATATTGTAGAACCGCATCCACCCATTTGATCGCAAATGTCGTTTGGGACGAAGAACCTCCCTTCTTTTCAGGTCCTGCGACCTCCACCGTTGAGCGAATAATATCCGGAATCGAACTTCCTTGAGCGACAATTGCTTCCTTCAATCTAAGCCTCAAAAGCTGATACTCATCATCAATTCTACCTATAAGCTGATATAGTATTTTCAACTCAGTTCGGTGATTAGAATCTTGAAAACCGGAATCCCTGGTGATATTTGCCATCACTGGTTGAAGCCAATAATCAAGTCCTTCTTGTTGCAGTTGTATCACTTTGTCTATCTTGTCTTTTATGAAAACACTGTCCATCAAGGCAGTTAACTTTGCATGTGTAGTCTGAGGTAATAAAAACTTGATACGTTTCTCCTCTTCATTGATGAATTGGAACGTTGCATGCAAATATTTGGAGCCCAGGTTGAATGCAATGAAATCTTTAGATAAGTTCAGAAAAAAGTCGTTTGAGTTTTGCAAAAGTAATGGCTCAAACACGGTTTGGTAGTAATTGTCACCATACTGTATCTCAGATGACAAATTACTCTCTGTCAACAGTTCCATCATGTTTATGATCTTAGTGATGTACATACTCGATGTAACCACAATTCCCGTTCTGCTTTTGCTAATTTCATCAAGCACAATGTGTATCATTCGAGAACCGATTTCGTTGTCATTGTACAGCACCACATACTCTTTGAATAATTGAATCCCCAAGTCATAAATCAAAAGCTTCTTGTGCTCCTTTACATACACACGATTAAGATACATCAACACATCACTAATGAACTTCATGCTTTGCAAATGCTCGTCCCATTCTTGAGTTAGCAAACGCATAAATTGCTCGGGACTGGACCTAAGGCTCGCTAAACGAGATCTTTGTTCTAGCAAATGTTGCTTTACTGTATCGGCGACATTGTCATATAACTGGCCGCCAAATTTCCTCAACACCAAAACATATGCTTTACGATATAGTTGTTCGTAGGATAAACTTGACACATTCTTGCTTTGGATTTGAGTAATTGCATTCTGCAAAATCGACCAATTTTTGGCGAAATCGTCGGCAGGATCAGTAATAGGATCTTCGGAAGAGGTTGAGGAGCTGATCAACGACTTCCTCGGTGGTCTTATTTTTGATCTTCTTCCTCCTGCTGGGATCATTTGTTTCTGTTGCGTGGGTGGCGCTGGGCTCTCGATGTAATTTGAAAAGTTAATGGCAGACGTTGAGCTAGCGCGACCTCATCAATAAAGACGAAGTCTCACAAAAGCGGAAATTGTGAAAACCCATAAAAATTGTCACCTTTAGAAGAGACACATTATGATTTTATAATAACAATATACCATTATTTTTGAGTAGGACTTACGCTTATTACAAGTGTAAATAGCGCTCAGAGTGGAAGAAGTTGGGCAGAAGTCGTATAAGTGAGCACTTTAAACTTTGATCGCTTTCCTGTTGGACTGGCTCCACTAGAAAACTCTCCAATACTGTAGCCAGAGATATGGACTACGTGGCATATTATATTTTCCTAAGCTTGAATGTGAGAGCATCCCCCTCTCTATGCTTTTAGCGACACTTCAATAGTGTTACAAACCTTTGTTCAACGTAATCTACTTTCTGGATTTCCTAATATTTCTAAAAACCCTGAGCTGTTTGAAAAACCATTGCATGATATACTCAACCAACCACAAGGGGTAGTATCTGCTAATAAAATGTAACGTGTATCCACTGCTTCCCGCATACAAGTTGAATTTGTTCAGTCTCTTCAACACTTTTCGAGCCACATCTCTAGCATACAGCTCTGCGCTGACCCCGTTTCGCACACTCATCTCCTTTGCTGCCTTTCCACTCTCAATTGCTCCGTCGACATTGTACAATGAGTTTCCAAATTGCTTTTCAGCTTCTGCAACTGTCTCCTCAGCTCCAATTTGCGTATTTACCCCTCCTGTTATTACACTGTGGACTTTAACACCAAATGGTGCCATTTCTCCGTGTAATGTTTGAGCGTATGCATCAATAGCTGCTTTTGTTGCACTGTATATACTAATCCAAGCAAGAGGAACTCTAGCTGCCACAGAACTAGTAAAGATTATTGATCCTTTTGCATTGATGACAAATGGGGCAAGTTGTTTCGTGACATTGATATGACCAATGACGTTGATTTGGAAGATCTTGTTCACTTTTGCCTCATCCATCTCTGCTGCAGGACCACCAATTGCTATACCGGCATTGTTGTACAAAATGTCCACATAACCGCCGGTTTCCTTAAGGACAATATCTTTTAACCTCTTTAGATCGTCAAGGTTTGTGATATCACACGGAACCGAGATAACTCCATACTCTTTGACAAGCGGGTCTTGCAAATGCAATACTGATTGTGGGGAAGCACCGATAACCTTGTAGCCTCTTTTACTAAACACCGTTGCTAATGCGTATCCTATACCAGATGAAGCACCAGTGATGACTGCGTATTTTTGACTAGAATTTCTTGGTTTCAAATGACTCATAGCAGTAGGTATTGGAAGATATAACAGTTAATATACACCATTTGTTTGAAGAATTTGCTAGTCTTTATATGAGCGGTTTTTATCACAAGACAAATCTAGATTGTGCCACAAAAAAATGTTGCGAAGAAAATATTCTGCGGGGTGTTAAGGGGAAGTGGCAAGTAAAGCTCCACCATTTAGTTCAACTCCACCCTACACTGTCAAATGACAGGCTTTGAATGGGAGCGGAATTAATTCGAGGCGTATCTCTGGTAAAAGCATAACAAAAGTTTTATTACAACAAAAGAACGCAACACTCGGCTGCTTAATTCTTTATAGAACAAGGGCAGTACGTAATATCTTTCTATGGAGTAAACACCTAGAATAATTAAGTAAGGTAGGGGAGATAAAAGACAAAGACTTGCATTAGTTGTAAAACCCACACGTTGTTTCCCCTCAAGCACCTTTCAGGACCAGTTTTCTTATATTTCTAAACACCCTAAGCTGTTTGAAGTACCATTGCATGATATACTCTACCGACCACAAAGGATAGTATCTTCCTATAAAATTCAAAGTGTAGCCATTACCTCCCCCATACAAATTGAATTTGTTTGGTCTACCCAATATTTTCTGAACGACGTCTCTAGCGTAGAGCCCCGCATTCATTCCATCCTTCTCAGTCATCTCCTTTGTGGCAATAATACTTTCAGAAAGACCATCAACATTGTACAATGAGTTTTGAAGCAGCTTCTCAACTTCTGCGGGTGACTCTTTGGCACCAATCCCGGTGTTGACACCTCCTGTAATTATGTTGTATACTTTCACTCCAAATGGTTCCATCTCCCCGTGTAAAGTACGAGCATACGCATCAATGGCTGCCTTTGTGGCGCTATAAACACTCGACCATGCGAGCGGCAAGTTGGCAGATACAGAACCGGTGAAAACGATTATCCCCTTTGCGTTTACCACGAACGGAGCAAGATGTTTGGTGACATTGATTTGTCCAATTACATTTGCTTGAAACATCATGTCCACTTTGGTTTCATCCATCTCGGCCGCGGGACCTCCGATAGCAATTCCAGCATTGTTGTATAAGATATCTAAGTAGCCCCCAGTCTCTTTGAACACAACATCTTCCAACCTCTTGATGTCATCAAGTTTGGTGATGTCACATGGGACCGAAATAACCCCATGTTTTGCAACAAGAGGACTTTGTGAGTCCATCACTGTCCGTGAAGCACCAATGACCTTGTAACCTTCTGCGCTGAAAACCTTGGCAAGTTCATATCCTATACCTGCTGAAGCGCCGGTGATGAGCACATACTTTTGATCTGTATTTTTCCGTTCGGATTCACTCATTTTGGAGCTTTGTTCGTTAAAAGAAGGCACTTTATGAAAAGCAGATTTGAAGAGACAAGTTGTGGAAGCTATCTTCACATTGACAATTTGCCACTTTTATATATAACTTCGATAACGAGAATTCGTCAAAAGTGTGGGGCATTTGGAGTCAAAACAGAAAACCAGGTGCGGATATATATTTGCAATTCCGTCGAAAAGGCACATTGGACAAGCCGATTCACGAATTGTAAGTTAGTTGTTTGAAAAGGGTGATTGCATTAATATGAGAGCACAACTAAACTTATTGATATTGAAACTTATGAATAGAAAGACATAGCAAGCATACCAACGTATTCAAAGGGGACTATACATCATTCATACATAAGCACAAACCACGAAATCAATTTTGCTCCCTAACTGCATTCCTGATGTTTCTAAATGCCTTGAGCTGTTTGAACGTCTTTTGCATCAAATATTCAACTAACCACAATGGAAAGTACCTCCCCATGACGTGCAATGTATACCCTCTGGAACCTCCGTATAAGTTGAATTTGTTCAGTCTCTTTAACACCTTTTTGGAGATATCGTTGGCGTATGAATCAGGACTAATTCCTCTCTTCAAGCTCATCCCTTTCGTTGCTTTTGTACTCTCTAAAATGCCATCAACATTATACAAAGAGTGTTGGAACCGTTTCTCGGTTTCTGCAAGTGGCTCCAGGGCGCCAATTTGCGTATTTACCCCTCCTGTTATTACACTGTGGACTTTAACACCAAATGGTGCCATTTCGCCGTGTAATGTTTGAGCGTATGCATCAATAGCTGCTTTTGTTGCACTGTATATACTTGTCCAGGCAAGAGGAACTCTAGCTGCCACAGAACTAGTAAAGATTATTGATCCTTTTGCATTGATGACAAATGGGGCAAGTTGTTTCGTGACATTGATATGACCAATGACGTTGACTTGGAAGATCTTGTTCACTTTTGCCTCATCCATCTCTGCTGCAGGACCACCAATTGCTATACCGGCATTGTTGTACAAAATGTCCACATAACCGCCGGTTTCCTTAAGGACAATATCTTTTAACCTCTTTAGATCGTCAAGGTTTGTGATATCACACGGAACCGAGATAACTCCATACTCTTTGACAAGCGGGTCTTGCAAATGCAATACTGATTGTGGGGAAGCACCGATAACCTTGTAGCCTCTTTTACTAAACACCGTTGCTAATGCGTATCCTATACCAGATGAAGCACCAGTGATGACTGCATACTTTGGTCTTGATTGTGTTTTGGAATAACTCATGATACCACAAGCTTCTCGAGAAGAATTCAGTTAATTTAGGACTATGGACGACTCCTTACATTTATACTTTGTCATTTGTGGGTGATGGGGCTCAAAGGGGGGGGGCTGCCCCGGTAAGATTCTTATAGATGAGGAGAAAACCTTATTCCCTATCTCCGATATCATTGCACGTGAACTTTTTTAAAACGCATAATCTCCGAGAATATGCAACCAGCACGATCTTCGCTCCTTATGCCTACTCTTATCAAAGGAGAAATAAGGGACAATTGTTTGAACATGACGTCACTATTGATGATAGACGGATACCTCCAATCCTCAAGTTCGATGCCATCCACAAACAAAAAACTCACGAACTTCGAATATAGCTGAAAAATTCAAACATAGAGTCGTCAAAGTGATCATTTTTCTTTCAGAGGCCAGAGGGACCCACAAATGTTTGTTCATAAGCCTCCTATATCACCAGCCGTGTTTGCTAGTCCCGCCCTGTGTGTTTCCCTGCAAAAAAAGGTGCAAATTTAGAGCTTATGATTAGTGAGAATATCATTGGCCCAGCCAAAGGAAAAAAGAATTAGAGAAGCGGTGCGGCCGAAACCGCTCCTGTTCCGGTCCGTAATGCAGATGACGCATTTTGGTGAAAAAATGAAAAAGAAAAAAAATTGAGCCATGTATTTATACCATTCAATTGAACGAAATCTTTGAAATATTCACACTAAAGTCACTCTCACCAATTTAATCATGGCTCCAAAAACATTATATGACAAAGTATTCGAGGACCACATTGTCTACAAAGACGAGTCCAACTCTTATTTATTGTACATCGATAGACACTTGGTGCACGAGGTTACATCGCCACAAGCTTTTGAAGGGTTGAGAAATGCCAACAGATCAGTGAGAAGAACCGATTGTACATTGGCTACAGTGGATCACAATATCCCCACAACTCCAAGAATCAATTTCAAAGATGTTGATTCATTTATTAAGCAAAGTGACTCTAAGTTACAAGTCAAGACTTTAGAACAAAATGTAAAGGATTTTGATGTCAAGTATTTTGGAATGAGTGATAGCAGACAAGGTATCGTCCATATTGTCGGTCCAGAACAAGGATTCACTTTACCTGGAACCACTGTTGTTTGTGGTGACTCACACACATCTACCCATGGTGCTTTTGGTTCTTTGGCTTTTGGTATTGGTACTTCAGAGGTTGAGCATGTTCTTGCAACGCAAACTATCATTCAAACAAAGTCCAAAAATATGAGAATTTTTGTTGATGGATCTTTGAGTGAAGGTATCACTTCCAAGGATTTGATTTTGCATGTTATTGGTGTAATTGGTACTGCTGGTGGTACTGGGTGCGTTATTGAGTTTGCGGGTAAGGCTATTGAAGAGTTATCCATGGAAGCAAGGATGTCGATATGTAATATGGCAATTGAGGCTGGTGCCAGAGCAGGTATGATCAAGCCCGATGAAACGACTTTCAAATATATCAAAGGAAGACCATTGGCACCAAAAGGCGAGCAGTGGGACAAAGCTGTAAATTACTGGAAAACATTGCATTCAGATGCGGGTGCAAAATTTGATTACGATATCAAGATTGCTGCTAAGGATATTGTTCCAACCATCACTTGGGGTAATTCACCACAAGATGCATTGCCAATAACCGCCAAAGTACCTGATCCAGCTGAAGTTGATGATCCCATCAAGAAAGAGGGTATGATTAGAGCATTGAAATATCAAGGGTTGACCCCGAACACCCCATTAAAGGAAATCAAAATTGACAAAGCTTTCATTGGTTCGTGTACAAACTCGAGAATTGAAGATTTGAGAGCTGCAGCTAAGGTTGCAAAAGGCCACAAGAAAGCTGACAATGTTAAAGAAGTTTTAGTGGTGCCAGGTTCCGGTCTTATCAAGAGACAAGCTGAAAAAGAGGGTCTTGATAAGATTTTCGAAGCTGCCGGTTTTACATGGAGAGAAGCAGGTTGTTCCATGTGTTTGGGGATGAATCCTGATATATTGAGTCCAGAAGAAAGATGTGCCTCTACATCAAATAGAAACTTTGAAGGTCGTCAAGGAGCTAGATCAAGAACTCATTTGATGTCGCCAGCAATGGCTGCTGCCGCTGCTATAAAGGGTCATTTTACCGATATCAGGGAATTTGAACACATACACTCAGATGAGCCGGAAGTAGCGATTGAACTGGGCGAGGAAGACCAAGAATTGCAAGATGCTGTGTATGAGCATGAAAAGGTACCAATGGATGTATCGCAGGCTGTTGAAGATGATAGACTTAAGGATATACCGGAACCAACTCAGCCAAAACCTAAACCTACTTCGGACTCTGCCGGTGGTCTAGATAAGTTTACAGTCTTGACCGGCATCGCAGCCCCATTGTTTAAAGCTAATGTTGATACCGATGCCATTATTCCAAAACAATTTTTGAAAACCATCAAAAGAACTGGATTAAAAGATGGGTTGTTTTACGAGGCCAGATTTGTCAAGGAGAATGGTAAAGATGTTGAAACCGATTTCGTTTTGAATAGAGAACCATACAGAAAAGCTGAAATTTTGGTTGTCACTGGTGACAATTTTGGATGTGGTTCATCTAGAGAACATGCGCCATGGGCTTTAAAAGATTTTGGTATCAAGTCAATAATAGCTCCATCATTTGGTGATATTTTTTACAACAATTCCTTCAAAAACTTTTTACTTCCAATTAGATTACCTCAGGATGTTATTGAGTCAAAGCTTATACCAGTTATTGAAGGTGGACACAAATTGACGATTGATTTGCCAAACCAGCAGATAAGAGATGGTGAGACTGATGACGTCTTGGTTGAACATTTTGAGGTTGAAGAGTTTAGAAAACATTGTTTGCTTAATGGATTGGACGATATTGGATTGACATTACAAAAAGAGGAGTACATCCAAGCTTTTGAGGAAAAAAGAAGAGACAAGTTCTCATTTTTGGAGGGTGGATCAAAGTTGATCACCCCAGTAAGAGGTGCCAAGAAGAGCAAATATGGGTTGAAAACTCAAGAATGGTAAAGAACTCATGAATTGTTTATATTATACATATATATGTCTAACTCTATTTATTGAAGGAAGAATTTCTAAATTTGAATTCTAGTCTGCTCGTTCCGACATTACTTCTTTAACAGGCTCTGAATCTCCATAAAGATTATGCTGTTGAATGTACCTAATAACCGAATTGGGCAATAAGTACTGTACTGACATTCCTCTCCTGATAAATAATCGTATCTTTGTCGAGGAGATATCATTGTAAATCAATTGCTTAATCACCAAAATGTTTTTCCTATGTTCATACATGATATCATGACTGAGAAGGAAGCTTCTTACATCAGATCCCGTCCGCTCCACAATCAAACATCCATATTTTCCAAGAATGTGATGTAGATCTTGATCAGCCCACACATCTGGTTCTCCCATGGACTCGATCAAGTCACCTCCTGCTAATAGCATAATCTTGACCCCTCTTCTCTTGCCCGACTTTGTCATGATTCCTCCTCGTTTGATATTGATCTCTTCATTAAAATGGTCCAAGACTAATGCGGTTCTGGTATATTTTGGTTGCAATGATTCCCAAGCATCAACCATAAGCCATGACGAGGTACGTTCACAAGCCAATTCACACATCCTAACTCTATGATGCGCTGGAGCTAATCCTTGCTTCTTGTAGTTTGAAGATACAGGACTGTAATACCCACCAATGACTTCAAATCTAGTTTGTTCAATCACAGCATCTAATGCCATTTCAAACATTCTCAAGTGTAAATAAGTTATGGGTGAGTAGCTTCCGCAAGCAACAATGACCAAGGGGGACTTTGATTCATCTGTTAATGTAGTAGCCAATCTATGCGTAGGAAAATTGTAGTCGGACAACTCAGTAGCCTGTCGTTGTATTCCATGGGGCACTTCTTCCAAATCAGCAATTTGTGAAGAACGTACCTGTATCGATGGTGGAAGAATTTCTTTGTGTGGTTTTTCCTCTGGCTCAGCGATATCAACAATGATTTCTTCTTCGTCTGATGATGAGTTTGTCAACTCAGTATGCTTACGAGGAATTTTGGAATGGTACCGTGACTCAGATTCACCACCACTTTCGTACGATCTGCCTCGAATAACTGCTGGTTTCAATGAAGAAGCAGGGTGTGGCGCTGGATCATCCAAAGCTTCGCCCAAATCTTCCATTACAAATGGTTGGATTGGAATATTCTGCGGTATAGCATGCAGCGGAGCTGTTGGCTCGATATTCTTGTTCTTTGACGGGGGCATGAAATTTGGGTCGTTTGTGGGGTCCATTGCGGATTAAATAAGAAAAAAAAATTTCTAGGACTTGCAGTGGTAATGGGAGGGAGTGGTTTCAGTGTCTAATTGTGCTGGTGTTTTTCTTCTGCTCGAGGAGATTCCACTGTACTTATACTTCGTAAAATAAAACGTTTGAGGTACCAGTTTGAATTGGATTATTCTAGATCTTGTGTCAAAGATATGTTGCGTACAGGTTACTTTTGTACGGAACACAGAGAATTCTTTTTCTATTTCCGAGATAATTTTTTTTTCCTCTGTTGTTGTGTTGTGTTTGCTCACGAGATAACAGTTTATAGAGCCATTGAGCGTGCCGTATGCGCATAAAAATTAGTCATTGATTTTGGGTGTGCGAAATGTGAGGGGCAGAGGATTTACGTAAATACGAGTTAGGTGGTAAAAATCATAGAAGAGGGAGGAATTGTGGTTGCTAGAACAGTAGCGGACAGTGACCCAGGCTGATCCAACGCAATCATTATGGAATACAACTACTTTCAACCCATCTTGGTACAGCCCTCTGGTGCTTAATACTTTGTTCTGTATTGTGGCTCGCTCGGTGTGGTAAAAAAAAATAAAAAAAAAGCTTCTTTTTCTCCTTACAAAATATCTCAAAGAGCTGATCCATCTCAGAATTAAAACACCTCAAACACAATGTCTAATGGCACGAGAATTAGACCGGCAAAGAGGTTGATGAATGCCGCAAGTGGATGTGCAAAATATGGTGCAGAGTATGGTAATTGTGTACTACTAAAATATCAAACAATAAAAAAGGGTGATTGTGAACAGGAGTTTGAGAGATTTAAAAGCTGTGTTGCTGAAAGAATGACAAAGAAGTAGACATGATTCGATTACAATGGTGAAGAGTTGTCATATGCATTGTTGCTAGCGGTTATTGAGTTTCAAATGGTGCAACATAGCGTTTAACGTTGCTCCCATTTCGTAGCCAACGAAGCAGACACTCTTAGAGACATTCCCGAGCAGCGGACCCCCGTCCTTATTGAGCGTGATGTCCTGCCCTATGTCACACGCTGATTATATAGCTCCAATACATTCTTGTAATCTCGCACATTAATATCCATTAATCACGTGTAGAAATCTACTCCACAAAGCAATGAAAGAAAAAAAAAAAAAATTAATTGGTGAACACACTCGATATCAACTCCCTGAATCAAGCACCGATTGTCTTTGACTCACCTGCACCAGCTAAGGTCATGGTAAACATATCACGATTAGCCGGCTACAATAAGCAGGATGTGAAAAATATCCTCTTGTTGTTGCAAGAGTTTGTTGTTACATACAAACACAACAAAGTCACCTTGAATTACCAATCCCGTCCAGTGGTTTTATTTTTTAGCACCTTAATTGCTACTGCTGGATTTGGATTGTATTTTTCCATACGAGGTATCATAAACAAGTATAATGAGTACATATTGGCTAAAAAATTGAGACGACCAAGTCTTATTCGTCAGTCGTCAAATATGTTAAAGAATGGTACAAGAGAGGTTTTCATCCCTAGTGGTAAAGACTCCATCAAGAGGATTATAATTCCCAAGCCAAATAATGATTTGTACGCTGCCGACAAGTATTTATACAAGGACTTTGCTGTTCACCAACGTCTTTTGCTGCAGAAAAAGGGAGTTTTATTCAACTCTAAATTCCTCAGTCAATTGGCCATCATATGGAGGATTTTGATTCCTAAATTTTACAGCAAAAATACATCATTATTGTTATCGCAATGTTTTTTTCTAATATTCAGAACCTGGCTATCGTTACTAGTGGCTAAATTGGATGGTCAAATTGTCAAGAATTTGATTGCTGCAAATGGAAAGAAATTTTCTCGTGATTTGATATATTGGTTATTGATTGCATTCCCGGCCTCGTACACCAATGCTGCTATCAAGTACTTGGATCAAAGATTGGCTTTGGGTTTTAGAACCAACTTGACTAGATATATTCATGATATGTATCTCGATCAAACTATGGCTTATTACAAGATTGATTTAGGAGCTTCAGCACTACAGAATATTGATCAATACATCACTGATGATGTGACCAAGTTTTGCTCTTCATTATCGTCGTTGTTTTCATCGATGGGTAAACCATTTATCGATTTGATTTTTTTTGCGGTTTATTTAAGAGACAATTTGGGCAGTGGTGCTATACTTGGTATCTTTGCCAATTATTTCTTAACGGCCATCATGTTAAAGAGGGCAACTCCCGCATTTGGTAAGTTGTCAGCACAAGGTGCTCATCTTGAAGGTGTCTATTTTAACCAGCATTTGAATTTTATGACCAATTGTGAAGAAATTGGATTCTACAAAGGATCACTTATTGAAAAATCAAAACTTGCTGAAAACTTCAAAAAATTGATGGACCACGTAAAAAAGGAGATTAATACCCACTTTTGGTATGCAACATTGGAAGATTATGTTTTAAAATATACTTGGTCAGCATGGGGGTATATTTTTGCTGGATTGCCAGTATTTTTGGATGAATTGTGGCCTGCTGAAGGTAAAAAGAAGAAGGATATTGCGCCCGATGCACATGCAGATGCTATAAGTGAACGTAAGAACATGAGGCAATTTATCACCAATAAGAGATTATTGTTGTCTCTTGCTGATGCTGGATCGAGATTGATGTACTCGATAAAAGATGTAAATACATTGACTGGGTATACTGATCGAGTTTTTGAGTTGTTGACGCAATTACATCGTGTGCATTCGCCTAGATTCGATTATGGTGATAAAAAGGGTATTGCTGATATCCATGGAACAATTCAAAACAACTACCCAAATGGACTTCGATTCGAACACATTCCAGTGATTATACCAACACCAGAGGGTTCAGAGTATATGCCTTTAGTTAAAGACTTGAATTTCCACATTAAGCTGAGGAACATGTTGATTTTGGGTTCTAATGGATCAGGAAAGACATCAATTGCTAGAATTATTGCTGGATTATGGCCATTATACAGTGGGCTTTTATCCAAGCCTAATGATGATGATATTTTCTATCTCCCTCAAAAGACGTATTTCACCACGGGAAATCTACGCGATCAAATCATTTACCCTCATTCATATGTTGAAATGTTGGAAATGGGATACAATGATGACTATTTATACCACATCCTTCGTGAAGTTAAATTGGAATATCTTTTGAAAAGAGAAGGTAGTTTCAATGTCGTTAAGGAATGGAAGGACGTTTTCAGTGGTGGAGAAAAGCAAAGAGTTAGTCTTGCTCGTGTTTTATTCAAGAATCCTAAATTGGTTGTTCTTGATGAAAGTACCAATGCAGTTAGCACTGATGTCGAAGATTATCTTTTTGAACTTTTGCAGTTGAAAAAAATTCCATTCATTACGTTATCTCATCGTCCATTGTTGATGAAGTACCATGATTACATTTTGGAAATTGAAGAAGAAGGTACTTGGAAATTACATGATTTAACAAGTGAAGAGAATTTACAAACTATTGATAATGAAATTGCTGAAATTGAGGAGAAAATCAGTCAAGTATCGAAATGGGAAAAGAGAAAAGATGAGATTAATGATTATTTGGATGGAAAGTTTGATGATATTGGAATGGAGAGTTCAATTGAGTTTTCGGAGAAATCCATTCAAGTTGGGGGTGCTTAACAAATAAGTAAAGTTGTGTAATTGATAAAGCTTTTCTACCTCGTGGTCGAATGTGTCCCATTTTAACTCTTTTCGTCAAAAGAAGAAGAAAGAAGGAAAAAAAAAAAAAAGAAATTTTGCGAGAATCCTCTTCTTTTTTTTTTTTTTTCCTTTCGGCAATTTATTTTGATCGGAATAAGAATAGGAAGTAGAGTACAGCTTCTTTTATTCAATAACACCCAGTAGTTTGATTTCCTACCATGTCTGAACCTATCAAGAAAAAGAACGGTGATATTTCCAAAGCACCCACCCCACAAAATACACCTGCTTCCGTCACCAACTCATATTTGAAATCGCAGCCACCAACAGTGCCAACGATTGAAGAAGGCAATGAAAACAAGATTAATCAAACTTTGGCTAATAATCCAGTGTTGTTATCTATGATTCAAGGAAAATTGGGTGATTTGGTGGGTAAGAATAGTGGCTATGTTGCTAATTTGCCTCAAGCTGTCAAGAATAGGGTTTATGGTTTGAAATCTATACAACAGCAACAAATGAAACTAGAGGCTGAGTTTCAAAAGGAATTGTTGGAGTTGGAAAAGAGGTATTTTAAGAAGTATGAACCACTCTATGCCAAGAGGAAGCAAGTTATTGTTGGAGATGTTGAACCTACTGAGCAAGAAATTGAAGAAGGAAAATCCCTTGAAGAGAAGGATGAAGAAGAAGAGGAGGGCGATGAGGATGACGAAAACAAAGAAGAACAAGAGGAGGAAGAATCAGCAGTGGGTAAAGATGCCAAAGGTATTCCTGGATTCTGGTTGACTGCTTTAGAAAACTTATCCACAGTTTCCGAAACCATCACCGATAGAGACTCAGAAGTATTGGAACATTTAATTGACATTCGTATGCAATACTTGTCAACACCAGGATTTGAATTAATTTTTGAATTTGGTGACAATGAACATTTGTCCAATACCACATTGACCAAGACATACCACTATCAAGCTGAATTGGGATATAGTGGAGATTTCGTTTATGATCATGCTACTGGATGTGAAATCAATTGGAAGTCAAAGGAGAAAAATCCAACCATCAATATTGAAAGGAGAAAGCAAAGAAATAAGACAACTAAACAAACAAGAACTATTGAGAAAATTACCCCAACTGAATCGTTTTTCAACTTTTTTGATCCACCAAAACCACCAAAAGTTGAAAAAGGCGAGGACAATGAAGATGCTGAAGATAATGGTGAAGAGGGCAACGACAACGATGATGAAGAAGAAGAAGAAGACGAGGAGTTAGAAGCTAGATTGGAATTGGATTACCAATTGGGTGAAGAAATCAAAGATCGTTTGATCCCCAGAGCAGTTGATTGGTTTACCGGTGATGCAGTTGACTTTGCTTATCCTGACGAATTCGATGGCGATGAAGAAGGTGAATATTCGGATGAAGATGGAGAAGATGATGACGATGACGATGACGAAGATGAAGATGGAGAAAATGGTCAAGACGGTCAAGGTGAGAAACAACCACCAGCTGAATGCAAGCAACAATAAGTGTGTGTGTGTGTGTGTGTGTGTGTGTATAGTTGTATCAAATACAAATTTGAAAGAGGTTTTAGAAGATTGTAAAATCAACAAAGACTAGAGATAATTTCAAACTCTACAATCCATTCAGTGGATAGTTTCTACACGTAATAAACATTGAAATATATATTTCAACATTCACTTTAACTTATGAACACATGAGCTATGTTTTTATCAAACATCTAAACGCCAGATTTGATAGTGGATTTTTATAAATTCTTGAAAAAACAGTCTTCAATGTCTATTTGAAAGATTAGTTTTTAAGTTACTCACAAACTGATTACACCTTGACACAGATCTTGGATTTCTTAAAGCATAAGATGATAAAATAGAGTTCACAGAAAAGCAGTAGTTTGAATTAAAAAAAAATTGAAATAGTAGGCGTAACAACTTTATTCGAAATTTATGTAGGTCTAACCCCCACCTTTTGATAAAAATGATCAACTTTATTGATTAAGTTGATCATTTTTTTATTGAAAGGGGTGAAGTCATGATAAAATATAATTCTTTTGAAGATATTAACAAAGAATTGTGCTGAAAATTTATCAATTCGTATAAAGAATGCAAAAAAGACTAAAAAATAGTATATCTATAGTACAAAATATTATCAGGCCACTAATGACACGGTTCAACAAACTCTTTCTAGACAAGAAGAAATAAAGAAAGAAATTGAGTGGGAATATTTTCTGGGGAGGACAATACACAAGAAAAACCGGGCACGTGATAGGTTGTGTTTTATTGCAAAAATTTTGACACGTTCTGGACGAGTAACATGCAATAAGACTCATTGACTTGAAAATTTGCAACTAACAATGTGTTTTGTATCAATCACAGAGTGGGTTGGATTAAGTGCCCACTAACATATTTGTAGCCATATGTAGAAAAGTAGACATCATTTGTAATAGATAGATGACGTAGATGGAATCACCATACTAGTGAGAAAACGTCAAGCTCAAGGACAAGGCTACTAATAGTGACACCAAATCGGAGATAAAGAAGATCAACAAGGTTCGACAGTCCAATTAAATGGATTGATATTCATATCAAACATAACAACAATTTGAACGATAAAATATATTCACATTCAACAAAGTAAGTAACCCGAAGGTACTACTATAGTATGCGACTTGAAATAGACAACGTACTATGTTTAAGAAGTGAAAAAACTTTCAACCGATAATGCTGACACATACTATTTTTAATCGATAAGGATGCACACAGTCACACGATTAGCGATATAATTTTTGATCATGAAAATGATCGATACAGGACAGATGTCACGAAAAGAAAGAACCGTCAACACGAGCTATTCAATTTGATGCAAATGTAAAGCAACTGCCTTGGAAAGACCCCCAAAGAGGGCCCTTTGAATTGGAAAACAACTTTGCATTAAACTGAATAGACCAAGCTCAGTTTCACTCCATGCTGTCCTCGTGCTCTTTTAAACAATGAAGCTGCCACCTGTCCTTCCGATAGAGACAATCAAAAAATCGGTGCGACGTTTGTTGTATCCCCCTTTTTTTTCGATCATTTCTATATTGAAAGGCATAAGGTGTGTCGATAATTGTGGGGAGATAAATGTGTCTACTTTTTTCTTTTTCCAGAATCACAATTTCAAAAGTACTTCAGGCCTGAAAGAACTTCAGAACTTAAAAATTGTAATTACAAAGGTAAGAAGTTAGTTTGCTTAGACTCAACACACAAAATACGCAAAGATCAACAAAGAGGATGTATATAAAGAAGAAGAAGAAGAAGAAAAGAGGAAAAAGAGAAAAAATGACTTGGAGATTTGTTTTCCGTTTCTTCAAATGCCTCTCTGGAAAAAAACATAATAAACAATTGACAACAGGTCTAGTGTCGTGATAAGAAGTTCTTGGACATTAGAAAATTGCGACACTACCTATTGTGTATATTATTAAATATGCCACTTGATGTCAAAACGAGTGCTCAAAGCTTTAATTTGCATAAAGCCAAAGCCTTGTAATGAATAAAGTAATAACCTTTTGTCAGAGAAGCGTCGAATGAACAACAACTCTTGTCGTAAATCCAAAGAAATTGCCTATCCATTCCGCCGGGATAAGTTTCGAAATATTAGTCCGTATTAACCCGAGGGTTCTCTAAAAGTTGTAAACGCAACGTGACAATTATATGACCTTAAACAGCGTTCTAATATATGTATATTGTGTAAATGTAGTTTACAGCGTGCCGAGGAAATTGCACACACAAACAATTAGAGGAGAATTGTACGAAACAACAAAAAAGCGCGATATTATCTCGAGAAGAATGGTTGACATAATTGCTGTGTTGAACTGGCGACTACTCATCGAAACTAGAAACGTCTTCTCTATACATGCCTTAAACTGTTGATCGTTTCCACAACGAGTCCATGGACACTAAAGTTAGAATTAGGGGGTGTAATCGTAACTTACTTTCTCTTGCAATGAAACGATTGAAATCGTTCATTAGTTACACAAACTGTATTGTCTTGACGAAAAATAGCACAAACCTTATTCTTAACTCTTTTAGCATAGAGTACACATAACTAGATGCATATAAGTGGGGCATAAAACACGAGGGGCAACGAGAGGTTTCAGATGAAAGAGAATTTTACAAACAGAAGAAGGGGTAGCAGGGACGTAAGCGTGAGAAGCAAACAACGAAATAAAAAAGAAAAAAAAAAATAAAGGAAAAGACCAAAGCTTGTTACAATGAGTAATCACTCGATGGTGGTAATGCGACACGACAGATATCAAATAATAACTCTGATAAATAACCAAAGAAGGCGACGCGTAAAACTGAAAATTATACAAGGCTATTAAAAAGACATTTTCTCGTATTGTATAAAAACTACAATGCTCAGCAGTGGCTAGTTTTGTGTAACATAAGTGTTCCCTCGGCATAAGTTGCATGAAAAGTGGATTTTTAAAAGTGTTGATGCTAGGACAACACAGGAAAAAGCAAGCTCTGCACAGCCAAACGGATTGTTTCAATAACACATCCAAAAGTGCAAACTATAAGCCTCGCTTTATTCAGTAAACTTGTCAATGTCATTGAAAACATTTGACATTTTTTGATAAAAATATCTCATCACCCGTGTTCCATGAACTAAAAGTCTATTTTTAAGTTACGAAAACGACACAAAGCCGAAAACAATTTGTGTGTGTGTGTGTGTGTGTGTGTGATTGTCAGTGTGTGAGTTAAGAAATCTGAATGTGTAGGTTTCATTACCATTTTCGGTCAAAAACAATCTTCACTCGTCACAATCGCAAGTAAGTCTGTAAACAATAAGGACAGGTATCAGGGGGTGGAGGGAAATTTAGTTTGTTCTGATCACGAGAAAAAACCTAAAATGACAGCAAAGTACATTTACGCTATTCACTGTCCTTCTGGTTATTAAAGCAAGCATGTGATTCTAGATTTCTTTCCTGTTGAAAAGGAAAGAGCAAACGTTTGATTTACGTATGTACCCTTTTCTCCTTTGAAGGGTGTGTATTTTCTGTCAACACAATTTCATTGGATGAAGTAACATTCAGATTTTACCAAACGTTTGTTGCTGAATTGAGTTTATTATATTTTCGTTTTTTTTTTTAATTTGGTTGTGTTTTTTGCTTTTTTTGTTTTTTTTTTTTTTTATTCTTTTTGGTTGGTGTCTGCATCAAATGTTAATTGTTGTTATTTCTTATCTATAGATATATGTGTGTACATGTATACATGTAACATTAGGCTATGCTAGCAAATGACTCAGTTACAAAAACAGAAGGAAGTCAACCACAGTGTTTAAACACAGGGAAAAAAAGGGGGGGTGTAACAGTGTAGGGAAGGAAAAAATCTTTTCTTGATGGCCACATTTTTACCGGTGACCGGTAATGGTAATGGTGATTAATTCAGTTGCATATGCATCATAGAGTAAGTTCTAGTAACCAATGATGATGCATAACACTTACTCTTACAATCCATCAACCCTTAAAAGTATTATCATTGAATGAAAATTTTAGTTAGTTGTAGTTAGTGGTAAAACGACGATGTGTGTTGAAAAGTAAAATGTTACACTAAAATCAATTGCATCACATAAAAGAAGTAGTTTTTAGCCACAATTCATAAAAAAGGAAAAAAGATACACAAAAATGTGAGCAACTTTAAAAATCACATGCAAATTGTAATAGCAAGCATAAAATATTATTATGTCCACAGTAGAAGAATAGTAGTAGTAGTAGTAGTAGTAGTAGTAGTAGTAGTAGTTGTTGTTGTAAATATGAATTCAATGATGCTATAAGCCGATGATAACGAGAGAGAGAGAGAGTGTGTGTGTGTGTATTAATACGTAATCATCCGAATTATCGTCAGTATTACTATTACATCATCATAAGACAAATAGAACAACATATTTAATATAGAGATTTGTTTCAGAAATACTCTTTATGACACAGGAGAATAAGTACATAGTTTGATTTGAGAATAACTCAATAACAGTAACAGTAACAGCAACAACAACAACAACAAAATAATAATAATAATAAAAAAAAACAGTAATAATAGTAATAATAATAGTCATCTGATGTAGTCCAGCACTCTTCTATAGCATGTGATATTTCCAAAGACCTCTCTATCAGAGACAACTACATTAACCCATTCATCGCATGCCAAACTTTCTTCTTTTGATGAGATGAATAGTGGTTAGTGTAAACTCATATTGCGTAGTTAGTATATGTATCATGTGTTATTTACTGACTACTCTTGTGTATCTATATGCATGTGTTCTTAGTTCTCTGTCCTCCTTTGTTCCTCTGTTTATTGTTGTTGTTGTTACCTATAACTAACCATAAAATATATAGATGTATATATTTTTACACTTTGAGTCTTTTATCAAACGAGTCAGGGTATAAAAGCACAAGCAAATTTCCCTATTTTCCTTCTACTTGAACTTTCTAATCCCCCTCTGTTCTTCTTTTATCATCAACATAGTATCCCTTTGACTACTAAAGTTACTTTACTACACCAACCACTAGATTATTAAAGTTTACTACTAACAAAAAGTAATCTGAGTCCGAAACATCCACACACACACACACACACATATATATATATATATATTACACCCCCCCCCCCCCTGAGTTTTGGTTTTTTAGCACGTGCACAAATTTTATTAAAAACCCACACTTACTACAACATCATGTCTGATAACATCAACCAAGTTAAACAAAAGGTTAAACAATCCTTACCCAAGAAGAAGTTTGACTCCAAGACTCTTCAACATGTGAACAATTACTCACTTGTTAAACAATTGGAGCAATTGATTTTATCAATTTCAATCTTCCAATCAATTTACCAACAATTTATCTTGCCCGTCTATCAATTTCTCATTGGTAATGTGTTGACAATTTCACCAATTTACGAAGTTGCTCAAATTTTCGATGGATTGAATCTTTACGCATTGGGTATATTTGATCATTTTTTCATTGACTTACCCAACAAGGTTATCAATTTCACCACGGCCAATTTCATCAAACCAGTTAATCAACAAATTATCCACATCAACAATGCGTTCCTCAAGCCAGTTGAAAATGAGGCTGAAGATTCAATTTTCCAAATTTATTACACCATCAAGTCAATTGTGTTGAATATTACTGGTGTTGCATATTCAAAATCAAATGAAATTCAACATCAGATTGTATCCACTTATAATCAAGAGTTGAAGTCAACACCAGCAAACAAGTCGTATTTGGAAAAAAATTTAACTGCTAGTTATAATACTGGTGTAAAGACGGTTAAAGTTTTGAATGATGACTATATTGTTCCTTTAAAGAATCAAACTCAAGAATTTGTTACTAATGGTAAGAATGCAGAGGTGTTTTTAAAAGAAACTAGAGATAAGATTGAACCAAGGTTGAATGAAGCTGCTAATGAATTGAATAAGCAAAAGGATGATTTGTTGAAGAATAATTCAGTTCCTGTTCCAGCTAATTAATCACACAGTACTATAGTTGATTCCAGTTCAATTGCCATTCTTTTATATATTTTTATAGCTACTATTTCCATTTTTATACAAACATAATTGTTTAGTTTTAAATTGTCATTGAAAGTTTTGATACCCAAGTCACTGAAAAACTTATACAAATGAATACTGCTCTCACCACCACCACCAGCTCCTATTCTTTGGGAAACGACTTTATATAATCAATACCACCAACACATTTCGGTACCGTCAATTGGTGATCTTTACCACCACCAACCACATTATTCAAAATTTCAATACCAACATCAACAGTACGTTGAATAGCATCATGTTCCAAAATCAAACCACCACCGCTACCAAAAGTACCTTTGCCAGCATTTCCTCCCCCTTTTCTCTCCTCTTTAAACTTTTTCACATCATTATACACATCTTGTTCATTCCTCATATTAGAATGATCAAGCATTTTCCAATCAAAAGTATCGAAATCCCACAACACCAGCTGCATGCCAAACTGTCTCAATATCGATCTGATTCGATTATCAATCCCACCATAAGGTGGTCGAAACCATTTGGGTAGATGGAACCCCGTAGCATTCATGCTCCAAATCAGCCATTCCACTTGAGCGATAATCTCTTCGTTAGTTAAACTGGGTAGGAACTTGTGTGACCACGTATGTGATCCCATTATGTGACCTGCTAAGCATGCAGATTGATATATCTCGGGGAACCGAACGATATTGACTCCCAATGTGAAGAAAGTCGTTTGCGTTTGTGATTCACTCAAAGCATCAAGAAGTTTAGAAGTATAAGGGCTAGGTCCATCATCAAATGTTTGTGATAATTTGGGACATGTGTACACATCATCAAATTCAACACAATTAAAACAATCAAATGAACAAGATGCTGGGGATCGGAGTTGTAATGAGGAACAACTGGCTTGTGGATGCTTGGGGACAGGGACAATCTTGTTGAAATCAATGAAATCCAAGGGGATATATGGTGGATCCAAACCGGGCCATTCATGTAATCCAGTGAAGTCAGTTAGCCATTGTGGGAATGGCAATTTTACCGGGTAAATCATGGGTGATGGTGGGAGTTCGTATTGCTTGGATTGTGGAACTACATTTGCATGAGTCAAATGAGGATGAGCTTGATTGTGGGGGCTTTGTTGTTGTTGTTGCTGGACGTGGAAATCAGGTGTTTGTCCATAAACATAATGATCAAACACGGAACCAGAACCATAACCACTCTTGTTGTCAACTTCATCACTGTTTCCGTTTTTGCCAGTGTAGAATTTTGGTGAAATGACTGATGATATCTTTGCACTCAACCGTTTAGAATACTCTGAAGCATACGCAAATGATGATGATGTGGTGACCAAGTAGATAATAAAGTATCCCAACTTCATCTCTTTGTAACAAAAAGGCTTTGTTTAAGGTTTGTTTGGGGGATGGAGTGACTATGCACAAGAGAAGGCAAAACCAGGAAAAGTATTGCTTCTCCTGATATTTTTTTTTTCTTTTTGCAGCTGTTTCTTGATATGTTTGCAACAAAATCAATTTACACCTTAATTCTTCCTTTTTCTTTTGATCAACCCAGTAAGATCATTAGCCTTATTAACAGCAGCAGCACCACCACCACCAGTGCCATTTACATCTAACAACAACTTTCTCTTTTCCCCTGTTACATCGCCAAGTTTTTTCATCTCTTCTTCTTTTTTCTTCTCCTCAGCAACACCACCATACTCAAACTCATCCATGCCAATAGTCTCCTTGAAAAAACTAGGGATTTGCAATTGGGTTAAATACTCAACGTCAATCAATTTATCAAAATTGATCAGTTTTATTACATTGTTGATAAATTGTTTATAATGATGGATGGATACAACAATCACATCTTTAGTATGAGCATCATTTGAATCTTTAACCACGGATTCTTCATCCACCACCGTCGCCTCGGATACGTGTTGCTCTGCCGTTGTGTAGCTTTTACTACACCCAATCAACCCAACACAATCACCTAATCTAAACTCTTGTCTGAAACCCAACTCTTGATAAAATCGATCAACTGAAACATTGAAATAACGATTCTCAACAATCAAATGTTCCAAAAACCGACCTTTTGGATCATCAGGGAAAAGCGGGATATTATAAACCGCTAAATTCAGTTTTGCATTGGCTTCATTTGACTCGTGATTGGAATCAGAGCCATCAGCACTAAATATGTGACCAATTGACCATTGCGACAATGGATCAATAAACTTGCGCATCGCCACTGTATCCGAACCGGGGATAATCAATTTTTTAACGGGCCATTGGTCTCCACATACAGATTCAATGATCCGCAACCACCATTTGAGCAATACTTGTCCATTACCAAGATGCTTGTACTTGTTTTTAGATGAATTGGGGAAAATGTATTGCGGTGCTGTTTTGGTGAACAAACATATATGACAATTGATTTGCGTTGTGGGTAGTTTACGATATTGGAAATTAGAGCCGCTAGTTTTGGGGTGAGGGGTGTTGTTGTTATAGTATGGTAGGGTACCGAAATGACTCGGATCGGTTGTCAATTTGCGTTGTAGTTTGTCAATCAATGCCACAGTTGAATTTGTGTAACCACCATCACCGGACTCATTACTCTTTTCCAGTTTCACCTCACCCAGCTGCTCAACAGGTTTCTTGTCTTTAATCCTGTATCTTTCAACATCATAATCCACTATATACCGCAACACTTCCCTTACAACGTCGCCAACTCGAAATTTCAATTTTTTCAATCCAGTAGTATCACATTTAGATACATATATATATTGATCAATACAAGTTGGATATATCTGTAAATAAGTAAATACTTCAATCCCCAAAACAATAACATCTTGATCAATTAAGCTGAAAAAGTGTCGTATTTTGACAGTATCAGGTCGCTCCTGGGTTGATGCAGGGGTTGATTTGGGAATATTTATTGGTGATTTGATGTATGTTGGTTTTGATTGGATGTAAATGTATTTGAAATGCTCATCTTTGGGCAAGTGTTGGGCTAGTAGTGTGTCTAGTGACATCAATGGCGGGAACTTGTGTCTATTGAGGCAAGTCTTGCAGAAGTTTTTCAATTATTTTTCAAAATGTTTGATTGATATACGCGTCAATGTATCTGTCAAAAATGCAATTTTTGCGTCAAGAAATTGAGACATAGGAGGAGCAGAGAAGAGGAGGAACGAGTATAATCAACATATAAATATAGCGGAGTTACCGGTTGCAAATGTTTTCCTCAACGTCTTGATGAGTTATGCGATTTTACGTTTGTTCCTGAAACAGGTAGAATACTAGCAGACACCAATGTTTTGTAATTTTATCACGGATTGCAACACTGGTCAGTAACCGCGGTCAATTGGTTGAAAACATCCACGTTAAGCTTCGTTGATCCTTATTTTGACTAAACATGACGATCAAAAGCCGTCATCAAACAACATAAAAAATGGAGGAACTTAGATGTTACAGGGATTTTGACTAGAAATGTACTAACAAAAGCAAGCACGCACCCACACAAGTCTATACTCTTTTAGAAATCCGTTGCCGTTGATCGCAGTCTATAATGAAAAATAGTATCATGAGTCATACGATGGATATGCGAATCCCCTGCCCCTCCCCCCTGGATTTAGTAGTAAGGTTTATAATTAGTTGCTTATGCTTTATATGTCACGAGATTTGATGATTTTCAAAATCTTCCCGCTATCCGTCAGTCATTTGCTAGTTGAGCGGACTTTAAGTAAAACAAGGCGGAGGATGGAATTGCTGCCCCACTTTACTCTTCCACCACATGTAGAGATTCGCATTGCTTCGAGACAACGGCTTTAATGAAAGTTTAAACCGTAGAATGGTATCAATTGTAGGGTAAGGTTTGATTTTAAACTTTTTTTTTTTTTGGTGTGAAATTTATTTCCTAATGTGGTAGATTTTTTTTTTACTTTTTGTTTCTCAAGCAATGGTTATGAACCTTTTGAAATAGATGGCAGAAAGAAGTTAAGATTCGATAAAATGTTATTAGCGAAAACTGACAAAAATTTGGAATTGGAAAAGGTTTTAGTGGAAGAGGAGGATGGAGGAATATGGATGTAACAGTAGTCACTGTTGGGATCAAGGAAGTAGTGTTATTATTTTAGAATAATAAATCATTTGGTGACGTTAACACCAAATCCAAAAGGCAATGATTGGATTACCGTGTACAGTAAGAAAATAAAGTTCTAGAACAACTTAGACCCTTTAGTAGAGGCATTTTGTCAACGGTAATGAAATCTTAAACCTTCGTTACCATGCTGGGAGCTTGAAAAAAGTAGCGTATTGTAGACATATTCAAAGCCAAGTATGGGTGCATCATCGTTTTTAAGATGCACGAGATCAATCTTTGCATAGAGTAAACCCCAATGACTCTCGATTCTTGCAAAAGCAATGTATGCACAAAAAGGATGAAATTCAGAAAAACACAAACAAGAAGAGAATGTGTGTCAGTTGATTCGCTGTTGCTGTTGCTGTTGCTGTTGCTGTTGTTGTTGTTGTTGTTGTTGTTTGTTGATATTTGTGGTGTTTCCCAATCGTTATCAATCAAAACATTGTAAACAGTTTCACTTTGTTGGGCTGTGTAAAGTTATACTTTTTTACTTGATTACTCTTTGTTTATGCTGTTTGTGTAGGAACACCCTGTCCTCATTTAAAATGATATTTACTTTCTGCTCACTTGCATACTAAATTAAACAGCCATTAGCTGTTCCTACTACAGAGGGCGAATAGAATTGAAAAGTACAGTCGTAGAGTAAAAAAGAAAAGGAAATGATTGGAAGGAATGGTTATGAGATTCAAGACCCATAACCCATGACCCCCTCCTTTCCATTCCTGTTACACCGTGTCTTTGAATCACACAACATGTTTGTGTGTTGTTCTCCGCAAAATAAATACTTTGAATATATACATATAGATAAAACTCCGTGGGTTATCTCATTCTTAACAATAAGACAATAAGAAAAGAGAGAGGAGGAGGGGGGCAAGTAGTGATGTTATAGGATTTAATGCAAGGCAACTTAAAAAATTATAGCAGAAACATATTAACTAAAAAAAAAAAAGAGTAAAGTACTTCGTCTAACAACAAGAAAAAATTAAATTGAATTCGGTAGCATACTCCGTTAAATTGTCTTGTACACTACTTTATAACAGTAGAACCATTGTTACACAAAGTGCATATATAACAATCAGTGATGTAATATTATTATGTATACAACGGAGTTAACCTGTATATAAGCTACAATTGAATAATAGTAATATTTGGTAATATCCATCCCCCCACCCCCCATACTTACTATAACAAACTGTTAAGCATACTACAAGTACATATATATATATATATCTATATATATACAAAATAATATACCATTTAATCTTCATCACCAATATCTACAAATTTATACTACTATTATCAGTCTTATATACCAAATTACTACCATCAGTTACTACCAAAGGTTTCATCAGACACCAGTTACTTAGACAAAAAGGTAACCTAGAATTACACTAAATTGAGTGCATACAATTTCAATTTTTTTTTTTCAAGTTTGTTCTTTGCTAAAGTATTTGTGTGTTGTAAAATTTCACAAGCAAAACATTACAGAATAGTATAGCATTACTTAATCATCATCATATATACTACACACACGCACACACACACACACACACACACACACAGGCGGTGCACGCTACTCATCAAATATATATACACACAATTCAGTTCTACAATCGCTTTAATACCACCAAAGCCAGCTAGATAGCCCACATCAGACACGTACCCACGCATTATTAACAAAAGAACAAGCTTCTTCTAGCTAATATTATGAATAATAATTCACCACTGACAATGATGATGACATCTACACAACTAGATCCAGATCAACCAACAAACACCAATTCCACTAGTGGGTTTGATAACTTTTTGGACATATTCTCAACTGACATGGATTTTGAACAAGCTTATTCAATGTACAATACTTTGCAACAAAAATCGGCCATTGGATCATTTGAAGAGTTGAATAAAGTACAAATGTTGAATTCACAGTATACTACCAATTTACCCACTCCTCCACCTCATCAACCTCAGCAACTTCAACAACAGCAAAACCTACTGCATCAACAACAACAACATTACTCAAGCATATCTTCTGAGTTACCCCAGGATGAGTTTGCTGATTCCAGACAACAAATAATAAATGGAGGGCATCAATACCTTCAGCAGCAACAACAACAACCTACTCAACAGGAACAACTACAACCTACGCAGCTAACACAACAAACCCAAGAGGAAGGAAATGACGATTTTGATCATTTTTTCACAAACACTGAATCAAATGCATTGGAACGGTTTTTGGATAGTTTAGCAAACCCACAAGCAACTGCTGATCCTTTACAATTTTATCACAATAGTCGATCACCAAAGAATACCACCACCACCAACAATAATAATAACAATAATAATAATAATAATAATAGTAACGAGTTTGGGTTTGATTTCAATTTCGAAATGCGTACAATGAGTATACCCAAGCATAATCAACACAATAAACAACCGCAACCACAACCACAATCACAATTGCCGCTACAGCCACAGTCACAGCCACGCCAACATCCACAAAAAACCTACCAAACACCTCAATTGCATCAACCGCAACCTTTTTATCCAACAGATTCCAGTTTCCAATCTTCATTATCACCACTTACCTCCAACCCAACAATTACAACTCATTCAAATGTAATGCAAGCACAATTTCAACCACAGCCACAACAGTATCCACAACACCAGCAACAAGAACAGCAGCAATTGCAAGACCACGTTGCCCTCAAAAATGAATTGGCTGAAGCATTTTCAGTGCCTGCGAAATCACCATTTTCATCACCACCAATTGAAAAACAAGTTGAAGAAGCAAAACAAGGTGGATCTAAAGCATCACTATTGAAAAAGAGTCCTTTAAAACCAACAAAACCATCAAAACAATTAAAGGATGTCAAGACAGATTCAAAACAACAAAGCATGTCTTCTTCTTCTTCATCATCAACAAATTCTCAATTGATTACACCACCTACATCAGGCGATGAAAGTAGAAAGAGACGAGGCACGCAAGAAGCAGAAGACGATGATGATGATGATGAAGAAGAAGAGGAGTACGACTCAGAGTCCACGTCCACCCCTTCTACCACGCCATCATCAAAACCACACCTTAAGAAACGCAGACGCTCAAACAACAAACCCCTTCTTTCACTCGAACAAAAGCGCCTTAACCACTCCAACTCTGAACAAAAACGTCGTCAATTGTGCAAACAAGCATACCAACGCTGTCTTGAACAAATTATTGACTTGGAAGCATTTGCCAAGTTGCCAGAATTGGATGAAGCTGAACGCAAGACGAAGAGAGCTAGAGTTAACAAAGAAGGGTTGCCGAATTTATCGAAACATGGTGCTTTGATGAGGATTAGTAATGAGATGATTTTGATTAAGCTGTTGAATGATGAATTGAAGAAGTTGTTGGAGTAGGGAGGAGCTAAAGCTATGTGGTTTTTGTTATGAAAGTTTCAGTTCCATTGAATTGATAGAATATTTTTTTTTTTTTTCATTTTTGATTCTTGATTGTGTATATGTATATATATTTATGTTACTATTAGTTTTTTGGGAAATACAGAGTGTGTTGTTTTTACTTCATGATTGTGTTATGTTTGAAGCGTTGTAGAAGCTTTGTAGAAGCTTTGTAGGATTGCAAAATCAATTTCGAGTTGAAGTGAATGTCACGAAATGCCAATCATGCGACATTGAGTAAAATTTCATACTTTCTCGCAAGTGAAGGGAATTTTTCATTCGAACGCGACGCAATCCACAAACTTTAACAAAACTCTTCCTGTTGTCAACAACAATGCCATCCAGCAGGGTCATAATCGACTCATCGAGTGCAGAACCTTCACCCGAACCAAAACCCACACCACCACAACAGAGTCATCCCCCACCATCACTCGACTCGTTAATCATTGGCACTCAAGATCAAATCACATCGTTATCCAAACACGCACCTTTAATCCTCCCCAACCAGTCACCCGACCAGCCGTATGCAGAAACGTTACAAAATTTACGTAATACGTACAACTACACCTACGTCATTAATTGGTTGTATAATTTCCGCGGATTTCTAAAATTGCAACTGGAATATTTCGATGTCGATATTTTCGAATTAGAATTGTTGAATTACTTCCCCAAACCATCGACGTACGACAATGATGAGTATGGCTTGGCTATTCCTAATACATACTCAGTGTTGTTTATTGATAAATTGAAGCTGAGTTTGATTCATTCTTTGATGGGCAGTAAAGAATCCAATGAGCTTAAATTTGAGCAAGTTGTGAGACAATATTTTGGTATTAGTACACCTTTGGGTGGTATTGCTGTGCCTACTGATGTTATTGAAATCAAAGAAGATGGTGATGATATTGAGCAAAGTGGAGAAGAAGAGAAACAACAGGATGCTGAAGAAATAGTGGAGGCTGATGCCGTGGTCGAGGCTGATGCCGTGGTCGAGGCTGATGATGATGGCCCAGCAGCTAAAAGTGAACAAGACTTGCCTCAATTTGATTATTTACTAATTGAAGACAAGATCGAGGTGTTGTACATTATCATATCGTACATTTCCACCACTTATAAATTCAAGGATTGGCTTGATCGACATTTCCCCAATCAACCAGAATACACCCGTATTGACCCCATTTTCACCACTGATAACACCGACACCAACACCGGGACAAACAAATCCATTGACCCTGATTTCCAATCCCAATGGCTCCTGTTATTTGACAATAACCGATTATACAAAAGAACCATCCACTATCCAGCATTGGAAATCCCCAAAAAGCGTAAACTCTCGCCTGAATTCCCCAATGAACATTTTTCACAACCACAATTTGATGTCGACAAGTCCAATATTCATTTGGAATTGATTGCCAAGAATGTATTTGAGCTCAATGATTACTTGATCAAGTTGAAGCGTGATAAATTTTCAACATCACCACGTCACTTGATTAATAAATTGTCAAGATCGAAATTTATTGATGCTGTTTTCACTAATGAGGTTAAGAAACGGAAATTTATCGCAAATAAGAAAAAGGAGGTTCAATTGGCAGGGTTATTGGCAGTTAGGAAAAAATCGTCTCGGTTGGAAGCTAGACAACAAAGAGAGAGATTGCAACAACTACAACGACAACTGCAACAGCAACAACAACAACAACTGCACCTGGGTAATCAGTCACGTACTGTTGGTGGCCGTCGTCTTCGTGATGTAAGTGGTGGTGGCATCCCAACTTCTGATGATCCAAAATTGGATAGTCAAAGACGATTTGAAAGAAGACAACAAAGACATATGCGAGGTTGGTAATTTGGGTGACTAGTAGGTTGCATTTATAAAGAGAACCATTTTTGAATAGTGCAATTGCTATCCTTTTCTCTAAAAAAAATAGAGTGATCCGTCTTCACCTCTTTTAACTCTACATCTAACTCACTAAGAATTCAAAAAACGAATAAAACTCACACAACCTATAAACACGCACTCACTCACACACCCATGCTTCGCCTCCCCCACTCGTTACAAATTCATCTCATTCAAAATTTGACCAGCTAAAGTTTTATAGTTCCATGTATTACCCAACAACTTTTTAAATTGGACACCGTATAATCCTACAAGGGGCACCTTAACAATATGGATTTCAAACTTCAATGGGGATTTGGAAGAGCCACTTGTTCCTGCACCTCCACCACCACTGCGACGTTGCTGTTGTTGTTGTTGTTGGTATTGTTGGTATTGTTGACTAGAGTTGCTTGCAGCACTAGCTGCGCTAGCGGCACTGGTTGTGCGTTGATGATTAGCACGATGTTCAATCTTGGACGAGATCAACATATCACTTCCCCCCGCGTATCCGCTCAATGAATCGGCTGAGTTGTCAAGTTCAAGAGTATCATTGGCATAATCAATTCCTGTACGGTTGGATATACTTCCATTGTGGAAATTACCGTCACCATCATCATCATTATCATCATCTTCGCCGTTGTCGTGATCACCATACATTCCTCTAATTGTACGTGCAGTAGCTGGGGTATTTGGTGGCATTTGCACTTGTGAATTATTCTTCTTACGATAAGTATTGAGGAACGTATTACCGATAGAAACTTTTCTCCTATGCCCAGAGGATCCACTTACACCACCCCCACCAATAGTTAATGATCTTTGTGGCTTGTTGTGGGTACTTGATGGTGATAATAGTCCTGATGATTGCATATTCATCGATGTTTGACGACTTGGAGTTCGAGCACCTTCAGATCTGTTTTCCACTTTTGGTTCATCAAATGATGAAGACCTTAAAGTTGATGATTTCAGTTTGAATGCATCACCATACAATTTATTTTCTTCGTCATTTCCATCATCATTGCTGGCATACGCATCCAAAATTTGATCCTCTGCATCATCCTCATGTGATGGTGGAGGTGGCAAGGGATGTTGTTCTTGTTGTTGTACTGATGGCGTGTGAACACAAATGAAACCTCCTTTAACTTCTTGGAATCTGACTCCTAACCGACTCAAAACATTGATGATATTGTATCTAATCACTGGTAATGGTTTGGTTGAGGTTGTCTGAACACTAAAAAACCCTTTCAAGAATAGAGTCTTACAATGCTCAATAGATGGCATTGAGCCGGGTTTAGCTTCATTATACTGTTTGATAATCTCGTCCTCGGTAAGTTGCGGTACTTCTTGAACTTCCATATCATCCAATTTAACATCATCAAATAATGCTCCTGTGGCACTCTCATCAAATGACAACTCTGTATTGTGGGGACTAGTTGAATGAGCAAGATCTATATTGGCATTGTTTTGACTAGCTGTATTACTTCTGCCACGACCATACGCATCTTTCCTAATTTGACCACCAACTGACTTGGCTCTTGCTGTAGGGTGCAATTTACGTGATGATGGAACTGCTAAAGTTTGCTGTTTTGTAGATGTGTTTTGAGTCACTGTATTAGTACTTGGATCGTAATTTGGTAGTGGTGGCAAATATTCAACAGGTATGAACCCGTGAGGACGATTAGGTGTAGATGTAGATGCAGAGTGGGCATGCACTGCTGCGTCTCGCTTCCTGTCTTTTCTTTCCGGTTTCGTAGGTGATAACCTAGCACCGGTTTCTTTTTCCTTTGCTGTCACCTTCATACTTACACCACGACGCATCAACGGATCAAGGGTGCTTTGAGAAGAATGAGGCAGACCTCTTGCAGAATCATAGTCATGGCTAGGGGGGGAGACAACCTTTGGAGATCCGGAGCCTTTAGATTTCTTACTTGAAAGTTTCCTAAACAAGTTGTTGAAGCCGGCACCACCACCTGAAGCTCCGCCGCCACCTCTTGTGGGATCCAATGTATCAATCGGAGTAGTGCTTCGAGGACTTCTTGGTTGCTGGGAAGGAATTTCAAGTTGATCGGGCTTGTTCGATGCGATGGGTGGATTGTCAAACGTGGAGGGAGTATTGGATGTATGGGCTTGCTCAGGAATTGAAATAACTGGGGTTTGAGCAGCTGGTGATGTAACACCTGACGAGTGCTCGTACCTTGGGTCCAAAGTTTTCGACGACGAGGTGCCAGCAAATGTTTCAACAATTCTAGGTTGCGGCGTGTTTGGGGTTTCTCTAGATGGATTGTATTGCCCCACTATAGGGACTTGAGTAGCAGTCTCATGCGATTGTTGTTGTGTTCTAGATCGAGGTGTTGTGTCTACACCCTTGATTGGTTGGGGTGCATAATCCTCCACAGGAATTGGCGTGGATGTGTAAACCGGTTGTTGCTGTTGTTGTTGTTGTTGCTGTTGTTGTTGCTGTTGTTGCTGTTGTTGTTGCTGTTGCTGTTGTTGTAGGAGCTTTTGCTGTTGCATTTGTTGTTGATATTGTTGTTGCAACTGCTGTTGTTTTTGTTGCTCTTGTTGCGCAAGCTGAGCCTTGATAGCTTCCTCTTTTGCCTTTTTTCTCTTTCTCATTTCAACCACCAAATAGTAGATCGAGATCAATGGATGAAACCCACCAGTGGGATCAGGAAGAATATTGGAGTTTGGTGCAGATGCATACTCCTTGCCTTGTCTTGTTATGTTGTACCAGTTTTCGGTGCTCATTTGGTACTCAACACTGGTGAGCAAGGTTGTTAATTCATCACTCACGGTTTGTGCCGAGCCCAAATCAAATGCAGCAATCTGTTTGATAACTTCGGGGTCTAATGGTAAACGCAAGGGTTCTCTTCGTGGAAGGTAATTTGACACTTTATGATCATAGCCTTTGTTCATCCAAGGATGCGAGCAAATCTCATAAAGAGAAGCTCTTCTATTAGGATCCACCACCAACATTCTCGATAGCAAATTGATGCACTCTTTTGAAAGAAAATTCGGATACTCTACATTACCCTTTTTGATCTTTTCGTGAAGTACAGACACTGATTGGTCATCAAAAGGCACTTTCCCACAAACCAACACATATAGCACCACACCAAACGACCAAATATCAACTTCTGGCCCGATGTAAGGTTTAGCACTAAGCAACTCAGGTGCAGCAAAATAAAGCGACCCACAATATGTTTTTAATAAATTCTTTGGAGAATACAAGTTGGACAAACCGAAATCAATAATCTTTACATCCCCCTTCTCATTTATCATAATGTTTTCAATCTTAAGATCTCGATGCACCACATTATTTCGATGACAGTAATCCAATGCTGAAGCTATTCCCCGTGCAAATTTCCTTGCATGCTTTTCTTTCAAAGAGCCGTGAGCAACAATGTAATCTAACATTTGTCCACCTTCAATATATTCAAACAACATGTAGTAGTGGTTGGTCATGGGAACCATTTCATACAACCTACAAATGAACGGATGAAATAGCAATCTACCAAGCGCACCCTCACGAATGGTTCGCTTGTCCCTTGCCAACTCCTTTTCGAATTCCTTGTGTCTCTGAGCAGCTTCTTGAGACGTCTGTGGTGGTGGATCATGCGCATGAGCTCTTTGATAAAGCTTTGCGGCTCGTGGTATAATCTTGACTGCGCAAATCTCGTGAGTTGTGTTGTGCTGAGCCAACTTCACCTTTCCCATGGATCCAGCCCCAATGGTCTTTACAAAGTTCCAATCGCCGATAGATTTTCTATGAAATTGCTGCTGTTGCTGCTGCTGTTGGGGTTGGTGAGATTGTTGTTGTTGCTGTGGTTGCTGTTGGGGTTGGGGTTGTGGTTGCTGTGGTTGCTGCAGACGATGCAGTGGTTGCTGCAGTGGTTGCTGCAGACGGTATTGTTGTTGCTGCGGCGTTTGCGATGGTGATGGTTGAAGTTGACTTGATGGATGGGGTACATGATTTGTTTGTGTTTGCTGGTTAGGATCATATTGATACGATGGTTGTTGCCTTTGCAGCTGAGGTGTCTGATGGCGTTGCTGAGACGGATGATTAGAATACTGGCTCGGAGTCATCGGACTGCGATTCATTTGCTGCAGTGGGTTCTGCCCTTGCGACCCCTTACTCAGTGTAGGTGATACCACATCCCTCGGTTTAGGGAGTGGTTTGGTACTCGCCTTTTGTCCTTGTACATTCAAGACTCCGACCGGGGTTGGAGCAGGTGATGGAATCGAAAGCGGTGGTAACAATTGCGCATCCAGGTTCTTTTCATTCAGGCCAGATGTATCCACTTCTGATTTTGTCTTCAAATTCCCACTAGTACTTCTCAACATACGAGGGGTTGCTGGGTGTGAAACAAAGGGAGTATTGGACTGGTTGCCATCGGCCAACTGACTCTTGCTTATATCCCTTTGAACAAATGGTTTATCGGCATCCATGATATAGAAATACTATGTTGTATTGATTCAAACGCAATTGGTTGTAGATAAATTAAATTCAATATGGATTACGCAACCTTCGGTCGATGCGATTATTGTTGTGACTTTGCCTCCTTTTTCTTGGGTTTTAATGTGGAGGATACTCCGTGAAAAAAATGTAGTATACAAAAGATACCAACAAGGATGCTTTCTTTGATATAAATCTTTGACTAGACGCAACCACTAGTCGTTTGCTTTCTCGACAAAGAAGACAATTGAGATTATTGATTATCCAAATCTTGGCTGTTTAAAAAATTTAGTTAGGAATAGAAAAAAAAAAGGACCTTTTCCAACCCTTTTTTTGCTAAAGATATGTTGGACAACGAAAATGGCTTAAAAAGTGGGTCACTTATGAAAGCAAAAACCAAACGGAATCAATCGGTAACAAGTGGCTGTGTGGAGTCAGATATCCTCTTTTTGTAGGTTCTAATTGGGCTACGTCTACAGAGATATCTACAAATCGCAGAAGTACGGGACCCTAAATAAGGTCGTGCGAGATTTTACAATTCGTCCAACAGGAATCACAAGAATGCAATCGAAGTAAGCTACATAGAAGAGCCTAACATTTAAGGAATATTTTATACATTGCTCTGTATACTGTTGATTTCAGTAAAGATCTCTTTTAAAATCTATATTCTCACACTTTAATGGTGGGCTTTCAAGTGTTGGTATTCCAAGGAGTATCCAAAAATGAGCACAACGATTGCTAAATGAAGCAATGGTTTTCCTGAAGCATTGTCACCATCAAAATAAGCAGCTCTATATCTGGCTAATGGGTTTGTTGGTTTCTTGGCAGCTTGTGCTGGACCTTGAGGCAATTTCTTGTAAAAAGAAACGACTTCTTGCATTCTTTTAGCATTTGGAGCTGAACCAAGGTTCTAAAAAGATGCGTTAGTACTTGAATTGTTTCATTAGTGGTGGTGTACGATTTGAAACCGGATTGTGGCTTTGTTGAAAACGCTTTTAGCTGGTGCTCACATGTGACGGTAAAATGGAATATCTTTACCGTTTGAAGTCAAACAATTCCAATAAATACTCTACTAACTTAGAAGGTCACGGCCTCCTTGATTGTGTACTACCCCAATCCTCAAGACGGCCACGAAGCAACCCTCTGCGTACCACATGTCAAATGCCCATCTCTATAACAATACCCACAAGTGCAATATCACATACCTTAGCCGAAGCAATCTTTGGTGGAATCAATGACGACAATTGCCTTTTAATCACAAATGACATAGTTGATCGTTGTTGTTGTTGGTAAGAAAACCTCGTTTGTCCAGATTGAAAACCGATTTTTTTTTCTGTTTTCTTCACTCTCGCTGGTCTCATGCGTTAATTCTATTTGCCAGAAGTTTTCATTGCAGAGATAGTTGGGAATATATACACGACCTTGAGGAAGTGAACTCTACCACACCAAAGATAGGCTATATCAATTTGACTCGGTCCACTTGACCTTTTATCATTCACATATCGTTGATTGAAATTACACAAGAATCTATATTTTTGTAATAAAGTGAAGACAACGGATGAGTGTGTGTGGAATACAACCAATTTTTCTCACTAGCGAACGTGTAACAACAACATCCATCTCAATTCTCAATTGGAACCCTCTTACTCAACTCTGCGTTTCACCCTACTCCTTCAAAATAACCATCTCCTACTCAATTTTCAGTGATGTACAAAACTAGGTGGAATTTGTTAGTACCAAAAAGTTGAACAACTTGATCATCAAAACCCGCAATTACATACCTGTGTTGCCTCTAAGAAACAAGTCACCATAGTCTCTAGTCATCGTATCCTTGATGAACTCTTTGCCATTTTCTAGTACAACATTCATGTATCCATCAATAGTTTGTAAATCGCCGCGATATTCGACACCACTGTACAACTTGACTTTCACCGGGGAGCCTATTAGGTCACCTAAAAACTTTGAAGGGTCTGTCCTATCAAAATCGGATTCTGACATTGATGGTTGAGTTTGGTCAAAACAGTTGCAAGTGTAGAATTAAGTTTGAACAAAAGTGATGCGAGTTTCTGTGCTCTTAGAAAAAAAAGAAGTCGTGTAATGTCTAAATCTAAGCTCCAACTACTGAATCTATAATGGTAAATAATCGCACCAATTTTTGCAACAATAATATTTCATCACCTTCCTTGTCAGAAAGAGCTTTACTGACTTGTCCAGTTTCCAACAAGTAGTCTCTTTTCAAAACTCCCATAACCAATTCGTCAACTTTCTTCATAAACTCTTTTGTTTGCACAACTCCAGGCTTGTAAGTCGGACCCATAGAAAGTAGCACCGTTGTAACTAACTCAAATATTGGAACCACCAACTCATTCAAAGAGATCGTGTCTTCATATTTGGAATCTGGATTGACCAAGTCTGACAACGACAAAGGTGTATCCAAAAGCACCTTTATACTAATATTCTTAAAATCCTGAACTTCATGCGCATGCAATGTTAAGCCCAAGTCGGGATCAATTTGTAGTAGATCCATGCTTTTCAAAGTAGCAAAAAGCTCATTTTGCACTAATTGTAAAGCTCCCTTTTGTGATTGAGCTATTTTGATGAGTAAGTATACGTTCGCCTTAAACGCGGTAAGTTCAACAAAAAGTTCGTTAAACGTCAATTCGGAAGTCGGTGACGTGGACAACCTAATCACCTGGTCTGTTCGTCTTAATGCACGAATAACTTGCGACAAAAAGCTTTGCTTGAGGACGTGGGAGAAAATGAATTGCTCTTGACTCAGGCTCGCACTCTCCAATTTCAAAAGCGACTCGATCAAAAAGATCGAATTAATACGTGAAAGCCCTTCAGAATACAATGCGTCATTGGTTATGATAGGCAAAAGCTTTTTGTGTACGGATCTTACCAATTCCATAACCTTTGTCGATAAAAACCTATTTTGAAAAATTTTCAGAATAAACTTGTTCAATATTGAGTAAAATTCTGATCGCATACTGGGCGTAGCATGAGAATTGATCACTCCGGAAATACATGTTTGGAACAATGGCATTAGTTGCTCTACGACCAATTTTGCTTGCTTGTCGTCATTAAACTTGGCAAACTTGCTCACGAAAGTATTGAATAGCGACCCACAAAGTGACACCAACTCTTCTGAAAATACCGTGTCTGACTCAATAAAGATTGAAACTTTCGGCAAAATGGCATTAAAAACATCAATGATAAAATCACCCGAGTTTATCTCATCTTGCAACACCAACATCAACTGGCACCACGACGTTAGACATTTCAATTGAACATCACGTGAATTATTCATCACAAGATACTTCGTGACAAACTCCTGCATTTTGTTTCCCTCAGCCATTACCTCTTCACTATACTGCTGCTTCGATTCGGGTGTCACCATGTTTGAGCTTTGACATAAAATTTTATAAATTTTTTCCAAAATGGTGTAATTCAAAGTATAATTTGGACCCTGTACTTGCTTCAATATCGTTTCAACATCAAATGACCGATTCAAGTAGTCATATTTTTCAACTTCAAAGTTCTTGAAGTTAAAATTTAAGATATCAAGAAAATCAACGATTCTTGATGTCCTATTGGGAGACTGGTTCTTGAAAATCAAAAGCTCGGCATAGTACTTTTTCTGAGTTGTTGACTGAGTGTTGAAAAACTCCAATGACAACAAGTTCAATGCCAATTCTCGTTGTGTGATAAAAGCTGTGAATGCGTTTATGCTTGGCAAAGAGCTAATGAAGTAATTTTCAACATTAACATCAAGATCTCCATCAAACTCGTGTCCACACCAGCTGGTCATCAAATCCAACTTTGGCTGGAAAGTAATCAACATCTCTACTAAATTTTGATCACGCACTTTACTCATGCTAATTTGTGAAGATGCCGGATTTGAACAAAGCTTGATCAAAATCTCTAATATCAATGATGACAACTTTGCTGGACCGACATCAATTACATGACGGTTCCCATTGCCAAAATCCAACTCTGATATCAAATTGACGCTGTCTTTCAATGTGCTCAAAAGAATGTCTAGTAAAGTCGTGTGTTGTGAATCGTTCAAGCTCAAATTGTTTGCTTTGATGTTGAATCCCAACAAGAAATGCGCCATGTTGAGTGTCTTCTTTGCGGGATCAAGCATGCTAGCAAGTAAATCCAAAATTTCAAATTTGATCTTCAACGTATCCTCGATCTCTTCAAATTTATCAATAAAGGCAAACTTGATCTTTTCTGATTCATCAATGTTCAAAAACGTGGTAAGTAAGCGATCGTTACTCAACAAAGGGTCAGCTTCCGACTTGCTACTTTTAAAATGATCTTCTTTCCCCAATTTGCTCAATATCTTTAATGCGTCACTAGAAATTGAATTGTCACAATTAACAAATAGCGCAATGTGAGCAACGGATGACAAATGGAATAAAAACACGTCATAAAAAGTTTTCACACTTGACAATCCAAGAATTTTGGAGTGGTATATGTTATCAAAGACGGAAGTCGGTTGATTCAAACTCTTAGTCATAGATGTGTGGATACTCATAATTGAATTTCTATGCACTGGCTGTTGCAGTATGTTTTTGCGTATCAAAACAGGTAACAAATACTCACGAAAGTTCTGCTGCATACCCAACAAAGAATCAAACACATTCAATGCTTGGCCGACCAAGGTTGCGATTTCGGCCGAAGCGTTAACTGATTCCACCCCATGGTCGATGATCTTGAATAGTGCAGTGTAGGCATTACTGTCAAGAAAACATGTAAACACTGCTAGTGAGTGATGCAACTTAACAAATAATTCATAATTTATCGGCAATCCTGGAATCAATGAGTCAAATATAGACTCAAATGATTTAAAATCTCTGATAATGTTCAATGCGGACTCACTCAAGAATTTCCATTCCACTTCATGCAAGGACTCGATGCACAACTGAAGCAATAACATTTGCAAAGAGTCTCTGTACTGCTCGTTTGTCAAACTATGTGACTGTCCCAACACATTCACCAAAAGGAATTCAATGTACGGCCATACTCCAATTTTGTTATTTGGTCTGTACCCATAACCTAGATCACATGGATAAGCCAAAGTATACTTCTGAGTATCCTCCAAACTCAATGGTTGCAACAATTTCTTGACAAGGTCTGCGAAGTTGAGTACTTGACTATAATGGGTCAAGTTATTGGAATACACTTCGATCGTTCCAATCGATCTTTTCCTTGAGTATTTATTTCTTTCCGTTTGTTTGCTAAATAAATCATTCAGCTGGGTTTGAGCTAAATGTAAGCCATGGTACATCCAACGATCCAACATTCGCCAGGACTCATATCTGATGAATGAATCCAGATTCTGTTCAGCAAGATTACCAAGTAATTGGAAAGTCAAATTTAACAACACAATTCTTGAGTCGTCACTAACGTGGATATCGGGTAAATTTATATAATTTGGATTCATCGTGGAATTATGCGCGTTAACATCAATTTGCAAAACTTTCCCACCATTGATCAAATTGTCAAATTTCAAGAATCCCTTGATGATTGGCATGAAGCGATTGAATGCTACATTTTTGATTTGATTTGCACGCTCGGAGCCTGATAGATTTATCATGATTGATGAAATCAACCTCACAAATCCAGATATTGAGACAATAGAGTCCTCGGCAAGCTCGATAACAATCTTGTTTTCTCCAGTGTCTTTGACATTTCCCATACTTTTATTTGAGAAAACAAGCTCATGACGCTTATGATATATGTTCAATTGGTCATTTAAGTCTTGTTCGAAGTTAGTGTTTAGCGATTCAATGTAGTAATTCAATGAGTCAACGATAGATTCAATAGAAATTCTTGAATAATCATTCTTTTTCGCGTGATTATTGTTGTTGATCAAGATATCCCATATCTTGCTTGCAATATTGGATCCACCAGAAGCTAATGCTGCCAAAAGAACACTAAAGCTAGCAGCAATCAAAGGTGATGTATTATTGTTCAAACCCCATGACAAAAATCCAAATACTTCATTAGAGTTGGTTTCGTCGGCCCAAAAAGCCGAGCACAAATCGGGTCTGTTATTGCAATTGTACGCAAAAGCCAAATAAAATCTCTCCAAATCAGCACGTTGGGCAATTTCATCGAATTCCAGCAAACGTGGTTTTTCCGTTTTCGAACGCTCTTCGTTTTCGCTCTCCTCATCGCTAATGTCTTCATTTCTATCCAAAAAGGACAAAGCAAAATCTTCTTCGCTATCTCGTAAAGATGTCAAAATCAATGCGGCATCTGCAACAAAAGTTCCAAAAAAATGCTGCAATAATGGAGATACCAAAGAATCATTGAGTTCTGGATTCAATTTCAAATATGACACATCAACCAACTTGACCACATTCACAAAGTCGGGTCTTTGTTTGGCCAAATGTAAGAGCTCTGCAGAGCCTGAATACTCAAATTTTTTTGGCACAAACGGTGGAACAGTTCTTTGTAGTAATGATCTAAAGTCATATGTATCTGATAATTCGAAAACACGCCTTGTTTCTGGTGTACCAGTTTCCGCACAATAGCTCAATAATAGTTCCATTACTCCGACTGAGATTAATTGTTCCATGTAAACGACAATATTTTTCTGAAAGTCGTACTTCTCGATATCATGCTGTTTACACCATGGAATAAACTCTGTCAAGAAAATGAGCCCCGTTACAATCTCAAATCCATGAAGTTGAGATTGCGATAAGTCAAACATATCTTCCTTTTCCCCCACCAGAATTGATTTTGTAATAAAAGTGTACAACTGATCAATCAATCCTGCACTCTCCCTGGCTTTAGCTTGAAAATTTAAAACGAACGGAAGGAAATGAAAGATAAATACGTCATCATTTTGCAATAGCTTGATAATTTTTATAACCTTTTCGTAATTGTCAACAGTTCCGATATCCTCAAAATAAGATTCACTCATTGTGAACAATAAAGTGCCCAAAAGTTCGTGAAATTTAAACAACTGAGACCTTGCGAAATTGATCCCATTGATAAACACTAAACTCAGCAAGTCCCCCGTCACCTTTTGTTTGTCAATCATGTCATTCACAATATCAATTAGTTTATAAACTTTTTGAAAGCTCTCTAACGTATTTTTAAAGACGTCACTTGCGTTCAAGGGCAATATCTTGTTTCCTATAAGGTAGATCAAAATATTCAAAATGTATTCACCACGACCAAAGTATGATAATTTAGCACTATCAAGCAATGATGTCCCCTTTTTATAACTGACATCCTCGCTGAAATATAACAATTCAGCAGTACACATTTCATCCAAATCAAGCTCTGTGGCTAGCAAGACACTTAATTCAACAAACTCCTCGTTCAATCGGACCACATCGCCATTACTAAACTTAAGTGGGGATTTTAACTTATTTCGAGATTCAGTCAGTGGTGATGGAGTCTTTAAAACTTGTGCAAGATCATGTGATATACTTGATAAATCGATGGCCGATACATCAACGTCTGCCTCAAACTTGATGGCATTGTAAATTTCGGCAAACAGGTCTGATGACCATTGATAGGACATTGTATTCCGACTTTGATTAAGAAGTTGCTAGCTTTGATGGGGCTTCTAGTTGGTGCAAACTTGATTTTATTCGTTTTTTTTTTTTTCTTTTTCGTGTGGCAACCGCTACCACTACGTAGTAGATCGAGTTGAGGAAATGTTGCAAAAGTGTAAACTAAGGATCTTGAGATTTTGGTAGATAACACCTCTGACAAATATTTGACTCAACTACATCGGCTCATATAGAACTTGCACTTGAAGTGAAAAGTCTTGCAACCAGATTACCTTTAAGGGGCTTGTATCTTTCTTTGACCTTTACCTCGAAAATGTTGAAGAAAAAAGGAAGACTCAAGAAAGAAACGCGAGTGTAAAGTTAAAGACCGGAAAGTTAGACATAGAAGACGAAGAATACTTGCATAAGTCAATAACTGAAATGTACAAAAAAGGTAACCCATGAGATGAGAAACAGTTTACAAATTTGGCCAGGGGTGACTAGAGAAGTCGAGTGTTGCCCAAAAACTGGGATCAAACAATTCATGAGACGTCAGAAAGAAATTTATGTTATCCCCAGCTCATCAATAACTACCCCTTATCCATGCTTCGAATGTGTTACTCTAGAGCATTTCAAAGAGTTGTAAAATATTATCAGAACTTATGGAATTCCGCCCGAAAATTGTTGGAACTTTGGCGAAACAATTTTGGATATGAAAGGAGAATCTCACAAAATTTTGTCAACAGGGACAGCCAAATTGGATGCATTGCATGAGAGGAGAATCATTCCCACATTTGGGCGCATTAGCGGTAGAGGTCGATTTCTATCTCCTTTTATAACTTCTCGCACACTTCCGAATAAAGACGTGGTCAAACTTCCGTCACGCTGACCATTTGCTTCTACCCCTTACAAACGAGCTGGTACTTTCGGTACCTCTCATTGGCTCATGGAAAACTTTTACCTCAGTCTGTTCCTGAAGACGAACAATAGTGGCGCTTGCTAATACATGGTGTACCTGAATGTTGGATGACATACGAGTTCAAAAAATGTGTCTCATCAACAAAGTCTATTCCGTCTTTGTGCCTCAAGAAATGCTTTACGTCTACCTGCCTATAAGAGTTGGACTCGCTGGTCAGCTTGGATTAGCTTTCGATGAAGTAGTGGATATCATTAATATGATCTTAAGTTGCAACGTCAATGTATATTTCACTTTTGTACAGGCATTCAAGCATGCAAGAGAATGGTGATGAATGATGATATTATCCTCAGGTCTTCGAAAATTGCAGGTTTATTTCTCGAAAATCCTCGGAATGCTATTGTGAGGGCAAAAAGAAGTGGCAAACAAGATCAGCTTTATGACGATGCTTATCGCAAATATACCCTCAAGGAGGTACCGATAAATGCACCGGAGGAGGAGGAGTCCGATGACGATTCAGCAGCAAGTGACACTGACTAATACTATGAGGAAGTGAACGGATTGAGTGAAGCAAAGGAGCACGACTCCGTACTCAATAATGAAAATGGAGATTTGAAAGGTGAAATTAATGATTTGAGAAAAGAATCAGAACTTAATCGACAAAGTAGCATTTCTCAAGCACCACAACTACACGATGATCAACTACGTCGAAAGGTGAATAAACGAATCTTATGGATAGCATTTATTTTACAATCCGTAAGAATACTTCAAACATTTACATGGTTTAGTTATCGTGATAAATATATTAATGAGCCCATATTATACAAGTTTTCGAAAACAGAAACTGTCACCTTACTCCATCTTGACATTGCATCCATCATACAAGGACATTGTCAAATGTGACATCTTGTGTGGTGGGTATTGAGTATTTGGATCCATCCATAAGGAACTAAACTCTTGCACCAATCTGGTTGTAACGTAACTAGCTTCAGTTAGAGCGAACTGCTGACCAAGACAAATCCTTGGACCACCATTGAATGGAACAAATGCCCAACCCAATTTCCTTGTCTGTGGCTCAAACCATCTCTCGGGTCTAAACTCATTAGCATCCTTACCGTAGTATTCTTCCAGTCTGTGGGTTGCATATACGGAATAATTCACAGTTTGTCCCTTGGTGATCAAGATAGGGGACATTCCGTCGGGTCCTCCACCACGAGGTAAAGTTGTGTTTCTTGTAGCAACACGGAAGTTTTGTGGAACTGATGGATACAAACGCAAACATTCGTTAAGAACTGCTTTCAAATACTCGCAGTTCTTCAATGACTCGAAAGTGATCTCTTCGATTCTAGCTTCCTTGCCCAATCCAAACTTGGTGCCAATTTCTTCTCTCAACTTGGCCAATACTGCAGGATTCCTGGCTAATTCAAAAAACACAAATGACAACAATCCAGCTGTTGTATCTCTGCCTGCAACCAAAATGTTCAACAATTGATCTTGTAAAACCTTTGGATCTCTTGTATGTTTAGCCAACTCGTAAAGGAACACATATCCATTCTGTTTCTCTAACTCCTCTGGTGATAATGACAAGGCTCTTTTAACATAATGTTGCGCGAATCTGTGAACAACTGCGTTGCTATCTCTAAACTTCTTGGAGTTCAATAGCCAATATAATCCTTGCATAACTGCCCTCGAGGCCAAATAGTTTTGAGAAAAGTTGAAAGACTCGGCAAATTGTTCCTTACCGTCAATTTCGTTCGAATCAGCCTGCATTCCAACACTGGCATCCTTCAACGAATCAACTGATTCCCCAAATAAAAACTCAGTGGCTGAATCAACGGTGAATCTAAAAAATAGTTCTTGCAAATCAAATACTTGTCCTTTGTTCTTGCGCACATGCTTGAAAAGAACTTGAATGTGTGGCTCCAACATCTTGACATGTGAGATTTGTTCTCTGGCAAACTGTGGACGCAACATCTGTCTCGAGTCTTTCCATCCTTGGTTATCTAAAGTGAATATTCCATCACCCAACAAAGGTTTGAACTGTGGATGTCTTGTACCTAGGGAGAAATCATTGAACTGAGTAGCTAAAAGTGCTTTGATATTCTCGGGATCTTTAGTCGCCCAAAGCTTTACTGTGAAAATTCTCATTGAAAGTGTAGGAACTTCTGGGTGTGAAATTTCATGGAATCTTTGCTCAGAAAAGTCAACAAGAGTTCCGTTCTTTTTCCTTTCGATTAACCAGAATGGAAGTTTGAATCCCAAGTAGCCATCGCCTTCGGGGTTTGTTTCCCTAACCGCTCCCAACTTCTTCATCAAGTATGCTTCATTAATTTTCTTGTACACAACATAAAAGACGATCAATGCTGGTGCTATGATGTACCACTTCGTGGAGTATTCCATAATATCAAAATCTGACATGTTTGTTTGATAATTGTTGGAATTTTACTGATCTTTGGTAATGAATTTAATAATAAATGCAGAACAACTATCATTTGTGGTGATTTTGGATTCCTTATATATCAAACATTTTTTGGTTTGCCCCTAATTAGGAAATACTTTTTTCACATGCCATTTGTGTAACAAAAGAATATGACTATCCTACATATATGCAAACACAATAGGTTATTGTAATATCGTTGGTTTTTATCCGCAATTATCTTTTAAATCCGCTTTACGTTATTCAAGACAACATTACAACACCAGACTTGTGAAATAACAAATGAGGGTCCCAGTAACAATCGTGACAATTGCTCTTCACATGCTGAACTTTGTTCTCACCCTCAGAAATAAAGATAAGGGGGAATACAAATAAAAGGAGAACCACTGCGGAGTTAATGTGCAGAATACCGTTTTGGCGGTAATTCTAACCATGCTCTTCTTCTTTTCTGAGGTGTACCTTAGCAAATATCGATTGTGCAGATGATTTAACGACCTATGTACATTAATTGACACCAAAGTTTGAGGTTTGATGTAGGCGATTTTTAGGCAAAAATTTGGTACTCTTGAGATTTCATAGATAAAGTTTCCAGAAACACTGAGAATGCCATCATCTGCAACGAAGTTTTAGACATGTAACTTTCTATCACATGGGTAATCGTCACAAAGTAAGGGCCTGCTTTGTCCATGACCTCCGCAGTATCGTTTCTTCCCAGAAAACAAAACCACAAAATTTTTCAACCCAAACTCCGAATGTATTTATTATTAATTGTTGGTAATTCCTCCCCACATCAAATACGTCACAAAACTCATTTTTTAGATGCTCCTGCATTAATTCCGGTTATAATATTTTAACTCCGTAAGAGCACAAAGCCAAAGATTTGTTCATGTTTCAGGTGGCCAATGTTTTACGTACTAACTGCCATAAATAGACGCTTCAATCTAGGCTACATCCCCAATTCCAACAAATAATGTCACGTGTCATACGAAAGCTTTCCGCATTGGACTTAGAGTATATTCGCGTTCTTGTAGTCAGAGGACATTGTGACTGCCAGCACTTGTAATAGAAGCATACAATTTCCCCCTCTTTGTCGTCAAACGTTTGATGTTGAGGTCACACATTGCTTAGTGGTTCTTAAAGTCCGCGTCCGCATCAATAGTTTTCAAGATGAAAAAGCACTCCTTTTTAATTAAGGGGTGAAATTGCTTCGTTCTTAGAGTAAACCTTTGCAAAGTAGAATAATCATGTGCAAGGGTTCTGAGTTAACATGAGCTAGCCAGTTCGTAACTAGCTTGAAAGCTGAGCTGAAGGCAGAATATGATGAACATAAAGGCTAGAAGAGAGATATCGGCTACTTAGCCACTGCTTTATTCATTTCAAGCACTTTAGGATGCGTTACATTAGATTATCCTTCCATCGCGTCTGTATGTTCACATAGTAAATACTCAAAATTCAAATCTAAGCTGAAAAAACGATAACATTACTTCCTAAAAGTATCACCTTACTCCATCTTGACATTGCATCCATCATACAAGGACATTGTCAAATGTGACATCTTGTGTGGTGGGTATTGAGTATTTGGATCCATCCATAAGGAACTAAACTCTTGCACCAATCTGGTTGTAACGTAACTAGCTTCAGTTAGAGCGAACTGCTGACCAAGACAAATCCTTGGACCACCATTGAATGGAACAAATGCCCAACCCAATTTCCTTGTCTGTGGCTCAAACCATCTCTCGGGTCTAAACTCATTAGCATCCTTACCGTAGTATTCTTCCATTCTGTGCGTTGAGTAAACGCTGTAATGAACCTCTTGGTTTTTAGTAACCAAGATAGGGGACATTCCGTCGGGTCCTCCACCACGAGGTAAAGTTGTGTTTCTTGTAGCAACACGGAAGTTTTGTGGAACTGATGGATACAAACGCAAACATTCGTTAAGAACTGCTTTCAAATACTCGCAGTTCTTCAATGACTCGAAAGTGATCTCTTCGATTCTAGCTTCCTTGCCCAATCCAAACTTGGTGCCAATTTCTTCTCTCAACTTGGCCAATACTGCAGGATTCCTGGCTAATTCAAAAAACACAAATGACAACAATCCAGCTGTTGTATCTCTGCCTGCAACCAAAATGTTCAACAATTGATCTTGTAAAACCTTTGGATCTCTTGTATGTTTAGCCAACTCGTAAAGGAACACATATCCATTCTGTTTCTCTAACTCCTCTGGTGATAATGACAAGGCTCTTTTAACATAATGTTGCGCGAATCTGTGAACAACTGCGTTGCTATCTCTAAACTGTTTGGAGTTTAAGACCCAATACATAAACAGTATAACCACTCTCGACGCTAAGTAGCTTTGGGAAAAATTGAATGATTGTGGAAATTGTTCCTTTCCGTCGAATTCGTTCGAATCAGCCTGCATTCCAACACTGGCATCCTTCAACGAATCAACTGATTCCCCAAATAAAAACTCAGTGGCTGAATCAACGGTGAATCTAAAAAATAGTTCTTGCAAATCAAATACTTGTCCTTTGTTCTTGCGCACATGCTTGAAAAGAACTTGAATGTGTGGCTCCAACATCTTGACATGTGAGATTTGTTCTCTGGCAAACTGTGGACGCAACATCTGTCTCGAGTCTTTCCATCCTTTGCCATCCAAAGTGAATATTCCATCACCCAACAACGCTTGAAACTGAGCGTGCCTCGTACCCAAGCAGAAGTCGTTGAACTGAGTAGCTAAAAGTGCTTTGATATTCTCGGGATCTTTAGTCAAATAAAACTTCACCGTAAAAATTCTCAGGGAAAATGTAGGAACTTCAGGATGTGGGGCACCGCGATACATTTCGGCAACATAGTCAATGAGGGTTCCATTGTTTTTACTTGCAATCAACGTGAATGCAAGCTTGAGACTAAAAGCTCCGTCACTTACAACATTTGTTTCTCTGGATGCTCCCAACTTCTTCATTAAATATACCTCCGTGATTATCTTGTACACAACATAAAGCACGATCAACGCTGGTGCTAGAACAAACAAACTGATGGTATAACCCATGATGTTAAAATCTAACATGCTGACCTCGTTGTAGTAGTTGAAGAAGAGGCATGTTTGTATCGATGTCAGGCATGAAAAGAGAATTGCCCATCTCTTTATATCGGTAGCTAACGTTGCCCGAGTTAAATAACCATTACACAGCTCGAGGGTGATCGTCAGATTGCATGTGTTTTTTCTAAAAAAAAATGGAAGTCCGCATTGTCCCCGCATTAAGGGAGCCTGACATATTATGGAAGGGTCGGAGTTTACTCAGAAAAGGGGTTGATTTTACCCACTGTACATTTAATTGTGTAATGTTCGTGTAATGAGCGGAACGGTTATAAAAGCGGATATAATTTTCAAGCGCTTATGTAAGCATTAGCTTGCGTTTCTCTACCAAGAACTGTCTCAATTCAATGAACACTGACAGAACAAACCACCATGGTTTGCGATTGTATATGTGGGAGCTTCCTTTGGGAAATATTGAGTTCATTGTGAATAGGCTTACCGATACAATCCTTCCGCAGCAAGAAACAATAGCATTTATTTATCACTACAGTCGATTTCGAAAAGATTTTGCTGCAACTACCCGCTTGGGAACCTTTGTAGATTATGCATAGCAAGTTCCACTTCTCTTCCCATTTTGATAAGCTTGCATAAGCCGTGCCTGTTAACAAAGAAGGGCAAAAGTATTGGGTTCATCGTAGAATTGAGATGAAGTGACGAAGGGCAGATTTGAATGTGGGAGTATCGCAATTATTGGACGTAGCTAAGTCTGTCCCACATGCTTAAACCAGTAGATACTTAATTGCATGACCTTCTCTTTCGCCCCATATGGCTTGTATAAATGACTTGAACACAGTGATGCATTCGAAAAATGCATGGAAATTGTTACAAAATTTGACTCAATCAGTTACAATCGTAAAAAGAAAAAATTGGCACAGCTATGTAAGTGAAGATTTTACCAAATACTTAATCAAATAAACTCTTTCTAGTGTTTGGTTTTCCATGGAAAAATCTGACTATTGTATTAAATGGTGGGTTTAGTTTATGGTGGAATGTTGTGTGTCGTAAAAAATTGCGACACAACTTAAATTACGACACTGGACAATATTATCGTCTCAACATCGCCATTCCTAGAGTATATCGTAGTTTTAATGCTTTTAACCAAACAGAAGAAACCAATAAATGATATTATAGAAAAAATGACTATAAAGGAATAAAACCACTATTATACAGTAGGACCAGCTTCTTGAACCTCAGCAGTAGCTTGATCACTATATTTAACGAAATTGTCATTGAACTTCTTACCAAGAGATTCAATTTCCTTTTGGAATGATTCTTGACCACCAGTCCAAGCTTTGGTTGGGTTCAAGATTTCGCTTGGTACACCTGGACAGCTCTTTGGAACATTCAAGTTAAAGACTGGGAATTTTTCGTATTCAACCTTTGATAATTCACCAGAGTGGATAGCATCCAAGATAGCTCTGGTGTATTTCAATGAACATCTCTTACCACCTTGAGCAACTGAAGCACCAACCCAACCAGTGTTCAATAACCAAGCGTTAGCCTTGTGTTCAGAAATCTTATCAGACAATTGTTGAGCGTACTTCATTGGGTGCAAGACCAAGAATGGTTGACCGAAACATGCAGAGAATGTAGCTTGTGGTTCAGTAACACCTTCCTCAGTACCAGCCATCTTGGAAGTGTAACCTGAAATAAAGTGATACATAACTTGAGCATTGGTCAATTTGGATACTGGTGGCAATACACCGGAAGCATCACATGTCAACAAGATAATGTTTGATGGGTGAGTGTCAGCCAAACATGGAATCTTAGCTGATGGGATAAAGTCAATTGGGTATGCACATCTGGTGTTTTCAGTAATCGATGAATCTGAATAGTCAACAACTTTGGTGACTGGATCGTAAACAACGTTTTCCAAAATAGCACCGAATTTAATGGAGTTGAAAATTTCTGGTTCCTTTTCTTGAGACAAGTCCAAACACTTGGCATAACAACCACCTTCAATGTTGAAAACACCATTGTCTGACCAACAATGTTCATCATCACCAATTAATTTTCTGTTTGGATCAGCGGATAAAGTGGTTTTACCAGTACCGGATAAACCAAAGAACAAAGTGACATCACCCTTGTCAACACCTTGGTTACATGAAGAGTGCAAAGTCAAAACCTTGTGTTTAATTGGCATCAAATAAAACATGACAGTGAAAATACCTTTCTTCATTTCACCAGCATACTCAGTACCCAAGATAACCATTTCCATATCTTTGAAATTGATTTCAACTGAGGTAGATGAAGTCATACCTTTGGTGTGAACATTAGCAGGGAATTGACCGGCATTGTAAATGGTGAAATCTGGCTCGCCAAAGTTTTTCAACTCTTCTTCAGTTGGTCTAATCAACATATTGGTCATAAACAAAGCATGGTAAGCTCTAGCACAGATGATTCTAACCTTGATTCTGTATCTTGGATCCCAACCGGCGTAAGCGTCAACAACAAACAACTTTTCTCTGGTTCTCAAATAATCCAAAGCTCTTGATCTGGAAATTTTCCAAGTCAATTCGTCAACTTGTTTGTTGACAGGACCCCACCAAATGTGGTTTGATGAGGTTTCTTCATCAACAATTCTTTTATCGCTTGGAGATCTACCAGTTTTTTTACCGGAGTAAGCCATAAGAGCACCAGTGGAGGAAATGGTAGTTCCTTTTTCCAACAAACCATCTTCGTACAAAGTTGGTGGTGCGGCATTGTGTCTGACGATGGTGTCAGTCGTCAAGTTCAATTTTTTCACCAATGGGTCTTGTGTGCTTTTGATTGAAGGGTGTCCTTCGAAGTTGATAGTAGATTCAACGGCAGCTGGTGGTGGTGGTGACATGATTATTGAATAAATATACGATTGTAGTTATTTAGTTAAAGTCAATGGGAAAATAAGAAAGAAGAAATTGAAAAGAATTGGAGAGGGAAATCATAGGTGTATTTATACTCTTTTTGGTTTATAACTTTTGAAAGATTTTTCAGGAAATTACTTCCATTAACCCACTTCTTCAATTATTTAAAAAACCAAAGAAAATTTTTCAATTTTGTACCATATATCGTTTGTTTGTCAAAATGTAACATTATATTGCCTATAGATTTGCTGGGTGTCTCGTCGTTGCCAGTGCTGTTATCCAGTTCTCAAGCCCCTCACTGTCTACCGCAGCTTATAGCAACAGCTAGTCTTGTCAAGACACCCCTCCCTTGGTGTTGATTCTTGTTGAGTACAACCAGAAACTACCGGGATCGGTCGTGTACACTTGCACAAAAGCAACGAAATATGGGGTAAGAAGGTTTAAGAGTTCCGACATCCTCCATGCCGGGATAACGATTCTTTCCGAGGTCGAAAAATTTGGAAACACAAAAAAGCTTACTGTAACGCAGCCAGCAACGATTTTGAGAACAGCCACGAAAGGGACTAACGTTAGCGAGAGGAACTGGCGTAGTTTAGCCGATTCTGCTCTAAGTATCCACCTGTTCCGAATGAAAAGAGTAGCCTGATTTTGCAATAAACTCGTACAAGTGAACAGTGTTGCAGATTTTTAGTTTCCAACAAAAAAATATTTTAGTAACGAAGAAAAACACGTTACTTTTAAAAGCTGCAGCAGCATTTGCTTTTCTTTATCAAGGCAGCTTGCGACACACTTCAATTGTTTGTAAACCCAAGCTCCTTAACAGTATTCACGGAAATGAATAGGCTGAGTTGTTACGATTTTTTCCGGTGGTCCAGGGACTCTTTGTGTAATCTTGACACCAGCACATGCAAACAATTGATGAAAGATTCCACAACAGTTAAGAGGTCGAAAAAACGTTGGGTTAGAACGTTGTCGCCCAAAATGACTAGTATTCAATTTCAATGACATGAGATGAAAGATGTGCCATTTCGTATTTAATTATTTATGCTCCCCCTATTTCGCTAAAACTCAATTCTTCTTGTAAGTTTGTTCCCCGCATTTTCGCTTTCGTTTTAGAATTCTTTTTTTTTTCCTCTCACCTCTCCGGTCGTCTTTTAATCGCAAGCTTTATTACGTAGAACACCGGGGTCACTAGAACTAATATAATTGAAAAATTAAAGCGATTTATCAAACGCACGATCATGAAGGTTCGTGGTGATAGACTTTGCCAAGTCGGCAAACCAAAAAGGGGCTCGAAATTTTAACAAAACCTCATTAGTTCTAGAATCGGAAATCTCATACAAACGGCTCTTCCTTAACGTGGGAAAAAAAAAATATGTCACGACGGTTACTCGACATAAAAATTCCGACGCGCGGGTGAAAGATTGTGGAATTTTATCCGTCGTCTATCTACAATGTATACAATTAGCCGTTACCATATCAATTCTTCCACTGAGTTGCCTTCTTATCATAATAATCGTAGTAGTATTTCCATTTTTCAAACCCGATATCGCGTATACCTGTTATTGTTTTTTCGTCATCAACAACATCACACATGATGCATTGATCTAATGAATCTTCGTCGAGTATGTAGTTCTTCAACTTTGTGATGGCACTACAAATCAAACCGTACTTGAAGATATCCACCAAGTTGGCATACAGTTGATCAATTACTGGTGCAATGATCCCTCCTATTACAGGAGCAGCAATACTACTCTCTCGCAAGTCCTCACTAATGCACTGATCAATGAACGGGAAGAATTTGGAAAACTCTGATTTATTGGTGAATAATATAACACTGCCAATCACGTTTTGCGAACTTGGTTCCAATGCAATGATAATTTTAACCTCATGTATCAGTCTCGACGGTATGTTTTTGATGGCCTCTTTGTAAAAAGCCCTATACTGAGGTGTTAGGTTTCCCTTCTGAATCAATTTCTCCAACTGACTTTGTCCAGTACATACATCAAACCTGACACCAACAATCATCAACTCTTTTAGAATACGTTCCGGTACCAGCCACCCACTCAACTCATTCAACACCAAAATCCACTTTCTTGGCGATTTGTCATTTTCCCATCCAAGGCGTCTCAAAAACAAATTGCTACCAGTACTTAGATTTCCTGGAAACATAATAAGGGGGAAAGAAGATCCCAACCTGATTTCGCTGCAGTTCTTTTCTCTTGTAAGATATCGCTCTGCTCTAGCATTCAAATTTTTACCAATGCTATGCAACCGCTTGGACTTTTCAACAACAATGAAGAGTATGTGTCCCATAGTGCCATCACACCACGTCAACACAGCTCCATATAGGATGTTTAATGACGAATTGCGCACAACAAAATGCTTTTGATTAGAGGTGGATAAAAGACCCCCCAATCTTTTGCAATATTGCTCATCTTGCATATTGACACTATCTTCCCCTCCTTCAATTTCTTTCCACAATTTGATCAAACCAGATAAATCCCTTGCCATATCAAACTCATCAACCAACCACTTTCTTTTGATTTGTTTGGCATTAACTTCATCGTGACTGTGTCGTCTTTTTGTGGCGTTTCGTTGCTCACCCGGTATACACCCTTGTGGTTCAAAGTCACCCATTAGTAGAGCAGCAACATTCTCCAATGCTTTACTTGTGTAATCATAACAACAAATATACACACTGCCCATCAATTTATCATAGAAAAAGTCGTAAGGCGACAGCGTGGCAACCACAATCAATGGCTTTCGCAAAGGATTGGCTGGCTTTGACCGTTTTCCTCCAAATGAGGACGGGTTTGCTCCACATAGTACTGAAATGTACTTGACAATACCAATTTGATACATGTTTCGCGCAGCTTCACTAGTAAACACAACAACAACGTTTGCTTTATCGATTAATGACTCGTGGAGTGGCGTCAAACCATTCGCGGTGTAAGTTGTATGCAAGACAACGTATTTTTTTCTCGTATTAAGTGGATGCTTGGATAGAAACTTACCAAAACTTTGGAACACTTCTTCGCCAGTAAAAAGTTTACCTGGTTTTGATTGTGTTGGTGAGATTGGACTTAGCAAAGGACTCAATACCAATATTGACTCAACTTCCGATGTCTGTTCGTAGTGCTTGGACAATGGAAGCAAGCCACCGTAATCGCGCACCAAGGTTATTGACTTTTGATAGGCCAACGATGCCAATTCTTGATGTCGCCTCCATTGTTCCGGATACTCATTTTTGAACAAAGTAGGGCTTTGTTGTGCTGATGCTATACCATCGGGAAAAATTTCTTTCCAAGTCGGCAATTGTTTTTGTAGCTTTTCTATTCTTTCAAAACTAGTGACAACTACATCTTCGTCCAAGTTGCCATTCAAAATACCCTTTTTTATCGACTCAATGGCTTCATTTTGCAACTTCAAGTCATGACAAACCATTACCAAATCGCAACCAGCATTAATGGCTAGAATTACTCCTTGACCCAACCCGATGGAGTGATACAATGCTTCCATCTCCAAGCACTCACTAATGACAAACCCATTGAAGCCCAACTCTTGTCTCAATAGTTGATTGATAATAACTGGTGATAAGCACGCATGCGTCTCGTCAGGGCTAATATTTGGCACCCCACAACCAGCTACACTTACTCCGTTCAATAAACCTGCATCAATTAATTTTGCAAAAGGTACAACATTGTTTTGTCGAATTTGACTCAAAGTGTCGCCCATCATGGGCAACTCAAGTAGCGAATCGACAGTTGCATTGCCTATACCAGGAAAGTGTTTCCCCACCGTAAACAAGCCCCCATCTCGTAAACCTTTTGCACACATCAGACCGTACTTTTGTACATCATCAACCGTGGTCCCAAAACTTCTTACTCCCACGAGTTGGTGCGAAAGTTTTGTCACCACATCCAATACAGGCCCCAATATGATACTGAAACCAATCATTTTCAACTCTATTGCTATGGCTTTGGATATCTCGTACACCAATTGTGGGTCACCGGTTGCTGCCATTGCCATGGCACTGGGGTACTGAGTAATGAAATCGGGATCAAACAATGAGTTCATAATCCCACCTTCTTGGTCAATGGCAAACATGAGTGGATACTTGTAGTTACCTTGGGTGTATGCGATGTACTGTAGGTCTTTGATCAACTTTGACATTTGTTCCACATTAACTGCATTTTTACGGGACAATATCATTGATGAGATCTTGTGTTCGACAATCAATTTGTATGCTTGTGAGGTGACCTTAGTGCCTTGGAAACCACCACATAGTAGCTGTCCAGCTTTCTCCTCCATCGTGTTGCGCTAGGCTTGATGAATGATCTTGAAAAGTCCGTGGTGATAAACTGACGACAATGGAGTATGTTTGAGCGGAGATTTTTTTCTCTTTTTTTTGGTGATGCTGCGTCTGTGTGCAACGACTGATACGAACCCCTGTATGCCGACTTTTTTATCGACAGCTCAAAGCACACAGTAGAGCGACTTGCAAAAACACAGAATACGAATTGAAGCTCATCATAAAGGCAAGAAATAACACAATACTCGACGACTGAGCTCAATTGATGCCTCAAAAGTTATGGGCTTTTTTCAGTTCCCCGACGCGTAGCCTAAAGTAACGCAGTGTCCATCAGCTTTCTTGAATTCGATAGGATGGCCAAACTCGATAAAATAACTTATCTCGACGCCTTAGCTTCTATGAGGAGTTCTTATGTGAAAAGTTTTGCTGGAGCCACACCAATACGTCATACGTCTAATTGAGCTTAAAATCCCAAAATGGAAAAATTGTAAATAAAGCTGGAAAAAAAGTAGCGATTATTTATATCACAATTCCCTTTCTTATTGCACCAAGTTGCAAAACTCAATAGCGTAGAAAGCGATCACAAATGGGTATCCCTGAACTATGGGAGGTCTTGCGACCGGCGTTTGACGCGAGAATAACCATTGATGAATTGGTTGACCAATATATTACAAAATTTGGTCGTCCCCCAAGAGTAGCCATTGATGCCTACATATTTATCTTCCACGCAGATCACAGCTCCATTCCCGAAAATGATAAAGAAACCATTTTGACACAAAATTTCATGTCCAAGATTCTTGCCTTGGTTGGTTTGAATATATCGGTGATGGTGGTATTTGATGGAATCTTGAAACCCGACAAATCTGGAGCTGGGAAGCCACTGGATCATGAGAAAGAACTAGAAAAGCTTCACCGTACGGAAAACTTTTCTGAACCCAAAGAATTTATCCAGCACCTAAAAGATGTTTTGAAACTTAATAGCATTGAGTTTGTCCAAGCTACAGGAGAAGCAGAGGCACAATGCGCGTACTTACAAAAGTTGGGAATTGTGGACTTCGTAATAACTAATGACGTTGATAGTTTGGTGTTTGGCGCTACTCAAGTTTTGAGAAATTATAGTCGCTTTGTTGAAGACATTGGACACTCACCAACAAAGAAGCTGGCCACTTTGAAGCAAAAATATTACGTCACTCCAGTGAATATGAGCAAGGTTGAAGAAATAACCGGATTAACTAGATCCAGATTGGTATTTTTGGCCACATTAAGAAGGGGTGACTACTCATCAGGAGTTAAGAAAATGGGCATTAAGAATGCGACAAATTTGGCGCTAAGCGGTACTTTGTTTGGAAAGTTTTACAACCGATCCTTGACCAAACAGGAATTACAAGAAGCAAAACGTGGTGATTTGACACCTTCTGAACCACCACCAGACTTTTCTGAGGAACTAGAAGCTTGCTTTGTCAAAAAGGGTGTTAATTCGGTTTTTCCTTGGGATGCTAAGAAAGATAAACAAGAAAGAGAAACGCTATTTTCCGATTTGTTAGAGAAACTCAATGAACTGTTGCGTGGCTCGAATCGCGACATTTTTGGACGTGGTTTTGCTGTCACGGAACGGTTTGAATTTGATGAATATTTCGTGCTATTGTATTTTTTCCCACTAGTACAGACGAGGTTACCGGTATTCTTGCCCTGGACATTGAGCTCGGGAGAGCTTTCGATAAATTTTCAAATAAGATTGGGGTCGGGAATGAGGGAGGAGCTTTCACGTGTGAGCGAAATAGAGGAGATAGATTTTGACGGCGACTCAGCTTTGATAGTGCTGAGCACCGACTACTTATTTGTTCCCAAAACTTACAATTGGCAAATCAAATATATCATATTCAAATTGGCCTCATATGCCAGTATGATAAAAGTTACCAATGAAAAATTAGAGGATGGTATTGGAAAAGTCATGCTTAAATACGACGAACGGGAAGTTCGTAACGCATTCCCCATGTCGGTCGAAGCAAGAAGAGTTATTGAATCACCTCACAGGAGAAAAGGTGATGAAGATTCAATTAGCTACATCTGGGTTCCCAAATCATTGGTTGAAGTATACTATCCTCAACTACTTGATCAGTATATTCAAAAGAAGAAAGAGAAATTTCGCAGTAAAGGTAGCAAAACTTCACTGCAGCAAAAGACAACATTAGATCAATTGGACAACTCTCCAATCAAAAAGTCAAGCAGGTACTTCAATTTGTCACAACCTATACCATTTGAGATAAAACCATCGATATCACCTCCAAAACGTCTGCCAACCAAGAAAAAAGTGAACAAACCATCACCGAAAAAGCAAGTAACCGTGGTTGAAGGGCAAAGGAAACTTGACTTTTTCCTTAAATCAAAGAAAGATATCAACAACAACCCATTTCTTGATCCGGATTGGTAAGTAGATAGAGTGACACAAAAGTCACGACGCAATGACGTATTTTAGCAAACGAGACCATATACCAAAGAGAGAAAGAGAAAAAAAAATCTCTACAATTTTTCACTCTTCCTCTGATTACATATACATTCAACCTAATTGCAAATGGAGACAAGCAAGGAAGGATTCACGGGAAATTTAGGAAGCGCGGGATTAGATGTCACTTTGAATTATTTCACCAACCAGCCCGATTTTCTGTCAGTGTCTAATGCAGACCTTGCCATAATATTCAAGTCGTTAAGTAAGAAAGATCCCAAAACAAAAGAAAAAGCACTCAATGATCTCCTTTCGATTATTGAAGAAAAATCGACGGAGTTTGACGACATCGCAGTCGTATGTTGGGTAAAGTTGTACCCCAAAATTGCCCTTGACAATTCCAAAGATGTGAGGGCAATGACTCATCAAATTCAAGGCACGCTCTTGAAAATCTTGGGCTCAAAAAGATATGGGAAGTACTTAAAAATAACAATGCCAATTTGGCTCATGGGTACCATGGACCCAGATAAAAGCGTTTCAAGAACAGCAGCGAGACTTTTGCTCGACAATTTTCAAGGCGATGAGACCAAATTCGAAAAAGTGTGGGAGATCTTTGAGGAGCAGATTATAAACTTGGTCGGTTCAGTTGCCACTATTGAATCTCCAGAAACTTTGTCAGATCCTAGGTATTTATCTGACTCAGAAATTCAGATTAAGTACGACCGCACTTTGATGGTCTCTATTGATATGCTTTTGAAGATTTACAAGAAATGTCAATTAGTTACATCTATTGAGCTGATCTTGGACCTGGATGTCATATGGGAAAGATTTGTCCACAGTGTGAAAGAAGATACGATGAATTTGCGTCTATTTAAATGTATATTGACGTTAATATTGTCAACGTGTTCTAAAGAGAATTTCCTTTTGGAGTCAATGGATCAAAAAGCTTTGTATAAAACAATTTCCAAAGCAGTTATGAAAGTGAAATTTGCAAAGAATAAACCGGCAATTGTATACGCCCCGGTGATTCTCCCGTTCTGGCAAGTTTTGATCCAACTCACAAGATTTCCCAAGCATTGGGAGTTGAGCAAATCAATTTGGGACATAGGTGGAAGCAAAAGTTCCTCAAGACTACACAGCTATATCCGTTTAGGACCTTGTGACTCAGATCCTAGTTACTACGACGTAGTCGCTACATTGTTTACAGATTTCAAACTGGATGATAAAAAGGTAATCGATTTTAGGGACACAGAAGAGTCTCTGTTCTTTACAAAGATCTTTATGGAGCAATTTGTAAAGAATCGTGAAATGTTCAAAACATCCTGTTTGCGATGCGCAATGAAGGTGATGGATTTATTTGACGAAAACAAGGTCGAGAACATGAAATTGATTTTAAACAATGTTTTGAATTCCAAAAAATCGAGGTTTCAATCAACTGACAAAGAGCTAATATCACAGTTTAGGGATTTTGAGAACAAGGTATTGTTGAGGGAATCTTTATGCGCAATTCAATGCGAGATTCAAAAGCATATTGAAGACACATTGTACACTGATGAATATTTAGTTCGATTTTTTGAGTTATTGAAAATGCTGAATCTCAAAGATCAAGCTACCGAGTTGGTAGAATTGGCGGTGAAGCAATGTAATACTCAAGAAGTGGATATCGTTCTTGCTGGGCGCTATGTCAGTGCATACTTGGCGGTGAATGATACAATTACGCCAACGATGGAAGCATTTGTCAAGCAATTGCCGGAGCACTTAGGTACGTCATACGTCATCTCAAGACAGATTTTGAATCAAGTGTTCTCCGAAAAGATTTTGACTGACAGAGAGTTGGTAGAGTTGTTGAATAAGTCATTCGCAAATCTTTTGGTAACGAACGTTGAAAAAAGAGATGATTTTGTCAAGTCATTTGATTTTGATTTTAGCGAATCAGATTACCCTGATATATATCATTATTCGAGAGAAAAGTCGCGCGATCTGGCTGAGCCAGAATATTTGGAAAAATTATTAGTATCTGGAGACAAAGAAGCCTTGCGTGATGTAATAAAAGGTTTGGACGAACAATCGTCTCTTGCATTTATTACCATCGTCCTGAAAACCAATTCCATTGATGTTACTATCGAGCTAGGTATCGAGAATGTAATAAAATTTGCTTGGAGAAACGTGAAGCAACTGGTAAAATTCTTGCAAGCATTACGTCAATATGAAGCTTCGTTTTATGCGTCCTTGATGATGCACCTTCGCACCTGTTCAATTGAAACACAGTTGACTGATGTTGAAGAACTACTCCGTGAGGCACCGATTCTGTATGAAGTATTTGAATTAGAATTAAAGCAATTCATCAACAGGATAGAACCGTTTGAAATTGCTATGGCAAATGCATTAGGTCCGGCTGTATACTTGTGTAACTATGGATCGGAAGCTGTACCGAAGGAAGCAGTAATCTTAGCAAAACTCATCGTTGAGTTGAGAATGGATAACCCCAAGTGGAAAGTGTTGACACAGATCAGCAAGGAGCTCGTCTCAGATTATGTTTTCACCCAAAACGTTAGCGAGGAGGAGGAAATCATTTTGATGAAGGTCGTCGGTGAACATGCTCGAGAGAAACACACGGAGTGCATCGCAGATTTGATTGGTGACAACGAGGAGAATCCATTAGCTTTGGTAACCAAAGGCAATGACCTTTTTGCTTTCTACGCAGGAAGGAGTTTAACAAAGACTATTGAAAATGCATCGGAGCAAATGAGTCTTCTGCAATTTGAATCATTGAAGATCAACTATGTCCAGTTATTGAAGCATCCATTGAAAAGCGTTGCTTTTGTTAATGGTATAAAAAACTTTCTCGGTTCGCAAACTCTAGAGCGTGCCAGAAATTATGCGTTCTCCGAGATTTTGGCCGTCGAAAGGGAAAGCGAAATCACTACCTTGGGATTGAAGTGGATAACGATACTTGTCTCTTTTCTCAATCAAGAGACCGGCTTGAAAAACGTTTTCCCCGGAGTAAAGCTAGCCATGGTTTTGAAACAGATTGACGATTGGTTTGAGTCGTCAATCGCATACGATCCTGAATTTATCAATATAAGAATTCAAGTACTCATCTTCCTAGGCCATTTGTTTACAGTTGAGGATACCTTACCTGATATTTATGTTGACTTGGTCAACAAGATTATCGCTGATAACCTCGATATGGCCGATGATAGGGTAGATTTGAAGTACTATACCTTGAAAGTTTATGCAAGCATGTTGAAGCGCAACCCTAATGGATTGGAGCTACAGGACGAGAGATTGATTGAATTGCTCGCTACTGCTCCGAATGACAACAATGCCAGTCAAGTTGCTTACTTGGTGGACACAATTTTGGAGAGAGCTCTTCAACTTTCCAAAATATCAACAAAACTTGTACAACGATTCAAGTCTCAGTTATTGATTGTTCTCGCCAAAACAGTCTCCCTTACAAAGCAAAAACTCAGCAGCTATTATTTGTTGCAATTGTACAAGGAAGAGAAGGACGATTTTGTCATTGAGTATCAACTATCTAAAGATGAGAATAAGAAAGCGCAATTACCTTCACCTGTTTTGGAGATTGCGGAAAAATTTAAAGTTGATTCAACTGCAGACATATTCAGGTATATGCTATCGTGGCTCGTAATCACCGATTTTTTCAAAGATGTCACCTTGTCAATTAAAAATGATTACTTGAATGAAGTGTTGGAAGGCAAAGATTTCCAAACACTTTTGTACTACATTTTTGATCATGTGGATTTTAGTAACAAGTTTTTGTCAACATTCCCAATTGAAAGTGTTACCGACTATGATATAAGATACATGTTCAAAGATTCGAGTCGTGAGGAGGAGTTGAAAGTGCTCGCCCTTCACGTGTACTATAAATGCCTCAAGTATTGTGGATTTCAGGTCCAACTTTGGTTTAAGGAAATCAGAGACAAACAGCTACAAATGAAGGTTGAGAGAATAACCAGTAAATATTTGTCACCGCCGTTGATCAAAGAGGTATTGGAGCAGGTCGAAGCTGAGAAACAAAAGCTTTTGGCAAAAGAGGATAATTTATCAATCAAAATAAATCGTGTATCTAATGAAATCAAAACGTCATATCTCGTCGACGATCAAAAGCTCGAGATGGTGGTCAAAATTCCTGCTCATTATCCGTTGGAAAATGTTGTCATTGATGGACCTGCGAGGGTTGGAGTAAAAGAAAATAGATGGAAAGCCTGGTTGTTGGCATCGCAGAAACTTATTTCCTTACAAAACGGTTCAATCAGTGATGCCATTGAACTTTTTTGCAAAAATATCAATCTACATTTTTCAGGATTTGAAGATTGCGCAATTTGTTATTCAATCTTGCATCAAGATTTATCATTACCGTCGAAAACGTGTCAAACATGCAACAATAAATTCCATGCTGCATGTTTGTACAAATGGTTCAAGAGCTCAGGAAATTCAACTTGTCCTTTATGTCGAACACCATTCAACTTTAAAACTAGAAACTAGAATCTACCTACGTGTATAAGTTGTATTTTGATGAATACCAGGTTTGGCCCATGGAGCACTCGTTCCAGCACTATTCCCTTTGTCAATAGTAGTGTTTGCACTCTTTGCGTCTTCGCTGTAATTCACGGGGAGTTGTTTCATTGAAGTCAGGTCAGCCCATGGATACAACTTGTCACCAAACCAAAAATGTTGAATTACAGGTAACTTTCCAAGAACCTCAACCATATACATTTTTAAAAGACCTTGCCTTACTTTTGTCCAAAGAAAAACAGACACATGTATGTCATTCAATATTGGGCTATGCTCATTAAAAGGACCTGATTTTAACTTGAAAATGAATGCAATTGCGTTGACGTAAAGATTGGATGTTTTGTAGCCATTTAGTACATCCCTTGATAAAATGCTTCTCACCGATGGCGCCGTTGCGTCATTGCAAAATTGCGATGCCCCCAAGATGTAAATCAAATGGAAATGATCATCCAAACCCCAAACGCCATGCGAACCAGCTGGTTCCAAGTTGTACACGAGAATTAAACGACGTACAAGATCGTAATATTTGGAAAACAAGACCAATAGCTCCTCTCCTGTTGGTGATTTGAGTATATCATATCGCATCAAAGCTCCAACGAATGCTAAATATGAAAGTTCGTGCCCAGTACCATAGTCAATCCTAATCTTTGAGCCAAACGAATTGGCAAGATAATACCTTGCTTCAATCAAGAATTCGTCTATGTTTAGTCCAGCGGGCGGGCGTAAGGTTGTCAATGAGTTTAACACGTGCTCTACTTTTTCATGCCAAGTCCTGAAAGCTATATTGCCAAATCTTGTGGGTCCCTTGACCGGGGGAGTATCATCAATAGTCTGTTCAAGATCATGTAGTATCCTGAGCATGACTCCCACATTCTCTTGATATGCATGGGCCTCTTGTACCGATGTGGCAGAGTTGTCACTATCTAATACCGTGATATCTCTGGTTACTATAGCTGGATCCAAAACTCCGGGTGGTACCTTAATATCTTGCACAGCTAAGACGATCTTGTTCAAAATTTGCACTAGTTCACGAAACGCTATGGATTTCTCAAAACTCTTTACATCTCCAGTCTCAAATATCTTCTTGCTCGGTTCCGACCATTGATTCATTATTGCTGGGTAGGAGTAACTGATTGGATTGATTTCATCCGAGGCAAGCATTATTTTGCTGCGCAATTTCGATTCTTGTTGCACGCGACATAATTAAAAGGGTCGTCACAGAATTACCATTAAGAGATAAAGTTATATAAGTGGACCCATAAAACTCAGCTACCTCTACAGATAAACCGCATCGGTTACTTCATGCAATGATTCAATTGCTATATGCTAATCTACTTTTCTAGATGTTGATAGAACTGCTTCACAATAGGTGATGCTTTTACTTTCCCTATGCTGAAATGTTTTACTTGCAAAGTCTCCCTACTCACAGCTCGGGATATAGCCACATATGCATGTCCATTCTCAAATACTCTGTTTAAATCTATTTTCACACGAGGAAGGGTCTGACCCTGTGCTTTGTGAATAGACATTGCCCATGAAAGCAACAAGGGTAATTGAGCTCTATATGGATTACCATCCGCTCTATTTTCGTGTCCGGTTTCAACAGTAAACTCTTGTCTATCAACGAGTACAGCTTCGTCATAACCATTCAATTTGAAAAGAACAACTGGTAAGATATTGGCTGTTGTTTCTAGGACAGCCATCTGCACAAGCAGCTCAAAATGAGTCTTTCTTTCGTCCGGAACTTGTTGAAACACCAATCTGTCATCATCTGTCCAACTTTTTACTGAACCAATACGCGAAGTAATGAATTTGACTTCTTTCAACATCTGCGAGTCCATTGCTTCAATTGCACCATATATGTCTAGTATCTTCAAGTAGAGTTTCAATGTGGTGAAAAACATAACAGTACCAAGTGTTCCGTTGACCAAATGGTCATTGATGTTTTTGATGTTCATCACCTGAGCACCTTCCTTCAAGACTAAAGTTTCCTCACATAGAAGTTGGTCGTATTGTTTTTTAACATGTTCACCTTTGTGACTGTCTTTGGCCATGAATTCGTAAGCTTTTGAGGATAGTTTTTTTAATCGGTCACTGTTGGCCGAGTGCACCTCTTTCCTGGTTGGAAACAACTGGGTCGGCTCAATCCCATCGTCATAATGTACTGTTCGCGAAAGGTCTTTAAATTTAGCAACAATCGCATCACCCAACTCCCCTGTTCTAAGTGCATTCAACATTTCAATAAGATCGTGATCCCCCTTTTGTCTGAAAATCTGTTTCAAAACAATGTTTTTGTTAATAACTTTAGACCATGATTTTGACTGAAAACAAAATTGGGCAGTTCGATTCACAGCAACTGGTGGCAATTGATAAAAATCCCCAGTACATACGATTTGGATCCCCCCAAAAGGTTTGTCAGATTTTCTTACCAATCGAGCAACATTCTCCAATTTGTCAAATAGCGCCCCATCAATCATTGATACCTCATCGATGATCAAAACTCTCAATCTTGTCCATTTACTCAACTTGTGGTGATTTTTTCTAATCATGTTTGCAAGATCCGGCGCAGATTTAAAGGCAAGACCAATCTCTAAAAACTTGAAAATGGTTTGACCTTGAATATTACAAGCAGCCATTCCAGTTGGTGCAGTTACACCCATATTATCTCCATACTTGCTTTTAAGGATCCTTACCAACTCACGAAGTACCACTGACTTACCAGTACCTGCACTCCCAGTATAAAAGACATTACATCCAGCAAGAACTGAATCAATAACCAGCTTTTGCTCTGTACTCAATTGGGTTCCCTCTGTTTGGGAAATTGTTGGCGATTTAAAATTTGTAAGCTTTGCAACTTTTTTGGCTTGGCCACCCTCAAAAGTGCTTAGTATATCGCTGTTTGTTCTTTTGAGGTTATCTTTCCCGCTTTGAGTGGTGTTGACCAAGTTCGACTCCCCAAGGATTTTTAGGGTTCTTTGCGATGACAAAGACTGATTGGCCCTGTGTTGTAAAACCGCGCTTTCCAATGTCGGATTTTTGAAATTCAGCATTTCCATGCTTGTGTCAATTGACGTATCATAGCTTGAATCATCACCAAACCCATCATCGTTATTAGTGGCACTCAATATCGAATTTTGCCTTGATATGTGCTTGTTGTGATGTTGTTTGGGCTTGTCGTTGTTGGCTTTACTTCCATCAATGCCAAGATAAGCGAGTATACTTTGTTGACCCAAGGTAGACTGCTTTTTGCTTTTGGTTGGCATTCGAAATCTATGGAGCTTGGTGGGTGAATTTTTTAATGAAGCTGGTTGTAAAACAAAATCACGGCGTAGATTCTTCTCATTTCTATTTTGTTTTGTTTACAATTTTTTGGTAGTATCACAAAATGTACGCGTCGTAGTGTCGTAGATATATATACTACGACACGACGTTTTCAAGATGTGAATTCTATCTCTCTTTGTTTCTGTCGGTCTGTGTGATAGTAGTGTGTTGTTTACAATTTATCATTATTTAATTTTTAATTAAATTTTTTTTTTTTTTTTTTTTATTTTGATCCAGGGGAAATATATACAAAAGACAATAAGACCCTTTGCCCACGGTTGAATTCACATAATATAAGAGATTGCAAATCCATATACCATTTGGATGAACTATATACAGCTACCATCAGTACTTGCACTTACTTATCACTTTAGCTTTGGCAAGACAATTTAACTAAGAGGTTACAAGATCAAATCACTTGGCATATGTTAAAACCAACTCCCACCTCATTACATGTGACAACGATACAGGGACAGAATGAAACAATTGATACTTTCGAAAGAGCTTCCATTAACAAGAATAAGATACCCAGTAAGGAGATTGTGGAAAAGTTGTTTGAAAAGTTACTATCGATACGAGCGTTTCCTGAAAAGGCTAAAATTAGTTTGAGAAATCTGTCGACTGAACGGAAATGGGACCTTCTTTTAACTGAAAATGAGACAAATAGCTTTTTTGATTTGAGTCGAATGTCGCTCGCTTCAATGTCCGCTGTATCGTTACCAGAAAATGTTAGATCCACTCACTCCAAGACTCCTGATTTGAGTTCACATGCAAAACCAGATAGTGCTCCTATGCCTTCAAAGCGACGAAGATCGTTTTTTCTTCCAAAAGAACCGCAACAACATCGAGAGACTATGATAAATGAGGGTTCTCCCGGTTGGTTCGTTTGGAAACTTTTAAATAAAGACATTGATCTTAAGAGCTTGGTCAAGTTGGAGAAGCATCTAGCTGAAAACAAGTTACTCCAGCAAGAAAAAGTGACATGGACCCAAAGCTTCTTATCGTTACAGGGGGAAACTGCTCTAGCGGTGAACTTGTCGCTGATTAGTAAAAAAGTTATAAAGTCAGATGAGGAATACAATCACGAATACCTTCTCGTCAAATGCTTAAAGAATGCATTAGAAAACCAGGCATACTTGAAACAATCGAATAATGACCATGATACCCCTATAAGTAAATCTGTCATCATGACATCACTAATGGGAGCACTAACATCTACCAGAATGAGTACCAGGTTTCTCGTCACCGAGATTTTAGTTAATTTGATGAAAAATGGCCACAAAGAATTACGAATGAATATAGTCAATCACTTAAGAGATTTATCGTTCAGCAATAAGAAGACATCACATTTTAGAGCGTGGTTGGAAGTTTTTGGGAGCTCTTTGAGAACAGCAAGCTGGGGAAGTAAGGTAAGCGACCATTCGTATTTGAAAAACTATATCACCATCACACTCATATTGATTAATGTTATTGTAAACACGACCGGGCCAGCACGCAAGAGGATTGTTATCCGAAAAGAGCTTGAAGAATCACATCTACTCTCTGTATTTGAAACAATCAAACAGTTTGAAGATGATAGGATCCATCAGGAATTGGAGAAATATGAACGGTTGGCAAGAGAAGATGAAGAGGAGAAGATAATGAGACATAGCAAGACGCTACCTACACTACCGACACCACAGACTATTCTGAACCATGATGACGAGACTGACTCACAATCGGTACTGGCAAGCTCACTTGTTGTCTCTGATGATTTGGAAGAGCTAAGCAGATATGGACTCTTTGGCAGTCAAAAGAAAAAGTCACGAGAAATCGATTTGAGAGACCAGTCGCAGCCAGAAACATCTGGATCTAGTTTCCCGAGAAACAACGAAAGTCTACTTGCTCAACAAGTGTATCTGAAAATTGCAAAACTTGAATCCTCGCTGAACTCGAGTGGCTTAAAAAACAAGGTTCTCTTACTTCTTGATAGCTTAATCGAGACTGGTCCCCATCTGCAACTCCTATTCAATGAAAAAGACTCATTTTCAGCTGGAACTGTTGAAAGATTGATTGACTCCTTAGCATCAGAATCTATTGCTCGCAATGCCATTGCTGAGACCAAAACTTTGAAGAGAGAGTTGAAGCGACAAAAGCAGCTAAATGAAAGTCTTGCAAAAAATGCTGAATTGCAAAACAAGAGCAAGCTAGCAACAGATAATGAATCACATTTGCAAGAGATCAAATCACTTGGGCGTCAAATCAGCTTGCTCCAACGGCAAATAAAGCAGCTTGAACAAGACAAGGCTAAAAATTTCCGAAATCGGAATATCAACCATTCTTTTGAAGACCTTAGCAATCGAGAAGAAACTGATGATGATGTTGAGATAAATAATCAAATTGAAGCTTTAGTTGATTTCCACGGAACCAACCTCGAAACATCCAAGAAAGCTTTTCGTGGTCCACCCACCCCCCCTCTTTTATATTCTAGACCAAACATACCAGTGCAAGAAAAAGATGACAATTCAATCTCGGAAAGTGCTTCCCAGGAAGGGGACAAAGCCGTTGAACAAGCCAAATGCAACGAGTCTCCTACGGCTGCTCTATCGCAGGCTCTGCCTGTTATTGCACCTCCACCTCCTCCTGTACCTACATTCTTGGAAGACCTGGGCAAAAGTACAAGAGCAGCTATAGCTACGAGGTCAGTGAATGTACCACTGGCTCCACCTCTTCCACCTTTTATGGTCGACTTGAAATTGGAAGGTAAAGACAAGACTTTGGCATCATCAAAACCAGAAGAAACTGCAGGGGTCAGAATGCAAGTAGCTGAGCCCATAGCCCCACCTCCTCCTCCGCCACCTCCTCCGCCACCTCCTCCGCCGCCTTTGCCACCATTTGCACTTGCTCAAAAAGATACATCTAGTTCACTGGTTGTCTCAATTGATAGTGTAGGATCTGCATCAACACCACCTGGTGCACCCCCACCACCACCACCACCATTATCATTACTTTTGACCACACTGAAAACTGTGTCCGGATCTGCCGATACTTCCCTTTCTGAGAGTGACCAAAGTACCACCAACGAACCACCTCAAACTACGTTAAAACCTAAAGTGAAGTTGAAGCAACTACACTGGAATAAAATCAACGATATTGAAAAGACTTTTTGGAACGAAGTTGAGGATTCCTCAATTCTGGAAAAGCTTGCAGACGAAGGTATATTTGCCGAAATTGAGAAAATCTTTGCTGCTTCACAACCACTGAAGAAAGTTCCCGAATTGGAGAAGAATAGAAGAGCAAATGCCGACTCTAAAACAGCAAAAGTATCCTTTCTTTCTAGAGATTTGGCACAACAATTTGGAATCAATTTGCACATGTTTGCAGGGGTTTCAGATGAAGCGCTTGTTTTGAAGATTTTAAGATGCAGCCCGGACATATTGGAGAATATTAGTGTTATTGAATTCTTTAATAATGACTCGTTAGTTGAAGTGAGTGATAGTTTGGCAAAGAATCTTTTGCCGTATTCAAGTGACCCTCGCACAGGCAAAAAGCCACAAAGAGATCCCAATGAACTTGATCGAGCTGACAGATTGTATCTTGAATTGTGTTTCAACCTCAAGCATTATTGGAGAGCTAGGTCAAAAGCATTACTTTTCACACAGTCGTATAACAAAGAGTATGTTCATTTGAAAGAAAAATTGGACTTGATTGATCTGGGTATTTTGTGTGTGAAGGAGTCGGATGGTTTCAAACGGGTATTGAGCGTGATGAAAATCATGGGGAATTTTATGAATGAGCAAACAAAACAAGCTCGCGGATTCAAGTTAGACTCCTTGCAGAGGCTCAAGTATATGAAGGATGAACTGAACTCGATGAGCTTTCTCCATTATATTGAAAAGATTATTAGGCAATCGTTTTCGGAATATGGGTCCTTTGTTGATGATTTAGAGTTTTTAACTGAGACTCAAAATGTATCAATTGAACAATTGGAAGCCGACTGTAAAGCCTTCAATAAAGAGGTGGAAATAATAAACAATTCACTTCAACATGGAAGATTGAGCAGAGACAAGGATTTGCATCCATCTGACCGGATTATACAAACCGTCACTGTTCCAATGCAAAACGCTACAAGCAGAAACGCCCTTGTACAATCTCGCATGCGAAGAACAATGTCAAACTTCAAATCATTGATGATGTATTTTGGTGAAGAGCCAAATGATGCAAAGGCAAAAGACAGTTTTTTTCAAAAAATTTCCACTTTTGTGGCTGAATTTAAGAAAGCGCATATCGACAATATACAAAGGGAAGAAGAACAAAGAGTTTATGATGCTAGGAAGAGGAAAATTGAAGATGAATCGGCAAACAAAACTCCGGTTGAAGAAGCTGACGAAAAGAACTTTGTTGATAGTGTTGAAGAATCGTCAGCTGTTATCGATTCATTGTTGGAGAAATTGAAGTCCACTTCTAACCATGCCAAAACAAAAAGAGAAAATCGAAAGAGCAAATTGTTAACTGAGACATCGGAGCCTGATGTCTCGCCCTCAGATTTGGACTTGGACACAGTTGCTGTTGAAAATGAATATGAAAGTGTTAATAATCTCAAGCGAAGACTAACAACAAGAAAGAGTAAGCTTGGTTTGGCTTCAACAAAGGAGCAAGGTGTTTCACGTGCACAAGTGATGTTGCATCAATTGAGGACAGCCGAGGATCTTACATTGGTTCTACCCAATGACGATGTCGATAAGGAAAACATTGTGAGTACAGAGAAGGAAGAACAATGTGAATGAGGGTGATGCTATCTACAGAATGAATAACGAGTTGCCTCTGTCTTAAGCTACTAATCAAAATTTATTCCCTCTCTTGATAGTTCGCGGTGACAGAGATTTGTAACTTCCTCCGTAAGCAGCTTTGTGTAACAAACGGTTGAGTAATATTTTTAACCTTTTTCTTTTTCTTTTTTTTTTTTTTTTTTTTTCAAATGAGTCTTTTTTAAGTTTGGACTCATCGGACTACAGTCGTGACAACCGTAAAAACGCCATGTTGAGATTGAGGTCAACCCACCGTGTTTTGAGACTGACGTTTTCTCAACAAAGGCTCTTTTCGAAGTCATTACTAGCACTAAACGCAACCGTTGTATCAGGAACCAAGTTGGCTGCCAAAATACGAAATGACGTTGCTGAAAAAGTTTTGCAATACAACAAAGACCATTATGGAATTGACGCTACGCAATTCGATAAGCTAAAATTCAAACCTTCTTTGACTATAGTGCAAGTTGGGTCAAGACCAGACTCTTCAGCTTATGTACGCTCCAAATTGAAAGCTGCTGAAAAATCCAACATCAAGGCAAATCTTCTCAAATTTGATGAGAATATTAGTCAGGAGGATTTGGTAGATGAGATTGATCGTTTGAATAAAGATCCTTATGTTCACGCCATTTTAGTTCAATTGCCTTTGCCCAAACACATTGATGAGACGTTGATTACAAACTCCGTTGTCACTGAAAAGGATGTTGATGGTTTTGATCATTACAACGTGGGTCAATTGTCAAAAAAGGGAGGAGTACCCCACTTTAAACCATGTACACCTAATGGTATCATGGAATTGATCAAGACCACTGGAATCAGTTTGAGAGGGAAAAATGCGGTGGTCATAGGAAGGTCGGATATTGTTGGAACTCCTGTTGCAACCATGTTGCGAAATGAGGACTGTACAGTAACAATCTGTCATCGTCATACAAACAACTTGCCCGACATTGTATCCCAGGCAGATATTGTTGTTGCTGCCGTTGGTATCACAGAGTATGTCAAATCGTCGTGGGTAAAGGATGGAGCCGTTGTCATTGACGTTGGTATCAACTACAAAGAAGACCCCACAGCCAAAAACGGAAGGAAATTAGTGGGTGATGTTGACTACGATGACGTGGTCAAGAAGGCTGGTTTCATTACCCCCGTACCCGGTGGTGTTGGTCCAATGACGGTGGCAATGTTGTGCTCAAATGTGTACGATGCTGCTATATTGCACGCTAAAAAGGCACACGAGCATCAATTCAAACCACTTCCATTGGACTTAAAGACCCCGGTGCCATCCGACATTGATATCTCAAGGGCTCAGAAACCGAAAGTGATAACCAAAGTTGCAAAAGAGTTGGGATTATTGGATAAGGAGTTGGAACCATTTGGTCATTACAAAGCCAAAGTTGATGCCAAAGCTGTTATTGAGAGACTTGACGCTCAAGTTGAGGGATCGGCAGATGACAAGGGTTACTACGTCTTGGTTGCTGGTATCACTCCCACGCCATTGGGTGAGGGAAAATCAACCACAACTATGGGATTAGCGCAAGCACTTGGTGCGCAGTTTGGTTACAACTCTATTGCCAATGTTAGACAACCTTCGATGGGACCTACCTTTGGTGTTAAAGGAGGTGCAGCTGGAGGAGGTTACGCACAAGTTATACCCATGGACGAATTCAACATGCACTTGACAGGTGATATACATGCCATTTCAGCTGCTCAAAACTTGCTTTGTGCCGCTGTTGACACAAGAATGTTTCACGAAGCCACATCGAAAAGCATTGGTGGATTTTACAAAAGATTGGTGCCAGCTAAAAAGGGCAAGAGAAGTTTTACTTCGTCGATGTTGAAAAGGTTACAAAAATTGGGCATTAACAAAACCAATCCTGACGACCTCACTGCTGATGAGGTTGAAAAGTTTGCCAAATTGGACATCGACCCTGAGTCCATCACCATCAAGAGAGTGGTTGATTGTAACGATAGGTTTGTTAGAGAGATCACGATTGGTGAAGGCAAGAATGAAGCCAGTAAATACCCACCAAGAAAGACTGGTATGGATATCACAGTTGCTAGTGAATTGATGGCGATTTTGGCTCTTTCAAACTCTCTCAAGGATTTAAGAGAACGTGTTGGTAAAGTTGTGATCGGTACACAAAAGGAAACCGGTACTGCCATCACAGCAGAAGATATCGGAGTTGCTGGTGCTATTACAGCATTATTGAAAGATGCCATCAAGCCAAATTTGATGCAAACAGTTGAAGGAACTCCTGTGTTTGTTCATGCAGGACCTTTTGCTAACATATCTATCGGTGCATCTTCTGTTGTGGCCGATAAAGTGGCGCTCAAGTTGACTTCACCTTCAAACCCAATCAACAACGGACACCCTGGTTACGTAGTCACTGAAGCTGGTTTTGATTTTACCATGGGTGGTGAACGGTTCTTCAATATCAAATGCAGAAGCTCGGGATTGAAACCTGATGCTGTCGTTTTGGTGGCCACTACCAGAGCTTTGAAATTACATGGAGGTGCACCCGACGTCAAACCTGGTCAGTCTTTGCCTCAAGAATACGTCCAGGAAAACTTGGCGTTGTTGGAGAAAGGGTGTGCCAATTTGGCCAAACAAATTTCAAACATTAAGCAATACAAAACTCCTGTGGTTGTTGCAATCAACCAATTTGAAACTGACTCTGATGCTGAACTCAAGTTGATTGAAAAGTTGGCTTTGGAAGCTGGCGCTGATTATGCAGTTCCATCGAACCATTGGGCAAAAGGTGGATTAGGTGCCAAAAAATTGGCAGAAGCAGTAGTCAGGGCCGCCAAACAAGCTCCACCAGGTGAACAACAGTATTTGTATGATGTCAACGACACAGTTGAAAACAAGTTGAACAAGATTGCTCAAAAGATGTATGGAGCCAAGGACATTGAGTTGTCTCCATTGGCAAAACAACAAATTGAAACCTACACACAACAAGGTTTTGACAAATTGCCTATTTGTATAGCCAAAACGCAATACTCCTTGTCACATGATCCTTCATTGAAAGGTGTCCCAACTGGATTTACTGTGCCAATTAGAGAAGTGAGGTGCTCTGCAGGGGCAGGATATTTGTATGCTTTAGCGGCAGAAATTATGACAATTCCAGGTTTACCAACACACGCTGGCTTCATGAATGTCGAGGTTAACGATGATGGTGAGATTGAAGGATTGTTTTAATCGAAATATGTAGAGGGTGTAGATTTGATAGACTTATAAAAAGAACAAATTTCTCTATTGATAGGTCTTTGAGTCATCAATGTTTTTATCTCCATTAGCAATATCAAAACTCTTTCCAAAAGTGTCTTTGAAACCAAGGATATCAAAAAGTACTTGAGCAACATCAGCTCTAGAGATGGATCCATGGTCATCACTGAGACTCTTAAACAACCTGATTTTACCAGTGGGTGAATCGTCAGTCAACAGTGTAGGCTTGACAATTGTGTAATCCAATTTGTTTCCAAATTCATCAATCAAAATACGATCAGCATAGTGCTTAGCAATGTAGTAGTCCCGGAGCCCGGATTTGAGCCCAGCTTCACGATTTTCGGCAAACAAAGCACTAACAATAACCAATCTTTTAACTTTAGCTTCAACTGTGGCTTCAAAAGTTTTCACTACTCCGTCCAAATCAACTTGTAACAAGTTCTTTCCACCTGAGCCAACGGTTAGAATAACAGCATCGTGACCCTTGATAGCTGATGTCAAGTCCGAAACTGATGCAGCGGCAAGGTCCAATTTTGATGAACTGATGTTTGAAGAACCAGATGAAATGTTCTTGATTGTGGCTACTTGGTCGTCATTTCTAACAACTGCTGTAGCATTGACGCTCAGCTTGGCAATTAGCTTGATCAAATGTTGGCCAATTTTACCGTGTGCACCAAAGACAATCAAATTCTTATAAGCGGACATTGTTGTAATGGTGTGGTATGATTGAGAAAGTTTTTGGGTGCAGAAAGAGAGTTGAAGGCAGCTATTTATATTTGTCTCAAGTTTTCGTAGTTGCTAATTAGTAATATACTCCACACCTTTTTGCAACTCCGTTCCGCACAGCAACTTAATCTCCGGAAATCCGTCAGTCGAAACTTTAGCTTTACAATTCTACGTTAATTATCTTTCTATTTATGCTTTGATATATTACAAATATTTACACCTAGAATGCATTAATTAATTTGATTGTCTTGAAATTCATCAAACATGTCCTGCCAGTTTGTTGATTGAATTTTGAGCTGGAGAAAGAGGTTTGGAATTATTGACTGAGTTTGAAGTATTTTTCCGTTCTGACAATGTCCGCTTCAGCTTTTGCTGGTTGGGAGATGATGATGGCACGTGCTCATTGCCAAATTGATGATTCAATTGCTTTTGCTGAGCTTGAGCTTGAGCTTGAGCCTGGGCTTGTCGATTCGCAAGTTGTTGCTGTTGTTGTTGTTGTTGTTGAAGAGCTCTCATACGCGCCAGGTGCATAAAGGATTGTTGCTTTTGTTGAATAGACTCTTTTAAAAGTCCATACGACTTAGATAACAACATTGATCCGAATCTGATGGCTTGAGTGTCGTCGCTAATATTATTGAGCTTCGACGGATCGAGACTAAAAGGGTCAAGTGCTCCCTTCTGTGATTCCAGTAGATCAGTGTCATACTTCCACCTTGATCTTAAACGTTTCCACTCGTCTACCTTGCTGTCATAAACATTGGGCACTTCTTCCTCGTCCTCGCATATTTGAGAAAAATCCATAAATTCATCAACAACATCGGTAGTGGTTTGGCCGCGTCTATCAAGGAAAACACGACCCCCTCTACCAACTCGCTTTCGTAACCTCAATATTGGCTCTGAAAACTTAGCATTCTCTTCTGCATCCCTTGTTGATTCAATGGCACTCTCCTTGCTGAAACCGTGAATATAGTGATCGTAGTTGTTATTCTCAATGTCCTGCAACAACTGTGCAATGTAACTGGGCGAGTTGAACTTGTTGTTTGTGAATTTTTCTTGTAAAAGTGCCGAAGTAATGGGGAAAGCTTTTGTTGGTATTAGCTCTCCATTGGAACCTTTGAATGTGCGTACGCCAGGTATTGACTTGTTGTCCTCTATTAAAGCTTTCAAAGGCTCATTTAGGTAATTTGAGGTGTTAAACTGATGAAAGTTGGTTGCAGCAATAGATGAATATGGTATGTGACTTGGTTCGACCAACTTGTCATTAGTGGATATATCAAAAAACGGTTCGTATGGGTCGTCGGTGACATTCACAAATCCTCTATCCTGTTCCTTTCTTTTACGTAACTTGTCCAATACTGCGCGTTTGATGGTCTCGTTTTTTTCTTTCAAAACTAATGAAACCGTAACAAGATCCATGTCAGGAACTTTTGATGGTGGTAGTTTGACATAAGGCTGGTTTGTCGATGTTCCGTCGCGTTGATTTTGTTGGCTTGCATTCTGTTGTTGCAAGGCATACTGTTGTTGATGATGATGGGCTTTTGCGGCATGCTCTTGCTCCTGTTTCCTCTTTTCCCTTTTCCTCTCCTTCTCCTCTTCGTCCTCCTTGGGTTTGATAACTTTTCTCTTCTTATGTGGAAAAAACAAGTAATCATCACCCTTTATTCCTAATTCCCTTTTAACTTGTTTAGCTTCAAAACGAGTTTTGAATATATCAAATTCAGCCTGCAAATTTCGTAAATTCAAAATTTCTCGTTCACAAACACTCATGACCAAGTCTCTGGCACGATGAAGAGACTTTTGTAGCAAACGAATTCTTTCTGCTCCAACTGTATCAGCCCTTCTAGTTTTCCGTGCCTGTCTAAACTCACGCCTTCTAAAACAGATATATGGGTCATTTTCATTATCTTTTTCGTTAGCGTTAGGATCTTCAAATCTAAGAGTGGGATGAACTGATTTGCCCTTTCTCGCAATCTTTCTTAAAGCCCAGTGGTCGTATATAGGCTTCCCAAAAAATTCTAATAATTTGGGTATTGGTCGTACTTGGGTTGTATGCTCTTGATCCCTATCAAAGAGGGTTGTAAAAGGTTTGTAGTTGATCTCTTTAGATAGTCGTTCTTTGAGTGTTGTTGTCGATAAGTGTTCCAAATTACCGCCGCTGGACTCTATATATGGATTACTTGTTTTGATTGTGCTCTCAAATTGTTCGATAATATACTTGGACATCTCTTCATAAGACAAAATGTTAGATGGATCCATTGATAAAAAGGGTTGCCTTGCTTCAATTGTTTTTTCCAATCTATCGCATATGGTTTCAAATTCCAATTCCGTGCACTTTGCCAGATCGTCATGCTTCTTCTTTCCTGGTGGAGGTTGAATTTTTGATAATACTTCATTGTAAAACTTTTCATCTTCTTCATCCATGTTGTACTCAACACCAACCGTATCCTCAACCGTGGCACTAAACTTGATGTACGTTTCAGGTTCATTAAATTTTTGATCCTTGTAATACTTTGCAGCTTCAGTCCATATCTTGGATGCGTCTGGTGTCGGAATGTACACCTCATTCGCTTTTCCTGCATTTGCGCTTGATAATGCTTTTTGAGCCGCATTGATCACTTGCTGCAAATGCACCTCCTCCTCCTCGTTTTTATCAACACCTGTTTCAACGGCATGAACATCTCGTGGAGGTTGTCCTATGTTATTTGAATTCAAATGGTGTATCTGACTTGGTTCTAAATCCGAACCATCTAGTGTCGGTAGATCGCTTTGCTTATATATGGACAACGGTTGTTTAACGGAAATTTTCCGTTGACGAAATCGAGCACCAGCGGCATGTTGATTGGATTTGCTATCATTCTTTCCCGGTGGTATAGCCATTGCCAGGTCTCAATGCCCCCCTTTCAAACTTTGGCAATGCCGGCAACTATTCCTGGGTGAAATCTGGTTTGTAATATCAAATGGTAAAACTGGGCCCCAGCAAATATAATCAAAACTCGACGCGACCTTTAACTATTGGTGTTTGGATGCAAATGGGAATGCGTATATGCTCAACCAAAAAAAAAAAAAAGAAAAAAAAAAATTCTTCTCGTTCTGTTGAGTGTGTCGAAATCTTTTTGTCCAATGAAAATTGACGATCAAGGGGATGGCAAAAGTGAACGTTGTGATCCCATACAGTGAAAATGAGTCTATCAATGGTTAAAACTGATTGTAGGGAGTTAGTGTGTGTGTGTTACGTAATATGAGCCGAGTTTGGCTGATTGATTGGCTCGGTAAGTGATGTATTTGTCCTCGTGATGGGGCTACCTCTGTTGATGAAAACAGTTTTGTTGAAGTGAAATTGGTGACACTCTGTTTCGACAACCGCAATTAAAATTCAATAAAAAAATAAGAGAGAAAAAAAAAAACCACAGACAACAGACAACAGACAACAGACAAAATTATTTTTTTTTTCTTCTCTTGCTTCGTATTCTTATTTCCACATTGGTAATTTAATGCGGCTCATCAATTTGAAATTGTATGTCAGTAATCAGTGGTTGTATATCATGTAGCACAGAGTGATATAGTTTGTACAAAATGTAGATGAGTAGCTTCCGCTTATGTTGTCACTTTCTTCGAGGTAGGATTAATTGTAGTACAAAAAACTTCAACAACACCGTCTAAGCTATAGCCTGCACTCAAATCTTGGAGAATGTGTCAGCCTGTAGATATGCGGGATGTGACCTGGTGGTGTATCTGTGTTCATTACGCACCTACCGAGTACGACTCAGTTCAGAAACTCGTCCCTTTTGGGGCACATAGTAAGTATTTTCCTTCCCCTGTATTTTGGCAAAACCAGCGATAGCTTTCATTCGCAGATTCTATGCAGGCTTCATTTGAAGCACTGGAACGTATCCGCTATTATACGGAATTACTGACACGCCCTGTTCCGGGCGTGCAGTGTTTGCATTGTGTGGCATTACTTGTGAAATGTGTGAGGCGTGTGACTTGAAGGATGTGGTTGGTGTTCCGCCCCCATTCTTGAAACGTCTATTTTTGTTAAACACTTCCAGCTAATCAAGCATAAAGTTAGCCTGGGTTGTAAGCTTTTAGTAGTATTGACAGAGTGCACAATATTTTCCGTAATGGTCTTGTAAATTGTCGTTTCTAAAGAAGAAAGGTTTTCAGGAAGTTTCTATTGGTAAAAATAAAAAAAAAGTAGTGGACTCCTCCTTGTTAGCGAGATCGTTTTGTGTTGCAAATTCTATAACTACTATTGCTTCATCTGGAGACCAGGATTCTATCAACACCCGGTTGCAATTCTTTCAACGTATCTATTGTATATGGAGCTTCTACCAGCTATCATGTCGGGGGTTTCTTTTCTCGGTCGTTGTAAGAGATGTATACATCAAACTTGAAACCAAGTTCTGGTAAAAGCATTTACGAAATTTCGTTACAAATTCCTGACACAAACTGAACAGGGCAGTCGTTTTCGTGACCAACCCTTGCTGGACACATAAGCGCATATATAGAGCCTAAAAAAGCACATCGGTGCATCGATAAACACACCGGTCCCTCAGATTGCACCCACTTTTCAAAAGAAAAGTATCACGTGAAAACGCAAAAGCCACTACTCCAAAAAGTTCAACTTTTCTCGAGGATTTTTCATACCTAAGTGAAAGCAGTTGCTGATCACTCATTGGAGTCCGAAGGTATGTGATGGACCAACTTGTGTGGCATCGGATTATTTAAATGTGTCGTTTTCCGCGTGCATTAGAAAACAATCACCACCACAATGTACTGTATGCTGATAAAAAAAAAAAAAGATGATGACACAGAATGTACAATCAACCGAGCAATATGCTGACATTTACATGAACCTCGGTGAAATAGAAAATCAAAACAATCAACACAATCAAGACCAACCAAAAAAAAAAAGTTCGTAATTTAGGACATACTGTTGGCGAAAATTATGACGAATACAGTACCATATGAATCTCTCTGGACCCTGTAAGAGCACCTCCACCCCGCTTTCCATTGCAGATATGTGAGTACATGTATATACGCATGTATCTTTTTCTGTCCCACTTTTTAGACATCCACAAAAGAACCCCATATTTTATTTTATTTTTTCTGATTTTCTCTTTCAAATCGGCGCCAATAAGAGAAGTTCGTATTCTAAATTTTTCAAAATTATTTCTTATGATTTGAAAAAGAAAAAAGTTCTGACCTTTTTCATATAAGAATAAGCCAATTTCTTCAAACTTATCCCAAGGGTATATCCTTCATTGAGTTTTGCTTACCATTGCTAGTCATTTTTTTTTACCGTTGCACTGCCTTTCTCCGCAAATCTTTTGCCAAACAAAGATCCATTTACTTGGTACATACATAACAAATATCATTATATAAAACAAAGTATAAATTATTTCAAATATGGACGACGTTGATTCAGTATTGGTAGATAATGTCAAATCATTTGCCTCCGGTGGATTTGGTGGTATCTGTGCCGTCTTGACTGGACACCCGTTCGATTTGGTCAAGGTGAGATTACAAACTGGTTTGTATAATTCATCAGTACAGTGTGTTAAAGAAACAATTGCCAAAGATGGGTTGAGAGGTCTTTACCGTGGTGTTTTGCCACCATTGTTGGGAGTTACACCAATGTTTGCCGTTTCTTTTTGGGGTTACGATGTTGGTAAAAAACTTGTTGGATCTTTTACTGGTAAAACAATTGAGCAATTCACCATTGGAGATATTTCAGCTGCTGGTTTCATTAGTGCCATTCCAACTACTCTAGTCGCAGCTCCATTCGAAAGAGTCAAGGTTATGATGCAAATTCAAGAAGGAGCAAAATCTAAAGGCATGGGTGGTGTTGTAGTCGATATGTACAAGACTGGTGGTATTAGATCCATTTTCAAAGGTTCAGCAGCCACTTTGGCTAGAGATGGGCCAGGTTCAGCATTGTATTTTGCTACCTATGAATACTTGAAAAAGGAATTATCAACTCCCGGTAAAGATTTGTCAATCTTGGCAATTATGACTGCTGGTGGTTTCGCAGGTGTTGCTATGTGGTTGGGTGTTTTCCCAATTGACACCATCAAATCAACTCAACAATCCTCAAATGTACCTATCTCCATTGCTCAAACTACTAGAAATATTTACGCAAAGGGTGGTATCAAGGCTTTCTTCCCAGGTGTTGGTCCTGCATTGGCCAGATCATTCCCTGCAAATGCTGCCACCTTCTTGGGTGTTGAACTTGCTAAGAACGCGTTGGATAAGATTGTATAAATAAAAGAGAATTTGATAGATTAAAAGGGCGTATTTATAATATAAAGAGGAAGTTTGTAGTGCTATACTTTTTTTGCAGTTTTAGGCGTGCGCGGCGTTCAAAAGTGGTTAATCCATTTTTCTCTCTGAGTTTCAATTCTCAACGAGAGAGTTTAATGAACGATTAATCAACACCGTCCATCAATCAGCTGACGCATAGACAGAAAAAACACAATCTCACACAATGGCATTACTGGACGAACAAGTATGTAACAGATTAATACGTAGTGTGTTGTTCCATTGACTCTATACTAACTCATTCTTATCAGGTAAAATCCGAGCTCACCAAAATGCAAGCCTTCATTGAGAAGGAAGCAAAGGAGAAAGCAAAGGAGATTAGGTTGAAGGCAGACGAGGAATATGAAATTGAGAAAGCATCCACCGTGAGGTTGGAAACGTCCGCCATTGATGCCACTTATGAACAAAAATTAAAAAAAGCAAGCTTGGCTCAGCAAATCACCAAGTCAACAATTGGAAACAAAACTAGATTGAAGATTCTTGGAGAGAAAGACCAGTTTTTGAATCAGATATTTGACGACGCTGAAAAAGAGTTACACAATATCACTAAAGACAAAGCCAAGTATAAGCCTGTGTTGGTTGGTTTGATTGAAGAAGGGATCTTGACGTTATTGGAGAATAAAGTAAGTATTAAAGTGAGAGAAGTTGATGTCGATCTTGCGAAAGAGGCAGCAAAGGAAGCGTCCAAGAACTATGAAGAAAAGACTAAACAAAAAGTCGATGTAACTGTTGATGAAAAGGATTTCTTGAGCAAAGATATTGCTGGCGGGGTAATCATCGTGAATGGTACCGGAAAAATTGAGGTTGTAAACACTTTGGAAGAGAGATTGAAAATATTGCAAGAAGAAGCATTGCCTGCCATTAGACTAGCATTATTTGGTCCTTCACCAACAAGAAAGTTTTTCGATTAAATAAAGTTTTACTTCTTTATACACACATCAATTAAAGATAAATAAATTTGCAACTGAAAGGGTGGAGCAACTTAGCGGCGGTAGTGATAGTATTGGTAGTGGTAGTATTGTCCACAAGAGAAAGTATGTTCGTTCTTGTAGAATTCATATCTTTATCAGCCACGATTGCTGACAGAAAAAGAAAAAGAAACTGAGGTCCATCGTTTGCTGTGCGGCATTGATACAATTTTCTTTCAACCTTATCAACCAAACATCACTTACCAAACACCTCCATGCATCGAATACTTCGACGTATTCCAAGATATGGGCTGATTTTGCAAAGGCCGAGAATACACTGGCACTCACTTACCACTACATCTTCTTCTTCTTCTACATCGAAAGGACACATACCATTAACCACAAGTCTATCAGAACCACCACTCGATGCAAAACCAAACAATGACCATCACCACAGAATCCTCAACAAGTTGAAACCGATACAACCGAATGATCTATACGTTTCATGTACTATATTTGACTCCAAAGGTAACATCACCTCCGTGTCGAAAAAATACCCCAAGATGCAATTTCTAAAAGAAAACCACTTGTTTCCAAGAGATCTACGAAAGATCGATACTTCATCGATTGACGTTGTCCCAACAATCATGATACGTCCATCAAATGCCATATTGGTCAACTTGTTGTATATAAAAGCCATAATCAAGAAGAACTCGGTCATGGTGTTTGACACTTCCAATAGTGAAGTGGCGACGAAATTGGGTATATTGATGTACGATTTAGAAATGAAGTTGAAGTCGTCATCAAATTCCACATCTATGCCATACGAGTTCAGGGCATTGGAGCTGATTTTAGTTAGTGTGATGAGTTACTTGGAAGCGGAAATCAAGACATATATTTCCAGTTGTGGGATGATTTTGGGAGAGTTGGAAAACCAAGTTGATCGAAAGAAGTTGCAGGAACTATTGATACGACTGAAACAATTGTCTAGTTTCCACCAAAAGGCATTGTTAATCAGAGATGTGTTGGAAGAATTGTTGGAAAACGATGAAGACTTGGCAGGCATGTATTTAAGCAAGCCAAAAATGCCAGGAAATGAACAAGAAGAAAGTTTTGAGGATTTGGAAATGATTTTGGAGAGTTATTATAGACAATGTGATGAGTGTGTTCAACAAGCAGGTAGTTTATTGAATGATATTCGCGCCACTGAAGAAATTGTCAATATCATTCTTGATGCAAATAGAAATTCTCTCATGTTGTTTGAGTTGAAGGTTACGGTTTACACATTAGGCATAACTGTTGCAACGTTAATCCCAGCGTTTTACGGAATGAACTTGAAAAATTACATTGAAGATTCAAATTTGGGATTCGCGGCGGTGGTTGTGTTTTCTCTTATACAAGGAGGGCTAATAACGTGGTTTAATTTCAAGAAATTGCACAAGGTTCAAAGATTAACAATGATGGGGACTAATGATTCTTCAATGAATGTGTCGTCATCAACTTATTCTTTAGCAATTAAGAAAAACAGTCTGTTTCTACGTCGCTTAATCTTTGGTTCGGGGACATACAGGAGGAGAAATTTTGATAGACCTACAAAGCGAGAGAAGGATGTTATATGGCGTATGATAAATGATGATAGACCTAGACATTAAAAAAAAAATGGATATATGCAATGTCGCTTTTTATTTCTTTTTTGTAAATAGTTTATTTAATCGGATTCTACTTCATCTTCAGCTGAATCGGACTTGTTTACAATTTGATCATCTTCATCTTCGTTTTCACTATTGTTGATGTAGGCAGGTAAGTCCTCGTTTTCATTGGGCTCGGGGATTTCAGTTGTGGTGACAGCAGTGTTTGTCTCCTCCTCCTCCTCATCGTCATCAAACTTCTTATGTTTACCGCTTGACACTGATTTTGAGCTATGTTTTTGTTCATAAACAGGTTGAGCACTTCTCTCTTCACCTGGCCCAATCAATGTACCTTCAATGCTGACAACACGTCCGGTGGTGTAAACGTTCTTCACAGTAAACTTTATTTTACCATCAACTTTTTGTCCATTTTCGTCGCTCCAATACCCATACGATTTTTTGTCACCGCTTTCCACTACCTCGTCCTGTTGATTGCTCGTGAAACTCCAACCCATAGGGATATTGTATCGTTTAATCGATGCATTGAATACATCACAAATCAATATTCCCAAATGTGATGGAGTTTGCATGAAAATGTCTCCTTCCAATATGTCACCGACGCTTGGACTCCAGATTAGAAACTGCACATTGACCCAGATAAATGTGAATGGGGAAGAACCTTCTATTTTCGCGAGATTTTGATCATGTGCCTCCGTCTCTAACTCTATATTTGAATATGATAGAACTACCCCCTTCAACTTTGGATGGAACTTCATCACCAATGAATCTAGATGTTGTTGTTTAATTCCAATCACGGGGTCATTGTTGAATGTAGGCGCCAATGAAACATAAAGCGATGTCGATACAGTCTTGAAACATTCAGAAAGTTGAGTTTCTGTATTGACAGGGTTTTTGGACTTCACAGTCTTTGATCTTTTGGCCGGTGCTAGACCGTGATGCTCTTTACTCCTCCTCTTTATCTCTGACATTGATAAAAAAAGGTGTAGATGTTAGAATTAGTCTATTCTACGTATTCTATTGATGAGCCAGTTTTTGTGCCTAATAAATTTTTTTGATTTTTTTTTTCACCCTTTTGATGAGATGAACTTACTACTCCATTTCACCTTTTACCACAATGGGTATCATCCCTCCTGTAGGTATGGTGAACTTCCTATGTCCGATCACTGTGATAAATGCTCTGATTGTCCCTGCATGCGAAGTTATACTAATAACGTCGTTCTTGTCATTATTGAAGATATCCTGCAACACATCATGAATTCTAATAAACTGCTCGTGTAGCTGCTCTCTTTTTGGATTCACATACGATTCAAAAAGCTTATCTTCTTCTTCAAAGTCTTTAGAAAACACAAGGAATGGAAATTTTGATTCAAGTTGACTTTTGGTTGATCGTTTGTGACATAAATGCAATCCAATGGTTTCTCGTAAATTTTCAATCACCGAAGGATTCGTATCGGGCCACGTAATTATGTGTGTTTTGATCGATCGTTGAAGAGGAGAAACATAAAAGGACTTCGGATATGGTGCTCCCTTATCCAATTGTTCTCTCCAAGCATCGTGATTTTCAAAAGCCTGGTTGATCCCCAATTCAGTTAAATCTGCATCTGGACCCCAAGTTATTTCACCATCTGAACCCAAGAACCTCCATTTGTTGTACCACTCCTCTTTTGAGTACTTCCTTCCTGCAACATTTGCCCATCCTTGACCGTGCCTAGCAAAGAAAATCAACTTGTATTGAACATTGGAGGGAGCAGATGCGTTCAATTCATTCAATTCATTGATTATCGCCCCCCAAGACTTTTCTATACCAAAATTTTCTTCTGTGTATCTAAATTCCATGTCATCTGTGTTTGGATCAGATTGTTTAAAGAATCCATGTTGCGGTGAAAACTTCCACATGTGTTGTCCAAGACTAGATAAGTTTCGCTCTGCAATTAAGTTATAAAACAATGCATCCTCGTTAGGATCACCGTGTGCATCGTGGCGATCATTACTATTGGGGACTAACAATGACATAAGGAAACTCTTTGTCTCAACAACGGTGGTGCCTAGTCATAGTCTCGGATTAAGTGCAACGGCTCATTTGTCGTGTGATCGAATAACGTGACATTGAATTATGCGACAAATCACAAAAGTGAGGCTACTGCTTTCATTGCATAGAGACACAATAAAACACAAAAACTCTAGAGCGAGTGTGTGAGTGTGCGTCAATGAGACCGAGAGACTGAATGAGAGAGAGAGATTGAAAAATTATAATTTTGTTTCTCTTTAAATGAATCTTTCTGTTGTCTAAATAAAAAGAATTAAAGAAAGAAAAAAAAAACAAATCTAGACATTCACAACCATCTTTACAGGCTGCAATTATCATTATTGAATAGTAACACATTCCTGGGATAACAATATTGATACGGAGCTGGCCTATACTATACACATACACACTCATTTACATTGCTGGTTCACAATCCACTTCTATCACCTAAATCTTCACCATGTCTGACGAGTCGAAAAAAGAATTTGCGTCCGAGGACGTGAAATCAGAATCTCCAGTTGAGCAAACAACGGATGCAATAACAAACGAAACTGTCAACGCTAATGCAAAGATAGATGAACATGATGGTGCTGTTGCTGTTGTTGTCAAGCAAGAAGAAGAGAATGATGATGATGATGATGGTGAATCGAGAACAGATGTCGTACCGGCTGAGGCAGTTGCAGAAGAAACAGTTGACAAAGACGAGTCAAATAATGACCCCACGATCGAGGAACAGCCGCCGTTGAAAAAGATCAAGCTTGAAGAGGATGGTATCAAACAGGAGAATGGATTCAGCGAAGTCAACGGATCTAAATCTTTCGAAAAGAATGATCATCATGTGGTAAAGTCTCAGCCGCGACCAATTGTTGTGGTGCCTCCAGCTAAACCTGAATTGTTTTACATACCATTAAAGACCGGATTGGTGTACGACGTGAGAATGAGATACCATGCCAAGATTTTTACATCTTACTTTGAATATACCGACCCACACCCAGAGGACCCTCGTCGTATATATCGAATCTATAAAAAATTAGTGGAAGCTGGTTTAGTTCAGGATTACTCGTTATCAGGAATTGACGAATTGGGTCCATACATGGAGAAGATTCCCATCAGAGAAGCATCCGCTGACGAGATATTGGAAGTTCACTCTGAGGAACATCTAAAGCATATACAATCTACTGAAACAATGACCAAGGATGAGTTATTGAAAGAAACGGCCACTGGTGATTCCATTTACGTCAACAACGATTCTTTCTTTTCCGCTAAATTATCTTGTGGTGGAGCTATCGAAGCTTGTAAAGCAGTGGTTGAAGGAAAAGTCAAAAATTCACTTGCAGCAGTCAGACCTCCAGGACACCATGCTGAGCCAGACTCTCCCGGCGGATTCTGTTTGTTTAGTAATGTTGCAGTGGCTGCCAAAAACATCCTCAAGTCATACCCTGAATCGGTACGAAAAATTGTTGTTCTTGATTGGGATATCCATCATGGTAACGGTACCCAAAAGGCATTCTATGATGATCCAAGAGTTTTGTATATTTCACTACACAGATACGAAAATGGTAAATTTTATCCAGGAACAAAGTATGGTGGCGCAGAGCAAGTTGGAGAAGGTGCTGGGGAAGGGTTTAACTTGAATATTCCTTGGAGATCACATGGGATGCACGATGGTGATTATGTATATGCATTCAATAAGGTCATCATTCCAGTTATGTTGGAATATGATCCGGATTTGATTATTGTCAGTTCTGGTTTTGATGCAGCTGATGGGGACGTGATTGGTGCTTGTCACGTGAGTCCTGCAGGATACGGATACATGACACATTTGCTAAAGGCAATAGCGAGAGGTAAATTGGCGGTAATCCTTGAAGGAGGATACAATTTAACCTCCATTAGTAATAGTGCATTGGCAGTAGCCAAAGTTTTACTCGGCGAACCGCCTGAAAATACAATACGAATGCAACCACATGGTGATGCCATAGAGGTTGTGGATGAGGTTACCAAAATACAATCTAAATATTGGAAATGCTTGAAACCAGGAGTGCCAAAGACGTCGTTCGACGATGTATATGATTTACCCAACCTCGATAAAGAGAGGTATAGTTTGATCAACATATCTGATCCAATCAGATTCTACCAAAACAATGAAGCTTACACCAAGAAACAATTCATCAACTTACCAATAATAAACCACGATAAGGGAGATAAAAAGACTGCCAATTTTACTTGCGACTTGCCTCAACAGATAGATGAGTTGATTATGGCTAGTCGAGAAATTTACGATTGTACATCTATTGTATTGACGATACATGATCCTCCAGAGATATGGGCAAATATTAATCCAACTACAGGTATAATTGAAAGCAATTCGTCTATACTATTGGAGCAACCATTATTTCAAATAATGGATAAAGTGGAGAAGGAAAAAGATAGTGATAACAAGGACAAAATTGGTTACATTGACATCAACGTTCCCTCTTTCCAATTACCAATCCCAGGATTGTCCACTTCGCACGAATCTTCATACAACCCCACCATTTTTGCACAAGAAGTACTTTTATACGTCTGGGATAACTACATTTCTTTTTTCACCAAATTGAAAAAATTGGTTTTTGTTGGATTTGGTGACTCTTATCAAAGTATAGTGCATTTGTTTAGCAAGCGTCCATCAGCCGATATCAAGAGTTTAGTTAAATTTACCATTGCTTATGTCAATAGAACGCCATTGAAACCTATAAACCCCGTCATGGATGAGAGTATGGTTGATTGGTTTTACCACAATTCAACCATATTCACCAGTCACTTGAACTCATGTTGGAGTGGTTCAAGCAATGGATCATCCAGTGAATCAAATGGAGATGATTTGAAGCGACCAAGAAGGAAATTTGGCAGAGTATTGAAAGCTAAAGGAGATGGTTTGTTTGACGTGATTAATGAAAAGTTTGATGAGGGGGTTGATAATATTTTAGATAGTATAGAGGAATATTCCAGTTCCGAGGAGTAATTGTATGCCATTAGAGATTCTTGTATGAGAAATAAACTTTTTCGGATAAAGTTGCACTAAATCTTGTTCCGAGGTCCAGTAAAAGAATGCGAAAACGCCACATTGCGAAGAACCGAGGTGCCTGCGAGAGATGAATGTTTTATAGCTTTTAGTTGGAGCTTGTATTTAACCATAGCGGCTATTCTCTTTGGCGTAGATTGATCACGAAGTTAAATAAACATTTCCCCACTCTTTCATTCGGACAATTTTGCTGCAACAAAATTTCACAGTCTTATTTTAGGTGCTCCGTTTTTGTGGCTATACAATTCTATTTAAAGCCAATCAAAAACACATCCCAAGATGATAAACCTCCAGCAAGTATCAATAAGCAATGTCATTTACACTTGAAAAGAAACTGACAAGAGCTCACCCAACTAGAGCGCAAGGCTCTACATTACTAGCAAAAGATGCCGAAAATTTGACAATCGTGTATAACAAATACAAATCAAATTGCCCACGTCCAAACCCACAATCACAATTAACTTACAATCTTGTATTTTGCCACGGAACAGGATTCAATAAATCAATTTGGAACTATCACATCAAGAAATTGTTTCAACTCTCGCAATCGTTGCAAGTGCCATGCTTTTTGGATACTGTTGTCAGTATTGACGCAATTGGTCATGGTGATTCAAGTTTGGCCAACGCGGAGAAATTGGGCCCTGTATGTACATGGGATGATGGTGCCAGAGATGTGATTGAAGTTGTTGAAAATGAAATTCGCACCACTGGTGATTTGAAAAACGATGCAGATGCAAGAACTGTAATCATAGGTCATTCAATGGGTGGTTTTATGGCCATTTACGCGGCTTACTTGGAGTCTTCTTTATTTGACTCAGTTATCGCTATTGAACCCGTCTTGTACGCTTCTCCAGATAGTGCCGAAAAGTACATGAAATTGTTTAAAAAGATTTCAGGGTTCATTTTGGATACGTTTGATACTGAACAGGATGCTAAATACTTTTTTGAAAAGTTTTCCTTTACAAAATTACATAATCCAGAAGTGTTGAACGATTACATGGCTGATGAGATTTACAAGACCAAGGATGAAGAAGGTAAAGTGGTGTACAAGATCAAGTGCATAAAGAATCTTCAAATTGCAGCTTATTTGGGGTCAATGATGTCGCTTCCTAAAGGTATGTTGGCATTCCCAGCATTGAGAGTGCCATTTTTGCACGTTGTGGGAACAAAAGCAAAATGGAATCCTCCAGAGAGTACTGCTTGGATTAGGGGTTCAATTGATCCGAAGTTTTTTGCTGGTGGCATCGACATCCCTGATGGGGAACATTTGGTCAATGGTGAGAAACCAGATGAAGTAGTTGCCGTCATCAAAGATTTCTTGACAAAGAGAAATGAAGATTACGAGAAAGAGAGATTGAACACTCCTGAAGTTGTTTTAAAAGAAGACAAACAAGGGTTACGAGAACAAGAGTTTGGCAAATTATTAAAAGGAGATCTTGCTGATATTCATGGGTATGTGCTTCCAGAGCACACACCATTTGATCTAACTTTGAAAAAGAGTAGTAGCAAATTGTAATGATGTTTTGTGATGTGTATTCAATGCTAGACATGTTTAGACATAATTTGGGAATCGTTTCGAAAATTGCTTCTCTAAGTCATCTATATCGGGTAAGGATAGATCACTACCGGTACTCAACCTTCGAACTTGCTCTTGACCTGCTTTGAGAAATGTGGGTTTTCTCGGTTTAGTTGGAGGTGGCTTTTTGTGCTTGTCGTAATGAAGTTCCGACTTATCGTGGGGATTATGCGGTTTGTGCTTTGGTAAACGCTTGGTAGCTGGTGGTTTGACATTCTCCGGAGTGGGGGATTTATGTTGTCTCGATGATGATAAATTGACAGGGACTTTGGGTGGTGCTAGTTTCTTTGTTGTAGGTTTTTTATTATAAGGAGACTCATTAATGGAATCAATGTCGTCCACCACATTCTTATCGGTGAAGCGCCCGTAACCCAGTGCAGTTTTGCGGACTTGTTGCGACTCGCTTTGGGCAAGTAATGCCTGCATTCGTTTTTGAATCAGCTTCTCTTTCTCAGACGTTTCGTCTGATGATGTCACAGGCTTCTCATCAGATGATCTTCGACTTCCAGTTAATCTTTGCTTAAGACTCTTTCTTCTACTACCGTAGTCTGAAGCACCTGTGTTGTTGGCACTGATACTTCCACCAGTGCTGATTCGTCTCAAAGTGTTGCTTCCACCAGTGCTGATTCTCTTTAAGCTGTCCCATGCCGACTTCATGCCGCCTTCATGATTCCCGGTTTCCTTGCTTTTCAAAAATTCCATGGTGTCCTCTGTCTCGCCCAAATCAGTGGTTTCATAGCCCCTTGCGAGTTCCTGTTTGACTTTGTCTTGGATTGATGGTGTTGACTTGTTTCCCTGTGAGTATATCTTGGGTTTGTGACCATTGTCGTAATACGCACTGAGTGGGCGGGCTATTGTTCGTTTTGGTTCCAGCTCAAATGGTGATGAAATCGTTCTTGTATCCAATTTTTTCATAAATTTGGTTTTATCGATGGATGCAAAGGCATCAACTGACTTAGTATTGGCAGATTTGGTGTTTGGTTCCGGGGTGGGACTGATTGGTTTCTTGGGTTCTGAAACAGCCGGTTTTTTTGCTTCAGCGGATTGCAAAATACTGACTGGGATTACGTTTGGTACTTTAGTTTCTCCTTTCATTTGACTCAATTCTCCCAACAACTGCACGGCGTTTGGTCTACGCCTAGGGTCTGCACGTAAACACACTTTGATGACATTCTTTAATCTAGGTGAGAACATCAGTCCTGGCTGGTCTTTGAATCTCAATGTTTCTGAACAATTCAATATTGTTCTTTCTAAATCTTGCAAACTTGATTGGCTGGGCAGTTCAAATGGGGTTGTGTAATAGCACAACTTGTACAAGAAAATCCCCAAAGCCCAAATGTCCAGCTTATCATCTATGGGAAACCCCTTTGTTAAGTCAATCATTTCGGGTGCTCTGTATTGCGGTGTTGTGTGTTGCATCAAATCATCCTTCATCAATTGTAGCTCTTGTGGGTTCTTTGGTGGCGCCATATAATTTACTGACGATCCAAAATCACATAGCTTAAACACATGGTTAGAATCAATCAACACATTTTCAATTTTGATGTCACGATGTATAAGTGGTGGTCGTAAATGATGACACATGGCAACACCAATCGTCACTTGGTACATTATATCAATAATCTCCTTCTCTGTTAGTTTATTGACTAGCCTGGTATTCATGAAATCAATCAATCCGTTATTCTCACAATACTCCATTAGCAATAGCACTTCATACTGTTGCTGGTGGTGGCTGTTAGGTTCATTTAAACGAGCTGCATGGGAATCAATATACGACACAATATGCTTATTTCCTCGTAGCCTTCTCATAGCATCCACTTCTTGACGAAGGAGACTCAATTGCCACTTGCTTGGAACCACGACCCGCTTCAAACAAGCAGTATTTGATCCATGGAATGCGGGTTCAATATGACATGTGTACACATGGGCGAAACCACCTGCAGAGATATATTTGATGATCGAGATTTGATGTGATCCGACAACTAACTTTGTTCCTGGTTGGTAAGCATTGGGTGGAGGTGGTGGTGCCATTATGCTGTGGCCTCTAAGAAGTGTTGGTGGTGGTTGGATTTGAATCAAGCTTGTGGTGTTGAACAAAATTTAAAGTCAAGAAAAAAAAGAAAACAAAAAGAAAAAGAAGAAATTGAAGCAAATGAATGATCTGAAGAGATAATTCGTGGCGGTACCTCCCCAAAGGTTTATGGAGTTGAAGCGAGTAGATGTAGAGGTGTTGAAGCGAGTGTATGTATAAAGGGTTTCAAAGCGACAGCTTCGTGAATCAAGGATATTTTGCAGCACTCTCGAGTGATGCGGTTTTTACTTTCATCACCTTTTCTTTGTTTCTTTAAAATTTGCGCAATTTTCATCGCTTTTTTTAATGCGGCATCCTCCTTCCCTCATCGAGCCAGATGAAGTTGTACTTCGACGCAGAAAAGTTCCTCAAACACAATGATGGGAGTCTTCAAAAACGTATATTCAATGACAAAAAGGTGACAAATCCAAAGCATGTGTTTGCATTGGTCTATTCCACTTTAAAATATAATGACTACATACAACAGATTATTCAAAAATCGAAAATCCAACGAGACTTGAAGTCAAAGATTAGCAAAGAATTGTTGACCTTGTTAGTTCATGATTTGATATTCAGTGCTAGGGGTAGAATTGAAAGTGGGAAGCATCCAATTAAAGACGCGGTGTTGGCTCACAAGACAAGATTGCAGGCAGAATTTATCAAATTAAAGTTGAGATACAAAGTCAAATCAGTTGACCAATTACCAACAAAAGAGTGTGAAGATGAAACTCCAGTGAGGTGGTTTAGAATTAACACGGTGAAAATAGATCCCGAAAGGTTCTTTAAAAAGCATCAGTTCTTTACAAATTTACAACCGGTCAATAGCTTTCAAGATTTAACAGGACCAGGACTAATTTACGCCGATGACTACATTCCCAATCTATTTGGTATCCATCCAAAAGAAAAACTATCCCTAACTGAAGCTTACAAGTTAGGTGAAATTATTATTCAAGATCGGGCATCGTGTTTTCCTGCTCATATTTTGAACCACAATAAAGAACACACCAAAATCATTGATGCTTGTGCTGCCCCTGGAAATAAAACCTCACATGTGGCATCATATCTTCCCAATTATGATAGCAGTTCCGTTGTTTATGCAGTTGAAAGAGATGAGAAACGAGTAGGAATACTACGCACCATGAGTGAACGTGCCCTTGGCAAACTGAAAAAGAAATTGATTCAAGTGTTGCATAATGATTTCACAAAGATAAATTCAAATGATTTTCCCGAAGTCACTGGTCTCATTGTTGATCCGTCATGCAGTGGGTCTGGTATCTTTGGCAGGGCATCAGACGAAGAAGAGAGTAACGATCAGAGGCTTGAAAAATTGGCCTCGTTTCAAGTCATCATTATGAAGCATGCATTATCGTTTCCGGGTGCTCGCAAAGTTGTCTATTCTACCTGTTCTATACACGTCGAAGAGAATGAAAGGGTAGTGATTGATTTGCTTTCTGATCCACAGATACAAAGCCAGGGTTGGAAATTGGCGACCAGAGACGATGTGCTTCCAAGTTGGGAAAGACGGGGTATTGAGTCGGAGTTTTTTGCATTATCAAGAGACCCTGAGACATGTAAGAAGTTGGCAGGTGGGTGTGTGAGATCTAATTCAAAAGAAGATGGAGGTATTGGATTTTTTGCCGCCTGTTTTGTTAGGGAGACATCCGTTGACGAGGAGGAAAATGATGCGAAAGACGAGGAAAAAGACGAGGAAAAAGACGAGGAGGAAGACGAAGAGGAAAACGATGTGGAAGACGAAGACGAGTGGGCTGGTTTTGAATGAGTGGAGGATAACAATGCAGTTCGCAAGAGCAAACTGATTTCAAATGTTTGAGTCTTATGAAAGGTGTATTATTTAGCAGCAATGCGAAGAGATTACCTCCTGAGCTGGAGCTGTTTAGTATGTTTGTGTCCTGCATCAAGCATTGCGATCAATAGAGATCTAATAGCATTTACTTATTGTAACAGACTCTTCACAATACATACTAAGATTGACGCCACAATGTATGCATCTTTCCCCCCACTTTTTGACCCTTTGTTGAAAATAAAGTACAAGATCCAGCTACAACGGCTGCAGTTGAATTATGCCTACTACATGAGCGCACAATTGCCTTGGCTACATGCCGTAAACAATGCTTTTGCAAGCATGGGGGTCCTCCGTCAACAATAGAGTTTTTTGCAATGTTTACATGTGTGAGTGGTTACAAAAATTAGCGCCATTGCAGAAACCTTGTTCGTGTTTAAAGAAAGGTTAATTTTATTGCAAAATATGGAGTGTGGTGGCGGTGGTGGTGTTTTGAACCATTTGATGGTGTGGCATCAAGAAGTTTGATCCACATAAATGTGTAGATCAATTGGCGTGAACTTTGTGTGCTGGATAAATCCCACGCACTATCAAATGTCGTATAATTCAGAAAATGTCTACTCATTCTGGGTAGCATGTTTGTGTACTGAAATTCACAAAAGAAAATGTCTTTAATTGGTTTTGTGTCAAATTGATGATTATGCTTAGTTTCTTATTTTTTTGGTGCCGTACGACTAAATGGTGTGACACATTTCAGTCTTAACTAAATTTTAATACGTCAAAGATTAGTCTACACTTCTTGAATCACAAAGTATACAACAATAGAAGGATACAATACAGTAAAAAGTGGAGCCAGAGAGTGTAGACGCTACATTCCGCCTTTATGGATTTAATGCACCGGCCCATTTTTTATTCTTTCAAGCTACTCTTTTTCTCGTTGAAATGCCTTACGCTGGATTTAACCCATGCAGTTTCACCATGAAGGTATAATGGAAACTCCAGTTACCTACGTGCCTTTGCCTTTTTTTTTTTCAAAATCAATACTATTGGTGGGCTGTAATCTTATCTGAAAGTCTCGTGCAATTACGCCAATACAAAGTAAGTAACTCATCTCATATCTGAACTGAATGGAAGTAAACAAACGCTCATAACCGTAGAGAATAATGTATTGCTAACTTCAGCTTTCTGAACTTGGAAAAGGATGAATAGGGCAAAGCCGGTATCAAACGGTCTACCGTCTCCTCATTTCATCTCGTGCCGTATCGATAAATCCAAAGGGCGCTAGTGAGAGGGGAGAAGAAGTTTGGCTACACAAGTGGATAAGTTAATTGGATTGTTGTTTTCGATATGCACCAACTCTTATCCACTCTACTAACCGGAAATATTCAGCTACTTATTGTATAAAAAATCAGTCATGGACAAAAGCTTGACTACACAAAGATAAAAAATAAAATAGAAATTTAGAGCAGTTTGCAGCCTCAAAACAATGAACGAATGAAAAACAATTGAAATACAATTTTATGCCCTTTTTTGTTTTGAAATCTGCCGATAAAGTACGTCTCATCAGCATTTTATGCATAAAATTTATATAACAAAATGACGATCCACAATTTTTCAGATTCAGTTCCTTTTTCTTTAACTCTATACCAAAAGCAACATGGAGAAGATTAGAAACATGTTGACCCGCGGTGGGCGGGCAGTTGAAAACGAGCTTGGTTCAGAACACGCTAATCACGATTTGAATGAAAAAGCAGCTGAGATTGCGTCACAAGAGGTTGCCAATGAGGATTTCGAAGCAGATAGAAAAGTCCCCGATTTGGATTTGGTGGTGTCAAAGTCACAGGAGTTTGACCCGGTGACCTCTCGGTTAGTTGATGACATCATCCACGATGACTATGCAGGTGTTCATGTCGAAGATGACTCACCATATCCTGAAGTCAGAGCAGCAGTTCCTAGCTCTGATGATTTTGAGATGCCACAAGCTACAATCAGAGGATGGACTATTGGATTGATCTTGACCACTATCGGATCTGCAATGAATATGTACTTTTCATTACACAGACCTACAATCACAATCACCACCTTGGTCACTTCCATCTTGGCTTATCCAATGGGACGGTTCTGGGCCAGATGTTTCCCCAACTGGAAAATTTTCGGTGTTCCTTTGAACCCGGGTCCATTCAACATCAAAGAACACGCGGTTATTACAATTATGGCAAATGCTTCATTCAATAGTGGTCCAGCATATTCCACAGATATTTTGGTTTCAATGAACAAATTTTACAACATTGATTTCGGTATTGGGTTTGCTCTTGTGTGTACTCTTGCCACAAATATGATTGGGTTTTCAATGGGTGGGTTAATTAGAAGAGTGGTTGTTGACAGTCCATCAGCTATTTGGCCACAAAATTTGGTAACCTGTACATTTTTGACCAATTTGCACATTAATGAAAATCACCCTGCTAATGGTTGGCGCATTTCCCGTCTTGCCTTTTTCTTGACAGTATTCATTGTTGGGTTCTTCTATTATTGGTTCCCTGGTTACATATTCACGGCATTGTCGTACTTTTCGTGGATAACTTGGATAAAACCCAACAACGTCACCATAAATCAAATCTTTGGATCGTCATCAGGCTTGGGAATGTTTCCAAACTCGTTTGCCTTTGACTGGAATCAAATTGCCGGTTACTTTGGCTCACCTTTGATCCCACCTGCCGGAACTATTGGTACAATTTTCCTTTCAATGATTCTTATTTTCTGGGTTGTTGTCCCAGCTATCTCATTCACCAATACATGGTATGGTGATTACTTGCCAATTTCATCGTCTGGATCCTACGATAACAAGCAACAAAGTTATGAGGTTGCGAGAATTGTTGATCCGAAGACATTGACATTTAGAAAAGACGAGTACGAAAAATACTCGCCATTGTTTTTGTCAACAACATTTGCCATTTCGTATGGTTTGTCATTTGCATCCATATTGGCTACCATAGTTCACACTGTTTTATTCCACGGTAAAGAAATTATTGAGCAATTCAAACTCAAGGAAAAGCCAGACGTTCACAACAGATTAATGGCTCGTTACAGGAGGGTACCAGAATGGTGGTTCCTTGTTTCATTCTTGGTTTTTTTTGCGATGTCAATTGCCACTGTTAGAGCTTGGGAAACTGAAATGCCAGTGTGGGCATTGATTGTTGCACTTCTCATTGCCATGTTCTTCTTACTTCCAGTAGCAATCATCTACGCAAGAACAAACATTGGTGTTGGGTTGAACGTTGTAACGGAGTTCATTGTGGGTTATATGCTTCCCGGTAAACCAATTGCTATGATGTTTTTCAAGACCTTTGGCTATATCACCAACAACCAAGCGGTCACTTTTGCTCAGGATATGAAATTGGGTCACTACATGAAGATTTCACCTTATAACTTGTTCTTTTCCCAATTTACTGCTGCTATATGGTCCTGTTTTGTTCAAATTGCCGTTATGAGATGGGCTTATGGTGCTATTGACGGACTTTGTACAGATGACCAGCCATCAAACTTTACCTGTCCAGGAGCCAAGGTATTTTTCAATGCTTCAATCATTTGGGGGGTCATTGGTCCACAACGTCAATTTTCACATGGTCAGTTGTACTACGCTTTGTTGTATTTCTTCATCATTGGTGCTGTTCTTCCTGTTATCAGTTGGTTAATTTTGAAAAAATACCCAAACAGTATAATCAAGTACTTGCACTGGCCCGTTTTCTTTTCAGGTACTGGTTATATTCCACCAGCAACACCATTTAACTATACATCATACTGTCTTGTTGGTTTATTCTTTGGTTGGTGGATTAAGAGAAAATTTTTCCACTGGTGGACCAAGTACAATTATTCTTTATCTGCTGGGTTAGATATTGGTTTAGCCTGGAGTCTTTTGATCATTTCGTTGGCGATGGGTTTGACGCAAACTGACTTCCCAAGCTGGTGGGGAAACAATGTTGTTAATGGGACTCTTGACACTCAAATCTCGACAAATATCAGAAAGCGTTTGGCTCCAGGAGAAACGTTTGGGCCATCGACATGGTAGAATTTTTGTTTTAAAGGTATATAGGTAAATCTCTAGTAAGAATAGGCGCAATAAGAATTGCAACTTTAGAATGAGGATTGCGACCAAATTTCCCTTTATGATACGAGGTGGTCAGACTCGTCGATAGCAGTACCCTGTATGGTGGGGAGGCCGTTGACAAAGCTACGAAACGATGCGAGACAAAGGCAATGTCACAGAGGAGTGTGTACCCTCATGTGGTTTTTTCAGTTCGGTTGCGAAATGCAAAAAGGAGAACGCAAAATGAGAGGGAAAAAAAAAAAAACAAGAAAAAAACAAAAAAAAAATAATGTAGCCGACGAGATTTGAACTCGCGCATCCGAAGATACCAGGAAAGTATGGTAAAGTTGTGACCTTACCCTGGCGCCTTAACCGCTCGGCCACGGCTACTTATTTGTTGTCAGGTTTGAATTTTGCTTTATTTTATTAACTCAAGTTTGTGACATTTTGAAAGAGTAGCCATGCACGAGTTGTTGATTTTACATGCTCGAATTCATCTCAGAATGTCTCGATTAGTCACCGCATGTGCTGTGCCACTCTATTTAGTAGTCCAGTTTTGTTTAAGAGCTTATCTTTCTGTAATCAAGCTCCGCCACCACAAAGAAGAGCCTTCATCTTTCATTGCAATGGTTACCAGGTGCAAACAGAAGGCACTAAAGAGTAGAGTAAGCCTGTACTTTGTCCTGGGGAACACTGGTTTGGGTGGGTGGAGTAATGGGCCAAAGGCACGGCTTCTGTAAATACGAGGCTTTCACCTCGCAATATAAATTAAAGTAACTTGTTGCATTGTGACACCGTCACTGTTGGCGGGTTAATAGAACAATAGCCCATAGCAAGTATCACGAATGAATTGAAAATTAGTTCTTCACTTAATTACAGTCCTTGTTGTTACTCAGACTTTTTTGGTTCAAATAGCTGCAAAAAAAAAAAAAACGGTGCTATCCATCGCTGAATTCAAGTATCTATAAGTACCCAAGTTCTTGAAATTCACACAGGTTACAGACACCTACTAAGAATAGCCACACGTCTTCACAGATCAACGTCTTGGCTCATAGTTTTTTGACTTTAGTTTCCCTCCTTGTGTTAGCCATCAACGGCCGAAATGTTGTACACCCATGACTTCTATCAGAGCAAACGACAGTCGCCAAAAACGTGTACAAAATACACTGTTAAACCGAACAAAAAATACTCTTCCCCCCTTCTCATACGATTATTAAATTTTATAACATTCTACATAATGGTACAACACTTGCTGCCAGAGCTACTTTTGTTCCCCTTTGTCGACTGGTTCTGTCTTGCATTCGCTGGCTCCACCTTCTTTGGCTGTTCAGCAACAGGTTGTTTCGATACAACAGGTTGCTCCACTTTCTGTTTTTCCTTTTGCTGCTTCTTCTCAGCGCTAATAGCCGCTTCCTTTCTCATTATCTGCCTAACCACGTCAATGAATGCTTCATCAACATTTGTCTTGTACATGGCACTTGTTTCATAAAATGGTACCAACCCCCAATCTTGACTTACCTTGACACCATCCTCGATGCTCAAAACTCTATCCTCATCCAAATCGCATTTATTTCCCACTAATACCATAGGAACATTATCACTGTCTTTGATTCTCAAAACTTGTTCGCGCAAGGCCAAAAGTTCTTTCAATGAATTTTCATCCGTGACTGAGTACACTAACAAAAAACCCTTCCCACTCTTGATGTACAACTCTCTCATGGCTGTAAATTGTGCTACACCAGCTGTATCTAATATCTCTAAGTCACACGCGCGGCCATCAACTTCTATTTGCTTTCGGTAGGAATCTTCAATTGTTGGATCATAACTCTCAATGTATACGCCTTGTACAAACTGCACAGTTATGGAGGATTTCCCTACACCACCGGCACCTAGAACAACAATCTTGTAATCTTGAGACTCAGGTTAGTAGAAAGAAGACTCCATTAGTGGCAGCTACTTAACGTACCTCTCATTGGCTTGAATTGATATGTTTCTTTGAGTTTTTTTGTTTACATTTTTGGGTTTTTTCTCTTCAATTTTTTCTTTCCATTTTTGACGATTAGACGAGCTTTACAAAATAACCTGTCAACATGTACCGAGGACAATGGATGTTCTATATAACCTAATAACAATTAGGAGATCATTTATTCTACTCCCCACTTATTAACGACGAGATACCCAACAAACCGAGTAAACCAAACTTGAAATATTGATTCTCACTGATTAGAATGGTAACGTATCCGATAAATGGCAAGTACGCCTTGACCGTTCCCACTAGATCGTTCTTTTGATTGAGATAGCTCTGCTTCTTCGCGTATAATGACAAATCGTCAACAGCGTTATTGTCACCTTTGGTCAACAACAATTGTTTCTCCAGATTGTGATGCTCTCTCAATACACGATGAACGATTGGAATACTCTTACCGTCAATCTCGTAAACAACGATATCACCAACCTTTTGTCTTCTATCTCTGTTCCATAAAAACAAAATATCACCTCTTTGGAACGCAGGCTCCATTGATCCCGACAATACAACAACAATTGGCGAATGCAGGTTTGCCACTACCGACAATGTCTTCCATAGCATAAAGGCTGACGAAAAGACATATGCAAGTGATAAGAACTGGGTAATTTGTTGGCGAAGATTCATATCGTGATAGCAGCTCTCTTTTGTTGATACGTGTTTTGAAAAAGATTGGAGAGAAAAAATGGAAACAGGAAAAAAACCGATTTTGACAGTTACAACCACTGTGCTCACAATATGGCGTCGACGGGTACCCAAGAAGGAAACAAAGAACCAAGAGGTTACGCCGAGTCAAACGCACCACTAACAAGGCGAACACCATCTCTCAGAACTGCTATATCTAATGCTGCAGATACACCACCTAAAATATTAACAAACACAAGACCACAAACGTCATCCATCCAGCAACCAGTCCCTCAAGACCAAAACGTACCCACCCGAAATGCCAGTGTGTCTTTCAATCAAACCGAGTCTCAAGAGCGTTTGCGTAGGTTTACAATCTCATCTCAACCATCATCAACAAATGTGGCTGTACAGGACAATAACCCTGAGGCAGCAAGACAACCATCTTCAAATACGCCATCGAGACAAGCATCTTTAAACAGAAAAAAGAACAACGATGGGCTTTCTTTCAGTGCTAAGCCAGCAGTACCAGCTCGTGAGCCCACGCCAAAACTTGACGAAAATGAACTTGCTCGAATGAATACTCCAAGTCCCACACGTGGAGAAAATTTTGTCCCTGCAACGACACTATCACCAAGTTCAAACGCGGCAGTGCCTATTAAGATTACCGGCACAGGTAGCAATAATTCTTCTCGAAGAAATTCATTGAAAAAAGCAAGCAAGACAATAGTAGCTTCCCCAGTTGGTCCTCCTGTTCCATTTCAAGAATATCTCTCCAAGGAAGATGATGGTAAGTTTCACATTTTGTTAGCATGTACGGGATCCGTTGCTACGATTAAAATACCTTTAATCATTGACAAGTTGTTTCAACTATTTGGCACATCCAAAATTTCAATCCAGTTGATTGTGACAAAGGCTGCCAGTCATTTCCTCAAGGGCTCCAAGATTAATGCCGATGTCAAAATATGGAGAGACGAAGACGAATGGGCAAACTACAACGAAGCCACTACAATTAGCTCAACTCAAAACCACTCGGCAAAGCCAAAGAATCCATTTGACAAGTTGATTCTCCATAATGAGTTGAGAAAATGGGCAGATATTATGTTAGTTGCACCATTGTCGGCAAATACGTTGGCAAAGATTGCTAATGGTATTGCAGACAATTTGCTCACGTCAATAATTAGATCCTGGGCACCATCAACTTCACAGCAGGTGAAAAAGCCAATTATTGTTGCTCCTGCGATGAACACTTTTATGTACACTCACCCCATGACGGCGAAACAAATTGCCACCATTACCTCTCCTGGATTTGGTATTGAGGTGTTGAAACCAGTTGAGAAGGTGTTGGTTTGTGGTGATATTGGAATGGGCGGAATGAGAGACTGGGTTGATGTGGTGGATATATTGAGGCGAAGAATATTGGCGATTGAGGCTGAAAATAAGGAGTATAGTGACAAGAGTGTTGCTATAGAAGAGGAAGGGGAGGAAGAGGATGAGGATGGTGCCGGTTGTGATGATGATGATGATGAAGACGGAGAGGAGGGCGATGACGATGACGATGACGATGATGATGACGATGATGACGACGACGATGACGACGAAGAAGACGATGATGTTGAAGAGGATGAGAAAAACAAAGGTGCTAACGATGTCGACAACAATAAGTTCAAACTAGATGCTCCATTATCGCCTCAAAAACACAGAGACCACGATGATCTAAACCTAAGTCACGACGAAGATGGCAATGAGGAGATGATTTTTGAAATCACGGACCAAGATCTCAGTGATGGTGATAATACATCTGATCGTGGCTTGTCACCAACCTCATCGCATCGTCAACAGAAGATCAAAATACCTAAAGAAACGCAAAACATTATCTAAAAGTGGCAACCAACAGTTATATTGGCAATCATTACTTGTTTGGATGCAGCTCTATAGTTCGAAAACGCTCTTCACCATATTCAATATATATTACACACACACACACACACACACGTACACATATTCTTTCTCATCATATTGATCTTAGAGACGTCACTGCATCTAATGGATACCTAGCATGAACGCTGCTAACCGGCTCCAAGGCTTCACCTGGATGGATCTTTTCAGGAACAATAGAACCTCCTAACGCGATTCTCTCCTTCTCTTCTTCCTCCATAGTTTTATGCAAATTAAAGAATTGAATAAACATAACAACACCAGCCAAGAATGTAACACCACCAATAACACTAAACACAATTACTAAATGTGGATCATTCAATGCGGGAGTAACAGCTAAACTAATTGCAGCACTAATTGCGGATGTAAACAAAAACAACGCGGTGGTTAGTCCTTTCATCGAGGGAGCTGCTCTGGTATAAGCAAGTGCGTAAATCGTGGCCATAGCAAAACATTCAGAAGCACCGGCCAAGATATATATAGATGATGCTTGCCAAGCACTGATGGGCGATGGTTCGGGACAATTGGTTGAATGGTTTCCACAAGGGGATGTTTGGTAAACACGATGTTGCAAAACAGCACCAGCAACTTGAGACATTGCAGCAATGACAAATCCAAGAAACACTCTCTGAATTGGCCTGAAATTGATACGTAATCTTCTCAAAAGTGGATAAACAATGTAATCCAAAACAGGGATGACAACAATGATTGCAAGTGGATTAAAATTGCTAAACAAGTCATTTGGCACACCATTCAAGTTCATTGCACCAGCCAAAGATGTTTCTACTGAACCTAACCCACTGTCTGCCAAGTTGTAAAAAATGAAATAAACAAACAACTTACAAGCGTCCAAGGTTTGTTTGACATCGAGAACGTGTTGGTCAGTCCAAGTGATGGGGGTTTGTTTTTTGGTGTTGAAGTATTCACGACCCCTTGCTCTCATGACCGATGGTTTGGCATATTCCCAAAAGGTACCATCAAAGACACGTTTAATGAAGTTCCCAGAAAATGACACAACGAGGATCTTAATCACCAAGCCAATGATTGATCCACTTGGTTTTTCAAAAACCAATTTAGGTTTAACCAACCAGAATGCAATTGGCATAAAAAGATAAAGTACCAATGGAACAAAAAAGGCTAACCAAAACCCAACACGCCTTTCACAATAAGAAGTTGCCAATTGAAAAAATGCCCCAATGTTGATAGCCCAATAAAAGATCAAGGTAACACTTTCCAAGGTCTTTTCTCTATCAACAAGAACTTTTTCACCACTCTTTAGCACTTTAACTCTATTACCCGACTCTGGGTACTGGTCCAACATCAATGGCAAAAGATTTGGTTTGATGAATCCAGATCCAAACGCCAAGGTAAAAATAGCAAGAATACAAAGTGCCAATCCAGCTTTCCCATTAGCAATGACACTTGGAGCAGCGGAAACAATAAACAAGACGTGGGAGATACCTCCGAATACAACACCCCATTGAATCGTTTTCCATCTTCCCCATGTGGTATCAGCCAAGTAACCTCCAAACAATGGCACAACATAAGCTAAAAATGTAACCAAGTTTGTTAAAGCACTGGCTGCTTGTAAGCCTCTATTCAACGCACCAGCACTTTCACTACCGTCATCGTGAGCTGGGGCACCCCACCCATGTGGTGAATCCTCAGGCAAAGGTCTTTGAATGAAATTCGACAAGATACCAGTAACTGAATAATAAGAAGCTCTTTCGGAAAATTCAACAACACAAATTAAGAAAATTGCATAATTTATCTTACCAACAACTCTTCTTAATGTTTGCTCTTCAGTTTTTGTTGGAACTCTCAATCCCCTTGGATTATATTCGTCAACGTAATTGGTGCTATAATTTTTTGGATCATCCAAGTCGTATTCATCATCATCAACAATTGATTTGTCGTAGGTTACAACTTTCAAATGTTGTGCTTTCTCATTGTCTGCGTGTTCAACAGATGAGCTTGATGTTCTAACGGAAGACATTGTGAGGGACCTAGACTTTAATCTCAAATCGTAAATGGCTCCTAGAGAGGATTAAGTTAAGGGTTTTTATACAATTTCGAGAAAATGAGTGCCAGTAAAACTCATACGGCAATTGTACCAACTTACGATTCTTATCTGTGGCTCACGATATCACAGGCTCAATTATCAAAGACAATAAAAGAGGGGACATACAAAGAGATTTGATTTCACGACAATGTGGTACTTTCGCTGCACAACGGATAATATAATTGAGACTGAAATGAATTGCTTGCTTGACAAAGAGAGGAGGGAATTTATTGTTCCGGTATTAATACATTTCGCGCATATACTTGTATGATGTGATTGCAAATTTACAAAAAGACGACGCAAGTTGACACAAAAGTAATGATAGGCTAAGGCGGATTTAAAAATTTTTTTTTTTTTATATTTTTAATTTTGGTGCCGCATGAGACAATTCAGAATGCACTTAAATGTAATCAACATCTTTGTTTATCTTATCATTGACTGTAACGGTGTTGCTATCAAATTGAATTATTTTACGTAGTACAGTTACCAAGACTATACATATCACACCACCTGGATACCCTGCCGTAATTAATTGGATAAGGACAGACCAGCTTCCCTTACATATGCAAGAGATATATATCTCTTGGGTAACTTTTCTTTGACATATTTTTTCCCATTCTTGGCACTCTTGTGCTAGTCAGATATGTATTACATAATACAAATTAAAGTGGAGGACCAAACTGTGGCGGCGCGGTTAGCAGGAAAAAAAAAAATGTCGCAATAGAGCAAAAGCATTTGAGAATGAAAATGCCGAAATTTGCACCATCGGGACCAATTATAGAATGATGGGTGTTTCTATTTCATAAAAGCCTACAACGTACGATCCGAGTGGGCTGTAGATTGCCTCACTCGGGTGCCGACTACCTTCGCTTCGTCGCGCAAGCAATAATCAAGCTAAGAGAGACCAAATTATGACTTCTTTTTCGGGAATTACGCACAATGATCTCGCCACATTAATAAATGTAAACTATTATCAGATACACCTCAGTAATGCTTTTCTGAACATGGTTGTACATCCTCCACCTACTTATTCTTTGGAACAATCAATCTCATCTTGTTCACAGAAAATACACCCATCAAGTCATTGGGCTTGACAGCATTAACAAGTTCTCTTTCAGTTGGCCAATCCAAGTCTGGATCAGATCTATTGTTATCCAAACGTCTATGAGTAAAATAGTTGATGATTTCGTTAATTGATTTACCCTTTTTGGCCAATCCTGGCTGAATCTTTGCTTTATACTTGAATCTCTGTAACGCTGACCAAGGTGCAAACACGGGAACTATATCAAGCACTGTATCGCCAACTGCGGGTTTGGATGATAGGAAATCCAACGTGTCAAAGAATGAGGAGAGTGTTTCATTCGCCGCATCTGTTTCAAGTAGATATTCTTGCACCTCTTTCTCGTGTTTTTGATTAGTTTCCTCTCTTGTTTCTCCTTTCACATTTGGTGTATCCAGCAGCAGCAGCTTCTTCTCCTTTTGAGATTCCTTCTTCTTGCCAATTCCCAACAACTTCATTCTTAATTCCTTCTCCTCAGCATCAAAATCGTCATACTTTGAAACATTTTTCTTCGATTTGGATTTCTTGCCCCTAGTATTTGAAGTATCGTCGATTCCAGGATCTTTCTCACTAGCGTCGTGTGCATGTTCACGCACAGGTTCTTGTACATCATCCTCTGTCTTTACATTTGTCACTTTTGTCTTTTCAAATACTCGTTTTTTATTATCCAATACCCTCACCAAACCGTGCTCTTTTTCCTTTTGGACACGTTGAATTTTGTGTCCTTCAGCTGACCCTTCATCAACCAAAAAATACAAGCCAAAGCCCATAACGAGTTGAGCTGGAGGTAGGAAATGCTTTTTCGCAAGGTATTCAAACTCACCAGCAGGAAGCAAGGCACCTGACAGATTATATTTAGAAATTTCACTTCCATGCAATACCCAAGCTGCTGTATTAATCTTCCCATTCCAAGCTTGCGAAGCAGCCATTGCAAAGATGCCTGCTTGTAAAATTGTCGTTGGTGGTACAGATTCCCCTTTGAGGGGATTTTTAACAAAAACCTTCAACGATCCTTCAATTTCAGAGCTCACAAGAAAATCATCATCACTAAAGTACTTGAAATAAAGTAAGTCAGTTTGTGATTTGCTTCTACCGGCCAAACATAGATACCCTTCACTTGAAACAAACCAGTAAAATGATTCAAACCAAAACTTCTCTCTTTCCGCGTTGGAAGAGGTCCCATTTTCACGTCTCAAATTTTTCACCAAATCCTGATTGATCTTCTTCTCGGCATTTTTGTATGCAATTTCAGCACCCTTTTCAATCTTTGCCTGCTTTGATTCGGCAGCTTTCTTGCTTTCAAAGTAGATGCTAGCATTAGCGTAGGAACTCAAAGTGTAATCTATGCTCACCAGTACTCCTTCGTTTGTGTACTTGTCAGGGGACTGGGTTTGGGATGTGACATTTGTAGGGGTCCTTGTCCCACTCTTTTCATCGGTATCATGGCCACTATCAGACTCAGATTCAGACTCAGATCCAGACTCAGATCCAGACTCAGATTCAGACTCAGATTCGTTATTGGAGTCACTATCAGAGACATCAAATTTACCTTTACTGTCATCAAAGCAATCTGGATCCTTCAATCTAACGACAAATCGATTTTCCTTTAATTGCAATGGTAATTCAAAATACCTAGCGATTGATCCGGGTTTCTTCTTATCAAGTCCAATTGCTAACTCCATATTCGTCCAATCCATCAGTTGATCAACAAACTTTTTAATGTATTGCCTGCATTCATCCACGAGGCCGGAGTGTAGTTGAATCAATTCGCCTTTTCTTGCATTCGTGGCTTGCTCATCTTTTAAATTTTGAATCTCTTGATCACGCTTTGTTTTAGCTTTATTCAACCTCTCGGCAGCTAGCTTCTTTTGATGAATAACGTTTGGAGAATTCTCATCAATATTCAATTCTGATATCTGCTTCTCTATGGTATCTGTTGGTGGGGACATTAATTAAAGTAGTGATAGTGGCGAAATTTTCGTCACTGGATCTTTAGAAATTTTTCTCTTGTGAAGAGATCTTTATATTTTACCCAACACAAGCTGCACATTGAAACTCTTTTCAATCATGGAAGCAACATTAGCCCCTCTAGTTGAAGCTTTGAAAGCAAAGAAGAAGGTGTGTCTATTCACAGGCGCTGGCGTGTCCACGGCAGCCGGAATCCCTGACTTTAGGAGTCCAGAAACTGGATTGTACTCCAACTTGGCGAAACTCAACCTCCCCTTTGCTGAAGCTGTCTTTGACATCGACTTCTTCAAAAAGGATCCAAAACCATTTTACACATTAGCTGAAGAGCTTTTCCCTGGCAAATTTGCTCCTACAAAGTTTCACTACATGGTGCGGATTCTCCAAGAGAAGAACTTATTGAAACGTGTTTACACGCAAAATATAGATATCTTGGATAGGCTAGCTGGAGTCAAGGACGAATTCATTGTTGAAGCTCACGGATCATTTGCCACAAGTCGCTGTATCGACTGCAAAATGGAAGTACCAATAGAGAAAGTGAAGCTGGATATCCCAAAGGGGGTTCCCACTTGTGCCAAGTGTGGTGGTTTCATTAAACCTGATATCACATTCTATGGTGAAGGGTTACCATCAAAGTTTTTTGAGACCTGGGACAAAGACTGTGATGACGTTGAAGTCGCTTTGATCTCGGGTACTTCGTTGACCGTATACCCCTTTGCTTCCTTACCATCCAGTGTGGAAAAACGTTGTCTTCGAGTTTTGGTGAACAGAGAGAAAGTTGGTGATTTAGGTCGACGGAAGAAGGACATTGTTGCGCTCCTGGATTGTGATGAGTTTGCCGACACTTTGACCTCTTTACTTGGTTGGAAAGATGTTCTTGATCGGTATTATGAAGAAGGGCAGAAGAAGTGTGGAAAGAGTAAGTCAATTGAAGAGGAATTAGAAAAGATTGAGGACCGGTTGGAAAAGGAACCGGTCTCTGAGAAAAACAACAAGGATGGTAATGTGGATCGCCAAGAAGGCGATGAGGAGTTAGAAGAGTTGATCAACAAGCTAAAGATTTGAGAATGGTGTCAATTTGCGTGTGATGCCAACTTCGCTGCGAAGATATTGTTTGAAGTGTTGTTAGAAGTGGTGCTAAATATACTGTTTGATTTTCTAAAAGGGGTTGCCAAAAAAAAAAACTACACCACTCGAACCATTTTGACCACACATTTCAATGTCTTTGACCAACAGTCAGTATGGATTTATCACAACTGTTCGTGCATCGACACGTCACAACACGTCAAAGGCTGATAGTAAACGAGATGTGGTCATGGCTATTAACAAGCTAAAGTCGGAACAAATGGACGTAGGGGTTGCCATTCTTGATTTTGAAACATATGAACTTTCATTGATGGAGTTTTGTGACACCCTGTTGTTTGCTAGAACTGTAAACCAAATCAACATCTACCAACCTACCATTGTCATTGCTCCAGATGGATCTAACCTGCAATTCGAAAAGTTGAGATACATTCTTGCATCAAACTTGGATGAAACTGTTCAACAGCAATTAGTAAAGGCGAAATCATTTGATGCTGCTTGTGGGGTAGAACTACTCAAGACTCATCTGCATACACAAGGACCTGAAATGTCAGCACTGTTGAGTGATTGTGGGCTATCTGTCGGTGCTGCCGGTGCCTTACTTACTTGTTGCTTAGAATCAAATTTGCTCAAACAGTCAAACAGGGTTAGAATAAATATAGTCGAGAATGCCAAATTTATGCTAATTGACGCGAGTACTATAAGAGACTTGGAGCTTGTCTCCAGTCTCAATGGTAATGGAACAACATTCTTCTCATTCTTGAACAAATGTACCACAAAAATGGGACAAAGGTTATTACGAACATCAATAAGACAGCCGTTAACAAATGTTGAGAGTATTAAATTGAGGTTGGAGTCGGTGACGGAGTTGATTTCCCAAGAGAACATGTTGTTTGCTATTAAGAATGTGTTGAAAAAATTTCCAGATTTGGACAAGTTATTTGCAAGCTTCTTAAACCCCGAATCGAATATTAGCCAAGAGCTGATGATCAACAATATACTTTCCTTAAAGTCTACTCTATTGCTTTGCAGCGAGCTACTCAACTGTTTAGAGCCCAGCGAGTCACCGTTGATTGTCCAAGTGAGTGATATTTTGAAACATGAAAATATTGGAACGGCGATTTTGTTGATAAACAAACTCATACACGAGGACTGCCGCCTGGCGAAAAGAAGCATAGATGTTGCACACCAGAGGGCGAATGCCGTAAAGTCCGGAGTCAATGGCTTGCTCGATGTGTCACGCAACGTTAGGGAAACAATCTTGGAGCAAGTTAATGAATATGTGCAAAACATCTCTGTGGAGAATGGCGCAGTGGTTGACTACAGGTATGATAAATCGAGGGGATTTTTTTTGAGAATAAAGTGCACTGCGTTTGATAATCCCGATTTCATAAACATAATTAAGAAAAAGAATGGCATTGAGTGTACAACCATTGATTTGTTGAAACAAAGCTCAAGATTGAGTGGAATCATGGCCGAGATAAATAACATAAGCAGTATAATCATACTGGAATTGTATGAACAAAGTTGTGAAAATACTCCAATTTTTTTCATGATTGCCGAAGCAATTGCCACAGTGGACTTGTTGTGCAGTTATGCCAGTTTTGTTAGCTCACAAACCAAGTCATACGTGTGTCCTGAATTTGGAAAATACATTCATGTTCGGCAATCCCGACACCCCATACTTGAGCAAGTGGTCCTTGACTTCGTTCCCAATGACTATTCATGCGTTCCTGAAATTTCAAGGTTCCAAATCATCACCGGCGCCAATATGAGTGGGAAATCCGTCTACTTGAAGCAAATCGCGTACATCTTGATAATGTCACAAATGGGCCTCTATGTCCCCGCCGATTATGCTACGATAAAGATCCACAAGAGCATATTTTCGAGGATTTCTTCCGACACTACTGATTTGGATGCGTCATCTTTTTCTAATGAAATGACGGAGATATGCAGGATTTTGAAAAATGCAGATCTGGAGAGCTTTATCATTATTGATGAATTAGGAAGGGGCTCAAGTTTAAGAGATGGATTTTCCATTTGTCTTGCTCTACTCGAACATTTAATCACCACACGCGCTTCGGTATTCACGACGACCCATTTCAAAGAAATCGCTGAGATCTTAGGTAGCAAGTCGTGTGTTTTGGCCTCGCATATGAAGACAATTGAGGCTGACGGGAAATTGGAGTCCAAGTTCAAGTTGGAGCCAGGGAAACTTGAATTTGATCGGTATGGTATTAGATATGCAGAATCATCTCAAATGTTACCGCCGGAGCTATTACGAGAATCGAAATCAATTGCTGAAATTTTGAAGCTGCAAGTGTTACAGTGTAACGATCCACATTCAAAGTTGGTTTCCAAACGGAGAAAGTTGGTGTTGGAATTATACTTTGCTTTGAATCAAATGCGCACTTTGGATTGCGACTCCTCATACAAGCTAGATTTGTTGCGTACTTTACAAACAAAGTTTGTGGAAGAAATTAATGATATGTCGACTTGAGCTTATTTCCTTCTATATAGCCTGTAAAAAAATCTCATGTTTTCTAGCTTTAGTGGGTAAGTGACCTCTCTTTCGTTAATCCTGTACCAAATGCTCTCTTTTTCGGAAATGATTTCCCACGACCCGTTTCCCTCGCCTTGTTTACCAACTAAAATAGTGTCAATCAAAAACTGCACCGGGAATTGCTTGTTTCCTATGGTAATATGGGAGAAGGAACCAGCACTTTCAGCAATCAACAAAAGAGTACCACTTTTGCAACCGGTACTCAATGTTTGTAAAAGCTTTATTGTCTCTTTCCTCTTCTCTGCAAACAACTCATTAGTAGTGAAAAGCAATGTGATCAAATCAAAAGACGCCAAGTCATCAATTTTGGTCGATAAGATATCCTCATGCTTGAATTGCGTATTAAAGTTATGTTCCTTATACACCCAGTTTTGTTTCACATAATTCGTAAGTTGATTCACCACCACTGTCCAATCTGCGATATCGACAACGTCAATATCCAATCGCGAAGGAGAGTTTGGATGAAACTCCTTGAGTCTGCAGTAAACGGCGCCCAACCCCACTATTTCTGAAGCTGCACCGCCTCCAACACACAACACACGCTTCACCTTCTCAGACTCCTGTAACAATTCTGTAATTGGTTCCAAGTTGGAAAACAACGAGGCATAAGCCAATGCCCTTGAGGGGCTCCACCTAGCCGCATATCCAAACCTCTTGTTGTCATCGTTGAAAGCAGCGATATAGTCCCTATTGTATAAATCACCTTTCACCTTTTGAATGAAGGAGTCCAATTCATGAGAATCAAGAATGTGTTTGAAACAGACAGTGAATGCATCTAGAATTTGGTAAGGTTCAAGTGAGTTTTCATTCGTAAATGGCAATGTGGAAGGGGAATCACGGTCTAGCTCGTTCGATTTTGATTTTCCACCAACCATGGTTATGTAGTTTGCATTTTTGGTAAGAATGGATGAAAAGTTGTCCCTCACCCAATTTTGTGCAGCATTTTCGTAAAATCTCATCGTGTGAGTGTGAGCGAACGAGATGTTATAGAGAGAAATTTTTCACACCAAATTTTTTTTTTTCTTTCCTTCCTTTTCTTTTTCTTCTTCTTCTTCTTCTTCTATAACTAATTATCCATCAATCTGTGTCAAGGTGGGCTCTCAGTGGAAGATAGAAGCCTTGTGCTTTCTTTGATTCCCTGTAGACGTTTTCCTTGGCAGATCGGCGCTCGAGAAGCAAGCTTGATGTTCATTGTATCGAAATTCATTTTGAACGCAGTTGTTGTTATGACAGTGCAATCTCCACTGCTTGACATTGTTTCCTGTTTTCCTTGTGTACCGGTCCTCTCCTTTTGGAGGGTTGAGCAGTAACACATTCGGGGATAGAGATGATTAGGTGGAGCTTTTTGCATATGTGTTTATGGAAAAGTATATATTATGACGAAACCATTTATTATTGGCCTTAAGCAGGGTAGTTCCGTCGACAGATTGTATAACAACGGGTCGGTCTTGAGCTCATTTGATTTTGTTTATCAAGGTTGAATTGCAGCTCGACCAATATGGCTCGATGCAACATATTCCTGGACTCTGCGCAGATCATATTTGGTCCTTGACGAATAGAGTAAAACCATGTTGCAAACATTTCATTGTTGTGAGTCTCTTTGTAAGTACCTTCTTCTTAGTAGACGATTAAATTAAAGACACCACATGGGGGGAGCCAATGGTCTACTAAAGTTATTTGTATGGTGACCTTAGAGAAACGCACGTGCAGATGATTCAATAAAGCCTCATTCCAAAGCCGGTGCACGTTTTCTATTTAAATGGATATAATTAATCTTACTGTATTCATTTTCAAACAATGACGAATGAGCCTATGTTTTGATATTACCCGATTTTGATGTAATTGTTCCAAATTGGTCCGTCAATTAATCCGAAACTCTGAATTTTAATTAGAATCTCTAATTAGAGGGCACGTGGTTATCGATTTTGCGCACGTCAAATGTGTAATTTTGAGAAAATTGAAAACAACAAAGAAGAGGGTGCTTACTTTTTTGGTTTTGACGATGGGAATGAATATAAATAGCTACTAAAATCCACCCGTATACAATCCGTTCTCTAATGCTCATCAACAATGGTTGCTGTTTCAAATTTGCTCAACAGTGGGTTATTATTAGTTAGTCAAAACATCTATCAAGATGTTGCTACTCCTCAAGAAATGAAGGTTGACGGATATAACATCTTGAATTTCCTCGGTGGGCTGGGTCCCTACATTAGTAGAGAGTCATACGGTATTGACCCGGCTATTCCAGATGGATGTACCGTCCAACAAGTACAATTGTTGTCGAGACACGGTGAAAGATATCCTTCGAAGAATGTGGGGAAGAAGTTGGAAAAAATTTACAAAAAGTTTCAAGACTTCAATGGTACATTCACAGGGGATTTGTCCTTTTTAAATGACTATGAATACTTTGTTCCTGACACTACTCAATACGAGAAGGAAACCTCACCAAAAAATTCTGAAGGTACATTTGCTGGCACTACTGATGCCTTGAGACATGGTGCTGCCTTCAGAGCTAAGTATGGTTCATTGTACGATGAAAACTCAACGTTGCCAGTATTTTCATCAAACTCTGGCCGTTGTTACGAAACCTCAAGATATTTTGCTAGGGGTTTTCTCGGTGATGATTTTGATGAAGACAAGACGGTTAAGTTTAGTATTATTGACGAGGCAGCAACTTCCGGAGTCAACAGCTTAACACCAAGAAACTCATGTCCTAACTATGATAATTCAATCAATGACGAAACAGTTGCCAAGTACAACACCAGCTACTTGCAAACCATAGCCGATAGATTGAACAAGCCTAACCCAGGTTTGAACTTGACCGCCCTGGATGTCAACTCCTTTGTCAATTGGTGTGCCTTTGAAATTAATGTTCGCGGAAGCTCACAATTCTGTGATTTGTTTACTAACGAGGAGTATATCAAGGCCTCGTACGCCAATGATTTGTCAAACTACTACTCCAATGGTCCAGGTAATAACTTCACTAAAACTATTGGATCCACTTTATTGAACGCCTCGTTAAACTTGTTGAAGGATGACTCTGCTAGCAACAAAATTTGGTTGTCCTTCACTCATGATACTGACTTGGAGATTTATCACAGCGCATTGGGGATTGTAGAACCTTTATCTGATCTCCCAACGGACTACATTCCTTTCCCCAACCCATATGTCCACTCATCAATTGTCCCTCAAGGGGCAAGAATTTACACCGAAAAGTTCCAATGCGGTGATGACTCCTATGTCAGATACATAGTCAATGACGCTGTTGTCCCCATTGAAAAATGTGCCACTGGCCCTGGCTTCTCATGTAAGCTTGATGATTTTGAAAACTATCTCAATGAGAGAATCGGAAGTATCGATTTTGTCAAGGAGTGTGGTCTCAACTCTTCTGTTCCACAGGAAGTGACATTTTACCAAGATTACAATGAGAAAGTTTACAATGCCACTTTAGGTGATTTTTAAATTTTTAGAGCTTCATTTCGGTCGTTGATATTTAATAAAAAATGTGTAAAAGTAAGTGATCTGTAGACTTACGAGAAAGCAGACTTAGTTCTATTAAAACAGTTCTACCAGAGGATTTGAAATTAGAGTTATGCATTTGCGTTTCCGATCATCCGCGTATTACAGGTTTCTACATCAAAACTCGAGCTAACTTTGCTTCGTAATTAATGTTGAAACATATTCAATAGATTACTCGTTAGTTGAATTCCACAATTTCAAAAATTCGCGCTTGTAAATTCATCCATCTTCTTACCATCACCACCATTCTTATCGATGAAAGACTGCTCTTCATGTCCAGGGAATCCTCAAACGAGAATGTATTTCAACCGCCAAGCTTGAGCTCTAGGGAGCTGCTTACATCCATTGTCACACACGATGGTTTTCGATCGCGTTCCCGAAAAGGAGCTAGTCATCTTCCGAGCCTCCCTAATTCACCTAGTGTTGCTTCAGAGAAGAACTACTTCGAACAAGACGAACTCCAATCCCGGCAAGATGAAACCAGTGGTAACAATTTTGTTGAGTTTGATTTGAGTTCAATGAATACGAAAAATAGAACGAGCGAGTCACTTCCCAAAGTGTCGGAGAAAGTGTACACCGCATCCAACCCTAACACCCCGCAAATTGAGGAGAATGTGGAAGACCCTGTCGATAATGCCCAAATCAAATTAGAACCAGAAACACAGGAGGATGATTTTTTCAGTGAATCTAATTGGAAAGAAATGAAAACGATTTCAGACCTTGATTTTTACAACGAAAAGGGTGAACTCCAGTACAAATCTGAATCTGGACGTGACTTTATTCACAACAACAATTTTCACTTTGGCTACACCAAGATAGACACAGAAGAGCAGGTTAACAAGTATGCTGCTTTAGATAAGAAAACTGACTTCTTGTTCAAGAATGCTACTCGGAAACCACGCACTTATGGAGAGAATCGTGTAATCTTTGACGCTGAGCATGAAGAGTTTGACAACAGTGATGAAGTCGATCCAAATGAGGCATTGACTGATACAAAGGATATGTTATCAGATTCACAACGATTGGCATACGTTGGCATGGCCAAGTTAATTATGGTGGAGATGGCTACAAAGCTAGTTATGGTGCAATTTGGCACAAGTAGTAAGTTGGCAAAGCAAATGAGTGAGTCTCAAAGACATTTCTCCAACTGGTCATCAAATACGGCTTTGAAATTGTATGAACATTTGGGATTGATCAAGGAAGAAAAAGAGATGATTGAAAATTTGAGTAAGCACGGTGTGGAAATCAGCGATTTGTCAAAAAGTTTAACCTCTTTGGAATTGCACAGACCTAGTGGTTTTGGCGATGATTTTGACTTAAGATGGGTTTTGATATGTGACTTATTTTTGTTACTCCTCAGCGACGGCTATTATGATGCGCGTTCGAGGTCCCTTTTGATGAAGTTTGCTGACATTGTAGGCATATCCAGCTTGGAGGTTTTACAATTTGAGCGAAGATTGATGGAGTGTCTCGATATGGAAACGAAAGATCGGTCGATTGAGAATAAAGATGAATCATTAAGTGACCAGCTGTTTGTCAAACGACAGATCAAGAAAAACAGGAACAAGCGGTTAGCTATGATTGGTTTGGCAACTTTAGGTGGGGGATTGGCCATTGGATTACTGGCAGGCTTGTTGGCACCTGTTATTGGAGCTGGTATCGCTGCAGGTTTAACCACAGTTGGTATCACTGGAACAAGCGGGTTTTTGGCAGGTGTTGGAGGTAGTGTCTTGATTACTACAAGTGGAGTTGCCATAGGTGCGAAAGTGGGCAACAAAGCTGGTGCAAGAAGAGCAGGAGACGTACAAACATTTGAGCTCAAACCATTACATAACAACAAAAGGTCAAATCTAATAGTCACTGTAAGTGGCTGGATGAACGGTGCGATGGATGATGTCAGGCTTCCATTTTCAACAGTTGACCCAGTCATGGGAGATATGTTTTCTTTGCTTTGGGAGCCGGAGATGTTGCAATCAATGGGGCAAACTATTGGTATACTAGCAAGTGAAGCGTTAAGTACATCTATTCAGCAAATATTGGGTGCCACCATACTTAGCGCTTTAATGTCAGCAATTCAACTTCCAATGGCGTTATCGAAGCTATCATATTTGTTGGATAATCCGTGGAATGTGTCATTGGACAGAGCATGGAAGGCGGGGAAGATTTTGGCTGAAACAATTTTATCAGGAAATTTGGGTGTGAGGCCAATAACTTTGGTTGGGTTCTCACTAGGTGCCAGATTGATTTATTCGTGTTTGATTGAAATGGCGCGTAAAGGTGGTTATGGGTTGATCGAAAATGTCATTCTCTTAGGGTCACCGATTTCCATTGATGTGGACCATCTCGCTCAAGCTCGTTCGGTTGTGAGTGGAAAGTTCATCAATGGGTACTCAAAGAAAGATTGGATTTTGGGTTACCTATTTAGAGCAACCGGTGGTGGAATCCTGACAGTGGCTGGGCTATCAGCATTGGAATCCGTTAGTGGGATTGAAAACATTGATTGCACAGAGTTTGTTGAGGGTCACATGTCATATAGAAAGGCAATTCCAAAGATTTTGAAATTGATAAATTGGGAGGTGTTGAGTGATGATTTCGCTGAAATTGAGGAACCAGACCCTGAACAAGGCGAGAGGCAAAGACAATTGATTAGTGAATTTGATGAAGCCAGGGCCAAAATGGAAGAGCAAAAAGATACCGAAACCGAGCCTAAAGGATGGCGGAAATGGTTCAAGCCCAAACGAAAAGACTGGTGGGACATCTATGGTCAGCCAGGAGCTGACAAGGACGCAAATGATGGAGCTAAAGAGGAATACAACGTTGAAGAACCACCCATTTTCGATTTAGAGGCTTTAGAACATGAAGTCAATGATATTGAAGCCGCTGCTGCAAAAAAAGGCAAACCCAAGGATGAGTTGGTAGAATGAGTAAGATTCACTGTTGTCAACATTTCATCTTAATTTTTCTCTCTCTTTTTTTCTCTGACTCAAAAAATTTTCAGCACCACTTTCACTGCTAAGTACGTTAGACATCTATCATGCCCACTATCCCAGTTGATAAGGAAGACCTCTTCAAGATTTTGGGTAGATCTTACACTACCGAAGAGTTTGACGAGTTGTGTTTTCAATTCGGTATCGAGTTGGACGAAGACACCACTGATGAATGCCAAGGTGATGAAAGACCACAATTGAAGATTGAAGTTCCTGCAAACAGATATGACATGTTGTGCATTGAGGGTATTGCCCAAGCTTTGAATGAATTTTTGGGAAATAAAGAACAACCGAAGTACACTTTGAAGCCGGAAACACCAGAACTTTCTTTAACGATCAAGGAATCTACGTTCCCTATTCGTCAATATGCAGCTTCCGCCATTTTGAGAAATGTTACATTTGACCAAAGATCCTATGATTCTTTTATTGCGTTGCAGGATAAATTACACACCAACTTGTGTCGAAATAGAACTTTGGTGGCCATAGGAACCCATGACTTGGATACTTTGACCCCACCATTTTCGTACGAAGCATTACCACCAAAAGACATCAAATTCAAACCATTGAACCAGTCAAAGGTCATGAACGGAGAAGAGTTGATGGAATTCTACGAAAAGGATAAGAACATTGGTAAGTATTTGCACATCATTAGGGACTCTCCCGTATATCCAGTCATGTTGGATGCAAACAGAACTGTTGCTTCTTTACCACCAATTATCAACTCAGACCATTCAAAGATCACTTTGAATACGAAGAACGTTTGGATCGATGTCACTGGAACTGATAGAACCAAGACTGAGATTGTGATTGAAACTTTGGTAGCAATGTTTTCAAGGTATAGCAAAACTCCATTTGAAATAGAGCCACTCAAAATCATTTCCGAACACAATGGTGAGACTCGCGTCACTCCTAATGTGACACCAAGAGAAGCTCAAGCAGAAATATCCTATATCAACTCATGTTTGGGTTTGGATTACTCTGGTGAAGAAATTGCCAAGTTGTTGAAAAAGATGTCATTGGAAGCCACACCTTCAAAGGACAACAAGGACATTCTTGACGTTAAAATCCCGATTACTAGATCAGATATTCTACACCAATGTGATATTATGGAAGATGCAGCCATTGGTTATGGATACGATAACTTGAAGAAGACCAAGCCAAGCAGTGAGAGTATGGTTGCATCTGCGTTGCCTGTGAACAAAGTAGCGGATATTTTGAGATTAGCCAGTTCACAAGCAGGCTACCTGGAGGTCATGCCGTTAACATTGTGTTCCCATGACGAAAATTTTGGATGGTTGAGAAAGAAGGATGATGGTACAGCAGTTAGGTTGGAAAATCCAAAAACAATTGAATACCAAGTTGTTAGAACAACTTTGTTACCAGGTATCCTAAAAACAATCAAAGAAAATAGAAAGCATTCATTGCCTATTAAAGTGTTTGAATGTGGCGACATCGTTTTGAAAGATGCAAGCTTGGAAAGGGGTGCTTTCAACCAGCGTAACTGGGCTGCTGTGTATGCTGGTAAGACATCTGGCTTCGAGTATGTTCAAGGTTTGTTGGGAAAGATTATGCAAACTATGAGAACCCCCTGGTTGGAGAACCCATCTAAGGATGAAAGAAGAGGTTATTGGATTAAGGAGGACAAGACCAACACTACATTCTTTGATGAAAGAGGAGCAAAGATCTTTTTCAGAAGTCAAGCAAATGGCGAGGCTAAAGAAGTCGGGTGTATTGGTGTTTTACATCCTGAGGTGATGAACAATTTTGACATCCCATATGCCGCTTCCTCCGTTGAGTTGAATGTGGAAGTGTTTTTGTAAAGTATATATAGTCGTCTATAGAGCCCCGAGTTTTAAAGAGTTTTCTCTAAAATAATGGCCAGGTGTGCCGCTTCGGTTGTAAGTTTTGCACAAACTGCACGACCTCGTGTCTAATGCTTTTTTCTTCTCACGAGAAACGATAAAAATCGATTTGCTGTAGCAAAAAAGGAGACTATCACATTAGAACGCCGCCAATCCACTACACACTTTTTGAGAAACTGACCGTTGTTTAGAATTAAGAATCGTTGAATTCAACTTGAGATATACCCGTCAACGCAATAACTTTCAGTCTTTTTATATCCATATTTCAATTTAAATACACACTATCAAATATAATTCACAATGAGTGGTAAAGGAGCTTCTTCTAAAGCTTACGACATGATAATGAAACTATTATTAGTCGGTGACTCAGGAGTCGGAAAGTCATGCTTGTTGTTGAGATTCGTTGAGGATAAATTTAATCCGTCTTTTATCACAACCATTGGTATCGACTTCAAGATAAGAACTATTGAGAGCAAAGGCAAGAAGATTAAGTTACAAGTTTGGGATACCGCTGGTCAAGAAAGGTTTAGAACTATTACTACCGCCTATTATAGAGGTGCTATGGGTATAGTTATAATCTATGATGTGACTGATTCAAGAAGTTTTGAAAACGTTGAAAATTGGTTTCAAACTGTATCCCAACACGCGAACGAGGATGCACAGATCTTTTTGGTGGGTAACAAGTGTGACGATGATGTCAATAGACAAGTAAGTAAGGAACAAGGAGAGGAGTTGGCATCTAAATTGCATGTGCCATTCTTGGAAGCATCCGCAAAGAGTAATGAAAATGTTGATGCCATCTTTTATGAGTTGGCAGGAATTATTCAAGAAAAGCATGTTAATGATGACGCAGGAGCCGCTTCCGGTGGAGGCGCTAGTGGTATTGACGTTTCCCAAGGAAACTCTGGTGTCAAGAACAATTGTTGTTGATGAAAAGATGCCGATGCTGTAAAAGAAGATGTGAGGATTTCATATTTACGCAGAGTATCCCGTTCACGACTTCTGTTATCTACATGTGTTTTATACTATTCTTCTTTTTTGTAGTTAATGATTAAGTCTTTACAAATAGTAATGTCACTAAAACATTAGATTTTCTTACCAAAATAGACCCATTGGTCATCCAACGGTTTCTCCTCCAACTCTTCCCAACACTTCAAAGCAGACAACTCATGACTCAAGTTCAACTCTTCGGCAGCTTGAATGACAAGTTCCTCAATTAATCCATTTCCGATTTTATTTTCTATATTTTCAGTAATCTCTTCTTCTTCCACAACTTTCAATCTATTCTTTGTCAACTGTTCGACCGATTGTCTGTACACTGAATCTTTTGGGAACTTGTCGTTTAGCACCTTCAACTGTTCATGATACAAAGTGACAAGAGCTGGTCTTGGATTTGGATGTTTGTAAATTCCTGTTATACCAGTTGGCAAACCTTCACCTGCTCTTACTATTACCTCCGACAACTTCAACTTGGGTATTTGTCTCAAAACTGAAGTGAATCTCATAATTGGAATACTGTGTGATGCAATAAATAATGGGGACTGCTGATCTAGTTCTGAATCACCAAAATCAAAGTTTTGTAATTTGTATTTCTCATTATTTGGTTGGTTGAAAAATGAAAAAGAAAAAAAAAAAATCAGAAATGTGAAAAAAGACGGAGAATCTCAAGACCACCATAGAGACCATAGTCTTTGATTCGGGAAGAGCTTGAAGAGATCCAAGTCATATTAGAACAACGTGTAATGTAAACTATTTATTTTCAATAAGTTTGCTTTAACTAATAAAGTTTCTTTAGAAATCACCACCACCAAAGTCACCACCATCAAAGTCACCGCCACCATTATCGAAACCATCTTGGTAGCCGTCTTGGTACCCTTCCATTCTCTCGCTATCGCCCCAGTCATTCATGGCATTTCCAAGAAGCATACCTCCTAGTAAACCACCACCAACTCCCAATGCCATGTTACCTGCTCCACCACCAAATCTACTTCTTTGTGCTTGTTGTGGTGGGTATCCTCCATAACCTTGAGGTGGATACCCACCATAGCCTTGAGGAGGATAACCCCCGTAGCCTTGAGGAGGGTAACCCCCATACGCTTGTTGGGGAGGGAAGCCACCGTAGCCAGGTTGTGCAGGATATTGGGTTCGTGGCGGAATACTTCCAGCAGCAGCAGCACCACCACCGTAGCCAGGTTGTTGCTGATGATGACGGTTGAACAATCCTTTGTTTTGCTCATCTTTTGCAGGAACATTCAGTTTTGAAGTGGTTGGTGATACAGTTTCTGCTTTAGATGTGGTGGGACTGTAAGCAGGAGGTGGGACATCATCGGCTTTATCAAACACGGTTCCTTTGGGAGCCTCCCATTGTGACTTCTTTGTCGATAAGTCAACGTAGAACCAAGTCTTGTATTTATCATCAAACTTTGCAAGCCACCCACTTGGTACCGTTGGGGGCTTATTAGGATCGTCGTTTGCCATTTATTTGCTATTTGAATTTGTGGTCTCAGTTGTTGGAATCTACTGTGTGGCTTTTAGTTAACCGTGTTGTGTCAAAGTAGATTGGCACTGCTTGACTGAATGACAGATAGGTAGTATACTTCAACAGTGTATTCAATGACGTCAAAAGATTGCTGTTGGGGTTAAAAAAAAGAGTAAGATTATAGGGGAAAATGTCAAAATCGACAGATTACATAATTAAACATTATGATCAATCAACTCAATCGGTAGCGCAAAATGACACAGCAACGCGGGCTTAGCGCACCATCGTAAGTCCATCCCCACCTTGCACACACCACCCAACCTCATTTATCATCCCCACATTTCAGCCATGCCTATATGGGAGCAATTAAAGACTGAAGATGGGCAAACTTACTATTACAATAAAGAGACAGAAGAGACTAGCTGGACATTGCCAGAGGGGGAGGAAGCTGTTGTTTCAACTTCCGGTTGGCAAGAATATACAACGGATGATGGGAGAACGTACTACTACAATGAATCAACAGGAGAAACTACTTGGGATAAGCCAGCAGAACCAGAAGAAGGCAGTCCGCTGAACAAGCAAGAACAAGATGAAGAAGAGGAGGAAGAAAAAGGAAAAGAAGAAGAAGAAGAAGAAGAAGAAGCGATAGACCGAGCCCTCAAACAAGAACCAGTGGAAGTACCTACCAGTATGACGCTCCCTACTAATCTCTCAGAAGAAGAAGAAGATGAGATGTTTGTTCAGTTGTTGAAAGATAATGATGTCGATTCAACGTGGTCTTTCCAAACTGTTATGAGGAAATTAGTCGGTAAGCCTGAGTATTGGGCTGTCCACAGTCCCTTGAAGAGAAAGTTATTATATGAGGAGTATCTCGTTAAACGATTTGAAGACGAAATTAAGAACAAGACCAATGTCATCGAGCATTTCAAAATCAACTTCATCAACGAGTTGGAATCATTGAGGAAAGACGGTAAGCTAGATTACAAGACTCGATGGGTAAGCTTACGTGAGAAATTGATGAAGGAAGAGAACCCAATTTTCAAGCATTCAATGTTGCCAGACATTGATTTGGCCAAGATGTTTTACAAGTATCTAACCGAGATAAAGCAAAAGCATGATACTGAATCCCAGAGACAAAAGAAGCAAGCATCTGACGAATTATACCATTATCTTCACCTGATCAATAGTGCTTTAGTCCAGAAAGCAGCAGATTTTCAAGAACTTTACTCAAATTTGGTAGAGGACCCTCGTTTCAAGCAGAATAAACATTTTAAGCATTTGAATGAATTAGACATACTACAGCTATACGAGTCAAAATTGAATCCAGAAATAATTGACAATCTCAAAAAGCAAATTAGTAGCCAAGAAAAGATCAATTATCGAAATGATCGCAGAGCACGTCAAAATTATCGTTCACTTTTAAATACACTTAACTTAGACGCGAAGACAAGATTTCACGATGTTTTTCATCTTATTGAAAATGAGGATGCTTTTATTGAGTTATGTGGTAGGAATGGGTCTACGCCGTTGGAATTATTTTGGGACGTTATTGATGAGAAAAAGCAGGTGTTGAAATTGCGGAAGGATATGATTGAGGCAGTTGTCAATGACTTGACTAAAAAAGGCGAACTTGGTCAAAGCGTGTGGGCATCAAAAGAGGCGTTCATGGAGAAGCTCAAACAAGTAAAAGATGACAGGCTTTCGCAGTTTGATTTGAATCGAGATGATTCCAACAATGAAATTTTTGAAATATACCAGACGCTTAGAGATGAAAATGAAATGAAGGAGAGACTTGTTAAAAAGAGAGGTATTTCAGAGGTCGATGCTGGTTCTCTTGCCGTTGCAGCAAAGAAGGTGAAGAAACCAGCAAAAAAGATGAACTATTAAAGAGAGGTATGTCGTGTATATTGCAAAAAAAAAACAAATGTATCTTTCTATTTTCTCTTTTTTCTTTTGTTCGGAATTAAAGTTGAGCTCAAATTGAGAAATTCAACGCAATATTGCAGCTAGACCTAAAGTCGCCGGTAGTAGCTTAGTCCACCATCCAGCTTTCTTTACAATGGTATGTACAAACTTCAGGAAATATCTTTGACCGATCATTACTAACATTGATAGTCACAATCATTAAAACCGTACTTGACTGCCGTCAGGTCCTCACTCACCGCCGCCATATGTTTACAAGATTTTTCATCTCAATTGGTTGAACGTCACAATAGACCGGAGGTGGAAGTGACTCGTGTACATGATCCTGAACTCATCCTCAATCCCATGCATATTGCCCGTAATGAAAATGAAAAGATTTTAATTGAACCTAGTATAAATTCAGTTCGGGTATCGATCAAGATAAAGCAAGCTGATGAAATTGAACAGATTCTAGTGCATAAATTCACTCGATTCTTGACTTCTAGAGCAGAGAGTTTTTTCATTTTGAGGAGAGTTCCAATTAAAGGGTATGATATCAGTTTCTTGATTACTAATTTCCATACCGAACAAATGCTAAAGGATAAATTGGTTGATTTTATAATTGAATTTATGGAGGATGTTGACAAGGAGATTAGTGAGATGAAGTTGTTTTTGAATGCCAGAGCTAGAGTTGTTGCTGAATCCTTCTTGATACCTTTTGATTGAGAAATGGAGCCCAGTATCGTATAACACAAGGATTCGCAAAAAGTAGTGTGTTAGAGTTTGTTGATATACATAATAGTGTTACAGATTCTTCTAATTTACTTTGTAGTTGACTCTGGTGACTTGGTGACAACGGATGAATGAGGAGATTGGCCAGTATAGTTTGAGCCCCTATTGGCATAGGCTTTCGGTGACACTGCTCGCGATGTAGTTCCTTGAGAGTTGTGAGGTGAATTGACAGCTCTGGTTTGTGGAGAAGGAACAAAAGGTGGCGTGTAAAAACTTTGAGGAGAGTTGTAGGGTGACTCTCGCAAATTGGACGGCATCCTCATCTTTTGTTGATTGGTGGGGTTACCATTGAAGGAAACATTTGGACGCAGCGCCACGCTTGGAACCTGCAGCTGCAGCTGTTGCAGCTGCGGTTGCTGACTTTGAGGAACAGCGAATGGACTATTACTTTGACTCGTTGGTGGCATAATTTGTTGATCTTGGACATTGGGCAAGACCATTGGCATGTCGACATTATCATTGAGCAAACCTGGTATATTGCCTAAAACCAAATCCAATTGAGATAACGCCTCAGCAACTTGGTCAAATCCTTTTGAAGAAATCTTCAAAATCCATCGATAATTGAATATTTGATCTCGATAAAAATTTGCTTCTTCTTGCGTTGGCGACGATATGAATAAAATTGCTGCAAATGTACCAATCAAGGTAAAATTAGACGACGACGAAGAATGCCAAAAGGAATGAATATGCTCGGGCTTCAAGTCACGAACAAACTCAATGGAAGCTAGTAAACGGGTTTTTGCTGCTGATCGACACACATTGATCAATTCTGGTGGTGGTGGGTCACCAGCATTTGTTTGTTGATAAATGATCGTGGTGATCTTTCTATGCAACGTCAATTCAGTGGCAAAATAAGCCAAGTGTAAGTACCCATTGGAGCACAATTTTCTTGGTTGGACCAAGTTCATTTGCAACTCGCTCGGCAATGAATAAAACCAGTTTCGAAGTTGCAACTGTAACGGTTTAGCCAACTTCAACACCTCGCTAATGTTTGTGATTTCTCTCATTGCCTTCATTGAGTAGAATTGATCCAATATTTCCGACAAAATCTTGGATAGTTCAATTAGATTTGTAAATACTTTCTTTCCAGTGTCCAAATCTGACGACCCTTCTTTCAAATCTCCATCTCCATGTTTATCAGGAAAATCCACCTCATAGAGTGGTAAAACAATCCAGTTGTTCTCATTGATATGAGATGGTCGGGAATCTTTCAATGAAAGCCACTTGTCTTCCATGTACACAGCCCAAGCTAACCGTTTCCTCAAGCCTCGTTCCCATTTCGGTAATTTCCAATTATTACAATCTAAACCGAGCCCTAGCTCTTCGGCTAGTGAGACAACTTGAGAGCAAAGAACCCATTCCGAGTAATCTGCGTCGCCACTATTTTGAACTTGGTTATTTGTAGCTTTGCAGCTGATAATGTGTTTGCATTGCAATAATAGTAATCCTGCTTGGACAGCACTCAATTTTGGTCGTTTAAGGATCTCTTGAAGATAGTTTTTGAGCCCTATTTTTAGTATGAGTTCCACATTGGGTTTAGGGAATCGATTCAATTGTGGATCATAGTCCCACCACTGAATTGCTAGCACATACACAGCCGCTATCAAGGGCGCAGTGAATTCTCGATGTGTGCGTGCATACTTCTCCAAAAAGACCTTTTTATGCACAATTGGATACGATGGGTGGATGATTCTGAAATACAAATCAATCAAGATTTGCCCATGGGGAGAAATGAGTTTTTCAATGGTATCAACATCGTTTGACATGGTTTGGTAGGACTGAGGTGACTGATCGTCTTTCAAGACGAAATGCACCTTATCGCTAACTTTTCTCAAAGATATAGAACTGCTTAAACTTGCTTGTTCAATCTTTGCAGCGCCACTTGGATTGTTATTGTTGTTACGGTTATCAATAATTTGATTCAACAAGTTGACATCGTACAAGTAATTGGTTGGTCCCACATAGAAACTCGAGCGAGGGAATTGCAAGGACAATGTCTTTTTAAGTAAGGAGTTGTTCATGGCAGAGTAATCTTGAACAGGAGCCACCTCTCGTATTGGCACATCTGGTATTCGATTATTTTCAACAGGTGCCGCGACATTGGGTCTTCCTCTCTTTTGAGTATCCAGTTCTAGTTCCGATGATTTTCTTTTCGCAGCGGGAGTAGTGTATGTACATGTTAACTGTTTTGCCTCACATTGAACACAGTTGTTTGTATTAGGGACAATGACACATTTGGTCTTTCGTCTTCGGCATTGATCACAGGGGCGTCGTTGTTTTGTTGGTTTTGACGAATTGGGTCCATGTGGAGCTGCCACACTTGGAGTAAAATCTCTTGGTTGCTGAGATAAAGTTGTTTGGGGCAGCTGGCTCTGGCTTAATGTATCCTCCCTGTAGGGTAGTGAAACGCGCTGGTTTTGATTGCTGAAACTTTCCGGAGCAGGAGAATTGTTCACTTCTGGATGTACATTATTCTGGTACTGTATGTGGTGCATGATATTAGTATCATTGCTTCCCGTGTTGTTTCCTGATTGTGATAGGTGTGATGGTAATTCAATGTCGTACAAATAATCGGCTGCACTGGGATCAAACATCATATTTCCCCATTGAGGATCGAGGTAACCTGAACTTGGTTGTGTTGTAGGAGGTCTTGATTGTTGGTTGCCATATGTGCCATTGATTTGATTGCTGGAGTTGAAGAGATGTGGAGGATCCAGTGTGGCTTCTGGCGTATAGTGGTGGGGATACTTTGGTTCGACTGCATTATCTTGTGCTTGGTTATTTTCATTGTAAGAGTTGGAGTCATCATACGACTCGTTTAAATTATCCTTGTCTTCTTTCAAATTTGACGTAATATGGCTGTGGGATGCGGACTGGTTTTGTGGATTTGTATATTCTTCATCTTGCTTCCTACTTTCACTCAGACTTGAATCACCATTATTTGAAAGGTTCTGGGCCACCATTTGGAATTTAGTCTAAACCCTAGTTGCTGTGTCAGTGACAGGGATGCAGTAAGACGGGTCCCTAACGTGTTGAAAAGGTATGCTGAGTTGAACCTGTTTGACAATTACGACAAAAAAAACTTATCTCAATTGTTTTTTTTTTTTTCACTTCTCACTAACTTACTCTACACTATAACAATTTTATTATTTTTATCCCTCACTCTACTAACAATTTAAACCCCCATTCACAACTCTTAAAATGTTAAATAAATCGGAGTTTTCTGGAATTGAGGAATAATATCTGTAAAAACTTAATTTAAAGTTATAAACCAAATGTAAAGAAACTGCTTTTGGAGTAAGGTGTGACAACATCCAAAGTGGTGAAAGTTGGGGGGGTAATCTACACAATAAAATGATTGTAATGCTCTGACTCAACTTAGATTAGCACTCTATCCTTAAAATTATTCCAAAATCCACGATCATAGTCGTTAACCAAATCATCAACGACAGAATTTACTGGTGTAAGCGTATAACCCGAGACAGTGGCTTCCAGGATCAAAATCCTCTCATCCTTCAAACTTATATATACAATAGCCCCAGTTGAGTCCCTAGCTTTCTCAACAAAAGTCTCATTCCCGATGCTAGGAGATACTTTGTACAACAGTCCCAAGTCCACAAGATACTCGACTTCGCCCCATTTGTCCAATTCATTAGTAGTAACCCCCAAATAGATATACCGCAAGTGTAAACCAGTAAATAGTACAACAACTGGACTAAAGATTGAACAGAGAATGAGAAAAATCCCTGTAACTTTATTAGCATCAGTTGTTTTTGTAATCACCCTCCACAACTGTGTCAACTGTGTCAAATGAGATGATAACGCCTGGTAACATAGAATACCTCCATACACAAGCATGTTGATATTGGCAACTAGGAAAAGGAAAAACCATTTATAGTTTTTCCATCCAATGCAATTATTTACCCATACACAATGATGGTCGTACAACAAGTAACAATGACCACAAACTGAACAATGTTTTGACCTTGCTGGTTTCAGAACTTGACAAGTGTTGCACTTGTTGTCTCTGAAAAATATCAATTGGTTCGGAAGATAGGGATACGACTTTATTGATTTGATAGTGACTGTACCTGGATCGCTCAATGCACAAAGTATAGTAGATCCGTAGGTCAAGGCCATTGATAGTAGAATGTAACTCATATTTATCTGACCAATATCAATCATTGGCTTTGTCTTGACCCAAAACTGTTGGAAACATATAGTTAGCACAATTACATATCCAATGGGTACCAACCATCCAAAATATTGAATGAATTTGCCGTCTGTTCTTTTATCAATATAGTTGTAGAAATTGCTCAATTTCCCAAATACAGTGAACAACTGGACTCTTGCATGTTGTACAGGGGTGTTTCTAAAACTCGGCGAGTCCCCAAAAATGAGTAGAATAGTCAATAACAATGACGTTATACTTATACCAAGTATAAGTCTAAAGAGCATATCTTTTTGGGTTGAACAGGTTTTCTTCAAAATTTTTTGATCAACGCGTGCAATTTATTGTCCCAATTAGGAAAGGAACAGGATCATAGTGCAACATCACACTTACTTTTTTTTTTTTTTTGACGAGCAGAAGTGGAACGACAAAGCGCAAATAACTAATACCATCAAAAGAAACCTTCTAGCAGCTTCACTTCTTACAAATGACAACTACACTGCATCCGGCAATTCTCGATGAAGAGATTGCATATGTGCAAGGACTCTTAGAGTCAATTCCATTCAGTTCAGATCGTACCACACATTTTCTCAATGTTTACAAAATATATCACCAAGACCTTATCAAGTTGAATGATCAGCCGCTTAAATTTCCCATCGAAGCGAGCAAATTGTTGAAGCTAAATATATCACTAGGTAACTTACTCAAGGCTTTGCAAACAGAAGAAGAAATCTACAAACAACAAAATCTACAACAAAAGCGATACTTGAATAAACTAAACAGTATACAGGAACGCAGGACAGCAACACCATCGGGGTTAAAAGAAGAAGTGTTGAGACTGCCAGCAGCTGACCAATCAGTGAAGCATGTGATAAATTCTGGCCAAGTCTCACAATCGCTACAGCCACCATACCAAGTACGTTTTGTCAAGAATATGGTTACGATTTTGAAAAACTTTGATATTGATGTACCAGTGAAACAAGAGCCAAGTTACAATCGCGACAGTACCACTTCGTCATCATTCGGTTCTGCTCCACATACCCCAAAGCGAATGATATCCAATGGTAGCAACAGTGGTGCCTATGCTACAAATTCTTCCCCCATCAAGTTAAATTCAAAACAGCTACTCATTGAAAAGTTGGAAATCAATATCAAGTTGGATAATCTATTCATTTATAAAATCACATTCAAGTTGATTTTGGAGATTTATCGTCGATTGCAACAATCTCTACAAGGTGATGGCAGTGTAACCTCATCGCCGTCCAAAGTGAAAAACGATGACGAGTCGTCGATATTTTCAGGAGTTTCAGCTTCTTCACAAGACTCAAATATGGGTAATGAAGAATACTTGAGGTATGTCAACAATTTACTACGTCGTATTAGCTATGGAATTACTCAACCATTTGTGGCTTTGGTGTTTCGGGAATACGTTGAACAACAAATCAGTGACGACTTTACCCAGTTGATAAATACTCTATAGTGATTAATAAGTGATGAAATCTATGTATTTGCATCTATTTTCTACCTAGAACAGCTCCTCCTCTGCTTCCGTTTACGTCCACCACCAGTCAGCAAATCGCCTCCAAATAAGTTTGCTGAACCGCCTTCCTAGTAATTTTCCTACCAATGGGAACAATACCAATCCCAACACCATTTGTATTTGATTCATGCTTTCTTCCCATTGTTGTTGCGCGGAGAGAGCGTCATACTCCAGTAGCAAAGAGTCATCACCAGACGAGGAGGCGTAGTCGGAGTCGTAGTCTAGATAAGCATCGTCATCAGTTATGTTGTATTGTTCAGTAGACATGTAGGGAGTGAGTTTGTGGCGTGGGTGATTGGATATATCACGTTTTCGGTATTCTTTTTTTCTTTTCTGAACTAAATGCGATTTTGACCATTAGAACTACTCTTGAGGTTACCGTATTTTGTTTATCACCATATTAGCAAAAGATGAGCTATGACGCAAATTGTGGTACTGCCTAACTTGCTACCTGAGCTTGTTCAAAAAGCGTCAGCTCATGCGCCAAAACATATCCGCATGTTTTGTCAAATTATCAACTACGATGCAAACACATTTAACCTTACTGTGGGGAAGATCCCTATGCTTGCCAATATTGATACTAAGTCAGTCGATGTTAACGTGAAAGGACTACTTCAGACTCAGATTTCCGCTTTGAACTTTGATGTGGGAAGCATTATAGAGATTGATGGATTTTACAATGGCAAGTCGATTGAGCCTTTATCAATTAGCGAGTTGAATTGGCTGGATGTCACATTGGAAAAGTTACAAGTATTGGAATATATGTGTGAGATGAAGGTTATGTAAGAATGGTGTGTTTACGCCTAGGTCGGATATACAACATTGCGCATCTCCATGAATAATTTTTTTTCTCTTTTTGCACAAGCATTTAAATCATCTCATGTATCGACGATTACGATCATTACTCAAGAATATCGCCATGCCAGCGTCAAATACAGAGGGTGTCAAAGCTGCAAATCCAGTACATTCACAAGCCACATCAACTCCTACCGAGTCAAGTCCATACAATTACACCACTGAAGGAAAAGCGACTATTTTGACCCCTAAGAAAGATGAAGTTTTCTACAACCCAATCCAACAATTCAATAGAGACATTTCTACTTTGTCAATCATTGCATACGATCAGCTTCGTGCTGAACAAAATGAATTAAAGAATAAAAGCAAAAACAAAAAACGCAAATTACTCGGGTTAACTATTTTGGAAGCATTATCAGCTTCTGGGTTGAGATCGTGTCGATATGGATTGGAAATCCCCAATGTTTACAAAATTGTTGCTAACGATTTATCTCCTGATGCAGTTGCATCGATCAATAGAAACATTGAACATAATCAACTTATCGGGAAGGTTGTTGCCAATCAAGACGATGCTATAAAATTTATGGCATCAACAACAAACAAATTCAACATAGTTGATCTTGATCCTTACGGTACTGCATCCCCGTTTCTTGATTCAGCAATTCAATGCATAGAGGAAGATGGAATGTTGTTGGTTACATGTACCGATGCTGCTGTTTTAGCTGGCAGTGGATACCCTGAAAAATGCTTTGCATTGTATGGTGGGAACAATTTCGGCAATTCATATATCAATAGTGAAACAAACCATGAGGTGGGGATACGATTGATGTTGCAATCGGTTGCTGCCACTGCAGCCAAATACAAAAAGTCAATTGAGCCAATGTTAAGCTTAAGTATTGATTATTATTTCCGAGTTTGGGTGAAAGTAAAGACAAGTCCAATTAGAGTGAAAAACTTGGCTAGCGAAACCATGCTAACTTTTGGCTGTAATGGATGTGGACACAAAATTGCACAACCATTGGGTATTCGGAATGATAACAAGTACGTGTACCCAAAGTTAGTGGGTCAAGTCAGCAGTCACTGTCAATTCTGTGGCAGTACTTTTAATGTTGCTGGACCAATGTTTGTGGGCCCCTTGCATAACCAAAAGTTTATCAATAAAATACTTCAGCTTAATGAAAATTGCGATAAACAAACATACAAAACATCAGAACGAATAAAAGGGATGTTGACCCTAACACAATCGGAATTAGACTCGGTTCCATTTTTTTACAATTTGAACCATTTAAGTTCAATGTTTAAATCACCACCAATATCAATTGACGAATATAGTAAAGCAGTGGGGAACATGGGTTACAAGTTGAGTTTGACTCATGCCAAAAAAAATTGTATTAAGAGTGATATACCATGGGAAAAGAATCTCGAAATTATTCGTCAATGGACAATCAAGCAAAACAAGGCATATGTTGAAGAAATGAAGTCCAAATTTGAGTCAGAAGGTTCATTAAATGAAAAAATTACTGAAAAGTTGACTAAATTGGAACAAGATATAACTTATAGTCCGAACTTGAATGAAAAATCTGTTGGTGCGCAAATACTCAATTACTTAAAAAAGCAGGAATTGGCAACTGATGTTGCCGTTGATTTTGATACTTCCAATGAAGAGAGTGACAAGATTCTGAAGTTGCGAAAGGTGAAGATGGTTAGATATCAAGAGAATCCGACAAAGAATTGGGGTCCAATGGCGAGGCCAAAGTAACTAGGCTTGAAATGAAATAAACCGGTACTTTTAAGATGTTGTAGACCGCGTTTCTCTGATAGTGTAGCGCCGTAGGGCTTGTTTTTGCGATAAGATTTGGAGGCAGTGTGTTGTTGGATCCAACCAAGATAATAATCCATAGCCAACGCTCTTTAAGAGATACGTCCTCTAGTACACGATTTGTTAACAAGAAGTATATAAATACTGAATTATATTCCCCATAAATTATATGAACTTATATATGAATAAACCGACTTGAAACGACTCGAGCTTTAGATAATTGCAATGCACCCTAATGAGTACTATTTTCCAACTCTTGTTGAATAGCGTTCTCCGATGCGATTCCTTTTGCAGCAAGGGTTTCCCTTTCTTTGACAAGTGCCTATGTGACTTTTAATTCTGTGTCATGTTTTGATACCCATAAGAGAAGAGAGACGAAAAACAATTTTGACAAATTCATCGAATTTGTTGCTAAGTTTAAGACGAAAGCCAAATGCAACTACAGTAACATTCAGTTCATGGATTAATACTTACCAATAATGAAGTAGTATGTGGAAATGATACTGTCAAACTTTTTGCCAGATATGTGGTCTATTGCTTGATTTATACGGGTTGCACATATGACATCGTTTGGTTTCTTTTTGTATTGATCAAGAGACCCAATGAAGGGGTACTTTTTTTTTGATTTGATACCATTAGTCGACAAATTCAACCATTTTCAATGCTTTAATCCGCTCTTTGAAAGGAATTTAAACTTTTGTGTTGTCCGCAAATCGGGCGACATTTACCCAGTATTGTAGTTGACAACGGCGCCACTTTGTCCATGTATTAACGTTCTTAGTTTTTGGTATACAATTTGTAAGTTTAAGGAGTATGGATGGGGGTTATTAATATTTGGTTATTCTATTTCGAAATAAACGTTTAGACAAGAGGTAAAGATTGTTTTAGGTACAAATTGAGAACTAGATTTTGACGAATGTAGGCTATGTAACTTTCCCCAGCTTATTAGTCTATTTCTTCCCAAATGAGAAATGGATCTGATTTATTGGTATTTAAAATTCTAGTTTCATTTGCTCAGACGTGCAGTTAGTATCTTGCAAACTTGTTCTACATGTATTGCGGGTTAATTAGCTAGTGGAGAATCAATTTAATTCCAAGTAGAAGGTAATTGAGCAATTAATTAAGGTAATGTTGTAAATAATGTTTCTATTATAGCTAAAGCTCATCAAAGGCTGAATTACCACGTGGTTCAAGTAACTGCTTTTGCAGAGATGAGTAGTAAAAGAGTGAGGAAAAAGTGTTCCTCTATATTTTTTTGCAACCAAAAAAAAAATGAGTAATTTGCTATCACAACTAAAAGGATAATTTGCATACATTACATAGGGGGTATACGAAATTAGCAAATATTTCTCTCTTCATAGTGACGTAGTATACCTTGTTGTTTCTTTTCAGCCTCTTTTGCATTGGTTTGAGATTTGTTACAATTTCTTGATGGACACTCAATTGCCAAGCTACAAGAAAGAAATAAATTATTGACGAAAGAAGCATTTTGCTCCAACAATCGCGTGATGCAATTATAAGTTCATATAGTGCAAGTCGGTCACTCCTTGATGGGAGGGCATTTGAGTATTAAACCCAAATCAATGAGGAGATGCATTGATACAAATAGTACAAATTAGATAAGTTATAAAAAAGTTATACACACGATAGCATACAAGCACAACACCCTCATTAGCAATAATTTGTTAACAGCAAACGACAAAATGAAGCCACAAACCTTAGTTAAGTAGACTCACCCACCACCCCTTGAACTTTCTTCTCCTTTAGTCGTGATTTTTCCCCAACTCAAATAATTAAAGCGATGGCACCAGCAGCTAAAGCACCAATAGTACCAGCAGTGCCCAATCTCAAGGTACCAGCAAGATCAGTTGCTGAAGTAGTCGTAGTGTCGTTGTTTCCATTCGTATCGTTGCCGATGGTTTTATTTCCCTCTTGAGCCATGACAAAAGTAGTGGTGAATGCAGCTAAAGTGATGAAAACAATTGAGTGTTGCATTGTAGATGTATGAAAATGTGTTGATGAAAAGTTGAAGTGAAAATCAAAGAACAGGTGCTATGTTTTATTTCATGAAGAATCGATGGTGTATTTATAAACTTTTTGAAGAGTCTGTGCCGAAAAGCACGCAGAAGGGTGTAAATTTCGAATTTCTTGTAAAATTCCAACAATTTAACCTCGAATAGGAAGGAGAAGTAAGTTACAATAATTAGCATATTCAGAATACTGTACACTTCGTGTACGTTGGCAAAAGAAAAAAAGGGGGATGGTTTTATGATTAGGAACAAAGCAAGGCTTGGCCTTGGCGGGGCTATGGCAAAAGGGGAATGTGCGTATGTCTATGTGTACAGCGTGTGTTTAGAGTTTAGGATTATATAGAAAGTACAGAGAAGGAAAAGAACTTCAACACAAAATCCAATTTAGATTGTAAGTTTAGCATTCCTATTGTTTTTCAAATTGTTAATATCCGAGATATCACACAAAAGCGTGAACAATACGAGAAGAGCCAATATCCTAACTACAACCTGTTGGTTTAAGTCTAGTTTTTAAATCGGCTGTGTTAGAAAGACTGATTCAGCAAACTAAAAATTGCTATCAGGATCTTCAGTTTCCTCGTACGCTTAAGAACTGCACCGTAAGTTGAAAAATACAAAGCACGGCAACAAACCAAGAAAATAACCTTTGGCTGAAGATTTTTCTGCATTTTATTTTTCTTCTACAATGAAAAATCAGCAAACATTTCTTAGCTTCACACTTTCCAATCTTAAAAGCCTCAAAGTGGATATTGAGTCATCGAAATTGGATAGCTAGTGTGCTTTACTATCTATTGCGTAGTGAGGGAAGTTAACTTCCGATTCTTAAAAAAATTTAGCATCATGCAACTTTCAAACTAGTGTCTTAGAAAAGCAAAAAGTGGAGAAGATTATTCAACCATTATACTAATAATTACCACAGGACAAAGTAAGCAGTGCAACATTTCGTCAACTTACCACTTGAGTGCACGTGTGATCTTTGATAGTTTTACTCTTAACCTACTTTGTTGCCGCTTGGAAAATAATATGTACTACAACAGTAGAAGGTTTCACAAGTATTATAAGTAACCCTAACGACAATTTAAAGCTACTTTTGAACTTTGCGTTTTGACAAATTTTGTACAACTTCAATCAAAACTAAATTAATTTTGAGACCTTGCTAGTGTTATCAAAACACAAGTAAACCAGCGTGTCCAAACACCGACATTGAGATGTGAGATGGCATACTTTGTTCTAGTAGAAAATGCTCACATTGAGACTTTAATTCTTTTCCTCGGAAAAAATGTGGTTGGTACTCAAAGTTGAATTGAGTCATTTTGTATCGCCGGAACGTGCACTCCAATGCATTTGATATAGCCTTTTTTTTACCTTATTAGACTCATGGGACTGTAGAATTATCTGAGGGAACGGCGCCAGATAATACCTTATGTAATCGTAAATTTCAAGTTTGTGTAACATCACATTCGAGAATTGCAGACAATTTTTACTATTTTTTCAAATCACCCACGATGCTTGATGAAAAAAGAAAAGCTCACTTATTTATAGCACATGGTTATTTGAGAAATAAACTTGACAACAGATTCGCCACTGCAAACAAAAAGTCTCGAAAATTCAGTCGTCTTGTATGAATTAATTCTTTTCACGAGTATGCATTCCATAGGCAACATCAATATGGAGCCCGTTTTTTTAATACGTCTACGAGCTTAAAGAGTCTTTCCGACAAGATTCATTTTAGTGCTATGTCTTTCTAACAGGCGATTTAAAGTTTTATACTTGTATGACTGCGGGGATTTATAATAAACTAATCTTTAATTGTGACGCGTCTTTTTCATTCTAGTTGAGAACAGCACGTGGGATAATTACAACGGCCACCAGTGCAATTATACCAAACCACCATGAAATAAATTGCATTTGGTTTCAATTCAAGATAGTTTGACCACTTTTTTTGTGTAATGGCAGATGTCGCGCCTTTCGCATTTCACTGAAAATATTACTCCAACCAACCACTAGATCCCACCAAAGCACATTTTATGAATAAACAACAAATAACTAATCTTACAAAACAATTACACAGTTACAAGATACCCGCACTCAATGACATAGCACTACATTGCGGGGCTCCGATTTTCGGAACCACTAAAGCATCACGTATTGAAGGCATCATTGCTCAATACCAATTATACTTAATTCAATGGCACAACTTGACTCGTCGAACTACCTTAGCAATAGACATTGGAATCAAAAATTTTTCCTATTGCAAAACATCACCCTTAGCAGCAGCCAGCTCTTCATCTTGGCCAATTCTAGTGACTCATTGGGAAAAGCTCAATCTCGATACAAAATTTGGCGCATCTTACACGCCATTGCTTCATCAAGACACGGTTTTAGACAATAAACGATACTTGAATCACATAACAAACCAACTTGTTGACGATCTACTACAACCTGGCTTATCCAATGTCAAAATCATGGAAATTCAACGAACTAGATCAAACAATAACGCACAAACCTTGCCGACAATTTTAACCAATCATACATTGGAAAACTTGATTTGGGCCAAAATGTATCCAGCGTTGGTCATACCCATGACGTCAATGAAACTAATTCATTTTTGGCTTTATCGATTCATAACTAAAGATCTGATAAATACAAAATTGAAAAAGACAAACAAGATTATACGACGTGATTTGATTCTCTCATGGTTTGGTAAACTTTATCAATTAAAAGGGTATCGACATGAAACACTGGCGCCATTGGCAATACATCAACTACTTGAGCATCTACATTTACCGAAGGGGGATAAAACTGATGATTTGATTGACTCGTTGCTTTATAATCTTTGCATCAATTGTCAATTGAATCATCTAGGCCATTTTCACAAGTATATCCAACTTGATGGCAATTTTGTTGATTTTGTAAATGATGCTAATCAGTTTCATTTGGGTTTAATTCAACTGGTGGTTGAAAGGTATCAGCTAGAGCTAAAATAGACATGTGCTACATCATCTAGTATTAAAACTTGTCATATTGAAAAACCCCCAATTGCTATATAATCTCCTTACCCAAACTCCAAAACAATCAACCCCAAAACCTTTTCTCAACCTGTAACTCCACAATTACCAAGCCTATGTCCGCAACTCCCTCTTAACCTAGCCTCTCCCCCATTCTATGGATTAAAAACAACTCTACCTTCATAAGCATTGTTTCTCAATTTTTCAATATACTCTGGCAATTCCTTCAATTTGGCACTTCTCACAACGGGTTTAACTTTACCTTCACTAACCAATTTCAAAACATCATCCAAATCATTAGTAGTTCCCCAAAAACTACCCAAGATTCGAATTTCTCTCAATGCCAAATCTCCCAAATTAAACGATAAATTAGGAGCACCGAGTCCCACGGGCATAATTACACCCTTTGGTTCAACATACTTTTGACATACATCAAATGTAGCTTGCACTGAAACAAAATCAAAACATGCTGAAAAAGAGCCAGGAGAAATGGATTCTGGCAATGTTTCATAAACTGCATCAGCACCCAACTTCTTTGCTTGGTCACGAGCCTCCTTTTTTTTGTCCAAAACAGTAACTTTCGCACCAAATGCCTTGGCAACTTGAATTGCATTTCCACCCAATCCACCAGCACCAATAAGCAAGATATTCGAAGTTGGTGACACTTGAGCCATCTTGATTGCGTGATATGGTGTCAATACAGCATCAGTTGAAGCCGCAGCCACGTCTGCAGATACGTTATCTGGGATACGAGACAAGTTACGTGGTCTAGTAACCAACAAGTACTGTTGATACCCACCATCGTACCCCAATCCGAACCAATCACCAAATGCGTTTTTACATACATTGTCAATGGCACCACGACAATACTTGCACCCACCACATCCATTGGGTCCGACACAGGCAACACGATCACCAACCTTGTAGTTAATGACATCATCACCCACAGCAGCAACAGTTCCAGCAATTTCATGTCCCATGACATAATTATCACCACAATCCAACCCTTCGTAAATGACATGTAAATCAGAATGACACAATCCAACAGCATCAACTTTCAACAACAATTGACCCGCTTTGGGCTTGTGGACAGGCAAATCATTTCTCAAATTAAGTCCTGATTGCTTATTGAATACGAATCCGTACTGGCTTGATGGAATTGACATACTTCGATATAAAGATCTTGATAAATTGTAATGGGAGGTTGAAGTTGTTGATCTTAAAGATTTCAAAATTGATATGGTTTTAAACATTTAAAAAGGAGAGCGACAACAGATATTTATAGGTATGTTGTAGCGTTCTACCCCAAGAAATTTCAAATAATAGTCCGTTCTTTTGTTAGAAACTAAATCCGTTTAATCAAACACCCCCTTGTGAATAATGCAACTGATAGTTTTAAGTTGCATTCTTTTTTTAGCTTTTATATTTGACGGTGGGTGAAACTCCAGATTATTTTTATGCTGTGCCTATTGATGTTGCATTGGGCGCTAAGTTGCTTTACTATATATGCAGCATGATGCCACCTGTCGTGGCGAAAGTATTTTCATGATGTTAGGGGACACAAAAAAAAGTTAGAGTCCGAGAGACAATAGAGAAATGCCATTTGAATGTGGAGAAAGCAGAAACATACGTTATTGCAGACTAGAGCGTTATAGTGAGTAGAAGAGCAAGAATAGCAAATATAATCACCCTTAAAATTGCATCGCAACAGCCTCTTGCTTTTTCCTCCGTGCTGGAAATCAAGTTCTAGAATTACCTCAAAGAGATTCCACAATGTACTTGATATCAAAAAGATCTAATTATATAACCCCGGATATTCAAGTCCGTAAACAGTGTGCAGCAAAAGATGTTTTTTTCGTGTCTGCATGAAAAAGAAGGAAATAATCATACCACTTTGGAAAAATTAAAAGATCGGCCGAAACTGAGAAAATACTACCGAGGCACACATTTTTTTGCAGCCCACGGAAAGGAATCTCATGGATGCGGGAAGAGGCATAAGTGATCTTTGTTTATTCTTAGGCAAAGAGTGTTGCGGCTTCATGATCCAAAAGAGGAAAGATATTGGGGTCGCATAGCAAAGGACACAATACCCGAGTTTTCGAGGGAATCGAGGAGAAATAAATAGTAAATTTTTACTCATGTCTTTTTTACACCTACCCTAAGGTTCGATGTAAGCAAGTTAGCCTTCCAGGTAAATAAAACTGTCACACTTCCAAAGTCGAGACCTCATCTTTTACAATGTAGAGATAATTGAAAAGTTTACATTTACATTGTTCTAGTCACAAACAGGTATAAACTAACACGCCGTACTGTTTCTTCACAACATCCAAACAGCATTCATAATACAAGAGGTAATTTGAACCTATGAGTGTATGTACAACTAGTCGTCCAGAAATATGCAATCCTATTTGGGGATTGAATGCAAATTTTTGAAGAATTTGGTAGCGTTTAAGTTGTCAGATTCGCATTCCCGAAGCATCATTAAAGTTCAGACCTGAACTGCATAAGACAATCCCCCAAGCCAGTCGTTCATCATGTCGAAGCTCGCTGACACCTCAATAACAGACAGCATATCAGAAGAAGAAGATTTTCCATTTCCTGTATCAATATCCACCACTGATTTCAAAAATTTTAACAATGACCCAGAAGCCATTGATCAATTTCTATACAAGAGCCATCGATTTACATCCCTTGCTGTGTTGATCCAAGAACTAAAAGAACTTTCGTCAAGTTTGAATCAAAACTTGTTAGATATTGTCAACCATGACTATACTGATTTTATCAAATTGGGAAAATCAATAAATGGTGGTGATGACATGATCAATTCGATATCAGAGGATTTGAAGCAGTTCAAGATTCAACTACTTCAGTACGATGGTAAATTTAATCAAATGAATGATGAAGTCTCCACAACATTAACTCTAAGAAGGCAATTGATTGGGTTGAAAAGTGTAGCCAAGTTGCAACTTTTACTCCATGATCAAATTGAAATATTTGAAAAGTTGAGCAAGGATGATATAAACCTTGGTAATTTTCAGAAAATGGCGGCCACTTATTTATCAGTTCTCAGCGTTGGGAAACATTTGGAAAACTTGACCACCGAATCTCAAACTAAATTACAACAGCAATATTTGAATGCAAAGGTCAACTCAGTAATTATGGAATTTGAAAGCTTGGTACGACTGTTGATCAATGAGATTAAATTGAAAAGAATTAAAGAGCCAAGCTTAGTCATGCTGGTACTAAACATTCAAAATATGATCAAACATTAATGAATCATGCCCAATACAATTTTTCAGACTAGAGCGTCAGAATATGGTAATGGTAATTGTACTGGAAGCTAATCTACTGTAGGAACAAATAAAAGGGTCTCAACTCATTATCTGCAATCAAGCGAGACGCTTATAAAAGAGCTTGCAACTGGAACGACTACATGCGCCATGGTTAATGTACACGCCACTTTCTCCACCACAATACAAGCCCAAGTACTTTTTCTGAACCAGCTCTTTGGCTATCATCTCCTGGCCTCTCTGATTATACCACCTACAATGCCACCTTGCATTGGTAAGCGTTATTATTTAAGTGCAAATACAACTTTATTATCCTGTAAGCTAGTCTCTTCAATATACGTCGAAGACTCGAAATATCTATTACCTTGCCACATATTCAAAAAGGACTGGCCGTGATCGACATATTGGGTTAGAAAGCGCCCATAGGTAAACCATCTGTGCCAAATTCACATTGGTGAAAAGAATGGCGTGCTGATTGATGGAAAAGTGGTCCCACGAAGGGAAAACTTTCCGTGAGATTACTCAAGTTTGTATTCGCCGAGGTGATCAAAGCTGTCGTATCATTATCAAACTAGACCTTCCCCTTGCAGCTTTGGTAAACTGATTGATCAAATTCCAACAAGAAAATGTTAACACAGCATCAGGCTTACCTGGAGGGGGAGTAAGACCAATTTTCTACAAAGGCGTATATACTCACAGAAAACATATACGAAGGACGAAAACTTCCAAAGTCGATTATCGATCAGTCGTTTAGGGATCTATTCCCGAAACGTTATTGTTTTTCTGAAGGCCATTACGGTCAAAGAATTGTTGGTAAATTGACTGCAGATATTGAAATGTTGAAACACAAGTGAGCTTCTGAAAGCAATAGTGAAAGGGTTTTCATCAACTCGTTCCGAAGATAGAGAAAACTCAATTGATTCGTTAGAAACACTACTTTCTAAATCTCTTCTCAGTTTTCTTCTTTGTTCGCGCACTATCCAACCAGAATTTGCGAATTTGAAATAAAATTTTAGTTGAGAAAACTCGAAAACTCAGTCAAGTAAGCAAAGGCTACATACATCCTCACTATCTAAACATACACAACGTCATATAATACGCACATCATGTTCGGGGAATTCTTTATAGGCAGACACAAATGGGAAAATAAGGAAGAAACTCCGTTGCCAAATACTATACCAGAAGTGGATGAAGTAGGAGCCACTTCAGCACCGTTATTATCAGCATCATACTACATTGGAGACAGATGTAAACCATATAATGATGATTTCATGTTGTGTAAGGACGAGCACAATGGAGGAACTATAGATTGCTTAAAAGAAGGAAGACGTGTGACCAGATGCGCTATATCAGTATTGAAAGATTTAAACAAGTATTGTTTTGACGAATTCAAGTTACATTATGAATGTTTAGAACAAAATAACCAATATTTCAGTCGTTGTCGTGCTAGTGAAGGTGTTTTAAGTAAATGTGTATTTGACAATTTGAAATTAGTCAAGAAGATCCCTGGTGTTGAAGAGCAAATACAAGATAAAAAGAATCCAATTTATGGACCAGATTCAAAGGATGTCAGACAAACTAAGGAGTTTTTGAAAAAGCATGAAGCTACCGCAACTGCGACTCCTGCTTCTGCAACTGCTCCTGCCCCAAGCAGTAGCTAGATGAGAGAATATACATATTCTGCAAATACATTTAACTTCAAGGGACCAATCATCGTTGTACTCGTAGATCATAAAGACAGAATCTTCAAGAGGAATCAAGTAAGTCATGAAGAGGCTTGAGCTTTGGCTGCAACCTGTGTTGGTTGATAGCCATTTTTTGAAACCCTCTCTGTACATCTCTACAAATACACAATCTTTTAACATCACTCAATCCAAGTTTCTACACTGCACCTACGTATGAGACTCTCAAATAATATTTCTTTTATCACATTGCATTTTCGACGAAACTTCTATCAACTCTAAAAAGTTAAATCGCATCTTTTTCATCACCACGAAAAATAAACATCTCCATTGAACAAAAAAACCATCGCAAAACACAACACAATCGAATCACATTTCATGTTTGGTGCAAGCAGTAATACTGGAGGAGGCTTGTTTGGGACATCGAATACAAATAATAACACCACCGGAGGCGGGTTATTTGGAAACAAGCCAGCTACTTCAGCTAATACGGGATTTGGATTTGGACAACCAAATACCACTGGGCAAACAAATTCAACAGGTGGCTTGTTTGGTCAATCGCAGAATAGTAACACCAATGCAACGTCAGGAGGGTTGTTTGGATCAAATCAACAGAAACCAGTTGGAGGTGGGTTGTTTGGTACGACTCAAACGTCGAACCCAGCAACTACTGGAGGGTTTGGAGCAAACACTGGAGGCTCTACGTTTGGCAAGCCTGCCGGAACTCTAACCACAGGAGGAGGATTGTTCGGTAATAATCAACAACAAGGATCAAACACTGGAGGTTTGTTTGGAAACAACCAACAAAGCAACGCCGGCACGTCTGGAGTATTGTTTGGAAACAAGCAGCAAACTTCAAATGCCGGAGGCGGACTATTTGGAAATGCACAACAAAGCAACACAGGAAATTCTGGTAGTCTATTTGGAAACAATCAACAACAAAACAACACCAACACGGGTGGATTATTTGGGGGCAACCAACAATCATCAACATCAGGTGGTCTTTTTGGCAACAAGCCCAGCGCACCATCAGGTGGCGGTTTATTTGGATCTAGTAATACTCAACAGCAAAGTGGCGGTCTCTTTGGGTCAAACAATGCCAATACTCAAGGAGGTGGTGGGCTTTTTGGGAATAAGCCAACTGGTGGTGGTGGCGGATTGTTTGGAGGACAGCCGCAACAACAGCAGCAACAGCCACAGCAGCAGCAACAGTCAACATTTTTCTCCAATACCACTAATAACCAGCAACCATCATTTAGTTGGAGTCAGCCCCAGCAAACGCAACCTACCGTGAATAACGTTTCAACACTTGGCAGGTTCGGTCAAAGTACTGATCAACCTCAGACCGCCAACCCCGCAGCATATACTCCAGCCGTGAACGATCAATTGGCTAAAGTTTACGAACAATGGGATCCCAATTCACCTAAATGTGCGTTAAAGACGCATCTTTACAATAAATTCAATGACCAAGAAATGAATGTGTTGATGTCTCAGCCACGACCAGCCAATGAAACGCCGGAAGATTGGGATAAAGCCATGACTGAAAGACCTGGGCAAAATTTTTACCCCATCAAGATAACATCGTATGATGAAGTTGCGCAACGAGTTGAAACTCAATTAGATTACGCAGCCAAGGAGAAGGTTGTATTGAATCAGATTAATGAAAGACTAAATACATTGTCGGCAAAACACGACTTGGAAAATACCACGAGGATTCTTAAAGCCAAGACAAGACACACACAGCTTTCGCGGAGGTTGTTACGTTTGGCTACGGTATTGGCGATGCTTAAATTAAAGGGATACCCTTTGCTACCAGAGGAGGAAGAGATTGCCAAGCAATTTGATATATTGATCAATAAACTTAATGATCCAAACAGTCCGATTGGAAAAGTAGGGGATATTTTCGCCAAGATGGCGGTACTCAAAGAAAGAGCCGAGAATATCAATACTCAATTTGACAAGTCAATAAATGTTTTGAACGAATCTTTTGATAATGGCGTAGCCACCAAGGGCAAATCAAAAGAGGATATTCATAACCCCAATGATGCTATTGAAAAGATTTCGCAAATTTTGGTCAAACAACAAATGGGATTAAACTATTTGAACGAAGTGTTGAGAAAAGATGAAGAAAAGGTTGAAAAGATGATCTCAAATAGAAAGTAATAAAATTCAAAATGTATTAGTTTCAAGTTTATGTAAAATGTGTGTATGGTTCGTGTAGATCTCTATATCCTGCAATTTGTGAAAATGTTGCACATCATTTCGAATTGCCCGTCGTAGTCTAAACTTATCCAGCTTCTCATTCAAACTAGGATCGAACTTGGTAAGTGATATAAAGGGATTCTCAATAGTACCTAGTGACAAATCATACTTACCAAGAAGATCTCGTCCGTTACTAGATAGCTCATGTACGAATTGAATCAGTCGCTGGTTACCTGAAAACATTTCGTCATTTTCAACGTACAAGTATCTCGGAATTGATATTAAATTCAGTAGCTTCTCCTTGAGTTTGTCTCGTATGACAACATTCCTCGGATGTGAGTCAAAAATCTGTTCAGCTTCTTCATCATCAATTGACAAAGGCAGAAACACACTCTTTTTACGAATTGGACTGAATAGTATATCAACCTGAAATACTTTGTTGTCAACCAATGCCTCCGAATTCAATGGCGTCGTTTTCAAAATATCAACCGTAGCTAAATTGCGAAAGCTTTCGGTTATAAAATGTAACTCTGATGGTGTTTTTGGAGGAGGTATGATTTTGCACTTGAAACCAACGGCATACTTGAAGTATATCTGAAATCGCTTGGGTATTTTGCTCATGTCATCTCCTATGTAATGTATATTTACTTGGAATCAACATTTTCGCGATTTTGTAAAACTCATCTTTTTCAACCAAAGATTGACATGAATGGTGATGATACAACACAGAGTATAAAGCAGAAGCTAGCTGGTTATTTGAATAAGCCGGAAAATGACTCTTTGACACAAACAGTGATTGCACAAGCCAGAGGTAAAAGTTTTGAAGATTTTGTAAAGTTTACGCAGATTATTGGATTAAAAAACGATGAGCATGCAAAGGATATTTATGATAACATACAAGCTTCGATATTGGAAGCAAAAGCGTCGGGGCAGAAAAGAAGCCCAATTGTGGAAAGGGCTGGTAAGTCTTCGCTAAGGTTATCGTTTGATGAGGACGAAGATATCGATGAGATCATCACTCCAAACATCAAAATACGACCTAAAGATACAGTTCCAACTCAGCCAAAGTTCAAAAGAATAAAGAAAGAAGATGCCCAAAGGCTAAAAGAAGTTGCACCTACCTTTGTCAAAGATACCCTGGAAACAACAGAGCTCGTTAACAAACGTAATTCATCAAACTCACGAGTACACGACGCGACACGCAATCCAAGAGAAACTAACCCCTCGAGCAAGTGGGAATCAAGAGCAGTGAAGCAAAACTCTTCTCCGTCTATGAAGCAGAGCACTTCTCTGGTATTTTCAAAGGGAAGTACAGGTGGGTATTTTAATTCACTGGGGGAGTACATCGATCACGATCATGCACCCAACAACGATTTTAATCGTATACCGATAATTAGTCAAGTTTTGATTCCACCATTCCTTGAAAATGTGAGAGAGCATTTGACCTTGCAGATCACTGGATCCAGTATTAGAGGAGCAGGTCCAACTGTTGATCCAGTCAAGGATTCCGCGTCAGAATTGGCATCAATGGCAAAACAAGGGTCGTTGGTGGTGCAAAACATAAAGTCGAAACAGGAGAGGGCAAAACAGGCTAAAGAGAAAACGGGTGTCGCATCAACTGCAAAGAAGGAAGAAGAAGAAGCTAGAGTGCAGCAGGAGGATACAGAACAAAATATTGACTATGATACAATTCAAAAGCAAAGGAAAAGTCTACCTGCGTATGCGGTAAGAGACGATGTTGTCTCCACCATTCGTGACAACCAAGTCACAATCATTATTGGTGAAACAGGTTCAGGAAAGACAACCCAATTGGCCCAGTTTCTATATGAACAAGGATTGGCTACAACCACAGACGAGCGAAGAATCATTGGCTGTACACAACCAAGACGGGTTGCTGCGATGTCAGTTGCCAAAAGGGTTAGTGAAGAAATGCACGTTAAACTAGGGGAGGAAGTGGGGTACTCAGTGAGGTTTGATGACAAGACAAATCCCGAAAAGACTGTAATCAAGTATATGACGGAAGGTATTTTGTTGAGGGAGATTTTAGCGGACAATACTTTAAGTGAGTACAGCTGTATTATCATTGATGAGGCACATGAGAGATCACTAAATACGGATATCCTTTTGGGATTATTCAAAGGACTATTAGCCAAAAGAAGAGACTTGAAGCTAATTGTCACTTCAGCGACAATGAATGCTGATCGATTCACAAGATTTTTTGGAGCAGCACCACAGTTTACCATTCCAGGAAGAACTTTTCCTGTTGATATTTACTTCAACAAGAACGTGACAATGGATTATGTTGAAACAGCGGTAAAACAGATTTTATCGATCCATTTGAGTAAAGGAAGTGATACAAAGGGCGAATTTGTAAATGATGGCGACATTCTTGTGTTTATGACCGGTCAAGAGGATATTGAAATCACTTGTGACTTGTTACGTGAAAAGCTAAATATGTTGGAGAACCCACCTCCTTTGGAGATTTTGCCCATCTATTCCTCGATGCCGCAAGAGTTGCAGAAAAGGATATTCAATAAATCAAGTACTACAAAGAGGAAAGTCGTTGTTGCAACAAACATTGCGGAAACTTCATTGACAGTTGACGGTATAAAGTACGTAATTGATTGTGGTTTGGTCAAAGTCAAAGTTTACAATCCTAAACTTGGGATGGATACATTGCAAGTAGTTCCTATTTCTTTTGCAAATGCCGAGCAAAGAAGCGGTAGAGCAGGAAGAACTGGTGCAGGTGTCGCATACAGATTATACACTGAACACGCCACGGACCCTCAAAACATGTATCAACAGCCCATACCCGAGATTCAAAGGACTAATTTGAGCAATACAATGTTGCTCTTGAAGTCCTTGAATGTACGTGACATTAACAACTTTCCATTTTTGGATAGTCCTCCCAAAGATTTACTCAACTGTTCATTGTATGATTTGTGGGCCATGGGCGCATTAGACAATATCGGTGAATTGACCAAACTCGGACGCGACATGATTCAATTTCCGATCGAGCCAACTCTCTCCAAACTCATTTTGTTGTCGACTGAACAGTATTTTCGTTGTTCGGAAGATATCCTCACCATCGTTGCTATGTTGAGTGTTTCCAGCATCTTTCAAAGATCCAAAGAAAGAGCCAAGGAAGCTGATTCGGCAAGAGAAAGGTTTGTTGTTGCAGAATCTGATCATTTGACACTACTAAATGTTTACACCCAATGGGAAACGAATATGAACAAATTCGGCTCTAATTGGAATCGAATAAATGAGTGGTGTGACCGCAATTTCATACAACACAAGTCACTACTTCGAGCAAAGGAGATCAGAAAGCAGTTGGCGCTCATTATGCAAAAGAGAAAGCTTCCATTTTACAGAGCCAAGAATGATGATGATATTCGAAGATGTTTGTGCGCAGCTTTTTACCATCAACTGGCCAAGCTTGTCAAAACGGGTATTCATGGCGCTCCTGAGTTTGTTAACCTTCGCCATCCCTACATGAAGATGTATTTGCACCCCACGAGTAGCTTGCTCAATAGTAATTTAAGTCTGAACTTTGTCATCTACCATGATTTGATCTTGACTTCAAAAGAGTATATGAATTTTGTGACATGCGTCGATCCATTGTGGTTACTAGATTTTGGTTATGTGTTTTACAGTGTTCCTAAAGAATCTCATGGTATATTGATTGAGGGTGTGGAGAAAAATGCAAGGGAGGAATTTGAGCGTCAACTAGAGAAGGATCGAGTGATATATGAAGAGCAAAATACAAAAGTCCCAAAATCAGAAGAGAAGGACGCCTCGACAACAAACAGAAAAAGTTTACTATTTCGTAAACGAAAACGAATGTAATTAAGAAACTTTGAACCAATAAACACTTTTTTTTCTATACCTCCCCTAAAAACCTTTATCATTAAATTCGTAAAACTCTATTGCAAGACGATATTGTCAATCAATCTAGCTTTTTCATCGCTATCCTCTTTGGGCACCTTGACAGCGCATGAAACAATAGCTCCCAAGCCAGGTTTTACTACGTCAAGATCAGTCAAAAGTTCCGGATGACTAACCGCAATGTACTCAATGTCAAAATCTGGATCTTGCTGAAGAACTTTTCTAATTTCAGAAAGGATTTCACTTGCTTTAACTTCCTCCTGTTTGTCTTTTCTCTCTTTATAGAATGCTTCCCCGTTCTTCAACGCTTTGTAAATGACTGAGCTTCTATTCTTCATTTCGTCTGACAAATATTCATTTCTTGATGACATGGCTAAGCCGTTACTCTCTCTAGAAGTTGGCATCACTCTCACTTCAGTGGGAATGTGTAAATCCTTTACCAAATTCTTGATGACAACGCATTGTTGGGCATCTTTTTGACCAAAGTAGATTCTTGTTGGCTGCACAATGTTTAATAATTTGGTGACAACAGTTGCAACACCTCTGAAAAACTGTGGCCTCGTGACTCCTTCAAGTTGCTCACTAGAACCGTGAACAGTTACGAAGGTACCTCGTTGGTTTTCGACATCCAATGTAATACCACTAGGGTACATTTCGGTAACCTTCGGTACAAATACAGCATCCACAGGTTTGCTCTTGAATTGTGTTTCCAATATCTCCAAGTCATGATCCAAACTTCTGGGATATTTGTCCAAATCTTCAGTGGGTCCAAACTGGGAGGGGTTGACAAATATAGATACAATAGTCTTGTCATTTTCCTGTATTGACTGTGACACCAAGGAACAATGACCTGCATGTAATGCCCCCATGGTGGGAACAAACCCAACTGACTGGTTATTCAAGAAGAGCTGGGCTCTCCATTGTCTCACCTGGTGTACCGTCCTAAGTATTTTAATCTTACTTGAAGTCATGAAGAGTGTCAAATGAGTGTATGTGCTGGATCAGTGAAGGTAAATATCGTAAAGTGAATGTGATTTGAAAATTTTCAAAAAACGCATTACGAAAATTTTATTTTATACGACGTGCATATCTCTAAATCCGCTCGAATGTGGTGCTCAAGGGTTTGGTAAGTCCGAGGTATACTACATAGTCTGCATAAAGCTCGCCCATGAAAGGAGGTGATTTGTTGATTAAGTGGAGCTATTACAGAAACTACTTGCTAGTAACTTTGGCCCTTGATATGTTTTAAAAATGTATTATCCTTTTGGATCTGGCATCACCCTACGCCTGGTGCGTTGCTTTTAGCTTATCAAACTTTGATACCAGTATCAACAAATCGGTTCCAAACTTTTTCAATGCGGGGGCTCTTGTCTTCCCCCCTTGTTCGGATGTATGCGCCGATAAAGTACAATATTATTTCATTGTAACTCCGTTGTAAGATTAGAGCGATTCGCTACCATTTTAGTACCTCCATTCTCCGTTTTTGCGCATTTTCCCCCCACAAGCCGCCAATTTACCCGAGCAGAGTATAAGAGTTTCGTTAATTCCAACATTTTTTGCCCCAAGCAACTAGAACTCCCTGTAAAGCACAATGTCGTTCACACTTGAAAAGAAACAAGCAAAAGCTTATCCTTTTCGCGCAAAGGGAAGCACCTTGCTTGCCAAAGACGCCCAAGACTTAACCATTGTGTACAACAAATTCAAATCTAATTTTCCACGTCCCAATCCAGAGTCCCAATTGACCTTTAATTTGGTTTTTTGTCACGGGACTGGGTTTAATAAATCAGTATGGACATACCTCATAAAACAGTTGTACAAGCTTTCACAATCTCACCAAGTACCTTGGTTTTTGGACACTGTTCTTGCTATTGACGCTATTGGTCATGGTGATACAAGTTTGGCAAATGAAGGGAAATTGGGTTGTGTTTATATGTGGGATGATGGCTCAAAGGACGTTATTGAGGTTGTCAAGCACGAACTAGCAACCACAGGAGACATGAAGAACGATTTTGAGTCGAGAAACCTTATTGTTGGTCATTCCATGGGTGGATTTACCGCCTTGTATGCAACTTTTTTGGAGCCGGCTTTGTTTGACTCAGTTGTGGCAATAGAACCAGTCATTTACGGAACACCAGAATCTGAACAAAGATTCATGAAGCTGTTGAAAAAGTTGGTTGGCATTATGTTAGATTCCTTTGATACTGAACAAGATGCTAGAGATTATTTCGAGAAATACTCATTTACTAAGCGTTTCCAGTCTGAAGTATTACAAGATTACATTGCTGATGAAATTTACAAGACAAAGAATGCGGAAGGAAAAGATGTGTATAAGACCAAGTGTCTGAAAGTGAGTCAATTGACAACTTATTTGAGTCCCCGTATGGCTATGCAAAAGGGTATGCTTATTTTGCCATTGATCAGAGTTCCTGTTTTCCATGTTATCGGCGGCGCAGCTAATTGGAACGTAAGAGAGAGTATCACCTGGATTCGTACCAGCATCAGATCGGATATGTTGGCTGGTGCTATTGAAATCAAAGACGGACAACATTTGGTGAATTCTGAACAGCCAGATGATGTGGTTAAGATCATCAGAGAGTCAATGACGAAACGTGACGAGGAATACAAAAAGAAGAGGTCTATGATTCCTGAAATTGCTTTGAATGGAGACAAAAATGCCATTCGCGACCAGCAATACAAGCTGATTTTAAATCTCGACATGGACCACGTATATGGTTACGATGCCGCAAACCACGTTCCATTTCAATTGATTGATAAGAAATCCAAATTGTAGTATTTGTTGATTTGACCCTTCCGGAGGTAATACGCGCCTTTTTTTTCCTCTAGTATATGTTTTAAAGTGATAGTATATTTTAGATTTGGAGCTGTAAATGTAGTCCTTAAATTATACTGAGGAGACTTTCGGGTGTGTAATTTGCAAGCAGAAATTTTGCAATTTGTTGATTGTGCTTTTGTGCAAGAAAAAGTTTTTTTAATTTTTTTTTTCAAAAGTTTCCCATCTGCCATCTCATCACTACCAATTGAGCACACACACCAAAATCTCGCAGCTGTTCCAAAAGATCTTCCAGTTTTGCTAGAAATGAGTGTTTCAGCTGAATCAAAGTTGAAAGCAATCCTAAAGTGTATTCAAGATATTGTCAAGAATGACAAACAAATGAAGAGTTTGGATACTAAGGTTTTAACCGTTTTGGTGGAAAATTTGGAAGTTCGCAACTTTGACAAAAAAGCAGTGAACAAAGTATATGACTTTGTCCAGAAACTAGAAGCGAAGGAGAAGGAGGCTCAGTCCTCTGATTCCGAAAGCGGTTCTGATGGCGATGACGAGACTAGTTCCGGAGACGAAGATACTTCAGGCGATGAAAGTGACGACGAGGACGACACTAAAGAAGTGGGAGCAGCCACCGATGAGAAAGAGACGTCAAAGACTTCATCATCAAACACCTCCTCCAGCACGGACAGCTCCTCATCTTCAGAGAGTGACACGTCCTCCAGCTCATCAACAGACACCGACTCATCAAGCTCATCTTCAGAGTCATCAAGCTCATCTTCAGAATCATCAAGCTCATCTTCAGAATCATCAAGCTCATCTTCAGAGTCATCAAGCTCATCTTCAGAGTCATCAAGCTCATCTTCAGATTCATCAAACTCATCTTCAGATTCATCAAGCTCATCCTCAGATTCAGACTCCGATTCATCAGATTCCTCCAGTTCATCCGACTCATCCTCATCAAGTGAATCCGACTCCGACTCAAAGTCATATACAAACAAAAGGAAACACCAAGGTTCAGACGACGCACATAATCAAAAGAAAGTCAAAGTTGAACCCGGTACCTCTTCAGGCTCATCAGTGACAGAATCAATCAACTCCAACTCAACACCAGCCACTCCTGAACCTGAACTTAAACCAGGTCAAAGAAAGCATTTCTCTAGAATAGATAGATCAAAAATCTCTTTTGAAGACAGAGCGTTGCAAGATAACACATACAAAGGTGCAGCTGGAACTTGGGGAGAAAAAGCCAGTGAAAGATTGTTGCAAGTTAGAGGTAAGGATTTCACCAAGAACAAAAACAAAATGAAAAAAGGCAGCTACAGAGGAGGTAGCATTACTTTAGCTAGCGGGTCATATAAATTTACCGATTAGAGTTGTATCAGGGTGAGTTTATTCGTTAATTAAGATTTGTCAATAGATTTGAACATGGTTGCCAAAAATTGATGATTTTGTAAAAAGATGCACGCCCTTCTTTACAAAAGAAATCAAAAATGTAGAACTTCAAGATTCTCATAAATCACATCTTTTTATCCCTTACATCTGACCCTTTTATTGGTTTTTTGATAGGGATCAGAGCTACTTATTATGTCCAAAAGATCACAGTCTGTCAACTATGCTGAACTTGATGATGAAAATTTCTCTGATGAAGGGTACATTGACATAGATGATGATGATTATGGTACACCCAGAAAGAGGAAGGCAAATAAGGCAACTGCCGATGAAGTTGCTCAACAACTAAAGAAACAAAAGGCCCGTATGGCTGTAAACTCGGTCAAGGGTCTGTTACTGGAGCAAAACTTTTCAGATGATGATTTGCTAGATGTAACCCCTGATTTACCTCCAGGTTATATCCCTGATGCAGTTTCGAAGTCTTTTGGTGCATCCGATTTCTCATATCTCAAATTAAAGCCAGACCATTTTACGAGACCCTTATGGATATCTCCAAATGACATGAGGATTATTCTAGAGTCATTCTCGCCATTAGCTGAGCAAGCGCAAGATTTTTTAATCACAATTGCTGAGCCAATCTCGAGGCCCTCACACATACACGAGTACAAGATAACTCCATTTTCATTGTATGCAGCCGTTTCAGTGGGACTAGAAACCAATGATATAATATCTGTATTGAATAGGTTATCAAAAGTGCCTGTGACAGACACCATTGTCGAATTTATTAAAGCCGCAACTGTATCATATGGTAAGATCAAGTTAGTTTTGAAAAACAATAGGTATTTTGTTGAAAGTACACAAGCGGATATATTGCAAATGTTGCTCAAAGATGAGGTTATTGGCCCTTTGAGAATACAATCCACTGAAAACACTGTGACCAGCAACGGGTTGGTTCAATCGGCACCTCCGCAGAATGACATTGAAATACCGGGAACCAAAAAGAAAGAAGAGTCCGCTGCTGACGCAACAAAACCATCCAATGAAGCTGAAGACATTTTTGCTTCGGTTGTTGGAAGTCGAGACGACGAAGATGACTTGGACACTGTACACTCGTTCGAGATATCCCACGACTCTGTGGAAATTGTAAAGAGGCGATGTCAAGAGATTGACTATCCAGTTTTGGAAGAGTATGATTTCCGTAATGATGCAAGAAATCCCGACCTTGAAATTGATTTGAAACCCTCAACGCAAATCAGGCCATATCAAGAGAAATCATTGTCGAAAATGTTTGGAAATGGAAGAGCTAGATCAGGTATCATTGTGCTTCCGTGTGGTGCCGGAAAGACGTTGGTTGGAATTACTGCTGCTTGCACCATCCGAAAGTCTGTTATTGTATTGTGTACCTCATCAGTTTCGGTTATGCAGTGGAGGCAACAGTTCTTGCAATGGTGTACAATACAACCGGAAAAAGTTGCTGTATTCACATCAGAGAACAAAGAAATGTTTGCCAGTGAATCTGGCTTAGTAGTTTCCACGTATTCAATGGTTGCAAACACTCGTAACAGGTCGCATGATTCGCAAAAAGTGATGGATTTTCTTCGATCACGAGAATGGGGGTTTATCATCTTGGATGAGGTGCATGTTGTCCCTGCCAATATGTTTAGACGTGTTGTTACGACTATAGCTGCGCACGCCAAGCTTGGCTTAACAGCTACTTTGGTGCGTGAAGATGACAAGATTGATGATTTGAATTTCTTGATTGGTCCCAAATTGTACGAAGCAAATTGGATGGACTTGGCACAAAAGGGACACATTGCAAATGTTCAATGTGCTGAAGTGTGGTGTCCGATGACGGCTGAATTTTATCAAGAGTATTTGCGGGAAAGTGCCCGTAAAAGGATGCTATTGTATATTATGAATCCTACCAAGTTTCAAGCATGTCAGTTTTTGATCCATTATCATGAAAAGAGGGGCGACAAGATCATTGTGTTTAGTGATAATGTGTATGCACTTCAAGAGTATGCATTGAAACTTGGTAAACCATTTATATATGGATCTACGCCGCAACAGGAGAGAATGAAGATTTTGCAGAATTTCCAACACAATGATCAAATAAACACCATTTTTTTGTCGAAAGTGGGTGATACATCCATTGACTTGCCTGAGGCTACATGTTTGATTCAAATATCATCGCATTATGGGTCCAGAAGACAAGAGGCTCAAAGATTAGGTAGAATTTTGCGAGCCAAGAGACGTAATGATGAAGGGTTTAATGCATTTTTCTACTCTTTGGTGTCGAAAGATACTCAAGAAATGTATTATTCCACAAAGAGACAAGCATTCCTAGTTGACCAAGGTTATGCATTCAAAGTCATTACACATTTGAGTGGCATGGAGCAATTACCTGACTTGGCGTATGCATCAGCTAGAGAACGTCGAGAATTGTTGCAGCAAGTGTTGTTGAAGAATGAAGATGCTGCCGGTTTGGAAATTGGTGATGATGTAGATACGAATTTCATTTCCCGAGAGCAAAGACAAAGGATGGACAATAGCAAACAAAGTGGTGCTACTCGATCGGCTGGTTCGTTGGCTGGGTTGGCTGGTGGTGAAGATATGGCTTATATTGAGTATAGCAGGAACAAGAATAAGGAGTTGGGAGCGCATCACCCATTGATTCAAAAGATGTATTACAAGAAGAAGCAACAGCAACAACAACAACTGCAAGAGCAACAACTGCAGCTGCTGCAACAACATCAAGGACGCAGATAGAAATTCTATAATTTACAATTGTCATTTACTTACTTATAAAGTCACCAAAATCATCGTCTTCTTCTTCTTCACTCTCTGAGCTTTGACCAGCTAGTGTTTGTCTATCGGCTGTTTCATAGTTATTTTCATTATCAGTCAAACTCAAATCCTCACCACCATCATCATCCAGTGAACCCTTCGACTTATCACCATCATCATCATCATCATCGACACCCCCATTCAGCACCGTATCTTGATCGAATATTTGAGCCCATTGATCATAATAATACTGTTGCTGTAAATGATCATATCTCATGTTATAATTCTCTAAATGCTCAAGAAACTCTTCTGAGTCAATATCATGTCTGAAACGTAGCAAGAGGGCAATCTGTGCCACTTTTGTCGCATCATCAAGGTTGTGAAGATCGCTACCGCCTCCTGTCCCTACTTCCTCTTCTTCAACACTGTCGGTTATTAGTGGATGGTACCCTGAATTGGGCAATTGTACAATAACCCGAAACCATTGAGTTGACACAATACCCAAATCATGCGATGGCTCTTTAATCGTAGTGGTGCCATCATGAGCAATGCCGATAATTTGTTTCATTTGCACATTACTGGCCACCTGCGCCGTGTCTACATCTTCTTCGCGCGGCACTAATCCCAATTCGGCACGGAGATGCTTGTTGTTGTTGTTGATGGGCGCATACCATGTTTCGCCCCATAAGTTTGTGCCATTGTGATTGTTTATAAATTCCAATTTCAATCGATGTTGAGTAAATGCAGGGATGACCTTGTTGGTATTGGTTTCGTTGGATTTATGGTTTTTAGAGTCGTGGGTGTTTTTTTGTTTGATTTCTCGAATTAATTTAATGGAACCCGTCCATATACATTCAACTTGATCTTCAATACCATTACCAGTTGCAAGTTGAGTGAGTAAATTGGCAGGTAGATTGTATAATTTGACTTGTTTCAGCTGGAAAAGCACAAATTGGAGTATGTTATCATCAGGTTGATCCGTTGGCATGAGTGTATGTGTGTGTGGGGGAGGGAGGGAGGGAGCTGGTGGTAAGTAGTATTGGTCTTAAGTTGCTTGTTACACGCTAATTGATAAGAAGCTCTAGACTTTTCTGAATCGAAACTTTTTTCTTTTCCCCCATTACATCATAGGGACGCACCCCGTTGTACCGAAAACAAAAAGAATATTATGGATATTCTACACAATGCTTTTCCTATAGACATTTACCAAACTCTTTTAAATCATTATCCACCTTCAAATCCTCTTTAAACCCATCAACCAATATCTGAAACTCACCATTGAAAATGTCCACTTCAAGAATCTTCCACAATTTAGTCATTCTTTTCATACCGTCATCAATATCCTTTTCTAGCTGATACTCTTCATCTTGATCCAGCAGTGATCCATCATGTACTCTTTCTTGACTATTTATCAATACCAAGAACGTTTCAATGACGGATAGGTACTCTTGACTAGTATTTATGAATCTGAAAATCGATTGCAAAATCTCATAAATCTGATCAATAAAACTGATGCTTGTCTTGGCTCCCTTGATTGACCCATTAAACAATTTTGTATACACGATATCGTCAAGGTATCGCTCATGTACTGTGATTAGCTCATCGATAGTCAATTTATTCATGGGGGTTCGTTCAGTATCTTGGTCAATGTCTTTTTCCTCCTCCACAGCTTGAGGCAATTTCATAAACAGTTTATCCAAAACTAGCTTCTTGTCCGTTGTTTGATCACGATGACAAAGCTTGTCAATAATATTTCGTTCAAATGAAGTTTCAACCACATCGTAAGATAAATAGCCCACCAAATCATCCAAGAATTTAATCAAATGATGCCTCCTAATATCAACTCCATTGACTTGACTAACCAATTTTCTATAGCTACCTCTAACACGAGGTGTCATTGTCATTTGCAATTGACCAAACGCCAAGTAATTGGATTTTAAAAGCATTTGTAAATGACGCAATTTCCAAAAAAAATGGAAAATCTTGAGATATTTAACCATTGACAGTTGCAAAAGATCCAGTATTGGCAAATCACCAATCTTGTAATCAATCAAGAACGAATCCCACCCAAATGTTTCCAATTGCGGGTTGAAAATTTTGGAATCAATACGTTCAACATTGTCTTTACGCAATTTAACCGATGAGATTTGTATAGCATCGTGTAGTACTTGATGTAATTGACTCGATGTGATTTCCAATGATGTTAAGTTGAATGCTGATTCTCCCTTGATAATTATCGATTCCACGAAATCATTCAACTCCATAAAGTAGAGATTTTTGAAATTTTGCAAATGGGTAAACAAGTGATATTTGTCATGTACAAGTTGTGTGAAAAATGTGAGTACTTCATTATATTGCCGGTTGATCACATCAATGGTTTCATTAACTGTCATTGAAGCTAATCCATTATGGTTGGTGAAAATCTCCCTTGAGTACTTGATATTAAAATCATCAACAAATTTCAATTCTTGACAATATTTTTCAAGAAAGATTAGTGTTTTACCAATTTGAAAAATTTGGTCACTTGATTTGATAAATTCGGGGACTTTGTCACGGTGGTACTGGATTATCGATTGGAAATGCTCACCATCTTGATTAAACGATATAAAGAATTCGCTATTTCGATCAATCAATTCCCCCTTGATCAACCAAAACTCAAGTACATTGTAATAAGGTTTCACAATTTCAGTAAATGTCAGACTAGCAATACTTGATACATGCTTATCACCAAATTTAGTGAACTTGTAAATGTGGTTAAGAAACTGATACCCATCCAATTCGATCATTCGTAACGACGCACGATACAAGAATCGTAATGTAAAGATCCATTCATAAATTTCCTGATAGACAGACAAGACACTCAGTGGCAGTTTACTAAACACTTGGTTCAAGTCATGGCTATACTGCTTCAACTTCGTATCCAATAATGCAATGAATGCACCCTTTATCGCCAGTGCTTGTTTGCCTCTATTTTTGACAACGAAAATATCCAATTGCTTGTATAATAATGCATACTCAAATAAGCCTTTCAATAGGGAGCTATAGCTATTATTTATCGTTTGCGGTATCTCTATCCGCTTGTAGTTATTTGTAAATGTAAACAATTTCGAGTCAAGACCCATCAAAGTGTATGGCAAATAAGTGAGGATGGTATCTTCAGGTAAGGATCTGTAGTAAGGTTGGATCAATTGTGCTAAAGTTTTATCCTTGGTGTTTATCGCTGGTGATGATACGGCCACCGTATCTAGCTTATCGCCACGTTCAGCTTGTCCATCATCATCATCATCACGCATGGCTTCGAAAAACGTCAAGTAGTTGGCAATTTGATCAAGTGATCGATGTTGACTTAGCAAATTGACGAGTGATTGAAATTGAGCCCATTCTTGTTTCAAGCCATTACTGAGAAAAGTTTGTTTGTGATTATTGATAATGGTGGATATATCTTCACGAATAGGTTGTGTGTTGATTAAGGAGGTGTACAATTCGTGGGCAACACTTTGTATGTATTCTTCGCCTAACTCGGCTGGTATCAACGATTTCACAACTCGGTGTACATATAGCTTAATCACCTGTGGTTTATCAAGAGCCATACTATAGGAGATGCTATGGGTTGAAGCTGTATATTTTGTTTACTTGGTTTTGTTTACATTAAGTGATGTACGCGTGGATTTTTTTTTTTTTTTTTTTTTTTAAGAAAACAAAAAAAGCTACAAAGCGTACGCAGTTAAAGAGTTACTGGCATATAATATTGGATAAAACTATAAAGAAAAAGATTTGGAGCAATATCCTGCTCTCTCGTGTCTAGCTCACTACAAAGCGACACCTGAGGAGACACCCAACGGAGCGACGATTGGATCAACAACATTTGGATTCAAATCAGCATCAGTCAATGCCAATTGTTCATCTGTCCAAATATGCTGGATTGGTGCTCCATCAGTTTCACCAACACCACATAATCCACCACTTGCAGTCCAGTCATTGATTCTCTTTAAATTCAATTCATTGAAAACATCATTAACAGCTTCAATCAAATGGTTGGAGATTTCAGGACCATGGCCTGGGGTAGGAGTAATTCTTAATCTCTCTTCACCAATGGGGACAGTGGGGAAATTGATAGCTTGCACATAAATTTTGTGTTTATCCAACAACATGTCAGAAGCTCTCTTGGCATCGTATGCGTTACCAATTAACACAGGGACGATATGAGATGGATTGGGGATAACTGGTAATCCCAATTGGTTCATGTTATCCTTGACATATCTAGTGTTTTTCTGTTGCGCAATACGATCCTTTAATGTAGCTCTTTGGTAACGAATGGATTCAGCAGCACCAGCCATAATTGCCGGTGGTAAACTAGTGGTGAAGATAAAACCAGGTGCATAACATCTAAACCAATCAATCATGTTTGCTTTACCAGTGACATAACCACCAACACATCCATAAGCTTTACCAAGAGTACCAGTAACCATATCAACTCTACTCATGACAGTTTCAACATCAGCAGGGTTTATACCCAGTTTCAAATGGGCTTCAAAATTCAAGTGTTCGGCAACACCAGCACCATGAGGACCATACATACCAACAGCGTGGACTTCATCTAAAAATGTAACTGCACCATATTTTTCAGCCAAGTCACAAATGGCTTCAATTGGAGCGACTGATCCACACATGGAATAAACCGACTCAAACGCAATCAACTTGGGAACAGATTTAGGGTATTGCGCCAATTTAGCTTCTAAATCAACCAAGTTATTGTGCTTGAAAATGTGTTTCTTGGCACGGGAGTTTCTAATACCTTGAATCATTGATGCATGGTTCAACTCATCGGAGAAGATAACCAAATCTTTAATCTTTTGACCAAACAATGACAATACTGCATCATTGGCAACAAAACATGAACTGAAAACCAACGCCGCTTCATGTTTATGCAAAGCAGCCAATTCAGACTCCAATTTGATAGCATGGGCATTATGGCCAGCAATATTTCTAGTTCCACCAGCACCTGACCCATACTTGTCCAAAACACGCTTCATTTCATTCAAGGTTGATTCATTCTTTCCCATTCCAAGGTAATCATTTGAACACCAAACGGTAACTTTATCATCTTCTTGAGCACGGTGAGCTTTTGGGAACTCATTAGCTAAACGATTGATATTGTTGAAGAAACGATAGGATTTATCAGTTCTCTTCTTGTTCAAGTCATCATTTAAAAACCCTTGGAAATCAAATTTTTGTTCATTACCATTGAAATTGACTTGAGCATCGGACAAGTTTTCATTTTGCAAACGATATGGAGATACTGCTGGTGGTGGTGGTGGTGGAACAAAAGCAGAAGCATCAGGAGTGGTGGACGAACGGCTGACACTAGCTCTTCTTGGGCTAGAAGCTGAAGAGTAGGATCTGACAGCTTGACGTTGCTGTTGTTCATGTTGCTGCTGTTGCTGTTGCTCTTGAGCCTTGAGTGCATTGGCCATATAAGGACATTGACGAGCACGTTGGGCCAAACCACCAGACGATCTACTCAATTGACGCAATGCCTGGGTTGAAGTAGATTGAACAAATGGACAAACCGACAAGGAAACTTTGATGACTGACTCCATTGTAGACACAGGAGGATACTGTAGGGAGTATTAAGATGTCTTTTAGATCTGAAATGAGGATCTCAGTCTTGTAGAAAGAAAGAAAGAAAGAAAGAAAATGATGAGTTTCAGTCAATGATATTTTTTTTTTCTTTCTATATTTTACTTTTGATGTTGTACCAAGAAAAAAATTTTCGTCGAGAGAAAGAGTGTGTTGAGATGGTTTCTGTTAGTTCTTTGCTGCACTTTGTAAATTTGCATATGACTAAAACATTGTACAAGAATACGAAACGAGAACCCATTATGTAAACTAATTAATAGGACTCTGTTGGTAGGGTTTGAAGTGGAGTATCCTTTTTCATAAGCAAATGTTTGTGTGTGTGTGTGTGACCTTTAGTTCTCCAATGAATGTGTGTTTTGGTTAGTGATTTCTAAATTGGGTTAAGATGTCCTATAAGTAATCCTGCATATAAATCGCATTTTGATTTGAAAAGCGGAGTTGTTTATTGGTTGATTCTTCAAAATGCATAACTGAACCCCACCCATGACGGAGATTGCAACATCAATGTAAGTGTTCAATCAAACGATATAGTGTGCCTCGGTTGGGTTACCGTTATGTCAGCCTCTAGAGTTTTACAAATCTTTCTCCCTCTCCTTCTATTTAATAATCATTTTCTTACGGGGAGTCTCGATTCTTTTTTTCTTTTTCCTGATTTTGTCAGCGGCGGATCTTTTGCTCCGCTGTTGGGTTCCATTCTTTTTTCTTTTTGTCCGAAAGCGGAGAGAGATCAACAGACCAACCAAAAGCCATAAATCCATGTGACTATTTGACTTTGTTTCTTAGTGTAGTGAGCTGTCCACGACCACCTTGCCATATACTAAGCATGTGAAAACTAAACATGCTATAATATGTGAATTATAAAGGCCAAAAGATGGCCTGTGCAATTTTTGCAACAAAATTTATACAAAAGCAAGTTGCAAAAATTTACAGTGGGGAGTAGTGGGAAATCTCTTTAAAGAATTACAGAGTCATATTCATATTCAAACGCAAGCCCAATGAGATGTTAGCTCTCAACTACAGTCACTATTTAAGCATCATGGTTTGAGAAACAAGATCACAAATGTATATCCATGAACACTTGTTTTAAACTAATAACAATTAGAGAAGTGTTATTTGCGTACATGTCAGACAAAGCTTAACAAAAAAATTTGATTTATTGGGGGAGAATCCAATACCACTCCCCCCTTGTTTCCTTTTTGTAAATTTTTTTAAAGACGGCGCAATTGAAAAACAGTAGCCCACGTTGTTGATACTGACTATAGCCTCCAATGCACAAAAAGTAGACGTACAATAAGAAAAGGCGGGCATCCTAGACTAAAGAGAGAATGCACAACGGGGTAAAGAGATACTAGACCTGCCAAAAAAGTAGACAATTCTTGTCAATCCCATCGTGCAAGTTGCATTGTTTATTTTTTTGTTTCCAAAAATTGTTCAATTGTTATTGTCAGAGGTGATTTGTGTAACTGAAGTCGTATGATAGGAAACGATCCATTCTTGATTTGAACGAAAAAAATAAGTTACTTTAACATTTTTTACTCCACTTGTTTGCCTCTGGTAGCGTGTTAGTGTGAGTGAGTGAGTGAGTGAGTGAGTGAGTGCGCTATTGTCTTGCGTAAGTGAAGTAATGTAGCCCTCTATACCAACATTTTTCTTGAGTCGATGTAATGCTAGAATTAAGTTTTAGGTTTACAGTGTATACCACAGAAATTCGGATACTATGCATTTAGTCGAATCGACTAAATACTAAATAGAGCATGTTAAGTTTTCGATAGTTTGTTTCGCCAACAGTGTTATTTGACAATTTGCAACCATCAAAATAGAATTCATTATCGCTCCCCTCCCTTCTTTGGTCTACCTACTCCCATTATTATTAATTACACATTTCTTTATTGTTTCAAAAAAAAAAGGGTTCTTTTTCTTACCCTCCCCCCTGACGTTCCACTGTTTCATTGTTGATAAAAGAAACAATCAGATATGGCGGCAAGCAGTACAATCCTTCCCCTTTTTTTCCTTTTTTTTTTTTCTTGGTTATGAGAAACATAAAGAATGTATGCATATTGTTTTAGTTGTTGCATATTGGCAACAAAGGGAAGATGTTTGTTAAAAGTTATGTTTAAAACGCTAAATGACGTTTATTCGAACAGTCGTGCAGTTACGGCTACAGACTGCAGCTATCGCATACGTGCAATGCACCCTTGTTAAGATAGAGGAAAGCCAGGCAGGAGAAAACGTCATTGCGAGTACATCTCAAGGAGGGCATGTTTAGCCTAACGGAGATTAAAATTTCTTTTTTCGTTCGCTGAGTGGAGTAGTAAACAAGATCTGATCTGATCTCAAACCTGTAGACTAATTGGGAAGGGAAGATGTAAAGAGAATAGACAATCGTAAACTCTCTTTGTTTTCCCTCAGCCGTGTTTTTTTAATATTATAGCCAAAGACTGTACAACAATGTTGAGGAAGTAAAAACAAAGAGATAAGAAAAGTTAAACTTTTCACCCAAGTCAATGACAGTCGAGAAAAAAAAAAAATGGGGGGGGGCGCTAGTGAAGTAGAGTTAGTGAATCATATGTTTCAATTTTGTAATACTCATAACCATCACAGTTTCTTGAAGCGCATAGAGTACCTTGTTCTTTTTGGAACCAGGTACACGTGATTACTAATAATACTGTGTTCTATTTTCTTTCTCTCTCTCTCTCTTTAATGGTTTTTATTGTTTTAATTGCTTTTATTGTTTCTATTGTTTCTATCTTTATTGTGTGATATATTGCGCACACTTTATATGCAGGTTTATTCCTAGTTTTGTGTGTAATTATGAATAATTTATAAAATTAGAGCCAACAATCAACGCCTTTGTTTCTTTCAGGGAAAAAACTAATCTATTAGTGGTGAATGGGTAGTAATACCATCGAATGAGGTTAGAGATAACCACAACTTTCGTTAAACACACTCACATCACATGTGTACAAATTTCGCAAGTTTTCAAAATGAACGATAAAAAGTAGTGCACAAAACCATCAAAAACAGTATATTTAATGACATCATTGTCTTTTGATATTTTTGATATTTTTGATATTTTTGGTTTCTTGGGATTTTTTTTTTAATTTATGTTTGTGCTGCTTATATGCATAATGCCTTATGTCAAGGGTAGTGAAAGGGTTAATAATAGTAGTAATACTAGGACACATGTGGGATAAGTCAATTAATTCGATTTGTGAGTATAAAACACTCAAAACGAAGTAGTGTATTCTATGTTTTGTATACTGCACTAGTGTTAGCATATATGTAAGAATCAACTCATATTATTTGCTTTATAAATTGTTCTTTTCAACTGTAATATTTGGTCTCTGTTTTCGTTTAAGTTGTTGTTGTTTTGCCAGTTTTATATTTAATTTTTGATTTTAGTTGTTATTTTTGTGTAATAATGGGGTGTGTCCATTGTTCAAAAAAAATAATAACAAACAAAAATAAAAATATTCGTATCAACGGATTAATCTAATGAGGGAGAGATATATACAACAATAAACAACCCTTTTACTCACCCGCCCTCGATATTTGACTATTAGTGATTGTATTAGACCATGCGTTTTGCCTTCCTCCTATTGTCTCATACAAAGAGCCAAAAAGACAAGTGGTATTCTTTACAAGACAATTAACTATTATAATTTGTTCAGTGTAAATACTCAACATTCATCGCCTCATCGGATATATTTCCTTCCATTTCTTTGTTTTTATAACGCTATTGTTTAACTTTTAGTGCATAACTTCATTGTCTCTATTGTCTACTGGTCTATTTGGGTTTTCCACAGCCACCAGCAACAAGCACCTCCTATTGTGCACAACATAATAAGTTGTACATTTGTAACCGCCTCTTTCTATTGTACTCCAAACATTATGCCCTCTTAGTAACTTTATATAACCTATTATTTCCCCCTGGATTATGATTGGTATTGTTCATTAGTTTAACAAACCCCGGCAATAAAAATAAATAACAAAAAACAAAATTATAAGCCATGAGCCAATCACAAAGAGATTCTTTGTTGTGAGTTTAATTTTTTAATTTTTTTTTTTAATTTTCAGAATTTATCCGCAAACCTTTACTCAAAGTTTTTCCACAAATCACTTGTATAAAAGGGGGGGGGGGGGTTGTGTTACTAAAAAAAAAAAGCATGAATGATGATCTAATTGAAGGCGAACGCCGTACACGTGTATACACTTGTGCACAGGTGTACATGTACGTGTTTTTAGACAGAAGTAGTAGTGCAAAAAGAGAATGCACTTTTAATCGTGTTTTCTCTAATCTAAATATTCTCCACCCTCGCAGATAACAAACTAAACAGCCACTGTGATTGTTAGTATATACTTTTATTTACCCGAACTATATGCAGTAAAACTCATTGTGGTTGTCGCTGTTTTAATCTACTGTGCATATGATAATTTTTTTTTTGTTATAATCCTTTGTTGTTGTTGTTGTTGTTGTTGTTGTTGTTGTTGTTGTTGTTGATTTGGAATATATATCTAAGTAGTGCATATAAAAAAGGGAAACGTAAACGTATGTCTTCTTAATCCTGCTTCTTAATCCTACATTACATTATAGATTTAACCGCAATGCATAAAATATAAAAAATACAAATAGAGTAATAGTCGTGTACTGATGTATATAAAACAGGGTAGTGTACGAGTGATAATCTTTTTGATTTTTGTACCACTACGCAGTTTACACAAGAGGAGTTAATACATATTAACCAAGCTTTTACACAAAGCTAATATTTCGCATTAGGCACACGCACATTGACAAAATCAACTTCACACAAAAGGGCTTGATATGATTGTTACTTTTTGTAAAATTTTATTTTCTTATTTTCTAATTTTTTTAATTTTAATTTTTAATTTTTAATTTTTAATTTTAATTTTTTTTTTTTTTTTTTATTAGAATTCCCGTCAACCACAAAGGAAGATACCTTTTTTTTTTTTTTTTTTTTGATTTATTATTATCCGATACCCATAAGAAAGAAAGGTCCATTTTGTTATTTCAATATAAAAACATATAGATATCTCCATTAGTCTTTTCTTTAAATCATTTTGGTTTGAATCTCCCTTCCCCACCTCCATTTTGCAACATATTCATCCAACACGTCTTCTATCTCCCTCCCCTTAACTGAAGTTTGACACTCTTTTTACCCATCAGATTAACTTTTCATTTCCCCTTTTTTTGCTGCCTGGTTGATATACATTGATAAATGTCTACAGCTGTATACTACACTCACAATATGCCTGGTGATGATTTAACAAGACAGAATAACGGTACCACTGCCACTACCAACAACACGTTACCCTCGCTAGCTCAAATTATGCCACCTCGTAACCAACAACAACAACAACAACAACCTCAAGATGGTTCGGCTGCTTCTGCTGCTGCTGTTATTGGTAATGGTTACTACCCTCAACAACAATCATATGTACAAGATGCATACTCCCAAGTATCAACTTCCCAAACCACCCCATCTGTATCGTACACAGACCCTAACACCACCATTACAGGTAAACCCAAAACTGACAGCTCAACTCGTTCATCAGTATCTTCATCCGCTAACAACAACACTTCTCCCACTGATGCTAATGGTGCACCTCAATGTATATGTAAAGCCAAAGGCAACAAGATCCCACGTCCAAGAAATGCATTCATCTTGTTTAGGCAAAAATACCATCAGGCTATTTTGGACGAAGGTTCAGTCATACGTTCCAACCCTGAAGTTTCTCGTGAATTGGGTAGAAGATGGAGAGCTTTACCTGCTGCCGAAAAGGAACATTGGAATAAATTGGCTGAAGATGAAAAGAAAAACCATGCGTTGAAGTACCCCAACTACAAGTATGAGCCAAAGAGGAATGGTAAGAATAAAAATTGTTTGGTTTGTAAGGATAAACCAACTGCCAAACAACTAGCCAAACAACAGCAACAGCAACAGCAACAGCAACAACAACAACAACAAGCTACTGCTGCGGTCCAATCACAGCGTCATCATTCAGAGGCTGCTCTTGCTGCTGCTGCCGCACAACAACAAATGTTGCAACACCAACAACAAATACAACAACAGGCACAACAACAACAACAACAAGCCGCACAACAACAAGTACAAGCCACCCAAGCTGTTCAACAACAACAACACGATCAATATCAAAACTACTTCAAACAACAACAATTGAACAATTTACAAGGATACCCAAGCTATATCATCTCAAACACCAATCCATACTTGCAAAACTCATCAACATCCTTGGCATCATCATCATCAACTGGTAACTTACCACTTCCTGGTGCAGCAACCAATAGTGTTGGAGCCCCCAGTACTGCTGCTTCATCAATGGGATTTTATGATCAAGAGAAACTATCACCATTGTCTGCCACCACATACACCAACAATAATAATAGTACTAGCGGTATAGCTAATGTGCATGCTGCAGGTATGCCCTTCTCATTGCCACAACAACAACAACAACAACAGGCACAATTACACCATCCTGGTGTAGTTGGTGGAGTTCCAATTGGTGTAGCAGAGTATCAATTACAAGGTGCACATCCTCAACAACATCAACAACAACAATCACATGCGCAAGGATATGGTTTAGATGCATTTCATCAACAGTAAATGATGAAATTGTGAGAGAGAGATGGGAATTGTTGCGAGTTTGAGTTTTAGTTATAGAGATCAGCATCTGGCTGTGAGTTTTTTTCCTTTAGTTTTATTTTGTTTCAATTTTGTTTCAATTTTGTTTTGACTTGTCTTTGTTTGTCTTTGTCTTTTGATCAAAGTTTAGTTTCTATACAAATTTTCGCCAACTGTTTGCTGCGGTGGTATTGTTGTTGCCGCATTGGTGTAAAAATATTTGATATTTGTGTATGTACATTAGAATATTCTTTAATCTTTACCATCTATTCTAATAAAGGTACTCTTTGTTAATCAGTTTTGCAACTTTAGAATTCCATTTCTTGATTGTTCAATTAGCGACTGTGTAATATGTGATGATAATGATTCTACGAGGCGTATCGGCACAGATACTGGAATTAACATCATTTGTCTATATTTAAAGCATCTCCCTCAACCTCCCCCTCACCCCCCCTCCCCCTTTAATTGAACCGTGCAAATCAAAAGATGAGAAAGAGAGAGGGTGTACTACATCTGATCCTTTTTCTCCATGTTTGGTGATTCAATAAGTTTTGAAAATCCGAGTGAATGGCAACATTTGCAACCGTTTCCATATCAAAAATCGTTTCATCCAAAGAAAAAAGAAAAGATAATCGTCGTTATTGTATTGTTTTCTATTGTTTACAAAGCTTGTTTTCTTGGTCTGTGCCCCTAGTTCTACTATGACGCTGCTATTGTATAAATTCACTAAGTAGTAAGGGGGGGGGTTAAGGGGTAAAGATTTGAGGGGAAGAGACAAATGAAGAAAGAAGAAAACTGGGCTGAATTCAAGATATAAATCAAGCACGTCAAATGCTCGCCTGATTTGTTTGATTTTGGTGAAAGACGATTACTGACAAAGTTCACAGCTCGTTAGTGTAAGATTTTTCTCAAGTGTGAGCGACTCTCCAATCACTGCCTCGATTGAGACACCAGTGTATGGATTAACGGAAGGTAGGTGAAACACGTGTTTTCTTACACAATTTTGAATTCCAACTAAATTCCGTTGGAATCACAACCAACAAATGAAGGCTGTGTCTTGTCCTTTTCAATTTTTTGTTGACTGAAAATGAGACTACACAAAAATCTACTAAATGGTAGAAAGAGTTTCAATATTACAGCTGATTTTGCATGCACTACGATTTTGAAGTTACGTTCTTTTAATGCATATCTTGACGTCAGGGGTAAGAGAGAGATCTACAGAGAACTGCTATTGCAACAGCGCCAATGTAAGCCTCAGATCTTCGTTGTCGTTGGGATTTCTTCGGTTGAAGACAAAGAAAAAAGCTTATTTTGATAACCTTCCATTGTTGAAACAACAATAATAATCATAACTTGAAAGAAGTAGAGTACCTGAAATTTGATATATTTTTGTAAACAGGTACACGAAACCCTCTTTAGTTTGTGTAAGGTTGTTTCTTCTTTTTGTAACAAACTATTTGGAATATTCTACCGACAATTATTCCATTTATTACACAAAGCTGTGTGCCTCTATATTCCAATTCCGTGTTGCACCGATTAGTTTTGAAAAATCTAAATTTACGTTCATTGGCTATGAAAATGTATCCCTTTCAAAGTCAATCAACATCGTCACTTTATGCTGACTCTAGTTGAACCTTTGTTGTCCTTGTCTTGAATGTAAACATCGCAAACACAAAACTTGTCTCCAAACCAAACCTTGTTCCTGTTAGCGCATAATCTAAAAGATTGTACTAACAATAGAGTACTATTATAATACGGCATCACGTGTAATAAGCTTATCTATTGTTAATTTTAGATATTGATTTCTTTTTTAATCGCCACAGTTTTGTTTATGTTTTTTTTTTTTGGTAAAGTAGGATAGATTTGGAATAAAACAATATGGAAAACTGATTTATAAAACATAATGTTGACAATGGAAATATGGAGAAGATTGTCAGAATAGCAGAGTGTGGCCATGAACAAGCGCAAATTAAATTGTTAAAAACAATATGAATAGACAGCTTTTTATTTTTAGGTTTTCAATTGTTGACATTGTCTATTGTACAGCGATTGGTCTAACTGCTTCTGTTGTTGTTACTGTTGTTGTTGCCATTGTTGTTGGGTTCTGATACTCAATTACACAGAACTAGCTTTTCTTCTTCCATGCATTCATTCTTCAGGATTAGACTTCAATTGTTTCTACAATTTGTAACTTTTTATATCTCATTATTCGGACGAACTATAAAAAAATATTACAGAAATATATCACAAAAATTCAACAGCAATTGTTTTCTTTGCTTTTTGGTTTTTTTTTTTTTTATTAACTTGGGTTTGTGTTAAACCATTTTTGAGCTAAAGCACACTACCCAAAATTGGTTTCTGTGTATGAATACTACGGAGTTTACGCAAACTTTTTTTCCGTCGTGCATAAAGACAAAGTATCACAAAATCTGTTGCTGTGCTAAATCAATATATATTTTGAAAAATTGGTAAAGACGCTTTAGTACTTGTGTACTTGTATTGTAGGACATCAAACCAACCTTTAATTCAACTCAAACTCCAATTTATGGATATGATACGATTCTGGTGAAAAGCTGCTCTAGTTTGTGTCTTAGTAGTGCAAACAAACTGCCCCCCCTTTTACTACACAAACAACTGATGTTAAGAAGGAAAAGAAGAACAACCCTTGTTGAGCGTATAACCGTCAATTGACTAATTGCTTTTATTCTGTTTATAGGATCTGGATATACCTTTTTTGTATTTTACACGAATGAAGAAATGTAGGTGGCTTTCCTAGTGGTTGGCCGTAGTGCCAAGGCTAAACCAAAACCGAAATGGTTCCCTTTAAAATTTCGTTAAGTTCCTGAAAAGGAATGATAATTGTGCAAAAGCTTCCTCATTTCATTGGATGTTGAAAATTGATAAGACAAATTGACAACTATCAAAAAACATAGTAGCTAGTCTCAAAACTCAACCCTTTGAACTGAAAAAGATGCCACTCATTAAAAGCGAAAATGCAACATGTTTTTACTCTTCCATCAGGTTTCGTCAATCACGGATAAATGATGACATGTGGCTTTATGATGATGATCTAAATTTTCGGTTCGGCACGCACTAAACCACCACCACAACTCTTTGTCCTTCCTTTTTTTTACACCATACCGCACTTACAATTGATTAAAACGCCCAATGGTTCCGGTACAAATTGCATGTCATGAGCAACATTCTAACGTTTTTAATATTAACTCCGTTCGGCGATGTTCTGCTTCAATCTACGTCATTCATCAATGAGCCACAGTTTTTCGCAACCATTTAGCAGCAAAGTGGGGTTTTTTTTTTTTTTTTTGCAATGGAGCGAGGCAATTGTTAATATTTTTAAAAGTTCATGAGATCGCAAACTTTTAGTATAGTAGGGGTCCTATCTTCAAGCTTAAAAGTAAATTCTCTGGTTATGTCAAACATGCCACAACTGGATAAAAGAACTTTATGTAAGTTGCCCCCTGTCACCCATTTTTTCCCCCTTTTTCGCCTGTAGCTTTGGTATCGCAACAAGCGCCACATTTTTAATCTATTTGCAACAAAACAATAGACACCCTATGGGGTTTATCTATCACAAAGTGTACCTCCCTCATTGCAAACCTTATTTTTGACCTGGTATATATATGTATATATAAGTAGAAGAGTTAAACCATTATGTAGTCCTCCCACTTGATAGCAAACACATACCACCCCTCCCTCTCCACCATGAGTTCAGATGCGTCAACAGTAACATTACTACCCCAAGCTGCTGGATACGGAGTCCTAGTTGGAGTCGGTGGCGGATTCGCCATCGGCATGGTCATCACGACGAATTTGTTGCGCAAATACATGAAAGAGGATAACAATAGTACCGAAACGTTTGCCGTTGCCAATAGATCAGTGGGCACTTTACTTGCTGCATCAGCAGTTTATTCAAGTTGGAGTTGGGCCGATGAGTTACTTTGGACAACAACAATGGTTTACAACTATGGTGTCCAAAGTTCTTATTTCTACATGTCTGGTCTTGTGATTCAAATTGCCGTTATGGCAATGGTGGGGATCCATGCTAAAAAGAAAATACCCAAGGCGCACACATCTTTGGAAATTGTTGAATTGCGATATGGAAAATTGGCTCATTTGTTGTACATGTTTTTATCACTAACGACAAATTTGGTTTCTTGTGCTAGTATGATCTTGGCGGCCGCGGGGGCCATATCCATAATTGCAGGTAATTTACACATTGTTGCCGCTACGATATTGACGATTTTCTCTGTCTTGTGTTATTCCATATATGGAGGATTAAAAGCAACCTTTTTAACGGATTTTGCCCATAGTTTAATCTTGTTGATTGTATTGTGTTACTTCAATACCGGTGTATTGACGAAAATTGGTGGTTTGGATGAATTGTATGACAATTTGGCAGCATATGGTGGAAGTAGAGAGATACCGGGGAATTACGCAAATAGTGTAATCACGGGTAAATCACAAGGAGCAATTCTCTTTGGCTTGATTTTAACTTGTGGTAATTTCGGCCTTACGGTGATGGATAGTTCATTTTGGCAAAAAACATTTTCAGCTACGCCTAGAGCGACAGTACCTGCATATTTGACTGCCGGGTTAGCAATCGTGTCCAATGTATGGCCCTTGGGTGCCATTATTGGTGGTGCTGCAATCACATTGGAAAATTCACCCCAGTTCCCCACCTGGCCTCGTAAAATGACTCAATTTGAAATTGATTCCGGTTATGCTTTGCCTTATACTTTGATGGCGACATTGGGCAAGGGAGCTGTTGGTGGGTTATTGTTAATCTTGTATCTTGCTGTAACATCAACCATATCAGCACAAATGATTTCAGTATCATCCATAACAACGTTTGACATTTACAAAAAATACATCAACCCTAAAGCTCACAACAAGTCATTGATATTTGTGTCTCATATCGCTTGTATCATATTCACTTTTGGTGCCGCTGGGTTTTCGCTCATGTTGCATTATGTTGGTGTCAATATGACTTGGTTTGGTTACTTCACTCCCTTGATTATATGTCCGGGAGTTATCCCTTTGATCATGTCAATTGTATGGAATCGACAAAGTTGGTATGCAGCGGTTATGTCGCCCATATTGGGTATTGTGTTTGGGTTCACTGTGTGGACGACAACTGCTTATAAGCTAGATGGTGCTGTAAACATTACAACTTTAGGTGGCCAGTTGCCAGCATTATATGGTGCTTTGACGGCATTGTTTCTACCTGGTATCGCTAGTGTGATTATTACATTGGCCCATCCACAGAAATTTGATTGGAAGGTGTTGCAACAGGCTACTATCCTTGTTGATGAAGAAGGAGATAGTGAAAACACAGAAGATAATACCGTGGAATTGGTGCCAGAAGACAACTTCAAAGTGAACAAAGATAAATCCAATATTGAACTAAATATTGAATCTGATCAATCATCATCGACCTCAGCCACCAAATTAGAATCACAACCAGAAGAGCTGCCTACCACATTGCAACCAATATCACCAAAAGAACTCGATTTATGGATCAAAATATCCACTGGTGCTGCAATTTTCGTCTTGTTGATAATGTGGGTACTTTGGCCATTGCCATTGTATCGAAACTGGATATTCACAAGAGAATATTTCAAGGGGTATGTTACTGTTGGATTGATGTGGTTATATGCCACTTTACTCGTAATTGGAATAGGTCCATTGGTTGCTGGAAGGCATACAATTGCGTTTATTGTCAGAAGCTTGTATCGTGATTATATAAAGAGGAAATAGAATAGAGTTAGAGATAGAGTTTTAAAGAATTAGAGTTATAGAGTCTTTCGACCGAGTCGTACTTCCTTTTATTCCCAGAATCTTCCATTAGATTTTCCTAAACGTTAAAAAAAAATAATATATAAATAAAACCCGTTCACCTATTGCTCCTCCCTATCTAAATGTCCTCATCCATTCCATCCAAGGTAATAGCTTCACCTGGTTTAAATGGTGGTAATCCTAAATAAGGACATCCATCACATCTGAAAGCATCCCCCAAAGCACAAGATCCACACCCACCAGTCTTGCCCTTGACAGTAAAATCAATTTCGGTAAGATCCTCTTCTTTAAACTTGATCTTCTCTCCTTGCTTTTGTTTCAACCTTGCTTCAATTTTCTCTGCTTCTAAACTTGCTGATTGAGCCATTTTACCCAATATCGAGTTTTGAAGTGTTTGTTGTTTGCTATCTTCCAACTCTTCCAACTCCTTCAACCCACAAGTACAATCTTTACATGCTTTCCTTCTTCTTTTACCATTGGGTAATTCACATTTCTTGGGTATGATTAAATTGTCTGTTTTCAAATCCTGTATTAGTTCATCTTCGTTGATGTATTCTTCACCATCGTCGTCGCCATCACCATCATTGTCATCGTCAGACTCACTGAAATAGGTGAGCTTTGTCTCTACTAGTTTCCTCTTCATTCCTCCATTTTCATTCTCTTCATCGGTATTTGATGCTGATGTGTCTGTAAGTCCTGGTGTCGCAACATTTTGATTAGACAATTTTTTAAACAATGGTAATTTCTTGGCACTAGCACCTCCGTTCAAATGGGTATAATTGCCGCCACCATTACTCAGTTTCTTCTTCAATGATACGGTTTCAGTTATTGGTTTAGGTTTGGTCCATGACCCATCTTCTTCGACAATAAACCCCTGCATTAAAACATCCAAATTTTGGTCTTTTGGTAGGTCTCCTTTGACAACTCCGCCTTCAGTAGTCAATAAATCAAACAACAATTTAATCAACAGTAATGGCATCTCACGGTACTCATCTTCGTTAGGATTGATATAGTTAATCTCATTATAGGAAGCATTATCTAGGATGACTTCACCCTGAGTAACTCGATTGATAATTTGTTGGTCAATATGGTGATTCCCGCTGTGATTCTTGGCAATATCTGACTTGATAGACTCTACCAAGTGAGCATCAGTAACAACAGTTGGGTGTAAAAGTAAAAGTATCCTTGTCATTGGTAACCACGCGCGTGTATAACTTGAAATGGAATAATCTTGTTGGTGTATGTAAACTTTTATTGATAGTGACGAAATATGTAGAAATGCAGTTAAATAAGAACAACGTCCTTAGTAGTCTATAGATATGACGTGTTGTATGTGCGATGGATTTTGTTGTATTAAAAGATGAAATTGATTCTTTAACTCTTCTTATATTAATCAGTTGATATAAATTTTTTTCCTACCTTATAAGTACCACCTACTTACTTGGTAGTTGTGTATTACTGTAGTATTACTAATTACGGGATTTTCTTAATTTTCTTTTCTTCTGGTCACGTGAAACTAAAAAAATAAAAGGAAAGAAAAGAAAAGAAATAAAAAGAAATTAACAATTACGTAATAACTTTCAGAAGTGTATCCGTGTGTCATCATTGTTATCTATTTCATCATTGGTTGATCCTAGTTGTATTATATGGTCACAAGACACAATATTTTGTGCATCCTGCTTTCGAACTCTATACAATTATCAATGTCATCATTGGATGATTAAACATGACATCCATTCACCAGCTCAAATATCTATATCGTATCTTCCCCACATCCTCTTCTAGTAAATGTATAACTTGTATAACTTGTGGATCACCAGGAAATAGATCAATCCCATTGTCACTAAAGCGATAATTGCAATCAGTGTCGTCAAAATACAATTGTAGTCCCTTTACTGGTTTATTTGACGATAAGACAAACTTGCCATTTCCAATATGCTCAACCTCAATGTGTAGCTTTGATGTTAATTTTCCCCAATTCAATGTCTTTAGTGGTTGTGGCCAATCTGAGGATCTAGCTATTATTTCGCTGTCCTTGGACAACTTTATATTGACAATTGTAGTCTTCTTCAAATGATCGAATATAGCACCAGTCATGATTGCGTTGACTTTATTTTCTTCAAGTACAATTCCACTTTGCTTATATTCATCAATGTATTCGCCATCTGAGCTGTAAAATTCAATACTCAAGGTTAAGTTACCATCATTACCAAATGCCCACACGTCAAGTTTCACAATCGGCTCTTGTAGCACCGTTTGACCAGCAAATGGCGCTTCATCAACCGATTCTTGTTCAATCTTACACCCACCAACACTCACATCACTCAACTCCCTCTTCATTCCGTAATAGCTCAATTTAGGAACTTTTTCAAAATCAACTACTGACCAAGAAATACTAGGCCAACAATCATTCAATTGCCACACCAATACACCACCACATTGATATTTGTCCCAATTGCGTCTCCAGTACCTGAATGCTAAACTTATGGCTTCCAGTTGCATCAATTGAGTTAAATAAATCCAATCATGTAATAAGAGCAATTTTGGTTTATTGAAGTTAAACCACACATAATGCGCCAAATTCTCCTTGTTTGTTGGTTTGGTGTGAAAATCAATCATTTTCAGGTCAGGACGCAATTGGTCCTCATTGGTGATGTATTTACTCAATGTTGAATACGAGGGTAACGACAACATACCAAACTCACTGACAAATCTAGCTGATAGTTGTCGCCAAGACTGATATGGGAGTACTTTGCCGTGCCAAACGTCCCATTGATGTGAATCACCAAATTTCAAATCATACGAACTGTGAATATTATCTGAGTATGGCGATCCAAATCTATACACCACTTGATTTGCCATTGCAATCAATACCAGGGGAATCGTCTCTTCATATATGGATTTTGCTGGGAATTGACTAGCATTATTCTTGTTCAACTTCAAGGCATCAGCAATCTGATAATCTTCATTATTACCTGTATAGATGACAATACTGGAGAAATTTCGTAATCGTCTTATTTGATCTTGCACTTCTTTCTCAACTTGTTTGTGTATTGGAACATTAGGATATATCCCACATGCAAACATGAAATCTTGCCATACTAAAATACCGTACTCATCACATAATTGATAAAACTCGCTCTGCTCATATTGCCCACCTCCCCACACTCTGATCATATTTTGATTTGAATCAATTACCAATTCAATATAGTCTTGATAATCTTGCTTGGTAACTTTGGATATAAATGAATGAGAAGGGATCCAATTTGATCCAACCATTTGGATAGGTTTATTGTTGATCTTGAAGTAGAATGAACTACCATATTCATCGGCAACGGTTACAAGCTCAACTTTTCTAAATCCAACGGACTTAGTAACCATCAACTCGTCATCAAAAAATAGCTTGATTTTGTACAAGTTGGGCTTGCCGTGTTTGATAGGATACCACAATTGAACCTTTTCCAACACATAACTAACATTCATTTCAGATTCAACTTGATCCATTTCAATCACACCAATAGCCACCTCATCCAAACTGATTTCGATTTGGGCTTTTTTCACAGATGTAAACAATATACTCTCAATCTCAAACCAAACATGAGCCGCGTCTAACTCGTCATTCAATTGAAACCTCACAAACAAATCATCAACATAATTTTTTGCAACAAGCTCAACTTTATTGAACCCACAAGTGATCAACTTCGGCCCCCAATCCCATCCATACTGAAATTGAGGTTTGCGGACATAAACTCTACTACAATCACCATTCCAACATTCACGATGTCCATTGTCTTCTTCTAATGACTTGCCTAATTCAACCCCAGTTTTCAATCTCAATACTAACTCATTTTCAACAGACAAGTTTACAAAAACCTTATATCTCTGAAAGGCATCAGTACTGTGTAAAATGACATCATTGTTCAACATAACTTCAGCCTCAGTATCCAATTGGTCAAACAACAAATACGCTTCTTGCTGCTCTTGTGGCACTGGCACACCAAATAAACATCGATACTCCCATGTCAATTCACTAATCCAACTGACGTTTAACTCATTGTCATTTACAAAAGGATCAGGTATAAGGTCATTGTAGATTAAATCCACATGGATTTGGTGCAGCTGTTGTTGAGGTGTGGCATTGTACCATGTGTTGTCTTCCCAAGGTGTACACACGTGTTGTTGTTGTATAGAAACTTGTCTGAATGTCCAATTGGTCAAGACAGACATCTCGGGAAAGAGTTCAACATTTTGTTTCCATCTCCCACAACTGTGCGACTAATAAACCTATTAGGAGACGCCTCCACCACCAGCGCCACCACTACACTCGATAAACCTCGTCAAATACCGTTTGTACTTACGAGAAGAGCTTTTATAGCATGTCTCATCCGCGAACGATATATCACACCACAGACACAAATGCTACTAGGGAAAATCAATAAAAACTACAAAAATAATGTGTTTCATGTATGTCTCTATTGACTCTACTTTCCATCTTCCTCATCGTTCATCCAAAAATTGTTCTCTCATTTGTCCTCCTCCACAGTTCTATCAGAGTCATTATCGTCAACATTATCGCCATTTCCACGGTCATCACCCACCACTACAGCGTCTTCTTCATCAGTATCATCAGTAGCAAAGACAAGTCCCTTTCTGGACCCCTTTTGCTTTGCTTCGGGGCTCTTCATGAATCGAGTCAACGGAGGTAAATGTGGTGGCTGCATTGTAGCAAATGTAGGTGATGGGATTTGCACCAGTGAAGATCGTGAAGATATTGGTGATGCAACATTATCAGCAAATGGGTTGGCAATAGCGCCTCCACCTGACGGGTAGTTCCCATTACTGTTCAAGCTTTGACTACGTGAATGAGCATATTTAGCTGATTGTGGTGATGCTAATGACATTAATGATATTACTGCATCTTGTTCATTGTTTTTATCAGTTAATCCCCTTATTGGAGAAGTGTACTCGCCATTTAGTGCAACATTAAGCGGCGGTAGCTTAATTTCCTTTTGTGTCGATATTTGTAAAGTTGGTGGTCCTTCAGCTGTTATTGATGACCTTTTTGTATCACTATTTGAAAACGATGATCGTGATTTCCTGCGCTGTCGTGACAACGCAGCCAATAGAGCCGAATGTGCACTTGTTTCCTCATCAGGGGATGGCATGTCATTTAATCGTGAGTGGCGTTGATGTTGTTGTTGCGCATCACCTTTCAATACAGGCGAGTGCTTCAAAGGTGAAGTTGTATTTGATCGGAAACCATGACTTTGTTCTAATTTTGGCGACGAGTTGTTTGATTTGGCAATAGGTGATTGCTGCAATGTTTGCAAGTTAAGATTAGCTCTTTGAAGAGTATTTGTAGGTACCCAATTGTTTCCCAAGGCAGAATGTTTTTTCGGTGTATATTTCCTTGTTGGTGACGTTTGTGAATCAAACGATAACTCAGTGAATGTAATCTTTGAATTGTGTGCCGAGTCATCTTTTTGTAATTTACCCAATGCAGAACTCAATTTATTTCTCAATTGTGAACTAATTTCTGTTAAATCGTCTCGCTTGTTATCATTGGGACTTCCTTCATCACCTTGAAACAATTTCTTTGCTGTGCCCAAATACTGTGGTGTTTTCATTATCTTTGCTCTGTGTCCATCTTCATCCTCACCTGTAGGTGAATCCTCAATACCCGAATGTCGCGGTGTCTTTAATAAATGAGCGGCACTAAATGGTGAATTGACATTGTGATAAACCAATTTTCCATCAGGCGACTTGTATGATCCAGTGCTTGTTCGTTTGTAAGATGGAGTGTACGGTAGTGTTCCTGAATATCTTTTGCTTGCGTCTTTTGGTTGTTCTGGTGTCCTTAGAAATGAAGCTGACGCACGTTTTCTATTTGGGGGTGAAGGCGTCAACGGTTTGTCAAGGGTAACGTGTATTTGATCGCTGTTTCTATTTGATTTGGTACGGTTGTCAAGTCTATTGCTACTGTCACTTTGGGCCAAGGGATTGTTGCGTATGGAGTCAGGTAACGTGGTTGCGTCGTTATTTTGCAATACAGCCGATGCAGCTATGGGTGTCGACGGAGTACTCATGATAGCAGCGTGTTTGATTTCTCTTTGATTGTGCTCTTGTAAACGTCTTTCTTTTTTCAACAAAACCAGTGTCTAAATCCAGGGCTATCGAAGAAGTATCTATTTTGCTTGTTCCCCTTACGTTTTGAGGTGTTTTTTTCTTCCTTTCATAATTCGTGTTTCGCAAATTTAGTTTTGGAAGTTTTGTCACTTTGTCACTTTGTTTATTGTTTAATTGTTTTTTTATATGTTACATTCTATACTATAACAAATAGAGATTTGAGTTTCCACTCATCATGCCCTTGAAAGTAGCAGAGAGGAAGGGGTACAGTATAGTATAGTTTACGATACTCTCTTCACTTATGAAGAATGCTTTTTACCCATGGAGGTGGGGCCAGCATCAGCGATTCTATTGGTCGTGTACTTTGGGCTAATCAACGATTCCGGGTCATTCGTAATTTTGGTTTAACCGTTTTTTGTGAAACACAAGATTCGAAATCTCTTTCTAATCAACGAGATGTGTCAGTGGTGGGTTTCAACAGATGCTGCGTGCCGTGAGGTTTTTCGTTAATGTTACTTAAACATAATCTTAGGTTACATTTTAGTTGGGTGCCAGTCTCTCAGGGAGGCGCCTTGTTGATGCAGTTTGCTCATTTTTGAAATAACACTCGTACATGTCTTTATTATATTGCTCGAGCAACCTCCACAGGTATTCATAGAGATGATTGGTAAGTATTTGTCAATAGATTCGTAGAGATAGTAAGCTCTATATCTGTGTGTCGTGTCGTGAGAATCTTTCGTTGTAGTATCAGTTAATTAGTTGTGACATATAGGTACGCATCTCGTGTGGTTATTTCCTAATTGGGACGACTTCAATTTCGTAAAATCAAAACAAATCAAAATTCAAGTCACAACAAACAGAAGCCAAAAAACAACGACAAGAGAGAGAAAGAAAAACAAGACGAAAAAAAGAAAAAAAAATTATACTTCTATACAGTAGATTGGTATATATAGTTTACACCATTTATTGAGTTGATACTGCACAAACTATCAAAATTAACTGCATCTATTCATCGATACATACAATACACCTTCATCACACATACTAATTATAGTGGACAGTTTCAATTGAGTTTCAAACTGGCGGTGATTGCTCCAAAAATACAGCACAAAAGAAGAAATCCAAAACAAGAGCCATAAAAACGCAACAGCGTAAGAAAGTCCAAAAAGTGCTTAGTGCAAGCCTCTATCCTCCCAGATATATATATATATATATGCATTCATATCGTCAAGGATGAATCATTCATCAAATGCACCACCTATAAAACCACTACTCCCACTACGAAAACAACAACAGTTTGCAAATGGGGGCCCCAGATTGTCTCTAGGGACAGCTTCTAGATCATCAACATTACAATCAACAGTTGGGACAACGACTCCATTCAGTAACGTTTATGGCGCAAGAGGTGCTACAAGTGCGAATGGGTACGGTCAGCAGCAAGCAAATCCAAGACACAGTTTTCAAGGAAATGTACAATCTGCGTTCATAAATGATGCTACACCTTCAACTGGAAACAAGCGAAGATCGGTTTTGTATTCAGTTCCTGCTTCAACCAATAAAAAGAGGACAAGTGTGGGTATACCTTCGCTGCAGGTTTCACAACTTGCAAATGCTCCAAGGACGCTGTTTCAATTACTGCAAGAGCTGCAACAACAACAACCAGCCACTAATCGACACTTAAACTCTTCACAACCGACTCCCCTGTCATCACAACTGATACCACTTCAATCACATATACCACAACCTCAATATGGAGTACTACATCTGGTACCTACAGATAGAGCTGTCAACAGAGCCAGACAGGAACAAATGGCACAGAAAATATACAAGTTTCTAGCCACCAACCACTTTGAAGTTAGGACATCAATATCCTTGAATGAAAACACCCTAAAGATTCCCACACAACGAAATTTCTATGAAATTTTCAAATTCATGTACCACTTCATTGATCCATCATATGTTTTTCGTAAGTCAGCAGAGCAAGAAATAATTCCATTACTAAAGTCATTACAATATCCAGCACTCGGTACGATATCACGTTTACAATTTAATGCGGTTGGAGGACAAAATTGGCCTAATTTCTTGGCCATTCTTGAATGGATACTAACTTACATTGAATCGAATGTGGCCATTGTCGATGATCTCAGCCCCAATGATGATTTTGACCGCATTTTCATGGGATACAACTATAGCTGCTACCTCAAATTTCTTGATGCCGATGAGGATTACGAAGCACCACACCAACAAATGTTGAAAGAGTTTGAAGAAGAGATGGAAAAATTCAAAACTCAAGAAAAGAACCTTTCGGTTCAAAAGAGCAAATTGAATGAAAATTATGAGCAATTGTTGAATGATTTAAAACTAAGAGATGACGCTGATAGGAAAACAAGAGCCTTGGAAGAAGACTTTACCAAACTTCGTGAATATATTGAAGAAGTGCAAAAGAGAATACCAGAATGGAGTGCCAAATTGCACCAGTTGCTGGATGAAGTATATTCTGCCAATGAAAACTTGAAAACTTTACAAAAGGAACGAGATACCTTGGAGCAAGAATTTCAAGCTAGTGGTGTTTCAATCAAAGACATTACTGATTTGGAATTGAAACGTGACAAGCTATCAAAAACAATTGAAGCTGAAAATGTGAAATTGGAGAGGAAAAAAGATGATCTTCAAGAAAGGATAGCTGATACCGAGAATGGTTGTTTTACCATTGAAAAATTGGTGGTCAGTTATAACAGTATTGTTGAGAAATTCAACTATAGCAACTCCAACGGGTATACATTCGGTTTACAACTCAAAGACTTAATTGATTCCAACATTGCCTATGGAAGAGATGAACTATTCAAAGACAAGACCCTTGGAGAAGAGTCGAATCAATTAAGCTTGTTGCGTGGAAGTATTGATGCTAAATTAAGTCAAAATAGAGTCGAGCTTGATAAAATCAATGAACAACTTGACTCAATGCAAGAATATGCCGCTGGTCAACGAACCAATTTGGCCACTATTCAGAATGATGAGTACAAGCAAAAACGTAGCAATGATGAGAAATCACAGCAAATTTACAGCCTACAAGCCAAAATGTCGGAGGATATTGAAGATCGTGAGAAAAAGATTAGGGATACCAAATCATCAATCACTGGCAACATCCTCAATTATGAACGTGAATTTCAAGATGCACATTTGAATAAAAAAATTGTTATTCAAGATTTGCAGCAAAAGCAGTTGGAAATTGATCAACAGCTTTTCAGGATTCAGGCATTCATTACCAAGTTCAAAACTTCTTTAAGTGAGAGATTAATATCCGCTTATGACCATTTCAGTTGAGTAACAACAGAGAAAACGGGTGGAATTGGGATGTTGGAAAATTGTTTCTAATTATCAACAACCTAAAAGTGGATCTGTCCAACATCACCCATGATACGCTAGAGACAACACATTAATCTGTATTATTTTTTACCCTTTGTTTATTTCTGATACCCCAAGTTGTATTATTTTATGTATAAATACATTACATTTTGTATAACTGTGTACTTTGTTGTCGACTTGTATTTGTTTTCAAATTGAGGAAAATTCAAACACAAACTTCTTCTCCAACTTCAACTTTTCACCAACCAGCTAATGAGTGACATCAACATCTTCATTACATCTGATTTGACATCATCAGAAAGAAGAATATCCCCTCAATGGACCCTAGACTATTTCAAACAAAAACTAGAACTCATCACTGGAGTTGAACCCAAAAATCAACTACTTCAATATTTTCCCAACAAGTATTCCAACGAATTTATTCAATTGTCAACACCAACAACCTACTCCAAACAGCAAGATCAAGAGACAAACTTGGATCAATTGGGGTTGAAAGAGTATAGTCGTATCCACGTGATTGACATGGATCCCAATTCAACCACAAACCAAATCACATCAACCATATCGCCATCATCAGTCACCGATGGTGCCACCCCCGATTATTATCAAATGCCAGAAGAAGAGTATCGTAAGCGAAACAATACTGTTTTACAATGGAAACAAGAACAAAAACTAGGTCGGTTCGATCCGGAATACGAGTTATTGCAAAAACACATTGCTGAAGAAAATGCAGCGAAATTGGCCACAATCCACATTAATGATCGATGCCGAGTTATCAACATTGAAGGCGAAAGACGAGGGACGGTGCGGTTTGTGGGGACGATCGATCATTTGGATGGTGGGAAACAAGATTGGGTGGGGATTGAATTTGATGAACCCGTAGGTAAAAACAGTGGTGATATTGATGGTGTACAATTGTTTGTTTGTCGACCTAACCATGGCAGTTTTGTCAAGCCGAAACAAGTTGAAGTTGGTGATTTTCCTGAATTGGACCCATTTGCGGAAGATGATGATTCTGACGAAGAGTTGTAAAGGAATGAAATGAACTGTTATAGAATGTCATTTACATCAAGTACGCAAGAGTTGTCACGGAGGAGAGCTTTTGATTCGTCTAATTTCGAGGTGAATCTGAGTTTATCTTTGTAAACGTGCATTGTATATGTACAAAGTGAAAGCAAAGTCATGTAGATTGTGAATTCTTCCACAAGATGTCTTTCCTACGAGTTGCAGGATATGCTAGGTAGCTACATTTTGCAGACACAAATCTTTTTCGAGTATAGCGTTGATCAATGCATAGTCGGCACTAGCTATTCTTTTTAAACCGAGAATTGTTTCCTTTAACAGCCTAATACCGAAAAATAATTTGCCTCTTCCTGTTCAACTTCTTCCATAACGCAAGCCATCCATAGACGTCACCAACCACAAGCAATGGCATTTGAAGAAATATATGAATACATCGAGAAAGACACATTTCTCAAATACTTTCGTCTAGCAATAGTCATCTGTGCATATCTCATATTCCGTAAATATTACTCACAATGGGCAGCCAAGAAGCAAAGTGAACACCAACAAAAATTGGATGAAAAGGAAAAAGCAGAAAAACCAGCGAGAGACGCTGAAGCTCAGAGGCAATTGGAGGAGAGTTTGGAGAAAGAGGCCAATGAATTTGGTTGGGGTAAAAAGACTAGAAAGAATGTAAAGACGACTCAAGCTGTTTTGGAGCAGTTGGCCGAAGAAACCAGACAAAGACATCAAACTGCATACGATGCACAAGAAGATGCTGATATTGAGGATTTGTTAGAGGATTGATAAGTAGGAATTCGATTAATTGTTTGTTACTTGTTAGTGTAGGTTATGATTGCATTTGATGCCATCGCGCTCAATGAAAATTAGAAAAAAAAAAAAATTCATGTGTAGAGAGATCATCGCTATACCTACGACATTATATCGTTGCTGAACTATGGCGGGCGATCCATTCCTATCTGATCCTTCAAAGAAGAGAAAGCGTCTGAACAAAGTTACAAGCACAACAAGGACCAAAAAATCAAAATCAACCACTCCACAGCCCTCAACGACAACATCACAATATGATGAAGAGATATCAAGCGCCAGTGACACTGAAAACGAACAGTCTGTAGAAGACCAACGACAAGAGGAGGAACTTTCATCGGATGAAGAATTTGCCACTGAAAGTGCTGCTGATAAACGAAGGAGATTAGCCAAGCAATATCTTGAAAACTTAAAGAATGAAGAACTACGCGATTCTGAGGACTTTGATGCTCAGGATCTTGACGACGAGATCTTGGCAAAAAGGTTACAAGTTGATGTAGCAGATGCTAAGGGACATGTATATAAGTTTTGGGGTGACAAAATTTCACAGCAATTGGATGGAGATGAGATTAAATTGACAACGACTCGTATAGGGTCCAAAAATGTTACTAGCATGTGCATCCATTTCCCGTACCTATATACGGTATCCAAAGATGTGGAAATCATTAAATGGAATATCAATCTGGGCAAAAACCCCCAAAGGATAAAGCATACTAAAGGTGGGTCCAAATATTTCACTTTAAATACAACACAACCTGGATTGAATCATCATTGGGAGCAGATTAATTGCATAGCAGCTTCCCCTGATGGAAAGTATATTGTAACCGGAGGCTCAGACTCGCGATTAATCATTTGGTCAAGTGAAAACTTGGCGTGCTTGAAAGTTCTTCCCACCAGATCAGCTGTGAATTCGATCGTGTTTAGAAGAAATACTGATCAGTTATTTGCAGCCTGTGCCGACTTGAGAGTAAGAACATATTCGATCAATCAATTTACTCAATTGGAGACATTGTATGGTCATCAGGATAATATTACCGACATTGCCAGTTTAGCTAGAGAGACTTGTGTTTCTGTTGGAAGTAGAGATAAAACAGCCATGTTTTGGAAAATACCTGAAGAGTCAAGGTTGACATTTCGCGGAGGTGATTCAGTTGAAAAGAAGAGAAAGAAGAAGAGCGACGAAGATGAAGAAATTGGCAATGATGAACCTTTCCATAGTGAAGGCTCTATTGATGTGGTTTCCATGATTGACGAATCTCATTTCGTGACTGGATCTGATAACGGTAATATTGCTCTTTGGTCTCTAGCCAAGAAGAAAGCCCAGAATACTAAAAGATTGGCACATGGATTGCAGCCACAATTTCAACCACAACAAGCAAGTGCAGAATTGGCAACTAATGTAGCCAGTCGACAAATACCGGCTCCGCAACCGCACTGGATCACAGCTATACATGCGCCAGCATATAGTGACATATTCTTTAGTGGCTCGTTTGGTGGTACTATAAAGATTTGGAAATTAGACTCCACATTGAGAACTTTTACTTTGATTGGGGAAGTGGAGAACTTGCGTGGTTTTGTTGTGAAAATAGATAGTGTTGAAATCCTCGATACCAAACAATTGAAGGTGTTTGTTTTGGTTAGTAAAGAGCATAAATTTGGAAGGTGGTTTGGTAAAGTGCCTGGTGGAAGAAATGCATTAATTAGTTTTACATTTAGTATATAACTTAATTCGATATACATGCATCATCCGTAGTCTATAAGTTGCTGTCTTTTTTATTCGTTTCATTCCTTAAAATGCTGCTTCATCATCTCCCGCGTCGTCCATTCCATCGTCATCTCCATCATCAAAGTATTTTTCAGCATTGTAATCATCATCTTCATCCTCGTCATCAAATTCATCGTCCATATCCTCCTCCTCACTAGGCACGTCCTCTTTCTCTCCTGTTCCTGCTTCTTTCCCATCATCATTTACATTAGCTTGATTAAACATCTGCTCTTTCAAAGCCTGCACTTTGGCTTGTTCGTCAATTGTTTCTTGTTTTTCTTCACTCAAATATTCTCGTAACCCTCCATTAGATGCAAATTTTGATAATGTTAAGTATTTTTTTTTGTTTTTGTTTGATATACCCATCACTGGATACAATTCCTCTGGGAAGAACTGAATTTGATACGGATGTTCTTCAATAGTTCGACCAATCTTCTGCACTTTTTTATATCTATCACTATATCGCTCAATACCATCCTCATTTGCACTAACCAACTCGTTCCGCCGGGATGATTCTCTGTCTTTGTTCTTGATTAGGTTAGGTTCAACTCTTCCCGTGTAAAATGGTCCATCGGAAACTAGTTTTTGAAATCGTATCGATTGTTTGGCTGCTAATGATTCAATTTCAGAGGGCTCACCATTCACCGGTAGAACATATTGAGGTTTCTCTGAGTCCTCTGACGATTTTACTACATCTGCGTAATCCAAACCAAACGGCAATAGTACTTTTCCAGTACCTGGTCCTCCTCCTCCTCTGAATGACATTATAGTTGTAAGTAATGTAATGACTAAGATGGATATTTCGACTTCACTTTTGTATGGCTTTGTGTGCCTTGTGAAAAAAAAATTGCAAAGATGGGAAGAGGCGCTACCATGTAGCATGCTGAACTCGTATCAAGTATGACAGCGAAACTGAGTAGTTTACAAATGAAGGGGCTGTCTTTAACATTAGGTTGCGGCAATTTTTTCCCGGTGATGTATGGTTAATATATTGGGATAACATATCCACAAATGTTTTTAAGTTGAGTTTTTGACGTTTTAGTATATTTATCATCAAAATGATGCCGAAATGATATTGGAATGGTAGATTTATATTTCAGGTTTTCTGCACTTCTACGTTCACATTAGGTACAACAACCTCCTCTGATTTGTTTGCATATTGCATATCCGTACTTAGCTCTCTTGTCATCAATTTTTATATTATAAATCTTGTGCGTAAAACTGACATTGTCGGAACTATCCATGTCATGACATTAGTTCCGAATCGAGCGAAAACCAAAATAGAACCAGCCCACTTTAGATTTTGTGATCCAACAAGGCAATGCCCCATTCAATCAAGAAAAGATGATGATGGATTATCTCCATACACATAGTGAAAAGCTCAAAAAGTGTGTCAAAGCCTAGTTTGAGAAAGTAAACTTAACCCTAGAGAATAATTGCACACTATTCACCAAATGTCTCCAACGATGGTAACCAGTATTTCGAACATGTACGACCATTTTGACGATGAGATTGACTTGCCAAACACTACTATGGATTCCCCGTCGCAATCACAATCAGCAGATGGAATATTGGTGATAATGGTTGTCCGTGCAAAACATCTACCCAACCGAAGAAAACTAGATAAACAATCACCCTATGTTGTTATAAGGTTAGGAACTACTGCCAAAAAGACAAAATCAGATTTTCGGGCTGGCCAAACACCAGAATGGACTCATGAACTCAGATTTGAAATAGCTCGGGAAAAAAAGCCACTACTAAAAATTGATCTTTTGGATGAAACAAAAGGTGATCCAACGCCGATTGGTAGTTGTGAGATTGATGCATCTCAAGTATTTTCCGATCTGGGGAATAAGCGAGATGGAAAGTACATCCTAGATAAATGGTATGATTTGGCATTTCAAGGTAAAAGGGCAGGTATGCTTTATTTGGAAATGACATTTTACCCAAGTGCACCTGTATTACCACCAAAGGTGCCATACCATGAAGAGGAATATCACGTTGTTGATGGTGATGGTGATGGCGGGCCGTACGGCGGTTCTTTGTCACCAGTGCAATCTCCTCCACCACAATCTTACTATTATGAATCGAATCCACTCAACGATGTATTTGTCTCCCTGGAAAACTCAAAACACAGTAAGAGATCCTCAATATTTCTGAAGACTAGTCAATACTTTATCAGCACTAATGAAGGAAGTGCTTCGAGTCATGAAAATCCAGATGAGGTTATTATACTGCACCCCAAAGTAGGCAGCAAGAGCCCCAATAAGTACATGTCAAAATTCAACAAGATTAAGGACAAGTTTCAATCAAAGCAATCAATATGGGGCAAACCAGCCTGTGATAGCAGTACAAGCGCATTCTTCTCAGGTCCATCTAGACGAAATATTTCTCCCATTAGTGTATATGGATCTGGAGACTTGGACGAGCTTGAACAAGACTTGTCGAGAAGCCATATTGGTCAGAACCAAAAGTTGGACGATTTTGATCTTGACCTTGAGTTTAAAGCACCACCTCCACCACCACCGCCTCATCAGTCTCATTCTAAGCCATTACCAGCACCACCTGGTAGAAAACCGCCATCACCAATATCGAATATAAACCTCAAAGACAGCACATCAATCCCGTTTTCAGCCGACTCAATAGGTTTAGATGATAATGTTGAAAACTTGCCAACCAAAGTATACTTACTAGATGAGCCAGTCAAGTCACTAACGTGCAATGCCAAGCACAATGTTAACCTGGAATTACCAATCAAAGATGAAATAGATCCAAAGTACTTCGCCCCTACTCCAAGTGAACATTTTAACAGGCAAATGAGATTTTCAAATAATGCGGTAACAAAAGATGACCTCAAGGTGGATCTAAGAACTAATAGAACAGGATACGTAGGTAATGGTAAATTCAGTCCAAGTGTTTTTCAAAAAGCTAGTATCAACAAGCCATTCAATGTTTATGACGATAGTGATGATGATGAAGAAGAACCAAAGCCCGAAGTGCCACCAAAAATCCCCAAAGGATTGAACGAGATGGAGTATTACATTTTAGAGAAGGAGAAATATCTTCGTGATCTTCAAGCAAGAAGAGCTTGAGAAATAGATTAACTTTATATAGATTTACTATTACCTCATATAAACATATTGACGAAACGATTTATTCAAAAATAATACAAACGATACGAAATGGGTATAAAGCAATAACGAGTAGAATTACAAGAGTGCAGCGAGCAAGGCACACAAACCAGCAACACCTCCAGTGTATTGTTTGTTGAGTATTGTAAAACCAGCTCCTTTAGAGGTCTCCTCTGCAGGAATGGTGACAGCATCAGACGAGCTTGCGTCAGATTGAGCTTCAGCCGTATCGACATCGAGAGTTGGCTCTTCATCTTCCTTTGAGGCGGAAGTTGTTACTTTGGATTTTGGCTTGAAAGTAACAGTGACATAGTGGGTGGTAACATCGTTGGTAGCATTGTAGCCCTTGTTCTCTAATGAAGCCGTTTCTTGTGCAAGTAGACCTATGGAAGCTAAAGCTATGGAGTTGTAATATGCATCTGCAGCCAGCTGAACAGCAGCAACTGATGCTGATGACTCAACTGACAACACTGATGCAATGGATGCTGCCTTCGCAGCTTCTTCAGCCATACTCAACGATTCCTCTGGAGTATACAAAGTTTTGGTGACGGTGACTGTTTCGGTAACTGTGGTATCAATTTCTGCTGAGATTAGACCAGCTGATCCTAAAAGTAAAGGGATGCTGGTTTTCAATTTCATTGTTTTAGGCTGTAATGAATGACTTTTTTTGCTTGGAAAGGTTTGAATATAATGAGAGACTAGGGTTGAAAAAATTAGCCAGTTGTATGGTGGAATAAACGAATGTGATTGACTGTTGTCCTGGCTTTGAAAAGACGTTATTATTCAGCTAAATGAATGTGGTAGTTGAGAATGTTTCTGTGTGGTGGGAAGATTTAGAATCAGGGTACGATAATGAAAGGCTGCAGTTTGGTTTGTGGGAAAATAGCGAGATTTATAACTTTAGCAAGATTTTTAAAGTCTACTATTTCAAGAAATTTTGCATTTTTATAATAATCACGAAAACTTGCCAAAAAAATAATAGTACTATTCAATATGTGAACTTACCAGTTCTAGCCTTGGTGTCTCTCAATTCGGTCAATACAATTTATTATACTTTTCTGTTGTACACGCTAAAAAAGGTGACTCTACATTGATGTCGATGTTGGTAAACAAGGGAACTTTATTTTCTTGGAGATGCTCACCGAATTGAAGCAAGCGTAGACCAATGCACAACCATGTACATCCATGCGCATCAATTGTTAGTTGCTCCCCAGCTTGGGATCATTCGGAGATTTTGTAACATTGTCATTGTACGCTTGTTGCAATGATTTTAGAATTCAGCCGGGGCTTTGTTTACACTACTCTCTATTCACATTAAACTTGTACGCCTCAAACACATCTGTGTCAACTTTGAAACCTTTTTATTGCAATTGAAGTGTCGGAATAAGGTTTCACACGCACAACAACAAAACGTCTCCTATTTCGCAAGATTTTTTGCAACTTTATTTTCTTTTGTTTTCAATTTTGTGATTCATGCACAATTATTTTACGAGAAGAATAAAGAGAGCACTACTTTTGCGATTTAAACGATCAGCTTTCTTTAGTCCTACTTAGATTTGATACATCGCATCTATTGATAATTTGTAAAGAAACATGAGGTTCAAAATTTTACTATGCGATTTACAAGCATGATCCCAGCTTTAATCATTACCATCTACATCCATTCCTTCTTTGTTCAACTGATCAATTTCTGCTTGTTCATGCTCAAACAAAGTGACCCCATGCTCCACATCCTTTGATTCGTCTATTTTTGGAACATCGGTCTCAACAATCTTGTCCTGTTCAAACACGTTGCGTTCACCTTTGTCCTTTTCCTCATCATTATAAAACTCCAGCTCCCTTTCAACTTCCTTATCTCTTTGCATTTGCGAACCTCCTTTAGTATCAATTGCATCAGGCATGTCTTCATTCACATCGCCAAGATCCTCCTTATCTGCGGGCACTTCTTGAAGTTGGATTGATGGCGCGTGCTTTGTATGATCCAAGTTTGACACAATTTGCGTCAACAATTTGTCTAGATACTCCTTTGAATTTGCATTATTCATATTTGACGAGCGCACATCAAGTTCGTACGTGGGTGCGTAATACTCGTAATACCCATTGTAGGGTAGCTCTTTAGGTAATATGACTCCATTACATACCCCAGTCTCAAACGCCCACGTTCGTGCAACGTTTCGAATTGTGTATCCACCCCCACCAAGCACCATCATGGGTAAGCCAAGAGATCTCACGAAATTCACACAATTTGCATGGCCCCTCATGGATAGATTGAATGGTCCCAACCGATCGCCACTTAACGAATCACCACCACATTGTAATACAATAGCTGAAGGCTGGTACCAATCAACAATCGTCTTTACTAACGGTTCGAATATCGACTTGTATGAAGCATCATCGATACCGTCTCGCAATGGTACATTCACTGCATGGTATTTACCTTTGCCAATACCAATATCGGTCAAATTACCAGTTCCCGGGAAGAATTCACCAAATTTGTGAAACGAACATGTCATTACTCGATCATTGGTATAAAATGCTTCTTCAACTCCATCACCATGATGCACATCGGTATCAATATACAACACTCGCGGATGTTTCCGAAGCAACTCTACAATAGCCAAAACAATATCGTTTGTGTAGCAAAACCCACTGGCTTCTGATTTTTTGGCATGATGAAGTCCGCCAGCATAATTGATGACAATATCTGCACTGCCATTGTTTAATCTTGCCGCTCCTTCCATTGACCCGCCACAAGATATTTTGCAAAATTCATTCAACCCATCAAACACGGGACAATCTTCTCCGACGTTGAAGATTTGGGCCTCTCGTGGGAACAAATGCAAGTTGTCAGGAGTAACACGATCGATAAAATCAATATACTCATCAGTATGGAATTGAGTTAGCTCTAGATTCGTTGCAGGCTCGGCTCGATATATCTCCATCTTTTTATACAATTCGTAGTTCATGATAAGTGAGTGGGTCATTCTGATTCTGTGGGGCTTCATACAATGACCCGTTCCATAGAAGTAGTTTCCTACATCTTGGTCGTAAAAGTAGGCTATTCGTCTCTTATCTGGCAGGACTTTTAATTCATCAAACGGTAGTTCAACGTACATTCGTGGCAAATGGTGTGTTTAATAGGTAACAATGACAGTGGTATATGGGAAAGGAAGAAGCAATTGAACGCACAATTCTCGTGGTGTCCACTATGTCTGAAGAAGAAAAGTGTATTCCATGATTAATAATTTTTTTCCCTCAATACCAGAAAGCTAATATATATCGTGGCTTCAATTTTTTTTATCAACTGATGTTGTTGTAACGTCTATAATATACTGCTCTATATAGTTGGAAACGCATCCCTCCCTTATTGATTCTTTTTGCCAGCTCTTCCACATTCGTCCAACTCGTATATCCCTAACAAATATGCCAATCTCGTCACCACTAAATCAATTGCCATTTCAATTGAGTCCCTTGCCAAATCAATTTTCGATCCATCAATTTCTTGCCAGTTTACGGCAATCTCCTTCATTTTCATACCTTGCATCTGCCCCAATAGCAATACCTCAACATCAAAAATCCATCTTTCCGTATGCATGTGAGGGAAAATTTGTTTCACTGCATCCATATTAAACATTTTGAAACCGCATTGAGTATCATGAATCTTTCTAATACCAAAAATAAACACCAAAGTGTGAAGACCGTACATAAGGAAGTTACGTATAAGCGATCTTTTCACAACAGCATCAGTATTGACCATGTGTGCACGCGAACCTATGGCAATGGCAGGTTCATTGGGGTAAGATCCGAGATAGTCAATTAGTTTGGCAACGTCTGAGAATTGAGTAGCACCATCGGCGTCGGCAAACAACGCATATTTTCCCTGCGTGTGTAAGAGACCGTGGGTGACAGCACCACCTTTACCTCTATTCTTTGACAATTGGACCACCTTCATTGTGTGCGGTTCCAACTTGTATTCTTTTGCTAATTGAATGGCATATTCTGCAGTTCCATCGCTTGACCCATCGTCAACAATGATGATTTCGTAGTTTCCTTGATAATGTTGTTCAAGGTACCCAGCAGCTTCACTCAACATTTTGCTCAATCTTTTTGTTTCATTGTAGCACGGTATAACAACGCTAATCTCCACCTGTGGTTTTCTTTCAAGACTAGTTGAGTCAATTCTAGTAGGCAATTCGTATGATGCGTTGGCATTGTCGTTGGTTTTGTAGTATGATTCGCTCGAAGTTGGTGGTCTTGGCTTGTGCGAAAATAATATCAACGTCACATATACCAAGACACATAGTACGGCAATCGTGGCACTAACATAGATTACGTACATGTTGGAGATTAGTTCTGGAGATCTCAGATATTCAGGGGGGAAATGCTTTTGATCACCTATCTGGATGGAAAAGTTGAAAAAAAAAAAAGAAAACAAAAATTAGTCGGCATTGCGTTTGACGCGAACTCGGAAGGAACTAGGAACCATGAACTTAGCATGCGGCGCAGAGTACAACCATTTGAAGGGTAAAGCGGCCACGGCACTTCAGGGCGCTCTCCTGTAGCTCAAACGTTTCGACACCTACAAAATAAACTTTTACAAGTAGAATAATACAATCTCAACAGATACTACACCACATACATAATAGTACATCATACAATCGACTGAGTTGTCTCCATCACAATGCTAACTTGGTTACCCGATTATTTATAACCCTTGCATTGTTCAAAAATATCTCAACCTCCTCCTCCAACCGATAAGTATCAGTTCCTTGTCTTACCTTGTCAATGCTTTGGAATATCGCCAGTGTGTCAGCTTCCATTTCCACTTCATACTTTGTCTCATGATTCACAACTTTCTTACCAGATTTATTCTTAAACTCGCGAGGTATCATTACTCGCGTAAGATCAAACTGAGTAATTGTTGGAGTGTGAGTAAATGACACCCGTTTCTTACCACGTTGCAATTGTGGTTGATTCTTTGACATTATTGCTTCAATATTACCCTCAGGAACAGGCACTTCTAATGAAAGCGAGAGGCGCAAGTCGTACATTGATTGAGGATTGTGGATGTACAAGTCAGCGATACGCTCTTTTTGTATGGCAGTATACCTAGGTGGATCAAGTAAGTTATCCTTTGATATCCTCACTTTTCGCAAATGTTCATTTTTGTTACCAAGTTGATAAAACGAATCTGTTTGATCAGATTCGAGCATATTGAATTTACGTTTGTCCTTGATACTTGGATTTGTCCTTCTCTCCTCTTGAAAACGTTTTTCCAATTCATCAAACATTTTACGTATATCATTCCAAGCAATTTCTTCGACCTCCATATCGAAACGGATATCCGATTCATTTGTATAGATACACTCGGTAATAACATTTAGGTTGATTCTATTCCCACTTCTTTTATCGATAATTTTCCCAAACTTCAACTCCAATTCGACATTTTTTCTATTCGAATCCTCAATGTTGGCGAAATTGGCGTATATCCACTCGGCCGTAGTACGTGTAATTGAAGAAGGTGGAATGACTCCAGTGATGCTGCATTGAAGATCAACGTAATTTGTTGTCGTGTTGTCAAAAACAGGTTTCAGTGAGATTCGTGTTCCAACGCCAACATTACCACTATCGTTAGGTACTCCATTACTAGCACAATCTGCACCACGCTCGTTCAGAGGAGTCCATCTTTGAGCCCATATTGGTGGTGTAGCATATCTCTTGGGCTTATTTGATTGTTTGATTTTTTTGATCTTTGTCAAATCATCATCGTTGGGATTCAACATGGGTACATTACTTGTCTTTCTCTCACCCGGTTCAAAAGTCAAACTTCTATGGTCCTCCTCTTCTTCACGTTTGACCGTGGGTGGTTCTTCAGGGTTGGTTAAATTGGCAATACTATTTCGTTTAGAAGTGTTGGGACTGGTTCGAGAACTGGAAATCGCACTGCTGCTACCGACGGCTACCGGTGGAGGTCGTTGTGTCAATACCGGAGAGCTCATTGCACTTGAGTTGAAAGGTTTTCGAAACTCTTTTGGAGGTTGCGTTTGTACCAGTGGCAGCGGCACTGGTTCTGTAGCCTTCACAAGTGCCGAATCTTTATCCTGTGTTGAGTCGTTCAACATGTTTGTAATTGAGTGTCTTTGATGCACGGATTGAGAAGATGAACGACTGGAAGGTTGCTGACGTGGTTGCTGTAGTTGCTGTCTTTGTTCTTGTTGTTGTTGCAATTGAGTTTCCGATGGCCGCAGCATGTCAGAAGCTGGCGACGATTGAGCCTTTTGAGTCGTTGACTGCGACCCACCTTGGGGCGGATCATCATTTAATATGGAGCCCACATTCATCGTGGGAGCCTGTATAGAATGTAACGATATGTTAAGATCTACCGCTAAACCAGATTTATTTTAAATTTGGGTACTTTTGATGATGTTTGACTTTAATTTGTTTTTTTTTTTTTCTTCCTTTTCGTATTAAATTTTCAAATGGTTTGTGGACCACTCTCGTAAAAGAATTCTTACAGGGTTCACACATTGATATCAAATACATATTTCTCTTCTACAAATAGAAACTCCTTACCTAAACTGTCTTAGATCTTTGAGCGGCCCAAGTTTCTGTTTAATCTGTCAGCTACAGCATCAATAAATTCCTCTGTAGTGACATAACTCGATCTATCAGTTTTTCCCTGAGCCAAAGCCAAATCCTTGGTCATTTTGTTATCCTTGAAAACAGTATCAATGACGGCTTTTTCCAAGTTGTTGGCGAAATCAACAACTTCTGGGGTATTATCCAACTTACCTCTTTGTATCAATCCTCTGGTCCATGCGTAAATTGATGCAATAGAGTTGGTGGATGTTTCCTTACCTTGTTGGTGTTGTCTGTAATGTCTAGTAACGGTACCATGAGCTGCTTCAGCTTCAAAAGCTTTTCCATCTGGTGTGGTCAAAACTGAAGTCATCAAACCCAAAGAACCAAAACCTTGAGCGACAATGTCCGATTGAACATCACCGTCATAGTTCTTCATAGCAATAATATATCCACCTTTAGATTTCAACATTTGTGCCACCATATCATCAATCAATCTGTGCTCGTACCAAATGCCCAACTTGTCCATCTCAGGTTTGAATTTAGTAGCATACAAGTTTTCAAAAATGTCCTTAAATCTACCATCATACTTCTTCAAAATGGTGTTCTTAGTAGATGAAAACAAATTCATTTTACGCTCAATTGCCAATCTGAAAGAGCTAAGAGCGAAATCAGTGATTGATTCGTCAGTGTTGTACATGGCCAAACCAACACCCGGTCCTTTGAAGTTATACACTGGGTATTCAATTGGTTCACCACCATCCTTTGGAGTGTAGACTAGTTTCAATTCACCTGCTTGAGGTACAACAATATCAGTGGCTTTGTATTGGTCACCAAATGCGTGTCTTCCAATAATAATTGGTTGCTCCCAAGAAGGGACAATTCTAGGAATGTTGTCAATGACAATTGGTTCTCTAAACACCGTACCTCCAAGAATGTTTCTCAAAGTACCATTTGGAGAATGCCACATTTTTTTCAAATTGAATTCCTTGACCCTTTGTTCATCAGGGGTAATGGTTGCGCATTTAACGCCAACACCATATTTTAAGATCGCTTCAGCTGCATCAGTTGTTACTTTATCATCTGTTTCATCCCTGTACTCGATACTTAAGTCGTAGTATTTCAAATCAACGTCCAAGTATGGAAAAATCAACTTGTCTTTGATGAATTGCCAGATGATTCTTGTCATTTCATCACCATCCATTTCGACAATGGGGTTCTTGACCTTAATTTTTTGTTGTGAGGACATGTTTACTGTTGTAGTATAGTTGGTGGCTGTTTCTGAAAGAAATTGGATGTGCAGTTTGTAGTTAGTTATATACACTTTGGTGTGGCGGGAAACTCCGAGACTTTTATACCGATGGGGTAAATTTTAAATATTGAAAGTCTGGAAAAAATAAAATAACAATTTGTTTAGTGGGAAAGGGCTCTCTATTCTCAAAATTGATCAACAACTCTAATAGTATCGAATGGTATTGAAAAAAAGTAAGCGCTTTGACTTGTGTGAATATATACGATGAAGTAAGGTAAATCGAAGGGGTAGAAATTGAGAAGAGTGAAAAGAAGAGAAAAAAAAAAAACTTTGCGACGGAATTTCAGAGTTGTTATATATATATACGCCCAATCTGAGGAACTATAAAGAATTAAAAATGCTTCAACATACATTCTTTACTTTACTTTGAACCTTTTTATGTATGCGATTCTGTTTATTTTTATGTGTAAAAGATTGTGTTGTGTGTCTATTGTATTTATGGCGCGATATGGGGGAAAGAAAAAATTTTTTGACTCCGAAACAGATCGTACCGAGCTAGAAAATTCTTCAACAGTTGAGATATGTGCGACACATGGGTGGTTCTATAGGAAAGTATAGTTTGTTTTCAACAATTTGAATAGGGGGTACCATGAGATTATTAGGTCAAATTTTTACTACCTACTTGCGTTAAATACCTGTGCATTCTAGGCTCCATCGGTATAGCTATAAAAACCTCGTCTTATAGTATTTAGCCGATATTTAAGAACAAAGAAAAAAAAAGAATCCTAAAATGGAAAAGGTGGGGAAGACTTTTTTTGCTTTGTGAACAGCAGAAAAAAAAATTCTGTTCTTCTTCTGGGGTTAGTCGTGTGTATGCGAGAGGGGGTGTCTACCCAACGGCCTACACAGTAACTGGTAGTGGAGATAACAAAGTATCTTGCCTTTCCCACAATCTATAAACCATAAGTCTAGAAAAGCGGATTTTAGCTAAGTTGTAAGATGTGATTGGCGTACAAAAGCTGCCACCCAACGGATCTTAATTCCGGGTGAGTTTTACCAATACTATCGTTTCCGATGAAACAAGAGATATTTCCGGGTTTGTTACTCTTTTTTTCCTTCAATTGAAGTGCGAGCACCAAAATTTTTTCTATAGAGGGCAATTTGTGAGTGTGGCTGTCAGACAAGGAATTTGACATTTTCCGTCTCGCTGATTGGATGGATATGTACCTTGTTGTATTCAAATCAAACCCCGATGAACCAGCTTCAATCACTACTTTACGTTTTGAATCACAATTTACTTCAACACAACTGATCAATTTGAGCAACACCCAGATCGTACCTCACGCGTGGCACTGATTGATAGTGCCACTGCAGAGTGCTCTACTTTACTCAACATTTAGACTGGCTAGTTGTTTTGCTGATTCTCCGACAAATATTACTGGATTTGTTGAGCATTTCCGATATGCTTAATTTGGTGAGTGGAGAGAAATTCACAAAATTGAGACTTTTGTGCCACTTTTGACTCCGAACAATTCCATACTCCGAGTTTTTCCTGAGAAGGCACAAACTCCCCAGATCTCATTAAATAGAAAATAGGGGGAACTCTTTGGTTGCGATCCCTCAAGGAAAAGTGAAAGTTTATAGGAAACAGGCAAGCTCTTCTGTCCAGTGGTTCACCATCAATAATCATCGAGACCGACCTTCTTTGTAGGCATTTAAATCGCCATACAAACGAAATTGGTAAACAAGAAAGTAAATCGCAGATTAAAATTAAGTACGAATACCAGTAAATCGAGCTGAGGTAACTAGCTCAAATCTCGGACAATTAGATGAAAGTGTATTAGTGGTTCAAAAACAATCCCTTTGAAACAAAGTCCGCAATACATCTAATATTAAATCTTACAAAATCGCTATCAAGAGTTCAAAACGATTTAATCTTAGCCCATTTGAATGCACCGACATTACAATTTACCTATCAAGGACTGTTTGTGCTCCCCAAGTCAGTCCTATTCGTTCAAATGTTTCTCATAAATGTCCACTCCCCCTTATCAAATGATGACGTAATGTATTCTATTTGTTTACTTTTTTTTTTTTGGTCCACTACTACATCAAAATGTAAACAACCTTATCAGCACCTTCACACCTCTCATATACACCGAAAAAATCATTGTGTTCAAACTTGTGAGCTGATTGGTTTCATTGCAAGATGCTCAATTCCCACACGCTTCACAATAAAGCACTGCATCACGGAAAGGATGATGTCCAAGATTACTCAACCCCACATCGTGCAAATTACTCTAACAACCAACAATCACCTCAAAAGGATAACGCACATCAATCATCGAATAGCTCAAACACCAAACCCAATCTCAAGACAGCTCGCTCTTTTGACCATCCCAAAATATCAATCAAGAATCAATCACATTCACTTAGACCTGTGAGTACGACTGTTCCCTCAACACCATTAATCCCCAAGCACCTCCTTCTGCCACGGAAGAAGTCGTCTTTAAATAGATTGAATATACGATCGCAGGTTTTCAAGAGGCAAAATTCACAAAGAAACGTTATCCATAGTCCACGGTTAGACCAGGAATCAAGTGAATTCGATATTGATAATGGCGATGATGAATTAACGTCACTTCTTACATCGAAAGCCAGTGAATCCATTATTTCAAACTTTTGCGATAACTTGATTGATCCTATGCATTCTTTACGAAACTATTACAATGACTTTACCACAATAGATTGGACGAAGGCATATCTCGAGGGAAATCGATTCAATTACTCGTTAGAGCAAAATGAATGGATTGGAGATGACAAGACAATTGACACAAACGATTGCTCGAACACTAAGCGAATTCCATTTTTGCAAAAGCAGTACTACATATTGGGCAAATGGATTTTAATTGTTCTTATTGGCTTATTTTTTTCATTTATTGCATTTATGATTGACAAGGTTGAGATTTTGCTAGTTGGGGTCAAGTACGGATACTGTAAAAGTAACTGGTTTGCAAGTCAGGTATCGTGTTGTGCTAATGGAATACAGCAAACAGCGAGCCATGGACTGTTAGCACCGTTCAATGAACCACAATGTCCAAATTGGGTCAGTTGGTCTCAATTGTGTCGTAGCTTGTACCTTGGAAGTGTGATACGATGGGATTTTATCGTCTATGTGATGTTGACTGCTGCTTTTGCCATTTCTGCATGTTTAATTACACTAACAACAAAGATAACCACTGGCATAGAAGAAAAGATTGAGAATGGTGAGCCCGACCAAAAAGCTCAATTCGAGCCACCACACACACAAATTAAGCCACGCGTAATATATACAGCTATGAGTTCGGGTGTACCCGAAGTTAAGATTATCCTTTCAGGATTTGTTATACGCCGATTCCTCGGTGTATATACTCTTTTCACCAAATCAGTGGCTTTGGTTTTGGCCATTGCCTCTGGCATGTCATTAGGTAAAGAAGGTCCATATGTTCATTTGGCAACATGTGTGGGTAATATCACATCGCGATATTTCCCATTCATTTATACCAATGATTTCTTTGAAAAACAGATATTGTCAGCTAGTGCATCAGCTGGTGTGGCATTAGCTTTTGGCTCACCATTAGGCGGTGTCTTGTTCATTTTAGAGGAGATTAACAATCATTTACCGAACCATCAGTTGTTTCAAGTGTTTTTTTGCGCAATTATTTCCACGTTGTTTTTGAAAATGTTGAATCCATATGGTACGGGCAAGACAGTATTGTTTGAACTCGAATACTATTCAGATTGGAAACCTATTGAATTGATCTTTTTTGTAATTCTTGGAATGGCAGGGGGGATCTTTGGTGCCTGTTTTGTCAAGTTCATCAATTGGTGGCCACGGGTGTTTCGTAAACACCGTATCATCAAGCAAAATCCAATTTTGGAAGTTGGGGTTATCGCAATAGTGACTGGATTGATCACATTTTGGAATCCATATACTAAGCAAGCATCATCGGAGTTGGTTTTAGATCTAGCCACTTCTTGTTCCGGAAGAGAGTTAGATCGATCGTTGTGTCCAACAACCAGCCAAGAGTATGTGCATGAATTATGGTCCCTATCGTTTGCCCTTCTAGTCAAGATAGGATTAACGTTTGTTACCTTTGGATTGAAAGTACCTTGTGGTATCTATGTCCCATCAATGGTTGTTGGTGCTCTATTTGGCCGGATATTTGCCATGATAATCCAAGGAATAAGTGTGTGGGCCAAAAATAGCGATACGGGTTTGGGTAATGGGGTCATGGCATTTGTTTTTGATTCACTTTCGTGTGGGTCAGGGTCCGCGCCGGGATCACCTTCGAAGAACTGTATCGATCTAGGTATCTATGCCATGATATCGGCCGGAGCTTTCATGGCCGGAGTAACACGAATGAACATAACTATTGTTGTCATTATGTTTGAGTTGACTTCTTCATACACCTATGTGCTACCCATTGCTATTGCCATCTCTGTTGCTAACTGGTCAGGCGGCTTGTTGGAAAAAAATTCAATTTATGAATCGGTATTGATCAATAACGACTACCCGTTTATGGCATCAGAAAACGAGCCAGTTGACCCCAGGGTTAGGGTAATAGACATTGTTGACGATGGTCTCATTTTTGCTCCCGAAAAGTCAAAGTCCTCCTCGTCCTCCGCACGGGACAAGAGTAACCACATTTACATTGATTTGACTCACCTGTGCTGGGTATCAACCACCGTTCTTGAAGAGAAACTTCACATTCTTGCCAATCACAGTCTTTTGGACGGATGTATTCCAATCATAAAGTGTGGAAACTGTGTTGGGCTCATATACTTTGCCGATTTAGAAATTTGTCTTGATCGCATCAATGCATACTTGGAAGAATGTGGGGTGACACAGCAAGATGTTGGTGAGATTTACTGTCGCTTGATTCATGAAAGCAATGGGACATCAACTCGTCAACTGAACATTATTGATCAAGACTACTTCACTTATGGATCTACAGCATTACTGGATGCGTCGCAGATGCTCGATGGATTAACGGATCTTACACCATATGTTGACACCCATCCTCTTTTCATCAGTGAGCATTCTCCATTGAGTTTTGCTAGCTTGATATTTGAGCGAATAGGAAATCGAGTCATTGTGTTGTTGAACAAGGACGACGGCTCGTGTTGCGGAGTGTTGCATAAAAAGGTTTTGGTTGATTACTTGCGTCGGGGCGAGTGTGGGGACGAATAGTATTACAAGAGATGAATAAACCGAGGAAATGATATCATTATGGTAGATTGTTGGATGTACACACCCTTCTATCTAAGCCATATCACCCATCTGGCTTCAATTTGCAACAGATATAAAGATCGGTAATCAATTGCTTACACAACTCCAACTGTAGCGGCAACGCCACGTAATTGATGCACTTGGCCAGATTTTCAACTCCATAATAGCTCAAAATTTCACTGTCAGGTGGGGTTACACATTGCGCAACTATTTTCAGCGACTCGATAGGATCGTATTGATACATTTCGTACAATTTCATATGGTGGTGGTAAAGTTCATAGCTGACAATAAGGTAATTTACAACTTCAATGAAGGTTGCATTGTGGTGCATATTGAACTTGAGAAACATCATCAATGAAAGTTGGTTCAAGGAGGTGTCAAGTGAAGGTTTGTTTTGGAAATATTGCAACAACAATTTAAAATATTGGAATATCAATGCACTATGTGTATCAACGATATAAGGTTCAAGTGATGATGAATATTGGGTTAAAATGTCAGTGAATCTGTGAGAAACTTGTTCTGCATCATCATTATGGATTTTCTTAACCTTGATTCGCAAGTAGTGCATAAAGTTGGAATTGTGAATCAACATCTGGGTTCGGTTCTTGGTACTCAGTAATTTCAAAAATCCTTGGTCTTGTTTATACAATATTTTTGACAAAACATAGAGAAACGTTTCCAAGCTTTGATGGTCTTGAAGTTTATCATTCAAATACAACTGGAAGTGAAAATCATCAACTAATCGATTCAACGTTGTTGTTGCGCCTAAATTCAATAACGTATGCAAAATGAACACTACCGAATCATCGGTGTGAGACCCACGCAAGTTCAAGTGTTTTCTAAACATGGTGACGAATTTTCCAAAGTAATGACTACCTACAGGAGTACTTGAGTTCTCCATTATTGTAATCACTGCGCTCAATACTGGCTCAAGTACGGATATATGCAACAACTGGTACTCTTGAGATGGGAAGAAATACAATTTGATCATCTCATCAAAAACGGAAATTTGTTGGGAACATAAATAGTCACTCAATTCAGGTGAGTTTTGACTCAACTTTATAAAGTTTTCCCAATTTGCAGTTTTAAATGTTTCTAGTTCATTAGTGAGGAAGTTTTCAATGATTTGTTGAATTGGGAGTAAGCTCACTCCGTGACGACATACTCCGCTAGCTGTAGTTGTTGAGAAAGTGACTTCACTTAACCAATCGGTCAAGATTTCGGTATGGGATTCACATATTTTCAACACTTCACTCACTAATCTGTTGATATAGGATAGTTGGTATGGAGCCAAGGAACTATGTGTAGTAAACGTTTTCAAGTGATTGCTCAAAACCTTGGCAATAGTTGACAAATATTCGTGACAATCATTGGTTCTGATATATGCAACCAATGTGTTTATAAAATATGTAGTTAGCTCAAACAAATGTTTGTCATTGCATATAACTGTGCTTAACTTAATGGGAAACTCGTGTTGTAGCAGGTGTGGTATAGTGGAGTTGTCAGTGCAAACCTGCAGTGCTCGTAACTCTCGTAATTTCTCAACCAATTCATCAGTTACTCCAATACGTTCTTTGATGGAGGAGTTAGGGATCGCAAACTAGGTAAGTCTGTTAGTATATTGCACTTGTTGGCGTAGCTTTCGACAATGTTGAAACATGACATACATTTTTATTGTATTCTTCAATTGGTCTTAATAATTTATCCAAATGGTGTTTGATAACAAAGCTGTCGTAGTTGAGCCTTTGTCTGGCACGTAACTCCTCTAGTTTTATGAATGTCATTAGAAGGGGTCGCTGCTATTGGAAGCGCAATTGTGAAACCTACTTTATTCTTGCAGTTGTAATGTACTCTGTTATGCTATGAAAGAAATTGCAAAAACAAAAAAATAAAAGAACGCAAATGAAAGTGCGTCTGTGTGTGTGTGTGTGGCTCTGTTGTTCCTGAAACAAATGCAATTTTGATTTTGTGTAAAGAGCGAAAAAAAACAACATGAAACCAACCACTTTTTCTATAAGCATTCCTCTCCCACTACTAATTATATTTTTTAAGGCAATTTGACACTGTTTACATACCGCCCAGCTTACAGTTTGTTTCATCACAAGGCCAAATTCAAACAAAGCTGGTACTCGTGCCTGTGCTATAAATTGAAAGCTATACCTTTCCCACATCATTGATTGATTTTCTCCTCCCCTTATATTACACGTATCGAGCAAGGAGGGGAAGCAACGGCCATGTACACTTACAACAAGTTTGGTTCAAGAGCATCCACAGCCACATCAGGAACCCAATCAACAAAGAAGACATCACCATCTTCACCAACTGCCACCACTACGAAGTCATCAAAACTCACCTCTTCAGAAAAAGTAAAGAAAGATGCTGCAAAGGCAGTTTTGCAACCCATAGATTACAACAACCACTACATCCATTCAGGTGAATACGCTACAAAATTCATTAGAAATGTAGTCAACCCACTTGACGGGTATCCCAAATTGAATAAATTACACGAGTTGAAGAAACAACAGGTTGCCAAGCATGCAACAAAAGCATTTGGTGTTCGTTGCCCCACTGATAAAATCGTTCCAACTTTAAATACTTGGATTCAAAAACACAACCTCAAATTTGATGTCATCATGATTGGTGCTTTGGTTGATAATCAGTTTATATTACCAGTTTTAAACAGCTTGCCCATTTACAAATTGTGTTCCAAACCAGGTTTCCTATTTATTTGGTCAACAACACAAAAAATTCAACAATTGACAAAATTGTTAAATAGCGACAATTTTAACAAGAGGTTTAGACGGTCAGAAGAGCTCATTTTTTTACCAATTAATGACAAGTCACCTTATTATCCGCATGTCGCTAACACAGCTAAAGAAAAATCGTTATTTGAAAAACAACAATGGCATTGTTGGATGTGTATCACTGGCACAGTTAGAAGATCAACCGACAACGACTTGATCCACTGCAATATCGACACCGACTTGCAGATTGAGAGCCCTTCAATCACTTCCAAGCATGGTCGAAATGCATGTCCTGTACAAATTTATCAAGTTGCTGAAAATTTTTCCAACTCGAATAGAAGATTGCATATAATTCCATCAAGATTGGGTCCTGAAACCCATGTCAAGTTACGGCCAGGATGGGTTATACTAGGTCCAGACGTATTGGTCAACAACTTTGATCCTGAAGCATACAATGATGAATTGCATGACAAATCAGTCATTAAGTATAAGCAAAATATTACTGGGGCAAGCACAAGTTTATCGGCTCAATTTTTGGTACCTCAAACAAACGAGATTGAGGAATTGAGACCAAAGAGTCCAATTATATCAGCTAAGTGAGTTGGTTAGTATTTAATTGGTAATGCATAATTTATTCCATCCAAGTTCTGTTCAGATATTTTGATGAATGTTTTAGGAACTATTTATCAGCATTGTAGACTCTGAGTGAGCTGAGTAAGGTTTTCATCATGAACAAAGATGGAACAAAAGTAAAAAGGTTTCGACATACTTGTTCATAAGCTGGATTGTTTATTGCTTGATACGAAGATGTAATGTGTTTGGAAAAAATTTTATTCGTTGAAAGCTTAACTTTTCTCGCGTGTCAGATTATCCAAGTGAGGCACTATCATACTGTTGTAAAAAGACTGGCATTAAATTTACTTAGTGATATATATATATAAACAAATAGGTAAAAAGATACTATACACGTACAAGACGGGGAAAAACTGCCAAAGAATGTCATAAACATAGATATTAAGAAGAATTATTGGGAAAATTAAAAAAAAAAAAAAAAGGGCAGGATCTGCAGTTCTCCTTTTTTTCCAAACTAAACAAACAAGAGTGCAACAAGATAGCCCAACGATGCACCAGCAGCCAAACCAACAGCGGCATTAGTTGCAGTAGCAGGGGACTCAGTTGGAGTCACAGTAGCAGTTCCTGTCCCCGTTTGATTAGTTTGCGTAGTAGTTTCATTGTGCCCAGTATGCGCTTGCTCAGTAGTTGTGGTATTGGCTTGTCCTCCAGCCCCTCCACCAGCTCCACCAGCTCCCTCTGTTCCAGTTGTAGCCTCGGTAGTAACAGTCACAGTGTTTTGATCATCAGTGTCGGTACCGGTTCCGGTTCCCGTGCCAGTACCTGTATTGGTATCAGTCACAGTTGTTATTTCTCCACCACCTTCTCCCCCTTGAGTTGGAGTCACGATAACGCCAGTAGGCGACTGTGGGGTTTGATTCGGTGTTGGTTGCTGTTGCTCTCCTCCAGGTGATGGCTCATCTGGATTGATGATAGTTGTGGTGAAACCAACAACGACGGTACTTCCTTGTGCGGCAATAGTAGCCGTGGTTAAAGCGATTGGTATTAATGATGAAAACTTCATTCTGGGAGATAAGCAATACTTTTGTAGTGGAAAAGAAGTAACTGAGATCTCATTATTTTACAAGGTGTTTTCTTTACTGATTTATATAATCCAGGTTGACTAGACACTGCTTTGGTCAAAGCTTTGATTGCTATATGGTAAAGGAAATTATAAGGGATTCAGCGAATTCGCATAAAATTGCAGCCAAAAGTTAAAGGAAAAACATGATTTTCTTATTTGTTTGATCTCGCTGCATTTTGCAGCAACCTACCACGAGTTACATTCTCCTTCCACAGACATCCCTATTTTAATATAAAGGATCGCATCGACGAGCCTACATAGAGAATGTGTAATAGCAAAATTAACCCAAATAAAAACCTATAATTATTATTATCTCACTATGAACACTTTTTAAATCTATAATAAAGCAACAGCAGCAACGTAAGCCAAAGCACCAACACTCAAATAACTAGCACCAGCACTAGCAGATGATGAGTCTGAAGAGCCACCACTTGATCCTGATGAGGAGGACTCACCTGAACTAGAGGACTTGCTGCTTCCACCACTACTTTGTGTGTGGCTTCCAGTGCTAGCAATGCCTAAGCCCGACTCACCTGATTCTTCTCCTCCCAAACCACCACTTGAACCGGTTTCATCAGAATCTGATTCAGTTTCAGTTGCGCCAGATCCACCATCAGTCTCTTCTGCACCAGTCTCGTCTGCACCAGTCTCGTCAGCACCAGTCTCGTCAGCACCGGTTTCTTCAGCACCACCAGCAGTGTCTGTTTCATCATCTTCTCCAGTAAGACCACTTTCAGCTGCAGCACCTTCAGTCTCTAAAGCATCACCAGCAGAGCCAGCTCCTGAGGTGGCAGCACCAGCAGCGGAAGCTCCTCCCGAAGTTGCAGCACCAGCAGCGGAAGCTCCTCCCGAAGTTGCAGCACCAGCAGCGGAAGCTCCCCCTGAAGTGGCAGCGCCAGCAATAGAGGCGGCACCGGAAGTAGCAGTTCCCGCAGCACCAGCAGCACCTGAAGTTGCAGCATCAGCAACAGATGCAGCGCCTGAGGCAACATCAGCAGCCAAAACATTCTTTTGTTGAACCACATCGTTATGTGCGGCAATTGCCAATGGAACCAATGGTAGTATAGCGGAGTATTTCATTATAGTGATGATCTTGTTTAAAAATTGTATATGATGAGTAAAGTCTTGCTTATGGCTCAAACGATTCATTCACCTCGATGTTGAGGAAATTAGCAACCCTTTATATATTACATCTGGAAGGCTGTGGTCTCTAGAGTACCAAACACGAAACCAAAGTCTGTAACCAAAGCTTATTGTTCTCGAGACTGAACGTTTGTTTATTGGATTGGTAACGTCATAAGTGCCACATTAATGCGATATATGGCTGTGTGGAGGCAAATGGCGACAAAAATGATTATTTTTGTGCATTGTTCTCTCGAAAGGGGCACGCTAATATCATGACGCAAACACTGGAGAACAATAATAGATCAAACCTGAACAAATCAGGTGTACATACGCACAGTGGCTGTGAGGTGAGGAGAGAGAGAGATTATTACACAGTTTCATTATGTAATGGTTCTTTTTTTACCAATACACGAAAAAAAAAAGTGGTAGTCGCCTATTGTTCCAATTTCCGCTTTTTAATTTTTGTTTACATTTCGAACTTAATGGGTAAATTATGCTGGTTGTTCATAAAATGTAATACTCACATAGCCTTCTGTTCACGTGTGTATAAGTCATATATTTGTACTTTATATTGACGCGCTCTCTCCAACTTTCGTTATAGCTCAGTCATCTTTGTATGGTTTGTGTACCTCGTCGACAAGAAAAAAAAAAGTGGTTGCCAAGTTTGGTACCTGAATGAACCAATATCTCAGTTGTTATTGTCGCAAACCCAAAAATCGCAAGACCATGTCATCAAGTACCAAGAATAACACGCCATCCCTGATGAGTTCTTACACGACGAATAGGTAAAGTTTCGGTAGTGCACATTTGTAAAGATTTACAGTCACACGACCTTTGGCAAATATGAAGAATAGTGCATACACTATATACAGTACACGCAGTGACGTGAAACAATGCTTTACGTTTACACTTTCTAAAATTATCATCTATGAAAAGCTTCCCATTGAGTAGTCGCGGATTTAGACTCGAGTTCGCCTTAAGAGTCCGCATGGGAGTGCTTTGAAGAACCAATCTCATTACATGGGGCATTTCACGTACTATTAACAATGTCGTATGTGGTTAAGATGCGACTTTTTCGACACTGCACGTGTAGCGCGAAAGAGAAGCATCTAGAAATTGCGCTGGATAATAGGAGCAGCAAAATATCACAAAGTATATCAAGTGCACACCAACAACAGCATCAAATCAAGTTATGGATAAGTTGTATGCCAAGGTATGAATAGTAAAAAACATGCCCTTGATTCTGATAGTGATGATGATAGCGACAATGGAGGAATTGTCGATAGGTCTGGGAAACGTATAAAATTGGACACATTATTTGACGGTTTGAAATTGAATGATGACAAGTCAGCTAACTCCACAGTAAAAAGCAAGAAGAGTGAGTATGTACTACCAAATTTCAAGACCCCTTTCGGTGGTGGGATATTCAAGACCAAATCTGCTCCTCGAACCTATACTTCATCACAACTCGACTCATACGTAAATGAAAGAATTGTCAATCATTTTCAGAACATTATTACATCTGGGTTGAAAGTCATATCATGGTACGATTACCGATTTCTCGTTCTATATCGCTTACAGAGGTGGCTTGTCAAGCTATTCAATCGATTCATAAAGAAATATAATGCTAAAAATAATTCATCTATTAGGGCATTCAAAAGTCACGAGCAAATTCTTCAATTGGTACGAGATGGGCTTATGTCATGGACCGACTTGGGAAACATTATCAATGAGGAAAACAAGTTGGAAAGTAAACGACTTTTGTTGAAGGAGGAGAAGCGGCAGGCAAAGCAAAACACTAAAAAAATTGAGGAAGAGACTGAAGCTTATAGAGATTTGGGATACAATTATTGGGATAATTTGAAATTCGATAAAGATTTGGACATGCTCGATGCTGATGAGATGGATGGGCCAAGATTCGAACAAGTCCCGGAAGAGGGTGATGTAGCTATGGGCGATGAGGATATAAACTCAAACGGTGTGGAAGCGAATTATGGATCATATTATCAGAAGGTGTGATGGATGAACTAAACTGATCAACAAATGGAGCTTCTTCCTTGTCTCAATTTGGATTCTGTTCAATAGTTTTCCTTTTGAGTGTCATATTACTCGTATCTATATAGAATAGCTAGAAATACAATGTAATAGTCATATTCATATACCCTGAAACATGTAAACATTTTCATTCTTTGCAGTTTTGTGATTTTCCAGGCTGAATCTGAGAATGTCGGAGGCGGCCCATTTGAAAATTGAAGAAAAGTTTTTTTCCCCTTTAGGTCATCAAATCCATCAAGAAAGTACTTTTTTTTTCCCTTTACTTGTTATCAGTGAAAGAAGTCACCAACATAGTAGCCACCACCACAGTTTTTGCTTTCATATCATGTCTTCCATATTCAAACTACCTAATGAGGTCGTTCTCCGCATACTTAAAAGCCTCAACACTGAAAAAGTCACTGAGTTGGTTCATTACTTCAAAAACATTGAGTCAGCACTGCCAATCATGGTTTTGCTTTACCAACGTTTATTTGGTGGTGTGCTTTTGATACTGAACGGTGCACCCCGTGTTGACTCTAGAGCAGATTTTGGGCTTACTATTAGTGCATTCGAGGACAAGATGGTGAATGATGGTTCTTTTGAAGGTAAATTGTTTCAACACGTACGTCCGAAATTGATTGAGTTTAAATTTACCAGACAAACCAGTGACTACCATCAATTCATCAGTGACCTAAACGGACTTCTTCGTCTTCTTGAGTCCAATGATCTGAATATATGCAGTTACTTTGAACATGCGCAACAAATCAACATCCATATTGATGCTCATTTGGTATTTATTGAAAACCCCGATTCCCTTAATTCAATCATTATCAAGCTACTATTGGAGCTAAGTCGACACAATTTGACGCAAAAGATTAACAAATTTACAATAAAATCAAGTGAAATTGGTAGTCTTTATGTTGCTCATTGGTCAAAGCTTTTCCAATACTTTAGCTCATTAAACACACTTGATCTTTCAGAGAATCTAATACGAAGCAATCACGAGCATTTCTTGGATGTGTGGGGTATGCTGAAGAAGTTCCCCAGTAATTTAACCACGTTGAATATGAATAATAACATGTTGACTTATATTTCAAAGGATTTTATTTACAATCTACCACCAAGTCTAGAAGTTTTGTTGATGAATCAAAACGAAGTTGAAATTGTCGAGCCGTGTGACTTACTGGAGCCATTGCCTAATTTGAAGAATTGGAGTTTGAATTATACCAAATTGTGTGTGCTTAGTCCTATTATGTTCAAAAATTGTGGCAAAGATTTTGTGTTGGGAATAAAGTCAACTTATCTACCAGAAAGTGATTTGATCAAATTGCAAGCGATTGCAAAGAGTCGTGGGTTCAAGATTCTTTTATAGAGAGGGGGTGTTGTAGGGGAAATATTGGGAAAAGATTCAATTACGGCTTTTTCTGCAGAAACTATAGTCTACAAAGTGTTTGAAGTATAGATACAGAAACATTCTAATACATTCCTTACTGTAAGCTTGTAATAGGTTTATCACAATCTTGTTTGTGAATGCTTTTGCCTCAATTACTTATCGCCCAACATAATTTCGGAATATTGTGCACGATTTTTTTTTAATTTTTTTCAATCTACTTCGGGTCCACCGAGTCGGCAAACATCACATAACATAAATGATTTTACTGAGGCGGTTGTTGCTTGGTGTGATAGCAAAAGCTCCTCGAATGAGGGCAATTGCTCCATTAGTGACTCATCACCTTCCACGACCTATTATCGGGACACAAAGGTCCTTTGTATTACACCAAATACGACTAAATTCAACTAGCCAAAATGGGGAGCAGCATAGATTGGACAATAGTTCGCCGACAACTACACAGACAGGTACTTCTGCCGACCAATCTGTCAAAAGTGATAAAGCTCCCCGATCCTCATTGTTTAGGGATTTACTTAAATTGATTAAATTGGCCAAACCAGAGTCTAAATTGATTATGTTTGCATTGTTATGTTTGGCAATATCGTCAGCAACAACCATGTCTTTACCATTAGTCATTGGGAAAATTATAGATACTGCAAAACCATTGGACGATGATGACGACAAGAAAGAAAAGGGAGAAGATTCGGACAACAAGCAGTTGATTTTTGGATTGACACCTACACTGTTTTATTCCGCATTGGCAGTTATATTTGTTATTGGATCGAGCGCAAATTTTGGTCGAATATACCTATTAAGGTCAGTGGGTGAAAAGCTAGTTGCAAGATTGAGATGCCGATTATTTTCCAAAATCTTGGCTCAAGATGCGTATTTCTTTGACATTGGTCCCACAAAACTGGGCATGAAGACTGGTGATTTGATTTCGCGAATTGCAAGCGATACACAAATTATCTCCAAAAGCTTGAGTATGAATATCAGTGATGGGATGAGAAGTATCATCAGTGGAGTTGTGGGGTTATCAATGATGTTTTATGTGTCATGGAAATTGACTTTGTGCATGAGTTTGTTGTTTCCGCCTTTAATTGCAATGTCGTTTTTTTACGGAAGACGGATCAAGTCATTGTCAAGGTTGATTCAAGAGAATATAGGTGCATTGACGAAAGTCACCGAGGAGAAGTTGAATGGTGTTAAAGTGATTCAATCATTTGCACAGCAGCAATCAGTGGTGCATGGGTATAATAAAGAAATCAAAAACATATACAACAGTTCATTACGAGAGGGCAAGTTATCGGGAATTTATTTTTCAGTGAATGGGTTTCTTGGGAACATTACCATGATTGGGTTGTTGGTAATCGGTACTAAACTTATAGGTATGAATGAGCTAACCATTGGTGACTTGTCGAGCTTTATGATGTATGCTGTCTATACAGGCTCGTCGGTATTTGGATTGGGAAATTTCTATACAGAATTGATGAAGGGTTTGGGAGCAGCTGAAAGAGTGTTTGAGTTGGTCGAATATCAGCCAAAAATCTCCAACAATATAGGAAAGAAGCAAAAGCTTAATGGAGATATAGTTATCAAAGATGTGGATTTTACTTACCCATCGAGACCTGATGTTATATTTAAAAATTTGAACTTGCATATCAAGGAAGGGGAGAATGTGTGTTTGGTTGGACCGTCAGGGAGTGGGAAGTCCACCATTAGTCAATTGTTATTGCGATTCTATGATCCAAACAAGGGCCTGATCACTATAGGAGCTGAATCACCGGTTGAAATCAAAGACTTGAATTTGAACGATTACCGAAGACAGCTTGGTTATGTGCAACAAGAGCCATTATTATTTAGCGGTACTGTGAGGGATAATACAATTTTTGGCAAGCAAAATGCTACAGATGAAGAAATAGAAAGGGCATTGGAACTCAGCCATTCAGTAGCATTTGTTAGGAACTTGCCTGATGGTTTGGACACCAAGATAGGTGCTTCTACTTCAACTCAATTAAGTGGAGGACAAAAGCAGAGAATCTCATTGGCCAGAACTTTAATCAAAGAACCCAAGATTCTCATTTTAGACGAAGCCACTTCAGCTTTGGACACCATTAGTGAGGAGCAAGTAATGAAAAATTTGTTGGGATTAAATCGGGAAAAGGGAGTCACAATTATTTCCATTGCCCATAGATTGTCAACAATCAAAAACAGTGATAGAATAGTCGTGCTTAATGAACATGGTTCAATTGTTGAAGATGGCGATTTCGCCACATTACACAATAACCGTAATAGCCATTTCAACAAGTTGTTGAAATCAAACAAACTCGAGTGACTGAAACTTGAGGGGGGATTTTGTATATAGATAGAAAATCTTTACATAGAAATCATCGCGAAGAACTCCGCATAATAGTGTTGTTGTGGTCTATTTGTAGTGAGGTAATGGTACCATTCGCCATTGATCTATGAGTTCATTCTTCTCCTCTACCCCTTGAAGATCTACTAGGTGCGGAATGATCAACAGCGCGATAGGCGATTGCGGGGGTTTTGTGGAACAACATTTACACTTTCGTAAAATTTCTTAACTCCGGTTCACCTGCTAGTATTTAAAGAACGGGGAAAAAAAATATAAGCTCACTATATCCGCTGCACAAAGTACTGCAACCTTAAAGTCTGTCTGCGAGCGGACCTTACAAATCTCATATATTACAGCTACAGCTGGATCAGAACTAAAGCATGCTTTAGAGCAAACATTTTGTTTGCTAAAAATAGTTAGGCTATATTCAAACGCTTTATCCGTTCGCCGCGAAAAGTAACTAATTTCGATATGCAAAGAAAATCATCGCCGACTGTGCAGCAACGATCAAACCATTGCTGTAGAACTAAAAAAAAAACAAAAAAGAGTGAGTCAAAATGTGGTATGCATGCATCATGTGTTGTTGGTCACACTCGAGACTCAGGTACCTTCGAGCTAAGCTATACCATTTGTAACAAGTTAGCAACTTTCATATATTCTTTTTGCCTATTGCCCCCCCGGATAAAATGGCAAACTTCAACGTATAAACAACACAAAACCCTTTAATTTTTTGCTTTTGCTTTTTTGAAATTCCATTGCTTCTATAAGACTGCTTGACTGCGATTCTTTTTTTCTTTAGCATATCCTTTTCCTTCAACACATCTTCTAGTCACATATATCTATTCCATATCAACCAAGTTTACCATATTAATCACTAAAGACTAGCGGCATTACTTGCTTCTCTGTATAACTACAGAAAAGATTTTATATATTCGTGTACAATCAATAACTTCAATCATGACCCTAAGAGATAAACTTCTGTCAATTACACATTCAATCGATGACACACTAAGCTTGCGAGGTGATTCGCCGGAGAAAGACGAACACCACGATAAGCATCATACTGATGATGCACTGCTAAAAAAGACAAGGGAAACTGCAACAAGACGTGATCTGGGTTTTGGCGAAGGCAAAAGCAAGAATGAGATGACAACGAGCCAAGATGAGCTGGGGAACGGTCCCAAACACGAAAAGCGAAAAGCTGAGAATCACACGTGTGGTCGTGCTAAGGAACTGACTGAGGAGTCGCATACGAATTCTGAGTTGAAGCAATCTGCACCCCGTCGCAGTGATACTCAAGAATCAGAGGAGGATTGTGCCATGCCATCTGGTGACATGAATGCAAACTTCTTTTCCACATTGATGAACAACACCACTCTCAGTTCTGGATTTGGATCGTTGCGCAATTTGAAAACTTCTGCAATGGAAAACTTTTTGAAAGGAAAAAAGGATGGCATAGACGAAGATAACCACAGAAATCACCATCACCATCATCAACAACAACAACACCAACACCTGAAACATTTGCATCCAGGAAAAGTCTCCAGCTCGACAACGAGTGGTGCATCACTGCCAATTCATAGTACACCTAATTCACGTCCAGCAAGTCCTCAACCTGTCCACAATCCTCACCACTCAAATGTCAATGCCGATGAAAGTAGTCACAAAACACTACCTCATGACATAACTAGTGGTGAAAACTCATCTACGGACGAGTCAAGTGACGAGGAGGAAGAGTTTGAAGCTTCTCGGTTAGCTGAACCTGGCGTACCAAGGAAGGAAGCTGATGAAACTTTTCTCGCAAGAGCAGAAAATCCTCCATCAGCAACACCAATGGATCTGGAGGTGACCTCTTACTCAACCTTGAACAATGATGCCTCCGCCCAAGAAGAGCCCCTCACAGATGGCGATACCCTTGCCAGTTTTAGGAAAAATACCATTATTCTTGAAGACGGGGGAAACCAGGGATTGACCAACGATCAAATTGAACATTTGACACCATTCCAGAAATCGGTTATTGAAAAATTGGACCCGCATCATATCAAGGAAGGAGTTTTAGTTAAAGTGCGTAACCGGCAAGATGAGCCTGGGGATGGTGGCAAGTTAAGTGCCACGAGGAAGTTGCTACGTTACAAGATTGCAGAGAGGTTGACACAAACCTTTGAATTGAGCCCAGATGACATATTCCGTGGAAACTTTAATGCCTGGTTAGTCAAAGATGTGATTCTACAAGGGCATATTTATTTGACGGAAAAGGCCTTGGTTTATTTCGCTTTTCTACCCCGGAGATACAGCATTGAAGAGTCCGCTGATCCAAGAAACTTTGACGATTCAGCTACGGTGGTTCATAGTGGAGCATTGGGTATGAAGACGGCAAAGTATGGGGACTCCAAATTCCAAACGGTATTAACCCACAGATATTGGGCAATTCTTCGTACGGAAACATTGACAATTTACAGTTCATTCACAGATTTATACTTTCCTCTCAAGGTTATTGATTTGAGGACTTGTTTGTACGCTGAGATAGCCACCAAGGAGAAAATCAAAGATGTAACCTCGCCGATACTGAGAGGCTCACAAACTCCATCAGCCATCCGTAGTGGATACACATCTGGTCAAATTACACCACCCATTATACTGGAAACAGCATCTGATCTCGATTCTATGCTCTCACAAGAAGGATTCGAGGCTACTGAAGATAATGTCGAAGCTAGAAGCTCCTCCGTGTGGATCAATTTGGTTGCAAAGAAAAAAACATATCGATTTCAATGTGACAATTTGCATTCGGCAAGACAATGGTGCAATACTTTGACAAAACTGATTTTCCAACTTCGTAATGCCACCACCACTGGGGATGTGTTTGTGAAAATTCCTATTGCAAATATTGTCGACTTTAGACGTCGTACCCTTTTCGAAGAGGAAGACGGTATCATTGATGAGGCAGAAAATGATATACCTTTGAGTTTTAGCATCAAATATGTAACTAACAATCCTCAGGAAAAGAAGAAGCGGGATAAGATAAAGGATAAATTCAAGCACGCTGAAGAAGAGATTTATCTTTTGGTTCCAAAGAGTGGTCTCGATTTTTTCAAGACTTTTGAGGATGTGATGCAAAAGCAGGCAACAAGAGTTCAAGAAGGGCACAAGATGTTTGGTTCCAAAAAACCAGAATTGGAAAAGACATTTACGTCGTTATCACCATCAGTAAACAGGGTGGTTCAAAACTTGATAAATTCGAATTTGCCGGAGGAGTCACGCGAAAACACATCAGCTTTTAAAAAGTTTGGTATTTCCTTCGGGTTACCTTTCAAGGACGAAATTACCCCAACATTCAACCTTCCTGAGGTGGAGCTTGAGCAGGATCATCTCTCATTTCCACGCGCAATGTCTGAGAATGTATTCAAAGATTTAGACATTACGTTTGAGTCCACGTTCAAAAACTTGAAAGATGCTTCAGACAGATGGGATAGCGATTATCAGAAAACAATCAATGCCATAGACAATCTTCCGATTCCGTCGCTTCGATTAGATCAAAAGGATACTAGAAAGCGAGGTTTTGGTAAGAACATTAAGTTGTTTTCCAATATGACAGCAAAGTTTTCTGCATCTCCCATCCATTATACTATCGAGGATAAATACTATGTCTCAGAATCAAAAGAACGTGAAGAAGCTTTACAACATTTCCAAGAGCACTTTTCATTGTATAATTCGAGGTTGGTTGCGTCCTATTATTGTCATTTGATAAGAACGGTTCCAGTTTACGGTAAGTTGTACGTTGCTGAGCATGATATTTGTTTCAGAAGCTTGCTTCCAGGTGTGTCTACCAAGATGATCCTTCCGTTGACAAACATCGATGGTATTGAACCAGTTAGTGGAAAAATATATGCGGGAACAAAACTCACTTTACAAGGGGCGGAAGAATTGAATTTGGAATTTGCATTTGCCAAGTCTCGTGACGATTTCACAAATGTTGCTTGGGAGTTGTTGGACAAACTTCACGCTAATGAAAGTTTCCACCCAAAACCACATGAATGGGGTCCCAACCATAATTTGGAGTTGTCAAAAACACGAATGGAGTATACAGACTCTGAAAGAAGAAGACTTGATGACAGAGACAATCATCGTGATTTGGAGATTGCCGAGCTGAAGGTGAGTCTCGCAAGGATCAAGATGTTTGAAGATCGTTTGACTTCGGCATCTGGGTTGGACATTCCAATCGTATTAGAAGATTCACCGTTTTTCAAAACCGAAATGAAACCTTCAACATCGTACAATATTACCCTTCTTACCATTGGATCACGAGGTGATGTTCAACCTTATATTGCCTTGGCGTTGGGATTGCAAAAGGAAGGGCACACAGTTACAATAGCTACACATGGCGAATTTAAAGATTGGATAGAGAAAGACCATCACATAAAGTTTAAAGAAATTGCTGGAAATCCAAGTGAGTTGATGTCATTCATGGTTGGGCATAGTACATTATCGGTTACGTTTTTAAAGGATGCACAAGCTAAATTCAAGGATTGGATTTCGAAATTGTTGACCACCAGTTGGCAGGCTTGTCAAGGAGCTGATCTTTTAATTGAGAGCCCTTCTGCAATGGCTGGAATACACATTGCCGAAGCTTTAGTGATTCCTTATTTTAGAGCATTCACAATGCCATGGACCAGAACAAGGGCATACCCGCAAGCGTTTTTGGTGCCTGATCAAAAGAGAGGTGGGTCATACAACTACATGACCCATGTCTTATTTGATAATGTCTTCTGGAAAGGAATCCTGGCCCAAGTGAACAAATGGCGTGTTAGAGAATTGGATTTACCGAAAACAAATTTGTATCGAATGCTGCAAACAAAAGTACCGTTTTTATATAACGTATCCCCATGTGTGTTACCACCAGCAAATGATTTCCCTGATTGGGTCAAGGTTACCGGATATTGGTTTTTGGATGAAGGTGGAAAAGACTATAAACCTAAGAAGGATTTGGTTAACTTTATCGATCAGGCAGCCAAGGATGAGAAAAAGATTGTATACATTGGATTCGGATCTATTGTTGTGAAGGATGCAGCATCATTGACCAGAGCGGTGGTTGAGGCTGTTCTTGAAGCTGATGTTAGGTGTATTTTGAACAAAGGATGGTCTGACCGAGGAAGCCACAAAGACAAGAATCAAATGGAAGTAGAATTACCTCCCGAAGTATTCAATGCCGGCTCTGTTCCTCATGATTGGTTGTTGCCTAAAGTTGATGCCGCTGTGCACCACGGCGGGTCTGGTACCACTGGTGCTGCGTTGAAAGCTGGATGTCCTAGTATCATTAAACCCTTCTTCGGTGACCAGTTTTTTTATGCGAGAAGGATTGAGGATATGGGTGCTGGGTTAGCATTGAAGAAGTTGACAGCAAAATCATTGGCAAAAGCACTCGTCACTGTAACTGAAGATTTAAAAATTATTGAAAAGACAAAGAGTGTGAGTAACCAAATCAACCACGAGTACGGTGTCTTAACTGCTATTGAGGCAATATACTCTGACATGGAGTATGCACGAAGCTTGATCTGGGCTAAAGAATTGCATAATGCCAATTACAAACGTCATCATCCTGATTTCAAGGCTCAATCCGGTTTGCAAACAGCTGAGGTGTCTGAAGACGAATCGGAGAGCGAGTATGACAGTGACAGTACTAGTGATGAAGAGGATGCCGATGGGGATTTGACGGAACGTGAAGATGATGAGAGGAAAAAGCACGAGCTGAATCTTAAAGGAAAGCGCTAGGAACAGAAAGAACTTCAATCATATGTACATTAGCATTAGAGTTAGAATTTGTTTAAAGAGATATTGAGTTTGTATTATTCAGCAGCAATTAGTGTAGGCATTGTCTATTGGATCTCTTCCAGATAGGGGTCCTCCCCATTCGGCAACTCTTTTGCCGGGTTTATTTATTATTTTTGGTTAAATCCTATCACGTGAAATTTGGCTATCATGAGTGAGTAATAAACTGGAGAAAGGAAGATCAAAATTTCATGGTTATTGTCCATCAAAAAATACGACCAACTGCCTAAAAGCACATTGTTGTTATTCATTGTATCTCATTTGTGATCCACTGCGTATTTATAAAGCTTTACAATAAAATCTACGGAAACATATTTCTTCATCGTACAACATTTCAACTCACAAAAATTTTGGCATCCACAGTTTTTTGCCTTTTTTTTTTTTTTGCTTTTTTTGTTCACCCCATCAAATCAACAGTTGTGCTGTGTGAAAAGATCCAAGTCACCATCTGACCCTAAAGTGTTACTGCATTGGACAATTCAGATCCTTTCGAACATCGATACCAAGCGTTCCCTATAAAAGAATAACCAAGTACCTGCTTTTTGCCATCATGACAAACGTTTACAAAGATATCACGGAAGAACAACGAGCAACGAACTCATATGCAGCTCTTGTGCCAGGTCAGACTATAGTTGAAATACCAGAATACACACTAGAATGTGGAGAGACATTGTATAACTTCCCCGTCGCGTACAAGACGTGGGGTCGATTGAACAAACGAGGCAACAACACATTACTAATATGTCATGCATTGACGGGGTCATCGGATGTACAAGATTGGTGGGGTCCATTATTAGGCACAGACAAGACGTTTGACCCATCGCGGTTTTTCATTGTTTGCATCAACTTTTTGGGATCACCTTATGGATCATGCTCGCCAGTCACGATTGACAAGTCCATTGGCAAACCATACGGACCAAATTTCCCCTTAGTTACAGCAAAGGATGACTTGGGTATACAAAAATTGATCTTGGACTCTTTACAAGTGAAGCGGATTGCTTGTGTGATTGGAGGTTCAATGGGTGGTATGTTGGCAATGGAATATTCCAGTACTTATAATAACTCTGATTACGTGAAAACAGTAATTGCGTTAGCCACTTCAGCCAGAGCTTCCGCATGGTGTATTTCATGGAATGAGACTCAACGTCAATGTATTTTCAGTGATCCATATTATGATGATGGCTACTATTATGAAAACAAGTTAGGCTTGAAACCTGACTCGGGGTTGAGTGCTGCTAGAATGGCGGCGCTACTTACTTATAGATCACGAAATTCATTTGAAACCAGATTTGGAAGAAAATTGGGCAAGTCCTTGAATAGCAAAGGAGACGACGAAATTGATGAATCTGGTAAAGTATATCCAAAGACAAAAGATGAAGAACACTGGCTCTTGCATAATGAAGGATCGCAACTGACTAATGGTCAACGTACAAACAAGGACAAGAAGCTACCTACATACTTCACAGCGCAATCATACTTGCGATATCAGGGCCAAAAATTTATCAAGAGATTTGATGCCAATTGTTATATTTCTATAACCAGAAAATTGGACACGCATGACATTACTCGTGGAATAGTTGATACTATCACTAATGAAGATCCTTTGCCTCAGTATTTGCAAACTTTGAAAAAGCCTCATTTGATAATAGGTATTGAATCGGATGGCTTATTCACTTATGGAGAACAAAAACTATTGGGTGAAAATATCCCAAATTCAATATTGAAAAAATTGGATTCACCTGAGGGACATGATGCATTCTTGCTTGAGTTTGAAATCATCAACGAATACTGTTTAGATTTCTTGAAAAAGAACCTACCAGAAATGTTTAGTGATGATGTGGAGTTGTTTGAAGACTGGGCTAGTTATGTACAAGATGTTGATAATGGAGGTAATTCTGTGTTTGGTGAAGCAGAGAAGAATATCACAAACTGGTAAACTTCATTTGTGTCAAGTGATTAATGTATAGAGACTGGGAAATGTAGTAGAATTGAATGATCCATTTTTCGTGTAGAGCGTAGTTTTAATTTTTCTTTTATTTTTTTGCAACAAAATTATTGTAAAAAGACCACCGGCTGAGGAGAAGAAGTCAAAAAAACAAGCCTATATGGTCATGCAATTATGGGAAGGCATAGGGGGTATTCAATGACAGATGAGACAAGCATTAGAATGCATTAAATGTGTGGCTACTCACCTGCAAATTTGACGCAAGAGTTATTACATATTTAGTTGAATCATAGTCCAAGAAAGTTTTCACTCTACAACCAAAAATACAAGAATAAGACACCACTTGGAATGTATTACTCAGAGAACACCTATTCATTAAATAAAGATGGTCTTAGGATATGGTTCGGCGACAATTAACACAAATTGGCAACGATGAAGCTCATCAGATCCATATGGGGAAACACATCCATTGAAAAAGGAGGACGCTAAGCTAAGAACAATAGTGATATTTGCATGAAAGTGTTCATCGTCTAATGGAAAAAGACAATAGAGTGGGTATCATAACCGACAACCACATTATACTTAGTATACTTGGCGGGCAGTAGATTGTATTGTGGTCAAAACTCTTGTATTATCCCCTAACCATTTGTTTCAAGTTTGACAAAACACGAGAAAATGGTTGTGTGAAATGTCTCATGTGTTAAAGTTGTGACACTGATGTTTACATTCCTTCCTAATTGGGAAAACTGTTTTTGTTTTTGTTTATGTTTACAACATACAAAAGTAAAACATAACAATAAACAAAAACCATAACACCTACACAATAACGAAATTGATAAATTTTGACCCAACTATATTTGTTTAATAACATATCGTCAAAATCCTTAATGATCACTACTTCTCCTTTAACCAACAGATCTTGAATACACCTACTTTTCAACCTTTCACGACAGTTCGCTAGAACCACCACATACACTGATACAACACACAGCACCTTTGATAAAGGATATTTTTTTTGGTCTTTTGCGCAAGAAAAAAAAAAAAAAAATCAGGCTACTCCAAAGGACCAAATTCAATTTTTTCCAATTTTGCGCACCGTTCTTTACCTAACAACCAGAGGGGTGTACACAGCCAAAACAACACCAGCAGGACCTTCCCTTGAAACCCAAAACACATACAATTGGAACCACCCGTTCAGTGCCTCGACTTCACATAGAGTGTCTAATTCCATCATAATTATTCACCAGGTGTATAATCCACTCACTATAATCAAAACAACAAATTGGCTACAAAATATACAGCAGAAGCATGTCGGCAAACGTAGTCACCATCACACACGAAGAAGCATTTTCAAATACTGATGATGCACCTCCCAGAAGATCATCGTCAAGACACTCTAGTAGCTCCAGTCATACTCCCAACAGTCAAGTTCCGCGAGGCATACCAGAACTACCGGCAGCAGGAACCACAAAAGCAAGCCAAAATCAACCACTGAATATACCCCCGTCATCATCAAGTTCAACCGTATCCTCGCAAATGCACTCTGGTATGCAGAAAAGAGTCCAGAGAGAAGTCAGGTTCGGTGCATATATACTAGGCTCAACCCTTGGAGAGGGTGAGTTTGGTAAAGTCAAATTAGGCTGGAGGAAAGATGGCAAATATCCGAGTCAAGTGGCCATCAAATTGGTGAAGAGGTCCACCATTATTAAAGACTCTGACTCAGAGGTTAAGATTCATCGAGAGATTAACTCATTAAAGTTGTTAAACCACCCGAATATTGTCAACTTGGTGGAAGTGATGAAGAGCGGGAAGTATGTTGGTATCGTATTGGAATATGCATCCGGCGGTGAATTATTCGATTACATTTTACAACATAAGTACTTGAAGGAACCAGTGGCGAAAAAGATCTTTGCCCAATTGGTCAGCGGTGTTGATTACATGCATTCTAAAGGATTGATTCATCGTGATTTGAAGTTGGAAAATTTGTTGCTTGACAAACACAAGAATGTCATCATTAGTGATTTTGGATTTGTAAATTCATGTGGTGACAAAAGTAATGATCTTATGAAGACAAGTTGCGGGTCTCCTTGTTATGCTGCCCCTGAATTGGTGTTGACACAAACTCCATATGAGGGTAGAAAAGCCGACGTTTGGTCGTTGGGAGTGATATTGTATGCCATGTTGTCAGGGTACTTGCCATTTGACGACGATCCAGAAAATGAAGATGGGTCTGACATTATCAAATTGTATCATTATATCTGCAAAACTCCATTGACGTTTCCCGAGTATGTTAGTCCATTGGCACGTGATTTACTTAGAAAAATTATCGTTTCCGATCCAAGGAAAAGAATAGGTATTGATGCAATTAGGAACCATCCATTTTTGAGTTCATATTCGGCATTGCTATCCATTAGACAACCAGAATGGGATAGAATTTATCGAGAAAAACATGCAGCTACATCTGCAAGTGTGGCTGCTGCTGCCTTGGCTGAACAACAAACACCCGTATACAATAAGAGGTTCTCAATGATCAACACGCCAACCAGCTCATCCTCATTAATGGGACCTTCAATATATCATCACCAGCAAATGTCGCATTTGCAACCACAAAGTGCCAGACCCCAACCAGCATCGGATCACTCGAGATCATACTCGTCAACCAGTATCAGTCTTCTATATGCGTCTCCTTCCATGTCCACTTCCAACTCACCTAAACCTGTCGACTTACCGGATAATGCATCGAAAACCTCATCGCCAAAGAAACCATCTTCTGTATCACCAACAAGGGGACATCAAAAGTCTGCATCAATTTCTAATTCGACATCATCGGCTAGCTTTGCATTGAAGTCGATGGTTAATGATGAAATCGCAACAAGATCGACAACTACATCTGCCAATTATCCAAACTCCTCAATAATATCAACAATTGTTGAAAGTCCAACCAAGCCGGCTGTTCCAGGTTCTTCTAACGCCTTGCCACCTATTGCTAAGTTGTTGCCACCAAAGGAATTCTCCAAGTTACCACCGGCAGCAAAGAAACCAAGACCTACATCGTATCATCCATCGTCAATGACTTCCTCATTGATTTCACCTTCTCCAGTCACTATTTCGTACAAGGACATTATCAAATTTCCAGCTACAAATTCCAATATTTCATATCCAAATTCAATGACTCAATACATTTCAACTTCGCCACCAAAGGAGACATTTAGTGCTGATTCCCGTCCACTGTCTAGTAGAAGAAACTCGGTTGTCACTCATGTGCACGTTAATGGCGTGTTAAGTAAGGACAACTTACCCGGACATAGCGGTTACAGCGGTTACAATTCGTCACCAGATAACAAGAGAAACTCGGTATTGAGTTACTTAGAGGATAAGATTGAAGCATTGGATTTAACGGAAAGCATTCATCACTCACCTACAAAGTCGAGTAAGAGTTCTGTTGCTGAGAAAGACGAAGTTGGTGACTCGCTCAATAGGCAAGATTCATCTGAAGTAGCAAAGGAGGACCAGAAGTCTTTGAACAAGGAAGCAGAAACTGATCTGGCGAAAGACGAAGTGGAGACAGTGCTCAACAAGTCGGATAATGATGAAATCCCACAAGTCGAGGCAATTCCGGAGTCAAAAGATAAAGTGAAGAACGAATTTATGGCCGAAGGCAAACAAGAGCCAACTGACGAGAATTTACCCGAACCAATGGAGGAGTATATCGAGAAGCCATGTCCCACCAATATCGAGAGCAAGCCACAAACAAACGATGTCCAACCAAAAACGGCAGAACCAAAAACAAGAAAGTCAGTGGATGCTAATAGGAGATCAAGTACATCAAGAAGATACCACACTAATGACGAGAATAAAGAGAATCGTGAACACAAAGAAGCTAAAAAGAGAAACAGATTCAGCTTGTTGTCCTTTTACAGCTCATATCACTCTTCGAGCTCAAACGTGTCATTACCAACAACAAAGGATGGGTCTAATTTTTCAACTCATGCGACAAATTCCACAGCACCAACGCCATTGTCAAAAGAGACCAACAAAAGTGATACAGTGACAACTACTATTTCTTCAACTTCACAAGCAACGGCAAAGCCAAAATCCAAAACAAGAAAGGTTTTGGAACCTGCAAATGATGCCCATATGAATAAAAAGGACTCCAAACGTGTTCATTCCAGTTCTAGTTCCAGTGGGCATGGACATAACAGTTCGAAACGTCATTCGATTGCTGCTCCTGGTGCTGGCGGCAACAACAACAACAACAACACGCACAAGGAAACAAGTGCAGCTAGAAAAGTAATGGATTTTTTCAAGAGAAGAAGTGTTAGAGTAGGGTGAGAAACACGAAGTGAAAGAAGGGAAGGATATATGAAGGCGGGGAGGCTCAGAAAGACGCTTGATCTTTGTATCCCATGTATTCTATTTTTTTTTTTAAGTAATGTTTGTTTGATTATATAATGAGATTAATTTTTTTGTGTATATTCAGTTCTTATGGGGGGTAGGGGGTGCGGTTAGTGACGAACGACATGTAGTTTATTGTCAAAATCGAATTTGATGAGATTGAAATGTTAGGGCGGTGTGATTTCGGAGTTAGGAGTTGCCTGTTTAGGCTGGAATCAAGTCATGTGATATACTACATTGCCATAAATAATTGGCATTTCGTTTGTTTTCAATTATACCATCTATGACTAATTGAAGGTCTCTCCTCCCCTTCTTTTGTTATTGGATGTCTCACTTCACTATACATTTTGTGATACGATACAAATTTGGTTTGATGTGATTTGGAAAAAAAAAAGAAACTTATATACAGATTGATTTCTATAAAAGAAAGACCCTTATTCTACTTGAAAGCTCTCTCCACCAAATTGTATTCAAAAGTCCATTACTACAAACAATGACTCAGGACAACCCCAAAGCTTCAGAACACCTACCGAGTGGGTCACTGCAAACTTTTGTTCGTAATGGAATAGAAATTGAAATACAACCATATCGAGAGGAGTCCGCCAATGGCGATAGCCAGCAACAGGAGACTGCAAAACACTCACCAATAGACAAGAAAGAGAGTTCACCACTTGATGAAACCTTGGAATCTACAATCCTCTCTGAGATCCAGCAGGGTCAGTATATATGCCTTGTTTGCACTGGTGAAATTGATCAAGACTCAACAATATGGAGCTGTCAAGAATGTTTTCGAGTTTACGACTTGGAGTGTATCAAAGATTGGGCATTACGCGGGTCATCTACAAACAAAACAAACAGAACCTGGAGATGCCCTGCATGCAACCATGAATCAAAAACACTTCCCAAGAAGTTCACATGTTGGTGTGGCAAAGTGAAAAATCCTGACAAGAACCCTTTGATGCCTTTTAGTTGTGGCAATTTGTGCAACTTCAAATACCCAAGCTGTATTCATAAGTGTTTGAATACATGTCATCCAGGTAAACACCCGGTTTGTGGTGCATCTGGTCCTGTTATGAAGTGCCATTGTGGAAAGGAAAAGAAACAATTGCCCTGTATAATTACACCTTATAAGAAAGGCTGGAAATGTGATCATCCATGTGGTAAATTTGTGTGTGATTTAAATCATAAGTGTACTAAAGGCTGCCATGGTGGTTCTTGTGGTAAATGCCAAAAGAAGGTTGAGTACAAGTGTTATTGTGGTGACATTAAATTGAAAACAAAGTGTTCCAAGCGCAAGCCCGTGGAATGTGTAAACTATCAGGGTGAGAAATGGATTGGGGGTGGGTCTTGTGGTAAGGTGAAGAAGTACTATTACTCTTGTGGAGAACATTATGAAACATTCACCTGTCAGCCGCCGCCAAGAATGGATCACGCTAAATGCAAATACTCACCGGACGTCATTTCAACTTGTTATTGTGGGAGTATTCAAGTTGACTCTTCAAATAGGACAAAATGTACCGATCCCGTGGTTGAATGTGACAACGTTTGTGACAAATTGTTGCCGTGCGGTTGTCGTTGCCAATTCAAATGTCACTCAGGTCCCTGTGAATGCACATCGATATTTGATATTACATGTGAATGTGGCCATGAAAAGTTTAGCGCCCCTTGTCAGTTTTTTCAACTGGGTATTAAAATCAAATGTCATCACAAATGCTCAGTTTTATTGAGCTGTCGAAAACATTATCATCGTGCTGAATGTTGTCCATATGAACAAGTAGCTTTGGAAAGAGAACGGGCTAAGAAGAAAGCAGTAAGAAACAATTTGCGTCGTACTCTACGTGATGACATCATGTCAATTGAAGCTGTACACATTTGCACACAAACATGTAATCGATTGAAATTGTGTGGACAACATCAATGTCAAGCTATGTGCCATAGTGGTCCATGTGAAGTATGTTTGGAGTCAACAAATGAAGATTTGGTTTGTAATTGTGGCAAAACTGTGATCCCTGCACCAGTGAGATGTGGCACTGAGTTGGTATGCCACGAACAGTGCACCAGACCAACAACATGTGGTCATCGCCCCGAACCCCATGAATGCCACAATGATGATGTGTCGTGCCCCAAGTGTACCGTGTTGGTGAAAAAGAGATGTGATTGTGGAGCTAGGCTGGATATACCAGTTTTGTGCTCTCAAGAACGTGTCAGTTGTGGGAAAATGTGTTTGGTGTCGAAGAAATGTGGACATCCATGCTTACGTACATGTTCAGCAAAATGCACTCAAGATGATGATCATGTTTCTGCCAATCAGTGTTTGGTGAAGTGTCAAAAAGTGAGAAAGAATTGTCCACATTTATGCAAATTGAAATGTCATTTTGATAAAGTGGGCAAAAGCAAGAGCTGCGACGCAGTTGAATGTAACGAATCGGTCACAATTCAATGTGAATGCGGCAACTTGAAAAAGACTGTGCCCTGTGGTGCATCCCTCAATAATCTAACTACAATTGGAACCATATTGGAATGTAATGAATCTTGTACTGCAGCGAAACGTGATGCAAAATTACGTGAAGCTTTTGCTGTTGATGTACCTGAAGACGAAAAAATAATCTATAACGATTATGTCTTGAACACATTTGCCAAACAGTCCAAATGGTGTACACGAATTGAAAACATCATCCGTACGTTTCTTGAAGATTACAATTACCAAATCAGTCAAGGAATTGAATCACCCAAGAAATCATACCATTTCCCACCAATGACATCACCACAACGACAATTTATTCATGAATTGGCTCAATCTTATAATCTATATACTGAATCACAAGATCAAGAGCCGAAACGATCGGTTTTTATCGTCATTACTCGATTAACATTTGTTCCTGCATCAACGATACAAAATTGTCTAGATTTGACTCAATTGAAACAAAAGCAACAATTGCAAATTGAATCAATGACTCAACAACAAATTGATGATGCGTTGTTTAATGCGATAATCATTCAAGATACATTTTTCGGTGTCACTAAAGACGACTTGCAAAATTCATTGGCCAAATACCACCAAATCGGCAGCAAAGATGATGAAGATGCAGGAGAAGGAGGAGATGGAGGAGACGGGAGTGGTGGATTTACAATATCGTGGCTAAAAGAATCAACATTCATCCTATATGACACAACCTGGTTTCAAAAAATGGATCGAGAGTTTGAATCATTATTGGAGGAATTGTGCACCATGTTTCGCAAAACCTTACGACAAAATTCGTTGGCATTTGATTGTAAGTTATGCTTGATTGATCCTAGTGTTAGTTTTGTGATGAAAATTGATCGAAGGAAACGGGTTGATGGAGATATGAACGGGGAAGGTTTGGGCAAGAAGAATGAGAGTAAGAATAGTTTTGATGTTTTACAACTGGATGAGTTGGTGATTGGAGGTTAGAGAGAAAAAGCTACATAATTTGTATAGATGTTATAAAAGTTAATTTATTATTCAGATAACCCTTATATTTACTCTTGATCAATTTCTTGTTGGTGGGTTGTGTCCTGTGTTGGTACATTCTCCACTGTCTCGTTTACTATTCTGTCTCCAGTGTCGTTAACTCTATCCTCCATATCTTCGCCTCCATTCCCATCACCATCATCACTCTCGCCACCTTCATGCCCCTGCATTTCTCCCGATTTTTTGTGCTTTCTCCTCCTTCTACTCTTCTTTTCCCCACCCTCTTGGTCACCATTAGTCGCCTCACCTTTCTTTCTCTTCTTTACACTCAATGGATTAGGCCCTTTTGGTCCTTTCCTCTTTTTCTTAACAAGCGCACCACTTGCTTCCTCGTCATCTTTTTCTTCCTCTTCCTCGTGCTTTTCAACAACTTTTCCTGCTTGTAAATCATTCAATCCACCAGTCAACTTTTTCAGTTCCCATTCCTCACTATACTTGGCACTGGCATCGCTTAGTGGTTCCATAACCATAACTGATCGATTCATGTACACCAAAGGAACACCTGGCACCTTTCTCAATTTCCTCCTCAATTGCAAATCTTGAGTCGCTACTACATATCGATGCTTATTCTCACCATTAATGTCAACTATACTGTGAATACAATCAGCGGGAGCAATAGCTTCACGATGATTACATTTTCTTCGTTCAAACGTCTTGGCCAAATTGATTGACTCTTGGTTCTTGGTGTCATATAGTGCTTGCATGCAGCATTGGGTAATCATTGGTTTGTTTTCAGCTTGAATAGTTCGTGTAAGACCCTTGTGGATGTCAAAGGAGGATTTTTGACAAGTGGTGACAATTTCATCATCGACTATGATTTGATAAGGTTCTCGAAATTTGAATGTGTAGTGGTATACATTCATTTGCTTCTTGTACGCCTTGGCTCTTTTTTGTCTCATGGTTGAGGGATATTATTGTGGAGATGACGATGTTAATTTGGTTTAAAATGAAATGGATAAAAGATTGAATCTTTTTGCGATGATCCGATGTGTCGCATTTAACTTTACGACACACAAAATTTTGTCACCTACAAAAGCCTAGAGTTATGCCGCTCTAGTTTAACTCATTCGAATTACAAAATTAATTAAAAGGGTCGCTACTACTAATAAAACATCATCTATCTCTATCCCTAGTCTTTACAGCAGTTTGAATCTAAATTTAGACGACAAACCCAACCCCTTTTTCGTAGTTGATGGAGGTGCTGGGGGCATAACCTGTGATGGCAAAACAGGTTCACCTTCATTTAAAGCTTGATTAGCCCTAAATGATAAACTTTCTTCTTGTAACAATCGATCACTCTTTGTGAAATAGTGATTACGCTCTTTATTAGCTTTTGCCGGAGATCTGAAAACGGCAAAATTTCTTAAAATGGCATGCGAAAACTTCGTTGGTGCATCTTCAGCAGCCGTCCATTCTGGTACTCCTGTAAATCTAACCTTTTTAATGACTGGAGGTTCCTCTGTAGTCGCTGTTGCCGACGTTGCTTCATTGGACGAGCCCACAATTAAGGTGTTTTGATCATCAAAACCGGAAATTGTATCAGTGGTGATTTCTGTCTGAGTAGTTGTAGTAGAAGAGGCAGTTGCTGGTGCTGGCTGTTGTGTCAGATCTACACTGCTTCCCAACGTGGAGCTGGACGCAGCAGTAGAATTGGATGAGTTGTCTTGCGATGTTGATTGACTATCTGACGTCGCTTTGGGTGGGAACTCGGGAATGAAACTATTGCGCTGTGTATTGCTTCGCGTGACTTGATCTCTAGTTCTACGAACAGGGTGTCCTGGATTTTTGGAATGCAATTGGTGTGAGTGCGTACTTGCTGATGCGGCTGCTGGGATTGCACCAGAAGGAGGTGGTGGCACTGTTGGCTCTGGTGATTGTGATTCACTCACTTTCGGCCTTTCAACGTATCTTTTCATGTTGAGCTCAGAAGTGTGATTAGGATCATAAACAACGGAATTGAATGTCTCTCTTTGAGTGGTCATCAAATCACCAGACTTTGCTGCATCTCGAATATGTTGTTGCAATCTTTGAGATGCTGAACGCTTTACATTTACTTGAACAGCATCCTCCGATGGCTCTTCACTAACAGCGATCAACTTCTTTGTGAGTGAACTATGTGCACTCAGTGCGTCGCCATTCACTGATTGTACGTTATTGGGCGTATCAGATGACAGTGGGTGCCGTTGTGTCTTTTGTTGATGCTGCTGTTTCTGCTGCGCCTGTTCTTGTTGCTGCTGTTGCTGTTGCTTGTGCGGAGAAGACACCTTGGCACCATTGGCTTTCAAAGCAGCAGCTGCCCCGGATGTAGCTATAGTTTCATTCGCTAGTGGGTGCGAATTAGATCTCCGACGTCCTTGAGTTGAAGTGCTTTGGCCCTGAGTGGAGTTTGCTTTACCACCAGTTGCTTTCCCATCTGCAACGTTTCCATTCTCGAGACTTGAATTTGACGAATTATGTTGTTGTTGCTGAAACAACATCGAATTTGGTCTAGCTCTTGGCGATGAGACTCTCGAATTTCCAAGTCCCTTATTAGGCGACGTCAATGATCCTCTTCTCATTAGACCCGAGGATGGAACTGATGTGTTGCTGCCATTACTAGTAACACTCGAAGTTGAAGACGAGCGTGATCTTCTTCCGCCACCACCACCACCATTGTCATTCAAATCTAAAGTCTTTAAGTGCCTTTCCATGGCTGAAGGTTGAACATTATTAGGTTTTGTAGCTTGTGGTTGTTGCGTTTTTGGCGCACCTGTTGACTGAGGTGGTTTTGGTTTCAACTCAGGTATAGTCTCATAAATCTTGTCCAAGTTATCTCTGGGTAGATTATAGACAGTTCTAAATTTTTTTTCAGCAACAATCCAGCTTATCCCAAACTCCTTCAATACGTTCAATGCTTTTTCAGTCACATTAAGACCTTGTACGACAAAATTTATATGTGTGCTAACATTTTTAGGATTAATCTCTAGCTTGGTATCTTGACGTATTAATCTCGTAATGTTGGCAATAAGAGTACCATTCTTCTTCATTGAGTTGTAATAGTCATCCATATTTTTCAATATATTAGTCTTGAAATATGCTGCATTAGCACAATGATAAAGAAACTTGGAATCAACTAAATGTTCATGATTGGAAAGATATATTTTCCTTCCGAATCTTCGTACAATGGTGTAAATTTCATTCAATCTCGAAGTGAGAAGGAAAATCTTGTGCACTGCATATAAATCATTGACTTTTGGTTTCTTTAATGATTCAATCATGGGTTTCAATTTAACCAACAGTTTCTCCATTTGTTGTATAATCACAAACAATTCTTTGAGATCCATATCAATTAATGAGGCTTCTTCGTAATGTTGGATGTTGGTCAGCTCATCATTGGATAATGGAAAAGACACATCATTCAATTGTAGATCAATGTCTTGGTGGAATATATCTTGAGAAATAATGTGATCCAATTTGGAATAGTATGTGTCGAAATTGGAACCCTTTGACGTGTTTGCCTTTTCAATTTTAGCCAACTCAAGCCTCTTTTTGTAGCCATTCAAACAGATGGTACTCAAAACTTCAACTTGTTTCAAACACTTTAGCGTATCTTCAAGGGATGGGAAATCGTCAAGTGCCAGTACTGGTAAATCAGGTATATCATAAGGAATGTGAGACAAATTTGCCGCAATGTTAATGGTGCCAATTTGAATGGGTTTAAAATTGGACAATTTGTGAAACCTGGAATCAAATGCTTTGTCATTGATTGCAAAGACACTTCCTGTTAACAAGACGATATAATGAATCAATGGAATTCCTGTAGTTGAAGATTGCAATCGTTTTAAGCTAGCAATGAACTTTTCTAATTTATGTACTCCGTATTCGTATTGTAGTAACTTACAGTCTAGCGACGTAATTATCTTGGGATTATATTGCGGTGCTTGTTGCAATGCCAGTTGCGATGCCAGTTGCGATGCCAGTTGCAGTGGCTTTTGGGATGCCTGCTGAGATCTCTGTTGGGGTATCTCTTGTGGTGTCTGTTGCGGAGTGGGTACAGCTGCATTAGTATCCTTTGTAGGAGTAGTTGCTTCCAGAGCAACTGTGGATTCAGTCATAATTCAGTTAATAATTCCAATTCCAAAACAAAAATATTAAGTAAACGCGTTTGAATATTCAATGGTTATGGTCTATGATTGTTTGTCGATTTCGATACGCTCAAAAGGTGGTGTATATAATGGCAATAACTTTAGTTTCAACTATGCTTTTTGCCGTTTACCTTATCAAAAATTTTGGGCAATTATTTTTTTTTTTGTTTTTTCTTTTATTTTGGTGAACAACGAAAGATCAACAACAGTTTGTGACCAAAGTGTAAAGGATGTGTTGATGTTGGGGGAAAGTAACTCGCGCGTGTATGTTCTTTGCTTGTCTAGTGTGATTAGTTGATTGTTATGGGTTTCCTCTTGTTGCTGTTGTGTTTAGAAAAGTATTAGTAGTGTTCTATACAGTTTGTGTTGTCAGTTGTCAAAATTCTGCTTTAATTTATTTTGAGTTTGAGAGACAATTTTCTCCTGTGCTTATTTTTTTTTTGAACAAACTGCTAAGAGGTTAAGTAGTTTACAACAGTTGATACATTCAACACACGCACAAGCACACTCATTCAATAGTACTAGCATCGGTCACTACTACAATCGATTAATATGACATCAACATCTGGGTCTTCCTCATCTTACAAGTATATGCTATACTTTGTCGGTATACTCCTACTAATTCATTCAGGATACTCTGCATTTGAATTCCATAAATACGCAATACACTACAACCACCATCTCCATCAACAACACCAACAACACCAGCAGCAACAACACGATCATCATAGCTCTTTTCAGTCTATTTCTTTACCATTGGATATTTACATTGAGGCCATTGTTGGATTTATTATAGTCATGGTCGGAGCTTTAGTTTCAATTGAAAATCCAGTGCATTTGTCAATCAAAAATGGAGAGGACAAGTTGGTTTTTGAAGAGCTGAAGTATTTGAGACCGATTGAAATGAAGGATAGTTTAAAATTGGGTGATGCTGTTGGTATAAATGCATTTGAAGAATTACAACTGAGATTGCCATTTATTGATATTGTAGCAAAGAGGCAAGAGTATGAAGATTGGGTTAATCAAGAAAAGTCAAAGTTGGAGTCAAAGCAATAGGAAGAGAGAGGGGTATAGAGGAATTGGTTAGAGTTTTGTCGTTATGTGATGGAAATTTCTAGGTATAGTTTGTGAATTTGTTCTTGATGAATTCTATAAATATACAAATAAGCATACTCCTTAACAGCCCAAGTATATAAAAAAAAGGCAAACTCAACCCAATGTTGAAACGGTAAAGAAGACATATTTGAGCTCTTTTTTAGCTTGATTCGAAGTTGACAGTAGTGAATTACACAATCTCCTGTTCAGCTACCCCACCCCCCTTCTTATATGGTCTTTTTCTGCAATTTTTCAGCCTGTTTTCTCATCTTTGCTTCTCTTGCAGCTTTACCCTTTGGACCGGCTTCAGTTTCCAAGAAATAATCCCACCATCTAAAACTAGATGAATATCCACCAATAAAATAATGATGATGTTCATCATGATGATCAGCACCTGCCCAAAATGGCAAGAAGTGATGTAATGACCAAGGGAACTCGTATCCAGAATGAGAATCAACTGCTTGAAACAATCTCAATACAATCCACACTGAAACTGTAAATAAATGTAAATTGCCAGTGATAATACACCACAAGATTGGGATCCCAACAGTTCCCAACCCCAACAAGGCAACTTCTATTGGATGAGCATATTCTGCAGCTAACCCAAAGGGAGCAGCATATCTATGATGTTGCTTGTGAATATATTTGTAAAAAACCCCATAATGTAACCCACGATGAAACCAATAATGCCAAGTATCTTCCAATACGAAAAACACCGCCAATTGCAACAACATTTGGCTTATACTGGGAAATGGCACATCAAAAGAAATTCCAATTTTTTGACACAAAGGGTGGAAAAACCAAATGGGGAACGCTTCAACAAGAAAATGTGAAGTTAAAACCAGTTTCAAACATTCCCATTGTTCTTGATCACTAGGGATTTTTTCATCTTGAATCTTCCATTTTCTGAAATATGGGATCCTATCAATTATAGCCCATGGTAAACATCTACCGAAATAAAAAAATTCGTGAGTAACAAAGAATAATAACCCGGTAGCAAATAAATCGTTGTTCATGTAATAGTAGTAACTAGCCCATAATTTTTCAACAAAGTTTAAATTGGGAACTTGGTTGAAATTGTTGTAAGCATCCATAAAGGAAGTTCCATTAGAAAACAGGGAGTAGTCGTAGTAAACTTTACTTGAGGACATTGATGACTGTGTGCGTATGTGGCGATGGCTGTGTGTGTGTGTGTGATATGGTTGAAATATCTGAAGAGAGACACTAATTGACTGTGAATATTTGTATGTAATGAAAGAAGTAGTTGCTCCTCTCAAAGAGTAACAAGAATGACAGTTGGTAAAGCGAAGGGGATGTTATTCAATGGATATTTATACAAGAAACCGATAGAAGAAAGGAGCGTGTATGAACAGAGATTAATATTTTCTTCTTGCCAATAGAACATTAAAACAAATGAAAGACGGAAAAAAAAAAAATAAAAAATAAAAAAAGAAAAAAAAGAAACGAGAGACACCAATGAGTCTAAACGAGGATCAGCAACAACAACAACAGCAGCAACGACAAAAGATCAAGAACTGTACGATAGAAAAAATGTAAACGAGGAAAAAATGACAATGGGCAGCTCCAATCATTATGGAGATAGCTTGTAGATAAACCCATCTCTTGTAAGATCCATCACCATTTTTACTAATGCACCCCTTGTCATCGTTAACTGTGAAAATCTAGTCTTTGCATTTTAAAACGTTAGTTTTTTTTCCGGCTCTTTGTGTAATGATGTTAGACAGGTAGTGTATAAATGCACAATTTTTATTTTCAAGCTAAACGAGGTATCTCTTTTTTTTTGTTTTTTTTTTTCATTTCATTCTATACGAGCAAGTCAAAGGTATTTTATACGACGTAATTCCTTATCGTCACAGTTGTTGCCAAACGAAAGAAATTTGTTATCATTAGCCACAATACTCTTAGGTTTTGCAATTAACAAATCGTACGCTTCGTATCTCAGTAGGATCGCTATTCCACAAAATCATGATGTTAGACATTCTCTCGTTGTGCTCTTTAATCATTTTCTTTTTTAGCTCGTTTAGTGTGAACTTACCCAGTTTGATTTTTGGAAATGAGCGCCAAACGGAAGGAATTGCCATTAGTTTATTCTCGAGCAGAAAACTAGCGTACTGTCTATTTTTGGAACTGAAAACCGGCTCAAACTAGCACTGAACTTCGGAAAATGGGTGATTTTAAATCTTCAGAACCAAAATTTACACTAAATGTGATCGCATATTTTTGGCAAGTCCACATTCTAAAAACAAAGTAAACCATATCTCACTGTTTTAGAGATACACTTTGTCCAAAGTAAACTTTCCTTGACTTGTTAATCTCAATGAGAAGTGTTCTTTCGTATCTCCATGTTCAAAAATTAACCTTCTTGGAACGTTTAATCAAGACAATGATCCTTTTAAAAGACACAGACTTCAAAAATACACCGTTCCGGTCTTCCAGATCCCATGCACAAGATCTGAATCGACTTCTCATATTCCTTTTTTTTCTCTCTTTCTTATTTTTTTTGCAACCAAAAATTTTTGTTTGCTCTGTGCGGGAGGCGAAAATCATCATCATGTTGGTAGCGCACACACAAAAAATGTCAAAAAATTGAACGCGATCACACCAAAACGCGTACAACCTTTTCTTCTTCTTCTTTATTCACACATAGACACCTGTATTACCACACTATTCACGTTTAAGCATGTCGCAAACAGAAGTTGAATTACAACTGCAAAGACTCGAAGCATCCAACATTTCCACCTCATCTGTGGCACAAGATCACAATATGGACGAAGAAGAAGGACACGCGCGTCAGCAACAACTCGGTGCCGATGGAGAAGAAGAAGAAGAGGAGATGAATGGACCTTTACTTATTGAACAACTTGAGGGTAACGGTATCACTACATCAGACATTAAGAAATTGAAAGCTGAAGGGTATCATACTATTGAATCTATTGCTTATACACCCAAGAGGCAATTGATCACGGTCAAAGGTATTAGTGAAGCAAAAGCCGAGAAAATCTCCAACGAGGCTGCTAAATTAGTGCCCTTGGGTTTCACCACTGCATCTGAGTTTCATTCAAGAAGATCGGAGTTGATTTGCTTAACTACTGGATCCAAACAGTTGGATACATTGTTGGGAGGTGGGGTTGAAACTGGTTCAATTACTGAGGTGTTTGGTGAATTTAGAACCGGTAAATCTCAGTTATGTCATACATTGACAGTTACATGTCAATTACCAATTGATATGGGTGGTGGTGAAGGTAAATGTCTTTATATTGATACCGAGGGGACTTTTAGACCCAATAGATTAGTTTCCATTGCTGAAAGATATGGATTAAGTCCCAACGATTGCTTGGATAATGTCGCATACGCAAGAGCTTACAATGCTGAACATCAATTAAATTTATTACATTTAGCAGCACAAATGATGGCTGAACTGAGATTTTCATTGCTAATTGTTGATTCCATCATGTCGTTATATCGTACTGATTACGCTGGTAGAGGTGAGTTAAGTGCTCGTCAAACATCAGTGGCCAAGTTTATGAGAACATTGCAAAGATTAGCAGATGAGTTTGGTATTGCTGTAGTTATTACTAACCAAGTTGTTGCTCAAGTTGATGGAATGTCAGGAATGTATAATCCTGATCCTAAAAAACCCATTGGTGGTAATATTATTGCTCATGCTTCAACTACGAGATTATCATTGAAAAAGGGTAGAGGTGAACAAAGAATTTGCAAAATTTATGATTCACCTTGTTTACCGGAAAGTGATTGTGTTTTCGCCATTTACGAAGATGGTATTGGTGATCCAAAAGTGGAAGATGACGAGTAGGGGAAGAGTTGTTTTTATTTATTGTTTTACAAAGTGTATAGGTTTTTTTTTTTTGCGAATCAGTCTTTTGATTTGGTTAGTTAGTTTTGTTTTATATTTCGAAAATCGTTGTCAATTTCGTTCATTGAGTAAAAGGTTCTGTTGTGGAGTACCGTAGAGTTACCCTTTCACTGATTTCGTGAAAGGGATGCAACATTGATGACAACTTGATACACGAATAATTTCCTATTCTAGTATACATCATTTTTATATACAGTACCACTGATCTTTTAGATAACTTTATTGTTTTATTGTTTTTTTTTTTTTTTTTTTTTTTTTTTTTTCAAATGCCGTGACTACAAAGAATAGGTTGAATGGGTGAAAAACAGTAAAATACAATAGAAATGAAATCCGTTAATGACTAAACTCTCACAGAAAACACATTCGGCAGTTAGCATCAATTGCATTTCATTGCCATTGTTTCATCAAACATGGATGTATTTCGTGTTCTATTGGGGATCCATTTACGTCACCAACCTGGCTGGCAGACTTTTCGAATCCAGACCCTTTTCAAAAAGCGAAAGTTTAGAAAGTAATGGAGGAGCAAAACCCATATTTTAGGTAAAAAACTGCGTCTTCTATTTCTTCGTTGTTAGTCATCTTGAATTGGAATGTCTATGATGATTCTAATGTTTTAGTTCTGCTACCTTAGTGAAATCTGTAGTTTTTTTTTTTTTCGTTTTTTTTCTTGGATTTTGCTAACCGGATTTAGTTGGAAAAAGCTAAATACCTCAAGTCAAATCAAGGGAAAAGCCTCGTGCTACCACGGTAAAACCTCTTTTGCCCCTCCTTTCTTCTTTGAGGGCGAGAGCGACAGAAGTAGTAAAGCAGCAATTAGACTAACATTTGCGCACACGACACGATGTCATGCACTTTTCACAACAACTTCTCTTATTGTGTCTTTTGTGTTATCCAACTCAAAAGACAGAAGTCCAATGATGAAAAAAATTTTTTATCTTTTTCATCAGTTGGGAGGAAATAAGTACCCAAGTACACTACCTTACATCCTTACTGCAATATTAAAACTTCATTAAATGTTTACTTCCGTAACCTGAACTAAAACCAACAAACATCCATACACACATACCAAAACCAACAAAACAACACAAAACCAATTAAAGCTATAGACTTTTCAACAAGAACCAAATAGGAAGAACCCGTTAATAAAAAATAATAAAGAAAAAAATTACACTCATAGTAAAGATTCTTTCCTTCTGAAATTAATAGTCAAATTTTTTTTTATCAAAACAGTCCATTCTTCTCTTCAAATACACTTTGGAAGAAAGGAAACCCCCACCAACTGAGTCAAAACTTGTCACATTTGCATAAAACTACTGCTCTCCTGCTCCTAATAGTATACAACCAAAGCATTTAGTATCACAGGGCATTGTGTGTTGATCTCACTAAACCCCAATTGACTCACACAACCACGGACTATTACGCATCACTTGCAGCAGCGTCACTAGTCATAACCACCTTGGTTTACCGTTAATACACCCCTTCACCATGAAGTATACAGAAAAAGCTAAGGTAAAAATATTGCCTAAACCAGCACCAATGGCTCATTCTCCACAAACACCATCTCCATTGGTTTCAGTGTCACCTCGTTACGCGAATACCCCCATATTACCCGCACCAAAACGTTCCAAGTCTGCCGCTTCTGTCTCGTCAACAAAACCTTCGACTCCCAACGCTGGCCCCGAGTTGAAAAAACAAAGGAAGTCAACTAGTAGTGCGTCACCCCGCGAGCGCCCCACCAAATCCACCAGATCGACCGATAACTCACCAAAAGACACGACAACAACAACCTCATCATCATCACAAAAACAATCGAAGCAAACAGGACATAGACCAGTCACCTCGTGCACATTTTGTCGTCAACACAAGATCAAATGCAATGCTCTGGATAATTACCCACAACCATGTCAAAGATGTGAACGCATGGGATTGAAATGTGACATTGACCCTGAATTTAGACCCAAGAAGGGATCACAGATCCAATCATTGAAACTGGATGTTGATGAATTAAAGGCTAAAATCGATCTTTTAACCAAGAACGAGTCGCTTTTGACCCAGGCTTTAAGTCAACATAATATGGGGTTTCTCAATCAAACATCTTCACCTCATGTCCAACCGCAACATCTGCCACCACATCAAGCATACGCACATTCGCATTCGCACTCACAATCACAATCACAAACAAATACTCCTATACACGCACACCCACAACCACAACGGAGCAACCTGTATCCATCAAATGCAGTAATTAGTCCCATGGTACTACCATCATCTTCAACCTATGCCAATAGTCCAAATATGTCACCCATTCCATCAGTCACCAAAATCCAACAAAGCCCTCCATTAATGCACGATAATTCAGACAATTCACCTTCCACAATGAGTATTTTTGACATAAAGGAGGAAAACTATCAGCCAATATCAGAATTCGTTTTGGGCGATGTCAATTTACCCTTGGCAAAAGCCAATGAATTGCATCACCGATTCATGACGAGAAACTTGAAATATTTTCCAATTATCCACTCACGCTCAGCTACTGAACTATATCATAAATCAAACTTGTTATTCTGGGTTGTTATATTGACGGCAAGTTTAGGGGAGCCAGAACCAACTTTATACATGTCATTAGCGTCATTAATCAAGCAATTGGCGATAGAGACATGCTGGATTAAAACTCCACGCTCGACTCATGTTATTCAAGCATTGATTATCTTGTCGATATGGCCATTACCAAATGAAAAAGTGCTCGATGATTGCTCTTATCGATTTGTTGGATTGGCCAAAAATTTGTCTTTACAATTGGGATTACATCGAGGTGGAGAATTTATCCAAGAATTTAGTCGCAATCAAGTGAGTCTAGGTCCTGATGCTGAAAAGTGGAGAACAAGATCATGGTTGGCTTTATTTTTTTGTGAACAGTTTTGGTCATCGTTGTTGGGATTACCACCAAGTATAAATACTACTGATTACCTATTGGAAAACGCCCGAGTTGACCAATCGTTGCCCAAGGAGTTTCGATGCTTAATTTCATTGTCTATTTTCCAATGCAAATTGGTTAATGTCATGGGGATTAGTGTTACTAGACCCGATGGGTTATTGGAACCGCTGAATCGTGCCGGATCACTAAACTTATTGGATAGGGAATTGGAGCGATTGAGGTTCAAATTGCAAATTGAAGAAGGATCACCTATTGAAGTTTACTACCTTTACATCAAGTTGATGATTTGTTGCTTTGCGTTTTTACCAGGCACTCCAATTGAAGATCAAGTTAAATATGTCAGTTCAGCATACTTGTCAGCAACTCGTATCATCACCATTGTATCGAAAATGAATCAAGAAACCAGCTTAATTGAGTTACCGATATATATCAGACAAGCAGTTTCATACTCAGTTTTGCTTCTTTTCAAATTACATTTATCAAAATATTTATTTGATAAATATGTTGATTCTGCAAGACAATCAATTGTCACTGTACATCGAATGTTTAGAAACACATTAAGTTCATGGCAAGATTTACAAAATGACATGTCAAGAACCGCCAAAGTTTTGGAGAATCTCAATATAGTGTTGTATACGTATCCAGATATCTTCCTTCAGGAGGATAAGGATGAAGGGTCGAGTATTATCACCCGCATGAGATCCCATTTGACAGCGTCGTTGTTTTATGATTTAGTTTGGTGTGTTCACGAAGGTAAACGAAGAACAGCTTTGGATAAAGGCAAACCACCAACGAAGAAAATCGAACCTCATGATAAAAAGTTACTTCCATTGCCATTTTATAATCAAATAACAAAGGACGATTTTACCACTATAACAACAACTACACCCAATGGTACCACCATCACCACTTTGGTCCCTACTGATCAAGCGATGAATCAAGCCAAGCTGAATGCAGGTGACAACAAGCCATTGGAAATCAATGGTATTCCATTATCAATGTTGGAAGCAACTGGGTCCACTAGAGAAATAATGAATGTCCAGGATCAAGAACCAACAGTTGTGAAAACCGAGTCACCAATCCCAGGACAACATCCGCAACACCCACAACACCCACTGCATCAACAACAACAACTGCATCCACTGCATTTGCAACTACAACAAGCCACCCCTATTCTTGAATCCAGTGCACCAACTAATCAGCAACCACCTCAACTTAGATCACAACAATTGCCACATCAACAGCAACAAGCGCAACCACAACCTCCATTCCCATTCGGTCAATCGCCACCACCACAGAGTTACTTGCCCACAATCGAAGAAGTCAATGTGAATGAGCAATATCCAGTTTTCAACAGTGATCAACAGCAAGGACAAACAGGAGCTAGCGCCCCGGGCACAATCGGTACAGGCGCTTCTGGTGGGTCTGGTTCTTTTGTTTCCCAAATTGATTCTTTTTTCCAACAACAGTCGAATGGATGGATGGATAACCAGGATGATGATTTCTTGGGATGGTTTGATGTAAACATGTTGCCTGATCAGTAGAAGTGGAGCTAGGGGGGATGAACCTCTTGTATATACATATTCACTACTTTTATATAATTCTATTTAAAAGAATTACTAAAGAATGATGTTATGACGAAAGAGATTAATGTAGATTACGTGGCTATACTGGAAGGCATCAGTCCAATATCAGCTACCGATATTGGGGCATGTATTTTTTACTGGTTCAAAACCGAGCAAGCTGAATTGGCGACAAATGTTTAACCTACTCCTTACCTATTGAATCAAGACGAAACCTGTAAATCTTAGAACTCTTCATCCAAAAAATCCTAATATAAAATAACTAATAGTCTATTATATTCAAATTGAATGAAATACGTACTAATCTTATCAAACGGACTACAAGCAAAAACACCAGGAATATGCTCTAAATGGAATAAAATTGATGAACAGAACATAACAAATAACATAACTAGAGTATGCTGGTTTGATAACTAAGAATATCATGGAATTATTCCTATTGGGAAAAAGCATCTGAAACTATTGATAACAACTTCCTCACCAAAAGGCCCATTAAAGTAGAAAGGACAACCGATTTTCAATTTGAATCATTCAACTGGGATTACAAACACAAAGATGGCCAAAGAAATATTAACCGAATGATTGCACGACATATCCAAGATGTTCAAAAGTCGAGAGGGGAGTAAATTTAAAAGTCAAGAAGGGGACAAGTTTGAAATTTTCGAAACCGGACGAAAAGCCCACACCGAACTCTTGAACTTCATCATCGACCCCAATCCCCAGATCAAAACGTCCAAGAAGAGAAGGAGCCGTAACAGGTACCGCCCTACACTTTCTTTTAAACCCCGCTAGTTCCAACTAACTCGTAAACGAATCGCATGAACTGAGTAAGATTGCTTATTATTTGATTTGGGTATTGGGGGACCGATAAATGAGCAAAAAGCTCCAAAGCTGAGAGTTTTGAGTAGAAATAGATTTTAAAAGAACAATAAATCGTTCTGTAGAAAGAGCAAAATCACAATTTTGAAATTTTTCTCCTTTCTAAAAGAGGAAGCAGATAAAAAGGGGGTTATTCGTATTCGGTTTTGAAATCGTGTGTTTTTTCTATATGAAAGACCGGTAGCGTGTTTTTGGTCGCAAATTCCACGTTGTTTCCAAAAGGGGGGCTTTGCGCCATTTCTTCAATCCATAATTCTTCTTTGAGGGAATGAAAGAACATAAAAGTCTATACAACAACCCAGCAATAAATTTCGAAATTCGTATATACAAACTTCAGCATTAAAACTACATCAACAAATTCAGATATTGGTTATAATTGTTGAAATTATATGCACGACTGTAAAAAACGAAAGCTCAGTAAGAAAGGCTTTAGGGCTGTGAAGTCAGATTATCTATGTTTACATACGTTCATAACCTTTCCCAATACGTATCATCAAATAGTATAACAATTGACAATGTACCATCATTCATGAATATATCATACTTACAATCCTAGTAAAAACGTCACAAGATATAGTTCAGCAATAGAAGATTGTAAACCATGTAACAATCTTGAATAACACCGGCCCTAAGAAGGTTGTATAAAGTTGATATATCTACTACCAATCTTCTATACTCTTACAGTTATCACTTAAAAACGCGCTTCATAGAAGCTTTTTAGTTCTAAGTCCGCTGACACTACCATTAAGGTAGGTAACAATAATGAAAGTGAGAGTAGGGACAAAGAATCAAATGTAACTCATCAATACAAATACATTTCTGTTTTCTACTGATGTCGAACCACCGTCAATTAATCTCGAGAGCTAAATCCCCAATTGAAACTCTTATTTAGGTAGCAAACCACTCGGTGGCATTTTATAATGAGAGTTTCCTCTGCAAGAAAAGCCTTGTGTTTCCACTAGTGATACTCCAACATCGTCAGAGTAATGAGTAGATGTTGAAAAAGAAATTGATTGAAGTGAAACAGTTGCTTAAGTTGTGTACTTTTGTACCGAATAATACGCTACACACATTGAACAAAGATAAAGAAAGAAGAAAGAAGAGATAGTCAAACACCGTTTACAGCTCTACCTTTATTTCAGCCTCGACATGAATGAGTAAAGCAGTGCGTTTCTTTCCGATAATATGTTGGTGTGTATATATACAATATAACACCTAATTTATTCCCGATTAGGAAATCTAATGTATGGAACGTTTTGGTAGCGTCACCTTTTAAAATTTTTGTGTATTATCAGACGCGTCTAATTCACTGTTTCTTAAAGTAAAATCATAAGCATTACATTTCCAAATTAATTTCACTACTGGCCCAACCACTTTCCTTCTTTTCATCACTAACGCCTCCTGTCAAGTATGTCCCATTTTGTTTCTTCACCTGGTGCTATACCATCAGATACTGCACAACTACTCAATTCACAAGTATCATCATCATATGGAAGAGATGTATCTACTCCAGCACCAAATACTACAACTGGACCCATTATGTTTTCAGAAAATGGATCTACAGCATTAGGACTGCAACTGCAACTGCAACTGCAACCACATGTTGTAACTCAACAAAGGCCAATAGTTGCTGGTAGAAGAAGACAAATTGCTGCTCCTAAAGTAGTTGATGTTACTGGTGAAAAAGTTCGTGAAAGTTTCGAAAATTTTATCGAGGAGTTTGTTGATCCCGAACAATTGGATAATGGGTGGGACGGGAAGATTTACTTGGCGCAGATTGAATCAATGAAGACATTTGAATATAGTACATTGTACATTAACTATCAAGATTTAATGTCGAGAGAAAATGGTGTTCTTGCTACTGCTATATCAGAGCAGTATTATAGATTTTACCCATTTTTACTTAATGCATTGAAACGACTGTTGAAAAAATATGCTCCACAATTGCTTCATACAAATTTATTAGGACAGGTGGAGAATGATGAACCAGAAAGTGAAAATAGTTTATCAACAGCCAGTGCTGCTTCGAATGAGAGAGTTTTCCAGCTCTCGTTTTTCAATTTACCAACAGTGCAAAGGATTAGAGATGTCCGTTCTAACAAGATTGGTTCGTTGATGACCATCACTGGTACCGTTACTAGAACATCTGAAGTTAGGCCAGAATTGTACATGGGAAGTTTCACTTGTGATATGTGTTCAGCATTAATTGAAGGGGTGGAACAGATTTTCAAATACACTGAGCCTACTTCATGCCCCTCATGTGAGAATCAATCATACTTTACCCTAAATGTGTCCAAATCATTATTTATCGATTGGCAAAGAGTCAGGATCCAAGAAAATGCCAACGAAATCCCCACTGGATCGATGCCAAGGACATTGGATGTTATTCTCAGAGGTGAAACGGTGGAAAGAGCTAAACCGGGCGACAAGTGTAAATTTACTGGTTGTGAAATTGTTATCCCTGATGTATCGCAATTGGGTTTACCTGGTGTCAAGCCACAATCAATCAAGGAAAATAAGGGAAGCACCGAGTTGAATTCTGGTGTTTCTGGATTAAAAACACTTGGTGTTAGAGATTTAACTTATAAATTGGCATTCAATGCGTGTCATGTTTGTTCAATGATTAATAAAGTTGGTAATGAGCGTGATGAAGACAATGACAACTCCGATGCTTATTTACTTTCATTACCACAATCCGAAGTTGATGAGTTGAAAGAAATGGTTAAGGATGAATACATTTATGACAAATTGGTGCAATCGGTAGCTCCTGCGGTATTTGGTCACGATACTATCAAAAAGGGTATCTTGTTGCAGTTGCTTTCCGGTGTTCACAAGCAAACCGTTGATGGAATCAATTTGAGAGGTGATATCAACATTTGTATTGTTGGTGATCCATCAACTTCCAAATCGCAATTTTTGAAATATGTTTGTGGATTTAGTCCTCGTGCTGTTTACACCTCAGGTAAAGCTTCTTCAGCAGCGGGGTTAACTGCTGCAGTAGTGAGAGACGAAGAAAGTGGTGAATACACAATTGAAGCTGGTGCATTGATGTTGGCCGATAATGGAATTTGTGCTATTGATGAATTTGACAAGATGGATATTGTTGATCAAGTGGCTATTCATGAAGCAATGGAACAACAAACAATCTCCATTGCAAAAGCAGGTATTCATGCCACGTTAAATGCACGTACATCCATCTTGGCGGCAGCAAACCCCATTGGTGGTCGATACAATCGTAAAATTGGCCTTCGATCAAATTTGAACATGTCTGCACCAATCATGTCGAGATTTGATTTGTTTTTTGTCATTTTGGATGATTGTAATGAACGTGTTGACACGCAATTGGCGTCACATATTGTTGATTTGCATATGCTTAGAGATGATGCCATTGATCCACCATATTCAGCTGAACAATTGTCCAGGTACATCAAGTATGCAAAGACTTTTAATCCCAAAATGACCAAACAAGCTAGAGATTTCCTTGTTACTAGGTATAAGGAGTTGCGTGATGATGATGCACAAGGGTTGGGTAGGTCATCTTATAGGATCACTGTGCGTCAATTGGAGTCAATGATCAGATTGAGCGAAGCTATTGCTAGAGCCAACTGTACTGAGGAAATCACCCCTGATTTTGTTGCTGAGGCGTATGATTTATTGAAACAGTCAATTATTAGAGTTGAAATGGATGATATTGAAATGGAAGATGATGACGAGCAACAACAAGAAGGTGGGGCAGATGCAGATGCAGATGCAGATGCAAATGTCATGGATGAGGGTTCCAATGTTGCCGAATCGAGTTCCTCTAGAGCTGAGCCTACAACGATATCATACGACAAATACGTCTCAGTGATGAACCTATTAGTGAAGAAGATTTCCGAAGATGATAAAGCTGGTGGAGAAGGTTTAACTGCCGATGAGTTAGTCGAATGGTACTTGTTACAAAAAGAAGACGATTTGGCCAGTGAAGCCGAATATTTCAAGGAGAGGAAAATCGCCTACAAGGTGTTGAAGCGATTGGTCAAGGATAGAATTTTGATGAGTGTTTCCAATAACGAAAATGAAGGTGATGGTGATGATGATAATGATGCCTCAATGCCTGATGGAACTAGATCGGCATCTACAAAAACGGTGTACATCATTCATCCGAATTGTGCCATTCTTGATTTCTTTGAAAGAGATGAGAGAGAAAGCGAACAATCTGCTTAATAGATTATTTACTTGGAGATGATGCTATTGAAGTTTTTGACTCCCTCGCCCTTTATCCCTCCTTTTTGTGTATTATTATAAATGTGCTTATTTCAGTTCCTATGTGCTTGTTGTAGTCTTTTGTTTTTTTGTTTGAGGTGGTCCTAAAAGCACTCTAAATTTAGTTTGACGTGAATCAGCATCCGTTGAAGAGGATACATTCCCAGAACCTGTACCACCACCGCCACCACCACCACCAACACCACCCGCTGTGCTCTTGTGAGTTCGCCATTCAGTAGGTTGCGTCTGCGAGGCACATTCATAGCAATGCTCAATAAAAGCCTTGTCATTAGGGAACATGCGTTGACATGATCGACACCATCCTGGTTCCCCAATACTCTTGATTGCACCTACACCACTACCTATAGGATTCCCTTCACCTATGGGCAATCGTTTGTCACGGACGTAATGAACCAATTTCAAATGACGTTTCAATACATCTAATCGATTAAATGCACCACCGTTTTTGTGACACGTGGGGTCGTTTTTCCAATAGGGGCAATGATATTGTGGAGCCATATGCGATTTGAAATGACGAGTGAGGTCAGATTGACGGGCAAATGACCATTCACAGGATTCAAATGTGCATTTGAATGGTTTTTGTTGATCTTTAGTGGATGTGGCTGAGAATTTGCTTCTGGATTTGATTGGATGTTGTGATTGCAGCTGTTGTTGTGGTGGTTGTTGTAGTTGTTGTTGTTGTTGTGGTGGTGGTGGTTGTGATTGTGGTTGTTGTTGTTGTTGTTGTTGTTGTTGTTGTTGTTGCTGCTGCTGCTGCTGTTGCTGTTGTTGTTGTTGTTGTTGTTGTTGTTGTTGCTGCAGCTGATGCTTTTGTAGTTGATGGTGGGCAGCTTCTGGATCCGATGCATGTTGATCGTCATCTTTTGCTCCCTTAGGTGCTTCGCCTGCATCGCCACCACCACCTTTTCCATTACTGTGGGAGCTACTGTTCCCCGTGGGATCAAAATCACCCGATTCTAATCTTGATAAAGCACTGGCTGCAAGATTAGTCGCTATAGTCTCAGCAGTTGAATTACTATTGGACGATTGTTGCTCTCTGAATGCAGGTTCATACGGTAAAAAAGTGGTGAATGGTTGGTAATCACTTCGGTACACAGATTGTAGACTGGCTAATGGAGGTAGTTTGCGTGCGCCTGTATTTGTAGAAGCTGTTGCGTCAGTGGAAGTAGTTGCGAAATCAGTAGTCTTTGTTGTGGTTGATTCTGATTGTGTTTCTTCCTGTTGTGGCAGTTTTGCCTTAGCTGTGTCTTGACGAAGTTGGGGATTTATTTTGTCGTCAGTTGTCTCTTTTCTCATGACTGTCATGTTTCTATGGTAATTTGTGTTTGAGTTATCTCGAGAAGAGGGTTGTCCTTTTGATGTAAAATAATGAGCCGCTTTTGCTGAGGATTAAAGAAAAAGTTTCAACCCGACCGACTGTTAGTTTGTTTTGTTTGGTGCTCATTCTGTCTCTCACCTCATTTTATGTTGTGTCTTTTTTTTCTTTTTTTTCTTTTTTGTGTTACCAATACACACGACTGTCGATGTCGTATTTTTTAGTAATAATCGGTGACAATTATACTTTACGACACAGCAATTGCACAACAAGAATTGCTAAGAGGACAGCAATCATTATTATCATCGTTTGTAAAGCAAAATGAAACTACCTACATTAAACGCCTCTCAACGCCGGGCCGCTTAGTTTAATCCAGCCACACTCCTTTACATCTCTCTTGTTTGCGTGTTTTAGTTGTGTGTCTCTATTTTCAATTTTAGTAATTCGATAGTAATATCCTGCATATAATCAGATTGCTTTTTCCCTTTTCCTTTTACTCCAGACTTTCACATTCCAGGTAACCCTTCAAGTTTAAAGTCATTCACTTTCTTGCAGAGAGCTTATTCTTACCTTTTCCTCACTATCATCATCAATTGCGACCCTAAGCTATGTCTAAAGTACGTCATCATTGCAATAGCTATCGTTAGCAACCTTATTAACCGTGATCTTTAGAATATCGATATCTTGAAATTTGCTGATGAAGATGGTAACTACAAAAGAAAACCATCAGTGTTTCGTGATTGGATTAGTGCCAAACCTGGCTCTAGATTTCCTCCGGAAGCTGGCAGGTACCATTTGTATGTTTCCTTTGCTTGTCCATGGGCTCACCGTACTTTAATCACTAGAAGATTAAAGGGATTGGTTTCCATCATTGGCTTGTCAATTGTGCACTGGCACATGGATGACAAAGGATGGAGATTTCCTACAAAGGAAGAATTGGAGTCATTGCCTCAAAAGGATGACGTTTCATTGGGTACCCCTGACCATCTATATGGCTTTGAAAGGTTGAGAGAATTGTATTTCAAAGCTGATTCAAATTATAGTGGTAGATTCACTGTTCCTGTCTTGTGGGATAAAAAGGAACAAACAATTGTCAACAATGAATCAGCTGAAATTATTAGAATGCTCAATTCTGACTTTAACTCAATTTTGCCCACTGAATATGCTGATTTGAATTTAGTCCCAAAGGAGTTGGAGTCTCAAATTGATGAATTGAATGGTTGGGTTTACGACAATATCAACAATGGTGTTTACAAAACTGGATTTGCTTCCAAACAAGAAGTCTATGACAAGGAATGTCGCAATGTGTTTACCCACTTGGACAAGGTTGAAACATTGTTGAAAGAAAACAAGGAAAAGGACCGCAAAAATGAGTTTTTGTTGGGCAACCAATTGACTGAAGCTGACATCAGATTGTTTACGACTGTCATCAGATTTGACCCTGTTTATGTCCAACATTTCAAGTGTAATATTGGGATGATTAGAACACATTATCCAAATATTCACAATTGGCTCAGATTGTTATATTGGAAGATTCCCGGTTTTCAAGAAACTACAAACTTTGAACACATCAAGTACCACTACACTAAATCTCATATCAAGATTAATCCTTATGGAATTACTCCATTGGGCCCAGTGCCAAACATTCTACCAATTGATCAATAAAGAAAATAATTTATAGGTTTTCTTCAATTTACGTTTACTGTTATAATTGACTATAGTAGAGATCATTATGTATAGCATCGAGGTGTTTACAATATTGCTAAATTAAAGTTATTGAACAATATAAAACTGTCTGACAATTCGAATTGCATAGGCATTTATAAAAGAAAACGGTTTCATGACTGCTAAAATACAATATTACCGAAGCAGTAATTGCAATCAAGTTTGCAATGATACACCGAAATGCACCTTCAGTGAAAAGAGATACCGTAAACCCATAATGTGATTGTTTTGACCCAGAAAAGCAGTTGGTAATGCAACCAAGATGAAATTAAAAGTGTCATTTGCATCGATTTCTAAATTCGTAACATCATTATATATATAAACCTTCCATCTACTTTATTACAGAAAATAAGAGCTCTTTTGTGAATGTCCCGACATTGGCGTAAGTACTGCCTCGTGCAACGAAATACTAGTATTCTTACTTATGACGCTGCGTAAATTATTGCGTTTTATGGGTTTGGATAAAAATCCATTCATTCCACAATTGAGACACTCTTTTATGTTACTTTCGTCAGCAAATGCCGTGAGAGCAATAATCGGGTTAGCGAAATTTAACTCCTGTCGAATCTTGGTGACTGCTGTGATACCATCCATTATGGGCATTTGAATATCCATAAACACCAAGTCAAATGGTTGCAGCAGCTGTTCCTCTGTAGAGTTCATGGATTGTTCGACTAGCTCCACTGCCTCAGCCCCATTTGCCGCCATAACCAAGTTGGAAAATCCTTCAAGTTTTAACATTCGTTTGATCACTTCCTGATTGACTTGGTTGTCTTCAGCAACAAGAATCTTGATATCGGACAAATGGTTGTGCAAAGTTGGTGGAGTAGTGACCAATGATCCCGATGGTGTGGAAACAGTGCTGTGAGTTCCGCTGTTGACACCAGCATCAGAAGATTGTGCTGTACCGGTTGAACCCCTAGCAAATGCAACAGTTGATGGCTTCAATTTGAGTGTTGATGATTTTCGACCTCTAGTCAATTCAGTGGTGTCCTCATCACTAATATTATCATCCTCAAATGCAACTTTCCTATTCAGTTTGGAATTTGGATTAAACTCGTCATCACAAAAGGCCTCAAGGTCCTCGGGTGGAATTAGAATTTCCCCAGTTTGTGGCAATGGAATCGTCAATGTGAATGCAGACCCCTTTCCAATTGCAGATTTCAATGTAAGTGTTCCTTTCATCATTGTTGCCAATTGTCGGCATATACTCAATCCCAATCCAGTTCCACCATAGCTTCTACTCAATGTTTGATCCCCTTGAACAAATGGCTCAAACACTTTTTCTTGTAATGCTGGGTCAATACCGGATCCAGTATCACGAACTTCAATCTGAATAACCCATGTCTTTGGATGATGCATGCTTTTAATTTTGAACGCCTTGTGACCCTTGTCGGTTTCCTTTTTATTCATTGTGGGGTACGATTTAAAGTCTTTTGCACTTGGCATAATGAATTCTGACTTAACGTCGGATTCGTCATCTGATTTAAGCGACGACCTTGATGACAGTTGTTTGATGGAAAATTGTTGTTCAAACAAGGCATTTTCGTACTGAATTGTTGAAATGGTGGCGATACTATGTGTATCATCGTCTGCATCGTTATCACTTTTTGGGTCGATTGACTTGGCCGCTGGCGGAGTTTGCACCAAAGTGGAATCGGTATTGTAATTTGAAGAGTGTGGTCTTCTTTTTTTGTCGTGCATTAAATACACTTTGGTGAAATCACAGGCTGCTGACTTGTCAAGGTCATACTCACCGAGCAATTTGAAAATGACATCAACTGACCCATCAACAGGGGTAAACTTTAGCGCATTAGAGACCAAGTTCATAATGATCTGGATGATCCTATTGGAATCACCATAAAGAATTAGTTTCCTGAATAAGCATGGTTTCACCACAATTTTGAAATTAACTCGCTGATCAACAGCTAGCTTATTAAAAATTGAATTAATCTGATAAACAATTTCAAGGATTTGAAAATTTGATTTCTCCAATTTAGACCTATTAAGGGTATTTTTCGAGTAGGTCAACAACTCGGTCAAAATATGGAGTAACAACTCCCCGGAACGATATATCAACTTCAACGACTCGTGTATTTTTTCTTGATCATCTTCCTCCATTGCAATTGACGTCATTCCGAGGATACCATTCAATGGTGTTCTGAGCTCGTGTGATATGTTTGCAATAAACACCGTTTTGGCTTCATTTGCTGCTTCGGCTTGGATCTTGGACGCCTCCAACTCTCGCGTACGAAGCTTAACTCGCTCCTCCAACAAGCTGTATTGCTTGTCTAATTCCTCAGTCATTATATTAAAAGCTTCTGAAAGTTCAGTCAATTCATCCTTGAAAAACTTTTTTGAAGTGTGAATGCGTGCTGGTAGTCGTACAGCGGTTGAAAATCCTGACGTGGAAGTGGCAGTTGACGCAACACTATTGTTTCTCGAATCATGGGTGGTCTTTTCGTTTAGTATCCTTTCCTTCCTATATTTTGAAATGTACTCAGCTGAGTTTTGTAATTGAGTTATCGGTCGGATAAACCACACGGCCAAGGGGAATGTAATCAAACACATAAAGACTGCAATTCCAAAAACAACGCCAATAATGATTTTTTTCAATTTATTTACAGGAGCATTGAAAACTGATTTCTGTTGGATCACCACGATTGACCATAAAAGATTGTTTTGCATAATTTGTCTATATCCTATGGCAACGCTGGCTCCTGAATAGGATTTAACGTTTGTTGATGTACCCGAGGGTGATCGAATTGCCGTTCTCACTGAGCTTGAGGTGTTAATGTTGTACAACTCTCCCGGCCTTAGTAAAGAATTGAGAACTGGAAACACCAATTGAAACCCAATAGCAGCTTCAGCTCGTTGACTGGAGTTCAAAGTATCAATTAGGTCTGTGAGTTCCCCATACAACGGCTTCACTGCAATTACATTGTAGTCTTCAGTTGTGGAATTCAAAGCATCTTGAATTGCTTGTGCACTAGCAATGATTGATAAATACCCTGCAACATACGGCTTATCAATGATAATGGAGGAATTGGTGTAAACCGGAAGCGTCACTCCAATGAAATATGGACTGTAGATATCGCTTGAGTCATTGGCTATAGGTCCAGTAAAGTAGAAATCGGACCCGCTTGAATTTAGTAGCGCTGGTGGGATGGAACTATTTTGTGCTAATGGAAACAAGTTGTCAGCCGCGTATTGGGAAACAATTGTTGCATTGTTGTATGAACTGGCCAGCACCTGTAAGTCCAAGTTGTATAGTCGAGCGGCAGCAAAAGTTTCGGTAGATGACATAAACTGGTCTAAAGTGTTTTGAGCACTGGTGAATACTGCATTGGAATTGTTACCTGCTCTGTATTGTGAAAGTGGCGTGGTGATTGCATCAATGGCTGATAATGTACCGACTTGATATGCAATGAATGATAATGCTTGTTCAACCTGTGTAGATTTCAACTGTGATATAACGTATAACCGCTCGGACCTCAGCTGAGTGAGATTTTCACTAAAATATAGCCCCGTAACAATACCTAGTATCAAAAGGGAAAACAACGACGCAAAACACACAAGGACTATAAGCTGCGGTCGTATCCCTATCTTAAGCCTTCTCATGATGGCTTGTGGAGTAGTTTGTTATGTGGCTGGTAACTATGTTTACAAATACTTTTCAGTTCTATTGTTTTGGTCCGTTTCGTAAAAATGAAACAATAAAGATTCAGAAAAAGAAACGTGTAGAGCTTTACTAATTTTAGTCTCTCACACCCATAAAACAACATAGCACAACAAAGTAACAAAGATTTTATCGTATTTTTCTAGTTTCACGGCTCACAATCAGGTATTATCTTGACCAGTAATATTACTAGCTCTCCGGTACGTAAAAGGCTTTACTGTAGCTCTTTCACCGCCAAGAAACTGGTGCCAATGATGTTTTTGAGTGGAGATATTGCGCTACCAATCTATCCGCCAATTTTGCAGTAACGAGTTACTCATATTGCAAAGGCGTATTACAATGCGTATAGAGAGAGACGCCTCATTTTGCGTGTATATAAAACTATCCATGGTATTTACACCTTCACATTCAATTTCAATCCCACTATGCGAGCGCGAGCAAGTAGCCAAAAGAATAACCCTGCCACTGACAAACAACCAACAAATATTATGAAATTATCATAATCATGAACTTTACCATGCTTAATTATAGCTGCAGCTATTGGGATACCAAAAAGATTAGCCAATGAAAGGTAAAAATTCAAAATGCCATACTTTTTCCCCAACTCGTTGGCTTTCGATATTTGCGATAGACAAACTGGTAAGAGACTAAGTATGGATCCAGAAAACAACCCTCCCAAAACACTAAAAGCATAAAGAACCTTGTGATTGCTTCCAAATGGTAGTAGCAACACTAATATTGTCAAACAATACCCCACCAACATTATTACGTTGACATTGAACCTACCAAAGTAATCACTGGCTAATCCAGGTAAAAATCTCCCCAACGTCCCCACACCATTCCAAATTGTAATCAAGATCAATGAATCCGATTCACTCATTCCATGAGCTATGGCGTAACTGGCAAAGTATGTTACCAATAAAACAAGACTTAGCTCAGTGAAGAAACCACCGCAGATTATGAACAAGAATTTTGTATCTCTCACTTTGCAAAACTCGATAAATTTACTGGGTACTTCATTCCACTCAAATGAGGTGGCCGCACTGCTCGACCTCTTTTCCTTTCTGAATCTCTCCTTGACTAAAACAATTGAACAAACCATACAACCCAAACAAGTGAAAGCCAATATTCTGAGTGCCCACACATATCCCACCAGTGAGTACAATGATCTCAACATCAATGGAAATACCAAGCCTCCGATACTTCCACCAGCTGTGGCAAGTCCCGTACTGAATCCCACGCCTAATTTGCTATCCATTCCTTCAAACTTTTCCAACTTGTCATCATCATCCATGATATTGGGGGTATCCAGATTCTTAATTTTTGGAGTAAACCAGTGGCCGATAACCGACACCAATGGCGCCATACCGAAGCCGTTCCCGACTCCCAAACTGATGAAGCTCAAAATAAAGTGCCAAATCTCAACACTGCTTGCCGCTCCCATCAAACCAGCAAATATAAACAACGTCAGATATATCAATAGCCACGTCGTTCCGTTCGAATCGAACAACGGACCAGAAACTAAAGCTCCTGCGTATGCCAATGCTAGATAAATCGAAAAGATCCAAGACACCGTGCTTGCCGAGTATCCTCTAAATTGATGCACCGAAACATACGATTGCACCGCACCAATTGAATTTATCAAGCCGAGATTCACAATAAGTCCCAAGAATGATCCAATTAGAACTGCATAGGGTTGCAAGCTTTTGAATTTGGAAAGTGAATCCCTGTCAGGATGTGGCAAGTGTGAAAAGGACGAAGATGTGTTGCTGTCGGAAACTCGCTCGAATTCAACCACGGACTCAACACTTTGATCCTGGTATGTGTCGAAATTGCTTGGTAGTTCTCCAAGGGGCGTCACCGGACTATCATCAGCTTTAGTGGAGTTTAGGTTTCTCGAGTGTACACGAACAGGACTCAATTCAATCTCTTCTATGAAAGACATGGACGAATAGGTGTGATGCGGGAGGGTACATTGAGTCAGAAATTCGGAATTTTTAAGCTTTTTATTTTGCGCTCCCTTCGACATTCGGGATTATACTTCCGAGATGATTTAGTCATAAGAAAATAAAAATTCGGTTACATGCTGAGTTGCTGATTACCTCTGATCATTTAACCTGCATTTAAGTCCTCAACATAATCTGATCACTCTACACTCGCTTTCCCACCAGAAGTGGTTTCGAGTCTCTTGCATATCATGTCGTCTGAGTGATTTTTGTTTGTTTTTGCGCTGCGCGTTTTCCCACAGCAAACAATTTAAACAAAAATATTTCAACTCCAGAAAGAAATACGATTTTCACAGCAAATGCCACAGCAGAATCACGAGAGCGAGCATCTATTAGGTAACCACCAATCCGAACACGGTAGTGTCAGTGATACCCCTAGTCATGAGGACGATGATATCGTTTATATAAAGCAACAAATCAAACAGAATGCTACAAAACCATTCTACAAGCGACCCAGTGTGTACGCCGTAATCTTTTTGATAGGTGTACTAACACTAAGTTCATCCAGTGCTGAAGGCACACGACAATCACTAATCTATGCCAAAGCATCGGAATCGAGAAAAAGTAAGGAAAATGCCCCATACATCGTTGCAAGATTCAACCAATATTTATTGGTGGGAACAACAGCTGTTGCATTGATTCCCATTGCTAAATTTGGTGAAGTTTCCAACGTGTATGGAAGGAAGCTCTACTTTGTTATGGTTATTATTACCATAACAGTATCACGAATGCTTCAGTACCATCTATTCAGAAATTACAAAGGTTTACAATTTGGCAAGCTACTTTTAGCAAACTATATGTCATGTATGTTTGGTGGGGTCAACATAATTGGTGCTTTGACGGAACTGTATGTTTCAGATTTCACATTACCTGAAAACAGGATCTATCAGTTCGGTTTGGCTTCTTCGGCAACTTTTATTGGCCAACTGTTTGGTCCTTTAGTGGGCACATTGATTGGTAATTGGGCTGGTGGTAAATCTGTAGATGAAATTAGCGAAGCTGACTTTACAATTTTGAGGTTTGAGCTTGCGGTGTTGCTTATGCTACTGGTGTACGTCGTTACCTTGTTTCCAGAGTCAAGAAACGAATCGGCAAAGGTGAAATCGGAGGAGCAATTGGTCGAGCAAGAGCTCGAAGATGAAAGTGAAAGATCGGATGCATCTGAACAAAGTGACCTAGACGTTAACGTCAATCGAATTGTGTTGTATCAAATATTCAAAAGCTTTGACATCATACAACCGATGAAAATTTTGACGTATCCTAGTGAAGTGGCAAAAGTGAATAAAAAGCATCGTTTATTTCAGTTGCGATTCGTTGTTGTCTCATTGGTGTTGATTTATGCCGCTTACCAGACCTTGATTTTTTCATTAAACCAAGTGGTGATTGAATATGGGCAATACCAATTTCAATGGAGTTCAAATAATATCGCGTATTTGTTATCAACGATTTCAATATCACGGGCCATCTCACTTGTACTCATTCTTCCATTCTTCGAGAAAACCATATTAAAGAAAATTTTGGCTTTGAAGTCTTTGAATCGCCTGTTTGATATGGTGGAGTATATTCTTATGTTATCATCGTTTGGTATCGCCGTTCTTGTATTCCTTGCGTTTTACTCAGCCAATAGCAAAGGATTTTACATTGCTGCCGGGTGTTTTTCCCTAGACGCATTGATTGGACCTGTGTTTGATTCGACAATAATCAAATTTTTCCCCAACTCCAGTTCCGGGCAAGTGTATGGTGCAATCACATTGCTCGTGTCGTTGATGAACTTGGTGTCGCCAATACTAATCACCTGGGTATATGAAGTGGCATTGAATGTTGGACATGCAAGTCTTGTGTACTTGTTTTATGCCTTCTGGATGGGAGTTTTTATTGTTGTTGTCTACATATGCAAACGTGTATTGCATTTGAGTAGAAGCACAACCGATCAAGAGCTCAAAAGGGTGGATAACAACCAGTGAATAGCAAACAACATCTAAATTAAAACTCTATCAAAAAGAAGTCTAAACTCTTGCATCATCATCCTCAGGCACAACACTCGCAAAATTCACTGATGTGGCTCTTCTAACAACTCTTTCCTCCTCAGTGCTACTCTTTAACCCTGACACAACTTTGCAAGTTAACATCACAGCGATGAACATGGCCATGAAACCGCCATAAAGCAAAAAGATAAAACTGTCCCACTCGTTTGTCAAAGACCATTTATAAATGCCCATTATAGCAAGAGGGCCAACGACCATGAGTATGTTTTGAAGCAACGCCTGGGCAGAATAAAACTCACCAACTTTGCTTGTTGGGAAGTACTTCAACACTGCCGCAATTAGCACAGGCACGGTCCAGGAGGCAGACGACCATAGTGACAAGGAGGCATAAACATTGGCCTTTGACCTTGCTACGTACAATAACCCAAATACACCAATATCAACCACCAAAGCCATCACAATTAATATCAAGTCAACCATATCCAATCGTGATTTCAAAACTCTGAATTTCAACCATCCTTTGAGAACTGTGGTTTGAAAGAATGGGAGCAACACGAGGAGGCTGACAACTCTGGATATAGAAAAGATGGATAAAAGGTAGGAAATGTCAGTAGCCTCAAAGTCAAACTTGAAAACAACCCAATTAAGAATGACTTGACCGAATCCAATCATCAATACTTGATCAAACACAATAACCAACGTTAATGAAATCACCATCACCTTGACTTTCCCTGTACCATGAAGCAACGCTTTTAAAGGGGAAAGCATCGTGCCGAGCCTATACACAATGCCAATATCATTTCCTCCTTGGTTACTCTCAGAGGAGCTTCTTGTTGTAACAGAATTGGCTCTCGACCTTGCCAATGCTTTTGGAGTCCGAGTCTCGCTAAATACAAACACAACGAACAAACAAAGAGCAATTTCAATTACCAACTCAAGCTTCAAAATGAACAACTCACTTTGCAATACTTTCGAGCTTTGCGTGACACCTGCAATGTGAAACTTTTTGCCAGTGTTTGCATCGTATGCCGCTTTTGCCCATGCACTCAATTGCGTACCTAATATTGGCCCCAAAAACTGGCCGGCATTGGTAAATGCTGAAACTCTAGCCAACGCATTGGCTCTTTGCGACGGCTTCAGGTTTAAATCAACAACACAAGTGTTTACAATAGTTCCAATCAACATATAGCCACCACCAAGAGCCGACACAATTGTGGACGCGAGCAACCAACCAAATTGGAATGTGTCATAGTGATAAAAATAAAACAGCAAACAATTGGAAACAGTAAATGATAAAACGCCAGCCACTAAGAAAGGCTTTCGACCATAGAGATCAGACAAACCGAACTGAGAAATAGCAACAAATGACAATATTGTGCTCCCCAATAACGCATATTGGTCAAAAGTGGACAATATAAGCTGTGTATTCACTGGTGAACAAAACCCTTTGGAATCCAATGATGAGTTGCATGCCAACTTTACAAGAACGATTCTTCTAGTGCCCTCAGACATCGACATCGCCAAAGTAATACCAACAAGAAGGAAACACAATTGAAACATCGATGGCCTTGTAAGCCAGCAAGTTTGTTTGTGTAGTTCAACATGTTCTCTTATCCAAGTGAGCTCTTCATCTTCATCTGTTTCAACGCTATCTTCACTATCATGGATCGCTTCAGTGTACTCATCAACAACTTCGGTATCCAAAAGTGGATTCAATTCACTAGCAGCTGTATTCGTCTCCATTGCGATTACAATGAGGTTGCTTCTGTAAGCAAAAGGTTGTAACTTTAGTCTCCTCGTAAACTGTTATCTGTGTTAACCGTACGGCTCAAAAAACTGCGAAAAGAGAAAAAAGCAAACAAAGAAAGACGAAAAAGGAAATAAATCCGTCTTGGCGGGGATAACGCTTATATACTGATGATAGTAGCGAAATTAATCCATGGAGTTTGTGAAACCAATACTTCATTGAGTAAAGCCATCGATAACTTTGGCAACCCCATTGCAAACTTTTTCACTCTTTAATCCAATTTGTTTAGCTTTTCCTTAAATTTTGTGACAAAAGTGTATAAAACCTCTAGCAATCTGTTGCTGGGGCAAATTCATTTAATGTGCCCCATGATATGCTTCTTGTTATCTGAAGCTGGGATGATAAAACCTAGGTCCAAAGCTCACTACAAACGACGTTGCTAATAGTTCAATTGCTTAATATTTACCTCCATGTCCCACTCACGTGCACTTTAGACTTTTTTTGGTGGTTGCATGGTAGCGGAGGATAATCTTTCATTTTGCCCGCACTCTATTTTGTGGCAGTTGTTTGATGACGATGATAACTCTCCTAGAATTATAACATTTCATTCTCCACAACACATTTCAAACTAATATGCCACCTCCCTCGTCACCCTCAGAGCGTCGAGAGGGAAACGAACAAAGAGGACTTTCGCACAATGTGAGACGATTTCGTAATGCATCCACCGAGTCATTTCCTACGTTGAATTCATTAAATGTTATATCAGATCTCATGTTGCGAGATGAAAACTCCATGCTGCGGCCAAATGAGGAAAGGTTCTTTCGAGCTAGAATTCTTCGCCATTTTAATGATATAAATAGGCTACAGACTCATTTCAATAGACTAATCAATCGTGAAGGTGGCAACCATCAAGCAACTTTGGAGCTAAATAATATACCGTCACAGTTGAGAAATTTATCTAGAGAATTATCACGCTCAGAACGAAGGGAGGCGTACCTTGTCGAGTCAGGCGAGGACGATGATGATGAAGATGACCAGAGCTTTCACTACGAGGAGGACGCAAATGCCGGGTTGGTTTACTACTCCGATGAAGATAACAATGAAGATGAAATGAGTGAAAACGACGACGAAGATATTTCAGGGCTGCTTATGGAGGAATCTGGTATATCTGTCCAACCGCACGAGAGACTTTTGTTGACATCGGCAAGAAGTCCTCAAACAGCTCGAACTCCTTTGTTGAATTCAAGTATACCACTAAGGCGACAGAATGCAATACGTATAAGAAGTATGTTGAATACAGAGGAGAGCGACGGAACTAAAAAAAGTGATTCCAGAGCCACCGAGACATTAGATTTAGAAGCTAAACTGTTACAGAAAGAAATTCATTCAGTTTTGGAAACCATAGAGCGTGCAAGAAATGAATCTTCATTGTTTCCTAGTAATCTCCATAAGCCGTTCAGCACTCGCTATTTTTCCAGCTTGCAGGATCACATGCAAGGTTGTCTGCTTGACGGCAATACAAGTGCTGACCAAATGATGGATGATTTTTTGTGGAAACGGGTCAATAAAATGCTCTTCCTTAGAAAACAGGTAGCACCCTCGCAGCCACCACCGCAGAGTTCTAAAAAACGGACAAAAAGGTATGATGGACCCAGTTCCAAACGTCAGAAAACAAACCCAACAGAAAACCCTGACTTGTTAGAATTGAATGTAGCTTCATATCCATACACCCACATTGATAAGAACATCTTGGTGGATGGTTTGCATTCAAGCTACTTCCAATCGGGGTCTAGTTACCGCATAAATCTTGACTGTCCAGAACCAAACATTTGTGATATCAAGTTTGGTAATGTCAACTCGATTATAGATGGAGTGTTCAATATAGAACCAGCGGGTAGCTTGGAATCATTGCTTTTGAAATTGCACAATTTTGCCAAATTCTTTTGTGGAATGTCCAATAATTCATATCAACTACCTAAAAACAAAATACTCATTAGAAAATTGAATGTTTTGGACAGAATCTCTGTGGATGATAATGTTTGTTTCAAAAAACTAAATGTAAATACCATACACGTTCCATTTACCGGAAAGGTGGTTGATTTCAAAACCAACGATTTGAGATTTTTGAATCTGGCAAAACCACTTTCGGCAAGGTTCAATTCAAACAAAGTAAAAGTGCAGCTTTCTGAGTGGATGAAAATCAACCCTTTTGTTCAATTTCGGGAAACGTTTTTTCACAATTTTCTCCAACACTTGGAGCAAGATTTATCACACTTTTCAGAGATTGGAATTCGAAAGTCAAAAAAGACAGAAGCCCTACACTTGACAAAGGAGTTTAAATCAAATCTTTCTGAAATCACAAAGGATTTTGGTTACCTTAAAGATACGCCAATTTCAGAATGCAATGACAAAAGAAGGTGTAGACGTCACAATGACATTTTTGTAGAGGATTGGGAAAGAAACTTGGCATTGAAGTTGGCAGAAGTGGTTACCAAAGAGGATTGTGAAACATTGATAAATTTGCAACTCAATTATGCGTTATTCACAATTGAAGTCGACATATCAAAATATTTAGACACGTTTTTTAATGCAATTCTACTACACACAGAAGGTGATTATATTGACAACTACAAAAAGGTTTACAACAATATCTTGAAAGACGAAGCAGAAAGCATCACAGCCGTTCTCCTCTGCTCAATCAACAAACAAACAGGGAAGCTCGAAGCTCACAACACTTTTCCCCACTTGTATCATAGACACATGGCCAGGCATTCTACTGGAATCATACTAACCACAAATCCGGCTTTAAATGAAAACACAGGAAGAAACACATATGTTTATGATGATTTTGATTTGTTTCAACAGCCAGCTCCTGTAAACTCGGATACATTCAACATACAATTTTTCAACAACCAGCCAGAAGAAACTATTGACAAACTTACAGGATACATGACTCTGAATCTACCAGTATTCGATACCGTATAGTTATTTTTGCTATATAAATTATCTCCATCCCCAACCTGGCTTTCCATCTATCTTATCTTGTCTCTTCTTTCTAAAGAAATCCTTTCGGCATTCTTTGTAAGCATCGAAAAAGTCTTGACAAACATACTTGTCGTCCTGATTTCGGTAAAGGCAATCCATCGATGCTTGTCTGCTTTCTTCACAAGGATCGTAAAATTTCGACGCCTCTTTAGCTGCCCATTTATATTTGTGTCGATGATTTTTGGGGTCGTCTGGGTAAAACTTGTAATTCTCAACACCACCTTCTGTGAAATTTACGTTGGGTTTGCCTTTGTCAGTCTCCCCGGTCGATTTTTGCTCCGCCTTGTTGTCTTGTGGTGTGGAGGCGTTACTCATGGCTGGTCATACCCTCTTGCTACCAAAAGATGGAGACATTTATCATTCACAATTTTTCGGTTTTTTTTTTTTTCTTTTCCATTTCCTTTTGACGCTGGTTCTTCATTCATATCAATCACCATGGTTTTAGCAGACTTGGGAGAAAGACTCAGAGGCGCTCTCTCTTCTGTTGAAAAAGGTTCAGATGATGAAATTCAGCAAATGATTAAAGACATCTGCTCTGCTTTGTTAGAGTCAGATATCAATGTTAAACTTGTCGCCAAATTGAGAGGCAATATACGGGATAAGATCGAGGAAGGGAACGTATTGAAAGAAACATCATCTCAAAATAGGAGAAAGAAGTTGCAGAAAATCATATATGACGAATTGTGTGCTCTAGTTGATTCACACGTTGAGCCACCAAAACCAAAGAAGCTTTCCGCAACCACCAAAACCATTAATGGGAAGAAAGTAAGGGTTTCCAAAGAGTCGAGTCATGTAATCATGTTTGTTGGGTTACAAGGTGCTGGTAAAACCACCTCGTGTACGAAATTAGCAGTTTACTACAAAAAGAGGGGATTCAAAGTTGGGTTGGTGTGTGCTGATACTTTCAGAGCCGGTGCTTTTGATCAATTGAAACAAAATGCTATAAAAGCTAATATACCCTACTATGGATCGTACTTGGAACCTGACCCGGTGAAAATTGCAGCCGAGGGTGTACAAAAGTTTAAGCAGGAGAAGTTTGACATTATTATTGTGGATACTTCAGGAAGACACAGACAAGAGGAACAATTGTTTACTGAAATGGTGCAGATTGGTGAGGCTATTCATCCTAGTCAGACCATAATGGTGATGGATGGGTCTATTGGTCAAGCAGCTGAGTCGCAAGCTCGTGCTTTCAAGGAAAGCTCTGATTTCGGATCTATAATCTTGACGAAAATGGACGGACATGCCAAAGGTGGTGGTGCCATTTCTGCGGTCGCTGCAACAAAGACTCCCATTGTATTTATTGGTACTGGTGAGCACATCGGTGATTTGGAGGTATTCAAGCCGACGACGTTCATTTCCAAATTGTTGGGTATTGGTGATATCCAATCACTCATTGAACATGTACAATCCTTAAACTTGCACCAAGATGAGGGCCACAAACAAACAATTGAAAATATCAAGGAAGGGAAATTTACTTTGAAAGATTTTCAAAACCAAATGAACAATTTCATGAAGATGGGACCACTAACGAATATTGCATCAATGATACCAGGAATGTCGGGCCTTATGTCACAAGTTGGCGAAGAGGAAACATCGAACAAAATTAGAAACATGATTTTTATTATGGATTCAATGACTACAAAGGAGTTGGAAAGTGATGGTAGAATGTTCATCAAAGAGCCCAGCAGAATCGTAAGGATAGCTAGAGGTTCGGGATGTAGTGTAGTGGAGGTTGAAATGATTTTGCAACAACATAGAATGATGTCATCGATGGCAAAGTCAGCAATAGCAGCTCAAGCTCAAGGCGGACAACCTGGCGGTCCGTTTGCAGGCAATTCTCAAATGCAGAGAATGATGCAGAATGCACAATCAAATCCAAACTTTATGCAACAAGCAATGAGTATGTTAGGTGGTGGTGCCGGTGCCGGTGGTGGTGCGGGTGGCGGGCCGGGTGGATTAGCTGGAATGATGAATAATCCAGCAATGATGCAACAAGCGCAACAGATGATGAGAAGTAATCCGCAAATGATGCAACAAGCACAAGAGATGATGAAAAATCCACAAATGATGCAAAGAATGATGCAACAGTTTGGTGGCATGGGAGGAATGTAAACCTTACATAATTTTAATATTGATACACTGTTAGTCTTTTATAAACCTACCTGTAGAAACCTGGTCTGGAAGCATTCATTCCATACTCACTTAATGCGTTACTAAGGTCTTCCATAGTCAACACCACTTTTCCTTGTTGATTGCCGATTGAAGAGTGCGACTGCTGAGAAGCTTGCTGCTCATTATTTTCCGCATTAGCATTGCCGTTACCTGCTAATGTTTGTTGGTTAGCGTATTGTTGTCCCTGAAGCAACTGCTTAGCTCTTGCTTGTGGATTGGACGAATTGTACACGGCGCTAGCATTTCTGATCCTGCTATATTCGTAAGCATCCTGTGCTATGTCACTGATGAACTTTTGCGTAGCTAGGGCAATAAGTCTCTTTATTTTAACATCAGATGATTCAAATCCGTTTTTAGCCAAGTAATAGTCTGTGACAGCATCCGGTATGATCGGTGCAAATTCATCATCCATCATATCTAGAACTTCCTTGAGTGTTTTGTCCTTACGTGTGAGGTCGGGCAAATCGGGGATTAATGATGAAGCTGCTGCTGCTGTGGCAGCGGCGGCAGCTGATAGTGATTGTTGCTTTTGCTTTGATTTCTCTTCCTTCGACAGCTTCTGGTTGGTTTCTCCTGGTGTAGCTTCGTTAACAGCGCGTGGCACATCAACGACGTTCTCTTCAACGTCATCAAACTCTTCATCCATCATCTCAATATCTTTACTTGTCGATTCACTCATTATGCAGTTGTTTCTCCAAGTTGTACACAGTCAGAAGTTGATTTTTCTTTTCCGCGAGAAATCAGTTATTTCAATCAAACTACACCTCTTCCACACCAAATGGTGAATCAACTAATTAATCCCTATGAGTCGCCGACATTTGGGAAATCTCTTCTGCTAAGGGTAGATGGCGCAATTGGGGCAATGTCACTTTCCCCAAATGGGAGGGATGCCGTGTTGGCTGGCCGACGTGGTTTGTTCGTAATTGACATGGATGATCCGTTTACACCTCCACGTTGGCTACATCATATAACATCGTGGGAAGTTGCCGACGTTCAATGGTCGCCTCATGCATTTGTTAAGCCATCGTGGTGTGTATCGACATCGAATCAAAAAGCCCTTTTGTGGGATTTAAATCGGCCGTCCAACAATGCCATTGAAAATATTCTACATTCACATTCAAGGGCTATTTCAGATATAAATTTCCACCCGTTTGATCCAGAAATGCTAGCTACTTGCTCTATTGATACATTTGTACTTTGTTGGGATATGCGAACGCCAAGAAAGCCAGTCTCGAAATGGGCCGATTGGAGAGCAGGTGCAATCCAAGTGAAGTGGAACCACGAAAATCAATATGAGATTGCTCTGACTCATGATAATTCACTATACATTTGGGATACTCGGAAAGGTGCTCTTCCTGTATTCAAAGTCACAAAAGCTCACCACGGCAAAATTAATGGGCTTGATTTTACTCAGGGTGCAAAAAACATCATCACATGTTCTAATGATCGTACAATAAAGTTTTGGGATTTAGAAAGTGATAACGCAAATAGAGCAATAGCAAAGTTTGACTATTTTGATAGTGGAGCCGAGAATGATATCAGACCCAGTGTGGTTGTTGAGGTTGAATTTGCAATTGCGCGAGCACGAGCATTACCTTTTGGATCGGATAGAGCATGTGGAGTTATGCCCTTGAGAGGAGGAAATGATGCAATACATATTATCAACTATGAGGATGCATACCAACAGTACTTGGCTAGCAAAGAAACTCAGCGATTGAAAGGATCTTCTGATTACTCCTTTGTCGGTCATCATGGACCAATAAAAGATTTTTTATGGAGAACAAGGCATGAATCATATAACGGATTTGAGTCGAAAAACAATTGGAAAGAGTTTCAATTGGTTACCTGGTCTGATCTGGACGTTGATTTGAAATTGTGGCCTAGTGATGATAAACTATATAGACTGGTTAACTATGATCCAACGTTTTTCAATGTATTTAAAAACGATCTGGAGTCTGATCTATCCATGACGGATAAACCCGTTAATCAAGCGAAATACAACTATGAGACCTATTGTCAAGAACCAGAGGTTACAATTGATGATTTAGCCAAAACAAATGGAGAAGATTTGCTATCAGCTTTGACATCGTACCAAATTTCGGAGAAGCATAGACAATCAGGATTTGAGTTCAATCAACTTGATCATTTGAACTGGATATCCGGTGTTCGCATGGGTCGTGGAGATCGGAAAGACAGCTCTGTATATGGTGGTGGTGACAGTCCAGCCAACTTGGGTGAAGAAGTTAGTATTGTGGGCCACAAATTTCCATTCATCAGATTCGAAAAGATTTCGGTGTCTACTGGGGATTTAGTCATCAGCCTCAAAGGTCCCGTTCCTGTGTATATTTCAAAACCACCAGACCACCGACGATCGGTTGACTCGGTGGAGAACACTCGTCTTGCTCTTACGGCTGTGAATTCCACAAAGGACAAGAGTGTTATGAGTGAAGATGGGAAAGAACCCGAGCACAAGAGCCAAGTTGACGATAGTGTGTTAGATACGCATCTCGAAGAGCTGACTGAAAATGTTTCAGAGCAAAAATTAGTTTTTATCCGTCTAGCTCTCAGCTTCCCTCACTCATATCCATATCTCGAGCAAATTGAATTTGACAAATCGCTACTGAAAAAGAGAGCTCACAGATTGCAGAGACAAAACTCGATAATGTTCAATATTGAAGAAACACATGAACTTGGCAAAGACTTGAGACATGAAATGGAAAATCATTTGGAACAGATTGCATATTTTTATACAAACAAGTATCAGCAATTCTGCCTTGAGCCTTGTTTGCGATATCTAATGGGGGAAAAGGTGGAGCTTAATGACGATGCAATGATGGAAACTCGAGGAAACAACGTAGATGATAATTCTTCGTTTCTTCCAGAGGTGGGAGATGAAGATTGGGTTGATGATTTGATAAACCAGCAACCAGGGTTTCACGGTTATTCCTCGGGTGAGGATGTAGAGGATGAAGATGACTTGATTCCGCCAGTCACTGTGAACACTCAAAATGCTCAATCACGAGGTAATTTTGACAACGATTTCAGTAAAGGGCAAGGAAACTTCGATTCCACGCCTATTCCCAAAGGTTGTGGTGCCGTCTGGGCACCAAACGGCCTGTTGGTTTGTTTTTTCATTCCTAAAATTAATCCCGAAAATGGTGGAAAGAAACACCAAAATTTTCGTTTGTTGAAACAATCGAGCCTGACTCTGAAGGTTATTGAAAGTCCAATTGGTGGCGGATCAGCCGAAATTGATGCAGTTGATAAGAGTGACTCGGCCTCAGAGTCATCAGGTAACCAATCCGAGACGTCCTCGTCGTCGGAAGATTATTTTGAGGAAGATTTAGAGGAGATACTAAAACACGATGCTTCGTCTCGAAGTAGAGTTCCTGGACTATTTCGATCCAATTTAGGATTAGGTGGTCGGTTCATCTCCAATGAAAGCGCGCATAAATCATCCTTGAAAAAGTTTACCAGCCACGGAGAGAGTTTGTCAAACTATAAGTCTTCGATCAAGGATGACGGAAACAAAAGTAAACTCGATTCTAATAATGACATCAAAAACCTCGTTGTTATTATCGATTTCAATCATTTGCTACCAAACAGAATAGAATTGGCACGTGAGTATAAGCTTGTTGGTGACCGACCCGAGAATCTTGCCGGATACAACTCAAGAGTGGCCTCAAAGAATGGACTCGACGAAATAGCTCAAGTTTGGAGAATTTTAGAAATCCTTTTGACCAATAATGTAAGCAATAGCATGGTTTCTCGCGTTGGATCAAAGCAACCAGATGGTAAGACATTTAATCCCAAAGCCAAATTGAATGACGTGTTGTCAATATGGGGAACCCACCCATTTGGGTATACATGGCTCATTAGAGAAATTTTCAACTACTTTGTCGAGAGACAAAATACCCAAATGCTAGCAACAATGTCATGTGTGCTACACAAATCACCTTACACAACGAATCGCTTCGATCCGCATGGTACTTATGAGAGTGAACGGGAGTTATCAAGTCATCAAAGTTTGCGCACCAGTCACGCCAAACATCTGGAACACAGTTTTGAACCTCGAATACCTTTGCACACACGAACGAATTCTAGGAATATTGACTATCCTCACTCAGTTGCATCATCCTTTGATAATCATAGTGCTCACACTGACTCGGTGGATCGATTCGGATACGGAAGGAAAATGGTGCATTCTTTCTCAGCTTTAAATTCGAAAAATGGCTCTCAAAACTCATTGGTAGAACCGCAAGGTGCGTATCGAACGTCTACCCCAAAACTGACCTCTCATATGCTGGTCAACAAACTGAAAAATGGTAAGAGTTTGATGACAGAGATGAAACATCAACCACCTCCGACTGTCTCCGTAGAAATGCAAAATGTGGAGGAGCTAGATCTATTCGAGGATGCGTCCTCTTTGTCAACACTTCCTGACTTTTTAAATGACGCTGAGATGAAAATGTATCGAACGCAATATGCTGAAACTTTATATGAGTGGAACCTCCCTATTCATCGATTGGAAGTATTGAGATTCAATTACAATGGTACCGAACATGATCATAGCTACGATATTCATGAGTGTAAAGTTGGATTTAGAAAAAGAAAGAAGCAACTCCCTAGTCAGATATTTATCAATACAGTTTCCTCAATTGAGACTAGATGCCCAAATGCTTGGAACACAAATAAGCGTCTGAAGTTAAAGTATTGCATTTACTGTGGGTTACTAGTAACTAAAAACTTTACGTTATGCGGCAACTGCGAACACATCCTACATACCAAATGTGCCCAAGTATGGTGGTCTGATGGTAATAACGAATGTGCTAGCGGTTGCGGATGTAATTGCTTGGAGGAGTCAATCTACCATTAAGGAATACGTGTGTTGACAATTTGATTCTTAAATTTTGCGTCCCACTCATTTGCCAAATCTTTGAGATACTCGGCCACATCTTCCAGTCCTGTGGTATCCACTTCTTCATCAATCAAATATTCTTTGCCATTTCTGGTACAAGCAGAACCAACTTTTGATGTTTGTTTGGTCTTACCTATAGCCGCAGCCACTGGAGCATTGGCTGCAATATAACCCGATATATTATGATATTTGGATCCCAAGAATCTTGCCAAATAAAACAAAGCCAACATACCATAGTAAGTAAATACGTTCAAAAATTGAAAAAAAGAAAAGCTAGTGAATATACCTGGATGCACCAAGTATTGATTGACCCCCTCTTTTTTAAGTTGTTTGTATGTTCCAAAATGCAATAAATCCACCAATCTCTTTGACCCTTCGTAGGATTCGGGTGATCTCAACAATTGCAAGTCATTGAATGACAAGTACTTTGGATGAGACATGAGTGATCCAATCCAAATGATTCTGCCTCCATTAGCAAGTAAATGTTTGATTCTATGTATAAGATAGTAAGGACCAAATACATTTGCTTGGAATACAAGTCCCATATTGTCGGCAGATTCAACACCAGTACGTTGAAGTTTATAAGTAGGATTTGTTACGGCTTGAATTGGGTTTTGGAATACTTCAACAACTGCTTGTAACCAATCAATTCCACCATAAACGCCTTGAGCGGCATTGATAAACAAATAATCGATACGTGTATACCTCTTGTCCAATTCGTAGTATGCAGATAGAATAGATACCATATCAGTAAAGTCCACCAATAAATAGTCAAACTCAACTAGTTTGATCTTGTCGGGGATCTTGTTGATGATGTAATTTTTAATATCCGATATGACTTCTTTAACTTTTGGTAATGTTCTCGAAGTAACAATTAATGTGATTTCCTTGTCATTCGGTAAATCCTCAAGTAGACGTACTGCTATGTTGAACCCCAAGTTTGAAGATGTACCCGTTATTACAATTTTAGTGGAATCTTTGATTAGTGACATAGTAATGGCCTTGGAAAGAAAGAAAAGGTGTTTGAGGGAACAATTGGAATTATTTTACGCGATCGTATAACTTTTTTTTGCATACACAAACTCAAAGAGGTTACTTAAAGAAGTAAAAGCCAATGAGGACTCCTTGGGTTATTCAGCGCAAGTAACAAATTGCAGCCCTGATATAGAAATACGCGTTGCTCTACTTCGTGCCTACGTACTTTTCTTACATTGAAGCGAGGAATGCTAAATATTATCTTGTATTACACTGGTAAATACATGCTTTTAACGATATGGAGCATCGGCATCGATACAGTATTGCAACTCTTGTTCCCATCTATCACCGTTATCCAACAATTTTTCCTTGTTGTACAATAATTCTTCTCTTGTGGCAGTGGAGTATTCAACATTTGGACTTTCAACAATAGCATCAACAGGACAACTTTCTTGACAGTAACCACAATAAATACACTTGGTCATATCGATATCATATTTGTATGTTCTTCTTGATCCATCAGCTCTTTCCTCAGCTTCGATAGTGATTGCTTGTGCCGGACAGATAGCTTCACATAATTTACAAGCAATGCATCTTTCTTCACCACTTGGATACCTCCTCAATGCGTGCTCTCCTCTGAATCTGGGACTGATTGGACCTTTCTCAAATGGGTAATATATCGTATATGGACTTCTAAAGAACATTTCCAAACAGACATACATACCACGAGCTATTTCACTCAAGAAAAAGTATTTTGTAGCTTTACTCAATGCCGATTCATGACCTTCTTCCCAAGTCTTTGGCTTGGCTTGTCTGAAACCCTTTGGCCATGCTGATTGTGTGGATCCTCCAGTGGGTAAATATTCGGTTGTTTCTGCAGCTAAAGCTGGTTTGAGCAAAGTTTGTGAAGATGAAATGAAACGAATGTTATTGTAGATGGCCAATGTTTTGACGGATGAGTTTTGTACTAACCTGGATGCTACGCTTTGTCTAAACATTGTGATGGTGGTTTGGTATAGACTGGTATGAATATGTTTTGATTAATAAATAAATAGGCCCGCAGGTGTTCTGTTATTCCCTTGTGTTACTCCCTTTGATGACTCGGGTATGATGTGGTGATCAGAATAAACAACCTATAATAGCAACAGTCTCTTAAGATGCTGTCTTACTTTGGGGTTTTTGATTTTTTTTTTTGAGTTTTTTGCCTATTGGTGTTTTTTTTTACTTAGTGACATGGTAGCTTACATTTGAGTAAGAATAAAAATTCAATCTTTCATTGGCTGTATCAACATCATACTGCATATAATCTATACATCTATCATCTATCCAGTTTAACATCATTCATGCGATCACCACTTTGATCCCACAAGTATTGCTGTTGGATCAGTTGGCTTTTCAACTTCATTGAAATGAGTCTTTAGTAACCTATCCTCATTAACGCCATACAGTTGCTCAAATAAATCCCTATAATCCTTTAGCCGCTGTACTTCCCCTGGATGCAATGATAAATCAAAAGTAGAAACCGTATTATATTTTGACAAAACTTCACCAATCCAGTCCTTCTCGGATACGTCATTGGGTGGTTTGATTTGGCCTCCACCATTGATGCATCCACTAGGACATGCCATGATTTCAACGTAATCAACCTTGGACGGATCAGCCGTTTCTTCAACAGAGGTGGATTCAGGTTCCTTCATTCTCGCTCTTCTTCGTGCAGCCAATGGATTTACTCTCCCAACCGTCTTTGCATTCGGTTTGAGCTTCCTCACTAAATTTTGAATGTTTCTAAACCCATTGACGATTGCTGCACTTGCGACTCTTTCCTCCTTGTACATTAGTCTCATTTCAAACACATCTGAGTTTTTTCCCAGTATCACTTTCATTGAAAAATCACTCTCATTATATCCTTTCAGTATCAAATCGTTCTGGAAAAATCGAAGATAATTGAAGGCATACCCACCTGATGAGGAACCTGGATCGTTGGTCCACGAGTATCGGGGATATGGCCAGTACTTTGGAGCTACAAGGTCATAGACTTCCTCTATTGGTAAAGTCAAACTTTTTGGCTCAATTTTGGGCACAAGCTGGTAGTTCTCTTCTTCGAGCAACGCGATCAATTCCTTTGGTGTCAACACGCAATCAACATCCGGAATCGTGTCGCCGAATATCTCTGGTCTAGCACTTTCTAGTTTCTTGTCAAAACAAGGCATGATTGACAAATGATAAACTTGCGACTTTGGTACATGAAACTCGTCGGCGGTGAGAGTCTTTAACAAGCAACCTGTGATTTGCTGAGCTGACTTTACGGGTGAGATCATGGGTAGCACATAGGGGTGTGTCTTTTCGGCATACAACACCCATCCAGGGCATATCGATGATAGTATTGGCTTCGAATCTTTACCTCTATTTGCCATAACGTATTTTGCTTCATTGATTAGCGAAAATTTCCTCCCTAGAGATGTTCCAACAACTTTTTGAAATCCCATTTGATCGGCTAATAAATTGACTAGTAGTTTGTCTATTGTTTCTACCGGTAGATCATACGCCATGGCCAAGGATGCACGCAGTTGTTGTGATATACTGGCAACAAATATCTTATCTTTTAATTTCAATGCCTTTACGAGCTCTTGATGTGAATGCTGTGCTACTAAAACTTCCTCAGCTGACGTTATACATCCTGAACAAGCAAGACAGTCCGCTAGGGAAATCTGTGCTGGCGTTAAACTGGTTTGTTTTCCATCAATTTTTGATATTTCAAGTGGATTACCTTCGGAATCTATCTGAATTTCAACTTCTCCGCTCTCGTTTGACTCGTGACTGGCGGGAACGTCTTGTACTGGTTTAATACAGGCCACTCCTGGTGATATGAAATCATTCAAGTCGTCCGCTGATAATATGGCACTCATTGTTGTGAGAATCCAATAAGAAAAGTGTATTACTAAGATATCACATTCTTTTGTTTTCTTTTTTTTTTTTTCGCGATAAGATGATGCCTACTATCAGAAGCACACCACTACATTTTTTTTGGGCAATTGCTTAGACTACCTACTATCTCTAAACTCCTCTGGTGGTGTATCGTTTTCCTCTTCTTCGTCTCCACTTATGTCACCCAACTCAAATTCTTCAACATTGACAGGTGTATACAGCTTGTCGAGCTCTCCGTTTTCATCGTACCCGACTAGTCTCAAATACAACCAAATGCACAATTGAATCCAAAGAAAGATTAGAAACGCGGCAGCAGAGACCACCAAGATATATGCAGAATGATCAGACCCTAAATCATGCACCAACTGTAACTGTTCCTCATTAGCGCCCATGAACAAAATACCTGACAAAGCTAACCCAAATGGAGGCAAGTATTGAAACGTGAGAATCTTGCCCAGTTCGCTGCAAGCTTTGTCCTTCAACAAAAACGCTGTTTCAATGATCCTTGTGACACCAGCACCCATCAATGCAATTCCAAACAAAGCGTGGACTTTTGTTGAGATTACCAAATGTTGTGAATGTTCACTCATCAGCCAACCAGTGAAGATCAACAAAAGGGCAGGAACAAATGATCTTTGATTGTTTCTCGACAAATACATTCCTAATAACCCACCACCCCACCAAATAATACCCATGGCGGTATGCTGATAGTCACCCATGTTCCATGCTTCTCTTCCCCAACGATGTTCTGTGAATGTATTAACAATACCCCACAACATCATCACCGTGGAGTCGTAAAATTCTTGTGATCTCATGAATGAGCTATTATTGTGCAATTGATGTTTGCGAATCCATGGAACTACAAGCACCACTGACAAGATGAACGAGTACATGATGAATGCTGAGCCCATGATTCCATGGGCAATGCATTGGCCGGTGTGAATGCCATAACAAAATCCAAATAATGCAACTGGTGCCATGCACACTCTAACCCAACCAGTTAGAAGACAAAGCAATGATGATATTTTATAAATCTTGTATGGCATGGTATACTCATTGTAATGCTTGGACAAATGAGGATAAAATTTGTTGATGATGAGATTGCTACCGTTGATGAGAGTTCCCAAGAAAATTGTGGCTCCCAACAAGATACTTAAAAACCAGCTTGTACCTTTTGAAGTTCTATTTTCATGATTGTCCTTGTTATCCGGGAAATCTAAAAACAACGATTCAAAGATGGAATATGTTGTGGAAATGTATTGTAGAAGCAATGACCAATGTAGCCTATTAGCAAATGCTAATGACGTGCTAATTGAAGGTAGTATTAACAAAACAAACAATGTCAAGATCCAATGAAATGTTTTTGATCCGGCATTTATGGGATGGAATTCTGGTCTTTCTTCATCCATATCCATACCGGAATCGGCAAGCGCAAGTGCAAAAAACGTGAGCGCAATGACTGCTACTCGTCTCATAGAAACCGTCATATCAGAATTATGGGCGACAAATAACAATTGTTAACAAGATAATTTTATGGGTATTGGCTGATTATTGTTATTTTTTTCGCTTCTACGACGTTTAACTGTTTTCCATATTCGGTATTAAAAGGAGGAAATCCGAAAGTTGCACGTGACAAGGTTAGGTATATCGATTAGCAACGAGTAGCATAATAAACGAGTGCATCAGTACAGCTAGAGGTGTTTTCATTATCTCATAGTTTAGGGCGTTGGTCGAGGTTTCAAGTGTCCTGATCAGAACAGTAAAGCATGAAATTACTCTATCGTGTTAAGATTCACTTTGACGTATTTTTCGCGTTATGGTTATACGTGTCATTTCGAATCGACAATAAAAAATCAACAAAGAACAATGCTGATTAGACAGAAAGTGGATCATACAACTGAAGACAGCATCCAGACATGCAACCGAAGAGACACTGACAAGTTTCCTCCGAATCTGATCTCACTCTATAGTACATGTGAAATTCACTTTTAAAGACTTCAGTTGACATCTCTTTGTGTGATGAAAATTTTATTGTTGTTTTTTTTTCTAGCTCTTTTTTTTTTTAGGAAGAAAATTATCATCATTTTACCAACAACATAAATTTTAAGTCGTTATTTTTGTCGGTACAGAGAGGATCTGAAAATATTATAGAGTACAGAAGGATAATAAGTGCCGACGTTCAAATCTCACACAACCTCTGTCACCAATACAGGTCCAAACAAACATAGAGATTCACCTACTAGAGGTGATATACAACTGTGGAATAAGCATAAAGACTTTCCCCCACATACACACTTACTTACTCACCCACTCACTCACTCAACTCATATTCACAAATAAGCAGGCTTCACTACAGACATGTTGTCACTCAAGCTGTTGCTCTGCGTACTTATCTATTTCATTAGCTTGACACACCAATTTCAAGTTCCACCTAGGGATTACGAGAATAAAAATTACTTTCTAGTGGAGTTGAATACAACTCAATCACAGAAACCATTACTCGATTTCATACTGAAGTATTCGAACCATTACAACTTCGAACATCAATTACCATCGTTAGAAAATTATTATGTGTTCAGTATAGACAAACTACATCCTCATAATGCATTTTTGGGGAATCACAAATCAAACAATTACAATAAAATGAAGAGATCTACTGGGTATGAAGATATTCACGATGAATTGGTTAATGATGTGGCATCATTGCATTTATTACCAGCAAAGAAGTTATCCAAAAGGCTACCTGTGCCTATGGAAGTAAGAGATGAAAAGCCATCAAATGAGCAATCACCATCTGACAAGGCACATCAAAAGTATGCCCAAATTGCATCAAAGTTGGATATTCATGATCCCGAATTTGCTTCACAGTGGCATTTGTTCAATTTACAGTATCCCGGTCATGATGTTAACGCCACAGGTCTTTGGTTGGAGGATATACTCGGTCAGGGAATTGTCACTGCCATTGTTGATGATGGATTAGATGCAGAGAGTGCCGATTTGAAAGCAAATTTTAACGCTAAAGGATCTTGGGATTTCAATGATAACGGACCGCTTCCTTTACCTCGATTGAGTGATGACTATCACGGAACTAGATGTGCAGGAGAAATTGCCGCGGTGAAAAATGACGTTTGTGGAGTTGGAGTTGCCTACAAGTCTCAAGTGAGTGGTGTCAGGATTTTGTCTGGACCCATCACCTCTGCTGAAGAAGCTTCTGCATTGGTTTACGGATTGGAAACTAATGATATTTATTCATGTTCATGGGGTCCAACTGATAATGGTAGAACTTTGAGTGAGCCAGAAATTATTGTGAAAAAGGCAATGTTGAGGGGTATTCAAGAAGGTCGAGAGGGTAAAGGTGCAATTTATGTGTTTGCATCAGGAAATGGTGGAAGATTTTCCGATTCATGCAACTTTGACGGGTACACCAATTCGATTTACACCATCACTGTTGGTGCTATTGATCATAAAGGAATGCATCCATTGTATTCAGAGGCATGTTCTGCAGTTATGGTGGTTACATATTCATCTGGGTCAGGGGAATATATTCACACTACCGACATCAAGAAGAAATGTAGTGCTCGGCATGGAGGAACCTCGGCGGCAGCACCATTGGCTAGTGGGATATTTTCTTTGATATTAGGTGCCAATCCCGATTTGACTTGGAGAGATTTACAATATATCAATGTGTTGAGTGCCACCCCAGTAAATGAAGAAGATGGCAATTATCAAACTACTGCATTGAATAGGAAATATTCTCACATGTATGGATATGGTAAAATAGACGCTTACAAGATGGTGGAATTTGCCAAGACGTGGAAGAATGTGAAGCCACAATCATGGCACTATTGTGACAAGATTGAAGTTAACCAAGAGATTTCTTTGAATCAACCACCAAAACAACAACAACAGCAACCACCAAAGAGGGATGACGATAAAGTTATCTCTTCCAAGGTTACCGTAACCGAAGAGGATCTCAAAGTGATGAATTTTGAAAAAATTGAGCATGTCACTGTCAAAGCCAATATTGATTCATCATTCAGAGGCAGAACTGGGGTCAGATTAGTATCACCTAGTGGAGTTGTTAGTGATTTGGCTAAATTTAGACCCCTTGATTTCAGTTCAAGAGGATTTCAAGATTGGACATTTACCAGTATTGCTCATTGGGGTGAAGATGGATTAGGCGAATGGACACTTGAAGTGTTTGGTGATTCTAATCCTGTTAATATAAAGCTTGTTAATTGGCAACTTCGATTTTTTGGTACAACTATTGATGCATCGAAAGCAGAAACGTTTGACATTGAAAGGGACTATAGTCAAGTTAGAAGGGATAGACTTGAATCAGAGAGGAAACAACACACAGCTGAGACTAAAGTGGAGTCGTCAACTGAAACATTGTCATCATCGTCAACTGTGAAAGGATCGTCTTCCACCTCGCAAGAAGAATTATCCACTACGAGTACGACTGCGTCTTCCAGTGCAGCTGAACCATCATCGAACACGAAAGAAGCTGAGATATCGAAGCCATCTTCTTCAACAACATTTTTTTCTACGCCTGCTGCCTCTGAAACCGCAGAAACAGAAGATGGCGAACATGTTTACAAGAAGGATCATACAGGACAATATCTCATGGGACTAGCTGGACTTGGATTTGTTATTGTTGTGGTCATAATTGTGATTCAAAGTAGATCACACAGTACACGTCGTCGTAGAAGAAGAACGGGTGAGAATTACGAATTAATTGAGTACGATTCTGATGATGACGATGAAACAGACAATGATTTAGATCAGTACAATCTCAGTGATGATGATGATGAGACGGCATTGACTCGTGAAGATAGACGACAAGATCGGGCCAGGGATCGATTATATGAAGATTTCAATGCAGAAACGGTGCCCGATTATAATTCTGACATGTTCAAGATTGGTGAGGATGATGAAGAAGGTGATGCCAGTGTTGGGAAGAAATCAACTGAAGGTGAAATAAAGGAACAAAAAAGTAGTGGCAAGAGTTCATAGAGGATGTACTAAGATGATTTAAAACTTTTCTTAACTGGTGGAGTGTGTGGTTGAACCCAACAATTGTATATTTAGAAGGTGTATGGGCGCCATAGACCCGTACAACCCCCTCTCAATTGTGTTAGGTATAAAATTGGGGATTCCTGGTAGCGCATGTGGAGATTACAAGTGGGGTTTTTTGGGGGCAGGTGGGATACGAAGCCAGTGGAGGTGAACAAAAAAGTAAATGCGACTGTCAACATTACAACAGAACACCCATAACCCCAATTGGTACCTCCGTCATAGAAGGGTACTACGTGCAACAATGTTCAACTACAATTGGTACTTTAAATGGCAAAAAATTATTTATTATTATTGTTTCAGTCTTTAAAAAGTTGTAAATAAAAAAAAATTTTCAACTTTTAAAATATTTTCCCAAAAAAATTGAAATTATTCAGTCTATAAAGTGAACCCAAAGAAATAAAATGAATGATGTAAACCCAGCAGCGGCTGCAGTAGCAACTCCAATGGTTGTACAATGTTATCGTAGTTGAAGTCTAGTGTGATTTATTTTCTGATAGCGAACCCAAAGTAATCACCCAAGAATGAACCTTCAAATTTGTTTTCGAATTTTCTGGCATTAGCTTTGATATCAGCCATGATTTGAGCTTCTTTTTGAGCGGCAGTCATCTTAATTGATGATGATTGTTGGTGTTGAGTAGCGAGCATCTTTAATTGTGTGTTGTGTCCGAAGAATAAGTATTAATGTAATCAAACTTTGTTGAGTAAACTGATGAGAAGTAAATGATCTGGCAATTGGTGGGAATCTTAATGGGTTTATATATTCTCTGAAAACTAGTGGTATTTGTTTGTGGTTTATACTCCTTCGAGGCATTTCTTGTTTGTTTATTTAACTCGGCTGGGTGGGTGGGTGGATGTGTGGTGTATTATACTTTTGTGTAAGAGAGACGTGCGTTGTATTGTATTTTATTTGTGACTGGTTGTAAACTTCCGTACTACCGTTGACCGCAGTATATGGATGGATGCTTCATTTTTAACCGCTGTTGGATTAGATGTATAGTTTTTCCGAGAAAATAAAAAAAAAAAAAAGAAATTTTTCTTTTGTCATTCTGCAACACGCCTTTCTTTGTAAACGAGAGGAATTGTGACTAATAATAGCAATACATAGTAGATCTTTCTCTCTGACTTCCGTTGATACGAAACCAAAGATCTCTGTCACTGAACCCTTCTTACATGTATCGACTTCCATTCATCCATTGCCACCACAAAAGCCAAGAGAAGCCTGAACAGGTATTATGTTCTCTATAGCAAACAATGCAAAACGTATCAAAGGGTGAGCTTTTTCGTTGAATAAGAAAAACTTCGCTTTCTGCGTTCTAAGCAAAAATCGCGGTTGGGGGAACGCCGTAAAAATGTGTGTTGATTGGCTGGTTGAACAAAGGCGACCTATGGAAAAGAGGGGTAAAGAAGTAGTGTATGTGTGAGAGGCATTCACAAAGTAAACAATAGCAAAACTCTTAACCTAGTCACAAAAATAGATGAATTTTGTTGAGCCATTTTTACTTTTTTTGAGGTTTTGCACTTTTTCGGAGTTCAAAAAGCACAAGATTGAGAAAAAAATTTTCATTTCTTGACTCATCTAGCAGTTATTACGCAGCAAAAGCGAAAATCGGTACCGCATGGAGGCTAGCTAATGCATAGCACGGACGACGAAGCATAGATCCTTGTTAGCAAAAGTTGCTGATGGCTAGGATCACGTTTCGTTGTCACTGAATTCAAGTGGAACTCAATATAAATAGGTTATTTCACGTGATATTCACGTGATTGCGGACTTTATTCACTTTAAAACGTTTTACTAGAATCTTTTATCCGAGCCATTAGTGGAAAGCAGCAATAATCATGCATCAACCTGTTCTTATCATCTATCGAGCGTTCCTCGATTCCGCGTTAGTAATTATTTATACGTGGTTGCTTGGAATTGAAAAGGTCTCGGTTATAAGTTAGTTCTTTTTTTTTTTGACTGCAAAATGGCGCAAATGAAAAATGAAAGCTTTAACTGATACATAGAGTCTAAACTTTATTGATACCAACTATGTCTACGCTTCTCTGGTAAACCCAATGTACAAAACACCCTCACTTGCTCCTCAAACCACGTATTTAAATCCCCTCGTGGATTCACAGATATATCAGGTTTACATTGGAATATGCAATCATCGTATCTAATATACTCCATGTTTGAGTTACTGCTGAGATAAAACAACACCTCGTGCTGCACTTTATACCATTCATCATACACTGTCGGATGAACCATGCCAAAGCCCAAGTTTGGTGCACCAGCGTGGTTTGCACCAACTATATCCAAATACTTGAGTTTCCTTTGTGATGATAGTAAATTCACTAGGCCCTGTATATTTGCGGTGCTACAGATTCGGAGACTAGTTAAATTGAGTGGAATCAAAGCGGAGTAAAATTCAGGGGGAGCATTGTATAAACGGTCATCTGCAGATAGATAGATCTTGCATGATAATTTCTTTAATTGGTTGTGCTTTGCAATAGATTGAGCTAATTCAATAGGCTGCTCTGTGGTTGAAAAGATATCAAGTGATGTTAGTTTTGGCGGTATTGACAAAAGAAACTCAGCAATAGTATCTCTGTATTCTTCAATTTCCAACGATAAATGGCGTAAGCAAAGTAGTGAAGAAGAAAGTTGAATAAGAAATGAGCGTTGTAGGTTTTCATCATATCCCATCTCAATGATTTGTCTCAATTGTAAAAATTTCAACTTTGACAAATCAACCATTTGCGATAAATTTTTAGCATCAAAAGTAGTCACAGTGGAGTCATTAAGTGAAAGTGAAGTCAAGCTGGAAAGATACTGCAAACTAGTGTCCAAAAAAATTGTTTCTATCACATTGGTGGCAAAAAATTGACCTGAAAATGACAATTCTTGAAGCTGCTTGCTTATTTGGCCCGCATCATTGACATTTATGAGTATTACGTCAATGAGTTGAATCAATTTAGACCAGTTTTGGAATGGCTTGATTTGAAAATTGATCAAATTAGGGAAATTAAATTTTGAAATATCTCCTCGTTTAACATCTTCATCAGTATCAATCAAGTGACTGCAAAAGTTCAAATTAAGCACAAGTGTGTTTAAAAGATGCTTTTGAGGTAACAATTTTAATAGCTCGATACTGAACTGATCGTCCAACCAAATCAAACTGTTCAAGTGACGCAATTTGCCAAACAATTGAACTAACCCTTGTTTCAATTGGTGGTCGTGCAAGTTTAGTGACTCAGGAAGACTTTTGCAATGAATTGAGTATACATGGTTGCTATCAGTGGAAGTTTTGTTGAATGTTTTGATAAATCTTTTCAAATTGAACGAGCTATTAATGTAGGTTCTACCTGCCAATCGATATTCATTGGCAAAAATATTAAATTGCGGATCGATAATTATATGATGATATAGAAACGGATTGCACAACTCATGCATTTTGTAACAAGTTCGGCACAACCTCAACAAGTCAAATTGAGATAAATTGATTAGTATGTTGTCAATGATTTCTAGTGGTAAACTGGTCAAGTCGAATTTGGCAAGATGATTGCCAATTGGTGGTCCACTATTGATATCTGATGGAGTCAGAGATGTTGTGCCATATAGCATTGGCGCTCTGCTGCACCTCACTGGCCTATCAAGCATAAAAAATTCCATTTATATTAGCATTTGAAATCTTTGTTTTCGATGCCATAGATAAGCCACACTTTATGTCCCGCTTTTTGAAAAAGAGCAAAAACATATTGTGTCATTGATTTGTGTCAAAAAAAGAAGGCAAAGTAACGTGACAGTCACGTGAAACACTTTTAATCCTCTTCTTAAAGCAAACAAAGCTAACCCTACATAGAAAAAGTAGCAAATGGTATTCTGCTTTATAAGTAGTATCCCTTAGTCGCTTGTTGTGATAAAATAACGAAGTAAAATTTGTTATTCGTGTTCCTGCAGCTGAAAACATTCTGTCAGGAAACATGAAACCAAAAAGACAGTGTGATATTACATAATCGACATGTTGTCATTTTTTACAAAATGCGGAAAAAAAAAAAAAAAATTCAACTACGCGAGGCAAACGACTCTATACCGATACCATACGTTTTATCATCAGCTCAAATCAAATGTCAGCAGACGACGGAAACCTAGATAAAAGGTTGGAAGAAGAGATTGGGAATCTATCCACGCGGCTAGTTACTGCAGTCAATAGACAAGTTGAATTAGAAGAAACCGTTCTACACCTACGTAAGACCATTAGTGAATTGCAATCAAAAAATGCAGTATTAACTAAAAGTGATGAAAACTATCAATTGATTTTACCCAAGTATCTCAAACTACAAGAGGATTTCAAAGATGCAAACATCAAAAAGGAAGTTGCTGAGAATGAAAATGGTCGGTTGAAATCTGAAGTTGATGATTTAACGGCCACGCTATTTGATGAAGCAAATACAATGGTTTCTAATGCCTCTCGGGAAACCCATAATTTCAAAATCAAGAATAAGAAATTGTATGAAGAAATTGATGAGAAAAACATCATCATTAGTAACTTGCAGGATCAATTACAAGACTTGAAACAAATGTTTCTTAAAATGGAAGATAAGCAACGAGTTATGCTTTCATCTAGTCATGCAAGTACTCCCAATTTGGAGCAAAAGGGCTTCAATCTTGATACCAAGTCTGTTGATGAAGACTATCAAGTCCAGCAACTTTCCAATAGCTTGTATGCACCATTGATCACGTCATTACGATTTGACTTGAACAACTACAATAGAGACTTTAAAGGCTTTGTGTACGCACTACTCAAGCCAGATTTCACATTAGATTCAACCCATTTGAAAAATCACGTTTATTTCAAGCCAATTTGGACGGATGAGATCGAAAGCACTGTTATGCATATACCCAATCTTCCATCGTCAACATTACTTAATCGATGGCAAAAGAATAAAGTGTTTTGGAGCTCGTTGATTGATGGAAGAGTTTCTATTGAACCAATAAAGGGGTACAGTGAAGGTAGTTCCAGAGTTGTCAGTGGTGGGACTCCAGTCGCGCCTGAATTGTTATCAATCGCCACTGAAGAACCTTGTGCATTTTGTGGAGAATCAAGAGCCAAATTGTTGGAACATTGCCGACTTCATCATTACAAAATTACTGAAGTTGATGAAGTGATGATTGCTTGTTATCCATTGTGTCATTACTGTGTAGTAAAGTTGCGGAACTTGTGTGATTTTTTTGCCAAGCTAAGACTCATCAAGTCCAATGTTTTCAAGTTAAAGCAAACTCAATTGTATGACGATTATGTCCATGGTGGATCAGCAACAAGTGGTTCAAATTTCTACAAAAGAACCAGTTCAAGTTCATCTTCTGCTATGCGATCAATTGCATCTTCTTCAGTTGCTGCTGCTGCAAGCGATACTGATTTGGTAAATGGTCACATCTTTGATTTAAAGTTGAATGAAGAGGAGGAATCAAAATTAATCAAAATATACCTTATCCTTGCTCAAATCAGGCTCAAGATATTTTATAGTAAATTGGGATTATGGGAGAATGTAAACCATTTGAATGATTTGAACATTGAAGAAATACATTACGAGACATTTTCTTGCTTGATTTCAGATAAGGAGGAGAGAAAGACAGCAAGCAATGACTATGGTACGACAACAACAACCACACTGCATATGTCAACTGACTCAACCACTGTAAGAAAGTCGATTGACTCTTCATCTTCTGCTGTGAGAAAGTCTATTGATTCAGTTGCTGCGAGAAAGTCGATTGATCTTAGAAGTACTTCAGAGCCAATAACCAGCGAGAAGTCAGTTAAAGATGAAAAGACAAATGCAAAACCCGGATCAAGTAGTAACAATTCCAAAAATAATTTAGTTCCACCATCGCTGCGTACCAAGCCAGAAAGCTCACGTTTGGCAACACCTGAAGATGAATCCGATACTCGAGAGTTTGAAGACGCATCGTCGAATTTTAAATCAGAAGTGAAGGAGTCATCCACATCTCAACCAGACTCCAAATTGGAACCAAATGCATTCAAACTGAAACTGAGGCAAGGATCTACTCTGAAGCCAAGCCTGGCTACAAGCACACCAGAAAAGGCAAGACCTCAATCAGAGCTAACGGAAGCTCAATTGTTTCTACAAAAAATGAAGACTAAATCCAATAGTCCTGATATGAAAAATAGTGAGTTGAAACGTTCAAAATCAAAAAGCAAAGAGTTTAAAGCCAAGATGGATAAAGAATTGGATCAGACTCTTGAGATGTTGGCTGAAAATATGGAAGCAGATAGGAATTAATCTTAGAACAATCGCGGCTGTGACCATTGGAGACATTTGATTGTATCATGGTGTATGTATTTTGTATGTAATGTTATTAAAGTTGTACACTGAATTCTCTGAATCGTAGTATCTGCTTGTCCTCATTGCGCCTCGCTAGGGGAAATCAGGGCACAAAAGGAAAAAGAATTTTTTTGGCCCCATAATTGGAAGCATTAACCAGCCTTGGAGCTAATGCGTGCGTCGATCGTCTACAATTGTTTGTCCTATTGTTTTGTTTTTTTTTTAAACTGATTTTATTGCCGACTCAGTACACCCTGTGCGCCTCTATTGCAAGAGGTTCATTGCCATGTAGTGATTTGGCAAGTCACTACCAACACATACTCCTCTCTCATATCAGATGATGGAAGGGAGTCAATTTTCACTCTCTCTTATACGACGTATTGATCGTTGCATTTTTTACTTTGGCTTTCATAGTGTTTCGGCTAGCCGTTTTGTACAACAAAGTGACAAAAAAAAAAACAAGGAACCAAAATGGTGTGAGGAACAGTTTTTAGCCTCTGCGTGTTTGGTTGGGCGCTTGATGTCATTTTTTACCTACTGGTATGTACCTCAACTTGTAGCTTTGAAAGGGAACAAAGAATGGAGCTAAATAAGCTGTTGAACGTTTTGAACAATTTCTCTATATTAGTTGTGTCACGTGCAAATCCAAAAAGTTACAATGAGCTAGCTGAAGCGACAGTTCGCATACAATTTGTGTGTAAATGCTTTCTTTTATGTTGTCATTCCTACTGCATTCAACAAAGCTATCAAAATAAGATTGGTTTCAGTTCTCATTACCTCTCTCACATGTGTTTCCATGTTGTTTTGAGATTTGATGCACACTCTTACCTTTTTTTTTCGTTGCCAGCTTTCTCTCTCAATAAAAATCTTGATTTTTTTCTTCCTTGATTTCCTAACCACACGTCATATCCAGGTACAATTCAACCGGTCAACGTCAGTATCCCCTATCAATCTTATTTTGTTACGAAGTCTGTAGCACCCTGAATAGTGCAGACATATACACATACACACTAGAAAATGAGAAGGAAACCTGTGGACTCCTCCAACAACAATTCTTCCACTCCAACGAACCCGTACCAACAACTGACCACCTTTAATAATCAATTCAATGCACAGGTAAATGAAGAGTTGAATCGATCACAACCATACTCATCAACTGCATCAACCCTGCAACTACCACAACAACTGGACGCAGCTTCAGGTACGGGCAGCAGTAGTCTTCGAAGTATTCGAAAGTCCTCAAGTTCAATGTTTGGGTTGAAACGACATAGGGATAAAGATACACAATCGCGTCAACACCACCACCTGCAACATACTTCTGAAACCTTTTCTGATGCATCATCAACAGATTCTGCAAGTATTTTGTCCACGGGAACACAAGGGTCCTCTCACAGCAGACGACTGTCTCAGAATCCGTATCAAGAACAGTCACAGTTTCAGCATTCAAATTACCTGCAACAGCCTATCAATTCATATCATCTGCTGCTGCATAGCCTACCCCATCATCATCAACGACAACCACAGCAACCGCAACAACAACTGCAGCTACCACTGCAACAACTGCAACAACTGCAGCTACAACAAAATTCGCACTTTATTCCTGCAAGATCAAGTTCAGCAGCAAATCCATCCCCATACTCAACTCCTTCCCAGCATAATAGAAAATCATCTGCGTATAGTGTATCTACCATGGGCACAGAAAAAGCTATTCTCAACCCCTATGATACTCCGACACAGTTATCACGTCAACAAACAAATGCCACAACAAATACTAATATATTGAGCAGGATGTCTACAAACATATCACTCAGTTCAAAAACTAATAGAGGGTCAACAGATGGAGTGGAAAAGTTTCATTTAGAACGTCCCTCTTCAGCATTTGAAATTGACAAAATGTTTCAAGCAATGTTGGAAAAATTAAATTTCAAAAGTTTACCACCACAAGCAACAAGGGATTTATTGAACTACGACACAGATAGAAAGTGGATGATGATTGAGCAAGATAGACGCGCCGAATACGAAAGGCAGCTCCGCTATGTCCACAAGGCCAATAGTGAATTACCAGAAACTTATGCTAGATGGTTAATGCTGAAATCAATCACAACATCACAATTAAATTTTTTATGGGTGCAATTAAGAAGCGAACCAATATCATGGGTACGAGAGTTTGTGTATGACTGCCAAGGAGATGCATTGTTGTCATCGTATTTACAGAAGCTTCATGATGGATTGGACACTCAACAAGTTATTTCAATCAAGGATGAAGTATTTGACAAAGAGCATTACATAATGCGTTGTTTGAAATGCGTTATGAACCAGAAGCTCGGTGCAGAAAGGATCAAAACTGATGTTGATATATTTGTTAATGCTGTTAGTGGCAGTCTCTTGTCACCAAGATTGATTGTGAGGAAATTGGCGACAGATGCGCTCACTTTTGTAATATCCTACAACGCCAATGACAATTCAAGATACCACAAAGTCCTTCAAGCTCTTGATGCATTAAACGAAAGAGCGCTTTATGATTTTGAAGATTATGATGAAAGCAATGCACGTAAAAAGAGAGAATTGATACGGAAACCACCACCAGTAAATTGTAAACGGTTTGAGGTTTGGCTAGGATTAGTTGAGAGAACTGTTGACGCAATTGGTAAATTTAACTCAAACGTCGGTGAAAGAGAAGAAATCAAGACGCAGTACTTGGACTCATCTTCCAAAGAGAATCATTTACCTGAGTATTGTGTTGCAACCGTGTTGTTTATAAACATTATTATCGAAAGTGCATCAGATTTGAGATCGAGGTTCCAACTAAGGGGACAATTTCAGGCAGCCGGATTACTTCGGTTGTTTTCCAAGTTTCAGAATATACAGCAACCATTGCTCGATAAACATATAGAGAGATATTCGGCATTAGCCAAGGATGATGAAGAGGAAATGCGAATCATCCTGGGCTTTGATGGTGAATTAAATTTCAACGATCCTGTTGACTTGGTAAAGTCTTTATGGGAAAACTTTAAAGGATCAGATAATCAAGATCACTTTCTTAGTACTATGCAACACTTGTATCTCATTCAGTCTGAGAAAAAGAACAATAAACAAGAGTTGGGACAAAGTTTACGAATACTTGATAACATTATACAAAACCTATCATCTCAACAGAGTAGCGACGGAGATGCCGCTTTGAACATTGCCATAAATAAACTATATGCCAATATGAGTACTGATGATCAATATAGACGTGCCTTGGAGGAAGTAAAGTACTATCGGAAAGTGGCAGAAGAAGCCACGGCGGAACGCGATGAAATGACAAGGCAAATCGAAATGGGAGCTGAAGGAATGATTACTAGTTTGAGAAACGAGGTTACTGAACGAGAGCTAATAATTGAAAGATTTAGAAGAACTAATGAAGAAATGAAAGAAGAAATGCGCAACTTGAAAACGAAATTGATGAGGGAAAAGCAAGAGCAGGAACTCGAAATGAGGGAATTTTTAGTTATGTTGAATAGTGGTGACATTGAAACGTCTGTCTCCAAAAAGGGTAAGAAGACAACGGCATCGGTGAAAACTACCAATGCTGAGTTGGCCGATAGATTGAGAAAACAAATTCATCGTCGCAGGGCCGAATCTAGATTGGATAATAAACGTTTGGGAACTCAAGTCGAACCACTGAAGAGATTGAGAGCATTGCGGGACCAGATGGGGGATATTGAAAACATGGCGCGAGAATTGGAAATGACTGATTTTGAAACTTATGCTGAACCCCAATTGGAAGAACAAAGCCCTTCGGAGCCTGAAGTTGTGGAAACCGTTTCGGAATCTGATTCGGATGTGGAATCTGAAGCCGAGCCAGAGCCAAAAACTGTTTTACCACCTATTCCACCACCAGGGAGGAAACGTGGAATGCGTGGTGATGACTTGACCAAGCTTGACGGGTTGAGAAAAAAATTATCAAACTTGCAAGGTGAGTCGAACGACATCATGAAATTCAACACCAGCTCCATGTTTAACAAGCAAAAGTTTCTCGCAATTGAAAGATTACAAGAGTTGGAATCAAGCTTTAAAGATTTCAATATCGACTTTGATATTCAAAATCAGGACGAGTATACGTTTTCATCAGGGGCTGATGATTCAATTAAGGACAAGACGAAAGAGGTTTTGAATGAAATTGAGAGATTACGAAATGAATTAAGGAGGCAATTAGCAGAAGCAAATAAGCCAAAAGTAACAAAGAAAAAGACATCGGTGATGGACAGGCTCGAAGACAAATACATGAAGGGTCAAGTACAAACAAATGCAGACGTTTCTAGCCAAACAGTAAAGGAACACAAGAAACTGAATAGAATGACAACAATTGGCTCCATGGATCCTCAATTCCTCAAAGAATTGAGTAACAAAGTTCAATTGGCAGAACCTATTGATGCTCCCAACTTCGAGAAAGATGGCACAAACTTTTCAAAAGAAGTGACTCAAAAATTACCCCTTGGATCACCAAAATCGAAAGATTCATCAGGCGCCGAAGCAGTTAGTGGCCCGCCTCCACCACCTCCTCCGGCACCGCCTTTGCCACCGTTGTTGGGAGGAGAGGAGCCAGAAACTGCACCAGCACCAGCACCGCCTGCTTCCTCTGGTTTTGCTGCACCTCCACCACCGCCACCTCCGCCTCCAGCTTTTTTGAATGGATCTGCATCGGCACCGCCAGCTCCGCCTCTTCCACCACCTTTACCAAGCGCTACTTCATCTCGAAGCTCACCGCAACTTCCGTCTCCGGCTTCTATCGGCTCGCCAATCTTGGGTAACATCCCACGACCAAAGAAAAAATTGAAACAATTGCACTGGGAAAAGATTGACCATACCGAAGTTGATAACTCGTTTTGGAAGGAGCCAAAATCTGACACCCTTGCTAGTGAGTTGATGTCAAAGGGAGTATTCGACGAAATTGAAATCATCTTTGCCGCCAAGGAAATCAAAAAGTTGGCATCAAAGAAAAAAGAGGATATGGATAAGGTATCATATTTGTCAAGAGACGTTGCCCAACAATTTAGTATCAACTTACATGCATTCAGCTCATTATCAGATGAGGAATTGGTCATAAAGATATTGAGATGCGACAAAGATGTCGTCACCAATCTTTCTGTTTTGGAATTCTTTGGCAAGGAGGAAATCACTGAGATTACCAATTCAGCTATAAGGAATTTTGAGCCGTATTCTACCGATTACAAGACTGACGAAATCAGAAAACCGGAAAAGGACCCGTCAGAATTACAGAGACCCGACAGGTTGTTCTTGGAGTTGATGTATAATTTGCAACATTACTGGAAATCGAGAACTAGAGCATTGTCAGTGATTGCTCAATACGAAAAGGATTATGAAGATTTGGTGTCAAAGTTGAGAGCAATAGATGCATCGGTAGACAGTATCAAGAACTCAAAACACTTGAAGGGGGTGTTTGAAATAATCTTAACAGTGGGAAATTACATGAATGATTCTTCAAAACAAGCTCGTGGGTTTAAATTGAGTTCGTTGCAACGTTTGGGTTTTATGAAAGATGAAAAAAATAGTATGACATTTTTGCACTATGTTGAAAAACTTATTCGAACACAATATCCAGAGTATCTTGAATTTCTAGATGAACTAGCCAGATGTAATGAAACTGCAAAATACTCAATTGAACACATTTACAATGATTGCAAAGATTACGTTCAAAGTATCAAAAACGTGCAGAGCTCAGTTGATATTGGGAACTTGTCTGATATTTCCAAATTCCACCCACTGGATCGTGTTTTAAAACTTGTTTTGCCCGCATTGCCCAAAGCATCAAGAAAAGCTGGTTTGCTTTTGGATCAGGCTGATTATACCTTAAAACAGTTTGAAGACTTGATGCTTTATTTTGGAGAGGATGCACAAGATCTGTTTGTGAAGAATTCCTTCATCAGCAAATTTACAAACTTTATGAAAGATTTCAAGCGTGCGCAAACGGAAAACTTGAAACGTGAGGAAGAAATTAGGATTTATGAGCAAAGAAAGAAGTTGGCCGAAGCAGCAAACAAAAAGAATGGTAGTGGCACCAGTACTCCGAATAGTACCACCGACAATAACGAGGATGAAGGAGTTATGGACTCGTTATTAGAGAAGTTGAAATCAGTGGGTCCAGCGAAAGGAGAGCCCTCATCGGCTCGAAAGAAGGCTTTAATGAGGCGTCAAATTTTGGAAAATCATCGCAAATATTCCACGGAAGGTGCACCACCACCGTCCCCAACAAAATCAAGCACATTGGACCTACTGAGAGAGGGATCTGAAGAGTTGGCTTCTCTTGTGGATGAGAACATGGACACCTCCGTTAAAGAACCTACTGAAAATGGGGACAACATGTCAGAGGAGAAGGACGCGCCGATAGGGTCAAGAGCAAGAAATTTGTTGCAAGAGCTTCGTAATGCCAACGAGGAAGGGCGTAATGGAGAATTGACAGCCCAGCAGTATAGACTTGAAAGGCAAAGGAGGAAAAACCAAGCCGAATCGGGGTGACTTGAAGTAAAGTATCTACGTATATAAATATATTCAGTGCGAGGAAGGCTTAGATGTTGAATCTCATAGTTGTAGACAATTCCTCGAGGTCGTAGTCAACAACTTCGGGTGTTTCCGCATTTAGATCGTGTCTATTCTCGGGGTAATCAAAGTATGGCTTGTTGAGTGATAGCAAACCTGTCCCACTTAATTTACTAATGAATGGACGATCCAATTTATTTAAGTGATCAGTCAAGGATAATTTAAATGCCGAATTCTTATTCAAATCTGCCAAAAGTTCTTCAATCTCCTTGCCATGAATATCGACTAAACGAAATGCAAACACTTCACCACTAATGGTAACACCAAGAACAACATTTCCATTTTCATATTCATTCTGGGTATCACTCAAGCTGGCAGATACGAGCCTTGCAATGCCTGACATTTGAATCTTAGTTCCTTTGAATGGGTAAAATGTGGAGTCACAGCTATCCATGACAATTACCAGTGAGTTTTCAGCACTAGCAAAAACCCTGTCTTTGAAATTCACTTGACTCAAAAAGGGTATTGATTTGGGATAACAAGCTAGGACATTGTTCAGTGATGAAGTATCAATTTGAAACAAGGAATCCTCTTTGGTGGTAACGAGGATCTTGCTTCCTCCTGAAACACTCATCGAGGTGATTTCGCTTGGCATTGCTTTAAAAAATTGAACTGGGCTGAATCTCTTTTCAGCCTCGTCATAGAAAGTAAAGTAAATTTTCTGTTTATCAGTGAAAAAAATCCGATTCTGAACCTGTTGTATATGGGTTATCGGCCCAGAATGGTCAAATGAAGATAGTTCCGACACGCTAATCGAAATAAACTCGGCCGACTTCAACCTCTTTATGTTTAAAACTTTAACCACTCCAGCCGTCCTTTCACTATCAGTGTTTGAACATCCTAAAAGAACTTTATGGGTCATTCGATCATGTCGTTTAATCAGCCAAATGCAAGCACAAAGCGGTACTTCGTTCTTACTTAGTACCCCTTCCTCGCCTAATCGTTTTGAGCTGAATTCAGTATGTTCCAACAATCTAAACGTCATCCGATCCACAAATTTTAGCTTCCCACGCCTTGAACCACAGAGTAAAATAAAAATTGAAATATGCGGTAGATATAATAACTTCTTGGTTTCGTCGGGGATTTGAACTTGCTTCAATACGGGTTTCGTGTACGTTGTTATGTCCGTCATGACAAACCCGTTGTTGCGGAAAACTCCCAACCTTTTGTGAGATGGATACGTAGTGGGAGTAGTGAATTCAACCAATGAATTTACGATTTTGGGAGTCAGGTCGTTAAAATGAACGGGATTTGGATTGCTAGTAGATCGAATGTTCATCATGTACAAGTTTCTGCATTGTATGAAAATATACTCCTCGTCCATACTTGCGTATAGTTTGACTTCGCTTGAGCCAATTCTCAAAATTGAGTCCCATTTCGATATTTGCTGAGAAGTCCGAGCCAAGTACCCTCCTGTGGTACCAACAAAAATCTGATTGCTTGTGTATATCAAGTCATGTGGGACAAAATCAGTAGGGTCTGCCAGACTTTCGGTGAGCACAACCTCCTCTATCATACTCCATGATATCTCATCCAGCTGATAGAATCTAATGAAGCCCTCATACGCACCAATAGCAAAAGCTTCAATACCTCTAACCATGCATCTCTTCAACATTGAGGGTTGAAATTCCAAGGTCATTTCCGACACAAGTTTGAGATTGATATCAAGAGCCTCGCCATCAGCTGTTGTGACTGGCTCAAATGCATAAGTGCCAAGTAGTGTACTGGCTCCCCTCTCAATTATCAAGATTAGACAATTAGCAAATATCTCACCAAATAATATGCACTCATCTGTGATGCATGTGCTCATTGATGCCAAATCAGTCAATGTCACTGAATTTGTTGTCACTTGGATTAGGTAGTCGATATCACTGTCAATTGCATCGAGCAATTGTGTGGCATTTACAGCGCAACAAAAGATGGTTTGTTCATTTTTACTTATTGTTGCATCCTCCACCTCCACAATTTCTTCCTCGGATAATCCTTCGTATTCAAGAAGTTTGGTTTCAAAAGGAAATGCACAGACCAAAATCAGTCTTGTGTGAAGTTTAAAATGCCAAGATTGGACCACCTTTCGAAGCTCTGGATATAAATCACCCTGCCTCACGCCATAAAAGCCAACTTTCATATGTGTGAGTTTAGTTTTCGAGGAGGACCCGGTGATTGCCCATAGCTCATCAGACTTATTTGATTGCGATGATGGAATTACCTGGAAGTCTACAACGGGTGCCCAATTATCCAAATTTTTCTGAAGCTCGGCTTTGGAGTGAACCAACTTGGTGTCATTATCGATGTCGCATGTATACTCAGCCTCATACAAATTACTTAATAAAACTCTTTTGTTTGAACCACAGGTACTGCCATATATTAATTCAAAACCACCATGTACCCTTTCGAATGTAAATGTTGTAATACTATCCGATGCTCTGGCAATTGGTACTATGGACTCCACTCCATTTCTTGAAACCAAGATAGAGTAAATAACTCCGATGTCCGAGGAGAGTATGACTTCATCTACTTCGTGGTGATCCATGCTCCTGATCTGAGACTTTGGAATATAATAGTTGGATGGAAAAGAGCCTGCTCGAAAATCAACACTTTTAAACTCATGGTGACCAGACATTATATCATGAACAGATATAACAGTTAGCTTTTTAGGTGTGACAAAAAGGTACGCAGAGTTTCGCTGCAATGGTGCAATGAAAATCGGTATGTCGAAAGTGTTTTCCAAGGGAAGGGTGGATTTAGATATACCACTATCGCCAGCGTAAAAGTTGAACCAGCAAAACAAATTGATGTATAATCTTCTATCCTCGGTGAAAAATAAACTCAAAAATATATCTGATTGCAACGCCGATCTCGACTCAATAAAGCAACAGTCAACCAAAAATCCATTCAATGGAATATTCAAATGATTCTGTAAAACTGTGCCTGCATTAGACTGCTCTAGCGTTTTGTAAATTCGAAATGACTGCGAGGCTGAGCATGATACTGTCGAAAGCCCTGAAGGTGACGACTTGAGTATATACCCGCTAGTACTCAACTCTGGGTAGTTGTGTGGCTGCTGCAAGCTCCACCACTGTACAATGAATGGTTTGAACAAAAAGTTTTTGTCCTTCAGCGATGGTTGATAATCAAAATCCACGTCCCCGATTTGCTTAGGGACAAGGAATACTCTGAGTAGAATGAGAAACCCCGATTTGAGTGACAAGAGAATATGGTCCTCCTCTTGTGCTAGACTGGCTCGTATCAAACATGAAGACCTCACATGGGATTTGAGCTTGTAATCCACCCCATTGACCAGAACAGATTGGTACTTGACAAAGAGTTGAACCAATTCAAATTTTGGGGCCTCTTCTTTCTGCAATTGCTCTAAGCTAGTGGTGGAATTATATGTGGTTGTATCTAGTTCATCCAAAATCTCATCATCTTCGTCAAACACGTCCATTTGGGAATCTTCTTCCGGTGGTGTCAAATACTGATACTCTGCATCATTTATCAACTTGCTAGACAGTCCCTTGAAAGGTTTGTTTGTCCTGACTTTGAAGTCTCTGTAGATATACAATATGGTTGGAGAGTTGGCTAATGTTTGTTTGGTTATGAGTAGTTCGGGTTGGCTTCTCTCGTCATCTAAAATCAGCTTTAGATGGGCATACGATTTCCCATTCTCTCCAATTTCGGCCGTACTGGTGTCATCGTTCATTGCCAATTGAGGATGGGATTTTGCAATACAGTTCAAAAATTGCCAATCGAATAATACGCGCATCTAAATTGTGTGTCTTATTTTTTCGTAAATGACACGACACTACATTTGCCACAAAGTACACGACCCTGGTTGCAAAACATTTATTAGTTACAGGTCGTTGAAGAGAAAAGGTTTACTCATTGTAATTTACAACTACTTCACTATGGTCAGGATGCAGATGGCAAGGTCAATGAAAATGTACAACTGCTACCTAATTGGGGTGAGTTTGTCTGTGTTTGGGTTAGCTTCAGGTATGGAGATGTATTCACACACCAGTTTGAAGCATTTGGACTTTTTTACCAAATACTACACATATCCAACAAAGATAGAAGAGAACATGCTCAGATCGAGTAACGTTCTAGGAGCAATTGGTAAATAGCCACACACTTGGATAAGATATCCCACCACTTGTCTGTTTAATCTAACCATTTTTTATAGCTGGAAGTGTTCTTGGAGGAGAGATAGCTGCTCATTTTGGCTACAACAAAGCCCTTAAATGTATTTGTGCAATATGGTTTGTCGGTATCATCTTTACATTTGTTTCAGAAACACTTTTGCTGCTTGCATTGGGTAAAATGGTGAAGGGAATTGCGATAGGAATGAGCCATGCTGTTATTCCTATCTTCCAGTATGAGATCATTCCAACTCCAAGAAGGGGTAGAATTTTGTCGTTTTATATTTTGGCAACCGGTTTAGGTAACTTACTAATGTACCTGTTGCCTATGATGGCTATGCCATTGATACGCGATGAAAAGTACTTGATACTACATTGGTTGGTTGATCTTGTTCCCCTTACCATAGCTACAATTTCCGTAATGCTTTTTCCGGAGAGTCCCAAATGGTTGGCAGCGAATAATGATTGGACGGAAGCCGTTGACGTATTAGAGAGTATTGAGACGGCCAATTCTGAGAAGAATGTCAAAAGTAAACTCGGGCACGAAAGAAGGCGGCTTGGTGATAAACACTATGTTGTTAAAAAGTATTCCACTGCGGTTAACGTTAGAAGCTGTTCAGTGAATGAATTATTCGGTAGGAAATATTTCCGAGAAGTTAATACTGGGATATTATTGCAATTGACTATTGATTTGATTGGAGTTATCAAATTGTTGAATTCGATGTATGCTATATGTTTAGCTTGTCAAATTAGGACAATGGATGAAATAAAATTAGTTCATGAGTTTGACTTGGTGATGAGAATTGTATTCATAATAGCCCCTATTGGGATCATAGATTTACTAAGAAGAAAGGACGTCTTGATATTCGGGATGGTAGTGAACACCATTTTGATGAGTGCTTACGCGGCTCTTTATCTCGTATTTTCAAGACCAAACGAGCCAAGTTTTTTCAACCTTGACTTCGAATGGGGATTGAAAGTAGAGTTTGGGAAAACAAGTGCGTCGATGGTTTTAGCACTTACTGTTTTGATGGATGTTGTTTTCCATTCAATCATTCTACCAGTTTGTTGGTTATACATATTGGAAACCTTCTCTTCCTCCACACGGTCCAAAGGTTGGGTGGTAGTTTCAAGCTTGCACTGGCTATTCGAATGTTCCTTGTCGTTGATTTTCCCCTTCTTCTTTTCAAGTTTGAATGGATGGTTGATTGTGATTTTATTTTTGATTTCTTTGGGTGGAAGCGTGGCCATCTCACAGTTGAAAGAGTCAAAGGAGAAACCAACTACAGCATCAGTTTTCGAGAAGATTCATTCAAGCCTCCATTGAAATGGTTCAAGTGTGGCTATTATTGTTTGCGTTAGATTGATGTACTTCTTGGCAAAGCACAGAGAGATTCATAAATAGCTGAGCTTAGTCTCAATGCATACAGCTGCATATCCATCACTCCGTTTGAGCATTTCTTGATGGAAACTACACCCCCCCTCCGTGTTTGTGATGATTTTCGCAGCACATCAAATGGTAGCTTACCTCTTCTTCTGCTCCAGTTCATTTTGAAAAGAAAAAATTTCACCAACGAAAACTTTTCCTCTTCCTTCCCGAAAATCTCTTCTTCTTTCCCCAGAAATTTGATTGAGACTTGCATGTGTCAAGTGATCATCAAGCTTCAATCATAAGTATGTTGAATTCACCGTCTATTCAGTCTTTTCTCCCGGCGATGATTAATTGCATTTTACCAATTGTTCCAACTGAATGTACATAGGTTGACAATAAGCATATTCGTTAAGTTTCAGCCTTGTATGAGCCATTGAAATTGACTGATTTATGAGAATTAATTTTTTAAATGTACTAACATTCATTATCATAGGGTATGTGAGTGATTTTCGAAAAGAATGATTTTCGCTGCTTCTAAATTGATGATGATTTTATCCGACCGGGCGGACATAACACATTTCCCAGTCCCTTCTTTTGTACAAATAAGAGGAAGGAGTCGCATTTCTTGTGTACAAATTTTTTTCTAGGAATGTTGACTGGTGAGTAGTTGATGAAAGGTCGTTTTCTGAAAAGGTTAGGTGCAGATATGAATAAAATCGGCGAAACTAATTACTAACGTTATAGTATGCAGTTCGAAAGAATGTCTTTCAAATTTTAAGGATCTAGCGGCTTGAAACGTCATTTCATCTAGAAGCAGTGATTCTGCTGCTGTGTTCTTTCTTCTTTACTTTGGTGATGATTTTTTTTATATTCACACTGTATGAGAAGTTTATCTTCAATGACTACAGACAAAAAAAACTGATTTAATGACTCTGAAAGGTAAAGATTTAATTGATGAATTGATGTTTTAAAGAAGCTAGTTCACTATTGTTTATAGCTTGTACAGATAATACACTCTTTTTGGATACTGCATTTCTTTTGGCATTGACATCTCCATTTTTGGTAGCTCCCTCTTTCAGAATTTTTCACCTCTCATCTACAAATCATACGAGTGAAAGGTATCATATTAAAGCACATTCAATCCATTCTTGTACATACTTTGACGAAAATTTCCCGGAGCATGATATAGCACATGATGATACGACTGCGAAATACCTTATCCATTGCCAAAACTACTTTGAGACGTCCCCAGCAGTCAATCTTTTGGCGTCTGTTTCATGCACAATCTTTATTTATCAGAAGCTGTGACAGAGAGAAGCCAATCCCCGGGCTACGACTAAGCTACTCATCAAAATCAATAATCTCACCCTCAAAAAATACCATATACTTTGGCGAAGTAACTACTCGATATTATTCCACTTTCAATCATTCAAAAGCACCAACAAAAGAGTTTTTGGGAAGCTTTCTTGATCACGAATATAGCAAGGCAAACTCACTAATATTCGACGAAAATGAGAGAAATGAATACCTAGCTAGTTTAAGCCAGTTGACACTGGCTCAAGTAACTCAAGCAGCTTCTTACTTTTCGAAGGTGGTCGAAGCAACCTTTGAATTTCCAGATAAAGGATTCCAATTTATTATTCAATTTTTGAAAGCATCACCAGAGACCGAGCCTTTACTCGATTTGAAGAAGAAGGTAGTGAAAGAAAGAGAAAAGTTATTGCTATTGATTTTGCATACAGGTCAATATGAGGTTTACGAAAATCTAATTCTTCCATTGACTCAAAGATTTGTACCGAATCACGAATTGACATTCTTGGACAAGACGATGACTATTTTGGAGTTACAGCGCTCTCCAGCTGGCCCAATTCGCTTCAATGAGCAAAATGTAACGTCAGCCTTGCGGGGCGATGGAATGACAATAGAAGAAAAAAGAGATCTTTTGAAAATCCTTGTATTGAACTCATTAGCAGTAGGTGATACTTTTGAATCCAGGATGTCATGTATCGACACTTTTGTGAAATATGCGAAACTAATTGAGGGTGATGGCTGGTTCACCAGTGACATATCATCCCAATATGACCAGGTCTTTCAGAAGATCGGCATTCCGTCAAGTGAGGATGAATTTGATGACTATTATCAAAAAGTCGTTAAAATCGTTGAAAAATATCATGATACATCTGTTTCATATGACTTTTTAACTGGCATTATGCGAAATCTTTCAATGAGTGCGCCATTCGTGACGTACCGCTTATTTGAATTCAAGTCAGCACAATGGAGACAAAGAAATCTAGCTAGGAAATATGTCTTAAACCACTTGGATCTCGCATATGTTATGAAAGCTTGTTTGAAACTTGACGAGAATAAAATTTACGAAATCTATTTGCAAAACGAAGATCTTCATGATGATGAATCTCAGGAGGCCATCTTTCTTGATCTCTGTGTGCAGCACAAGGATTGGAAATCGTTACAAGACAGATTTGAAAATATGTATGGTAAGGGTAATTTACCAGACACTGTTCATTATGGGATCACTATGCAAGCATTGGAATTTCTTGAAGCAGACAGTGAGTTGGAAAGGCTTTACGAACAAATTTTGGATCGAGGATTGATGATGAATGCAACGATATTTATAGCCAGGATGAAAGCAAAGATACGGCAAAACAATCAAACCGAATTGATGGCTATTTTCGAGGACTATATTTTCTTGGTCTCTCAGGAGAAAGCAGATAGAGATGGTATTACGCAGGCATTCCCATTTGTTTTGCAAATCAAGTTGTTAGAAGGAGCTAATGAACTGATCCTTGAGACTCTTGAAAAATATCTCGTCAGAGAGAAATCACATCAACTTCTTATTGTTTCTGGTGAAGCTCTAGGTATCGTTGCTAGCCACTTTGCTCAAAATTGTGCTCTAAAGGATTTGGATAGACTTTTTGAAATGGCCAAGAATTTTCATAAATGTGACCCTGAATTTGCAAGTAGTTTGATTCAAGCCTATTCAACACTCGGGCAATACGCGAAAGCAGATGATGTAGCATATCTTGCACATGGTTTGTCATCGCCTCCATTCTCCAACTTGCAAGTATATTCTTCACAGTTGAAAAATCACCTACTTTGGCGTCGTCAGGATAATTCGAGGCACATTAGACGATACAACGACATCAAAGTCAACTTTATCGTTTCCTTAGCCTTGCAGTCGGAGTTTTCCATATTTCAATCTCAAGTCGGCGGACTAGATCTTTTGAGCGCCATAATGGATAGCTTACGGGAAAATGCAATAGAATTGTCACGAAGTAATTCACTCGGATATCTCAAAGGAAGATCTGTGAAAACCTTACAAGGTCTTGTAAAGAGACAAAAGGCATTCAAAATCCGACTTGATGAAAAATTGTACATACCGCTACTTAGGCAGAACTTGGTCTACCAAAGTTACAAGCCTTTGAATGTGATGAAAATTTTTAATGAAATGAACCGGCAAAGGGTGTTGGTAAGTGCTGCATCTTATATACATGTGATGAAGGCGATGAGAGCTTTAGACAAACGATACGACCGAAGCTATAAGAACAGTAGAGAAATGTTGGAGCAGATGCTTCAGTTATACGGCTTCGATGCAGAGAAAACAAAATCAAACCCAAATCTTGATTTTAAAAGGGACAGCGTTTTGATTTGCGACATTGTGATAAAGTATGTCGAGTCGGTTGGTCTCAAAAGGGGGAGTGACTTGTTTTCCCGGTTTGTTTTGTTTTGTGAAAAGGCTTTTGATGGGAAATTGCCGCTTGATTTAAGAGCTAAGATTGACTGCTTTTTGTCCGCTTGTTACAAGGAAGTCGATAGCGCTGAATATGGAGAGTTTTTGAAGCAAAAATTCAAAGTTTACCAAAATATACTTTGTGAATTTGTTTTGGATATGGGAAACGAGGGCGGCCATGTTATTATCCCTCATGTTCTCAATGAAGTATTGAGTCATTTTACAATACATCGGATGAAATATCTTCTCAGCAATAATAAATTCGACACCGATCAAGAGGAGGACACACTTGATGTTTTAGAGATGGGACTTCGACCAAACATAACTGATTACAATTATGTTATTTGCTACTTTTTGGAACAAACTCCAAAAGCACATTTCTCCAAATTATTAAAGATCATAGAAGACAACTTGATAACGGGTAACCTTTCACAACTTGAATTGTACAAAGAAAAGAAGCTATGTTACAAAATGTGCATGGTTTATTTATGTGACATTTACGATGAGCAGACAATTGCTCAAAATTACAAAATCCTTTCAGACTATTTCGGAATCAAGTCTTTGAGCACGATTCGGTCCCAGTTGAAGGAAAATGGGAATCTTAACCTTTTGAAAAGCTCCTCGGGTAGATTATTTAATGTCAAATTGGATCCCTATGGGTCACGTTCGATGAACCAGTTTAATTTCATCGAGTACTTCAATCCTGCACGTGATGCAAGCGCCGAGCTTAGACTTTTAAATGAAGCATCGAGGTTATTAGTTAATAGTGTCCTGCAATGTTGTCAGGGAAACAAGGAGGCGGAAACTGTACTATGTACGACTTACCCCAAGATCTACGCTTTCTACAAATCAGATCTCAGTTATTATACCAACTTGAGCGAATTCAACGGTAAAGTCGATTACCTAAATTCGTCACAAGATACAAGACTACGAAAGGCAAAAGACGTGTTGCGAAAGTTGTTGTTTAACCACAACAACACCAAAATATTTATTCCAAGAACCCCCAAATACCTGGAAAACGTCTACAATACTTCCCAACTTGGACCACCCAACTGATACAATTCTTGTATATATACACACATAAAATTTTGTTTATAGATCACTTAAAAAACTGCATTATCACTATTTGTTCTCACTTGTTGGAAATTCCAAAAATCCTACGTTTGAAGTCTCACCATAAATCAAAGGACCAATATATGGTTGAATATTCCACTCTAATTTGACCGTAGCATTTCTTCCTCTGAATCCCTTTTCCACATCCCAGACTGAATATTTCCCCCTTTGACCTTTCAAGCTCAATTTGGCATCTTTTTTATTTCGTATGATCTTATCCCAAAAAGTCACCTTGTTGGAACTGCCATTGGATTTTCCTGGATATTCTACTGTTAAATATGCAAACACTTGTTTGGTATTCCAATTCCAAAGGTCACTCAAATCCGTGTTTAAATCAAAAGATATTTTCACATTTTCTTTTGGCTTCCTGTTGACTGAACCATATTGAAATGAATATTTGAGTGATGATTTTGATTCTATGTTGGAGATTGTGGTGGTGTCAATAGACCAAACGTTGTCCCTGTATAACTGAAGTAGGGTCAAGAGTATCACTAAACCGGAAAGTATACTTGCTGAAGTCAATGCCTGGTTGGCAGCGGTCTGTATGCGAGTTACCAAGTTGAACATATCGATTGCAATCACGAAAGTGAAAAGACACCCCCAAAGTGTTTGAAATTTTGTCAACTTTTTTTTTACGTGTCGTTAGATAAAGTGGTAGCGCTAATATATAGTGAATAACCAGAGATACTTGTGCATATCAGTAAGATAAAATTCAATTGTCATTGATGGACTCCGATAGCTCGTAGATTCAATTTCTTTAATTTGTGAGAGATTTCAGCTAGGTTCCGTGCTCAAAAACTCCCACCTTCCATCCCCAAAACAAAAAAATGCTGAAAAGAAAAGGAGTCCACCAGTTTGATGCCGCACAGAAGTTAAATTGCAATTTCACAAAGATTAACAAAAACCACCACAGTTTTTTTAGAACTCTCAACAACACACATCCCAACTTTTCTCTCACCTTGTAAACACTGTCTACTGGCATGTCACTGTTCCTAACAGAAAAGGAGCCTCTATTGGCTAGGACAAGGAAGTTGGAAGAAGAGAATGAGATTTCAACTCACTCTTTACTGTCCCACACATTCTTCAAGTCTATGTTCAGTCCATTTCAAGCTTGTTTTCCCAACAATTTGATGCAATCACCAAATGAAACGCTTGTTCAAGAAGGCGACGACATAATCGATTATTCAGACGATGATGCACCGCTTCCCGCTTTACCATCAGAACAGTATTCGCATCCCTTGTCGTCACTCTCTTCAGCCGAGCGATTGGATGGTTTGAGAAAACAAATGCGGAAACACAACATCGGAGTTTACATAATTCCATCTGAAGATGAACACCACTCTGAAGAAACGGCATTGTCAGATAGAAGGAGGGAATTCATATCGGGTTTTACAGGTAGTGCTGGTGTTGCCATCGTTACCTTAACTGATCCAGACACGCTTCTGGGTGAGGCAATCTTATCAACTGATGGAAGATACTTTTTGCAAGCGCAGAAACAATTGGACCTTAAACTCTGGAAATTGAACAAGCAAAATACAACTGGTTATCCCTTGTGGTATCAATATGCGGTTAAAGCAGCTGTCGCAAATGAATTTAGTAACGTCCTTTCATGTGATCCCAGAACCCTTAGTTTTGCATTGGGAGAATTCTTCAGACAGAGCCCTTCGGATTTTGAGTTTAGGCCGTTATCAGGAATCAATCTTGTTGATGAGGTTTGGGGCTCGGAAAAACCCAAGAGGTCATTGGGGCCAATCTACGTTTGGGATTTAAAATACAGCGGCGAACATGCTAATGCTAAAATTAAAAAGGTAAGGTCAATATTGAAAGAAAAAGGGGGTACTCACTATTTGGTGACTGAGCTTGATAGCATTGCTTGGCTCTTCAACTTGCGTGCTGATACCGATATTCCTTTTGCCCCTGTGTTTTTTTCTTATGCTATCGTTACCTCAACTTCAGTCGCTTTATATGTTGACCATCAAAAATTGGAAAACAGTGGCTCTGAATTGAAGAAATATTTGTCAACAATTGAGAGTTTAACAATTGCCGAGTATGATGAGTTCTATCGCGATGCATCTCAGTTACAAGCAACAGTTTTCGACCCGGATTTGAGGATTGTACTCCCAACCAAAGAAGCAACATCATGGGCATTGTATGATGCAATTCCAGACTCTTTTAGCAAACGCCACATCATCCATGACTCAATCATTGCAAATATCAAGATTTTCAAGAACAAAACGGAATCTCATAATGCGAAACTTGCTCAATACAAGGACTCACTCGCTTTTATCTTATTCACCAGCTGGTTAGAACATCAATTGATTAATAAACATGCAAAAATCACCGAGTATGACGCATCGCTCAAGATTTACAGCATTCGAAAAAATTTGCCCAATTTTAAAGGTTTGAGTTACGAAACAATCTCCCTGACAGGTGCCAACGCAGCCATAATACACTATGCGCCTACAAAAGATCACAGCGATATCATTGACCCTCGAAAAGTGTATTTGTTGGACTCTGGTGCCCACTATCTTGAGGGCACAACTGATATTACAAGAACATATCTTTTTGACAAGCGAGCTGTCACAGATGAACTTAGAAAATACTACACTCTTGTTTTAAAGGGCCATTTAGCAGTCGCAATGGCAAAGTTTCCCGCGGGATCAAAAGGAACAGGTATCGTTTTGGACTCTTATTCTCGTCAACCGTTGTGGAATCATGGACTTGACTATGTACACGGTTTGGGGCACGGAGTGGGGAGTTTTGGATTAGTTCACGAAGGACCCTTATATATTCTGCCCACTGTTAACGATACAAGCAAGCTAGACTTGTTCCAGCCGGGCGCCATATTGACAGATGAACCAGGCTTTTATATTGACGGAGATGTTGGGTTTAGGGTCGAAAGCGAGTTGGAAATCACGGAAATTGATGATTCGTTTGGGAAAACAAAAAATGGAGGCAAATTCTTGGGGTTCAAATATTTGACAAAAGTTCCCTTCGCAAAATCGTTGATTGACACAAAGTACTTGTCGGAGATTGAAATCCGGTGGATTAATGAATATCACCAAAGTATTCGAGAAGATTTCAGCGATAAGTTATTAGAGTTGAATAATAAGAGGGCATATAATTGGCTACAAAAGGAAACCAGTCCGATTTCTTAAGTTTATATATCAAGAATGCAGCTAGGTAGTTGAATACAATTTAGGGGAGCCTAAACTTTCTCTCCTATTCTTGTCCTTTACTGGTTTTTCGAAAGGTCTAGGTTTCTGAAATGATCCTGGCTTCCGTAATCCTGTAGAACTACCAATACTAGCGTTGTTGCCTACTTTATGTGATATAAAGGGGGAGGTGCGAGGTAGTTGTAAGCTGGGCTTGCTGACGATGCCATCGTTAATATGTAATGGCTGTGACATGGTATCTTGTAGTCTTGCAAGAGCCACCGGATCCACTTTCAATCGCTTGGAGTTCAGCAAAATTTCCGACAACCGTCGTTTGGACGCTTCTGTATGTAAAGCAGCCAGACTGAGTCTACTTCGATGAGCATCAAGGATATGCACGTGCTCTGTAATAGTCTTCAAAATTGATTTCATTCCGGCCAACATGATATCCTCGTCCAAGTTTATTGATTCGGAGTGGATCAAAGATAATGCCCCAATTACGGTAGCTGCCGTGATCAAATGAGATGACTGTTTTGACTTGTCTGGTCTCTCAAAGAATATCTTCAACACGTCTTTAACCTGGTTTATTAGACGCCTATCCTGAGCAACATTGTGAACTTTATCATTAGAAGCGCACGACTGAGCATTTTCAACTTTAGCATCGCCGTCATTTCTTTCATCTTCAGCTTGGGATCGTGCCTGCCTCCTAGCTTTCCTTTTCGAGATCTCAGACTCTATCCACGATAACTTTTCGGGTGTGTCATCTACACCAAAATCGACCAAAGCTTTCTTCGTCACTCTTGTTCTAAGTTCGATATCTCGGTTCCGTTCAGCATTTTCCTCCCTCCATTTTTTCTTTCGTTCCCGGTTTCCAACCCTAGTTCTTCTACGGGCCTCGGGAGAAGAATTTCTGAACTTTTCTATTTCGTCAAACACTTCAAACGAGTATTGTACGTTTGTGTTTTCATCCACAAGCGTGGTTAAAGTCAAATTCGCAATTGAGGAAATAAACTCGGCCCTCTCATTCGAAAGCAGTAGATTTGTTGACGAAAAATCCTCATTCAAGTTGGATATCATGGCGTTGATCTCGTCAATAGATTTTGCCTCCATTTGTGGCTCTGACGGAAAGCCAAGTAAAAAGTGGCGCGCCATCCCTAAAGCGTTGGCAAGCATTTTTCGATCTGCTTCCTCATTACTTGATTTGAAATCTTCTAACGGGGTTTGGTTCGACAAAAAATTAGCCAAAGAGCCACCAGACGCTAGTTCCTCGGTGATTTGGCGAATTGTGAACAATATATTTGTATCTGCAAGCTCACCACTATTAATCCTAGAAGTCAAAGAGCTCATAACCGATGATAGCTGAGACTTGATATCTGGATTGGAAAGTAAAGAATTCTTAGCGGCATCTTCGTTTGATACTAGTTTAGAAGAGACGCTGAATTGGTTGTCATCTCCTTTCTGGACTTTGCGGGGAATAGCTGATTTTGACTTTTCTTCAAGTGATGGTGGTACTCGTAACTGATCATTGGCTGGCTTGAAATGTTTAGCAGGTGGTGGTTTGGCTTTAAAGGCTTTGAGATCAGTCGTGTTGGGCCCTCCAAGAATACGTGCAGTTTGGCTATCACCGATACCGATAATCTGATCAATTTCTAAATCGGATATGAGCTCTTGGGGATTTTCTGATGCCATTTTGATGGCATTATGCAAGATATCGTTCATTTGCAATTGTTCGATATCGACAATCTCATCATCTTTCTCAATTCCAGTTGCAATTTTAACTGCACTTGTGATGGCCGTGTGAAGCTTCTCTTCCGTCTTCTGGCTTCCAATATTGTGCAGCACGTGCTTCTTAACTGTCGAAGCTGTCCCTTTATTGGAAGCCTCTTCTACCGGAGAAAGTCGTCCCCGAACCCGTCGCTCATCTTTAAAGTGATCTTGTACTTGTTGCGTGATTTCTTTGGCTAAACTTTTAACTGATTTCTTTTTCAGTGTTGGGCGTAATTGCTGTTCGATTTTGCCCTGGGATGTATCATCATGACTCGCAAAGTGCTCAGACTGCATGGCGCTTTTAAACGCATCTGCAATAGCGTCTTCGATGTCTTGGTCAGATGTGGCATTGTCAGCTTCTACACCTTCAATCAGCAATTGGTTGTACCTTTCGTCACTCCTTTTACCCACTATTCTTTCTTCATCTACTGAGGAATGGAAATCAGGGCTAGGTTGAGATGTAACGGCGCTTTTTGTTGCCTCTTCAATTGACCTGAAAGCAGCACCAATTGCTTCAACTAAATATCGGTCTTCATGGTCGTCATAATGTGTATTGAATGAGGGGGCTGAAGATGAGTTTATTTGAGGCCTCGAAATATGTGTATCAACATTTGCGCGTAATTGGGAGCTCAAATTTGGGTCCGGCCCACTACGAGCTTCAGATAATTTCAGGTCCGATACATTTCTGTGTTGGTCCTTGATGTTGACTTCATCAGGCGCGTTACTATTCACATCGGATGACTCTTTTCCAAATATTTCATCAAACGCTTGTCCGATTATTCCCCTTAAACTTTCATCGAGATTATCATTCGCATCGGTAGTTGTACCGTTCTGATTACGCATCGATTCGTTATTGAGGGCTTTGTCTACAGCTCTAGGCGGTGCAATACTTTGACCGCGAGCATTGTCACGATAATCGTGTAACTCTATGGCAGAGTGTTCTGTGTGCTTTGTATGAGGCTTGATTGACTCGGACATTTCGATTTTATTTCTTTCTTTTGAATTAGCGTACCCTTTCTCTTGTTGTATTTGGCCGCTCTCATTTGAGGCATTTTTGGGCGATTGATTGTCAAAAAGATTTCCTAATGCATTACGAATCGCGCTTTCCAACTCATCATCTTCACCCTGCTGATTGTTGTTGAGCTCAGCAGAGGTGGCTTTGTCACTCTTTTGTTTCTCTCGATTTCCTTCATCTTGCTGGTTTCCAGTCAAGGATGGTGTTTTCTTGTGCAAAGCTTTATCTTGCCTAGTTGAGAACTCATTCGCAGGATCCAGCTTCTCAAGTGCCGGAGACTGCATCAAGGAATGTTTTTCCAGTGATAAATTTGTATCCTTCTTGTTTAGCTGGTGAGGTTCTTCTCGTGCGGTTGCTTTTTGTGACTGTTCCTCTCGGCTCAGTCTTCGCTCTTCTAGTAGATTGTTAAAAGCAAGATTTATGGCGTCATCAATTTCCGGATTGCTCGAACCAAGAGCTACACCAGTGGGCCTGGACTCACTCATCAACTGTGTTGTTTCAAATGTAGATTTTACATGCTCATCACCGGCATTATGGTCATTTTTAATTTCATCATTGGTCACTCTATCTACTGGTTCACTCTTGAAGTCAAACACATCATCTAATGCGTTGTTGATTGCGTTCTTCATGTCATCATCGTTGGTTGTTGCGGTTTGAGAGTGCACCTCGTCTCGTATTCGGTTACCAGAATCTACACCTCCTCCCTCTTCATTGCTGGCTTGTTTCTCTATTGAGCTAAAATCGATGCTGTCAAATATGGCCCCTATTGATGACTCTAGCTCGTCCCCATAGCGTCGTAGATTTGGTGGCCCTGAGTTATTGTTCTTTTCTTCTTGATCCGGCATAGTTCTCTAGATTATGGAAAGTAAATTTTCAAACACTAAACACTCAAAGGAACCGGTGCTGCTATAGTGGATTCGTATGTAAGTATGATAGTTATACAAACTGTGTTATTAACTGAAAACAAAACAAAAAAATCTTTACACAAAAATTCCTTGAGAGCTACCGAATAAAACAAGCTACCAACGTTACTCTATATAGATCCGTCTCTACTTCCAAATCTCTATTGTTCTTCCTTCTCCTCAGTCTTCAACGCAAAATTGATAATCAAACCCAACTTTCCAAGTCCGACACCCTCAAATCCCCCTTCTTTTATGACCCAATTGACGTTGTTTAAAGTATCATTGGCGTATTTGCTGACATCAAAGTCAAACTTTGGGATAGATACTAAATACTTGGAATCGGCGAGTTTCAAGAAATCAGTGTCAAATTGAAAATTGTACTTTTGTCCTTTGTCGAATGTGAATTCTTCACATTTTGCAGTTGTATTGAAGCGTTTCTTTCTTTCATTTGATGAGGAAGGTGGATTTTCAACCGATCCTTTGAAATCCTCTTTGTAATTCATTGGGTGTGACTTCTCATCAATAATGCCCAATGGCTTTGGTTGGTTTATCCCAATGTAGCTGAAACTGTTCAATGCTAAGCCATAAAGATATGGTTTATCATTGTAAACGTCCCCCTTGACAGTGTCATTAATGAACCAGTTGAATAGCTTCAAGCCTGTGTTCATCAAGGTTGTGGGAACATAATCTTTGATCGCATAGGTAAAGTCATTACCAAATAGCAAGTCGCCTCCTTTGATATCTTCCTTTGGCGTAAATTCGATATTGATTCTTAAGTTTGGCTGTGGTCCTTCATCCTTTTGAACAGAATTAAAGTCTATTTTCTCCCCATTGAGGTAGGTCTTGTCGTCTTGATTGTATAGACTGTTTGACAAATGGGGTTGCGACCCATCAAATTGCTTAATGTTGACTAAAAGTTTGAAAACCCCAATATCGGATTTGATTTCGAGTGGTTGGTTTGTGTTTACAGGAACAATTTGGAAGTTTGAGTCGTAATTATTAGAAGCCTTGATAAAGAGTCTCTTGATTACTGCCATGGTATGTTTGTGGTTGTGAAGATGAAAAGTGTTGTGCAAAAGTTGCTAACGAATTTCAGGTTCATTTTTAACTGGGTTGTTTTAAATTGCGGCGTAGATCAAATATCGGAATTAAACAATCTAAATACGAGGTACCGCCGATAAGCCTAGTACTAAAGAAGAAGTGCCAGTGGTGGTCAAAGAAAAGGGGAGAAGGCTACATAAAGCGAAAGAGAAAGCTATTGCAATGAGTTTGGGACAGCTTGTGGGAAACCATGTTGAGCGTCTCTACATATGGGCCAGCCCCCGCGATGGTTTCACACCGATAAGATAGACAGGCACATCATACAGTCACGAGCCAGATAAGCACGCACAGCCACTTAGTCATACAGATGATGAGTATTATGGCAAATTTAATCCTGGTCTCAACATATACTAATTCACATGTGTGAGTTATAGTACCACCTGCCTAGTTCAATAGCAACTTAGCAATCCAAAGTGAATTTTTCTATATTTTAACACTTTGTGCATCGAGAAATATTGTGGCACATGATCACGACTATTGGCAATTTTACTTTCCCAAAACTTATATAAATGCACTAAACTTCAAGCTAAAGTTGACACATTTCCCTACTCCCTCACGTTCATCAATGTCTTCATTTATCGTCAAGTGGATTGCTAACCGTCTTTTAAAAGATAATCAGTGGAATAAGTTGGGAGTTGAAGACCCATACTACGAATATGTACCTATTCAAAAGAAAGACGGAACAAAGCACAAGAAGATAACCAGAAGAATCCCAGAGGGTATTTCTCAACACGATATTGGCATCTTAGAAATTTTCAAAAAGAAGGCATACAGGTACGATTATTGGTTTAAATTACTTGGGGTCCAATTTGGATGGTCGAGTATCGTGAGTGTGGTACCGGTTGTGGGGACAGTGATACAAACGTATTGGTCGTTGCAGTTGTTGGCACTCGCTAGGAGGATTCAAGGTGGGTTGCCATTGGATTTGCAACTATTGTTCTTGTTGAACATTGCTATCGATTTCGCTTTAGGATTTATTCCCATCATTGGTAGTTTGATTGAGATAGGATACAAAGCAAACTCGAGAAACTTTTTGTTGTTGGAAAAGCATTTGGTTAGAGTTGGGCAGAAAAACCAAGGATTGATTTCTGAGGACGAGGTTCGTCCAGGTTTCATCAATGACACCGTACAACCGTTTGTTGATGAAAAAGTGAAACCATTTGTGGACGAAACAATCAAGCCAGGCGCAATTAAAGCCGGGGACCAAATTTTGGAGTTGTTACAGAGGAAACCGCGCAGCTCAAGTGTCTCTTCAACTAACTCTGGTGTCAGCACAAAAGGCACTAGTGGGTCTACAACGCAAACCAGTAATGCCACTGTCACCACTTCGTCAAAACCACTGTCCATTGCAGATTCGAAAGTAAAGGAAACCGATTCAACTTTACTGCATCACAATATCAATTAGGTTAGAAGGAAAATTTGTCGGGTATTGAATAAAGTAAATTTATTGTATAAACCAAATTGTGAAATCCATCTCGAGAACCGTAAACTTCAGGAGCTCTCTTACAAGTGCGTTTTCACGGTCACAACATCATCTTGCTATGGCAGTTTGTCTGTGATCTCGCATCTTGTTGCAAAAAAAGAGCGATCACATTGTGGGCAATGCGCAGCCCAGGCCCTCATGCTGAGTAGTAGAGAGGAAAAAAAGAAAGGAAAGAAAAAAAAATATAAATCCACATTAAAGCCGATATATCGAGTGAGTTAAATATCACCAACAATGGCTACAACGATCGACCAATCAGTGAATGGAAAATCCGCCAATGGTGCAAATTCGGAGCAAAACGATTCTAAGGAGACTACTACCACAATAGCGGATGCAGAAGCAATTCCACTAGAATCATTTTCAATCAAATCAACACATCAAGACACAGAAGAAGCCGAAGCAGCATCTCTCAAGTCAACGGACGTTATTATCGACAAGCCAGAGTCTGGTTTGAATGATTCACCCATTGATGAAATACCCAAACCGACAGAACAAGAGTTGAACCCATGCTTGGCTAAGTTTATGCTGTTTTGTCAGGAAGGATCACTTGAATCTGTCAAAGAGTTGATCGAATCGGGGTCCATAAAGGTCAACGATACGTTCAGTGATGGTATTAGTGGTCTTCACTGGGCATGTATCAATAATAGACTCAGCTTAGTAAAGTACTTAGCAGAGAATGGTGCCAATCCTAATTTATATGGTGGAGAATTGCGAGCAACACCACTTCACTGGGCATGCAGAAATGGCCTTGTTTACATTGTTCAGTACTTAGTATCCAACACATCTGCTGACCCTAACTTGCGAGATTTGCAAACTTATAATGCCCTTCACTTGGCAGTTCACAGTTCAAATATTACATTAGTAGTATACCTATTGTTGAGCTGTTGCGATCCAAGCAACAAAAAACACTTGTATATTGATGAGCCAGATGGATCAAACAGAACTGCTCTTCACTGGGCTAGTTATCAAAATGACATCTTTACCGTTAATGCTTTGTTGAGATTTGGTGCCGATGTTTCCAAAACGGACGATAGTCAATTCATTCCGCTTCATTGGTGTTTTATGAGAGGCCACAAGAATGTTATGAAAGCATTGATTGAAGGTGGATCCGACATTTTTGCAAAGAATGACGTGGGTAAGAATAGTTTTGATATAGCGAAAGATATGAATTGCTCACAAGCATGGCGAAAGGTGTTGATAGAGTCGGGACTAGATCCCAAGAACAATTGGGCACCAAAAGTCAGATGGGTTAGTCCAAAAGTGGGCAAGGTGTCAACGTATCTAGCACCATTTGTTTTGTTACCTATTTCGCTAAGTATATGCACTACATCACAAGGTTTAGCATTTCCGAAGTTGGTTCTAGCTTTTGCATTTTTCGCATTTGGAACTTATATTATCAACAAAACAATAATACCGACCTATTTGATAGATGATAAACCGCTTCCAAAATCACCTTTATTAGCCGGAATCTTTTCAGCCACTGCATTTTGGTGCATCATAGTTTGGATGTTTAAAATACTTCCAGCCACTTTATTTTCCAATTTTTTTGCCAACCTTTTCATTGGAATATCAATTGTGATTTTCGTTTGGTCGTTTTTCAAAGCCATGTTCATCAACCCCGGATTTGTACCGACCCCAACTGACAATGCCGTGATTCTTTCACAAGTTGAAGACTTGCTCAGCTGTGGAAAGTTTGACACTGATCATTTCTGCGTCAATTCATTTGTTCGCAAACCACTTCGTTCCAGATTCTCTAGACATAATAAAAAGTTGGTTGCCAGGTTTGACCATTATTGTCCGTGGGTATACAACGAGATTGGAGTGAGGAACCATAAGCTATTTATCACATTTGTTTACGCATTGAATCTCGCCATTCTTTTGTTCACATATTTGACTATTCAGTATTTTGATAAATTGAAGGAGTCGATCGAGTCAGATGATGAAGATAATCAAAGCTTCTTCTGCAGGTTGATTGACGAAAATCTATGCTACGGTTACAAGAATAATCAATTCCATTTCAATTTGTTGGTATGGTGTTGGCTACAATATATTTGGATTTTTTTCCTTTGTTTGGTTCAAACTTTTCAAATTTTGCGTGGGTTAACTACTTGGGAATTCAGTTCATTGAATTCGAGAATATACAGCCCAAGACTGAATCATTCAACAGTTCCGGAAGAAGTTGCTGACTCACTTACTCAACCTCCTAGATCAGATCGCAAGAATAACGAATTTCAAACTTGTTTAAATTTGCTTGGTATTGATCAGTTTGTGATGACAATGAAAATGACTATCATGTCTGTTTTCAACAGAAACAGAGCCACTAGCATCGATCCTTTGCATATAGATATACCTACCGATTACGGATTGAAACAAAATTGGTTGGACTTTTGGATAATTGGCGAACCCAATTGGAGAAATATTTTTTACTTGCCCATTGAAGGTGAGAATAACTTGAATGGGCAAGTTGTTGACTATTATAATCTTTATGAGTACCCACCAAAACTGTCCAGCCAAGTTGTGTAAAAAAGAAAATTGTGACTGTGTATAGTTTAATTCTACCTGCTTATACTACATTGTATGTACTTGTCATTCTCGTTTGTGTTTATTCCCATTTTCCATATACTTGTCAGACAAACACCAATGCAAGCTCAAGTTCGGTATAAACAACCAAAACAAAGAGCCAAAGATCATCGCTCCTCTGAATCTCTTTTACGAGATAGTTGAGGCAGTTGAATAGACAGACTGTTACATCAAATTCTATTTGCATGTTTCTCACTTTTGATTGCATTGATGCCATATGAACTCATCGTCCAAGTTGGATTCAGTGGCTCTTTAGAAGAGTCAAAGAGGGACGTCTACTATAGAAATGATCCTATGAAGTACGTCGACATAGAAAAGAAAAAGAAAAAGGGTAAAAAAATGGGAAAAAAAATCGATGAGGAATGAAAGATATTTATAGTGCGAGAAAATTGTGTGAAGAGTGTGATGAGTGTGATGAGCTTGTGGGTTTTTGTCACACATAAATTATAAATGCTTTCGGTGAAGATTTGGAAGGTGGAATTTTAGTGGAGCAGTAAGCCTGATTTGAGTATTTCAAGGTGTAGTAGTAAATTGTGGGAACAATGTCGTCGGTTTTATTTTGCAAATCCATACAAGCTCTTCAAAAAACATTTTGTTGCGCTTAGTCAATAGCTAATACCAAAATTCTCTGAGCTGACACCATCACATACTTTATCCCCCAAGCCAATGACTCCATCAGAATTACACCCTCGCAAGAGGACATCAGAAGATGATGCAGGTACAAACAAGAGGCTCAAATTAACAGCAGACAGTGGTACGACTGATGATCATACGGAAGATTTGAAGTTAATCCTACCAAAGCCAGTAACTACAAATCCAGCCCAGTTTGCAGATCGAAAGAGACACATTGAAACCATAGCAAACATAATCAAGCTCAAGAGGCCCTCCTTAAAAACGCCTAAATTGAAGGCAATAGAGATTGAATACGATATTGCCAGAAATACAACACATCGTACCTACGCATCTACGTTGAGAAATGCCATTTTGAAGCTTCAGCATCCAGAGAAATTTCAACTGGGGAACCAAGTAAAGAAACGTTCGCAAGAGGATGTGTTGAAACTACTAAAGTCAATAGAGATTCCAATACTGAAGTTGAGAAAATATGGATATGTCATGTCTGTACCTGAATCAATTCCCAATGCCAAAATCACTAGAAATTGTCAGCGATGCGATACTGAGTTTAAATTGAGTCAACAATTGGAACCTACAACATGTGAGTTTCATTATGGTAAAATACGACGCAATCCAGACAATAAAACAAGATACTATGAATGCTGCTTGGGACCAAAAGATGATTGCAAGCCTTGCGACAAGCACAAATACCATGTTTATCAAGATCAGAGCGTTGAAGAAAAACAGAGTATGCGTTCATATGTAAAGACTGAGGAAATTTTTGAACAAAAGGGGAAATATCGAGTGTTGGGTTTAGATTGTGAAATGGGATACACAACAAAGGGTTTTGAATTGATGAGAGTTACCGCTGTTGATTACTTCACGTTAAAGACAGTCATGGACACTTATGTTCTTCCATTTGGTGAAATTGTTGACTTCAACACTCGATTTTCAGGGATATCAGCTTTGGACGGAGATTTTGTCAGTTTCAACCAAATGATTCAAGAGCTAGGAACGGTGATGGACAAAGACACAATTCTTATTGGACATGGGTTGGAAAATGATATGAATGCATTGAGGTTGATTCATAGTCACATAATTGACACCTCAATACTATATCCAAAGTTTGAGAGCACGCCCACTTCCAGAAAGAGCTTAAAAGATTTGACATTCAAGTATTTGAGTAGAAACATACAAGTTGGTGACCACGATAGTGCTGAGGACTCTATAGCTGCTATCGAGATTGTTAGATATCACGTTGATAAAGATGGATGTGGGATAAAGCAAAGCACTTGATAGAAACAACAGGTCACGAAGAATTCATCTGAAGCTTCTATTTATACAAAATCTAATAATAAGGTAGCTTATACCGAGCATTTGCAGAGTCAGCAATAGCCCTATTACATGTCTTGCTTCTGCCCTTTTTGCAATAAAATGTTCCATTGACTGGTACGTGGGTGGTTATATAATCGATAGACATTCCAATAAAGTTTTGATTCAATGCATTCAACCCACATGCTTCATCCACTTTTATTTTTCTTTCCAAGTTTGCCTCCACCACAGTTTCCATCAACTCAACCTGCATCAACTGCTGATAGTCAATGATGCATGACAAGTCATAATTCAAATGTTGGAAATCATTGAACTTGTAATCTTTGAATTGTTGATACCGGCTAAACTCATCCATCAAGACATATTTCATCTGGGTCTCAAGCATGTCGTTATCCCTCAACAACAAATTGTGGATATTTGGTGTTGGTTGTAGTATCGATTGCATTTTCGGGTTCAAATTGATTCTGCACTCACTGGCTTCATATGTATGTTCGCTCAATTTCAAGGATCTGATGTAAAACTTGATTACAGTGTTGTCAAGGCAAGCTTTATCTTCCTTTGAGAGGGCAGATGAGGTTAGTGAAGTGGCCCATTGATGAAATCGGTTGAGATGGGATGGTGATTCAGCAATCTTATTGGCCACGTCTTGTAAGAACCCTATGATGGTTTGCTTGTCGTGAGTTTGCGAAGTGATTTTGAATATAGCGTGTTCTTCTTGAGTCGTGGTGAAAAGAGCTGATATCGAAGTGAATGAAACAACCATGATGATGGTTAACCTTGAGAATAGACGCATTGTTGAAATAAGAAGGGTTAGTTAGTCAACGTCTGGGTATAATTCAATTTGTATTGGAAATGTGAACAAAGAATGGACTATATTTTTCTGATATGGCGACAAAAAGCTTTACATTTCTGGATTCTTCCAAACTTAACAAGCGATGCAAATCGGTTTATAGATTCCCAAGTGATGTTAACTACTGCAATCCAAGGGCCAAAGTAGAGTAATCTTCGCACGAATTGGGATCCTTGATCTTATAGGTAAATTTTGTGCCCATTGTTCTTCTGCATCGAATGATCTCGTTGTGTGCTTTGAAATGCAAGCTATCGCGTCTGTGCTAAAACTGCTCCACTCCATCCTTGAACGTTGCATTGACCATCTGATATCCTTCTGGTGTTTTACCTTCCAAATAGTTGCAAAGTGAAAAAAGCATCTACACGCGATTGAATAAAATACGAACACGACACAAAACCGTCAAAAGACAAAAGCGAAGGAGAGACGCGAAAAGTTCAAATTGAAATTGGATTGTAATAGATTTACCAATAGACAAAACCGCTGCCAATTTATAACAAAACTAGGCTTACTTCTTCTTCTTCTTCTTCTTCAACTTTGATACTGTATTAGTTGATTTTTACCCTTCTACACTCATCAATAATGGGCACTGCAACACCAGCAACATTAACACCAAAGAGAAAAGGGATGTCCCAAGCCAGTGGTGGTGGTAACTCTTCCTCAAGCAACAAAAAGAAGCAAGCATCATTGATGTCCTTCTTCAAGCCCGTGGCAGCCAAAAGTGATTGGAACAAAGATGTAAATCAGTCTGCAAATAACTCGGTACTGCAAAGCCGTGTATCATCATCATCACCCTTGAGGTCTAAAGTGACGGTTAAACAAGAATTATCAAGTGATAAGGAAAATGACAATACATTAATGCAATATGATGAAGACGAATTTAGAGATTTGTCTTTTTCTTCGAGTTTGACTTCGCCACCGGATGTGAACGTGGTAAAACAAGAACCAATTCTGTCAAATGCCATGAACAACAACAACAACAACAACAACGAAAGCACGCCCTCGAAGGATCATAGACCAGCACTCAATTCCAGCCCCATCAATTCCAGTCGCCATTCTAGAAAGCAAGTCAATTATGCTGAATCTGAAGATGAAGATGAAGATGAAGATCCTGTCATCCTGTCATCTCGTAAGAAGAGAAAGATTGTGCAAGAGCCAAGTGACGACGAAGATGATTTTCGGCCAGATATGTCAGATGCGGATGATGATGATGATGATGATGACGATATGAGTGACTTTGTGGTTGATGATGATGGTGATGATGTTGATGACGGTGAGCCAGATGTCCTGGATGACGAAGATATTGCTTTCAAACCTAAGAAATTGAGTCAATCACAGAAGTCAAAGTCAAGGTCGATTCCCACTGAGACATCATCTTCAGAGATTAATACAACCATGGACACAACTAATACCACCACTTCCAATGACTTGAATGATAAGTTTACTGCATCTTCGTCATATGACGCTTCAGGATATGTTACAAAACAATTTCTGTCAAAGCCATTACCAACCACTAAAAGGAACTTTGCCAAAGAGAATGAGGAAAGATACCAGTGGCTCGTCAATATCAAAGATGCAGAAAAAAGATCTCCGGATGACCCAAATTACGACCCTAGAACACTTTATATTCCGCAGTCTGCATGGTCCAAATTTACTGCTTTTGAAAAACAATATTGGGAAATCAAGTCCAAAATGTGGAACACCGTCGTGTTTTTCAAAAAAGGGAAATTTTACGAGTTGTATGAAAATGATGCTATAATTGCAAATACTCAATTTGATCTTAAGATTGCTGGTGGAGGACGGGCAAATATGAAGTTGGCAGGCATTCCGGAGATGTCTTTTGAACACTGGGCAAAAGAGTTTATTAGCCATGGTTATAAAGTTGCAAAAGTGGATCAAAAGGAATCCATGTTGGCGAAGGAAATGAGGGGTGGTGGTTCTAAAGAGGAAAAGATCATCAAAAGGGAATTGACCGGTGTATTGACTGGAGGTACGTTGACCAATTTGGATATGATCACAGATGACATGTCAACTTATTGTCTTAGTATCAAAGAGGAAGCATGCGAAGATGGGTCTAAGATATTTGGAGTTGCCTTTGTGGATACGGCAACCTCGGAATTGAACTTGATCGAGTTATATGATGATGCAGAATGCACCAAGCTTGACACATTAATTACACAAGTCAAACCTAAGGAAGTCATTTGTGAAAAGGGAAACCTTTGCAATATTGCAACCCAGGTCTTGAAATTTTGTGCTCATTCGAATAATCAAATTTGGAACAATTTAAATCCAATTACTGAGTTTTGGGATTATGATGTTGCCGTTGAACAATTGGTTAAATCAAAGTACTATGATGCTGAGGACATGGACGACTTTTCAAAATACCCTGAGGTACTCGTTGATTTCAAAAAAAGACACTTCGTAGCATTCAATGCATTTGGAGGACTATTGTCCTATTTGAAGACTCTTAAATTGGATGAGAGTATCATGAGTTTGGGTAATATAAGACAATACAAAATTTCAGAAAATGAAACATCGCACATGATTCTTGATGGTATTACTTTGAGTAATTTGGAAATTCTCAATAACAATTACGATGGCGGAGATCAGGGAACATTGTTGAAGTTGGTGAATCGAGCAACTACTCCATTTGGTAAAAGACATTTGAAAAAGTGGATTTTGCACCCATTGATGCGTATTGATGAGATTAGTCTGAGGTACGATTCCATAGATTATTTAATGAGTGATGGTTCTGAGTTGAGATCTACCTTACAAGACTGTTTGACAGCTTTGCCTGATTTGGAACGTTTAATTGCTCGTGTACATGGTGGAACCCTTCGATTCCGGGATTTCCTCAAAGTTGTTGAAAGTTTTGAAAGTATCGCCAGATTCTCAAAACAATTGTTGGAATTTGCCAACGTTGAGTGTGGGGTATTGTATAAATACTTGCAATCATTCCCTCAAGATATGGTTGAGCATATTTCAGAATGGGAGGATGCATTCGATAGACAACAGGCCGTGAACGATATCATTATTCCTGCAAAGGGTGTCGATGCCGAGTTTGACAAATCTCAAGGTGTTATTGACGGTTTGGAAAACCAACTCAATGAGCTTTTGAAAGGTTACAAAAAAGATTTCAAATCGCATGAGATATTTTATCGTGATTCAGGAAAAGAAATTTATCTTATTGAACTTCCTGTGAAATTGGTTAAGCACGTCCCACAAAGTTGGCAAACTATGGGTGCTACATCGAAAGTGAAAAGATATTGGTCACCAGAAGTGAAGCAATTGGCAAGAGAATTGATGGAGCAAAGAGAGTTGCACAAGATGGTTTGTGATACTTTGAGAAACAGGATGTATGCCAAATTCGACGCCCATTACTCCACTTGGATGAAAGTGATCAATTGCATTGCCAATATTGATTGCATACTTGCATTAACCAAGGTATCTGAATCAATCAGTTACCCATCATGTCGCCCAGAATTCGTGCAAGGTGACCATGGTGTGCTCGATTTCAAGGAATTGAGACACCCTTGTTTTGTTGGTAATGGAAACTTTATCCCTAATGATATTCACTTGGGTGGTGATGAGCCCAATTTTGGATTGTTGACGGGTGCCAATGCTGCTGGTAAATCTACCATTATGAGAACCACTGCTTTGGCTGTCATTTTAAGTCAAATTGGATGCTACATACCCGCTTCGCTGGCTAAATTAACCCCCGTGGACAGAATAATGACCCGATTAGGTGCAAATGATAACATCATGCAAGGTAAATCAACTTTTTTTGTTGAACTTTCAGAAACCAAGAAAATTTTGAGTAACGCTACTCCCAGATCATTGGTGATTTTGGATGAATTGGGTAGAGGCGGTTCAAGTAGTGATGGGTTTGCCATTGCTGAAGCAGTTTTGCACCACTTGGCTACTCATCTACAACCACTTGGGTTCTTTGCAACACATTATAATACCTTAAGCGTATCATTCAAGTCGCATCCACAAATCAAACCAATGAGAATGGCAATTGTTGTCGACCAGGAGTCGAGGGATATCACATTTTTGTATAAATTGGAAAGTGGTACAGCACCAGGATCATTTGGAATGAATGTGGCATTGATGTGTGGAATCCCCAAAGAAATTGTTGACAACGCTGAAGTTGCTGCAAAGAAATACGAACAAGTTTCGAGTTTGAAACGGACGTATGAGGAAGCAGATAAAGACGAGGAAATGAGTTTGGGTTTACAAAGTGATTGTGTGTGGTATGGAACTGATAGAATCGAGTTGTTGAAGCAGGACATATTCAACTATGAAACTTCAGTACAAGAGAGGGCACTTGATAATGTCTATAAAATGATTGATTCTTTATAGAGGTAGTAGATGTAATAATATAATTGATATAGAGAAATGTGTCACAAATACAAAACTTCTAGGCAACTATAAAGTGACCACTAGTATTTCAGAGACGTGGAAGGTTGGTCGATAGTCAACAGGTAAAGTATTGATGCTTGTGTTCAATCAACAGTGTAAGCACAACGCTAAATGCCAGATCTTCATTTTGATACCTCTGCTCCCGACCTTTCGACTTTGTGCTAGCAACAGCAAACATTTTCTCACAACAGTGTGACACGATATTTTCTTACCAGCCCCAGATTCACATTCTCCGAGGAGAAAAAAAAAATAATAAGTACCATACAGAAAGTAAAACAGAGAAAAGCACACCACTTTTTTCTTTCCCCATCATCAACAACCCCAACAACCCCAACAACCATCATGTCATCAATTATCAATCAATTAGGTCTCAACACTAGAGTCCCATACCACTTCTTATTCTACGCATTGTCATTTGGAGGTACTGCCTTCTACTCATACATTGTCTCACCAGTGTTGTTTAAGGAGTTATCAAGAGATGATTTCAGCAAAGTCCAGGGTAAGGTTTTCCCTCGTTACTTTAAGTATCAAATCCTCTCACCACTTTTGATTGCAGCAATCACTCCATTCAAGTACTGCCCATTCACAATTGGTACTTTGGCAATTGCCTCATTGTCGGGAATTTTCAATTTGTGCTACTTGGAACCTAAATGTCATGCTATCAAGGAGGAGAGGATCAAGTTGACTGCTATTGGCAAGGAAAAGAAGGACAATGGTGAGCCAACTGACGAAATGCAAGCATTGACTACTAGTTTTGGCAGATGGCACGGATTGAGCATGTTGATCAACAACTTGTCTATTTTGTCATGGGCTGTCTACGGATTGACTGTAGCCAAAGGGTTGACTTTGATCAAATACTAAATAGTGAGAGAAGGTATGCTAAGTTGTTCTGTTTTTTGTTTTTCTATCGTTGTTTCCTCTTGAGATCATCTTGTTTTCGTAACTCCTCTGCTTCATTGTACTCAGCTAGTTCTTCTTTGTATATGGTTGCGGTGAACTTGAACAAGTAGAGGTACCAAATGAAAAGCTGCACTATTGCAAACACAACAAAATGGCCACTCAATTCCACCGTGGCAATGTTGGGGTTTATCATCCATCTCTTGATGATCCACAAGTAATGGAAAATGGTCACAGTCATTACCACCACGCCAACAAGAAAGAACTTGATATCTTTGATAAGTTTCGGTGTAATGTACTGCTGAATCAATGAGGGTTGTGCTGTAGATCTGGCGTCGTTATTGCTCATGTTGTGAGTATGTATGTCTTCTCTTACATGAGATGGGATCACGGCTAAAACATTTCGGGTGGTGATTTTCTTGCTTTTTTGAGAGTGCGTTGCTACCACTTTGGTACAAGTTAATTTGTTATCAATAAATAGTTTGGAGCACAATCAATTTTGTCTTCTATATTCCTCACCAGCTATCAAGATGGGAAATCCTTGATGGTGAAGAAAAGAGGTGATAATATGCGTGCAACCTTGATCACCAAAATCTTTAAGCAGAACAAGAGCAATGAAGAAGATATTTTTGCAGCAATTTTATGCCAAACCCTTATTGAACAGGTAAAAACAAAAAAAAAAAAAAAATTGCATACAAGTTGCAGCATAGTTTATCAGCATCAGTGAGCTCCGCTGATTTTTATGACACTATTCAGGAGCTCTCAGAAAATCATCTACCTCGAGAAAGGATAGAGCTTATCATCATCATATCACGTGACAAAGCTACCAGGTTTCAAAAGAGTAGCAAGCATATTTTTGTGATAATTTATCATATGCCTTATTCTAGCACTTGGTGATTTAAGCCACTGAAGTAATTTGTTTCCTTAAAAGGACAAAAAATCAAAATTCACCGGATCACAATAGGAGTTGTTGTGGCCGTAGTTACGCAAACAGAGTTATTGCCAACAAGCGAAGAAACGGAATCAAAAATCTTTTATTGTTTCCCAAAGTCGATTTCTTTGTTTTCACTTCTTCGGTTCCGTTCACAGGGATGATGATGGAATTTACTGTGATGTATATTCTCGGTCTTTGAATTGTTCTATGAACATTGTCTTCTTTGGTGGGTATTCAACCACAAATTGAAAAATATACCCCAATCAACTTTTTGGCCACATTCCCTTTTGGAAAAAAAATGGTGCTCTATGGATCGATTCCTATACTTTTCTCCTTGACTGCCAGTGTTGATGTGTAATTTCTACAATTGATTGTAATCAGACACTTTAGTCATTTGAGGAAGAAAAGTACATATACGATTAATGTAAATGGAGTGCGTAAAATCAATCGGATAAATTTCTAAGCGGATTTAGCAATAGTGAAAACAAATTTAAATATTGTTAATGTATCATTTTTTGTGGTTATTCTTTGCCCGCCAAGATTTACACAAATCTGAAATTTCAGAAAGTACCTCTTTTACCGCCTGAAATAGAAAACAAAGTGCAGCAATAATAAATTGAGGAGATCAATAACATATGATATTGTTCACTTACATCAAATAGAATAACTAAAAATAAAAGAAAAAAAAAAAAAATTGACGCCTTGTTCATAACCATAACCAATTACGGCTCGTTCAAAGAGTATGGAATTGTTTCAAGTCGTAATTTCTCTTTGTGACTGGAGGGGTTGTTAATCCGAGATCCCAAAACAACCTATAGTCTGATAAACATAAGTGTACTACTTGTGCTTGCATTGAGTGGTGGATGTGTATCACTTTTACTTATTTACAAATTTGCAACTCCTTCTGTGTCCTTTTCAGATACATTCGAAAGAGGCGTAAACTTACATGAGCCAAAAGAGCCTGAAATTTCAGAATTTCTCGTTTGCATTCGTTTCGTGTCGTCTAAATCAACTCTCTGTTGAGCTCAAATACACAAAAATAAAACAGTACAAAGGACAATAAAACCAATAATTGATCCAGACCCATTGTTGTTTACGCCAATCTCATTTCCCTCGCTCTAGATTTCCTGTTCTTGTTAACCATTCCAACGCCCAAGAACCGGAATTTTATTCAGTATACTCTCGCGCGGCACACAATATATGTATTATATATATATATATACACAAACATTTTGCAATTTAACACAAATAGAACAAAGGCTAAGAACTAAAAAGTTTGGACTAAAAAATTCCACTAACCGATTCTAGCCTAATTTACCCTGCATTGTTACACTTAAGTCCCTTTCATACTTCATAAAAACGTGCATGCATTAGAGAAAGAGATTAATTTTCCGCAATTTCACTATAAATAGGGCACCAAAATTCCAACAATGTTGTCATTTACACTATTCAAGATTGTTATTTGATCCCATCATCTTCAAGATTCTTCATTTCCCACTCTTACTCCACACAAAATGTTGTACGCTTTAGCCACTCCAAACTCCTCATTCAAACCACTGATTAGAAAGATCAAGAATTCATGGAGATTGAAGAAATTCAAAGAATTGTATATTGAAAAAGGTGGTTTATCTAATCCTCCCAGTGATGTATCATTCACAGAACTGACTTCAAGTGATGGGTCAGCTGCTACTGCTCTGTCAACTAGAATTCGTATTTGAAAAAAACTGACTAAAAGCAACGAACAAGAAACAGGGTTTTTGCATGTTGAGGAACATATTGCAGCAAATAAATGAGGCGCACATGACTTCTTCAACGAGTTTAACCACTAAAAAGATAGTTTGGGGGTCACACGCTTGGTGACCTCATAGGCCGATCCGAGCAGGTCTCGGACGATTACGCATTGGGTTGCTAATCACTTTTGTTTACAGTTTGAAAAATAATTAATTTCCAGTGAACAATAAGTCCTGAAGTTTATTAATTACACAAAAAATCATATTGCGTTGAAATTTATGAATTTTGGAATCCCAAACTGAACCACACTCATAGTTAGAATGCGACGTACTTGAACCAGTTTACACTTCTTGTATAGAGTATTTTAATAGACACTTTTACTTCACATAGCAGCAGTTTTATTACTACACCCGTATAAATTCTATAATTGTCTAAGCTTTTCCTCGAGTCACACAAAAACCAGAGTCTGGGGCTACTACAGAAGAGATCTATGCACAATTTAAAAAAAGAAGTAAAAAAGAATGCTTTACTTTTTATATCTTTTATGCAATAACTATACAATGCTTTTTAACTAGACCCTGAAGATGATCCCTCTTGATCAAAACCATCAATTAACTTTTCATTATTCGATGGATCCCATACAGCTGAAGGCATGGACAAATTTTGCACTTGACTTCTGCCATAGGGACTGGCATTCAAACTATCATCAGCGCCAACACCAGCACCAGCTTCACCTCCAACAGGCACATATTCAGCACTTCTACGTTCCCTCTCCCATTCTCTCCATCTCCTCATTTTAATCTTTGATGCATCAAACACACCTTCAGTACCACCATGATCCTGTCCTTTATCACCACCAGCAACAGTTCTTGTTTCACCCCAACTGAAATCATCAAATTTCCAATATGCATACGAAGGAAGAACAAAATTCCAAATTGGTAAAGCAATCAAGTAAATGAAAAAATAAATAATGTACGACATTGACGAAATCGTAATAACAATTAAACAACCAGGTAAACCGAAAATGACCGCCAATAAAACCAAAGACATAATTGGCGTGGGCTTGGAAATAATGGCAACAATAATAACATAGATGGTGAAGGAAATAGCTGCTGGTAACACCAACGTACCAACCAATTCGATGAAAATGACAAATTGCATTGAAAAACAAAAAGTTCCACAAAGATCATTAACCAAAACCAATTCCATTAAATTGTGCACCGTTGAGTTAATCCATCTACGACGTTGTGACAACAACACAGAAAACTTGTCAGGAACAATGGTTTTACAAGCAGCTTTAGGAACAAACACTTGTTTTCTCTTTGGGAATGTTCTCAACATCAAGGACGAAAGAAATCGATCTTCACCCAATAACAATAAATTCTTTTTGTGCAAAGTGTCAACAACGTTATCGGAGTATCTTTCAACAATGTCAGGATTAGCCAAAATGGGCACCCAATATCCATCTGATCCCTTTGGCGCTTTAATTCTGTACATTGAGAAACATCCTGGCAAACAGGTTACACCACCAAAGATTGATTCAAACGCTTTGGCTTGGTGATGGGAAATGTAATATTCAAACACTTGAATTGCCGTGACCCATGTTTGAGATTTGTTTGAAATTTTTGTTTCTCCACACAATCCCATAATCATGGGGTCCTTAACCATTTCAGCAGCCATATGAGTCAATGAATCAGGATAAACTTTGGTATCAGCATCAACCATGAGCACAATTTCATAAAATTCCGCCATTAATCCTGTAATTCGCCAAATACTGGAAAACATTTCAAATTCCAAACTGGTCATTCTTTCATCAAATACAACTTTTTGTAAAAATGACATCAAAATGATTTGAGAATCACGTTTACCTCTGTTACCAGGTTTAGGCATATTGGCTTCCTCTGGTGTACCACACTTGACGACAGTAAGCATGGGCACACGTTGTTGTTTCTCGGGGGGAACAGTCTCATCATTGTAGTTGTAAAAACCAGCATATACTTTGGCCATATTGTGACGTTTACTACCTTGAGCGACAGCCACATACGAATAAGCTTGAACTTCATCTCTTGGAACCGTCAAGTCTGACATCATATCCAAAACAATATCTGGTGTTGTTCTATCATTTCCTGAACCTTTGATTATACCATCACAGACAACAAGAATAAGTTTGTGCGAGTTTGGATAATCAGTGGTGGCTACAGAATCCAATGTTGTACGGATACCATCTTCATCTTCGGAGTAACAAGTAACCAAGTTGATCGAGTGAACCAATGGGTATCCAAATGGTTGATACTCAACTGGTGGTTGAGGCACAACGTCGGGATGAATAATATCTGGAGATAAACGATGCACAACCGAATCTTCAAAACCATCAAAAGGGTTGTATGTTGTCAACGGACGATTTAACAAATCAGTTGATGAACCTTGGTCATTTAAATACAATGTTGATTGTCTAGTACTGTTTTTACCGGTACCAACACCGCTGTTCCCCATCAAAGTGTTCTTTTTACCATATCCATTCTTACCCAAAAGAGCTGCTTGAGTTGACATAGTAGTGTACTTGAATGTCTTTGAAAGGGCGCTTGGATTATCATAATACTGCGACAAGTCTGCATTTGGTCCCAAAGCAAGTCTCTGTGCTCTTTGAAACACGCTCTGCCTATTTGTCTTGGCAGCTTTGTAATTGGCTCTTGCTTTAACTGGAACAGTCTTGATTTCGGGTCCCATACCGGCAGCACTATTGTCAACCCAATTTTCAATAGCCTTGTTCCGTGCCGCCATTGTTTTGTTATCATACTCGGTTGCACCCTGTTTTCTCGAAGTAACCCATCTAAACCAACACGCCATAACAAACTTGACAATAACCACTGACAAGATAAACACCAACGACACAATTAATACAATCTGCGACGCAATGCATCCAATTGTATCTGAATCAATTGATCCAACCTTGATAATCTCGGTAAGACACCTTGCTGCTTGACGTTCACTAGGGTCTGTCAATACTAACGAGATATCAATGCCACGGTATGTAGAATCATCACGTAACTTGTTGAAAAGGTCTGGGTATGTCACATCATCATGTTGAATCCAATTGATCAAGTTGAGATCCAATACATTTCCCGAGTACACAACCAAGTTTCTTGAAGAATTTTTGATGTCATCCCACGTGAAATAAACATCACCAGATACTTTCAAGCTATAGTATGCTTTTCGAGCAGTTTCACTTGTATGACAAGCCCAACCATTATAATATGCATTGGTGTTATTGACGTCGTCAGATCCATCCTGACTAAATACTCTGCATGGCATATACCATGCAAGTTCATTGTCATCATTGTAAGGGATAGTACAATTGTCCCTTGGTTTAATTAAATTCTTGCAATTTCCATTAACATTTTGAAACAAAAATGAAGCATCTTTGCCACCAGCATTAATGGGTGGATACAACACATTTGAACCAGCACCAATTCCTGCTGCAGCTGGATGTTTTGACGAGGTCAAATCAAATGATCTACCATTAATGATCAAATATCCGTGATTGACCTCATTGATTCTGGTTCTAACACGTTCAGTTGAACAAACAGTTTTGGTGAAACCAAAAGTCAAATACGCCACAAATGCACCAATGTACAAGATACACGAAATCAATCCAATTTTTTCCCTCCATGCAAATTGACGATCTTTGGTTCGAAGTCCAAATAGCTTCAACAAGGGAGCTGGTGCCCAAAAAGTAATTGCATAACAATAAACCTTCCAGAAATAAATATCGCTCTTGTCGGCATCCTTTTTCCGGTTTTTGGTACCTTGAACTTGTGGTCTAGGTATACCATTGGATATAACTTTGCTCTTCAGAGGCGATTGGGAATAATCCTTGATTTCATCATTCAATCCATAAACTTCTCTACCTCCTTTCAAATCGTGGGTATTGGGACTTCCCTGAGGTGAAGAATCATGAATATCCATCAACGGAATACCCTCTGTATCATCATCAAGGTGATTTGCATCAAATCTGTTTGAAGTGTAAGCACTGAGATGTGATCTTGAACGACCCAATTCATTTGATCTCGATGGATCTAGACCCGTAGACGAAGGTTGTACTTTTATATGATCAGCCTCTTGATTGGCAACTTGGGTATAGTGAAACCTTGGATGGTTTTCATCTAAAAGTGTTCTTTCTGGTCTCACAAGCGACTTTTTTCTACCAATTCCATCACCAGTTTCAGGATCAAATTCAGTATAGCCACGTGTAGGACTTCCACTGGATCTATGAAATGACATTTATGGTGTAGTAGTAGTAGTAGTAGTAGTAGTAGTAGTAGTAGTAGTAGTAGTAGTAACGAGGGTATGATCTATGCTTTAGTGATGGTTTTAGCTCTAAACGATGGGGAAGATGGCTGTGGCTGTCAGTTGCCTCTTTAAATTTTTTTCTATTTTTTTTTTTTTGTTTTTAATTTTTTAATTTTTTATTTTTATATAAAAAGCGAATGGAATAAGGCGGGATTGATCTCCTTCCTTATTGAAAAGTCAGACAAGTGTGTGGAGTGGATGAGTAAGCTACTTTGCGTATGTGGTAAGCTTCCTTGTCAACTAAAGAGTGAAAACCAATATGCCTAGGGGAGGGGGGAGGAAGGAAGGAAGGAAGAAAGAAAGTAAGTTATTTACTAGCAGTGTTTGGTTAAGATGTGAGAATTTGTTATTTGTTATTTGTTATTTGTTGTTTGTTGTTTGTTGTTTGTTGTTTGTTGTTCTAATGTGTGAGTTTGGCTTGATTTGGTTTGGTTTGGTTTGGTTTAGTTTAGTTTAGTTTGATTTGGTTGGTGGGTGTAAAAATAGAATCCAATTTTTTTCTGTTTTCTCACTCTCTCTTTGTTTTTGGTTTTTCTGTTTTTGGTTTGAAAGGGGAGAGAGAAAGAAGACAAACAGAGACAAGACAAACAGAGACAAGACAAACAGATTATGTTTTCTTTTTATTTTTTTTATTTTTTATTTTTTCTCTTTTGGCTCGGTTTTGATTTTGTGTCGCAGATGGATTCTGGTTTTTGTTTTTTTTTGGTTTGTGTCGCGTCATTGATTTGTTATTTACATTCTACGACACATTGTATCTTGTATACAAAACTTCATCAATACCTTTGCAAGAAGTGACTTGTTACTGTCACCAAACTTATTGGCAAATGGAGTAAGCAACACCAACAACCTATTTAATTTCTTAAACTGTTGTTCGTTTGCGTTCGATGCTGGTTGCATGCGGAGCATTTGCTCGAGAACCACCAATATCTCATTCAATTGTACTCGTGGCAAAGGTCTATTTCCAGACAATTTCAAATCAGCAACTGCTCTTCTTAATGTAAAGCTGATTCTTCTCAAAAGGTACAATTCACACGAGGACTTGTACTTGGTGTCAAGATTCAGTAACCGGAATAGCTCATTCAAATTATTGAATCGAATCTTGGTATTAGGCAACACATGCAATTGTTCAGTTGTACCAAAATATTCATCAAATTTAAACGAAGTCAAGTGACCAATGGCCACTTTTTCATCTGTCACATTGTTTAAAATCAAATCCTTTTCATCACTATTGCGGTTGTAGAGGTATGAATTTTCATAAACACTCTTTACCAAATCCAAAATCAATGCATTATCTTTCTTGATCAAGTTGGGAACAATTAGCTCACTCAACTCTTGGTAGTGAGTGATTTTGATATCAGCATCAGATGCTATATCCGAATCAAAAGCAATGGTAAGCATCAATGACTTTGTAAGTAACGACCAAAGTTCATCACTTAGATCCTCCTTCTTTTCATTGATCAACTCATTTATCAACACCTTCAAAATATCATGAGCTTCAATCCAAAGCGGGGTTTTCGCCATTGATATACCTTGCAACTTGCGCTCAACAGCCTCAATGAGAGCCTTTATCGTTTTGATAATACTTTGTTCATCGGTAAATACTCGAGTATAGCCAAATTCATCAAATTTACTCTTCATCAATTGCAACCCCAAATGACTAATACCAATAAATGTTGGGATTTGATAGTTTTTTTGTACAAATACATTATTTTGAAATTTTTGTTCAATCCTCATTCGAACTCCATATGGATACACAATCACATTTGCGAGCAATTGCACCACAGCAGCTTGTATTCCAACATCATTTTTATCCAATACGGAAATGTTTGTCAATATAGTCGATTGCAATTTACTAGACTTGTTGGCATCTGATTGGTGTAATGGCAACACCGGATATCTGGCACCCTTGTTGAAAATATCAACAACTGTATTCACTTCGTCTAGCGTCAAGTCAGATTGAATAACCCTGTACAATGGTGGGAAACATTGCATATACTGCACAAGTGAGTCTTGATAACTCGAATTTACCAAATCATACTCAATTGAATACCCTTTCCATAAATTGAACAATGCGTTACGAATTTGTCTTGTATCAATCGCAGCCGATGGATCAATCAAATCCTGAAAAGACTTGAAAACAATCAAGTTTATATCAATATTCTTATGCGACAAAAGCTTTTCCATATAGTCGAAAATCATTTGCCATTTGTCATGAAATGCACTGGTTTCGGAATGGCTGAAAAATTTGCGATACATATTAGTGAACCCTTCCAATAATAATCGAATCGTTTCCAACGATTCCTTAACACTCTCAGCTGGATCGATACTAAATAAGCATGGCAATACCAACAAGTGCACAACACTCCAGCTTTGCTCCAAAGCTGGGCCATGAACATCAACAATTTGAAAAAACGTTTGAATAGCCCCATCTCTTACTTGAGCACGACTCGTTTCTTGTTTAGACAAGTTGGCCAAGCAAAAGAGTAGGTAGATCTCAAGACAAATGTATGATTGATAAGATTCATCATTCAAATTGATAAATTCAACAAGTTCATCTTCCAGCTTTATTTCCAACTTTTGTGATGCACTGGCCTCAAATTGCAAAAGCCTCGACTTTAATGAATCACTAATGAGCCAGAAATAGCTCACTGCACTGAAAGAAATATTGAGATCATACGATTGGTGGGCAAAATTAACCACAGTGTCAATGAGAAACTTGAATTGTTTAAATGGCAATGACGATAAAAACTCATCAAGTATCAACTTTAACGTATCAAATGATTTTTCCACTAAAAGCTGTACTTTTTCCCGCAAATTCTGATCTTTTGATGCTATCGTCTTGAAAGGTGTATTTAGGATTTCAAAAACTTGGGCCCATGAACCTTGATAATGGGTGTCATAATTGTCAATTAATGAATGCAATTCTGTCAATACTGATAAATGAATTTCCGTCTCACAATTGAGAGTCAACAATTCCTTTGGTGGCCCATGCTCAAACAAACAAGTAATATACTTGTTTAACCCATCTAATGTCCTCGTTGCCGTTGCCAGAGACAACAAATCATTATGAAATCCATCACTCGCTAATTTTTCAACTAGTCTCGAAAATGACTCGGCAATGTACAAACGTAAATTGGAATGCAAATTTCTTCTTGAACCAAATTTAGTGATATAAGAAATGACCAAGTCCCAAACACTCGTATCTTGAATCAAAATTTTTGCCGGCACAAGTTGACAAATTTGAAAGATTTTTTGCAAATAATAAGCTTTGTTGTAAGGAGATTCCACTAAATCAAAATTGACAGTCTTACCCGCATCGTCTAAAAATGCAACATCATTCAACTCCGCTAAACATGAAAACAGCAGTATAAGCGCATTTGCATCATAACCACTCATTGCATCAAAAAGCGATTGAAGTGAAGCTTGGATACTACGCATATCAGCGTCGGTTATATGTGGTTGTCGCACACTAGCCAAGTCCTGATTTTGTTTTGATCTTGAAAAATTACTGAATTCATCGGGACCTTGGAGAAAGTAGGCACACCATTGCAATGATATCCAAATAATGGACCACGATTGTGCAAGCGTCGTACCCAATGAAATAGCCAACTTTATCAACGTCTTCAAACAAAGCACATGTCGAGAATTGAAATGTCTAGAGTTGATCAGATTCACCAGCGACGTACTGCTATTCACATCACCGTCTCCTTTGAAAAACACGCGGCTGGATGTAACAGACTCCACCATCGACTCCCCAATTGCGAGTGAATGCTTTTTTGGATCTTCATGTATTGAAGAAGTTTCTCCTTCTTCTTTATTGGGTCCTAGAGTAATGAGGCTAGCTGTAATTGCTTTTGAAAGCCTCAAAAGTAGATCATCTCTGATGGAGTCCAAGCCCAACAATCCAACGGAATGGGTAAACTTTTGAAACGAAGACAACAAATCTCGAAACAAAGCATCATCCAAGGCAGAATGAATAAACTTGTCAAGCAAAAGGATAACTTCCGCTGCAGTTGACGTTAAAATTGCATTGGTGAAATCAACATTCTTTTCCAAATTTTGCTCATCAACAGTAATTTCCAGCATTGTTGCAACAAAATCAGATACTCCATTACAATAATAAACAAGAATCTCAAAAATAAGATAGGTGGAATAAGATTCAGGGATGTTTGCTTGAGGTTCAGTTTTATCTAAATGATCGAGCAACAGAATCTTGTAGTTTTCCCGTGACAAAGATACCGCATCTGTAGCATCAATCACAGACGTGTGCACATTGTTTGAATCCGGCACACCAAATTTCAATGTGTCATTTGCAAACTGAACATCATTTTGTAGATAGGTATTGAGTACGTTGAACAATTCCTTCAATACATCCTTCTTCAGTTCGTCGTGGTCGTACTTTTCATAAATCACTTTGATGACGTTGAATTTGGCAAACACATTCTTCAACATTTCAAGAATCAATATCTTTTCCCAATAAGGAACAGAACCATCGTGCTGACTTTCAAGCAAAGCGTGGTTCAAGTACGACAAGATTAGCTCAACTTCAATCTCCAAGCTTTCAATTTGTGTGGTAAGCAAGACTTGAATCACCCGTATAGCCCTTTGGGTCAATTGATAGCTTCTCGATGGTGAATTCAATATCTTTAACAAAGAAGGAGCAGTTTGAGCTCGCAACAAGTACGCCAACTCTTTATGTTGCTGAAACAATTTGGTATGATGAAGGATTACGTTTTCAATTATATCGAGAGCTGATTGGCTTCTTATGGCTATACCACTTTTCAAAAATTTGGGCTTCTTGTTTGTCGTAATCCGATTCAAATCTTCAAAGACGCAATATCCCTCGTATGAAGCATCGTCCACTTTTACCACCTCTTCATTCTCAATGTCAATCCCTTTGTCCCCAGGGGAAGGGGTTATGCTAATATTGTCGAAAACATTTGAAAACACTTGCTCCAAAGTGGCCGAAGCCACTCCCAGAACAGTGGACGACTTGTTCGTACTTGTCAATCCTGAACAAAGGCTAATCATGCTCAAGAGGACATCCCCTGTAATTTTGGTTTTGTACTCCTGTGTTAATTGCTGAAGACATTGAAGAATTCTAACTTGAACTCCCTCTGCCAAATGTGAAGCCTCGGAAAATGTCTTCAACACATCTTTGAGTTTCTCCTTAGGAATGAAATGGACCAGAATTAGCTTTTGAATGATGGGAATTGAAGAATTGTTAAGCTTGAGGTTTCCCGAGTCACATGCTAGTATCAATGCATTTACTGTTTGTAGTTTCAAACTATCGTCAGTTACATCCTTTAGGGCAGTTGTTGGGGTCAACGATTTCAAGGTTTTGATGACTGAGTCGACAATTTGCCGCACATCCGGATACCTCTTCTTTGCTTCGGAGCTCAAATGGGCGAGATCTGTTTGAAGCAGATGGACGTTGTTCATATCGGTTTTCCAATTGGTTGTATACACCTTGTTGGAAATTCGTTACAAAAGTGTATATGTGTGTGTGTGTGTGTGCGTGTGTTGTGTATTGTTTTCTGCTTTTTCTTCACCGAGATCGAAAGTGTCACATGATCACGTCAACTATACACCTAAAGCATATTCAATTTATCATGTCTTCATTATTGTGTAACTATACTCTATCAATTTATTACTCAACACCATATATCTAGAGCCTTATACCACCACGGCTTTTGCTTCCACCTTTGTTTTTCATCGTAATGGTCCTGCATCGCAACATCCATATCGATTTCATTTCTACCAGTTAAAAGATCCATATCTTCAGCTTTGATGTACATTTTCCAATTCCTCGTCCAAATCTTGTGGCCAACATACAACACCAACACTATAGGAGCAGCCAAATATGCTTGAAAAAAGGTATCTGCTTGCAATGCTTTGCCACCAATTGGGTACAAAGCAACGTAAAACTGAGCCATGAGAATTAAAACATTCAAAAGTAGTGAAAGATATGCACCATAGTCTCCCCCAATAGCCTTAAATGGACGGTACAAGTCCAATCCTTGTACTTTGCATGCATAATTCACACGAACTTGAGCCAATGATATCGAAAACCAAATAAATATACACGATAATCCACTCAATGCCAACAACCATGTGAACACAGTTTCTTGGTTCTTCGAGGCACCCACAAACCCAATCAAACCAAACGCCAAGGCAATCAAGATGGAAAAAATTGGTCTTCCTTTACGATCAAGGTATGCCAAAAACTTGGGTCCGTGACCAGCCTCAGCTAATGCAACCAATGGCTTATAAGTGGCAAAAACACTAGCATTTGCGACTGATAAAAGCGCAATTAGGATAACTGCATTGAATATCGATGGCAACACCTTGATGCCACCGTTGGAAATGGCAATAACAAATGGCGATGCTGACGAATTGGAATTACCCAATAATTTGGGGTCGTTAAAAGGAACCAAAAAGCACAACAATATCACAGACAACATGTAAAACACTGCAATCCTCCAAAATATCTGCTTTGTCGCTTTAATCAATGCTTTGTGTGGGTTTGAAGTCTCAGCGGCGGCAATTGCTGCCAATTCGGTACCAGCGAAACTGAATGCAGCATTGACTAACGTGTTGCACGTACCCCTGAACCCATTAGCAAAAGGGGGGTGCCAGTTCTTACCACCAATATATCCTTGTTTACCTCCACCAGCAACCAAAATTATACCCAAAATGGCAAATCCAGAAATAGCGACGACTTTGATCACTGAAAACACACTTTCGCCATACCCATACCCCTTGACTCCAAAAATATTAATTGCGCACAAAAACGCCCAGAAAATGGCAACCCAAGCACCAGGATTGATATTATCATTCCAAAATTGAATAGTCATTGATGCACCAACTAGTGATAATGGAATGGAAACGATCCATTGCATACAATAGTTCCAGTTCATAGCAAATGCCCATGATTCGTCAATGAAACGCGAGTTGTAAATAAGAAAATTCCCCCTAACCGGGTAAGAGCTTGTCAATTCTCCCAAAGCTTGAACAACGAAAAACATCAAAATTGCCACAATCGAGTAACCAATAACCGTTCCTGCTGGACCGGCAGAGGATATCATGGATGCACTGCTGATAAATAAACCAGACCCAATACAAGAGGAAAGTGCAATCAACTTTATTTGGTAATTTCGTAGGCTGTCTTCTGGCGTAAGTACATCTGCGCCTTTGATAACTTTAGTCTTGTCAACCTTAAATGATTTGAAAAATGAGATAAAGGGTGAGTCATTGGCTTTGGAGTCACTACTAAGTTGTTCTGTTGTTGTTTGAAATTGGGATGAAGATACAGAGTATCCATCTTCCAACTTGGTTTCCTTCAAAGACATGAATGGAAGCTCTTTATTTTTTTTTGCAACAGTTCCAGTTTGGGAAAACCTGTATTGATAGTGTTGGATAGAGTTGTCTACAATCTTTGCATAAACTCAGTTAGCTCCTTCCATTGTGGGAATTACTTGGTTTTATAGTCTACCTTATTTCCTTACCAAGTAAGGCATTTTGGGCATAAAAATTTTCATGTAAGGCATTTTGTAATGCAAGTGAGGAAATTATAGGGCATTTTTTCTTTGTACGCTCAAATCAAGAAAAGTATCGGATTACAAGTTGAATGCTCTTGTGCACCCCCCCCAACCAAAAAAAAAGAGGAATACACGATGCCATGAAGCTCATGTGGGGTTTGACTGAGAGAGCGACCCCGTCTTGAAACAGAGTCAAGAGACTATGACCTTGTTTTTGCTACATACAAAGACCGACAAAGTTTTTGCTGCAAATAAATGATATGCGCGAAGAGATTCCGTCAAGAAAGAAAAAGAAATTTTTGTTTTTCTTCCGCCATTTGCCGATTCTGTCAATGGCGAACGCTGGAGGTATAACTCCGAAGGGGCAGTATCGATCCAGCTTCATGACACAAATTACAGGACCGCTATCAACAAAGTATCCGATGACGCGGAATATTTAAGGTTGCGGGTTGGTGTATTGCACCTCTTATACCACAAAACAGTTGCTGACATGAGGCGAAATAAACCGAAATTAAAGGAGGACTTCAATATATGTAGGCCTTTTCTTACTCCCGCTCGCGAAGATAGCGCCTAGAGTCACGCTACTACCTGCCTTTAGTGGTATCAAACGGCCCCGCTGATAAAGAATCTCCATTTTGAAACTCTGATCCGTCTGACCCCACACTTTTCACAACACGATTAGTATGAGCATTTACGACGCCAGATCTACAGCACAACCCTCATTGATTCAGCAGTACATTACACCGAAACTTATCAAAGATATCAAGTTCTTTCTTGTTGGCGTGGTGGTAATGACTGTGACCATTTTCCATTACTTGTGGATCATCAAGAGATGGATGATAAACCCCAACATTGCCACGGTGGAATTGAGTGGCCATTTTGTTGTGTTTGCAATAGTGCAGCTTTTCATTTGGTACCTCTACTTGTTCAAGTTCACCGCAACCATATACAAAGAAGAGCTAGCTGAGTACAATGAAGCAGAGAAGTTACGAAAACAAGATGATCTCAAGAGGAAACAACGATAGAAAAACAAAAAACAGAATAACTTAGCATACCTTCTCTCACTATTTAGTATTTAATCAAAGTCAACCCTTTGGCTACAGTCAATCCGTAGACAGCCCATGACAAAATAGACAAGTTGTTGATCAACATGCTCAATCCGTGCCATCTGCCAAAACTAGTAGTCAATGCTTGCATTTCATCAGTTGGCTCACCATTGTCCTTCTTTTCCTTGCCAATAGCAGTCAACTTGATCCTCTCCTCCTTGATAGCATGACATTTAGGTTCCAAGTAGCACAAATTGAAAATTCCCGACAATGAGGCAATTGCCAAAGTACCAATTGTGAATGGGCAGTACTTGAATGGAGTGATTGCTGCAATCAAAAGTGGTGAGAGGATTTGATACTTAAAGTAACGAGGGAAAACCTTACCCTGGACTTTGCTGAAATCATCTCTTGATAACTCCTTAAACAACACTGGTGAGACAATGTATGAGTAGAAGGCAGTACCTCCAAATGACAATGCGTAGAATAAGAAGTGGTATGGGACTCTAGTGTTGAGACCTAATTGATTGATAATTGATGACATGATGGTTGTTGGGGTTGTTGGGGTTGTTGATGATGGGGAAAGAAAAAAGTGGTGTGCTTTTCTCTGTTTTACTTTCTGTATGGTACTTATTATTTTTTTTTTCTCCTCGGAGAATGTGAATCTGGGGCTGGTAAGAAAATATCGTGTCACACTGTTGTGAGAAAATGTTTGCTGTTGCTAGCACAAAGTTGATCACCGGGGTGTCAAAATGGTTTCCGGGTATTGCACCACATGATAATCAAGGTTAAACCATTCGATACTGTGCCTTTGAAAAAACGCTTGTTTCACACACAATATGGTTCTCAGATTAAAGGGCATTCTACACTTGCCTTAAAAGTTTTTGTTTTTGTGTGACAAGCAATCGTCACCAACCTTCAAACCGTCGCTGCAACTCCTCGATAACTCTACAAATCTTTATTTCATAATAGCAACTGTATATTTTTTTGTGGCTGAGAATTGAATATGAATTAGTATAACGTATAAAAGAAAATAACCAAATTGGTATAACAAATGAAACCTTCAAACTCCTAAAATAATCGACAAGAAAGCCCAATCTTCGCAAAAAATAGTGGCCACCAAAGCTAAAGTAAAATATCTCAAACAGTTCAATTTTCTTTTTTTTTTTGGAATAACCAACAAGACACGTAGACACATGTGGGAAAGTGATCAAAATCAGGGAGGGCTGCAGCCAACAAAATCATGATCACTGGGTTGGTATGTTCATCCCCTCTTTGTGTCCTTATCTCGACTTTAAGCTTAGTAGTTTCTTCTCTTTAAAGATGAAGCAGCTTGGCCAGCAGCACTTACCAATTGGTTTACGCTTCCTGACAATCCTGAGGTATCTACAGCAGCAGCAGCATCGGTAGCAGATGAACCACCATATTTACCAATCAAAGAGTTTAAGGCATCATTGTTACCCGAGGCAGCAGCAGAAGCACCAGTAGCAGCGGCAGCATTGGATGTAATAGCAGCTGGAGCACTAGTAGTAGCGGCAGTGTTGGCAGCAGCAGCAGTGTTGGCAGCAATAGCGGAGTTTGCAGCAGCAGCGGCAGCAGTGCTAACTGGAGCAGTAGATCTAGCTGAGTTACCAGAGTTTGCATTGTCAATTTCTGAAGCACTGACTTTACCAGAGGTCAAAGCATTACCCAAGAAGGAGGCAATGGCACTAGCCCAAGTACCAGCGTTGGCTGAAATGTAAGACAAAGCAGAGTCCCACAATCCTGATTGTTTAGCCCAGTCGTAAACATCTTGAGCAATGACCAAACCGTTTTGGAAAGCTGAAGTCAAGAAACTGATTGAGGCTTGTGGATCAGCCAAAGCCTTGTTAACCAATGAGGAAACAATTCCTGAGTCTGAGATTTCTTGAACAATGAATTGAATGATTGATGACAAGTCTCTCTTGTCAATGTATTCAGCATTGAGATCCAAAAGTTCTCTCTTGGCAGCAGCACCAGTTGAGGCGGAAGCTGCAGCAGTGGTGGTGCCTGATGATGATGAGGATCCACTCAACCATGAGGTGATCAAGTTGACGGCAGTACCAAAGATGGATTGAGCAACTCCCAAGAAGGCGTTTCTCAAATCAGCATCGTTCAAGAAAGTGTTGAAAATGTTTCCCAATAAACCAGAGTTCCAGATAGCTGAAATCAAAGCTGGACCTTGAACAACAGCAGTTTGAATAGCATCTTTAACAATGTTCGAAAGTGAAGTCTTGATAGCATCATTAGTGGTCAAAGTGTTCCAAATTTGACCAATAATACCAGAGTTGCTCAAGGCAGTAATCAAATTGCCCAAAGCAGAGTCAGCTCTTTTGTCATGTTCAATCAATGCATCACCTTCCAAGTATTCTCTCTTGGCATTGTGTTCTTTGATTTCTTTCAAGATGGCCAAAACATCGTTGACATCTTCTCTTTTAACCATGGTTTGTTCAGAAACAATGGCTGGAGCGGCTGAAACAAAAGCAGATGAAGCCAAGACAGCGAGTAAAGTAGTTTGTGAGAATTTCATTTTGTTATGTTTGTGGTTGTTGTAATGATGTTATTGGAGGATCTTAGCAACTGGAATCTAGTAGTGGTAGCGAGTAATGAATTAGCGAGGAGTTTGAATATTCTCGATGTCTTTCTCTTGTAGAGGGTGTTCAGTGATGATGAAAAAGAAGAAAAAGAAATGAATGGCTAAATTTGAAAACTCGAGGAACTCGATGATATTTATAATTATTCGAACTTTTACGAGCCACCCTTTGTTGTGTGACTGAAAACATAGTTGGCAATATACATTGAATGTTGTGTAGTCTGTGCAAAAGGAGGCATATGGTTTCATGCATGTTATGCCTTTAACTAAACATGGAAGTAATAGTCAAAGGGCGTTTCATTATGTGACACAAAACTCCAATCGATTAGAGAAAAAATATTGTTCCCTAACTGCCACATTACCCGATTAGGAAATTTTTTTTTTAGCACACTAAACACAGGGAAGCTTAAATACTATGATAATCAGTACGCAAAGGGGACTTTACAACTGCAAAAAAGACAAAATCTAAACCCCAATAATCATTCATTCTGTAGAAACCTTTTTTTTTTTCTTGGTATGAACCACAAAGTCGTAAAAATAACTAAATCCAGTAATCAATGATTTGTGCCTCTTCAGAACATTTCGACCTAGCCTGCAACGCAAAATTGGAACAGGCCGACTGAAATGGGGTCCATGACTATCAGGAGACTAGCTAAAATGTAAGCTCCTGGGTCAATATTAAAGTCGTGTAAAGGGTAAGTGAGAATAGCCCTTGTTAAATTATCGAAAGAGATCGAAGGAAGCGAAGTCGAGGACATGAGATAGCCTCCGCCACCCAACGGTACTATTCAAATTGTTACTAAAAGCTTAATTTGAAATTAAAGCCATGGTATGAGCCCTGATCCGTCTACTAATCATCAACCAACATAAATTTCATGTCAGTGGGGTGCAATTTCCGTCATGAGTTTTGCTCCACCTCCGGTGCAAATAAGGTTATGAGTCTAATTATCTGGATTTTCCTTAACTCCAGTGGCTCTGTTCTATTTTCATCCCTTTAGGTACTCTATTACATCGAAAATCATTTACTGCTATCAGATCTGGCGTGAGGATGTTGCAACGCAATTCCAAGATTCCACCTTTGATGCTCTTAACTTTGTGTAAGAGTTTCAACTGTTGCCAGATATTCTCACATTGTCAAAAATAGGAGAGGTTTTTGTCCAGAATCAATATCAAGACGACTTCTCTAACCATTCCTAATAAGGATAAGAGATGACGTTACATAACCAGTGGAGTACTAATTGGGCTCTGCATTACCCAAAGGGTTAAAACTTCCACACTCCAACAATGAAGAACAATCCTGTACGGAAAGCTTGTATTGTGGAGCTCTCGTTGACCCTTCCTCCTTTCCTCTTTGGTTGCGTGCAGAAAACGTGGAAACTATTGCATTGTTCAATATGGGAGTTAATCACTCTAGCTTTGACGTGAAAATTGTCCCTTCACTTGTAGGGTATCACTTACGCCTAATCTTACAAAAGCATGAACTTCCACAGCATACGAAATGAGAAACCAGGATCTTAGATCTCGTTCTACTCTACTCCTTCATTTTTTGTTCCAAATTTAGAACCTCAAGAACACAAATAAGCAAAGCGAGCTTGAGTCAAACGTTTGTCTAAAAAATTGGCAAACAACATAACATCAGCCAACCTATAGCGCACGGCATCAACTAACATTGGTTGATAAGTGGCAATCTTTAACAATGAGGAGAAGCCCTCCCCAGATGTTGTGGCTTTGAAAACAATGTTCATCAAATGTCACCCACCAATGAGAAAGCTTGACACAATGGGAAAGCTTATTCAACGTTGTCCGGTTTTGATCCCTGTTCTTTCAAACTCTGTGAACAATCCTTGTAATTTCCCAATAAGAGAAAAAGCGTGCAAAACGTACAATAAATAAACCACTCCCATATGTGTATTTTTTGTTTCGGTAAGGTACACACCCCTCCATTTTTTACGAATAAGATTTTAACTTTGTGTAATTTTTGCTTTTTATGCAAAAAAATTTCCCTATTGAGTAAACAGATTGCCACCCCCAAAGAAAAAAAATTAGAGTTTATAAGAGTTTATTTTTTACTGCGTTTTTATATTTTGCACCCTTCGCATTTGAAGTTTTAATGAATCTTCATTTAAGCAATTTAGAGAAATCTACACTACACGCATTAACTCCTAACGCATACCAAGAGCCTGACTAATTGGTCTTTAATTAGGTTATTGACACTGATTATGGTAAACGGTTTTAATGTATTTACCCCGTCTCTTAATGCATTGTTCTGTATCAACTTTGAATCTAAGAAACAATAGTCGATCCCAGATCCCACATAGTTAAGATTGAATCGGGATTTACCATACATTTGACCTGGATGACCCCACTTCGTGTGAAATGGTTGTATTTGTGTTTCCAATTGCAAATTGCATTTCTCTTTTCTTTTTTTGCTTTTCCATGCCTGCCAAAAGTTGTTTTATTGTTCATTTACGAAAACATATTACGAGGGGTTGAGCGGGGTGATAGCCAATTAATAAGTATCGCCTACAGATCTATATGTGAAGCTCTGAGCCACCACAGTATCACGCAAGTGTTGAAATTTGGCAAGCGAGTATGCGTTGGGGTAACGTAAGCCACAACTATGGCAGTACATCTTACGATACGACAACCAAAACGTATGGATCTTCATATTTAGTGCCGTACCAAATTTCCACCGTGCAAAAAAAAAAGGCGAGGTGTTGGCTAGCGATGAAGAGAAACTGAAAACCATCAAAGCTAGAATAGGAAAAAATCGACTAAAATTTTACTTCTTTCAACCTAGAGTGAATTATCGAACGCTATAACAGTACCTGCTTTAATCACAGATGGAACATTGTGAGTTGAAAACCGGATTGGGAAGTATTGTAAAATTTATCAGCACCTGAAATTGTAGTTGCTGTACTTCTATGCTCACAACTTGTTCAACCCCGCAGTTGCTCCCATCACCAGCATATGGTAAATGAAAGGATGTCGGTCATATGGCAACATTTGATGTCACATTTTACAAATCAAAGAAGTTAACACCCGGAAGACACACACACACGACATAGCAGGAAATCATCCATTTCGGTATTACAAGTCCGAGGTCAGGTGACTTGATCAAGGGAACCCATAAATGAGAGTAAAACAACTGTATCTTAGACACTTCTGATCTTAACATCTAGAATGCTACAAGCACCCTCTCTGGGGGCTAATTTCGCTTAGACTCAAACAAGTGACAGCTGGCCAGGTTTGATGAAACTGGGGTTACAACATAATGTAAATTTTGCAGCAGTTTAGGGAGAAATGTTCATAAGAGCAGTTCTAGGCAAACGGAAAAAAAAGAAGTGTGTGGTATCACTCACTACTTTCAAGACTCTGAACCCAGCCCCTTCACCTCACCGCTCCAGTATCCTCCACATTTCTATCCCTCGATTCCAATTACCACCTAACTAATCACTTCATATTATTTTTTTTAGTGCAACGGCTTTTTCATTTATTTTACTGTTTCATACCTGCATATAGCAAGAAACATATGGCTGAGACATTGTTTACATTTTAAATCTAATTGTTCCTTGGAGCGAGAAGAAAAATTTGGACCCACAGGCGGTGTTGTTTCAGATGGATCGTCAAGTATACGTTTAGATACGTGGGAAGAGAAACCTTACACGACAACTATCCATATTTTTTGTAGACAATAAGGGCACAGTCTAAATTCGACAAGAATGTGTCTCAGTGATATTTTTCCTCTAGTAATAAGTCTCTCATTCCTCATACTTGGGCACATCATCTCCAGATTAAATAACAAAGAAAAAAGAAAGAAAAATCGACATAAAAGAGGTTACAAAGCTTGGAAAATTTTTTCTTTAATTTTTTGCCCGGTTTTGTACGGTGGAGCCAATGAAGGTTTAGGCGATGATAAGAAAGTTGGTACTGTGTAAGCTGCACAATTGGAAAAATCTTTCGAGCTCCATATATCTTCTCTTCTTCCGAATTATAGGTCGTTACCTTTTTGTTTTGCAATATCCATTATGAGTACGGTCCATGCATCTACAACAACTAACTTGGATAACCACTCAGGTTCTCTCATCAACAGATCTGGAAATGTTGCCACTTTGAGCACCAATACGCCAACTTCCAACTTAACAGCCATTGATACCAACGGTGATGTGTTTAAAGTTCCTGATTATACAATCAAGGAAATATTGCAAGCTATTCCAAAACACTGTTATGAGAGATCATTAATTAGATCATTGGGGTATGTGGTAAGAGATATCACCATGATGATTTTAATTGGTTATGTTGGACACAAATTCATTCCTTATATTGAGGTTACTGGACACGAAACTGTGTCACGTGCTCTTAGAGGTGTTGCTTGGATGGTGCAATCGTACGCAATTGGGTTATTTGGATTTGGATTGTGGATATTAGCTCATGAGTGTGGTCATGGTGCATTTTCTGATTATTCAAAGGTTAATGATTTCATTGGTTGGGTACTTCACTCATACTTGATTGTTCCATATTTCTCATGGAAATACAGCCATGCAAAACATCATAAAGCTACAGGCCATTTAACTAAGGATATGGTTTTCATTCCATACACTAAAGAGGAGTATTTGAAAAAGAGCAATGTTGAAAAAGTTGAAGATTTGATGGAAGAAAGTCCAATTTGGACCTTTGCCATCTTGATTTTTCAACAATTGGGTGGTTTACAATTCTACTTGGCTACCAATGCAACTGGACAAGAATACAAAGGAACTACATGGTATGGTAGATCACATTACGCCCCTTCTTCGCCAGTTTTCGAAAAGCATCAGTACTGGAACATTATCTTATCCGACATTGGTATTATTACCACTTTTACTGTGGTTTACCAATGGTACAAGACATTTGGATTATTCAACATGATGATCAATTGGTTTGTCCCTTGGTTATGGGTTAACCACTGGTTGGTTTTTGTCACTTTTTTACAACATACGGATCCTACTATGCCTCACTACACTGCCAAGGAATGGACTTTTGCTCGTGGTGCTGCTGCAACTATTGATCGCAATTTTGGATTTATCGGTCAACACATTTTCCATGACATTATTGAAACTCATGTGTTGCACCATTATGTGTCAAGAATCCCATTCTATAATGCAAGAGAAGCAACCGAAGCCATTAAAAAAGTTATGGGTGAACACTATAGATATGAAGGTGAATCAATGTGGATTAGTTTATGGAAGTGTCTTAGAAAATGCCAATTTGTGGACGATGACAAAGAAGATGCCAAGGGAGTGATGATGTATAGAAATGTCAATGGACTCGGTGTCAAACCAAGAAACTAGCTTGTAAATAGCATATTGTATAGAGCATATACATTTAGTTGTTTTGTATTCGCAACATTTTTCTCAAAAAATTTTTCAGCCAATGATCTGATTGTGGAAAGTAACACACACAGACACTGTTGTATTTAGACATGACGAGTGTGCTACGCAATGTTTTGAGGAGCCACAAGTTGCTGAAGCTCCCGCTTCTGCACTTGGCTAAACCACAACAATCGTACGTCTTGTCAAGAAGTTTCCAAACTTCGCTACGTTCATTCGATGACTTAAAGCAAAAACAACCGGAAACTTATGAAGAGGAGAAAGTGATTATAGATGAGATAATCAAGAATCTTCCGGAAGAGGATATCAAAGCATCCAAAAGGATTAGAAACATTGGTATCTCAGCCCATATAGATTCAGGTAAAACTACATTTACTGAACGTGTTTTATTCTACACTGGAAGAATCAAAGCGATCCACGAAGTTAGAGGTCGTGATTCAGTTGGAGCCAAAATGGACCATATGGATTTGGAAAGGGAGAAAGGTATCACTATTCAATCAGCAGCTACTTACTGTTCATGGGACAAGGACGACAAATCATACCATTTCAACTTGATCGACACACCAGGACATATTGATTTCACAATTGAAGTGGAAAGAGCTTTACGTGTTTTGGATGGTGCCGTTTTGGTTGTTTGTGCAGTTGCTGGAGTTCAATCACAGACAGTCACTGTTGATAGACAAATGCGTCGTTACAATGTTCCCAGAGTTACTTTTATCAACAAGATGGATCGTATGGGTGCTAATCCATGGAGAGCCATTGAACAAATTAACTTAAAATTGAAAATGCCTGCTGCTGCCATTCAAGTTCCTATTGGTGCTGAAGATGAATTGAAAGGTGTTGTCAATATCATTGATCGTGTTGCCTTGTACAATGAAGGTTCACAAGGTGAAACTATCAGAACTGCTGAAGTACCTGAAGACTTGAAGGAATTGGTGGAGGAGAAAAGAGCATTATTGATTGAAACGTTGGCCGATGTTGATGAAGAAATGGCTGACATATACTTGGAAGGTGAAGAACCAACCCCTGAACAAATAAAGGCAGCAATAAGACGTGCAACTATTGGAAGAAAGTTTACTCCAGTGCTCATGGGTTCAGCTTTGGCAAACAGAGGTATTCAACCAGTGTTGGACTCCGTTGTTGACTACTTGCCACAACCCAACGAGATTTTAAACACTGGTTTGGAAGTTCATAAAGATGGAAGTGAAACTCCAGTTAACTTGATTCCATCCAGTGCTGCACCATTTGTAGGATTGGCATTCAAGTTGGAAGAAGGTCCATACGGTCAATTAACCTATATCAGAGTGTATCAAGGTAAGTTGAAAAAGGGTGCTTACATGACTCACATCAAGACAGGTAAAAAGGTTAAAGTTTCCAGATTGGTGAGAATGCATTCCAACGATATGGAGGATGTGGCTGAAGTTGGAAGTGGTGAGATTTGTGCCACTTTTGGTATTGACTGTGCTTCAGGAGATACCTTTATTGGCCAAGGATCGTCGCAACAAATTGCCATGAGTTCCATGTTTGTTCCTGAAGCCGTTATCTCTTTGAGTATTGCACCCAAATCCAAAGATAATGGTGCGTTTTCGAAAGCCATGAATAGATTCCAAAAAGAGGATCCAACATTCAAAGTTCATTACGATTCTGAGTCGAAAGAGACAATCATTTCTGGAATGGGAGAGTTGCATTTGGAAATCTACGTTGAAAGAATCAAGAGGGAGTACGGAGTTGATTGCGTCACTGGTAAACCTCAAGTTGCTTATAGAGAAGCCATCACAGCTCCTGCCAACTTTGATTTCACTCACAAGAAGCAATCTGGTGGTGCTGGTCAATATGGTAGAGTTGTTGGTGAAATGAAGCCCGTTGAAGGTGAAAACAAATTTGAGACCCAGATTGTTGGAGGAAAAATTCCCGAAAAGTTTTTGCTAGCATGTAACAAAGGATTTGATGACTGTTTAGAAAAAGGTCCATTGATTGGACACAAGGTCTTGGGGGTGAATATGCTCATCAATGATGGTCAAACACATGTTGTTGATTCTTCCGAATTGGCGTTTAGAACTGCAACACAAGGTGCTTTTAGACAAGCTTTCCTCAATGCTTCACCAGTGATTTTGGAACCAATTATGAATGTGGAAATCACTGCACCAAATGAGTTCCAAGGTTCAGTTGTTGGTTTGGTTAATAAGTTGGGTGGTATGATTAATGAGACCGTCAATGGACAAGATGAATTTACTGTTACTGCCGAATGTTCATTAAACTCAATGTTTGGATTCTCCACTAGTTTAAGAGCATGTACTCAAGGTAAAGGAGAATTTTCACTTGAATTCCTCAAATATTCTCAAACGAGCCCACAATTGCAAAAACAATTGATTAGTGATTACGAAAAGGCCCAAGGAAACAAAAAGTAACGCTTTGTATTTAGATATATACAGTCTTGTAAATAAAATGATAGAGAAGAACACTTTGAAGCTCTACAAAGTTTTATCAGTTTATACAAAATTCGTGATTTTTTTTTCAATATTATATTTTATAAACTTATAAAATTGGAATGGTTTAAAACAAGTTTGATGAAATGATGATGTAAGTGGCATGATGAATGGTATTCTTTTTTGCCTTTAACCCACAGACTATTGGTGTGGAGCATCAACAAAAAATATTGGTCTTTCCCAGATGAAACATATATTAAAAACAAAAAGAAAGTAAAAGTCGACTATAGCACAATGTTTTCACTTTTCTTTAGTTCTTCCCAACGAGAGCCTCATTTAAGCCTTGGCCAAAGCTTTCTTAGTGGCGTATCTTCTTTGCTTTTTCAAAACCATAACTTGGAATCTTTCAAAATCACTTAATTGACTTCTTCTTTCCTTGGTGGCCAACTTCTTAGCCCAAGCTGATGAAGACCATTTGTTGTCAACTTCTGAAGCAGCCCATTTCTTTTGGACAGTGGCGGATCTGGCACCTCTTGGCAAGTTTGGCAAGACAATTGGGGTCAAGGTGACCTTGGCTAATGAGATAGCTTGTCTTGGTACTTTTGGACCATCAATTAAAGCCTAGAAAAATATATAGTTAGTATATGGTTCTTTATTATCATTGAAGAAGATCACAGTCGTCGATACACATATGAGTCCAGACGAACGCCTTAGGGAGTGTTTGTAGCCGACCCAGTATTGTAAAAGGATCTAAAACACAGTCCTGTTCAATGACCTCCGTTATGTCCCCTGTTATGTCTCTCTCTGGTAATCTGTGTCTTCCATTCATTTCATTTTAGAACATACTCTTTTTTGATCAATGATTTCGACAATGGTGGCTAAGTCTTTGTTTTCAACCAAGACAATACGTCCAACTTCAACGAATCTCCAGTTGGCAGCTTTAACAGTTGATGACATTTTTGATGTGGTTTAGGTTGTTAATAGGAATGGGTTGGAATGTAGAGTGAAAACTTTGTCTCTCTTTACTGTATAGATTGGAAAATTAATTTTTTGTTTCTGGTGAGAAGTTGGTAGCAGCAGTTGTACAAGATATTCACAAAGTGAGAGTAAAAGAAATTTGTATGTGAGTTGTTTGTGTGCACACCACTAAGCAAGGCACGTGCAAAAAGATTTTCTAGGTTACAGCCCTAAAACAATATTATTTTAAAATCAATAAACGCTAAACCAACTGTTAGATCTTTGAGAGAGATATTACACTTAAGTATACTGTTACCTTGGTACACCATTGGACCTACTAAACCATACATTCAATAAGCTGCATTGGTCTGTTATTCGTCTTCTCAAGAATAATCAGATTCGTGTATTATATTGAACGACGCTTCACTTTGCAAATTCAATTCTATGATGACCTATAATTTGCGTTCTAGAGTATTCACATCCGAAACACGCCTAGTTTCATTATGGAGTGAATACGTCATGCGACAATTTTATTAACTGAGAGTTGGATTTAGTAAAGTCTATTATGCTGTTGACCGTATTTGTAAGGACACATGACAATGAATGTAGAATACAATGATACATCTGACAAAGCACGAACTTTTCTTGAGCCATGAATCGACACAACACAATTATGCATTTAATGCCTTTACCTTTACTCTAAAACGCGATCCATCCTTTACTCTTTTGTATAATCTCATTGTTGACGATCTATTTTTGCAACATTGAACAAGGAAAAAACTTTAGTAGGTGGTGATGAAAGTCCGCGAAATTAGTCACTGGAAGAGTCAAAACACGTCACCACCATCGCTAAACTTCAATTGGCTGTATGATCTATAGCCAAAGACTACGAAACCTTGCTCGAATCATGTCGTCAACCTCAACTAGTGCTACATCAGCAGCAGCATTTCCAGCTAAAAAGCCATCTGTCCAACAACCAAAATGGTACGAACCAAGTGATAAGTCATCAACAAAACCCAAATTAAAGATTTACAACTCCTTAACTCGTACTAAGAACGATTTTCATCCAATTAAACCTGGCCATATTACGTGGTACAGCTGTGGGCCAACTGTGTACGATCACTCTCACATGGGACATGCTAGAAATTATGTGTCAACTGATATTTGCAGAAGAATCTTGCAAGATTACTTTGGCTATAATGTTTTGTTTATTCAAAATGTTACAGACATCGATGACAAGATTATTATAGCTGCTCGTCAACAGCACCTTTTTGAAGAGAAAATCGCTAGTCAATACAGGGATGTCAAGGAGGTTTTAGACTTGACTAGAACTTCTTTGAAGTATTACGTTAAAAAGAACTTACCTGAGTTCAAGGGGGACGTAGAGAAAGACTTTGTTACATGGTCTCAGTCAATTCCAAATTTTGAAGAAGTAAAGAAGGAGAAGCCCAAATTCCCTATGTATGTGAAAGCTGTGGTGAGAGCAATCAACGCCATTAATGATGAGAATATTTCCTACCATAGCTTTCTAGACGACGTCAAGGATGTTGCGGTTGTGTACTTGGACAAAGAATATGGTGCATCGGTCACAGAGCCTAGCATTTTCAAGAAACTTCCCTTATACTGGGAAAACAAGTTCAATGAGGATATGTCAAAGCTCAATGTTTTATCTCCATCGATTACTACGAGAGTTTCCGAATACGTTCCAGATATCATTGATTACGTCGACAAGATTATTTCCAATGGCTATGCTTACGCAACCGAAGACGGGTCCGTTTATTTCGACACTGTCAAATATGAACATTCAAAACACGATTACGCCAAATTGCAACCTTGGAACAAAGGCGATATGAGTTTGATCAATGATGGTGAGGGCTCTTTGAGTTTGGGTAACTCGAAACGTAGTCCTAGCGATTTTGCATTATGGAAAGCATCCAAACCTGGTGAACCAGCTTGGGACTCCAAATGGGGGAAAGGTAGGCCTGGCTGGCATATCGAGTGCTCAGTAATGGCATCTGATATCACTGGTTCTCAAATGGATATTCATAGTGGTGGTGTCGATTTATGCTTCCCTCATCATGATAATGAGTTGGCTCAATCAGAAGCATACTTTGACAACAATCAATGGGTCAATTATTTCATGCACAATGGTCACTTGCACATACAGGGCCAAAAGATGTCAAAGTCATTGAAAAATTTTATCACCATAAATGATGCATTGAAAGATTTCAGCTCGAGGCAATTGAGATTTGTTTTTGCATTATGTCCATGGAACAAACCTTTAGATTTCAAGGACAGCTTGATTAGCGAGGTTATGTCAATTGAGTCCACATTTAGCAAATTCTTCACAAATGTTCGTGCTTTAAACAATGAGTATAAGCATAAAGTGGAAAATGGAGAGTACATTTCGAAACGTATAGGCGAGAATGAAAAACAATTGTACGCTGAATTAAGCAAAGCTCAAGACGACGTTGATGCTGCCTTCAACGATAATTTGGCAAGTGGGGATGCCATTAAGTGTTTGGTGGAACTAGTGTCTAAGAGCAACAATTATATACAGTTAGCCACCACGAGCAAAAGCGAGCTTCGAATTGAAGCTTTATTGCTGGTTACATCATGGATCCTGAAAATACTCAACATTTTGGGTTTCCAATCGAGACCTGACAAACTTGGGTGGGTGGATGAGTCTTCTTCTGAGGGTGTTGGATCAACTGAGGAGGTCGCCATGCCATACGTAAAAGCATTGGCACAATTCAGAGACCAAGTGAGAAATTTAGCGATTAAGAAGGCCGATTTGAAGGAGTTTTTGACTGCATCGGACACAATTCGCGCTGATTTAATCAACCTTAATGTTTCCCTTGATGACAGACCCGACGGAAACGCGTTAGTCAAGTTCCTCAATGAATCGGAAAAGCAGCTGTTGCTCAACCAACAAGAGGCAAAGGTTAAGCAGCAAGCGGAAAAGGAAGCCAAAAGGAAGGAGCAAGAAGCATTGAAGGCAAAGAAGGAGGCAGAGAAGTTAGCCCAGCTGAAAATACCACCTAATGAAGTGTTCAAGAATGATCCCTTATATAAAGAGTTTGATGAGATGGGAATTCCAACAATTGATAGCAAAGGAGAAGAAATCAGTAAAAGCATGAAAAAGAAGTTGATGAAGCAATATCAGCAGCAAGAAAGGCTTCATAACGAGTATTTGAAGTCAATTGGTGAACCTTCTTGATGTAGCGTTAGATTATGATAAAAATAGTAACCTTAGTACATATGTCCTTACGCGTCTGAAATTGTTTGTTCCTCTTGTATTCACCAAATGTCGCGTTTCAAAAAAACACAACAAGTGAAAACAACACACACAACTAGATACCTGCCAATCATCACAAAGTTTTCATCATGGGGAAATTAGTAGGATTGGAATTAAACAATTTCAAGTCGTACCGTGGGAAGACCAATATAGGCTTTGGGTCATCAAATTTCGTGTCAATAATTGGTCCGAATGGTTCAGGAAAGTCTAATATGATGGATGCTATATCGTTTGTCTTGGGGTTGAACTCGTCGCAACTTAGATCAAGGCAGTTAAAAGATTTAATATACAGAGGAAGAAGAGATACACTTGGCGAAGACTTGAACGACAGCACTCTTGAATTTGAACAAGACCCCAGATCGGCCTATGTCATAGCTATTTATGAAAAAGATGATGGAGAAATAATGAGGTTGAAAAGATCAATCTTAGCAAGTGGTAGTACCGAGTATCAGATCAATGATCAGTCGGTTACAAGACTAAACTACGCAGCGGTTCTAAAGCAAGAAAACATTCTTGTCAAGGCAAGAAACTTTCTAGTATTTCAAGGTGATGTTGAACAAATCGCGTCACAAAATCCTAATGATTTGTCTGCCATGATTGAACATATCAGTGGATCCAACGAGTACTTCGAAGAGTATGAACGATTAAAAGAAGAAAAGGACCGGGCACGCGAAGTCACCAACGAGGTGTTTTCGAGAAAGAGGACCCTCAATTCAGAATCAAAGCAGTACAAGGAGCAAGCATCCGAGCAACGACAATTTGAAAAGAGCCTTATTTTGAGAAATGATCTCGTAAAGAAACTAAACTTATATCAGTTGTACCACAATGAAAACAAACATCACCAGTTGAAGAAAGAAATCAAATCAAAGAGCGACCATTTGAAGGAAATGAAGAGCGAAGTATCAAAGAAAGAAAATGCGTATAAAGCTTTGACATCAGAGTACTCTAAAGTTGCGCTTGAATTGAAAAGCTACTCCAAACAAATTGAGCAGGCGGGCCAAAAAGTCGAATCTACCAAGAGAGGATTGATCCCTATAGAATCAAGCAAGGCTTCGTTATCTTCAAAGATCAAGTCACTGGAGAATAAAGTTTCAGACTTGGAAGTAGACGTTGCTTCGCAAAAGACACAGATTAAAACCATTGAAAAACAACTCAATGACAGCAAAAAATTGTTTAAGGAATTTGAAGAACAAGTTAGAGCTTCCATAGCCGCTTCATCGAATTTGAACATACCAGAGGAGGGTCAACAAGAATATGAGAAACTAAGGGCCGAGTATCTTGCAGCAAGTGGATCAGAATTAGAGGAACAAATTTCAGTATTGATGCATGAAAAGGACTCTTTGGCAATTAAGGAGAAGAGTTTAGCTAACCAAAAGTCTAATGCCGAATCTAGGATGCAAGAGCTCCAATCAAGTATTAACTTGGAGTTGAAATCAAAGTTGAATGACTTGGAAAACGAAATTAATCAAGTATTGAACAAAAAGGAGGAAATGAACGCGGCCAGAAACGAGCTTATAAAACGAAAGGATTTATTCAATCAAGAAGAGCTCAAGCTCAATACCGAGTTAAAAGATGTATTGCTCAAATTGGAAGACTTGTCGTCGCAGCAACGCGAATCTAACAAGCAAAAGAATTTAAGGGAGAACATATCCACGCTCAAAAGGTTGCTTCCGGCTGGATCTATCAAAGGATTAGTTCACGAACTAGTTTGGCCAACTGAGCAAAAATACGAATTTGCTTTGCTGACAATTTTAGGACGAAACTCCGATGCGATTATAGTTGAAACAGCTGCAGTTGCATACAAGTGTATTGATCTCTTGAAGGAAAGAAGGGCAGGGGTTGCCACTTTTATCCCATTGGATTCAGTTGAGTTTGAACCAGTTAACTTGAGCTATTTGAGGTCAATACATGACTCTGCTGTGCCGGGAATGGATATTGTTGAGTACGAAGATAGGTCATTAGGACCGGCAGTTGAATACATTGTTGGAAACGCCTTAGTTGCCGATGATATCAATGTGGCTAGATCGTTGAGATGGAATTCGTCCAAGAAGTTTGAGAACAAGATTGTGACTTTGCAAGGGTCAGTGATTCACAAGTCAGGCCAAATGACTGGTGGTCAACAAGCACGCAAATCATCGGCGAATATCAGTTGGGACAAACAGGTGTGGATAAAGATGAATGAAAGAAAGGAGGTTTTGTTGTCTAGGGTTTTGAAATTGCAAGAGACTCGACCTAAAGAATTGGAGATCAATTTGTTGGCAGAGGAAATAAGTCTGTTGGACGATAGATTACCGGTTTTTAAAAATCAAAAAAGTTCATTAGAAAGGGCAATCAATGATAAAGGTAGTGAAATGGATTTCTTGAAAAAGCAGTGCGAAAACTTTGATGAGTCCTTGGCAAAGATGAGAAAAGATTTTGAAGCAATTGACAAAAAGATTGCAAAATTGCAAAAAGAAATTAAAAAGAAAAAGTCCATTATATACAAGAGTTTTTGCGAAAAGTGGAACATCAAGGATGGCATAGACAAGTATGAAGAATTACATGGTGCTGCATTGAGGACTAGAGCGAAGGAAAGAGCATTATTTTTGAAATCCATTTCAGTATTGCAAAGCAAATTAGATTTTGACACGGGACGATGTGAGGAGACTGAATCGAGAAAAAATACCGTTAAGAACCAGGTCGTGGATTTGAAAGAGGAATTGGAACATGTATTAGAAGAGAAGAAAAGATTACACGAAGAACTTGATAGTGCTCAAGCCGAATATGAAATTTTAAAGAAAGAGCAAAGTAAGATAGAGCAGCGGTTAGAGACAAAGTTGCGATCATCCAAAATAGTCGAGAACGATTTAGCTGAAAAATCGCAAGAGGCTACGAATCTTGCAAAAGAAATTATTGAACAAGAAGAAACATTGTTGAAGGTTGACTCTGTTAGAGTTAACATTATGAAAAATTGTAAGATTCAAAATATAATTTTGCCATTAGAGGCAGGTGATCTTGATAGTATCTCCATGGGTGAGGATTCTGACGAGGCGTTGGATGAAATATACAAGATTGAGGTTGATTATGAAATGCTTGACCAAAAATACAAAAATACATTCAGTCCTAAATTGGAAGCTGAACTTGAGGTGATGCTTCAAAACACTATTGAAAATTTGGAAAAGTTGGCACCTAATGTTAAAGCCATGGAGAGATTCAAGGAAGTGGAGAATAAGTTAAGGGGTTATGATAAGGATTACACGGTTGCACGCCAAAATGAAAGAAAAGCAGCTGACAAGTTTAGAGAAATTAGTGAAAAGAGATACGATAAATTTATGGAAGCATTTAATCATATATCAGGCTGCATTGATGCCACTTACAAGGAGTTAACCAAATCTCGTCTATCACCAATGGGTGGCTCAGCCTTTTTGATCCTCGAAGATGAGGATAGCCCTTACTTGTCAGGTGTGAAGTACCATGCAATGCCTCCTATGAAACGATTCCAGGATATGGAATTGTTGTCGGGAGGTGAAAAGACTATGGCTGCGTTGGCTCTATTATTTGCTGTCCATTCCTTCCAACCTGCACCATTTTTCGTGTTGGATGAAATAGATGCCGCTTTAGATAATAGCAATGTGGCAAAGATTGGAAATTACATCAAAAACCACGCGGGTCCAAACTTTCAGTTTATTGTTATTTCGTTGAAGAATAATTTGTATGAAAAATCCGATGCTTTAGTGGGTATATACCGTGAACAAAGAGAAAACAGCTCCAAAACGGTAACACTTGACTTGAGTGAGTATCCAGATGAGGATATACCATTGCAGAGTAATCAAGCCGTTGCAGTATAGGTAGTGGTGTGTAGTATAGGTAGCTGTGTGTAGTATATAAGCTGAATGAATAATGTGATTAATGTGATTGGTAGTGCTTCACAATATGTTGCAAAACGAGCATCGCTTCAAAAAATATGTCAAAACCTGAAGCTTTTTATCGCAGCATCTTATGTTTGCAAGAATACGACCAACATCTTTACTACTATGGACTATACATAGGTCATATTCGAGTAGCTCGGCTCCGAAGAAACAAGCAAAAGTTTCCTCGTTGCTTAAATACTTTAAGAAAACCAAGCGGAGGAAGGATTTGGCTGATCCAACTCATCCCAGTAACGTCACATTTCTCGAGATTCGCCAATTCCTCAAAGACTACTCCAACAAAACACACACTAACATCACCGATGCCGACATTCATAATCCATATGAAGTTGTGAAAGCTTTTTTACCTTTCCAACGGCGAGACCATATCGTACCGAGTGTGAAAATAAGGGGAACCATACACACTGGGGAGGGAATTGCGATTATACCCAAGTCAATGTACGCATCCGAGTATGCCGACTCCGAAAATGTGCTTGGCAAATACACAGTGTTGATAATTCCGAAAACGACAGTCGGCGACAAAGTCAAGATATTGCTCAAAATGCACCATGAATTCTATGCAGAAGCGGAATTGATTGAAGTATTGAACAAGGGTCTGCGAGAGAGCAAGAGGAATGACCGCATGATACTATGTAAACACTTTCAGGAATGTAATGGATGTCAGCTACAAATGCTATCTTACCCTGAGCAATTGTTGTTCAAACAAAATGTAATCAAAAGGGCGTATCTGTTATTCTACCCAAATTTGAAAATCGAACGCGAGTTGGGGATTGTCAATCCTTCACCACTTCAGTATTCATATAGAACGAAGCTTACGCCACACTTTGAAGTACGAGATGGAAAATGTACAAAGTTGGGGTTTCAACATGTAAATAACAGAGGGAAAATTGATGTTGAAAGTTGTCCCATTGCCACTGTTGAAATCAATGATAAACTACAACAAGCAAGAAGTAAGTACCTTCGGGGCCCACCAATGAAGCAACTTACATTGAGACAGAGTATGCGAGTTGACCACAATACTGGAGAGTTTTATGAGACAGCATTAGAAGGGCAGTCAAAAGTCACTACTGAAAAGATTGAGGATTTCATATATCAATTTGATTCCAATTGTTTTTTCCAAAATAACAACTCAGTATTGCCCTCGGTTTTGGATTATATACGTTACCATATGAAACAGTTGACATCTCCTGTCGAAAATGTGGTTGACACATATTGTGGTGTCGGTTTCTTTGGTATTGCCTTGTCCAACTTTCATGAGAAATTGAATGTATTTGGGATTGAAATCAGTGAGTCAAGTATCAAATATGCAAACCATAATATGAAGCTAAATGGGCTTTACCCGGAACGAACAAAGTTTATTTTAGGAGATGCCTCAAACATATTTGGTAACGAGGAATTCAAAAAAAGTGGCATTAAAGGCAGTGGAAGCGTGGTAATTGTTGATCCTTCAAGAAAGGGTTCAGATGAAATGTTTTTGAAACAACTTTTGGAATTTGAACCAGATATGATTGTTTATGTTAGTTGCAACGTATTCACGCAAGCTCGAGACTTGGCCGTTTTTGAAAAATTGCAAGGTGAGAACCAAAAGTATAGAGTTGAGGATGTTGTCGGCTTTGACTTTTTCCCGCAAACAAAACATGTTGAATCCGTTGCTATATTGAAAAGAAATTTATGTACATAGGGCTTTCAATATCCATCAGCTTCTTTTAGTAACTCGTCGATAACATCAAACATTGCATCTACTCCCCAATCTACTCTCACTCTTTGTTTCTCCTTGGTGATGAGATCACTAAATTTTACCTTTTCTTGCAAAAAGTATTGCAACCCCCTAAGTAACGTAATTTGATCTTTGGCTTTGATCACACGCTCCACGAGCAATTTATCATCAAAGAGATGATCATTGTTACTGGCCTTGTCAATTGCCATTCCTGCTCCAAGTTGATTCTTTCTTGATTTTTTCCCAATCTGATCCAAAAAGGTCATTAATAATACCTCGATGAACAAACCTGTGTCAGGTGACGATGTCAAAAAATTGACTGCCTTTAATGAATGCAATGGCAATGAGTCTTCCGCCATGAGAAATCCATAGAATCTTCCAAGATTCAAAATCTTTTTCAACTTTGTTTCTTCGTCACCGTCATTGATTCCTAAAACATTAGCCCCTTCTTCTTCACCGTCAATGTCGTTACCATCCAACTCCTTGATTAAGTCCCACAACATGAATTGAAACGTCTTTCGGAACGAATGCGAGTCACATAAGTTATTCGCCAACACAGCATAGTAAGGATTCCACGAAGGTTCAATGGTGGTGCAATGAATCAAAACTTTGGGGATTTCTCTCTCTTGTGCTCTTTTCAATGACAATTTGTCCAATTTTGTCCTCGCATCGACGAAATCAGTAGCTGACATAATAGATATAAACACAGCTCTTCGAATATCAGTATTCATTCTTTGCGCTTTCGCTAACTCCAACCAATTAGGCTCAGCCGCATCAAGTACGTCATTGATTTCGAGTTCATTGACGTCAGTGCTTGGTTTCTCTATGGCTTCATTTCCCTTCCATGCTGATCCAACCAACCACCATTTTCCTCTACTTTCAACATTTTGTATATCGTCCAATGACACTTGTATTGGATCTCCACCTTTGTTGTTGTTGATACCACTTAGGAACTTTTTAAGTCTGATTGATAATTGATGGTTCCCCTCATTTAACACCTTCATCTTGTTATTCTTCAACGTGGATATTGTATCAATCAAGAATTGGATTCTTGAAGTTTTGAGGTCTGGCAGTAACTTTGCATATTTTTCATTCAACAAGATAATAATGTCTTTCAACGAAGAAGGATCATCAGTACGCATCTGGTTTCCAGAACTTCTAATCAAGCGCAACAACAAGTCTGCATTGTTTTCATCAAGATTCATGATGAGTTCTCTCACAATGTCGTACAACACCTTGGAAGATAATAAGTGAAACAAATACACTGAAGACAACAATATTATCAAATTTGAAGCTTCAGTTTTCTTGCTACTCTCCCTGTTGTATTGTTGGAACCTTTCAACCAATGTTTGAATAAAGTGAGCACCAAATTCAACACCTTGTAGTCTATAAACTGCGGCAACGAGACATGCATGGAGATACACAAATGTGTCCAACAACCGACCTTGCTGAACAACACCATCTATTACGATATTGGTGAGTTGCTCATTCACCACTTGCCTTGGATGAGACATGTATACATTTTGAATATCATTGACAATAGAGGATATATTAGCTTCGGAGAGCTTATTCATGGGACCCTTTATTGCCTTACGCAAATTGGTAATCTCTTCAGAATTAGCATCTTGTGCCTCCAAAGCCATTTTACGACGTAATGCCGGTGGTATATACCTTTGTTCAAACGTGGATTCATCCGGTCGAGTCTCTTCGTCAGTACCGGGAGCAATATAAGGATTCTCCCTCACTCTCTCTTCTTCGTCGGTGTATCCATCCAGTTCATCATCTTCAAATTCGTCCTCCAGTTCTTCAGTACCCACTTCAGCTCCTTCTTCGCTGATAAAGTCCAACCCATCTAACAAATGGTTTAAATCATCATCGTCGGCATCAGGCAAATTATCGGTTTTCTTGATTCCCAATTTTTTGGCGTAATACTCGAGGTCATCCTCGTCATTTTCGAATTCTCTGGAGCTTGGCGGACGTGCATAATTAGTGCCCTCTTTGACTTTGTGTTGAGCATGGTCAGAGCTTTCATCATCATCCTCTGCTGAAACCTCTTCTGCACTATCTACACTGTCGGAAAAATCTAAATCCAACCCATCCAAAAGACCTCCTATCACATCATTATCGTCAGTTTTACTCAATTTTGAGTTTTTGCCATGCTTCAAGCCAAGCTTTTTTGCATAATATTCAATCTCTTCATCATCTTTTTGAGTGACGGTATCATCAATTGGCGTTACTCTGCTCTTTTTGCTTTTTCTAGCTTCGTTTGTTTCTTCATCAAATTCGTCATCCTCGAAACCTCCAAACTCCGAGCTATTATCTGACAAACAAGAGTCGTCTTCATCATATGAATCATCATTCAAGTCGTCCTCTTTGACAATCCTGATGCCTCCACTACTGTTTGCTGCACCATTTGATTTCTTCTCCTTCAATCGTCGTAAAGCCTCCATGGGATCCTTTTCGTTCTCGCTCTCATTTAACCCATCGTCACTCAGAAAATCGTCATCTTCGAGATCGTCTTCCTTCACAATTCGTACTTCACTTTCTTGCTTTGAGCCCTTGTTTTTCTTTTCTTTTAAAAGACGCAATGCTTCTAATGGATTAATACTATCTTTCTCATCCTCAAAATCCTCCAGGCCAGAAATATCAGACATCGAATCATCGTCCAAATCATCTGCCTTTATAACTCGTACCACTTTATTGTTTTTTGTTTCTTTGAGTTTCTTCAACTTTTCCATGACATCGTCCAGATGATTACTTGAACTTCTACTTCCATTGCGTTTCGAGGTGTGACCATTTTGCAGCTTGATATGTGAAGTTTTGGACGATGAAGCTGTTCCTTTCCCATTTGGTTTCTGTTTCTGTTTCTTCAAAGCTCGTTCCTGCTTTCTCTTCTCTTTTCGAGATAATACCTTATTTGACTTTCTCTTCTTGGAGCTGGAACTGCTTTGAGTACCATATCTGGCATCACTTGAATCATACTCACCTCTGGCTTGTTTATCGTTGATTTGGTCTAGTATTTGGTTCGGTAGTTTTATGGCGGACGATTCATCCCCACTCTTAAATTTTGCCATATCTTAAACTAGTAATAGGTACTAAATGTATAGTGGTGAAGATAATACTTCAAATGATCATCTCCCACAGATAGAAAAAAAAAAAGGGAACTATCAAACCTGGTAGCAGTACTAGGTTTTGCATTTGTCTGATTGTGATTTTTCCTCCAACAAAGTTATCCAACTTTGTCTTCATTCAAGAAAGACAATCCAGTTCTAGCTATGTTTAATTTAAAATTCGACTTGAGCAAGCTCAAGGTAAATGTTAAACTCGTTAGTGATTTGTTATTGCTAACTGGAGCTAGTTTATCTGTGTACTATTTGTTAAATGCCATAATAAATGAATATTTGGACAAGAGCATCAAGAATAAAGAATCCGACAAGAAGGGCAAAGGAATATTAAAAAAGATACAAAACAGCAATCCACATTTAAAGAATATTTCACTCAATCAGTATGAGAAAACGTTGTTGAGCTCACTCGTGACACCAGACGAAATCTCTGTTTCATTTGAAGATATTGGTGGGTTACAAGACACCATTGACGAGTTGAGAGAAGCAGTGATGTTACCTTTAACCGATCCTGAACTATTTGCAGTCCATCTGAATTTGATCAAGTCTCCTAAAGGTGTACTTTTTTATGGTCCGCCAGGATGTGGGAAGACTATGCTTGCCAAGGCAATTGCAAAGGAAAGTGGCGCATTCTTTTTATCGATTAGAATGTCAACTGTGATGGACAAATGGTATGGAGAGTCAAATAAAATAGTGGATGCAATCTTTTCATTAGCTAATAAGTTGCAACCATGTATTATTTTCATTGACGAGATAGATTCATTTTTAAGGGATAGGTCGTCGAGTGATCATGAAGTTAGTGCAATGTTGAAAGCCGAGTTTATGACCCTATGGGATGGTTTAAAATCCAATGGACAGATAATGGTCTTGGGAGCAACCAATAGGAAAACTGATATTGATGAAGCGTTTTTAAGGAGAATGCCAAAGACATTTGCTATAGGTAAGCCAGATGCCTCACAAAGACGATCTATTTTGGCAAAAATATTGAAAGACGCTAAAGTCGATGAGCAAGAGTTCAATTTGGAGCTGATAGTAGAGAGGACCAGAGGATATAGTGGGTCCGATTTAAGGGAGTTGTGCAGAGAGGCAGCTTTGTTACCAGTACGAGAATATATCAAAGAAAATTACAATTACAAAAGTGGCAAATTGAGTCGAGATGAGAATGATAATTTACCTGTCAGAGCGTTGAAAACGTCTGATTTTTATAGAATTATATCCACACCAGCAACGGGGACCATACCAAGTTTGGCACTTGACTAGACCAAGTATATATATATATATGTATATACATATAGTTTAATATTGGATTTGAGTTCAAGTTTTTCACCGATTTTGATAATTATGAGTTGTATAATTTGTGCGATATTCCTTGGTGAAATATTCAACTGAAAAAATTTTTTTATCGTCATCTTCACATATACTCATCTTTCTTTCTTTTGGAAAGTGACCCATTGAGTTAGCCTGGGGATCTCCATAGATATGTATTGATCAATATATATATACATATACATTCTCACTTTGGGATAATTTAACGTCGACACAGACTCTACTATTTCTCAACAGGCCTCTTCGAAGACCCTTGTATCATAGTGGTACACGGGTTCAAAGCGAGGCCAAAATTGAACTTCAAACTAATAACTACTCCTCATAGAGTATAGCATTTTAAGGAGTAGAGATTGACTAATATATATTATTAAAAGACAGTTTGAGACATTCTTCGTAAGTGAAGCTTTGTAAAATTGGGACTTTGTTTCATCCAATGTTTGCCTGTAAGTTTAGCCCTAGTGATGCCATCGACAGACCATGATGAGTTTTCTTGAACCTTCTCGCTGTTAATATTAACGTAATATAACCTTACATGTATGTGGCTGACCGACGAATTCAATGAGTCGATGTTTGCAACTAATAGAAATGGTAGCACAGGCAACCCCCTTTTTGGTCATTTGATTTTGTTGGAATTCAATCCTTGAGCAAGTTTGAAAATATTCAGCCACCAAGAATTATCAGAAGAAGAACCCAATTGAACTTGCTACCTTACACAATGCCTTCTATCGCTAGACTCGGGGCATTGAGAAATCTGGGAATCAGGCGGGTACCAAGGTTGTTGCAAGCACACAGATTCTACGCCACTGATATAGAGGATTTAAAAAAGCAATCAGATTCCACAGAAGCTGACAATTCGGTTTCAGCAACTGGTGTCATTGATAAAAGAAGTAATGAAGTATTGTTATACTATTCATTTGCCACGTCTCGAAATTTCATCAAATCGTATTTATCACGACTTGCATTGTTTGCCCCACGATATTCTGATGAACAAGTCAAGAAGAAAGTGGAGAACCTTTCATCCCCTTTACCTCAAGGGTCGACTTTGACGGAGGTAGTAGCATTGGCCAGGGATTCGGGGGCATTTGTGAAGTATCAATTCCCACAAGATGAAACAGCAAGACATTTTATTGATCGAATCAGAAATAATGTTGCCAAGAATGAAAAGGAAAACGAGAATGCCATTAGTCGAGTGTTTGACTACTTGACTGATAGGGCTCCAAAAGTTTATAGTGTCAAGGGTGTTCCTTGGATAGAGGATTTGAAACGGTTTCCAAGTCCCAAATTAGCAATCAAATTTGAAGGTGATCCCTTGACCGAGGAAGAATTGTATGTTTTGTTCAGAAGGTATGGATTGATTGATGATATTAAAGCTGATCCGGCCGAGTCATCAGTGTTGTTTCACCATATTCGAGCCGCGACTTGTGCCAAGCATTGTATCACAGGGATGCAGTTGAATAATGGTAAAACTACTATTCATATTCAATTTAGTCCTATAAAGAGGAAAAACTACTTGGTTGATTTTGTTTCAAACCATACCAAGATTTCAATCCCGATTATATTAGCTCTCTTGGCTGGGCTTGCAGTAATGGTTTTTGATCCAATCAGAGAATGGTTTATTGAATACAAGATAACTCATAGCAGACACACATTTGATCACTTTAAACAAAATAAACTTTTCCAATTACTTTACATCCCTTACAAGTCACTTGCCAATTTAGTGTCTAACAGCTATGATTACATAGACACGCAACTTCATGAAGTAGTTGGAACAAATGATGACGTTTCACTGGATACTCAATCCATAGATGAGATTAAAAAGGAAAGCAATATGTTTTGGAAGGAAAGACTTGAAAAGTCAAAACAATTGAAATTATGGATTTTAGAAAACTTGAATAGTTTTATCATTGTCAAGGGACCACAAGGTTCAGGTAAAGAGGAATTTGTTTTGGATCATACGTTGGGCTCAGATGATCGATTGAATAACAAGATCTTGGTGATTGAATGTGATAAATTGAGTAAAGCAAGATCAGAAAACAGCTTGATTGGAAGTACAGCTTCACAATTGGGATATTTCCCTGTCTTTACGTGGACGAACTCAATTTCACAATTTGTTGATTTGGCGGTTCAAGGGTTAACGGGACAAAAGTCAGGATTGAGTGAAAGCAAAGAGACCCAGATTAAGAACATGTTTTCGTTGGCTACTCAATCTATTAGACATATTTGTGAAACCGATTATCAAAAGTATGTTAAAAGTATTGAACGTAGGAACAAGAAGTTGAAGGATGATGAAAAGATTGAGATTCTAAGACAAGAGGATTTCCTATCACAGCACCCGGAATCAAAACCAATCATTGTGGTCAACAAATTTGCCAGGCGAGCTGATGTTCATCTGAATGATTTTATTTACCCGTTGATTGCCGAGTGGGCATCGGGATTGATCCAAAACAACGTTGCACATGTTATCTTTCTCACTGCCGATGTTGGCTCATTACAACATTTAAATGAAGCATTGCCTAATCAAGTGTTTAAAGATATCTCCTTGAGTGATGCATCAATGATGAGTTCAAAACAATACGTATGTGATGTTTTGAACGTCAAAGATAGTGTTGTATTGAGTGATTGTTTGGAACCACTAGGAGGAAGGATGTTGGATTTGCAAGCATTTATACGTCGAGTCAAATCAGGTGAAGATCCCGAAAGTGCAGTAACGGAAATGATTACTCAAGCTGCGGAATTAATCACTACATTCTTTTTGAGTAATCAAAGGATCGATAAAGGTGACAACAACTGGAATTCTGCTCAAGTTTGGCTCATTATGAAGCTTTTACTGAAGAAAGAATCTGTTACTTATAACGATTTGATCAAACTGCCCTTGTTCAAATCATCAAAAGAAACAATGGATACATTAACAACATTAGAGAAATTTGATTTGATTTCATTAAAGAGGGATAAGGGAGTATTGAATAAGATCACTACTGGTAGGCCATTATTCAAAGCGGCATTTGAAAATATAATTGGCGATTTGAGAATTTGGAAGTTGTATGAGACTGATTACTTAACCAATTTGATTAATTTGGAAGTGACCAAGATCCAAAAATTTGAATCTGAATTGAGTGGTATTTACAAAATCAACAATAAATTGGATGGTCGTATTGATTACTTATCGAAAAAGATTGAAGGCTCGAATAAGAAGATAGTTGATTATGAAAAGGAAATTGCTGATATTGCTGCATATCAAGGCGATGCTAAATCTCATTCCTTTTTGGGAATCTTTTAGGGAATAAAGTGGCTTGTCGAATAATTCTGTACATACTATTACTAAAAATGCTATCTTAGTAATTGGTTATTCATAATTTCGTAAACCATGCGTCGTCTAATCACCTTCATATCGTTTTGAGAATAATTAAACAGATGATCTTGAGCCAAATACCGAGCAGCAGTACAAGTAAATACCCCACAATCAGATCCATTCTTTTGTTGTGGTGCATCAATGTACGGAATTAACTTGTACTTGATGGCATTGTGTCCTAATCGTTGAGCTTCATTATCCATATACATTTGTAAATTTTCAACTGCTTCAGGATTACCCGATTGATTAAAATCCAACGAATCATAGTAAGTTATTGTTTTTTGCAAGTTATCTATTAATGCCAATGCCCAATGCGTATTGCTGATATTCACAGGAACGATAACTTTATCCTTGGTGAATAAATTAATTTTTTTCCGTTTGGCCCATCTTGCCACCCCACTATATCCTCTTGATGCTAGATTTGAATAGAAATGAGTTGTCCAAATAAAAATTTTCGGATTCTGTTTCATGATTAAATTGTGATAAAAATCAATTACATTATCATTTAGCCAATGTCCGTCTTTTAAAGTTTGTAAGTCAGCGTAAGTTATATCAATGCTGTATTCAGTAGTGCACACTGTTCGAGGATTGGATTGCCATGCTTGATTTACCTTCGCTAATTGAGAATCATCTAATGGTTTAATTTTAGCTTTAGCAGCTAGCCTTTTTGCTGTTATTAATTCTTGAGTTTTGAATTGAGCTTTCTTGTAGGTCTCAGAAATACGATCGATTTTAAAATTGGTAATCAAATCATCAATTATTGAATATGAAGTGATTGAAATTGGTTTAGGTGGAGTGTAAAAGTTCAAGATTGATTGTTGGTAATTGGTTTTGGGTTTGATATCAAAGAAGTGATCATGATTAGGAGTAACCGTAGACGTGGCTTGCTGTATAATTGATGGTTTCGGTTGATCATTGGCTCTTTTGGTTGGGGTGGAGTGTAATGGGGATGTAGTTGATAAGTTCATGCTAAAATTTTGGCCATTCTGTTGAGTGTTTCCTAGTCTATTAGGTCTCGAGTTCTTCAATGCCAGGTCTCGTAGTATCTGACCAGTAGTGTCATGTGATGTTGTGGTGCTATTTTCCACGTATTCTCGAAGGCTTTCCTCCAATATACTGTTTTGACAGGATTGTTCTCGACGATTGTAGATAAGATGATAGTCATTAGTGATGGGATACTTGTGTGGTACGGTTACCTCTTCTAATATTTCAATATCGGAGTCTTTACTAGCAACAGGTTCATCTGCAATCTCTTCTTGCTTGGGTGATTCGATATATGGAGGTTTTTTCAAGTAAGATAGTACAAATGATGTAATCTTCTGAAGCATCTTGCTAATGATAGACCAAAAGTGACCACCCAACGCATCGTCTATTTTTTTGCTCTTTTCAGGATTCACAAAATTGTATGATAGGTCATCTTGAATGTATATTCGTTCGTGATCAAGTATAGGATTATCAAACATTTGGCGTAAGAGAGGTTGCTTCCGACAATGATATGTGGTTGAACCAATTTTTTTTCTCTCTCACTCACAGGATGATGAGAAGGGACACAATTGCGCTTCAAAAGACAACCAATTGAATACAACAAAGCTAAAGAATTGATTCTCATGTGAGAAGTTGAGACTGTACTGAAATACAGACTACCACCGAGTTTGCTACTTGCTGTTTTTTGGACCAACTTTGTCAGTTTACTGAATAAGGTTCAACTGAAGAGTAACAATTTTTCAAGTTGGAAAATAGCACAAAATTCATTGCCTCCTTCCCCTTTTTGCAACAATTTGGTAAGAAGGGGAATAATGGTAAAAAAACTTTAGACCAAGTGATATAGGCTTCAGCTTCACTGCTTTGAAATTACCTGGATTCAACTCTCCTTTTCTGTTTCATGAACAGCTACAATGGTACCATTATCAACGTCAACTAGTCGACAGTTGTATATCACGAATGTGATAACTACTTTCTACAAGTATGTCCAATCCATCATGAGAGCCTGAGTAGCAAAGTCTTCGGGTTATTTCTGTAAAATTTGACGCATTAGCCTGTACATATAAATGTGAAAAAGGACTCTTCAAGGAGGATAGTTGTATTTCACTCACTCATTCCAAAGTTTTTATATGTACTATACCCAGTTCCTTGACGAATAAATGACGGTAAGCTACCATCATATTGATTCATCTGATACAGAAGTTTGTATTGAAAGTCGATTTAATTGAGAATTGTGCAAACTTGAAATAAGTATAACCCACGTGGGTTTAATTTATGGAGAACTATTTTTACACAAAACTAAAAAGTATGTCTACACACAAAACACACATTTAATCAATAATACACGACCATCAATTTTGGTGTGTTGCAAAAAAAGGCAACCAAAACACACCACACCCTCCATCTATCCTCTTCTACGAGGGATACGCTTTCAAATTTGTTGTTGGATGAGGATCTTGGTTTTACGTACATTTCTTTCGAAGGGTTTGTCAGATTCAACGATTTGTTTTGAAAAAAGAATACTACCGACATGCATTCCGAATGGAGTACAAAGATGGCAAACTTCGAATCACAAAAGTTGGTACCAGACCTATTAGATCGTCTTTAAACCTATAATGGCGTCCCACAATGCCACAGGTAAAAAGGTGTGCGATTCCACACATGAAGCTCTGTGGAGCAACGCAACCACTGAAACAAAGTTCAATGAGATAGAAGGGGTTAAGCTCCCTTCACAAAGGGCTTGATTCGGTCACTTTAGATGCAAGTTAAACCTCGTGTGGTTGAGAAGTTGGCTATTAATGATGTGTGTTTGTATAAAGTTGTACCATTCAGTAGATACACAAATCAAATGAAAAACAACTGTCCTACCTGTTTGTGTTCAGAAAAAACAATACCGACTGTTTATGTCCACTACTTTTACTCAGGCTTTTAATCAATAAATTGGCATATAATACAGAGAGATTACCAATATTAATTTAATGTTGCATTGTTTGAATACGAATATTTATTATAAATTGGTATCCGCCCACGTTGCTCGAGCCAAAAAAATTAAAAACTATCTTCATTTCCTTTCGATTAAAGTGAACGAAGAAAAGCAAGGGACATTGCTTTTGAGTCAACGGGGCATCACATTCGACTCAGCTCAACTACATTCTGTCATACAATACGATTGACGAGGTAGAAATAAAAGTATTCTACATTTACAAAGGGAGAAAGTTTTCCATAAGTAGAAAAGGCTAAAAAAAGTCAATAAAGAGAAAGTAAAAAAGATTTCACAAAACAGCGGTAGCAAGAGGTAAACGAAAGACAACATTATTTCATTTCTGAAATTACAATTTATCATTCCACTACAAGAATCCTACCAATTAACCAGCCAACTACCACTACCCATCATTGAAAACTCACACTTTGAGGACTCACCCTTCTAAATCTATCTTTTGTTCTTTTCCTTTTGAATAGCCCCCTTTACTTTCAATCCCACACAAGCATATTCTTATTATGGCATCAAGTGAAGACTCCAAATCCAAACCATCAGCCACCAGCAAGCAACAGTCCTCATTGCCAACTACGGTCACTGTATCCCCCACAAATAAACAACCACAACAACAAGGAGGACACGATTCCAAAATGTTATTCGGTACCAAATTGGAAACTGAAACTTATGCACCATGGAAAGACTTTTACATCAACTACAACCAATTAAAGAAATTGCTCAAAGAAGGGGTGATTTTGAAAAACAACTGGACTGATAAAGATGAGCAAAACTTTGTTAGTGCCTTGGATGAAAATTTGGAAAAAGTATTCACATTCCAACACAACAAATTTGATGAATTGAATGATGAGTTGGATATCTTGCAACAACAAACTGAGGTAGCCGACACTTTCGATGTTGATGCATTTTCTAAGAAATTGGACCATTTATTGAATGAAGCGCAAAATTTAGAGCATTTTCAACGTTTGAACTATACTGGATTTATCAAAATCGTCAAGAAACATGATAGATTGCACTCCAATTATTCTGTTAAACCATTGTTGAATGTTCGTTTAAAGAAATTACCATTCCATTCGGAAGATTATTCACCATTGTTGTACAAAATTGGAACTTTGTTTCAATTTTTAAGAGAAAATTACGAAGTCGATCAATCGTTATCGAAATTGTCATCTTTTAATGATGGGGCATTGAGTGGAGAGTTTCAATCTTTCAAGTTTTGGGTTCATCCTGAAAATTTGATGGAGGTAAAGACCACTATATTGAGACATTTACCTGTATTGATTTACAACTCTAAAAAGGATGATGATGACGATGACGATGATGATGACGACGATGACGAAGATGAAGCAAATGGTAAAGATAACAAAGTCACCCAAACTGATCAAACCATCAATTGTTTGTACTTTGACAATGAACATTTCGACCTTTACAATCACAAATTAACCAAACTCAATAATTCATCAACATTGAGAATTAGGTGGATTGGGAAGTTATCAGACAAACCTAAAATCACCATGGAAAGAAAAGAGTTTGATGTCAATTCCAATTTCCATGTTGATGACAAGATTGAATTGAGGCAAAAGTATATCAATCAATTTGTTATAAACCATGATGTTCCCAAAAAGTTTGTTAAAATCAATGATGAAGCTACTGTCAAGAGATTGTTAAAATTTATCGATGACAACAACTTGCAACCAATTTTGAGAACTACTTACAAGAGAACAGCTTTTCAGATTCCTGGTGATGACAAGATTAGAATCATTATTGACTCCAATTTAACTTTTATCAGAGAAGATTCATTTGATCCAATTTTACCCATCAGAGATCCCCATCAATGGCATAGATTGGATTTGGATAACCCTAAAAATAATCAACAATTTTTGAGAAAAGGTGAATACAACAAATTCCCATTTTCAACGATGGAGATCAAGATTAAAAAATCGTCAGTTAAAAACTTTAAAAAGTTGCAATGGATTAATGAATTGATCAATAGTAGCTACTTAGTTAAAGAAATTCCTAATTTCTCCAAGTTCATCCATGGTGTTGCATCATTATACTTGGAGGATGATAAATTGGATAACATTCCCATGTGGTTTAATGAATTGGAAGGTGACATAAATGATGATTTACCCAAAGTTCCTACAAAAGTTAACAATGATGGAATCACTCAATTAAGCAATGATGATAACTTGTCAAAGTTTAAATCAATGATTTTGAAAAACAACACCTCCAACTTCCAACCTCGATCAGCATCATTTTCGGGAAGTTTATTGTATAAGGGAAACAGCAACAACCAAGATGAGCTCGTGTCAGTGGCAGAGACCGGAGAAACAGAAGCTGACGATTCAAAGATTACGCCAGTCGATGAAGAAGAGGATGAAGGCAATCTTTCTCCAACAGGTAAACCAAAGAAGCTTCAGCAACAACAACAACTGGGCAACTTTACTACTGATGATCAATCGTCCGACTTTGATGAAGATGAAGACGAGGATGATGAAACTGGTATTACCAAAGCTAATCGTTTGAAGAAATTGATCAAGTTCCCTCAACAATTTTCAAAATTGATTGATGTTGATTCCGAAGATGAAGAAGTCATTCTACCCGCCGGTGTGGTTAAACCTGAACAATGGATTAAGAACATGGGTCCAATCAAGATAGAACCTAAAGTGTGGCTTGCCAATGAGCGTACATTTAATCGTTGGTTGCATGTCACGACATTATTAATGTCAGTTACATTCATCATTTATTCATCAACCATCAGATCCAATTTCCATCAATTGAGTACCTATTTGGCTTATTTTTATTTCGGGTTAACAGTATTTAGTTGTCTTTGGGGATACTATATTTTCATTGTTCGAAGAAATATCATTTTGGAAAGAAGTGATAAACATTTGGATAATTCAATTGGTCCATTGATTATTGCTTTTGGATTGATGATTGCTTTGATTATTAATTTTGTGTTTGGATGGAAGAGTCTTGAATTGGATTATGAGCATAATGAGTTTTATGACAACAATCCAATGCATAAAAAGATTCATCAATTTATGGTTGAAATGGTGAGCTAAGGGGATGTAGGCGCTGTTGTGTGACATTTAAGTATTTGTATAGCTTGATTGGATATCTTTCCATTATAAGCAGGATGAGTAGAAGTAGCTTAGTAACAAGGGTGATGGCGTTAGTCGCAAGAAGTGTGTTTGGGCTGGTGGCTCATTATTGTTGATTCCTGCATATAACCCATTACAACGTGTGTGGTGTTTTCTAACGCTGTTTGAATTTTTTCATTTTCATCAACGAAATCAACAAAGTTATTATCAGTTGAACATTTAGAGCTTTTGATAGGCAGCACACCACACTACATTGCCCAAATGTCATTGAATGTATCGTTATATACAGTGTCAGCATTGCTAATACTAGACAACGAAGGCAATAGGTTATACGCTAAATACTACACACCACCAACCGAAAATGATATCAACAACAACAACTCTAGTAGCTCCCAAAGCGGTAACAGTAGCCACCACCCCAAAACAGCCAAACCGTCCACTTCCTCCAAATCCTCCAGTCAATTGAAATTTGAGAAATCATTATTTTCCAAAATCAACAAAGTGCATCAAGATATTCTCTTGTATGATAACAATTTAATTGTATATAAACAAATCAATGATACATCAATCATACTTGTGGCTCCAATCAATGAAAATGAATGTCTCATGTATTCAACATTGAGCAATTTGGTTGAATCATTGAATATATTGTTGAATAATACCATTGATAAAACCACTATTGTTGAAAATTACGATTTGGTGGTGTTGGCCATTGATGAGACTATTGATGATGGTGGGATTATATTGGAGTATGATCCGGCTACTATTGTGTCTCGTGTAACTAACGCTCCCGTGAGTTCGGGAGCTGCTGGTGTTGTCGATTTAAAAAATATCGATTTGAGTGAAAAGGGATTGTTTAATGCCTTAAGTTTCGCCGGTAAGAAGTTGGGTGAGAGATTGCAACAAGGGTTGTAAAGAGAGAGATGCGATGTACAGTGACTATTGTTGTAGATGTTTATTAGTTTAGTAATGGCATATATAAAGAGAGAGATAATTATACCTCTACAGGATTCTCTTTTACATGAAACCGAGAGAGCTATGAAAAATATCAAAACATGAATTCATTCTTATTACTGAACTTGTTTAAGCACTATTAGCGTTACTCAACCGTCATATAACTCCCCTTTCAGCCATGGAAGACTCGTTTTATTTTTCCCTACTACGAGTATCAATAGCTCAAATACTCAAAACACAAGGATTTGACAAATGTAAACCATCAACATTAAACACAATCACATCCTTATATATCATCTACTTGTCGAAATTAGCCACAGAGTCAATAGACTGTAGTCTTATTAGAACAAGAACTAATTCACCAGAAGTACAGGATGTAATGCAAGCCATGATCAATTTGGGGTTGGTGAAAGCTACCCAGGGGCATAGAATCCATGATGAATTTTTTGATGAACTGGAGTATAATACAAAGTCGATAAACCTGTTTAAAAGTTGGGTATTGAGTTATTATGGAGAACAAATTAGAGATATCGCCGAAAGAAAACAGAGGAGGAATGAACAAGATGCAATTGATGAGAATGCTAGAGCCCAAGTTGATGAAAAGGACAACCAGCAACAGCAACAGCAACAGCACCCCCACCACCACCCAGAGGATTTTTATCATCAATTCATACTGAGTAATGGTCAAACCAGCTCGAAGAAGGACGAAAGCAGCAAAAGCGGCGAAGAAGTGGACAATGTGTCGTCTTTGATGCATGACAATAACAACAACAAATTGAAATGGTTAAATCATCTACTTGAAAAGGATTTGAAATTAGGCCACAAGTTGAAGTTTCTTTACGCTACTGAATTCATAGCTAACGAATTCGAACAAAGCTTACTAAAGGGACAACGAAAATTGAAAGGGACAACTAATAATACTGAACAAGGCGTAAACGAAAGTGATTTGGATTTAGACTTACAATTGAAAATCAAGAGTATTCGAAATAGTGATTGGAATGATTACATTGTGAAACCAGTAAGTGCTACCAAAGCCAAAGATAAGAGAGATGACTATACTGTTGGTGGTACAACTGATATTGATGACATTGGCGCTGTTGATGAGTTGGTTAAAAAGGAAGCTGTTTTGGAAAAATATCTACCTTACAATATCAAATACTCGGCGCCGCTATTATCGGATGATATTGATATCCAGGATGATGATAAACAAGATGTGGATGCTGAGATGGAAGACAGCCAACTCCACCTTGTACAATCTAATGAAATATAGACAATGTATATGCAATGAAACGTATACAGTGTTTTTCAAATGTTTTTGGTTTTGATATATAAATCTATCTAGCTATCTTTAAACTCTATGTAGACAAAGCACCCCTACCACCAATGCTCCTATCAATGCATACCTCTTTTCAACTTCAAAGAATCACGTTTCTTTTCACCAAGTGAGACGTAATTAGTATTGAAATTGCTATTGAATCGTGCTTCATCCATAACTGTATCATCTTGGAGCAGCAGTTGCAGCAGCTGCAGCAGTAACAGCAGTGTGCGTTGTTGTGAGTACTGCTGTTGTTGTGCATATTGTTGTGCACATGGTTGTGAGCCCCATTGTTGCAGCAGTTGTTGTGCTGAAAGTGGGTGTGGATGTGGTTCAAATGGTGAATCCAACGCAAATCCAGCTGCATTTGCATCTGCATTAAAGCTGGACCGTCCATTCAAATTATTCAAAGCTTGGGCATTTGCTGATTCAGTATTCAAATGGTAGGGAACAGATGGTCCACCCATACTTCCCGATGTACTCGATCTACTTCTTTGTAAAAAAGGTGGGGGTGCCAGTGGGAGTTGGAATGGAGCTGAAGATGAAACATCTCTATAATCCTGCAATTGTGAACTTGCCAGTGGTGGTGGTGGTGGGAAGTATGCTGTTTGAGACTGTATATTACTTCCAGCAGCTGATAATGGCTGTTGTTGTGGGAAATAGTTTGATTGTGATTGCGATTGAATACCAGCGGAATGAGGTGGTGTATTACTAGCACTAGAGCCAGGTCCACCATTGAACAAGTTGGCTTGTATTGGTACACAATCCAACGAATCAGTACTAGCATTGCTATTTCTGGGACGAAGACTGTGGATATTACCAACGTGAAGCCAGTTGTTTGAGTTGTTTCTTGTTAATGATTGTTTACGAAGATTCAACAGTGATGAACGCAGTCTGATTGACGCGCTGCTTGGTTGTTGTTGTTGTGGCTGCTGTTGCGCTTGCTGTTGGGCATTGTAATTCATCAAATTCATTTCATTTAATGACAAATTTGAAATTGACGTGTTCTTCATACCATTTGACATCGGGTACTGTGGTCTTTTGAGGGACGCGTTGTTGGAGCTAGCACCACCGTTGTTGGAGTTATTGGAGTTGTTGGAGTTGTTGGAGTTGTTGCTCTCTGGCTCATCGATATCTGTCAATATATCGTCGGATTCAGCATATTGTGGGTTCTGATAAAATGAATTATTGTGGCCATATGGTTGTTGGTGTTGTTGTATAGTGTTTTGGCTATTGAATGAATTTTGATGATGTAAAGGAGGTGGGTTGAATGGGTACTCACCAGGAGCTTCCAACGGTGTTTTCAAAGTTTGATCTATTGGTGTATATGGTTGTGAATTCAGTCCAGATGGAGTTGATATTGATGGTTGATTGAACTCCATCTTGTTTAGTTTCAAATGCAAATTCAAATTCTTGTTTATCATGGTAAATAAAAAAGCGTTCGAGAAAATGGTGAAGTATTTGGGAAGCCCTTGTGGATATGATGCAAAATCGATACTCTATGTTAAGGTCAAAAAACGTAACAGTTGTTGTTTATGATAATACAAACTTGGGGTTTTTTGTCTATAATGAAACTTTTGGTCAAAGAAAGCCGGGAAAAAAATAAAAAGCAATGGCGAATAATGCAAATAAGCAGATCAAATGTTCTCTTCAATGCTCTCCTGTTATGCCTCGATGTATGGCAGTAACGGTGACAGTAGTAGTAGTAGTTGCTGCTTCGTTCGGTGGCTATGAGTTTTTTTCAAAGGGACACGCGTAGTTTTTTGTTAACAATTGTATGGTTCCTGAAAAAAATAAAAAAAAAAAAAAGAAAGCCAACCTTAAAAATTCTCTTGATTTATTAAGCTCCTTTGTTTTCTGTAGAACACCGTTTGTCTTCCTAATTTGCTATATCCTGGTTAATGTATATGTGCACTGATGTTGAACGTAATGAACGAACCAGAATAAGAAGAAGAAGAACAAGAACAAGTGGGGGAAGAATGTTCAAAATTGATTGTTTCCCAAAACTTTGTTGAGATACAAAAAGAGAGTCAAAAGAGTGAATATCGAGATTACATAATGAGTTATATAAGTTTGTACACAAAAAGTAGTTACCCACTATAAACTACTTTGTAAGCTCTAGAGTCTATCTATGATTCTCCAGCGAGTGAAGTCCCAAGCAGACTGCGACTCATTTGCAGGTATGAACTAAGATTGAAACCAAGTATGCATCACTTTGGAAGAGGCGATTGACAATCGATTGGTCCCACCAACAAACTCGAAATCTCGGAAGTTTATAAAAAACTTGTTCTTTTTTGGGCCCTAACCTTAAATGACCAACTTATCGGGTCATGCATTTGCATATATGCACACGTACGGTATGATCGAAGAGCTCTATTAATATCGGAAGACTTGTGTATGTGGTGGTGGGTATCTCGGGAACAATAGTAGAATATGCAGATACTTGAGTTTGTGTGACTTAGATTGACTTTTTGCGGGATTTTCAATGAAATACAAAAGCACTTGTTGTGAAAGGAGATGATGTACACCATGCCCACAAACACGCGTTTTGGGGAGATGTTATAATTTGGGAGATTATCAAAAATGAGGTATACTTAATGAACAAACCTACTCTCAACTTATCCTGTAAGACTAGAGTATCAAAAAAATAATTTACTTCAAAGGTTCTTCAAGAAAATAATACATTACGATTCAGTCCCCTTACATAGTCTCAATAGTCTCTCGTGATCCCCATCGTAGCTTAGATATACCTACTACACTGCCAATTAACTGTCGTCAAACACCACACTTTGGGAGCACCTCTTTTTATCATGTTAATTTTCAACTCAACAACAGACAGAAAAGTCTATTTGGAAAGGGGGTGGTAGTGGTGAAAAGTTCTCTCTTTCTTCGCCTGCCTCCAACAAATCCCATTTAGGCTAAATTATTACCAGCTTTAGTCAATTACTGCAACTTTACATCATACGACTAAAGCAACAATTTTGCTTGGGTTTATATGCAAGAAACTGCCAAACTCGCAAAACAATGTGAGCATGGGTGTAATATTTCGATTCTAATTAAAATCTTAACTTGTTATACGATTAGCTTCGGCTACGCAGAGTGGATTTAGAAGCAAGATGAAGATGGTAGTTTGTAGGTCTTTTTATTTGGTTGATGAAAGCAATCTTGAAAGCACTGTGGTATTCATTACCTTCAAATTAAGTAGTTGATTACTGATGGTTTCATAATTTTACTTAATTGGGAATATTGAACATATCGAAATTTTGTGTAAATCAAAACGCGCGCCCCTTTTTTCGCAATTAAGAAATCCATTTCAGTCAAAGAGACATATCCCAATGGGGTTAAAATATTACATTAGTTTGACATATTTGTGATACTACACTCATGGTGTATACTTCCCACCTGATTATTTACACTGAACTCCGTTTCGAAATCCGTTGATTAACTCGCTCTACATATATTGAGGTACCCAACAGTTCCATATCACATCTTAACCGTATCTTGCAGCTCACTAACTTTGAAGGTGATTACCCGTCCCCATTAGGTATCTTGGATGTGTCAGTTGCTTGAGCATTTTCTCATGTTTTAGTACATTTAAAAGATTCAAATTGAATTGACTAAAAGACACTTCTTTGCAGCATGAAATTACAAGCTTTAATAGTGCCAAGGGTCACCATCACAACTACCACTGACTAGCACATTAATAGCGTGTAGGAAAGTCAATCCATTGTTGAGCCTTGTGAAATTTTATCCCTGTCTGAATGCACATTTACAAATCACGACCATCTTGAAAGCGGTTTCACAATAGAGTCACTTGTGATCCAGAGTGGGATATTGTAACAGCGATCATTCATAGTTCTTTTAACTGCATTATTTTCCGTACTTCATAACGGCTTCATCATGTATTAATTGTCTTGTCCCAATTGGGCAACTCATTAGATTTTACGCGCAATAGTAAGAAACGAAAAAGAAAGAACCAATTGCACCACTACTCCCACCAGCACATGGTCAACCGCCGAAACACGTTTGATTTACGTTTCATCAAAGTAAGGGTAACCACTAAGAGATCTATATCAGGATTGGGGATCCACTGGTGGTATATAAAGAGCGCCAAGTTGGCCTATTATCGTACTTGATCAAAGAGTCAACTTCCAAAGCTCAAAGTGGTACATCGGTTGATTTCATTGTGAAAAAGAGCTTGCAGAATTAGACTCATGGCACGAGAACGTTTATATTTCCAACTATTCTACCACAGTTTCACCAGGTTGCGTATAGCAGCACACTCAGGGCAACTTCTCAGCTATCGATTCATTCTGCGTTCAAACGTGCGCGTTAGTCGTCAAGCCCAACAGTTGAATTTTGATCAAGATAAGACAATGGTGATGCCAAAAATCCAAGTAGAAGTTGATGGTGTCGATGAAGCATTAGAGAAGCTTACATTGGGGGACACCATTGGATCGGTATCACCACAAGACAAGTCCAAAATTGGCGTCGCATTGTCTGAAATGCAAGGTGATACACGTGTATTGCATAAACATGGTTATGATGATGATTTGTTCAAGATTGAAAAACACGGAACTAACTTTACTCACGCACAAATCCGTGATTTTGAATCCCACCTCGATGACAAAGAGGAAGAAGCATATGCGCAAGGTATAATTAGACAAGTTGAACAATCAGCAGCAACAACGACTAAAGCTAAAGCCAAAACAACAAAGAAACGTATGGCAACAAAACTGGTAAAGGGGAAAAAAAACGGAACCAAAGAAGCTGCCGCACCATCTCCTTCTCCACCTGAACCAAAAGAAGAGCTTGCATTCAAAGACAATGAAGTTTTACGCATCCTCTACGAGAATTGGAATTTACCCCATTCAACAACATTACCCATTGTAAGTCCACTTGCATCACATAGGACTCCATTTGAGTTTTACACTAAACATAATCCTGATGTTTCAATCATCAAAACACCTCGATTATCTGTCACGAAATTGTTGGTTAATAATTGGTGTCAGATGCGTGATTATTATAAAGTGCATGCTGGCTCACCACGATTGAAATCTACACCAGCAATGGAGCAAGGTACTGCCCACCATGCTCGTTTGGAAGAGGAGACACATCCACTGGTTGATATTACTGATATGTTGAACTTTGTCTCGGAGAAAGTTGCCACGTTGAAGAAGCAACTAAAGAGTAAAGGAAAGGTTCCAAACACAACACAAGAAGTTTCTTCTCATGCTCAAGATATTGATCAATCAATTCAGGTTGTCGATGAATTGCTGACAAGTTCCGAGGAAGAGGTGTTAGCCAATGCCTGGTCTCATAAAGTAATCACACGATTGTTTGCATTATTGACAAACTCACAAGCTAGGGAAATTCCCTTACATGGATATATTGACATGAACAAGTCCCAAATCATTGAGCCCCATCACGGAGTTGAGGCACTAAACAATTCCGTACTCGTTTCATCCATTGTTGATTTATTCAAGTTTCAAAATCACAGCAACCCCACTGACTTGACATTTATCACTGAGATGAAAAACATGATGGATTTTGAATTTGACAAAGATAAAGCTGGGACTAAACCCATGATAGATTTGACGAGATTTATCCCTGAGGCTCAAAAGATTCTTTCAGAGTATAAAGAGTCCGATAACGGATTATCACTTGTGATTTCGGATGTGAAAACTCGTAGTGAAAACACTTTACCTCATTTCCAATCAGTGATAAAGGGAGCCAAGTGCCAAACTTATTTGTATCAGAAATTTTTCAAGGTTTTGACAATGGATGCTGAGTTTACTTATCATGGATTACTTGAAAATGCTACCAGGAAAAAAGTCGATATTGATAAGCCATTGAGCCCAATTATGGTGTTGCAAATGTTGCGATTGAATCCTAATTTATTCTATCATGATTTTATCAAATTGAGCCGGGGCAAACCCATTGGATTTAAGCCATATGATGACGAAATCACAACAAACAAAGTGAATAAAGGAATAGCTGCATTGGGAATCGAAGGGTTTCCACGGGACGACAAGGCAATGGCACCACAACAACACTATGATGAGTATCGATTTGATTTGTTGTTTCAAAATGCCAATGAATTTTCATTTACATCGCCATCAACCCAATCATACTTGGATGAACTTGAAAAAATCGAATCTAAATCATCAAACCCATTCCCATATAAACACTACATGGAACCGTTATTGCGGACATGGCAAACACCACTAACTCTACGGTACTTGGCAGCAAGATCAGCTCAATTATTCAACTTGTTCAACAATTTCGTTGCTGAGTCAACTACAGTTGAGTATCATAATGCCCTAACGCAACAAGTTTTCGAAATTTGTCAATACTTCATTCAGAAACAAGATTTACAACTGACGATTGATGTAGCTTGTGATTTTTGGCTTGGTCGTGTGGTTCCGCAATTTGCTGATTCTAAACTGAAGTGTAAATCTTGTGAGTTTAAATTGAAATGTATTGTTGGTAGAGGTGAGGCTGGTGAATTGATGAACAAACGGAAAATGGTGGGACCTAAATTGAGAGAATTTGTTGGTCAACCAATTTGAGGAGGTGGAAGGTACAATGTGTACGGTTGGTTGGTGGGGTTGGTGGGGTTGGTGGGGTTGGTGGGGTTGTTGGTAGTACTTTCCTCTGAAAGAACCTTATTTATTTGTTCAAGATGATGATTGTAGAAAGAATAAACTGTAGAGACAAGTTTTTTTATGTAAGACACCTTCAAAAAGATCAATCCACTAGAATCCATACATCGATCTCTCTGTTATAATGTCTTTTATCTACCCGTTTACCCTTTTTGCCTCAATTAAAAGGTGAAAAAAGGATGGGGGTGATGATTTTGATTTATGGGATTCGTTTACCGAGTACACCTAACTGAAAAAAAGGGCATGCAACCGGAGATAAAGTCCCAAAAGAGAAGACAATGTGGTTCTGAGCTGAACCAATTTGTGGAATCAAAAGAGAAAGGGTTTGTTTGTAAAAGATAACGACCGTAGTTCTCTTTTTGCGTGTGAATTTGGTTTCGTATATTTTCAAATAAATGAGTATATACAGATATTTCCTCGTGATATAGGATTGATTGTGATTAGGAGGATCTTTTCGGTGATGGATTTACTTCAATAAAGTAGTGAAGAAAAAATTTTCGTTGTAGAGAAAGAAACGGTTGGGGTAGCGCAAGGAGTAATTGGTAGCGTTGAAGTCAACTACACATAGAATGAAGTAAACTACAGGTATACCCTCGTCAAGGGTTCCCTCCCTGCTGAGGCTGGATGTGTTTCTACAAAAGACTGTTAATGTTTACATAGTGGTGCCGTGACTGAGAGTTGTAGTGATTATGTTTACAAAATTGGTTAGAATCTTAGACTAAATTGAATTCGTCAACGGCAATACATTTTTTTTTTATGAAGAAAATGTAAAATTAGGCAAACTAGTCCGTCTTTCGGTTGGAAATTCTTAGCTAGATCGAGAAGCCCTTTAAACGTTTGGACCTTCAAGAATAGACTAACCGCATTTGGGAACTTGTAAAGTACGATTATCCAAGAAATTCATTAAAAAAACTTCTTGTACTGTTTTTACCGAGTCGTTCATACTTCTATAATATGGGTACTGTTACTCCTATTTTTCAACATGTATAAACAACTCGGGCCCCAATGATGTATCAATGTTTGTAATGTTTCACTTTCGAATGAAAACGAGTGGATATTCCCGGAAGTGTCTATGTGTGTGTGGGTAAATGTGGTGTGGTTTTTTTTTTTTTTTTTTTTCACTCTTCTGTGAGAATGCCCCACCCCCACAAAAAATATTCAAGAAATTTCAAAAAACTCCGAGATTCTGGTTCAGGTTTGTGTAACTTTAACCTGCACCAAAGAAAATGGAAGAAGAAAAAATATAATAAAAAAAAAATGTCTCGACCACCTTGCAGATGATGTTCCTGTAAATACCGGACAGAGAGAAAAAAAAAAACTTATACGAGTAAGTTTGGATTTGGCAGGCACTAGCTGAATTCAGTTGTATCGAGGAGTGATGAAACTGGTTGCGTTCTATGTTAAGTTTTAAAAGTGTTGAAACAAGAGAAGTAAATCAATACTAGCGATTTTCCACCCCCTTGGTCTTTATTTACGCGACAGTTTGCACTCCGGAACTGGTTGGGATATTGTGAATCAGTTGATCACCTTTTTTTTTAGTTTGACTAAATTAGACTAATCCATGTATCACCTAAAGTGTGGACTACTAAACAGTGAAACGTTGTGGGGAAAGCGAAGCACTAGAAAAGTAGTAAAAAAATTAGACTTTTCAGTCTGCTTAATCGCCTTAAAGAAGAAAGACTAGTAGGGATACTAGTTCTCAATTGAGAAAATTAGTAGATCACACACAATTTTGGTTATTGGGAACTCCGAAGTGTCCTTTTGTGAAATCACACACATACACATGTGCTAAAATGTTCGGATATTGAGGATTTCATAGGGTAGTGTCGGACCCAATTTTGTAAAACTTAAAAGCAATGACGTAAATCGACTTGAAGAAAATGTCGAAAATCTGGGGAAACTGTAGTACGACATTTTTTTTTATTGAAGGTTCATTTCGAGCACTATGATTGGCGGTTTATTGTATTGACTGAACCACATTCTTGTGCCAACAATACGTAGATTTACCTGTGCAAGCTATACACAACTTATTTGAAATAGTCTTATTAACAACCAATACTGCCTTTACTATTCGACTGTCTCTTGCCACTCAAGTTTCTATGAAATATACTGGGATATATTAAACGTTAACCTTAATTTCAAAATAGAACAAATGTCGCTGATTGAAATAATTTGAGGAAACGTTTGCTTTAATTTAAAAAGAAAATTTGGGAGACATTTTTCGGCTCTTTTTTTTTTTTTTGTAAGATCAGACATTTTTTTTTTTTTCCTGAATTTATCCCACGGACTTATTCTTGCAAGTGTTTTTGAATATATAGAGCACACCTAAGTCAATTGAAACGACTATCCTTATACGCTGTGGAGCAGCCATTGAAGCTATACGTCTTTTGTTCGATTGGGGTAGTGATAATAACTATCATTTGCCATGTTCAACGATTGTTTTATATTACATTTGTGGGTAGACCAATCAAAAAGGAATATAAATCTTCATAACCAACACTTAATCGTATTTCGCAATTGATGCAGAGCTAACGTGTATACTGAGCAGTTACAATAGGCTATTGTTTTCTTAGTGAGTTGACTCTAGACAGCAGAGTGATGCTTAATATTCGACAACGGTTTTTTTTACTTACTATTTTAACACAAGCAAACTTATTTAACCGAGCATGTGCTGTGTTCTACAAGACTCGGTGCAAAGTAAAAAAAAAAAAAACAAAAAAAACAAAAAACGAAAACAATTGACAATTATGTAATGTAGTCGTGTGGTGTTGCTCAGAAAAAAAAAAAAATGAATTAAAGCAAAATGGGTTTTTGTTTTTGTGTTGATACCAACACAGTGGCATCTTCTTTTGTTTGCACAATAATAATGCAATCTAATTGGTTGATACTGATAAACGCGACATTTTTTGGAATCAGACACAAAATAAAGAACACTGACTACAATTTTGTTAAAATGGGTACTAGCAGAACTGCAAAACTAATTAGTGATAAAGGTTGTTTCTTGCAATGATACACTCCTACATAGTGTCAGTTGCTAACACGCTCTTTTTTTTTTCGAAACTCAACAAGATTCTTTTTTTCCATAATCGCAATCAAAAGTTTATGTATGTTATTCCTTCCTCGGTTTCTGGAATACAAAAATAAAAAATAATAAATAAAAAAAAAATAGTATAGTAAATGTCTCCTTCGGTGATAAAAAAAAAAAAAAAGTCGGTAAATCGGGTATCACTTATTTCAAATGTCTCTAAGTTACACAAACACAATTTTAATTTAAGGCAGACAATTTTTATTTTTTTATTTTATTTTTTGTTTCTGCTGCTGCTGCTGCTGCTGCTGCTGCTGCTTTTTTTATGCAGCGACATTTATTATATTCACTTTCAGTCTGGGTTATTTTTCTTTTGTCTTTGTCAGAGTATAACTAGTTGTTGTAGTGGTATATATAAATATCAATTGAAATATCCCAACAACCAAAAAAGTCCCTCATAGTTTTTTTTTCAAATTTGAATATTTCCCTTTTTTATTTTTATTCTTGCTTTATTCATTCTTTATTCAATTGAATATATCACTACTTTTGATTTAGAATAATATCATACACAATCACAGTTACAATGTCATCATTAAGATCTTTCCAACGCTCATCAAACTTGGCTAGAAACGCTGTTAAATCAGTTAGAACTTATGCCACTGCTGAACCAGTATGTTTGAATAGATCTTTGTCATTGAAAACACGAAGGAGTTTCTTTTCCCATCTCTACGTGTTTCATTGCAGCATCGTCTTTTTTTTTTTTATTTATTTTTTATTTTATTTTGGTCACTTTATACTAACTCCTTCTCTATAGACTTTGAAACAAAGATTGGATGAGTTGATTCCAGAAAAAGCTGAAGAGGTTAAACAATTTAAAAAAGAATATGGTAAAACCGTTATTGGTGAAGTTCTTTTGGAACAAGCTTATGGTGGTATGAGAGGTATCAAGGGTTTGGTTTGGGAAGGTTCAGTTTTGGACCCAATTGAAGGTATCCGTTTCAGAGGAAGAACCATTCCAGACATTCAAAAAGAATTGCCAAAAGCCCCAGGTGGAAGTGAGCCATTGCCAGAAGCTTTGTTTTGGTTGTTGTTGACTGGTGAAGTCCCAACCGATGCTCAAACCAAGGCATTTTCTGAAGAATTGGCTGCTAGATCAGAATTGCCAAAACACGTTGAGGATTTGATTGACAGATCTCCAGCTCATTTGCACCCAATGGCTCAATTTTCAATTGCTGTTACTGCATTGGAATCTGAGTCTGAATTTGCTAAAGCTTACGCCAAGGGTGTCAACAAGAAGGATTACTGGAAGTACACTTATGAAGATTCCATCTCATTATTGGCTAAATTGCCAGTTATTGCTGCCAAAATTTACAGAAATGTGTTTAAGGATGGTAAATTGCCAACCAAGGTTGATGGTAAATTGGACTATGGTGCCAACTTGGCCAACTTGTTGGGTTTTGAAAATCCAGAATTTTTGGAATTGATGAGATTGTACTTGACCATCCATTCTGATCACGAAGGTGGTAATGTTTCTGCTCACACCACCCATTTGGTTGGTTCAGCTTTGTCATCACCAATGTTGTCATTGGCTGCTGGTTTGAATGGTTTGGCTGGTCCATTGCACGGAAGAGCCAACCAGGAAGTTTTGGAATGGTTGTTTAAGATGAGGGAGGAATTGCAAGGAAACTACTCCAAGGAAAATATTGAAAAGTACTTGTGGGAAACCTTGAATGCTGGTAGAGTTGTTCCAGGTTATGGTCACGCAGTCTTGAGAAAGACTGATCCAAGATACACTGCTCAAAGAGAATTTGCTTTGAAACACATGCCAGACTATGAATTGTTCAAGTTGGTTTCAAATATTTACGAAGTTGCTCCAGGTGTATTGACCAAACAAGGTAAAACCAAGAACCCATGGCCAAATGTCGACTCCCACTCTGGTGTCTTGTTGCAATACTATGGTTTGACTGAAGAATCATTCTACACTGTTTTGTTCGGTGTTGCCAGAGCTTTCGGTGTATTGCCACAATTGATTTTGGACAGAGGTGTTGGTATGCCAATTGAACGTCCAAAATCATTCTCAACTGAAAAATACATTGAATTGGTTAAAAACATCAAGGCTAACAACTAAATTGGGAGAACATAGAATTATATATAGCTTTCCCTACCTGTCCACAAACACAAGCACATCCACAAGCACACACATACACACACACATACACACACAAACACACACACACACTTGTTACCCACACTTGAATGAGTCCTAATTTAGGACAGAGAGTTCAGATGATGATGAAATAGAATTATTATAAGCGGAATTTGAAACGATTTTTTATACTGTTACCCCTGTTTTTCCCTTTTTATGTAGTTATTACTTTGTTCATGGTGTATTTATTATCTGTTTTGAATAAACAACGTTTCAAATAAATGGCAGTGTAGTTTACTGTATGAATCATTATTAAGTCACCGCCATTGCGCGTGAGTAGATTTTTGCAACAGAAAATTTTCAAAGAATTCTGTTCAGTATAGTAACACCACCCACCGTAATTCAAATGCTACGATTGTCGCATCGTCAAACGAGATGCTTTGCTACTTTTGCGGCACAACTAGACAAGACAAGCTACTCAAAAACTTTACAGCTACCCCAAACCAAGTTCAGTCCCAAAATACCGCGTGGTTCTGCTCGTGATGAACTCATTAACCGAACTGGGATCGACATCTACAAATGGCAGCAACAACACAAGATCAACTACAAACCTTTTGTTCTTCATGACGGACCGCCATATGCCAATGGGAAACTCCACGTTGGTCACGCATTGAACAAAATATGCAAAGACATAATTATTAGGTACCAATTGATTCATGAAGACAAACTGATCAAGTATCAACCAGGATGGGATTGTCATGGATTGCCCATTGAATTAAAAGTAGAACACACATTAGGCAAATCAGAGTTTAAAGATCCAGTTGAGATTCGAAAAGCTTGTCGAGAATATGCTATGAATATGATTGAAAACCAACGTAAAGAATTTCTTGAATTGGGTATAATGACTGATTTTACAAAACCATATATTACCATGGATCATAAGTTCGAAAGCAACCAGTTGCAAGTTTTCAGTAAATTGGTAGAGAATGGGTTGTTGAGTCAACAATTGAAACCAGTATGGTATGGATGTGATACACAAACTGCGTTAGCGGAAGCTGAATTGGAGTATAATGATAAACACAAGTCAGTGGCTATATATGTTAAATTCCCCGTTGTTGATGATAAATTGGGCAATTATTTGCAACAGCGTGACCCAAATGTGTCATTAGTCAACGAGCAGATTAAATTGTTAATTTGGACAAGCACTCCGTGGACAATACCAGCAAATAAAACAATCTGTGTCAGTGAACACTTGACATACACTTTGATTAAAAAGGGTGATGAGTTACTTGTTGTTGCTAAACCATTGGCGGAAGAGGTGCTCAAACTAGATCCAGAATATTCTCTTGTTAATATTGAGATCCCTGGATCTGAATTGATTGGCATACATTATGTGAACCCCGCAGCTCAAGACAATATGAAAAGACCAGTTATACATGGTGACCATGTTGTTGGTACAGCAGGTACCGGCCTTGTACACAGTGCACCAGCTCATGGGCGTGAAGATTATCTCGTTGCCAAGCAAAACGGAATTACCATTGAATCGTCATGCGTTGATAACAAGGGTAAATACATTGTTGAAGAATTGCCTCCAGGTTTCCAAAAATTGGGGGCGTTAAAAGTAAATGAGATTAGATCCAATATGCTTTGTGTTGATGTTTTGAAACAACATGATATGATCTACAATGTCAATAAAAACTTTGTCCATTCTTATCCATATGATTGGCGATCGCAAACTCCCGTCATTCAGCGTGCTACGCCCCAATGGTTTGTCAATGTTGATAAAATCAAACCTTTTGCTCGTGAAGCTTTGGAAAGAGTGAATTTCCATCCTGCTAGTGGGTACAATCGGTTAACATCGTTTATTGAAAACAGAGATGAATGGTGTATATCTAGACAAAGATCATGGGGGGTACCATTACCTATTGTTTATGCTGCAGATACACATAAACCAGTATTGGATTTAGCGGTGATTAATCACACAATCACCAAAATTGATGAGTTTGGCACTGATGAATGGTTTGTCAAGGAATCTGATATTAGTCGTTGGTTGCCTTCGAATATGGATGGAACCAATTACTACAAAGGACAAGATACGATGGATGTTTGGTTCGATTCAGGTACGTCGTGGAGCACGTTGCGTGACAATATCAAGGAGTGCAATAACGATACAACACAACCATTGGCTGACGTCTATCTTGAAGGTAGTGACCAACATCGTGGTTGGTTCCAGTCTTCTTTGCTCAACAAGGTTATCTATTCTGGAAACATAGGAGAATCATTTCAGGCACTAGCCCCATACAAAGCTGTAATTACTCATGGATTCATTACTGATGCACATGGTCAAAAAATGTCAAAGACTAAAGGAAACATCTTTTCCCCTCATGAAGCAATTGAAGGTTGCAAGAAACCATGGACACCATTCTTGGGCACTGATGGATTGAGATTATGGGCAGCATCTTCCAATTATCAGCAAGATGTTGGTTTTCATCCAGAAGTGTTGACTAGAGTAAGTGAAGTGGGTAAAAAGTATCGAGTTACATTCAAGTATCTTTTGGGCAACTTGTACGACTTTGATGCTCCTGTCGCGTACTCACAATTGAGTGATTTGGACAAGTATATTTTGCACACATTGCATCAGTTGCAATCAACTTGTGCTGGGTATTACAAGTCTTATAATTTTTCACGAGTTGTGAGTTTAGTCAATGCTCATGTTAATTCCATCTTGAGTGCAATTTATTTTGACGTTTCAAAAGATTGCTTGTACACAGATAAGGCCAGTTCAATGAGACGCAGGGCAATTCAAACTGTTTTAAATGATATTTTAAAGACATATGTTGGCATATTGGCTCCAATCCAACCATTGACTGTGCAAGAAGTTTGGGATGAGTATGTAAATATTAATCAAAATGTCAGTGACTCTCCCTTCAAAGAGTCATCCACTACGTTCAAGTTGCCTGATGATTACATTAATCATGATTTGGAGTCGCAATTCAATATTTTTTTCAAATTGAGAGATGAAATCTACAAGGAGATTGAAACATTGAAGCAAAACAATTTCTTCAAGAATAAATTGGAATTGGAAATTAATTTGACAAACCCACTGGGCAAAGATTCAACTTTATTTGAATTTATAAAATCAAATGAATCATATCTTGATGATTTGTTTTTAGTTTCCAAGGTGAAACTTGTTGACAATGGTGAAGTTGACAATTTACAAATTATGGATATCGGTGGTGAAGAAATTGGCGTTGCTATTAAACATTCAGACGATTATAAATGTGGACGTTGTTGGAAGTATACTGCACCTGAACCAGAGTCGTTGTGTGGCAAGTGTAATGATGTTGTAAATAGGTAAATAGAGGAAACGTAGACCTGTATATAGTTAACGCCTCAAAAATATCGACTATCGTTTCCCTTTGTTTTGAAACAAAATCTATATCTCCAAATCTCAAATCAAACGTACAAATGCACCACGGTTACCCGTTTTAAAGTTCACGAGACCACACCATCCTTTTGGAGCTTTAGACCCATTGTGGACCTAATAAACAGGCTACTCAGATTCAACAACTCTCTGAACTCATCCACCACACACTTTGCTTCCACCACCCCCTTGCCCCACATATCATGTCATCACAAAGAAAACTCAATGGATACTTGGAACGCAAAGATTCACTAATATCCGAATACCAAGCCCTCAAATCAGAATTCACTCCGGAACAACAGAACCGATTCTACATCTTGATCAAACTCGATGAACAATTGTACGAATACCACGTTTGTGTCTCATACCTTGAATCACAACAAATGACCCATAAACCCAAACTAGATCCAAAGGATCTCAAATCATGGCAAACAAAGATGAAAATCATTCCAGAAAAGATTCGTCAACTTGAAAATGAAATTTTTGTTGACGATTTGTTGACTACGGCGCCTAGATTGAGTATTATTCGTAAAGAGATTATGGATAATGCTAAAGAGGCAGGAAAAATTATTCATAGTTACGAAGTTATGAACCCAAAGCAAGCTTGGCATTTCTTGGATGATCGGATATATGAGTTGAAAACGAATCTGGATAGGGAGCTGAAGCAAGAGAATGTGAATGAGACGGCGAAATAGAAGAGGCAAGAGGAAGCACAGACGAAGAAACAGATGAGGTTATAGAAAATAAAGCGAAATCATCACTCGTTTCTAGAGCAATAGAAGCCATTCACAAGTTGAACTATATAATTAGTAAATCTGATATTGGTAAATATTCCACCGGACGGTTTGAACTTTGACACCTCTTTAGGACTTTTCTAAGATATATTTTACTTTTTGTGTATTGATTACATCGTTACATGTATATAAATCATTTCTTACTCATTAATTGTGTCAACAATTGTGATGAAGTACGTTGGGAAGCACCAGGAGCAACCAAGGGAACATCATTTTGTGTAGATGGTGTTCTACCAGCGAATAACCCAGGTGGTGGTGGAGTAGATGTATTGACACGATCACCAGTCTTGATCATGTTTAGTTGATTCAACTGCTGCTGTTGTTGCTGTTGTTGCTGTTGTTGCTGTAATTGTTGTAATTGCTGTTGTTGTTGTAATTGGCGCAAGAGCAAATGTTGGTCGTCTGTTTTCTCTGGTAATGGGATATTTGCTGCAACGGGGGTGCCTTGTTGCTGTTGCTGTTGTTGTTGCTGTTGGTGCTGCTGTTGTTGTTGTTGACGTTGCAACAATGCTTGTTGGTGCATAATTGGATGGTTTGGGTACGCCAAATGATAGTTCTTAATTGGCCTCAACAAATACTTTTCAATCACTTGACGTGCCAACATTTTCTCATCCTCTGGCTTGGTTGTGTCTGTGAAATCTCCACCAAATGCAAATAACGGTAAGGGCTTTTCGTCACTCAATCTCTTAAACTTGACATTCTTGATTTCATCCAATGTTTTGATCTCTGCTACAATCAGCTCAATAAATGGAATAACCAAATTATCATTCAAATCAACATCGTCAGCCGGAGTGGCGCTGTTAATCTTTGATAACTTGGTACTTGTCACTCTAGATTTGGGTTCCTTACGTTGTTGTTGTTGCTTCTCACGAGCAATCTCGCCCAATGTGGGGAATGCAGCTGAGTTTGCCAAGGGTACATTATTATTGACGCCTGGCGAATTGCCTCCTGAAACTTGTCCATTGATATTTGCCCAATGTGCCGTGGCTGGTAAATGTTCCTTGTTCAAATCATTATGCGAATGTGGATGCGATGCATTGTTGTTGTTGTTACTATGACCATGTTGTTGCTGGTATTGCTGTAAATCCTCATCAGTCATTTGACTAAGCTGGTGATTAGGAATATATGTATCCTCTCCGAATGATGTAGTATGTGCTCTTGATGTCATTCCCATCTTAATACCTTGTTGTGTCGATAAATCCTTCCTGGTAAATGAGTCAGCCTCTTCTCCTGGTTCATGTAAGAACATACAATTTGGATTCGGACATGGGTGACCACGCAAATAAGAAGAGCAATACTTAGTAGTACCATGTGCTGCTCTCAATACCCTTCCATCGCATAATGATCCATCAAGTTCAGTTATACAATTCAAAGCATCTTCCTTTTTGGCAAAAGTGACGTATACCACCAATCCAGGATTTTGATGGTGGTGACTTCCAGAATTCAGGGGATTTGGATTCTTTTTGTTGATAACAATTTTGTTAATCTTTCCGTACTGACCAAAGTACTTGTCCGATCTCAAAACTGAATGTAATTCATCTGGGCTACATGGTGGATTCAATCCAGTAACATAAACCAAATTTTTTTGAACCACTCTTAATCCTGCCAAGTGCTTCTTGTTGGCCATATCCAGTTCCTTCTTTTCCTTTTCACGTTGCTTCTTTTCACGCTCTCTCTTCTCTTTCTTTGCTTGTTGAATCTTGTACTCCTCTGGGCTAATAGTTTTGTATTCGACACTTTCATCATCGTACAATCTTCTACACCCAGGACATCTCCCATTCAACTCTGGATTCAGTCTGATATTGTTATAACAGAACTGGCAAATCTGATATCCACAAGGACAGGGTTTGAAATTCTTGTCCGAGATATCCATCTCTTCCACACACAATGGACTAAATGATGTAGTTAGTAAAAAAGTTCGTCACGAGCTCGAGTCCCAACCCCGTTGGCACTTGCTATGAGAGATACATACCAATATTCTTCTTCGTCATCACTAATAAATGAATCGTCTGGTACTATCATTGCTGTCATCAGTTATTAGAAAGTAGTCGTCAGATGTATAATTTGGTCTCTAGTTTATGAATGTATCTAATCTTGCCAATGGATCTATATGTTAGTTTTTTTTTAAGTCTTACTGACAAATTTACTATTCTAAATTGTCACTCTCTTTCATTTAGAAGCGCTACCGTTATAAATGACTGTATTACACGACCTCAATCACAAACCATTAGAGGTTTTTAGTTGACAGAGGAAAGAAGTGAGTTGTTCGTAATCCCTCTATCTCTCTCTCGGAGGAAAAGGAGAAGTCACATGCTTTCCACTTCAACCAGTGGAGATATCCCTCAATAAATAACTTTTTCATTGTGTATGTGTTCACTTCAATTTTTTTGCCGTTTCTTCGCAATCGCGAAATCAATATGCAAAACGTCATCACCAAATCAAACAACTTAAGAAGAATTTCTGCTTAGGGTCCTCAGAAATTACACTTCTTTTCCACCACCCCTTCTGCGTCCTGACCACTCGTTATGGCATTCATCGTTGAATTGTGGGAGTCTATATTTACTCCAGGTACTACCCCTGCATTGATAAAAGCCACTCATGCATCATTCATTCTATTACTTACATCGCTAGCTACATTAATTTTTTTAACAAGGTCCATACATTTCGTTAATTTACTTGTTATTGCTGTATTTTTGTATGGAACAGTTGTCTGGTTTATCAATGAGCTTCAACAGGTCAAATTGAAAGATAATGAAGAGTTGAATGCCCAAAAGGCCGAAGCAGGGGAAAGTTCTGAGAAAGAGAGCAAGACCGGGGATACAACTTCGACCTGCAAATCAAAGACAATAGATATCAATGAGACAGTTACCCCGAGAAAGAGGAAAGTTTGATGGAAGTAAATTACTAATTCTGCTTGTACCTGTATAATTCTAATCATTTTTTTAAAAATGCATTGATTCTTGCTCATAACGTGTTAAAAGATGCGCTATGAAATTGCATAATAAAAATCTTTTCAATTTGTCATATTGTTCTTCGATCGACATGAGCTTCGCCAATGCGTTCCAAAAAATTATCGATCAACCTGAAAAGTTTGACTCGGTGCTATTCCACGATGAGAATGTAGTAATTATTAAAGATATGTTTCCCAAAGCCGTTCGTCACTTGTTAGTAATACCTCGTCACCCCGATGTCACTCACCAGCACCCATTGGATGTATTCAACTCAAATTACAAGGATTTCACTGGCGAGGAATCTTATAAGATGATAGAAGAGTACGTGGACAGGGCCAAAAATTTGATAGCAGATAGCTTGCGTGAAAAGTTGGGTGTTAAAGATGACGCGCTGGTTCAAGAATTGAGAAATAATTTTATCAAAGCTGGGGTGCATTCAATACCCTCGTTGAACAATTTACACATCCATGTGATTACACAGGACTTTCACTCACCAAGACTAAAGAATAGAAAACACTACAATTCATTCACCACCAAGTTTTTTGTCCCCTTTGATCAATTGAATCCCTTGTATAATGAGGTTTACAACCGTTTAATTAATCGGAATGACAATTTTGATTCAGCATCAGAGACATCTTCAGCGGAAGTACAAGACTCGGATCAATCCGAATTTACAAGACATACAAGGTCAGTAGTTGTGTTGGAGAATATTATCAAATCAACACCTCTCAAATGTACTATATGCCATAAAACGTTTGGTAACTCGATGGTTAAATTAAAAGACCATTTAAGTGAGGAATTCGAAAAGAAATTCTCAGCTTTAGGAAATCCGGAAAATCTAACAATAAATGACTTTTAGTGTAAAAGGATTTGTATAGTAATTTCTCTCCACACCTCTCATTTAATTGAACAATGAACAAGGAACTGCCCACACATATGCAAAGGTGATTAGGTATGTCCGACAGGGCATTTACCCAACAAAGTTTTACTCCATAAATTTAGAACAATGGAAAAGAGGCGTGTAGGACCATCTGAGAGTGTATACGTTTGGAATAAGTTAGAAAGAGATTCTTTTGTGAGGTTTTTCCGCATGATGCACGGAACAATTCTCGCGCGAATAAAAAAGAGTTAATCCGAACACAAAACATCAAATGGTAGTGAAGGGTAAAACACTCTCTTTTCATTAGAGTAGCCGGTTCATTGAGTGGAGGACGATTAGCTAGAGAAAATGACTCAAATTGGTTCTGCTATAGGCTCATACCCAGCTGTACAACCATACCAGTAGATGATCTTATGATCCGTTCCGTTACGTTCTCCAAAGTGTAAGTGCATCCCCCAAAGTCAACTAAAATTGAAATTTTTTTCTCTTCTTTTGTACTACATTCCTCCATTTTCAACCCCACCAGCACAACTATCTAAACAATAGACTCAAAAAAAGAAACAATGAGTCGTACAAGTAACAATCAATTAATGCGAGGAAGCCACCAAAAGAAATGGGGAAACTACAGCTATGTAGACACGGAGTAGTTAATCCGATTGTCATGGAGTCGTCACAATAGCAAATTATACAATGAGCTCTGTGCATATGGGGGATACCTTCGGGGAGGGGGGTTTTGTACGCGTTACTATTAGTTTCTCCTCTATGTGCTCCTCACTTTCCCATAAACTATATAAATGATACTAATTTCCACTGTTCAGTTTCGATCCAAGTTTCCTTCGTTATCATCAAAACACTTTGCCATGTCCGGTTTGGAAATTGAAAAAGCAATTGATTCTCACCAAGAGAAGGTTCAAATCGAATACGATGAAGGGTCATTGGAGCAAGGTTCCGATTTCAATGTCGATGAAGAGTTTGAAAAATATAGACAACTTGGTGCAGCTGAAACGCAAACCAGCGGCTTTTGGAACAGCTTGAAGCGTTTCGAAATCCCCTTGGATTTTAAAGATAAGAGACATATGGTTCATTTGCTAGGTGGATTTGCTTCATTTGCTGGAGTTTTGAGCGGTGTCGACCAATCGATCATTAGTGGTGCTCAACTAGGATTAAACTCGCAATTGCATCTTAGTGGTGATCAAAACTCGCTTGTTTCAGCTTTGATGCCTCTTGGTGCTGTTGGTGGCTCATTGATGTTGCCACCTTTGCAAAAGTTTAGTAGAAAGAATGCCATTACTGTGTCGTGTATTCTTTATACCATTGGTGCCATTATGTGTGCCGCTACTCCAATCCCCAAACAGGTGGGTTCGTCATTTTTCAACAAAAACTCAACCAATGTGTTATACGCTGGAAGATTTATTTTGGGTTTGGGTGTTGGTATCGAAGGTGGTGGTGTCAATGTGTATATTGCCGAGTCGGTTCCAAGTGACAAAAGAGGTGTTTTGGTTAGTGCATATCAGTTTTTCATTGCCTTTGGTGAAGTTTTGGGTTATGCAATTGCCGCTATATTTATATCAACTCATGCCGGATGGCGTTATATGTTGGGTTCTTCATTGGTATTTTCCACCATATTGTTGATTGGATTAATCTTTTTACCAGAGTCACCTCGTTTCCTTGCAAAAAAGGGTAAATACGGAGAAGCGTTCAATGTGTTTGCAAGATTGAGAGATATCAATGAAAAAAGAAGCAAAGTTGAGTTTTTACAAATGATTCAAGCTGCTGAACATGAGAGAGAGGTTCGTTTGACAACAAAGAGGTATAAAGCTTGGGTCGAGTTATTCACAGTGCCAAGAAATAGACGTGCATTGATTTATGGTTTGATTATGATTACCTTGGGACAATTGACGGGTATCAATGCCGTTATGTATTACTTGTCAGACTTGATGGGTCAAATTGGGTTTTCAGACAAAAATGCAGTGTTTATGTCCTTAGTTGGTGGTGGATCATTATTGATTGGTACTATTCCAGCAATATTGTACATGGATAAATTTGGTAGAAGGATATGGGGCTACAACTTGATTGGCTTTTTCATTGGTTTGGTTTTGGTTGGTGTTGGATACTTGATTCCTATTGATACCAATTTACCAGCTGCAGAAGGTGTTTACTTGACTGGTCTCATCTTGTACATGGGATTCTTTGGTTCATATGCTTGTTTGACTTGGGTCGTTCCATCAGAGTCTTTTAGTCTTGGTACAAGGTCACAAGGTGTCACCTTATGTTCTGCATTGTTGTATATTTGGTCCTTTACTGTGACTTACAACTTCAACAGAATGAAAGAAGCGCTTACATACACTGGTTTAACCATTGGATTTTACGGTGGTATTGCATTTTTGGGTTTCTTTTATCAAGTTTTGTTTATGCCAGAAACTAAAGGAAAGACTTTGGAGGAGATTGATGAGATTTTTGAAAAGTCGTCATTCGTGTTGGCCAAGGAGAATCTACAAGGACTCAAGAGATTCTGGAGCTTCAAGTGAGGTGAGATAATCTTATAGCCTCTTTTTCAATTCTTATCATGTATATTATTTTTAGAAAATGGTACAATTTTTAAGTGTGATACTGGACCACTTCATGGCACAAAACATCTGCGCGTATATAATTTTTTTTTAATTCTATCGATGCTCATCTCCGAGTCGTTATTTAGCCCGAAAATGCTGGTTGAAAGGATTCTAGGTGGGATCTTTCTTTCATCGATAGAGCCTATAAACAATCAAGTGGATTTCAAGAGAGAGTACGGGATCACGCACATTTTATCAGTACTACCGGGACACATTGACGAAATCTATACTCAAAATTATCAACATAAACAAATCGAAGTGACAGATGAAGAAACAACTAACTTGATACCATACTTTAATGAATGTGATAAATTCCTTGATGAAGCCACAAAGAATAAGGGGAAAGTGTTGGTTCATTGCGCAAATGGAGTCTCTCGCTCAGTGGCAATTATTATAGTGTACTTGATGAAATATTACAAATTAAATTTCGATCAAGCATTGCATGCAGTAAAAAGGAAATGTCCTGATGCAGGGCCAAACTCAGCGTTCATTGATCAGGTGAAGCTATATGAGCTGATGGGTTTCACCATCGACGAGCAAAATCCAAAGTACAGAGATTATGTAAGGAACCTATCACTAAAGCAAGATCCATCTGGTGGCAACTTGAGAGACATCACAATGAGGAAAGTCATTGCAGACACCGGTTCTACTCCTCCATCATATGATCTACGTTGTAAACGTTGTCGGCGGGTTCTCGCTCATAATACCGACGTTGAAGATCATCAAGCACCAACCTCCGATTCACGACAATCACAATTCATCAAAACCGCTCCAAATTCACGAAGAATAGTATCAGTTCAACCAGCAAGTAAGCTGTGCTCTCATTACTTCTTTTCCGAACCAGTTGGTTGGATGAGAGAAGAGCTAGAGAAATCTGAGATTGAAGGAAAATTCCAATGCCCTAAATGTTGTTCAAAAGTTGGAGGCTACAGTTGGAAAGGTTCGCGTTGTTCCTGTGGAAAATGGATGGTTCCTGCCATACATTTACAAGATGCAAAAGTAGATTCTATAAAACACTAGAACGAAATTAATCAACAAGCATATCTTGTTCAGAGTAGTCGTTTTCATTATCGAAATGCTGTTCCTCTAAAGTTTGAAATGAAGGGGCAGTTGTTGGATTGGTGGTTGAGGTACGATTCCCAGTTGTACGAGTGGGTAAAACAGTAGCTGTAACTGCACTACTAATCAACATATGGGTATTTGTTTCCGAGTTCAAACTGTGATCATCCTGATACTCCACCTCGGCAGCCATGAACCCTTCATCATCCATTATATATCCTTGATTTCTTCGGAAGTGGTGATGATCATGGCTCTGCGGTATGTTTATACCATCATCATAATCATCATCATCATTATCATCGTCATCATCGTCGTCTTCTTCATCCGATCGAAGTTCATCCGCATCCAAGATTTCTGCATCCAAATCAACTTCTTCTTCTTCGCCAATATTCAACGGCATCGTACTCATCTCTTCTTCGTTCGAATTTTCAGCAGCAACATTATTGTTGATAGTACTATCTTCTACAGCACTATAGCCCCTTTGTGCATAATCTAATTCCTCCATTGTTTTCCCAATACCAATTGGTCTAATTGTTGAATAACCAGTATTTCTAATCTTCATTAAGCGTTGTTCCTTCATTCTCATCAACAATGCTAAATCATCAACAGTTGGGTGGGGCTTATCAGATCGCGTGATTTGTAGGTATTCCATTTGCGATGGATCAGGACCTGGAAATGCAGCTGTGTACGATGACAATGGTGGTGCAAACAATTTGTTGTAATGTTTGGCTTCAGAATTGTTGGCTGTGCGTTGTTGTGAAGAATTGAGAAGTAACTGATTGTTATTACTCGACCATAGGTGATGTATACCACGAGGTGACAAGTCCGGTGAGAACATGATGGTGATGGGGTTGTACTGCAAACTACGATTCAGATCAAAGAAAGAGGTCAACAATTGAAATAAAATAATTGTTGTGAAAATTACAGTGTGGTACAAAATGAACTAAAAAGCTATGAAACACATACTTTATCATAATTCATCATCTTCAGTATCTGTCAAAATAAACTCATTTAGCACTTGCTGCTTGTTGGCTCCTTTCATCACATCTTTATACTCTAAATTTATAAGTGGCTCTATTGGCCAAATAAATTCGTCATCCGTTACTCCATTTAAAGTGGTGATACACCCATAACAAAGAACAATGTTTTCACCGGCTATTTTCCCACTTGAGCTATGTTGTAGACTTGATAAGTACAACTCCAAATACTCCTTTTCTTCATCAGTTTGAATAGGAGCTGGATCATTTACTGTAATTGTCTTTAACCAGTTCTTGGGATCCTGATATATATTCACGCCACATACTTTGCAAGTGTTCTGTACCTTGGATTCGGACGATCCTAGTTTCTGACCTATCTTCATCACTGTCGATGTCGTTGATGAGTAACCTGTGGTGTCCAAGTTGCTGAAATAATTGCTGACCAAATCTCGAATGGTCAAGTTCTTTGATACTCTCGACTTCACCACTGCAGAGTGAACTGCATATTTCTTCAAATCTGAAAGAGTTGCATATTCATCAATCTCCGCAAATAGAAGGTCTCGCAACGGGAAGATAATGTCAATCTCCTTGCCATTGTACGTTTCAGTTCTGTTAGATATTAATCTGTGTATGGAAGAGCCCCTTCCTTTAACAGTAAGAGCTATTATCTCATTAGCAATCCTAGTCATCGAGTGGCCAAAGACTATGGTTCCACATCCCTCCTCGTATGCAGCTTGCAAAAGTAGCTTTTCAAACACAATTGTTAACAAGTCCTCTGCAGATGACTTGTTCGGGCACCTTTTCAATAAATCAAGAAACGAGCAATCATTTATATCCACGGGATTTGCCGTTGAGCTAAAATCATTCTCTATGTAGATTTGATTTAAGCTCTTGAAATCAACAAAAGAGTTCAAAGATATCGTTTTGAATATGATCTCGACTGGTTCATAACGTGACAAAAGCTCCGGTAGTATCCCTTCTACCTCTATATTCAACTCCTTCAACTCCTTCTCATCCAAGTTTACCACTACAATTTCAAATCCTTGTAATCCTCTATGGGTCTGGTTTTGCTCCTGTAGCAAGTTTCCCAAAACGTCAAGTAAAACAAGTGACGACACATCTCCAGAAAAGGCCACCAATACCTTTTCTAGTGTACCAAGCTTTGATTTTTTGTAGTTGATTTTATACTTTTCGGTAGACATCTGCTTTCTTTGTTTCCCACGTACAAGTCGCAAGTAGCATTCTTTACAATGAAATTCACTTCTAGCTTTCAAAATGGCCGTATTTTGTTTACATCTCTGGCAAGTTATATCTGTCCGAGACACGCGTTCGATAGCACTCATTTCTAAGAGGTTCTGTGTTGGTCCGTAGCCAAGTCCTTCCACATTGTTGGTTTCTTTTTTTTCTTTTTTTTGCGCATCTCATCCAGCGCCTCATCAAAACCAAAACTGCCGGATTAGGTTGATCTATATCATCACAAGAACAAAAACGGACGGTATAATTTACGATTAGGAACGACAAAGTAAACGGGACTGCAAGAGAATCAATTAATTACCGCTGCTCACAATACAAGATTCGTAGATTCCAATGCTTATAAAAGTCTAGACTCTGTTTCAATCAAGTTAAGCAAAAACTCAACTTCAAGTCTTTTCCTAGCTTGCACAACCCAATCGTTTGCTAGTCTTCTACTCCATCCCTTCAAATTGGTAGCCTCCTCAACGGCTATATCCAACTGTCCTCTAGCCAAACTCGACTCAACTCTTCCAATAACTGATTCGATGTCGTTACCATCTTCTTTCACCCCCTTAACAGGTAACAAGAGCTTAGAAAAAACTACCGATGCCAAATGACCCAATAAACCAGCATTTGGTGGCAACAATGAACTAGATCTCAAGTCTGGTTCTAATTGTTCCCAACGTGTTAATAATTGGGCGTTTGTCAATAATGAGTGAGTGGACTCTTTTGAAAGAACAATATTCAAATCCTTAAGTGCCAAGTTCAACACTTCATCATCAGTTGATACCTCTTTCAAAGCCTTGACGTATGGTTCAATGCTCTTTGGTCTTTCTGATGCTTCGGGAGGTGTCAATAACAACAACTTCAATTTATTGACCGATTGTTGTATCAAGGTCTTCTTGTGGTTGTTGACAATCTGATGTTCAAAATTCTCGGCAAATTTTTCCAATTCGTTAATCTTGTCATTTAATTTCTCCAAATTGGCCAATCTGCCATTTCTTTCCTCGTTGATTCTTTCGGTAACCAATGCCTCAAAGTTCTTGGTCTGTTCAATTCTCACCATGGATACAGCATTGGTTGCTGCTTGACTAATAGCTTCCCTAGCTGCCTTTATTTCGTGCTCCAATCTTTGATTTAATCTTTTCTCCAACTGAGTCTTTTCCTGATTGAATTGGTATATCAAGTTCTCGGTTAATTCCAATTCCTTTTTGGTGAATGATGAAAGAAGCTCAGTTTGGGAAACTTTGAGTTTATTTTGCAATTCATTGTCAAACTCTTTAGTCAAAATGTTTAATTTGTTAGCCAATTGGTTGATGCTGGAGTCAATTGATTTTACAAGACCAGAGTTTGTTTTGGACAATGAGCTGGCGTCAATAGACTGAATCAAATCATTCAATGATGATATGGTCTGCTTGACCGACTTGTCGACAGAACTGTCGATATCAGATTTGAGCTCGATCAATGGTAATCTGGCGACATCTCTTGTGATACTCTCTACCTCGACTGGCTTCTGTAATTGTTCAACGGGTGTTAAATCAGTCCCCTTTCGTTCCTCGACTGCTCCAGTAATTTTCTTCTTTGTTTCCTTGATAAAATCACCGCTCTTGTGCTCCAAGTCGCTTGTAAATTGCTCAATGTCTCCCTTCGATGGTAACTTTACATCGGTGAATTTACCTTTGATGGTGTACCAGAGCTCTTCCAAGTCATCGTATGAGCCGTTCTCGATAAAATCAATTGCTTCCTCGTGGTATGGGATTTCATGATCAACGACAAAATCCATCACATCATCATTTTTTGTAGCAAGGTACATTGTTCCGCCATAAACAATGACGGCTAGGATCGATGTTTTGAAAAGGAACCCAAAAAGAGAAAACTTTTTGCCTTTCTTCACAGTTGGCGGTGGTGGTGGTGGTGGAACAACTTTTGTTTCGATTGGGGTGATGCTAGGGGGAGAAGGAACCAATGGCTCGGCCCTAACTTCGGGTAAGCGTGGAGGTTTACCAACTTCTTTCGCATTCAACTTCAATGACACTGTTGAGAAGCATCTAACGCCTTTCAACGTGCATCTAGAAGTCGCAATCCTAATCATTGTATTTCGTCAATGGGCTTGAATATGTACGATTTGTGTCCGTGACGTCTTTTGTCGGAAACATTCATATAATTTTTTTTTCGCCCTTTTCCTTCACCTTCTCTCTCTCTCCAAAACTCAAAATTATTCGCCCAATCACAATCGTACAAAGCACACACATTGGCGGAACATCCACAAGAACAATGTCAATCAAACCAATTGCAATTGCTCCACCACAGCCATCGACGCAAAGGGGTCAATCATCACATCTTTCATACGATGCAGTTAATGATCGATTGGCTTATGTTAATGGGAAATCAGTAATCATTCGATCAGCCGATTACAATTCCAACTCTCCAGTTGTTGTTTTTACCAAGCATATACATCCTACCACCGCGGTAAAATTCTCACCATCCGGGTTTTACGTAGCTTCAGGTGATGAGTCTGGACAAGTCAAAATCTGGGATGCTGCACCAAAGAAAGGGGACGATGATGTATTTGAGCCCCCTATCATAAAGAGTGAATTCCAGGTCATGTCGGGTCCAATCAGATCGATAGCTTGGGATGCAGATAATGCTAGAATCATAGCAGTCGGTCAGGGAAAAGAAAAGTTTGGGCATGCTTTTTCTTGGGATTCAGGTAATTCAATTGGTGATATTCAGGGCCATAGTTCCACAATAAATGCCGTCGATATCAAGCCACAAAGGCCTTATAGAGCTGCTACTGTAAGTGATGACTTTGCAATGGTTTTTTTCCAAGGTCCACCATTCAAGTTTGACAAAAGCTTGCGAGGAAATCACACAAACTCAGTTCGTGATGTCAAGTTTAGCCCAGATGGAAATTTTTTGGTTTCGGTTGGGTCTGATAGGGCTATTTGTATCTACCAAGGTAAAACTGGTGAATTTATCAAGAAAATTGAAAATGGTCATGATGGAGGTATTTTCGCTGTTGCATGGACTCTGGACTCTGAGAAATTCGTTACTGCATCTGCTGATGGGTCGATTAAAACTTGGAGTGTGAATGATGGACTTATACAGACTCTTAAAGCTACCGAAAAGCCATCGATTTTTCAACAGTTGGTGGGCTTGGCAGTGACAAAAGAGTACATAATAAGTTTGACCTATGGTGGTGAATTGGAGTACTTTAAAGACGGTGAGCTTGTTCAAGTGGTACAGGGTCACCAAGCCCCCATAACCAAGTTAGCTATCTCTGGAAAGATCCTATATAGTGGAGGATCGGACGGGAAGTTGTACAAGAGCGAGATAGAACCAAAGGGATTGAAACCAAACCCAACAAGACAGGGTAAGGATGGAGATGAGCATAGTAACTATGTGGTTGATTTATTGACGGTGGACGAATCTTTGTACTCCATAGGTTGGGATGATGCAATTAAGAGATGGAAGGATGGGAAAGTGGTATCCTCTGCCAAATTGCCCTCGCAACCAAAACAGTTGAGCAAAATTGGTGACAACATCGTTGTCCTTCTCGAATCTGATTTACAATTGTACAGCAAGGATCTCGAATTGGTATCCTCATTGGACCTTGGTTTTTCCAGCACAAACGTGGCGCCTTTATCAAAAACAATCTTGATGGTTACGAATGTTTCCAAGAACACCATTGTTGGAATTGAGATAGAGGCGGGGAACAAACTCTCAGTCACCTCCCAACAGTTCCCCACATTAAGAACTCCACCAACTTTAATAAGAGTATCACCCGATGGGGAGCACTTTGCTGTAGCTGATTCGTCCGGGAAATACACTTTGTTCAAACTGGATGGGTCTGTAGTTTCGACGAGATGGGCTTTCCACACTAGTAAGGTGTATGACGCCCAGTGGTCTCCAGATTCCAAACTTTTGTTGAGTGGAGGACTTGATTGTGGTTTGTTACTATACTCAGTAGACAAGCCATCCAAGGTTGTCAAGTTTCCCCTTGCACATGCTTCTGGAGTAACAAGCTTAACGTGGCTGGATTATGATAATGAAAAGCAAACGGGCCAGTTTGTTTCTTCAGGTTTAGATGGCACCATTAGACAATGGGAGTTAAATAGATAATTCATTTTATAGATGAAAAACCCAAAAGTGTGTAAACTAAGATTAAAAAAATAAAGTGTAGGGTTTAAATTGTTGGTGCACCTTGCGCGTCTCTTACGTAACCAGTCCCTATCCAAAACTACAAATGTCAACTAAAGAATACATAACCTTGATCATAGATGCATCAAAATTAATGGAAGCCAAACTGGTTGCAAGTCAGGATGCGACGGATTTTCAATTGGCATTGAAGTTCGCTATAGATATGTTGAGTAAACAATTATTGAGAAACCGCAAACTGGATCGCTACTCAATCCTCATATACACACCAACTGATGTTCAATTCGTATACTATAACGAGCCTGTTTCACTTTCTAGAGTGAGGGAATTCTATGACATGGCAATCAAAACACATGATAATGCTGTAGACTCACCTGGCGATTATTGCATTCTAGATGCTTTGGCAGAGGCGTTGCAGAGTCAAATTGCAAACAAATTCGTTCGAAGTATTTACATTGTGACCAATGGAGCTGGCACTATCAGCGATGCTAATACGGACTTGGATAAATTGAAAAACATAGCCGAGAGTTACCCTGTGATCACGAACTTGTTGTTGCTCAACAATGAGCACAATGCAGAGACTAAAAGCTATTTCGAGAATTTGGCAGCAATGTTTGACGGAAGGCTCCGCATTTCTGATTTTGAAGCTTTCACATCAAGTGGTCCGCCTTTGAAGTTGATTGGTCCTCGTTGTATGACTGATTGCTCGCTATCCTTCATTCAAGGTGGATTACAAGGTGAAGGCATACACCTCAATGTTCAAGTGTATCCGGCAATCCGAGCCCAGAGTCAAGTTCTGGGTCATGAGTTTATACAAGACCCCAAAACAAAAGACGTGACTCGTGTGAAAAGAAGCACCAAGTACTATATCAAAGAAAACACGGACATTTCAGACGAGATCTTTGTTTCAACCAGGGTCAATAACAAATCGAGCGATTTAGAGAATGATAAAGAATACGTTAAAGACTCAGAATATATGTATGGCTTCAAGTATTCGCAAAGGAACGTGGTTGCATTGTTACCAGAGTTGGAAGAAGCAGCAACATTGGAAACATCACCAGGGATCAACATTATGGGATTCATTGACAGAAAACATTTACCCGTTGCCTATTTAACAGATGAGCCGTCTTATGTTATCCCAAGTGTAAAATCTGAAGCACACAACAAAGTAGCATTCAATTCCCTTGTGCAGGCATTGATTGAATTACAGTCTGTGTCTATCGTACGGTATGTGCAAAAGGAAACAGATGAAGTACAGATTTGCTGTGCACTTCCACAAAGATTTCGGGTGGGAGAAAAATGGGGGTACGGTTTTGTCCTAAATCGATTGGCTATGAAAGAAGATGAAAAAATTGGCAGGTTTCCTGATCTCGAGTCACTGGGGCAAAATGCACTAGATTCTACGATGGAGACATTCGTGAGTGCAATGAAGTTGAGGAACGACGCGACTGAGCCGGATGTGTTGAATAATATAAAGATCGGCCTTTTAGAGTCAAAGTCAACGGCATCTTCCCCGCGGCAAAATTTCAATTTCACCTTGGAAGATATGCTCTTATCATCTTGTCCTGCAACAAAACGCTACAATCACTATATCGAGAAAATACTTTACAGTTCACTAAATGAGGCTTCGTTAACTGATTTTGTGAGTCAAGACCAATTTATTGAAAGATACCTCACGGGCGATGAGAAACAGACATTGCTCAACCTTGGTAACGTATTTGACGTGGAGGAAAATCTACTATACACTGACGATCACAAGAGTGCCAACTCCATTGAAGCCACCGTGAAATCGGTGTTTGACATTAATTTTACAACTCAATCGAAACCAAGCCGCAAGAAACGGAAAACAGACACTGTTTTCGGCATGGAAAACAATGATGAATTTGATGAATACTTTGATATAGATGAGATCTTAGCAGGGTGAATCCTTGTCAATACTTTATAATTTGAATAATCTGTTTCGCATGTCAGCTTCCCGATCTTTAGCTGACCTTTTTCTATGAGTGGTTGACGAGGAGCCGTCATCGCCAAAGCTACAAACAATTCGCTCGTGTACTTTTGATAGCCCTACCCTTTCTCTTTCCAGGTTAAGTATATCCCTAATATTCAGTTCGCTTGCTTCTCTGATCGCCTCTAGATCAAACAATGCACGATACTTTTTTGTTTTTCCTTGTTTCCAAAGATTAATCCAATGGGTTGCGGCTCCCAATTCATCATAACTCCCATCTTGCTTCAATGTGTTCCTCTGTTTGCAAATATGATACATCAATTCGTAAATGTCATTTGTTGGATGCAGCATATAATCTCCATAAAGTTTACCCAGACTGTCCTGTAAGTTCAATAAGAATAACAAGTAATCTGCCAAAACAACAGGATCTATGAATGAATCGTGGATACAACCAACCAAGCCTAAACTTAGCATTGTTTCGGGGCTTTTCACAGTAGGTAAAAAAATGCCAGGGGTATCATACACCATAATATCGGGATCTCGCGATAGTCTTATAATTTCACTTGTTGATCTTGTAACTCCAGGCTGTCCACCAGTTTTGGCGACTTTTCTAACCTTTGTTGACACCGAGTCTCTATTGTCTCTCCCTAGGCCAACTTGACGCATGGTATTTACTAATGTTGATTTTCCAACGTTTGGCATTCCGATAATCATGGACCTCAACCCTAATGGAGGTTTATTCTCAAAGCTTTCATATATTTGAGTCATCTTATTTATTATTCGCTTGCAATCACCGCGATGACGACAATCAATAAACATAAACTCTTCATTCTTTGAATTGTGCCATTTCTTAAGTAGATCAGGTTTCAAAATGGACAAGTCCTTTTTACTGTAAAGTATGAGCTTACGTTTAGTTGATAATAGTTTGTCAAATAGCACATTCGTGGTAGCTAAGGGGGCTCGACAATCTCGAACTTCTAATATTAGATCCAACTGAGGCGCGAGATGTCCCACTTTTGACAAAGCTTTTTGATGGTGGCCCTTGAAGTTGGATAAAGGGATATTATAGTTTGGGAATACGCTCCTGGGAGTAAATTTTGACATGTTGTTGGGTAATGTAATTAACAAGAGGTTGCAAAATGGGGAATACTTATTTGGTTCCAATATCTTTTTTTTTTAAAAATTTCGCAAAATTTTTTTAGGCAAGCCCCTCATTAAGGGATCATCAATGCCTTTGGTAATTTTCGCAGGCTTCCCATGCTCAGGGAAAACTACATGGGCTAATGAACTTCGAAAGGGGTTAGAAAAGAGGATTGATTTAGCTAAGCAGAACCTGGAGTCGGGACACAATTATACAATTTCCTACCATTCGGATCAGACATTAGGCATCGGTCGTGATACTTATGAAGATTCGAATAAAGAAAAGTTGGCTAGAGGATCACAGATATCGTTTGTAAAGAGGGACATCTCTAAGACTAACATTGTCATCCTTGACTCAATGGCATACATAAAGGGATTTCGTTATCAACTATATTGTGAGTCGAAGGGAATGGCTACTCCTCATTGCGTTATTCAAGTGACGGCGCCTATCGAACAGTGTCTTGAGTGGAACGAAAAACTACCACCAGAAGATCAGTGGAGTCCAGTATTGATGAAGCAATTGCTGATGAGGTACGAGGAACCAAACAGCAATACCAGATGGGACTCGCCGTTATTTGAGGTTTTGTCGGGTCACGCTGACGAAAAGTTACCGATTGATGATATATGGAATGCTTTAGTTTTGAAGAATGCACCAACGCCTAACGCAGCTACCACTATACAATCCACCTCAAACAATTCTTTTCTCCAAGAGTTGGATAGAAAAACGCACGAAGTTGTCACACAGATTCTTCAGCAACAACAGCTTACAAATGGTGCTGTTGTTGTTAACGAGTTTGTGGTGGAAATTCCGATGGGAACAGTGAGTACTGCACAATTACAAAGAATAAGAAGATCCTTCATTAGTCTCAACAGAATGAGAACAATAGAAGCTGACCGAATAATACCTTTATTCGTGGAATATATAAATAGAAGTCTAAATAATGACGATTAAATCACCTTTTCCTTTGTGTCTTCCATTTGAAATACGTTTTACCGTTTACGTCAACTATTTTCTTTTTATCTCCCTTCTTCATCTTTTCAATGTTTCGGCTCATTATATCCTCCACTTGATGCAACTCTTTTTCCTTCGCAATTGCTCTCTGGAGTTGTTTGAACAGTTTAAGTTTCTTTTCATCCAATTTATCCTTTTCATTCGCCTCAAAATTCAGTAAATTTATCAAGCCTGAGTTTGATTGTAATTGGTCTAATCGAAGTCTATTTTGTCTATTTTCAACTAAAGACTTGTCAGTGTTGAAGTACTCTTCAGGTTTGAAAGATTCCTTGCTCTTAGTTGAGTCCACAAAAACAGTGTGCTTACCTGATCCTTCAAAAAGCTTTCCATCCTGGAGACGTTTGATTTTATTTGATTCATGCAAGCGCATGGTTCGTATGTAGTTGATATCTTGGGTTTTCAATAACTTGGCTTGGTCCACGCTTAATACTTCGCTATCTCTGTCAGATATAAGAATTCCCTTGTCATCTGTTCGCTTCTTGGTCATAGCATGGTAATACTCATCTGGATTATGAGATTTGGCTTTCTCTTTTAATGCTTTGAGCGCAGCTTGCTTCTTGTGATAATCTGCTGCTCTTAGCCTGTAATCTTTCTTCTTCTCAAGCAAGCCATATTTCGCTCTACTTGATTTCTGGGATCTCTCCCTATGCTGCTTTTTCTGTACGTTGTGGACTAACTTGGCCATAGGTAATGATTGTGATGAGATTAGATGAGCTTTGCAAAAAATTACTGTGTGGCAACTTTTCAAACCATTTTTTTTTCTCTTCACAGCTCTCCAATTCCAACTTGTTTAGTAACTTCAAGCATGTCCTTGAGATTGGCACTGTCAGCACAGTGCATTAAGGACTGTATATCTTTTGGTTCTGCTGTCAGAATTTATCGTATTAATTACTTCTCCACTTCATTAAAGCTACCACAATCTGATACAAGTGGAGAAAGCACAACCCCATGGTATTTGAGAAAAGATAATACGTCAAAGTTGGAGCCTCTCACTCACGAAAAGTTTCCAGAACTACCTAATGATGCTCCTGAAAGTGTGGGAAATCTTGTTGAGTTGCTCGTGAAGAAATATGGGCTCACTAACTTGAAAATATATGACTTGGCGTCTCTTCCGTTGGATCATCCAAAGCATGTGGATGAACATTCTTCGGAAAGATTCACCATCCTCGCCTCGGGTAAGTCAGAGAAACACATATACAAAGCCTCATACGAGTTGAAACAGCATATAAAGCACGAATTTGGCTATTTGCCACGTCTTGAAGGTATGACGTCAAACTCTATAAGTTCTAGAACCCGTCGAAGACTAGCAAAAAGAGCTAGACAAGGTCCACCCGCAACCCATAACGATTTTGGTATTGGTGCCAACCTGTGGGTAAGGTGTGAATTGGGCGTCGGCGGGGCAGTGGTGCATATCTTAAGTGATGACCGTAGGTTGGAGTTGAATTTGGAATCTTTATATGAGGAAGATGCGCCTGAACAAAATTTTGTTCCTGAGCCACCTAGGCGAAGCTATGAAGATACAGAGAGTGTCTTTTATGGCTTGCGCAAGCATCTTCACACATCCTCGATGCTTCACAACGTTGCTGCTTTGCGTTCAATCGCAAAAGATTGTACAGGGGAAAGGTCAGAGAGAAGCCTTGCACAGTACAAAAATAGCTTTGATTCAAAGTTTGCAGGTTTCACAATAGATGAATGGTCTGAGAAATTTGCGTTTTACAAAACGTTGCACCTTGAAAATCCACATCTTGTGACGTTCACTGATGTTGAGCAATGCCTATTGAGTAAACACTCTTGCTTAAAGTTATTGGGTGAAGCGGCTGATTGGAACCAAGAGATAGTGCATGATGTGATAAAATACATGGAGCTATTGCTAGATACGAGAGAGTCCATTACAGGAACTGAAAAATTTGAAAGACTTTCCATCTTTATTTCCAATATCACCGCTTTTTCAAGAGACGAGATTCATTTCTTTGCGGTGGACAAGTTTCAAGCCCTATTGTGGTCGTTGACAAGTGATGAGTATCTTCCAATCGATGCTGCGCGTTTGCATTCCATTTTGCGGACTGGAGAAGGTTTATTACCAGAAACGCACCCCATCGCACAAGACCCGAAAGCTGCGCAAAATGTGAGAGAGCTTATAAGAAGTATAAACTTCTCCAAGCGTGGAGCTGTTCCATTATGGCTTCGAGAACAAATGTTATATACATATGCAAGTACAAGGAATTGGAGTTACTTTTGGAAAGAGTGGGATATGATTCAACAGAGCTTAAATACCGCGTCGCAACTTTTGCATATGCAAACAAAAGTCATCATTCTTCTAGCAGTCATCAATGATAAGATAGCATTGCGTGACTTTTTCTGTAAATTTTGGGACAAAGGAAGCAGTTTTTCATTTATGGATCAATGGGAAAAGGTTGGCGCTCTGTTAGACACGAAACAAGAGAAGATTGCTTTGAAGAAAGCATTAAATATGATTCAATCAAATCATGGCTCTAGTTCTTGGTTTGAAAATGCTCGTATTTTCGCTACCACTTTGTAAATAGAGAAATTCCACAAATAGAAATCATAAGTGTATTTTTGTTTTGAACATAACGCGTTTTAAAGCAACACTCTCTTCAATGAGTGAAGCCATTCTAAAACTTAAGCAGCAAATTAAGGATTGGGAACATGGATTCAAAGTGCAGCATGGTAGACTACCTTTGAAACTGGATGTCAATGAAAATCTTGAGATCAAAGCTTTGTACTCAAAGTACAGGTCCTTGAAACTGAACAAACATACAGTCAGTGATAAAGCCAAGTCAACGAACCAAGACAATGAGACTGAGAAAGAGAATGCTCTTCCGACTCCTAGCGGAGAGCTTGGGCCAACGCCACAAGCAAACGGGAGAGTTTTATCCATATTCGACTATAAATTGACCCCACCAGAGTCATCTCCCTTGAAAAACAAATCAAGAAATGCCCCTAATACTAATCACGACCTCGACTCAGTTGTCATCGATTCCACACCCGTTAAAGCAAGGAGAAGGCTATCTTTTTCCACTCCAACAAAGGGGTCTTTAGAAGCCACGCCAATTACGATCACAAAGAAGCTTCAACAAGCAGCAGAAACCCCACGTTATCTCAAGTCATCTACAATCCCCACTTTTGCTGGAAATGCTATAGACTTCCTGGTGTCACCATCGCCTTTAAAGCCAAATAGGATGGGTAGAAAATTAATGGATGTATACAATATGTCGATAAAAGAAGTGGATGATATCAATGCGGAAGAGTTCATAGACGTACAGGAGGAAGAGGAGTCTGAGATCCCCTTGTCTATGAATGAACCCATTTTAAAGAGAAAAACTCAAAAGCGACAAACAAGAAGGTCTAAAATGGCACCGAGGCCAACTAATGAGACTAATTCTTTGGACAAAGTTGACGTTCAACAGAGGATAGACAAATTAGACGACAAAGAGAGAGCAGCGTTGGCCGCTTATATGAACTCAGAGAGTGAATCTGAATCTGAATCAGAAAAAGACCACACTCATGGAAGTCCCGTCAAGAAAACTAGAAAACCTATCGCACAAAACTACAAGAGGCTCAAAATAAATGATCCAAGATCGCGGAGGTTTAAACAAAGAATGAGGAGATAAATGTGCATTCTATATCATTGTTGCTATCAACTCCGAAGTGTCTCTGTTTGTCTCAAACTGCACCCTAGATTTTGTCTCTTGCTTGGCATCTTTATTTGTTGCCAGTTGGCCATCAGAACTAGAAAAATATATTGGTTTTCCCCATTTAGTCTTATCATGATCGTAGTCCCAAATTGAATCGCTCTTATCTTGTATCCTTTTAGAGTTTTGAATATCATCAATCAACTCTAGCTCATCTTGCGCGGCTTCCTCTTTAACAGGTGCGTATTTTTCAACCATTACAACCTTACCATTCTTAATGACCATTTCCACCTGTTTCTCACCTCGTTTCTGACGATCTTTCTCCTTCTTTTCCTCTCTAGCTAGTCTCTGTTTTCTCTTCAAATTAAGAGCGCGCTCCTCGGGAGAAAGCCATATTGACTGAGTTGGCATCTCAAAATCTGACGCATTATCGATAATCCTTGTTCTCTCTGCACCTGTTTCTTGAAAATTCAATAACGTTTCGAGTCTTTCCCTTGCGTTTGCTAAATCTGGATCTTGTTGAGAATTAATTTCAGGTTCGAATACAACCTCCGGGGTAGTAGCCTCAGTTGGTTGATCTCTTTTCTTCATTTCCTTCTCGGCTAATTTGAATGCTCTATCTTGTGCCTCCCAAAATTTCTCCCCAGGATTCATCTTGACAACGATTTTCTTTTTGGGTTTTGATTGCGCTGGAGTTTCAACTTGTTGCTCTCGATTTAGTAGCTCCTTCTTTTCATTACGCAAAACCTGTATGATCGCATCCTTCTCACCAACTGGCATTAAATCTGTCCCGCAAAACGAGCATGGTTGTAAACCTTCTTTAGTACATATTATCTTACCACAGCTTAAGCAATTAGGAGCAATTTCAAACAAAGGATGTTTGCGGGCCATACAATTGCAAACTCTCCGAGAGTCAGGTTGATTATTGTCGATTAATTCTAAATCATACAACGCCGATTCAATATCTTGTAAGTTTGTTACGTTCTTCTTGCTAGACCTTTTTTCTGGGTTGCTTTTCTCTTTGAGAAGCTGTGAAGTTGTGGTGGAACCTTTTAGCGACATCTCTTATACTTTAATTGTGGATGGGTTTTGATCATCACATCGAAGTGGGAAGAAAGAAAAAGCAACATCGACTTCTCAACAAAAAATATTATTTTGTAACGGATACGAACTCATCATCATACCACTACGTCATAAACATGTCAACAAATATTGCCAATCATAAGCCCGCTCTGATTACAGCCTTGTGCAAAGAAATTGCGATATTGAAGGAAGAGGTACAAGGGCAACAGAGCTCGGGAGCTTCGAAAAAGAAGATTAAGAAGATGAATAAAACTAAGAATAAGAATAAGGTAAGGAAGACACAGCATGGGAAACGATCATTCACGAAATCGTCACTCGTAAAGAGCAAAAGTGTGCCAAACTCCCATTCTCCTACTGGAGATGTTGAGGGTGGCACATCTAGCCCTCGATCTGAGCAGTTGTATCGTCAATCAGATGACGGAAAATCTATAATTAACGTCAACATTTTTAGGAACGAGTTGATCAAGATTAGACAAGTATCATCCTTTGGACTACCATATGGGGAGCAAATGGAGGAGGTCAAAGCTATCGACAAGTTGAAGAAGAAACTATCAAAGTATAAGGCCAAGAATGCCATGTGTGATCGAGTTTTGATCAATGGAGAGAAGTATTCGGTTGTTGCTAATGGCTATATTCTTTCACCCTTGATTTACTACAAAAATGCTGGGGATACTATAACCTGGAATGGCCAGTTGTATGAAGTGACAAACTCTGGTTATTACACATCACAACATGGTTCAAGAGTGTATGTATATTGACTACTGCATGTCATAAGTCACCATACTAACCCAATTTCAGTAATGATAGAGTCAACTGTCACTACTTCACATCATTAGGTACGTATTACAAGCTTAAACAGATGAAACATGTTTACTAACATGAAGCCCCCTTATTTTTTGTTGATCCTTTTTAAATTGTTTAGGATTTTGTGAAAAAGGTTCAAACTGCCCATATGTACATAACAAGAAAAAGATTCGGATTTGTCCGTACTACTTGAATGGTTATTGTGCAGACAGCAATTGTCTTTTGAGCCATACTCCAAATTGCCACAATACCCCTTTATGTTATTTCAACTTGGAGAATAGATGTACCAAATCTCAATGCAGGTACAGTCACTTGGTTCCGGAACATTATGGAGATAAAAAGTATGAGATAAGTATATGCAGACCATTTTCGGTGGGACACTGGTGTCCACGGGGTAGAAATTGCCCGTTTTTACATGTTTGGAACTGTCCCGATTACGAAGAAGAGTTGGCATGTCCTAGAGGCGATTACTGTTCCTTGAACCATCTTTTCACATTAAGCATGCAGGACGGGATTACTACGAAACCGAATAAATATATTCGGGAACAAACTCTAGTGGAGGGAGATGAAGAGGAATCGGTGCTTCCGACGCCTAAAATTAGGATCAGTAGCTATACTGTTGATCCAAGCGTGTTGCTTGCCACTGATACTCGCGGAAATTACCAACATTACATTGATCAGATACCGCATAATGATAGGGACATTGAACCAGCTCCATCTACGCAATTTTTAATTGAAATTTCTTCTGATGAGGAACATTTTTTTGAGTCAGACGATGAGGAAACCAAGGTGAAAAAGGAAAAGGATTATGATGGAAATTTTGTAGAGTTTTTTTAATCAGAATATGTTTTCAATAAGTATATACGGATATAGATACTTTCAGTAATATACGTGGTTTTCTCTTTTGTTTTAAAATTTTGACACTGTTATTTGTGTTACATGTTTAGCGGTTCTGTATAGAATGAAATTTCTGATAACGAAATGTGTTGCAAATTTACCAAACACTTTCCACCACATAAACAATTTGCATTAACACCATCAGTTCTTGACGTGTATGGACTTAATCTAAACCTCCATTTGAATTAAAACCTTCTGTCACTATCTTCCGCTTCACGCAATGCCAAACATGGCTCTTTCATATTATAACGATTCACCTCCAAAGCATGTCACAGTTCATTCATACCAACAACGATACCAGATAATCAGCAGTCTAGGAAACGGTAGTTTTGGTACTGTTGAGCTAGCCAGAATCAAATTCCCCAAGGAAGAATTGCTCCACGCACATATGCACAAATCAGGGACAATGTTGTATCCACTTGAAGATTCAAAACGCAACACATCAAACCTAGTTGCAATTAAAACCATGAAGAAAAAGCTTCCATCTTTGCATGATTATGCCAAAGTGAAAGAAATCAAATTCATTTCAAGTGTTCCTTCTCATCCCAATTTGGTGCAGATATTTGAAATCTTTATTGACGATTTAGATCATCACTTGCACATCACTATGGAGGCGCTCAATCAAAACTTGTACCAGCTAATAAAATCCAGAAAGGGCACTAGATTTTCGTCAATGACTTTACGGAGCATATTATCGCAATTATTGCAAGCCATCAAGCATATTCATCATCATCAATATTTTCATCGCGATGTCAAGCCTGAAAACATTTTAGTTATTCCAACCTCTCATTATTATGGATCCAAGGATTCGGTGCCTTCTTACAGACGAAATGACAATTTCATCATCAAGTTGGGAGACTACGGTTTGGCTCGTCATGTGAATACAATGAGACCTTACACAGGTTATGTTTCAACTAGGTGGTACCGATCTCCCGAAATATTATTGAGGCAAAGCAAGTACGATTGTGGAATTGATATTTGGGCCTATGGAGCAGTTGCTGCCGAAATTATCAATTTCGCTCCATTGTTTCCTGGTGCTAATGAAGTCGATATGCTTTGTAAGATTATCCAAACGTTGGGAAGCCCAACAATTCCTGGTAACCTAGCGCAGGAGTATTGGGTTCCAGTAGGAGGATGTTGGCCACAAGCTGCAACATTGAGTCATGCACTTGGGCATCTGTTGCCGTTCGATCGAGGTCTTACCCGTACACAAATTCTTCCCGACGCTGGACGTGAGCTATGCGAAGTCGTTATGTCGTGCTTGCAATGGAGTCCAGAGCAGAGACCGACCGCTCAAGACCTAGCATGTTCTAAGTATTTTTCTGAATAGTAGCTCTTCCCTTGTGTATATACTTTGCTTAATAGAACCAGAACGAAGAAAAAGATGATAAAAAGAAGAAACTGAATGAGAAGGCGCTACCGAAAGGGAAATTGCGCCGACTGGTGTCTCGATAAAGTGTATTTCTACAATAAAGGTTTATAAGTTTAGGCTTTGTCTTTCACTATCTCAAGAAAGGTGCCTTCGACTTCCTCAACTTCGAGGAACATTTATTGGGGCGCATATTTCTACACAGAAATTGCTTCCCCACAAAAATGCATGAATGCGAGATCCTCTTTTTTTCTCTTTTTGGATCCAGGGAATCGGAGGGCGGGCGGCGCTAAAAAAAAAGACCCCAAAAAGTTTTATATAAACTCGTAAATTTTATCCCCAACTTTATCAATGACCAGATAATACACCCCAAATCATATTTGCAATATTCGATGTGTATCACTATAGCCACTACAAACCACCCTGAGTACCCATTTATACTTCTTTCAAATAGGGATGAGTTCTTTAGAAGACCGACCAAGCCTGCTGAATTTAGGCAGATCTCCAACAACACAAAAGTGTTGGCTCCGCTAGATCTTGCCAGACCTGAACATGGGACATGGATTGGAGTGACGACATCAGGGAAAATTGCAGTATTGGTAAACTACCGTGATATGGACACCGAGAGTATGTATTACACAATGATACATTTATGAAGTTGTGATTTACTAACACATGAGAATAGGTACCATGAAACAGGTGTCAAGAGGGGTTTTGCCCTTGAATTATTTGGAGACGACAAAAACAGATGACGAATGGAGAGATAGTTTTTCAGCAAACATTCAGAATGGCAACGCGTCCCTTGATTTGAAGAATATCGGGGGGTTCACATTATTGTATGGTTCGTTACGGGTTGATGAAAAAAACGGTATCGACCACTTGAATATCTTGAGTAATAAAGGGCACCATGGACGAGTGTTTGAAAGGGAATGTCTGCTGCAAGATATGGCAAATCCTGATCGTTTTGCGACAAAGACCACATTCGGCATGTCCAATTCCTTGTACAACGATCCTTGGAAAAAGGTTGACCTTGGTGAGCAAATGCTTGAGAAGGTAATTGATGCTTCAGTTGAGAATAACTGTACCCAAGACCAACTTGTGGAGGACTGCTTTAAATTACTAAGTCATGACACATATGAAAGATCCATTATGAAACAAAATGATTTTGACGTTAAGGTGATGGAGTTGAGGAATTCGATCTTTGTGCCACCGCTTAAACGTGAGGGTGCCGAAACTCATTTGGTTTCTATTGGTGACTACTACGGCACTAGAACGCAAACGATTATTTTGTTGGATAAGTTGGGCAATTTGAACTACTATGAACGAAATTTGCATTCATCAGATGTGCCAGAAACTGACAAACCATTGATTACGTCCAGGTATACATTTAATATATATGATGGCTAGTATATAGGGATTAAAAAAGAGGTTGAATAAAAATAGTGATGATCACCTTCTCTGAGGGCCCCGGGTTTAAGAAACAAGTGTTCAAGATAACTCCGTGATTGCGGAAAAAAAGAATAAAAGAAGAGCTTATTTCTGCGCAATTTTAAATATCAAACTCTGTTTGAATCAAAGTTCTTATTAAGTCAGCAACTCTTCTACAACAAAGTATGCCGTTTGAGTACCTAGACACCGAACCAAAGACCAGAGCCTATATCTCTCCGCGGAAAGAGTTCCTGTCGTCGTCGAACGATATCCTTATAATGATACCGGGAAATCCTGGCCTTGTTGGATATTATGTCACCTATCTTGACTATGTTCAACGTGCACTCCCCCAATTTGAAGTTTTTGGATTGGATTACTTGGGATTCACTAAGCAAAACACAAAACAGCAACATATTTTCAAAGTTGAGGAGCAAATCAACCACAAATATGTGGTAATCAAGGATAAAATCAAACAACAGCCTAATAAACCCAACTTGTATTTTTTATCTCATTCCTTGGGAGGATTTGTTACCCAAAGGACGATAAAGAAGCTTTTGGAAGATGAAGAGTTAAAAGACAAGTTTGAAATAAAGTTTAATGGAATGATTACACCAACAACAAATGATATCGCCGGGTCTGAATCAGGCACAAAGATGGTTAGATTGAACAACTCTAAATTGCCAATAGTTGGCATGGCAATGACTTTTAGCTCTTTGTGTTCATACATTCCTGAATCAGTGCAAAGGTACATTTTAACCCATCATTGGACAGCACCAAAACAAGTGATTGAAGAAGGGTCAGATCATGAAAATGTTGGGTTGGAACATTCATTACAAACAACAATGGAACTCATCAACACACCCAGCCTTGTCAACCAAGCATTGAACATGGCAAGGGACGAATTGGATGCGATTTCAAAGCTGGATGAAGTCAATGACTGGATATATGTCGATAATCAATATTCTTTTAAAAATTGGTGTTTCTTTGCTCAACTGGATCATTGGGTTTCTAATGAAACTAGGGATCATTTGATTTCGAAATATGGTCAACTGAATCCCAAAAGGAATAGGTTTGAAATTTGTGAAAATGTTGAGAATCCAATCAAGCACGCATTTGTGTTGAATCAAAGTAAAGAATTTGCTGAGATTACAATTGATAGAATTAAACAAGCAGAGAATTGTTGGGTTAAATCAGGATAGAATAGAAGTAGAAAAGAGTTCCGTTTCGTATTTGAATATATGAATTAAATTTTTGTGTAAAGTCATAGAAGAAGGGTGCTAGTTTGTGTTGTTGTGAATCATCACACGAGTAAGGTTTGACTCTCGGATTCTTGTATAAAAAAAAAAAAAAAAGTTGACTCAGAGTCATCCTCAGTCCAAATTTTTATGCATTAATTATGTGTGTTCGGGTGCAAATTGAGCTTTTCCACCCAACAAAACAAGAAGAAAAATAAATTAAATGGGAATCTTTTGCAACTTTCTTTACGGTTAACTGCAGCTAATAGTTACTCAAAGCAGCACGCACGATTCTCAAGCCCTAGAGAGAAGAATATATAAAGACTGATGGCAAGGACATTCTTTTGAAAACTTTTCCATTTTACTCATCAAAAACACAGACTATGACATCCAGTTCCGATCAAGGATCGAGACCCAAATCACTTGAAATTAATGAAATCCAAATCGATCATGACTATCAAGACTTGAACAACAATGAGTTGGACAAACATCAATTGGACAAGATTTACCGCAAGTTGGATTTCCGCATCATTCCAGCATTATGGTGTCTTTACTTTCTCACTTCGTTTGGATCAAATTGTTATGGGTTAACATTAACAATGAATGCTGAAGTTGGGCATTCGTTGGCTCAATCGTTGAACTTGAGCTCGAAACATACATCCACTGCTTCTGCTTTGTATTATGTTGGTTATATTATCTTTGATGTGCCCATGAATCTTGTCATGACCAAAGTCAGTCCTCAATCATGGTTAGCAAGGATCGTCATCACCGTGGGGTTGGTTTACACATGCTACTGTGCATTAAACAATGCCGGCGCTTTGATTGCAGTTAGATTCATTAGTGGTGTTGTTGGCGCAGGTACGTGGCCAGGAATGAGTTACTACGTTTCCCTCTGGTATCCCAATGATCGCGCCACTAGAAGAATTGGTTACTACTTTACTGCAGCACAAATCTCGGCAGCTGTTGCTGGTTTGGTGAGTGCTGGGTTCCAAAAGATTGATGGTAATCGAGGATATTATGGTTGGCAATGGATGTATTTGACTTATGGATCAATTACTATGGCTGTGGGGGTATCTTTACTCTGGTGGTTACCCGATAGACCATTCAATGTTGTTAAACAGTCGGAAAATAAGATTAAAAAAGTGTACAATCGATACTTTACCCCATCGCATCCCTTGAATACCACCGAGAGGGATTTGCATAGAAAAGATATTGAATACAGATACAGATTGCTCAAATGGACTTGGAGAGACGTTGTCGCAATTATTACTGATTTGCGTATCTGGCCATTGATTATGATGTATTTTGGCGTTGTTGGTACTGGTTTTGGTTTGGCTGTATTTGGATCAACGATCATCAAGACCAATAACCCCAGCTTGACTTCTATTCAAGTTTCATTGTTGTATGCGCCAATTTGGTTGTTTGATTTAGGAGGTATATTGACACTTACCCCATTTGCTGATAGGTTCAAGAAATTCAGACCATTAATCTTTTGTGGAGCATGTGTCATTATAATTGTTGGTATGGTGGTTACCACATTTGCTCATGGTCCATGGAACAAGTATGCTGGATTGTTGATTGCTGGTTATGGATTGGGACCAACGGTGCCAATTTGTATGTCATGGTCTGCTGAAATTTTCTTCCCCAGATATGGAGATGTGGGAACTGCAGTGAGTGCAGCATTAGTTAGTGGATTGGGAAATTTGGGGTCCGTTACTGCTACTTACGCATTGTATTCAGGTTGGCCTGAAGATAGAGCCAGGTTGTATCGTAATTCCAACATGATGTTGGTATTGATCACTGGAGTTAGTATTATTGCTTGTGGTGTTTGTTATTTGATCAAGGATAAAGTTAGACAAGATATCCCAAATGTTGAAGACAAAGAGCAAGAAGTTATTGAGTATAATTAGGTGAGGTGTAAAGTAGGGACAACTTAACACCAAAATTTTAATATAGAAAATACTTAGGGTATCTTTCCATCCTTAAAACGAACAATGTAGATTTCTAATTGAAGACACTGTCGATTAGTTTATAACCCCAAATTGTGGTGTGTCGTGTCTCGTATCACTTGTTCTCGAAAAATGATGATGGATATGTCACGGAAATATGCGAAAGTGTGAATAGGAGCAATCTAAGAGATATAATGCTTTTTTTAGTTATTGCAACAATAACCGATTGCTATTTTTCATTGTTTTTGTGCTGCAGTTACATATCCGAAGTGCACTGGAAAAGAATAATCGTTGAACACGCACGACTTCTTAAAGGGGTCGTTGGCTAGTCAAACATTACGCTCTGAGTTGGGGATCGTGAGAGTTGATGATAGAAACAAGCATTTTGAGTGTGGCGTGATTATCGGAATTCAAAAAATGACTAATTATGGAACTAGTCTATTAATTGGCGTATTAGTAATCTTTTTCGGGTGAGTGTGGATTTTGTGTGCTCGGTCTTTTACCCCCATTTGGCATAGCTTATGATCTTTGTGCAATTTGCAAATTCTGCATTTTGCTTTAACGCATGCAACCACACTTTATCTCTATTGTGTCCAAAGAACTCTGCCGTGGAAAATGATCTTCAAGCTTTTAGCGACACTACTTCCTCTTTATAAGCGCATTGTTATTCTGTACACTACCTTGACTGAAACTAAATCTGACAAATGACTATAAATAGGTGAGCTAATTCCTTTCCTCTTTATTCAATTGGGAGTCACATCAACACACTTTCACAAGACAATCCCTTATTAGCGGTCACAATGAAAGCAGCAGTGATCAATGAAAACAGAGTTCCCGACTTTAAAATAAAAGATGATTTGCCAATCCCCGAGATTTCTGATCACGAAATCCTTATAAAATCCAAAGCATTTGCCGTCAATCCAACTGATTGGAAACATGTTGATTTCAAATTTGGTCAAAAAGGTGATATTTTGGGTAGTGACGTTAGTGGAATTGTAGAAAAAGTTGGTGCTAAAGTTGACAATTTCAAAGTTGGTGATTATGTAAGCTCGTTTATTGTTGGTAATGTGTCACCCAAGAATGGGGCCTGGGCTGAATATGTGGCTGCCAACCCATTGGGCACTGTTAAGTACCCTAAATTGGTTCTGGACCCTAGCAAGACTTCATCAGGTCCAATTACCACATTTGAAGGAGCTGCCAGTGTCACTTTAGGCTTGGTCACCGTGGGATACTCATTTGCCTACTCACTCAAGATTCCAGAAAATTTTGTTGAAGGGGATTTCATATTAGTTTGGGGTGGAGCTACTGCCACTGGTATCTTGGCAGTGCAGTTGGCTAAGTTGATATACGGTTTGAGAGTGGTCACTACTGCGTCACCAAAAAATCATGAGTATCTTAAATCCTTGGGAGCAGAGTATGTGTTTGACTACAATGATGACAAAGTTATTGACAAGATCAAGGAAGTTGTTGGAGGATCATTGAAATTTGGGCTTGATACAATTGGATCAGCTGAAACTTTCCAACAAACTTATGATGCCACTGCAAACACTACAGAAGGAACAATCTTCCTTGACTCCACTTTGTTTCAAGATGGATCAAATATCAAATTGGATGAATCTAGAGATAATTACAAAATTCACTGGGGTCATACTTTGGCATATTTAGCCATAGCCAAGACCAAGTTTTTTGGTGAAATGTTGCATCAACCAGAAGATTTATTAAAGGATTATGTTCCTTGGTGGACCGAAGTTTTGCCAAAGTATATTGATAAGGTCAAACATGCAAATTTGAAGGTTTTACCTGATGGGTTGCAAAGTGCTGGTGAAGCTTTGAAATTGTCTAAAGAGGGTGTTTCTAATGAAAAGGTTGTATTTGATACATAACTGATTTTGAGTCGATAGTTAGTGATATTTTTTTTCTATCTTTTTTGTAGTAAATTTGGGTGAAAAAGAGTCTTTTTGATATTTGACGCCGAAATGGGAGGGAGGGGGGGGTTAGTGTAGATGGCTTCCATTTCCAAATTAAAGTCTTACAGTTGTATCTTTTTTCCTTTCAATACTTTCTCGATTGTTGAAAGACTTTTCGTTCGATTTAATGGGGGAGTACAATAATCACTTTTTGCTTAAAGGTGGCCGATTACGATTCTTACACAAAGACACAAACTACAAAAACTTTGATTTGTAATTGCATTGCTGCGCAGTAACTAGATGATAACTATTCAAAACATCCACAACGCCTTCTTCCCAATAGTATCCATGAAAGCAGCAGTTTATTCAGGAAATAAGCAATCTCCCACAGAAATCAAAGAGTCCCTCCCTACTCCCACTATATCGGCTGATGAAATATTGATCAAGTCTAAAGCATTTGCGATCAATCCAACTGATTGGAAATCAATTGATAGAGGTACATGTTCACAAGGTGATATATTGGGATGTGATGTTAGTGGGATTGTTGTTGAAGTGGGTAAAAACGTGCCTCATTTCGCAAAGGGAGATTTTGTTGGTGCTTTTGTTGTTGGTAATTCATCACTGAGTAATGGAGCATTTGCTGAGTATGTAGTTGTCAATCCATTTGGTTGTGTTAAGTATAAACTGTTGAGTGATGAGGTGGTGGAAAACTCCAGCCCAATTACCACCTTCCTTGGTGCTGCAAGTGTGACTTTGGGGTTAGTTACCGTTGGTGATTCCTTTTCTTATCAGTTGAGAATTGGTGAGAGATATAGTGAAGGTGATTACATTTTGATTTGGGGTGGAGCCACTGCAACAGGACTCTTGGCCATTCAATTAGCTAAATCAATCTATGGATTGAATGTCATCACTACAGCCTCATCAAAGAATCATGATTGTCTCAAATCTTTGGGAGCAGACTATGTCTTGGATTATCATGATGTCGATGTCGTTTCCAAAATTAGGGAAATCGGTAAAGGAATGTTGAAATTTGCATTGGATACGGTTGCAAATGCATCAACATTCCAACAGGTATACGATGCAACGAGTCAAGTATCAGGTGACGTGTACCTTGACTCATTATTGTTTCTTGATGACAAAACCATCAAGTTGCATGAAAAAAGAGACAACACCAAAATACACTTTGGCAAGACATTGGCTTACTTGGCAATTACAGAGTCAAAGAAATATGGAGGTGGTACAATGAGACGTCCTGATGACATGTTGAAGTATTATGAACCTTGGTGGTTTGATGTATTGCCAAAGCATATAAACATGATCAAGCATGCTAATTTAAAAGCATTGTCAGATGGGTTGAATAGTGTTGATGAAGGGTTTAAATTGTCAAAGGAAGGCAAAGTGTCTGGTGAGAAGATAGTATTTAGTATCTAAGTAGTGGTTGAGTGAGCTATGTGTCGTAATACATAAGTGCGACGTTGCAATAAGAAAATAGGAGAAACACAATATTCAATGACACAAACTTATATGCAGTACTGAAACATTTTACAATTGTATTTTTTGTGCAATATACTTTTGAAAGCCACAGTTTTTCACCCACCAGAAGAAAGGGGTGTGATAGGAATAGCCTGCCACCAAAGTTATTATCAAAGTACAAACCGTAATATTGTGTTCTATTATTATTGTGTCTTTAGTTGTTTGATGCCAATGGTTTTTACGAGTGGCTTGTGATTCTCTTTAGTGGTTAGTTGGTTCAATTTGTCAAAGAGATGCAAAGAGAAGAATAAAAGAAAACTGCAACCAGATCTGGTTTTGGGTCCATTCAACAAATGGAAATTGCCCTCTTCTTAATGGTCAAACAGTAGCTTTGCTAATTATCTGCATTCACATGGATGCGTAGAGAGAGAAATGAAGAAACTAGTTGATTTGAAGATATAGAATGTTACCAAAATAGTCCCTGATTCACATCCGACAATACCGTAAAATTAACACCATATAACCATTTACAAAAGCCCACTCTCTTCATGTTAAACTTTATTTTTTTTTTTTGGATTTTCGATATGCACTGAATTTTGTTGGTAGCGCGATTAACTTTTACAAGTAAAAGATGATCATTTGGCAAATATTACTCTATAATAAACTCTTGGATATTAAAGAGTGTATCACCCCTTCACCCCCCCCCCCCCTTCCCCTGGATGTAGAACGAAGCAGGTTTGCAAATAATCTTGTAAAGTTTAGTAGTTTGCGCGTGTTATATCAAGAATAGACACTTTTTCCAGACGCTTTGGAAACTCCAGAGGAAGTAAATACGAATAATTTTCGTCTCTATCAGTGTTACACAACTCTATAACCCTCCTGTGTTGTTATCATGTAGATAAATGTATTTATCCAATTATAACCAATCTTACAAAGTGCGATTGTGAAAGAAGAGGACAATAGGGGGACAAAAATTGTATGCATACAAGTAACAAAGAGAGAATAGAAACAACAGAACAAAAGGTAGGAGAGATCATTTATTAACCCCATTCAAGCCCACCACAGCTTAGTATCATCACACTTATTACAACAGCGGAGGACTAGGGTGAAGTACACCAAATCACCACTTTATATCTAATAATTTTCCAAATACTCTTTCATATCAAACTATTGTTACTCACTCACTTCAATCAATCTAAATTGTGACAACCTTCTTTCTTTTTTCTTCTTTTCAATTTGACTTTTCTTTTTCTTTTTCTTTTTCTTTTTCTTTTTTTTTTTTTTTTTTGACAGCCACTATTACAACCAAAAAAAAAAAAAAAGTAAATCAATTTGGGTCATCCATTTTTTTCAACAGCTTAACATTTACTAAACCATACCATACTTACTTCAACAGCTAATCAAACTACTGCATCACGCCCAGACGTTGGTGGTTCATAATTCACTCAACATAACATATTCAATAGAGCAACGCGTTTTGTTCCACCCAACGTGTGATCTATAACCCCCGGTGTTAATCACGTCCAGGTGCACACACTGAATAAACCAAAATCCAGCCTTTACGTGTTTCCGTTTTGAATTTTGCCCTTCGTTTTGTTCGATTTCCAAGCGTACTACGATCGCTTCATCATATCCCTTCTTTTTCACGGCCTTTTGTAACTTCTTATAAAGGTGAAAAGTTATGGAGCCTGCATCAACCATACCATTAAACTTCAACTATGACAACCAATCTGACCATTCATTATTCAAACTATGGAAGCTAACTAGTGACTTGCTGTATATAAAGTGCACAAACATATCAACAACCGAAAGACTCAACAATCGATCTTGGAGACTACTTAATCAACGTGTTTTACGACTTTGTCAGCACAATAAAGCTCATGACAGTTTTAGTCAAGACACTCACAATCTCAGACGCAACACCAATGATGAACTAAATGATTTGTTCAAGGAAAATCTAAAAGACTTGAAGCCCAAAACAACTCAATTTTTGACAGAACGACCAACTTTATTCAGCCATTCATCAAATTTCAGTCTACAAACAAGGAAACGAAGTACACAAACGAGTTTAGAATCACTTGCTTTTGATACTAAACAAACTGTTGGTGGGCCTGGTATTGTTCATGAGGTTGAGCCTTTGGCCGAATCAGATATGTCGGACATTTCAGAAATATCTGATGACGAAGAGGAGGAAGAAAATGATGTAGAAGTGGAGAATAACGCGTCGGACAAAGAACCACCGAACAAGGATATCTCCCTTAGTGGTGAACAAGCAAGAGAGCTGAAACTCAGTGTAAACAATGTTAGTCCGAGAGGTGTTGTTGATACCTCAAATCATAATTCACCACATCTATCAGCACCAACAAAGAACATCACTGAGACGGTATCACCGCGAAATGCCCGTTGCAACCCCAGTGATACTTTTTACATAGGGAGCTCCTCGTCGAGTTCGAATCACCACGACCACTCCATCAAATCCCACTTAACTGCATCCAACCCAAAATCATCGCCTTTGCGTGAAGTTTCCACAGTCCATGCCACGGAAGGGAAAATTTTCAACTCATCGTCAACTAGTAGTCAGCAAGTACCCATTCAACAACCTCAAGTGCAGCGACAGAATTCCTTATTCAACAATTTCAACTTCAAAGACAACTCATCAGAAATACTAAATGGGTCTAGAAAAGCATCCAACCAAACTATTGATGAAATCGACCTCCGCCGTAAAAATGGTAACTGTTCTTCAACCGACATTTCTGAAGATGAACTACTGGATGAAGATGAGGACGAAGAGGACGAAGAGGACGAAAAAAAGGACGAGAAGGATTCTTTTAGCAACGAGAAACGTTCTGAGAATACATTCACACAGGCACAATCTTTGCATGACACAAACATGAATATCAGTGCCACGAGAAAAAACTCTTCTGCTACAAGGAAAAACTCCACTGCCACATCCGGTAGGGACGATAATGACAGCGAATGGGTCTCGGTGTACTCAAGCTCAATCAACTCCACTGCAGCGTCATCCAAAAGTGTGCCAAAGCACCAATCTTTGAATTTTACCAAGATTGAACCACCTTCTTCTGTTTTGTCGAATGAAACCATTTCATCGTTGGACAACAAGAGAAGAAACTCTAATTCTACACCGGTCATCAACAAGCCAAAATCGCTATTGTCGGGATTGTTCCTTAATGAGATGGCGCACTCGCAATCTTCAACTCCCGTTCCCGCTCCCGTTCCCGCTCCTTTAACCGATAAACCAAAGTTGCAAAGATCAACAACTACAGGTGTAATGACCATTGATGAAGAGAATAAACGTCCATCATTAATTTTCACCCGCAAGTTCCCCTCGTTTAGTGACATTCCTCGCATTGGCAAACGAGTGCAATCCCCAGCTTCCATTGCAACTAATAGGACAAATTCTTCATCTTCTGCTTCCGAAAGCATTGTGGCTGTTGATGTCAATAATAGCTTTGATGGCAATAGCACACCACTCAAAAAGCAAGGTAGTAGTGTGAAGATTTCCGACATCAATGTGTCCAAAGTGCCCAACAGCAAAACCACAGTAGAGGAAGAACACGAATTGTTGTCAAATAGTTTGAATAAATTGTCGCGGTCTGTGTCGCACCATTCCTTGATGAATCTTTTATCAAAGTCTTCTATCAATTTGAGTCGAATATACATCAATTCCATGACCAAATTGAAACCGGAGAGCAATAACAATAATCGCAACTACAGCGGCAACTTTCGATCGAATGATGTGCCTCAGTTTAAGGGAAAACCTGATGCCGATAAGATTAACAGACCCATTTCACCAATTAATCAACAAAAATCCCCTGCTTCCGAAGCCACTCGCAAACAGTCGCCTAGTTCTCTAACCTCAGCATCATCAATTCCTGTACACTCATCCAGATCATTAGCCACACCTCCACCATCAGCACCACGCGTTCCGAAAATCACCACAACTGATACATCCATAGACAATAACAAAAACGCGGAATCAAATGACAATACAGGCAAGGCGATGACAGAAGAGGAAAGAGAGCTTTTTGAGAATGAAGAGCTCAGCTCGTCCTTGCGTGAAGCGTTATTAATTGACCACAAGTTGGGTAGAGTTGCTATGCCTGATGGAGTCATGATTCAAAAATCCATTGTTGGTGGTGACCCGGCGGATGATGCTGTATTTGATGATTACCATGCTAAGGGGTGGTAGTGAAGAGCACGTTTAGTAATGTTGACTTCACTACATATCGTCTATACATTTTGTAGAAATTCAGAAGCTTAATAAATAATGATTAGAGAATTTGGAGCACCATCAGTTCATGTGTCTTTGCTCTTAAGTCGAAAATCAATTGCAAAGAAAAAGGAAAAAGCCGAGCCCAAACTCATCTCTTTAAAACACCCTTATACATGCAAACCGCTCTGTACAACTATGAAAACATGCTACTATGAATTATTAGAAGTTTCATCAACCGCCACGGATTCCGAATTGAAAAAAGCATATAGAAGGAAAGCATTACAATTACATCCCGATAAGAATCCAGGAAACGTTGAAGAAGCCAACCATAAATTTTCCCTCGTTTCAGCAGCATATGAAGTACTTAGTGACCCACAAGAGCGTGCATGGTACGACTCGCATAAGCTGAGTATTTTGAACGATGAGGATGTCGTTGATGATGGTGTATCTCACATCCCTTCAATTTCAAGTGAAGAAATTCTACGATACTTTAACCCTAGCATGTATTCAACTATTGACGACTCTATCCTGGGGTTCTATTCTATTGTCAGTCGGATCTTTGAACGATTGGCTCGTGAAGAGATTCAGCATGGGAAATATCAAAATTTGCAAGAATTCAACAAATATAAAGATGATGACAATAATGTCTACACTATAGATTCGAGTTATTTGAAATACCCGTTATTTGGCAATAGTCATGCTGATTATTTATCAATTAAGAAGTTTTATCAAATTTGGCTGAATTTCACTACATGTAAGCTGTTTAACTGGAAATATGAGTATCGGTATTCAGCAGCACAAGATCGTCGTACACGAAGATTGATGGAACGGGAAAATAAGAAAATAAGTGATGAAGCACGCAAAGAGTATAATGAGACTGTGCGGAAATTCGTTGGATTTATCAAGAAACGAGATCCAAGGGTCAAACTTGCTCAAGAAGAGTTTAATAAACAACAACGTAAGAAACAAATGGAGGAAATGCAGCAACAAATTCTCCGCCAGAGATTATTGAAACAGAAACTGAAATTGAATGGAGATCAAGTATATCAAGAACAAAGTTGGCAGAAATTGGATCAAAGTGAAGTAGCTGAATTAGAACAAATGTTGGCTGAAGAGTATAATCTTAATGATGTTTCATTGGGAGTAAACAATGATGTTATTGGTGAAGATGAGGAAGAGTTTAGTACCGATTCAGAATTTGCAAGTGATGATGATATTGGTGATGCTGATGGGGTGGATGGTGAAAATGGTGGAGTTGAAGAAGTTCACGAGTTTGAGTGTATTGTTTGTGATCGAATCTTGAAGAATGAACAACAGTTTAAGATTCATGAGGAGAGTAAAAAGCATAAAAAGGCGGTTAGACAAATGAAGTGGGAAATGAAACAAGAAGGTATTGATTTAGGTATTGATGAAGATGATGAAGATGATGATAATGAGTTTGAGACCGCTGAAAGTGAATTTGAGAACGAGAGTGAAGATAGTGCTGAGGAGGACGAAGATGAGGAAGAGGTCCAGAAAAATGGAATTGGCCATTCCGGTGTAACCAAAGTATACGATGATAATACGGCGAACGAAAAGATTGAAAATGCAGAAGAGGATAGTTCTATTGTGTCATTTGAGGAGAAGCTCAGAAGTAATACTGATACCATGAATGAGCTGAAGAAGAACAATGTTGACGGCGCCACCCCAAATACCGAAAAATCCCCATCTTCATCAACTCCCAAGCTATCCAAAGAAGAAATCGAAAAGAATAGACTTGAAGCCGACTTGGCCAGGCTTCTCAGCCAATCAAAATTGGACGATTCTGATGATGATTGGGATACCGGTATTAAAAAGACCAAGAAGAAGAAAAAGAAAGCACCGGCAAAGTCAAAGACAAAGCCTAGTTCGACGTCATCACCTCAACCTGAGCAGCTTTCAAGTAATACATCGAACACAGAGACATCGCCTGTGCCGCTTAGTGGCGGTGCTTCTGCTGCTGCCGGTGTTGACGCGGAACGGTGCGTTGTTTGTGGCCAGTCATTCGGTTCACGTAATCAGTTATTTCAACATGTCAAACTAGAAAATCACGCCGTTGCTCCATCTTTGGCGACTGCATCAAAATCAAAGAAGAAGAAATCCAAACGTAAATAGACCAAGATGAAAAAGCATTCCTAGATTCTTATCCCTTCCTTGTAAACCACACATCTATAAACCAAACTCTATCTAATACCAGTTTTGGACATTTTCACTTTAGCCACGATAGGTTCATTAATACCAGCATTAGTCTTACCCAATCCTTGTCCTTGGCTCCACCCTAATTTCTCCAACATTATTCTACCAAGGTTCAGTTGATCAAGAGCTGGTGCCTCAGCTCCAACAACATCACCTTCTTTAAACTTGGCTCGTGGCTCGTTACCACCTCCACCACCATTGCGCTTCACTTTACTACTACCATCTTTGTCCCCCTTCTTTTCCCGTTTCACATCCATACGATGGAAAATTGGTCGGCCTCGCATGATGGCATTGATTCGATTGAAATTAGGCACATTTTTGTATGTTTTCCTTGTCTTGGTAACTTTTATATAATGACGAACATTGTGACGACCACATTTATCAGTTTGCATATTGTATGCTGCTGCTATACTTTGCAAGGTCTTGTTGCCATGAGAATCCAATGTGGGGAAGCTCAATGTTGTTCGTGATTCGTCTTGCATAAATGATGAAAACTCATGACTGATTTGGGCAATGGTTAGAGAGTCGGGATACTTGATCAACAAGTCATGGCTCAATATTGCGTCCTCAGTTTGTTGAGCTTGGCGGCGTTGTTTTTGTTGTTTTTTGTTCTTGCGATAATTTATAATCTGATTGGTTAATGCATCTTGTAATTCTTCATCAATGCCAAGGTTGTCAAAATTTCGTCTCTTTTTGGCTGGTGTATTGTTTGAAAAATCACGATCTTGCATCAGTATTAAGCCCTGCGTACTTGATTTTGAGTATCGTATCAAGTCATTCAAATTATCATCTGAGTCGTATGGATAGTCGTCTCGATCTTTATCGAATTCATCTTCATCTTCGTCTGTAGCATCTCCATCTTCACTGTCGCTGCTAATGTATACTTGGTCTTCTTTCGCTTTGGTATCCTCCTTGTCTTGGTCAATCATACCAGAGGTAATATAAGACAAGAATTTAGATAAACGATGCTCCTTTACCCCATTGGACAAAGCATACTCAATAACTTCATCTTCGTCAATCCATACGAATTCCTCATCAAATCCAGTGAGTTCATGACATTTCAAGTAATACTGGTTGCTGATCCCAAATCTAACGTTTGTAACAGATATCTTTGATACATCGAATTCGTAATCTTCTTCTAAAAATCCATATTCTTGTTCATCGTCAAGCCGTGATTCTGGTTCTTCGTCCTCTGACGATGAGTCACCTTGCTCTAATACGTTTGGCATTTCAGCGTATCTTGGATCATCGATAAAAACTTCTAATTCATCCTCAGAGGCTGCTTCTGGCAGTTGCTTAACTGATTTTAAAAAATCAGTTTGTCTCAATTTGTGTTGCTCACTTTGTAAGTCATTAAGAGAATTGTGACTGAGATCAACACGATCGGTGGATTGTTCTTTTCCGGTGGCAGTTTCTGGTATTGTGGCGCCCTCAACTTCTTCTTCATAATCTATTTGCACAAGCGCATCCTTTGGTTCTTTGCGTGTTGGAGACTTCGTCTTTTCCACCCCAGAAATATGCACTTCTTCGGCTTCCTCCCCTTCTTCCTCTTCTTCCTCTTCTTCTTCATCTTCCTCTTCTTCTTCATCTTCCTCTTCTTCTTCATCTTCCTCTTCTTCCTCTTCTTCCTCTTCTTCCTCTTCTTCCTCTTCTTCCTCTTCTTCCTCAGAATCCAAAGATATGCTTTTAAAATCCTCATCGATAATCATTTGAAATGGATCATCTTGCATTTTCTGAGTTAGTTTATACAAAAGCTCATTCGGATCATATGATTCTTTTGCCTTTACAAACACCATAGGCCTATCTCTGAACTTGCGTGACATAATCTCACCTTGGTGTCGTGAAGTGTACTCAATCTCTTCAGCAAATTTGCCATAGGCTCGTCTGCCATAGTTATGCCCTGCTTGTGCCATTTCTCTACTTGGCATCCATAGTGAGTCTGGATCAAACAATGACTGGTGTTGTGCTGAAGAATTATACTCAGAATGCGATGATTTGCCATTACCACGTTTTGGTTTGTTGTTGTGTTGTCTTCCTCCTCCTCTCTGGCTCCCTCCGTGACCGCCACGGTTTCCGCGACGTCCTCTTGATAAGCCTCTGCTTTTTCTGTTTCCTCTACTGGGCATTATTGTTGGTAATTATTTGAGTTGTAAAACAATTATGTGTTGCGCTATAGATCTGATGTCATCGCTTTTTTGTGAGTGTCGAGTAGTTTGATCAGCTATAGTGCGCGTGCTCGCCGCTCCAGTCTCCCCTCGTGGGTTGCGTATCAAGCACAAAGTTTCGCATTGTAGGAGAAGGCGAATTTCACACATTATCAATTGCTTTTGCTTATCAAGAAAACTACCTTGTACAAGCTTACGTCTTCACTGCTCGTACACACACATACACACACATACACACACATACATATACACGCACACATAGACACACCATGACAGAGCCTCAACCCGCATCTGAATCTCAACAAGACATAGAAGAAAATGCAACTAATCAACCACGGTCGTATGATGTAGCCCCTGGTTCAGGATTCGAGAGGCTTACCTCATTCTTTAAGGGTGTCTCAGGTATCAATATGGGGTCTCAGGAAGCAAAGGACGACACTCACTCCACGACATACAACATGAATACGGAACAGAAAAGTATCAGCATTCTAGGGAACCATTTCAAAACAGAAACCGAGGCAAAAGAGTACATCCAATCTTTGTTGTGGCTTTCCTACAGATGCGGTTTCACTCCCATTCCCAAATCGGCAGATGGTCCTCAACCTGTTTCATTTTTACCATCGGTTTTGTTCAGCAAACTGACGCTAACCAATATGAGCAATTTACGTGGTTTATTTGATAACGACAACTTCACCAGTGATGCCGGTTGGGGATGTATGATACGTACTTCTCAAAATTTGTTGGCAATTGCTTTACTCAAATTATCAGAGGAACACAATGAAAGTGCGCAATTGGATATCCTTAAACTATTTCAAGATGACCCAACCTCCCCCTTTTCCCTTCACAATTTCATACGAGTGGCTAGTTCCCTGCCGCTACTTGTGAAGCCGGGTCAATGGTTTGGACCCAACGCCGCTTCACTATCAATAAAGAAACTTACGATAGAGGCTAAAAAGTTAGAGACTCCGGGGGAAATACCATATGTGTACATAAGTGAGAACGCAGACTTATTCGACGATGAAATTGAGGATTTGTTTAACGAGGAGCAGAAGCCATTACTATTATTATTCCCAGTTCGTTTGGGAATTGACCAAGTTAATAAGTATTATTACAAGAGTATTCTACAGCTACTATCATTGCCTTATTCTGTTGGAATAGCTGGAGGCAAGCCGTCATCTAGCTTCTACTTTATTGGATACGAGAATGAGAATCATTTACTATACTTTGATCCGCATTTGCCACAGGTTGTCGAAGCGCCAATAAACATAACTACTTACCATACGGCAAATTACAACAAACTCGACATTGAAATGGTTGATCCATCAATGATGATAGGGGTACTTCTCAAGTCCATGGATGAGTACAAAGAATTTAAACAAGATTGTAGTGAAAACAAAATCATACATTTCCACCCATTAGTGATCACATCGCAGCAGGACTCGGCGTTGAATCAATCGTGGGAAGAAGTCCAAGAAGATGATGACTTTGTCAACTTGACAGTTCCCAAAAGCGAGGAAGAGTTTGTTGTTTTGGATAAATAAGTAGCATTACTATATAGTTAAACTTAGCATGTTATCTTATGTGACAGTTTTGAGGAAAGTTAAAAAGGTAGTCAAGAACGATTCCTTTTTATTGCCAGCCGGAGAATGAGGACATTTCAATTCCCAAATATTTTCTCCTGAAGTACTTGTCAAGGTACGAATATCAGCATACCACTCACCAGAATTGTCGTTTGGTTCATTCTTGTAAAATTCACAATGGCTGTTCTCATTGGCAAATGAATGTGCCTGTAAAAGTATGGCTTCAATGGATTTGGAGTTGATAGTCTCTTGGCAGTTATCATGCAAGGTGAATGTTTCCCATCCCACTAAGTTGATTCCATGCTCTTGAGTCTCAATCCAATCCAATCCATAAAAACATTTGACAGGGGTGTCAACATTATCAAGGTACAATCCTGTAACTTTAATAGTGTATTTCGAAATGTGGTACGCCCAGAAATAAAAGTACCTGATGTATCTAAAGATGATGTTGCTGAATATGTATTTAAAAGTTTTTCCAACATAAGGACCAACTAGGTTGGCCACTCCTGTGAGAATTCTCTCACCAATCGAAGTGGAAGCTAAGCTTTCTGGTGGAATGTATTGCTGCGCCAATTGAATCAAAGATTCATCGCCATGACTTGAATCTGTTGCTGCCACATTTTGACTGTTGATGTACTCAACTGCGTCCAAATTGATGATGAAATTGAAATGGTCTTTTTTGACAACGTCGTCAATCTTCAAGTCTAATGGCACATTTCCTTCACGTACTTCTCTGAGAATGATTTTGGAGTCAAGTCCCGAGTGGACATACAACACATCACCAATGATTCGATTCCCAGCAACTCCAATGGAAAGTGCTTGGAAAAGTAAGTAAAGTTGAAAAAAGTAATAAAATGTAATCTTCATCGTTTTGAAAGGTGGTATTTACTTTCCCGTATTTGCCATTCATGAAATTCAATCGAGTGAAATTTCCAATGCTATTTATATTACACTTTTTGACAAACATTGCGGAGGTAACACAAACAGAGAGAGGGTGTGTTTATGTGTTTGCAGCAATCGTAATAACCAATGTCGTGTAATATTATGTTCTGACTTTTCTTTTTTACGACATTGTCTGTGGATTGGTCTAGTGTCTTGTTTTTTTTTCTTTCAACTCTGTACAGAAGACTTAGAAGACCAAAGTATAGATCATATCCACTAGAGGGCTTCTTCATATCTCATACTCCATAATTAAACATGATCAAAGATAGTCTCAAGATATGTACGGTTTGCGCATCAAACAACAATAGATCAATGGAGTCACATAAACAGTTGGCGGATGCGGGTTATGATGTTCATTCATTTGGTACAGGTTCTGCGGTGAGATTACCTGGTCCAAGCATTGACAAACCTAACGTTTACAGCTTTGGTACACCATATGAAAAAATATACCAAGATCTACTAAATCAAAACGCAAGAAAATCATATGAGCAGAACGGAGTTTTACACATGTTGGAGAGGAACAAAAGTGTAAAGACAGCTCCCGAAAAGTGGCAAGAAAATGCTTATGCTGGTAAATTTGACTTGGTTATAACGTGTGAAGAGAGATGTTTTGATAGTGTGGTTGAGGATCTAATGTTGAGAATGTACAACTCCAACTCACAACTGGACTTGAAATCGATTGTACATGTGATAAATGTTGAAATCAAGGATGATAATGAAAATGCAATAATTGGCGGTAAAGGTATTTTGAAATTGGTTAATATGATACATGAATACAAGAGAAAACAAGAGGAAGTAAAGGGAGATATTGAAGATGAACTGGATGTGATATTGGAAGATCAAATGATGAATATTTTAACTGAATGGCAAAGAGATCATGCGCATTTGCAAACATTGTATAGTGTGTCGTATTATTAACTAGTATAGAGTTTCTTTCTCAAAAAAGACAGGTGTAGATATATACTTGGTTCATAGCAGTCCCTCGAACCTCCAACAAATGTGAACACAAACGCGTCCAGTTGAAAGTTTTGAAACAAAAAAATAAAAATTCAGAGAACTTATTGAACTTTATGTTGGAAACCTTCATACAACATGAATCCTGGTGCCATGAGTGGAACTGACGATCAAAATGTAGCCAAGAGAAGAAAAGTTGGAGAGAAAGTTCCCTTTCAACCAGGGTTTTTGAGGAAGATCAAGGTTCGGAACTTTACAACTTATTCATATGCTGAGTTTGTCTTATCTCCAACCCTTAATATGATTATTGGTCCCAATGGTAGTGGTAAATCAACCCTAGTTGCAGCTATTTGTATTGGACTTGGTGGTAAAATTGACTTAATCAAGCGTAAGAATCTCAAATCGATGATCAAAACAGGACATGATAGAGCTGACATTGAAATCACCATGGAAAATTTTCCCGGTAAACCACCCATTGTTATCAAAAGAGATTTTTCTGCAAAAGATTCGGTGTGGGCAATCAACAATAAGAAGAGTACCGAGTCGGCAATCAAGCAGTTGAGAGAAAAATTCAATATACAGTTAGACAACCTTTGTCATTTCTTGCCACAGGAAAGAGTTGCAGAGTTTGCCGGTATGTCTCTGGAAAAATTATTGATGGAAACTGAAAGAACCCTCAAAGATGGACATTTACTCACATTGCACGAGGACTTGATTGTAAAAGATATCAAAAGTCAAGAGTTGCATGTCCAAATTGATGTGTTGAAAAAAAGATTAGATCAATTATACTCTCAAAGAGCAAAGTTGGAAGAAGAAGTGCAAAAGTTGCAAGAGTATGATAACAAGATGAAGGAAATTGAAACTCACCAGACCTTGTTGCCTTATGCACGATACAATGATTTGAAGAAGAAGCGGGCATCTTTAAAAGATCAATTAGATGAAGCCAAGTCAAGGTACACCTCTTTTGACGAAAACTTTGATCAATTGAGGAAGAACGAGTCGCAGCTCGAACGAGAAGTACAACTTCAAAAACGAAAACTTGAAGATACATCAAAAGAAAAGGACAGTGTATTGAAGATAATCGAGGAGTATAGGCGCAAGGTAAACAAGGTTCAAGATAGTGTATCAGAGCTGTCTGCCTCATTGAACTCGTACAGAGCCAAAACAGAACTGAAAAAACGTGAATTGGAAGAAGTACGAAGAGAATTGGCTAACTTGAACCATCAGCTCGAGACTATAGAACGAGTAGATAAGGATCAACTCGAAATACTCAATACCAAGTACGCTGATTCGAGAGCCAAATTGCGTGAAATGGAAGAGAAACTCAGAGATGAAAACAGCTATACTAGTGACTTACGATCGGATTTGAATAATTTGGCGCGAAATATTCAACGTGAGGAATCAAAATTGCAAGGAAATGACAAGTTGGAATTGTTATTGTCTGCAGCTCAGGGTAAAAGCTACCGACTTCGTGATGAATCTTTGAAAGCACATCGCAAGTTGCGGGGTGAAACCAATTTCCGGGGCGCTTACTTTGAAGCTCCAGTTATATCGTGCAATATTACTGATAAATCAATTGCTCCAGCCATGGAAAAGATCATTGACAACACTACCTTATTTTCATTCACAACAAAGAGCCAGGATGGCTACGACAAGTTGAGCAGGTTTGCTAAAGAGACCCGTATAAATATTGCTCTTAGAATGGTTGACAACGATGAATTACCAAGACCCCATTATTCAAAACAAGAGCTTAGGTCATTTGGTTTTGAGGGTTACTTGTCGGATTTCATCACTGGCCCGAAAGAAGTGCTTAGTATGCTTTGTAATACTTCCAAGATACATACCATTCCCGTGACAAAGCACGAAATGAGCCAGCAACAAGTTGATAGATTGATAAGATCATCTGACGTGCCTTTCAAAAAATTCGTCGCAGGAGACACCTTATTCAATATCCGTACATCAAAGTATGGATCTAAACAGGTTTACTACGAATCTGAGAAATTCGGCAAGTCTCAGTTTTTTGCAGTATCGGGTATCTCTGAACAAGATAAACAAAGAATTAATGGTAACGTACAAAGAATCAATCGGGAGATTACAGAAAAGAGAGAAGTTTATCAGAATCATAAGGTACAGATCGAACAATTTACGTCAGATATTCGTGCAATTCGGTACGAAATGTCTGAAATCAAGAACGAACAACAAAAGATCCAGCAAATGATGAGTGCTGTTACGAATTTGGAGGCCAAGATAGGCTCAAAGAAAGAAAAGGAACATAAATTGGAAGAGGATTCGAATAAGGACTACTCACGTAGGGTTAAGCACTATGAGCGAAAGATTGCAGAATTGTATGGTGAATTGGCACAAAAGTCAATGGAGATGAGTCTGCTACACATTAAACTTTCCGAAATTCAAATAAGGAGTAAATTTCAGGAGCTCGAGATGACAACCTTGCGCAATAAATTGGCATCGGTGATTAGCTTGATTGAATCACTCGAGCTGATAAAGAGGGAGCTCGCAAGGGATTTGAGAAAATACAAGGAAGACTATGACCAAATTAAGAATTCTCCGGAGTACAAAGAGTATAAAGAAAAACATTCCTCATTGACGGAAGAGCAAAGGGAACAGATTGCTGAATTTGCAAAGCCATATCTTGAGGAAGACACATTTACCGAGCATACAATCAAGAACAAGATAACCCATTTGACAGACGAATTGTCCATCATGTCGATGGGTGATAAGGGATCTATCACATCTTTACGTCAAAAAGTGCAAGATATCGAGCGTGCAGAGTCGGAGTTGCCGAGGATCGAGTCGGATAAAAGGGATCTTGACGAACGCATCGCAACTATTGCTGCTGAGTGGGAACGTGATTTGACGAAATTTGTTGACAGGATATCAGTGGCTTTTAGTAAACGATTTTCAAAAGTTGCTAGTGAAGGGCGAGTTGAATTGGCAAAAGCCGATCGGTTTAAAGATTGGAAGTTGCAGATCTTGGTAAAGTTTAGACAAGAATCAGAATTGAAGGTTTTGGACAATCAATCACAATCCGGTGGTGAACGAGCTGTTTCCACTATATTTTTTATCATGTCTCTTCAGGGATTGACTGATGCTCCGTTCAGGATAGTGGATGAGATCAATCAGGGTATGGATCCAAAGAATGAACAAATGGCTCACAGATATCTCGTTCACACAGCATGTCAGAATAACAAGTCCCAGTACTTCTTAGTTACACCAAAATTGTTGACTGGATTATATTACCACCCAGATATGGTTGTTCATTGTATCTTTACAGGTCCAATGATTGAAGAGAATAATGAGCAACGTGAAACTGGCTTTCTAGATTACGTTAATAGGTTGGTGCTTGTTTGATTATTTACAAGTTCTATTTACAATATAGTAGTTTCATATGAAGCTATTCGTTTCAAACACTCTTTCTCTCCTAGTAGTGATATCAATGCTGGGATTGGCAATCCTGGTTTACCTCCACTAAGAGCTGCTCTCAAAGTCATGAAAGTCGTTTTTTTTTGAATTCCTTGTGAGGCTAGTCTATCTACGGCATTGTCAAGGCCATGTTTTAAAATATTGTCAACAATTTGTTTCGCTTGATTGGTGTCTTTCGGTGGTTTCACCTGCGTGTAATCAACATCATCGAAAAGGTATTTGTGATCAGCCACACCATGAATATTGTCCAAATTTGGACCAAGGTGGTGAAACAAAGTCAAAAGGTACCCCTTGCTCTTGCCCTTGCTCAAAATTTTGAATTCAGGGTAAAATTCGTCTATCAACTGTCTGAACGCCTCCTCATTTTGAAGTGTCCTTTGGAAATGCTCCTTTTGGAAAAAATGCAACTTCGAGTCACTCACCTTGGTATTACCCTTAGTCAACTGATCCAACGAAAACTGTTTCACCAATTCATCCAAGTTGAAAATTTCACTTGTTCTTACATTTAATTCCCTTGGTGGAGCCCATCCGAATAACGCAACAAAATTAACCAACGCCTCTGGTAGTATACCTTGTTCTTGCAACAGCAATATGTTGAAGTCACCCTTCCTTTTAGACAACTTCTTGTCTTGAAGTGAGGTCAATAAGGGAATATGTATATATTTTGGTGGTGTCCAACCAAATGCATCGTACAATGCAATATGTTTTGGGGTGGAGGGTAACCATTCTTCTCCCCGGATCACGTGGGTAATTTTCATAAGGTGATCGTCAACGACATTTGCAAAGTGGTATGTTGGCATGCCGTCGTTTTTAATAATTACAAAATCATCATAGCGTTGATCTTTGGAGTTATATTGTGGTTGCAAATTCAACTCTCCATGTAGCAAGTCAGTTACTCTAGGATAATTGTACGGCGACTTGAATCTGATAATAAAGGAATCTTCACTTTGGTCATGGTTACTGAGACACTTTCTATCGTACGTCACATTTGTCGGTGGTTTCAATAATTTTGCACTTTCTCGCAATTGAAGTAGCCTGTCTTTTGAGCAATAGCATTTATAAGCCATCCCCTTGTCTAATAAAATCTTTGCATACTTCTGATATATCTCTTTGCGCTCCGATTGCCTATACGGTCCATATGGCCCACCACGTATAGGACTCTCATCAATGTCCAACTTGCACCATTTTAAAGTATCAAATATGTTCTGCTCTGCTCCTTCCACCAATCTGTTCTGATCAGTATCCTCAATTCGGACAACAAACTTACCGCCTGTATTTTTGGCAAGCAAGTAATTGTACAATGCCGTTCGTAATGATCCAAGATGGAGAAATCCTGTTGGTGATGGTGCAAATCTAGTACGTGCTGGGGTATTAGGATGGATTGATTCTCTTTTCGGCGCGTCAACCTCTTCAAGACTAAACAGGCTCCAAAATCGGCGTTTTGTGAAGCATCTTAATTGGGGCAGCACATTTAGTCGAAGAGTGCTTTTCCACATGAAGAAAGATATTTGTGTTTTCGAGTCACCCAGGCAGATTTTTAGCCTGACTACACTGTGTTTTTCTTCAGTATACTGTATATGGTAGCGCAACGGGGAATTTCTTGGAAATTTTGCGTGATTTCAAGAAAGCGCCACTGTCAAGGGGGTACCTACAAAAGAAGAAAAAGCAGCGCCTTTACTTACTACTATAATGTGCAACAAACACAACAAGAACACGTCGTATGCTGACAATTCCTTAGAGAAACCCGACCTGGACTCATCCAATTCGATCAGTGATCTTGACAAGTACGTTGAAAGCTTTGACAAAATTGTGTCTAATATTGGATCTTTGACCAACGCTATCGTTGACGTGTCTATGGATGCAGGTAGAGAATTGAATGATAAAGCAAGGGAATGGTCGTCCAATTGGCTATTCAATCCTAAGGACTCCAATGACTATAATGACTTCAATGATAGCAAGCCACATTTTTTCAATTTCCCTCCATTTTATCAAACCAGGGATGCTGATTTGAATACTGAGTCCGGTGGTTCCACTCTTACTGATTTGTGGAACAACAATGGGTTTGGAAGAGATTTTCCATTCAAGTTTGGATCTACGCCTTTCGGATACCGTGCTTACAAGGGTCCCTCCACTAGACAGTACAATGATTGTTTAGACAAGCATGGGAAATCATTGTGGGATGATAGAGGATATTGGAGATGCCTCTTCCCTGAAGCCGAAGTACCAGTGGATGTTTTGGACTTTAAGAAGAAATATTTTGGTGATTCTGTGGTTACTAAAGAGGATTTTTTCAAGTATATGAATGAGCTCGGGGCAAATGAGAATAGCAGGGCTATTGACTTGAAAGAAAAAGGTACATTTTTCAACACTTATGAAGACTATTTGGTTTGGAGACAGGATAAGTTTTCTGAATTGAAAAAGAAGAGAGAGGAGGAAGCCAAGACAAGAGCAGCTAATAGATCCAAAGTGTTGGAACTGTTGAAACAAAAGCAGTCTGAGGTCGCTGATAACGACAAGTATGTCACCTCAACTTCCATCAAGTCTAATGTCTTTACAGACTTGGACACAAATGAAGTCAAGTATATTGAAACTAAGCAAGAGTGTTTCAATGATGGCAATTGTGTTGTTACAAAAATCATAAAGCTGAAACCAATAGGTGCTGCTGATTGGACCAATGTTGAAGAGCACACAGAAAGCTCTCCAAATTCAAACAAAGGCTGGTTTTGGAAATAGGATAATGGAGCAGGATTTACGGGGAGAGGCAATTTCAATTCTGGATAAGGTTGAGGGATTTGTTTATGTTGATGGTATATAGTTTTTATTTCGTGATTCAACACTTAGTTTCGACTCAGTTTATAGTGGTGTTCTCTTTTGGTGCCTGATTTTGGTTCGATTTTGGTAGCACCCGATAGAAAACGCTGTAAGATTTTGAAAGTCCTCTAACTTTCAACAATCTCTTATCCAAATAGTACATCACCCGCATTCATAGATGAATCCATTGAACAAAATCATATTCCTATCTGCATTTCTTGCGTCTGGTTTCCTATTGATATTACTATCATGTGCATTATATAGTAACTATAAACCACTTTGGGTTATCGCCATCTTTTTATCGGCACCATTACCAAACATATTAGCAAATGCGATAGAGAACTCAAGAGATAACAATTTTCTCACATTCAACGACTACGGAACTTCTAATGAAGGGAATGCTAGTCCTTTACAGGAATTTGCTAGATTTACAACAGGTGTTTTGATCATTAGTGGCATTGCTTTACCGTGGAGTTTATATCATTGTAACTTGATTGGGTTAGAGTCATTCATACTAAGTGTTACTGGTGGATTAATTGTATATTCAGACATCATTATATTTATTTGGTTTTTTAACAAAGAAGAAGAAGAAAATGACGAATTCAACTTTTGAAACAAAGAGTGTACAATGTAATTGTGTGTTGTCTAATTAAGTACGACTAATAAAAGAATTAAAATGATGGTTAGGATCACGATTGTGGTAAGGTTTCCATTCTCTCTAGCCATCCGCCTAAAGTCATTCAATCTTGTTGTTGCTCGTTGTAATCTAAAGCTTGAATTATCAACACCTTGTTCCAAGTCGTTCAAAATTATCAACTGCTCATCCAACTCTTGGTCAATGTCCTTTCCCATCATGTGCTGTCTACTTATCAGCTGATGCAAATAATCCAAGTCCTGGTCTTGTCGCATCATTGTTTGTTGGTGCTCAGCAAACATTTGATGATTGGATCGGGAGTCTGGTTCCTCTCCCACTCCTACTTCTTCTTCTTCTTCTTCGGGAACATCTCTGTATGGCTGAAATGGTTGAGTACCCATCATTTCAGAAGTATTGGCTTCCTCTGGGTCATCTTTGAATCTCACTGCCTTGGTGGTGGTTGTCTTTGGAGGGCATGGTATTACATAGCTGAACCCTGGTGCATCAATATCGGTATCATCTTCAAGACTGGAGTGAATATCCATATATCTGTCAGAAAGCTGTCTGAGCTGATCGTAAAAATCTTCTTCTTTGCTATTCTCCGCTTCTGCTTTCGCCAACTCGAAATTGTCGATCACCTTGTGTACTTGATTGGTCAACTCTTTGTTATCATTGGAGGAGGGCTGTAGGCTGAGTTCATGTAACTTTGCCCTTTCAGCCACACTCTCTTCAATCTCATCAATAGCAACCTCTATCTTATAGAGCAAACCTTTGATCTCTTTCTTGCTTAGTGGCATACTCCTGGATTCAGCTTTTGTTATGGGTGGGAAGGGCCATTCAGAGATAACACAAAATTTCCATTTTGAAAAGCGTCTCTATTGTTTTGGTTGTGTGGAAATTTTGTTTGAAACTTTCACGAGATCAAACACCCAAACTATACAACAAAGAACAAAGTGGAACGCAATAGAGGAATGTTTTCAAAGATCAAAAACTTCTCTGAAGATGTGGCCAAGAGTCTTAGTGATCTTAATTTGGCGGATCAACAGACTCAATCACAACAACAAAAACCAGACCCATTGGCTCAACTACAACGGAATGCACGAATATTACAAACAGAGACACCAGACTCCGACCAATTGATTCAACCAAAAGACGAACTGGAGTCTGATGTGCAATCTCGAGTATCAACACCACCCAATAGTCTGATCGAGACACCTCCACAACAACAACAATCACAACAGCCACAAAACTCAACCATCAATATTGACAATTTACCTCCCTCGATTAGGTCGAAAATGAAGAAATTTGCCAAATATGAAGAGAAGTACCCCGTTTTGTTGGAAGCGTACAAAGTTGAAAAGAAAAAGACAGAATTGATCAAAATTTTCGACAACGTGCTTAGAGAAAACACTCCGGTGTCGTCCATATCTGAAGCAAAAACACTTATTGACTACCTCAATGGCTTAAATGAGAAAACGAAGCTACAGAGTAATGAAATTAGGAAGTTGACCAAGGAAAACTCTGTCCTCACATTCAAGATTGCCAAGTACGAACAGGATGGAGAGGATGCGGTGTTTCGAAAGATTGAGGATTTGAAAAAGGAAAACAACGGGTTAAAGCAACAAATAAATGCACATGAAAACGATGTCGTAAAGTTAAAAGAAGAGAAACTCGAACTTGAGAAAAGAGTTGAAGAGACGGAAAAGTCTGTTGCAAAAGAAGGAAACGTTGAAATGCCTGATCAACTGAAGCGTTTGTCTGATGTCGATGATAAGGAATTGGTAGAGGTTAGGAATAAACTTCAACTGAGGGATACAGAGCTTGAGAAACTTGCAGGTGAACTTCAGGTTGCAAATAAAGCCTTGGCTGAAAAGAGGGACGAAATTGAAGATTTAAGAGATCTGATGAAAGATATTGGAAATGACTTGGTAACGGCGAGGGAGGAAATTAAGGATTTGAAGCTGAAGGGAGAGGTCGGAAGTTCCAATGGAGATGTAGTAGACGCTTCGTATCAAGGTGCGGATGCCGAACTCCGAAAGCAGGTCTCTTTACTATCCGGCAAAGTCGAGTCATTGACGGATACAGTATCTCAAAAAATGGCTGAAGTGAAAGACTTGCAAACACAAATTTCTAAGTTAGAAGATGAATCGCATAAAGAACAATTAGCAAACAAGCAATCAGAAGATAATCTTCGAAAAGAAATACTGACATTGAAAAAGGAGTTGCAAGAGCAAAATGAAAAGTTGAACGCCACTGAAAAGGATTTGAATGTTCAAAAAGAAGAGAAAACAAAGTTGGAGGAAAGATTGCAAGAGTGTTCCAATGCCAAAAGCAACCATGCTTCATACAAGTTAGAAATTTCGTCATTACAATCCAATTTGACCCACAAGGAGGAGACAATAAAGGATCTCAGAGAAAAAGTAAAGTCACTAAATGAAGCCAACACTGTACTTCAATCAAGAATTGACAAGTTAGAAAGCGCAAATAACGAGTTACAATCCAATTACATGGAATCACTTAGAAATAAGAATGAGCTTTTGACCAAACAGGAATCATTCATTGAAAATGAGAAATCGTTAAATGTGCAATTGTCAAAGTTACAAAAGGAGAAACAAGAGATTCGCAATGAGTTGGAAAGCACACGAAGTAGCTTAGATAAATTATTATCTGAGAAACTGACAGCTAGTAACGATGTTCAGCTGTACAAGAGACAATACGATGAATTGACCATGAAGTCAAAAGAGTATAACTTAAGAATTGAAAGCTTAGAAGATGACTTATCAGAAAGTCGAAATTTGTTGCAAGAAAAGACAAGAGAAGGGGGAAATTTGAGACGATTGTTGATTGAGGCAGATGAAATGATGAGACAAAAGGATTCCGACCACAAAATAGAGCTTAGAAGGCTAGAAGATGAAAGGACTGAGTTGGAGCGGAATAGTGCAAAATTGATCAAAAAGAAGCAAAAGGAAATTGATGAAATGAATGCGACATTAGCTCAATTCAAACTACGCATTGCAAATCTCGAAGATAAACTTAAAGGTTCAGCCTCTGCATCACATAATGAGGCAGCTATTGACACCCACCAAGTGGATTCAGAATTGCAACTGCAAATAGATACTTTAAGGGAAGCACTTTCGGCTTCATCAAACAAGGTTAAAGATTACGAGAAGTTGAACACCACTTTGAAGAAGTTAAATGAGGAAAATATTTCCAAATTTGAGAGACTCTCTAAAAACTATAAGCTACTTACTCAGCAATACAGATTGATGAAGGACAATGAAAGTCGACGCGGGTCAGCTGAGAGTGTAACCTCCATTGCCAATGGAAACGAAAGAGAAAGTTTGGATGAGAAGAAGGGAAAGGAAAAACAAGCTGATACTAATATTGCATACTTGAAAAACGTTCTACTTGGATATTTTGAGCATAAAGAGCAACGAGAACAATTGTTGCCAGTTTTAAAGACTTTATTTCAGTTTTCCAAAGATGATGAGGATAAGTTTTTGATAGCGTTAAAGTAGCTAGTAAAGGAGGAAGTCAAAAGATCATGACCTGTTGTATCAACAAAAAATAAAAAGTAAACGCAAAACATTATCCTAAGTTGTAGCCTTTCTCGATTATGAGCGCACGGAGTTTTACAGTATTTGCAACCACTTCGGTCGAAGTGCTGCTCTATTTCTACGCGATCTTGTTTCTTGAAAAAAAATTTATTCAGCATTTGTATCTTTCACTGCATCTCAACTATGATGCAAGACTCGTTTGCTCAAAAAAAGCAAAGCATACTCAAAGAGATCTCAACAAATGGGCCAGACAACTTGGACGCATCCCCTAAGGGAACTATAGATGAACATTGTATACCAATTATCAATTTGATCAATTCACATTGCGACATGGTGACTACTTCATCATGTTCAGGTCGAGTTTCTGTATATTTGGAGGGAACTCAAAGCAAGCTCGTACTGAAAGGGAATGAAGGAAAATGGATATTCGTCACCCACGATACTTCAAATCTTGCCAATTGGTTCAAATCTATAGATTTCCACTACGTGCATGAGTACCCAACATCATCGTATGAGAGCAGATCGATATTGTACAAATTTGAAGCGCTAATATTGCATGTCAAATGTCGAAATCAAGTGACTGCCAATAAGTTGTACTCTGTTGCCATGAATTGTGGGTTTAGAGAAAGTGGGATTGGAAGTAATTACAATGTGGCAATTAGAACCTCAATCAAATTGGATGTACCAATTGGGTATTTAGGCGACAATGAGGTTTATCAATGTTTTGTTACTGAAGAGTATTTGAATTACATCACAAATGTTTCGTTTGATAGATTTAGAGAAAATTTTAAGAAATTGAAACTACTACATCAAGCCATCGAGAAGAATATCATAAATGTCGAGGAGCAAACTGCAAGTGTTGGTGCTGAAGACTCGATACTAGAAGTATCACAAGGTAAAGGTTGGGAAAGTATTGAAGAAAGACGAGCTAGGATGAAACAAGAAGGTTTGAAAAGAAAGGAGGAGTTACAGAAAGCTAAAGAGTCTGCTTCCTAGAGTTCTGAATCTTTGCGTGTATAATGCAGTAGTCTAGACGTATTCTCAGAAAACCTGCTCTGTCCATATCTCTGACTAATAATTGATGATGATGAATGATGAATAATGAATGATTCATATCTGCATGAACTGGAAAAAAAATATGCCTCACCTTTTCTTTAGTCTGAAAATTTTAATATAATTTTTCATCCCATTCATTGCCCTATATCAACCCATTAGCAAACCTTATCATGTCTGCTACAGAGAAATTGGAAAACTTATCAATCGACGAAAAGCGTAACGAGTCACCAACAGCAAAACAAGAAAGTTCATCTTCTGAACAAGCTGAAGAAGTTGTCTTGGGTGAGGATGGACAGCCATTGTCAAAGAAAGCGTTGAAGAAGTTGCAAAAGGAGAAGGAAAAGCAAGCAAAAAAGGCCGAAAGAGAAGCACAATTAGCCAAAGAGAAAGAGGCTAGGGAGAAGGAAGCAGCAAATGATCCAGCAAAAGCCAATTACGGAAAGTTGCCACTTATCAATTCATCGACCAAATCGAATGTAAAAAGATCACAAATTGCTGATTTATCAGCTGCAAACGATGGTGAAATTGTCACTCTCAGAGCAAGAGTTCATAAAACCAGACAACAAGGTGCAACAATGGTTTTTTTTGCTTTGAGACAACAAACCAACATCATCCAAGCATTGTTGAAGACCAACAAGGAAACCGATGACAAAGCCATTTCAAAACAAATGGTAAAGTGGGCCGGAGGTATTAGTTTGGAAAGTATTGTTTTGGTAGAAGGTAAAGTGTCCAAAGTTGATGAATTGGTCAAGTCAGCAACTGTTCAAGATGCTGAAGTACACATCACCAAGATCTACACCATTCAAGAAACTCCTGAGCAATTGCCACTTTTGTTGGAAGACGCATCAAGAACTGAACAAGAGGCTGAGGAATTGGGATTACCTGTCGTCAACTTGGACACTAGGTTGGATTCAAGGGTTATTGACTTGAGAACTCCAACCAATCAAGCTATTTTCAAAATTCAATCTGGTGTTTCACAACTATTCAGAGAATTTTTGTCAAAGAAGGGGTTTACCGAAATTCATACACCAAAGATCATCGGAGCTGCATCTGAGGGTGGCTCAAATGTGTTTGAGATTAACTACTTTAAAGGGTCCGCATTTTTGGCACAATCACCACAATTGTACAAGCAACAATTGATTGCAGGTGATTTTGAAAAAGTGTTTGAAGTTGCACCAGTCTTTAGAGCTGAAAACTCCAACACTCATCGTCACATGACTGAATTCACCGGATTAGATTTGGAAATGGCTTTTGAGGAACATTACGATGAAGTTTTGCAAGTGTTGGAGGACTTATTTGTATTCATCTTTACTGAATTGAAGGAGAGATATGGTAAAGAAATTGCCACTGTTAGAAAACAATTCCCAGTCGAAGAGTTCAAAATCAACATGGTTAAATTGCATTTCAAAGAAGGTATAGCCATGTTGAGAGAAGCTGGTAAAGAAGTCGACGATTTTGAAGATTTATCAACTGAAAATGAAAAATTATTGGGTAAGTTGGTTCGCGAAAAGTATGACACCGATTTCTATATCTTGGACAAGTTCCCATTGGCTGTGAGACCATTCTATACCATGCCAGATGCAGAAGATCCAAGATACTCCAACTCGTATGATTTCTTTATGAGAGGGGAGGAGATTTTATCCGGTGCTCAACGTATTCACGATCCAGAGTTGTTGAAAGAAAGAATGAGAGTACATGAAGTTGATCCAAATACTCCAGGTTTGAACGATTACGTTGATGCATTCACTTATGGATGTCCTCCACATGCTGGTGGTGGTATTGGTTTGGAAAGAGTTGTTATGTTCTTTTTGGACTTGAAAAACATTCGTCGTGCCTCATTATTCCCAAGAGATCCAAAGAGATTGAGACCATAAATAAGATGTGTAGCGATGTTTTTAATATGCTTTTGAAGTGAAGGTTCGTAGGTTGAGTTTGTGTCGAAAGTGCGGCTCTACAGTCAATTTTTGGCAGTGGATGGAAAAATCCGCTGATGAAATCTCTCTTCAAAAGAATGCAAGAAACGAGTAAACAAAGAAGGTAATCGATAAAGATACATCATGGAAGCTACAATTGTACCCCATCCGAAGGACACCAATGCGACTATATTGCTAATGGGATTACGAAGAAGTGGGAAATCCTCGATCTGTAAAGTCGTTTTCCACAACATGCAACCGCTAGATACATTATACCTTGAGAGTACATCCAAACCAACTAATGAACAATTCTCATCGTTGATTGACTTGTCTGTTATGGAGCTCCCCGGACAATTAAACTACTTTGAGCCAAATTATGATTCAGAAAGGTTATTTTCATCTGTTGGGGTTTTAGTATATGTAATTGATTCTCAAGATGAATATTTGAATGCTTTAACAAACTTGTCCATGATTATTGACTTTGCCTATAGAGTCAATCCAAAAATCAACATAGAGGTCTTGATCCACAAGGTTGATGGATTAAGTGAAGATTATCGCATGGATGCCCAACAAGATATCATGCAAAGAACAGGCGATGAATTACTAGATTTGGGATTGGAAGGAGTTCTGGTTAGCTTTTACTTAACTTCAATCTTTGACCATTCAGTATATGAAGCATTTTCAAGAATAGTGCAACGTTTAATTCCAGAGTTGCCTTCTTTGGAACACATGTTGGATAATCTTGTACAACATTCAAGCATTGATAAGGTATTTTTATTTGACGTTAATTCCAAAATTTATGTAGCTACTGACTCACTGCCAGTCGATATACAAACATATGAAGTATGTGCTGAGTTTATTGACATTACAATTGATTTAGATGACTTGTATATTGAAAATGATCAAAACAACAACAAGAATGGGGTCAAAGGTGCCAATGGAATTAAAGAATTGCGCTCAGTTAGCCATTTGTCAAATGGATCTACTTTATACTTGAAGCAAATGATCAGAGGATTGGCGTTAGTGGCGTTGATACGGAACGAAAACTTTAATGGTGCCTCTGCAGATTCAGAAAAATCATTGACAATTATAGAATACAATGTTGATTTATTCAAACAGGCGTTAGTGAAAATGTGGATTCCAAAGCATTGAAACGTGTGAGTAATTCATAAAACGGTTGTATAGAGAGACATAATGAACATTCGAAGAGACGTGATTTTCGTGGTCCAACAAACTCTCTCTACTCATGCTACGCTATCAATTCGAAACTGGAGTTTATATTAAAAGCATCTATAAATAGAGCTTCAACTCCAACAAAAAACAGCGAGGATACAATCCGGGGCCACTGTGCACATAATTGTGTTGATCGTATCCCCGAAAATTCGATATCAACAATGCAGGATTATCGACAATCGATCAAACTGAAAAAGAAAAACTCTAAAAGTTAAGTAAAGGAAACCAAAAATTAAAAGACCCACACTTTCTGATTCAACGGCCTCCGTGGCAAGAACAACTCCTCCAAATCAACCTAACAAGCAGGCAAAATATCAAAGTATTCATACACCACAGAATAAACAGCTGAACCATTAATGAAAGTTGGCATTTTTCAATCCATGGCGGTCTTCACCACTCTCCATACGTCAGCTCCGAGAAGACATTCAGTAAGAGTGTAGGCAAAATGTGCAATGCCTCTGGATCTAGTAAATGATTGCAAGACTACTTGATCTCCTGCAATATCTCAAGGTAAGTATGAAGAAAAAGAAAAAAAAGGGAAAGAAAAAAAGGTAAAAAAAAAAAGTTGGTGGGAATTGAGAGGTATTTATAATCAAGAAAGAAATGGTTTGCCAGCTATACACGACCTTTTCATTAGATGACACTTCTAACACTTGACTCTAAAAGACGCCAAAACTTCTGCTGACCTATGCAGATTGATTTCGGACGTGTCTTTCTTATTGCTCTATAAACCGGTACTGACAAGCATACATCAATTCCTTTCCTGGGTTCCTCACATAAAGTGGATTTTTGGGATTTTTCAATAAATGTGGTGTCAAAAATACTCCACCAATTCCCGTGAATTTACCTTCATTCAAATTCAAGCCACCTGTAGTGACAAACCCAACCACATATTCATCCTTACAGATATTCTTTTCATATATTCGAGCATTGTTTTCAATAACTCCTTCTCCAATTGTTTTGAGTGAAATCAAAGCAATGGGGAGCATCTTTAATAATAAATCGCCATCTTCTGCTTCTAATAAAAAGCGGTCTTTTCTAAACTCAGAAGGTCTCACAACTGATAAAATACTTTTATGTTTATCTTGGATCTTGTTGGCATAGACTGCATGCGCTACTTTGGTCGCAAAGGAATTTGCGATTGCCGGAGAACCCGACGAGTTCCTCTTTGCCTCTTCCATTCTTTGCAATGTATATATTGCGCACTTCAAGTTATGCCAGTCACAAGTGTAGGCATCGTAAAGGGTACTGAACCGATCTTCCGATTTCTGTAACGATATGTACTTCTTTGGCTTCTTAGCGTCAGTCCCTCGACTCAAATCACCAATCATGCAATTGTACTTTTGCCCGTCATCGGTCCATGCATAATCATATGGATATGTGGGTTTGTTATTCTCAAAATTGAACTGATAAATTTGCTTCAATCCACCTGCTTTGATACCAGGTATCTTCACCAACTGGATCCAAATGGGCAAGGTCCAATACCAAGGGCATATCAATGACCACGTTTGAGCTTCAGTCTTAGTCAACAAAAGTGGAATAGTACTATGCAGTACTTTTTCAAATGGCGTCCCGTGACTTTGAATCCTTCCCAATTCTTTGATTGATAGTTGGTTTTCATAAGACGCGTATCTCCCTTCAGGTGAGAACAATGACTTGAGCGTTTTGGGGTCCGCAACACACTTGTTATTTAGAAGCATTACCGTATCATAAATATCTTGTTCGTTTTTGATGGGAAATTTTGTAGGTCTAGTCCAAAGACGAGGATCGTATATCTCGAAGCTCAATGTAGTGCCTACTGGGATCAATGAGTTGTCACTGTGTGAAGACAACGACGCCCAAACAGTTTTCAATTCCTCAGATGGATCTCGCAAATGCAAAACTTTGCTCAAGTATTGTAAACTTAATGGCCCCAGCAAGTCGATGCTACCCAAGCTGTACCGGCAGTCGGTGAGCTCTATTCCAGGCCAATCACGTAAAATAAAGAATTTAAGTGAATCCACAAGTTTCTCGTAGTTGTCCGTTTGAACTTGTATAAACATCACCTTACTCTCTAATGAAAGATAAATACAACCGAAAGCAACTGGCTCTTTTCGAATATAAATCAAACCATTGTATGATCTCTTTCCAGTTAAAATCGAAGAAGGGGCAATCGTTCTGTTTAGCAAGGTCCCTACAAAATAGGGAACGGCTGTGTCGCGTGTCCACGTGAGCGTCAAGGTACCCCTGTATGAAGTATCAAAACACACTGCCTTGTACTTGTTTTGCCTGTTCATTAACCTGAAACATTTTTGTGTTGGAGTATAAGGAATTTGAAAATGGCATCTTTTCGACATCTTGAAGCGTTTTGCGTGCCATATGTGGGTTGGAATCCATGAGAATTTAAGCTGCCTTTTGCCATACCTTATACTTATTGGTGGAGGCAGAGCCCTAAATCCTACTGCCGTATGATCAAATGAACCAACTGAATTATTGAGCTTCTTCTCCAGAGGAGTCCATCTTTGATCCAATGTCTTTGAAATCTCCTTATGTTTGGCACGTATATTACACTTTGTCCAAATTTCTCCTGGAGTACACCTTTCTTTTTTCATTCTTGATGCCACCTTTAATAACTTCTGCCTCTGCAACAACTTGTATAAATTTCTTCCCCTAGCCACTTTTCTTGAAGGTGCATTAGCTCCTTTCATTTCCCTCAATGCTTTGGCTCTCAATCTTTTGGGAATCCGACTTATATGATGGGACGCAGCTCTTCGTCTCATCAGTCGAGGCAAATTTTGAAAACATCGTGAATTCAATGCTTGTTTGCTTTTCAATTGCGACAATTCAAATGCATTAATTTCATACTTTCTTGATTGTAAAAATTCAGGCACATTCAATTTGGTGTCTTTTTGATCATAAGAAGCATCATTGTTTTGTGCTTTGATATTTCGACTGTCGTAAAGCCTAGTCTTCTTTTTGTTTAATTGCGATTTCTTATCATTACGTGGTTGATTATTCATGTGAAGAGGTGTAGATGGCTATAGTATACTTGGGTGGTTATAGTTTAGCTCTTTCTGTTTTAGCTTTCTCTCCCTATATTGAAAGTAAAATAAAAAAATTGAAACTTTAGACACGCACGTTTGGTTGAAAAGAATTTTTCACTCACTGAGGGTCTTTGTTCAAAATCTAATTATAATGAACTCTACTTCATTGCAATGTTGTCAAGAGAGAAGACGAGGGAGTAGAAAGTGGAAAAGGGCAAAAAGAATGCTCTCAGCAGGATTCGAACCTACGATCTCCTCATTACTAGTGAGGTGCCTTACCAACTTGGCCATAAGAGCGTGTACAGTATTTTTCGTTTTTTTAGTCAATATTTCGTGTTTGTGTTGCATGAAAAAACCTTACGTGTTTCGCCGTATAGCTTAAGATTTTTATCAACTAGTGGACAATCATAGCGGGTTGCTCTGTAAAAATCATATGTATTCTAGCTTACGGGGTGTCTATTGGGACTTCAAATCCGGTTCATTCTCTTACCCATCTTATAACCATCTTGATTTAGAAGTCACATTTTGCTAAGAATTGGTTGCAAAAAAAGTAAAATGTATATTCATCAATGATTCTTCAAGAATTACACAAGGCTGAACCAAAAACGTGAGCCGCGAGAGGATCACCCAACTAATCACAACGTTTTCAGCTGAAACCTCCAAAGCATTGTCAACACATTACCAGTTGCTAAATCGTTTCTCAAATGCATAATGAAATGTATTGAATAAATATTAAATCTAAATAGTCGAGAACACTAGTATCCTCATAACCAGCCATCACCCCATCCATCTTCTTCTTCATCATCGCCTGTATCAACAGCCAAATTTAAATTCAATGTTGGTTTGGGTTTGTTCGTATTGGCCTTCCCACCATGTCCCAATCTCAAGGATGTCGGTTTTTGTTTAGCACCACCTGGTAGTTTTCTCACTGGTCTGGTGCCTCGAGTTGACGTATGTGTGCTATCTGTTAATTTACCAAGATTAAGTTTGCGAACCGGCTCAACTAGTGGCATTTGAATTGTTGCCTCATCATTGGCAAGCCAATCATCATTGAATTCATTGTCGTCCCACCCTTGACTCTCGCCGTCGTCGTTGTTATTCTTAGTTTCACCTGTGTTGATAGGAGTTTCCAATATAGGCAATTGTTGTTGTGTAGGGGTACCAATACGAGTAATATCCGGCGTCGATTGATTGAAATCCTTGTTTAACTGACCACCAGCGGTACTAGCGCCACCACCACCAAAAGAAGCGAGTTTGTTGACCACACCCCATCCAAAGTATCCACCATCATTGCCTGTATGTGAATCTGAAATTGACGCATTAGTTGTAGAGTTGGTTACTTCCTCATCTACTGGTTGTGGTTTTGGCGCATATCGTTTGTAAAATTCACGTTCTTCTTCATCCTCATCGGGCTCAACATCAGGCAACTCTTTCGCATGAGCTTCAACTGAATTCAAGTAAAGATCAAATACTTCCTTAGCTTCTTTGCGTACTCTTGCCGATTTCTTATCCATAAGCGATATCGCCAAATGTCCCAATATCTTTGAACATATCTCTTCCAAGGAAAACTCATCAATCAATGACTTGAATCCATTCAAGGCAGTGATTTTGCATGGGACAAATGAATCGCGTAATGATTTCGACAATGCTGTGATGAGGACGCTATTTTTGGAATTTGTATATATCTTGGATGAGATTTTAATGATTAAAATTAACGTGTTTACTCTTATTGACGGTTTAGGGTCCATTTGTGACTTTGCCAAAATACGTAGTAGTTCCTGATTAACTTGCTTGATGGAAATTTTATCAATAATGATTGTGATTGATTTCAATGTCGTTTCTCTAATCAAGAAATTTGTATCTTGGAATCCAGTGATTAAAGGACTGAATATCTTTGATTGAATCTCAGAATCTTGGAAAAAATCTTGATACTCAGGCAAATGAGTCAACAACACCAATCGCACTGATCGATCAGCTAGACCAAAACTTTCAAAAATTATCGGTTTGATTTGTTTGTTGAATTCTTCGGAGTTCAATTTAGTACCAAATTTGATAATTAGATTGAGAATAGCAGTTAATGTCTCTTGTTTCGCTACTGGATCAAGGACATTGGAATTAGAAGTCGTTGTTGTTGTTGTTGTTGTAGTAGTAGTACCAGGGGTGGCGACTGCATTACCACTGCTTTTCAGCAATTGTTTATATTGGCGTATCAATTCAGGTAGCAATTTGTAATTCAACATTCCTGGAGGATATATATCATCATCATCAATATATTGTGGCAACTCATACTTGAAAAAGGCAATTTTCTCGCCATCATTCTTAAACTGCAACTCGTGCAACAGATGATCAAATTGAATTACTTTGTTCTGATTGTGAAAAGATTCCAACTCCTTTATGAAATTAGCAATGGTGGATCTTTTGGCATATAATCTTTTGACAGGACCAACTAATTTCACAGGCAATTTCACATTAGTGTCAACAACATCCTTCCTGCCAAACACAGAATACACAAAGCATGCCAATTTATACCCATCCAACTTCTTGGGGTTTTGTCTAATAAATTCATGATCAAGATCTTGCTGTTGGAGATGAGGCAAATTTTGGCTCAAGCGATAAATTGGTTGATCGGGGTCCGAGTTCAAATTAGTAACGACTTCAAAACCCATCAATTTCCATTCCCCCAGTCGAGTAACAAACACTGAATTGTAAAAATTTAATCCACCATAGACTGAATTACATTCCTCATTAATGAATTTCAATGATTTCTCAATCGAGTAGAGACCAGCAACTAATGCATCATTACTCAAGTTGTTCACTTCCAAGTAATTTGACAATGGCACAACTCTTTCTGTGATTATGTACAAGTTTGAATCATTTTCGATAAAGTCAAATATGGTAATAATGCCTGGGAATTTGATCAATTTTAATTTCTTGAAAGCATTCCGAGCTAGTAGTTCATATCGTTGAGTCTTGGGTTCATGAATATTAAACTCAAATATCGATATTTTCGACGAGTTCTTGGGGTTGATACCATCATATAAAGTCCAAATTGAATTTTGATTAGTTTCAAGTTGCGATGTGGAGGTAGGTGTTACTGGGTCAACAATTTTTTCTTTGAATGTATATGGTATTGATGAGCCAGTAAATGTACTCAATGTCTTGCTGAGGAAGTTCATTTCGATGGGAAAAGCAAAGTCAGAGGTGGGAGCAATACACGGTGAAGAATCGTGGTGGTTGTTTGGACTTTTGAGAAAATTTTCAAACAAGTGTTGATTTTGTGCGTAAATAAGGACACGCTCTTTATTGACAAAAACGCGAAAACTCAGAAAAAGCTCTTCTAAAGCTTTTCCCATAGGCTCTTGTGGATAAGTTAGAAACAAATGAGTTTTTACATTATATACTGTTACAAAACATCAAAAAATCGTAAAATATATAACCAATTGGTAAGACCATCTGATTAAATTAAAGGAGAACCATCATCACATAGAAAACAAACGTAGATCGAAACCCGAGATACCTCAACTCATCTCCATAGCAATTCCCAACCTTTGGCTCACTCTCTACCCCTTCACATCCTCAGGACTACCATCGGAACCCACAGAGCCAGCATTCTTTTGCCTTCCTCTTCCTCTAATTCCCTTATTGGAGTTCTTATACAAGCTTTTGAAATACATCAATAATTCTTTCTCATCAGGAGGCAATCTTTCCAAAGCAGGCCCACTCAATTCAGCCAACTTGTGAGTCAATGTATTCAAAGTTTGTGAATGGAATCTATTTTGATGTGACTTCAAATTTCCCAATTGAGTAAATGATTTATCACAATTGTCCAATTTACATTCAAATGGCTTCACATTTTCATGAGTGAGTTTGTGAGCTTCAAGGTTGCCCTTCCTGCTGAAGGACCTATTACATACGTCACAAGTGAATGGTTTTTCACCTGTGTGTAATCGTAAATGTGTTCGTAAATTGCCGCCTTGAGTAAATTTCTTGTGGCAATATGTACATTCGTAAGGCTTGTACCCTATATGGGAACGAATATGAACTTCGAGATGAGTAGATTGGGTAAAGTATTTCAAGCAATAAGGACATTGTTGTGTTCTAACCTTTTGACGTTTACTATCATGTACATCTTCCCCATCCAGATGAGGTGATGAGTGCGACTTGGACTTATGTGGTTTTTCAATCCCACCAACAAGGCTAACTGGTCGTGGAACCACCTCGCTTTGCAGTGGTTGACCCCCGAGTCCATAACCCTCACGTACTGCCAAAATACTTCCGTCAGGTCCTTGATCAATTGCTTGAGTTACACCTTTATCACGAGCTTGAATCACCAACATTAATTGGTCAATCTTGGTAGCTCCTAAAAGCGGCCGACCATCCTCGGACCTGGCAATCTGTTGAGCTGGAATTAGATTGGGATTGGTGGGGGAAACAGCTTGTGGATTGACAGACTCAGCAATCTCCTTTGATTTACGTGAACGCTTTGATGGTTGCTTTTTTTTCTTAGTTGACCTTGATCCTTCGACCTGTTGTTGTTGTTGTTGTTGCTTCTGGTGTCGTTGCAACAGTTGTTGTCCTTGTTGTTGTGGTTGCGCATACTGCGGAGGCTGCTGGAATTGCTGCTGTTGAGGTACGTAGTATTGTGGTTGTTGCTGTTGCTGTTGCTGCTGTTGTTGTGGTGGGGGTATCCCTTGTTGTAAATATGGTTGCTGATAGGATTGCATTTGTTGACGGCCAGGTTGTGCAAACATTTGCAGTGGAGGTATCTGTCCTTGAGCTTGCTGTGGTTGATTTGATAATGAGTATTGGTATCCTCCCATAAAGCTGCTTTGCCGATTGTTTCCCCCCGGCAGAATCGCCAGAAAGGAAAGTTGATTGCTGAAATTGGGGTATGATGAATATTGATACTGATTTGGTGGGGACAATGGGTTTGCATTGGTTTGGAATACCCTTTGTCCCTGTGAATTCATTGAAGGGCGTTGATTGTAGGAAGATGTGGGGTAAGCAGATGGGTCCATTATGCTTCTATTGTACATGTTTGGGGACGTTTTTGGGGATTGTGGTTCATCATTCGGCTTAGATGCTTTTGATGAGACTGACGAAGTAGGTGATACTTCCTTTTCGCCTTTGCTGCTTTGTCGCCTAGCTTTTCGATCTTTTCCACGCTTTGCGACATCAGTATTTTGCTTGCTACTTGAATCTTTCCCCTTTTCAAATATATCTTGCCTTAAAGTGGTATTTGTATTCGAAGAATTGGCCGACGAAATAGATCCACGAGGGTTTCTCAATGTAGATTGATTGTTTAGAATTTTCAAAATTGAATCACGACGTTGTTGATCATTCATATTAGTGAAATCAATTGATCCATTGGATATCATATTCTGTATTATCTCCGTAATACTATTGCTGAACCCTATCGAGCCTGGTTGGTTGGTATTGTCGATCCATGCTGACAAATCAAGTGACCCACCTTTACCTTTGGCGCTACTGATATTATTTGGCGCAACGGCACCGGCACCAGCACCAGCGCCTGTAGCGGTTACACTCGAGGTGCTTCCAGCTGGCCCACCAGGTGCACCACTGAGTGAAAATTTCAAATCACCCTGTTGCCAAGCAAAAAGATTAGCCATGCTTTCCCTATTGTTACCAAACAAATTTTCCAAATCTTCAACAGTAAACTCTTGATTTGGAATTAAGGACATTTGCCGTGAGCGTGATGTTGGTGGTAAATTGGGAGCCTGGTTTCCGGTGGCCCCAGCAGTCTTGCTTCCGCCCGCAGAAGTAGAAGCCTGGTGTAGTTGTTGCGTAGGAGGACCCGATTGCTCACTAATGGAGTTGCCATTGGATCCTGGTAAATTGATGAGGGAACTAAATATACTGTTTGAGCGTGATCCAAGTGGATTACCAGTTGATTGGTTCAAGCGCGGATTTCCTGATGTCGTTTCATACGATTGCTCAGAAGTTGGTCGAATTTGTGATGATGATATTGGTGGAGGTAAAAAAATTGAGTCTCCTCTACTTCGAGGACCAAATTGTTGAGGCGGAATTGATTGCAACGTTTGTGAATGCTGCTGTTGCAGTTGTTGTTGGTGTTGCTGCTGTTGCAGTTGTTGTTGTTGTTGTTGGTGTTGTTGCAGTTGTTGTTGTTGGTGTTGTTGCTGTTGCGATCTTTGGAATGATTGATTGGAAAAAATGTTATTGCTCATTTGTGGTGGATACTGCGATTGCGATTGAGTTGATTGTTGTTGCCCAGGCGGTGATTGATGTTGTGACAGGTGCTTTGGTGGTTGCGAATGTTCTAGATAGCTCATTGTGAATTATAATGTGGAATATTGTTGCTGAATTTAATCGTTTATTTGAATGGAATTCGTTGACGCTTTGGTATAGATTCGAGTTCAGTAGGTCGTGGTACGTTAACACTGTCAAAGTCTGTAGTATCGAAGTGTTTGCTGTTGCTGCTTAAATGTAGACCGGTAAACAAAAATGGTGATGCATTTTATGTTCAGTAGTAAGTTAATTGTAGCAGTAGTACTGGTGTGATATGAATTGTTTGTACTATTACTGGTATGTGTGTATGTGTGTGTAAAAGTTCAATTGAGTATATCTGTACTTGATGGGCAGTGTTCAATGTCTGGGTGTGGGTGTGGGTGTGTGTGTGTATTTTAGTTTTTTTTGTTTTGTTGATGATTCTTATTTTTTCTATGTGCTTTTTAGTGAATGATTGTGTAAAGTACGTGATGTATGTGTAATAATGAATGATGTATTATAATTTCATATTGATGACAAGAGAGCACTTTAAAAAGACGTAAAAATTCTAAAAATGAGTGCTGAAATGTTCAACTATTAAAACCACTGCTACACGTATTGCCAAAGAGATTGATCAGGTAATATATGCATTGTCTATACTCTACGCATTTCGTAATGGGGGTGACCAATGATTCAAAGCTATACAACACAGTAGGTCTTCTGGTCGTTTCAATGCTATCATAGATGATAGTTTGGGAAAGGCTACGGTTACTTCATGAATAGAGCATCCTCTTTGTCCTGACACTCGTATAGTTTTTGCCCTCCCCCCCCTCTGTAACATCATCCCCTAGCTGATTTTTTTTTGCAACTTTAACCTAACATTGTGCTTGTTAAACTCATATACAACAGATATTGAAGAAGAAAATCAGTAAGTCAATGCTGGTAACACTGTATTCTGCTCTGTTGTAGGTCAATCATTTGCACCTGGTGCTTACTAACCTATTGTATATATGAATTGTTCCATATTATCAAACTAAATCTATTATGGTAGCATAGTACAAAGTAATAGCAATCATTACTTTACATTACTTTTAGTCTACACAGCTATTACGTCGTACTTACATACATACACATATACATATAATAAACCCATACCCTTTCTATTTTTTAAACAAAACAGACCACTTTTTGCCATATGACCAAAGTGATAATGACCAAATACACACTTGGTCCAAGGAACCAAATTCATTTATGGCTCATGGTAAATACCAAAAAGAAAAAAGATGATTCATTTTCGTTGATTTTGTGACTGTACGCTTTTATTGTCTTTGCAAGTGGGGAAGACAAGAAAAAAATTCAATAGCTTTGATCATACTAAGACAAATGCTATATAAGCCTTCAAGAAATAACATATCAGGCATCTACCGTATGATGATTTAAAATTGGTTGAGATTAGTCCCAACTGTTTCAACTCTGTCATCGTTGTAAATAGCATTAAGGTTTCATAATGATCTTGTGTAACATACTAATCAAAAACCATTCTTTTCTTTTCGTCCTTTCCTTTTTTCGGAATGCAATTGAAATTCCCATAGCGCATCATCAACACATATTCAAATTCTTTTCCGCAGATGCCCGGTTTGCTTTGTCCCTGCACTGATGTGCATTTTCACGAAGCAACGGATAAAGAGATTCCAACATCTCCTTCAATATATATTGCAACCCAATCATTTTGTCATCAATCTTACCATTGGATTTTAACATCTTTCCTTCAAACCATTTTGAACAGCTCAAATCAGCTCTCTTTGGGAAAATCATTTTGTGAACAATCTTGACAAATCTAGCCACAATACCAATAAAATAACTTTGTCGTAATAGACTAACCGCAAAATTTTCATCCAATGGGATAGTAAACATAGCAATGGTGTTCTTGACACAATATACTAAATCATCATGTGATAATTGATCGACCCTCTCTAAATCGTATTGACGTGGTTTGGGACCATTTAAGGGGAATGTAAATTTAGTTATATCAAATTTGGGAAAGAAATTGGTTTGCGAGGTTAAAGTGGTGTTTGTACTCGAATTAGCACAATTACTAGCTTGCGTGGAGTTTGTTGCTGACGTTTCGTTTGTAGTTGCTGGGGGATGGCGCTGGTTGGATAGGGAGCGATTTAGCGAAGATGGCAGTTGGTTAAAGTCAGCTGCAATTTCATCCTTGTTGGGTAAAGCAACATCAACTTTATTATCATGTGATGACGATCCTGATGGTTGTTCCTGATTTTGCTTTTCATCCTCTGTTTCCCTCATGTCCGCATCAATAAGAGATTGATCTGCACGAGAATCATTGTGATATTTGTGTTGACAAAGCAGGGGACTATCACGCACATTCTTTGGGATAACCGTATCAGAAGTTTGTAATTTGACATCATCATTCGGGTTTTCTGAAAGTTGCCTCAAGCTACTTCGTCGCAGTTGATTATCGATCTCGAGACCATTTCCACATACTTGCAATGGATCAACTAACTGTTCAATTTCTTTATCCAAGTGTTTCTTATCACTTTCTAACTTCAGCATCTTGATAAGCAACAGCTCGTTCTCTTTCTCTAATCTCGATAACTTACTTAGCACCATCTCCCATTGTCGGCGACTCACAGTCATAAATCGACCATCATTATCTTTGGAGTCGCTAACACCATCACTATACCCTTGCTGATCTATAGTATAGCCATTGATTTCGTTTCGAAGAGGCAGTCTTTGCCGTTGTCGTTGTTGTTGTTGCTGTTGCCGTTGCTGTTGCTGTTGCTGTTGCTGTTGCTGTTGTTGACGCAAATCAAATTCATGTGGCGAGTTCACTGCAGTACTATGATAAAATGGGCTACTACGATCAGGACTTGAAGGAAATGGAAATTGTGACATCATGATAGGATTCTTCAATTGAGACTCATTTGAATTGACGTTGCTTGTAGAAGAATTTTTACTACGATGAGGAACATGAACTCCAGATTCTGTTGACTGAGATTGTGCTATTGGTTGTTCATCAACGCAAACAGGATACGGAAGCTGCTTCTCCGTTTTGCGTTGCTGATCATCACGCTCCTTCAATGGGTCTACTTGATGTTGCCAATTCTCCTTATTGTCAAAATGGTTGGTTTTCAATACTGGTGTGCTATGATTCAATCCACTCGGTTTTGGTTGCCAATTATCGTCAAATTGCAAAACTTGATCTTGCTGATTCTGGTCATTAAAAGTGAGATTTTCCACAAGTTTGCTTGCTGCCAAATGCATTGATTCTTTATGGTTATCAGGTACATCATCTATGTCATCCACAACACCACCTCTTAATAAAACACTGTTTAATGAAATTGAGTTTTCAAGTGTAGGTGAGTGTGCATTGGTGGTGGTACTGCCAGTGCTATCTCGATGTTGATGACTTCTATCTTTGAATGATTGTGATAAGTTGGGAGTGGATTCAGTATTCATGATGGGAGTGAACTCAGGTGTATATATTTGTATATATATCACTATATCCTTGCAAAAGAGTAAGCGATAGATTGTAAACTACACATGGGTACTTTATTTTTTTTTTGGAGTTGGAAGAGGACGCGTAATTTCTACGACAGCACCACAAAACACATTGCATTGTCAGATGGTTTTGTAAGATATAGAAACCAATGGATAAAGACAGAGAGTATATGATCTACTACTGTACTCATTGCCATCCTCTAAACACAATGATTTAAACTGAAAGTTTTCCGTATCTTTTGGTAACTATCCATCTGGTATGCTGCTCTGATGTTGGGCACAGCTTGGAATAAGATTCTGATCTTGTTGTTTGATGACATTGAACTGTCAGTATCAATAATTTCAATCGGCTACGACATTTTGTGCTGCTACTTTTTTTTCTCAAAGTTGTATAGTTGTGTGTGCATGTGTGTAAAAGGTTAAAGATGGCGGATATGTCCGTATCGACCAAAGGGCTTGCTATGATCAATTGTATTTGCTTTGGTGAGATTTTTTGTAATGCCCTTGAAGTCAAAGAGTTTTTGCTTTTCCAAACGGTTCTTCTCGGCTGATCCTGTGTGTTGCTTGTACTGAAGGGGGATAAACAATGTACCGGGTTCTATCTTCTCTTCAATGCTATTAATAATAATTTTTGTACAAATACATCATACTGAAAGTACACCTTCAATTGTTTTGAACGTCAAACATGAGATTCTCTTTTCGTCTACTTTTCTTTGTTCTCAACTTGAATGGGAACCAAAGCTGTAAACTGTTACAACTGTCCTGAACTGCATATATTGAAGAACATGTAGCTCTATATGGAACTGATCTCCCTACTATGTCGAGAGCGAGAGGGGATCTACTCGGGGGGGGAGGGGGAGAGAAGCCAAGCCGTGAGTGCTCCAGGGACACGCATCTACAACCACTACTGCTTATTAATTCCAGAATTGAAATAATTGAAGACTATTCATCTATTTTACTTAGATTTTGTTTTCCTTAACACCGTGTTTCCAAATGGCAACGTATGGAGTAGTTCCGTCTTCTCTGTAGTTCAACAAAACAATCATGGCATCTGGGTCCATAGATTCACCGGTGTAGAAATCCCAATCATTGAATGATCCCAAAACCTTTTTAACGTACTTGGTAGCACCTTTTTCAAAAACTTCGACTTCATCTGGGTTGTGTTCAGCCAAATAAGCCTTGACTCTCTTCATGTAACCTTTGATATAAGTAGTGAAAGATTTCTTATCAAATTGAGTTGGTTGCAATCTGAATGAGTAGACAACATTGTTGACGGTTTCAGAACCATCTTCCAATGCTTCCTCACCATCTTCAGCAGATGGGTTGGCACCAATATCAATGTCACCATTACCAACATTAACCATAGCACAGTCAGCTTCGTAAACAGCATCGTCGACTAACTTAACATCGTAAGCGTCAGATAATAATTCGTCGTTTGAAATAACGTCTTGGTAGATGATCATTGTGAATAGTTTGTGTGTCCTAAAGGGTGGAGAGGGAAGGGGAAGTGTAGAGGAGATGGACTTTTTTTTTTCCAAAATTGAAAAATTTCAAATGGTGAAAAAAAAAGAAGAAAAAAAAAAAATCCTTTGAGATGCATCACGTGGCATCTTTTACAGTTTTTCCCTAAAACGGACATCCGAAGCGGCTACGATGGTTTCGTTATAATGACATGGGCATGAAATTCAAAAACAACGTATTATTACAATAAACACAGCTCCACCAACACTAATCGAGCTCATAATTGAATGCTCTTTTGAAGAAATCCAAAATCCTGTCATAAACTACTTTTTGTCCATTATGATACGTCATACCATGGTTTGAATCAGGGAAAATCATAAATTCAAAATTTTCAACCTCGGCCAAATTAAACTCATCCAACAATTGCAAAGAATGTTGTACATGAACATTGTCATCACCACTACCATGTCCAATGAAAAACTTTTTCGCGTGTTTAAAGTTTGTCGCATTGTGAATTGATCCAGTTTCGTAACCTCGGGGGTTTTCTTGTGGTGTTCTCAAATATCTCTCAGTATAGATTGAATCGTATAATTTCCATTTCGTGACTGGGGCAATGGCAACACCATAGTTGAAGATAGGATTTTCGATGTCAGTTTCTATTGTTTTTAACGTCAAGAATCCTCCATATGACCAACCCCAAATGGCGATTCTCTCACGATCAACGTATGATTTTTCTGCCCATATATTAGCAGCCGAAATTAAATCCCGTGGCTCATACTTGCCCAATTGGTCTCTCACAATAAATTTAAATTTGGAGCCCAACTCGCGATTCAAGTTGTTGTATCCGGTACCTCTTCCATCAACAGTGACGACAATTGCATCCAATTCGGCTGCTACCAACGAATTAAATGAAATCGCCCACCTTTTGTCAACCATTTGCGATCCTGGACCACCATAAATTTGGAAAAGAACTGGGTACTTTTTGTTCTTATCAAATTTCAACGGTAAAACTTCAACAGCATTTGCTAAAAAAGTTCCACCTTGTTCATCCTTCAACTCAACAGTGCTGTATTTAACTTCAGGAACCACATATTTCCTCAATTTTTCCCTCAACTCGGCATTATCTTCAATTACCTTCACCTTCTTTTCCAATTTTAAATCATTAATTTGCTGTTTGGGCACATCGGGACCTAATATTGACAAAAATAAAAATCTAGCGCCAGATGAAAATGAAGACGAGTAGTAGCCGTCATTGGAGGTAATATCTCTGATATACGGAAGTCCATCATCTGATCTATCCAACAAATTAATCGAGTGAATGTGTCTTTCAATGGAGGATTTGCGGGTGCTGGTAAAGTAAATGGTATTTGTGTTGTAATCAAAAGCACCAACACCACCAACCACCTCCCAATTACCCTTTGTCAATAACTGATACTCTGAGCTATCGGGTGGGGAGAAATAAGCCAAGTGATTGAATCCATTTTCAACAATAGTATCAACGTAACCATCATGTTGGCGCCCAGCCGTTTTGTTTTTGGGTACAAATAACGTATGAGACGTTATTTCAAACCAAGAAGTGTCAGCCGTGTGTGATCTTATCAATTTCGATTCTTTTCCAATGAGATGAATCTCAAGCAAATCACTAGCACGATTGGATGTCTTTATCAAGACTTCATCTCCTACCCAAACAACTTCAGTGATCAACCTCTCAGACAACTCAATCTTTTCCGATTTCAAATCATGTTTCCTAGTTTCGCCCTCATTCAAATCATAAGTCCAAATATCAACTATTGGATTTGGATAGCCCGCTTTTGGATATTTGATTTTAACAATTTCGGGGTAATCCTCGAAATTATTTTGTGCGTAAAATGGTATGATGAATTCCGGTACTTGTGAATTGTTGGACTTTAAAAATGCAAATTTGTCACCCGCTGGAGACCACCACAAAACAACATCACTTGCAAACACTTCCTCTTCGTAAACCCAATCTGGTTTTCCATTAAATATTTCAGCTGAACCATCGTTTGTAACTTGTACAGCTTCTTTCTGTGATATGTGATGCAAGAAGATGTCATTGTTGTAGACAAATGCAACCTTCAATGAGTCCGGAGACCATGATACGGTGGAAATTTTGTCCTTGAAAATAGGCTCCACTTGCTGTGTCTCAACATCGAGTATCCAATAGAGACCAACTGAAGAGTGTCTCCACTGAGATGTCACATTGGATTTAAGAATTACTTTTTTCAAGTCTGGTGAAGCAATAAAGTCCTCTACATTGTAATTTACATCCTTGTATTGAAATCGCGATTTCTCAATTAAGACTTGGTTGTATTCTTCATCGGCAACTGATTTGATTACAACCTCAAATTCATCATCCTTTGTGTCATTCTTGATCACATAAGTGCCCCTATCATTATCAATTGACGACGGTGACCTGATCCATTGTATTTGATGTTGTTTTGTTGTCAAAATATGCTCATCAAACACTTTTTTATTCAAGGGAATCCTGCCCCCAAATTCGGTCGGTTTATTCGAAGGGGTGGCAAATATTGCTCCATTCAATTCCGATTCAAGCTCTTGTGCATGGAAATGAATATCATGGTAGGATTTGGTTTCCAAAGTTTTGAGAAAATGGTTAATAGACGAAACCAAGAATGATGACCCCCATATTAGAATACCAAACAACACCCCAACAACTGCTAGCCTCTTGAAATTCCTTGTTCGTCTCACTTTACCTTCCACGTCTTTCATATGATCTTAGCAAAACGCAAAAGAATAGTAATGCGGTGGTGCCGTTCCTATCGTGGAAGAAAAAAAAGAAAGGAAGAATGTTGCAGGCACTACCGTTTCTCTTTTGGGAATGGGTAAATATTACACAAAGTGTATTCGGCCATGAAACTGACTTAAGAACACCAAGATCGTGTAGTATAGTTTGTCGTCTTTCCGAAACGGTTCTTCAAAACAGCTACGGCATGTCTAGAGACTTTGAAGATAGCATTGGTATACGGGCAAAAACCATTTTGTTTGATGTCAAGTTGCATGCTATATATTCCTCAAATGGGTAGAGCTTCATATGACAGCGCAAAATATCTAATGAAGACTTTATTGCCATATTTTGGCGATTTCTTATGGTGTACTGTCACACCCCTTTAGTTCCTTTGTATCCATCGAGGTATTCTTTGGCACAAATTGTAATCTTGCTGGAAGTGTCAAAAATACCTTACACAAAAATTGGACAACATAATGGAATTTACATCTGATGGGGCCACACAATACGTTCCACATTGTACAAACGCTTAGCACCTTTCAAACTAAGCTGTGTCCAATATCACACTTTCAAACTTTTACTGGTTGCTCCTGCCTTGTTGATGCGATAGCTAGAAATTGGACATAGGAATACCATATACACTTAGATACCTTTGACGCTCTAATCATGCTGTAGTTAATCGACGAGGCCGTTATCGCGACTCCGATGGAATCCGAAGAACATATCGTAATTGTGGTTATTGCCAACCCGAACATCAAACTTCCTTATCATGTGAGACGAAATAAGAAGTTCCGTAAATTCTTTCACTATTTTTGCAATCGTTATCGGAAGGATATCGCATCAGACAACGACACTATTGTTGCTTCAGAATGAAGTCTCATTAAAAATTATCAAAGGCATAACGTAAATTTTACGAAATGTTCAACAAAAACCCATCTCAACAGAGATTTGTCTATGCAGGCTCAGTAGTGGAAGCTGGAACATCTTCACGTTCCTTGGAATTGATGGAACGTGACGCTATTCACTGTTCCTCTGTTCAAGAGGTATAATAAGGGATATATGATGATAGAGAAATATCTAGAGAGTCTTTGTGTTGGTAGTCGGGGTTTGTTTCTTTGTGATCAACAAGTTTGCTTTCAGTGTCGGGTGTCATTACCCCCCCCCCCCTTCTATTGTTTATTTGATCTTATTATTGTCAACAATTGGCGCATGAGTGATAAGGGATACAAGATCTGCTCCATTCATGTTTGCTCGACAGCATCAATCGATGGAGTAACTATCCACAGGCTTGAAACGCGAGCAGATGTGAAGGTGTTTTCTGGTCAATTCCTCACTTCCTCAATTCCGCGTTATTGACAAGCACACATTCTCTTTAGTAGTATCTGTATCGACATACCAAAACGTTTCAATATTATATTTGTTGCCTAATATCGATTTCAATGCGTATACTCGACTCTCATCAATGATTCTTCGTGCTTTAATACCGTATTCGTACCTCTGTTTGGAATTAAGACCAGCGTCAACAATATCTCTAGTATCAACGTTTAAATTCACGCCCCACGAGACCATCTTCTTCAATGCTTTGATTGACTGAGAAGTGTTGAATCCAATGCTAGACAAATACTCCTTGGATTGGGGTAAAAATTCATCTTGGAGGCAAACATGACGACAACACATTGCTATTAAAACACCTCCAAGCTTCTCGTTGTTGAACAAACTTGAATTTAATAGCAGTTTCAATGTTAAATCTGTGGCTGCCCCACACAAATGTTTTGAAATTGCAACCACTTGTTTTGGATGGATGTCTTCCAAGAACTTATCAACGTTGAGATGCTTTATGTCGATCTTGCTTCTCTTGACAACAGGCTTTACACAAAATGGTGCCGAGTCTTGGAGGATCTTGTTGTCTGCTTTGAGACGGTTTGTACCCCTATCGATCAATCCGAATCCATAATTTTCAGTAGTTCCAGACAAATCATGTAACACGCATTGATTCACATACCTCGATAGCTCACCTTTGCCACAACCAAACTCCATATAGAAGTTATCATTAGCCAACAAACCGAGCCGTCTTAGATTGCCTATGAGGGAAGATTGTTGTATTACATGCTTTTGATTTGTCTTTTCTAGTAGTTGCGGCACCAATCCTTGGTGCTCACATACCCTCATTTCGAGGGGATCGAATTGTATCTTGTCAACCAATTTTCTATAATAGTCCTCGTCATGAACTGGACCACTGTCAAACACTATTTCAGCTGAAGAATTTAATGTGTGATTTATATTTTCAACATACCAAGGGTCATGATCGTCTCTTGGTCTTGCATTACATTTCTCCAAATGTGAAGATAGATCTTGTTCCCAAATCGTGTGGTTTTGATTTAGTGGACACGGAATTCGCTTCTTAGTCGAACTTGTATCGTGAATCATGTGCTCTGAGCAATACTTGTTCAGTTTCTTTCTCAACATCCGACATCTTTTACTCTTCTTGGGGATAATGTACTCACACTGGTACGTTTGAGGCTTCTGCTCTAGCTTCTGCCTTTTTACTTCCCGTAGGTCGGCCATAGCGTTGGTGAGTTTTCTCGAGTTGCAAATCAAGAAACACAAAAAAATCTGGAAAATTAAAGCTCATCTCGTTAATTACAACTCTGGTGCACAGAATTTACTCTTCTTGATTCAAACATTTTGAAAAATGAAACACACCAATCAAATGTGGAAATTGGACTTGCTAGAAGCAAAGTTCGAAGATGTTCCTCCTAGGTATCCTCATACAAAGAAATTGCTTTTTGCATTGAACCATAAGAACAAGTTGGCAAAGAAACTACCGACAAACAAGCAAGAAGCACAAGCAGAGATCAAGACACTCAAAACTCGATACTTTGAGCAAAAATACCACTCAGCTTATATTAAATTGGAAAAAGAAACTAAAAGATACGTTAAACAAAAGAAAGCTCCTGACGTGTTTAACCAAAATGATTTCATAAGCCAATTGATAACTGCAAAATTGATCAAATGCATCACATCGACGATATTGTTGACCAAACATTTGAAGACCAATCCACCAGCGTATATTCCCGAAAATATTAGCAAGTACATTTTGGACAAGTCCAGTCCTTTTAATCCATCACATTTTTTTGTTCAATATTGTCAAAGTTCTAAAGAGGTAAATAACTACTGCTCAAATCTTTGGAATAGTAAAGCTGTCAAGTCGGTGGTTGATGATATAGAATGGAGCTTCAGAATGGTAAGAGGTAATTTGTCAAAGCAGGAATTCGAGGAGAGGAGAAAGCAAAAGGGAAGAGCTGCTAATGAAGACGATAGCAATGCAGGTGATAACACATCTGATGAAACTTCCGAAGAGTCAGGGGGTGAGCTATCAGACGAAGACCAGATTGCTGCATTTGACGGAATGGTGGCAGGATCTGATCAAGAAGAAGAAGATGATGACGAAGAGAAGGAAAATGGCCTAGACCCCAACATCGACTATAATGAAGTCACCGATGAAGAGCCATCAGAAGCTGCAAGCGGCGAATCAAGTCACGATTCAGGTTCCGAAATAGATTTGGGTGATGATTTTTTCGAAGAAGAGCCACCAAAAAAGAAATCAAAAGCCAATCCTGATTATAAGTACAATTTGCCTGAGTTGGCTCAAGGTTACTATTCGGGTGGTTCTGATGATGAAAGTGATGACATTGACAACGATGACGTGGTAAAGTCCATTACGCAACAACGCAAAAACCGAAGAGGTCAAAGAGCAAGACAAAAAATATGGGCTCAGAAATATGGCAAAGAAGCAAAACACATTGTCAAGAATATAGAACGGATTCAAAGTGAAAGGGAAACGAGGCAACGTGAGTACGAGGAAAGGCAACGAAAGAGAGAATTGAAGGCAAAATTATTGGCGGAGAAGCAACAACCCACTGGTGCTAATACTGAGCCTTTAGGTGAACGTAAATCTAAAGCGCTGGTTACGCCTCCTCCTGCGGAAGAGAAAAAGATCCATCCTTCATGGGAAGCTAAGAAACTAGCAGAAGAGAAATTGAAAAACGTTAAATTCCAAGGTAAGAAAATCACGTTTGATTAATGAAACCCTATAATAGATCGTAATTTATTTTGAAATCGTCGAGGAGGTCTTTTTCCGTTTTAGAATTGCACCACGATTCACCTTGAATAGTGAAAAAGTAATGACATTTCTCGGGTTCGCTGACTGATACTAAGTCGGGCCCTTCGCCACAAATAAATTCCACTGTTGCTGACCGTTTGGGCCCATTCCAGCATCGAGCACCCTTGTGATAATAGATCTTTCCATCTTTGTACTCTTTGAATTTACCAATAAAGATGTCATCTTGTGATATCCCTTGGATTAAATTGATTCTGTAATTGTAGCCACCCAAATCCTTGGACAACGTTAGTTGATCATAAGCTCGTAAAATGTCATCTGGTCCGAAATCAGCGCTTAAATTGTCCTTTATAATTTGAATTCTTGTTTGTAACTTTTCCAATTCTTGTTCTAATTTTTCAACTTCGTGATCTAATTCGTTACTTGACAAGTCTGACTTGTACTCTACTACTGGTTTGGGTAAGAACTTGCTAGTGAAAAGCTGATAGTAATAGCGTATCATGTTTGGTATCGACGGAGTGAAATGACTCACTTTTTCGACACCCAGGTGAGACATTGTCTTTGCCTTTTCTACCAATTGATGTATTATTTGATTCGTCTCGTGAATGTCCTCCAATGCTTCTTCTTCTTTATTAGAGATGTATTCTTGAAACTTTTGAATAACTTCTTTGACCGCAGCGTCATTGAAGTTCGGGTTATAATGGGTGGACAAAAAGTTCAAAATAGTTTCCAAAGCTTGAAGTTTTGATTCTTGGTGGAGGATATCTCGCTTATGCAATTTGACCTTATCGGCCAATCCGCCAAAATAGTCTTGCAAGTGGTCAAACACTGATTCGTCAGCATCATCCAAGTTTTCTGACTGAAGTTTCAAACTATTACATTTGGACCTCAATTCGGGCACTTTTTGCTCCAATTTTCTCAAATTCTCGATTAATTTTAACCTCTTCTCGTGTGCAATCTTGATTGTCCGCTCCTTCTTAACGCTAGCCTTTTTCAAGAATGACAACTTGTTATGCTTGTACTCTTCTAATTGGCGGTGAATCTCCTTACATTTGTTTTCACAACCGCCTAGTTTATACTCGTCAGATCCATCACAACAAAGGTCGTAATCACACACCCCATCATTCAATTTGAATTGATCAATGTAATTTGGAAAATGTCCTTCGTTTCGGCAATAGAATTTGAACGGCGGATTAGGGCAGGCATTAGTACCTGGTTCATCTGATCCATCTGGACAATCGCAAACATCATCATTAATCTGGTCGTAAGATAGTCTTATTGAAGTGTCATTCAAACAATGCCAGTATTTTTCACCATTTTCACCAATGATTGGCTGGTAAAGAGCCTGTCGCTCATCACTAACTCCTATTATGTTAGCATTTGCCAACAATGATAACACAGTTGAGACAATGAAAAGCTGTAGCATTCCTATGCTTAAAGAATGTAAAGTGTAGTGAACAAAGGGGTAGGGGTTGAGAATGATTTTTCGGCGCGTGGGAATTTTATTCTACAACTACACACTCACCATTCATTGACAAGTCGCTCAACACTTGAACTGCTTTGTTGGACACTTCATCCAACGATACTTGCTCCAAGCCACTGTTAACATTCATACCCATATCAGTTTCCTTCACTAGTCCCGGAAGAAGAGCATTTACTCGTATTCTGCCCTTCAATTCATTCGATAAACTCTTTGTGAACCCCAAGAGACCAGCTTTGGAAGCAGCATACACTGATGTTCCGGGTAAAACATGTTCAGTCAATGACAACACCGACGAAACGTTTAAAATTGACGGATTCTGCTTGCGTTGTCGTAACATGTGTTTGATGCATAGATGGCTTAGTATTATGGGAACCGTGAGGTTGAGGTTGACTGTATCCATAATCTGTTGTTGACTAGTTCTTTGCAAAAGTGAATGCGTCGTCACACCAGCACAATTGACTAAAATTGTATGGTTTTTGAGTTTCTCTTGGAACTGAGACAAGTCACAGTCCTTCTCTACAAGTGTTAGCAAGTCCATCACTTGAATTGAGTGCTGCTGTTGATTGTATTCCCTAGGAAGTTGTCGCACAGATCGCTGTAAGAGACTCTCATTTCTAGCTAGTAATGTAATTGACGCGCCCTGAGCAGCAAGCTTACTAGCTATAGCCAATCCTATGCCTTTAGATGCCCCTGTAATGAGTGCTGATTGTCCTTTAAACATATAGTAGGGGGGAAATAAAAAAAAGTAGTGCACAATCGCCATGGTCTCGTCTATATAAACTGCGTTTGTTTACATTTTTTTCTGAATCAGAATCAAAAGTATATTCAAGAAAGGACTGCCTTTTGATATTAGCTTTACCATGGTATGTCTCCACAAAGTTACCCCTTTTGGCGTTACTGTAACTCACGTTGCCCCCTCACGAGCATAACTACTAACACAGACTAGTCTCAAAATACAAAAACTTACAAGGACGCTTTTGCACTTTTTGACAAAAAGGGCACTGGTAGAATTCCAGTAGAACATTTGGGTGATTTATTAAGAGCTATTGGTCAAAACCCAACCCTTGCTGAAATATCGGAATTACAACAATCTATCAAGACCCCTGATTTTGATTTTGAAACTTACCAGGAAATTATCAACCGTCCTGATGGTTTCAAACCATTGGGATTACCAGAGGATTATATAAAGGGATTCCAAGTATTTGACAAAGAGCAAACAGGATACATCGGAGTGGGTGAGTTGAGGTATATCTTGACCTCTATTGGAGAGAAATTAACCGATCTGGAAGTTGATGAGTTATTGAAGGGTGTCAATGTCACTGCTGATGGCAATGTCGATTACGTTGAGTTTGTCAAATCTATATTGGATCAGTAGAATACAGATAGCTTAGTATACGGGATCTTTGTAGAGATACGTTGTCGTAGTTGAAGCATCTACTTCTATTCACACTAGGCTCATTAGATCTCGAAAGAAAAAAATCAAACCTAACAAAACCCCCAAAATTTTCCATTCACATTAGCATTTCCAAATGTCCCTCGCTGAGATTCCAAGTAGCCTTGAAGCTATTCAAAATGAAAAATCGTATGACCCCCGTCAGAGCGAAAGGTTTCATCTTTACCCTAGAGACAGGATAGAGGCACTCGCAACCACGTCGGGGCTAATAGGTTTAATGACTGGATTTTATGATGGAGTGCAAAAAGCTGCCGCAAGATACCTACTTGAAAATGGACATCGTTTACCCAAGACCAAAGGAGGATGGTACTTTTATCACAAAAGGAAGAATTATGAAATCATTGTGGGCGGGACGTCAGCGGGGATCAAACAAGGTTTAAAGTATGGTGGTGCTGTTGGAAGTTTGTTCCTACTTGAGTATGGCTTGGATTATGTGCGAGGACAGATTGATTTCGTAAACACTACGGTTGCCGCTCTCATAGGCACAACAGTTTACACTAGATTTCAACATTTGAGTCGATTGCAGACTAGAAAAATGATCATTAGAGGAACTACAACCGGATTACTTTTGGGAATAATACAAGATACTCTAATATATGCAAGGCTGGGACATATATGGTATATTGATGAATATAAACGTCGATTCAAGTGAATGACACTGCTTCACTGGTTCACTCCTCGTCAGAATCGTCCAAGTCTGGTATAGGATACTTGAGTAATGCCGCCACTCCAGTTAGTTGATTTAGTTGAATCCCCAGTTCATGTAAGCTGGAGAAAATGTATACTTTGGCCCCCATTTGTTTAGCTCGTTCCGTCAAGTCAATGTACTGTTTTCTGGTTTCTATATCATCACTGCGAAACAACTCATCCGAGACCATCAAATAGCGAACAGCGTCCAAATTCAATGCTTTTGTAATCTCTTCAAGCCCGTACCATGCCCTTCCATCGTCGTCATTCAATGCTCTTTGAAACCGCAGTAATGCTTCTGACTCTTCAAGAAATTTGGTGTCCGATAGCTTTTTTTGCAGTTGAGGATCGGCCAATACTTCTTCCAATCCTTGTAAGTAACCCGTTGAGGAATGTGTTACCAATATTTTGTTTTTATTATCCAATATCAGTTGACAAATTTTGGACTCCTTGGTTGATGAGTTTTGCATAGCTATGCACTCCTGTATTAATCGTTCGTACAATGTCTTTGCTAGGAATCCGGGTGACGCAAGGATAATAACTTTTAGTCTATTGAAATCAAAATGACGAATGATTCCCTGAATGATCATATTGTAAAATGAATTCATAGCTTTATCTAGGTCGCGAGTTCCAAAGTCCTTATTCTTTCTCGGAATAGATTTTTCAATTTTTGATTGTAACACTGTCATTTGATCGGTTACATAGCATAGATGGGCCACTCCCTCTTGAAACACAACTGCACCAATATCAGCCTTCTTTTCAATTGAGCATAACTCGTCCAATAATGTCATATCATACTCATCCCAACTTGATTTCACAATGCTTACCTCCTTGTTTAACTCAATCTCAGCTGTATGATAACTGTTCAATGGCACATACTCTTGTTGTAACAAAGATTTTCCATTGACTCTCATTACCAAATCACTAGCAATATAGTCAACGTCCTCAACCAACAATCTTAGTTTGACCAATATCTTTTCCATCTTCAGCTTTCCCTTTGTGATTTGATTCTGATTGCCCTTTTTCACATTTCGATGGGTAAGCAATTGCACTGTATCACCCTTCTTGATGAGGTTGTACAAGTACCACAAATCTTCGGAATCTTCAGGTACTAAAGTAACGGCAACATTTTTATCTTTTAGCTTGGCCTTGTTTTTCACTTGCATTTGAATTTATGTTGTTGTATGTGTGTGGCAAAGAGATGCGGATGGTAAAGTAAAGGCTCTGGGAAATTGCGTTTTTTTCAAATTTTTCTTTTGTATTTGCGGCCGCGCCGCTTAGAACCCATTATATCTTTGACTTTTGTAATAATGAAGCTCATCTACCTCAACGACATTCCTCTCTAGAGTCCTTAATTCATTACTTTTTATACACATTAACCTCTAAACAGCTTCGTGGTTGATCTTGATTGGCTTTTCTAAAAGATGTCCCATCCTTTCGATTTTGGTACTCAAATATCCATCGATTTCCTTACTGTTAATCCCGTTACCGTCTTTATTTCCACCTCTCCAGCTCAAAGGAATCATGGGAATTCTCTCTTTAACTTTCACTTCTTGGTGTTTACCCTCTACGGCTATGATCTTATCGGGGTTATTGGTCAACAATCTAATTTCAACTAGTCCCAAATCAAGCAAAATCGCCGTTGCTAGGGAGAAGTTACGAGCGTCTGCCGGATGTCTCAAAATCAAATTTGCCTCGACGGTGTCTGCACCAAGATCCTGTAAATTGTAAGCTTTTAATTTTTCACCAAGACCAATTCCTCTACCCTCTTGTCTCAAGTAAACCATACACCCATGTCCATTTTCACCCATGATTTTCCCCGCTTGATCAAATTGTTCACCACAATCACACCTTGCACTCCACGCGGTTTCACCAGTGTAACATTCGGAATGGATACGAACCAATGTGGGACTTGAATACGTGAATTCATCTATGATCAAATTGCCGTGCTCGTCAAACTTCAATCGGCGTTGGTTGTCAATATCGTAATCAGCATTTGTTCTTCCTGGTGTCAACTTGCCCACGTAAGCCCCTCTTGTCATCCTATCTTGTTGAGTTTCTCCTGGTCTTTGTTTGAACAAAGATCTGGAACGAATGTCTTCACCAAACACTATAGCTAGATGCTCCTTATTATCAACGTTGTTTTCATACAAATGCAAAAAGATATCTGGACCATGCGTTGTGGGGATTCGCGCCCTGGCTACGCATTTAACCACTGGCAATTCATCGGGTAGGTTGGTGTGGTCTCGCATATCCTGAGTTATCACTGGCGGTGGCTGTGGAGTACCTACTGGTCTTGATGACAACGGAAGGTTGGTGCTCGATGGACGAGGCGTCACTATGGGGATCGTGGACACATCGGGTACATAATGTCTAGGAGTTTTGGCGCCGTTTTGTTCCTGCAAGGATGAGCCGTTATTACGTGAAGTAGCTGGTTGTGGGTGGTGCAATAGAGACATTTTTGGACTGTTCCTATTGAAACGAAAGTGTGATTTGTACAAGTGTTGGTATTGAAATTGATGTTGTGACGTGGGGTTGCTTTGATGGCTCGAGTATATGCTGCGATCTTTGAACGGAATGTCTTGTGTTCTCGAAGGTCCCTTTTTATTTGCTGCAGTTGTGGTACTGGTTCTTGTGGTTGTTGAGCTTGAGTCTATTACCACAGTCATGCAATGAAACAAGATTTAACTGATTTCTGACTAAGCTTTCTCTCCGGTATTCGGCTGAATGCTTTTGAAAAATTAAATTTCTCTCTTCTTTGTTCTCACTCTCACTCTCACTCTCACTCCAATTAGTAAAAAAATTACTAAAAATCAACTAATATGTACTATTGCAAATACCTAAATTATATTTATGGTAAAGTGTGCAATCGAATGGAGTTTTTGTAGTATACTTATAGCAATGAAATGGGAGAAGGGGGATGAATCAAGAAGACTAATAGGATAATGGAATTACCGATTTCTCTTTGGTTTCGTTGATCAATCAAACGCTGAAGTTTGTGCTCAACTATGTAACAATAAACCAATGTTTTTCTTTTTTTTGATTTTACCAAATCGAATGTTTTCTGCAAAAACACAATCAAAGAACTCAACCAACTCAAAGCGCGAGCTCGGACAAACTTTTGAATTGAATCTAATAAAAGGGAACCTGTCGATGAATGAAATCTGATTCGAAGCTCTTTGTTTTGAATTGTTTGTAAGAATGGGGATATTGTGTATTAATAGAAGAACAAAGTAGAGTGAAACGGAAATAAAAATTAATCGTTAAGTGGAAAAGTTATCAGAAGAGAAAGTGGCACTCTACATTAATCTATACCTCCTACCATCCGATGCAAAGTGTATTCAGTCCATGTGGCGTGTAATTATTATTCAATGGTGGGGATTTATTACAGTCATCTGTCCTGCATGTAATACCTATATCCGCGTATCTTCTAGCAGATTTGTTTATGTAATCTATTATGTAATCAACACTTTAGCCTACAAATCGGGAATTGAATTCATGAGAGAGGTATTAAAACTTTCAGGAACGGATTCATAGAGATTTTACTTGGCAGTGTCAAAAAGTTGCAAATTGTTAAATTAGATAGTTGATGTATTTCATTGTTGAATGCGGCAAGCTTGGTAACAATAGGGTTTACAACTAACGTAGAAAGTAAAAAGCGATTACGGCGTGGCTCTGTAGCTTCTCAATGCTCTCAGATCACTGGCTGTAGGTCCCTCCCCTTGTAACAATCAACCTCCTTTGAGTCTCCTACATTCTGATTCTGATTCTGAAAATTCACATTGTTTCTTTTGTGGCAATTACAAAATTTATACTCGATAAATAGACCAATCAAGGTGACGCAGACAACAAACTCGGCATTGAAAAACAATAAACCAATTTAAGGAGCAAAAACCGTTTTATTCAGATATCCCGGCTCAATGTTTAAAGCTGCGCCTCACCACCTATTTCTTCATCCTACACTCCTTTTAAGAATTCAATAATGTCTTGTTCACTGAAATTATTCACATCTGGAACAAATTTCCCCACTGGTAGTTGATGCTTCAACACCAATATACATGGCAATTTACTTCCAACAACGTACTCCATCATCAATTCTCTGCCACCATCGGAATCCGCTAAGATGTTTACCAAATACACTGGCTCTTTTCCCAGAGGATATTTAGACTTGTCCGAAAGGACATCAAATAATGCTTGTGTCACTTTATTATCCTTTGGAGTAGCAAAAGTGAAGTTAAGCAACAATGGGGGCTTAACATTGATGTAGTTGTATATATCCTGTTTTTCTGTAACCCAAACATCTATGATTCTATTCTTTGTGGTGAACAGTGATGCTGGCGGTGGATAGATAAGACGTTGCGACTGAGCAGCATCCTTCCACGACCTAAACCAATCCCCTAATGAAAATGGCCTTGACTGGTTGTAAAATTTGGTTCGCTCAATAGATCTGGCTAAGTTTCTGCTGAACATGTTGTGTGTTGACGCGTTGTTGGAAAGGTTGTTGTTGATATACAATTGTTTGCTACAACAAATTAATTCTTCTGCTCTGTCGCAAATTTCAGATTCACGTGACTATGTACAAAACCGTGTGGATCAAAGGTGTCCCTGTCTATCTACATTTCTTCTCTACTCGTCCCATCCATCTTTCCATCTCTGCTTCCAAAATTGGCAATCAAACTGTGGTTTCCCCAACTTTTTATTAACATCGTTGTGAGCTTCACATAACCATTTCCCCAAATCATCCTGCGATTTTGTTTGTGGCTCATGCTTATTCATGTATCTGACAAAATCTTCACCACAGTACCAACAAGGATAAAAACCAGCAAACAAGTTGAGAAACAGTTTCATGTCTTGCTGTTGTTTGGTATTTGGTGTTTCTGGGAAAGTCGCTGCTATTGAATGAAGCAATGTCCATGATGATTTGCCTAGCTGCGCAACATCTGGTGGCTCTTCCTTCGCGTATTTGAGTTTGCTATGAGGAGTTGCGGTTACATTCTCAGAAGCCAGCTGCATAGCTAATTTAGCTGGCTTTGTTTTCCCTGTTGCAAACTGAAAGTCTAGTAACTCATTGCACGTCCGACACCTGATATCCGTTAGTAATCAAAAGCTGGTTAAAAAAAAGCATACTTGTACGTACGGTTTGCCATCTTTGTCGTAAATTATTCTTCGACCAGAGAGTCCAAATTCGGGTTTTGTATTGGACACGTTGTCAGTCTTGTCCTCCTCCGTCGTTGGAATCGGCATATGAGTTGTAGAGTTCGGTTGATGTTGGTAAAAAGAAGTTTAGTAAATCGTAAAAAATCAAGTGCGCAAAAAAACTCCAAAAGAAGACTCTTCTTGGTCTAAGAAACTAAATATAAATAATGCTTAATTCTACTCTATATCTACTTTTGAGCATCACCTTTCGTCTCAGCAACCAATTTAGCACGTTTCTCTAATAAAGCATCACACAAGTCACCCACTTCCTTAGTTTTTATTGCTGCTCTTGCAGTGAAAAATTGATCTAAATTGTAAGTCAAGCCAAACTTTAACTCGTACTCATATGCAGTGCTTATCATTTCAAACTTATCAATATCTTTGACATACCTCGCCTCGGTATTTCTAATCTCCTCATAATCAAACCATAACTCAACCAACTCTTTGGCAAATTCTGGATTGTACGGCTTAATCATGTCATGAAGGTAATGTATGGTTTCCTCTTCTCTGCGATGTTTTTCGGCTTTGGTTATTCCTGCGTATGGTGTGATGTCTCCTACTAGTGATTCGGCGATATCATGAACAACGGCAATTTTGACACACTTGTCTCTGTTCACATTCGCAGGAGGGACGATCATTGAAATGATGGACATTCGGTACATATGGTCAGCAATACTTTCCGTGTCTAATGGTGGTACACCATGATCCAACCATCCTGTACGTTTTTGAAATTTCAATGACGAGACAATTTGTAAAAATGCAAGCATGTAGTTTATTGGTTGAGATGGCGATGTAGGAACTAACAAGTTTTGGACATGTTGTGGTATGGCATCAGCTGGCTTCCACTGGTTTTCAGTCAAATTTTTGATGGAATTCATTAATAATAATGATGTGTGTAATGATCTTGAATGGGTCAGTTGTGGTGAAAATCTTGGACAAAAAATACTCTTCTGAGTATATCTATGCATCAAATAGGCAGAAAATACGCGACCACGGGAAAGGGAAACAAACGTAAGTGATGTTGTTGTAGTAGTAGTCTCGAACACTGTTTGTCCCAATGAAAGAAATTGTGTTAATATCTGGATCTGATTCTTTCGAAATGTATACAATGGGAAATCTTTACAACCGATGAGAGAAGCTTAGGCTATATGCAGGACATGTTTAAACTATAAAAAACTACTTTGTAGAAACAGATTCCACATCCGTCCCCTTTTCCCCCTCCCTACATCCAGACCAAGTCGGAAAGTAAACCAAGTTTTTTTTTTATCATTAAATTTTATACAAAGTCAAGTACAACCCTTAAGCAATCAATTCAACAACACCACCTACAGCCCTAATCTTTTCTTCAGCCAATTTGGAAACAAATCTAGCCTTGACAATGACTGGAACTTCTGGTAATCTACCTTTACCCAAAACTTTACCGTAACCGTGAGCTAAGGTGTCAATAACTGGAGCGACTGATTTAGAAGAGCTCTTCAAGTATTCGTCTTTCTTTTCAGAGTCAACCAAAGTCCATAATTTGTCCAAGTTGATTTCTGGTCTCCAGAAGTGGTTTTGTTGTTTGTGAAAGTATCTCATACCAACCTTACCAAAGTAACCTGGATGGTATTTATCCAAGTTAGTTCTGTGGTGGTGTTGACCACCAGCCATACCTCTACCACCGGGATGCTTTCTGTGCTTACCAATTCTACCCTTACCGGCTATAAAAATAGAAACGTTAGTATGTTGGATCCTGAGTTGGGTTCTATTGAGAGAGATGTCACTTGAACTAGATGGCGAACTTAATTGGTGGAGTGCTTGAGGTTGTTGGACTAGAAGCTCAAAAAGAAAACACAACTTTGAACGAGCCCCCTATCACATATCCTTCATCGGGCGTGACTTATACTGATCAAATCGTGGTTGCTTATGTGTGGTTAAATCACATCTCGATGTCGACTGGTGAAAATTAATCCTCTTTTCGCCTTTTAAGTTGTAACTCTATCTAAGTTCAATATCTCCTCGTCTTTCTTCCTGCGCTATATGAATGTACATACCAGAAACATTTCCTCTGTGTTTTCTGGTCTTGGTTAATCTAGTAGGCATTGCTGTATATGTGTTGGTAAACCTTTAGTTAGTAGGGGAAACCTTTAGCATAGAAAAAAATTTCAAGTGTTGTAAAATTGAAATTTGATGGTAGAGAGAGTGTGAGTGTGTGTTAGAGTGTGCGAGTGACAAAAAAAGAGTTGCTACCAATTTGTTCATAGTTAAGAGCATTGTTTTGTGTTAAACTACATCAGGTAGCACCACAATAAGTTTCAATCATGTATTATAGGGCTCCAGCCCTCTATATGGATTCCATTTTCATCCACTCCACACTTCTTGATAAGTCAGTTTCCCCTTAGTTTCAGGCACATAAGTTCTAATGAACCAAACACTGAAAACACACATGGCTGTGAATATAAAGTAAACCGAACCCCCTATTGCATGCAACAATACTGGGAACAGATACCCAACAATAAAAGTGGCAATCCAATTCAAACTAGTACCAAAACTTTGAGCTGATGCTTTGGCTTTCGTTTGCGTCACTTCACCCACCAACAAGAATGGGATTGGGCCAAGACCAATGGCAAAAAATGTAATAAATGTAAAGGTACCTATAATGGACATTATTGAACTTGTCCAGATAATTCCGAAACCCATCAAGACAGTTGCAATACCAAGAAAACTAACTGACGTGAGCAACAACGGCTTGCGACCAACTTTATCTACAATAGTGGCAGAGCCAAACGTAACCACTACATTCACCAATGAAATCAAACAATTGATCAAGATTGAATGGTTAGGGAAAACCGACACCAACACCGAAACTCCGTAAAAAATGATGGAATTAATACCATCAAATTGCTGCAAAAGCAAAACGCCGGCTGAAGCAATGAGTGAGGGTCTGAATTCGGGAGATGTGATGTACTCCCATAAAGTAGTGGCACTCTTGGACAGGTCTTGCTGTGTATCCAAATCACCTTCTTCCATCAACGAGTTACTCTCCTCAGCTGACTCGTCGTTTGTCTTCCAACTGTTTACTTCAGCAGTGACTCCAGAGTAGCTTCCTCCTCTAAGCCTATGCAAAACAGTATATGCTTGATCATGGTTCCCCTGGTTTACCAACCACATAGGTGATTCGTCAACCCATATTGTCAATACGATGACATTGATTGCGGCAATAACACCAGCTGTAATCAACAACCATCTCCAATCGTTGTCATTAGACCACTTGAGAGAAAGTAATTGGGTGAGCAATATCCCCACGTTGATACTTACTTGGTTCATGGATCCCAATAACCCTTTTGTATGCGTGGGTGAAACTTCATTGATGTACAATGATGTAATGACTAATGCAGACCCGGCACCTAATCCGCAGATAAATCTACCAAAAATCAATCCATAAAACGTATTGGCCAACCCATTCAATACCGATCCTATTATATACATAGCACAATGCAAGTAACTTGTAAGCTTCCTGCCATACTTGTCGGCTAAATGACCAACATAGAATGACCCCACTAATCCACCAATGGAAAATATCGACGTAACCAACCCAATTTGGTCCGGAGTCATTGGTATGCATTGGATATAACCATGTGAGCCCCAGAATGAATCCATATAAGGCACTGGCCCTGGTTGTGAACGCTTGCATGTGAGGACCAACTCGGGTGAATTGAGTTCAGCCATGTGATACCCAAATTGTAGGGAGCCAAGACATATTGTTGTGACTGAAAAGAGCAAGTTAGCTGTGAGTTTAGGCATCTGTTGATGTGGCGATGGTGGCATGTTATGATGTGGCACCTCGTTGTCCATTTGATAAAAGCTTGCTTTTAACGTGATCAGTTTTGTGGGACGTCGTCCCTTTGACAAAAAAGCCGCTCCACCCAGAAGGAAGGGGAGGGGGGCGGCTCAACAAACGCTACCCACTACATAGCTCCTCAATTTTTGCATTCATAAAACGTATATATATTTATATATATATAATGTAATAATATTACAACTTTAAACTCTATATTATAGGCAAGAAGTTCCCCACAATCATCATGGGAATCCCAAAAACATCTCTTTTCAACGTCCACACACAACCGGTTCTTATCTTGACATCAGGCTTTGGTGTCAATAAAGTACATTCGGTCATTGTTGCGCCCAAAAAGTCACCAAATGCAATTCTAGAAAACACTTGGAAGTATTCCACCACTGACTTGTCATCTAGCAACTCAACAATGAATTTTCGTTGACATTTACCCATTAGTTGATCTTTGCTCCATCCAGTCAAGACACAAAATTCATCGCCCACGTAAGCAATTTCACCCGTTCTTCTCCATACAATGGTTGGGGTACCACTGACCTTAATGAAATTGTCATATGTGAGTAATGTTCTTTGGAAACATTGTTCCATGAAAATCAAATCGTGCTCTTTTAGCGAATTTGTACAAGCGATAAATGATGGCCGGTAGATCGCCATTGATTTTGCCATTTCAACAAGCAAAGGTTTGGGAAACCGTTTGCGTAAGTACGCAATAAGCGAATGGTATCCAGGCGTATAGGAGAAAGGTTTTGTGACTTTCGCGTATATCTCTTCGGGTTCTTTGAAAAAAGCATCTTCTTTTCCGCTAACACTACTCGAATTGTTTTCATCATGCAGGATTCCAATCGAGAATGATAAATTCAGTTTCGCATTGCGCTCTTGATACACTGCGTAATCGGTATTCTTCATCTCTTCAATGGCCGTGATTATATCAGGAAATAATGACGACTTTTCCGAATCTACCTGACCAATAAAATACTGATTAATCGATTCATCGCATTTGGGATACTTTGAATTTTCAAACATGGTGCTTGTGTTTCGAAACGTTGGGGCTGAAGGTACATCCAAGTGCTTCTGATTTGCTCCATTGGTACGGGATGATGTTTCTGTGTTTTCGGCTTGGTACTCCACCGAAGGTATTGGCGGTACCGTGTTTGCTGCACTGGACATGTTATGAGGGGACAAGTTCGGTGACATGATATGTGAGTTGGGAGTCGCTTCATTGGAAGTTGTATGATGGCCACTGAAATTGTCTTGTAGTATATTGGAAAGTGTAGCATACTCCAAGTCAGCAGCTGAAGAAAAAAACTTGGACTTTTTTTGATGTTGAATGAATGAAGTTGGTGAGCTTGCATTGGTTGGTTGTTGGGATGATGATGGTGGTGGTGGCGGCGCTGGCGGCGCTGGCGGTTGCAAATGGGGAGCTAAATTACTGCTCGCCGACGGTTGTTCGTGCTCCAGTTGCGAATGTTGGCGTGACTGGTTGAACGAGTTATGAAAATAGTAGTCTGGTGCAGATTGCATTGCCAGTCCCAAGGCATTATGTTGAAACAAGGTTGCTTGATATGTCGTGTGATTGGGAATAAAATTATTGGGTTGTGGCAACAGCTGAGGTCTTTGCGGCTGTTGGTGCACCTGATACAGGTCCTGAAATGTCGAAGCGGGTCTGGCCAAGTGTGGTGTTGTTGAATGTGTATGCGGATGTACCTGCTGTTGATGGGAAAGCTGATGTTGTAGTTGTAATTGTGGTTGCTGTTCCTGTTGTAGTGTAGTGCCATCATGTGAGAGTGGTACTTGTTGATCTCTTTCGTTTGACTGACGCAGTTGTAATCGAGTTTGCATGTCAAGGAATGTATGGGTGTTTTGCCCCAACGGCGGCATGTTTTGAGCATCAGGTTTTTGTAATGACGTGTTCAATGAATAGCCATGTTGCAATTCATGGCTCGAACGAGGGTCCTGTGGTAATCTCTGCGTTCTCTTGATAGTCAAACTAGAGTTTGGAACATCGTCAAGGTACTTTTTCCGTTTACGAGGGGCATCTTCACACGTTTGGTCCAATCCTCGTTGAATGCACCTCTTACATGGCCTACCCGGATCGCATGTCATGTGTGCCTTGTGACAATGATTGCACGCCCTCGACGTCTTTTTCCTTCTCTGCAAACAACAATGTTAGTACCGATGGCTTTCAACAATGTGGGACCTCAAAAATAATACATACTGGTTTAACAGTGGGGTTCTCACTTTCAGCGCTATTCTCATGATCTGAGTCGGCGTACTTTACTTCCTGGTTTTCAGTCATTTTCTATTTTTTACTCTTGGTAACAAATATCTAGTTCTCTTTTATATATACATTTGATCAGGGGACATCTAATGTGATATCGGTGTGGTAAAACGTCTGTTATTATTATTATTAAATGCGCTCGTAGTGGTTGAGATTTCCGTAAATAGCCAAAAATGAGAAAAGAAAAAACAATAAAAGGGTCAGCCTCGGTTGAATGCGCTACCGGAAGAGTTTCCAGGTACCACCCACTTTGACCAAAAACACCAAAGTTAGACTTTCGCTCGAACAGTGGGCTACGTAAGTCTGATGACATAGCTGAGGTGTCATATAGTCCTCATCTTTGGATGACATCAATTTTTCCAAATTCTTTATATAGTTTTGCATCTAAATGCTGCAAAAGATTAACAAACCGGTGTGTGGTTCGCAAAAACAAGAGTTGAGAGTCCAAGGTAGTATCATTGGGCAACGATAAGTCATAAAAAGAGCTCACCCGATACAGGTTCATTCACAGCAGAGTATTAAAGGACATCAGAAACATCTTTCAGAATAGTTTTGCTTTGGTATTGCAAAAACTCTACACGTCGTTGCATTTCGTTACTAATCTTCAAACCATTTGCTACTACACACACAACTCCACATTTCGAAATGACTGCAAGACGAACCCCCTCGCAAGCCCAAAGGTGCAAACGCAACAAAATTGATGGTTTCCACTAAAAGAATTGAATTTGGCGGAGAAAACGAAGGAAAGAAAAAAAAAAAAAATTTCACCAAAGAGAGACATCAAATGAAGAGTCGTTTGAGTCAAATCCTATTCTTGACCACTACAAGACAACTTAGATTTCCCATACAACCACGTTTCCACATCGTCAAACGTTATATATTTGTATCTCGCTGCACCATGTCCGATTTCATCACCAAATTCAACAAATTGTCACTTGATCAAATTCCATCAAAAGCTAACACCATTGAATTTCCCAAACTCAATGATGAGCAGTTGGCTTTATCTTCTCAATTTGAAACATTATCGAAAAGACTAAATGAAAATGATACATTGACACAAATTAATGATTCATTGAGAAATAAGACTTTTGTCGTTGGATCAGTTCCTAGTAGAAGTGATTTGATCTTATTTGAGCAAGTATTCCCATTGGCATCAAAATGGACTTCGAAAGAAGATATCGCCAAACACAGACACTTGTTGAGATGGGCTGACTTGGTTCAAAACACATTAGTCAGTGTCCCAGAACCGATCAAGATTGATTACGATATTGAAATACCAAGAGAAATCAAGGAGAAAAAGAAACCGGCTGCTGCTCCTGCAGCTGCCGCTGCTAATGCTCAAGGAAAAGATGCCTCTTCTGTGAAAGGAGATGCTAAATCAGATAAGAAGAAACAAAAAGGAGAAGCATCACAATCTGGCCAAAAGCCATATGAAGAATTAACTGAGGAAGAAAAGAAAGCTAGGGCTGAAGCTAAAGAAGCTAAAAAGGCAGCTAAAGCCAAGGCCAACGCAGAAAAGGAGAAACAAAAACAGAATGAAAAAGCAGCATCTGCCACCCCACCATCTCCAGCCATGATTGATCTTAGAGTTGGATTCATTCAAAAAGCAGAAAGGCACCCCAATGCCGATTCTCTTTACATGTCAACTATTGATATGGGTGATGAAGAAGGTCCAAGAATTGTATGTTCAGGATTGGTCAATTATATCCCCATTGAAGAAATGCAAAAGAGATATGTCATTGTTGTTGCCAATTTGAAACCAGTAACCATGAGAGGTGTCAAGAGTTGTGCGATGGTTTTGTGTGCATCAAATAAAGATGATGGTGTGGTTGAGTTTGTTAATCCACCACAAGGATCGAAACCTGGTGACAAGATCTTTTTTGAAGGTTATAATGGTGTTCCTGAAAAACAATTGAATCCTAAAAAGAAGATTTGGGAAGCTGTTCAGCCTAAATTCTCCACTACTGAGAATTTCGAAGTTATCTATACTGAAGAAGAAGGTAAACCACCAGCATATTTGGTTAATGAAAAGGGAGAAAAGTGTAAGAATAGTACTGTTGTTGGTGCCAATGTCAGTTAAACGTCTGTGTACATAGAAGTTTCGATGAATATACAAAGATGTCTGTTATTTTGTTCATGTATTGGATAATGAGCTATATTCTCCTGCGCATTCTTTTGGTGTAATGCTTATTTTGCAACTTCCGTTTATCCTCTGGCTCCGCGATATCCATTATTGAATCATTCACGTGACGTCTCACAAAATGGAATACTGATGAAATTGTGAAATCTGTGGAAGTGCCCAACAACCAAATGGGGGCTCCATACGAGATAATAGACCCGGAAATGTAACACGCTATAGGGGATCCCAATCATGACTCTTTTAGTCAGACTAAACAGGTCATGACATAGCCTATTACTCATTTTCCAGTTCAGATGATGTGCATGATGCATATGATGCGTTAGAACGGTTTTAATGAAACAATAGATTGTATTGTATTTGTTACTTTGAGATCTCAAGTGGACACAAAAATGTCGTATCTAATACAAATCAAAGGTTTTCGAGAGTGAAGAGGTTATACTACCTTATTCATGAAACAGAAAAGTACATTACATGCAACTTGATGCAATCGTAATCTGATAAACTCATGTAGGGGTCTGGAATAATTGAGGGAGAGAAAGAAAAAGAAAGACGAACGGAGGAGAGGAGCTACGAAGCGAGGTGGTGTAATTCTGCTGTAGTATTCCTTTCTGTAACTACAAACTTAAAAATCAAATAATTTTGAATATTGTCTGGGTAAAAGGGGGTAGGTGGGACAACAACATCGAAAAGTGGGTGGGGTTATAGAGTAGTAATGGAGCAACTTCCAAATGATGAATGAGAAAATGAGTAAGATGGTACAAAGAGCTTTCATGATGATGATATGGAAGGGGTAATAAAGTTTGAAAAGATAAATCTTAATATAGGCAGAATCAATGTTTGGTGAATAAAAAAGGGGAAAATCAGATGTTTTTCTAGATTGTGTAAGTTGTCGGTGCATAAAGAGGAAAGAGACATGGGTTGCGGTGGGGTAAAAGTTTGGGTGATTGTATGGTAAAGGACGATTGGGTTTCATTTCTCGGAATTTTAGATAAAAAGATTAAGCACAGTCGGGTCGAAGGTTTATCTCTGGAGATTACCGTTGACACATTGTAAACTGGAAATGAGAATGGTGTTGAGTACATTCTAGAAGGAATTTTTTGAAGTTATTTTGAAATAATTTGTTGAGTGATTTTACCATTCATTCTTCTGTTTTTGTATTTTGTTGGTGATGTTATTATAATAACTGTTGCAGTATACGAGAGAAGCTGCTATTATATATTCTATCATTTCTCTACTCCATAATTTGTGTGTGAGTATCTTATTGTGTGACCAACTCAGTTCCGACGTTTAATGAAACTCGACACAATATGTAACAAATATCTGAATTTCATTGGTTGAGCCCACCTCCCTTATCTCCAGCTACCCCCCCCCCCCCTTCCCCTCTACATTCTTCGAAGTTCTAACTTTAAACGCAGCAACTTTAAAGTTCCGACTACCCCTCTACCACACATATGTATAAACAATAGCCAAATTCAAAGACACCATTTCAGTTACCATTGAATGGCCAAAATAGTTGTGGCACAAAAGATCTGTTACGATACTAACAAACAGCTTCAGATATAAGGTGATCAGTGTAATTTGTTAATAGAATATAAAATCTTTTGAGTTTTTGGTTAGGTGGGTCCATCGTAATTATTATAACTTTATCCACAGCTAGCGTGCAATCCCAACCACCACCCACAAACCACAGACATCTAATGTATCTCCCGCTTTTTTGTGTATTTTTGTTCTTTTTGTGGAACACAACAGACTCAATCAGTTTATACAATTGTTAGTATGGTGAATGGTTGATACATATGGGGCAGTCTTAGCAACCATTTTATGGATAGTTTGATGCAACTTTGATCTTTTTCCATTGCATATGTGTGTAGATAACAGTCTGTGCATATACGATAAAGTTCACTGTTGCTGCAAATGAGATTCTTAATGACATTTGACATACGCACCTGCACCTTTATAACCAATATTGTAATTTTATTCTTATTCTCATTCTCATTCTCATTCTCATTCTCATTCTCATTCTCATTCTCATTCTTACTTTTATTTTACTTTTTTTTTATTTTTTTATTAGGAAAAAAAAAAAAGTTTAAAATTGGTTTAGGAGTACGTCTCCATCCTCAAAGTCAAACAATTTTCCCACATTTTTCACCACATCATCTTTGCAACCAAATATTCAACACATATACATATACTTACATATATATATATATATATATATATGTGTACATAATATTAGCTACATTCTACTCCCGTATTCATACTACATCACACCACACACTCACACATACACACATACACTCACTCATTTGTTACAGCCAAGTCACACTTTTACACTATGAATCCGGATCCTCAAGATTTGTCACCACTCACGATCTCGTCATCCACTTCCGGAACCCCCACATCATCCTCCTCTTCGAGACCAAATATGGTGAAAAAACCATCAACAGAACCAAAAAGAAGACGAGTCACACGTGCTTGTGATACATGTCGTTCCAAGAAAGTCAAATGTGATGGTAGACAACCCTGTATTCATTGTACAGTATACTCATTCCGTTGTACTTATGACGAACCAAACATTAGAAACAAAAAGAACTCAGGTATACCTAAACCATCACTGCCCAATGTTGTTGCTGCGTTACAAGCAGCAGCAGCAAACGGTACATTGTATGGCGACAACACTCAATTAGTGAAAGCTTCTCCTGCTAATGCCAGTGTTGGAGTTGGAGCTGGCGCGGGTGCGGGTGCGGGTGCGGGTAATTCCTCCGCTGGTGTTGGTTCTGGTGGTGCCAACAACAAGGCAAATGCAACTGGTGGAGCTACTGGTGGTATTGCTCCGTCAAATGTTCCAAATGGTATACCAGTGGACACATTTCCGACAAAGAATTTAATTATTGCTCAACAAATAATCAGCGCATTGCTCCCTAAACTACAATTCAACTGTTTGGATCAGAATTTAAATTTTGATTTGGACAGGTTTCAAAAAATTGTTTCATACATGACTCAAAAATCATCCTCATTGGCACTAAATACCAATGAAATTGCTGATTTGATGCATGATAAGGAGACTATTGTACCCCCACCAAGAAAAGCATCCACTGAAACTATCAGCGAAGACTACAGTGCCAACACCCCCCGCGAAGTCAAGTTGATACTTCCAAGCAAAGAAGAGGCATTAGAATTGATATACACAACTTGGAATAAGGCATGTGTGTTGTTTAGATTTTACCATCGTCCATCACTTATTCAAGAGATCGACTTGCTATATTCATTAGACCCTAGTGAATACGGTGACCGACAACAAAAATTTCTCCCGTTTCTTTATTCTAGTTTAGCATGCGGATGTTTGTTCAGCAAATCACCTTACAAAAAGACCAGCCATAATGAAAACTTGGAAGATGATGGGTTCAAATACTTTTTGGAAGCAAGAAAGCTCATGGATATCACAAATGTTGGTGATATAAGTTCAATTCAAACTATTGTCATGATGATTATGTATTTACAATGTTCAGCTAGATTATCCACTTGCTATTCATACATTGGTATAGCTCTTCGAAGTGCATTAAAAGAAGGGTTGCATCGTAATTTATCCATTTTCCAAAATTCCAAGCGCAAATTAGATCCAATGGAAATCGACACTAGGAAGCGTTTGTTCTTCACCATTTACAAAATGGACATCTATATCAATAGTTTATTGGGATTGCCTCGCTCTCTTACCGAGGACCAATTTGATCAAGAGTTACCAGATGATTTAGATGATGAAAACGTCACCAGACAAGGATATTTGTTTGATAAACAAGGAGGAAGATTGAGCTCAGCTGGGTGTGCAAATTACCACACAAAATTGATGTTTATATTGTCACATATTCTCAAGGAATTATACCCCGTCAAAATTACGAATAGTGAAGAAAACAAGTATCTACATGACAACTCCAACTTGAGTCATGTTCACAATTCTAATCAGTCGCACCCGTCACCCGCAAGCCTGCAAGTATCGCCACACTCGCAGCCACCAAGCTCAAACCCAATGAAGCAGGAATCATTACACTCATACACAAACTCTTCAACAGCTTCGACATCGACCTTGGGAAAAAACTCACTGACGTCAACTACTCCCTTGCCATCAACACCAGATAGGATACATACCAAAGTCACCGAACTAGAGATGGAATTGAAGGTTTGGTTAGACAGTTTGCCACGTGAACTACAACCAACCGATCCAAACGTGAAGCGAACGGATATTCCTGAAAAATTTGTTCTTGCCAATTATTATCTACATTTATCGTTTTTGAATTGTCAAATTATGCTTTATCGTCCTTTTATTCATTTCGTCAGTGATTCAATGAATGGGTCATTGTCTGATCCAAGATCGCTAATTAGAGGACGTAATTGTATCAAGATTGCCCGTATGGTTGTGAAATTGGCAAACAAAATGATTGACGAGCAATTGTTGATTGGGACTTATTGGTTTTCGATGTATACCATCTTTTTCAGTATCGCATGTTTGATGTATTACTTTCATTTTGCAAACTACAACAATAATGGACTTGGCGTTAATGCGTGTGGGGTGTTATTTGATGATGACTTGAACGTTGAAGTAATCAAAAAGGATATCGAAATTGGTAAAAAAGTTTTGGATTCGTTGAAGGATTCTTCCAATAGTTCGTTGCGTATTTACAACATGTTGAATACGTTGTTTGAACAATTGAATCGCAGAACTGCGTCCAAAACGATGCACAAGAAGAAACAACAACAGCAAGAATCACCACCACAACAACAGAAACATCAACAGCAAATGTCTTCGCATTCAAATCAACAACAGGCTCAACAATTTGAAGAAGCGCAACAGCAAATGCAACAGAATGCCAATTTGCTACTTCAAGACAACGTCAAGAGTACATTTAAACATTTTGATGAAAATAATCGATATGTCTATCATGAGAAAAAGGACGATTTAGGTGAATTTTTCAAAGATGCCAGCATCGCTCGATTTCAATCAACATCAGAAATCCCCAAAGATTTAGCCAATATTGAAAAACTTCTGATTATCAAAGAAGAAGAAAATGAAGAGATTGGTGAAAATGCAGGAGCGGGACTAACTTCCAATTACATGCCGGGTGTTTTTGATAAGCTTGATGCGCAAATTTTTGGCAAAATACTCCCACCTTATATGTATAATCAACAACACGTTCCAAGTAACCAGAAACCACAATCACAATCACAGCCACAACTATTACAGCAACAAGCACAGACACAATCGCAACCAGAACCGTTCCAGCCACCTCAACAACAATTTTCTGGACAGGCAGAGCAACATCAATTCACCCAATACGAATCAGAACAAGGAAGTAACATCTACAATTCCCAAAACTCATTTGTTGCAAACAACAATGGTGACAACTACAACACAGATGAGGATTTGAATTTTGAAGAGATTTTTGGAGCATTGGATGGATTTGCGCCTGGGAATATAGGCGGAGGTGGTAGTAATAATCCTATTGATTATTTAGCACCATTTTGAGCTAGGCGAGAGGTGCAAGGGGAGAGCGCAAGCAGGTGAGATTGGGGAAGACTTTGAGGGAGATAGTTTGACTCCACACCATTTTAGGCAGTAATAATTAGATTTTTTTTATACGCTTTGTATCGTGTTCTGTGTATTTATTGAATCAAGTATGTGGAAATTATCATCACAATTGACTTCTTTGCGTTAGGTTTTACGAGAAAAATTCTCGGCACGTACAAAAGTCACAGAGAACTGTGGTTTAGTATTTCTTGAGTTTTCTGAACTCCGAGACGGTTCTGAAGCGGGAGAAAATCACCCGTTTGCTTCATATTCTCTGTCATTTGAAGCTTAAATTGTGCCATCAGCCAGTGATTAACTCTTACGTTTTAGTACTCGGTTTTCCTCATAAACGAGGCTAATTGATTGGATGATGCGCATCATCTGTAGTTGCACGTGTCCGGATATATAAAACCGAAATTATGCAGGTCCGAAAATTTTTGCACACATCCAACAAAAAGAAATGTTTTTACGGTTTTATTTTCTGCGTATGCATCCGCAAGAACCGTACCGATATCGGACCAGGGAGGGAGAAAAGAAAATGGCAAGGTATACGTCTCTGTGAGTATTGAGGACACTCTGAACTCTACTACCGGATGGGGAACTTTATCTCCTATGCTTCCAGTTTTCCAGTTGTTGTGTTCACAAGGTCTTCCCCCTCTTAACTCCGTGAATTTCAGAGACTTTCACAGTTTTGTGTAACTTAATTATGGCTCATATAGGATTGCTATTATATGCAATCGAAGAAAAGCTATTTTATACCCGGTGTTCTAGGTCTGAAATTCAATAAATATGAGCGGTTGTATAAATTGCTAGAACAGTCACCACGAAGCTTTCATTACGCGTAACCGTCATCTAGTTTCAAGAAAACTGATTAGTTTTCTACGTGTTTGCTATTTGATTTTTTATATCGCCCTTCCACTCGTCAGACCCTTTTGCTATCAAAGTGAGAATTAATCCGATCCAGGAAATTTCACATCGGCGCAAATAATAAAAAAAAAAGAGAGAATCGAAAACAATCTTGAAAAAGATCTTATCTTGAATACTCAAAGAACTAGATCGGTATCAACAATAATCTCCCAATGTTTAGCAGAGTTGCAACCAGGAGGTTCATACCTACTCCTAGGCCAAGTTCGACAATAGGGGCCAGATTTAAACTAGCAACACCTCGTTTGACTAAATCATACTCCACGGTGAATCCACCACCACCACCACCACCACCTCAACCTAAATCTCAACCTACGTATACTTCGCTTATTTTTAATGTATTCAAATATGCGCTCGGTGCCGGTGCACTTGGTGTTGTTGGATTTATCGGGTTCGTTGGTTACAAGATTTATGTCGAAACACACCCTGGCAAACAAGTGCCACAGTCAGCTACTTTCCCCAGTGGTGAACGGAAAAAGACATTGGTTCTCTTGGGTTCAGGATGGGGGTCAGTTGCGTTGTTGAAGAATTTGGACACTACTTTATACAATGTGGTTTTAGTATCACCAAGAAATTACTTTTTGTTTACCCCATTGTTGCCTAGTGTTCCTACCGGAACTGTTGAAATGAAGTCAATCATTGAACCAGTAAGAGCAATTACCAGATTATGTAAAGGACAAGTGGTTTATTACGAAGCCGAAGCAGTTGATATTGACCCTGAAACCAATACTTTGAAAATTCAACAATCAACAACGGTACATTCGGGTCATTCAAAACAATCTTCAGCATCCACTAAATCAGAGAAAATCGGCGATGGAAATGTTGAATATATTAATGCTACACTTCAATACGATTACTTGGTTGTTGGTATTGGTGCTCAACCTTCAACATTTGGGTTACCAGGAGTTGCTCAACACTCGACATTTGTCAAAGAAGTAGGAGACTCATTGAGGATCAAAAAGACTTTGATTGACCTAGTTGAAGCCGCCAATTTATTACCGGAAAATGATAAAGAACGTAAACGATTATTGAATGTTATTGTATGTGGTGGTGGGCCAACTGGTGTTGAAGCCGCTGGTGAAATTCAGGATTATATCGATCAGGACTTGAAGAAATGGATGCCTGAAGTAGCCAAGGATTTAAAAGTAACGCTTATTGAATCACAGCCAAAAGTGTTGCATACATTCAATCCAAAATTAGTTGAGTATACAAATCAAGTTTTCCAAGACACAAATATCAATTTGGTCACCAATGCCAGAATCAACTCAGTTGATGATAAATATTGCACTGTTTTCCACAAGCAAACTAAAGATACTGAAATTGTTCCCTATGGTATGCTTATATGGGCCACTGGGAACGCCACTAGAGATTTCACACATGTATTGATGGACAAGATTGACGCACAAAAGAACGCCAAGCGTGGGTTCCTTATTGATAAGTATTTAAAATTACAAGGTTCTTCAAATATTTTTGCCTTGGGTGATTGTACATTTACGAAATATCCCCCAACGGCTCAAGTGGCTCATCAACAAGGTGAATATTTGGCCGATTATTTCAACAAATTGCAAAAATTGTCAAGTTTGAAATACAAGATTGATCATGAATCTAAATCATCACAGACTTTAATATCAAGAGCTGATAGATTAGAGAAAAATTTACCCCATTTCGTTTACAATTACCAAGGATCATTAGCATACATTGGAAGTGAGAAAGCCGTGGCTGATTTGGCCTGGGGGTCGTGGTCGAATGTGTCTACTGGTGGTAATTTGACTTATTTGTTTTGGCGTTCAGCTTATATTTACATGTGTCTTTCTGTTAAGAATCAAATTTTGATTTGTATTGATTGGTTGAAAGTGTATGCTTTTGGAAGAGACTGCTCAAGGGAGTAAGAGCTGTTACTGTGTATGTTGAGATTGCACTTCTTACCCCCAGCTGAATTAGACTATTTATAATTAGAGAGATGATTAGATAAATATAATGATAGAGTAGAGCGCCAGTGTTTGTTTAGTTCGAAAACGCTACCATTCCATTATACAAAACTAATTCTCATCTCATTACAAGCTGTTTCTCCGACCGAAACAACTCCAACCAGAATATGAGTGACAGAAGAAGAATAACAGGTCCAGTAAATACATTGGCGCCAAATATCCCAAGCCTTAGCGATACTTTTTCTTCCTCCCCATCACAACCGGAGCCCGCAACTGCTTCACTGAATCAAGTACCGCCATTCTTTCTCAAACATGGACTAATTACAAACTCCAATGGTTCGGCATACTTGGAAATCGACAATACCACAATAATTCAGGTTTCAGTGTTTGGACCACGACCAATCCGAGGATCATTCATTGATAAAGCTAGTATCAGTGTAGAAACCAAGTTTCTTCCTCATGTACAACAACCACAAGCTGATATCTTCAACTTCAACAACAGCAGCTCTAACAACAATAGAGATACTTTTAATGCATCGGGGTATAGGACAGGAATGACTGCAATTGAACACCGATTCAGCTCTTATTTGGAAACATGTCTATTACCAAGCATCTTGTTGTCCAAGTACCCCAAATCTACAATCGATTTACAAGTGAGCATCATATCTACTGACCCAAATTGTAAAGGACTTAGTGGGATGTTGTGGCTCATGCAATGGATCGTGGTCGCATCAAGCTTGGCTATAATTGACGCTGGAATCGAGATTAGAGACATGGTTTCCAGTGGCGTTGTTAAATTGATGCCCAATGGAGATGTTCAAATAGGACAAGATTTGGATAAGAAGAGTAGTAAAGAGGATGACGACGACGATGATGACGATGGTGTTTATGCATTGGTAAGCTTTATGAATTTGAAAAACGATGAAATTGTGGGATGTTGGTATGAAGGCGGGGGTAAAGATGATGGTTTATCAACTACTGATATGGAGAAATTGATTGATGAATGTTGCAAAATGTCTAAATTGATTAGAGCAAATTTGAATTCGTATTTGTTGAACTCAATGAATTGAGGGAGGAAGAGGGGGGAAGAAGTTTATAAACCATATCAATAAACAAAACCTCATTTTTTGTATATACACACAATGCTCTATTTAATGCTCTGTTCAATACTTTTTCTTTTATTGATCCTTTTTGACAGTCAAGTCATATGACAAATCATTGAGAATCTGATTAATGCCATACAATTTCCTAGCCACATCCCTTATAGTAATGTTTTCTTGATTGAGGAAAACTTTGGAGCTAATACGAGTATTGGTAGCTTGAGATACAATTACGCTCAATATGTTGTACAACTCCAATACATTGGTATCCAACTGTGTCGCTACTGATTGTATCGAAGTATCGATTGAATCAATATCAAACACTTTATCAAAGATTTCCGTCTTCAACTTTGCAGCAAATCCATCCAATTGTGATTCGTCACTAGGCACATCAATATGTTGAGGTTTAATTTCAAACGGTTCGGAAATATAAGCCACATCATGTCCACCATCTAAATGGTATCTGACTTCATAAACCCCTTGTTCCCAAAACAATTTATCTTTAATGAAAGTGAATGATCCATTAGCAGTTGCACAATTGGTCCATCTACCAGATGACGAAAGCAAGGTTTTGTTTCTTGAATATGTAGTTTGCAGAATCTTGTATAAACCAATCCAGTCCTTTGAAGAGTGAGTAGCAGCCGGAGATTGCCAATTGACTTTGATTGGCGTTCCAATGGTTATAAATTTGGAGTTGGTTGCTGGGTCAACATTTAAGCCGGGAAGTGTCAATTTATAATCAGAATTGGCAAATGATAAATTTTGTGATAACTCAATCAATTTTTGCTTTGATAATTTAACCTTGGAGTTTTGCAAGTCTTTGATAAAGTTTTCAAATGATTCAGCAATACCTAATCCAGGATTGCTTCTTCTTCTCCTCATTGGCTCATCATTACTAATTCTTCTTTGAATTACATCAGGAATCAAATGTTTTTTAAACGTTTTCGTAACCCCTGAATCTTGATTCACTTCTTGTTCGCCATATACTCTCAACATATGCGATTTTTCAATAAAGTTGATTCGAATAAAATTGTTGGCAACCCACAAGATACAACAGACAATGTTTTCGTAAGTTGGCCAAATGATAAACACACCCATGACTCCACAAACACCAAAGATTTGTTCTGGATTGTTCAAGTAACGGTAAACACCAGCCTTGGTTAAGTGTTGCGATTTAGGAATAAAGAAATCACCATAAAAGTAGCCAAAGTAACCAATCAGATCAATGATTGATGCATTGATCCAAGTTTGTGTCACAATCAATAAACAACCAACAAACACTCTCAAGTAGAAAAAATCGTGGAAAAGTACCTCAGTGGTTCCTTGAAGAACATGCGCTAAATTCATACCAAATAAAGACGAATAAGTCAAATTGATCAAAGAATTGTACAAAATTGCCCAATTGTTCAATGATTTCTCCACTGGAACATCATTTGAAAGACACCATTTGGTAAAGTATTTGGAGTAACTTTGTAAAATCAACATGGTATTGATAAATAAACTTTCAAACAACTTTGTCCCTACAGTTAAAGCAAAAAACAACTTGTATGAGCTTTTGGATAAGATTGGAATCACAACTCCATATGTGACAATTAATATCAAATTCAAGACATCACTTGCTCTCATCCAATTGAAATTGTAGAATCCAACCAACGGAGGCATATTTTCAAAGTGTTTTAAATCTTTCAACTTGACAATCTTGATAAGGTTAATTTCGTTTTTGGATGGACCATAGATCTTATCGATATGAGGGTTTTCAATATAATGAAGGAAAATCATTTGCAAAAAATGACCAAAAATTGCAATTGCCAATACCGTATATGACTTGGCAATCAAGGCAAAACCATAATATCCCACGTATCCGACAGAGTACATTGGATGCGGTACCATTTCAAAAACCCCATCGAAAATCAATTCTTCATTGTTGATCTGTCTGAAAAAGAAATCACCCCAATACCAGGCATAATCTTTGATTGTATTGTGGGCATTGACTTTAACCCACAAGTTAAACAATATCAAACTAAACCCAACGACTATTCTCAAATATACAGTCCAAGTATTAGAAAACTCGTCAGCATTGGCCACAGCACATGTGTATACAACACAACAAAATGTAACAAAATCTGACATCAAAATTAAATCAACAAATTTCCTAAACACAAGCCAAGTGTTGAACTCAATAGGTAATGATGAAATGACATAATTTTTACCACGTTGAGACTTGACTTCATTTTGAACCAATTTAGCACAAAACAGATCATTCTTGGTATCAAATAATTTACCATCTTTGGCCCAAGAGACCAACCTGTTGTGGTTTGATTGTTGTTGCAACAACCATCCAATTCCAAAATTGTAAGATAACCTCCAAAAAATGTATAATCCAATAAACACCACAATGCGTGCTTTATTCAGTGGGATCAAAAACACAAGCAAGTTGGCACATAGACAGGTCAAAATGACTAATTCCAAATTCGATTTACGTATTGATGGATCAAACAAAGTCTTTACCATGTCGTGAGTTTCTGGTACAACAAAGGTTTCACCCGAAAAAGTGATACCTTTTGGACCACCGCAATTGGACAGTACATAATCCTTTGCTTTCTCTGATGCTAACAGATCCATATCATTCACTGGACTGTTGTTTGTTTCTGTTTGAACTGACATTGTAAAAAGATTGTGACAGCACGATTTGAATTCCTCTTTTTTTTTCCACTGTCTCTCTTTATAGCCAAGACCGCAATAAATTACAACAGTGTGATGTTTGAGTACTGGCTTTGTCTTAGTCTTTGTAAGTGAAAGTGAAGATTAGGAAGCACTCAACACTAAAGCTATGAAAAGAAGTGTCGTTTCTAGTCTAAACAATGCTGAAAAATTTTTATACTAAAAACTCTATAAAGCTTTATGAAATATTATTATTACATGTGCAATTAATACGTAATAAACCGGAAAAAAAGGGGAGAAAGTAGATTCAATTTTGTGTGGGGGGAGAAGAGAGAGTGAGAGATGTTTGTAATTGCGAGAACCAAATGGAATAACTTTTGGTTGTTCCAATTACTATGACATTATCATCAAGCTATGACACTCTTTGAAAGTTCGTCAATTGAGAGACTCTATGTCTCATTATAATAGAAGATGCATTCGGTTAGGTTAAAATGTATGCTGTAAGATTAGGTTGGTACTGCATATAAACTTTTGTTGGTCCTTTTTTTTTTTTCATTTTCGTAGACACAAAGATTGTGTAACTTAGGCAGATGAAGTTGATAAAGAATCAATTGACAAGAGGTAAAGATGTGGTGAGTGTAGCTACCTCCCGTGTACTACTCAAAGAAGCCTTCATGTAAAAAGACCATGAATTAAAGTGATTCTTGACTATTCAATCGTGTTCATTGATTGAGCGTTATTACTGTTTAGGGTATTTATTTACGAAGTTTTAATGATCTTGTGAGTGTTATATACTAATTGTCCACAAATACACTACCTTTTCGTAAATTCACAATTTGCATGTGAAAAAATAAACCATACTCATTGCTTTTGCAACCAACCTGTCTTCCATTGCTTGAGCAACAGATCTATTCAAATATTGATCAGCAAGAGTTGTTCACATAATTCACCACTACTTTTTTCTAATTCAGAAGTATTGAAGTATGTTACGGGTTGAACGTCCGAATAATGCAGGACAAACTAAACCCTTTAAGCTTCAAAAATGACTGCTTCGTTCAAACAAATGAGAGTATATGTATCAAATAGATGTAGATGTAGAGTATAGTAAGAAATACACAAAAAGACAAACTCGCCTTGTATGCAACATGTTAAATCGTGATCTTAAATTATTACCCAAATTAGTTGCAACTAATCGTGTTAGTTCATCAAACACGCTATCTTGAACGATCCTGTGACAGTAGCAGGATTTAGTCGATATAGCAATCAAAGCCTAGATAAAGTCGCTTCTCACATTTTTGAACATTAAAAGCCTCGACCCTGACAAAAAAAAAAAAGACCTCATCATCATTTACAGTTTATCTTGTATATTAATAGGAAGAAACAACCGATAATCTCGGTGTCACTCATTTGTTGTTGCATCCTCTTTAAACAATAAACCCAAAACTGTACTTCAGCGTTTCCTGATTGTAAAAAAACCCACCAATAAGGACAAGGAGAAGATATATCGGTTTACCTTCCGAAGTGTGCTCCCCTTGATGAAACCCTATAAATGTGATTTAAACCGTGATGGTTACCTTCCCAGTGGGAATAAAGTCAATAGAGCCCTAAAAAAAAAAAAAAAAAGAAGGCGAAAGTGGCAGATTCAAAATTTGTGGGCTTTTTGCAGCACTATTTGTACCCCCTTTTTTTTTTTTTTTTTTTTTTACAAAATGTGTGGTGTTATTTGATAAGCAGGGAGCCAATACAATATTGTAGTAGTTAACTCAGAAAGTAGGTGCTTCTTCGGTGCACCTATAGCTCATTCTTGCATTGTCAACTAAGCCAAAAGTGATCCAACATTACCTCCACTTTGCCCCTTTTGCTTCTATATTCGTGCTTTTATATTCACCTCACAAAAATGTCAAAAATGTTCAAAACGCCTCATATCAATAGTTTGAGCAATGAACCCTTTCCGTTGATTACATCTCCTACAATCCCCTCAACCATACAAAAATAAATACTAAATTAAAATCTATTATGTACACATCTATTAGAAAAAAAGTGAGAAAATATAGAAAATCAAACAATAATTGATGACAAGATAACCAACTTAGCTCATCTCATCTTCATTCAAGTAGAATAGCAGACGATCATACAAAAGGCTTTTGTGGTTTATACTGTTTAGTAACGACGGTTACCACCCAATGGAGCAGTATTTGAACCTGATGAGTAACCTCCACGGCCACCACCAAAACCACCACGGCCACCACGTCCACCACCAAAACCACCAAAACCACCACGGCCACCACGGCCACCTCTACCATACCTGATATGACTACCATAGCTTCTTCTATCATATTGCTGCAACTCTGGTGGAATGGTTTGATGAGCTTCTCTCATAATCTTGCACAAATCACCACCCAACTTCTTATTGTTGTCAGTGAAAAATGAAATAGCCATACCTGTAGCACCACCTCTACCAGTTCTACCAATTCTGTGGACATAATCTTCAATGTTACCTGGCATATCAAAATTGATAACGTGAGTGATTCCCTTGACATCTAAAGTAACGTAGTTAGTAACAATGCACATTGCAAACAAGCATAACATCATTCAGGAATAATGACTTATTATAGTTCAACAGAAGTAGATTAATAAAACTACGGGGAAAAACTTTGTATTGGAAATGTGAACGTGCAATTGACATGATAGGGGCATCATCGGAAATGACGTCAAGCGGACATCACCCGTTGAATGCTATCCCATTATGCCATCACCCCCAATTTATTGAAGTTTGATATAGAAGAAATCTCGAAGTCAAGAAAGACACACTAAACACACAAAACAAAAACACTACACACATATTATTTTGATAATTTGACCTCTTCAATGACATTGAACAATCCCAAAGATGGAACAGTCATACGGTTGAGCATGGATATGCTTCAATCTAAAATCTTGTACTGTGTGAATACAGGTGTAACCCATTGTCCTCAAATTTAGTGAGAATCAAAGTGAAAGTACTCAAAAAAAAACTAGAGAATACTTCACTGTTCATTTCCTCATTCTAGGCGGCACTCCCATCATCATAGAAGGGAAGAGTGTATCCGCGCCGGACAGTACACCTGATTTGAAAGATACGCGTTACCGCATCCCTCTCACTTTTTCTTTGTACAAGAACGTCATTGTTGAACTCACTTAACAAATATGTGCGACATTAGCAGTTTCACGCTTGTGCAATGCATATGCAAGTCTCCCATTGATCTTAGCTTGTTTTTATCACTTTCTTCCAATCAAATAAATCAATAAAGGGCAAACAGAATAACAAAAAAAAAAAAAAAAAAAAAAATTCGCCTGCAACCTGCCCTCTTAGTTCACATTTAAATCCTTCCCATTTGTGAATTGGCCCGCCAAATCACAACTTCCCTTGATAAAGCATTATTCCTAAAATGTAAATGTTAATAGTCTCGGGGATTGAAATTGCTCCCCTCACAATTCATATGATATACATACCAATACCTCTGGCAGCAACATCAGTTGCAACCATAATGGAATGACTCCCTTGTCTAAATTCCTTCAAGACCCAGTCTCTTTCGTGTTGTTGCTTGTCACCATGAATGGCTAAAGCTGGCCATCCATCTGATCTTAAATAACTTGTAACGTCATCACATGCCCTTTTGGTACTAGCAAAAACCAAGATTTTTGAGTTGGTGTCACTGGAAGCACTTTCCAAGTACTTGACGAGCATGTCCCTCTTTTGGTATTCATTGACAACTTGGACAATTTGAGTAATTGTGTGAGATGCTGCCAACTCTAATGAACCAATGGTTACTTGAATTGGATCATTCAAATAATCCCTTGCCAAAGCTTGAACTTCTTTTGGCCATGTGGCGGACCACATCAATGTTTGACGATCTGGTCTGATTTGATCAACAATCTTTCTAATTTGAGGCTCGAAACCCATATCCAACATTCTATCAGCCTCATCCAAAACTAAATAAGTGACTCTCTTCAAGTTGGTTTTACCAGCTTCCAACATATCAATTAATCTACCTGGGGTGGCAATACAAATCTCGACACCTCTAGCCAAGTCCCTAACTTGTGGACCCTTTGGAGCACCACCATAAACACAGGTGTTTCTGATCCTTGAAGATGAACCAAACTTGCTACATTCAGTTTGAATTTGACAAGCCAATTCTCTTGTTGGGGCCAAAACTAAAACAATGGGACCATCACCAGGTTTCAATAACGGCTGAGCGTTAATATGAACAATACCAGGCAAAGCATAAGACAAAGTTTTTCCCGAACCAGTAGCAGCAATACCAACCATATCTCTACCACTCAAAGCCATTGGCCACCCTTGACACTGGATAGCAGTTGGTTTTGGGAAACCTTGTGCCTTCAATTCACTCAAAACATAGTCAGGAAACCCTGCTTCATCGAAATTGGTGATTGGATGTGGAATATCATGACCTTGAACACTCATTTCGTTTTCAGCCCTAAAAGCTTCAATATCAGCATCTGATCTGGCAGCAACATTTGGATGTTCAGTGTAAAAATTCTTTTCAAATTTTGGCAACTGTTCTAAATCCCATTGTGGAACAGTCAATTCTTGTCTGGGTGCATCGTTGAATCTTCCACCACCTCTGCCACCAAAACCGCCACTTCTACCACCACCGTAGCCACCTGCACCACCGTAATTACCTCCATCTCTTGATCCACCGCCACCATAGCCACCTCTTGAACCACCTCTTCCACCGAAACCTCCCCCATTGGAGTATCCACCTGAATTACCTCTATATCCTCCGTTGTTATATGACATTCTCTTTGATCTGTTTATGTAGTTGTTATCTAATTGACTGAATAGTTTATTGATTAATTCAAAGTTAAAATGTATAATGAGAAAGAAAGGAAAAAGTGGTAAGAAGATGTGAAAGTTTTTTTTTTTTTCCCCTTTTGTTTGTCTCCAAGGGAGAAGAGAGAAGAGGAAAGAATTTTTGTGAAATTTCTTTTTTTTTTTTTTTTGGCATAGTGCACAGTGAGAGAACAGCATCGCATAGTGAGACATTACACAAATACATGTACTAATAGATCATCAATAACTACAAGCACGTCTGTGATGGAACAAGTAAGAATTGTAAATAGGATATTAGAAATCGTTGGAATACCATGCAATACATGAAGTACGTTAGTTTCGTATTTACATCAGATCAGATAAACTAAGATCAAGATTTGCATTTGAAGTAGTTTGGAGAATATACGTTCGAAATGAATGAACCAAGTGATTCTACCACGATGGGTCCCCTCCTACATCAACTGAATTGAATAACTCACCACACCTTTGTCTCATGCATTTAGCAACTATATCTACCTACAAACAAGTTTGGTTGTCTAAACGGGAATTCCTTTATAGCCCATGCTGCCATTCCCCATTCATTTCAGCTCCAATTTAAGGCTCTTCAGTGCTGTATCCACCTTCTTTTAACTTTTGCTCAAACTTCTCTTCAACAACTCCACAAAGCTCACTTAAATTGTCCAAACCCTGGTGTAAAGCTTCTACTGCCGAAATGTTACCGTACGTTTGTATCCTAATATTCATCTTATTCTCACTGGGATGTGGTATACTGTACCCACAAAACTCAACCTCTGGATTCTTCATGATTATATAACGTAATGCATTTCCTAGCGTATGATCCTCATCTAGAATTTGGAATGATGCTGACGATCCATCCTCTGATGCTCCAGGGAGAATCTTTATTTTGTCAATATCGTATTCAATCTCTTCAGTTTGGTCTACTTCATCTACCTTGATATCATCTGAAGACATTGTGATTTGCCTTTATCGCCTTCTTTGTGGGTTTGTACTGTGGTGCTTTCTCTTCAATGAGAGATGATGTTGCCCATCTCAATCGAATTTTTTTCTTGTTTTGTCTGCTCCTCGCTAGAATGGGTTGCACGCTACCACACTACTACTTCATATCCCATACAATTTCCAGTCCTATATTTTCATAATATTTATAGTATAAACTTTATATATATACATAGCCTAGTATTATTCTAATTCAATCTAATACATGTATCTCAAGTCAGCAGCAACCTTAGAACCATCATTACCTTGTCCCAACTCCTTTTGCCAATCCATGGTTCCATTTTCAATCTTTTTATTCAAACGCATCAACCGCATTCTCAACAAAATCACCAACCCAATTGCCAACACAAGGGCCCCAATATTACAACTCATGGCCTTGATATAACGTGGACCATCTGATGCTGGGTACAAGAATGGGGTCCATGTGTAAGGAGAATTACTCAATCCAATCATAATAGCAATTGCAACTGCTCTCTTTGCTGGTGGTCGAGGACAAGAATTGGACATGTAGGTTATAATAAGCACGTACGCTGTAAGCAAACTCGGCATCATCAATAGCATTGCAAAGTATCTAGCACCAAAATTGGTTGTCGCAACTGGTATGATGAATGAAACGCATGCAAGAGCCAATGGAATACCAACATGATAAGATCTTTCTCCAGTTTTGTCAGCATGTCTAGCCCAGAAATAAGTTGCTGGAACAGCAAGAACATAAGGTGGGGCAGTTAAACACAATGTGACTGTACGATTGTAATTTAAAGTGGCAACAATGGTTGGGAAAAAGTTGACAATACCACAAGCAACAATCAAAAAACTAACTTGACCAGTAACCATCCACATTTTCTCGTCCTTGACAGCCAATTTGAATCCTTGCCAAGTAGTGACTTGCGCTTCGGCGTCAGAGTCATCAACATCACCCAAGTCTTTCTTCACCTTCCATTGAATGATATCCTTCTCCATTTGGTTCAAGAACTTAGTATTTGTCGGTTTATCTGGTAAAACAAAGTAAGCAAATGGAACCGTTAAGACAGTGATACCCCCTTCAAAAATAAATAACCATCTCCATCCGGCAATACCTCCCAATCCATCCATTTCCAAAATACCAGCAGCTAACAAACCACTGAATGCAGAACTTATCAGGGATCCTGCAAATAAAAGTGAGTTCCTCGCAGCCAAAGATTTTTTATCATACCACATTGATAAAACCATCAAGGCACTACATAAAAATGCCGATTCAGCAACACCCAAGAAAACACGAGTTGCAGCTAATCCAGCAAAATTCTGCACTCCACCAGTCACCGTTGAAATGACACCCCAAACCGTCATAACTGTTGATAAGAAAATCGAAGGACGACCAAACCTGTTCAAAATCATATTACCAGGAACTTGAAACAAGATGTAACCAACAAATAGGATGGAGATACACACTTGATACTGATTGCCAACCAAACCCAAGTCCTCTTCTAAACCTCCCAACCTAGCACTAGCAATATTGTTACGATCAAGGTAATTTAAAATATAAATAAACATCAACATAGGGATCATTCTAATATCGACTTTTCTAGTAGTCTTCTTGTCAAGCTCTTTCAATTCTTCCTGAGTCAAATGTTGCAATGATTCCGGCAAGTTAGTGTAATAATCATCCTCTCCCAGGCTAATTGTTCCAGGGTTGGAGTCAAAGTCTTCGACTACATCCTTTTTTGAGCTGTGGCCACCCTCGCTATCAATTTTCTCCACAAAGGATGTTTTTGGCTGCTTGTCATCGGCGTCATCAATGTACTGAGTAGACGTTTTTTAGGTCATCTTAGGGGGACTGGACTTTGTGCTTGTGTTTCAAATTCCGGGAGGACACCATAACGAGATACTCGACGATAATATGCAGTGATTCAAATACTCCCTGGCTTTGCAAATTTTTTCCAATATTTATTCATAGTATCTGGACACTTGCCACCATGTGGGGTATTATCAAGAGATGTCTATTCCCACTTTTTGGCCAATAAACTTGATAAAAAGGAAAATATTTCCCTCAACAAATTTTGTAACCAAAATGTATACTCATGTAAGTTTCTGCCGTGTCTAACGCGAATAGCTTAAAGCGGCCACACAAATGCGCTACGTCCGAGTCCATTTTGCGTCATTGCAACAGGCTGATGAAACCTACCATTGAAATAGGATACTTTTGTGTGGCTCGATTTCAAACTCTACAGCTCAATTCTACACGGTAGTTGTGAGGTGGCTTCACATTACTCAAGAGGCATACTGAATATTCCATATTCCACGACGAGGAACTACTCTTGACAAATAAATTCCTCTGTGTCATGACTTTAGCTACTGTGACAAGAATTTTCGTTTTCGCAACAACTTTTTGTGTAAAATCATTGTCACTTATTTGTCTCTCTCTCTCTCTCTTCGTTTTTGTACCACCAAGCCTCAATCTTGCCAACCAAGTTTCAATGTGAGTTTTCCTTGGTCATTCATAGGTAAGATAACTGCACATCCACTATGAATGGAAGTGAGCTGCTTGGCATCGGTGAATGAAAAACGTTGGGTTTTTTTACCTATTTCAGTCGTAAGAATTTCCGCTTGACCTTCAGGATGGAAACATGATAAGAAGGAGGGATCAACATATAGTCGAGCATGAGGTAAACACTTTCATCGTTTCACATTGAGTGCCAGAATCAAAATTTTCTTTCAACGGACCGCAGACTCAGTCTATGATCACAAAATAACCCGATCATTAAAAGTCGGTCCAAAGGGGAGCGTTGATAGGTCTGATGAGCAGTGAGAAGTTTTCCAAACAAAATGAATATGGAACGTGTCATTGACTATGCCCAACTAGGTCACTTACATGATATGCTGTGGACGGGTCTATTTCTACAAAACGGTGCTGGTTTTCCTGAAAAAAATATTACTGTCCTCAAAGGGAAATGCATGTCGGCTATTATTATCTCAGTCCCTGCTGCAGAATCGTAATTAGACACTTTTTTTTATTACACTTTCATCGATTGTGTCGCGACATCTCTTTCAAGTGGTTGGAACTTTATACAGATTGCATCATTGGCGTCTGAGCAGCTCCCTTTTCTATGGCAAAGCCCACAACACGAAAGATAATCGTAGATATTATAACGACGCTTACTCGTTATGAAAGAGGTGAGTGACGTAAATACCACAAATCATATCTCTTAAACGAATTCATCATCTATAGAGCTGTTGCTTTGTAAACCATTTTTTTTCGATTCATATACTGAATGTTTAACATTAAATCTAACTAGTATAAATATCTAAAATCAGCATCAATCTTTGACCCGTCGTTACCCTCTCCTAATTCCTTTTGCCAATCCATAGTTCCATTTTCAATCTTTTTGTTCAACTGCTTTAACCTAATTCTCAACATGACAGTCAAAATAATCGCCATTACCAGAAATGCAATGTTACAACTCATACCTTTGATATAACGTGGACCATCGCTCAATGGGTATAAGAAGGCTGTCCACGTGTAAGGAGAATTACTCAATCCAATCATCAAGGCAATCGAAACGGCTCTCTTTGCTGGTGGTCTTGGACATGAGTTTGGCATCCAAGTAATGATAACCACATATGCTCCAATTATACCGGGAATCATAATACAGTAACTAAAGTATCTCGCGGCAAAATTAGTTGTGGCAACAGGGATGACGAAAGATATAGTTGTGACCGCTAATGGGATGAGAATGTGAAACGATCTCTCTCCGGTTTTGTCAGCATGCCTTGCCCAATAATATGATACTGGGACTGCAAGTAAGTATGGTGGTGCAGTTAAACATAATGTAACGGTCCTGTTGAAATTCAACGTAGCAACAATTGTTGGGAAAAAGTTGACAATACCACACGCGCAGACTAAAGTGCTCAACTGACCAGTGACCATCCACATTTTCTCATCTTTGATTGCCAATTTAAATCCTTGCCAGGTTGTGACTCTTGCTTCAGCATCGGAATCACCAACATCACCCAAATCTTGTCTCAATTTCCATTGAATGATATCCTTTTCTTGTTGACTCAAGAATTTGGTATTAGCTGGCTTGTCCGGTAAGACAAAGTAAGCGAACGGAACTGCCAACACAGTAATACCCCCTTCAAGAATGAACAACCATCTCCATCCAGCAATACCGCCCAAACCTCCCATTTTCAAAATACCCGCAGCCAATAATCCACTAAATGCAGAACTAAGTGGATTTCCTGCAAACAAAAGAGTGTTTCTTGTAGCCAATGACTTTTTGTCGTACCACATCGATAAGATCATCAAAGCACTGCAAAAGAAAGCAGACTCTGCAACACCAAGGAAAACACGAGTTGCAGCTAGACCAGCGTAATTTTGAACAGCACCAGTGACTGTAGATATAGCTCCCCATGTCGTCATCACCACAGTAATAAAGATTGAAGGACGACCAAACTTGTTCAAGATCATATTTGCTGGAACTTGGAACAAAATGTAACCAACAAACAAAATCGAGATACAAACTTGATATTGATTGCCCACCAACTTCAAATCAGCTTCCAAGGTATCCAACCTAGCATTGGTGATGTTGGTTCTATCAAGAAAATTCAAAATATAGATAAACATCATCATGGGAAGCAATCTGAAATCGATCTTTCTCGTTGTTTTCCTGTCCAATTCTTTCAACTCTTCCTGGGTCATATGCTGCAACGACTCTGGCAAGTTAATATAATGATCCTTTGGTTTATCATCATCCTCTTCATCATCATCAACGGACGTCAAATTTGAATTAGCTCCTGTCACATCTTCTTTAATATCATGCTTTTCTGATTCCGCATTCACATATTCAACTTTATCGGGTTGAGAAACAAATATTTGTTCCCCATCGGAGTCATTAGAGTATTTGGCACCCTTCTCAGCCGACATTGCTTATACAATTGTTGTCTGGGTTTTGAGTTTTTATGAATTGAGGAAGCGATTACCATCTTTTTATACCCATCTGATCTGATGCAAGTTATGAAAGAATCTACTGTTTAACACACCCCACCCATGTTAGTTTGAATGCGCTTTTTTCTTTTGCGTATTCTTTCCATCTAAAACGGTCAGGATTCATATAATTTTTAACTCAAATAATATTGGAAATTAAACGCTACGAAAAGCGGAGAGTCGACGCTTATCTCAATTGATGTGCCTTCAACCATTTATTGACCATAAAGCCCATGGTATACTTCTCATCGTCATGAATTTCATCGCTGATTGTGTCCTGTAATTGCGATAAATCGTAAAACAACAAGCAGTACACTCCTTTGCTCTAAATTGGCCTCAACAAAATGTGCATATAGAATGTAACTCACGAGATTAGCGAGACAACAATGCAATAATCAGAATAACACTTGTTACCCCTCAGTATCTTCAATCATGCTAAGTAAAATTCAGCATGCGTGACAATTCAACAAACCAAAAGAAAGCTTATCCGAGGTAATTCAATAAAAGCACAAGAAAACAAACTGACAAGTGGATAAAACCTATACCTCCTTAACGCATTAATCTGTACAAGCAAGTCGATGAGTGATCTTTGTGTGCCAAGCAAATGGTGGTTTCACATTCAGAAACCGGTGAATAGTAAATACTTGTGAGTCCAACATGGAATATTATTAAAAAATGAAACCCCGAATAAAAAATAAAAGGAATGCGCTCCTAAGTGTTATTAGTTGTTAGTAGTCCATCTTGCAGCTCTGAGAATCTACGCCGCATGAGTTATCTTTTAATGCAAAAAGACGTAATTATACGAAATTCTGGTCATCATTGAAATTAATATTCCACATCATATATTATTTTGCATCAAAATAAAAACCAATAAGAAAATAAGATTTCAAGCTTTTTGAGACAAAAGGTGGAGATGATGTGTGGGGAAAATGGAAAAAAAGATTTCTACAACATCGATATTCACGGCTAGGGGCAAAGCTTTGCTTGCATTTGTGTGAAATGTGGCTGTGAGAGGATGATCGGAGATTGCCGGATTACGTGCACAATCCCCTTATGCAATTCGTCAATCACTCTTTCCTGCAAGGTATTTCACACGACGAAACCATCTACGGAACAGAATTTTATCTTCAATACATATTTATTTGTTCAGCTATCTCAATATAAGTATCTAAAATCAGCATCAATCTTGGACCCATCGTTACCTTTTCCCAACTCCTTTTGCCAATTCATGGTTCCATTAGCAATTCTCTTGTTCAAAACCATCAATCTTATTCTCAAAAGAACGACCATAAGTATTGCCAACACCGAGAAGGCCACGTTACAAACCATGGCTTTGACGTAACGTGGACCATCGCCAGTTGGATACAAGAAGGGAGTCCAAGTGAATGGCGAATTACACAATCCAATCATCAAGGCAAGAGCAACTGCCCTCTTTGCAGGAGGTCTGGGGCAAGTATTTGACATCCATGTCATTGCAATAACAAAACCTGCGGCTGAAGTAGGCATCATCAACACCATTCCAAAATACCTAGCGCCAAAATTAGTTGTTGCTACAACAAGCACGTACGACACAGCCAAAAGCGCCAATGGAATAATGATGTGGAAAGTTCTTTCCCCAGTTTTATCAGCATGTCTGGCCCAAAAGTATGAAACCGGGATAACGAGAAGATATGGTGGTGCAACCAAGCATAACGTGATTGTAGAACTGTAGTTCAATGTAGCAACAATGGTGGGGAAAAAGTTGGTGATTCCTTTAGAAGCGGCCAAGAAAGCAACTTGACCACAAATCATCCACATTTTCATGTCTTTTACCGCCAACTTAAAACCATCCCATGTACTAACCTTTGCCTCTTTGTCCGAGTCATCAACATCACCCAAATCCCTTCTCAATTTCCATTGAATAATTTCTTTTTCCATTTCACTCAAGAACTTGGTATTTGCTGGTTTATCTGGTAAAATGAAGTAAGCAAATGGAACCGTTAAGACAGTGATACCACCTTCAAGAATAAATAACCATCTCCATCCGGCAATACCTCCCAATCCATCCATTTTCAAAAGGCCCGCAGCCAACAATCCATTGAATGCAGAACTAAGTGGGTTTCCAATGTACAAAAGTGAGTTCCTCGATGCCAAAGATTTTTTGTCATACCATAGAGACAAAATCATCAAAGCTCCACCAAAAAATGCCGATTCAGCAACACCCAACAAAACACGAGTGACTGCCAATCCAGCGTAGTTTTGTACACCTCCCATTGCTGTGGCACAAGCACCCCAACTAAACACGACAACCGAAACAAAAATCGATGGACGACCCACTTTATTCAACACCATATTACCTGGAATTTGAAACAAAATATAACCAACAAACAAAATGGAGATACAAACCTGGTACTGATTTCCTTGTAAGTTCAAATCTGCTTCCAAACCACCCAATCTAGCACTTGTAATATTGCTACGATTAAGGAAATTCAAAATGTAAATAAAAGCCAACATAGGAAGTAATCTAATATCGATTTTTCTTATAGCCTTCTTTTCCAACTTTTTCAATTCATCATGAGTCAAATGTTGCAACGCTTCTGGTAAATTGACATAAGGTGACTTTTCATCAACATCTTCTGATCCATTATTTGAGTCCGACTTCTTTAAACTCTCTGAGCCTTCACGTTTGGAGATATGTGACCTCAAATCATCGTTTGCTAAAGCTTCCGAAACAAATGGTTCATCAACAGTACTGCTCACTGTCCTAAGGAGCTTGTTTTCAGTGGACATTTTTTTTTTTGAAAATGGTTGCAAAAGGTCGGTTAATCTTGAGTGAGGCTGAGTTGGTAAAATAATCAAACAGGAAGCAGACAATGGAAGTCTCAAATGATGGTCCGAATTACCTCTATTTATATTGGAAGTAAAGTATCTCTGAGCGGGGGTTTGTAAAATTTCCCGCCTTGGAAGAACTCGCTCGTGAGGAATAAGAATTTCCACTATTAGACTTTATTATAAGGGGTAGCAGATAAAACCTTAAAAAAGTTTCTGTGGAGAAGCAGTTTGGAGCAGATACAACAAAGGATGTTGTTTCAGCCGTTTCTTTAGTAGTGCTCATGGGCCAAGTGTGAGGGACGCATCACACGACTGTAGTTGGCTGGTTGATCATTTGAGCAACTGGCTTCAAAGAATACACAGCACTTCGAATCCACGTATGACTCGCTTGTGCTGCGATGTTGTTAACACCGATGTAATAGCCCAAACACCTTCTGGGCTCCAAGATCATAAACGCTAATTCTGGGACGTGGGGTATGGTGGGAAAAATAAGTTGAAGTAAAAAAAAAATAAAGCTAAAAATCTGACCTAAGCATCTTATGAAGAACTCCGTCTGTAAACATCATCTAGTATGTATGACCTCTCTCTTTCAAGCGTGACTGAGTGCTGTAGTTGTTTTCAGCGGTGTATATATAATATGTGTGGACTGCGTAAGCAGTAGAGCAATTTTTCTTTTCTGGCACTAAAGTTTTCTTGGAGAGAGGGAGAGACCAGACTTTAACATATATGGAAAGAATACAAATATGGGTTGACGAATATAATATTGATCAAGATAAGCTCAGAAAATAAGCTTATCAATCAATTTTGAATTAACAAAAGCTAAAGAGCAGTCCTCGAGGGGATGATGTGAATCCATGTCCAGAATACAGTCGTCATTTTGAGAGAGTTATAAAATTTGTTACTGCTTTCCACTGAACGAGTGCAATATGGTTTTACAATCAAGTAGTGGAAAGTATGTTGCGAAATGGATTAAGATGTGTTTAGTTATGTAAGGATAAACTTATCATCCTCAACTATGCAAAAGTGAGCTTTGCCTAATGCAAGATGTTTGAACAAGAATTTGCAATTTTCCCCACTATCTTAAGCCTTGCAACTCTTGGGCGTCTGAGATTGTACCCGCCGCGTTAGATAATTGTACCTTTCCGCTTAGAACATCTCGGGTGTTTCGGCGATAATATCATAAACCCGAAGCCTTGAAAAAGACTATTGATAATTTCGTGTGTATATTTAATAATATTTAATCACTCCTCATTTTGTCAAACGTGGAGGGGGAGGGGTATGCAAGCATTCGAAGTTAAAGTTTACCATTTGGGGTACCTTGTGCAAGATAGAAAGGTGCTCAAAACTCTCACCAGTTGGTGGTTGCGCCACCTGTGTCGAGATTCCGGTGTAGAAAATTCAGGATGTGTGGGTCTTTGTAAGAGAGTATCCAAAACCCACTAAACCTAATATAAGCACAATAGAGCACAAAATGAATTACTTCATTGTGACACAGTCTGTTATCATGAGATCTCGGTAGAGATAACATCTAGATAACATCTAGATAACAAAGGGTTGATTACAACAAACTGGTATTTCTCGTGTCATCATTATTCTTTTATGTAAACATATCAAATGCTTTAATATAAGTATCTAAAATCTGCTGAGATCTTTGAGCCATCATTACCTTTACCCAATTCCTTTTGCCAGTTCATAGTACCGTTCTCAATCTTCTTGTTCAAGAACATCAATCTAATTCTCAACATAATGACGAAAATGATGGATAAAGCAAGAAATGCAATGTTACAACTCATGGCCTTGACGTAACGTGGTCCATCACTTGAAGGGTATAAGTATGAGTTCCAAATTGAAGTAGAGTTACTCAAACAGTTGACCAATGCAATAGCAACAGCTCTCTTTGCTGGTGGTCTAGGACACGAGTTTGAAATCCATGTCAAAATAACCACAAATGCAGAATATAAACTTGGAATCATTAAGATCATACTAAAGTATCTGGCACCGGTGTTCAATGTCGCCACAGCAATTACGAATGCAACCAAGGCCAAAATTAAGGGAATGATGACATGTAAAGCTCTTTCCCCAGTTTTGTCAGCATGCCTGGCCCAAAAGTAAGTGACGAAAACAGCAACAACGTAAGGTGGAGCGGTCAAACACAAGGTAATAGTGTGGTTAAAGTTTAAAGTACCAACAATGGTGGGGAAGAAGTTGGTGACACCACAAGCAGCGACCAAAAAACTGTGCATACCACAAAGCATCCACATTTTTGTATCTGCGACGGCCAATTTGAGACCTTCCCAATCACTAACTTTAGCTTCAACGTCAGTATCATCAACGTTACCCAAATCTCTCTTCAATTTCCATTGAATAATGTCCTTCTCTTGTTGACTCAAAAACTTGGTATTGTGAGGAGTATCTGGCAAGATAAAGTAGGCAAATGGAACTGTTAAAACCGTGATACCACCTTCAATGATAAACAAGTATCTCCAACCTTCAATTCCTCCCAAACCATCCATTTCCAAAATAGCAGCAGCTAACAATCCACTAAAAGCGGAACTGATTAATGAACCAGCATATAAAATCGAGTTCCTTGAAGCCAAAGTCTTTTTATCGTACCAAGAAGACAAAATCATCAATGCACTACAGAAGAAAGCCGACTCAACCACACCGAGCAAAACACGAATAGCAACCAATCCACTGAAATTTTGCACAGCAGCAGTACAAGTTGAGATGGCACCCCAAAGAGTCATGACGACGGCCAAATATGCAGAAGGACGACCCAATCTATTCAACAACATATTTGAAGGAACTTGAAACAAAATGTAACCAACAAACAACACCGAAATGATGATTTCATACTGATTTCCAACCAAACCCAAGTCCTCTTCCAATCCACCCAATCTTGCACTAGCAATATTGTTACGATCAATATAGTTCAAAATGTAAATGAAGATCAACATCGGCATCAATCTCAAATCAATCTTTCTGGTTGTTTTCTTATCCAACTGTTTTAACTCTTCTTGAGTCAAATCTTGCAATGATTCTGGTAAATCAATATAATATGGTTCTTCTTCAATTTCATCCAATCCCAATTCGGAATCAGACTTTTTCAAATCCGTCCCTACCTCTATATGAGAGGTGCTAGCTTTAGGATCTTCAAACTCTTCGATATGGCTGGTACCTGCTTTTTCAACTGACATCTTTGACTAACTTGTATTGTAGTGTAAAGAGAAAGAGAAATATGAGAATTATAAACTGATGGGATTTTGGGGGAGCCTTTATATACATTTTTAAGTTAACCAGGACAAGTGAGTACCACATTCTTATAAAACACACGGCATTTCATAATACAAAATTACTCAACAAATCTAAAATACAAAAAAAACTTTTCCTTGATGTTTTTTTTTGATTTTAGCGTATTTGCTTAATTTTCTGAAGTTCTATTGTATTGTATTGTATTGTATTGTAAAATGTAACACAAAACTCCAAAGAACGAAAGAAAAGTAACAAACCACGCGAGGTGGGGAAGATGAAAAGAAATTAATACAAAGTATGGTTAGGAGCCTAATTACACGCACACGCCTTGTTGTGACCAACTTTGTTCACGAAATTTGAGTCAGCAAATTTAATTAGTAGGACTACTTCGGCAAGTTACAGGCGGAGAGTTGGGAGATACGGCGAGCGGACATGAGGCGTGTATAAATTATATCGTAAGTGGTGGAAAGTAAATAATCTTTCACCTCTCATCGATCACCCCAAAAATAAAAAAGAAAAGAAAAAAAAATAGATTTTCCGAGATTTAGAAATTCTTGACTGCGATGTTATCTATTGCAGTTTAAATCGACTACTGTACCCTACAATGTCCACCCCCCCAAAAAAAAAAAAAAAAAAAAGAGGTACATCCTTTACAGCTGATTAGAAATTTTTTGTGCGGTTGAATCTTGGCAATGGCTGTGGATTACAATTGCTACATACGTAACCATTGCTAACACTCTGGAAGCAATGTTACTTTTGTTGTACATAACAAAATTTGGAGGATGACACGCCAAGACATAAATTGTTTATTATTTTTAAAAAATTTTTAAGTTTTTCCGTGGGGGATTTGCTAACTTCCTATTGTTTTTTTCTACAGTATTATACAAACATCATGTAAAACACACACACGCACGACAGTGTCTTCTTCTACTCTTCAGGACACACGTTTGTACTTATAACCATAAACAAGCTCAACATTAATTTGTATTTCCGTCCCAACCGAATCAGTTTTATTTTTTTACTTTGTTTCATTTTTGTGAGGCTATCAAGGTGTTAATACGACGAAATTCAACAAATAAAGTAGCAGCACTACAGATCCTTTCTAATTGGGCTGAAAGGGGATCACAAAAGAGACCACTTTCCTATCAAAAAACGAAACAGCGGGTAATCAAAAGTAAAGACAGGGGTATATCAAAAGTTGCTTTTGGTGTGTTCGCAAATCATTAATACTAATTTTCTCTTCAATGTCCTTTAGGTACCTCCTCCCTCTTTGCAGCATACATGAATGCAAATCAAATGGCATTTGCATACTGTTAAAATGTACCTGCTACATATCTGCGCTGTTTGATCGAGTTAATCTCCTCTGCACCAGAAGCTAATGCACTCCCGTTAAATATTCTCAATACACAGCCAATTCAGCGTACAACGAAGCGGTCGAAAACAAAAAATTATTAGCTAAGTCGGTCTTGGCTCCTTGGTATCTGAAAGACGTGTCGCAAACAAAGTAATTGTATCGTCAACTCTTTCTCATCATGTAGAGAATCTCGGACTTTCACAAAAGTAAAAGTTACACAAAATGCACATGAAATTTATAAGCAATTAGTAAATTAGACAATTGGGGGATCAATCCCCAGTATTTACCCCACCTCCACTTGTCTTCCCAAACAATGCATAATGGAGAAAGATCTATCCCAGAAAACAAAGCTACGTTTTCTCCGCCTTTCGCCCCTCCCCCCCTCCTCATCCGATACGGATTGATAAGACTTTGCGAGTTTTGATGAGGGAGGCGTTTTGATATTTGCATCAACAAATCACTTTACTATTTGTGTTTTGTCAACTCATCTAAAATTACATCAAAACAATGAAACAAAAGATCCTTGTTCAACTGGCTCACTTGTAACATCAGAAATATTGTTGTTGCAGCATTGGCAGTGTTTTCACTACCAACGATTTTGGAACAAGTTTCCGTCATAAACGTGTCGAACAATTGTTTGGCTTCTTGACGAGTTTGTAGTTGTTGCTGTTTACTTCTCACCGCCGGTTCCAACTTGAATTTGCCATTGGGAAATAACAGCTCGCGTAATGTTGTCAACCAACTTGAAATGTTGGATTCATTCAAGTTGGAACGAATCACATCATAAACTTTATTTTCAACAGCGGTGCCGAAAAATTGTTGAAGAATTACAACGAGAGCCCTACCCTTAAGCCAATGAAGATTGAATACTGTAATGACTAGGTCACAAATAGGTTTGATGAAAAGGGGTTTGCTTGTTGGTTTTTCGTCAAATTGACGCAACTCCACTTCCATTTCTCGCCTATTTTTGTAAAATTCACTACCATCAGTGGTTGGAGGGGTTGTCGAGTACTGGCCACTAGTTGTATTTCTGTTACTTGATGAACTCAAGTACCATCGGTAGCCAAACAATGCCGATAACTTCCTCGGTTCATCAAACCGTTGATGCTTCCCCAAATGAAAGTTCTCCGAAGATAAAAAAGAACGAAATGCCATGTCTGAACAAACTTCGGGAATCTCAATGAGAGCTTTCAAGTATGCTTCAAGCTGGTGTCTTCTACTTTCTGTAATGTTCTTTTGTTGAAACTTCAACACCAGAATTGACTTTTGTGGGAACGACAAGGATGAAACCTTGGGATAACGACGCTTCAAATACCCATGTAATCTATGAAACTGGCTGTATCTTCTCGCAACTACCCACCCTGCTTTCACGACATTGGGATCCTCAGTTGAGAACTTTTGTACTTCGATAATGTACAATACAAACTCCCTTGTCTTATCATTCTGGTGCACTATCGACAGAATGCTAACTTTGGATTTTCCAAACAAGCTATTATCACTTTCTTGAACAATGTATTGCTGCTTTTGCAATTCTTTTAATGCAATATCTTTTTGAACTCCGTTTTTGGATTTAAGTAGCAATTTTAACTTCGATTGGTCATTGGTCAATTGCGCTTTACGCAATAACGGTTCCAAATAAATCAATTGCTGGTTTAAGTTTTCAATTTCCTTTTCAAGTGCAGGAATCTTTTCTTCTGCTAAATTCAAATTACCAGGACCTGCCAATTCCATGCTTTCACAACTTTCCTTCATGATTACTGAATCACTGTCTGTATCTAGCTCGTCGGAGTCATCCTCATCCTCAGAGTATTCTTCATCATCTTCGAATAATTTAGAATATCGATCAGTTCGATTCAGAGGAGACAATTTTTCATAAAGCTCTGAACCAAACTTTTCATTTTGAGATCCGACGGAGAAACTTTCCAAAACATCATATTTGGGGTCGCTCATTATAGTTGCAAGCTTGTCTTCGATCTGATCAACAACTGCTTCCCCTTCATCCACCTTCTCCACGTGATTCTTGGCAACTCCTGCTGACAAAAAATTGTAAAAATATTCGGCAAACAACTCTTGAAAAATTCTCCCCTGTAGCTTTATCAAAATTCCCTTGCAGTCTGGAAGGTCAAGCGTGTCTCCTACCGACCCATTTGCGGTCAAAGCTTTAAATTTATCCAAATTTGCACCACCAATATCAATGAGGCCATTGTCAAAATAACTCTCCTTGATTTCAAGGCAATCTTTTTTGGTGAGGCTTAACGCACCCCAATCTTGAAAGCTATCCAACAATGGGGGCTTAGACTCTTCAATTTTTTCCCAAAATTTCAACAAGTATAACTTGTGTTTGCTTTCCAAGTACTGCTGGAACGGCTTCAGTTGAGTCGAAGATTTCAACAAAGCAACAAGCCTATCTGCCTTGGAGCATTCAACCGACTCATGGTCCAATTGAATGACAGTTTTATCATTGGTGTCGTCTTCCAAAAAACTTTCCTGAATAATGTTTGCGATGTCGCCCGTGGCACTGAGTGGCATGTCTTTTTCATTTGACACTGATGACAAAGTGTGTTCTTCCAAAGCAGAGCGTAACTCTTTCACCTGATTTCGTCGTTTCAAGTTGTCCCCGATAACCCTGATCAATTGCAAATTCAAGAAATCAGGGTCAGTTAATAAATTGAAAATATTGTCCAAGATGGTGCAAGCCAATATCTCGGTAACAAACAAAACCACCAACTCGTTTGATTTCTCTCCATCCGAAAGACTCCTGCTAAGTAGCTTTTTGATCCGCCCTCTCAAATATGTTTTTTCTTGCATATTAATCTCCATTTTGTCAACTTGATCGCGAGTAACACCCACATGCAAATCACCATTATTGAAATGAGATAAAATTTCTGCAGACACGTCTGTACCTGAGCCATCAAAAGTGTCGTTATACACTAGCTTTTGTGCTTCGGCGTAAGCGATGAAATGGTTGTTGAACAATGGCAAAAGCTCCAAAGTAATAAGTTTTCCATAGTCGATATGCTGAAGCCGTTGCGCAATGTCTTTCAATACATGCGATATTTCAATTTTAACATCTTTCTCGAACAATGTGGACGAGCTGATTTTAGAAAACCACGCAGTGATAAACTCATTGATGATTATATCTAAAAGCTCTGACAACAACACTGATATTTTTTCCGAATCAACTATATGTGAATTGACGTTGGATGTTGCCCTGTCAAACTTTTCAATTTCTCGTTCCCATTGACTGTGACGTGTAAAGCGGAATCTTCGTGACGATTTAAAACTGGTTGAAGCTTGAGCCAGGAACAATTTAACAGAAATTGCAATATATCCGATAACTGAAACAATTGTCCCACATGCAAATAGAATAACGTGAAATGGATAAAACCGTAACCATAGCAAACCAATGACAAGTCCCAATTGAGCTCGCCAATTAAGCATGTGTGTCAACTGCTGCGGTGCTGGTGTTGATGGATTTTTTTGTCGTTCTTTTGACGGCTGTTGTGAGTGTTTACTTTTTCATATGTATTTTTGTTTGATCCACAAATTTTGTGTCACTGATTGAAACATTGATCGGAAACTATGCTTCAGATCAGATATCAATCGAATGGGACCAATACAGCCACAGTTTTTCCAAATCTTTGTGTTTATAATAGTTACACCATAGAGTAACTGATATGTAAAAAGTCTATAATATTACCCTACTTAGCTAGTCTCGGTGACTTACTCCCAGTGTCATTGTTCTAACTGTATATACGTCGCTTCAGTCCTTCTGTGCGTCCATCTCTTTTCCGCTTCTTTCTGTCAACTATCACATCTTCACTGTCAACGTTTGCCCCTCCGATTTTCCGTCGTTTTTTGCTATTAGCTTTGTCCTTCACACTTATTGCCTCTAGCTCCTTCTTCGCTCTCTTCTTTTTCAGCTTTTTCTCTTTTTCCTTCTTTAGTTTCCTCTTGCTTTTATCTGCCTTATCTTGTTCTGTATTGCCTTTGCTTTTAGACTTTTTCTTTTCCTTCATTTTCCCGGTCTCAAGTAGTGATGTACTTGTCAATTTCTCCATTTCTGCTGCAGCCTTGCTTGCCAAATCTGTAACATGCTCCTCTTTTATATGATCTGTTTTCCCCACCGTACCTTCCAAACCCTCACCTTTGACAAACATTCGATACAAAGGAGACATGTTCTTGTTCAAGTTCTTCAACACCGTTTCATTCTTATGCTTAAAGGAAACACCATTTCCGCTATCTCCATTGCTCACTTCCAAACCCTTTAATTGTCCATCGAATAGCTTTTCCCACCACATGTCTGCACCATTGGAGTCATGTCCCAACCCTTTTGTGTCCTTCTTATGTTTCACCAAAATTGGCTTCTTCAATCCCCCTTTCTTCAAAGGCTGTCCTTCCGTCCAGCCAAAGGACTGTAGGTAAACTTTTGCATCCATGGTTATACAGTGTTGTACGTGGGGGTGGGGATACAGAATGAAGTAACTACTCACAAATCTTTCCTCATCTGAAAAGCGATGGAGTTTTGCACTTTCAATTTATTTTTTCTGTCTTCACAATTTTGTGTCTGTTCTTATACTACAAAAATGAATGATTTGTACCAAAAGTCTCGAGTACATACCTTCTTTGTTACGTCATTTCAATTGATACCATATAGGTTTACTTTCAATGAGTTTAAAAGAATTAGTCGATGAATTTGAGATCTTGGTCAACGAGAATCCATACGCGCCGGAAAATTACGACAAAATATTGAGTAGGCTTCAGGTCATTCCTGACACCGCCCTACTAATCAACAAAATCTACAAGGAAAAAACAAAGTACTTTAGACTACGTCAATCAGAGTTGAACAACTGGTTATTTGAGATACGTGCTATTGAAGATATCCAAGAGCGGTCGAGATTGGAATATGCATTTTATGAAACAATAATTGATGATTATCCAACAGTTCCTATAATGACTGCAATGTTGGAGTTGGCTAATCAACTACTATCTAATGAACAGATTACTGATGATGAATACGGAGCAATCGTTTCAAAGGGGCTTCACCTTTGTGGATATGATTTTGTCAATGGAAACGAAATTTGGAAAATAAGCTTGGACTTGCTTCAACAACGTTACATCAAATCCAACGACGAAACTGATTTGGATGCGTTGATAAAGTTGCACTTGAAGAGGTTGAGCTATCCCCTACAGCAGTTGAACGAATCTTTTGAGGAATTTTCATCCTTGATTAGCAAATACAAAATAGGTGATTATGATCGATTAATGCAGGTGGCAAACAAAGTGTACTCCGACACTAAACAAAAGTTGCCATATTATGAGAAATGCGAGATACAAATCAAGGAGAGACCCACAGACTGCGCTCTTTGGATTGACTATATGGAGAGTGTATTCAAATATCAACCAAATCTCACTCACATTTTAACGATGCTTGCAAGAGCTACGCAAAGTGAAACTTCCTTCTCTAACAAGAGTCAGCAACTTTGGATGTCTGTTATTTATATGATCTACATGTCTGAAGAGGTACGCGAGAATGCATTGACTTCGTTACTAGACAAATACCTTCGCACATTTCCAAATTCTTGCACCGCTTACGCAGAGAATATAAAAAATTGTATTGCTTTGGGCGAAGATGGCAGACAGAGATTTATTGAAATAGAAAACAGAATTAGAGCTATAGATTTACGGAGCTCATCCGATTACAATGATTGGAAGCTTGTTGCATTGGCTATGATGCAGTACAAGTATCACAATGAATTGTCACATGAAACTTTTGAATCTCTTGACGATTTATTTGACACTATGGTGACATATGCCATGGACAACAAGGATCCGTTTCATACTGTGGAAAAGTTGGCGGTATCACTCTACATCTCCTTGGGTAAGTTTTCTCATGCCACGCAAGTGATAACGTCTATGTTTCAAACATTTCCGCTGGAGACAGAGGTTTGGCTCTACGGAATTCGTTGCTTCATTGAGCATGACGTTGATCAAGAATCTATTAGGCAAACGTTCAAGAAAGCATTGTCACATGCTAAAAAGCTCGATGCTCCCGAAAAGTTGACCGAGGAATGGTTGTTGTATGAACAAGTGCATGGGACTATTGATAGCTATAGAAAAGCAGTCACTTTGTGCAACAAAGCGCTTAGAGAATTCATGGAATCGAAAGCAAATGATGTACTTGCGCAGCCCATATTGCATGTAGACCGCAAAAGAAGCCATGATATGTCGGAGGAATTCCTGCGCTCAAGAGAAGAGTTTGCAGTTCAGGTCAATAACTTACCCTATGATGTTACCAAACAAGATTTGAGAAATTTCTTTTCTGGTTGTGGTGAAATTCGAGAAATGGATATAGTGGAGCTCAATGGGGGGAAGCAAGCGGTGATTGAGTTTACAAATGAGCTTGAAGTATTTTCAGCAATGACAAGGACCCATAAGGTACTAGGGTCAAACGAGATCACGGTCACAAGAGTGGAGAGAACTTTATTGTTTGTCAACAATTATCCAAGCTCATTTAGCCAACAAGATGTACGAGAAATGTTTGCTCAGGTAGGTCCTATTGTCAGCATAAGGTTTCCTTCACAATTAAGGAATAAAATTCGTAGGTTCTGTTACGTTCAGTATACTAGGACTCACGATGCTGAAAAAGCAATTGCTTTGTACAATGGACGGACGTACCATGACCAAAATCTCAATCAGGACTTTGCCTGGGAAGTACAGTATTCCAAACCCCAAGAACGGAAGGATAGAACAACACCCATTTCTGAACGCAAAATTCGTGTTTCCAATATTGCTTTTTCAATCGATGAGGAGGAATTGAGGAACGAGTTTTCGCAGTGTGGTGAAATTGATTTCATAGCATTGCCCAAAGCAGTTTATGATACAAAGAAACGTCGCATGAAACATAATGGCGGTCTAGCTATTATTACTTACCGTGATGCAAGTAGCGTAGAAGATGCCTTGAAGAAAAATGGAATCACGTTGAAGGGAAGAAACATCAATGTATCTAAACCGCAAGGGCACACAAATTGGACCCCAGATGACTTTGATACTCTTAGAACTATTGGACTAGCCAATGTGGACCCCTCGTTGAATACCTTCCAGCTCAAAAACTTTTTGGAGAAAACTTTTGGACAGGTTTCTAAAGTCCTCTTGCTTCCTGCTAACGGAGTGGCGTTGGTAGAATTTGGATCGGTCAGAGACAGTGGAAAGATTTCGTTAGGTTACAGTACCATTGAAATTGACAATTTCCAAATTCAAGTGACTACCAAAGAAGCAATTGTGGAAGTCTTGAAAACAAACAGAAATGATACCGCTGTTGAAACAAACTCTGAAGAGGTGGCCACAAGACCGATTTTGGTACCTACATCAATTAAAAGACGAAGGGTTTAATATTATTGTACATATTCTTTGACGTAATAATAAATTAATCCCACATAACTGAATTTTATAAATCTCTCGATTTGTGAGTACAGAGAAATGCGAAAAGAAAAAAAAAATTTCCAATAAATTTTTCACTCTAAACAAGATCAGTAGTGACTCATTTGATTCAAGATGAGTGTGACATTCGAAAAGACGTTTCGAAGAGACGCTTTAATAGAGATTGAAAAGAAGTACCAAAAACAATGGGAAGAAGATAAATTGTTCGAGATTAATGCCCCAACATTTGAAGAATGTCCTACGGATAACATTGATGAAGTTAGAGAAAAATATCCAAAATACTTTGCTACTATGGCGTACCCATATATGAACGGTGTTTTACATGCCGGACACGCTTTCACCTTATCGAAAGTGGAATTTGCAACTGGATTCGAAAGAATGAATGGTAAAAGAGCATTATTTCCTTTGGGATTCCACTGCACTGGTATGCCAATCAAGGCTGCAGCAGATAAAATTAAAAGAGAGGTTGAATTATTTGGAGCTGATTTTTCAGGTGCTCCGGCAGAAGATGAAACTGCTGAGCAAAAAGTTGAGGCAAAAGCCAAGAGAGAAGACGTGACAAAATTTAGCTCCAACAAGTCCAAAGCAGCAGCTAAAACGGGTAGAGCAAAGTTTCAATTTGAAATCATGTTGCAATTGGGTATTCCTAGAGAAGAGGTTGCAAAGTTTGCCAACACTGATTACTGGCTTGAATTCTTTCCTCCTTTGTGCCAAAAGGATGTTTCTTCGTTTGGTTCCAGAGTTGATTGGAGGCGTTCAATGGTAACTACTGACGCTAACCCATACTACGATGCATTTGTCAGGTGGCAAATCAATAGATTGAGAGACTGCGGTAAGATCAAGTTTGGAGAAAGATACACCATTTACTCCGAGAAAGATGGTCAAGCTTGTTTAGATCATGATAGACAATCAGGTGAAGGTGTAACTCCACAGGAGTATGTTGGTATCAAGATCAGAGTAGACGAGTTTGCTCCTGCAGCTAAAGAAACTTTGGAGAAGGAAAATGTCAACTTGAGTAATAAAAAAGTATACTTAGTTGCAGCCACATTAAGGCCTGAGACCATGTATGGTCAAACTACTTGTTTTGTGAGTCCAAAGATTGATTATGGTATTTTTGATGCAGGAAATGATGAGTATTTCATCACAACTGAACGTGCTTTCAAAAACATGTCCTTCCAGAACTTGACTCCAAAGAGAGGTTTCTACAAGCCCATTGCAACAATTAATGGTAAGGCATTGATTGGATCCAAAATTGATGCGCCATTGGCTCAAACCAAGAATTTGAGAGTCTTGCCAATGGAGACAGTTAAGGCCACAAAGGGTACTGGTGTTGTCACTTGTGTGCCATCAGACTCGCCAGATGATTACATAACGACAAAGGACCTCGCAAATAAACCAGAATACTACGGAATTGAAAAAGAATGGGTAAACACTGAGATAATACCAATTGTACATACTGAGAAATATGGTGACAAATGTGCTGAGTTTTTAGTCAATGAACTCAAAATTAAATCTCCAAAAGATGCATTGCAATTGGCTGAGGCCAAGGAGTTGGCATATAAAGAGGGTTTTTACAATGGTACAATGATGGTTGGAAAGTACAAGGGAGAGAAGGTGGAAGCAGCCAAACCCAAGGTCAAGGAGGATTTGATTGCCTCTGGTGATGCCTTTGTCTATAGTGAACCCGAGAACCAAGTCATTTCGAGATCTGGTGATGATTGTTGTGTTTCCTTGGAAGACCAGTGGTTTATTGATTACGGTGAAGAGGTTTGGTTAGGCCAAGCTTTGGAATGTCTCAAAGATATGGAATTGTTTTCAAGCGAAACGAGAAATGGGTTTGAAGGTGTATTTGCATGGATGAAAAATTGGGCCGTTACTAGAAAGTTTGGATTGGGAACGAAATTGCCATGGGACCACCAGTATTTGGTGGAGTCTTTATCTGACTCGACAGTGTACATGGCGTACTACACTATTGATCGCTTCTTGCATTCAGACTATTATGGTAAGGTTCCAGGTAAGTTTGATATAAAGCCGGAACAGTTGACTGATGAAGTTTTTGACTTTATCTTTACCCGTAGAGATGACATTGAATCCCATATCCCACTTGATCAATTGAAAGAGATGAGAAGAGAGTTTGAGTATTTCTATCCTTTGGACGTGAGAATTTCAGGTAAAGATTTGATTCCAAACCATTTGACATTTTTCATTTACACTCATGTTGCTTTATTCCCAAAAAAACTCTGGCCTAGAGGAGTTAGGGCAAACGGTCACTTGTTGTTGAACAATGCCAAGATGTCCAAATCTACTGGTAACTTCATGACTTTGGAGCAAATAGTTGAGAAATTTGGAGCAGATGCATCAAGGATAGCCATGGCTGATGCAGGTGACTCTGTCGAAGATGCCAACTTTGATGAATCTAATGCTAACGCCGCTATTTTGAGATTGACAACATTGAAAGACTGGTGTGAGGATGAGTTGAAAAAACAAAATGAATTGAGAACTGGGGAATATGATTCATTCTTTGACGAAGCATTTGAGAATGAAATGAATGAATTGATTGAAAAATCATACTATCAATATACTTTGAGTAATTACAAGCAAGCTTTGAAATTTGGTTTGTTTGATTTTCAAATTGCGAGGGATTTCTATAGAGAGTCAGTCAATTCCGCCTCAATTGGAATGCATAAAGACCTTGTTTTGAAATACATTGAATACCAGGCATTATTGTTGGCACCAATTGCTCCTCATTTTGCTGAGTATCTTTACAAAGAGGTGTTGTCTAAAGAAGGTAGTGTGCAAAATGCACAATTTCCAAAGCCTTCAAAGCCAGTGTCAAAGTCAGTGTCTGAATCCTTGGAGTATGTTAGACATGTCGCCCGTGCAATTCGTGAAGCTGAAGGTTCTGGTTTGAGAAAGAAGAAAGGCAAGGCTGATTTGGAAACAGGAGACTCTGTTAAGTTGACCATTTTGGTGTCAAACACATTCCCTGATTGGCAAGAGAATTACATTGAATTCGTGCGTGAGTTATTTGAAACGCAGAAGCTTTCGGATAACAATTTGATAAAGGAAAAAGTTGGCAAGGATATGAAGAGAGCCATGCCTTTTATCAACCAGTTGAAAATCAGACTCAACACTGAAGACCCAAAAATTGTGTTTAACCGTAAATTGAATTTCAACGAAGTTGACACTTTAAAGAAAGTCGTTAATCTCATCAAAAACTCACCTTACTCGATCAAAGTTAAGGAGTTGCAAGTTATTGCCTTCGACAATGGAAGTGACAAGGGACAAGATGTTTTGACTGGTGAAAATGTCGATATTGAGATAAAGGGCAAAGTCAAAGATGCTGCTGTTCCAGGTTTCCCTGGTATCTCACTCAAGAAGGTGGAAGCTTGAAAAGGTATTTAGATGTATAGAGATATAGTCTGTATTTGTTAATATAGTCAGCACAGTTATAAAATGGTCAATATTGTGGTAACCTCTGTAGCGTGTCTAATTAATTGATGTCAAATTAAATTTGAGAAAAAAAAAAATAAACAAGAGTAATTTGCTGAAGTGAAGCGGAAAGATACAGTGGTTATCAAACAAGCACAAGCCAAATATTTTGAACATCCAAGTTCCGCCAAAAGACGGTTAGTTTGTTTTCTTTTGAAATATTCTCAACACATAGGTCAAAATATATTATAAGTTGGAAATTCGGATCTCTCAAAGACATTTGAATACAAATAAAACCATCAATATTCAAAACGCCACGAAGAGAATAAGTTCACCAAAGTACTCTGTTTGAAACACTCAAAACTACATCACTTGACACCTTTCCACTACTATTTGTTAACAAATCGATCATGCTGACAAACCCAGATACTGACAAACCATCTAATTTTGTCTACCCTCTCATAGACAAACCTGCAAAGTTTGAGTACAAGCTTGTCAATCAAAATGGAAAGTTGGTTGAGGTTCCTCTTCACAAAGAATACCAGAGGTTGTCACTACTTGAACCACAGCAAAATCGGCACCGACAACGATTTGCCATGGAGCAGTCGGAATCGGGTGACCTCACAATGACTGAACATTTCCGAGAAAACTCACGCAAGAGAAATGCGGGAGACGATGACTCAGTGGAGCGTGATAGCATGGTATCCTGTGAAGATATTACTTCCTCAGATACAGACTCCAATACTCAAATTTCAGCCCTGTCACGGGTACATTCGTATCGAACGAATGGTCTCGTACACCCACCAACGAAAAAGCGATTGACGTCGGGGTACGACCTGATAGGTTCAGCAAGTTTTCAAGTGGAGTCACCTGGTAGTATGGCTACTACAATAGCGCCCAATGGGAATAACAACATTAGCACGGTGGATCTTAATGATACAGTTCGAGAAGAGCACAGAAACGTGCAAAGTATCAGTCATCCTGGTGCTAGTACCAATGCACCTGAAACGAATAGTACCAATAATCAGAATGTTACTCCTTTACGTGATCAACTACGTCGTCCAAAAACGCCAAATACAATCAACTCTCCCAGTCAAACCCCAGTTTCAGATATGGAGGAAGACCCAATTCAACAGCTACCATTACCCTCCCCCAGTGCGTCACCTATTCAGCTGGATCATGAAAACGATGATGACGTAGCTTCAGAAACCCCTGGAAGAATGTCTCGAAGGTTGGATGTGGAGATTATTGATAATCACATGGCAACTGTACCTGGAACACAAGCAGAGTTGATCAACACGATTGACCATTTATCCCAGTTTCTCACACCGCAAAACCAAAATCATTTGATTTTCCGGTTGTTGCAGAAAACTAACCGTTCGTCATTAAGTACTTTTAATGGTTTGCTCAATGATTCGTTAAAACGTGACTTGATTGGTAATCTACCCGTTGAAATTGCCATGAAAGTTTTATCTTATCTTGATGCGGCAACGCTTCTCTCCATATCGAAAGTATCCAAAAAATGGTTCAAAATCATCAACAACACTGCTCTATGGAAAAACTTGTTGAAGAAAGACAAATTGATTACTGATGAGGCTGTAATTAAATATGAATTGAAAGATACAAAACAGTTAGTTGATGAGTGGTGCACTTTACCTGGCAATATTAATCCCGCACAAGTGTTGTACAAGAAACGAAGAATGATTGTTAACAGATGGTTAGACCCAACATACAAACCAAAGAGAATAAGTGTTAAAGGACATGGTAATAAAGTGGTTACGTGTTTACAACATGATGAGGAAAAAATCGTCACTGGGGTTGATGACAAGTACATCCTTATATATAGCACCCACACTGGTGAGTTGATGAAAGTCTTGGAAGGACACGAAGGTGGGGTTTGGGCTATGAAGTATTACGGAAACACATTGGTCACTGGCTCGACTGATCGGTCGGTGCGAATTTGGAATATGGCCACTGGGAAATGTACGCACGTATTTCGCGGTCACACGTCTACCATCAGGTGCCTTGACATAATCACACCTTCGGTCATTGGAAAAGATTCTCACGGCCAAGACATTGTTTTCCCAGAGCATCCACTATTGGTCACCGGATCTCGCGATCACAATATACATGTTTGGAGATTACCCATTCTTCCTGAGGACGCGGTTGACGAAGTCACATTTGATAGTGGAGATAGTGAAAACCCATACTTGATTGCGGTTTTAACTGGGCATACCCAGTCCGTCCGCTCTTTATCAGGTTATGGAAACATTATTATTTCCGGTTCTTATGACTCAACCGTACGGGTGTGGGATTTGCTTGATAATGGAAGATGCAAACACATATTGCAAGGTCATCAAGATAGAGTTTATTCAACGGCAATAGATTACGATAGAAAAGTTTGCTTTTCAGGATCGATGGATTCGACGATAAACATATGGAATTTTGAAACTGGTGAGTTATTAAAAGTGTTGGAAGGGCATTCATCGTTGGTTGGTTTATTGGCGTTGGTTGATGGTGTATTAGTATCTGCTGCTGCTGATGCATCGCTAAGAATTTGGGACCCTGTATCAGGCGAGTTGAGAAGTAAATTGAGAGGTCATGCCGCTGCGATAACGTGCTTTGAGCACGATGGATTGAAGGTGGTTAGTGGGAGCGAAAAAATGCTCAAGCTCTGGGACGCGCAACGAGGGGAATTTGCAAGAAACTTGTTGGATGATGTTACAGGTGGTATTTGGCAAGTGCGGATTGATTACAAGAGATGTGTTGCGGCTGTACAAAGAGTCAACAGTGCCGATGAAGGTGAAACATTTATTGAGATTTTAGACTTTAGTGAACTTCCAAAGTTCAAAAGTTGAGTTTGGTTCAAGTTTATAGTTGAGTAATAAGAACTGATGTGTGAATGGAAGTAAAGTAGGTTCTGTAAAGAATATAATGGGAGGGAAAACTTAAAAAAGAAAAAAAAAAAAAAAACGTAATGGAAAACGGTCAACCCTTTTTTGGACTATCAATCAACAACCAATATGTCTAGAAGACCAGTTTTAGAAGAAGTAGATGATGATGAAATAGATAACCTTGATATGGATATTGCGGAGTTTGATCCCAATTTAAAGACTCCAGTGGCTCCCAAGAGACCTGAACCAAAAATTGTTCGTTCACAAGACCAGGGACGGGAACCGCCGTTGTTTCCTCAGGCTCCGTTTGGAAATGTTGCTCCTCCACCACCACAGCAAACTCAACAACACCAGTCAAGGAGTAATATTCTTGATCCTGAGCATTTCACTCCTGAACAAAAGGCTCAGTTTGAGAAATTTCAAATCATATATCCATGTTATTTCGACTTGAATCGATCACACAAAGAAGGAAGGCGAGTTAGTATCGATCGTGCTGTTGAAAACCCCTTGGCGATAACTATTTGTGATGCTTGTCGATCATTGCAAATTCCAGCATTGTTGGAATTAGACAAGACTCATCCTCAGGATTTTGGTAATTCGGGTAGAGTAAGGGTATTGTTGAAAGATTTTAAAAATGATAACAAACCAATTGATCCAAGCATTACCACCAAGAGGAGCTTGTATAACAGAATAGCTGAATATTTGGCGGAACATCCTACAAGTTTAGATAGTGTTAGTGCCAAGAGTGGTATTGCAATTCCACCTGATTTTCAAGGCGATTTCAAAGTGGAGGAGATTCCCAAAGTGAAGGGGTTCAGGATGAATACTATTGTGCCCATTCATTCGAATTTCACAATGAAGCACCCAATGACAAAGAGTATATATGATCCCGAGCCAGAAACTGATTCAAACCTGGCTGCGTCGAATAAGCCAAATGTGCCCAAAGTGCCAAAGAAAAAGATTATGAAAATTAGAGGATAACACAGTTATTTGGTAACCAGAGCAGCTTTGTTATAAACATTAACTTCTTAAGCACCGTATTTACTTCTGTACTCTTCAATAGATTTCAAATCTGCATTGCTTATCTTGCCATTTAAAATGGTAATTACTTCAGTCAAACTAACAATAGACAACACAGGGATATTGTATTTTTCACTGACAGCTTGAGTGGCTGATTTTGTAGTGTCTGTCACCGTTGTCTCTTGTCTGTCCAATGCAATAATGCACCCTACACATTGCCCCTTTTCTTGTGCAATAATTTCAAAAGCTTCATTTATGGCGGTACCAGCGGTAATAACATCATCGATGATTAAAATCTTTTTGTCAGCTAATGGACATCCAACAATTGAACCTCCTTCACCATGGTCTTTCTTCTCTTTCCTATTAAAGGAATAACCGATATCGCCATAGTTGTTAGGATCCAATTCTGCTAATTTTGCAACAGTGATTGCTGCCAACGGTATACCTTTATAAGCTGGGCCAAATAAGATATCGAATTTTAATTTACTTTCAATAATGGCTTCGGCGTATGCAGTTGCCAAATTTGATAACAAGCGTCCAGTGCTGAATAAACCCAAGTTGAAAAAATATGGTGATTCACGCTTAGACTTGAGAGTGAATTTGCCAAATTTCAAAGCCTGAGAGTCCAAGGCTAATTGTAAAAAATCTGATTGGTATTTCGAAGGCATTAGAGGGTCTACGAAGGGGGAGAGATCGAGAAAGAGAGAGAGAAGAGAAGAAGAGAGTCTCTATAAAAAGTCATCGGCGATTTTGATAATGCGCAGACGAAAGAAAAAAATTGCTCATCCTGAATTGGTCTGTGAGATAAAAGCATATAGCCACTGCGCAAGACACTCTCTCGAAAGAAGACTAAACAAGACGCAGATAGTATTTGTACGGATTAATAGCATTTACAGCTGTGTGCACTAGTAAGAAGGCAAAGCACCCTCCTATCTTTTCAAATCTTTTGCAACTCAAATTTTGCGTGAAAATAGTTGCAAAAGGGAACGAGTGTTGGCTTACATTTGCCTCTTTGCAATTATAGGTGATGCCTGAAGAGGTTGAGAGCATGGACAAGAGTAACCGCGTTCAATGAATGAAAAGACGTTTGGAAATTCTTCTACATTCCCATGCCAATGATAGTTTAAAGGAATGTAATTTTTAATGCTGTGACTGTCACGCGATGCTTGTAGATGGGGGGGGGGGGGAGAATGAGCATTGTTCTTAAATTTGGTACAGCGATTTCCCCATTTTAAACGAGGTCCATAGGAGGAACGAGGAGAAAATGAAGACGGTCAATGTAACTTCTTTTTTTTTTCTTTCTCTTATTTTTTTTTTTTGTGGTACTAATTCTCACCTCACCATTGCACGTGCACTAGTCCTATATTTTTGAATTGCATTGTTCTCCTCAATGTGTTTGTTGTTGTTTGCATATGAAACCGAAGGCTCTCTCTCTTTGTGGATTAACAGAAAGATATCCACGTTTTGTCAATGGTCTCATATAGAAGAAAAATGTACTAAAGGAATCAGCTTTTTGAATGCTCCACCATAAAGATGTTACAATATGTTACAACAATAAATGAGTCAACGGTTGAGATTAGAACAGTCGGACATTCCTAGGCACTACAAAGCTGGACCAAAATCGAGAGGCGTGAGTTTCCATATGGTGAGCCACATTGAATAGTGAGAATAATTCTTAAGAATAGGCAACAAACACACACAAAAACTCATATGTAATACAAAAATTTTTCACTTTGACCTAAAGTACACTACCTACTGTATATACACAAACACACATAATGACCTGAAAGAGAAAAGAATTTGAATAATAAACGACTAATTAAAAAAGGGAATCATGAATTTTGACTTCGAAATCGAAAACTATAAGAAGATACCCACGTTTTTGAAGGAACGAAAAAAAAAATATTCATATTCATTTACCTCTTTTCCTTTCCTTTTCTTTTCTTTCCCTTTTCATTATAGCTTTTTCTTTCCCAATTGTCAATTATAAAAAGAAAACTAGTCATATTTTCACAATGGTACAATCATCTGTTTTAGGTTTCCCACGTATTGGTGGACAAAGAGAATTGAAAAAGATCACTGAATCTTATTGGGGTGGCAAAGCCAACGTTGACGAATTGTTGGCCACTGGTAAGCAATTGAGAGAACACAATTGGAAATTGCAAAAAGATGCTGGTGTTGATGTTATCCCATCCAACGATTTCTCTTACTATGATCAAGTTTTGGATTTGTCATTGTTGTTCAATGCTATTCCAGAAAGATACACCAAGTTTGATTTAGCTCCAATTGATGTCTTATTTGCTATGGGTAGAGGTTTGCAAAGAAAAGCTACCGATTCTGCTCCAGCTGTTGATGTTACTGCTTTGGAAATGGTTAAATGGTTTGATTCAAACTATCATTACGTTAGACCAACTTTTTCACACTCTACTGACTTTAAGTTGAACACTGCTGCTGGTATTAAACCAGTTGACGAGTTTAATGAAGCTAAAGCTTTGGGAATTACCACAAGACCAGTCATTTTGGGACCAGTTTCATTTTTGTTTTTGGGTAAGGCTGACAAGGACTCTCTCGATTTGGATCCTATTTCATTGTTGCCAAAATTATTGCCAGTTTACAAAGAATTGTTGGCTAAATTGAAAGCTGCTGGTGCCGAAGAAGTTCAAATCGATGAACCTGTTTTGGTTTTGGACTTGCCAGAATCTGTCCAATCAAAATTCAAAGAGGCTTATGATGCTTTAGCCACTGCTGATGCTCCAAAGCTTATCTTGACCACTTATTTTGGTGATGTCAGACCAAACTTGAAAGCTATTGAAAATTTACCAGTTGCTGGTTACCACTTTGACTTTGTTAGGGTTCCTGAACAATTGGATGAAGTTGCTTCAATTATTAAAGGTGATCAAACTTTGTCTGTTGGTGTTGTTGATGGTAGAAACATTTGGAAGACTGACTTCTCAAAGGCATCTGACATTGTTAACAAGGCTATTGAAAAAGTTGGTCAAGACAAGGTTGTCGTTGCTACTTCATCATCATTGTTGCACACTCCGGTCGACTTGGAGTCTGAAACCAAATTGCCAGCTGAAATCAAAGACTGGTTCTCTTTTGCTACTCAAAAATTAGACGAAGTTGTTACCATTGCTAAGCACATTTCTGGTGAAGATGTTTCAAAGAAATTGGAAGCCAATGCTGCTTCCATCAAGGCCAGAAAGGAATCTTCAATTACCACCAACCCAAAGGTTCAAGAAAGATTGACAACCATTAACGAATCCTTGTCAACTAGAAAGTCTCCTTTCCCAGAAAGATTGGCTGAACAAAAGAAGAAGTACAACTTGCCATTGTTCCCAACCACCACTATCGGTTCATTCCCTCAAACTAAAGACATTAGAATCAACAGAAACAAGTTTGTCAAGGGTCAAATCACTGCCGAGGAGTATGAACAATTTATCAATAAAGAAATTGAAACTGTTGTCAGATTCCAAGAAGAAATTGGTTTGGATGTTTTGGTTCATGGTGAACCTGAAAGAAACGATATGGTTCAATATTTTGGTGAACAATTGGATGGTTTTGCCTTCACCACCAACGGTTGGGTCCAATCATATGGTTCAAGATATGTTAGACCACCAATTATTGTTGGTGACGTTTCAAGACCAAAAGCCATGACTGTTAAAGAGTCAGTTTACGCTCAATCATTAACCAAGTCACCAATGAAGGGTATGTTGACTGGTCCAGTTACCATTTTGAGATGGTCATTCCCAAGAGATGATGTTTCAGGTAAACTTCAATCATTGCAATTAGGTTTGGCTTTGAGAGATGAAGTCAATGATTTGGAAAAGGCTGGAATCACGGTTATCCAAGTTGATGAGCCAGCTATCAGAGAAGGTTTGCCATTGAGAGCTGGTAAGGAAAGATCCGACTACTTGAACTGGGCTGCTCAATCATTCAGAGTTGCCACTTCAGGTGTGGAAAACTCTACCCAAATCCACTCTCATTTCTGTTACTCAGACTTGGATCCTAACCATATCAAGGCATTGGATGCTGATGTTGTCTCTATTGAATTTTCCAAAAAGGATGACCCACACTACATTCAAGAATTTGCTGAATATCCAAACCACATTGGTTTAGGTTTGTTTGATATCCACTCCCCAAGAATTCCATCAAAACAAGAGTTTGTTTCAAGAATTGAGGAAATCTTGAAGGTTTACCCAGCTGACAAATTCTGGGTCAACCCAGATTGTGGTTTAAAGACTAGAGGATGGCCAGAAGTTAAGGAGTCATTGACCAATATGGTCAACGCAGCTAAGGACTTCCGTGCTAAGTACTAAGCATTCCAAAATGTGGCCAATTCTTGTTCTGCATTGATTCAATTCTTTTGAATGTTGATGCATAGTGTCATTTAACTGTTACATTTTATTCAACATTAATGTAATTTCACCTGTTAGTTTGTTAACGAAGCTGTTATGAAAGTCTACTTACTTAATTTTTTGTTTTTTTTTATTATTCATTTTATTTTATTTTTGCATCCACTTTGTGTGTTTGCTTTATTATCACTTGTTATTATTAGGTTCAACATCGGTTCATTATATAGTTTAATATACACTCCAATTGTGTATTAATATTGGTGGAGTGTGGGAGTTGTAGAGTGTACACCTGCGAGTAGTTTTCCCTCGTGTTAGGTAGCACCAGAGTGAGGTTTTTGCCATCAAACAAAATACATTTCTCCGAGTCAAAAGCTTCCAAGACATTAATCAGAGATACACAACAATTGCACTCAATACATTGCTCCATTTGAATATTTTGTTATGTCAGAAGAGAATCCACACATTGCAGAGTTCATTTCAATCACCAATTCCTCTAAAAGCTTGGCGGAACAGTACTTGCAAAGGAACAACAACGATTTAGTTGAAGCAATTGAGGATTTTTATGCCAACAGTGAACACGGACAACAACCAGCAGAGCAGCATGAGCCACCGGTATTTTCACAAAGTGATGCGTCCACTAGCCGCTCAAATACTCCAGCCCAGAAGAAGACGAACAAGAAGCCACAAGGTGGTATCAAAACTTTTCGAGACTTGAATAATGACGACGAAGATCTGGAGGAGGACAGCACCAATAACAACTTTTTCACTGGTGGTGAAAAATCGGCATTGCAAGTGGAGGACCCCAATAAAGATAAAGGCAATGGTGATCAAAATTTGATTGAGCAGATATTTCAAAAAGCAAGAGAGCAAATGAACACTCCTGATGATCGTCCAAGTGCTCAGCAACCACAAAGTTCCCACGAGACTGCTCATTTCACTGGGACTGGGTTCAAATTGGGAGATGGAACCGTACCAAGTGAACCAGTTGAAGATCCACATGCACAAGCAAGAGAATTGTTGAATCGTTTCCGTCCAAAAAAAGTCAATCGAGAAATCACATTTTGGAGACAGGGGTTCACAGTTGGTGATGGTCCGTTGTACAGCTACGATGATGAGAAAAATAAGAGGATACTAAGCGAAATAGAACAAGGAAGAGTTCCCATTGCTATTTTGCAAGTGGATCCAGGCGATGATGTTGATGTGACTGTTTCCAAAAGGACTGACGAGGATTACGTTCCTCCAAAGAGAAAAGTTGGTGGATACCATGGTGCAGGTCATAGACTTGGGTCTCCAGTTCCTGGTGAAGCCCTTGCTACTGAAACCCAAGAGGTTAATATGAAGGAAACAAAACCAGATACTCCACAAAAAACTACTGACGAAGGTGAAGGTGATACTGCCGTTCAAATAAGGTTTGCGAATGGGAAAAGAACTTCACACAAGTTCAATTCCAGTGATTCGATTTCGGCGGTTTATGATTTCGTTAGAAACCACGAGTATAATGCTGAAAATGCCGGACGGAATTTCACTTTGAGCCATGCTTTTCCGGTTAAACCAATTGAGGAAAGTAATGAAGTCTTGATTGGTGATGCAAAGTTGAAGAATTCTGTTATAGTGCAACGCTGGGTATAGAAAAGGGATGGGATTGTATGCGTGTGTATATGGGCTATTCAATTTACATGTAGAGCGCGATGCCAAAAAAATAAATTGTAATCTTGAAGTTGGTATTTTTGCAGACAGTTTTTCCTTGTCCGGCATACCTTTACCTTTATTCATAAAGCCGATGATACGAACAGAGTTCCATATATGATGTTACGATTTTACAAAATACCTTCTTGGCGACTGCTACGACCGAGGAGTAATTACAAGATCTTGCATGGAGTAAGCGGTGTCAAAAATTACACCATGGGGTCCAAAGTCTTTGAAGAAAATGTGATCCCTGAAGAGAGGAAGAGGTTGTCTTTACATAATTCGATAAACAAGTTCTACCGTCATCATGGCCAATTCAAGAATAGCCGTGTATCCACTTTCAAATTGTCAAAGTCTGACAGAATTACCACCAACACACCAACGATTGCACCCATTGATTTCCACAAAATAGTGGTGGCTAATAAGCACAATGTTCCACAAGTTGGATCCTTCGTCGAATTTGAAAAAGAAAACCTAATGAGAGTTGGGGTTGTTATCCAAAATTTGCTTGCCAGGTTTGATGAAAGATTCAATCACGTTCTAGTATTGACTGATGAAAATGAGATTTTAGCTGTCAAGCCACTACATGTGAAGTTCCATTTGTACAAGTTTGTTTCTGATGGAGCCATTAACTATAGCGAGATTCTACGCGAGCGGTACAACCCTTCCCAATCAGATCGTGAAAGGGCAGTTTCCTTCATTCAAACATTCATGATGGATACAATTGAATGGAAAAAACGGACATCGCCATTGATCCAAAGAGTATTTAGCCAACTAGTTGATGAAAAAATTTGTCCTGTTTCATCATTGGACGTCATAGACAGCATGGAATTTAAAGAATCCGACGTGGCAAGAATCAATTCATCACTTTATAATCAACATGCCCTACTATATGCAACTCATGGCAATCTAGTTGATTCCTGCCAATGGGTGGTGCCTAACTATGCTGGAGACTTTTCATCAAATGTGTTTTTGTGGGGTCATTCAAATAACTTTCATTTGGAAAGTCAATACTTTGTCAATGCTCAAAATGTTTGGTTACGCATTTATCATTTCAAGCAAACAATGTCAAGCCAAGACGGGGTTGAAAAAGTCAACAAGTTTATGCAAAAGTTAAAAAGTTTACCAAAGGAAGAAATTAGCGCATATTTGAATGTTTTTGAAGGAAGGCATTTCATTGACGTGATTATGGCAATGAAATTTGCCGTTGTTTATCCTCACAGCAGCATCGTTATGGAGCTTGAAAAATTGGACTGTTTTAATTCAACGCCTACAGCATCAGACATACATTGCTTGCTTCTTGATCTAAAAGTGTTTGATGACACTACCACTATTACTGACATATACTTATCACTGGGACTATTTGGAACCCCCAAGAATCTCAGTGTGACACGTGTGGACCAATTGAAATCACCAACGCCGTCTGGCTTCGATGTGAAGGATAATTTCGCGCATTTAAGAACTAGTAGGAAATATTACCAAGACCATGTAATTTATGCACTTGTTGACGACGAGGAAGGCGTTTCAAGTTTTGGCATTTCCATCGAGTCATTAAATTCACGGAAGCATTTGATAAACATACATGTTCCTGATATCATTACTCATATTTCCCCTGATACCAAAATTTTCAAATCCATATTCCAAAAGAGGTCACTTGCTGAGACTTTGACTCATTTGTGCAACAATAAAACATGGGGTAATATATATCCTGAGAAAATCATGCGAGATAGGAGATTTCACGAGTACAGCAACTACGATAATAATGAGGAAATCTGGGGGGATGTAATTGACTTGATGGAACAAGGTACGAAAGGTACACGAAAACGAGGGATTTCCAAAGCAACTTGCTTAACAATTACATTTGAGTTTAATTCCTATGAATCTAACCCGTTTGAGGATCTTGCCAAAAAAGTGTCCGTGAGCTTCGATTCCATTTCCAATGTAAACACCAAGATTGTCAACAGGAATATACTACAGAAATGTCTTACTGGCCGATTGGAACCATCATTCTTCCGATTGCTTCGTCGTAAGCAACGAAATGAATCAGACGTTGATGGACTGGAGAACTCATTGAATAAAACAGACATTCATAACCTCAACTATATAAGCGGTGTTTTGAAAACATTTCAAAAAGTGAGAGAGCTTGACGGGGCGGCAACATCTTTAAAAGATTTGTCTTTGTTCGAAAATAGTATTATAAGGACCAAGTTCAATGAAACAACATGTGGCATAAGCAGCGATATCATCAAACCTAGTCTTTCGAATACAACCACCCCACAAGCAGATTTTTTGCACAAAGAAGTGAAAATCTTCACCGGTTGCTTGGTCTCCAAATTCTGTTTTCAGAATCAAATACCTATGATTTCGCAGTCCCAGGATTTAGATGTCAATGAGTTTGAAAATGATGGTGTGATGGTTCAACACGAAAACGTCATGATTCCAGTTTATGAGTCTCGAAAGTATTCGCATAGTGTTATGGCCAAGGATGAAGATGGGCTAATTTCCTTGAATGCAAAACTCATCTCCAACAATTATCTTGCGCCGAAATATGCAACGGTTGGCAGTGAATTTCATGTACCACTAGGATTGTCACTGGGATATACAGAAGTACTTGACGTATTCCAATCTGGAAAAGCCTTTTTCAATCAATTTCAGCTTTTGTCACACATTCAGCAAGACTATCAAAAGACGATTTTGAAAAGACACAGTTACTTGGATTTTATTGAAAGGTTCAACAACTTAAAGAGTCTTGGTTATCTTTTGAATGGACCGTTACCTGAACGCAAACTCATACTGATTATAAACTCTATCAATTCCAACGATTTGAGGAAAACATGGCAATATCGTATGTACAAGTTTTGGATTCTCAGTTGGCTTCATCAACATCAGTTCAAGAATGGTTTTCAAGAAGATAAGAAACTTGACTGTATTTGCACTCATTTTGATCGTTTGGATGAATATGGCATATGTAAGGCTTACTGCCCAGATTTAGGGATTGAAGTAGATGTTTTATATCTACCCGAGCAGGACGTAAAAATAGGTACATCATTAGTCGGCCATGAAGTACTCCATTTGGACCCCATTGGCGGATTCTGCATGCTTGATGGTAGAGAAGATATTTGTATATAGTTATGTATATACTCACTGAACCTTATTCACGAGAATTACAAGTTGTGAGGTGCAGGTCTAGAATAGATATATTAGTCATTCGCATTCGCATTATTTGCAACAAAATTTTTTCTTCCCTCTCTCCATTACGTATCTGACTCTGAGGTACAATCACATCAAATCGTGTTTAAACCAACATGGTATGTGTCAGCCTTATCGACTGAACCTATAACACTCTACTAACTTTCCTTGACCAGCTACAACCCGTTCAACCTTCAATTGAAACATTGAAAAAGACGATCGAGTCGAATTCGGTGTCTTCCAACCCTCCAAATTTGTATCCAATTTACAAATATGTGAGTCACAATGATATCTCCATTCATCAAGCCTACCTTCGATTAGCGAATATCAACGATACTGATAGGCTGCCTTCATTCCTTTTCGAGTCGTCTGTTCATGGGGACACTGTTGACAGATACTCTTTTATTGGAATTAACCCACTGAAAGTGATCAAAACAGGAGATGACCCTAAAAAATTCAGTGCCGAATTTTGCGATGTAGATCCAATAACTGTACTAGAGAAGGAACTATCCCATTTCAAACAAGCTTCATTGCCCGGCTTACCAAAATTCAGCGGGGGTGCAACTGGGTACATTTCCTACGACTGTATCAAGTACTTTGAACCTAAAACAAAGAGGCCATTGGAGGATGTTCTCGGCTTACCTGAAGCGGTACTAATGTTTTGTGACTTGGTGGTGGCATTCGACCATGTATACCAACGATTTCAAATCATTTACAACGTCAAAGTCGACCAATCTCATGACTTGGTGGAGGAGTATAAAAGAGGGGTATCAAAGATTGATGAAGTTGAAAAACTATTGTTGAGAAATGTATCAAACGAGGAGATCTTTCCACGTCAAGGACCTATCAAGTTGAACCAAACATTTACGTCCAACATTGGACAAGAGGGGTACGAAAAGCACGTTTCCACTTTGAAGGACCATATATTGAAAGGGGACATCATTCAAGCAGTGCCTTCCCAAAGGATTGCCCGCCCTACTGAGCTACACCCATTCAATATTTACCGCCACTTGAGAACGGTGAATCCATCTCCATATTTGTTTTACATTGACTTGATTGATTTCCAAATAATTGGGGCTTCTCCAGAGTTATTAGTGCAATCTGACACTAACGGTAGGGTTGTGACTCATCCTATTGCCGGTACAATCAAGAGGGGTAAAACGAATGAAGAAGACGAGAAGAATGCGGAAATTTTGAGATCAAGTTTGAAAGACAGGGCTGAGCATATCATGCTTGTTGACTTGGCACGTAATGATGTGAATCGTGTTTGTAAACCCGAGACCAACAAGGTAGATAAGTTGTTGACTATCCAAAGGTTTTCACATGTGATGCATTTGGTTTCGGAAGTAAGTGGAACCTTACGTGAGGATCAAACCCGATTTGACGCCTTTAGATCAATATTTCCTGCTGGTACTACTAGTGGAGCGCCGAAAGTGAAGGCAATGGAGTTGATCGCTGAATTGGAAAAGGAGAAAAGGGGAGTTTATGCCGGTGCTGTGGGACATTGGGGCTACGACGGAAAAACGATGGATACTTGTATTGCATTGCGAACCATGGTTTTCAAGGACGGTGTGGCATATTTACAAGCAGGAGGAGGAATTGTGTTCGACAGTGATGAATATGAAGAGTACATGGAGACTATGAACAAAATGCGAGCAAATAACAATACCATTGTGGAAGCGGAAATGATCTGGGCTGACAAGGTAGGGAGTGTAGAGTGAACATGTATATATACGTAGCGACTCAAAGGAAGACGAACGTCTCGTACTTGTGGCCATCATGTATAACCTATGTTAGTATTGCTTTCCTTGCTAGACTGTGGTGCATGATGATTGAAGTTATTGTGTGACAAAATTATACAAGTCACATGACTTATTTCCCAATACATAGTACACACCCACACCGCAGTACTTTTTTAACAACTTGGCTAGAATTGATATTTGTTGAACCAAAAAAAGTTGGACAAACCGATGATCATCTTGAACCATAGAGATCATCATAAAGGTGCCAACCCCATCACGCCCCAACATAATATAAACCCGACAACAGTTTGTCTCTTAGAGATTATAGACGGAATCGAAATACCCGTGGCCAGAATTGTCGCAAATTATTTCCACAAAATTCTCAGAAACGGTTGTCTCTGACTACAGGTCCTACTTCTGTGACACTAGATCAAACCCACAATATCTTTGACGCTCGACTAAAAACAAAAGCTTTTGGATCTAAAAAAAATATCACGATGGAGAGGGATAGTGAGTCCATGTCCCCAGAGTCTTCGCTATCTGCGAGCCAAGCCTCACCATCGACTTCACAAAAAGTATCTAGCAGAACTCCAACCTCTTGGGATGCCGAAGATGACGTTCTACTAATGCACTTGAAAGATAGACAAAAACTAGGATGGAAAGCGATTGCCAGTCATTTCACGAACAGAACTCCCAATGCCTGTCAATTTCGATGGAGAAGATTAAAGTCTGGGAATTTAAAGAATCCACCAAAGTCAGCCGCAGCATTGGGCGATCAATTCAAACAGAACCCCACGATGACAAGCTCAACTTCAAAGAAAAAGGCTCGTTTGAGCTCAGTATCGAAAACGGACACAGCCGAATCAGAATTCACATACGACGCAACACCAACAGGAGGATTTCAAGGTTTCGACAACAGTATATCTTCAGCGTTGGCAGGGCTTAACGCTCTATCAAATTCACCATCATACATTTCCAGTCCTGCCAATGCTACTACTCCTAAGATGCAGGCTGCTTCGCCAGGAGTTTACGGCTCAGGCCGAGCAAGTCTGATCACCAGTCTAAGTCACAAGTATGAGGGCTCACCGGAATCAGAAAATCCTATGGAAACACTGAGCCGAACTGGAATTGTGATTCCGGGAACAAATGGATCAGGTGGTTATTACGCAGACATTTCCGTTGACCCTACGATGAACTTGCCCCACAATAGGTCACACCCCGAGACCCCGTCATCACTAACACCACGAAACTCAACTTCCAACGCAACTGCACGTAATCGAGATAGCACAAGCATACATCCGCGAGATTATAACTCTGGCTCCATCTCAGTCGCGGCAGCTGCCTTGCGTAATAATTCAATAATACAAATTACACATGATGAAAGAGCATCAATACTGTCTATAGCGAGGGCATCAGTATCCTCATTGCCTTCAAAATCCATGAATATACCACACCATCAACTGGGAGCTACATCATTGGCACATCTCCCCGTCCTTTTTGGGAGCGCTGGAAGTATCAGTGGACCCTCGAGAAATTCAAGTATAAGTGGCACAGCTGGTGTACATCAGACAACAGTTTCCAGCTTGAGAAACGGGTCGTTGGCTGGGCCAAGTCTGGGGTACTATTCTAGATCCGGGTCCGTCGTTATCCCACATAATACAGATAAAGCGGACGAACCTTTGAAAATAGACAAGGAGAAAGTTGATTTTAGTAACAAAAAATTGCAAAAAATGAAAAAGAACTTACCTTCGACAAGTCATACCAAAAAGAAACAAAAGAGCACCAAGCTAGATCTTCCGTGGACAATGGAGGAGGACGAACTTTTGATCAATAGACGAAGTAGGGAATTGTCGTTTGCTGAGCTATCTATTCTACTACCCCAGAGGACAGAAGGAGAGATTTGGGCACGTATAGATTATTTGGAGAAACTAAGGAACGGGAATGACGCGGCTTCTGGTGGAAGAGACCGAAGGGGCAATGGGCGTTCATCTATAGGGTTAGATGATGTGCATGATTTGTACGATGATGACGATGATGATGATGTGATTGGTGGTATTGGAATTGGGGTCAGTGATGATGAAGACGATAATCCATTAATTGACGATGATGATGATGATGATGTTGACAACCTTGGAGCGATGAGAGCGACTAAACGACGAGCCAGCTCCGCAATCAACCCTTTGGTTAAACGTCCACTTAAAAGGTAAAATTAGATGCAGTCTATACAACTTTTATACACATCGAACCCTCTAATACAACTTCAATTCTCCAGTGACTTGGTCAAGAACTCTTTTAGGCGCTGGTCCTAAACCTAAAACAGTTGCACTTCCAGCGGCTATTTGCGTTCGTCCAGCATCATGTATTATGCAAGCATTTATACCCAAACTGATTGCCTGAGCGTAAAGCAAATCCATTTCCTCTTGATTCGGTACCTGAAGGGTGATTTTTGCTTGCCCATTGCCATATTCCCATCTCCGCATCATGTCTGGATTGTACGCATCTGAATTTGGATTGATGATTTTTTTGTATAACGATAAAGTAGCATGAGAACATTGAGCCGCTGCTTTACCTTTCCCCATTTTTAGATCCTGTCTTACAACAAGAGTCATCCTGACTTCACCTGGAATGTCATTCAATGCGATTGAGTTGATATCCAATTCTTCTTCTTCTTCTTCATCGGCTTCGTCTAGTGATTCATCTCGACTAGTTCTTAGTTTGGGATTTTGGTTGCGACTGCTTGGTGGTGCTTTGACGTTATTTAAAATTCGACTAACATAGAATCCAGTCACAAAGGATAAAACACAGATCGATAAGATCGTGGTATTGATGTTTTCCATGTTCGATATAATGATACATCCATCTAGTGCATTAATATTTTTTTTTTTCTCTGCTTTCATTTTGCGATTTTCACAGAGTGGTTTGATGAATCGAAGTGTCACTAGTCTATGATAGCTTTGATTGACATTACCCCGCAGCCTGCTTTTTGGTCGATTGGCATGTTGAGTCCTCCTATGCCAACACCTTGGGTTTTTGCTTTTTCTTTTTCCCCTTCTTTTCGATTTTGTTTGAATACTTTCTCCAATTTTGAACCCTTGTATCTCGAGTCTTTTCCCACTCGCTTTCCATCTTTCGTTTCAATTCTACTTCTTCTCTCAAGTGTTTCTGTATTTCACTCTTTCTTGTTTCCTCGCTTACTTTGGCCAATCTCTCCAATTCCAGATGCGCCAACTCGTTTTCAACTACCTCGTTCACTTTGGATCTTATTGCAACATTTATTGGATCGTTAAAACTCAAAGGTACTTCATTTGAGTGGAATGCGGCATAGATTGACATCAATCTTTGCTTTTCCTTGAAATCCTGCTCACTTTCATCGGTTGTGGCAAGAACCTTTTGTGCCTTTTTAAGTCTATCAAATGCCTCTGATGCACGAGGATGATCCGTTTTGTCAGGATGTATAAGAAGTGACTTTTTTCGATATATCTTGGTAATCAACAGTGGAATGACGTCAAAAGTTGTGGTTAAAGGGTTGATTTCAGTGATGGCAAAGAAATCTTGCTCATTACATGCGAGAATTCTGTCTATTTCGCGATTTCTGTTGAGTGACGATTCCTCAATAGAAAGTATCCTGTCGAGATCTTCAGACATTGAATCAACGTATAATGGTGCTGTATGTGGCCCTGTTTTGTGCTTTGCAATAAATTTTCTTTTGCTCAAGTTTTTATTTGCATCAAACACAACACATCTTTATGATCCACTTATGCAAACGCTCAACAAGGAATATGTCGTGGAGACCAAGATATTTTGATATAGGTGTCAACTTTTCTGACTCCATGTTTCAGGGTTACTATAATGGTTCCACCAATGCGAAACACCCTTGTGATATTGAAGATGTTATAAGCAGGGCTCATTTGTTCAACGTGGATCGAATGTTGATAACTGCTTCAACAATCAAAGAGAGTCGTGAACACTTTAAGTTATGCGAGAGGTATCAAAACCAATTCAATTCCACCGTAGGAGTACATCCTTGTTCAGTTGCCAGTGAATTCTATGAGAGGAAAGGTGACTCTTACAGCGAAAATTTGAGACCTGATGTTGATGAGAAGCTCACAGAGTTGAAAGAAATTCTAATTGAGGGATACAGACTGGGACATGTAAAGGCATTTGGAGAGATTGGGTTGGATTATGACAGACTACACTATTCAACCAAGCACCAACAGCTTGAAATGTTCAAACTTCAATTGGACATTCTCACTGAGATAGACTTTAGCATTCCTCTATTTTTACACATGAGAGCTGCATGCGATGATTTCATAAATGTGCTTAAACCCTATATTGATGATGGCGTTGTGAAGAATGGCGTTGTGCACTCGTTCACTGGAACTGAAGAGGAATTGAACAAATTGTTAGACCTCGGGTTTTATATCGGTATCAATGGCTGTTCGCTAAAAACAGAGACAAATTTGGTTGTGGCATCCAAAATACCAATTGAAAAGCTCATGATTGAAACGGATGCGCCATGGTGTGAAATAAGGAAAAGTCATGCTAGTTATAAATTCATCACACCATACCCCAACAAATTTTACCCAGAGGTTCAAGCTGGACCACTCAACGAAGAAAAACCTCAATTCAAACTTGACGATAATTTACCATTTCCTTCAATAAAAAAGGAGCATTATACGAAACATCGGGAGTATGCGCAGAAGAGAATAGAAAGTCTTCAGCATGATACCGCACCAGAAACTAGACTTGGCATTCTTAGCAAGCCATTGTTCAAATCTCGCAACGAGCCTGTTCAAGTTGGCCATGTGGCTGAGATTCTTTGCAAGTTACATGGAATCACTGATAATTCAGGTGTAGAGAAATTTATAGATACAATTTTTGACAACTCTGTAAAAGTTTTCCATTAAGGTCATAAGCAAATATAATACAAACAAAATTTCAATTCAGCGATGTCTAAACCTTCTAGATTGAGATAAAGATTTGGAGATAAAGTTCTTTGATCGCGGTAACTTGAATGTTCCTTTCGGTCGCCCTCTACCTCGAGGTCTGTCATCACCTTTCAATACGTTTATGGTTTTCCTTTTCAGAGGCGAAGATCTCTTTGGAACACTGGTTCTGGCTAGATGCTTATACACTTCTTCCTCCTCAATGTACGAATCTGATTCAGAGTCTGATGAGATCACCGGTAGCGACTCATCAAGATCCGGACTGTCGTTATCTACGTCGTCCTCTTCCCCTGACTCAAAATCATTGTCCACAAAGCTGGATTCGTCGTAGCCATCTGACTTTGAGGCATCGTCTGACTCAAAAATGTCAGCGACGGCATCCAAGTCGACTTCAACGTCTTCTTTGGATCTTTTCTTTGGCTTCATTTTAATTTGGAAACTATTAGGTCTGCATTCGATGAAACCTTCAATTTCTTGAGTTCTGCCCCCTTTAGTTGTATCTGCGTACATTGCAATTTCCTTCCACGCCTCTTCCACAAAAGAGTATGGGTTGTAAATGTCGTCCTTCAAAAAATCAGCAACCTGTGAAACACTATTATGAAGAGTATTCAATTTCCCGCCGTTCATTAATGCCGGTGCAGAGTTGATTCCACCACTTGGACCAAAAAGCATTGGCTTCCATAAAAGTTTGGAGTAGTCTAACCGCGCATAAGACTTTGCTTCCCACTTGGTGATGACCTCAGTTATCAAGTCCCAGTTTACCACGATTGCAAATTTAATCTCATCTCCATCTTGCTTTTCATAAAGAGCACAAAGTTGCTCTAGAGCCACAACCACATTTGCTGGAGTCATACCAGTCATTTTGCACAACACACTTAGTGAAATATCGAGTTGACTCAGATTTTTGTACTTGTCATATAGTTCCCGTAGCTTGTAAGCAATGGTAATTTTCCAATAATTTCGATAACTCAATAATCCCAAATCACTCAATGGCTTTTCCGGAGTGCCAAACTTGAACTCATTCCGCGTTAACAAGTAGCTAAAGTCGATAAGCAAGTGACCATATCCCTTTCTCTGATATATAGGCAAAGTTAAAATACAAGAGACATTGTAATCCAGGTTATTCAACTTTTCTTTCGAAAAATACCCCACAAAGTGATGTTTTGTTGGGATAGCATGATCTCTTTCTGTTAAAACATAAAACACGAATGGCTCGACATCATAATACAACGTTTTTGAATTCAAAAAAAGTTTTGCCAAAAGGCAAATGTTTTGACAATAGTTTATATTTTTTCGCCCGTCAACTTCCCAAATTGATACATTTGCATCCCTATAGATTTCGGTACCTGGTGGGTGGTGGTTTGAAAAATTGCAATTCTTTAACTGGTGTCGCTTGTACGAGACAGGTGAGTTCATGTACTTTAAACAAAACTCACAAATGTATAAAGTTTCACATTGCGAGAATTCTTCTGGATATGGTGCAATATACCACGTCTCTATCTCATGATCCCTAAACATTATTTTTTTGATTTTTGATTTGTTCAAGGCAACAGAAGAAGGGGTTGATTCTTTCTTTTGCTCGCTCGATGCATCAACTCTTACCTCTTCATGAACACTTTTTGAGTTTTCACAATTCACCTGATTTCGTAATGCCATACCTTCTATTCGAAATCTCTCAAACTTTTCTCTTTCCTCCTTGGTTGGATCTGTGTCATTTATAATACAATCTGGGTAGCCAAGTACTCCCTTATAAGGTAGATCTCTCTTTTTCTTAGACCTGTACTTGATAGTAACAAAGAATTGCTCTTTGTCTTGTTTCACATTTACACTTCGTCGTATCTTGTGTTTCTTCTCTTGGTTACCTTGCACTACTTCGCGAGTTTTCTGAATCATTCTCCGTAAAGAGTAGTCATTAGTTGGTCTCAGACGATGACTACGTTTCTCTAGGTCTGTTGGTGTGATATTCGAATATACATGGTTGTTTGTAATTTTTAGTTGATTTAGTAGATGCAGTACCATGATATGAACATTGTTGGAGCTGGGAAAATGACAAAAATATATCAATTGGAAGCCCGTGATTGTGGTTGAAGTATTAAGTTGTCTCAAAGTCTGTTGTCAGGAATTATTTGTTTAGTGATGAAGTAGACCTCCCCTGGTTCAGTAATTAGATGAAGTATGCAATGAATGTATGTTCCAGATTGGTAAGAAAATTCATTGTTGTTATTTTAGAAATATTTTTTTTTCTCATCAAAAACAGTTTTATGAACCACAAAAGCATACTTTGTCATTATCAGTACCATATCAAAAGCAATGATAACACACATGCAACTTGTGTGAAGATGAGTATCATTGGTGGCACGAGATACCCCTGCATTGTCTCGAAACATCCTGCTATTTAGTGTGAGTTAGTACGAACTGAACTTCTGAGACTTTCGATTATGGGATTGACGTGATAGCAAAGGGCGCGGCATTTACAACTTCAGATTGCGTAGAATCGAAGAGACAAGTGCTTTACATAAATGTAAACAGATGATATATCCAGAACGTTTTGAAAGGGCTCCCCCGCATTCCCCATCTGTCCTGAATCAAGTTGGACCACGTGAATTGTATTCAATCACCCGCTAGAATTACCATCCATTGCATGTGACTCAGAAATGGGCCATTTGAGTAACGTTTTCATGCAAGGCTTCCCTCTGACATTCGGATAATCTAAAGGTTATTAACCTCATCAAGCTTCCTTTCATGCCTACGGCTTCATTGCTTTGATAGATGGGCTCATTTAAATCGCGCGCTTGTCCACCCGAAAGTCAAGAGAACAAAACTCGATCAATTTTAGGTGCAGAAGAAAATGACGAGATTTCATCTATTCTTTTTGTTTGTGGTGTTCCAAATCAATAAGCAAACATGAAATAAGATTAGTCTGGATATTATGTGGAGTCGATGATTGCTTCAATCTCAAGCGTCTGATAAAAGGGTCATTAGAAATAATAAATCGGGATTTTTTGGTCTTCAAACTTCGATATGAGAGGCGCCAGCTGATAAACACCCTGAAGAATCTTTTATTTTGATCGTGCTACACAGGGCTAAAGAGTTTCTTGAGGTACACGATTCCCGTTGAAATCTCAGTATTTTTGGATTTTGGAGCTCGACCATCTTGAAGTACCATTGGTGTGTGAACTATTATCATCAACTTAGAATTGAAGCAAATTTTACGTTCCCCCCCTTCTCCCCCACAACATGTGGATTTGATAGTGGCTCTTATCGCTTGAGTGGAACTTCTTAATCAAACATTCTTGGTGAAGCCATTAACATCATTCTGCTGTGAAATCAAGCTCATAGTTGTTGGGGGGGGGGGGGGGGGACTGGACTGCATTGTGATCTACATAAAGCTTATCCAAATTCACCTCCACATTTGATGGAAATGGTAAATGACAATTGACGTCATGAACAGTTTTGCAAAAGGTTTTCAGTATTTTGAGATTATCAAGCTTGCTCATTCTCTGGGGAAAATAGAGGTAAAACTTTCCCCTTTCGTTCATGCATGGTTACCAAGATTTGAACAATATTTTATCAAGTTATAAGGAAATCTTAGTTGGCATGTACGAGCTTTCCCAAGAGGAAATGATTATATTTTTTTGTTTGTGCGGAACGTTTTGTGACTTTTCAAAAATTATCACTCACTACCCCACCGCATAAAAGAACACACACCGTAATATAATAAATAGGCTTCATTGGGCCAACTTTGGTGCAGATAAGACCAACAAGCTTTTTGTGGTGGTTAATTGCTTGGCAAATCTCCAACAGTCTTAACCGAATGCATGTTTTCTTAGATGTTGTTTACAAACGGCGTGTGCTTACAAAACAAACAATTTGCAGTAAGAAAATAAATAATCCGCTCACCCACCACCAAAAACTCCAACTATACAGCGTTGGTTCAGCCACGAACAATACTTAAATGGAAACGTTGTTCCTTTGTTTTTTGAAGTATATGTTATGATCAACAGTCTACGTTTTTTTTTCCTTTTTCTTTTAGTTGCCTACAACATTCAATAGAAAACAATGTCTGACGAAGAGAAACAACAAGTAATACATGATGACTACAATTTTCCACCAGGTACAGTCCATCTTGTTGATATGCACGGTACCTTGAACGTGAAGAAGGGAGATGGTAATATTATCTTGCACCCACAACCCACGTCCAACGTCAACGACCCTTTGAGGTGGTCCAAGAAGAAAAGGAGTTTGCAGTTTGCTTTCCTTTGGTTCTGGGCTTTTATGTTGGCCCTTACTTTGAGTTTTATGGGTCCATTCTTTGCTGACTGGGTCATTGAATTCAACACCTCTTACAACGAGTTGGGTGTTGCAGTTGCTCTAGGATTTTTAGGGTTGGGAGTTGGTATTTGTTTTATTCAACCAACGGGTTTGAAATTGGGAAAGGTTTTTGTATACAACATGGGTACTGTTCTTGCAATTGTATCATGTGCTATGGGATCTCAATCAAAAAATATTGGCTATTTCCACGCTTTCCGAATTTTGGCTGGTTTAGCTGCTTCTCCTGTTGATACATTGGTTGAAATATCAGCAAATGATTTATTCTTTCAACATGAAAGATCTACTGCATTTAGTTCCTTGATTTTAGCTTTATATGGAGGTACAGATTTGGGTCCGGTTGCAGCTGGTTATATTGGTGAGAGCATGCATTGGAGCTGGTGTTACTACATCCAAATTATCATATATATCCCTATGTTAATACTTGGTTTCTTCTGGATGGAAGAGACTACCTTCAGACGTTCTGAAAACGAAGAGGAGGAATTGGAAGAGGAAATTCTTGCTCAAATTAAATCACATGAAACCGGACAAATTGCCGATATTGTGTCTAGTGAGCAAAAGTACAACATCGATGTTGTGGTGGATGCCAAATCTGATGACGATGATCAAGTGAAGTGGACGTATTGGCAAAGACACAAATTGTATCACACTGCACAGAATGACACAAGATCATGGTTGTGCATTTTCTTGAGACCGTTTTATTTAGTTACATTCCCTGCTGTTGTTTGGAGTGGTATGATTTATGGCTTTCAAATGTTTTGGTTATCCCTTGTTATAAATACACAATCAGCAATTTACTCAGCTGAGCCTTATAATTTCACTGTGAACAATGTCGGTTTGACCACTATGGGTCTTTTCATCGGTAATGTTATCGGAATGTTTTACGGTGGACAATTTGTGGATTGGTTTGCTATTAAAATGGCCGAACGTAACAACGGTATTTTGGAGCCAGAACATAGATTGCACACTATGCTTATCCCAACGATTCTCAACGCCGCTGGTATTTTGGCATATGGTTTGGGATCGTACTACGGCAAACATTGGGCCATTTCTGTTGTCGCTGGTCAAGGTTTGATGGGTTTTGCAATGAGTTCATCGGGCGCAATTTGTTTGGTTTACGCAGTTGAATGTTACGAGAAATTGGCAAGTGAAAGTCTTGTGTTGATTTTGTTCATTAGAAATATGATTGGTATGGGATTTTCTTTTGCCATTTCCCCTTGGATTGCTGCAGAAGGTTTATTGAAGACGACTTATGCTATGTTTGCAATTTCGGTGATTGTAAATGGAAGTTATATTTTTATGACTTGGAAAGGAAAAGCCATCAGACGTTGGTCCAGAGCTCGCTACGAGAGAATTAGTGTTCCTTCGTACGGGGAGATCTTCAAGAGAAACAAATGAGTTTAGACGCAGGTTTCAGGGTAGTTCTAGTTTTTCATTCTTATTCTTCTCTTTTTTTTGTATGCATTTTTATTTATTCCAGTGTTTGATATATGACGTATTTCTAGTTTAGAGTGTAGTTGTTACCTTTAACGAAAACATGTACTAAATTAAAGCATGTAAGCACCTATAAAATATCCACCTCATCATTTTCAACAACTGATGTCTTGATCTTCAACAATAATTGTGTCTTTAACTTATCGAGTTTACTAAATTTGTCATATTCAAATACTTTATCTGAGTAATCCTCAACATCTCCGTTGTTGATACTCTCCAATAACCCCTCAATCAACTTACATTCCCTAGTTTCCGGCCAATTAGGATCGTCTTGTGTGTATTTTTCCATTCTCTTTTCCGCTTCAACTACATCCTCAGTGCACAAAACGCATAACAACGACTTGAAAAAGTAGTCCTTCAAGCTCCATTTTGTTAACGAATTGTTCAACAGGTTCTTGATCACAATATCGTATAGCTCAATAGCCTTTTTGTATTCACCGCTCGATGCTGACAAGTCTGCGCATTTGAGGAAAGCTTTATTTGAGAGGGCCTCGGCATTATCTGTAGTAAAGTAGTCACCAGCCTGCTCGTAACTCTTGATGGCATTTGTGGTATCTCCAACGCTCTCGTATAATTCTGCCAAGTCCATGGTAAAATTGGCAGCTCTTCTGAATTGGCCGTTTTGAGTCAAAAAAATGTGAATTGCTTGCGATAATGCATCAATGGCATTCGAGGGTGAGGAAGACTTGAAACATTTATAAGCTTCAACTAAGTGATTAGCAGCATCGTTGTGATTATTCAAGCTTTGTTGCACTTCTGCAGCTTTCAAAAATTGATTTCCTGCTTGATTGAAATCCTTCTTCAAGCGATAACTGTTGGCCGCTTGAATGTACAAATCAGTTGCATCTTCTTTCCGAATAGATTGCGAAGACCCAGATATGAACAGAAAAAACCCCAGCTGGGGCTTGAGAAGCTTCTCTGCTTCAGCGATTAATTGTCTGGGGTCTGACATCAGTTGTATTGAAGTAGAATAGACAAATGAAGTTGGCAGTAGCACGCCTCTATTCCCTTCCTTTTTTTTTTTTTTTTTTGGTGGCAGTTCTTTAGATTTGCTTTTTATTGCGGATTGAAAAAGCTACCAGTGAAATATAAACAAAGGGTGTTAATGCCAATATCAATATGTCTGATGCCACGCGTACTGCAGCAATGAACTCATCGCCTAAAGTTAGATTCCGGAGACTTCAAGTACTCGGTAGAAGAGCGGTTGAGCAGGTGCTCAAAACATCCTTTTCAGAGGAACAGATTAGACAATGTTATCCAACAATTGTTGAATCAGAGGCAGGATCTGCAAAGTTGGAAACTGGAGTCACCCGGCTTCAGGAATATCTTCACGATAGCACAGTGACTGAATTTAATCACATATACGATGAAAATTCGTTGTCTCTGAAGTTGGACGAGTTGGACTATCTCATACATCTGGCACAAGAAAGAAAACAACAGGGAGGCTCTTTGAATGAAGACAAGCCAGTTGCAATTGACAAGTTACCTGCAGAAGATATCATGAGCTCGATTGCTCTTAGTGATAAGGAAGACACGTTAGACAAATTGAAGTTGATTTATGACCAATTGTGCAAGGATAATGACGATATGCTTCAATCATTAGATGAGAAGTCAAAGGAAAATGAGACTTTAGCTGGTAAGATTTTCGAGATTTGGAACCCCATACTACGCCAGGAAGATGTGATGCAAAGAAATCTAATACGAAATAATAAGTCTTTATATAACTCGACTAACTAATATATATACAGATGAAAGCTTTAGAGGAGATTTTCCTTTTGCATGATTTCGTAGTTTTTCTTTGCCAAATCGTGATATTCACTAACTCTATCTCTAAGGTTCTTGATTTTCAAATTCCTTCTCTTCGTGCTTTGTGTTTCCTTAATCAAAATCTTGTCACCCCATACCTTGTACTCTTGCAAATATTTTCGTCCCATGTTGAACTCGGCAGTAATAACATCATCAGTCAAACCCAACTTGGCAATCGCATAGTAGTACTTTTTGGGATCTTGTCTTTTCAAATACCGCAAGATTTTTTGTCTGTATTGGACCAATTCACGAACTGCTGTTGTAGTGGCATGGTCGTTTTTATTCTCCTTGACGTGCCTCATTCCGAAATGAATCTTAACTGTCATTATTGCGGCTTGAACTTCTGGCGATGCGGTGTCGCCCGGTTCCCGCTGTAATTCTTCACGTGCGTACTTAATTGCCAACTTCTTTTTATCGTTATTATTGGTATTTCTCAAGTTCAAAATTGTCAACACTGATTTCCTCTTGTTTTCTTCAACCTGTTGTATCTCTCGGCGTATTTCCTCGTTATTCGATACATTTTCGAGAGACAACTTTTCGGCTGCGTACAAAAGCTTTTCCATTTCTGCCCTATCAACATTGTACGCCAAATTCGAGTCTTGGTCTTCAACTTTTTGCATAATTCGAGTGAAAAACTGGCATTTAGGATCACCCAAAACAGGGTCTACCTGAAAGGGTACATTTTTGGCATCATATTGCTTTAAAGTGTTGACATCTCGTATGATTTGCTTCTTCAATCTTTTCTCTCTCCTTCTCAATTTCTTTTCCTTCTTTTGAGGGGTTCCAGGCTCTATAAATTGTTTGGCAGCGAGCTTTGGACCAAGACTGGTACTCTTTGAGGAGATTGCTTGAGATAGTAACGGTCTTCCGACAGAAAGCCAACGAGTAGGTAATTTGAACATGAAAGGTGTTGAGGATTGTTGAAGTCAATCTGACAATATTGAAATTTTTTTCTGACTTTTTTTTCTTTTCAATGTCATTTTCCTGAATCCTTTTTGATTCTGTGAATTCTGTGTTGAGTTACTGTGCAGCCTCAATTGCAACAAATTGATTTTTGTAAGTGAATGAGCATGAATGGGAAAGGTGCAAGCTTGTATAGCCTCCGCCTTTAAAAAGGCCAAAACGTCTCTGCTTCTTCCTCATCACGTTGTATTTGTAACTGTTGAAAATGCAACAACTCTTTTTTAAAAAGCTTTCGGTTTCAAAAATCCTAGGTAACTACCCATGAATGCATCAAGTATTGAATGATGACTACATGAAGCCGTCCTATTCAGCTCGTTTTTTAGATCTTGTCTCTTTCATGGAGCCGCTTTAGAATAGCTTCTTCACAGAGCTACCAATTTTCACAGAATTGTTTAGAAAAAATTTTCGCATTCTTTTTAGTTCTAACCTCCAAAACACTTTTTGCTTTCTTCGCCGTCACTTAATATTCAATACTACCCACAATGCACAGAACTTTGCTGCAATCAATAAGGAGGACGATACAGAGTCGTGTTTCTGTAACCACCCCTGCGTTTAGATACTCTGTTCGTGTCCCCGGACAACAATTTGTGCGTTTCAATTCAACGAAACCGGAAGAGAAAGAAAGTACAGAATCAACCACCAATGCAGCCGAAAAAGAAAACCAGAAACCAGAAGAGCAAACTACAAATGGAAAAGGCAATGAATCAGGTGAACCAGCTGAACATCCTGAATTTAAGGAGTTGAAAGAAAAGTTGGAAAAGAAAGACAAAGATTTGGCTCTTATGAAGAACCACTATGCTAAAGCAAAAGCAGATTTCCGTAGTTTGCAAGAAACTACCAAGAAGGAAGTACAAAGTGCTAAAGATTTCGCATTGCAAAAACTCGCCAAAGACCTATTAGAGTCAATAGATAACTTCAACTTGGCATTGGATCACGTTAAAGAGGACACTCTCAAAGCCAATGAAGAAGTGAAGAACTTGTATGAAGGAGTAGATATGACGAGAAATGTGTTTGAGAAAACATTACAAAAACATGGTATTGAAAAGATAGAGCCATTGGGGCAAAAGTTCGATCCAAACTTGCATGAAGCCACTTTCGAAATCGCTCAGCCCGATAAAGAACCAGGTTCTGTCTTTTTTGTTCAACAAACTGGTTACACTTTGAATAACAGGGTTTTGAGACCTGCTAAGGTTGGTGTTGTCAAGAGCGAGGATAAGTAAAAGAACTTGCTACGAAACTTTTGTAATGTCTTGTATATAAATAAATGTTGTTTAAATTTGGGAGTGGTCATAAGATTTTTGGGCCAAGTTCTTTCAGGTGTGTGTCGGATCCTTTTATTGTAGAATGTTATGTCTTGAGTTGGCAACATGGGCCCGCACTCGGTTCCGCTCCGGCATCACCAGATATTTAATTTTTCTTTATTTTTAAACTCTGTGACTCACTACAGAACACTCCACGGCGAAATTTAGATTCTTGCTTGTCTTCTTTGTGTCAAAATAGGCCCCCAGTTAACCGCGACGAAATTGATAAATTGATTTCCAAATTTTTCACTTTGTTGTTATTTTTTTTTCACTTCTTTCGGTATCTTGACCCCTTTAGTCTTGCACAGCTCCAAAAAGAACCGGACTATGCTACCCGTTAGATCGTCAATGCGTTGCTTTTCTACCTCTGCTCCAGCACTCAAGACAATTAAAATTGGATTGATCCCAGGTGACGGAATTGGTAGAGAAGTCATTCCAGCAGGTCAAAAAGTTTTGGAAAGTTTGCCAGCAAAGTACGATTTGCGATTTGAATTTGTCAATTTAGATGCTGGATATGAATTGTTTAAAAAAACAGGAACAGCATTACCAGACAAGACTGTTGATGTTTTGAAGAATGAGTGTGATGGAGCCTTGTTTGGAGCTGTTTCGTCTCCAACTACCAAAGTTGCTGGCTACTCATCTCCAATTGTTGCATTGAGAAAGAAGTTGGGCCTTTATGCCAATGTCCGTCCTGTAAAATCTGTCAAGGGAATAGGACGCCCCGTTGATATGGTCATTGTTCGTGAGAACACTGAAGATTTATATGTGAAAGAAGAAAAGACTTTCGAAAAAGAAGATGGAACCAAGGTTGCTGAAGCTATCAAGAGAATCACTGAGACTGCGCTGAAAAGAATTGCAAAGATGGCATATGATATAGCAGTTCAAAGACAAGGCATTAGAGATGCCTCTTCGTCCAGTGAACAACTTCACAAGTCACCCTCTGTAACGGTTACACACAAGTCGAACGTTTTGTCCCAATCAGACGGCTTGTTCCGTGAATCGTGTAGAGAAGTATACGACGCAAACAAGGACAAGTACAAGGATGTCGAGTATAAGGAGCAAATTGTTGATTCAATGGTTTACAAGATGTTTAGAGACCCCGAGGTTTTCGATGTAGTTGTTGCACCAAATTTGTATGGCGACATTTTAAGTGACGGTGCTGCGGCTTTGGTAGGATCGTTGGGTGTTGTCCCATCAGCCAACGTGGGTGATTCATTTGCCATTGGTGAACCATGTCATGGATCTGCTCCAGATATCGAAGGAAAAGGTATTTCAAATCCAATTGCGACAATAAGATCGACCGCTTTGATGTTGGAATTCATGGGATACCCAGAAGCTGCAGCTAAAATATATGAAGCAGTCGATGCTAACTTAGCTGAAGATAAAATTAAAACCCCAGATTTGGGAGGACAATCATCTACAAATGAGGTTGTTGAAGATATCATCAAAAGGTTTTGAGTATAATTTTTGTCTATAGCTTCAATAAGGATTGAATCTTCGGCTTTTATTTTTATGTGCCTTCTTGTGATGTTTCTTAGTATCTGTTTTTCCCTTGTCTTTTCCAATAGTTGCAACAGGTGCATTTTCGATGGAATAATGTTTGAGTGCCTCTGGTAAGTCCCAAAGCTTTACTTTACCATCTTCACCACAAGTCAAACAACGTGTTGTATTCGGCTTTATAATGACATCTCGCACCACCTCTTCACCATGGGCGCCATCCAAAGTAATGATCTTTGAGTCCTTAAATTTCTCCTTAGTTGGGCTGAATGGTATGATGAATAATTTGCTGGATGAATTCGCACCATACGCGGCAAACCCGCTGGGAGAAACGTCCACAACATACTCATTATCTGGCCATTGCTTTCTCAAATCCCCTCTATCGTCAAACTTGGGGCCCACTAAGTCGTCATAATTTGTGTCGTTCAAATCGTGAATCAAAAGTGTTTCAATATGTGTCAAAACCGAAATTCTTGACTCCGTGATAAAATGGCACGAATGCACAGAACCGAAATTGATCACTTGATGCAATGCGTCATCCTCGTCTGATTTAGACATGTCGTAGATATTCACGTAGCCATCTGTTGAGCCTGACATTAAATAATTGGTCATGGTGGGATGGAACTCTAGTGCAGTGACATCATCGTGATGCGAATCAACAAAAGATCTTACCACTTGTTCTGGACTTCTCAAGTCCCAAACATGTACTTCAGCATCGGCACCTAATAGCTCTGTACCCCCAGCCAAAAGATGCCCTTGAGAAGCTAGTGACAAAAAATTTGATTTCCCATTGCCCAAGGTGTTTTGACAGCTGCCCACTCTAATGTCCCAAATTTTGATACCGTCAGTGGAACAAGTTGTTACTAGGTTCTCCTCGATCACTTTCATATCATTGATGCTGGCTTCGTGGGCCTTGTCAATCTTGATCAATGGGGCGGAAACGTTCAGCAATGAGTAACCAAATAATCCCCCACTACTTGTCGATGCAACATACCCAGTGCCCACAAACCCCAACTTCAAAACCCAATCATCCGCGTTATTGGCGGACCATGTATACTTGCACGCGGCCATTTGGTGAGATGGAAAATGATGCAAATTTCTGGAGATGGGTAAATAAAGAAGAAAAAAAAAATACAAATATAAACATAGATCAAGTTAATCGGTACAACTACTAGATAACCAAAACATTACGTTCCAAAATTTGTATCCGGCATGAGTAGTTTAGTCAAAAAGGGAAGTCAGTTTACTCCAAAGTTGAAGAATCCAGTCAGAAAGAAAGCCACGCCTAGGGCCACTGCCACTCCTGAACCTTCCCAAAAGGGCACCGCAAGAGCGTCATCGGATGTACGCTCTAGACCTATATCTGATCAGTTGGACACGCCACCAAGTACACAGCTAGAGAAACCACGATTTACTTTCAATATTAGAGGAGCAGCTTCCGGTAGCCCCGTTTTGGATGATATAGTGGATCCAATAGACAATCTGAAACCACAAGAGTCGGCAATTGCAGATAGCTCAGACGAGGATGACGAGACGCTCAAACAACATGCACAGAGTCTACGTAGGGCCTCATCACGAAGATTATCTGGAATTAACCCCGGCCTTCGAAGCCGATCCGCTTCTGTTTCTCAACGACCAGGTAACGATGATACACTGTCAGCTGCTAGAATTTTAGTGCCACAACCAAAATCTACAAAAAGAAGAAGATCGCTGTTGAGCACGCGAAATGCAAAAAGAACCTCAGTACTGATGCCGGTTAATTCTACTGCTCCTACACTCAAGCCGTCACTGCTGGTGGCAATTTCCAAGCCACCCACTACTACTCACTCTCCAGCGCCAACCGCATCCTCAAGTACCACCACAGCAGCTAGAATTTTGAACTCCAATGTTCGTCATTTGTTTCCTGCATTGAGACCTTCTGCTGCACCTTTAAGCAAGATCATGAATGATCCAGAAACAGCACCCTCATCATTGAATGTTGCCAAGAGGGGCGAGATGAATGTGGTGAGCAAAGAATTCGTTGTGGGGATTGATCCTAGGTCAAACAAGTTGCGGAAGTTTAGACGTCGGGATGCGCCGAAACCGGAGGTCAAGGAGGAAAGTGATGGATTCACCAGAGTTGCTAACAAGTCGTTGGACTATTTGATTCCTCTTGCGCCAGAGAATTTAGTTACGACTGTGACCAGCATCAGTCAAATTCCGTCCGGCATTAAAGAAGAGGACTTGGAGTTGTATGGAGAACTTGATTTCGATTATGAGGGCATGACAATGGCCGATTTGTGTAAACCGACATTGAAAATTGGGAATGTTAGCTCCAGTTTCAAATTGGCACAAGAAGCAGAGGTGCAATTGAAGCAGAAAAAAGTGCAAAGGCGACTAGACAGGATGAGAGCAAGAAATGAAAGAATATCTTTGGAGGAGGCGATGTTGAAAAATGAAGGAAAGACTGACGAAGAAATTCGACTCGAACGGGAGGGTAAGAAACCAAAATCGGGAACAGACTTGCTAAATTTGGAAGAGGAAGCACCATCAACGTCTTCAACATTGCAGTTAACGTTGGTGGGTGGAAAAATTGGTTTCAACGAAGAATCTGCTGTTGTTGTGAAGCCTAGAGCTGATGCGTCTGGACGTACAGTTGAGGACTCCAACCCTTTCGCAAACCCCGTCACATCCACAACATATAGCAAAAGAATATACACAGACAAGTGGACTCCAGACGAACTAAATGATTTTTACCGTGCTTTGAGTATGTTTGGTACCGATTTTTCATTGATTGCGCAATTGTTCCCTCATCGCACTAGAAAGCAAATCAAGTCAAAGTTCGTGTTAGAGGAGAGAAAGTTCCCAGAAGTGATTGAATTGGCATTGAAGAGGAAGCTTCCTGTCGATTTCAAAAGGTATTGTGAGACGACAAATAACGACATAAAGACAATTGAACAGTACAATGAAGAGTTGAAGAAGGTCAGAATTGAGCATGAACAAAGTATGAATGCGATTGCCATTGAGAGGGAGAAGGCATTTAAAGAAGATGCTGAAGCTAATAGAAGGCGTGAAATTGAGATTAGAACAGGATTCACTGGATCTAAGCCAATGACGACAGCCGAACGGAGAAAGGAGTTAAGGAAGAACGAAACAGTTGTTGGAACTATTGACGATATAAAGAATCGTTAGGCAACCATGTAGAATTTAACTGAAGAGAACGAAGTCAAAATATTATTCACACGTGCGCGAAAAAATTGACCTCTTTTGACAAAAACAATCGGAAATTAAAACAATCTAAGACGTAGCGATTGTATAGTTAATAATAATAAACACCAAGCAAAATTCATTCCAAAACATTTTTCACTTTGATGAAAGTGAAGAATTATACAATGCAACTTTGATGTCATCAACGAAAGATTTCGTGTTGGAGGTCACACCTTCGATTGAGCATGATATGAAGTGCCTCACAACGTTGAATGTGTTGAAATTTTCCGTCAAGCATAGAGTCCCGCCACTAATATTTCGGGGTCGATATTGGCTTTTATGCGGCTCTGCTATTTGTCTCGTGATAACGGGGGTAAATTGTTACAAAAGGTGTCATACTTGGGTTGATTGGTGTATCGTATTAGTTCAGCTTGTTTTCATCTTGTTGCTTTATTTCATTCAAGAGCCACGGGATACATTGACGATCATGAAGGGAATTGGAGCTCAACTTGAGTCACGAAAGATGTTGCCATTTCAAAGCAGAACCATTTTCATACCCATCAATAATGTGATTGACTTGGTAATACACGAGGGTTTCCATAATTATGGTCAGGTTATATTTTACTTGTGCTTTTTGACAAAGAATTTTCAAGTGGAGAGACCAGGAAAAGACAGTGTAATTCAAGTTGTATTTGGAGAATTTTTTCCAAGGAAAGATGTGTTGTTGACTGTTTTGAAATTAAGTAGACAATTGTTATTTGGTGAATCCAAGAGGTATTGGAGGCGTGTGCCGGGTCAGGGTCTTAAGGAATTGTCCAAACTCTCTGAGTGATGGTAGGATAGGATGTGCATCGAAGGAGTCAGAGCTTGCAGCACCTCGGATTTGGAAGTGTGGAACAAGTATTGTAAAACTGTCTGTGGAGTTGTCGTGGAATGTATTAGGTATTAGATTATATATAGACGTCATACTGCAACGTGTGTTTTTGTAGTTCTACGCTGAAATGCTCAAGGACTATCGCAATTGTTGAAGCACATGTAGCTTACCTCTTAAAGTGTTTACAGTAGTCTTTACAATTTTTTTATCGTAATTCTGAACCAATTTGAGGCGATTATTTTTCGAGTGACAGTGCCTTTACTAGCGAAACATCTGACCTGGTATTTAAGGTCAATTCTATACATATTTCAGTTAGAGTACCGTTCATATGACTTTAAGCATAACGAACTCGCTCCCGGTAATGTGTGGCGCATTTTCAGGTGGACTAAAATTTTCAGCACTTTGCGTATTGGACCAACCAATTGATCACATGCCGGACGTAAATAACACAAAAAACTAAATTCTAGTAGCTTCCATCGCCGACAAATAATACGTCATGATCAAGGGAGTAGTCTGATACGAGAAAACAGTCACCAAAAAACAGCTCAACGGGGTACTTCAAAGGACGTCAACTCCACGTGTATCGAGTTAACATCCCCAATCGATGGAGCTACTAATTGTCGTTCACTTATCGTTTAGTTTCGGCGTCTCCTAAACAGCTACAGAGCCATAAGTAACACAAAAAAGCACAAAGTAGTTTTTTTTTTTTTTTTTTTTTTTTTTGCAGTATCACCCGCAATAGATTGCTATGGCACTTTGTTGAACGAATCTAGCCAGGAATCATTGACATTTGAGGCGCCAAGGTGGTTAAACTAAGCTTCTCATCGCCATCTTGTACTCTGCCAAACTCAGTTTTTTTTTCGAACACACATCCACATTGTTTGTTTTTCTTCTCTTTCGGTCCTCTTTCCTTTTCACTTTTTGCTATTTTGGCTAACAAGAATAGCAAACATAAAAAAAATTAAAAGTAAATGACATACACAAAACCCCCAAGAGTCCCTCAAATGACGATCTGATTCGATTGTTCATCTTTTTGGAAATCCACTCACTATATAAACCAAAACAATTCCCATTCCTTATTTCTCGAGGAATTTATTTCATCACTTTCCAATCACTCAATCATAAATCTATATTTTAAAACCATGTCTGCTGGAAAATACTTTTTAGGGGCTGCTGCAATTGTTGGTGGGGTTTACTACTACGACCAAAACGTTGAACGTATCTTGCCTAGAAAGGAGCACGAACAATTGGCTCATCAAACAGCCAATGCTGATAAAAAAGCTTATGAATGGAACAACAAGTTGACCCAAAAGATCGAGGACGGCAAAAAGGAGATTGAGAAAAAGACCAATTCAGTTACCTCCTCTGTAAAGGAGTCCGACACGTATCAAAAGCTCCGTGAAAACAAGGAGGACTATAGAAAGTCAGTCAAGGACGCTGCTACCCCAGAGGATGAAAAATCAGTATTCAAGAGAGGTATGCAAAAATACATTGATTTTGTCAATTGTCTTGGAACCAACACCGTCAAGACCGGTGAGACTCAAATCTCGTCAGCGGGAGCTTTGCCCGAAGTGAAGGAAAAACCAATTTTTGGCAATTGGTTCGGCAAGAGCGATGTTGATGAAGCAAAGGACAAGGCTGAACACGAAAAGAATAAGTTGTTCAATTGGGGCTCAGAAAAGGCTAATGAGGCTGAAAAAAAGAAAGATGAGTGGAGTGCATGGGGATCTAAAAAGACTGACCAAGCTAAAGCCGATGCTGAACACGAAAAGAACAAGTTATTCAACTGGGGTTCTGATAAAGCAGATGACGCAAAAGCCGAGGCTGAAAGGAAGAAGAATGAGTGGAGTTCATGGGGATCCAAGAAGGCCGACGAAGCCGAACAAAAGAAGGATGAATGGGTTTCTTGGGGATCTAAAAAGGCTGATCAAGCTAAAGCCGATGCTGAACATGAGAAGAACAAGTTATTCAACTGGGGTTCTGATAAAGTAGATGACGCAAAAGCCGAGGCTGAAAGGAAGAAGAATGAGTGGAGTTCATGGGGATCCAAGAAGGCCGACGAAGTCAAGGCCGATGCAGAAAAGGAGAAAAACTCCTGGTTCAGTTGGGGCAACAAGAAAGCAGATGAAGCCCAAGACAAGAAAGATGAATTGGTTTCATGGGGCAGCAGCAAAGCTGACGAAGCTAAAGCCAAGGCCGAAAAGGAGAAAAACTCATGGCTCAGTTGGGGAAACAAGAAAGCTGACGAGGCTCAAGATAAAAAGGACGATTTGGCATCATTGGCAAACAAGAAATTGGATGAAGCCACCAAGGAATTCAACAAACAATATGACGCTTCAGTAAATGAACTCAATAAGCAATATGACAATTTGGGTAAGGTATTCAGCTCCACTAAAGATCAAGCCAATGAATCATTCAAAGTTCAAAGAGAAAAAGCGGTACAGCAATACAATGAAGCATACAAGAAGTTTCAAGAATTGAGCAACGACTTGGCTAATGATCCAGAAAAGAACAAGAAATTGTCAAAAGCCGCCGAAGACTTTAACAATTCATTGGAACATTTGAAATCTTATGGTGATGACGTTTACCACGATATCAAGACAAAGTTGAGTGAGTTGTTCAAGTAGACTTATTGTGTAGGGGAGAGATATATATATATACAATTGAAATATTACACGAGTGCATCTTCTTTTATTGGTGGAGACAACAATGGGACTGAAATTTTGTAATTGGTAGCGAGTTTATTCGTTTTAATGCACCCTCTCCCCCCCACCCCACTCTTTAATGATTCGTAAAGTGCCCAAGCTTTACGGCAACCAGCTAGCCAAATTCAAATTGGATACAAATGCACCTACACTGGAGCTACTATCAAGGTTGGGGATTGTGACGTACCCACGTTCCGGATTAGTGAATTGGTCAAAGACGGGGCTCATTATTCAAAACAAGATCAATTCCATCATCAGAAAACACATGGACAGTATACAGTTTGAAGAGTTGAGCTTGTCTTTGCTATCGTACAAGACAGGATGGATCAAAACAGGCAGATGGAACCAGCCAGAGATTTTCAAATTACAGAATGGCAAGTGTGCCGCTGATTTTTTACTCGTTCCCACTTGTGAAGAGGAGATTACCCAGTATGCCAAACAAGAATTGGACAGTTATAAGCAGTTGCCACTCAAGTTTTACCAAATTAAGGAAAAGTTTCGTGACGAAAAGAGACCGAGGGGAGGTCTTCTTCGTGGCAAAGAGTTTTTAATGAAGGACGGGTATTCGTTTGATGTAGACGAGGAGAAGGCTTTGGAGACATACAAGTCAGTTGTTGGAGCTTACCACAAGATTTTTGACGAATTGGGTGTTCCCTATGTCAAAGCTCAAGCAGATAGTGGCGATATTGGTGGAGACTTGAGCCATGAATGGCAATACTTGAATGACACAGGAGAGGATACGGTGTTTAGTTGTGATTCATGTGGTCACGTGTCGAACCAGGAGAAGACGATATCATACCCCAAGGAAGGTGAGTCGGTTGCCGGTGATGGTGTGTCTGTGAGGTATTTCATTACCGATGACAAGTCTACATTGGTGTGTGCGTACTACCCCGCGGGGAGAAAACTTGAGCCAAAATTTGTTCAGCTTGAGGTTCCCGATATGTTGTTGAATGTGGATGAAAAGGATGTTTTTAAAGAGTTTGAACAGGTTGACGATTTGTCAAGGAGGGTTGTACGAGTAATGGATGCTCGATTGAATTCAAGGTCCAACTTTCCTGATTTCCCAGTTGAGTTCCATAACCGATCCATGATTACCACGTTGACTGATGTTCCTATAGTGCTTGCAGAAGCAGGTGAAGTTTGTGGGGAATGCGACAGAGGCACATTGAGCGAACAACGAGCAATTGAAGTGGGCCACACCTTCTATCTAGGAAACAAGTACTCGAAACCATTGGGATTAACTGTGGATGTACCAGAGGAAGGTAAAGTGGTTAGTAAGACGGTAATGATGGGGTGTTATGGTATCGGTGTTAGTCGAATTGTTGCGGCAATTGCAGAGATTAACCGAGATAGTGATGGGTTACGCTGGCCACGAAGTATAGCGCCGTGGGAGGTAACAATTGTTGAAGCTTCAACCAGTGCTGAGTTTGGCGATGTTTATTCGCGCTTCAGTTTTGATTACAGACTTGATGATAGAGATGTTTCACTTGGACTCAAGATTAAGCAATCCAACATGATGGGTATTCCATTGGTGGTGATTCTAGGGAAAAGATTCCCAATGGTAGATATTGAAGTTAGAGGCAAAAGACGAGATGGACAGCCACTAGAGGTCAAACACCAGGTACATGTAGATGATTTGTCCCACACTGTAAATAGTTTATTAACAAACATGTAAAGTAACTAATACCTTTCTAAGCAAATTTCCCAGTCAACTTGGCAAATACATGTAAAATGATGACTGAAAAGATGAAACCCACAGCCAAAAACAACACAACCAATGGATCAACACGTAAACCTTGAGCTTCGTCAGTGAACAACTTCATAGAGTGGGAGCTCAAAAAGGATATGGTAGCCCATTAGTAGTCAATTTTGTGATACCGTACGAAAGGTGACATCACCTTTTCTTTTGCAAAGAGTTCTGGCTACTCTAGTTGGAATTCTAGTTATCAGAACCCAAAATGGCTCCCAGAGAAAAGCCCAAAAGTTGTTCATGGCTATATGCCCATACCATCTACATTAATGGGTGAAGACTTTATCCTCAAGCCCATATAGCAATGAAATCTTTGTCAGGTCTACCAGAAAAGGTAGTGTACTTTTCCTCATTTTTACCAACGTTTATTATCTTTTATGATTCTCTCTTTTCGAATTAGGTAATTGATTTTACATCGCGGTTAATTTTTCATACGAAGAAAAAAATTTCACTGTTTTAAACTCTGTTGACTCATTGGGAAAATTTTTTTTTCTATTATAAGTTTCAATCCTTTTTCCCAATTCTCATTTCTTTCATCTAGTTTCAACAACCCAATTCTTTTACCCCATACAAGGATGTTGTTAAGGAACAATTTCAAATTCTTATCACGCAGGCTCAAGCTTCTACCAAGCGCATCAATACCAGCGCAAAGATGCTCTTTTGCAACGAATGCTGATACTATTGCCCATGGAAACAAAACAATTCCATCTATAAATGAAGAGGCATTGAAGTATGCTGGTGGTGACTTGTTGAAGAAATTCAAAGATGAACATGCACATAAACTTGTCGACGTTTCAAAAGTTCTTGTCATTGGATCTGGTGGCTTATCAATTGGTCAAGCTGGTGAGTTTGACTACTCAGGGTCACAAGCTATCAAAGCCTTGAAAGAGGCTGATAAGAAATCAATTCTAATAAATCCAAATATCGCTACAAATCAGACGTCCCATGCATTAGCTGATGAGATTTACTATTTACCAGTGACTCCAGAGTATATCACGTATATCATTGAGAGAGAAAGACCGGATGGTATTTTGTTGACATTTGGCGGCCAAACTGGGTTAAATGTAGGTGTCAAGCTAGATAAGATGGGTGTTTTCGATAGGTATGGCGTCAAAGTCTTGGGTACGCCAATTAAAACGTTGGAAACGTCTGAAGACCGTGATTTGTTTGCTCAAGCTTTAAAAGAAATAAACATACCAATTGCGGAATCTATCGCAGTTGAAACTGTCGATGATGCTTTAAAAGCAGCTGATTCAGTTGGATACCCGATTATTGTCAGGTCGGCTTATTCGTTGGGTGGTCTCGGATCTGGATTTGCTGCTAACAAAGACGAATTGAGAAATTTAGCTGCTCAATCACTTTCTTTGGCGCCTCAGATTTTGGTTGAGAAATCATTGAAAGGATGGAAAGAAGTAGAATATGAAGTTGTTCGTGATCGTGTTGGCAACTGTATCACAGTTTGTAATATGGAAAATTTCGATCCATTGGGTATCCATACAGGTGACTCCATTGTTGTTGCTCCATCGCAAACGTTGAGTGACGAAGAGTATCACATGTTGAGAACTGCTGCAATTAAGATTATAAGGCACTTGGGTGTTGTTGGTGAATGTAACGTTCAATATGCTTTACAGCCTGATGGGTTAGACTTTAGAGTCATCGAAGTGAATGCTCGTCTATCACGTTCTTCGGCGTTGGCTTCAAAAGCCACTGGATACCCCTTAGCTTACACTGCTGCCAAAATAGCTCTCGGTCACACCTTGCCAGAGTTGCCAAATCCCGTTACCAAAACCACTTCTGCAAACTTTGAACCTAGTTTGGATTACATTGTCACCAAAATTCCACGTTGGGATTTATCGAAATTCCAACATGTCAAGCGCGATATTGGGTCAGCAATGAAGTCGGTCGGTGAAGTCATGGCTATTGGAAGAAACTTTGAAGAATCTTTTCAAAAAGCAATTAGACAAATTGATCCTTCTTACATTGGTTTTCAGGGAGACCATTTTGAAAATTTGGATGAGACTTTGCAAAACCCTACTGATAGAAGATGGTTAGCTGTGGGACAAGCCTTGTTGCATGAAAATTATTCAGTCGATAAAGTTCACGATTTGACAAAAATCGACAAATGGTTTTTGTACAAATTGATGAATATTGTCAATATGTATCGTGAATTGGAATCTGTTGGCGAATTGTCTAAAATTAATAGCGATTTGATGAGGCGTGCTAAGAAGTTGGGATTTTCAGACAAGCAGATTGGACTTTGTGTTGGAGCACCAGAATTGGAAGTGAGGAAAGCAAGGAAAGATTTTGGCATCATCCCATTTGTTAAAAAGATTGACACGTTAGCTGCTGAGTTCCCAGCAAACACCAACTACTTGTACACAACCTACAATGCTACCAGCTCTGATATTGATTTCGATGATAAAGGAACTTTGGTATTGGGCTCTGGTGTTTATCGAATTGGTTCTTCAGTGGAATTTGATTGGTGTGCTGTATCCACTGCCCGTGCATTGAGAGAAAGCGGCAAGAAGACAATCATGATCAACTACAACCCAGAAACTGTTTCCACTGATTTTGACGAAGTTGACAGATTGTATTTTGAAGAATTGTCATTGGAGAGAGTGTTGGATATTTATGAATTGGAACACTCCTCTGGTGTTGTTGTTTCAGTTGGTGGTCAATTGCCACAAAATATTGCATTGTCATTACAAAACAATGGTTGCAATGTTCTTGGTACTAATCCAGAAGACATTGACAAAGCCGAGGATCGTCACAAATTTTCGCAAATTCTTGATTCCATTGGAGTGGACCAACCAGCATGGAAAGAATTAACATCCATTCAAGAAGCTGAAAACTTTGCTGATGAAGTAGGATATCCAGTTCTTGTCCGTCCTTCATATGTTTTGTCAGGAGCAGCAATGTCTGTTATCAATAGCAAAAACGAATTGGACGCTAAATTATCCAATGCTTCAAAGGTTTCACGCGATCATCCTGTGGTCATTTCCAAATTTATTGAAGGGGCACAAGAAATTGATATTGATGCTGTTGCAAATGAAGGTCAAGTCTTGGTTCATGCTATATCGGAACATGTTGAGAATGCTGGAGTTCACTCAGGGGATGCAACTTTGGTTTTGCCACCACAAAAGTTGTCACCAGTTTTGTTGAACCGTTTGAAAACCATTGCTGACAAGGTTGCTGAAGCATGGAAGATTACTGGACCATTCAATATGCAAATTATCAAAAACGACCAAGATGGAACTCTTGATGATGATAACTGTGAATTAAAGGTTATTGAGTGTAACATTCGTGCATCTCGTTCTTTCCCGTTTGTTTCAAAAGTACTTGGTATCAATTTCATTGACGTTGCCGTGAGGGCCCTCATAAAAGAAGGTGTACCACAGCCAGTCGATCTCATGGACCGAAAATACGACCGTGTTGCTACCAAGGTGCCACAATTTTCATTCACTAGGTTGGCAGGAGCTGATCCTTTCTTGGGTGTTGAAATGGCCTCGACCGGTGAAGTGGCTTGTTTTGGTAAAGATCTACTTGAGGCGTATTGGACTAGTATGCAATCAACAATGAATTTCCATGTACCATTACCTGGTCAAGGTATATTGTTTGGTGGTGATTTATCCAATGACAAGCTTGGAAATGTCGCAAAAGAGTTATCTGGATTAGGTTATAATTTTTACACTGCAAGTCAAACGGTTGCAGATTACATATCCAAGTATGTTTCTGAACCAATCGAAGTTATTGAATTTCCCAAAACTGATAAGCGAGCCTTGCGTGAAATTTTCCAAGCCAAATACATTGGGGCTGTATTTAATTTAGCCAAGTCCAGAGCTCAAGATTTGTTGGACGAGGATTACGTTATGAGAAGAAATGCTATTGATTTTGCTATCCCATTGTTTAATGAGCCAAACACTTCGCAGTTATTTGCTTCTTGTTTGAAGGCCAAAATTTCAACCAAGAGCAAGTTTGATGAAGTTCCAGAAAAAGTTGTTGTTCCAGAGGAAGTTCAAAGATGGAGCGAGTTCATTGGGGGTAAGCCAGTATAGTAAACTTATTTTATAGACGAGCAGAAATAAATTTAGATTGTAATTGTATACCGGAAGGTGTCTGATTCAAATATGGCAGCTATATCAGAGAGTGGTGAACGGTACCACAAAAAGACGAGGGAAATCTCAATTGTGGTTTTTGATTTTCGAAAACGAAGAGTGTGTTTGTGGAAAGACATTTACGGTTCTTCCTTTCACAATACCATGAATATCAAACAATGGAGGCTGCCAGTTGTTGAAATGCGGCGAATTAATGAGGTACATACTTAGTCCGAGATCGGGGAGTACTTGAGGTGCGAAGCTAAATCAGATGAGGCGGAAAAGAATATAAGCCACACATTGTTCCTACTATCAATTACTGCTCAACTGAATGACCCAACTGGTATGGTCATTTGGAAATAGATTTCTTGTCGTCAAGAATAATGGATAAGTATGTGAACATTTACGTTGGTAAGCTTCAATAGGAAAAAAAATTTTCACAATAGGGCTTTGACCCATTTTGTAACTAATTACGACCCACTTTGTACAAGAAACTAAAGACGATATATAGAGTTGGCAAAAAACTCATCACACAATAAAAAAACAGGAATCACTTACTCATCCTGTCTCCAAGGCAATTGCTATTAAGCCAATTAAGTTTTCTCACTTTTTCTTGGTGTTTTGTTTGTTTGTGTAGAGATTAGAACAAAGACCAAGTAGGTGACGTACTACGAGATACAAACAGTGAAGCCTAAAAGATGATGTACCTCTATTCCCATACTGCTTTATCCTCATCGCTTGTGTCATCCTCTATAGTACTCCGCATTATTGAAGTATTCTAACAAGAGCAACACAATTGACGTGAGGAGAAGAAGATCCAGATCTTTTTTAGATTAAAAAGATAAAAAAAAAAGGAATAAGAAACAATGCAAAAATGGCAAAAGATCATTTTATTGAGTTCAGAATTACACAAACCCTTGACATTATTGTTTTTAAAAATTATTTGGTTCCATTTTACTGAAAGGCACTTTAGTAATAAGTTTTTTCTTGTCATTCCTGACAAAAATGGCGGATGTAACAAACATTAGTAATTAAAAGGGAGGTTTGTGATATAAAGCGATGCTTAACCAAGAAAAATAAAATATTGAAAAAACTACAAGGCAAACAAAACCTCATAGTACAAACAGATTTATGAACCGAAGTCATTGGCTGAAGTTGGTCTTTGTTTCTTTTTTTTTCTGCCAATTGGATATCACTTACGATGATGGGAAAACAATAGAGAGTAGTTGTGCTATTGTTTTCGAAGATGTTGTGTGGTACAAAGAGAAATAGGCAGTAGAACTTCACTGGGAAATGCGATACGTTTGCTTATGAGAGAGTAAGACATTTGAGAAGTTTGGAATATAAATTCAAGGCATCATCCACCTAAAGCGTCATGGGATATCGTAAGTTGCATATCTGTCAGAGGAACAACCGACTAAATAAATAGCACCAAAAATGGACCGTACAGAGCCAACAAAGGTTGAAAGTTATGATGAGATTGAAAAGGATAACAAGACGTATTCTGGCGACGAAGGGGAAACAGCAACGCAATTAAATGCAGAGAAAGAAGCATTAAACACCACCACCAAGTCCATTGGTATAAGAAGAGCAGAAATCTTACAATTGCAGTACCAAAATCCCGTGTTGAGAGTCCTATTTTTTTTCTGTATTTTCTTGGTTGCTTATGGGTATGGTTTGGATTCAACAGTTCGTGGAAACTTACAGTACTATGCCACATCATCTTACCTGCAACACTCTTTGTTCACCACCGTCAATGTCATGCAGTCCGTCATTAGTGCTGCAGCTCAACCATTTTATGCCAGATTATCTGACAAATTCGGACGTTTGGAGTTGTGTTTGTTTGCAATTGTATTCTATTCGATGGGTACTGTCATCCAATCACAAGCTTATGACATCAATAGATTTGCAGGTGGATCCGTCATTTACCAAATTGGATACACTGGTATTGTTATCATGTTGCAAATCATTTTGGCTGATTTTTCAAATTTGAATTGGCGTTTGCTTTGTTCTTTTATCCCCGCATTGCCATTTATCATCAACACTTGGGTTGGTGGTGATGTTGTCTCATCGGTTTTGGCGCATTACTCGTGGAACTGGGGTATTGGTATGTGGGCATTCATCTTTCCCCTTAGTTTTGTTCCTTTGCTTTGTTGTTTTATTCATATGCATATCAAAGCTAGAAAAACCCCTGAATGGCAAGCATTGACGAGGGAGCACAATTCTCAAAGATACTCTAAAACCAGCTTTGCATACTGGAAAAAATTAATCGTTGGCTTGTTTTGGGATTTGGATGTTATTGGATTGTTAAATGTCATCATCATCTTAGGATTTATTTTGGTTCCTTTTACATTGGCTGGAGGTGTAAGCTCCAAATGGGCTAGAGCTTCAACAATTGTTCCGTTGGTTATTGGTGTTGTATTCATCCCAATCTTTGTAATTTGGGAAGCCAAATTCGCTAGGTCGCCAATTATGCCATTACCATTGATGAAGGACCGTGGTGTTTGGGCCGCCTTGTTGATTGCTATTTTCATAAATTGGATTTGGTACATGCCCAATGATTTTATGTACACAGTTTTGATTGTTGGTATGAACGCCAGTGTCAAAGCAGCCACCAGAATCACATCGTTGTATTCATTTGTTTCGGTGATTGTTGGTCCTATCTTGGGTTTGGTTGTTGTTCGTGTTAGAAGATTGAAAGGGTTCATCATTTTCGGTTGTGTTTGTTGGGCTGTAAGTTTGGGTATTTTGTTTCATTTCCGTGGTGCCAATGACGGAGTGGAAAGTCAAAAATACCTTGATGGTGTCATTGGTGGATTATGTTTAATGGGTTTTGGTGCTGGGTTTTTCACTTACTCCACTCAAGTCAGTATTAGTACTGTCACTAATCATGAGTATATGAGTGTCATTATTTCCGTATACTTGGCAAGCTACTGGATTGGTTCTTCTTTAGGTACCTCCATCAGTGGAGCCATTTGGACAAACAGAATGCACGGGGTCATCTTAGACAAAATGCAAGAAATGAACATTGCCAATGCTACTGAATTGGCGCTGTCAGCATATAATGCACCTTTTGAATTTATCATCGAAAACACCTGGGGGTCACCTGCAAGAATAGCCGTGGTTACAGCTTACGCTCAAGTGCAAAGATACCTTTGTATTGCCGGTTTGGTGCTTTGTTTCCCATTGATCATGATCACGTTTTTATTGAGAGATCATAGATTAGACTCAGTGCAGTCTTTGGAAATGGACCACGACCATGAAAAGGGTGTTGTGAAAGACGGTAAAGTTGTGGTTAATAACTACGATGATGATGTCTTATTTACAAAGTTAAAATCTCTTTTCAATATTGGTAAGCGATAGATTTGAGAACTTAAGGGGTGGCATTGCATTCTATTGTTGTATATAATTGTGTTTAATTTGGTTAGAAGTTAATGGAAATATTGTATTTTGGTCATTCTGCTTCAGTAAGACGAATCTAATGAAAGTGGACGTGATCGCTCCAAAGGTTGTGCATGTTATTACCTCATTTTTTACGTTCATCAGCTCAATCGAAACTCCCTTAGTCAAATGCAAGCCACCTCACAATTTTAATGCGAACCCACGCATCTTTTTCTTGAGAGTGGCTGTATATTGGATACTTTTATAAGTTACCCGCTAAGTTTTGCCAAGAAAAAGGGTATACAGGCGAGAGGTTGGAACCAGTAAAAGAGGCTAACAATAGAGCAGGACAAACACATATCTATCCAATTGGAATTTATCGTATTTCAATGTTCTTGTGACCGGGATTAAGTCATCTTAACAATATGACGTTGTCGACACTCATTTTAATACATAAGTGACCATGCATCAAATATCAACACATGGTTGATACTCGCGAGTAGTGAACCAATTGTAATATGATAAATGTGAAGGAGAGTTATTGCTCGACCAATTGTGAGTATATTAATGTTCTCTTGAACAAAATGAGCAAAACACACTCCTGGCGTAAAATCTATGGATTCCCAATCTTCTGCGAAATCCCTCTTTCAACAAACAATTTTGCTGTAGATCCCTATATCTGTACTTTTTTCAGTGCCTTTACGGAGTATATTGCCCATAAACAATATATGATGTATCTAAAAGCCTTCCATCCCTAACGCAATGCTCTCGTTTTGTGTAATCACGCTTCATCCAATTGCAAAATCCTTGACCTTCAAAAATACGGACTTTTTCTTTGAAAAGGCCTCCCTTATGAAGGGTTAATATTACATCCAAGTCGTATGACCCCACCACAACTGGTCTTTCTTGTTCTTTCTTGTTCTTTTGATAACATACACAAACTTTTGAATGAACAAATATTAGCTGCACCCCCAAGTATCACAAAAAGCAAAGATTTGCACAAGATAAAAATAACAGTAATAGAAAATAAAGTTTCAATCTTTAGATCAAGCATAAATTATTAATTGAATGAATAGAACCGACGCCGGATAACAATTTCATGATTTGTTTTTGGGCAATCTTAATTTTATTGGGGGTGATTGGTTAGCATCAATTACTAATGAAATATGCATTTATAATATTATCAGTTTGAATTGCATCCAGGTCCAATAAGATTGTTCAACTTCAAGAACGTATGATGGATCCCCGAACAAGGAAACTAACCACCGTATAGCATTATTAAACTTCATTTGGCCAAAACACATACGAGATTTGCAGATTGTGCATGATAAAAGCATTACCACCATATAGCATTATATATAATGTTGAAGACATTTCCCCCTCATTAAAAGATACTCGTCACAATTCCAAAAACGACATTTTAACAATGGATCTTGTGGCACAAGCAAAAGTAGAAACTTTTGAAGATTCAAAAAAAGTGGCCAAAATACGTTCAGGAGATGAAGATGAGGTTGACGTCTCCTCTAGGTCGAGTGACAACAAAGTCTCTTCAAAAACGACAACAAAGTCGATCGGTATCAGACGGATCGAAATACTTCAAAAACAATACCAAGACCCCTTTTTCGTTTGGTTTTTTTTTTGTATATTTTTGGTCGCTTTTGGATACAGGTTGGATGCTATGGTACGTGGAAAGTTGCAATACTATGCTACTTCATCGTACAACAAACATTCATTATTCGCTGCTGTCACTGTTATGCAATCAGTAATTAGTGCTGCAGCTCAACCTTGTTATGCCAGATTATCTGATAGATTTGGACGTTTGGAATTGTGCATTCTTGCTATAGTGTTCTACTCAATGGGTACTGTCATCCAATCACAAGCATATGACATCAATAGGTTTGCAGGTGGCTCTGTCATTTATGAAATTGGAAACACTGGTTTTTCCATCATGTTGCAAGTCATTTTAGCCGACTTTTCAAATTTGAATTGGCGTTTGCTTTGCGTCTTTATTCCTGCAATGCCATTGATAATTATTACCTGGGTTGGTGGCGATGTGGTTGACTCGGTTGTTGAACACTATTCATGGAATTGGGGTATCGGTATGTGGGCATTCATTTTCCCATTAAGTGCTGTACCACTACTTGGCTGTTTGATTCACATGCAGATAAAAGCTCGCAAGACACCTGAGTGGCAGGAAATGACAAAGGAGATTAATAGCCAGAGGAAACACTCTAAGAAAAGCCTTGCTTATTGGAAAACATTGGTAACGGAGCTATTTTGGGATTTGGATGTCGTTGGGTTGTTACACGTTATTCTCATTTTGGGGTTAATCTTGGTTCCATTTACGCTCGCTGGTGGTGTTACCTTCAAATGGGCTAGAGCTTCGACAATTGTTCCGTTGGTTATTGGTGTCGTACTAATTCCAGTATTTGTCATGTGGGAAGCCAAATTCGCTAGATCTCCTCTCATGCCATTACCATTGATGAAGGATCGTGGTGTATGGTCAGCATTACTCATTGCCATTTTCCTAAATTGGATTTGGTACATGCCCAATGATTTTATGTACACAGTTTTGATTGTGGGATTGAACGCTAGTGTCAAAGCAGCCACCAGAATCACATCGTTGTATTCATTTGTTGGCACTATCGTCGGACCGCTTTTGGGTTTGGTTGTGGTTCGTGTCAGAAGATTAAAAATTTTTATTATCTTTGGCTGTATTTGCTGGGCTGTGAGTTTAGGAATACTATTCCATTTCCGTGGTGCCAATGATGGTATCGAAAGTGAAAAATACCTTGATGGTGTCATTGGTGGATTATGCTTCATGGGTTTTGGTGGCGGATTTTTGAACCCATTTTCGATTCAGGTCAGCATTACTACCGTCACTAACCATGAGTATATGAGTGTCATTCTTTCGTTGTTTTATGCTTGTTATTTTATTGGCTCTTCCATTGGTGCATCCATTAGTGGAGCCATTTGGACAAATAAAATGTACGATGTTATTTTGGACAAGATGCAAAGTCAAGGAGTTCCCAATGCTGTACAACTTGCAAAATTGGCCTACGAAGCACCTTTTGACTTCATTGTCACAAACACTTGGGGATCACCAGCAAGAATCGCTGTTGCGACAGCTTATGCCCACGTGCAGAGGTATCTTTGCATCACTGGATTGGTGCTTTGTTTCCCCTTGATTATAGTTTCTTTTGTATTGAGGGACCACAGATTGGATTCTGTGCAATCATTGGATATGGACCATGATCAAGAGCAAGGCGTGGTCAAGGATGGTAAAGTTGTGGTGAACAATTACGACGACGATATCATATTGGACAGGTTGAAGAGTTTCTCAACGTCTGTAAGATCTAGGTGGGGACATTGAGAGGTGGCCCTTTATCTCTTTGCGTGGTACAAGTGTATTTAGTTTGGTTAGAAGTCAATAACATGCAGCCAGTGCAGCATTGGCTGCATGGAACAAGAGACAAAGGATAATCCTTCATCAAGGTCACGTGTAGAGACACTATAAACTTTTGGCTACATAGAATACCTATCTTTTTGCGTTAACTTTTACGTCGGATCAGCTGGGTTTACCGCGCATCGTCTGATTTCGAGTTCTGAGCTTTCAACACGCAAATGTATGGCGTGTTTTACAGAAACTTTTCTCTGCAGGATAAAGTTGGTGATGTTTGTTTACGATCTTAGATTAATCTGATTATCAAAACAAGGCATAAAATCTTTTTTTCCAGTCATTCGAAACTTTAAATCCTGCATAACATGGCTTACCTAATAATTTTCTTGTTCACCACCCACTTTAATCTGGTTCCTAATTGGCCAAGCTTTGTAATGAGAGTGAACAGACAGGAAAAGCAACATCAAATTAATAACAAAACCTTATTAATTTAGAGTTGATGAGCATGGATCTACCCAATCAGAGTCCAGGTATTTAGAATAGCTTTTCTCTCACTCTTTTACACACACCGAAGGTTGGATTCGTAGCAAAAGTTCTATTGGAGAAGTGTAACTTGGTTATTGGGTTCTCGACGATCATTTTTAACGATTAAAAACTTTACAGGAATGTTCATGCATGGAGAAGAAACTCGCAACGCGTATATTACATTGCAGGTGAGCGAATGGTGTGAGAATGTAACGAATCAAAGTGTGAAGGCAATGATCTACAAAGTTTGAGTAACTTGCATGCAAATGATATCAATCAACACTCCCATACGGCGGTGAGCAACCAAATCCAGTAAAGATTTCCCCCCGATAAAATTCTGGTTCTAAGACTTAGTAATATTCTGCTGCTTTTGCCTTCCTCCAACAAGTCTCTTCGTTTCCTTCATTTTGAAATGAAAAGGAGAGTTCATTTTTGCGTTCATTCTATGCTTTTTGAGTAACAAGCGCATTGGCCAGAACTACAAGAAAAAGAAGTTTAGTTAAAATTTGGCTGATTCCTATTTAAAGTACTACTAACATAGTGGGAAAACCTTTAATCCAAGAAAAATCGGTTTGGCTATTTTTCTTTTTTAAATCAAGCATAAATTAATTGATTATGATTGCCTGCTGATTGGTTGGTAACGTGCGTTTACTTGAATGTTCGCATTTAATAATATATCCTTTCAAAAGTTCCTGCAAAACCAATAGAATTGCCCAAATTTAAATACTTGATAATACTTCACCGAAATAGGGAATACTAATTGCTGGTTTACAATGCTTGGTGGTAATTATTTCACACAAGTATAATCGTGCATATTGTGAAAACATTTCCGAGACTACCTCAATATAAATTGATTAGAATTTTTTCTACTTTTGCAAGAGTTATTTTTCAATCGCATTGACATTGGGTGAAAATGGACTTCATTGAACCAGCTAAAGTTGAAAACTCGAAGGGAACAAAACAGGACGTCAAAACTCGTTCAGGGGATGAGGTTGAAGTTGATACCTCATCTAAATCAAGTGAGGAGAAAGCCCCTCCACAACAGACGAGGAAGTCAATTGGTATCAGACGGATCGAAATACTTCAAAAACAATATCAAAACCCGTATCTCATCATTTGGTTTTTCTTTTGCATATTCTTGATTTCTTTTGGATACAGGTTGGATGCTATGGTACGTGGAAAGTTGCAATACTATGCTACTTCATCGTACAACAAACATTCATTATTCGCTGCTGTCACTGTTATGCAATCAGTAATTAGTGCTGCAGCTCAACCTTGTTATGCCAGATTATCTGATAGATTTGGACGTTTGGAATTGTGCATTTTTGCTATAGTGTTCTACTCAATGGGTACTGTCATCCAATCACAAGCATATGACATCAATAGGTTTGCAGGTGGTGCAGTGATTTATCAAATAGGAAACACTGGTATTTCCATCATATTGCAAGTCATTTTAGCCGACTTTTCAAATTTGAATTGGCGTTTAGTGTGCTCCTTTGTTCCGGCATTGCCTTTGTTAATAACCACCTGGGTTGGTGGCGATGTGGTTGCCTCTGCGGAGGCCCATTACTCGTGGAATTGGGGTATCGGTATGTGGGCGTTCATTTTTCCACTAAGTGCTGTACCACTACTTGGCTGTTTGATTCACATGCAGATAAAAGCTCGCAAGACACCTGAGTGGCAGGAAATGACAAAGGAGATTAATAGCCAGAGGAAACACTCTAAGAAAAGCCTTGCTTATTGGAAAACATTGGTAACGGAGCTATTTTGGGATTTGGATGTCGTTGGGTTGTTACACGTTATTCTCATTTTGGGGTTAATCTTGGTTCCATTTACGCTCGCTGGTGGTGTTACCTCCAAATGGGCTAGAGCTTCGACAATTGTTCCGTTGGTTATTGGTGTGGTACTAATTCCAGTATTTGTCATGTGGGAAGCCAAATTCGCTAGGTCGCCAATTATGCCATTACCATTGATGAAGGATCGTGGTGTATGGTCAGCATTACTCATTGCCATTTTACTTAATTGGATTTGGTACATGCCCAATGATTTTATGTACACAGTTTTGATTGTTGGTATGAACGCCAGTGTCAAAGCAGCCACCAGAATCACATCGTCGTATTCATTTGTTGCCACTGTTGTAGGATCGCTTTTGGGGTTTGTTGTCGTCCGTGTTAGAAGATTGAAAGGGTTCATCATTTTCGGTTGTGTTTGTTGGGCTGTAAGTTTGGGTATTTTGTTTCATTTCCGTGGTGCCAATGACGGAGTGGAAAGTCAAAAATACCTTGATGGTGTCATTGGTGGATTATGTTTAATGGGTTTTGGTGCCGCTTTCTTCAATAGACCAACACAAGTCAGCATTACTACCGTCACTAACCATGAGTATATGAGTGTCATTCTTTCGGTTTATTTCGCCAGTTATTACATTGGTTCTTCAATTGGCGCCTCCATTAGTGGAGCCATTTGGACAAATAAAATGCACGATGTTATTTTGGACAAGATGCAAAGTCAAGGAGTTCCCAATGCTGTACAACTTGCAAAATTGGCTTATGAGGCACCCTTCAAATTCATTATCACAAACACTTGGGGATCACCAGCAAGAATCGCTGTTGTGACTGCTTATGCCCACGTGCAGAGGTATCTTTGCATCACTGGATTGGTGCTTTGTTTCCCCTTGATCATTCTTTCTTTTGTATTGAGGGACCACAGATTGGATTCTGTGCAATCATTGGATATGGACCATGATCAAGAGCAAGGCGTGGTCAAGGATGGTAAAGTTGTGGTGAACAATTACGACGACGATATCATATTGGACAGGTTGAAGAGTTTCTCAACATCTGTGAGGGCTAGGTGGAGAGGTTCATCCAAATGTACTACGAAGTAAATGAGAAGCGAAGTGATTGAAACACTTATTACTGTTTAGAACTTCATTCATTAAGTAGGTGATATTGTCAATGTAAAGTTTCTTTGAGAGTTGACACGTGCCGAGTAACCCTATCTTTGTAGCTCTTTTCAGTAGGGGTCTAAATTACAACTTATATAGAGCAGGATTTCTAGATCTGTTGAATCGGTAAGGAACTGCATTTAGCAGTAAACTAGCTAATATGTTTTTCAATGCATCTTTTAGCAGATGAGTCAAGCAAATCCTACATGTGCAATAGATTTTGCAAACAACTAGTTAGTGCTGATCAATTACACCTCCGTGGGTATTTCAAAGATACTAGATGAGTAGTAGTAGTTATACAGTATGGAGGCACTAAATTGAACAAATGAATTGAAACAGAAAAAAAAAGAAAAAAAAGAAATTCATCATCACAAGAGGAAAAATTTCGCCTTTCTGTTAAGAAACCATAAACAAAAAGTTGAAGTAACACCACCACCACTACCACACCCCCCCATTAAATAGAAAATCTACACGTTTATTATATTTGTTACTGTCTTTTTTGCAAAGCCAATCCAACAATTGCCATTAATATTCACGTTCACAACTAGCGAGGATTTTTATTTTTTTATTGATATACTAAAACTTTACCCAATCTTTGTCTCATTTCAACAATAAACCATGGGACAGATTCTATCACAACCAATTACTGAGAAAGACTCAGAGGAGGGTCATGACAAATACTTGGCATACGGGTTGTCAAGCATGCAAGGTTGGAGAATCAATATGGAGGATGCCCATGCCACAGTTTTAGATTTGAATAAATTTTCTGATCATGATCATGATGATGATGACGATGATGACGATAAAGCGAATCAGGACGACGGTAAAAAAGAAGCACTGGATAAAGCCGAGAATGACAAGTCTGATGGTATTAAGAGTGAGTCGAAAGAGAATAGTCAAGAAAATGCAGACTACGTCGCGTTCTTTGGTGTATATGACGGTCACGGAGGAGAAAAAGCTGCTATATTTACTGGTGAACATTTGCACAAAATCATAAGAGCCACTTCTCTGTATAACGGAAAGGATTATGTCAATGCGTTGAAACAAGGCTTTTTAGATTGTGATCAAGCTATCTTGAAGGATATCTACATGCGTGATGATGATAGTGGGTGTGCAGCCACTACGGTACTCATCACTCCAGACCGCATCTACTGTGGTAATGCTGGTGACTCGCGTACGATTATGTCAGTCAATGGTGTGGCCAAGGCATTATCATTTGATCATAAACCATCTTTGGAAGGGGAAAAGTCACGTATAATGGCTGCAGGAGGATATGTCGATGCAGACAGAGTCAATGGGAACTTGGCTCTTTCGCGATCGATTGCCGATTTCGAATTCAAAAAATCAGTTGATCTCCCACCAGAAGAACAAGTTGTCACATGTTACCCCGATGTCATCACACATACAATCAACTTGGACGAGGATGAATTTGTTGTGTTGGCATGTGATGGTATTTGGGATTGTATGCACCCTCAACAAGTTATTGATTTTATAAGAAAAGCAATTCGTGAAGAAAAAGATCTTGAGAAAATTTGTGAAGAAATTATGGATCTTTGTTGTTCACCAACTTCCGATGGTTCCGGTATAGGGTGTGATAATATGTCGATAATTATTGTTGCCTTATTACGTGATGGTGAAGGTATTGAAGGATGGCAAAAGAGGATAACCGAACGAATTGGTGACAAGGATTTCGGGGATTCGTTTTTGAAACCAGAACATCCAAGGTGCGGTAGAATCGAAGATGGAGGCGAGGAAGAAGAACCAGAATCCGGGGCTACTATATCATTAGAGCAATTGTTGTCAGGAAATGCAGTAACAACGGAGAACGGGGTTGTTTACTTGGATACAGCCTCAGCCCAGTCTTTGTTGGAGAGATTTAAATAGAGAGAGAAATGGAGAGAGAGTAGTAATAGTAGTAGTAGTTTTATAGTATCAGGTAAATTGTGATGACATATCTTTCTTTTTTGGGTTCTTCATTACAACTCTATATAAACCTTGGGCCCCAAATCGATCCACTTGATGGCGTCTGCGGTTGTGAGTGAACATTATTGGTGGTACTTGCAGTATTGGGCTGGAAAAACTGTTGCTGATGCTGTTGCTGCTGCTGCTGCTGTTGCTGCTGCTGCTGCTGTTGTGGGATTGGATTACTTTCCACTTGTGTCAATGGTGGTGTAGATCTCACGTCGACATACGATCTATTATTGTTTGTCCGTAACAATGCAGCAGCAGAACTTCCTGCTGACAAATTTTGAGCCAATTGCGGTGGTGGTGGTTGTTGAGATTGCTGGTAATATCCATGTTGTGTGTAAGGTCTTTGTTGGTAAACTAATTGAGGTTGTTGTTGCGTTGGCGTTGATGTTTGTTGTCTCAACCTTGGCATGGGTATGGCCGATTGAGAATGTGAGCGCAACAACTCAGGAGGGTTTGCCAATTGGTTAAGATTCATCATGGAGGCCGAATGAAGTGGTTGTTGGCGCGTTTGACCGGGGGCGATTGAAATATGACCCGGTTTTCTTCTGATTATAATCATGCCATTGTCAAAAAGCTCCAATAGATGTAGATAATTGCAAATGTATGAAATAATTTTCCTCTGAGCAATATTCAAGTTCAATGGTGATATTGCCAACTCAAACACAGATTTCGAAGCATCATCGCGGTAAAGTACCAACTGCGTGTATAATTCTAAAATTTCGGGATCGTTGAAATTAATTTCTGGTGGGGCAAACAGTGAACAACCAAAGGGCAAATTCAAAAGAATTCTCTCTTGTGAAGAAGAGGTACCAGCAACACTAAGGTTCTTCGTGGCGGCTGTTGTCGAAGCCTGTGATAACAAGGATGCCAAAGATGCATTGGAAGTTGATCTATGTTGTTCTTCTAATTGACCTCTTTTCTCCCTTTTTTCCCGTTCAATCCGTTCTCTTTCTTGAGCAGGTAACATTTTCTTGTATTCGACTCGTAATTTCCTGCCTCCTATCTCCCTACCATTGAGTTGATTCACCACAAGAGATGTTTCGTCAGTGGATGTGAAATTTGCAAACGCCAAACCTCTAAAGACACCATTATCAAAATGGTAATTGAATGCATAAGGTAAAGGTAAATTTAGCTTCGTCATCACGTCCAACAATTGTTCTTTCTTGATAGCGAATGGAATGTTTTTGATTACAATCGCAGTGGGGATAAGTTCTTCATCGTCGGTATGGTCATTGTTGTCGTGAGGTTCATTATCATTAGGTTTTGTCGTCTCATCATTAATTGGTTTGTCCAAGGTTTTGTCCAAGGCTTCGAGAGTTTGTTGTTGTTGCTGCTCTACCCAAGGGCCAATCGAAGTTGAACTTGGTTGGTTGAGCCACGAACTTTGCAAGTCTTTGTTCATGAGAGCGTTTGGGGTATAGCTCTTTGTATTGAAAGGCGTCGACGAGGAGGAATAACCGGATGTCGATGATAGTGATGATAAAGAAGGACGACGCTTTACTATATTGTCCATTTGATTGGTGGTTGTGGTGGTACTAGTAATAGACAAGTTTCTAAAATCCATGGTGTGTTAGGTGCCCCATAGGGTGTTGTTCAAAGAAAAAATTGAAAAGAAAACTCTCTCTCACTCTGACACACACACAAACTCTCTCGCTCGGTTCTATTTTAGGTCGTGTTTTTTGTTGAAAAAAAAAAAAAAAACAATTTCTGTCTCTCGGGAACAAAGAAAGGAAAAAAAAAAAAACAACAGAGAGACAGACAGGCAGAAACAAGTTGATGTTCCTTTGGTAGCGCCACATCAGAGAAACGAAAAAACTGAAATTGTCAATTGGGAAAATTAAGTTGATTACGTGTTGTGTATAACAATTAAAATCGATACTATACCAATCAAATGGTATGTTCATGCCCATTCTAAAATAAGTCTACATCACAATACTAACGTAATCATAGTCATCGTCTTCGTCTAGTCAAGCTCCAGGTGGGTTGAGAAGTGCTGTAAAAAGAAAGTCTACAGCTGATAAAAAAGCACAAACATCAAATGCCACCCCATTGAGCACCAGATCGGCTGGTGCTGGTGGAAGCTCTTCTACCATGATGAAGTTGTTCACTGACGAAGCTCAAGGTTTACGTGTTGATCCATTGGTTGTGTTGTTTTTGGCTGTGGGTTTCATCTTTTCAGTCATCATTTTACATGTATTTGCCAAGTTGACTGGGAAATTTGCTTAGAAAGGTATTAGTTACTTTACATGTTTGTTAATAAACTATTTACAGTGTGGGACAAATCATCTACATGTACCTGGTGTTTGACCTCTAGTGGCTGTCCATCTCGTCTTTTGCCTCTAACTTCAATATCTACCATTGGGAATCTTTTCCCTAGAATCACCACCAATGGAATACCCATCATGTTGGATTGCTTAATCTTGAGTCCAAGTGAAACATCTCTATCATCAAGTCTGTAATCAAAACTGAAGCGCGAATAAACATCGCCAAACTCAGCACTGGTTGAAGCTTCAACAATTGTTACCTCCCACGGCGCTATACTTCGTGGCCAGCGTAACCCATCACTATCTCGGTTAATCTCTGCAATTGCCGCAACAATTCGACTAACACCGATACCATAACACCCCATCATTACCGTCTTACTAACCACTTTACCTTCCTCTGGTACATCCACAGTTAATCCCAATGGTTTCGAGTACTTGTTTCCTAGATAGAAGGTGTGGCCCACTTCAATTGCTCGTTGTTCGCTCAATGTGCCTCTGTCGCATTCCCCACAAACTTCACCTGCTTCTGCAAGCACTATAGGAACATCAGTCAACGTGGTAATCATGGATCGGTTATGGAACTCAACTGGGAAATCAGGAAAGTTGGACCTTGAATTCAATCGAGCATCCATTACTCGTACAACCCTCCTTGACAAATCGTCAACCTGTTCAAACTCTTTAAAAACATCCTTTTCATCCACATTCAACAACATATCGGGAACCTCAAGCTGAACAAATTTTGGCTCAAGTTTTCTCCCCGCGGGGTAGTACGCACACACCAATGTAGACTTGTCATCGGTAATGAAATACCTCACAGACACACCATCACCGGCAACCGACTCACCTTCCTTGGGGTATGATATCGTCTTCTCCTGGTTCGACACGTGACCACATGAATCACAACTAAACACCGTATCCTCTCCTGTGTCATTCAAGTATTGCCATTCATGGCTCAAGTCTCCACCAATATCGCCACTATCTGCTTGAGCTTTGACATAGGGAACACCCAATTCGTCAAAAATCTTGTGGTAAGCTCCAACAACTGACTTGTATGTCTCCAAAGCCTTCTCCTCGTCTACATCAAACGAATACCCGTCCTTCATTAAAAACTCTTTGCCACGAAGAAGACCTCCCCTCGGTCTCTTTTCGTCACGAAACTTTTCCTTAATTTGGTAAAACTTGAGTGGCAACTGCTTATAACTGTCCAATTCTTGTTTGGCATACTGGGTAATCTCCTCTTCACAAGTGGGAACGAGTAAAAAATCAGCGGCACACTTGCCATTCTGTAATTTGAAAATCTCTGGCTGGTTCCATCTGCCTGTTTTGATCCATCCTGTCTTGTACGATAGCAAAGACAAGCTCAACTCTTCAAACTGTATACTGTCCATGTGTTTTCTGATGATGGAATTGATCTTGTTTTGAATAATGAGCCCCGTCTTTGACCAATTCACTAATCCGGAACGTGGGTACGTCACAATCCCCAACCTTGATAGTAGCTCCAGTGTAGGTGCATTTGTATCCAATTTGAATTTGGCTAGCTGGTTGCCGTAAAGCTTGGGCACTTTACGAATCATTAAAGAGTGGGGTGGGGGGGAGAGGGTGCATTAAAACGAATAAACTCGCTACCAATTACAAAATTTCAGTCCCATTGTTGTCTCCACCAATAAAAGAAGATGCACTCGTGTAATATTTCAATTGTATATATATATATCTCTCCCCTACACAATAAGTCTACTTGAACAACTCACTCAACTTTGTCTTGATATCGTGGTAAACGTCATCACCATAAGATTTCAAATGTTCCAATGAATTGTTAAAGTCTTCGGCGGCTTTTGACAATTTCTTGTTCTTTTCTGGATCATTAGCCAAGTCGTTGCTCAATTCTTGAAACTTCTTGTATGCTTCATTGTATTGCTGTACCGCTTTTTCTCTTTGAACTTTGAATGATTCATTGGCTTGATCTTTAGTGGAGCTGAATACCTTACCCAAATTGTCATATTGCTTATTGAGTTCATTTACTGAAGCGTCATATTGTTTGTTGAATTCCTTGGTGGCTTCATCCAATTTCTTGTTTGCCAATGATGCCAAATCGTCCTTTTTATCTTGAGCCTCGTCAGCTTTCTTGTTTCCCCAACTGAGCCATGAGTTTTTCTCCTTTTCGGCCTTGGCTTTAGCTTCGTCAGCTTTGCTGCTGCCCCATGAAACCAATTCATCTTTCTTGTCTTGGGCTTCATCTGCTTTCTTGTTGCCCCAACTGAACCAGGAGTTTTTCTCCTTTTCTGCATCGGCCTTGACTTCGTCGGCCTTCTTGGATCCCCATGAACTCCACTCATTCTTCTTCCTTTCAGCCTCGGCTTTTGCGTCATCTACTTTATCAGAACCCCAGTTGAATAACTTGTTCTTCTCATGTTCAGCATCGGCTTTAGCTTGATCAGCCTTTTTAGATCCCCAAGAAACCCATTCATCCTTCTTTTGTTCGGCTTCGTCGGCCTTCTTGGATCCCCATGAACTCCACTCATTCTTCTTCCTTTCAGCCTCGGCTTTTGCGTCATCTGCTTTATCAGAACCCCAGTTGAATAACTTGTTCTTTTCGTGTTCAGCATCGGCTTTAGCTTGGTCAGTCTTTTTAGATCCCCATGCACTCCACTCATCTTTCTTTTTTTCAGCCTCATTAGCCTTTTCTGAGCCCCAATTGAACAACTTATTCTTTTCGTGTTCAGCCTTGTCCTTTGCTTCATCAACATCGCTCTTGCCGAACCAATTGCCAAAAATTGGTTTTTCCTTCACTTCGGGCAAAGCTCCCGCTGACGAGATTTGAGTCTCACCGGTCTTGACGGTGTTGGTTCCAAGACAATTGACAAAATCAATGTATTTTTGCATACCTCTCTTGAATACTGATTTTTCATCCTCTGGGGTAGCAGCGTCCTTGACTGACTTTCTATAGTCCTCCTTGTTTTCACGGAGCTTTTGATACGTGTCGGACTCCTTTACAGAGGAGGTAACTGAATTGGTCTTTTTCTCAATCTCCTTTTTGCCGTCCTCGATCTTTTGGGTCAACTTGTTGTTCCATTCATGAGCTTTTTTATCAGCTTTGGCTGTTTGATGAGCCAATTGTTCGTGCTCCTTTCTAGGCAAGATACGTTCAACGTTTTGGTCGTAGTAGTAAACCCCACCAACAATTGCAGCAGCCCCTAAAAAGTATTTTCCAGCAGACATGGTTTTAAAATATAGATTTATGATTGAGTGATTGGAAAGTGATGAAATAAATTCCTCGAGAAATAAGGAATGGGAATTGTTTTGGTTTATATAGTGAGTGGATTTCCAAAAAGATGAACAATCGAATCAGATCGTCATTTGAGGGACTCTTGGGGGTTTTGTGTATGTCATTTACTTTTAATTTTTTTTATGTTTGCTATTCTTGTTAGCCAAAATAGCAAAAAGTGAAAAGGAAAGAGGACCGAAAGAGAAGAAAAACAAACAATGTGGATGTGTGTTCGAAAAAAAAACTGAGTTTGGCAGAGTACAAGATGGCGATGAGAAGCTTAGTTTAACCACCCTGGCGCCTCAAATGTCATTGATGCCTGGCTAGATTCGTTCAACAAAGTGCCATAGCAATCTATTGCGGATGATACTGCAAAAAAAAAAAAAAAAAAAAAAAACTACTTTGTGCTTTTTTGTGTTACTTATGGCTCTGTAGCTGTTTAGGAGACGCCGAAACTAAACGAGCCTTAGTCTATCAACCTTATCCATAGCATCGTGAGAGTCGCATATGTCATTCGTATCGCAGGATACACTACCATAAAAGCTTTACTTTCAGCTTTTCACAACCACAAGGTATCAACAAAGTCGGTTGCTACAGTACAAAGTGGCAGATGAAAATCTCAAAATAAAATGTGTGTCGTCGAAAAATTTATTTTTTTTTCTCTACGCTCTTTCGCATGTCTGTGGTAGATGTGCAACTTCGGTACCGAGGAGGTAACCGAATGACTAGTATCATCCACTACCCAAAGTTTCGAAGGTTGCAAAGTTTATTTAACTGGAATCGGAAGTTTTATTGGTTCATAGAACTTGGCAAAGTTGCAGAAAAGCTCTTGTTGTACTTGATCGGGGATATTGCAACCCTAGTAACTGTTGAACAAATTTAAAATAAAATTTGCTTTAATTTGCAACAAATAAATAGTATGCGAAACTCATTCAACAAGATTTATACGAAACATAAATGATCATATTGACTACTTCCTATACTGAAGTTTGTCCTTTCATGCACAATATGTTTGGACGCCATACCACTCTATGGCCCCTTCGTACTGGTAACAACCATTTGTCCAAAGACAGACATTGCTTTGATACCATCCTTTTGTTTTAACAAAACATACGAACTTCTTACAAAAAATGTTTACAAAGAAATATTTCGACGGGTTTGGTACATCTTGGATCGCCATTATCTTGGACACGTAGAGAGGAAGCTTACACAAAGAAATTTAGGGAAAAATCTTACCACGCTAACTGTGGGTACTAACTTCAACAGGTTGAGTAATTCCATTGCAACGTAGACCGAGGTTTACTCCGTCGCTGTGATGACCCTTGGTTTGCAATTTTGATTCTGGCATTTGAGTACTTCTCAATAACCTGTTGTTCCAGCCCCATCTTGCACGTGACTCTGTCGATTTGTTTTGTGTCATGTAATTTAATTGGTTATTAAATTTTCATTGATAACAAGCAAAGCACAATTATTAACGCTGAAGGATTTTCACTAAGTTACATAGTCAACACATACAGTTTTATTCAGTTTACAAGGTACCGTCGCTCTTTTAACACTCCACAATCTGTATCTCAAAGATTTTTAAAACATGAGCTCGACATACAACCGAGGAAAGAATTCTAAAATAAGAAAGACTTCCGGTAAATTTGATGATTCAATAACAGATCATGATGATTTTTCTTTGGAAGCCACAGTTGATTATCCTCCAGAAGCCACAACTTCTTCAAACAATCCCTCCAATCAAAGCGACTTTGAAAACTTTACCAGCTCCAGAAATACCGAACAAGCTAAATTGGCTAGCAAGCCCAATCGAATCAGAAACTATTCCATAAGTGAAGCATTCAACTACAGCAATAACCTGAACAACCCCAATTTTGACATCAGCGGGCGAAGCTATGTCAGTATGAGTCATAGACCAAGCATTCTTGAAAGTACAAGTTCACCCCAGGTGAACACAGGCGCTGAAGTGCACGAACAAACAGCAAACCTTGCCAACATTGGTGTTGTCGATAATGATGAAGGAGATGGTGGAGGCAATGATTACGACACTAGCATTCAGGAAGAGGAATTTCCGGTGCAACCAAACCGCTCGAGTGCCAAACCCTCTCACATAGGGGAATACGAAAGGCCGTCGTCGTCGCCTACGTATTCCAGTATAACTCCCTTGCTTGCCAATCGACATGCTGATTACACCACAGGTGATGAAGAAGGATCAATTGGTGTGCAACAACACTCGAATTTTCGGGGAGTTTCAGATTCTAAAAGACAATCATATACTACCAACACACCGAACGGCGCAGGATCAATTCCTGAAAAACCAGCTCATCCAAGTAGATTACATCAGCTACTTACCAAACCATTCCAATTCATTCCTGGAGTGTTTTTGGGAACTTTGCTCAACATTTTAGATGGTTTGTCTTACGGAATGATCATGTTCCCCATTAGTGAACCCATATTTGCCGCATTAGCACCGGCAGGACTTTCGATGTTTTACATGTCATGTATCGTATCTCAATTGGTTTATTCATTGGGTGGGTCTGCATTCGAAGCGGGTATTGGTTCGGAAATGATTGAAGTTACACCATTCTTCCATACCATGGCATTTAGCATTTCCAAACTGATCATGTCAGAAAACTCTGCAGAAAATCAACAGGATGCGATAATTGCAACTACAATAACATCATATGCCATCTCGTCTATTGTGACCGGTTTGGTGTTTTTCTTGCTAGGAAAATTGAAATTGGGGGTGTTAGTTGGGTTCTTTCCTCGACACATTCTTGTTGGCTGTATAGGGGGAGTGGGGTACTTTTTAATAGCTACTGGGATTGAAGTATCGTCAAGGTTGGAAGGTGGGCTAAATTATAATTACGAAACATTCAAGTATTTATTTTACAACACAACCACGCTTTTGGAATGGACGGTACCACTAATCTTGGCCGTGATATTGATACTACTTCAGCATAGAATTCACAACTCGCTACTTGTGCCTGGATACTTTATTGCCGTTTTTGCAGTGTTTCACTTGATTGTATTGCTAATCCCCTCGTGGAACTTAGATGATGCAAGAAGAATGGGTTGGGTGTTTCCAGCAGTAGAGGATGACCAACCTTGGTTTGAGTTTTATGAGTTGTACAAGTTTCAGTTGGTTGATTGGTGGTGCATTATGAGACAAATCCCAACGATGTTGGCATTAACATTTTTTGGAATTTTGCATGTTCCAATCAATGTGCCTGCATTAGCGGTATCCATTGGAATGGATGATGTCGATGTGAATCGAGAACTAGTTGCTCATGGGTATTCAAATGCAATTTCCGGTTTGGTCGGGTCTATTCAAAATTACTTGGTGTACACCAATTCAGTGTTGTTTATCAGGGCTGGCGCTAATGATAGACTTGCCGGTATTATGTTGGCTATAGCTACGGCGGCAGTCATGATTGCGGGGCCAGTCGTTATTGGCTATATTCCAGTATGTGTTGTTGGTGCCTTGATTTATTTATTGGGGTACGAGCTTCTTAAAGAGTCCGTGTGGGATACTATTGGTAGATTGAGAAAGATTGAGTACTCAACCATTATTATCATTGTAGTGACTATGGGTGCAGTTGATTTTGTTGCCGGTATAGGGATCGGTATTTTATTAGCATGTTTATCATTTGTGGTTGAGGCTGCAAGGACTCCAGTTGTTCAAGGTATCTACTCCGGTAATGTTGCCCGATCAACCGTTTTGCGTCACCCAAAGCAACAAGAATTTTTGAAAAACGTGGGGGAGCAAATTTGCATTGTTAAGTTGCAAGGGACTATATTCTTTGGGTCGATCGGTGGAGTAGAAAAGGAAATCAGGTTGATATTTGAAACTGACAAGTTTGATAAAAGACCGGTAAAGTTCTTGATAATTGATATGAAGGGGGTTATTTCTTTGGACTTTTCAGCGGCTGAGGGGTTCAGAAGAATACTAAATTTGGCCAGTGAGTTCAAGACGCAATTGATCATCTCTGGAGTGAGCGAAGAGGACGATACGATCCAGGGATTGCGTGATGCTGGATTATTTGAAATTAGCGAGCAGGACGAGGGCTCATCTCCACCTATTGAGTTATTTAGTTCGTTGAACTATGCTTTGGAGTGGTGTGAAAACTCATTTTTAAAGACGTACAAGAGTTTAAAAAAAAACAACCCATTGGAGCATGTCACTCGTCAAACATCGTCAAGATCTGTTCCTGGAGCAAAGACTAATAATACAAATGCAAATACGCGAGTGAACACAAACTCGAGTGGAAGCATGGCACGATCGTCATCGATTCAATCACCATCCTCGTTTAGCAATAAATTGTTTAATCAATTTGGTGGTGAGTTTGGAACTCCAAGAACTAAACAAGTTCTTCAAGCAGCTAGTAGAACAGTTTATGACGAACAAAAAACTCAACACAAACTACACCTGAATGCTAATAGTCAGTTTTTACAAAAACAGCCATTGCCTTTGATGATGATTACATTTCAAGGATTGTGTTCCAAAGATGCCGAGTTTTGGGCACCATTGGCTCCATATTTCGTCAAGGAGCAAATTCCGGAAGATTTACAATTTTACAACACTTCAAAAGACGAACCATCTTTTTTCATCGTTGAACTGGGACTAATTCGATCTGTGATCAAGTTTGGACCCGAGGGAAGAGAACTACACAGTTCAATTGTACCTATGGTTGCATTTGGCGATTTAGACGATGCATCACATTACAGACCTATTGCTTACACTACTGTAAATGACTCAGTCGTGTGGAAATTATCGAAAGCTAATATCAAGGAAATGTTAAAACTGCAAGGATCGAAGGGAGAAGCTATATATCATGAACTATTGGAAATTGAAGCCAAATTGATAAGGGAAAGATTTGACACAATGACGGCAAATTTGATCATATCAGGGTAGATGAAGAGAGGTGAGAGAGGGCGCCCACACGTTTGTAGTACACTGCATATCACATCATTTTCAGGGTCGCGGCGTAGTAGAACACATAGTATAGTACAGCAGTAATGGAGTGTGTTTGTCCATGTTCGGTTATTGTAATTTGCCAGTTCGACACGACCGTGGCTTGCAATTGTGTATGTGTGTATGTACTATGATAACAAAAAAAAGTTAATAGTAGCAATGCTATCAAAAATCGAGGGGAGGGCAAAGTATTATCTTCATCCACAACTTTTCTTCTTTCGTTAGTACATTTCAACACAGATAATCTAGTCCCACTTCGTCATGGTTGCTTTTACTAAGATTGCCTTTACAACTGTCGCAACGTTAACTGCAGTCAATTCACTTTCGCTCTTTAATGAGTACGTCGACCGTGCCCTTGCCGTGTTCAATACACCCAGTGACCTCAATTCCCAATATGATCTTCAACAACAAAACTTCTTCCATGTTGCCAATGAAGCCCACGCCAATGATGATACTAAGCCTGTACCAGGCAAGTCTCCAATTGAGGTATGTGACTACTCCAGTAAACAGCTTTTAACCCTTGATGAAATTACTATTTCACCTAATCCACCTGAAGCTGGGGCCAATTTGACATTTACTGCCAAAGGTACTCTTGACAAGACTATAACCGATGGTGCTTATGTCGAAGTTGATGTTCGTTATGGATTCATCAAGTTGATTCACCAAACCTATGACATTTGTAAAGAAATCACCAAGGTCGATTTAGAGTGTCCCATTGAAAAGGGGAAACAAGTGATTACAAAAGAGGTTGAAATTCCCGAGGAAGTTCCACCTGGAAAGTATTTGGTCACCGCTAGAGCTTTTACAAAAGATGATGAGTATATTACTTGTTTGACTGCAACAGTTGAGTTTCCCTACCAATAAGGAATAACTTTGCGGCTCTGTAGGGCTGATTTGAGTTGTCTCACTGATTATTACTAGTACATTGTGGTGTTCGAGTACATGCAATTGACTTGGAGTTATTATTTTTTTTGGTTTTTTTTTAGAGATTGACGAAGGAGTTTAAACGGAGTTTATTTTAGATAATGATACAGAGTATTTTTCACTCTATGGGTCTCTAGAAGGTGTAGATTGGGTGGGAGTTTGACCAACTTAGCCACAAAGCTTCCTGTCGTATTCCATCATTGTCGCAAAATCTTTTTATTTATAGTGTCGTGGATTATCTTGGCTTTCCCTCGTTCTTCTCTTTTCTTTTTTCTCGACACTTCTTCTCAAGAGATCAGACTATTTTATTTTTCACAACCAAAGTCAATTAAAATCTACTGTTTATCCATATAAAAACAGCCTGTTCAATATGGTTGAGATTGAGGATTACTTTTCGATACAGATCTTTTTCATTATTCTTCGGGAAACTTTGGAGTCTGCAATTATCATTTCAGTACTTCTTTCATTTATAAATCAGCGATCTCACAAGTCCGACGCCAAAACCACCACAAGTACCAGTTCAACGCCTAGTCAGTCAAGCACTCATCTACAACAAGTTCAACGAAAACTAAAGATTCAAGTATGGGTGGGTGCAATTTTGGGACTTGTGATTTGCTTTTTGATTGGGCTAGTATTTATTTTAGCATTTTATTTCATTGGGAAAGATTATTGGGCATATACGGAGCGTGTTTGGGAAGGGGTGTTTTCGATATTGTCAAGTATAATAATCACTGTAATGGGTATTGGATTATTACGTATTAATAAAGTCATGAAATTGAAATGGTGGATCAAGTTGGGTGATGCATATAATCAAGAGGGAGACGAAGAAGGTGAAGAGGAGATTGCAAAATTGGGTGACGACGGTATCCTTTCCGATGAGTTTAGCGAAAGTGATGTTAACGATGGTGTCATCAGCTATGGCGGAACAAGATCAAGCGTGGAGTCAGAAAGCGTTCCATTAACAGGATCAAGCGCAGCGCCGGTTGTATCTACCAAGCTATCGTCTTCTTCAAAAAGAGAAAAGTTTGGTAAAAAGTATTTTTTGGCCATTTTGCCGTTAGTGACAACTTTGAGAGAAGGTTTGGAGGCCGTGGTGTTTGTAGGAGGTATTGGTGTGAGTTCGCCAGCTTCGTCATTCCCTTTATCAATCGCTTGTGGACTTGCACTTGGTGCATTGGTGGGTTACACCTTATACAAAGGAGGAAATAAGTTGTCATTGCAGTATTTTTTAATAACGTCAACGTGTTTTCTTTACATTGTCAGTGCTGGATTAATGAGTCGCGGGGTATGGTTTCTCGAATTAGAATCATTTGTTCGCAAATGTGGTGGATTGGATGTCAGTGAGACTGGTAGTGGACCAGGATCTTATGACATTGCTAAAAGTGTTTGGCATGTAAATTGTTGCAATGGGTTAACCGACGGTGGATGGATGGTGCTCAATGCTATTTTCGGGTGGACAAATTCAGCAACCTATGGCAGTGTCATCACCTATTGCTGCTACTGGCTTTTTGTCATTATTTGGTTGAACATCAAATTATACGAAGAGAGGGAAGGAGTGTTGCCCTTTGTTCCAATCAAATGGCAGTCGAAACGAATTAGAAAAAAGATTAGATTATATGAATTAAGAAATAGCCAAAGCTTGCACACAATAGAGCAGTCCCATCAAGAAGAAGGAATCGCCGAGGCTGAGCAACAAGGTTTGTTGGAATAAGATTTGCATTTGCTTGAAAGTAGTGTTTTTATGTAAAAGTTGTATTTATGCATTAATGATTATAAAAAGTAAGTTTAAAGAAATATTACAATCTTTGTACTAAAGTCCGGGGGCAAAGTACCTTGGTTCGTCAAAAACATGATACCTATGTCCTCTCACCCCATCACCCCTAAACAATTGTGGCATTCTCAAATTTTCATCAACATCATTCTCATCAACAAAATGGTAATCGTGATTTTCAAAACCACCAAAACCAAATTTGGCAATTTGTAATTCGGTATCAGTGATTGTTGATCTCGAAATCCTGCCATAAGCAATCTTCCTCAAATCACGGAAAAGAATATATTCACACCAACGATCCCAATCGGTTGAGTCAATATCATGCATCCTTGACTTTTCAGAAACATAGGTGTTGTAATTACCAACTAAGGGATCGGTAACCAAATAACTCAACAACACCAACGGTCTTTCGGAATTGGCCATGATTTCTTCAATGCCCAAACTCTGTAGCCTACGATCCTCCACGTCTTCTTCTTGACCTGAATGGAAAACAACAACATCAACCAAGTTGCCATAAATGTCCAATGTTGCATGGATGGCAGGGGCTAATTCACCAACGGGAGAAGGTAAAAGATGATGCGTTGACTGGATTATGGGGAATTTCGATAATAAAGCTGCTCCCCAAGTATGCTTATTTGGACCGGGGCCATAGTCAACATACATGCCTAAATCCTCAGCAATCTTTTGCGTAAAGTCTCTATTTCCTCCAATCAACCGTTGTGTGTCTGTCTCCAAAAGTCCGATAATGTCTAGTTCTGCATCCTTTATAAGATCCCTCATTCTTGTTTCTGATGACCACATATCATTGTCCAAACCGAAATGAACACACCATATTCCAGCAGTGAAGGTTTCCGTTTCTGGATGATATGGCTTACCCAACCCAGTGGGCCATCTTTTGATAGCAGTGGATAATGACAATGCAATAAGCACAGTGACAACTGTTGACATTTGCTTGAAAGTTCTTTTGCTATAAAAGCTGATTATTGATACCTCCTTCTTTCTCAACTGGTAATTGGCTATTCCAACAAAAATCAGAAGAACAGCAGTTGACAAGACAATATCGGTTCTTTCTCTTAGTAATGGGCCACCAGGAACAAAAGCATATGCCACAATCCAAACACTAGCTAATGAAATTATAACATTTAAGAAATATCCAAGGAAAAACACTCCTGCTGGATTGTAGCCAGTGATTGAGTGCAACATAAGTGGTCCAATTGAAACAATGTAAAACACAAACACCAATGTCCCGATAAACCCCGCCCAATCTTTCAAAAAGTAAAATGTAATGGCACTCCCACCTCCAACAATGATATTGTAGCCCCAACTGCTAAATACATTTGGATGTACTTTCAAAGTTACGAGAAGAGCGATTGCGAATGTGAGAATGTGTGGGAACGCACCAGTTACTGGAGTCGGCCCTCTTATTGGGTAGCCCTCCCACGTCCAGAGGGCCAACGTTCCTGAATCTGATAATAATGCTTGTAATGTGAAATAATATCCACCAAAACCAATTGCACCCAACAAGAGAGATCCCCCAACCTTATGTGAACTTGTAAGACTCGATATCTCCTCTCTCTTTAATACAGGCGTAAAGAAAGCTGCAAGTAATCCAATGAATATACCCAATGGGTTATAACCACCATTCTCCTTGTGCATTATTGGCCATATAGGATTATTTGAATAAAATAAAAACTTGAATGTGGACGTTGCTAAAAGTCCCAAAATAAAAGTTGCAATATACGAATTCAATTTCTTCGGATGTTTGGATAATGACCAGAACTCATTTACTGTTGAAATGATACCAAATACGGTTCCCGCTGTTATAGCCAATAGTTTTTGTTCTGGGTCTTCAAACTTGTATGCACCAATACCACAGACGACAGTCAATGATCTTGTCAACTGTGGCATTTGTGCGAGGTAGACTCTCAAACATTGTGGCAACAACAATAATGGTGACAAGAATATTGATATGACAACCGCTTCATATCCGGATATACCCATGTACCATAGCGGGAAATACCACACACACAAAAACAAAGATGTCAAGACGGTCCAATACATGTACGAGTTGATAAGATTGGCAATCACTTCAAAGTTGGAAAATTCATCTACCTTCTCTATCTTAACAGATTTTATAGGGGTCTCTTGAATGGGCTTTTTTTTTTGCCCCGATACTAATTTCAACCCTTCACCGGAAATTGTAACCTCGATATCTCTATAGTCCAATGCAGACCAAGCGTCGAAAAGAATGTCCAAGCCAATGAGAGACCATTCGAAATACGCATAAACTGAGTAAGCACCAGGTCTTATGTGTACTTTATGTTGAATAAACCAATAAATCAATGGAAGCAACGTACCAAAGAAACTGACACCCGTATAAAATCTAGCTTTTCTTTGAAAGGATCCCTTTGGTGACAATAAAGTAGTGCATACATCCCACGGTATCGTCAAGACGATGTAGCCTATCATAAACACGTCATGGGCATCATGATCATCTGTGGATGTAATATACATCCAACCACCTGCAGTTAATGTTCTCAAAAGTCCAGCGATTAATGCAACAAAAGGTAAATACGACAGTTCTTTGTACAAGCTTAAGAAGTTGAATGCAAGAAGCAAAAATCTGGGACCAGCAGTCATGGCAATCACAATCTGAAACACTGACCTCTCAGGGTATCTGTCCCCAATAGTTGCTGAAACACTTGGGAACCATTCATCAGGGTAACCGAACGAGGCATTTTGAACAATCTTGTGATAATGCAAGTAGCTCCCTACAGCCAATGCCGCAAGAAACGACAGTGCTGCAAAAAAAGTATGAGCATATGATATGTACTTTGCATTGAATGAAATGTGACCAATCGAGGATGTATGGGGGGGAACTGACTTTTCTGTCATTCTGAAATTTTAGCACCTTGTGTACGGACAATTGGACACCTCAACAGCAAAGCTTTGACGTAAGACAAGAAAACCAACCAAGCTTTATGTCCTGGGAAGCTACTATGGTTGGATGTGACTATTTGATGTCAAAATGTTCCTCTGAAAAAAAAAAAAATAATTAACTTTGACATATGGCGGTGATTTGTGAATTTTTTCTGCTGCATAGAATTCGTTGTTGTGTGTGTGTGTTGTTGACTTTGGTGAAAATTTGCAACCAAAATGACAATTCAACGGGAAACAAACTCAAAACATTTGTTTGTTGTGGATTTAGAGGTTACATATAACATTGGCTTCCCTATTGAAGATGACACGGTTACACTAAGATGTAATGAAAACGCGTTACTATCTGTCACCCAATTGGTAGCAGTGCTTATTTATAACAGTTGTAGTAGTGTCTTTTGTAACAATTTTGGTCCAGTCAAATTTCACCTTTTCATTATTACACACACACAATCAAATACTAGGAGAGAAAAAAAATTGGTGCAACAAGCTAGTATCCAACAATCCATCGACCCCCCACCATATTGCATTGTCTAGCGATCTAATAATTATTCTCACGTCACATCACGCCATACATCACAGATCACTAACACAACATGGGTATGTTTTTTGATGAGGGCCCGAGCGTCGAATCTTGGTCAATCGTGTGAGCCATTTGACTATCACCAACTATATGTGAATTCTCGTACTAACTGCTTTCGATATAGGAAAATTGGACAGCTATGAAAACCACCTGAGGCCCGAACTTGTCTCATTTGATGATATAAGTTATAACGACTTGTCACAGGTTGATGCAGCAAGAAAATCAATGTTGAGAGAACAATGGATAAGAGTATATGAATTAAGGGTAACACATGAAGCTGTAAGGAAGTGTAGACAATATCATCAAGAAGATGCTGGTAGAAATTGCAAGAGTTTGATTTTAAAGTATTTGAAGATGCTAGAAAGTTACCCAATACAAGGTTACCAAGGCTACCAAAAGAACGATCCGTCGAAATAAAGATAGTTGTTTGCCGGAGTAGATTGAATTTGATGAATGCATAATATTTAAGTTTCCTAGTGATGATTCTCGTGTCTGGGTTAAACGGAATCGTATGATGTAGTTTCATGGAGATCAAAGTACGAAACAATGTCGTTGATACAGAAGCAAAATGTTTCTCGGCCCTCCTGGTAGAATCACTGAATTCCTGAGCCTCTATCGCCAAACAGAGACACTAAGAACTCTCCATCGCTCTTTTTAGAACTGATTATTGTCCATGTCTAGTTCGTTATATCTATGTTCTGTGTTCATGTATATGTCGTGTAATTATGTTCAAAATATATATTTATATCCCAATTCATTACCCAATAAGAAAAGTTAAAAAATTTCTGTTGTTGTGTCAAAACCCGAAAGAAAGAATGAGCGAAAAGGTACAATTGGTAGCATTTGTCTACTGGTGTTGAGAGGAAGAAAAAAATCCATTGAAAAGTTCAACATTGCATTTACTATTTAGCTTTACTGATTCATATTCCACAATAAAAGTACAGCAATGTTTCGTTTAGGAGTCAATCAAGCTGTCCGTGCAGCTCCACGTGTAAGGTATGTTTCATGACAATATACAGATCAACTAGGGATGCACTTTGCGTTGGGCGTATTCACAGGGTGAAAAGACGTACTGAAGAGGCTCTTTAAGTATAGACAATTGAGACGTGAAATACTAACTGCTCCAACTAGAAACTATGCTACATTACGTGAAATTGAAAATCGTCTTAAATCAATTAAGAACATTGAGAAAATCACTAACACCATGAAGATTGTTGCCTCTACCAGATTGAACAAAGCTCAAAGAGCTATGCAATCTTCACGTGTTTTCAATGAAAGTGAAAAGGATTTCAACAAGAATGCTGATCCAAAAGAAGGTGAGAAATTGGAAGAAGAAAATGCAGCTGCTTCAAAAACCCCAGAAAAGACTTTATTGATTGTTGTTTCTTCTGACAAGGGTTTATGTGGATCAATTCACTCTCAATTATCCAAAGCCGCCAGAAAGAGAACGGGAGAATTGAATGGTAATGTCGATATTGTTGCCGTGGGAGATAAAGTTAAAGTTCAATTGTCAAGAACCCATGCTGATAAATTGAAATTGGCATTCAATGGTGTTGGTAAAGAAGCACCAAATTTTACTGAAGTTGCTTTGATTGCAGATGAAATTGCCAAATTGGGTCACTACGAAAATGTTGAAATTCTTTACAACAAGTTTGTTTCTGGTGTTTCTTTTGAACCATCAACATTTGCTGTTTACGCTGCAGACATTATTCAAAATGCTCCAGGTATCAACAAGTACGAATTTGAAGGCGAAGATGCTGTACAAAGTTTGGCTGAATTCTCTTTGGCTAACAACTTGTTGACTGCCATGGCTGAAGGTTATGCTTCTGAAATTTCTGCTAGAAGAAACGCTATGGATAATGCCTCAAAGAATGCTGGTGATATGATCAACAGTTACTCCATCTTGTATAACAGAACTAGACAAGCTGTTATTACCAATGAGTTGGTTGATATTATCACTGGTGCTTCATCTTTGGAATAGAGTAGCTACAAATAATGTTTTACATATTCGACAAAATCACACAAAGAAATTCAAAGATAAAACAAGCATAGATTTCGCTATTGTAGTATAGAACATTACTCTATTACAACTATCTCTATATTCTTCTATTCTAATTTAACTGCTCCATAAATCTTTCGTATAAACAACAACCCCGTTATTACTCCAACGGCACCACATGCAATACCGATGATGAAACAGGCTAATCCCATATAGCTAAAGTACAACAATGAGCTAACAAAATCGTCAATGTTTAAAACAGTAATAAAATAGTAGATTGAGTATCCATAAATGTACCAAGCGATACTTGAACCAACTTTGAAAGACAACCAGGTCCAATTTGCGTCATTATAGTAAACCAATGAAACATAAATTGCCACTATTGTCAACTCAATAATGATTATCAACAACATCACTGTGGTGATGAATAGGAATCCATACATGTAATAAAACGTCGTCTTTTCCAACCATACCGAATTAAACACAAATAAGAGCTCAACATAAACTATTCCAAATGGGATAAGACCAAAAACCGTTACTGTTTTGAGATATGATACTGGTGAAACCAACCTGTACAAAGACTTTATACCACTACACTTGACCCCATCATGTGGTGGTTGCAATTTCTCCTCTTCACCACAAATGGACAAGTGATTTCTTGGGTTAAACTTGTACTTGTTTCCATAAATACCCCCAATTATGCCCAATGGACACTGAATCAAGATAAACAACAACACAAACACCACAATTGTTCCAAATGGCAATGCGGTCGATGAATCTTGTGCCCACACAAAGAAATTCAAAATAAACATCAATATGAATAAAAATGCCGGCACCACTGCACTGAATAATAATGACAAAATTAAAATTTGACCAGCACCGTATTTTTGGTTGGTCTCTTTACGAAATAATTTGTGTAAAACTATCCCCAAGAATGACGATACCAAGCCTGATCCCATAAAGCAAAAAATGGCAAATGAAAATAATGCCCCCTGGTGATTATTAAAGAAATAGTTTTTTGATTTGATTGAATTCAAACTGCTAATTACAACAACCCCAACTATAGCAATCAACATTTGTACACCACCCAGGACTAGCGTTGTTAATAACAATTCACCTCGAGGGATGATGTTGACTTTATTAGCTAAATTTTTCCAACCACCGCCTGTTGCTGCTGTTGCTGCTGCTGCTGCTGCACCAGCATTACCAGTAACATCACCTTCACTGATTGGCAAGCTTGGCGATTGTTGTCGTATATCCTTTTTCAAAACTTGTACCATAACAATCATTACAATCAACGAAGCCAAAAAGATCAAAACCGTCGAATTGACAAATGAAATCCAATGAATCTTCAGTTGACTTTCACCAGATTCATTCTCATAGTACAAATCCCATCTTGATTCGTAATCTATCGATTTATCTTCTCGCCAATACACTGAATACGTGTATGAGATAGTTGTTCTTTCCAGAGCCAATTGTCCCTTATCATCAACTTTATAAAGCAAGGGGAAATTTCGGTAGTTTTTACTAGTTCCTGGGCATTCCTCATTAATGACACTTTTGGGATATACTTCAAATCCAACAATGGTGTATTTCCCAGTATTTGCTTCTCGATGATATCGAATCACCAACATGACATGATTATACAAATAGCTCACATCTTGATCGACAAATCCCATGGGGAACCCAGCAGCATAGTATTTTCTGCGATGGTTATTAGTTTCAAAAGTAGTAGCGCCGGGTAATCCATCAATCGACCAATGAACAACATATCCATCTTTAATTAAATTTGAAGCTCGTCTGATTCCAGCTTGAGTAGCAAGCAAGTCGCATAATCGTAAACACGGTTGGTCAATACCAAATCTGAGGTCGTAGCCACTTTGCCAAATTCGATCACCGCGCAAGATTTCGCCCAACGATAAATGAACTGGTTTGGCATTGTTCATGGGCGGACAAACAAATGTGAGTGAATAATATGCAAATGGGAGTTGAGTCTTGTCAGATTCGATCTTGTTGACTAGAAGATCTACTGGGTCGCCTATTTGGTAGTAATTGGGTTTCAAACCTAGATCAAGGATATGACAATGGATTATGCATGGTGTCAATAGTAGAATCAACAAGTAGTGGATTTGATGTAGTTTCATTATGGTAAATGGTGAAGTTATATTAAATGAAGGAGGATGTGGAAAGCATATACAAATAACGGGAAATAATGTATTGAAAAAGATAAAACGAGTGAAGCAAAGGTGGGTAGGTTAAACGAAATAAGATGGGAGTGTGACGTCTTGGACGATGAACCCTGTCTAAAGTTACTTTTTTTTTTTTTTTTTTTTGCTTGTCGTACTTTTTACGTTACTGAGTTGATTTATAGCACGGCTTGCATCGAGATATCTTCGAAAATTTCATTGTATACTCAAATCCCTACATTATGCCTCCCCCCCTCTTTAGTTAGATCTTCAAGACTTGAGATCTGGTGTTTCCATCAAAGTCCAAGTGGCCGGTATAACAAACAAAAGCCACCCTCGGACACACGTGTCACACCACTAGGCCGAAGTCAGCATAAGCTAGATGTGCTCTTTAGATCATGTAGGCCACTATGCACAATCTAAACCTTAATTTGCAAAAGCTCACTTCATACGCCACGCATACTGCACATCCATTGCCTTTGTGGCAATCCAACAACTTAAGTCTACAGGGCACGAGCAAATGCCACGCTAAGAAATCATCCTCATTTGAAACTGTATACACACAAACTAATTGTCTCCCTTCTTCATTCATTCATTCAGTCATTCATTTAACGACTCCATGGCCTCCTTAATCAAGTAGTTCCCCTTTGGGTCCAAATTTAAAGCAATAGTAAACTCTCTAATTGCCGAATACTTATCCAGTTGCAAATTATACAATTGTCCCAAAAGGAAATGTACACTAGCTTCATTAGGAGCAATATTTTTCAAAATTTCAAAATTCTTCAAAGCCAAAGGGTAATTTTGTAAACTAAACAACAATTGTGCCTTTTTGAAAATTGGTAATGGATTACTTGGTTGTAATTTGCATGCCAATTCGTATTGTTTCAAAGCCATTGGTTTTTTGTTTAATTTCTCCAAAACCATACCAACACAACAAATGAGAATGATATTTATGGGATTTATAGAAATGGCTTTGCGGAAATGGTAATCGGCCTTGTGGTATTCACCCAAGTTCATATAAATCATGCCGATTCCATACAAGGCATTGAAATGACGTGGGTCTAATAACAAGCTAACACGGAAACTTTCCATTGCCATTTCATAATTGTCATTGGCAAAATATTCATGTCCTTTCAATGTGTGGGCATATGTGAATTTATCATTTAATTTTATGGCTTTGTTGAAACATCGTATAGCTTCATCAGGTTCTCGAGTTAGTGAAAACAAGTTACCAATGGCACACCAAGTGATGGGGCTATTAGAATCAATATCATGTAATTCATTGGCAAGAAACGTAAGTTCAACTTTTTTATGCAAGTGCCAAAGCAAAGTTGAATAAACTTCCATATCCTCACATCGAGTTCGATCAATTTGTCGTAATTTCTTGAAATATTGTTCTGATTGTTTATAATTCATAACTTCGTAATGTAATTTACCCAATTTACTCAATACCCAGGGGGTATCGCGATCTTGTTGAGGTATATCATGTTCCAAAATTTTGATTGCCTTGTAACAATCAAAACTTGACAATAGTTTGAAACTTTTGGCAAAGATCAGATATAAATGTAAAAGGTATGCCTCACATTTTTCAATCTCTTTTAGAAAAGCAATCGAGAAACTTGTGGTCATTGCTGTTGATGATCCAAGACCTGTATTGTTGTTGTTGTTGTTGTTACTATTATTATCCTCTGAAGTAATTGAATTATTCCGTTTCAAACTCTTCTTGTTACTGGGAGTTTCAGCAGGGTTATTGATTGTTGTATGAGACGATGGTTGCGAGATTAACCGCGAAGTGATTTTAGAATACACACGACTACCTCGTTTCTTGTTGCCACCACCTCCTGCAGCTTCTGAATGCGAGCCTGTCGATGTAGTTGTTGGTTTGACAAACTCAAATGTGTTATTGGCAATAGTAGTGTTGCTTACGTCATAATGATGAGATCCAGTATTCAAATTCGATTTTCGCAATGGCGCATCAGGGACTGTTGCCGTTTTAATCCTTGGAGTTGAAAAATTAAACTCATCAACATGTATCGTGGGAGTCTTTAATGGATTTCCCGTGGTGCTAGTGGAATCGGGGACTGCTTTCATCTTTTCAGTGAACGGATTGGTCAAATCAGGTATATCATGAACCCCTAGCGCCTGTGGTGTTTTGAATTGGTGTTGCTGGTGCTGCTGTTGTTGTTGTGACTGCAGTAGTACTTCCCCTGCCCCCAGCTGTTGTAGTTGCAGCTCTATATTGCCATCTTTTTGCACCTTGTATAAGCTCTTCACCTTCATATCCACTCCCATTTTACACAATTTTTGAAACGCTTCAAAATCAAACTGATTCAATTTCAAACACAGAGTATAACTCAATGCACTATTCTTGATATCATTGATACTATGATACAAATCCCCCAATAAATGATAAACCAGTGCTGCATCAGGTAATATACTGCGATTATTCCTATAATCAAATCGGGTTTCGATACTCATTCGTTCATGATCTCCATTATATAAATGCTTCACTTTTAACAATTGGAAAATGCCATCTTTGGATTTATTATTCAACTGTAAACAACATTTACCGAAAAGATAACTGCATCCTAAATGATTCAAATCCAGTAGTGATGATGATGGTGACGATGGTGATGATGATGTGGTACTACTGTTGCACTTGCTAATTTCAATTAGTTTGCGATAGCATGATTTCACTTTAGCTTGATGGAACAATGTGAGACAGTACAAATAAACTGAATCCAAATCATGGGGGTTCAAAGCTAATAGTCGCTCACTGGCAAATTCTGCATTTTGATGATTGAATGTGTCGAGTGAATGTATAATTATCGAACGAAGGTAGTGAGTAGTGTATTGTATGTTTGGAAGCTCAGGATCAGCTGTCGCATCAGGTAGTTGCATTATAAGTGTAGTATGTCGTAATGATTATGGTTGTGTGATGTCTTTGGCTATATTGTTCCGTCTTTTGCCTCCACTGTACAAGCCGATCACTGTTTTTGCTTTTGTTTTTGTTCTTGTTTTCGTTTGTGCTTTTGTCTACAATATTTTTTTTTTTTTTTTGTTATCACGAATACCACCACCACACACCTTCCCACTCTACAATACCTTTTATTATAAAACAGTAAGTCATTCATTATTGAAACACATTTAAAAAAGAACTATATATGGCTATTGATCATATTGTTGATCAAATTAGCACTGTTTTGGGGCTTTTAATTTATCACTTCTTCGACTTAATCACAAACGTATGGTTACCTGAATCATCACTACTAAAAGCCATCATCTTTTCTCTCTTTTTGCTTCCACTCATCAACCTGCCAGACGAAGTAGACATAAGCGGTTTATTGTTGGTACCAGTAGATGAACTAGGCTCCGAAACTTCCTCTCGTTTAGAATTTTGACTAAAGGAACTCACGTTGGGTGAGGTAGCAGTACCATTGCTGTTGCTGTTGTTGATATTGGAATTATGGTTGGTTTGAGAATTCGCTGAGGATGCAGTTGAATATGCAGTTGATGTGGGTTCGCTATCGTTTGCATACGGGTTGAACGACCCACTGGTTGGTTTCTCGTATGGTGATTGTTGAAGTGAGGGTGGCCTCAATGGCCTTTGATCAACAGTGTCGGCAAAATATCCCGAGTTTGTGGTAACTGGGGTCCCACTATTCGATGAAAAGTTGCCTGATTTGGGCGATGAAAGGTATCCTGATGCCAACAAGTAAGGTGAAGCAAATCCACCCAGATTGTGTGATCCAGGTACGCTTGGAGTCTTTGGTGGACCATTTAAAGTGCTTGTACTGTATCTATTGCTTTGAGTATCAATCGATAACTTGGGTGGTACTCGCTCTGGAGCCAAAGTCGATGTCGAATACATTGATGTTTGAAATGATGAATCATTACCAAAATCCTCATCTACTCTGATATACCCCTTGGCCCGCAACTCTTCATCCTTCATTTTGTTTTCTTCCCTGGTCTTAGCCAACATCTCCTGGGCTTTACTCAAACTAACTGTTGGTGTTGAACAACTACTAACCACTGGCACAGAATCATCAATGTCTATAGTTGCAGTCATTAGTGCTTTAACCCAACCTCTCATCTCCTCTTCCGAGCCAACGGCAAAATAATGAGTCTTTGGTTGGGTAAAAGTAAGACCCTTTTTAAATCCTGGTGCTGGTGGTACAAGCTTGAAACAATAGTTACCTGCCATTGTGGTTGAGGCCACCATTGCCGCATACTTATCAGCTTTGTCTATATCCTCAGCTTCACTATTTATTGGTATGACTTTGTGGGCCGTGATATCGATTAACCCCTTTTCCCTTTTATCCTTCAATGAAGTAAAGTACGACAATCTCGTTCCATGTAAAGTGAAAAACCTCGACCTCCAAGCAAAAGTATTACCCGATCTCTTTGACATATAACCGCTATAATTTGCTGTCTTAATAGCTTCGTTAGGAGTAATTTCACGGATACCTTCAGTAAATGCAGATGTTTTCAGCTTCTTGGACCCGGTCAAATTGAGAATGTTTTGAGTAGAAGTAGTACGCAAACTCTTCAACCGCGAAGCTCCGGGACGAGTATTGGAAAGATTTGCTTGCGAATCACTAGCAACACGCTTGTTATCGTCCTTCAATGCATCAGTGGATTTTGCCCTCATCGATACCGATTTCAGCTTCTTGGGCGATAATCCGGCATCATCTATGTGAACTGGAGAATTAGACAAATCAAACAATTGAGATCTTCTCCTGGGTGAATTTGTCATGGAGCTATTTTCACGTCTAATTTGTGCTGGTGAAATCAATTTATCGTCATGAGACCACACACTTTCGTCCCGCTGCAAATTCTTACTTTGCCATTTTGGTTGTGTTTGGGTTGGTGTATGGCTTTGCTTGTCGCCACCACCTTCCTCATTTCCTGAAAAGAATGAAAATAAAGACGAGTGTCTTTTGTGATTATTGGTTGATATTGACAGTTTCTTTTGATGGTTATTGGAAGATTGCGACACTTGTCTACTGTGTGATGCTTGATCATAAACTGAAGAAGGTGGTCTCGATAAAGCATGGGCTGATGCATTTGTACGAGTCATGTACAATCCATTTGGTTTTTCCTCATTATTATTGTATGGTGACTGACTTCCATATCCAAACTTGTAATCAGAGCCAAGTGGACTATCGCCATGTGGTGGAGGTTGAGGTGCTTTTCTAGGCGAAGCAAATGATCCTTCACCGAAAGGCTTTGCCAAATTGTCCATAGAAAGTGATCTATTTCTTGAATGTTTGATAGTTGAGTCCGAAGTGTCTTCCAACATGGCAGACGGCATTAGCTCGTTTTGTTTCCCATTCGGCAGTAAAATATTTTCGTGTTTTGGTGGCTTCTCATCTATGTCAGGGTATGTCGTGTCCTCAGTCGGCGCTGAATTCAATGTCGAAGAAGTAGTATCAGTCCTATTAATGGAATTTACTCTAGACTGCAGTTGCGATTTCAGTTTCAACTTTTGTGATCGAAGATTCATTTCCTTTAGTTTTTCCACTTCTTTATGAATTTCAAATCGAGTACCAAAGGAGTCAATATCCAATTCTTTTAAATGACCCAAATCCATTTCAAATAAAATGGCTCCTGTAATCTTGTGTTTGGCAAACTTGTTGGCAATTTCCGGACTAAAACCCAAAACCAAAGCAAAGTATGATGACACCTGTTTTGGAGTCCAATCATGTGCTTGTAAAGGGTTCAAATCATCAGTCAAAGATTGTTCAGATGGGTTCCTCGCGTGTGTCTTATTGTTGTTGTTGTTGTTAGAGGCCACGCTTGACTGTTTTGGTTTGAACTCGTTGTGACTGTTGTTGTTGTTGTTGTTGTTATTGTTATTGTTATTGTTATTGTTGCCGTAGCTATTATAATTGTTGTTGGGTGTGAATCCATTGGCATGTTTGTTATCCCCTTGTATCTCTTTTAAAGCTTTGTCAATCTCATCATTAATCATATTGTGACCACCACCACCAGCTGTAGCGCTATTGTTATCTTTTATTGACAATTTGTCAAAAGACTCCTTCAAAGGAGTTGGAATGGTCTCGTGTGAGCTATTATTGTTAGTGTTGTTGGGGTTTAATTTACTAGGTACGTTGGGCGCATTATGAGTATTGGAGTTGTTGCTATTGTTGACTTCTGCTGAGCTATTGATGTTTTGATGATCGCCATTATTCATTTGTTTGCCAGGGGGTGTTAAAACCCTTCTTGACCTAGACCTCAACAAAGTTTTTTCATCATTGTTGGTATTGGATAAAACTTGAGTAAAGCTCTTTGGGTATAACCCAACAGCACCAGTTAACAAGTTCTTACCCATGTACCAACCATCGTTGTATTCATGGTCGTCAGCTAAAACTTGTATCTTGTCACCAATCTTGAGACTAATTTCATCACCAAGTCTGGCATTGAATTGTTTTATACAAACATATGTTGCTCCATCCATTGTTTGAGTATATATATGTGTGTGTGGGGTAAGAAGTGTGTATGTATATGTGTGTATGTTTGTATGTGTGGGTGGTTAGTTTTGTTGTGGGTTTAGTTGTTGTATTTTTTCTGCCTTTGTTGTTGTATATGTATGACGATAATATGTAGTTTATATCTTGTGTTAGTGAAATAGTAGTCCTGTTGGGTATGTGTATATCTGATGTACAGTAAGCTGTAAGGTGGTATCAGTATATGTATGACTATGGTGTATTGATGAAGATGATGGTGGTGTGAATGTTTTGACTTTTATTTGAAGATGATTATTATTATAATAGTAATACGCCTTTGTCTCGTTTTTGTCGTTTTGTCGTTTTGTCGTATGTGTGTCGTGTGTTATGTCTATGCCTATGTCTATGTCTATGTCTATGTCTCATCTAAAACCAGAAAAAAATTTTTTTTTACTCTTTTTTTATTTTATTTCTTTTTTTGGGCCATGTTCAAACAGTGTGTCGTAAAATATTAAGATGTGACATAACCATTCTTTCTTTTGACAAAAAGAAACGCATTTTATTCTGTAACATATTCTTGTTTACAACGTCACATTCACATTCACATACACATACACATACACATACACAAAAACAAATAACAAATAACAAATAATAAATCATAAATCACAATATTACACGACCATCTTCTTTTTCTTATTTGTACAAATGGTTTTATTTGTTTCATACGAATGTCCAAAGCACTAAGTGATTGTTATCAAAACAACAGTTACTTGGCATATGATACTATAGCATTACCCTATGCACATGAGTAGTGTCAAGCAGATGTATGGTTTTTAAAATGGAGATTTGATTTTGAGCCTTTTGTATCACGATAAATTTTTTACACGGCAGATACATCAAGACACACAATAAGAGAGATACAAACAACATGACACAATGAGAAACACGACACACGAAAAGATCAATCACACAACTTGAAACCAAAAAAAAAAAAAAAAAAAAAAAGAAAAAAATCTAGACCAATTTAGATTTGTGTCGGTTAAACAAAGAGTAGGAAGATTTTGAGTTCTGAAGAAACATTGGCCTTTTAGGTGAGTGTTGTAGTGTCACGCAGAAGCTTAAGGTTGTGTTCCTTTGTTGCAAGCTGCAGATGACTCTGCAGTTGCAGTAGTCTTTTTGTGTGTCGAAACTAAACTCAACCTTACTCTATTAAGCAAACTAAGCGTAGTTTGCATACCCACCCCCCGTCTCTAGGATTTTACCTGTTTCGATGCCAGTTGATCCTTTGAATATCAAGGGGTGTGCACTAAATACAACTTGGGCATAAGCTTTTCTGTACGCCTCTCTCCACTCCCTTTACTTTCTCTTTCCCCACCCTTCTATTCACGGATTTTGTTGTGGAATCCATCTTTCGAGGGAGCAAAGTTTGGATCAGTAGCTTGTCGCATAGTCGTTGATGTGTCTTTGCTTTTACATCTGTCCACGTTTAGTGATCGATGGCTGCAAAATCATGTGAGACTTCAAATGGGGAGGGAAAAAAAAAAATCTATGACAGGCTTTTCCACACCTCTGCAACTTGAAGCAAAGATGAAACAATTTTCCCACAGTTCAAACCCGCAACTTAAGATTTAGAAATATAACTGAAGAGTTGACCTAAGAGGCTCTGGAGATTACATCTTACTTGAATGAGCTGAGGAAACACATCAAGCCTAACTTACATCGAATATCCTAATCTGCTCAATAAAATACAAGCCATGGAAGGAAAAACATCCACCAGTAAAGGGAAACATAGGTTTGGAATAATCATTAGTCCTCGGTTAAATGCAAATGATTTAATAGTCAAAACAAATGTGGAAGACCTTGCGTACTTTACAGGGGGAAAGAAAGCATCTACCAGTACAAGTGTATATCCCGAGAGTGAAATCAAACACACAACAACAGATGCTGCGAGTAGAGTTGCTGCACTGTTTGCGCATTCCTCAACTATAGAAGCTTCACCACCATGTCATGAAAGTGACAAAGTACTCCGAGGTTTCAAAGAGAGAGAAAAGAGTGGTAACAACCACCCCATAGAAGGTAATAGTTCAAGACCGCAGCAAAATCCAATACGTGAGTCCTCAAACACACTTAAAAATGCAACCATCTTGAATAAAGACAATACTGGATACAACGTCTTTGTGCCGGTACCACAAGAAGTAGAGATGGATCATCTCAGATCCTTCTCGTGTTTTGCTACGCCTAGAATGGAACCTCAGTCTGAACTCGAGGCAAACCGCGAAATGGCGAATGAAATAATTGATAGTGGGTCAATAAAAGGAACAGAAATTAATAGAAATGTCTCAAAAGAACAATTTTTGCCTGGAAAGACAACTGGGAAACGTTTTTGGAAAAAACGACTCCATTCATCCACCAATTGCTCATCAGTAGCGGATTTTGAAAGCCAAGGAAAGCCAACTTTTGGTAAGAGAGTGGCAAAGCGTAATTTATACAATTTCAAGGGGTATCGAACGGTGCAACAAAATCCTAGTTTCAGCAACAAGGAAGACGATGCGGTAGGATTCACAGGAAGTCAGGTTTTTGCGACTCAAACGCAAGCACAAACGCATGAAGACGACATGATCTCATTTGTTGTTGCTAGAAACAGACTAATTGCAGATAGCAAACCAATAGATAATGATGTTGCTCAAGGTATGGAAACTTCATCGAGGAAAAGTTTGACCAAACCAATCAAGCTAAGAAGGTTAAACAAAACTGAGCTGCAAGCCGGCAGCAACCTGCTGCTGCAATCACCACCTAAAAGATATGCATACACAAGAGCAACTGAGAGCTCAACTAGTTCACGATACACAAACTCCTTTACCACATCGACGTTTTCTGATATTGTCGAAGTTCCAGAAACTCCACACACTCTTGCACCTCAAGTGTCAGCAGCATCAACCGAATCGTTAATTTCAAACTTTCTGCAATTACAAGTCACAACAACATCAAAAACCACCGCAAAAACACTGGCTAAGAAGAAGCAGTACAAGTTTAGATCCTACTTTGACCGAATCAAGTTGTTACCGAAAGTATTTAATCGAGACCAACATATTGATTACGATTTTGGACCAATAAGTCTACCAAAGCTAACGGACACGAGCCAACCCAATTTGGTGCACTTGCAACAGAGTCAAGAGAGCCAACAGTGGGGAACAGCCAAAATTTCACTGGATAGACCTTCGAGAATACAAACAAGAAGAAACTACAGAAGTCGTGTATTGAAAAGCTCGACATTGGGAACTAGAATACATGAGGACGATCGAACGCGATTGAACCGGCTTTTTATCGAATCTGAATCGCTTGAAATGTCACTAGAATTGTTTGAAAAGTATCTTGATGTAGCTATTAAGTAGTACTTGTGCATTATATAGAAAGACAAATTCTCGGGCTATGTTCCCCCCCCTGCCATCTCCCATTGAGAAAAGCTTCTTCTCCGTATACCCCTTTCCCCAATCATGGCAACCATATATCTTTCCAAGTAATTTCTTTTCGAACAGCATTCGAATACCCTTCATTGAAATTGACCCATATTCTAGGCACTTGTTTTATGACTTCATTGTCCGATTTGACAGTAGAATTGACATCATCATATTGAGATTTAAAAGTTTGTCCATTTCTTGCAGTTTTGGCTCTTTTTGTAGAATCACGCCCTGCACCATCGTCATCATCAGCATCAGCAGCAACAGCAGCCAGTTTCCGTTTTAGGTTTGGCGTCGACGTTGCTTGGTTTTCCAACTCGGCACTAATCAATGGGAACAATAGTTGTCGTTTCAATTGAAGTTGTTTTAGCTCCATTGCACTTGATCTTGAAGCGACAAATGTGTCGAAATGGGACAATGAGTCCCAATCGGGCCCAAAATGGAGGTCAACTTGACCAGTTTCAAAATCCTTTTTCGTTTCAAGAGTCAAATTGAAAATATCCATCAACGTGACAACTTTTTCAAGCTTGGTCACTTCAGCTGAGGTTAAGTTACTCTTCATTTTTGAGGATAAGCTTGGTGATAAAATTTTCGTAAGACATGGTAAGAAATAACATGCAATATGATGGGTATTTGTACTTCCAAGGGCTAATCGTAAACTAGCTGGAATACTTGAAATTAGCGTCTTCACAATGTGACGATTTTCTTTCAATTTTTCAAATGTTTCAAACGACAAGTTTTTCACATTGGGGATTAGCAGATTGATATCCCTAAAAGTTTTCAAATCACTAAACAAGGTCCAACTTTTCAAAGCAATCAAGGCATTATACTGATTGGCATCATTGAAGTTGTTGTTGAAACTGTCATGGTAATGTAGCCAATCACTAAACTCGCCCGGCCTGGTTAATGTATCATCTTGCAAGTGGACAACATCCAAGTACTTGTTGAAAACACCATTTATAAACTTATCAACCAAGTCACTGCTTCCAGTGATGGATTTTCCATGTCCATCCATATATTTTTGCAAAAGAACATTGAAATTGTCTTCCTTTTTCAATTGAGGATCTCTTCGGAAAACATCCTCAACCATTGTAAACCAAGACATGTGCTTGTCTACGGCTGATTTCTTGACATTCATACTCGAAGCCACACGTTTTCCTGAAAATTGCATTTGATTCAAACATGCTCTCAAGTCTCCATCACATACCTCACAAATCTCGCCAATATCTCTATAATCTAATCCCATTTTCTCTCGTTGACTTACACTCATTAAAAAATCCTTGACTGATTTCATAGCACTACCACTGACTTTGGCACCAGTCGCTCTTTGGGCAATTGCCGGTTTTCGAAATGTGACAACATCGGATATTGCTCTCATCTTCTCCAAAGGGTTCGGTCCAAATTTACCCAGTTGTCGCGAGTATATATCATTGGCAATGCAAATAATGGGTCTGTTTAATAACCTATCACCCTTTTTCAGTTTCTTGGCATCGTTATTGTCCACGTATTTCTGTTTGGAATATGCACGCTGGTCGGCATTGATGATGTCTTGCAAAATCTTGACAACGTCATTTGTGTTTGCTAATGAGTCCAACTCATCAATGAGTAAACAAAATGGTTTCCCATTTCTTGACACCGCATTCGATGTCAATGTGTTTTGTATCTTCAACTTTAAAGCGTTTGACGCATTTGAGTAAGCATTACTACCTGTGGAACTGTTTGCCGATCCTTGAGGCAAGGTATCCATACTATTCATGGCATTCAATTCTTGGACATTGTACCCCATTTGACGAACCAAAATGTGGGTAGCAACAGTTTTGCCCACTCCTGGTGGTCCATGAATCAATAAAATTTTGCGATTTGGTCTACCTAACGAATCGGTTCCATCCGTTTCTTTTACTCTTTCACCAAATACCATAGGAGACCATTTTTGAAGCCATCGCATAATCGTTCTATACTGCCTCTCGTTCCCAGCTGGGCACAACTGTAGAAAATTCTGCGGTTTATACTTTTCTGTCCATAAGGACATACTCTTTGGTGTAGTTGGGTGCTTCTTCTTTGACTCAAGTTTCGATGAATTGTCTTTGATTTTGTTTTTAAGCTCTACTTTGGCAAAAAGCGAGTCCATGTCCATGTACAAATTGCTTGTTTCGAGAGTATGTGCTTGAGGCCCAATGCGTTGTCTTCTTTCAAGGTTTATAAACTGACCAGAAAACAACTTCACTTCTTTTCTATCTAGCTGTGGCAATTCGATACTTTCATCTTCAGGTTGGAGATGTGTAGTGTCATGATCTTCTGGTAGGTCGGTTGTATCAGTTGCCTCAACACTCAAACTCGGATCTCTTCCAGTCTCTTTCTCCACTAATGATTCGGCCGGTGCAAATAGCAATGAACTTGAAAGATTGAAGCTTTCTGGAATGCCTTCTTCAGTCATGGTTCTGATAACGTGATTTGGTAGAGTATTGCAAGATGAAAAATCGTAAATATGAAAAGACGCGTCTAATGTCAAAAATATAAAGAAAAACATTGACACAAATTGAACCAATGTGAGAGGGTAAACACAGTTTGTTCAAGAAACGGTATTCATATCCGCTATCTACTCTATACGGGCCTATCCAAAAGTTTTTAGTTCTATTTGAGGGTCTGTTTCAATATCCAGCGAAGTTTCTCCCTTCACCTTCAAGAGCTCCTCCGCCATTGTCTTTTGTGATGGGGTCAAACATTTATTGACAACCTCTTTAAACACCAGAGCATCCTGCCTGATCAAATGTAAAAGTTTATCGCGTGTGTATAGTTTATCGTCAGTACCTCTTTTGATCAATAAAGGTAACAAGAGTGAATAAATTGCCTCCAACTTCTGTTTGTTATCCACCACATTCTTGGTGTACAAGATCAATATTTCAAATGATAATTTGGTGCTGATGTCGACAACAGGATCAATTCCAGTAGCAACACCAACGAGATCAGTGATTAAATTTTTGAGGATAAAGTCAACGTGGACACCATTTTGTTGCAATAATGACTTGATGCATTGCAAGCTCAATGAAGCTGTTTTATCACTCAGTAACAATTGAAGCAATCCACTGCTCAATCTTTTTGATTGTTCTTCATCTAGTTTGATTGCACCGCATGTGACAAGAATAACCGTAGTCAAGATTGTGTAATTCTCAGCTGCGTCAATTGTATAAAATTTTGAAACAATTTGATAAAATGGCTCGACAAAATTAGTACCAAGTCTTTGACTATCAGTAACAACCTGTTTTAAATACGGAAGTATAACTGAAATCAAAAACACCTTTTTGCTCTCGTAGACTTTTGCGAAAATGTAAAGAAGACAAGAATAAAGATCTTTCTTGACAATATCGGGGAATAACGTAATCATCTTGACTAAGTTCTCAAACGTCTTTTTCAATATCAATAGATTTGGTGCACCTTCTGCATTTCTGATTAATGTCTCATAATTGTCCGAGCTATTGTCAAAATCAGATTTGAGGAAAGGGAGGATCCTAAACAAAGGAATCATTGTTACTCTAATCAATTCAAACAACTTGTCAAATCCTGACTCCAAATCAGCTTTATGAGATGAGATGTAGGTACGGAACGCCGCCTCCATACTATCCAAGAACAAACACTGGATTTCAGCATCGTCTTCAACCAACATGAATCGATCAACAACATCAATCAACTCGCCAAAGATGTGATCGTTGAATAACAAGTCAACCAAGCTGCTTATGCGCATCAACTTGTTAAACGATTTCAATATCGGGACAACATTTTTGTTTTTAATCAATGACTCAATACATTGACTGAACAAGATGAAAAAAAAGTTTTCACTATCTCCGGAAAGAGACTCGTTGATTAATGTGTAATTTGTTTCGGTCTCCAAACTCAATACTGTTACCAAATTGATCCAATAATTGCCATAAATCTCGAGTTCTCTACTAGATGACTCGCTATACTTGACAATGGAATACTCTCTCAATGATAAAATCCATAATGAGATCAACAATTGTGAATATTTTTCCAACACTTGTTCAAATTCATCTTCATTTTGATCTGACTCCTCGTAAGCTTCAATCCTCAACAACGCCCAACAATTCAAAATTGCCAACTGAATACTCTTTTTTCCAAATTCCGACATATCTTCCAAAAACCCAAATTTCAAAAATTTGTTTGAAGAGATTTCCTCCAATAATTGTATCAATGTTTTCAAAATTCTTTGCTTTGAATAATACTTTATGCGGGGCAAGTTGATGAAATTGGAGGAGACCCCAATAGCATGTACAATCACCTTGTAATCATTTCCAGGAGTAAAGCAAGGCACCAATGCACTAATGATCTGAGCTTGCTGTTGCTCCAAGATCGATGTGGAAGGATATAATGGATCCTCGAGGTCACCAAACAATTCCAATGCTGAGTTTAACAAATCAAGTCCTTTCAACTTCAAGTCAAGAATAGGAGAAGAGGCACCTAGAAATGAAAGTTTAACAATTTCAGCAATTTTTATTTTCAATCGCTCAATCAACTTCGGGTTCTTATATGCCATCAGCAACAAATGGTTCAATGCATCATAAATGAACAATCTAAAGTTCAATGTAATGGGCTCATTTTTTTCCAATTTTACCTCATCTTCATCAACAATCACTTCATTTTCTTCGTCCTTGAAATCAACAACATTGGCTTTACTATGCTTCTTTTGTCTTTGACTCAATGGTAATAACTTTTGTTGATAATTGGACTCGAGGAATGGATCCACCAATTTCTTCATACTTGATTTGAGCAATGTATTCAATGTGTTGAACCAGTTTTTGTCCAAACTGCACTCTATCCAAAGCAAAACAAGTCGTTCCAATTCTGGGCACGGTATAATATTCATTGATACCCAAAACAAGTACTCGGTCTCTGGTGAGATTATCCCAACACCAAAGATCTTAACAAGTTCGTAGTAACAACTGTATGCTGAAGAATACAAGTCAAAACTCGTGGTGAATGGAAATATCGAATCAGTGTTTAATGACGTTGGAGACACACATGTTACGGCGATTTTCAAGTTTTTTGAAATGATCAAGTTTAGTAACTTTGTAAACACGCCAATTTCCCCTTCAATGAGATTTGGATCAAATATGATCAACTCTTTGAATAGCTCCATCAACTGTTGATATACCTTAATGTAATCATCCAAAGTAGCTAGACCAATACCATAACTCAAAGCAACAATTAAATTCCGCAACATTGCCTTGTTATGAGTATGCCATTCACGGAGTGCCGGGCCCAAGGAAGTGATAATCAACTGCAATAATTTTGACATTAACCCAATCGAGCCGAACCTTGTTTTGAGATTTATGGATATGTTACTCTTAACGTCATATCCAAAACTATCATTCAAATAGTTGCTGCATAACCTTTCCAACACATGTGGTGCTAATGATGACATATCCGAGTTGGATTCGAAAATCTGTACAAGACTTTTCAACGTGAAGTAGTAAATGACAGGGTTTTGATCATTTATCAATTGAGTTACGATGTTGTAAGTTTCCTTGAGTCCAATTTTTCTCCTCAAATGTATGTTACCCATCGATAAGATGGAGAATCCCCTTTGGAAAGGATTTTCATCAGTAACAACGTCATTTATAAGGTTGGTTATGACCCCATGAACCTCATCTCTATTGATAAGTAGCGCGATTAATCCTATTGTTTCGGCATTCATAGTAAGAAGCTCCACATTTTGGAGGTTGATTTTCTTGATAACGTCAATCAAAGTTGACGCAACCCCAATCTCTAACGTCAAGTTCTTATCAGACATGTTTTTCACCACGCCATTCATCGCAATTGAAACATTCAACATTACAGCTTTCAATCTCAACTCATCAACTTGATGTGCCGTGAGCGAGTTCCGAATTTGTTCCAATAACGAAAACTGAATCTTGCTCGTCAAATGAGCAAACAGTGCTTCAAACAAATCTATTGCAAGATCAACTAACGAGGTCATGAGCAACGATGAGGATTTGCCATTTAACGGAGAATCATTAATCAAGAAATCGTTGGGATCGAATGATATAGACAGAGTTGATGTAGAAAATGCAACTTTTTCAAAACAATGGAACCAATATGTCGCTTGTTCAGTCTTGTGTAACGCGAAAACACTTTCACTTTGAAGAACCGTATTATTCAGCGCATCCTCCAGGTCCGTGTATCCAGTAGATCCCTCTGTGGTCTCATACGGCCATTTGCTCGTTAACCCAAAATTGTAGTTGTAATCCTCGCCCAAATAAATCGAAGATTCATCAATCAAGCTTGAATGTGATGATGGGTATTTTAATTTGCTCTTTGTTGACTTGTCGCTCTCGGATGAAATGTTTCTCGAAAATATCTTGTGATCACTGAAAATTCTAATAAGAAAAATAACAAGATTAGAGTTGATTTCACTTTTGAGGGAATTTGCAATCTCTTTATAGCTTTGTAAAATCACTTTCTTGCTGTAAAACACCAAACTAACAATCATTCGTTCCGGATTCAACTTCCCATTGAACGAATGATTGGAGTATAAAATGTTATTGAGTAAGTTGGGGTTATAGTCATAATCATTGAAATAGGATGAGTTCAAAGTTGTAACAGAACTCACATTTTCAATGTTGCTTTCCAAATGTGACAAGTAATTGTAAGATTTGGTCAACAAGAACAGCACTTGCTTGAATGATTCCGGGGTCAAGTCAACTGACTTCAAGTAGTTGTGCAAACACACCAAAGCAAACGCTCTCACTTTCAAATTGGAAATGACTTCATTGGTTTGTTCGTTTCCCGATGACGACGAAGAAGAATTGACACCAAGAAACTGTGACGTGAGTAAACTTTTCCAAAAGATTAAAAACTGCGATGAATTCAATTTGACATACTCGGAAAAGTTGTACAACGAAACCAACGAAGACAATATGATCCAACAACTAGAGTTTTTGATGTTTGAGTTGCCACTATGTTTCAAATTCTGGGTGCAAAAACTCAATACTTTGACAATTATTGTATTCTGGAGTAAAGCTGGATCTGTTTGCTTGATTAACGACAGCAATGCCAACGCGTAGCTAAGAAGTCTCACCGAAGATATACCGCATGTATTGTGTTGCCCCTTTGTTGATGCCTTTTCGGAATGTTTATGCTCTTGGTCAACAAACTTGAATGCGAATAGTATCAACTGGTTAATTATGGCCGGATTGTACCGTGCGTAAACCAACAATGCTTTTATGGCATAATTACGCGTGTATTCATTATCATTGGCAATCAAAGTAAACAAAGTAGTTTCCAAAAACGATAATCCTCGAGAGTCATTGCTATTTGCCATCTCCAAATCGTCATCCAACTCATCAAGACTTGTCTTCTCTTCATCTTTGTCCCTTTCATCAGAGCTGTCGATTTTGATTCCGGATGGGATGATATTTTCAATGACAGACAACACAAGACAAGCTTGATATGGATTCGTATAAATATTGATATCCGAACCGGTTGTTTTCCTTTTTGAAGTTTTGGTGGTTTTGAATCCAAATATTCTTGATTCCCTCTTTCTGTCCCTATTTAACGAAATCTGCTCAGCATTGTCTCCATTACCGGCATTGGCAGATCTACTGTTGTGATTTAATTTTGAGTACAAATAGCTTGCAAGAACATCACCAGCAGCAGAGCCAGTTTCCTTGACAATATAGTCAAGGACAACGGTCCAGTTTGTCAAAGTTTTGTTCCAATGTGTATCCTGAATATGAATTATTTTATCATTATCAAGTCTCAAGTCGTCAAATTTCAAAAGCACCAACTGCAAGATGTTTATCAAGTTTGTGGACAAATATTCCGGGTTTTGAAACTGTTCCATCTGGATATAGAATATGATACTGGCAGCAATACTTGATTGTAAAAGATTTTTTTCCAACTTATTATTGATAACAGCTTGACTATCATGGTTGACTATTGAGTTTTTATCCCTCTTGGTTTCTATCAATGGTTCCCCGTTGTTGTCAATCTTCACTGATAAGCTTGCGTCCCAATTATTCTGGTCTGGCAAGGGGTAAAATGTGATCAAGTATTCAATGGCATTGAAATTACCAGTGGGGATAAAATTGATGAAAAGATTTGCCAACAAGTCTATCCCAGCCACACGTACTTCTTTTAACGGACATGACAAACAATATCCAAACACATTTTCGTGAGTAGTTAATAAATTTTGCTGGTAATGGTGCTGTTGGGTCATGATAGTTTCCGGTTTCATCTTGGCCCCAGCTGAGCTTGAGCTAGCCGAAGCCTCCAACAAAGACTCATAGTGGCTTGATATACTCAAGATTAAAAGGCTTTTGAGACATTGGGTGTAATTTTTTTTCAAAAGCACAGTTGAGGCGCATTTTTCATCATCCATGTCGAATGAGATGCTTTCTTGCAAAATTGACTTTGTTGTAATCTTGATCAACTTGGCACACAATTTGTCATCAATGTCCTGTTTTGTTGCATTTTTGGAAGCTGAATACAACAAATAAACCAAGTCAGCGTCGACATTTGCATCTTTTTTCAAAATCTTGTAAATCTGAGCCACAGAAAAGCTTATCAACGATCCCAATTGACTTGCAAAATGATCAAATAAATCAATGAGGATAATTATAGCGACTTTGGACAGTTGGCGCAAGTTGCCATGCTCGTCTAAATATACGTCATTCAACAACAGGTTCGCCATATCATATACTTTCGAAGTTTGAACACGTAGTACCAGGACCAAGTTTCGCGAGACTAATCTAAATATATTCATTGAAGATTGGACTTTGGGCTCTGGGGTGGCAGCTTCATTTCCTTTCTTCTTTTTTATTACTGGTTGTGGTTGTCTCTTTCTTTGTTCATCAATAAGTTGATTCAATTGATCGCGATATATTTGATAGTCAGATTCATCCAAGCCTTCTTCTTCCTTGGAGAGCTTTCTGCTCATATCAACGAGGTAGGTAAATATCTCACCATTGTCAAATCTTTTGAGTAGATCATTAAATGAATCCATGATGAACTGTATTTTCAAAGAAGGTGGTGTAGTTCAATGGGCAAAAAACTGGAAAAATAGAATAAAATAAAATAAAAACACAGAGAGAAAGGAGGTTTTCATTTTTGCGTGTCTTGATAATCCTGGTAGCATCTATTACACCTAGAAAGAAGTCTATACATTTAAATGATGCAAACAGTTACATCAACACTACTTTCCTGAAGCTCTTGGACTCCCTGTAATTGAGGGAAGTTGTGAGTATCGTTTGCTGTAGGAAAATCGTTTGGTTTTTCTCTCTGTGTCTAGATGTCCCTCGTCATCCAGATGTATAGTCAATTTTGTCAGTGAAGGTGCCTTCAACATGGACATTTTTTTCAAATTCTCCACTGAGGTATTTTCCAAGCGATTGTTCTTTCCTAGAAAAATGTCAAGATCTCTAGTCAAATTTTTTAGCTTCTGTAACGAATCTGATTTCTTCATTTTACTCTGTGATGTATTGGTGAGATCTCGAAGTACGTTTGGTGGAGGCGTGCTCTTCAACACATCCATCATACTAACAAACAGTGTGTCACCATCTTTGTGTTGTTCTGCTTCTAGCTGCTTGATTGTTTCCTGTAGATCACTGATTTGAATTTTGTAATTGGTGATGTGCAATTGTTTCTCGGTATTTTGTTTCTTGACCCTATCCAACTCATCCTCCAACATTGCCAACTTTTCTAGTAGCTCATTGTTGAAGGCTTGTTGCACTTCGTACTTACTAAGCATGATTCGATCTTGGCTCTCCATTGAAGCATTAGAAATTTCAATGGTGACTATTTTCTGCTGTAAACCGGCAATTTCTTGATCCTTGCTCAAAAGAAGATCTTGTAGTTCATCTAGATCCTTCCCCTGGTCTAGATTCTGCTGTCTTGATGCAAGAAGCTGTTTTTTCAAGTCGATGACTTGGTTTTCAAGGTTTAAATTTGTCGATTCCAATTGTTGCAATTCATCCTCCAACGCTTTTTCTAGATCCTTACTTGACTCTTGAAACTCGTTAAGTATTGCTTCTGACTCTAGAACTTTTTGTATGAGTTCTTCCTTGCTCAATGCTTGTAGTCTTGAAGACATTTTGGTCGTTGATGTGATTTGTATGGTGTGGCGTTTCACATTCACGTTTTGTTTACATTTTGCTGAAAAGTCGCGACACTTTTAACTTTCTACGACTCAGAGTCAAACATATATCATGAAAATATAAATTAATCGTTAATTATTATCTAGCTATGTGGTCTACTGTTCCTTCTTTTCTTCCTCGCTATTGCTGGTGTCTTCTTCTTCTTCATCCTCATCTTCACTTCTCTCGTCCTTTTGTTCACCAGAAAAGATGTATCTTGCCAAAATTCTCAAAATCAAAAACAACCAGTAAATGTTAACCAACTGTAAGGCAAAAATTAAAAAGAATGTAATTGGTTGCGAAATGTAACACTTGTATTGTTGAGTTTCCCAGTTCAATTCCCATTCACCAACGGTTTTGAATTCGGTTAAAACTGACCACAATATCTTCAAATTGATGTAGTGTCTCAAATAAACCCAAACAGCAATGAACCATACAAAGAACGGGCCAGTCAACTTTGAATCTAAATAGTTTAATGTTTTCGACAAAGCCAACCAGAAATCAGACACATCCATGGTGATAAACACTTCGATACCAATCCAAGTAAAATGAAATCTGTATGAACACCAAATCAACGCAATGGTGATAATATGGTGCAACACCAATTCAAAAAAATCCTTTCTTGGTTTTTCCAATTGTAATACAAGAATAACTGATTGTTGAACCCAAAATGCTGCTTGTCCCAAATAAAACACCTTAAAGTAAATTTCATGGGTCTTGTGTGGATACTCAAGATACATTGGCGTAGTTTCAAAAAACCATAATGGCGTTCTAGACATTATCCACAACCCCAAAGGACCACTTAAACCATAGTAAAACATGGCATAAGTTTGTTCCAAAAATCTCTTTTGTTTAGCTTCCTTCGTCACACCAAGATAAATACTAATTGGTCTTAATACACAACACATCATAAACTCTCTCAAAAAGGTAAAAAAAATAGCATAAAATCCAACAAATTTGAAATCGTTAGCACCTTTCCCATATTGATCAGTTCCTGGGATGTGATATGATGGTACAATCATATCTTCCAAGACTTGATGAATCTTACCATTGAGATTAGAAAGAAAGAATGTTCCAAACGCAGCTACTAAAACCAAAAAGGGTAAAATCCAAGTTTGTCTATAACACAACTCTCTAAATCCAATCAAAAGATGTTTGGCAATACCCCAATCTGATTTGGTTTCGCGTTTCAATTCGGCAATTCTGGCGCTAGATCTTCTTCTGGATGCCCTCGTGGTATCCATGGTTGACAATGAAGGTGAAGTATCTCCAACTGATATTCTACCTACTGATGAGGACCGATGACGTTGGCGTGGTGATGTTGGTGGTGACAAATGGTCAGTTTTCTCTGCTGAAGTACTCATGTTCGTATACAACAAAGAAAGTGGAAAATCAATGAATAACTTCAACCACCTTTAATGTAACAGAAAGAAGGAAAGACGATTACTGGCCAAGACTAGTAGTAGTCTCTTGTATAAAGAAGTTGTGTTGAAGATGAAATTGAAAATTTTTACAATAAACAAAAAGCAAAAAACAATAAACAAAAAAAAAAAAAAAAAACATAAAAACATAAAAACATAAAACAAGAATTACAATCAAACAAAAACACGATCTTTTTCCGTTTCTGAATTTTCTTCTAATCGTGTTATAAAAACACCACAAAGTGTTCTTTTTTGTCGTAGCAGTAGCATGCGTTGTGTGTAATTAGCCTTCAGAACTCAGCCTACAATGAAGTCAATTGGAAGAATGAAAAGTTGATTTAGTAATAGGTAATATATCAACCAACAGTTTACGTCATCTAAAAGGGGAAAAGGATCTCTTTAAACAATAACAATAGATTGGTTGTGTGTCTTTTTGGATAAAGAAAAATCTTGTCTCGTATCGTAAAACCAAACAAAACAAACAAACAATAAGCAAGTCTTGTAGCTAATGAATTTGGGGGTGGTGGGGGGGGGGGGGAAGTAGGGAAGTACTGATAATAACAATCAACACCAGAACCTCACCAACACAACTCCTCAATATCCTTCAATTGTCTTTAGGAAATTGCAGTTGCACTATTTTTGTTAAGTCACATACACTTACATATATCCGCAATCTACTCAAAAGCATGCATTACATCATCATCATCGACTTCTAAATAAATGAAAACAGAGTGAGAAATGTGTGTGTGTATAAAGAAAAGGAACACAAAAAACAAAAAACAAAAAACAAAAAAAATAGGGGGGGGGGAGGCGAGTTTACAATTGAAAGCTTACTAGTGTGCTACCATATTCACACTTTGAACCTCAACGCAGTCTGGTGGCAAGTGAAGTTTTGACTTTTTGTTTACGTTGTACAACAAGGTAAAATAGAGTAGTTTCTTCCTTGCAATGTAAGAGATGAGAGATGCATTGTAGATCACAGATATACCTTGAGTAGCAAAGTTCGTTGTGTCTATTTATTTTTTTTGCAACAAATTTGCTTGAAACTATGTTGCATCTGGAAAAGATGCTGTTTCGAAAATCAACACTATTGACAGGCGAGTCTTTTTGCCACAGGGTTGAGGATTGGATTGCCACTTGATCTGCTATCGAAAGCATACTCGCGGTCAGTTCCAAAACACTTTTCATTTGTTTTCAGTACACTTTTGTACCAAACCAACGCTATACCACCAAGTCCATGGATATCGAGCCAATTGATAGCCTCCTTAATGTTTCCCTTCGCTCTTCATCTTATCCTTCACACATATAGGATCACTAATAGTGATAATTCCCTTTGTTATTTATTCTCCTTAGCCCTTCTCTCTCTATTTTTGCAACCAAACTTATGTTCTTTAGTCGTACTGCATATAACTTTTAATGGCTGATTTACACCAGAAAATTGTCATTCATACAGAATCTAATCGAATGAAACCAGTGGCAATATTGAACCCAAATCCCCAGATTGTATACCTACCATCAACACACCAATGACAACACTCGACGCATTAATAAACAAAGCTACTGATGCAACACTCACTTCAGATAACTGGCAGTACATTCTTGATGTGTGCGATAAGATATCTTCCAACCCTGAATTGGAAACTAGTAGAGCGGTCAACTTGCTAAAGACAAAAATCACATCCACAAAGGATGCCAATACTATATTAAGATCCCTATCATTATTGGTTGCCATTGCTGAAAATTGTGGATCTCGTATGAAGCAGGAAATTGCTAGTAAATCTTTTCTTGAAGATTGCCTAATCAAGAAATTACTGGATAAGAAGCTACACATTACAGTCAAGTATAGAATAATTGAAGTTCTCGAACAATTGAATAGAAGCTTTAAGTCAGATCCATCGTTGAAACCAATGAATGATGCATATAACAAAGTGAAAACAGAGTATCCTCAGTATATCAAAGCTCAACAGGGTCCTAGTAAGCCAGCAAAGCAGGAAAGGACACAACAGGATAAAAACAAGGAAGATGAAGAATTACAAAGGGTATTGAAATTGTCATTACAGGAATACGAAAATGAGCAGAACTTGAAGAAACAGTATTTGAACAATAAGCCCTTGCCTGAGTCGCAACCACAACCACAACAACAACCACAGCCACAACCGGAGCAACAACGGGCAGCATCCCCAGCTGGATCAGATGCTGAGCAAACAGTTGCAACCGTATCAAAAGTTAGGGCGTTGTACGATTTGATATCGTATGAAGAAGATGAGCTTTCTTTCAGAAAAGGTGACGTGATTACCGTCATTGAATCGGTTTATAGAGATTGGTGGAGAGGGTCTTTACCAAATGGTAAAATTGGCATTTTCCCTTTAAACTATGTCACCCCAATTGTCAATAAAACCCCTCAAGAGTTGGCACGAGAAAACGAAATGGAGAACAGGTTGTTAAACGTTGATCAAAAACAAATTGACCGGTTATTGGCTGTATTGTCGACTAATGACATATCACAAATAAACGAGGATGAAGTTACTGAATTATACAACAATGTCATATCATCACGAATTCAATTGGGCAGTCTCATAGATAAATATAGTGTTCGTCAAGAAGAATTGGGTGTGTTGAATACCCAATTGAATACCGAGGTCAAGTCATACAATGAGTTATTAGATAAGCTGATAAATAACAGGTCAAAACAAGGCAACACTGGTTCCTACAACCAGCTTCCATACCCTACTGTATCACATGCAGTGCCACAAATTGTCCAACAACAACAATCACAACCACCACCACCACCACAAACCACTGGACCTCAATCTCGGTATCAAAGACCAGTTCAAACTCCGGGCCCTCAATCTCATTACCAGCAGCATCAGCAACAACCACAACAAGCAACAGGTCCGCAGTCTCAGTACTACCACCCACAAGCAGCACATCCATCATTGCAACAACCTACGGGACAACCACAACCAGCTGGTACGCAGCAACAGCAATATCACCAGCAAGCACCAGAGTCTCAGTCGCAGTCGCAGTCTCAGCCCCAGCTCCAATTCCAACAACAACAACAACCACCTTCACATCCGCTGTATCAGCAAAGTACAGGCTATAATGCTCAATACAGTGGCGGGCAACAATATCCTCCCTACGCTAACCCACAACATATTAACCAACAAAACACTAGCGCTGGATTTGGTAACTCTGGGTACTAACGTAGTAGTTTTATAGTAGTCCATACACGTTGCCTCTTTATTATTTCACATATTGCGTAGATTTGAGATACTTTGGTGCTCTCGTGGAAGATTCATCAAACTTCGTGGAGTGGGGGGCATTGGTCACAACAGCAAAAAAAAAATTACACCCAGCAAAACACCGCATACAACCGCAACAACTCCATCCACCAAAAGTTTACCAAAACAACCCAGTAGCACTACTACAGCAACTCCAACATGAGCAGTAACCTATATTCACATAGAGAACAACAAAACAATCAAAAATTCGAACAACTAGCCAACACATTACATCAATTTAGAACCACCGTCAATAACGACATTCATGATTCAATACAACAAGAACTGGGATTATTACATCAATTAAATGACAATTTTTCAAGTTTGATGCAGCTGGTTAAGAGTACACTGAGTAATTTGACCAACGTTATGAATCGAAATGCTGGGTTGACGAGAATTGTCGGGATTATATTGTTGGGGTTTTTTGTGATTTGGATGTTGTTTAAGTTGTTTTAAAAAGGGGAGAAAAGGAGGAGGAGGAGGAGGTGTTGGTCCTTGATTGAGAGCGAGAGAGGGAGAGAGGACGAGAGGGAGTTATACCGGGCATGGTCTATTTGCTGACCTGAAAGTTGGCAGCATGATTGTATTTATGAAACAAAAAGGTTTACTTTTTGTTAACTACATCTGATCCTAATCTATAGTTTCCAATAGCACTACCCCAATTGATCTTGGATCTAGTCACAGGCAACAATCTTCTCAAATTCTTGAATGATTGTTGATTTAAATGTTGGAACTGATTAATCAATTTCAATTCAATGGCATTATCAGCTTGATTGATGAAATTGACAACATCACTAGCATTGGAAACCGAGCCACTAATTTCACCACCGCCATCACCAACACTCGAACTCGATACCCCTGATTCGTTATATTTCAAACGAACATTTCCATCTTCAAAATAATGAATGTCTAAATTGATTGAACCAGTGATTTGGCCATTATTGACAGCATATTGACTATGCCATTTCCCCGTGTAGAAATTATCTTGATTCAACTTTTCACCAATTATAACTACTGTATATACTTTTTCCGATTCAGGAATGATTGTAAATGTATAATCTTGGAAATTGTCTTCACCATATTGTTGCAATTTATCAACCAAGCTGGAATCCACTGAAACATCAGGAGTATATGATTCGACATCAATTATTTCTTGCTTACTTATATCAAAAGTGAATTTCTCTTGTTTGATATGATCAATAAATTTCGATGAATGAAGGTCTTTGTTTAATGAGCTGATGATGTAGTCAGATATGACAATTGGTTGTGATTTGATATATTCAGATATAGCATCGTCAATAGTTGATTTGGATGCACCGGATATTGTCTTCAAAGAGCTGATAACTTGAGGTAACTCGGACGATGGTGCACTTTGAATCAATGAAGTAACCAATTCTTCAAATTTAACGGACATTGTGGACCGTAAGAGAGAGAGAGTGTGTGGGTGTTTGTGGATCCAGAATCACGTTGCTGGTGTTGCACCGAAAGTTTGTTGGATTTGATCGTCACTGACAGAGATTCGCACCAAAAAGAGCAACAAACGCCGCACACAATAATCCTTCTCTACATTCATTTGAGAACAATCCCGCTCTTATCCCTTTATTGACAATATGCTATTTTGCTGTAAACATAATCACGACTCCAACCTCATGACAATAAAAATGCACCAGCTCCTTCTTTAACTGCTTGCAACAACTTCTCCTTCATCACATCCCTACTGGAATACTTTGGTATCTTTAAATAATTAGCACAAGTCATAACACTAGGCAAATAATCGTCATCCTTCAACCCATCTTCAGCATGTTTTCGGACAACCGTCAATTCCGGCCGCAATGCCTTGAATCCACCAATGGGCAATTTGGGAGATCCAGTAAGAAACTGCAAAAATTGCCTCTTTTCTTCCAAATTGAAATCAATTAAAATCTGAATCAAATCTTTAATCTCTGGCGAATCTTTGCTATATCCATGATTAGCCACAATTGCCGAAGACAACGCATCATATGACCAGTCTTCTTCACAGTTACCAAACAACTCAACCAACTCTTGTGGAGAAAATATTACCAATGAAGTTATGGGGAATACTTTGGAAAATCCATCCATAAAAGCTTTGGCTTGATGAACAACACCAGTAAACAATGTATGCTCAAGAACTTTGGTAATGTAAAGATCTAAATTACCTGCTTGAACCAATGTATCGCTACCGTTGGGTATCAATTCGTATTTAGGGTAACCTGGTAATTCAAAATATATCCCCAAATCACCAAGTTTGGCGCCATCAATTTCAACAAAATCTCTTTGTTCTGGAGCAACAGTTTCAAAACCCCTGGCATATTTTTGCAAATGCAGTAATGACTTGGCCAACTCGGGATCAACCATTCTCAAATTTTGTAAAGAAACAATCTTTTTCATTAGTTTTTGATTCATTGGTTGTAATTGTGAAGATGAGTTCTTTTGATTGAAAAATTGCACCAATTTGAGAAATACGGGGTTGAAATTGAAATCAATGATTCTTGAATCCAACAAAGCCCGGGCGATAAACTTACCCAATGATGAAAAGAAATACAAAATCTTTTTCCCGTTTTCATTATTAACTTGCTGCTTATCCATTGGTGATGGAAACAAACCATGCTTATTCTCAACATACCCTTCGGCGTCACCATCATATCTGTCCTCATCCCTCCATAGCTTCAATTTGCGTTTCGAAAACTCTTTGGACACTGTTGAGTAAAACTCCAAAGTTGGTCCTAATCCCGATCCAACTTCATCAAAGTATTCAATTTCCAAAATACCGGGAGTGGAACCATACATACCCAATACTTTTAATGCACTTTGCAACATCATCTTTCTCGATATTCTAACCTTGTGTCTGTTTGGTCTACCCAATTGCGGTCTTTGGTTATATGCAGAATTAGTATTTGAGGTATCACTACCTCGACCGTCCTCGTAATCTTGGTTTGTCCTCAATTGCCATTGATGAATCAAACGTGAATAGCCAAACGAAGTAGACTGAAAAAAGAATATCCTCGTTGCCAATGGGAATATGAATGGAAATTGCTTTGTCAAGTTTATGCTCCATCCAGGTAATGTACCGCTAGCCACAACCAAAGGCTCTTCCAATTGTCTATTCAATTTTGCTGTTAATTTCCAATTGATGAATTCTTTAACCGGAACACTGGGTTTACCACTATGATGAACAAATGTATTCATTTTGAACAATACTTTTAATAGCTGCAAAACACCAATCGTAGTTTTATCGTAAATTGCCAACTCAGTATCGTCAACAGTGGTATTGTAGTTTTTGAACACACTCTCACTGCTCACTTCGGTACTGACTTTTCTGAAGGTTACTTGGTGAACTCCATTCCAAATTTTCTTGGGATCAACTATTTCATCTGGCTTCGATTGAGCTGCTCTATAAATAGCTCCATATATTGTTGTTTCAACGGGAATGACTTCCCCATTAATCAAAAATTCCAAGCTATAGTCTGACTTTTTGCCGTCATCTTCATTACCTATACTTCGATTGGAACCCATACTTGATAATTGTTCCATAAATTGTAGCCTCAGTTTTAAGAATGAAAGGATTGATTTAAATGTAGCAATTGCGTGGACAGACACAACTGTGTTTTGCAAGCTAGTGGGCATCTTGACATCGCCCAGATCACCCTCCAAGTTCAATTTCAATTTAATTTGATTCGCCATTAAGGTAGCTTGATGTTGATCACGAGACGATGCTGAGTGATGATTATGACCTCCAGCTGCCACAATCTCAAAAGATTCTGACCTTGTTAAAGCTTCAAGCAATTGATGCACGAGCAACTTTGCATCTGCACAGCTGTCATTAAAAAACGAGTGGATGAACGCACGATAACATGGATTAGATTCAAAAACGTGTTCTGAATCATTCTGTGCCAACAAGGTTGTTAGTTGTGTAAAAACACCGGTAGAAATGAGCTCGAAACTGGAAACGTGAACCTTAGAAGATCCTCCCTTTAAAGCAAACTTGAATTGTTCCCAGACCTGTAGCCATTGGTCGTAACTGAATGATTTGGTAGCCTTTGTATCGGATAAGATGTCCTTGATATGATGTAATATGTGCATGTGTTCGGAAAGCTCACTGCTTTGAGACATCTTCTCTTCATTGTATGCCTTGTGAATTTCAGAAACTGCCAATTTTATCCTGAAATAAACATCCCTCATCGAAGTTCTATATTCGTACTCTTTAGTAAACTCGACGTCGATGTATTTATTTGCAAATGAGGTCAGAAAATGATTTTGCGAAGATCGTGACCTAGATCTTCTCCTTAAAAACGAGGAGCTTTTTAATATAGAAGCAACGTCATTCATCAATCCCTCTCTTTCAAAAGGTTGTAAGAATACGCCTGGCGCTTTTTGCAACAATACATTTAATATCTCCAATGCACTTAATATCAACATGGTTGAGTTGAGACTCTTGAGGTCATCTGCCCGGTTAGTGATGGGAAAGTCGTCTTCATGCTCGTCTTCACCATCATCTTCATCATCATCTTCATCATCATCATCGTCATCATTGTCATCATCGTTATCATCGTCATCATCGTCATCATCGTCATCCTCTTCATCCTCCTCTTCAGGGTCATGGCTCTCTTCATCCATCTCTTCATCGCTTTCATCATTGTTTCTTTCGTCACTGGAAAGATGGTCATGAGCATCATCGAAATCTTCAAAGTCACTGGTTCGCATGTCTACATCCTCATCTTGCTTTCTGGACTCTGACAACTTCTTTAATCCTTGCAAAACTTGTGGCAGGTATTGATTGACAACAGAAGCTAATAATCCAGAAACAAGCTCATGATGCTTAATTTGCCCCAACCGAGATGCATCCATGGAATTGACGATTCTGTACAAAACAATGAACCCTCTTCGCCTAATGTCGACATCTGTTGTTGCTTGAATACTGTAAATCAGCAATGTCCAAATTTCGTTGATAAATTTCCAATAATCATCAGGAATAATCTCATTGCACAATTCTTCTCTTTTATTGTTAACACACACTCTCTCCTCGTAATCTTCGAAATCCGGTTTCAAGTAAAGCGCTTTTCTTGGTGTATAATTTATTGGTACCAAGTACCCTATCAAAGTCAAAAACTGTGACACCAACTCTTTGGGAGCAGCTAACAACGCCTCAATCGAGATTTCAACGTCATCACCTTTCAAGGAATCACCGTTTTCCCCACGCCTTGCTCTCGCAAACTTATTCAACGATTTTACAATTATTGACCCAATGTCACAATCACTCAATAGAATCTTGGACACTTCAATGCTGACACTCGACAAGATGATCAATGACTTGATCAAGCTTAGGCACGAGCTAAAAGACAACGCAACATGTTCAGACTCTGCACTGGTATTCAGCGATTTGTTACAACTGACTAAGATTACATTGACAAACTCTTTAAAGAATAACTCCTTGCCCGTAAAGAGCTCATTCAAATACTCTGGCTTATTCTTAAAGCATTCAATGATTCTTGCGATTGTGATCCATGCATTTTCAACAACGTTTTGGTCATTATGTGCTCTAACAACTTCGGTTATGCCGTTGAAAGCCTCCTTGATTTTGTTGAAATTCGACACGGAGATATTGGTGCACGAATTCGACACAATACTAAGACATTTCCGTTGGGCATGGACTGTTAGGAAATCAAGGTATTGCAAACAAGCAGTTAACCCATTGTTTAAAATAATACTGTTATGTGATATGGGATCTCTGGAAATCATTTCAAGCGTCTGTAATGCTTGCTCCGTAAGATCGATATACTTTATTTCTAAAAGCTTATTGCATAATGCTTGTACGGCGTTGTTGTTCAATGCATCGTGAATAAAATCCTGATTGACTTCCAAAAAGTTATACAAACAACGACAGGCAACAAGGTGCAACTCCAATTCATCCTCTAATGCTGGGTCCTCCATTATATTCACAAGACTCTTGGCTAATCTGTTGGATGGAATCAAACGCTCAGCAGTTAATCCATTCATCATGAGCAAATTTTCCGAGATTTGGTTCAATGATTCAAGAATAATAAAAGTGTCTCCCCTTTGCTCCAAATTGTTGATGAGTGCGCCAATATTTTCACCATCTTGTGAACCACCACTACCACCAAACATAATACCACCTCCCATTAATCTTTGCATGACGTCAACAAACCCCGCGGGGGCATCTCTGTCGGTACCACTCCTACTCCCTCCGGCGGCGGTTTCATTTGGTGCCTCACTTCCTCTTGCTCCCGACAAAGCACCAATTGCACGAAGGAACTCAGCACGGGTATCATCTAAATCCCCCTCTGCTCTTTGTTCCTCATTGGAGCTACTGCTATCACGATTGATGTTTCTGTCGTCACCAGATCCAGAATTGATCTCTGCTACCCTTCTAGCTTGCATAAGTTGACGAAGAAAATCGGCAGTTTCTAGCATTTCCAATTCATCCTCTTCATTTCGTTCGTTATCACTTCGGCCAAATGACTCTTCTTCGCCATCGTCGTCGTCGTCGTCTTCTTCGTCTTCGTCTTCTTCTTCAATAATCGGATCATTGTGAAAGTCTTCATTTTCGTCTATTTCACTACCGCTATCAGCTGCTGTAACAACAGGTTCCAGTGGTTCAAGAGGCTCCTCGTTGACAAGTTGCAGTTGACTCAACTTCCTATGTTGTGCTTGTTGTGAAAGTCTCAAAAGTGAATCATCTTCGTCAGAAAGTTGAGAATCATCAGAATCATTGGGTAATGCAAGTCGAGATTTGTAATCTCTGGCGTTGTTTTGATTGTTAGAAGCCCTGTTAGATGTATGTTCACTGGACATTCTTTACACCGCGTGATGGTTTAATTGTGGATGTGTCTTTGAGTATTGTACGGTGTCGCTTAAAAACCAAATGCAAATATTATCTTTGAACAATATAAACTGTGTTATTAATGGACCCCTTTCAATGCTAATTGGAGTATAAAAAGTGCTGTAAATGCGACAAACTTGTATTTGGTAAAAAGATCTAATCAAGGTTTCCACTTTGACTTTGCTTGCAAGTTCCTTGATGCACAATGTAAATACTGCTATTGTTTTTTGGTTGGATTTTTTATACACTTATCTTTGAAAATGTGTGGCAAAAAAAAATTAAAGTGTAAAGGATTGTTTGATTTTGAAGTAAAGCTTGTGAGAGAAACAAAGGGAAAGGGAGAGAGAGAGAGAGAGATAGACCTATTTACAGCTGTCGCATCAATTGGACTTTTTACGAATTTTACCTTTTTTATGACATCACGTGCCCAAAGTTAAGGAAAACCAGACAATTCATTGCGATTCCATATAAGGTTAAGATCTATATATATAGACTTGTCAATAATGCAGAGGTACCATACTGTGTCTCAGTCGATTCAACCCTTCGCGAAGCAATTAAGCCATTCTACTAGCACATTTTGTTTATATAGATTACCCAATTATGAGATTGTACATATGTCGCAAAGATTTGTAAACAGTCAATTAATTCGCGACACAGTTGTTTTAATTCCCTTGTTTTTGCGTTCTTGTGTATTGAGATGAGGTTGTAAGAGTCTTTACCCAAATATCTCATCACTGATAAAGCAATGGCAAATCCAAATAAAAATCGCCCAAGCACTGGCAAGAATAAGGAACCAAACGATATCAAACCGGTCACTGAGGACTCGAGGTTCAAATCGGTTCATAATGATCCCAGATTCAAATTTCCAAATTTCAAGAATTTAAAAGTCAAGGTAGATGATAGATTCAGCAAAAAGGAATTGAAAAAGCTTACCGGAAGCAAAGTCAAGATTGACAGGTATGGAAGAAAGCTTGAAGAAAAAGATCAAGAACTTAACAAGTACTATGAATATGGCGACGAAAGCTCAAGCCAGGAAAGTGAGGAAGAGCACCTGGGAGAGGAGCTGGACGAGGAGGAGGATGATGTGGAAGCTTTGAGTCGCAGAATTCGAGGCGAAGAGGAAGAGTTGGATAGAGCAAGAGGTAAAGGTCTTGCTAGTTCCTCATCTGAGCTGTCATCTGATGATTCTTCATCAGATAGTGAACTGGAGTTAGAGGAAGTGGAGAGCGAGTCTGAGATTGAGTTGGAAGAAAATGCACCAGGAGAAGCAGACCCAACCTCATCCTTTGCTGTTGTCAACATGGACTGGGACAACTTGAGAGCAGAAGATTTGATGGCCACATTCTTGTCGTTTGTACCAAAAGGTGGAAATATCCAATCGGTTAAAATCTACCCTTCAGAGTTTGGAAAAGAGAGGATGCAGAAGGAAGAAATAGAAGGACCACCAAGGGAATTGTTCAAAAAAAAGGGTAAGAAGATGGAAGAGTCGGATTCAGAGTCAGATTTAGATTCCGATGTTGACATCCAAGATCCTAAAGAATTGGAAAGGGTTACACGTAAATTGTACGAGCAGGATGATGGAAAAGAGGATTACGACAGCAAGGCTTTACGTCGATATCAACTCCAGCGATTAAGATATTATTACGCCATCGTGAAGTGTGACTCTGTTCAAACGGCGAAAAATATATATGAAAACGTTGATGGTACGGAATACGAATCAACAGCAAACGTTTTTGACTTGCGATATGTACCAGAGGATATGGAGTTTGATGAAAATGATGCGAAAGACGAGTGCTTCAAGGTATCACCAAATTACAAGCCTGAATCCAGATTTGTGACTGATGCATTGCAGCACTCCAAAGTGAAATTAACATGGGATGAGACTCCAAAGGAACGGCTCACGTTATCTTCAAGACCACTTTCTCAGAAGGAAATAGAGGCAAATGATTTCAAGGCATACTTGGCTAGTGATTCAGATGAAGATGACGAATTAGAAAAGAATGGTGATGGATTTGATTTGAAGTCCAAATATCAAAGCTTGTTGGGGAAAACTTTCAAAAAGGGTAGAGACTCGGGTGACGAAAGCGACGACGTGGATATGGAAATAACATTTGACCCAGGTTTAAAAGACGCATCAGAAAAGGAAGCAGTGGAAGCAAACTCTGAGAAAACAACCATCGAAGCTTACAAGATGAAAGAGAAAGAGAGACGTCAAAAGAGACTCAACAAATTCAAGGAAAGTAAATTGAAAACGGAACCAGATGAAGAGGAGACAAGCAATGCTTCAAAGAAGAAAAGCAAGGGTCGTCGTGGTAAACAAGCTGATAATGTATCTGAAAAGGAAAAGGCCGAATTGGAGTTGGTGCTCATGGATAATGATCAGAAGCATGAACATTTTAGCATGAGGGACGTGCTCAAGAATGAAAAGTCAAAGAAGAACAAAAAATCAAAAAAGAAGAACATTGATCAAGAAATGGTTCAAGACAACTTTGAAGCAAACTTGAATGATCCTAGATTCGATGAAGTTTTTGAAAGTCATGACTTTGCGATAGATCCAACCAGTAGTGAGTTCAAGAAAACTGAGACAATGAAAAAAATTTTGAAAGAAAGATCTGCCAGAAACAAAAATGGAAACAGCAGAAGTCATGATAGAGACAACAAAAAACGTAAAATCAAGGATAATGACTATGATAATGCAAAATCAATTGCAAAGAAATTGAAAAGTAAAGTGAAATAGTTCTCGTGTTAAAAAAGGCAATAGTAACTAACGGTTAACCATTTACATGTGTTGCGCAGACATTAGAGTAACTCTGGAACCAATTATATTCTAAACTCTTGTTTATACAAAATTACCTAGTCTAGGAGTGACTTTATCGATTGTAGCTACCGTGATTACCAACTAAACCTGCCATTTCTAAAAATGCTCTTTCTTCACCCATACTTCGTACATTCACACTTTGCCTAGCATTGGCTTGCTTTTCCTCCCACTCCCATTGCTTTCTTTGTTCATCTAATTCTTTCATTGAGCCAATACCCCATACTTCGAGATCAGTGATGGTGAACCTATCCTCAAAATTCTCATTGGCGAGCTGGACCTGAGTTGATGGTTTAAAGAAGTTGGTGGCATTGTTTTTCAGCTGGACCAAATGTCTAAATACAGCAAACTCTAAATTGGCCTCTATAGTCAAGGAGACATCTCCTGGGTAGTATCTTTGATGACCATTTTTGTTTAATGGTTGCAAATTACCAAACCCCAAACCCATCCCCTGGTTATTGAAGTATATCAGCTTTCCTTTCGTCACATCACTATGAATACTTTTGTAGCAATCAGCACGAGGAGTCATCGATAAAATTACTGTAGATGTATCTCCAAAATTCTTCTTGTTAGAGCTTTGCCAAGGTTCTTTAATCACAACGCAATAAGTAATTCTGTCATTGTCATTCTGCCATGGTCGTAAATGATTCTCTTGCTTTAAAAAGTACCTTGGATATGCTTCATCAAAGTTCTGATAACGTCTGTTGGTTTCCATTGTTTTTTGCTTGATTCTTTTTCCACTAACAATTAAGAAAGTGGGAGCCTGCCATTTGAAGATCTTGGTTTCTAAAGAACGGATCGAGAAGCCAGACTCTGACCCAGCGTACAATTTTACTGCATTTTCTGTCGTTACTTGCAAATCACTCCCAATTCCTTTTAACACAGAAGATATATAAGCGAGCGTTGCTACTGATACAAGTTTGGTAGGCTTAAACTGGATCCCCTTTTGCAATAGCTCACTAGAATGTGCTTCATCATTTACAAGTGTCGATGAAGTAAAAAGTTCTGTCGACAACCTCTGTAAACTATTTTGATAGAAGTTGGGCAAAAGATCCAAAACACCCTTTGAGAACTGATCAAAAAGAATTGACTCCTCATTCAATTTACTTGCCAGCAAGTTGACATCAATGAACCTCAAAATTGATGTCGCATATACTTCAAACTCGTTCCATTGTTTGAGTCGTGAAATGAATTGTGCCCCCATTGACCCTCGTTTTTGCAATTGGGTGGAACTGGCAATGAGTAACATGGTATTAGTTTCAACGAAGCTCTTCGCATCTAGTTGCAACAGATCAGAATCTATGTCTTTCAATGAACAAAAAGGGGCATTTTTCCAATCCACTTTCTTCGCTCTAAGGCTTATCTCATCAGACTCTTCAAAAGGAAGTAACAAAGGCACCTCCAATGCGACATCCCCCTTGTCATCAACAACTTGTTTTATTCGTGATTCTGATAAAGACGCAAACCATAATTTCAAAAAATCAAAATCCTGACTCAACACTTTATTATATCTCCCCAGCATGAAAACGAATGCAATGACAAATTCTTGAATTGTCAAGTATTCACTCGCTTCTTTGTCATCCATCAAAAACGGAAACTTGCCCAAACCCTTCATCATTAGAAAAAGAACATCATCCATTAGTTCATTCCATAGTTCAAGCGATATACCCTTTCCGAAACTCAATTTGGTTTTCAAGTCAGCTTTCGATATGGTTGTTTTATCGTTTTCATCTATTACGAATCTAACAAACGCAAGTTCCAGCGGTTTTAGCACTTGCAAGCATCTTGTGTAGAAAAGATTGTAGACGTCAGCTTTGGTAAGGGTAATCAGAAGCCCGCCATTGGGGTCATTTGCCCGGTTTGTACTTGGTGTTTGTCCCATTGAGCAACAATGATTAAAATGCGTAGCAAAGATCGGGGGTTGGGCGGAGATTATTTTTCTCCGATCCCTATTTTTCTTCTCCCCAGATTTTGTCTCATAAGAAGTTACTCCGGGTCCTAAGGTGTTTCTTGGTCAACTACGCTTTTGACGTGTATAGAACGATGGTTATTGAAAATTCGTAGCCTCTTATGGAGTGTTAATTGAAACTGTTTATGGGTGTAGCTGCGTATATTAGTTAGAGGTGCATAGATTAGCATGGTCATTATTTTGCTTCCCACAAAGTTATAAAGCAGCTTCCTTAAACCTTTGCCTCTTGAATATGTTAGAGTATCCTGAAACAAATCCTTAGAAGAAACCTGGAGAGATTTTCCAGGGTGGTTTCATATGAGTACAACTCCTCAGAATGTACAGGATAAAAAATCGTTGAATCTCTGAAAAGTTTTACGTTATGAACTTTGATGACTGCTACAAACGTTATTTGTTCCCGTATCTTTTATCGATTCTAAAAGATCAGGGTGTCATGAGTTAGTGGAGTAGTTAATATAATGAACAAACAACATCATGTCTATCAAAAGAGCAGGCTGTAGTGCTTCCATTTACTCAATACCACACTATTCATACGCGTGTTAGAACAAATTTTGCACAAACATAACCATTCATTGCTCAAAATTCCTTCACTGGTCCTCTATATTCAGAATGAATCCTTATGAACAACTATTCACGTCAATTCAACAACTCATCGAGGAACTCCTTTGCTCGAACTTCCAAATCAAGTATGACTTTCTTGAATTCACCATAGAGCCCAGTTGAGTTTAAAATTGCGTTTTCTTCAGAGTCGGCATCAACAGTATCACTTGATCCATCTCTATAGCGTCGTTCCATCGAATTTTTCTTCAACAACGCTTTTGTAAAGCTTACCATGACTAATGAAAAGTAAATCCTGACAAAACACATTGTTATGGTTGTAGCAAATATAAAAAACAACTCTCTACCGGCTGAAGCAGACTGAGAGGATAAATCAGCTCCTTCGTCACTTGAATCCGTTTTCCTTTTCATCAACGCATCACCACTGGCATCTTCACCACTTGCATCCTCTGAGTTGAACCAAAAAAAGACAAAATAAATTGTGTAGAAGGTTCCTATAATAGTGTCAATGAGATAGACAACCGTGGCTAAGGATATTTTTCGCAAATTTCGTGACTTGTGTCTCAAATTTATCAAAGCCGTGGCGTATATTGGCAACATGATAAGAGCCAAAGAATTGTAAAGCCACTGCCAAAAGTCTATAGGATGGCCCGTAAACAATGATAGAATACCATATAAACCACCGGCTTTATTGAGAATTGTGATTCCAAGGATGACCTCAACGCCAATAAACAATGGGACGAATCCCAAAAATTTCTTGCAAGTTAGTACATTACCGTTTGTGAACTTAATTTTTTGGAACATACTTGCGGTAACAATCGTTGTAGACTGGATGGAATTGCCATATTTAGCTTGAAACGATCACAGACACTTTCAATGTGTTCCAATTTTTTTTATTTTATTTTTCTTTTTTCCATTGATTCAACCTCGCAACAAGTGATAGAAAAAGCTTCTCATCGCATTTGCAACTACAATCGATGAGTGCCGAAGAGATAGAGTCGAAGTTGGGCCAGTTGGATTTTTCTGATCTGGAGATAGACAGTGATACTGATTCTGATAGTGGAGATGATAATGAGCAATCTACTCTGAGTCAGGCCAGTAAACCGTTAGCTTCTAAACCATTGGAGAAGGAGGATATTGTTACCAAGTATGCCGATAAAATAAAGACTGAGCCATTCAAAAAGGGGCCACAAGTTACAAAAGATAGATCAAAGAGGGCAACTGTTGAGCAAGTTTTGGATGCTAGAACATTACGATTTTTGGGTAAAATTTTTCGTTCTGGTCTTATAACTAGAATCAATGGCTGCATAAGCACTGGGAAGGAAGCAAACATTTACCATGGAACTCATGATGACGAAGGTGTTACAGAAGAGTTTGCCGTGAAAATATATAAAACTTCAATTTTGGTTTTTAAGGACAGAAAGAGGTATGTCGACGGAGAATTTAGATTTAGAAATACCAAAGATCAAGGAAATCCAAGAAAAATGGTTAAAATTTGGGCTGAAAAGGAATTTAGAAATTTGAACAGGATTTACCAAAGCAACGTGCCCTGTCCCAGGCCGTACGTCATTAAATCGCATGTGTTGGTGATGCAGTATTTAACTGAAGGTGATGATCAACCATCTCCTAAATTGAAGGACTATTCATTCAAAAATATTGAAGACATTATCAAATATTATCGAGAAATGCTTATTTGCATGAGGCGGTTGTTTCAAAACTGTCGATTAGTTCATGCGGATTTAAGTGAATACAACTCTATTGTGCACAAGGACAAATTGTACATTATTGATGTTTCACAGTCGGTAGAGCCCGACCATCCCATGGCTCTTGATTTCTTACGAATGGATATCAAAAATGTAAACGATTATTTTGCGAGACAAAATATTGACATATATCCGGAGAAAGCAATATTCACGTTTGTTACTGAACCTTTGGGTATTGAGGATATAGAACAAGCTTTGAATTCTTACTTAGATTCAACTCCTTTAAAGACGACAAAGGATCAAGAAATTGAGGATGAAATCTTCAGATCCTTGCACTTGGTTAGATCCCTAAAGCATTTGGACGAAAGAGATTTTCAAAAGTTTTCAGAAGGAGGTGTTGACACAATGAGGGAATTGGTTGCACCCGCCCTACCGTCTGAGGAGACAACCGCAGCCAATGGCGACGACTATGATGAGGCGCAAGATGAAGAGACAAACGAAACCGAAACCGAAACCGACAAAGGCTCTGAAGAGGATTATAGTGATGATGACGAGGACGAGGATGAGGACCTGCTGGACGAGGACGAACACAACAAACCCAAGGGAAAGAAGTATGAGGACAAGGATGAAAAGAAGGCAAGAAAAGAAGCAGTGAAATTGGCTAAACAGGAAAAGAGAAAAACTAAAATGAAAAAGCACGTGAAGAAGAAGCTTATTAATAAGCGGAAAGGTAAGTAAAAGTTATCCCATATTGCTAAGTGATGGATGTGTAGAGATTGTATAATCGAAACGCGTATGAAAATGTCACGTGTAAGAAATCGACAACAAAAAAAAATTGATGAAAAAAAAAAGTGCCAAATCAGAGCAATACGTGTAAAATCACATTTCCTCCTTCCACGAAAACTTTCCTTCACATCACACATAATGCTCAGTTTGTCGAGGTTAATTGCTGTCTCTGTTGTATTACTTCAACTTACGAATGCTTTGCATTTCTATGTTCGCACAGGTGAAACCAAATGCTTTTTTGAAGAATTGCAAAGAGATACTTTGGTTGTTGGTAAGATTGACGCCTATGAAAAGGACGATCATTCAAACGAATACTCAAAGAATGGAAAATTAAGAGTACAAATCACAATTGTTGTATGTATATATCAAAAATGCTTTTTTGCGTTCAATTAATACTAACTATCTTAGGAAACATTTGACAACAATCATCAAGTCATTGATCAAAAGTCGTCACCTAATGGTGAATTCACGTTCACTTCTTTGGATTCTGGGGAACACAAGTTCTGTTTGACGCCAGTGTATTCCGATAACACTCACAATAAATTACATCGTATATTCTTTGATGTTGTCCAAGGGTCAACTCATGATTATGTTGATTCAAAATCCACCAAGCTGGTTGACGAATTAACAAAAAGAGTCAACACTTTGTACGAAAAGTTGGACAAGATCCATTGGGAACAGGAAACAATGAGAGAGAGGGAAGCTTTGTTTAGAGATCAAAGTGAATCTACAAACTCAAGAGTTGTAAAGTGGTCTATTGTCCAGTTGTTTGTTTTGATTGGTACATGTGTCTATCAATTGCGTCATTTGAAATCATTCTTTGTTAAGCAAAAGATTGTGTAAATTTGAGTAGGGCTAATTAAGTTTAGAAATAAAGCTGTATCAAAGTGTATTTTTTCAACAACATCAGCTCTTCGCGAACATTTATTTGGTGAATCTTTTCCAAACCCAGTGATGACACCAACAACAGAAGACGAACTACGTGATAAGATCCGCTTACTAGAACTCGAAAATGAAACGTTAAGACTGCTGAAGCGGACTTCCAACGTGTATTCAAAAGTCGACGAGTACTTCAGCCTTGACGAGTACAAGAGATATGGTCGGCAAATGATAGTGCCGCAGTTTGGGTCATTAGAGTCTCAAAAAAAGTTAAAGATGTCCAAGATTTTAGTTGTTGGTGCGGGCGGCCTAGGGTCTCCCGTATTGGAGTACTTATCGGCCGCTGGAGTGGGCGCAATAGGCATACTTGACGATGACATTGTCGATATGAGCAATCTCCATCGTCAAGTTATACATCAGACCACTACTGTGGGAACTCTTAAATGCGAATCAGCAAAAGCCTTCATCAGAAAGATCAATCCTCATGTGAACATTTTTACCCATCCCATGAGATTAAGCAATGACAATGCTTTTGAAATATTCAATCAATACGATTTGGTTCTTGATTGTACAGATCACCCTGCAGTAAGGTATCTCATTAATGACGTGTGTGTGCTTTTAGGGAAAACCATCGTGAGTGGGTCTGGCCTCAAAGCGGATGGACAATTTACAATATTGAATTTCAGAAATATTGGTCCTTGTTATCGATGTTTTTATCCCCAGGCACCAAGCCCAAGCACAGTAACATCTTGTGCAGATGGTGGGGTTATAGGTCCAGCAATTGGAATGGTTGGGATTGCGATGGCTATGGAAACGATAAAGGTTCTAACGGAATATTACAATGAAGAGAATTTCAAACCTTTTCTTTCGTCGTACTCAGCCTACCCCCATCAACAAATTAGGAATTTCAAAATGAGACCCAAACAGATCAATTGTATAGCTTGTGGAAAGAGGAGAGAGATAACCAAGGAGAAGATTGAGAATGGCGAGATTGATTATGTTGCATTTTGTGGGAAGGTTGCTTATGAGCCCTTGGATCAAAAGCATAGAGTGTCTGTAAAGGACTACCATGGCATACTAAATCTGGGCAAGGTTCACAAGTTGATTGATGTCAGACCAAAGGAACAGTACAACATCACCAAACTTCCCAATTCTGTAAACATTGAATGGGACCCCGTATTTAGAAAGCTCGAGTCGTTAGAGGAGTATCTACCCATTCAAAAATCGGATGACATTTATTTGATTTGCAGGTACGGCAATGATTCTCAATTAGCCACTAAAAAGTTACACGACCTAGGTTTTCAAAATGCGAAAAGTATAGACGGTGGGATTGACAAATGGTCAGAAGTAATTAACTCATCGATTCCTAAATACTAGCTTTTGAATTTGGGATCCAACCTTTCAATTAGTAGAATACCTGATGCCGTTCCAGCAGCATATACTGAACTACCAATTACATTTTCATTCCATGCGACGGAGCTAATCATGACTTGCAATGGCATATATGATGCTTGGATTGGGCTTTCAATGTCCATTTTCTCGTAATCGGCTGATATTGATATGGTGCTGGTTTCGTCCAAAGTGACTTTCCAGAGTTTTAATGGGACCATCACCTTATTTCCTCCTTTACTGGAAAAGAATTTTCTTGTATAGTTCATCAATATAACATCACCTGCATCTGTTCCGGTTAACATGAATGGATGACCCAAGATTTCCGATAGCTTGAACGTTGTCATATGACTATTCAACCTCAACATTGTCGAAGATGTATCTTGTAGCGATCGAAGACACAAGATATTGCTATTTTCGGGATTATGCGCAAGAAGCAAATCCTGTATGATGTAATTATACGTGGGCTTTATTGTCGACTTTTCTGATAATGGACAAAATACATCGACTAATGGATCCAGGGTTGAAAAAGCCATTCCTCTGTATGCCTGGCCATTGATGATATTCACATACTCGTTATCACAACTAATGGGCACAGATACAATGCTCGAAATCGGTCCATCCGACACAAATGTTTTGAAATTAGGCTGTGATATATTTCCATTTTGACGTAAAGGTAATTCAAACTCCATTATATACCCATCTGCACTTCCTGATAGTAGTTTGTCAGCACCGACAAATGAGAAACAAGTGAGATTGGACGAACCTTTGCTATTTGATCTGTATCTGCAAGACGGTTCCTCAACAACACCAAACTGGGGCAAAGTGTCGTCAACTCTTAGCAAGTGAATCTCCCCATTTTTGAGGACGCAACCTAGGATACCTATCACGGGACTGTTAGTGTAGATTGGGGCCCATTGGATATCTGTTATAGCTTCAAAGTTTGAAGTCACCAATACGTGCTTAAGGTGCAACTCATTCAAAAATGCGTTGTATTCCCATATTTGTATACAAGATTGGATATTCTTTTGGGGAACATTGTTGAAAACATTCAACTCTGGATTAGTAGCATTGACTTCTGAGAGTCCCTTTTCTCCACTGATGACCCCAATAGCTAAGTAGCTTGTACCGTCCTTTTTGTCCAACTTATCCAGTAGCCATTGCATAGATGTTATACATCCACCCACCCCAACGGCAAAAACATTTCGGTTTGTAAATTCATTCAACGCCGTGGGGTTTGGTCCCAAAGTGACGTCATGTGACGTTTTCCCCAAACTGACATGGACCAGGATATCAGAATCAAACCTAAATTTCACGTAATCAGAGTCCACTTCCTTGACTGTTAGTTCACCAATCATTAACTCTTCGGGAGGAATGTAGAGGTTCTCTCTTGACGCATCTTTGAATCGTTGTGCTAGGGACTCATCCAAGATAAACAACTTTTCACCCCAATGCGCTTTATACTGCTTTGCGATGTCGTAGAAACGCTCGTTATTACCATAGTTCAGCAAAAACTTTCCTCTAAAGTTCATTGCTTAATCCCATTGCATATACCAATGTATATTGTTTATATTTTGAACAGCGCGGAAAATTAAACTAAACAAGAATTGTGGTTACATGCTTGTGATGAAAAACCCGTAATGAATGATGCCTGATTTTAACAATGAAATACCAATGACAACAAGCCAAGCTGACGAACCTCATTCAACAAATGATCAAGAAAAACATAAAAAAAGGTCTTTTTTAGAAGATGATTTCTTTTCCTTGAGTAGTAGCTTTGACAAGAAAAAGAGGAAGCACAAGCACAAGAGCAGAGATGCAACACCTAACTCGTCTGATGCACCCTTGCAACCCATCAAGATTGAAGGCGCTCTACCTTCTAAACAAGTACCTAACTCTTGTGAAGCAAACACTGCAAACCAAATAAAGCTGGATTTTGTCCCCATACCTGAAGCTAACTCCATACCTACTACTACCACAGTCACTCGAGGGGTAATGGCACCGCCAATAATAGACAAAGAGCAAATTCTTCGCGAGATTGAGCAAAAAGTCAATGAGCGTGAAGCAAAATCATCGACTCCAGTGTTTGATGTTTCAGACGAGGAGGTGTTGGAGCTAGAGATTGTTAAGAGCTCTCCAAAGACAAAACCCACCAAGAAGTCGTCAGCAGAGGATCATGGCTACAAATTTTCCGAAGCTGATGAAAAGAAGAGACGTTACATTATTAAGATTACATCGAAGCTTCCGGCGCCTGTGGATGCTACCGTCGAGGTAGATCTTGGTTGTAAAGGTATGAAATCATTTAGCAAGATAATCAAATACGCAGTGGATTTTTACAAAAGCACCTACTCCAGTCAGTTGCCTCCGATATTACTTGATCGTTACGATGTTGAACTTTGCAGTTTAGTCTGGGTCGAGGGAAAGATGATTGTAAATTCCTTTTATACACCAAGAACGCTTAGAATTGCCCCACCGGGTGGAGAATTCAATGCTTTGGTTGACAAGGTGGAGACAATGCCACCAACAACTCTACACTTTTTTCTAATACCCAAGGACAATAGCGAGAATTTTATGAATGTTTACCCAGAACTAAGAGCCAGTGTAATTGAGCCAGAGATTAAAGAGACCGAGGAGACAACTATTGCGGAAGAACTTTCGCAATCTAGCAGTGAGGATGAAGAAGATGATATGGACGAGCCCAATTCCAAAGAAGATGAATTGGTAGATCTTGCTAATGACGAGGAAGGGGTTTTCTCGATAGGACTTAAAGGGAAAGATAATAAGCGGATTTCTTGTAAGGTGACTCCTCAAACCAAAATTGAGAGACTTTTAAAGTTTTATTTGAAGAAAAAGGGAATCGACGAATCTTCAATCAACTTGCCCTCCGTGAAAATGATTTTCGACGATGAAGAACTAGACCTTAATGACATTGTAGCAAACACCGAGTTGGAAGACGATTTCGAAATCCAGATAATTATATAGTGATTAGCTGGAAAGTCTTTATTATGTATACATATATGTAAAGAGAACAGTCGTAGACATTTTTTGAGACAATGTGTTAAACTGAGACTCAACCCATACACTTAATGCTCCTGATACCTCTCCACATGTCCAAGTCATACAAAACTGGAACTTCCGTTTACTGAAAACGCTTTTGCTGGCCCAAAACGCTGCAAAAACCGTGTCCGGTGGTGCTCGCTCAGAAAGCATCCGCTCGCGCCACAAATATATATAATATCACACACTGAGAAAACTTACAAACAATACAACATTTACCGCCACCTCCCTCGTTAATTGCATTATCGAAACAAGTCTTCTCGGAAAGAGCGGAACCACATCGCCGGCATTATGACACCTACCAACAATGCTGACAGTCGTTCCATAGAGCTACAAATATTGGAAAAAGTCAAAGAATCGTTTCCACTGATAGAAATCGATGAAGAAGCATTAATCAACTGGGAAGTGGAATTGTCAGAAAACATTGAGAACTACGGGATTGAGACAACAATTGCAAACATAGTGCATTATGATCTGGAGAATGTGATGCTACCTCTCAATCACGATATAGGGGCTTTGCTATCCTCGATATCCGAGACATTCCACGACGGAAATATGTTTGGCTGCATTGCCTTGGAGATAATACATTCCCTACTATCTCGAAGCCAAATTCTCCGAATAGAAAATCATAAGAACCTACCGATACTAGTTGAACAGTACATGAGTCTTTTGAAAAGCAATGGCAGTAATGCTTTGCTAGATTCGCTCAAGAAGTTAATCCTAATCTTGATGGAGCTCGGTTGTGACGTGAATACATTCCAAAATCTCGTCTCCCCGTTGTACACAGAAACGAATGGTTTGGTGTGTCAGGACTTGTTCGAACTCTTCAATCAAATTTTGGAGAAATATCCAACCCATTATCCATTCGTACTCACGAACCAGCAAATTAACTTTCCCATTTCAACTGCCATCAATAAATCATTCTCAATATACGGATGGATTAAATTAACTAACGCTAACAGTCTGAGCAATAATTTTTGCATTGCATCCTTATCAAGCTCAGATTCATCCACAAGCTCTGTTTTCTCACTTAGAATCCTCAACGGAAACCAGATAATGGTGGAGTTAAAAAATCCGGTAAATAAATCAAGGTCACAATTCACCTTCAACTACATCCTTAACGAAGCTTTCGATGAACCATTTCAACTTGTTTTAACATTTGATGAGAGAAGTAATCTCAATCTATACATTAATGGGGAGTATCACGAAAGCATTCCATGTGTGGGTCTTCACAAGGATAGTGTTAGCTGGAATAAGATCTCGATTGGTGAAACAAATTGCGGGTTAGTTGTCAGAAATATTACTTTGTGCAATGTGAGTCTAGCTTGTGAGTTGATTGAATGCTTATTTTGCATGGGACTTGGCACCAATTTTCGGCTTTCCACTTTGAACGAAGCAACTTTATCAAATTTAAAAGCACAACTATCGCACAATACTTTATTTGCTTTCACAAGGAAACAAATTGTTTCTAAACGTTTAGAAGGTAAATCAAGCAATCAAAAGGGGAGACCGACTCCAGCCAAATACAAACGTGATAAAAACGAATCAGAAGATTTGCGTATAACATTTATGCGCAAGTTACAGAAAGGAGTGCATCAGTGTGCTGTTAATGAACAGAATGTGCTTTTTGATAGCAATGATGTGTTCAGTGACATGTATCAAAGTATCAACCCAGGCGGCAACATCGTCTCAAAGATTATGTTTTGTAATCCAACTTCGTTACATCATCATTTTCATACACTTGGGGCATTGCCTCGGTTACTAGAGACTATGGAGGATGCTTGCAAATTGCACGACGAATCGTTGAGAGACTCCCTCATTTTGAGAACTTTATCGTTGTTGTTTAAACTTATCTCCAATGATTGGAGACTTTGCAAACATTTTGAAGAATTCAATGGCTATAACTTGCTAGGACTCGTACTTTTTCAATACAAAGCTGTCAATCCAAGTCTTACTTTCCACGTTGACGATGGAGCTTCGGAGCACAATGATGTTGAAAATTCTGGATGCCACAGCCAAAATTTATTAAATACATTGTTAGAATATTGTGGTTTTGATTTTGCTAACTCGACTAAATCTGTTATAATCGATTTCAATTGCTACAGAACGTTGATTTTGAATTTTGACTTGTTCTACCAAACAGACTCATTCAATTTTCTTCTTTCCCATGTGTATCCATTGGTTGCAACTTCCGACTACAGACAGCAAAACCTCTTTTACATAAGAAAAGCAAATTTATTGAAAAGGTTGTTACATTTTCTCAAGAGTACCAAAGTCAAAGATGATTCATTATCACCAAACTTTGAGCAAAAGTTATTGCGATTGGTAACGACAATTTTACCGTTAGATGCAACTGCGGAATCCATTCTAGTAGTATCATCTTACATCGTGTTTGCCATCTATAATCCCAAAACCTCAAAAACCTGTGCAATTGCTGTTTTGAAGGCTCTCACAAATTTTATATGTGATCCAGAAACACCTATCAAAGTTTTGAAGAAATTTTCGCGGTCAATCACTATTCACTGGATCAATCTTTTATTCAAAAGTGAGATCGAGGTCGCGGTGTGTTGTGGAGTGCGATTACTAACGCGATTATTGAGCGTCTTGGGAAAGCATATTGTTACTCGATTCTTTCTGCAAAACCACGGGCTTGATATGTTGACGCTGTCCCTTGAGTCTTGGTGGAAAAGTGGGAACGTTATGACAGCAATTATCCATGCCTCCTTTGGCATTTCACAATTCCATTACGACATGAAAGATTCTAATATGGACGGTGTTGATATTCGTATTCCCGAATTTCTATCGCTTCTCAACGAATTGGAATTGAATGCGATGTATTCTTTGAGTACCAGTTTTGGTATGAGTGTGGGAAGTGCTCCCTCCACTCCAGTTAAAAAAAACTCTCCAGAGGATGTATCCTTATCGTTCAATGTCCTTCATCTGATAAATTTGTACTGCAACTGGCTAGAGAAGTTCAATGTGTTGTCAAAAATGGAAAAACTGCCACAATTTATGGATGGATTAATACGTATTTTAGGGTACTTGAAGCTTAGCTTGGTATGGTTTTCGGATGAGACAACCCTAAATGGTTTTGCCTCGCTTTTTACACGTCTCCTGGATATAATAACTCAATACTTTACTTCCAGGCTACTGTATAACAGGTTTGAGGCCTCATTCAGCGCATTGAGCGACTTTAGCAAGCTTTTATCATTAGATTACATTTTTCCCAAAATTTTTGAGCAAATTAGAGACTTTATCACTGTTGCGAACTTCATTCATGATGAGGCTCTGTTTTCAAAAAACTTAGCAACGATGTTGATTATATTTCACAAAGATTTTTCAAGTAAATCCTATTTTGTTGCAACAAAAAACTTGCAAGATTGTGTAGCGTGTCAAGCTGTATTGTTGGAAAGGAATCAAACGAAAGAAGTGAAGATGTTGGATCACATCTTGTCTGAAAGTGTTTTATTGTTACTTCTGCAGATTGCGTGCGAGATGGACATTGCATTCGGTTCCAGCTCGGAACAATTGACGATCTTGCTCAAGGAACTTCTTTACAGACAGGTGACAGTTTTCAATAAGGTCTTGCTTGGACCAGATCTGTTGGTGTCTATCATCAAGCTCATCCTAGGCATGGTGTTAACAAATGGGCCCAATGATGAAAAGGTGTCGATTGAAATCACGTTCAGTTTTCTCAGAACAGCATACTTGCAGTGGATGGATGATTTTCCACAAATAGTACTGAACTTAGGTTTTGACACAAATTTGATGAATGAGTTTTTCACAAATTTGATGACAAGAGATGATAATGACACCTTGTCAAAGCTAAAAAAATATCCTCCTATTGTCAAGAGCATTTTGAAAGACTATCAGGCATTAAAGCAAGAATATTTAAAGCAAGAGCGTTTGAAAGTATCAAGCATTGTGAAAGTTAGTCTTCATAGTGGAGCAAAGCTTGCCCAAACCAATAGTATATACGTGAAAAGCTTTGAAAATGATTGTCAAGTTATGAAAAGACAAACCTTGAAATCAGAGAGGATCAAGTACAATCGAACTGTTCAAGATCGTAATGAAAACATGTCTCAATACAATCAAGTCTACCAATCTTTGAAGCGTGAAACAGCACGAATCTTTGGTTTTTATGTCCCCGATTGTTGCATGCTTGATTACATCGAAAACGATGACAGGATGCGACCAAGATTTGTGATTGAAGATCTTTTGTCTGAATCGGAAAAACCAAGCTATGAAGTACAAGTACCTTTGGTACAATCTGATGTTGAAACGACTCTGTCGAATGAGTCAAACTTTACTGTTGTTCCTAACGGCATTGATACGTTGGATTTGTCAAACGAGCTTTTAGGAAGTATGACCAATTCTTCAGATACATCGACTAGTCAAGACAGTAGTAACGATGATGAAAGCGATGAAAATTTTGATGACAAGAACAGGAGAGTTAGTAGAAGCCTATTCGTTGGTGATCAAATTGTGTCACTTTGGAATGTATGCCAAATTAGCGGATTGGTGCCGGTGGAAAGTTTGTTGATTTTGGGATCAAAATATTTGTACTTGATTGAAAATTATTTCCACGATAGGGATGGGAATATTGTTGATGTAAACGATGCTCCCAAGGAATTGAGGGACCCGATCATGCAGTTGGTTAACTTGCAATCAAGCAAGTTAGAATTAATGAGTCACTCTCATAGAACCAAGAGCTGGGGTTTGAAAAAATTGAGTTGCATATCGAAACGCCAGTTTTTGCTCCGTGACAACGCACTTGAAATGTTTTTCAGTGATGGTTCCAACATTTTGATAACGTGTTCAACAACGAAGGAAAGTAGCGTTATTTACAACAAATTGTCTCGCTATGCTACTGGTAAAGACATCGAGCCTGATCTCGCGCAAGCATTGACACTGAATTCAAACACTGTGCACAATGAGAGCATCTCCTCCAAATTGGTGTCTGCATTTTCCAATACTTCGCTCAATAGCTATCTTTATCTGTCGGCGACCAAGAGGTGGAGAATGGGAGAGATTTCGAATTTTTATTACTTGATGATTATAAACACGTTAGCAGGAAGAACGTTCAATGATTTAACACAGTATCCGGTATTTCCTTGGGTGATTGCAGATTACACTAGCGAGACTTTGGACTTGGCTGACCCTAAAACATTTAGAGACTTGTCAAAGCCTATGGGTGCACAAACTCCTAGTAGGGCTAATCAGTTTGTTGAAAGATTTGATGCATTGGCTAGTTTGGACGATCGAGAATCACCCCCTTTCCATTACGGAACACATTATTCATCCGCCATGATTGTCACATCCTATTTGATTAGGTTGAAGCCATATGTTCAATCTTACCTCCTACTACAAGGAGGGAAATTTGATCACGCCGACAGACTTTTCAATTCAGTCGAGAAAGCATGGACTTCTGCTTCACGGGAGAACACGACGGATGTTAGAGAGTTAATCCCCGAATTTTACTATTTACCCGATTTCCTTATCAATTCAAACAATTTCAAATTTGGACATTTACAAAATGGGGAAAAATGTGATAACGTTAAATTGCCTCCATGGGCTAAAGGAGATCCGAAATTGTTTATTGCGAAAAATAGGGAAGCTTTGGAAAGTCCGTATGTTTCAGCAAACTTGCATTTGTGGATCGATTTGATTTTTGGATTCAAGCAAAGTGGGCAAGATGCCATTGACTCGTTGAATGTATTCCATCACTACTCCTATAATGGAGCAATTGATTTGGATAATATCGAAGATGATGTGCAAAAGCGTGCAATCATTGGTATGATTAACAATTTTGGTCAAACTCCAGCAAAAGTGTTTACGAAACCACATGTAATGAAAGAGGTTTTAAATTTGCCCTCGTATTACTTGACGTTGTTGAATACTGAAGTTTCGCCTGCTTTGGTGTTTGAATCAAAGATTAAGGAACCAATAACTAAATTAGAGATCAGCGTCAGAAATCCTCATCGATGGGTTGGAAGGCACAAATGTGTTTCATGCGAGGACGGATTATTGATTCGAAAGTCAAAGTTGTCAAACTTTGCCAATGGCTCTTTAATTATCAACGACACCACCCTCACCAACATCCATTCATGTGATATCACATTCATCTTGCAGATTGGGTCCAAGACATTTTTAACTGGAGCAGAGAATGGATTGATTTCAGTTTGGAAATGTCACGTGAAACCTCAACTATCATTGGATCATATAAATACATTAAGGGGTCATTTTCGCCCAATTACAAGCATTACTTGTAGTAAGAGTTTCAAAATTGGCATCAGTGTGGACGAAAATGGCGTAGTTATTTTATGGGATTTGACAAGATTCACATTTGTTAGAAAGTTTACCCATGTCGATGACTCTCCTACAAGATGTTTTGCCAGCATATCAAATGATTCGGGAATGATAGCCATACTACGAGGAAATGAAGACCAGGGCAAGTTGAGTCTATACAATGTGAATGGCGGCCACATCATTTCCAGAGCAATTGATGATTTCAACAACGTGACAACAATAACTTTTGGAACGGCAAGTATACCAGGAGTTAGTGGTGGTAGACCGGGTACTTCTCATAGTCACGTATATTGGCCCAATGAGCTTGTGGTAATAGCACGGAAAGAGCGAGTGGAGATATGGGAGTTGTTGCATGATTCTGAAGCTGGATGGGCGTTGAACCTTTTACAAGGGTTTCCAATTCGCGATATCAGCGGGAAGATTACGACAATTTGTTTATTGAAATGCTCAGAAATCGACAACGAAGATAAATTAATACGTGGAGTGTTGAAGTTGATGATTGGTGATTCTACAGGAAAAGTGTATGTTGTATAGATGAATGATGACGATATGAAGCTACGACAGTTTTCATTTGGGACAACCCCATACCAGCACGTTTCAACAAAGACAGGACCGTTTACTCGGAATTATCTATCTTCTCTTTTTAACTGATCCACTAGACTTTTTGGCTCCTGTTGAGCCTACCCCTATTGGATTATCCTGAGTTTCTGCGACATCTGACTTTTCCAATCTCAGTTGTGCTGCTTGCACTTGTACTTCTTTGAACTGTTCAACAAACTCGGGATTAATCCATTGAGCAACTGTAGGTGCCACTGAAATCGTCAAGACCACAATGAAAATTATTGTATATGTCTTGTTTTTGAAAATAAATCCAAAGGGACTATTGAGAAGCATATCGTATACAGTTCCACCAGATTTTTCGTAAAATTGCTTGACCTCTTTAAACTCTATTTCCAATGGAGTTTGGTGATTGATTTCTGTAACTTCAGATGAATTAGATTGCTCTTGGCCCAAATAACTTTCACATGCCACAATTTTACCGTCATCGACTATTATCTTAAACCTGTTATTTGTAAATGTAAAGTCATAAGAATTGGCAATCAATTCGTACTCCCCGTTTGCTAAATCTTTATATTTGAACTGGTAGTTTTGATCAACAATGGCTGATATAGGTCTAAAATTGTGATTTTTACCCTTATCACTGATTCTGTACAAATCCACCATGAACCTCAGAGGGTAGTTATTTAAGTTCGGAATTGTTTGACGCAACTCTTTAGCTAGTTCTGGTACATCATTGGGTATGTTTTTAAATTGGCCTGTGAATCCAATTGCAGTAATGGTATTGAGAAAGCACGCAAGCGCAATGACCACTGAACTGTAATACATGGTCGGGTCTCACTTTCAATGGAGTAGTATTAGTCGGCGAAAGGTGTTGAGTGTTGAAAAAGACGAAAGCGAAATGTGCGTTACACAAAAGGTTTCAATCCAACACAGCATCATTTCTCCTGCTCGCTGATTCTCTCTCTTCAAAAAATTTTCAACACTTTCTTCTTCTTCTTCTTCTTCTTCTTCTTCTTCTTCTTCTCTACATTGTATTATACCTGTATGCGTATTATTGTAGGGCGACAATTTTGTTATTTAATCAGACGCTTCAGTTTGAATTAGATTCGTTTACCCCACGATTGCTGCTCTCTACAACGCATACTAGAGTAACACTAGTCATTTCAATATTTACCTCCTCCATTCGAGGATAGATAGAGGGATGATTAGTCATGGAAATTACGGGCGTGGTTGAGTTTGTGATGTAGATGCATTGCTTTTGCTTTTTACTTCGCAAAGAGTTCTCAACTGGGCATTCTAGCCTCCGCACATTCAATCAAATAGAGTTGGTACGTATATAGATTAATCTATTTGTAGGACTTTCTCTTTTCATTGCCTTGGTTTAAGAGTCCGTGAACCCCACCTATCATAAGAGTATAACCCAATTCCAATTAAGGTGATTCCAATAAACTGCTCCATAGTAACTCTACCAAAGTATGAGTTGGTTGAGTCTCTGTTCACCATTAGTATAATACTCATCAAAATCAAAATGATCCTCTTCATCATCGAGGCAATGGAATACGATAGTGCTGGTATTGAACCTAAAAGATGAAGTGCTAGTAATGTTTGTCCATAATGTGATAAGCTATCTAAAAGGATTAAAGACAATAACTTGTTGAAAATTGAATGTTGATACATATGCGGATACTCATTGCATAAATACCCGCCAATGGAAAATGAGAATCCAATGAGCGAGGTGTATAGAATTATTGAGATCTTATCTGGCTTGGCAATCTTATCGAGCTCAAACTTGTTTACAATAAATGCAAATGGATTGTAAGCGTTTGTATAACTATTCAAAACTGCTCGTGTGTATTGTGCCGACGAGCTAGTTTGTGGTTGTAATGGAGGTATGTATAAACGGCATTCCTTTATCTCGTCTAATGTAAGATCTGATGTGGAAAATGGAAGTGTCCCCATATTGGTCTTGATTGGTATTGAAAGACGGTTTCGATCGGAAAAAGAATCACCATTTGTCTTCGAGTGCTGCAACTTCAACTCAATTTCTGGATCAGGTGTCGATGGTCTGGTATCTGTATGCAATACTAACGAGACTGGATTTCGCACCTTCTCGTCCATACTGTCCCACGTTATCAATTGTTTCCCATAAATATTTTGAGCGGCAAATACAACTGTACTCATCAAACACATGAATATCCCCGTTAAATGCTGTGGATTGAACTCACCGTACTCGCTCGTCAACGAATTGGTATGGGAATGTGAGTTCCTAATTGAGTCGGACAATATGATTAATATGACCCCAAGAAGCAATGGTATCAATGACACATACGTTACAACTGGAAATATAACATTATAGACAACTCTGTACCCAAAAACCACAATCAAGGGACTCAATGATTTAATACTTGAAACTGTGGCTAGTGGTATCAATGAAGTGGCAGTTAATGAAAAGAACTTTCCAACAAATTGAAACAAACCCAACGGGAAAATCTTTAGTAGCATGCGAAATGAAAATATCGGTTGGCTGTTGGTGTTATAATCTGGCACACTTCCTGGTGGAAATCGTTCACTCACGTGAGGTACATTTCGGCACATTATGATTGTTGCAAAAGATAGTGTTGCTCCAACTAAAAATTGACATTGTGATAGAAATAACGGATAGGGTAACTCCGTCAAGATACGTTTGGTCAACTGTGATGTCGTTGTTGATACAGCGTACCACAAGAGACAAGTGATGATGGTCTTTATCGATACTGATGGTAGTACTCTAGAAATGGTATATTGCATTATCCTGTTGTTGACTATCTAATGATTGGTAGGTATTGAGTTTTGTTGATATCAGTTCACATATAAGGTTTGAAGCTTCATCAATTATGTAAGTAAATAAAATCAGCGATTGAAGAGCAGGTCAACTCAATCGTCGAAGTGGATTGTAACCACTTTTCAACTGATCATTTCGAAACTGGTTAGTTTACTTTTCATTTTGTGATTGTGATTGGTAGCAGCCTTCCCTAGCAAAAGCAGGGCTCAGTTTTTAGCTCAATGTACACGACCCGGAGTTTTTTGCGCTGCGCATTATGGCAGAATATATTTTCCATTCCCCGCCTGCAACCCCTCACAACATATGTGTGAACATGTGCTATTTATAGGATACTTTGTAAACAAGTATAAGAGCTCGCCGAGAATTTCTTTAAGAAACCTGTGCAAAAAAAGCCCTTGCGCCAATGACTACTTCAACTACGAATCTAGTGCGTTTAACAATCATTCATTATCAGCCAACTTTGATGCATCGAACCCCTCAGTTTTCATATGCCTCTTATTGTAAACAGGACTTGGGTTTGTCCACCCTTCTGTTTCAGAAATGTTCACGTTATCCTTGACCCAATAAGCAAATGGGTAATTGGGTTGGGTTTTCAATGGTGTTTCATTAGTTATAATTCCCAAATCCTTTTGTCTTTGAATCAAGTCATCCAAATACGGTGTCAACTTATCCCGCACCATTTCAAAGTTTTTGTACTTGAGAATATCTTCTGGTCCTTCATATATGATTTTCTTCAATAGTGATGGGACCATTGGTTCATCTTTCATTTCTTCAATTGAGTAGTAAATGGGATGATTGGTGAAAATAATGGCTTCAGTTCTCGGTAAACGACGCAAAGTTTGTCTCTCAACACGAACATTGAACTGACGTGGTGCCGTCTCTTCAAGATCCTTTTTCATATTTGGAAAAAATTTCTCCGCTTGATAGATATTGCTAACCTTCAACTTAGTGTCCCATGTAATGTACCAACTAGCCCTTTCTACAGGATCTTGGGCTGTCAATCTACCAAACCATCTTTCCATTGACTTTTGCAAACTTTTTTCATAATAAGGGACTTTTTGATGGATGGTGTCTATATTTTTACCCAACTTGTCTTTGATGAAAAATGAGCCACCAGGAAATGGGACGGCTCCGGCAACCATATAATGCAACCCGTCTTTAGAGCTCTTTAAAACGACGTAAAAATCCTCTTTTGCCAATTTGGATACATAAACTAGTGGCTCATTCTTGAGAGGTATTGTCATGTCTAAAACTTCCTTGGTGACCTCGTTTCTAATGATTTTACCAGTGGTATCCCATTCTCCATTTTTAATGACAGTGAACAATTTAGGATATCTTTCAAGCATGTGATCAACAACTGTTTCCATCAACTCTATACATGCATCATGACCTTCAGGTAGCATACCAAAATTTTCATCGCCAAATTTGAGTCTTATCCTCTCTTTCTCGTCGATATAATGTTGGTAATATTTGTCCATATCAAGCCAGTGATTAATATCCAATTTGAAAATAGACATTGTTTGGTGGTATGGCCACCGAAATGGCCTCCATGGTCTGTCATCGTAGCTCTTCACATCTTCGGGGGTAATCAATAATGGCGTTGGTTTTGGGATTGTATCATTGCCTTTGCCATATAAGGAAGTAGTAGGTTTAGCAGTGCTGGAGGACAATGTTCTCTCCTTATCAGAAACAACAGCCTTAGTTGTGAAAATTGACTTGTATAAGGCTGTTACTAGATTGCGAGCAATATACAATAATATACCTATGCATGTCAATATGGTGATAAAACTTGTAAGGTTATACATGCTTGAAAAGGGAGGTTGATTAATGTTCTATCTATTGAAGGCTTGCAAATGTAAAATTGACACGGTTTTGGTGCCTGTATATGTACTATCGTACTCAGTAATACATAATGGGATAGATTGTTCCGATTGAGTAAAAACCTGCAAAAGTGATGATAAGGAAAATATTATTTTCAAGTTGTATTTATTTTTTTTTGCAATGCGCAAAACAATTTGTTGTTTTTGTGCGCTTTGGATTTTGCAACCTAATTGGGATATTCTATACATACACAACCCAAAAGGAGTACAAGCAACCATGAGATCATTCACAATACAACTGACATGATTGTCATACTGTTCTACTTTGAATTTAAAACATAAGATGCTACCTTTTGAGTTCCTGCACCTGAAATCTCGACAATTCTCACTCAAGTTTATTTGCAATCTTATGTTACATTTTTTTATATATACAACTAGCTTACTTATTTACATATCTGTATTCGATTACACATTGAATCCAATATATGTGTAAGTACTATATTAATAATTATAAAAAACATTTAATAGGTCATTAATGATTATAATACTACACTAACTAACACAACTAAGCATAATACATATGTCATTGCATCGACACCTCTACTGATACGCTCGCTCAAATTTGAATAGAACAGCCTGTCTATCATACTCATCATTGCATCCTTCCAACTGTTTAATTAAAGGTTCAATCAACCCCTTGATCCAATTAACCAAGTCCATCTCGTTTTGGGCAAGTTGCATGGCTATGAATTGATGAAAAATCTGATTATGAAAAGTAAGATCGTGAAATTCTGATGTCATGTATTCAGCCATTAATGTATGATAGATGTGGTTCATTTTAAAATCTCCCATGAATGGATTCAGCGCTCCTGTCACATAATTTAACCTTTTTTTAAACCTTTTATCAATGAAGAGGTTGAGCACAGCCTCTAGTGTAGCAGGCGGCAACTTTGACTTGGTTAAAGAAAATAGAATTATAAATCTGTAGTATCTCTTGCCGAGTTCACCATGGATATAAATCGTATCAAGAATTTGTAACTGCTTTAGTCCAGTTTTAGCGAAAAATTGAGGTGCTATTTTGTAATTCATCAAAAGAAACTTGTTGATTGTGGATTCAAAATTGAGCTTTGGCGGTTGCAACTGACTCCATACATAGTTCCAAAATGGACCTGTTGGTATACCAAGACGAAACTTCAACTTGTTGTTAATATAAGCACCCATGAAAGATTTGTCGATAGCCTCTTTCCTAGTTGAAAACTCTTTAACCACATCCATTCCAATTGATTCATTCGCTACATCATCCAATAAATATCCAATGCGGGCCACGTTGTCAAATCCATACGTTCGTAGAAGTTTCTCCTCAAATACCCCCAGCCACCATTTATGAAACCCAATTGGTTGGCCGATGTGGTGTTTTATATTCAAGTAGGATAAATATTCCATTGTCAAATTGTAGTAAAGTGACGTTTCCATTTCGGAAGCAATTACGGGTCCATTTTGTGAATCTTCTAGAAGTATGCTATTGCTTGTATGTGGGGCTTTATCTGGTACTGAGTTGAAGTATTCCTTTCGTTTCAACAACTGAGATCTCAATTCGACAAGGAAATCATCAATGTATTGCCAATTCAATTGCATCATCACGGTGACAATCTTTGTGATCAAGTCATTGCACCAACGTTCCTTTTGTCTTTCTGACAAGCAGCCAAATATCAGATGAAATTGGTCTGATGGTAGTAAGTAGTTTACCAGTAAAATTTCAATATTTTTCATGTACGATTTTCTGTCCTCTTGATTCTCAAAAAATTTCATTAAATCAACAATGTAGGATTTGAATGAATGGCTGTCGACAATTTCATTAAGTTTTCTCAATTGATTAGTAGTCAAGCTCGTTGCCTCCATTCTTTCTAAAGCCAACCTTGTAAAAAACGAATATGATATGACACCATATAGTTGAAAGTTTCGAAGAGTCAGTTTCATAAATTCTCCATTTTCTGAAGTGCCAAAATACAAATGCTTGCTCAAAAGTAGAATTCTATTGATTAAGTTGGAATTCAAAATGGGTGGTAGAATTTGATATGGGGACTTTATTGGTGGAATATAATTGGGAACCACGGGTAGCTCAAAATTGGATGCTGTGAAAACCTTGATTAAATGCAGTTTCGATACAAAGCTAAGCTTTGGTTCATCAAATCCTAACAAGTCAAGGGCATACTTTTTGTAATCTTTGATCATCAAGTGACCCAACTTTGCCATATTGGTCTCATCATTTAATGCTGGATAGCATTCTTTGACTATCTCGATAAAAGACTTCTTCTGTGTCAGGTGACCTTGAAGTAGTTCAGTTCTCTTGCCAATCAACTTCAATGTGTACTCAGCAAATTGAATCAATTTCTTCAGTATAGCATTATCGTCCTGTAAATTGATGATGGTAGCCTCAACTTCCTCAACTTGCTCAGGTGAAGGCTCCTTCATAGGCCAGTAAGTATTTCCAAGTCTTTTGCCGCTTTCGAGGAACCTCGCCAAACTATGAATAAAGTGTGGTGATAATTGTCCATTCTCCACCACTAATAGACCCAAGTACTGGTAAAAGACATTGCTGTAATGAATTTCGGTCTGCAAATTTCGTTTAATGAGATTTCTCGTACGAATGTTCAACATGTTGAGTATACCCGATGCATTGACAATTGTGGAATAATTCAACCTTTTCAAGTCTAAATTTCGTTCTAAATATGTTTGCCAGTATATTCTCAAAGCCCTGGCTCCAACTTTTCGTAGATTACTCAATGCTACAGATATTTTTTGACTATCACACTCCTTTTCAAATAGAACTTCGGCGCATCTTTCGATATGGTACGAATTTTTGCAAAATATCAATGGATTAAACTTTGTCAAATGGTTGAATTTGTCAAATTCCAAAACCTCGTTATAGAATTCGTCTTCAGATTCAAATTGCGGTTTATACTCGTTGCATAATATGGTGGGGTCGATATAGTCCTTCGCGGGTGACGAGGGTAATTCTCTTTTAAGATCAGTTAAAACCTCGCATCTGTCAACCAACTTTTTCATAGAATCTTGTTCTCTTTCTATCCCTCTGAATTTGAATCTTAATAGTGAAGGACTGTCCTTAACAGCAGTTCCATGAATATTGTCCCCCACCAAAGAAGCCTTGTTTATTTGTTGGTTAATTTCTTCATATTTTGCATTGTATCGGCGATCACCTAAACCAGGAAACAATAAATTGATAGCGCAATGGATAATCGCTCTTTCTTTACAATCAGTTGACGATATATGTCGTACAGATATCGATGACCATCTTGTAATCGAAAGGACCGAGATTTGTAGGGGACCCCTAAAATGCCGTAGTTGGAACATAAATGTGTATCAGCTTCGATGTGCAGGGTAATTGATATTTTTGGGTTCTGGAATCTACTATCCCTTCCAAGAGTCTACAAAACAATCCCCTATCATTGAGCCTACAATAATCAACATACACAACTACAAAAAAATCAGTTCGTTACTAAATTTTATATATTTAAATTTGGTTTCTTTGTTTGAAATACAAAATAATGTACTCTATTTATCAACTGTGGTACGATGGTTGGAAAAAATGACAAATATTAGTAGCACTGGTGATTAGTGGGATTATTGATGAAACGTGATGATAAACATGATTGATGTAAGCATAATAAATGCGGCAACAACAACAACAAGATTATAATCTTCTACCTCTTCTACCACCCTTTCTTCTAGTAGAATCTGATGGAACTGGAGTAACATCTTCGATTCTTCCAATTCTCAAACCGGATCTAGCCAAAGCTCTTAAAGCTGATTGACCACCTGGACCTGGGGTTTTGGTCTTGGTACCACCAGTAGCTCTCAATTTGATATGAACAGCAGTAATACCAACTTCTTTACATTTGGCAGCAACATCTTGGGCAGCCAACATAGCGGCGTATGGAGATGATTCATCTCTGTCAGCCTTGACTTTCATACCACCAGTGACTCTGGAGATGGTTTCCTTACCGGACAAATCAGTAACATGGACGAAAGTATCGTTGAATGAAGCGAAAATTCTGGCAACACCAAAAACTTGGGAACGGTCTAGAATTGGAAATGTTAGTATTTGGAATGCGTTAAACATGGTGATGGCCCCTTGAAAGTGGATACATTGTAATAAAATTGCAACATTTGGTTGAGCTATTGAGACATTGATGTGAGATGCATTACTCATCCTGGAGGTCTTTCAGTATCCTGATGGGTTCGACGCATTAATTTATAGACTAGTTTCGGTCTTTTCATTAATGACCTATGGTTGCGTTTCTTCCACGATGACGATCTTCCATGCAGTCGGTGACTCCCTTCGGCAGATTCTCCAACCCTTCATTATTCCATTACGTCTCCATTCCGATGAAAGGGCCATCAACTTGTATCTCTCTTGAACTGATTCGAAACATACCAGCTGACATATTGGTGATTGTTATGATTGTATGTATCTTCTAGATCCCCTTTCAAACAGCTTAAAAATTTCAATTTTAATTTTTTCCAATACAAAAAATGACATTGAGTTTGGTGCACACAGTAGTGCACACAAGTACAGAAGGAAAATGAAAAAAAAAATAATGTGCACACGTGTTTAAATGAATAGAATGGTTGTAGCCCTAATTTCTTCCTTTCTGCAATTTGGCAGAGTAAGTAATCAACTACAAGTAGCTACATCCTAGGGTATGGCAAAAATGCTAAATTACGCTTTGTTTCCGATTGATATCTCTATAGTACACACATTATCTAAAGTGGGAAAGTGGCGTCTCCTAAGCTTCTTCTTTTTGATGCAAATAACTCTCCCAATTCCCTCTCTTTTGGCTTTCTCCCGCTTAATAAACGAAACCCAAGATTTTACCAGAAACGTGCTTTCTTCTAGCTTCTTCGTGGTCCATGATACCAGCAGAAGTAGTCAAGATAACGTAACCGAATTGTCTAGCTGGCAACAAGTTGTCAGTCCATCTTTCAATGTCACCAATCTTGACATTGAATCTTGGTGAAATGACACCACACTTGTTTAATCTACCGTTCAATTGAACAACGATTTTACCTGATCTATGGTCATCAATGTATTCGAATTCACCAATGTATCCATGTTTTTGCATAACGGTCAAGAATCTAATAATGACTTTTGATGATGGTCTAATGAGAACTTGTCTCTTACCGGTCTTTTCGGCGTTGTTGATGGCATTTAAAGCATCTGCTAAGACTGAGGTTCTGGTCATTGTTGAGTTAAAACTGTAGAACTAGACTGGGTGGTGGTTGTGTAAAAGCGATTTGATAAAATTTCACAAATTTTTCACTCTTTAGGTCTTTCTCACTCACGTACCGCACATCGAAAAAAATAAAAAAAAAAAAAAAAATTGTTTAAACGCTACCACCAGTGCTACCATAACAAACGAGGAAACCAAGAAAGTGTTTTTTTCAATTTTTCAACTTTTGGTTTAAAAAAAAAATTTTCTCCTTTAGAAACTCATACATCAAATTTGAATAACATCAACGATGCCTGTATGTACTTAACCATTATATTGGTTAATTGGAGGAATGCGGATATCATGAGATCTACTGTTCAACAAGCGAGTCAGATAAGGCAGCTATTTCGATAGCATTCCACAGTTGAACCTTGAAAAAAAAGAGTTGGATTCAAGAGGAAGACGCCATCTGAGTGGGATGAGAGCCAACGTGAATGACGGCGAGATATTATAGCAATCAACGAGGCTCAAACGAAGCGCTCCTTCAAAACCACGTCCTGCAATGAGCTCAACATTGTATACTAACTTTGCTTTCCTTTATAGTCTCAAAAATCATTCAGAACCAAGCAAAAATTGGCCAAGGCTCAAAAACAAAACAGACCATTGCCACAATGGATCAGATTGAGAACTGATAACAAGATCAGATACAATGCTAAGAGAAGACACTGGAGAAGAACTAAGTTGGGTATCTAAGCTTATTTCATTGATACAAACGTCATCATTAACAGTTATACATCATCGAAATTCATTTACAATCATGACTAGCCTACACCTAACCTCAACTTCTTCTTGTTCATCTTTATTTTTATATTTTACATTGTGATGGAGTCCATTAATACATGTGTATTTGTTTTTTTGCACTCAAAAGGTTGTTGTATGCTGAGAGTTGCTGTTTGTCTGAAATAGAGAGTAATAGTATAGCTGTGTTTTGTTGTGCTGTATCCTATCTTGGATGTGTAAAGTATATGTATAGTGGATTCTAAAGCATTTAATATAAATTTTATTAGCATTAGAGTGAACACATTGTAAGAGACTCATGATTGCGGAAGAGAATAAACAAAAAGCTTCACAAATGAAGCCTAGTCACTTCGATACACTATCCCTAGACTCCACTTGATTATAATTAGAAAACATCGAATTTGTGTTGTGTTTTTTAATCTATACAATACACGCTCCAAACTTCAACTCTCCTTCAACCCACAAACAACCACATATTTCACTCCAACCCCTCAACCCATCTGTCCTTCTCTCTTCTTTAAACAATTCCTTCATCTTCAAACACAGTTTCAATTGGTTTTTCCATAAACGAAGCATGAGCTCCAACTCCAACAATACTCAGTCCAATCAACCACATTAAAGTAGAAACAGGACTAGCTAAAAATCCCAATGGAACAGTAACAATCAATAACCCAGTATACAACTGTGACGTATTTAATCTACCAAAGGGAGTCACCAAATCCTCGCCATTTAATCGATTAATGGCCCAAACTCCCAAAATACCAAACCCCAACACAAACAACAAGAGTAAATTAGTAACCAATGCATAAATGCTCAAACATGCAACAAAGGTCAAATAGTTTGCTGAAAAATAACCCAAATTGTATGAAACACGTTGTTGAATTTCACCAAAATTGGCTGGTTTGGAAATACGTCTAAAGTCGAAAAACTCTTGTGGTGGACGTAATTTGGAAACTGTTGATTGTAATGATGCAAAATCTGATTTTAATCTTTCGACACTGAACCTATCGGATAAGTTGGCAAATTGCTAAATAAAGATGACTGTTAGTAAATTGAACTATGTGAATAGCTAATGTTTTTCTTTTTTTTTTTTATTATTTTTGGAATGACGTACTGATAAGTTTAAAAGTTGTGACATGATGATGATATGTTATTTCTCTCTAGATTTGTATGTCTTGACTGGTCCTAAATAAGATGAGTGTGAATCAATACAAGTATATCTCTCCAAAGACTTGATCTTCAGTATATGATATGGCTGTTCTTTATTTTATTTTTTTGTTGACTTTCTTAATGTCGCATTTGAAATTTCTCTTGTTTTTTCTTTACAATTTTTTTTTTTTCGACGTGTCACGATTTCAGCCACCATTCAGCCACTTTACAAAACAAGACTGAATCTAATCGTGGTTATGTTTTTCTATAAAGGCACGTATATATACATATATATATATGTACCTATGCATAGCAAATTACTCCCTCCGCAATAGCCCACCCACTGTCTTAGTTTCAGTTATTGTCTGTCGAGATTTGTACACTTGATCATTGTAAAGTCGTGAACCGCCTTAGTTGGAGCTACCAAAATTGAGGCCTCTTTCTTTGGCCACTTCATCTTCGTAGTACTCAAACGAGTTCACTTCATTGACAAACTTGCGCAATAATCAAGGCTATGCTGCAGAAGATAAAGTGAAACTGCTCTACAATGTACTTGTTAAATGCAACTAAAGTAGTGTAAAACTCATATACAACTTTGACTCACCTAAATGGGTTATTAAGTGAATATTGTGAATAATCAACAGTGACAAACTCATTTAACCTGGCATTTGTAGCAACGGTGCCATCTCCATTAAAATTATTGCCGTTATTAACACCAGCACCACTGTTTCCCGTTGTAGCGCCACTTCCAGCAGCACCAGCAGAAATACCATCTCCACCAATACTACCATTCATGTACTGCTCTCTCATGGCTAGTTTATACTGATGCAACTTTTCTTGATATATCTCAACAATCTGTCCAAATTTGGAACAGTATCGTTGATGCACCCGCAATTTTTCAATCAACTCATCTTCATCATCGGTATCCTCCTCTCCATCTTCCTTCTCTTCCCTACCAACATCTCCATTGAGCTGCCTCTTGCGGAAAAATTCAAAAATGGCATCATTAGCCAAATCCTCATTGAATATAATAATCCAACAATTGATAATCGTTTCATAAATTAAATTCCTCGTATATTGAAATTCCAGATTAGTGAAATTGGGCAACTTATGAATCAAATTTGTCAATTCATGCAAAAACCACAACTGAGTGATCAAATCATGGCCATGTTGATTAGGAGGCAAGATCCACAATATGTAATCCTCCAAGCAATTTAAGAAATCAACAAGGTTAGGTTTGATTCGCAAATATGAGTAATCGGAACGAGAATCGCATTTATAAGGTAGTGCTTTCAAAATTGATTCGTGCTTTTGTTGTAAAATGTGCAAGATACTGTTCATATTTGGTGGCTGGGCGATTTTTGAAACGGTTTGATTAAGCTCTGGGTGGATGTCGATTAATGAAGTGATGAGTTTGGTCAAGTCGGATTTATCTAACGATTCAATTATGCGCGATGGTGGTAGTGGTTGTCCAATAATGCGGGGAGTTTTGCTTCGTTTGTACTTTATTGCTGATGACGATGTGGATGTGGTCGTCTTAGGTATGAAACTTGTTGTGTTACTATTGTTGTTGGAATTGAAATTAAATTGCTTTCGATGACTATGCCCGCGATCATTAGATGTAAACGATTTGCCTGTAAATTTGTCATCTTGTTGTTTATCTGCTTTAGCAACGTCAATATCATCGACATCTCCATCTCCATCTTCGGCTCTTCTTTTTCTTTTTCTCGATAGGCTTGACTCGACTACTGATGACGATCGTGGTGTGTGGCAATGATGAAGATGATGCTGATGCTGATGCTGATTGGTTAGTTTGTCATTGGTGTTATTGATTCCCCATTGGAATCCAGCTGACATCATCGTGGCGCACTTGGAAAAAGATATTTGGGTGAGATATACTTTGTCAAATATTGTATGCAATGGCGTTGTTCAGTAGTAATGTTTTAGTAAATAGACTTTTATTTCAAAATCTATTCGATGTTTGTAATAGCAATGACGTTGTTGAAAATCCCTTATGTTTGGTGATATGGTGGTTTTCTTCTGATAAATCCCACTCTATTTGGTGTTACTAGAACTCTCTATCTCTTCCGGTATCCTCTTCTTGTATCTCTTGTCTCTGTTTCTCTTTTTCAAACGAAGACAAAAGAAATTTCTTGAAATGTTGAAATTGCACCAGCAATTAAAGGGTAGCGTTTTTCATCACACCATACTTTGCCATTACCAAGAGCATACAAGCCATGTGTAGCAACTGGCATCTATACAACATATATTCAATTCAAAGAAAACTAAAAAAAAAAATTTATATTCGAAAGCTAAACGTTATAGTACTCAAAAAATATACAACTACAATTTACACGCACTGACACCTGTCAAACTGTCGGTTCCACATCAATAGTAGTCATTACCTTCAACTTCACTATCATTTATACTCAAAGCATCATCATCGTCATCATAATCACCACCAAATGCTGATTCACTTTCAACGTCATAATCAGCTTCATTGAACTCTTTGAACCGGTTTCTCTTTAATTCAACATCATCAACTTCAGAATTTGTACCTAATCCACCTTCACCTGATTCCTTGGAATTGGTAAAACTGCCACTAATGGCAACCTTGCCAGTTTTTGTGGGCGATGCAGCACCATTTGTAGTGGTTGTCGTTCCACCCAGTGTTGGATCATTATTGGTGCCTGCACCTTCTTCGTCATTGTTGGTTTGTCCCTTTGCATTTTGTGCTCCTTCATTTTCATCTTCTTCCTCTTCCTCCTCTTCGTCATCCTCATCTTCCAATTCCTTCTCTTCCAAATCAATCTTCATTTCTTGTAGGATATCAAAACACTCACTCAACAAAGCACAAACAGCACCCTGACCTTCAGGTACAGTTTGATGGATAATAAATTTCCCATCTTTTCTTAAATTGTCAATTGAAGCCAACTTGAATTGAAATGGATACAACTCACGTAAATTATTCAATCCATCGACACGTTTCAACTCCAATAAGCATCTCTTGACCGTTTGCAATTGATTATGTATTGGAGCTAAACTTTCACTCACCGGTTCACTACTCTCCAATAATTTGTAAACTATTGAATAACATTTTCTCAACAAGTACAAAATCAATGTTTGATACTTTTTGTATGTACCTTTGGGAGTTTGATCAAAGATTTTGATTCTTGAATCATCAATTGTTTTCAATGTCTTTTGATAATTGTATAAATCTGTTTCTCTCAATGTCCATCTTCTTGTCAACAAGATATTCTCCAATGTTGCCTTCATATCTTGTAAGCTTTTGTATACTTGATCATACTGTTTCTTTAATTCAGGACTGGCATCATCACTAATTTCCAATGATTCCAAAGTATATGCTTCATCGTGGAGTAATAAATCAGAAATCAAGTTGTTACAATCATCAATCAATCCATTAAGCACTGCCTGTATTGAATCCAATTGATGTTCATCATGAACTTCCAGACTATGGAATTTACCATCGGATTCATCACGTAATTTTTCAATTTGTTTCAATTCATTCTTGAATCCGGATATCTTCTCCTTTAATTGATTACGTTTAGTTTCATCGTCATCGTCTCCCAGACCACTAAAATCAGTAACAAAAGTCAACAACTGATGTCTTAAATCAATCAATGCATGATAAATTGGTTCTAAATCATGAGGTATATTTTCAAAATTATCAACCAACTCTTTAAACAAATTTTCGCACTTGTTCAACTTGTTACGTAACAAATTTTCCTCAATTTGATGATTTTGCGATAATTTACCACCATCAGCACCTCCTTGTTGTTGTTCTTCATCATCATCAGCAGCATATTTATCTTGACTAGACAATATAATCTCACTAATTTCTGATAATCTTTGGCCAACAGGCTCCAAATCAGCCATTGTGTAAACTTTACATTCTTTCAAGTGAGTCAACAACTTCATCACCGTACTCAAACTTGAATAAGTAGCAGGAGCAAATTTGATTAATCCACAAGTAACAAAGCATAAACTCAACAATTGGAAAATATCATCAATTATTGAATCATTACTATTGGGTAAATCCAACTTCATTCCTTTCAATTCTTCATCCTTTCTTGTCAATTTCAATTCATTTATAGCATCAAGAAAAGTATCATATATTGAGTATACTTGTTTCAGATCAATATATTTATTTCGATTGTTTTTAATCTCAAGCAAACTTTTGTACAATCCCATAAATTGTTCATAAATCGACCGTTCATAAGAAGGAACCGATGGTTTACTTGACGAGTGCGACGATGTAGCTGTAGCTGCTACTGCTGCTGCTGCTGCTGCAGACGAGGGCCTCGAAATGGAATGTCCTTGCGTTGACGCGGACAATGGTGTTAAAGAAGATTGATCTGGTTGCAGTTGCTGCTGTTGTTGATCACCACCACCACTACTACTTCCACCAGTGGTGGTTGCTAAACCAGACGGAGTTCCTGGACGAGAATGTGGGGTAACAAGTCCTGACATTGGTGATATAATTGTAGTTAGATATTATAGAGTAGGTGTTCTATCTGTTGGCCAATTGGTTCCTTTGTGTATACTTGTGTGTATGTGTGTGTTTGTGTATATATATATCTATCTTGTAATATCTTCCTCCTTCTGTTGTTCTATCAAAGTGGTTTTTGTAAAGAGAAAAAAACAGGTGGTTTTTTTTTTCTCTCTCTCTCTTTCTTTCTCTTCTTTTCTCGTTTTGGTTGGAGTAGAAATTTATTTCCCCCGGAGACAAAAAAGTCATTTCTCGGTCGGATAAAATAGGAGAGAAATCCGAATTGTATATGCACTGTAAGTTTTTCTTTTTATGTACTGTTTGTTGTGGATGAGAATTGCACTAAACCAGCAAGTATTGGTTATACAAAGTATTTGACTAAAATGCACTGGACGGCAATTAAGTCTACTCGGCTATATACGTACATACATACATACATACATACATACACACTCTATAATATCACGACATGGCTCTACTAAATCAAATCATCAAACTCGTCCTCGTCGTCATCATCGTCATCGTCATCATCTTCATCATCATCATCATCGTCACCTTCTTGTTCAGCAAGTTGAGCATAATACTCAGCCAATGCATTCTGTGCTTCTTGATCTTTGAGATCGGTGTGTGTAGTACTAGTAGGAGCAGCAACATTGTTGTTGTTACTGAATGAGGACAGTTGCGGTACAGTCGAAGATACAGGTTCTGGAGTAGGCAATACCGAAGACATCTCTGTACCATTCCCATCTTCTACTTCGCTAGTACCTTCTTCTTTAATAGCAACACCATTATTATTATCATCATTCTCTGATTTAACTTTTGTTTCACCATTGTCTTGAATATTATTGGTGGAATCACCGTCTAATTCATCTTTTACGTAATCAACATTTTGTGAGTTACCAACAGTACTATTTGAATGCCATGAAGGCAATGCATTTTGTTCCAATTTTTGTCTTCTTCTTTCCTTTTCCAATTGTTCTCGTTCATAATTTTCATCATTAGCAGTGATGGAAACGTGTAAAGTAGCTTGTGATCTAGCTGTTGCATTTTGCATTGCTTGAGCATTAATTCCTGACCTTGATTTAGAACTAACTTTATTAGATAAAGTATATTGAGCAGCAGTGGTTGATTGTGCTGGAATTGCTTGCAATAATGAACTTTCAAAATCATTATCTTGAATTTGTGAATCATCAATGATTTTCAAATACTTGATTATAGGGTCGATTTGTGACATTAGATCTTCCAATTTTTCTTGTTTTAAAATTGCTTGTTGTGATGAATCATCTTCAATCAATACTCCTTGGCATACATCACATATAAACTCAGTCTTGTCTTCACTTAATAAAGATATGGCATCCAATTGTGATACTTTTTTACCACATCGAGGACATACATACCCTTGTGGATTACCAAAACTTGACATTTCTTGTTTTAATTGATTAACCATGGTATGAACTTTCCATTTTATTGAGTCAATAGCCTCAGTAACGTGGATATAGAAATATGTTCTAGTGACATATTTCTGTTGTCCATTGTCTTCTCTTTGAATATGATTAATCAATAATCTATCTTCGACTAATCGGTTACAAAGTGACCGTAATTCTTTTCGTTTAATACCAATTAAATGAATTAAATCATCTTCTGATAAGACAGAATGACGTAACACAGCATCTAAAATCAAGACATATGGTGAAGAATAAAAACCTCTGCTAACAAACCTGATTAAAGACCTGACTGAATCGTCCATGAAGGAAAGAAAGGAATGATTAATGACCAAGCTGGTGAAGTCAAAGATGGAGTTGAGTGAAGTTCCAATTTCTCTTTTTTTTTTTTCTTATTATTCTGTGGTTGATCCATTTTTTAGGTCGTGTAATTTGAATCAAAACTTTGGGTGGAGTGGAAGTGTGGTTGGAATTGAGCCCACTTATCTGTCAATGAAGTTTTTGATGCATTGAAGTTGAGATATTATAGTAGCGAAGCTTAAAATGGCTAGCTTTATAACATTACAGCAGCTTGTCGCCAGTCCTTTGTAGTTGTTTGTTCGGTTTTTGGAGCTCCTTGGCGTATAATTCCAATTGAAGAGGGGACAAATCGAAAGGTGGCTTTTTGATTAATGCTCAAAGAAAGCTGTCTTCTCAACTTTGAATATGCATTTATATCAACTGCAATGTATATTTACACGAAATTGATTGTTTCAAAAGATTTTGTAAATTTTTTGCCCAAATTTTGGACTAAATTATGAGTCTTAGCAAAAACGTGTGGTAAAAAGATTGAAGTTGACACTACACCAATCACTAGCAATTGAAAACTTATCCAAAGGAAAAGGACCATACATTTGTTTAAGAAAGGTGTAGGTGTACGATAGCTTTCTACTCTTGGAGAGAAAGGATTACGATTTGTCTGCTACCATTGATTGCTACCATAATAAAAAGATTTAGCAACCACATGCGGCTCATGGTATTATAAATAGTGTGGCTTTTGAAGGTATTTTGTTACTAGATACAAAGAGAAAGTTGTAAATCGTAGAAGAGATGGGGAGGGTGTCATTTTACTTGTGATGTGGAGCTAGACATTACATATGACACAGTTTTTCTCCACAGCCAACCGAAGAAGTTGTTGCATGTAGAAAATTAAACTATGATGGATATCGCAATGTATAAATCTACTGCTTACAGCAGTTTGGTGATGACAACAATACGTGATGGGGTAATACCTTTTAGATGCAAAGAAGAATGAGAAAGTATAAAAAAAAAAAAAAAGCACGTGATTCAGATGCACAAAGATTGCATCTACTCAATGTTTACCTGTACATACACACATACATACCTACCTACATACATACAACTGTATTGAAGGCTTTTATGGAATTTCTATTAATATGTACAACATGTACAATATGTGTAATTTGATGATGTAGCAATGGGAAAATTTAAATGAATTTTTTCGCGTTTTTTTTTTTTTTTTTTAGAGAAAAAAAAGTCGTGTTTCTTTGTGTAACATAATTGCTTCTCAAAAGGCGTGAAAGTTAGGTTGTTTTGTGTAACATTGGAGACATCTCAGATTTCGCGTTTTGTACCATCAAATAAAACATATCATCTTTATTGTTTGTGTCATTAGGATTCCTATAAGGTGCGTTTCATGTGTGTTAACCAGAACTCTGTGTGGTATATATACGTGTGTTTACTTACGCGTGTAATAAATCCTTATTCCAAGTAGGATTGCTGCCTATCGTGACTACATTTGATCTATAACTAAACATAGAATTGAGCAATCGATAAAGTTAGCTAAGTTAAAGTTAGTGTTAGTGTCCAAGTTAAATTAAGCAAGTCATCAGATTTTACATTTCACATTTTACATTTCACATTTCACATTTCAAGTGTCAAAGATTTCAACTAATTCACTCAGTTATCCCCCCCCCCTATCTTCCCTTTTATACATTTTATTTATTTTTAATCCCAGTCAGCCACTTAACTTTCATCATCACATATATCAATACCTAAATATACCACACAATCACACACCAATAGTTCACTCAAAGTATTTCCATTCAACCACACACCTATCAAAAACCATCACATATCAACCACATACACAAGTAATATCACCACCTTTCCAATCCCCCCCCCCCCCATCATGTCATCTTTATTCACAAGTGACGAACCATCCGGTGGTAAGGTTCCATTACTGGAATCTACCAACTATTATTCAACCGTAGGCGCATCTACCACCACACCATCGAAATCAACCAAAATCAAACCCACTTGCTTATCAACACAGACACCTCCAAGCGCAAGTACTATTGGTACCAGTTCCATCAAAAAACTGAATCAAGGCCCATTTAATACGTTTGGATTCAATACTCCATTACGTACTACTCATTTAGATCCAACAATATTATCAACTATAAGCTATGATCTGAGTTTGTACAGTATGCAATCTACATATTTGTCACCAGCATCTTCATCTCCACAACAACAACAACAACAGCAGCAGCAGCAGCAGCAGCAGCAACAACAACAACAACAACAACAACCACCATTGGCAGACAAATCTGAAAAAGAAAAGGGATCACCACCAACTAAGAAAAAAAGAAACAGATCAACTACAACTGAAAATGAATCTACAACTCCTTACGAGACAAGCACCACAAACAATACTTCATCCATTAGTAAACCTTTTAGTTTATATTCCGAAGAGAAACCTCCTTATTCATATGCCACACTTATTGGCATATCAATCTTGTCTCACCCTGAAAAAAGATTAACTTTATCAAATATTTATCTGTGGATATCTGATACATTTAGATTTTACAAAAAAGAAGATGTTGGCTGGCAGAATTCAATAAGACATAACTTGTCACTAAACAAGGCATTTGTAAAAGGAGAGAGATCGAAAGACGGTAAAGGCCATTATTGGTGTATAAAACCAGGATTCGAAGAACAATTTTTGAAAAGTAGAAGTGTCAAAAAGTCTTCGTATCATGAAGTCATGGATCAACTAAACTATGCCACAAAGATGAATGCGGCAATGGCTGCAGCGGAAGCCACTACTGCTGCTGCTGCTCAAAAATCGAATAGTCAAACACAAGTGAGTGAAAACGTGGATGCAAAATCTCTGGAGATGGCAACTACATCTAAAAAAAAGACTAGAAAGAAGCCAATCACTCTAATGTCTTCACCAACTATATCTTACAAGAGACCACTTGAAGAAGAACAATACTCCACTAATTCTGAGGACAATGATGATGGCTATGGAGAAGAAGACATCACTATATTGGATCCGCCAATCAAAAAATTCAAGTCCCAAAGAACTAGCCATGATGATGATGATCAAGACGATCTGTTATTACAAGTATCTTTGAAACTGAAGTCAGATAATAACAACTATTCATTAGATCTACCATGGTCAGCTGATACTTTATATTCTCAATCACCTACTAAACTACCACCCATTTCCCACCTTACCAATTCAGTGTTGTCAACTCCAAAAGCAACTCCTAGAAGCAACTCATGCAAAGGGGGCAACTACTACAACAGCAACAACATCAACAACAACACTATACCCCAATTTCATATCACTGAATCCCCCGAAAATATACTCGCTGGAAAAAACTTGACATTTACGTCATCATTCAGCTGCAATTCAAATTTTGAATTATCACCATTGAGAACAAGTGAAACTGGCCCACTATTGGAACCGGTAACACCAGCAAATAACAACTCCAAAGCAAGCCTGCTGTACCACATAGCTCAATTTGCTCCACTGCAATCGCAATCGCAATCGCAACCGCTGCTGGTGAAACTGGCACTGCTGCATTATCAACTACAACATGGCAATAGCATATTTGGATCGACTTCAAAACAAATGTTTATCTTGACAAGGACGCCCAAGTCTACCACCACGCCATTACGCAAAACGCCAACTACAAATTCAATCATTTCGTATCTTGAAGAATACTTTAGTCCATTGAATGAGAATCAACTAAGTATACAACAACAGCAGCAACCACAAATACATCAATTACATCAAGCTAGTAACATACACATTCCTGCACTGCATCCATTACATTATGTACAGACTCCACCATCAACAAGTGCAAGTGCAGCAGCCTCGAGTTCGTTATTGATGCAACTGACGTTGTTGTCAGATTCTACATCATCGTCGTCAAGTACTTCCAGTACATCATCGCATCTGAAGTTGAATAATGTGGTGGCAAGCAGCACCATGAAGAATGATGAACACGTTGATGATGATGACGTTGATGATGACGATGATTATGATGATGACAGATATTCCGCTTTCAAATCGAGTCCAATTTTGAAACGTGGATTCAGTGAGTCCAAGAACAAGAATTTGACTCAAAAATTGGAGAAATTGCAACACGAGCTGTAAAAAAACAGAGCTTTTGGATAGGGTTTTTGGGTAGATGTGATGGGCTTAATATGGATATGGGACAATTGGGTATTATTTTTTGTGTACAAGGTTTAGTATAGGGAAACAAATGTAATTTTATCAATTTTTAATTCAATGTGATAACATTAAATGCAACTTTCAAGACCGTAAACTCCACACAACCACCATCGCTCTCTCTCTCTCTCTCTCTCTCTCTCTCTCTCTCTCTCTCTCTCTCTCTCTCTCTCTCTCTCTCTCTCTGTCGCCTCTTTTTTTCTCAATCACTCGATGCACAACCACGACATCCACAAGTAACACACTCCACATCAACTTTATCATCTTGACCACGTTTCAACAACTCCACTTTGGGAACTCGGCAAATACAAGTACCTCCCCCAGCCCCACCTCCAATGCATTGAGTACAGCATAGTTTCTCATAACCTTGTTTCTTCCATTTAGCAATCAACAATGCATCAACATAATCTTGTAAAGTTAACCATGTATATAGCTCGTTACTAATCTTGTCTCGTTGATAAAGGTCGTAGACGTATCTGGTTACGTCGTGGGTAATTTTGTAGATGGGCCATAGTGATGTCGGTTTGGTGCCTGGTGGGAATGTATCAGTAGTGGATGAAGAAGATGCGTTGGTATTGGTGGTGTTATTAGTGGTTGCTGTTTTAAGTTTCTGTTTGTATTTGAGAATCGTAGGGGCAATCTTGTCGTAACCTTGTGGTGGTGGTGATGTTTTTTTGATTTTAAGTTTGGCTGATTTTGATGAGCGTGGCATGAAATGGGATTAGATTTGAAGAGATGTTGTTATATTGATGAGCATTTTGTTTTGAAGTTCGGGAGGGGGTTTTTTTTTTGGCGCCTTTTAGTTTAACCACACAAGAAATATGAAGTTCAACCAATGATACTCCGTAACATAGGGCAACATCGTACTACACTCTTGAAAAATGAAGAGACGACCAATCTTAAGAGTCATACGGATCTCGTCTCAGTGATGTCTAAAGAAAGAAGCAGTAAGAATTAAAGAGAGAAAAAAAGAAAAAAATATCGACAATGACAGGATTTGAACCTGTGCGGACAAAGTCCATCTGATCACTTAAATGAATTAATCTCAAGAAAATTCAAAAGTTCGAGTCAGACACCTTAACCACTCGGTCACATTGCCATACAAAATTAGGAGTACTTACTTAAAGTGGTGAATTGACCACTAAGCCATCAAGCCTAATTTTTTTAAATTTGAAATCTGGGTTTTTGTGATGGAAATTACGATAGTTAATTTTTGACACACGAAATGGTTTTATTTTGGTGGTTTGCAAGCTTGGAAAGCCAAATTTGATGCCTTCAAGATCTTTTGGTTACTCAGTAAGCCTAAAAAGACGCTCTCTTCTACCCATTATCACGATGTGTGTTCTATTATTCTTTTGAGGGTGGCATTTCATGCATTGGAATTACGAAAGCCTCGATTGACGGCAATTCAAAGATCTACCTGATGCATTGTCTAGGACAGGGTGCTTCAGGGTGCTTGGAAGCTGTAGATAGTTATCTCACTGCTTCTTTGGGCTGCACAAGAGACGGAGCTCAAAGATTGGCTTTATTGTGCCTGCTAAAATTGATCTTTCCATTCATTTATTTACAATGTTTCCTGAGTGGATAGAAGTGGCGAGGATTACTGCTTTTTGTGTGTTTTGCATCATAAAGAAGAGGTGCCGAGTCATCATAGAAACTCAACTAAACAGGGCTCAACTAATGGTAATTACACCAATGTTTCTGAAATTCTTCTAGCGAAAGAATAAATCTTTGAAAAGTAGGGTCCCGCTAATGAGGCTGTAAAAAGAGAAAATAATTCCTTTCTCTTGGCACATCGATTGGATTTCGTAGGTCCCTCACAAGATTTCAATTTTTCGAACAAAAGCTTGAGATGTATCACTCCTGTTGTAACTAACATTAAAGATGGAAGATTTTGTATTCTTCGTCCACAACAATCTCATGCTCTGTTTATGTATTTTTCCGCTTCGCCCCCCCACACTAGCGTGTATGCATAATAATGCACTTTTGAAATCTTAATATATCTCCGCATTTCGCTGTTGACAAAAGAAAACATAATAATGATTTTTAAAAATAGACAAAAGTTAATTGGAATCCCCCTATTTCCGAGGCTTGATATAAATACACCATCGCCACCATCATCACTAAAACCAACAGTTTCTACAGATTCCAATTTTCTAAAACCTCAGCACAGATCAAGACATGATTCAATTGAACGGTAAAAATGCCTTAATTACTGGCGGAAGTGCAGGTTTGGGTGCAGCAATAGCTCATCAATTAGCTGCAGAGGGTGTCAATATTGCTATTAATTATGCCAATAACAAGGAACGTGCAGAGACGTTGGCTGATGAAATACAAAACAAGTATGGTGTTAAAACCATTGTATTAAAAGCTGATGTTTTCAAAATGGATGAATTGAGTCAATTGGTTGAATCAACAGTTGAGCAATTGGGTGGGATAGATATCTTGATTTCCAATGCTGGATGGACCAAATTTATCGAATATGACGATTTGGAAGGTATGGATGAAGAAGCATGGGATGGTACTTTCAATGCCAATGTTAAAGCTCATTTTTTTCTATTCAAAGCCGCCAAGAAGCACTTTGATGCCAATAAAGATGGTGGTGTATTTATAGCTAGTGCATCAGTTGCTGGTCGTATTTCATATGGATCTTCAATCCCCTATGCTGTTTCTAAAGCTGGGTTGATTCATTTAATCAAGTTTTTAGCCAAGACTCAAGGTCCCAAAATTCGATTACATGCGGTTTGCCCTGGTTTACTTTTAACTGAATGGGGTAAAAAGTTTCCCCAGGACAAGATTGATGTCGCTAAGCTGAGATCACCAATTGGACAAATTACTGATGTTGATGAGTGTGCTGCGCAATATGTATTGTTGAGTAAGTTGGCTACATCTACTGGTTCAATTGTGGGAATGGATGCTGGTGTTTCGTTGTGAGGAGTTGCATAATAGATACTGAAGAGATATACAATGCTTATGTATGATAGTATTCATCAATAAGTTGTCCTTCAGAGTAGCAGTAGTCATTACTTGTTATCATAGATTCTTAAACTAAGTCACGTGTATGACTTTTTTTTTGACAATTACATCATCAAACAGCTTCAACTTACGTAATTAGACACGCAATTTGTATAAAAATTTCTTTTTTTTCTTTTTTGTTTTCTCTTGTGGTTGTCATTTGTCGTGTGTTGCGTGAAATTATGACACAGAAAGGGGATTTTGAGGAAACTATACCGAGGTCCAGTTTCATAAAGAGAATTGACTTTGCTTTCTATCAACAATGTTCTTGAGGGTGGGTAGGATAGTCTTTTCCATGTAAGCTAATTGATAACAGTATATGTCTAAAACAATTCAGGTACAACTATAAGACCAAATTGAACATTAAGTAGTAGTGCATATAAGATGAAAGGGCTGTTACATTACTATTTTTCCTAACGTACTGCATATAAATCAATCACAACGTTTGTTCTCTTATGAATATTGATTTTGTGTAAAACGCTACCATCATTTGAAGAACAATAGCAATAAACAAAAAGTATGAGATGAAAACATACAACAACAATGACAACATACCACGTACCACAAAGGGAAACAAAGGGGAAAGAATTTTTATTCACGAAAGGGTGAAAGAGAGGACGATATGCAATAAATAATCATCTAAAGACGACACATCATCATTTCAATATCACCCTTAGTCATCATAACCAAAGTACAATATTTACTGCAAAAGAGAATCAACAGATTGGAGTATATCAAGACTAGGTCCGATACAGATCATTTTACACATCGCTTCCACTACTAGCTCAGAATAACCCATCGCAAATGGTTGCTAAAAGTTCACAATCTACTTCAACGGTAGTATCCTCATTAGTTGCCAATCTTGTACTATTTGGGGTATTTGTTGGTTGCTTTATCCTCTTACGATTGAAATTTAGACGTATCTACAGTCCTAAATCTTCATTTGATTTAGTTCCCGAGGAAAAGAAACCAGAACCACTACCCAAGGATCCAATTAGATGGATCTTTATCTTGTTGACTAAACCAGAGTCTTTTATACTACAACAAGCTGGTTTGGATGGTTATTTCTTTTTAAGGTATTTGAAAATGTTTGGTTACTTGTTTACTTTTGGCCTACTCACTTGGATCATATTGCTACCTATTAATGCCTCTAATGGAAATCATCTTGAAGGATTTGACCAATTATCAATTGCCAATGTTAAACATGAAAAGCGATATTATGCTCATGTATTTATTGGTTGGATATGGTATGGCGCCGTGATTTATGTAATTTACCGCGAATTGTTTTTCTTCAATTCATTGAAAAATGCAGTGTTATCAACACCTAAATATGCCATGAGTTTGCCGGCAAGAACAGTTTTGTTTCAATGTGTACCTGATTCCCTTTTGGATGGCAAACAAATTTTCAAAATCTTCAATGGTGTTAAGCGAATTTATGTATCAAGAACTTCAAAGCAATTGGAAGATGCAGTCAATACAAGAGCAGCAATGGTTAATCGATTGGAAATTGCTGAAAATAAATTGTTGAAGAAAGCCGTCAAGAATAAAATGAAGGCTGATAAAAAGGGGGTTACTTTGGAACCAGCTGATGAAATCAGTGCTTATGTACCGGAAAAGAAACGTCCTAGATATAGAGCAGGTGGACTCTTTTCATCAAAAGTGGATACAATAAGACACTGCCAGGAACAAATTCCCATTTTGGATGAAAAAGTTAAACAATTGCAAAAGAAATTTAGACACACCCAACCAAACAATTCTCTCTTTGTTGAATTTTATGATCAATACCATGCACAATTGGCTTATCAAACAGTGATTCATCACAATCCACTTCGTGTATCCCCTGCTTATATTGGAGTAGCGCCTGAGGATGTACAATGGCGAAACTTGCGTATTTTTTGGTGGGAAAGATTGACGAGAAGAGCATTGGCATTTGCGGCAATTTGCGCCGTTATTGTATTCTGGGCCGTTCCCGTGGCATTTATTGGTGTTATTTCCAATTTCAATTACTTGACCAATAAATTACATTGGTTAAGATGGATTGAAAATTTGCCAGACCAATTATTGGGTATAGTTACAGGTATTTTACCCACGGCAATGCTTTCGCTTTTGAATATGCTTTTACCAATGTATATTCGTGCCATGGCTAAAGTTGCTGGTGCCATTTCATATCAAAGTATTGAATTGTATACACAACTGGCTTATTTTGGATTTTTAATTGTCAATGGTTTCTTGGTTACTGCATTGGCATCTTCAGCAACAGCAACTGTTACACAAATTATTGAAGATCCAACTTCTGCATTGGATATCTTGGCGGCAAAATTACCATTATCGTCGAATTTCTACATTTCTTATTTGACTTTACAAGGTATGGGTATTGCTGGTGCCTCATTGTTTCAAGTTGTTGGATTGTTTTTGTATTACATTTTGGGGTATATGTTGGATAACACTGTGAGGAAGAAATGGAATAGATTTAGTGGATTGGGAACAGTTGCATGGGGCACGGTATTTCCCCTTTTCACTCAATTGGCCACAATCTCGTTGGCATATTCTGTTATTTCACCATTGATTATTGCTTTTGGATTGATTGGATTTGCATTAATCTACATTGCATATTGTCATAATCTCACGTATTGTTTTGTTGAAGGGCCTGATACTAGAGGTCAACATTATCCTCGAGCATTATTTCAAACATTTACTGGTATTTACATTGGACAATTGTGTATGCTTGCCATATTTGCTGTTGGTAAAGGTTGGGGCCCCATTGTTTTGCAAGTTATTGCCCTTGTGGCGACAATCTTCATTCACGTCAACCTTTATCAATCATTTAGTCATTTGTTGCAAGTTGTTCCATTGGATGCAATGCGTGCGTTGGATGGTGTTTCCCAAACATGTTCATTCAAGGGAGAATCTGAGTTTAAACAACGAATTATTGAAAGGAAGAGGCATGATAATGATCCCAAATTTGAGAAAAAGTATCTTGCTGAACAACAAGAGGAAGAGCGGATTAAACGAAGCGTGCTTGAAAAAGTCCGTCAATATGACCCTGAAACTGATATTGATACATCAAACATATCCGTGGTTCCATTACTAGCCGATCGTGATATGAAGTCAACAAAATCAAACAATTTCTTGATTCGATTCATTAGACCTGATGTGTTTCTCAATTTTCGTCATGTAAAGAAATTGGTTCCGGCAACATACAATGTTGAACCCAAGCCCACTGACGATAAGCATGCTTATGATGCTCCAGCTATTTCTGCCAAATGTCCTGGGGTTTGGATTCCTAGAGATCCAATGGGTTTAGCTGATATCGAAGTTAAGCAATTGTCGAGTGTTGTTGATATCAGTGACGAAAATGCTGGTTTTAATGAAAAGGGGAGAATTGAATTTTTGGGTAAACCTCCAAATTAGTGTAAGATGGGGCATAGGAGATGGAAACGGATGGAGATTAAAGGGTTGCATTTAAAGTCAGTTGTCTGAGCAGCAAATCAATTGAATAAGCATAGCTTGTCATTGGAAATTTAAACCTGTAAGTGTAGGTGGAATCAAATGAAAGTGGAGTTAGTTATCTCCAATAAGTAAATTCCTTTTTTACTCTCTCGGCTCATAAAATTTTTTTATTTGGTTCATTGTTTTACCAAATCCCCTTTTTACCCCGCCTGAAATATTTACTTTTCATACAATCAAAAGATGCTGAGACTTGTTCTTCATCAAACTCATAGATCACCATTTTCCACCTTTACATCAATAACCAGAATATCAACAACAATGAGAACTCCAACACCAACTACTGCAATAGCTAGACTTTCACTAACTAATCAACATCTTCAACAATCTCGTACAAGTGGTTCTACCACAACTACATCAACATCGCCAGCCCCGGATTCACAAACCACCATAAAAACCACCGCAAAAGCGCCCTTGGTGATCCCCACTGGTCAGGGTACCAAATACACCGCCACATATGCCAATTATGCCACTACCGAGTCAGGTAAAATCATGTCTTATTTCCACGATATCCCCCTTGATTTAGACCCCCGTACAAGAGAAGCCAATTTTGTTTGTGAAATACCACGTTGGTCAAATGCCAAATTTGAAATTGCGACAAGGGTGCCGGGAAACCCCATTATTCAAGATACCAAAAATGGTAAAGTACGATTTGTTAAAAATTTATTTCCTTATCATGGATATATTCACAATTATGGTGCGTTCCCACAAACTTGGGAAGATCCATTTGTACAACACTACAACTTGTACGGTGATAATGACCCTTTGGATGTGTGTGAAATTGGATCTAATGTGTTGTCAACTGGATCAGTGAAACGGGTGAAGATTCTTGGATCATTGGCGTTAATCGATGATGGAGAAATGGATTGGAAAGTAATTGTGATTGATACCGAGGACGAATTGGCACTGCGAGTCAATGACGTAAACGATGTTGTACAATTGTGTCCTGGGTTATTGGAAGCTACAAAACAATGGTTTAGAGATTACAAGTTGGCTGATGGTAAACCCGCCAATGCATTTGCGTTTGATGGCCAGTTCAAGTCGGCTAAAGAGACTGTTGAAATCGTTCAACAGTGTAATACCAGTTGGCGCAACTTGGTTGATGGTAAAGTTACCAAACATGATGCAAAATTACCCAGTATTACCAACACTACCTTGAAGAATACTCCTGGGTTTGTAAATGATTTTGAAATCAAATTGACTAAATCTAGTGAACCCGATGGAGACATTCCCGTCAACACCCACAAGAACTACTATTTCAAAAACTAATTGATCAATTTATATAGACATTCATGTGATTGAAATTTTAAAAATTCTAAACTATTATATAAAGATACAATCTATGCTAAACTATTCTTCATTTCTCTAATATCTTCGAAAATGCTCTTCACAAACATTTCATATCTTTCGCCACCCCGATCAATAATCATCTTTTCTTCAGCAGAACTGGCAATTATTCTTGACGTGAGGAATTTGGGATGTTTAAGTAGATTATCAATACAATCAATAAAATCATCACGATTTGATTCTGAATCCAATCCAGGTAAGATCCTCATATCAATTACAGTGGAAGCATCACTATCCTCATCGCGTGAATCACCAAAGGAGTCATCGTGACGAACTCCTTGGTGATCCATACAGTCCGACATTGTTGAACTCAAATAATCCCCAACATTCATTGCTTTCAATAAATTGTAAATCACCAATATTTGATTAGTTTCAAAAACAGCACCACTCGAAATTTTCAAACTTGATGAATCACGGCCCCAACTATTGACACAATATTCAATTTGTTTAGCGAATAATTGTAACGCAACACAAATTTCAGGCACAATTGAGGCGCCTAGTACTGATATGCTGGCAATAATTATCGGCAATATACCATCGATCCATAATCGATAATGCTTCAGTTCATTCAATACCGAAAGTCCACCAGCTCGTATTGGACGTGAAATGGGACTCTCCAACAAAGTCACATAAAGACCCATTGACACGATTGAATGCGCCATTGAATCAATTGACATCAATTCCATCAAGTACAGTAAACTCATTTGCGCAAATGCAAATTCGTCACCAGTATCAATTGCATACGACATGGTGTACATGTGCAACAATGTCTTTACTGTGCCGGCTTGTTTTATAGACGACGCAATACACAGGGACAATAACGGCTCATCTGGTTTAAATGCGATAAATACTTTTAAAATTGATAAAATCAATTGTAAATCATCAAATTTTTCAGCAAATTTGTATCGCGATAAGTCTTTATCGTTGCTTCTTCTTAACATGAAAACATCATTTTGCAATTCAACTGACAAAGATTTGATGCCTTTGATGATGATTGCATCAAACAAATCTTGAAACAAACTCAAATGTCTAACAATAGTCTTTGATTCACCTTTAATCATTTTCAATGCACAATACACAATCCGTAACAAAGGTCGATAAGTGCCCTTTGACGCAACCAAATCAGTAATAAAATTCAAGCTACTTGATGACAACAATGTGCTTGCACTTTTAACAATTTCAAACACTACTTCGTTTTCATCACGTTTGGTATCACCCTGGACATTGAAAAAAGAATAAATGATAAAAAAACCAAGTTCAATTCGATCAAAATATATTTGACGAAATTGTTCCGAAGGAATGCTTTCAGCAATATCAACCTTCAACAAGAAATCAACTAGTTTCAACAAGTCCTGGTTCAATGGGCCCTGATAACGACGACAAAAGCTTGCCAACAAGGTACCAAACGACTTTGCGGCGGTGAGTTGAGCCATCAAGTATTGACTATTCACACTGGATGCAATGAGTTGTTCTTTAATATCCAGCCACTGGACTTGATTGTGAAATAACTTGTCCATCAATGCTACATTGTAGATTGAGTTGAGTCCAATAGTGTTTGGTTTGTTTAATGAGCTCGTAAATTTCGCAAGCTCGAGATTTGGAAATGAGCATGTAAATGAATTTTCCAAATCAGCATGTAAAGAATGTTGATAATGCTTAATTTCAAATTTTCGCTTGGCCATATCAATGAACAGTCCCAGGTTGATGAATTCAACTATTTGATTGCGGCATGTTCCATCTTTGGTGGTGAATAGATACAATGCAAGAATGTCGGCAATCTTCGCCACCAACATCAACTCGTAGCTTCTATCGATGAATTCGTCAATCGATTTTGGCGCATTTATTGTTTGCACTTTGACCCGATCAATCATTATCTGAATAAACTCTTTATCAAATTTAGTCTCCTTCACTGTTGTCCATGAATTACACGATAAAGCAATTGCGTCAATTAAATGAAGACTGACAAAATTTGGATAGTATTTCATATCTCGAGCACTTTTTTTCAAAACTTGTACAACAGACTCATTCAGGCCTTCCGGTTCGTTATACAGGGAATCACTCGTGTTTTTTGTTAAAGGAAATGCATTCTTACCAGTGTTGAATAACACAACGAGACCCTCTTGTCGGCTCCTCATCACAGCGCAAATAAATTCATTTAAAGCTGCTCGCAAATTATAGTCATCCAACGAATTCTTTAAGCTTGAAATCAACGATTGCTTCAAGACTTGTGCATCGTAATGCCCTAAATGAGATAACAATGAAGGCGTTGGCTCATTTTCCCATTTTCCTCCTATCAAGCTCGTGAGTAATTTTATTGAACTCAACTTGTAGGACTCGTTGTTGGCAAAAATGGTGACCAAATCTGACGCTTTTTCGAATAATATTTTCTCTAAGGCCAGTGGAGCCAAGTTTAATTGGTTTCGCAAACTGATAACTAACTCAGCAAATGAAAAGGAATGGGAAATCCATTCGTCAAACAAACATCCAGATATGTCAGTCAATTCGAACAAATCAATATTCCGAGTGGTTTCATCAACTACATTTATCAACGGCAATATCGTCCGGGTGTAGTTTGTATCGGTCGCCAAAAAGCAATTCAATATATGCTTGCTTCCAAGGGCAAACACCCTTGTGAGCTTTTTCTCTGGTACACAGTCCTTCTCTACTCCGAAAGTTGTTGTCAAAACGGTGGTGAGGAAATCCAATATTGAGCTACCGAGCTTGAACTTGTCATAAACACGAGCAAAATGGCAGTGCGAAAAGTTTTCAAACAAAAACACCAAATGAGAAACGATTTGGTAAATAACACCCTCTCTGGGTTTGTTGAAAGTAGTTGGAAGTTTGATACAATCCCTGATTAATGCATTGGCAAATTCAACAAGATTCAATGAAAAACGGAAATCACCATTGACTATCTCCACAGCACCAAAAATTCTCGATGCGAGACCCTCTTTGCCATCATGAGTGAACAATGACAATTTGGGCAAGTACGGCCAAATTCTATCTGCGATAATCGGAAACAACTTGGACAACAATTTCAACACAGTAGACAGGATAGCGATATTCCTGGTGTGCAAAGATTGCTTGAAAAATCGAAGAACAATTTCAACAATATCAGAATCGTCGGTGTATGCTGACATAGTCTCCAACATCAACTTAATGTCATCTTCACCACAATCTGTCAGAACACTAATCATTAGCTTCAAAATATCAAGAATCAACCCTTCCTTTGTTTCGTCAATGCTGACTACTCCCTTTGATATATTGTAAAGTACCCTTCCAATAAAAGCCCAACCATTGTATTCATGCAAGAATGTAACCAATACTTCGTTGGGATTGGCAGCGGGGAGCATCTTAGCACGGGTGCCTGAGGTGAGAGCCATTGCGAGTTTTTTGTTTGACTCAAATGGTGGGAACAAGTTCACTCCATCAGTCAATTTCACTAGCTCGGGGTTTTGGTCGTCAATCTGGTACAATTTATCAAACAAGTCTCTGTTGTACACTTGAATATAAGATTTCATATTGTTAAACTCGTGCAACGCAAAGTCACCATTTATGGAAGCTAATTTGATGTATGGCGATAGCAAGAGCGGGAATTTCGCTCTAGCGATTATGAACGCTTCAATCGTTGCTTCATTGTTGAAGAATTTTTCAACGACAGTGTTTGGACAGCTTCTGATAATGCTGGCAATTGCATCTGTGATTTGCGGAGTCAACTCCAACAATGCGATGGAGGCAGTAATAACTGATGACAACACGGTCGAATACAATTTATCAAATTTAGCCCTTTCGTTTAAAACTTTTAATGAACCAAAAACATCCAACACCAAACTTTTAGAGTTACATTGGTTGATAATGCTTTCCAATGAAAGAATAGAAAAACTTCTTTCAAATGCTTTGGCAGATGAAGAGGTGGGAAACTCTTGATAAAAGCACGATTTTCTCAAAAGGATGATTCCCCATGAGTAAATTATAACCGCGTTGTCGCTGTAATCACTAGTGACAACGTTATTGATGAACGAAAACACCTCCACATCAGATACATATGAGCCGCTGTCATCATCTAATGAGTCATATGCATTATCGAGATCAAGAAACTCAATCGATATCACTGTAAATAATGTTTTAATCAACTCAAATGACTCTGGGTGCTTTAAGTGGGGTCCTAATGCAATTGAAAAGTTTGTTTGTTGCATCAACTCAAACCATTGTTTCACTAGATCCTTTGTCACCAAAGGATTCTGAGCAGCAGCTTCAATCAAAACTTTACACAAGTCGATAGAAAATAATATCGACTCATTGAAAATAGTATCATCTATTTCCCTGGATAAACCAGTTTTGTAAGATTCACTAACAATGGAGTCCAAAGTATTCTGGAGAGTTTTGATCAACTTTTCAATGTAGTCTTTCGACAAGAACAATTCTTTACCAATGTTTCGTATAACAAAAGATGTATCCGGATTAGTTTTATTAACTAAGCTCTCTCGTGCAATTTTTAAAACCGTTCTTCTTTCTCGTAGTACATCGTAAATATAAAGCCCTATTCTTTCATTATCCAATTGAGCGGCCTTATCGTCATTGAGCTTGCTTTTGAAATTTAACTTGAGTACAGTTTTAGGTGGAAGTTTTTTACAGACTTGGTCAATGACCCTGACAATCTCCTTAAGCTCCAAGTTAAGATACTTTTGGATCAATTCCCCATCTTGGATATTTTGTTTGGTGATATTCGTGTATAGTATACCTCTTACTGATATTTCTTGCGTTGTGATCTTAGACGTCGATGTTGGTTCTTCAACAGAAAAGGGTGATGGGTTTAAAATGACATCTTTAATAAGTAGCAAGTATTCATCCAATGCCTCTGAAATGTATGGATCCTGACAATTGTTTATCAATGCCAACACATTTTCAAAAGTCCAGTTCTGTGTCGGCTGAATAGCCTTTAGCGGTAAATTTTTCGACGCCAATCCACCGACTGACGCTGTGGATGATGGCATTGCAAAGGAGGAGATTGTTTAGTCTATAATGGCTTTGTTGCTGCAGCTCTTCAACGATAGAAGAGATTTTTTTCTTCCCTTTTCTTTTGTATGGTGAAATCTTTTGTTTACGAATTTTACTATCGTACCCATACGACAATTTAAGTATAGCAGATGTCACTTAAATCCCCCGAGCCATTCATTGTTAGTGCTCCAGGGAAGGTCATAATATTTGGTGAACACTCAGCCGTTTATGGAAAGCCAGCAATTGCAGCTGCGTTGAGTCTAAGATGCTACTTACTTGTCGTACCATCACCAGACCCAAACAACATACGATTACAATTCCCAGACATAGAGCTTGATCACACATGGAATAAGAGTTCAATCCCATGGAATGATATTCAAAATTACGTGAAGTTTGATGCGAAGGATCAACCAGTCCCTCCTCCAGAATTGGTACCAGAGATTGTAGATCAGTTATCTGGTATGCTTGGTGGGTTTGAAGATAATAATATCCATCACTTGGCCTGCTTTTGCTTTCTTTACTTGTACGTATGTCTCTGCGATGAGACGCGTTCTGGGATGACTTTCATTGTTAGGTCCACATTGCCAATTGGAGCTGGATTGGGTTCATCTGCTTCAACTGCTGTTTGTCTCTCTGCAGCATTGTCAAAACTAGGAGGCTGGATCAATGATCCACATGTGCATGAAAATGAGGCTACACCAAAACAAGATATACCCGATCTCGAATTCATTGACAGGTGGTCACTTATTGGTGAAAAATGCTTTCATGGAAACCCTTCAGGAATCGATAATGCAGTAGCCACACATGGCGGTGCAGTGATGTTTCAAAGATCGTCAGTGCCGGAAAAACCGTCCGTAAGAACCAACATAAGAACATTGCCTCCCGTTAAATTGTTGTTGACCAACACTAAAGTCCCAAAGAGCACTGCCCAGTTAGTTGGTGGTGTTGGAAAACTAAACAACAAGTACCCCTCGCTCATTACACCAGTTTTAGATTCAATGGGAAGTTTGGTACAAGAAGCATATCGTGTTATGACCCACCCGGACTTTGGTTCCGAAGAAACTGCAATTTTGCGTGAACTAGTCAACATCAACCACGGTCTTTTAGTAGCATTAGGGGTATCGCATCCTTCGTTGGAAAAGGTCAAAATGATTGGAGATGAATTGAAAATTGGCGCAACTAAATTGACAGGAGCAGGTGGTGGTGGATGTGCGATAACTTTGGTTAATGATGATGTCGAGGAAACGGTTATACACCAAACAATGTTGGAGTATGAGCGTCAGGGTTATGAAAGTTTTGAAACCTCTTTGGGTGGTAAAGGGGTAGGAATGTTGTTGCAACTGGTGGCAGATGACGAAAAGTTTTCATTGGAGCGTTTTTGCAACTATGCTAACCGTTTAGAGATTGAGGCTGCTCTTGCTGTGGAAAATGTACCAGAGTGGAAATTCTGGTAACCAAAAAGAGCTATATATTTGAGATCTAATCATGTATATACAAGGATTACATTAGTGTATCAAGTTCTTAAATACCCCTGTTGAACTCTAGTTCAGTAATTTGGTTTCCCTTTTCATCCTTCAAATGATGGAATTTTTCTTCTAACCTGCTGGCATGTAAAGTTTCACGTTGTGGGAAAACAGCTAAAGCAAAGGGCAAAACAGCTAGAGAGGTGACAAAAATCAATCCGATATTGGTCAACGTCTCAACAGTCTTTGACTTTCCCTTTAATAGTCTAGATTTTTGCAATCTTACCAATATCAAGGGCGGTATAACCATAATAGGTGTTGCATTGATCACTCTACTTGCCGCGGTCTCACCAACAGCGTACCAAGCTGCAATTTTGGAAGTCCCCACTTCTTTGCCTTCCTTGTCATACACCACAATTCCCTTTTTCAATTCTTGACTTCTCATCAAAAACACATTGGCAATACCCGCAGAGACAACGGCAGCAAATGGAACCAACCTACCCAAAATGAGCCTTGTATTTGGCTTGATATTTTTCAATTTGGGGACTATTGAGTTTAATCCTAGGGCAACTGAACACGAAGCCGTGACAGCCATTGTATAATTTGTAGCGATTTCTCTTGTCGTCAAGGGGTGAGATTTATTGGAATTTTCAATGTTGATAGCAACGTTCAAACTTTGGTTGGCAATTTGCCAAAACAATGTTCCAGCAGTGCCTAGATTAGGGGTTAACATACCAGCAGTCACCACTAAATTCGACAATACACAAGAAGACATTCTAAACGGGAGAAACACAGTCTCGCCAGTATCTGGATGCAAAGTAGAATCGAGCACTCTTTTTGCTCTCCATAATTCCGGAGTCATGGTTGGAATAACTCCATTCTTATAATCCCAAATCATTCTTTTGGCAGTTTCAATATCTTTCGACGAATTTAGAAGCATGGTGGGATCCGAGATTTCAGCACAGTGCTTCACACGACCCCAGTAGGTGTTCAAGTCATGTCTTGACTGAGGTAACGGTACCGATCCAGGGACTGAAGATGACATGGGCGTAATATTTGGGGAGAGAGTTATGAACTAGGTGACTCAGTAAAAATGTATATGTTTACTTGGACCTGAAAAGAAAAAAATTTGATGTGGCTGCCTAGAACGCGGACCGGATGCAGAACGTTGTCTCACCACCACCAAATCTGGCATTATCAATGACGCGGTGTCCACCAACAACAGCAAAGAAAGTGGGATTAGTAGTTGGGATTGGAATTGATGTCATCAAAGCTTCGCGCTTTGAGAAGCTACTCAAAGCAAAGACATCATCATTTGCTGAAAGGCTATGTAAACGAATATTACATCCTACAAAAGAGTTGCCGAGGTTCCATAAAATGAATACCGATCGACAGGTTCAATTTTTGACAGGCTCTTGGGCTGCGAAAGAAGCATTGTTCAAAACTTTACAACAAGACGAGCAAAACGAATTCAATTTCAATGAATGGTATCGCTTCAATGATGAAACAGGAAAGCCCTTTATATGGAATGACAAATACGATCCCAATTGCGAGGAATTTCATTTGAGTATATCGCATGATGACTCACTAGTGGTTGCCACGGTTTTACGACAAAGGTTTCACAAATTTGTATTCGAATAGTTCGTAGAAAAAAAATTACATAGAACATCTATAAATTAAACGAGAAACGCTCGATACAACTACTCCCATTCAACAGTAGCTGGTGGCTTGGAAGTGATATCATAGGTTACACGTGCAACTCCGTCAACCTCATTGACAATTCTGGATGCTACTCTCTTCAAGAATGCAGCATCAAAAATAAACCAATCTGCAGTCATGAAATCAACGGTTTCAATGGCTCTCAAGGCAATAACTTGTTCATAAGTTCTTTGGTCACCCATAACACCAACAGATTTAACTGGTAACAAAGCAGCAAAAGCTTGTGAAATTTGCCTGTACAAGCCAGCCTTTTTAATTTCTTCAATGAAAATGGCATCTGCTTCACGAGCAATCTTAACTTGTTCTTTAGTGACTTCACCAAGGACTCTGATTGCCAAACCTGGACCTGGGAAAGGATGTCTCCAAACCAAATCTTGTGGTACTCCCAACAATTCTCCCAAATGACGGACTTCATCTTTGAACAATTCTCTCAATGGCTCAATCAATTTCAATTTCATATCCTCTAACAAACCACCAACATTATGATGGGTTTTGATAGTTTGAGATGGTCCTTTGAATGAGATGGATTCAATGACGTCAGGGTATAAAGTTCCTTGTAAGAGGTATTCAACCTCTGAACCATCATGTGGTTTGATCTTGGCAGCTTCTTCCTCAAATACATTGATGAAAGTGTTACCAATAATTTTTCTCTTCTTCTCAGGGTCAGTGACTCCTTTCAATCTTCCGAGGAACAAGTCACCGGCATCAACCACAGTTAAATTGATACCCAACCCCTCATCCAAAGTCTTTTTCACGCTCTCAGTTTCGTTCAACCTCATGAGACCATTGTCTACGTAAATAGCGTGGAATCTATCTCCAATAGCCTCTTTCATGATCTTGGCTCCAACAGTTGAGTCAACACCTCCAGAAACGGCACCAATAACTTCGGCAGTTGGTCCAACCAATTTTCTAATTCTGGCTATTTCAGTGTCAACAAAGTTTTCCATACTCCAGTTGGTTTGAGCTTGACAAATGTCTACAGCAAAGTTTCTCAACAATTGTTTACCTTGCAAAGTGTGGGTAACCTCAGGGTGAAATTGGATACCATAGATTTTATCAGTCTCGTTGGAGATACCACAGTATGGAGAGTTGTCTGAAGTGGCCACTACTTTGAAACCGGTTGGCAAAGCATGCAATTTATCACCATGTGACATCCAAACTTGCGAGTGATCAATATCTTTAAACAAGGCACATTCCTTATCCTCAACGCGTAAAGTAGCAGGACCATATTCTCTTTTATCACCTCTGGCAACACCTTTTCCATTGATCCAAGCCAATTCTTGCATTCCATAGCAAATACCCAAGATTGGAACATTCAATTTGAAAATATCATGATCAACATGTGGTGCATCATCAGCATAAACGGAGTATGGACCTCCAGACAAAATGATACCTTTTGGTTTCCACGACAACTCAGAAATCTTCTGAGTACAAGGCAACATTTCAGCGTAAACGTTAAACTCTCTCAAACGACGAGTGATTAAATGGGAATATTGAGAACCAAAGTCCAACACCAAGATGGTGTCGAAAACTTTGGAAACTTCGATTGGTACATCCTCAAGATTGGTAGACATTTTATAGGAGTGAGGTGAGTATTGTGAGAAGTGAAGATTTTCTCTATATGGGGCACTTGAAGTAACAAGATCACCGAAAAAGTAGAGGTGACTGACTGTAATTAAAAATTTTTGGTGAAACAAATTTTCAAAACCTCATCGCACTTTTTCGAATAGTGTCGCAAAATCTGTAATTAAGACAAAAATCAATATGATACGATCTTCCCGACGGAAAGTTCCTTGATTGATGCCACTCCGCGCAGAAGTAACTTTGATAAGAATGGCGTAAAGGCAACCCTCACTTTCATTTTGAGCTGTCGCAAGTGGAAATGCTGATGGGCGCCAAAACGGTTTAGTCAATATTTGAAGTCGTAGTTAGCGTCATTCACTGGAAGCTGCAAATGGGTTTGAATGAGTTTGCAATTATAGCAGATTTTTATGTATCTCATAACAAAAAGTTTGAACTATAGTTGAGTTCAGAGCAAACTGTGTTGGCTGCAAGAACTTCTCATCCAGAAGAGTACAAAAGTAGTCTCATTGTGACTATTAACTACATTTTCCCGAAAGCTAATCTAAGATGTCATCGAGGGAACTTTCGGATCTTCCAATGCAATAACTCTTTAGAGTCCTTCCATTCGGTGAATATGTGGTCAGTCTACACAGCGAAATTATCTCTACTAGGTTTAATTTGTACTTTCGTAAGCAGCTACATATGCTATTTGCTGAGAATAGTTTGAGTTATTTCAAGGATGATGAAAGTTTTAGATCAATTGACAATAAAGACGTTATCTAGCGAACCATGTATCGTCTAGCGTGGCAAAAGAGCTGAAACAAACGTGAAAAAGATATAGGGTGTACGTGGGGATATACTTTAAAAGAGCCTTCGTTTTGGCCAATAACGCCCCATTTGATCCCAAATCCTTCAAAACTCATGTGATTTGCAATACCAAATATGTTGAGAGTTCAATATTGGACTATGAGGAAGCGCACAACTTTCTATACATTTGGTTGACAAGATAATGCCACTTCTGATTCATTTTTATCAACTTGAACAGTACTTAGAATACTGTCATACATTCAACCTCGTCATATTTTGGCAAATGACCATGTCATAAATCAAGCATGTACTAGATACTGTTTATGGATTGATTTAGTAATCTGATTGTTGGAACATCCCGAGGAACGTTTTTCCATCTCGTGATTGTGTAATTTTCTCAAACAACACGGCTTAGCTGAAGCAAAGATACAATGTACTTGTCGTGCTGTTGAAGTTGAGAAAGAGAAAAGAGAAAAGAGGACCCGTAAATCACTTTTAAGTGCTTACTGGAATAGCCCTAGCTCATCAAGGTTGTCTCTGTGGCGTAATTCTTGGAGATTCTTATGCCAAACAAATAGAGGTTACGTCATTGCACAAAACCTTGTTAAATTTGGTCCAACAAGTGCCGATACGAGAAGTCATCCAGTATTCACGCTGTTTTCAGATAGAGATTGCTTGACATGATACATCATCGGTGGCTACTTTAATAGACGTGTACTGCTACGTCTTGCAGCTCATTCAAAGTCCACATTGTGTATAAGTTGTACCTGATTCTTGGCAGATTAAATTAAACTTCCTTCAACAACAATATTTTTTGTCAAAGTCCCTTTTTGATTTGATGACCGGGAGTGTCAGAAGAGAAAAGTAATAGCCTATCTCAACCATTGTTTTTTGTTTCGTAGCGTCAATACAACATCTGAACGGATTTTGCAATCACTTTTTGTACTTTTTGTACTTTTCAGTTGACTTCCTCCCCCCTCCTCTTATTGCTTTGTCTTCATTATAATATTGTCCCTAAATCAAACATGAAATTTCACTGTGGTTTTTGTGTAAGTTTCTAAATTTCATTGGCAGCAGCAGCAAACATCCGCACCGGAAGAAAAAAAGCAAACAGAAAAATAAAAAAAAGGGAATCAAACAACCACGAAACTCTAACCAAGAAGTTAATCGATTTACTTTCCAGAGCTAAACATATTGTATCAATTGAATATTTCACATCTGCTAGTCATTTCAATTGAATAAAATACAGTCATTATGGATGTAACAGCTGCACCAGAAACTGGTGGTGCATCAAATGTATGTATATCTCATGCTCAACACCCCCTTTTTCTTGAAAAGTCGTGAGTTACTAACGCTACTACAGCCCAATGACATGCTCCTGCCTCCAAAACAAGTGTCAGTTGACCAAGCGCCATCACCGAAGGAAGCACTTCAGCCAGAGGAATCAAAAGGTTCAACTCATAGCAATGACCAAAAGAGGAGTATCCAAGAGAGACAAAATGGATCTCAGGCCTCATTGAATAAGAAACTGGTTGGCCCACCACCGCTGTTACCTCCTCCAAATATTCCGTTGGAAGATGAAAAACAGGCACCTTCCGGAAGTCACAAAAAGAATGCCAATGTCGCAAACAACGCTCCTCGTAATGTGGACCAAAGATATCCTCCCAACCAAAATGGTGCTTTAGCAGAGAACCAGAATAACATTGGTCCCTCAAGAAGCGCAACCAATGGACAATTGCCTGCAAGAAGGAGCGACTCACCTGTGAAACCAATCAATAGTTCGTCAAACGATAGCTCTGCAGGGAGATCAACTACCCCTTCTTCCAAAGTTGAAAAGCAAACTACTTCAGACACTTCTGGCCAGACGTCTCAACTTGGTTCAGGTCAAAAGAATGCATCTGGTCTTACTCCAAGTGAGGACTTTGACATGACCAACGTTAAAGGTAAACCACCTCCAAGAAAACCAGTTGACCCAACTTTTAGAGGATGGAAAGAAGTTGGTGGATTTGAGGCTAACGACGCATTGACCGCAGCTGATGAGACTGTTGACTTGTTGTCGAGGGGGTCTGTTTTTGATCAATACTTGCCATCTGCTGCATATGGTGATTGGTATCACAATACTGCCTTTTTAATTGTTGGTGGTTTATTGTCATGGATTATTGGATGGTTCAGATTCTCAGTTGCTCCATTATTCTTTGTCATGGTGGTTTTTGCAATCTTGTATCGTGCTTCGGTTAAAAAGTATAGAGGAGTGTTGAGAGAGCAAGCTCAGAGAGAGTTTTCGGTGAAGACGATTGAGGATGATTACGAGACAATGGATTGGTGTAACTACTTTTTGGAAAAATTTTGGTACTACTTGGAGCCATCTATCTCACAAATCGTTTGTGATCAAGCAAATCCTATTTTGGCTGGTTTACCTATTCCATCGTTTGTTACTTCAGTCTGGCTTGATAGTTTTTCATTGGGAACAAAACCACCAAGAATTGATTGCGTAAAAACTTTGATTGGTACAGCACCAGATGTTGTCGTTATGGACTGGGGGTTTTCATTCACTCCAAACGCCAATGTTGACGCAAACAACAAACAATTGAAGAACAACGTCAACGAAACAATTGTTGTCAAAGCGACAATTTTTGGGGTCACGATTCCAGTAACCATTGCTGATGTTTCATTCAAAGGAATGGCCAGAATTAGATTGAGATTGATGTCGTCCTTCCCTCATGTGGAGACTGTGAATGTATCAATGATCGAACCTCCACAATTTGATTTCAATACAAAGCTTTTAGGGGAATCTTCGTGGTGGTGGGAAGTTTTAGCAATTCCAGGTTTATATCCCTTGATCAATGAAATGGTAAAGAAATATGTGGGACCAATTGTTTTCAATCCTATGTCATTCCAATTGAACGTTCAACAATTGTTGGCTGGTAACGCTTTGGACTCAGCAATTGGTGTGTTGACAATTCGCGTTGATTCTGCTCGTGGCTTGAAAGGTTTCAAATATCTCGGTAACACATTGGATCCTTACTTGACATTTGGATTTTTGAATAAAGTTTTGGCCAAGACAAAAGTTATTGATGACACAAGTCAACCTGTATGGAACGAGACTGTGTATATCCCAGTTTCATCGTTATCGGAGCCATTGACTATTAGTGTTATAGATTACAATGATATTAGAAAAGATAGACAGGTTGGTGCAGTTCAATTTGATTTGGAAACATTGGTTGATAATCCTCAACAAGATCACCTTACTGCTGCATTTTTGAGAAACAATAAGCCTGTGGGTGAACTTCTTTTTGGAATGACATATCAACCAGTTTTACAAGAGGTCAAACAGGCAGATGGTGCCACGACACCTCCTCCTGACTTGAATACTGGTGTTGCTAGAATTGAGATTCCCGAAGCCAGAAACTTGAAAGGGGGAGACAAGGGTGCTTCCACTAGCGTGCAACTCATTTTCGATGGCAAATCGGTATTGGAGACACCGGTTCAAAAGAACACTAATAACCCAGGTTGGGGCGCAGTCACAGAACAGATTGTTTTCAATCGTGCAAAAGCTAGAGCAAAGATTATCATTAAAGACAAGAATGGAAAGCCCATTGGTCAAGTCGTCAAGAGTTTGAATGAATTGATTGATGCAACACAGGTTGAGCAAACTTGGTTTCCATTGAGCAAAGGAGGTGAGGTTAGAATTAGTACTAACTGGAAGCCAGTCCAATTAGAGGGAGCTGGTGGTGCTGGTGGATACACGCCACCTATTGGGGTTATCAGAGTTGGCATTGAACATGCTGAAGATTTGCGGAACTTGGAACACATCGGAAAAATTGACCCATATGCAAGAATCTTGATTAATGGGTTTGAAAAAGCAAGGACCGCGGCCGTGGATTCATCCTTGGACCCAACATGGAACGAAATACATTATGTCACAGTTTCCTCGGCCAATCAAAAATTGACTATTGAAGCCATGGATGTTGAGAGTCATTCCGCAGATCGTACTCTTGGATCATTTGATGTCAAATTGAACGAATTCATTCACAAAGATGAAAGGGGATTGTACATTGAGCATGTGGACAAGAAGGAAAGGACGTCTAAATTGGTTCTGAAAAAGGGACCAAAGGGTTCAATCACCTATACCTTATCATTTTACCCAGCATTGCCAGTCATGACCACACAAGATTACAAAGATGAGGAAGAAGAAAAGAAGGCAGCCGAAGAGAAAAAGAAGAAGCTGGAGGAGGAAAAGAAAACCAACAAGAACCCTGGGGGATTGGAAGATGCTGATCAGGAAAGACAAGCTAAACCGGAAGAGGATATTGATGATGACGAAATTGACGATGAAAATTTCGGTAAGAAGCTCAGGTTATCTGTTGATCAATTGATTGAATACAAGAGTGGTATTTTAATTTTTGAGCTTCTTGAAGGTACAGTATCAAAGAGTGATACATTCTTGCAGGTGTACTCGGGAAACCAAGGTTACCCAGACTACGTTAGCAGAGAATTAACAAAACACAAATCGAAACTTGAAATGACTGGTGATACAGTCATTACTGAGCTTGAATGGGCTGAAACATGTTTCAGACTTGTCAAGGATGAGGACGACAATAGGTTGGACAAATGCGTTGCAGAGACAACCATCCCCACATTACAATTAATTAAAAATGGTTTAGAAAAGCCAATGACTCTTGACTTGTCAGGAAATGGAAGCGCATCTTTCAAAGTACAATTCTCTTGGGTTCCATTAATCTATGCATCAGGAGTTCCACCACAAGATTCAAAGGACAATTCAGGTATCTTGTATGTTGAGGTGAAGAAGGCAGAGGGATTACCAGCTTCCGATAGAAACGGAAAGTCTGATCCTTACATGAAAGTATATCTCAACACTGAAAAGGATTCATTCACCAAAACGAAAACAGTCAAAAGGACGCTTGATCCAACTTGGAATCACAAGGGAGAGGTTGAAGTTGCCAACAAGTACGACTCGACTTTACGTTTCGAGTGTTACGACTGGGATGCTGTGGATGCTGATGATTTCTTGGGTGTCGGATATGTTGAATTGAGTGCGTATGATATGAAGGATGGTTCTGTTGAAGTGGAAATCCCACTAGAAGGAGAGGATGGAGAACCAGCAGGTAAAGCATATGCCGTTTTATCATTTGAACCTAAATTTGTTTTGAACGTTAAGCCAAAGAGTCAATCCGCTGTTGGTACAGTGGGAAATGTTGGAAAGGGTGTAGGAAAAGGTGTTGGTAAGGGTGTCGGTTTTGTAGGAAAAGGTGTTGGAAAGGGTATTGGAGGTGGATTCAAAGGGTTGAGAAAAGGGTTACACTTAGGAGGAGGTGACCTGGAAAAGGAATAATCTTTTGTAGTTTTATAACTCGGTCATTTGTATAATATAATGTGAAGGGGAAAGTTGTTTTGAAAGTAAGTATCATATTGTGTATGATGAGATGATCATTTCATTCTTTTGTGTTCGTCGTGGTAGCAAAGAGAGAAGAGCAGAGACGAAAAAAAAAAAAAATTTCATTGCAATCCAATCACAAATCTACACCTTTATCCAGAATCAACTTAATTACATAAGAACCATGGATATTTCCAAACCAGTTGGTTCAGAAATCACATCTGTTGATTTCGGAGTGCTATCGGATAATGAAGTCCAAAAATTGTCCTCAAAACAAATCACCAACCCAATCGTATTTGACAACTTGGGCCATCCAGTAAATGGTGGTTTATATGACTTGTCACTCGGAGCATTTTTGAGAAATGTGTGTACTACATGTGGATTAGATGAGAAGTTTTGTCCTGGTCACATGGGTCACATTGAGTTGCCAGTACCTGTTTACAATCCAATGTTTTTCAACCAGTTGTACATTTTTTTGAGAAGTTCTTGTTTATATTGCCACCACTTTAAGTTGAGCCATCTTGAAGTGCACTTGTTCAAATGTAAGTTGCAGCTTATACAGTACGGATTGTTGTTGGAGTGCAGTGAATTGGAAAATATCATGCCTGCTGGAAAATCGGCCAAGGAGATGAGTAATAACGATGAAGATGAAGAAGATGAAGGTGTGTCTGTTGATGCAAAGACAAAGAAGGAGTTGATGGAGAGAAGAGAGGAATTTGTAAAGAATGCAATTTCAGCAGCTTTGAAGGATGGGAGAACCAACGCTAAGGGGATTATCACTGCATCTGTAGGAGAAGAAAGAAAGGAAGTCATACATGGCTTCTACCGCAGGTTGTTGAGTAGACCAAAGTGTAGCAATTGTGGAATGTATTCACCCAGCTTTAGAAAAGATGGTTTTACAAAAATCTTTGAGAATTCACTTAATGACAAGCAAATCACCAATAATAGAGTTAGGGGTTTGCAACGTCCAGATATGATTAAAAAGAATGGAAGTAGCAACTCATCAGCTGCTAGTGATATTCCAAACATTAAGCACAAAGGTGGATCGAAGTATGTCTTGTCATCAGAAGTGAGAAATATCATTAGGGCTGTTTTCAAGAATGAGCAACCAGTTTTACAAAAAGTTTTCCACTCAAGACCATACCAACACGAGTATGTCAGTGGCGACATTTTTTTTAAACAATCCATTTTGGTGCCACCAACTAGATTTAGATTACCTTCTAAATTGGGAGATGAAATCCACGAAAATGCACAAAATGAATTGTTGTCAAATATTTTGAAAACAACAGTTTTGATTGCTGAATTGAACACTCAGATATCTCAAATGTATGAGGCTAAATTAAGTGGGGAACAGAAAAAAATTGCATTTAACCGATTGATGAATTCTTTTGTCACTTTACAAAACGATGTCAATGCATTTATAGATTCAACCAAGAATCAAAATGCACCAGCGGGTAAAGTGCCAAACCCTGGTATTAAGCAAGCGTTGGAAAAGAAAGAAGGTTTGTTTAGAAAGCATATGATGGGTAAGCGTGTGAATTATGCCGCTCGTTCAGTCATTTCACCAGATCCAAATTTGGAGACTAATGAAATTGGTGTCCCCCCAGTGTTTGCCAAAAAATTGACATATCCAGAACCTGTGACTTCACATAATGCGGCCGAATTGAGACAAGCTGTCATCAATGGTCCTGAGAAATGGCCAGGTGCGGTACAAATTCAAAATGAAGATGGCTCTTTGATTTCATTGATTGGTATGAGTTTAGAACAAAGAAAAGCCTTGGCTAATCAATTGTTGACACCAACAGGAAGCAATTCATTTGTTGGTAAAAAGGTGTACAGACATATCAAGAACAAGGATGTGGTGATTATGAATCGTCAACCTACTTTGCATAAAGCATCAATGATGGGACACAAGGTGAGAGTTTTACCGGGTGAAAAGACATTGAGATTACATTATGCAAACACTGGTGCTTATAATGCTGATTTTGATGGTGACGAAATGAATATGCATTTCCCACAAAATGAAAATGCTAAAGCGGAGGCATTGAATTTGGCCAATACTGACTCACAGTATTTGACACCAACTTCAGGTGCACCATTGAGAGGTTTGATCCAAGATCACATTTCCGCTGGTGTATGGTTGACTAGTAAAGATTCTTTCTTCACAAGAGAAACATACCAACAATTGATTTATGGATGTATTAGACCAGAAGATGGACACACGACAAGATCAAGGCTTGTTACATTGCCTCCGGCTATTTTCAAGCCTGAAATGTTGTGGACTGGTAAACAAGTGATTACCACTATTTTATTAAACATCAAGCCTGACAATGTACCTGGTGTTAATTTAATTTCCAAAAATAAAATCAAGAATGATTATTGGGGTGAACACAGTACTGAAAATGAGGTTATTTTCAAAAATGGTGAATTATTGAGTGGTATTTTGGACAAGTCGCAATATGGTGCTTCTCAATTTGGTATTGTTCATTCATTGCACGAAGTTTATGGTCCTGAAGTTGCTGGAAAGGCATTAAGTGTGTTGGGAAGATTGTTTACCAATTACATCATGATGACTGCTTTCACTTGCGGTATGGATGACTTGAGGTTAACCGAGGATGGTAATGTTTGGAGAAAGGACATTTTGAAGCTGTCGGTTGACGTTGGTAGACAAGCGGCAACTGAAGTTACAAACTTGCCAGACGACACAGGCAATGACAACAAGGAGTTGAGAAGAAGATTGGAGGAGATTTTGCGTGATGATGACAAATTGGGTATTTTGGATGCTATAACTCAATCCAAAGTCAATGCCATCACGTCCCAAGTTGTTTCCAAGTGTGTACCTGAAGGTACAATGAAAAAGTTCCCATATAACTCTATGCAAGCAATGGCTTTATCAGGTGCCAAGGGATCCAATGTCAATGTGTCACAAATCATGTGTCTTTTGGGGCAACAAGCTTTGGAAGGTAGAAGGGTACCAGTAATGGTTTCAGGAAAAACTTTACCTTCATTTAAAGCATTTGAAACTGATGCAAGAGCCGGTGGATATATCAAGCAACGATTCTATTCGGGTATTAGGCCACAAGAGTACTATTTCCATTGTATGGCTGGTAGAGAAGGTCTTATTGATACCGCCGTCAAGACATCAAGATCAGGTTACTTGCAACGTTGTTTGACTAAGCAATTAGAAGGTGTGCATGTCAATTATGATAACTCTGTACGTGATGGTGATGGAACTTTGATTCAATTTCTTTATGGTGGTGATTCAATTGATACTACCAAACAATCACATATGAATCAATTTGAATTTTGTTTAGAAAATTACGATGCATTGTTGGCGAAATATAATCCAGGTGATATGGTGGAGAATTTGGACACTACTAAAGCATTGTCATATTCGAAAAAAGTTCGTAAATCATTGAAGAAACAAAAGGATGTTCCACATTATGAACAAGAGATTAAATATGATCCAGTTATCAATACCTATAATCCTGCCAAGTATCTTGGTTCAGTGTCGGAGAAATTTCAAGAAAAGATGGACAAATTTGTCACCAGTCATCCAGAATTGTTTGCGCAATCAAAAGAAGAAGCTAAATCTACTGGCAAGCTAACTGAAAAGAAGTTTAGAGCATTGATGCAATTGAAGTATATGAGATCTTTGATTAACCCTGGAGAATCAGTTGGTATTATTGCTTCGCAATCCATTGGTGAACCATCAACTCAAATGACATTAAACACATTCCATTTCGCTGGTCATGGTGCTGCCAACGTGACATTGGGTATCCCACGTATGAGAGAAATCATCATGACAGCCTCAGCGGCAATCAAGACACCACAAATGACATTGCCGATTTTGCCTGATGTTAGTGATGAACAAGCTGATGCATTTTGTAAATCAATCGCCAAAGTTGTTTTGTCTGAATTTGTTGATAATGTAACAGTTACTGAAACGACTTCACAAGATGAAGATGGGTCAAATAGTCGATCTTATGTGATTCATTTGGGATTCTATACTAAAGATGAATACGAAACTGAGTATGATATCAGTCAAGAGCAATTGGAAAATGTTGTTACTCAATCTTTTATCCATTCTTTGGAAACTCAAATTGTTAAAGAAGTGAAGAAGCAAAAGAAACCTGATTACATGCCTACGGTGGGAAAATCTGCTGGTAAGACAGATATGGAAACAGTTAGTGGTAAAATAAGAGAGTTGAGGGATGAAGACGATGATGATGAAGACGATGTTGATGAAGAAGAAGATGGAGGAGATTTGGAACAACTGAAACAAAAGGTTAAACAACACGTGTCATATGACGGACCAGATGATGATGAGATTGAAACAATGAAACGTGCAGAAGAAACCAGCGACGAAGAGATGGAAGATGCAGAAGAAAGCAATGAATCGTCTTCTTCTGATAGTGATGGTGATAGTGATAGCGATGAGGATGAAGAGGAGAATGGTAATGATGCCGATGGTGATGCCAATATGGACAAGAAACCAGAGTTATCACGTTTAGCCAAAGATCGTCAAGCTGAAGTTATAGCTCAACACAACATGGTTACCAAATTCAATTTTGATGATGAACATGGTGAATGGTGTGAATTTAAACTTGAATTGAATGGGAATGAAACGCAAAAATTGTTGATGGTAAACATTGTTGAAGAGCTTTTACGCAAAACAGTTGTACGTCAAATACCGCACATTGGCAGATGTTTGCGACCAGAGCCAGATGCCCTGCTGGGTAAGAGAATCTTGACTACTGAAGGTGTCAATTTCAAAGCCATGTGGGAACAAGATGATTTCATCAGTGTCAATGCCATTACATCAAATGACATTGCTTCTGTATTGCGTACGTATGGAGTTGAAGCCGCAAGAAACACCATTGTTAATGAAGTCTATCGTGTTTTCGACACGTATGGAATCAGTGTTTCATCACGTCATTTGGATTTAATTGCCGATATGATGACTCGTGAAGGAAGTTATTTGGCATTTAATAGACAAGGTATTGATAGTTCAACTTCGAGTTTTATGAAAATGTCGTATGAAACCACGTGTCAGTTCTTGACCAAGGCTGTTTTGGATGGTGATCGTGAAGAATTGGAAAGTCCTTCGGCCAAGATTGTTATGGGTAAATTAACAAATGTTGGTACTGGATCATTTGATATATTTGCTCAGTTGCCAAAGCAAATTGAAAATTGAGGAGAGAGAGAAAGAGAGAGAGAGGGGTTAGGGGGAGGGGGAGGGGGAGGATCAATTTACTTTACTTCCTGATTAATTTAGATAAAAAAACTGAGTGATCTGTATATTAGTTTAATACTAGAAAGGTTGATGATATTGATTTTATTGGGAAAGTGTAGTAGTAGAAGCATATCATAAAAGACAGTTGAAAAAAAAAAAAAAAAAAAAAAAAGGGTCACAAATTTGGAAGGAGAAAAAGTAAGGTGATATCGTGACCATAAAATAAATTACACATCTCGAATCCCAACTGTGTTTGTTTATACTTGCTGTGTAAGCGTATGTGCTCGTATGTATATATGTATGTATGTATATATGTACATATATATATATATATATATACGTATGTTTGATAGTCAATGATTTGATCTTATCAAAACTTTTTATAAAAAGGACAAGTAACTACCCTATTATGCAATACTTTTATTTCACTTTGTTATGTCATCGAAGTTGTTGTTTGCTGATGTAGTAAGTTTTGTATCAATAGAGACAATGACAAGTTATGCCCAATTTGAAGATAATATAAAGTGCAATTTGCTTGTACGGCAATTGTATAGTCTTGAATTTGAGATGGAATCAATTGATCAAGTGCTACTTGATAAAGAAGAGGGACAAGAGTATGAATCTGAATATTATAAAGAAGAAGAAGAAGAAGAAGATGATGATGATGCTGATAAAAGTTGGGTGGAACTCATTGACGGTAAAATAGAAAAAAAGGAGGAGGAAGAAGAAGAAGAAGAAGAAGAAGAAGATGTTGCAGTTTATCAAGTTGATTTTAATTCATATTTGCATCCAAATTCAACACTAACTCTATTACAATTTCATGGGAATGATAATGATTACTTTACATCATTAATTACTGAACCAAGATTTAGAATATCACAATCAGTTTCCGAAAAGATTAGGAATCGAAATTTATCATTATTACGAGTTAATACAATTTAAGTATTGATTACCACCACCACCTCCTCCTCTTATAGAAGTATAAATAGAATGTTGATGCACCTTTTTAATAGTAATGATTAGTTGAACTGTACTTTTTCATGTATGTGAAATTGTCATTTCTTTCGTCTATACATTGTAAGCAGCAATAATCAAACTCAATACAAAGGAAATTTTAAAACTTGGTTTTTCAAACACCAATTGCTTCAAATCAATCTTTTGTTTACCAATAGTAAAGATATAATTCCATGGAACATTGATGATGTTTCTGCTTTGTAAAAACTCAACAAGTAAAAACGAACTCAATGAAATAAATAAAAACACTTGAGACAATTTACCCAAAATGATTCCCAAGAATAAACCAGTAACTGATCCAATGGTTAATTCTTCATAGTTTAAATAATTGCCAAACCTTGCATTTGTTGGAGCAGGTTTGGTGACTGGATTAACTGTGACATTTGAAGCCACTTGTTGTCTTGGAGTTACTGCAGCAACATCATTATAAATGGATTTGGCAAATGAAGCAGTAAGTAAAAATGAAGCGCCAGCACTGGCAAACAACAATTTGAAAATATTTGAGGAATTGGATCTATAACTGTGGTTGGAATGTTGTTGTTGTTGTTGTTTTACAGCGGCTAAAACAGTACTTAATGATGATGCTCTTTTGGTTGTTGTTGGTAATAAGAAGTTGGTAGCTGATGAAACTGTGGGTTTGCTGCTGTTGGACAAGAATCTAATTGATCTTGTTGATGCAATTGCTGAACGATTAAGGATAGTTGGTAATGATGTTCTAAACATGACTTTTTGGCTTTGAAGATGAAGAGAATTTAAAGAAGAAGAAGAAGTAGGTAAAAGCTTGTGAAAACAAAAAGAATCAGATGGATATGGATATATTAATTGTTGAGTTTAGAGCGGAAATAAAACCAAAAAAAAACAAAAAACAAAAAACAAAGAAGCCAAAGAGAATGGAGGTTTTGGGGATGATGTTTTGTGTTGCCTACGTAAAAGACAAGACAAAGAGAAAGTGTGACAGAAGAAGAAGAAGAAGAAGAGGAACAACAACAACAACAACAACAACAGTAATAAGTTCACACTAAAAAGAGATACGATGAAACAGCTTAGTACGTCCTTTCTGCTGCACCTGTTGCTCATCAAGTTGAACAGTTGTAGTATAAGCGGTTGCATTTGAAAAAACGAGAGCTACCTGATAGCAATCAAAAAGTGAAAAGACAAAACGTGGAGACGTTGTTTTTAACTCCGAGAAATTGCAATTAGGTGTTTTTTTTTTGTTGGGAGAGAGAGAGACAGAGAGAGAGAGAAAGTCACGTGAAAAGTCTAGTTCATATATATCAAGATTATTTTGCGACATTACACCAAAACACCAACGGATATTCCACGACCACCCGGTATCCACGCTATGCCACACAAACAAACAAACAAACAAACAAACATAGACACATCTCTGCGTTGTTTTACACAGAAAAGTTGAATAACGGGTTCAAGAGAATGTGTGAACTGGGTTTGACCAGTGTAACTCGCCATTCATTACGCGTCTTTGGTGTTCATTTATTTCTTTTATTTTGTTAACAGAGCAAGTTATACAAACTAATGTATCATTGCAACTAAAATCAAGCAGCAGCAACCATCGAAGAAGCTCTAGGGACTATACGTTTTAAATGCTCAACTTTTTAGTCTACATCAAAACGCTGATCACTTTGCATTGCATTCAAAAAATGAGGATTTACTGAAAAAAAAAAAAAAATAAAATTAGTATTTGTGAACACATTTGCACTACCCCTACGGAGTCGTGTACTTGTTGTGAAATACATTATTATTTTGTCATACAGTGCACTACTTTCTCTTTTAGAGATGAAATTTGTTCTGATTACATAACACGTTATATAAGCTCACTGTGCTTCTTTTTGCTTTTTGCTTTTTTCTTCTTCCTCTGTAGCCTAAGAGCCGGCTGGCTGGCTGGCTAGCTGGCTGGCTTTTATGTCAAAAGTACACTACCCCCTCCAGGAGAAAAGAAAAGAAAAAAAACCCGCCTACGCGTTATTACCAAATAAAGTAAGTATAGTAAGTATAGAATGTATAGTAAGTATAGTATGTATAGTATGTATAGTATGTATAGTATGTATAGTATGTAGTATGTAGTACTCTACTCAAAAAATATAAACTATACCACATATACTTAAACAACAACAATACATACTTATATATATATATATGTGTGTATAATATATATATATAAAAGACCACCAAAAGAATATCTCACTGGTTCTTTTTACTTTTATGACTTTCTTTTTTTTTTTTTTTTTTTTTCTTTTTATGTGTTTCTATTAATCTTTAAATTTCATCCTCGTTCTTCATTTTGCAGCACTATACTCATAGGAGGAACAGTATAACCTATTTTGGCACCACAGTTATATTTGGCTACTTCAACAAAAAAAACTGCCCTACATTGGCTCAACCCAGTGCGTGCACATCAAACAAAGAAAGGGAGAAAAATTCAGCTTAGCTTTAAATTTTTATTTTTTTTTCTTTCTTTTTTTTTAATTTTTATTTTTTTTCTTTCTTTCCCACGGGAATACTTGGTGTTGCAAAAAAAAAAAGAAAGAAGGAAAAGGGAATTTCAAAAGCTACAACCAAGGGCATTCATTTTCAACCACTACTTGTTTAGGTTATACAGAGTGACAACCACTACCTCAGAAAAATTGTGTGCCATACGTTGTCAGATTGCCTATCGTTATCAATCCCAGCTGGAAAAACTTTTCACTAAGCGCAGAAGAAGATAGTCACACGATATTAATACACTTGCCATGTTTCAACAACAACAGCAAGATCAACAACAATTGCAGCAACAACAATTGCAGCAACAACAACAACAACAACAGCAGCAGCAGCAGCAGCAGCAGCAACAACAACAACAGCAGCAACAACAGCAGCAACAGAACTATTTGCAACCTCGCAACTTTCACAATTACAATGCCACTTTTAACGAATCAATGTTTTTCAATCCTGATACAGCACAAGAAATTTGTCCTGGTATTTGGTTAGGACCATATACTTCATTATTAACTACACCTCAAGTCATTAACAACTTACATTATGCACCTCAACCACAAACTCAATCGGCAACTGCTGAAGGATACAATTTCGTATCCAATAATAACATCAAGATTATTGTCAATTGCGGGTCAACTTTGAAATTTCTTGACTTGATTGAAAACTCGCCGTATGTTTCCATATCATCGGATGTATTGGTGTTGAGTTTAGATCCATCATTTGATGCTGGTACAGCAGCACTACCACAACAGGGGCAGGAATTGATGCAACGATTCACTCGAGATTACAGTAAAATTCTACACAATTATATGAATTCATTTTATTTCAGTAACCCCAATGCCAACAATTTGATCCATAATTTACCATCAAATCATCACTTGTCAATTGACAGCCCCATTATTACCGGATCCAATTTGAAATTACAATTTTTCAAATTGATTCGATTGATTTCATTGTTTAAATTGATCAATTATGATTTACAATGTCTTTTTGTATCTGAAGATGGTAATGGGTCGCTATCAACCGGATTAACCATTGCTTATCTTATGGATTGTTATCGATACAATTATCACAATTCATTCAAGTTGATTTATGAGCGACGTCCAACTATAAGACAATTGCAATTGAATTATTATGACGATTTATTGATTATGGAGAATTTAAAGAAATTTTATGGTGAAAATATCGAATTAAAGAGGGAAAATCCCAATTTGTTGATGAATGGATGCAAGAGATCTATGGGGACTGGTGAAGATGGATCGGGGTCTAGTGCTGCTGCTGCTGTTGATGATGAAAATGGAAATGGAGGTGGGGATGAAATTATGGTTGGTGGTGATAGAAAAAGAAAACTACATTAGAAAATGGAGCCCAAAAAAAAGAAAAAAAAAAAAAAACCGGTGTAGAAAATGTTTCAGTAGACAAGAGGTTCAACTGTGTGTGTATTTTATTTTTTATTTGAAAATGTTGTATCATTATGTATTTCTTATTGTTCAAAAAGAGGTTGTCTTCACGACAAATGAACCAACACTTTCGTAGCATATGTAATTGATTGCAAACATGCAACTCCTCTATTCAGGGACATCCAATCCAACTCTATTGGCTGACTTTGATACATTTTCTTGTTGATCCATCAATAACCCAGGATTGTACCTCACCAACAATTCAAAATACTCTCGTTGATTCTTTAAAAATATAGCAACATTGTTTAAATTATTCAATTCGTAATTGTTATTGATACCAATCTTGTCATCAATTATATTGTGCAACGTAGTCAAATCTTGCAACTCAGTGTTCTCTGTAGCAGCACCAGAAACACCACCGCCCTCTTTATTTGTTTGCAACTTGTTCTTCTTCAACGAGTCTAGTTTACTGTTTAAATCATCCACTGATTTACCATCTCGTTGAGCTACTGATTTCAAGTATGTATAGTACGCCGTTAATTTAGTATTTTCCTTTTGAGCTTGTGCTGCTAACGTTTTGTTTTCGTATGCGAGTAGTTCTTGTGAAATAACGCGGTATAATTGTTTGAATGTAGGGAATGTCTTGGTTGCAATTGTCATCTTGTTTGGAGAGCTATGGAATACGGAAGAAACCTTCATCCCCCCAAAAGCATTTTTCCACATGTTTCATCAATGTCGCGTTTGGGGAAATACGACAATGCTTAGGCGACAAACACACACTTTTTTTTTCTCTCTCCTCTTTTAACCTTTTCCGCCGTTGATCCCGTTTTCAGCGGTTGAGACCAACGGCCAAAATCGCAGAGGGCAATTTTCTACTTGGGTTAACAAAATGGACTAGATCAATGCTCTTACGGATCTGACTCAAGTGACATTTGTTAGACATGTACAATTGAAAACAAGCAGACAGAGTTGAAATTAAGGTATTGAGTCTCGAAATTTTTCGGGTCGCATTTCCGTATGGTACACACACACAGCTATCCCTTTTGCATATATAACCATCAGAGGAAGAGGGGGGGGGGGGGGGGGGAAGAATAGAAGGAAAAAGGGTGGTGCTGGTAATAGTGTATACCTTAGCATTGTTTCGGTGGAGCACAGTTACTCACGGATCATTAAAAGGGATTGCCTATGGGCAAATGAATGCCCCATAACATTCGGTTATAAATTCCAAATATGTGTGACAAGCTCAAAGTTTATACCTGGATTTGTAGTAACTGTATATATTATTATATAACCAGCTTGTGGCTTTTTTCAACTTCAACCAATTCCCGGATGTTGTCAGCCGGTTCTTTTTTTCTTTTCCAGTCAGTTACAACAAGAGAAAACATACTATGTTATTAAATTTTGATTGTTGAATATTGGAGAAACGGATTCTGTCAAGTGGTCAAATTGGAGTAGCTTTTATTAGACAATGTATGGCTTTTGATATGCCTGTCTCTTTGAATATCGATTCACTCTTGCGTCGTTGTCTTAACAAACACACATGTGACCCCCCTCCCCCCCCCAAAAAAAAAAAAAAAGGAAAAAGAAAAGACTAATTGAAAAGTACATTACTACTGCTACAACGGTGCAATTCCAGTATTGTTTGATTATCCGAACTTGGCATGTTGGATCATTTTTGATCACATCGTCGTCCCAGTTGCTTCAAAAGCAATGAGATGATGGGCTTTGCCATAGCGTATACTTAAACTCCATAACGAGTAATGAATGCGGCTCACTTCTTTTTCATCTATTTTTTTTTTTTCGGAGTTTTAAAATTTCTTTTTTACTCCCTTTGTAACTGCGTTTCCATTGGACCAATCAAATAGCTTCAATCCAATTTGAACATCGGTCAGTATGTCTATACTCACTCTCTTTTTAATTACTTCGCTCCTTATTATAATTTTGATCTTGCAGAATGATACAGCAAGGCAATTCAATCGAAAACTTACATCATCCAGTATAATTAACTAGTCTGTTGATCTTAGAAGTCAATCAAAGAATTCTGATCTCGGAGTCGAACATCAAAAACACAATTATTTTCATTTTAGTGAAATACTGCACACAAAATGATTATAAAGCCGATGGTTCATGAGAGGAGAGTATGATTGAGAACAACACAGTAGAGTAACACCAGTAGAGCTCAAGATCCTTTTGGAAGCACGGATGCCTTGAACAATGACCCGCTTAGAAGATGACCTTTTGGTGTTTACTTTTGGTGTAAGACTGTTTCCAAAAAAAAAAAAAAAAAAAAAGTATGATTTTTGCAACAACCAAGCACTTATAAAACTCAAAACTGTCCTCCTTTCAAAGTGGATTCTTCCTGACTGGTGTCATAGAGGGAGCAATTACATTAAATAGAGCAAATGATTGTTACGTAGGATTGAATTTGGAACATAACACCCTCAATGTGTATCCAACAATACACCCCTACTACAAGAGTCTCTTCTGTTATTAAGTGTTTGTGTCTGTGTGTGTGTCTGTCTGTGTGTTTTGAGGCAACAAAAAAATTTAAATTTAATTCTCTCAATATTTGAAAGAGCAGAAAGACAGAAAGAACGAAAAAAAAAAAAAAAAAAAAATAGACCAAAAGGATATCACATCTTTTATTTTAACATCAATCTATTCAACACTACAGTAATACTATACAATCATGCTTAGAACCATAGCCTCTGCTCAAAGAGTATGTATACCACCTCAATTACACTACGTGATGCTAAAAGAGTTCACACAATTTGCCTGTTTTACTTGTTGCACTGATTTTGGTCAAAAAAAAGTTTATCCGAACATCCAATTAAAAATGACGTTGTCCATTGCAACTCCGAGAACTCTCCCTCACAGCAGAGGTCAGACCCAGGCACACAACGTCAATAAAGTGTACATGTGTAACCGACTACATTACAAAAGAAACTATCATACTAACTTTTGCTTCTTCTAGTCAGCAATTCGTTCATTTGCTACCTTTTCATCTCCTGAATCAGTTTTACCAAAAAAGTATGGTGGAAGATACACTGTTACTTTGATTCCAGGTGATGGTGCTGGTAAAGAAATCACTGACTCTGTTAAAACCATTTTCAAATCACAAAATATTCCAATTGATTGGGAAGTTGTTGATGTTAGTGGTGTTGCTGGTGATTCTGGTAAACATCATGGTGTTGATGAAGCCGTTGAATCTTTGAAAAGAAACAAGGTTGGTTTAAAAGGTATCTTGTATACTCCATCTGACAAATCAGGTAAATCTTTGAATGTTGCTTTAAGAAAAGAATTGGATATTTATGCCTCTTTGGTGTTGATTAAAAACATTCCTGGTGTTAAAGGAGTTTATGAAGGTATCGATTTTGCCTTGGTTAGAGAAAACACTGAAGGTGAATATTCTGGTTTGGAACATCAATCATACCCAGGTGTTGTTGAATCGATGAAGGTTATCACCAGATTCAAGTCGGAAAGAATTGCTAAATTTGCATTTGATTTTGCTCAAAAAAACAATAGAAAATTGGTTACTGCTATCCACAAGGCCAATATTATGAAATTGGGTGATGGTTTATTCAGACAAACCGTCAAGGATGTTGCACAAGATTACTCTGGTATTGCCGTTAATGATTTAATTGTTGATAATGCATCCATGCAAGCAGTTGCTAAACCACAACAGTTTGATGTTTTGGTTACTCCAAACTTGTATGGTTCCATCTTGTCAAACATTGGTGCTGCTTTAATTGGTGGTCCAGGTTTGGTTCCTGGTGCCAACTTTGGTAGAGAATATGCTGTTTTCGAACCAGGTTGTCGTCATGTTGGTTTAGACATTGAAGGTAGAAATACTGCCAACCCAACCGCCATGATTTTGTCTGCCGCTATGATGTTGAGACACTTGGGATTGAATACAGAAGCTGACAAGATTGCTCAAGCTACTTATGATGTTATTGCTGATGGTAAGGTTAGAACCAAGGATATCGGTGGTAACTCATCAACTACTGAATTTACTGAAGCCATTATCAACAAATTAGATTAAGGGAAGAAGTAAAGAGCAGAAATGAAGGGTGGTGGAATAGTGGTGGCATATTATATTAGTTAGTAAAATTCTTTAGACTATCAATATTGGTGACAATATACAATTGGAGACACACACACACGTCCGTGCTATGTTGTAGATTGGGCCCTATTGGCTGCACATGCTTGAGCTTAATGGGCGGAGGAAAAGATTGCAAGCTATTGATTCTTGGTCACCAAGCAACCTTTTTCCCTTTTTGATACTTTTTATTGAGACCTCTAGGCGCTATATATATCTGGATCGCTATCTCACATTTGTATGATTCACCCCAACGGTCGTGCAAATGCGGACACAATTTCTTTTTTTTTTTTTTTTCTTTTTTTTCTTTTTCTTTTTCTTTTGCTTCAAATCGTCCAATTGTGTTTTTGCACCAACCAAAGTCAAGTCCAAATTTAATTTTTTCAATGTTTGACTTCTTCTTCTTTCGGGTTTTTTTTGGTTTCAACGGTTTCAATCGTTCAACTTTTGGGTAATACACTCTAAAAGTTTAAAAGAATTAGATTCATCTAATAGAATTACTATAGATCACCAGATCATGTGTGACGTTGTTTTAGGATCCCAATGGGGTGATGAAGGTAAAGGGAAATTAGTTGACTTATTATGTGATGACATTGAAGTTTGTGCTAGATGTCAAGGAGGTAACAATGCCGGGCACACTATTGTTGTTGGTGACAAGAAATATGATTTCCATATGTTACCCAGTGGATTAGTCAACCCTAAATGTGAAAATGTTATTGGATCAGGTGTTGTTGTCCACGTGCCATCTTTTTTCGAAGAATTGTCAAATTTAGAATCTAAAGGTCTTGATTGTCGTGGTCGTTTGTTTGTTAGTTCCAGAGCTCATTTGGTGTTTGATTTCCACCAAAGAACCGATAAATTGAAGGAAGCTGAATTGTCGGAAAATAAGAAATCAATTGGTACCACTGGAAAGGGTATTGGTCCTACTTATTCTACTAAAGCTTCGAGATCTGGTATTAGAGTTCATCACTTAGTCAATCCTGATCCAAAGGCATGGGAGGAATTCAAAACTAGGTATATGAGATTAGTTGAATCTAGAATGAAGAGATATGGGGAATTTGATTATGATTACGAAGAAGAATTGGCCAGATATGCTAAATACAGAGAAGAGTTGAGACCATTTGTTGTTGACACTGTTGAGTACATGCATGAAGCCATTGTTGCAAAAAAAAAGATTTTGATTGAAGGTGCCAATGCCTTGATGTTGGATATCGATTTTGGTACTTATCCTTATGTCACTTCATCCTCTACTGGTATTGGTGGTGTATTAACCGGATTGGGTATTCCACCAAAGACCATTAGAAACATCTACGGTGTTGTCAAGGCTTACACCACCAGAGTAGGTGAAGGTCCATTCCCAACTGAACAATTGAATTCAGTTGGTGAAACATTACAAGATGTAGGTGCCGAATATGGTGTCACTACTGGAAGAAAAAGAAGATGTGGTTGGTTAGATTTGGTTGTATTGAGATATTCAAATTTGATCAATGGCTATACTTCATTAAACATTACCAAATTGGATGTTTTGGACAAGTTTAAGGAAATCAAGGTTGGTGTTGCTTATAAATTGAATGGTAAAGAATTGAAAAGTTTCCCTGAAGATTTAATCGATTTGGCCAATGTTGAAGTTGTTTATGAAACCTTACCAGGTTGGGAAACTGATATAACCAAGATTAAAAGCTATGAAGACTTGCCAGAAAATGCTAAAAAGTATCTTGATTATATTGAAAACTATCTTCAAGTGCCAATTCAATGGGTTGGTACTGGTCCAGCTAGAGACTCCATGTTGGTTAAACACCACTAAATTTTAGAGGCTGTAGACATTTTATATTATTAGTATTATTCCAATAGATATTTAGAGAGATATACATAGGTGGGGGTTGTGATTGTCCTGTAGAAATCATGCAACAATGGTATGGTTGAGTTTTTGCAATTTGGCCCCAACGCTACCAACACCAACTAAAGTGAATCAAATTCGTTGCCACTGCAAGTTTGTCATTTTCCAAGACTCAATCACGAGTACAACCATGTCGTACAAACTTAGTTCCACATTAACCGGTCACGAGCAAGATGTCAGAGGTTTGGCCAGCTCAACAATTGGCGACGAACCTATGATTGTATCGGTGCTGAGAGACTCCACCACTAGAGTCTGGAATCAGGTCAATACCTCACTGGATTCAGATTCAAAAATTCTCTTCCATTCACCAACTAAATCATTTATCAACTCAGTTGCCATAGTTGAACCAAATGGCGTAGGGGAAAAGTTGGCAGCTAGCGGCGGACAAGATACCATGATTTACTTGAGTGATTTACACAGTATTGATAGTACCGATTTGGATCAAGATGGGAAATATCAATTGATTGGACATGAAGGCAATGTATGTGCAATGGATTTTGCTCATGGTGAATTCATCTCAAGTTCATGGGATGGTACTGCAATTGTATGGAATTTGCAAGAGTTTGTTCCCAAATTTATCCTTCAAGGACACGAATCATCAGTATGGGATTGTAAAATCGTCAACAACAAGAACCAATTCTTGACTGCATCGGCTGATAAGTCAATTAGACTATGGCAAGGGGATCATGAAATTCAAAAGTTTTTGGGCCACACTGATGTTGTTCGAAAATTGTTGATTTTACCTGGTGGTAATCAATTTGTATCTAGCGCCAATGATGGAACCATAAAAGTTTGGGATTTACAAACAGGCAGGATCTTGAAAACATTATTTGGTCACGATTCATTTGTTTATGATTTAGCATTGTTGCCTAATGGGAATCTTGTATCAACTGGTGAAGATCGTACCGTGCGTATTTGGGATTTATCAAAAGGTGAAGCATTACAAGTGATTACGTTGCCTTGTATTTCAGTCTGGTGTGTCACTGTATTGAACAATGGAGACTTTGCTGTTGGTGGTTCGGATAACTTGATACGCGTCTTCACTCTGGTGTCTGATCGCGTTGCGTCACAGGAAGAGTTGAAAGCTTTCACCGAAGCAGTACAATCATCGTCGATTTCGGAACAATCATTGGATGATTTGAAAAAGACTGATATCCCAGGAATAGAGGCATTGTCGAAACCAGGCAAGAAAGAAGGTGCAACCATTATGGTGAAAACTGCCAATGGAACAATTGAGGCTCATCAATGGTCAAGTGGAGAATGGCACAAGATTGGTGATGTTGTTGGTGGTGCAAGCTCGACAAAGAAACAGGTTTATGAAGGAAAGGAATACGATTATGTATTTGACGTTGATATCAAAGATGGAGAACCACCATTGAAATTGCCATACAATTTAAATCAAAATCCATATACAGTTGCAGAAAAGTTTCTTGCTGATAATGAATTACCTTCGTCTTATACTGATGAAGTGGTGAGATTCCTAGAGACCAATACTGCCGGGGCAAGATTGAGTGAAGATGCAGCAGCTGATGCCAATCTGGCACACCTGTCGACTTCGGCCTTGGTGAATGACCCTTATTCAGATGCGTATGTCAGACAACATCAACACCAGGGAAAACCTGAGAGTCACCCCTCAGCAACGTCAATAATCCCTGAGAAGCAGTTTATTGCATACAAAGAATTCAAAAAGGAATCTATACTTAATGGATTGAAAAAGTTGAATGCATCACAGGAAACCAACCAATTCACACCAGATGAATTATCTACTTTTGAATCCTTGGTTTCCAACTTATCATCCGACGGCGCCATCGAATTAATCTTGCAATATGCCACCAAAATTATCTCGTCTTGGGAAACGTCCTCCAAATTAATTGGATTCGATTTGATTAGACTTGCTATCCCTAAAATCACAGCTCATGACTTTTTGACCAAGGAAACCATTGCTGAGTCAGTTTCCAACCTGATTGAACTGGGATTGGAAGTCGTCGATTCATCGAGTGCTACACTATTCATGATGATTATCAAAGTATTGATTAATTTCATTGATGGCGCTGGGTTTATCCAAGCTTTTATTGATCCGTTCGAAGGTGACTCTGCCAAATACATCTACAATACTTCATTCAGCCACATTTTAAGCCAAGTCGGAGATAAAACAACGAAATTGGATTCTTCAGCAAAGCTTTATTCCGCGGCAATTACTGCATTAGCTACATTGGTGTATGACTTGTCAACAATCCAACTCAAAACCACAGGTTTGAATTGTCATTCATCAACTTCAGCAGCACCCGTATTGGACCTTGTGGAGAAAATTGGTGATGTTGTGGTTAGTTCTTCAGCTGAAGCTGGGTATAGATTGGCCATTGCTTATGGAAATTTCAAGTATGCAAATGCTTACTCCAACGCGGGAGCAGCACCACCACCACAATGGTTGAAGAAATGGAATGAGTTGTACTCCTCAAAGGAAAAGAGATTTAGTGATCTTGCCCAAGACTTGGCACTTCTATAGAGAATATAAAACACGTCTACAATATTTTGAAAGTAAAAATTGCTTAAACGTTACATACATTTCGTGTTGATGATGACACAGTAAATCTAAAACTAAGCTCTACTCTACTACTTGATCTCTATGCTTCCTGATAAAACAATTCCGGTACTTTATAAGTATACTGAACCAATTTCTCCGCCGCTTTCAAATTCAAATTATCAGTCAATTCAACAATTGAATAAACATGTACTTTCAAATCAGATGGGTTATGGCTCACTTTTCCAATGATTTCGTAGTTCTTATTCACTTGTAATGTGCCATTACCGTTGGATCCATCCGATGCTGCTGCTGCTGATGATAAATCTAGTTTGATTGATCCATTACTTATCAAAATTGCCTGTTGGTGGTTTGCATCGTATGATTCACATTTGCCGATGATTCGAACTAGGTTGTTTTGGTTCAGTTGTAAGAGCGTAGCGTCTATTCTTTTAGTTGTTGCTTCCATGATGAGCGAGTAGATCTGGTTGAGTTGAAGGGGAATGTACTGTGTGTCACTTGTTTCTATTTTTTTTTTTAAACGCGTCCTTTATAAACTGTTTATTCACGCGAAGTCTTCAAATCATCGAAGGAAACTCCATACAACTGGTAAGTCATACATGAACTTGTCTTTATTAATATATACACATCCTATCAAAATCGTTTTCTGTCTTAGCAAGTACACAAATCATGCAAAAATTCACCTGCTTTCCCATTGGCTTCAGCTCTCATTAGACTTTCACCAATCAAGAACCCATCGACATTATCCTCATACTTGTACTTTTTAACATCATCAACACTAGTGATTCCAGATAATGCCAAAACCAAAACATCGCCCTCTCTACCATTGTTTTCACCCTTTGCATGTTCAACTAAAGAGCTAGTAGTTCCCAAATCAACATTGAAATTGGTCAAGTTACGATTATTAACTCCAATAATTAATGGTTCTGAAGTAGCATTGTCGTGAGTCAATTTCAATGCTTGTGTCAACTCCTTATCATCATTGACTTCAACCAAGGGGACCATCCCCAAGTCCAATGAGTATGAATACAACTCCTGTAGTAAATCAAAATCATCCAACATCTTGACAATGAGTAAAACAGTGTCTGCTCCAGCTAATCTAGCTTCCAAGATTTGATACTTGTTGAAGATGAATTCTTTTCTCAACACTGCTGGTCGTTTATAATTGGCCACCTTTTCAGTTTGTGGACCCTCGATAACCTTACGAATCAATGACAAATCTTCAAGCGAGCCTTTGAACCAGTTTGGTTCAGTCAAGATTGAAATTGTTGAACAACCATTAATGGCGTAAGTTAAAGCCTGAGTTCCAGCATGTGCATTAATGTTAATGTCCCCTTTCGAAGGACTAGCTCTTTTAAACTCAGACAATATAATGGTTTGACGAAGGACTTCTTGAGTGTATTTAAGGCGTTCGTAGAAATTAATCACTGGTGGAGCTACACCTAGTGATAAAGCAACTTCCAAATTGTGGAATGAACGACCAGGTAAATTCTCAATCTCTTTATAGTCCTCTTTTCTTTTCCTGTATATCGTGGTCAAAATATTTTCATTTTTGGCAAATGATTTATTGGCCACTTGTTTATGCTTCAACTTGTATGCCTTGTTTTCCTCCCATGTTCCTCCATGTACACCTAAAATATTGTCAATCATTAACTGACCTGACTCTGTCAAGATGGATTCAGGGTGGAATTGCACACCTTCAATAGTATACGTCTTGTGTCTTACTCCCATGATGACCTCGGGTTTTGTTTCAGTGACTGCAGTAACTTCCAAAACATCAGGTAAGGTCTTTTCGCTACCAGCAAGTGAATGGTATCTAGTAACTGCTACTGATTGTGGTACATCCTCAAACATCCCCTTTCCATCATGATTGATGGTGGTAGTTTTACCATGAACAATTTCTCCAGCGTATGAAACATCACCCCCAAACACATCAAAGATGCATTCTTGTCCCATACAAACTCCGAATATAGGTAACTCCCCCTTGAAGTGTCTAATTACATCACGCGATATACCAGAATCAGTTAAGGGATGTCCTGGTCCTGGTGAAATGAATATTATATCGGGCTTGATCTTGTTTTCAATGGTTTCAATGTCTATTTTATCATTTCTGTAAACATCAACTTTGCCACATCGACTAGATTGATGTAAATATTGGTATAGATTCCATGTGAAGGAATCGTAATTATCGATCATCAACACATGTCTTTTAGGTTCGGAGGAAGAGTCTGCCATTGTCGCTAGATGAGGTGCTTAGAGCCAAACGAATCTGACTAAGAGCCTTCTTTTTCTTCTTTTCCTTTTCTTTTTTTTTTTTTTTTTATTTTTTTTTTTTCAGTTTTTCCGAATTTGGTCTGCGTTTGAGTCATATTCATGTAACAACCGACCCGAGGAAGTCCCTCTTGCAGGTGACTAAAGCTCATTGTATGGTCTAAGACTACATCGTCAACATCATAAAACAAAAAAACACTCTTGAAACTTTTATTCATTACCCTGGTAGTCTATGTAACTTTCTTTTTCCTCACTCTGTAACTGATAGGCTCATAATCCAATTTTCTATTGGTTTGAGTATATTCAACGCCACTCAATATAATCGAACTGATCAACTCCAAAATCAACATAAACAACGACGACAAGATTGCCAAACAGTAATTGGAAATGGAAACTCCAATATCCAACCATGACCCTTCAGTCCGTACCAAAAAGAAAAAATTCAATGAAAGGATATCACTCGTTGATATAATCAATGTCGAAATTGTAAATCTCTTCACCTCCAACTGATGATTCATGATACCCAAACATGTAGATAACAACACATATGGGATAATCAATTTGATCATTAACAACGCTCCCATTGCAAATGGGCTGAAAACAGGTATTAAACGGTAAACTGAATCCAAAGAAAATGAAGATATTGATGAAACATTACCGGTTCCAAAGAATGCCACTTGTAAAAAAAAGAAACCAATGATGGCAATCCTAATCACTTGAACCCAATACCCCTGTGGTAATTTCCCCGTTTCTTGTTGCTTCATTAATATTTCTGCTTGAGAGTACTTGAGAAGCTCTTCAATTGTAAGCCACTGTAAAAGCACCAATGAGAAGCCAATGTAGAATAATAACTCATAAGAAATAGTAAAGATCACAAATGTTGGCACAAATGTAATGAATATAATCAATAATCTGAATCGGTAATCTTTTGATGGGTAGATGGAGTGAAGTGCAGGTAGCACTATAAGTGAAGCCACAAATGTAACCCAACCAAGAACCTGCGAGTACAAGGGAAGCCCATTTCTCGACTGTAATGATACCACAGATGTATCAGTAGCGTATGTGATGAGCGGTATAGCGAGTATTTGTGCCCACGTGATTACTTTTTGTGGAACACCAATATCATAACTTCTCTTTTCAACCTCATTGAATCCAATAATACTAATTGCAAATGCAATTATAGCACCCAAGTTTATAAGAAGCAAGTTTTCCGTTTTGATTGGGTTTAAATTGGTGAATATGCACATGAAAAGACAGCTGAAAAACCATAAAAATTTCATCAATCCTGATACCTTGTATGAATCCAGAATAAACACTGGGTAAACACCAACTATACAAAATATGATTGAAAATGTAAACCTTTCGAAAAATCCATAAGCTATTCCTTCATACATTCCTATGAAACTGGTGAATATAAGAATCTTACCACCAAGTGAAACTCCACGTAGCAATTCACCAACGCCATCAACCAAGTGTCGCGACTCAACCACTATAGTGTACCAAAAGTATAGTGGAAAAGCGGTATACATGTAATAGTTGAATGGGGAACTTTGATAATATAGCAAGTAGGCAAGTGACGCACCCAATACGACAAATGATGATAAAGTCACTGGTGCAAACAGACTTTTGACCTTTTTCAAGTCCTTCTTTGACAAAATGAAAAGCTTCAAAAATAAAATAAACGAATACACGATCCATCCAATAAAGCCCAATGTGACAATAGAACGGAGCAAGGCCCAATTATAAGTGGTCAAGTAATTCAACCCGGCCAATGTTTTCTTCATCAACTCTTCTGTGATTTCAATGGCCAACATTTCGACTTCTGCATCTGGTGCATCCTTTAACAATTCAATCATGCTCTCGATTTCCTTTTGGTAATCTTTAATCGTCTTTTCTTGAAATGGCTCGTATGGTTTGAATTTGAACTGATGGTTATAAACTTCCTTCTCCTTAACGATGTATTGCTCAACAATGGCCAAAGCATTTGCGTAAAGTGCTTTGATCTTGGTTTGTGGGTCGGCATCAATATACCCCAATGGTAACTCACCAACAGAGTTTGCTGGATAATTGGCACCAATCAAGTAAGCCATCAATGAAGCAATATCAGCTTGATTCACGTCATTTCTAACCAAATGATCCAACTCCCACGTGTCAAAGTAAGTAGATTCAAATCCGCTGGCAATTGGATCTTGCTTAAGCAATTGGGTCTCCAAGTGCTCCACATCTTTTAAACGAACCGGCTTGTTAAGTCCAGCACCCCAAGCAATCAAGGGAGTTCTCGTATTATCAGGATGACCATCTCCATGAGATCCAAAATCAGACATACCGTGATCAGCAGTGAAAACGAAAGCTGTCTTGTCATCACCAAAAAATTCATTGATTTGCGGAACAACCTTTTTCAACATTGAATCAATATACTCGATATTTTCATAATACTCAGCTGAGTACGGACGATAAGCATGACCAGCGGTGTCTGGCCCCAACAAATGTAAGAAAAATACGTTTCCATCTTGGTGTAGTTCCTCATGCAAGGTGGCATTTTTCGTCAGATTGCTCAAAAGATCATCAAAATGATTAAACACAAATGAATCCAATTCAATTGAACTCTTGCTGAAATCTTCAAATTCGTGTGCATACATACAGACATCAATTCTCCCGGGAACAACACCATCTCCATAGGCAAACATGGGCAAGATATCGGGACTTCCAAATGAATAGGTATGTTTTGATTGATTAAAAAATGAATCGAAATTCACCGGATTCTCTTTCCATCCTTTGGTAACAGCAGAAACATCCTCATAAAATCCAGCAATCATTGCGACATGTCCTGGTCGTGATTCCGTTGGCATCCTCGTGTTTGATATTCCCCACGTTCCATTATTCAATGCCAAACTTCGTAAATATGGTGCCAAGTATTTATACTCTCCTGTTCGAGGATGTGTCAACTTCTGAAACGTCTTATCTGCTCTAAGTCCATCACCTACTATGAGAAAGATTCTTTTCGCTGGTGGATCGTAAGTGGAAACGTGGTGGTCCATGCCATGCACTAAAGGCAGGACAAAATAAATGTCAAAAATAGACCATAGATAGAAAAAATGGAACAACAACCCAACTGACAATAGCAATTTTCTGTTCCTATCCATGATAATGTGAGTGAGACTCTGTTGTCTGCAGCGAATGAATGAATGGATGGATGTGAACAGAGTTATTCTACGAATTCTGCTATGTGACGTGTGCAAAAAAATAGCTCTCTTGAATAAAAACGCGTAAATTTTCAGAAAATTCATTGTGAGTTTTTGTGTCCCCCTACAATCACCACTAAGGTTGTTGTTCTACTAACAGGCTTTGTTGTGTTTTTTTTTTACACTCTATATATCTTTATCAAACCCAGTTGGGGTCGTGTTCTTTGATCTTCCTGATCCATTGACAGCCTTGTTGAAACAATGTCATAGTATGACTAAACACACGGAGAGCCTCTTGGTATTTAGTAATCACTTCCAAGTCTCGCTGCAAGCAGGTATTGTACACGCCTAGGTTGTGTGTATCCTGTAAATCATTCACTGTTTCAAAATAGGCAAAGTCTCTTTGAGTTCTTTCGATCTGATACTGAACTATAAGCTCCTTGTATTCAATAAACAACATTTGATAATTCTCCACTGATTCGACGAATCGCTTCCACTTTGTACGACTTATATTCGGACTAAGATCAAGAGGGGGAGGATTTGGCGGTGTAAAATTGTGAACTTCGGGGGACGCATGGAAATCCAATACACTAAGTCGTCGAGCTGATGATCTTTCGTCACTAGTGTGGAACCGGGCAGCTGAATGACCGCGAACTGTATTTTTATTCAATGGCGTTGCCAAAGTCTCAGCACTTGACGTACCGTCAGTGAACTGAGCCGATCGTGTTCTCCTCGATGTGGTGTTTGCTGAAATATTCTCCGAGTTTGTGTTTGGTTGCTTTCTCTTCAGACTTTCTGGGAGGCTATCCTCCAAATCTCGGAAATCAACCTCTTCGATGTCTCCTACATTGATATCCAAGTTGCCCATATCGAAAGCTGAGGAGTTGTGACTAGTACTGATTTTAAATCGTTTGTGCGGCGATGCCATTCGATGTCGCGTATACGTCGTCTGTGGTGGTGCTGGCTTGCCTGGTGAAATGGGTGAGCTCTTCTTGTCTGGTCTTGTTGGCAAGGTAGTACTACTCCTTGGTGGAGCTTTTGGTTTCACATTGAATGGAATGTATTCATCTAATTTTTCAGGGGCGTACTCAGCATCAGCTTTCTCGTCAGTGAAAGGATGAGTGCCATTCTGGGTATTAGTAGTATCACTTCTAGGTACTGCATTTGACGAACGGTTCAGTTTCATGCCAGGCGGTGTCTCCTTGATTATAGTAATTTCGTCATCATCATCATCATCATCATCATCCAGATGATACGATCCATCCGATATTATTATGGGTTCAATATCGGGTATGTCATTGTTTGATGTAAATGGGTTGATTTGTGCTTTTTTAAACTTAGCCCTCTTCTCCCCACTTGAATCACCATTTTTGCGACGTTTGCTTGTGGGCATATACTGTTCCTCTGTTGCATTTGAGTCATTAGGTTGGTTTTTTTTTGATTGATAAAACTTGTCCTCCTCGCTGGGATTCAATTGGGATTTCAAAAATTGGTTGGCAGTTTCTGCAGCATCAATCATATCTCGTCGCCTTTGTTTTGCTTCTTGATATTCTTTGTTTTCTTGCTGGCTTTTTGAATGCAGTGGTTGGTGGTCGTATGGATTATAATCTTCATTAGGGTCATCAAGGGGGGGTTCAGAAGCTCCATTTGTACTTTGATTTTGGCCAGCGGTCTTTCCCGTGTATGCGGTGTCAGCTTCTTGCGCTTCTCGTTGCTTCCTTTGTTTCCTTTGCTTCCTTTGCTCTTCGGCCTCTCGCTGTTTTGATTCCTTCATCTTTTTTATTTCAGCCTCCATTCTTTTCCTTTCTTCTTCCTTTCTCTCAATCTCCTTTCTTCTAGCTTCAGCTCGTCGCAACTCCTCCTTTCGTTTAGCTTCTGCCTCTGCCTTCAACATCTCTACCAATCGCTCTCTACTCCTTTTCGCCCGTTCAGCAGCAGCAGCAGCTTGCCTTCGTTGCTCTTCTTGTGACTTGTGGAATGCTTGAAAGTATGCTTGTTCGGTTGAATGTGTACCAGACTTACCCTCACTACCACCACTATTTCTTGCATTGGATGCAGTATGCCCACTATGTGAAAACCTACTGTAGTACTGTCTACTAGAGAACGTTTGCCCTGGACCTGATGTTGAGAAATGTGCGTAAGTTGTATACGAAGGTTGAAAAGTTGGTGGTGTATTGGGCGCGCTAGTAGGTACTTGGGGACCTGTAGTGTTATTATATTTTTCATAATGGTTTCGTATCACCTCAAAGGCGGCATTGATCTCCTTAAATTTTTCATGATGGGCTTTGTCAGGTGTCTTATCTGGGTGGTATTTCAACGAGAGCTTTCTGTAAGCTCGCTTTATATCAGCAAAGGAAGTTGTGGGAGTCACTCCAAGAGACTGGAAATGATTGATAGTTGGAAATGACATGTTGCCTGCACATTGATTGTATCAAGCGTGTGCAACTGGGGGAAATCGACCCTTTGAATATAGTTAAGATGTGGTGATACCAAAGTGTGTTTTCTAGTCTATGCGCTAAAACATTGTTTCTCTGTTTTGTTTTTTTTGCACGAAAGTGATCTCCATATTTAAGTATGGAACCACAAGTGAAGAGGGAGCTAGAGCAAAGGTTACGGGTGTAATATTTAAGCACTAAAGGATACGAATAGGATCTTGTATCATTGGTATTAATCGCATTTAAAATTACATAAACAAATCCCTTTCCAGATCTATTATGATAGCTCATAATCGTCAATCTTGTTTCTATATTTAAGCAAATTTCTCTTAATCTTTGAACCATCTACCCAAGTCAAATAATCCTCGAGGTTTCTAGTTACAAGGTAAGCGGGATCAGTAATCACATTGGGGCCAACTCTAACATGACCTTGTTCAACAAACTTGACGGCATCTCCCAAAGTCTCCGCCATTTTCAACCTACACATAACAACTCCAATTCTTCTTCGACAAAGGGCACTAACGGTAACTTTGTTTTCTAAATCACTGATTTTGGATTTGGTGGCTAAAACCCCCATATTATATAGCTTTTCGAGTAACAATTGCTCGTGTTTTATACGAAACGGATCTGTTGGTTTGAGTAGTGATAGCTTGTGGGCGAGCTTCCTTATGTCACCGCATATCTTATTGTATTTATGGTAATCTTCTCTATTTTGAATATGGTATGTTCTCATCACCTGGGTATCTCGATGTCCTTGATCTTGCTTCCAGTCAAGGAAGTCGACTTTCTTTAAAAGCTTCTTTTCATGATGTTTTAATGCCCTGACCATGCTGGTTTACTAATACGTGGTTGACTGACTTTAAGTTGAGCGAGTTGGAGATCTTTTTGCACAAGAGATGAGCTTTGAATAACTCGAACTCAATTTTTCAAAAGGGCAGAAATGTAACGGTAGCGCAATCCACTCTGGAACAAATTTTCAGAAAATTTTCAGAACGAAGTTAAACGCTAAAAGCTTTGTGACTTTCAGTGCCAACTCAACCAAGTTTCCATAATGTATTCCATATGGCGTACGCTGACTCGCTACTTTTCAACATCCAGGCTCTGCCTATCAAACATTGGTAAAAAACCAATCAAAATTACCGATGGTGTTTCCTACTCAATCGAATCGATCCCCATAGAATTTTGCAAAACATTTACAAAGAGAAACAAACGATTTGTCTTGGATAGACAAATTGTAGTGAAAGGACCACTTGGTGCAATTAGAACCGAATTGCCTAAATTCATACATATTCATACACCACCAGAGGGTGACAATCACCAAATCTCAGTCAAAGTGGAAAGACCACTCAACAAAACCCAAAGGTCTCTATGGGGTACGATACGTTCAGCTATACAAAATGCAATTATAGGGACAAGTGAAGGTCATTTATCAATCGTCAAATTTGTCGGTACTGGGTACAGAGCTATAATTGAAAAGAATGAAAAGGGAGAAGATGTGGTTGCATTGAAAATTGGGTTCCCATACACGCCGAAGTTGGTTGTTCCACCTGGATTGAAAGTGAGTAGTCCTAACCCAGCTAGGTTGGTTATTGAAGGATGCGATAAGCAGCAAGTTAAATTATTTGCTTCGTTGATTAGAGAGTACAAGAAGCCTGAACCTTATAAAGGTAAAGGTATCTTTGTTGACGGAGAGACCATTGTGCTTAAAGAAAGAAAGATCAAATAGATGGATGGCCTCATGGGCTTTTCTTGTTATGTAAATACTGTTTTATTTGCACGTTTTGTAAATACTAGTTACCTCGTAGTTTCTGCATCAGCACACTCTCAGTCAATCAATTTTTCACCAAATTTTTTTATTTTTTTTCATCAACCAAAAAAACACCATCAATATCATTTGCAATTAGCAGAAACACTCATAGCCAACTAAATCCATGTTTTGTATAAAACTGCTAAGTGCAACTTTGGCTCCTGTTTCCACTCAGTTTATACGAAACGCAGCACAACTAACATCCATCCATGCCATCACATCACTAAAAACTACTCCACCCACGAAGAACCATTCAGTTGAAGAAGGCAACAAGCGCAAACAATTACTAGAAAGACCGGGCTTATTTGGCATCAAACAGGGTATGATAACTTGGTTTACTTCAAAGGGAGAACAAATTCCAGCAACAGTTTTAGAGATTGATTCTGTTGAAGTTATTGGCCACAAGACTAAAGAAGAGTATGGCTATGATGCCAACATCATTGGCACAATAGACAAGTTGAAAAATTATCCACGATTACACGAATTGGAAATGTTTAACAAGGCAGGCACATCACCCAAATACAAGTTTGGAGAATTTAGAGTCCGTGATTCCACTAATTTGATTCCCTTAGGCACTGAACTCAAAGCTGATTATTTTGCCGTAGGACAGTTGGTTGACGTTAAAGGTGTTACCAAGGGTAAAGGTTTTGCTGGTGTTATGAAGCGTTGGAATTTCAAAGGTGGTAGAGCAACCCACGGTGTTTCCAAAGCCCATAGAACTCCAGGTGCAATGGGAGGTAATCAAAACCCCGGTAGGGTCTTGCCTGGTAAAAAGATGCCCGGTAGAATGGGATGTTCAAACATGACTGATTTCAATAAAGAAGTGTTGCATGTTGATGGCGAAGCAGGAATTTTGATCTTGAAAGGATGTATTCCAGGTCCAAATAAGGGTATTGTTAGAATCTCTGATGCCGTCAAGTTGTACGGCAAATCATTGAATCAACTTGCAAGAGAGTAGAGATAGAGAGGTGTGTACTTGTACATAAAAAAGAACGTCCTAAAACAGAGATAAATAGTGCAGTTTAACTAATCGACAACTTGACCTAACTTGACCCCCTCGTTCATAACTATTTCATCATCCACATCAATCAAACTCCATCTTGATCTTTTTAAAACAACAAATCACCCGACTTGAATTGTCCCAAAAAGTAGGAAATGAAATTTGATTGAGTACAACAACATAAAGATTGAAGCATCTTCAAAACTCAAAAGTTGAAAAAGGTTTCCAAAAATTAAAACAATTAAAACACCATTTGACTTAAAACGGAAGACAATTCCCGGATGGTTCTGGGAAAAGACAAGAACCATGTTCGTTGATGAAATTGATCTTCTGGTGTGAAGAAAGAAGAAGAAGAAGAAGAAGAAGAAGAAGAAGAAGAAGAAGAAGAAGTAAAAGAAACGAGAAAATCTTTTTTTTTCTGTTCTTCAAAAGAGTTCGAGAGTTCACTCTTTGTTGATAATTGAAAATTGTAAATTGATAGTGCACGTGATCCAAAGAGAAATCCTAGGCAAATTGCATCCACACCTTCATTCATACCACCACTCCATCCATTGAATCGAAATATGAACCTTTTATATATTCAAATAGACATTATACATAGAGCTATTACCACCTAGCTACTAAGAAAGAAAAAAAAAAAAGAAGATACAAATTTTAAAACAACTACTTCTACTAACCCCCTTCCCACATCCCAGCTAAGCTGCCCCTCTAATCATCATCCAATTCAGAGGGCCTAATCAATCCACCAACTTGTAAATCCTTTTCACGTTGCTTTCGATCAATTTCAATCTTCTCCAACTCCTTATCCTCAGCAAACAAATAATCAGTAGGATCACCACCAAATTGTTTCAACTGAACGAGGAAATCTCTCAATGTTGCTTTAAATTTGAACAAATCATCATAAACTGAAGTAATAACTTTCAAGAAATTGGTCAATTGTTCTGGTTGTAAGTTATCAAATGCCGATGAAAGCAACTGTGAAAGGTATTGTTTCAAGTAATCGGAATTTGATGTTCCTTCTGGTGCTTGTGAAGATGTGTAAAGTGGATACTTGATAACATTATCCTCAACTAAATGGATCAATTGAGCCAATAATTGCGCTTGATATCTAAATCCGGCTTTATGATCGGGTTGCGTGAATACGTACAAAGTATCAGACAAGATTTGGAAATAGAAATTTTCATAAAATGCCTTGGTGAAGGGAGTATCACCCAAGTGTTCGACATTTTCAATCAAGTTCAACGTCAATGATAATCCATTATCTTCAACATCTCTATTATTATGCTTGAATGCCCAAAGTGCAGCATTAATTAATGATTGGAACGCTTCGCCTGATAATTGCAACAACCCTTGGAATGATTTGGCATTGATTTCTTTTAAAAGTTTGTAAAATTCAACACGATGTTCAGGGTATTCAACAAAATCATTCTTGATCATGTCCAAAGTACACTCAAATACATTTTGCAAAATTAAAACCACACCATCGGGTATCAATGGCCCCACCTTTGCCACCAATGCAGTCATACATCTCAAAACCTCTGCATCTCTAGCATCAGGTACATTGGAGCTATAGTCTTCTAACACGGCACCAAATAATGAGGAAGTCAAATCTCTAACAATTTCCTCCAAGTTTTCCGCTTGGTTTATATACGTTTCAATCATTTTCAAAATCTCCTTTTTAATGGTTCGCAAACCTCTAACTTTGGGGGTCTTGGTAGCAATGATGCCATCCTTTGCAACTGCATCGGAAATCATTGATGAAACGGCCTTATACAATGACAACATGTCCACATACAAGCCTCCCAATTGTGGGTAAAACCCGGGACCTAGAGCTTTACAAACAGCAACATTGGTTTTAATGATATTGGCAATGATCTTCACAGTTTCAGTATTGGTCAATAATGTAGGATCTTGACCCGCTTGTTGTATTATTGAAGTCCAGGCCATATTTGGTAATGCCATTAATTCACTCAACAATTTGTTTCTAGCTTCTTTGTTGTTTTGAGCGCTGACTATTATACCACACGCTTCGTAAAAAGTGTGCACCTGCTGTGGTTGCAAATCTTCGGTGATTGATTGAATATCCCTGATGATTTCATTAATGAATGGTTCACGTTCATTTTGCTGTACAACAACAAAATGACGTTTACATTTGGTGGTGATTTTGATAAATGTATCACAAGCCATATCTTGAACACCTTCATGAGTTTCATGCATAAACTCAAAAAGTTTATTAACCACTGTTTTCAAAAACTTCCAATGAGCTTTCAAGAATCGAGGATATTGACCAACAATGTACATGATATTGGAAGCGACAACTGCCTTGTTATCTTTACCTCTCTTCATCTCCGTCAATGATAGCAAATCCTTGATTACATTGACCAAAAACCTCTTTTCCATATCTTCATTCATGGCACCAGAAATGGATCCAATTGCCCAACACAAGGTATTTATATTTTGCCATGACCATTCACTTTCATCAAGTTGTCTTGAAAGTTTTTCAATCATAATTTGTTCAGTGTCGATAACATTCAAATGAGTCAAGTAAACCAAAACTTCTCTCATTGATTTATATAATTGAATGGTGTCACTTTCCTTGACAAATTCACGAACAATTTCACCTTCATCATTCTCTACAACCAAAACTTCTTCAGGTCTAGCCATATTCTCAATTATAACTAATCTCAACCTCGACAAGATATCAGCATATTGATGTTGTCTTAATGGGAATTTGGCCAATTCTGCGGGATCAGGAGCACCACCAGATGAACCAGCTTTTATGGTGCTGCCATAAGTCAATTGCATCATCGGACTCAACTCATTATTGGGTAAATTTCTAGTTTCAACAAATAGTTGATGGACAAAAATTTGCCAAAAATCTAAACAAGTTTTGAATAATTCACGTTCTTCAATTCTTGACAATTGTAACAAGTAAATCAACGCATTTTGAAGTAAATCTTTAGCTTCTTGATGTTGTTCCAATACCGATAAATGGTTTCCCAAGTACGAACACAAAAACATGGCCATATCTTGTAAAAATGATTGATCGGCTGTAGAGGCAACTTTATAACTTTCCTTCAAGTTTGTAGTAATGGGGACAATATTGTAAAATTGTTCCATTGTGTTTTTGAAAAATAACAATGTTTTGGCATTTTCTTCTGGCAAGGTGCTAATTTCTGTCAAGCATTTCAAAGCAATTGCTCTAGTATCAACTGGAGCTAAAAACTTGGTTGACAAGATATCCAATAAATTAGTTTGGTAAATGTAATTTGAAGGAATCCATTGAATATATCTCAATAATGCATTCAATGTGGCGATAACCAATGATGATTTGGTGGTTTTATCCAATACTTCGTAGCACAATTTGAAAATTTTTTCAAATTCATTCTTCATACTAATTCTCAATTGCTGTGCTTTAGCTTGAGTCAATTGATCTTGACTGTAGTCAAATACTTCTTCACTGAGCAATTTGAGTACAATCATATTGTTTTCACATACATTGTATGAAGATCTTGAACTAGCAACGACTTCCGGAATAAATTCTGGCCAATTGTGAGGCCATTCTTGTTTCAAAATCGACACCAAGGTCAAATCAATCTTATTGATTAAAGCACGTTGAGTTTCAAATTCAGTTTCATCATTACATAACGAGATAATCATATTAACAATGAAATTTCTAATACCAATTCTTTCTTCCTCAGGAATCATTTTCCATCTATATTGAATCAATTTGTTTAAACATGACAAGGCAATGTATTTAGATTGCGGGTTTGTAGAATTGGACAAAATATTATCAACAAATTTCCATGATTCGGGATGTTCTTGAAATCGATTCAATACTGATTGTGCTTGTTTCTGATTTTCACCAGAACCTTTGTAAAAAGCATCAACAGTTTGATCAAACAATGCAATGTCTAGATCAGTTGAAAAGTCCAATATTGATTCCATTTTTTTTTGGGGAGGGGTAGATGTGTGATGACTACTCTTTAGTGGGTGGGTGTGGTTGTTTTAAATGTTCCAAATTCAGTGAGATTTGATACGTTTTGAATAACTCTGAATCAATCTGTTGAGTCAATGGATTGGTATATTGATTAGTTGTGGTTGTCGCTGTGCTTGACGTGTTGATAAGAGATATATATGTGTGTATGTGTGTATGTGTGTGTGTGTATATATATATATGAATGTAATGTGGTGATGGGAATGTTGGAATTCTGATTGGTATTGGTTCTTAAGGTGTAGAAGATTTTTTTTTTTCTGCTTCTGTCTTTTGTCATTGTCTCTTCTGCGTCTCTTTCTTTTGCCACTTTGTTTTTATAGTTCAAAGACGCAAGCAATATACAACAAACACTTTACAAATATAGTATAGCATAGCTTACTATAAACACTACAAGTTAGTGTTATTAAGCTAAGGGATATATAGATATATATTTAAGAAGGAATGTATCTATATATATATATATATATATAGCAAATGGAGATAATCAAGATTAGCTTTTCATTTGTGTCGTGTCGCACTTCAGTTGCGACAAGAACACAACAACAAAACACACCAAACACTATTGAGAAAGAGGAACCAGAGGAAGAACATATACTAAATTGTAGTTTACAAAAGTGAATGGTAGGATCTACAGTTGATGGCATATAATGTAATATGATTTTACATCTACTTTAATCCAAATTGTGTATACTCCAAATACTTTCAACTTTGTTCATTTTATAGTTTTACTCCTCTTATACATTTTGTTTTAAAAACTGTAGTTAGTACCCAGAACACCTTCATTCGCCCCCCCCCTTCCGTTCAACGAACAATTCGTTTCAAGTATGGAGTAAATGTATTTCTTCCCTCCTTAAAACTACTTCTTGTACTCTTTATCAATTGTTTTGTTTTGTTTATATACTATAGATCCCTTGTCTTTCTACTCTGAGTATTTAAAATTGATGTTTTCTTTCAGTTTTGCAACCAAATTGGGGGGGATTACAACAACCGGAAAACAAGTTGGATACCTTCCCAATATATGATTGAAATCACCTTGCAATCAACTGTAGACTGGTTATCCTGCTGGTTTATAAAGGCTGATTGTACCACAACCGATACGAGACAACTCCAACAAGATTTAACTGAGTTTCTCGGTCACATTGATGCCAATCAGTTCACATTTGTAATCCTACACCAATCAGATTGGTACATATACAACTTCTTCCAAATGATGCTATTGAAAACAAACAAGAGTATAATTGTCAACTACTTGGGTAAAAATTCACTGCCGCAACAACACTTACAAAGCATATCTGCATTGGTTAAACAAGTTGATGCAATGGATTTGAAAATTGGGTTTGATTTATCCATGGAGCAATTGGCCTTTCTCATGTTGAATATACCGGGTTTTATTAATCATTTGACACGTGGTGGGTCGATTGAAGACATTGATGTTGATGTTGTATTTCAAGAGTTTGTACAAAAGTACGCCTCCATCAAGCTGATTGTCACTTCAAATGAGTTTACAATAGAGTAGAAGAAGGAGGAATTTTACACCCTACAGTTGGATATATACTAAATCATCGTTTTTATAAAAGCATATTGTAGATTATACTTTCAAAAGAGTGTTGTGTCCTCTTACTTGCTGGCAAATGCAACACCCTTTTCAATATTTTTAGATAACTGTTCAATAGCAACTTCCAATAACTTCTTTTCATCATCATTAACCTTATTCAAGATATCATATTGTACTTCTTCAATACCATTCTTGCCCAATTTAACTGGCAATGAAAAGAAATCCAAATCCTTAACCAATTTTCTGGCTTCAGAAGCACCTTTAATCTTTGAATCCAAGTTCAAAAATGTACATTCAACAATACCATTTTCGCCTCTAACTGCCTTCAAAATAGATTCAGCCAATCTGTAACCAGCGTAGGCCATTGACAAAGTAGCTGATCCAGCACCATTCTTGGCTTGAACAACTTCATCACCTCCAAATTGAACTCTGTGAATCAAAGCCTTCTTTTGTTCTTCATTCAATTCATCATAATACTTTTTGGTAGAGCCAATTGAGTACAAGGGAACAATGGTTTCACCCGAATGACCACCAACAACATTAACGTTGAAATCAGTTGGCTTGGTATCCTTTGGATACAATTGAGCAATAAAAGTATTGGCTCTAACAATATCCAAAGTAGTAACACCAAATAATCTAGCTGGATCGTAAACACCCTTTTTCTTCAAAGTTTCTGCAAAAATTGGCACAGTTGAATTGACTGGATTAGAAATAACCAAAACAAATGCCTTGGGACTATTTTCAGCAATACCTTCAGCCAAACCTTGACAAATAGATGCATTGATATTGAACAAGTCATCTCTAGTCATACCCGGTTTTCTTGGAACACCAGCTGGAATAATAACAAGATCAGCCCCCTTTAACGCATTAGCCAAAGCAGTCTTGTCTTCCTTTGAAGATGGTAAAAATGATTCAGTAGTGGAGTTGGAGTTGATGTGTCCTAAATCCGCACCAACACCAGGGACATTGACAACATCAAATAATGCCAATTCATCAACATTGGGGTTCAATTTGGTTAATAAAGATAATGGTTGACCAATACCACCAGCGGCACCTAAAACTGCGACTTTAACCATTGTGTTTTATAATGTAGTAGTATGTAAGTTGTTGTTGTAGTTGTTGTGAATATGAAATACCTGTATTTCAATTGACTCTGATTCTAATGAAAATAGTTTTCAATTTTTTTTTTTCCAAAGGAGGTGGAATAATTTGTTGAAGTTATGTTTATATTTATATACAAATACATAAATATTTTGACGCCCAATGGAAACGTTTTATATTGTGTGTGTGAGCATGTATGTATGTATGTATGTATGTATGTATGTGTTAGTGTGTGTTTGTGGTGTGTTTTTACCCCATACCGTATTACATAATACATCCACCACTTGCTTAGTTAATTAGTACGTTATATGTTACGATTAACTTACGTAAAGTGTCTGCTGTGAAATATTTTTCAACATTCCGCATTTCGCCGTAAACCAATAGATCACTCCAACTTTCTCCGGGGGACGAAGTAAAACAAGGTAGAAATTACACATGCGATTTTGACCGAGGAAGTTAAAAGGGGGTCCTTTTATAAAAACTATTTTAGCTTGAGTCCAATCGTTTAAACCACAGATTGTTAAACCGTTGGATTTAAGCATCATTCTTACGCAGTTGAATACCCAAATGAAGGATAGAGGGAGCTTAAAATGTTATTGAGTTTCCAAATCTCCACATTGAAGATTATCCAGAATCAAAACAAAGCTCTCAAAACTGTGATCTGACGCACAAATAGTTGAGTAGAGTACCAAAAACTGACGATCTGATTCAGTGGAAAAGGCTGGTGGGTAATCTGACTTAATAGAATCCTGAAAAAAATAGGAGACACACTTTTAGTAGAAGTCACGTGCAATAACACTCAACAAACTGAAATTCTCTTGGACGTACAATTGCACCCCAATAATCTATTTTGCATATACAAACTTTTATCCAATTTTCGAACGGTATGCTGGAAGAAAAGGTCCTTTCATCTTGTTGTACCATTAAGGTTACTTGTTCTTAGATGTAACATTCATATGGTGTACACATATTTATATATGTATACATGTATATATATATATATATATATATAATACGTCATAAAAGCGTTTTTTTTACTTATAAGTCGTGTACATCAACACAATTACAAGGGAATGTATTTTATTTTATTAATATAAGTTATATGCAGTAGTACACACACATAATTCAAGTTCTTCCGTAATCTTCGGTGCAACACCATTTTCTTGATTTAGTGTGAGAGTGACTATTTTTAATCTTCATTGCATAAATAGTCTCTCATCAACGAAACAACACACATCCGACACCCCACCCACAAACAAACACACCCACACACACACTTATATATCGTATTTCATCTCATTTGCTCATTTAACTCTCATCACAACTCAACTCCCAACATCTTCAATTTGCATTTGAACTACTTAATTCAAAAACAAAAGTATTCTTTACAACTACTCTTTTTTTATTTTATTTATTGCAACACATACACCCACTACTTCCAACTATGCTGTCTCAACTGAGTACTACCGATCAGATATCTCATACTAGACACCATAGAAGACAATCTTCTATGTCAAGTGACGAAGATCCTTTTGCTTTAGCTGAAAAATATTATGGTGACAATAGGAAAAAGAATTTTGGTAAAAACTCCCCACTAAATAGGGTTCGGACTTTTAGTACCTTTGAATCAACATCAACAAAGCAACAGTTTCTAAAGGAGTTGAATGAACCACATCCCATTACTGACTCCATTAAGGAAGGATCCGAGCCTCCAAGTTCAGGTGAGTCAAAATCACCATCTCCACTGCTGCAAGTAGCAGGAGGAGATAATGGAGGAGGAATTGCATTTTGCAACACTCCAGGTTCGGGTGCCAAAGTAAATTTCAACCTCCATATGAATCATGATACTGATGCTGACGAAGACGAAGAATACGACAAGGAAGAGACCCTTGATAAGAAGAAATTTCCCAAGTTAAGTCGCGAGGTGTCACCAGACTCTGTCACACCCGATGATATTGATATCGATGGAGCTCAAGAAAAAAGGTTTATTAGACAAGCAACTGAACTGGCCATGAAAAAGAAACCTTCCATTGTACCTCTTTATCAACACGAAGACAACTCACAATCATTGGCACCGCCACCTCAAAACACCCTTCATTTCAGAAGAGCATCGTTGGATGACTCCATTCTTCGTCCGAAAAAGTACTACATTAGTGATGTCCAAGAAACTTTAAAGGAGTTGTTGGAAAATGAAGATACTGATAACAATTGCCAAATTACAATCGAAGATACTGGTCCCAAAGTGTTGAGATTGGGGACAGCGAACTCCAATGGATTCAAACTGTCATCAGTTAGAGGCACTTACATGTTGAGTAACTTGTTGCAAGAATTGACCATTGCTAGTAGATTTGGTAGACACCAAATTGTTTTGGACGAAGCAAGATTGAACGAGAACCCCGTCAATAGAATGAAACGATTGATTTCAACTTCGTTTTGGAAGAATTTAACTAGACGTATCACAAGGGAAAACATTGTTGAAATGTCCAGAGATACAAAGATTAAGGAATCTTATGTTGATGAAGATGGCAAATTGCATGAAGGCAAAGAAAGTTATAGAATCTATGTTCCCCACAACCGCAAGGATCAATATGATTTCCTTATGAAGATCAAAAATAGCTCAAAGGATATTCCCTTGGATGTTCAATACTTGCCAGAAAAGATTGATGCTGACTATATAAAATCAATCAACAAGAAACCAGGTTTGTTGGCCATTGCATCGCGTCCTGATCCGAATGATCCAAATAATTTGACTGGGTGGCCATACGTTGTACCAGGTGGTAGATTCAACGAATTGTATGGTTGGGATTCATACATGGAAACTCTTGGTTTATTAACTGATGTTCATCCTGGCCAAAACCTTGATCATTTGGAACTTGCTAGAGGAATGGTTGAAAATTTCATATTTGAGATTGAATATTATGGGAAAATCCTAAACGCAAATAGATCGTATTATTTGGGTCGTTCGCAACCACCATTTTTAACCGATATGGCGTTGAGGGTATTTAACAAGATCGTGGAAACCGATCCTGGTGATGTCAATGAAGCGGTTGATTTTTTGCGTCGTTCAGCATTGGCTGCTATCAAGGAGTACGAAACCGTTTGGTGTTGTTCTCCAAGATTGGATGAACGTACAGGACTATCATGTTATCACCCAGAGGGTAAAGGTATTCCACCTGAAACCGAAGCTTCTCATTTCAATGCTATATTGAAAGATTATGTTGAGAAATATGGCATTAGTCAAGCAGAGTTTATTGAAAAATACAACAATGAAGAGATTAAAGAACCCAAATTGGATGAGTATTTCTTGCACGATAGAGCAGTTAGAGAATCTGGTCATGATACTTCATACAGATTAGAAGGTAAGTGTGCATACTTGGCCACAGTGGATTTGAATTCACTTTTGTACAAGTATGAAAACGATCTTGCATTTATTATTTCAAATTGCTTTAATGATCTATTGGAAGGTAAAGATGGTAAAGTCCATTCATCGGAAATTTGGATTGAGAGGGCCAAACAACGGAAAATAAATGTCGACAAGTATCTTTGGAATGAAAAAGATTGCATCTATTACGATTATAACGTGCATGAACACAAACAAGAAGATTATGAATCAGCAACATGTTTCTGGCCTTTATATTCTAAATTAGCTTCAAAAGAACAAGCTGCGAAATTAGTTGATGTTTCAATCCCCAAATTTGAAGAACACGGAGGTTTAGTTGCCGGTACGTTGAAATCGAGAGGTGAAGTTGGATTGAGTAGGCCCTCACGTCAATGGGATTATCCATTTGGCTGGGCTCCACAACAAATTTTGGCTTGGATTGGGTTGGTGAATTATGGATTTGATGGTATTGCCAGAAGATTAGCTTATAGATGGCTTTACATGATGACAAAGTCATTTGTTGATTACAATGGAGTTGTTGTTGAAAAATACAATGTCACGAAAGGTGCAGTTCCCATCAGAGTGGATGCCGAGTATGGTAACCAAGGTTTAGATTTTAAAGGTGTTGCTACTGAAGGTTTTGGATGGGTTAATGCATCCTACTTGTTTGGATTAACGTTTTTGGATCTTTATGCACAAAGAGCCTTGGGTACATTGACTCCACCCGATGTGTTTTTGAGAAACATGCATCCATCTCAAAGGAAAGGATATCAATGAGCCGGTGCTAGTTTTGTTGGTGGTGTCAACATGAAGTAGCAGTAGCACATAGGTTGTGTGTGGCTATTACGGCAGCTGTTGCTGGGCATTGAAAATCTTCTTCAGCATTATAGTAAAGGATATGGTTGGTATACAGTGGCCTTTTTTCTATCCTATAGTTTCTTCTTTTTCGTACTTATTTAATTCTACAACTTTTGCTTTTTGCATTGATGAATGTCTTATATGTAGATGTGTTGTGCTTATGGGCAATTTGCTTACCAGATGTTTAGTTGATGTTATTTACACATCAATTGGGTACATTGTATTTGTTATAAACACAAATGTCAAAAACAACAAAAACATCCGAGTGAAATAAAACAGAGAAGAAAAAAAAAAAATTCTCTTCTGTTTTTTTTTTTTTTTTTAGCAACCAGAGAGACAAAGGAACAGATTCCATGAGATAGACCACATCTGTGTACTTTATTATTCAACTTTTGCATACTCTACTAGCACCACCACCACACTCATTAGTAAAAGCATCCTCCATTCACATGCTAAGAAACATAGTCAAGAGTCGAAGGCTCCAGTATTCCTTCCACCCACGAGCTTCTTACTCCACCGGTACTAATTCATTCAAGACAGCTGTTGAAACTGCTGAAAAATTGGTGTCACCACCAGCTCAAACTAAATTTCAAGATCCATTTTCCATCGTCAGTCATGAAATGTCCAATTTAGCCAAATCCATTGCTAGTTTAATTGGTTCTGGCCACCCAACATTGAATAGAATAAGTTCGTATTATTTCGAAGCTGAAGGTAAAAATGTTCGACCTTTAATTGTGCTAATCTTGAGTAAAGCATTACTGAAGATTCCTATACTGCAACGTCAAAGAATCAAGATTGATGAGTATGATGTTACTGAACAAGAACACATTAAAGGTACACCACAACCGGGTCAGGAATCAATTGCTGGGTATAGTGTTGATGATAGTTTAAGTCCATTGAATATCTTGCATGGAATAAATCCCAAGATTATATTGGACCCTTTGAGTAAACCAATGGATAGACTACCTGAAATGGATAAACAAAATGGCATATTGCCCAAACAAAGAAGATTGGCAGAAATTGTCGAAATGATCCACACTGCTAGTTTATTACACGATGATGTTATTGATTTATCGGATGCAAGAAGAGGTAGACCTAGTGGTAATATTGCATTCACCAACAAGATGGCTGTCTTGGGTGGTGATTTCCTCTTGGGTAGAGCTTCTGTTGCCATCGCTAGGTTGAGAAACCCTGAAGTTATTGAATTATTGAGTACAACAATTGCCAATTTGGTTGAAGGAGAATTTATGCAATTGAAAAACACCGTATTGAGTAATAGTGGGGAAGAAATTATAGATAATGATGGGGATGAGAAAAGAGTACCACAACCAACTGGCAAAGTACCCACTGAAAAGCATCAATATTCAGTCAATGAAGAAGATATCGTTGACCATGATACCAATGTTCAAGCCGCATTTGAATACTATTTGCACAAGACTTATTTGAAAACCGCGTCGTTGATGTCTAAATCATGCCGTGCCGCAGCCGTGCTTAGTGGTGCTGAAGATGATGTTATTGAAAATTGTTACCAATTTGGTCGTAATTTGGGCTTGTGTTTCCAAATCGTTGATGATATGTTGGACTACACAAGTTCCGATAAGGCGTTTGGTAAACCAAGTCAAGCTGATTTGAAATTGGGATTGGCTACAGCACCAGTATTGTTTGCTTGGAAACAAGAACCTAAATTGGGGGAATTGATTGCAAGAAAGTTTAATGAACCTGGTGATGTTGAAATTGCACGTCGAGCTGTTGAAAAATACCAAGGTGTTGAACAAACTAGACAAATGGCGGAAAAGTATTGTATGGATGCATTGGCTAATTTACGTATATTACCTGAATCTGATGCCAGAAGTGCATTGGAATTGTTGACAAATTCGGTATTGACTAGATCCAACTAGAGAGATGTAATCTTGTATATGTATATAAAGAAGAAGTTGATAGAGTTAAAATGTGCCAGTAGTCACATCAGAGTGGTTACGTTGTGCTGTGTTGTGTTGTGTTGGTTGGTTGTCCTCTTGTGACAATTGTTTCTGTGCAGGAATAGAAAAAACCCAAAAGTGCAACTAAAGAAGGAAAGAAAATTTTTGATTTCAACAGAAATCGTTTCAGTTTGATATACCACATTCACATCAATTAAAGTTTACGATATCTACAATGTCAGCTGAAGGAACGAAACCAAGTGTTGAGGAATCATCATCATCATCAATTCCAAAACCGCCAACTTCAAATGTATTTTCTATGTTTGGAGCCAAGAAGGAAAAGAAGGAAGAGCCACAACAAGAAGCGGCAACTGACTCCAAAAAGGAAGAATCAAAATCAGAGGAGAACAAGAAAGAAGCAAGCGCCACTACTACTGCTGCTACTGCTACTGCTGATGACGATGAAGCAGCTGCTGAAGAAGAAGAAGCTGATGTTGAGTTTACTCCCGTGATCCACTTGGACAAGAAAGTTGAAGTCAAGACCAACGAAGAAGACGAAGATGTAGTATACAAAGTGCGTGCCAAGCTTTTCCGTTTCCACGCTGACACCAAGGAATGGAAAGAAAGAGGAACTGGTGATGTGAAATTTCTCAAGCACAAGACAACGGGCAAAACTCGTATTGTTATGAGAAGAGACAAGACTTTGAAAATTTGTGCCAATCACTTGATTCAACCAGATTATGAGTTGAAACCAAATATCGGATCCGATAGATCTTGGGTCTATACTGTTACTGCTGATGTTTCTGAAGGTGAACCCGAGGCACAAACTCTAGCTATTAGATTTGGTAATAAGGAAAATGCTGATTTATTCAAGGAACATTTTGAAAAAGCTCAAGCCGAGAATAAAGAAGCTAAGAACTAAGGAGTGGAATGGGGTATAGCGGAGTGTATATGTGTAAAGTAGATAAGTTGCATATAGTTTTGACTTGGTCAGTAAAGTACATGTAATTATCAAGGTGTAGGAAGGTTTTGTAGATGTAAACTGTTGTTCACGACATTGTGCTCTTCCTCTATTGTTTTCCTGCCGGAACCGCCAGTCGAACATAGAACAACACATCTTACTCAAAAGGATATCAGTTACTATAGTTACATACAAAGTGGTCCACGTGCGCCAAAGAAAAATTTATTTTCATCTTGACACAAAAGAAAGATTTTATCAAAAGCATAAACCCAAGGAATTGTTTGACCAAAAGTTTCAATCTTTTATATGATCTAACTGCTTTTCTTTCCCAAATCAACCTTTCGTACAATTTTGGGCACCTCACTGGATCAACCAGCTGAAAGAGACCTTTTGTTTTTTTTTGATCTTGCATCGACTACTCCTCAGAACAGATGAAGTTTGGTAAATATCTCGCGTCAAGACAATTGGAATTGCCCGAATATTCAGGTCATTTCATTGACTACAAGGCTTTAAAGAAGTTGATTAAGCAACTAGCTATACCAACGAACAAAACAAATGGAAATACGGTCAGTTCAGTGATTGCAGGTAACAGTAATCTGTCGATATCGGAAATCCAACAATCTCTAAAGGAAAACAAGGCCACGTTTTTCTTTAGAGTTGAAAGAGAATTGGATAAGGTTAATTCATTTTACCTTGAAAAACAAGCCAACTTGGCCATTAATTTGAATCTACTTGTTTTGAAACGAGATGAACTCTTTACAAAATCTCATGCTTTTCTTCTTCAACATTCACATGATGGAACCACCGCCAATGTGGATTCAGCAGCATACTTGAATTTCAGAAACTCCATTTCATTTCTTAATTTGTATCAAAATTTCAAAAAAATTCATCAGGATCTTATTCGATTACAACAATTTATTGAATTGAATGAAACGGGGTTTTCTAAAGTGGTGAAAAAATGGGACAAGAGATCAAAATCTCATACAAAGGAGCTATTTATTAGTACTGCTGTTAGTGTACAGCCAGTGTTTCATAAAAATGAAATCAATGAATTGAGTGATTTGGTGACACTGTCATTGTTTGACATTGAGAGTATTATGGATGGAGATTATTCTTGCTTGGTTAATTACAATGCTCACAGTACTATCTCGTCATCGATTGAATCTGATTCGGTACAACGAGATATTGCTCCTCCTTCAGCATCAGGCTCAGCCTCTGATATAGTGTCAAACTCACCGGCATCACATAATAATCATGCTCCACCGTTCATTAGACAAACCTCGATTCTGATTTCACCCAATAGCAACACCGAGGTTGATGAATTATATTCTAGTTTTGTCAATGTTGCAACCATCAAGGATCCAGACTTGTCGTTACTTGCTCGATGGGTAGAGAAACTCAATGGATCGCCAAAACTAGCCAATGAACCCTTTGATGCCACTGTCAGATACAAGGCGTCTAAGATTTTTCTTTTATCAATCACAAACCTCAAAATATCCGATTCCTTTTTAGAATCCTTTTTGAAACTAATCAATTTCGATATTGATTTCACATTTGTTAATGATGATTTCAACAACAACAAGACTGTGTTTCATGAATGTTGTTCTATGCCACCTGCATCCACCCACAATGAAAGCCATCATGTTGTCATAAACAATGGCGTTAAAGTTATAAACTCAAATGATTCAATTAATCATTCTAGAGTGTTTATCGTGGAGTATATTATGAAGACGTATTCACCACAAGAAGTGAGCAATTTGCTCAAGAGACGCGATTTCAATGGACGTACTTGTCTACATTACGCGGCTCAAAATAATAGAAGTGACTTGTTGGATATCATTATTCCGGCATTCCCAACAACGCATATCGACGACCTTGATAACGATTCAATGTCGCCGTTATTGCTAGCAATTAAACATGGGCATTTAAACATCATCAAGAATTTGGTTCAATTTGGATCAAATCCATTTCCTAGAACCAATAAAGAAACACTTCAGTATTTGCCCATAAATTATGCGTGTAAATTCGGCGACTACAAAGTCTTGGAGTATTTGTTATCAAATGAAGAGTCATCTGATTTGGTGAAAGTTTTGGTGAATGAACAAGATGTTGAAGGATTACTTCCACTACACGTGGTTGCTCGTGAGGGTCATTACAAATTGATTACATTGTTGATCAAGTACGGAGCCGAGGTGAACAAGACTGATGGGTTCAACAAGTGGACACCGATATTTTATGCTGCCGCGGAAGGGCATGTCAAGACAACTCAAGAATTGGTCAAATTTGGCGCCAAGTTGGATATTTTGGATGAAGATGGATACAATGTGTTGTACTATTGTGTTGTAGAGGGGCACGTTGGTGTGATTAATGAATTGCTTAGTTATCATCAGGATATGAATACAGAATTGGATAATCACCTGAATGTTGAATCGGGCAAAATAATGTCGATCCAAGGTGATCCTATCCGAATGAGCGATGATAATGATGACTCAGAAGATAGTGGTCAATCGATTGATAAAAACAATGCCGATAGTATTCCTGATTTGCAATTGCCACCACCGATCCTACCATTGAGACGATATGGCCACAATTTCTTAGAACAAAAGGTTTTAATTGAATTGATTTTCCCTCATGATGATCAATCTTTTATAAATTTATTCAATTCAATCACTGATTTGAAACCAGGGAGAATTACATTAACGTCGAACATTTCCGATATTGTTCCGAGAAATATTTTGTTGCCTTTGGAAGATAAGAATCATCATGGTGGTGCAAACAATAACAATTGTGTTTTCCAAACTGATGTTGACTCATTGAATGAGTTTCGTATCGATTTTGAGATTTTCCCCAAATTTGGAACGCGATTAATTGCCAAGACTACCGCATTGTCGTTTTCGCATATTGATACTACATCGCCAGAGATTAGTTCGATTGAGTTGCCGTTGTTCGATTTAAGGTTGAGAAACATTGGTCAATTAAAATTCAACTATCAAATAATTTTCCCATTTTCAGGAACTGTGCTTGAAACTACTAAATTCGACACGTATTGGAAATCGTCAACAAGTATCATCAAGAACAAACAGACCTTGAAATTGAATGCCGCGGGTGGGTTATCGCCAAACAATTTTTTATCACCCAATGCCAATGCCGCTGTCAATGCCAGTGGGTTAAACCATGGTCCCAATGCGCGCCCAGTACAAGTGCAACAAGAATATCTATCTTCATCATCATCAATTGTCACCGCAACTTCATTATCAGGAGAATACTTACGAATCAGAGTATGTCTCTTGAACGATGGCACACCAGTTGTGTGTCCACATTGGTCGATTGCCATTACTGAAACTATTGATTTATACTTGCCCAATTTATCACTTGAACAACTTAGCTCCATAACCAATGATTTATTTGACTATTCTAAGGTCATTCATGATTTATCAAACATGACCGTGAAGGATATCGGATTAATCAAAAAATTGTTACGTATTATATATTTGCCGTTGGATATCGTTTTGGAAATTTTGTCTCCTGAAATTAATATCAATTTGGAGTTGATTTTCCCATCATTTTATGAATTGGAGGTGTTGCCATTTGTCGGCAACATTCAAAAAAATTTAAACAACTATATTGATTTCACATTGAATGATGTGTTTAACCACATCAAGCCATTCAAATCCAAGGAAAACCAACACAACCATAATAACCATCATCAATCATCAAGATCAATTATCCTCCTTTCTTCAAATTCATTGATTTGTAAAATTTTGAATTGGAAACAACCAAATTTCCCCGTGTTTTTAATCATGAATGGAATTACTTATAACAACAACTTTAAAAAATTTGAACAACGATCAACTAACGGATTATTGATTGACGAAGGGAAAGATCAACAAAATAAAGTTTCCAACAAGTACTCCACTACCACCTCCCCATCTTTATCATCATCCACTGAATTGAACAATTATCAAGAGTTGATCATCAGATCCATCAAAGAGGCAGTAAATTTTACCATGAACAACAACTTATTTGGTCTAATCACATCCATTCATTTGCTTGATCTTGTACCGAAACTAATCCCATTAATTCGTAGTAGAGGACTCATTTTGGTTGCATCTAGTGATACCAATGATCAAGATGATGCTGAAGAAGAAGTGTTGAAGCGCGAATTGGACTCGTATACAAAGACCGAAATTAATGGATTGAGATTTGATGATGTATTGAGTTTTAAGCAGGATATCACCATGTGAGAAAGAAAATTTGTATATGTTTACGAATATATAGACGTTTCTGCATTACTTATTAACAACTGGTATGTACATGATTATTACTATTACATTTATTTGGTAGATTTAATAAAAGAAAAAACATTAATTAACATGTGCTGTTGTCCTTTGGGTGTTATCTCCTTCGTCTTGGCGGAGGAGGAGGAGGTGGTGGGGCCTTCTTTTTCAAAGCCTTTTGCTTTATTGATGAATTCGACTCAAGTGAGCTTGATGAAGATGATGCAGTTCCATTTTGATACAATTGTCGACGTCGTTTTTCCGGTATAGGGATCTTGGGTAATGGTTTTGATGTGAGGTATTCATTAGGTAAATCTAAGATATTTGAGTCACGGTAATCGAAACCAGTACCAGAAACATTGTTGTTGTTGTTGTTGTTGTTGTTGTTGTTGTTGTTATTCTTGTTTTTGATTGTGGCGGAGGTGGATAAACCATTCAAATCTAAGCCAGTTAGAGCAGATTTACCATTCTCACCCAATGTCAACTTTTTTGAAAAATCAGCGAGAAATACATTATTGTTATTCTCCATGAATATCGAAGGTGATGATGATGCTTGAGCCAAAGCTCCTGGATCTAGATCTCGTTTTGATTTTGATTTTTCACTATTTTGTCTCTCCAAAAAATTGTGTGCTGTTGTATGTTTATGATAATCGCTTCTACTCGATGATCGAACCGAAGCAATACGAGTAAATAGTCTTGATGATTCACGTTCAACTGTTTTTAAGTCTTCGGGAGATGATAACTCTGGAGACTCCTTTTCCCGTTGTGCTTCATTGACCTTAGTTTTGTGGTTCGACAATGACTTTTTAAGCCATTTGACATTCATGCACTTCATTGCTAAATCCAGAATGAACTTGCCTTCATTGGCATCGTCTTGTTTCTGACCTGAATTAACAACAACGTTACTCAATACATTGTAAAGTTCGTGACTCTTGTATCCGCCACATTCATTTAGTTCAGAAAACATGAGAATGGGGAACAATACTCTCAAATACGTCACAATCAAAATATTATCCTTGTGCTCTAAATTATCCAATTCTCTTAAAAAAATATCAAGCAAGATTTTCAAATCATTTCGATAAATTAATTTAGCTGTGAATGAAGTGGTGAACACGAGATATAAAAATTTTAAAATCAACAATATAATGATTTGTGACTCTTCACGATTCAAATGATATATGAGCAAATTGATAAATCCAACAATATTGTTAACGTTGCTTTTCGAATTATCATCATTATGGATCAATTCCTCAAAAACTTTGTTTGAGTGTTCATTTCGCGAATATGAACTCATTAAAAACTGCTCATTTATGAGTAGCAAGAGCTTTAGCTCTTCATAGGCAACCAATTTGGCTTCGTTGTGGAAATCGTCATCACTTTCCAAATCGTAATTGTTGAAACCCTCTGACGATAATAAATGTTTAATGATGGTGACAATCACCTCATTATTATTGAATGTCAAATCCATAAACTCTGTAGGTGACAATATCTCAACATAATAAAAGTATTCAAAAATGATATCACAGCCGAATTTTAAAATGACAAACGATGATTCTTCCTTAGCGACGGCTTTAATCTGAGTTGATATAAATTGTGACATGATGAATATAAAGCGACATTGTTCCAACGTCTTGAATAAGATATCACCGTTGACTAAATCCAATGAATTTGAAGTTGCTGAAGATGTGCTCAGTACATCACTTGATTCGTCAGCAAAATCTTGATCATTGGAAGTGTTTTTTAGCTTGAGTAAAAGTAGCAAAGTTATACACAAAAACTCCTTCAAGCACTCAGATTCATATGCCACTTGATCATTAACCTCCCACTCACTCTCGCTGTTTCCGTCATCAGTAAACTCCAATCTGTAGTTGGTAATTGTAGTGAAAGTCTCCAAAAATGCTAATATTTTCCCAATGCAAAATTTGAAATTCTTGACAAATAAATTCAGGGTTAAAAGTTTAAGCGCATATAGTGACAAGCTCTCATAAGTAGGTTTAGTGTCAGCATCATTATTGTACAAATTGTCAACGATGCACTTGATAAAGATGGAAAAGTTTTTATTGCATTCTTGAGAATCACTATTGATTAAAATTAAGGAGAGTTCTTCATCAAAATAATCACGCTCTTCATCTTCAGCAGGCAAAGTTGTAATAGACGCAAATGAGATGCTTGTCGATGCTCTAGATGGAGCTTGAAATGGTCTGGGGAAAGTTGTGTTGTTAGCATAATTACCGTCTCTTGTTGAATTTGATATTTGAGACATAATGTTATTATAGAGAAGCCATGAAAATACCTGCTGTTAAGTTCATGAAAGACAAAAGATGCTTTAGTTAGTTCAAAGATGTGACGTGAATGGGTGACCCTAGTATCTGTGAAAGCAGTAAGATGTAAATGTCAATGAAATGGATAGCCCTGTTTTAGACTGTTCTCTGATGATTCCTAAATTTAGAAAATTGGAGCCAAAAAGAAAAAATGAAGGTCGTGTGAAGATTCGAAAATGCAAGGCTAAACCTCTAGCGTTGGTTCCTTCGCAGGAGAAACTGGCGGTGAGTAGCTAGTTGCAATAGTGTTGTTTATAGACGTACAATAGTGGTATAAAGACTGAAGATGTAACGCCTTGATGACAAAGTTTGGGTATGGGTTAGCTGGAGGTGTAAAGGCCGCGTTAAGTGCGGCTTGTTCTCGATTGCTCACAAAGTTACACCCAGAGTATGACACCAAGTGGAAACCTCATATATATATCCAGCATTGCCTTCACCTATACATCATGCGAGCTACCCTTTGCAATTGAATAAGTTACTAATCATTGGGACAACCTGCTAGTATTCTTCCCCCTACGTTGTGTGCGATTCTCCAAAGCGCTATTTCAAAAGACAAAAAAGCGCGTTTTAGAAATGACAAATTATATGCAGGAGTGTCGTCTAGGTGTTCGTCACACCTTGTATATCTATACCAATGTGAGCCACAGTCTGTATAAGCCAACGTTCCTTCAACAGTGGTTAGCATGCTCTTAGCTGTAAGCTCATGTTCAGTGGAAGTACCGTGTTCGTAGGTGTCATTGGTGCAACTACTACTATTTGCTACAACTTTATTTATTGTTTTGTTTATGCTGTGCATATAGCGTGACAAATCAAAAAAAAAAATCAATCGTAAACAAGAACTAAATATCATAGAGTTTGACCGTCTTAGCTAGAGCATCAACAATAACAACTGCACACTCCTTTTCCGTCATAAGTTGACACATCATAGCACCACAAGAGTCAATGTCCATCTTTGAATTCGTCCAAGTTACTTGGCAAGTTATAGGAGATGGGTCCTTGGCCACAGGAAATGGATCAAACGGAAATAAAAATCCTGAACCAATACACTCAGTTGGACCGCAAAGAGTGTTTGCAGCACAGTTGGTCTTGACTTTGACATCTGGTATTCTATTGTTTCTACTATTTTGTATAATGAGATACCGATGGCCCCACATTTATGCTGTTCGGACGTTGCGACAACAGGCTAAAAATATATTGAAACCATTACCTAATAATCTTTTTGGCTGGATCAAAGTGGTTTATAATTTGAAAGACGAAGACGTATTGTCTTACTCAGGGTTGGACTGCTATGTCTATTTGTCATTCTTCAAAATGGGGATCAAAATCTTCTTTGTGTTGGCTATATTCTCCGTGGCCATCTTGAGTCCTATACGGTACTATTTCACAGGAAACTATGACAAGGAGGGTATAAGCCTGAAACCAAAGAATCCCGATTTTCATGATGATTTCCCCAGGTTCTTATGGGTATATCCAATTTTCACATATTTGTTTTCCGTTGTTGTTTTTTACTACTTGTATGAATATACCGATAAGGTATTGAAAACAAGACAAAAGTATCTAGCCTCACAGAACTCCATAACCGATAGAACGATCCGTTTGGACGGAATACCGAAGAGATTGCTCAGTAGAGAAAGGATTAAAAAATTCATTGAAGATTTGGGAATAGGAAGAGTTATGGATGTCAAGTTGATTTACGACTGGACCCCGCTTGAAACCAAATTTGATGAGAGACAGCAATTGTTGAGAAAATTAGAATATGCATATGCGTCTGAGTACAAAATGGATATCAATATTTACAACCAGCAACGCATTCCTGCGGTTAACCCTGAATGGAACGAACCTTTGGATAATGTCAAAGCTAGAGAACTGATTGACCAATTGTCAAGAGAACTTGTTGAACTCGATGAAAGTATAAGAGTTATCCAGAACAAATTTGATCCCGAATCCACCACTATTGACGCTAAACAACATCCTGAATTTAGGGTTGTACCATCAGCATTCATTACCATGGATTCAGTCGCATCTGCTCAAATGGCTGCTCAAGCTATTTTAGATCCTCGTGTTTACAAGTTGATTGTGAGTTTGGCTCCGGCACCACAAGACATCATTTGGGGAAGCTTCAAATTTCAATACAGTGAAAAACTAGTCAAGTCCTACATGATTACGTTTTTGATTGTCTTGAGTTATGGTTTCATTATTTTCTTAGTTGTTCCATTGACGTCATTGCTTGATTTGAAAACAATCACCAAATTCTGGCCAGCTGTGGGTCATTTCATTGGCAAATCCAAATGGTTGACAACTTTTGTCACTGGTATTCTTCCACCATTGTTGTTTACCTTGTTAAACATTCTGTTTCCCTACTTTTACCGGTACTTGTCTCGATTTCAAGGATACTCATCCAATAGTGAACTCGAGTTGTCAACATTATCGAAAAACTTTTTCTTCATCTTTTTTAACTTGTTTTTGATTTATGTTGCCGCTGGTACGTTTTGGGACTACATGTCTTACATAAGTGACACCACCAAAATTGCCACTCAACTCGCCACATCTTTGAGACGAATGTCATTGTTTTACGTTGACTTGATTTTGTTACAAGGATTGACCATGTTTCCAGTAAAGTTATTGCAAGTGGGGGACTTATTCTTGTTGAACGTTATCGGGAAACTCTTCTTTTTAAAATCATTCATTTTGAAAACGGCTAGAGATTACAGGTCCTACTACTACACCCCGCAAATACTAGATTTTGGAATAAATCTTCCTCAACATATCATGATATTCATGATCATTTTGATCTACTCAGTTGTGTCGACAAAGATTGTCACTTGTGGGTTGATCTACTTCATTTTGGGATTATTTGTCTATAAGTACCAATTGGTGTACAACTTTGTTCATCCATCTCACTCCACTGGAAAAATTTGGCCCATAGTTTTTCGTCGTGTTATTTTGGGTTTGATAATTTTCCAATTGTTCATGTGTGGGACTTTGGCCTTGGATAGTGCCATTTTGTTATCGCTATTGTGTACGCCGTTGATATTTGTAACACTTGGTGTCTTGTACAACTTTGAAAAGAACTATGTCCCACTATGTGATTTTATTGCTTTGAGGGCCATTTTGAATCCGTATGACTTCAACAAGTTGTTTGAAAACGATGACCAACTGTTCAACTCAGGGGATGGTCAGAGTGAGCATGGCTCGACATCAGCAATATTAGATGATCAAGATCAAGATCAAGATCAAGAAGGCGACAATGTATCAATCTTAGTGAATGACGGTGATGGACCTTTGGACGAATCATCCGTTTTGAATGCCGGAGACGACGACGCAAATGGTCTGATGGTGATTAACGAGGACCAGTCACAAAAAAAACTTAGGCGAAGAAAATCAACTATTGATGAAGAACGTGAACAATTTACCGACTATACATATCCACCGTTGATTGATCCATTAAATGGTCCATGGGTTGGGTTTACTGGCAATGTCGTTTCGATTGTTGAGTACCGAGGTGGTGTTGAAAATATTTTGGAGAATGGTCAATATGGATCTACAAACGATGGTACCATAATATCGTCAACAGAAACAGAGGTGATTGTTAACAAAGTGCTCTCGGTTAGCGAATGGGAGTGAATAAGTCAGTTTGCAATGCAAATTTTAGTAGAACAAATCGCAATTAATAAAAATTGTTTCACCTATACCACACGGAGAAGCAAATCAAATAGAACCACAAATGGGGTTGTTTCAGCAAATCGAGTTAAAAAATGCGTACTCTAGCAGTTATCGGATCAAGCGTATCGGGCCCATACGCACACCCCTCTCTCTCTCTCATCCCATCAGCTTTTGTCGTCTAATTTTCCTCACACAAACGTAACACTATTCTAGTTTGTTTTGTGGCTCTCTGTGCTTCTCAGAATGTTCGGATTAATCTCCTCATCGTCTAATTTTTTTTTTTGTCAATTGTTCCTGAATTAATCCACATTCCGGCTGTTTGTAACCCCAACTTCCAAAATGCCGTACGGAATTGAGGAGAAATTGTAGAGTTTTTCCATTTACGCAAAACCGACAATAATAATTCAAGTGGAGTCTTGTGATGCGTCACAAAGTCAAACATGGGGGGGGGGGAGGAAGCTCTTCGTGCGAGAGATGTACAAATGACAGACACTCAAAAACAATAGAGCAAACACAAGCTTTACACAAATTATAAAAAAATCTCTTTCTTCTATTTTCTGAAAAACTACTCTGTCCATCACGGTTGAAATTTGTAAAATAACAATTGAAATTAAAGAATGAAATTGAATCACTGACATTTTGGTAAAATAAATAAATTTTTTGTATAGTATGCACAAGAACTGAATATAGTTGAAAAGTAATAATGGGTATGAATGTTTTGTTTATAGTAGAAATGCAATAATGGTGTAAGGTTGAAAATACTCTTACTAACCTCCTTTTTTGCTTAGCCCTTTATCCAAAGCTTGGTTTTGTTTCCTGGTGATTGTTATCTCACTCAATTTCTTCTGCCTCAACTCTTTGTCAGTGACATAATCAGGTTTAGTAGGGCTGTAATCACAAGTCAATCCGAACCTGACACAAGCCCCGCACGAAGGTCTAACTTCGTCACATTTCAAGTGCTTGATACGACAGATCCAACAGCCCTTTTTTGACCTAGGAAGCAACCTTCTTCTCGTGTACTTTTTCTTCACAGGTTGGTCCTTATTGATTCCCGAATCACTTGTAGTGTTTGGCAATAACGGCGTCGATTTGGACCTTCTGAGTTTGTTAGCTTTGCCTTGTGTTGGCTGTAGTGTTGCCTTTCCGAAATCTGATCCAACGGAATCGCCAACTTCCACACCATCGTTATTATCTATGCTGACATCGGAATTGAAACCCATGGCGTTGCCTTGCAGTGCTGACCTTGTAGATTGCTGAACTCCTAAAACTGGATCTCGTTGGTCATTTGGTTTCACCTTTGGGTCGAGAACGTCATTGTCATCCACCTTAGTCAAACCGTGCACAAGTTTCAGACTTTTTTTTCTTTGAATCTTCCTCTTGGTTACATTGGACCTGCCAGTTTGTGTTCCGTGGTTCAAACTGTAGTTCTTTTTCCAAAGTTCTTGTCTATGGAGTAATTCTGCGTTGGGCAGCGAAAAGGGAACACCTGGTGATAACATGGAAGAGGATGCAATTGCAGTTGTAGGACCGAAATCTTGGCGAAACACATTGGCACTTCTGGGACAATTGCCGGCGCTAGTTGGAGTGGTCAAAACGCTTGGACGACCAGTTGAAGCAACAGCCATTGAGCTAGGTGATGCGTTTGAAAATGTTCTTAATAGGTGTGGTTGTGGTTGATGCGGTGGCTGTGCTTGTGATTGTGGCTGCGATTGAGATCTTAGGTAAGGGAATTCATTTATTGAGATTGGTGAATTTTCTTGCAAATGGGGTTCATTTGTAAAAGCTTGGGCATCCTGTTTTGATGTTTCTAATCTTGCAGAAACTGTTGATGGTGATGGACTTGTTGATGAAATAGCTTTGTTACCCTCCAATGAAACAATAGCACCGGGAATGTGCTTCAAATTCTTTCTTGATGTTGTTTTCAATCTTGACAATGATGGTTTTTTAGAAATTTTGTGATGACTAGTTGAAGATGCGCCAATGGCAGCATTTGCCAAGGGACTGTTCAATGCACGAACTGGCGTCTTGATGGTGGCTGTAGGCACTGCGTCATTGGAGAGGCTGGGGTCAAAAGTGTTCATTGAGGAGCTAGTGGTTGCAATTGGATGATGGAGTGAAGCACTGGAAGTGAAGCTTGAAATATCAGAAAACGTTGGTGTCGCCGATAGGTCCATATTTGTGTCTTGTACCGCCATAGACTGCATATTTTGATGTGTCATGAAAGACTGTGTTTCCAATGATTGGGTGGTTTGGTTAATAGGTGGATAATTGACACTTTGAAATCGACGCTGAGATGCTACATCGAGAAACTGTAAATGCGACAAGTCCTTATTGATACTGGGGTGTTGGTACAGACGAGCACGGCCAGACGTTGTTTGAGTGAAATTATGAAGCGAATCAGTTGAAGCATTGGTAGCATCATACTCATTGTAGATGCTGAATTCACTAGCTACTGATTCATATACAGCATCTGTTGATTGATTGGGGTCAAGAATGTTCAAAAAGGTGGTTGTTGACTCGTTCGCTGAAAATGGGATTTGATCAGTTGCGTCATCACCGTAGAAACTTCCAGATGTCTCATTCCCTTGATAAAAATTGGCTTGAGTGGCGGTGTTGCGATTGCTATTGTCTCTGTCTAAATCATTCAATGAAATGGCAGAGTTTGTTTGGGATAATGCAATTTCACCTTTGGGCACTGGAAATTGTGAAGGTACACTCGATGGATACTGGCGATGTAGCTCTTCGTTTTGCTGTGCAATGATTTCCTGGTAAGCTTCTCGTTGGGCCTGCAATGTTTTCTGTTCACTAGGTTGTAGCTGGGGCATGCCTGAACCGAAAGCATACTGCTGATAATGCAGATGTAAAAGAGGCTCATTAGTTGCAAGCCTGTTGAGCATACCATGGGGGTGTACAGACGGGGGAAAAGGTATATCAGGTGTATTATCAAACCTCATTAATTGATATAGTAGCAGGTTTTGATTAAATTGTTGAAGTGTGGGGTCAAATTCGTTGTTACTATTGTTATTGAATTCATGATAATGTGTCTTGTCATGATGCATTGATAATGTGTTGGGTTGCTGAGAAGGTGCTCTCAATGGCGATGACATTTCCATTTGCGGTGATGATGATTCCACTGGTATAGTATCGTCAGCAGCTCTTGATGATGAGGTTTTTGCAGACTCGGTGATTGGATCCTTCACCATACGTGGCGACGAAATAATAAGCGAGTATATCCGAATGTAACTTTTCCCCGACTGATTTTTTAATGGTATCAGAAACTATTTTGAGTCTGTGGAGCTTGTGTGATTGGTTTGATTGGGTTGGTCTGTTTTGATGAAGTCACGTGGTAGCTCACTTGGTAGTGTATTGTGTGTACCTGAAATGGAAAGTGAAAAAAAAAAAATTAAATCCGATGCGTCGATTGAGAGCACAAAAGCCAAGTTGTCTACCCTTTACTCCTATTGTTTGGTGGTGATGAATAAACTTTTACAAACAGTAAATTACTGATGTGTGGATGTGTATGTGGTATAGTCTGGCCTGTTCACAAGCGTTGACTATGATTGTGTTTGTGAATTGAAAAAACAAAAAAAAAAAAAATTTTAATACCTTTAGACCTCAACTCCACACAAATGGTAATCACAGGATTGTGTTGAATGGTTCAATTCTATGCTGTCCTTGTTGGGTGACTGGTTGAGATTGCTGTGTTTGGCTTGGTGGAGAATGGAAATGAGAAGCAGACGCAATTGAAGTGGAATACTTACAATCTCGCAAAAATAGTAGGCTTGTTAATGATTCTCCTCTCTCTTGACCTTATGTGTTGTAACAACAGTCTTGACCTTCTAATTCCTTTCAATTATTTATCGTCTCCACTCTACTATGTTTTTAGAAGACTATTAAACTTTGTGTTCGATGTCCCTTTTAAGTAAAAAAAAAAAACCGAAAAACGCACAGCTGATCAACGGTACTTTTTGTTATCTGCTTCTGAATGAAGAATGTCTTCAGGGACACAACTAGGACTGTTTTATGATGAGTTATTGTTCGAATGAACGATAACAATGATCGGATAGGGAGAATAGGTCGTTGTTTGTTTCGGTCGTCACGTGGGGTAGTCAACAAGTTTTACTGGCGCTTAAACTGTGAGCGTTAAATAGGTTGTAAGGTGACTATTGTTGTAAAGTAATGAGTGGAGTTACTCTGGTGAATTGAAATGTTTCTTGTGTGAATTGAATAAGCTTTCAAACGATAGGACGAAATAATTGTATTTCAAAATGTGGTAGATTTCTGTGAATAAGGGAATGGTTGGATTTGTTGATGAATGATGATAATCTAATGGATTGGCGTTGCTGATGGTGATGAATATAAACAATACATCCAGCAGTCAATTTCAGTTGATAAGGTTATATGTAATGGGGCGATACTCTGCCTTTGACTGGTGCAACTGATTGGTCACTGAGCCTTAGTACTCAATTGTATACGTTAACCTGAAAAGTGAGCGCTTTTTCGGTTTTCCCTACTGGTTTATAAACATGCAATGGAAAACTTGTCCTGTATATATATATATATATAAGTATAATTAATTAAATGATGGTCTTGAGCCCTTAGAGCCATTGAAAAAAATTCAATTCTGTTACACACACCCACTCTCACACACAGTTTTTTGGTTCTTTGTAATTTAGTGTCTGATTGAAATTTAACGTAGTAGCACAAACGTACCAGTGGAAAAAACAATACAGGTTTGCGGTAAGGTTATTTTTATTTTTATTTATTTTTTCTATTGTTTTCCATTAGATATTGCTTATTAATCTCAACGCATGTACAGCACTTGTTTTTTAAAAGTATTTCAAGTAGTAGGGGACTTCTCATTTAATGCACAGTTTCTAAAGATGACTATAGATTACATTGGAAAAGTTATTGTCTCATAGGCTATAAGAAAATAAAAAAATGAAAAAAATAGTAAACTTTGCATAAAAAAACCATAGAGCGCCCAATGATTAAAAGCTTAACCAAATCAGCATATTTGGTCTATTGTTTTTTACTTTATTTTGTTTTTGGTTTCTTTCTTAGGATATATCTATTCCCGTCATTGGTGGAGGAGAGAAGAGGAGGGAGTTCTTTTTGTTTGCATTTGCCAGGTTAGAGCCATACAATGCAACAAAGAACAAACGATTGGGGCACTGTCACCCCTCTACACCCCCTACCTACTTGAGCCAATTTCACATTTGTGCCCTTTTATGCATACTTGACAAAGGTTTGAAAATAAGCTCCTTTAGCATGATGCAAGGATTCAGCATCTCTCCGGGACGTCGGAGTGAATAGATTTTGACCTTTTTGGCTGGCGCAACGGAAAGTTGCGTCATGTGGTGGTGTACATGAATAAGGAAAATGTCAACTAGCATTTTTGCATGGTAATCCGCCCTGTATATTTTCTATTTGGTAACCTTGCGTAAACTCCATCAATTGTCAATTTTTAGTGGAGAAAATCATAGTGGGGCAACCCCTTGACATGTTCAAAATAATAGTAAACGAAAACCCCGTAGCCTAGTCTGAGAGCACATCAATTGTTCAATTCTACAGTCGAACTGGTTTGCGGTCCCTTCTTTCTCTGTCTTGGTGAGTTCTTGGTTGCAAAGAGGGTGTAAATGTTTGGTGGCACAAAAATGCAGGTCTCCTGATTTGAGTAAACTTGGTTCTACAGATCCAAAAAATGCAAAAGATAACAAGACTCTACGAAAGAGATCAAATTGTTAGCTAGTATTAAAAATCGTAAACGCAGAGACGAAAAAGGGCATCTGTATAAATCAGTTGTGCTAACTTTCAATATGTAAAAGATTCTTGGTTAAAAAAACGCCCCCCATTGCACATTGACTCGTTTGTTCAAGAACGGCTAAAATTTTACAATTCTTATTTCCATCCAACTCAGTTTTAAAAAACCTTACTTTGAAAGAAGGCTTTGTTTCTTGAGCTTGTGGCGAAACTTGTTTGCCTATAGCACTATTTGCATAAGCTGCATATTCCTTGTATGTCATTCAATCGGGCAAGCTATGTACAACTGGACAACAGGGTAGGTTCAATGTAGTTCCTGGATCACCCTGCAGCAACATCAACACCAAAAGAGCATAACACCGATCACTCTTTGGCGAAATCTCACATTAGACACTGCTTGAATACCGTTCCGATGTTGGACACTCTCTGGCTTTTGCAAGAACCAATACTCTAAGACAAAACAAAGAAAATCGGGTTTAAAAACTATTCAGGGCATCATTGTGCATATAATTCTGCATATAGTGAGTCCATCGTTTTAAGTAAAGGTACAGATGTCCACAAGTTGGGCGCTTTTATAATTTCTTATTCAGGGTACAAAACAAAACCAGTTTCTAATTCCATTGCATTGGCGACTTTTGTTTGCTTTATTCAACAATTGGTATTGTGATATCGCCCCGTTTATTGATGTAATGAAAACAAAATATTATTTTATCATTGATTGCATTGATTGTGAACCAAAACATAGAACAAAAAAAAAGTCTTCAAAATGCCGTTCGCTTTGTTAGGCTAATTGCTGAATGCAAGATAAGCAAATTAATATTTTGGATGTAAAAAGACTCCACAGTTGTGTGTATGGTTAAATCAATTGTACTTAGGAACAAACGAAAGTACCACTGTTTTACAGTATATGGAACTCTGACTGAAGGCTATATGCATGAAACGTTTGCATGCTCTTTAACCTTCCACCAAACGTGTGTTTTCTTGCTGTAAACCCAATTTTTTTTTTTGGAGATTTGGAAATTAACCAATTGGGTAAATTTAGCCACGCATGTGAAGTTCAATCAAATTGAAAAAGTTTTATTTTCATTGCAACAATAGCCTTACTGGACACCAATTTTAGACTCCTGTGCATTTCCGCGGAAGGCCTCCTTAGCAAAGAACCACGCTATAATCTGAGCTTGTTGTGTTTCTGTTTTTACTCCCTCCTCTATTTGACAGACGGTGCTTGTATATAACATAAGATTTGCATTGAACTCGTTCTTTTGAATTCTACAGACAACAGTTTGCTTTGTGCGTAGCGTAACCTCCCAACTTCCCGCTTGAAACTTGCCTTCAAAACGGATCTTGTGATCAAATGGTTATCGATCGATTCACAATTGTGGGAAAAGCTGCATAAAACACTCGCTCAATTAAACAAAACCCGCAAATAGATTTTACATCACTGCACCAACTATAAACAGACCATTAATCAGATGCTTAGTCAAAGTCCGGGAACAATAGCCCAATTGTGGCCAGACCTATCCCAGCCCACATCAAAACCACTAAACTAAGTACCCGAATGAAAGGAATGGTGCAACTTTTACCAATAATTTGCTTCCTTCTTTTGTACCCAATTCGATCTTTGGAAGTGACAAGGAAAGACTTATAGATTTTTCCGTTCTCATTTCGGCTCTTATGCTGCTTTCCGTCTCCGCGTAGAAGCACCATAGTGCCGGCAGTGTATGCTAAATGAGCTATACCCAATGTCCGCTTTGGTCGTATCTGGTAATGCGGATTTACAACATCCACTGCCCACTGGTTCCCCTTGCACATACGTTACATCAATTGGTTTTCCCACAAGGTTCTCGGTAATAAGCGTTTTGTTCCTTTGTAAAGTATAGGAAGTGGAGTAAGGGCCATCGAGTGAGATGGTTCTAAAAGGTCAAATAATATGACATCACTTGGGGCTAGACTGTACAGAGAGAGAGTAGCGACAACACAAAAAGAGATGCACAGAATAGGGTTTGAAATCTGCACAAACATCAATAGGGGAAGGGTGTACAGTAAATATGCAAATATTAGTTCGCAAAAATCTCCCCATGTAGTGCCCTATTGTTCCCTCTTGTACTTTTTTTTTTTTTTTTATTCATTTCTGTTTTTTTTTTCCTTCATCACTTACATTTCGTAAAATTCGGTTGTCATGACAACCGGCCGCTTCTGTTGCTTTTGAGTTTCAGGGTGTGTTTCTGACAAGAATTAGTTAGTCTTTAATAAACCATAAAGATCGCCCCCATCTTTGGTAATTTCAGCCGGACATAAAAAGCTTTATTATCAACTAGTTTTCAGTAATTCAGTGTGTGTGATATAAAACACTCAGTTGAGGTTGAAATAGACGACACCGCTAGTTTTGTGACATTTTGGGTCAGCTATCTAATTTTGTAAATCAGGCGATGTCTATGTCGCCACCCAATTTGTGTTCAGCGTAATCAAACAAGTTCAACAATGTACGAGAGCCAATACTTAACTTTTTCTTTGCATGTTTCTTTCGTTGTAGGGCCAGAGGGGTTTGAAGCGCAAAAATAAGACACCAAAAGTCACCCAATTCTGCTGCATTGGAACAAAGAAGATGCATTTGCTTTTGCTAAATGGCATGAAATCAGCTGACGTATTTCAGGGAAAAAAAATTATGCATGTGGTTAGGAGTCAATTCCAATTTCGTACCGACTTGTCAAAGTAATCTCAAATCGCAATTTGGGTCCTTTACATGTCAGATACATAATCGCCGGTGCATATACGCGTAAAAAAGATTTCAATTTCACCCCGAACAAACTGAAATTCTGCTCAATTTTTCATCTACTTCAGCATCGCTCAATCTGACACCATTGTTAAGAGTTCAATTACACTCCATATAGCTCAACTGACTGTAATTGCAGCATCAACTTGGAAAACCACCAAGCACTTTAAACTGACCCACTTCAAAGCAATTGAACAGGGTCCGTAAACGCAGTTACTATCTTTGTTTAGTTGCGTCTTGATTAATTTTTTTCTAGATGAATGACCTTGTGGATCTGTATCACTTGAGAATGTTCAATGCAAGGAAACTTATAAACGTTTAATATTACCTTGACTCAAAGCGCCACGAATCACAATTACAAGCGAAATGACACAAATATTATGTTCTTTTAGCGATTGTTATTTTCTTAGTTTTTCCGAGCTTTCAAATGGACTAGCTTGAAGGCGCCGTTTTCAAAAAGATAAAGAACTCCTTATTGTGTGAAATTCGCCCAAACCTCAATTATAGCGACTTTCAAGATGCTTCGGATTTCGGGGCACTTGAACATCTGTACTAGTCCCCCAACAATAGTTTGATCCTGGTATTGGTTCATCCCCAGTGTCGTATTAGTCGGGAGGAACGACTTTGCAAAATATACAACTTCGACAAGCACTTGACCAAGGTCGTGTATATGGTTCAACTAATTTTTTTTGGCGACACGCCCAAAAGAAGAAAAAGTGAAATAAAAAAATTCCAATACTCTCTCATCTCTTCTTTTCTTCTCTTGTTCTACATACATATTCACACTTCCGGATTACCAGCGAGACTGATTTTACATCTATTTAGTTAAGCAAAAATGGCTGGAAGGAGATTGATAACTATGAGAACGTCCATCGTTAATAATCCAAAACTTTCTTTGTAATCTTAACAATGATTTTTGAATTTCTTTGGTTCGCATGATGGATACAATTTTCTAAGAGGAAGCTGGAGAAATACTATGACTATGACTATGGCTTTACTTACTCTAAAGCAGTATTCAGGTGAGTAAGGACCACAGCATTATATGATTAATCAGTTATCTTTCTTTTTTCTTTCGAGATTTTCCCTATCGCATGCGATTTACAGTGCTAATATCCTCAATTGCTCTTACCAATGAGACCCTAACCCCATCGCCCACATGGGAAAAAAACGCCGACGCGTTTCAATCAACAACATTTGCTTTGCTAAGAAAAAGAAAGTGTAAACAAAGAAATGTCATAGTTACACAATGGCGCAACACAAACTCTCAAATTTTAGCTCTCGTATTCTCAATGAAACGCGCACGGCGTTCTCACATTCCTTCGGCTTTTAAGTTGGCATTGGCCTCATATAGAGTTGGCGAGCACATCAAAAAGAGGGTCCACAATGAGAGCTTTCAATGGCCAAACTGTCACACGCTTTTTGCTGGTTAAATTGGGTGCATAATAGGGGTAACTAGTTTGCATCGGCATGTACATAAAAATTAATCAAGCGCCTTATATTTATCTCTTGTCTAAATTTTTTATGTATTTTTATTTTTTTGTATATTTGGGCTTTACCTACTTTTGTTTTCCTTTTACCAAACCACACTTATCGAAACTTTCAACAATCAAAGCTGACTAGCATCACAAGGAAATTTTGTCAAGGAGATAATTTGTTATAATCATGATCACTATGGCCCCTCCCGCCACAACGCATCAACCCGATCACAAGTTGGCCGAAGCCATACCACCTCAACTGCAGCCACACCAATCACACAATACGAACCAAAGTCACTCATCAGGTTCCACGTCTCGTTCCCTTGCTACGCCATTGAGGTCTCTTACAATCTCTAAACCAAAAGCAAAAATAGAAAGTGGGGGATCCAACAAGTTTAGACCTACCATTATCGTGGTTACCAAGTTTCCATTCACAGCCGAATCTTCAAATGAATTGAGTGTCAATAAGGGAGAAATATTGAAGTTGCTAGACGAGCCTCGCGACGGTTGGCTATTGGTGAAATGTATTGAGCGATTGTGTCCTCCAGGTCTAATTCCAGCCACATATGTTGATATCGCACTTAATGACCAAGTGAATCCAATCACCTTGAGTTGGCTCCATGGAATTGATAAGGTTGACATTGTGAAAGAACACAATTATCTAAATTTACAATTCAACAAGGTTGAGGCCATTTTCCAAACAATCAATAACAAAGCATATCCAGTTTCTGCATCAATTCTGAACTTTCTTTTGTTCAAAGAGAGGTATTGGTATAGATTGGACATTCAATACAGTGACAAGTCCAGGGCACATTTGTGTCGCTATTATCAAGATTTTTACAACTTGCATATAACGATGTTGGATTTAGTCAACAGGATTAGTAGCCAAGACTTGAAGTTGCCAAAGTTGCCTGAACCGTTACCAACAACCACCACCTTAAATCACTACAAAGATGATAAAATAACTGTCGGCGATGCAAATACCAAATCTGAGGCAGATTTAGAAAAGGAGACTACTGAGGTTAACATGTTGTTGAAAAGATGTAATGACTTGAACGTCTACATCAATAAGCTCATCTTGAACAAATATTTCCAGACATCGAATGAATTGATCACATGGTTAGAGTTGCGGTACAAGAATTTGCCAGGCTTTGTGGTGGAGCCAACTGATGAGGAATATGAAACGGAGTTGGTAAACGAAGAAATCAGCAACAGGATCCTTCCAAATTCAATTGATGTTGTTAAAGTTTACGAGGAAAAGAAAATGCTGAGGGAGCAAGAATTGGAAGCTATGAGAAACAAAGAAGAGGAAAAGGAAGAAGAGGCTGTGGAAGTTGATGACTCTGAACTTCCTGCACGAACCAAGTCAAAAAATATTTACAACAACTATCAACAAGCGTCGCATATAATGTCAATGGCACAAGTTTCCCGACAAGGGTCGGTATCCTTAAGTAGAGCCGACTCGAAAGCAAACCAGCGTAATGGAAGCAAAACTTCCAACAGTGTGGTAAATCTGCCAAATTTGCTCCGTAAGCAATCAGATCTTGCAGACACATCGACCAACAGTGTAGCTGCTTCCTTCTCCTTGATTGAGGAAGGCCACCAACAAGGCGGGCATTCACCAGATACATCACGTGGCTCCCACACTGTCAAAATAGCACGCAACAAATCGTTGAAACCCAAATCTACAACAAATGCATCAGTACCACCTTTGTCTAATGGACACGCTTCATCACCACAGAATGTGAAACAGCCAAATGGAACATCCTTGTCACTGCATTCACCACAGTTGCAGCAGAGGCCACCAACAATGTCAAGCCCTGTTATCCATCCTCAGAGCCAACAATATAGCCCCAAGCTCGGCGCTCTTCCAAAGGTCAAAACGCAATCACCACACCAACCCATTCACCCTAATAATGACAAACCATACCAATTGCCACAATCCATGCCTACCAAAATGTCACCCATGGGTATCAATCCACAGGTTTTCCCAATTAGTGGCTATGTCAATGCCACTCAGTCTAATGTTGGTGGTAATGCAATTAACCCCCACACATCTGCCATTTCGAGTTATTCTCATAGTTCAGGATCACCTTCACCAACTTCAGCCAATACAATCGCCAATTTGAAACATCAATACATCAAATGCAAAATAGTCAATCCACACGATGAAATAATTGCTTTCAAATTGCCCAAGTCGCAAATTAAAACAGTTGGTGATTTTAAAAATGCAATTAAGAGTAAAGTGTTTTACAGTAAATTGTACATCAAATTACCCAATCTAAACAATTTTGAGAATATTGATGTTGTGAGGTTTAATATTACTGAGTTTTTAAAATTCAATGATAGGGTATTGTTGAGAATTGCTTGATTATGGGGAACCCACGGTTATATATAATCCCACCTACCCCTATTTCAATTCGTCTTTTTTGTATATTTCTCTTCGTATTAGAATAAATGTATTACTATTCATGATGAAACAAAAATCACTCTGTACATTCCTAATTAAAAGACAAACGTTAAATAATTCAAGAGATGTGGTTGCCCTGCTTTCTTGGACTCAACTGAAACACCTCCTTTTTGACAGCTTCGGCTAACTCAGGACTGACACCACCAAAGTATTTGAAAACCCTATCCTGGATCTCGGGCTCAGTTTTAGCTACATCAATGGCGATATTATGAGCCAAGTGTTTCTTTTCGATTTCTGACAACACTTCATTGTAAAGCACTGCGGGCTGGTCGAATTCCGCCGGGGTAGCAACCCATTCAAATGGTTCAGCGGGACCCTCCCATATTTCTTGAAACTGTTGAAGTGGAAATGACTTGACGGTATACCGTTCTCTCTTTGTCAAGTAATTTGGAGTTGCACCGAGGTTTCCATTAACATTCATAAACCCATCTCTTTCGGAAGGGGCAAAGGGTTGCACACCACCTCTGAGAGGACAGTTGACCGGAATTTGAGCAAAATTGACCCCTAACCTGTATCTTTGAGTGTCGGTGTAAGAAAACAATCTTCCTTGTAAGACGGGGTCAGCTGATGGTTGCATCGATGGGACAGTATTTGCTGGTGAAAAAGCGGCTTGTTCCACTTCAGCAAAGTAGTTGAGCGGATTTTCATTCAATGTCAATTTTCCAAATCGTCTCAATGGGTAATCTTTATGTGGCCAAGTTTTGGTCATATCAAACACAGAGAAAGGAGCCTTTTTAGCCTGCTCTGGGGTCATTGTCTGAACATAGCAAGTCCACGATGGGTAATCACCCTTTTCAATGCTTTGAAACAAATCATCTTGCGCAGCATCTGGATTTTCACCGGCAAGACGAGTGGCTTCTTCCGCGGTATGATTCTTAATACCCTGGTCAGTCAATTGATGAATACGCACGTATACCCATTCGTTTTTAGCATTGGCCCATTTGAAAGTGTGGGCTGAAAACCCATGCATATGTCTGAACGAAGCGGGAGTTCCACGGTCGGTGTACAAGATAGTAACCTGATGAACAGTTTCAGGGTTCAACGTAAAGAAATCCCAAGCAGCATTAGGGTCCTTGGAGTTAGTTTGCGGGTTTCTTTTCTGAACATGGTTAACATCAACAAATTTAGATGGATCTCTAATGAAAAACGTTGGTGTGTGAATATAAACAAAATCCAAAATTCCTTCAGAAGTGTAAAACTTTGTAGCAAACCTCTAACATCTCTTGCAGAGTCATTGGCACCAGATTCAGCTGCAACAAGAGAAAACCTTGTAAATGTTTTGGTCTTTTTACCAACTTCACTCAAAAAATCAGCAGCGCAAATATCGGTGATGTCATCAGTAACTTCAAAAACACCATGAGCACCTGAACCCCTACCATGAACCACTCTTTCTGGGATTCTCTCTCTATCGAAATGGGCCAAATTGTCAATCAAGTCAATGTCTTGCAACAACAACGGGCCATGTTTGCCAATTCTTTGGGTGGCATAGGGTGGATTTGGAATAGCTTGTCCTTGAGAATTAGTGAGCACTGGTGGAGGAGTCATTTTGTAATAGATTACCTTGAAAAAGAAATGCACTCAAGATCTAGGGCCCACTTTTGATGGGTCTACCAGCCATTTATATATCATTTGATCTCAATTGCAGTGGCATTTTGAGCAATAGTCTAACGACCACCACAGTTCTAAAGTGGGGACACAAAAAACAGCTTTCGCACATTGAATGCACAATATCTACTGAATAAAATTCTTCCATGGAAATCTACCATAACTATAGTGAAGTGTTTTTGGTGTGGTGGAATATTGAAGAATATTGATAAAAGAGAAAAACTTATATGCAGGAGATTATCGCAAATTCAACGCATACCGTATAAGGTATAGCAATTTGCGGACTATTAGTCAGCCCAAATTAATGAACGATAAGAGGTCGAAAGAATCAAGTATCAAGTCAATGGTTTTCGTTTATTGGGGGGGGACACACGGAGTGGTAAGGTCCGTGGAGCTTCGAAGTGGGCCTGTTGTAATTCGAAAACGTTAAAAAAGGGAAAATGAATTTCAGTCGCAAACAAGGGAGGTATATCACAATGAAACCATTTCAAAACACCTACAATGTAGAGTAGCACTAAATGACTAAGCATCGATCCTCTCGCTTCTCAATTAGCAAAATAAATACCCCCCCTACAACAATTACTCTAAATGCAATAAATATCATTCACTTTAAAACCAACTATATAGAGCCGTCTAATTTACTTTCTTGGGTCTAATTCGAAAACTTCCTTCTTGATGTCTTCCTCTAATTTTGGACTAACACCACCAAAGTATTTGAAAACTCTGTCTTGAATATCGCGTCTGGCAGCAGAAACATGTCCCGCAATATTGTGTGCCAAACGTTCTTGACCACCAGGTTGCTTAGGCAAGACCTTGTTATAAAATTCAGTGGCTTGAGTCCATTCAGCTGGAGTAGCTTTCCAATGGAATGGAGTAGCAGCGCCTTCCCAAACTTCTTGATCTTGTTGAATTGGAAATTGATCAAATTTGACATCCACATCGGAAGCCAAGTAGTTAGGTGTTGCACCAAGGTTGCCATTAACAGTCATAAAACCATCTCTGACATTTGGTGCAAAAACCTTGCCACCATTGTTTGGGTTGTTAATTGGGATTTGGGCATAGTTTGAGCCCAATCTGTACCTTTGTGTATCGGTGTACGAAAACAACCTTGATTGCAAAACTGGATCGGCCGATGGTTGCATAGATGGAACTGTGTTTGCTGGTGCAAAACCAACTTGTTCAGTTTCAGCAAAGAAATTATCCGGATTCTTGTTCAAAGTCAATTTACCAAACCTTCTTAATGGGAAGTCCTTGTGTGGCCAAACCTTGGTCAAATCAAAAACGGAAAATGGAACCTTCTTGGCTTGTTCCTCAGTCATTGTTTGAATGTAACAAGTCCAAGATGGGTACTCACCTTTCTCAATGGAAGAAAACAAGTCGTTTCTGAGATAATCTGGATCTTCACCAGCAATCTTTGTAGCTTCCTCAACAGTCAAATTCTCAATACCTTGATCAGACAAAAAGTGAACTTGAACGTAATACCAATCACCTTTAGCATTTGACCATTTGTATGTGTGACCCGAAAAACCATGTTGCTTTCTGTATGATTTTGGAATACCCCTATCGGTAAATAAAAGGGTAACTTGGTGGACAGATTCTGGGTTGGAAACAAAGTAATCCCAAAAGGCGTTTGGGTCCTTCATACCAGTTTGGGGGTTTCTCTTTTGAGTGTGGATAAAGTATGGGAATTTTGATGGATCTCTAAGGAAAAAGATCGGAGTATTATTGTATACTAGATCCAAAATACCTTCTTCAGTGTAGAATTTTGTGGAAAATCCTCTAGGATCTCTAACAGTATCAGGGTAACCCTGTTCACCGGCAACTTGTGAAAATCTAGTGAAAACCTTGGTTTTTTTGCCAACGGTGTCTAAAAACTTGGCAGAACAAATATCAGTGATATCATCAGTAACCTCGAATTCACCATGAGCACCTGAACCTTTAGCGTGAACAACTCTTTCTGGAATTCTTTCTCTGTCGAAATGAGCCAAGTTGTCAATCAAGTTGACATCTTGCATCAACAATGGACCATGCTTACCAATTCTTTGAGTGGCGAACGGTTCTGGCACTGGATTACCTTGTGAGTTTGTGAATACTGGAGCCATAATTAAAATTTTAAATTAGTTGAGGTGTGAAAAAAAGAGATAGAGGAATCTAATTGAGGAAATACTGCGATTAACCCATGTTTAAATACTTTGAGACAGTAGCAATTCTAGGTTCTCCCAAAGGCCACCGTTCTGACTCTGTATGTGTGGTTTTCTATTGAGCAACAAATGTTATAACACAATACCTGAAACAATAGGGGGAGTGAAGAAATCTATATGTCATCCATACTCAAGTTTGAAGTTGTGTAGTTTTGCTTTTAGGATAAGATATGCACGATGACTTAACGGATAAAAGAATAAAAGTTAGATGGAGCAAGCATAATAAATATTTGGCTTCTATACACAATTTGGCATGGTTGCAAAAGCGCGGATAATATTTTTTCTCTTTTCAAACTATCCGTTTTGTTTGCTATCGAAGCCTCACGTTATTACTAATTGAATAACAGTTCGAGGCCCTCACATGTGTTTGTCCCCACGTTTCAATGATGCATTTGAAACGAGGAGAGATTGTAGATAGATCATATAAACGTTTCTAGGGGGGATGGGGGGCGGAAGGGGAAGGAAGCAACGATTGTAGTGTTGTGGTTACATTATGTAAGTCGCTTTAAAGTTGCTATTATTGGCTAAAATTTTAAAATAGCGCTTATTTTTGTTGTCTCTCTCCGTGTAAATACCCCTCTTCCCTCGTGCTCTCTCTGTTGTTTGCTTTATACCAAATCAACTTCCGTAGAGTCCACAGAATAATCCTGGCCGTATCCAAAGTACTGGTGATTTTACAATGGTGGGCATAAACACTTATCAGGAATGGCTCTTTGCAGGGAACTCCGAAGCGAAAACCACATGTTTCAAGGGGTGATCCTGCATACAGAAGCTTGCAACGATTTCTAAAATTGCTGTCAATTTTCTACTGCCCTTACAAAAACCACGAACAATTTGGCTTTAAAGCCTCTCCTTCTCCTCTCGCATGGCTCTTTTCCATAGTCCAAAATCTTTAACTAAGCAACATCGAGCTTTGTGTATAAAATTTATTACGTTTTCGCATTTATCGCGGTTTTTTAAACCCATGTGGAGGGGGTGGAGAGTGAAGGCTCTTCTTCTATCTTGCGCTTCTTTCAAATAAAAGCTTGAAGAAGTGGCTTAACGGAACTCCATGCCAACTGAATGAGCCGGCAATTCATGGTTAGTGACCAAAAGTGCGTTCTAAATCGATTGTAATAGTGAAAATTCAATCGGCGCTTTGGTAGCGCCTAGGAAAGTTGTAAGCACGTGTTCGGTGTTTAAGATCCGAAAATTCAAACGTAGAGAATGTACTTGCCTCTATAGAATGAAGCACGTGGGACAATTTTTGTATGTAAGGTAGCAATTCATATCCAAAAGCAATGTTGACCCAAGAAGTTTTGAGTCTATTGGGGGCTGAAATTATTTTTGCAACAATTTGAGATAAATTTTTCCTTCAACTGGTTGGAATCATCAACACAGTAAGAGACAAAAACCACTTTTGCATTAATGTATTTAAATTATGAGAGAATAATCGGCACCAAGTCCAACCAATAAATAACTTCATGAATGGATCCCACCCATTTAACAACAATTTTAACATTCGTCACTGCTTTTCAGATGTAAAATCTAAAAAAAGGTTTCCAACCCTACACTCTCTTCTTTACCAAGCTAGATTGCATCTCCTCCTTCACAATCCTACCACATCAATCCCCTTAGTCACAATGATCAAGTTGATAACCTTTTTAAGAATTGTGGCGAAATTTTGTGGGTGACTTTTGTGTGAACCGCGCAACACAGAAAGAGTGTAGCAATGAGCGTGTATTACAAAGACAACAATTTTTTTCACGTCAATCCAAATTCCATCCGCTACCAACAAGGTAGCGGATGACGATGTATAACATACGAAAGTAGAAACTCTTGCATAGAAAACACGATTTATCCAAGTGCGTTTATGCAGAAGCTGAAAAGTGTGTGTGGGTGGGGGGGGGGGTGCACTCTTTTGAAGGCTGTGCTTGAATCGACTTTTTTATCAACTGAAACACTACCATTCATCATGATTTCATTTGTCTGTATTCCACCTTTAGTTGAGCACTATTGTTCTTGTTGATGACATCAAGAATTTGGAACCTATATCAGGGCTAAAAACGGTCTTAGTGCGAATGGTTATGAGTTTCGGACCAGTATTTATGCGAAAGAGGTTTGGAGATATGCAAAAATCATTCGATTATATGTGCCAGTGGTAATAGAGATGCAAGGATGTATATGATGCGAATGCATGGTCTATACATACAGTTCAACAAATTCATGAAGGAACGCATTAATACGCATTGGTCAGAGATCAAAACAGTAGACAAAATTCGTAGTCGATCTTTAGTCCTTTTTATTAGTAATTGTCTTTTTTTTTTTCGGTATGGTTGGCAATTGATGTTTTGTCAACAAAAGATCCAATCCACAAAAATGATAAACACGCTATTTTACTAACCATAAACTCTTAACCAGTGCATAAACAAAGTACTCATAAGCAAACTAAATAAACCAGCTGCATGAAAAAAAAAGAGGAGGAGCAGAATGACAACAAAGTGACGTTCCAAACCAGGGTTGAGGAGAGCTAAGTATATATAGTCTTGTTTGGATAGTGGCCTATCTTTCTTTCCATGATTTGGTCTGCGCATCTTAGTTCAACTTTAAATCTACCTCCTGCCACCTTCACCACCCCCACAAAGCTTCCAAGAAAATTTGATCCTTTTCTGTAGTTGATCAAAAATAATAAAAGGACAAAACCATACACGTGAATTAGCGAAAGCTTAATAAAATATTCTCTTGATCATCGGGTTCGCGACATTTGAAACTTTATTTTGTCTAGCAAAATTTTTGCATAAAGAACCTGGGTCTGTTTGAGTTTAGTAGTTTTCAAAGGCAGAGAAGGTGGTGAAACGAGGACGGAACTGTTGCGCCTAACATTTTCCACCGAGAATGTGTCTTTCGTGAATGGAGGTCCTTTCTAAACTTGTATATGAATAACTCTGAAGCTGACTCCACCATAAGTTTCGAGTCACATTGTATTCAAAGTAAGACTTGGCTCCCAGCTGGCTACAATCCAAGCGTCCGAATTTTATTGCAACCACGAAAGTGTTCCTCATATAATCAATGGTTGTATATCGCGACCTTTTTCTATAAAAGACGTACGCCTTGAATGCAAATCTCCGACTTACATGCACACTTTTTTTCTCTTTTCTCATGCGTTGTGTGATGCACATTCTTGAATATGCAGGGTTCAGCGCAAAACGTATAGAGAGAACAGGTCACTGTCTCAGAAAGTGGATGAGAAGAAACTACACATAATGTGGTATGACCGAGGAAGCATGGAATGCGGCTCTCAAGAGCATACAAAAATTAAATCTGTTCTGCTTGTGTCACTGTAGTTAGTGGTCGCCTCCGCCTCGATTTGAAGACAAGGGGTTCTCATACACAATGACGTCAACAAGAACCAACAAATAATTGAGGAGTGCAAACTCGTTTCAAGGCGATGTATACAAATGCGTCCAATAGTTGTTTCTCCCACGACCACTACAGTGTCTTTGAGAGCAGGTTGTTCTATGCAGATGAAATTCGAAATATCATAACCAGACATGGTTATTTGATTTTTGTGCAATGTACAAAATAGTACCACACAAGATGTACAGCGTGGTAAAGAGCGCTATATAACAAAGTAAGGGAAATGCGCTATAGTCGGTGCGTGCGAAGTTGGGATATTTTTTGGTGAATTCATGCTTTCCCAACAAACAGAAACTGAATTCAGCTGTGAGAAGATGTGCTTTGAAAGTGAGTGTGTATGCTTGGTTGGCTTTTTCTTCATCATGATGATTGCTGTGTAACTAAGCAACGCACACAAACTTTTATACCCAAATAATTGTCCAATACTCCTCCCCATAGGAGTTTAGAATTAAATCCGATAAGGTTATAGCCTTGTAGTACAAAAACCTCTAATATGAGGCAGTATCCAGCATACTTGTTAATATTTTTTTGATGTCTGTCTGTGTGGCCTTTCTTTGTTTACTTATTTTCGGTTATGAGCTTTATCTGCTTTTTTTGTGCCTATTTACTCTATTGTCTTTTGACATAAACGTACATTATGAAACAGCACAAAAGAAGAAGAAAAACAATTGAAAAATAGACGACATGCACAAGACAATTGAGTGGAAAAAGGATAAATTTGAGTAATATAGATGAAAAGTACTAATACTCCTAGTATTAAACACAATTGACAACGAGGGCAAAGACAGATTCATTACACACGATCAACACGCGTGAAGTGTGTACAATTAAAAGGCTTCATTGTCATTTCTAATTCTTGCTCTGTTCAGATTATGTTCTGAGTGTTTTGCACCACGTTTGTGGAGTCCCCCTTCCACCAAAAGGATGAACAGCCAGCACTGAATGAAAAGGCTACAAGAAAAAAAAAAAAATTGACCAAGATCTAGCAATGTATCTCATCGAATGGCAGTTAACTCACTACTCACGTAAAATATCCTTCTTCACCCTCTAAAAACGTGATCTTCTTTCCTTAGCGCTCAATGTAAGGATCTTCATAGAGCCCACTTTTACAATATGCAAAAGAAGACTTAACAAGAGCAATAAGAAAATCAGTTCAACAAAAATAACAATAGTAAAATACTATACTAAAATTAGCTTTATTGTCTTTGTTAAAAATTTTTTTTATTGGTCTCAACAACATAAGAATGTTTAATATTACACAAAGTACAAACGCTTTTGTAATTTGAGTTACAAAGCTGAGAAATTAACAACAGTAATAAGTAGTAGACCACAAGACTATGATTTTGACTATCTATCTGTTTGTTGTTGTTGTTGTGTTATTCTTTTTAAAAAAGTTCAATTCACAAAGGCCTAAATGAAAACAAAACCACAATTGACAAGCGTCAAGGGTTAAAAATCGTACAGTTTTTTTTCTTTAGGAAGATTTATAAAGTATACCACGAAACAACCTCTTTCTTATCCAAGAAGCCAAAGCATCAGCAGTTCACCCATTCAACACAGCTGGCCCCAACATACACCTTTGTATTTGTTATTGTGTTGTGAATTTCAACGCTAGGTCCAACCTTTTCCACGCTCATATCAAAATCGTTCGTTTATTTTATTCGCCGACTTAATTCAGCTGTTAGTCGCCCACTCTCATCAGACAGTCATCAGAGGTAACCCAATCGAAAGGCATACGTTCTTTATAAGATTTGTCTTCACATTTTTGTTAGTATGTCAACAAGTCTATTCAGATCCAAACAGTTCAAGCTGAAGAAGAATTTGAAACATATTGTTATTTCGGGTCCGTTAACAAATGCAGAATTGCAACAACAACAACAGCTACAGCAGCAACAACAACTGCAACAACTTCAGCAACAGCTACAACAACAACTGCAACTGCTGCAACTGCTGCAACTGCTGCATACGCGGTCCCTGACCGAAGACACGCACCATCATCATCACCAACAACAACAACAAGTAACCTCGCCAATTAAAAAAAGGCTAAGTAACTTTGTTGCAACTCAACACTCCCCCACTCACTCATCAAAACATACAGCTTCGCACCATTCATTTCTTCATAGATCCCACCATCATAATCATAAAAGTTTCAAACACACTACTGACTCTGAAGATAATTCACTACAGGTTATACTAGTATCAAAATACGCCTTCATTGCCGAATCACCGCGCGAACTATCAATCAAACAAAAACAGTTTCTCCGTTTACTTGAGAAATGTGGTAACGGCTGGTTAAAAGTGTGTGAATTGGAAGATAATCTGCAATTAGGATTGGTTCCTGCTTCTTACTTGGATATTGCCATTAATGATATTACGAGACCAATTACGTTAGAATGGCTCCATGAATTCAAGACTGACCCTCCATCCAACAAAAGTAGCAAACGCTTAATACCTACTGATTGTTTGATTGACGAAATTTATCAGGATATAACCACCAAAAGTATATGGTTTTGTGTCAAGATGCAATATGATTTACAAATTGTTTTCGCTAGTCGTTCATTTGAAGATTTTATTCAATTTGATGCTGGCTTGTCCAATGTCAATGCTAGTCTTCCGCAGTGGAATTTGGGAGAAGTGACAAAAGTAAACTCCACAGTTGTTACTCAATTGAAACAGATCTGTATAGGATTGAACGAATATTTACAAACAGTTGTCAAGCATTCAAGATGCAATGACAAGCATCGTTTTCAAAAACAATTACATTCATTCATTTTCGATTCGGGTAACTATATCAATGTTGACAAGGAGAATCATATCGAATCTGCTATTCAAGAATTATCGGCTGGTTCAGTTTTAATTGATAAAATTACTTCATTCGCGCCTTACAAACAACATGACTTTACATATTCGGCTACTGCACCACTACCATCACAACAAAATCAACACAAAATCTATGAACAACAGAATCGTCGCCAGAGTGAACAGATTCTTGGTAGTAGTACATCGCCTCGCACACCAATACATCAATACTATGACCAATCAACAACTACGACAACAACTGGCAAGACCATGACTGCCTCAACTTTGAGAAAGTCATTTAGACACTCAGCATCAGCAGCAGCAACTGCTACAACATCGCCACAACATCTTTGTAGATCCGGGCACCAAAGCAACTACACTTACTCACCCTCCAAATCACCATCATCAATTGTTTCAATAACTTCTCCCACAAGACGATTGGTTAAATCACGCACTACTAGTCGTGTATTCAAAATTCCCGATCAGCCAGAATTGGAGGCGATAACAGCTAGTGGTGGTAGTATTAACTCCATACCTGAATCATTGAGTTCAAACACTTTGATAAGTTACACATCATTATTTGACCAGTATGAAGGAGATGAGATAGAGGAAGAGGAGGATAATGCACAAGTGGAGGAAAATGACGAATACCTTAACACTAGAGAAGAGCTTAGTGAGTTGAGATTTGATGATACAAACGTGAATGAAAGCACAACGATAGGTGTAGATGCAGGTACAGGGAATTTATGCGAGGGAAGTACTGCAAATCGGTCGCCACAACAGTCTCATAACTCATCACAATCACATTCATCACATAATTCAAACTATTCCAAACTCAATAGAAGAGCCGATTCAACTTCAAACTCAAGTGTTGAGTCCCATCGTCTCTCAATTGATACCAAAGAAACGTCAATTAATAACCAAACAAACCCCGTAAATGCACATGAAACCAACCAGCAGGATCTGGATACATCAACACTAAAAGACAACAAAACCAAATTTGAGCCATTGAATGTTGTGAAACCTAGGAAACTTTCAAGTACTCTTAGTGATGCAAGTTTATTGGATCTTCGTCAACACAATCCCATCGAAGATGCCAAAGATTTGAGTCAATTTGCTACTCCACCAACTACCCCATTAACACCAACCACACTCAATGAAGAAATTTTCACCAATGATTCATCGATGGCCAACAACCACAAGTTTGAAAAGCCATTATCTCATCATCATCACCCACAACATCCACATTTCCAAAGAAAGCTCTCGTCTGCAAATGTTACTCTTCCATTGCAACAAGTGTATGCACAAGATACAAGCTCTTCCAAAGCTAAAGCGAATCCTCATGACGAGTTGGAAGATGAGATTAAGCCATTGAACGTAAAGAAGAATTTGTGGCTGAAAAAGAGTGATAATTTAACCCAATTGGAACCTAAAGAACCAGAGATTCAACCGCAGAAACTTCACATCGCAAAGAAGCTGCAACAAAAAGAGCAACAACAACAACAGCAACAACAAGAGCAAGCGCCAGAGTATATCAAATTAAAAATATTTCTACAAAATTCCAGCAATGATGTCATTGTTCTCAAGATCAACAAAGATAAGTTATCGTCCATGAGCTATATCAAACTGAAACTAAGTCGCAAGATTTATCATGATGCCAATCTAATCCAACACTATGAATTGGTACCATTGTTGTCACACAATGATGAAGAAAGAAATAAGGCATGGACTGATGATGAAATGTTAGTTTATGTTAAGGAAAAAGTCAAGTGCAATTTAAAATTGGTTCGTCATAATCGAGGTCAATAATATGAGAGAGGGTGATGCTGGTTTGTGGATCTGTTTTCTTTCCACGAGAGAGAGAGAGAGAGAGAGAGATGTGGTGACTACTTTTGATACCATGCTTTTATACACATCTAAGATACATTGTTATGTCTAATGTACCGAGAAATGAACCCAGTTTATAAACTTGTAGATTTGGTAGGCTGTTCTTGCATTTGTCACAAGCAGCCTACGGGCGACAACTGATACCACGCACGTTTTGTGAGGAACGCGACTCCGGTTGCTCATGCCAATGTATCAAAAGAGAATGGAAAACGTTATGTAAGAAATGATCATCTTTTGATTGTCGTTGTTTCACGCTCCGTCGATCGTCTGTTACTTCTTTTCCCCCTAAGTACAACTATAACGTTCCCAATGCTATTTCAAAATGTCCAAAAAAAATTGGGACCGGAAGGCGCTAGTAATTGTGATCCCCTCTAACTCAAAATTTTGTTGTCGTCAAGCATTCCATGTAGTTTTGTTTACATCAATTATGCCACTTAGATGTTCTTGCATACATATGCATGCAAAAGCACTTAGGCCCAGCATTTGGAAGCTTTTCGTAACAACTAAGTATATGCGATGGCTATGTCTTTTACGTGTAGCCAGTCAGTCAATCTTTATATGAGAAGAAGACTGTCCTTTTAGTGCTTTTGCCTCATAAGAAAATGAAAAACAAAAGAAGAAAAAGGAAAAAAAAAAGTGGTTCGAGATTCACTGATGTGCTAGAAAGAATAATTCTTCTTTGTGTAATACAATATTAATCGATCATTTTCCCAACGAAGAAGTTAATAGCCAACCTCATTGATGTAGAGTTGCACTTGGTAACAATCTCATTAGCAAAGATCTAGAAGAGAAGCTTATTAACAGTATAATTGTAATATTCTTACTCGCTTCGTCACACAAATGAAAGTGATTCTACTCTTCCCCCTTTGAGTCATAAAATGTGTCAATGCCATTGAAACTTCGTATAATCCATTGACTGTTTCAGTATCAAAGGAGAGAAAACAATAGAATAAGCTGGCAACTGGAACATATTCAGAGCTTTGTGTAATATCCAGACTGAATCTCTCTCTCACTCTCTTTTTTAGCATTTTGTGCACTACTTTGACGCCCGAAAGTCTATTAAACTGTCCCAATACAACAGAAGTATGAATATCGTTTCCAAATGGAGTAACTCTCTGTAGTATAAATTTCCATTAGAACTCATCATAGCTCTAAAGAAGCAGTTTTTGGTAAAGGTGTATACCTAAATTGGGTAGGTAAACAAGTATCGCATGATTTCACTAATGCATGGAAGGGTTCTTTCAAATCCTGCAATTGAGGTTCGATATGGAAAATATACCTACGGTTAGTTGTGGTTATCTCGGAAGAGCCGCCGATCAATGTGCAAAAAGTATGTAATGGTTCATGTCGAACAACCAGTGCATATATAATTAATGCAACATGCAACGCAGGGAAAAGTTGCATTCTGTTTCTTGTTACAGTCTCAAACTACCAATTTAATCCTCTACCAGAACAGAAGTTATTCAAAGCTTCACTTCTTGTAGTAGTGAGCCCAATTGTTTGCAAAGGTTATTGCATTGCGTACTTTCTTTTCATTTTCTGCCTTTAAAGGGAATATAGTAAAAGTGCTTTTCTAATAATAATCTTGAAAAGTGTACAATTAAAGTTATGGTTGGTTTAGTTTCACTTTGTGATAGCTTTTCGTTTCTTTTCCTTTTTTTGCCTATAATAATTTTTTTCTATAAATTTCACATTTTCTGATTATTCAACCTTTGAGAGTATATAATAGCATATATTTTCAAAGGAAAAGATTGTTTACATCCCTAAACAAGTGACGATCTAAAACAGCAAAGTCATTCACATTCGTTATTGTATTTCTCTAGCAACACGGGTCCCACCAAAACACATTCTTTACAATCTTCCCGCTCATTTTTACCAGCCATATTTCCAAAGCCAGTTTACACATTCCATTCTGTTTCCCTGTTCATGCCATCTCAACTCAATAAACCAAAACCATTGAGCCTAAGCTCATCTCCTGCAAGACCCACGAGCTTGTATGTCACTCCACCACTCGAGTTATCTGACGATGAAGAAGGAGAAGACTATCACAACGTCGAACAACTTCTGAGTAGGGCACTGACACCACTAAGTTCAGTGAAGTCGACCGATACCTTCAAGCAACAAGAACAACAACAACAATCTCAAATACTCCAACAACAAATAACTACAAAACTTCCATCGTTAACGATATCGACACCACCAGTTACGCCAAAGGAGGATGACTTGGGTTTTTTCAAACCGCCCCCCAAAAGATCCCCTTCAGGAACCAATTTACAACTTGATGGTGACAGGACTACATCTGAGCCAAGCTCGCCATCTTCAAGCACATCAAAGAGAATTTTGACATCACCGGCACGTTTCATGAAGCGTCTTTCACAAAGATTGAGAAGTGGATCAGAATTGGATCTAGCAAAGAGACCTGCAACTAACGCTGCAAATACAAGTGTCACTCCACTTTCTCCAATTTCGAACAAGTTTGAGCCAAGATCCGTTTCATTCGAAAAGTGCCCCACAACACCAGGAGAAGAAGAAGAAGAAGAAGAAAACCAGAGCGTAAATCTAAAATCCACAAATTCAGTTAGAGTTCGGATATCGCGACCTCAAACACTACATTCACCATTGACGACGCCACTGAGAAATGAAACCAAAATTTGTAACGTGAGTGAGCTGGGATCACCACAACCACCACAAGGACTGGAATTGTTTAAAAGTATCCTGATGGAATCGCCATTAGCACAATTATCCCACTCGTCGCTTACATCATCTGTTAATACTAGTGATGCTACAAAAGTTAACCTTCAACAATCTCCATCTACAGACCTTGGTGAGCAAGTTGAGCTTCCTCGAATTGATGATGATTTTTCCGGGTTTTTCGATTCAACTTTTGCATCTAACGATTCAATGATTTCCATTGATAACGCATACAATTTTGCTGACAAACACATGAGCATAGGAGGAGAGTCTGACATATTTCGCACACCACCACAATATCGAGGATCAAAAACTTCAGATCTGAGAGCACTAGATGAAATATTACCGTCCACGCTCAAACGGGAAAGGCCTAGTCTGTGTGTACAGACGACATCTCCCATCCAGTCACGAATCTCACAAGCTAGTTGTTCACCGGTTGAACCTAGCCCTTTCCTTAGACTCAATATATTCCTTGAAGACTCACAATCAACCCCGCCTCTTGCAACAATAAACGCAACAGCACCAGGTTCGAGAGGTTCCGGATCACCAGTTGAGCCATCACCGTCATCGACATCGTCCTCTGCATCAGACCATCATGACTTTATTGCCATCAAACTTCGGAAGGATAAACTACAAGATATCAATGAGTTGGTGAATGTCATTATGTTCAAGATTATGAGTAAAAAACCCAACATACGAGCCAATGATATCTATTTAAGCATATTCTTTAAAGATCTGCATTTAAAACCTATATTGTTGAGAGAACCAAGGAGGAAAAAACGTTGTCAAAGCAGCTCTAAGGAGATGCTGATTGACGATGGTGGCTTATTGTTGGATTATGTCCAGTTGAAGAGGAAATTATACATTAGGGCACAATTTTGACTTTGTATCGCATATTTTATATTAGCATGAATATATATATAAGTATATGGCCCATCATGTCAAGCTTGTTATCTCATGTAGAGTAGTGTCAACGGCAGTAACTACAAGGGAGCCGGATGCTCGTCGGTTAGTGTTTTCTTGTAACCTCGAACGAAATCATCATTTGGTCATCGGTCAATGAGCGTTTGACATGTCTCAGATCTACATGTAGATTGTTTTGACGCGTCAGAAAAAAAAAAGTGCAAATTTTGAACACCTTGTCCCGTATAAACAGACACACTCTCCTCTCACCATCTTTTTGAAAGGGGTCCATGAACAAAGGACAAAAGACAAAAAAAAAAAATTATCATTTTGAAAACTCCTTCTTCTATTCCATTTGTAGATATATTTAACCAATTGACCATCAATTGATACTATATACATCAATACTCACAAATGATTGACGGTGTGACTTTTATCAAAACACCAGCTGCTAAACCACAGCCACCAGCATCCAATGAAAGCGGTGTTTGGACTACTGATTCACCGACGATTCACAATGCTCCCTTGCCAGCAGATGGACCCGGCTCAACTTCATTTTCAAACTGGATCTTACTTGGTATTTTGACTTCAGTTCCTGGATTTATAACTTATAAGCTTGGTTTAGGGTTCAAGACTTGGTTGTTCTTTTTCATTTTATTTGCGTTACCAATCTTGATGGCTTATTGGACAGTTATGTCAACCATTTCACCAAGAATCAATGAAAAGGTCAAGTACCCCAATAAACCGATTTCTTACTACTTGGAGTACCATACTCCTGAATTGAAGGCCAAGTATCAAGATTCAAACAATGGACAAGGTACCAAGATCCCCATTGAAACTTTCCAAGAATTGTATTTTGATGGTAAAGTTTCCTTCAAGGGAGACGCTTTGGATGTTATGGAATATAAACACGAATGGGCAAATTTCAGATTCACTTGGGGATTATTTAAATTTTTCTTGTTTGGTATGATTCCTGAAGTTATTTTCCATTCACAATCACAAGATGAAGAACAAGTTGGAGAAAATTATGATCGAGGAAACGATTTCTACTCGTGGTTCTTGGGTCCAAGAATGGTTTATACTTCTGGTGTTATTAGTGATATCACTAGAGAAGAAACCTTGGAAGAATTGCAAGATAATAAATTAAAAGTTATGGCTGAGAAAATTGATTTGCAAAAAGGTGATTATGTTTTGGATATTGGATGTGGCTGGGGTGCATGGGCCAACTATGCCTCTACTCAATATGGAGCCAAAGTAACCGGTATCACTTTAGCCAAAAATCAAGTTGAATGGGGTAACCAGTGGTTAAAAGATAATGGTGTTCCACCAAGCCAATCAGAGATTGTTTGTTGTGATTATCGTGATGCTCCCAAATCTGGTAAACCAAATGGTAAATGGGATAAAATCACTTCGGTGGAAATGGCTGAACATGTTGGTATTAGAAGATTAACTGCTTATTTGGAACAATGTAGAGATGCATTGGAAGATGATGGATTATTCTTTTTACAATATTCAGGTTTAAGAAAGAATTGGCAATACGAGGATTTGGAATGGGGGTTGTTTATGAACAAGTACATTTTCCCTGGTGCCGATGCGTCAACTCCATTGAGTTTTGTTGCTAGTTGTTTTGAATCGGTTGGGTTTGAGATTGTTAGTGTTGATAATATTGGTGTACACTACTCAGCTACTATTTGGAGATGGTACAGAAACTGGATTGGTAACAAGGATAAAGTTGTCAACAAGTATGGAATCAAGTGGTATAGAATTTGGGAATTCTTTTTGTCAAGTTCAGTCGTGGCTAGTAGAAATGGTACTGCAACTTGTTACCAATTTGTTTTGAGAAAGAACCTCAACTCCTATAGAAGAATCAACTACGTTCCAAAACAACAGGGTCTTCAAGGAGCTATCAATGGAAACAGCAAATGGACAAAAGAGTTTACAAACTGGCATTAAAAGAGAGGGGGAGTGTAGAGCTAATGCATGCATTGCGCTGTATTGTATTTCACAATTTTATGTATATAGACATAGTGAGATAGAAAGTCAAAATAGCTTTGCATTTGTAATGTAATTTTTTTTTTTCGGACTTTATGGTTCAGTTAAAACAGGTGATTCGTTTGTGTTGTGAATCATGACCATGACTCTTTGCATATGAAGTCTTTGCTGTAGGAGACACGCTTGAAAATTAGAAGAAAATTCCGAGGTATAAACAGTTACTTTTTGTGCTGGGTATTCCCAATAAGGAAATAACGAGCGGGTCTCAGTGTCGGAAAAGAACAACTTTCCATGCGTGGTGATAACGACGAGTCAGAATTAAAAGACTTTGACTAAAACGGTCGCGTTGAATGAGATGCTCTATTACTCAGGGTTGACGGATGTAAGTAAATGACGGGGGACATGTAAGGGATGTAATTGATTGTCACTGCGGTGGGTAATGTTGTAAACGGGACAAGTTTGACAGAGTTTGATTGAAATATGTTTACTGGTAACGCATTAGGTTGTGACGGAACAACCAGAGGTATTCCCAATTACATCATAACCATCGTTATCCAATTGAAATGATTCGGCGAACTGGATAAAAAACGTTTTACCCAATCCCCTAATCCAATTAAACCAACCTATAGATTTACGAAATTCTTTTTGTTATCGACGCTATTTATTCAAACTAGCAGTTTTTTCTTTTTGACTCTGGTTGACTTTTTTTCCTGTTGTGCTTTACATTTTCTTTTTTTTTTATTCCTCGGTTAAGTCACAAATTCATCTATTCTTGTTACAATTCACCGCTAACTGGAAAATCAATGAGCCTAGTACTGCGCTCATAGAGGAATTTCCATCTCCAGTACTAAGGTCTAACACCAATGGCACACAACCATTGTACTCGTAGTACATAGCAGCTTCTTCGAACGTCTTAGCTCACTTCTTTTTCATTGTCTTTTTTGAGCGTTTCCGAAAACCGCTTTTTAGTCTTTAGTTCAACACCAATCAGAGTCAAACAAAATGCGTGTGACTATTTCGGGCAACTCCATCCACCCGAGGGTAACAAGTTGTATGCAGTTTATCATAGATTGCGACATCTGATTTCATTAATAAATGCGACATTTTATTAGACATTTGTTTAAGAAATCTGGGGTAAAAGGGAGAAAAAGAGATAAATGTCGCTTTCTCTGTCTTTCTCTCCCTCTATTGTGAAATGTCCGTCTTCAACCAACCTCCGTTAAAGTTCTTTTCTTTTAATTTTTCAATTAAGACAATATCCTCCTTTCCTTCCCCCCCAGATTTTTCTTTGATATATAAATACAATTGATTTTCTCCTTGATTTTTTATTCCTTTTCCAAGATTCCTTTTGTTTCTTTTCTTCTTTTTACAACCTACTCATATCTTATATAAACAGAGTATAACTTTTTATAAAACAATGTCAGGTCCATTCCCAACTGTTGCTGAAAAAATTAAAGGTGTCCAAGTTCTTGGCCCAATTCCAGACAATGCTAAACACATTTTTTCACAAGAAGCTTTAGCTTTTGTTGCTACTTTACACCGTGGTTTTGAAAAGACTAGACAACAATTGTTAAACAATAGAAAAGAAGAACAAAAGAGAAGAGACCAAGGTTACTTGCCAAACTTTTTGCCAGAAACTGAACATATTAGAAATGACCCAACTTGGACTGGCCCACCATTGGCTCCAGGTTTGATTGACAGAAGATGTGAAATTACTGGTCCAACTGATAGAAAGATGGTTATCAATGCCTTGAACTCGAATGTTGCTACTTATATGGCTGATTTTGAAGATTCATTAACTCCAGCATGGAGAAACTTGGTTGACGGTCAAGTTAACTTGTACGATGGTGTTAGAAGAAACTTGAGTTATGAAACAAATGGTAAAAAATATGCCTTGAACTTGAAAGAAGGTAGACACATTCCAACTTTGATTGTTAGACCAAGAGGCTGGCATTTAACTGAAAAGCATGTCTTGGTTGATGGTCAGCCAGTTTCTGGTGGTATTTTTGATTTTGCCATCTACTTTTTCAACAATGCCAAAGAAACTTTGGCTAGAGGGTTTGGTCCATACTTTTACTTACCAAAGATGGAACACCACTTGGAAGCTAAATTGTGGAACGATATCTTCAACTATTCACAAGATTATATTGGTATTCCAAGAGGTACCATTAGAGGATCCGTTTTGATTGAAACTATCCCTGCTGTATTCCAAATGGATGAAATTATCTACCAATTGAGAGAGCACTCTGCTGGTTTGAATTGTGGTAGATGGGATTACATTTTCTCTTACATCAAGTGTTTGAGAAACTTCCCAGAGTTTATCTTGCCAGATAGATCACAAGTCACCATGGCCGCTCCATTCATGTCTTCATACGTCAAGTTGTTGGTACACACCACCCACAAGAGAAAGGTACACGCCTTGGGTGGTATGGCTGCTCAAATTCCAATCAAGGATGATGAAGAAAGAAACAGAAAGGCATTAGAAAATGTCACTAAAGACAAATTGAGGGAAGTCTCTTTGGGTTGTGACTCTTGTTGGGTTGCTCACCCAGCTTTGGTTCCAGTTGTTTTGAAAGTTTTCAATGAACACATGAAGGGTCCAAACCAAATTGACTTGCCACCAAAGGAACCATTCAAGCCAGTAACACAAAGAGACTTGTTGAGTCCATTTGTTCCAGGAGGTGTCATTACTGAAGGTGGTATCAGAGCAAACATCATTATTGGTATTTCATACATTGAAGCTTGGTTGAGAAACGTTGGTTGCGTTCCAATTAACTACTTGATGGAAGACGCAGCCACTGCTGAAGTCTCAAGAACTCAAATTTGGCAATGGGTCACTCATGGTGCCAAGACCAACACTGGCAAGGTTATTACCAAGGATTATGTCAAACAATTATTAGATGAAGAATACGCCAAATTGACCAAGAATGCTAAACCAGGCAACAAGTTCAAGCAAGCATTTGCTTACTTTGCTCCAGAAGCTCTTGGTGAAAGATACTCTGATTTCGTCACAACTTTGATTTACGATGATATCACTACCGTTGGTAGAGCTATTCCAGGTGAGAAATTATAAGCTGAATGGAAAGTTACTGGTAACTTTTAACTTTTTTGTATTTATTGTATAGTTTTATTAAAGTTGCAAATATTTCAACGTGATGTTCTTTATTTTGTAGAGGAGATTATTGGGGGATCTGACTGTATTAAGACGACTGGGCTAGGGAGATTGTTTTTTGTATTGGTTGGGGAGAGACACGTGCCAAATACGGCTAGGCTAGTCAAACCATAACAATCATGGTAGCACTTTGACTTTTGTGCCTCGGAAAAAAAAGAAAGGAATAATTAAAGCGAGTTTAAGGAATTGTTTTGGTTACAGTTTTGAGCAGGAATCTGCATCACAATAGCGCCAAATACTATTAACCTAAGTTTTGAAGAAATCGCTCACCGTGTATTCACCCAAAGAATGGCTGATATTGTCATAATCGATTCAGATACAGATAGTGACCCGCCACCTCCAAAAAAATTCAAAGCCAATCCTACCACTAATCTGGCACCCAAGACAAGACCCTTTGAAGGAGTATCTTCGTCATCATCATCATTGTCATCGTCGTCAACAAATGTGTCCCGTTCGGCGTCTTTTGAGGAACTAAGTGTGGGTCGTGGTGGTGGTAGCGATAATGGTTATAGAGATGTCTTGACAGGTGATATGACTACGACATGGCCACAACAAACGAGATTGCCGCGAAACGAAAATAGCAACGAAGAAACTAGTTCAAGCAACGTCCAAAGCTCTGAAGGCTATCTCAGTGAGAATGAAGGTGAGGACGGGGATGAAAGAGTGAGATTTGGAACCGCTGAAAATGACTTCCAAGTTTCTCACGATTCAGAATTCTTTTTCACTCCCATCCCACCAAAAGAGATTGAAGAGACGAGGCGATATCTAAAAGACAGGGGAAGATTACAATTTCTTGAAAAATATCTACCAGCATCAGCATCGGGACAGGATATTATTAAGATTGTTTTGAAGCTAGGATTTATACCGAAAAATGTCAACTTTGATAACGTTGACTTACTGGCGTGTGTACAGATTCTTAATCGTGCCATGGAAAAAGTACGCTCAAAACGAGACAGACTTGATGATGTGTCCACATACGAAGACGCTATAAATCTCATTCGTGATAGTAAACGAATATTGGTCATAACTGGTGCTGGTATATCAACGAGTTTAGGAATACCCGATTTTCGTTCGTCAAAGGGATTTTATTCCATGGTTAAGCATTTAGGTCTAAGTGACCCACAAGAGGTTTTTGACTTGGAGATATTTCAAACAGACCCAACACTTTTTTATTCCATAGCTCACATGATTCTACCTCCAGGACATACTTTCACACCTTTGCATTCATTTATCCAAGTGCTTCAATCAAAAAACAAATTACTCCGAAACTACACTCAGAATATTGACAATATTGAAAGCTACGCTGGAATACGACCGGAGAATTTAGTTCAATGCCACGGCTCATTTGCCACTGCCACGTGTCTCACTTGCGGAGATAATATTCCTGGTGAAAGTATATTTCCAGAGATACGTAAACAGGAGCTACCCCGATGTAAGGCATGCGACCGCAAGCGGGAAAGGTTACTAAAAAAGGACGAAGACTGTTATATTTCTGAAAGTTTTGGTATTTATAAGCCTGATATTACATTTTTCGGCGAAGCATTGCCACGAAGATTTCATGATCATATTGGTGAAGACATAATAAACTGCGATTTGTTGATTAGTATCGGTACATCTTTGAAAGTGGCACCTGTGGCCGATATTGTTGACAAGATACCGCATTACGTGCCGCAAATTTTGATTAATAAGGATCCAATAGAGCACTGCAACTTTGATGTGAGCTTGTTGGGTTACTGTGATGAGGTAATCAGCTTTATCGCCAACAAGTTGGGGGACGACTGGAAATTGCTACACAAGGATTATGACAATATACGAGGCAAAAATGGACAACATTTGGAGATTGAATTGGTGGATGCGGAGCTACGGGAGTATAAAGTGACATCCAAAGTCCATAAGGTGGAGCACACTCCTGAGGTACCAGAGGGTGCAAAACCTGAAGGATCAAGTGTCGTGAAACTTCAGCAAAGCGAACCAAAACACTTGAATGTCAATGGACATCAAAACTCTATGTCAAATGATGTGGTGAAAGCAGACAATTTTGGAAATGAAACTATGAAGGTAGGTGCGGTACATTGGAGAGATTCTCTACTATACACAGGAAGCAGTTTCAATGGCTCAAGTCAAGCATATGAAAACGAAAATATTAACTCGAAAGTGAAGGATGCCATTTCAGCCCCGCAAAGTGTACAACCGAATGGTATAACACCTCATAACAGCAGCTCCATTGAAACCAGTTCTGGTGATGACTTTAATGACGATGGCTAGAAGAGATGATCGTGTTAATGTTCGAGGTTGCGAGTGAAGTCACATAGCAGGTTACCGGTGATACCACATGGCAGGTTGCAGATGAAGGGTGCGCTAAGTAGAAGTTTAATAAATTGCATCGTGCTAGTTTAAAGTTGGCCCAATTTCTTCGCACTCACACGAAAATCCATCCCTGTAGATCTCATTTTTTTTTTCCAACCCATCTTTGTCCTAACAGACATGAGTCTACGGCATATGATATCTAAAAGTTTGCACTATCATAAGCTATGCGGATTGAGAGCGTCTATTCAATGTCAAAAGAGACTTCAGCATACAAACCGCATAGAGTCAATGCACCATGCGACTGAGCTGGATGAAGCATCGCAAACCACACACAGTGTGAATAAACCCCCTTCAGACCATTGTGGTGCCATCCCTATTTCTGAATCTTCAATAGACCAATTGGACGATGTGGAGCCGAAAGGAGTTCTACATCTGATGACACACGATGATTTATTCACCACGAACAACAAGATAGATTTCCAAAGGTTGAGTCAGTTCATAAAAGAAGCATACGAAAAGAGACCTCATGAAAAGAAATCGAAAGTTGAACCAAAGCCAGTGAATATTGATTCTCTTCTTACAAGCTACAAACGTGATGAACAACAGAGTGGGGGTTTTTTCAAAGAAGCTGCACCTAGTTTTCAAAGCAGAATAACGGTGCAATCCTTGGATTTCGATCTTCGCGAGAGGTTGTACGAGAAATGTGAAGCAGCTTTAATTCCAACGTTAACGATTATAGACGATATGCGATCTTCAGTTGAGATTTACCAATTTTTTGACGGCGTATTGCGGAGGGTTTCTGAAGATTTAGAGACGGCAAAAAAGGAAAACACTTTAAATGATCGATTCTATTTGCGAAATGTATTTCTTGAAAGGAATATGCATGAATGGAATGAACTGTATGACAATGTGCTTGACAAAATATACGCCGACAATGGATCTGACCCGGTCAAGTTCAATGCCAACATTTTAACTCTCCCGACCATCACCAACCATGTGTTTAAAAAGCTCGGGTATCAATTATTCAATGGCAACTTGATGCTTTCAATATTCAACAAATTGAAGGATGACATACATTTATACACGCTATGTTGCAATCAACAAACATATAATGAAATTTTACGAACAATTTGGGTGTACAATGGTAACATTGACTTATCCGAATTTGAGAAAGTGTATACGGAAATGAAGTTTTTGGGGTTTGAAGGGGACTTTGTCACTTATAATATTCTCAAAACAGTTATTGATGAGTACAATGCAATGCTGAGTGGTAGTTCTTTTTTCAACAAGTATGGGTCGAGAGTATTAACACGAGATGATAACTCAAGAATCGCTTATCTCACCAAGGAGTTTCACAAGTTGCAAAAACGACTTAAAAATCAGTTGATAAAATAGGATGAGCTTGTACTATGAGATCTTCATCTCTGCAAATAGATTGTATATATACTTCACTGAGCCAATTTTCCAATCACGTGCTTGGTTCAAAAAAATAATATGTCTTTATGTCCATATGCACGACCATGCGAGAGTTCAATTTCTATTTATAAAACAAAAAAGGATAATAAACTATAATCTGGAACGGGAATAGCCACCGGTTAAAGCTGATTTATATCCATTCGCAAAATGTCACAATTTGACACATATCTTGAGAACTACGCAAACGATCAATTCAAGGAGGATGGCACTCGCCATGGTCGTGGTGCGAACCAGAACTCAATCCCTGAGATTAGACGAGAAAATTTTGACGACTTCTTAAGCGGGTCGGCTGATATCAAGCGTCAATTATCACAATCATTTAGTGGTAGTGGTGGTGGTGGCAGTGGGGGTAATAATGGTACCGTCGGCGGTAGTAGTGGGGGTGGATTAGGTACTAACACCGTACATCATGGTGGTATCAGCAAACCTCACTCAAGACGTAATTCAGCTTATATCAAATCTCAAGAGGGGAGCGATGCTGAGGATAACAATGAAAATAATGACAATGAAAACGGCCAAGGAAATGAAAGGAAACGAAGAGATAATATTAATGATAAAATACAAGAGTTGTTGACTTTGATTCCGAGTGAATTTTTCGAGATTAAAGAGGAGCTGAAGCTGAAGACAGAAAGCAGTCCCTCGGATAGATCACCCAATGATGACGATGTGAACAATACTGCAGGTAAGACCGGAACAAAAGACGGAAAACCAAATAAGGGACAAATTTTAACCAAAGCAGTGGAATACCTCCAATCTTTACAGAATTTGATTGACGAAAATAATCGAAAAGAAGTTGAATTGATCATGAAATTGGAGACGCTTAAATTGAAGAAAAAGAATAATGGGGTTGTGAATGAAAGTATACCTATAAGAATTGGTTACACGAGTGCCGAAAAAGCCCTTGGAGAAATTGGTGTTGGGCCATGTTCAGAGGACTACTTTAAAGATGTTTTAGTGAAGAGTGCAAATGCGAGCAAGTCGTCAAGAAAGAATTACAATGGGTAGTAGTTTCAATCATCAATCAAGTTATCTACACAGTTGTCAAGAATGTCTATTTATTCCTTTTGCTATAGTGTAATGTTTATGAACAATTATTGCTGGACTTTCACCCGGCCTAGCCTTTCCAAAGCATCAGCATTATCCTTCAACATATAAGCGGGTAGGTATTTGTTTTCACCGCCAGGAATCATTAATTCTGGATTGGGGACAGTGGTATTGCTACCACCCAAACTTGTGTATCCCTCGTCATACAAGGTGCAATAATTGACATCGGATCCCACCAAAAAGTCCCAGATTTCCACGTATTTCCAATCTAGTATAGGATGAATTCTCAAGAATCTGGGCCAGTTACTGTCGGTGTACTGTTCATCTTGAAGTTGCGCGCCATAAGGATCAGTGTGTCTGATTCCCACTATAACTGATTTGACATTTGTATTAATTTCGTTCAAGTAGTGTTCAAATCCACATTTCATTGAATCTTTGATAAAAATTGGGTTCAAGTGGTAGTATTGTGTAGATTGTCTGATAAATTCTGTCAACTGCGGGAATGGAGTTTCGGCATTGACGTAAACGGAATCTAGCTTGTAGTCGTGGGGTATGATGCCGCTCGAATAGAAATTTTCACCACGATTTGTTTCATGGGTACCGAGGAATTTCTTGTAGATCGAAGCTAAAAGTAAAATCAACATGACCAAACAATCTTTACCTCCATTATATGAGATTGCAATTTCCTTCAACCTGGATTAAACTGTTAGTACGAGTAATCTATTTTCTGAAGTTACGTTTCGTGCCAGTACATACCCGTGAAGGTCTATCGATTTCTCTAGCTTATCCATGCTCGATTTAATCTTTTCTTTTACCACTTGTCTTAGAGCTGGATCGTATTCGTATTTCTTGTGCCTTGATGGCACCAAGCCATTAGGCAACGTGCCATTTAAAAAATTTTGAATTAAGTGATAACACTCTTCGCACCTTTCAAAGAACCCTATCTGTTGTTTCGTAAGCTCTTGTGTCGTCATTGTTGGAGATAATTTCGATTTACAATGAAAAGTTGAAAAAAAAAAAAAAAATAAAAGAAAAGAAAATGGGAATATTATGGAGAAAGAGAGGGAGAAGATTAATTTTGATTTATATCCGACACTACACAGATGCAATTTCGAATCGGAAAAGACATCAATATAATAATACACTATAATCGATACATTTAACTCCAGAAATTTGTACATCACTTTTTATACAACAACTGTAAAAAGAACTCCTTGGTATCATTGTCCCAAAACCACCAGTATGTTTTGGACATCTTGCCTTCTTCTTGAGGCTTGTCAATTTCCTGTTTATTGGGTACAATTATGGCAATATTGTCGTAAGGTTCTGCAGAAATCACAAGATATTGTACATCACTTGGCTTTAAATCATCATCTTCTTCTTCTTCCTCTTGGTTTGCCGCTTGGATAAATTTCATACCTAAGTTCTGATTCTTGGACGTCAACTCATAAAACGACATCAACCTGAAAAATGGTTCATCAATAGTAATCTTGGAACATTTCACGGTAATTAATATACCAAGCTGAAGGGTTTCTGGATCACGTATTTTGATAACTTTGTACTCTGGCCGTCCTATCTTTTTCCACTGTCTCTTTTCCACATTGCTTATACTGATTTGGTCTTGAACTTTTCGTTGGAACTCTTGTTGTTGTCGCAGCTTCTCGTCTAGTATTCTTCTTCGCTCGAGGTTCAAGTGGTGTTTTCTTCCTCCCAAGTGTGAGATATAAGATGATTCGTTATTGTGGGTAGTCAAGCACAACTTGCACTCCAAAATTCCAAGATGATTTCGAAATACATAGGGGTCGTTATCAATGTCAAGAATATGTGTAGCCAAAAGTTCTTGCACCCTTTTCTTACTGTGCACATTTTGATCTTCAGTACTTGCAATTCCTCCTGCCCCCTTCTTGGAATTAACACGATTTGAGTAGTCCATGACTGATGTGTGTGTAAGTTTTGTATGAGATGAGACACCAAAGAGTGCTTACGATTGTTTGGATGTTTTGTCAATTTCGCGACATACGGAACTTTTTGCGACATTGGAAAACACGTCGAAATTTTTATTTCATTTTTTTTTTTTTAAATTTCCCTTTTCTGGGTATATTACCATATCATACGCCCAGTTCACCAATAGTTTGACCACACCCGGATTATAAACCTACTCACTACTAATACTTTAGAACCAGTTATTGTATCTTATACCCCTCTCTCTTGGATATGGACTCACCTGCAAATATTGGTGATAGCACCACTTTATCAATTCAACAAAAATTATCAAACACACATATAGATGGCATTGTCGACACCCAAATCACTGCGGCGGTACACTCTGGGATCAAAGTTATACAATTGCTGGTAAAAATCTCAGATGAGGCTAGTATGACTCCAGAGAAGAGCAAAGATGAGATAATTGTGCTAAGAAGAGTACAAGATTCATTTATCAATGCGAGTCAATTACTTCAAATACTTGTTAGGTTAAATGTTTTGGCGCAAACACAAGTGAAAAACTATTTGAATAATGAAGTTTTGTCTAACTTGGAGTATTTTGGAAATCCTACCTCAAAAGATGGTTTACAAGTTTTAGATTATTCAAAACATGAAAATAGATCCCTTCGTGGAATCTGGGTTCCTTACAACAAGGGAGTCAAGATTGCATTGGATTTCGATATCTATGACATGACAAAATCGTTGTTTCTTGTTGATGTTCATGATTATGAAACACTTCCCAAATACAAAAAGAGAACCTTAGATGGTGATGTTGTTTTAAGCAATGAAGGGCAAGGATCTCCTTCCAAGAGACAAAAAACTAACGAAAATCTCAACAAGTCTTCAGACTCTTCTACAACTAAATCAACTGAAGTGGAAAGTAATCCAAATTTTCCTTATACGCTCCCGCCGGTGACATTGGAGGGTACGAAAATGGATCTTGCGAATGACATCAAGCGGGTTCTTGGTGAGGTCTTTAAGAAAGATGATCAGTCTGAGAATGGGGTTTCTGTAAGTGATTTGAGTGCAGAGTTTGAGCTGATTCTCAAAAACTACGCGAAAGATGATATAAAAGATATACCATTGGATCAACGAGGACAAACAGCACTACACTTTGCACTGACATTGGCATCTGCAAACCTCGTTTCTGGTTTCATTGAATTGGGTCTCAATTCTCCAACTCGGGGTAATATCGATGGCGAATCTCCATTGATTGCATGCATTCTGGTTACAAATGCTATGGAAAAGGGGAACTTCAAAGAGATATTGTCGCAATGGCTACACCCTGATATCTGGCTTTTAGATAAAAAGAATCAAACCGTGTTGCATCATATTGCCTTACAATCAAGTAAAAATGAAAGCTACAAATATTACATTACAAAATTATTGGAGCATGTTCTATTGAATGGCGACAAGAAACTTGTGGAATTCAAGGAAAAAATTTTGAATGCCCAGGATACCAACGGCAACACAGTTTTGCACATTGCAATTGAAAAAGAAAACCGCTGGCTCGTGAAGCTATTGTTGGAACTCGGTGCTGACGCAAGCATTGCTAACAAACTTGGAATCAAATGTCAAGATTTTGAAATATTGAATGACTTGTCGGAAGTGAATGTGGACGATCACATTTTTGATTTAATCAAAACTAGTAAAGAGTTTTTTGAGGAACGCGTCAATACTGTGGGAATGGAACAGATTCTGGACTTGGAACAGTATAACGGTGGCAAGCCTTCAACAGCTCCCGATTCATCACTGGTTATTCTGGGAAATGTTTCCGACAAAATCTTTCACAGTATCCATCAATTATTGTCTGATACTAGTCTGGAATATACTAATATATTAAACTCCAAAAGAGAGCAGATTAAAGCTTTGGATCTGGCTTTACACGATGCAACTATCGTTACTGCTAATAATCGATTCCAAATAAAGAAATTGACAGAAAACTTGGAAAAACTAGACACCTTCAAATTGCAAGCTGCAAACGTATCAGATAAATTACTTTTATCGCAGCAAGAAGTGGTCGCTGAAGATGAGGTCAAATTTGATGACAACCAGCAATATGATGCTGACGAGCCATTTATCATACCACAACTATTCAACAAGCTATCAAACAACGAATCGGTTGAGAATCTCAAGAGTGATGAGAATTTCCTAAGACAACTACCGCCTACAAAGATCCTCAAGGCACGATTAAATGCTTATAGACAAATAAATGCAAAGTTGGAGAATGAACTACAAAGTTTGATCGATTACAGTGAATTAACAGCAAAGTTCAAGAACGTTGTTAGCATATGTACAAATGTGGGGATCGATGAGGTTGACGATCTTTTGGATGGATTACTAGAAGCTGTTGAGAGTTGAAAGGTATAGAGTTTGTTTCAACTAATGTAATATAAATTTTATTCATTACAAAATAATTGCACCTCATACTAAATCCAGATACTCAGCCAACGCACCCTTAATCAGCGGATCAATCTCAGCCAACCTTTTAAAATCATCAAGTGTTATTACATCTGTATCTTTGTTTTTCCCCAATAGCGTAAACCATTTCTCTGCTCTTAATTCGGGAGTCAGCTCATCTGGAGGTAATGCAGCCATGGGACCTATCATCTTGTACGTTGCACTTATTACTGGTACTATGTCATTATATCTTAGTTTCCCCGTTTTATTGTAGTCATAGAAATCAAACGACCACGTTACTTTCTGCTCAATCTTTCCACGACTGGTAATGCTAAATGCTAAAATGAACTCTTTGAAGTCGATGAAGTTGGAATTATCTTGATCAAATTGAAGAAATAGATAATGACAATAGTCTTTTGGGTCGCCAAAGGGGAAAAATTGTTGATAAATCTTTGCAAAATCCTCTTCAGTTAGTTGGCCACTAGGACAATCTCTCAAAAACCCTTTGTACCACAGCTGGAGTTCTCGTTTATCAAAGTATGTATTTTCTTGAAGTCTTTTGAGGTCGTCTTTGGACAATTTTGATGCAGCCTTTCCCATGACAGAGGTAATGAGCTCAATAATTGATGGTGTGTAAATGGGTATCTGAGTGCGTGAGTGAGTGTGTTTGTGAGTGCGTACGTTATTAGGCGGCTGAATTATCGTCGATGTTGAATTGACTTTGGGGAATTGTGTTCTTCTCTGTGTCAACTGTTCACTCTGAGATTGCCTTGTAAACAAATAGCAAATTTCTTGCAATGTACTGTATATAAATATCGTGGTGAAAAGGTGAAAGATTTTTGCAAACGACAACTCTAGGTTTACTTAGTAATTACATTAATCCACTTTGCTCCGACTCCAAGAATGCTCAGATACACTACATTCTCAAAAAGACTGTTCTCTAAGTCTGCCTTGTGTCTTGCCAACAACGGTAAGCCACAAAATCCACCAATAGATAAAACGATTGAATTGAAAATTGCCCCAATCGTTCGTACTGGGGAAACGATTGAAATCAAGCGTGCTAGGTTAACTTACCAATCACGCAAGAGAGGAATACTAGAAAGCGATTTATTGTTGAGCAGGTTCGCTAAAAAGTATCTTAACAAAATGACGCAAGAAGAGTTGGATGAATATGATAAATTACTAGATGAAGCTGATTGGGATATATATTACTGGGCAACAAAGAATTTTGAAGTAACACCATTGCCTGATAAGTGGAAAGATTCAAAGATCTTGAAGTTGTTGCAGGAAGAAGCTGAAAACAAAGAACGCGTAATATTGAGAATGCCTGAATTGGATGAAGGCGATTTCCTCAAACCTAAGAATTGAAAGATGAAAAAGACGTTGGTAGGGTGGAGGGGCTGAGAAGTCTGTACATAGCTTCTCTAATACACGAGGATGTTGACTTGGAAATCTAGGATAATACTGTTGCGCCAGTAATATTGTAGCGTATCAGATTTAAACTTATTTGAAGGGGGGTTTAAGCTATCTTGATTGTACCAGCCAGTAGCAACAATGGTGAGACGGATGGCCATAAAAAGGAAGTTATGTGAAATAAGCAACTATGATACCCTGCTTCACTCTTCTCTCGAGGCCAAATTGGGAAGGATTGCAATTTTGTGTAACACAAGTGAATTCTATATTCGCATGATTCTCTAAGGGCAATCTACCATTCACTATATACCACAGTAGTCTACATATGTCAATCGCAAAAAATTCAATTCCAGAAGAGCTTAGGTCAGATAGAAATGTTAGTCCATACATTCATCGAGCAATTGAATTGGAGAACGTTGAGCCAATAATTAGTTACTTTAATAAGATTTATGTGCTTGAATATATCCTAAACAACAAGATCCATACGAGATCAAAGTCCAATGAAGAATTCACCATCAAGCTCTTAGATGACACTGAGTCCATGAAAAAGGATACAACAGATGAAGGTCTCCATACTGTTTTGAATGATAAGAACTTATCTTTTCGTTATGTTGTGAAGTTTGCCTATAGCTTATTCAATTCATGTCTCGAAAGTCTAAAGTTCTACAATGCTGACAACAAAGCTCAGATGATCTCTAAATTCAGAGCTGCAATGTGTTTCTTGAATGTACTTGATGCATTTGAAAGCTCAAGTGACAGCATTGACTTTGCGGCGATTTTTGGACCCAAGATTAAAGATTGGAACGATTTCAAAGCCGTGAACAAAGAGAAACTTAAGGTGTTGAAATACCAGCTCACAAGATTAGCGAAGGATGAAGTACAACTGGAGGAGGGTGTACAATCCACCAACGCTGATTTGGAAAGAGAGCTAGAAGAGGAATTAAACAAACTAAGCACTGACCAGGGTGATGAAAGATTTGAGAAAGGTACTACTGAAAGAATTGAAAGTGAAGAAGAAGATGATGACATCACGCTAGATGCTAAAGCCACTCCCAAAAACCCTTCTTCATCGGATAATCCAATCAAAGATGATTCCATTGAAAACGAGTCTCACCAAGTGGACACATCAAATGCAGCTACAGCTGTCTATCGTGGCTTATCACAAAATACCTCTGATCTGAATCTTGACAACATTGGTACAGATGATATGAATCTCCCAGGGGCTCCCCATTTCACTCCAGACGAAGGATCAGACTCCGAAGGTGTGAAACTTCCCCATGCACCGAAATATTTACCAACTGACGACTTAGCTGGCATTAACAAATCCGGATCAATTCAAGTATTTGCCCCAAATTCACCTGAGGGCGATACCAAATCTGTGACAGAAAGCGCGAAACAAGCAAGTGTAAAAATGACGCGTCCAGCTCATCATGAAAAACCGCTTAGTAAAGAGAATATCAAGGAAATATTAAATAGGGATGATGTAGTTGTGCAAATTCAGAAGCACACTAAATTTGCCAATTCGGCTTTACAATTTGAGGATTTCAATGAAGCGGAGAACCAACTTTTGAAGGGTTTGGAGTTGCTAAGAGCTTTGAAACGTCAAGAAGAAGAATAGGGGGAACTTTATTAACAATAGCTAAATTAAGGGTTGAATTCAAATTACGTGTCGTCTCTATACCTCTATCATCTCATCGTCGCTCCCACTATCTACATCTGCAAACGCATCCTTCCCTGTGGATGTTTTTACATCTGGTTTGATCCAGCCTTCATCGTCGTCGAGATCATTTTCACTCTCTAAGTCTTTGTCACTTTCGTCCACTTCAAATACCATGTCACCACCATCCTTGGTATTCTCCTCAGTCAATTTTTTGCTAGCGCTCAAAAAGGTCATCAAAAACTCGTTCCTTTTTCCAACTCTCACCATCTCCTTCGCAACCTTATTCAAATACCTAGATAACAACTTCAACGACGAACGAAATCCGAATTTATTTGCAGCGATGAACCTTCCATGCAGCATCAAGATACACTTGATCCAGATTAAATAAAACTCAATATGAGGGGAGTCATGCTTGTTCAATAGTTCCCCAATGAAGTGAAGAACTCGGTCAACATATATCTCGGGAATATCTTGACACACTAACTTGATATCTACCAAAGGGATACTTTCCAAGACCTGATGAATTAAATAAGTTTCATTCAATCTCAATGCCATAACCAATGCAATCAAGTACTCCTTCTCTTTTAAAGACTCTAATGCAGATTCAGGGGTAACTTCAATGTCCAAATCGAATGGATCAAAAACTAAGTCTTGATTGACGGAATACACCAATAATCCCTCTGTGGTTGTAGCAGCAAATGAGGATGTTGTTGGTGAGAATTGGACTGAGGTGACTTTGATTTCGGGTCTCACCCTACGCTCACTTGGATCTCCTCCCCTCAGTGACCCTGGTAAAGTGTTGTCAAGCCTATCCTCCAAATCACTATTCTCACCATTTCTGTCTATCAAGTCAGCGTTGAGACCAGAGTCTGTAATTTTGCGGCTGTTCAAGTATTGAAGAGTTCCATCAATGGACATATTCTCAGACACAACGAACCTTTTCAACAAAACTTCACTGTCGATATCATACATGCAAATAGAATTGTTGTTACCTGCAGCCAATAGCGTAAGACCATCAAAGGAATACGTGATAGTGGAAAAGTATTTCCCACGCTTTGAGTTCTTGCTCACAAACCTATCTTCAAGGTATCTTCCGCTAATGATGTCCTTTCTTCCATCCAATAAATGTAATTGCTTTGCATCCTCGATGTCATAAACAGCAATATGCCCATCCAAAGTGGAGACTGCCAACTCTTTACAATCCGGTCTCATGCTAATACACAAGACATCGCTTTGCACCTCGATTGGTTCAACTGTTTGATTTCTGGAGAATATATTCCATATTCTAACCGTTTTATCCCAAGATGCGGAAGCAAGAACAGAATTTTCTTGACCAAAAGATAAGCAAGAGATTGGTCCCTCATGACCGGTCAACGAGTCCAATAAATTTCCAGTCTGAACCGACCACACATAAATTTCAAAACTATCTTGAGACCCGCCAACAATTACCTCCTCACTTGGATCCACAGCAAGACAATTGAATTGTATTCTAGAAGTGGCAGTAAATGTTCTGAAATTTCTGAACCGAATCAAATCAAATGCACGAATTGTACCATCCAACGACGACGAAAACAATACCTGTCCCTTTCTAGCAAACTGTACTTGAGTTACAGGAGCTGAATGCTCATTAAAAGTCATCAAACAGAAACCAGAAGCTACATCCCAAATTTTTATCCTTCCATCGTCCGAGCCTGTAACCAATCGTGAACCGTCTGGTGAATAGTAAAGTGTATTCATGGAATCAAAGTGACCTTGCTGTTTGAGGATATATGATTCACTTTGCCACTCGTAAACTAGCAACTGACCCAACTTCGAAGAGCCAAAAGCGAGCCATTCCCCGGTGTTGTTGATGTTTACAGTGTTTATAGTGTTTTGGCCCATACTTAACAGTTGTATAAGAGTAAAACCATCACTGATGTCGTAAACTCGAAATTCTCCATTGGAAAATCCAACAACTAATAGAGAAGACATTGCATGAAATGTGGCACATTTGAGCTTTCCATTGGCGTAGAAAAAGTCCTTTGAGGTGATTCTCCAATCTGGGTTTGAAACTTTTTGACCTTGCTCATCGCCATCTTCCTCATCTTCATGGTCTAGTTCAGAAAATTCCCATTTGAACAACGCTCCATCCTTACTAACGGTGTAAATGATTTCCTGATCCTTGCTGAAAAACGCATTTACAACGTAATCACGATGTCCTGAAAAGGTTCTAGCAACGTTTTTCTCATCTGACTCTAGGGAATAAATCTTTGCTGTCATGTCTTTGCTTGTACTTATGAAGAATCGAGAGTCTTGAGACCACGATATATTCAACACATCGTCAAAATGTCCCAGGTAAATTCTGTGTCTAACAAATGGTGCAAATTGTCTATCCTCAGTGAAATCAGGAGTTTTCCAAACTTGAATAAATCTTCCAATGGCCACAGCGAGGTATTTCCCACAAGGGCTAAATGCAACAGCATTAACTTCGGATTTAAAGTTGAAATGATGAAGCACTACCCGAGAAACAAAATTTAAAAGTATTGCTCGTCCATCTTCGTCAATGGATATCAAAAGCGTATTTTGTTTGTTTAAAGCCATGCATTGTATGTTCTTGCGATGCTGGTAGCTGAAAGTAAACGACTGAGATTTTATTAGATCAAAACATGATACTCTATTGCCAACAGGGGATAAAAGTTTGGTTCCATCTTCCGTAAATACCAAGTTCCCCTTTTTGTACACTGTTCCAAGCAAATTAGAGAACTTAAAGTCTGATCTCATTGCAAATGTAGTGGTGATGGTTTGGGACCTCTTCTTGGGATGAGTTGAGATTACCTCTATTTCTGCAAGAAAAAAAAAAAAAGAAAATAGGAAAAAATTGGCGATGATCTTCGGCTTGTTACGAGTGAGTGCTTCTTGATACATCATCAAATAGCTACAATGTCAGGAAGTCTATCATCACGAGTCATGAACATGAAATTCATGCAGAAAGCAGAAAGCACTCAGGTGAGCGATAATCGTGAAGAACAGAGGCGAAAAATTGATGACGTCTCCGAATGGCTGTTGCCGCTGCTGTCAAAGATTTTAAAATTGGCACAGCGTAAACCAAAGATTGAAGTACTCGGATATGGGTCTATCATGAGTGATCGAAACTATACGAGCCGAAAGTCATGGATCGCGGCTACAAATAAAACCGATCTTAATAATGATGAGAGATATGAGCCTAGTCGCAGTCGACATAAAGACGTACCGAATGTTGGAGAGCTTGATACACTTTGGAGGAAGAGAAAGCCGGAAGGCTCTCCAGACAGAAGAAACAAGAGGCGAGCTACGTAAAGTACCAAACGCATACTGCCCTGCTATTTTCTTTTAGAGCTACGACCTGCCTCCTTCTCTTTGTTGGCTTCTTGGATGAATCCGCCTTTCGTTATGACATCTCTTGCAACAGAATTGATGTGCTTAAATCTGTCGGGCCCTAAATGAATACCACCAAAGTATCGACTGACAACTACAACCACATTCCACGCATCCATCATCTGCACTAGAGTTAGTAATGGTCGCCGTCGCAAATAAACAACTAATACATACCTGAAGTAAATGTAGCAATCTTCCTCCGGCGGCTGTTTCACCGTCGTCATCACAATCTTGATAGATTATGTTGTCTTTTTTGATCCTCCAGCTTGATATATTGTGTGCAGCTTTTGCAACTTTCTTATCCAGTAGTAGGCACTCTATACTCAGTTTTGCCTCCTCTAAACTGTGAACTTCCAATGCATGAGCAATAAACGTAGAGCGGCGATCAGTTATAACGTCCGAATTTACCCAATTAATTGTTATATCTCCCGCCTGCCCAGTTTGTTCTGCAAGCGACGATTCATTCTCAGCAGGCGAATCTTCTAAGTGCGACTCTGGTTGCACCTCTGCTTCCTTGTTGGTCGGCGGTTTACGATGCGCGAGATATTCGTCAAGAATTTCCAGTAAGTGAGTCAATAATTCGTACATAATGACTTGACCAGGGACAAAGGTTTTAACTATCAAAGAAGTGACCAATTTTACCAAATATACGGTGTCGGTGTATCTTAACTGATCTTTATTTGCAATTGAAAGTAATTCAGGACTTTGATTAGGATAACTAAGTGGAAAATGGAGCTGGATCTCAATCAGTTCATGGTTGGGTACGACATACCTGTAAATTTGCGGAGCTTCCTGGTTTACAGATTCTGGGTATATAGCTTTAATCGCATTTACCTCGTCAATTAGTTCTTCCACTGACATTGAGGAATGTTTCGTGATTGCAAACTTCAATAATTTCTGGAATTGTTGAACCGAAAATTTAAACTTTTTGATGTGTTTGGTATGAATCGAGCTGAGCTACTCAAACAAGAAGGGAATAAAGCATACACCAATCATGAATATAGGAAGGCTGCAAAATTTTACCGCGATGCAATACAAATAGATACGTGTAATCCCGTATTGTACGCAAATCGGTCGCAATGTTTCTTACAACTAGGCGATTACGAGAGGGCCCTCAAGGATACAGACAATGGATTGAAGTTTGAAGGATCAAGCAAAATTGCGGTGAAGCTCCACTACCGGCGTGCCAACGCTCTTTTGGGACTTGGTAGGACTCAGGGCGCAAAAGAGGCGCTTCAAAAAGTTCTTGACTTGGATCCCCAAAACCACAGCACCCATGATCAGCTCGCCAAATTGGGGGCCAAACGAATCACAAATGGCGTGTCTAAGAATGACGACGAAAACCAAAGTTCGAATCCAAATCGGTTGGATGCTTTGGGGGCCAAACGAATCACAAATGGCGTGTCTAAGAATGACGACGAAAACCAAAGTTCGAATCCAAATCGGTTGGATGCTTTGGGCCCGCCTACGGCTGCTCTGCCCATGCGTTATCTCACGGCGTTGAGGTATATGAGTGATGACAAGAAAATAGGTGGATACAAATTTGTTTTGAATCTTGACGAAACCTCCTACGTTGAGCTTTTCAAGGACTCTGGAATAGACAAAGAATTCTTAGAGTTCTACTTGTGTGCTGCTCGTTATGCGTTGGACAATGACCACTTCATACAAGACCCCGAATGTGTGATCTGTAATCGTTTGCAGTCATTTGCAAAGTTTAAGCACTACAACTTGGTAGAGAATGAATGTGACACTGCCGTAAAAGAGCAGATTTTGCAAATTGTGGAGCATAAATATCCACTGATGTTGGATCAATTTAGGCAATATATTATCTAGCTAATCTAAACACCTAAAATTGCTTGATTTCCAAACTTTTCAAAAACCCTACTTTCCTATTGGTAGGCCATGGCCCTGTTGGTTGCACTTGTAAAGCGCGTGGTACATATTCTGTTAAGTCAATCTTTAAATATTTAGTAAAAATCGTTGGAATAACAAAAATAAAAGCAAATAACAGCATGCTGAATAAGAAAAGGAAAAAGTACAATATAGCTTGCAACCTGCGTTTTTTCTTCTGTCTCTTTGACAAAACACGGGGACGAATCTGATTTCCTGGTTTCAACCAGAAAAGCATCAAGGTGTGCCACTTGTCTGCGTACGGGATTAACAAGATCGGAATCTGAGTGTACAATATGACATGTGCTGCAAATAGATCACCAACAAAGTAGGTCATTTCCGAAGTCTTGCAGAAAAATTCCCTTATTGGCTGCGTGATTACGTACCAACCTAATCCAGCAGTTGCCCATTTCCCTGACCACCAGGAACGGTTGGATCGATCGTGTCTGAATTCTTTTGACACGAATATAATTGTCGTCATTTGCAAAAACCAACATTGAATCAATGTGGCAAGAGTGAATCCCAAAATCGTATTCGCAAAGTCCCAACCTTGCAAGAGCCATAGTAATTCAAAAAAGAAAACGTGGTTGATTACGGCCAAGGAATGAGCAAAGGCAGCCAAAAATGATGGAAGTTTTTTGCAAAAGAATGTGAAGATTGGACCAACAAGTATGGACACAAAAAAGATGACCAACAAGAGCACAAAGTTGATTACTATGGGTCCGAAAGTTACAACAGCAATTCTCAAAACGCTGTTCGTCGGTGTAGCCCTGACATTGCCATTCTGTGAATTTGCAAACAAGTATGCCACCCCAATGATTGCAATCACTGACAATTGAAAAACTGATTCGGTAAACATAAGCTTGGCTCTTGATGGTTTGACTTCACTAACCACTTTGATTTCCTCATTCAAGCTCATCCTTTTGCTCTTCACGCCGACGATTCTGCTCCTTCGCAATCTCGTAAAATTTATCCACGAAGAGATTCTGGCCTTGCTGTTGCCGCGAAGTAACCAATGAATAAACTCCTTGTAATCCAAAAAAAAATCATTCCACGAAAATTGATTAGGGTTGTACAAGAAAGGGCAAATTAGCAAACCAACAACAGACATCCAAAAATACAAAAGCAGTGTGATCCACATTGATATGGAACAATAAATTATGAGTAATCCGCATATGATCCCATAGTAAAGGCTCTCCACGGCAAATCTTGAGTAAAGAGTTACAAATGGAACTCTTATTGTTGCAAATCCCCTCCCTGTTGCAAGATAGCGCGCACCACCAATGGAAATATCACTTGCTAATGAATGTCCGTAGATCTTACAAATGAATACTTCAAACAATGGTGAAAAAGATGCAAATTGCTTGCTGAGTCTTGTTATAGCTTTGTAAAATCCCCTCTCTGTTAATTCTTGGACACCTAATGGGACAAAGGAGATAATAAACACAATGAATATTGAAACAACACACCTTTGCAACCAATGAATGACAGGAATCAAATTGTAACAACCAGAGGGTCTCTTCGGATCCGTGATTGGTCTAAATCTGTCGTACTCACATATAACGCTTTCTCTACTCAAAGATGCAAGGTTTGCTGAGACCAACAAAAACAACTGGATCGAAAGAATGATGAATACATTGTTCAAATGGAACCCTGGATGTGCATAATAGAAAGACAAGAATCGATCAATGGGCAACTGAGTACCTAAATAAAAATACTCTCGCGACAACATTTGCTCGCCCATTCCGGCTCCAATTTTAGTTGTAAAGTTGAGGATAGATCCAAATCCTAAATCCCGTCCTTTACCGCATTGCATATACTCGCAATGCTTGATTCTTCCACCACGGAGGAGAACATTCATTCCCGCGTAAATATCCTCATTGAGATGCAAACCTTTCTGAGCTTTCGAAACGCCGCCTCTGGTGGTCATGAAAATCCCATTCAAGAAATCAGGATGGCCATAATGTAGCTTACCGCCAATATGGGCAAGAGTTCTGGCAAAGAGGGTACCAAATGTTTGCTCTTTTCCTGCAGCCACGTCACCAAGAATACCAATATTTTCAGAAAAAATGTACTCTCTTGTTCCAATGATAGCCACTGGAAATGCCAGATTTGAACGCTCTAATTCGTTTGTATACGGATCCAACGGAAACGTTGCTTCTTCGAATTCAGCTAATACGCTGCGAATCTTAAGACATTCTTCCAAGTAGTTATCTTGATTTGCATCAACTAGCTGAATATACTCACCACGACAAAATATCAACGAGTGATTTTGGTTGTCCGACTTTCCATCTCCCAAAATCGGATTGCCAGATAATCTCACTCTATATTTTGGCTCTCTATCTCCATTTTCCAAAAATGAGCAGCTCCCATCAATGAGTGCCGAGTAGAAGGTAACTGCCCCTGTATTTTCATCAATTTCTTCATCAAGGTAACAAATTTGAAGCTCTGGGTAAGCCCTCAACAAAAAATCAGTGTTTTCTCTTTCTTCCGGCGTGAAATATTTCATTCTTTGCATTGATGTGATGATTCTGAATTTTCGGTGAGCCATGATTGCAGCATGCTCTATTTTCTCAGCATCGTCACCAAAAGAACTGGATCCTTGATTTTCCACATCAAAAAGAAGCTTTATGGCTCTTGCGTAATTCATAAAACCGGAGATTGTACGATACAATGTTTGCGATCGAAGGGAAGCCCAAATTCTTGTCCTGAGAATGTATTCGGGTGTTGCAATTTTGAATCCAACAGAGTAATACGGCAAGTCATCAAGTTTGTCTTTCCCAGTATCGGTTGATGCTGAGTCTGACTCAAATTCCTCGGCGAGCATTTTTGTATCTTTTACGAAGCAGCTCCACTCTAATGGATGTAACTGTTTCAAGTACTCAAGCATTGTCACATGTGAGTATTGCTCCTCCTCTCTTATAATTTCTCTCAAGGATAAGATAATCTTTTCACTGTAATGAGGAACTAACACAGAAAATGACGGCACAAAATGTATAGGTCCCACTTCCGGCATAGGTGTTGACAACGACTGAGCAAAAAAAGTTATTCGTCGTTGAGCCTCAGATTGTTTGCTAAACAATGTCGACTTAAAAGACTGGTCTTCTTGAGAAACGAAAAACATCGGTTCTTTCAAAATGATGCCTCCTTCTTGACTTGGATCCTCAATCAGTTTATAGATGAGATTTTGAACATTTTCCAATGATATCAAATGTTCTCGGTACATTGAAATGATGATTGAGTTCCAAACTTGCGAAATCAAAGACTTTGATCTGAGGTTCTTTTCATTAGTTACTGATATTATTTTGGAGAATATTCTCTTTGGTAGCCTTGAGAAAATGTTCCGCCATGGCGTCCAAATAGAAACCCCAACGTAGAAGGAGCGGCAAACAGAAAACAAGGTGTTCCAAATGATGTACCATAAATAGGTATCCAATATGAACAACACCAAGTTAGTCAAGTATATGAGGCACAAAATAATATACGGTTGTTTTGAGCATAGCCATGAACCGAACAAGCTTTCCCCTGAACAGTTTATATTCTTCAAAATGCTCAATTCACGAATAGGATCCTTCATTGAGAGCGTCAAAAAGAAGTATGACTCCAAAAATTTGGATATAAATATTGCAAGCCACAAACCATGAGATGCTATTTTGTCAGTATCAGTGAGCAAGTAAAAGTTGGTGATAAAAAACTTTTGCGGTAAGTATTTGCGGTTGGCGGAACTTGGCTTTCTCAGAAACACTTTCCCTAAGGGAGCAATAGATAAATACACGACAACAAAAATGGACAATGTAAATTGCATGGATGCAATTGTTAACCCAAGTTTTGATTGATTTCCAGTCCCTTGAAATCCAAGCAAGTAAACAGTTGGTGCAGTATTGAGGATAAAAAATAGCAAAGTCACTAGTAATCTTCCTGCAACTGGTTGTGCCCCGTGCCATTTCCGAGGAATGTACGAAAATTCAAACAAAAGACTAACCAAATTTATCATCAAAGCCACAGACCCACTTAAAGAAAGCAAGGATAACTGAGTTTGATATGTCGGAGGATTATCCATCGATGATTGGTAATTATGTGTGTACAAAGTGGGGGAATTGTAAATTGAGTAATACCAAAATGCCGACAAGTGAATAATCCACACCCTATGGAAATTTGTAACAACATGAGACCAGCTTCGCTTCTCTTTGAATGTTTTGTAAAATGCCTTGTGCCATTGCACTTCATTCAACCGAGCATATCTCTCTCTAGGGGGAAGTTTTATCAATTTGGTCTCTTTGTCCAGCAACACCAATCTCTCTAGCCCTTTGCTGTGCCAGAACAACTGATTCATATCATCGTAACCAATGGCCGTGCTGTGATCCTTGTCGCGTCTGTGGTATCTCCCATCCACCAAAGAGTATAACTGGTCGCAATAAAAATTGTACAAAGGTGTGATGATATGATCCAAAAAACTCACAGTCACTCTCTCAACTGGAACATCAGGATCAATCGAAAAGTAGTAGTCGTTGCAACACTTGAAAATAAAGCAAATACATTCCGGCATGAATCTTATATTGTTAGCTTCTCCCCAAATCAATAAATACAATGCCAATTGTATCACGGTATATGTGGGGGATAGTGCCTGCATGTTTGCCACCCATTGCTCTTCGGCAGCTTCAAGAGTTGGGACTGCTTCATTGGTGTCTTTGACTTTCCCATTTTTCACGTTATCGAATCCAACAAAATCATCCAAATCCATTTGTGCTGCGAAATACCACTTTCGGAAATTGGAATTGATTCCTCCGACATAGTCAGCGTGAATAGACCGCAATGCATGCTCGGGTCCTAATCGTGATGCCCTCGAATCCAAAAGTCGCATCAAATAGTCAAACATATTCCTTGTGTTGTCAAATTGAAATCCAAATATTGCAGTCAACTGCAAAAATACCGCTTCGATATCTTCTCTTGTAATCGGAACGGTTTCTTTTGGGTTCCAAGCAGGATATGGATCAAATTTGTTGGAATATATATCATAATAATCATTCTCTGCTAAAGTTTCACCTGGATTTCTATGATAGTACCCCTTGTTTTCACCGAGTCCTACCTTCTCAACCTCTGCCCATTTTTTGGAATCAAAATGAGGTGTTTTAAAGCCACTCATTGGAAATCCTGATGCGTATCCCTCTGCATTGCTATCTTTATGGATGGAGTTTGTTGTTAGTACCAAAAGAAGGGGTTGTACGGGGAATTTAAAACAGCATCAAAATCTGTGTCATCTCTTACCAATCACAGTTGCTGTCCTTTTTAATATCTCAATTGGATCCGACTCCTCCTTGCTCCTTCTCGAAGCTTTATTCTTTCTCGCTGCCATGGAGGGTTAACAAAGTTGCGTGGTTGAAAAGTGGTTGTAAGAAAAAAGGGAGAGATACTCAGAAGAATGTTTTTTTTGTGTTGCAAAAGTGAACCAAATGATTTCACCGATATAATCTACTCTAAATCTATACATGTCTAATTGACTGTGGTGCACAAATCACTCATTCTCATTCTCATTCTCATTCTCATTCTCATCTGATAGTTTCTCGGCCAACAATGCCTTTTCTTTGATTCCATTGTACACAATCCTATTGGGTGTATGCTTCCTCAAAAAGAGTGATGACTTTGTTATACGATTCTTTGCTGCCATCTTCAACAAGGTGGGTTTAATTTTTGAAGGAGCCACTCCTTCACTCAATAAATTAGCAACCATCCCCGTGACTATTGGGGATGCCATTGAGGTACCAGATAGAACCAGGGAACTATAAGGGTTTCGTGCGTTAACACTCTTAACATAAGCCCCACTTGCAAACAAGTCCACACATTCACCCCAATTTGAAAACCCTGCCACCGAATCATTATAATCATCAATAGCCCCTACAGTTATTGCATATTTTGAGCTAGCCGGACTTGTCGTACAAGCATTTATATTCGAATTACCCGCTGCCACCACAAATATTAGTCCCGTCTTGGTGGCATGTTCTATTGCCTTGTTGAGTATATGATTTTTGTATGCACCTAAGGACAAGTTTGCGACTCCCTTCATCCCTGAATCGATACGATGCTTGACAACAAAATCGATAGCTGAAAGAATGGTGCTCAATGAGCCTGCTCCATTACTATTCAAAGCCTTCACTTCCACGATATTCACATTCTTGGCCACCCCGTAAGTTGCAGAACCAATCAACCCTGCGACATGAGTGCCATGACCATTTGAATCACCTGATCCTTCGTTAGTGAAATCGATTCCTGCTGATGCCCGACCCTCAAACTCCGGGTGGTTAACTTCAACTCCAGAGTCAATGACGTACGCATTTACCCCCTGTCCCATAAATTTATTATCATAAATATATGGATATTGCTTATTTGGCCTCAACCGTTTTCTCCTACTGACCCGTGCCAAATGCCTTGGGGCATTGTCTTGAACTTCGTATTCTAAGTTTTCAAAGGTTGAATCTTCGATGATTTCCTGAATTAGTGGACACCGTTTCAACCTGTCAATAATTTCTTTCGGAAAATTCCCTGCGAAACCTTTGAATTCGCCGATTGACACCGAAGAGCTTATGAGGTCTCGTACTTGGAGATGTTTGGGATATCTTTGATCGTATTCCATGAAATTGTCCAAAGATTCAGTAGTTTTCAAAGAAACAAAGTATGGCTCATCTGCGGCGCATATGCATACCAAAGCAATCAATAGCAAATTGGATTTTATTAGCATTACAGAGTACCAAAATCTATAAACATAGCTACTGGGAATCTGAGACGTATTTATGGTTCGGATTAAATACACAACAAGATTTGGAATCTTAGCATAACAAAAAATCGAAGTGGAAAAATTATAAGAGTTGAACGCTAAAGATGGAAAGATGGTCAATTGGAATTTCCTTAAATTTGGCGATACTTTCCGGAAAGTGGGTGTCATTTTTCATGGCAGGTTGGGGCTTTCATATGAATCCAATTCGTCTTCCGACTCACTGTCATTTCCCGCTTTCATGAAATTTTCTTCCACTTCGACGTAAGCTATTTTGTTCGGTGTATTGGGCCTGAAATACAAACTAGTCTTGGAAATTCTGTTTGTTGTCGCGATTTCAATCAATCTCTCCTTGACGCACGCCGGGTTCACTCCTTCACTTAGTAATGTTGCTACTACTCCCGCCACTATAGGGCTAGCCATGGATGTGCCCGATAAAATCAGAGACCTGTAAATGTTTTTGAAATCGACACTTCTGACATTCGACCCACTTGCAAATATGTCCACGCATGGACCCCAATTGGAAAAGCCGGACACTGAATCGCCATGATCATCTATAGCTCCCACAGTGATAGCATAGGGCGAACTTGCAGGACTCATCAAGCAAGCATCAATGTTTGAATTCCCCGCCGCTACGACAAAAACAAGGCCAGTACGGGTTGCTTGTTCCATAGCACTATTCAATATTGCATTATGATGTGCACCAAAAGATAGATTTGCCACTCCTGGTCTACCACTGCGCAACCGGTGATTCACGACAAATTCAATAGCTGCGATAATTGTGCTCAATGTACCGGTGCCAACAGAGTTTAAAGCTTTGACATCAAAAAGTTCGACATTCTTGGCTGCGCCATACGACTTTGCCCCTATCAACCCAGCAACATGTGTCCCGTGACCATTGTTGTCTCCCTCTCCTTCATTCGAAAAATCTCTACCAGTTCTTGCTCTACCTTGAAACTCTGGATGCCCAATGTAAACCCCAGAGTCGATAACATAAGCATTCACTTTTTTGCCAGCGAAGTCGTTGTTGTATACATAGGGATACTTTCTTATAGGTAACAATCTTTTTCGTCTACTCAAGCGTGCCAAATGACGAGGAGCGAACATCTGAAAGTGGGTGTCCAAGGAGTAGACGACAATATCCAGTGATATCTCATCAACCAAAGGGCATCGTGATAGTCGATCGAGAACCTGGTCATTGAATTCTCCTGTGAACCCAGAAAATGAGCCTATTTTGAATGATCTTGTGATGTACTCTTTGACTTGAAGCTCTTCTGGGTAGGAAGCATCGTACTGCATAAACGTATCAAGTGTCTCCTTGGGCTTGAGGCTTACTATGAATGTGGTCGTTTCACATCTTGTGAATAGAATGAACAGTGCAAACAAGATAAAGCGGTGCATATCAATAACGAAAACTACTCTGGTTGCGAAAATAAAAAATCTAAATCTTCAATGTTTTTATATTTTTGCTTCTATAAAGAATTTAAAAAGTCAGTCTTACTATCTTGTGGAAGTTTTTCAACAAACTCCTTCACGGCGGCCAAGGCTGCACTTGAATCGGTATTCAACAACTTCATCAAATCAGCCCTTGTTGCATCATGCTTCAACTCCTCCAATCTCTTTGACAATTTGCTGTGGTGCTCTTCAATCCAGTTGCTTACCTCTTGATCATCTTCATAATTGACAGAAGGCATCCAACTCTTTAAACGTGCCACTTTTTCCAACTTGCTGGCATTCTTGAGGTGTGTTCCAATCATTTTCAACACATACTCCTCGTTCAATCTTCTGCGCAATCTCCAAAAGAAAAAACGCCTGGCATCTGACCATTTGACCTCACCGCTAATCACACCCTTTGCCAACATACGCCCAGATCTATCATGCAAGTCAACAAACTGTATTGACACTTGGTGATATATCGGCAACAATTTCTTTTCTCTGGCTGTCAATTTGCGGCTAACTTCTGCGTGCTCTTCCGGAGTCAACGATGTATCATTCATTTTTGATTTCAACGCAGCATATTTTGTGTCTAATCTCTCCATTGTAGCTAACAACTTATCACGTCTATACTTGATACTAACCAAACCTTCGGCTTCCAAAACACCACCTCTTGAATCGACATCAGCATACATTTCCATCATGTCTTCATTGATTGTTGGGTCCACAACGACCCATGAACCACCTCTCAACTCACCAAATGGAGGTATATATGTGAAGATTGGTTGCTCAAAATCAACCAAAGCATCAACAATGAACGATCCGTATTTCAAAATTTCATTGTACATATCTCTTTGACCACCAGAGAATCCTCTCCAATTAGCCAAGATCATCAAAGGAAGTTGTTCACCATGATTGAAATCATTGATAGCTTGAGCAGTTTTAAAAGCAGAATTTGGATGCCAAACTTGACCAGCCTCATGAACAAGTGTTTCAGTAGAATCAGGGTTTGCGGGATCTGCAGGAATCAAATTGTCAACCGTTCTGGTTTCAACTCCAATAACACCAATAGGTATACCCCCAAGACGTGCTCTTCCAACAACAACACCTTTCGCCCATCCAGACAATGTTTCTTGGAAAGAGTCCTTATCAAACAATCCCGATTCGAAGCCATCTTCAGTCTCTTTACCAGCAATCATCCATCTAACATCAAAAGGTTCTTGCTTTGGTGGGAAGTAATCGACATCTCTGTTCCATGAATCTTCAGAATCCAATATTGGCACCGGCATTCCACGCTTAGCTGGCACATACGATAACCACTCCATAATCTTTTCAACACCTTCCAAATCATCGTTAGCTGTCAAGTGCGAAACTCCATTTCTGTACATGATCTGGGTTCCACCCAATTGCAAGTTGGACGAGTACACCTCCTTACCCAACATTTTGTTGATTGCGGGAGCACCTGTCAAAATAATTGGCTGCCCTTCAACTTGAATAGCTCTTTGTCCCAACCTGACCAAGTAGGCACCAATACCGACTGACCTACAGGTTACCAAAGTAATAGTGAATATATCCTTGTAAGCTCTTGATGTTGCACCAGCAATTAATCCGGAACCCCTAAGACATTCGACACCCAATCCATCGTCAGCACCAACAACTGCTTTGATAACGTAACGTTCTTGCCCTTCCTCGACAACTCTTTCTGTGACCAATGAGTCGCTTTTACCATCTTCGTCCAATGCATGTTTGGCTTCCGGTGTCAAGTACAAATATTTGAATCCTTCCTCGGGTGATCCTTCCTTATTCCAAGCAACTTGGAAAAACGGAATCAATTCTTCTGCTATGCCAATTCTCGCACCTGAGTTGGCAGAAAGATAGATTCTAGGTATGCCTTTTTCTCTTGCAAGCTCGGTACACTTGTTGAAAAACTTGTCCTCCTCAGGACCAAAGGAACCAATTTTGTGGGTAATGTCATTTGCAACAATGACAAATTGACGTCCGCGAGGGTATTCCGGAGTTTTTGCGGTAACCAAGAACCCAACCATACCAATTTTGTTGGAACCAGGGTCTCTTTCCAAAGCAGTTAATCCACCATTTTCATCTGAGATTAATTCCAACCATGTAAACACGTCATTAGGTGTCTTTTGACCGTACTTCTTCCATTGGGAAAGCGTTGCTTGACGGAAAAGTTCAGGGAAGTCGTAGACGTAAGTTGTTCCCATATTGTGGGCTTTGTAACGCTTTGGCTGCAAGGACTCCTTCACTGGGTAGGTTGTTGAAATTGGTCTCAAGTGCATAGGTCCTGGGTGGCCAATTGATTTGAATACCCAATCTCCTTTAGCATTCTTCATCTCCAAGTAAAGATCCGACTTGACAACGTAACCAGAGACGTTATTGATGATAGCACGAAGTGGAAGGGCATTACCTTTAGAGTCAGCACACACAATTCTAATTTCAGCTCCAGTAATTCTCAACCTCCATAACCTTCTACCAAATCGCTCCAAAAAGGAACCAAATGCCGCTTCAACTTCAGCTGGTTGAATATTGAAAACATTTGAGAAATTAATAAAGATGTGATTCAAGTCTGAATTGGATGTATCAACCACCTCCAAAGTGTCCAAGATGTCACTCATTAACCTATTGGATTCGGCAATCAAATATTCGGAGATGCTTATATCGTCTTTGATCACACCGGTTCGGATGATACCCCTTGTAAAGAATCTCTTGTCGGATGGTGCATTCTTTCCCACAGCTTCATAAACATGGATGTTTCTGTTGTTTGTAAAAATTGGTTTAATGTCAAAGTTTGCTAATCTTCCCAACTCCAATTGGAAAGCCAATGCCGGTTCAATGTGTCTGATAACCTTATTTTCCAAGTAATCAGGGCCAGTGAATGTATAGTACTTTGGATATGAACCAACTTGATGGGCAAATACAAAGGAAATACGGCGCACACTAGCCTTGACTAAATCATCCTTGTACTCCTCCAAAAGATCTTTGACTCTTGCCAAATATTCGTTTTCGTCTCCATAACCGTCGATGTTGTTGATTACAACATTGAGTACATTAAGCAACTCTGTTTGTTCCTCCCCGGCCTGGAAGGTTAAAGCGTCACTTGGTTGAAGTTTTTCCAATGCGGCGGTCAACATATCGTCGACATCATCAAGATGTCTACAAGGAACCAAAACACCAGTTCTTTCCATCTGATCTGTCTTTGAATCAACAACAAATGATAAATCAGATACTGATGCCGAATGCTTCATTGCTGTATTTTCCTCGTCACTGGCTGGTTGTTGAATAGCGTTAAATCTAGAATTGGCAATGCTTGGTAACTTGAACTTCCACTCAATTATGGGCAACTGATCGTGGAAGTCGTATTCAATTTTGCCCAATTGGTATGCACGGTACGAACGTCTGACATACACCTCTGCAGCAGCAATGGCAACCCATTCATCAGAGTTTACAAAAAATTGCGACAAAACGTCAAACACAATGTGCTTTGAATCGACAACTTCTTGAATAATATCCAAATCTGGCTCTCTATGTTTGGCATACATTTCTCCATAAGAAGTTTGCAATACAGATGACCGCAAGATGTGTTCCAATTGATCAGATCTTTCCTTAATTGAAGGCAATGAACATTGAATCAAGATTTCTCTCGCCTTTAATGCAACCTTGGCACACCCACGTGAGTCCAACAGTGCCAACTTCTTCAAAGAGTCTCTGATTGAAGCTGCAACCGATGAATTCGATTGCAACAACGGTTGATATTCCTCAAGTATGGCTATGATCAAATTATTCTTTGCCGACACTTTTGAATGGGACAAGCTGATGCTGATAACTTTCTTCAAATCGGATTTGTTTTCATCTCGTAATCTCAAAATCACGTCATCTTCTCTGACATTTGGTCCCACAAACAAGCTTTCAACATTGTAGTATTCATCAATCAAAGATGCAAAGAAATCATACTCGTGTTCCACTAAACCCTTTTCGTATCTGGTGGCAATGACAATTAAAGGTGATACGGTATCCTTCAATGATGCCTCCTCCAGAACTGCTTTATTAATTTGTTTCAATATTTGACGAGCAGGGAAATCAGCATTTCTGGACTTGGATCTTTCCACCAATGAGGTCAAGGATTCATCCAACTTTATAGGCAATCTAGAATGCAATGCTGATATACATTGTTGCCATTCAGAGTAGGGTAATTCTCTATCCTTCAAAACCTCTACAATCTTTTTCAATGTCGCATTCATAATGACTTGATTATCGTATCCAGCCAAGATATTCCTCAAAATGGCTGAATAATCGTTAAACTTGTGGGCAGGTTTTGAACCACGAACATTTGGTGCACCCATGTCGGGTAATGTTCCTTCAAAGGGTTTTGCATGTTTGACCTTACTTGGATCATCCAAAGCCAAAATAGCAAGCATGTCACCAGCATTCACAGTGGATCCCGGTTGCTTAATCAATTGAACAACACCATTCTCTTGAGCCACCAATGGCATGCACATTTTCATAACTTCGATTTCAGCAAAAGTGTCACCAGCGTTGATGTGATCTCCACTTTCAACCAAATACTTGACCAACTTTCCCGGTGATGGAGTTCTTAATTGAGTGGGGTCATTTTCAACCTCAAGTAAGCATGTCTTTCCATCAACCGATAATCTTGTTGCTGCTGCCTCCTCTTTCCAATAAACGGCATGAGATTTTCCGCCCAATGCACATAACAACCCACCGTCAGACAAGGGGCGTGCACCAACTGTACAGCTGGAACCATTAAGGAACAACGTGTAGGTATCATCAGATGACTTCGTTGCAGTAAACTTGAATCTTTCGCCTTCATAAATAAACTCCACGGGGAATATAGTTTTCAACAAGTTTTTATGAGGGACTTGACCACGTTCCAATGATTGGATGTACTCTTTTTCCTCTTCCTCTGCTTGCATATGTGCTTTGGTCACGGCACCACAAACAATAGCAACAGTACGGTCAGGTCTCTCAGCTGTCAACTTCTTTGTAATTAACTCGTCCAACCATCCTGTGGTGATAGTGTTATCTTCAAAATCGGGAGTTTCTAACAATTTAATCAAGTACTCCACTGTGGTCCTAAAATCACCACGAATACTCAACTCTTTCAATGCCACAACCATGTGCTTTCTTGAAGCTTGACGGTTTTCACCAAAGGCAAAAATATGACCAAACTGTGAGTCAGAAAACGAGTGAATAGATGATTGGTTGCTGACTGAAAAGTAACCCCAAACATTGGATGAGGATCTGAAATTCAATTCATGTAAGGAACCTCCACTAGGTTTGAATCCTTCACCGGGATCTTCAGAAGTGATACGGCAAGCAGTACAGTGACCCTTTGGTGATGGTCTTCTTTGACTGACCACTGCATTTTCAGTACTGAATTCGAAATCGATTTCAGTAGCAGAATGAGGATCGGCTCCGTAAAGAGTACGAATGTCTCTAATTCTGTGCATTGGAATACCCATAGCAATTTGTAATTGAGCTGCTGGTAAATTGACACCAGTGACCATTTCAGTTGTAGGATGTTCAACTTGCAATCTTGGATTCAATTCAAGAAAATAAAACTTGTCCTCGGCATGGGAATATAAGTATTCAACAGTACCGGCGCTAACGTACCCCACCAACTTACCCAATCTGACGGCAGCTTTCTCCATCTCGGTAAAAGTCTCCTTCTTGGCAATAGTGACAGGGGCCTCTTCGATAATTTTTTGATGTCTTCTTTGAACAGAACAGTCTCTACCGAACAAGGAAATATTTGTTCCGTATTGATCAGCCAATAATTGGACTTCTAAATGCCTTGCATCACCAGCGAGCTTCATGATAAATATTGGTGAACCAGGAATCTCATTGGCAGCTTGGTTGTACAATGTGGTGAAATTTTCCTCGCTTTCAACCTTCCTGATACCTTTACCACCACCACCTTCGGAGGCTTTAATCATAACTGGGAATCCAATTTTTCTCGCCTTTTCCAACCCGTCTTCGGGACCTGTACAACAGCCTTTAGCATAAACCTCATCACTAACAGAAACCAAGTTAGTTTCGGGATCAACGCAAACTTCATCAACACCAGTTCCTGACCATGGAATACAAGGGACATTGGCATGTTGTGCAACGATAGTTGACGAAATCTTGTCCCCTAAAGACCTCATAGCAGACCCTGGTGGTCCAATAAATATAATTTTTTTTGGAGATGCTGCTAACCTTTCTGGCAAAAGGGGATTTTCAGAAGCGTGACCCCACCCAGCCCATACAGCATGGCAATCGGTGTTTTCGGCAATATCCACAATCAAATCAACATTAGCGTGGTTATTATTGTTTGTGCCACCTGGTACTTGAACGAACTGATCTGCCATTCTGATATACTCCGCGTTTGCTTCCAAATCCTCTGGAGTTGCCATAACTGTAAACTGTATAGCTCTTTCATCTCCAAATGTTTCATAAGCCCATTTTCTAACCGATCTGATTTCCTTGACGGCTGCAATACCATTGTTGGCAATTAAAATTCGGGTTATCACTGTGTGTCCTTGATGTGATTTGACAAAATCGGTGACTTTTGAAGGTTCAGCTTTGGAGACTGAATTTAATCCGAGAAAGTGTGGCGCCAAGTTGCTATGTAATGAAGAATAGTCCAGCATGATACTCGGAGTTGGTGATTCTGACATGGTTCGGAATCTATTAAACGGTCTGTAGAATGATCTAAGTCTGGTGAATAGGTTAGTATGTCTCCATGTCATGAACTGAAGGGGATGCCAAGATGGGTATTTTTTTTTTGTACATTTTCACGCGTGAAAAATTGATAGTTAGCTAGAGCAAGCTTCATAACATAGGTGTGTCACAAGCCCTTCCATATATTGTTCATGCTATGCGGTCCACGCTATACCGTCCTTGCTATGCAATCCATCCTTTGCGGTTCATCCTTAGTGGTGGCTTCCCTTGATGATATTGGCTTTTCACGCCAATACATACCTATTAATGAATACTTTGTGAATAGCGTTGATGTAGTGTGGTAAAACTCCTAAGAACTAATGGATTAGATTATGAATAAATCCTTTGCAATCCATATCATGAAGTTTCAAAGTCAATGGAGGATTCAAACTTGAATAAATACTAAACTTTTCAAAGCTTGATGCTACATAACCCGACCTTTTGTGTAATGTTGGCGTTTATGTATGTTTTTTTTTTTGTTGAGGCCGGTGTGCATATAACCGATAAAGACATCTGAATCTTTTGTAAGCTTGTAAAAACGGACAAGCAATAAACTTGGTGGGCTGTATGCGTGGACTTCGTGTATGAATTGTGTGCGTGTACTGTGTAAGTAGTGGACTTCAATAATCATACCGTTAAGTTCCAGCGGCATCTAGTTGAAACCACTTTGGTTATACGAAGTGGAGTGTTTACCGACTAGTAGGCGAACAATGTCGCATGTGGCATTTTAGCGACTGTCGTAAGAGATTACTCTTCACTCCCAACATAAAAAAAGTTTTGTTGTTTGTTGTTTGTTGTCTTGTTGGGTTTGGACTCCGAAAAAATATTTTGTGCTCGTAAATTTATGTTGAGAATTATTTTATGCATGATTATTGACGTCAGAAAGGGAGTAAACACTACAGCAAAGAGTGGTTGATAAAACCTGTCTTTTTACTATTCTAGGATTTAATCACGTGGGGCAATCTATCCTCTTGCGTAGGTCTCAGTTTACATTTACAATAGAGGCTGGAATTTCGGTAGCATAGGCTGAGGTCTATGGTACTCTTCTGGCTTAAATTGATGCATTTCCCCAGTTTGCAAAGGCGGTGGGAGAATTATCTTTGGTTGGATGTCACTTGTTGTTATTCCTGTGTATGGAGCCTGCTGTGCACTATGCAAAGCAGCAAAGCGCTGAATTGGAATTGTTGTTTGAGTAGAAATTTCAAGCTCAATCACTGGGTTGGCATTTCGAAAAACTTTCTCCAACTCCTGGTCAGTTTGAATCACGTTACCTTCGTATCGAAACTCTAGTATAGAATTGGAAATGTTGAATGCACTTTTAGCATTTTCCAAAAGCTCACAGAATCGTGGAGTTGCGGATAACCCTGATGGGTAAAGGAATTCCAACGATTGATTTAAGAATTTCAAGATTATGCGTTTTTTTGGCTCAGCAGGTGCTCTCCTGTCAATTGAGCTTTCTCTGGTAAATGCAGGTGAGTGTGATCTCAGGTGGGTATGGTCATGAACATTTACACTCTCGTTTTGAATTGTTGATGCAACCTCAGCTAACTTGTTTAATGAAAATGTATCCTCTTGTTGTGAGGAGAAGGGTACTGAATTCCGGCTAATCAAAGGGTATTCTCTGACAACAGAAACGTATAGAACTTCACTCACCGGATTGATAATCTCATCGAATCCGAAATCTTTAATCAACCCGCCCAACAAAGTGTACAACGAAATAACAGCAACTTCGTCATTGATTGTGGTTGTTGTTTGTGGATCCAATTCTCGGAAAAACTTGGCTAAATTAGCATCTTGGCAAAGTTTGTTTCTAAGATAATCCAATGACTGTTGGTTCACATGAATGAAGGACTTTTCACAAATGTATCCAATGCAACTCATCATGACAGATTTACCTAGAAATTGCAAATTGCTTGACCGCAAATCGTTGGAACTTTCGTTGCATGTTTTGGACCTTTCAATTCTGTTCAAAATTGTCTTTTTGGCAACCTCTGCCAGCGGCAGGTTAATCTCTGGCATGGCAAAATTAGACAATGGAGGGAGCCGAGGTTTTGTCATATGTTCTATCATATCCACCGCATGGTCATGAGAAGAAAACTTCTTGGTCCTACTGTAATTGACGTCATACACCTCATCTTCGTGTTGTACAATTTCCGATAAGAAGCGATCGCTCCCTTCGTTCGAGGAAGTGCTATTTCGTTTCTGTTTCTTGGTGTGCTCATTCTCTCGTTCTCTTTTGAGGTTTCGTTTTCTGTTTCTTCGCACAGACTGCACTGCAGCTCGCACCAACTTATCAAAATCATCTGTATACGACTCATCATACTGAAATTCTATTCGCAATGTCTCGGCCACTTTTCTAATTTCCAATTCCTGTTCACTTGCTTTTCGAGAACTAAGGTCCATAGTATCAATCAACTCGAGTCTGCGAGCGCTGAAACGTTTCCATAATCTATCATCAAGAAAATTTAGCTTATGCCGTATAGAGTGAGTCACTCCGAGTTTGGATGATTTGTAGGTGGTATAAGGTGGGCTTTCAAGCATTGTATGATGCAAAGAAAAAGTGGGTGCTCAAAAGCGAATGACTCTGAATCAACATTTTTTTTTTTTATTTTTATGAGCTACCAGATAATTGGTGGGTTATATGCCGAACTTAGAGCCGACAGGAGCCGGCAAAAGCCGAAACAAAACAGTAGAGGCGTGGTAATATAAGAGGGGAGAGGGTTAGATAATCTCCTGGGGAACCTTTGTGGGCTAGTTTTATGGATCTAAAGTAATCACAAATTTGCGTGGACATGACTGCAAACGCTGAGCTAATCCTAGCTTTTGATGTTTTGCAATAATCATTCAAATTTGTCATTTGTGCAAAGTGACGTATGCGTTTCAAACTAAACTAGCGCGTATTCCGCTCTTAATTCAACTACTTAATGCAGAACTAATTTGAAGAGATTGAGGATCATGGAGGTCAGTGCAATGTTGTTTCATGCTTGACGGCTCGGTGATACCAGCTATAACCCACCAGAAGACGACGAGAAGCAGAGAGTTTTTTCTGCACGCAGGCTACAACAAACACCACAGCTGGCTCTAGCTCAGTTGTCGGGCTACAAGTTAGTCTAAGCTAGTGGTGTTTGTTTAGTTCCGGTATGGTTGTCACCCTGGATCATGAAGACCTGTTGTTGTTATCATTTTGATGCTTTTCCCACTACACGACCTACCTAATAGTTGGGGGTCTGCCAGGATACAAAGGAAATTCAGGACCAAAAGTTTCCACAGGGCAGTTGCTACTAATAATGGGGTAAAGTGGAGATACTTCGATCCCGTCGCCCTAACTCCCCGGTGAAAAGCCACATGTCATTCGACCCTGTTTTTTCTTCTCATCCAGCCGCTATTTTCAAAGGGTGAGGTTGTGGGTGTCGGGTCAATGCTCTGAGAAAGGTTCAACGAAAGAAGGTGTCTGCTTACGGAAAACTACAAAGAGAGAAAAGAAAGAAAGAATCTCAAAGGAAATAAATTTTTCGATTCGATTTTTCTATACACTGATGTCTCTTTTGAACTTATCCAATCTTTTTTGGTGGTCTTGGATAAATTTGATGACTTTTTTTCTGTTTTCCCTAAGAATGTCGTTGCCAGTGACGTCGATACCGTCCAATTTGACCAACTCCTTCAACAACATTTCATCATAGAACTTAAACTTGTTTTCGAGGTCATCTTTGGATAACGTTTCATAGCTTTCAATATACTTGTCAATTTCAGGTACATATTCCAGCTCGACGTAGTCCAAGATTTCCTGAATCTCTTTGTTGGATTTTTGGGCTCTACTCAACTTCTTCTTTCCAGATTTCTTTTTATGTTTCTTTGCATCAGCGGCACCATGGTATTTATCAGAGCTACCAGCATCACCAGAACTAGCACCAGCACCAGCACCAAGCACCTTTCCCAAAAGAACCAATGTGGTAACCGAAACCAAGGTCAATGACACTGTAACAGAATTAACGTTGAAGTTTTTAAAGTCGTTCATTACACCATCAAAAGTCAAGTCGTGAGTGTGGTGGTGGACTATGTCGGTCAATTGGTCCCAATGTGTTGTGAGTTTAGACATGACCAACTCGACATAATAATGGAGCTCCTCGGTTGTGGTTGGGATTTGATTTTTTATTTGATCCATGATAGGCTTTTTCTTGACACGTTGATGATATTAAAAAGTGTACCAACTATTGAATATTGAGGCAGCCGTGGAGGAGATGTATGACAAATTTAGTGGTATCTTTCTCTTAGTTTTTCGCTTTTTAAGCTTTTTTTTTTGTCTTTTTTTTGTCTTTTTTTTTGGTGGTTTGTCGAGACTCTCGATTGTGTTGATAGTTTGTTTTTGTTTTTCCGTTGACACATCGAATTTTATTCTCTTGGATTGCTTTTTGCAATCGAAAGCAATTGCCTTATGCGAGAGGGCAAAGGGCCTAGGTGTATGGCAGGACGTAGGAAGGCATTGGTAGTGCTTACGGGCACAATAGTATATGTGTAGAGCTCACGTTGCGATTGCACTAAATCTTATGGGGGCTGTTATTATTTTGCATACTTATGAAGCAAAAGTGTGAAAAGAGAAGTTATAATTAGGTCGCTCTTACAGAAGATTTATCCATCCATTGTGTTTAAAAAAATTGATCTGTCAAAAACAAGCCCACCAGCAATCTTAGTCGGTCCTAAAATTCTTCACTCTTGAGTCATCCAAGTGCTAAAAAATCGTTTAGAGTGTCAGCATGTGATCTTTTTGTGGGTGCCAAATGCAACTGTGAAGTAACGCTACCAACTCATATAAACTTTAGATCAAGTATCCCGTCACCAAACAAATGTATATTCAAATTTACGCTGATGTTCTCTTTTTGCCGCTTTTCTATTTTAGAGTCTGATTGTGACCAAAGTGTGGTAAATATGTGTTGTGGCGTCGGCTGTAAGTGTTGTGACACGACAGCACGTGCGTGGTGTACATAAGTGCGGCGTCTAAGAGCATCAACACACAAGAGTGGAGACGATTAGAGTGGTTACTCCTTAAAGAGTAAAATTTTCCAACTAATCAGGTGTCAACAGCTTTCTACTATCTTGTTGATAATAGAGGTCACATCCCTTAGAGCATGCTTTACGGTAGCAATCACATATCAGATCTAAGTGACACTCTATTCCCCTCTGTCTCAGTATGTTAAACCGTCAGCCCTATGGTGTACGGGGCATGGTTATGCTCTACGAATGCGGTGCTAAGTGAGAGAAACTCGATTTTGAGCATTGGCGGAACTCGGTGATAACTGAGATGAGCATGGTACTGATGACGCACTGATATCTGATCTCGCCATAATGGCTCTTGAAGATAAAGTCCTTCTACCGAACTGTTGATGCATCTTTCTATCTTCAATTGGTGTTAAAGTAAATGAGTAAGTGAACCACTGATGATAACAAAGACTCACAAGCAATGGCAAGATTTACAACGTTCAGGTCACATAGATATCTTTACAATGTTTGCTTGTCCCAGATAGATCCGACATTTTAAACTCACAGCATCGAGCTCCAAAATGCGGTGTCAATCCCCCAAAACACGGGTTGAGTAGCTCATGATACGGCTATTACTCATCCAACGCTGATTTATCATGTGGATTGCCGTCCCAATATGCTCTACCCCTGATTACTGAGATGTGACACTTGATGGACTACCGTAAAATGATTCAATCGATGGTTCAATCGCAGAGGTGATTTATTCAATAGGTCCTCCTCCGTATATTAAAACATTAATTTCCTATTTGACGTGTAGTCCAATGTTTCTTGTCTTTAACTACCTATCCTCGTTGTTTTCAAGCGCTGCATCCTATTTTAAACAATACCCTTGTGGTTATCTTGGTCGTACCAATCACATTCTAAGATTCAGCAAATCAAGCCAATCCCAAATCCTTCTCAATCATCGCTTTACAGATTGGGTGGTAAAACGATTCGTGCTTTTTGAATTGGGCAATGGCGTAATCACTACTCACTCCATTTTTCAACAATAAATACCCAGGACGGGCGTACTTCATTCTTCCCGTGCGACCCAACCAATCAGCAAAAATGTTGACAATGCCATCTTCTGCAGTGTAGTTTCCATTTCCGATCAAAATGTCATTCCAAACTGAAAGAATTTCGCCATTTTGGCTACTGGCATACTTTGGATAAACTTGTGGCAACTTTCTGACAAGATCAGCAGGGACATTCAACGCTTTGAATTTTTCCAGCAAGAATTCCAAAAACAACATGCTCTGCGCTCCCAGGAAGGAGGTGACATCAGCTTCACTAAATGGGATTTTGGAAAAATCGCCCTTTTTGATGTAATCAATCCACTTTTCACCGTACGTGTAAACTTCATTGGCCAAAGTGGTGTCCAAGACCGGCTCATCAGGGGCACCAGATAAAAATAATTCTTTATCCCAGTCAATGTTGTCTAGAATCTCCTTCTTTCCCAAAGGGGTAAAAAATTCATACAATGTTTCCACAAATTGTGCAGTGTCTAACGATTGATATCTGTACTTTTTAAAATAGTACTTGATAAACGGATCGAAATGTTCAACTCCACCTAATCTTGTCTCTAAATGGTACAAGAAAAAGAACCCTTTTTCGTATGTGATTCTTGAAAAGGAATCGTCTGGATCCTTTCCTTTCAAATCAATAACCAATTTAGTAAATTGTGGATCAAAAGTGTTACAAGTTTCAACTAATGAGTTCCATCCCGATATCATATCCAATTGTCTAGCCTGTTCACCATATGCTTTTGATTCATCATCACTTTTGCCTTGCGACTTGGCTTCCTTGGCAGCAATGGCTCCCAAAATTCTTCTCTCAAGGTACACTGTCCAGCCTTCATTTAACCAGAAATGCTCCCATGAGCAGTTGGTTACCAAATTTCCTGACCACGAATGCGCTAGTTCATGTGCCATGACAGTTGTTTGAGTACGGTCTCCACAGATCAAGGTGGGTGTCAATTGAGTCATGTTGGGAATCTCCATACCACCATAGGGGAAACTCGATGGCAACACCAACGAGTCGAACCTTTCCCACTCATAATCAAACACCAAAGCTTCAGCAATCTGAATGTAGCTCTCCATATCTTTTTCAAACTCCCATTGACACTGCTTCAAATTTGTTGGCTCGCTGTAGACATCTGATCTAGGTCCGATGGGCGCCTTGTGCAAATTACCAGACGTAATGGATACCAAGTACGATGGAATAGGTATAGGCTGATCGTGTTCGTAAACATTGGGAGTGTCGCTAGCTACCGGTCTTCCTGACATTGTAACCTTTGCTGGCGATTTGCCAATGAATTTGTATGGTGATTTCACAGCTGGCGTATCAAAGCATGGGAATAAACTACGTGCATGAATAGCTTGACATTGGGAAAACACGTAAGGACCAGTGTCTCCTTTAATAAACTGAATTGCTGTGCATTTATTAGTAGTTTCAAATGAAACTTCCACTTTCACGGCGGGGTTTTGGGGAATCGGGAATCTCAAAGCTGACCCCAAAACTGGCTTAGGCTCCTCCAACTCAAAAGTAACGACAGAGCCATCAACTTTTACCTCTTTGATGATGAGCACACTTGTATCAAGAATAAGCTCACCGGTATGGGCTTTGTTGATCAAATCGTAAGAAACTTTTCCCTCGATTTTTTTATCTTCAAATGAAACGCTCAATTCCAATGTGGTACTATTTACCTTGAAATCAGTATAATTGGATTGCGTGGATGGGTCCAATTTGTGGAACTTGCTTTTGATGCTGTCAATGATGCTCATGTTCTGGCAAAGCTTTAATGGTGGAAAATGTACCTTACGTGGTCTGAAAAATTATCCAAAAAAAAAAAGAGCCGTACTGCAACATTCGTGTGTTGATTCTGGTGATATATAATAGAACTCACATCCTTAAACAGTACAACGTACCTTACTAAGAGCACAATGAAACGGTCACAATTTCTATTTCTTATTGGTTTTCTATTGGCCTACTGTTTTTATATACACATCGGTGCCCCACTGTGGATATGTTTGCACCGTCAACAGCCCCTTTGTTTCCTCAGCTGTGTCGTTAAACACTTCAATGTACTGCTTTGCCATAGGTAAGCCAAATCCCATTCCTGCAACGGAGTGTCCACCACCTAAATGCTCTGGTGGAACATTTAACGTTTTAAAACTTTCGCCTTCATTACTTTCGTAAGTTGTAAATGAATAGTCAAATATGTGTTTCAAAGCGCGCTTGGAAATACCTTTACCCCTGTCTCTTATACGGATCTCCATAAATCGAGGTGCTTGTTGTGTGGAGATGGTAACAGTTACTGGGTCGAAAACCTTGTTTTCAATGTGCGCTCTAAATGAGTTTTTGAAAACTTCCATAAATATGTAATCCAAGTGGTATTCAATGTAAGGAAAGTCCAATGATGCTGCATTGCTTGTATCAATTTCAACCGGCACCGACTGATCATACTTCATCATTGTTATATCATTAACTAACTCAGCATTCTTTTTAATCACATCAGGTAGGTGAAGCATCTTAACTATACCATTGTATTTTCCGCCCTTGACATAATTGCCAGCAATAGATCGCGATAGCTCGATATGCTGGTGGGCAATTAAGCGCATGCTGATCCTCTCTTTCAAATGCCGATCCAAAAAGTGTGCAATCTTGCTCATACTCAAGAGATTACTCACTTCGGCAAAACCTTTCGACAAACTGGGCAATGTATCTGCATGTATATCCATAAACTCATTCAAAACTGTTTCTAGGGTGGCGTTTTCCTCTAACGTGTGTGGAGTGTACAAACTAGCCTTTAACAACGAGCTCATCAGTTGAAGGTACGAGTCATAACTCTCCAGAATCGATGGATTGAGCACAACAAGATAGGGGAGGTTTCTAAACTCACGCAAACGTCTCGCATTATAAATAAGCAAATTCTCAATGGTCTCTCTAGCATTTTGTAAAATGAAAGTTGGTGATAGTTTTTCTGATTGCTTATACAAATGAGTCAACAGAAGTGGTGGTAAGGGTATTCTTGAGTAATGGAAAATCGGTTGCTCCAACATTGTTCTGATTTTGTATTCTTCGAGAAACTTCTGCTGCTGCTGCCCTGACAGGAGGCATCTTTGCACACATCTCGTCACTGGTCTCATTATATTTAGCTAAAAAGGTTCCGCTTTCGTGGGGAATTGGCGTTTTTCAATTTTTTTGTTTTGTAAATCACCCCACCCATAATGCTAGATGAATGCCCCGTATGTTTAGGCACATGCGACCATGTAATGTGGATTCAGTGTACCCATTGCAAGCAATGGTTTCATTCTAGATGCTTGGAAATTGCTGACTACAGCTTGGGTGACTTTGTCTCCTACCATTGCAATAAATGCACCGACAAACATGGTCCATCTGAACACAAGAGAAGGTCAAAGAGAGCAAGAACTGCAATCGACTACGTGGCATTGAATGAAGGAGACCAGTTTGCTCTAGATAAAGCATCCCACTTTCAGCTTCCCAAGTTTCTTCAATTCACGGGTGAGAAAGATATAGCTGTGCGGAATGACTTGATTATTCTGAACAAACCAATTCTTGTTCCCAATGCTGACTGTGGAATGAAACTACCACGGCCGAGAAAAGAGATTACCATTGACTACATTACTGATTGTTGTGGACCTGATAGACCAGTTGAGGTTATGGATGTCATTTCGCAGCAAGGTGTATCACCAGGGTGGAAACTACAGCAATGGCGTGATTACTTTGAAACCGAGGAGCACCATCGTGATAGACTTCGCAATGTCATCTCGTTAGAGATATCTGATGCTCCTGGTTTAGGAACCAAGTTCCAACGACCAAAGTTGGTTCGCGAGTTAGATCTTGTGGACAAGGTGTGGGATGATGAACAAGACCGAAGTAAAGTGACAAAATATTGTCTCATGTCAGTGAAAAACTCATTTACCGACTTCCATATTGATTTTGGTGGCACATCAGTTTACTATACTATAATCCAAGGATGCAAGTCCTTTCTCATGTTTCCACCAACTGAGAACAATCTTGACATATACACGTCGTGGTGCTTGAAGCCAAATCAGAATTTCATTTGGTACCCTGAACATTTTGTTTACCGCAACAAGGAGAAAGTTTATCCAACAGGTGGTTTTAAGGTTACCCTACAACCAGGTGATTTGTTCATAATCCCCAGTGGATGGATTCATTGTGTGCACACGCCACAAGATTCCATTGTTATCGGTGGCAACTATCTAACTCTACGCGATATGCCCATGCAGTTGAAAATTTACGACATAGAACGGGTTACCAAAGTCCCAACAAAATTCAGATTCCCAATGTTCAACAAAGTCATCTGGCTCAGTGCAATTTACTACACAAATCACAGAGACGAATTTAAAGAGGTTGAAAATGGATCAGAGATTATAAATGCCTGGGTGCATCACCTTGAGCGTCATCTCGAATTGAGCAAAACAAACCAAACAGCAAAGAAAAGTATTCCAAAGCTGATCAACCCGAAACAGTTTCTAGAAACATTGAAATCGTTGAAAGGAACCACAGCTGAAGACACCATGTAAATGAGTCGATTCGTGGAGAGCTCATAGAGAGATAAACGTTCGTGGAAAGGACAGGTTGCACATAATGGCATTCTCGAAATTGCGAAGGAGTTCACTACAAATCGGGTAACAAAGAATCCAATTGTTTCATTAGTTAACTAAAGTTGTAATATATTACCCTTTTCTCTGGCAGCTTCACCATACTTTTTTATTCTGATAGCTTGCACGGCAATGAATCCAGATGTGTCTTCTGGTGAAAATCCAGTCAATTCATCCATGGATGATTCAGTCTCATCGTACAACTTCTCTGTGTCTGAGTATCTACCCAAAATCGTCAAGGATCCTTTGTAGCATGCAGCTCTAACAACACCGTTTACCGTGTTTTGTGATGGTTGAATCATCGATCTCACATATTCACCCTCAGGGGTAAAATACATACCATTGTACAATATTTTGGCCCAAGTTGGCGTGACAAATTGATCTCTAATAGCTCTAACCTCACGATCCATGGTTAATCCTTCCAAGTCAATATGAGTCGATCTTAAAATGGTTAACCCTGGAGTTTCGTAACATCCCCTAGACTTGATACCAATAAATCTATTTTCGACAATATCAATTCTACCAACACCATTTCTTCTGGCTAATGCATTTGCCTCGGTAAATAATTCAACTGGGTCAGTAAATGTCTTTTTTTGCTCGTCCAAGATCAACTTAACTGGTAAACCCTTTTCGAAAACCACAGAAAAGGTCTCTGGCTTTTCTGGAGCATCGGTGGGATCAACAGTCAATTTCCACATATCTTTTGGTGGAGTGGTATTAGGGTCCTCCAAAATACCGGCTTCAAAAGAAATATGGGCCAAATTTTCATCAGTAGACCATGGCTTGGCCTTTGTTTGAGCAACAGGGATGTTTTTAGCAGCAGCATATTCCAACAAATCTTTTCTTCCGGCAAACCTGTTGAAAAATTCTGGATCCCTCCATGGTGCAATCACAACAACATCCGGTTTCAAAGCGTAAAAACTCAATTCAAACCTAACTTGATCGTTACCTTTACCAGTGCACCCATGACTAACAGCAAAACACCCATTTTCTTCAGCAACTTTGATCTGTGCTTGAGCAATGACCGGTCTTGCCAATGAGGTTCCCAACAAGTACACATTCTCATAAACAGCATTGGCTTGAATTGCTGGATAGCACACCTTTTCCACAAACTCTTTACGAACATCGACAACAACAAACTTGGTGGCACCAATAGCCAATGCTTTTTTCTCAGCAGCTTCAAAATCTTCTTCTTGACCAATGTTTGCCAAGAACGCAATTACTTCATATCCTTGCTCTAATAACCAGGCTAAAATGACCGAGGTATCTAAACCTCCCGAATACGCTAAACAAACTTTTCCCTTTGACATGATTGTTGAAAAGAAAGTGATATGAAAAAGTGGAAATTTTTTTTTTTCTTTCTCCCTGCGATATCTAATTAAGCGCGCTTAATATTTATTACCAGATTAGTCATATGGCGCTACCTAAACCAAATGGAACAATTACCGCATCTTATTTCAATTGTCGCAAGCTGGCAAATTGTTTCAAAGGCTAGCTCAGTTTTGTGTGCGGATGCAGAATCCGCCAACAAAAAAATTCTTCGCAACAAACCCTCGAACAAAAAGCTTCCCCCACACACAATCTATATGCTTAAAGTCAGTGTGTTATCCCCCATTAGAAGATTTTCAACTTGCTTACGAAACATGTCATCTGAATACTTGGTTACAATCTACGACTTTCCCCACACCGACAGAACCAAGGTTCGCCCACAACATGTTGCTGATATTCCCGCCAACGTTCCCAATCCAGTCCGTGCCGCAGGGGCAATCTACACCGATGAATCGAAAACAAAATTTGCTGGTAGTACTTTCCATTTAGCTTCCAACTCAAGAGAAGAAATCATTGAATTTTTGAAGAGGGACATTTACTACAAGGAAGGTATCTGGAACATCGACAGTGTTCAAATTTACCCATTAGGAATTGCCGTGCGTTTGCCAAAAAAAATGGAAGGTGTCGACGAGGTGAATTATAAGATTTAAAATCGAATCGAATCGAAAAATTTATTTCCTTTGAGATTCTTTCTTTCTTTTCTCTCTTTGTAGTTTTCCGTAAGCAGACACCTTCTTTCGTTGAACCTTTCTCAGAGCATTGACCCGACACCCACAACCTCACCCTTTGAAAATAGCGGCTGGATGAGAAGAAAAAACAGGGTCGAATGACATGTGGCTTTTCACCGGGGAGTTAGGGCGACGGGATCGAAGTATCTCCACTTTACCCCATTATTGGTAGCAACTGCCCTGTGGAAACTTTTGGTCCTGAATTTCCTTTGTATCCTGGCAGATCCCCAACTATTAGGTAGGTCGTGTAGTGGGAAAAGCATCAAAATGATAACAACAACAGGTCTTCATGATCCAGGGTGACAACCATACCAGGAGACATGGACTGGACTGCCCTTTATCCCGGCATCAGATCTGTGGATAGCTGTGGTGTCGATTAATAATTATTATCAAATTCGAGTTAGGAAAAACCCACTGCTCCTCGCGGCTGTGTAGTGGATCTGAACTGGGGCTACCCGGTAGTCATGTGGAACCACAAGGTTACCGACATTTGAAATCCCCACTACACAATCATTATAAGTCACCACATGGCAGCATAGTGAATACACACCTAGAAACCGAATTGTTGATTTAGCTCCATCCGCAACACCATTGAAAATGGAAAAAAAAATAAAACGGCTGCAATTCGCAGCAACAAAGGGAAATTCAACGTCTATTTGTACCCTTGAGATAACAATAGCGCATATTCAAGCCACAGAATAGAGATGGAATAGCCCGACGGGGATGGAGGCTTTTGTAGAGCTTTGTGAGTGATCTCATTTCCTTTTAATTTTTTTGTCGATTTATTGTGATTTACTGTAATTTATTTTGAGGCCACACATGAGTTGGTAGAGATGATCTAGAAGCTGAATATGCTTATTGTTTACACATGATCGCCCCTTCTGTGGGGATACACCGGGGATACTTTACAATATGCAGGTGGTCGCTTTTCTTATGTTGCCTTTGGTGGTTAAGCAGTTGAACGAGTGGTGCAGTGTGAATGGAGGGTTCTTGATGGAGGGTTCTTGATTGAGAGGCTCTCGTTGCTTCCACGGGATTAAATCACATAGGTTAGAATAGGGCATATGCTTTTAACAATGGGAGGGGAAACAGCCTTCAATGGCTCTGGTTATGAGCAGTGGTTCTGGAATCACATATATAGGATACCCCAGGAACAATGGAGGGAGTATCTTAATGTAGATAGTAGAACTGATGTCCCTCCCTTCTCATTGTTGATTATGCATGCTTTGTGACATCATAGTTCGTGTTACCATTTCCAAAAATGAATACCCCAAGTTTGTTCGTTGCATCGATGACAACTGTGACTTCAAAAAGTCATTAGATTCTGAGGATTATACATAGATCAATAAATAAGCTTCCTGCTTTCAAGTCTAAGTATTAAAAGTAGCTTCACACCGGGCATCTCTGCTCAAGTTGAATCAGCCAAGCTGGCACAACTTTTCTCACAACCTCCGTGCTGCGAATATATTCGCCCCAAAGTCTACTAGCAAACTCTCCACTCGGTAAATTTGAAATGCTCAACCATTTAGCCGGTTCTTCTTTTCAACTGACAAAACCTGGAATCCATTAAGTGGAGTTTCCTCTTCGACTGAATTTAAGACCACCCAGTTGCATCACGGGATTTCAAGTGTTGAGAAACGTCGATGAAAGGAAACCACAAACTTTAAAATGGCAAACAAGATCTGGAAAGTCGATTTAGTGCCAATCAAATAGTGAGTACTAAAATGCTAGGAAATTAAGGCGAAGTCAGTCAGGAGGGTGCTGGTTATTCCCAAGTCGAATAAGGGGTCGTTCACTTGCCTATAAATGTGGTGTATCTGCAACCTCCTTCAACGATCACATTGATATAAACTGATATTGGGACTTGAGTATAAAATGTAGTAGTGGCAGCGCTGGCAAGCATATGCAAATATCAGACGTAAAATATTTCGGATGTACACTTGAATGACGGTGCAATGCAATTGTGTAAGTTGCTAAACAGTTGTTTTGTAAAAAAGGTTTCCAGGGGAGCTTTTGAGGTCTTTAAATTCGTCAAGCTCAGCAACAGGAAACTGCTTCCCCAATATTGTTCCAACTGGTCTCGGTCCCAACAAATACTTGTGAGAAACACATTGATAAAATAGTTTGATCAGTAATTGAAGATAGATCCATCACGATGGGCTCTTGGCATTGACGTGAGAAATGCGGTGTTAAGCATGTAAAATATGGCTTCAATGGCCCATAATACTACTTCAATGGCTCGTAGTTATGCTTCGATGGTACATGATACGGCTTTTATTGTTGAAACTCGGCAGTAATATTGTACCTGTTGACACTGTATATCACTGATAGTGTCACTCACACAAGTTGCTCTTCATTGCAAACAAATCGCCATTTGAATATGTGCACTAAGTTTGTAGGTATGATAGCTCCACAGCTAAATCTTGGCTTCTATGATAATGATACTGGTCTACCGCGATTTGATATTTGTGAAATGATATTACTCTTCTACTTAGTATATATTTTTGTTTGTGCGACACATTTGACGGATTCAAATACCGATGAGCATCTTGCACTAAACCCAGATATGCCATTTGCATTTGGATTCACCAATAAAGATCTCGGTGATGATGATCTTGATGAAAATAACACACAGGTGGAGGCTGCAACTAGAAAAGAATGTGCTTTAGAGACTTTTCAAGTACTTCCTGAGCATCAACCAAAAGTTTATTCTCTTGCAGATATCCTCAAGACATTGGAAAATGTACGACTTACACTTGATAATTATACTACACCAAATGGCCATTTAATCTATAGAAGGGAGCTTTATGACGTAAAGCATCAAATCATGATGGAGGATAAAGATGTACTGAAATTAAGCGAATTATTAATTGACAAAAATGATGCTGATGTGCAAACCAATGTTTACGAAGGGGGTTTCAAAAGCTGGGAGTGTTCATATGATACAGTTGATGAGATACACGAATCAATCACTGATGGCTTATTCAATCTGTCAATTTTGGAACTTGGATGCGGTACGGCTTTGCCTAGCTGTTATATTTTGAAAGAAAAGTTTGAAAAAGACAATCACCAAGCAATGAAAATTGTTTTATCCGACTTCAACTATGAGGTGCTCAGATTGGTCACCATACCTAATTTATTAATCAATTGGGCATCAACTCTTCCGGTTGAAAAGCTTCATGAGCTAACCACCGATGATATAAATTGCCGGTTCGAAAACAATGAGGTGTTTGTGTCAAAGAAGTTAATCGAGGAGTTTGAATGCCAGTTGCTGAAATACAGTGTCCAGCTCATTCCAATCTCAGGATCTTGGGGTAGAGAGTTTAATAAAATAGTTCAAGGATACAACATTGACTTTATCATCAGTTCAGAGACAATCTATTCCACCAAAACTTTACCGGTGGTTGCCGAGTCTGTCAAGGAGATTCTTCAAAACGCAGACACCAAACAGGGACGAGCTCTAATAGCAGCAAAGAATATCTATTTTGGCGTTGGAGGTTCAGTGATTGAATTCTTGACTTATTTCAACTCCATCAAAAACTCTCACTTTAAAATTGAGCTGAAGGAGGTTACAGATTCACTGTTGAGGAGATCGCTAATTAGAATTGTTTATAGAAGGGAGACCAATTGAGGTGCATGAATATGACCTGATTTTTCTTTGCTCACCTAGCGCACGAGTAAAATAGAGTTTCGAATAGTTACAGTTGAGACCTGTTAGGAACACTTGGAGATACCCTCCAGAAACGTAGCAAAGAGGTATAGAAGTAGGTTAGTTGTCCCCGAAAGTACAGGGACAGGGAAAGTGACTGAAAGTGGTACTGCGAATAGGATAATCAAATCCTTTCTCCAACCCAACCCCTCACCCGCGACTACCCCCTATATACTGGTCCCTTTCATGACACAGGTACGCCGCATACACATCAATATCAGTTGCATTTGCGTTCCACTCTCTTCCCACACTGGTTCCCTTTTCTATGTATACGTTTTTTCATCCAATCAAATAAGGTGAGAATTTTTTTACACGCACAAAGAATTATAAAGAGAGAAAGACGAAGAAAAAAAAAAAATAAAACATTGTTAAAAAATTGTCACCTTATAATAACCCATCAACGTTACCAACACCCACCCACCACTGACAATGTTCACCAGATCGTTACAAAGACAAGCCATCAGGTTTAACAGCACAGTTGCAAAGTCAGCACCTAGAGCTTTGTCCAATGCATACATTGGCAAGTTAGAATCAAGATGGACCACTTTGCCAAAGGAGGACCAACAAACCATCATAGAGGAATTGAAATCAAGAATGGAATTGCCATGGCAAGAGTTGTCTCCCGCTGAGAAAAAGGCTGCTTACTACATTTCCTTTGGAGAATGGGGACCAAGAAGACCGTTATATGCTCCAGGAGAAAAATCACAAATTTTTTGGATCGTCACTGGTTGTTTCATTGGATCAATCTTTATGTTTGCTGGTATCAAGATGTTGGCTAAACCAGCTCCAGCATCTTTGGGCAGAGAATGGCAAGAGAAGTCGGACGAGTACTTGAAGTCAAAGAACGCCAACCCATTCTCTGGTTACTCACAAATTCAATAAACTTTACTTCCAAATTGGAAAAAGCTTTTCAATGGGGCTTTATTTATGTCATTAATCAATAAACGATTGAAAAAAGTTATTTGTAAAAACGAAAAGGTTATCTCCTATAAAAACTATCTGTTTACTCTAATTGTTTTATTTGCATCGTCAATTGATTTCGTGCAATCTCTTGTTGTTTCAACACGTAATTTAAATGGTTGATATAGTCAACCGATTTGTTCAAAATGGTTGACTTGTTTGGCTTGGTTTCTTTCACCTTGATTGAGCTGATCAAATCGCTTAAGTCGCCCGAATTGATGCTGGTCTTTTGTTGCAAGGCTTGCACTGCACTCAATTGTGGATTCAATAACGAAGGTGGGACAATGATTCCCAATTCTTTTATTCTCTCCTTGATTAAATCGCGTCTCCTTCGCTCAACTGCATTGTGGAACTCTCGACGTCTTTTCAACTTTTCCTCTTTCGAAAGTTGTTTGGTAGGCACATCACGCTTGGAATTAGGCACCGATGTACTTAGTGCAGTAGACTGCGAGGGTACAGGGGATAAGGAATCCCATTTCTCTTGTCTTATTGGAATGGAAGTACTCATGTTGGAAGCAACATTATTGGGATTGTATTGCGGCGGTGAGCTCAAATAGGAACCATCATTGAAATCGGGCGAAGCATAAAAAGCAGGGTTCAATTGGGGAGACAAGTATGAATTGGTTTGAGGAATGTTATTTCCACCATAAGGAGGTCCACTGGTACTTCCATGTCTCGACAATTCTGGACTAAAAATGTCTCCTTTTGTATCAAGAGTATCCTCAGCAATCGAACGCAAAGAATTAAATTGGTTGCCTTGCCGGTTTGGTGGCGAAAAGTACTGGGGATTGAGAAAAGTACTTTCCTCGTAGTTGTTCCCAGGCGAAATTAATTCATCCAAGTTTGCTGAATTAGCGACAAAGGGTTGCGTACTTTGCAATTGAGGTGAAAACAGCTGTGGTGACAAGTTGTCTTGATTAGATCCATATTGAGACACATTTAATTGTGGACCCAAAACTGCTTGTGAAAACGCCACATCATCCAAAAATGGCTCACTAGTAAATGAGCCTGGATTGGAGCCGGAAAACGTCTCCGAATTCATCCTTTGGTGGCCGTGTTGTTGTGGTTGATTGTTGACCGTATTTTGCGATTGCGTTTGCAGGCCCTGCTGGTTATACGAAAACCCCATTGGACTCAAGTAGTCACCTCCCGATAATTGAGTATTGGAATTGAAACCCGAGGCAGGAGTATTGGTGTTTACGTTGCTTCCACTACTGAAATAAGTTCCTGAGGCATCATTCTTGTTTTCATCGTATTGATTTGTCAAGTCTAGGGAATAATTCTGCTGCCTATCTGGATCCAAGTTCAAGTTAAGTGATTGTGTGTTGAACCGTTCATTTTCAAAGCGTTCATTGTCAAAGCGTTCATTGTCAAAGTGTTCATTGCCAAAGCGTTCATTATCCTGAGTTGTATAAACAAAATTATTGAATCCCTCATTGTTCTTGTCCTGCGTGGCAGGAATTTCGGAGGGGCTATCTTTCAAGAAATCTTCCATTATTAAGTTAAGGTAGAACTGTGTGAATAGCCTCTGGTTTAATCGAATTTCTTTTCTCTTTTTCTCCTTTCCTTGAAGTTGACTTTTTTTGTTTGTTTTGTTGATTGCCACAGTATGTCCAGTGATACAGAGAACGTGTTTAGACAACTGTTTCGCAACTGGAACGTGAGATCCACACAACTGGGGAATGGTAGTAATCAACCTGTGCTACTGGAATGGACAGATTATCTCACATCCGGCGCTAATGACCTCTACAGTAGGTTACCCACATCAATTCAAGATGCTACAAACAATGCACAAGAGCCATCATGGTTCAAACTATCTAGACTAGAAAGGTTAGTTGGGTTTAGTTGTTGTCTTGGAGCATCAATCTTGTGTTTTGTCTTGTGCTTTTTCATGTTCCCCGTTTTGGCACTAAGACCAAGGAAGTTTGGGTTGCTTTGGACAGGAGGTTCGGTTTTGTTTCTCGTTTCGTTTGGAGTATTGCAGGGACCACACAGCTATATACGACACTTGTTGTCTCGTGACAGGATAGTGTTCACCACGGTGTTTTTCACGTCGATACTATTGACCCTATACTCAAGCGTGGTGATAAAGAGTAGTTTACTTACAATATTCACTAGTATCATTGAAATCTTGGCTGTTGCATACTACACTGTCAGCTATTTCCCGTTTGGTGCTACAACGCTAACATTTTTCACAAGTTATATATTTGGCTACCTTGGTGGTTTAATTGGGGGAATTTTGTAATACATACAAATCCTACTCACAATTTTTCACTCTCTTCCTTTTCCAATTCCTTCTTCAATTCATTGTAATATTCCTCTAATTTTGGAAAGTTGGTTTCCTCTGCTGGCCATCCAACAATCAATCCGGTTTTATCATCCCTTTTAGGGATCAAGTGGAAATGAACATGATCAACAACTTGGTGAGCAATTCTACCATTGTTTTGTAAAACATTGTATCCTTCACCATCGGGTGAATTGTTTTCATCCAACTTCAAAACCCGGGCCAATCTCTTGACTACAGGCAAAAGGTCGCTCAAATAATCATCGGGGATGTTGTGAAGTTTTGCCCCATGATGTTTAGGAATAATCAATACATGGCCCTTGGCTGTTGGTTGAATATCCAAAAATGAATAAGTCTTCGCGGTTTCAATTAACTTGAAGGAAGGGATCTCACCCTTGATGATTTTGCAAAAGATACAAGAAGCGTTTGACGACATTGGGGTTGAATTAAAAGTACGGGGACGAAATCTCCACTCCTTATTTTCTTCTCGGGGAGAACTTGAAATCATGAGATGTGCTACCAAATCAACTCCAAAAAGGACACATGGACATAGTTGAGACTGAGTATGATTTTGCTGAGAGTGGCGGAGGCTAGCTATACCACCATTTTTACTTCACCTATCTCTGCCCCACAAAGCATGTACTAGCACTTTACTGCTCTTCAATATCATTTTGTTATAGATGGAGCGCCTGCCTTCTATATTCTTATCTCTATTCTCCCGCTTTCTTATTTCACTTTTTTCATTGTCGTGGTTTCTCTTATTCCGACACTTTTGAACAAATAAATTTCCATTTGCCATCAAAATTAAAATCTCCAACAACTTATACTTTCTTCCTTACACAACCACTTCATCCTAACAGAAATGACAAAAGAAGAAGACAAGAAACAACATTTCGATGCTTCAGGAGCATCCGCTGTTGATGATAAAACAGCCACCGCCATTTTAAGGAGAAAGAAGAAAGACAATGCCTTGGTTGTTGATGACGCCACAAATGACGACAATTCAGTTATCACAATGTCATCTAACACAATGGAATTGTTGCAATTGTTTCGTGGTGACACTGTCCTTGTTAAGGGTAAAAAGAGAAAGGATACAGTTTTAATTGTTCTCGCGGACGACGACATGGATGATGGCGTTGCCAGAATCAATCGTTGTGTGCGTAATAACTTGCGCGTCAGATTAGGTGACATCATCACTGTTCATCCATGCCCTGATATCAAATACGCCAACAGGATTTCTGTTTTGCCAATTGCAGACACCATTGAAGGTATCACGGGATCATTGTTTGATCTTTATTTGAAGCCATATTTCGTCGAGGCGTATAGACCAGTCAGGAAAGGTGACTATTTTACTGTAAGGGGTGGTATGAGACAAGTTGAATTCAAGGTTGTTGAGGTTGACCCAGAAGAGATTGCAATTGTCGCTCAAGACACCATTATTCATTGTGAAGGTGAACCAATTAATCGTGAAGATGAAGAAAATAATATGAATGAAGTTGGTTATGATGATATTGGTGGATGCAAGAAACAAATGGCTCAAATAAGAGAATTGGTTGAATTGCCATTAAGACACCCACAATTGTTCAAATCCATTGGTATTAAACCACCAAAGGGTATTTTAATGTACGGTCCACCAGGTACTGGTAAGACTATCATGGCGAGAGCTGTTGCCAACGAAACAGGTGCCTTCTTTTTCTTGATCAATGGTCCAGAAATCATGTCGAAAATGGCTGGTGAATCCGAATCAAATTTGAGAAAGGCATTCGAGGAGGCTGAAAAGAATTCACCATCCATCATTTTCATTGATGAAATTGACTCCATTGCTCCAAAGAGAGACAAAACCAATGGTGAAGTGGAAAGAAGAGTGGTGTCTCAATTGTTGACTCTTATGGATGGTATGAAGGCAAGATCCAATGTTGTTGTTATCGCTGCCACCAATAGACCAAACTCTATTGACCCGGCATTAAGAAGATTTGGTAGATTTGATAGAGAAGTGGATATTGGAGTTCCTGATGCCGAGGGCCGTATGGAGATTTTGAGAATTCACACCAAGAATATGAAATTGGCTGATGACGTTGATTTGGAAGCTATTGCAGCGGAGACCCATGGTTTCGTGGGTGCCGATATAGCATCATTATGCTCTGAAGCAGCTATGCAACAAATTCGTGAAAAGATGGACCTTATTGATTTGGAAGAAGAAACTATTGATGCCGATGTTTTGAACTCACTTGGCGTTACTCAAGAAAACTTTAGATTTGCCCTTGGCAACTCCAACCCATCGGCATTGCGTGAAACCGTTGTTGAAAACGTCAATGTTACTTGGGACGACATTGGTGGTTTGGACAACATTAAGAATGAGTTAAAAGAAACCGTTGAGTACCCAGTATTGCATCCTGAGCAGTATCAAAAGTTTGGTTTGGCTCCTACCAAAGGTGTTTTGTTTTTTGGCCCACCAGGTACAGGTAAAACCTTGTTGGCTAAAGCCGTTGCCACCGAAGTGTCTGCCAACTTTATCAGTGTCAAGGGTCCTGAGTTATTGAGCATGTGGTATGGTGAGTCTGAATCCAACATTCGTGACATTTTCGACAAAGCCAGAGCTGCTGCTCCTACAGTTGTGTTTTTAGATGAATTGGACTCCATTGCTAAATCGAGAGGAGGTTCCAATGGTGATGCTGGTGGTGCTTCGGATAGAGTTGTTAACCAGTTATTGACCGAAATGGATGGTATGAATGCCAAAAAGAATGTTTTCGTCATCGGTGCTACCAATAGACCTGATCAAATTGACCCAGCATTGTTGAGACCCGGTAGATTGGATCAATTGATTTATGTTCCATTGCCAGATGAAGCGGCTAGACTTTCAATCTTGAAGGCTCAATTGAGAAACACTCCATTAGAACCCGGATTAGACTTGAACGAAATTGCCAAGATCACTCATGGATTTTCTGGTGCTGATTTGAGCTACATTGTGCAAAGAGCTGCCAAATTTGCTATTAAGGACTCAATCGAGGCTCAAGTTAGGGCCAGCAAGGAGAAGGGAGAGGAAGATGTTGAAATGAAGGGAGATGGTGCTGCTGCTGAGGAAGAATCTGATCCTGTTCCATATATCACTACCTCACACTTTGAAGAGGCAATGAAGACAGCAAAGAGATCGGTCTCTGATGCTGAACTACGTCGTTATGAGGCATATGCCCTGCAGTTGATGGCCTCGAGAGGCCAATTTACTAACTTCAAGTTTAACCAGGGAGGTGCATCATTTGGCGCGGAACAACAAAATCAAGAAGAAGAGGATGATTTGTACAGCTAAGGTAGATATAGTTTTAATCGATTAACTCTATACAATTTCTTCCTACCTCTTTATAGCATCAAAGTTGTACATTTTCTTATTATTCCTTCCATCGGCCTTGTGAGGGTTTTTTTGATTGATTTGAAAACATTCCAAAATACATTGCTTGAGATTATCAATGCTTTGTTGACTCAATTGAAAGTGGCATGCAATACGGCCACCCATAAGTTTAACGTTGTATTTTTTACCCAATTCAATAAGCAACTTGTCATCCATGTGATTCCTCTTTAAATCAACAAATACAAAGTTTGTGTCAACCGGTGACTCAAGTAATATACCATGGGCATGGCAAAAATCACCAATTTGTTTTGCATAAATGTGTGACTTCTTCAACAATTGTGTGTGATTCTCAATTGCGTATAAAGCCATGGATGCCATTAAACCTGCTTGTCTAATTCCACCACCATTTTGCTTTTTGAAATGATTTGCTTTCTTGACGAGTGTCGACGTTCCAACGAGTATGGAGCCCATTGGGGCACCCAAGGACTTTGACAAACAAAGTGACACTGAGTCGAAGTATGAACAATACTCCTTTATACCGATACCAGTCTCGACTGATGCATTCCATAGTCTTGCACCATCTAAATGTAACCTTATATCATTCTCTTTGCAAAATTGACTAATTTTGGCTATTTCCTCCAAGGGCATTATAATTCCGTGTAAGGTGTTTTCCAACGAAATGACTTTTGTTGGAGCGGCGTGAATATCCCCATCATCAAAGGTCACATTCAGAACAACATCTTCATAAGTTAGGTAGTTGCCATTTGATGGAACAACCGGATGAACCATGGCTTGGCTCAAGGTGGCTAGTCCACCAGCTTCATGCAAAAATACATGTGAGCGGTAATCACATAATATGCTATAAGGCGGCTGGTATAAGTTTGCCCTTAGTCCAATTTGGTTTGATAAAGTGCCGGATGCGCAAAAAAGCGCAGCCTCTTTGCCTGTGAGCTCGCACATGCGAGCCTCCAAGTCTAGAGTAGCTTGGTCTTCGCAATAAACTGAGTCACCGTAAGTTGCATTCATAAATCCAGCTTCGATCATGGATCTCGTGGGTACGGTGAATGTATCACTTCTGAATTCATTAGATGTAGTAAATACTTCTTCCTCGTCAACAGTCATATTGTATAGTGACACGCAAAAGAAGAGAAAGTATTTCAAAAGTCATGACTTTCTAGTTTTATATAAATCTCTCCTACTCCGAGCGATTTTGCTTAGAATTTCTCGTTTCTGTGCCTTCATCTCGAAAGGCATTTTTGTGGCATACGTCTGCAAAAACAAAAAAAGAAAAAGAAAAGGCATTCTGATGAAATGGCAATCGGACGGGACAGCACGGGGATGGATAAAGGCACTGCCGCTAGAAGGGTATTACGTAGACCAATCGCCACATCCTCACCCCTCTCTCCACACCTCACACCTCACACCAATTTTCCGGTAGAGACCCGCGAAAGAGCCATTCGCAACAGTGACATTCATCAAGGGAGGGGTTGCTGCATGGATTTCTTTTTTTTCCTTTTTTTTATTTTTTTTTTGGGTAATCCTTTAAACGGTTATAAATGCCGCACAAAATACACCGAGCATAACCGAATTAGGAGTAGGTTACAAGGCGGATCATTTCCAGGGGGGGAAGGTTGGAGGTTGGAGGAGGCGAAAGAGGGGGTAGGGGGAGATGGATCTCGAGGTGGATTCGCGGGGAGGGATTTTCTGAAGCTTTGGGTTTACGCCACAGGAGAGGTGTCTACAATTGAACCCCGGTCACAACACAAAAGTGAAAATGGAAACATAAAGCGAGGAGCTTTCAGGGCGAGATCTTGCAAAAGCTGAACTTTCTATGTACTTACATTTACTGTAATCTACTCATGCTTAAAGTTGAACGTAACAAGATCTTCAGAGGAATTGTGTTTGTTTGAATTTGTTGGTTGAAGCAGGGCCAAAGATTGACTTCCCGAGTTTAGCAAATTAATGTGGTCTCCAAACGGTTGAAATTCTCTTGGTTGGGGCGAAGTTGAGTGCTGATTATGATTAGCGTAAAGTTCATTCCTCCATATTGGCGAGTTGCTAGATAATCCAGTTGCTCCAAGGCCAGCAGCGGCAGCAGCACCTCTTTCGTTATGCCAGATGTTTTGTGATGGCGAGACTAAAAATCCATTCTGCGCACGCCCTGTGGTGGGTTGAACAAAGTCATTCAAGGTGGAGCCGGTTGCTGTTGTTGTCGCTTGTTGTGGGTTCCACACCTCCGATAATGATGTTGAATGGCTTGGATTGTAGAATCTAGATTCCAAGCTTTGTTGCAATGGAGGTGCTAGGCTACTGTACAATGATGAATTTGGAGCTGGAGGAGATGCCACCATGCTAGGCTCGTTAAAAACAGGCAATCCTCCGTTGAAAGGCTCATTCAAGGTAGGATCGTTAAATTCAGATTGTAATGGTGAGGTCATGTCCACGCCTCGTGCCATAGCATTGATTTGTTTCAAACTGATATAAGACTGGTCACCACTATTATGTTGATATTCGGAAATTGGAGCAACGTGTGATGGTGGCAAGTACAGCTCGTCGTAATGATTGTCCTGAGTGAAGGAAGTTGGTTGTTTGGAAGGTGCTTGATTCTCGTTGGTGTAAACTTGACCGTAATAGTTATGAAAAGTGTCAATCTCCTCGATGGCTCTCTTGCTCTCTGATAGATTTTTTCCATGACTGGGGAACTTGGGTTTCGGCAATGCATTTCCGTATCCACCAAACTCGATCGATGCTTGATACTCGTTCAATTTGACTGGCTGATAGCTGTCGTCCTTGTTCAACTTGGCAATCTCTAATGCTTGATGGACGGCAACAAAATTTGTCACTTCCGCTTTGAACGCTGATTTCCACTGATTTTCAATCTCCTGGTAATTGTTGATTTCCAGCATTATTTCGTCTTGCCATGATGGTATCAATTGAAAGATTTTCAATAATGCGTCGAATGCATTCTTGGTGAGAGACCCATCCTTGTTGAATATAGATGTACTTAACAGATGAAGTGAAGTTGAGGAGCAATTTGGGCCAGGGCTTGGTGACGTGGAGTGTTCGGCCGTTGGCAAATTATTAAATTGATCCAAAAGTGGCTTGAGCTTGTTCATCAACATAACAGTGTCCTTTTTCTCCACTGTCAAACTTTTCAAAGACTCTTCCATGCTTTCGTATTGCTGTTTATCATGATTCAAACTTCGTTGCAATTTCTCAATCTGTACATTAATTTTGGCCCGGGCCTGCTCCTCAAGCTCACTCAAATGCAGGTTTCTTTCTTTCAATTTATTAATCTTTGCATCATTTTCTTGAAACTTTGTATTATATATCGCCAACGAGTTCTTCAAATTGTTTAGTTGCGACATCAATTTTGACTTTTTGAATGAAAGGGTATTCTTAACATTCTCCAATGACTTTACATCATGGTCTTTTTTATTCTTTGTTTCTGTCTCCTCTTCGTATTCTGATTTATAAAAATTCAATTCCTCTTGTAAGGACCTCTGCTCCTCACTAATAGATGCTTGGAAACTTTTGTATTCTGAGTTGCACTTGGAAAGCTCGTTTTGAGCTTTGGTCAAGTAGCTGTTCACCAACTCGGGGTCATCAATATCTTTGATTTGCTCAATCGTTATCGCATTCAAATTTTCCTCCTTTGACAAAGACATAGGTTCCAAAAGATCGGTGTTTTCTACAAAATCCTTGACATCATCTTTGTTTAAAGTTTCCACGTGAATAGCCCTCGATTTGGATTTAAAATTTGTTATTGTATTACTGGCAATCACCTCGACTGTATAAACTTGCTTGGGCTCTAAATTGTTCAACTTGCACGATGTTGACGTTAAAGTGGCAACTTCTTGGCCATTAATCAAAACAATATAATACAAGTTCTCTTCACTTTTCACTTCAATATCCCAATGAATCACAATCGAGGACTCATTTATGGAATCAATGCAGATGGTCGGTATATGTGGTATCTCGATGTTCAAATCTTCAATAATATTTTCCACTGGCGTTTGCAATATGGTATAAAAGTGGTATAGTAGCCAGCATATCGAAGGGACGATGGTAATAAACACCTCTAGCATGGGGAGGGTAAAGATCAACAGCAGTAATAGAAGATGAAAGTAAAATTTTATTTGAGAGAGAACAAAAAAAAATACAAAACAAATATATTAGTCAATAGCGTATGTTTTTATTGCTTAGAGGTCACTACATCCAATGGTGGGTGAACACTACTGATTGGCTCCAAATCCTCCAACTTAGTACTTTCGGATGTTTCTTGTCCCATGGCAATTCTTTCTTGTTCTTCTTTTTCCATTGTCTTGTGTAAATTGAAAAAGTGAATCAACAACACCACACCAGCCAAGAATGCAACACCAGCTACAACTGCAAACACCACGACCAAATGAGGATCCTTCAACGCTGGAGTTACAGCCAAACTGATAGCGGCACTGATTGCCATAGTGAAGAGGAATAGTGCTGTGGTAATTCCTTTCATAGCTGGAGCTGCTCTGGTGTACGCAAGTGCATATATAGTGGCCATCGCAAAACATTCTGACGCACCAGTTAAAATGAAAAATGACGATGCCTGCCAAGCACTGATTGGTGATGGTTCAGGACAGTTGGTTGAGTGGTTGCCACATGGCGAAGTTTCATACACTCGGTGCTGCAAAACAGCTCCAGCAACTTGGGCCAGAGCTGCAATCACAAATCCAAGAAACACCCGATGAATTGGTCTGAAGTTGACGCGGTACCGTCTCAAAAGTGGGTAGACGATGTAGTCTAAAATCGGAATCACAACAATGATTGAAAGGGGGTTGAAATTGTTGAACAAGTCATTTGGTACTCCATTCAAATCCATCGCCCCTGCTAATGAGGTGGTAACTGAGGACAATCCATTGTCTGCCAAGTTGTAAAAGATGAAATACACAAACAACTTGCACGCGTCCAAAGTTTGTTTGACGTCAAGAACGTGCTGGTCGGTCCAGTTGATTGGGGAACCCTTTTTGAAATTTTCGCGGCCCCTAGCCCTCATGACAGATGGTTTGGCATATTCCCAAAAGGTGCCATCGAATACACGTTTGATAAAATTGCCCGAAAATGAGACAATGAGAATTTTAAGCACCACTCCTAATATTGAACCACTTGGTTTTTCAAAAACCAATTTCGGTTTGACCCACCAGAATGCAATTGGCATGACAAGGTAGAGTACCAATGGTACAAAGAACGCCAACCAGAAGCCTACACGCCTGGCGCAGTAGGATGTTGCCAACTGGAAAAAAGCACCAATATTGATGGACCAATAGAACACCAACGTGATACTTTCCAAAGTCTTTTCCCTATCAATGAGAACTTTTTCACCACTCTTTAACACTTTTACCCTGTTTCCGGACTCTGGGTACTGGTCCAACATCAACGGCAAAAGGTTGGGTTTGATGAATCCTGATCCGGTTGCCAACGTGAATATAGCAAGAATACAAATTGCCAAACCAGCTTTGCCATTGGCAATGACACTGGGAGCGGCAGCAACAATAAACAAAACGTGCGAAATTCCACCAAACAATACACCCCACTGGATTGTTTTCCATCTTCCCCAAGTGGTATCAGCCAAGTAGCCACCAAACAATGGCACAACGTAAGCCAAAAATGTGACCAAGTTGGTCAAAGCACTAGCAGTCTGCAATCCCCTATCCAACGCACCAGCACTTTCACTACCACTGTTTGAAGCCGGTGCACCCCACCCGTGAGGCGAACCTTCTGGCAATGGTCTTTGCACAAAATTTGTCAAGATACCAGTAACAGAATAATACGAAGCTCGTTCTGCAAATTCAACGACACAAATCAAAATAATGGCAAAATTGATCTTGCCAATCACTCTTCTCAAGGATTGCTCCTCGGCTTTGGTTGGAACTCGTAACCCATTAGGATTGTATTGGTCAACATAGTTTGTGCTGTAATTGTTTGGGTCACTGTAATCGTATTCCTCGTCCAAACTGCGTTCGTCTGTTTGGACAACAACATTTTGCTTTTCAGAGGTGGCGCTGGAGGCACTGGATTTCATCTTTGGTGGCGAGTGAAAGAAAGGAAAGCAAACCGGAGTGGTGCTTCTGCCCCCCATATATAATGTTGAGCAATTCACATACCTGTGTTCTGTAAATGGAGTCGAAAAATGCCCTAATCAACCTATCAAACCAAAGGTATCCATATTCCAAGAAATTGGTCGTAAACACCACCCAAAGGCGTACAAGACATATTGGGCCTACTGTGGTGTCATTTTCGTGCCGTGCGTTAAATCGGGCTTGGCTGACAGTAATATCTTGGCATAATTTCAAGATTATACAGCTTTCGGAATAACTTTTAGATGTGGAGTGCGGATGTTACGCACATTGCCAAGTGATTACAGAAGATGTCCTCACGGCGTTTTTTTTTTCTATTTTATTTCTCCATTTGATGAAAAATTTCTTGTCGTGAAGATAAGAAGAGGACGGTAACACAATCTATGTTTTTCTCGCAACAATAGTGAGATAAAAGGGCATATCATTTTATCAAAGTATAAAATCAAAACTATTTCAAACCGAAACAACTTTTTTTGTTTTTTCAACGTGTGTGTCTGTGTGTGTGTGTGTGTGGGGGGAACATTCTCTTAGTACTCAATTGCAATATCAGCAATCTTTTCTGTCACATCGCCTAAATCAATTTCAGCAATGGATTTGATGAAAACACTAAAGTCAATGTTTTCATGGAACCCAGCCAAGCCATCTTTGGTGTTTAACACTTTTTGCATCAAGTATGGGGAATTTGAAAAAGCGTACATGCCAACATCAACCGAGGTGTGTTGGATCGAAGCCCAAAAAGTTTCAGCTCTTGAAGCAGTCAAATTGGAAATGGTCGTCAATAAACTGCTTTCCCTACCAGCAGCAACCAAATTGGCAACTCTATCAACCTCTTCATCAGTGTAGTTTCCCAAGCCTAAACCTTCTTCAAAAATTGTTGACCTAATGAATGAATTCAATGACTCCGTGTTTTCCTTGTCTTCAAAATCGGAGATGGCATTGGACAAGAACTCAGCGGAATGGGTGGCATTGCTAATAGCGTCATATGTGTCAAAAGATGTTGACATGAGATCCAATCCACCAGTTTCGTGATCAGCAGTGGCCATGACAATTGTGTCAACATCAGTGTTTTGAATAAACTTGTACACCTCAGCAATTGTATCGTCGTATTCTAATGTCTCAGCAACGTGAGCCGGTGAATCATTAGCATGACCAGCATGATCAATTCTTGAAGATTCAATAACTAAAAAGAAACCTTGTTCAGAGTCTGCAGTAGCATTGGCTAACGCATTTAACGCAACTCTTGTTTGTTGTACCAAGCTGGGGTACTCGGAATCATCTCTGTCAATTCTGTAGGGAAAGTCATCTTCAGCAAACAAGCCCAACAATGGTAATTCAACATTTCTACCTTCATCCAATGCGTCGAATCCAGCTCTATCACCGATATAGTTCCATGTTCCATTGTTTTGCACTTCTTCAATCAAACTTCTGTTATCCTTTCTCAAACCGCCTTGGTCTAAACCGTGGAAATACTCTCTTCCTCCACCAAGGATCAATGAAGGAACAAATCCTAATGGATGAATCTCGCCCACCATTTGTTCAGCAATCAAATTTTGGGAACCTCTGTTCTTTGCATGAGCAAACCAAACTGATGGAGTAGCATCAGTAACAGTTGTTGTAACAACAACACCAGTAGTGTAACCTTGCAACTTCAAAGCTTCTCCCACAGCTCCCACTGGAAACCCATCAGCATCAACACTAATCGCACCATTGTAGGTTTTCTTTCCTGTAGCTAATGCAGTACCAGCAGCAGCAGAATCGGTTATCAAACTCGAATTGGATCTGTGACCTTGCATCCCGATCAAGTACTTGTCCAACTCCAAGTAATCATTAACTGGCAAGTCATCTTTGTATTGTCTAAAGTACCTAGCCAAGGTAACACCACTTGGACCCAAACCATCACCAACCAAAAAGATAATGTTCTTTTTAGAAGAAACGGAGTTATCAATTGGAGCGGCTTGAACTTCAGCAAAGATGTAAAAGTAGACAGCAAGGGCCAAAACCGAGACGTTTAATAATTTAGGGAACAAGAAGGCCATTATTTGGTTTGAGGAGGGCGAAAGGAGAGGGATTACCTTTAATTAATTGGGGTTATTTGCAACCCTATTTATACCACAGGAGAATAGCCCATGTGGGCACCTTCCCCTATTCATAATTAAATTAATTGTAAACAATCAATTTGTCAAACACTGTAGGTTAACGATTGTTTCTGGGTATCTTTTCGAGGCAGTTTAGGTCCATACATCTGTGGTGCATCCAGGGTGCATCCAAGGGTCCATGGTACATCTAGGGCACATCCATCTCGTGTCCATCCAACATCCATTGAAGCTCCACCACCATTATTTAACAGTATACTCAGCTTCTCAATGTCGATATAGAGCCCACATGGGCAAATTTCAAAGTGTGGATAAAGTTGTAAAATTATCTTGGCGCGGAAAATTGGACCCAAGTGGAGTAGGATCCATATGGGAACCAAGTGGTGGGATAGCAATTCATTGCTGGTGGTGTGCTCTTGGAGGATTCAATATCACTCCTATCGTACCACTCCTTTAACGCACGTAGACTTGATCTCCTCAACCTTCCTTGTCATGCTTAAGCCAGCTCTTGAGAGCCTTTACTACATGGGCAATGAAAAACTTTCAAAGTGGCTTTCTTTTTTCTTGTCTTGGCACCATTCCATTACTCCCTTTCCTTTATCGCCTTTCCTCTTTACATTACATAGAGACATGTGTGTAATGAGCTTCGTGTGCAGAAAATTGCTGTATTTGCATGTGGGACCGTCTTGGGAATGGGGAGAGCTTGTACAAAGAAAGCCATGAACCTTTCTACTTATTCAGAAGGGCTGTTATTTCAGTTTGGTAATGCCTCCACATGAAACTGGCATATATCCAGATCTATGCTACTGATTACGATTGCAATATGCTTTACTTTGAATCAACTAGGTACCTTTGCAGTTGCTTTGAGCCGCACGCATGTATATATAGTAACTAATCCCATGAGGTTGCGAATTCCAGGAATTTGCGAAAAAAAAATGATGAAAATATTATTACGACGAGTACTAGGTGATCGAGGGGATTATATGCAATACGGTCATAATACGATAGTTTAACTCTATATTTAACGATGTATATGCAAGGTGAATGCCTCAATAAAGCTTAAAGAGAAGTTCTATTAAGGTTACCTGTAAAAATCTTTTCTCTCTTGTTGAGGATGAGTGTTGAGGAGTTTTTAGGTTCGCGCACGCTTTGACTTCAATAAACTTCATCAATTTTCTTAGAATTCAACTCAAAGGACACTTAACTGAACTTGATATACTCTCCACCTGGCGCCATCCCCTGCCATGACCTCAAACGGAACCCAACGTAACGACCTAGAGGACTTTGAAGCGTACCTCGAACCAGATTTCGATGCAATAAACTTTGCCAATTCGTTAGTCATATCGACCAATGGTCACGACAACAATCAATTAGATTTACGAACACCTTTGAAAAAATTGAAATACGACTTGGTTGAACTAGATAAACGAATGAAATGGATTTCATCCACAAACTATGAATCATTGACATTGAATTGCGCACAAATTGAACAATACAAGACTATTTTGAATGATCGTATTAATCCTCAATTGGTCACTATAAACAGACCATTTGAAAAGATTCGAAAGGAAATTCTTGAACCTTTTGATGATGCTGTTAAGTTGAACAATGCTTTGAAGAATCTACATCAAACTTTGGAGTTGTTACGCACGGCTTCATTTTTTGTATTCATTATTCAACAATTGGAGGAGTTGCAAGGATCAGCAGCAGCAACTGGTGGTGGGGATGCAGATGTGGTTCGAGCCAGTCGATTGTATTTACAATTGATGAATTTGTATGAATCTGCAACTTCACCCAATGAAAGTGCCAAATCTGACCATAGTACTAACATAATGTCAATAAAATTGATTCGGGATTATCGAGCCACGGCAATAACCAAGAGACAAAGTTTAATCCATCAATGTTCAATGTTGATAAATAGTGAAACTAATCGATCAACCTCATTGAATGTGAAAAATTTAAAACTTTGTCACAACTTGCAAGCATTACATATCCTAGACCCCAACGAATTTTATCAAGTGCTTGATAAATCAACTATACAAAGACAAGTTTCCACCAGTGGGAACCAATTGGCCAAAGCATTACAATCACCGCGAAATTTCACGGCGATAATGACTGAGGTACAACAAAGTAGCTCAAATTATTTTGATAAACTTGATGAAGTATTAACAAGATGGAATTTACCACATGATAGTAGTAACAAATCGGATGAAAGCTTGTTACTGGTGCTGCTAAACCACTACAAAGCTGATTCGTTGCTGTCGATCTTCTGGCAAAAGTTGGCCCAACAATTGAAGCGAAACATTGTTGCCACTATGGCTAGAGGTGGACCCATTGCAAAGAATTTAAAAGTGTACAGTCAAGGACTCAAGAATTCAATTGAGGACAACTTTGCTAATGACACTATCAAGCAAGGCATATTAGATGCGTTGTCCATGATTGACTACAAATGATGCAGGGATATAGAGTAGGCTTAAGTGGTCTTTTTTTTCATCTAATTTGTATTATCTAACTATAATGAGGGTACGACATTTGCATGGAATTCATCCACTGACAAATCACTCTTTCCATGAGGAGAATGGACCGTTTTCTTGATCATTTCTGTAATTTGATTCAAATCCGAACCAGTTATTGTTTCCATAAATGCACCTATTTCAATGTTTTCATGATTACCAGTCAATCCATCATAAGCATTTCTTGACTTTAATTTATGTAAAAGTGAGGGTGAGTTTGTATGCGCATAAATGTTGACATCCACAGCCGAATGGCCATGTGTAGTCCATCCAATTTGAGCTCTAAATGAAATCATGTTGTTCAAGAAATATAAAAGCGCATCTGGTTGTGATGATTTGGAGGCAATTTGTCTAACTTCATCCTCGGTATAGTCAGAAATACCCATATCGTTTTCTAATATTTCTTGCCTGATGTATTCAGTAAATTTGGTACCGGACTTGACTTTTTGGCTATAAATCTTTCTTGCCAAGTATTCTCCTGAATGAGTGCTGTTCAACAATATTTGTGGGTACCATAAATAATCTGGGTACGATTCTGTCACTTGTCTAGCAGTCACTAATCCTCCAGTTTCATGGTCACTAGTGGATATAGCAACAGTTTCCACATCGGTAGAATCAATGAAATCAATCACTTCTTTGAAAGCTTTGTCATACGCCAACACTTCTCTGACTTGTGCTGCTGGATCATTGTGATGGCCAGCATGGTCAATTCTTGATCCTTCAATCAATAAAAAGAATCCTTGATCAGAGTCCTTTGTCGCCTCTTGGAGCGCAGTCAATGCAACCTTGACCTGCTCTGCAAGAGATGGGTATTGTTTGCTTTCACGATCAATGTCATACGGTATATCATGATTTGCTAATAAACCCAACAATGGTAAGCTGACGTTTTTACCTCCATCCAACTGATCAAACTGTTTTCTATCACCAACATACGACCAACCTTTCTTGGCTGCTTCCTTGACCAAGTTTCTGTCATCGGCTCTGCATCCACCGTTCGCGATTGGAACAAAATGACATCTTCCGCCACCTAAGATCAAGTCAACCGCGCGGCCAAAAGGATATTCACCTAATTGATGCTGGGCAATCAAATCCTCTTGGAAACGGTAATCAACATGTGAGCTAAATGCAGCAGGCGTAGCGTCAGTAATTCTAGTAGTTACCACTAAACCTGTCAAATACCCTTGCAATTTCAACGCTTCCAAAATTGTACCACATGGCGTCTTGTCTGAGTCAACACCGATAGCACCATTATATGATTTAAGTCCGCATGAAAATGCAGTGGCTCCAGCTGCTGAATCAGTAATCAAAGAGCTCGATGATCTGGTTCTTGATGATCCAATGAGGTATTTGTCAATGATTAATACGTCATCGATGGGCAAGTTATCCTTGAGCTGACGAAATGACCTTGCTGCTGATAAACTTGCCGGTCCCATTCCATCAGTGACCATCATAATAATATTCTTTTTACCGTGTGGATCAAATGCAGGCACATTTGGTGTATCAGACTTGGACGAATTATGGAATAATAATATAGCGATGGTAACTATCGCAACCACATTCAAAATGTATGAGATATTTCTCTTCGTGTTTGATTTGGGCTTGCTGTTGAATACAGAGGTGTCTCCACCAAGTAGTGGCAAATTCTCACCACGTTTGGGCATGATTTAGTGAATGCTATGGGGTATTGCTATAAATAAAGCCACTATTTGACTTGATCAAATCAGTGATAACGCGAATGTAATAAAATACTTCTCGACGCAGGAGAGAAAAAAGAAAAAGAAATTATGCAACATAGCACCAGAGTCATGTGCCAAGCCTTCCTACAGAAAATGTTATACTGGAAATCTAGATCCACTCAAAACAGCTCGTTTATGAACAGGTGTACCTTGAACGGATGCTTACACATTCAAATTTGGTCTAAAAGTCATTTACAACAACTGCATCATCGTCTTGGATGTTTTCATAAATGTACTTCCCCATGCACAAGTCCATGATTGATAATCCTACAATCTTTTGTACGGTTGTACCGGTTGTTGCATCTGTAATCGTACTGAACTCTTCCGTTTCATACAATTCGTGAATCTCAATCAACTGGTCACTAGTGTAACCTGATTGTATCAATTCTCCAGCTTCATGTAACGTATGCTCCTTTGAGTCAACAATCACTTTGACGCCATTGTTTTTGAAATCATTCATCAATTCCAAATCCAACTCAATCATGTGCGGCTTGTACGAACCGATGAGAGAAATAAACTTTCGATATTTTGGATCTTTGTTCAAATGGTCTTTCTTTATCACAGCTGAAGTCGATGGAGTGCATCCGTATATGATTGAACTGTTTTCCATATGCGGTTTGAACTTTTCATCCTCTTCAAACAGGAACGCTCTGAACTCAACATTGTCAAATTCTTTACCCAACTCCTCTTTCAACTTTTCTGCATTTGCCAATGTTCTATTTAGTATGTTCACCTTCGCGATTTTCTCCTTATACAAGAGTAAAGTCAACTTGACATGCCAATAAGCTTGTTGACCTACCCCAAACACACACAATTCCGGCAAAACGTCGACAGAGTCAACAGGCACAACTCTGGTAAGACCCAATACACTAGCTAATGCAGTTCTGAAAGCAGTTAAACATGCGGCATTGAAGATTGCATTCAATTCACCAGTTACTTCATCCAAAATCATAACACACCCTTGAAACCCCAACCCCTTTGTATTGTTCGATGGACCACCACTAATCACTTTTATGCCCACTTCGGTAGGTGAAATACATGGCATGAACACATGGGTAGTGTCTGACTCAGAATTATTCGACTGTTGGACAATTCTTGGAGGAACGATTGCATTTGGGTTAGCTGCGTAAGTGGCTAAACCACGCAACAATACCGGTTGGAATTGACTAAAAATGGACTCCCTTGTTAACCTTTTGTTAAGAAATGATTTAATATCTTTATCTCTAATGACCTTCATCGTCTTTTATAGCGTCAATTGGTGTTTGAGAAAATCGTTGTCTTAGCTGGCTCTTTTATATATGAGAAGCGCAAAATATCTAATTAATCTACGCGGCTCACAAATGAAACAAGTAAAACACAGCGAACAACCGCGGTCACACTAAGCGAGTACTATAAACCACCACACGAATTGACGTTTGCGCATTTTCATTTCGTCTACACTCCTTATAAATCTAATTACACTGTCCGGTACTAAGCTTTACTCAACTCCAAGCGCTCGAGCGAACTAATGGGTTTATCATACACTCCTTGAATTAACTCGAGCCTGTAAACAGCCAAATTTTCGAGTAAAGCCTTCAGCTCGAGAGCTTGCGATGAGATCAAAAAATTTTCCATCTCACTAAGCACAGTGTAAAGGTGTTTCTTGTCTTCGCGATCGTGGTAAATTTTATGTCGTATTGATATCTTTCTCAATTTAGGCACCTCCGAAGTTTTTGCGAAACAAGCAATTTCCAAAAACAATGATTGTAATTTGGCCATGCCAGCGTGATTTTCCAAAATGAGCTTTGCAATTGATTGGCTTAAAGGGTATGACGATGACTCCCATATCAAGAAACTCGACTGAAGTGATTGCAACGTTTTTATGTAGTGCTCCTCGTTATACTGTCGCAAGTATTCAAACACAAAACGCCATACGATTCGCTCGTAAAAGGGAGCGAGCTGATGGCTTTCGATCAATGGAAGATATAGTGTTGAGAAATTCGTCTTCAAATTTCGTATAATATCCAAAGGTTGATTCAAATCAAAATACTTCTTCAACATAATGATCTTCAAGTGGACGGCTGCTTTGTCGGCAATCCCCGCTATTCCTTCAAATGTATTGATGTCTATAGGGAAATCGTCTAGACTTTTCAATGACTTATTCAATAACACGTCAGTCAATAATCTGGGCGTCAATCTGTCGTGGCTACAGAAAAGCTGCACAATCTCACGTAACATACTTTCATTTTTAATCCTTTTGATATAGCTACTCAACTCTTCAACGTTCATATCGTTTAAAAGCTGTGAATGATTAATTCGGGAATCCAACAACGATGACTTGATTCCCCATAGTAGGTTATTTACAAAATGTTCACTAATGTGAGGTTCCTGCTTAAGGTGTACATCTTGTTGTATATTGGATATCTGCTCATCCATTGGTCCTTTTGTCAATGATTTCAATAATGATGGCTTGTACGTAGGTTTTGTTGCTGGTTTCGAAAGAAGGTTTAATGCGTCAGCAAGAGCCTCATTGTCGGAATGTTTGGAGCCCTTGTGATTGTTCCAGATAAAGCGAGCGACGATGTTCAAGGTGGATTTGGAAACCCTAGGCGTATGTTTGGATAGCATATCGTGTTGGTGTGATGTAAACCTCCGTCGACGGTTTTCTCTGTTTTTTTCTTTTGGAGTAACGAAGTTAAACAATGAGGCGCCCCTTTCTTAACTGAGTAATAACCAGGACACACATTAACAGATGCACAAAGCCCCACGTCAAGACTGTGGACTCGCGGCTTTGATAGTTGTAAGACGTAAACGAGCCGTTTTAGCATTGGTTACTATCGGTATTACACTTAGTGGTGGAAAACAATCCTCACTTCGGAATGCAATCTGCCCAAAATTATACTCGGCTTCTTTACTCCTCACTCTAACCTTTGTCTACGAAGTGCCAGCACACTCAGAGGCCAATTATGTGTAAGAAAACAATGTGATCTCCTTTCCCTGAATTGTATGGCACTCTCCTTTGCGAACCCTCCCAGGACGGAATTATATCCCAAATAGTCAATCAATTTCCGCACTGAAATGATTTTCTTTTTTATTTTTGAGCCGTTCGCTTAATTTTTGATAGCAACTCAATTTCAAAACAAGATCAAGAAAGCGTACTCACTCCTTTATTTCTTTTGATTAGAGCTTCCAAGCTACCTTTGGATACCACTTTCATTCACTTTGCTATCAAATGTCGTACCCAGAGTCTTCAGTTCCTTCAAATCGGCAAGATCCCACCGATATTGATCCACTTTTACCACAAAAGTCGAATCTGAGTCGGCAAATTAGAACGCCACAAATTCCTGATAATGGTCAAGCTTTGGCGGATTTAGAGCTAGCAGCAAATGACATTTACGAAGCAGTTCTAGAAAATGACCAAGAATATGACGAGGACGAGCACAATGAGGATGTAGTGTGGTTGAGAGAACAGCGGCTTTTGAACAAAAGCATACACTGGTTGAAAAGACCAAGCGTATTGATGGTGTCCACCATCACATTCTTATTGGCTTTTTCTATTTCAAGTGCTGAGGCAACCAGACAAGTTATCACATTGAAACTTGCATGTAACAGCCTTGGAGCAGAGAAATGCAACAAGGATTCTGCCCAAGTTTTAATGTCTAATTTGCAATTGGGCTACACACTTACTGGAGCTATCATTATGCTCATCTCATCGGGAAAGATAGCACCGTTGAGCGATTTGTATGGAAGACGTCCATTTCTTATAATGGTGATTCTTTGCTTTTTGGTGGGGAAGTTACTCAAGTTTTTCTTTATGTACAACTACAACACCTTACAGTTTTATTCAATGATTGCAAGCGAGGCTGTCAGCAATATGGGAGGAGGACTCATGTCCTTGATAGCATTGTGCAATTGCTACATATCAGACGTAGCTGAACCCCATCAGAGAATTTATGCACTAGGCATTGGTTTTGCCGCCATGTTTGTTGGATTGAGTGTTGGACCATTGGTGGGGAACTTTATTATTGCTTTAACAACAAAATTGTCTCCGCAAGCTGACATAAGAAAACAAGAATTTATTCCATTGCAATTTGAAATTGCAATTCTAGTTATGAACCTTTTAATGACAACCTTTATCTTACCAGAATCACGATCAGAAAAAGCTAAAAAGAAATCGAGGACCTTATCGCGTTCTCTGAGTGAAATCAACCTTAGACAGATGGAGCGGTCTCCATGGTATGAACGATTGTATAATCAACTAAATTTTTTGAAACCTTTGAAGATGCTTGCAATTCCAAATGAAATGGTGAAACAATCCAACAGGCACAAGGTTAGTCGTGATAGGTTTACAATTCTTGTGTTGGCGTTCATAGATTGTGTCATGAGTACCATGGCCATGTCGTTTGGTGAAATCTTTATCTTGTATGGAATTTACAATTACGACTGGGCGCAAAACAGTATTGGCCACCTACTTGCCATTAGTTGCTCAAGTAAAGCTGTTGTTTTGATTCTATTATCACCCATTATCAATCACAAGATTCTTCAGCATGGACTCAAATTCAAAGTGTTTAAGACGCAACTTGACATGGTAGACTTTTCGATGTGTTTGATCGGCCTTGTGTGTGAGACAATAGGCTTTTATGGCTATAGCCTTGCTCCGACAACGTCAATTTTTTTCATCTTTACGGTGTTCTGTGGATTTGGTACATTGATTGGTCCATCAATAAACTCTTCAATCATCAAGTTTTACCCAGAGTCAAAGATTGGAGAACTTTTCGGTGCATTGGCGTTGGTGAAGAACATTTTTGCCTTGGTGACCCCCGTATTTTATTTGTCCGTGTACAAATACTCCGTTAGTACTTTACATCGACCTGGACTCGTTTTCGTTATCGCCGGTACTGTTTTGCTCATATGTACCGTGTTATTGATCACCGTTAGAAGAGTAACCCCATTAGACGAAGAGCCGGTGTTGTCGAGATCAAACTCGTTTACGTCCTTGCTGCAAGAAGGTTCTACAAGCTTTTCGGAGTTGCATAGGAAAAGCAGTTCTCTTCACAAACAACGCTCTGGGTCGTTAGGAGGTCTTTCTCGTTAAATAAATTATGATGTATATTTTACCCCATTAGTCTAAGTGCTAACTCGACACTTGCAAAAGTACCGGCACTACATGGAACAGCTCTTAGCAAGCAAGGAACTATTCCTCTCCAAAACCCAGTAAAACCATGGTGAGCGTAAATGTATCTTACTGCCTTGATGGCGCTTCCATCGAATTTACTTTTAGCTCCCCATCCGTCGCTTTGGATATTGGACTTTATGACATCCAATGGGTAAGAACTAAGCCACAACGCATTACCAGCTAGGGCACCACATGCAAGTAATTCTGGTGTACCTATTTGATCTCTGCTTTTGTAATGGTGCAACTCAACAATTTTCTTTATAAGGGCTTCGTATGTTAAAAACCAAACACCATAGGCTTGAAATTCTCTAATCAAAGTGATGTCAAACCCACGATATATGCCTCGTATACCATGTTCAGCAAATATTTTCTTCACTGTTGATGTGAGCGAGATCAGTTCTCCTGATGATGATTGACTGAGGATCCTCAATTGTTCCACAGGGGAAGTCACAGGCGAGTTTACTACACCAGCCACAGCACCAGCAATATAAGTCTGAGGCCAAAGATTCAATTGTGACTGACCGGTGTATTGCAAAATTTGTCTTTTTGCTTCATGGAAACCATAAAATTGAAGGGAAACACATACCCCAACTCCAAAAAGCGGTGGCAAAGTTCCCTTGTAGAAAGCTAGAAGGCCCTCATTTTTTATAACATCCTTGATAACTTGTGATGAAGATGTAGCTGAAGTTGTTTGAAGTCGAATTTTGACCAAGTCAGCCGGCTGGCCGATCAAGACCTGGGTTGCACCACCCACAAATCCAGCGGCAATGTCTTTAGCCTTTCGTGACAAACTATTGTCAACAGTGGAACTTTCATATATTTCGGTTGAGTCTGACATGAGAAGAAGTAATAATTGTTGATAACGGAGAAAGTTTTTGTTGATTGATCTTAACACAGAATTTCGCAATCGTAATAGATGAAAATGAGACCAGATCACGTGCGAGTTAAGAAGCAGCTACCGTGTTACCAAAAGTGAGAGTCGTGTACACTCGTCTCTGTTTATCTTTTTTTCTTTTTTTCTGTTGTCAAAACTGACCACGTACAAACAAACAAAAAATTCAAAATCTGTTTCATTGAAAAATTAATATCTAAATCCCCAATAACAGTAGAGTCCCCCATCAATTCAAACCACCACATGTCAGGTAGAAGAAGAGCATACCCACAACCCCAGTATGCAGCTGGTGCGCCAGGTGGTGCAGCAACTCCGCCGGCATTTGGTCAACCTCCACAACCTCAAGGTCAATATCAACAACCAATGAATGGACAACAACCATACGGCGCCGATCAATTGCAAAATCAATTTCAGCAATTGAATGTTGGTGCTACTAATCCAGCTTATCAGCAACCAGGAGCAGATCAATTTCAAGCCACTCCACAGTTAAGCTACGATCCATACCATCCTCAGCCACAAGCTGGCGTTTATGGTCAAGGTATGGGTGGAGTTCCACCATCAGCGGCAGCAGGAGGGGCAGCACCTGCCGCTCCAGCAAGTGGCGTGTCAGGGTATGGAGGCGCATATGGGCAACCAAACAATATTGCCGCCGGTATACAATACAATGCGTTGTACACCACTGACTTGTCTCGTGATTTACCTCCTCCAATTGTTGAGTTATCTTTTCAACCACCACCAATTACTTTACCTGATACAACAACCTTGATTCCTGGATCAAAAACAGCAAACGCCAGCCCAGAATATTTTAGATCCACTTTGAATGTTGTGCCCAATAGTGGATCACTTTTGAAAAAATCAAAGTTACCATTGGCAATAGTTGTCAAGCCATACAATGCATTGAAAATTGAGGATGAGAATGTTCCTGTGACATGTGATACTACAATTAGTAGATGTCGCCGTTGTCGTGGTTACATAAATCCGTTTGTGACGTTGGCCGAGAATGGAAGGCGTTGGAGATGTAACTTTTGTAACTTGCTCAATGATATTCCAAGTGCTTTTGATTATGACGAGATTAGTGGACAGGTGAGAAACAAATTTGACAGAGTTGAGTTGAACCATGCAGTTGTTGAATTTATTGCACCAAAAGAGTATATGGCCAGAGTTCCACAACCAATCGTTTATGTCTTCATCATTGATGTTTCTGTTCATGCTGTGCAGAGTGGATTAACAGGCACCATTACCAGGACCATTCTTGAAAGTTTAGACAGAATCCCCAACGTCAACAAGACTGCTAGAGTCGCATTCATTGGGGTAGATTCAAACTTGCATTATATCAAATTCAATGAAGGTTTGGAAGGTACCGAAGTGTTAGTAGTTGCTGATACCGAAGAACCATTCTTACCATCTCCTAGTGGCTTATTGGTCAACTTGGATGAGAATCGAGAACCCATTGAGAAGTTATTGCTCGACTTTCCCTCCTTTTTCGAAAGCACCACAAATCAAGGTTTTGCCCTTGGCCCTGCATTAAAGGCAGGTCACAAGTTGATAAGTAATGTTGGTGGTAAATTAGTCTGCTTTGGTGCCACTTTACCCAACGTTGGTGAAGGTAAATTAAGTTTAAGGGACGAGGCTAGTGTTGCCGGAAAGGCTAAAGAGGCAAAGGCATTGTTAACCCCAGCCGACAGCTTCTACAAATCGTTCGCCGTTACTTGTAACTCATCTCAAGTGACTGTGGATTTGTTTTTGACATCCGCTGGGTACCAAGATGTGGCTACATTGTCCAACTTGCCAAGATACACTGCCGGCCAAACTCACTTTTATCCTGCGTGGACCAGTAACAAATATGAAGATGTTGCCAAGTTATCCAAAGAAGTAGGCGACCATTTGTCTCAGGATATTGCGTTGGAAGCAGTATTGAGAGTCAGAGGCTCTACGGGAATGAGAATGTCATCATTTTATGGTAATTTCTTCAACAGGTCTTCAGATTTGTGTTCTTTCCCAACTTTTCCAAGAGACCAATCATACCTTATTGAGGTTGCAATTGAAGAGACTATAAATAAACCAATTGTTTGCTTCCAAGCAGCTGTGTTGCACTCTACATCATTCGGTGAGAGGAGAATCAGAGTGATGAACTTGGCTTTGCCAACATCATCCAAATTGGTGGATGTATATGCATCTGCTGATCAATTAGCAATAACAAACTACTTTACTCACAAAGCCATCGAAAAGGCATTATCTTCATCCTTACCTGAAGCAAGAGACTTTATCACCTCAAAGGTGGTTGATATATTAAATGTGTACAGAAAAGAATTGGTTGCGGGAAATGTTTCTGGTGCATCTCCGTTACAAATATCAACAAACTTAAGAATGTTGCCATTATTGTTGTTGTGTTTGACCAAAAACTTGGCTTTCAGGAGCGATCGCGTTCCGTCTGACCACAGAGCTGCTGCTTTGAACAATTTAGGTTCATTACCTATCCCTCATTTAATAAACTCGATCTATCCTACTGTGTATTCGTTGCACAACATGCCTGATGCTTGTGGGTTGGAAGATACTGAAACTGATGTCGTGTTGCCCGAACCAATCAATGACACAAAGACTTCTTGGGAGAATTACGGATTGTATTTGATTGACAATGGTAGTGAGTTGTTCCTTTGGGTTTCAGGAAATGTGGTTCCGGGATTGATTCATGATGTGTTTGGAACAGAAAACTTGTATGAAATCACCACTGGTAAAACAGAATTGCCAGAATATTCGATTGAGGAAAGTGAATTCAACTATAGGGTTCGTCAAATAATCAACAAAATTAGGGAGCAAAAAGACTCTGTTATTTGGAAGAACTTGTACGTGGTTGTTGGTGCTTCATCAAATGAGCCTATTGAGATTTCGCAACAACGTGATCTCATGGCTTTGAGAATGTGGGCATCGAGTTGCTTGGTTGAGGATAAGACTGGTTCTGAGCCATCTTATAGAGATTTCTTGACATCATTAAAGACAAAGGTTCAATAAATAAAGTTTGTATATTAACTCAAAATCTAAAACTCTATTCTAAATGCATAGTGTAGTCTTCCTTGCACCATTTTTGTCTCAATGCTCCCCCGTACTTGTAGAAACCAAAAGGCACCAAAATCATGGCCAAACAAACAAATGCAAGCAACCAACTGGCCCATTGTAAACCCAACCCTTCGTACATGTATGTAATGAACAATGGGAAGGCAGCACCACCAGCTGATCTAAGAAAAACTTTGGTCGCCAAGGCAGATGCCGCATATTTGGCATAAGTGTCGATAATGTAGTTGTTCAATGAGTAATAAATCAACACCATTCCGTAACCAAATGCAATACCAGAGGAAGCGGGACCAACCCAGATAATGTGCTTGTATGAGGTAGCACCTAATATGAATAAAGCAATGCACGGGAAGGGAGCACCAATCATGGCACCAATAAGTCTATCTTCAGGCTCGGGTTTCCTCCTCTTGGACATTTCCTTATACTTCTTTTCTATGTATGGCGTGGTTGTTAACGCGAATGCAGCTCCAATCAAGATAGGAACAAACATGAGACCGATCTTGTTGTCCTTATATCCGTATAATTCGCTGAATATGTATGGGTAAGCGAAAAAGAATGCATATAACAAAGCGTAAATTAAGGCAACAAACCCACAAACTAGATCCAAAATGGGTTCAGTGACGGTGAATTTCAAAGGAAGGAGTAGATTGGTGTTGACCAATTCCGTAAACGACAATGGTGTTGCTTCTTGTTCTGTCATAATGTTCATGTTCCCAGTTTCCTTTCTCAATCTTTTGGCCCTTTTCTTTAAAATCACAGGAGGGTAGGTCTCTGGAATGAGTGAAACAATGATCCACATTACCCCAGCAAAAGCCATATTAACCCAAACCATAATGTCAAATCTATTGGTACCCACACTAATGAAACCATTCACGAGACCGCCAAAGACTGGACCACTGTATGGACAAAAGCTGAAAAATGCAATTGCCACACCACGAGTCTCGTTGTGCATGTCTACCAAACTAGCACCAACATTGGTCAATGCACTAGCAGCACACACGCCACAAAGAAAACGCGAAGCTAACAAACCACCAATATTTGGTGACAATGCACATGGAATGTTTAAAATGGTGTAGATTCCGAAACTGATGAAATACACCGGTCTTCTTCCAATTTGTTCAGACAATGGTGCCCAGAGTAAAGGACCGACACAGAAACCCAACACCATCAAAGACACCGTCAATGTTGACACTTCTGTTGATACACCGAATTTGTCATTTATTGTGAATAATCCTCCCGATAGACAAGAAGATCCATAAGCAGCACTAATCACCAACATTGAAAGCAAAAATGTGTAAAGCCACTTTGTGGTCATTGGCCAATTATGAGGATTTTCAGGATCGCCAATGGTAAATGTGACAAACTCTGTGTCTTCCTTGAGTTCACTCTTGTGAGACTTGGTTCTTCCTAGACTTTCCAAAGTTTTCACTTTAACTAACCCTGTAGTGGTTTCTAAACCATACTCCTCTGGAAAAATGGGATCTTCGATTGGAGGAGCTGTAATTGATGGAGGTGGCTTTTCACTAGTGACTCCTAGCGATTGCAAATCTCTTTTCGTTTCTGTTCGCGTTAGTCTCAAACTCTTCTCTGGATCAGTACGTATTGATGTGACGTCAGCCAAGTTGTGAATGGCAAATTCCCCCTGACTGCTATTTGTAGATAAGTAGCTATTGTTGTCATCGTTATCTGTGACCATTTTACTTTGATTATCTGATGACGTGGACATTCTGTTGGCTACTCTACTTGATGAAACTGTCAATGGGAAGAAACAGGGGATAGCAGCTTCTTATATATTTAGCGATGTTTTCACTCATTGGGCCTAGAAGAACTCTGCTTTCGGAACCACCATACCCGGTTATGGCAAAAAGCAAGCAATCCTTGAATGCATGGAAGCGCCTATGCACAACGGTTATTTTTTTCGGAAACGGCTAACACTTTTTCAAGCCGCAACGCACACCGTGGTCGGACATTAACCAGTTGGTAACAAAGTAATGAAACAGTGGTTGATGAACTAAGCTGTAATGGTGGGCATTACCACCCCTTGGCTTTTCTTTGTTGTCTAGTCTTGTGGAAGCCATAATTTTAATATCAGCACCGACATCGGTCCATGAAATTGGCTTGGAAGGCTTTTCTCTACTGGCTAGATCTATATGCCGCAGTATAACCGACCATCAATATCTTTTGTGTAAAAGGGATGTGTGGTTTTAGTGAATCATTTACTTTACGGATAACTCTAAAGGCATCTGTTATTGTTTCTATTGTTTTGATTAACCACGGAAAAAAATGATAATACTTTTATTATTGCATACCACTTTATATTACACAAAGATGGAAAAATTCAATGCATTCCGTATCTGTTTGTTTATTTGCAGCCAAACAGATGGATGGACCAAAATAGTGGGTTGTTGGGCTGTTGCAATAATTTTTTACGGGGAGGATGATGTATTACGTAAGGTGTGGTGCATTCTACTCATCAGAAGTATACAAAAAACGATAACCGATTTCTGTATTATTAGCATCTAACTTATGTAAAATACGATACTCAGGGATATTCATGTTAGCTCGAAATGGGGCTCTTTCAAAAAATGCACACAGTCGTAGCTTTTTGTCACCTATTTGTTGTTTAAATAGGGTCTACAGAGGAATGGCTATCACATTTCTTACATAATATTGCAGGGGTTTCCTCAAATTATCGATTCATCAAGAGTAAAAATAAGATCCAGTATGAGCCCTTTCTTTCTTTCTTCATTTGTTTCAAAAGTATTGTCCATCAGGTGGCATCATGTTTGCAAAATCTAAAACGCGAGGATAGCCACAATATGCTACTCAGTTGTCGTGTCTGCAAGTACTGCGGAAATACTTGTGCTGCAACCTTTAGGAGAAGGTACGAGTGAGCTCAACTTTCGCTGCTTATAGGCCATTACTCGCGAAGCCATTTGCAAAATCCAAAAGTTTACTCTCCACTAAAGACATTAATTCACTGGCCACCGTCAAAACCTATGTGCTAGGGTATCCTCTTATAAACCCATTGAAACAACTATAACCAAGTGTTATTTGGCCTAGGCGGTAAGGCGACTACTTGTAATTCGTGGCTTTGATTATCAGACTGTGCATATACTCAAAACACAGAGTTTTATCATGCCAAGATGGCAGCAATAATTTGGTTTGCTCTAAGTCACGAGATTTGCTATTTTGAGACTGCACAAAATCGAAGCGCAATTGAAAAAAGAAATGAGAAAGAAGATTTTGTAGCAAAATATAATATAAAGTGACAAATCTTTTTTTCAATTTCCATATTGTAAAACAGCTGTTCTCCTACATCGCTTTCTTTCGATTTCCAATTTACTGGCGACGGTGACGGTGACGTTTACGATGACCATGCATATGAAACATTTCCCTACGAATAGTCTACTATTACTAGGTCCTTTATTTGTACTTGCCACGGATTTTGCATTGACCCGATTTTCACTGACTGGAAGTGCAAAAAAATTAGCACGCAAAACTACTAGCTCAACACCATCAACAAGTTACCTCCCATCGTATAATCCCAGGACTTATAGATCAAACTGGATCCAAGAATGGGAAGAGTCAAAGGGCAAATGAGGGAAGGAGTGTTTTTTTTTTTAGCAGAAAAGCTGGTCTTTTTTGGAAGAAGTTTTCGCAGAATGGGTTCATAAAAGAGTTAGTTGCGGAACACGGTTGGAACATCTCAGTTTATCTTTCGCGACAGCATAAATAACAGCATATAAGTTTATAGGCATTGATATACACGGTTTGAGTTTGTTTAATCGTCTCTTTTATATGCTTCCTGCATATAAGATGATTTTCTTCACCAACTTTTTCATTGGCTCAGGAGTGAGAGAAAGAACGAAAGGAAAAAAAAAACACCAAAGTAACGAAAATCAACGACTACGTTCTCTTTGCAACTCTAGCCAACCGTTACTTGACATATTCCGACAATGTTTTCAAGTTCAATCAGTCAGAAAGCTTTGCGTGCTACTTTGTTGGCAAAAAGATTTAACTCGTCTCATTCTCACCATGTTGAAAAGAAACCAGTTGAAATTACCTTTGCCAAAATATTTGCTGTCGCATCCATAGTTGGAGGGATACTTCTTTACAAGAACAAAGACAAGACTGAAACGCCTCTTTTCAAGTCAGGACTTTTTGACCAAGAATTGAGTGGACAACGTGACCATTTAAGAGAAGGAGAATATGAGAGTCGTTATAAAATGGGATTCATCAAAACTTATATCGCTGATAATGGTGGCTCTGGATTTGGTAACTCAGCTTATAGAAGAGGAAGTGGAGAAGAGGTTACCAACACGAATTTAATACCAGCCCATTCTCCATGGGGCCCACAATTTGGTGCCGGAATTAAATTAGACAAATTGGGTGAAAGGAGGGAGAGAATAGAAAGGTTTGCTCCACTTAAATAGGCGAATCAATGAATGACGATGTAATTTGCATAAACTCCCAAAGACTTAATGTAGTACACATCGAATAAGTAACGTAACTTTCTGATTTGAAAATATATTCTCTCGATGGTCCTCTTGAAGCTCTCGTGGCTACAGCGAAACTCTAGAATGACATGCTTTTAAGCCTATCTACCTCTTGACCCACGATAAACCACCACATTTGTGACCGCATACACACCTCTCTTGACTCAAAATGGTTAACCCAATGGTAGCTCTCGCATTTTGCATCATGTCTGTCAAATATCACACGTGCGTATCAACAAAAAATAGTGCAATCAAATTGAACCACAACAACAACAGCAACTTCATCAAACTACAACCATGGCGAAGAAGGTCAACAGCGAACCAATCTTATCGAACTTGAAAGATGAATCAAACAACGTTGATTCAGCTATTGCTGACGATGACGACTTTTACGCCTCTTCAAACGGAAGCACGTCACTGTTTAATGACTCACCACAATTGATGCGTAGCGATTCATCTACATCAGTTCCGTTTTTGGATCTATCCAAGCTAGTGTTTGCTAGGGACTTCGACTTTGGACTAGACTTGAATGGGGTTAGCAATTCAACGAAAAGGAGAATCAATAGTGTCAAGAATAAGACGAGGGAGAAGTTTAGCATATACAACAAGAAGGGGAATATTGAGTTGGATAAGTTGCAGGAAATTTTGAACCAAAGATTGTCCAAATTCGATGAAAGGATACATAAAAATCTTACCAGTACGTCTACTGAAAAGTTGTTTTATGCGATTAGTGTGTTTACTATTGCATGTGCTGGATTCACAATCGGCAAGTACCCGGAATACTTTCCCCATTTTCACACTGTACTATTTCTCGTTTTGATGCCGATTAGATTTTACACTTATTTCAAGCAATCTTTCCAGTACTATTTGGCAGATTTGTGCTACTATGTGAATCTTTTGTTGTTGTTGTTCATTTGGGTATTCCCTCAGTCGCCTACTTTGTTTGTGTCGGTGTTTTCGTTATCCTTGGGAACATTGTCATGGGCTGTCATCACTTGGAGAAACTCGTTAGTACTACATTCTGTTGAGAAAACCACATCGTCTTTTATTCACATTATGCCACCAGTGACAATGTTTGTTATTGTTCATGAACTAGACCCAGTGTATGTCAAAGAGCGGTATCCTGGAATTGCTGCCATTGATAGCTGGAATTTTTTCACCAGTCTTGTCATTACGTCGATATATTACACCATTTGGCAAGTATCTTACCACTACTTTATCACAATTAAACGTAAGGCCGAGATTGAAAAGGGCAAAGTGACCTCATTTTCGTACTTGAAAAAGAAAAACAAATCTACACCATTGGGAAAATTTGTCAATGGATTGCCTTATTTGTGGATGCAAACCTTGGCGTTCACATTAATTCAATTTGGATACCAATTACTAACAATGTTGCCATGCCCGATTTGGTTTAGATACAAACATGCATGTGGCGCATTTGTTACTTTTATATTTATATGGGCAAGTTACAATGGTGCCACTTGGTACATTGATGTGTTTGGAAAGAGACTAGAAAAGGAGGTTGAAAAGTTGAAAGTAGAAGTTGGTAAATTACAACAAGAGAATCATCAATTGCAGTCATCCCCTGTGAATAGACCGCGGAATGGGGAAGATGTGAAACATTATGATTTGAATGGTGAAATGAAAGAGAATGAAGGTGTTTCTGTAGAGTGAATAAGACATTATCGAACTATTTGTAGTGTCATTAATTGTCACTTTACGACATTGGATACTAGAATATTTTTTTCTTTTTGACATTTTGAAAATTTTTCTGGCACCACCAGTCACCACCCAAGAGCTCAAAAATGTTCAAATCACTAAGGAGGTGCTTTGGTACCACGTCGCAACTCCTCAAGCAATCAGGTGCCTCCAAAGTAGAGAAACATTTAGAGTATCTCAAAAATTACTACAACCCGGAGTTATTAGAAAGCATTAAACTCGCTGAGTCGGTGGTGGATCCAAAGGATTACTTGAACTTACAACTACAAGGCCGTGAAGGTAAATCGAAAGTTGCCCCCCAATTGACATTTGATTACTCAAAAACTGACCCTGAATGGAATGAGCCAATTCTATACCCAAACCAAGGTTTGGGCCGCACACCGTATCCCGAAATCCCCCAAGTACAATCACCAGATCGTGGTGACTTGAAAATACGCTTTAGTAATGCCCCAAGGGCACCAAATGATTCACCACAATCAAGTACAGCTGTGAAAAATACCAGTCAGATTGCCAGAGAATTGAGTCAACTTACGGGGTTGGATGAAAAATATATACGAAACTTGTACATCAGGCCCTTGGTAATGAAGCGTGTATCTTTAAAGACGGCAAAGGGTAACATTGCCAACTTCTTTGTCATGTCTGTGGCAGGAGACAAGAACGGTATGTTGGGTATTGGTATTGGAAAATCAAGAGATGGAATCCGTACTGCTGCAACAAAAGCACATTGGAATGCAGTCAAAAATTTGACTCCTGTAAAAAGGTACGATAACAGAACAATTCTCGGCTCCTTTGAACTTAAATACCATGCGACCAAATTGAAATTTAAATCGGCGCCAATAGGTTTCGGATTGAGATGTAATAGGAATATCTTTGAAATATGCCAAGCTGCTGGTATTAAAGACCTCAGAGGAAAAGTGCACAAGTCGAGAAATCCAGTTTTGGTTGCACAAGGGTTTTTCAAAGCTTTAACACAGCAAAAATCGATTGAAGAGTTGGCATTGAACAGAGGTAAAAAAGTTGTGGAGTTGAGAAAAGTGTATTACTCGAACTAATGTAAATAGTGCTCGCGTGTAAACTAATAAGATTGCAATTTTTTTTTTTTTCCCCTTCCACAACTATTCATATCAGAATCCTTTACCCATCCATTTTTCCATCATCGTATCACCATGGTCGTCGATACTACTTACTATGACCTCCTAAGCATCGAAACAACAGCAACTTCACTAGAAATCAAAAAGGCGTATCGAAAGGCGGCTATCAGGCTACACCCTGACAAGAACCCCGATGACCCTGATGCTGCAGCAAAGTTTCAAGAAGTAGGACAGGCTTATCAAGTGTTGAGTGATGACCAGTTGCGTCGCAAATATGACAAGTACGGAATACAAGAATCTATACCACTGGAGGGTTTTGAAGATCCCGCTGAATTCTTTTCAATGATATTTGGTGGCGAAGCGTTCAAAGATTGGATTGGGGAGTTGACTTTGCTACTGGAGTTATCGAAAACTGCAGAGTTGTCAGAGGCAGACAAAAAGGATGAGAATGGGGAAAAGGCGGAAAAGGAGAAAGACATAGTGGAGAAAACCGAAGGTGCTTCCTCTGGTGAACAAAAAAAGTTGTCACATGCTGCTCACGAGGAAACTGAACTGAATGCAGAAGTTGAAGAGAAGCGCAAGAAAGAGGAGTTGGAAAAATTTGAGGAGGAATGTCGGATAAAGAAACTTGAGACAAGGGCCGAGCTCGCTAAAAAGCTTGTCGATAAGTTGTCGTTGCTCACCGAGACCGATATGAAAGATGATGTTGTGGAATCGTTCAAGGCGAAGATGAACTATGAAGCTGAATCATTAAAAATGGAAAGTTTTGGTTTGGAGATTTTACACACCATGGGATACGTATACAAAAGCAAAGCGAAAATATTTTTGAAGAGCCAAACGCTTTTTGGTTGGGGAGGATTATGGCTGTCTATAAAGGAGAAAGGTGGTGTAGTGAAGGATACCTTTAGGACGGTATCAGCGGCATTGGATGCACAAAGAACAATGGAAGAGTATGCGCAAATGCAACTAGATAATGAGTACCACGCAAAGAAGGAGAAGGAGGAGGAAGAAGCGAAACAAACGGCCGAGCAGGAGATGGAAAAACTTGAGGAAGAATTGGAAGAAGTGCAGAGACAGAAGGAGAAGGAATCAAAGGACGGTGAACAGCATGCAGTTGATGGCAAGAAAGAAGCGCAGGTTGAACCACCGAACCACACTGCCGAAGAATTGGCGGAGATGGAAAAATATTTACTTGCCAAAGTTCTTGCTGCTGCTTGGAATGGTTCAAAGTTTGAAATACAGGGCACTTTAAGAGCTGTATGTGATGCTGTTTTGGAAGAAGAGGGTCTAACCATCACTCAAAGGATAAATAGAGCCAAAGCTTTGAAGTTGATGGGTGAAGTATTTAGTACAGTTACGAGGACAGAACAAGAAGATGAAGAGGCCCGAGTGTTTGAGGAGCTTGTTGCAGAAGCTAGCAAAAAGAGGGAGAAAAAGAAGAAACCAAAGAGTGTATAGTGGGGGGAATTATATTTATTTAAGTAGACTTTTACTAATGCTTAATCGCTGACTCACGCTGTTATCTTTTGAATACACATCTAAGCTCACAACAAATCGGGCTCCGCACTGCAAATTGGTTTCAATTGACCGACATGGTCCACCACCACACTCACGACTTTACTTTTGATGGTGTATTGAACGACTTTAAAAACTTCAACAAAGAAATAAACAATGTTGCATGTAGAACTGTATTGGAGACACCGATGTATATGTGAGAATAGAATGAAAAAAGAAAAGATACAAAAAAAAAAATAAATCAATACGAAATATGAAAATTGTAACGATCTAGATCCCCCATGAGTGACTTCTACATTGTTATTGATACTAGCACCACCTGTGACAACACCAATACCTACGTCACAAAAGACTCTACGGAGTTGATTTCATTGACATGGACAGTTTTGGATGTTACAACGTTGGAGAGTGTACATCAGAAAACGGTGTTGGTCCGCCCCATGAATACACCAATCACTCCCTTTTGCCAACAAAAGTATAAACTATCATGGGAGCATGTTCGGGATGCCGGATCATTCAAGGATGCTATTAACAAGTTGGATCTGTATATACAAACCGTTCAAGGTGAATTTGTGTTTGTCACATTTGAATTGTCAAAATTAACAGCTCAGCTCCCACGAGAGGCACGCGATAAGGGAGTTGTATTGCCTCCATACTTGCAACACCCACGGGTTTTTGATTTGCCTAAAGAATACTCAAAATGGCTTGCGAGCCACCCAGAAGCTTTATGCTATACAACGCCGTCTCTAACAAATATGATAACTGCGTTGGAAGTTGAGCCTGCTGAAGTGCCAAATGTGTACTCCAGCATTACTAAACAATTGTTGAAAAAGTCTCTCCCAGTGGAAGATCATCCTAATGTATTCACCAAACCATATGATATTGCCAAAGATGTCAAGGCATTTGTTTCTGAACAATCAAAAGTGCTTTATCTTTCGAATTTGCCAAGTGATACCACTCAGTCAGAGTTGGAGTCTTGGTTCACGCAATATGGTGGCCGTCCAGTGGCATACTGGACATTAAGTGGTAAAGGTGTCTCCGGGTTTGCTGTATTTGGTACCCACGAGGAAGCTACCGAGTCGCTAGCCATGAATGGTAAAGCATTGAATGATTGTGTAATTGAGGTTCAGCCATCGTCAACGCTGGTGCTTGACAAGGCGAGTGATTTGCTAACGCCATTTCCTGCTTCGAAAAACAGGCCGAGACCTGGTGATTGGACGTGTCCGTCATGTGGATTTTCCAATTTTCAAAGAAGAACACATTGTTTTAGGTGTTCATTCCCGGCTTCCAGTGCCGTGGCGATCCAAGAGTCGATCTACAAGAGTGATGGCGATGCTAGTCCAGCCTCGGTTGCTGACTCTTCTGTCACCCACGTTGCCACCCCCACTCCTACTTTCAAATCTGTTTCCACTTCCACCTCCACTACGTCTCACAGGAATGTCCCATTTCGTGCTGGAGACTGGAAATGCGAAACGTGCCAGTATCACAATTTTGCCAAAAATTTGTGCTGTTTGAAATGTGGGTCGTCAAAGCCCATCTACACACAAGGACCCATTCACAATGTCAACACCACTGCTGCTGCTATTGCTGCTGCCACTGCCAGTGGTCAGCCTTACAACAATTTTGTAAGAGCGCTTCCAGAAAAAATGAATTCACTAAATTTTATAGAAAAATAAACACGTAATGTAACTTTTGTCCAGCAAGAACATGTCCAAATACTCTGTCATATTACCCACCTATAATGAGAGAAGGAACTTACCTATCCTTGTCTATTTGTTAAATAAAACATTTACTGAAAACAAATTAGACTGGGAGGTTGTCATTGTTGACGACAACTCGCCTGATGGTACCCAAGAAATTGCAAAGAAATTGATCGATATTTACGGCACTGAACATATTCAATTACGTCCTAGAGCTGGTAAATTGGGATTGGGCACTGCTTATGTTCATGGCTTGCAATATGTGACTGGAGATTTTGTAATTATCATGGATGCTGATTTCAGCCATCACCCGGAAGCAATCCCTCAATTCATTGCCAAACAAGAGACCGAAGATTTTGATATTGTCACTGGGACTAGATATGCCGGCGATGGTGGTGTTTATGGTTGGGATTTCAAGAGAAAGTTAATTTCAAGAGGAGCCAATTTTCTCGCCACTGTTGTGCTTAGACCAAACGTTAGCGACTTGACTGGAAGTTTTAGGTTATACAAGACACCAGTGTTGAAAAAGATTATCGACGTCACCCAATCGAAAGGGTATGTTTTTCAAATGGAGATGATGGTGAGAGCTAGAAGTTTAGGATTCACCGTTGGTGAAGTCCCAATCAGTTTCGTTGATAGGTTATATGGAGAGAGTAAGCTAGGCGGTGATGAAATTGTCCAGTATGCCAAAGGTGTCTGGTCTTTATTTACTAGTGTATAGATTGAAGAAAAAAAAGTAAAAAAACAAACCATTTGTTCAACGAGTAAAGTTTTCCCATTATGAACACGTATTTGAAAAAGGTCCTTGGAGACGACTGTTTCACTAAAATCCAGGCATCACGCGTCTTGGTGGTGGGTGCTGGTGGATTGGGCTGTGAGTTATTGAAAGACCTTGTTTTATCAGGGTACGGTGAGATTCACATTGTTGACTTGGACACCATCACATTGTCCAATTTGAATCGTCAATTCTTGTTTCGCAAAACTGATATCGATAAATCAAAGTCGATTACAGTGGCAAAAGCGGTGGAGTCATTCAATTATCTCAGTACCAAGCTTGTGCCCCACCATGGGAATATCATGGACACCAAGCAATTTCCCTTACAGTGGTGGCAACAATTCAATTACATATACAACGCGTTGGACAACATCGAAGCCAGAAGCTATGTCAATTCAATGTGCTTGTTATTGAAAACTCCGTTTATGGAGAGTGGGACTGAAGGATACAATGGTCATGTACACCCCATTTTACCATACCACAGTTTTTGCTTTGATTGTCTGACGCATAGTACACCAATGACGTACCCAGTTTGCACGATTAGATCAACACCTTCACTTCCCGTGCATTGCATTACATGGGCCAAGGAGTTTTTGTTTTATCAATTGTTTGATGAACAAGAGAGCAGTTTTAATGATTCAGAGGCGATTTCCAAAGAGACAGAAAACGCTGCTGAGATTGAAAACATGGCCAAAGAGGCAAACGAGTTGGCAAAGTTGCGGTCAAAGATTAAACACACCAACAATTTTTTCCAAGACTTGATAAACAAGATTTACAAGGTAGATATTGAGCGTTTGTTGCAAATTGATGCATTGTGGGAAACGCGAACACCACCGACGCCATTGCAATTACAAGAGTATGATGTAGTGGAGACCCCCCTTCTGGATACAAAGGTTTGGTCAATTACGGAAAACTTGTATGCTTTATATGCATCGAGTGCAAATCTCCAGCGCCGATTGCAAAATGAAGAGTTTATTTCATTTGACAAGGACGATGATGATACTATGACGTTTGTCGCAGCTGCATCTAATCTACGATCGTTTGTGTTTCACATTGAGCTAAAGTCTAAATTTGATATCAAAGAGATAGCTGGTAATATCATACCGGCAATTGCCACCACTAATGCAGTTATATCCGGTTTTGCCAGTGCAATTGGCATACAATATTTTCAAAACAATGGGTCCCTTCATATGGTTCACACCACAATGGCACCCAAAACAGCCATTGTTTCTGCACCAGTTGGTCCTCCGAATCCAGAATGTCCCAGTTGTTCGGCATATCGTGATGTGCTTTATGTGAGCAAACACGATTTTGACTCGTTAACGTTGGAATGGCTTGTTGCTCAATTGAAATCCCTCTACCAATCAGACATCTCTATCCAAGTCGGGCAATCAAGGTTGATTTATGACATTGATTTTGATGATTATCTCCAACTGAAGTTAAGTCAAGTTTCTGGACTAAACGAGGGTATACTCGTACAGGACGACTCTGAAGGGTTGCAGAACATAGTATTGTACTTAGTGGTTGGCGATGAAACTCGCTTCCCAAGTATCACTCTCAAGAAGAAGCCCGTTAAAGAGGAGGTTGAATCTGATGGTGATGAGCTGGCTTTTGAATTGGTTGAGGGTGGAACCCCTGATAATGTATCTGACGCATCTGATGTGGAGATTGTGGAGCCACTGGCAAAGAGACAGCATCAGTCACAGGAGCATTAGATAGGAAAAATGTAAAGGTATTTCTTGTATTGAAAAGGAGTTTGCCTATTAAAGCAAATTGTTGTTTTTGTGTACTTATGAGAAAAGTAAATCCGCGCGACGTCATCAAGTAAAAAAAAAACTAACATTCTCGACAAGTAGTGCACAGTAGTGTAATACTTTCATTTTTTTTCTTTTGGTTTTTCTTTTGCTCTCGAAAAATCTATTTGCAGAATTATCACTACAAAGTAGTATTACCAACCACCAACGACAGAAATCTACTAACGAAAACTGTTGTCTAGAACAATTAAAGGTAGATAAAGTTCAAACCAATTTTAAATCCAAGACAATCAATTGCAACATCATTCGAGTTCAATTAGTTGACTGATAGTTCAAATCCTCACCTTACTACACATCACGAAAACAGAATCTATAACATGTCTTGGGACGCATACACCACCAATTTAGTTTCAACTGGAAAGTTGGATAAAGCCGCTCTCTACTCGAGAGCTGGTGATTCATTATGGGCTCAATCAGGCTCATTCCAATTGGAACCTAAAGAAATCACTGAAATCGCCAACGGCTTTGATGATGCTTCAAACTTGCAAAGCCACGGCTTGCATGCACAAGGTCAGAAATATTTTTTGTTGAGGAATGATGAAAGATCAATTTACGGCAAGCACGAGGCAGAAGGTTTGATTTGTGTTCGCACAAAACAAGCCATCATAGTTGCACACTACCCAGGGGGAGTGCAACCTGGAGAAGCAACAACCATTGTAGAAAAGTTGGCTGATTATTTGATTGGTGTAGGTTATTAAATACATAATTGAGAAATATTTGTTATTAGTTTTTTTTTTGGTAGAACTTTGTAATCTTCTGTTGCTCGTTGGAGGAACGTATTGAACAACCGAGTGTCTGGTGAATTGAGTGTCTTCACTAACAATCCTATGTCTTTTATGATAAGAACGGAAAACGACACATTGTTCCTTGTCTAGACACCATTCCTTGATCAATGTATACTTTTCGAGTATTGATTGATTCATGGTTGGTTTAGCAAGACCGAAACGACTCCTGCGAGTGAAAGCGTATACTCATAATTCGCATCGGCTTCTTTCATGGAGTTAACGCAGTTCTCTTCTCATACACAATCTACAACGACGTGGAAACTTTTTATTCCTCAAGAGCCAACAATCTCCTTCAACTTTGACTATTTTGAGAGTATAAATTGCGTGTGGGTGCAAACTGTGGCGAGGCGCTACCATGCTCCCCTTACCACGTTTGGTACGTATCTATATCCAATCCCAACATAAAACTATCATCTTTAACTATTCTATACAGCTCTATATTCACCTTTCCTCATCAACTAATCTCACTTCCTCTTCCTCATATACCACCTGGCCATCCCTTTTCAAACAAATCATCAACAAAACTACATTAAACACCCCCAAAATGAAAAAGGGTCCCAAAACCCATACATCGGCTAGTAATCCACCAATTAGTGTAATGATCATAATACCAAGTCCACCAGCAAAACTGTAAAGACCGCTCAATGATCCCATGATTTGTTGGGCGTCTTCTATTCCACTTAGTATGCTCATACTACTGATGATTAACCCAATTTGCGATAATCCAATCACACTTACGCCAAGAAAACACCACACGGTCTTGGGGTTATAGTTTGTTATGGTGGTAACCAAACTTACCCCAAAATTTCCCAAAACACCAAACAACCCAGCAAGGGCAAGAGTGCGATATTTGCCGACTCTGCTTGAATCACCCAAATACCCCCAAAACGGTGCAGACACTAGGGCAACGGTTTGTGCAACGCCAGTTAATATGGCTGAAAAGATGTAGCCGTCATAACAAGTCATTTTACCCGCCCAGTTGTCCTTTGACTTGCATTCGCCAACGTTGTAATACCAATTGTACACTACCAAGGGAATATAGAGAGTAGTAGCAACGGTGGTTGACCTAGCCACAAATGCACCAACAAAAGCCACTTGAGCTTCCTTACTGTGTTTGGAAAACTGTATTCCCTCTTTGAGAAAGTGGCCATGGTGTATACTTTCTGGCTCAACCTTTGGTTTGTACAAAAATATAAAAAGGATGGCAAATGATACCAAGGCAAACACCATAACCACGATGTACGAACCTGCAAGAGCCGATTTCATATCAGACCACTCTGAAAACTTCACTGGCAATGTGACTAGTGTAGAGACAGAAAATATAGCTCCAATCCCTGTGGCAACGCCCATAATAGCTGCAAACTTACCATTTTTGCGCGGTGCGTTCAGCACCAGCACCTCCCCCTCCCCCTCCCCCTCATCATCATCTTTTCCCCACAACTTTTTAAATGAAAAGTCGGACATTGAAAGTTGGTTCAACATCACCGTCACCATGCTCATGCACCCAGTAACTCCCAAAGCAAACACTCCCCTAAGAATAAGCATGGTTGGTATTAAATTGCGATTCAAGGCATACCCAAACAACGCCAATGCAATGACAATAAAACTGAAACTTTGGATTATTCTGGCACCAGCAAGCCCTTGAGAATTCAATATATCATTAACAGCTCCTAGTATCGGAGCTGTCGACATGGAAACGATCTCGTCAAAAAATCCTAATCCCCCAACAATACGCCCGATTTTTGTGTCCTTGTTACTGCCTGGTTTAGGTTCGATCCCAATAACTTCCTTGATATAAAATGGTTGAGTAGATGTGAGGAAAACTATTGCGGCTATACAAGCAAAGCCTGCATAGTTGAATGCTATGTAATTCCATACAGTATAGTTACCAAACTTCTGTTGCATCATCGTTGTACCTTGGAGAAAGAGAGTAGTGAAGGCCCGAGATCGGGCATTGGAAGTGCTACCATTAAATTTATAAATTTATGCATGCGGCTCAACACAATTGGAAAGGTAATCAATCGATTCTAAGTAAATCACAAGGTAACCGTAATAAATAGCATAGATTTGGATGTATGCTAGAGTTTCATTCATTAGGTCAACAATTTTTGAAGAAGGTTTAGGCTTGGGAAACTACACTGATGAAGAGGTTGATAGAGTTGCCAATTTGGTTGCTGCTGGTAGGGAAAGCAGTTTATTGACGACCATTTCCAATTTGACTGCTTCAAGAGCTGAAACTTTTTGGGCTTCGATCCAACACACCTCGGTTGATGTTGGCATGTACGCTTTTTCAAATTCCCCATACTTGATGCAAAAAGTGTTAAACACCAAAGATGGCTTGGCTGGGTTCCATGAAAACATTGACTTTAGTGTTTTCATCAAATCCATTGCTGAAATTGATTTAGGCGATGTGACAGAAAAGATTGCTGATATTGCAATTGAGTACTAAGAGAATGTTCCCCCCACACACACACACACACAGACACACACGTTGAAAAAACAAAAAAAGTTGTTTCGGTTTGAAATAGTTTTGATTTTATACTTTGATAAAATGATATGCCCTTTTATCTCACTATTGTTGCGAGAAAAACATAGATTGTGTTACCGTCCTCTTCTTATCTTCACGACAAGAAATTTTTCATCAAATGGAGAAATAAAATAGAAAAAAAAAAACGCCGTGAGGACATCTTCTGTAATCACTTGGCAATGTGCGTAACATCCGCACTCCACATCTAAAAGTTATTCCGAAAGCTGTATAATCTTGAAATTATGCCAAGATATTACTGTCAGCCAAGCCCGATTTAACGCACGGCACGAAAATGACACCACAGTAGGCCCAATATGTCTTGTACGCCTTTGGGTGGTGTTTACGACCAATTTCTTGGAATATGGATACCTTTGGTTTGATAGGTTGATTAGGGCATTTTTCGACTCCATTTACAGAACACAGGTATGTGAATTGCTCAACATTATATATGGGGGGCAGAAGCACCACTCCGGTTTGCTTTCCTTTCTTTCACTCGCCACCAAAGATGAAATCCAGTGCCTCCAGCGCCACCTCTGAAAAGCAAAATGTTGTTGTCCAAACAGACGAACGCAGTTTGGACGAGGAATACGATTACAGTGACCCAAACAATTACAGCACAAACTATGTTGACCAATACAATCCTAATGGGTTACGAGTTCCAACCAAAGCCGAGGAGCAATCCTTGAGAAGAGTGATTGGCAAGATCAATTTTGCCATTATTTTGATTTGTGTCGTTGAATTTGCAGAACGAGCTTCGTATTATTCTGTTACTGGTATCTTGACAAATTTTGTGCAAAGACCATTGCCAGAAGGTTCGCCTCACGGGTGGGGTGCACCGGCTTCAAACAGTGGTAGTGAAAGTGCTGGTGCGTTGGATAGGGGATTGCAGACTGCTAGTGCTTTGACCAACTTGGTCACATTTTTGGCTTACGTTGTGCCATTGTTTGGTGGCTACTTGGCTGATACCACTTGGGGAAGATGGAAAACAATCCAGTGGGGTGTATTGTTTGGTGGAATTTCGCACGTTTTGTTTATTGTTGCTGCCGCTCCCAGTGTCATTGCCAATGGCAAAGCTGGTTTGGCAATTTGTATTCTTGCTATATTCACGTTGGCAATCGGATCAGGATTCATCAAACCCAACCTTTTGCCGTTGATGTTGGACCAGTACCCAGAGTCCGGAAACAGGGTAAAAGTGTTAAAGAGTGGTGAAAAAGTTCTCATTGATAGGGAAAAGACTTTGGAAAGTATCACGTTGGTGTTCTATTGGTCCATCAATATTGGTGCTTTTTTCCAGTTGGCAACATCCTACTGCGCCAGGCGTGTAGGCTTCTGGTTGGCGTTCTTTGTACCATTGGTACTCTACCTTGTCATGCCAATTGCATTCTGGTGGGTCAAACCGAAATTGGTTTTTGAAAAACCAAGTGGTTCAATATTAGGAGTGGTGCTTAAAATTCTCATTGTCTCATTTTCGGGCAATTTTATCAAACGTGTATTCGATGGCACCTTTTGGGAATATGCCAAACCATCTGTCATGAGGGCTAGGGGCCGCGAAAATTTCAAAAAGGGTTCCCCAATCAACTGGACCGACCAGCACGTTCTTGACGTCAAACAAACTTTGGACGCGTGCAAGTTGTTTGTGTATTTCATCTTTTACAACTTGGCAGACAATGGATTGTCCTCAGTTACCACCTCATTAGCAGGGGCGATGGATTTGAATGGAGTACCAAATGACTTGTTCAACAATTTCAACCCCCTTTCAATCATTGTTGTGATTCCGATTTTAGACTACATCGTCTACCCACTTTTGAGACGGTACCGCGTCAACTTCAGACCAATTCATCGGGTGTTTCTTGGATTTGTGATTGCAGCTCTGGCCCAAGTTGCTGGAGCTGTTTTGCAGCACCGAGTGTATGAAACTTCGCCATGTGGCAACCACTCAACCAACTGTCCTGAACCATCACCAATCAGTGCTTGGCAGGCATCGTCATTTTTCATTTTAACTGGTGCGTCAGAATGTTTTGCGATGGCCACTATATATGCACTTGCGTACACCAGAGCAGCTCCAGCTATGAAAGGAATTACCACAGCACTATTTCTCTTCACTATGGCAATCAGTGCCGCTATCAGTTTGGCTGTAACTCCAGCGTTGAAGGATCCTCATTTGGTCGTGGTGTTTGCAGTTGTAGCTGGTGTTGCATTCTTGGCTGGTGTGGTGTTGTTGATTCACTTTTTCAATTTACACAAGACAATGGAAAAAGAGGAACAAGAAAGAATTGCCATGGGACAAGAAACATCCGAAAGTACTAAGTTGGAGGATTTGGAGCCAATCAGTAGTGTTCACCCACCATTGGATGTAGTGACCTCTAAGCAATAAAAACATACGCTATACTACAGCGCGTTCCCAGGAGGTTGCGAAGGCAAAGAGAAAAATTTAAAATTCACCATCTGAGTTACAAAAGTATTGCCTACAATGGTGCTACAATAACGTTGGATAGTATTCTCGTTTAGCTAATATGAACTGTAAGTGTTGGTTTTATCGGATAATGGCTTCTTTTTCTGTTTCTTTGCCTCTTTTGCTTCCCTTTCCTGCTTTATCTTCTTCAGTCAAAGCTTAATCTCCGATGATGGTTTAGCATCATCATCGATCTTAAACACTCGAAATTGGAATTAATTTTTCGTAAACTTTTCCAATTGCTCAATGCGGGCTTTTAAGTTATCTATTCTCTTATGCTGCTGTTTAATATTTTGCTTGTCAAGCAATACGGAGTTGTTTTCTTTTCGTTTTTTGGCTTGAATATTTCTTTCAGTTGACACCGAACAATCCTCCGGGTAAACCACCCCAGAGACCTCATTTATACATAATTTCGTATTCAAAGAAGCAGGTAGTGGTGCATTTTTATCAACAACGAGGTCAGTTTTCCTCGTTAGCTCGGGATTGATCGAAAACCATTTATTTTTCAACTGACCACAGCACAAATTTTCCAAAACCGCTCAAAGCGTTCTCCTTTTTCATATTCTCCGTTCTAGAGGTAGATCAAAGCTCTATGAACTCATCTTTTGGCACAATGAGTTTCTTTTCTTGGACAAAATAATTGAAAAGAATGCCCCTCTAACGATCTTTAATAGGTTTGAAGACAAAATCGTTCAAGGGTTGCATCAAATGCAGACTATGGGCTGGCACGTAAACCAGGATCACTCTGGCTTCATCTAGGAGCAGTTTGAGCGTGTCGTTGTAATGTGTGAAGTAATTATCCATGATCAAAATTCGGTACCCCTCAGAATTTTCTGAGGGACATATATGTTCCTCTCCCAGTTCCGAAAGGTGCCCGCAGTAACCCAACCTCTCTATGTTACGGCGTAAACTCCTTCTGTGCTGTTGTCGGTTGAAATTTGATTGCTCACAAGCGTTTTACTCTTGGAGTTTTTAACCTTTTTCCGTCGGCAGAAATTGCTTCCATAACAGTGATTATGTCCTTGATATCACCGTTCATTGTATACTTGCCATTTTTCTGACTATCCCTAACAACTTTTCGTTTTCCAGTTTGGTGTTACAAGACACCTGCTTCGTTTATATTACGTTGCGACTTTATACCGCTTTATAACATCAATATAATATTCGAAAAAAACTTGAATACCAGATAAAGAGACCCGGTAAATTCTATTCTGCGCTGTCAGTTTTGCTGATAACATACTTATCCATGGAGATTTTTCAATCACTTAATATGGCCAGTTATGTCCTAGGTGTGGCTCATTACCGAAAGCTTTCAAAATTTCTTCCCAAAATCCTCCGTTGATAAACCTTCGTGCTCGGTATCTGCGAGTTGTACCTGTCCGAGAAAGAAGATATCCCGCTACTGAAGTAAAAGGCGTGAACGAACCAAAACTCCTCAACACTCATCCTGAACAAGAGGGAAAAGATTTTTACAGGTAACCTTAATAGAACTTCTCTTTAAGCTTTATTAAGGCATTATACATCGTTAAATATAGAGTTGAACTATCGTGTTATGACCGTATTGCATATAATCCCCTCGATCACCTAGTACTTCGTCGTAATAATGTTTTCATTAAAAATTTAAATCTTATCGCGCACTATTTTACTCTGTTCTATACTTAGTATTACCGACGGTGTTTTTACCACGATTGGGCTTTCCTTTATTAAATGTTTTCTTCACATGTCTTCCTCCTTGCTTTTTGAATTTGCCATACTTTTCCTGTTTTTCCCTCAATTTACGTTCTTTCTCTTCCTTCTTTGCAATGGCAGCCCGTTCAAGTCTTCGTTCACGACAAACAATCCTACTTTGTCTCTTTTTTCTACCTGGTCTATTTTTCTTTTTACGAGCTTTCTCCTTTTCTAGCTCTCTCTCTATAAGAGAATTATGTTCATTCAAGTTGATTAGTTTATGCAGATTTGGTTGGATAAAGTATTGCGCATAAATGTCATTCGCTGATACAGCCACTTGGGCAAATTGTAGTTTCTCTTTTGGTGTGTATGATGCAAAGTAATACGATTCAGGACGTTCGTTATTTATTCGTTCTTCTGAATGTTCACGTAAGGAGATTTTCTGAATTGGTTGTTTGATTTTCAATCGACCTCGATCACTGGAGTCATCAGCTTCTTTTGGCTCAACAGTCTGGATAGTGGTCGCCGATGCGAACAACGGAAACGCAAGCTCTTCTTCTTCTTCGATACCCTGTTGTTGGTTGTCATCCTCTTGAGGTGTAGCAGAGTTATCCACTTCAACAAACTCAAACTCCATATCTGGCGGCATGTAACTCACACCATCAGAGTCTGATTCGACTTCTGACCCTGAATCCTCATGATATAGGCTTTGTCTTGAAATTCTATACTGCGAGTTAGTAAAAGACACAAGTGTATATGTTTCAGTACTTGACATACTTTTGTTCTCCCATCATTGAATCTTTCGTTGTGAGAGGTACACACTCATCATAGGAGAATCTTTTTCTTTCCGCTGACTTTACACAAAAAGTGTTAAACACAGGTAATATTACAACATTAAAAAACAAGTATAAAATAAATAGGCACAAACACTGAAGTTTCATCGACAACTTTCATTTCCTTGAAACCGTACACTTACCAAAGTGGATTGCAAGCAGCTTTAACCGTTTTGAGAATATCCTTTCTATAGCTCAAATGAGGTGGAATAAATCTTGGCAACAGTTTCACATTGACATCACTTCCATCAACACCATCAGTTTGTTCTTTAAACTCCTCCTCATTATTGTTTACCTGGGCCGATTTATCGGCCAAATCATCAAATCCCCGTAACGAGTCCAACAATACAGCCACAGGTTTCAGTTCATTAACTTTATGGTAAACTTGAGGAAATTGGCGTTCAATGATTGCCTTTATCTCATCAGTATATGGAATGAACCTCATTAGTAAATTATCAAACAACTGCTCACCTTGCTTGCGAAACTTGATGATTTCCGCAACATTGCTCAACTTGTGATTCATTCCAATGAATTTATAGAATAGCTTCCATAGTTTGACTTTATCATCTGATTCAACATTGAGGAAAGGTTGTTCTTCATTGATAGTCAATTGAGACTCAATTTCAATAAATTTAGTTAATGTGAGCAACGAAAATTGGAGATCCAAAACATATTCAACATCATTGATGACAAATACATATAATGGCAAATACTTGGCAATTGAAGCGTCAGTAGGTTGAGAGTTCAATTTCAATTTTCTCAACCCAATAGGATAATAATCCAACAATTTCTTTTGAGTTATGGCGGCTTTTTTAGCTTCCAATAGCTTCGATTTGCGCTCCAATTCTTGTGCCAATTTCAAATCCTGTTCGCGTTTCAATTCAGCCAATTCTCGCTCTTCTTCGAGTCTTTTCTCTTCTTCTTCCTTCTTCTTCAATTCTTTTTCCTTTTCCAATTTGAGAAACATTTCACGACGTGCCTTCTTTTTGGCTTCAACCTTCTCTTGCCATACGCGAGCTTCTTCAGCACTCTTTACTTTTTGTTCCTCTAGTGCTGCAGCTGATAATGTTGGCTGTGATGAGGGAGGTGGCGAGCGAGCTTTTACCTTGGCATCAGCAACGTAATCATGAGATGGAGCGGTGACCACGTTGGGTGAGGATGTGGATTTCTCAGAGGTGGTCTTGTTGTTGTGGTGGTTGTGCAATTTGGGTACAGTTGAGTCACTAGGGCTGGGTTTCAATGCTGCTGTTGATGCTGAAGGGGTTAGTTTCTTCTCAATTTGTTTAACCAGACTCTCCGATTTTGCCTTCTTCAACAGATGATCAAATGAAACTGGTTCATGTTCGTGTTTTCTTTTCTTCGGTTCTCCCTCATGATGAATTTTCTTGGAATGGTGTTCTTTATCATGATGTTCATGACGAGATGGCTCAGACACGTATTTTTCCTTCTTTATCTCCTCATCCATGCTGATCTTCTTGGAAACATTTTCATTTGCATGGCGGTGATCGTTTTCATGCTCTTCAAATTTCACCTTCTCAGGTTCTTCAATATCCATTTTATCGTTCTCATCCTCAACAGCTGCTCCAGGTTCCTTTTCATCAACAAAAGGTACTTTCGATGAAGGACCTACTGTCTCCTCATCGTCATCCTCATCGTGAACGTCATGGTTCTCCCTGTCGTCCAGTTCTTCATCCGACACAGGCACAGAAGGAGCCCTTGACGTAGCTCTAGAAGTAGCTCGTGAAACAATTCTCGAATGCACAGCAGATACAACCTTGGTCCCACTTTTCTTCTCCATTGCTTCTTGAATAATTTCAACTTCTCTTGGATCAAAATGTGGAGAATGTTGAACAATTTGTAACGCAGTTAATCCATCCTTTTTTCTCGTCTTGAATGGATCAGCACCTTTGGAAAGCAATGATTGTACGACATCAAAATGACCCCTCCCCACACTGGCTAATAATGCCGTGACTCCACACTTGCTCTCGGTATCTATGTTATAAGGCGTTGGATTCAAGCCCAATATGATATCAATTAACTCTGAATGACCATTCCTTGCAGCAAGGATCAAAATATCGGGCTTGTCTTCAAGACTATTCCCCGCAACGAAATGACTAGCGACAACTTCCTTTTGATTCTCAGCAGCCCATTTGAAAATTCCTTTACGTTTAATCAATCCAGCAAAATAAAATTCATTAGGGTCGTCAATAATCTCAAATTCAGTTTCTTCTTGTGGACCCAGTTGTGACGTAGTTACAATGGTTTTACGACCAGTGTATTTGCTTGTAGCTTCTTCGAGAACCTTGATGATATCCTCATAACCTTCTTCATCGGAATGTTCATTATAAATCTTGGTCAATGCGGTGAACCCATCTATATTGAAAATAGTTGGATCAGCATTATTCTTCAACAAAATTTCTACTGTTTCAAGATGCATATTTTCAGCAGCGTCAATTAAGGGTGTCTCACAATCACCAGCTTCATCTGCTTTGGCATTCACATTAGCTCCATGGGCAATAAGAAGTTGAACAATTTCAACGTGCCCTTCTAAAGCCGCTTCATGAAGACATGTGAAACCACAAAAGTCCTTTTCATTAGCACTGGCACCTCGGTTTAGGAAATCACGAACATCTTCAATGTTTCCCTTTTTACATGCTCGTTGTAGGAGTGATCTTCCACTTGAATCGCGTTTGACTTTGTATGGTGCCTTTTTTATTGCTTTCCCGGAAACGTTTTTTTTTTCCTTTGATTCAATGGATGTTGCGGATCTCGGCTCGGGAATAGATGCCTTCTTTTCAGTGGACTCATCATCACTTGGTTTTTGCGATCTCTGTGGGTTTGCTTCTTCCTCAGCATTGTCTTCCTCAGATGAGCTGATGACTACCTTTTTCTTTTTCAAAGTGTGCCTATCACTATCAAAAGATTTCCTCTTCAATAAGCTTACACCTTGGTTCGAGCGAGGTGATGGCGTACCGATAACTGTTTCAGCCTCGGACAAATCATCCTTGTCTTGAGTAATTGAATATTTGTCCATGTCATCATCCTCCTTTTCAGCGAATGAATGCTGTGGTTTCTCTTGCTTCGATACCACTTTCACATCCTTGGCTTCCTTTTCTCCCGCTTCATTTTCCTCAGGGATTTCGGGCATAGTGCCAATATCGTTGAAGTTGAAATTAGTATCAAATTCAGATTCATTGACAGGTGATAACGTAGAAATATCTTCGCCATATGAATCAGAACGACTCAACTTGGTTCTTGGAGTACTTAAAATCTCAGTCTTGTCAGTGGTTTGCATTTCCTTGTCGTTGTCAAGCTGGGTGTCTGAGTGAATTTCCGCAAACTTGACTGAAGTTGCCGCCTCCGGTGTTTGCTGCGTTGAGGCGTACTTGGACTCATCCTTTACATCATGATCATTCGACAGAAGCTCCGGAATGGAGTCTGGAATCCCTTCAATTACATCTTTCATATCCTCATCCACTTGGTCTTTGGGCTCAATTGATTCTTCGATGTCCTCCTCATCATCTTGGGCCATTTGTTCAATTGACTCTTCCACCCTTTCATCTTCTCTATCACGCATCCTTGTAACGTTGGAGTCATTGTCATCAACAAAATCCTCTGTTACTCCATGCACCTTTTCCGACAACAGTTTCTCCGAATTTTCATTTTCCACTGAATCCGGTTGATCAGTTTCTTTGTGTTTTGACTCCTCCTTATCCACATACATCTTGACATCCTCCATTATATTGGTAACGGGTATAACGTCGTCTTCCCTAGATCTAGAATCAGCATCATCCACCTCAACTTGGTTTGAAACCCCAGCACCATTTCCAAGTCCATCGGTACTCACTTTCTGATCCCCACTGGGTGATACTGATACATCCAATTTGGTTGCAGACTCAATTGCCTTCTTTTTAATTTTAGATTTCTTCAAGTAATCACTCAATGATGTTTTTTTCATACCTGTTGAAGTTGATAATGCTGATGAAGAAGACGTTGAAGGTGGTGATGATTCAAGCACTGCTGGTCCGGACTCGATTGATTCAGGCTCTTCTTTATACTGGTCTCTACTCGTGTCGCTGCTTGTCTCTTGATGCAAATTCATATCTTTTGGCGATGCACTCGTCTTTTCGTTGTCGCTTTGTCCAGTCTTGCTGTTGTCATCTTTTATCTTTTCATCCACCTGGGGAGCATCTTCCTTTGAACTTGTTTCCCGATCCACCGTGTTTTCAAGTTCCACTGACTTGGGCACATATTCACCAATTTGCTCACGAATTTTACTCACCAGCACCGATTCATGACCCAAAAGGGGATCTATATTCTCATCCAGTTTCTCACTCTTTGAAGTAAAATCACCTTTAGCCCTTTTTGGCATTTCATGATCGATGTTTTCTTTCCTATCTTCATCTCGTCTCGAAATATCGAAAATTGAATTTGCTCCGGTGACTCCATTGTTACCTATCAGCTTCCTTGTGATGCTTTCAACACTCGACTTTCTAGATGAGCTTCCCTTGACATTGCGTGAGGTTGTTGAAATGAATGGTTCAGAATCAGGTGGACTCAACTTTGATGACACGACATCCACATCTTTTTCATTACAAGTAGGTACGGTAGAGGTCAGCTCATCTAACTCTGATTTTGAACGTCGTTCATCGCGATATCCGGAACTTATCGATGTTGTATTCGCATTGGTATTAGATTTGGCAGCTGTAGCTCCACTTGAACCCGTCACTGGTCCAGCACGGGATATAAATTTCTCTCCACTTTTTGAATCCAGTGAATATTTTGAACTTGATCCATATCTATGAAGTAGGGGAGGACCACCTTTTCGAATCGCTGACGCACTTGTTGATCCATAGTATGAACTTGATCTCTCACCCATGCCTCTATAATCCTTACTGCGTCCATAATGGCCCAGCGACAATGAGCTTGATGCTGGTGTTATTGACATGGAAGGTTTTGCATCGCGTGGTCCAGTTGTATTTGACGATTTCAGCAGGATATACGAGTCGTTGTATCGTGATCGACTACTAGCTGTACTACTAGCGTACCCCGCTCCGATATAGTAGTCTCTACGACCGTACCCTGGACCTTGACCTGAGGATGAAGCTCCTCCTGTTGATGATGTGAAGTTCTTATCTCTAACTCGTGATGTTGAACTAGGCGCTGAAGATGTGTTAGACGCAGACGAAGTTGTAGTTCCAGTTGTTGTTTTGGAATCGTTCTTGGCCTGCTCATGCAACTTTCGTGACGAGTTGTTGTTGTACCGCGGTGTATAATGAGTACTATTGTATGACATGGTGTGAGTTGATTGTAGTAAGTTGATTATCAAAGTTTTCTAAAATCTTGTAGACACAAATAGGTGTAGTGATGTATGAGGTCGTTGCATATATACAGATCGGAGGCGGTACAGTTATGGCCTTGTGTTTGTATTCGATGAGCTATCTCCCTTGTTTCTGCTTTTTCGTGGTGGTTTTAATGTGGAAACTACCAACTATTTTGGCTGTCTGGTTTTGGTTGTCACTTCTACATTAAACTTTTGAGGAAACGTTTTTTTTTTTTCAGAAATTTAATGTCGTGCGCGAATGCCCAATTAATCGTATACGAACTATAAACCCTTTTACTACGAGGATCAATTCTACATTTATATTCTAAGTCTACAAAAGATGCAACACGTATTTGTTTAGCAGTTTTACATTGGTATCAGCTAAATATTCGGAACTAGACATTTCCTCTATAAAAGCACCTAAGCTTACCCTCACAAGCTCATTTGAGTTGGTGAGCCAGCCAACAATTGCAGTGTACTAAACTCTGATTTATTCAATTTATCACCAAACTCCATCAACTCAAAGATCAAACTCATATTGGGACATATGCGTTCACATTTATCCACGGTAATACCATCAGCTTCTCTTGAATCCAAGTTAGTCAAAGTACCATTCTTCAACATTTCATAAGCGGCATTAACGCCAATACTAAACTTCATCATATAGTATGCCACAATTACACAAGCACTTCGACTAACTCCACACTGGCAATGCACAAGTATTTTAAGATTTTGCAGGTAAAACCAATCAATTTTCTGAGTCAATGCCATCAAGTCTTTGGAAATGGCAGATGTATGAGACCATGGTAAATGTACATATTCGCGCACATTTGGTTGTTGGTTTTCAAAATAGTGAGACAAATTGGCGCACTCTTTGGCAACATTAATGACCAAGTTGTATTGATTTATGTCAATCTTGTCTAATGGGTCTGAATAAAGAAATATTTTGGAATTGAGAACATTTCTTGGCCCATTAGGATAAGCATTTATTGCAGAAGTTTCCTGAAGCTCTTCCGGGGCATGAAATTTCTTCGAGTTGTAAGTTACACTCTGTGGAGTATTTGAATGCAGGTACGAATTGACATCATGTTTATTGAAATTTGTCTCCAATGGCGACTCAATTGACATTTTCTTGATATTTCGCAGCAATTTTGTTGGCGAATTGTGTTGCTGAATTTGTACCGCCTTTCTGTCCAATCCCATGGGGCTTTGTAGCCTAGGTGGCGTTGACAATGGTGATGCTTTGGAGTTTGGTGCAAACGGAGGTGGCATTGGTGGTTGTATACGTTCGTTGAACAAATCTGTGGTCGCACTTTGTAGCGGTATTTCGAGGTTTGTGTGCAGGCCAGTGATTTCCAGGGGAAATTTGTAAGGCTTAGTAGGAGCAGTAGTGATGCTATTGGTATCCATGTCTGACTCCATTTGGGATTGCACTTGGTGATGATGCTGTTTAGAATTTTGTGGTGGTAAAGTTGGAGTATGAGTAACTGAAGGAGTTTGTAGTGCATCCTCAGAGTATATCGTATTGTTGTGGAATAAGGGTTGGGCAAAATGAAGTAGGTGCAGCTTATCTGACGAGGATGAGGTTGTTGTTGTTGTTGTTGAGTCAGATAATTTCAGCCTCTTTGCCGCAAGTGTGGAATGATGCAGTGGGTTGGACGAGCCATTTGAAGCATTTAAATTTAATGATAGATTCTTCATATTTTTATGCATGTTGAACGAGTTTGCTATTCTTGAGTGTTTTGGAGAATAGTTGATCATTCCGGGTGAGGAGGGTATCGAGCCTGTAGATGACACTGATGAAATTGATGAGCTATAACCATGAGAAAGTACATTGCTTGGTGGTTGTTGAAACGAATGTACATTTCGAAGATGTTGTTGTTGTTGTGGAGGGGATATTGATGACATATTTACGCGATCAACTCCAACTTTTCCATTCATTAAAGATGTAATTTCTTCCTCTGGTTTCGGCGATGATTCTATGTTTGAATTCGAAATCGACTCCCCTAGTTCCAGTTGGGAGTATTCAAAACTGTATGGACGATGATGGTCATTATTTCGATGATTAGGCGACGTCTGGTGGTGATGCACCTTTGCGATTGAGTTTCCATTTGTGCGCGTATTGAGTTGGCCATTTGGTGATGATATATTGTTTCTCGCCGTTTTAGTACCCGGCTCTGGTTCAAGTGGCATCATATTATCATGTGAGTATCTGGTTGGTGTGAAATTCTTGATACTTTCAGCAGCAACAGCAGCAGCGGTAGCGGCGTTGAAATCCGATGCGTGAGGTGTTGAAGATTCAAAACTAAACTTGGATACTGATCGACGTATGTGGTTACTAGTAGTGGTACTAGCACAAGATGAGACCCAAGGAGTAGACATACAAAGACAGTTGTGTTGGTGAAGTAGGTGTATTTTGATTGTGTAAATTTTTCTGCTATTTGAAGGGCGGGGTGTCGTTCACGGGTATCAAGGTAGATGAAATTCACAGCAGGTTAAAAGTGAAAATTAAAAACTTTGTAGATAGCTTTGGTTGGGTGTTTGCAAACGTGGAAGGTGACTCTGGGATGTGGTATGATACTCCTAACTGTCTAAAATCGGTTTAGGTTCGTGTGATGAAAAAAAAAAGAAAAAACTGCCCGGTAACTTTGGATGTTTCCAACAGATATGGGTTATCTTGTGAATATAGTGTTTGGCTGTGTATGTTGAATACTTGTTATAAAAGAAAGTAAAACGGATTTGAAAAGATTAATCTGGCGATCTTTCCTTTTCCTCCTTTGGATGGTTTAAATTTTTTAACATTTTCTAACAGAATTAAAAATTAAACGTGTTTGAGGTTTTTGTTACTTATTCCCAATTTTCATGCATATAGTGTTAAAAGACAGTTTACACTAGCATATTATGTATGTATGTTGTCATATACAAAATATAAATGATGGAGGAAAAAAGAAAAAAATAAAAAAAAAGGTCGTGTCTAGCACAACATTGATACATTTTGCATATCAAACATGATACATAACTGTCAAAAAGTCACAGGCTTGCAACATGTATATAAATGATAATTCCAACACTAACTACCAGTGAAGAAGTAGGGTTGTAATAAGAGTGACCATGTATAGTGCATTGTATAGAAAGAGGCAAACGAAGAAAGTATATGACTCTATTTCTAGTTTGTACTACACTTTCAAATATATAAATAGAAACAAGGAAAAGGCTTACCACTGAACCACCTTGTTGTGTTGCTATTTTTATCTTCTTCTTCTTCGCTCCTTGATAAAACGAATTGTCTACTCTTATCCTTGCTGGTACTGCAACGACCCTTTCGTGTTTTCTGACTGACCTCAACCTCATCTGTCTTCTTACGCCCTGTATCAAAGTGTTTCGGTAGTACCTAAAATTAGAATTTGTCAAAAAAAAAAAGACTCTTGATGAATAATTGATCTAGAACAAAAATATTAAAGAGAAAGAGAGAACAATAAGAGCGCAAAATTACACTATATGATTAACAAAAGGATAGTTAACTTTTATTGTTCAAGTTTGCTCATAACCCATTGAACACATATATAAAGCAATATCTCGTAAAAGCGTTGGTTTTATTAGTTAATTAACACACTACTTTTGTTAATTCTAAAAATAGACACTTGCATCTTAGCAATCAATCACAACACCGTCTAAGCCGACTTTATGTTTGGTGTGATCGAAAAGGGGATTCATGACTGTGTGTGTCGTGTCAGCCCACTTGGTCATATATCCGACGTCATTTACTCAATAGAAATAAGACACTGTACATATCATTGTTTGTACATACTGTAGAAGGGGTTAATTTGATAATCATCGAGTGTAGCAATGTCTATTTTTGGCATGTCGCGAGAAGGTTAATCGCGACAAAATACTTTATGTGATTCCTACCCCACATTCAACACTACTGCATTAAAAAACACTTGTCCAGCTTGTACAGATGGTAAGTCTCAATTAGTGCTCTATGAAATGTGGCATATGCGTCTTTGTTTCAGATAAAGCGCTAATCAGGGGTAAAAAAGCAAAGTACAAGTCGAAGTATATATAACAGTATGTGCATACTCAAATTACACCAGACCAATAAGTTACAATTTGTTCCTTAAGCCAAGAAAATTGACACTACTTTTTCTCTCTTTCTCTTCGTTTTAACTCACGATACAGGACAACTCAACAAAGAAATGTCCAATGTCCAATTTACACGACACGACAATAAGAGACGCAACTATGCGCCTCTTATTGTTTTTGCTTTCCATTCCTTAATCAAACATAAGTATTGGAAATGCAACGGTCCTTTTGTGGCAAACGCCCTTATCTTACAATACATACACGGTTGCTAAACAAGGGACCACAGAGGCAATACATTTTTTCTACTTTTGAATCAAGCTAATAACATAATCTTCATAAAACAGTACATAACTGATCAAAATCCTCACTGTTTTGAGTAAGAAAGGAAAAAGAATGACGGGTACTTCGTTTTAGAGTATTTTCCCAGCTGGAGACGGACTCCAACAAACAAGATCAGCAGATACTGGAATTTATTGCATTTTCAATAACTCTTCTTTATTCTCTCACTAGAAACCCCTTTCCTATTTCATCATCGGGATCAACAATCCAATTAGCATAACCAATAACATTTGCATTACCTTCAACTTCAGGAATCACCGCATCAAACCCATGATATTTAACTTGTTTGACAACTTTAGCACTGAAAACAGACCCAACTATCGATTCATTGGTAAAAACTTGTCCTACTTGTAATTCACCTCTGGCAAACAACTGTGCTGCTCTTCCTGCTGTTCCTGAACCTGTGGGTGATCTATCAACTTGTCGATCGGCAAAAATACACACATTGGATTGACTAGCACCACCATCAGGTGAAATATTATCAATTATGGTACCATACACGTGATTAATTTCGGCAATTTCTGGATGAACAACTTTATATTTCTTATTAGCTGCTATTTTCACTTCATTTCCTAATCTTCTTAGCGTTTCAACTTGTGATAACCCAATTGGAATATCCAATGAAGCGGAGTTCATATAAAAGTAAAAAGCACCACCAAATGCAATATCTCCAATTACTTCACCAAAAGAAGGTGTATCAACTGTAGCATCCTTGATATACATAAACGAAGGCACATTGACAAATCGTACATTGCCCACTTTTTCCCCATCCCATTTAACAAATGCTTCAATAAATCCACAGGGAGCATCAATACCAACTCTCGTCTTTGGTTGTGTACGCTCAACCCACCCCAATTTCACTGCCGTTGACGCCAAAGCAATTATTCCATGTCCACAATGGTCACTGTACCCTTCATTATGCAAGAATATCACCCCAAAATCAGCATCATCACTAACAGAGTCAACCAAATATCCTCCATACATATCAGCATGTCCTCGTGGTTCATACATGAGAAATTTGCGGATTTCATCGTGGTGAGTTTTGATCCATGTTCTTTTAGCAACGATTGTGTCCCCCTTCAAACGAGGTAATCCACTTGTCACGATTCTAAATGGTTCACCGCCAGTATGTGTTTCAATTGTACTAATTAATCGATCTTGATTCATTGCGGTCCCACCACTTTTTTTTTTTTGATCGAAGTTGATGAAAACTATTTCATTTTGGGAACTTGCCAATTATTATAAATAAAAACAGATGCAATAATTTTAGCTTGAGTTATGGATACCACCCCTCATTTTTTGCTTCGAACAAATGGATTGCGCTTTCTTACTCGCTATTACCCCTTTTTGGAGTTTGACTCGAGTCGAGTACTAAAGATCTACACAAACAATAAACGAGTTTCGCATCAACTCACATGATATTTTCGATTCTGTTGCCTCCATTGAGTGTGATTGGCAGTTAACCGGGTTCTTATCGCTTCAGTTACCCATAAATCCTGACGTTCTTCCATTGAAAAAAGCAAAAATCGACAATCGTTGTGTCTATACCGAAACTTTCAATATGGTCCCCGACAGAGTGAATTTAAACTTTGCAAAGACTAAAAGTAATTAACCCCCCCCTCCAATATGTTGCTAAACCTGAAACAAGTTCATAACTCGTACGAAGCTAATGGCGTGACAAATTGTGTGCTCTGAGGTGGGTTTACATAGACACCTTTTATCCAGCACCCAAATCTCTCCTAAAGCAACTATATTGTTACCCTCTAGTTGGGTATAGCTTCTGCCAACCTAGTTGGGATTTTGAATTTTCATGTCGTAAACGTTAAAACCCGCGAATCATAGGTCAAGCTTTTCTTATTTGGAATGACTACGAATAGTTCTCCTCTTTCAACATGCCATTTAGTGTCTAAGCGGCTACATTCATGCAGCATCAAGAGGACTGTCTAAGACAATATTTAGCAACGTTGGGGCTTTGAATTGATGTGGTAACTGTATCCACATTGTTTTGAGCGCACATGTCTCTCACCCCACACATCTTGCAATGGCTCTTCAATCGACCACTTAAATAGTTGATTCCCCATCAATATCCTATCTCTGTTACTTTTAGTAATGCACCCACCTTTTGCTCATACAAGTATCAGTTATGCCCACAGCAGGAAAAGGTGATATCAAAATCTCCGAATCGAAAATCAAACACGCGAACGAACTTTGCCCAAACAACGATGACTTATCCAGTGTTGGTGCGCATTTGGACTTGGAAGCATCACAAGATCAACTTGAGGAGCAAGAAGTTTTTCAAATCGCAAAGCAAGATGGTCCCAATTTCCGGGGAGTGGGAACATATGGCGCCGCGATTTTGATTGCCAAGTCTCAATTGGCATTGGGCGTGCTTGGTTTACCTGCGACTTTGAATACTTTGGGGTTTTTACCAGGTTTAATTTGTCTTTGTTGTTTATGCTTTCTTTGCACATATACTGGGTTTACCATCGGGAAATTTAGAAACAACCATCCTCACATTTATTGCATTGATGATGCTGCCTATATGTTATTCGGCAAATGGGCTCGTGAATTGATGGGGGTAGCTTTCTGGATCTTTTACATGCTATGCTATGGATCCGCCGTGCTTGCTATATCAATTGCATTTAATGCCTTGACTGAACATCCAATATGTACCGTGTTTTGGGTGGTTATTGCTGCAGTTATCTCAATCATGCTTGGCGCTTCAATCAGAACAATGAAAGTGTTGTCGTGCTTGGGGTATTTTGCCATGTCCAGTATCGTTGTGGCGGTTTGGATAGTTGCCGTTGCTTGTTTAGCTCAAGATGAGCCTGCAGCTGCTCCTAAAGGTGAACCCATAAACAAAATGATTAGAGTTGCTTCACAGGGAATTCCATTCAAAAAAATTGCCTCAGCTGTTGCAATTCAATCATTCTCTTTGAATGGTACTGCGTCATTCTTTTCAATTTAAGCGGAAATGAGAGATCCAAAGCAGTATGGAAAATCAGTCTTGATGGGACAAAGTTTGGTCATGTTCAACTATATTATTCTTGCAATCATTATATATGCCAAAGTTGGACAATATGTGGCATCACCTGCACTTGGGTCCGCTGGTAGCTTGATTAAAAAAATTGGGTACGGCATTGCTCTACCCGGATTATTTTTTTCATCCTTTTTTACCGCTCATCTTGCTGCAAAATATGCCCATATTCGTATACTTAGAGGCACAAGACATTTGCAAAGTAACACAAAGACACATTGGATTACCTGGCTAAGTATGATGTTGCTCGTGGGTATTGCTGGATTTGTGGTGGCTGGCGCAATACCATTTTTTGATAATTTGTTGGCATTGATGGGTGCCCTAATCGGAACTTCATTCACATTCTTCATTCCCGCTTGTATGATTTTGTACGAGCTTGGAAATAGTAAAGTTCAAACATATGAACTGCCACTTACTTGGTTTAGGAGATCAAAAAGAAAATTTGCCAAAAACAAGGTGCCGGTGTTCTTGGCCACCATATGTATTGTTCTTGCTGTTTTTATCTGTGTGGGTGGACTTTATGGAGCTATAGCATCTATTGCAGATGGATATGCCAATGGAGATGTTGATAGAGCATTTTCGTGTAGAAACAATGCTTAAGAAACACAAAAATGTTTCATATTCTCACTCTGCGTCGTAAACGTTATTGAACACATAATAACTACCGAGTACGGTTCCCAAAACACTTCCCCAATAAATAACTTGAGTTGCAATCAACATCACAATAGCCCTTCTTCTAGAACGTGGATACCGAAAGCGTCTAACATTGGTTGCAACACCATTGCTTTCTGGCGTATTACCCAAATCCTGCATTTCATAATTTTCACATTCCGTTGCATCATTAGTAGTGGTGAATTGATTATGGTATATATCATCAAATGGTTGGTAGAAAAGAAATACATATGAAGATGATGTTTTTAGTATACGATATAAAATCACGATTAGAGCTATTACATTAGGTATGGCACTGACGTTAGTGCCATACCGTCAGTGCCATACCTAATGTAGCTGGTACAGAATTTTGTCAATAACACTTGTTAACGCCATTTGGGTGAAATTAATTTTTGTGTGGCTGTGTAGTACTTTAACTTTGATTGAATCTCTGATTGTAATATTAATGTCCTTTGACTTGATGATAAGCCTAAGCGGCAATCAGTACTTGGGTAGTGTTGTAGTTGTATAGTTAGCCAACAATGAAAAGAAAGGAGGTTTTTTTGTGGCTATTTCAATGGCAACATTTAACTTCAAAGATATAGTTGCAAAGTTTTTTGATATTCTCGTATTTTGCCTATGTCATTTTTGTGTAAGCGGAATAAAATACCAAGCAATTTCAAAGATGTAGGTGTCTGCCGTGACAAGAACCAAATACGCGATTGTCCTTCCCAACAATGTCATCCCCACCCCATTGGATTCCGTCAAACTATTATTTTCTTTACTTTTCATACTCCATTTGTAACAACTCATGTTTAATGACATCGTAAAAAAAATTTAGTGATGGATTGGGATAATCTTGAGGATTGTATACTTGCAACTTGTGTTGGTTTACAATTGATTTCATTTGTTGCACCAAAGTCTCATCATACGGCGAGCCACTATTCTCTTCATATGTGTACTCCAGTTTCACGGTACCTGTTTCTCCCTGTGATCCAATGTTAGCATTATTTATTTCATTGATGTAGGCTGCTGGTAGTGCTCGTACATCTTCTAACCATGGCAACTTAATTAGTAAGAACCCTTGAGGGAAATCTTTACCACCAGTGGCATCAGTATCAGCACTCCCTGAGCCACTTTTATCTTGTCCTAATTTAGTTGATCCTTCAGCTCTTGTAGGATACATTGCATACAACCGTGGTTTTGAATTCGACCTAGTGCATCCAAATACAATGGCATACTGTTGTAACTTGATACAAGTTCGATATAATGATGCAAATGTCGATCGTGAATTGCTGAAACCCCCATTTAAACTATGTGAGCTGCCACCTAGTCCGTTATGGATATCAGCGGTGATAAAAATTGGTGCACTGCATGAATAAGCATAGTTGAAGTGAGATATATCGCGAAATCCAATCAATTTCAAATATGGCGGAGGTGAAAATAAAAGGGGTTTATGACTCTTGGATTCTTCTTCCTCGTCATCATTTACCTCACCCTCTCCTTCTTCGTTGCCTTGTTTCTCCTTCTCAACTCGATGATCAAATGTATAATTCTTTAAAAACTTCATTTGCTCTTGATCCAACAACAAAACATCAGCACCTCCACCCAATTCAAACCCCTTTTTGATTCCCGCTTCAGCTTTTCTATCAGCCAACGATAATCCCCCTCCTTCTTGAGCACTCTTGATATTAATCTTGGTTCCATCTTTCTCTCTAGTCCAATTAACTTCAGTATACACACGTTTGAGCAATTCACCTCGTGTATAAAGCAACAATTCACGTTTCTTGATTTTTTCATGATTGTATAGGCTGTATCCCTTGATGGTGCATCCAACTGATCCACCTAGATTGCCATTGTCACTAAGAATCAAGTTGCATGTGAATTGAACGCGTCGAACGTGTTTGATATTCAAGATACTTTGACGAATTTGGTTAGATAGAACCAGTTTTTCGAAAAGGAGACTATTGTCACTAAACCCACTCAACTGCTTTGCATCATCCACTTGTGTGTCTTGAACGACCCCTTGTGATTTTTGCGATGGCTGTTGTTGTGATGGTTTCATAAAGTTTGAATTCATGAAAATCAACTTGTATTGCAGATGATCAAATGAATGTGATTTGGGTTCAAGGAAAATCGGTTCAATGAAAAAACCATATGCATAAAAATCGTTAATTGTTCGAAACAAGGACTCATAAGTGGAATCCTGTTGAAATGGATGATCATTACTTGTAATCCAAATCATTCGTTGTTTGTTGAACTCACGTTTTTGCATAAACTCATCAATCATTTTGCTCAATACAGTACATAGTTCAACATCTTGTTTCATCGGCTCATATTTGAATATTGAATCTAGTGGACGTTGATCAAGATTTTGAATTAAATCATTTAAAGCCTTCATATTGGTTAAATTTAACACATTTAGATGGAATAATCGATTGAACCCCGGGGGCGACTTCATTGCTTTCAATGGTGCAGTAGTCGCACAATTGTAAAAGTAGATGCCAATACCGGTGCTGCGTGCAATTATAACCAAGTCTTGTATCAAATCATTGATACTGTTTAGTATTTCAAATAATTGTGATGTTTTATTGAGGTCGTTTTGCGGTGCCAAAATATCGGGAGTTATCTCGATCAAAAACGACACTGCTTCTCTTATCTCTCTTTGTTGAAATTGATCATTGTCATTGTCATCTGAATCCAAATCGTCAGACATGACTTTTGTAAAAAAAAACGCGTTGGTAAAGGATAAAGGTTTTGCTCTCTTTGGTTGTTTTTCTCAATCAGTGCGCACAAAAAAAAAAAAAACACCGAACCGATCCAAGCAGCTTTTATTCTTTTCCCAGTAACTCAATCTCCAACTAACAACCTCCTTATAAACTCACTTCACCATGTCAATACAATTCATTCTAGTACTCAATCGTCAAGGTAAATCCCGATTAGTGAAATGGTTTGACAACTCATACACACCATCTCAAAAACAACAGAATATAACCGATATCCACCGATTAATATCCTCAAGAGATTCCAAACACCAATCCAATTTCGTCTTGTTTCAGAATCACAAGCTATGTTATCGAAGATATGCTGGTTTGTTCTTCATCATATCGATAGATTTACTAGATAACGAGCTATCATATTTGGAGAGCTTGCATTTTTTTGTTGAGATTTTGGATGTTTACTTTAATAATGTTTGTGAAGTTGATTTGGTGTTCAATTTTTACAAGTTGTATTTCATATTGGATGAAGTTTATCTTGGTGGTGAGATTCAGGATATCCTGAAGCAAAAGATATTGGACCGATTACAGTACTTGGACTCGATGGAATAGCACTACGGCGTTGAAAGAGGCGTTTTGAAAAGGTGTTATTGTCAAAGGAGCACTCTTAGTACTGTTCTCTCTATACATGACCTATAGATTTATCAGTCAATACGTTCGCTTTACTTGACTCAACAACATTCCAAAGTAAATCAGCCACTTGTTCAATCGACTTCTTTCCCACATCAACAATCCTAACACTAGGATCACTGGCATCATCAAGTACTTCCAAGAAGCATTGCTTCACTCGTGATTGAAACTCCACCATTTCGTATCTTTCATCACCCCAACCTTTTCTTGAACTTATTTCATCCATATCTAGAGTTAGAAACATGGTCAAGTCAGGTTTAGGCAACCCTTTATCTGGTGCCAATAGCCATTCAACATTGGATAGGTTTGTTGAACTGTCAACACTCGTAGCCTCTGTGGCTCCAGTTGTTTCCATGTCTTTATGTTTGGCGAGTGTGTAGGCAATTCCTGAATATATATATCGATCCAAAATGACAAAATATCCTTGATGTAATAGATTCAAAATCTCTTGATTCAATTCCCATCTATTAGCCAGGAATAACAAGTGTGCTGATTGATCACTTAGTTGAAATTGTTTATTGGTTAAGTACTCATTGATTAATTGGCCAATGGCAGTTGATCGTTCTGGGAATTTTATGAGCTTGGATTGAGTGAACCTGGAAGCTAGTATTGAAGCTTGAGTAGATTTACCCGATCGGTCTAACCCTTCAATCAAAATCAATTGTCCACGTAGCATGGGGCAAAAGTTTTGTTGTTGGAAATGAAAGATGCTGAGAACGCGTTGTGAAAAGAAAATACGTTCATTGAAATTTTTGGAGATGAAATAGAGATTAGCTAAAAGAAGAAACATATACGCAACTGTATACACAAAATGTGAAAGGGTTCATGACCGAAAGAATCAATGCCAATGCTCATCAACCGGAGATACACCCTTTCTTTGTTCAATCTCCAACATCCATCATTTTACTTCATATTCATAATCAAAACAAAAAGAAGAACGCAATGTCTCCCCTCTCTATTCCACATAAAAGGAACAGAGATGCTGTTTAGATCCAATGAATATATATCAGTAGCTATCAAGAAGTTAATCAAATGGGTACAATGAAGAACGACGCCGCTGAGATGGATTGGGTTGAAGAAGAAAGAAAGAAAGAAAGAAAGAAAGAGAAATCGTGATGACTTTTTCTCAGCAATGTCCTTTTTTTATGTTTACAACTCTGTGCGACAAGCATCAATGAATGATTAGGTAATATATTATTTGAGATCTTAGGCTTTTTTCACAATCTTGTAATAATTGTCTCATCGAAAGCTATGTGGCCACCGTGGTTGGTGAGACTGTATAAAAATTACCGCTTGGTGTGAATGGCAACTTGAACCTAGATTCTAAATAGGTGTCCCTGTTCCTAAACCGTACTTCAATCGATTTGAATAGTTTTGATCTAAAACTGTTGCAAAAATGAAAAATCTCCAAGAAGGGAAACATGTGACTACACCAATAGAATTAAAAAAAAAAAAAAAATGAAGTCAATAACCCTCAAAACGAATATTACTCTTCATTTACCACTGAATAAACCATCATGGCTTTATGTCGGTCAAATAGTTGTCTCTCATTCCTAGTGAATAACTGGATTGGATGTGTCAAAAGGGTAGTGTATGAGTTTCAAAAAACGAGAGAAAAAAAGAAACAAACAAAAGCTGTGAAAAATTGTCTGAGTATCGTTTAACTGTCACACGACACATACGAGAATCCGTATATATATATATATAGTATTTCCTAATTAGGAAAAGTTGTTACTTTTCTTCACCCAAAAAAAAAAGTATTGGGGGATCAATCTAGATACACAACACAAATCGAATACAAAAACCATCACTGATCATCATCAATTATATAACTTATGTATAAATTACATTTTTTAGGGTTTTATGAAAAAATAAATGTGTATAGTAATCAACTCCGCACATTTAAAATTACTTTCCCCCTTTTTAACTTGTAGTTTAGTTTCTCTCTTTCATTTAAGGGGGTTAATGGGAACAAATCGGAATCGGAACTTGCGGACAACAGAAAAAAAAAGAAAAAAAAAAGTGCCCACATACTAAATTTTTGCAACGGATCGGCCGAAAAAATATTTTCTCTCTTATTGTTCTCTCCTTTAATTTTATTTTTTTCTACCCGATTTGCAACACATACAGGCATCACCACAATCAACAAAGAAATACTTTATGTACCCCAGAGTCTCATGAAGGTAGAATTTACTAGTGTATGAAAAAATGTGTATGGAGTGGTGGAGTAGTGTGTTTTTCGATGGAGTAAAAACTCAAACTTATTGTGGTTAATGATAACCCAAATGAAACTCTTTGAGTAGATTTTATACATCCGAGACAGCATCAATATTTGTAGAGATTGGAACAAGAAGAGGATATGTACGCCATCTAATTCCATAGATTGAAAGTGGCTGAGTTTATACATATACATTGTGAGGCTCTTTTTGAGTTGCTTAAGATGTCTTTTGACATATCACATGCCACAAGTTGCTAATAGAAACTTGTGGCATGAGTAAATATTGTTTGTGTTAAGGTATTAGTTGATCTAGGGAGTATACTCTTTGAAAGTAGTAGTATTGTAATAGCAATAGCAATAGCAATAGCAATCACAATCGTGTGTTTCGTATAGAGAGAGAAAGACAGTAAGAGATTTAGTGCTGTTAGTGCTGTTAGTGCTGTTAGTTTTATTAGTTCTGTTTGTCTTTGTTAGTCACTCAAAATCAAACCTCGTTTCTTTCTTTTGAATTTTAACCAAAAGAAAAAGATTTGTCTTAGCAACCAAAAAAATTCAAAACCACAACAACAAAAAACAAACCCATACTGTACTACTCTTCTTTTCAACTGACAAACCAACATATACAACAACACTACTACTTCTACATTCGCTTATTCTATCATCCCTCAACTATCAACCATAAACTCATCAAATTACTAGCTATTAGCTAAACCGCCAAAGGAAGGGAAAAGGACAGACACTTTTATAAGATTTCAGACACTCAAGAATTATACCTTTTATTTTTTATTTTTTTTTTTACGCTCCCCAGAAGCTAAGAAAAAAAAAATAATAAAAAACAACATAAAAAAAATTCATCTTCATACAGAAACACGCTTTTTTTTTTTTATTCTTAACATAGAATCAACTAACTATCAGCAAATACTGAGTATAAAGAACAGTTTTCACTAGCTATGTCACAACAACTTCAACAAGTATTAACTAGTATGTATACATTTTACCAACCGTCTTTTCGGCTCCAGCTTGTACGGTAAGAGCAACAGCAGCTTTTCGAGGAATCAAAAACGAGGCTATGAGAGAGGGACAGATTTTTTTTTTTTTTCAAAGGCACACGCAAAACAAACATCAAGAACAACAGAATGGGAATAAGGATCGATATAGAGGAATGAGGGGGAAGGTATCAGATTATAAGATCTTCAACAATACACTCCTACCATATACGCACACACACATCTACAACACACACACACACACACACACACACACGCGTACATACAGACGCATACTTTTGCATTTTCATCGAAAAGGTACCGATCCAAAAGTTTCCTCACTGGAGAAGACTCTTCTTATTTTTCACGCACACAAACACACTACACACACCACACTACCAAGAAAATAATATAAGTTTTTACACGTGTGTGTCAGTCTGTCAGTGTGAATTTATGTGACTACCAGTGTATATTGTGTGTGTGTCATCATACGTGTTTCATTTTTTCTTTCAGTGTGAAAAATTACCAACCTACACAATATCAACCACTTTAAAAGTACTTTACATTAATTTCAAACATAGATAGTTGTCACACGTCTTGATACATATCACTCGGTTTTTATATTTCCACGTTCTACTTCTACTCACTTTGTTTGTGATTGTTGTTTGAAAAGAGAATCCTCGATCATTTACCCCCTTTCTGTGTTCTTAGCAGATATTCTTTGCCCTAGATCCACCCACACCTCACACGATTCAAGCTGCTTTAGTTATTGCTGTGTTTTTCTTCAAAATGCCAGAGTTTTCCTTACTAACTGATGTTCTTATAGTTGGATCCAATCCCAATGTCTCATTTTACGCATGGAGGTTATACCAAGTCAAGGCAGTTGAATTAACCATTGTTGACTCACAATTTGATAAAACAAGGCCGATTATTTGGAAATCAACCCTGTTGGGGGCAAGTCAGTATTCACCACACGAAGCTTACTCATCTATACAAGAACTCCCCAGTCACAAGAGATATGATGTTGTTATTCTAAATTGTAATTCATTACAGGATTTTCAAACAACGTGTTCAGGTTTGGGCAAGATTATTCATGATAAATCAATAATTCTTGTTGAAAGTACTGGTTATATCAACCTTGAACCATTTGTCACTGCTAGTTTTCCTAAAGCAACTGCATCATCATTGTTGGTTATGTCAATCATGAATGAAAGTGATGTGCGCAAGACATCAAGAAATACCTTAGTTCATCAAGTTAGAAACAAGGATTCGCGTATTTATTTCGGTACCACTACTGGTGGCTCAAGTAAATTGACATCACATCCAAGCTATCAAAAGATGTATAAACTTTTACAATATGTTCAAGAAAATAGTAATGGTGCAATCAGCTTACTCAAGTCAAGCAATCCAAAGGAGTTCATGACATATCAATGGAAATTGGCCTTACCTCGCATAGTTTTTGATCCAGTATTGATTTTATTTGAAATTGAGTACCCTGATTTGTTGAAAAATCAAATATTGTCGAAACCATTGATTACTGGGTTAATCAATGAATTGTTCAAACTTATCAAAAAGATGGATTGCAAGTTGGTTAAAGGGTTTGAAAATGAGGCAAACTTGTTGGATAGTTGGTCCAAGTACTACCCATCAATCAAAACAAATGATCATTATGTCAATTCACCCAAGTTGTTTTACAATTTTTATCACAAATTGGATCTTGAACTTGACTTGTTATTATTACAACCAATCTTGTTGGGAGACGATAATGGAATAAGAACCCCATATTTGGAAAACTTGTATTCAATCATGTGCCAATATAACAAGATTAATCACAAGTCGTCGATTTTTTTCAAACGCAAAATTACTGATGAGCCTGCATCTGATAGATTAATCACGGCAAAACAATTGGAAGAAGAAATCGCAACCAAAACTCAAAAGCACCAAGAATTGGAAAAATCAATCAAGGATTTTGAAGTTTCCAAAATTAGTATTGACAATGATGTTCGTAAACAACAACAATTTTTGAAAGGACTTGAACAACAAATTATTGATACCGAGACGAGATTATCAAATTTACTGTATGAATTTGAGAAAAAATCGAGATCTTTGGAGTCAGAACATGAAGCTAAATTTAGATCATTGAATCAGCAATATAATGAAAGATTACGGGATTTGGAATCTAGCTTTGCCAAGCAAAAACTCAACAATAATAGTCCACCATTGTCTATTCCAATGCAACAGCCAACTCCGTCTCAAGACGATCAAACAAAACCCAATGGATATAGAGAATCAGTCATGAGTCAGGATGGATTGGCTGATTTCAAGCATATAATTCAGTATAATGATGTTGTTCCTAATGGTACTACCGACACTCCCAAGTTGGAACCACCAATGCAACCTAGTCATGGCCAAAGTTCAGAAAACTTTGTTGATGCAGGTAGCGGAAGTGGTGGTGATTTGCCACCACATATACTTCAAAAGGAATTGGAATTGAAGAGCAGAGAAGAAGCTTTGAGAGCTCGTGAGGAGAGAAATGGAAGTGTTGGTGGATTCCCACCTCAACGTAATGGCCAGTACCCACCACAATCGCAATATCAACCAAATGGGTATGCGCCCCAGCAACAACAGCACAGCCATCAACACCAAAGTCTGTACTACAATCAACCCGGTTACTTCAACGGTCCTCCCAATGGCTACTCTGACCAACAACCGCCTCACGGGTTACCCAGTGGCGGAATGCCTCCAAATCAATTCCCACCGAATTTGAAATCGAATGGCTCAATGACCAATATGAATGGGTACCCACAACAGTCGCAACAGCAGCCAATGCAACCACAATACAGTGGGTATAACCAAGCACCACGTAGGCTAAACTCTATGCCAGGAGGAATCAACAATTTTCAAGATTTCCAGCAACAACCACCATCACATCACCAATACAACCCTCAACAACCACACTATGGAAATTCACCCAGTTTTAATAACGCTGCTCCAATTGATCCATTTATAGAGCATCGATTCAAGACTACTAAAAAGAGTGGCAATCGTCGCTCGCAAATGCCAATGATGGGAAACATTGATGGGTTGGACATGGGAGGACGTGGTGGAATGCCATTGCCTGGAGCTGGTAGAAAATCAATGGTTCACCAATTTAATTCTTCAGCATTGCCACCAACACAACAAGCAAGAAGGTCATCAAGTAATCCAATATTGCTCAATAGTCAGCCACTGCAACTGCAACTGCAACAGCATTTGCAACCTCCCGCACAGCAGCAATCGCAACTGAATAATCAAGAATCCAGTGCTTCACAATCAAATGGTTTTTTGCATCCACCAAATATGTATAGTTCATCATCATCCACCAATACAAATGATACCCCAAAGACTAGTGGAGATAATGATCAAGTCAAGCTACAGGTACCTGTTGTTTTAGATTATAATCAAAATGCAAAACCGTTGGGTGGTATTGCCGAACTGAATAAAGAAGGTGGAGACAAGCACAAGAAGAAGAAGAAAGGGTTGTTTGGAAGAAAGTAGGGAAAATGGTAGAAGTAGGTTGTTGTTGTTGTTGCGATGGTGTACATAAATATATATATATATATTACGTATTACTCATAACAGAAAGTTTTCAAGGTAGTGCTATAAGAAGAGTTTTGCTCTTGTAGAGAGAAGGTGCAACTTCAATTGGTCTTTAGTAGTACGTGATTGGGTCGTTTTGTTTCTGGGATCGTTGTGGTATCTACTGAGGAGATCACAAGTGCAAAATGACTAATTAAAGAGTCATAACTTACAGTCGAGAAAGAGAAGAACGCATGAAAGAGAGTCCACTAGGGTCTAAGTAATTTAGTGAGATAATTAATTTTTACCACCATCCCAACAAGATCGTTGTTGATATGTAATTGTAAACCATGAGTAGCTATCAGCATATAAGAGTAAAGGCTCAACCCAATAAGGTTCGACGTGACCACATTTTCTTCATCAACATAAACTTTAATTCCCAAGCCCCAAACTCAATCCATGAAGATTAATCAACAAACCTTTATATTATATTCAGTCACGTGACAGGCTAAAGTCCTACATCTCACAACTGCTCTACGCCTCCCCCCCTTCCAGAGATACCTAATAACGAATCAGCTGCAGGCTTGAATTTATGTGTGTGTTTTGGTGGAGGCATTTTCGGAGGGTCATTTCTGAAAAATTGATGAGTTTTAACCTCGTCAGCAGCAAAACTAGCAATTTTGAATAAACTAAAAGCCAAGAATGGATTGAAGGCGGCAACTTTTGAGGATTGAATTGTAATTGGGGGTAGAAACATGATTAACAGCCGTTGGTGATAATAGGCGTGTAGTAGTTTAACTTGGTAATATTGAATAAATGGTTAACTCAACTTTGTAGCAGTGTTGAAATTACTTAGTTCAATGTTATTTTAAATTCATAGAACAATTCATCGACTTATACATCATTCAAATTTGCAATACCACAATTTCCAAACGATCTACTTTTTAATTTTAAGAGTTGGTCTCAAAATTTGCATCCTTGTAAAAATTCTTAAACCTTAAATAACACCATGTAAATGCTTTTTTATAGTTACGATATTTGCTTTCAGTTCAGCAACGGTAAGATCTTTGATAGAAAAGTAATTAAAAAACATAATACAGTCTTGGCAAGTGAGATTTTAACACCAGATGAGTATAACCTTGGTGTATAACATTATACTTAAGTAAATCTAAAGGGGTATTGAAACTGGTAGCATCATAGAAATGAATACCTCTTGATTTATTGTATTATACATTACAAAATGGACAAAAAAAAATCTAAATTCACAATCAATCTTTAAGACACACCTAACCTCTACTACCACCACCACCACCATGGGCAGACACTTTTACGAAGATGATGAGCTTATTGTAAATAAACCAGGCACAATCGACCCCATCACATCAAAACTCAAACAACAAGAATCGATCCATGGCGAAAACGCATCGATTGTTGATGGCATGGTAATTCGAACCACACCCAATTTGGAAAAATACAGCAACAAGTTCCGTCAATTTATCATTTCCAAATTCAATGTTTTCGAAGCTGAATTACAAACTCAAAAACTGGCTGGGTTTAATGAATGGCAAAATTTGAAATCAAATTTCAATTCCATTGTCAAAGAACCCGTGTTGCCTAATGCCATATATATTTTAACTGCAGGATTAACTGGTAGTATATTGGTACGTAATCGAAACATTGCCGTTAGATTTGTTACGCCATTGGTATTCGGTGGTGTGGCTACACAATATTTCATGCCACGGACATTTGACAATTTGATGAATCAATATGATGAATTTGAAGTGGAAAATGTTCCTGAAGTTTTTGCTCGTCGCCAGGAATTGCTTCGTCAGTTGAGACAATGGAGACATGATGCTAATGTGTCGAGGTTGCAATTCAATGATTGTGTGATTGAACAAGTGCATGATTTGAGAATGAAGTGGAAGGACGTTTGGAAATAAAGGGAGATTTTTCTTTCGAGTCAATAGTGGTTTCGAGTTGTCTATTCTATAATGTAAAAAAAAAAGTCTATAATATACCCGTCTTCTAAGTGAAGAGGATTTGATAAGTTGTATAAACCAACACCAACCCACCAATTCCTATCAAGATATAATCCGAAACTCCCAACCAATACCGCTTTTTAACTTCTTTCTCACTCAACCCTCTATTCTTCGCTTCTCCACTAATGTCACAACATCCACGTAGGTGCAACATGGGCGGATACATATAAACCAAAGGAATACAAGCAAAACAACCAATAAATGAAACAAACTTGTCTAAATTCTCACCACCAATCAAGGCAATATAAGCGATAAATACAACAAACAATGTGCGAAACAAGTTTTTCAACCACTTGATTCGAAAAGATAGTTTTCCGCTCAATTTGAACAATCGTGATTCAAGTAATCGAATAGCTGGGAATAACTGTAATGGAGTTGATAACAATATTGCCAACGAATAGAAAAATTGCGTCATTATAACCATAACTGAATCCTGGGGTAAATTCAATAAAATCACTGTCTGTACATTTGCACCAAATGTCAAGTACCCTAATCCACCAATAACAATAAAAATTATGGCAATAGTGGCCATAACCTTTCCCAACACCATGGGGAAATGTCCGGGGTAAATCATTGATTCCTGTACGGGGATGATCAATCCAATTCCTTCAAATGCAAAGATCGCAGTGCCGATGAATAACGAAAATTGTGATCGATTAAACCCAAATTCGACATGGGGGCCAAATTGTCCATGGTTCAACCCGATCCATTCGTAGGCTATGTAGTAGAAAATTGTAACTAGTCCCGTCAAGATGAACAAGTTTGCCAATAATGATGAAATTGATAGTTTGGTGATGTCACGTACTAAACTCATGGGGATGATGCATACAACTTGTAATGCAATAAACCAAGCAATATCCAAATCCTCATACCCACCTGCACCTGCACCAGCACCAGCATTAGAGCCGTTCCCCACACTTATGTTCCTAACGAATGCTCGCAAATTCTCTGCCGTAAAGACAATGTAAGCCGCCACGAATCCAACTTGCGAAATAACAATCGACGTCAAGATCAACCGTTGTAACCAAGCACCATACAATTTCGATCCAATTTCAGCAAACCCCGACACTTTGGTGGCTAGTTTTGCATACACCAAAATCAAATAACACCAGAATGATAACAAGGCGAAAATTGTCAATGTTGCAATTGAAAATGCTAATCCACCATTGGCAAATGCTCGAGGGAGGAATAGGACACCTGTCCCGACAAATGCTTTAAGGAGTAGGAAATATGCTTTGGTGTCAGTCGCTGTACCTTTTGGGTTATAGTCGACATCAGTGTGATCAGCGTCAGCTATTAGCGATGTTGTTGACAATGGCTCTAAAAGCGGTGTCTCTTCATCAGTTCGCACGTGGAAGTACCTAGGAACACCTTCATCGTCTTCCAAATCTTCACCTGCGAAATGACCGTAAATGCTTAGAAACTCAATAAAGTTTCTTGTCAAAAAATTGGGCGTGGGTTTAGTGCACCCCGCAACATCGTCGGTGTACCCGTAGTATGCAGTTTGCTGATCTTGAACGTGATTTGAAACATTTTTCTGCAGCAGCTGCAACAGCAGTTGTTTTTGTTGTTGATGCACTAAAAACTCTCTTCGAAACCCACCAGGTACATTGAAAGAACTAGCCCGCGACTTAATCAGACCATTATCTGAAACATATTCATCATCAAAACTCTTGGACTTGTGTAAACTCGGCTTTTGCTGTAGTTGTTGTGATTCATGTTGCAATTTATACAAATCATGCGTGATATCACCACCTTCAAGTTTTAAACTGTTTTCCCGAGGAGGCAAATGTTTAGATAATTGAGAAATCAAACGAGAATCATCCATACCTTCTCTGAAATCAATTGTTCCAAAGTTTTCATCTCTGCTATTGGTGAATTGAGATAGATTCTGGTTCAGTTGTCCATGAAGCGATGTTTTCCTCGAGGGGGGAGAGGCTGAACTTGAAGTATCGACAATAGCCACTTCCTGGTCTTCATTTGTAGCATTAGTAAGGGAGTTGGTTACTCCCATTGGCGCAGTGAGGCCATGCCCATCTCTTAAAAAAGGCGTATTTGAAACAAATGAATTACTCTGAGACCCACCGCGAGAACCATTATTTCCTCGAGATCCACGTCGTGGGCCATAAATACTGGTTGCCGCTGTTCCCGTAGGTGTTGTTGCAAATGGTGATCCAGATAACGGTGATCTAGTTAGTAAATTTATCGATCGTCTTCGTTGTGTTTTGTTTATATCTTGAGGGGTAGACATATTGATGAAGTATGTATTCGAGTAGCAGGTTCACGAGTTGAAAAAGTCCTTTAGGATCAAAGAATGAAACTGCACAAGTTTGTAGTGGAGGACCAACGGGAGATATTATTCCTTATCAGTTAGAAGTTTTGTTGTGTTTTTATTTATAGGAAAAGAAATCAGAGAAGATAGAAAGTGCCGCATCGAGACAAATCGCCGATAGACACAAAAATCAAAATGCAACCTAACCAAACCTACGAAGCACTACACAAGAATTATCCAATCATCTATATGAATTTGTTTAATTAAAACTGAAAAAGTCAACCTCAATCTATATCGATTCTATAGTAATGCCAAATTTGGCCAATTTAGCCTCGGCACGTTCATACCCGTACTGAGCTGAATTGGTGTAATATTCAATTGCCTTATCAATAGCATTAGTAACTTCATCAATCCCACCATTTGCATGAACCATGTTACTCATATCTTCATCACTTATATCGTACTCATAAATCTCACCCATTTTGTACAAAACTCTTGGATCACGACGATTCAAATCAAGCACCTTGTTGAAATACTTGATTGCTGAGGGCACATTTTTGTCTATGCCAAAATCTTGTTCGTATGATTCAACGAAATCATTTTTCAACAAGCACGCATAAATGAAATATGCTTTACATTTTAAACTGGTTTTGATTTCATCGTTACCTGATTCAATTTCAGTGATGATTTTCGTGATATGCGTCACTGAAGCTTTAATGAATGCCGCTTTGTTATTTTCAATTTGTTGTGGTTGCGATTGCTGAGGAATAAAATCACCTTTAAGATTGATGTAGTTGTACAATTTGAAATTCGTGGCTGTAATCAACATTTTTGTCCAAAGTAACCGGTACTCCATTGTCTTGTTCCCTGAAGCAATATTACCACGCAATTTCCTAAACTCCTTGATTCTTTTTCGAGTCTCCGCATCCAATTTTGGTTGAGAATGTTGCTTGCCATGCCACCCCACAGGCATGCTATTACGTTTATTAGCATATGGCATATGGTCATACATCATCATTGATTGACGTCTCGAGTCTTGTGGCATCATCATCATCATACTATGACGATTCATGGCTGGATATCCTGCTCCGTTTTGATACATCATTGGATTCATACCCATGCCCATTCCCATGCCCGTACCCATACCCATATTCATTGCCATCATATTCATATTGTTGTACGGCATCATCATGTGCTGGGGTACATTCATTGGCATTTGCATCGACATAATTGGATTAGTCTGTGGCATCATATTCAAATCAGACATAGACATGTTGTTTCCCATGTCGAAATTCGTTTGCAGTTGCCAGGGATGTGGCATTTGGGTCAATTCTGACTGTTGTGGTGAAAGTGTAGAGGGTGAGCCATCTTGTTGCACCTGTGCTTTCTTTCCCTTCTTTTGCTTCAGAGGAGTAGTTGGTGACAGTTTGGAAGTTGTGGATGATGGATATGGCGCCACCTGGAAATTTTCCTCCTTTTGAATCGAGTTGTAAGAATCTTCTGATGAAGTGGTGTCTTTTCTGTTCAATTCCATTGGCGTGTGATTGACGACTGGTGATGGTGCTCTATCGGCAATAATAGTCTCATTAGGTTCCTCTTGTGCTTCATCTTTTTGGTCGTTTCCTTTTTCTGCACTTTCATCGTCATCATCATCGTCGAATAAGTACTTTGTATAATCGGAAATTTGTCTTGATCCAGAAGATTCATCTTTATCTACACTCAAGACCAAATTTGACATTTGTTGGTTGAAATTTGAATCTTGTTCACTATAATCGTTAACATTAACTGATGGCTCCTCGACTTCTTCATCACTGTCACTATAGACATTGTAAGTCTGTGGCTTAAAGTTTGATTCTAATGAGGCTATTCTATTCCCACTACCTGGTTTCTTGAATGCATGTTGGGGCTCAGAAATTGACCTAGCGGATTTGATTGTGGATTTGCGTGAATTCCGAACAAGTTCATCGGTTTCAATCACATTGTCAGAAGCCACATTCATGGTGCGTTGGTATGCTTGTAAATAATCGTGTGGTTGTTGATTTAAATGGGATAAATTAGACTCATGGAATGTACCTGGCATAGTTGTATCCTGTTGTTGTTTCAAATTTTGCAATGATTGAGAATGTGGAGTCTGTGAACTTCTTCTCCTCTGTTTACTCACAAGAGACTGTTGCAGTTGCGAGTTTGGAAATACCTGTGATTGCATTTCCTGATTAAACTGTGGGTACTGCTGATGTTGTTGTTGCATCATGTAGTTCATGCCATTGTTTGGAAACTGCGGTGGCATCTGAGGATACCCGTATGGCATCATTTGATTGTATTGAGATGCAAACTGTGGGTCGTTTTGTTGAAAGTACACTGAGTTCCTTTGTTGTTGCTGTTGTTGATGCTGCTGCTGTTGTAAGGCAAGAGCTTGGTAGTACCGTTTCCATTGCTCGTAATAAGGATGTTGTGTAGGTTGAAAAGAGCCAGTGCTGGTTGTTTCCGAATCATCATCTTCAGAAAGCTCATCATCTTCGCCTTGTGCATCATCTACTTCCTTCGTTGTCTCCAGCGCAACGGGGTTTACACGTGACTGCTGATGTTTAAAGTATAATCCTTGGTTATAATACTGTGAGATGTCTTGCTGCAACACTTGTGGGGCGTTCTCTTGACCAGAAGATCTTCTCGGTGTATTCACATTATTAACTTGTCCACCAGGTTGACTTCTCGGCAATGATTGCTGACTGACATTTGCTGAAGTGCCAAATGTAGGTGTAATGTTCAAATCGATGTCTTGGGGAGTTGAACTTTTAGGAGTTAATACTGGTTGCGAATTGGCATAAGAAAGCTTGTCTGGTGTTTGAGCTTGAGGCAAAGGCTTGCGTGGTGTAGAACGCTGTTTGGGAGGGACGATAGTTTGAGCTTGTTGAGGTTGCTCTTGTTTTTGGTTCACAGCCACACCACGAGCGACATCTTCTCTTTTCATTTGACGTGCTGGAGCACTATGAGCCGCTTGTTGTTGTAGAGTTTGTGGCGGTTGAGATGAAATTCCGTGGTCACTTTGAGGGCCATTGTGCAATGTTTCAAAATTGTCACCCCTAGATTGTCCTGCTCCCACTAACATATCCAAATTAGGTCTCAATGCAAGAGGAACCTTCTTCATCGGTCTGGGTGATGATGAAGGTTTAGTATGTTGAGGATGCAGATGATATCCAATTGACTCAGTTGAAGTATATGACGATGAAGATCCAGTTGACAGAAAGTCACTTTCAGTATACGAGTTTGTAGTTTCAGATCTTTTATGCAAATGATTTATGCCTGGAGGTGGTAGATGCTGTTGAGGATGCAATGGACGATGGAGGGGGTATGAGCCCAGACCCGGAAGCTGATTCTGGTGCTGATGCTGAGGCTGCTGCTGGTCGTGGGCGTGACTATGACGATTACTACCTACTTTCAAACCGAACAACCCCATTTTTCAATGTTAGGTTGTTTATTTGAATGAGGATGTGGTTATATTCAACAGGTTGCGATATATATAGCTCAGCAAATGAAATGAATTTGAAGTGATGTGCTTTTATTGAAAAAAATCGTTTATTGTAGTTTAAGGTTTTGTTTTCCTTCTGTGACTAAAAATAAACCCACCCCCAACAGAAAAATATAAATAACAAACAGGAAGGGAACAAAAGGACAAGTTGTGCTTGAGTGTGGTTGCAATGTAGCAATGAATAGTTGTGTTGACACTAGGGAAAATGTGATATCGATGATGATCAAACTATAAAGGTAAGTTAAACGAGGAAGAAAATTTTGGTCTAAGTAAAATGTAAGTTTAAAAGATCATACGAACAAATTTCGAGAGCCAGCATAAAGATAAAATTTTACATGTATCTTGACTTATTGTTTCCATTACTGAAGAAGAAAAACCTCCTTGAATAAAGTATGAGGTATTTACCTTCGGCTCGTACGTTTGTTGTTGTTGTTGTCGATGTTGGGTTGTATAGATTCAATGAAACAAGGATAGGTTGTTTATGCAATCATATTTCCCAATTAGGACTAATTGTAAACAAACATATTTACTGAAAGTAAATATAACACAAACGTAACCACAATTTACGAAGTTTTTGAAACGCTACACACGATTCAAACAAAGCCCAGGAACTTAGGAACCCAAAAACCCAGAAAAGAGGGGTGAAATACAAAAATCTATGAGGAGTTTATCTAAAGCGATCGTGGACCCTGTATAGTGGCTTTCAAAAGAATGAATTGAATCAACAAGGCACTGAAACGTGGTATGCATAGTAGGTGTTACAAGTCCATTTGTTACACAGCCTAGATGGAGACAATGCTATTATTGCTCCCCCCCCCTTGTCTGTTTGTTGTCTCTCTCCCGCCCTTTTTCCCACGAGGGATAATTTCACAAAGAACTCAAGATCCTTTGTACTCTCTCTGTCCTACATAGCCACACTCTCTGACGCAACGATCAACGGCAATATAAAATGCAATTAAGGTCTCAAACGTATTACACAATGAAAGTGGCCAGTGAAATTTCTACTGTGCACTCCTTAGCCATCCCTCGCACATCATAAAGGCTAAGCCCATTTTGGCAGTAGCCTGCAGAACGTGAAAGTGGCTTTTTAACATTGGAATTTCTTCATCTCTGGGAATCGAATATAAGCGCCTAATGTCAATTTCAAACCATTTAAAGGTGACATCACGTTGGAAAAAAAATTCTCGACTTGCAATGATTCACTACACGTATTCAAGGTTCAATGAACTCCCAATGAGAGAGGTTTTCTTTGAAGAGGGCTGCAAGATCAAAGTATCCACGGATATAGCATATTAGCACAATAGACTTAATTATCCGTTAGCCGGAATGCGCTACCTTGAACCACATTTTCTTCATATTACAAATCCAATTGCAGAGTTGCTACCCAATTCTCCGCATATATAAGCAACATCATCCTTTCAAAGTTACCAAAAAATCAGTCAGTTCCTATCTCAACAATCCTTTTCAGCTCACGATGACAATTGAAGGAAGTGCGGTCACTTATACCGAATATGGCTCTGATATCCCCAAATTATTGGGCACCACCAATTTCAAAATCAACCCCGATGAAATCAAACCGGATCAAGTTGTAATTAAAGCATTGGCAACACCATTGAACCCAGCCGATTTAATGCAACTTCGTGGTGGATATAATGAAAGTCCTGAAATTCAATTGGGTACTGAACCAAATGGACCTTTACATGTTGGTGGTAATGAAGGTGTTTATAAAGTAGTCAAGGCAGGATCAGGATCCAATGCCTCACAACTCAAAGAGGGAGATTTGGTTATTCCCAAGCTACCTTCATTTGGTACTTGGAGAAGTTATGCCATTGCCGATGCCGACAATTTGATTATTGTCAATGGCTTGTCAGTGGATCAAGCAGCAACTATATCCATCAACCCAGCAACTGCTTATCAATTGTTAAACAACTATATTTCTGATTGGCAAAAAGGTGATTATGTTATTCAAAATCTGGGTACTTCTCAAGTCTCGAGGTACGTTTCACAAATTGCCAAACTATATGATGTCAAAACTATTTCTGTAGTTCGTGATGGTAAACCACAACAGGAGATTGATGAATTAAAAAAATATGGTGCAGAACATGTCATTTCTCACCTGGAGTTTAATGATGAAAACTTCGATATCACGAAATACACCAATGGAGCCAATGTCCGTTTAGCTCTTAATGGATCTTGTGACTCAACCGTGGCTAATTTGGTAAAGAGCTTGTCAACCAAGGGACAGTTGGTTAGTTATGGGTTCTTGGGAGGTGCAGAGATTAGGTACAGTGCTAGAGAACAATTTGCCAAAGATTTGGTTACGAGAAGGTACTGGTTGACTGCCAATACTGTTGCTGATCCTCAAGGTAAAGTTGACACCATCAAGCATTTGATTGAATTGTACAAGACCGGTAAGATTCAAGATGTTCCTTATAACAAGTTGCGTTATAAGCAAGGCAGTAAAGAGGAAATATCTAAAGTGTTGTTGCAAGGATTATCAAATTTCAAAGATGGTAAAGGTAAACAAGTGTTGTTTTATGAGTAAAGATGAAAAACGGGTCTGGTGTTTAGTTAATGTTTAGAGATACAGTGATTTTCATAATGACATTCGTTGCACGATACCCATTTTTTACTCTTGGAGCTATACAGATGTAGCCTAAATCCCTTTTCTCTTCCTCCTCATTTCAGCGCAACAGAACCCCTAGCAAGCCCAATCTTTTTCAACCCCGTACCAACCAATCCACGCATCAAGTGCAAATACAATTTAACAACCGAAACAAGTAAAACCACTGTAAACCTAAACGCATAGTCAGACAACGTAAACCCAATCAAAATAAATTCACCAATCACTTGACTCCACGAGTAGTAATTTTGTTGCAACATTGCTGTTTCATCTTCAACCGGTTTGTCCCAGGTTGAATCAAACACAATTTCAATCAATTCTAAACGTAACCAAGTGATCCAATCCCTAGTTGATTCGAGTGATGTTTCAAATGCCACAATTGGATCCCTTATTTGATGTTGATTGTAAGACGCAAGACCAAACAATAAAGGTTTAGTCGATTCGGACACTGTCATTGTAGTTGTTGCTGTAGCTGACTTTGGTTTGGATCTCTTGTGTTTTGAAGACGATGATGAGCTTGAGCGACGTTTAGTCTTGCCCTGTTTTTTAGTCAATGAATCTGATTGAGTTGGTGTATTAGTCGATATTTTAACAACTTCGCCATTGGACTTGAACCCATTGGACTCAGTAACATCAGGAACATCATTCTCTTTATCAGCATCAACAACAGCACCTTCAGTTTCAACAGTATCTTGCGCACCATCACCATTAGGTTCCATTACCCCTTCATCATCTCTTGTGACATCGATGTCCCCATTTATTTTTAATTCAGCTTCAACAACCACATCCATATCAGTAATATTTTCATTACAAGTCCCACCATGATCAGGCTCAACTTGCAAATCATGTTTTAATTCGTCCATGGGAACACTTTGACTAGCCATTGTTGATATATGGGGGTCACCTGGTGTACTTTTGAAAACAATTTTAGGTATTTATAAGGGAAGAAAGGTTGTGGAAAAAGGGGGGGGGGAGAAGGATGTGTGGTTTTTATTTATATACTGTGGAGAAAGCTTGGAAAAGAAATGTATATAGACACACTCTCACTTCCCCCTTTCAAAGGTTTCTTGCAAGAACACTCTAATCAGCTTTTGCCACACAACTACATCCCCGCCCCCACAGAAAAGCAGCAAACAGCTAAGACACACATCAACTAAACGCGAGCAACTACTATATGTTGATAGGATTGCCACCCAATAATTGCTCCTGTAAACAACGCTTTACACGCAAACACACAAACAAGTCAAAGCTCCCCTCCAAACTTTGGACTCCAATGCAACTACCGCTTCTCCATTATTATACCATTACCTCCCTTCAAAGGTGAATTTAATTTAATCTTTTAAGAAGTCAATTATTTTGGCTGTGAAAAATCGTTACAGGTCACAAATGACACAAAAAAAGAAAACAAAGGTTGGTCAAACACAACAAGGATCTTGTGTAACACTCGAAACTCCGACTCCACTTGAAAATCCTACTACACCAGGTCAAATCATCTAAATTAAAGAGGAAGAGTCTACCAAAAGTAGGTACTCAGAGTTCATCAAAAATATTATTAAAAGAAGCAAAGCTTTATCTATACATCTCAGAAACACTCGAAAAGTAGCAGCATTAAAATTGTAGCCAGTTCCAATTATCAATTTCTTGTGGTGTAGTATTATTCCCCGTGAATTGACTAGGATGATGAGCATTATCGTTGGTGGTAGCTTGAGCACCGGATTTTCCTGTAAATGTCAAATCATCATCATCATCATGGGCAATCATATCATTACCACCGTCGTTGCCATCACCTCCTCTCCCCAACGACTCATCATTTACTGAGATTGAAGATGGAGGTAGTCCATTAGGATCCAATAGATCAAACTCATCATGATGTTGATGTTGGTGGTTGTTGTTCTTGTTGTTGTTGTTGTTGTTCATATGGAATGATGATTGTTGTTGAAATAACAATTCATTAGTATTGCCATCCGATGTGAAGTCAGTTTGGAACAAATTCAAATTGAGCAATTTATCAATCTGATGAGTGGTAAATGATCCATTGGCGTCGACATTGGCATCGGCATTATCTTCTTGTTTGTGATTGCCATTAAAATTAAATTGTGAATCAAGATCCATGTTGGCGTTCAAGTCACCACTTTGTGGTTCGCTAGTTGGATCGAGTTGATGGTGATGAAGATGGTGGTGATGATGAAGATGATGTTGAGGTTGAGGATGTGGTTGTGGATGAGATTTTGGTTGAGATTGTGAATATGAAAAATGGCTTGAAACTGGTGCTGATGATGATCCGACAAACCCGCCGGTATTGTATTCACCTCCATCATGAATTGCACTCTTGCCCACACCCGTAATACCACCACTACTTCCAATTGTGTACTCTGACGAAAGTAAATTGATATTAGTGTTGCCTATGATTTTGTCATCACTATTTCTCATTTTGAGCTTGCTCACATCTCCAGCAGAATAGCTGTTATTGGTGCTATTGCTATTATTATTGTTGTTGTTTTTGTTGTTGTCATTATTCCTCAATGGTCTCAAAGTACCATGTAATTTGTAGAATAATCCACATGCATTACACAATAAATCCCCATTATTAGATTTTCTCCACAATGGAGTAGTCCTGGTTTCACAATTGGTGCACTGTAAAATCTTTTTACGTCCGTTATTGAGTAAACCATTACTTCTGCCACTGATTGACATTGCTGAGGAAGAACTTGGAGATGAATGAGTAGTGGTAGAAGCAGTAGTAGCAGTTGCAGCAGCAGTGGCTTTATTAGGGTTTGCTGAATGTTGGAGTGGACCTGGTGTTGTTACTAGAGGAGAAGATGAAGATGTTGTAGGCTTTGTCGCAAATGGAGCAAAAATACCCGATATTGACCTACTGTGTTGCATGTTGGCAGGTGACATTTGACTTATCGACGTGGTAGTTGTACTTGTAGCACCAGTTGGTGGTTGCATAAGGGAGCTATTTTTCAAATTGGACTCAAGGTTATTGATATAGGTGGATAAGTAGTTGCTTGATTGTTCGTCTTCCATACTCTCATTTTTACCATCATTGACAGTGATTGTAGCTCTTGCATTGATTAAGTCCACTTTGGATTCTTCTTGACTTATTCTTCGAATATGAGCCACATAATCAAAATCATCCAAACTTGGCTCATTACTTGACTCTTGCTTAATTTTAGTCGATTTATTTATACTGTTGAGGATGTTTGACGAAGGAGCCGTGGTAGTTGAAACCCCACTTTTCGTTAAATTGTTGTTCTTGGACCCTGAATCTCTTCTAACCATCGGTTTGGATACACCTGCATTAGTAGTGACTTTACCACTGCCTTCTTTACTACCAATGTTTGATTTGGTGCTATTACCATTATTGACGAGTATTTTCCTATTTTGTATTCTCCAAGCTAAATTGGAAATCCTTTGATTATGGGGTAGATAGCTCTTGTGTTGATACATTTTGAAGATATCCATCGATGCGTTGTCGTCATCTTGTATTAGATCGTGTATTGATGGTGAATCATTAGCCGAGGAAGAAGATGTTACAGAAGCAATGGCTGGAGGGGGAATTGTGGCCATCTTGTTGGCAGATGACGACAGTGGCGGCAGGTGGTGGGGTTGTTGTTCTTGTCGTTGTTGTTGTTTCTCTTGTGCTTCCTTGTTGTCTGTCGTTGGCGAATGAATTTGGTTCATGGAATATCAGTAGCTTTTTTGATACCAGTAGGTCAAACTACTGTAAAACGCTATAGGAGATGATCAAATGAAGACCAAAATTGTAACTTTCAGGTACGTGGATACTTTTGTGCAGCGATAGTAGAAGCAGTAGTAGGTGGATGTGTCTGTGAGTACTGAATAGTTTGAATAAGATGAATATCAAATACGGTAAAGGAAGATGATGGGTCTATCAAGAGAGAGAGACTCCGTAAACTGAATAATTTTTTTTTGTCTCTTTGTCTTTGTTTTGTCTACTAATTTATTTACAATGATAATACAATATTGGTATTGAATATACTAGTAACCTTAAAACCATAGTTATATTAACATATATAAGATAGATTATATATAATAACATTTCTAATTAGGCTTTCCCTTTTTATAAAGTCCTACACTCTTTTGTTGTCAGCGTTTGTATAATTGTTTGTATCGTACATTCGTATTAAGTCTATTTTCGGTAAACAAAGTGGAGACGAAGTTTAAAAACTAATGACAATCCAAACCATCGGACACAAAGGAAACTTTAGAGCCATACTTCTGGAGCTGATTGGTTACTGGTTAACTCCCCCTAGTTATTGGCTCAACTGAAATCTATACTCGCAGATAAACACAACTAAAAGCGCTGGACAATATAATTCAGCTGTTTGTTGATATGCCTTGCAATTACTGATCAATCTAGTGAGTCTATGACATACCTTCATGATGGAATTGCAACAACAGCAAGCTCCTACTTCCATTGGACCATCTTTGTAATTTTACACACAAACAGTTTTTAACTATTACATCTCTCAATAGTACAACAACAACAGAAAAAGCTTATTCGCCAACACCTTTAAATTTGTAATGCATTAACAAACAAAAGAGGATTTGCAAGGAGTTACATAGGCAATGTATAGTCCCACTCGCGGTTTGAGACATCCCTTTCCGCAGTGAGTAGGTACATTTGTGCGTGTCTTTTGTCAAATCAATAGCATGTGCACAAAATATGTTGTGATGTATACCCCTCCATTCCCTTTGAAAAAAGTTACAAAAACTGCCTGGAAATTTATAGAAATGCCGAAGAAGCTGCACATACATACACACGCCTTCAAGGGTATTCATTTAGATTTGATGCAACATCTAAAACTTTATCCTTCTTCTTGGGAAATTGAAAAAAAGAGTTAGAAGGAGGGGTAAAGAAGTGTCAGGAGAAGTCATCAATTGGTCGAAAACTCGACAACTTTTCCATGTCTCGCAACATGTTTAATCTAGTGGAACCTTCCACAAATCGAATATCTTCTTAACACATACTCAGATTTGCAAGTAACTTAGTATGTAAATGGGTTGTAGATAAATACAAATTTTTACTTTATATTTTTTTTGCAACGCTCTTTGTAGAATGACATCGCTTAAACGCGTTTGAGCTCGTCAGCCTAGTCAGCTCAGTCACAGCGGGTCATTTTTATTGCTTTGACCCGTAATTAACCTCCAATTTGTTGCTTTGGGCACCATAGTTGGCTTTTTACGAATCACGTCGCTACCAGCCAGTCAAGTCAAAACAAAAGTCCCCCATCCCAAAACTGGATGCCTTACACAGCACATATATTTTCAAACTTCCCCATCCCGGTTCGCCATGGCAGATAAGATACGTGAAAAAAATCAATATGCTCTTTTGAAACAAAAATACCCAGGGATTGGCAATGCAGACACTACTCGTGATGAGTTTCTCACAACGACCTACAATGATACCATAGCATCACTAGCTCATCATAAACATATAAACTACTATAATCTGATTGTGACTAATAAGCATCCTAATTTGATGAAACAAGAAATGATTAAAAAGATTAAACTGGACGCAACCACATCTAATGGGAAACGGCATGATGCCATCGCAAAGAGGTAAAATGCAATTTTTGGACTGGTTACATTAAGTCCTGACACCTAGGGTTTTAAATGCAAGCTTCTCAGCAGGCTGAAGAAGAGGATTCAAAATAAATCGTCCTAGCGACTCGTCAAAAGTAAGAGAACTTTATTGCTTGCTTCATAGTGTATAGTTCGGTTTAGTAAGTAGGTTCTACAAAACTCTTCTGAATGACAGGTCTGGTGTATTTTTCATCTCGTCATATACAAAATTTCAAATCAAAACAATAGATCCATTCCAAAACAAAAACAGCATAGTTTTTTTTAAACTCCCGACCTCTTTCTCGGGTTCTCTTTAGTTACCACCAACTCTTTCTTCTTCAACAACCAATAAAGGAGCCGATTCTCCACTTGCTTGTCTTACCCCACCAATAATCATTGATCCAGCACTCCAAACCACCAAAATACCAGCAATAACAAAAGCAAAGATCCATTGCAAAGCAAAGACTTTAGTTGCCAATTGTCCAAAAGCCAAGGCAAACATGAGATAGGAGGAGCTAAACCCAATAGCCCAATCATTAAAAATCAACAAAAACAATCCTGGAACCAACAAGAAATCCCAAATAAAGACATTGGCAACAATTCTACCCCAAGTCTTGTGAATGTGTAACCAAACAGCTCCATTCCAGAAAAGTACATACAACAACCATGAGAATGGCAAAGCAACCAATGGAGCATGAATCAATAACCAATTGCCAACTGGTCTCAATGTAAAAGTCTTGTGACTGAAGTACAATCCCAAGATATTGAACAAATTGACAATGACAATTACTTCACTCCAAAAGTAATGTCCTGAAGTAAACAATTCGGCCCAAACATAATGCAATACATTGAAAATGGGGAAATGCCATCCAACCAATTGAACAATCAGCAAACGATATTCATCAGGGAAAAATGTTTGTACCGTGTACAAGATTTGCCAAAGATACAATACCCCCCAGTAGATGATCAACAAGATGTTACTGCCAGAGTATGGAGTATGAGATAAATAATTTTCTGGAACTCCGGAATATTTTAATCCTCCATAAATGGAAAGAATCAAAGTAATGATTGACACTGCCTTGTAAGTGTTTAATTGTTGTTGATCAGTTTCAGCCATGATTAAAGAAGCGTTGTAGCTATGAATCAATTTGAAATGTACTCGAATGCTTCATGTTTTTTTCTGATTTTTAAAGAGTGGGATGATCACTCCTTTTTAAACAATTCACAGAAGTCGAAGGAGTGAGATGATTGAGTTACACAAAATCAAAATTGAATAAATTAGAATAGCAATCATAAAAAATTATACTAAACACATTATTGGTATATCTCAATTAAAACTCCGAAACTACTCAAAGAATGCAAGGCAATATAGTATGTAGACATAAGCTCGGACCTCGCTTTTACCCCAGCATAAAGAATATTACCAAAAACACCAGTCTCGGAGTAGAATGTTGTATGATGGATTATGCAGACGATTAAAAAATTAATTGGATTTGTTTTGCGCAACCTAAGAAACTTTTTTTTTTTTATTCTTTACTCTTCTCTAATGTGCCACAGGATCATAGTGGCCTATTCGAAAAGGTCCTTTGAAAACTCTTTGTTACTGGTTAGCAAGTACAGGTAGAGAGTTGTCACTGCAGAAAACAACGTAGGCAATTTCCATTTGAGTGTCAAGCTCGCGACGCTTTCAATCAGTGGTTGATGAAAGTTTCATGCAGCATTTTGCGCATTGCGCTTCTTTCTTTGTGGTAGCAGCTGAAGCTAACAAGCATCCCCAATGCATTTGAAGAAGCTATACAGTCGGTCCATCTTGGATATATATAGCTGTTTTCTGACTTACTTAGTGATCACCCTGTTAAAGAACAGCCGACTGCCTTGAATTTCTAACGTAAAACTATGTGCATCCTGTAGGTCCCGTTCTTGAGTGTGAATTAGAATTTAGAGGTTTACTATTGTGCCGTTCGCTGTGGAGATTGTAACATGGATATGTTTCATAAATATACATTAGATGATTGTTTTGCTCAGAGATTGTGTAAATCCTATACACATCTGTAACAACTAGTCTTTTACACCATATCCTGCAAAATCGTATCTCTACAATCTCCAAGTATTTATTCTACTATACACCTCTTTACTAACACGTTCCACGGTACGACTTCTTAGCAACACCAGCTTTATGGCCATCTCTTTCATGTTGCTTTTGTCTAATTGGTTGAAGACCACCGGAAGCAATACTCAACAACAAGTCATGAATAGTTGACGTATTGTGTTCTGAAGCTTCTTCTTTGTTTGACAAGATTTCTCTAACAGATTCAGCTGATTTAACCAACAATTCAATAATATCAGTACAATCTTCAATCAATTTCTCCAAAAGCGCCAAACTAAGAGAATTACGAACAACAACTCGTAAAATCTCAACATTGGTTTCATCTGGTGGCAAGTGATAATTAGGGACAATGAATCCACGTTTACGCAACAAAGTCGAAAATAACTCTTGAGGAATTTCAGGATACTTGTCTCTAACTTCCTTGGAGAATCTGAAAGCAACAACAGGTAAACCTGGTTGGAATGATTCGTTAACAGTCAATGATGGCAAGTGCTTGACTTCTCTAGTGTAGAGCTTCTTTTGCTCCTCGGGAGTGGCTGATTTATGAATAACTGAAACCACATCAAAATAAGTACTCTTGTCCAAGTAATTGGAAAGCAAACGAGCATTGGATAAACAGCCATCAAAAATCTTGGTATACCCTTCTTTACCAAATGACAAGAAATTGTAGTATTGCAAAATCACTGGGAATCCTGGTCTTGAAAAATTCAAACCAAATGTTTCTTCAACACCACCCAAGTAATCAAGACTAAAACGTAACTCCTTAGGTAACAAACTTTCATCTTTCCATATAACCCAACCCAATCCAACAGAAGTCATCCCAAACTTATGACCCGAGGTATTTATCGAATCAACACGATCAACAGCAAAATCCCACTTCAAATGAGGGAAAGCAAATGGAGCGACAAATCCACCACTAGCACCATCAACGTGGATCCTAATATTCAATCCTTTTTCCTTTTCCACTTCATCCAAAATCTTGGAAATTTCAACAACTGGTTCAAAAGCACCAGTGAATGTAGATCCCATAATCACAAAAATACCAATGGTATTTTCATCTACATTTTCTTTGATCTTGGTGGTATCAATCAAATGACCAGACTCGGGGTTGATTGGAATCAATCTATTTTCAACATCGAAATAAACAGCAAATTTCTCCAACGCAACTTGGGCACAAGTAGCCATCAAAATATTTGGCTTTTCGGTGGATTTACCTTCAGCCCTCCTCTTTTCTTGCCATCTCTTTTTCAAAGCCAATCCGGCCAACATGATTGCTTCTGAAGATCCTGTGGTTGCAGTTCCCAAGGAGTTGACAATCTTGGCACCGGTCTTTGGGTCAGTCTTGTGAGGAGCATGCCACAAGTTACTCAACATGGTAACACATCTGTTTTGAATATCAATCAAAGAAGGATACTCATCATTATCGGCTAAGTTCTTGGTCAAGTTCTCAACCGCCAATTTCTTTTGATGTTCATCAACATAAGTGTTTACAAACGAAGCCAAGTTTAAAGTGGGGATACCATCCAACGCCAATTCCTGATTCAAGTACTTGTAAATGTCACCTTCACTAGCTGATTTTTCAGGAATAACGTATCTTGGAACCAATTTGGATGAATTGTACTCATCATTGAATTCATCCGATGTCAATTTCACTTTATGTGAGTCTCTCAATAACTCATACTCGAGATCATAAGCGTCAATGTGTTTACTTAAAACCATTGTGGGTGGATATTTGGTGAAATGTCTAACGAATCGTGGATAAAGGGAAGTGAATCGATTAGGTTTAAACATCGGCGGGGGTTATCTTTTTCTTTTTTCATGGAATTGATCACCTATTTATATGGTGCAGGTTTATAGAATACGAAAGAACATTGATTGCTATAAGTTTAAAAGAGGTCTATTTGTGTCCCTCTTTACATGCATCATATGCGTAATGCGTATGTAGCACATGTTTAATCCTTCACTTTCACTTTCGCATTACTATGAGTCTATCTTTGTACTCGCAAAGGAATGTTGATCAATATAAAGCATTGTGGGCTATTATGATTATCGGTTGCTGTATTATCCGTGGGGTTTTTCTTTTTTTTTTTGTCAAAGGGGTCAATATGACTGGAGATAAAAAGAATAACCATAAAACTCCGGAGTCAAAATTCTTGGCAATGCATGTTTACGAGATCTACAATATTCTGTGGTGATTAGACTCAGGTTTGCAAGACTCTCCTTTCGATGGAGCATAGATATTCAAGTTGCACACAGCGAGTAGGAGGTGTGAGCGGTTTGTACATACTCCCTCCCTTTCTCTCTGTCCTTCTAATAAATTCTACGCAACAAAAAGTTTTTGCTATGACGTAATACAATTGACACAGTGGCTTATTCGAAGTTTTTTATTAATTTCATCTATTGAACGGCTCTAAGTATTAACCCCCGATGTATAGACCAAGTGGACACCAAAACGTGGTCAATTGTTTCAATTGTATCGGTTATAACAACTATTGTGTATGGTGAGCTTCATGTTGACTGATGTGACTTCCATTAAAACATATGTGTTGGCTCTAGTGCTTTTCAATGTCTGGGCGCACGACGAATAAGATTTAGTGAAAAGCTCTCCTTCGTTCTATCATACTCTTCCTCTTTTAACGCGTAGCCACCTCTCTTCAACGCCTTATAAAACAATTTTGAAGCAAGTTGAAATAATTCCTCACTGTGTATGACTCTTTGTCGCCAATGCTCGACATCTTCTTCATGTTTCAACATTTTTCTATTCATACCTTGCACAAGGTCATCTTGGTCTATGCATATTGATCCTGTACGCTTTCTTATTGGCATCTCGATATTTTGTGATTCAGGGTTGTCATCGATGATCATAGATAACTTTCTATTGACCTCTACAGGAAGCAATTCAATTATTACCTAATCTGGTAACGTTTCATGAAGTTTGTGAGGGACTCTTGCTCCTTTGCATTGGTGGATAATGCCTCTTTTGCTGAAGCTTTTGGTGTTTGCCCAGAGACAATTTCAAGAGGGGGGTCAAGTGGAATTGTCTTTCGCAATGAAATATCAATATCTCGCGTACATGGAACCATAAGCATGTCATTCAGTGAAGTACGGGGAAGTGTTTCAATTATTTCCACAATGATCTGCTTGGATGAGGGTTGTACGGCATGCGATACAAAACTCGTTGTTGCAGTTTCACCAACGTCCACGATATTGCTAGCCTAGGCATCCACGACTTTCTTAGCTGGTTCCTCTGGCGATGAATTTTCAATTGACACTTTACCTCTTTGTTCAGCAGATGTTGGACTGGTTGCATTGTTAGCCAGCATTAGCCTCTCTGGAGCAAGAGGTGCATAAGTAGACTCTTTAACCGTTTCAGAACTTTGTCCAACAACATCGTCGCTAAACTTCTCATCTTGTGATAGTAAGAGCTCCTTTGAAGGTCTGCACACTACCGGTCGTGAGTGTTGTATTAATGTGAGTTGATGGCTTCACAAGTGGTGCTTTCAAATCTCGTGTAATCTGTTCGCACGTCAATGGTACAACATCTTTCCTTGGCTCCTCTGCTGATGGGGCTCCAATTGGGTATCTTCTTATTTGGAGTACCATGTCCCTTTTTTGCTGAATTCTTGGGTGAACCGTGTCTTGTAGATGTGCAAATGAGATTGGATTAATAGTGTGTATAAGGAATACATCAATTTTCCTTCTTGAACAAAGCTAGAGATGACGCGTGCTGAAAGCACTCTATGGCCACCATTTTTGCACCCAAAACACGCCTTTGATGGTACTATACATTGCTTGAGTAATCACTGCAGTTGATCGAAAAAGTACTATTAAATATTAGCTTAATGAAATATATCTATTCTTATACGTTATTTTCATACGCAAAGAGTTCGTTACGCACTTCGAATACCTTAGGCTCACTGAATCAAATATAAATGCATGATCTGAGAGGGGTAATCTCATGACACGTCGATATACTAATCTTTGCTCGGTCAACAATATTCATGGGTGTTTCACTATCACCATGTTTGATATTGCAAAAACTTTATCACATGACTTTGAATCTGCAATTCTTTTTTTTTTTTCTCCCCATTTTGACACATATAACCTACTCGACGTATTATTCGACAGTACATCCTCCTCTTGCTAGGTACATCTTCACCATGGTTTTGACTCATTCAATAGCCAAGGATGGTACTCACATCTTTCACAATAAGCTAGCCAACAACTTCCTTTTAATTGGCGACAATGGTAATAGCATTGAGACTACTAAGGAATACCCAACAACATTGACTAATACCAACACCAGCATCATTTCATGCATCATTGGTGTCATCAAGTTAAAAGTGAACTCCTATGTGATCATTGCCGATAAGCATCTTGTGACTGGGTCCATCTTAAACAAAGAGATTGCATTGATCAAAAAGTACAAGATCTTATCGTTGAGTGGAGCTAAGCCAACAAGTGAGGAGAAGATTTATTTGGATCTTTTGGATGAACAGTTAAGAAGTGGTACGTTGTACTATTCCGTTGACAATCAATATGATATTACCAACTCATTGCAGAAACAATACACTACTGATCACCCCAAAATTGATGAGAGATTTTGGTGGAATAAATTTATTTCAACGCCTTTGCTTGAAGCTGATTCTAGATTTGAATTCACGACTCCAATCATTTACGGATACTTTAAGTCCCATGCCACTATCTTTAATGGTAGAGCATTACAATTTGCTTTATTAACGCGTCGTTCAACTGAAAGAGCTGGAACTAGATATTTCCGTCGTGGTATTGATGCTCAAGGTAATGTTGCCAATTTCAATGAAACGGAACAATTTGTCACCACTGATGACAATCACATCTATTCAGTATTGCAAACAAGAGGTTCAGTGCCAGTGTATTGGGCTGAAGTTAACAATTTGCGTTACAAGCCTAATTTGGAGATTAGTACTCAACCTTCAGGAGATGCAACTGCAGCACATTTCACTCAACAAGTGGAGTTCTATGGTGACAACTTCTTGGTAAACTTGGTCAATCAACTGGGATACGAGCAGCCTGTGAAACAAGCATATGAAGCGGCTGTGGAAAATTTACCTGAAAAGTTGAAAGCTCATGTTCATTACATTTATTTCGACTTCCATCATGAATGTAAAGGTATGAGATACGACAGAATCAACTTGTTATTGGATCATTTGATTAACTTGGGCTATACTTCAGACAATTACTTTGAAATCGATTTGAACGCAAGACAAATTGTTCATTTACAAAAATCAGTGGTTAGAACGAATTGTATGGATTGTTTGGACAGAACCAATGTTGTTCAAGGTGCCATTGGTAGATGGGTCTTACAAAACACATTGGTTAAATCGGGATACTTGAAATCAATTGAAACTCCATTTGCCAAAGTTGATCCTCTGTTTAATTTGTTTTTTCAAAATTTCTGGGCCGACAATGCAGACGCTGTTAGTTGTGCATACTCAGGAACTGGTGCTTTGAAAACTGATTATACACGTACTGGTAAGAGAAGCTATCGCGGCGCATTGCAAGATTTGAGAAATTCACTTACTCGTTATTACAAAAATAACTATTCCGATGGAAGTAGACAAGATTCATATGATTTGTTTCTTGGTAAATACAAACCATACCAAGATGCAGTTCAATCACCATTTATTGACGTGAGACCAGCTTATGTTCAATTGTTGCCATACTTGATGGGTACGTCATTTTTGATTATGTTGGCAGTTTTGTATTACCCAAGAGGATCATTGTTGGATTTGAAAAATTTGGCAATAATTGCCTTGTGTTTGATCTTTAATGTTAGGAGTTTATCTTGGATTCTTGCTAATGGTTACCAATATGTTGATTGGCCAAGATTGGTTCCTTTGGATTACTTGAGAAAACAATCTACTTATGATGCTGATGGTAAAGTGACTGGCACCAAGTTTGAAAAGACTGACTATTTCAAAGGAATCAGCAAGAAGAAGAATTGAGGTTAGAGAGGGAAGTTAGAATGTGTGCTTGAGTTTTTTTGTAGATTAGATTAAATAGACCTTTTGAGAAGCCGTTTTTTAGTTTCTAGTCATTTTGTCATTAAAATTCTCTTTCTCCTCCTGACGAAAAGATCCAACGACATGAAGAGAAAAAAAAATTTCTACCAAAAAGAGACCAACCCAGTCAAGAGTCAAGATACCAACAACAAACACAATCATGTCAAATATATTAGAAAAGTCACTAGATGACATAATTGGGGAAAAGAAACCCGAAAGAAAGTTTACACCCACAAATAGAAGAGGCAGAGGAGGAGGACCAAGAGGACCAATCTCACGTTTCCACCGTCAACATCGATCTCCACCGTATAGCAGACGACAACCGGATGTATACATCCCTCGTGGAGCAGCAGAGGCAACCACTATGCCAAGCTCTTCTTCAAGCATACCTCCAGATGTATTGCAATTAGCCAATGGACGTCCCACATTACGATTGAAAAATATCCACCCTGATTTGAATGGTGATGATTTAAACAAATTGTTTTCAACAATTAATGATGTTGATTTTATCAAGTTTGACGAAAAGAATGATACGATTGCATACATATGTTTCCAAAATGATTGTGAACGTAGTAATTTAGAAGCAATTGAAAAATACGATGGTAAGAAAGCTATGCAAAAGATTTTAATTGTTGAAAACACAATCAGTTTGGCTGATAGGATTAGTATAGCTCCTAGACCAGTGAGACGAGAAGGGCTTGGTGGTTATGCTGTGAGAAATAGGGGAGGATCAAGAGGAAGGATTTCCAGCCGTCGTGGTGGTGGTGGCGCCGGTGCAGGCAGCAGATCAGGTAGAGGACCAGCACCGAAAAAGAGTGCCGAGGAATTGGATAAAGAGTTGAACGATTATATGGGTAAATCCGACAATGGTGATGCTGGTGAATCGAATGGAGTTCCTGAGCAAGGAAATGTAGATACAGATCTAGATATGAATGGATAAAGATGCTGAAGTGTTAAAAAAATAGTTCAATGTAATTACGTATTAATATAAAATGTACACACTATTTGTGATGAAATGCTAAAGAGATTTTTAAATCAACCCATTCCTTGGGTCAACTCAACCATGCCGATATAAATATTCTTTGTCCTTTTTCTAAATGTCTTTCCAAAATACAAGAATGGAATAATACAAGCAATGGTGACAAAATCAATCACTGCTAAAGCAATATATGTGTTTGCCGTACCGGCTCCATCTAACCAGTACGAACATGCAAATGTGAAAATGCAAGCCAAGGTGTTATTAATGATTGAAACCCCCACCATTCCTTGAATGACAATTTCTGGGTAAGCATCCATCAAGTACGACATGGCAGTGTCACCAATTGACCCCCATCCAAATCCAATAAAACCCAACCCGACATATATGCATTGCCATGGCCATTGTTTATCAGCACCAACTCCAAACATAATGAGTCCAAGTGGTGAGATAATCAATGTGATAAAAAGTAAGTACAACCGGTATTCTGGTTCCATTACTCCATTGTTTCGTTTGGCAATCCATACAACATGTTTATCGGAAAATATACCCGACATGATACATCCGATAACAGCACCAATCAAAGTGGCAACATTCATGATTGCCACTCCAGTATTGCTCTTGTTCCATGGTGGATCATAAAAGAAAGTATCTTGTGTAGTTAGAAAAAAAGTCATGTATGCATCTTGTAATCCCCAAAGTAAACCAGATAACCAAACTGCTGGAAGGGTAAATACTTTGAAGTAAATGACAAAACGGTTGAGGTATTGTTTGAATCCGAAACCTTGCAAGTATGGTGCTGGAGTAATCAATGCAATTCGTTTCAAATATGGAGTTGGTTTCTCATCAGTGGTTTCAATGTCATAATTGGGATCGTTTTTGCGGTTATCAATGGTGGGTGACTGTATAGTAGCCAAGACATCCGATTTTGTTTTTTTATCATCACTTTTCGTCATGTCATTGGTGATGGTTTTAACCTCTGCATATTTATCTCCATCGCCATCTCGACGCTTTTCATCAACAAGTGACGACGATTCAACACCACCACCACCTTGTCTCCCATTTTCAATTCTAGCAGCTTCATAAATCTTCAATTGACGATCATAAACCGTTTCTTCACAACCGAAAAACAACACCACCAAAGTAGCTCCACTGATGATGGCTCCCCACCAGCCAACCCATCTAAATGTCATGTCTTCAGCAATCAATTCCGCAATCAAAGGTCCCAAAAATGACCCTACTGAAGTTGCCAAAATGTACAATGTCAAGACACTACCCAAGTTATTCTGAAAGAAAATATCACTAAGACTTTGTTGTACTTGGGCTTCAGCACATGATTCACTAATACCAACAAACATTTGTGACCAAATGGTATCAGCAGTCTTGCGACTGAAACCAAACCACATACATCCCAAAGTACCAAACAAAAGACAAATCAAATAAGTGATTCTTCTTCCATATAATGATGAAGCTGGTGCGAAAAACATACAGGACCATCCAATGAAAATGAACAATACACCGGCTCCAGTATTCATGGAGTCATAAGAAATGCCATAAACTTCATTCAATGAGTCTTGAGCCGCACCGGCATCGTTGGAAGTGGCAGCAGTCAATGCCGTGATGAATGCCAACAATAACAAATGCCATGTTTTCCTAGGCTTGGACCAATTGAGGGGATCATTAATTGAATCTGAAGGTTGCGGGAGCAAGACTAGCCCATTCTTGTCTCTTTTAAGTGATTTGTTTGATGAGATGGAGTTGGTATCGTGTTGGGTCCCAGTAAGGATATTTGTTGTACCGGGGATGAAATTTTCATCATAGTATTCTGAAGGAACTGTTGAATCAGCAGTAAAATTCATAGTATAATGTGTACAATTGTGAAAGAAACGGTGCTGCGATAATTATGCAAAGGGAAGGTTTTCAGCGTATATGCGTTCTGTCTTTTGTGAATGTAGTCCTTATCTAGTCAGTCAAAGAATCAAAGGAAATAGGAAAAGTGTCAAAATCAGTTGAAATGATGTCAGTATGACATTGTGAGAAACCAGTGGATATATATCTATGAGGACTTAATGCAAGAAAGTAATGTGAATATTTCAAATAAATGGTGATGTCTATTTTCGTTTAATCTCCCTTTGCAGCAATGAGTAATACGTTCCTTCCTCTCAACAGTGATCTCTGACCGTACAAGAAATTGAGAAAGTAAATGGGATACTTTATATACAATCTGGAATTCCGACTGGGCTATTTGAAAAAAAAAAAAAAAAAAAAAAAAAAAAAATTTTTTTTGTATTCAAAAATTTATAGCATATAGACATCGATTGTTTATTTGTGTAACAATCAAAACGAATAACCTTAAATTGCAGAATTAATAGAACAATAAAAATGAAGTGTAAGAATTGGGGCAAATACAGTAAGAAAGCAGCAAAGAAAGCAAAGAAAAGCAAAAGTAATTTCTCAATGCTATCACACAAAAAGGAGACAACGTTTTAAAAAATTGTCCATTTTTTTTGGTTGGGGCAACTTGTCGTGTGACCCATGGTGAATTGCATTGACTTTGCTCAACTATACATATACATGGCTCAAGTGGAAATGAAACGATTGGAGCCACAAGACAAAGTAGCGACTCAATTTAATTTAGTTGTTTTTGAAGGAGATAGAAATGAGGCGCTTTCATTTGGAAAACATTTAGAGAGGGGGAAAAAGAAACGTTTGGATCATCATCCAAAGCTTATCAAAACAATAAAGCTATCTTTTGATTCAATGATGAGAAATGATGATGCCTTTTCATCTAAGCTTATACCCTGCTCCATTGTTTTTTTTTTATGATCATCTTCAATTCTAACTCTTCGGCGGGTAAATTGTATTTTCCAAAAACAAAAATTTCTTTTTTCTCTTTTGTTAATTTTGTGTTACTTCTGCTACTAGCCTTTTAACGTAATAGCTGCTTTTTGGTCTAACCTTGTATTTTGTCAATTTTTTTTTTTTTTCCTTTTTGAAACCGATATGATTGGACGAGGTAATATCTTTTATTCTATTGCGTCGTCACTTGTTCCAATTGCGTATAACAGGCTCATATGTTGCTCATATTGACGATGATTTTTTCTCTTAGCCTTTTGGCTGTCAAATATTTGACAGATGCCAAGATTAAGCTCAAATGTAACCCCAAAACCTTAAAAAAAAAGGAAATTGAACTACACTTTAAATCCCATCTTTTCCATTTTCAAACACTGTCTATACCTAAATAAGCCTACACTTGCTATTTCTCACTTATTCCCCATGGCCATGCAGCTGATTTTGATTCTTTTTCCATTCCAACAACGGAGCCAACTCTTCAATTTTTCCTGACTTGTGCTGAATAAATGAATGCTCCACCAACTCATCTGTAGTAGCTCTATACCTCACATCAACACATAGACAAATGGACAAAAACTTTTTGATGGAGTTACTCAATAACTCTGGTTTCTTCAATTTGGGAGTACCATTAGTGGCAATCAAATACAATGCCTTTAAAGGCTCTTCATTCAAATATGGTGGTTCTCCTTCAATCATTTCAATAGTCATGATACCTAATGACCAAACATCAACCTTCTCATCGTATTCCTTTTGTTTAACCACCTCGGGTGCCATCCAATATGGCGTACCAACCATTGTGGCTCGTTTATTTCTTTGGTCAGTTAATTTAGCACAAAATCCAAAATCAGTAATTTTGACATTCCCTTTTGAATCCAACAACACGTTATCGGATTTAATATCACGATGAATTATATGTTTCTTGTGTAAATGTTGCAATCCTTTCAAAGTTTCAAAACAAATGGTGGCAATTTGTCGTTCACTCAATTTAAATTCATTATTTTCAATAATTTCAGTTAATGATCCACCTTCCATATACTCCATAATGACCCATAGTTCAGAATCTCCGATAAGATAAGAATCCAAGAAATTAACAATGTTTTTATGTTGACTATCCTTCATCACCAAAATTTCATTAATGATCAATTCTTTTCTTGGTTGGACATTCAAATCCATTTGTTTGATGGCAATCTTTTTACCCTCGGAAATCATTTCAGCCAAATATACATTTCCTGAAGCACCTTGACCTGCCTTTTCAATAATTCTAAACAATGGTTTAGGATTGTTGCTGTTTACAACTGTTTTCAATTTAGCAATGATTTGTAAATCATTTAATCTCTCTCGTTCCTTTTTCAATTGTTTGGCAGTTTTGGGTACAGCCGGGCCTTGAGGTGGTGATTGGACTTTTGGTTTGACTTTTGATTTGTCTTGCTGCTGTTGTGACAGTTGCGGTTGGTCTTCTGATCGCTGAGTGCTTTGGTCTTGTTTAGACTTCAATTGCAATGGCTTCACCGGCTCATTTAGCGGATTCAACGGTTTCGTTACTGAATGAGTAGCTCCAGTTGGACCGGTAAGTGGTTGCTGATGTGGTTTGTGATGGTGAGGTGATTGAACAACTGAAACATTTGCGTGTTGTGACTCCAGTGGTGAGCTGTTTTTTGATGTTGGAGAGTAATGCTTGATGCTTTTGTCGCTCATATTTTCTTTATCCAGTGAAAGGCTGGTACTACTTTGTTGAATCTTTAAATCAGGATGAACCTTGTATGTTGGTGTTCTGTTGAAGCTGGCACCAGTAGGCAATGATGGCGGCAATTGTTGTGGTTTGGAAGTAGATTGCTGACGTTGGTGACTATGCTGCGGTTGTTGCTGCAGTTGTTGCTGCAGTTGTTGCTGCAGTTGTTGCTGCGATTTGGAAGATCCTCCTACACTGGATCCTGTCGGTGGTGGAGGTGCTCTTCTTACAGGTACAAGATCACTTTTATCATCCGGTGGTGTAGCAGTGGTATTGTTTGCAGTTGTTCCGGCATTTTTATTGAGTAAATTACTCAAGGGAGATACTGTTGCTGTACCTTCATTGTGTGATTGTTGCGTGGTTAAATGATAAGGTAATGGGGGTTTAGGTGCTGAACGCATTGGTTTAAACTGAGTAGTACTACTCTTTGGAGGTGGTTTAGTCCATTCTTGCAAGTTTGAGTTATGGTCAATAGTGTTGGTCACATTCTTGTTCATATTGACTTGGGGTGAAGCCATTGGAGTTGAAGGATTTGAACCATTGATGTCAGAATAAAACTCCAATACCTCAATAACAGCAGCCGGATCCTTTTTCCAATCCTCATTGGTGATTTTTGAATGTTGTAATAAACTTTTCCAAGTTTCTGGTAATCCAGTGAAATTACCACTAGCAGGATCAAAACCAACGTGAACTTTGTGGGTAAAGTTGATTGGACTTGAAACTCCTGAATTGCCGCCATTTAAAAGTCCACTACTACCATTCAACGACAATGCCAAATTGTGATTAGACTGTAATGATGAATTTGCCAATGCAGATGATGAAGTCGCTGATGATGATGATAATGATGATGCTGATGTAGACGATGGAAAACCAGCAATTGCAACTCCATTTGAGTTTCCCGCTTGTCCAATCTGAGCCGAGGGACATTTACTCGAAAATGCATTTAACCAATCGAGGTACTCATTGCTTGACTTGACTGAGATCAAGATAGATTTGCCATAGTTTTTAGGAATAATTTCAAATGATTGACAATTTTTAGAGTGTCCTGATTGTGGTTTCAAGACAATATTACTAATCAAATTCAATGGCAAAAGCAATTCAGGACTATTTGGATCATTTATACTAGGTTCATTCTTGTAAATGTTTAGTGAGCGATCGTTCATATTCATAAACCTCTTGTTCCATCTAAATGAAGTGAATATACCATCGTCTTTAACATGTACCCAACCAGATTGACGTTTGTTTGAGCCAAGACTAATAGGAATTTGATTGGATGAAGGGGAGGAGGCAGAGGAGGAGGAGGAAGTTGTTTGTGGGAGGGAGTTGATGTTGTTGATGTTTTTTGAGTTTAGCCCTAGCCCCAGTGTTGATGTGTTCAGAAACCCCAATGACGATGATGTAGACTGTGTCGCTACTGGAGGAGGACGTGGTGGTGGTGGTGCCCGTCTATGGTTTTTGAGATCTGAATTATAAACACTCGTCATGTGTGTGTTTGTTAGTGTGTCTGTATGTGTATGTGTTTGTTAGTGTGTGTAGGTGTGTGTGTAGGTGTGTGTGTAGGTGTGTATATATATATATATATACGTATATGCAATTGGGTGATAAATCTTTGGTTGTAAATTAACTACAATTATGAAACAACTAATCTAGATGCAGTTTTAGTAGTTGTGTGTAGCAAAACAAGACGCAAAAGTCAACAGTTGAGGGTATGTCACTTTCTCAAGGAAGTAAGTATAGTATTGGTGTGAGAAAGGACTAGTGTGGAGTAGGTTGGTTGGTGCAAATGCAAATGGTTGAAGTTTCAAAGTTGAGACTTTACAAAAATTTGTTTTCCAGAAAAAATAAAATAAAAAAAAATAAATAAAAAAAAAAAGTAGACGAACACAACCAAAAAAGCAAAACAGCAAAAAAGCAGAGCGAAAAAAAAAAGCAAAAAGAAAAAAAAAAAGGAGGAATTGTATTTGTTTGTTGGTTTGTTTGTTTGTTTGTAATGGGGGGGAGGTGGAGGGCAGTTTTTGAAACAAAACAACTAAACAACTAAACAACTAAACAACTGAACAACTAAACAACTCCTACAGAAAGTAGATATATTTGGATACACATGTATATCCAAGTTTATTTGTGTATGTGTTTGTATATGTGTTTGTATATGTGTTTTGTATATAGATTATGCATAGAGTGTGAAACCATACCCTTGATGTATTTGTAACAAACCCTTATTCCTCTTTTTTTTTTTTCTTTTTATTCATAAACACCCTAACATTACTTGCTACGTATATTTGTCTACCACCCAAAAACCAACGACAATGAGATAACCAGTTGGTACTCACGTGTTTTGTTTGTTTATTGTTTTGAGGAAAAGCAAAACACGTAAACGTGTCAATCAGCCCAACACTATTGACTATGATTTTTGTTTGTAGATCACCCGTCTGAATATTGGTCTAATTACTTGCCATACCAAAAACAACAAACAGGCCTTCTTTTCTTCGTTCTACACTGGCTCCTATTGTTATAAAATGGGGAAGGGGAAAATGAACAGAGGGACGTGTTTGTGTCGACCTTTTGTGCTCACTATAAAACACAAAACACAAACAAAACACAAACAAAACACAAAAGAACAAAACAAAAAAATGTAAACACACACACAGAGACATTTTCTTGATCGGCTAATTCCCAAACTGGTTGAATTTTGGGAATTACACACATACAACATATACTAAGTACCCTCTTTCTATGATGCTGAAAACTTGAAAGGGTAACATCAAGGAGATGCCGCTTTATCTCTTATCCATACTCAACTATACTGCCAACTACCCTTGATGAAAAATTCTAGGAGGGGACGGCATGTAGTCGAATGATTGCCCATGCGAAGAAAAAAAAAAAAAAAAATAAAAATGTTACAACCGACGCTACCAAACACAAACGAAATTTAACTCAATTGAGTATAAAGAGAGTTGATCTCTTTTTTATTTTATTCACACGTGTTGCTGCCCTATTAGACTTCAAAAAACACATATTGACGTGTTATGTCACAAGGCGGAAGAAGTGTTAAGAAAAAGGGGTACAATTACCACCTCCTTTTTTCCTTCCCTGTATTATACCAAGTTTAGACCCTAATTTTCACACATTACGCTTAGTATAAACTTTTCATACATAGGTATAAAGTATAGCCTGATTCTGCTAGGCTAAAATTTAAAAAAAAAAAAAAAAAAAAAAAACAAAAACAAAAAAAGGTTCTATTTTCACTTTGTTTTATAAAATACATACTTGTTCTTTCTCCTCTCTTTGTGTATGTATTTGTGGCTTTGCACAGTAGTAGTAAGGGGGCACCCCTTCCCTGTATCATTTAAACGTCTCCAAGGGAATCAAAACTGTAAAGAAAGTTCGTGATGTTTACGTACAAAAGCCAACAGACGTTGATACCAAATGGACTTTCTCCTGAACACAAACTTACATCTTTAGTACCTTAGTACTAGTGGCCATCATTTACATTATAGTATTTATATTATTTGATGGAGGTTTTGTAGAAATTTTTGCAATAATTTTGGAGCCAAAATGTAGTCCAAATAAAAAAACAAATTGCTTCACAAAATTCTCTACTTTCCGTTCTAGTATTTAGAATATACTAAGCAAACTTCTCTGCTCACCACTACTCAATAGAGGGTCTGTGATGGCCCCTATATTCTCTTTGTTTGCAGCCACAACATAAATCTCACTTTTGTTTCTCACTTGTTTTATAATTAAAAAAAAAAGAGCCGCACCCTTGTAGAAAAACTTGAAGAATTGGGACTGTTCCGAAAAAGATGATGTAATTGTATACTTAGCTTAATCAACCTTTTCAATTCCGTTGCTCATTTCTCACCACCTACGCAACTAATCTATGGTCAATAACTTATGACTATAGCCTCCCATCTATAAATCGTCTTATCCGAGAATCCGAGCATTTGCGGAATAATTCAACCATTGGCAATCTTATTGAGTAGAGGCATTTATTGTTTAAGCTCTAAGCTCCCGACAGTCATTTCATCCACATAAAGCATATTGATAATACCCCCCCCCCCCCTCCCCCCTCCCCGCACACACACACACAAAACACATTCACGTTGTTCAGCACATCCACATCCCACAAGCTTACTATTTGCTTTATATTCCTTCTGGTGCTCATGATCCTTGTACCGAGACAGTTTTATTCAACAAAGATTTTAACAATTCCCCTTCGCAATTTTCAATCTTCTTCAAGTATGAGTATAGACAATTATGATGCCATGAAATATCGTCATTGGGTCAATGCCAATGAGGATCAGTTGACAGATGACTCCAACAAGATATCAATCATGACCTACAATCTTCTTTCACGACACTATATATGGAAAGGAGTATATGATCACAATGATCGTAAATATCTAGATTGGGATACCCATCGGTTCCCTTTAATCAACAAGACTATCAAACAATTTAGTTGTGACATTATGTGTTTTCAAGAAATGGAGTATTCTGTATACAAAAAGTTTTGGTGTTCGCAATTCCCCAACGATAAATACCACAGTTTTTATGTTCAAAAACAATGTCCACTGAACTTGAAGATATACAACAATGATAAATTAGACGGAGTGGGCATATTTGTCAATACTGACAGATTCGACGTTCTAGATCAGTTGAAGATCAATTTTGGCAAAGAAGTTGTTAATCATCGATCAGAGTACAAGTTGACCTCTGATTGGATCCAAAGAGTCATATCAAGAAACACCGTTGCCTTAATATTAAAGCTTCGTGATAAGCAAACAGGAAAAACATATTACATTTCCAATACTCATTTATACTGGTCACCAAAATTTAATGACGTCAAAGCACTTCAAATAAAGATTCTATTAAACAAATTACAACAGTTTAAGACGGAACCCGATGCATCAATAATTCTCCTAGGCGACTTGAATTCCAATTTCGATTCCAATGTGGTTCATTTACTAAATGGCGAATCAATAAACACTACATCATCACCTGAATTCAAGTACCGCAAATATGGAATTAATAATCCATTAATAGATTCCAATGGATTCATAAATAACCCTTTCAAGTTGCACAACGTGTATCAAGACTTACACAGTTCCGATAAATTACCATTTACTAGTTTTGTATCGCGATTTTCTGACGTATTGGATCATGTTTTTGTGAGTGATGATATATTAGTAGATAGATTGTTGGGAGAAGTGGATCCAAGTTATTGTGAACAAAGGGAAGTAAATGGGTTTCCTAATCTTCAGTTCCCATCTGATCACATCCCATTGGTGGTGGAGGTATCCCACAAGTGAACTAATCACAATCACTATTTATTTATTTATTTATTTATTTGCTTACTCATTTACTCATTTATTCACTATTTTATTTATATGTTCTTAGATCAAGAATCTACATTGATACAGCACTCAAATATACTTTTATAGTAGCACATGTTATCTGTCTGTCACACCTTTCACTTTCTCTGTTGCAAAAAATGCACTTCAACAAGTTACAAATGTGCAGCAAACTAAAGTCGTGTGTGGATTTCCAAAAAGTTAACAAGATGATGATGACAAAAAGGAAGAGGAAAAAAAAAAAAATAAAAATGCCAGTCGAAAATCTTCAACAAAAAAAAAAAAAAAAAACAAGCACAGGTTGTTGCATCCATCATTCGTATAACCCAAACTTTTTAATTTATTTTGGTTGCATGATATTGACAATTATACAATCAAGCTATTCTAGATCAATCACAAACAACTATCCAAGTGCCAAAAGAATCGTGTCAAGTTTTAGTGCTGAGAAACAGAAAAATAGAGGAGGCGGAGAAATCTACTGAAGGCAATCTTAATTGAATAAACCTGGACCCATTAGTGAACAAAAGGGTGGGGAAGGTAAAACTACTACGTCACATCACATAGAGTAATAACATGAATTTGGCTAGTAAATTCCAACAAAGCCAGGGCCAACAACCCCAATCGAATCTTCAAGCACAACAAATTTTATTACAACAACTTCACCAAGGGCTGTCTCACCCACAACAACAACAACAACAACAACAACAACAACAACAACAACAACAACAACAACAACAGCAGCAGCAGCAGCATCAGCAACCGCCACAACAGCAGCAGCAGCCACCACAACAACAGCAACAGCCACAGCAACAAGTATCATCTAATGGACTAAGTGCTGGATTCCAACCAGGTGAAAGTTTTAATGACAATTTAAATGGGCTATATCAAAACAACTATCTGCGAGCTCAGCCAAATTTGCAACAACAATTTTTCCCTCAGTTTCAGCAAAATCAGCTGAAGCAGGCTGGCGGAAATAGCCTCAATATTGGTAGTGGTACATCGCAATTGCAACAACCATATCAAGCTAATCATTTACCAAGGCAAGGGCCTCATTTTCAACAACAGTTTTATAACCAACAACAAGCTGTGGCTCTTCAAAAGCAGCAGCAGCAACAACAACAGCAACAACAACAACAACAACAACAACAGCAGCAGCAACAACAACAGAACATACACCAAGCACAACAGATACAATTACAAGGATCTCAAATACAAACTCCCATTCAAAAGGCTAGCACTTTGCACGTTGACAATCCCAACACTAATTTCTGGCAACATCAACAACAGTTGTGTCAGATTTCCAGGGCATCAACTGATCCTCACAACTACGCAAGACAATATGCATCCAACTCAAGAAAATTAAAGAACCCATATGCTGAAACTAAATCAATCGGACTCATTGAAGCTACGAAAGTCATTGTTGCTAGTATTGAAGAAGAAGAACAGAAAAAGAAACTTGCAACCAGGGACCCAGCAAGTGCAGCATTGTTACATAATAAGAAAATCACCCAAGGTCTTGACGATGATTCAATGGAGGAACAAAGAATGCGGTTAAAAACTCAAGGACGTCAATTGTGGTGCCAACTTGATTTAAGTGGACAAGGATTGGTTAACCTTTCACCAAAGTTGTTTCATTATGACTTTTTGGAGTCGTTGTACCTAAACAATAACAAGTTGACTAGTATACCACCTGATATTAGCAAATTGAGAAGTTTACGAACTCTTGATTTATCGCACAATCGAATTGGTGAATTACCCTCAGAGCTTGGCTTATGTTTCAACTTGAGGTTCTTGTATCTTTTCGACAATAATATCAGGTCGTTACCTGCTTCTTTTGGTAATTTGTTTGAGCTTCAATTCCTTGGTGTAGAGGGGAACCCGCTTGATTTGAACATTGCCAACTTAGTGGCTGAAAAAGGCACAAAGGAACTAATAGCTGCCATTAGAGATCAAAAGTCTACAACAACATCACCTGAACCTCGTCATTGGTTACAAGTGGAAGATGATGGTGAGGTTGTTGACACCAAGGAGCCTTATAAACACGAGCAAAGTTCTGGTAATGCATTCACATTGATGTCATACAACACCTTGTGTCAGCATTATGCAACACCCAAAATGTACAAATTTACTCCTTCATGGGCTTTACAATGGGAGTATAGAAGAGAGTTGTTGGAGAAGGAGGTTTTGAATTATAGTACTGATGTGATATGTATGCAAGAGGTTGAAACTAGAACTTATATGGAGTTTTGGGCACCATTGTTGGCACAAAAGGGTTACAGGGGTTTGTTTTTTAGCAAAACGAGATCAAAGACAATGAGTGAAAATGATTCGAAGAAAGTTGATGGTTGCGCCACTTTTTACAAGGTGGATAAATTTACCTTGGTGCATAAGCAAAATTTTGAATACAATAGTGTGTGCATGGGATCCGACAAATATAAAAAGACCAAAGATTTATTCAATAGATTTATGAATAAAGACAACATTGCCTTGATTTCATACTTGGAACATAAGGAAACTGGAGAACGTATTTGTTTTGTCAATACCCATTTACACTGGGATCCAGCATTCAATGACGTCAAGACATTACAAATTGGTATTCTTTTGGAAGAATTGCAAGGTTTTATCAAAAAGTATCAACAAACATCATCAATGGAAGAAGTTAAAAAAGCACCTCTTGTCATTTGTGGTGATTTCAATTCAGTCAAACAATCAGCCGTGTATCAGTTATTCTCCACCGGATCATCCAAAGATCATAGTGATTTATCAGGTAAGGATTATGGAAAATTCACCGAGTCCGGATTCCATCATCCTTTTAAATTAAAATCGGCTTATGATGCTGTTGGAGAATTGCCATTTACAAACTTGTCACCGGCCTTTACCGACAATATTGATTACATATGGTACTCAACGTCGAAGCTTCAAGTGAAGGGGTTATTGGGTGAAATTGATAAAAAGTATGTATCACATTGTATTGGATTTCCTGATCCAAATTTCCCCTCGGATCATGTACCTATATTAGCCAAATTTCAAATAAAGAAATAAGTATTTCTAGATGCTCGTTGCACTTGTAGCGATGTTGTGTTCTTTCTTTTTTTTTGATAGATTTTGTATATTCCAGTTGTTTTGGGTTGGTGTGTTTCATTTTATTTTAGTATATATGATATGTAATGTATGTGTTTTAGAGAAATGCCTTCAATTGTTAATAAAGTGGAGTAGATGCAACCATCTTCTTCGGACTTCTGTCGGTTTCATTCTCTCTTATTTGCGCGACAAAAGATTTCGGAAGAATTGAAACACTTTTGTGCATCTCTTTTCAAGTCGCAAATGCGTTCATATAAAATGCTTCAATTCCCTTCCCGTCCAAAATTGTTCTCAACTTTCCAAACATTCGTTGGACAAAAAGCCCACGCTACATCAACCGCAGAGCAGCTAAATATGACTGGTTCTCTCTTAATCCCAACTGAAAATGACTACTTGGATGCCCACGCTGGTGTTGAGCAACAACAGCAATACAAACACTTGTGGGAAACTGAATTGAAAAATAAACGTAACCCACAGGGACAATTGGAGTTTCCCTGGGATTTTAAAGTAGTTCAAGGATTTTTCAAACAAAGTGAATCTAGTACAGATGATGCTGTTTTCAACTACGCTACTGATCACATGGGACGATTGAAACCATGGAAAGAGATCATTCATGATTTGACCCAGTTGAATCAAGATGCTCCCGATAATGTCGAATACAAGCTCTTGTTCTTGGCCCGTCATGGGAATGGATATCATAATCAAGTTGTTGAAACTTATGGCTTGGACCGCTGGAACAAGGAGTTGCACAAATTGGGACATATTGACGGCATTGAATATGCACCTGACCCGCAATTGACGTCATTGGGGATGGCTCAGGCTGAAGAAAATCATCGGTTATGGCAACAGGAGTTAAAACTAGGTGCACCTATCCCGGCAAAATTCTTTGTTTCGCCCTTGCAACGATCTTGCAATACTTTGCAAATCACTTGGCACGATCTCAAACCAGACACAATTGTACCATACGTGGATGAATTGATTAGGGAAACAATTGGGAAAAACTTGTGTGATAAACGTTCACCCAAACGTGTAATTGAGCAACGGTTCCCTCATTTCAATACTGATGGAGTTGTTGATGAAGAAGATGTGGCGTTTGGTGACGAAAGAGAATCAATGATTGATCAATCGATCAGAATCAACAAGTTTTTACAAAATTTGTTTGAACTGGATTATGATTCCAAGCAAGGTAAAGTGGATGAAAAATTGGCTGAAAGAGATGCATTTATTGCAACTTATTCTCATGCTGGTACTATTCGATGTTTTATTAATGTATTAGGTCATCGTAATTTTACCATTTCTACTGGTGGTATGATTCCTATTGTTGTTAAAGGAACGAGGAGAACCTAGGCGCCGTGGTATAGAGCAATTAGAAATAGACGATTATTAGAATAAACCTGAAAAAGAGTAATTGTATAAGCTGCACATATCGGTTGCACGTCACCGCTGTAATGAAAGCATGATTCTAAAACAGATTTGTATCTTTAGTTGGGGGAAGGGAAGAGGACAAGGCTTTAACAAAATAGAAGTGAGGTGGGGAATTCAAGCCACATCTCGGACAGGGCAATTATCATGTAGAATACATTTCGTTGAGAAACAAGGAACCCCTACCCACAAACTACACTCTCTGGTGTTTTGCTTGCTTTTCCTATGTGATTCGAGTTCTCTTGTGGGAGATCTTTCGTAGTCTGTTGATATAAATACTTGGTAGTTGATATATACTTCTTAAGTCCGCACTAGTAGCTTCTTCAAAACAAATATGATTTTTCGGTATTTTGGCAATTTTTGTGTAACATACTCATCCTTTTTTATTTCTTTTATTGCTCTTGCCTAATTAGGATTGAAAGAACTCAAAGTACACAAACCCAGCAACACATATTCTCCACCAACAGCCGAGGACACAAATTATTACGAAATCTTATTGTTTGGCCTCATCTTTACATCGAAGTAAGCTTTCTCGTGATTGCCCAGTCACAGTAGAGAAGTTGCTACATGACTATATTGTCAACTTTTCTTTTCTTTTTTATTGCATGTTTTTGCTCTCTAGAGTTTAACACTTCGTGCATCCACACTTAAGCTTTTTTGCACAACTTTTATGAAAGATCCCACAATGATTCCCGCTCGGTGAATATAAAACAGAAACGGATAAAACTATAAATAGTAACCCTCATCACTTTATGAGCAAAAATCTATATATTCCATAATAGCTAATTCCACAACCTAGCTCTACCTCCAAGGGACAATCAAAAATGAAAGCTTTGCATATACTTTGCGCATCAGCAGCCGTACTCGCTCAAGCGCAAGCAATATGGCCATTTGATTCAGGTAGTTCATCGTCTACCAACAGCGACTCGACAGAGACTAGTCAACCGTCGGATGATGGAGAGTCATGGTTTCAGTCAGTAGTGGGCAACTTTGGTGGAGATGGAAGTGAATCAAGTAGCACAGAAGGAGCTGCCTCAACAGATGATTCTAATCCTTATGCGCCGTTCAATACCACGTGTCCGTCGGGATCTTTGACACGAGATGCAAACGACATTTCGGATCTAGAAAAGAACTATATTCAGAAAAGGCAAGAAATCACAAACAAAAACTTGATTGACTTTCTTCAAAAAAAGTCAAATTTGACTGATTTCGATGCTGAATCATTTATAAATGACAATGCCAAAGATCACAATATCACTATAGGGTTAGCATTTAGTGGTGGTGGCTATCGAGCTATGCTTTGTGGAGCAGGTCAACTTTTAGCTACTGATGATAGATTCGAAGATGCCAATGAACATGGTGTTGGCGGCTTACTTCAATCAGCAACATACATCACCGGTCTTTCGGGTGGAAACTGGCTTGTTGGTAGCTTGGTAATGAATAACTGGCTTTCTGTCGCAGAAATAGTCAATGGGAGTTCATCGATCTGGCAACTTGAAGACTCGATATTGAACCCTAGTGGTATTCGTATTGACAAGACAATAGCATACTATTATGGCCTACGAGAAGCGGTTTTAGCAAAGGAAGAAGCCGGATTCGATACCACTATTACTGATATTTGGGGCAGAGCCTTGTCGTATCAATTTTTTCCCGATGAAAGTGGTGGAGAAAATATAACATGGTCAAGTGTTCGGAACATGTCTCATTTTGAAGACCACACGATGCCTTACTTTATGGTTGTTAGTAATGCAAGAAAGCCAGGTGACTTAATCATCAATGAAAACAGTACCGTCATTGAGGTTTCTCCGTATGAGTTGGGCCTGTGGGATCCATCACTCAATGCATTTGCCGATGTAGAATATTTGGGATCATCGGTGCACTCGGGGAATCCAAATGACACAAATATATGTGTGCGTAATTTCGACAATGCTGGGTTCATTATGGGTACATCATCATCCTTATTCAATCAAGTTTTGCTTCAGTTGGGAAACTACGATATCAATAGTGTTATTAAATCAATCTTGACTGGGTTGTTGTCTCGTTTGAGTTATGCTGAATGGGATATTGCTTCGTATGAACCAAATCCATTCTTTGGACAAGAGAGTGGGGAATCTGTTGCTATGATCAAGAATGAAACGTTATATTTGGTTGATGGAGGTGAAGATTTGCAAAATGTCCCATTTTACCCGTTGATTCAAAACACTCGTGATGTTGATGTAATCTTTGCATTTGACAATTCAGCTGATACTGATGAAAGCTGGCCCAATGCAACATCAATCATTCTGACTTACAAAAGACAGTTTGCTCAGCAAGGTAAAGGAACACCTTTCCCCTTTGTCCCCGATGTTGAAACATTTCTTGACGAAGACTTGTCATCGAAACCAGTGTTTTTTGGATGCAATGCTTCCGATTTGGATGCACTAATCACTTGGCATAACAACAGTGATGTAAATGCCACTGACGTGCCGTTAGTTGTTTACGTGTCGAATCATCATGAATCTTACTACTCAAACTTTTCCACTTTCAAATTGTCGTATGAGAATGCCGAAAAGTATGGCGCCATTAGGAATGGATTTGAAGTCATGTCAAGAAACAATTTAACCGATGATGACAAGTGGTTGACATGTGTGGGATGCGCCATCATACGAAGACAACAAGAAAGATTTGGCCAAGAGCAAAGTGATGAATGTAAACAATGTTTTAAGGAGTATTGCTGGAATGGAGGAGTTAAAGAGGCTGCTGCTGTGAGTAGTGCTAGTGGATTGAGCGAAATCACTGGACTTAGAACTTCATCCGCTCATTCAACATCTTCTTCAACAGCAACATCATCACCTGCATCATCAGAAACAACCTCTAAGACATCGTCATCATCAGATAATGAATCCACATCTTCCGAGAACTCCTCTTCTTCAAAACAGAACGATGGAGTGATCAATAAAGGACAGCCGTCATTTTTCTTCTTATTAGGTAATTTATTATTAGCTATATTGGCTAACTGAGCCAGAAGCTTTACATTTCAATAGATTTCAATTCGTTGTAATCATTGTAGCGAGGTTTCGATGTTGTTTGGCCTCATCTCGAGAAAAAAAAAAAAAAGAATTGGTTTGAGCATCGCTTCTATTTTTTTTTTTCACCTTATTTACAACGATAGATAGTACTCGACTCCAGCCATGGTCAAATCGTATAACCGTTACGACGAGGAGAAGTGCTTTGGGGTTATTACCTCGCACTCGAATATAATCTGGCTTCCGCCAAGTGACTCCCAATCGTCCACATCTGTTGGACGAGCATTAACATCAGGATTAGAAGAGATCCTCATCTGGGACATCAAGACCGGTGAATTGCTACAACGATTAAATGATGGACTTACACCGGGAGCATCAAATGCTAGTACAGTTACAGCACCTAGTCCAGTATCACACTTGGCGTACCACAGAGACACAAAGTTGATTGCAGCAGGGTACAACGATGGAAAGATTAAGATCTGGGATGCAAGTTCTCAATCTGTCTTGATGACATTTGAGGGTCACAAGTCGAGTATTTCAGTGTTGAAATTTGACACGAGTGGAACTAGATTAGTTAGTGGTTCAAATGATACCAGCATTATCATGTGGGATCTTGTAGGAGAACTGGGGCTATTCAAATTGAAAGGACATAAAGGTCCCATTACAGGGTTGGAATTTTTGTCAGAATCAAAGCAAGACCTGGATTTTGATAGTATGGATGACTACATACTTACAAGTTCAAAAGACGGGCTACTCAAATTGTGGGAATTGAAAAGTCAACAATGCATAGAGACTCATTTAGCACACAGTAGTGAATGCTGGTCGATGGGAGTGAATAGTGACAAAAGTATGGTAATTACCACAGGGAACAAAGATCAAGTCAAAGTTTGGGGAGTCGATCTTAGTCGCGAGGATGGAGAAAAGATTTACGAAAGAGGTATGTTTGAGAAAACGAGTAAAGCCAGAGGCAACGAGTTGCATTTCAAGAATATTAAACACGAGGGTGTGCCAATAGAGCTATTTTTAGTACAGAATGCCGACAGAACCATGGAGATATTCCGCGTGAGATCCGAAGACGAAATGAAGAAAGGAATTACAAAGAGGATGAAGAGATTAAAGGATAAAGGTTTAGATGATGAAGAGATTTTGGAATCAATTCAAAGCTCTGAAATAAGCATGCTTATAACACCATTCACAACTGTCAGACTACACGCAAAAATTAGCTCCTGTTTGTGGACAAGTAGTCGAAAGAAGTTACATATCTTAGCAGCATTGAGCAACAATAGTATCGAATATACCAACATTCGTACTCCAGATAATTTGAGAAAAGTCCAACCCACTGATATACATGCAGTAAAGGAACACACAATAGATAGGTTGGGCCACCGGTTCGATATCCGAGCAATGGATATTTCCCCTGACGATGACAAATTACTCGCTACTGCTTCAAACGGTGAGTTAAAAATTTGGAACACCAGATCATATAATGTTATCCGTTCATTCGTTTTGGAAAGTGGTTATGCTCTTTGTTGTAAATTCCTACCTGGTGGATCTTTAGTTGTTGTTGGGTTCAAGAATGGAGATTTGGAGTTGTACGATTTAGCCACTTCGTCACTTGTTGATCGCGTTGAAAAAGCTCATCAGGTGGTTGATGCATCAGGGGATGACAACAGTGCAGCAATTTGGTCTTTGGATTTGACCTCGGATGGTAAGACATTGGTGACAGGTGGCAATGATAAATGTGTTAAATTTTGGAACTTTAAAGTTGAGCAGGATATAGTCCCTGGGACAAATACTATCGTATCACAACTCAAATTTGTTCATACGCAAACTTTGGATTTGAATGAAGATGTATTATGTGTGAGAGTTTCACCTGATGACAAGTATCTTGCTGTTTCTTTGTTGAATAATAATGTCCAAGTGGTTTTCTTGGATTCGTTGAAATTGTTCTTAACATTGTATGGACACAAGCTACCAGTGTTATCAATTGATATCTCTTCTGACTCCAAACTTATAATCACTTCCTCAGCAGACAAGAACATCAAGATTTGGGGATTGGATTTCGGTGATTGTCATAAATCAATCTTTGCTCATCAAGACTCGGTCATGAATGTCAAATTCATTGGAGAAACTCACAATTTTTTCTCCAGTGGGAAAGACGGGCTTATCAAGTATTGGGATGGAGACAAGTTTGAATGCATACAACAGCTACCAGCACATCAAAGTGAAGTGTGGTGTATGGCTATTAGCAAGAATGGATTATTCATGTGTTCAACATCTCATGACCATTCAATTAGATTGTGGTCCGCTACAAGCGATCAGGTATTTTTAGAAGAAGAGAGGGAGAAGGAAATGGAAGAATTGTATGAAACGAAGTTATTAGAACAATTAGATCAAGATGAGCCCGTGCGAGCTGAAGGAGATGTGGAACAAGAAGATGAAGATGGAAGTGGTGATGTCGCCAAAGTTGGTAAGCAAACAATGGAGACACTAAAAGCGGGTGAAAAATTGATGGAGGCGTTGGACATTGGTATTGAGGATTTGGAAGCCACCAGAGCCTATGAATTGGAGTTGAAAACAAACAAACACGCAATCAGACCCACCCCGAATGCAGCTTTACTTGCTTTCAATATGACGGGACCTGAGTATGTCCTCGACACTTTGATCAAGATTAAACCGTCACAACTTGATGACGCTTTGGTTGTTTTGCCCTTTTCATACTCTCTAAAATTGTTGCAAGTAATGGAAATTTGGACTAATAAAGAAAACATTTCAAGGAATGTGACCCGATTGTCACTAATCTGCAAGGTTTTGTTTGATATAGTTTCATCCAATTCCAAGGAGTTGATTCATCAAAAGGATCCACACATAAAGAATCAATTGATTGCTGTCAAGCAGCAATTACGTGACAATATATCAAAGACAAGCACAAAATTAGGGGTAAACACTCAAGGTTTAAGGTTTATCAAGCAACAATGGAAGCTAACTCACTCACAAGAGTTTATTGATGAGGAAGAGCAACGGCAATATAATGATAAACATGCAATTAAGAGACTGTATAAAACAATATAGAAGGTAGTGTAATGAATTTCGTCTGTATTACTTGTGTCTGAAATGTTTATACTGCTCATAGTGGATTAAAAATTAACAATCTTCACAGCTGCAACCCTATGTTATCCATTGGTTTACCCTGAAAGGGCAGTCACTCCGACTTGTTTTCCATATGTGGTTCGTTTTATTCAGGTAGCGTTTCCACATTTTTTTCCCGCACGCTTTTTAATCTCTTTATTATTTTGTTAATGTATTTTATTTTTTTTATTTTTCTTAGGAATAGAGTTTTCAAACAACTTTACAAGACTTTACGACATCATTTGGTTTTTTCAAACGGGTTAGTACAACTCTTTTTGTATTCATCAGTTGTAATACAACCCTGTATCTGATCTGTCCGAGTTTGATAGCAGTTAACAAAGTAGTGCTGAAGGCGGAGAAGAAGCATAATATTCAGTGGTCCTTTTTTTTTTATTATTTTCCTTCAATAAAGAGCTATCAAAGGATATATGATGAATATCAACAATGGTGTCCCAAATGGTAACAACATGGCCGGAGTTCCTTCATGGCATGGCATGTATACAGGCGAAGAGAGACAGAGAGTTGTTCAGATTATAATGGATACTTTGTCTGACCTTCATGGCACAAACCCAAACTTTGATTTTCAAAAGTTGACAAAAATGGCGCAAGATTTTGAGAGAATAGTTTATGAGAAATCTCCATCACGAGATGATTATTTGAAAGCGATTAAGCTGAAGGTAAGTCAGTTGAGATTGCAGAAACAACAAGTGAACGGTGGCCAATCAGTTTCACCAAACAACCAGGTGAACCAACAGCAGCAGCAGATTTCTCAACAAATGGCACGCAATGCACTGAATACGAATCCAAATATGGGCCCCGCAAATCCACAGAACTTGCAATTTTTACAACAACAAGCTCAAGCTCGTAATCAATCGCAAGCTCAAATTCAGGCACGACAACAACAGCTTCGACAAATGGTCAATAGTCAGCAGGGTCAAGGAATGCAATCATCTCGACCATTGGGGGCGGTACAACCAAACCCACAACAGCAGACAACTCAACAACAGCTGCAACAGCAACAACAACAACAACAACAAACCAATTTCACACAGAGACAAGCATTGAATGCCAATGGCCCCACAGGCGCAGATCAACAGGTTCCTCCTCAACTTCTTCAGCTCATTCGAAGCTCCCCCATACCTCCACCTTTACTTACCAAAATACCCAATTTACCCAAGGGTGTGACTACTTGGAACCAAATTTTTGATTGCATCAAAAGAAAAGTCATTTCTCAAGATATTCTTCCCTTGGTGAGGGATATCCATTCTACTCATATGCAATTGGTTATGCGTCAACAACAACAAAAGATGAATGTTCGTAATGAGGGTAATATAGCTGGTAACAATACGAATCAAATCAATGATAACGAATTAAAAACGAATCAAGGAAACCCTCCAATTGGACAGGTAAACTTTAACAACCTTACTCCTCAACAGCGACAACAGTTGTTACAAAGGCAGCGCGAATCGCAGCAACAACGTCAACTATCACTGGGAGCAAATCAACCTGGGCCGGGATTGAATCAAGATTTTGGTCAACAAGGTCTTCCTCAGCAACAAGGGTTATCCCAACAAGGCCCCCCTCGACCTGTACCTCAGCAGCCTGTTCCCGCTCAAAAAGCGCCATTCCAACATCCTCAACTGCAACAGCAGCAGCAGCATCAACAGCAACCTCAGCAGTCATTTGATCAAAGACCACCACAATTTCAAGTTACTCAACAAGATTACGCAAAATATTCAAACGACGCATTAACGTTGCTCAACCGTTTACAACAGCAAAAGCAAATTGCTGGTCAGCTTGATTCCAACATGAAGGAGACTTTTATTCGAAAGTATATCCTTCATCAAAAAAACCAACTCTGGAAACAACAAATCGCAGCGCAGAGTGGCTCAACGGGACTAGGAATACAAAATGCCCAGTCACAAGCTCAGCAACCCATCCCTCAAATCGCTCCAAATGTCCCAATCCCCATGCAACTGAATGGTGGTAATCTGCAAGGTAAACAAGTGCCAATCTCCCAACAAGGACTGCCTATGATTGGTACGTCAAACACTCCACTGATGAAGCCTAATATGGCCCCACTGAACAATCTATCGTCCCCTGTACCGAACCAGAGGGGCCCAGTGATGAATGACTCTTCGGCTCCTCCTGGAAGGGCTGGTCCAGCAGCTGCTAACCCCAGTTTGAGCTCCTTACTCCCTCCTCTTACCGATGAGGCAAAACTTCGTCTCAGACAGTTAATTGAGGAAGTCTCAAGAAACAACGTATTGTTGCGAGATGTGACGACATTGCTTTCTCCAAAAGACAAGGGTGCAGTAAGAGACTCGATGAACCGAATCCAGGAAGAATATGGAAATGTCGATTCGATTATAAGCTATTTTTACTTATTCACTAAAAATATCGAAGGAACAAAGAGACTCATTCAAATGAAGTATATGACAAAAAACATTTTGGAAAACTTGAAGCGAGGAGTTTACTTAGCGGGCCCAGATTTGCTAGACAAGTTGAGAAATCAGTATGCCAAATATTTTGATTATGTTAAGGAGCAAATATCCCAACGCAGACAACAAATTGTAGGTGGCAGGAATCCAGGGGTACCTCCGCAACCTCACGCCATTCAAGGTCAGCAACAACAACCACCCCTACCACCAGGGCAGCAACAACAATCACAACCACGAGGACCACCACAACCTCAGATGCAAGCTCAAGGTGTCCAGCCTATGGTACAGAATGCTCAAGGAGTGATTGAACAAATGTTTGGAAATTCGAATGTGCAAAATTCGCCTCATTTGTTTGCACCAACTTTCAATCAATCCCCGCAACAACTCAACCAGGGTCTTCCTCCTCAGATACCACAACAGCAGCAGCAGCAGCAGCAGCAATTTGCAAACCAAGGCATGCCAATGGTGGGTGGTTTGGGACCTCAACCAACTCAGCAGCAGATGCAAATGAATCAGACGTGGGGTAATGCTGGTAACGTACAAAATAATATGCAACAGCAATTTGCTCCTAATGGCCAACAACAAGGTGTGCAACAGGTACCTCTACAACAACGCAACTCGGTGCTGCAAACAAAGCCCAAGAAGGCGCCACCAAAGAAAAAGCGTAATAGTACGGCAGCCGCCGCAGCCACTCCTAATGCCATTGCATCGTCTATAAAAACACCCCATAATGTGGCTACACCACAGATTCAAAATTCATTGCAATCTCCGCAAATCAAAAGCACTCCAGCCCCATCAGCACCAACACCGAAACCCAATGCCCCGCCTAGTGTACCTGCAACAACCGCACCATCTACAGGTCCCGCTACTGTTAGTGGGACCACGCCAAATACACACACCACACCAGAGATTGACATTTTTTCAATGTCAAGCGATCTGGTTAAGCGAAGGGAGCTTTCCCTCACTGACCCACAACAGTTCTTTGTTGAGTCTTTGAGAAAGCTTCTTGAGTTGGATGGACAAAGTAAAGAGTCGCGCGTTAATTCTGCGGCTACACTTTGTGCTATAAGTACTAGTTTTAGACAAGTTCAAGAAATTGATGAAGTATGTGAAAACGTTTTTTAGGGATTTTAATACACGATAAATTGAAAAAGAGTAGGCTTGTTTCAACTGAGTGTGTTAGTTTCATGCTCAATGTTTGTGTGGCTCGCGAAAGTTGACTCGAAAAAAATGGAAATTATGACATATGAATCAACAAAAACACCCACCGTGAATCGAATTCAATATGGCCCCGCTATTCAACCCAGAAGATAAGAAAATCTCAGTGGCATTTGTATGCTTAGGCAACATGTATGACACAATAATCTCTCTTCCCCCCATTGCGTTCTAGACAAGTACTAACTGTTGTCCTTTAGTTGTCGGTCCCCAATGGCAGAAGCCATTTTCAAGCATAGAGTCCAAGAGTTGGGATACGCACCATATTTTAAAAATATTGAATCATTCGGTACTTCGGGATGGCACATAGGCGAACCACCAGATTCTCGATCGGCCAAAACTTGCAGAAAACATGGAGTGCCCGTTCAACACTTTGCGCAACAAATCAGTTCCAAAGATTTCGAGAGGTTTGATTACGTTATTGGTATGGATGAAAGTAACTTATCGGACTTGATGTATACGAAACCAAAAACAAGCAAGGCGGTTGTTGATTTGTTTGGTAGGTGGAGAACTAATATGGAGTTTGATAAAATTGTGGGAGATCCTTATTATGGAGGCATTGATGGATTTAAGTACAACTTTAACCAAATCTGTCATTTTACTGATGAGTTCTTGAAACAAGAAATAGGAACATTAGAGTAGATAGTGATATTATAGAAAAAAGTTATACATTTGTGAGCTTTTTAAGGTGTGCTAGTTCTCTGTGGAAGAGAGCTGCTGGTTGCGAAGAATTTTTTTTTCTTTTTTGCTTCTCACTCTCACTCGAAATCGATTTTTACAACACAAGTTTTCGAAGTCACCACAAGCTTTTCAGATAATCTCTATCGATCAATTCGAAAAATGAGTGCCAGAAAACTACAGCAGGAGTTTGATAAGGTCAATAAGAAGATTGCCGAGGGTCTTGCGGCGTTCGATGACACCAAGGAGAAGATGCAAAGTTGTGAAGTTCCTTCACAAAGAGACAAGTTGGAGAATGACTTGAAGAAGGAGTTGAAGAAACTACAAAGGTCGCGAGATCAGTTAAAGATATGGTTGGGTGATAGTAGTATAAAACTAGACAAATCTTTACTACAAGAAAATCGAACAAAGATCGAACACTCTATGGATATATTCAAGGAGTTGGAAAAGTCATCCAAAATCAAGCAATTTTCAAACGAAGGGTTAGAGCTACAACGAGAGAGCAAGAAGCTGTCACGTTTTGGAGATGTAGAGAAACTACAAGAGGCATGCGATTACATTTCAGGAGTGATTGAGCAGTTGAACAACCAGAATGAAGAATTGGACCAGGAGTTGGATTCACTTGGAACTCAACTGAAAAAAAAAGGTGGCTATTCTCTACAAGGTTCGATAGAGGATCTCAAGTACAAGATAGACCGAAATAACACTCACATTGAGAAGTTAGAAGAGGTTTTGGATAATTTAGAGAATGACAAGTTAGATCCTGCCAAAATTGATGATATCAAGGATGATCTAGATTACTATGTTGAGATGAACCAAGACGAAGATTATGTTGAGTATGATGAATTTTACGATCAGTTGGAAGTTGCTGATGACGAAGAAGAAGAGTTGGAAGTGGAAGGAAGTTTGGCACAAATGGCTGCAGAATCGTTTGAAGAAGAGGAAAGAAAGAGATTGGAGCTCCAACAATTGGGAACCCAACAGCCAGAAGCCACGAGGGCAAGCCAATCTTCTGCATCCTCATCCACGGCACCGCCACCGCCACGCCAAGCAAAATCCGGATCTGTGTCGTCATCCTCGGATGCTCATTCACACGGGCAACATCATGCAAACACGACTACCGGTAGTGTGAAAGCTGAAGTGCTGGCAAATGGTACTGTTGCTACTACTACTACTACTACACCAGTAAAGAAAGCCAAGCCAATGAATGTGGTGCCAGCACCTCCCCCACCGCTCACCAGTACTGTTTCTTATTCAAGTGCGATCAAAGCTGCACAAGCAGCCAATGCTCAGGAATCAACCGCTTCGTCTGTACCAAATAATATGCCCAGTGCAAACAATACTCCAAAGGTTAACAATGATGTACCTCTTGCTAAAGCGTTGGCGTCTACTACTTCCAGTACACCTATCAAAGCACCACCCCCAGGTTTGAGTCAGCCACTTTCATCTGTGAGGTCGCAATCTGCGTCCCCACTTACGAGTGACTCTAACTTAAACGACATGGATCAGCGAGCATCGCAGCAATTAAAGAAGAAGTTATCAAATACTTCACAAGCGTCATCGGCTTCTAATTATGATTCTGGTTTGGGTGACTCATTCAATTTGTTGATGAATATAACCAGCAGTCGATTAAATGATCCATTACCCATTCAATCTGTTGGCAATTTGCTAGAGACATCATTGTTAAACTGTCCTGATTCATTTGATGCAGAAAAACCACGTCAATATGTGCCATTGAACGTTCATCCGTCGCTGATTGATTACCCTCAAGAGCCAATGTTTGAATTGAATTCTGCACACTATATGCTGAGATTTGATGATGACACATTGTTCTTTTGCTTTTACTATAGTGAAGGTATTGACAACTTTGCTAAATTCAATGCAGCAAATGAGTTGACGAAAAGAGGTTGGGTATTTAATACTGAAGTCGGTCAATGGTTTTCCAAAAAGGAGACCAAACCTTCTGGATCAAAGAGATTGCTGATGTTGCTTCAAAAGGAAGACTCTGTAGAACCTCAAGGTGAAGTTAATGGTGATGCTCCATTTAAGAAATACTTTGATGAAAAGACATGGCTCGTTAGAAATGCAAACCTGAAGAAAGTATAGTGGTACTGCCAATTGTTCCGTACATACATAACTTTACTCAATTGTGTACACCCGCCTAAATTCTGAAATATTTAAGTAGTTGTTGTATTATAAACTTTAGAAAAAGTTGATGATGAAATGGATGTAAACTGATTGTCACAGTAGAGAATGCCCTAGAAGAGAAATCACAAAGCGAAAAGCCGAGGGTGAATACGGTATCAGTTAACTGTACGTTGTAGAAAGAACACACACACGCCATCGCTAACACTGGTCTGAGAAACGGTTTTCTGGCAATCTCGATCCAAAATTTTGTACTTCGAGACCACCAGATCCCCAAATTGATTTTCCATATTCGCTTAAACGTAAAGGAAAGGGCAAAAAAAAAAGAATCGAAAGTGTGTTGCACAAAAACAACGTGATTCACGCGATTCCATTTTCAGAAGATAAAAATGAAGTCGTGAAACAAATTTAGGATTGAGAGTGTAGTGAAAAGCTTGTAGGAGGATCGTTAAAAGGATGAGAGTAAAAGCCGACCAAAAGGAACAGTTAACTGGTCTACCTAAAGTATAAAATATCTCATAAAATTCAACATTGCACCCCTTTTTAGACCCACGTCTTTAATCTTGTTTCGTGTAATTTCTGTCCAAAACTTTTTTTTTTTTTTTTATTTCCTCCCCTTTGTGCAGAAAACGGTACGATTTCAGCATCGCCTTTGGTAATTTGACTTTTTAACTATTTCGTTTAACTTACTTTCTTATACAAAGCCTCAGGCTCTCACTATCGCTCCCAAGAAGACAACTTTTATTCAAGACATAACAGATTGACCCATTCAAGTACTGAAGACCACCACCACATAATCATCATTGAGACAAATGGCGGTCACGAATTCGTATATTTTTGAATACGGGGACCTAGTACAGAGAGATGAAGATAATGACGGGTGTGTTACAAACTGTCCTACACTACCCAAGTGTGTTTGTAGTAAAAAGAATGAAGTTTGTTTTCAAGTTTCACAGACATGTGCCAAATGTGCTTACAACAAGTGTGAGATCGATCCGTCATCTCACCACACAAATACAGGAGCAATTGTTGGTGGGGCTATCGGAGGAGTTGTGCTTGTTGCCTTGCTCGCTGCGTTATATTATTATTTTCGTGTGTACAAGAAGAAGCCACCAGTATTGTTAGATGACGAATATGACTACAGTTATCAGGATGAAGATACAGACGGGATTGTTTCCGATAAGGGGGGAGGATATGCGTTGCATAGTTTGGCCAGTAGAGGAGCCAATAACTCACGGTCTAACATTCTGGACCAATTAAGTCCAACAGAGTCACATTTCTCTGGTATTGGTAAACGCGAAGGTCACTTGAATAATACGGTCTCTTCTCCAACACATACTCACTTTGGTAAAGATGCAACTGCAACTGCAACTGCAACTGCAACTGCAACTACAACAGCAACTGCGGCAAGGGCAGGGGCAGGGGCAGGAGCAGGACAAAAGGGTCCTCACGGGGGGCATAATGGTGCAGTTGCTGGCTCAGCTACACTTGAACGACCGCCCATGCGTCGGGTACTTTCTGGTGAGGCAAGGGCTAAAGCCAAAAGAAGAATATCTTCATATGAATCATTCACTCGTCCAAATGCTCTTAAACTGAAGTCAAGACAACAACAACAATTGGCAGCTCAACAAAGGCGAGCAAGGCAGCAGAAGATTATCAAACAAGCTAATATGCACCAACAGCAACAACAGCAGCACATGCAACAGCAGCAGCAGCATCCACAGGGAAGCGATGGAGCTAATCAAATTTACATGAATCATTCACATAGGAGTTCAGTTGCCACATCGATTTCCAATGCGTCAAACATATTACCAATTGCCTATATTCCCGGTGTCACCGTTCGACCAACTAAGAACAATACGAGGTCTTTATATTCTTATGATTCAGAGTCTTTGTTTTCTGATTTGAACACAATTGAGAATGCCAGTATTGTTGGAGAGAATGTAGCTGGTGTTCAAGGACAAGCAGCCAGTGTTCCCCCAAGTGGAGGTGGTAATGGCACAGGTGCTGTTACAAATGCATCTCCAGCGACAATGACTGCAATCAAAGCTCAACCTAAATTGGTAAATGTAGACAAGATAGAGGAAGAGGAAGAAGATGAAGATTTGAATGAAGAGGATGAAGATTCATTTGATATAATCCCCCATCACGGATTTACTATAAAGTCAATTCGGGATGACACAGATGATAGTGATATTGATTCGGATATTGGTCAAATTACAAGAGCGACATCAGTGAAACGATTGAATAAGAAAAGCATTAGTCATTCCGATGTTGAAGGTACGACAATGAGAAGTTCAGATCACACGCCAAGTAGTCTAGCGCATACTCGGGAGATTTTGATAAACAGTGAATCGTCACTGAATATATCTCATATTCCTGCTGATGTGATTCGATATAATGATACTGACTCCAATCGAGATGTTGCATCCACTGTTGGATCATTCCTTTTTGACATTGAATTTGAGGACAATTCTGCATCTTCACCGTCAAATATTGCTTTTGATGAGTCGAATCGCAAGGGGAGTCCATTTGCTGACGGTAGTGATTAGAGACATATTTAAGGACAAAAGATAACTGAATCTAATTGTAGGACATAAGCGTTAGTGAAGGGTAGCGAGCCACCATTTTTTGTAGTGAAAAGTTTTCCTATATCCGATAGTGCGGAAATGATACAAAACGAAAAGAAACGTTAAATACCAACAAAACAAAGGGGATTCTACACAAAGTTATGTATACTCTACATGATGAATTTGCTGGACGAATCTCACGTGGGAAGGAGGATAAGCAAAAATCTGGGAGAAACAGAAATGTTATTTGTTGGGGATGATGTTATGAGTTTTGTGTTTAAAGTACAACTTTTCCAACCAAAAGCTTTTCCGGAATGGGTAACAAAGTCATTGGGTGGTGGTAAAACTACTGCCCTCTGTCGCTAGAGCCGCTTTGGTGTAGCTATACAGTTGAGCCGTTCTGTGTGTGTGTGTGTGTGTATGTGTGTGTAAATATGCGTTTAAAGAGTAACATCAATGTGTCAAATCAAGTATGTCTGCGTTTGAAGTGAATATAGCAAAAGAATGCAACATTATGTAATGAGGTTTTGATGAAAAAGAAACCTTTTTTTTTTTTCACTGTTGTCCGAAATGTAACTTATTGACAATAGCTTTGTGCGAAGTAGTAGTTGTTGATGAAAAAAATTGCCCCATATTTCATTCACAATTGGGGCGGGGCGATCGAGATGTAGCCTAGATCAAGTTCTCTACAGGTTAGGACATCAATTTTGCTATTTCAGGGTGTCTCGGAAAGATTGTAGTTACAAATCCGTTAAGAAATTCAAGTTCTCTATTACTACTATTATGTAATTGATTAATAAATTGCGTATGTATATGCAGGATTTGCCATTTTGCCCATTTTTTTTTGATTTCCTCCGACAAAAACGTGAATTTGTCAAATTTATAGCAATTTATTATAAATAACAATTGCTTCCTTTCTTCTTTCTTCTCTTCTTCTCCTTCTCTTCTTCCAACAATTGTACTCAAACCAAAAGAATTCAAACTACAATGTCTGCAATTGATAAGTTATCCGTCAGTACTATCAGAGGTTTATCCGTTGACGCCGTCAATGCCGCCCAATCTGGTCACCCAGGTGCTCCATTGGGTTTAGCCCCAGCTGCTCATGCTTTGTTTAGAAAGATGAAGTTTAACCCACAAGACCCCAAATGGATCAACAGAGATAGATTCGTCTTGTCCAATGGTCATGCTTGTGCTTTGTTATATTCCTTGTTGGTTTTGTATAAGTACGATTTAACTGTTGATGACTTGAAGCAATTTAGACAATTGAACTCCAAGACCCCTGGACATCCAGAAAGATTGGACACCCAAGGTGTCGAAGTCACCACTGGTCCATTGGGTCAAGGTATTTCCAATGCTGTTGGTATTGCCATTGCTCAAAAGCAATTTGCCGCCACTTATAACAAGCCAGATTTTCCAATTTCAGACTCCAAAATCTATTCATTTGTTGGTGATGGTTGTTTAATGGAAGGTATTTCTTCTGAAACTTCTTCTTTGGCTGGTCACTTACAGTTGGACAATTTGATTGCATTTTGGGATGACAATAGAATTTCCATTGATGGTGACACTGCTTGTGCCTTTACTGAAAATGTTCCAGAAAGATACAAGGCATATGGATGGAAAGTTTTGGAAGTTCATGATGCCAACACCAACATTGAAGCCATCTCTGATGCCATTGATGAAGCCAAGAAGATCAAGGGTGCTCCAGTCTTAATTAGATTGGTCACCACTATTGGTTACGGTTCCGAACTTGCCGGTACCGGAAAAGTTCACGGTGCTCCATTAGCAGCTGACGATATTAAGCAATTGAAAAAGAGCTGGGGTTTTGATGCTGAAGAACAATTTTTCATTCCAGATGAAGTTGCCAACTACTTTGCCGAAAAGGTTGAAGAAAACAAGAAGGAACAACAAGCTTGGGAAAAATTGTTCAGTGAATATAAAGCTAAATATCCAAAGGAGGGTGCTGAAGTTCAAAGAAGATTGGATGGTAAATTACCAGATGGATGGAAGAAGGCCTTACCAACTTATACTTCCAAAGACAAGCCAGCTGCTACCAGAAAATTGTCAGAAACAGTCTTGAATGCTTTGTATCCTGTTATTCCTGAATTGATTGGTGGTTCTGCGGACTTGACTGGTTCTAACTTGACGAGAGCTGCCAACTCTGTTGATTTCCAACCACCATCTACCGACTTGGGTAACTATTCTGGTAGATATATCAGATATGGTGTAAGAGAACACGGTATGGCTGCCATTATGAATGGTATTGATGTTTTCGGTGCCAACTACAGAAACTATGGTGGTACATTCTTGAATTTCGTTTCATACGCTGCAGGTGCCGTTAGATTGGCTGCATTATCACACCAAGGTGTTATCTTTGTTGCCACTCATGATTCTATTGGTTTGGGTGAAGATGGACCAACCCATCAACCTATTGAAACTTTGGCTCATTTAAGGGCTATTCCAAACATGTCAGTTTGGAGACCAGCTGATGGTAATGAAGTTTCCGCTGCTTACATTTCCGCCATTGAAGGTCTTGATCGTCCAACTGTTATTGCTTTGACCAGACAAGGTGTTCCTCAATTGGAACACTCTAGCATTGAAAAGGCTTTGAAGGGTGCTTACACTGTCTGGCCACAAGAAAAATCAGACATTATTATTATTTCTTCTGGTTCTGAAGTTTCCATCTCCATCGATGCCGCTAAGGAATTGGAAAAGAAGGGAGTTAAGGCTTCTGTTGTTTCCGTTACCGATTTCTACACTTTTGACAAGCAACCAATTGAATACAGATTGGAGGTCTTGCCAGATGGTGTTCCAATCTTGTCGGTTGAGGTCTTGTCCACTTTCGGATGGTCCAAGTACTCTCATGAACAATTTGGTTTGAACAGATTCGGTGCTTCAGGAAAAGCTGGTGATTTATACAAGTTTTTTGAATTTACTCCAGAAGGAATTGCCAAGAGAGCTGAACAAACTATTAAATTCTACAAAGGAAAGACAATCTACTCTCCATTACACACCGCTTTTGAAGAGTTGAAGTAATCACTGTGTTAGGTTTGATAGTCCTTGAGTATTGGATGTAATTCAAATATAGAACGTTTTCATTAAACCATCTCATTTACTTGTAAGTATCGAGAACATATCTACCCAATATTTTATTTTCTTCCATCTCTTGAAACACGCGTTCCACCTCCAGCAAACCAACAACTTTAATTGGGCATTTAACCAAACCTCTATGGAAGAAATCAATTGCTTCGGTAGTGTCCCATTTGGTTCCCACATATGAACCTCTAATAGTAACTTGTTTAACAACAGCAGTCAAGATATCAATTGAGAGTTTTGCGTTTGGTGGCAATCCAATCAAGATTACAGTTCCACTGGCTCTAACATAATCCACACTCATTTGAATAGCTTGCTCAGAAGATGCGACATTTAATGCTGCATGAGCACCTCCATCAGTAATGGCAATGATATCTTGAGCAACATTTTTTGATTTGGTAAAGTCGACATATGCTTCAGCACCCAAACTCTTTATAAATTCCCCCTTTTCTTCACCCCCATCAATCCCCACCACTCTCAACCCCATGGCTTTAGCATATTGAATCGCTAAAGACCCCAACCCACCAGCAGCTCCAGAAATGGCAACCCACTGGCCCGGTTTAGCTTCTGATGATTTCAAGCCTTTGTAAACTGTGATACCAGCACACAATATTGGTCCCACTGATTTCAAATCGATATCCAGAGGTAATTTTGCCGCTTGAATGGCGTCAGTAGCACAGTATTGTTGAAAAGTACCATCCATGGTGATTCCATTTAAAGTTTTGGTAGGACAAATAGCTTCATTTGATTGTTGACAATGTTCACAATTCAAACATGTTGCGTTGACCAATTTCACTCCGGCTAAATCACCAACGGACCATCCTTGAACATTCTCACCAACTGCAACTACAACACCTGCACCCTCGTGACCACCAACCAAGGGAAGTTTGTATGGGATTGGCCAGCCACCTTTCCATGCAGTTAAGTCGGAATGACACACACCAGAATACTTGATATTGACGAGGATTTCCGTAGGCTTGATTTGAGGCACTGGAATGTCTTTGTACATCAATGGGCCGCCATTGGTTTCAAATATGACGGCTTTTTGAGTTTTAGGGATTTCAGTAGACATGGTGGGTGTTTCGTTACGTGGGTTAGAAAAAAAGCGACGATGATCTCAAGCAGGATTGGCTATTTGGTTCCATCCTTGATAGGACAATGCCAATCATATTTATAGCACTGTAGATGATTTTGTGGGGTACACTATATAATAATAATTGGTCTGATTTAGTGGGGAAGGGAGGGGGGGGATCACCAAGAAAAATAACTAAACAAAGCAAAAAGTCGGCCTTGTAGAGGTGTTCAATATTTGATGGGTAACGTATCCGGACTTAGCACATAAACTAGCTATGCCACGCTTTTTTTGTTCTACGGACCAACCTTCTCCTTTTGGTGAAATTGAATAACATAATCGATTTTTAACGAATGCAGTCAGCGAGAATCGCATGAGCTGTCAAGGGGGTGTTGATTAAAACGAGCTAATCTTGATGTATCGTGAAGCAATCTACACGTATGAATGTGATGAAAATAGCGTATGCTTCGTGAAATTGAAATGTGGGGAAGACAAAGGAGCTGAATTTAAATCCGATATGTAAACAAGTTACAAAATGGATCTAGATTCCCGCATTACCAACTGTCAAACCTTATCCGTCGTTTGCTAAAATATCATCTTGATAAGCAAGACTCCAAATGTATGAACTTTCTCGACTGTTTCCTGATCAACGAATATACCAAGTAATCTTGATATACATAGTTGTTATCTTCTTGACATCTGCGACCCCACTGGTATATACAAGTACCTTGATTTGACTCCGTCAAAATGATCAAATAGTTATTGCAATGAAAGTTGCTACGCGTGGGTATGGAAACGTTACCTGAACTGAGAACCTTGTCATGACAATGTATCACTTTCTTGGGCTGAATGGCGTGATTATCATTCGGACGCTTGTAATTCGTTGGCAGAAAAAAAAACACTTCACAAGATGCGTGCGTTTCAAGGGCCGCCAATGCGAACAGGCAAGAAATGCAGCCAAGGCTGGTACAGTACAAAGTCATTTAACTACCAACCTACATAGAATAATATACATGTCGTTGAAATCACTACCGAAGAACTCCAATGTCGCTGTATTGGGAGCAGGAATCCTGGGACTTACATTCACATACTTTTTGAGTAAATTGCGACCCGACTTGAACATTGAAATATTTGAAAAATCCAATAGACCAGGTGGCTGGATGTATCTGCCACACCTTCATGTTACTAAAACCGGTGAGTCTATTTTGTTGGAGAAAGGACCACGAACATTACGAGGGATTAAAAATGGGAGTTTGTTTATGATTGATATCTTACGAGACTTGAACATACAAGATCAGGTTGAAGTTATTCACAAATCAAGTAATGCTAATCGAAAATACATAACTGATGCACAAGGTGAAATTGTGCAGGTTCCTAATTCGTTGGCAACGACAATTGATTTCTTCAAACACGTTCAATGCGTTGACGGGAAATTGATCAAAGGGTTGATAAAAGAGCCATTTGTGAAACCATTGGCTCACGACGAGACTGTTGAACAGTTTTTCAAGCGAAGATTTGGGAGCACTGCATTGACTGATAATGTTGCTAGTGCGATCATGCATGGTGTGTATGCTGGTGACATTGGTAAATTGAGTATGAAAAGTGTGATGCCGTTTTTGAAGGATGTGGAAACCCAATCTGGATCCATTGTAAAACACATATTAAGATCAATTGTGAAAAAATCGGCAAAGAAGAATGGGTTGGAATTGCTGACTGAATTGCAATTATATGAAAAGTTGATTTCACCAGGGGCTAATTTCTTTGCCTTGCAAGATGACCTCAAAGCATTTCCTATGATTAAGCTCAAGGATGGGATGGAGACTTTTCCCAAACACTTAGCCAAGTACTTGGTCAACAACACAAACACAAACATCCATTATGGGACTCCAGTTCGACAATGTGATCCTAAATTAGGAGAGGTGAATGGGCAGTCATTCGATCATGTTAGAAGCACAATCAACAGCCACTCTTTAGCTCAAGCTTTACCTCAGGAGAATCCCCTTGTGCCAGATTTAAAGTCAGTTGAATATGTTAGCATTTTCTTGACGAATTTGTATACCAAAAAGCCAGTTTTGTTGCCAAAGAATAAACCAGGTTTTGGATTTTTGAGACCACGTCATCAAAACATTGATAGGAACCCACAAGCGCTACTTGGGACAATATACGATTCAGATATCGAGAATAATGTACAAGGCTTATTTACTGGAGAAAAAGCCACTCCAAATGAGTGCAACAAAATAACTATAATGATGGGTGGTCATTATTACAATTGTTGGAACATCCCATCAAACAAATTGAACTTGAAAATTGTCAGGGATGTGTTGCAGGAGAAGTTGAAAGTAGATCTATCAAAGTATAATATTAAAGTCATTGATGAAGGACAAGAGTTGGAAGTGGATTCAATCGAGCCCAATGATATCGTAATCAGCTACTCCTTGCATAAAGATTGTATTCCGCAATACAATTTGGGATACCAAGAGTTGAAAGCTAGAGCACTTGATGTTTTGGAGAAAAACAATTACAAGCTATCATTTGGCGGCACTGTATTTGCTGAAGGACTCGGGGTTCCCGATTGTGTTAGCAATTCATTTACTGACGCTGTTAAACTCATGTAAATAGTAAACTGTGCTGGCATTGTACACATTGAATCTTCTGCTTATAGAAACAACAATTTCTTCTTCCTCGGGTAGTAAAAGAAGAGGGGTGAAAGTTTTCATCTTGAGGTGTCCCCTCACCATATAACCCACTTTGACTATAGAAACTACCCATCCTGCATTATGTGCGAGTAAATTAGACATTGGCCAATTTAGGGGGAGCATCAGTTAACGATGACCACCAAAACCGAATGAGGAGATTGGTAAGTATGTACTTGGTACGGAGGGGCATGTTAAAAAGGTGGTGTCACCATATCCTCCCACGTCATGACAACTATAGCTGGACAAGACAGGCCCAACGTACTATCATCTTCCTGGTTTGTTGCTTGCTCCCAATCTCCGCGGTTTTAGTTCCAAATTTGAAATTTTCAAGTTTTTGTGTAAGGATACTTCAATCATCTTTTTTGCTATGACGACATAATATTTACTGACATTGCTACCAATCACAGTCTACAATATAGTTGGATACATAGTTAAACTTTTAGATGCCACATCCACAAGTTCCATGAAGGTGTACATAAGATGTCAATAAACACAACTACTCGTAAGCAGGTTTATTTCTCCTTTTTCTATCAAAAACGTAACATAGTTATCACCCAATCTGTTTGTTTATATTATTTAATGGTCTAGTGGTATACAACTTTTTGTGAGAGATTTAATTATTTCACACAGACAGCAATTTATGGAAAGAAGCCAAAGAAACAAAAAAAGTTAAAGTAAATAAAACAGGACAAAACTTCAAACCACACAATTTTGTTTAATTTTCTTTTTGGAAGGAAATAAACTCAATCAACTCCCCCCCTCTTATTAGCCTTATACGACGACACTTACACACCAAGATTATCATTGACATTTGGAAATTACAGTAGCTATAACACTAAAGTGCAACATAGAGAACCATTTAGAGACTAAGAGTTTAAAGATAGACAGTCAATTTCTTCCCCGTTAGACTCAGATCAACTTTTGCATCACAATTTCGATATACATCACAACGCTATTGAAAAAATGACGGAAGCATCACCAGTTAGTGCGTCTTTGCTCCGGTTGAAGCTTTTGGATGCTTTGAGAAGTGGAGATACCTCCAAAATCAACGCAATTATTGGTGAAGTAAATTCTTGCAAAACAACAATTCAAAATCAGGATTTGAATCGTTTAAAACTGACCATTTTACACTATGCGGTACAAGTTGCCACTTTGCCAACAATACAATACTTGATTGATAATGCTCTGAAGTATAAGTTGGACATTAATGCACAAGATCCTCAAGGAAATACACCTTTGCATTTGGCAGCAATCGCGACGAGACAAGACGTTGTCAAGTATCTTTTGTCCTTGCCGGATATCAATGATACCATTGTTAATTTGGATAAAAAACAACCAGTTGAGCTTTGCAAAAACTTGAACCTTGCTCAATTGATGCAATTTGAACGAGCAAAATTTGTTGAAAAATCAGCAACTCAATTGAGACAATTTTTCAGCGAGAGGGATTTTGATAACTTGGAAAAGTTGTTGGTGTTAAACCCAAGAGCTTCAGAGTTGTTGGATATAAATGGTGCCGATCCAGAGTCCGGCAATACAGTTTTACACGAGTTTATCAAAAAGGACGATTTGCCAATGTGTGATTGGATTTTGAAGCACGGTGGTGACCCTTTTAAAAGAGATAAGCATGGCAAGCTACCAATAGATTTAGTCAATTCCAAGGATGAGCCATTAAAGAAGTTAATCAAAGCTGCGACTCGCGATCAAACAATTATGGACCCCGTTGCTGCAACAAACTCTGCCATTAAAAGCGGCAATGCACCAGTTTACAAGGGGTACTTGCGTAAATGGACCAATTTTGCCTCCGGCTACAAATTGAGGTACTTTGTGTTGGATCAGAACGGAATATTGTCGTATTATACAAACCAAGAGGACACAATCAACTCTTGTCGTGGCTCATTGAATTTGGGATACGCCACATTACACCTCGACTCTTCAGAAAAAATGAAGTTTGAAATTTATGGTAAGAATGGTCTTAGATGGCATTTGAAGGCTAATCATCCAATTGAAACCAATAGGTGGGTATGGACTTTGCAAAACGCAATCACCATTGCCAAAGATAACATCAAAAAGAGACATCCATCTAGAGCAAATACCTCTGCAGGTGATGGTACTTCAGCGGAGGAGTTTGATGACTCATCCATTACTGACGACACAGAGTCAGTGGAAAAGAAAAGACACAGACTCAGGATCCCGGGAAGAAACAAGCACAAACGCAATACTAGTCAAATGTCCAAGGAATCAGTTGATGACGTTGCCTTTGATAGATCACGTTCTGGTTTTGGCAATTCACGTGCCAGCACCGATTCTACCATGGCTTCACCAACAGGGAATCCACGCAACCACGTTTCTAGAGCCAGTTTGGATGACAATTACAGTACTCAAGAAATGGACTATGAAAATTTTGATTATGATGCTGATGGAACCGAGCCAGACGATGATGAAAGCGATGCCGAGAATGAGGCTGAAGTCAATCATTTGAATGACGAAATTGCAGCATCTAGAAGAGCTCTACAAGTTGAGTTATCTTCTTTGTTGGAATTGTTTAGTCAGATTATGAACAGTGACACTTTTCAGCCAAATTCCAAACAAGCGGAGGTGTGCATAGTGGGGAACAATACTATCAAAGCAATCAATGAATTACTTGGAAAATATAACCTCAACATTGACGCTAGAGACTCGAAGCTAAGAAGAAACTTGGATAGACAGTTGGAAGTTAATCAATTGTGGGAAAAGTCAATAAGACAATTGGAGCAAGAAATCCAAGCAAGAGAGGAAAAATTAGCTGTGTTCCAGGGCCAAAGAAAGCAATTGAGAAAGTATTTGTCAGGCAGAGCCACTGCGGGTGGAGAAACTGCGGGCACATTGTCACCTGTGGCAACAAGTAACGCCAGAGATGGGGATGCCGTGGGTGTTGCCAGCGGCGAGATTTTGAGCAAGAGCCCAGACGAGACACAAGTTGATCAAATTGATGCTAAACTAGATGCAGTGCAGCACAACCCTCAAGCTCAAGCTGAACCTTTGCACCCGCCACCTCCTGAGTTGGATAACGAAGTTATTGATGAGTTGTTGGGTGATGAATCTGAAGATGAGTTTTTCGACGCTGATGAATTTGAAGAGGAGGAACAAGAATTGGGTGGTGAAGATGAGAGAGAGATTGTTCAAAGTGATGAGATATTGCGCGAGCAAGATGCAAAGCAGCAGCAGGAGCAACCGGAGGCAGTATCTACACAGGAACATGGTGTACCTCCAGAGGAACAACAACAAACTCAAGTACCAAGAGAAGGCGAAGTGCCAGAACCTGAGGCAGTTGCACCACAACAAGAAACTCCAGCCAAGTCACCCCACGCAAGTCCTGATAAAGCTGGTGCTGCTGGTGCTGTCGGTGCTGCTGGTGCTGTCGGTGCTGCTGGCGCTGCTGGCGCTGAAGCTGCTCACCATCAAGGTGTTCAGGAACAAGAAATTGGACCCAATGATGTGCCACATGGCTCTGAGCTGATTGCACCATCTGAGCAAACGAAGGTAGATGAGGCGGCTTCACAAGGTGGTCAAAATGTATCGGCCAAAGCACTTCCAGGCGATGAAGATCTCAACCCACCACAACGCGAGATCAACCGCGCACTACATGAGGAAGGGTCTTATTTGGGTTATGAGAACCCGCCAAGAAAAAAATTAGCGTTGGATGAGGACAATAGACCTAAGGTCGGTTTATGGGGTATTCTTAAGTCGATGATTGGTAAAGACATGACGCGAATGACTTTGCCGGTGTCTTTTAATGAACCTACTTCATTGCTTCAAAGATTGGCTGAGGATATTGAGTATAATGACTTGTTGAACACTGCAGCTGGTTATGATGATTCTACATTGAGATTGATTTATGTGGCAACTTTTGCAGCCACCGAATATTCGTCAACCATTGACAGAATTGCAAAGCCATTCAATCCACTTTTAGGAGAAACGTTTGAGTACTCAAGACCCGATCAAAATTATAGGCTATTTGTCGAGCAAGTCAGTCATCATCCCCCTATCAGTGCTTGTCATGCAACATCCCCCAAATGGGAGTATTATGGAGAAAATGCAGTTGACTCAAAATTTTACGGTCGTTCATTTGACTTTAAACATTTGGGTAAAATGTTTTGTGTAGTGCGACCAAATACTGGAGTCAAGGATAAAAAAGGAAACATTGTTGCTGAAGAGTTGTACAGCTGGAAGAAAGTCAACACGGCCGTTGTCGGTATTATGGTTGGTAATCCAACAGTTGACAATTATGGTAAAATGGTTGTCGAGAATCATACAACTGGTGATAAGATCACCGTGGATATGAAGCAACGTGGATGGAGGGCATCTTCAGCCTATCAATTGTCAGGACAGGCATTGGATAGAAATGGCACACCACAATGGGCATTGGGTGGACATTGGAATTCCAAGATTTTTGCCAAAAAAATCAACAAGGATCATTTGGATTCACTGGGAAACACCAGGAAAATGTCGATTTTGGACGATCCTGGTAAAGCAGGTGCTGGAACCACCTCAACCGATCCATATTCTGGATCCAAGTTTTTGGTTTGGCAAGTTGCACCCAGACCAAAAGTCCCATTCAACTTGACTCAGTTTGCTTTGACTTTGAATGGTCTTGATGATAATTTGAAATCTTGGTTAGCTCCAACTGATACCAGATTACGTCCTGATCAGAGAGATATGGAAAATGGTAATTATGATCGTGCTGCTGATGAAAAACACCGGGTTGAAGTGAAACAACGTCAAGCAAGAAAGTACCGTGAAGAAAACAAGATTAACTATGTACCTAATTGGTTCATTAAAAAGAAGCATCCAGTGACTGGCGACCTGTATTGGGAATATAATGGAAAGTATTGGCCAGCACGTAAGGAACACAAGTTGGAAGGCACAGGAGACATTTTTTAGAATTTGAATAGGCGGGTGATATTCTATTAGAGTAATTTATATAGTAGACTTAGTTATCAATGTAAAGCGGCACCCTTTGTTTGTATCGACGGGGGGCCAGTTTGAGATTGATTTTAGACTCGATTAGTTCGCTTTCCTAGACCATCCTTACTTGATAGTATTGGTAAGACTTATTGAACCACGAAATTGCCCCTGCATTGCTATCTCAAAACTTGATTTCAACTCTCTCGAGGACACTTATTAGAGTTCATACTTATCATTACCCAAAGAATTATTTAACGTTCAGATTTAGATGCAGACAAATCACAAAAATATCATATTACGTCACAACTCTATAGAACTAGAAAACTGTCATTCTTGAAACTTGCTCGTTCAGTGATGCGTCCACCGCCCATTGTTTTCATTCCCGACTCGGTTTTCTATTCATCGGGTTCGATGAGGAAGACGCCATAGGTGAAAAATAACTATGAACAGCGACGACATTAGTGCCTTGTGGGGTAGGTAAAGGTGAAGCTGAAGCTGCAAAGTTGCCGCCCCCATACCGAGCAGCATTGTTACTTGAAATAGTTCGATTTAAATGCAACATATTAGGTGGTAGTCTGCTCGATGATTGTGTACGTATAGTATCGGTGCTAATGTGTCGTAAAAGTGGTAATCTTTGATCAAATGTTGTCTCTTGCAACTCCAAACTGCTCAAATCGTCATCATCAGGATCAGACCCATTTTCATGCTCTATATCACTATCTTCATCTTCCTCGTCCAGGTCGTCAATGTTGCCTTCGTCATCTTCATCATCGACAATAGCGTCCTCGAATTGAGCGTAATTTCCGTAAGGCGTAATTGACAGTGTATCAGACAGCTCGACATCTTGATTGAGACAAGTTACTTTCTTTGGTGACACTTGAGATACATCATCATCATTATCTCCATCTCCATCACCTACATCATCGTCAATATCGTTGTCTTCGCCAGTCTCACTCTCTTCAATAGCATTGCTCGATAAGCTATTACGATCTGGCACCGTTGATGAAGGCGGTGTAGATCTAGCATGGTTTCCAGATCGAAGTTCGCCATTGGTTTCTTCTCCAAAGTAACTTTCCTGGCCTTGTTCACTTCTTTCACCTCTTACCTGTGCGCTCTCTCCCATGAGTGATCCAGCGCTGCCGCTACTTCCTGCCAGACGTAAGCTTGCTCCATCTAAAGAAGACGTTGTTGATGACACGGTTCCATTTACCAGTGGTGTTAAATGTAAACTACCCTGATCTTTTCCAGCACTTGGCGTTCTTGCAAATGACAATGATAAACTTTCCTTAATTGATGGTTTCCGATGTTGCGCCAATTGTCCAATTGCATATATTGACGAGTTTGTGGGAGACATGGCACTCGAGGTGGTTGAGTTTGTATTTGTATTTGATAAATCCTCACTGACTATTTCGTCAATATTGACAGAGTCGAGCAGTGGAGTTTGAGATTCTTCCGTTTGTCGTGATTGTTCTTCATAATCATAAGCCGGCGCTGGCTCATCCGGTAACACTGTAGGAATAGATGGTATTTCACTCAATGGGTCCTCAGCAATGGAGACAGACCTAGTTTTTGGTGAGTTGGGAGCTGATGTTGCCTCTTCAAACGATGGCAACTGATCACCAAAACTATTAATTCCTCGATCATCTTCATTTTGATTCCATGGTTTGATTGAGACTCCATTGTTGGTGTAGTTTGGACCATTTTCCGGCGGTTGAGAGTCCACGACTCCCAAGTCCGTGGTTGTTGTTGTATCAATTTCGTCATATTGAGGTAATTGCACTGATCCTTCGTTACATTTTGAGCTCAACAAAATAAGTGGCGTGTCAACCACAACTTCGTAATGATGCATCTTGTAATCATCCTTGGGATCAGGTTTCGATATCCTAAAGCATACTTGCAATCGATGACTAATTTGAATATGACGATAGTTTGAGTCTGGGTATAATGCCCTCGTTGTCAACGTGTACCCGTTCTTGATATTTTCTGGGGGCATGTGTTTCGACGACATGTCATCCGATAAATAGTTTGACGTATTGGGCGAACGAAAATTCGATTTCGATACTTGTGGTTTACCAGTTTTTGGTTGTGCTCGAGAATTGCGAGTATAAGTACCAGCATGAAGACCAATTTCATCCACATTAGCCAAATTAGTCTCCAAGGCACCAATTATTGGCGAAGTGGGACTACTGGCAGCATCAACTGAAGCCTGGCGTGAACGAGGGGAAGCCTTAGGTGCAGATTGGTTGTTTGTGTGAATTTGGCTAAACAACGACTCGTCATTAACTCCCAGTAAATCGCTAACGCCTGAAGAAGTCAATAATGTTTTGTCGCTCTTTGTCGTCAAGAATGGTAATGCAACATTGATATCCAAAGGTGATGCAATCATTGTCTTGTCCTTGTCATTATCCTTACTCTTCGTATTCCTGCGTGGGTTCAAATCGTTTTCAGGTTCGTAGCATGAAAATAGTAAATTATTTTCAGGGCATTTAATCACTTCTTCCTTATAAGGATCGCCCACAGTGTTGGATGAATTTTTAGTCTTGGTTTTCAACTCACACAATGCAACAACACGTTCTCGAACCTTATTCTCTTTCGATTTAGGGTGCAAATTGTAAGGATCCTCAGAATCGTAATCAAACTCCTTTAATAGATTTTTGGACACATATGTTATTCTTTCCAACACATTGAATTTAATTCTTTTGAGAACAACATGCTTCACTAGAGGTACCAACTTAACATTGATGACATGCTCTGATCCTAAAGATACATATTTTCGTGGGAAAGTAATCATGTAGTGGACAGCATCATTCCAAACACGATTAACGTAAATGGGCTTATCGGCTATTGAATTAGCAAAATTTGGTGGGGTACGAACCATGGGGACATTGTATGATGCGCTAACCTTTAACTTTCTATTCAATTTATCACTGGTTTTGTTGAAATTCACCAGCAATGTGTGAATCAACGAACCGTTTATGGACACGATGCTTGCGGGTATATGCTCTGGCAAGAGTATCGGTAACAAAAATACATAAAGACCAGCTTTATGCTCGGTGTTTTGAAACATAGGACTTCCAGGAAATGTATTGATTGACGTTGAAGATGAACTCAACTCTTCGGTGTTTTCATCACCACTGACCCCTGAATTTGATGTTTTCTTTTTAAAATCAACTAGCTCGTAAGAACGTGTCCGCCTCGCCAAATCCTCGGGGCTAATGTTTTTCAGTTTCACGTCATTCGAGTTCGAGCTACTAATGTAGTAATCCGCATCATTCAAAGTTGTTTTCCACTGCATGGTTCCGATTTTAAATTTTTCCTTTGCAGTTGCTCGATTGTATGGGTCCTTGTATGGATCCCCCATTGGCCACATTATTTGAGTCACTGATTGAAACTTGAATATCAAATCTTTAACAGTTGACAAATCTTTACTCAATTCTATTATAACTGCAAAAGTGTGGGGGATTGGAAGTTCAGAATCAATCTTGGTGCATAAATAGTTTGGACTGTGCAACGAACGCATTCTTTGATATAATGTGTTTGCAACTGGATCCTCAATATGGGTCAAGGACGAGTCCTCACTTGTGTTGTCGCGTGGGGTATTAACTATACTATGGCCCAAATTAGATTGTGTATCACTATCCAGGATTGTAGTACCAGGATCTTCAATATCATCAGTCAAAATCGCTCCTCCATTTTCGACATCCTCATATGTAAAACTTGCCGACGACGCTGGTGGGAGATAAATACAGTCATTTGAATTGGCGACATATACCTTGATGGTTTTAGATACTGAACCCAGTGTTGACGTCTTTAAAGGTATTGGATTCTGTAACCCCAAATCTTTCAACATAATCTGTAGTTTCTTCAGTATGACATATGCAGTTTCCTGTTTAACCAAATCCTTTGTCCTTGGTTTGAAAATGCTAGATGGGGATAAAGTTTGTACATGTGTAACTGAACGTGATCTAGATCTAGACCGTGATCGAGAACTGAAACCGCCGCCACCATCGCTTTTATTTGACGTCTCCTTGTTTTCACGATCGGGCGTGACAAGTGCAAATGATGTAGATCTCAAACGCGAAGATTCTTTTGGTGGTGATAGACTCTTGAAAAATTCGACTTTATGATGGAGTGATGTAGACGTATCTGAGCTATGTCTTCTACCTGAATGACTATTTACAAGCTCCATCATTGAGGAATCATTAGAATGTCGACGGTGAGTAACCTTGTTCTTTAACTTATCAAAGCTGAAACTCCTAGGATGATGCATGTTTCAATATAGTGAGAGCTTTGTAAAATCGTTGTCTGATTAAATAATGATAGCAAAAGAAGTTGTATTTAGTTTATCCGAAAGTCCCCAATCAAAAAAAGAAAAGAAGAAAAAGGATCAACGATTAGTTTGTGCATGCAAATGGTGAAGGTAGATGTGATTAGTTTGTTGATTAGATGATGGCACGTATGTTTATATGTTTGTTCTTATGATGGTGGGGGGGGGGGGGGGGGTGGATGTTTTAGTAGTTATAGTTGGTTTGGTTGAAAGAAAGATATAAAGTAACTAAAGAAGGTGATACCATTGGAGTGTTATTTTTTCTTTGGTTGTAAAAACTAAATGATTACAAAGGAAAAACACAGAAACACTGAAGCACTGAAGCACTGAACAGTGTAGAGAATTAATTAATCAAAACCAATTGTAACTGTTGTATGATTATACAACAGTATCAGTATTAGCATTAGTCATAGAATTATATATTATCACTCCCTAATATCACTTTCATCACCATCATTCTATTTTCAACAACATATTTACAATCACTGATAACACCATACTTTATAATAAAAATAAAAGATTAAAGTTTTACTACTATGCACTCCTCTTTTCGAGTGCCTGTTTGGCTCATTATACTAAAAAGCACTGTGGAAAGCTGATGAAGGGGTCACAGTCCTTTCTTCCCTCTCTTTCTACGTATGTGCGTGTCTGTTCTTCTTTTGAAAGAACAACCGTGCAGTTTGATCGCTCATCAGCCCACATCTAAGCCCTCAATGCTTAACACTTTTGATTTTGTGAAGCATTTATTAAAATCCAAAGGCGGTAATAATATCTATCTCCGGCAAAAATATTGTCACTCTATTTTTGTCATTATTATTATTACCACAGCTCAATATTAGACACTTCCATGCTATGTAAATGATTATGAACATACTTGATTGCTTTGCTCATACATTACATTCAGGGGGTGTAGGTGTTTGCCAAAAGCGTCCACTTTGAGTTAAAGGAAATACGAGAAAAATCTCCGACACAAAAATAGTTGGAAGTCAGTTTAACAAGGGAAAAGAAGAAGAAGAAGAAGAAGAAGAACCTGGGCAGAAAAATAACACGACAAGCGCAGGAGCGTAAGGCGGTTAAAAATTAGAGCTCCTCCGCAGAAATCATTTGCTTTTGAGAAGAACACCAACAACTGTTTCAATAAATGGGAGGGGTTTTTCCCCTGTTTCCAGCAGTCATTCAATATCTACTTTGCCCCTTCTTCCCCCCTTGATTTAGAATTTAGAGTTGTGGGGGAGATTGTTCAAGAAAAAGGGCAAGAATTTTTTTTTTAAAAAAATCTAAATTCTGTTGTCTCCCTTTATGTTCGTGTCACGTTTTCGCAAGTATAACTCCGAGTACATAGTTTAGCTATGTGATGGAGTCCCCAACTAGTTTCTCCTTCTCAAAACGGGTTTTTTCAACCCTGTCACAACTAGGATTCTTCACATGTTGAATACGTCACTCATCATCATTTCGAATTATATTAAACGTATATTGGTTCAACCTACTCTATTCTAGCCTCTCTACTCTACTTCGTCATTCACATGTTTGACTTCATCTTCATCGGCTTTTTGCTTCAATACGTATTCCCCATACTCGCTCAACTTGATTGTATCACTGACGTCCAAACTAAACAAATCACTTCCTTTGGGTTTTAATTTGTCATTGCTACCACCACCATTACCACCTACGCTACCGCCATACAGAACGGGTAATTCACTCTTGGGTAAAGTTTCACTCAAATCACCATGATTCAATACTTGAAATTTCTTTAATGTATCTTCGTTAATGACCCTAATTGTTTTGAAGAATGTGAAAACCCATCCCATAATCAATGGAACATTAATAAAGTATTTAGTACTCAATAATTCAGGGTAATTACTACCAAAAATCTCAATGATTTCCTTTGTCGCTTGTTTCATCCCTGGATCGATCCTAAACATTGACACGTTGTTGTAATCATGGATTTGACCAATTTTATGATTGTCTTTAGAAGTGAAATCGATCAATCGTAACGATTTTTCCATTAATCCAATTCTCCATCTCAAAAATTGACTTCCTGGTAAAACATCGTCAGCAGATTCACTACCACCACTATCACCAAATTTCTCAAAAATCTTTTTCGGATTCTTCAAATTGCCATACAAGTTCCACGTAATGACATGTAAATTATCATCAGCTTTAGAGAAATCAGTAATGACACCTAATGAATTCAACTCTGGGTCAAATTCCTCCTTGAATGCAGCATGCAAAGGTTGAAATTTGTTTCTCCAATTCAAACACTTGATCAATCGTTGAGTGCTCAATTGTAAATCATAGTCATCAGCAGCAAGAAATTTGAGCAAGATTTCATTTCGAATATTGATATCAACATGTGGCTTGTCGCTTGTGTTGATTCTGTATCCGAATATTTCATCGTAGTTGGGATTGTCTAATTTGGCAAGTATTTTAGGGATCAAGTCAATAAGTTTCGCAAGTTTGGTAGCTTGGTCGGTGGTCAATGTGGTTGAATTGATGGTGTTTTTCACATCCTCGTGATCGTTAACTACAGCCTTGACAGGTTTAGAATCATCTTTCGTAGTTGTGACTACACCATTGTCATCACCAATGTCACGAGCATTCGTCGATTTGGGTGCTTCTTCAGCCATAGTCAATTGGTGTATGCAAAATCAGTTACAGTCAGATATATATGTTTTTATCTTTTTAATCTAGAAAACCCTTAATTTAAAAAAAAAATAAACATATGATACACTTTTGTAATTTTTTCTACTGTGCTTTTCACGGCTGAGTATACAAAGTATACAAAATCCGTTCCGGAAAAGAACCTCTACAACCCTTCAGTCTATATATTCTTCACTGAACAAAAGCGTAAGCAAAAGCAAAAGCAAATACAAATCCCACACGATTCATGTAATCAATACAGCCTCACTGCAGAGAGTTAAATGCGCCAAAAGCAAAACTTATATAACTACAAAAAATACACCTCCCCCTTACTTTACCTTTTCGCTTGCCACTAGATCCAACAATTCACCACCATCAACAATCTTAACCTTTTCGTTGAAATCGCCATTTTTCACACGATCAGCAAAAAAGACGGCAATTTGACCCACATCACTAGCATGAATTGATCTAAACAAAGGTGAAAGCAAAGGATTGTGTGTAAACTTAGCCAATTTATGTGCCCAATCTGATTTGCCATTTCTTTTACCTATCAACATACCTGGTCTTAGGATGATTGTGTAATCGAAATTTAATGCAATTATAGCTTCTTCTAGTTCCCCTTTAGTTCTGAAATAGAAAAATGGCGACTTTGTACTAGCTCCAGTGGCAGACACCAAAACACACACCTTAACTCCAGCATCTTTGGCTGCTTTTGCTGCATCCAAATTTACACCATAATCAATCTTTTTGAAATTTTCATCAGATCCAGCCGCTGCTTTAGTGGTACCAAATGCCGAAATGTAAGCAAACGGCGTTGGCTCAACATCTCCGATGATACTGGGCCACTTGTCAGTTTCTGGGTCAACAATCGCATCAATTTTGGAATCGTTGGCAAATTTGGGCTTGCTTCTGGTAAGAGTGGTTATTGTGCTCCACTGAGTGGACTTAAGGGCAGCTTCAATGGCAAAACCACCAACTAAACCTGTAGATCCTAGAATGAATAGCCTGCTCATGGTGATAGGATAGGCTCAAGCTGTGTTTGATTTAATTTGTGAGTTATTCGAGGATGTTTAGAATTGGATGATAGCATTAGTTTCCACATAAGGTAAGGTGAATTGTGTAAATTTATATGTTTGCTTTGCACTTCAGAAATGCGTGGAGAGGCATCTCTAAACGGCGGCACGAGAAATCCGCGGAATTTATAATTCTCTTTTCCTTTATCCGTTAAACAGAATAAAATAACCATTAAACTTTGGTCCCATCTACAAATACGTCTATAAACTCCGATAGTTTGATTGACCTATCTCCACTTACATTGTCTCCTTCACTCAGTTCCGACTTCCAGGCACCAATTTGAACGACAATATATCATTCTTTCCATTGTCTACTGTATCATCTTCACCAACTCTGATTCCACCAACACCCTCAATTGCTGCAATCGTCACATCACCCATAATTTTCCTTGCAACTGATATAACTGGGGTACCACGTTTGACCAATATACAATCGCGGAAAACCGAATCACCACTTGACCCAGTAAAATTGTTTATATTCCTCACAGGGTAAACTGGAACCAATTCCAATAAATCTGCAGCTGCTTGTAGTAATTGTACCACTCCAGTTGATCCAAATCTATACAACACCAAATCTCTGATATTTTCAATCCTGTTTTGTAATTTCTCATCCATTGGTTTCAAGTCAGGGTCATCTGGTAGATCCTCCTTGGTGTCTACAAATTCCGTTCCTGGATCGTACTTGACAAAATGTTGTGCAGCCAATTTCCTCAACAACACTTCAGTGATTGAAGATGTTAGCACTGCTTTTGATTTCGGGTATTTTAATATAATCTTGGATACATTTTTATCCGCGTCAGGGTGATCCATTTTGTTGAGTGATAGCACCGTGGGGAATTTCACCTCCATGAAAGCTCTCACCACCCTCTCCAACATCTCATCATCCCAATCTTGCAATGGAGGTAAATCGGATATCAAATCCAATGCGCGACCAATCATCTGCTTGTTAGCTACGTATCCACCCAATTGCTGCCTTAGCGTCTCCAATGTTGATGATTTCGTTCCAACATGTCTTCGTACAACTGAACCCCACCGTTCTTTTAAATTACCCAAAATCCATTGGAATATTTCATCTTGTAGCCATTCAATATCATTCAATGGATCATAACCTCGAGTAGCTTTCCCCTCAGCATCAGTGGTTCCACTAGCATCAACAATGTGGATCAAACAATCAGCTTCTGTTAAGTCGCTCAAGAATTTGTTCCCCAAACCTCGACCGAGATGAGCATTGGGGACTAATCCAGCAACATCTAAAAGCATGATTGGCACTCCACGTTTCCCGTTTCGACAGTAGCCATAAGTCGGTTTGCATTTCGATTGTTTGTTGAACCTTTGACAAGCGCAATCCACCTCCAAATACCCAGTAGCTTTGTTGGGGTCGATAGTGGTGAATGGAAATGCACCAACTTTTGCATTTGCATCCGTTAATGCGTTCAAGGTGGTTGATTTACCACTCGATGGTTTTCCGACAAGTCCAATTACTATTTCTCTACCCATGGGAGACGTACTGGCTCACTGTGTGTTTTTGGAAGAAGAAGGTTTTCGGTATAATGGGAGGCTGCTTTGGATTTTTTTCACTTTTGAAAAGGCTCTGACGTATTTGGTAGCGCTGTGATGAGAACAACGGCCAAATACCTATTTCAATATTGTATGCCTGACAGTTCATTGAGTGAATCCCATTTTGACAACATTCTCGTCTCCTGTTGCTTAAGTATTGGGTTCAATCAAGTGAACTCATTTTGTCGCAGTATGGACACTTTTAGATTGTAATTTGATTTGTTTTGTTGCAAAAATGAAGCGAATTGTCCAGCAATGCTTAATTGCTTCAATAACTTCTCTGAACTCCTTAACAACATGTAGATTGCCCTCCCAATATCACTTCTTATCTCTTTACTCACTATTGAACTCTTTCATAGGAACAACTGCTTGCCGTTTGCACCTGTACTATATCCTGCATATAGCGCATAGCCCGTTGAAGTTGTTCGAAAGAAAAAGGATTTGAGACAAAAGAAAAAGGAAAAAGAACAACAACGCATTGTTTAGGACACCCTCATTGCAATCAAATATACTCCTACACAAATCAATTGACTTTAATCTAAACCGAGATGGCACTTTGGGAATCATTAGCGAGTAATGTTTTTGGCGGACTTTCAAACGACTTCAAGAAAAAGAATTTTTCCCTATATGGGCAATGGATCAGTATCTTCACCATCTTTTTATGCATAGCATTAGGAATAGCCAACATATTCCATTTCAATTTGGTCATTATTTTTTCAATCATATGTTTGGTTCAAGGGTTAATTGTTATATTTGTTGAAATACCATTTCTTTTGAGAATATGTCCATTGACAGACACTTTTACCAATTTTGTGAGAAAATTTGATGGAAACTTACCAAGATGTGGATTCTATCTGTTGAATGCAGCCATCCAATACCTAAGTTTAACATTGCAAGCTACGAGTTTGATTGTTGTTGCAGTATTTTTCACGTTATCGGCTGCTTGTTATGCCTTAGCCGCAGCCAAGCATCAAGAGTATTTGAAGTCGTCAATCGACGTTTCTGGTACAGGACAGGGAGGTGCTTTAGAGGCACAAGTTGGAGAGCATGTCGTTAGAAATGTGTTGTAGGAAACAAATTGAAAAGAATAAAAAAGAGGAAGAGAAGGTGGCTTTTTGGGTCTCTTTTGTTGTGTAGTGGTCCTGATGTAATACATCAATTAATTGAAGCTTGTATTGGTGATCTCTCTACCCTAATTCGCCTCTCCATTGCGCTTGACTTTTCTTCACCAAAAGCTCATGAATCGTGCCTACAAACAAAGAAATACTCTCTCGTAAAAAAAAAAAAAGACATCAGCGTTGAAAAAAAAAACAAAGTTGTTCAAGTATATTCATCACACCCAGGAAAGCACAATAATCATATGTCTGGAATACTACCCTTTGTTGAAGATACTATAGGTGAAAAAGTTAAGCGGCACAAACTTGCACCAGTGCTGATAGAGTCGATAATACGGGGTGATGAATCATCTACATCACCTCCTGCTACCACAAACAAAAAGGATGAGTCCATCACTTCATTTGCTCTAGAAGAGGTCAATAATGACCCAGATGAACTAATAAACTTGAGAGGTGAAGGAAGATACTTCGGAGCTACAGATCCAGACAGCGAAAACCAACAATCACTGGGACCTATATGTGATAATTGTCATGAACGTGGTCATAAACGAGCACAATGCAAAGTTGTCATTTGCCACAAGTGTGGAAAAGTGGGCGATCACTACGAGAGTCAATGCCCGTCAACTTTGGTTTGTTTGAGATGCGGAGAAAAGGGTCATTATATCCTGCAATGTAAAAGCAAAGTACGGAAGAAGCAGTATTGTCGCAATTGTGATACATTTCAACATGGAGATGAAGATTGTCCAAGTATATGGAGATCATACTTGACAAAAAGGAATCACGATGAAGAAAAAGAGAGTTTGGTATTGCCTAATATTTATTGTTATAATTGTGCATCTGATGAACATTTTGGAGACGAATGTGATAAGCAGCGGTCATCGCGAATTCCTAACCTTGGTAGTGCTTTCAGTGGTAATAATCTACCTCGTAATTTACGTCCTATATATTTTCTCAGATTGAAACGGAGCGAAACTGCATCATCAAGAGACTACGACTCAGAATATGATCCAAGACTACCTACAAAACGCACAAACAATTTTAATTTCAATGCAAGTATTTCATCACATGGCCAGCAACAACCTTCTAGAACCGGATTTATTCCAATGAATAATGGAAAATCTAGATTCCCATCTGGTCCATCCAGTAGGAATCAAAATGGAAATTTCAACAATTTCAACAGTTATGGACGTAATAATGGATATGGGAACAACTCATACGAAGGAAGCGGTTTTGGCAACAATGAGTATAGCAGAAGTGGCTATGGTAGCAGCTCAAATAACGGGAGTCGTCCACCATCGAGAAGTGGATTTGTGGGAAGTAGCAATAAGGGTGGCAGAATAACTAAACCAACTAGAAGCGGTTTGATTGACAATAGTAAAAGCAAGTACAAAAAGAAGCACATACGATATTAGTATAGAAAGCGCATCGGTTATTTATTTCGATCTTGTTCTATCTCTTCCAGCTTTTATCTTCGTAAATTCGTTTTATGTTCATTAGACTCGGCCCGGTATTGTGACCATGTGGTGCCGTGCAACCGTGCGTCATGGCTAAATGTCGTGTACCGACGAACAATTCCGAATCATGCTTTTTTTTATCTATTTGATCTATATAGTGAAACGAAACCACATAGAAATTCGCATCAAATAAAATAATAAATTATATATCCACTCTTCCAGTTTAGCCAAGGATAATCCGATAAGGGAAAGCATTACCTGGCAACCGAAACGGCGAAAATCAGATCATTACCACTACCCTAGCTAAGACGGTGGACGTTACAAATTGAGCTGGCACTCGTTATAATCAAATAGAGAAGCAAGACAATAATGAACTGTACACAGGCATATTCACATTACTTCCATTTCCCAAAGGGTAAATCCAAAGAATATTCTGATCTACGAAATTACATTACAAACAAGTATGGAAACATCACCACGATATTGCTCCTTGTTTTCATCGTTTCAATACCAGCATATAATTACATGGTGGTGAAGAATTATAGATCAAAATTCCACTACCTACGATCATTTAATTCCAATTTGAACCATTACATACTTCACCAACATCATCCAAATTGTGTAACGGCTTCTTGGAAGGACAAACTATTAACAACGGTAGCAGCCACAACTAAAGCCATTGCTTTCAAGATACTTTTACATTATTCGACAATTGTGCAGTTGAGTTTTTGGATCTGCTTTTTAACCTCATTGTCGCTCATAGATATTTATCATGGAGATCTCATATTCTTGGCCAAAAGGCTAGGGAGGGTATCGGCTAATTGTCTTCCAACCGTTTTGTTTCTCACATTAAGACCTTCACCTTTGCCAAACACACTTTATTTGACACTTATCCCCATTCACAAATGGCTAAGCCGGTTGATAATTCTCCAAGCTGTGATTCACACGTTGATATATCTTGCATATTTCAATAGGAATGGAACATGGGCCAAAGCTATCAAGGTGGAAAACATCTATGGTTGGGTGGCGTTGGCTGCATTTTTGATGATAATTGTGACCTCATTGTCAAGATTCAGAGTCAAGTGGTACAAGATGTTTTACTTCTTGCACTACACTTGCACGTGGATAATTGTGTTTACGTTGCAAGTACACATCAGGCCACAGCCTTTCACATTATACACCATTGCTAACTGTTTGATATTAATTGGCCAGATAAGTTACAGAGTTTATCTAACTAGAGTTTCCCAAAAGGACGAGGTCAGGGTCATTGATGTGTCACCCAATTTGGCGCTCATTGAATTCCCCAACACTTTGATTGCAAAACCGGCATCAGCTCCCGGTGCTCATATTCGCTTGACCAATTATAGCTCTAGCTTAATAGTGAGGATATTCAAACAACTAATCCCCAACTACCATCCATATACTTTGGTATCATTACCACAAGATCGAGTGCAGAAATTGCTTATTCGAAAGAGTAATTTTCGGCTTTACAACGGCCATAGATATTTGATTACAGGCACTTACGATCCCCATTTACTATTTCTAAACTACAAACAAACCTCGCTGAACAAAAAGTTCTCATTGGCTAAGCTACACGTGGATGCGAAAAGAATATTGATCGTTGTTGGAGGGTCAGCTATATCGTTTGCCCTTCCTATCCTTCGAGTCATGAATTACCATGGGATACCAACCAAGGTGGTGTGGGTTATAAAAGATTTTCGTGATGTCTTGGTTCTCAAATACTTTGATGGTATCATACATGGCGATGATTTGGAGATTTTCATTACTGGTAATGAAACAATCCAAGAGCTGGAACAACAATTGAGGAATGCTTATAGCTACGCTTCCAATTTGAGTAAAAAGTCTGCCGCTCCTTCGGCCCACTACGATTTGGAGAATGAGGAGACTCCGTTGCTAGGGGGAGCTGAAAATGCACAAATGGTGACTTTAAATCGTGAGAATCAAGATGAAGATGTTGAGATTGTGGTCAACTCAGATGACGATAATGATGGTGATGATGATGACAACTCAAATTGTACACGGCATGAAGTTACCTCGTTATGCAGACAATCCTCCCCTGAGCAATTTGCTGATCTTGACGAAGTACTCGGTGAAGATGCGAGCTCGTTGGAGCAAGGCAATAATTTGGATGAATTTGAAGTGACAAATGATACCATCAATACTCGACGTCTGTCATTTAGGTCATCCATGAATGAGCCATTTGTCCCATTATCAGGCTATGACTCAACTGATCAAGTCAAATCTTGGGTCACTGAATTCAAAGAAACAACGCGGAGATTAAACGTTGATAAGAGGATATATAAAGGACGCCCAAAGCTAAGCCACCGATATTACAACTGGTGTATCAACGAAAGATTCACTCAATGCTCAGGCCCAGTGGAAGATGAGAATCATAATCTTATTTGCTGTCGAGACCTACCACGCAACAAAGTTGTTCAAGAAGATATCAATGCTGAAAAAATTTGGGTGATTGGAGCTGGTCCACGACAATTGGTTGAAAATGTGAAGTTATGGTCAAGTGAAAATGGGTTGAAATTTCACGAGGAGGCATTTTATTCGTAAATAAAAGTGTGTATCTACAACAAGGCATACAACTGTCTTGCAGGAAAAACATCATTCGTACTCAACAAAAGTAACTTTTATCTATCTACTTTGCAAATTCTTGTTCGTAAAGTTTGGTTCTCTTTATCTCGTCTTCAAGTGCGGCCTGCCTGCTTATGTTCCTCTTTGCTGTATCAGTGGCAAATGTCACCCCCACAATATTCCAGCCCACAAACCACCAAACTTTGTAAACATTGCGGAAATATGGTTTGTTTTTGCCATGATTGTACTTGAAAGACAATGCATACCCCGTTACCAAAGCAATTAACGTTCCACGTAGAGCACCTGCTGCTGCCGCTTGCCAAAGTTGATTCGAGAACCTATCGTGACGTTGTTGTTTTGTCTCACTGACTAGTGATTCATCGTTTGGTGTTTCCAGCAGCATCCTTTTGACTGGAATAGAAAAAGTAAGGGGGAAAGGGAAAAAAATGGGTATTCTGGGGAGCGAGTAAAATTGCGCAAATATAGAAAGCTTTACTTCCGAAACAAACTGTGTACCGACTTATTCCGCATAGTCATTTTACGCAGGTGTACTGAGATTGATTGATGTTAAGTTTAGTCAGATGTAATTCGCTAATGTTGTAGGACACACGGATGTGGAAACGTAATAGCGATTAATAGTGTTTAGTGAAAATATCGGTGTTTTGGGGATAAACGTAGTTCATGGCACCTCGCCTTTGTATGGCTACATCGAAGGTGTAGCCCTAGCCAATTGGATCAAGATTGAGCCAGCTGCAGGCGGGAAAGCACCAATGACAAACTCTTGAGCGTGTGTGCACTTTAGCCTACATATCAATTTGTAACATAAGCGAGTAAAAGAAAAAAATAATTATGACCCTGACCCTATACACCTCACAATTTTATAAACCACGATGCTTCGCCCAACCTTATTCGGAGGCAAAATTCTCATTCTCCCACATCGACTACTTCGCTTTTCACGCTCGGTGAAAACCTCCACCATTGACTGGAAGCCGGTGAAGTCGGTTCCTGGGAACTTAAGGACAATCACTCATCAGAAAAAGACACCAATCATTAGACGGGTGCTCCTTGGACTCATGTTTGCGATGCCCATCATTTCATTTGGATTGGGATGTTGGCAAGTTCGCAGACTCAAATGGAAGAATGACTTGATTGCAAAGTGTGAAAATAATTTGGCTGCTCCTGTTATTGAAGAACTACCGCCCACCCTCGATCCTAATGTCATAAATGAATTTGAATATAGACGGTTTAAATGCAAGGGTAAATTTGACTATGATCAAGAAATGTTTTTGGGACCAAGGATCAAAGATGGTGTGTTGGGATACCTTGTTGTTACCCCATTTATTAGATCGAATGGAGGAGAGCCTATATTAATTGAACGTGGTTGGATTCATAAGGATAAGGTGATACCTTCAACTAGATCATCTGGCTATTTATCACACTTGGCAATGCCACAAGGAGAAATTGAAATAGAAGCGTTGTTTAGATGTATGCCTGAGAGATCTAACCTACAGTTTGAGCACGAACCGGGAGCAAAGTTGTTCAATGTTATTGATGTTCCCGCCATGGCTCAACAAAGTGGATCCTTGCCAATTTACTGTCAAATGATTTATGATTTGAGCGACCACTTGGACTACAAAGCCAAGGAAACTTTGGAGGCACAGGGAGCCGATCCATCTATTTTCGGCAAGTTATTCTTCACCAAATCCAAAGACGATTCCAAAGAAAAGTCGTTTTACATACAAGATGAATCTGACGACTCATTGTTTTATCAAGAGTTTGAATTCATAAAGCAAGGAGTACCAATTGCAGCCAAACCGACGATGAAATTTTCAAATAATCATTTGCAATACTTGATCACCTGGTTTGGAGTTTCTATTGCAAGTGCTGGATTATTACTTTACTCTACTTATAAGAGAAAACAATTCCTGAGTGCAGAGAGAATCATTGATGCCAAGAGAAAGGATATGAAAAAATTGTTGTAGTCCGTTATCATATTTTACTTGTATATATCAATCCCTAAAACTCAATAAACCGAATAGTACCACCACTATGGAGAGATCAACTAGGAAAATTCCCAACAACTCCTTGTATTCGAGAACTCTCAGAAGAATAGGTGCAAATTGTTGCACTTGTGGTGCAAACATCGACACTATTTGCACTCCTTTCATTACAAGGTTGTTTTGGCGTGCGGCATGAAACAAGCCATTTTTCGTAAGAATAAAGTAGTAACTAGCAATGATGGCTACCTCCAATGTGAAGAACCCCTGAGCAAATCCACTCAAAGGATAAACTTCAGTCAAATCTCTGACGTAGGCATGATTTGATGACGTAAAAGAAGGTATAGAACAATAGTGGTAGAAGAAAAATGTAACTATTGTCAAGAATCTCACAACTGAAAAGCGAAACTTCCATACTTGTTTTTGGTACATGTGATACTGATTCAATTGTTGTTCATACTGAGATTGTGCTGAATTGGGAGACTGAATGTTCTGATCATCAACGGAATTAGGATCACCAAGCATTTTGAAAATCTCTGCCATTGGGTTGGCATCATCTTGAGATGATTGTTGTTGTTGCTGGAAAATGGATTTGAACATTTCATTCATTTCAACTTGAGGATCCTTCTCCCCCAAAGGAGGATCGCTAGCAGTTATAGTGGAGATATCTTGGATATCTGGATCATCATCATCATGTGTTAGGGCAGTAGGTAATGCAGTAGCAGCAGCTGGCTCTGGCTTGTCCAAAACTGAAGTCACTGTAGAAGTTTTCACTGAGGCTCCTTGAGTTAAAATATTGTTCAACCTGTCACTTGCCTTTCCTTTGGCCATCTTGGCCTGTCTTCTCTCCCTAAGGATTCTTCGCTTTTCTTCCTCACTCAAGTTAGTGGCATTGGTTGATGTCGACATGACCGGTGTCTTTTATTGAAGTAACTTGTAGATGGATTCAATCAATGAGGAAAAATAAAAGAGGGAGAAAAAAAATTGACGAATTGAACACAATCAAGGAAGCCACGGCTTTACAATGTCAGACAACCAAGAACTGACTGATTCCACTGCTAATGGTGTCAACTCGTTACCCATGAATGACCACGAGAGAATTAGGCGCACAAAGATTATGAACTCTTTGGACAATCTTGACTACTTAATGTTGATTGCGGCTCAACAAAAGAAATCCATAGCTCAAGTTACTTACGAATTGAAACTTCAATTAATACATGGTGGTTAGAACTATATGCCAAAGTCTCATCTAAATGGGGGTCTTCGACCCGAGTGTTGAGCTCTTTGTGGCTTTTGTACTCTGCTATTTGGCCCTATTGGAGTTGACTGCACTCCATTGTTGAATAGTCCTCGCATGTATCTTGGTGGCTGGTCCAAGTTTGGGGCATTATTACGTGATATAGTTTGTCCTGGTTGTGTTCTTAGCATCCCAGACACAGGCTGAGGGATCCTAGAAACTCGTGTTGCGGGAGCACTTGGCTTGTTGAGGTTGATGCCAGGCTTGGCATTTTCATTATTAGGTCGGGCTCTTTTTGGTAGTTGCGTGCCCATTGGACGTGAATACATAATCGGCCTTGTTTCTTTGGCTACTTTTTCCTTCAACTCTGCATTCAATCTTTCGGCTCCTTCAATTTCTTTCCTGACTTTGGCAATTTGCTCTTTCTTCCTCTTTCTCATTTGTAATTTTTGCCAGGCTTTCCGTGACGGGCATTTGGGAAGGTCAACGCACCACATCGTAATTGACAACCCGTACAAGAAGCTGGCAAATGATTCGTTGAATTGACTGGCAACAGCATTGTGTATATGATTTAAATCTCTGACATTTACATCTAGATCCTCCAACCCATCTGCAATATCCTTGAACTTGTTTTGAATTTCAGGGCAGTCCATGGGTAGATTGTCAGCATCAACTGGGTAATGATGTGGTGATTGCGATGGTAGTGGAATACCAGACGATCTTCTCAGATGACGTCTATTGGTCTGTCTTCTATCCCCTATCGGGGTAGTTGGTCTCGAAAGCGACATTAATGTAGATTAATAGATTATAACTGAAAGAGATATGATATATCAATTGATTTTGTTTTTGTTTACACTTTTTTTGCGCATTCAAATATACACAATGTCATTGGTAGCACCACCACGATTACGCATTTTCATTAACAATCTGTTGCCATGTCTTACCCTCCTTTCTCAACTCGGCTGCTAATTCATCTCTGATTTTAGCGACCAATCCGGGTCCTTTATATGCAAAAGCCGTATACAACTCGACAAAAGTTGCTCCAGCTTTGGCGAATTCCAAAGCGTCTTTACCATTGGAAATTCCACCACAACCGACCAAGACCAAACCTGAGCCTTTAGTGTATTTGTTCAACAATTTCAATGCATTCAATGACAACGGCTTCAATGGCTTTCCTGAAAGACCACCAGTTTGGTTGATCAATGATTCATCAGTGGTCAATAGTTTATCCTTCGGTCTTTGAATTGTAGTGTTTGAAATGATTATACCATCTACTTTAGCCTCTTTTGCCGAGTTGGCGATAGACATGATTTCCGGCTCGGTTAAATCAGGAGCAATTTTAACCAAAATTGGAGGTTTTGTTCCGAGTAGATTTGTTTGCAATGTGTTACGCTCTTTCACAACAGTGGTCAAAAGGTTAGTGAGCTTAGATTCATTTTGCAAATCACGCAATCCTGGAGTGTTTGGTGACGACACATTAATAACAAGTACGTCTGCATAAGGCCCAAGTCTAGACACTCCTTTTACGTAATCCTCAACTTCGTCTCCCGTCTTGTTCTTTCCCAAATTTATTCCTAATAATTTTCCCTGTTGAAAAGCATTGGAGAATGGCATTAAACCAGCAGCATGACTGCGCTCCCATTTTTCAAACAATTTGGTAAAACGAACCCTTAATCTTGCTATGACGTTGAAATGCCCAGTAGAGTTGAAACCGTAGCGATTAATAACTGCGTCATCTCGAGGCAATCTGAAAAATCGAGGTTGAGGATTTCCTGGTTGAGGTTCGGGAGTGATTGAACCGATCTCGACGTAGGAAAACCCAACATTGAACAACGAGTCAATTGCTTCTCCATCTTTATCCAATCCAGCAGCCAATCCTATTGGATTCTTCAAAGTGTGGCCAAACACATTAACACCCAACACATCGCTTTGATCATTTCTTCCTTCGTCTAAAAGCCTAGGTACTAGGCCATATTTCATAAAAAATATACCCAATTTATGTCCTTGCTCTGCATCTGTGAATGTTCTTATAAGTGGACATAACACGTATTCATGAATGGAGGATCGTGAATCAAGAAGATAATAACCTCCAATACCGGCTAAAGCTCCACCGACAAGGAGTGTAATTGGTCCGGGCAAAAAGCTTGATCTCAAAATCTTCCTGCCATTGAGTCTGGCACTGTAATGTCTAGAGAAGGCTTTAAATAATGGATTTTTGGGAAACATTGTTGATGACTCAATTGAGTTGTTGTGAGATGACTGAAAAGGAAAGCGGAAATCAGTTGATAGAGATGTGAGCTTATACACAACAGAGAAAAACCGAGAAAAAGAATTAGGTGCAAAATGGGTAGCTCAGAATTTTTTCCCTTTTCTCTTGAGATGATCTTCTTTTGATGAAGAAAGTCGTCTTCTACACACCGTACTAAGCTTTACTTCTTCCATGAACGAGTCAAAGAATGATCACAGCCACCAAAAGGGTGAAGGGAAGAAGAACACCAGCCAAAGGAAGCACAAGTTTTCCAAAGACAAGAAACTCAATTCTAAGTTGCAGAGAATAGAAAACCAGTACAAGGATGCATTGAAATCTGCTAAGGGTACTGACTACCTTTTACAAGAAGAAGCGGGGTTCTTAGAAGCCGATGGTCCTATGGAAAAAACCTTCAAATTCAAGCAAGAAGAAATAACAAAGGAGGTGGACACAAATACTGCAAACAAGAAATTCGAACTCAAGCTCCCTGAGTTTGGTCCTTATCAGATTGATTTTTCGAGAAATGGACGTGATCTCCTTCTTGGGGGTAAAAAGGGACACGTTGCATCTATCGACTGGAAGACCGGAGTTTTGGGGTGTGAGCTCCACCTCAATGAAACTGTAAATGCTGTTAAATATCTACACAATGATCAATACTTCGCAGTGGCACAAAAGAAGTACACTTTTATCTACGACAAAGAAGGAACAGAGCTCCATCGACTCAAACAGCATGTTGAAGCTACTCTATTGGATTTTTTGCCCTATCACTTTCTTTTGGCAACCGCAGGACACACAGGGTTTTTGAAGTATCATGATGTTTCCACTGGTGAACTAGTTAGTGAAATAAGAACCAAACTTGGGCCAACGCTAGCAATGAAACACAATCCATACAATGCGGTAATACATTTAGGTCACGGGAATGGGCAAGTAACTTTGTGGTCACCTAATGCTCCAGAACCATTGGTAAAGATACAATCTGCCCGTGGGCCCATTCGAGATTTGGCGATTGATAGAGAAGGCAAATATATGGCAGTTAGTGGTGCCGATAAGACGTTGAAAATCTGGGATATTCGAACTTTCAAGGAAGTGGATCACTATTACACACAGACGCCTGCAACCTCATTAGACGTTTCTGACACTGGATTACTATCTGTTGGATGGGGTCCACATGTAACCATATGGAAAGATGTTTTCAAAAAATCGCATCAAGCTGATCCGTACATGAACCATTTGATCCCTGGATCAAAAGTGGACAAGGTCAAGTTTGCACCATTCGAAGATATACTAGGCATTGGTCACCAACAAGGATATGGTTCAATTATAGTTCCTGGAGCTGGTGAAGCCAATTATGATGCTTTAGAATTGAACCCCTTCGAAACAACTAAACAAAGACAGGAACTGGAGGTTAGATCGTTACTCAACAAACTTCCGGCTGACTCGATTGCATTAGATCCAAATACTATCGGGACTGTTGACAAGCGGGCCAAGTCAATAAGATTGAAACCTGGCGAAATTAATGAATTGACTGAATCAGCTACAGATGCCACAAGCAAGATGGCCATAAAGCCTGATGTCAAGGGTAAGAATTCCGCACTAAGGAAACATTTGAGAAGGAAGAGAGAGAATGTCATTGATCAAAGAAAGATGAGGATTGAGAAGAATTTGAAGAATGAGAAGGAGGCCAGATTGAAACGTTTGAAATTGCTACAAGGTGAACAAGTTGAGGAGGATGTATTAGATTCTGCTTTATCTAGATTTAAGTAGACGAATGAAGTTGCTCTTTCTCACAACAAATCTTATTGATAACCTGGTTGAACACCTGACATTCCCATTCAATTGCTTTCAACTCTTCCTCAGTAATGACATAGCAGGCTTCGTTTGAATCAGGATCAGCCGATGTGTCGAGTGGGATCTGGCCTTGATTTATAGAGGTGGGTGTTAGGGAATCAAATTGTTGTCTCTGTGTTTTGTGATCCACGTCCCGTTGCAAAATATCGAACCTCTTGAGCAACATGCGATCATCCTCCAGTAAAAACTCAATAAATGCTTGTCCCCGTGATGCCATCTTTGATGAAAAAGTGCCAAGAACAATGAGGGTTTGACACAATGCTTTTATTTGCTTCTTGTCCCGTAATATGATTAATTTGTAGAAATCAACTTTAGAAAGTTGGTGAATTGAGTTTGCATGTTTTTTGAGATGCGTTACTAGCAGCTGATTCAATACATCGATTTGCAACCACATTGGCAAAGGAACTGTGGTAGAAGTCTCTGAGTTAACGACGTCGTATGCATTGGCGAAAATAGCCGTGTCAAAAGCTTCCAGTTTGAAATCATCTTTGTTCAATAGGATCTTAAAAAGTTTGAACAACACAATTGGGTTAGTTAAAGTTGATGGTGATGCGTCTGCTTTCAAAGGGGAATCCAAAAACTCGGAGAGCCAATGGATTACGGCAACGGCTAATTGATCAGTTACCACCTCAGTTGTTTCTTCAAAAATACTCATGTCCAATGCAAAAGGATAAGTTTAGAGTAGTTTTGATGCGAAAATAACAAAATCTGGTTGCAAAAATTGAAGCTGATGATCATTACGCCGGCAAACATAGGCAGCTCACTTTTATCGATGTCGAAACTCGAAAAGAGTTACTGATTAACGTGCTTTGACTGAATACCAGACTCGCACTTTCATGCTCGTGCTTTTGCGTGAAATAAAATATAAAGCTCGAATGGACATCTCCTGCTACAAACTACAAAAATAAAGGAATCGATTGTTGTCATATTAGTCACAAAGAGTTCAGCTTACGTTCTTATGGTGATATATGCCTTCTTAAAATTATTGTTGTGCAAGTTCATCTAAGCTTTTAAGTTCTGTCTAACTGATAGAGATAGAATGATGTGGAACAAAAAAAAAAAAAGCAGAAGTTTAGGAAGCGGGTGCAGCACCACTTTAATTTGTTAGCATGTCAGGGGTAAAAAGCATTCTTAAGCTCGCAAAGGCATCACTAGAACAGAATGATCCCGAAGCAGCATTGGAGCACTCAAAGGAAATTATAAAGCTTGACCCCAAATCATATTATGCATTTGTTTTTCAAGGAAAGGCGTACCAGCTTTTAAATGATGTGCCCAAAGCAACCACTTCATTCAAAAGAGCAATTGAATTAGAGCCTGACAACTTGCTAGCCTGGAAAGGTTATTTTCAAGTAGCGAAAACCTCAAATGATTATGAGCAATTTTTCACAGTGTTGACCGCATTAGTGAAAATTTACATTGAGCAAGGCGTGTCAATCTCTGAGCTATTGAAAGATATGAGAAGCTACTTGGATGCAAACAATGTGAAGGGAAATGAAAATTTGTACGAGTTTTACTTGAGATCAATTCTACCAGGTACCGAATTGGGTGAGTTGATTGGTTCCTCAATTGAATTGCCTTCATCTACGTATAAGAAGTTGATTGACCTAAAGCAAACTCAAGTGGAGAAGGAAGTGGTTGCCAGGGTATCAAAGGAAAGAATAAAACTGGGAAGACTGTTAAACATGGAACAAAAGGCATCGTTAGATGCAATTGCGTGGTCTTTTTACTCCAGTACTGATTTGCTAAAGTTGTATGACGCATTTTTGAATATTTGCGATGATGAGGAATTGAGAAAAACTTATCACGAAAAGTTGTTGAAGCTCAAGTATGAATTGTTGAAGATCTGCCCTGACAAAGAGCCATTGATAAAGGATATCAAACAATTGGCAGAAGATATGATCTTTTTGAAAACGACTAGTTTATTTTGTTGGAATTTGTATTTTGATTGGAAAGATGACGAATCGGTATTCGACTTGAATGAGGATCTAGTGATTGAATATTTACAATTGTTTCAGAATGAGGGTTTAGGACTTGTTTTGTTTGGATTTGTTATGAGTGATATCTCCCCTTACAACAAAGACAAAATCATCAAGGCTTTGTCTGGTAAAGAGGTTGTGCCAGCAAAGAAGGGGAAAGATAACGAGAGTCCTGAATTGGAGAACATGGCAAATGTAATTGACGACAAGGACGATGATAATTCCCAGCTTTACTTGCCACAGGAAGAAGTTTTGGGAGTGTTATTAGATGGGTTTGGTAAAGCTAAGGGGTCAGTTCTTGCAAACAGAATAATTGTAAATTATTATATCCACTTGAGACAGTACCACGTGGCATCCGAGAGATGTAGAGAAGGAATCAAGATACTAGCTGATCTTCAGCGGAGTTTTGGAGTTGACTTAAAGAATACTAAAGAGAATTTATTGTGTTGTCTTGCTACTGTTTACACGTATTATGAAGCTCCTAAGAATTACACTCGTGCTGTTCAATTGTATGACAAGATTTTGTCAACCAATCCCGATAATGTCAAGGCTAAAGTTGGCAAGGGGTTGATTTATGTTGAAAGAGGAGAATTAGACGAAGCGAAAGTTCTTTTGGAGGAAATTGTGAGAGATTACCCAAATAATTTGGAAGCAGAATCTGAATATTACTGGTGTTTAGTGAAGATGGGCCGACACGTTGAAGGAAGGGATGGGTTGCACAAATTTTTGGCAAAGATTACTGGAGGCGATTTGCATAGTCGGGACGTACGAGCAATTGCCTATTGGAGGCTAGCGAAAAGTTATATGGATTGCGACGACCACGACGAGAGCTACAAATGCTTGATTGAATCGTTGAAAAACTCGGATTTATACGCGCCAGCATATACTTTGTTAGGTGTACTTTTACAGGACTATTATGGCGACCTTGAGAGGGGGCAAAAATGTTTCTATAAGGCGTTTGATTTAGATTCCAATGAAATTACAGCTGCTAGGTATCTTGTGGAACAGGCTGTCGAAAAGAATGAATGGGAAGTGGCCAATGTGCTTGCTAAGCGAGTCGTCGACAATGAGTCTACAAGAAGGCTCATCATGCGTGGTGATATTGTGGATCCATCGTGGCCATATAGGGTACTCGGTTGTGCCGCTTTAAACAATCAGGATGATGCCAAGGCTGTGGAATGGTTCCAAAATGCACTTCGAACCAATGCAGGTGATTATCAGTGCTGGGTGGGTTTAGGTGAGGCCTATTTCAATTGTGGACGACTTGATGCAGCAGCAAAAGTGTTCCAACATGCTTTGGAAATGAGAGAGGAAAAAGAATGGACAGTTCAGTATATGTTGGGGGTGGTTTTGTTTGAAATGAAGGACTTTAACGAGGGGTTGAGTTATTTGTACTCTGCATTGGAAGCCAAACCTAATGAGGAATGTATCATTAGTGCGATTTATGAAGCAAATATTGAAAGCAGCAGGAAGTTTCTCCAATTAGGTTTCTTTGGAAGGGCAATCAACTCTGTTTTGAAGGCATTAACGTTTGTTAAACAAGGCGTGGGAATTAACAGTGCCTCACAAAAGGTATGGAAGGCTTTGGGTGATTGCCTTCGAGTATTTGTCAAGATTCGCGAACGTGTTAGCGATGTTCCATTTGATCTTGTTGTAGGTCTTTTTGACAACGTTGATTTTGGCAATTTTGAGTATCCATTGAATGAGTCAATTTCAGTGGCTGACGCAAGAGCAAAATTAGTAGAAGGGAGGGATATGGAATCGCTTTTCTTGTTGATCATACTTGCTTCTGTCGCATCATTAAACAATTTACCATTTAAGGCGAACAAGGTGCTCAAGGCTACTGGGTTTTACAATCTTGGCTTGTCCTTGTTGGAGTCATTTCAGGAGATTGGAAATGCTGAATTTCGGAACTTGTCAGTATACTATCTTAAACGTGCCATCAAAATCGAGCAAAACAATGCCAATTATTGGATAGCATTAGGTAATGCATATTTTACAACCAATCCACAGATCTCACAACATTGTTATATAAAAGCAACTACGTTGGAAGTGAAGGATGCGGAAATTTGGGTGAATTTAGCTATCTTGTATTTGAATTTTGGTGATACTCAATTATCTCAAGAGACCTTTTTGCGAGCCCAGTCCGTAGCACCGCAAGATCCACAATCATGGCTTGGTAATGCCGTTGCTTCGGAAGTGGTTGGAGATGACGAAAAGGCGTCCAGTCAGTATATTCATGCATTCACATTGTCCAAAGGTAGATTGGCTTTAGCGCTGTTTTTGTATGGATTATCGGTGGTCAATCGCAGTAATGATTGTGATCCAAAAGATATTGAGACTGCGCAGGAATTCAGTATTAGTAACCAAGCCATGCATCAATACTTGAAATATTATCCAAAAGATGAAGCCGCATTGGGCGTGGGTCTTTCCATTGCTGAAAGGTGTAAAGATTTCGAAACTGCTATAGATTTGGGGACCAAATTGTGCTCACTCTATGAAAAACTGTATGAGGAGACTGAGAGTGAGGTTACATTGCTGAAATTTGCAAACACAAAGAGTCAATTAGCAAGATTATATTTAGGATCGGGTGATTATGAATATGCCATCGAGGAAGCGAAAACTGCTCTTGAACTTGACCCTGAACTGGAGAAGATTGTGATTTCGGTAAGACTTACACTTGGGTTGGCTTATTTTCTCACCAATAGATTTCAAGATGCGATCGGTGAGTTAAAAATTGTCTTGAGTGAGTATAGCGACTCTCCGAGAATTATTGCATTGATTGCTCAAGTTTTATATGCACATAATTCAAAGGAGTCAAAGCAAGCTGCTATTGATCAACTTTTTGCACATATTGAAGAGAATGGGTCATCTTTGTTGATTGTGCTCACCCTTGGTGCTATTTCATTAGTTGAGGATTTACCTGAGTACCTTGACGCTGTAAAGGAGGATTTATTGGGCTTAAACTTAAATGACATTGTCACAGACACAAGAAGGGAAGTGCCTCGTTTGATTGATGAAATTAATGAAAGATTAGGTAAGGATGAGGACAAGATATGGAGTAGATATGCATACATGTTTCCATTCAGCTATCATATTTGGAAACACATCAATGTGGAAATGGCAAAGCTAGTGATTACATCAAGAGATGAAAAAGTTACTAGTAACGAGTATGCTGATGCAATGACAAGGACAGGTAAATTGAGAGATATACAACGTGGATTAATGATGAATCCTTGTAATACGGAGGCCATAGAGGCAATGAATTCGTGTATAGCTTAGAAGTAGAGGTGCATACGACGGCGATGACGTCAAATAATTTCATTGTGTCAAAAAATAAATAAAAAATGCGAGAGAAACGCAATTTGCATAGAACGTCAAACTTATCAAATCAATTAGGAAAGACTCAATTGCAATTGATCATCGAAGCTCTATATACTGCAGTTGCCTAGGGGAAGTTGTCTTTGGAAACTTGCCTCTTTTCCGAAACGTAGAGCAACTAAATCATTACAATGGGCCTATTTTCGAAAAAGAAATCATCGTCGCCATCAAGTTCGACTAAAGAAGCTACACCATTAGGCTCGTCTGCTTCGGTTAAGTCTGAGTTGGGTCTATCGTCATCTAATGAATCGATAAAGTCAGACATATCCAGTGGAAAGATCAAAGGGTTGTTGAAGAAAAAATTGAATGGAGGAGGAGCAGGAGGAGCAGGAGGAGTGGGAGGAGGTAGAGGCGGTGAAGCAATTGGTGTCGACAAAATTGACAAATTGAGTGCTGATTTACGTCAGATTAAACTTGACAAACAAATGCAGAATACGCAAACGTCTAGTCTGACGTTGGAAGTCCCACGGGGGGACCAAAATGGAGAAAAACATCTTTCTCAAGAGGGTCACATTCCGTCACAATTTAAGAAACGTGTAAGTACGATTATTGAAAATGAGAACAACTCCACTGGTGACGACTCCGATGACTTTGATGCCGATGCTGATGATGATGAGGGGTCCAATATTGAATCAGATTCGTCTGATTCTGAGTTGGAGGAAGATCACCTACATCCAATCAAGCCCAAATACGATGCATCACATCACGATTTAGCTCAACAATTGTCAACAATCATGGGCTACTGTGGACTACGCAGAGACACTTCATCACATTCAACTGAGGAAGCCAACAAGGAAAGTCAACGAACCTATTCCCTATTGGATCAAGAAAACAGGATCAAGAAATTGCCCAAATCGGTACATAGTGATGAATCGATAATCGGTGAATATCAAATACAATTAATACAACACTTGACGGCAAAGATTGAACGATTGATTACTGATGGTGGGAGTGAACGATTGTTAACCAGGGAGAAATCATTGTATCAGAGGTATGGAGTGATACGAAACGTTATTGGCAAGGGAGCTTATGGATTGATCAAGATTATTGATCCCGACGGAGGTAAAGTCAATACGTTGTTACTGAATAGCTTACCACCATTGGGGAAACGACTATTTGTGGTTAAGGAGTTACCAAGACGGAAAGATGAGAAAACAAACAACTTTATTGAACGAATCATGTCGGAGTTTGTCATTTCGTCAACATTGAATAGTAAATACATCATTGAAACGGTTGATTTAATGGGAACGCTATCTCCTTCATCACTACTGCTGCTGATGAGTTCACCTTCAGCCTCGGTTAAGCATCTACGTATTAGTCAAGTCATGAATTGCAGTCAAGGTGGCGATTTATTTTCCTATTTATTGACTGGAGTCAATATCAAAAACAAACCAGTAATGTACATGTCATTATATGAAGTTGATTGCATATTGAAACAAGTGGCTCGTGGATTGAAGTATATGCATGCTCATGGTGTTTCTCATTGTGATTTGAAATTGGAAAATATACTCATATCGTACCAAGTGGATGACCATAATGACGTTACTGAGTCTGGACTATGCTCCAGTTGTCAGTGTAAGATGCTGATCAAGTTGAGTGATTTTGGTAAATCATTTGTGTTTCGAACCGCATTTGATAAATCAGAACAGAAATTACAAGGATCTCAAGGAATCATTGGATCAGAACCGTATATTGCACCTGAGGAGTACTTGTGCACCAAGATCAATTCGTCGTATTCATCAGTGAAGAAAGATTGTTGGGCATTTGGTGTTGTTGCATTGACATTACTAAATATTCGAAGAAGCTACTACTGTTCTCAATCGTCAAATGGTGGCGTTGGTGGTGATGGAGGAGCGTATCGACTGGGACTGAAGTTGGTTGCTGGCTTGGATCTAAATGGATATAGTACTGGGTACTTGTGGAAAAACACCGATGCAAAAACCACCAGTATCAGCAAATCCAACACATCTAGCGGATCAATAGTGACAATATTACTGAAGTTGGAGTACAAGGATAAAGTGTTTAATGAGTATGTCAAGAAAAGAATGATTGGTGATTATGACACAAGGACTAAAGAATGGTTGATTAAACAACCAGGTAGATTTATGCCCATTGAGAACATATGTAAACCGATAACTAGCAATAGTGACGATGATGATACTGCCGAGGAGGAAGAAGAAGAGGGGGGAAATGATGTGAGAGGGAAACAGAAGGGGGTTAGGATGTTTGATGCTGATAAAGATGATGAAGACGAGGATGATTTAAGTGAATTAAGAGTATTGATCATTTACAAGTTACTTGACATTGACCCAAGTACAAGAATGAATATGGATCAGTTTTTAAAGAGTGATTGGATGACGGCAACCGAATCCTGTTTTTAAGAAGGTGTGGTGGTGTACACTTCGATGCACATCACTTTTTACTATTGATATTGTATTTTATACATGGAGTTGGAGACACACCATTTTCACTATTGATATCGTTACTCTATTCTGTACGTACATGAGGATTCTTTTTCTTATACAAAGTCTCTTATAGTAGACACAATATAAAGTGGTGAAACACTTTATACACAGCGTGTAAAAACTCATCTACAATCAACTCTTCCCCGCTCTTTAAAAGTCCTGAAACATATCTCGATATGGATCTTCAACTCCACTTATACCATAATCCAAATCCTTGTCTTCTGGATACTTGTCAAACTGTGAAGTATCACCGACACCAGAAGTAATTGGTGGTTCATAAGGAGTTTCAATATCTCGTGAAAGTAATCGTTCCCAAATAACTTCTTTAAACCACGGATGATTTTTGACATCATTTGATCCACCTTGTAAATTACCCAATCTTTGAGTTAAATCTTTAACAATCAATTTTTGTAAAAGATCCAAAATATCTGGTGGTAAATAGTCGGGGTAAGTTATAGTTCCGTTCAAGATATTTTCATAAGTTTTCATGGGAGTTGGATCATAAAATGGAGTATAACCAGTCAACATTTCAAAAATCAATATCCCAAATGACCACCAATCAACTGATTTGTTATATGGTTTTGTAGCTACAACTTCAGGAGCAATATAGTCGGGAGTACCACATAATGTATAAGTTACATCTTGAACTTCTTTAGCAAATCCAAAATCAGTCAATTTAATATGTCCATTTTTATCCAACAAGATATTTTCAGGTTTCAAATCACGATAAATGATATCCAAATTGTGTAAATATTCAATGGCAAGAAATGTTTCTGCAGCATAAAATTTAGCCACTGGTGTAGGGAATCGTTGTGATTTTCGCAACAAGGAAAATAACTCACCCCCTTCTATATAATCCATAATCATGAATAAATTGTGGCAATCTTGAAAAGTACCCCACATTCGAATAATAAACGGATGTTGGGCCAATTTCAACATTCTTCGTTCATCATTAGTATGTTCAACTTGTTTCATGTTAACAACTCGTTCCTTTTTCAACACCTTCATGGCGTAAAAACGACCATTGTGGATGGATCTAGTTAAATGAACTCGTCCAAATGAGCCTGTTCCCAATGTTCGCAATATTTGAAAATCATTGAGACTGTATTTCCCCCTGGTTGTAGTGTCCTTGTGCGCGTGACGAGAAACTTTTTTAGTTAGGGATGACGATGACGATGAATTGTTTTGACTAGTAAGATTAGGTTTGGAATTGGTGGTGGTGTTGCTGTTTGTGTTGGGTATGCTTTTGGTGTCGTCATTGCCTGAAGTGGAAATGTTTTGTCCGGTAGTGCCGTTGTTAGTGTTGGACAAATTGGTGTTGCTGGTGTTTGTGCTAGCACTGTGTAGTCCTGTACCCTGGGCATTATTATTCCGTTCTAGTGTTGGTGAATTGGATGCGTATATACTATTTTGCAGTGGCTGATGTTGTGCTTGTTGTTGTTGTTGTTGTTGTTGTTGTTGTTGGTTTGACTGTTGTTGTTGTTGTTGTTGAAGCGAAGGTGTAGTCGAGGTGGACGATGCATCATTCAAACTCATATTGTGAAGTGATTGCGTATTTGACTCCTGTTGTTGCGCTGATGCCATATGGGAAGAAAGAAAGAAAGAAAGAGTGTATATATATGTATATGTGTGTGTTCTTTATGTATTCATGTAATTTTGGAATTATTTTGGTGGTTGTCGTAATTGGGATTGATTTTGATAATTTTTTTTTTTTTGTCTGTTTTCGTCACTGTCCGTCCCCTTACACAACACAACACATACAAATTGAATAAAGCTTTGATGTTGATGTATTAGACCTAACACTTTAGTTCTGAGTGGATGAGAAGTGTAAGGTCCCAGGTGGTTCGTATATGTGTATGTGTGTACCACTCTACTAATGAACTATAAAATGGACAATCGTTTTCAACGTTGTGTATGTATGTATGTTGTGTGTGTGTTTGTATGTATCCTCTTTATTTGAAAAAGTGGGAAAAATAAAAAAAAAAAAAAGAGAAAAAGAAAGAAAAGAAATTTTTTCAAAATTTACACAAAGAAAGCCAAATTGAAATGTATTGTAAATCATTGCATCCATACACCAATACATATATACATACATATGTATAGTATATTACATTCCTTTACTATACGATAGTGTTATAACTTATGTACACAGCTGATATGGTTATCACCGCCATCTTCTCAACCACAACAGTTGTTCATTATAAGAGTGCGAAACGGGTAGGAATCACATGCTTTTGCCGCGTTTAATTTTATTTTTGACTTTATAATATTGTTATACTTGTTTTTAATTCCGTAGGTCGTGTAAGTTGACTTTTTTTGTTAGCTACAATAAACTAAGACTATCCTCTTTTGATTCACCCACCAATACATTTTGTGTTTTCGGTTCCTCTCTTTGGGTAATGAGTTTGTGATTCAATTAGTCAAAACACAATGACAAGAATTGTGACGGTGATGAGCTTTGTTAACATCGATGTTGTTGTTGTTTGTGATATGCTTTTCTTTTCCCTTTTTCTTTTGTGTGTATATTGACTAAATGAATTTGTGTGTCTCAACAATTACTTTTGCGTAAATGCTTATTGGTTTACGTCACTTTCCAATAATTGTACATGTGTAGTTTGTGGTATCACTCGACCCATGTATAGGTTTGCGTTATACTTTTCTCTTTGTAAACACAACATTGGTTTCGGCTCTATAGTCGTTTGCTCCCGACGAATACAACCAAAGATCTATTGAAAGAGCACTGCCTCATTTTTAACCACATGCAGTAAAAAAAGTACATGCAGGGTATAATATTATCCTTAAAAGGAGGGGAAGGCAGAAGCATACTTTCAAATAAGATATTACGTCGACTAGTTGAAATCAAGAGATTGCTATTCTAAATATGGCAGACGCCATGGTGGGTGCAAATCATCAATCTACTGCTTTAATATCGGCTGTTTAATGAACCGTCGGCGCCAAAACCAAAAAGAAAAAACGTTTGGATCGTAAATGCAACTACTTTTGGAAGAATCATTACTTACACAAAACAAACAAAACATAAAGCTGTACCGGGATTTGCAGACGTCCATGTGAACTACAACTCCCCAAAAGTGCGCAAGTTCAAGTTCTATACGTTGATCGTGCTATGGGAGGTTGGAAAAATTTTATTTTGACGAATCTCAATCAACATTAAAACAATCACGTGGTAAATTACACACTTGTGTTGCAAGCTGCCGAAAAGATGTTTCACACAATACAGGAAGGGTACACTTGTGTAGTCGATACGAGGACCCATTCAAAATAGCTAGAAAAAGCAACCTAATGTGTATTCAGCAAAGCGGGTTCTCTTCCTTCTAAAATTCCCTTCTTATATCTCAACAATTGCTATAACTGGACGATGGTCACTACATAAACACTCATATCCTTCTTCACCACCACATAATTGACTTTGCGTGGCATGATACAAAATAGGTACATTCTGACTGGTCCAAATAAAATCAATTATGGATTCACCATCACCGCCATTACAAAACCCAGTACATGTTCTTCTTTCACCTTCAATCTTTTGTGCTTTGACTCCAGACTCTTGTAAAAAATTGGCCAATGTTTGATACCCTTCGGCATTTGGGTCACTATTTAAATCACCAGTTAAAACCAGTTTACCACCAGCGCCACTGCCGCCGCCAACTGGTGCCTCTTCCATCAATTTCACAATCAACAATGCTGATTGTTTTCGTGCTTCTTTACCACGATGATCGAAATGGGTATTAAACATATTAATCACTTTGGTACTGCGACCTTGAACTTTACGATTTTTCAAAATGACATTGGTGACAATTCGATTAAATGCGGCATCCCAGCTCTTGCTTGGTTTACTAGGAGTTTCACTCAACCAAAATGTCTTTGTAAATACTGGTTCCCAATCTTGTTTATTAAACAATATCGGTGAATATTCTCCATGTGTATCGCCATTATCTCTACCAACACCAAAATATGTCCAATCTGGTCCTAAACCATGCAAGATGTCTTGTAATTGGTTATGTAATACTTCTTGGAGCGACACAATTGCTGGTAAATTGGGATTTGAAGTTGCTTGCTTGATCAAATGAATTACTCCCTGTTTTCTCTCTGACCATGGTTTTTCTCCATCAACAAGTTTCTTAGTGTCAAACCTAATATTGTGGGTATAAATCAATACTTGTAATGGCTTAGAATCTCTGTCGGTGGACGAGGCAGCATCAGTGGCTTTTGCAATTTGTTGCTTGTCCTTATCAGAGTAAGTCTTGGTGCCTGTATGTTTATTGACCTCTTTGCCAACCAATTGAGTCACCTTCTTAGCTGCGTTAAAGTAGTTCATTATGAAAAGCGAGGGGTTGTATAGTTGTTATCTTTGGTGAAGGGTACGTATGATCGTGTGAGTTTTATCTCTCTTTTTATATCACAATCTCCTCAACCCCCACGAAATTTCATAGCAAACTTAAAAAGTAAATATGCCGAGAGAACACAAAATCTATGAAACAGTAGTGAGGCACCGAATATAAAAAGCGCAATCTTGAAAGCACTTAGGGAATAGAGGCATGGGGTGGTGACAGATCCTCCTACAGTGGATAGCTTTCATAACTCGGGTAAGCATCTTAGTTTATCGTCGATTGTTATATACCAATCACTAACTTGCACTATCGATCGTGATTTCCTTACAATTTGTGTCATCAATTGGGAGAGACCGTAATAAAATACTCAAAACGTAGACGATTGGAGTCCCGTGTCTCTTGTCTAGATATCACTGACTACACTCATCTTGTTTCTCTATCAACTATGCGATTGTAACTAAAATTAATTACTGATTTTTCAGTTCCAGGAACATAATTCACTACGAGTCCCAATTTTTGAGACTAATAGTTCTACCTAAACAATCCGGCTTTAGCAAAGACTTAGCTGATTTGAGATACGGTCCCGCACATAGGTGTTGTGTTTATCACTGATCTATTGTATCCATGCTGACTGTCGGCAACTTGAATGAAACTCAACTTTATCTCTCGGCTAAAAAAACAAAAACAAATTTTGTTTCTGTGTTATAACCGACACACCCAAAATGACACGTCTTATTAAAAGCTCTCTCGCTTTCCTAAATGAGAAACTCCATCCTATAAAGCCATTAATAGAATACACTAGAATCTCTGGTTATAAAGACATAGGCAATTTAGATAATATCTCGGCATGCCCTTTACTATTCAAGTTTTGGCACTTTTTCTAAATCATTTTTCGTTCTTTAAAATACTATACGCAAAGTGTTGTTGCATAAAACTGGTGATAATTATATATTTCTAACCAGCAAATAACAAAAAAAAAGAGCTTTCACGTGTAACTATATTTTTTTTTATTAAATGCCAGATTTAGTACAATTCTTTATACGACCAATAGACGTATTTTTCAAGAATTTTTACTCATCGGTATCGCAGTTATTCAAAATGATTACATCTTCATCACTGTTGAATAGGAAATTATCCTCAGAACAACTTTTGTATAGAAAACGAGACCTAATCAATGTCACATTAGCATCACAGGGGATAGTGGTGGGAAGTCGACGAGATCAAGGGAAACAACACCAGCAGCAAGGTCATCATGGCCAGCAACAACGAAGTGGCGAAGTGTTGGTATCGAATGATGATAGTGAAGAATTGGAGAAAGCCGATGGGTCCGGTTCTGGCTTACTGGGCTTTTGTTATAGTTGTTTTGGTAAAGACACACTGAGGAACTCCTCCTCAGAAAAGAAGATTCCCCAGTTTATATCATTCAAGAACGTATTGCATGTCGAAACATTGGGCTCAGAAGAGAATCATGAGGTGACATTAACCTTTGTTACACCCAACCATGAAGATTACATCAAAAAGGCATCGAAATTGACAATTCACAATATTAAAGTGCAAGTGCAAAACTATGATCCACAAAAGCATTCACATGATACTGTCGCCAACTATATTTTGAACAAGGCATATCATTATAAAGTGCTTCAACAACCTTCAGTATTGGTTTTGATTAATCCTCATGGTGGTCAAGGTCACGCGGTGAAGATTTACAACGATGATATTAAACCAATTTTACGCGCTGCTCGTTGCAACATTACCTATCAAGAGACAAATTATTCTGGACATGCCACTGACATTGCTAGAGATTTAAACATTGATGAATACGATGTAATTTTGTGTTGTTCTGGTGATGGAATACCTCACGAAGTGATTAATGGATTTTATCAACGTAGAGATAATGGTGTTGCTGCATTCAACAAATTGATCATCAGTCAATTACCATGTGGATCAGGAAATGCCCTTACGTTGAGTACATTGGGAGGATCAGGTGAAGCACAAATTGCCACTTGGCTTATGCTTAAATCGAAACCAAGTAAATTGGATTTGATGACGGTGACTCAAGGCACTGGAGACAAACAAGTTACCAAATTGTCATTTTTAAGTCAATGCTATGGAATCGTTGCTGATTCAGATATTGGAACCGAACACTTACGATGGCTTGGTGCCATACGATTTGAACTTGGGGTTATGCAAAAAGTGTTCACATTTGCTAAATACCCATGTGATTTATACGTTGAAGCATGGACTAAAGATAAATCACTCATTGCTAAGCATGTTGAACTGCATTTAGCCAATTCCAGTAATGGAAACAACAATAATGAATTACGTGTTGTTACAAAAGAGGATTTACAACTACGCCAACCATCATTGGATGAACCAGTACCTTCACATTGGAAAACTGTACCCCAGTCTATCACTGACAAACTCAATGTGTTTTATGTGGGGAACATGCCTTATGTATCAGCCGATGCTCAATTTTTCCCTGCTGCATTACCCGATGACGGACACATGGATATGGTAATCACCGATACAAATGCATCGATACTAAACATTGTTCAAATTATGTTGAATGTGGAAAAGGGCACCCACGTTAATGATGAAAATGTCATACACGCAAAAGTTAAATCTTATCGATTAGTACCGAAGTTGCCAAACCCTGATCATCATTACATATCTGTTGATGGTGAGAGTTTCCCCGTTGAAGCTTTACAAGTTGAAGTTTTACCTAGTATCATGACTGGGTTGTTGTACGATGGGAAATTCACCGAAACTGTATTGACTGAATAAGACAGGGGAAGTTGGTTGTTTAGTTTAAAGTTAGATATGTATAATAGAAGTTTTGATTCACTTGTGAGAAGTATTGGTATCGTATTGGCGTAGAGAGACCTCCTTCTCTTAGTAAGGATGTAAAAGAGTAAAGATTAGCATTAATACCTACAACATTGATTAAACATAACAATTATTAATATTAAACATTTAGAAATTCATTATTACCCCTGAAAAAATTGAAGAAATCCTTGTCATCGAAACTGGGGTACAAACACACAACAAAGTCAGTGTGAGTATCATCTTGTACAAAAATGAGAAAAAAAAAAAAACTTCCGAAGTAATCATAGATTACACTAAATCTCCATCAAAGATTACACATAGTAAACTTAAATTCATTTGGGACTACGAACAATTCAATTTCCATTGGCCAGATCGAATAATATATTTTCCATGTCTCTTGCCAGTCTTCCAAGACTACAAGTGAGAAATCAAAAAAGAATAGAGCACAAGGATCGCAAATTGTGTGTCCATACGTCCCCATACAGTGTTTCACCATGATTTAGCCATTTCAAGATTTGGAAACACGCCCTGCAATCAAATTTCACACCGTTTCTGAAGTGAAATCATCAAAAGCAATGCCTTCAATTATGTAACTGTGAGTATAATAGCCCTTTCAGAAAAGAAAAATTGCATATAGTGATATCTCTTTACATTTTCTTAAAACAAAAATGCCAGTTACGAAACTCCCATACTCAACACTTTTGAAGTGAATTTCTTCTGTTTTGTTTCTTCTCCTTCTTCTTCTTTTTTGTGATCTCGCTCACCTTTTATAGCTCGATTACTTTCTTTGGGGAAGTTTGCTTACACTTGCATTAACAATAGGGTTCTCATTTAATTTGTATATTCAAAAAGCCAAAAAAAAGGACAACCTCTACATACTCATCAATAATCCTCACACAAACTAACCCGATCTAACAGCCTTTTTCTCATATCTTTGATGTTGCAACTTGGATACATTCTTCAACTCAGCTAATCTTTCTTTCAACATGGGTATATCACGCAACACTTTTTCCAAAGCCACTCTTTCCTTCTCCAATTTCAATCTCCTTTCAGCATCCAATTTACCAAAATAATAGCCACCTTTACCATCGAATTTCAACAAGTATTTGTGGAAATGCCACAAAGCTGGACGATGTGCAACTGACAACAATGTTATACCCAAGCTTTGTGCGTGCTCATACATAAACTGTTCCATATCGGGACTTACTGCTGATGTACATTCATCCAACACGGCAAACTTAGGTTCGTGGTAGTACAATCTCGCCATGGCCAATCGTTGCTGTGCACCCGTGGACAATTCCTCATCCCAGTTCTTTACTTCGTTCAACTGATCAACAAAATCATCTAGTTTCAATATTCTCAATATCGATTGCAATTCTTTGTCAGATTTTGTTTGTTTATTAAGTGGATGCGGGTAAATGATTTGCTCTTTCAATGTGCCTTGTAATAAATAAGCTCTTTGTGGGATATAAAACATGTTTTCAGCGGTGGGGATGGTGATTGTACCTTCTTTTACTGGCCATAATCCACCAAGCATTCTAAACAATGACGATTTTCCAGATCCATTAGGACCAGCAATTAACAAGTGATCACCCAGTTTGATGGAAAAACTCAAGCTTTCAATAAGTGTGACATCTGCTGGTGTTAACAACCTCACTTTGTCAAAGATAATCGCATCATTGTTGTATTTGACATTTGACGTAATATCTTTCCTTCTCAGCGCCACATCGGCCAATGTATCTTGGAAATCAGATACTCTAGTCGCGTGACCAACAATTTGTAACAAATACCTCCTGGCATAGATTAATCGATCTAATGAGTCAGAAGCACTAAGCAATAACCTTCTATTGGTGATGAATTTACCAGCGGCATTGTTGTCATCTTCCTCCCCAAGGTACTTGGCAATGAATATAGGCGATGAACATAAAACCAACCCAGCAGCACCCCAAAAGTACTTCACAATAAATGTTTGAGCGATTTCATGGATACCCTTTTTCCAATATTCTTGTTTGGAAAATCTCTCCAATGTGTAGTAGCAATAATCAATGTAATCCAATTCACGATAATGACCACGCAAAAATGCAATTTCCTCATTATTGGAAACAATCTTGGAATGAGCAGACCTTAATTTCCCTTCTAAATTAGCACGTTCACTAGCCAACTTGGCAAATGGGGGTGAAAAGAATCGAATAATCATAGTCGAGAAATGAGCCAATATTCCCAACGCAAGGGTACCTTCACCGTTTCCAACACCACTCTTACTCAATTGACGTGCACACAACACCAAGTCCAATGTTGGTTTCAATAGTTGCCCTGGTAAACTACTCAATGCAGATGCCAATCTTGACACATCAGTAGTGATTCTTTGATTTGGATCAGTGATTTTATTGCCACTCAAATGCATCAATGAGTAATAATTGGTATCCAAGTTATCTGGTAAATAATCCTTCAAAATTGAATTGTTTAAATTTTCTCGGATGGCTTTTCTCATATTTTGTTTTGTCCATGATAACAATGCATTGTTTAACGATGCTGGAATTCCAATCAACATCCATGCCAAAAGGTATCTACTAAACACTTTTAACCTTTTCGATACCAAGGCGCCCACCAACTGACCATCCAAAGTAGCTACTCTCAATGTCAAAAACGCACGAGTTACTAGCAACACCAAATGAGCAATAAAATAACCCACTGTTTTATCATGAAATGTTGGTATAATTGCATGAAACAACCGATCAAACGCTTGTCGAGAAAGCTTTGGATGTGCCGATTTTTTGTTCAGTGATGACGATCCATCAACTTGTTGCTGTTGTTGCGATTTGTCGTTGCTCTTTTCTGATGATGATGATGATGATGATGATGATCCTGTACTTGCTGCACCGGAGAAAGCGGCGGTTATTAGAATGATGTAGGATGTGTTTAAAAGAAGTGACCTGTTGGACCTGTACACTTTTAAAAGGGAAAGTGCCAATGAGTTATCCCTGAGTCTTGAGTTTGTCACCGACATTTCTTATCTGCTATAGTAGTACCCCGCAAACAAAACGATAGTTGATTAATGGATAATGAGGAGATAAAATAAAGTGTAAAGTGTTTGGGAAGGTGGTGGTCTCTTATTTACGCAAATAATAGACAGGTTTGGTCAATATGATTAGTGTTATAGAATTAGTCTTCAACGGTTTATTATTGTTAGTTTTCATCCCTTCACATTTTAAAATCAAAATGACAGACAAATTATTTTTTTTTTTTTTTCGTCGTTGCAATTTGTTCCTCGGCGAAGTGAAATGTCGCGAAATTCAAAGTCACTTTTTGGGGTTACCTAAGACATGGGATGAAATATACCACCGATTAATAAGTATGCGTTTGGTGTTGGAAGAATTCGACCACAGGGCGCCTTTTCGGCTCAGAATTTACTACAGGTATATTACAAAGTAATCCCTTCCATAGTTCCAGATTCGAGGGTGAGCTGATAACGTTTTTAGTTTTTTCTATGTATGATCATTGATTGATGAGCTACAAACGGCCCAATTGTAGTACCAGAAAGCATGCTTCATAATAGCTTTCATTGTAAAGCAACTGTGTATTGTTTTAATTCAATGGTGACTCGCATAAAGGTAGGAGTTTGATCGGAGATAGTTTCTGACAAATCCCCCCTTGTTTTCGTTTTTGAGATAGAACCCCAATTTGTGTAATTCGTTACAACGAGGGTTAAAAATAAAAACCATTGAATTGATTATATATAGTAACCAAAGGCGTACATTACTAATTGCTGAAAATCTACAGCCAAGTCTACAACTACAGTGGGTAGACAATGTACTTGTAACCGCTTACCATTCCCTAATCGGCCTTAGTCTATAAGAAGCTTACTTTCTTAAAACTAATAGAAATGCGCACATGCGCGACTTCGCTTTTATACTTATCGAAGCTACCATATGCCACACTCTCTAACCTTGGCTATATCAGTGTGAGACACATGTAACATACCTCATTATATAACAGTACATAGAGTGGGGATAACTTTTGGATTGCATACGTAACACTGCTTGTGAGTCCCCCTTGACACACTCCTTGAATCTTCGTATCTCAACTCAAACCACTTTCTTGTATTCTTTTATTTTTCTTAAATTGCTGTTGCAGTTGTAAAGGTGCAAACAATAAGGTACGATATATACGAATAAAAATCAATAAACATTCACCATATGATAAGAATGCCGTATGCTTCTAAACATAGAAGAGAGATGTGGAGGGGATTCACTCCAAGAAACGTATTTCGAGTAGATATGCGGAGAAATGTTTCTATTGTTTATACATTTGATTTCGGATTAATTTGCACGTGCTGTGTTTCGTTTCTTTTTTGCTCTCTTACAATAAAACCCCCGACTACATATTGCATAAAGCTACCATCCAAACAGAATTTGTTGTTAGTTGCATCGCTTGCAGTTAATACAAACGTTCTGTTTACATTTAGATACAGATTCTATTGTTGGTTAAACAATAGGTTTTCATTACGTTTTATATTGTCGCTGTTCGTATCTCCTTCCGCACTTTCCATGGCTAATACGCACCAGATAGTCCCTACCTCCATAGATAAAGCCACACGGCGATTGGTGAACTTTTAAATTAGGGTCTCCGAAGTCTATTCCTTTCTTTTGGCACGGATTTTAGCCTGCTATTTGACGAATAGCCATACAAATTTCAAGCACATGTTTTGCATAGGCTAATTAATCCGGTTGTAAATGTTTAACAAAAACCCTCTAGGTGAAATTTACTTTACATTCCAACCACAACAACAACAACACATTCCTTCTTCTTAATCACAAACTCTACTTTACTACAACAAATGATTGAAACTCTTGTCCAATGAATTCAAAGAATGTCCTTTTGATTTATATAAATTAGAACCAACATCCTCTTGATCTTTCTCGTACACCGCCTTTGATCTACTACTCTAACACGAAAGTGTGTAACTAAACACATTCATAGACACAGCAAAGCACCACCGCCACTCCGACCACGAACCCTCCCCCCCCCATTATACTGGCATTACATCATCATTAGAAACAAGCTTTTATACTATTGACTTATCTACCCAAAGCTAACTCAATTTTTCTAAACTAGCCTTCGGAAGAGTTACAAAATTGCAAACAACGTGCGGCATCAAGAAACTACTCAATTTCACTACAATCTCTCCCAACCTTTAAGGGAGCCGTGCAAGAAGATCTAGGCAAGCATACTCGGTGCCACGTCTCCATTTTCCAAGTAGTATTCCCCCATCAATTGAACATCAACATCATCAAATTCCCATCCGTTTCGGTCATTGTGAACAGAAAGGACATTTTTCTTCAAAGGGGGCACAACGCAAAGCTAAATATTTGTTCGATCTTTGTGTAATATTGGCAACTAGTACACGAAGAACTATTTTTTTTTCTGTTTTCCTTTCCATCAGCCTTGCCACACATAGCACACCATAGTGAGACTATTTCAACGTAATCTTGCTTGATCTTACATATATACCAAACAAAACTACATCAGGTGACTAACCTACGTCTTTTTTGCAACCAACAACGAGAGGAAAGGATCAATTTACTGCCATCGCAATCAATTTGCCAGAGCGAAAAAAATTTCCCCCCCATTGTTCCTTTGAGCTTAATTTTGTGTGTAACACTTTTTTGCCTCGAGGATTGGAGAGAAAGAACAATAAAGTCAATATAGATATTAACCACACACAAAACACACACCAATTAAACACCGAAAGGAGTAATAGCCCAAACTTCAATTGGTTGAAGATACAATCACACATATTACTTTTTGATATAACAGTCTACCTAGCCGATTGTGTGCACATCTTACCGACGGGGTGACTGTATCTGTGCTTAAGATCTACCTATCAGAGAGATTTTCATGATCTACTAATAAAATATCACTTGTTCTATTAAAAGCAACAAACAAAACAAAACTAAACACACACAAGAAAAAATTAAATAAATACAACATACACTTGAAATTATTACACAAACACAAAGTTAGTGTAACCCTTTGCACCTAAAAATTTCATCACTACACACACGCACGCTAAATTGCAATTATGTTGGATTTCATAAATAACAAACCATTACAACCACCACCACCACTTTATATACAACAAAACACTCCCCTACACACCACATTTCTACAAAAAAGAGACACATCATCCACCACTACTCCTAATAACACAGGTACTAGTAGCAGCTCAATACCACCATCAACAACAGCATCATCATTTACACCTTCAACTTCTGCTCAGCCTACATCCAACTCAGATACAGGTAACAACACAACACCACCACCACCATCTACATCAACAGAGAGCTCTTTTCCCCTGTCTCCTTCCCAATCTACAAGTGAGACAACTTCTTTTTCATCTAGCGAATCAACACCATCCACCGTGTCGTCGTTAATCCCAACAACCACGTCAGATCCGACTACACCTCCGACACAAGGGTCTCTGGAATCTACTCCAAGCACATCAGTTCCAACACTGTCATCAGTTCCAACTGAAAGTCCAAGTACAAGTTCATTCGTTAGTTCCCTGTCTTCGTCCTCGTATACGTCGTCGTCATCATCACCGACAACAAGTGATTTTAGCTCGTCAAGTATGTCTAGTTCGGTTCCAACAGAAACAACTCCGAGCACTACATCAAGCTCAAGCTCATCTGCGTCCCTTCCTACAACCACGAGCTCTGAAACAACCCCAAGCTCTACGTCTTTGGTAGAACCGTCTAGCACAGAGTTTAGCTCAGACCCGCTACCATCCTCCTCCTCAAGTGATACCAGTATCAGTTCAAGTTCCGATACACTTATTCCTTCGAGTTCATCGGAGGAAAGTACTTCATCAAGCACTACAGAGTCATCATCATCATCTTTTGAAAGCAGTACTACTTCCACTGAATCAAGTAGTTTTATACCCAGCTCAACTAGTGAAATTTCATCGTCTACCAGTGAGTCATCAAGCTCATCTTTTTCATCAGAGACGTCCTCGTCATCTTTTTCAAGTGATACCACTTCTACTAGCTCAGAATCTTTCAGCTCCTCATCATTGTCTGAATCTAGCTCTGAGTTTAGCTCATCCACTTTTGAAAGTTCAAGTTCAGAAACATCATCGTTCTCCTCATCCACCTCAGATCAAATATCAAGTAGCTCTTCTACAGAGGAATCTTCAACTTCTGAAACCTCATCTTCAGAACCATCATCATCATCCTCAGAGGAAACAACATCGTCATCGTCATCAGAGGAATCACTGACGGCAATTGCAACCACTTCATCTAGATCCTCAACCACCTCGTCTGCATCATCATCGTCATCCAGAACTAGGTCTTCCTCTTCACCCTCGTCTACTGAAGAACCATCATCAACAGAGGACAACTCTGAAACATCGTCAACAGAGCCACCTTCCTCCACCACAAGCTTGGACAAACACAGCTCAATTTCATCATTCACATCCGAATCCACATCTATCTACACTTATCCAGATACAACTATCACCTCAGTTGTTGCTATCCCCACTTCAACTGTAGTATCAACCGACCTGGGGTCTACGGCATCACGTAATTCAAAGCTTATTGGTGGATTAGTGGGGTCCATTGGTGGAACAATTGTCATTGGTTGTCTTGTTGTGTTGTTTTTGTTTCTCAAGAAACGTAAAAGACAAATCACAAACCAATCGCCTGATTTCAATGGTGGTGATGCAACCAATAGATTGGGTGCTGGCGATGACGAAGAAGATACTTCACTCGAAGACAAGAATGACCACATCTTCCATGACTCACCCAATGGTAATATGCAACGATCCAAGCTTGGTTGGTTAACGTCAATTTTTTCGAAAAATAACAATGGTGCTGGTCATGCATCCGATGCCAATAAAGCTGCCATTACTGGAAGCGGTGCTGTTGCTGGTATGGCTGGCGTCGGTGCCATGTCTGGTGCTGGTGGATCAAACACATTCAAGAGATTGAGAAATAACAACGATGACTTGGAGAATCAAACAGGATATGGCGCCGCGGCCCACACAAACCGTGATGATGGTGCCGATGTTGGTGCTGATGACGATGGATTCGCGTACCGAGGGGTGACAAATGCCAACAACTTGGACTCGATTTTCCGTTCCAATGGAAACACTTCATCAAATGCTAGAAACTCAAGTTATTTTGGTAAAAATTCAACTAGAGGCTCTTCGATATCTGGTACTGGGGATACATTTGTCAATTCAAGTGATAGTCCATTGATGTCATCTCCACAATACCCTCAGGATCAAACAAGAATGAACTCATATGGACATCCATTGGCTCACCCAGATGATTTTAATTTCGAAGAGTACCCACTGACGGGCAATGTGAGATCTGTTTCTGGGGGCACTGCCAGAGCAGCCACTGCAAGTGGAGGTGTCCCTGTCGCTGCTGCTGCAACTGCTGCTACTGCCACTACAGCACATCCTGATCATCCACATACAACTACATCCAGTTCCGAATATGATTCAGATCATATCAACAACGATCGCGGAGGACAACAACAGCAGCAACCATATCATCACGACCATGATGCCGCTTCATCATCAGCTTCGTCAGATGGCGATTTCAATCCAAGTGACTACGACGACGAGCTGTTTATTTTACCTGGAGACGAAATGACCCAAGTTGGCCGTGGTGGAGCAGCAGGTTATCAGCAACATCCTCGCGGTGGAGGATACATCGTGCCTTTTGAACAACACCAACAACCCCAACTGCCATTTGATGAGTATGTCCAGCAACACCAACCACAGCAACAAAAACAACCTAATGGTGGGGCCGGACTGAACCATCCGTATGCACGTCGTGATGCACCCCCTCCGCCACCACAACAGTACATGGGTGAGCAATTTAGGTCTGGGCCATATGGGTCCAACAATTCATTGTCGAGGTTCCAAGAGGATATCTCGTGAGAGGAGGAAGAAAGAAAGAGAGAGTTTAGTTGGTTAAGATGAAAAAATTTTAATTGCATTTCTTAATTATTTAGTTCGTATATATTTACAAATTTTAAAGTTCTTTTTTGGGAAGAAAATGAGGAGGGGGTCATTGTAGGGTATGCGTAGCAAAGGTAGTCTCTTCGTGCGTGGTAGTACACGTGGACAAGAACTAATGTGTAGTTCATGCACAAAGCAATAACGAGGATAATATTTATACATTCAGCTTATCATTTCCAACAATAGGTGTCAATTGATTTCAAAGACGAAAAGTTTGTGTCTTTGAACAAAGGACTCGGGGCTTTGCGACTTCGCTTGTTTAACCCACGGTGTATTTCTCGGAACTATTTAAAAGAGCTTAAACTTTTTGTTACTTATTGTTACAATCGTTCAATTTCGCTTAGGGGGTAGGGAGAGCATGGGGTTTAGCTACTTTTGATTGAGTTGTCGCCCCTCTTGTGAAATAAGCAGCTTCTTTAATGAAGTAGTTGTGGTGTCTATGTCTCTACAAAACTATCTAACTAGGTATGCTAAAGTGTAATTTCAAATGGTCACGTGCGTTAAGCCAAGGTATCAATTTCTTTCGGATTGTTGAACATCAAACGTCGACCTCGCATATGTCTTTGCAGCTGAGCTCAAGCATGATATTGCTGGACATGAAAGAGGATACTTGACAGAGTTGGCGGTTATCTATTTTGTGTAATTGTGGATTTGCATGCCGTAAGAAAAGACATATGCAATTGATTTCAAGTAGATACTGTTAATGCAAGTCAATGCCACGAACTTGGCGCAAGGTTTGTCACTAGCCACAAATTAAGTTCCCCACCACGATATTTGATCCCCCGTCAAATCAAGATCCTTTAATGCTTTAGTTAGAGATTGCACCATCATTCGTAAAGCCCAATTCTTTACTTTAACTCACTTTTTGAGGGAACTAAAGCCTAAATTATAAATGCTTCAAATAGGTTAAAGTTGCCCCGGTGTTTTGAATCACAATTTTAGCTCATCGAAACTAACCTTTTCAAATAGCCTATGCCAATGGGAACCAGTATTAAATTCTGCGCTGCTTGTAAAAAATGTAAGTTTTGTTTTGCTGTGGGATCCTAATCAAAACGACATAGAGCAAAGTGAGCCTACACTGCAAATGTTCACTAAATGCATTGCTAAATTTAGAGGTCAGGTTGCCCAGCATATGGGAGCTAAGAGAAGCTTCCACGTTAGAATCTGCTTCTTCGTGTGCACTTAACCAAACGCTGTTCTTCGGTTTAGTTTAGATCTATGCGATTTAGGTTATTTGCTCTACAATTGAGCACCAAATCTCTCTTAATCTCACCTCAATTCGAATTTTAACTTTTTTTGTTAAATCGGTAGAAAAAACTAACAGTCTTTCAAATGTTCAAGCTTTTAGCTTCTGGACCTCGAAGCTAGCTTCTGCAAACCTGAAACTATATCTTTGTAGATATCGGGGTACAAAAATTGATCAATTCTGTAATAACAAAAGTTTTACTTTGAACAGTTTTGTGTGTCCCATGTTCACCCCTCTCATTTACATGCTAACACACCTATCAACCGCCTCAGGTTAAGACTTTTGCTTGGGTTGTGCTTCTAAATCATTCCACAGATGACTCTTTTAAACGGAACCGGAAATGTGCCTTATTGTATGTGTGACAAAAAAAAAAGGAGGCTTTACATTTTACCCATTATACATTTTTTTCTGATATGGTACGATTTTTCAATATCAAAGTATGGTTATGTTTACTGATTTCCTTCAGTCAAAATCTGTCAAGAAAGTTTATTCTAAGTCTTTCTTCAATCTGAAAAGCAACTTCAGCAGTGAAAGCAAAGTAGGAAATGGTTGTGTGAGTGAGAAAGAAGTTGAAGTGATGCGCGGCTCCGCAAATGCAAATTAATTTCAAGTGAGCTACTGTGAGTAAGTTAGTTAAATTTAGCCCTATCTGCTGGGTGGGGTATTTTAATAGCAAATTCACGGGCTACACCATCCTGGAAAAGCCAAAACTCCAATGTATAAGAGATAACAAAGATCAAAACACATCAAGCAGATTACATCCCATCAGATGGTGCTGTCGACTGGCCTCATGTATAAAGTCACTTACCAGGGCCCTACAGTACATTTACGGGCTTCGGTCTTCCACCTTCTTCATAAAGCCTGAAGCGTTTACAAAAACTTCGGTTTTGTGTACAGTCTGCATGATCTAAAATGATACAGAAAACTTTTCAGTTCAACATTCATGATTATTAATCAAGAATACGTAGGTCTTCTCCTCGCGAGTATAGAGGAGGACGAAGACAATTTAGACCCCTTCTCTAAGCTATGCCATACTGAAATATACCTACAGCAATGATCCCCAACTCGATGGTTGGCAGTAACTTCGTGATTTTAGCACGGCCTAAATTTTCCCAAGTTAAGCAAAGTATGGAGTTTGCTAAAAGAGCTTTGTACAATATAACTCACTCTGCATATTAAGAATGTGCTTTCCCTAATAGAAAATAAAGTAACTTTTGGCGGTGGGGAGAGCTGCTATGGGGTGTATGGAAGTCCAAACCTGTGCCAGAAGTGCACTCACTAAACCATTAAAGGGCCACAGTTACTGGGATCATCTCATTCATTTTTGGGTTAGAATGAAGATGCTTGGAGATGGCCCACTTCCTATTGCCCACTCATTTCTTTTTTGCGTAATGATTTTCAAGTTTAGCGCCGAATATAAGGCGAAACCATTTATCGCAATTGCAGGACCCACGTGCTAGTGTAAACACCGTTAGCCGCTTCCAAAATCGATTTATGTTGATATTTAAAGTTAACTTTGAATCTTAAGCGACGGATTTAAGAAACAATGTTGTTCCATATCAACTACTTGAGAAGACAGGGTTTCTGGTTTGAATATTATTCTCTTGAGAATTGTGGGCGGAGAAAAGCTACCAAGCTATATTGATGAATTCGGAACATTCAAGTTGAAGTACAGTCTAACTAGTTTAGCAAGTAGGAACAACAACGACGATGAATAATAATTTGTCTAAGTAGAATCCACGGTAAAGTCTTAGGTAAATAGCTTAGTCAATTTGACAAAAGTGGGGTAGGGCACCGTCGACAAACACTGAACATGGTAACTCCGTTGTTAACTCATTGTTTTGATGGAGCCTATTAAGAAAACCCAGCTTAATCGCTTGAATGCGATTCAAACGCCTGAAGCTAATTTTGGTTTTTGTGGAAACTGTGAAAACTCTGATTTCTGGAACTAGAAAATAATTTGTGTCTTGTGACTCAAAAACAACGAGGCGCGAACTCATATATTCAGAGTATACTATTGTCCAAAAAAAAAACAATTTGATATTGTAACAACTGAAAAGGTTTCACTTTTGAATGAGATTCATCAAGGTGCATAGATCCGACGAAATTGTTATAAAATAGGGGCTGGATGAGTCGGATAAACGACATACGGGGGCCGAGTAGGTTGCACAAAACGCAACAATGTAGCGGCAACTGTTTACTGCACCCCCAAGTAATAGGCGTAAAAACTGAGACAACATAATTTTTACAACATGTATCTAATTCAAAGAATTAACGGGTTTGAACAACCATTGAAAAATACATATATTGCATTAAGGTTTAGCGTTAAATTTTTAATAAGAATACACCATCCAATATAAACTATATTGTATGACGTGAAGTCTAAGTGAAGCATTTAGACAATTACTCTGAGTTTTTACGAAGCTGTCAAACGCACTGTTGTTTTTGAACGCTTCGTTCGCCACCGTGCTATCCACTAAATAATTTTTCTTTTTATCCCGTTGTACATTCGTTATTTCATGTAGCTCGATTACGTAAATGAGCTCGCATACTGGGGTGTATATGTTGGTTGTGTAATATTGTTCAAAAAAAACAGAGCTAAAAAAGTTTATTTCATTCACAAACCGAAAACAGAAAACATTAACAGAAAGTTTATTTTATTATGGAGCGAATTACTTTTTTAACCCTGTGTTGTTTTTCGAAATTAGACCTAACCATAGATCAGGCGATCATTGGTGAGAGATAACCAGGTACTGCTTCAGCTTGGAGTTAGTATTCGCTAGTCGCGGTTCTTATATGTTGGTTCTGTGTTGGAATTGAAAGAATTGTGATTGCTCAATGAGCCACACACAAACATGAAGCAATGGCGCTTAACATCTAGTGTACACAATAAAACGATTGGGAGGAGTAAAAGTATCATCAGTGAATATGCTTGGGCTCCTAAACCATTTGGCCCTGGCTTAGCCATACCACGAAATATAATAATATTTTTTTTATGAGAAAACACCACAAACTTCATACAAACAGAATAGTGGACAATGTAAAACCTGTGATATAATTACTTGAAATTGTGAAACAGGTGTTTTGTGTAAAGCATTAAGGGTGCGCTAAAATGTTCATGAAAGAGAGAGGGGGAGATGGAGGCAGAAGGTATTCCCCGATAGTTTGCTTTTTAATATGATATATATATCAAATATCCGCGAGGATTTCGCCATCTAGAGGATTTATCAAGGAAAGAGGAGAAAAAGTTGGATACCAAAGAACAATCGGAAGTTTAATCAGCACAAGTGTCACAGAGTTTCAAAGCTACTTCCCACAACACGACAATACTAGAAAATAATAAAAGCTTAAAATTTATTCAATCACAGCGAAACCCTAAATTTTAATCTCACTCACACATTATCAACTCAAGAACTTTCCTCCATCTACAGCACAGCTCACATCCACTAGAAACGCTCCCCTACTTTTGTATTACTTTACCCACCAAAGAAAAAAGAAATTTAGTTATTCCTTGTGATTATTATTTTTGAATAAAGATTAATTACGAAAAGGGTAAACTCAAACAATAAGCTGAGTGAGGAAAAAAAAATATATTCAATTTAAGGTTTAAATTACAAAACCTTATTTTTTGAAGCTAACGTGTCATTGGGCATATATTGTTGTTGGTTTGTTTATTGTTGGAACAGTGCCATTTAAAAAGCAAAGTCGGTGTATAATTGGTGCAGTGATTCATTATTGTCACAAGCAACCAAAATCACATCGCTTCAAAAGCCTAAAAGCTGAATCATATTTTAAGCTATTGGTGTTACATTTGTGCTTATAAAATCCAACAAAAAATTATACTTTGCTGTAACGATTAAGCTTTTTCCAAAAGGCAACTCCACACGAGTTCCATTTAAGTAACTTGTACAATTTTAAAGTTTTACTGTGCAGACTATCACAACAGAATAGACGCTTATAAAGTTAAAGAGGAGATAGAGCGCTTGAGTTCAGAAAGCGATTTAGTCCAACAAAAGAAGCTTTTTTAACCACAAAACTCAGAAACTTACGGACAGGACCAAGACGTTCTAGAAAGTGGGAAGGAAAAAATCGAACTTCAGCTATAAAAATAAACTTTCTCCTTCAGTGTGTTGTGTTATTTGAAGAAAAGAAAATATATTCCAAAAAGTGGGTCAAAAACTCTTTCCAAACATTACAACATTGTTACCCTTCTTTCTTTTTTTTTTTTTAATTGGGGTGGAGCTCATCAAACAAAAAGTCAACAGAGAGGGAGACCACAATTGACTTTTACATAGTGGAAATAACCTAAGAAGCTTCCAAACTTAAACCAGAATTAAAAAATAACTGCGGAGAATAGGATTAATTCAGGCACAAGCGACTAGAAAACACTAAAGCCTGTATTAAAGCTGACTACTTCACGACCAATTGTTCATCATATCGAGTCCAGCCGTGCCACATTTTGGCTTCAATTGATTGCAACCGTCTATACTGGCTGTGATATAACTGCTGGAGTTGAGCCGAGCGCAGTTTATATCACGCATAACATTACCAAGATTAGAATCAAGACTATCTTCACTTTCCAATACTTTTCGATAGCCACTTTGAGCAAAGGTCATTCGTCTTTCACTACTTTCGAAGCACATTCTAGCATTTTCCGTTATCATTCTCCACATTCTATTATAATCGTGACTTGACGAAACTCCTCAAACCCTAGCTTGGATTCAACCAATATTTCCCCGACTCAGCCTACCAGTGATTTACAAAAGCAAAGTTGAAAACTGCAACATCAATATTATATCTACAAATTGATATAGAGGGACAGACGAAATATTATAACTTCAGTGGTGCATCACCGATACGAGAGAACATTTTCATTATTGTATCGACACGCTTTACAAATTCAGCTCTAATCCGAAAAATTTGACAAAGATCAGTTTCTTAAAACATATTGACTACCAAAACTAGCGTGTCTACCGTATATATCCCACCGCATCACATCTTTAGAGTTCGGGGATCTTAATTTTTCCATCAATTATTATAATTGTCAACATTTTACTACATTTCAAATTATTTGTCGATTTTGTTTTTGTTTCCATTGCTATTTTATCCACGCAGTAACATCTTGGATCAATTTCTACGGGGAATTCAACAAAAGTTTAAAGTTCGTGTTGTTTATTTTCTTGACATTTTGGAGCTAGGAATAAACTTTTTCACAGCAATAAAAAACAAAAGAATTAATAATAAACAAACAAAAGTTAGTACTGAAACTTTAAAAAGTGGGTTGGTATTGGTTAGACGCTTATTGTTAGTGTGCTGTCTTGTTTTGGATCCCTAATAATAATAAACAAGTCACTCAAAACTAGGATCATCAGTGGGTGGTATTCCGGGTTTCCATTACATCACAAAAAAAAACTACACTCCCGTTCCATTGAAAATCATATTCCGTTGTCTATTCATTCATAAATATAAATACACCTGCCAACTTTGTTACAATCTTGGTGTTGATTATTTTTATTCTTCTTCTATGGCAGAAGGAAACTTGAAAGATAATTTAGTCAATCGTGCATGCAAAATCTATTCAACCCAAATATTCCACTTACATTGCACCTAAACACCAGTCAATTATACAAGAATATCCGAGGTGTTTCAGTCTCAAAATTGAGCCATTATTGTTAAAACCAACTTTCTTTCAATCAGTCAACATAGTTAAAGTTTTGCTAATTTAACTATCACAAACTTTAGTCCCAAATTTGTTTTGAAGCCTTTTGTTTTTTTTTTTTTTTTTCGTCTGGTTGCAACTGTATCAAACACCGATTTTGTGATCAGTATACCATAAACTATTGAACAACAAAAGCCATATTTATATCGTGATATCTGCCTCAATTTCCAAGAAACTACAACTTTCCATATTTCAAGCAGTTGCTTCAAATGTCAGCCACTAACCTAGCTCCTACTTACCATGGATATATTGGATCCACTAAAGATGCATTATTGATCATTTATCAAGCGCTAAATCAACAATTGGAATTAGTGCCACGTCGGCCACATGAGCGAGAACGACCAGAGTTGATAAAATCGGGGAATGTGTTTGTGTTTATCGAGGAACATTCGGGGATCAAACGATGGACTGATGGTACATCGTGGTCGCCGTCGCGTATTTTGGGAAGATTTTTGGTTTACCGTGAATTGGATAAATCTGGTTTCACAGAGAAGGATGACAAGAAGAAGAAGAAACGCAAGTCAAGTTTGAAATATGACCAATCACAACGAGACGGCACCGACTCTTCCAGTACTGGCTCGAATAGTATCAGAGATGGCGACAGTGCCTCTGTATCAAATGCACAACTTCAACAACCACGACCTGCAATGCTGACTTTGTCCAGTACTCAAAGCATGCGAGAACAACAAGTCGCACAAGAATTGATACCACCAAACACAATCCCAGCCTCAAACACATATAGTAGTGCTGATTATAACAAAAGTTTGCTAAGTGGGCCATTGGTTACGTCATACGTCTTTAAAGATCAAGGATTGATTAAAAAGACATTGTCGTTGACCACCACCACAAGTGATCTCCATTTGGATAAATTGAATGAAAGACAAACTATACATTTGATCAGTTACTACAATGCTCAAGAAGTTATGAATGGGAAGCTACTTCGCCCCTCTGAGTCTGACTTCAAAGATGTTGTGATTCCAGCAAGCTTGTGGACTGCGGTGAAAGATAGCTCGTTGGGTGGAAAAATCCCAATTGAAGATGAAGCTTTTTATTTTCTTGATGGGAACTATCAATTGCAGAGTATGTTGCAACTGCAGCTGCAACTGCAACAACAACAACAACCGACGCATCAACAACGACAACCACTATCTATTCTGGGGGCTGGTGTGGGTGGTGGGGCTCTGACTGCTACCAAGCTCTCCTATGGCAAGTATGGTGGGCCATTATCACAACAACCACAACAATTTCAACCGCGCTTGGGACAACAATTGCCCATGGGAATGGGACCACAGAATCAACATCAAAGTGAAATGTTGCTAGTGAAGCGTGATGAGGAGGATAACGCACCAGCAGCTGTAAATGATTTGAATTTCATAAATCCATTCAGTGGAACACAACAACAGGTGCCCATATATGGCAGCTCATTGGGTTTCATGTCCAATAATGGCAATACTTACAATTATCTGATGCAAGGCCAAGGACAGCCTCATGGGCAAGGACAAGGATATCCTCAATCTCAATACAACCAGTTTTTGCAACACAACCCATCTCAAATGAATAATACCCCAGACGGGTATCCTCAACACTTTCATCCTGGTTATCCACAATCGCAACTGCAACCGCAACTGCAACTGCAACCGCAACTGCAACTGCAACTGCAACACTCATTTGGTCACCAACATCAATCTACAACCTTCAACGCATCTTCTGCATTTCAACCGCCGCTTCCGCAAGGATCAACTACGAAACCATCAACTTCAATGCAAATGGGTATGGTTTCCGGCACCAATGCTCCATCAACCAACGCAAGTATGAATCCAGTATCCCATTATCGGTTAAACTCAGGATCGTCGGTTGATCAATACTCAATTGGCAATAACAACTCCGTCTCGTCAATAACTAGTGGCGGGATGCACCCAGGTGGCTTGTCCAATACTACCAGCACCAGCAGTGTCTTGACAGCTAACTCGAGTTTTTCCGGACCAGCTGGGTCGAGAAAGTTTAGCCAGCAATCGTCTGGTGGGCAAGTTCCAACCATGAAACACTTGAAGCCGAGTAATTTCACTCCCATGGGCCAAGGATTTGGTGCAACAAGTAACAATTCAAACACAGTCACCCCATCAGCCTCATTGAGTGGAGTATCTACTGAAGGTGCGCTGGCCATACCTCAAGCAAGCTCAAGTGACCTGGACGCAACACTAGTACATCCGGGCCAGTTTATGAACCAGTACCCTCAACAGCAACACCATCAACTGCCACAGCAACTCCAACCACAGGTTCACCCCCAACATCAATATCCACAACACCCTCACCAAGCACACTATCAGCTGCCACACCAACAACAGCTTCAAAAGTGGAGCAATTCGCCACAACAAAACCAATCACCACATTTGCAGCAAAGCGGTAATGGCAATGGCAATGGACACGGCACTAATGGTGCCGGCTTCGAGGATGTGACAAACTCTACAGCTGGAGGCACGGCTGGTCAACAGAGTTCCTACTATCCTACATCCTTACATGGTCAACGATTCTAGCACTTTTGGAGACTGCACAATGCTAAACTTCGAGACCAAGAATGTACTATATTGTTCTTTTTCCCCTATTTTAGACGCTTCATGTTACATGCATAGATAAAAATATTAATAAGCTTATGCTCCTTTTGTAAAATCGAGATGAGAGAATCAACGTTGTAGGTGAAAGAATACGGCTGTAAATCTTATCGCAATGCTGTCGCAACAGTAAGTTTTGAGATTCTGTTCTCTAACTTGTCAATTGTGTATTACGCTCAGTGTCCGACGACTCGTGACTCATTAGACGCCTCCAACTCGTAGGTTGCAAAGTGTTTCGACTCAGTCGAAGGAATACTTGTTCCGTTGCATGAAGTTGGATTATCAATGCGTTATAACCACAACGTGTTTGTGCAATATTTAACATCATAAATTTTAGGTTTGAGTTTATGGTTATGAACGGTATTACTAAGACAAGACTAACTTAATCACTTATAGCAATAAAAAACAGTTCAAGCTTTTTTATAAATGGGGATTCTAATAGCGAGAATAACTCTAGTTAAGAGTTGCTGAAACTCGTAAGTTCATAAAATACAAAATTTGTCCAATATTGATGGACGATGTAGCTACATTTTTAAACTTTTCATTAAATCGAACCGAGGTTATACCTAGTCGAGTCCATAATTGAGAAAATCGGATCGAGAGCTCTAACATGTACAAGAAATAATAAAAATTCGATTTAAAGATTGATGTGAATGTTTTCACATTTTCATTTCACCTCTTTGAAAGCGTAATGATAGCCTTATCGAATTGCGTGAGGGCACCATCCAGTTACTGACATCATCGAATGTGCAAGTACGCTTCGATTCGAGACAAAACCTACTGTGTACTAAAACAAAGCGGACCAATGTCCCCAACATTTCGCATCTAGGGCATGTGTTCAACAATTTACTGCATTTTTGGGCTATGGGACCGTGGAGTAGCAAAAACAGGGAAAGAGGTTAAAGGATACCATTGGTCGTAGCTGGATCAGATCCAGTGTTCGGAATGATGAGGATAAGTAGATTTTGCATATGTAATGGAGGAGTAGTATAGCGGAATTAAATTAGTATCCCCGGATATTGTCGTCTGATTTAATTATTTTTCCCATCTGTATGGGGTAAATTACATAAAACGGTTCTTTTCCAAAATATAATAGACGGTTGATTTCCCAGGGAAAAGTCTAAAAGTCTTCTCAGACCACACTTACACATTCCATTCTGTCATCAACGTCAATCCAGTCATGAGTGTCTTGACTGCTGAAAGATTAGTGAGGTTGGCATATAAGTACCCCGCTTTGCAAAGCTCATGGTATTTGATCGCAACTGCATGCTTGACAGTTGTCAACCAACCACAAGAGATCCCCAAGGTCTATCATTTTGCATTACGCCAGCAATTATTGGCAAATCCAGCATCACAAGAGTCAACATCACCCAGCCTCTTGACCGATGCAAGTTTGATAAGATTGGCACAGGACTCCATCAACTCTGCGAAAAAGTATGAAGACTTGTCGGCTGTTGGGGTCAATCTTCCCGACGTCTTGATACCACACACCTACTATGAGCAGCTTCCGTTGAAGTTCAAGTACTCAAAACACGTGGACATTATTGCCATGCAAGATCAATTAACTGCGAGGTTTAGAGAGGTGATATTAAAGAGTGTCGCATTAAGTGGGTTGCCCAAAGCCATCAATGCATTGATGATTTTAAAAACAGTGACACCTACTAACTTGAAGAGTGGGCTTACTCCTGAGCGTCCAAGAATCGTGAGTCCTGGTCATATTCCTTCAGCATCCATAGTTAGTGAAGACGTCCATGGCACCAAATTCGACAAGGAAGATGAAGCGACAGAGGACACAATTGACGGTCCAATTAGTGAACTGTCCATTCACCCTCAACAAATTGCTTCAGATTTAGTTCGCGGCTCAAACTTTTGGAACAGTGTTTACGGAAAGATCAACAATAGAGTCAAGAATCAAATGTTAACCGCATATCCAGATTTGTGGTACCATGCTTTCCACCACGTTTATGCGCCATTGCTAAGCTACACCAAGATCATTTCCGGTAAAGAGACATCCATGTGTGTTGTCGCATGCTTGATCCCACAAGATGTCAATCCACAATTGAAGGGACATTTGAAAGGTGCGTTGAATAATGGTGCAACTAAGGAAGAATTGAACAATGTTAGATCAATGGTGTTTGACATATGTGATTGGACAGGCGGCATCCAATGGAAAGGTGGTAAAGACGCCGTAGCGAAATTGTAAACTAGATTTGGAAAAGTGAAATAGAAGTATGCGTAGATGCAAAATCTATAGTATGAAACTTTAACTTTCTTAATACTATGAGTGTTGACGAATATCCTCAATAGGAATTGCATGTTTTGGAGGTTTCGACAATGCAATCCCTAAATAGTAATACATTTTCGCAATTCCAAGTTATTTTGCGACAAATATACGTGAAAAAAAAATTTAATAATCAAAACGTACCAACGTAATGGATACAAAGTTGAGATTTTCTTTTCTATAAGCACTGTGTGTATCCGCTCAAGTGCTCTTTCAGAATTAAGGGATCCAGCGCACAACATCCAGCCCTTTTACCATTCCTTATCTAAAGTTCTAGCAAATAGTGACAGTAATATCGATTGTTACAATTACATACCGTTATACAGCTTTTGTAAAAGCGAAAAACATATGTTCCCTAAAGCTTACTTGAGCCAATTGATTTGCCTGCTACAATGAGATGCTCTTGTAGTACTTCAATCAGTTGTTGAGTATCTCCCATTTCCCCTTTTTGCAACGGCTTTACCTTTGTGGCACATTAAAGTTCCGCACGAAAAAACGTGAACTTTTCTTTTTCCCTTATAATGACAACCACCAAACCCCCAACATCATCATCGAATCGATTGCACATCTTTAGCATCCGATGTCGAAAGAACATGAGTTATTGCTTAATGTGGTTGAGGACTTGTCTGGAATAAAGTCAATTGTCCCTCAACTACAAGCAACTTTCAACATTTTGATGACAAAAACACCCACCCAAGAGCGATACCAATACCTTTCAAACATCATGTCATCGGATGTTTCAGGCGAAGCAGCTAGCACGGTGGAGAAAGTACAAGCATTGATCCAAACTCCACAAACCAAGGTTTCAGTGCGATTGAAAGAATTACATGACATGGGGAAACTACCTTTGCTAACTGCATTGTCAAAAATTGGGTTCAAGCTGACACTACCAGAACAAGAACGAGAATTGGGTGCATTCTTGGATATTGTGCCTACAGAAGAAGAAAATTCCGGTAAAAAAGCACTGTTTGATCCTGATGCTCCGAAGTTGTCAGTTGACTACTTTTCGTATCCCCCAACTTTGCCATTTATATCCGATCAATTGTTACTAATAAGAGTATCAACTGACAAGTCCTATCGCCAACCAAGCGATTTCATTGAGCTGACGTCAGAAAAATTTACAAACTCACACAATGCAAAGTTGGCTCTACGAGGACAAGCTCAAATGGAATTGATGTTGTTAGATTTGTTGAATGAAAAATTTCCCAACTTGTTTGAGAAGGATTTGTTAATGATTCGAGATCGATTCATGTCTTCGGAGATTTTGGCAAAATTTGCATTTGGCTATAATTTAGTCGATGTGATGAAGTACAATTTATCAGTTGATGTTAATGACGAAGCCAAGATGGAGGCTTGTGCCAACATCTTTTTAGCTTATATTGCTGGGTTGCAAGTGGATGGGTATGACTTCGAAGACATCAAGTCGTGGTTGAAAGCATTGTATCAACCTTTGCTTTCTGACTCGTTTGCGTCGACAACGCCGGTTGCCAAGGTTGCTTTGATTGAGTTTGAATCATTGCTCAAGCTGATAACTAATGTGAACCGATACCCACAAAGTATAGTGGATTACGAGTTTCTCGAGGTGCAAACGGATCCCTATGTTGTTCAGCTTATTGTGGGCCAACATAGAGAGGTATTTGGAGTTGGTATGTCAAACACCAGTTACGACGATGCTAAAGATCGTGCTGTAATGGACGTGATGGAGGACCAGACAAAAATTGTTCGCATATTTACCATTATTAAGCATCAGTACATTAAAAGCGGGAGTGGTGGCGAGAATGATTCGAGGTCAACGTTGGGAGAACTACCTATGGATGACATTGTTTTTCCCAACTCAAACCGGGGCTCTGCACAAGTGAACTACATTGCAGCAGCACCACATTCAAGCAGGCTGCCCTCAGTTTCAAGCTCGCAACTAGCGGCACTGTATATCTCCGGCGGAACAATTGATAGTGTCTCTAATCTAATGGTAAATGAAATGTCGTCCCGCGATCAAAGTCAAGCAATGACAAGATACAGCCAACAGAGCCCACCACCACAAGCTTCGTATTCACAGAAGCAGCAGCAGCAACAACAGCGGATGTATGAACAATCGCAAGGGTATGGACAAGGATACGGACAATCGCGTGCATTTGGACGAGTTTCACCACAATGCACTTACACTCCATTAAGCGAACGACATAACCCGTACCAGTCATCAGGAGGGTATCCATCTCTGAGCCACGGTCACCCAGATTATGAAGTTCCCTTGCTGCATGAGACTATTCCATTATCACATCGTGACATTGACATGCATGCACGAAGTGATTTGTATGCGATGTTGGGGCCCTTGCAATTGAAGCCAGAGTATAAACTTACCCACGACGGGTCACAGTACTTTTCGTTATGCACGTGTAATGGGATAGATCTCGGTGCTGGTATTGATACCAGTAAACAAAAGGCTGCGCAAAAATCAGCCATGGCCGCATTAAGCAATCGAAGTGGCTTAATCAGGCTCGGGGTAACTCCAAGGAACTAGATCTTAACAAAGAAATTGGAGATGCTTGTGTTTTGGGGTTGCGAACAATTGATAATTTGCTGCAAAATCTTACAAGTATCTGAATAGAGTGTTGCATAATAAGGAGTCTTTTTTGTATGCGGGATTTGCTTGTGGCTTTTTTTTTGCGTTTTTGCAATTGTGGTTTTAGCCGTTTTTGCGTACATGAAGAGCCAATCAAATGACTCGAAATGAAATCCCGGGTCAAAAAGTTGTCACGTGGCCTCGGAACACAAAACTAGCAAAATCTTTGCCTCCTGCGATTTTATATTACAGCATCGGGACATCGAAAGTTGATGCTGGAAAGAGAGAGTGACGCCTTCGAGGAGGCAAATGTACTAGCTTACTAATTATTACAAAAGAAAGTATATATATATATATATATAAATACGTATGGGGTTATCCTTACATACCGATGATGCAATCACTTGTCTTCTATGTTGATCGTTAATTTTGTTTCTTTTTTGTATTCTTTTTTGTTTATTTGAAAATTTTTCTTACGTACTTAAAAACAAGAACCTTTTTCGTTCAACGTTGATCTCACCTTTTTCTTTTGCTTTTCGAAATATTTTGTTGAACTTTTTACTTCTTTTACCTATTCCATAGATCACACTTTTTTTCGAATCACAATGTCAGCCCCAGCTACTGCTTATAAGCTCCCTGAATATACTGTCACCGATTACGCCAAATTCGCCCTTGCTGGTGCTATTGGATGTGGTGCTACTCACGGTGCCATGACTCCTATTGATGTGGTCAAAACCAGAATCCAATTGGAACCAACTGTTTACAACAAGGGTATGATTGGTTCATTCAAGCAAGTTATCAACACTGAAGGTGCTGGTGCTTTATTGACTGGTTTGGGTCCAACTGTTTTGGGTTACTCTTTACAAGGAGCTTTCAAATTCGGTGGTTACGAACTTTTCAAAAAGCAATTTATTGAATTGTTGGGTTACGACACTGCCAAGAAGTACAAGAACTCCATTTTTATTGGTTCATCTGCTTTGGCCGAATTCTTTGCTGATATTGCCTTGTGTCCATTGGAGGCTACCAGAATTAGATTGGTTTCTCAACCAACTTTTGCCAATGGTTTAGTCGGTGGTTTTTCAAGAATTTTGAAAGAAGAAGGTGTTGGTTCATTCTACAATGGTTTCACTCCAATCTTGTTTAAACAAATTCCATATAATATTGCTAAATTCTTGGTTTTCGAAAGAGCTGCTGAAGCTATCTACGGTGCTATTCCAACCCCAAAGAAGGATTTGAGCCATGGTACTGTTACTGCTGTTAACTTGGGTGCTGGTATCATTGCCGGTTGTGCTGCCGCTGTTGTTTCACAACCAGCTGACACTTTGTTGTCCAAGGTTAACAAGACCAAGAAGGCTCCAGGTCAATCCACTGTTGGATTGTTGGTGCAATTGGCTAAACAATTAGGTTTCGCTGGTTCATTCGCTGGTTTGCCAACAAGATTGGTTATGGTTGGTACCTTGACCTCATTGCAATTCACCATCTACGGTCAAATCAAAAAGGCTTTGAACTGTCCACCAGCTGTTGAATTGTAAGCGAAGACTTGTTTACATTACGAATCAACTGGCGGTAGGGGATGATTGTAGAAGTAGGAAACAATAACACTTGGTACGTGCTTGTTAATATATAGATGAAAAATTTATACAACCAAATATCAAATAGTAGAGTTTGTGATTGTAGGTATACAGAGATGTAAATGTATTGCACTCCTCGGTCTTGATAACTCGGCTCCGCAATTCTCCACGTATCACGTGCATAACTCGGTTTTTAATTTTAGCTAAGCTCTACAGCGGCGAAAGCACGAGCCACGGATGGAATAACTGAAGAAGCATTCGCTTGAACGGGTGGAGGAGGAAAAAGTTGGTATCCGAAGTATTGAGAGTTTATATGGATGAAAGTCCTGGTGAGATTTTTCTAGAGTAGTTCTGATCGAAAGTGCGTTGCGATGAGAATACGCAAAGAGTTTCTCGTGTGCAGTTATGACGTCTTCAATCGCGTTTCACAGATGGTTCACAACCACGGCAAGTTGGGAACTGTGTCGTCTATTCCGTCTTCTTCAGTGAGATTGATTTAGTTTAGAGTTTGCAGCTTCGCCACACCATATTTTATTTTGTATCACAAAATTTTATAACCGATTCGGTAGTATAAAAAAGTCTGCCCGAAACTGCTTCGAGGTCTACGTAAAACAATTCACGTATATCCCGTTTTCGCTGCTTCAAAGTAAAACCCCTCTCCCTCTTTAACAAAGACAATCGTGGAAGTGAAACAGTTTTGCACAAACTACCGGTCCTTTTTTTGTTCAGGATGGACTCTTTCAATCTTCGCTGGATTTGGCAATTAGTTGGCCCAAAAGGGAAACCAAAAACAAAATAATAATAATAACAAATGGATTTATGACACAAACATCTCCAAATAGCAATCTGAAAAATATTTGCAATTGTGAAAAAACATTGAAGATGGAACATCCACTTTGAATGAATTCTTTTCTTAGCTATTGAAATTGTAATTCCACGTGTGGTGGTCGCCTTAGAAACGTTTAGTTGCCCAACAGGTGATTTCACTTTATTCTGATATCCCACTTCCTTCACCACGGTCGTCCTAAAATTTAGTAATTTCAGCTATATATACTTTATTCGGGGGTGTACATCGGCGCATTCGGGATCAAATCTCACTACGATCAAAATTAGTTACTCTCAAAGTGTAGTTCTGAAGAACATTCTAGTATAGTTCCTATAAAAGGTATATATTGATTGCATTGTAAGACTAGGCTTATCCCCATGCGTCTCATCCAACCTACCGGCTGTTATTCAATGGAGTCACTATGGGGTAATACAAAATCACCTTCCTCTATGTCTCTCTCTTTTGTATACAATTTGGCTAAGTTTGGTAAGAAAACAGCATAACGTAAAGGCTAGTAAATATAGTAATAATGATGTATTGGAACAATCGGTTACGCAAATAAAGTAGTGCAAAACAATAGAGCAAAACAATAGGAGGCTTAATCGAAATAAAGAAAGCTCATGTTCCATACTTTTCTCTGAAACTAATGTAGTCAGATGTTTTTGATGTTGATTTTGAGAGGTGGGCTAGGAGTATAAATCAACTCTAAGCTTGTCATCAATGGGCTGTGCTCTTGAATGAATCATTGAGTGACGTCTTAGCACCATTTTTATGTTCATTTTTACACTACTCTTCTTTGTATATGCAAGTTTGATTGATTGCTTTTAGTATATTCTATTGTTTTATATACAGTACAGTCTCATTTTTGTGTAACTGTTAACCACACACACACCCCCTATATTACTTTTCCAGTTTGTACCATAAACGATGACCACATTACAGACTTAGTTCGCTTCTATCCCCCATCGGTTATTAAAAATAAAGAGATGGGAGATGGGATGTTTAACATTGCTAGAGTAAATCCCTCTGCTATAAATATAAAGTGAAAGTATCTGCCATTTTGATTAGTTTATCCTTTTTTTCAATTTTCTTTTACAATCAACTATAAATTGACATTAGAATAGAAAATGAGATTCTTTGAAACTTTATTATTCGCCATCACTTGGTTGACCTTGCAAGTTGCTGCTGCTCCAGTAAACAAGAGATTCTTTTCACCATCCTCACCTACTTTTTCATTGATTGCCGTACACAATGGTACCACATTCAACTCGAACTTAGTCAAATTTAATGGTTCTGCTATCAAATTAGGTTCAGACGATAAGGCTTTCTTTGGTACTATCCAAGCCAACAAAGGATATATTTTGAACTTGCCATTCACCAACAACTCAAACGAAACTTCCACCATCAACGTTGCCGTTTCCAACCTGACTCACTTGCTTACCACTACCACCAAGAATGGATCTGCTAGCGAGCACTTTGGTATCACCAACGGTTGGTTATCCTACTTGAACTCCACTCAATTCTTGGCTTGTCCAGAATCTGCTAGCAATGCCACTGCTACTACCAACTCAACTTCAAACTCCACCATCGAGTATGATCTTTTCTCAAACCCATTGAACAAGACTCAATGTGAAACTGGACAAGGTTACAATGTTAAATTGTTGGTGCAATTGAGCGTTCCAATTTCATTCTCACCGGAATCAAACTCATTTGGCTTCTTCAAGAGAGACAACGTTGTCAAGAGATTCATTGACAAGCTTTTCAAATAAGAAAGCGTTTCCGTATAAAAGTTTATGGCTTTTGCAAAAAAAGAGAGAGATCTTTTGATGATACCTTACCTGCTAATGGAAACTATTAATATTCTATAAACGTTGCTAATTTTATATTCCAATTCGGTATTTTTTTTGTTGTATAATTTTATATACATTTGATACCAAAATATATTTCAATTCAAAAGAGTTTTAAAACGTCGGACGAAGCAGTTACTGTAGGAGAAGATTTACGAGAAGGAAGAATAGAGTGTAGCAAATGTTGCTCTGTGTGCGCCTCTGCCTGCTCCTTTGATATCAAAGGTGTTGAAAGCGACTTTTCACAACAATCAAGCAAGAGCTTTAAGTCAGTCCCATGTTGGGTGAAACAATAGACGGACTCAACACAAGCAGTGCAACACCCTAATCGCATTTTTCCATCAACATCAGCCTTGAATGGAAAGGTCTTCTCGAACTGAGTTCCATTTTACGGAAGCTCTTCGCAAAAGAAGGCAAAAAAAAAAAAAAAGTTGAAAATAGGCATCTGAAAATTGACTTCTCGAGAGCATCACGTCGACCCAGTAAGATGTCTCCTACGAATTACAAATCCAGTGAATATGTCGACGATTCCGATCTAGAAGACATAGAAGAACAGGTATTTGAACCTCCAAAGCACTACCATAAGCTTTCACATCCTTCAAAAAGTTTACCGAAAGCAAAAGATAAGGAAATATGGTTAATCAAAACACCAAAAGATTTCCCCCTTGAAAAGCTAAAGACTTTGCCCATTGCATTCACCAAAAACAGAGTAGCTGAACCATTTGACATTGTTGGATCAACATATCAAGTGGAGGAAGAACTTTCGTCGACTTCCGCATCAACCATCATCCCTAGTACAGAAATAAATAACAAGCACACCATCTTCAAGGCCAAACATGACTCATTTAGACCAACTGATCTCAAAATTAGCCGCTTTTACAATATCAAGGAAGTGGTGAATATCCCACAGATCGATTTTGATAAGAGTAGAATTCCAAGAGAAGATGTACCTCAATTGAAACGGTTGAGAATGAGACATTTTCCTACAGGGTATGGTGAAAAAGATTTCAAAGTTACTTATGATGATGATGACTCAGATGTGGAGGAAGGTAAAGCTGTCAAGAGAACCAGAAAAGAAGAACCAGCCTTTGATGAGCCACATAAGGAAAAGCATAGTAGTTCGAAACATCAGAAGGAAAATAAAGATAAGAAGGAGAAGAAGGAGAAGAAGGAGAAGAAGGAGAAGAAGGAGAAGAAGGAGAAAAGGGAAAAGAAGGGTCATTAAAAGGGGAGTTTGTAAATTGATAGAATGTTGAATGAAGCGTATTCGCGGTGTTGCTGTACACCGCATTTCACCCATGGACCTGTAAAGGCATGTCGCCGGTAGAGCTATCTCTCGTTGTCACTCATACTCATAATTCATGCTTCTTCTCAAACCATATCTTCAGGTGTAATGATTACATAATCATTACATAATAGCTTTTTATACTTAAACTTTTTTGTCATTGAATACTACCGATTCTGCTTCCTTTGTCATTTAACAACAACAATCATGGGAAGCTCCGCATCTAAGCAAGGAGGAAAGCATTTGTCAAAAACAATCACAGAGTCGGTAACCAAGCCCATCAAGCGAAGTGAAATTGATCTTTTGAAAGTTCAAAAACCAGCATCGCAACAAGTCAGTTCTGATCAACTACATCACCCCAGCACAACTTCATCACCAACACCACTCACTGGAAACAATAAAACTGGATTTACACCAGATGAAAGTCTAAATCAGAATGAGACCGCTTTTCGAGCCAACACATCAACCTCCTTTGATCCCAGGTTTTTGCACAAAAAGATTACACGTCAAGCAAATGCAACACCACCAGAGGGAAAAGATGGTGGGGATCCTCATGAACAGGGCACTTCCACTTATGATAAAGGGTTCATTGACTCGTTAAATCAACTTGGTAAACAGATCAAAACAGTAGAGTTCAATCCTGCTAGAGACAAGAATGTAGCAGCTATCAAACAACTTGCGAAGAGGAAAAAGCTTTATGAGTTAGGGGAGAAGGAGATTAAGGAACAAATGTTACAGACAACTAATGATGGAAACGATATTCACAAGACTATGGTTCATCCACAGACATTGACTGCTATATTGAGAGATCTCAAAGATCTGCGAGTTGATAATGAAACGATTGCAAAGGACTATCAGTTGGACTCGACATTCTTGAGTAACATTGGTGACGTATTCCAAGTCCCAATAACTGTCAAACAATTTGAAGAAGATATCAAAGCTGACGAGGTGGGTCACAAGACTATACCGCAACAGCGTCGCTCTATTCACGACATTCAAGATGAAACCGCCAACGAAAGAGTTGCTGACGATACTTACAAGAGATTGCAAAAGCGCTTGAGCTTAGATGATTGATGGGGAGTAAGTAGTTTCTCTGTATCATGAATATAGTTACCGAAACAAGTCGCAAAATGTTTGCAAAAAATAAATGAAAAATCCGGGGCACTGTGTCTTCCAAAGAATTCAACCAATCGAGATTTGTGCGCGGAGACTCTTTGTTTTATCCTCCACAATTTAAGAACCACTAATATACAAGCATGGCTCCGCTAGTACCCAAGCAATTATCTACCAAGGAAGTTATTAAATTCCTTTCAGCATACACGGCTTGTGATGTTTCTGACGCTTTAAATCAACAAGGTATTGTGCATGGCGGATTGATTCCCAATTTAGTTAACCGATCACCGGTATTGAACCAAGCTTCTGCTGTCGGGAAAGCTTACACCGTTTTATACGCCCTCAAGTCCGATCCCAGACCCGCAGTAAAACAATCATATATTGATGAAGTTCCTGAGGATGCAATTGTCGTTCTTGGATTACCTTTGGAGTTGCAATTGGCAACTGCCCCATACCAGAGAGTGACTAATGTCTTGTACGGAGGATTAATGTCGACGAGGGCACGATATAGAAAAGCCAATGGTTCAGTTATCTTGGGTAATATTAGGGACTTAGATGAACATAATGAATTGAAATACCCTGTTTGGTCGTATGGAGTAGGAACAACTGCCAATGGACCTGTGGCTAAAGTAGTTGGTATAAATGTTCCATTGGAGATCAAAGTTACTAGTAGTGACCCCAAAAAAGATGAAGAGATATTGAAGATCAATCCTGGTGATTACATCGTTGCTGATAAGAACGGTGTTGTCAAGATAGAAGATAACGAAAAGTTGGGAGAAGTTTTAGACTACATTCCAAAAAGAGTTGAGGCTGATACAAACGTTAGTAAAGATATCAAGGACGGCAAACCTGCTGCTGAGTCGCAAAAGTATTGGAGAGGGAAGATTTGAGGCGATGGAGCTAACACTGTAGGTAGGGACCCTATATGAAATGAAATAGACACTTGTAATTTGCTTTATGAAATTGTAGTTTCTTTCTTAGTGTTTTGGGTGTATAGTGCGCTTTCTCAAAAGAAAAGAATGGTTTCGTATATTCTGTGCGCCTTTAATTGCGAGAGTCAAAATTCTGGCCACACATCAAAACATTTCTCAAGAAGCACCAACAACAACTGCAACTGCGAACATTACCAAAATCGACAGATAGCTACTATGCCGTTGGACTTGATACAAGAGAATGGAAACAGTAAGCTCTACAACTTTACTGAACTTCGTTTGGAGATTATTGAAAACAAGGATCTTAAATTCAAATTGTTGAACGATGTTGCATTCATGCATCAGTTGGTGACATCTTTCAGTACCAACATTGCGAAACTAGCTGGTCTGGCAAATGTTACTGTACACCCACAAAATTCTTTGGAAGAGCAAGTAGTTATACTTCGTATTTTAAGTTCGTTTGCTTCGGAAATAGATGCCTTAAACAATGAAGGTGTGTCGGAATCCATAGGAATCATGCAATTGGCACTAGGTCCAATCACTCAACTTCTAAATCATTTTGTGGAAACCATGCTTCCGCTGCTAAGTACCGGGGACAAGTCCATTTTTCAAGTAGAAGCATTGATGGGCCACTGCTTGGACATTTTAATTATATTATCCAATCTCCGGCACAATCAAGTGGATCTAAACAGGGCTTGGCGGTTTCTTGCACTACTATTGATTGCTACTGATGACACGCATGGTAAGATCATCAACTTACATCCAAGTATAATAACAAAACTGTTGAGGTTGATACCGATGGTGCTTACTGGGACGATGCTCGTGGACAATAATTCAATCATGACTTTGTCGGTGGCTTTGCTAAGCCGGTTATCTTCAGGTTGCCACATGATTGTGTCCACATATTTATCTGATTTATATCGTTCTCAAGATGATTTGTATTGGATCGCATTTGAAGATGATCATCTCCCCAACGTTGACTTGAATGTTTCCCTGGTTGACAACGTAACGAGTGTTGAAATCCTATTGGAGTTGATTACTGCATGTGCTCAAGTAATGAGCTTTTCAAAACATCATCATGATCCGTTTCTATTGGCGGTGAGGCGAGAAACCCCACTCGACATATTCTTGAGTACACCTTTATCAAAACCAGTTATACCAATAACTGATGTGTATATTACGTTACTTTTGCTCATGAAAATAGATTCGAAAAAAGTCAATCTAATTGCACTCAACTTGTTGGTTTTATTATTGGAAAACATGAGTGTTCTGGAAGTGCTTCTGGAGGACACTATCATACGTAACTATGACAAGTTGTTTGCCAGTATAGTGCATTTATTGGATAGTTGTGATAATTCTGATGGAGATGAAGAACCCAGTGGGAGCAAGAGCTCTAAAAAAACGTCGTCCCTACAATTCAATCCATCATTCGACGAGGCATCTTTGTCCATCGCCACCCCATTGCTATTGACATCAGCATCCAAAGTGTTGGCTAACTTGTGCACACAGTACCCAAACTTGAACAACAGGATATGCGACACAAACATCGACTACAAGTTGATTTACAAGATGGCATACTGCTATAAGCAATCTCCATTACTCAAAATTTTGGAAGCGTTGAAACTCAGATCCAAGTTTGGAACAATTTTGGTTGATTTTACCTCGGTAACTGTCGCAGATTCTTATTTAACTGAATTGTCACATCTCCTTTTGCTTATTAGTGTCTACACAAGTGAACGAGAGGAGTATCGAAATAGATTGGTATCATTTTACCAAACTACAGGAACAAGCATCCCGAGGGTGATTTTCGAAATTGTTGAAAACTACCATTTCCTTTTGAAACAGATCAGTTTGTTGCAAAAGGTATTGAGTCACATTGTCAAAACCAAGAATGTCGAAAATGAGGAAGTCAAGCACCATATTTCCTGGCTAGGCAAGAACTTGGGAGTGATTAGCGAATTAGCAAACTCGCCCCTTTATACTCATTGCTTGTACTTTATTCGATCGCAGTCACGTTCAGTGGCTAGTTTAAGAACGTTTTTTGTGGAAACCAATTCATTCAAAAGCTTTGTGACACGAGATAATAAAGACACCACACTGACTGGAGTTATTGGTACTGTTTCTTCCACATCCAGTCATCTGACTATTCGACCACGCATAGAACCCGATTCCTCATCCATCATAGCCTCGGAACCATCTCTGGCTCTGTCAGCTGGTGGTTTTGTGACCAATATATTGCACATTATAAGACTTTATGAAACTCTTGATCTTTCGTTAGATTTTCTTTTCAAAGTGAACAAGAACAAATTTGTGCAAGAAGCTGCATTCAGAAAGACCTTCATGACTAATAAAGCAACTTGTGTCAGTTTATTAGCCAACTTCATCCTTGATTTCAGCTCGTTTAGATACAAAATCATTGGATATGAGAATTTCTCGTCAAGCTTGTCCATCATCTATCAGAATTCAGCAACTGATTCAGATGATGTTTCCAATTTAACTGAGGAGGACATTTTTGAAAGAAGCGTGATGCAGTTGAAGATATTACAAGTTATGAAAAACTTTATGTATAATGAAGCTTCAGAGAATAAGCAAGAAGTGTTGAATTTTTTCCCATTGAGCCTCATTCTTCAAAAGGCAAACTACGGAATTACCGGTTTAGACAGCATGGTGTCTCTACCAAAGGAAACAAAGGAAATTAAACTTCACCAAAAAGTCGTCGCGTTTGAAATTTTGAGAAACTTTACCGCGGGCTCACCATCCTTTTCCAAAATCTTAAGAGAGTCCTATATCAATGAGTACTTGAGCAATGAAAAGCCAGAATTGCAAGCTCTACTTCCACAAAATTGGTCCGAATTTGTGGTTCGAAATTTAACTGAAGCCTCGATTTTCACACAAGTTAGGCGCGAGAGTTTTAATTTTAATGATGATGATACGTTGGTAAAGTTGGTTGGAAATGAGGATTATGTCAAGATGGTAAGATCAATCAATTTCACAGAGGATCACACTTATACAGTGATTGACAAATTGAATCAAGAATTATTCCCCAATGACACTTTGTTACACATTTGGATGAGGTTGCTTTCATTTCAGTTACCAAATCTGATTTCGACCAACTCCGAGCACAGCATGCTTGACTTGAATAAGAACTTGAACTTGATCAAGATATCGATTGCATGGATTCTTGTCAATTTGACTTGGAAGTCATCGGTATTTGGCTACGATATTCAAAATTATATTGATTACGAGGTTTATCAAACAGTTGACACACTGACAATAAAGAGAAGACTATCACAACAGGAGAAAAATGAGCAGCCTGCACAACAAAATACGCAACTGGAGTTGCAGGGTGATGAATTATCGGTGTATGATCGTGCCAAATATTTGGATAATTTTGGATTTACAAAAGTGATTTACGATGTGCTCACCAATTTTTCGAAAAAAGCATCAAAAGGTTTGCAAGTAAACAATATTGGTCATGAATCCAGTGATTTTATAGAACCTGAAGTGTTTGAAAAACTCAGGAGTGCATTACACCAAATCAACTATCTATGCCGAGGCGTGCGCTCAGGAAGCTATGTACCAGATTTGAGAACTAATCATGCTGCTAGTGGTGGTCATGAATTGAGACTACACCGAAACCAAGACAACTCAGTCGATGTGGTTGATGATACTGGAGATTTTCTTGAAGATGAGATTAGGTATGAAAGATCAAGAAGAAGAGATGCAATTGATTCTGAAGATGACAATGAAGGAAACAATGAAGATGAGGAAATGCAAGAAGAAAATTCTTCTGAAAGTGAGCCTGAAGTTGAACAAGCTGCAGGGAATGAAAGTGAAGAATCAAACGAAGATATGCCTCACGAATACTGGGTAATGTAAATATGGTCTATAAATTTTTTTAATTAATAACATACGCTTTTGGAAATGTGCCTCGACCAATGTTAAGACTATGTTTTGTGGGTTAGTCGATGCCTAAATTTACCTCGTGGTGTCTACCGATAGCGGACCACAAAAAACACCGTCACAAATGCACAATGCCGAACATAGTAACATGCCAGTGATAAATGGCACACAAGCTAAAAATCTAGTGTTATAAACTGGAGTTTGTAGTTTGACTGGCTGTAGTATGATGCGAGATTTACAAAGATTACATTGCGTACATAGAAAATAGTTAGCTTAGAGTTAGAAATGAATAATAAAAATATTGATTCACTTGTGAGAAGTGAAGTGATTGTATCGACGTGGGGAAATGTACTTTCCTTAGTAGGGATGTAAAAGAGTAAAGGCTAGTATCAAAACCTACATCACCGATTTAACATAACAATACAAAGATTTTAACAATTTATTAATATTAAGTGTTTGGGCAATTAAAAGGAAATAATTGACCTTGGAATAATTGGCCAAAACCCACATGTTAATCGAATTCGTCGACCCTTTCTGCAATAAACTGATCAATATTAATTATACAATATCCTAACATGGAGGTACAACCTTTCAAACTACAAAAATATAAAAAAAAGAACGCCCCCATTTCTTAGACTGGTCTTAGATAACCGACAAATCTGCCGTTCATTGAAGCCCCCTCGCTGGGATTACTTTGGAATTCCCTTGCAAGTCTTCCATGACTAAGAGCAAAAAGACCAAAAAAGTATAGAACACAAGGATCGCTACTCATAAATCCTTGTGCCCCCGTACAATAATCTTACCATGGAAGCCTTGCGATTTGATCACCTTAAAGTATTACCAATTACTTAATGAATTAAATTTGGATGAAGGTGCTGATATAGTGCATTTGTCCTATAAAAGGATTCAGTCTTCAGAACGCAATTCGGATTCTACAACACTGCTGTCTCCCATTTGGTTTAGTAGACAGACCCCGAAATATTTGCGAAGACCGATACAGTACAAAGTTGGTCAAAGTACCGAGCACAAGGATTCATAACTTGAAACAGGTAGATTCTTATGTCCCCATACAATGATGCACCATGGTTAAAAGAAACTAGGGGCCCTTCTTGGGTTGAACAATTTGACGAGTTCAAACATGCTTCCTATTTTGCTTTACACCATCTATGATGTGCGTCTAGGAAGCACTGTCTTCAAACCCTTCACATTTGAAGGAGTCCTTCCTAATTAACGGGATGCTAACAAATTTTGGCTGTTGCAACAATTAAATGAGTATTTAACGGGTAGTATCCTTCAGTGAACGGTTTTTCATAAGATCACCTCTTGCTTTTTCTTCTTCTTCCCTGATTTTGACACAAATTTAACCAAGTTATTTTGTGGAGAAAATGCATGCACTTGCATTCCAGTGGGGTGTTCAAACTTAGTTGGATATTCACACACGCGAACATACCACGGATTACTCTCGAATAGCTTAGCCTCCTACTACCACCCTTCTCTTTCGGTCCAGGTAGTTATAAAATGAGCTGGTGTGATTTTGGGTGTGATTTACCCTGCATATAATTATTTTGTTATGGGGGAATCTGTAAGGCTGCAAATGCACAACCACCGTGTTCTAGATCTCCTTGTCGTCTAAAAGCTTCCTTCTTTGAGAAATTCTCAAACATCCATCAATGTAGACCTCAGATTTGTTACTTTACCTTGTAAGTGTTGTCACCTATTTTGCTTTGAATTAGTGCAAACAAGCCAAACAACCATGCGCTTGTTCTTCATTCTTATATTCACTACATGTGCCTGTATCAAAATTGGACACTATTTCGACGAAGATAGCAATTTGAGACTAATCCACCAATTGGCAAAGCTTAAATTTAACTACGATACTTTCAACTCCTATCGCGAAATACAATCACTAATATTGCAGCCACTATTTGTAATCTATCTTCCATTCTCACAATCAATCGTATTCAATGAAAATATTCTCGATCCTTCAAAAGAGCCACAGTATATAGAACTATCATACCAGGAGAGCAATGTGACTCAATTATTTGCTGATAGTGGCTCACCATCTGATGCAGTTGATCCTTCAATAGTACATTGGACTCCATTGGGTGACTGTGTGACAAACTATGCAGGTGATAAAGCCACTTATAGACAAACATGGTCAATAGAGTTGGATTTGGGTGTGGACTTTAGAGTGAGTTATGGTGGATATTTTATCAATTTCGGACCAAGTTACAAGTCCGAATTTATATTGGGCAAAGGTATAGGTGGAAGTTATTCATGCGATGTGGATTCGGGAAATACTTTACAATTTGCAATACTATTCTCAGCATACACAGTTGAAGGAGTGAAGTATAGACATCTCCAGAGAAAGAAAATTGGTAAGGGTGTCCGATTTGGACGATGGATCCCCATAGCGAAATACGAGCAAATAGGTAAAAGTGATGTTCATGTTGCGTGTTTTACTCAACCACAGTATCTACGTTGTAAGAATCCAAATTGATAAAAATTTGATAAAGATTTGTATATTCATTATTGATCTATAGGTGATAATGACGTAGCCACTACTCTTCTAAATCTTCCCCACTCAATGTAAATGGCTCGGGCATTGGCGCTGTCGTTATATTTAACTGCCTAACTGTTTTGATAAATTCAATTGGTTCATCCGGTTTCGTATCTTGCAAGACAATAATACTACCAGTTCCTCTAAATTTTCTAACAGGCACGAATCTATCATCCTTGATGAAAGAGACGTAACCTGATTGCTGTGGTAACACTCTAGACAAGTTTTCAATCTTGTATGAAGTTTTTGTGTAGCGTATAGTGGCTGGCAAAGAACTAACCTCCTTGGCATCATCTTTCTTAGATTCATCTTTAGATGCCTTATTGTCCTTTGTCTCTGCACTATCCTCGGTCTTCTTCTCCACCTTCTTGTCCTCCTTTGTATCAACATCAACATCCATTTTGTCGTCTTCCTCTTTCTTGTGTTGCTTCTTTTTCGCTCTTGTCTTGGCTTTAGCAGTTGTTGACAAAACAGCAGTAGCCAACTTGTCTGGCTGCTTCTCCTTAGACTCTTCCACTTTAGGAGGATATTGGAAATACTCTTGATTTGCATGACAATTTAGTTCAAATTTGGGAATCTTTAAATCGCTACCTCTAACACCAATTACAGATGTTGGCGCAAACGACAATGATAAAAAGTGGGCCAATGGGAACCAGTACCAAGATTGAGCAAAGATTGCCAACCCAACGATCGCACTTGTATTCAATGTGTTTGTTTGCGCATTCTCTAAATTGATTGTCACATTTCTTCCTCCTGCATCAATGATACCTTGGGACAATGTGGCTCCAAATTTAGCCAATGCATCCTCGTGCTTATTCTTGATGGTATCGGCGTACTTTTTGGTAAACTCCTTCACCTTTGGGTACAAAAATTCATTCTGTTGAATCAAAATCATGGCTGTGGCCATCATTGCTCCTTGTCTGACAAAGTCAACGGCATCTTTGGTCAATGGCTCCAACACCTCAATTGCTGGAGCATAAGCTCTACCAGCACATGAAATACCTAATGCCAAAGCAGTTCCATATCTCACATGTGGGTTGTGTGATTGAGACAACAATTTAACCAATTGAGGGGCCGCGGTATAATCACGTATCAAAAGGAAACCCAAATTCAAAACAGCGGATCTTCTTACATCATCGCTAGGGTCTGAAACTGCATAGTGCAACAATTTCTTAATGGCACCATTGTCTCCAGTTCCAGCATATGCTAAACCAATTGCAAAAGCACCACCATATCTCAAGATGGAGGACTCCTGTTTCATCAAATCTTCAATGATGTAGTCAGCTTTCTCTTCACGTCCATAGTGCAACAAGGCAATACCGATTGCCAAACTCCTTATTATATTTTCGTGTTGCGTTTCCAAGGCATACGTCAACATGTCATGAGTGGCTGCTTCATTTCCTGATCCTAGTAAAACCAAACCCATACCTAAAGCAGCTGCTTGAGATGATGTAGCAGAGTCCGAATAAAGTACCACTTTCAAAGACTCATACAAATCCTCAGCTTGTGAGTCCATTCCTGCAACACCAGCACCCAAAGAGGCTCCATGTAATTGCACTTCGATATCATTAGTACCAGACGAGCTACTGTTGTCATCAATAAACTTCTTCAAGTATCCAACAACCTCTCTACCATGACCAGCGTAAATGAATCCCAACGCGAGTAAAGAACCACCTTTAGTATGAGCAGCACTGGAAGACCCCGGCAAGTATGGTTTCAAAATAGTACGTCCTTGAGAAAGGTTTCCTTTATGAATAACACCAAGGGCGGCAGTGGCTGAAAATTTTGACCAGTTAGTTGCTCTGCCTAGCCACTCCAAATTCTTTCTAAAGAATGAATCATCAGTTGTTCCAGCGTGCATATAAGCATTTGCAAACGTTACTGCAGAATGGAAAACAGAACTTCTTCCATCCAATAGGTTCTTGGTCTTGTTCAATATAGTGATATCTGTGTTGTTATTTTTGTAAAGAAAAGTATTGTCAAAATCAGAAGTTGGCACACCTGATAATATGTTCAAGATCTTTTTGACAATGATGTTCTCATTTTCATCCGGAAAAGATTTTATAACAGTGTCTAAAAGCTCCTGTGATGCTGTGTTTACCAAATCAAATGCAGCTTGATAAGCAATCAACTCCTCCTCTTGTTTAACCAACTCTTTGAACAAATTGATTGCAAGTTGTGTGTCATTCAATTGCACAATAATCTTGATAATAGTGAAAAAGTCTTGATGTTTCTTCAATGTCAACAACAATGATATCAAGGTGTTTAATACTTTCACCCTAAGCACTGAATTGGTGACGGTGGAGTTCGAGCACACCAAGACATAGTGTATCAAACCTAATCCGTATTCTTCATTTTCGGCAATTTGCTCTTTTAAAATAGATTCCACTAAGTCTAATCTATACGACTCTAGTGCAATACCCAATGTCAACTTCACTTCATTCACTTTTAAACATTTTTGCAACATCTTTTCGAAAATTGAAGTCAATCTGGGCTCTATGACGACCGAATCGTCGCTAAATTTTTGTTGAGATAATGCATTGTACAAATTGATGCATTTACTGACAATTGTCTCCACGTATTGCGATTGTTCTTCGACATTAAATTCGTCGCCCGCGTATAATGCATACCTTACGGAAGCTTCAAAGTCGCCCAAATTGTAATAAACTTTGGAGATCACCAATGCCGCCAATGCTCGTTTCTCAAATGCAGTATTTTCGTACAATTCCTCCAAGTCGGTAATGTTGTTGGCTATTTCTGCCCACAATTGATCAACCACATCATTCAAAGATGTTAAAGCATATGACTTTAAGCTGGGGTCTGGTTCCCCAAGTAATGCCAAATATGGAGCCGCCGATACTAATGCCATGCTTTCACAATCTTATTCGTTTCTTGAAATTGGTGTCTTGTAGATTAAAAAGGAATTGAATCGTTGTTCCTAATTGAAGGTGATTTGGGTTGGCACTTTTTTCTTCGATTCTCTGTTGCCACCAAAAAAATGAAAAAAAAGTGTTGTCCTACTTGCTACCAATCACGTGTGCCATCCTCCAACATTCCTTTCATGGCTTGATACAAGAGATCAAAAAATACTATATTAAAGGTAATTACATGACTATAAAAGCGTCTTTTGTTTAATACAATAAACGGGTGGCAATCTTATATGGAGTCTGTTCTAGCTGCTCATACAATGCCTTGATATCGCTGATATCCACATCTGAGATATCCGCCATCAAATAAGCAATATCACCTTGTGAATCACTGAATTGCTTCTCGATATTGTGATTGGACAAGATATTGTTGACCGTCTTCAAAACACCTGGAACATTGTGATGGATGTACAATACTCTGACAACATTTTGTTGGTCCAAATCCAATGGTCTTAAAGAAACCTCTGGGAAATTGACAGCACTTTGAGATGTACCTTCATTGATGTATTTGGTCAATGCGTTGGCAACTTCCACACCAATAGCTGATTGAGCTTCTTCAGTTGAACCACCAATGTGTGGAGTCAAAATGACGTTTCTCAATGATGTCAATTCACTAGCAAAACCATTTAAATCATCACTAAACAATCCTTCACCATTCTTGGCTGGTTCATGTGGGTACACATCCAATGCTGCACCAGCAATCTTTCCGGCCTTCATAGCTTGGACCAATGCTGGAATATCAACAACCGTTCCTCTGGAAGCATTTATAACATATGCACCGTCTTTCATTGCGGCAAATTGTGGTGCGCTCAATAAATTTTTGGTGTCTGGAGTTGCAGGGACGTGTAATGTGACAAAGTCAGCCTTTTGTAACAACTCATCTAAAGTTCCCACTTGCTTTGAGTTACCCAATGACATGATTGTCATGACATCGTAGTAGATGACATTCATACCCATAGCTTCGGCCAAAACTGACAATTGAGATCCAATGTGTCCGTAACCCACGATACCCAAAGTCTTTCCTCGGATTTCCCAACATTTGGCACTAACTTTGTTCCAAGTTCCGGTGTGCATTTCAATTGATCTGTCTCCCAATTGTCTAGCTAAGGTAATAATCTCAGCAATAACCAATTCAGCGACTGATCTTGAGTTAGAAAATGGTGAATTGAAAACTGCAACACCTGACTTGGCAGCAAAATCCAAGTCAACTTGGTTTGTACCAATACAGAAGCATCCAATAACAACCAAGTTTTTGGCATGTTTCAAAACTTTTTCAGTCAATTTAGTCTTTGATCTGATACCGATGGCATGCACGTCTTTAATCTTTTCCAACAATTCTTCTTCTGGTAACGAGGATTTATAAAATTCCACTTGATAACCTTGTCCTTTAAAGATGTTGATTGCAGTTTGGTTGACATTTTCCAACAATAGTATCTTGATATCACCAGTAGAGAATGGCTTCAATACTTTAGTTGGTTTCGACGGAACATATTGGCTCAAGTACGATTGGGTTGGTGAAGTCGAAACTGCATTGGGGGAGCCGGAAATGTTAACTGCACTCTTGAATGCATTGGCGATATCTTGAGGATTGGTCATGATGTAAATGAGTTAATGAACTTGAAATGATTGACTTTCTAGCCTGATCTGTATATACTCCAATTGTATGATTGACTATTTATAGCTTTAAACAAATTGAAAAATTTTTCTTTCAAAGAATTTGAAAAACAGCTTTTTCCGATGTTAAACAACAAAATGGTGATGATGATGATGGTGTCCAATGCAAACCCGTGTGAGTCAATTGAAAAAAAAAAAAATTAAAAAAAATTAAACGCTGTTCAGTTAAGAAAAAAAAAACAATTGATTATAAATTGCAATTTCCGGTTTTTGTTTGTTTATTTGCACGTGATATCACATCTTTTCATATATTGACTTCCACAATTGGAAAGCTCTTTTCCATAGTGGTAATGTGATGACCTGAAGTGCTCCTCAACCACATCATCGACCAATATCATCAATAGAATGTTAGAAAAAAGGTAGATCTTTAATATCACATCGCTTTTAATTCAACCGTTAGCGTCGTAGATAAGATAAGACAATAAAGTTGTACAAGTGTAAAGATTTTTTTGACTCCGATTTTAATCTGACTTCTTTGAGTCAGCCTGAGCCGCACTTTAAATCTTTATACCACCTACCACAAGGAACCTCTTCCGGGGCAAACTAAGGAAGTTTAATAAAAGCCAGTGGCTCACTTTGAAGTATGGCGTACTTCGCAAACTCCTTGGGAGAGGACAATTGACGAGCTGAATGCTTGTATTCTTATATTTTAAAGTTCGAAACTGGCTCTGCTGATTCAATTGGTGTCCAGAGAGCTCCCCAGAAGTACCCCATTGCGTTCTAGAACATATTTCTTGAAGAGGCTATAGACTAGTGGACAGTGTTTATGTGGCAAGTTGACTCTGTAGTGATTGTATGGAAACATGTTAGTGGAGGGGAAAAAAATGCGGGAAATGTAAACAAACAATCAACAGACACTTTTGGAACTACTGACTTCAAACATTAATGACAACAACTATCTCATCTATAGCCGCGAAAGTCAATGAATGCCAACTAAATGAAGAGATACGCAGAAGGGACCAAAAGATTGACGAGTTGGAGAGTGTTGTTTTACAATTAAAAATGCAACAATTGAAGAATGATCATGAGGAAGATAGAAAACTATTCACATTGGAAAACTCATTGCACAATATCAACAATAAGTTGACTGAAATGGAAATGATCAACGGGGATTTGAGGAATCATCTAACCCTTTCTCAAAACATTATTGAGAAGAAGAATGATGAAATCAAGAAATTGGAATTAGCACTCAAAGATCAACAAGCAGTAATAGCGAGAGAGACCCTCATTTTTCAACACAAATTAGACGTGCTCCAACAGAGGATTCATCAGGGTGCAGAAGCTAGGACTAACTTTTCAATGAAAAGACAAAGCGTCAAACTTGAGCAAAACCAAGCTTTGCCTCGAAACGACTCTCATCGTGAAGAAGAATCCCTAGATTCAAAATCATGAAATGGAATTATGTAAAATAGGGGACATCCCACCTCCCCCTTGGGAAGTGTCATTTCATTGGGCACAACTGAAGGGCATTTTCCTTTGAGGTTCCTTTTCAGATCAGCAAAGAGGTCGAAAATGGATGAGGGTGACCACAATGCAGTCGTTTTGCACAACCCAAGCCAATTAGGTTTTGGTTGACATGTATGGCAAACAACTGCAAAACAGAAGTGGAGAATTCACTTTGATTCGTCCAAAAATCCGTTATTTCCAAAGTTTTCTTTTCAAAAATTACCATCCTTCAGCAGCATACCGAATAAACAACGACTCCTTGTAGCCAGGAGGTGAAATATTCACAGTGAAATGAGGATGTCCACGTATTTCTAGATAGTCATAGTGGCTTTACTCATTTCAAGAACAAGAGCCTTCCCCATGGAAGAGCATAGAGTCTATGAGGTTGAAGAAGAAGAGGTGCATAAGTGGGTATTCACTAACAAACAGCATTTACTATCATCAGAATTATGGATCACTTTAGAAGGACCAACCCCGGAGTTCAATAAAACAATCATTTACTTGAATGAGAGCCAAGAAACGTTGTTACTTTCATCAACCAATCCTTTGACATTTTATGAGTTTGCAGCTGGTGATGCAAATACGTTTTTAAATACCGTTCCAGTCACGGGATGTGTGCGGATGGCGAACAACACGTCCAGTATCACTTATATTGATGCCCAAGGTTACTCACTTTCTACACCACCAGGACTAACAATTGGGGCTTCATTGTTGGTGGTGAGCTTAGCAAGTGATTACGGCTTTGACGGGTTGGGAACAAAGCTTTATATGAGCAATACTGTTATTTGTCGTGCTAGCCAAGGGGAAACAATCCAAATCCAGAAGAAGTTGAAATTCACCTCATTCCCCAAAGCACGATTGAAGAAACTTGTTTGGAAGAAAAAGCAAAAAGCAAAATCGGTGTTAGCTAGGGTCAAAAATATCTTCAAAACAAAGCAGCCAGAGACTGGTGTACAATCAGCTAGTGTTGGGTTTTGGACAGAGGGGAAATGGGAAGATATCTACACATTGTACAAGTATAAAAAATTGGGGTTGCTTTTCTTCAATGTCAACGAGTTGAAGCATGAGAAACCATTTTGTGAGAGTCGGCCTGAATTTCTTCAGTGTCTGGTCTTCAATCGTTGACAAGGTCCATCGTATGGGCAATCCAATGACTCCAAAATCCATTATGTGTTACCATATTTGTTTGCAATCATTTACGGCGAAACAGATTCTCCCAAATATAATTTGTTATGCTTGTATTTATATATTTACGCAAATGATTCCCGAGATTCTGTCTCTCGTGGTTATCCGTCTTGTCAATCCCACGACATGCGAGTTTTTTGTCACCTAATACTTGGGTCTGCTCTCACGGTAAGCCAAGCTTCAGGATATGCTCGTTCTGGTTCGTTCCTCGATGAGAAGCATGTTGTTCATGAAATTGATCAAGAAGAAGTGCATGCATGGTATTTTTACGATGAAGCTCATTTGACGAAATCACATTTATGGGAAGAGATGGCAAATGAAGAAGGAGCTTTTAATCAAACGGTGATTCATTTAAACAAAACCAACCAAACATTGGTGCTTACATCTCCTAATCCGCCCACATTTCACCAAGTGGATCTTGAATTGATTGGTATATTTACCGATGACGATGCTAATGAATTGGATGTGCTTTTACCAGCGAATGAAGTTGCAACTATGCTCATGATGGATGCAAAAGAAAACATTCTACAAATACCTTCACCCATTAGTGAGAACGTTCTACTTACAAGTTTACTCATGACCCACGCAGTTGAAGATTTTTCAGTTGCAGATTTTCTAAACGGAAGTATTCCAATTGATGTTGGATCCGACAATGACGAGGAGTTTGAGATGCAGGCTAAGAAGTTGTTGAAATTGCTTTTACTTCCGCTCAAACTATTGAAAAAGTTGCTTTTACTCATCAAGTTTCTCATTTGTCTACCATTTCTCATTATCAAAAAAATTATTCTACTCCCTTTCTTATTGATTAAAAAGATAATCATGTTGCTCAAAAAGAAGGTGTTAATTGCGATGAAGATGAAAATAACAGCTGTGGTAGTCAAAGTAAAGGATACGGCGCTGGGTGTGGCGGAGAAGACAGTCGACGTCACTGTTGTTGTTGTTGTACTGATTAAAAAAGTGGTTATTAAAACGGCGGCTGAAATTGACTACGACGTAAAGAATGTGGCCACAAAGGTAAAGATGACAAAAGATAAGATTGTAGATAAGATGATTATGGAAAAAATAAAGATTAATGACAAGGTGGATGCTAAAGTAGGTGAGGCGTTGATGAAGGCGGAAAGAACAAAGGAGAAGCTTTTTGGTGGTCAATGAATCATTGTGATTGTACCTTCCTTCATTTGAAGAAGAGTTGAGACTGCTTGTGTAATACTATTATCCATCTATTTGTCTTTTTCGTCGTTGCCTCAGGCCAAAGGGGCATCTTCTTTTTTTTTGCAGCAGAATTTTGTTATGCTGGGTAATACACAAAGAGCACCCACTCATTTCAATTTGAAAAGTTTGTTATGCATACTCAGATAGCGCCTATGTGTGTTTGGTTATTGTATTTTATGAAGCTCGATAGACCACAATTTTTCAACCACTCTAGTTTAATTGTTATGTCACATTAGAGTGTTCATCTAGGTTGTACATTTATCCAAAAAAAAAATAGAATGAGAATCGCCAAGTTACTACTCACACTAACGACATTGTTGACGGCGGCTGTCTCCGATACAGAAGTTTACACCGTCTCCAAGCAAACTCGTGATGTTACTCAATTATTGAACCCTATGGAGGAAGAACATTTGGTTCATGAATTTGAACAACTGGATGATATTCATTCATGGAGGTTTTACAATTATAATCATTTTGAATCATCACAATTGTGGCAACAATTGAGTGTGTCGACACTGGAGACTCTGTTTAATCAGACTATTGTCCATTTAGTTGAGACTAATGAGACTTTGATTCTTTCGTCGTTGAATCCCGTGACTTTTTTTGAATTTGAAGTTGGGTCATTTATGACTGGAAAACTGAATATGACTTCACGGGTGGACTGGCTCAATGACATAGATGAAGAGGCTGATTTTGATCAAAATGCGGCTACTATTTCTGCTTTTCAAAAAGCAGGTTTAGCTGCATTTACCGAAAACGACATTGATAATATCGATAGTAATGGTGATGACGAAGGAAGAGCCACAATGGTTATTCAATTTGACCCCGATAGTCAAATATTGAAGAGTGCATCACCCAACATGGCTATCAATTTGTTTTTAGTTAGTCTTTATGTTGAACTGGGAGCTGAAGGGGTGAAGAACATGGTGATGAATGACGATACGATATTTGTTGTCCCCAGTGCTGAAGGTGATGTTGAATTTGAAGCTCAAGGAATATTGAAGTTGATTATTCTCCCCATCCTCAAATTAAAGAAGTTGATATGGATAATTGAGAAAAAGACTATTGCCTTGTTGGTGAAGCTTAAAGAGTTGACGGTTGCTATATTGAAAAAGACAAAAAAGATTGTTATTTTGATCACCATCAAGACCAAATTGATCATTTTAAAAACGGCTTTTATTATCAAACAGAAGATTAAAAAGGCGAAATTGCTTGTTGAAATTGTGGCGATTGTAACGAAGGAAAAGACGAAGTACAAGATTAAAAAGACGTTAATGATTATTGCAATGTTGAAGGAAAAAGCTAAGGATAAGGTGCGCAATAGTAAAGAAGCACTTAAAGCTGCAAAAAATAAAATGAAGAAAGGAAGTGGAGACTGGAGTGATAGCGATTGAGCGGTGTGGTATTGAAGTAGCTCAAAATTAAAAAAAAGTAATACACAATTGAATATTATACAAAACCAGTAATAATTAAAAAAAAATAAGAAACTCTTCTATCAGAAGGAACCGAAAAGTGTTTTTGGAGCCAGTTGACTCGTTTAAGCAGCACAAACAGATGTGTATAAAACAACCAATTCCAATACCGCGGTTGCACCATTTTCCAATACAGTATCTGTTGTTATAGTCTTGGTTTCGTAATCACCTTCAGGAACATCGGTTGGAATAATGATTACACTGTTTCCAGCGGCAAGTGAAGCTGAAGGAGCATCAGAGGCGGCGGAAGTGACTGGAGCTGATGACGAAGAATCTTCAACTGTTGAAGATGGAGTTTTATCTTCTGATGAAGAGTTTTGCTCCGTTGGGGAGGAGGATGATGAGGGGGAGTCTGAATCTCCAGTCTCTTTGGCAGTAGATGACACGTTCGATGAAGTTGGCGGTGGTGATGCAGAAGTGGTTGAAATAGATGAGGTTGTACTTGGCGAAGTTGATTCAGCGGTTGGCGCACTGCTCGAAGTATCGTCAGTTGGAGTAGTAACAGTAGTTTCAGCTGTCGAATCATCGTCATCATCAGTTGGTGTGGCTTCAGCAGCAGCTAAAGTTGTAGTTTGAGTGAATACCGTAGTTGTAGTCAAGACACCTTCTTCGTTGGTCCATATGTATACAACACCATTTTCCTCTACAACTTGTGGTACTGTAGTTGTGGCAGTGGCCTGTGGAGTAACTGTAACAACTGTGGTTCCATCGTAGGACGTGGTATCTTCATCAGCAGCATTAACTTTTGATAGTAAAGAGGTTAAAGCGACTAGAAGCAATGAACTTGTTTTCGTCGACACCATGATTCACCGATGCTTAATATTTGCTTGTTGAAAAGGTAAAGGGGGGGGGCAGTCTTTGTGGGGGAGATTAGAACTTGGTTTTGTTTGGTTGCCAACGACTTATACAATGATAGGCTGCGAAAAGACAAATTGTGGTTCGTAAATGCAAATCGAAGGAGAAATGTCAAAAAAAAGTAGCAGTATAGAAGTGTCAACAACAATGGAGAAAGGAGAGTATGCATTATATATACTCCAATGCTGGTAAAAAGGACTATACACACCAACGCATTTATTTTGGTGTGGAAAGCCAAAAGACAAGACTATTGTGTATTATTTTATTTTTTTGATGGGAAAATGCTACATAGCACAAACGCCGAGACTATATTCGAAGTAGCTACACAAAAATGCAAGCTTTTAGCATTACTTGCATATAACCAATCAAATGAAAGCATCTCTTCTACTCATAACGGTAGTAGCAAGTAAAGTGCGAGTACAGAAAGTTCGAAAGAGACTTTGCTCGAAAGACTTATTAAAGTCTGTAGTGTGTCGTGGAGTAATTCCAATGGTGTGGTATATAGAATGCTCCTCTTTCATTCGGTATTGTATGTGAAAGAAAATATTTGGTAGTTTTGTGCTATTGATTTTTTTTTTGTTTACAGTTTTTAGCCAGCCACGCTTTTGCATCTTGTCAATATTCCAGCGAAGCTATTTTGTCCTCTTTGGGGAAAAGATGTTTACTTTCTTTCATTCACAATGTTTGTTGTCATTTAACTTTTTTCTAATTGTATTCTACTTAGACCATGCATTGTACTGGCTCATCTGATTATACGCCTTAGAAAAGTATTACAATAAGAAAATAGCACATAGCAAGTAAAGTTTGTTCGATGATCGAACATGCCAAATTTTGTACATTTGCATTCACGGTGTGTATGATGTACGTCAAAAAAAATCATTCGAGATCTAACATCTTGAACTAAATGGTGATCCAGCTGTTTCGTAAACATTAGTAGCTTAAAGATGGAAGGGAGGAGTAAAAAGGGAAGCATATACTCAACCCCGCAGCAAAGGTTATGAACTCAACGGAGCTCATCCACTTTTTCTCAAACCTTCTTCTCTTGTCAATGAGTGTAACCCAACCCATTGTCCAAGTGCTTTATTGTTTTGTGTCTGTTCCCAAAACAAACGTGTTGTTTCCTTAAAAAGCATTTAACCGTGATTACATATCGGACTGGTTTCCATTGCATTTTTAATAATGTCCGCGTGCACCGAATTAGGTATTCTTCGGAAACTATAACCATCGTAGTTGCTGTTGTATTTCATCAATCACAATGTAATACAACTGTCCTCTTTTTTGTGCAATATTCTACACTTTCTAACCAAAGCTAAAGTTTTCTAATCTTTTAAAGTGGAACGGACAATGCCCATTCATCTCATTAAACACCACCATGCACGCTTTCATGCGAAGTTTAAAATTTTTATCTGAATTAGTATTCTGAAACTACAGCAGGTTAAGCTCTTCTCAATGTTGGTTTCGGGCGAGCAACTCCTTTCGCTACCTTCGGCAAACTTTTTGAGTCCGTAGTATGATCATCACGGGAACCTGCTACCCAAGACTACATCAAATTGTGTATTTGTGGTTCAATATTTCAGCTTCAATATGTATTAGTTTAAGCTTGACACTGTCTTTCAGCTGCGTTGTAAATTTCGAGCACGTTTGGAAGGGGAAACATTGAGTATAACCTATAAAGGAGCTTTGCAGCTACTTTGCTAGTAACGTTGAGCTTCTATTATAGAAAGCTAGACTTTGGCGAATTTACTTCTGGGCAAAGGTTTGTAACCACCTCCTTTATACAATAAGTTTATTTTTTTTTTTAAACTCTTCTTCCGAGGAGTAAACGCGTGAGGAAAGCAATTAAACAAACCCTCAGACTTTACTTGTAATTGACCTTTTGATTAAATTGCTGGCTCTGTCAACCATGGGCTTAAAGTGAAAGTTACAAAAGTTGATGTTACACAGATTGTTCTACAATCGTATATTGTAGTTTTCCACGTTGTCCTTTTTGTTCATCAATTCTTTACGAGTGGTTACACAAACGTCCACGCAATTTCAATCTGTAAAAGAATACAAAGCAGCAGAAGGAGTAAAAAACATAGTTGCTTGGCGGTGCATAGTGAATTTCAATGGAAGCTCCAAACTTTTTAAAAACCAACGAGATTACGATGGTGACGGCGCTCATTTTCTTGTTAAAGAAAAGGGGTGCGTAAGTGAAAGCCCACCAGCATGAAGTTTAGTTGTGTTCAGCACTGGAGAGAACGCAATCTCAACTGCAAATCACTCTGTGACAACATGTTGAAAGATACAAAAAGCGGGCCCCCTATTTGCTACCAATTCAAAGTCATAAATCATTTATAATATTCCGTTTGTAGGTGCAACAGCCAGCACCACACAGCAAAATTTATAATAAACCCCAAAGATCTGTCATAGAAACCATCTACGAAATGAAACGCGAGACTATTAATTCTTTATGCAAGATCATTCTTCGATATAGCCTAATATACGTATATATTGACGTCATCCTTTCAACCCGCACGGCTAATCATGGAGCCTAAAAATGAGTGTAAAATTACTGAGATATGATTGAGTACAATTATTGTAACTTGCTAATCAATTGATACATCTTAGATCATTGGACAGCTAGATCCATTCAATAATATATTTATAACCATTCCCTGGGTGTAGAAGAGCATTATTCTAACGAACCCAGTCGTGCAATGCTGTTAATAATGACTCTCATAGCAAGAATATGACACGCCTAACGGCTATGCAACAGCTTTTATCTGATGCCCACCACAACACAACGCACAAACTCTCTTTATATAATTATCCAACTTCAAAACATCAAACAGATTAACTGCTCTGGCAAGTTCCACTGTATGCCAAATTCGGTTCCCTCAACTGTGACAGATCACCACTCCGGTTACGGAAGAACTTGAAAGTGTGGTGCATAACACAGGAACTTAAAGATTCGTACCGTGTGGACATACACGCGACTGGGATAGGCTCACATGCGAAGTCTAATTTACCAAATGGGCGCGAGCTGCCACGGGAATAAACCACTCTAGCAGCATATCACTGTTCTGCGATCATGATCCACCGCATCACTAACATGAATTGACACTACCCAGAATTGTGCAGTACTGCACCGCACGCCAAGTCTGGCACTAAAGTGACAGGTTACATACTTTTTGCATCCACCTAAACAATCACTGTAACTCAACTTTCACCATGTGTGCGACTCTTAACATCTTTGAGCCCATCTTCTAACCTTGGATACTCTTGGGCTAACTTCTCACTCAACATATTTCCTAATTTTTCAAACCCTTGCATTTTGCCCTTAAGTTTAGCATTCAGCTTGGCTGTCACTTCAATAAATTCTCTTGTATAAATATCGGGATTTCTCCCGTCTTCGATATACGAGACTACATCAACAGGAATCAATCGATCTCTCAAATCATCGCTGTGAGAAACTGTTTTCAATTGATTGGTCAAAGTTTGTATCTTGTTTGACAATGCGAGGTTGGATTGAGGAGTTCCTTGATTGTCGTGAACGAGAACACCCAATTCAATAAATGATTCAATCAAGTTGGCAACTTTTTCTGCTGCTTGGATTAGTGGTTTGTTGTCCTCGGTGGATGTAATCAGTGTAGTTGTCATTATGGCGAACTCTTTTTTCTTTGTAGAGATAGGCGCTGTTGGTGTCTGGTGCCACTAGCGTAGATTCAATTTTTTTTCCTCTCTCGTCGCATTCTATTTTTTTGGCAACTAATTTTCTTCCTCAATCATCTACGCAGTCCCAATTTGCAATTATATATCATTACAATTGGGAAAGTCAACACTGTCTAAGAGCCGCCAACCATATTATGTTTGTCTCGTTACATTACAACAAACAAAAATACGATACTGCAAAGAAGAATGGCTCTTTGGGAAAAGCCAATGCAGAACTGTTGAAAGAAAGCCCAGGCAATTCACCAAATCCTACATCAGACCATGCAAAACTGTATACAACCACGTTGAAATTGAAGAATACTGACATCTTAAGATTGAATGGTGGCAGCAGTACTGAAAAGGTTAGTACACTCAAACCGGAATCGAACACAACTGCAAATCGAGTTCATGATACCCCCTTCAATGTGACTACTCCACTACAAAAGTTTGTTTCATTGGCTTACAACAAAGAGAAATATCTTGCCGCAATCAAACCTAAAACGTCACCAAACCTGACGGATCCCAGCTCAGACATCCATATAGAGTCCGGCTTCATGGAGAAACAAGGTGAGTCGCTAGAAAATGTGTCACCCATCAAATCTGATCTCTCGTCTCTCGTAAGGGGGGCGCCCGAACTAACAAATCCAGAATCAAATCGAAACAGTGGAAAGTTGAGCCCACCAATTAGTCCACACAGTTTTGCCAACCTGCTTTTCCGCCCCGAATATAGGCCCATTGATCCAAATTCCCCATCAAAAATAGTAAAACTTCAATATAATGAGGCTCAGCGAGTGAAAATGTTTGAAAAACTTCCCGGTGTCAACTTCACACCCGTAACACCGACAAAAAGATCTCACCAAGAGAAAGAGAAACTCAAACCAACGCTGGCGACTTCAAATAGAACCTCCTCCGGTGAGGCAATTGTAGGTTTGGATCCACTTGAATTGTCTCTGAAGAACAAGACACCCCAAAGACGAAAGAGCAGCTCACGCGCTAGACCTGTTTCAGTGTCTTCAACTATTTCCTCATCAGGACTTTACCACCAGTCGTCTTCCCCGGTATCGAAATCATCTACACCAGCTTCGTTATCTTCTTCATCTTCATCGTCTTCATCTCCATCTGGATTACAATCACCATCACCATCGCCGGCATCCGTACTCGAGTCTGAACCAAATGCACAGGAAACAGCTGACCTTCCTGTTGACGAGAGCCTGTCTGACGAATCTAATCAAGCACTCCTGCATCAACCACAGAGAAGTAAAATACATACTTGCGAAGAAGCACTAGAAACAATGTCGCGGTACGCAGACTTGCAAACTGAAATAAGCAGCAGCACAGCGGAGAGTAATGGTTTAGCCAGTTATCAACAAGTTGAGATTGATTGGTTCAAGAGTCTTATTGTTGTTGCTGAAAAGCTCAATGATTTGAAGGACACTTACAGGGCGATACAATTAATCAAACGGAAAAAGACGGCATCTTAAACAGTTTTAGTTGATACAATTCAAATAGAGGATATAGGATATTCAATATAGTCTTACCCTAGTTGATCACGTAAAAGCTAGTGCTTTTGTCACTTCTAGTACCTCTCTATGCCCTATGAACGGAGCACAAAATTATTCGACCTGCATATAATTTTACCTTCAATTCAATTCTTCAACGAGACAATCAAATGCTGATACAAAGCACAGCTTCACTACAACGCATTGATCCAGGATAGACACAATCATTCACCCGTCACCGCATCAATCTAATCACATTTTACACACCCGTCTTTCTCAATCATGAAACCAGTCGTGTCTACATTCCAAGCATATTGCTGCTTCATACTATCATCATTTGCTATTGTTATATTATCAATAATAGGATACTTGTTCAACACGAATAGTGAATCGTTCATGGGCTCGATAAATGACCCAGAGGATGGAAAGGCTGTAGCTAACACGGTATTTGGTGGTGTTTTTGTATACTTAGCGTTTTTCGTCTTTTGCGGTTTACAAATACTTTTGATTAAGAGGCAGAATAGAATCAAATTGTGAGAGAGTGAGTGAGTGGGAACCGAGGCTTCCCAATTGAAGTATACAGACTTTTCAAAAAGAACGGAAATCTTAAACAATGTGTCTATACAATTGTAGTTTTTTCAAAGTTTAGCAACATTTTCTTGTACATTGCTCACCTCCCTCCACAGACGGAGCTCCAGCACGAGTTCTTGCGTGCTTGAAATCTCCTCCTTTGTTGCACCATTGTTCAATGCACCCTTCAAATGGCCCTTTAATTGAGGTTCAACATCTTGCACAATCAAACACGCAACTATAACCAATGACGTTTTCTTTGCTGTCAATATATCTGTGTAACTCAACAATGGTGAATAAATATGTTGGTATGTAAAATACCACAAATCTGGGTATGCGTCAATCATTTGATTTTTGATTCTCTTGTTTATGTCATTAGAAAAGACTGTGTTCCAAATTGTCGAACCTCGAAGTAGATTGGACTTTAATATTGTTGTATCAACTGATTTGGTAGATATTGGCCCGTCAATAGTGTTCACTCCATCGGAATCATTTTGTTTGATCTTCACTTCATAGGGTCTAAAACTAAACTCTTGCGCAAACAGTGCTGGAGTTGCAGCTTTTAGAGTCGACAATCCATTAATTGCTTTTGGAAGTCCACTAAACGCACTTAGTTTCAACATAACCTCACGCATTTGTTTAACAATGAGATGTTGTTTCCGCTTGATATCTTCACCACATGTATATTTGTAATTCAAAGGAATAAGTTTGTAATATGTTCCAGGGATCAAAATGTCTGGTACTCTGACACCCATGGAATTGAGTTTGATACATTGTTGGCTTGAACTAATTGAATCTTTAGCTAGCTTGATCATGTAATCATTGTTGACGACTTTGTCTTCGTCGCTGAAAAACTCAAACAATTGTTGCCGAAGTGCAAAATGTAAAACCACTGGCAATTCTTCAATTAGGTTTAGTTCAAGCAAAGCTGCTGTTGCAACTAGAAACCATGTGTTTTGTAGTCTGGGGTAGTGGTAAGCTAGCCTGAGTAGTCTTTCTGCCGTAAGAAATGTCATTGCTGAATCAAATGTAAGATGAAGAGTGCCGAATATAGAAATAATTTTTAGTTACTCCAGTTTTTCCAACCTCGGTATATTTGTCCTGTCAACTTTGTAACTGATTTGATTGTGACAGTTTTTTTTCTTACCCATATTCTTCTTTTTCCATTTCATTAATATCACCGAGTCAAAGTCCGAAAGCTTTGCTGAGGTTAGCTCTCTGGTCCATATTCATACATTCTATATATATTCATTGTCCACTACTAACATCCCTATTCATAATTTCGCTACGGCGTCTTTACCACCTTTCCATTGGATGCCGCCTGTCCAATCACATATGTCAAACACCATTGATCTAACATTGTTCAATTCTTCCTTAGTTGCACCATTATTCAACGCACCTTTCAAATGTCCCTTCAATTGTGGATTGACATCTTGTGGGATCAAGCATGCGACAACACACATGGATGTCTCTTTACCGGAAATGATCTTGGTGTAGCTTAGCAATGGCGCATAAACGTGGTGGAAAGCATGGTACCACAAATCTGGATATGCGGTTAACATTTGATTCTTGACTCTATTGTTGATCTTTCCGTAAACACTGTTCCAAAAGTTTGAGCCGCGAACTAAATCTGAAGCAATTTGTTGAGGGTGAATGGACAGTTCACTAATTGGACCGTCAATTGTGTCCTCTGTCGCTTCATCTTCCTTGTCGAATTTGGTGCCATGGACGTCTTCACTAACTATGGATGCTGAAGGAATATGACCAGGACTCACGATTCTTGGACGCTCAGGAGTAAGCCCACTCTTCAAGTTAGTAGGTGTCACTGTTTTTAAAATCATCAATGCATTGATGGCTTTGGGCAACCCACTTAATGCGACACTCTTTAATATCACCTCTCTAAACCTCGCAGTTAATTGATCTTGCATGGCAATAATGTCCACGTGTTTTGAGTACTTGAACTTCAACGGAAGCTGCTCATAGTAGGTGTGTGGTATCAAGACGTCGGGAAGATTGACCCCAACAGCCGACAAGTCTTCATACTTTTTCGCAGAGTTGATGGAGTCCTGTGCCAATCTTATCAAACTTGCATCGGTCAAGAGGCTGGGTGATGTTGACTCTTGTGATGCTGGATTTGCCAATAATTGCTGGCGTAATGCAAAATGATAGACCTTGGGGATCTCTTGTGGTTGGTTGACAACTGTCAAGCATGCAGTTGCGATCAAATACCATGAGCTTTGCAAAGCGGGGTACTTATATGCCAACCTCACTAATCTTTCAGCAGTCAAGACACTCATGACTGGATTGACGTTGATGACAGAATGGAATGTGTAAGTGTGGTCTGAGAAGACTTTTAGACTTTTCCCTGGGAAATCAACCGTCTATTATATTTTGGAAAAGAACCGTTTTATGTAATTTACCCCATACAGATGGGAAAAATAATTAAATCAGACGACAATATCCGGGGATACTAATTTAATTCCGCTATACTACTCCTCCATTACATATGCAAAATCTACTTATCCTCATCATTCCGAACACTGGATCTGATCCAGCTACGACCAATGGTATCCTTTAACCTCTTTCCCTGTTTGCTACTCCACGGTCCCATAGCCCAAAAATGCAGTAAATTGTTGAACACAGGCGCAATTTTTGAGTTGAAAAATGGAAACGATATACGTTCTTGTTGGGAATACTGGCGTGGAAGAGTCGTGGTTATCTCTTTTGTGATATCCTTCATTGACTTTTCTTCTAGTAAGTTTTGCATCTTCTGGCCATCTTCATTTGCATCTGTCTTGGAGGGACTGCGGGTGCTAGTTTCAATTTGTTCCCATGGTCTCATTGTAGCATCAATTGGAACCCATCTCTCAGCCTTTCTCCATACATCAGATCCTATCATTTCCTTGATTCTGGAAACGGCTCTTTTAAATGCAAATTTCTCGTCGTCGCCGGTGAAAACTTTTATATTGGCAAAATTGGATTTGTTGGTGTTGACTTTGCTAGGTTCGTCATAATGTTCGGTATCTTCTTGGTCATAGGATGCAATATTGGGTCTGTAGGGGTTTTCCATGGCAATCGACGTCTTGGCAAACATTTCTTCGTCTTGCACTTCCAACCTATCAGCGGCATTATCTGATTGCGTGTGTTGCTTCAAGTAGTTTATGAATCCCTTATCCTCAATCTTGAGTGCGTCCGGAAAGAATAAGTAATCCACAGCAACTTGTGATCTCATAAAGAATTGACATTTGGCTTCATAAATTGCATCCAACAACGTGATAAACCTTCTTGCTTCATTTTTCATCTTTGTGGTCATAATAGGCACATTATCCAATATTACCGTACGATATTTTGAAGCAATGGTAATGTAGTCAGATGATGACGTAAGACCCTGGCAGATTTCAGAAAAGTCGAGGTGACACACAGTATCATTGTTGAATGATTGCGGGATTCGGGTGGTTCTGTTATAAACGGTGACCAAAGATGGTTTCCCCAAACTAGATAAAGGCTCTTCCATAAGTTCGGAGTCCTTTGCGATCCCCAATGCCTTAGTTTTGATCAATTCATCCCATTCCTTTTCTTCATTTGGGTTATCTTTCCTCACCACAAGGTGAGGCTTCTCCAATGACTCGTTGGCAAAATAAGTTCGATAATCCTTTTCCGACTTCATGTCAATGGATCGACACCTTGCATTTAGTATACCAACAAAGCTCTTGAACTTTCCTTTGCTAAATTGGGCAGAATACAACTCCTCCGGTAGCTTATTGGATGTGGCGACAAGTACTCCACCAAGCTTAAAGTAAAAAGTAAACAAGATTTTGATGATGTTGGCGCTAGCAATATCGGGTAAAACAAACTCATCAAGCATCAATATGGTGTTTTTCTGAATCATCTTCTGGGCCACTTCATATAAGATGAACTCGTTTTCCATCTTGAACTCATTCACTTTTCGATTCATGGTCTTGAATCGGTGTTGCTGTATATTGTGAATCTCACTATACACATACAATATGAAATTATTATAGTGCCACCGCATCTTTGATGCATGTGGTAGTGAGGAGGCAAAGATGTCCATAAGCAATGACTTCCCTGATCCAACCTCGCCATTAACTAAAAGGCCTTGTGGGGAGGGGAAATTAATCAACTCCTCCTCATCGGTCATGTATTTAATCAATGACTGTTTCTCTTTTCTCGGATCCTTTTTGAAATATCGTAACGGCGATTTCTTTCTCGTGTTTTGCTCTGCTTGTTTAACTTCAATTTGTCTGAGCACAAGACTCAACTTGATAGATAAATCTTCTGGCGGTACATAATCTAAAACCCGATGATAAAGTTTTTGAAACTCTTTCATTACTCGCACTTGTGCCTCGTCCTTCTCGAGCAAGCCCAGAGCAACATAGTTTTGATATAGTTGGTATGGATCTGTTATCGATAATGATTGGCTGGAGTTGTTTGACGTGCTCGGGTGTGTGGGGAGTCGGCCGTGGACACCTTGCACACCACCAGTTACTACCGTTGATACATGCCGCCTGAAACAAAATGATATTCGATGAATGTGCTTTGATGTAAACATATTAGATGTGCCAAAAAAGTGAACGAGATCTAGGTTGATCAGGTGAAACAAAAAGATTTTATCTATTCCATCAGTAGGATGTTGCTACCATGTGATTGCGATTGTAAGACATACTTCTCCTTGTAATATCACATTGGGAAGAAGCTGGCATGGAGTGTAAACGAATGTTCATTTCAGAGGATATGGGTATTCAAATTGAGAAGTGAAAGGACTACAAAACGCATTAGACGCAGATTAGCTACGCCCGGTCTCGGACATCCGATTTCTTCAAGGTATGCATCACACTTGTTGCTTTCCCCTGTAGTGTCTATACGAAGGCAAGTAATAAAGAGGACAGAGTAGTTACAAATCGAGATCATAGCCAAGAGTGGAACTTTGAGAAATTGGGTGATTATTTGCAGAAATTGTTGCTCTATTGTTGGGGAAAGCAATTTGTTGGAAAAAGAATTACCTTTATTGGATTATCCCAACATACTCAATGTGATGACTCGGAGTCATATCAATGTCCACACAAATACAAATGTAATATGCAACACTATAAATAGGTCCATACAGGGTTGAACATTTTCGCACGGGAAAACGCTTTATACACTATTCATCATAGCATGAACGTATTGGTGTATTCTGGTCCAGGAACTACAAGCGAGAGTGTCAAGCATTGTATTGACTCATTGCGACTTCATCTAAGTAAATACTATGCAGTATTACCCGTCAATGAAACTGTTTTGCTAGATGAACCCTGGATGAGAAAGACTTCGTTGTTGGTGATCCCTGGCGGTACAGAATTGTCTTATTGTCAAGTCTTGAATGGTTATGGTAATAGAAAGATCAGAAGCTATGTAACGAAAGGAGGTAAATTCATGGGCTTTGGTGCAGGGGGTTATTACGCTTCATCAAGATGTGAGTTTGATGTCGGTGGGCCATTAGAGGTTACGGGAACTCGAGAGTTGGGTTTTTATCCAGGAACTTGTAAAGGTCCAGCACTCATCAAATTCAAATACAACCTGGCAAAAACCGCGAAGTTGGCGGTCAATAATAGTTGTCTACCTAATGCACCCAAAAGTTGTTTCAATTATTACAACGGAGGTGGTGCTTTCCTTGACTCATCAAAATTCGGAGATGTTGAAGTGTTAGCAAGATATGATGTTGAGACAGAGGTGGGGGACAAGATGAAAGCGGCAATTGTATATCGAAAAGTTGGAAAAGGAGATGTGATCTTGAGTGGATCTCATCCAGAGTGTACTCCAAACAATTTGCAAAATGTTGAGAAAAAGATGAAGAATGTGGTCACAACATTGAAGAAGCATGATAGGGATAGGAAATTGTTTTTGCGAGAATTGTTGAGGAAACTTGGGCTTCGTGTTTGTGAAGATATCGAGAATACAACACCAGAGATTACCCCTTTGTACATCACATCGCCCTTTCTTGGACATGTTTCAAAAATCTGGACCGATCTCCATAATCATTTGCTGATCAAGGATGGCATATTTGAGGATCGTAATAGCACGTTCTGTTTTCAAAAAGATACTTTGCATTGTCGAGAGGAGCACTCAACATCATCAAGAGTTGTTAAATTTGTTACCTCGGGCGATGTACCGACAACAAAGTCGACACCTCACTTTGACATTGAAAAGTATTTTGCAAGGCTTTGTCAATTATCGGAGAACACTGTCCCCGAGCTTGGCTCTGTACTTGGCTATGCAGAGGTCATTACCTCTACCCATACAATACTTGAGCAAAATCCGCTTTGGTTAAAACATCTCCCACACGGCCTAACATTGACCGCTACAACTCAAATTGCTGGTAGGGGCAGAGGAAACAACGTTTGGCTTAATCCACAGGGTGTACTACCTGCAACCATTTTGTTCAAAATCCCTCAGAACGAGGTTGAACCGTCATTTGTCATAACCTTGCAATACGTTTGTGGTTTGGCTTTAATCGAAGCTATATTACGTTACGGTAGTGGACCTGATGGAGCAGGTGTTGGGTATGAAGATATGCCATTGCGTATTAAATGGCCCAATGATATTTACATGTTGAAACCGGAGTTTTTAGACTTTGACCATGAAGAGAACCCAGGTTGTGAAGAGGAAAAGTACTCGAAAGTCGCTGGATCTTTACTTGGCTCACAATGCATCGATGGCCAGCTCTACTTGTTGTGGGGTGGTGGTATAAATGTATCGAATGAGGCACCCATAATGTCTTTGAATGTGGTCTTGACGAAACTTAATGAGCTTAGAAAGGGAAAGAATCTACCTGCGTTGCCGGCTTATCAATTGGAATTGCTATTAGCGCATATTGTTTTCACAGTCAATCAGTTCTACTCCATCTTTAAGCAAACAGGATTATCATCATTCTTGCCGTTTTATTATCAAAGGTGGTTACATTCTAATCAAAAAGTTGTTGTTTCTGGACACCTGAAAGGTGAGTCAAGAACATGTATAATTAAAGGCATCACTCCCAACTATGGGTTGTTAATTGCTCAAGATGTGAATAGCCATGATGTTTTACATTTACAACCAGATGGTAATTCCTTTGATTTGTTCAAAGGTCTTGTTTATAAGAAGAATACATAGCCCATCATAGCATATTGTAGAATGATCTATGGAACTTTGCCAAAATTATAAGAGGAACCGTTTAATTAATTTGCAACTGCAATTTTTTCTGTAAATTAGGAACGTCGTAGCGGCGGTTTTTAAATATTGTGGCAGTTGCATGAATCTATTGATCTTTCATGCACGTCTTGAAAGAGGGATAAAAGAAAAGACTATGTAGTGTATGTTGAAGCATATCAGAAGAGAGCTATAGAATTTTTCAGATTTTGTAACTTTAATTCAGTTGTAGTTTCCTATTTTCAACCGTTTGCCGCTTATACCACTACATAACAAACAATCATCACTATTAATGAAGTGCCCCTTTTTCTACAACTTTGTAATTCGGTCTGCTATGGATTTCCAACTTCAATCATCAATTTGTTTAATCTTTTTCCATGCTACGCTAAATCTTTTCGCCTAACAAACATTGTCAGCAGTATTTGAGGGATCGAAAATTGCAGACCTTGATTTTGTAATAATTTAAAATTCCCGGAAATGCAACTACATAAAGATTTATTTGAAGAATAATCAAGGGTCCACAGCCCTAGGAGAGAATTGAATAGAAAGTGCAATGGAAAAGTACCAGAAGTGATATAAAGATCCTGATGGATCCCCCAACCCTAAACAAGGTTCTATCAAAGAAGTGAAATTAAAGCTGCTTACAATGGCAACGTTGCAAAAGGGTGGTGTAAAAGTTTTAAGGTTTTCAAGTTACCAGCAAGGATACCTAAATGAGTTCCAAATCATCATAACTGGTCTCCAAGTCAAGCGAAGACTGACAATCAACGTGTCAAGGAAAGAGTCCATAACTGTTCCCAGAATGCCACAGATGGCAAAAATGGTGCAGCTATAAGGCATGTTAAAAATGAGCGGTAACCAAGAAAGGTACCAATAAAAAAAAGGGTACCGAGGAACGTGCCGATAGATTGGAGGTGTCCTAGAAGGCGCCAACAAAGGAATGGTGCCGAAGAAGGTGCCAATTGTAAACGGTATCGAGGAGGGAGCCAATCAAGAAACGACGCCAAAGAGAGTGCCAACAGATAGCGATACCGAGGAAGGTGCCAACTGTTAAAGGTTCCGAAGATGGTATCAATAGATAATGGTACTGAGAAAGGTGCCAACGAATAATGGTACCAAAGAGAGGAATGGTTCAACTCGATAGTGTCAAAGAGGATATGGTACCAGTTGAGAAATGAAAATGAGGAAGGCACTGGTGAGAGGTATACAAGAATGATGCCGATTATGAAATAGTACCAAGGAAGATGTCTACAAACCGGGTAGTCATCAAATTCGACACTCAGTAAAGGGTCGTTAATATGGCACCCAGAGTAAAAGGAAGTTGAAACATGGTGCCAATCAGGGTGTGGTGCAGAGGTGACGAGCCGCAAGGAAGTGGGACCTGATGAAGTGGCACCTGATTGGCACCAATTGAGAAGTGACATCAAGGAAGATGTTGATTGAAGAAAGGTGCTAAAGAAAGCTCGCAATCGAGGAATGATTATAAAAGAAGCATTCAATGAAGGTACGAGGAGAAATTTTCAATATATCGAGAGAAAGGCTCCAAAGAGTGTGCCCAGAAGCGTGCCAACGAAAAAAGCCCTTAAATGAGGGGATTCGGTGAAAAGCAACGGTACCATCAAGACATGTTCAATAAATCAATGAATCGTGTCAACAGATTGACAAATGTGGTGATTGGGAACGCTGTCAAGGAGTGAGCGGCGATTGTTTGAGTAAGAGCTAGAGCAAGAACTAGAGTCAGTCCCAACCAATAGGCGAGTAGAAGTGAATACGCATTGAACTGGTGTCAATTTCAAAGAGTGCTCATTACACATGGGGGTGTCAGAATAGGATGCAATAAAATTTTCGTATCTCATCACACACAAGAAGCATGATAATTCCTGGTGCTTTGTCCACATTGGACAATCGTTCTGAAAACGTAGTCCTGTGACTGGATCATGGGCTGAAAGGGGGGAGGAAGTTGCTAGAGGAGAAAAGAGCCTTTAGCAGCCACAAAGTCATAAGATTATTTAAAACCACCCACTGACGTTTTTGAATATTAGGCCATTTACGTTTGCATTTTGGCATGCAACTGGCAACTCCAAGGAAAAGACTCAGCATATAAAATGTGTTACGTTCTTGGGAGTGGTGTGATTTGAAAGCTCGTTGCATTAGGGCTAGACAATACTGATGGGATACCCCAAATTAGGATTTTCACAATTCCGTACATGAAATAGAAACTTGTTGGGTGATTCTTCGAATGTTGGAAGAAGAAGGAAGGTGTTGCTGTTACTTTTTTCTCAGCAGTCGTTGCCAATGCAAAATTTAAGCTGCGCAATGAATTGAGAGCCACATCATTTTGGGAACATTTCAGCCCAGATTGGATAAAGTTGAGTGATACCATGCTTTTGTTTGAAAAGGGTTTATATTCTTTTTAGATGGTTGGTTGTTATCGGCTCATTGCTTTTCCAGAGATGCATATGGGGGAATATCCCTATTGCGTTGCAGATGCATTGCAGATGCATTGCAGATCACACCAGTGGAAGTAGTAACCATAAGAGACACAAAAAAGATTTTGTAGTGTTGGTGCGGATGCAATGCAGGTGATGGATATTGGGTGATATCAGCAATGACGTACATTGCACATTACTTATGTAATGTATGTTACATATGTAACTGCATTGACGGAGTCACAAACTACTATTGTTTGAATTGTGCTAATGATGAGATACGGAAAAAGTGGGCCAATATTTTTTTTTTTGATGATTTTTTTGTGTATTGGTTCTTGATCTTGATGTAGTTCTAGAATTGTATTTGCCACTTGCACGAGTAGTAAAAATGACTACATTTAATACATTGTTTGTGTGTATAATAAGCACCTTTTTGTTTTCAACCGTTATAGACACAAACCTTGATTGCACTAAATTCAAAAAGAGAAAAATTTTTATTTTTTTTATTTTATTTTATTTTATTTTCTTTTTTCTTTTTACTTTTTACGTTTTTTTCATAGCCTTTGATTTCTGTTGTTGTTGTTGTTCTTGGCATATACAATAAGAAGCGCTAACTATTCACACGAGCGGCTTCCGCATTGAATAGAAAAAGAGTCGTGTGTGTTGTAGTTATTGTTGTTATTGTTTGATGATTATTTGTGTTAATTGGAACAACCATTTCGGGCATAGTTTCCGATCGCTTTCGAGCCCTTTATGTCCCACTGTTTTGATGGGGTCGTAAGTTTTTTTTGTTCACTAAATATCGTGCCATGTCTTCCCTTCTAGCTGCAGCTAGACGCGTGTCTTGGTGATCTAATCTGGATCCCTGTTGGATCTGGCATATGGTAAGAAGAATCTTGATGTAAAAGCAGCAGGAGAGTGCAGGAAAAATAGGAGTGCAGTTGTAACATCCAACCGAGACAAAGTTGGAATCTGGTATGGTACGTGTCAAACGATGCAAAGAAATGTTTTTTCTTTTTTGATTTAGACTAACACGGGATTGCTTTGTGGTACTTGTTGACCGTCTCTGAGCCAACGTTAGATGTAAGAACAAATAATCCCACCATGGAGTTTGCGACAAGCTGTAGAGGGAAACGGAATCCAAAAGCCACTTTCTTTTTCGACGCTAGTTTCAAAAACGCAACAAGTGCAGTGAAACCCTGGACCAAGTGCTTAGACGAAGCTTCAAAGGCATGCATCTTTGATTGTTATTTCCGTTGAATTCAAACAGTTTTTTTACAGAGACGACAAAGGAATTACTGCAGCAGTTCCTATGCTTATTGTCGTGGGAATCCTCCCGTGGGTTTCAAATTGTCCGAGGCATTGTCATAGTTTATCCTATTGTTTCACCCCCTCTCTTTTTTTACTAGAGAGGGGGCGAGGGGGAGGGGCACAATTTTTGTGTCTTGATAATTTAGACGACGATTCTAGAATTACGCGACAAGACTAGACAAGACAAGATAATAAAATAGATGACAAACCTCATAAAAACAAGCTTTTTGCTACAGAACAAGCAATTTATTATGACTTTAGAGTTTGAAATGTCTCACTTCTTTGTTGAACAGGAAGTTCAAAGGGGAGAAGGGTAAATTGCATGGAAGGTGAAGAAAGGCAAATGTTTGTTAGTTGGATTTGAGTTTATTTTGTGGTTGAAAATGCCGTATGGTAAAAAGCCCCCATCCCCTCTCGCAACTTTCAGTCGTACTCAAGTGGCAAATAGCCCATTTTTAACAATTGGAAATAGAGGCTAGGCTTTGAAAACAGCCTCCTTTGATTCATTTTCTTGAAAGAGATTGTGTCGATTGAAACATGGAAAATGTATGCTTTGCGTTTTAGTCCAATTTTAGCGCAAATAAACTTTGCAAACTAGACATTCAATTTGGATATAAGAACCCCATATGCAGAGGAATGGAGAAAGTTTACTATAACTAGTTGTCTTCAGGAGATTTGGCTAATTGAAAACAAAACAATTCGTCAATTAACTCAACTCACCGTCTACTTCAGTACTGTATGTCGTTTTTTACGCCTTTAAGTTGGGGCGGAATATGTCTCACGTCATCCTCAACAACAGTTCTCTGGGGTAATTGACATGTAAATGAAATAGAAAAAGAATACTCATAACCCCAAGTACTTACGTCTCATTAGTAGTGTAATACCATCAAAAAAAAAAAGAAAAAAAGAATAATTGAAAACCTTCTTTGCAACTGCAATTCAACCTAATTGTCGTTCATTTGTGTAAAGGAGCTCATAAGCCAACTTAAAGTCTAGAAAAAAAAAAAGGGGGGAGGAGTTCTTCAAAGTTTTAGTAACGGCTTACATGTTTTTAGTGAGTGTGTGAGTGTAAAAATGGGGTGGGTGGAAGTTACAAACTATGAAACAGGTTGGGAGAGAAACAATTTTGCCATCAATTAAAAAAATGTGAAGTTGAAAGCCATTTGGTTCTAGAACTACAAGAAAAAATCACCGATGTTGTTTTAGTTTTAGCTTTTGAGAGTTTCCTTGTTGTTGAGATCCCCGTTATTATTGTATTGAATAGTAATTGGCTCCTTTGGCTTTGATTCCTATTGTTTCAAAATCTCCGGCTTTTGATTGATTAATTTTGCTAAGTTTCACACAAAGAGGGCTTTAGTGTTTCAAAAAAACCATAACCGTATATATAAGTATGTGTAATATCCAGTTGTCTCCTTTTCATTAGCAAGTTACAAACTGGCAACAAGACAGTTTTAGTTGGGCGATATTAACTCTTTGTGGTACCAATTTCACCTTTGTCCTCTCATAACGTTTTAGTAAAGTACTATTGTTCTTCTCGCTGCCAATAATATAATCACGGTATACTGAAAGATATTACACAACGTTATAGTGTTTTGGATATCTCCCCCCCTCCCTTTGGTTGCACTTTATTGTTACCAAGTTACTTTTCTAACATAAGAGGAGTATACGATATTTTCATAAAATGTTCTTTTGTCATTTTCACATTAAAGCGGTAAACGTTTTGACGTGTGTATGAAAAGAATTGACAGCTTTTTTTTTGCACATGAATAAAATCAGTGGGTTTTGGCGTGTGTAACTACTAGTTTGTTGTTGTTTGCAAGATCTGGTTGAAAGCCCCCTCTGCCTCTCTCAATCTCTCTACTCAGATCTTTGTATATTTACGTACAATAATGTACGCTACAGCCCACACTTCTGTGCTCCTAAATACAAGTCCATTGTATTATAATAGGTTGTTACCTCTTTGTTAACCAAAGACACAAAGTCAGTTTTGAAATAATTGGTCCATTATTATATACAGGATGCGATGCTATTTTTATTTAGTTTTTGTACTTTGTGCACGAATACACTACCTTTGTATATGCATTATGTATGTTTTATATTTGTTACACAACCCTAAACAGTAACCCATACACAGTTTCCATTTTTCTAAACGGCACTAGTAGGACATCAACCGATCGTCGTCACTGCTCTGCTGAAAGATAGACGAAGAACGTAGTTCTTTTAACCAGATGGTTGCCCGTTTATACTTTAACCATTTGTAATATTGATGTACACCCACACCTAATTGGGTTTAGAAATAGAGTTTTCTTTGCAAAATAAGGTCTAATGGTTTGTATACCACCCCCTCCAGTGGAAGACAAAATAGAAAAAGGAGAAGCATTTGTAAACTAAAAGAAAGTATTAATGTAGAAAAATATAAACATGAGGAGAGAAAATATAGTGGTAAAGGTCGACCCATATCTATTAAAAAAGTAGTGCATGGCATGGTATGATTTGGTACGGTATGGTATGGTATGGTACTGTAGTGAGGTTGTTGTTACTTAAGAAAGAATTATGGGTTAATTTTGATAAGTGGTGTATAAGTTGAAATCTCGTCATATCTCTAGTGGTTTTAGGTATATCATATAGCCTTTTTTGTATTTTGTGTTGATTCTATTTTTTTCTTTTTGCATCTCATCAGACGTGAGAATTAATTTTTGATTTTAATTTTAATTTATTATTTTTATTATTTTATTTTTCAGTTCACAAACATTTTCCATTGTAAGACAAAGGAGAGCTAAACATATATGTATATATAAATATTTAGACAAGTTACCTATAACCCACCACCATTAAGAATTTTACATTGTGTACTACTACTACTACTACATACTACTATTTCTACCACCATTAGTCTATCCTACAACACACAAACGATGAGTAGTAGTGACTTTGGAGGACTAGGCATTGTATTAGAGGAGACAGAAGACCAAAGACGACATACTAGTACCAGTAATAGTCAAAGTACATCCATTACAGACTCGCAGCAACAACAGCAACAGCAACAGCAACAGCAACAGCAACAGCATCCACTTGCCCAGCTGCTATTACCATCGGATGATGAGCTTGACCACTATTTACACGACAGTAACAGTATACATCATCACTCGCCACTAGGAACTGGTATACAATACACATCACAACAGCAGCACCAACCAAGATATAGTGCTCTTTCAAGACATTCTAGCACCGCAAGTCTATCCAGCATATCTCATCGAACATCATCTTCCCAGACTATACCAGCAAAAGCCAACACCTCCATTTTACAATCACCACAGCCTACATTGTCAATAAATACTTCAACAACACCAGGAACACCAGTGGTAAACACTCCTGTAATTAATGCTGGAATCTTGCCACCACCTTCACCAGCACAACTACAAAAACTCAACCAACAGCAACTGCTGCAACAACAACTGCAACAACTGCAGCAGCACCAGGCACTGTCTAATCATTCAGACAGTACGGAAGTACTTTTACCACCATTGCCTGATGCAGTTGAAGATTTGAAATCTCCCTTGAGTACTACACAACATACTATATCCACTACTGGTAATGAAGATTTACACTCAACATCATCATTGCAAATCTCTCATGACAACAACAATAGTAAAAACAATGATTATTTTGATGAAAATGGCAATTACGGTGATAATGACGACGACGGTGAAAATGATGATGATGATGCTAGCACAAATTACAGCATCTATTCCACCGAGTTTAGTAACATTTACCGAAACTGTAAAAGCTCCTACTCCAATTATGCATTGGACTCACCTACTTTCCTAATAGACCAGCAACAGCTGGAACAGCATCAGCAACAGCATCAACAACTGCTGCCACTTAGTCAGCCCCCGCAAACAATGCAATATTTCCCCACCTTACTGAAACTGTTTCATCATCCATCAAACTCCAATTTAAGTGATTCAGCTGCTATATCATCTTTGGGGGGCTTTACTGGATCCAGCACGCAATTGTCCACATTCAACTCTAACAACAAAGCACCTCATACTATGTCATCTTCATCGACGCCAACTGAGAAAACCAGTCCTTTGAAACGATTGAAAAACTTAAAGAATGGGATACGAAAATTGTCATTGGGAAGTAACTCAAGCAGCAACAACAACAACAACAGCAGCAGCAGCAACAATAGTTACGATCCCACTATTTCTGTCTCTTCTGCATCAACTCCATCAAGTGTTAAACCCTCTATGTTTTCTACTTTAAGCTCAAACACAGCAAACCCGTTCCCAGCAAGACCCATATTGAGCCCGTTGCAAACAAATGATAAAAATATACCAATAACTGCAACAACTTCAAACACCACCAGAACAATAACACCGCCGGTCAGTACCAAATCAGTGTCCAACTCCATTCCAGCAGTGGCAACAAATAGTCTTACTGGACAATTGAGCCAGTTTCAACAACCACAACAAAGACACACAAAACATCAACACAATAACTCATCATCGTCAACATCAACTACATCTTCATTGACATCAATGTTGCGTGCCAAACGTTCTCGTGCTTATAGTCAAGGCACAGCTAACGCAACAAATTTCACACCAATTACACCACCACCAATGTTGACCTCACCAATAATCACTTTTAGTGAAAATTTACAATCTACAAAGGCAACTTTGAACAATATTGAACAAAATTATTTTGATTGTTTAGCAGCAGCTCAAAATCAGACTCACAATCAGAATCAAAATCAATGTCAAACCACACAAGGTCAGGGACATGTGTCATCTAGTATTGCATCTACGCCAGCAACTACTGCCAAGTCGACAAGAACATCATCGGCTGTATCAATGAGCAAATATGCGTCTTCAGTGGGACAATCTTGCACCACCACATCAACAAATCATCAACAACAACAACAACAACAACAACAACAACAGCAGCAGCATCAGCATGATCCATCCACACAAGTCAACTCCATTGAAGAAATGACCACTATTGAAGATTTGCTCCAATACTCCAATTTCCTTGCAAGTCAAAAACAATCAATTGATGATGTATTCCAAAAGACTAAAGAAAAGATGGGTGCTTCCGGATGGTGTTCACAATATGATTTACATAATTTGCAATTGCAGCAAGATAGTTCCCGATGTCAGATTGATACTTTGATTTTACGGATTGAAGAACGTTTGAATCGGGATTTTGATTATTCAATGTTGAATAATGAAAGCCAATGAGCAATGAGCAACGATACATGTGGGCTTTACTTTGTTTGACTACATATACGATGTTTTACGGTTTGACAATGATTAGACCATGTTGTTGGTGCTGCTTTTAACGAACCATGAACGCTCCTTTCTTTAACGATGATTACTACTACTACTACTACTATTATTACTTTTCATGCCAACCTTAAATTTTGTTACGCTCTTTTAATGACTTTACTTATATGAATATAGATTATAGAAAAATATCCTGACGTCTTTTAACGATAAAAAGTATCAGAGAAAAAGAACAAAGATTTGTAGTATCCGCCAAGTAGATTTTCAAAAGTGGAATGTTGTCTTATCGGAAAGACAAAGTACAACTACAGTTGACGAACTCGGAGTTCAATGGTCCTTGTTTCTATAACCCATATACATTTTGAGGCGATTTCAATAGACCAAAACTTCTTTTGTATTTTTTGATTTTACAATCTGCTGAATAGGAGATTGGCGCCAATCGGTGGAACAATAGAGAAGAAACAAACGCACCACTTTCTAACGCCTCATGTATCTAACCGTAGATTATTTCGTGCCGTTTGTGATTGGGTTTTCACACATTTCTGAGACAAGTTCATCAGTTCTAGAACCTGTAACCATCTTTGTACACACCTCAATATATCCTTTTGCGTAACTAACCTTAGCAATTGGGTCCACTCAATTGCGGAAAAAACAATATCCTGTACACCTCCTTTTTTTTTTACACCTGATGCTGAAACATGTGACGTAGAAGATCGTCGATACTTAACCATTTCAACTTTTAATCCAAATGTGCTCCTCTTGTGAAATGGGCCAAGATGAAGATTGATGATGAGCAAATGAGAGGCGGATTTAAGCGTGGGTACAGTTTTCCTTCCACCCTCTCCCTATTGTTTTAAAGATTTTCTCTATTGTCTAGTTTAGTTTTGGGCGAGTATTGTTATTGCTTCACATCCTCCACCTAAAAATTAAATGGCAACAATGAACATCAAAGATAGATGGGCAATAAAACAAAGCCTTCTCTTTATTGTTACTGTATCTAGAGTTAAACTTTGGGTTCGAGTTCGAATTTGGAAACAGCACACAAAACGTAGTGGCTTGCGTGTCGATGTTCTAGAATTGGCGCCGAGATAACTAAGAGTTGGCTTAATTTGGGCAGCATAATGCATGCGATTTATGGTTACGAGATTTTCTTTGCCAGACGGTGTATTTCACTATTGGATTTTTCATCGCACTTAATTGTGTCGGTCGTGCGATAAATGCGATGAATGCGATGATGAGAAAAGAACGTAGTATTGTACAAGACATGTCCTCTTTCAAAGACGCCACACTCGATCTCTTCCTATTACGAGAAAAATTTACAACCCAGACAATCTTTCTCTTCCTACTGCGAGAAAAAACTCTCCATCTACTGTGTTAGAATGTGTCGAAATATTAAGATCCAAATATATACACTTGAATGAGAGAGATTCCTTTCTCAAAAGCATAATTCAGTATGAGGTATACATTTCGACGAAGTAAAAGAACTTTGATCTAGCAATTCTTTTCCCCTCCACTCATTCATTTCAAATAGTAAATGGTGCAGTGAATAGAATGCATTCGTATCAAAGAATCAAAAAGAAGAAGAAAAAGAAAAAGAAGAAGAGGAAGAAAGTTGAGTGAATTTTTTTTTCATCTTGTCTTTGTCGTCTGGTGATGATTTTTGGATTGATGAGTCGTGTAATTTGGTACAAGTTACTTACTTATGTAAGTTACCATTGTAATCTTGCAAAAGTAGAGGCCCATTGAGAGAGCCGAAAGCTTTTAAGATGTGCAAGTGAATCATCGCCACTGGGTAATGGATCATGTCGCGTGTATACTATGTAACAGCTCCGCCTTTCAAACGTATAATCATACAATGATGTGTTAACAAACTTTTTTGGAATCGAAACGCGACCCAAAACAAACCTCCCAGCTGAGACAATCTCGATCCAATACATACCCTCCACCCGTTTCTCCTCAAATTCAACTAATACTCTCCCTACATTGACTATGAGTCATTCACAGATAACCGATCCCGATTCATACAGCTTACGTGATATTCTCCTCCTTTCACAACTCCTACACACGAACAAGATCCCGACGTTGCAGGCTTTGGAATCAATCAATCATAACGTGCTTGAAAGTGTACTCCATCAGTGGAAAACACATGTCTCAACACAACTAGAGCACAAAACCATCAAAATCAATACGCTACACCAATTGATGGAGTTGTATCGTAAGTTATTGGACAAGTATAAAGTTGACAATACTGAGAGTTTGGCGAATGAGGTGTATTACTTGAGAATTGATGAGTTGAAGAATACCATTGAAACGAAACGAAATGAGTTTACGGCAGTATTGAATTCGTAACTTGGGACTGTATGCAATATGATCCATTCGGAGAACCCTCATCGCATGGATTCATTTTGAGGAAAAAATAAATGTTCAACCTCATTTCGAATGCCCCATCTTCAAAGAAACACTTGCACTGTATGGGTAAAAAAAAATCAAATGCAGCTAGTGCGGCTCCGTTGATGGAGTCGTCAGTGGCTCCAATTGTTGAAATTTACTACCAGGACCCATTGTTCACAATGGCTGCTCACCCTACGAGACCTATAATCATATCGGGATTGGGAACAGGATACTTGTATTGCAACACGTACGATGTGGCCGAGCTAGAGGAATACCTGGAGAAACGAAGACAAGAAGTGATTGAAATTGATAAACGTGCTTATGCGGCGGGCACGATCCCCCATATCACAACTTCTGTTTCTCAGCTGAAGACCCATTGGTGGAAATACATTGGCTATAAAGACATCCACAATACTGGTTCTTATATCAAGAATAATTGGCAAACGAAAAGACACAAGGGATCTTGCAGACATGCCATTTTCGACCCTAGAAGCAACTCATCGGGGGAATTTGTGTATTCATGTGGTACGGACAATATCATTAAAAAGGCAACCACTGAACTGGGAAAAGTAGTTGGCAAGGTTGATGTTACTTCTGATTATACTGACCCAAAGGATAAGCTAACTAAATTGTGTCATTCAACAACACATCCTTTTTTACTTTCTGGTACTGAAGATGGACATGTATTAGTTTATGACTCCTCCAATTTATCCTCAAACAAGCTAAAGTTTAAAGTGAACCAAGTACATGATGATGCTATCAATCAAATCTTGACAATGCCACAATCACCGTATCACTACCTCACCCTTGGATCAACCACCTTGTCACACATTGATATTAGAAAGGGAATAATTACTCAATCCGATGACCAAGAAGACGAATTGTTGGCCATGTCATACACAACTGATGAGTTAAGTGAGGGAAAGGGAGACACTGTATTGGTTGGCCACGGAGAAGGTTTAGTTACAATTTGGAAAAATTCCAAAAACAAGCTTATGGATCAATTATCGCGAATCAAAATCAACAAGCAAGCTTCAATTGATGCAATTATACCTACGATGAATAACGATTCCGAAGAGATGGCGCAATCAGTCTGGTGTGGAGATAGTGATGGTTTGCTTCATCGAATCAATTATAAACGTGGCAAGATTGTTGAGACGCGTGTACACTCTGCCTCATGGAAATCCGATCTTGACGAAGTTGGGATCTTGGATATTGATTATGAGTATAGATTGATTAGTGCTGGAATGGAAAGATTGAAAATATGGTCCAATAAGGAGGTTGATGATGTTGAAGACGAGGGTAACGAAGACGAAAGTGGGGATCACGATAGTGATGATGATCCTGGTGCATCTGCTAGTGATATTGCAAGTGAGGAGACCTCTGATCTGGATTTGGGAAGCGAAGATGATGCTCAAGAGGAAGAAAATAGTGATGATGACGAAGTAGAGGAAATGAAGTCTCAGAGTGAGGATGAAGACAATACTCAAGTTGAGGATGTACCTCCTGCCTACAAACGCAAGAGAAGGGATTTCACAGAAACTATCACTAAACCAAAGAGCAAACGCATTGACATCAATAAACTCACCAAACTGGGTAATGATGAAAATGACGCACCACCAGAGGAACCTCAACTGAAGAAACAAAAAAAGAAAGACGGCAGGTTGACTGCCAAACAATTGAGGAATATGCAGACACGTGAACATGGTATTAAAAAGTTTGAAGATTTATAGAGAACCACTAAGCTGTCTCGTATGAATGGGTTGCGTGTAAGTTGTGTCCCTTGTTTTTCGCATCTTTTTGCACCTCTTGTGACAAAACTGTGATGTTTTTTTTTTTTGCTCAGTGCGTCGAATCCATTCTTATCAAAAGATCTTGTCGAGATATAGCACATTTTGTTCGTCGTATAGAAGAATAGACGAACCAAGATAACTACAACATTATAACCAACAATGGAAAACGTCTTTACTGTGCACGGTGTTGTGCTAAGTAGACGAGGGTCATACATTTTAGGAACCTTGATCTTGTCGTCACATCATCTTGTATATACATTCACGGCAAACCCAAAACAAGCCACAACGACATCAGCGTCAGCATCAACTACGTCGAGTCCACCAAAGGAAATATGGATTTGCTACCCTATAATTGAGAGGATGGCGAAAAGTCGAGGGTCGACCTGGCTAAACAACAATGCAGCAACTTCTAGCTCCTCAACCAGAACAACGTCCACCAACTCCCCCTCACCTCAGCCTCAACTATCTCCACCTCAAATTGAAGGTTTTGACAATTATAGTGCCTCAAATATAAGATTGCAATGTAAGGATTTCACGTATTTTTCATTTGATTTCAAAAATGATTTAATATGTACTGAGGTGTTTACAAAGTTGAGCTCGTTGGCTACGGTTGCCAAAGTTGACAACGACATCAAATCATTATATGCATACGCGTATGTCCCCAATAATTTAGAAAAGAAGTTGGATACAAGAGGATGGGATATTTATGATCCAGTGGCCGAATATACCCGTTTGGGGTTGATTCCCAATGAAAGCGATAAGCAATTTTGGAGAATGACTGAAGTGAATGCAGACTACAAGTTTTGTCCCTCGTATCCTTGCAAATTTATCGTTCCCAACACAATATCCGATAATGTGTTGAAACATGCTGCTAAATTCAGGTCCAAACAAAGGATACCAGCAGTAGTATACAAGCATAAATCTAATATCAACGGAAATGTCATAGCTAGATGTGCTCAGCCTCTAGTCGGACTTAATTTACAAAATCGGTCAATTCAAGATGAGAAATTGATTGGTGAGATTTTCCATTGCCAAGATGTCGAACGCGGATTCAGGTTGAAACTGGCTGAAGTGGATGAGGCTTTTGAGTACCAATCGCAACAAACACAGAGAAATTTACTAGTTGATTTGAGACCGGTGACGAATGCAATGGCCCAACATGCGTTGGGAGCGGGGACTGAAAATGTAGACAACTACCGCAACAAGAAACCAACCGGAAATGATGATTCAAATGGTGACGACAACAACAACTCACATCATTCAAGAAGTCCGCGACAAGTGGACAAGATTTTTTGCAACATTGATAATATCCATGTGGTGAGAGATTCACTAACTAAATTAACAACAATATTGAACGATCTTGATAGGTTTCAACAACCATCAGTTCCAGGTCAAGCGCAAAGTTCTGTTGTTGCAGCAGCGGCTCTACAGCATTCATTAACCAAAACACAATGGTTAAATCGACTTTCAATTATATTACAGTCTGTTGATCGAATAACCAAATCGATTCATTTAAATAACACCAATGTGATTATACATTGTTCCGATGGTTGGGATAGAACATCACAAGTATCAGCATTGGCTCAATTGTGTCTAGACCCATATTATAGAACAATGAAAGGGTTTATGGTATTGATTGAAAAAGAATGGGTCAGCTTTGGGTTCAAATTCAATACCAGAGCTGATCATGGTGGTTGCATTGGTGCTGTCATGAAAAAAGAATCCAAGAAGCCACACAAACAAGTAAGTCAACTACGTGAAGGTAACAAGAGTGGTGATGAAGTGTCGTCGGAGTTATCAATCGACAGTTTGCAATTGGAGAACAAATTAGCAAGTGAGGCAACATCAGGTGCAGCAGGAAGCGCTGCTGGAGTTACTGCTACTGCTGCTGCTGCTAGTGTCACTTCGTTTTTGCAAAAAGCAGCTCGAGCAGCTCGCGATATTAAAAACAGTGCTCAAAATGGGTTATCTAATTACCCTGATGGTAACACCAACTACAACCGCCCCAATTCACCAGACAGCAACACCGATAAACCGTTTTATTCAACTACCTCAAGCATCTACAGTGGCAGTAACGAGCGATCACCAGTTTTCCATCAATTTTTAGATTGTATCTACCAAATTGTCCGTCAACACCCAACAAAATTTGAATTCAATACAAGATTTCTCAAACGATTATTGTATCATTACTATTCATGTCAATACGGATCTTTTCTTTGTGATTCTGAACGAGAGTTGCTACAAGTTCACAAATGTTATGATCTGACGGTTTCAATTTGGGATTATTTCAATTCACGACCAAATGAATTTCGTAATAAAGCATATAACGATAACAACAACAATGGCATTGTTGAAGGAGATGAAAGTGATTCTGGTTCCGACTTTGATGGGGTTATTTTCTTCAATTCGGCTGATTTGAAGTGGTGGTTTGAATTATATGGCAGAACTGAGGAGGAGATGAATGGGTTGTCTAATTCTTTGGATCGAAAATTTGCTCAAATGGCATTAAGGAAGGAATAGTAGAGAGTGTATTGTTAGCGTAAGGAGCGAGTCACATTCTGTAATTGGCATAGTATATAGATTCGAGAAAGAGGGCTCTACTGTTTTGTACTTACTCGCAGACGCGTTTGACGATTTTGTACTTCTGGTCTCAAAAAGTCATAACAATTGATCCATTGACACCAAAACTGTTCACCAAACTATACAACACCATCGGAATGTCACTAGCAGCTGTAGAGCCCACATTGGGTACAGATACTGTTACTAGGGCTCTCAAAAGAAATATAAGGGATGTTGAGTCAGAGCAGGCGCTAGAGAAGGAGCAACAAGAGCAACAACCGGATGCTCAAGTATTTATAGAGAGTGGTACTGAGGGCATCATTTCTCCTGATACCAAAAAAGTGAAACTAGATACAGGCAACTGGATACCTCCTTCTATAACCAGTATACACTATTTTGAAGAGTTTAAAACTTCAACATACATTTCAGAAATTCCATATGAAATTTCACAAGCACCGACAAAGCCAGTTGTCATTGGCATTGACGAAGCTAGAAGAGGGCCAGTACTAGGTCCCATGGTGTATGGGCTTGCATATTCATTAAAGGATTTTCTGAGCAAGTTACAAAAAACCTATGGATTTGCTGATTCAAAGCAATTGACCGATGATAAACGACAACAATTGTTTCAAATGATTGAAGATGCTGACCAACATGAGTTGAATAAACATATCGGATGGGCGACAACTACAATGACAGCAAAAGATATATCACTGGGAATGTTACGTTCAGTACATGGAATTGGTGCATACAACTTGAATGAGCAAGCCCATGATGCGACAATCAATTTAATCAAGCAAGTTATAAACCAGGGTATCAATGTAACTGAGATTTATGTTGATACAGTTGGGCCACCAGTGTCCTATCAAGCTAAATTGAAGAAACTTTTCCCAACAATCGATATTACCGTGTCCAAAAAAGCTGATAGTGTATACCCCATTGTTTCAACCGCATCAGTAGTGGCCAAAGTTACTAGAGATTTAAACATTCGTCATTACAATACTCATTTACCTATATTACAGGGCCAAAAATTGGGATCGGGTTACCCCAGTGATCCAAACACTAGCTATTGGTTGAATCATAATGTTGACCCTGTATTTGGTTGGTGTTTCGGATTCATTAGATTTTCATGGCAAACTGCAAAAGATGCATTGATGAAGCATGATGCAGTTGAAGTGATTTATCAAGATGATTGTGTTAAGGAGAAGGGGTATAAGGATGTATCGCAAATGTTTGTTATGGATAGAAGTACCTCAGGGAAAATAAGCAAGAGTCAGTTCAATAGTGATGATGTCAACTTGATGTAATAAGAGTGGAGAGAAATATTGAGAAAAGAAGGGTGATATTGGGAATAGGGGCCATACCAAAGTGTCAGAGTATTTGATAATGGAATTTAGTAGTCACTGACGCCCATTTTGTAGATGCCAATACATAGATCTTTTCAATTTAATCTAATACTTTGTGTTTGCTATAGCATAGGTGTCGTAAAGCTTTCCTTATGTCTCTCCTTTTTGCATCCTTCTGCTAGCCCTTTGGTTCAATTAGAAAATCTTTTTGTCCCTCGGAGATATACTTCCGAGTAAAACGGAAAACACTGATGCGCAACTAGCTAACCAACAAAAAAAAAATAAACTATCTCGGAGTTTATTGTACGCCGATGTAAAAGGACGGTTATATAGAATCAACCAAACAGATTTTGTAGCTGGCATTTGTAGTTTTCGTGACTAGCATGTTTCGTAGATTCTGTGCAAGAAAGTAGGTCCCTTCCTCTCATCCAACTTACAGTGTAGATAGTACCCAACAATATGTTGTAGTCTTTTGTGTGTGTCTCTTTGTACACAAAGGTCGTTTTGACACAGCAACAGGAGAGAAACTCACCAAGTTAGAAAGAAAAAAAATCTGAATTTCATCATCATCAGCATCTACTGAATAGTTCATTCCACTTGATCACAGCACTCACTTACCCTTATCAATAACCTATTCATATATTTTTTTTTACAATGTCTTCCGCTTTATTTGCTGTTTCCAGGTCAGCAATGGCTTTAAGAACTGCTGCTGTTGCCACTAAACCAGTATCCATCAAAACCTCATCTTTCTTAACATTGGCTAGACTTTATTCATCGGGTAAATTCCCACCACACACTGTCATTCATATGCCTGCCTTATCTCCAACTATGACTTCAGGTGGTATTTTAGAATGGACCAAGAAAGTTGGTGACGAATTAGCTCCTGGTGAACCAATTGCTGAAATTGAAACTGATAAAGCATCAATGGATTTCGAATTTCAAGAAGAAGGTTACTTGGCCAAAATTTTGAAAGAAGCTGGCTCCAAGGATGTTCCAGTTGGTGAACCAATTGCTGTTTATGTTGAAGATGCTAGTGAAGTTTCTGCATTTGATAGTTTTACTGCCGCTGATGCTGGTGAAGCACCAAAACAACCAGCACCGGAAAAGGAAGAAGAATCGAAACCAAAAGAACAGGAATCCAAGTCAGAGGAACCAAAAAAGACTGAATCTAAACCATCAACATCGAGCTCCTCCGCAAAATCTTCCTCTGCCAAACCATCAGGAAGAATCTTTGCCTCACCTTTAGCCAAGACCATTGCTTTGGAAAAGGGTATTTCATTGAAACTGGTTAAAGGTACTGGTCCACATGGTAGAATTGTTGCCAAGGATCTTGAAGGTCTTGAGCCAGCACAAGCTGCTTCAGCCGCCTCCTCTACTGCTGCTACTGCTACTCCTGCAGGTGCTACTTATGAAGACATCCCATTGACCAACATGAGAAAAACTATTGCCACTAGATTATTACAATCAACTCAACAATCACCAACTTATATCATCCAATCACAAATTTCAGTCTCAAAATTATTGAAATTACGTGCTTCTTTGAATGCATCAGCCGAAGATAGATACAGATTATCAGTTAATGATCTTTTGATCAAAGCTATTGCTGTTGCATCAGTCCGAGTACCACAAATCAACTCGGCTTGGTTGGGTGACCAAGGTGTCATTAGACAATACAAAAATGTTGATGTTTCAGTTGCCGTTGCCACTCCAACTGGTTTAATAACTCCAATCATCAAAGATGCTCAAAACAAGAGATTATCTGCCATTTCTAACGAAATCAAAGATTTGGGCAAGAGAGCCAAGATTGGCAAATTGAACCCAGAAGAATACCAAGGTGGTACTATCTGTATTTCCAACTTGGGTATGAACCATGCTGTCACTGCCTTCACATCAATCATCAACCCACCACAATCTGCAATTGTTGCTATTGGAACTACTGAAAAGAAAGCAGTACCCAGTGATGTCAACGAACAAGGATTCGTTTTTGATGATGTTTTGACAATTACTGGTACTTTTGATCACAGAGTCGTAGATGGCGCTCTTGGAGGTGAATGGATTAAAGAATTGAAGAGAATTGTGGAAAATCCATTGGAAATGTTGGTTTAGGTTGATACATACTTTGAATATTACAATAAAAAGGATCCTCTTGTACACTTTTACGAATGTAAATGCGTTGTTACTGGTATGTATATTATCTCAAGTAATCTCTGTGTGTAAATTAGATGCGCTCTGAGCTCTCTGCCCAGTTCATTTTTTTTTTTTTTTTTGTTTACGAATTTTAGGACCAGAGTGCTCCCTGAGTGTCCAGCATCAGCATTAATCTCATCTACTAACTTCCCCTTTCTCTCAATAATGACAATCAAAGAGATATATATTGCTAGACATGGGTACCGTATGAACTGGTTGCCACCTCCACATCCTCCTAACCCTACAGGTGTCCCAAGTGATCCACCATTAGCCCCACATGGTGTTGATCAAGCAAAACAATTGGCAGCATACTTAAATTCATTGCCAACTAAAGATCAGCCACAGTTCATCTTGACATCGCCATTTTATCGATGCGTTCAAACTGCTGAACCTATCGCTGAAGTGTTAGACTTGAAGGTCCATTTAGATAGAGGAGTGGGAGAATGGTTCAAAAAGGGTAGGAAAATCGTTCCAGAACCAGTTGACTATGCTGACTTGAACAAGTTTTTCCCAAATGTTTTGGATGAGGAAACTGTTTGGCCGAGAGATAGATTAGGAGTTATTCCCAATCTTGAAGGTGAAACAGGTGAAGAGATTTACGCGAGAGCTACACACTTCTGGCATAAGTTTATCCCAATGTTCGAACAAGAATATCCAGAGATTGAAAACATCTTGATTGTAACTCATGCAGCAACAAAGATTGCCTTAGGAAGTGTATTGTTGAAATTGGGTTCGGTTACTAGTCCCATTGACTCAGATCAAACCATGTTGAGAGCCGGTGCTTGCTCGCTTTCGAAATACGTGCGTGCTTCCGAGTCCGATGATTTCGATTGGAAGATTGTCATGAATGGTAATTGCGAGTTTTTAACAAAGGGAGAAGAAATGAATTGGGATTTCACCACGGGTGTGGAAGCTGGGTCAGCTGAAGATATTGCCAGAAGGAAAAAAGAGGCTGTTGCCAAGGGTACAACAAGTGAGTTGGAGGAAAATTCTTCTATTCACAAAGAGGAAGCTCCAGTGACAAAGGTTGCCACTGGGACCGAAGAGACTACAAACGATGATGGATATGAGGTACGTAGAAACCCGAAGAGTGTTTTTTGAATGTCAAATTGTGTCAGGATCAAGGTTCAGTTCAAACACAAAATTAAATGCGAAGTTTTTGAACCAATTTTAGAAACTAAAGATAGAGGTTGTCTATTTTGCAGACCACGTTAGAGCTTACCCATTGTTTTTTTATTATAATAGATGATTCAACTATATGATCAAAAGCACTTTTTTTTTTCAACACAACCGTTGATCACCGTACTAACTGTTGCTTTGCGTGTAGACTTTTTACATAACGGTTGATTTACCAAATGTACCGAAAAAGCTAGATGAAGAAGATTTCACCATTGATCGAACCAAGACGAGGAAAACTCCAAGATTCAAGAACAACATCTTGAAGCCATCAGCTCGGTTGCAAATGACCAGTCTAGGTGACGAATCGCCATTGATTAAAATATCAAACAATACATCTACATCTACTTCAAACACTCGTGATAATCAACCCACAAGTACATCGAAGGCGACAGAGGTGAGCGGTAATCACAAAGGCGGCTCTAGTAGAACTAACCCCATCATTGATGCATCGGCGTTGATAAATGGTCGTATTTTCGAAACCAATTGGCACGAGTTGACTGGGTCGGAGTTGATTTTTGACGATTATGGTGAATTAATTGGCCAAGTTAAGGAACACTTGACATGTAATGACAAGGTTAAATTTATAGCCAAGAAGCTGCAAAACAATGATCTTAATGCAACACTGGCTGAATATGTTGATTTCAATGAGGGACCAGCTGGGGAAGAGTCTGTTAAATCAGAGGGTAACACTAAACTGAAGCCAAGTCCATTCTTGAGGAATGCAATCAAGGCTGCAAAGAGGAAGGAATATTCGTAAAAAAGGAGCTAGTGTGTAAAAAAATAAGTCTATCAGTATAAATGCTAGTTGGTATAGAGCTTTTTTAGTGTGAGCTCGTACCTTCGCGCCCTCCTACTTCTTTGATGTAACAACTCGTTGAACATGATCCATAAACAGTTGCAAATTAACATCATCAGTGAAAACATCAGAGCGATCACCCCATCCATAAAAGTGATTGACATTAGTCGCATAACTGGTACTTGGATTCAATTTTGCCATCAAGAATCTTGCTTGTGATCCACCTTCATCGCAATCAATAAAACGAGGCAAGGGGAATCGATCAACTAATAACAGCATTGCTTCCCTTTTGGGTGCTTCAAGAAAATCTTTGAAATATGCATATTCTTCTTGTTCATGGTATCCTGCTTTCCTCCATTGAGCAATTTGTGAACCATGATGAATCAAAATTTGGAAAAATGTATCAAGAAGTAAGATTTTGGATTTCCCCAAACTCATTGAGTCAAGGAGCACTGATTCTGGTTCGTTGATGACCTCCTCGTTGGTTTCTTCGTCAATAGTTGAAGATCCCCAACTGTTTATATCATATGATAACAATGTAGGTTGAATCATAAGTAAAGAATTGGCCAAATCCTCATGCATAAACACATGTCGCACAAAACTAGTTTCATCGGGGGAGCTATTGAAAACATTGATAAATGGGGATCGTCTTAAATGAAACATAAATTGCGGAAAAAGGGAATAAGTGGTTGACAATCTAAATGAATCCATTTTGCCCATTTGATACACGGCAAATCGTGTACAAAAATCAATCAACACTTGGTCCAATTGTTTGCTTAGAGCAGTACCACTGACAAATTTCCTGTGCAAATCAGTTTGTAGTTTTTGAACTGCTTCACGAGCAACAAGGACCAAAGCAGCTTCTTGATCGAATCCAGCTTCTAATTGCGCACTATCCGAATCTAGAATGGTATTGACAGGCACGGTCGTAACACGTAGTCTCAATTCACCACTAGGATGTTGATAATGAAACAAAAATTGTATAAATGTAGCAGCATTGTTTGTGTGTAGGTTATCCATCTTTTCAAAATATATGGCATAAGTTGATCGTGGATCAGCGCTACATGATTTCCAACTATTGGTTCTACCTTGTCCAACTTCACGTTCACTAATCATTCGTTCATTAGCAGCAACCATTTTATTGAATGGTAATGCCAGTGCGTTACCAATCAATCCTTCAATTTTCAAGTCTTGACACACTTTAATCTCCAATGTTGAATTAAACCCCATATCAAGCCATTCATTATTAATCTCTTGCTTTTTAAAAAACCTGGCAAAACTTTGTCGAAAGATTGCTGTACTTACAGAATCGGTCATGACGATAACTCCACCGGTTTTGGCACAAACTTCGTCCATTTCGAACAATCCAACTTGATCATAACTTCCAATGAAAAGGTCACAACTGAGCCCCAAAACAACCAATTTCTTTGCTACTTTGGCATAAAATGCTTTGGCTTCTTTGAATAAAGATGTATCGGTTTTAGTCTTTGACGATGTTGTTGGTGCTTTGATTAGACGGGATTGTTCTTTCAAAATATCATGGTGAGATCTCATTGGGATTTTCAATGGTGTGTCAACAATTTTGCCGGGACCCATAGTACATACACCGGCAATAAACACCATCAAATGGCCACCAGTTAAATGATTATCACCAAGTATGCTCTTCAATAACAAAGTTGACACATTTATTGCTGAACCAGTGGCTCTGGATGGACGATCACTATACTCACCATGTGGGAAAGAATTGGGTACGAGATTTTCAATAATATTTGTCAACTCGTATTCGACCAAGCTGAGTGGTTGTAAGAATCGTCTAGCTGCGTGTCCAATCAAGTGTTCAAGATCAGCATTACCTTGAGCATGTAGCAATCCAGCATTACTAATTCCGCTTCCCAGTAACCCTAATGTTTGCTGCACTTGTTCCAAGTTATATTCTTTGTTCCCGTTAAAAGTATAACTGAGATCATCATTTGAAGTCAAGTCATGCACTTTAACATGCTTCCCAAAGGAAACAAACCCTACCAATGCATTCTCTGGCAAGAGACTCAAAGATAAGACCAAGCTTTCTTTCAATTTGGCAAACTCAGCCTCAACATCCTCACCTTCAAAACAAGTATCAACAACATAGAAAAACACTGGTGGCAAAGCACTTTGTCTGCCAGTTTCATATTCTACTGTTGTGCACTGTCCGTCTAGGGCTGGTGGTAAAAGAGGTGTTCCATCTTCAGCCATTATCTGTGTTGGTAGTTGATTAGGCACGTTGCAAAATTGACATGACCAAGTGCCGTTGTTGACAATGACGAAAGGGTTTAGTATTGAACGACATGAACGACAGGTTATTAAATGTGACTTATCCAAAACTGGTATTTCACTTTTATCATTTAATGGTGTGTATAATGCTCCTAAAGGTATAACATTTCTTTGATGTTGCAATTTCGATTTCGGTACCGAAGACCACGATAATCGTACACCATCTCTATCTTCTCTAGCTTCAAAATCCATAGTTCTTACTTGAAATGGAATTTTCCTGCGGCTGCTATGTATATATCTCCCTTGGGGAAAACTTCTTCCAAGTCTTGGTTACAGATGGTTGCTGTTAATGCTGCTAATGCGGCTTCTCGGTATTAAAGATTTTGAGAGTTGCGATGGAAGTTTTTCAAAAGAGATCTTCATCAACAGTCGTGAGACTAGAAAACACAGAAAAATATCTTTTGTTCAACCTCGGATGAGAGATCTACTACCATAATATTTTGAACGTAAAGATCCTCGATTTGATTATGCAGCGACATACCCAATTGCTTCGGAGATGCAGAACCATATTAACATTGAGGAGGTTCACTACTGCGCCAGTCCATCTAGACTCAGACTTGACATACGAAAGTAGAGCTAACGAGATTGAATCAAGCTCAAATCGGGGCTTGTATTACCCACGTATATCAACTATACGACAAAAGAGCAGCAACGCATCTGTCATACGTCTACCCACATTCCGTAGCAAATTTGGCCAGACTGATTTTAATTTGTTTGCAAATAATCGATTCGAAAAGGAGTATATTGTGGAAGGACGAATACTCAGTATCCGAAAAGCTGGTAAAGGGATGTTTTTCATTGACTTGGAACAAGACAATACTCAATTGCAAGTAATGGCTACTAATAAACTTATGGGAATGGATGTGACTGAGTTTAACAAACTACATGGATGGTTCAAGCCTGGAGATTACATAAGTTGTGAGGGTCATGCTTCAAGAACGAAAACTGGAGAGCTTACTTTGAAAGCAAGTAGGTCGATTGAGCTATTAACTCCTTGTTTGTCCAAAATGCCAAACAAGTTGATAGATAAGGGAATCATAAATAATAACAGAGTTCTCAACTACTTGGTCAACCCTAGATCCAAACAGCCCATCATTATTAAATCCAAGGTCATTCAGTGTATACGGCAGTTTCTACTCAATCGCGATTTTCTCGAAGTTCAAACTCCTATATTAAGTAATGAGGGAACTGGTGCAAATGCTAATCCATTTAGGACAAAATTCAAAGACAATGATATACAATTGCGGGTGGCGCCAGAGTTGTGGTTGAAAAAACTTGTGATTGGTGGGTTTGATAAAGTATTTGAAATTGGCAACAATTTTCGTAACGAAGGTATTGATCAAACTCATAATCCTGAATTTACATCTTGTGAATTTTATCAAGCATATACGAGTTTAGACGAATTGATGCAAATGACGGAAGAGCTACTCGTGGAAATTTTCAAAATTTTTAAAATACCCGTGGTGTTGGAGCTGTTCCCCAAGTACGATTTCTTGCCTACGTTAAAAGCAGTCACTGGTTTGTCACTTGATGATTTATCGTTTGATGGTATTTTACAATACTACAAGCGCCTTGGTTTACAAGTACCGCCCAATCCTAACCCAACTAATTTACTCAACAACTTAAGTGAGATATACTTGGAGTCATTAAGTATTTCCAAACACCCAAACACACCGGTATTCATTTACAACCAACCAGAGATTTTATCACCCTTGGCAAAGTCGAGGACAATCAACAACATCCCCGTGTCATCTCGATTTGAACTTTTTATTAATGGCAAAGAATACGTAAATGCTTACGAAGAAGAAAATAATCCACAGCAGCAATATACCAAGTTTCAACAACAGCAAGTAAATAAGGTGGAGTTTAATGATGATGAAATGTTGATTCCTGATTGGGCATTTGTACAAACGATGAAATTGGGGTTACCACCTACTGGTGGATGGGGAATTGGAATTGATCGATTGGCAATGTTTATAAGTGGTGTTGAAAGAATTGACCAAGTCTTGCCATTTGGTAACTTACGAGATGTTTTGAAGCAGTAAAATCATGTATATAGAAATATTCAGTTCACAACTTTTATTATAACACTGGACTAAAACACTTTTTCTATTAATCTTTCATTTCAACGTCTTTCGACAGGGATGCATCATTGTCGTCATCTTTGGATGATTTACCAGCACCAGCTTCAACTTCAGCTTCGGAGCTTTTTTCCTTTTCCTTCTCTTCCCCCTTCTCGTCTTCCTTCCTTTGTTCACTTTCTTCTTCTTTTCTTTCTTCACCTTCCGCTTCCTCTTGCTCTTCCTCTTGCTCTTGCTCTTTCTCTTGCGCTTGTTCTTCTTCCTCTTCTTCATCTTCTTCTTCCACTAACAATGTCTTGGGTTCCCAGATTTCCAATAATCTATCATCGCCAACACTAGCAAATAAATTAGGAATTTTGGGATGAATGGTAAAGTCATTGATTCTTCCAACATGACCACCATGCACGTATTTCAAACAAGGATCGGGTTTTGAAGATTGCTGAGTTTTCCTTTTCGACGTTTCCGAATTAGCAGTTGCGCTTGTTTCAGGATAAGTATAATCTTCTTCCAAATTATCCAAATTCCAAAATAAAATCCTAGAATCTAATCCACAAGATACAAGAGTCAGTGGATTGAATGTATCCCATTCCAATTGTCTGATTGATGCATTATGGCCAAATAATTTTCTAAATGGTATTTTATAATTTCTCAAGTCATACAAGGAAACAACATTGTCTTTACCACCAGTTGCATAAAATGTATTAATTTGAGGATGAAATTGAATACAGTTTTGAATAAATTTATTCTCTTGTTTGATGACGGGATTGATATCGCCAACAGAAGCTACTCTCAAATCATGAAATTGAGTGGTTGAGTCATCACTAACCGATCCAAAGATATTGGCATTACTAGTCGAAATATCATTAATGGCTCCATGATGTGATTTGAATAGTTGAATGGGAGTCGACGGTTTTTCAAGTTGCCAAAGTGCAATTTGAGAATCATTGGCACCGGATAAAAATTTTTCGTTGTTGTTGCTGATCCATTCTAAGGCAAACCCAGGCTGCTTATGATACTTGTAATCAACAACTTTATCGCTGGTCAAGTTGCATCCACGAATGATACCATCTCCGTTGAAAGACAATGCAATTGATCCATCAGGTGATAATTTCAAAGCATTAGTCACTGAATTTTGCTTCCATTTTGTCAATCTTTTGAAGTTCGAGGTATCAATCCCATCCGCTGGTAACACCCCATTACCTTCTTTGCCAACTAAAGTCGAGGGTAAAGTAACTGAAGCTAACTCCAATGAGTTTTCAGGACTATTAATCGTGTTGGAACTTAGTAGGAGTTGGACCTCAACATTGGTGTCATTGTCTACTAATTGATACTTTGGTAACCATCTAACAATGGTGGAAGGATGATCTAATGCAAATGTATGGATAAAATCGTACAATAAGGGGACTGTCTTTTTCCATATCTTGAATTCCTCATTGGTGATTTTGGCTTGAAGTTGTTGGTCTTGAGCGATTTCCTTCTCTGCTTTAGCCCATTCGTTTGTTGATGAGGAGGGCATGTTTTTTTTGATACTATTTATGAGCAAGTGGGAATTAGGTGACGCGATGTTGGTTAGGTAGACTGTGTTGCAATTATTGCTATTTTAGCGATGAAACAAGTGAATATAAACGCTTCACTGGTGTGTGATTAAATACTTTGTGGGTGTTTATCAACAACTGACATCTTTTTCTCACTCTGCTTCTCTGCTTTTTTTGGTTTTGTCATTTTCGCAAGTATTTCTCCGCAAAACGTGACGAGAGTAAAGAATTGCAAATGATTAATTGAGACGTCAAATCTCCCACACTGCACGCCTTGTAGACACACACCGCAACCCTTAGTCATCATTTCTACGTAAGTTATACCAGCAGGCAATGATTCTCAAGGAAATTCAAGATCTACGTGAAATTTATAGAATGAACACCAAAGTATACACATATACACTACTCAAAACCAAAAATCAACAATATCGGACTCATCAGTATACTTCACCGGCGCCAAACCAACCTTTTTAGTATCAAAATTCTGAGCAAGGTAGGCATTTCTGAGGAACACGACTCCAAGATATTGTCTATCAGGAAACTTTGTTGCAAGTATATTTGAAATACAAGTTGAACCAGACCTGTTAAAAATATCTTTGTAATAAACGGGTATGGTAAATGGTCCGAAATCGAAATTCAAACTCTTGTTACCATTCAATACTTGGTCACATGGTATATGGCCCTTGTCATTGGCTCCAATATCCTTGTAAAACTTTTGCACAACGGTATCCAACAACTCCATAGTGGGAGTCCCCGAGTCATGCAAAACTTTATATGTGAATGGAATAACTGTACCATTCGCAGTTATAATTGACTTTGGGTACATGGCTTCTTTGGAATCATTGAAAATGAGCAAATCACCATCATATTTGGCTTTATCCACACCTCCCAAAAGGAAAGACCCATTTTTGTCCGAGTTTTTAAAGAGAGAAAATCCGGCATTATTGATTAAACCAGCTGATTTAGTAGCCAATACGTAGGTATAATTGTTGTTGGTGCTGTACCCCATACCGAATATACCAAAAACGTCACGGGGATATGAATCCAATAATTGAAATTCAAACTGTGGAATTCTTTTACCGTCATCAAAATAGAAATCGTCAGAAACAATAAACCCAGTATATTGATTGGGACCAAAATACGATTTAGCTGGAATAGTCAGGTTTTTGAATGAAGTCGATTCAAAAGGGTTGAAACTGTTTTGAGCTGCACAAATTTTACCTTCCCGACAGGTTGAATTTGTTTGGGGAACATTCAAAACTGTACTTGCTGTATCAAGAAGAACCTGTACGTCTTGTTTGGCAGAACCAATTTTCAAATGAGCAACGAAACGCCACGCCTTGTCTTCAAAATCAACATTTTCAGCTCTTTTCCCAATCAGGCGAACCTCAGTATCATGAAATTCATGAGCAATGTATTTGGTGTGTCTCTTCTCAACAGGGGTACCATTAGTAATTACACCAAATATGAATGCCAATACTAAACCTTGAAATAAAGAAATCATTGTTTGGTGATGAAACTTCAACAATTGAAATCTGCTTCGAGGGGAGAAAGATTGACATATTTATAGTTCCTAAATTGTTGAGCTACGTCAAAAAGGACAACCCATATACCACGGGGTGGCCCAATATATGTTCATTGCAATTAGCATGGCATCGGTGCCAATATTTCTCCCCCACTCGAAGTTCATAACCAGTGTTGTTGGTAACAACAACTTAAGAAACAATGGGCGAAAGGAGTTGTCCAATGTGATTCAATTTCAGGTTTGTATACCAAACGACCTTTGATTGGTGGTCTATCACCTTCCTTTTGCAATAAGATTAGCAAAGAGCATCATCCTATTGTTTGGTTAACCAAAGTCGTGAAAATATGACATTAACTCATAACCATGTTAAGAATTACAAGGCCTGTGGTATTTTTAGCAACGGATCTTTGAGTCCCGTTGTATTGAACCAAACTTGGTACATCCATCTGTCAACTCATTTGCTAATAGCAGCAGAAAGTCAACCAAAGTTTGTCGATTTCAATAAGTGATATCGAGTCACGTGTATGAATGAAATATGTCTCATGAAACCTGTTATCGTCACACACTAGTGTCACAGGATACTCCATTCCGACACGACACAACAATGCTGTTGTTCACTCTTTCACCTCTGACTCAAACGTGAAACGCCTTTAACGTCTTTAATGAGTGAAAAACTTTGAACTAGATAGAGGACTCATCATCTTATCAATGTGGTTTAATATGATCACTTTTATGAAGATTTTTTTGTTTTGCACTAATATTGTAAAGAAATTGATGTGGATAATAAAGATCAGTTAAATAACTTTTCGAAACCGTGAAAATCCTACCTTCTCGACAAAGATTTCAAAAAGAAGCATTTCAAAGGATGTATCAGCAGTCCTATGAAATTTTGCGTAAAATGATAAAGGGCCAATAACAAGTACTGCGATTTTGGAAAACAAGTATCCCGGTGATAAAGAAGTGCACTTTTTCCCATCCACAGCACCTGAGAAAGAATATGATTTGTGACAAACGATTTTGAATGAATAATGTCATCAAAGCTTTTTTGCCTTGTACTATTTACCTAATTAGGTAGTTCATGCACTTTAAAGTTTTATCTCTGTTCCGGGGTCTGTAAATTTTTTTCGGCATTTGAAACTCCACATCGAGCTTGGATTTTATGCAGTACGCACAATGTGCAACATAAATCGGGGTATGCCCAGAATAAATTTAACTTAGTTAAGTTAGACCATTGCATTCGCCATTTTCGGTAACTCGGGAAAAAAAAATTGTAATGAATCTAAACTGCTTTTTCCCTTTCTAATCCAGTTCAAATGGTGTGTTGCCAACCCTGCGGGGAAACGCTATACATGATTATAGGAATTTCAGCTGCTAAGCCACCTCTCCACAATCCTTTCCTACAATTGAAAAACAATGAGAATTCTTAGAGACAACAACGCTTAAGAGCCATAACAGTGGAATCTCGTGTTCACTGCATATGCCACAGGGATACTCCGACAGACGTTGAAATGCTTGGTTGTTTCAGTGAGCACAGTGTTTGAAATAGTTTGCAGTACGACCTCGTTGCGACGAAGAGGCACTAGGAGCTTACGAACGGAAAATGAGGTTTCATCCTTTGGGAAAGGGGGTTTAATTCATAGAGTATGATTTGTTTTTTTTTTTTTTTTTTTTTTTTTTTTTCGTCAAACGTTTAGCCGGTGTTCTTATGTATTGCAATTTCGGCGTTCGATTGGGTTTTTATGAAATTCCCGATTCCGGAACAAATAAATTCCTTTTTCTTTTCTTGCCGAAACATGGTTTGTTATCGTGTGACTGTGATATATCTTCCTCTGATAACAAAACTAACAAATTTTATGCCAATGTAGGATAACTTAGGTACAGATTTGTTGGTGGTCTCAGGTGGGCTGGGCAGCAACTGCCTCCTTTGAGAACAAAACCTTAATTAAAAGTTTAGTCACAAGAGAAGAAAGAATATAATTAGACGTAACGAAGAGGGGACAAAATGTGGCTTATAAAGTGGTTTTACTAAACTAGGTAATACAGCACCATTTCGCGTTCAAGGTTCAAAAAAAAAAAAAAAGTATTCCTCCCTATCGTACTAAGTCAAGGTAGTTTGACTCGGCGTTTGACTTTATTTGTGCTACATGCAAGAGTTAAAAACAAAACGTGAGTATTTTAGTAGTGCGATAGACTTCTTTTACAATCTGCTTTTAGACCAAGGTTTTAATACAATACTAAGTGCAGTTACTTATTGTTTAAAGTTGATGCAGATCCTTCTTTTTAACAGATACAGTACTTTGTTAGTTTAAAGCCACGCTATCTTGATTCTTCGACGTTTGTCCCTATTGTTTTCGTTATGGATGACCATGTAGTGTTGTGTTCAATAACAAAAAAAAAAAAGAACCGAACCGAAAGAGAAGAAGAAGAAGAAGAAGAATGATCTGCTTTTGAAATTAGTGCCTATCTCCTTTTTACTATCAGTCAACAGTCTTGTGATAATGATTGTCATTTTGATTTGATTGCTTTGTTGTTATCTCTCGGCTCCAGTTCTTATCTCTTCTTTTCTTTTTTCCTTTGTTTTTTGCATTGCTGCACATCCAAAGACGACGAATGAAGAAAAGAAAAAAGAAAAAAGAAAAATTTTTTTTTTTTCTTTTAACCTTTTACCCTTTTTGGGACGACAGTAACAAAAATGAAAAAATCCAAAACATCGCCTTACTGTTAAAACTCAAAACAAAATCTATCCATTAACACACACAGAGATATCTCAAAACAATATTTAACTGATAAGAGATCCACTTTTGTTTACAGATACACTGGTTTTCCCCTTTTCCCCTTCTTCTTTTTTTTTCCCTTTTTTTTTTCTTTTTCCTGGATGTTATTGAAGAGTTGTCATAAATCATTATTTCTACTATCTTCTTCATCATCAGTGGCATCGCTCATAATATTCAAACATCAACTCAAAACTGGAGGTACTACTAGTGCAACTACAACTACAAGCATAAGTACACAAAGCTTTTCGACATCTAGTGCTGCATCATCACGAATAAAAACTAGAGCTACGTATACTGGGGTTCCTATGCTTTCATCAATTTATAGTTATTTTTTCAACAACAACTCATCATCATTATCACTAGACTCAGGTTCGCAACAGCAACAGCTGAGATCTTATGCCACAAACAACCCAAATGTGTCATTGGACTATGTCAACACTTTTCATCCTAGATTAGTCACTATCTTCCACCAATTAGATGCCATTGCTCCTAGATTCTTGTTGAATAAAGGCGACATTGAAATCTTGTCAGAACCAGCTCAATTTTATCAGACTTTGAAAACCAAGATATCGCAAGCTAAACAGAGGGTGTACTTGTCGTCATTATACATTGGCAAAACTCAATACGAGTTAGTTGAATGTATTGATGATGCGTTGGCCAAAAATCAGGATTTAAAAGTCTACTTGTTGACTGATGTCTTGCGTGCAACTAGAGAAGCACCTCATCATCCATCTTCAGCATCTTTGTTGGCTCCATTAGAACAAAAATACGGTAAACATCGAGTAGATATTCGAATGTATCATACGCCAAACTTGACAGGATTAACCAAAAAATTAGCTCCCAAGAGATTAGATGAAGGATGGGGTGTGCAGCATATGAAGTTGTATGGGTTTGATGATGAAATTATCCTTTCTGGAGCTAATTTGTCAGAAGATTACTTCACCAATAGGCAAGATCGATACTATTTGTTCAAAAGTAAACTGATAACGGATTACTATTTCCGTCTTCATCAAGCAATTGCATCAATTTCATATCAAATTCGTCATACAACTCAATTGAAACAAGGCTTTAAATTGGTTTGGCCTACAACCAATGCATCTTGCGAACCACATATAAACACTCATCGATTCCTTAGTGATGCTTCGCACCTATTACTGCCTATATTGAAACAACACGAATTAACTTCATTTGATGAGTTTAAGGATCATGAAAATTTTGACACTATTGTGTACCCTGTATCACAATTTACGCCATTGTTTCTTCCAAATCAAGACTTGTCAACGGAAAAACCAGCAATTTTACGATTACTATCGTACATTGACTCGCCAAAGATTAGATGGTGGTTTACTGCTGGTTATTTCAATATGTTGCCACAAATCCAGGATCGATTAATCAACAGTAGTGCTCAAGGTTCTGTGATCACTGCGTCACCAAAAGCCAACTCATTTTATAAATCGTCAGGATTATCCTACTACTTACCTGAAGCATATCTCCTTTTTGCAAAAAGGTTTCTTGAACAAGTGAAAAAACTAGGCAAGGAAACATTGATCACCGTGTACGAATGGCAAAATGGTGTAGTCAATACACCAGGCGGATGGACTTATCACGCAAAGGGATTATGGCTCACCGTTCCTGAAGAAGAAGATCCTAGTATTACCGTAATCGGCTCATCAAATTACACCAAGAGAGCATATAGTTGTGATTTGGAAAGTAATGCCATCATCATCACAAAGGATGATGAATTGAAGCAGGCGATGAAGCACGAGATTGATCACTTAATGGAGCATGTGTCAGAATTGACTGTGGATGATTTCCAACCAAAACCACTACTGATGGATGCAACACAGAGTGGAGTTGTAATTCAAGATATACCAGATGAGAAGCTTGGTGGTAGAGATGAAGACCTGGAAAAAAGAGATAAACCTCATCACCCGAAATATGCTATTGATGAAGATAGAAGGATCAGTTATAGAGTACACTTGGCTGTGAAACTACTTGGTGGGAAATTATAAAATGTTTGCGACTTGAGGAAAAAGAACATAAAATTTAGAATGTATTAGTATTGGAGTGTCTATTCATTGTACCCTCTAAACTTCTTTATAATGTACTTCTGATGTTCTCTTTCGGTACACATGGTACTGAAAACCAATTATCGCTATTGATACATCTTTGATAATAATCAATGGTAAACTGGGCATCATTATTGACACATCTGCCCAAACGTAACCATTCACGACTCTATCCACTAGCTCAAATGCCGCACACGCAACCTGTAAATGAATCCAATATGGATAAAGCCCATCAACACTATCATCCATCCAGTTAACCATAACCTGGGGGATAAATCGTAAATTAGTAAATAGTTTAAACATTGTCCACCCATAGTCAACTAAATCAAGTTCATTGATCTTGGCTTGTTTGAACAACCATAGCTTGAACAAGTATACCAATGGTAGTAGTACCGTGATTATGAAACCTTGACAGTATCCACTTATGGCTTGATTCTGGCCACGTGTAGATTTATAAATGATGAGTTGTATAATCATACCCGTTGAGACAATGAATGATATAACCTCAAGGACGAGTACCAATAATGATATGTGGGGAGTTTCCAGGGACCATCGTAGCATATATTGAGATGTGATTGTAGACGAACAGAAACTTAGTAGACTGGCTATTGATATCAAATGAGTGAGAAATTGTAGTAGTGAATAGTCGTATGAAAGTCCTCGAATTGATTTACGGGTTTTGTTGTATTTGAATTGTAGACAAATGGACGCTAGTTGGATACATGCTGTTGATATGGGATATAAATCGGTCAAATACATTGGAAATGTGTGGTGGGCTGGAGGACTTGATTCAGTAGTCTTGAACCTCCGCAATAAAAATTACATCAATGAACCAAAAAACAAAATTGTAAACACAACTTCAAATAGAGTTAAGACACACTGAAAGAGAAACCAAAATACAATGGGTTCGGAAGTTGAGGGTAATTGGGATATAATAATAACATCGTTGCAAGATATATGTACATCAAATGAGAGCTTATCATTTGACTCAATACATAAACTCGATAGGGATCAGGATGAACTGCAATACTACAAAAACCTTTCCCTGGATGAGCTTACCAAATTGAAACAAGATATAATCGACCACAAGTCAAATATAGGTACAGCGAAACGACTTATTGATACATCGATGGAAAATTTGTCACGATTGATTGAGTATTTACAAAAAGAAGACTTGAAAAAGAAACATCAAAAGGAAAAGGAACATGAACGTGAGGCTAAAAGCAGTACTAAAAAAGAGGATGTTGATGATGGTGTTGATGATTATGATGATGAAAATGACGCTGAAGATGACGAGGAAGATGAAGTGCCCATTGCGTCAACCAAGAAACGAAGAGCTTCATCTGCCTCGTCCAAATCGGGAACACCAATACCACCAATACATCACCGAAGGGGAACTAGTGAGTCTACCAAACCAACCTCAACATCAAAAGCAACATCGAAAGCAACGTCTAAAAAATCAGGTAAAGCCAGTGGAGGCAAAGGCTCAGTTGGCTCATCTTCTGGTGCTATTGGAAAGGGCAAAAAGCTAAAGAAAGTTGGTCGATCATATTGGACATCAAAATACAATCCATCGGAACCCATCTATATCGGAAGCGAAGTTGCATTCAAACTTCGTAATCGGATCAATGAATGGATTCAATGTGAAGTGGTCAAGATTATTGGCGATGGCATAAAATTTGAAATTAGAGATCCTGAACCTGATGAAAATAACAATCCTGGACATACTTTCCGAGCCAATTATAAGGAAATTTTATTAATTCCGACCGAAGAAGCTGCTCGTGATTTGATTAATTATGCTTATGGTACCAAAGTACTTGCAAGGTATCCTGATACTACTACTTACTATCTGGCTATTGTTGTGGGGCATAAAAAAGATGGTATTGTGAGATTGAAGTTTGATGGAGAAGAGGAAGTAAATAAGGAATGTGAGGTTGAAAGAAGGTTTGTATTGCCACTACCGCTGAAGTAAGCAAACCAGTACATTAAGTAGGGTTTTTATACAAAGAGTAATAGTTTTACAATTGATTGATTGTAGAATGCAAAATGGTGTTGTTTGAAGAAGTCGTGTAAAGTCACAAAAGACTAATTGTCAACATGTTTCAAAAATTTCAAGAAAAAGAACAAACACATCGACGTCCACACAGCTTTATACAGTGCCACAGAAAAAAAAAAAAAAGATGGATGGAATGGACATTGATGATTATTCAAGGGTATGTTAGTCTTTATTGAAATGAGGTATTTTCTTTCTGGTTTGATTTATTCAAAATGGTGACAAAAGAAAAAAATGATAGTTTAGCATTAGATGTCGATGCCGATGCCGATGCCGATGCCGATGCCGGTGCCCAAGAGAAACCAAACGGTAGGTAGGTCATCGAAGAGTTAATGGGGGAAATACAAGTGGTGTTGTTAATGGGTGAGATGGTGTATGTCTTGCGACGTTCATCTGTTTAAGACGATGCTTGGCAATTTGGTTTGTCGGTTATCTGACGGATGGATTTCTGCAATGTTGTTCATACAAGAGGAAGGAGGGGAATGCAGAAAAGATAATGGAATAGTCTGTTAGTGTTTTGCAAACAAAGTTGGCTCGTTTCCAATTTTCTTTTGTTTTTGGCAGACGATGTCGGCGTTGATGCTTTCTCTTATCATCGTTTCATCTTTTGTTGCTCATAAGCTGCTTGTATGCTTGTATGCTTGGTATGCTAGTTTGCTTGTTTTGCTAAAGGTTTTGCATTTGCATCTGCAATTTGTATTTGTTTTTTTTTATGCTGACTTGCCGCTTGCCGCTTGCTACATCGCTACATGCTGCTTATTTGAATTTTTTTACGCTTTTAAGTTTATCATTATTAGACATTGTGTGGTTGCTAACTCGAAGTTTTATAGGATCGATCTCCAGTAAGAGACCGGGAAAGATCACCGATTAGAGACAGGTTTAGTAGAGATGATACTTCATCCGGCAGAAGAGATTATGGTGGATCAAGTTACTCGAGATCAAGTTATTCTTCTAGGTCATCATATGGTGACAGAAGAGGTGGAAGCTATGGTGGATCCAGGGGATCATCATCACATGGTGGTGGTGGATACAGGGGAGGTAGCAGTAGGGACTATTCTTCAAGGAACTATGGTTCCGGAGGTGGAGATAGTAGTGTTGATTCAGGTTACCGTTCGAAATCAGAAAGAAACTATGACAATTCAATTTTTGTGGGCAACATTCCATTTGATTCACAGGCGAGAGATATTGAGGATATCTTTCGAGGTGATTTTGACATAGTTCGTGCTGATATTGTTACAAACAGAGGCAGATCAAGAGGTATGGCTACAGTTGAATTCAAGACCCACGATGATGTTCTCAAAGCCATTAATAAATACGACAAGTTTGTATATCAAGGAAGAGCTATCTTTGTTAGGCAAGATTATCCACCACCAGACAAGCAAAATTTTGGTTCAGGAAGATCTTTTGATCGGGGAAGAGACAGATATGGCGATTCGTATTACGGTAGAGATAGAGATAGCTCAAGAGGTGGTTATGGTCGTGGCGGTGGTGGCGCCGGTGGTGCTAGTGGTGGTTATGGAAGAAGTGATTACAGACCTCCCTTGCCTCCAACCACTCCAGGAACTGAGGTTTTTGTTGGTAACTTGCCATTCTCAATAAACTGGCAAGCACTCAAGGATATCATGAGAAAGGCCGGATCAGTCACTAGAGCCGATGTTAGATTAGACCATATGGGAAGATCAAGAGGTTTTGGAACTGTTGTTTTTGAAACTCCTGAAGAAGCCGATGCTGCTGTAGAAATGTTTCAAGGATATGAAATTGAAGGTAGGAAATTGGATACAAGGCATGGACGCACCGCCTATTCGCTGACTACTGGCGATGCCGGTTCTGATGCTTCAGCTGCTGCTCCAATTGCTCGCAAGACAAACACAGAGTTTACTCAAGGTGTATCCGGTGACGGGGATGAGCCAAATGACACAATATATGTTGAAAATTTACCATTTAGTACTCAAAACGATGATTTGTTTGATTTGTTTGAAACTATTGGTAAGGTATCCAATGCCGAAATTCAATATCAAGAAGATGGTAGAGCTAGCGGTAATGCTGTTGTTCAATTTGAGTCGGTTGACTCTGCTACGACATCACTCAATGAATTGAATGGCTATGAATATGGTGGACGAAAATTAAAAATTTCCTACAAAAAGTTGGGAATGGCAGAGTGATTTGAGTCAATTGTGGTGATTCTTGTTCAAGTTTTAAAATGTATATGTGTCTATACGTAAATGTTGATAGTATTACTTTTGACCCAGACTATAGGCGATGACGTGTGGAGTGAAGCGTAACCTTTTTGTTGAAGTGTGTAGAACTTCTTCAGCTTGATTGAATGATGTGATGTAGAATGAAGCCGCCCCTGTTGTCGGAGCAACCTTTGAAGAGTGGGAACCACAATTCAAAATGAATATAAACAGTGGAAGCTGCATCAGCTAATTCGGTTTGTAGCGCAATTATGCCTAAATTTGCAGTCGTATTTATAGAATGATAGTAAAGTCTGAAGAACTGACATCATGCTTATTGCATTATAAAGTAGATCAAATGTCCTCGGTTAAATGAGAAAGAAACTGTTTTGCACCGTGGTATGCTCTGTGAGGCTCATGCAAAAAGATACGTACCACTGAAGTTGCTTTTAATGTTTTGTAAATGTCTTGTATATTCAAATTCATGTAGATCCCTAACTTTTGCATGGAGTGTTGCTCATGTTATTTTTAAATTGAGTGTACAAGCAGTTTTACAATTACATTGATAACCCAATTGCGAAAAGGGATATATCTGCAATACCTTCAGTTTCGGCACGAGCGTGTATACATTGATGGGATTGAGGCAATAACTCCTACAATGCGTGCTCTTACAATTTATGTGCATACAAATCTTGTTATTATTGGAACATTTACACATCCTATACAAAACCACATTAAATCACAATTTCAAATTTCTTAAAAGTGATCCTTCTTTATACATTGCATCTATTTGTGACTTGAAATATCTTGAGGCAATCGGTCTTCTAATCTTTGAAGTGGGTGTAACAACTTCCCTCTCCAACTTCAATGGCTCAAAATCAATAAATACATTTGCTAACTTCTCAAATCCATTCAAAACAGATCCCACGGTGGTGTTCAATTGTAATAGAAGCTGAGTTCTAATTTCACGTCTATTGCAAACTTGGAGAATCTTTTCATTAGTATCCAATTGGCTCTTTGGGATGTTGCAGTTCTCAGTCAAAAAGTTGACAATACCCACGGGATCAACCCCAATTATACCAACCAAAAATGATTCAGTAGAGTTACCATGAACAAATGCTTGCGACAAGATTGGGTTCGATGAAAGATACAAGTTTTCAATCTTTTCTGGTGTGACATATTCTCCTTGAGACAACTTGAAAAAGTTTTTGACACGATCGAAAATAATTATCCACCCTTCATTCGTGAATTGGGCTACATCACCAGTCGAAAACCAACCCTCCGAATCAAAACTCTTGTTTGTTTCTTCCTCATTCTTGTAATAGTGAGTAAACATTTGCGGTCCACGCAACTGTAATTCCCCTCTGGGTCCACCTTTATCATTCAAGTAGTAGCCCATTTCGGGTAATTCCCTTAATCTAGCTTCAACTGTAGGAGTGAGAGCACCACAAGTCCCGATACTTGGAGAATGAAATGGCAATGCCATACACATACCAGCAAATGATTCACTTGAGCCATAACCCAAAATGAATCCAATACCTAAACTTGCTCTTAAAAACTTGATTGTCTCCGAAGCAATTGGAGCACTTCCTGTAATACAAAATTCAACATTATCAAACCCAAACTTAGAACGCAACTTTTCGATCAAGGCTTTGTCAAAAATGTATTCATTGTTTTGTCCCTTTGTGACACCATTGGCTTTTGATGACGAATCGATTGTTGCTGCTTTGATCGTAGCTTCCATTTTAGTAAAAATACGAGGAACATTTGCAAAAAATGTAGGTTTGAAAAGCTTCATATCCTCAAACAAGGTTAACGGAGTACCCCCTAATCTGCAAAAGCCAACGTTTCCTCCAACAGATAAGATGGCAGCACTCATTTGCCTCTCAAAAATGTGGGCCAATGGCAAAAATGCAAGTTCAGCCATGTGTTTGTGGTGGGGCAACAACATTGCAAAAGCCAGAAGTGCACAAGCAACAGATCTTTGTGTCAAAACAACACCCTTTGGATTGGCTCCAGTAGTACCCGATGTGAAAGTAAAGGTATAAACCGTTTCTGGCGATGGGTGTGTAATCTTACGTGGAAATGCTTCGCCAACTTTTTCAACTTGATTGAAATCATACAACTTGATGTTGTTTTCCTCGGCCAACTTGATCAAAGATTCGTTATCCTTGCCCTTTACATTCAAAGGGTCCATTGAAATGATAGTGATCAAAGACTTCAAGTCATTCGGATTTGTTGTTTTCAATTTGACCAATGTTTCGATTTTCTCCTTTGAGCAAACAACTACTGGTGATTGAGTCAATCCTAAAATAAACTTGGAGGATGTTGGTCCCAAAGTGTCATACAATGCAGTATTGGTAATGGAATTTGCTGAGCATGCCAAGTCGGTCAAAAGCCATTCAACTCTATTGGAAGAGTATATAGTGACGATGAATGAGGTGTTGTCTTTGTTGTAATTTTTGTACCCTTTCGAATGGTTGACAATCTTTTGGTGTGACTCCAAAGCAAGATCCTTGTACGGATTAGTCTCTAACAAGTACATTAACCCATTGGCAAAATTGGTCTTGCGCTCATCAACCTGTTTGTAAGTGAAGTAGGCATATCTCTCCTTGTGTTGATCGTTTTCGTAATCGTACTCATGATACGCCAAACAGGGGCTGTCAGCTTGTCTTTTGGCAGAGGAGGCGAAAATTTTTGGATAAGTGTTCAACTCAGGTGTAAGTGATTCTTTCAACCCATTTGGAAGAGCAGCGTTCCTGTAGATTTCCGAGAATCCAGGTTTGGCAGTGCCAGGAATCTTAATAGATCTGGCGCTCAAATTTTCTGGTAGTGGTAAGCACTGATTTATCAAGACATCATCAGGTAAGTCATTGACATTTTGAAACAAGTATGTTTCTTCATCAGCAGCATAAACTGAACTCAAATCTGAGTCGAGAATTGATGGTAATTTCAAGGACATCTTTTTTTTCTCTCTTTGTGTTGCAGAGAGTTTTAAGAATTGTGCAAGTACTATCTTCGGATACTTGGCTACTCTTTTATAAACTACATACTTATCTGCAAGACTGATCCTTCATCCACACGTCCATATTATCGGGGTTTTACTGAAGAGGGGACTATCGTATTTTGGGGATATGTTGCCCAGAACTGAAAAAAAGAAAAGATTAAAAATTTAACGTTGAAGAATATTATATTTCATCTCATTAAGGATTTCAAACCTCCATTGAGCTCTTCAGCGTATTAAAAAGAGTGGGCGGGGAAGGGCATCCAACCCTGTTACCCGTGAATCAAGCTTAAGCATAGCGATACTTGTCGACTGGTTGGTTTCATTTAAAGCCACACTGAGCTGGGGGAGACTATAACCTTACCTCAATTGGATGGTAAACTTCGTCATCTATATCACCCTTTGAAAACCATTCTCCAAATGATCTCTTGAACACTGAAATTTGATTCTTTCACCTTTGTAGGCTGGCTTTAACTAACTTAATTTTGTTGGCACTCATGAAACAGGGGGGTTATCAGCCCCAGATTGAGGTTTACAACTTGTCCTAGTCATAAATGTGGGGGACCAGGATTATTGACAGTTCTCCAGTGTAGTGGAATGTTCTGCATCCTTCCATCGATGCCAATCCGTATCGTAGATGGCATCCCATCCTTTTGTGGTTTCAACCTCGTATTTGCCAAGATTGACCCATAAAAAGACCGTTTGGTCGGCTATATTTTTTGCCCCACCTCAAAGTTCACGCTGCAAATACATGCACCAAAACGTCAGTTTCCGCTTCCGCAAAGGTTCTTTCTTTCAGTACATCAATAAGGAAACTTGTCACTATGCGACACTCAAACATAGATTAATATTTGTGTAGTTACCCATTAAGTGAGCATAAATGATGGAAACGCTAAGACGAAAGTTGAATTGTGGTTCAAGAACTTGCATGAGAAGTCTGCCCTACAGTGATTGCATAAAATATCAAATACTATTGCACAAAGTTATACATCTCTCGCTTGTTCAAATTTCACCATCATGTTCCAAAGCCTCTATATGTTTTCAGTTGAACTATAACTTCAAATCTTTCAAAATTGATCCTTCCTTATACATCGCTTCAATTTGCGACTTGAAAAATTTGGCAGCAATTGGTCTTCTTAATTTGGTTGTAGGTGTAATCACCTCTCTTTCTAACCTCAAAGGTTCAAACTCGACATATATGTTAGCCAACTTCTCATATCCATTGAGTACAGACCCAATATTTGTGTTTAATTGTAACAAAATGCGGGTTCTTATCTCACGTCTGTTACATGCCTCAAGGATTTTCTTCTCCGTGTCCAAGTCTCCTTGTGGGATGTTGCATTTCTCAACAAGAAATTTCCCAATCCCGATTGGATCAACTCCGATTATACCAACTAAGAACGATTGAGTTGAATCTCCATGTGCAAACATTTGTGTCAAGATGGAATTGGCTGAAAGGTATAGGTTCTCAACCTTTTCAGGCGTAACATACTCTCCTTGTGCCAACTTGAAAAAGTTCTTGACTCTATCAATTATACGGAACCAACCTTCATTTGTGATTTGAGCCACATCTCCAGTAGAGAACCACCCATCTTCATCGATACTCTTCTTTGTCTCTTCTGGATTCTTGTAGTAGTGACTAAACATTTGAGATCCGCGCAACTGCAACTCTCCACGGGGTCCACCTTCATCATTCAAATGATAGCCCATTTCGGGAAGCTCCTTTAACCTTGCCTCAACAACGGGACTTATGGGACCACAGGTCCCAACACTTGGTGAATGGAAAGGTAACGCGAATACCATGCCGGCAAAAGTCTCACTCATTCCAAATCCCTGACTCATACCAATTCCTAAACTAGCTTTCAAAAACTTGATTGTGTCAGCTGCAACGGGTGCACTGCCGGTCATGCAAAATTCCATGTCATCAAAACCGAACCTGGAACGTAAGCTTCTGATTAACGTCTTGTCAAACAAGAAATGATCTCCTTTGTTCTCATTTTGTTCTTGCTTCCGTTGTTTTGTTTCAATGGCCTGGGTGTACATTGCCCTACTAAGTTTTGACGATGAATCCACAGTTGAAGCCTTGATACTTGCCTCCAACTTGGTGAAGATTCTGGGAACACAGGCGAGAAACGTGGGCTTGAAAAGTTTCAAATCTTCAAACAATGTTTGCGGAGTACCACCCAACCGAGGGAGTCCAACTGTTCCTCCAAAAAAAAGAATTGAAGCACACATTTGCCTTTCAAAAATGTGAGTTAATGGCAAAAAGCAAAACTCTTTCGTTAACTTGTTGTGAGGTAATAGCATGGCATATGATAATAGTGCACTGACAACTGCACGTTGCAGCAATAACACTCCCTTGGGGTTAGCACCTGTAGTACCAGAAGTAAAGGTGATTGTAAAAGTTGTATCGGGAGTTGGGCTTGTTTCTTCCCTTGGGAAAACCTCTCCAATCTTTTCGACTTGATCGAAATCATACAATTTAATGTTGTTCCTCTCAGCTAACTCAACCAACGATGCATACGATTTCCCTTTAACCTTCAATGGGTCCATTGAGATAATGGTGATCAACGATTCCAATTCTTTTGGGTTTTCAGCCTTCAATTTGATCAAAGCTTCAACTTTATTCCTTGAACAAACGACGACTGGAGATTGCGTAATTCCAAGAATATACTTCGACGAATCCGGACCCAAAGTGTCGTAAAGTGCTGTCGTGGTAACAGAGTTGGCCGAGCAAGCCAAATCTGTAATTATCCATTCGGCTCTATTTCCAGAGTACAACGTGACTATGAAGGATAAGTTGTCCTTGTTGAACCCTGTGTATTCTTTTGTGTGATTGAGGATTTTTTGATGTGGCTCCAATGAAAGATTCTTGTATGGGTTCGACTCCAACAAAAACATCAATCCGTTAAAAAAGTTGGTCTTACGATTATCAACTTGCTGGTAAGTTTGCGAGGCATATCTCTCCTTGTGTTCGTCGTTTTCGTAGTCATACTCGTGGTAAGCTAAACAGGGGTTATTGGCTTGTCTTTTTGCAGAAGACGCAAATAGTTTCGGGTAAGTGTTCAATTCTGGAGTGATGGTTTCCTTTATTCCATTGGGAAGTGCCCCATTTCTGTAAATTTCGGAAAATCCAGGTTTCGCGGTGCCCGGAATCTTGACAGATCTGGCGCTCATTTCCTGTGGAAGTGGCAAGTTTTGGTTGATCAAAACATCATCTGGCAAATCGTTATCATTTTGAAACAAGTAAGGCTTTTCATCAGCAGCATAAAGCGAATTCAAATCGGAGTCAATTACTGACGGTAATTTCACAGACATTGGGAGAGTCTTGATGTATCGAATGTTTAATGGTTGCACCAAAGAAATCTCTACAGTGGAGCATCAACGGTATATATATATATAACGATGTCAATTGGACAACAAAAGTTGGGAAATGATTCGATTTGTGGAGGTGCGGTTTTACGATTTCCTTCTTATTTGTCCCATGTAGATGCGGATATTAACCCACATCTTCAGTTGAGAATTTCCGTTCAACGGTCCAATCCGGCTCAACTCGGCCACGAAACTGATGGCACTTCTCTCTATTCGAGCAAACTCCAAGCTTTCAGTGCTTACACGGTTGTGGCAATGCCACGTTGTACTTCAAACCATCCATGATTCCCTATCGAAAACCCTTCAAAATTGATATTTTTTAGGCAAATTATTATTATCCCGGCTAAGTCCAAGTAGTGGAGTGACTTTTATGAGCAAATAGAGGTTACTACATGTGTATGCTTCCAAGAGTATACCATGCCAATTGAAGCGTTCGGTATTAACGAAAACGGGTGTATTTTAACACGTTGTGCATGAAGAGCCACACCTAACCACCCCCACTTTCATCAAACCCCGGTATGGTTTCGAGAGTGATATAAGTTCATAAATTTCTGAGTTTGGGAAATTACTTTATCATAACGTTCGAGGTCAATTACCTCTTTACGGTCATGTATCACTTTGCGAACATGACCTACATATTGCTTCTAGCTTAGTCCCTTTTCATTCTAAAAATTCTTATATACATCAACTCACTCTCACAATCGCAAAAGTGCCCTACAATTTGAGGTCTTTCAAAATTGATCCTTCCTTATACATCGCTTCAATTTGCGACTTGAAAAATTTGGCAGCAATTGGTCTTCTTATTTTGGTTGTAGGTGTAATCACCTCTCTTTCCAACTTCAAAGGTTCAAACTCAATGTACACATTGGCCAACTTTTCAAACCCATTAAGACCAGTTTTAACGTTTGTGTTTAATTGTAACAAAATGCGAGTTCTTATCTCACGTCTGTTACATGCCTCAAGGATTTTCTTCTCCGTGTCCAAGTCTCCTTGTGGGATGTTGCATTTCTCAACAAGAAATTTTCCAATCCCGACTGGATCAACTCCGATTATACCAACTAAGAACGATTGAGTTGAATCTCCATGTGCAAACATTTGTGTCAAGATGGAATTGGCTGAAAGGTATAGGTTCTCAACCTTTTCAGGCGTAACATACTCTCCTTGTGCCAACTTGAAAAAGTTCTTGACTCTATCAATTATACGGAACCAACCTTCATTTGTGATTTGAGCCACATCTCCAGTAGAGAACCACCCATCTTCATCGATACTCTTCTTTGTCTCTTCTGGATTCTTGTAGTAGTGACTAAACATTTGGGCTCCGCGCAACTGCAACTCTCCACGAGGTCCACCTTCATCATTCAAATGGTAGCCCATTTCAGGCAATTCTCTCAATCTTGCCTCAACGGTTGGGCTTATAGCACCACAGGTCCCAACACTTGGTGAATGGAAAGGTAATGCAAGAAAGACGCCTGAGAACGACTCGCTCAAACCATACCCTTGAGTTATTCCAATACCTAAACTAGCTTTCAAAAACTTGATGGTGTCAGGAGCGATAGGTGCACTACCAGTTATGCAAGACTCCATGTTATCAAACCCAAATTTTGAGCGTAGAATTTTGATCAATGTTTTGTCAAAAAGAAAATGATCACCTCTATCTCCGTTCTTCTCTTGTTTCAGCTGTTTGGCTTCAATGGCCAGAGAATACAATGTTCTACTGACCCTGGAGGAAGAATCAACCGTTGCAGCTTTGATCGCTGCCTCGATTTTCGTGAGAATTCTAGGAACCAACCCAAGGAAACTTGGTTTGAAAAGTTTCAAATCTTCAAATAACGTTTGAGGAGTTCCACCCAATCGAGGAAACCCAACAGTTCCACCAGCGGTTAATACACCACAACACATATGTCTCTCAAAGATGTGAGCCAAGGGCAAGAACTCGAACTCTGTTATTGATTTATGGTGTGGTAACAAAGTCACATAAGTTAAGATTGCACTAACGATAGATCTTTGCAGCAAAACCACTCCCTTTGGATTTGCTCCGGTCGTACCAGAAGTGAAAGTAAGTGTATAAACTGTATTGGGAGTTGGGCTTGTTTCTTCCCTTGGGAAAACCTCTCCAGTCTTTTCGACTTGATCGAAATCATACAATTTAATGTTGTTCCTCTCAGCTAACTCAACCAACGATGCATACGATTTCCCTTTAACCTTCAATGGGTCCATTGAGATAATGGTGATCAACGATTCCAATTCTTTTGGGTTTGCAGCCTTCAATTTGATCAAAGCTTCAACTTTATTCCTTGAACAAACGACGACTGGAGATTGTGTAAGGTTTAAAATGTATTTTGATGATTCCGGACCCAAAGTGTCGTAAAGTGCTGTCGTGGTAACAGAGTTGGCCGAGCAAGCCAAATCTGTAATCACCCATTCGGCTCTATTTCCTGAGTACAAGGTTACAATGAATGAGATATACTCATGATTGAAACTTGCATACTCTTTCGAATGATTGACAATCCTTTGATGTGACTCCAATGAAAGATTCTTGTATGGGTTGGACTCCAACAAAAACATCAATCCGTTAAAAAAGTTGGTCTTACGGTTATCAACTTGCTGGTAAGTTTGTGAGACATATTTTTCCAAATGCTGTTCATTTTCATAATCATATTCATGATGAGCCAAACAGGGTTGACCTGACTGTCTTTTCACGGATGAAGCAAAGATTTTTGGATAAGTGTTTAATTCTGGAATGATGGTTTCCTTTATTCCGTTTGGAAGTGCCCCATTTCTGTAAATTTCAGAAAATCCAGGTTTCGTGGTGCCTGGGACCTTAACGGACCTAGCACTCATTTCCTGTGGAAGTGGCAAGTTCTGGTTGATCAAAACATCATCTGGCAAGTTGTTGCTGTTTTCAAACAAATAGAGCTTTTCATCAGCAGCATAAAGTGAATCCGAATCGGAGTCAATCACGGAAGGTAATTTCACAGACATTGAGTGATTCTTGGCGCGCTTGGTGATTTGGGTTCATGACGAAAAGCTGTTGAGAAGAGATAATCGCCATTTTATATATTCGAGTCTAGTAATAGTTCAAATCTGTTGGGCTTCTTTTGGGCCGAGCTTTGTAAATTTTTTGCGGAGATGGCAGTTTTGTGCTCTTTGTCTTAGTGTCACTTCGGTTTCGATTGAGGAGATCGGAGTTATTGAAGTCCACGAATATTCAGCTCAACACTCCAACCGAAAGAATTTTTAGCTCAAACAAGTCTTTAAAACTCGGGTGCTTCCCTCTTGTTTATCTTCAACGGTTACAAAACCCAACGATCTAAAAAAAAATACCCAACAGTTTCGATTTAACGGTTTGTAGTTGCAAATATCTCGAACTATGTAACGAAATTTTTCCGTGAACGGAGAAATATAATACCATCGAGCCAATATCATCAACGCTCTCTGGGTTTAAATTACACCATCGCATGTCATTTCGTTGTAAGCAACGACCATCACTTGGAACCCTTCTGAGTAAAAGTGTTTCGTTATATAACCGAGTCGGGGCTCATTTGCGTTATGAGTAGTACACTTCGCATAATCGGTTCATGACACTCCCGGAGATAACATAAAGGAAAAATAGAATTGTGTAAACCCGAAGAAAAATACGCTTCTACAAATAATTATATTGCCTTTTGATTGGTAGGTCAATCTCAGCCTATTGTTTCATTACTCACCTAACTTTTTTTGTAAAACAAAACCCCACTCACAATTTCAAGTCTTTCAAGATTGAACCTTCTTTGTACATAGCATCAATCTGAGGTCTAAAGAATTTTGACGCAATTGGTCTTCTTAATTTGGATGTTGGAGTAATAACATCCCTCTCCAATTTCAAAGGCTCAAACTCAATGTAAATATTGGCCAACTTTTCAAATCCATTAAGCACAGACCCAATGTTTGTGTTTAATTGTAGTAAAATTTGAGTTCTAATCAGGCGCTTATTGCAAACTTGAAGAATTTTTTCTTCGGTATCCAACTCATTTGCTGGGATATTACACTTTTCAGTTAAAAAGTTAACAATATTCACTGGATCCACACCAATGATTCCTACCAAATAGGATTGAGTAAAGTCCCCATGTGCATATACTTGTGTCAATATGGAATTAGTCGTGAGGTACAAGTTTTCAACCTTTTCCGGGGTAACGTATTCCCCTTGAGCTAATTTGAAAAAATTCTTTACCCTGTCGATAATAACAAACCATCCCTCGTTCGTAATCTGAGCCACATCTCCAGTAGAGAACCACCCATCTTCATCGATACTCTTCTTTGTCTCTTCTGGATTCTTGTAGTAGTGACTAAACATTTGAGATCCGCGCAACTGCAACTCTCCCCTGGGTCCACCTTTATCACTCAAATGGTAGCCCATTTCAGGCAATTCTCTTAACCTGGCTTCAATCATTGGAGTGACTGAGCCACATGTTCCCATGCTAGGAGTGTGGAATGGTAATGACATAAAGATACCAGCAAATGATTCACTCAGACCATATCCTTGACTGATACCAATACCTAAACTTGCCTTCAAAAAACCGATACTTTCAGCAGCACTAGGAGCACCACCAATATAGCATGTCTCCATATTATCAAATCCAAACTTAGAGCGCAAGTTCCTGATCAATGTTTGATCATAAATGAAATGCTCCCCTTTACCTCCAGTCTCTTGCTTGGAGCGTTTTGTTTCGATAGCTTGTGTATACAAGGCTCTATTAATCTTTGATGATGAATCAATTGTCGATGCTTTGATGATTGTTTCAATCTTGGAAAAGATACGAGGAACACAGGCAAAAAATGTGGGTTTGTATAGCTTCAAATCTTCAAACAATGTCTGCGGGGTACCCCCTAACCTGGGGAATCCTAAACAACCTCCGCAAAGAAACATTGATGATGACATATGTCTTTCAAATATATGAGCCAACGGTAAAAACGCAAAATCTTTGGTATCTTTATGATGAGGCAATAATATCGAATAGCCCAGAATTGCTCCAGCAGCTGCCTTCTGCAGCAATACAACACCCTTTGGGTTGGCTCCGGTAGTACCAGAGGTAAAAGTAAGGGTGAATGTCGTTTCCGGAGTGGGGATGGTTTCAGCTCGAGGGAAAATTTCACCAATCTTGACCACCTGATTGAAATCATACAATTTGATGTTGTTTTTATCAGCTAATTTAACTAATGCTGCATCTAATTTCTTGTCCCTGGGTTTCAAAGGATCCATTGACACAAGAGTGATCAAAGATTCGAGGTCTTTTGGGTTTGAAGCTTTCATTTTGATCAAACTCTCAATTTTGTTTTTGGAACAAATGACTACCGGGGATTCAGTAGTGTGTAATATGTATTTGGACGATGCTGGACCCAAAGTGTCATACAATGCTGTTGATGCTAAGGAATTGGAAGAACATGCCAAATCTGAGATTATCCACTCCGGTCTGTTCCCAGAATAAAATGTCACAATAAAAGAAAGGTTATCTTTATCATACAGCTTGTAGTCTTTCGCGTGGTTGATAATTTTTTGATGAGATTCTAAATCGAGGTTCTTGTATGGGTTGTTCTCAAGCAAAAATAATAATCCACTGGCAAAATTGTGTTTAAGTTCATTGACCTCTTGGTATGTCAGGTAAACATATCTCTCTTTATGCTCCTCATTTTCATAATCGTATTCATGGTGAGCCAAGCAAGGTCTGTTTGGATGTCCTTTGACAGTTGCCTCGAAAATAGCATGGTAAGTGTTCAACTCTGGTAACAAATACAGCTTCACTCCATTTGGGAAAGCGCCATTTCTATAAAACTCTGAGTATCCTGGTTTTGCAGTGCCGGGAACCTTGACAGCTCTTCCACCAATATCCTCTGGCACAGGTAAAATATGATTCACCAAAGTATCAAGTGGCAACTCATCAGCATTTTGAAATACAACAGGACTTTCATCTGGTGCGTAGAGTGAGTTCAAGTCTGTATCGACTATGGAAGGTAATCTGAGCGCCATAATATCTAGTGTCGAATGAAGATGGGAAAGTGGCAGTAGTATCAAAAGTGTTCACACAATGGACTGTTTTTGATCAAGGGCGTTTGTAATATCACACGGATGTTGATCCTCACCTTAGTGAGGGAAACACATATATATATGTAGATACATTTACCATGTCAAACACCGTTTAGCCATTGAATCAATTATTATTTTTAAAAGTGGAGTTTTGTTTTGTTCTTCCAAAAAAGTATAAACTAATCCGCTAAGAGCGGATATCAAGCAACAAAAAAAAAAAAAAAGAAGTCCTACTTAGTATCAAGGAGCTGTGACTTCTTCTATTGTAATAATAACCGGTTTAAAGATATCTCATAGACCGGTTATAGTACGTTCTAACAAAAGTGAAGTAAGCCCGGAGAATGGAGTTATGTTGTGTGTATTGACGGTCAACTTTTCCACGGTTTTTCATTTTGAATGGAGGGGGTTCTGAGGGGTAAAAAAGCAAATGAGTAAGCTAACATTTGTCTAATTTGATCTATGTACAGGTTTACATAGAGAACTATCCATTTCAGTTAAAATCATTGAGAGATACCATCAAATCTCAACTCGAGAAAGTCTTTTTGTTGGTAATATAGTGAGGTCCGTGTAAAATGATCATAAATAGCGCCGTCCCACTCTCTTAATTAATATCATTTGTCATTCAATCTCGAGGTTTATCGTATCTTCACGAACTCTATGTAATATTTTTTTTAGTGTGTGTGTGTGTGTGTGGGTATACATTTGTACAGCTTTGTAGATGTCTTTTTTCCGCGGGGTAATTCCTGAACAGGAAACAATCTCGGAGATTTTTTTACTCCATTAACAATAAACTTTCTCGTTAGGTGATGGGTTAGTTTAACTCAGATATTTGAAACTATCATGGGATGACTATAACAGGAAGCACCCCGGCTCTCGATGTAAGGAATGATTTTGACATTACCTTTTTCCGGATCAATCATAATCATTTCAACTTTTGTAAAGAACTCTGCAAGTTGTATCGGTTTTGTTGCAAAAAAAAAAAGAAATAGACGAGCTCCAAAAGAACCAAAGTCTACAGGAACCCGGGATGACAAAGCATGAGAGCTAAAACCATCATCCCGAATTCAAGACACAATTGTTGAGTATTCAGTTGTATACCTCACAAACGGATTTCTTGAGGGCAACGTTGCCTCACAATAAGTATAATTGAGGCAAATAAGCACGGTATGTTAGAGACTGGTCAAAGTTGAGGTTATACTTCCCCAGTACAACTTGTATTCGGAAGTTTTACGATTTCGGTCTCGGAGAATGGAATTTCCAGCCCATAAAATGCAGATCCTTTAAGGATTTGCAAGTCAAATGGGTTTAGATTTTTTTTGCTGAGAAAGGGGGACAAACCAAAGGAACAAAAAGAGAAAAAGAAGTCACTCGCACGTGTAAGTCGCACTGAATCACTCCACTGATCCCACATTTCTATAATGCTATCCATAGGGATTACAAGTGAAGATTCACAACAGCCAGTTGAACAAGCCAATGACTACGTACTGAGTTCTGCTTCATTCATTGAGTCGCATTACATTGCTATTGTGCTGTGTATTGTGATATTTGGTGTAGGATTTCATCTTCGCCACAAAATAGGAGAGTTGCTCGATAGGTATAGAACTAGACGAAGAATCCTGCAAGGATATTACCAAAACTTGGGCACATTTGAAGGGGATATCAATGATGGTTTGAGCAGCCTGAATTTTGATTTGGAAGCAAACAATTCCAATGATTCAAGAAAGGGGTTGAGTGAAGCAGCAAAGGAAGAGGTCAAGAAAATCATGAATACCAAAGGCATTAGCTTTGATGAAGCCCGATTGGAGTATACGAGGAGCGAGTTGAACAAAAATAATATTGATGAGAATGGGTTACCGAAAGATCCTAAATTAGTAGTGTTTTGATTGAAACGTTGGAGAAGGGTGTTTTGCTAGCTTCTTTGAGATGAACAAAAAAGGGATAGAAGCCACAATGACAACTTGAAAAATAAGCCGCCACTAGTATTGGAATATTCAAGGAAATGTGAACAACTTTGCGTGGAAGAGTCATAAATTGAGAATCAATATCTGATTGTATTTTACCATGAGTGCTACTGAATTTGTTTCAGTTGCAGTATTTTTAATTGAGGGTCCGAATTGCTATATCTGCATGTATTTGCCACTAGACATGCTGTAATTACTTGATCATCGAAAATCTGAGCATATTCAAACGACTGAAAAACGCCATGGAAAACGAAAACCGTAATTTCGAGACTCATGATTTCAGAAAACGAAAACGAAAGAAGGTGGGCAATTTTTCCTGATAAGTTATCTTTGTTCCTTGTTCAACCATTTTCTTTTATGTACTGGCTGAATGCAAGTAATTGTAAATTAAAGAATGAATATTTCACCAATTGTTTTTAGTGCTTGAGAGGGTCTTTACTACTTTCTCTAATCTATTTATTTACAAATCTAAACTCTTTGTTTGATGTTAAAATCTGTAGAAAGGGTTAAACCGTTTGTATTGCGGTTAGAATTTGTTTTGGCAAATATTGTGAACATGATTTCAGTTCAATCTGCAATGAATACTGAAGGTACCATTAAAAAAAAGGGACCAAGTTAACCACCGGTAAACAAAGAGCCAAATAAACCAAGTTTCTGGTTATGACGAACCTCTTTCTTAACATCTTATTGATAACTATTGCATCAGGATCCATTGTTCTATTCTTGTTATTGCTGTCGTTCTGAGTATGTATACCGAATATCTACAATGCTTGGTTGGTCATCGAATAGCGTTTTTGATATCAATCATTAACGGAAAATATATCCTGGTAGCTTAATTTATGAACCCAATTGACAAAACCAATCCATTCTTTTCAATAAAAAAATAATAGAACATAAATTAAGTACAATTATTGCTGTTGTGAAATAAATCAAACTCTGCATCGACGTATATATAGCTTTAGCCTCTTTTTACTTTTCTGGGCCATGTACCTCCTCATTTGACGACTTTGGCATGGGGCAATGAAAACTGAAGAATGCAGATAATTTCGGCATAAACTTGAGATATCTGTCAACCTCGTTTTGTGTGTGTAAGCTTGTGCAAATCAATCAAAAGAAAAAGTTTATTTTTTTTTTTTTTTTTTCGTCCAAACGGTGTTTGAACCAACAACAGCAAGAAGATTTCATACAAAGTGGCACTTTGCAATTATATTGTACAGGAACATCGACTAAGGTAATTGATATGAGGTACGTTACTCAAACAGCTATATGACTCACCCGTCAATTGACTAACATTGTATTTGTAGTGGAAAGTTTGTCAGGGCATCCAAGTATCGCCATGTTTTTGGACAAGGTTCCAAACGGGAATTGTGCTATGAAAATCTCAAAATAACAAAAAACGCATGGGACTCCAATATCATTCAAACTAATGGAAAATACATATCAGCAAATTGGGATGCTTCTGGAGGTGGTGCATTTGCAATTATCCCGGTTGAGGAAGTAGGTAAAGCTCCCGATAAAGTTTCGTTGTTTAGAGGACACAAGGGTCCTGTTTTGGATACTGCATTCAACCCATTTGATGTACAAGAGGTTGCAAGTTGTTCGGATGACGGGAAGATTTTGATTTGGAAAATTCCCAAAGATTACTCATTCCACCATTATCTTGATGAAGATGAGGAAATTAAGGATATCACCGAACCCGAAAAGGTGTTGCTGGGGCATACAAGAAAAGTCGGATTGATTGAGTACCATCCTTGTGCTGCGAATGTTTTAGCATCAAGCTCTTTGGACTATAGTGTCAAAATATGGAATACTGAAACTGGAAAAGATGAAATTACCTTGCAACACAAGGACTTGGTGACATCTTTTGCTTTCAACTATAATGGATCTTTATTGGCTACCACATCCAGAGACAAGAAACTTAGAATTTGGGATATAAGGTCAGGAAAAGTGTTATCTGAAGGTCCCGGACATACGGGAGCCAAGCCTTCTAGAGTAAGATGGTTAGGAAACACAGACAGGGTAGTAACAACTGGGTTTTCCAAGTTGTCAGATCGTCAAGTTGGGGTTTGGGACATCCAACATATTGATGAAGGACCAATTGGTGGATTCATGGTGATTGATGCATCATCAGGTGTTTTAATCCCTTACTTTGATCCTGAGAACTCAATATTGTACCTCGCTGGGAAAGGTGATGGAAACATTCGTTATTATGAATATGACAATGACATCTTGCATGAGTTATCCCAGTATGCTTCTACTGACCCCCAAAGAGGATTCGCTGTTGCACCAAAACATTCGGTCAACGTGAAAGAAAATGAGGTGGTGAGAGCTTTCAAGACAGTTTTAGATACACTGATTGAACCAATAAGTTTTATTGTCCCTAGAAGATCGGAGTTGTTTCAACTGGATATATATCCAGATTGTCCTTCAACCACGCCTGCTTTAAGTGCACAAGAATGGTTCGATGGTAAGGAGGTTAATGGACCGGTTTTGATAAATATGGAGGCTATCTACGAAGGAACGGAACCAAGGTTGAAAGATAGTAAACCTGTCACCAAAATATCAGAGGCTAAGGAGGCTAAGAACAAAGACTTGGAAAAACAAAAGGAAGAAGCGGGTAAGAAGAAAAAGGAGAAGGAGGAGACATCAAAGGAGAAGGAAAAGGAAAAGGAGACACTGAGTGGAAACAAGTCTGATTCAACGAAAGGGCAGAGCCACTCCACTGAAACTGTTTCTTCTTTGAGCGGTACACCTGACAAAAATGTGGATGAATTGTTACAGAGCTCCAACGAAGTTGGTGATTTGCTAAACAAAGTGGCCGAACAATCAGATGACGAGGATGCAAGTGGCGCAGACGAAACAAGGGACGATGGATGGGAAGAAGTGAAGAAGCCCGAAGCTAAGTCGGCCTCACCTGTTGAGAGGGACTCGAAAGAGGCAAAAGAGATTGAAAGTGAAAGGAGTGGATCATCCTCCACTGAAAAAGCTTTGAAGGAAGAATCCGCAGAGCCCGAATCCATGAAACCTGTATCAACTTCTCTCGAACCTAAAGCAGTCAAACCCGATGAAAGCAATGCGACGAAAACAACTCCAGAGCCAGAGAAGATTAGCGAAAAGAGTTCCAATGTGAAGGACACCGACGTATCCGAAGAAAAGGACAAGCAAGAGAAGAAAAACCTTGACGATGAAAAGTCCACAAAGTCTAGCACAACAAGACCTACATTGGCGTCTACTATAGAAAAATTATCCAATTTGGTGTCACAATTTGAGTCGCAAATCGTCAAATTAGAGCAAGCCAACTTAGACAAGGACGAGAGATTGAAAATTTTGGAGGAGAAGATTGAGACGTTGCTTAAGAAGTAATAATCGTGTGTGGGGTATTGTATATTCTCGTGTACCATATATGTCTACTCTCCCTTGACATCATAGAATTTTTTAAATATAAATGCAATGAAATTGTTTGCATCAAAAGTGGCATCGCCATCAAACAAAGTAAATGTCTTTTTTTGTTCATATTGAAGTGTCAACAAGTCATCCAACGTGACTACACTACTTGCTCCAGCAATCACCACCAAATTCTTTGAAGCCTCAACTATGAACTTACCCACTTGATAACAACTGAATGTGATTTCAATTTTGGAACTTTCCAACAAGCTTGGTGATGTATTTAGTAAAATCTTTTGATCCTTGAGCTTCTTTATTGATAATTTATAAGATCCAAACTCGGGTAATCGGTTCCTTTTCCTCAATTCTCGATTGTAGAAATATTGTTTGCTAAACACGGGTATGATATTGAAAATTTTCCTGTCCTTGGGTTTCAACTGTGACTCGGCAAGAATACTTTCGACATGACGATTATACTCATTCAATTGTTGACGTAAAAACTTTTCCTTATCTGACAATTTTTTCACTGCTTGTTGCGAAACTTCTAGTTGTTGCTGGCGACTTTTCCTTTGACTGTTTTTGCTCTTGATGTCAATTGCAATTTGATTCAATACGCCTTGGAACGAGTTTTTTCGTGTTACTTCGCCCATAGCCTCAAGTTTCAACAAGGAGTCAAGACACATTCTCTTCAAATCATGGTAGGTCATCTTGGTCAAATCACCAAGCGACGTCTTGTAGTACATTTTGGAAGTGGATAAGGAATCTTCTTTTTCCGTGTTGACGATTTCCCGGAATTTTTGTTCATGTAATGGTTTGATACCGGAAATGAGTACTTCCAACAAATCATCACCCTCTTGCACTCGCATTATATACAACATACAACGTTTTGATTGGGTAAATAGTGCCTTTGTTTTGGAGTCTGTAAGTGATTCTTCATGCGTGTTTCGACTTAAAGTAATGGTTATGCTTGACAAGTCAGTCATGGCCACCAAATCAGCAGGAAGGGTGTTCAAGCTTTCCAATTTTTGAGTTAGCTTATGCAATGGATCGTCTAAAGAGGCCGCCATAACTTCGGCATTGGTCAACGCTAGTTTTTCGAGATATATCATCGAATTGGTTTTCATCGTCAACTTGGGTGCCTCAGCAACCATGTCATTGAAGTCGCCAAATTTGTACACTTCATCAATATCGCCAATGTCAATAATACCACGCACTATAGTTTGAATGGTGTCCACATGTGACAAAAGGTAATCATTAAGTGGTTTCAAAAAGTTATTGGTAAACGGTTTCATAGTAAACAACTGAAGCATCAGTCTATGCAAGTGACGCAAATTAGCAGGTCCCCTCAAGTATGTTTTCGAATTTAATCCATAATTTTCAGGAAACAGAATGATGACACCAAAGTAATACTTCCAGAAACAGATACCAGCAACAGCCAAATGTTGTTGATCCAGGTGGTCTGGAAACATTGCTCGAGCAAGTACATACACCTCACGACATACAATTCGGATATGCACAGGCAATTGTAAAATATTGGCTTCAATCACTTTTAACAAATCGGAACTGGAGTCTCTCAAGGACATTAAATTGTTTACAAACTTTGAAGACACTTCAGGTATCTTAATTGCATCTTGTGGACTGATGTTAGATTTAGTTGCATGATTATGTGGCATAACCTGTGAATGAATAATCGTTGGATCACTCTCAAAGTCCAACTCGTCATCATCGAGGATCTTGTGTATGTATTTACGGACTACTGATTTCAAGTGTTGCCTTTGATATGTTTGATTGTTAAAATGAGTAACGAATTCGGTCCAGTGGGTATACTGAGACTTTGTGATATCTCCCACGCTATTTGCTTTTGCGATATCATTCTTCATTATTGAAAGCACAAGTTTCATAAAGTAGTACTCCTCCCTTGTACGACGATGAATTGATGGTTCAAGTATTGGAAACAACTGGATTGTATTCGTGAACAACGTTTGATATTCTCCAGTATTCTTCAAGACATAATCCCTAGATTTGTATACGTTGGCCAAGTACCCACTTTTTGTTTGGAGAAGGTAAAATAAACTCAGATAGATCTCAATCTTGGCTCTGTTGGATTTACTCAAATTGTTCAAGTTTGTGGGGGTTGTTTCGTTGGCATGGACACTACGTTCGTGATGATGACCTTTGAACTTTGAAAACTCCTCAACTGTGATTTTGTTTTTCTGCAAAAGACTCAATTTCAAATCAAAATTTTCAATTTGACTCTCCAATTTCTCGTTATTTTTGGACTTTTCAATAATCAAGTCCTTGACTTTGGACAATTCAATCTCTTGTTCGAAATCACTATCATTATTAGATAAAAGATGGGCAAACTGTCTCAATACTGCCAATGGTGGGTTTTTGCTATTGATGAGTGATTTGTAGGCATTTTGGGCCAAGCTCTTACGAATTATTGCTTGAGCTTTGATCACAGTGTCAATGTGTCGTTGGTAGTGTGACATTGTTGCAATGAATTTACTTTTCACACAATTTGCTCTAATCTTGGCCTGAAGGGACATCACTGAGTCCACATGTTCATAAATATCATCCAAGATAACTTCGTAATTGAATCTCCCGAGTACCCCTCTAAACAAAGTTTGTATAGGAATTATCGACGTATATTCCAACTTCTTCAAGCTGGCCTTGGCATGTTCCATCGATCTTCTCAACTTCTTCCCGCGGTAATATGCAGAGAGGTTGCTCAAAGTTTCATCCTCATTTATCAAGGTGATAAGAACATTATCACACAAACGAGAACGTGCAGCTCCAGCTCGAACGATACTTTGTAGTTCAATGATTTTTTTCTTTGTTGATCTCACCGCCGTGTGCTTTCTATTGATGTCGTAAATGACTGCATCTCTTCTGATAATCGACTGCAATTCGATTATTCTAGCAGCATCAACAGAACGTGATTGAGAGAACTTCTTATACAATTTGCTCCGACAAAGAGCTTGAAGTTGAGTTGTAGGCGGCAATATCTCATCTTTGTGCAAAACAAGTATTTTAACTCTGCGGTATACGAATTTCATCTTCACAATAGTTTGTAACTGAGTCACACTTGATCTGAGTGTCTCTAAAGCAAGTCTCTTCTCGTCAATTTTGTCTCTTGCCAATTTTCCCCTGATTATACTCTGGAAACGTGCAATTCCTTCAACTTGTAGCCGTGGCTTATTGGTACTAGCAAATTTCCTTCTTATCAAAGATTGTAATTCCACAATCTCATAGCTAAATGCTCTAAGCTCATCCCGATGTCTGTGTATAGATCTTGATCTTGACGAATTACCACGAATGATCGAACAGAGACGAATCAAATCTTCCTCGTATGACTTGAGCATAATCTTATCAACAAACATGGAGTATCTGAAATTTGCACCTCTTGCCAATGATTGCAACTTGATAACGTGTAGACTATGCTCTTCCAATCCTTCGTTGCCACGTCTCTCCAATACTGAAATGGGAGGTGTCGATGAAGTCTCCTTCACTTTATCGGTCCCGAAGTTCAAAGCACGAGACTTGATTTCAAACTTATCTGGCGGGTTCAAATTTGGCCGTTTTTCCTCAATGAATGGGTTTGGACCAATCTTTTCCAATTTAGCTTTTGTCGGTGACATCATATTGTTCATGAACCTTGAATCTTCATTGGTGCTTCCTGAATCGGCACTGGTAAAGTTTGGTAAGGGTGCACTCAATAATGCTCTATTTGCTGCAACTATATCGTTACTATCAAATTGTGCTCTATTCATCAAATCATTCATTTTGGGATATCTTGGGTCACTTTTATGCAAAATATAGCTCAATGCATGTAAGCAAAACCAAACTTTTGGTACATTCTTCGCGTCATACAAATCAGTCAACTCAAATCTAAACAAATCAGGCACGTTTAGGAAATCTAGCAAATGAAAGAAGCGATTTATATTTTCTGTATGTCTGAATTGTAGCTTTTTATCGTCCATAAACACATTTCTTTGTGTTGGTAAAATGACATTTGCTAATTTGGCGAGATAGATACCGTTTCTTATGTAAGATATGAGCTCAACTGGGGATTGTGAGATCTGTTCGCATAACACGTCTTCCATCCATTCTTTGATTGCTTCAATCCTGCAAAGGTACTCATATCCAGAAGAATTGATAGACGAGTTATTACTTGGTGAGGTGAATCCACTCTTCTTGGTTTCAGCGCCGACTCCAGGGGATTGTTGTTGTAATCTTGGTGTTGACCGTGTTGGTGATTTGTTCAAAATGTCCTTGTAGTTTTTTCTGGCCCAAGCAGGTGTTTCGTCGTCATTGTCTTGTACATGCTCTTTATTTGATGTGTTGCTGCTAGTAGATGACTTGGGGGTTAGTTTAAAGGAAGATACAGTTGCTGATGGTGAGCCAAATTTGGATTTCAACGAGGATAAAGATGTGGTGGTTTTATTAATTGGTGAAACATTCAATTGTTTTGCTAGTAGATCTAAGTCCTGGTCACCTATATCTGAACCATTGGTGGCTTGCTTTAGTTTTGAGGGTGTATATACGTTTTGCCTTGTGGTTGGTTTGAGGATTTTATCATTTTGCAAACCTCCAGCTGAATAGAAGGGCATTGTTTAACGTGAAAACAGTCCGCTAATCAGTAACAACTATTGAACAAGACAAACAAAACTTCCTAATAATTGGTACTTTGAACTGTAGAACGTCTCCGTTTGAGAAAGAAAACGATTTCTCATGTCGTTTTAGAATACACTTGGAAGACGAAATGTAAAAGAGAATCAGTTTTCAATTGGCTTACCCAAAATGGACAAAATGTAAACAAACTGTGCAATAATAATTAAATACCATACACCCGCATTGAAACAATTAAAGAGGAGTTATATATGTACATAGTACACAAGCAAGGCTACCGTAGCGAGCACATCAATTCTCTTCCAATGTTCATTTGTATATTAGAAACATTTGTTTACAAAGGAGACATTCGATCACGCAAGATTCATCTATGTCGGTTCTGCCCATCACTTTGAAGCTTCATCTCCCTCTCTTTCAAGAAATCTACCAGCTTGGAGTATGCACCAACATCTCTTCTCAAAAGTGGAACTTCCTCACTGAGCTGATTGACTGTTTGCAAATACTTGAAATACTCCTCGTTCATTCGATCGATATCCACGTCACCCAACTTTGCCAAAGCATCATCAATTACACCTTCCTTTTCACGTTGCCCAACGTTTTCATCAATTAATCGAATTATTCGTGTCACCTCATCGTCAATACGAACAACTGAGTTTTGATATTTCTCCGAGATCCCTTTCAGTAATGAGCGCTTTAGTTCACTGAGCTCAACAGTTACATCATCGTATTCAGTCAATATTGTTCGTAGCTCGTTGTCCAATTCAACATCAAAGGGCTCCACTTCATCATCCTTGTCATTCACCAGTAAAAGCTCTCGTATAGGCTCGTTCCTTCGATCCTCGCCATCCACCAAAAGAGAGCATAAAAGGTTTTGAAATGAATTTAGTAGACAGGTTTCCACTTTCAGATATACTTCATTTTTTATTGGATCATTGTGTGTGGTAGGTAGATGTAAGTTGAGTTTTAAAACCATGGACTTTAAGATATTATTGTATAGGGTTTTCAATTCTTTTCTAGTAATGGCGATCTTTTCATAATCATTTTGAATATCCAACGTCAGTGTCGACATGACAAAACTATCTGTTTTTTATGCAAACTGTGATCTAAATGGGACCTAAACCAGATATGTTTTGGTTTTGAGATTTCCAATCCCAATGCTACCAAATTGTGAACTGTAGATGGTAACTCACCCAAAACCTGCACAAATGCGTCAAGTTCAATAGAGGGCAGTCAGACAGATAAGTGTTACTTGGTATTGGGGATGATAATAATGCTACGAGATGAAGAAAGGTTTTGAATTAGAACCAGGAGTAATCTAAAGTCCGTTCATCAGTGTACTAGTAAAACCAAAGAAGTCGTGTAATCTTTACCAAATGGCCTCACGGATTTTTTCTTTCAAAATAACCAACGACTACAAGTCAATTGATCGAAACAAAATCTGCCATTATAATCATTTACTGAACCGAAAACCAAGTTGTTTTATCAAATACTAAAACGCAAACGGAAATAAACACAAAAACATGTCGAATGTGTTGGGAGATGAATATTACCCATCATTTGCACCATTTCTTGGTTTCGGAGGATGTGCAGCAGCAATGATGTTATCATGCGCCGGTGCGGCAATCGGTACGGCAAAATCAGGTATTGGTATCGCTGGTATTGGTACTTTCACCCCAGAGTTGATAATGAAGTCATTGATACCAGTGGTTATGTCTGGTATATTGTCAGTTTATGGTTTAGTAGTGGCGGTGTTGATTGCTGGTGGGTTATCGCCAACTGAAAAGTACTCATTGTTTAATGGATGCATGCACCTAGCTTGCGGGTTAACTGTGGGGTTTGCATGCTTGGCATCAGGATATGCTATTGGTAATGTTGGCGATGAAGGGGTGAGGCAGTTTATGCATCAGCCGAGGTTGTTTGTGGGAATTGTATTGATTCTTATTTTTGCTGAAGTGTTGGGTCTATATGGAATGATTATTGCATTGATTTTGAATACGAAAGGAAGTGGTTAAAAAACTAAAAGATTGTTTCCGTGTATAAATACAGAAGGGTGTATAGAGAGAGTACATACTTTTTTCATTCTGTCTGCATACCTAATCTGTCTCCATCTTGTCAGCATCATTTCCCAGGGGTTTTGTCTCTGAACCATCATCCTTTTTGTCAACTTTCTCCTCACTTTCGTGCTCATTATCACCTTTCCCAATAACAACGTTACCAAAATCATCAATATATTGTGAAGAATGTTTTTCCAAATACTGAACAGACCTATCAGAATCCAAAAACAACATGTAAGCTCTTTTTATATCCTGAAGCTCAACTTGAGAAGCTCTCTTTTTTAATGAGATTTGCTGGGCAACAGAAATCAAATTACTTGCATATCTCAAGCTTGTTTCTTGTCCAATTTTTGTCAACAACGCAAGAGCATCACCAGTCAACTCCACTTCTTCTTCATTGGCTCTGATGGACAAAATAGTTCTTATTTCATCACCAGTGTAGTTTGAAGTGTGTATGATGATAGATCTATCTAATAAATCAATTGGTAACCCATGTGGTGACTTGTAATTGGTACCTCTAGTTTTACTTATACCTCTGTTTGTAGCCATCATCACAATTGGTGAGAAATCATCTTCCAAGGCTCTATTGATGAATGAAAAACATTCAATATCCAACATGTGGACCTCATCAATGAACAAGACACCGGGTACAATTTCTGCCTTGCCTTCTTCCTTCCATTCAGCCACCTTGGTATTGATTTGATCACGAACTTCAGATCTAATTTCTCCAGTGTCACCGGAAAATAAGGCCAAGAATCCTTGTTGTCTCGAATTAATCACATCAATCTCGTGCAAAGAAACTGTGTGTACCACTTCTTTTCTTTTTTGTAGCTCTCCCTCGGGGCATTGGACAAACTTTGTTTCTGGTCCCATTGCATCATAATCTCTTGCTCTTGTGAAGGATTTACCAAGCTTGGTAATTCTTCCAGATGCCTTATCGATGGATATCACATCACCTGCAAGAACTTTTTCCTTGGTCAATCCCTCGATCATTTTGTTTCCTAATTCATAAATAGTTTCCATATCAGTGGTTTTAATGGTAAGTTTACCTTGTTTATGGCCACCGGTAATTGATCTATCAATTTGAATCTCCACAACTTCTCCTTCTATGATTTCAGTCTCCTCTTTTATTCTGATACCAATAGATTTTCTAAATGCTTGAGTCAATGCTTCAGTTTTTGACAACTCCAAACTGAAAACTTCAGAGGCAGCGATTGCAGTGAATGGGACCTCTGATCCTAAACTTTGGGACAAACCCATAGCAATTGCAGTTTTCCCAGTTGATGGTGGGCCAGCAACCAATACCGCACGTCCAGCTATTTTGCCTGCTTGTACCATTTTCAAAACAATCCCAGCTGCTTTCCTAGCCTTGAGTTGTCCAACCATACCTTGAGCGTTTTCTTGAGGTTGTAGGTTGTCATCTAAACCAAGACCAGTGATGTGCGAATGAGCTGCTATCAAGGACAATCCGTTAACATCGTTTGTTGTAACCTTTGTATTGATTGAGCTTGCAATTGATGATGCCTGGAAAAAGAAAGAAAAAGGGTTAGTAAAAGCTCCAAAAGATAGTTTCCAGGGGAAACATTGACGTAGTGCATAAGATGGGACATACCATTGTAAATGCGATAGCTTGAATTGAGATAGCTTACTGTTAAATGGACTGCTCCAAATCAATGTTTTTTTTCAAAGAAGTTCTTTCGTCTTCAATCATCTCTTTCGGGTTTTTTTTAAAGGTCCTTTGGTGCTACCATATGCAGTTCAAATTTCAGGTACAGGCTGGTTTGCTGAAGGATAACTATATTACGACTCGTCCAGGTCATACAAAGTAACGATTTTGCATCAAACACTGGCTGTTGGAGACCTCATAAATATTGTGGTTATTGCAGTATAAGCTACGAGTTGGGTGTCGCGCCTCCCTTTTTCTCCAGGCCAGTTTCACTTGCTGTCGAACAAACTGCCTTATTACTGGAGAGCATCGAGTAACTTGCAATGAAATTGCAACCCCAAATATTCAGTCTACGACACAGTTTCATGTTTATGCTATTCCAACTTTTAGAGGCAAGCACGTGTTCCAATCATCAATACTTAAATGTTGACAATTACACTAAAATCTTGGACCAAACCCACTATTGTTCGTCCCCTGAACTTATTTAAAGAATGCTGTTTCAATTAATGTATATCATACAAGATTGGAATGAGGATATGATGGTCATAAACCCATTTTGAGAGGAAGGGTTGAAGAATGAGTGTTGCAACCAATAAGGTGGTCATAGCAGAATTATTCATTACTGAATTGAATCATTATACATGGATGATCTCACTTGTTGACAAGTTTGGGAACTCCGTGATAAACATATTGGTCAATCTTGCTTCTACAGGGTATAGTAGTGACCCTTTTATGTTGTCCTGATTGTAATTGCCCATTGACTGGATGTTATAGGGTTGTGATATTAACAACACCACTATAGCACATTCAAAATCCTTGCTCCAGCTTGACTTCTCAAGGGCGATTGATTCATTGTGCCAAGGTATTGTCGTCTCAAATTATGAAAATACTTTAATTTTTGCTAATACCTTATACCAACAGTATGATTAATGGCAGAGTCATACCCAGAGGGGTGTCCAAGTCTGCAATACTTTATAGGAACGCTGATGAATCGATTTTGAGGTGACAAATTGCACCATCCCAAAGCGTTTACTTAAACGGTTTGTTGTTTTAAATCTTTGAAGAAGAATTGGAACGTATCAACTGATAGAATGATAGTGATCCACAAAAACACACTAGCTTTATGCAATTTGTAAGAATACCCACTGTTGGTATGGTGGTGCTTTTGAAGGAGAAATGGAAGTCTCTTTTGAAGTTTGTTCAGATTGTACACCGTCAATTTTGTGAATCATCGGATGAGGGTTTATCACACTTGTTGTTCCATTAGTTTTGAAAGTTTTTGATAAAGGGGGTTTGAAGCAAAAGAAGAGGAGGATATTGTCCCGCGGGAAAGGTCGTAAATGGGATAAAGCTCCACTAATCTCGATACATGCAACGGAATCATGCAAATAGAGGAACTGCGTGGGTCAACGTTGAGAAGGAACAATCTTACTGCTATCTTGTTTGTCGCAACTAGTGTGAAAGAATCCTCAGAGATGCCCAACCAAAACCCCAATGAAAACCGTTCATTAGAGATAAAGTGAGAGAGAAATTGAGCTTTGACGTCAATAAAAAGCAAATGTACAGCAGCAAAATCCGATATCAGCAGTCCGCTAATACCACCATGTAGCAAATCAACAAATCAGCAAACAGCAAACAGCAAATAGTAAATAGGGATTTTCAATGGGTGCACTTCGACAAAAAAACATTCATCTTTCTTTCACATGCACAAACTAAGTAGATCAACTCAATGGTACTTCAAGGAAACACATAACCAAGAATGATTGCTTTATATATAGACAGCTTTTTTGCATTTTTGCATTTTTTATTTTAATTGAATCTTTCCTTTAATTTTTATAATCTTTTGAACGCTGTTTTTCATAACTTATAACTTTACCTGCAATCACCATCTTCCATTTTCGATTATGGGATCAATCATTAACCGCAAAATGAGGGAACTTGAGGATTAGATAAGGGAAAAATTGGTTCAAAACGCCACCATGATCAAGTCTGAAGAAGCAACCATATCACATCCACCGAGTTTCAGTAACATGGGTTTATTGCTTCTTGTTTGTCAAAAATATTGACAAACCAGACTCAAAAATATGGGCAATTCATTTGAATATCAACACATCTTATCCTCAGTGGTCCCGCTCAAATCTTGGTTGATATCCTCCTTCTTTAATGGCTCTTGGCTTGTGTGTATGAAGGTCCAAGGGGGTCTCTCTCCCATAGGGTGCACTATCCAGATGAAACTTGAAACACATTTGAACAATTCATTGGATGGGTGATGGGGATACCATTTTGAGTTGCAGGGATAACAATATTTAGCGTCAGTTCTCTTCCAATATCTATCCCTTTTTATCAGCAACATCAGTTGTCACTCTGTATCCTCCAGTTGTCTAACCCATCCTTAAATTTCAAGTTTAATGTTATTTTGTCTTTCACATCAACAAACACTGTCTCGGACCACGGTGCCCGCAAGATCTCTTTTTATCTCCGGGGCTTAACTCTGTCAGCAACTTCAACGAAGCTACCGTCAACAGCAGTATTATTGGTCCTTCTCTATCGTGCCGGTCTTCAACTACCCTCGGCCACGATTCAACCGACAGTTCTTGCAACAAAATCATTGTGGCTCTTAGCCTTCTATAATATCTTTTGAAAATTCCTCCTCTGGAGTCATTATATCAGTGGCTGCTTTCTCGGCTCTTGGCTGCATCGTGGTTCACTGGGTTGGTCGGTTGCTGAATTTCTAGTTTCCTTCATTTGCAACCTCTGTTGTTCTTGAGTTCTCATCAGCACCTTCAACCGTCCAAATTAAACCCCTTCCAGGGTGTGCAACCCAATGACCTGGAGGTTCAGTTCTTCGAAGCTTAGCTTGGTAGCCCTCGTCAATCTCTTTATCTCTCTTTGACTTTGAACCACGCTTGAGTACACGTGCAATCATCATCCTCACTTCTCCAAGTTTGCTCCTCATACGCTCCCTTTGCTTTTCCTTCTCCATAGGGAGCCATCCACGAGCACCAAAGAACTGGCTATCCAATGGATCAATTTCTAAAGTCCCATTACTTGATGCGGGGCGATAATTAGTAAAATCTTCTGGATTTTCCTCTTTGGAATGAGGTTCAGCAACAGCATGAACAGAATCAACGCCAGAAACATTTATCTCATCAATCGGAGTTGGGTTCTCTTCGTCAACTCCATTAATTGCCGAATTTGGTAGCATTGCATTTTCAACATCAAACCTGCCAACATCGGAATTCAGAGCTGGATGGACCACGTCAATACTCTTTTGTTCCGCTTCTTCATTAGAAACACGAGCACTCTCAATAGCAGCATTACCGGGATCATCATTCACAACCTGGTTTTCATGTTCGCGGACACGATCAGTAACTTCCTCCGAAACACGATCATCCACATTCCAAATGGCACAAAACTCTTGACCAAACCTGGGAGTCGCTTCATCACTATTGGTGTATACATCATTCACGACTGGTTCTCTCAGACTTGGCACATTAGCGCTTGATGATGATCGCTTACCACGTTTTCTCTTTTTACAACTGCGGCGTTTCAGTTTCTTGGAAGCATCTTTCGCACCTCTAGTTGCACCTTCGTTGCCCAGTCCAGTATCAGGAGTTTCAATGTTGATGGATTTCAGGGCCCTATCCACAGCACGCCAATGATTTTTCAACAGCTCGACAAGTTTCCTAAAGAACATCTTGACTTTAAGTTTCTTGGTCTTCAGTGGGGTAAGGTCCTGTCTGCTAGGTTTTCCATTATGAGCTTCTAATGACAAAGGATCACTAACTGAGGCTCCAGCAGCAGAGTTTTCAAGGTGTTCATTTTCAACTGGTACTTCTTCATGCTGGAAACTTGGTGCATCATCACCTTCAGATGTCACATGACAGTCAGCTCCACTATTGCGACAATTATAAAGAAGTGGAGCTTCAGATTCAACAGCTTCCTCGGGATCTCCAATTGGACACAGTTGTTCTAAATGGTCACTATTTGGCACTGCATTATTTTTAGTTGTCACATTCCCGTTCACTTCGCCATGACACCTATCAAAATAATCAAAGGCAGCAGCAATAGCATCTTCTGAATTCCGAATCTGGAGTGGACCTTCAACAACATTGGTCCTTGGCACGTTTATGGCCTCACTTTTCACATCTGGGTCAATAGTACCAGCAACATCATCGGAGTCATTAGCTTCAACAGGCTCAACAGGCTCAACAGGCTCAACAGGCTCAACAGGCTCAACAGGCTCAACAGGCTCAACAGGCTCAACAGGCTCAACAGGCTCAACAGGCTCAACAGGCTCGACAGGCTCAACAGGCTCAACAGGCTCAACAGGCTCAACAGGCTTAGCACCACCAGCAGTGATCAATTCTTGCGCTTCTTCTTCTGAACCACCTTGGTAGTAAACTTCGGCTTCAAATAACACAGATTTATCACCATTGGAAACAAGCTTGGATCTTTTTCCCCTTTTCAAGAACAAAGCTTTAACCCTCTTATTCAATCGAGGTCTCAGAGTGACAGCAGGTTTGCCAGCGTTTCTCATTTCTGGCATTTCATCGACACTGCTTCCTCTGTTCTTTGACGCAAACTTGGTTCTCAAAGTATCAGTGAATTCTGACCATTTCGGTTTCAAGTGCTTTCCCCAATTGGGCCACACTGCACTGTTCGGGGCTAATTTATTTTCATTACTTACGGGAGAATCGATATTGGAAACTAATCTTCCAACGGAATGTTCATGGGTGATTTCTAAATTTTCTGCAGCACATTCAACATTTGCACCATTGGAAGGTACAGTACCTCCTCTTTCAATTTCATTTGAGTCACCCGTAGTATGTGCACAATCACCGACTGCCTCAGTTTTAAGCTCTGGTTTTTTCAGTAAATTCTCCAATTCTTTCAAAAGAGCCTCTTCAGCAGCAATGCATTCTCCAGTAATCCATACACTATCTGCACCAATGGGACTTAAGACATCCTCTCCATCAATTTCATTTGTGGCATCTGTAATATGTGCACGATTACTAGTAGGTTCTCCATTGTCAAGCACAGGTGGTTCGTTGTTGTCAGGTTCCAAATTTTTTTCTATCAAGATTCCTGTAGCGTTACCAATTTCACCAACAACAGCAGCATTCGATTCTGGAACCTCACTGTCCTTATCAGTCCCATCAACAATGGTTTGATTCCGATCCATCTTGGGAAGCATAGGAGCATCTACGCTCATCGATTCCAAAATCTTATTCTTCCACTTCTCTAAATCTCGAATTTTGTAACCAAAATCCAATGTTTCTCTCATCCAAGCTGTTTCGGGAATCAGTCTTTGGAGCATAAGCAAGTCATTGGCACGACTCACTTGTGACTGTTCAAAATTTGCAGTGGTCTCATTCCGTGGATAAACTGCATCTGCAGCTATTCTCCTCGAGGTGATGGTGGGGTTAAATGTGGTAGGAGTTTTCGATTTGATAACTTTAACAAGACGCGGTGGAGGGGGAACAGGAGTATTCGGGTTTGAACACTGCTTGCGATATTCTTCGACAAGTTTTGCAGCCTCAGCGTGTTTCGCTTCAAGCCAATTCCGGCATTTCAAGTCGAAAGCACTTTCAGGTTCTTGCTTCGCGGCGGTGTAGGTGGAAAGCATCTTGGTGAGGAGAGAGAGGGAAAGAGGGAAAGAGGGAAAGAAGGGAAAAGAGGAAATAGAGGAAAATAAGGAGGTTTTTATAGGAAATATTTTGGTGGTTTTGTGTATACAATCTGGTGAAAGTTTGAGAATATCAAAAAAAAAGGGCATACAATTAGTAAAATTCCACCATTAAATTGACCAAGCTATTGTTATTTAGTTATGTAAATATGTTTAGATTTAAATCATTGGTTTACTAGTTCTGATTCGTTGCAGCGATACACTGTGATGATACAAAGATTTGCATCACACGATATATGACGATAAGAGTATTTTACACACTGGTTCCAACAAAGATTGAACTCTTTGGACGTGCTACATTTCACACTATTTTTGAGTAAGGTAAAGTTTCGATCAATGGGCTACATCTTAGTTGGACATGGATTGTTTATGTACATATCAAAATTTCTGTGAAGTTTTGTTATGGGGATTGTTTACCTTATTTTTTTGTTTCGTTTTTTCAATTTTGCAACCAAGCGAGAAAAGCAATCACCAAATGTTTAACCGAGTTTATTAGAACCAAATGTGTGTACTACAGATTACAAGAAGAAACCATCAAATCAAGTAAAAAATGTAAATACTACAATCCAAAAGCACCAATAGGGCTTTTGAAAAAGGATGTTTGGGTTAAAGAGGTGAGTGAAGTGCTTCAATAAGTGGATAAAAATCCAAAAGACAGGATACTAACTTTACAGTCCATTTGGTTGACACGAAACCACCTCATCACTCCGAGACAGAAGGTGGAAGCCTACTCATGGATTACAAATAGCAAGGATTATAAACTACAATAACAGAATCAGTGTAAGAGAGGTCTGCTTTAAATCACAGGTGTGGCACTTTGTCAAGTGTTTGGGATTTTCTCGGCTAATTGTAGGTATCCAATCAAAGATCCATGAAATGTAGAGTTACCCAGGTTTTACTACAGCATGAAAAGCGGAATTCCTACCATTGAAATTTGGACCCCACATGATACCAATTTGATTTATCGAGTTATTGAGACTTTAATGCTTACATGTTTCTATATTTTTGAGTGTAGTGTCTCAGTGAGAGGGGCTAGTTACAACTTACAGTCACAAAATTTGCTCTACACAAGCGTACCTTTGTACTCATATTCAAAACCTTTATGGATACATGTTCTTGTCGAAGGGAATTGATATACGAAAACTTGGAGACAGTTTCAGTTAAAAAGCGAAAGGGGGAGGTGACAACAAGGTGTTGACAATGCAGGCCAAAAGGAACATCTTCGATGAGCTGAAAGTGGTTCATTGGATATCTTTTTCTCCATGAATGGCAAGCGTTGTTCATTATCAAAACCAACTTTTTGTATGAACATTAACAGTTAACGTATGATAATCACACTGCAAGTTGCACTGGAGACTTTGAGAGCCTAAAAGGAAAGTAAAAACACTCGTTGTTTCATCCCTCATGAGGTATACATTTAATACAAAAGCTGTGTGAGCTTTGGTGATGTGGAATGGAATTCAATTGCTCAACTATGTGACAAACTCCACTATAATTCTCAAGAGTAAAGTGGACTAGACCAGACATAACTACTGTATCTTCCTCTCTGTCAATGTGATAGCTCAAAAAGCGAATGAATTACACTCTCTCTATCATTATTACTATTACTAAGAGAAAGCGAGACTGTTGTTGCACGTGCACTTGATACAAGGAGAAAGGCAGATAAGGAGGTGTGTGTTTGGTAAAAACGTGACCTCAAATATCATGCGGTAGCGTTGATCCTAAAATGACTATTTGTTTGGTACTGCATATAACTTATTAAAAGGACTCTGTGTATTACTAAGAAGTCTTTTTTTTTTTTCTGGTTCTGCTTTTGCTTCAAATTCGGAGCCGTACCCGATAGAGTTGAAATGTATAGTTTGAGAATGTTATTGAATTTCGCGTGTAAGTAAGTGAGCTTTTGAAAAGCGTATGAAGCTGTTGGGATATATGACTATCTCTCTATCTCTTGCTAAGCTGGTGATGTAGTATTAGAATTGCGAATCAAAAAAGGAGTTAAGATGGAGGAGAAGTGGGGGGGATTGGTTTCACAATTCTACCACTACAAAAGAAGCAGTAATATATTAAACCCGAAGGGAAAAGGAAAAAAAAAAAAAACTAAAACTTAAACATCATCAATCATCAATCATTAATTATCTATTCATCTATTCATTTTACTATTCATCGCTCATACAAGAGACCAAGAATAGACTAACATTTAATTCATACTTTCATCAAACACATCTATATACATAACAGGATTTTCTTCGTTGAAATAGACTGCAGCAGCTGAGATCAAAGGATGTATAAACAGTTACTCAAGCTTGAGAATTCAACTATAAGGCTGCTTAGGCAACAGCACTGTCACATTAAATCATATACAACAAGGTACCTAGCCACTACTACTACACCTACACCTACATCATCAAAATCAGAGTCACCAAAAACCAGTGCTACTACTACAGCTGCAGCCACCGCTACTTCTACTACATCTCCAGCCAGCAGACATGTATCCACTCCTTTGGATATACCAGCTGAAGTACAACCACCACCAGGATCAGCAATTAGTTTGAAATCAGCCACTCGTGATCCATCCAAATATGGTACTCGTCCAATTTACTTGGATGTACAAGCAACTACCCCAACTGATCCACGTGTTTTGGACAAAATGTTGGAATTTTACACTGGTTTATACGGAAACCCTCACTCATCAACTCATGCTTATGGTTGGGAAACCGATAAAGAAGTTGAAAAGGCAAGGGCACACGTTGCCAGTGTTATAAATGCTGATCCTAAAGAAATTATTTTCACAAGTGGTGCCACTGAAACCAACAATATGGCCATTAAAGGTGTGCCACGTTTTTACAAAAAAACCAAGAGACACATCATCACCACTCAAACTGAACACAAGTGTGTTTTGGATTCCGCAAGACATATGCAAGATGAAGGTTTTGAAGTTACTTACTTGCCCGTCAACTCAGAAGGGCTTATCAATTTGGATGATTTAAGAAAGGCTATTAGAAAAGATACTTGTTTAGTGTCTGTAATGGCGGTGAATAACGAAATTGGGGTTATCCAGCCATTGAAGGAAATTGGTGAAATTTGTCGTGAACACAAAGTTTTTTTCCATACCGATGCCGCGCAAGCTTTTGGTAAAATACCAATTGATGTCAATGAAATGAAGATTGATCTTTTATCAATTTCATCACACAAAATTTATGGGCCAAAGGGAATTGGTGCTTGTTATATCAGAAGAAGACCAAGAGTCAGATTGGATCCAATCATCACTGGTGGTGGACAAGAAAGAGGTTTAAGATCAGGTACATTGGCGCCACCTTTGGTTGCTGGTTTCGGTGAAGCTGCAAGATTAATCAAGGAAGAAGGTGCTTATGATAAGAAACATATTGAGAAATTGTCGACCAAGTTGAGAGAGGGATTGTTGTCTATTCCATCAACTATACTAAACGGATCTACCAACCCTAAATATCAATATTCTGGTTGTGTTAATGTATCATTTGCTTACATTGAAGGTGAATCGTTGTTGATGGCTTTGAAAGATATTGCTTTAAGTTCAGGTTCTGCTTGTACTTCTGCCTCATTGGAACCATCATACGTTCTTCACGCTTTGGGTGCTGATGACGCTTTGGCTCATTCATCAATCAGATTTGGTATTGGTAGATTTACTACTGAAAGTGAAGTTGACTACGTTATACAAGCAATCAATGAACGTGTTGAGTTTTTGAGAAAGATGTCACCATTGTGGGAGATGGTACAGGAAGGTATCGATTTAGATTCGATCGAATGGAGTGGTCATTAAGGGGGTGGAAGAGTATTGGGCTTTCATGAAGTCTACGTTTTGATGAGGGGTGTGTATGTGAGGTCTTTTCAGGGCGGTGTTTATGAATTCGTTTTGCGTATAGTATTGAGTGAAATATATGCACATATATAGAGGACCAGGATATGTAAAGTTTCTACTGAAATGGCGCTGAAGTTTACTCCTCAAAAATACAGCAGTCTAAATATTTTTCTTTTTCCTGTTCCGCTCTCCTGTACCGGAAGAGCCAAAGTGAAAAATTCGAAAAAGAAAAATATATTAGGACAGACACCAATTATCTCTTTTCACCCCCGGACCGAAAATAAAAATACCATTTTCAAGCTTCAAAGAAACTACCTACTCACTCTACAAACCACATCTGTATCAATTTGCAATGTCTGAATCTACAATCACTAAAACGATCACAGTATTACCTGGTGATCACGTTGGTACCGAAATCTGTAATGAAGCAATCAAAGTCCTCAAAGCCATTGAAGAATCAACTCCCTATCAAAAAATCCATTTTGATTTCAAACATCATTTAATTGGTGGTGCTGCCATTGATGCCACTGGCTCACCACTCCCCGATGAATCCTTAGAACTGGCCAAATCGTCCGACGCAGTGTTGTTGGGAGCTGTAGGTGGACCCAAATGGGGTACTGGATCAGTTCGTCCTGAACAAGGATTATTGAAAATCCGTAAAGAATTGAACCTTTATGCCAATATCCGTCCTTGTAATTTTGCTAGTGAATCTTTATTGGAGTTGAGTCCCTTGCGTTCTGATATCGTTCGTGGTACCAATTTAATCATTGTTCGTGAATTAGTTGGTGGTATCTATTTTGGTGAACGTCAAGAACAGGGTGAAAGTGCTGATGGTGAAACCGCATGGGATACTGAAAAATACACCGTTGCTGAAGTGACGAGGATTACTCGTATGGCGGCATTTATGGCATTACAACACGATCCACCATTGCCTATTTGGTCGTTGGATAAAGCAAACGTATTGGCTTCATCAAGATTATGGAGATCAACCGTGGATAAAGTCATTTCCTCTGAGTTCCCTCAATTAAAAGTACAACATCAATTGATCGATTCAGCAGCTATGATTTTGATTCAAAACCCAACTAAATTGAATGGTATTATAATCACATCCAATATGTTCGGTGATATCATTTCCGATGAGGCTAGTGTGATTCCCGGATCATTGGGTCTTTTACCTAGTGCTTCATTGGCATCACTACCAGATACAAACAAGGCGTTCGGTCTTTATGAGCCATGTCATGGATCAGCCCCTGATTTGGAAGAGAATAAAGTTAATCCCATTGCCACTATCTTGTCAGCTAGTTCAATGTTGAGATTGAGTTTGGATTGCGTTAAGGAGGCTGAAGCTTTGGAAGAGGCTGTGAAGCAAGTTTTGGATAAGGGTATCAGAACCGGCGATTTGAAGGGAAGTAATAGTACAACTGAAGTTGGTGATGCTGTTGCTGAAACTGTTAAAAAGATATTACAATCGTAAGAGTAAGTGAAACACATCGTATATGGTTGAGATTGACGCATTAATGGAAATATATATATATATATACGTGTATGTAAGTCTAATGGAACGCTTCAACATCAAAATCACTAAACCAAATTGAGGATTGTAATAGGTTCGTAAGTTGCGAAATCGAATCATCTCTCATAAACTCATTCAACGGTTTCGTTGTGGTTTCACTCAGATGCATATTTACGACGTTGGCATCTTCATTTTTGGCAATAAGTGTCTCTTGTGTCCCTCTTGACTGCTGATACAATCCTTGACGAACCTGGTTTTCATCACCTTCTTGGTCATCTATTGATAAATGTGACTCCTCCCCAAATACTTCCACATTACTCGATGAATCATTGCTCACAAGAGTAACAACACTTGAATTTGTATGAAACGGTGTCAATGTGTTCAGTGGACTCGGCGGAATTGTCTCGGTGACGGTACTAGGCGATGTGAGTACCGAGCCTATAGCTGCTTCCAACGGTGGCTTGCTAAACTCGACGTCAATGAGTCGACTAAATTCAAGTGCAACTTCATGGGCACTCATTGATCTAGATGATTCATCGCGAGGAAAATGAGATCTTTTTAGCGTGAGAGTGGTTGGGTTTGATTTGCCAGTACTGTTATTCTTGAACATTAAGCCGTTTGAGCTGCTTGAAATTGGAGGAGTGGTCAATGTATTGTATGCACTTGGATTTCCTGCAACGTGAGAGAATATCAGCGACTCATTGGATGGTTTTCGGGAGGTTGCACTCTCCACAAAAGAGGGGATAGGTGGAGCATTAAACTGATGCTTGACTAAGGCTGAATGATCACCTTTCTTTCGATGAGATGAGGTGTCACGTCCATGCTGCACTTGGTTGTAGTCGACACTAGCTGGTGCATTCTCGATGGCATCTTCGTAGACCTCAACTAACTCATTGGCACCCCATTGCGCTGGAACTCCCATAAGGTCATGCTTCAATGCACCTCCGGGTACTGCGTTTTTTGGATCAACAAACTCCCAATTTGGTGTTCGATCATAATCGTCGTAGTAATAGTCACCCATTGATGGGTCCTGTGACAATCTTAAAACTATTGAGATGTCATCCATTGTTGAAAGTCGTTTGATGGTGCTTACTTCATGATCTACGGTAACACTATTGTTGGTTTCAATTTCATCTAAATGGTCCACTCGAGGAAACTGAAAATTCGGTGATACATCAATTGATGGAGCTGATGTACAACGATTGGTTGTATCATTTACTGGTGCCTCTGTAGGACTCTCTATGACCATGCTTGTAGACGACGTCTCTTTTCTCTGGAGTTTTGGCACTGGTTTGTAAACCTCTTTGTATTCGAGTTTGGTTCCCTTTGGAATAAATGTATTAGAGATCTTCCTCGTTGGTTTCACTGGGTGAGGTTTCATGTCCGCATTCTTTGAGTTCTTTAAATGAAGCTTGCTCAATATTGAGCTTCTGGAAGACAAGGGCTTTGGTGGTGACCTTTGTAGCCTTGAGCTAGATTGATTTCGGCGATAATCAACATTCACTTTATTTGAAGTAGCGCAAGTAGGTTTCTCTAAGCCACTATCGTTGTTCAAATACTGCTCAGTCAAGTATCGCAAATGAAACAAATTTCCTTCAATAACGTTCTTGGTCACGGTATTATATGTCGAGAACAAACTGTAAAATGCTTTTTCCACCATGTGCTCAACATACCTAGAGAATTCGTTGCTCTTGACATTATCATTAATTTGCTGCTTGGCATATCTATCATACCCGGTGACTTTAATCTCATCATCACTCACCATTGATGCTTTCAATAGCAAAACTAATTGAGGATGTTGCTCAAAATAGCATGGCACATCTACATCGATGTTCAAAAATAAAGCAAACGGCAGCTTGCATGTCTCGGTTTCATAATCATACCTCAGCTGAGCCGTATAGCTAACATGCATACCTTTATTTGCTGATCTGAATAAATGGAAAGACGACGACTTGTAGAGTATCTTTGATTTCTCAACTGCCGTGATAATATCCTCAGCTGGTGAACGTTTACCAGTGACCTGATAATTTCGAGTGAATGCTTTAGCTCCACCGATGGATGATTTGAATCCACCAGAATTCAATGAAAGGAACCGAAGGCATTCAGTTTCAGCATTAGACTCGTCTAAAGTCAGGTACTTGGTGACCAACACTTCATCAATACGACACCAGGCTGTAACTTGCATTGCCGGAAATGTTTCCAAGTTGGGTATCGGTTTTTCATTGATTAAAGAGTGCATCAAGGCATCAGCAACCGACATCGTTTTTGTCCTATCGTCGTTATCAATCTTCTTGTGATCGCAACCTTGAACTGTAAAGAATAACAAATAATCGGAAAAAACAGCTAATATCTCCGAGCCAGATAAATTCGTTCTAGCAACATTATCTAATTGGTAGATACCCACAACCTTTCTCGAATTCCAATCAAATTGTAACTCGGAAGGCCAATTGTCAGCTATATCTGTCAACATCCTACCAGTGGGAGTAAACACCCGACGCTTTGCTTCAACTTTATGTTCATCAGCTCCCGAAAAGGCATAAATAACATCCATAGCTGAGGTATAATTCAAATTCACCAAACGTAAATTATCGTCGGGTCTATTGCTATCGAAATTTCTCAATTGAGTCTCCTCAAATTCAATTGCCTCATGCAATCTTTGCAACAAAAGCTTGAATTTGGGTAGCTCCAACAATGCACCGGTAACAATTGAGTCAATCTCACGTACAGTATACTGGGATGAGTTTAGCTTTAAATTTTCAAACACACGCTTTTTGTACTTTTCTGCAAATTTAGTCAAATTTTCATTAAAGTGTTTCACGTTGGCTTCATGTCGTATAAACGGTTTATAAAAATATGGCATGATAGTTCCCATGGCAATCACTACTTCGATATCATCCACTTTGCGAGCATTCAACAATGAGTCATTTAAAATGCAATTGACTCGTGTAATTTCATCAATGGTAGGTGGAAAGATTTGATTAATTTTGTGTATAGCACTAGATGAATCCACACTGCTTTTCCCCAAGGCACTAGCTCTTAATGGTATTATAAAAGTTTGCAACAAGTTCACCAATCCTGCAGTATAATTGGTTTGTACATTAACAATCTCCTCCAATATGGATTGTATCTTTGGATTCAGATAATGGACAAGCTCTCTTTTAGTTGAAGGCGTGTAGTATTCCTTTATTTCTTCAGGTGCGTATTCCAACAATGGGTCAAAGATTTGATCCAATTGTTCACCCAATAATGAAACCAATTGATTATTCTCCTCTACTATCTCCTCACTAGCACATTCATTGTCATAGATGACGTCTAATGTAAAAGCATGCACCTGCTGATGTTGAACCAAACCAAGTTCCAATAATTTTCTCCCCACATGTTCGGGCGACTTGCTTTGTATCAATCTCATTGAGCTCGCTAAAGCCCCTGCGTTGGTCTCATCCCACATAGGCAAATCCATTGACCGATGATGGTTCAACATCCTATTTGAGTTTTTCAAATTCAGGACGGCCAAAGCTTGTCGTACATTTGAGTTGCGATGTTGTGATAAAAGGTTCTCGCAACTTGGCCAGAATCGAGAGTTTGGATCCAATTTCAAGTCGGGGTACGATGCAAACCCAAACTTGGTAATTGATTGAGCGGATAATTTGCTTGTTGTTGCACTCAGGGAAATTATAGATACAACGTGATGGAACATGACATCATCATACCCCACGAATATTACAGCATTCTGAAGAATATCCATCCAATTAGATAATAATGTGTTCTGATCTCGTGACTCACTTTTATAATCTTTGGGGTCATCATTGAAAAATGGTAATAGTATGCCACTCTGGGCTCCTTGATCAATCGAGTTTGTTTTCTTTCTGCCATGAGTGATTTGTTTCTGCCCTGTTCTGAAGTGCTCCTTGTCATGTTCACCTGAAACGTAACGCTTGTAAAGACTCATTCGCGGTGATACGGTAAGCCAAGTTGGTATATTCTCCTGTGGTTCGAAACTCGAAAGCAAACTCCACTTTGACTAATGGGGCTGTAGATTGAAACTTGGTGGCCTATCGAAGGATTGTTTTGATGTGGGTCTTTTGGTAGCGTTTATTGTTTTGATTCTTTCCGTTTCTGGAAAACTGATGAGAGGAACAAAAGCCGCAGAGTGAATAGCTTAAAGGTAGATGAAGGATGGTAGTTTCTAGCAGTGACCTGCTGTAGACAAGATCAAAGTATGTTCATTGGGTGGCACTAAAGTAGTCAGTTGTTTTTTATACTACTAAGTTGATAACTATAACCATGTAAGAAGTGCTAGCCTTCCAGTAATTTTTCTCTTCTAAACACCAGCATTTTCCATTTTGGTGAAAAAAAACTTTCTGTGTATTACAAATACAGATTGACCACCACATCACAGCCATACAAAGTCCAACTATGTTCCCAAAACGAGTTCTAACAGCAAGGGTGTTTGCAAAAAGACTACCGATTCAACTGCAGTCATTGCAGAGAATGCAATCCACGTCATCGCATAATCATGACATGGGTGAATATGAAAGTAAAATCTACAATATACTTCAAGAGGAGTTTGACCCGGTCAACTTACAAGTACAGGACGTCCTGGGAGGGTGTGGATCGATGTTTGCTATCCTTGTGGAGAGTTCCAAATTTAAAGGTTTACCAATGATAAAACAACATAGATTGGTCAACGATCTTTTGAAAGATGAGATAAAGAAATGGCATGGGCTTCAACTCAAAACTAAATCAGCATGAGATGGAATCGGTGATTATTACTCTCATGTTGTTTTCTTTTTTTTAACATTATTTATTATAAATTGTATATAGACTTTACAAAAACAATTCACTTTTGGCAAGCAAGATCATTAGATAATAGTGCAAGTTTGTACCTTCTGGTACAATTTACTCAACAACTTCTTCCTTTTCTTCAATAATCTCCTCTTTGATCTCTTCTATTGTTTCCGCCTTGACTTCACTTGCTTGGGCCTTTTTATTGGCATGCTTAGCTCTGTATGCTCTCCACTCTTCCAATGCCTTTCTTCTAGCCAAAATTGCTTCTTTGACGGCTGCGTCAGCTTCCATAGCATCAATTTCTTCAAATTGAGCTGAGTACTCACGCAAGTTGGAACGAACCTTCTTCTTGTCGGCACTCGACAACAAACTTTCAGGGCGGGGTCTCCAAATAAACTCTTTGAACAAATCAATAGATTCATCCCTCAACAATTTACCAGTAAACTCATACAATCTGTATCCATTATCAATGGCATGCAACCAAGAAGACGACCATGCAGCAACGAATCTACCAGAAGGATCCCATGCAATGTTTGTCATTCCAGCATACTGATCGGACTTGAGCAACTTGACATTTGCTGGTGCGCCCTTTTTAGTGTTTTCATCCTCGAAAGATACATCAAAAAATTCAAGCTCACCTGAAGAACGAGAAATGGTGGCAACAACAGCATATCTACCCTTTGGTGACCATGCAATGGTATTTGAGTGTTTGTTGTCAATAATTTTGTACGCCTTGTATTTTGAGCTTGCATTCTTACCCTTGGTTACTTCCAGAGCATAGAAAGTAATACTGTTTTTTGGGATGGCTGGATTCGGATCACCGTCATCCAAACGACTGATGGTAATAAACCTTTCACTGTTTGGTTCCCAGCCAAAATTAACAATAACATCCTTCAATTCAAGTTTCTCAACTGGTACATCTTTTTCACCCAATTTGAAAAAATCAAGGTTAGAAAATGTAGTTTTTCCTGATTTGGTGTGTCTATCAACCTTGACACATAAAAGTTTACCCTCACTTTGCCAGTGCATTTTACAGTCACTGACTTGAAAAAGATTAACAGTACGCAAAACTTGTCTGCTAGGAATCTGCATCACTGCAACTCTTGCAGTTTGATTAGTACTTTCCGGTGTCCAGTATGACAATATATGTTCCAATTCTGAGCCCTTGTTATTGTGTAATCTAACTCCCGCTGGCGCCCATTCAAAGTCTTGAATACCATCAATTTTGACCAATTTCTTCTCCAACAATTGGAAGCTTGGAGTTTCATAAATAGCCAACGCATCGGGCCCTTGACGAGCACAATACTTGTCATCGAACGACCACTTCACCAATGGCCATGGCATTTCCTTTTGGTGCTCAAGATGAGGTGGTAACGCAAACGTTCTAACAGGTTCGCCAGTAATCAAATCCCAGATAACCAATTTATGACCTTCACTTTCAGGACCAAATGGGAACTGTTGCCTCTCAGCAGCAGAATCGGGCAATGAAATTGGGACAGGAGACAATGTCACCATGTATTTTTCATTTGGAGAAAAATCTATAAGTCTCACCTGGTTGTGGAAAAATCTCCTGACGCTGTGAAAATCTGTACCACCCCATGATTGAACACCTTGTGGGTGGATTGAGAAAAGATAAGTACCCTTGGGAGAAAACTTGGCATACTTGGATGTGAATCCTCTTCTTGACTCAACAACGGGTTCGGGATCACTGGCCTTCTTACTCCAATTGATTCCAACGGTTTCTCCAAAGTGAGTCACAACTTGATCTCTTCCTTGTTTATCTTGTAACCAATCATGTAAATAACCGTGTGATTTGAATGGCTCAACTTCAGGTTCTTTGAATTCACCACTAGCTGAGCCATATTTTTCAATGTCTGAGAATTTGTTCACCAACAACCTATGATTTTGATCCAATTTCTTACCATGCAATTTCTTAATGGCTGAATCAGCTTCTTGTGGTGTCTTGTATTGAATGAATAAATACCCCTTGGATTTACCATCTGCTAATGGCATATAAAGACCCTCATCCCCGTCAACTATCTCTCCCACGGTACTGAACAACTTTTTGAGAACCTTGGTTAAAACTGGTACTTTAGATTCTGGTGCAACAGGAGCACCATCAACAATAATATAATTGTCCAACCCAACATCAGCTTCGTATTTTTCCTCCAAATCCGAAAAATCGATATCATCTATATTGATTTCTTTCTCCAACTGCAAATATTCTTCTTCGTTTATTGACATTGTGTGCTAATGATACGAAGGTACTGATGACACGATCAAATGAATTGTTTGAAAATTTATCAAAGAACAAAATAAGTGAAAAAAAAAAAATTTTTCAACATCTACATTATAGTATTGGTGTTTGGATGCGAAATTTACTAGAGAGATCAAAGTAGGTTCTTTAACTACAAATTTCTGATATCCATTTCAACAATCGCTATACTATCAAAGGATGTGTGATGTACCTGCGCATTGGCCCTCCTCTCTGTTCACATTCGTTCATTGTGAGTGACAATAGTGTACTGTTTAGAGGTCTGCAAAAACAAGTGATGGACTCAATAACAAGGAACTTTATCCTCTTTAATGACAAACACTAGGGTGTAGCACCAGTGGTACATCTTTGCATTCCTTTCTATCTAATCAATGCTAGCTTTTCCAACTCTGCTTCCAATTGCCCGTCCTTGCGCAAGTTTTTCAAATCTTGTTCATTACCCCAATACTTTCCTTTGAAAAATAACAGTGGCACCCACTTCTTGCCTACGATCTCGGTAAATGCACTTTCCAAAGCCGCAGCCTCCTTTTGATCTTTAATTTGATCTAATTCAATGATGTGCAACTTATCATATATTCCTTGTTGTTGAAATAAATTGTAGACATAATGACAATCAGGACACCATGATTTCGAAAGCATCAAATACGGGTGTTCAGATATTAACCCCTTGGCTTTGGTAATATAGTCGTCTGACACATTTGGTGATGGTGACGGTTGTGTAGACATGTCTTTCATATGTTTAAGGTGGATTAAGTATTCTATTAAGAAAAAAAGAAAAGATTGTGGCGCAAAGTTTTATGAAATCGTTTCAAGCTGTGAAAAATTGGCTTCTTAATACCATTGAATTAAACAACCTGACATTCTTCCGCTCTCCAGGGAATTCAAAGTGTAAATTCCCCTAAAACTTTGATGACCGCATTGGAGGAAGTTTATCAAGATTGCACGAGTGAGGAGCTTTCCTAAGCTTCCATTGTGATGGAATACGACACGTGCTTTGAAACATTTTGGTGCGTTTATTCGTTCTCTCTCCAATTGAAATTTTGGTTGCAAAACTTTTTAAACAAGCACGAATACGCACTGATGTTTGTACACTGAGACTTGGTGGTTAGAAAGAGGCTAGAAAAGGATCCGGATGAGCTTCACTGTAATACCTAGTGGAGAATTTATTGCACCAGTGTAGATCTGTTGATTGAACACATTCAAGTTGATGCTCTTGTCAACACAAACTATATAACTACATAATTCACTTCCATAACAACAAAAGCTTAGTTCCAATAGATGGAATAGTATCTAATATTCATAATTAAATAGCTTACCTCTATTAAGTGATCCACCATTTACATCTTTTTGATATTCTCTTGAAAATCAAATACAAACCGCCAAAAAAATTCCCCCAAAAACACTTTTGAACGATTCATCTTTTCCTCTTCTTTATCTTTTCTTCTTCCCTCTTCAGTAACATGACCGAATTATTGGTGTCTAAACCCCCCTTTGGTCCGCGCACCAGGTGGAATACAAGGACGGGAAGAAAAACTCAGAACCATAATTATTACAGCCCCTAATTATTACAGCCGTTTGAATGTTACGACCGCAACAAATTATGCAAATGCTTACATTCCGATTTTGGATGAAGTCATTCCCACCACACCTTTGATGGTCATTTATGTATGGCTGTGGTGGGTTCATAATGCAAGTCAAAAATGAACCTATGCATGCGAGGAGTGGTGCAAAGAGTCCACAAGTCAGGTGGCATTGACTCTCGTAAGCACGACAGTTCAACAGATTGTAAAGAGCAACATTGAAGGAGTATACATTGTCATTGATTTCCGTGTTGGATCCATTTTCGTGCGATTTGTAGTTGTTGTAGATTTGGGTCAAAGTAAGTTTGTGTCGTAGAGTCAAACTACTTATAGTGAATCCCCTTGTAAGTATTCACATTTTCTCCCATCACAATGTAATGACATGAACTAGATCCAATCAAAACTACACTACTTGATTTAGTCTCTCATCGTATTCGTTGATTGAAATAGTACAATAGAATATATACAAGTAGAAAAGATGTTATTGTAACAACCGCAACATAATCATACCAAAGACAGCTCTTCCTAGCTCCTCGCTTCTGCCGAATAATCATAGTGCAACTCGGTGATATTCTGAAGCTCCTCTCTAAACTGCTCCATTTGCTTCATCGTATTCCAAAACAGAACACACCAATACATCAATAACTCTCTATTCACAGCACAACTTTTGGTTCTAAACTACAACTACAATCATTGAGCAACGGCTAAGCCATCTACTTTCTTTGCCACTTCCAAGTATTTGGCTTTGGCAGAATCAAACTCACCGTCATTGAGTTCCCCTCTTCTGTACTGAAGTCTAATATTGTAAAGCTCATCATAAGTGACTTGGAGTTGTGCTTGTGACAAATCTTTCCCAAGATCAACAAACTGGGAAACCTTGAATAATCTCTCAGCTGCCTTTTCTGTTTCCTGCTCGGTTAACTCCAACGACTGTGTTTCTGCCAATTTGGCTTTGTTTTCGTTGATCCTTCTCTTTCGAAGCAGGTACTGCTTATTCTGAGCTTTTTGCAATTGTGGTAAAATAAGTATTTCCTTTCTTGATCTTTGCAATTCTTCGTTTTTAGCAGCAACGGGGTCTTCAATAGGCACATAACCAAATCTTCTCAATCTTGGTGCAAAATGCTCTTTAGGAAGCTTGATATCTTTCTTCAATGCCACTCCTACATATTTTCTCAATGGGTGGAATGGATCAAAATAAAATCGAACAAACCCAGGCTCAACTGCATATATCGTGTGATCAACACCAATGCGAACATTCTCACCTGGATGTATCTTTGTACCCCTTTGTCTCATTATGATTTGACCTGGTTTCACAGGATGTCCTTCATGTACTTTTGGTCCTAATCTTCTACCAGCGGAATCCTTGTTGCTGGTCTTGGAACCTGAGACACGTTTTGTGGCAGTACGGATCTGAATTATTGATTTAATGGAGCTGGTTATCCCCGAAACTGGTCTCTCTATGAGAAGCCTCTTCAAGGAAAACATTATGCGAGGGTGACGATAATGGATGAATAGGGGACTTTGAAGATTAGTTTTCAAAATTTTTTCATGCCAATTTTTTTCAAACAATAATCAATGTCGCGACATTAGAAAAAGTAATCATACCAAACCACACCTTACAGTAAAAGAGCCAATAAACACATCAATATATTTAGTCATCTATACAATCTTGTATCCTTCTCCTCCTTTCCCCTCCCCTACCACATAGCGATTAGTCTTATGCCTTCTTGGTACCATATTGTTGCAAAATGTCCAAGGCAAGCAAATGATCTTCTTCTTGTGCTAATCCACTAATAGTTAAAGCACCAATAACGAACTCATTCGATTCAACACGCAAGGGAACACTACCACCATGAGATGCATAATCCTTTGATGACACAAACATGGCCTCTTCAATCGTTTTGCCCTTTTGTCTAAGTTTCTGTCCAATGTAAAAACTCGATTTGCCAAATCTAAATACAGTATTGTACTTTCTCTTGACCCAATTGTCGTTATCCAGTGCAGTGCCTGAAGACACGGCAGAATGGAATAAAGTTTGGCCACTGGTTAAAGTTATATCAATAACTACTCCCTTGTTTGGGTATAATTCTTGACATAATTGACGACCCAAAGAACCCAATTCCCATGCAACTTCACTGTCAAATGATTTGAGTTTGTGTTGGTCTTCAAGTGCTGACAAGTCCTCTAGACTTTTATTGTAGATCTCGTGCGGCATATGGGATGATATACTTTGGTCAATGGACTGGGCCCTTCAAGTTGGAATTCTCTCAAAGAATTTTTCGAAAAAAAAAAAGCTTACTCCGAGAGTATCCTTTGATTTAGCACCACACCCACCTCTGACTAGCACATCTGCATTAACTAGTATCCAATAGCACGCCATCACTCGCTTTCCTTATCAAACATGTATTCAACTCCCCCACAAGTAAGGGCGCATCCTCATCAAATAAACCAACCACACGGCGAAAATCCACAACACGCTACTCTGATGGGAAATGCATTGAATGATGAACAGATATACCAATGGATAAACGAACTCGTGACAGGAAACAATCGAGAAAAAGCATTACTAGAATTGGGCAAAAAAAGAGAACAATATGATGATTTGGCTTTAGTCCTTTGGAACTCTTTTGGTGTGATTACCGTCTTGTTAGAAGAGATTCTTAGTGTATACCCATTTTTGGACCCCCCCAATTTGAGTGCGTCAACTTCGAATAGAGTGTGCAATGCGCTTGCCTTGTTACAATGTGTGGCTTCAAATGTGCAAACGAGAAGTTTGTTTTTGAAGGCGAATTTGCCATTGTATTTGTATCCATTCTTGTCGACCAATGCACGTCAACGATCATTTGAATATTTGAGACTAACAAGTTTGGGAGTTATTGGGGCTTTAGTCAAGAATGATACTCCAGAAGTTATTAATTTTCTTTTAACTACAGAGATTGTGCCATTGTGTTTGAATATAATGGAGATATCTTCTGAATTGTCCAAGACTGTTGCCATATTCATATTGCAAAAAATTTTACTTGATGACCAAGGGTTAAACTATGTATGTACCACATTTGAAAGGTTCCACACTGTTGCTTCTGTATTGTCGAAAATGATTGAACAATTGGCGGTAATAACCACTGCTAATGCCAATGGGAAACCAGTTACAGGACAAGGGCAAACATCATCATCATCATCATCATCATCAAATAGCTCAGGAAGATTATTAAAGCATGTGGTGAGGTGTTATATGCGACTTTCGGATAATGTTGAAGCCAGAAAGGCATTGGCTAATATCTTACCTGAACCATTGCGTGATGGGACATTCACAACGATATTGCAAGATGATGTAGCAACAAAGAGATGTTTGGCTCAATTGTTGGCGAACATCAATGAACAATAATAAAATAGAGTCGAGTGTGGAAGAGTTTAAAAGTAGTAGAATGTAGTTATCCAAAAACTTGTATATATCTTTAGTATACAAGTTGTTTTACTGACCTTCACTCCTCTGATTTTTCATCTATTTAGATTCTTTAGTGTCCAATGGAGTCAATCTCAAGTATGGTTTGATAATCCTAAACTTTGGGAAAAGAGTCTTTGCTTCTTCGTTTGAGACTGATGGGTGAACAATTACATCATCACCTGGAACCCAATTGATTGGAGTAGTAACTCTATATTTGTCACCAGTTTGTAAAGAGTCAACAACTCTCAAAACTTCAGCAGTGTTTCTACCAGTACTGGCTGGGTAAGCCAAAGTCAATCTAATCTTCTTTTTTGGGTCAATAACAAAGACTGATCTAATGGTAAATTGAACACCCTTGTCATCCACATTAGTGGCATCTTGATAATCAATCATATCGTACAAGTGAGCGATTTTTCTTTCTGGATCAGCAATGATAGGGAAATTTAATTTTGAGCCAGTAACTTCGTCAATGTCTTTAATCCAAGCCTTGTGGGAATCAGAGTTGTTTGCTGATAAACCAATCAATTTGACATTTCTTTTAGCAAACTCCGGTTCCAATTTGGCAAAAGCACCCAATTCAGTAGTACAAACAGGAGTGAAATCATCTGGATGACTAAACAATACAGCCCATGAATCACCAATGTAGTCGTGGAATGAAATTGGACCATTGGAAGTTTCAGCTTGAAAATCAGGAGCAGTTGATCCCAATCTAAGTGTTTTTGATTCCGACATTATAGTATATTGCAATTGATATCAACTGTTAGGTAAAAGAAGATGAATAGTAGAAAAAAAACTGGAAAAGTATGAAAAGCGGGTCTTTAGTGTTTTATATATACTCAATAGTAGAAGACAATAAGTGTGCATGGGAGTGTCCCTGTGTGTTGTACTGTATGTATGTGTGTAATGTGTAATAAAAACTGTGGTTCTGTTTTTGTGTTATAGTTTAGCGTACAGTTAAGCAATTAAGCAACTATTACAACAAATCACGTGTAATTTGACATTGTTTTCAATAAACACATAAGCACATACACATACATGTACAACTATAGGAGTATTCAATTTTATAAAGAACAGCGAAGTAGACGACTCCAAAACAAATTTGCGACAATCGACATAGTTTGGGGTGTATCATCGTTAATTAATGCAAAACACAATTGTGATAAGTGGTAAGTGTATTTAAGTAGGCGTTTGGAAAGACAGTCAACCAAAGGACAACAGACACACATATAATAATAAGCTGCAACAATTTTGCATCTATTTTGGTACCAAACTTTTGCATCTACAAAAAACAATACATGGTTCATTCCAGAGTAATCCCTTTTGCAAATGGCAAACTACTTCTCTATACTCTTTCGTATCTACGTATCTCATTCCCTTTCCTTCTATTGTACCACTTTTTCACATCTATAATTTATCATCATCGGAGTCATCAATATATACACCAAAATCATTTAGGCTTTCTCCCATGTCATTTTGCCAATTACTTCTTTTGGCGTTGTATCTAGGATCCAATTGTTTCTTTATTTGAGAATAGTTGTTAATACTTCTTAACTCATCATCATTCGGTGTTGGAATCGTAATGTTTTGATTCCCTCCATCTGGTGGCCAAGGTAATCCCAATTGGTCATCCTCCTTATAATCTAATGAAGGTTCAATGTCAAGGCCGCTATTATTTGGCTTAGACCATGGGACTAGCCACATAAACGGAGAGCCTAAAAAGTGCTTGAGGTTGCCCCAAAGTCCGTAATCGTACGGAAATATCAAATCATCAATGGTAAAATTTTGAGGAACTGTGTCGTTATCTTCATCCACTCCCTCGTCGCACTCTTCTTCATCCGCTCCCGGGTCACACTCTCCTTCCAAATCTTCGTCGTCACGATAGTGTGATTCTGTATCGGTAGACTCTGGCCCCACGAGGCTATTCAACTCATCATTTTCTTCTTGGTTCATGATATCATCCAAAGGGTATTCTTCATCATCAATTGGAGTTTTGTTAGTCCATGTATTCAATTTTGGTAATTTCTTCCCATGCAACTGCTTATAATTCAACCTAATTGACTTCCATAGTCTTTTGCTATGAAATTGACTATCAATTCTATCCCACTCCCAAATCTCAATCTGAGTCATACCTTTACAAATATTGATCAAGCATCTTATGAATAACAACGAAATGCTCAACAAAATAAACAAATCTATAGGTGTGAAAACAACAACAGCAATCAATTCTGATCGCTTTATAAGATAAATTGGTTTATCCAGGTCATTATAGTACCCAATAATACGTTCACAGAATTGAACAAATAAATATAAAGTCCCCACAATTACCCAAAATAAAAACCTCATAAAATGAGGCAAATTGTTTGCTCCAACACAATTGAGAGTCCAGGGACAATGGTGGTCCATCGCCATCACACATTTGTTACACTTTGAACAATGATGAGTTCTAGGTGGCTTGTAAATTCGACATTTAGTACAATATCGTTTCCATTCACCCTTTTTGGGATTATAGTTCTTAGGAGGCTCTCCTGGACTGGTATATATCGCTAAAGCATATGATGCCCAAATCATCGATGCCAAACATTCGTATATAATTTGTTGGGTGGTTGACAAATGATGACGAAGAATGAAATAGTGTGAACCATAGGCGGTGCATGCAATAATTGCCACAGGTATTATCACGCCCAATAACGGCCATCGAAACTCAAGCATCATCTACACTTGGTGAAAAACAAAACACACAGGATTTGGATAAACTATAGTTTGGTTGATACAATACAGTCCATTTGAATCAAAGTTGGATTGAGGTGTGTTTGTAAACCCACGTCGTGTACTTGCGTATCATTTTTTTTTTTCTCAAGCACTATGAAAGTTTTAGTGGCGAAAAAATAGCAGACAAACTTGATCACCATATAAAGAACAGAATTCATACTCAGTTGGCTTTATCACCCTTCACGATTGATAGTAACACGCAATGGTATGTCCCGTGATGCCCACTTGTTGCAAAATTGAGATTTGAAATTTACTAACTCTTATGCATTAGACATCAATTGGTACTGGATATGATTTGTCAAACAGTGTTTTCTCCCCAGGTATGTTGAGCTAAATTCATACTTATATATGTCCGAGTAACATCTTACTAACAATCGACCCCTCACCATAGATGGAAGAAATTTTCAAGTAGAATACGCAATGAAAGCGGTGGAGAATGGAGGAACTTCAATCGGTATCAAATGCAAGGATGGCGTAGTATTGGCTGTTGAAAAAATCATCAACTCAAAGTTGTTGGTGCCAGGAAAGAATAAAAGAATTCAAACGGTGGATCGTCATATTGGAGTTGTTTATTCAGGCTTACTACCAGATGGCCGTCATTTTGTCAATAGATCACGAGATGAAGCCCAATCATTTAAGTCGATATACAAGATCCCCATGCCAGTTCCAAACCTAATGGATAGAATGGGAATATACGTACAAAATTACACTTGCTACAACTCGGTTAGACCTTTTGGTGTCGTTTCGATAGTAGGTGGTGTTGATGACGACGGCCCCCATTTGTACATGATTGAACCAAGTGGTACTTGTTGGGGATATAGCGGAGCAGCCACTGGTAAAGGTCGTCAAATTGCCAAGTCTGAATTGGAAAAATTAAACTTTGAAGAATTGACATGTAAGGAAGCTGTCAAGATTGCAGCAAAGATTATCCATTTAGCTCACGAAGACAATAAGGATAAGGATTATGAATTGGAGATATCATGGGTGAGTAAAGAGCACACTGGTGGGAAACATCAGTTCATACCAGAAGATGTGTTGGTAGAGGTAAGAAAGCAAGCCGAAGAGGAGGAAGATGACGATGAGGAAGAAGAGGAAGAAGGTGGTGACGAGAATAAGGACGAGGAAATGGAGACATGATGAGAGTGCCTTCGTGGGTTAGAAGTCAGCCTACAATAGAAATTCAAAATCGTGTGATATAGTGCAAATGCTAGTAGTTTGTAAGCTTAGTGGTTGCAGTGATGGTAACACATAGCCTCTAGTTATTAGTGAGCACTACGGAGTTGCAGTTTGGAGATGAATTCTCCCCACCGACTGACTCTGTTCTACTCAGACACCTGCATATAACCAAAAAAAATGTAAACAAAGTACGATTCAAATCTGAAACCTGCAACCTTTAACGCGAGTACCAGTTACTTTTTAGAGACCCCATTTCTAAAAACAACATGCTTCCAGATGCTCTGGTTCTAGAGTCATCAAACTTGAGCAATAAAGAATCGGTTGATTTGTATGTTGAAGAAAACGATCCCGAACTTGAACTACGACTGGTGTCAAGTACGCGATCTTCAACCCACTCACCACGATCGCATGATATGTCAAGCCCCTTCATTACAAACCCGCAATCGCCACAACAAGAGGGACCAAGTCATTCCGGTGTCAGCAGAGAAGATAAAAATACTAGCAGAAAAACAGTTGATGTGTTCAGCTCGCCCAGGCAGACTACAAAGAGACACCAGGATTTTGGTAATGAACTGGGGAAGCACTCACCGATCAGGAACGAATCGTTTGTTGACAATTCACTTGATTATCCAAATCAAACCCCGATAAAACTCCAGAACCAAAATGTGTCACCGTGGAGACAATTTCGACCTCCAAGCAGCCTCATTGCACTGCAAGGATCATCCAGCATCTTTGATAACAAACCAAATTTAAAATACACAAGCACCACTGTCCCCCAATCTACAGATACAGAAACAAACACCCATTCAGAAACTGAAGATCTTAACAAACAATTGGTACATTACAGACTAAAACTTAAAGTGATGAAGGAATTTTTGCAAGATTTGATTAAGGAGAAAAGAATTGATCCGAATGAGATTGGTCCGATCATGGCCGACGTGGACGTCTATTCAAACCAACTGCTGCTCGAAAAACAAATTCATCAGCTTCAAGTTGATAGGAACGAGTCACTAGAAATTATGGATGGTTTGCGCGCAAACCTCGAAGAGTTTGAACGATGTAGTAAAGATCAAGATGTCAAAATAGCAGACTTGAACAATATCATTGAAAAGTGTCGGGAGTTGATCAGTGAGTTTGCAGCGCATTTACAAAATGACGAAAAGACAGAAGTTTGGAGGAGTGTACTTCACCAGCTGGCAGCTATGCCGCTTTCTGTACAAGTAGAGGGCCTTATTCAGATTGCAAGTGGATTGATACAGCTGTCAGTCAATGGAGGAATCCACACTTCAAATACACAAAGTCCACCATCAACTCCACCTTTATCAACTTGCCAGCTGGATGGGAACATTGATTTAGCAAAACAGATTGAAAAATTGGAATGTGAAAAGGACAAGCTTTTGCAACTAAATGCTCAACTTGAAACGGATTTAAATGAAAAGACTCAAGAGGCTCAAAAATTGCGTACGGAGCTTGAAACGACTGTCGAGTCAAACATGTTATTGAAAGAAAAGATGGAGTTAGAAGGAAAAGAAAACGCTGAACAGGTGACACATTTGAAGGCTGTGATTGAAAAGTTCGAGCATGACCTGAAGAACCAAGACTATAATTACGCTGCGATTGATGGTAAGGACAGGGTGATACCTTCTTCACAGTATGAAAGTTTGGTCATAGAGCATCAAGATCTTCAAAAAGCTTACGACTCTCTACTCAATGAGCTCAACGATTTCAGGGAATCTGCTGCTCGACAATCTCGCCTTGATGTGATGGAGAAAGAAAAGCAAAATAGCTCCAATCTGGAAACCACGTATCTCAGTGAGCAAAATAATAAAGTGGCAGAACTTCGAGGTGAGCTTGATCTAGCGTTGAAGAAGCAACAACTACACGAGTCAGAGTTAGCGCAGAAGACGTACATAAATTCGCAACTTCACAAGGAGAATGAACAATTACAGATAAAGTTGAAGAAAATGACTGATTTTGTTACTTATACAACCACTGATGAGAAAGAACGAGTCATGAAAAAGTTATCGGTTATGGAATTTCAGTTCAAAGACTTGTTGAAATTTGACTTGAGTGAATTTCAAAAATTGATACAATCACTCAACAAAGTAGCCGAGGATGAATCGTTACTCAATCCAGTCAAGAAATATGAACGAATCAAAAAGGCTTTAGTTGGTGATATTGATGAAAGTAGTATTCGAATCATGAGAGAAAATCATAAATCGGTATTTGAATACTTTGTAAGAGCAACTGACATATTGATCAACAATTATGTGAGATTATTGCTTGCTGAAAATTGTGAACAATCCACTGAGAAATTGGAAAAACAAATGACGAAGCTCAAGGAACAGAATTCACTTTTGAAGAATGAATTGGAAAAACTCTACAAACAGGTACAGGAATCTGCCATAACAGAGATGGAGTCAGCAACATCACGATTGAGATTGGACGACATGAGACAGAAGTGGAAAGCTGAGAGGGAAAGGCGACTAATGGAGGATAGGGAAGCACAAAAGCGATATAGCGAACTAAGAAGTGAAATAGCCAGACTCCAATCTGGGTCATGAATGGGGAATATTCTCAGTTGAAGACCAAAGAAGCTTACTTATGCGGATTGCTCAATCTAGATACGTGAATACCATTAATGAACTTTATGTACTACATAGAATAAATCCTATGTGGTACGTTAGTTTTACAATAGTACAGCATGAATAGAGTTGTTGACTTGTCAAACTGTCGTATAGTTAAACAATTATATTCTTTTTCCACCACCAAAGCTCACACAGCTTTTGTGATAAATGTATACCTCATGCGAGATGAAACAATGAGCGCATTCGCTTCTCTTTAAGCTCAGAGTCTTTAGTGAGAACTTGTAGTCTACTGGTCATGTATTAATTTGTGGCAAGTCCAATAGCTTGGCTCAGCGTATCTGTGTCGTGAGGAAAGTCCAAAAATGCGACATTCTGGTACAACCCTACAAATTTTCCATGAGAGGAGCTTGGTGTTGAACCGAAGCTCACGAGATCCAGTTTTTCATCTTGCACTGAGGCTAATGAGAAACTCTACTTGCATTTTTTATCAATCCCGAAAAGTTTATTAAAAGTAAAGTACCCTCACTATATAAAAAAAAAATAAAAGTTTGGACGACCGAACCCCCCGATCCCCCGTCCTGCAAATATTGAAACACACTTAAAAAAAACAAAAGAAAAAACAAACAAAATCAACAAATGAAACCAAACCCAATTCAATAGCTAGTAAAGTCAAGAAAAAAGAAAGATGTCACGTTAGAAAGTTGAGCCACCCAGTTTGGAATACTAATTGGTAGACCTTTGTGTGTGTGTGTGTGTGTGTGTAACTAAATAGCTTGACTAACTTTGTGTTCTCCCTTTTCTCCACTTACACTAATTGTTTCATTTTTGATTTCATCAACGTCATCAGAGTCCCCTGTACTTGCAACAGCATTTCCCTCTTCATCAGCTTCATCATCAACACCAAATCTTGTGCTCTTTAATTGAGCAAAAAGTTGTTGTTTTTGTTGCTCATTCAATTCGTGTTGCTTCTTGTTCTTTATATGGTACATTGGGTTCAATGACCGCAATGTAACTCCCTTCAAGAGTGGCAAGTGTCCGTACTTCTCTTCGTAAAGCATCAACATCAAAGTGACAATAACTGCAAGCCAGTACATATTGTAAGAAATGACCGACCCATAAGTGGCGGAGTTTTGCCAACCCAAAAGCGCATTGAACACGTCCCAACCATTGTCAATTTCTGGGTTACAACAGTTGACATGCCAAACTGACTTGGCAATATCATAAGTCCCAGGGCCGGACCCATTTTCAGAAGCATCACCACCAGTCTGATTGTTGAAAACGTGAGACTCAAAGTACCAAATGCCTCTGGAAAACAAACCGCCTGCAATCAAGTACAATATACCGGTTGAGATGATCAAAAACACTTGCAATGAAACAGTTGATCCAGAATAGTACAAAATTGTACCAACAGCAATACCGGCAATCAATCCACAAATGACAGGTATGGGAAAAGCAGTGGCTGGTGAGTTCAAACCAACACCACCAACGAAGACAATAGCTTCCAAACCTTCTCTAAGACAAGTAATGCATGGCAAGATGAACATACAGTACTTTTTAGTCAAATATCCAATCTTGAATCTATCCTTCTTCTTGTCCGGGACTTTAGTCAATGCCTGTGCCAACTTGACTCTCCATTTCTCCTTCATCTTGTTAATACGCAACATAGCAATACCCATCAATGAAATCAAAACAGTGGCAATTATACAAAAGATACCTTCCCATAAGTCCTCAGATGACGACCAGATATCATTACCCAATGTGTAAAACAAGGCGATAAAAATGGCACCGATTATAAGACAAATAATGACACCCAACGCGGCACCATACCAAACTTGGTTCCGCAATTTCTTGTACACCTTCGGATCATCTGTAGCTTTACCGATACCTTGTTTCAAAAATGCTAACAAGACAGAAACAACAACAACTGCTTCCAAGCACTCTCTGAAAACAATAAAAAAAATTTGAACGTTGAAAACATTCACCATGATTGTTTAATATAAAATTAAAATATGTTGTGACACGTGATGGGTTGCAAATATAAAAAATCGTATTAGATCTGCAAAAAAAAAATTTACACTTTAGCAGCAAAAGTGATTATGTGTGAGTGGGGGGTGGGGGGTTAAAGTTTCGGTGAAGAAGAAGAAGAAGAAGAAGAAGAAGGAAAAGGAAAAAGGACATGATCAAATCAACGACCTCTTTTTCATCTCATTTTATACTAGAAACTATCAAAGGAGGCTTTAAATTTTTTATTAGCTTTTGAAGCTTTGTATTTTTTAACTTTGTATGTAGCAAGTAGTAGTGTATTTATGGTTAATTTTATTGTTCTTTTCTTCTTTTTTTTTAGTTATTTGGTAGCAATTTTTTATCTGATTAATCTCTAAATTCATAATCAAAATACACTCTCCTCCTTTGGAGAGGGTGTTTGACTGATAAAATTCACAACTTACCCACCCTTTCAGTAAGGGGAGAACTCAGCGTAGTCGTTCCCGCCATAGATTTCCAATAATAATAGTTAGCTAAATCCCTCACCTTCCACAACTAACTCGTGCGCCTAACTCTTTCCAACGAAATTTAATGAAACAATTTCCTTTTTTTCTTTCTTTTGTGCAAAGTGAACGGCACCAATTCTATTGTTTGGATGGAAGTAACCAATCAAATTCAAGCATTCAAAAAGAGGCTTAACGTGAGAGAAGAGAGAGAAGCTACATTTCCACTGTATGCAGTATAAATTAAAGGGATTCACGGTTATAGCTCGATGGTGCATCTGCTCATGAAGTAATCCCCTCTATATTCGTAGAGAGGTAGATTAAAGAGAGTTGGAAGAGTAGAAGAGGGAGTTGAAATCATGACCAGTTGTTTTTTTGAGGTTACACTTTCATTATAAAACTCCGCATATTAATTCAAAGGGTTGTTGATTGTTTGATTATATTCTACCCTTTTTGGTTTTCTATTTACTTACAACCTCAACCATGCCGCGAGTGTAGTTCTTGGATAAAGTTTAGTAATGTTAATACTATGTTTTATTTGGTAACACAACACCACCCCTTTGCAGTATAATTCCTGGGGATCCAATTGGGCCTATCCTTATATTGCTTATAAGAATCAATCTTTCGATTCACCCATCAGCAATATAACAAGAGTCTCTACTTTATGTTGCATCTACCGCTGAAAGTTATATAACACCGTCTAGAGCAACACTAGAAAAGAAGATCTTACGAACTATTTTAAATAAGGGTAGAGGAATCACATTCAGGGGTTTCTATATCCTTTGAAATGAGCGACGCTCAATATTTGCCACTTAGCAACATATTGACAACATAATTGAAGCAAGTACCCACAAGAGCCAACCGCTCTAAAGAGCGATAATGCAGCCACAGTCCATAAGATAAATGCAAGGTAAATGTTTCGAGCTGTGTCCCCAGGCTCATACACTTGCACCATAGTCATTATAAAGATCAAATTTGCCAACATCCAAAAAAGCACAACTTTTGTTCGTACATCTTTAGCGTAGTCATCCCCATCCAACACATGCTTGATGGTTTTCTTCTTGTTTAGCTTTTTACTTGATCTATTCGCCCTTATATTGTACAATGTTTCAAGATAAACTTCATCAATGTTCACATCCATAACAACAGCTTCATACTCACCTTGTGCATTTTGCTCAATAATATACTGATTCGTTTTATCTTCTTGCGGGTTATTGTCTCCCTTGGTACCCCAGGACACATCGTGGGTATTACAAAATGCAAAAATTTGCAACGTGCAGGTGTATGCGGGGATTAATAAAAAATACTGTATCGAACAAGTCAACATATGCCATGGATCGAGGTACAATATCGACATCAATGTGTACAACCCATAAGTGGACAATAGCGAAACCACAATACTTACCAAAACATACGACGAGGTGTTCCCCAGACCAAATTGGTCTATCGTATTGACAACGAAAACTAGCCCCACAATCAATGCGTACAATGAACACACCGTTAGCAATATTATAAGTGCTTTGAATATATTTTTAGAAGCATGAGGTCGGTTACCAATGGAAGCAATAAACAACGATGTCAACACACAAATGCATAGATAATTAAACAAGGTAAAAATCCAAAAACCCCCATTGTGCCCCAAATGCTTGTAAGATACAAGTGACCCGGTAAGGAAATAATAAGTCAAATAAAAATTACTCAACGAAAAGAATGAGAACACCAAGCTTACTGTTTGATATATGAATTCAACATGAAGCCAAAATTTTCTTGAAAATGAGTGGTCTGTGTACCAAATTTTTCTCCCGTGATACAAGGAGTACAACGCGGCAAAGAATGCACCATTGATCCACCGTCTTCTTTGTGCAAGAAACTCCGAAATGGTCTCGGGGACATCAGTTTCACCTGTGGCCAGTTTCACAAATTTCAAAACCCAATTATCACCCCTTTTTGACACAAGTTCCCAGCACAAAATTCTGTCCTCTGCCAAGTACATATTAGCTTCAAAGAAATTGGTTTTGGTGTTTTCCTTGTCCTTTTCATGAGACTTGAGTAAATCCTCGCCTTTGAAATAGGATGCAAGTGGACCGGTTCCATCCTCATGATTTTTAAGGGCAATGTAACGATACGCTGATAAAGCACCTGGAAGGACCGATATGTAGCCAAACAATGACTCCAACGGCTTATCAAGAATATTTGATAGCTTATACTCAAAGTTTTGAGAAGCAACCAATGGGTTTATCAAATTCCTCCAACCTTTTCCTTTCATGGCTTTAATTTCCCCAGCCGCACCAGCAACATTTGAATCTTTGTCAAATGCCTTCCATAAATTGTAGACAGCATGGTTATCGGGTTTGGTCCCCACGTCAAGAAGAATAATAACATTTGGGTCCAATATAGGACAAAAAGCGTTGAATAACCACCGGTGTGAGTTAATCTTTTTTTGATTTTGCTCTTTTAAACAAAATAGAACCTGAACTGGAGTCAAGTTCTTTTCGTCACCCTTAAACTTCAATTGTTCATCAATGGATATTTGAGTTGTGTATTCAAATAAATGAGCTTTCACCTGTTTATTGTTTACGTATGGCCTTGTCAAATTATCCTGATAGCACCCGGTTGCCGTGAGCAATTGTAAAACCGATTCATTGACTTTGTTCCTACCATCGGCAACAATAACCACTTGAATCTTTTTCCAGCTATCTTTACCCCAAACCTTGGATTTGCGTCTGGAACATAAATGTGCCACGTTTTTCATCACCCCATGCATTGTTCTTGCGAATGCAAATTCGTCTTCATTATACATAGTAATGCACACTAGAATCTCTGTTTCTCTACCGTATTTCGCTGCTCTTAATGTGAAGCCTTCTTCAACAAATGTATCGGGATCCGAAGTACATGCGGTATAGGTCATATTAGTGAATTCTCCAAATGGTGATTCAGTTCTCGTCAATACTTTGCGCAACTCTCCAGGTACGGGATTCTCCAATACCAAGTTTCCTTTTTTACCCCCAACGAGTCTCACTTTCCTGCGTGTGATGGTCTTTTCCCTATTTGGATTATATACTGCGTCAATGTTTTGCATCAAGTTGCCATCAATTGATTCGGTAAAATATTGTGCTTCATCGTTAGGATCGGATAAATGTGAGTATCCAGTGTATGCAGTGGACTCAGAATACAAGGATTTTGCATCGTCCCTAGTCTCTTCTTTTGTCCCATCTGTGTCAAACTTTTTGTCATCTTCATAGTATGTACTTTGATCATCCGCATAGTGACCATCCGCATAGTTCCCAGCGTCATAGAGCGTACCAGGAGTGAAAATTGGTTCAGGAGGATCTAAGTATCGCTGACTGCTAATTGTGCTCCCTTTAAATGAAGATCTGAATGGTGACCCGCTATTCTTTATATCATCATCATCAGCATCATCAATCAATACCTCTGTATTCCTTTGTCTCTTTGGAGATTCGCGTGAAGTATAGTGCGCCCTAGGTGTAGTCTCGGAATCCATGTGTGGATCAAACTCCAAGTTTGGTGCGTTCCCAACAAACGGGGACTTTGCATGTCTGCCTTGTTGGTTGGCTCTACCTGTGCTTCTCGAGAAAATGTTTGGCGATTGCTTAATTGACTCTCGGTTTTGCTTGATTTCTGAAGCTGGGAATCCAACAAAGTCCTCTGTGGTGTCTTCTTCACTATCATAGTCCAACGGCTGATACCTCTTTGCAGGACTTGAGCTTCGCGTGTATGCAGCATATGGTTGTCTTATTGAAGATTGTTTTGGCTCATCACCATCGTCAAATGGATTCATCATGTCACTATCAAGCAAGACTTTACACTTTAAAAGCTGGAGATGCTGATGGAGTGTATTCTTTTTGAAAAAGGTGAACTTATTTGCATCATTGCCTCAGTTGAGATTAATACCATCATTTTTGCCTTAGTATTATGATCGAGTACCGTAAAAATTTCCAAATTTGTCCAAAACGAAAACAAAAAGAAAAAAAAAAAAAAAAAAACAAACACAGAGATTCTACAAAGTGACACAAATGAACACTGACAAACCAAAAGTAGTTCTATGACTTCAACATCGAGAAGGTCTACACTGATTGAGCTCGAACAAATGCTCTTCGCTGCGGCCCACATTAAGTTAAATGTTGCAAGGCATAATCACCACGAAACCAGAATGGAACAGATTTACTTGCCAGCTCTTTAAAATTCAACCAGATCAACACCATTATGCGTGCGACTAAAAAGATCACTCGGGGAGTAGTTTTCTTGCTTGGAGTAACGACTTTCGCAATAGCTTTAGTAGAATTTCAATTGTAATCTTCGTACCAATCAATTTTTGTAGAACCTTCAAAAACAAGTTGCAGCATTTTTTTTTTGCAACAAAATTGCTCGAAATAAAGACGAAAAGTCTTTGACACAAACACTTGCTTATCATTTATAAAGATTACTGCTTAACCGAACTATAATGAACAAAATTTACTTAGGTTAGACTGTTTATTCTCACTCAAAATGCACACAACAAAACTTAATAGCATCAACATTTAGTGTTTACTAGGAAGAACAAAGAATGATGAGTTTACAATCGCAACGGTGCACCAGAGACCTATGACGTAAATCAAAGCTATTGTAGACGACTTTTGGCTAAGGCATGTTTAGCTTCCGGCTCTCCGCTGTGAATCAGCGTGTGGCAGATTGGTGTGCTCTGATGTCTGCATTTTGAAGATCGTGTACTTTTGACAAAATCTACGCAATACATGGCCCCTTTTTTTGATCTCTTACTTTTTGCTGCCTCACAGATATAAAGTGATCTAGGCAATGCACCTGTTTCAGCTTCATGAAGAACCTTGATATCCTCCCTCATTCAAGAAAGAACGATGCTGATACACAGGTAAACAAAAGCACTGGTGGCGACCAAAACTCGTCCCAGATTTCAAACGTCGAATTCGGTACCTTGAAAAAGGTTGGAACCAATGTGTCACAAGCATCGACATTTAGTAATGCAACAGCCAAATCCAATCCATTAGTCAAGCTTTTCACTCGAAACAGATCACAATCCAACGTTGCTGCCAGAAATTCAGAAGTATGCATTTTGGATGCTCCGGATTCGAAAGTTGAATTCGACGACAACGAACCCTTGAAAGAACCCAAAATTACCAAGTTGAGAGCCGCGAAAAAGATATTGAGTCCAACGAGCAAGCTGCATTTCGATTCTGTGATAGACTCAAGCTCCACTGATGAAGGAATCTCCAAGAGGCAATCGAGCGAAGAATCGAGGGGGAAGAAGCAAATAATATCGTCACCCCTGTCTGGTTTCCATAATTTATTCCACAAATCTCACTCTGCAAACGGCTTGTCCAAATTTGGAGATCGCAACGGTGAGGACAAAATACACACTAGCTCCTTAAAGGCCTCGATTTGCTTATCCTCAAACAATTCCAATTCTGTTGTGAATGATATAATGCTCGCTCGAGTTTATAAATTTACAAATGCTAATTTCTCAAATGAAGATGGTGAAACATTTGCAGAGCATTCTTCGCTTCTTGATATTCATAGGAAGATGTTGACCCCTGCCGATCTGTACATTCAAAACAAATTGAATAAGCACCATCAACATGAAATTGGGCTAGGTATTGTTGATAAAAGTGAAACTGCGGTGTTGGGCATGCCAGCTAATGAAGAGGCAAAACTAAATAAATCACGTCAGCAAATATGCTCGCTACTCAAGCCATTGTTCATACCATCCAGACAGAAGAAAGTGGCATCTTCGAATGAGTATCCATTTTTGGGGCACTCCCTAGATGAAATAGGGCATATAATCAGAAATCAACTTTCACTGGACTCAAATAGACCTGCCAACAATGTTGAGCTGACCCCAAAGTATGTGAAATATAAGCTGAGGTCAAACAAGTCTAGCTCAAAGGGTCAAGTGCTTGGTGCAGATACACATGACAGTATGTGTACTACACCTTTTGATGAAAGCGACTTGAGGGAAATCATCCTGGATCTAACCACAATTTTTTTGTCATGTTTAGGTTGGTTAAGGCGTGATGTGCTTCAATCTGTGAGACCGTCCGAAAATAGCAACAAACAACGCGGTTTTGATTACCTAGATATGTGGCAAATCTTATCCCAATCATGGTTTTATTACAACAAAAACATTCGCTTTCAAATTTTGCAAATATTTCAAGTGGTGTTCACTACCACCCCTAGATGGTACGGAGAGCCAATCTTGCCCTCAACTTATATCGATGAAGTCTTGCAAAATTCTTTCTGTACAGTATTTATCGTTCCCATAGTTGAAGACAGCAAGAGACGCTCGATAGCTTCACTGTCTGTAACGACCATTGCAAGCTGCGGAGTGCTCGACAATCACGAAAAATCATTGTTTTTACATGACCCAACATTGCTCTCGAATGCATTACACTGTCTTGGCTCGCTACAGGCTTTACCACAATCGAGTTATTCCAATACCGAGATTGAAACGCATAATTTGAAACAAATAATGAGGGTCATGATAGCAAACTTGTCTAATCTTTCTTGACCATTTTTGATGTTGGAGTGTTTTGTTGGGCAATGCCTTTTCGGGTTGTTGTGCTCATTACACATTGTCCTCTCGGGAGTGCTGGCTTTTTCGTTTCATGTAAACTTTTCTTCACAGAGCTTAATACGAGAGCACATTTTTGACCACTTTGAACTCGGTGTCTTATTCACAACAACAGGCCCCGAAGAACTTCAATTCAAAGTAATCCTAGGTCACGTGGAGAGAATAATTCAGGATATATATTCAAGCTCCATTTGTGTCATATCAACCTAATCAACGCACAGAGAGAGAGAAGGGTCAAGCCTATCACGTCTCCATTGTCTTGAGGTGCATAAACGAAGATTGTGGGCTCAATGTGGAATCTTCCGGTGTTGCATCATAGAAGTGTCAAGTATAATAAACATGCTAGAGCAAACATTATCGCTGCTTATCTCTAACTGGTGTGATTTGTTGCTCATTGAAGGAGACACCTTTTTAAAAAAGCTGACAATAGAATGGCCAATAGCTTTGTCTTGTCCGATTGGATAATGAGGTTTGCCACAACAAGCGAAGTAGATTCAAATCGATTTCTTTTCTCTTCTATAAACAAGTTAGCTATTTTTTGCTCTGCATTACTATGACAAGGGCTCTATCAGAGCAGGATTCGTTGTTGTGCTCATAGAAAATTACTTTCAAAGAAAAAAAGAATACACGAACTAAAGAACGTTCACTGAACATTATTGAACTTTCAAATGTCTGATCGAGCCTATGAAAAGCATGGTATGAATGCGGCTGCGGCATTTATTGAAGACTCCTCTTCGGATATCAGTTTGGACGAAGAGGACGAGGAATTGATCTGGAGAGTCTTTTTCAGTGACTTGGAAAAGGAAAAAGAAAAGGACAAGAATACACCTGAGCAAATCGACCTGGTAGATGCAGGGGACACATTCTCTGAGAGGGAGGAGCTACTGTCGATAAGTCTGGAAGACCTACTATTACTCGACGATCAAGAGTTGACAAGTCGATATAAAGATCTTAAGAATAATGCCATTGATACGAATTTATCGGAGGAAGATCAGAAACGATTGCTCATTACAAACTTTACGAACGACCAAATGGAGAGATTTGAAGCATATAGAAGACTGACAATCAATAAACCGGGAGTAAAAAGAATTTGTAATGGAGTCGTGGGTCATTCTGTTTCTCAGGTTATAGCGACCGTGATGGCTGGTGTAGCAAAACTGTTCATTTCAGAGATTATAAGTAAATCTTTTGAAGTGCAAGAAAGGGATAATAAAGGGAAGCTTTTGTCCGATATCGAGCTAAAGAAGAAGCAGAAACGATCGGACATTGAAAATGGCCAACCTGAAAGAGAAACGAAGCGTCCTCGATTGCAGTATCAAGGTGACATTAATGCACCCCTTCAACCCAGTCACGTAAGGGAAGCTTTCAAATTGTATGAAAAAGAGTCATCAAGTGAGTTACCGAGAACTGATTAAAACGTATTTCGGTTAAAGCTTCATTATTGCTCATCTCCACTACTTTCATTTAAAAGGTACTATACATACGAGGTTTAAAACCTCCAACATACTGCTCACGATCTTTCCTTTAAATAAGGAGCATTGGCTTTTGATGTTTTGGTGCGAGTTTTGATGGCAATAAATGTTGCGTTGATAGCACTCGGGCTCACACCAAGTGAGAGAATTGATGAACAGTTGCGATGCGTTGCTTATGATACCATGTTTATTGTTTGGCACCGCATTACAGCGACGACTGGTGGACATGATCACTCGTGATCGTTTTACGGAGAAGCGAAAGCATAAATGTGTAATTATTAGCTATGTTGGGGTTGTTGGGGTAAACAGAATTTCGTTCAGTGCCACCACTGCTGTCATCACGTCGTGGTTATCTTTAAGTTAATTTATATATGTGCTTTGTATCCGAGATAAAGCATCACATGTTACTATATATTATTGATGTGTATCGAATGAAGTGAAACTGTACACACTTGCTCAATACAGGTCCATGATCTCTAAACCCATCTAGTTTGAAATTGTTACATCTTTTGTTTCGACGCATCTGTAGAATGACTACCTCTTCGCAAAAAGAGCCGCATCTTCAGAATGGTTCTGATGTGCACTTCCTGTGCCCCTACACTGTACAAACTACAGATTAACTCCGTACCCCTAGGAGTTTTTGACCATACTTCACCGTCTTGGGGCACCAAAAAATTTTCATTTTTTTTGGGGATTTAGGGGGTGCAGAAGCTGTATCTCTGCTGCACTAGCGTTGAACCGTTGTCGGTTTTCGCTTTTCCTGGCAAAATGCCAATTTTATGAGACTTTTTCTGTAATGCGTTATAACTTTGCTTAGAATAGCCTGAGCCGGCGCTGGAGACGCTCATTCCAATTATGAGTTACGTTGATAACAGCCACAAAAAGGGAAAGGACCCTAGATGTCTGTAGCATAAGCTGTGCTCTGAAGTAAAACATATAGCTGCGAAAAAGAAGTAACAATTGGGTGTAGTTTTTTTTCCTTTTTATTGATAGATGGATAGATGAAACAACGTTCAAAGTGAAGGAGAGGTAGGTAGAGAAACCCAGTTAGTAAGGGACTCATGTGATATAGTTCGATTATTTGCCAAGTTGCAAGTTACGAACTTTCAAGAATGAGTTTCTAGCTATGTATTAAGTTTTCAGACCTTATTGGTGCAAAAAAAACCATAAAAACTTGTATATCGTCTAAACCCTCACTTTGGAGCAAAAATTACTTTTTCGGGTAGAGATCTCTCGCCAGTACCTAATGAAAGTGCCTTTAATCGGGTTTCCCTGTGTCTCTAACCGTAATGGGTCTCAAGTTGAAAAGAGAGGAACCGAATGTTCAAAGTGCACTTATCGAGGAGAGAAGAAAAGAGTCATTCCGTGAACACGTGACAAAACAAAACAGAGATGGGGCTTTTAAAAAGATTAACAGTCTTGTACTCTCTGAGCTGCTGAGAGATAGTTGTTTTGATGATGACAATAACTTGACTTGCGGTTAGATTGCAAAAAGGACACTAACGAGCTGAATCTCTGAAAGAGCTTTTGGACTAGTCGGATCGAGATCACCAATCACTCCAAGACAAGAAGTACATCGTTAGTTTACGATGCCATTGCATCTTATTTCTTGGAATGGGTAACAAGTATGTCCACCTGAATTGTGCAATACAAAATACCTTCCTACGCGGTTGTTTTAACCATCCACACACGACAACTGAACGAACAAAGAAAATGAAAAAAAATAAAAAATAACAACAACCAGATTAAGTGTGAAAAAAAACAAGATTGATTTTATTTCAGTGACTCCATCTACGATGCCATTAGATTTACCTTTCGAAGTGCCTACTGATAACCCTGTGTACCAGAATTACAGAAAGATTTTGGTTACGTATCAAAAGTTTGTTGATGAATCTGTTCCTCACACTGGTTATAGATGGTTGGGGTTTGGAATTTTGCTCACTTTATTCATGACCAGGATTTTCATTGTTCAAGGATGGTACATAATCTGCTACGCCTTGGGAATATACTTGTTGAATTTGTTTTTGGCCTTTTTGACGCCAAAGTTTGATCCGTCTTTGGAGCAGGAAATGAAGAATGAATCCATTGAGGAAGGAATGGATCAGGAAGTGCAAGAGTCAGGGTCCAAGGATGATGAGTTCAGGCCATTCATAAGGAGATTACCAGAGTTCAAGTTCTGGTATAATGCAACAAGAGCCACTGCCTTGAGCATATTCTTGACTTTCTTTTCCATCTTTGATATTCCAGTCTTTTGGCCAATTTTATTGATGTATTTCATAATTTTATTTGCTTTAACCATGCGAAAGCAGATACAGCACATGACCAAGTACAAGTATTTACCGTTTGATTTGGGAAAAACAAGGTATAGAAAGTGATGCTTTTGTCATGAGTTGTATAAATTGTATAAATAATTGTTTCAAGAATGTGTGCTACGAAAGTAATATGTAAAGCATGCACCTCCGACCCAGTGCAAACGAACTAGTTTCAATATATGTATCTACTTTACAATCGGAAGCATTGCATTATGGATAACAAGCTCGAGCTTATGCAAAGCAAAAGCCCTGGCTAATCGTGCTTCGACCCACGAAGAAGGTCAAGATTATAGTGATAGTCAAAAATAGTATCTGGTCAAAGTATCTCACCTCACGACTAGCTCTCTAATGCAGCATGCCAAAAGGACTGCTCCCATTGGCCCGACCTACTCAATGACAAAGTAAAAAAGGGGTAGAAAATCGCAGATAACGCTTTTTATGGGAGATACAGGCATGAAACTATGGAATACTCTCATGGTGGACAATTCCCTCATAACAAACAAAGGACAATGAAGCCCTCAAAACAGCGCCATTTATTTTTCTGGTTGGCCACCCTCATTGTATAGAAGGCGAAGCAGAAGACAGTTGTGACTTCTTGATCTATTTTTCACCCCTTTTAGAGCCGAGCAACTAAGAGAAAAAAAAAGGAATAAAAAAAAAAATGTCGCAAAACGGAATCACCAAAAAACTCAGTCCGAAAACAAAACAGTAAAAAAAATTGTCGACTTTGGGTGACTTTTCACCAGTTAACTTCCTCTTCGCCAATTGCAATTGATCGACATATCTATCAACATTCCACAAGGAAGACCAATTAAATAAACCACGCAACACACCGAGGTTAAATATGAGTCGTGCCGAAGTAGATTTGCAGACTAGTGTAAAGAAAGCTTGCAATAGTGATGAAGTTCCACCAAAGAGAAAGCATGTAAGGGCATGTATTGTCTACACATGGGATCATAAAAATTCACGAGCTTTTTGGAATGCTGTCAAGATCCAACCTTTACAAAGTAACGAGATTCTGTTGTTCAAAGCTCTTATCATGATCCATAAAGTTTTACAGGAGGGTCATCCAAACACCTTGAAAGATGCCTACCGCAACAGAGACTTTGTCGCATCGTTAGCAACGGTGTTTCCAACTCATGGGCTGGCATACGGAAGATTGATCAATCAATATGATCGGTATATTTTGCAAAAGTTGGATTTCCATCGCAATAATCCCGGTTTCAATGGAACTTTTGAGTACGAGGAATATCTTTCATTGAGAGCTGTTAGTGACCCTAATGAAGGATATGAATCCATCCTTCAGTTGATGGATCTCCAGGATCTGATCAATGATTTGCAAAAGCTTATATTTGCGACTATTCATCGCTCTCACGGTAATTTATGCAAGGTTAGCGCATTGGTCCCTTTGATCACTGAATCTTATGGAATATACAAGTTTTGTATTTCGATGCTCAGGGCAATGTATCAACAATTGGGTGCTGACGAGGCGTTGACTGTCTTGTTCGATAGATTTGAGTCGCAGCATTTCATGTTACGAGATTTTTACACTGACTGCCAATCTATCAAGTTCTTGACGAGTTTGATAACCATTCCACGTCTTCCAAACAGCTCTCCCGACTTGCAAGTGGATGAAGATGGAAGGTCCATACCTGCGAATGCTGCACCTGAAAGCGACGACCGCAGCATGTCAAGGGCAAGATCAATCAGCGTCGAACCCCCTAGCATCCCACCCTCACTTTCCACTGATCAAATCTCTTCGCAACAAACCGGTTATCTTTTTGAGCAACAACAGGAGCAAGAGAGGATCCAAAGACAACTTGAGTTGCAACGTCAACAACAGCTTCAAGAACAGCAAGAGCAACAACGCTTATTTGAACAGCAACAACGAGAGCAAGAACGTCGATTCATGGAAGAACAACAAGCTCTTCAGATGCAACAAACTCAGCAACAACAAGGACGAGTGTCGGAGTTGGAGCACGACTTGCTCATGTTTAAGAATCAGTACGATAACGATCAGCAGTTATTGCAACAATATGACACAAGAGTTAAATCTTTGGAGAATGAAATGACCGCTTTCAACAATACTGCTACCCAACAGCTTACTTCTAAAACTGAACAAATTCAAAACTTGGAGGAGCAGATTGCAAATTGGACCAAGAAATATGAGTCACTTGCTAAGCTATATTCCCAATTGCGACAAGAACATTTGAACTTGTTGGCGAAATTCAAAAAAATTCAACAAAAGATTAGTAGTGCTCAAGAGTCCATTGCCAAGAAGGAAAAGCTCGAAAAAGATTTGAAGGCCAAAAATGTCGAGTTGGCTGATTTGATTAGAGAGCGCGATCGTGCAAGACTTGAATTGGATAGAGTGAAAGCATCAAAGGATCAAGAAATTGAAAAATTGGAAACTGAAATTAGGGATCTTAACGTTTCTGCGAAGGAATCGGGCAAGTTACAAAACATGAATCTTAGTGCCATCATGTCAAAGCACGAGGCTGAATTGAATGATTTGAAAGCTCAGTTGGAGCGCTATTCCAAGAATGGTGAACCTGGAACTATGGATGGTTTACAAGTACAATTGCAAGACAAGGAGACTGAGTTGGCAATAGCCAATCAGTCTCTCGAAGAAGCTTATAAAGAGATTGGGCGTATTAAAGAGGATCAAGATGATATTTTGAATGCAGAAATTGATCACATTATCATGGCCCATATTTCAAAATTTAAAAGCTTGATTGACATCTTTTTGGATAACAGCATTAGACGCATTCTAGACATCAAGCACGAGTTGACCTTGAATACATTAGGTTCAAATAACAATTCGTCTCCCGAGTACTTGTTGTCAGTTGTTGAACTTTGCTCTGACACAGCTACTGACTTTGCTTCAACGTTTAATGGATACATAGCTGAGAAGAACAACCAAGATGAGGAGACGTTTTCAGACATTATATTATACAGCTCCTCTTTGGTTACATATTTGAATGATTTAATGCAAACGTCAAAGAGCTTCTCACAGGCTTCATCGGGAAAAGAAGAAGAGAAGATTTTGACCCAAATGATGAGAGTTCTTAATGACGCCGAAGAATACTATCAAGGGTTGAAGTCAGAGAAACTCGAAGGTTTAGAGGACGAGGAGGACAGAATAGACCTGATCATAGATGGCAACCTTCAGTTACAGACATCCTTGAAAGACTTGGGAAGTTTGGCTGATTCCTTGAGGTTGTCGAGTGGAATTGAGTTCAAAGGTGATCTTGAGAGTATTGTGAACAAAGAGATGCAACAAACTGTTGATGCAGTCAACTCAGCCTCAAAGTATTTAACTGATTTGTTGAAGAACCCAAACATATATGGTGGTAACATTGAGATACACGAAACTTTGATATCATGTGCAAAAGCGATTATTGATGCTGTAGGAAGGTTGATTCAAGCTGCAGTGGAGTCGCAACGTGAAATTGTCAACAAAGGTAAGGGCTCGCAATCGAACGCGGAGTTTTACAGGAAAAACAGCAGATGGACGGAAGGGCTAATTAGTGCGGCGAAAGCAGTGGCCGGCGCAACAAATATTTTGATCCAAATTTCGGATGGTGTTTTGCAAAAAAAGAATTCTCACGAAGAGTTGATAGTGGCGTCAAATGAGGTTGCTGCGTCCACGGCCCAATTGGTTGCCGCATCCAGAGTGAAGGCTAATTTCATGTCGAAGTCTCAAGATACTTTAGAGTCAGCCTCTGGTGATGTAACACGCGCATGTAAGGCCTTGGTGTCAAAAGTACAAGGTTTGTTGAATGAGGGTGACCTGCAAACGGATGACATTGATTTGAGTAAATTGACTCCATATGAGGGTAAAACACTTGAGATGGAACAACAAGTGGAAATTTTGAAACTTGAAAATAAGCTTCAATCAGCCAGAAGAAGACTTGGGGAGATTAGAAAGCACGGCTACAAAGATGATGACAGTGATGAAGAGTAAGGGGGGGTCTCAAGTTATTCTTGTTGGAAGAATAAAAAGTGTGTAGTGACATATAATGAGTAATGGTGTTGCGAAACAACATGTAATGCTAGCAATTTCTCACAGAATTCTCCGACGCAGCAAAGGTTCGCTTAGCTGTTGTGCGTCATTGAATATTGATACTCTTCTCATTGTATTCCTAGCGATAGAGACGCTTTTAGACTCTCCCTTTCTCAAGAGATTCAGTAGTAATTGTATTCGTATGTGATACTGTCTACATACACAAGATAAACATTTCAGGAAACTAGACTGCGTGAAAAAAAAAAAAATAAATGAAAACAGAAAAATTTTGATTTCTCTGCCACACACATTGCAAATGTTTAAGGTAGAACAAGTCAATTTTGCGGATGAGTGCATATGCGGCTTTGAAAGCCAACTCCGTTGATGGTGATAGCTCTACGTCTACACCCGTCAATGTTGATGAAATTGCTTTGCAATATGTGAGGAATTCAGATGATGAGTGCAGTGATGATGAATATAAGTTCGCCACACCAGACATTACCAATCTCGTAGCGAGTGTCAATGATAGTAAATGCCCATCCCCAAGTTTGCCAAGGCAGAGAATTACTCAGTCAAACTTTTTACCAAGCGAACTGTGTTTACAAATTGAAGATGATTGTGTTATAGTGACACTCGAACGTGGAGATTTTATCATGATCAAAGGGATGTTCAAGCTCCGAATATTACAGGGAAACATACGCGTCAACAACTGTTACGAATTGAACTCTGATACCGATTGTACATACACATTCTTCTCAACTGATTTTCACTCTTTGCCGGTTATTGCCAATGCGTCCACGGAAAATCTGGAAATGAGCGTTGTTTCTAAAATCAAGTTGATCAACTACCATACGGGATTCAGTAACAGTACCAGAAAGCTTTTGCCGTTTCGATTAATTGCAAGTAGTGATGATCAAAATGAAATGCTCAAGCATTTTACTTTTCAGGTTGTCATTCAAAGTGATAATAATATCGGCATGTTTGTGGATGAATCATGGGTTAATTATTTTGGATCTAGTGCTGCAATATCACCGTATAACTTGATTGTTATGGGGAACAAAAATGCTGGCAAATCCACCTTCTGTAAATCTTTGCTGGACTATTTGCGTTTCCAAAAAAAACAATCCGTGGTGATTATGGACCTAGATCCGGGACAGTCTGACAACTCATCGCCGTATTGTATGTCGTTGAGTATACAATTACCTGATGGAGCTTGTACAACATCGGGGCATGTGTTTGACAAGAGTGAAGAATATTATGGTTTCGACAGTCCATTGGATGCACCACTGAGGTATCTTGAAGTAACCAGAAAGCTTTACAAAATATATTGCTCCAGGTATAAGCAAAAGGGCTACAGACTAATTGTAAATACCCCTGGCTGGATTAAGGGATTTGGTAAGACATTATTACAGAAGGTCACAATCATTGTCAATCCTTCGGACTTGATTCTCTTAACGAGCAATTTGTCGCTCGAGTTTGAGGAAAATCAAGCAGTGTTGCAAGGAATGAGCTATGTTAAGGCTACCTTATTACCAGGTGTCTTTCATTTGCCACCTACCGCACCTAGTCAATTTAGAAACAACAACAAACTTTTATACTTTCACCACAGAATTAGTAATGATTTTGAGTTCAGTCATTCCATTTTGAATCAGTCTCCGGAAAGACTTAGCTACCAGGTGGGGGGTTCAGGACAAGGGATATATGGCGTGTCGATTCTTAACTACGCGGTGGATGCCAGTTTTGATTTCAACAATATTCCCACATTGCTATCGTGCACGATTTGGGGAGTGTATAGCACAAGTTCCCCCTGTGGCGAGGTCTTGATCAGGGATGGCAATAACAACATATATCCCAACTTGATACGTTCGAAAGATCTTGACCTCGTGCTCGGGACTGGTAGTCAATTTTTGGGACTTCTCATCATCCATAGCATTAATATTCGCGATCACTACTTGAATGTTTACGCACCCCCAAGCGTGCTGAAAAAGGTTAAAGATACCCTCATTGCCAACTCCAAAATCGTTCTTGTGCGAGGTGAAGGAAGCATTCCATCGATTGAACTAATGGCTGAAAAGTTTCTTCATGCGGGTGTGGTAACGCAATCGCAAGACCCTCACCTGAACTTGTCAAAGACGTGCATACCGTACGTAAGTACAAGAGGAAAAGCCAAAGTTGGTGGTGTTTGGAAAGTGCGGAGAAACATTCTTCGAAGGAGCCAACGAAGGTGAATGAATTCCTTGAAGATGCTTAAATATACTGTGAAATCTTTTGAGAGAGGATGATGAACTTCTTGACTTTATATTATCAGGGCCAAGATGATTTTTGACCGAAAAGTGTTGTGTTCATTGTGGTGTCTCGATGGTATTTAGCGAGAAAGAATTACAAACCTTTTAGCGACCACATACTCATCCTCAATACGTGTCCTGGTTTGAGTTACGAATTCGTGAAGAGGGCCCGGTTGTAATGACACATCTTCATTTGCGAATTACGGAATCGTTTCTACACATTTATTGGACTTCTTTCTGCGGGACATAGAAGTGCATTTTAGAGTATCGCAGCAGCAACAATGAGCCCAGTGCAACACAATAATAGCTTCACTCGAAACTATGGTGGCTAGACAATAATAGTAGACACTATAACTTAACAAAACCATTCATAAAGCGAAGATACGGCCTCTTATCTCTTAGCGTGAGTGTATAATATAATTTGGCTTTGAAACATCGCACGAAAATTGCAGGACAATGCGAGATGTCAACCTCTAAAACAGTAGACATGGTAAGTTCTTGGGTAGAAAGTGGAGCATACACTATTTAAATGAAGCCTTGTTTGTCAGCACAGATTGATACAAGAAAAGCGTTTCCATCGCACTCTCTTATGCTAATAAATTCTCTGATTTCAGCTGATTCTGCGGTAATGTGTAGTTTTACAAAAATGATTTCCAAACAAGAATCGACATATCTGCGGCACCAACTTTGTTGAGACTCCAAAAACGCATGATATGGTAGCAAGAACTACCAGATTCTGCACCCACCTGGTTTGGAAAGCTCCCACACGTCAGCTCGAGCTTGATTCTCGTTTTTCGGTGTTAACGCATGTGTCTACGCTATATAAACTCTAAACCTCACTGATAACAGCCACAAGAAGGAAAGAAACCCGAGATGTCTGTAGCTTAAACTGCAGCATAACCTGTGCTTGGAAGTGAAACGTATAGCTGCAAAAAAGATGTTTCGATCAGGTTTCGATTAGGTGCAATTTTTTTGGTGAGAGTGGCTTGTATAGTGCACCACTTTTATGGGGGAAGAAAGAATGTGTGTGCACTTTGTTTTTGTGCATAAACAAATTCCCACACAAGATTGCAGTAATTGAACACCACCTCCTCTTCAAAAAATAACTTGTGAATGTGCTATCTTCCAATACGGGACATCACAATCATTATAGAAATTACTGTAATCATTAGAGGATGGTGAATACTATGCCTGATGCCAATTACGACTAAGTTTCGAGACACCAGTAATGATATTGTGTCAGTTTTAGACACCAAATGGTGATCTATCATCCAATCGAGTGTGCAGATAGCAATCAATCATTCAAGCTGGAGTACCATTGAATGTGAATCTCAATGAAGAGGGTAGATTTCGTAACAGACGAGGATCAATGGCTACGGTAGCTACAATAGTCACAGAGTGACTTGTAACAGAGATGCATCAGCTTACGCAGTTACAATGTGTACAAAGATGTCAGGTGTACAAAGATGTCGGGTACACGAGACCTTTCCGAGAGTGATGCAAAGGAGGAGTGCCATTAGCTCATTGATTGGGAAAAACTTGGAGGAGTAGGTTGCAACGGTGCACCATTGAAATCTTGATTTGAGTTGAAGAAGTCCAACACCGCTAACAAAGGTGGCACAGCGGAATGCCTTCTGGGGAGTCTTCACTTAAGTGTGTCTCGGCGGCTCTTCGTCAGTCTATTCTACTCCGATCGCCACAAATGAAATCAAAACTTTCCAATGTCAATGCAATGAAAATTGCGAGTTGAGAATAAATCCTGAACGACATCAAAGGGGTGTTACAATAAAAGAAGACGTATTTATTTTACAAACCTCCTAGAGCAAGAATGCGCAAATATTCAGCCCAGACAGATCCATTACCACATACATGTTGCTGCATATGGATGTGGATCAAGGGTTTGCTGAGTCCCAAAATACCAATTTAATTGGGGGAGAATCATACAGATGTTACATCTTCATTGGCGAAAACCTAAGTATAGAGAAGCCGCTGTATTATCTTCGTTCAATGAACAAGTATCATAGGCAAAGATGAATGCTCGACTCGACCGTTGCCTGAAAGGGTCTGTCAAAACTGCTATGTCGAAGATTGCTGGTGTTTTTGACTCCCTGGACTCGAATTGCTTGGTATGAAAAATCATTTTGGAGCAAGCTGGTGAGCTAGTGCTTTGTAGTCGATGCTTGATAAACGTCACACAGACCTGTAAGCTGAAGACCTGCCAATACAATTGTAGCGCTTATCACTCCTTCCAAGTGGACAACGCTATAAGCTTGAATGAGGAATGTTCACCTCAATAACAAGCATTCAATACAAAGCGTGTGATCGATTGATAGTGCTGACCCAATAATTTGTTGGTACTTTCAGAAAAGTCTGACTCCAGAGTTTAATAGCACGATGACACATTTTGAAATGGGCAACACGGCTCCCTTCCCAAAACAAAGAACCCAATTCGGAGAAAAGGTGGGTGAATATCGGAACCCCTCCAATCATTTGCAAGAATGGTAGAACACATGCCGAGCAGAGAGCTCCCACTAATGCTTGAGGACACTGCTGCTTGTCATTACTAAGAGCTCCATGAAGGAAAAACGTCTGCATCTTTAACGGCCCATCTACCTGATACTTTCGTGCATATTCACTCAAAGTCACCTTTATTTCGTCATTGTAACACCTCTGCGACTTTTTATAGTACTTTTATATATACTCGGCTATGCACAGAGGGCATCCATACAACAGTAGGAGTTGCAACCGCGCACCAACAAAAACCATAGACTAACAGCAATCATTTTACGAGGTATTTACACCCTTACACCGAAGGTTACTTGAAAACTTTTGCTTGGCATGTCAACGCTTTCGCACTCGGGGACAAACAATTTTGCGTTTTTGCATAAACGATCTTGCACCCGGACACCAGATCTGCACCATATCATTATCCGAAACACATTTACGCACCAAGAATGAGTACATCCAGAAATCAATTCTGCACCATTTCATTAACAACATACGCATCCGTACTACCCTCGTAGTTGATGCATTAAAGAATGTGTCTAATGTAAAAGTACCAAATTTTGAAAAATCTAGTTCCTATTTGGCGCAGATCTGTGACCCAAGTTTTGAATTCTGAGTCCAGAAGCAGGACACATGGCATAGCAAAAATCACGTCTTTAATGCAAAACGAATAGGACTGTCGAAGCATACCAAACTAATTTTGTAAAGCATATAGAGAAAAACAAAGCAAGTAACAAATTAAACAAAAACAAATGGGAGCAGTGACTCACAAACAAACACCCAAATATTGTACACAAAGAATTCAGAGATGCTTTCAGGGGGTCTGCGAGCAACCTTTCTTAACATTTTTCACACTTGGAAATAAGTTTGCTTTTTTTAAGTGAACCCTCTACTGCTCTGTTGACACGCAATGCTGCGAATGCATTCGGAACTATACGCAGAGTATGTTAAGCCTAATACCAAATGAAAAACTGTAGTTTGTAAATAACGTGCTGTGCCATAGAGCACTTCCACTTTGTTGAGTGATGACTACAATGGATTTGAACTTCTCCGTACATCAGTCAATGAAAAACTAGAGTTTGGTAAGAGCTTTTACAGAAATAATTCCAAATTCAAAACTGCAATGGACACAGGATTATGCATTAAGCTGAATTTGAGAAAAACAACGACCACAAAAATTGCAACTTCATGTATGACCATAAAATTTAGCTAGCCATATACGTAACACAATTAACTGCTGGGGTTTTTTTTGACGCATTGGTTTGAAAAATTTATTCCTCATACCATACTATGGCCATCATAATTAAACCACAAACAGATGACTCTTTAATAAATTCTGGTATAGCAACAAATGCCAAAGCAGTGTTCTAAACTTGACCCTTCAGGTTTCTGTTATCTCCAAATAAATTACTATCTATACCACGACTGTATTTGGCTCTGCCTTCAAAGAGTCCAAGTACACTGATTTCGACTACTGCCTTCAAATGCTCATTTTGGAGTACACTTTAATAGCGGAATAGTTTCTTATTTGAGTTCTAGAAGCAGACTGGACGTTTTCTTAGGTGTGCCCGAAATTGGAAACAAAAACAAAACTGTTTCACCGAGCTTTAGGCTGCTGTCATTTAAAACTCAGTGCCGGTAAAATTTCTCCAAGCAAGTTTATATGGTACACAACATTTTTTTTCACGGAGCAACAACCAACTGATTATTGGCTGGAATTGGCTGTTCAAAGATTGGTATCCAGTTCGTTACTTCTTTCGATTTACTAGACACACCGAATCGAGATAGTTCGATACGTTAAGAATTTATTCGTTATGCTCAAGAGTTGGGATTGTTATGCTACAGATCTACTTTTATATCTCGGAATCTGGATCTTGAGTTATACAACAAATTTGCACGAAATCAGCGCGGATATGCGCAGATCTGCAATTTGACTCTCGGGCACCTTTTCTTAGTACTCTGTAAACCGTGCCGCGTAATTTACATGCCATGACTATGCAGCCCAGCTTTTTCATTAATGATTGGATGCACCGACTGCTGTGAAGATGGATGCCTCTGTTTTTCATGAAAGAGTGCATGATGTGTGGCTGCAATCATCGTTAGTGTTTGGATGCATACTAGTTGATGTGAGGGTGCAAATTTTGTGCGTGAATGCAAAATCGTTGGTGTACGGGTGTAAAAACATTGGAGCTTGAGGACCGAAATCTTTGCGGTAAGGATGCGAAGAGGGTGCGAAAAGATTGCGGTGCAGGTGAAACTTGCATTGACGTCCGGAAGCAAATATACTCGTGTGTGTGTACGCGTTGTGTCGAAGTTAATAACCTGTGTGTTCCTGAAATAAACAGTAGGTAGAGATGTTACAGTGCCTAAATAGAGTTGTATTCTGATGTCATCATCTGTTGAGTACGTAACATTCATTAGTTGTTGTCTCCTATGTTAGGTCGAGCCCTGATTCCTGTGTCAGTATAGGGTCCCTTGTATGAGTCGATATTTATTAGATTTCAATGTCTATAGTTGTCTTAAATTATCTGCAGTCATCACCTGACAAATTCAGCTCATTCCATTTTCTCATTCTCGCAGTTGACCTTTCTGGAATCTCAATCAATTCGTTATACGACTGGTTCAGTGAATTTAAGCCAACAAGAAATGAGATGGCCGCCATCACGTTTACCCCTCTTGGGCCCTGTTGGTTGATACTCCTCTTGCGTCCACTTGCAGCCACTTTGCCAACACTAGTTTTGTTCTTTCTATGATTGTCTGCTTCCAATAGATGTTCCAGTGCCTTTTAACTTGATCTCGGTTGCGCGAATCTTTTGACTGCCTTCGCATTGAGTTCCACTTTTTGGTTTGTGTGCAATAAACAAGTATACACAACTTACCTGACATAGCATGTCCCATATTGTAGTTGTAAAGTCATCACCAGTTGCGGATATTCTCAAACAGCACCTCACATTCGCTCCACTCATGTGTCTAATCAATTATCATTTTTCATCAGCAAATGATAGGTATTGCATAGCATCCTCAAACATACTGGGCTTGCCAGTATCTCCATTGAAAAGCATTACGCAACGAGTCTGCTTCCGTTCCAATGAGTTGGTCTCTCTCTTTTTTTTTTGATACCATTCATTGAATATGACTGCATGAACTCTTTAATGCTTTTGGGCTGCTCCATGAATAGACAGTGTGACCGGTCCACTTGGATGACGATCACCACAATGCTCATGATTGGATTGTATGGTTTCCCTCATCCACCAATCTGACCTTAAAGTAAGTCGTCTTCCTGTGAGGTTCTTGCATTTCATTGATAGAAGTTTGGCTGCAACCATATCCAGCGACCCTTGCAGCAAGTTGAAGACTAGAACAGTCCTTCAAGTCGACTATCATGAAATCATGCTTTAGCCTGTCCAATGGACGTGCCAGCCTCCAATCGTGGATCCCAGAAACTGTGTTTGTTCTGGTACAACTCATCCGGTATCAAGGCTTTGCACTTACCTGCTCCCTGAGTGAGCTCGCATGTAGTCCATCATCTCTATTTTGTCTATAATGTCAACCATTCGAGAGAGTGTATTCCACACACACTGCTCATTCTAGTCCAAGGACGAGCTTGGTTCATTTCAAAATTGGGCAATGTGCACTTTGGTTGTGGGCCAAGATACCATTATCAGTATCCATCATGTCTGAAACGTCCACCTCTTGCAACTTCATCAACTTCATCAAACGGTTGTGACCCAGACAAATACACTGAATACTGACTGCGTAATCAATTAGTGTAACCGAGGTACACCTCACACTGTGACCGAGATAGCTTGTTGGCTCGTTAACCCCTAACAAATGTAGCCTCCATCCACCTCTTTGAGAGTCACATTTAATGGTACTCCAGCTTGAATGATTGATTGCTATCTACACACTCGATTGGATGATAGATCACCATTTGGTGTCTAAAACTGACACAATATCATTACTGAACTCGTGTCTCGAAACTTAGTCGTAATTGGCAGGCATCAGGCATAGTATTCGCCATCCTCTAATGATTATAATAATTTCTATAATGATTGTGATGTCCCGTATTGGAAGATAGCACGTTCACAAGTTATTTTTTGAAGAGGAGGTGGTGTTCAATTACTGCAATCTTGTGTGGGAACTTGTTTATGCACAAAAACAAAGTGCACACACATTCTTTCTTCCCCCATAAAAGTGGTGCACTATACAAACCACTCTCACCAAAAATATTGCACCTAATCGAAACCTGAACATCTTTTTTGCAGCTATACGTTTCACTTCAGAGCACAGGTTATGCTGCAGCTTAAACTACAGACATCTAGGGTCCCTTTCTTACTTGTAGCTGTTATCAGTGAGGTTTAGAGTTTACATAGTTTAGACACATGCGTTAACACCGAAAAACGAGAATCAAGCTCGAGCTGGCGTGTGGGAGCTTTCCAAACCAGGTGGGTGCAGAATCTGGTAGTTCTTGCTACCATATCATGCGTTACTGGAGCCTCAGAGATTTTGGTGCAGTAGATATGTCACTTCTGGGTCTGAAGTCGCCGTAGCCTATGGTTCAAATCCAAGTATACTTTGAATATATTGTACATGCAACTCTCCGTTAGTATGCTACAGAATGTTTCTTGTTCTACGATAACAAGATTTCTAGGCGGAGAGGCATCCGATATCACCTGATATGGCATCTTGCTTACATTTTTAATGACTTACAACCATTTATGTAATTTTTCAGCAATCTGAATTGGACAATAAAGATGGCATTCCTATAATGCCTGGCCAGGCTCTTGATTTAAGAGTACGGATTGGAATTGCAACTACAATTTCGAAAAAGACGACATCTAATAATTGTTACATTTATTTGGTGTAAGATTTGCTCTACTGTCTAATTTGTCGCATTATTGTCGATGCTGCGAAACATGTTTTTGTGAGACGACTCAAAGTTTAAAATCTGTCCTTTTAACTCCTCAATTGTCAAGCCCTTCTTTGGTGATTGATTGTCTAAATATTTTAGAAGGTGTTCGACTATTGGTTCCACGGCGTAATCAAATAAGAACATACCCCTCTCGAAATCAAAGTCATAGGCATGGTTTACATTTGTTTGATGCTCCTTTTTGGCGGTTTCGTCGGCTTTGGCATTTTTATACTTTGCTCTGTATTCAGCAATACGCACCTTCTGGTTGTGATTCTCACGCTCTATAATCTTTCTAGACTTCGACCCCTTGGATAAGTTCTTGCTGAAGTTGACCAATTTCGGATAGTTGTAGATGTTCACGATTGTGTTTATAGTGAAGCTATTCAACATAATTTCCCCAAAATCTCTTTTCTCAGGAACCATGAATGCTATATCTTTCATCAACTCTCGAGATTCATCATGCACAGGGTCTACCGCTTGAATGAAGCTCTCTCCAGGTTTAAGAACCGAGTCAGTTGACAATATGTGTGCAATCACTTGTTGCCTAGTAGTAAAAAACTTTATAGTTCGCAACAACTTCGAGGCACAATTTGACAAAAAATTATATTGAGATTCATCAGATACTTCTTCCCTTGAATACTTGAATAGGTGGTAATCGAAATCAATTTGAGGATACAAGGTGTCCCAAGTATCCACCAAAAATGCACTTCGGATGATTGGAAAAACATTTGCCAAAGCTTTACCAACAGCAATATAGAATAGATAAAATGTTCTTTTGAGTGGAGACATTTCTCTTCCAATAGACCGAGCGTGACTCGGTATAATCCTGAGCCATCTATTTATTAGCTCGTATAACAATGATGGCGAGAAATATCGAATACCAAGGGTGCTGCCACTCAAGCCATTTTTCTCTTTGTAGAAGTTGTCGATGTAAACAAATCTGGGGTATAAATCGTCAAGTAAATAGTTTAAAAAATTTTCCATGTCCAAATAGTATTTCAATATATATCCATTGCTAGAAGTTGTCAAGTTGGTGTTGTAATTCACGAATTTTTTATACAATATAGATGTTTCACGCATGTCATGAATAACATCAATCTTGTAGTCTGGGATAACGGCGCAAGATGTGTGGTTCCTGACTGCGTAGGAAATGAATCTTAGTCTTGGATCAAGGTCATCAAAATGTTTGCAATTGTTTAAACAATTCCATAAAAGAGATGCTGAACCACCGTAAAATAGCGTTGTGGCTTTCGCATTTGCGCGTTTGTGGAGAATCAGCGACCAGCCAGCGTACCATGATCCAATTGTAGTAGTTTGCACATCGACCTCATTGACAGACATTCTCAAGTTTCTAATGATACGACCAAAATAAGCGTAGGATTTTTTCGTCAAAATTTTCTGTATCTCAGGTGTAAAACAAGAGACACTGCTACTCGATTTCACCGAATTGTCGCACACTTTTAGGATAACGCATAGCCCTCTATCGACAAAAAATGAAAAGAACGCATGATGCAAAACCAAAGCCTCTCCTAGCGTGATTGTCCACAAAATATCATTATCTTTCCTCGTCCAATCAGGTTGATGCAACGACAACGTGTATATATTTGGATCTGGCTGAAAACTTATGGCTTTTCGAGTAAACAACAGTTTAATGTGATTCGGGTGTCTCAACACTTGGAACGAAGTGTTAGATATTTTGGCGTTTGGCAAGGACTCACCCGGACCCTGTTTCGCTTCAATTTCCAGGTCAGAAGTGGTATACTTTGCGTAATCAGAACTATCGTGGTCATGATTTTGAGGTGAAATCGATAAATATTGCTCATTTTCTCCCATAGCCCCAGTCTCTGGGTATAGTAACGTTTTGGTCTTTTCTGCATCAACTTCAGCCAACTGTCGTTTTAGGTCCGATTGGTTTATTAGACTCAAATCGGGGTTTCCTAGCCCTACATTTTCAGTCGACATGAATACATTGGGGCCGAATTGGGAAAGCTTTCGTATCGAATCTGTAAACACTGCCAAATTTAAATCTTCATTTCCAAGTGGAGCGTTATTGAAATAGTCGTAATCGCTATCTACGGCGTATTCAAAGATATTTGGCGGCGTTATTGAATTCACTGTTTGGTTGGGAACAAAAGTCGGAAAGTAACTAGAAAACAATTCGTCCACATTGTTGGGGGAGTCAGAATATGGAGACGAATCCATCGACATTGGTTGGCCGGCAAATGGTGGAGTAATTACAAAGTTATTTCCATTAACAATATCTGACGAATGTGGGTTCAAAAGGGATGCTTGATTCTGGTAGGGGTTAGGGAAACCAGTTGTGTTCTTGGAGTCAACGTCCATGTGATGATTATGCCCAGTTGCACTTGATCCATCGTTGATAAATAAAACCGTTCCTCTGGCGTTCTCAAATTGCAGATTCAACCCTTGAGTTGGTGGTGGAAGCAGGTGAAGTGGTTGATTATGGTTACGACCAACTCCTTGGGAGGTGGTACTGGCACTACCATCATCGGAATGGGCGAGATTGTTCGCCAGTGCATTGTTGGGAAAAGGTTCCGAGGTACTATTTACCTCTTGACCTTTAGTGATCGACTTCAGCTTGTCTTGATTCTTTTTCCTTAATTTCTCCAACTTGTCTTCACTATAGTCAAGGTATCCACAATGATAATTCTTTTTAATGCAGTTATGGCATGCGGGTAGTTCTTCTGAGCATTTTATTCTCTTTTGTTTACAATTTGGGCATCCTGTAATATGACAAGTTAGTATAAAGACCACAGCATCCAACCCGTTGTTGCGATAAAAATGGATGTTGTCGTGATAATTTAGGTCGCAATACCCGCAAGTCAGTTTCAAACTTGCATGCACTTGTGTCATTACATTGCCGGTCAAATATCCATCCTTAGTAATTGTTTGCTATAATTGGGCTAGCAAAGGGAAGGGAAGAGCATTGAAAATGAAAACATACCATCTCTAGAGTTTTTGTGAGTTCTTCTACTCTTTCTTTCTTTACCCCGTATACTGGACACATTCATGTTACACTCTATAATGGTGTTTGTTCTTGCGGGCGTGTTATATTGGGGGCGGTGGGATATTTGGGTTTATGTCCCTGACCTCTTATTGAATGAGATTTGTTTTTGATATGTATTTGACTAAAGTTTAGTTTTCACAGGCACAAAATATATTTAGTTTTTTTTTCTCGCAAAATAAAATTAACTGAACTAAAATAAAATAATAATTTTCAAGTACAAAGAATACAAATACAAAAATACACATACAAATACAGATTGATTGATTGAAAGCAAAGATGAAATTCCATCTTTTTGCAGTTTGTGTTTAGTATTATTATTTATTATTTATTTGCTATTGTTGTTGTTGTTGTTGTGCACGTGATTCAACTTCTGGCTTTATTGTAGATGGGGCTGTGTAATGCTTTCTTCAAAGTGTTTTTATAAGTGGGCCATACTAGTTATTTGAAATAGATCTGGAGCTTCCTCCATTGAACCCCATAATGGACATTTTCCATGATGTATATTTTTGTACGCACGCGGGGATTGGTTATTTCAAAGCTACATTACACAAATTTGATGAAACGCTATTCGTTTATCCGAAAAATAAAAAAATAAAGAAAAGACACTGGTGTGCCTCTCTTACTAAGAGCAACTAGCAGTGGGTGTGGTTCTTCTCGCAATTACTAAACAGTTGTGGGATCAGTGGAGTCAAAATCTACATAGGTGCTTTCCTTAAAGGCGCTGCCAATCCCAAAAACATCTTTGCAGAGGATGTGTGGCACAACAGCGGCTCAAAGACTACTAGCCTACCACTTGTTACATCTCGAAATAAAACAAACTAATGATTAAATTAAACGAAGCGAAATAACAAAAACCTATAAAAGTAATACATGAACAAAGGGAAAGGATAAACGATACATGCTCGCCATATGACTTATACTCTGATTGCTTCTTCATAAGTTGGTGGTGGACCAGTGAAGATAATGTTTCCTTTATCATCAAAAGTAGCATTTTCATCAGTGACATCAACTCCCTCTTTCAAAGCCTTGTTCTTTTCAATCTCCGACAACCCCATTGGATCCCTTGCTATCCAAATATGAGGTTCTTCATCGATGACAGCAGGATCATCGTAAGCGTGTCTGATAAACTCGGGGTTGTATTCAACATAATTGAAATACGAACTAGGCATGATATTTCTAATCATTTCAAAGGTTTGGGTTTTAGGAGCAAAGAAAATCTTTAGCCAAGAAACACCTTTACCTGGAGCACCGGCAACACCCTTGGCAGCATTTCCAACGCCATTTCCAAGAGACTTTTCATGGTCATTATAAGTGTCTTCTCTAAATGGTCCTCCTCCATTGGTGGTGGTGTTGGTAGCAGGGTCGTGTACACCACTGCGTGTATCTAATCCATATGGTTGTTTTTCATTATCAGTGTGACCAACTCTCGTATCAACAGCTGAGGATTCTGATCCACGATGATCAAAAGGTGCCTTGGTGTCGGTGATGGATGAGTCAGCATCAACTCCATTAGCGAAACCACCAGCATTTGCACCAGCACTTGCACCTACACCTACACCAGTACCAGCACCAGCAACTGGAGCCGAGGCGGGATTTCTATAAGGCAATACTTGATCATGAACCTCACCTCCAACAACCCCAAGTTGGTTACCACCTTCCCAATAGTTTTGACCTTCAGTTTGAATCTCCTTGTATCCTTGATCATACATTGGGTAAGAATAAGTAGTGTCTCCAGCAGCATACTTGATTGCCGAAATTGGAACTGCATCAACAACAGTCATAAACTTTCTCTTCATCCAAAATCTAGCAATAATTGTCACAATTATGATAACAGCTTCTAAAGCAACACAGGCCCAATTCTTTGTAAATACGAAAATGGCAGTGATCCAAAGTTGAGCCAAAAAGATACCTGTAAACAATTGAAACATTGATACGACATAGTTCCTACCTCTGGCATCAACAGTACTTGGTCTCATGACATACACCATGGTGTAAATATATGCAAAATAAAACAAGGCAAAAGCAATCGCGGTGAAACCCAAAATCAATGGTGCAATAACTGAGTATGCAAGAGCGATAACCGTCAACAATTGGAAACCAGGATACAAAACTGAAAAATCAGGTTGACCCAAAGTGTTCCATCTGGTCCACTTGGCTCTTGGGGTGCTATCCAAGATTCTTCCTAAAATGTGCGACAAGATTAATGCAACAATTTGCAACAATACACCCGAACTAATAGTTAAACCTTGCAAACAAAGATACGAAAAGTAGAAATTGACAGATGGTGGGAATCTTTCCGACAATTGTTTGAGAGCTCCACTGGGATTCTTGACAATTTCTTGAGCAACTGATGCAGCTGAAGAACCTAAAGCTACTGCCAAAAATACATTGACAACTTGGAAAGCAAAGTACCATGATTGACAGTATTCATTAACTTGTTGAACTGTTAAACGTCCCGATTTTTTACCCATATATTTGATAACTGGTGGAATCAATGACATCAAAATTGCCAATGCTACAGAAGGAAGCAAACCAGTAATGACACCCATAAGAACATCTGGCATATTGTTAATAAATTTCAAAAAGGGAACTTTTTCGGTTAAAAAGTTAATGTTTGAAATAGCACCAACAACAGCAACTGGGATACACCAGAAAATAATCAAAAGTGTCAAAAAAGTGTTGGCGAGAATTGCTTGTATTCTTCTCTTGGTTGGTGTTAATTGAAGGTTTGGCCAAATAACATCATCAGGAGCAACACCAGTAACCCTTTTAACTCCCTTGAACTCCTTATTGTAAGGGATTGCTTGGTATGCCTTTTGTAATTCAAGCTGTGAGGGAAACTCAATAAATACAGCTGGTAATTGAGTGTTTGTAGCATATTCAGCTTGTCTTTTACCAACAGACTTGTTCAATTCGCCCAATCTTTCAGCACCATAGTTTAAAGTATCAACTTTTTTCCCAATCAAAAATTTTAATTTATGAGTTGGTCTCTTTTTACCATCTTTTAAATACTTGTCAAGATCATCTTCTGGTTCTGGAACTGGTTTCAGTTTTTTCAAACACTTGTTTTTCAACTTGACAGCTTTGGTTAAAACCTTGTTCAAAGCTCCTTCGTATTTGCCAGCCAATTTAGTTCTTTCTTCAACTTCTTTATCCAATTCCTTATAGTCTCTTCCATACCAAATGTTGGTGGCACTGGGGAAATAGCTTCTCAAAGTGTCATCAGTCAACTTTGTCGTTGATAATTCAGTCAACATAAGGGTTCTTGAGCTCAATAATGAATCATAAAGTGGAGTTGTTTGTAAAACATGTCTAAAAGTGGTGTAATAAACCAATTCACGATAAATGAGGAAAATAACGGCACCAAACAAGATCCATGATAAAAACACGTGAGCAAAAGTCCTCCATCTGTTACGGACATTTGAAAGTGACAAGATATCAAATCCTTTAACGGTGGATCCTGGCTGGTTATTGTTACCATTGGTGGCATTAACTGGGAACAAGATTGGCCAAGTGATTATTGCACCCAATATACAAATGCAGCAAAATTCAAACAAGAATCGAAGAAAAAAATAGCCATCGGGACCAGCATATTGAATAATAAATGTTTCTGGTCTCTTCAACAACGAAGTTAACCAGCTAAAAAGGCCAGATGAAGGTTCATTTGGTCTAATATCTTGAGGAAGTGACTTGACAGTGGCACGTGGTTCATAAACTCGTTTGTGTGTTTTACGAATCAAGACAAATAACAAAACAAAAACCACTGAAATGACAAGAGTGGGGATTAATGTAGATAGAAACTGGGAAACAGAACTATTTGACAGTGCTTTTGAAGCCATGGTGTTGATGGGGGGGATGGAGTGGGTACGAGTTGGAGTTGTGTGTGATTTTTATCTAATTTAATGTGGGTTTTTTTGAAATTGCTCTTTTTGTTTATAGTTCGCTATGTAAATGGGAGGGGGGGGGGGGGGGAATTGGTGGAAATGCAACAACAAGTGAATATGTTCTTGCAATTGTGTAGTTGTGATGATATTGTAGGTTGTTACAACAATCGATACGAACAGGTATATCCAAGGTTGAAGTGTAAAAGCAAAGTGAAGTAGAGTAGGAAGGTGTATATGTGTATATACGACGTGTGTACTTTCTTGTGTATTTTATATATCATATATATATATATATATATATATTTATATGAATGATCTCTGCTTATATGTAATGAGACTAGAAACTGAAATTCTTCTCTTATTGTTATTGTTGTTGTTATTGTAGGTATAGTTGTTTTAAGTGTGTGTGTTTATATTCTATTGTTCTTTGTGTCTTGTAGTGTATGTGTAAAAAGAAGTTTGGATTGTGTAAGAATTTCATCTGCTGTATTGTATTTGTAGTGTATTGTACTATTCTCTCTTTGGTTAAAGTAGTGTATATGTATGCTATAAGGTATGTACTGTATACTAACTATATGTAAGTGCATGGCTCGTTGAGGTTAGGTTAGGTTACATATTGTAAGATTGGGTAGGTCATGACTCTTGAACTATATTATCCCTTTTTTTCTTTTTTATTTTTTTTTTTTTTGGTCTTCCTTTGGATGGAAAATTCATTCAGCCGTATTACTTTTGAACTTTAAAATAGCAACTATAATTACACAGTATAGCAATCATATCCCAAAAGAGCCACTTAAACTCACTTTCAAGAAAGACTAATTCCCACTCAGTCTCTCTATTACTACTAGTACCACCACTGCCACGAAATAAAAAAACTGTACAAATGATCTACACACCTTCTTCTCCTCCTCCTCTTCTCTCTATTGAATGTATCTACCAAAATTAGCAACCATATAATTTTCGTCAGGAGTATGAACCACAAAGACTCTTTTTCCTTGAAGAAAAAAATAAAAAAATTAAATTTTTTTTTAGTTTTGGATCACTCAACACAAAATAAGAAAGTCAATTATGTCATAGATACAACATCACATATAATACAACAGCAACTTTAGTCACATGATAATCACATGCATACTACAAATACGTCATCATAGTATTTTTATTTTATTTTGTTCAGCCACCCATAGTCAGAAAAGTATTGAAACAACATACACCACTTAGTACACACATTAAAGACTAAGATTAAAACAAGGCTTCCTTCTTCTATTGATTTGCTAATGATGCCAATCTTTGTCTCTTTTTTTTTTTTTTTTTTTTTTTTTTTTTTTTTTTTTGATTGTTTTTTATTGAAGCTTATGGTCGTGTAAACTGTAGCAAGTTCGTTTTGTGTAGCGGATTTTAGAAAGATCACCAAAATTCTTAACAATTGTCTGTTGGTTTTTGTATCTTTTGTATCCTATGTTGTTTGTCTTATGTGTGTATCTATGCGTGTGTGCCTGAAGATGCACTTCTAAACTGTAGTGACGTTGAAGGAAAGTTTTATAACCATCACAAGGTTGGTTGCAATCAACCTTTTTCATACAATCTAACAACGGATCAATAAGTCAAACAAAAAAGAATGGTAGTAAGTTAAGAGAAGACAATACTCTTTCTATAAATGGAGTTTAGAACCAAGCCACGTTCTTCACCAACGAAACACGACTTCTAAGCAACCCTTTTGAAAAGAAAAAAACAATAAATTTTTAGGCAGAGTTTTTCCCTTTTTCTCTCTCTTGTGACTCCATTCTCTGTGATTCGAGATGACTTCTCAATATTGTTTTACCTATTCATTCGTTCGTATCTGACACAGAACTCAACGTCTTCTTCTTATTGCTTCTTCCTCTATTCCTCTCTCTTTCTTGTTATTTTGGTTTTTGTTACCGTCTTGTGGCTTAGACTTTCGCTCACTTTTATGACACTGAAACGCGAAACTTTTGTTCCTTTTCCCGTCAACTTATTTTGTAACTCACGCACAAAGAACTAACTTGTCGTTTCTTTTTTTTTTTTTTTTTTTTATTTCTATTCTTTATTGTTCTCCACTGTAAATTACTCCCGAGGTTAAATTGCAACAACCAGCACACCTACCTCCCCAGCCAGCCAGCCAACCAACCACCAATGACTATGGACCTCATTGGCTGTTAAAGAGAGTAGAAATGCCAATGGTACATGACAAATTTATGTGGGCGAATAGTAACTACATGGCTCTACTTTTATTTGATCAAGCACCAAAATTGACTCATTGTTGAACTGCATTGAGCACTTTTACCCATGAGTGGATTTCTCCACGTCACATAACATCCTACGTAGTTTAATTTGCAATACCGTTGAATTGGCACTACTACTATAGTAAGCACCACTCTAATTACCCTCCAGTTCACTAGTATTTTCGTTTACAATTTCTTTCGGGAAACAACTTTTTCATATTCTCCTCTCCAACTAGCTTACAATGGTTCTATTTGCAACTGTGTTTCAATTAACTACCTTAGTCACCGTAGTAGCTTCATTAGCCGCTCCACACATTCAATTACCATCTTTCGAAACAGACACAATACAGAGTGTCAACGACTTTATTGAGTTACCACCAATTCATCAATTTAAGAATTTGCAACATTTTCAACAGAATATACACCAATTCATGAGCAACATAAACTACACCACAGATCCCTCCCCTCAACCATTTGTTATTCAACTTACTGATTCAAACAAATTAATCTTTCCTGAATATACACCCCCATCACCAGATGAACAAATTAAAAATGGTGACGGTCAATTACCAATCCATTCTAGAAATTATGTTTCACCTCCTGTACCAATAGATTGGATTGAACTATATGGCTCAAATATAGTTCAACAATCAAGTACACAGCCAATAGAAATACAAACACTTTCAGTAGTTGTCGATGATAGTGCAAGAGGTGAAGTTGCTTATTCAACAGGTCGATTGCAAAAAATATCAACTGAATATGATTCCAAAATATCATTATATCTTGGGTTTATTGCCTTTATTGGGTTAACTTCAGGGTTAACTTTTGCTCCTGAATTGGAATTTTCCACTAGTACTTCCATTTATTACACATGTCCTGTATTGGCTGGACAAACTGTAGTTATTAAAGTTTATCCCACACTAACCACATTTACACCCTATACTAAAAAATGGAAATGGGATAGTAAATTGGGGAAATTTGCAACTAAATTACCATCATTCAAAAAATTGCAGAAGGTTTCATTATTTACATTAACCGGTTTAGAAGATGTGGAGTGTTTCTACACATCATAAGTCAATTTCTTTGCTTTGTAAAAGCTTTAGCTAGTAGTGAATTGCAAAAACTATATAGAAAACCAGTAGTAGAGTAACACTATCATCACTAAATAAGGCTATCAAGCAACAACAAGTGTATCAACTAGCTTCTCTAATATATACCAATTCCCCATATAAAAAACTGAACAACTGCTCCGTCACCACCTTTAAATGTGTACAGAAGTGGAAACGCCTTCAGCTTGTTCATTGATTCTGCTAGCAGCATCACTTTCATGAACTGGACGCACATACTTGTCAGCAATTGGTTTAATAATAACATTGTAAACAACATTGGCACCACCAAAACTTGGAATACCAATGTACAACAAAAATACAGTCTTGAACAAGTAGTAAAATGGAATCCAATACAAGATAGCCTTGGACCAAAATTCAATAACATTGAAAAAGGCAAAAACAACCCAATATGTCAACAATTGAGTGTCATCTTTTGATGTTGATGTTTGTAAAGCCAAGATGGAATAATAACCTGGAACAACAAAACCAGCAATGTTGGACAAAAGTTGACCAACTCCACCAATGTTCAAAAAGACAAGAACAAAATAGAGTCCAAATCCACCCAAGACAGCATATGATCTTGGTAAACCGGTCTGGGCTTGAAATTGGTTCAAGATTCCAATTGACTTGGTATTCTAAAAATGAAAAGCTCGTTAGTATTGAACAGCATTGTGTATATGTGTGTGTGGGCAACAACTCGAGGCAGCCACCAACATTTCATGGTGGCTCCTCTTCCAATCGATGGCGAATGTGCTGCTTGTTCCACAAAATTTTCGTCAACATACGTTATCAATTTCGGATAAAACTGTTTTCAATTGATCTGGTACTCCTCCCATTGTGAATGTGTATTTATTTGATAAATATCTTGAATTGGTCAATTCTTCTTGTTGAAAGTAAAGAAAAGCTAATATGAAGAAAGAAAGGGTGTTAGAAAGAAAAAGAAAAAAAATTTCAGAAAAGGGAGAGAGCAAACGAAATGGTAATTTGTCGACAATAAAGACACACACATAACACACACACAATTACACAGTGACACAAAAAGGTTTAAAGAAAGCACTGAAATTACCAAATAAGCAAAAACACATAGATAGGATAGATAACTTCGTTCTCCAAGTTTAGTAACCTGATATCATCACGTTCAAGTGCAGGTACCACCACCACCCCTTGATACCTGTTTTCCCTCCCCTCTTTCTTCTACATGATATTGTTCATGTCATGCTTTTGTCCCTTTCGAAATACTTAGGAAAACGTCATAAGTTATTTTTATCGCACTAACTTTTACACAGAGCGAAAGAAGAAGTCACACGATCAAAAACTCATTACAAACTAACATGCAAAATTTTTATGGTATACTCTCCCCTCTCTCTCTCTCTCCCCTCCCTAATTCCTGCTTCTTTTACTTTTTGGACCTGGATTTGGCACTTCCTTCAAACCCTGCTCTTTTCTTTTTATTATTCTGCCCATTTTTATTCTTGTTGACAACACCAGTAAATTTCCTCAATTTGGGCAAGTTTTTCCTCTTTTGTCCTTTACCTTCTTTACGAGCTTTTAGATTTTCTTCTCTTCTTTTTGCTCTGGCTGCAACTGTATCTTTAACCACTTGTTGTCGCTCTTTCCACTCAATTTCACTTCTTAACTTTTTCTTTTCCTTTCTTTTCAATGCCTTTTTCAACAATTTCTCATCATCTTTTAATTTGACACCTTCTGCTTGTGACATAACCCTCAGCCACTTGTCCTTTTCCTTTTGTTTTGCTTGCTCTTCCAGTGGCATGTTTTCCAATTTTCTCTTCTTCTTCTCCAATTTCAATAAATGAGCTTTGATATCCTTATTAGCAGGACCTTGTTTCTTTTTCTTTTCTGCTGATCGACGAATACCTGACAAGTTTGATGTTAGTTGAGATCCATCCAGGAATGCAATATTACCATACAAGACAGCATTGTCCTCGGTGTCTGATTTTTCATCATCATCGTCTGATTCACCCGAGTCATCATTGTCATCCCCTTCATCTTCATTATCATCCATCTCCTCGCGTTTTCGTTTCTTTAATTTTGACTCCTCTCTTCTCCTTCGTTCAGCAAGTATTTGCTCACGAGACGTTGGAGCACCTGTCGCTTTAGTTCCAACAGCTTTTCTCTTTTCACGCAAGGTGTTAATCTTGGACTCTAATTTTTCCTTCAACTTGGCCAAATTTTCTCTCCTCTTTGCCTCTTCTTCTTCTGACAATTGTTGTTTCTTTGATTTGCTTCCATTCTTTGGTGTCTTCTTTAGTTCGTGCTCCTGGCTTGCAATTTCATTTCCTTCATCATCGAAAATTAAATTAGTTCCTGGTGTGATTAAAACTTCCTCTTCTTCTTCTTCTTCTTCTTCTTCTTCTTCTTCTTCTTCTTCTTCTTCTTCTTCTTCTTCTTCTTCTTCTTCTTCTTCTTCCGCTTCGCCTTTCTCCGGTACTTCTAATTCCACCACCGATGAGGTGTCCTGCGCGATGCCATTCAATCCATCTTCCTGCTCCGATGCGTGTGTAGCACTTTGCTTCTGCAGTTTATTTTCCATTACATCCTTTGCAGTAGCATAGGAATTCAAATATTCATCTGCATTCTCTTTTATAGACGGATTGAATTTGGCCCTTTTCTTCTGTTTAGCCTCTGCTTTCGAAGCTTTCTTTTGCTGCCACTGATCCTGTGTTGCGTCATCGTAGAAATACTTTGCCGGGATTAACGACAACAAGCTGTCAAAAGCTGATGAATGTTCTTTCAATCTTTCCTGGCAAACTGAGTTAGTATTCTGTTAGTTCGAACGCTTTGAATGGTAGTCCACATACTTCTAAGGAATTGCTCATTGGTCGTCCTTCTTGGTATTCTTTACCAATGTCTGCTAGTGTGTGTAATTTTTTTTTTCTTTTTTAAGTAAGTGCGATGGGTTTCCCTAATGCTGCAAAAAAAAAAAGGGAAGCTCTGCACATTGGAATACAATAAGGAGAGAAAAGGAACACCAATATATGCGTTACTCAGCCAGTTGTGATAACTGAAGAGACGTCGTGGTTCAGTGTCTTCATTTGGTCACACCTGTACTTGTGCTTCTCCATTATACACGTTTCTATGATAAGTCGTGTACAAGTGCTAAAAAATGGAAGTCTACCGACGAATCTTATCCATTATTTTGTGCCCATTCTGAGCCAACAGAGAGAGTGAGAGACTTCGTCATTGAAACATCCCATCCTCCTCCCCCACCCCAAGTTGAGCAACTAGTGCAAACCCCCAAAATGTCATCTGGAAACCAACAACCTCTTCTTGCAGAATACTTGATTCTATCGTTACCCCAATCTACAAATGCTCAACAATGGTTGGAGCAATCATTAAACAGTGGTAAACAACCTTTGTTCAAGTTAAATGTTCCTGACTTTCAAAGTGGTACATTGGATTCGCTTGTGCAAGAAAGCGAAGAGATTAGCAAGATTGATCAGCAATTGGGTGGATCTGTGGCCAAAGTGGTTGATATCGTGAACAGTGTCAATGATTCCAAGACCAATTCTCGTATTGTTCAATCAAGATCAGTATTTGACTATGTGCAAAACTTTCAGTGGAACACATCCAAGTATAGATTAGACAAACCAATTAGTCAATTGGTCAAGATTATTGCCAATGAGGCATTGGCTTTGGATAATGATGTTAGAGCTTCGTATCAAGCTTATCAAACAGCCAAATCCAATTTTTTAGCAGCTGATAGGAAAAGGAATGGTGATTTATCAATAAAGTCATTGCATGATATTGTCAAGCCAGAGCAATTTGTACAAGACTCCGAACATTTGATCACCTTGCCTATTGCGGTACCCAATAGTATTGTGTCTGATTTCAAAAACAATTATGAAACATTGACTCCATTTGTCATACCCAGATCAGCCGAGGTGATTGAGAAGGATAAGGACTTTACCTTGTTTGCTGTGACTTTGTTCAAAAAGTATCAACAAGAATTTATAAATAATGCACGAGAGCGCAAATGGCATCCTCGCACAGATTTTGTTTATGATGATGAAGTACTTAATAATTTAAGAAAAGAGTTTGATACTACAAAAGCAGCTGAAGTGAAACTGAAAAATGAACTCATCAGATTGAGCAAGACGGCGTACCTGGACATTTTTGCCAGTTGGTTCCATATAAAAATTATTAGAGTTTATGTTGAGGCCGTTTTGAGGTATGGATTACCACCACAATTTGATAACTTTTTGATCAAGTTTGAAGGCTCAAACTTGAAGAGCGTTAGTAAAGCCAAGAAGGAGTTGATTGAAAAGTTTGGTTACCTTGGAGGTGATGGATATTCAAATAAAGCCAACTTGCACGAATATGCTTCCTTGGTTGACACTGACTATGAGCCATTCGTATTATATGAGTTTGAAATTGTCTAGGGATTTTATTACATTGATGTAGCTCGATATACATAGATGCATAAAAAATGAATATTCATTCTTGAATCCAGGTTCACTCAATTGTTCTTCATATTAGAATTGCCGAAACTTAAGCAAGAGATACTCTTGTCCACTTCCAACTGTTCTTTTTTTCTCATTTCAACAAGTACAATGGTGGGATCTTGTCACTTGAACAGTTGCCATCTTTAGAATTAAGCAGCAACTCCATTCCCTATTCAAACCAGGTATTAATCCGTTTCAATGAAATGGCTATATATTTTCGCCTTACCATAACACTTATACTCATGTAAGGGATTTGTGGTGGACACATGTCTAATGATTTGGACACTGTCGTTTAAAGTTACGGATTGACAGATGCACCCCAGTCCAAGGTCCATTGATCCAATTCCATTACGCATGTCATTTGAATTGGCAAACTTTTAGAATTCATGCTCCAGTTTGGCACTTCTTGGATTGACAACACTCAACTTCTGTTGCTGCAGCTTCCACCCGTGTCAACCCTTTACACGAATTTCTATTCTGAATCTTTAATGTGCTTGTTAAATTCATTCACAGGTATCAAGCCCGGCATCTCAAATCCAACATTGAGCAGCAGGAATGGACTTGGTCGTAAAGACTTGTTGCGAATACATTTCTCTGCTTCATCATTGAGGGCTGAAACCCTACCCTTTGAAACCTAAGATTAGTAATCATATATACGGGGCCATTTACGATTGTTAGAAACTTCTTAGTAAATGATCAAAGTGTAATGGGAGTGGGGGGGGAAGGGAGAAATAGTATGTAATTGTGCATAAAAGAATTCCCCTCAATAACTTCCTTTTCTTTCTTTTTGCAATAATAATCCCCGCATATTTTCATTCTAAAACACTCTAAGACTGTATACAACAGAAAGAGCCATAGTTAGTCCTGAATGACTATGCCTTGCTCTTTCTTTTACCACCGTATATAAAGCGTACAGCAAATCACACTTCATCAATATGTAAAGTTCCACTTCTACTCTTTCTTCTTCTTTTTATTAAAACATATTCTGATTTAATCTACAATTACTAAATATGCCAGATTTATTTGATAACTTTTTCAGTTCAATAAGTGCAAAATTCAATGGCGGTCACACTAGACGCCGCTATTCTCAGAGCTCACAAGTTAATACTGGAAGCTTTTACAGTTACCACAATTCGCCAAGTAACAATAATTACTGGTTGCCTAGAAAGTTGTCTACATCTGAAGCGTCTCAAGAGAAACCTTCTGTGAGTGCTCAAGGAAACTCATTGGATGGGACACAACCCACAATGAAGCTTGGTTCTGGTGATTTGAATACTGCAGCTGCCCCTGCAATGGATGACAGTTTGGCTCCTAGGGCAAGATTAGGTAGCACTTCTTCAGAAAAGAGCATAGAAGATTAGAGCCAAGGAAGGTAAGGTAATGGCTGCATAGTGCTGGTCACTAAGACAATTATCTGTACAATGTTTTAGTGCCTTTTGGTTTTTCAAAAGGAATGAGACAGTTATTTATCGTGTTTTTGTATAGTTTTTGAATATATACATATATAAAATGGAGTTTTTGATTGGTAATTGCGTCATCTTCAGCTCTCTACATTTTGGAGATTACTCTCTACTTAATACTATTGAGAATTTGACTTGGTGGGTAACCTTGTCTTTGTTTCCAACCAGATGACATTAATTCTAGATTATTTACACAATTTGGTTGCAAATTTGTTAATAAAGGTAAAATATCAAATACGCCGATACTTACCACCTCAAATAATCAATCTGTACGAATATAGAAAAACTGAGGGGGTTAGACAGCAACCATGGCTTAGGTTTAATATGATAGTACCAGCAATTGTATGTTGAATTTGCAAAAAAAAATGTGATCTAGCCGAGGATCGAACTCGGGACCTTTTCGGAGCTTACAATCAGAAAACTAATTTGTAAACGAAACGTGATAGCCGCTACACCACTAAACCATTTTCACAAAAATAAAAGGCAGTTAAACCGTTCAGTATCTTAGAATTCACATGACTATAGCGTGATATGCACATGAAGGTCACATACAAATAACATGAACAACGTCTTTTTCGTTGACCAGAGCAGAGCGTCGTTCACGAGGTATAGGCAATGGAAAGCTCATTCAGCTGTTAAAGAATAGGATACCTCGCTTTTGCAAATGAACATCTCTTTGTGGTTAGCTCTAGATTCAGAATAGACTACGAATATGGTAGAATTAGGAATGCAAAGTGGTGTCTCATTCTCATATTTTTCAATTATAAAAATTCATCTGCTCACGGGACAACTCCCACTAGATTTAAATTTGCTTTACTAACCACGTAGTAAAATCATCAACCATCTTTTCGGTAACGTCATGTCCCACTCCTTCATACACGACAATTTGTGTATCATCATTGGTATTCAAGTACGAATCGCACCATACCGAACTCAATGTGTATGGAACCAACCTATCCTCTTGACCAAAACTGGCGTACATCTTGATTGAATGCATGGCAAAGTTTTCCCAAATAGATTCGTCTTGTTTAGATAATGTCTTGTGAAAATGTTCAGGGTACTCAATTTTTTGTTGTTCAGGTGACAAATTCAACTCATCGTAGTTGTAATAAAACCATCTCTTGTCGTAATCCTCACTTGACAAATCATTTTCCTTGAGTCGGTTGATTAATAAACTGGTCAAGTCAACGCAACCAACAACTGGATTGATAGCATATACCAAGTCAGGGTACTCATTAGCGAAACGATAGACAACGTGTGCGCCTAGCGAATAGCCCGATATGATGTTACGATGCTTGATATTATAGTGTTGGTGCTTGGCTTTGAATTCATTAGTTAAATACGACTCCAAGTTTAAGTAATCAGGCAAGTAATCAATAATCAATTTCAAATCTTGAACATTGCCCATTATCGAGCTAACCATATCAATCCCATGAGTTTTATTGCCCTTTAACCAATCCTCATTCTTGAAAGCATCGATTGTTCTTTCACCATGATTTCTCAAATCAAAAGTAACACAAATTAAAGGAGCTTCCTTGTGTTGTTGATTTCTCTTTTGGTTAACTTGATTTAAAATGTTATAGCCAATGGCTTCAGTATCCTTGTAGCTTCTGCCACGAGCATGTATCAAGTAAATCACATTGATGGGAATCTCGTCAACATGAACCAGTGATTGATTGAAGGATTCAATGTATGGAGCCAAGGTGTCACTATTGTACACATGAACTGATATACCACCAATATTGTAAGTGGTTTTAGAAAATGAAGCTGGATCGTAATCAAACTTTTTCATTTCTCTCTGGGTTGAAAACTGTCAATTTCAAATGTCAATTGAGTTTGGACTTGGAAACGTTTTATTTGGTGTTGGAAGATTTATTATGCTTTGTGCGGAGTGGTTTTTTGTACAGGGCGACACGACCTTCGTAGTTACAGAGCTTTAGAGAGTTGCAAAATAAAGCTTGTTTATGAGGTAGGGAGAGAGGTACATGAAGGACAGGTTGAAAATTGTTGAAGCCATTCTATTATCCCAGGAAATGCTTTACACAATTCCAGCCCACAAGGTACATTATAGAAGCACGATTGTGGTGAATCTAAAATTTTACTTCCGATAGATTTATTGTATTCCTCCACTTAGATTCCATTGAGATAACTACGATGGCAGGAAATGTCTAGGATCAGCTGAAATGTGTAATGAGGTATTGCATGTTAGCATTTCCAAAAGCAAGGCTCGATGTTTGAAAACACTTCATTGACTTGGTTGATGGAGTTACTTCCGGAGCATAAGTAGGGTTGACTAAGACAGTATTCCGCAGCATCTAATCAATAGAATTGGCTTCCATTGAACCAAAAAGCTTCATCGTATGTAAGTTGCATTACCATCACCATCTCAAGTGACCAAACAACACGATTCATGTGGTTTACTCTGTACCCTATGATTGATAAAGCTCTTTGTTGTAAAGGAAGTATCAGCCCTGGCCCAACCCTTCATAGATACAAATCTTCAAAAAACTTGAAAGCCAAGCCCCCTAACGTTTCATCCATTTCGAAAATGAAGTGGCCTTGATTTTTCTCATCATTTTACAGCCTTTTATGGTGTCAACGCTATATCGATGCATCGTCTATGCATCTGCTACGACTTGGAAAGTCTATCCAACGTCAACGAGGTATGAATAATGAATACAACCAACACAGACAACATAATGAGCAAGCTTTTATAGCTCAATCGATTCACAAATGCGTTGATGATTTCCGCAATTAACTCAATCGTCACCTTCAGTTTAGCAATCTTTGTTGGATCTTGATTCTGACACCTCTCCAATTGATCACAGTCTTCATCCATAATTGAAGGTCGATCAGGTAGATGGCATTTGTTTCGAGAAAACTCTTTGGAGCATCGAGCAATCTCCTCAAGAACTTTCATTGTAAACTCATCTACCTTGAGGTTGATATCAGATTGTATGGTTGTAATGGACATGTAGATGAGGTAGATCATAAATAACCACAAGATTATGTTGACCAATAGTTGAAAGTACAAACTCAAAGCTAGGGGTATTTGGGGGTTGAGTGCTGTATTTGAAATTCTATTAGTATTATCCATTTCGTTCAAGTCTGGCGTATTGTTACTCAGATGTACATCGGTTTGAGACTTTCGACTCCGAACTGAAATATTCTCAATATGTCGCGTATCCACAGGATTTAAAAGCTCTGTTGACTTTAGTACAGTTATCAGTTCAACTTGTGGCTGATTGTCATTGCCCAATTTTTCAGCACCATCGCCATCATCATCATCATCATCATCAATCGAGATGGTGGTGTTTTCATCCTTAGCAGTTAAGAATTCATCACCGACTATGTCATCATCTTCATGTCTCTTTATTGGTGTCGACTCATACTCAATCCCGCTTATTGTAATTGGTGAAAATTCCTTCTCCATACTGTTGTAGATGAGGATGCACAGCTTGTCAAAGATGGAGTTGGAGTTGTTGTGCTTTTAATTTGAAATGGCAGTGTCGAAAATGGTTCAATGTCGATTTTTCAAAAGTGCGACACTATTAAATAGCTTTAATTGTGCCCTCTTTTAGGAATTTGATTCTGGGGGAGGGGAGGGGGAGAGAGATGATGCAACTGTTTTATAGATAGAGCTATACAAGAGCAGTCGTTCCATAATAAGACAAGCTCAAGCTATCCAAGGCGCATGAGACCAACGTGCCGGAACAGATCCTTGTACAATTAACTTGTAGTACTCGATCTACTGAATCACAAAACACGATTATGTGTAACTTACTTTATTATCGAAATCTTTGTTGGGTGTAAACAAATTGCATGTGATAATTTTAGCTTAACTCAAACCACCAATCATGAAGAAATGGTGTATGTAAGCTTGTATCTTGGACAGATAGTACTAATAATTGTAAGAATAAACCAATTGATCTAATATCCTTTGGAAATTTGAAAATTTTTTTTGAAAGTTTTTCATTGTTTTTGTTATGTTATGGTTATATGATACAAGATTCGTAAAGTAAAGTAAGTGCTGCAGCAAAAATTAAATTGTTGTCTGTTGCTCAATTCTTTGAATTTTTCACCCACACAAACTTACTCTTCTAACGTCAATTAATTCACAACAACAGACACACACCCCCCCTCCCCCCCCAAGAACTACTCAGCATTTCGATCTCACAATGTCATTGGATTTATCTACGTTATCACAGGACCTTCAATTCCTATTACGCAATTTCCCCCACTATATCAATTTCAATGAACAATTTTACTTTACCTTGGCCGCTATTGCATTCAATCCAATCTTTTGGAACACAGTTGCACGTTTAGAATACAACACCCATTTCTTGACTAAATTAGCTGGTGGCTCAGCCAAGATTGGATGCTATCTTTTGGCATTGACCATTTTCTCCTTGGGAATTTATCGTGATTCAGTATATCACAATTTGTTATTGAATCAACCAACTTATCAGCCATTGATTGATTCTGTTGTCATTAAAGCAGTGGCAATTGCTAGTTTTGGGTTTGGTAATGTATTGGTGTTGTCGTCAATGTGGGCATTGGGTATAACTGGTACTTATCTTGGTGATTATTTTGGAATCTTGATGAAGGAAAGAGTCACTGGATTTCCTTTCAATATTAATGATAACCCCATGTATAATGGATCAACGTTGTGCTTCTTGGGTACAGCCTTGTGGTACGGTAAACCGGCTGGGTTGGCAATCACTTTGTTTGTGTTTGTAATGTACAAAATTGCATTGTTGTTTGAAGAACCATTCACTGCAAAGATTTATGCTAATAGAGCCAAGTTGGAATAGAGCAGAGAAGAGGCACAACTGCTAGCTTGTTGATGTGTCAAAGAGTTTTGCTTCATTGAAAAGCTGTATATAAAATGTACAAATATGTTGAAGATTTTGAACCAAAGAGACTTCTTGTAAGACGAAATTTCTCATACTTGACCAATTCTTGTAGTATCTATCCTCTGGAGTAAGACGAGAACGGCACAACTGGAGACATGAGGCTTGTAATGTTATTCGAAAGGAAAGCAATAAATATAGAGAAGTTGAAACTATGATAGACTGACTATAACACAACCTTATAAATCATATACTATAATGTGGGCCCCCAGTCCATGTCCCCGTTAATATCGTACAGTTCCCCATGCTCCCACCTCTTCCTCTAATATTCTACTTCCTCGTATACCCAATTTAATCCTTCCAAACCAGTATCCCTAAATGATATGAGCAAGCTGGTAGAAACAGATTATGCCACTAGGAGACATAGTATGGGTTAAAGATATGCAGCTCGACCGCGTGTAACCAAGCCAAGGTTATCCTGCCAAATGTTTAAAAGTTTCAGGAGAGCCTGAAAACATTTAGCAAGTGAGTTGAATAAAAGTACTTCTCCTGATCTATCCAAATGTATTTCTTGTGTTTTACCCTCCAAGGTATTTTCCTTGACATATCTCCGAATGATTCCTATTTGAAATATAGCTCCTTTGATTATTACATAATGGAGGTGACAGTGACAGATGCTCTGTAAATGTGATTTTAACTATAATATTTGAGTGTTGTAGTTGGAGTTCGAAAAGAAGGAAACATCAGAAAGTGGTGTAAAAGGTTTTGGCAGCCAAATTCCAAATTTCTTCCCTCCCCTTCTTGAAAGCATTTTATTAAAACCCCCTCTAACGAAAATTTTCACATATTATGAACTTTATATTCTGAGAAAACTCCAAGAGTTATAAAATACATCAGGTATTTCCAAATGCTTATCCATTTTTGTTTCCTAAAAATGATAAAAATGTTGATAAGTCCCTTTTATGTTTACATTGACCAAAAACACTACTTACTACCCCTTCCTTGATCTTCTCATCCAATGGATGACTTGTGTATTCAACTTAATAAAGCAAGTGCTCTCACTGAAATAGCAATAATTGTAGGGCAAACCGCTCTTGACTTGATTTATCTCGTATGCTCAGCAGAATTGGTTCATTTTAAATGAATGTATCCAAAGGGAGATTGAAGATGAACTTCCCACCTAATCAGCTCAAGTGACCAAGAGCAACCAGTTTGACTTTTAGTTCCAAATGAGAACTTTGCATAATATTCGATCTTGATGTGTTGGTTAGTGGTATAAATACCACATCACAATTTTTATTTTGCAAAGCTGGCTCTCAACTAGACATACAAAGACAGATAACAAAAAAAATCGAGATGGATACAGACTCTATTGCATTGATTTCTCAATGCATAAATTGGGTGAGGGTGATAAACTGTAATGGTGGTGATTTGTTTTACCTTGTTGCAATGTGCCTAATCGATTGAGATAGTAATGTACTTTGCACTAACTAATCGACAAAGACCCAATGCAGTTCCATGATATATACCAGAATACCTTGTATGAAGGCCATTGGATTGGTGTAGTTGGAACTATAGGGCTCTTCTTTGTTGTTAGATTGTCATTCCGTTTTCCGCGATTTTAAAGGGGGAGGAGGGAAAACAGGTCAAACCGCACGATTTCAGTGGTTGCAAAATTTGACCTCAGTGATGGTGTCCACACATCCCCCTTCTTGAACCAAAGAGGAAGTGTATACAGTCTTCTCTAAGTTTTCCGCGATCTCTGTTGCCTAGGATGGAAGATGTAGAAACTGTGTATACTCTTGAACAGACCAACAAAGGACCAAACTAGCATGGCAAGCTATACAACTGATTAGAGATACAAAGATTGCGCAGAGTTACACATCCAATGGTAAAACAATATTGAAACGAACTGAAAAAAAAAATTAAACTGAACTCTGTAAAGAATGCAAAACCACCACCTGTATCCAATCATATATCCGAAAAGACATCCCATCACAATATTCAACTCATCTGGAGCATCTTTGACTATAGCGCCATCTCCGCCCCCGAAAAAAAGCAACCTCAATTGAAGTCAAATGTGCTCGAGACCCCATGATTATCAACATGATTCAATGACAAGGATTGAAACTTTTCCGACGAAATGTGATAATACAACCCATTGATATCCCCTGGTTTTGATCCACTAGTACCACTGTTTGTCTTACTGTAATTGCCCTGCTTATCGATGTCTGTATCCATGTCCATGTCCATGTCCAAATTGTCCTGGTCCATCACACGTCCATCACCAATATTCAAAACAATGTAATAAAACCCTTCGAATGAAGCATTGGGTATCTGCTTCACTCTTGAATCTGGTAACAAGAATTCCTCTTTCCATCTCATATAAATGTATTGATGGTTATTGTCAGTGTCATCTTGGCATTGTCCTCGATAAATCTTGGCCAATTTGTTCATGAATTCGACACTTTGTTCGTGACTCTTTCTCGATCGTGATATCGAAAAGGAAGAATTGTGCGCCGCAGTAGTAGTAGTAGTGGCACCAGAAGCGGCGGCGGCGGCGGCAGCGGCAGCAGCATAGGGACAGGTGGAATATGCTGGATATGGTAAAGTTGGGAATGTTGGTATAATAGGCGACGATCTCCCTGTGAGTCTTTGCCAATGATCTAAGTCATTCTCTGTTGATGATCCCCAACTCTTGTTTTCAGCCATAAATGAGTATCTCTTGTATTCATCGTTATATGTGGTACTCAATCCTGAACTCGACGATGATGACTGTTGTTGCTGGCTGAAAAGGGGGTTATTGATGATTTCTCCTCTAAAATACGTCACAATCTCCTGATGGTCTTTAGTTAGTCCATTTATTTGCAAGAATCCAGTTACCAAAGAGTTTTTCAAATCAACAGTTTTAAATTCAACCTTTATTCTGAATTTCGATTTACCTGATTGTTGCTCTCCAATAAATTGAGCATTTGGTTGGAGGTAAGCGTTGTAAAATGTAGGCGTGGACTGGTGTGGTTGTTTAAGTGGGCGATGGCTGGCATGCTGATGATGCGTTGTGGATTTGATTACACGTCTGTTATTGTCAAAATGGTCCAAGCTGAATTTTTGTTTTTGCTTCAATGCAGCCATATTTCTGAGGTATGGATGTAGTTGACTAGACCTCATATCGTTTGTGGATTTCGTTGTTGACGATTTTGACCATTGAGGTGGTAATGTGTCCGACTTGTGATTTGCAACTGGACAATTAAAATCGTGTGTACCCTCATTAGTAGTGGTGTCGTTGGTTGTGGAGGTGGCAGTGTTTGTGTTCGTGTTTGTGGTGGTGATGGTGGTGGTGGTAATGGTGGTGGTGGTATTTCTGCACGAAAGCGCCGGACGTTTACACTGTCCCTGAATATTGTTGACATCAACTTCATCATGATTCAGGTTATTGAGGGGTATCATACCACTAGTCAAACCCTGATTAACTTGAATAGTACAGGGATCATTATGGTAGAGATACAGCTGTTGCGCAGATTGTTGCATGGCATCATCACTTTCGCAATGTCTAGCTCTATTAGATTCAATACGTTGCTGTATCTGCTGTAATTTGAGTAGCTGTTGACGTTGTTGTTCCTCTTGTGCCTGTTGCTCTTGTTGCTGCTGCTGCTGCTGCTGCTGCTGCTGCTGTTGCTGTTGTTGTTGTTGTTGTTGTTGTTGTTGTTCTCGTTGTTGTTGCAGCTGTTGTTGCAGCTGTTGTTCTCGTTGATGATGAAGGAGCCCTCCCTCTTCGTCTTCTATTATTTGGTGATCGTTTGCTGAAGGAGAGTGTGGCAGAGCTAATGGTGATAAAGATGAAGTTCTAGACTCCTCTTGTGATTTGATGGGATGATTTGTTGGCATGTTTGATGATTTGTGGTTATTTTTTTTTTAGTTTGCTCTTGGCTCCTTATCTGTCTGTACTTGAAGATTGATTTTGTTTGCAGTGGTACTGATGAGCTTGTATCTGACAGATGAAGTGGAATTAAAACACGGTAGATGGTAAGGGGAACAGAAGAAAAGTAACCTATAACTTGGTCTAAAGAAAGAAGTTGATATATAACTTTAAGTTTGAATTTTTTGTTTTTATTTTTTTTTTTTTTTGGGTTTGGGTATATGAAAAAGATATGGCTATGTGTGTTTAATATTGTATATTGTCTCATGTGAATATATAAAATTTTAAAATTGCGCATCATCGGAATACAATAAATCACTAATAAGCTATTTACTAGTCAAGAGAGAGAAAAGATTGGGTTGATCTTGTTCAAAACTGTATGGTTGTTTTGTATGATCTTATATGCTCTTTACTACTACTACTACTACTACTATTATTACTACTATAGATCGCCTCAGAGACTGTAGAATAGTTTTTTGATGTTTTGCAAGTGACATGGATCTCATAGTTTAATTTTGAAAAGTGCAACATAAACCAACAACAACAACAACAACAAAGTCAAAAATGACTCTCATTCTCACACACACATTCGGATAAAAGGTCTCTGGTTTTTGTGTAAATATGATTACGGATTTATCGTTATTCACTATCTATACATCTTACACATTACACAAAAACTATTATAACCAATTATAACCCATTATTGAGAGACAACTTTGAATCACATAGATTTTCTTTCATTTTTTTTATATATATATATATATATATATATCCCCTGTGCACAGCCAATCATCGATCATGTACTGCCATCTCTTTATCACGTATCACGTTCTATATAATAAACAAACATATAAACAAACAGCCATCATAGTACAAACTCATTAACAACACAACAGACGCGTTGATGTTCAATAACAATAAGATTGAGATTCGTCCTCATAACAGCCACCAATAAAAAATCATACCCTTATTTGTAAACAAACACGCCTTTTAAAGTGAGGGAGTTATTCACCACATTTATATAAGTATAGTACGTCATTTTTGATTACCCAAGCCTCACTTCCACCTCTTGAGGGTGTTTTCTGGTTTCATTTATTTCTTGTTGTCCGGTTTTTCATTCTATACTCCGTTTTACGGTAATTCAATTTTCAATTTTCTTTTTTTTTTTTGCAAACTTTTAAACTTTGCATTAAAACAAACTTATACAACAAACCATTTAATCCGAGAATTATCAAGTTCCTCTATTACTGTTGAACCTTTTGTTGGCTTTATTCAGACACAGCCATGACTAATCATCAAGAGTTGAAGTAGGGCTCGAGGAAGGAGTCTCACTCTCAAATGGAAACACAGACAGCAGGAGATTGTTTGTATTCCTGTAAATGATAAGAAACTATATTGATCACTGAATATGGGGACAACATTGTCAGTGTTGCAATGAGTAAGTGAGTGTGGTGGTATATCAAACTTTCCCTGAATAAATACCAGTGTGTCCCCCATGGTAAGGTTATTTAATTTTCCTCTATCGCTCCATTTGCTTTGCTTCACAGCACGCTCACTCATATGCATCCATTCCGAAACATCTAAACCCCCCTTCCCCCTTCTTTTTACTCATTTAATCTTTCCAATATTCCTTCAAATATCCTACTAGCTTCCACTTCCAACACGTCTCTATATTTAGGCACTTGTGCCACTATTTCAAAACTCGGCATAATCTGCAACCTCAATCGTTCAATAATCATCTTCAATCGAACCAATTGAGTCAGATTAAACACCGCGAAATCAGTTTTCAAAAAACTCAATTGTAAATCCACCTTCAGTAAAAATTTACAAATAGTAACAATTTGATTAAAATCAACAACGTACAATACTCGTTGGTTATGGGAGTTGATTCGCCATTTGGTATCAAATATTGGTGTATAATGAGCAACATAATCTTCTAAATCACCCAATATTTTTATATAGTACTCCTCTTGTCCAAAACTAGGTGGGCTATTTTGAGTTATGGATACCCATAAAATATCAAATACAGAATCTAAATCTTTAATTAACAAAGTAAAAGGATAGATTGAATCTTCTGTTGATTGTTGTTTGATGAATTTACGTTGAATTTGTAGTAATTGGTCATCGATATAACTAATGAATTTCGATTGTTGTTGTGAGGATAATCTATTATGAGTAGTGGTGGTGGTGGTTGTATTGACATTGGATTTAAGTAGTTGGTATTCTTCATCAAATGGAAGAGTAATTTGTCTGATATTTTGTAAATCAACATTATAAAATACATGCAGATCAGATAAGTCAGCCATTAAACTATTATAGTTGGTTTCCTCTTGTTGTGGATTATTAGTAATTGGTAATTGTTCATTTGTAGTTGGAGTTTGTTCTATGGTCATATCATCATCATCATCATCATCATCGTTATCGTCATACAATTCTGGATTCAAATCAAGGTCCTCATTTTGTAGTTGGGTTGTCGGTAGACTATTTGGCTTGATTTCTTCATTGGGAGCAGGATGAGTTGGACTAGGCGGTGACTGTGGCCGCAGCATAGTGAATAAAGTAGGATGTATTGTTGGTTGTTGCTAATTTTGCAATTGCTTGGTATATGCTTGCTTTCGATAACACGAGAAAGTTTGTGATGTTCTTTTTTTTTTCTGTTTTCTTTTTTCCCCTGTGGGGAGATTACTTTACTGCTCATGCAACGTCTGTGGTGATTAGATTGGTGATACTTTCAGGAGCACAATGCATTGAGTTGCTTCACAAGAGAAACAAACATGTAACTTAGCTCATGCTTGTTTATATCTCATTGAGGGAACGTAATCGTGACGTTTGAACTGAACTGTTCTTAGGAGTAGAAGGATGAGCCACTCCTTTACAAGTAACTAGACGAAAGGCAGCTTCTATTACATGGACATCAAGATCTAATATACGTTGTGGACCCAATAGAGCATAGCTGATAGGCTGATATGGAACTGCTAATAGAAACCAAAACCAATCGTATGTATATAAGAGTGAGTGTGTTCATTTCAAGAGGTGTAATTTTTTGAAATGTATATAGCAGTGATAAAAAACTTACCTAGCTCCAAGTCCTTACAAAGGAGAAACAATAATAATAACATAATCCCAATAGATAATATCCCATTGTGTTTGAGTTTTTATGAGTTTTATTACTGATAGTCTTAGAAGATACATATATACATACATATATACATACATATATACATACATATATATATATAGGTATATATATGTATACAATTTTGGATCAAACTAAGTAAGTTCTAGAACTTTCACAATGAATGTTCTATAGATAAAACACACCCCATACATTATGTGTATAATGTATCTAGATGTGTGTGTTAGTGTTAGTGTTAGTGTTAGTGTTAGTGTTAGTGTTAGTGTTAGTGTGTCTGTTTCTTTTGAAAGGGGGTTTAGAAACAAACACAAAAAACCAAAAGAAGAAGACACGAAAAAATTTAAATTAAAAAAAAAAAAATAAATTACGCGTCAAACTTGGGAAATACAGAAAAAACCTTTTCATTGCACCATACATAACTCTCTACCCACTGATAATATAGACTGTACATTGAACACAGTAAGTATAACATCTATGTTACAAAAGTACACTACTTTCTCACCTGACTCTGTACTACATCACAGATTGGTTGTATGCTACATTATACATATATGCAGATCTACACTTTGTTTACAAGTTATACACTGAATATGGTTTGGAATTAGCCTAAAGTAGTAACAGAAGTAGTAACAGAAGTAGTAACAGAAGTAGTAACAGACGTAGTAACAGAAGTATATGTAACAGATGACTGCACTCCTCCCACCACCCACAATTCAATAGTTGTAGAACATAGTTAGTAGTGATAGAACAATCTTCTGCTTCTATAGAACAAACAAACATTAGACAACCTTCAAAAGACCAAATAGTTCCAAATATATTAAGACACAAAGTGAAGAAGAAGAAGAAGAAGAAAATTTTTTTTTTTTTTTTTCGTCTCTTTTGTTAACAAAAATAAAAACAATAAAAGACAATAAAAGACAATAAACAGACGAACAGACAGAACTCAGGATTTAGAGAAAGGAATAAAGAAAAAAAAAACAGGAGACAATAATTTAAAATTACTCAACCAAACCAACCAAACCAACCAAACCAACTAACCAAACCAAGCAAACCAAGCAAACCAAGCAAACCAACCACACCTTACGTACAACACATACCCTATACATCCCACACTTACCATACACCCTCATTACTACTACTACTACTACTACTACTACTACACATTACATATCACATTGGGTATATTTTTTAAACAACACTCATTTTTACTCAACCCAACAACTACAGTATAGTAGTTAGAAACAAACAGCTAGCAGCTTAAACCGCGGGTATTGATACTACTACTGCTACTTCAACACAGTCTTTACTTTAATCCAACTATTCATAACTTATTTTGACCACTACTCAAGTTCAAAGCAGCTTTACATCCACACAGATATCCCCCTTTCCCTTTTATTAAGTTACTTCAAACAACAAACAATGTTTCATTCGTTGTTGGTGAATATCCACCACAATATTGTGCTTATCACCACATTACTTTTCATTTCCCATATATCACACGTTCATGCCGCTTGGTATCTTCCTGCAAAACTGGTTGGTTGCTATTCACAAATTTCCAATGGCGATTCACAAGGTGATTATCAATTTCAATCTTCGGGCTATTGTTCTTCTATTGGGTGCCCCAATAGTCAATATATTGCTATAAAGGGCAAAGAATGCATTTGCTTATCAAGCTTACCTTCAAGTTCTTATAAAGAAGATGGGTCGTCCAATTGTAATATTGCTTGTCCTGGTTATGATTCAGAAATGTGTGGTGGATCAAGTGATTATTCGGTCTTTTATGGTGAAGGTTATAATAGCAATGATGATTCTTCTTCATCAGACGCCACTTTGTCTTCACCCTCATCAACTGAAAATGGAGATAGCGAGACCTCACCATCAATTGGTAACAATCAACAATCATCTACTATAGGCGGTGGAAACAGTGCCAGCTCCTCATCGAATGATGATAACGATGACGATGACAACAACAATTCTTCCACTACAGGTCAATCAACTTCAGTTGCAACTACTCAAACCACCACCACTAACCCTGGCTCAATTGTGGTTACTACAACTATTAGTTCTAGTGACAATGATGGCGGTGCTATTTATAGCACTATAACTAAGAGTGTATCAACAAAGACACAGTCATCATCGACATCCTCATCATCTCCAACAACAACATCATCATCATCAACTGACTCAGAATCAAGAACTGAATCAACTTCACATTCGTCATCACCATCTTCCAGTGATACCAAAGATTCCGACTCAAATTCAAATTCAAGTGGAGGTAACAAATCTTCAGTCGGTGCTATTGCTGGAGGAGTTGTAGGAGGAGTTGTTGGTGCATTACTTTTAGCAGGAGTGGCAATATTCTTTATCAGGAAAAGAAGATCTCAAGATGACTATGACGATTACGATGAAGAAGGATTCTATAATGAAAAACCAGTCACTGGAGGAGGATTTGGAGCTGGAGCTGGAGCTGGAGCTGGAGCTGGAGCCGCTGGAGGAATAGGAGGATCAATATCACGAACTGTTGGATCACACAAGGGATCAAGAAAGAATAATAAACAAAAACAACCATCACCTTTGGATATGCCAATGGTTAACCCATTCCAACATCCAGACGACGAATTGGTACTGAATAACACTTCATCTACAACTACAGGAAACCCAAGTATACGACAGTATCAAGTAAATGGTGGTGCAATAGCCGGAGCCGGAGCCGGAGCCGGAGCAGCGGCAGGTGGCGCAAACGAGTTTGTTGATCCTAGATTAAATCCAATAATGATGGGAAGAAAACGATTATCAGATGGATCTTTGGCGGATGAGGCAACTGCTGATTATACTCGCAAGGTTTTACAAGTGGCCAATCCTGATGAAAGCTGATATTGATTAGCTTATAGCTTATGCTCGTTGGGAGGTTTTCTTGGATGGATTCATACTTTCTTTCTGTTTTTTTTTTTTTATTTTTATTTTTTCACGTTTATTATTGGGTTGAAGCTTCAGGAATGGAGGAGAGAGCATACGAATGAAAGATACAGTCTGAAGGTGTTTATTGATCACACTCTTTTGATGTTTTTTTTTTTTTTTTTTCAATTTTTTTCATTGACAAGTGCAAGATCCACAAACGTGTACAACACTGTTTTGGTTTCTTACACATGTTTTTTGCTCCTCCATGCTTCGCATTTTGACAAATCATGATGTTTTAGTTGTTGTTTAATTTTCAGTTCATTGGTTCCTTCTTGTTTGTTTTGTTTGTTTGTCGCATGCTTTTATGTTTCACTGAATGGACGACAATTGGGGGAGGATTTTTTCATTATTTGATGTAAGTAATGATTCATGTATATATGTATATATATATATATATATATATATTCTATTTCAGAATTTAGGCTAATTTTATTTTACTTTACTCTTATTCGTGTTTATGCCTTTTCCGTTGTTACCTTGCATTGGAATTTTCGACTTGTTTTGAAGTATGTAAGGTTGCAAATCGTGGTAGTATGTGATTGTATGTGTTCTTTTTTTCTGTTTCTAGATTAAAATTTGGTAGCTCCATGTTATTACCGAGAAAGTGACAAAAAGACCAAAAGACAAACTTTACAAAAATGCTGTTCTAAATTTAACCTACACGAGAGATTATTAACCACACCTTAATATACAACAACTTATACAGTCAAATAATGACGCATTATGAAAGAGTACGTTACTTGCAATATAGGGGAAACGATGTGGGTAAATAAGCAAGAGTATTCACATTCCTCCGTCTCCCCCGGGGATCGGATTTACTTTTGGACCCTAACTGCGCCTACCAACGCATGAAATCCAAACAATTTTGATTACTAACACATTTTGACAGTTGAGCAGGAATAGTGAAGACATAGAGGATAATAGTGACATGTCGGGCAGCTCAAGCAGGCGCCAAGAATCGACGTTGGATTTGCTCCCAGAACAAACCACCACCATCACCACGCCATCGTCGTCCTCCTCGTCGTCGTCCTCCTCCATACCATACCACAATGACTTGGAATCACAAATACCACCACGTCTTACACCCAAACAACGAGTAATACGAGTCATCAACCATTTGCTACCCGTAAAACAAACCTATGAACGACTTAGTAATGGATTACAAACAGGCAGAATGCAAGCCAACAGACCCGGCAGATTTATTGGCCAAGGAACAGATGGAGTTTTCCAAAACTTGATGGCGAAACCAGATACAGCATCAACTATCGAACAACAACAACGTGAATTGCATCCACCAACATATGAAGAAGCCAGTCAGGATAACAGCCCCGAGTATTGGGAAACAACTATGATATCACCCATGTTTGAAGATGAAGTATTTGTTCAAGGGTTACCGGTGGGCAACATTGCTAACTTTATCTGGAATGCATTGGTTACGGTCGCATTTCAATTTATTGGATTCATCTTGTGTTACTTGTTACATACATCGCATGCTGCTAAACAAGGGTCTCGCTTAGGTTTGGGGGTTAACTTGGTAATGTATGGATGGGACATCTTGCCTACGTTTGTGGGGAATGCTAAGGAAATTCCCAAAAAAATTCAAGTGGTTGATCCTAATGATTACGAAATTGAAAAGAGTGCCAAGATTACTGGCAAAATCGATACCTATATTGCTCTGGGATTCTTTGTTCAAAATTCAGATACCACCGGATCCAATTCTGATGTTAATGGCAGTGGTGGGGTTGACAGCTCTGAATATGGCAACACTTCTGCTCCTTATATTGCTTATGGATTGATTTCATTTGGCTTATTCATTATCATAAAGAGTATTGTTGACTACTACAAGGTGAAACAATTGGAGAGATCGATCTTGAACCCATCAGTCGGAAATGTTGCTACCCCTGCAGCTGCAGCCGCCGATACTGTCGCCGATGCTTCCTCGACAACTACAGAATCTCAAAACACACAAGAATCTACATGGCAAGCACGTAACTCCAACGATCATGATGAGTTGGATCCAACTGACATGCGTTGAGGTGGCTAACTAAATCGTAATTGAATGAATTCTATCATTAATTTTGTACATGCACAACACACTCTACCACAAAAGGCTCCTATTCCCTCAATGCAAAATGACCAACATCTTTTCATAAATAGTAAACACAATACCTCCACTTAAAACCAACCTCCCCAATCTTGGCGTAGCCCCCTTCCAAAAAGTCAACAACCCTTCTTGTTTGAAAATCTTGACAAAGCAATCCAACGTCGACTTGTATAATTTATCCGACCCCAAAGCTTGCATTCTCGTCTTGACTGTATCTATAGGCATGGTTGTGTACACGGTGATTATACCGGCAAAAGCGCCCACTGCAAAAGTAGCAGCTGAACTCAATGGCTGATTTGGTTTGGTTCCAGTAGCTTGTTGGATCATGGTTTTGATGGCATTATACGACCCCAACCTTACTGCTTGATTGGCTGCTTGACGTAAACTTACTGGCACAACTCCCGAATAGATGCCCCTGAATCCCATATCCTTGATGAGCTTTATGGTCCCACTAACCAACCCCAGTTGGTATTTCGGTTGCGGACGTTGTTTATCATCGATTAATCCAGTTTTGATTGCTTCAAACGGAGTCACGGCAACCACACTCTCCAATAAACCTGCTCCTAAACCGGCAATAACTCCCCTTGGACCAGATAGTTTCCCTTGTTTATCAACCAACAAGTTTTTAATATAATCGAATCCCAAGAATCGTACGGATGCCTTTGCCGTGTTTCCAACTACAAAAGCAGGACATCCAACATATAATGCACCAATCCCTTGTGTTTTAGCAATGGTGTAAATTAACTTCAAAGGGTTCCTTGAGGTTGCTTTGGCGGACTTGTCAATGAGTTGTAATCGAGTCTTGGCAAACTCAAAAGGGTAGGTTATTACCCCTTCAACAGCACCTGCTGTACCTCCTGCAATAAACGATTTGAATGGATCAACTTGCTAAGTGAGGGTGGGGTTAGTATCAAGAAACAACAAATGCATTGGTGGGGTAGTGGATCTACGACACACCCGCCGCGGCTATGTTACGTACATCTTTTTTAGGCATAGTATAATCTGTATATTGGAAATTTGGTGTATATGTGGGGGAGGATAACTGAAGCGAGATCGGTGTTTTAGAAATTTTTCAAACCTGAAATTTTTTTTTTTTTTTTTTCTCTTCTTAACCGCTTGAGTCATAATCGATAATATCACCATGCTTTTTTACATCATACAGACCTTTTCCTAAAACTTCAATTAATAATACATTTTATTGATACTTGGATATATACTCCTAGAACATGTTTCCTCATTCTAGTCTACACTTTATTGTTACATTGAAAGAACCTTCCAATGGATCATGTTCATATTGCACACGATCACTCAATACAGGATCGGGAGTTGGTGGTCTATAATTCGGATTCCTGACTTGGGTTCGATTAACAAATATCTCATCGTATTCGTATACTTCAGGCACTGCCAAATCAATAGCTCCAGGTAATATACTTGATGGAGCTGGAGTCCTAAAAGTCTTCGGTACATCAGACAAATCAGGAATGACATTACCTCTACCAATGTGAGCTGCATTGCGTCGTGATGACAGAAAACCTCTTGAGCTACCGGTACTTGGTGCTCCTTTGATGAAACCTTCAGTTCCGGTTGGTGTAAATGTCCCTGAACCAAATCCACCACTAGTTCCACCAACGCCACTGAAAACTTGTCCATCTTCGTTATAATTGTGTCTTCTCTTACGTCTGCTTTCTCTTTCCATCTCCTTGTCCATACGTTCAAGCTCCAATTCGGTTAATTTGATCAATTGAGGACTAAATTCAGGCACATTTGAAGGGTTTCGTAAAATCGAGAAAAAGTCATCAACAACCTGGTAATCCTTGGATACTAAACGCAATGGCGGAAGCAAATGATTACGAATTGCATCTTCAGTTACTGGTGTACCATCATAGTTACATCCAACCAAATTCAAGGCCCTGATGTACATTTGACATTGTTCACGTATACTATGGGCAATGGTGGTGCTAAATTCTCCAGGAAGATATAATTCATCACACATTATCGTAGCAAACTCTTCAGGCTCGTTCTCGCTCGTGTTGAGAATGTCCCATTCAAATTGATCTGTAAGTTGTGTGTTGTTCATTATTATATCAATCTTGATGGGTATACGTATCTCGCCTGTTGTCTTTAAAGGTTTCTGCTGGTATTCGGCAATTTGCTCTTTGATGCTATTCAATATCGTTTGGTAGTGGATACGTGGTATTAGTTTATAATCATCCAATAATTGGCCGGTAAAATCCTCAATTGTGAAAACCTTTTCATTCAAGTCCCATAAAAATGTATCACGTAGCTTAAATTTATCTCTATCTTGATCAAACTCAAGTCTGATGGGTACATAGTTTTTAACACCTTTTGTTTGAGCCAATCTTTCATTAATCATTCGATCGGAGATATCTCTTTCCGGAAGAAGTAAACGACTCGCAGTATTTGTGATACCATTACCATAACCTTGGTATCCTTCACCCCATATACTATTATTCATTTGATTCTTGGCACTCAACTGAATCGAGTTCATTCGCAATTGTTTTATTTGATTGTACTGTTGCAAGTCTCGCGATGCCAATTCAACTTCTTGCTTCATAGTGACATGCTGCTTGGCTAAATTTGTCAAATAGTCAGAATCTCTTTGAATAATTTCCTCATAAACGTCAGTATCCAACGGAATTGGTTCACCCTCTTGTTCAAACTTGTCTGACCATTGATGAAGACTTGTCAATTGTTTTATAGGCATCTTACTGTGTAGTTCTTGAGCTTTTGCTGGACTCACTCCTGGAATGGATGCTGCTGAACTCATGCGACTAGGGTCAATAAGACCTGGTTTATGCAAGTTCGCTTGTGAAGGCGTGTGTATTGCAGTATTTGGAGGGAGAATTGAAGATTGTGGTAGTGGCGGTGGTGGCGGTTGCTGCTGCTGCTGCTGTTGTTGTTGTTGTTGAGGATTGGGGAACGGTACTACTCCATTGGGTTCACCCATTGGCATTGCATTATCAACTACAGTGTTCATTAAATGAGCATCAACTGCAGTGGCTGAAGGAGGACCCACTGGTCCCAAATTGGGTATGTTAACGCCTGGAACGCCTCCCCCTATTCCTCCACCACGTATTCCCGCACCTTGAAAATTTGGTCCTTGCTGAGGTATGTTGTTGGGTATGTTACCTGGAAAATTTCCCTCAAACCCTGGAGGTGGTGGTTGCTGTTGTTGTTGCGGACCCAACTGTGACTGTAGGTTCTGTTGTTGGTGCTGGGGACTTGAAAAATTATTGGGTTCTGCTGGGTGTGGTACTTGTTGAAAAGCTGCAGGGGGTCCCTGTTGGGGCATTCGTTGTGGATTGTTTCCAACCAAAGGGTTGCCCTGAGCTGCAATCGGCAGCTGGTGCTGTACTTGTGGTGGTAGTGGTGGCTGTTGTGGTATGTTTTGCACCTGGGGAAAATTGGGAGCGCCACCTCTTGGAAAACCTTTATTTTGTTGTTGTTGTTGTTGTTGTTGGTTCAAAAGCTGTTGTCTCTGTATATATTGCCGCATCATTTGCTGAAACTGAGGATGATTCTTCATCGCCTGCATTTGTTGTGGAGTCAACGAGGCTAATAACTCTGGTGTCAACATTGGTAAAGATCCCATGTGTTGCTGGGGTTGGTGTTGTGGTTGTTGGCCCAGCTGGCCCATCTGATTAGGTTGTGGTACTCCTGGCTGTACTTGTCCATTCATATTCATACCAAACATTGCATTGTCAGTCTGGTGGTTCCCATTGTTCATGGTTATTGCAGCGCTATAAATCTAACTGGTCTCAATACACGTATGTTGTGATTACCCTCGTCTTCCTCTCTCTGTTTGGTGAAGAGAAAAAATTTTGAACAGTGGAAAACTGTTTTTTGAACACTGGTACACGCATTATTCTCATTAGTTGAGCTCAATTAGCATGAGGCTAGTAATGAGTTGGAGAGAGCCATCTACTGACACACCAGTGAAACCCGTTGTTGTTGACGAAGCCGAAACAAGAAAGAAGAAAGAGAGAGATATAGAAGGATTCAAATTACATAAATTTAAACTACAAATTCTAAAAAAAAAAAAGAATAAAAAAATTTCATATAATTTATTAAGTAACCAACTGATTGTGTCCTTTTTGGCGGTTGTGAGTTGTGTATATAACTTTTATATTTTACTTGACTTAACTTTGGATGCATATCCATTCATTACACAAACCACAGAGAAGTTGTGGTATCACAAACAATAGTGATCACTTAGTAAATGCAGTAAGTAGGAAAAAAAAGGGAAAGTAAAAGAAGAATGTGAATGAAGGATCAGACGGAAATTAGTAAGTGTATTCATTTTAAAAAAGAAGAAAAAGGATTCCTGTTGCCGGGTGGTTTAAAGAATTTAGTTTCCTTTCGAGTTACAAAAGGTTTTCTTGAAAATCGTTGAAACAGGATAAGACGAGTATTATAAGAAGAATGCATTCAGGTGCATTATAGTAGAGTTTTGAGTTATACATTACTGGCACAGGCTCTCCTTTCTACTGATTCCTTAATGTAAGTTTACCAACAGCGGTATGTGTTTGTGGTCAGTGTACATAATTGGGCGTTATTTTCCGGCTTGGCTTGTCACCTGACCCACACCAAAAAAGATGAAAAGACGAAAAATGGTTTCCAGATTATATTACAAAAAGAATAGACTGTAGTGACTACTTCTTTGGAGACCCGCCCTAAGTCATACCCCTGTCTTTATATACGATATGTTATGATGCTTCTTTCTTCTAGACTACTATCACGTTTGAGGCAGTTCCAACGTTTGTCTCTCCCAACTGCAAGGTACTTTTCAACCCAAATCCCTCAACTTCGACTGAAGAACGCTCCAAAGAAGAGGATTGGTGCACAAAAGTTGCGTAGGACTGATCCTGCTTTTCAAAATGAATCAGCGAGCTATATTCTTTCGCTCTTGGACAGGAACAAGGAAAGCCAAACCTCGAAAACATTGGAGAATTATCTATCAATTGTTACTTCGGTAACTGTGGGTGATGCAATCAACTTTGATAAAGTAGTTGATGCTATTCAACTGGAGTATAAATACGAAGTAATAGTACCTGATGAGGTGATAAACATTGAAGTTTCATCAAAAAATCTCATGGTTTTATCCAATGGAACTTTAGTGGGATGGGATTTCACCGAAGATGAGATAATCAACAAATTATTGCCAAAGATTGAAGACGCAGTAGAGTCCAAATTCAGTGACTTTGAAAGTGAAGAGTTAGATTGGATAGGATTAACCCATTTGCCAAAAGAGCCATTAAACAATGGTAACAGTTATTTACATGGTGAAATTTTGGTGGTGCAAGGAAACAATCCCGACAAAAGGTTACTAGATATGGCAGCATTTGCAATTGGACTCAGCAGATCTACGAGGTTATCCATCTTGGAAGCCCAATTGGACGAATTCCTCACCTTCACTAGAAAAAATTCGGAAATTTTATCGAGTGGGAAACGGATTCCATCAACGGAACAAGAATTGTTGCGTATAACAGGAAGGTTGTTCTTATTGAGGGGGAAATTGAATCTCTATTCAGAATTGATTGAAACTCCCGATTTATATTGGAGTGAACCCTTTTTGGAGAAAATATACAACAATGTATCCAAAATACTTGATATAAATTCAAGAATATCCATCATGAATAGAAAATTAGATTATGCAACGGAGGAGCAAAGAGCCTTTCTTAGTGTTTTGAATGAAAAGAAGTCAACCAGGTTGGAATGGATTATTATATTGCTAATAATGGTTGAAGTGGTGTTTGAGATACATCATTATTATGAGAGATATGAAGATAAAAGGGAAAAAAAGAGAGAGATTTAGAAGGTACAATCTTGTACATATGATATAAATTAGACTATAGTAGCTTGCCTGTAAATATGAATCAATCGTTTTTGATGCTAGTTATTTTGTCAGGTTGTCCATCCTTGTGTGCTCAGTTCGCTGTCGCAATTGTTGACTATTTCCGGCATAAACTTATTGTTGATACTGGAATTTAATTTCGTTTACTCTTTTCACTAGTCTAGATTTGGATGTTGGGCTGAAAAGCTGCACTAAAACTACGCAACAAGTATCCAAGTTGGTTTGATTACTGTTTGAAATTTGACAAGAGCAGATGAAGTCTCTCATCCGCTCCTTTAGAATCAGGAATGAGATCAACAATATGTGCGTTCGAGAGATACATGTCTCTTGTGTGCTTCAGATCATGTAGCTAATATATGTTACATCAATCACTTTATCAGCCGTCCAAACAGTGTATACAACATAAAATGATACTCATTACATTATGGCTTGTCAGAATGATACAAAGTTGTCCCTTCTATCTCAAACCGATGCAAGTGCTACACTCCATACAAGTTTAGTGAAGTTTTGCAACCACATACCACCGCACTCTGGGGGGGGGGGGGGGGGAAAACAATGGTAGTATTACAGGTAGGTGCTCATACTGTACACGTCATCTTACATAGTAACGCATTGTTTAGTTTTCATTGTGTTTTTTTAGTTGTGCTGATTCTTGTGTGTATGTTTAGTTCACTTAAAAGCATCAAATTTTGGCAACCAAAAGATTCGACAGTGGGTGAATCTTGTATACAAAAGTATGAATAGACCACGAATCCCCCCCATTCTGCAATCTTCTCTTTTCTTCTTTTCTTCTTTTCTTCTTCCTTTCTTTCATCTTTTTGCTCTTAGTATTCAGTCACCACCATCATCACCACTACTCATGCTACCACAACAGCTTATCGCGTGGTTCAAAGTATTCACTCTCCCAACATCAAAGATTCCGTCGAGATCCACAAAAATCGACTAGAAAACAAGGCGGTAAATTCTTCTAGGCACTTTTTCCCCAGAGAGTCCTGGTTCTCCTCTTTGAGGAAGAAAAGGACCATGTCTGGAGTTTGGTACTATCTTGACTTTGAACAATTGGAAACAACCGCTGATCGGGTCTTGTTGGAATCATACAATATTTGACTTCTAGGGGAGAGATATGTTGCAAACGTTGAGGAAACATTTTTGTGATTATAAACTCGTCAGATGATTTACAAACAAGTACGTGTTGTGACTGACGATAAGGTCAATGGAAATTCAGCTAGAAAATTTTTCAAGAGTTGAAAGTTATCTGGAATTCATTTGGAGATTTCTGAAAATGTTGTTGAAATTGATATCATATTTCCCGAAATATGATGTGATGTGTTTGGGAGTATTGAATGTTGATGTGTTGTGGTTTAGTGCTTTTGATTCCATGTTAGTTTCAAGTTGTTATTATTGCGGGTCTTTCGCTGGTTTTGGTTGCTGGTTTTCTTCATCTGCTGCTTGTGGTTGCGGAGTTTCATTATTTGCTACCTTTGGTATTTTCGTTTGATGCTGAGTAACCTTGGGAGAGTCTTTGTGGTCAGGCTCTTTGGACTTTAACAGTTGGGGTTTTCTTGGGAGATTAATCAGACAAGGTATGCCCTTTAATTGGTGTTTTCTTCAACTTTAGTACATTGGGAAATATCGGGTCAGAAAGGGAGATTGAACATTTGGGTATCATCCTAATTCAGAATTGAGATCAATTGGAAAAGTTCTGGGAATTATATGGGAACCTACATCATCATCATCATCGTCGTTCCCATACGAAAGTGGTCTATCAAACTCATTGATGTTACCATCTTCAAAATCATCACCCTCTTCTTCTTCTTCTTGCAGAAGCTCAACTTCTTCATCATCTTCGTCCAAATCAGAAAACTCTTCTGTGTCATAATATTTTTCATTTCTGTTCCCACGACCAACTTCAGCGCCCTCTTTGTATTTCCTTCAACGTCATTCATCTCTTTAATAATGTCAGGGTCGCTTATCGATCATGATTACATTTGCTCTGTTGTTTAACCAGCTTTGAGCAGTTCTAGCATTGAAGTGACCATAATTGTAGTTGAAATAACAAGAGCTCGCTTATATGTGCTCACAGATTCCCTACCATAAGGTCTAGTGGACTAAGTGAACCGGTTTATGAGAGATGACATTGATACTAACTTGAATAACATGAACAGCAAGCGAAAGGTTCTAATGTTCAACTGTTGGATGATTATTCAGAACCTAGCTCACTCTAAGGGATTATCAGCTCTGGCGCAATCCAAATAAATGAATTGAAAGTCGTCTCAATTCGTAACGTTGTCTTGTGGCCCTCAACAGACTACACTTTGAACCCCATCATTGAAGTAACTCTCAAAGACAGTTAGGTACCGTCTGGTTTTAGATCTCGTGATGCTTTTAAGCACTGCAACAAAGACAAAGAAAACTGAAAAAAATAATCCCCCTCGCCTTAAACTGCTAACACACATACAATTCAAGATGACACACAGTAACAACACTCCCTATTACGAAGCATTACCAACCAATTTGAAACCAGTTCATTACAATGTCTCAATTGCAGACATTGACTTAATCAATGACACATTCAAAGGAGTTGTTGAAATTGACTTGAATGTGATTGAGCCTACTGATGAAATACACTTGAACTATAGAGATATTACAGTGTCAAAGGAAAACATTGAAATCACCTATGGCGAAAAAGTAGTGCCAATTGAGTCACTCACTGAGTTCAAGACAAAGGAATACTTTGTCATCAAGTTGAAATCAACTTTGGAAACTGGCAAAGCGTTTGTCAAGATCAATTACGATGCCATTGTTCAAACTAACATGGCCGGGTTTTACAAATCAGCTTATTTGGAAGATGGAGTTGAAAAAGCTATGTTGAGCACTCAATTTGAAGCCACGGATGCAAGAAGGGCATTTCCGTGTTTGGATGAACCACTTTTGAAGGCAACTTTCAAAGTGAGAATAACTGCCAATTCAGAATGGACAATTATTAGCAACACCCCAGTTGAATCTCAAAGTGATGCCTCCGATGGGCTAAAGACAGTCGAATTTGAAAAGACGCCAATCATGTCAACTTATTTGTTGGCTTGGGCATGTGGGGATTTCGAGTATGTTGAGAGTTTCACTAAGGACGAATACAATGGGAAGCCATTACCAGTGAGAATATACACCACCAAGGGGTACATTCACGAGGCTCAATTGGCTTCGGAAATCACTCCCAAAATTGTTGATTATTTTTCAAAAATTTTCCAAATTAAGTACCCATTGCCTAAATTGGATCTTATTGCTGTGCATTCATTTTCGCACAATGCCATGGAAAATTGGGGTCTTATTACTTATAGATCAACAGCTTTATTGTATAATGAAACCAAATCGGATCCATCATACAAACAAAAAGTGGCGTATGTTGTTGCTCATGAACTTGCGCATCAATGGTTTGGTAACTTGGTGACTATGAAGTGGTGGGATGAATTGTGGTTAAATGAAGGATTTGCAACTTGGGTTGGATTCTTGGCTGTTGACTACCTTTATCCTGAATGGGATATTTTTAGTGAGTTTGTTAGTGAATCTTTGCAACAAGCTTTGGAATTGGACGGGTTGAGAAACTCGCATCCGATTGAGGTACCAGTGGTTGATGCATTAGACATTGATCAAGTGTTTGATGCAATCAGCTATTTGAAAGGTGCTTCAACAATTTTGATGATTTCAAAGTACTTGGGAACTGATTTATTTCTTAAGGGAGTCTCACTGTACTTGAGCAAGAACAAGTATGGTAACGCCACTAGTCATGATTTATGGACAAGTGTTGGCGAAGTTAGTGGGAAGCCAATAGATCGATTGATGGATACTTGGATTAAAAAAGTCGGGTTCCCTCTTGTTAATGTTGAAACAAACACGCAGAAGAAGTTGCTACTCTCGCAAGCGAGATTTTTAAATGGTGGTGATGTGAAGCCAGATGAAGATGAATCAATTTGGTGGGTTCCATTAAATGCCAAATCGGATTCCCCGATCCCCCTTGATTCATTCGATCAAAGAAACGCGTCTGTTGATGATGTTGATTTGAAAAATGGCAAATTCATAATTAACTCGGATACTGCAGGCTTTTACCGAGTCAATTACTCTGACGAAATCTTGACTCAAAATGTTATTGCTCATTTCGATTCATTGACGTCAAGGGACAAGGTTGGTATCATTGCTGATTCGGCTGCTCTTGCATGTGCGGGAAACAACTCGACCACAAATTTCCTTAAATTAGTTGAAAAGATCGTGCCTCAATTGGATGATGATTATGTTGTTTGGTTAGAATTGGGTAAGAAATTGAATCAATTCAGTATTGTTTTCACCACTGAGGAGTCAAGATCCAAAATCAATGCATTTTTGAAACTGGTTTATTCAAAAAGTGCAATTGCTATTGTCGATAAATTGAAAACAGCCCCAAGGGGCAATCACAACTCCAACTTTATCCAAACTAAATTGAGGTCGGAAATTTTGACTAAAGCTGGTAAGTTGCAAATCCCAGAAGTTTATGACTACGCATTATCTTTGTTCAGTAGTGATGAGCCTATTCAACCATGGTTACGTTCATTTGTGTACTCCACCATCGCTTCATCTCCAGATTTTACAGAGGACCAATTCAACAAGATTTTAAAATTGGTAACACACCCAGATTCATTGGATTCTCGCGAAGTTGCATTAGCTGCGCTTGGATCAGTGACCAATAAGACCATATCGAGTCAATTAATTGCATTATTGGTGAAACCAGATATCATTCCAACAATGGATGCACATTTCTTGGGACTGAGATTGAGTGCCAATAGTGCCACAAGAGATGAATTTCTTGATTTCTTTTTAGACAATTATGATGCTAGTTTTTACCAGATTATGTCGGCAAATATGGTAGTTTTGGATCGTTTTGTGAAATTGACGTTGAAGAATTTCCAAAGTTTGGAGAAGTTGAACAAGATTGACAAGTTTTTCAAAACTCGTGATGTTCATGGATTTGAACGTGCTTTGAAACAATCATTGGATCATGTTAGAATTAATGCCAATTGGTACGCTAGAGACCACGATGAAGTGATGTCCTTCTTGGAAAAGTATTGAAAAAAAAAAAGTATTGATAAGTGGGCTTACTACGAAAGTATTGGCTGAGTAATTATCTTTTTCAATCTCTATACGTAAATATATACATTATCAAAACAAGTAAACGTCCAACATAGTTTTGCTCTTAATCTTTGTTGTCAACTTTGTGATCATGGGTTGATGCGTATCTTCCCGAAGGATCAGAATGACAACCCCATTCAGCTTTAGGTACCCATCTCATAACAGTTGAAGCAGCAGCTTTTGATTTGTTAAACATCTTGTCAAACTTGCATCTATACCAGTAAGCTTCTTTAGTTTGTGGGATATCATCACCCCATTCAGGTTTAGGGTTTTGCAAATCTTCATCAGAAACCATCTTTTCTGCGGTATCTTTTAAACAATCAATCCATGAGTATCCAACACCGTCAGAAAATTGTTCCTTTTGTCTCCACAAGATTTCATCAGGCAAATATGGTTTATCTTTGGTGTCAAATGCTTTCCTTAAAATGTATTTTTCAATGTGATCTTTAGTGATGAGTTTATCTTCAGGGTTAACATTCATACAAACTTCCAAAAACTGTTTATCCAAAAATGGAACCCTGGCTTCCAAACCCCAAGCCATGGTTGATTTGTTGGCTCTGAGACAATCAGCATAATGCAAGTTCTTGACTCTCTTGACACATTCTTCATGAAAACTAGCGGCATTTGGAGCATTGGCAAAGTACAAGTATCCACCGAAAATTTCATCGGATCCTTCACCAGATAAAACCATCTTGATACCTTGGGCCTTGATCTTTCTAGATAACAAGTACATTGGAGTTGATGCTCTAATGGTGGTAACATCATAAGTTTCTAAATGGTAAATGACATCATCAAGAGCATCAATACCTTCTTCCAAAGTGAATGTATGTGAATGGTGAATAGTACCGATATATTGTGCCACTTTTTCAGCAGCAACCAAATCGGGAGCACCAGGTAAACCAATAGCAAATGAGTGTAATTGGTTAACACCGACTGAAGAGTGCAATTCACCGGAAACGTCAACACCCGATAACTCCTTGTTGGCGTCGATACCATGATCATGGGTTTTGATGGCTTCAGTGTATGCTTTTTTCGTTTCCCTAGCAGCAATTGAAGCAATCAAACTGGAATCCAATCCACCTGATAACAAGACACCATATGGAACTTCAGCCATCAATCTCTTTCTCACGGCCAACTCCAAAGTTTCTCTAATCTTGGTGTAGTCAACTGGAGTAGTGGGGATTTTGGATCCATCCCACCACGAAGGTTCAAAATATCTAACAATCTTGTCAGTGTTTGAATCATAAATGTGTCCTGGTGGGAAAGCTTCAATTTGATCACATTCTTCAACAAGACACTTCAACTCAGAGGCAAAAAATCTCGTTTCTGGTGACTTGGAAGATTTACCCAAGTACAACGTAGTAATACCAATGGGGTCTCTAGCAGCAACAATTCTATCGGTTTTTTTATCGTGCAATACCCAAGCAAACATACCGTCCAAGTATTTAGGAGCATCAATATCGTACTTTTCAAAGAGGGGGATAATAGGTTCACAATCACTCAAACTCTTGTATTTGTAATCGGGGAATTGTTGTCTTAATTGAATATGGTTATAAATTTCACCATTAACTGCCAATACATATCTTTCATCAGGAGATACAATTGGTTGAGCACCGGAATCTAAACCAACAATGGCCAATCTTTCATGACACAAGATAGTGTTGTTGTTGGCAATAACATTACCTGACCAATCTGGACCTCTGTGTCTTATTAGTTTAGAGTATTGTAAAGCCTTTGGTTTAAAATCTTCAACGTTTTTGCATTTATAACAAGCGAAAATACCACACATGTCAAATAAAAATGATTTTGTTTTTCAAAAGGAGCGTGCTAGTAGAATTATGTCTCTTCTTAGATGATATGGAGTAAACCAGTGGTTTATATATATATATATGCTATCAGTTGTGGAAGACAATAGTTGGGTACGTTGAAATTTTTTTCCTCTTCTTAAAAGAAAGTGAAAAATTTTGGTCAATGATTCGGTGACTCTTTTTTCTTGGAAATTACTTTACTCTTTTGTGTAACATATCAAAACACAATGGGATGAGTATCTATACCCAATATTTGAGTCATACAACTGAGAATTGGGTAATGGATAGCGAGATAAGAGTAAGGGAGAACCCACAAGAACATATGAATCAAAGTTGAGTCATTTGTACCTTCCCCCCCTCGCCAAATGGCAATAGTTTGAAGGACTAGAAGCTTCAACAAACTTGTACCGCAAGAAATCTCGCCACTTTGTGAGATCTACATACTACACCATATTGACTAATCTCCTTTTTTAAAAATCTTATTGCTAACTAATAACTTAACTTCTAAATAAAACAACAAACATGATAACCCACTCCACTCTGCTTATCTCTCTCTCACAACTTGAATCCATTTGTCTTTCTAATCTGGTCAGGATCACGATCAAAATTCTTATCAGTAATATCAATAATATAACTGATATTGACATCATCAACCAATAAGCTCTTGTCGCCATGACTTAAGTTCAACAATTGCATCAAAAACTGATTCAAGATATCGAGATCTCTAGGATTCAATATCTGCACAAACGCCTTGGTCTTGGCCTTGTTTTTGAAAATCTTGACCAATTGTAAATTGTTCAAGTAAAACAAGTCACTAACCAAGTACTGTTTGTTTATCGATTCTAATGATTTGAAACGGGCCCTTTTCCTCAGTTGGTCAATTATGTATTTAAGTAATCCTTTAGTTGTTGGGTACCTCAATTCTTCATCATCCAAAATAATCTTGTCGTGGGTTTGTTGGCGTTTCGCCCTAGCGTAATTGTTAGCCAAGTTGGTTGTCATGTCCAAAATGTTGGTAATCAACACAATGTATGATTCAATAAATGGTTGAGCCAAGTTGGCAAACGTCTTTACATATTGACGATCTTCAATTTTGTAGTAAGGCAACTCGGGTACATCCTCCAGTGATGATGAAGACGACGACGACGTGTTTGAAGCTAATGAAGAAGCATCAGTATCGGTGATTCTCTTTTGTGGCTCAACTCTGCTAATGACCCCCTCTTCAACCAAATCATCAAGAATGAAATTTAATGAGTTTCTTGGATTTTCATCATAATCAAATAAAAACTCATTCTTCAACAAACTGGTAACAATGTAAAACAACTTGCCCAAGATTCTTCTATTGGCACTGTAACTACCATCAAGTAATAATATGAGATACATGGCAATACATCTGTGGATGATCAAATGAATGGTCAAATTCTTGTAATACAACAATTCAATAGGCGATTCAATCTTGATTAAATCCTTCTTTTCGTTAACTTTAATGAATCGGAAAAATGAAACAATACAATACTTGATGACAGAGGCAATTTCGGCATTGCTGGCATTCAACATATCTTGCAAGATAATTTTGTTGGTAACTGATGATTCATTTTCTCTAAGCAACATTTTTAAAACTAGTCTCAATATTGGGATCATTTCTTCCGTGGTAAACAAGGTCTTGCCACTATAGTCAGTATATGCTTGTAATGCAGTACCAATGATTGAAATTTCAGGAATGAAGGCAATTCGATTAACTTCATGCAAAATCTTGAACCCCAATTTTTTCAAATTGACATCTTTTTCATTGGTGATTTCTTGTCCACCATGATGCTGTTGTTGCTCTTCAGTGATGAATTCACTCAATGTAAAACTTTGACCCAATTTGACAAAAATTTTACCAGTCAAATTACGAGTTGAATTGTCATTGAAACCTTGTTTATCATAAATCAATTGATCCTTCTTTGGGAAAAAGGCCAGAGCAGCAATGGAAACAATACCAACAAGACTTTCTTGAGTCTTGTCATCACCTTTCAATTCTTTTAAAAATGAATCATTTTCGTAAATACGTTCATAAGTGACACCAAGTGGTTGAAACAACATATCGAAATGAACATTGTGTTCTTCGTGTCGTTGTTTTAAATATATTGATACCAATGATTTCAAAATACCATATTTGGGCAATAACAATTTCCCATCTCTTGATCTTGTACCCTCAATAAATACTTCAAATGCCGTCTTGTTCACCAACAAGAATTCAATAACATTGTTTAAATTACGCTCAGTATACAATTCATTGTTGAATGAACGTGGAATGAAAATAGCACCCAATTTTTTCAAAAGATTACCAACAATGGCAACATTTAAATTTTCGCCAGCAATCACTGATGGGGTGGCAATGTTGAATCTGATTGACATTAAATGAATAATGACATAATCCAAGTGCGACTGATGCGATGGAGCCCAAATAATTGACATGGGGTTTTCGATATATTTTTGAAACAAGTTGGACATTTCTTGATTGGAAACCCAAATACCCTTGGGGAATAATTTTTGCATAATTGTCATTACTGTAACATAAGCACTGCGAATAAATTGGTGGGATGCAAATGTTGGCAAATTGATTTCATTTTGATTCTTGTAGTATTTAATCATGTAATCTTTAACTTCTTTGAATCTCGATTTGAAATCAGATGCCTTAATCAACTTCATATTCAATTCTTGATTGACTAGGTTGTAAACAATTTCATCCAATTTAGGATCATCTCTTTCTAATTTACCATCCATGTGGTCTTTAAATTTTTTCTTGAATGAATCATCGTGTTTATTCATAAAATACTTGTATTCAACATCTTTATAAATCTTGTCATAGTACTGTCCACCAGTGAAAAACCTGTATGCCGAATGCAACAAGTTGAATGATTGATGTAAAGTCTTGACATTGTTGGGACTATCAATATACGTTTCTTTATCTATTGGCAAGGGAAATTTCATATCAACCTTGGGGTCAACCAATGGATCTTGAAGGATATTGATGTCAAAATCCGAGTTGGAAATGTCCTCTTTACCACTGACTGTCATTGTTTAGCTTGTGTAGGGGTTGAGCTTATTAAAATGTGGTAAGGAAGGTCAAATAACTGAGTGGGTGAGTGAGTGAAGTAAACTTGAGTTTTGGTTTGATTATCTCGAGTATCCCAATGGCTACTAAGCTTTGGAAATTTTGTTGGTTAAAATCCAAATTCTTTTTGTTCTCTCTTTTTTTTTTTTTTTATTTTTCCAGTTGGGGCAAAGTGCCACAAAATTGAAAAGAATATATATAACCAGATTGTTGTTACTACCTGCTAGTACTACTAGACAGTGTAGACAGTAGTCAACTCTTTTTGGTCTGTTTCCAATTGAATGGGTTTCAATTGGTATAGGATGTTTGGGAATAGCACTGGTCTTAGTCGAGTTATAAGGCAGTCAACAGATTTGACGGTTCTTTCCTGGGAGTCAAGGTAGGGGGGGGGTAGGGTGTTTGCTCTTTTTGCTGTCTTTTGTTCTGGTTATCTTTCCTTCCTCCTCTTTGTCAAAAGCAATTTTAGTTTGTGGGAAAAGGAACCGGAAAAAAAAAAGAAAAAAAAAAGAATTAGTGGGGTATAACTATGCGGAGATTTGTCTCTTGAAACAAGCACCTGACTAAATTTGACAAAGTAATTCCTGCGTGTATGTCTTTTTCTATTCCTAATCGATTGAGGGTGTAGAAGGAAGAATGGGAGGGAAGGGGGGGACTGTATGACTAAGAATGTAAATGATCTGTATGATGGGTTGGGGATTCAGATGAAGTAGACCTTTCAAATGAAAACAAAAGGGTGTAGAGAAGTTTTTGAGAAAACAATTGTTAAAGAAGAAGGGGGATATTCTATCCCTTTTATATCGACGTTTACACACCATTCCAATATAGACTACACTCAGTCAATTGACTGTGATAATTTTATTGTACAGTTAGCTCAATTTCATTCTTTATGATGCAACTTTTCGTTTGATGTGACGATCAAAACCCAAAATTTCCTACAGAATTCCATACTAGTTTCATACCCTCATCCTATCAACAAAGACTACCATATTACCTATAACATAAGTGTATTTGTATACCGGTCTAGCCTAGACACGAGTAGTTGGGATGTTATAGGTATATCATCTGTACTCTTTTGAGTTTTTGATTATTACAAAATATCCATCATCGTCATCATCTCATTGATTTACCACCTCCCCCCCATCTCTTTATTAGTTCTTTGTTACACAAAACCTCCCCCAGGAAAGACCCAACAAAAATTTATAGTTACACTAAATCAGAAACAACAAAATAAAGTATACAACCAACCAATCAACCAATGTATCAATCAATCATTAAACCCACTTCAGTATTGAAATATTAGTATAGATGGACCAATATGGTATCATTTTAAAACTGCTTTATAAGTTTTGTACCATGTACTGCCTTACCAACCACTGGGGACTACCTCACGGACTAAAGGGTTTTGATACAAAAACAACATGGGGTGATTCCTACAACGAAAAGAAAAACCTTAATTAGCTTAGCTCCCATCTGCTTCCCACATGGAGTGATACATAACATCAATGGCGTATATATGTTTATCGATGGACTGTACTGAAAGGGGTCAGTGTAGAGAGCGATTATTCGATACAATTGAATGCTGTGACGTATATGGAAGGATGCTTTTTCCAAGTTCAAACTGAGAGTATTCATTTACAAACGAGCCACAACACACAAGTGGCTTTGCTCTCTACCCAGTGCTTTTTTGTAGTATGATCACCTAACCAGTATATCCCGCGGTTGCGAAAAAACAAAGAGTAGTATGTACAGTATAAAGTTGTTTTATCGTTTTTGTTTTTGTTTTTTTATACCTCGGTATAAATCGACACAATAGGAGCCAAAAGGGTACCAGAATTGGGACATTTTCATACCGAAACTTTCTCTGGAACAACAAAAGCTCCCCCTTGTGAATTATACAGACAATACATGATGAAAATGAAAGTTAGATACATAGCAAACCCTCTGCCCCCCCCCCCTTATTTTTTCTTTTTCAGAGTATCATAACCAGGGGGAACGGAAGATCAATTGAGGTATGTAACCCATACATACATTTCAAAAGCCACATTATCCATCTTGCATATACGAATAAAACCACTGCGGATGAGTGTCATATTTCGACGGCGGGGTGGCTCAAATAATGAAGAACTTACTAACCATATGAAGTGTCAATTGAAACTGATACGTCGCAAACCTCCTTTTCCTCTCATGTGTACGAGGTTGAAATCAAGGTGCTTGGTTTAAACACGCACTTGGGACCCTACTATAGCTTTGTTGTACATCAGACACTTATATGCATATATCCACACACGTCTATGTGTGTCTCGATAAAGTTAGTTATAATCCCAATTTTGCGCTGCGCAAAATTGCGAAATGTGCACTTCAAACAAACTTGTCAATTGCAAACCTCAGATACAAAATTGTAGGAATATATATATATATATATATATATGCGTCGAAAAATCAACAAATTCGACCTTCAAGTTTTTCATTTTTGAGATACTCAACCTCTCAATATGTTTAACGAGGATAAAACCTGTCATGGATATCAAAGATACGACCAAAATTTAAACGTTATTATCATTATTATACAAAATCTAAACAAGTATCGAAAAGTTAGTGAGGTCAAAGAATTGAAATTTGAAAAGAATTAAACAAAAGCAAAGATCAAAAAAACAAGTCATTTTACTTCTTTACCAAAAGCAAATCATTAAGTGTCGCATGGTAAATTGTCCTGTTGGTTCCATTGACTTTATTCACATCACAGGTTCTTTCTTCACAGTAACTTTCTTTTCCAATTGCGTTTTTTCTCCAGATGCGCATTCTTCTCCGTCTTCATCAAACCCGGCACCAAAGTTGTTGTCTTCATCATCATGATCATTATCGTCATCACTTCCAAGCAAGTAATCAACCTCCCCCTCATCCCCCTCTTCCACACCATCATCATCATCACGACTCGATCCATCTCTCTTCTCCTTCTTAACATTAATCTGCCTTCCACCCTTCTCTTCTTCAATCGACTGCCTCAACTTCTGTTTATATTCGACAGTACCCTGACACAATCCAGTTTCGATATGTTGCACCAACCATTGAGAATTATTTTCAAAAAACTGGAAACATCCAGCACATCGTCCACTCAACAAGTTTCGTTCAGTGGACTTGGTTCCTGGTGGATAAATGAAATGGAGTGCTTTTAAATGGGTCTTGAATGTATCTCTACGACTGAACCCACCCGTTGGGTGACATTTAGTTCCCACAGTGGCTCCCAGTACTCCCAGTGCACCTAGAACTGATGAAGGGGTGGTTGACAGCGTACATGACAGATGGTCATCTTGAGAGGATGGGTCAGTTTCTTGATAAAATGGACATTGGAATGCTTTTGATGAACTGTGCTTTTTCAAATGACGAGTTAAATAGCCCTTCACTTTGAATTGGGAATTGCAGTGTGGGCATTCGAATGAGTAGCCCACTTTGCCGTCTTTCCCAGTATAGCTTAATTTGCGAACAGTGGTATTTATAGTTTTGGTGGTGGAGGTGGCAACAACCACTGGCGCATTCGTAAATGCAGCAGCACTATTGTTCATTCTTGCATCTCGATTGTTGTGGCCATTGGAGCTCTTATCCTGTTGAAAATGTTCAAGTTTAACCTTTTTGTTCTTTTTCTGTTTACATTTCAGCAATCTTGTTGGAGATTCACGCTTCAATACCGGTTTCATTACAGTATCAGTTGGCGATACAGGCACGTCAGAGTCAAAACTGGAAACCACTGATGGAGAAGTTATGGATAATCCTGAAGATGACAATTTTCTTTTCCTCGATGGAACGACAAATGGCGACGAAACATCATTGTGTCTAGCACCACCAAATTGATCAAGGTTGGAGAGTTTGAAGCCTTCCAGGTAGTGGCGTTGTACTTGTTGCCGTTGTTGATGTTGTTGTTGATGTTGTTGTTGTTGATGTTGTTGTTGTTGGTGGTGATGTTGTTTGGTGTAGGCGATATGATGAAAACTGTTGAAGCGGTCAAACCCACTAGCTGCAGAAGGAAACGACGATGATACGTGTGGTTGGAATCGCGATTGTTGTTGTGAATGGGGTAGCGATATTGAGTGGGAGTAAGGACGAACCAAGTGTATATCTCTTTTTGGCAATGATGATGACTCTACCTCAAAGAAATCAGAGTTAACATCATCATCGTTATCGTCACCACTTTGAAAATAGTATGCTTGTCCAAACTGGAAACTTGAATTGACGCCGCCGCCACCACCACCACCAGTACCTTGCGGGATAACAACGCTATCTTGAGGCGATGGACGATGCAACCTGCTCAAAATCTCATCATCCAATGGGCTGAGAAAACTTTCGGTTGATGAAACAGAAGATGAGATTAATGCATTTTCAATGAATGTTGTTGATGTACCTTGTTTCGAATTGTGGCCCTTATTAGTTGTTATTGGTCTATTGGGCGTTGGATCATGATGTTCAAAATCATCAAAATATGGATACTCAGTATCCTTGTCATTGTTGTCGCCCGTAGATTGATTGGCAAAGACATCTCTAGAAAAAGATGCAAATGTGTCTCTATCAACCTGGTTGTTGACCTCCCTCTCATTGAAAGCATTCAAGAAAAAGTCATCTTCATCGTTGTTGTTGCTGTTGCTGTTACCGTTATTGTTGTTGTTGTTCAGGTGATAACGATGTTGATGCGCTTCTATGAAATCATCAAAGATGGGCAACTCACTAGCTGGTGATGGTTGCGAACAGATTTGACCAAACTTTCCAGTTCTCTGAACCTCTTGCTTGAAAGGGTCCTGCTTTTGCTTTTCCTGTTTGGCTTGCTCTTTTTGTTGCTGCTGTTGTTGTTGCTGTTGATGATGTTGAAACACGGGAGTATATTTCTCCTCTTCTTCATACCCGTTTTTCCCAAAATGAGGATCGCGATGGGTAGAATATCCCACAATATGACCATCTTGGCCATAACGATGCTGTTGTTGTTGTTGATGATGCTGGTGATGGTGTTGTGGATGGAAGCGGTGCAAATCATCAATTGCTGAGTCAAAAATTGAAATTTGGTCGCCACCATCAAACATTAAATCCAAGTCATCAACAGCACAATTGATGGGGAAGTTTGATCTTCCTTGGTTGAAGACACTGGCATCTTTTGCATCAGTATCTGTGGCGGTTGATTGTTGTTTACTATTGCTAAGCTCGACGAGTTTGGAAATAGGTGGGAACAACTCCTGATATCTGCGAGTTCCATAAATCAAACGATTGATAAATTTGTAAACATTGAACTGAATGGACAATAATCTTGATGATGTAAATGGTTGATAATTAGCTTGTGTTGAGGTCGATGAGGTTCTGATTGTTTTACCAATGGTGTAAACTTGTTTTGCTTTGGAGCTTACAACTCCGTAGGGTGAAGATTTAACAAGATCTTCATAGTTTGAATCGTACAATAAACCAAGTGATACGATAAGCATTCTTACAAACTCTCTTTAATAACTTATTGTGGCTATATGTGAGTTGATGTAAGGGGTGGCGTGACGATTAAATGGTGCTGTGGTTTTGCATGAGCTGCAAAAAAAGAAAACAAAATAAAAGGTAATAATGGGTTGTATGAAAGCAAAACAAGCAGTGACTGGATTGTCCTTGATTAATGTATAGATATCAAACTTTGAAAAACCACGCCGTACAGACTTTAATGGATAGTGGAATCGAATAAATGAGGAGTAATAGATATACCTCTTTAATTGAATTTTAGTTCGGTTAAACGCGGTTTGATGTATGTTTTAATGAACTTTTTGGTTGGTCTTGTTAATATATTCGTTTTGAACTTTGCAAGATATATTTGTTGGCTTCAGGTTGATACTTTTGACTCCTTTTAGTTTTTGACTGAGACAGAAATGGGGGGTTGGAGTATGGTTATGAAATAGTATTAATATGGCTCAGTTTTAAAATAATATATAGGGTGATTTTGACAGTTGGAGTATAGAAAAAATAATAAATCCGGTTTCTTTTGTATCTTATTTTATTATTTCTTATTGCGGGGATGTTTTTTTTTTTTCTCTCTTGTTTTGTTTTGTTGGAGACTTCGATTATTTCGGTAGTTCAAGTGGGTATTACCAAAAGACTAAAGCACCAGTGTATGTATATATATATATATATATGTTCCGTGAGTATAATAGTGCTCCCTGGTAGGTACGAGTTATTTGAAGCCTGGAGGTGTAGATGTAGAAATATATCACTCTAATCGAAGGGAATAACTAACTAAAACAAAAAATTTAGAAAACTGAACGAAGGAATGAAAAATTTTGTTATTATATAAAAGAAGAATGATCAGGAATCAGAATAAACCACAATTCTTCCATCAATAATAGCGGAAACAGGTTTACTATGCATAATTTCTAATTGTTTATCTCTCATTCGTTTTCATTTATGAATGAAACTTTAAAAAAAAAAAACCACACACATTGGATAATACTAAATTGGAAAATTTTATATGTAAGTTAACCGCCTGTAAAAAAAAAAAAACAAAGCAAAAACTGAACTTTGACTCTAAAACAATACGAACATTTCATTACTTTCTGCAATGCACAGAAATAACAATAGAAATTGAAAGAGATAACAGAATACACAAACAATAGCATCAGAGATAATGACTAAAGTGGTAAACTATTGGTGTATGGAGGTGTGTGAATTAATGGGCGCAATTACTTACCTAACAAAGTACGATTGTGTATAATTTTATTTTACTTTAAACAATAGGGACCAAAACTTTTCAAAAAATAACCCATAATGCAGGGCAAGAGCTTGTAATAACACAGTTTGCATTGCAACAGTTGGATAGAATCTGATTTCTAGAGTGGAAAGGAGGCGGTAAACTGAAACCAACACACCCCTCACAAGATAGCAAAAATGTAATAGCCTCAATGCAGCAATTATTGGGGAAAATAAGCCTTTAGAGGTACCTTTAGGAACTGTTAGAAAGCAAGGATTTAAACACAATAGCACAATATCCTGTAGAGAAGGTTCTTCTGTGTAACATCAGCTAATTTACTCACTGAATCACATCAGTTGTGCACCAACACACAATGGAAAGAATATTTTTTAACTTTCTATGTTCTCAGAGATAAGAAGACAATAATCACCTATACACAATTGAGCTGTAACGAAGGGGCTACCTCTGCTAAGCTTATTGCTAATACCACCCCCTCGTTTGTAAATATGAAAGCGCAAATCTCAACTGTCCCTCCTTCCATTGGTCAAAGCCTCCTTCCTCTGTTTGTTTCTCCTCTGTTACAATCCCCTCCTTCATCTGTAGTTCTCCTTATTTCTTGATCATCATCTTCTTCGTCTTATTTGAAAAACGTCCTCCTTTTTCTTAAAAGCCTATTCTGCTTAATACTCTTTTGTGTTGTTATTAATATTATTTTTTGACAGATTATTACGTAATGCATCAGATACATCAGAATTAGAAAAAAAAAAAAAAAAATAAAATAACATTGAAAAAAATCATCGGCTATAAGAAGATCCGCCTTATGTTTCCAAATATAGACTTTCCATAATATTTTTGGTTTTAGTGTTTGTGTAATTTGTATCTTTTACTGACAAAAACGCCGTACGAGATAGAGGCCACACCTGAACACACATATATAATCGAGGCCATTTAGTATGCAACAAAGAGTAAGTCAAGGCGATGGCATATCATCAACAACAAAAGACAAACGAAACCCAAAACTCAACGACTCAACTTACACCACACCTTTCTTCATAATTGAACACCACAGTTTTCTGGATGCTTGTTTGTCTTTATTCGGCGTTTCCAACTCTATTCTCTCTACTCAAACTTCATATGTACAAAAACATGTTAGACGACGATGACAGCAAGAAACCACAGTAACTATGATAGCCACAATTTTTTCTTTGGCAGATCTTCACAAAATGACCATATACGAAACACATCTTTATTGTGATATACTTCACGAGTATGCCGAGGAAGGTTTTCTCGTAAATCGTCTTTTGCATGTGTGGATTGACCACAATAAGAGCCAAAACCCGGGAATAGGCTAAACTGAACTTTTCATATTTAGTCCCTAGTTGTACTACATCGTTTTATTTTTCTTGTCAGGAACCTCCAACAAAAAGGGGGTACTATTCACATTCAAAGGTTATGATTTGATCTTTGAATTGTAATCTCTTTCTGCTTTAGAATACTTTCGTTTGACTTCGATGAATGACTTACTTTTTTACCTTTTGCGCTTGCCTTTACACTTTTTCATTTGTGTCTTCTGCAATTTGTACTCGGGCTTGAATGAAAGGCTACATAAGAAAGTCGTACCAAAATCGATATCTGCTTCTGTGTCAAGGCAAGGCGGTTAGATGCATTTCGATTTATCTCTTCCGTCGGAAGAAGAGGAAGCTACATTCTGATTTGCATTTGTCAAGCTCCATTAATCACCAACTATGTTCATATAACGCAAGGATTGCGGCGTATCAACGACAGAATAAGAGAATAAACCCCCTCTACATTTTACTTATGCACATACGTCAATAGCCGTTTCGGGTAGTTTCTTGCTTTGCAAGACGATCGCATCACATCCTGGAAATTCGAATTCACCTTGCATGAAGTTCAGTATCACATCAGCAGCAATTGTCTCATTCAACTTGTCGTCTTGCTCGGAATACTCATTGAAGGCTTCCCCATATATCTCAAAGCTCACTTCCATGTATTATAAAGCTATTCTCAAAATCTTTCGTGAATCTTTTTAACGCGACGCGCAATGAAAATCCTACACATTAAGAGGCAATTGCCCAGCCACACCTTATCTGATCACGAAGTACAGGGTGTTACAATGAACCCGAACAATGACGACAATACAAATACTCTGATGGAACTCTTCTCATCACCTTTGTCCAGTATTATTGAACAAGTGGGTGAAACACAAAAGAGTCGAAATAAAGCCAGACTCAACCCACTTTCATCATCACCAACGTCATCACCAACACGCCATAAAACCCAGAGTCTAAAGTTTCATCATATCACCGATAAGGAGCTATCGCAAAGGGGCTCTGTCATAAACTCCAGAAACAAACACAACAAGATACGCCAAGTAAGGAGTCAACACCGGTATGAAAAGCTACTGTTGCAACGGGAAAAGGTCACCGACAAGCAATACAAAGAGGATGTGGAACGAGAGTACGATGAACAAGCACGTGAGTTCATGGATAATGAAGACATAAATCGATTAATCGATGACGAATGGGAAATAATGAATGAAAATAAGAGGAGCAGTTTGGAATTGGAGGAAGCGGAGGCTAGAGCATGGGAAGAGGAGATGGAACTAATGGAATTGATAGGCACTTTGGATTTAAACGGTGGAAGCTGATACGCCTGCAAGAGTTTGTTTGTGGGCATGCGCGTGGAGACAACGTATTGGACTTCCACATTGCAAAGGAGCTAATTGGATGATTCTACACTGGTGGTGAGAGAAGCTAACGAACTGTTGGATAAACCGTATACAAAGCTTTAACCTGCATCGCGATGTGGTGGCGTGCTTTTGGGGACCAACTTGACTGACCCAGTCTATTCCAGGAGTGCTCTGCACATTTTGGTCTTGATGCAATCACTGTCAAAACATGCGGCATGAAAAGCAAACCCAAATGGAGGTATTTCACTCTTTATCTCAGACCACACCTTACGGCATTTCCATTCCGATGGAAGAGCAGTGGAGTCATTGAATGCTAAGAGACAGATTAATGAGAACTGTGAAGTGCAATAATCAAATTAAATCGGACTCGAAAGTTAACGCTAGGATTAGGATGTGATAAAAGTGTTGAATAGCTAGCAGGCTGAACCATTTTATCGTTGAATATTTCCTTGTGTTTTCCATTAGGTTAGCACTAGAATCATGCTTTAAAGTTGTATCGTTCACCTTCACGATGTACTTGTTTCACTGTATGCTTGTCAATTAGCGAAATACAATATGACAACAAGGGTATATGGGATGGTGATGTTTCTATGAGATGTATAATGAATATGCGAAATTAGTGCTTTAATTCGATCGAATTGATACCCGAACTTGCAAAACTGGTTTAGTGAAATGCAACACATCCATGAATTGCCTTGGATTTAGATTCAAATGTTGCAATGATGTGGTTAGGACCCTCTATCCTTTTTTTCTACAATGCTAGATCTCAATACCACAAAATCTGTATCCACGCGATGCAAATCAGTAATGGCAGCAAAACATCAAAATTGTGGAGAGCTAATCTTATTAATAAGATGCAAAAGTAATACAGTATCCTTTTATGATGAGACCACCTTAAACATAGTTTTTTGATGAACGAATTGTATAAGTAAACCTATTCAAATGTGAACTAAAGACAGTTTGTTCAATTTTGGAGAGATTATCTAGTCAATTAGGAGAGATTACCTAGTCATTTTGGTGGTGTCAATTTTTACATATTGGAGACGTCGATATCACAAATTGGAGATTCCATTGTTATCACAGGTGGTACGTATAAACTTTAATTGGCCCCCAACCCACTCAAGGACGTTTCTTCTTTATCTAATAAACGTAAAAAGAGGTATATGTTATATACAAACCCCTTTGGGACACTGTAGAATGGTCTCTTGTGTCTCTTACTACTCTATACTATCTCTGTATTCGAATCCTGCTTGTTGTAAGACCAACAATGACTTTTGAACAACGATTTTTGACTATTTCTGCTTTGTGTTTGTCTTTAGTTTAATCCTTGGATTGGGGCAATATACTAGTTGACGTTGTACATGTGTGAAGGAGCATGAGTTTGCAATACACCTTGGCTTCGCCAAAATCTAAAATCAACACTTGTCATATACAAATGAGATAGATTGCATCGCAATCCGTAGGACAACTGGGTAGGGTGAATTGACATGGCAACAAGTACTTGTGCTGATCTGAATAGTTTGTTGTGTTGGAATTAATTACGGGGGGGGGGGGGCGGGCATGCCGTAGCTTGGCTTGGGTTACAACTCTATTTGACTCAGTTAAAAGAAGTCAATTTTGCTTATCTCGTTGTGTCTCTCCCCTTTTCCTTATCTAATCACTAAATTGCAATTAATTTTTAAAGTTGCTCATAACCAGACAGCATTTTCCAAATGCCAATCCAACTAATCCACTTAAAAACACAAGTTGAGATGTTGGTTTTTGTAACCATCTTTGATTGTGCACATTTGTATCATCACAAAGATGATACATTTGCACACAGATTCCCGATACCGCCATGTTGACTAATTGGGTAGTATCACATGAACCAATGCAAATCATACCGTTGACGTCAGTTTCGGGTTTACCGGTTAACCTTGATTCAGCTGTTGCTAAAATCAATTTTTGCTCTCAATTGACCCCTGTAGGCTGCTGTTGCAAAATATATCGCAAAGAAAATTTACCAAAAAAAACAGATTTTCAGCGTTGTAGCATCTGAAAACCATCATACTCACATTATCAACCAAAAGGTAAACGGAAGTGCTCTGCAATAGCCAGTGTCATGTCTTCTTCAGAGATAAGAAAAAAAAAAGAAAAAAAAAACAAATGATTCTGCCCAGGGTCGAACTGGGGACGTTATGCGTGTTAAGCATATGCCATAACCAACTAGACCACAGAACCATTTTACAAAAAGAATACTTTTTACAATAAATAAGAGAGCCATTTTCAAAGTATTCCGAAATTGGAAATGTTAGTATCTTGAACAAATCCGGTATTGGCAGTCTCTGTTAACAAATTTACAAGCACATGGTAACTTCTGAATTAAGCAAACATTATTCGAGGTGTATTTTGGGGTTATCTTTGTCGACTTTATTTCTTGTGGCTCTTTTTTTTTGTATCCAAATGCTGAAAGTTTCTAAACTTGCAAATTAAAGAGTCAAAATCTCTTCCCCGTGGCACATTCTTGTTGAAAGCTGGAGCCGTCAAAAGTGTTGAAAACTATATTAGATGAATGGACAGTATACTTGATACATCAAGTTCAGAACAAGGCTGGTGATGAATCTAAAATTTGCTGCACTGAAGTTATAAAGCACTTGCTTAGTATGCGATAGATAGTTAAGGGATTATTGTGAAGTGATGGATATCCTATGCCAACCGTAGCAATTTATAAAGCCGGGCCTGTAAGTCGTTGCATCCTGCCGTGTCTGACACCCCCCCCCCCTCCCCTCGATATTCTTATGATAATTCTCCTGTTCTCATGTTTCGTTTCTTTTTGCAGCCAAACCGTTCAACTTACCTAAATAAAACGACTCACGACAAAATATAAAGCGAGTCACCATTTCGACCAGCTGCCAATACCCATTAGACTATCACCCCACACTGACGAAAATGGCTTTAATTATTGACCTCCTAACCTACGCCCTTGAAAAAGTTTTTAGCACAACCGCTGAAAAGATTGCTCGTATATTTTCTCATTTTCCAAATGTAAGTACAAATTAGTAGGACAGTGAATTTATGCAAAACAAGGGTGAAGCAAAACTTGATCATGCAAGTATGTTAAGTCCCAAGTTACAGTGGGGTACCATTGGGTTTCACTGGAGGTTAAAATACTATGGTTATAGCCGTGATCATAGACATCTCTTTATTGTAGTAACCAAGTTCAGAACCAATGTGATGAAAAAATCGAAAAAACCTTGTTGTGAAGTTGAAACCTTTTCTCAAAGTGTGAGAGTATAACGTTTTGAAAGGCAAGTACGCGAGCTATTAGTTAAAAGTGAATTGCCCCCGCTCTAAAGCTCAAAACCAAACATTAGCTTATCTACAAACAGTGGACACAAGCTCCTCTTTGATGTTGCTTAATCAAGCTTCGGTTTCATAGTATTCTCATACCATTAATATTTACATACCATTGACTAACTACACTAAAATATCTCTACCAAATCAAACGTCTCTCATAAACTTTACACTTTCAAGCAGAATAACTGTTGTAAATATAAACTGCACCGACAACTAAAACTAAACCCCAAAGTACCATCGACACGAGTCCTGAACTCAATTGCGGATCATCTTTGGGATCTCCTAGTCATTTAGCATCCCCTTGTTTTGGCGGAAATCCATTCAACTCAGCACCACTAGCTGACTCACATTTGCACCATTCATCCTTTGAGTAAGAACTCATTGCACTAGCAACATGATTTCCACAACCTCTCCATGTTTTACCCCCTAGTAGTTGTCGTTAGTTGAAAGGTTCTATTAGGAGCGTTGCTCCTTTAATGGGTTCCTGGACTGATGTCCTCTAAGTAATCACATACCACAAACTTGACAATTGGCTGACATACACATTATCGTTGATTAAATATACGATGGCGGTTCTAGTTGTTCAAAGGTTACCAATGAAATTGCAATAGAGATTTTAAGCTGTTTAAATACAAAAATCAGACCAAAAACATTGTAAGTGACCTAGTGTGAGAGAGAAAATATTTTTCTTCTTCGAATTACTTCTTTTGGATCATGTCCGATTCTTTTGCGGTCATGCTTTGTCAGCAAGCCCGTTTTTACCCGTTTTGGATGCGATATTATATCTTGCTATTGTAATTGTGCTCTGTATTATCATTCTAAGGCGATATTCACAAGGAAGCCACAATTTATAATATTCTTAAACTTTGCTTGTTTCAAGGTGGTTCCACTTTTTTTCTAACTTGGCGGGATTCATGAAGCTACAACGGGTAAAGACCGAAACTAAGCAATCTGGTTGCATTGCGCAGAAACGTTTCAATTGCTAGTACCTTTGCTTAGTATCAATAGTCGTTCTCATGGAACACAGGAGCCACATATTAAAAATATAGTTCTATAATTTCACCTTTTTTCAAAATTTCGGGTGTTACACGAGAAGCCACGCTTTCAGTCACCGAAGTCCAAGAAGGAAAGCTTCACATCTCACAACACTCCTTGTTTCTTTGACTTTGAACGTACTGTAGAACATAAATCATTTGACAATTTCAAATATTCTCAACAGCAAATGGCATCTATTATTCCGAGCACGGAAATCTTTAACATGCGGCTCCTTCAGTTATACTTTAGCCGCTTGCCATAAAATTCTCCATTTCTCTTCCATCATACCACATACTCAGATTGACTAACCTATGAAAACTGAAACATTTTCGTTTTATTTTTAGATTCTGGTTATGAGCTTGGTTAGATGAGTTGGTGTAGTTAATAAATCCGACTCCAAGACACAAACTCTAGCTTAATTTACTTCTAGCGCATAAACTGCGTTGTAAAATATACCCGAATGTTCCAGTTGTTGCATAAATAATTGAGCAATCGCGAGACAATAGGATTGCAATTGCTGCTGCGCATCCATCTCCTCCAACAGCAATTACAATCGCTGCAAGATAAAGATCCACCACGCTAATAGGATGCAATATTACTTTACACGCGTGAATGATCCGACAGTTCCATTGGCAAATCCTAACAACCCCCATCAGGATTTGAATAATGAAGATAAGCAGAGACACTAAATACGTTTTGTTAGACGTAGTCTCTTTCGAAAGCGGATAGAGCGGCACAACACACCCCAAAAAAAAGCGCCACTACATATCTCGAGGGCATCCCCCATTCCCCCCACAGATAGAAAGGGGTCTTGACTGCACTTTACACCACATTGGATCTGAATTTGCATTGATATTAAAGGTTGCTTCGCATCATTCTTAGATTGTGGCTAATTGCATGAATCAAAGCTCGTAATTACGTCAGATGGAAAAAAGCCACATGTTCATAACCTAGTATGAGTGAAAGAAGACGCGTTTGTATGATGCTCCCCGGGGAGAATGTGGGCTATTCGTCATTATAACCTTAACCTTATACCAGTAGTGCGTCAGTGCACAATTTAAGGCACGAGTTCTTTGTTTACCTTTTCTTAAGAAAAGGTAAACAAAGACACAAAAGTTCGAACAGTAGACACACACAACTAAAAAAAAGGTGAGTTCAGAAACATCCAAACGCAAAAGAGTCAACGCTATATACGCAGAAGCGAACGTACCTACAAGCATCAAAAACATGCTATTTCATCAAGTAATTACATTAGATGCTGGTCCTATTGTGATTATCTTGTTTGGTTCATTTTCTTACCCGATTGTTCCTAGACAATGAAATACGCGCTCGCGTTTCACTCTTTTCTTCAACACATTAAGGAACTATGCATTAATAATAATTTACCCGTAAAGCCTTTTTCATTTAAAGGTTTGTGTATTGCATGAACAACAAATTCGGATGTCAAGGAAGTTAAAGTTGAAAAATGGGAGGGGGATGTAGATTTTTTTTCCGTATTTGCTATGTACCTTATTGTTTGTTTTTCTTCTTCTCCTCCTTCGCTGCCCCAATCTCACCAGATTTTTTTTTTTTTTTTTTTTGCTTTGCTTTTTCCCATTCTTTTGAAATCACATTACTATTGTTCTATACTATTCTACCCAAGTACAACGGACTACTACTACTACTACCACCGGCAACTCCCCTGCAAAGCCGATAAGATTATACTTCAGTGTTTATAAATACATGAGATAAATACCCTGTGCTGTATATATTTTGAGTTTTTATCACTATTCGTTTTTTGTTTTTTGTCCAACGATATTGAACCCTGAATAATACATTCACTTTCAACACCAAAATCAAAGGTTGCTCAAGTAACCCACTAAATATAGTTCAGCCCTAGTCACTCATTTAACAAGTCGTTGACCAATTTAACTACAGTCATTCATTTAACCTAAACTTGCCCATTCTTTTATTTATACTCTACAAAGCTATTATTGCTATAACAGACTACTACATACAAAAAGCTAAAAGATGAGTTCATACACGCTTGGTCTTTCACAAGAGCTTCAACAAAACTTACAAGATCAATCCCCAAGCATGCAAGGTACTTCTGTTACTGAACAAGAAGAGGAGATGCCTCCACCATCACAACAACAACAACAAGAGACAACAAAGAGAAAGAAATTGCCCATTATTGTTGATGTGGCACTTGACGCAAATGGTAAACAATTGTACCAAATTCACGAATCTTCCAAGTTGGTGCGAAAGGAGATGCCTCGCTCGACGAATTTCAACCTCCACCACGAATTAACCCCTGAAGAGCTCTCATTTATTCAAAACGGAGGGGATACAGTGTGTGCTAGTGCTAAACTTTTGAATAAGCACAGTGATCCATTAGGAAAGAGTCAACAAGGTGATTATTATACCCATAGTAGTGAAGATCGCGACATTTTGGTCTTCAACGAAGGAGAAGGAGTCCGTGCTCTGAATACTGAGTTTCAAGGTGCTGCCGATCTCCAAAATGTTAACAAACTCAACCATGAAGAAGCCTCTCGTGTTGAGGATACCGATATATGGTCTGATGACGTTGAACAAGCATTTGAAGAAGTTTTAACATTTATACCAAAGAATGGATTAAATAAAATCAAGATTGCTGGTCGATCTTGTGGAAGAAATGAGTTGATTTCCGATTACATTTATACTAAGACAGGCAAATTCAGGACCAGAAAGCAAGTTTCTTCTCATATTCAAGTTATCAAAAACTTGGGACAAAATCAAAAAATCATCAATTTGATTAATGATGGACCCAGCTGTAACAACGAAGAAGAACATACTAAGATTATGCAAAAGTTTGAGTCGGTGTTTTCCAAGATAAACCTCAGTAAGTCATTGGGATTCAACAATTCAGTAAAGAGGAAATTGGTTAGTAGCAGCGGGGGCGATGGAAGTGTTAGATCAACTTTAAACCATGCACCAGCTACCAAAAGAAGAAGAAAAAGTCATGCATCATCGGATACTACTTTGCCTGAGTTGGAAATTGGTAATTTCTACATGAGTATAAACAATCACAATTCAAATTCAGTTCTTTTAACCATTCAAAAAAACAGTTTCAACAAGTATGGTATCTTGAAGCACTTGAAGTTGAATGACAATTCAACTATATCACATCGATTCCCCGGGATGAGTGAATTTGAAAATTGTCCAAACATTCCTGTTTTACACAACATGGCAAGGATTTATTTACCTGAAGATTTTTCACCAAAGCTGTATGATGTTGGATCTGGGTTCAGTGCAAATTACAATTTGAAATGTAAAGACTACCTAACAGCATCGTCATCTTCTTCACGGGTCAAATCGAAACTGTTCAGTATCTTCACTTGCATCTACTCCTATGGACAAGAAGTTTCCAAGCATAGACAAAGTGGAATTCAATTGAATCAGGAATGCAAATTTGTCACCAATTTTTGGAAACCTTTTATTCGATTTGTCCTTATGGGAAAACTGGCACATGACATTGCCGTCGCATTAAGAGGACTTTCGATTAAACAGATTGTCTATGAAACGAGTGGGAGTGGAAGAGAAAGTAACAATGATAGTGATGATTCCGCCGTGCTTCAAGACGAAGATCTGTTCATGGTGTTGAAATCAAGAGTTAAGTTGGTTTTACTTTGGGAATTTCTGCAAGTGTACGATATAGCACAAGCTATAACTACGACTACCAAGATTATTTTACCCGGTGGTGTCAATAATGATCATTTGGTAACCGCTGATGAAAACATAGTTCCGCAAATTGTCACTTACAATGATCCTAATCGTGCCATCGGGGAAGAAGCCGATGATGCTTACGCCAGTTATTTTGAGGAGACAGGAGCTGGTGATTATGATGCGGAAGCTAATCCGGTACAAGTGGGATCATCAATGCATCCTAACCTTAGACCTGGGAGGATCACTGCCACTACTTCTGTGCCGACACCTTATCGTGAACGTTTTGAAGATTTCAACACAGCGACAACTGTGCCAACAACTACCAATGCCACTGCCACTACTGCCACCACTGCCTCTACCACAAGGCCCTTTCCCAATAAGCTTCCTATATCGAATCCAGAATATGTGCCAGAACTTCGATACCCGCCGCACTTTATAGCTGGCAACGATTTACATTCACAACAACCACAACAACAACCACAACAACAGCTACAACAAGGTTTGGACGCTGGTCCATTGCAAAACCCCCTTCCACCACCACCACCACCACCACCTCTACCAGTGAATCATCATTTTCATCATCCGGATTATGAGATTCAAATGCAACAACAAGTGCCCGCCCATTATCATCACCCTCATCATCCAGGCTACAAACTACATCAATCGGCAAATATGGACCTTATGATGGTTCCTTCTGGTCCAGTACACTTGGAGCCAGTAGCAAGTTTTCAAGAATATTCATACACCAATCAGGGCTATATCCAAGGTTATGCTAGTGATTATTAGACGCTTCTTTTCCTTTCACATTCTTAATTCATTCAAAGCTAGAAACTTTTAAAGATGTTTGAGCTCTAAGAGAATCACCTTGCTAGACATTTTCGTTTTTGCGTTTCGTTATCATTCATTGTTCAGAGTATATTTGTAATTATTAAAGCTTGTATCGAAAGTCTGTTCTGTAAAAGGGAGTTCTGGGCATGCTCTTTTTGCATCTTCTGACTTTTTTTCGTGCGACGTGGATGGGAAGAGTTAAAAAAAAAAACCGTTTCAAATTAAATTTTCAAATTTTGTGACTCTGATGTAATCATAGGGATATCTAATCAGAAAAAAGACCACCACCCTGAAACAGTCTCTCAGTTCCATTTACTTCGCATCACCATGGACAGTAAAACTATAGGTATACTAGGAGGCGGCCAGCTTGGTCGTATGATAGTGGAAGCGGCTCATAGACTTAATATCAAAACTGTCATCTTAGATGCTCCGCAATCACCAGCCAAGCAAATCAATGCCCTTGATGAACATGTTGATGGATCCTTCACTGATTATGAATCTATTGCCAAATTGGCTGAAAAGGTTGACATTTTAACTGTTGAGATTGAGCATGTTGATGTTGATGCTTTGAAAATGATTCAACTGAAGTTCCCCAGTATTGAGATTTACCCGTTACCTGATACTATTAAATTGATACAGGATAAATATTTACAAAAAGAACATTTGATTCAACATGGTATTGCTGTAACTGATTCTCAAGCTATTGCTGAAAATACTACTGACAATTTGTTAAAAATTGGTCAAGCGTATGGATATCCATACATGTTAAAATCGAGAACATTGGCATATGACGGAAGAGGTAATTTCGTTGTCAAAGATGAATCATATGTTGAGAAAGCTTTAAAGTTTTTAGCTGATCGTCCGTTATATGCTGAAAAATGGTGCCCATTTTCCAAAGAATTGGCAGTTATGGTGGTTAGATCAATCGAAGGTGAGGTGTTTTCATATCCCACCGTGGAAACCATTCACCAAAATAATATTTGTCATCTTGTTTATGCACCAGCTAGAATCAATGATACTTTGGCAGAAAAGGCTTCGATTTTGGCTCAAAATGCTGTTAAATCTTTCCCTGGTTGTGGTATATTTGGAGTAGAGATGTTTTTATTAGAAAGTGGTGAGCTTTTAATTAATGAAATCGCACCGAGACCTCACAATTCGGGTCACTATACAATTGATGCTTGTGTCACGTCACAGTTTGAAGCTCATGTTAGAGCAGTGACTGGATTACCCATGCCAAGGGGTTTCACTGAATTTTCAACGACAATCACCAATGCCATTATGTTGAATGTCTTGGGTGATAAAGATACACCAAACAAAGAATTGGAAACGTGTCGTCGCGCATTAGAAACCCCACACTCAACCGTATACTTGTATGGTAAAACCACCAGACCTGAACGTAAAATGGGCCATATAAACATTGTCACTTCGTCGATGGATGATGCCGAAAATAGATTGGCTTACATAATGGGTAAAAGTGATAAACTACAAGCTTCACCAGATGCCAATGGCGAAAGACAACAACCACTAGTTGGAATCATTATGGGTTCTGATTCCGATTTACCAGTCATGGCGGTTGGTGCTCGTATTTTGAAACAGTTTGGTGTTCCATTTGAATTAACAATTGTGAGTGCTCATCGTACGCCACATAGAATGTCAAAATACGCAATTGAAGCGGCACAACGTGGATTGAAATGTATCATTGCTGGTGCTGGTGGAGCTGCTCATTTACCAGGTATGGTTGCCGCAATGACTCCGCTACCAGTGATTGGTGTGCCCGTAAAAGGTTCCACTTTAGACGGTGTTGATTCATTGCATTCTATTGTGCAAATGCCAAGGGGTATTCCTGTTGCCACAGTAGCTATCAACAACAGTACCAATGCTGCGTTATTAGCTGTAAGAATCTTGGGGGCAGTTGATTCGAAATGGTTGAACAAAATGACCAATTATATGCAGAACATGGAGGAAGAAGTGTTGAAGAAAGCTGAAGTTGTTGAAGAGATTGGGTATGAAGATTACCTCACTGACAAGTTGAAAAAGTAAAAATTGTGCTAAAGTTATAGTTATTATACATTAAATTTATATACAACTTTGTTAGTTTTGCCGTCTCTATGTCATTCATTGAATATAATCCAGATCCCGAGCCAGCGTGGATCTGAACTGATGCATGTTCTCAATTGTCTCAAATGGTTATTCCATTGAATCAATAGTGCTTGGGTTTGCAATACGTGGGATTTAGCGATTCCACTGTACGTGATCACCCTCTCTTAAAACTTCAATGTCTTCTTTTTGGATTTATTCTTGAGTTGTCTTTGTTTATACCTCTGAGAATTAGAGTCCCTCCATCCGGAAGTGCTTACCTTCTGGCTCTTTCCTTCCTCACCGTCTTCGCCTCCCTTATCCACGTCCATCGATTCTTGGCCATTATCTTGCTTACCCTTTGTCTTTTCAGCTTCTTGTTTAGCTGTTTCTTTAGCCAATCTTTCCGCTATTCTTTTACTTCTTTCGTCGGCATATTTAGCAAATTCACCCTTTCTTTTCACTGACTTTGCTTGCAATTTAGACTTTGATCTCAACGACTTGGCCATGACTGAATCAGATATGTGGTTGGTTGTAATGTAAACGACGTGTGGACTATTTATAAACTTATCTGAGTGAAATGAGATGAGATGACTATTGATATACAACCAGCATGCAGGACAGAAGCGCGTAATATTGAAAACTATCACGTGAATTTCTTTTTTAGGGCTGTAGACGCATTATCATTGTTATTGCGAAAAGAAAATTATTTTCAATCTAGTGCACCCGCACATCAGTACAATTCCGACTCCCTTTCACGCACTAATCTCCCATCCTTTTTTTCAAGAGAAGAAAAAAAAAATTGTACTGGTGAGGAAATCTCTTATACTTTTACAAGATATCAAGCAAAGATGTATGTGATAGCACCAGTGGAAGTGATGTTTGCATGATCAAGAGGAAGTAATCATCAAATGCAATGTGCATGTGAAAGTGGAGGAGGAGATTGGCCGTCCGATTAAAGACTTTTCGTGTAACGAAATAGAGCAACAAGTTATGACAAACCACATGAAAAGGATTTTTTCATTTTATTTTTAAGAGCAGAGCTTGCCAGCCGTCTTCAACGAGCAAATGCTCGAGATGGGGCTATTATGCTGCCAGTATGCGATCTTTTATATTACGGTGCCATTTGCACTCATCACCATGATTAACCCTGATTCAGCAAACATCCAACATCCTAACATTGATACTAACTATATTCTTCAGGGCTAACTTAAGAACTCAAAAGAGACTTGCTGCAAGTGTTGTTGGTGTCGGTAAGAGAAAGATTTGGTTGGACCCAAATGAAACCTCTGAAATTGCCAACGCCAACTCCAGACACGCTATTAGAAAATTGTACAAGAATGGTACTATTGTCAAGAAACCAAACACCATCCACTCCAAGTCCAGAGCTAGAGCTTTAAAGGAATCTAAGGCTGCTGGTAGACACATGGGATACGGTAAGAGAAAAGGTACCAAGGATGCCCGTATGCCACAACAAGTTTTGTGGATGAGAAGATTGAGAGTCTTGAGAAGATTATTGGCTAAATACAGAGATGCTGGTAAGATTGACAGACACTTGTACCACAACTTGTACAAGGCTGCTAAAGGTAACACCTTTAAACACAAGAGATCCTTGGTTGAACACATCATCACTGCTAAGGCTGAAGCTTTGCGTGAAAAGGCTCTTAAGGAAGAAGCTGAAGCTAGAAGAGTTAGAAACAGAGCTGCCAGAGAAAGAAGACAACAAAGAATTAACGAAAAGAGAGAGGCTTACTTGGCTGAAGGAACCACCGACGAATAAATGGAGTTGGAGGAAATATCTTGATGCGATAATGTTTAAAGTCTTTTTGTCTTTGTATATCTAGTAAGAGAGTTTTTAATTTGTACTTTCTTGTCTATTTCTGTTGGTTGATGAAATATATATAAAGGATTAATGTGGGAGACGACTGGTGTCGACCGTAATACACTAAACATTTTTATACTCGAAATTAAATTGTAGATTTGGAAAACCATAAAATTGTATTCTGAAAATTAAAATTAGAAACACTATACACCAACTATAACCGATGTCCGGGAACTAAACTAAACAAAATTGTCATAATAGCAGTAAAGACCAAAATCAAAAACAACACCCACAAACTTCTCTTTACAATGAAATTGTACACAAACTTTTCTCGTATTCTGAGTAGTGATTGCCCATTCTTTTTCGAAAAAGTTTCCAGTATTCCAAACCAAGCCATTATAGGATCAATCAAGTAAATTGATGAAACAATCAAGTAAAAAGCCAACAAAAATGGTAATACAATAACCGGTCTCAAACCCTTTCGATAATTCAAAAACACAAGGATAAAACTAACCCAAAAGGCAATAAACAAGAAAAAGAATCCAGCAATGATTCTTCCAAAGTTTGAGTGATTGATATTTCTCGTGGCCATAAAGTCAAGAAATTTGGGTAAATGATCATTCTCCAATCTGTTGAAAACAAAGTGTTTGACATAATTGAAAACATCAGGATCGTCACGGCCATCTACTTCAATCAGTTTGATGATGTAGGAGTTAACTTGTGGTGGTAAATTCAAATTCTTCTCTGAATCTTCAACAAAGTATTTCAATAATAAATTATGAGATGATTCTCTCAAGTTGTCTCTAGTAATGAAGGATCCATGCGAAGTTGCCGGTGAATCCCTGATTAATCTTTCCAAAAGTGAAGGGTTCACAGTGGACTCACGTTTATTTGAATGACGCAAATTGCTGTTTCCAAATTGTCTTGCGTATGGGCTCTGAGGTTGAGGATAATCATGTTTCAACTTGTCAATGCTGGTGTCTGATCTGTGACCCGATTGTAGTGACACGTACTGTGAAGGAGTGACAGCCTTATCGGCTTGTCCAATATCCAACTGGTTTTCATAAGAAGATTCATTGGAATGAGGGAAATGATCAACGCCATCATCGTCATGATCAACATCATCATCGTTCAACAATCCTGATTGTGAACTAAGTCTCTTTGGTTCATGGGGATGATTTGGTGGGTGGAAAGATGAACCTGATAATCTCGGGTTTGATAAGAAGCTTGGCGAGGATCTTCCCATTGAAATACCGCCAGGTGATTGCTGGTTCTGGAACGATTGTCCACCAGCGCCACCAGCACCACTACCACTACTACCCCGATTAGCATTGTTTTCATTGGCTTCAATCTCTGCATTATATTGTTCAATAAGGTCTTTCAATTTAGGATCGACATTATCCAAATTTATATCACCTCTTAAAAATGCTGACAATCTATATGAATCATTCTCTTCAAGAATATTGTCATTGATGATCAAATCAAGTAAAATAGACGAGCTCAAAGATCTGTGCTTGTTGGATTTATCGGAAATGGGGTTTGAGTTTCGAAACTGAAATGCACCTTTTGTTGGCGTTGTTGATGAAATGGGACGAGACGAGGGGCCATTGTGAACTTGATGATTCGCCCCAGAAGCAACACTTGTATCATCACGTATCTGCTGAGATTGACGTTGAGAATTTGATTGAAAGTGTGATGACTGACGTACAATGGAATCTCTCAAACCCTTGACATAATGTTTACATAAATTCAAGTGATTGATTAAATCAAACCAGAAATCCAAATAATCTACTCTTCCTTCAACATCTTGCATAAATTGATAAAAAGTAAACAAGTCAACTGGTGATTTGGACTTGTTAGCCAAGATCTCCCCCAAGGTTGGCAACCTGTTTAAATGTATGTTTTGATTTGTTCCATTGAGGTTATTTAAATTGGACAAGTAATTTGAATTGGGAAAATCCAGCGCATATTTCTCGTTGTACATAGTGGACTAGTGCTAGCTGGTGTGATCTTTCGGAAGGTAATAGCCTGACTTAGGACGCGATGTATATATTGTTTTAGTAGTGGTATGATTGCGTGGACCTTTTAAAGACAGCTTAGCAACAGCAAAATGAGTGTCGAGTAGTTGGTAAAAAGTGACACTTCTTCCTATGTGTCTTCAGCTAGAGACAGTTGTTGTTTGTCCGTATTGTGTATGGTGGTGTGCCTTTGTTGGGTTTGTTTATTCTATTACAAGTAGTGTGGTCTCAAACAAGAATTTTTTTCTCTTCGTATTTTGTGCTTGTGCAGCTATTTAGACATTGTTTCATAATCGTCTAACATTCAATCGTCACTAAATTTTACAATCATCGCCACCAATATACTGTGGATAACCATTTGTAACGAGCTGAGGTAGTAGTATCAAGCTGTATTGAGAAAGATTGAAGAAAATGTGAATGTCTTGTCTACATAATCTATTAGTGTTATACCACATTGATTGACTCAACACAATAGGCTATATTGGCATTTTGGTCTACCGTATCTCTTGCTAGGTAACCATCAAACCTTAACAGGAGAATAAATACATTAAGACACTTGTCATGCTATATCACTTGACATAGGAACTATGATTCGAACTGTAAATGATATACAGGTAGTGTCAAATATACAGGATTAAATAGCTTTGTGAGCCAAACATGGTCACATACATGAGAAAGTTCTCTTCTATTGTGGCTCAAGGAAACTGCATATCTCATGGAGTGTCAAATTCATGCTGGTTGGATTTTTCCCTCCAGAATGTAGATGGGAAAGAAGCACCTCGAACGCGTTTGACTACTCTTCAACACAAAAAGTAGAAGAAATCACTTTATCAGCCGTCCAAACAGTGTATACAACATAAAATGATACTCATTTCATTATGGCTTGTCAGAATGATACAAAGTTGTCCCTTCTATCTCAAACCGATGCAAGTGCTACACTCCATACAAGTTTAGTGAAGTTTTGCAACCACATACAACCGCACTCTGGGGGGGGAACAATGGTAGTATTACAGGTAGGTGCTCATACTGTACACGTCATCTTACATAGTAACGCATTGTTTAGTTTTCATTATGTTTTCTTAGTTGTGCTGATTCTTGTGTGTATGTTTAGTTCACTTAAAAGCATCAAATTTTGGCAACCAAAAGATTCGACAGTTGGTGAATTTTGTATACAAAAGTATGAATAGACCACGAATCCCCCCCCCCCCCCCATTCTGCAATCTTCTCTTTTCTTCTTTTCTTCTTTTCTTCTTCCTTTCTTTCATCTTTTTGCTCTTAGTATTCAGTCACCACCATCATCACCACTACTCATGCTACCACAACAGCTTATCGCGTGGTTCAAAGTACTCACTCTCGCAACATCAAAGATTCCGACGAGACCAACAAAAATCAGCTAGAAAACAAGGCGGTAAAATCTTCTGGACACTTTTTCCCCGGAGAGTCCTGGTTCTCCTCTTCGGGGAAGAAAAGGACCATGTCTGGAGTTTGGTACTATCTTGACTTTGAACAATTGGAAACAACCACTGATCGGGTCTTGTTGGAATCATACAATATTTGACTTCTAGGTGAGAGATATGTTGCAAACGTTGAGGAAACGTTTTTTTTTAAAAAGAGATTAATCTATTACACTCCAATTGCTCAGACTACTTATATACGCGCTACGTGGTTCATCAGTTATGGAAATATATGATCACAATGCATATTTGTGATCACCATCACCATCTTATAACTTATCTGCATAATCTTCCACTGATGCAAACAATGGCAAATCCTTAATTTTTGGTCTTTTAGACTTCTTCTTTGATTTGGAAGCATCATCCTCTTCCTTTCCACTCTTTCTCTTTTTGCTTTGCTTCACTGTCTTTTGTTGTTTCTCTTCCTGATCACTATCGCTTCCACTCACGTCCATATCTTCCAACATCTTTATTTCCAATTCAGAATCAGACAATTCGTCTTCGTCATTGATGTTGAACATCTTAGCTTCATCTTCATCAAATTCATCATCCAAATCTTCTCCTGCATCGCCATCACCAAGCTCACTATGGGAACCTACATCATCATCATCGTCGTTCCCATACGAAAGTGGTCTATCAAACTCATTGATTTCACCATCTTCAAAATCATCACCCTCTTCTTCTTCTTCTTGCAGAAGCTCAACTTCTTCATCATCTTCGTCCAAATCAGAAAAATCTTCTGGATCAAGATCAGACATTTCGTCACCGGATGAAGCTTCAACATCTGGTCTAGAGTTGACTAAAGCCTTCCACACTTCATCATCATCCATATCATTCTCATCCCTATCCTCATCAATGTCGTCGCCTTCTTTGTCTCCTTCACGTTCCTCATTTGTCTTCTTTTTCAACTTATTGACTTTAGTGGTAAAGTATTGATGAAAAAACCTCTCATCTGCTTTGATATCACTGACTTTCTTGTTCAACCAATTTTCTGTATTAGCTGGCATTGAATTGTCCAACACATTTGTTGATCTAACCAACAATTCTCCCGTGTGCGCACCTCCCAAAGGTTGCATAATTGAAGAACCTTTTGTTTGTGGCTTTTGCTTGGCATTTTTGTAAACAAAACGATCCAAAAAATGAGCTAATGTGTACAAGCCCAAATCCGGTTTAGTTTGGGGAGTACCATCAATGAATGAGGAAGCATAAAGTGACACGGTTGGGTGGAAATGGTTGACAAACAAATCAATTTCCCATAATGACGATTTATCAGCATTGGCATAGTTGGGGTCACGTTTCTTTGGATCGTACACATCGGTTTGCTGAACCGAGATTGAATCTGTCTTGTCCGAACCTTCAACATCGACTGATGGTTCCTTTTTCGGTTCTTCACTTTTTTCTTCATCAGGTCTTGAGTTGACATCGATCAATAAATCACTAATTTCAGGAATTGACTTGGACAATTCCATTAGCAAGTACAACATACCAGCAATAGCTCCTACATTCAACCAGTGAGCAATAACCTGCATTATCCTCTTCACAAAAGCCAAAACCCGAGGAATATTGGATGAATCGTTCTTCAATGATTTGTACAACAAGTTAAGATATATCCCCTGCTTTGAAGTGTTTACTAATCTTGCGTCAAGTAAGGATTCATATAATGTTCGATAATACCTATCCGCATTCAACTCTTGTTTGGTAATGATGTGATTAATCAACACTAAAGCTTGTATAGCCGTATTAAAATTGCTACTATGTGTAATCTTGAATAGAGTGTCCAAATGATTTTGAAAGATTTCATTAGGCAAGTCGCAAAAGGGGAAAGCACGATTCAATCCTGTCAACAAAGCAGAAAACATTTTTGAATTTTTTTCTTCGATAATCTCTTGCTGTGATTTATCCTCTTTTTTGATTGATTTACCTCCCTTTTTACCCTTCTTGAAATTCTTGCGATTATTCTTTCTTCCCTTTTGAGATTCTCCAATTAACTTGTCTTTTGAATCGTTTGCATCTTTGCCAAAAGTGTTACTTTCAATCAACACTTTTTCAAATAATGCAAAATAGGTCTTTACCAAAGCATTTGCTAATTCGTCCTCTCTTCTTGTGATGATTGTTTGGTTGAGTGTAGTGACACCGTAGTATTTAGTGTGATCATCAGTTGTGCTTTGGAATATAACATCAATAACTGCATCGGTGACGATTTTCTTCATTGCTGGGTGTGTTTGTTCTAATTGTAAAATCAAATATGAAGCTTTTGCTGCTACTTTGTTATCGGTATCACCCAATTTATTGACACCTAATTTTAACAAGTTCACTTCTTGTTCTGGTTTTGACTTCAATAAATCAAAAACATGGTTTAAAGCATTCATCCTAACGTGGACAATTGGATCCTGCAAGAGCCTTTCCAAAATTTGAAGTAATTTAAAGTATGTCTTTTTTAAATGATCCTCGAACAAGAAAACAGCTAATTGAGCATCAGTCATCGAAGATTCATCTTTCGACAATGGTTGTTTATCAAATGCAAACAACTTACGATCAGGCAATAGACCATTGAGTAACAAATCCTTCAATGCAACTATCGATTGTAATGCAGCAGTTCTGGATTTCTTATCACAATAAGACAAAAGGGTGTCAAGTGCTTTTATGTTGTGTAGTGGAGCTTCCTGTACCAACAAGGTTAATGCTGAAATTTTATCATTCAAAGTACCATCAGATAAGATTTGTGACAAGAATTTCTTTTGAGACGAGTTCGAAGCAAACTCTTCCAAATAAACCTTGTTGTCCTTGTCTAACGTCCTTTGTCCACGCTCAAGTAATCTTTCACGAGCAAACCGGTCTAGTTTAGGCAAACCTTCCGCGTTGGTAAGTGGAAATATATTGTACCAATCCAATCTATTCGGAACAACGAGTTTCCCACTGGATACCATTGAGAAATCAGTAATCTCATCGGAATTCTCTTCCTTCTTTGGATCTTTTTTGGACTTCTTGAGCTCCGCTTCTTTAACAACTACTTGGTCCTCGCCGTTGGTAAAGCTAATGGTGCTGTCATCTTGGACTAATTCAGGAGCTTCCTCTTCTTCTTCCTCTTCCTCTTCCTCTTCCTCTTCCTCTTCTTCTGAACTAGACGCAGAGCTAGACGAGTTCTCTTCATCGATATAATCCTCCTTCTCACCTAGAAGCTCATCTTGTGCTTCCCCGTCATTATCATTGTGGTCTGCCTCATCAACATTTTCGTCATCAATGACAACGGGTTCTCCATTGCCCAAGCCAATCTCTTTTATAAATTTACTTAAATCGTCTCCAAAGTGTTTATCCAATTTCGAGTCATCATTGAACTCAATCTCGCTTTTATCATCATCACTTTCAATTCCTTGTAATAACTTCAAATCTTCTTCTGTAGCACCTAAAGCCAAGGCTTCCTGACGCAATGTCTCGTCTGCATTGTTCTTACTGTTTGCATCTATAACCTTTTCGACGTTACTACCCTTGTCTTGTTTGCTAGACTTTCTCTTCGATTCCTTTGATTTTTCGATTTTGCTCGACTCCTTGGGCTTCTGTTGATCCTTCTCCTTTGAATCCTTTCCAGATTTTTGATTCTTTGAGGATCCTTGTAGACTCAACTTTGACGTTATCTTGTCCTTTAAATTTGACAAGTTCAAAATAGAGCTCATTTTCCTCTCGTAGTATATTCCTGTGTTGGACTTCAATTATGTGGGTGGATCTCCTCTACTGCTAAAATAAATTTTCTTAGGTGATGAGGACATCTTTAACTCTATGCAGGATGGCACTACATAGATGCACTAGTTCACACCCAGCTGCCATATTAGGAATTCTACATTCAACTGACTTTGTCACACTTTAGAAGGTGCTGCATATTCTACATGTGTGCATGAAGTTTTTCCAGTCGGTTAAGCAATTATCGCTTTTGCTTGGATCTTTGTGGATTGCTCTGTATACAATTGTTGAGAAACGTGGATTCACGAAATTTACTTTGGCAATATATTTACTATATCCCCCACACAATGACACATCTATACACGAAAAAATTCACTCCTTGGAGCTCGTCACAGACACCGGTATCCGGAACATCCAGCTCAACCACCATTTCATCCCGAAGCTCGGAGTATTTGCTTTCAAAAGCTCCCATAGGCGAAGGTTCATATTCAGTGGTTTATGAGTGCAAGAATAAACACACAGGGAAACACTATGCTGCAAAGAAATACAACAAGAGTCTATCCTATGGGTTGGAACTGCTACTACAGGGTGAATTTGAAATTTTGAGTCAAATATCGACGTCTCATCCTCAAATCTTGCTGTTGTTTGACTTTTTTGAGACGTGCAACAGTTTCTACTTTCTTACAGATTTGGCTGAAGGTGGTGACCTATTCAACAAAATAGTTCATGATTCGCCTGGGGGCAAACTTGAGGCATCTATGGCGAGAGATATTGTCATTCAACTAATATCGGCCGTGTCTTACCTACACTCCAATTTGATCATACATAGGGACATAAAACCAGAGAACATTCTATTTTCGCTGAAGAGTTCCAATGAAATATTACTTGGCGATTTCGGTTTGGCTAGAGTGTTGAAACCCCAGCAGAAACTACGTGATATGTCCGGAACATTGAGTTATATGGCTCCAGAAATCTTTGATCGCGAAAAAGGGTACAATTTCCCTGTTGATATATGGGCCGTTGGTGTCTGTTCGTACTTTATGTTGTGTGGGTACATGCCATTTGATTGTGAAACAGATGATGAAACCAAAGATGCTATCAAGAACAGAAGGTATTTGTTCGAACCAGAGGAATACTGGGTGGAGATACCTGAGTCTGCCAAGGAGTTTATATTATCTTGTTTCGAACTAAACCCTGACAGCAGACCTACACTGATAGATTTGAAGCACAAGTACTGTTCAACTGACTCAACAAGGCCTACTGGCGACAAAAATGAGACAATCTCTTCTGTATTCGAAACACAAAGGGCAGAAATACACAAAATTTTTCAAGATATGCCTAAACGTACCCAAACAAGAGATAGGTCATCAATACTTAATTCACCATCAACTCACAAGGACATTAACGATGACGATGATGTTGTCGCGCGAGGTGCATTTTGTATGACTCCTGAGTGCGTTACTGAGTTGAGTACACCAATCACTTCCACTTGCCCTTCACGCGAGCAGTCCTGGTTGAAATTCAAGAAACTGAGGGAAGATGTAAGAAACAATATAGGCGGAGGCATAGGTGTTGTTGAAGGTAACCAACGATCTCCAGCCAAATTTTCCATTTGATAAAGGGGTGGGTGCAACATTGTGAAAGTCGTGTGCGATAAAAAAAAGTTATTATGCAGATTTGTTTATGTTTAAATTTATGTAAATCTTATAGAAGCATTGATTGAATTGACTTGACTCTGGTTGCTTACTTGAACCGATGATATGACTACCGACTACTCATCTACTATAAATCAGGTACCTCCATTGAATCATGACTTGTACGTCCAGAAGCCCCGTGAGGAAAAAGACCTTTCTGAGTTGTATCCTGATTTAGGTGAATCGCTGCAACTACCGGTCTTCTTCATCGGTCTCCTGAAGAACAATGAAGTCAAAGAAACCTCACTGCTGGTGGGTGGAAACAGTACTGTGGCATCGAGCGGTAGGCCGATCTTGAATTTGAAAGCCCCTGTTTTCAAAAAAATTCAACCCACGATTCCCAATCCCAACATCAAATTCAATAAACAGCTTCTCGACTACGGATTTCGAGAGCCTTCAAAGAATAGTGACCGTTGTGGAAGGGATACGTATATAAGACAATTTGAAATACCGACGAGCATAGTGAAGCAAAGCGATCAAATCGACCACGAGTCAACGATTAAACAATACCTAAATAAAAGACAGTTATTAGTGGAGTATGATATGGATGAACAAGATACACTTTACCTACAGGATAGGAACAAACAAACCAAAAATGTCATAAAGATTACCCCGGAAGTGTTTGAAACAATGATCAGTACATTAGAAGATGAATGGAGCAAACTTGAACATCGCATGAATATGTTGACGAATAATGATGGACAAAATGGTGGACTTGGTCCAAATGATAGACTTCTAACCATGGGTCATAATAATTTGAAATATGGGAATGACGATGGCATAGAGCCAGGGTCCATCTATGATCAAAGATGTGCAGTTTGCAATGACAGTGATTGTGATAACTCAAATGCTATTGTGTTCTGTGATGGCTGTGACATAGCTGTGCATCAGGAGTGTTATGGTGTTGCGTTTATCCCAGAGGGACAATGGCTTTGTCGTAAATGTATGATAAACAAAAGCAAGGTTACAGAATGTGTATTTTGTCCTAGCACCACGGGGGCTTTTAAGCAATTAGATAACAGCTTATGGGGCCATGTAATATGTGGATTATGGATTAATGAATTGTATTTTGCCAACCCAGTGTACATGGAACCAATTGAAGGAATGGAATCAATACCAAAGAGCCGATGGAAGTTGACGTGTTATATTTGTCGACAAAGAGTTGGAGCTTGTATTCAATGTACGAATAGAAGTTGTTTCCAAGCATATCATGTCACTTGTGCCAAGCGAGCTGGTTTGCACATGGAAATGACGCAGGGCGTGAAAGGTGCTTTGACTAATAAGCTTACGCTTAGATCCTATTGTGATAAACATACGCCACCATCTGAGCTAGATAGACTTCCTTCGATCCTTGAAGGTATTGAAAAGACGAGACTCTACTATACGGATACAAAGCTTTTGAATCAACAAAATGCCAAGTTGAGTAGTGATCAAAAAGTTGCAAACAAACTCAATATATTTAAATGGAAAACTGAATCGAATACACCAATAGCACCCAAAATATTTAGTGATAAATTGGTTGAATTGATGTATTCGTTGAAAGTTGAGAATCAAGTCAACTTGCCCGAAGAGTCAATGAATCAAGTATTGGAATTGAGTGTTTTACCAAATCGTACAAAGGAGGAAATTCGCCTGGATTTAACGTCTATAGCAAATGAAATATGCCGATATTGGTGCTTGAAACGAGAGTTGAAGAATGGTGCGCCTTTGGTGCGTAAAAATAATGACTTTGGTACGTTGGGGACGGGGTCAGGCAGTGGATCAACAATGTCTGGCTCACTATTGTACGACTTCAACAATTTAGAACTGAACGGACCAAATGAATCACAAATTAATGAGAAGATCAAATTCGCCAATGTGTTGGTTCAAGATTTGAGTAGATTGATATTAATGAATGAGTTCAACACACAGCGACAAGTTGTTGCTAAGGAAATAGATGACATGGCGTTTAGTATTGCTGATATGTATTACTTCCCATTGAGTCAAGTGATTAAATTATCAATTGAGAAACTAAATTCGAAATACGATCCTGGTCATGTGATTTTAAACTATGTTCCCAAAACTACCACTAAGGACATAAACTGTTGTAAGAGCTTGAAAGCAATGATGAGGCACAATGAGCGTAATGGGTATGAAAACATACAACAATTCAAGAGTGACGTAGATGTGTTAGCCGCAACTATATGGAAAGAAAATAAACCAAGTTCCAATGTTTGTAAGAAAATGAAAGTGTGGAAGAGGGAGTTTGACAAGGAAATTGCTAGGATTGCAGTCAACGATGATGAAGGAAGCAATGAGTTGGTTCCAATGTCGAAACTTTCTGCAAATGGATTGGAGGTCACCGCCGAGAATATCGGTGATGAAAATTTGTCAGGTTATGTCGATGATGGTGGACAGAACACCGGTATGGTAAACACTCTACTGCTAGAAGATGTTGAGATGAGTGATCTTAGTGATATCGAATACGATGGTACTAGTGAAGCTCAATTGCAAGAGTTTTTGAACACTTGACGGGGATACTACGTACAAAACTGAGGCGTTGATAAACATACGCGGATATACGTCAGCGAAAACAGATAGGAGAGCCGCCGGTGTGGTCACAATTCTAATAGTGTGGGATACACAATGAAAGAGCGGTTGCTATTGTTGTCTTATCAGTGTAGTATTTGAAAACAAGGCTTTGAACATCCACGATGAGCGCAGAAAAACAAAAAAACTACTTTGGTAGATTGAAATTACCGATGTAAGTTTAAAGGGCAGCAGCACAAGTTACGAGGAGAACTGTGATGGATAGAACAAACCATGCAGTACACATTAACATGAAATGTCATGTGAACAATTTCGGAGTTCCTATGTATTACGTAATTTGTCTTAGGGTAGTGTACATCAAAACAAAACAAAAGAAATTTTTTAGAATGGTAGAAAAAACCGTTGTAGCAACACAAAACGAACAAAAAACAATGCAATTGGGCACAGTAACAAAAGTAATAAGAACAATAACAATAACAATAACAATCATACCAGTGACGACATCACATTGTTTTCTGTAACACGTGAGGTGCCACATTGTGTAAATGTCTGAAGGTACATAACCCTTTCCATTTGTATTATTTATATCAAATCTCTATCTTTTTGCTACTGCTCAATAGTTTTCACCATCTTTTCTTCATCCTGATTATCATTGACATTCCTTTCAAAAATTATCCAAGTTTAAACGATATTTACGTCTTTTCTTAAACAATTTTGTCGCTTAATTTTCTTTTCGCAACAGCTCTTCAGCGGAGAGTACAATAAAGAGAACCCGCTGCCCACCAAAACTACTGTTGCTTAAACCAATTTAAATATTTTGTTGTCCAAAAATTTAGTGAAAAGGAAGAGTTACTTTTGAAAGAAGATAAAGGGGAGCTAAGAGTACTTCAATTAGCCAATTGTGCTTATACAAACTGACTTCTCCAAGATAGCAACACTGCCTCAAGAAAATTTTAGTAGCAAGAAAAGATGGAGGTATGCCATGATGACTTGCAAGTTATCACCAAAAAATATGATGTTTGCATCCTAGGTGCAAGCAATGTTGGTAAATCATCAATGATTTACCGCTTTATTCATGATCAATTCATGGAGAATATTGAAGAAGAAGATTTATACACCAAGAAATACATCAATGGTCAAGGTGACTGTGATATTTTGACAATTTATGATTCAGACTTCACTAATGATATGTATATGAAAAGCATGCAGTTAACCATCCTCAATGCATCGTGCTTAATTTTTGCGTACGCTATTGATGATCTGAACTCATTCTTGTCTATTGAAGACTATTATCACCATATAAACATGTTTAGAACGCAAATGCCGCCTATTTTCATTGTTGGTTGTAAATCGGATTTGGAAGGTGAAAGACAAGTACATTACGAGGAAGGTGGGGAGTTGGCAACCAAGTTGAGAGCAATATCATTTCACGAATGTTCTGCTAAGGAAAATGTTGGCATCACTGAGATTTTCAAAGCAGTCACTGACGTCATCGGGGAAATAAGACTAAAGTCTCAAATATCATTGCCACAGAATCGTCTTTCAAGTAATAAAAGAGGGCTTACTGGTGTTGCATATTGTACGAATCATGATTTATCAAGAAGTAGTTCAATGAGTCTCGGCAATTCCAATTCGCTCCATGCCATGAGGACCGACTCTCTGTTGCAAATACCACCACGTCTGCCATCACAATCAAAACCAGGGTATTCATCTAACTCAATCAAGGTTGCTAAAAACAAAAGTCTTGTTGGTGATAGCAACAACAAGAGCCTTGTCCTTGACACACAATTGCTGCAAATTCCTCAAGAACAGAACTCACACCATGGAGGCACATCTACTTCACAAACCACTTTAGCTGATGGCGAGACAACACTTGCGCAAACCAACAATGAGGAAGTTAATGTCCCACTGGGTAAAAATGACAACACAAGGAAAAGAAGAGGCTCTAACAGACAGTACTCATCAAAGAGGGAAGTTGAGAGCCCGAAAGATAAATGTTGTGTTATAACTTGATTGGGAAGGGATCGCTAATGGTCTAAAGCTAGACCGCTTGCTCAAATGTAGTCGATTTTGACTTGCTGTGTTATGAGTTTAACGACATGAAGATGTGTTCAATGTTATTTCTTTTTTTCACTTCACACTATATTACTTTGGCGTTGGATTGTTTTTACTAATTATAGAGGATTAGGTTATAGAACTAAATGAATTTACGAAGATTTTCGATACATAGTGTAGTTTCAATGTAGACTTGGTCCCTACACCGCTTTTTTACACGGAATTAAAAGGGTGATTTCGGTGAACAGGAAGAAAGAAAAGAAAGAAAAGAAAAAAATCCCTAGTTTTCAGCGCAAAAGGAACTTAGAAACGCCGATGCACCATGATTTCGAAAATTTTAAAAAACCGGTCATTCGAAGATAACCGCAACATAGAGTAAACTATTCTGAACTGCTTTTGTATGGCATGAATTATAAGATTTTGAACTTTTTGTGCATATTTTGACAGAGTTTCAACGATGGTCCAACTCGCAATTGATTAACAACAGAAAAGAATAAGCAATGCCATTGTAGATTGATAATTCGTGTTTCTTAAAAACTACTTTGTTTATACGAATAACTGGAGAAAAAGATCTCAACGTTCTAACTAACTATCGACTCTCCTCCTTTCCCCCCCTAGATGGCAGCTGTTTCGGAAATGTGGGAAAATCCTCTAAATTGTTCTTGCATCTCCGACGTCAACACCGTCTCCACTGGAGTCAACCTTGGAGTCTCTGATGTAAACTCTTGATCAAAATTGGAATAATCATGTTCAGAACTAATTTCAGGGATATATGGAGCAGGTATACGACAATGCAAAACATCATCGAAATTAACATCTTGGAAATACGGATGCTCCATAATCTCTTCTGCATCACGTTCACTGCTTCCCAATCGTTGTTGAGGATCCTTTGTCAACAAAGCTTGCAAGATAAGTACAGTTTGACGTGATAAACTGACGGGGTACTTCACTTCATCATGCTCAATAGCATTGAATATATCATCTTCATCATCACCTTTGAATGGAGATTGACAAAGCAACATTTGAAACAACAAGACTCCAAATGCCCACCAGTCAACACTTCGAGTATAGTTTTTACCAGCAACAATTTCAGGTGCCATAAACTCAGGTGTACCACAAAAAGTCGATGTTGTATTTTCATGCCACATGTTTTCTTTACACAATCCATAATCACCAATCTTGATATGCCCCTTTGTCGTTAACAAGATATTATCCAATTTCAAATCACGATAAACGATTCCATTGTCATGGAAATATTTCAATCCAAGCAACACTTCACAAGCATAAAATTTAGCCCTTTTGGCTGAAAACCGATTCTTTTGTATATGCCACATCAAATCACCACCAGAGATATACTCCATCACAAAATATATCCTATTCTCGGTTTGGAAACAACAATGCAAATTCAACAAGAATGGATGCATTTCTTTATTTGCAGTTAAAAATACCCGTTTTTCAGAACGAACACTTTCGGCTTCATCATTTTCAACAATAAAATCTTTTTTCAATACCTTGATGGCACATAAATTCGAAGTATGTCTTGATTCAGCCAACATCACTTTACCAAAGTTTCCTTTACCCAATACAGCAAGGAATTGGAAATCATCCAAACCAACTTTTCTTTTGCGACGTTTGGGCTTACCTGAAGATGATTTACCTGAATGAGTTGTCACTCCAGAATGTCCACGGTGATGGTGTTTGTGATGAGGCTTATTCACTTTGTATTCTTCATCTTTAGACACTGATATTGATGGATCCAACGTTTCCAACTTGTTGCCCTTATTGCCGTTCTCATCTGATTTATCCTTTTGATCCAAAAAGGGGCTTATAATTATTTCATCTTTTACCTCTGGTGATATAATCTGGTTTTCGGTGAACTGATTCTTGTAATCAAAATCAACAAAAGCATCTTCCGCACGATTGTTTTTATCATCATCAAGAATGAACGATTTTTCATTATTCATGGCATAATCGCCTGCATCATTTGATGTATGATCAGCTCTACCGGTAGCAGTAGCAGCAGCAGCATCCCGACCACGCACTTCCTCACCATAAGGATGGCGGTATTGGTGCTCATTTGTGTAATCTCTCATCTGCTCATCTTCAACTGGTGGACGACGTCTAGCCGTACGCGAATGGGAAGCATTGTCCATTGGTGCTTGGTACAACTTTTGAGTTGTCGTTGGAAGTTTTGCATTAAAGTCATTATCGTCCTGCTCTTCTTCAGATGAATTACGTAATGTCTCAACAGACTCTCCAGAAGATTTACCCAACACAGATGGTTTTGGTGGTAGTGGCTTCTTTGGTTGTTGATATTGTTGCTGAGCCTCTTGCATCTGCTTTTCTTGTGAAGAGAGCACTTGGTATTCTGTATTCTGATAATTAGGTTCCTGTCTCATTTCCAGAATGGCAACCTTTTCCAGAATCTGTTTTGGTTTCTTTGGAGACACCTTTGTGGACTTGATCGTGGCAAGAATCTCATTAGCCATTTGTAACGACATTCCACATAAATCGGGAACCAAGTGTGTACATTGGGCATGACACATGATACCACATTCGGTACACTTTCTTGCATTTTTCTTACCCCACGGTAACAAGTAACCACAATGACAACACCATTTGGTACCATGATTCGTAACTGGTTCAAATCTATGAGGAATACGATGCTTCAACTGAGCTGCATCATAATCGGACCCTGATTTGGAAATACATTTGGTAACAACCTTTTGGTAACATTTTTTATGACACAAGAATTTACAATCTTGACATTGAAACCCAGTATAACGTAAAAACTCTCCACAAAGTGCACAGCACATGATATTGTAAAATTGTTTTTGAACAAATTGATGGCCATGTTGTTCAAACACTTCCTCCTTCCTTTGACGAATTGCACCGTGTCTTCCAAGCGGTCCTTTGAATTGCTTGCCCTGTGTAATAGATTTCTCAAAATTAATATTGATCAACATTTGACCACAAGGCTCTAAACTCAACCAGGTATTTACCGAAACCTTTTGATTAAAGTCACCGGTAGTACTGTCGGTTTTATTTGGGGACCTCAGGGGTGTGATTTCGTTTTGTGGCAAGTTCAATGCCGAATTAGCTCCCCAGCTAGATGATCCGTAGTTGCCATTGCCTCCAGAGCCGTTAGTTTGTGGCAAATTGCTTGCAGGTAACCATCCACTAGCTCCTTGGTCCTTTGCAACCTTCTTTTTACGGATCTCTTCAGCAACATCAAACAACGAAAGCCAATTCACAGCAATCGGAACATAAGTTCCACTCAGTTTGTCCATCACCGTTAACTCAATTTCGTGACCCTTTTCCACATTGATAAGTAGTTCCTCTGACCAGTTGTCATTCTTCGATGGCTTTGTTCTTGCCCTTTCAACATCATCAATTTTGACAGTCACTATAGTATCTCTTTTTTTGAACGCGGCTGTAGCCATATGATCCACATCTCTGACACACGCTATGGCAATTGTCAATTTGCCACTCAATGGTTTTCTTGCATGTTTTGGAGTATCCATTATTTCATAGTCTCTATTGAAATCCTCTGAATTGATGTTGAAATTTTGATATTTTTTCAATGCTTTCTCCAATAGTTGTATTCTTTGATCACTTTCAGCTCTACCCCCTTCAGCCGCATTACTTGATGATCTATCTCCATCCATCAAATAAAGGTGTGAAATTTTCTTATTTGCCTCAGCGTATTGATTCTCAACCTGAAGCTTAAATTGTAATTGTTGAATCATATGTTGAATTTTATGACCTAATGATGGACATTCATACTTGATCAAGTCTAACCTTGAGTACGTTGGTTTGTACTCAGATATGGTAGAGCTTCGATCGTCTGCACTCTTCACATTCATTCTCAGCATTTGGCGAGATAGTTTGTTGATGGATTCCTGATAGTAGTCAATCAAAGTCTGAGACTCGATAATTTTGGATTTGCATTTCTGAACAACTTCGGCATTGGTAGAATTCCTCTTGACATCTTGATACCCTTGAATAATCTTTTGTTCAGTATCAATCTTACCTCTAATATCTTTTATCACCTCCTCTGGGTTTTGATGCTGCCCCTGACGTGACATGATTTCTTTTTTTTTTCCAAATAGGGATCAATCTGTAAACAAAGTGGTGGTGAATCGGATTAAAAGAAAAAAGGAGTGCAAATAGTTTCTGTGAGTTAGTTGAAGTGGTAAAAAACCCCTTTCAACAATATCAATGGGTTTTGGTCACTCTCTTTTGATAGCTATGGAGTATTAAAACAAAGTTGTCCTCCTTCTTCTACCTTTGAACACAGTGTAGTATTTTCAAAGAATAACAAAAAAAGAATCAACTTTTTATTTTTTCTTTCTCTCTTTGGATCAACACATGTTTACCATTTTAGCACATTGTACATCGTTTCTCTCTCCACCTTTTAATGCTACCCAAATTTAACATTCGTATACAACACCCCTATAAACTTTCTATTTGTTATTACATTGACAATCGCAATCAGGCACAGGACATATACTATGGGTTGAAAACCACTCCTCCGCATGATGGGCATGGTAACAATGATTGCAACTCAAGCAAAAACTAAACCAATTTTTAAATTTATTGTCAATCTCCTCACCAACTGAATGGGTCATTTTATGATCCAGTGAAATTTCAGATCCAAGTGATAACATGCATATTGAACATCTTGGTAATGGGGCTCCACAATGGGGGCACGCATTCAATAGAGCATTCTTTTTCACACCGGGCTTGGAAAACTGTTTCATCAAGTTTTGATTATTCATATTGTTGATTCCCTTGGATATATTCTTACTGCATCTGTTGCACTGAAGATAAACTTGTCTGGGAGAAGCTTTAATCTTTTTTTCACCATCAAATGCTTTGGACAACTTTGTACGTGACACATCCAATTTTGCTCTGAAATTAAACATTTGCCAACTGTTCAAAAGGGTTCGATAACAATCGATCCAGTGTCGAACTCTATTATCGGCAAAGTATCTCGGACAAGCAAATGCTGAAAGCAAAGCTGCTGTTTGAACATCGCTAGTTCTATCAACAAAACTCTGCAACAAATCTATGCCTCTAGGTGTAATTCCTGTCAAGATCAAACCTTCAAGTTCTCCTTTTTGCACAACTGTATCGCCAATGCGGTTCAAGTACACCGTCAAATCACGATCTGGTAAAAACCTAATGGCAACGCCTATCCTTTCTCTCAAGGGAAGAGAATGTTCATCTAAAACATCCCACCAATCATCATCAGCAATGAATGCAAATATTGCTCTCAAGTAAGGGTCGTCCAATTCTGATGCCATTTTACGACACTGGTCTTTCCATGGACTGTTTGTATTTGTATTCTTGTATGCCAAATATCCTGCAATTGCAGTAGCCATTAATCTTAATCTCTCCTTTTTGGAGTTGCTCAAGATATCAATCGCTTTTGCTACATTACCATGGAAAACAGCCCATCCTGCTGCTTTTGAAACCATATTCATAGAAATCAATTGTTGAATTTTGTCCTCGAATTCTGTTTCTGTAAGATACCACCCAGATACAATCAAACACAATTTACGCTGTGCCTTCTTTTCGCTATTTTCCGGTATGTTTATTCCAACAAATTTTTTGCCCTTGGATGCAATTATAGATTTTACTGCTTGTGTAAACCATGCCTCATTTATCTTGTCTCTTGCCGAAATGACGCGATTTTGGTTGTTTAACGCATCTACTCCATTCCATATCCCTTGTACTCCCTGATATCCTAAGTCAATTCCCTCTGATATCATTGTTCCTTTATCCAATGATTTTTTGGCCAAACTAAGCCACTTCCACACATGCCTTAGAGCCAATTGATTGTCATTGGGGTCGAGCTTTTGCAAAATCTCTATATTCTTGTCGGGAAGCACACCATAGCCCATAGATGCGCGTTTTCTAATTACGACGCATATATCGTTTATGTTGATGGAGTTGGAATCTAAGAAAGTATTGAGTATGGGTCCGGAATCGCGTTCGTCGTACGAGAATCTCTTATCATTTGAAACGGCTAGATCGCCGACACTGTCATCATTGGTGACAGAAGTACCATCTAATGAATTGCGAGCATTATCGTATTCTCGTTTATACTTGTCGTCAATGGACAAATCTTCAATCTTTAATTGATGAGACAGCCTTCTCCTTTCGATATCCATACTCTCCGACACTTCAGGGGTGAGAAAATTGGTGGTGGTCCCCTCTGGCCCAGCAATTGAAAACTCATTATAGGGATTAAAGTCCAAAGCTTCAATTGATTCAACGACTGGCATTCTAAATACGGATCCCGATTGTCTCATACAGACAAAATTGGTGGATGTATGTGATAAAATATCCGGAGAATAGTCAAAGGAAACAACTTTTTCGTAATCCGTCTTGACGTCAAGAACCATAGATACAAACAAGGATTCCTCTGTTGGCTTGTACAACACAGATGATTGCTGAACTAAGCTTTGTAATGTACCAGATTCAAAATTTCTGTTTACGATGACTTTTTTGGGTGGAACAACACCAGTATGCCATCGCCTAATGAGGTCACCATTGAATATTGAGGCAAACTCACCCCTACGAACCGCAGAATACCGCAAACATGGATGAAGATTTTTTCTAGAAGAGGATCCACTCAATAGCTTGTTGAACTGTAGCAATGGATTTTCAATAACAACATTCCCACTCGATGCCTTCAACTTCCGATTATTGCTGGTAAGTTTTCTTCTATCCCAAATGAACAAAGACCCATCCTCACTGTATGACTGGAACAAATGGGGTTGGAATGGGTCCACCATCAAACCCAATGTACATTTCGTTGCAATTTGATACACCGGCAGATCTTCTCTAATGTCCACTTCTCTTAAAAACTTATACGACCCACATATGACGTTGGTGTCTTTATCCGGAAGGAAGACAGTGGATAAAACTGCTTCATTGGGTATATATGACAGCACGGGACGTTTCAAAGTACTGTCATTTGTCGATGCATCTCCAGATTTTGGGTACTCTTGTATATCCCAAATTTGTAATGAGTTGTCTTGTCTTCCCTTGTCAAATCCACCTGCTATTAAATTGGAATGATTGAATGAAATCGAGTTACAAGGTCTATGTTGTTTCGGGTGTAAATGCAAAGTTGTGGATGATGACGAATTGTTGATATCAAATATTGAGATATCTCCATCAATTGTCGCCACCCCAATAACCCCTTTTCTAGTACTCAAGTAACTTGAACATTGAATATTGTCAAATCCACCTCTTGTATGGATGGGAACAATTGTATTAGATTCGACATTGGGATCTTCATGACTTGTTTGGTACAAAACAACCTCATCGGCGGTTGGCGGTATTGCAATAAATTGTTGCTCGAAAACGTTATCCCAATTGGCTGCTCGAGTTATGGAAACCATCTTTGAAGGAAAGAGAAATATGCCGCTAGAACACACAATTTTATTACATGAGAAAACCCCAAGTACAGTTCAATAAGAAAAATTTGACACAGAACGCGACATTAAATCGCGACATCTTAATATTGACAAGAATATCCCCTATGGAATGTAAATACACCTCTTACGTTTCTTAGAGCTTTAGTTTTTGGAAAATCCCCTCCGGTGCTGTTTTAAAGTCCTATTACTAGACTAAGCAAAAATTAGCAATTAGAATTGGCTCTCACACAAGTTATTCAAAAGTATCGTTGCAAAATAAAAAAAAAATGGACTTCCCTACTTTTTCAATTACAAACAGCCGATAACACCATTCTGGGTTTCTTTTCCAAAACCAGTTTCTTTTCCAGTATCTTTCAATAAATTCCACGTAAATCAGCCGATTCCAGGGAATCCAGGTTCAGGTAATCACGGATGGCTGCATGTTGATGCAGGGCGTTCCTGCATATTGTCAATAAGCCAATTTCTGTACGCGATTAAATATTTTGCAACCTTACGCAAATATGGGCAAATTATGTTTCTTCTATGATCAAAGATGGGGCCAAACATCAGCTTATCATACTACTCATTTTAGCTAATCTAGTAGAATTGTACAAGATGGGTCAATCCAAAAAATTGTCGATTCATTTTCAATCGAACCATAAAGTCTTCAAAGAAAAGTATATATAAGATGAATTAACTTGATACATCTGAGACTAGTCTTGTGGGCCACTTCTTATTCCTTCGCTATCCATTCAAATAGACAATGTTGTTAAATTCAAAATTTGTCGTGCTAATTTCAGCTTGCACCACCCTACTCGCCAGTCCCATCAAGAAATGCAAGTTTCCCGACAAGGAAGGTCTTGTTTCTGTTTTCAAAGACGGGGTGAATGCAGGTTGGGCAATGAGCCCGGACGAAGCTTGTATACCAGGAAAATATTGTCCCTATGCCTGTCCACCGGGCCAGCTTATGAATCAATGGAACCCGGAAGCTACAACATACCTGTACCCGACATCTATGGATGGTGGATTATATTGCAACAATGATGGCTCTACTAGAAAGCCTTTTAGTGATAGAGAGCTTTGTGTTGATGGCGAAGGAACAGTATCAGTTGTTAACAACGCTGCCAAAAATGTTGCGTTTTGTCAAACCGTTTTACCAGGTAATGAAGCCATGTTGATACCAACCAATGTCGAAAGTGGCAAAGAGCAGATCTTGGCTGTTCCAGGACCCCAATATTATGCTAGTGCAGCGTCTCATTATTATGTTAATCCGCCTGGCATATCAACTGAGGATGGTTGTGTTTGGGGTACAAATGATAAAGAGGTTGGAAACTGGGCTCCTTATGTTGCTGGTATGAATAGTGATGCAAATGGAAACACATTTATTAAAATTGGAGTCAATCCAAAACACATTGACGATTTCAGCGGCAACACTCCCAACTTTGGTCTCAGAATTGTATGTGACAATCCACAAGATTGCAACGGAATGGAGTGTGAATTGAATCCAAAGAATGGATACAATAAGGCTAAGGGACCATCTTCTGGCTTATCATTGGGAGCAGAATACTGTATTGTGACAGCAAAAAACCACGCTAAAGCTAAAATTGAAGTTTTTGAAGTATAAGGGTATGTGGCAATTACGTGCTTTCTTCATGTTTGTATTAAATATTTAGAGTAGTTATATAGAGATATTAATAAATAGAGTTTTACCTGTTGAAAGCTACGACTTCGATCTATGTTGTTATCAGAAATTGTTTTTTGTATTATATTATACAGGAGTGTTTAGTCCGTTGAATAAATATGATCAACCAACAGTCAATGTGTCGTCATCTGGGAAACTGTATTCAGGAACTTCCAAGTTCAAAGGGGCTGGACCTTTTCTTATTCTTCCAGAAATATCGTAATGGGAACCGTGACATGGACAGAACCAACCACCGAAATCACCTGCTTCACCAATTGGGACACATCCCAAGTGTGTACAGATACCCAACATGACCAACCATTCTGGTTTTTGAACACGGTCTGAATCCTTTTGTGGGTCTCTCAATTTAGATACGTCAACTTCATTTGCTTCTTCAATTTCTTCTGGAGTTCTATGTCTAATGAAAACTGGTTTACCTTGCCATTTGACAATAACATTCTTACCCAACGGAATGGCACCCAATTTAACTTCTACCTTAGCCATAGCCAAGACATCAGCAGATGCAGCAAATGACGAAAGGAATGATTCAACAGTGGATTTAGCACCTGCGGCTGACAACAATCCCATAGATCCAACCATAAAGTAGGTAAAATTTCTGCTGGCTTGTGGGCTCTTGTGGTTCAAGTACGAGGAAAAGTCAGGTTGTTGGTAGTTGGATAATTGAGATGAAGTTGATGATAACGTTCTAATTGAGTCTATAGCAATGTTAGTATAAAATTGCGGGTCAGTTGCTGAGAGAGCCTTAAGGATGCCGGGGTATTGATTAGTCGCAATGGGCCCTTATCCTAATTTCACCAAGGGAGGTGGTGATATTAGTTAAACAAAGGACCTCACCTCAGATCGTATCTTAACCACTTCAAACAAGCTCCCATCGCTAGATTTCGAACATACTTTTCAAACCCAAACCATTCTTCAATGATCTCACTGCAAGTAACGACATGACTGTGTTTATTATTTGAGGTATAAACTAATGCAGAGGCACTCTTTAACGGTTTGAACAATTCGTTTGTTCTATATCTGGTAAGTTTTTTCTCTTTTGAAGAGTGAAGTAGAAAAACCAAAAGAGAAAAAAAGTGTGTTGTATGCAGGAGTGTACATAGTTTATTATTCAATACGTTTTCCAAACAATTTTATTGGCTTAAATTTTGTGGAAGGTAGCGCTAGCTATAACTACCAGTAAGACAACGCAGGTGAACTCAAATGCCTTCTTATTCTATGAATCAAGACTACTTAATTCCAAATCCAGAGCTTTCATTCACTGCTTTGTTTAATTTGTCGATCATCTTTGCCTTGCTATTGTAGTTGTATATAGTCAATTCGTTAAAACATGTGTGGGCAATAGGGAGTCTTTCACTATCGAGTCCATGTCCAAGAAGGGTCACTTTGAATGGTAAGTTCTGTATTCCAGTAGCGGGAACCCTATCGGAACCAGTTACAAACACCAATAGCTTCTTCCGTTGTGAGTTGTTCATGGTTGCAAGATGTTCCCAAAACCATTTGATGATACATGAATTTGCAGCATCGGTGGCAGAGGGCCATCCAATGTACTTTGTAATCGACCGAAGCACATCAAAATCTATATTGTGATCTTCACTACCGCAGAGCAATAATTGAATTTCTTCCTCCAGAAACAAGGACAACGCATTGCCTGCAATGACAGTATTAAACCCTTCAATGAATGCGTCCAACTGTTGTTTAATTCCTTCCCTCATGAAGTACGTCATATACTTGTTGATATAATCATCTACATTGGCCTTGGACACGTTGGTTTTACTGCCATTTGGTACCAATTCTCTGGTGTGAGGCTCTCCAAAAGTATCTTTGATTGTAACCTCAAAAGTCAACTCCAAATGTTTCAACTGATTGTCGTCCATAGCTCGCAATTGATAAAGGTTCTTGTATGATTCCGGATACAATTGTTTATAATTCTCCTTGTCCAATGACTTTCCCAATAAGATCTTATACAACGCAATTGGAAATTGCAAATCCAAAATTGTAGAGTTGTATATAGCAAGACCTAACACGGCCCCAAATAAAAAATACATTTCACGGTCCTCTAGTGGGAAGATGTTGAACCATAACAAGTTCGAGTCCTCAACATTATGGAATAGCCCTGCCTGTGGGTGGAAGATTTCTTTGGTTAACAAAATAAACCATTCCTTTCGGAGACCACCCGCGTCGACGCCAGGCTCATTTATGAATTGCACTTTTAAACTTTTCTTCAAGTTTGTCAAGTTCAGCTTGATTGCTTTCATGGAATCTTGTACTATATGATCCCGCCTGATTTTGATTCTGAGATACACATCTATCACCACTCTCTTGTCCAAAGAATTGATGAAAGCCTCTTCAGCTTTACGTTCCATTTGTCTTCAAGCCTCATACTCCAATACTGAAATCTTGCTTCCTAATGAGATAAGAAATGGATACTGACATAGATAAAGCAAAGCATCATCAAATAAGGGATTGTTTATGCTTGTACCATGGATATATCCTATGATGGACCTCAATTCTGGCTCTTTGCAAACATGAGTAACTTGCATCTTCTTTTTGCTTTGCCACGAATCAAAGTCCAACTTGATATTGACATAATCAATGAGTGAGTTGTAGAAAACCGATACGGGCACTTTATCATCCCTCATTTTATTTGCTCTTAGAAACAACGAGAGCACTTTCAGAGCTGATACAATTCGCCAATCATTACCGTACTGTTGCACTCGAATCTTTACATCTTTGTGACTCTTACCCTTGTTTGTAGACCCCCTTGTAGGTGCGATGTTGTTGTGCTGTGAGCGTGGTACCAAAAGTGGACCGGGTAAGGTATCAGAATTTGGAGCCGATTCAATGTGATTTTTCAAATTGACACATTGAAAATATTCCAATTCATCAGCTTCTTGGATGTCAGGTGAAGGTGTTAACAGGAGCTTTATATGCGGGTTGTTTGCCAAATAAAAGTACTTTTTCAACTGAAATGTTATATATAGATTGATAATTTCCACTTTTTGGATGAATGTGTTGTGATCATAATGAGCAATCCAAGAGACCCAGTAGCTGATTATTTTAGAGTTATCGACACACGAAAGAACTCCTAAACTTCGTTTCAATATATCGTAGCACAATGTCTTGATTTCATGTTCATTGGTCATTGATCGTATATGTAGTCCACGCGGCACTAAAGAGTTAACCAAAATAGGAATTTCAAGAATTATGAAAAGCCATCTATATTGCGCCACGTGATTTGATGGCGGCAGTAACCTTTTCAATTGATCGCTAACTCCTTTCAATGCTGAATGCAATGGCTTCTTTGTCGGCAATTTTGTTAGCAAATTGAATAAATCCATGATTTCTGCTGAGTCAATATGGGAAGTATGGCGATGTAGTCGGAAGTCCAGTTTATGAATCTTGAATGAGTTGTTGAGTACGTCGTGCGACTTGAAGCTATTGTACAAGTATGTAGATACTTGTTGAAACACCTCACGCAAGGACTTTTCCTTGCCCTCCTCGGTTGATGCATAAGCAAAGCATTCTTCAACCATTGAACTGACTTTTTGAAGTGATATCAGACAATTTGTTTTAGGCGAACGAAGGGAATCTCGTTCTTGTGTTTCCACAAAATTGGTCGTGTAACATATGGAGCATTTGTACTTGGTTGCACTGCTAGGGAACGCTAATATCGTATTACAACAGAAACACTTATTGACAATTTGAGTATGGTTAGACTCCAGACTATTCAGACTATTCGGACCTGTAGAATTTCTTGTATCACCCTTTGACTCTTTTGATTTATCATTCGGGGCTTCACGATGGGCATGGTTTGGTTGTTTTGATGCAACACCTGTTTTCGAAACCGTCCGGGTTGATGGGTCCACGGAAAAGGCCAACAATCCTTTAAAACTCCATGAAGATGTGCTTGACACTGTGGACCCTTTCTCAGGATTTTGGTGAGCCATGTGGTGATACGAAATGCTATTTCCCGCAAGAAAGGTTGTAATGAAGATTGTAGGGGGTTTGTTGAAGACCTCAGAACTGAAATGCTGCTTAGGATGAAATGCAACTAGCGGTACGTAATTTCATTCAACTCGGAGCGTGAAACGGAATAATTGGCGTAGGCGGGAAGGAAGGGGAAGTGGCGTAAATATATCTCAGTGTTTTAATCTGTAAAAAAGGGGAACAATGTCTTGTTTTTTGATATGATGTAGGCTGTACTTGTCTTTATTGTTTACAAAACAGCGTCTCTTTTGTGATTTGATCTTTTTGTACCCTTTATACTCTTTTTATGATTCAAATGAGGAAAAGAAAAATATAATCTACAACCAAACTTAGTTGTGTCAACTGCTAGACAACACAAGAGCCCAGACCATATACTTATCACTGTCTTTATTTTGTGTTCAATTCCTGACGAAGTACAATTTTATCTTTAAGTGAAGATGTATGTGTTGACGGAAACATCAAATAGCTCAAGGGCGATTAACTTGTCACTTGTTGTCAACATAAATGGTCATAGATTGTTATTACTTGCTCAGGGAGCCACTGTAAAGGTCTATCTTTATGAGGGAACATCACTGGCGTACATAACCACATTGAAGCTAGAGAATAAGCTACGGTCTTGGGCGAAGTTTGTAAAAAACTCCAAAACCTACGTGATACTCATTAATTGTGAGTATGAAGTCAAGCTTATGGAATTGGGTGATTTTTCATCCAATATGAAGCATCTTGATATACTCATTACTCACGTGGTCAAACTCTCCACCAAGGGCCAACGTGTATCTCCGAATCTTGATGCTCCAATTATCATCCCTGTGCGTGAGGAGGATCCAGAGTACATACTTTTTCACATCTTCTATTCGAATATCCAAATATTTACTGTTGGTGACTTGTTTTCAACTTCTAAGAAAGAGATTTTACCCGATACGCGCAACATTGGGCAGATTGATGCTAAACAAATTGTGAATCTAACAACTCATGATCCGAGTCAAAGGAAAACCGAAGGTAATCACAATAACTTGGAATCATACAGGCTAGCTGTGCTTTACAACGATATAACTTCAACATCCTACGTCAGGTATTTGGACTTTTCTGAAAGAACGCCGACCTTTGAAGTTTGTCGACAACTACCTCCGTTTGAGGAAGAACCATGCTTAATACAACCTTGTATTCAGGAACCCGGGGGATTAATTGTGTATACAAGCTCCAGCATGTTCTACTTTCCACCCCAACAATTCAAACACGTATCAGCAAGGCAGACAAAGAATGTGTTTATATCAACAAAATCACAAGATCCATATTTTGCAGTGACATTGGATAAGCCTGGTAGAGGAAAGAATAGGCCAGTCTATAAATGTTTTGAACCAATTGATTTACAAAGGACACTTCTAACAGCAACGTGCGGTCAAACGTTTCTACTTTATATGGATCTCGAAGTCTCAACAGGGAGCAGTGTTGTAGTCAACCAAGTTAGCTTCATTGACCTCAATTATACAACGATACCAATATTTAATGGACTACATCATATTCAAGGGAATCATTTCTTTCAAGCCTCCAAGACGTCAAAACTGATTCTCTTTGAAATATTGCCCATGAGACCCAATATCAACATTCTCGACTCTATAGATGGAAACCCTCCAGTTCTCGATTTGAAAGAAGCCAACGATGAAGGGTTATTTGCATGTCAAGGAGGATGGGACGGCAGTCAATTGAGAAAGTACACATCCCCGCGTGGCAGGTATGAAGAGATTAAACTGGTAAAAGTGTTTGATGGACGTTTCAAGTTTGTCGGTCAATCTGAAGATAAATTCATAGTAGGAGCTGTGTCGGAAGGAGATGCGAATATGAAGATAAAAGCCGTGGAGAAAGGTTTGCTATCAATCACAGTGGGAAACAATCTTGCAGAAAACGTTTTGGAGGTCTCAAAGAGCGAAAAGCACGATGTGATTTTAACACAAAGAAAATTAATAGTGAATGGTGAGACAACATTTGACGGGAATGTTGAGTTTGGCGTGATCCAGGCCAATGATGGAGTTGTGGTGATTGCAACCAGTGATAATGTACTTTATGTTCATGATATCCTGCAGGTGTCGAACGGGATGGTTTGTAAGATTGACCGATATCACGACAATGGAGATGAAATTTCAAGTGTCGATATGTTTAGATCCAGAGATACGTCTTGGATGATTTGCTCGTTTTTATCTGGAAAGTACGATGTCTGGGAGATAAACGCAGAACAACAAAAACTCGTCTACCTGGCGTCCTCTGACAGTGCTATTTTTTCATCTTGTATATTTGTGCAAGGGCAATCAAAATCAGAAGAATCCAATTCTGTGCACTTGTTTTTCCTGCACACAAATGGTGACGTTTGCCAGGTAAAATTGAAAAAGGTGGATAATGTTTTGACATTAGATGGATCTAGTACCGCGAATGTATGTGATTTACCATATGTCTGGAGAAGACATGGCAATAGGATTCTAGGCTTCAACTCCAAGGGCTTGATAGTACCAAAGAGACTGCGAGAATTGGATCAGTATGGATTTGCCAAGATCGACAAGCCAAACGTAATTGATATTCGCTTTGACAACAACATGAAAACCAATTCTTCCCAGAGGACGAGTAGTGCAATTGTTTGTCTCGAAGATGGATCAATTGAGAAATGGGAGATAGAAATTGGAGAATTGGCCCAGTTGAATGATTTCTCCTCATTCTATTCAAATAAGCTATTCGTCAAGTGCTTACCAATACCAGGTACAAAATACGTTGTTGTTGTTGCGTACGACAACTCTATTTCCCTTGGTGAAATAAAGACCGAATTGTTACTCGTTGATGCTTCAACACTTGAATTATACGATGTTTTCAAATTCCACGATGATACAGAGGTTGTTGACTTAAGTGGAATGACTAAGGAGCAGTTTGCACCTTTGAAATTGGATCCATTTGTGGGATTTATATGTCTATCGGCAGGTGGCAAGCTTCCAATCACATTTTTCAAAATAATTCGTGATAAACTCAAACTTTTTGAAAGGTCAACTATTTCTGGCGTGAAAATGATTGATGAGGTAAAATTTGGAAGCATCACATACTATCCAGGCTCTAATTGGGGGAACTACTCGATCACTGGGACAATCAATTTTTTTTGCAACCTTTGCCCTAAAAAGGGGGCTCGGTTGGATGCAATTGATGAAAGCATAGAATCCGCATCTTCGTTTGGGTTGGCTCTGACTATTACCAGTTCCAGATACATGATTGCAGATGTGCTTACTGGTGTTTGGCAATTTGAGAAAAAATTCCTGGAGCCGTACAGGGCAAATGTTATACCGAACACCGCAGACAGGTACTTGACATGTATGTCGCATACAAGTGGACGCGGAGTGGCTGACTATTATGTTGTGGGATACTCATCTGGTACTGTTGCCATATTCAATCCAGCTAGCTACTCCGTTCAAAGAGAGATGGTAAGATTTGTTATTGAAGGAGACCAAATCAATGCTATAACAGGCTCAAATGGAGATGAAGATGATGTTTCACGGACGGCTAGAATTGGGACTCTCAGTGGAGGCATATTCACCTTGAACAGGATTATTGACAAGAGTTGGGAACAAGTAATTCGCAACTGCGAAAAGGAGTTGAAACTTTACGCACGTGAGAAGGGTATTTCCACTGTTAAGGTTATAGAACTGAGTGGTACCGATTCACTTCCGTACCATCGTATAGGTGTCATTGATGGCAATGTTCTCTTTCAATTTTTAGGGGATGAGAATATTGAAGATGACAAATTTCGTGCTTTAGTTGCGAACAAAAGAACGCTACAAAGAATATACTCTAGATGTTGTGCTTAGGTGAACAATGAATGCAAGAAGGTGTCACTGAATTTGTGATGGCGTTTGTATCTCTGTTCTATACTCGATGTAGTTTATACGATGACAATTGAAAACAAAAAAAATTATTTAGAACAAACATCAAATACAACTTGACACAACACAGTACCGAATATGAATCGAAACTTCAAAGACATAGAGATGTTAGAAATTCCCGTCGAAGGTGAGGAAGATGGCGACAGTACGACTTCTTCCGAGACTGAAGGTATTGTTTCGGATTCACCAACAACTAGTGACAAGATCTCCCATGGACAACAACCTCAATCAAATCCATCTTCAAACACCTCACTTTCATCATATTTCTCAAGCAATACCGAATATGTTACATTACCACATTGGTTGAATTCTGATGAAGCGCTTCTGTTTCAATTTGACCAAGAGCGATATCATTCCAGCTTGCAATATGAAACAGCTTTGGACAGAAAATATGTAGAATACATCGAGTCCAATTTTCAAACAATTCAAGGTTTGGCCGAAAATTTGAAATTGATAGATGAAGAGAGTTTGCTTCAACCAATTGGTGTCATCACAAGCCACAATGAGAGGCCACAACAACAATCCAAATCTCAATTAATCGACGACGCTTTTGCTTCCATCGCGGATCATTTGAATTCATGTTTTGCTGAGGAGTCAGTCCTCAATAATAGTGAAGCTTTAGTCGGAAAGTTCAACTACTTACTGATTTCATTAGAGTGTTTAAGGGCCACCTGTTTCAGTAGTGACGTCAGAAGACTTCCTGAACTTATTGTTCAATGGGTGAACAAATTCGACCCTCAGCCGTCACCTGAATTGATAGATGAGGTCATGACAAGCACTCCCCAATGCTATGCACACCCGTTGTTTTGGAACACATTGATGTCGAAAACTATTTGTAGAGGCTTGTTTGATCAGCTGTGCAATATTCTCGAGCATTCAAAATACAACGAACTCGAAGGAGATGAAAACGGTTTGTACCAGGCTATAAGTAACTTACAGACATTGCTTTCAAGTTACACACCCATGGCGCTAAAGGGCCAGTTTCCGCAGTGGAAATTACTTGCTTGTAAGTTTCGTGATGAGTTGGCATTGATAGAAATTGCAACTGGCGATCAAACCAAAAGGGACTTTTATCAAATAATGCGAAGTCAGATATACGACATTGCTTGCATCTTGACTGGGTTTTCTCAAACTATCGCAAATTATTGCGATACCTGGTGTGAATTGTACTTGGCTTACTCGTTATACCAGATTCGCGATGATGCAAGCGTATACCAGGAGTATTTCCAACAAGCCATAAAGGAGAAGCCACCGGCTTCGTATCTAGAAAAAGGCGAATTCGCAGATTATGATGAATTGACGGAGTCATGCCTTTTAAAGATTTTAGAGGGCAGATTTTTGAAAGCCCTTGAGGGCATTTTTGAATTGGACCCAGCTACTGCTGCATACATTTCATTGCTTTTGGAACTTAAAGGGTACTTGAATCCATATTATTCTACTGATATACATAAGAACAGCAATTTGATGGAATTGTTGGACAAGAAGAAAATTTCAGACTATTTTTTACTCATCCATGCTTACAATTGTTTAAATGTGCACCCTCTTGTACCTGTTGGTGTTGGTCTTTTGTCGGATAAAGTACTCAATCAGTCGTTGAATGCTTTGGAAAGAAATAGGCAAACGATTGCTCAATTCTTTCCTAAGTATGAAGTCAAAGATGACAGCGACCAAGAATGGGCGTTGACTGTGTGTGCTGATTTACACTTGATTTCAACTGCAAAAGATATGTTTTATCAAGCCGGTCTTCGAGCATTTCATCAAAACTATTTGTACGAGGCTTTGCAAAACTTCGTCGATTGCTATGATCCTGACAAAACATCGGGTTCGTACCACAAAGAAGGTTTAGAACAAATTCGGTACATCGTTTGGGATGTGATATTCGCCGATTGTATTGTATGCAATAAGCCAATAGAAGATGAATTGATTAACGATATTGTTGATCAAAAGGTTGACTCAGAGATTCATCCAATCATTCAGCAGTGTATTTCGCCGTATGCCGTATTGAAGGAGTTTTTTGATTCATTAAAAATTGGAAACTCAAATCCATCATTGTTGGTTTCGAGAATTTTTCATCTTTTGAATTTCAAGTATCTACCAGAAAAGTTCAAGCCTTTGTTGTTGTGCCAGTTCCTTCCATTCTTAGAGGGCGCGTCAAAACTTCGCCAATCAGACTTGTTCAAAATAATTGAGTTGATTGAAGATTACGAAGATGATAGAAATGTGCAAACTAAAAAGGAAGGGGATGAGCTCTATGCTGTTTCAGTAAACCACAAAGAGGAGGAGGAACAGCTAGAGCCTTATGATTGGAGACGTACTTCTACAATACCAACCACTTTTAATGAGATGATCAAGCTATTAAGACAAAAGCTAACTATCCAACTAGGGCAAAAATTTATAGACTAAATTGTAATCATTTTCACAAAACAGATGTTGTCTTTTAGAGCTAATTTTTATACTATGACTTCGTATTCTACACACCATTGTGGGAGCAACTTTAGCTCTCCTCTTCGTTCTCTCTCATTCCTTTCACTTAACAAGTGACATCTTGGGAAGCTCTTGAGTTCAACAACAAAGCGACAATCAAACCATACAACCCCAAAACTTCGGCGAAAATCAAAATCAAAATCATTCCCACAAATAATCTTGGTTGTTGCGCAGTTCCTCTAACACCTGCGTCCCCAACAATACCAATGGCAAATCCTGCTGCCAAACCAGACAATCCTACTGATAACCCAGCACCTAGTTGGATGAAACCTGTATATAATGCTTGCTTTTGAGCTAATGAGTCACTTACTAAAACAGAAACCACCAACCCATAAATGGCAATAATACCTGCCATAACAACAGGAACAACGTTCTTGACCAATAAGTCAGGTCTAGTTACACAGGTGGCACAAATACCAACACCGGATTTGGCTGTACCATATGATGCACCGAAACAGGTGAAGATGATGGCGGACGCACATCCGATGGAACCAAAAAATGGCGCATAAACAGGGCTAGAAAAAAGTGTTAGTTGATTGTTTTGAGGATGGATGATGCTTGTGAATGGAATGGACTCGTTTCATTGAATGATTGTTACTCAGACATTCCAACTCCATTCAAAAGAGTGAAAGTATAATGCACTCTCTGCTGGGTCGCATTGTCAGAAATGTAGTGCAACACTTCCAGCCATTCACCTTGTCAAATGTCCTAATTCTAATTGAAATCAACATACCATAAATCTGACATGATGTAATTGATGAGTATTTAAGATTTAAACGTTGGTCAGTAAAGATAATGCTATCAACAATTTTTAAATTTGGGACCTTGTGTTGTTGGAGGTTTTTAATTTTTTTCCTTTGCTCAGTTGGAATTTAATTGTTACAAGATACACTACCACTGAACAATCCTATGCTACCAGGTGAATTTTGAAAAAAAAAAAAAATGAGAAAAACTGCAAAACCAATCTCATCTCGTACGTATTCAAGTGCTTACTTTTTACTACGACACTTTACTGGCGAGCTTATATTATTTGCAAGGAGCCTTATTCACAAACTATATACACTACAAAAAATGTCAGCACCAAACCCAAAGGCTTTCCCATTGGCCGATTCAGCTTTAACTCAACAAATTTTGGATGTCGTTCAGCAATCACAGAATCTTAGACAGTTGAAGAAAGGAGCCAACGAAGCCACCAAAACTTTAAACAGAGGTATTTCCGAATTCATTATCATGGCTGCTGATACTGAGCCAATTGAAATTTTGTTGCACTTACCATTGCTTTGTGAAGATAAGAACGTTCCCTATGTCTTTGTTCCTAGCAAAGCTGCTTTGGGAAGAGCTTGTGGTGTTTCTAGACCTGTTATTGCTGCATCTGTAACAACTAACGATGCTTCGTCCATCAAAAACCAAATTTACGGTATCAAAGACAAGATTGAAACTTTGTTGATTTAGTAGCGATTAAAAGCTTAATGACCTCTGAGAGTATAAGAGGGTTGTATATCTATGTAGGGGTTAGAGTATAGCAGAATATCACGTTTATCGCTTTAAAGACTTGTGTGTCTCTTTTGTATGCATCGAAAGATTGTAGACGTATAGGTTATATTTTTCGCGATGGAGATGACTTTGGGCAGAGCGAACCAAACACTGATCGAGTTATTTCCAGTTACCAATTGTGTGATGCCCTCACCCACGTCTAATCTAGGTTCCGCAGAGGCTGTGACGAGGTTCCTTCGTTCTAAAGAGGGCCACCTACCGGAAATTTTAAAAATTGCAAACGATATCTTAGATACGAAATTAGATGTGTACTTGCCGAACAAGAGAGAGTTTATATTGAGCTTACTTGTCGATCGTTTAAATGATCGATCGAACTCGTCGAACTTCAGTAAATGGAAACTGGACAAGGATGTTTGGAATTTGCTAAAGCGAGTATTATTTATCGAAGGTCATAATGAGACAAGCATTTTGCAGAGCTTGAAAATTGTTGATCTTATGATACTTTTAATGGAGTCCGATGATCCAGAAGGATGGGATTGTTTGCCTTATGTTTGCCAGATTTTGTCCATGTTTTTAAAGAGACTGTTTATGGAGATAGAGGAGTCCACTGGAATTCGATTGCTTAAATCGACTCTTAGCTATATTCAGAACAAAGCACCTAAAAACTCATCAGTTACGTTAGATGAGATAGTGACGAATGTTTACTGGAATTCCCATCCCCAGGGACTTTTGGAAGTATCAAAGAAATCGTATTCACAATTTTTCGAAGAGCTTTTTATTTCGTTAACTAAGTATTTATCCATTGAAAGCGAGCTGCCCAGTAAGCATTTGTATGAGGAGATTTTCACAACAAGGGTATTCTATCCAGAAAACTTGCCATACTTGGTTCACAATTTGGATAAGCTTCTCAAAAAAGAGACACCCGATGATGCTTCTTTAAGGTACTTTTTTCAAATGGCTGTTCGAAAACTAGCCCCAAAGCAGATGAAACTTTGTACGGAGCTATTTGATGTCATCGTCAATAAATCTCCAAACTTATCAGAGTCGCTCCTAGCATCTTTGGTCGGTTCTCATCATGCGTTGCCGCAAGAGTTTATCTTTTCAGTTTATACCAAGGAAGTTGCTAGCAAAAAGTTTATTGACTTGAATTGGGATATGGTAAAATATGTTTTTGAATTGGACAGTGAGTTGGCAGCTACAAAGTCGAAGTTTGTTTTCGAAAAATACAACTCGGCTTTCAATCTAGATGAAAAAGTCTTGCCCGTGGGTAAAGTCATTGTTTATGCTTATGCAAAAAACAGAGAATTGGTTGAATTTCTAACAAAAGTGTGGCCTAAAGCAATCGCTAGAGACGAATTATGGGATGGAGATGACTTTATCGCGCATGTTGCCAACTGCATTGATTCCCTATCTGAAAAGCAAATCGTTCAAGTCCTCGAAACGTCACCAAATCTACTGCTGGAGGCATCCTTTGCTGTGCTTACAGCAATTACAAAAGGATTAATTTCGTCTTCATGGAAGTTGATAGATTCATTAAAGCCCACATTTAATCAAATCCAGAGCTATATAAATTCGTCGACAAATTTTTGGCAGGTGCGGTACAACCTTCTCAACTTGTATGGTTCGGAATTTGTCATTCCAGAAAGTGTGTTGGAATTGGACTACGATATTTATTATCATTACACCGTGCTTAGATTGCTAGAATTGAATATCATCCAAGACTACTCCAATAAGAAACAGCGGCAATTGATTTTGTTTTTACGAGACAACCCTAGTCTCATTTCGCTGGCGTTTTGTCGATGGTTTGTCATGATCAATGACTATTTCACAAATGAGAGTATTGTTGAGTTGTTGAAACTTGCATTTGAAACAGCTTTTCTTTGTCATACTGATTGTGAAATCTATGAACAAAGAAATATCATGACTTGCATGATGAGATTATTTATTGCAGATCCTATGTCGCATTTTGATCACATCCCAAAAATACCATTAGCTTGTTTTTCAAGGGGTCCCAAGAAGGACTTGTTGAACATTTTAACGAGAAAGTACATTGAAACAAAGGAGGTTCGAGTGCTAGGATGTATCGATTACTTACTCGATTCAGCATCGTATCAATCTAGTATCGAACGTGATATTTCAGTGGTTCTTCAAATTTTGGCATTGGCACCTACTGATGAGGCTCAAAAGTACGCAAGTAGCATCTCCAAAAAGGTATGGAAGACTAATGTTGATATGATAAAATCCGACGAGAATCGTGCTTTTGTCGCAAATGCAATTGGGATGCTTGTTAGGAGTATGCAAATTGGTGGAAGTGGTGACGTTTTGCCAGAAATGAAAATGGCTTTGATTATTGTGTCACATCAAAGTGTACTTACCGGTAACGATCTCACTAAGTATGAGGAATTGGTAAATACATTCAAAATGCAATGCATTAGGCAAATTAAAGACAGTCAGGATAACCTGGATAATGCCAAGTTGAATTGGTTTCTTCATGGACTCGCTAGTATACCCCCATCGATGCTAACCTTTAATGACGTCAAGTCTATTGCGGGTCAGATTAAAATTGAAGCAAATGATACTTCCATCAAACAAGCATTGTTCAGTTTAGTTTGCAAATGTGCCAAGCCCGATTTGAGGTTTGCAAAGTACGTTTTGAGTCTTTATTTGGTTCTCAATACTGAAGCGCATACACAACATCTTTTTGATGATGTTGTTCAATATTTGCAATCGCTCGTGAATGAAAAGGTGGAACTTTATTATGCAATTTGCAACTATGTTATATTCTCTACGGCGGATGCTGAGGATACATTTTCAAACTCTATCTGCATGGTGTTGTCCGCTTTGTTGACGACTATGCCCAAAGAACCTGATGGCAGTTTGCAAATCGCATTGTTTTCAGGCTATTTAAGGAATCCACTGCAATTGCTGCCAAAAGTGTTGCAGCATATTATGGGCAACCTCAAATGGTTGCTTACCCAAAAACAGTGGCTATTCAACCAGTATATCCTTGAAATGGCGCTTGCTCATATTGGGATAGTTTCATCAATAACTTTATCTGACAAACATGAGTTCGAACAATTGTATTTAGAATCCTTGCGAGTTGTATCACAAATATTGTTGCATCATCGATTCAAATTGTCAACTCGTCACCACTCAATTATATACTTGATGTGCACCTTTTTGGAATCATTGGTCGAGCCGGGGCAATTGGGACATAGTAACATAGCAGCTGGCTCTTTTACCAGACTAGTGAGCAATTTGTGTGAACCTCAAGAACATGTGAGGGACTTATCGGTTCGTTCTGGCCAGCAGAATAACAGACTAACCACGCAAGCAAACCTTTACAAGAAACAGCTTCGAATTTATTTGCCATACCTATTGATCAACTACATATACCTAAATTTGAAATTCACTTTTGGCAAGCAAGTCAATGACATTTTGGCTACGGGTGTATACACGATTTTCGACTCCTTGTCTAAAAGTGAGTTGCAAATTGTCAATTCTGCTTTGGACTATGCTGGTAAAGCCTTATACAAGAGTTTATATCATGATTATCAGGAGTACTGGAAATGGAAAGATCAATAATTTTTACAATGCAGGTGTGTATCTATAAGAATCCCGATGTAAAGTTCGCCCAAAAAATTCACGAGTGGATAGCGAAATCGATTTCATGGTGTTCCAAACTCTTTCCTCGAACGCTTCTTGCCTCTCCTGAGGCCCTCTGTCTACTTCCTTTCGATGAATGGAATGCTCGTATAGAAGTATATCCTTTCTTGTAATTACTCCAATCAAGGTTCCCAGCAGCTCAATCAATAAGTAACGTGGTCCAAGTTTGACAAAAATATCAGAAACAAACTTTAAGGATGTTTCACAATCAACACTCAACGGTGCTTGATTTATCATTGAACTGAAATCAATTTTTTCAGTTGAGCCTCTCTCCCTCAAGTTGAAATTGCATAGAGTCCCTGGGTTAACACTTTCATTTTTAATAAGCACATACTCTACCTCATATCTGGAAATATAGCCCTCGATTTTGGGATTGTTCCCCGAACGAATAATCGGGAAGCCCCGATACTTTGTCTTCTTCAACGTTTGCTTCAATTGTTCCAACGTCAAAGCGTCGCTTGGATCGGCTGAAAAGGCCACCACGACGCTAGACATTGCTGATGTCACAGCTGTGTGAAAATGGAATTCCTCTTTTGAATCCATGAAAGGCAATCCATTGAACTTAATCATTTGATCAGCAATTCCTCCCTTTCCCCATCTATCATTGATGCCCTTTGTGATGGCAACAACAATCATTGTGGGAAGGATGTAACGGATTGCACCAGTCAATTCAAACATGATAATTACCACAGTAACTGTCAAGTCGGTAATACCACACAACCCTGCAGCTGCACCCAAAAATGCATATGTTCCTGGTATGATGCATTTATCTCCCTCATCACAAGCTGAAAAAATGGCTAGATTTGGATTCTTTTTATATGCGTAATCGATTATGATTCCAAGTGCTCGTCCAAATGTTGCACCTGCTGCCATAGAAGGAACAAATATGCCAGCGGGAACTTTGCAACCATATGTAATTATCGTAAGCCCCATTCTCGCAACTGTTGCAAACAACAATGAAAAAAAAAGCCGTGTCTTGCCATTTTCAGGGTGGCAAATGGGGTTTTGAAATGTATCATCACATTCGTGAAACAAAATTTGCATCGACTCGGTCATGTCCAAGCTTAGAAATTCGTTAAAGTATGAAAAGCTGGCAGTTAATAAAGTCAATATGCATACCTCCCGAATTGCCCAGGGCCAAAGAAAGCGCTTACGAAAGGATACCACTTTGGTGTTTAGTTTTGACACAAGGATTCCGTAAACACCACCAAAAATTCCCAAAACTATGTAAATGGGTATCTCAAAGTAATGCCAATTGGTATCATATGTGACCTCAAATAACACCAATTGCCCGGTTCTGAATGGATTCATGGCTGCTAGCGTGGTGACCGCAATAAGTGAGCAAAAGTACGATTTCCACAATGTTGACAATTGAAATACTGATGAAATCTCCTCAATTGAAAAAAGCACCCCTCCCATTGGTGAACCAAACGCGACGGCTACTCCTGCAGCCGCTGTCGCCGTTAAAAACTCCCTTCCCTTCGATGCCGACTTTTTGTACTTTGGTACTAATTTCGCAATTGAATTACCCACGCAAACGGCATAATGAACACTGGGCCCTTCTTTCCCAACACTCAAACCAGACCCAATCGCCAACGGAAGGCCCAAACTTTTTATAGCCAAAGTCCACCATCCCAAAAAGCCATCCATCACGAACCCTGAGACAATGCATTTGATCTCTGAAATACCCGAGCCAGCTGCAAATGGTGCATAATGCTTGACAATTTTCGCTGCTGTATACGACATGAGAAGTGATATTAGAATGTAAATTATGTAATTGAGTCCGCCTAGTGAAGTCCATTTCGTCCAGCTAGAACAATGCGCATCACTTTCACCCCAGCAACAAAACGATTCGCTCAAGTAAAAACCTCGTTTGCAGTAACCTACTCGTGCACTGGAGAGAAATGATGTTATGATATTCAATGACCCTGCAATTAGACCAATCACCACTCCCATGCACGCTAGAACAAGCCAATTGGATATTTGGGATAGTATTTTATCCTTGAAATTGTTGCCTTTATTGGTGATATGCTTTAACTTCAAAAGACGTTGTTTTTGTTCATCTAATTCGTCTTCAACCCAATCAATTGATCTGAAATCATCGTATCGTTGAACCTCGCGGATTTCATTTCGGTTTATCCACGACCCAGTTTCCGGACTCCTTACTTTCGACAGCACAAGTGTGTCATCAAAGGATGTGTCAAACCCCGACGTTGATGGCATGAGGTGTGATGATTTTTGGGATATAAGGTGTATTTAATCCATTTGGTGTGTGTGTGTTGTCATTTTCTTGTTCGCGACACTTACATATTGCGACAATACGAAAAGTATTCTACGTTTACCATTATCCTTTTGTCGCAAATCATCGTATTAATCTATGTATTTATGATAAACATTCAATCATGTTTTTCTTAAGGTTGGCTACTAAATAATCAAAATTGTTACACTTGGAATCTTCGAAGGTATAGTCGTAGTAGCTCAACGTCAAATTCAAGCCACCTTTTGCTGTGGAAATCACATTCAACATGAATTCTGAAGCATAAGGAGCCATGTCTTGGGAGAAAATCATGTTTGTAATCATCCATGTGCTACCCAGTTCAGACTGGTGTTCGGTTTGAAGTGCGAATCCCAAATTAGAAATCTTTATGGCATCTGCTTTGGGCTTGTTCAATTGCCTACTGAAAAAGAGTTCGTTTGTGGCATCTTTCAAATTAGCAATATCCTTGAAACCTTTCATTTGGCTCAATGCCATTTTATTGTTGCATCCGTCAACAATGTGATTGTTGATTAGGCGAACGAGATACCATGAAAATTCCTTGACTGGTGGAAGATTCATCCCAAAGCCCATATGTGCCAGTGTTCCCAAGATTCTGTACTCAGGACGGCTCAAAATAGAATGATATTGCTTTGGTGCATTTGTTGCATCCATGTGCCTTCGCAAAGCCATAGCACACTTGAAGGAGGCGTACTTCCCACTAAACACAGGATATAACGTGAGGGCTAAAATCGCTTCAATATAAGCTGTAACAGAGACCTTTTCTGTTTTACACTTTTTCAATATTTGATTGGTCTCATGGTCAGGGAAGTTGATTAACTTGAAAGCGATATCGTGAGTATCAACTGCAAGAAACCGACCGGCCCACTTTCCCTTTGTACCTGGAGGAGCCACAAGCTCAGAAAAATACGGATCCCCTCCAGTATAGTCTCCGTCTATTGGAAGAAACAAATCAATGGGAGGTGGCAAGGAGTTTTTAATGAATTTCTGATCACGTTCGAGATTAAATAGTTGGGTGTTATTAAAACCATCTGAATCTGTAAACCCGTACTCGCTCTGTAAAGTGTTCCAATTAGCACCATTCTCACAGTATGCAAGGTTCTCAAGTAGAATTTCATGTATGTATCTGGCAACTAATCCATCAGCAATGGTATGTTCAAACACGGCACAGAGCTGGTCTTCACCCACCAAGATCAACTTGAACAATGGAGTTTGTGAGTACAAGTCAAAGGTGATTTGATTGATATACTTCATGAAGTTCTCATTGATTATGTCGTTGGAAATGTAGTCGGCATTGTCTACAAATCCAACAATACTGGCAAAGTCAACCTGTTTCAACGGTTCGTAAACGTATCCATCAATAGTGGTGTTGAACTGTACATTTGTGATCAATATATGGTAATCAAGAACTAATTTTCTCAATGCTTGATAAAAGAGCTTCAAATTATTCTTTAGGCCTGGTTGATAAGTAGCTGTAACCTGAAAATTGCGGTAATTACCACTGGCTGTTCTTGATCTGAAAAAGTTTTCTGAGACGCTCAATGGTCGTGATATTACGATGTCACTTGGATCGCATGTAGTCATTAGTGGGGCTCAGAGGGACTATTTTTGAGGAAACACATTTTACTGCAAATTTGAAGCACAGATAAATTGAGTCATGAAGTTCGACAAAGTGCAAAGAAGTTGTCAACAGGTAGCGTCAATTTGTAACATAAACTTCACGTTAATGGCTAGGCATTAGTCAATGACAATGATCAATGAGCTTGTTTTGAATCAATCCCAGTAATCATACACGAAAGCCGTGTGGAAGCCATGTACTAGTTGGGATGGTTGTACAGTTCCTTTGTAAAATGCGCTAACCCTTTACGTGATATGACACCTGACGCCACTACGGCTTCATAAAACTTCAGCACTCTGCAGGGCAGCTCATTCATACCAAGTCTTTCAAAAACTGACAGGATGAACTATTTAAACAACTTGTGAGGTGGGCCCTTGTGCTTATCAGGCATGTGTTTCTAAGTTACACAAAATGCAAGTAGTAAAATGCAGTGACTTACTCTCGCCTCATTTAATTTCACAGGGTGTTTGCTCGTTTTAAACAACAGTTGCCATCATAAAACAACAGCGCGTCGTTGAAGCAATAGAAATCGGGCAGAGGGCATATAATCCATACCAAACTGGATTTTGAACACGCCATTTTCGAGTTTACGTCGACACGGGAACTTTCCTACGATTTTAACCAAACTTTAAAGCTATATCTCCCCACAATATGCCTTTCCTTGGTATGTATATGTGTCCACTTGAGCCACAAATACTGAGAATCTTGCATCTACTAACATGACAAAAGCGATACCATTTTCTGTAAAAGTAGCCCTTGCAGTAGGCGGAGTTGCTGGTGCTGGGTTAGCAATTGTTAACAACAAGGAAACTATCTTGCAAGCAGCTGAGAACCTTTTCAATCGAGGTGCCGAGTATTGTCATGAAAGGCTTGAGAAACAAAAGATTAAAAATGATGGTGTTTTTGCTGATGGCTATGAAGATGGTGCATTTGCTAAAGAAGAAGAGGAAGGAAGATCAACTGGGTATGAAAGCTTTACTGACATTGAAACGCCAAATACAACTGATTTTCTGGAGATTGATACCGATATTGAACCCGCCGACGATGGTGATGATTTAGAAGTTGATTGATTGAAGCAGTATTTCTTTGATCTTTACTTTATTCTGTGTATATTGTTGTTAAATAACGTTTTTTTTTACGGGGTAAAAACATTCGTATAATATGTCTCTAAAGATATTTTTATAATGCTATTCACTGTTTATACACTGCCTCTTTGGTTAGCTAACAACTGCAAGAACCACTATCAACACCACTATAGTCAATGCCGTGAGCAAAATGCATGACCATTTTCCTTTCAGCTTCTGATAATTATTTGCCTTGGTTAACTCTCTATCCGCTTGTTGTGTATTACCATGAAGTTGCAATATGTTGTCTTCTACTGTGTTGAGCTGTTCGCCCTGTTGATGTATAAGCTGATCTAAGTCCTTAAATATTGAATTTACCTCCATTATACCCTCAGTTACTTGCTCAATTTCCCGATTTCGCTCTTCCGTTAATTGTAGATGATATTGCAATTCGGTTTGTTCGACTAGATATTGGTCCAATTCGGGTTCCAACTGTTTCTGTTGTTGTTGTTGAAGCTGGTGCTGATCATCACGATTTGGGTCCTTATCATCACTATGAGAAACCGCTTTAGTAACTATTGGAGTAACTCTTTTCTTTTCTTGATACACCTTGACTAATCGTTTGAATTTCTTATCTAGCTCATTAAATTCACCTACGAGTCTCTCCTTGATCACAATATGGCGGGTATTAACTTTAAGTTTGTCAGATCCATCCGATTTGTCACCTGCACTTATATTGATTAATTGTGACAAATTAGTTATTAAATGCTCTATAGCATTGTATAACTCACTTATATGCTCAATCGAAGTATCAATATTGGACCGTAACTGTACGCAGTCTCGTTTGGAGCCTAGTTGTCTACGTTGCTGATCAAACAGTGAAATCTGCTGGTTGAATGTTTGTAGTTGCTTTGATGTCTTATCGATAATCCTATCCAAATCAGTGGTTTCGATATCCGTGTATTTATCACCTGCACCTTTCTGTAGCAAAGGCTTCTTTTGGGCCTCGAGGTCGATGTTGGCGAAGGACATGTTGTGTGTATTTTAGGGAAAGAGTCAGTTGCAATAGATTCAATATTTTCTTTTTTTGTGGAAAGTTGGAGGCTTTCGTAAATGGAAGTTTCCTCAAAATATTTGTTTCACTCAATATAATGAATAAGGAAGGAAGAACAGATTTCAGGAACAATGCTCGATTCGGTATTGAGATCCAGATCCCGATCTCAGATTACGATTAGGATGAAGATGTAGTTTCTTTATCAAATACCAATTGGGCATTAGCATTATACTTGCCTGTATTCGATATTTCAAAGTTTTAGGGTACTCATGAAAAGCTATTGTGGTTAAAGTTTGCAATATAAATAAGCAAGTATCCTCATTTCGCTTTGATGTAGATAGAGGGAAATACTTATATCTTCAAGAAATGAAAGCATTGCAGATTCTTATTCTATTCACAACTGCCCACGTTATTGTTGGTTCGACAATAAAAAGATCATGGAATGATACCACCATCATGGACTTGGTAAGAAGGAGATCATGGAATGAAACCGCACCAAAAGAAATAGCTACAACAAGCGCATCGAATGATACCAGTCCTGTCTCTGTCATTGCCGAACCCGTTGTTAATAATACTCAACTTGCCATGCTATTGATGTCGTTGCAGAACTTCAATGCTTACAATCTTGGAACACGACCACCTTCCGATGTTTTTAGCTCGTTAGACAAAAGATCGGACTTGCCGTTGTTGGACACTATTTTACTGACACTCAACAACACAGGTGTTGCTTTAACTGTGATTGACTTTGTCTTGTTGCGTCCAGAGCTATTGGATATAGTGATTCAAACTACCATCTGGGTAATAAGATTGAAATTGATAAACTTGACTGACTTGATTATTGCCTTACAAAGATCCAACTTGATAATGGATGTCTTGACATTGGGATTGGAGGATTCGGAAATTTTGCCTGGTTTGATCAACATTACGATGGAAATTTTAAAACAAAGTGGGTTAGGCTTAGGCTCATTGAGTAAGCGGATGGATGATGAGGCAGTTGAAGTCTCAAACTCTACCAATATTGAAATTGGTAAGAGAGAAAATGCATTGTTGGATCAGTTGTTTATATCATTGAGAGATTCTGGTTTGGCAGTTTCAGTTGTCAAACATTTATTAACAACGCCTGAGTTAGCAGCACCTAATGCGCACTTCCTTGTCCTGATTTTGCAATCTCATGCACTTAGCTTGAGTGATTTGCTTACAGCATTGAAGGAATCCAATTTGATTTGGGAACTCATTAAACAATTGTTGGGAGACCCACAAATTATTATTGAGTTTGGTGGTACCATTGTGCAGAGAGTTACCCAAGGTTTGATTCCAAAGGAGTTGATTACGAGTTAGAATTCTTTGATGATGCAACGTGTTTCAGAGAGTAAGAGAGTGAATAAGTTGGTTCTTTGTGTGTATATGTGCTTACGCGTTTTAATTTGTTTTGACACAAAGACACGTCTTTTTGTATATTTTGTAATTTCGTGTTTCTCTTATTCCCTCTCTCTCAACTAATTTTCTAATTCCTTTCATTGAGTGATTGACGTACCAACTACACACTGGGTACACCTTTTCAACTTCAAAAATCTACATAACCCTCTCCCCCCACCCTGCCAAAAGATGCTGACAAAGGCTGCAAAGAGGGAGAAATTGAAATTGCTAAAAGAGGCTAGAAAAACCGGAGGAAGAGTTTTACTAGATTCAGATGACGAAACTAACTTAAATGAAATTTATGACGAGGTTGATGAAGAGACGTTTAGAGAACATAAGCGACACCAATTGATGAATGATGATTTCATTGTTGATGATAATGGTGAAGGATATGTTGACAATGGTGCTGATGAATGGGATGACTCGTCAAGACCTAATTACTACTCCGATGAAGATGATGTTGATTCAAATAAAAGGAAACGTAAAAAGAAAGATGAGCAGAGGCCCATTAAAGTTGCAAAAACTGCACCAATCAACAACTTTTTCAAATCCACTACTATCCGCACTAATGAGGTGAAAAAGGTTGACATGAATATCGATGATATTTTAGAAGGCTTTCAAGATGTGCCACAGAAGAAAGTAAATGTGGCAAAATCATTTGCAAACTTTAAGAAATCGGTCCCTATTAAAAAGCGGAAACCAAACACTTCATTCACATTCTCCACCATCAACAAAGAAAGGAAATCGCCATCAGTCGAGGCATTCAATGCATCCTCAGACTACACTATGGATTTTGAAGAGGTCGAACAACCGTCTTCTCCTGTTACAACAATTGCTAGCGATGCAGTTCAAGAGAAGGAGAATGTAGACCCAGCATCATCACCTCGAAAAGAAGTGAAGAGCGAAAAAACATTACCAGAATCAAAATTGGACGAAAGTGATTCAGATGACGATGTAATTTTTGCAAAAAGACCAAAAACATCAGGAGTCAAGAGGGAGCATAACACCGCAACAATCTCTTCAGTGAAGGCTGGCGCAATTTCTTCATCTCCTCCAAGACAGCCATACACCGCATTTGCAAATCATACAGACAAGATAGATGAACAGGATGTGAATAGTGAAACAGGAAGTTTCAGGATGTTCTGGATGGACTACGCTGAAGTTGAAAACTCATTGTTACTTTTTGGTAAGATTCAAACCAAAGATGGGAAGTTAGCTTCAGGAGTGGTTCAAATCAATGGTCTTTGTCGTGAGTTGTACATTTTACCAAAGGAAAAACAATCCAACCTGGGAAACCAAAGATTCTCCACTGATGATGTTCTTGATGAGATTACCCCAATATTTATGGAAAATTACAAATTGGAATCCCTCAGAGCAAAACCAGAAACTAAAAAATATGCATTTGAGTTGGCCTATATTCCAAAGGAGGCTGAGTATCTTAAAGTGTTGTTGCCATACAATACTGTCACAAATAGAAAAGTCCTTCCTGCTGATACTGAAGGGGAAACATTTAGCCATATATTTGGAACCAATGCCAACATGTTTGAATCTTTTGTCACACAAAGAGGTATTATGGGTCCATGCTGGCTTGAAATTCAAGGAGGTGATTTTGATGCTATTCGTAACTCGTCTCATTGTCAAATTGAAGTTGCTATTGCTCTGCCGGGGAAGATAAGTGTTGTGGATAAAGCGCCACCAGCAGCTCCTGACTTGACTTGTACATCAATATCGGTGCTAACTGTGATGAATCCAAAACAAAACAAACAAGAAGTGGTGTCTGTATCCGTAGCAACATATTACAATTTACCTCAGGATGCTCCAATTCCAGAAGACTTGAAGCCGGATGATGTGATTACCTATGCAAGACCCGTTGGCGCTGTTTCATTCCCACCAGGGATGGCACAATTGGCAAAAAAGGAAATGTTTGAGTTGCGCATGTGCCCAAACGAAAAGGTTTTATTGAACGCGGTGGCAGCAAAAATCAAGACAGTTGATCCTGATATATTCATTGGTCACAGGTTGGAAAACATCTCCTTGGATGTTTTGGTGCATCGTATGCACGATAATCAAGTCACCACTTGGTCAGCCTTGGGGCGCAGGAATAGAAAGCAATGGCCACAATCTATAAACAAACATGGTTCAGGTTTCAATAATAACTTGCTAATCCGTGAAGTGTTCCGAGGAAGATTATTATGTGACATTGCCAATGAAATGGGGCAATCACTAACAATGAAATGTCAGTCATGGGATTTGGTAGAAATGTATGACGTTGTCTGTCACAAAAAGCATAATGCATTGGACATTAATTTTCAAAATGCGAAATTTTCAGAAGATGCAACTCTATTCATGCTTGCATTGAAAGAGAACGAGATTAATGTAAAGATTGCTAGCGAGGTGGCTTTTGCTACTCAGATACTTTCATTGTCAAAGCAATTGACCAACATTGCTGGTAATGCTTGGAGTCATACTTTGAGTGGTACGAGGGCAGGTCGAAACGAGTATATCTTGTTGCACGAGTTTAGAAGAAACAACTATATTGTGCCAGACAAGGAAGACTCCACGCACAAGAACACCTCGTTTCAACAAGAAGCGCAATTGGAAAATGCTGAAGAAGACGTACAAACTGCTACATCCAACAAGAAGCCAAAATACCAAGGTGGATTGGTCTTTGAACCCGAAAAGGGATTGCACAAGAACTATATCTTGGTCATGGACTTCAACTCATTGTACCCTAGTATTATTCAAGAATACAATATTTGTTTCACTACGGTTGACAGAGATAGGTTCAATACCACACACAACGAGGATAAGGATATGCCTTTGATACCAGACAATGACTCGGAGAGAGGAGTGTTGCCAAGATTGTTGAACTCGTTGGTCACCCGTCGTAGAGAGGTAAAAAAGTTGTTGAAAGATCCCAAAAATACCCCTTTCCAGAAAGCTCAGTACGACATTAAACAACAAGCATTGAAATTGACGGCCAATTCCATGTATGGATGCTTGGGTTATGTGAATTCGAGATTTTATGCCAAGCCATTGGCAATGTTGGTGACAAACAAAGGTCGTGAGATTTTAATGGATACGAGACAACTAGCTGAGTCTTCGAGTTTGAGGGTTGTTTATGGAGATACCGATTCGGTTATGATTGATACTGGTGCACAAACGTACAAAGATGCCATCAAGGTTGGTGATGAGTTTAAGGTGCAAGTCAATGAGCGGTATAAGATGTTAGAAATTGATATTGATAATGTATTCAAACGGTTGTTGCTACATGCTAAAAAGAAATATGCAGCCATGAATGTGTCGATAAACAAAGTCACCGGCGAAGAAGTGACTACTTTAGAAGTTAAAGGATTAGATATGAGAAGACGTGAATATTGTCAGCTTTCCAAAGATATTTCCACATTTGTGTTAATGAAAATTTTGTCTGATGCTGATCCTGAAGAAGCTTTGCAGGATGTCTACACGTTTTTGGAGGAGATGCGTGATAAAATTTTGGGTAATGAAATGCCAGTGGACAGATTCAAGATCAACACCAAACTTTCGAAAGATCCCAACAATTATCCCAATGGGAAATCAATGCCTCAAGTGCAAGTGGCTCTTCGATTGAAAAATGAAGGCAAAGTTGTCAAAGCCGGTAGTGTGATTTCCTATGTTGTCACTGCACCTACTGATGAGAATGACAAGTCTACAGTTGCTGAAAGAGCAAGAGCAATACAGGAGTTGTTGTCTAAGAAATTGAATCTCAAGCCAGACCCAATGTTTTATCTTGAGAAGCAGATATTTGCCCCTGTTGAAAGATTATTGGACAAGATTGAGTCTGTTGATATGATGAGGGTGGCAACAAGCTTGGGCGTTGATACCAAACGTTATATTCTCAAGGTGAAGAATGAAGGTTTCAATGGGGAAATCACCTCCATTGAATCGAATATTTCCGACCAAGAGCGGTTTAGACAATCGAGTTATCTTGTGTTGAAGTGCAACTGTGGCCATGTTTTCAGGTATGGTGGTATACAAGCATCGAATGACTACAAAGTGACATTCAATGGTGTTACATGCAAGAAATGTGACTATACATTCCCCACAATCAAATTAACAGCACAACTTGAAGCGACAATAAGAAAACACATTGCTTTGTATTATTGTGGGTGGTTAGTTTGTGATGACAATTCATGTGGCATTGAAACAAGACAGATTTCCGTTTATGGGAAACGATGCATTGGAGCTTCGGGTAAAGGATTGGATTGTAGAGGAGTTATGAGGTACAGGTATACCGATAAGGCGTTGTACAATCAATTGTTGTATTTCAATTCCATATTCGATGTGGAAAAGACCAAAGCAGGTAAGTTGAGACCCATTGTTGATGCACTTGAGACTCCAGCTGGTAGTGGGGGTAAGGAAGACCAACAGAAATTGGCTCAAGGTCAAGTTGATGCTTTGGCCGAACAGAATAAGGAGTTGTTTGGATATTGTCAGGAAGTTGTCCTGAAGTATCTCGATGAGTGTGGACGTAGGTATGTGAATATGGGATCAATCTTTGACTTTATGGCATAAAATGTGGTAATATCATAATATATTTATAATAAACATTGTATATTCATTGTAGCTTAGTAGCTTCCAGGTATGAATCAGTAACTCTGCATGCGAATTGAAGAGGCATTAAGTTTATGAATTACTAGCTATACATTAATATACATATGTGTAAATTTCTTCTCTTATTACTATTTCTTTTCAATGGTGGTCTCATTGACTTCCGTTCCTTTGTTGGAAGAGGAAGAGGGCAGTGGTCCATCAGATGAATCATCAGTTGTAGTTCCAGCAGTGGTGGTAGTGGTAGTATTGCCACGTGTATTGGTGCTTGCTGTATGAGATCTGCTATTTTCATTCCATGAAGGTGGTGGTCCAGCAGGTCTGGCTACGCTAGATAAACTAGTATTTGTATTTCTCGACGGTGGTGGTCCAACTGGTCTACTTATATCTGCAAGATCGTCATCTTCTCCATCAGTAGGTCCAGTGTGGCCATCATGAGCAGATCTGCCAGTTTCATAGTCATTGTTATTGTTGTTGTTGTCGTGATCCAATGTTGGTGATAATGTAGTTGCTCCAGCGTTTGTGTGTGAACTAATGGCACTTCCTGTTCTTTGATGGGTTTCAGGAGGATGTGGCAATGCCAGTTTGGCATTTGGATTTGGGTGGAAATTGCCATTTGAATCATAATAACCCATATCGTATTCATTAGCTGTAGCTGTATATGTAGGAACATAAGCACTAGGTAAATCAGGATCCCTAACGTGATCTGGTTGTTGGTATTGAGTTTGTGACTGCCTGTATGATGGTGGAGTTAGCCATCTAGTTCCATAAATTGGCTGTTCTCCATGTTGAGCTCGTTTTTTGTTGACTCTTATCGTACCCAAAACAACAATGATTATCAAAACAACAAATATGGCAAAGAATGCCCATCGTGCTCCACCGGAATTGCTCCAGTAATCATCATCCCAATCTCTTTTTGTGTAAAGAGTGTGAATGCTATTTAATATGGTGTCGTCTTGTTGGATAAACGGCATTGTAAGTGGCAATGTTGGTGTGTCTGTGTATATATATGGTGATTCTTAAAGGTGATATCGGCGTGGGGAGGTGCGTGAAAATGCGTGATGGTTTTTTCCAATCTAGGACTAGTCTTTGTTGTTGCTCTACTAGTGGTGGTGAGCTAAATGGTAGATGTGTAGTAATAGTAGACCTATACTGCTGAGGTCTGTTGTGAAGGTTGGTCTTTCAAAAAAAAGAACAGTGATGTTCGTTTTGCTTACAAAATCACAATTTTAGATCCTTCTCTCTCTCTGTGTGTGTCTTATTGTGTGGGTTTTTGTCATTTTTTTTATTTGCTTCTTCTTTTTCTTCTATTGTCTGGGATATTTCAAACTTTTAAAAAAAAAAATCCGGAAAAGACGAGACCAAAACTAAGAGTGAGAGCAGACACTGAACTTTTGCAGGGCATCTATCGTACGATACTACAGTAATAAGAGAAGATGGAAACAGGTTATGGAGTTGTGGAATTTAACTTCTTGAGAAGGATAGCGGATATAAGTTAATAGCGGCAAAAAAAAAAATTAGATTGAGAGTGAGTATATGTTGTGCTGTGTGTGAAAGAAATTTACGGACATACAAAATGACACAAATTGCTATTAATAGACAAGAACTATTAACCAATGGCAAATTCATTCGCAAACTGTTTCTATGTAGAGAGAGAGTAGTGTATAGCTAGCTATTTTATAAGACTATGGACTGTTCTTTCAGAATGTTCCCGATACCTTCATGCATGTAGCTCCATGACGGCTCCTTTTATTTCATTGTTTTTGTTACAAAGTTTGGACTTTAGATTACGCATTACATACAAAAGATTTACAAACACTTTACTCTTCCATAGATGACTTTTAGAATCCCTCAAATCACAATGGACAATAATGTAATCAGTCTAAATGAGTTGAATCAATGCATCATAACGTCTTCGTGTACTGCTATTGGGAGGATGTCGGTGCCGAGGACAAGAAAAAACATAGATAGGCGAAGAAAAAATAAGAAACAATGTGAAGATGATTGAATGAATATGTGGAAAAGATTGTCATCGGACAATACTAACTATCGTACATGACTGATGACTTGCAACGCCACCGACAAGATCGGAACGGGTACTATTACTTCTCAACAAGGGGTCTTTTTATAAGACATGGGAAACCAAGATATGCGAATGGCTTATGATAACAACAAAATGGAAGCTTAGTGGATGCATGGACTCCTCCATGTTTTTTTTTTTTTGATACTCATTGGCACGTGATCTGTTCATTACACCACACTCACTGAAATTGGTGGCATTCTTTGCAACCAAATTTTTGTTGTAAAATCACACTTTCATACGAATGTGCACACACCGGTATAGCAATAAGTTTGATGCCAGATATAAAGGTAATTCATATACGTCCTGATTCATCAAAGTAAGTTGAGCTAGATGTACGTTGTGTTGATGAAGCTGATTTTTGTCACTAACAATATTGTTAAATCCAAACTCCAGATTCTTGAAGACATTTGGCAACAGTTAGTCAGAGCATTTGAAAAGCAACTGAGTATATCACTTGTCATTTATCAAAACTGTAATGATTCACACTCATACAGAAAACTAATGCTGTTAAGCACACCCAGTGTTTTTGCATCGAATTGTGCCAAACTTGCAGCCTTGATTAAATTGATCAAAATACTAAAGCAAAACTTGACTCTCAACAAATCCACAACCATTAGAGATATTTACTATCAAGATATAGAGCTATTCAACAAAGACCAACAAGAATGTAGAAGGATGCTCACCGATTTGGTGGAAAATTGTTTAGGGTGGTCCTTGGCTCAAGACTTCAACATCCACCCAACACAAAAGGGTTTAACGTATGGCAACATTTTCCAGCAAATGCAGGAACCAGTTTTAATTCCCATTGATTATTGCAATTACTTCAAATGGAATTGTAGTATAACTCCAAGAAGTTCGTTATTGATAATTGTTCTAGAAAAAGATGCGGTCTTTCATTCATTTAGTAAATACATGCAGCTACAAAGTCAACAGCTTCATTGCAACTACATAATACTTACAGGTAAAGGGTTTTCCGACAATTTGACTCAACGATTCGCTAGTTGGTTAGCACGGACATATTGTACAACAACTTTAGGGTTTTTCGATTCTGATGCCCATGGATTGCTCATTTACAAACGATACAAAAATGCAGTGCCGGATATCAAATACAGCGGGATGTATTTACTTGAGTCGAGTCTCAATTCGCAGTTGACAGCCAGTACTCGTGATGTATCCATCATGTCCAATCTCTCTTCCACCTCAATGGTCAGCTTGGGACCAAAAGTCCACCGAGAATTGACCCGTGGGTTATTCTTGTACAAAAAGGCTGAAATGAATGTGGTGTCCAAAGACGAATACAACAGTTATATACTTGGCAAGGTTTGCTCCCAAGCACGTGATAACAGGTGAAAATTCAAAAAAAAAAGTGCTTGCACCACAAAAGCAAACGATCCGTTGAAAATCTTTGCAAAAACCACTCAACAATTCTTTTTTTCTCAATTACGATTTGTCGTCACTTTTATTCCTTTTCGTCAATTGAACTATCAATAAACACACACAATGTCTTTCCAAACACGTCAAGTTGGTGCTGCTAACACTTTGGAGTACAAAGTTTACCTTGAAGAAAACGGCAAACCAATTTCTCCATTCCATGATATTCCATTGTACGCTAATGAAGAGAAAACCATCCTCAACATGATTGTTGAAGTTCCAAGGTGGACCAATGCCAAATTGGAAATCTCCAAAGATATCAAATTGAACCCAATCATTCAAGATACCAAAAAGGGTAAATTGAGATTTGTTCGTAACTGTTTCCCTCACCATGGATACATTCACAATTATGGTGCATTCCCACAAACTTGGGAAGATCCAAATGTCACCCACCCAGAAACCAAAGCCAAAGGTGACAATGATCCATTGGATGTTTGTGAAATTGGTGAAAAAGTTGCCACTGTTGGTGAAATTAAGCAAGTTAAAGTCTTGGGCGTAATGGCTCTTTTGGATGAAGGTGAAACTGATTGGAAAATCATTGTTATTGATGTCAATGATCCATTGGCTCCTAAATTGAACGACATTGAAGATGTCGAAACCCACTTGCCAGGTTTATTGAGAGCCACTAATGAATGGTTTAGAATCTACAAAATTCCAGATGGAAAACCAGAAAACCAATTTGCATTCAGTGGTGAATGTAAGAACAAAAAATATGCAGAAGAAGTCATCAATGAGACTCATGAAGCTTGGGAGAAATTGATTGCTGGTCAAAGTGCTGATTCAAAGGGAATTGAATTGGTAAACACTACTTTATCAAAGACTGCTACTTATGATCCAAATGTCGACATTCCATCTGCTGCTCCAGCTACAGCTGCTCCAATTGATAAGTCAATTGACAAGTGGTTCTTTATCTCTGGTGCTCACTAAATGAATTAATAGTGGTGTATACAAAAAATAAAAGAAATAGCTCCCTGTAATTTCCGCACTTGTCTGAATTTGGAATTAATTGCGATCCGAAGTTTCTCTCCTGATTTAGCTCATGAAGCATTACAAACTTTACAAATTTCATTTACACGAAATTTATTAAATAAAATGCACAATAGATCCTTCAATAGAATTGCTGAATTGGTCATTGCCACTCTCATTAATTCCCCTTTAAAGAGACTCAACTGATATAAGGCACACTGATGTCTTCATCCAAGCAGGTTATTATCGTCGGCGGTTCTTATGCTGCTATTGTGGCATTAAAGACATTGCTCACCACCAAAGACATCAAATTAGACATCACCATAATTTCACCCAATGACAAAGCATTTTTCAATGTTGGTGTTCCTCGTTTGTTAATTGAAAATGAAACAATTGACAAAACTGTTTTCCCACTTGATGAATCAATCAAGAACTTGATTAGTGGAACTATCCATAAAGCTACTCATGTACAATCAAGTGTGGAACAAGTTGATTTTCAGGAAAAGAATGTGACAATAGCCAATGGAGCCAAATTCGATTACGACAACTTAATCCTTGCTTCTGGTGCTAGATCAATTTCACCGATTTGGAAACTTGATTCAGTAAAAAATACTGATTTCACATTGGATTCAATTAGACAAGCCAGTGCTGAGATTCAAAAGGCTAAATCAATTGCCATTATCGGAGGTGGAACCACTGGTGTTGAAACAGCTGGTGAATTGGGACATGAATTCAAAGGACAAAAGGAAATTGTCTTATACACGGGATCACTGGGACCTTTATCTATCCCATTACCTAATCATGTATCTTCAGTCACTAATAAATTGCAAATTTTAAATGTTGAAATTGTCAATAATCAACTCGTCAAAAAGCAAGGTGAATCAACAATTGTTCTTGAAGATGGTTCTAGTCGTGATTTCGATTTGGTTCTTGAAGCCCACTTGTTGATCCCCAATACTGAGTATTTACCTCAAGACATTTTGGACAAAAGAAAGTATGTAATCACTGATGAGTATTTCCGGTTACGTGATCATCATGAGGTCATTTGTCTTGGTGATATTCTTGCATTGGGACAGCAATCAGTGGTCGATTTGACATACAATCAAAAGCCAATTTTCACCAAGACTATTGCTCATGAAGTATTTGGTGATGCAAATGTTAAATTAACTCCTTATGTCAAACCTACTAGAGCTACGATTGTTGTGCCTATTGGAAGAGATGGCGGTGTTGGTGCAATCTATGGGTTCTCCATTCCCAATTTTGCAGTTCGATTTGCTAAATCAAAGGACTTTATGATATCTAAAGCTTCTGGGTTCTTTACGTAGAATAGATGTTTATATTTTATATTCCCCACAATATGATCACCCTATACCAATCCATTGATCTCCATCTTCGATATAGAGATATAATGATGGAAGTAAAAGCGTGCATAATAATCTCACTTACGCATCATTCACAGAAAAAAACTCGCGTATAAACGAAACCAAAACAATCAAGACAATTTGAAAAATCTTGGGAACACGCTTTCCTATATGTTCTTACATGGATGATTTTAAACAGTTGGGTCCAAATGAGTTTCAAAGCTCTCATAAATTCCCCTATCTAGTAGGGCTATTGAACACTCATGGGAAATCTATTGTTGATTTGATGCACCACCATGAAACATCCAATGATGATCATTCAGCCCTAGCCAAATTACTCAATAGACCTGAAGGGGAAATACGTCAATATTTCAAAGCACTACAGAACGATTTGTCAATAGAGCCAAGTAAGGTGGACGACTTGTTTGAGGAAAGTGACGCGATTACAACTGGGTTGCCTTCTGTTGATCTTGAGTTGGGTGGAGTTGGTGGTGGTATCCCACTTGGTGAAGTGACCGAGGTATTTGGGGCTAGTGGTTGCGGAAAGTCGCAGTTTTTGTACCAGTTGATTCATAATTGCGTCATGCAGTACCCTGAAAGTAAGCCGATTCTTGTTGCCACAGAAACATTTATGGAGTCTAAAAGATTGGCAAACATGTTTGAAGCAGATGCTTTGAACAGTATGGATGTTGATGCAAAATTGAACCAAATATCCTACATATATTGTCCTGACTTGGAAAGTCAAGATCATATTTTATTCACTCAGTTGTCTACAAAGCTACAACAAGATAAGAGTACAAAACTTCTTGTCATTGATTCAATTGCTCATCATTTTCGACGAGAAGATGCCATGTCGAATGTCCTGTTCATAAAAGACAAGATCGAAGAGCAGGAACAAGAACTCGAAGACCATGCTGAATTTCATGAGCTTAAACGACTAAAGAATAAGTATCTGAGATTAGTAGGCACCAAAAGCGCAAAGTATGCTACAAGGTCAACAAAATTGCATTATTTAAGTCTATTGTATCGTCATCTAACAAGATTGGCAAGGCAGTTCAATATTGCCGTAGTGGTGGTGAATCAAGTAAGTGATCATACTGCTGACTTTGTCAATAACAAGAATGTCATCATTGGTGATGAAGATGATGAACTACTATATCCTTTAAATTTAGATTTTCAAATCCCTATTGCATCGGGGTGGGATCCCAGAACCATATTCAAATACCTCCCTCCTTCGCATGTGCAATTGAACGAACGCGATTTGGAATTGTTAGATTTGGAGTTGCAAAGATCATTTGATACTCAGAGTGGCTCATCAAACAAGAGACAGAAAGTGACCGATGAAAATGGTACCAGGTCGGTGCCGGTTATGGAAGTAGATCCTCGATTGAACAAGACAAGAATTATTGACATGCGTGAAAGTCAAGCTGAGTTGATAATGAAAGCACATGAGTTTAAGAACAAGAGTACCAAAAGAGTTGTTCCTACTTTGGGATACCCATGGGCAACAAGGATTCAAAATCGAATTATGTTGATGAAGACATACAAACCACAATTGAAAACGAGAGAAGAGTTGGTTCGAGAGAGTGAAGCCAATGGAGGTATAGATTTAGAAACTGGATTGTCTTATGTGCAACTATGTGAAGGTTTTACTTTAGCGTCGAATGGGAGTAAAGATCAATCACAACAATTACTGACGGCGCTGACATCTACTCCTTCTTCTTCTGCTGCAACTACTACTGCGACCAGTGCAACTAGCGTTTCTACCAGTGCTACTTCACAATCCAGTGTTTCTCTGTTGATCAAGGGCTGGCAAGTTGAACGATTCATTAAAGTTGTACTGAGTACCCACAATTTGAGAAATGATAGATTCAAGAATTATTCCTTCACCATCGATAAATATGGATTGAAACAAATGTAAATAGGAGAGGTCGTGAGTTGGAAGAAAGGGGCCTATTTTTCTTCTGAGTTGTATTAATAGAAGAATGTATTTATTGATGTTCTACTCTACATGTATTTTCTTTGCTTGCACGTTGCACCCAATTGGGTATGCGCGTGGAAACAGCTGACACAAAACTTGATCAAGACGTGGTTTTGAAATTGAGGGAGAGAGAGAGAAAAACGTGGTCGTGCGTAAATTAAAACAACAAACAATCAACAATTGATATTAATCTTCAAGACTGTCTCTTACTTTTGTAATAATATATTGTATTATCATTTTACAGTACTGAACGAATCATCATGAAGGTATGTCAATAATGCAGATCGAAGTTTCAATTTTATTTTTGCTGCCCTCGGGGGGGTTAGCCTTACGGTTGTTCGATTTCAAGCGGGGGGAGAGGCGGAGAGGCGGAGGTTCTTGTTTGACCCCGACTTGCAACCAACCAATCAACCAAAGCATATACCATCGATACCTAATACTAACTAAATTTTCTTTCTTTCTGTAGTACATTGATGAAATTGATTTAGAACTAGTCAACCAAGAGCTAAATTTCACACTGGCTGATAATTCATTGGAGATTAGAGGTGGATGTGAGTTGTTCACTACGAAACCAATTGCGTCTGATCGTAAATTGTTCAAGACAATTGATAAACATTTGGATCAAATAATTGAGGATAACATGTTGTCTCGTTCGTTAGAGAAAGAACGACAGAATTCGATAACGTCGTTGTTTGGTACTAGCGGAAGTCCTCACGATATTCGAATACAAGAGCAACAACAACAACAACAACAACAGCAGCAGCAGCAGCAGCAGCAGCAGCAGCAGCAAAAACAACGAAGGTCAAGCTCTACTCTGGGAAGAATTCAATTTCACAAGGCACTGATTCCTGATATCCCCGAACAACAACCAACTAGTGCTTCTCTACTTTCAAAGTCATTGAATGCAACTGATGATAGTTTCACCATCAATGACCCAGAACAAGATGAACACGCAATTGACGATTCACCATTTGGTCCTTTGAAAAACACAACCACAAGACGCACATTTGCCTACCTCATTGGTATCTTGAACCATACGTTTCCCGATCAAGACTTCAGTAATCTTCAACCAACACACGATTTCATTAAAGTTCCTATAACTGACTTGCTAACCAAATTTGACAATTTATTGATGTCTTTGGGTAAGAGCGACGTTTTGCATTGGATGTGGGATATACTTGACTCGTACATGGAAGTGTTGCCTTCAAAAACATCGTCTCCTTATTTGGCTGCACAGGACACTGACGCGAATGAGAATAATCATCATCATCATCACCTGGAGGCCGGTACAAGTAGGAAGAATAGTATGACCAACAACAGCAGTAACCACAACAATGGAAGCAGCAATAGTATAAGGCACGGATCGGGGTCCCCGCCAACTGCGAAACTACCCCAAGAAAGCTGCAGTATATATCTGTTTGAACCAGCTAATGACTCGATATTTGAGGATATCTCATACCCGTATCAGCCAATGTGGAGTTATTTCTGGTTTATTTACAATAAAAAAAGGAAAAGAGTTGCATTCCTTCGATTGATTGCTATAAATAAGGCTGACTTGGAACAGGAAGAAGAGGAGGAGCTAAATGCGAATGATGATGAAGGTGTCGTTGGTAACATTGAACTTTCATAAAAAGTGTGTTTGTTGTGTTGAATTGTATGTAATATAACAATGTAATTTGTACATCATGAGAACATTTGTTGGTTGTCCCACCGGTTCGCATCAGTAAAATTATAAGCACCGAACTTCTTTATAAAGCGACCATCAAGGACCAATTTATGTTTGATGATGACTCCAAAGTTTTTCCAAATTGACACTGCCTTGTTTGCGTCGTTAGTTCCCACTTTCCACCCGCATCAAAATCGACTTTCTTCAACTGTACCATCACGAGACGTTGAAGATGTTCACAGTTTATATAAACACGTACAAGATCATGCTGTTGAACCGTATAACTACAAGCATAACCTAGTAGAATAGAAACGTATAGATCACCTCGCTTTATTCTGCCACTGGGCCTCACTATATCCATTTGGCGTAGCGGTCGACCATCATCTAAATAGTTTGTAGATGAGTTTTATATGACTTGAAAGTAAGAAACTATGCTGCAAACCGTGGGGCTTCGACAGTTTTACACAAACACGGAGTTGACTCAAAAGCCATAGCGCAGTATTATAAAATTAGCGGTAGTGCACCCGCACCCTCCCCCCCCCCCACCCTTCTCCGGTTCGTGTAAGGTAGTGCACATACAAAGAAGGGAAGGACGAAGTTTATGCTCACAGTCCTACATATGGGGAATATTTCTTCAAAATATTCGTCTTCCCAAAAGAACACCCAATAGTTAAGGCATCCGTACCACAGTATATCATTCCAATTAGGAAAGTGATTTTCTCAGTTATTTTTTTTTTTTCTTTTTTGCATATTTGGTTTTGCGCGGAGTTTACTACTAGCCAAATAGCAACTAAAAACGGACTACCGAGAGCAACTATAAACGTGTTACTCGTAAGAGAATTAATTACAGAGGACTCAGTGTAACATAGCAACTCAAACTAAAACCCACAATTGCCATTGATCACGTTGCAATTAACCACAAATTGCCAACAGGAGGGAGACACAAAATATTATAAATACCCCCTTGTGACTTTCCACATTAACCGAACCACATTTATCCATATTATCAACACAACAACTACACTACTATGTCTACTACAATCAAGAAAGCCACTGACGTCTATTTCACCTTAAACAATGGTATCAAGATCCCGGCTTTAGGTTTGGGTACTGTTCCATCGGGTGATCCAAGTGGAGTTAAGGATCAAGTTGTCACCGCAATCAAAGCTGGTTATCGTTTAATTGATACTGCTTGGTACTATGGTACAGAAAAATATGTTGGACAAGCTTTGAAAGAAGTATTTGATGAAGGTGTCGTCAAGAGAGAAGATATATTTATCACCACCAAAGTGTGGCCCTCGTTTTGGCACAGTCCTGAAAAATCATTGGATATTTCATTAAAAACACTTGGTTTGGATTATGTTGACTTGTTTTTGCAACATTGGCCAACTGAATTACATGGTGATGAAAATGGTGAACCAACTGCTCCAAAAGATGACAAGGGAAATTTGATTTATGACGATGATCCAGCAACTGGTACTAAGTTTATTGAAGTTTATCAAAGTTTGGAAAAGATTTTGGACAATACCAAAAAGACTAGATCAATTGGAGTTTCCAACTACTCCTTGCCCAAAATACGTCAATTGTTGCCTCATGTGAAGCATGTTCCAGTCGTTAATCAAATAGAATACCACCCACAATTGCCACAGCAAAATTTGGTTGATTTCTGTAACGAGCACAAGATTATCGTTGAAGCTTATTCTCCAGTTGGTGGCCCAGGAGCACCAGTGTTGAACTTGCCATTGGTTCAAGAATTGGCCAAGAAATATGACGTTTCTACTAATGAAATTGTTGATGCTTATCAAATTTTGAATGGTAGAATTGCCATTCCTAGATCGTCTAATTTGGAGAGAATTAAATCAATTGTCAATTTGCCTGATTTGAGTAAAGAAGAATTGGATGAATTGTATCAAATTGGAGTTGTTAATCCAACAAGATACACGAATGACCCTTGGGGTTATGGTTTGGGATTCCGTTGGTGGGATGGAGACACTTTGAGTAAAGAATTTGATTAGGATATATACGTAGGTGAATAAGATTATGGAATAGAAAGTAGGAAGTGTTAATCCCATAAAGTCTGTTCTTTGATTTCTCTACAATAAAGTTTTCAATGTCCGCTTCTATTATTACCCGTATCCCTATATATGCTCATGTTGCTAGTTTTTTTCTAGCATTACCTTCACCATCAATCTCTCCTTCCAATCCACGTTTAAGTAACTTCTCCTTTGCCTCATTCGACGTAACCATCAAATCGTTTTCTCCAGCAACTTTCAACAACCTCGTATTTTGTCTCTCACCATCCACTTTTCTGAAAAACGGTTGACATCGCCAATATGGTACAGTCTTGTAATGACCACCCCATTCTTGTACCTTGCCATCAACAACAACATCCAAGCCTTTAAAATTGGGTTGCGAAACAATCTCCTCTTTAACAATTCTCTCCACTTCTTCAACAATCTTTTCCCATTCATCAAATGATGAATGTACACTAGTCTTGCCAATCATGGGTCGTAATTCTGTCCGGTGATTAAGAAACTCATGCATTAATTTGAAAAAATGTGACTTCATTGAATGTCGCGATGCAGGATGAGGATCAACTGATTTGACAATTTCAAAATATTCACGCAAAATCTTGTCTACACGGGGGAATTGGCTGTCAATATCATTGGTCTTGGTCCAAAACACTCCTGGGTTGTACAAGTTCCCCTCTGCTGACATTACAGCGTCGCATTTGGTTGCATCTGCACATCGTTGTAAATCATCTGGGTACAAGATATTGCCATTGGCGAAAAACACTTGATCTTGGGGTAAATTGTCACGCAAGTACCGTAATATTTTCCAATTGGCTAACCCAGTATTTTGTCCCTTCATTTCTCTTGTTCTCCCATGTACAGTTAAAAATTGTGCTCCAGCGTCTAATACCATCTTGGCATATTGCAACGACTTTTCATAATCATCATAAACTCTAATCTTGGCAGTTACGGGAATAGATAAATTCTTATGCAAGTTTGCAATCAATTTGTGAATTAACCCCCAATCCTCCATCAAAAATGATCCATATTTACCCTTTTTAGCAATCCCCTGAGGACATCCTAAATTTAAATCAACAGCATCGCATTGACCTTCAACTAATTTGGCTGCTTGTAATAGAGTGTCTGGATCATTGGCACAGAATTGAACAATCAAAGGGCGATCATATTTGGGGTTCCCATCTTGATCATTGAACATACTTTTACGATACTTGTCACTAGTGACAAACAATCGCGCATGAAACATTGGTGTGTAACATAAGTCAGCACCATATTTGCGTGATAGTATTCTCCATGCTAACTCAGATTGGTCCACCATTGGAGCTACTATAGTCTTTGGCTGACCTATTGCATTGTATAAATTTCTCCCTGAAAGCTTGGATGTGGGTGAAGTGGGCGTAATTGTGGTTGCTGGAACAGTCATCTCGATGCTTCTTTGTTGAGGTGTAAGATATGCAAACTGTCTGTACTTTGTTGACCTGATATGTGTAAGATGTGCCAGTAGTATACTCCTGCTTCCTTCAAGTCTAAACATAAACTTAGAAAGAAACACCCGTCGTGGTTGTTGATCCTTTTCCTACTTGATGGACTTTCTTAATACCTTAAAAAAAAAAAAAAAGAAATTTTGCAATTTTTTTTTTCTGTCTTTGTGTGCGGCTGTCGATATGCAAAATGGCGCTTTGCATCATATGAATGCTACTTATCTCCTACTCATAAGCTATAATCATTGTATTTACTCTTCCAATTTTCCAACTCACTCAAATGCCTCATAGTAGGTCTCCCATGAGGACAATTCCATGGTTTATCAAGACGACTCAAATTTCGTACAACTTGCGTCATCTTGTGTCTCGACAATGACGATCCAATCATTATGCTACTTCGACATGCCTTCATGGCAAGAATCTTCCTAATTTTGGAACATTTGATATGCTTATTACTTGGTTGTTCATTGATTAAATTGATAAGTTCCATGAAATCATTGGTATCAAACATGATGTTTTTGTATACTGGTAATGAAGTGAGGACAATCCTTGACCCAAGTTTACCCTCATGGTTGATGTTGAATTTGAATCCATTGTTTCTAAAGACTGGTTCATGATCAATTACCAACATTTCATCAATAATGTTTAGCTCAAGTGGATGAGGTTTGATTAATAGTTGGTTTTGAATACTGTACTGTTCAATCAATTTCTCAAAATTGTATTTTTCATCAGATGCATGCTGATCAATAATGAATACATTGGTTCCATGATTAACCAATATGAAACCCAAGTTGAATTGTCCGATTATTTTCATTTTAAGAAAATCTGACTTGGAGATGTGATAGATCCCCTCATCTTCCAATGTTTGATTAACTTTTATGGTTTGACATTTCTTTATATTGTTAGTGTCGTTATTAAAGCTTCGCAAAGAACATATCTTTGCCAACACTTGTTGCGACGATAGTTTTTTCGTTTTGGTGTACAAACTTGACGATTTGAATCTCTTTGCTGGTCTTTCTTCGAATTCTTCATTGCCAATTCTCATATATAAACTTTTTTCGTTGGGTTCTTCTTGCCTGGGGTAAAAGTTTACACCATGATTATCTTGCAATTCGCCAATGTCCATTTGAGTCTCGGGTTCATTGTAGGAAAAATTTTGCAATGGTTGCGACGTGTGAGGAGTCTCGACGTGTTGATTTTCAGCTACACCATCATCCCCAGTCGACCATATACTACTACTACTGACCCGTTGAGCCAGGACTGCGCTTTTCCCCTCGTGAGTCCCATTCACCAGTTCAGTCTCCTTTACTTCATCGTTATCAGCATCATTGTCAGTTTCAACAATAGTCTCTTTATGTGTATCCTTTGGGTTATCAAAATCATTTGCCTGCAGCTGAGATTGAATAGACTCCAGTTCATTCAACTTCCGGTCATCAATTGAACGCAAAACTTCAACACCATTTCGAGTTTGTGCTTGCGTAGTTAACAAGCGCGGTTTCTCCAATGAGTCTGCTTCTTCAAGCTCTGAATCTTGACAAAATAACGACTCTGTTCTTGCAGTAGATTCAATTGATTGAGCAACTTCAAACTCCCTGTTGTTCGATGCAAACTCATTGACATCGCTTGCACGACCAACGTGCCCGCTTAATGAGTCAACGTTTTCAGGTTCCAAACTATCAATGCTATCTTCTTCTTCCTTTTTGATAAACTTTTTGATATCAATTGTACGAACTTTGGTATCCGCTTGATTTGAAGTCAGTTCGACAATGGTGGTGGTAGCTTGCTCATTGAATGGCACCTGCTCTCGCATACTTTTTGGGATGAGAACTCTATCATGCAGTGTGTAAAATTCAACAAGAGATTCACGTATAGATTCCAATATGCGAGCCTCATTGTGAATCAACACATTAGTCTTGTCGGGCAAAACATTAACATCAATGAGCTCTGGATCAATCTCAAGATTTAATACATATATCGGATACTGTACATGGTTAAACGATTTGTAAACTTCATTTATTAACATTGTTAGTTTCCGAAACACAATGGGTCTTTTGTTGACAAATAAAAACTGCCTATCAGGAGTTGACCGTCCCAATCCAAAGGAATACGATGAGATATAACCAGATAATTTTGCATCGCAATCAAGTTCAATATCAACGTCAAGTAAACTGGTATTTCCATTATTGCCATAAATTGTAATTAAATTTTCCACGGTGGTATTATTCTCTCCACCCTTTGATGATAAAACCAATTGTTTTCTGCCACTGGAATTTGTGTTTGTAACTTCAAATTTGATCTCTGGATATATTAGCAAATAGTTTATGATGAAATTTACCGCTTTATGAAACTCTCTCTTGGAGTTTTTGATAAAATTCTTTCGCCGAACAGTAAAATTCTTGAATAAATGCTCAATAGATACCGTCGTACCTGATTTATTACTCATTCCACCTAATTTCGACGTTTCTTCTTGTAATTTTCCAAGCTGGTCGTATTTTAGGGTATAGTTTCTCGGGTACGTATCCAATGTCAGCGTAATTATAGTCACTTTAGTTGATAATGCACAAATTGAATTCAACGCTTCACCTCGAAACCCCAATGTTCCCAACTTAGTTAAATCATCCATATCATTGATTTTAGAAGTATGGCTTCGTAAGCAAACCGTTGCAAAATCGTCCTTTTCAATTCCTTTGCCATTATCCAGGACAGTTATTGAATCGATACCATAGTTGATGAAGTTGACTACAATCTTTGACGCGGAAGCATCGATGGCATTTTCAACAAGTTCCTTGGCGAGTGACCGAAGATCAATTACAACCTGTCCCGAGGTGAGTTTTGACACATCTACCTTGTCTATGCTTTGAATCAGTGACATGGGACGTAGATTGAAGCTCGGTGATAAGTTGTTGATGCTTGTGCGTCTTGTTCAAAATGGAGTTCGCGCTACGCGCAAAAAAAAAAAGAGGACGAGACTGTCCCACTCTCCAATACTGAATCATGAAGTTGAAAAACACATTCGCTAGCGAAGTGCCACATATTCCCCTAACCGTCAACAACCTCCTACTAGTCTTTAAAGAATTTCTTTCTGTCTGGATAAATCAAATTCTATATTACAACAGAGTATACGATCCACTAATATTCGATGAATATAAAGCATTTGACGTCATTGTATGGATGAATAGACACCCACACTTGGAGAAATACATTGACGACTTATTCTTGAATATCATCAACAATTTAATCATTAATAAGAAACAAACAAATGGGCTCGATAAAATCACATGTGTAATATACAACACCAAGAATGAAACTGTGGTAAGGAGTTACACAATTAGATTTCAACAATTCATTCTATCTTTGAGTGAAACAATAGCCGAACTTAAACCTGTCAATGATCATGATACTTCATCGCTATTGAACTTACCTGGGATCTCATGGATTGAAATTTATACACAATTTCAAACAGTGTTATTTCAACATATACAACAATTGCGTAAAACCTCCATCTCGGAGACACAAGCAGATGATTTGTTTTACAGTATAACAGTTGGGTTACATGAGGAAATCTATGCTGGCGCCAATTGGGTGAGGCTAAATGAAACAAAACAAGATAATCGTATTGATCACGTGCAAGTTATCAATGAAGTGGACTTGGGGATATTAGGCTTCACTCTTGAAAACGTGGATGACGATATTTGAAGGAGGGGTTGAATCTCGGTTACGTCATGAATTTGATCAACAAGATTTGTATGGTTCGGCATTGATGACTAGATATCGGTCTCGGTTATATGTTTCTTATCTCCGCTGTTTTTTGCGTTGTGAGCCGTTCAAAACATAGGCAACGAAAAATTCTGCCCTCGTAGCAGATTTCGGAGAAGTTGGGATACACGGAGAAGCTTTAGTGATATTGATTTGGTACAACACGGGCTTTAATGGTCGTCAGTGATCATGATATTTGAAACCGGTGCATTTGAAATTTGTCCGATCAGTCTAGAACAAAACTCATTTTGGATCAAATAATTTCTTTTTAATGACACAAACGGGAATAAGCAAGAATCCAATTTTTTTATTTTTGCTAAATCCGATGACATGAAACGAGAGAACAATGCCGAATGAATGGACTTTTTGATGGATTGATATAAATACATGCGGAACAGGAACGTTTCATTCCTCGTTGATTCTTCAAAGCTACAATTCACTACTTAATTCCCAAAAAATGACAAAAAGAGCTAACCCATCACCCATAAATACTTCTAAAGACGCCAAGTTACTACTTGACTTGTTTGATAATTTCTTAATTGACTGCGATGGAGTCATATGGTTAGCAGAAACCCTTATTCCAAAAGTAACTCAATTTCTACAATTTTTGCAACACCACAACAAACAATTTGCCTTTGTCACCAACAACTCATCCAAATCACGTCAAGCATACATTGAAAAATTTGAAAGTTTAGGGATACATGGTATAAGTAAAGAACGTATCTACACCACTGGTTATTCAGCAGTATTGGAATTGCAAAAAATGGGGATTCCCTTGGGTTCTAAAATTTGGGTATTGGGAGATTCAGGAATTGAAGATGAGTTAATCGACGAAGGCTACGTCGCCGTTGGTGGATCGAATCCGTTGCTAGATCAATCATGGAGCCCCAAGAACCCATTGCTTAAAGTCGACCCTGAAGTGAGGGCCGTAGTTGCTGGATCAACGAATGAATTCAATTTTATGCGCATTGCCACAACTCTACAATACTTGATGTATAACAACAAGAGTTTACCGTATATTGGAACCAATGGCGATCGCAACTATCCTGGTCCTGATGGTTTAACTTTACCAGCGGGGGGAAGTATGGTTGAATATATGGCGTATTGTTCAGGCCGGAGTTATATTGATGTCGGTAAACCTAGCAAAACATTTGCCGATATTATATTTTACGATACTGCCTTTGATCGATCGAGATCAATAATGATTGGTGACACATTGTCATCGGACATCAAGTTTGGTAATGATGCCCAGTTGGGCAATGGACACGGCACGTTGCTTGTGTTGTCTGGAGTGACTACAGAACCGGAATTGAAGGAATTGATTGCTAGTACTAATCATCAACATGGTGATGACCTGTTGGTGCCTCAATTTTATTGCGACTCATTGACTAAACTTTATGAACTTTTTACGTGAATGGATAGAAATAAAACATTGGAATATGTATAGATGCGATTATAAATGCGAGAAAGAATTTCAAACAAACGAATCATGTCTAAACCTGATTGCTTAATCCAAATAGATTCTTCAAGTTCTCATACACGAAATATGAGATTGAAACAGCAGGAGCAACTTTTGCCAAGTTGGGTACTAGACCTTTGTACAACCCGGCATATCCTTCTCTGGCAACAGTCTTTTTGAAAACATCAAAGAACCCATTATACGTATACGGATGAGCATAAGTCCCTTGAGCTTGTAATCTTGTTCTTAATGAGTTTATAGGGTATACAACAGTAGCACCAAACGAACCTGAAAGTGCACCCAATGACAACACCATGTAATTGGGCAACTTGACTTCGTCTTCACTTAAACCAGATCTTTTTGCTTCTCTTTTGATCAACCATGTCTTGATTGTCTGGAACGTACCCAAATCTAATGCTGCATAGGGGAAAATACCACTGACACCGGCTAGTATACCACGATAAAACACACGCAACCCTCCTTCATGAAACAAATCTTTGGCAGTTTGGATCAACAATGCATTCCCTTGTAATGAACCATCTAATTTGGAACATTGCATTCGAAACTTGAGAGTATCCACCGGATAAACGGCAAATTGTGACACAACACCACCAAACCCACCAGCTAAGTAAGTTGAAACTTTTGAAATCTGTGACACATCATCAACACCTTCAATTCGGGCAAAGAATCTTTTTGCTGCTTCAAAAGAACCAAACTTCATGGCTGATTCGGGAAACACTTTCAACACATTTAACCCATTTCCAACATAAAATGCCTTGATCCCACCTTGTAACCATAGCGTTCTTGCTGCTTGTACAATTGGTGACCTAATTGTCTTTTCTCTCAATGTTGTAGCTTTTGTCAGTTGAAGATGTTTTTCCAATTCGGCATGAGCCAATTTAGCTCGTAACTGATCAATGACATGTTTTTCAGCACCAGAGGCTATTTGTCGAGCAATTTCCTCTTTTGAGTGAAGTATGGTTGATGTCAAATCAGTTCTAGCAATTAAAAACACCTTGATTCTATCAAATGGAGCCGTACACGTTCTCGAAACCACTCCTGCTAACCCACCCGCTAAAAAGAATCCAAATCCATTGAGAAACTGATTGATCAAAGTGACATCACCATCGGAACTAACACCAAAATTCTCCACTACAAATGTGTATGCCGTTCGTATTCTTGAGCCATGTAATCGTGGCATCAATATCAAAAACTCTCTAAACTCATCGTATGTAATATATCCATCGTTTTTGTAGTCAATTCGTTTGAAAAGTAAGTCAACGTTAACTTGGCTGGCATCAACTTTCAAATGATCTTTCAAGTACTTGACAAAGTCAGCTTTCTTCAATTTTCCATCGTTATCTTCATCAATCTTGTTGAATCCTTTCAAAATTTGATCATCAGTAGTTGACAAGTACTTTTTGAAATCATTGAAATCGATAATCTTATTTCGATCTTCATCAAATGAGTTAAATACTTGTTTCATTAGTTCTGAATTTTCACTAATTGGATGTTTTAGCTTTCTCATTGCCTTGGTAAAATCTCGAAATGTGATTTTACCAGTCTCTTCGATATCCAATTTACGAAATAAAGTTTCATAATCATTAGGTTTCGCTGGTATTATGATATCCTTTGCGTATTGATTGTTCTCTTCTGATGAAGAGTCATTAGATAGGTACGCAGACGGTGAAGTGATATTCTTGGACATGAGGAAAACAATGAGTGAGGGTTGTCAGTGGTGGGTGTGAATAAAATGAATTTTAAAATGTAGTAATCCGTGTTCAAGCGAGAGTTATGGCACGATATGTGTATACTGTATCAATGAGTTGTGCTCTAATCCAGTGTTAAATGCGATTCTATATTCTTGATCTATAGCAAGTAGATCGTATCATTGAAAGATGAACCTTTTTTATAAAAATGTAATCCAAGTTTGTGGAAATACCATTGGATGAAAAAAATAAAAAAAAAAAAAAAAAAAAAACTTCAAATTTGGAGAAAATTCCCTCGCTTAGTGTTACGCATTTCAAGCATGGTCAATTGCTTTACAAAATACCTCGGATTTTAGTCACTTATCTCCGGTTTGAACTACCGTCAATAGACAGGTATACACAGGGTGGCGGGGAGGTATACTCACGGCTTAAAGTGATATCAATTGTGATTCAATGTAACCTGTTTTTTTTTGTTTTCTTTTTTTATTTAGTCAGTATTTAAATGTCGTGTGAGATGTGGCCTACACGTTTCAATAAAACTTAAACACGTTTGGTCAGTAGCTATTCCATGTGGCGGGGGACAAGTCAACCGAGCTACTACGAGACGGAGAAAGATTACTACTCATACGTGGATGATACTGGACAATCTATTAATGATTTCTATCGGCTGTACGAGGCTTGGCACGAATGATATTATCTACTCGTAAAAGCACTTCAGCAGCTTCAGTTGCAGAATTCACCACCGCTTTTTTCAACTTATAACTCTCAACTACGCCCAATTCTCTCATGTTTGCAACAGTACCATCATTCAAGTTTAATCCTGATGTTGAAATACCATTGTATATAGCGGACCTTAATTTAGTAACGAGCTCACTCGAGTCGTAACCAGCATTGTCTGCCAATATGATAGGTAGTTGTCTCAAAGCTCGACTATAAGCTTCGATAGCAAGTGCCTTTTTACCCGTCTCATTAGCAGCAGCTTCATCAACGGCTTTAGCCATGAGCATCTCGGCACAGCCTCCCCCCAAAACAGTTTTAGTATCTTTGGTAGTTTGCGACAATACCGATAATGCGTCATGTAATGATCTTTCAGCTTCTTCCAAAACATGATCAGTAGCACCACGTAATACAATTGTACAAGCTTCTCCAGCAGCTACTCCTGAAAATTTCAAAAATGAATCTTCTCCAATTAACACTTCTTCGATAGTTTCACAATGACCCAATCTTGTAGATGCTGGATTATCAAATGTACTAACAACATCACCTCCGGTAACCAAAGCCAATCGTTCTACACCATCAAAATCAGCATGCTCAATAGTGTTGATCTTTGCGTCAGTAAACAACTGTTCAGGATAGTCATAAATCAATTGACGATTTATAAACACATTGATGTCGTAGTTTCTAATCTTGTCGACTTTCGCCTTCATCTTGACTTTTTCTGCCTTCTCCAATTCAGCCAATTTAGATGTTGAGTCAACTTTGAACTTAGCTCCAAATATTTTGACTTTATCAGTATCCATTGATGTATTTGCTATGAGAATTCTGGCATTTTCTACTTTTTTTGGTTGTCCAACACCAAACTTTTTTTCCAAAATAAAGCCTTCGTCCAAATACGAATCGGATAATTTACCTCCCACTTTTTTGATAATTTGAATATTGTTCAAATTGGTTGATCCTTTCAATCTCAAAATAGCATCCACAGCTAACGTGGCAAATTGCTCTTTATCCTGTGATAAAATCTTGGATGATAATGTGGTCTTGGCAATATTCAACAAATCCAATCTGAATTTGGCAGGATCCAATCCGTTATTAACAGCATTCTTATCCAATGCTTCAATTGCATGTTTTCTAGCTATTCTGAAACCTTCAATTATAGTTTGTGGGTGGATCTTTTGATCGATTAATTTTTCACTTTCCCTCAACAATTCAGCACTAAGCACCGTGACTGAAGTTGTACCATCTCCAACTTCATCATCTTGAACTTTGGAGATATTAACCAAAACTTTAGCTGCTGGATTTTCAAATGGTATAGATTTCAAAATAGTAGCTCCATCATTGGTAACAATCGAGTGGTCTGGGTTACTTGCACTTTGTAACAATTTATCCATTCCTTTTGGACCCAATGTTGATTTAACTAAATCACCAACGGCAATTGCACCTACAAAAGCAGACATACGAGCATTTTCAGCTCTATCTTCTTCGACTTGATCTTTGAATATCTGAACTGACATGGGATGGGTACACGTGTAGATAGATTGAACCTCTGCTCATTCACTCACTCACTCACTCACGTACTGAATTTTTTTTCTCTCTTTTTGGTTCTTTGATCTTCTTCTACAAAAGAAAAAGGACGTGTAATGGAGATCAAAAAATTAGTAGGTTGCAAAGATCAAAGAGACACATCAATACCATAATAACACACCTTCAACCAACGGGTTTGGTTTAAGCACAGACTGTTGGCATTGGGGTAAGCTCTAAGCAGCGGCACCATGCAATGGTCATTAAAATTCTCCTTTTTTTTTTTTTGTGGGGTTTTAATAATCAGTTGACACACAGTGTCACTGTAAATAGCTGAAGTAGAGGTATTAGACTCCACTGGGTACATGAAGTTCAAAAAATGACAATATTGGGTACACAAGCCGTGTAGGGAGGCCGTTTGCAAGGTTGTCATTAACGTGATGGCATCGAAGGGAGGAGGGAATATCCATATTGAATGCAGCGCACACTCTCTTCAGGCTGACATCTTCTTTTATCGAAATACTTGCCAACTTCCACCGATCACCACAAAGTTCCAGGTCTATTAACAAAGCATAACTGACTAAGAAAGGGACGGTTTTCCGAAGTAAATGATATCATAAAATAAATCGACCAAGGTGTCACATCATCAATAAATACTGATTGATAACAATTTACATAAGATGAATTATAAAACAATGTATTCAACCCACTGTACCCCCCCCCCCCCATAGAATCATTTTCGTTAAATTACCCTTCTGAACTTACTTTCCATCTGAAATTTTTCCCAATAAATTCTATACCACCACCATAGTTTCCAAAAATTAAACACAGGTCAATATACGTGTGAAAAATGAGAGCTTCTATAATTTGGATTTTTATAATGAGACAAATGTTCAGTATAAAATTAACTTTAGAGAGAGATAGGGATATAGCACTTCTCCATCAAAAATACAACAACTGTCAGTCATTTCTTCCTCCTACCTCCCCTATAAAAAAGAAACCAATATCCCTCCCCAACATCTTTAATCTTGTAATTCAATTTTCCCCTCCATATCGGTGCTATTGGGTTGTTTAACCTGCCGCCAGCGAGCTGACACAAGCAATCCAACCACTCCAAACAAACTCAACAATGCAATGGCAGACAACAATAAGTTAGCAAAGTCAATCACTTCAGTACTGGGAGTATCATGCTCCGTGTTGATCCAAACAAGCGAAAGACCAAATATCAAACTGAGTGAAATAGAGGGAACGATCAATATTTTATTATCATCATATCTTTTAATTACTAGGGCTTCTTGTTGTAGGTTTTGTGAATGAAATGAATTTAAAAACGTGGTGTGTATAACTACTTACAATACTATATTCATGTAATTAAGTTGTCTATTTGTATGCTCTTGAAAACTAGGTTAACCTGGAAGAAGGTAAAAGTGTGGCTTTGGGAGACTTGACTCAACTAGTTCCAACAAAGAGGCATTTTATTATTTCAGTGTATTTCCAAATTTTGTCTTATCTATTTCGGTTCCTGTTATTGTGCGCACGTGTTTCATCGATTTTATTACTATCCATATCTTTTGAGAGTTACTACTTACCAATATATACTTCATTTCGTTGTGATACTTTTTTATACTTTTGGAATATAAAGCAATTAACATTATTATTTTCATTTCATACTTTTTAACAGCATCTTAGGGTTTCTCAGTATTATCAAAACTTCTAGATGTATAGAAACGCGATCTTGAATCCAATAAGTCATAGGACAAAACAACAGAAAGCTTTTTTTTTGAATGATGAAATTCTCTCATTGAAATTTTGTGTCAACAACAACTGTACCGTATTGTTGACGATGTTCGTTCTGTTCCTCGTGTTTCATGATTCAATCAAAAACTGTGGAGAGAGAGGGGGGCGCTAAATCCAATTCTTTTTCCAATGATTGCAATGGACAGAGAAACTGAAGAAAGCTAGCAACTGTATATCGCCCAATCTAAGCGTAATAAGCAGTATCCAATTCCAATTTTCCCCCCTTAAGAAAACTTAATTTTGTCACTGCACGTTCTCTTGTGAACACAAAATACAAAAAACTGGAAAACCCATATGCAGTAGGAGTAAAGTAGAGAGGAGTAAAAGTAAAAGTAAGGGAATACAAAAATAGGAGTGAATTTGAATAGTTGCTAGGTAAGTAATGAGACCAAATAAGTCATTCATTCATTCATTCATTCATTTATTCATTTAGAGAATTTCATGTTGTCTAAAAACAAAACAAAAGGAACTATAAACCAATATATACAAACTGTACAAAATGTAAAAACGTGCGTATGCAGTGCGTTTATACGCATATATATGCACAAATTTCAGTATATAAGTATATACAGTGAAAAAGCATTCCTTCTACTAACACCACGCCCCTGCGCCCCCCTTTTAGCAATTGAGAAACGTATATAAAATGTCCCCCTTTGCTCTATAATTTACTCACCTCTTTCTCAAGTGATAACAACTAACAACTACAACAACAACAACAACAACAACGATAGTAGCTAATTTTGAATAAAAATGGTATTTGGATTTGGTAAAGACGATAAAGACGATAGAAGAAGAGGTGACGATGATAACAACAATGATGATGACAGATATGGTGCTGGTGGTTCATCAAGATCCGGTAATGATGACAATTACGGATCATCCACTTTTGGCTCATCAAGAAACGATGATGACAATGATAATTCATATGGCTCTTCAAAGAGATCTGGCAATTCGTCCTATGGCAATGATGATGATGATAATTCATATGGCTCTTCAAAAAGATCTGGCAATTCGTCTTATGGCAATGATGACAATGATAATTCATATGGCTCTTCAAACAGATCTGGCAATTCATCCTATGGCAATGATGACAATGACAACTCCTACGGATCATCAAACAGATTAGGTGGAAGTTCATATGGCAACAACAATGATGATGACAATGACAACTCTTACGGATCATCAAACAAGAGAGGTGGAAATTCATCCTCGTTTGGCAACAACAGCAATGATTATGATACTTTTGGTTCATCTAATCGATCAGGTGGAAGTGGCGAATATGGAAACAATAATGATGATGATTCCTATGGATCATCCAACAGAAGAGGTGATGATGACAACAATTTTGGTTCATCAAATAGATTTGGTGAAAGTGGTGGATATGGAAATGACAATGATGACTCTTATGGGTCATCCAACAGACGTGATTTTTAACAACGTAATGGGAATTTGATGTTTGTGTTTAGTTAGTGTGTTTAAAAATACTAATTGAGCTGTTGATAACTACTCTCTTTTCCTACAATTTATATAAGACTTTCTTTTGAATCTCCATCATCTATTATAATCACTCACTTTCACTCTTGTCACTCTCTTTCTTACTCTCTTTCTTACTCTCTTTTTTACTTTACAATGGTGCATACAATACTTGAGTTACATATTTGCGTTTGTATCGTACAATTGAAGCAACCGCCAATGTATTATGCTTTATTGAAGTTGTTGCCAAATGATTCAAAACAACGTGATTAGGTATAGGCAATGCTCCTGAGTTATTATCATTGCTATTGTTAAAATTGTTCAAAATGACACTTTCTAAATGTGGTGGTAATTGTGGTGGGTGTAACCATGCTTGTTGTTGATTACTATTTGATCGTGATTGCTTGTCAATGGCAACATAATATTGTTCCATTACTTTGGGGTCAGTGAAAATGGGGGGGATATCATTAATGTATTCCAATATCTTGTTGGCTCCTCCTAATCCATTGGCTTCATCTTCTTCGTTATCATGATATCTAGAGTATCCATTACCCATATCGTCGTCATCATTGGTGAGACGCCACATTGAATCGGTCCTCGATCGTGAAGTGGAGGACCTTCGACTAGATATGGATGACGACACTGATCTGCGTCTATCTGGCTGCCATGGTTGTTGTTGTTGTTGTTGTTGCTGTTGTTGTTGTTGTTGTTGATCTTGTTGTTGTTGTTGTTGTTGATCTTGCTGTTGCAATTGTTGTTGCGCTTGTTGTTGCGTTTCTCCTTCAGTGTATGGTTGTTGATCTTCTTGCATTCCATATTGTTCTTGCAAATGTTGTTGTACATTTTCTGGTGTAATTTCAACATAATTGACAAAATTACCCATTTGATCAGTAGCTGTTGGTAAGAAATCAGAAAATCGTAATTCATTATCAACAACAAATCTAAAACGATGCGTCCCCACTGGTAACCCCAATGTTATCATGAAATTCCCATCTGGCTGTTTAACTAAACCAATCATTTTTCTCCATCCAGTGAATGAACCAGTGACATACACTTTTTCACCACTTTGTACCCATTGGATATCTACTGGTACTGTGATTGCCTTTTCTGGTGGTGGTGCCTGTGGCTGAGCTGTAGAGGTAGGAGGCTGTTGTTGTTGTTGTTGTTGTTGTTGTTGAGATTGCGATGGGCGTCTTTCTTGTGCCCCTTGTTTTCCTTGTAGATTTGATGACGAATTGTCAATATGCATTTTATCTTCATCTTGTATAGCATCATCACCACCAACACCAGCATCACCTCCACTTCCCTCTTGATCAGGTTCTTTTCTGTCGATATTCATCTGGTCAGATTCAGCTTCATCAGTGAGAATCAAAGTTGATTTTCTTCTTACTGGTTGTGTGGGTTCTTGCTGTTGTTGTTGTTGTTGTTGTTGAGATTGTTGTTGTTGTGGTGGTTGTGCTTGTGCTTGTGCTTGTGGTTGTGCTTGTACTTGTGCTTCTTCGCCGGCTTCATTATTTGTAGGTGCAAAGCCTTCACCATTAGCTTTACTCACATCAACCATAGACACATCTTTGGCGGTGTTTGATTCCTCATTATTGGAAGTGATGGCTGAATCTTGTCCTCCAGTCTCTGTATCCATCATTTTAAATATGCTATATTGGTGTTACAGATTCAAGTGTGTGGTGGGCTAGTTCTAGCGAAGGTGAATAATAGAAGAGTGATGCTCAGGTGATCTGTTGAATAAAGTGTTTGTTTGTAATATATGCAAATGTATAGATGTAGCTTTGGGATTTGAATTCAAGGGCCACAATGTAGATTGGAAGGGGTGTGCTCTAGCAAGTGTTGGAAAGCGATGGGATGGTGTATGGTATTGAGTAACAAATATCGGTGTGTCTGTGTATGGTGTATATATATATATATATGTATATAGATAGATAGATAGATAGATCTTTCTGTCAAGTACTATTATTTATATATATATATATATAATGAAAACCGTTTTTTGTTCTGGTCTATTCTCTCTTTCGTTTTGTTTTATTGTTTTTTTTTCTCTTTCGGTTTTGTTGTTCGTTCGTTCGTTCGTTCGTTCCTTCCTTCGTTCCTTCGTTTGTTTGTTTGATTGATTTTTGTAAAAACAAAAAAAAAAACCAGAAAAATTTTGTCTCTGATAATTCTTTTTGTTGTCTTGATTTGTTCCCGCCTTTTTTAAAAGAAAAAAAAAACCCCAAATCTATCATCAAATGGAAGGGATTTCCAATTTCCACCTTTGGTTATAGTATAGTATAGTATAATTTGTCATTTTTTATTTTATTTAATTGTCTTCTCTGTCAATTGGTCTCTCTTCCCCTCTTTTTCCCTTCTGCAGAGCTATTGATGTCATTCTTTGTAATATTAAATTTTGCTCTACATATTATTCTATTATGATTGATGACCAAGTTGGCAAAGTCACATTTCTGCTTACTCAACTTTTCTTGTGGTGAGTGCTCCGACTTGATTCGTTTTCCTTTTTTCTCATTTTCTTTTTCTTTTGCTTATTTTTTTTTTTCTTTTGTGTCGCTAAAGTAGGAGAGGAGAGGAGAGGAGGGAGGGAAAGAGGAAGGGAAAAAGGAAGGGAAAGAGGGCGGAGTGGGCTGGTTTTTCCAATTGGTTCTGCTGTAGAACATGGTATAGCTTCATCCTTTCAATGGGGTAGTGTGAAATGGCTTTTTGCCTTTTTGAGTTGGTTGATTTGTAAGCATCGCCACATACCCCACCCCCATCGAATGGACACACTACAGTTGTCTACAATGATAAAAATTAGATCCGATATTATGTGTTGATTCCTCTATAAATGTAACATATTACTCGAACAACATCTACTCTGGTTCAACAAAGACCCCCTTTACCAATGGAACCTCGCTGCACTTTCACTATTGCACCTTTTTCTGTTGAAGATTATTAATATTCGTCGAAATAGCATGATACACCAAGATCAAGATAATTGCAGCAAACCCAAATGTCAAAGCAATCGTATTCAACTGACCATCCAGTATCATATTGTCACTCCGTGTCTTTGAATGGTTGTGTATGTGTGAAGATGATGATGAAGATATGTATGTGTCTAAGTTGAAGCGTGTCGTTTTTCTCTCTCTCTCTTTCTCTCTCTCTCTCTCTCTCTCTCTACAAAATTGTGTGCGTTCAGACAGACTTGGATACTGTTTTTTTTGTATGCAGTATTGGAAATCAAAGTTCCAAATGCTCATCTTAAACTTCAAATCCTTTTTCAATCCTTCTTTGTCAGTAACCCAAATATAGATAATCTGATGATTCCAATACGATGCTCCACTGTTTGCTTCAGTATTCCACGCGTTTTCCTCAAACCTATTCAAAGCTCGACTTATTTATCTCAGTTGAGATTCAAATCCGAAGTCACAACCACTACCCATAATGATGATTTTGTACTGACAACTACAAGCACAACCTCTTCAAATCTACCGTCAACCAAAAGCAAAAGCAAAAGCAAAAGCAAACGTGAACCAAAGACTCTCATAGAAGAGATGAAGTTGGCAGAACTATCTAGACAAAAGGTCCTTTCACTTCGGCAGACACTTGCGCCGTGGATTAAACGAGAATTAACTCAAAAGTCAAAATACAGCCACTGGAATCCTAAGCGGAAACTCAGTAGGCAAGAGATGATCAAAGTCAAAGAACTCAAGGAAACATTTCCACAATATAGAACTGTGGATTTGGCTCAGTTTTTTCATATATCACCAGAAGCTGTACGGCGTATTTTGAAAAGTAAATGGGTGCCAAACGAGATTGATGAGGAGAGAATGATTCAAAGAAAGGAAAGAAAGCTTTTACAGAGACAAGAGACGAAACAGGCTGCACTTGGTCGAACCGATGAAGCGAGTGCAGTTGCCCGTAGAGCGCAAAAACACGGAAAATGGCACAAAAGATCTAAAAAGTCCATTGATGATGACAATGATGATGACGGTGTTGAACTAAACAAAAGTTACAATAAAATTCAAAGTCAATTTTAGCTTGTATATAGGAGGCAACACAAGTTGCTCAATAAAGAAATATGTTGAGCTTAGAATGTACTTGGTAGCATCTTGATCTACGGTTCATCAATCACCTCGGTATATGCCCCCCCGCAATAAAAAAGAACAGAAAAAAAAAAAAAATTACCATACTCCAGAGCTTCCTCAACCTTTAACTCTACAACACAACGATGTCTTACGTACCCAAGTTCACAATACCAGAGTCTTCATATGATCCATCGGCGTATAACTTGAGGAATGTAAAATCAAAATCAAGCCTATTGGCATACATTATCAGATTAACCAACGGAGGATCTTTGGCATTAATTGTGTCGTACTTGGTCGGGTTTTTTATTGTTAAACCATTGCTTGAAACTTCCAACTCTCGAAGGTTGGAATTCCTTGAATGTATGAGACTGAGTTTGAGAAATACATACTTGAAAATGATCACCAAAGTGAGCTATATACCAATTGTTGCTCTTAGAAGAAATGGCAAACTATATGCTGATGCAATAGTTCAAACTGAGTCACCCTCAGAAATTCAACGAGCTATTGACGCTAAAGAAGATAAGTTGTTACAGGGTGAACTACATCAAAAAATGGTGAAAATGTCTTCGTTACTCAACACTTATGTCAAGCATTGGTCAATGGAGGATTTCAGTAACTACAAAGGGGTTAATTTTGCAATCAAAGATTTACAAAACAAGTCCGATTTGGTTTATTTTGACGATCAAGAGTTTTTTACCATGGATACTGGTCTTGAAGCTGGACCAAATGGAGGTAAAACGAAGAAAAGGAATATTGTGGTGGATACAAAGAATGAAATCAGGAGTATAAAGGGGTTATATATGAGTGGACAAGTCTAGTAAAGAGTATTGGTGCAAGTAGATTACCATGCCTTTGATGTGTAGTAGTGTGTTGTTGTGGCCTCTGTCAATACCAAATGTGTGAAAAAAAAAAAAAATAAAAGAAATAAAAAAATAAAAAAAATAGAAAAAATTACACTCAAGCGAAACTAATTGCATTAACAAGCCACTTCTATCCATAATTCATTCTCATACCACGACAATGGCAAAGGCAAAAATAGTTGTTAGTAGCGAAGAAGACGAAGAAGTATCTAACACCAATTTCTCAGACGAAGAATCCCCACTCGAATCAGACTCCAATGACAACGGTGACATAGATGAATACGACGAAGAGGAGGAATACGAGCCACAACCCAAATCGTCAAAGTCGTCGGCTAGAAGCAGACGAAGAAAAGCTGTTGATACTTTGGAAGAAGACGAAGATAAAGAGGACTTTGAAGGTGAACCAACAAGTCTGAGCAATGATGAAGAGGAAGATGATTTGGACACCAACTTTGAACATGAGCTTTCCGAATTGGACGATGATTTGGAACCAAAGAATTACGACGACGACATTGACGATGATGCGGAGGAGTCCGAAGAATTGTCAACAAAACCAACCACACAAAAGGGTAAAAAATCGATAAAAATTACAATCAAACCGCCAACAAGGAAACCTGCAAAGGGACTGAGTGAAGCTCCATCCGAAACATTAGGCAGCTCGAGAAGTACGCGGAAAAGGCAAGTAAACTACTACCAAGATGATGCAGATGGCTTTTCGGAGGATTTGTCCGATATGGAAACTCCTCCACCAAATACATCTAAAAGAGTAAAAATAAAAGCAGTGCCTGTACATAAACCACAACAAAATCCGCACTTGGATCCCGATTTGATACTTACAGATGAGGAGGAGGAATATAATCCAAATGCAGCGAATGATGTGTCAAAGATGACAGAGAGACAAAGAGCACGTCTTAATACAGACGTATCTGGAGCAATTGAAGACCCATATTTTGACTTGGATGTAAGTGGGAAGAAGCAGAAACAAAAAAAGGTGAAGGAAGAAACCGAGGAGGAAATTGCATTGAGGAAAGCTGAAAACGCTCGTAAAAGATTAGACTACAAGAATAAAATTTTGGAAGAGGAGAAGCGGGACACGTTGAATAAATTGTTGAAAAGGCGAGCAACAAAATCGAGGGAAACTATAGCTGAGGATAAGGAAGGATCTGTTGGAGTTGACGAGGATTCAAAATCGTATTACAAAGAAAGAAGGGCTACATTAAATCACCCTGCTTTAATACGATATGTCAACAACACAACAACCTTGAATGGTAATTCAGTACTCGCTTATAAGTAAAGAGATCAATGGGTTTTAAAACCTTGAAATGTAGTTTGAATCTCTTTTGGTGTAGACACAAAATCAGGGAAAACTCTTTTGCACCTTCATCAAAGAGACTAAGAAAATAATAATGTCATGATAAACAAAGGATAAAAAAGAAAAAAAAAAAAAAAAAAAGTGTCAAAGGAGGAACCAAGTTTTTTGAAAATTGAAATCTTCAATCCAAACAAAACCCATTTGATAAGAAAAACCAATAACAAAACAAAACAGAGCCAGAAACAAAGTTGTCGGGACAGTTTCTATATCACTCAATTAATGAACGCTAATTCTCAGCCGTCGCAGCAACGCATGTTTGCTCACAACCAAGTTCAACAACCGTTTCAATCCGCACCACCACCACCTCAACAACATCAACATCAACATCAACAGCAACAGCAACAGCAACAGCAACAGCAACAGCAACAGCAACAGCAGCAGCAGCAACAACAGTTTCAACGGCAGCTAAACATCTCAATACAGGCGCATGGGAATGGAGGTGCTCACCCGCAACAGTCCACCAGAACACCAACTCAACAATTCATGCGACAACCTAATGGTAACCCCATGCAACATATACAAGAGAATACACCAAATTCGTCCAGACCTGGATTGCAAAGAAACTCAAACTTCAATGAAAGTACTGCTAGTTTACAATCAATTCCAATAAATGCACATAATCTACAACCGAATGGAAATGTAGTGAACGGCAGGTCCGCTGCTGTATCGAGAACCTTTTCACAACAAGCTCCTCCTCACACGAATTCTGGCAATAACTCCCAAGGACATACTCCAGCCATGCAAAACACACAATCACCACTGATAAACCAAGGAAGCGATCAAAAAACCGGAGGGAATGATGCGACATTGAGTCAACAAAGCGTTCAAGGAAATAGCAAACAGCCACCGGGTGGTGGTATGATGTTCCAACAACCGGGCCCACAGGTATCGATGCAACCGCAATTTAATATGGAAGTTGGTGGTGATGGTGGAAGTGCCAACTTCATACCGAATACGCGAAAACCATTCCCACATGGACAGAATCAGAACCAACTGCAGCCGATGTTAACGACAGCTGAGCAGATGCAGCAAGAATTCAATGCAAGGGTAATAAAAAGAAATTTGGGCAACGCTGCCACCATGCGTGTACTCGATTTAATTGATTTCTTAAGTAATGAGGCGCATGATAATTTGCAAAATGTTGAATTTTGGCAGAGAATCACTCCAGCATATTTCTTGCCCAATTCAACATTGAGGTTTAATTTCTCCAAATCAATAACAAACGAATCTGACAAATCGTTGAATGAAGTGACGGGATTAAATTTTAGCTTTTTAAAGTTGACTGGTGGTAAAGGAGTCAATGATTTAACAAGTGTACCAAACCATTTTGAACTAAATACAACTACGGCGCCAAGATTTCTTGCCAACTGTGTCGCGCAATCTGAATTTTCTAGATTTTCTGTATTCCTACCGGGGATGAAGTTTCAAGTTTTGAATAATGGGTCAATTATAATTGTTTCCAAACTTGAAATTAACTTTACATACAAGGACGATTCCATATCAAAATTGAATGGGAATGTCAAAGTCTTGATGAGTCGTGATTTACGTATTGAATGGATAGATGTCAACTGCCTCACTTATGAAAGCTTAATCAATTTGAATGTGCTAAACAAACAACCAGTCAAGAACAAGTCAGTAAATGATGTTTACTTCAATTCCAAAACTGTACAAAATATGTCAACGTTTGGTTTAGGTAAAGCAAGTACTAGACATTTGCAACTTGCCGATGTTTTAACTCACATGAAACAGTTGATGGATTTTAGTCAATTGAATAATATCAAGTCGCCACAACGAGCATTGGAATTACTCCTCACTACTCCTCAAGCAACAATACCAACGAATTTTCAAATGTCTCGAGGAGTTCCATTTGCCAGTGGATTCATGGGTGGCAGTGGTGGCGGTGGTGGTATACCAGCGCCACAACGTCAGCCTATCCAATTTCAAGGACCCGTACCTGGTGGCGAAGGTGCTACTACTGCAGCAGCTGCTCAGAAACATTTCCAGCAACAACAACAACAACAAGCATCTTCTTCTTCTTCTTCGTCATTACAGAACAACTCATCGCTACCGCAACTGCAAGCTCTCAACCAACAATTGCGAAGTACGAAACAAGAAGGACAACAAATGAACCACTCTAATTCATTAGCTCAAAAAAAAGATGATAATGTTTCCTCTCCATCACCGAAAACAGTCACCGATGAAGAACCGAGGAAGAGAAGGAAACCTAGTGTTGGAAATAGTGCGTTGAGCGCAGAGACTAATAAAAAAAGAAAGTAAGCTGGTGATTGCTTTATAGTGGATATGTATACGAATAAACGTTACAGCTCATTTTCATAGTCATCTCTAAATCTCGCAGCTTTTCACGTGATATGATCACGTGACAAAGATATCCAACACAAGCTCACAAGAAGTAATTGATTTTTCCAGAACATATAGTGGTCTGGATCTAATTGAGTTCATTTCAGAGATTACCATCAAGCTTGTCCCTATGCTCTTGCAATTTTTTGAAGTGAAATAAACAGTAATAACATGCTCACCAATTGCTTGTGTTTACAAAAAAGTAGGAAACTACTTGGTATAAAACGTGTCTTCAATACTTGTAATAATTCCTATCAAGAATCTTCTTTCTCTACACTTTACAAAGTCATGAACATTTGAAATGTAATAATTTTGCGGTGGTCACAATACTCGGTTAGCATTGGACAAACTAAATTCTATAACTTTTTTTTCAAATTTTGCAACAAAAAAAAAAAAAGATAGAGTTGCAAATGTGTGATTAGTATAAGTTCAGTTTAGCCTGTTTTCAGGTATTACTAACGCTTTCAACTGCAAATGCATTGATACTGTCGAGTGACGATCAAATCAATGGAAATGTGTTCTGGAAATATTTACTCCACCAACAAGCGTATCCCTACGATACACATCCTCGGTATCAGGAATTTTAAACACACTCAACTTTCAAGCGCGGTTAAACAAAGTGTGATAAAGAAACAAAGAAAAAAGAAATTTCTCCATGTCAATCAAAATGTTAATTACAATTTGTTGCTCGCACGTGATATGGGTGAAAAAAAAAATTATATAATACACTTTTCAACTGATAAAAATGTACATTTACTTTTTGCATACAGAGAGTATAGTACGGTTATCAGGAAAGGGACATATCATTTGAAATATACATTCAAGCATGGTTCCGCATTTGCTAACTGAAGAGACTCCAAAGAGTTCAAATGGTACTACTACTAGCGAAGCTAGTTACGGAGGATCAAGTATTACAAAGTTGATCACAGCCAATCCTTTTGGTTTAACGACTGATCCAAATCTGATTAGAGGAACAACTTATACTTCAGATGGTACTCTCATCAATCAGACTATTTACGCCATAGCCTCAAAAATCTTTAGCTATGAAACTATTGGTGCAGAGAATTTACTCGACTCGTATATTCAGGTTTGGTTGCACAATCAACAATCCAATGCATTTGGTATTGTTCCATTTTACAATAAGTTTGAAGTTAGATCAGGTGCTTCTAACGCTATCTTGGGCTATTTCAAAAAGAATGGAACCCATGGTCAACCAGTATCCACCATTTTAGGAGCCAGTGGTATCGACTACATGAAAACTTCCTTATCTGGACAAAATGCTCCGTTGGCTTTGAATGTGTCAGCAGTTGATTTTGTTGACAATGCTTTGGTGTCGAATTACGGAAGAGTTTTGAATGCAGCTAGAGATTTAGGGTTCCCCGTGTTTACCCCTACTGAATCCGGAATCGAGACTCAACATTTAGCAGTTTTGAATCACTTTTATGCTTTTGCAACTGGTAAACCATCAGTTTTCTTGTTTGAAGGTGTTGATGCTGCAAAAAGCTTTAAAAAGATCAAGGATGTGTTGTCTGTTGATGAAATCGGTCAGTTGTATCAAAATTTGTTAGACTCTGCTCCATCAGCCGATATTAGTGTTGATGCTGCTTTCGGGTTGTTGAATCAGTTTACTGGAAAGAATTATTCTCAGTTTGAGTATTTGGGAGGGCAAAATGCTAAAACCGTGTTTGTTGCCTATGGAACTCATGTCAATGACCAATGGAAAAATCTTGTTGGTGAGGATATTGGATTGATACAAGTTAGAGTTCCTGTTCCATTCAACCAGGATGTGTTTTCACAAGTTGTCCCTCAATCAACGAAAAAGTTGGTGGTATTGACTCCTGGCAATGATAAATTGAAAGCAGATATCAGTGCTGCTTTATTTTTGAGTAACAGATACTACTCGCTTTCAATTGAGGAGTTCAAATACCCGTTTGATTTCAATTGGACTCCGATCACTATTGCAAAGACAATTTCCAAGTTTGACTCTCAGGTCAAGATTGAAAGAATCTTGCCTTCATATGACAGTGAACCAAAGGATCAAATAATCACTGCCAATACATCACCAGAGGGCAATTGGTTGTTCTGGAGTAGGGATGATCGTATTGTTGTCGACACTGTTGACAAGTTGGCTCTTTCTTTGTCTTTGGATGATACAAAGAATGTTGCAATTAGAAACAAATATGACAACTCTAAATCAGGTGGTGTGTTCTTTTCCCAGATTAGTTCAACCACTGGATCATTCAGCACTACCGATGCAGCCGATGTTGTTGTTATAGAAGACTTGTCATTGTTGAACTCTTATGATATATTGGCAACTGCCAAACCGGGAGCCACTGTCATTTACATCAATCAAAAACAACTGATTGATGTGGAAAAATTACCCCTTGAATTTAAAAAGTCATTAGCTTTAAATCACAACAAACTTGTTGCTGTCGATTTTACCGTTGTTGATGCATTAGATGAAACCAACAATGGTACCAAGGGCTTAACTGCAGAATTATTGTTGCAGTTGGCATTTTGGAGAGTGACCTTACCGGAATTGGGAGATTACATTGTCAACAAGTTGTTGCAGGCTAACGGTGGCTCTTTCGAATTATTGGCAACCGTTTTAGATAACTTTATAAAGGCAGCCGACTTGAAGAATGCTATTGTATCTCTTGACGTGTTACCTGAGTGGCAAGATTTGAAAGAGGAAGCTCCTCAAGGAGACGAGAAGAAGGAAGCAGATACTCCTGCTGAGAAGAAGGGGGAGGAGACATCTGCCATTGCTGATGTTGATGGCAACAACAACGGGGAAGAAGAAGTCGATCCTCTTCCATTTTTTGTGACAGAGACCTCCGTGTTTGCTAACCCACGCGTGCCACTTGAGAAACCAGAGGAGACAAACAACACCTTCCACAAGCACATTGCCCAAAAGCTCGTGTTCCCAGAAGCATTCAAGATTACCAAGGATTTGAGGCCAGATTTACCTGTTAAAAACTTTGTTGTCAAGGTTCAAGAAAACAAAAGGTTGACCCCAGCTGAGTATTCGAGAAACATTTTCCATATTGAGTTCGATATTACAGGAACTGGTTTAAAGTATGAAATAGGTGAAGCTTTGGGCATCCACGGTAGAAACAACTCCGAACAAGTTGAAGCTTTTCTCAAATTTTACAATGTCGATGGCGATTCCTTGGTTGAAATGACCAACAAAGAAGACCCCGGCTTGGTTGAAGTTAGATCAGCAAGACAAATCTTGAGTGAATCAATTGACTTTTTGGGTAAACCACCAAAGAGATTTTACGAGTCCTTAGCCGTATTTGCATCTGAGCCTAAGGAGAAGGAGCATTTGACAAAATTAGCTAGCGCAGAAGGAGCCGAGGAGTTGAAAAAGAGACAAGATGTTAACTTTGATTCGTACTTTGATATATTGGAAGAATTCAAATCAGCCCGACCAAAATTTGCAGACTTGGTTAATATCATTGCTCCATTGAAGAGAAGAGAATACTCAATTGCATCTTCGCAAAAAATTCATCCCAATGCAGTTCATTTGTTGATTGTCGTTGTTGATTGGGTTGACCCAAAGGGGAGATTGAGGTATGGTCATTGTTCCAAGTATTTGTCCGATTTGAAAGTTGGTGATGAATTGGTTGTAAGTGTAAAGCCTTCCGTTATGAAATTGCCACCATTGACAACACAACCGATTGTGATGTCTGGTTTGGGTACTGGGTTGGCACCATTCAAAGCTTTTATTGAAGAAAAAATCTGGCAACAGCAACAAGGACACGAAATTGGCGAAATTTATCTCTATATGGGATCGAGACACAAGAAGGAAGAATACCTTTATGGTGAGCTTTGGGAGGCTTATAAAGATGCTGGATTGTTGACACATATCGGTGCTGCATTCTCCAGAGATCAACCTCAAAAAATTTACATTCAGGATAAGATTAGGGAGTCGATCAATGATTTGACCGATGCGATTGTCAACAAAAACGGATCATTTTATTTGTGTGGTCCCACATGGCCAGTACCAGATATTACCGCTTGTTTAGAGGACATTGTTTTGAATGGTGCTAAACTCAAAGGCGAGGAAATTAAGGATGTTGCTAAAGTCGTTGAGGATATGAAAGAGGAGGGCAGATACATTTTAGAAGTTTATTAGAGGTTTGCGTGTTTAGTTTAGAGAGTAAATATATCGATGAGTTCGAAATGGCACACTATGGCAAACAAGTTGTTTCTGTGTCCCGCTTCGCGAAGCTTTCAAAATGAGCTCATTTTTTACAAACTTAATCCAAATCAAACTATCGTACGAGATTAATTGGGCGAAGTCACTTTTTAGGTTTTAAAGTTTTAAGGGTACATTTTGCCTTGGACGAAAAAAGGAATATTTGCAAGAAATGCTGAGCTGGTTATGCGTTTAGTTTTTGGGAGAGATATTTGAAGACTCTGTCTCTCTCTCTCTCTCTCTCTCTCTCTCTCTGCCTTCAAATTGGGTAGAGTTCGGAATGCCATTCTAATTGTAGTTGGATATGATTATAGATCCATCAGACCTAATCGAAGAGGTTTCTAAATGATCTTCACAAATGGTGAATCTTTCCTCGCGATCGACACCAAAGGGTTCTGAAAACTTATTTTCGTTTTCTTCTTTTCTTAATCCATTGATTGGCATGAGAACCATATGTCGACCTCAAAGTTCGAAGCCCAGGATAAGCGGGGAAAGTTTTTTAATAACTTCCTTAAGTGGAATCTTCTTAAGACATTATTCTCCCTGTACCCCGATGGCCACTAGTATCGTAAGATAAAGTCCAATATGTAACATTTTGCTCCAGCGAGCGATTGCACTAAGTTGTTCTCATAACCAGAAGTTGCAAAGTTCAAAAGCAGTCGTAAATCGCAAATTGAGATATTATTCCCTGTTTCTGTAACCATATTTTTGCTACGAGAAAAGTTATTTCTGAGCAAATAGGGTAAAAACTTTAATTTGATAAAGTGGACCAATATTGTTTTTTATTTTAAAATTTAGACTCTAGGTTGGACATGGTTCAATGGGAAAGACCCATTTTATCACAAATTTTATACCAAAACAAAATAAGGGCTCAAGATTTGACATTTAAAGTTCGGACCCCTAGTAAACGGAAAGTATTGTACGATGCTTACAACAGAGCGAGATACGGACGATGCTAGTAGGCTGTAGGATTTTTAGTCAATCACAAGTTTTTGATGGTGTTCAAAAGAGCCCGATGTGCTATAGAGTAGAGAATTTGTAATAACAAATACTTCTCATAGCTAAATTCCAGCATTGCATTAGATTCTCGTTAAAGATACATCTCGAGCTCTGCACGCTATCCACTGAAGAGCATTTATGACACAAAGTGGAAGAGAAGATAAGTGGCCTAATGAAGGTGTTTTGCAGTTCTCTAACTTTCTTCGGAAAGAAGCATCCGCCACTCGCCTTAACCCTTCTTACTAAAAATGCCCTCATACAGCCCACTTTGCAAAGAGATGCTTACATCAAGATTGAAACCTAATGCAATATGCAAATTGGGATCTTGTGGAGCTGTATTTTCCAGATTGTAGCTAAACTTTAAATCTACTACAGATTGTAAGAGTTTTGAAGTATGTGCATTAGTTTCCCGGCTAGGGATATTTAGCTCGTTTGACAAAATTCACACCTGATTTCTAGTTGGAATTGAGATTCTCATGTAAAGCCCTTTACTTCTAAATATAAGCCCCAATCGTGTCCAAAATTTCGTGAACAACTCTTGTGGAATGTGTTCAACGAAAGTAAAATAAAATTTTGAGAACCCCGCCTCTACTAAGCAGGGCAAGTATTCAAGTAGTAACACAAACTTAAAAATTTGTACAGTTAGGGTTTAGGATTGACTACACCCTTTGGTAAAGTCTCAATTTAACAAATGGGAATGCATCATGAACCTGCTCGTATGCAGAAGCGAGCCCATTCTACTAATAAGAAGTGACCAGACATAGTGTGGGCTAATTAATTTCTCAAAATTAAGCTTCATTACTGATCTCTTTCATCTTGAACGCTAAAGTGATGAGCGCGTTTGTTCACAAGGGTTAGGGAATCTTTTGAATTTTGATACAATGTAGCATCGGCTCCGTTTTGATAAATCTAAATTGTTCGGTTATTTCTTTTATATCTTTTCATGTACCATCACAGGTTCAGCAGATATACTTTTCGAACACATTGCAAAGATTAACCACCAGAATGACCTAATCGAGATTCTGCGTACTAATCTCCATGAAGTAGATCATGGCATATCTCTCTTCTCGAGTGTGGTGTAGAACATTCTCAAGGTGGGGTGAGAAATGTTGTATTTATGAGCAGAAGTACTGCTAAATAGACCACCTAAAACAACGGTTTCGAAGGTCATCTTGAACTAATCAGAATTTTAAGTTACAACTGTTTTGGTTGCCTCATTCATAGAAGGGAGACCTAGTTGCTTGATGCAGTAACTAGTGGGCTAATTTCAGAATCTTTTGTCAACATTGAGATTCTTTGTGTTTATCAGTTCTGAAATTGCAAACTGCCGTTCTTTTTGAGATTAAAGTTACCTAGGGTTTTACATAAAGACAAAATTACTCTTGGATCCACAAAAAAGTGGCACGAGAACAACAATACTTGAATACTTTAGCTAATACAACTACTCTTGCCACCTATATGATGGTTTATTTCGCTCATGAACTTTAAATGTAGTTTATTTTTTGAGTTGAATTTTCGGTTTTGTGTTTATATTTCCCATTACTCTAATCGGTTGCAAATTTTAAACTCACATTAGTTTTGTTCATCAATTCACTCAACTAAAGTCCACTCTGGGGGGATACCTCTTGTATTAGAGAATGTTTTCACCTCTTAAAGAGTAGTCAGAAAAATGTGTATAAATAGAGAGTGAAATCTCCTCTGGTTTATAATAATAGGGAGCTTAAAATACTAAAGCTTGCATCGCTAATCAACATCAAGGTGTACAATATCAGACTTAAAATTGTTAAAATGCAAATGTTTGACAAAGCTTTGTTGCTAGCCTGGCTCCTAATCTCCACGGTATGCAGTTTGGAAATTACAAAAAACAGGATTGATAGAGGATCAATCAATCTTGGAAATGAGGATATAACCATTCGCTCTGGTGCTTTTTGGTCCATTATTAACAATGCTGGTACAAATTTCAATTCCAATATAAATGTTGATGAAGGAGGTATCTTTTACGTTTCAAGTGTTTCTCCACAGGTGTCTTTGTCTGTTACTTTGTTGGGTTCTTACACCCTTATCAACAACGGTGTTATTTCTTTAAATGCAATTGCTGGTAATCCAAACTATAATTTTGATCTTGTTGGTACTTCCATGATTAACAATGGAGATTTGTTTTTATCCGGTTCAGGTGACAATGCCGTGACGGTTTATATGAAAGCGACAGACTGGGAAAATTATGGGCTTATTCAAGTGTATCAAAAGAAAAGAACTAATGGTGTGGTTTATTTGGGTAATCACGGGTTATACACAAACAATTATGGTCAAATTTGTTTGTTCAATCAGCTTTGGCAACAAACAGCTAACATTCTTGGTACTGGTTGTATTACTGGAGCAGCTAACTCGTCCTTCTATCTTGCCAACACAAATTTGGCAATATCATCTCAACAAACAATGTACATGGCCGACGGTACAACGTCTATTGTTGCTGTAGGGTCACTCACTCCATTGACTTTCACTGTTAAAGGTTTTGGTCAAGTGGATGGTGTCTCCAATAAAATCGGTTTGAGTGGTACCCTTTACAGCTCAACATCTGGAAAAAATCCATGGGATTACAATGCAGACACAGGTATCCTCACATTATACGTTGGTGACTATAGACAAAATTTCAAAATTGGTAAAGGCTATGACAACACCAAGTTTTCGGTCGTCACCGATAATGCCTTGGGATTACCAGCACCTAATCTAGGCTCAGTTGTTTACAATGGTCCTGTTCCCGAACCAGGTTTACCCGCGGCTTGTAAGCCTTGCAAGCCTATTCCGGAAATACCCGATCTTGACGCGACTTCGTACACGACAACATTAAGAACGACATCAGATGGCCTCATCTACACTGACAATGCTCTTGTTGCTATCAGTACCGACACCGATGGTATTTTCACGACCTCCACCTTGACAAGATACCCACAACCTGAGGAGTCTTTGTTTTTATCCACATGGACTACTACCAATGCTGATGGATCCGTTGAAACTGACTCTGGTTTGATCACACAATCGGGCTCGTCATTTAGTACTATCCTTACGATTCCTCCACCGATTCAGACCCAGTTTACTAAGACATGGACAACGACAGACTCTGAGGGTTTAAAGGAAGTTGATTCAGGACTCGTCTCCCAATCTGGTAACTCGTTCACCACTTTGTCAACCTTCCCTCCGGTTCAAACCGAGTTCACCTCAACATGGACTACCACACACGCAGATGGATCTGTTGAAACTGGATCAGGACTTGTGTCACAATCTGGTACTTCGTTCACCACTTTGTCCACTTTCGTTCCAGATATTCAAACCGAGTTCACCTCAACATGGACTACCACACACGCAGATGGGTCTGTTGAAACTGGATCAGGACTTGTGTCACAATCTGGTACTTCGTTCACCACTTTGTCCACTTTCGTTCCAGATGTTCAAACCGAGTTCACCTCGACATGGACTACCACACACGCAGATGGATCTGTTGCAACTGAATCAGGACTTGTGTCACAATCTGGTACTTCGTTCACCACTTTGTCCACTTTCGTTCCAGATGTTCAAACCGAGTTCACCTCAACATGGACTACCACACACGCAGATGGATCTGTTGAAACTGGATCAGGACTTGTGTCACAATCTGGTACTTCGTTCACCACTTTGTCCACTTTCGTTCCAGATGTTCAAACCGAGTTCACCTCAACATGGACTACCACACACGCAGATGGGTCTGTTGAAACTGGATCAGGACTTGTGTCACAATCTGGTACTTCGTTCACCACTTTGTCCACTTTCGTTCCAGATGTTCAAACCGAGTTCACCTCGACATGGACTACCACACACGCAGATGGATCTGTTGCAACTGAATCAGGACTTGTGTCACAATCTGGTACTTCGTTCACCACTTTGTCCACTTTCGTTCCAGATGTTCAAACCGAGTTCACCTCGACATGGACTACCACACACGCAGATGGATCTGTTGCAACTGAATCAGGACTTGTGTCACAATCTGGTACTTCGTTCACCACTTTGTCCACTTTCGTTCCAGATGTTCAAACCGAGTTCACCTCGACATGGACTACCACACACGCAGATGGATCTGTTGCAACTGAATCAGGACTTGTGTCACAATCTGGTACTTCGTTCACCACTTTGACGACATTCGAGAAACCAGTTGAAACCGAGTTCACCTCAACATGGACTACCACACACGCAGATGGATCTGTTGCAACTGAATCAGGACTTGTGTCACAATCTGGTACTTCGTTCACCACTTTGTCCACTTTCGTTCCAGATGTTCAAACCGAGTTCACCTCGACATGGACTACCACACACGCAGATGGATCTGTTGCAACTGAATCAGGACTTGTGTCACAATCTGGTACTTCGTTCACCACTTTGTCCACTTTCGTTCCAGATGTTCAAACCGAGTTCACCTCGACATGGACTACCACACACGCAGATGGGTCTGTTGAAACTGAATCAGGACTTGTGTCACAATCTGGTACTTCGTTCACCACTTTGACGACATTTGAGAAACCAGTTGAAACCGAGTTCACCTCAACATGGACTACCACACACGCAGATGGGTCTGTTGAAACTGGATCAGGACTTGTGTCACAATCTGGTACTTCGTTCACCACTTTGTCCACTTTCGTTCCAGATGTTCAAACCGAGTTCACCTCGACATGGACTACCACACACGCAGATGGGTCTGTTGAAACTGAATCAGGACTTGTGTCACAATCTGGTACTTCGTTCACCACTTTGACGACATTTGAGAAACCAGTTGAAACCGAGTTCACCTCAACATGGACTACCACACACGCAGATGGGTCTGTTGAAACTGGATCAGGACTTGTGTCACAATCTGGTACTTCGTTCACCACTTTGACGACATTTGAGAAACCAGTTGAAACCGAGTTCACCTCGACATGGACTACCACACACGCAGATGGATCTGTTGCAACTGGATCAGGACTTGTGTCACAATCTGGTACTTCGTTCACCACTTTGTCCACTTTCGTTCCAGATGTTCAAACCGAGTTCACCTCAACATGGACTACCACACACGCAGATGGGTCTGTTGAAACTGAATCAGGACTTGTGTCACAATCTGGTACTTCGTTCACCACTTTGACGACATTTGAGAAACCAGTTGAAACCGAGTTCACCTCAACATGGACTACCACACACGCAGATGGGTCTGTTGAAACTGGATCAGGACTTGTGTCACAATCTGGTACTTCGTTCACCACTTTGACGACATTTGAGAAACCAGTTGAAACCGAGTTCACCTCGACATGGACTACCACACACGCAGATGGATCTGTTGCAACTGGATCAGGACTTGTGTCACAATCTGGTACTTCGTTCACCACTTTGTCCACTTTCGTTCCAGATATTCAAACCGAGTTCACCTCAACATGGACTACCACACACGCAGATGGATCTGTTGAAACTGAATCAGGACTTGTCTCCCAATCTGGTACTTCGTTCACCACTTTGTCCACTTTCGTTCCAGATGTTCAAACCGAGTTCACCTCGACATGGACTACCACACACGCAGATGGATCTGTTGCAACTGAATCAGGACTTGTGTCCCAATCTGGTACTTCGTTCACCACTTTGACGACATTTGAGAAACCAGTTGAAACCGAGTTCACCTCAACATGGACTACCACACACGCAGATGGGTCTGTTGAAACTGGATCAGGACTTGTGTCACAATCTGGTACTTCGTTCACCACTTTGACGACATTTGAGAAACCAGTTGAAACCGAGTTCACCTCGACATGGACTACCACACACGCAGATGGATCTGTTGCAACTGGATCAGGACTTGTGTCACAATCTGGTACTTCGTTCACCACTTTGACGACATTTGAGAAACCAGTTGAAACCGAGTTCACCTCGACATGGACTACCACACACGCAGATGGATCTGTTGCAACTGAATCAGGACTTGTGTCACAATCTGGTACTTCGTTCACCACTTTGTCTACGTACTCATCTTTATTGAGCTCAAGTTCGTACACACGATGGTTGAATACTAGTACTCATGTTCTCCCAGGAAGTAGTACAACTTTAACATCAGTGGAGACAGCAAGTTTGACCCATGTGGTCCCAATGTTGACGACATTGTTAGGAGGTGCAGAGCCTAGCGCATTGAGTGCTGGTTCAGTTAGTGAGAATAACCCAACAGGCGTTATTAATGCCGTCGATGATGGTGTTGACAAAACAGAAACTGGTTTGATCACCGCTAGTATCAGTGCAGCTTGCTCCACTTCGGTCATACAAGGTACCAGCTCCACTTTTACAAGTATTTCAGGCGCTTTAACTTCAGGTTACAGTTTTCAAACAGGAACTATATCAATCGGCGCAGGTGCACAAAGTATAGGTGTTGATGCAGAAGGTGGAGGTTCTGGTACAGAAGGTTTGGGTGCTGGTACACAAGGTGCAGGTGTTGATGCAGAGGGAGCAGGTGCGGAAGGTACAGAATATGGCCCAGGTAGTGGACCTAGTCTCACTACAAGCACCACGAGAATTGGGTCAATTCCATCTAGTGCAGTTGATGAGTCTTCTGCCCGTAATACAGAACCTACTGCTGAAATCACCACCTATCAGGGATCTGCTTCATCATCGAATTTTTTGTCAATCACTTTCTTAATCGCATCCATTCTTCTTTCGATGCTAATTTAGAGATTGGAGCTTTGGTCAACTTATGTGTTTCAATTCCAATTTAATTCGTTGTTTCTTCACAATTTTCGTTGCTTACTATATAAGCAGATCGATTTTTTTACTGCTACTACGCTTTTTTTGCGATCTGTTATTTGCCCCTTTCTTTTCTCATTTTATTTTTGTTTGTTGGTTTGAATGTTAAACAACAGAAGCAATCAATATAATTTCTTGTTGGTGTTGCAGTACATTGTTTTTCACGTTTTTTAATTTTATTACTTTCGGTTTGTTTCAAGCTTACGTCTGATTAGTTTGATTGAAATAGTTAATTTACTTTTTGCTTGGTTATAAGCTTGTTTGAAATTTTGTAGAGATTTCGTGAACATTTGATTATCGTCGCTTTCGGCCCATTGTGTATTCCTTAACTTGGCGTTGTCAATTTACTGGAAACTCCTTGCATTTGCACAAACATCCATGAGATCGATAAAGTTTGAGGTTGGAAAATATAAATTAAACAATATAATAACCAGGTTTGAATGTAATCATTATGTATTTTTCGACATGTCGATTTTGATGATGAAGAAGATAGCCAGCCGTTTACCCTTGAGAACCATCGAAATACGATGAGCTGCCATGATAGGAACCATTTTTGCCAACACTTGTTTTAGTTGAGTGGTGGAGCTAAATGATGGTGAATATTAAAGAAATTGCTAGACGTCATTTGGTATTCGTGTAGTAGAATCATGTATGTTGACTACGCGACGGAAAGCAAAGTTATCACATTCAGCTATGTGTCAGAGTAAGGTGAGTTCAAGGATTGTAAGAGAAATAAAGTTTTCGTCAGGGACATGCAATTAGTCTTAGCTGACAATAACAAGAAAGTTAGTTTTGGGGAATCGATCTCTGTGCATACACGTTGATGACGCAAATAAAGGGTATTCTCAGATCTTGTGCCCGTAAGACAAGTGCGGCTGCTTCACGTGCCACAAGAGTTGGGTCTACAAGTAAGAGACAACAGACAAGCACTATTTCAAGTGCATTTCTCATTGTTAAAGAGATCAATCATATACGATGAGAATGCAACGAAGCCAGAAAGTCATGCATTTAATAGGTTGGCCTCTATGGTATGCTCATATCAATAAATTATGGTAGCCACTTATACATATACCCGAATTTACCACGATGTGTCGAGGTGCATCATTGCCTTACTTTTTTTTTTTTTTTTTCATCTCCTACAGTTTATTTTATTTCTTGCATCTTTTGTATTTGCTTGCTACTCATCAAATTGACATGAGACGATTTTTGCAACAATAGTTTCTATTTTTGTGTGTTCAATTGAATTTTATTTTATGTCAATTGATTTCAACTCATCTTTTAAAGAACAGTACGACTTACTGTGTTTCTTTTCGAAAGCCAATTAAAATAATTCTTTATAGACCATGGTGTTGTTTTTTTGATCTTGTTTCATCAAATTGATTGAATCTCAAAAATTGTGTATAAAAAAATCGTTATTAAGATTAATATCAGTGAACAGGGCATGCTTATTATGAAAAGAGAGATACACATTTGGGTTGAGAGTGAAACTTGAAAGTCTCCACCTGCAATAACCTATACATCTGACCGAACTCTTATCCCCCTGGTTGTAAACAAGGTAACACAGGAGATGGAATGAATCCTTTTTTTTTGACTCGCAAGTTGAATTAAAGGTTAATCTTCAATAATTTGATGCATGTGCAGCAACTCGCGATCAAAAAACGTCATCGACACAAGATTAGAAAAACCATATTTCTTGATATCGAAACCGGTCATATATAGTGTTATCTCATTTTTCCAATATTTTAATCAGTAATAAAATCTGTGTAGACTACGTAATCTATTTTATGTGTAGTAAATCAGTCGTTCTAAACGGTGCTACATAAAACACCTCTCGTTTTGAAACGATAAATACACCTTACCAGAACGGAGATCTAAAAATGAAAGATTACATCTAGTAACTTCGTCAAAAGAAGTCAACCCGATGTAGTAACTGCATCACCGTTTTTGAATTACGGAGTACATGCTTGAAAAATGGGACAATTTTTTAAGATTCGTTAAGTCCTTTTGATATAGGGTTTCTGCAATAACATTTTGAGTTGAAACAATAAGCAGGGCGCGACGCTGCATGAGACCCTTTCGATCATTCAATTACCCCCAGCCATAGGCTAGAGAAAGCATGTGGATTAAGCTGAAGGGATCAACGATGGGATAGCTTAAAATGACGATTAGTTTTGCAGATCGATTGAGCAGCCCTCGAGCAAGTAAAGATATTGGGGAGATAGTGTATATTTGTGTGAAGAGTGTTGACAGCAAGCCAGCTTTCGACATAATTCCTGGAATAAAGCTGGCCATTAATTGTTATTTTCTGCAGGGTTCTGATCAATCGTATGACTATTAAAGTGGAAAAATTAAAAGAGCTCATAGTCTTTCTTTGGCTAAAGACCCTGTGTGAAAAATGGCAGCTGAGTGCATATTTCCAACCTTGAGATGCGTCTCTACTCGAAAAACCCTTCGTCAAAAATTTAGACCTATAGGAATTAGAAGCCATGAATCTACGAGAAGGATGTTAACTACGAAAAAAACAACACAAAAGTACTTAGAGGAAAAGCCGGGTAGGGCACACTAATAAAATTTTAACTAGAGAAAAAGAAAGAAGAGAGAAAAACCTAGAAAATAAAGAATACATCGGCATTATATAAAAAATCGTCCCATTATCATACATTATTTTTGAACACATTGACGTGCCTTCTACATAAAAGAAAGTCAAAACAAATATACAAGCAGCTACAACAACATTGAAATATTTTGGTTTATCTTCTATTGCAATGTTCCTTGTATTGATCAACTCGTCTAATTCGAAAAGTGCGATATCGTGCGATTGAAAATTTTACATATGCAGAGGTACTTTGTAGGAACTAAGATGCAAGTAGAAGAGAATAACAAGAATAATCAAATGGGTAGGTTCTTGTTTCTGCTTTGTTTTATTCTTGGTAATGTGCAACAAGTGCATATTGAAAATACCTACACAAGCTGGCTTTTTCAACTTCGGAATCTGCTAACGTTGAGAGCACAATGCAATACATCGCCCAAACCTGAGAAAACTGTCAACACGCGCAAATATGAGCTGAGAAACTGCAATTGTATACTTTGGTCCATCTATTTGAAATCAGAATATTTGCTTTCAATAAAGGATACATATACGTTCCGAAAAAAAGGGGGTCTCATCATTGAAGGACCAATTGTCACAGAGCCAGGTTGTTGCATGTTATACTATGGACTTTTGAATACCTGCTGTGCAAAAAGTGTATTTAGTTCAAATCGTTGTTTGCTTGGCTGGTTGGATAGTTTTTAATGGAATGAAAACATGCCTCAAAATGCAACCTATGATTTTGGCAATCTGTTGCATTAGCTTAAGGCATAAATTTGCGAGGAGACGACAAATAAACTTGTGTTTCTATATTTGTATTACAAGATTTTTCCGCCATCGCTACTAAAAAGACAAGGGATCTCGAGTTTAATAACATTGCTGATGCATAGAAAAAAGATAAACCACGTTCCTTTTTCAGCATTTACAGTGATGGTATTCTTCTAAGGAGTTGGAACAGAATATGTTGAGATTATTAAGAAAACAAACCTTTTTGCGAAATCCTCACTCAACTGTTTTTTTGCTTAGTTGAAATGCAGGATCTTTTAACGATCAATCTTTGTTCGCTTCAAGCATGCACAATCTAAAATTCAGACCCTGCTAAGTTTTCAAAGGTATCCGAAAATATCCAAAATCAAGTAATGGTGCAATTATGTTTTCACGAACACTGCTTCCCTTTCAAAGTCTCAACAACACAAGTACAGGAAAGTTATAAATAGCGTTAAATTTCTTCAGCAAGAAAATGCCAATTATTACAGGAAAAACTATCAAACTTTACTTAGCTTACTTCATTCGTTAATTATATCTTTATAAGCATCTTAGAAGTTTTGTTGAAATTTCATTTATGCGGTTATTATTAAGAGCTCAGCTAGTATTGTGGCTATTAATAGCTACAGCGTGGGCTAGAAATTTTCAAGGAGGTAAGACTGTTGATTGGGGTAATCAAAATGTTGGCACTGGAGATGTCCATATATTTCCAGGGGCAATTTGGTCCATCATCAACAACGCTGCATCAGATTTCCACGGAAACATTCAGGTTGATGAAAATGGTGGCCTCTACGTATCAGCGGTTTCACCTAGTATTACTTTGTCTGCTACCTTGTACGATTCAATCTATGGTTTTGTCAACAATGGTGTTGTCTCATTCAATGCTATCAAAGGTGCTTCAGGCTACATTTTCAAAATCATGGGTAACAAGTTTGAAAACAACGGTGATTTGTTTTTTGCTGCTTCGGGTCAAGGTTCCATGGAAAGTTGGATCAAGGCACCTGATTTCCACAACAACGGGTTCATGCACTTCTACCAAGTGATGAAGAGTGACAGCTATACCTACTTGGGTTATGACGGAAAGACAATGGTTAACAATGGACAAATTTGTTTCACCAATCAAAACTGGAAGCAACTCACTGGTATGTTGGGATCGGGTTGTGTTACTGCGCAAGGTAAATCATCATTCTACTTTATGAATACCAATTTACAAATCTCAGAGGGTGAAATCTTTTACTTGAATGGTGGTGAAACATCGATCATGGCAGTTGGATCGACTAACAATCCACAAACTTTCCATGTTAGAGGTTTTGGTACTGACAAGAATGGCGTCGCCAACAAACTTGGATTAACAGCAACTTTATCAACCCCTACACCAGGAAAGAATCCATGGGCTTACAATGCCAGAGATGGTATTTTGACATTGTATGTTGGGTTGTATACTCAAAACTTTGAAATTGGTACAGGCTATGACTTTACAAAGTTCCAAATCGTCAGTGATACAAGTAGGGGATTACCAGGAATATACAATGGTGCAGTACAATACAATGGTCCACCACCAAATCCAGGTATGCCACCAGAGTGTAAACCATGCAAACCTATTCCAGGAATCCCAGGAGTTGATCCTGATCCAACAACTCTGTCAATCAGGACATTGCCTGAAACAACCAAAGATGCAACTACAAATACTCCTGCTGATAGTTTGTCGTATGAGTCAACCACAACTGTCACTGACATGACAACAAGTACCCACACCACTGTGGTTACCACTACTTGGCTCGTGACCAACTCGGATGGGTCTGTTGAAACTGAAACAGGTATTGCAACTCCATCGGACACCAACTCGTACGAATCTACCACAACTGTCACTGACATGACAACAAGTACCCACACCACTGTGGTTACCACTACTTGGCTCGTGACCAACTCGGATGGGTCTGTTGAAACTGAAACAGGTATTGCAACTCCATCGGACACCAACTCGTACGAATCTACCACAACTGTCACTGACATGACAACAAGTACCCACACCACTGTGGTTACCACTACTTGGCTCGTGACCAACTCGGATGGGTCTGTTGAAACTGAAACAGGTATTGCAACTCCATCGGACACCAACTCGTACGAATCTACCACAACTGTCACTGATACAACATTCACGACAGAAACTACAGTGATTACCACCACATGGCTTGTGACCAAATCGGACGGCTCAGTTGAAACTGAAACTGGTGTTATAACGCAATCAGGAGACTCTTCAAGTACCATTACTACCTTTGAAACATCATCGGACACCAACTCGTACGACTCAACGACAACTGTCACTGATACAACAACAACGACAGAAACCACTGTATTTACAACCACGTGGATTGTGACCAAATCGGACGGCTCAGTTGAAACTGAAACTGGTGTTATAACGCAATCAGGAGACTCTTCAAGTACTGTTACTACTTTTGAAACACCATCAGAAACAGGAGGATCTTCAACCATCTCCGGGCCTTCAGAAACTGACACGGAATCTGGTAGTGTTACTGGCACTGGATCAATAACTGATTCCAGTAGTTCTGGAGGAGTTGAATCAACTGACAACGGATTTGAACCAACTGGAGAACCAACCGGAGAACCAAGTGGTAGTGGATCTGAATCTACTGGAGAACCAACTGGAGAACCAACCGGAGAACCAAGTGGTAGTGGATCTGAATCTACTGGAGAACCAACTGGAGAACCAACTGGTAGTGGATCTGAATCTACTGGAGAACCAACTGGAAGTGGATCTGAATCCACTGGAGAACCAACCGGAGAACCAAGCGGTAGTGGATCTGAATCTACTGGAGAACCAACTGGCGAACCAAGTGGTAGTGTATCTGAATCTACTGGAGAACCAACCGGAGAACCAAGCGGTAGTGGATCTGAATCTACTGGAGAACCAACTGGAGAACCAACTGGAAGTGGATCTGAATCTACTGGAGAACCAACTGGAGAACCAACCGGAGAACCAAGCGGTAGTGGATCTGAATCTACTGGAGAACCAACTGGAGAACCAAGTGGTAGTGGATCTGAATCTACCGGTGAACCAACTGGAAGTGGATCTGAATCTACTGGAGAACCAACTGGGGAACCAAGTGGTAGTGGATCTGAATCTACTGGAGAACCAACTGGCGAACCAAGCGGTAGTGGATCTGAATCTACTGGAGAACCAACCGGAGAACCAAGCGGTAGTGGATCTGAACCAACCGGAGAACCAACTGGAGAACCAAGCGGTAGTGGATCCGAATCTACTGGAGAACCAACTGGAGAACCAACTGGTAGTGGATCTGAATCTACCGGAGAACCAAGTGGTAGTGGATCTGAATCTACTGGAGAACCAACTGGAGAACCAACCGGAGAACCAAGTGGTAGTGGATCTGAATCTACTGGAGAACCAACTGGAGAACCAACCGGAGAACCAAGTGGTAGTGGATCTGAATCTACTGGAGAACCAACCGGAGAACCAAGCGGTAGTGGATCTGAACCAACCGGAGAACCAACTGGAGAACCAAGCGGTAGTGGATCCGAATCTACTGGAGAACCAACTGGAGAACCAACTGGTAGTGGATCTGAATCTACTGGAGAACCAACTGGAGAACCAACCGGAGAACCAACTGGTAGTGGATCTGAACCAACCGGAGAACCAACTGGAGAACCAAGCGGTAGTGGATCTGAATCTACTGGAGAACCAACTGGAGAACCAACCGGAGAACCAAGTGGTAGTGGATCTGAATCTACTGGAGAACCAACTGGAGAACCAAGCGGTAGTGGATCTGAATCTACTGGAGAACCAACTGGAGAACCAACCGGAGAACCAAGCGGTAGTGGATCTGAATCTACTGGAGAACCAACTGGAGAACCAACCGGAGAACCAAGCGGTAGTGGATCTGAATCTACTGGAGAACCAACTGGAGAACCAACAGGAGAACCAACAGGAGAACCAAGCGGTAGTGGATCTGAATCTACCGGTGAACCAAGTGGTAGTGGATCTGAATCTACCGGTGAACCAACTGGTAGTGGATCTGAATCTACCGGTGAACCAACTGGAAGTGGATCTGAATCTACTGGAGAACCAACTGGAGAACCAACCGGAGAACCAAGCGGTAGTGGATCTGAATCTACTGTAGAACCAACTGGAGAACCAACCGGAGAACCAAGCGGTAGTGGATCTGAATCTACTGGAGAACCAACTGGAGAACCAAGTGGTAGTGGATCTGAATCTACCGGTGAACCAACTGGTAGTGGATCTGAATCTACCGGTGAACCAACTGGAAGTGGATCTGAATCTACTGGAGAACCAACAGGAGAACCAAGTGGTAGTGGATCTGAATCTACTGGAGAACCAACTGGAGAACCAACCGGAGAACCAAGCGGTAGTGGATCTGAATCTACTGGAGAACCAACTGGAGAACCAAGCGGTAGTGGATCTGAATCTGCTGGTGGTCTGTCGACACCTGGATATTCAGTTCTGACAACTACTGATACTACCACCACCACAGAAACAACAACTACAACTACGACTACCACTTGGACAGTGACTAAATCAGATGGAAGTGTGGAGACCGAATCCGGTATTGTATCTGGATCAGACAGTTCTTTGACTACCATCACTACGTTTGAACCACCGTCATCTAGCTCTGGATTTGGAACTGAGTCCGGATTGATCACTGACACAAACAATGAGAGTTCTGCTGGATCAACTGGCGGTGCTTCTGAACCAACTGGCGGTGCATCTGAATCTACTGGCGGTGCCTCCGAACCAACTGGAGAACCAACTGGCGGTGCATCTGAATCTACTGGCGGTGCCTCTGAACCAACTGGAGAACCAAGTGGCGGTGCATCTGAATCTACTGGCGGTGCCTCTGAACCAACCGGAGAACCAACTGGCGGTGCATCTGAATCTACTGGCGGTGCCTCTGAACCAACTGGCGGTGCATCTGAATCTACTGGCGGTGCCTCTGAACCAACTGGTAATGGATCTGAGTCTACCGGAGAACCAACTGGAGAACCAACTGGCGGTGCATCTGAATCTACTGGCGGTGCCTCCGAACCAACTGGAGAACCAACTGGCGGTGCATCTGAATCTACTGGCGGTGCCTCTGAACCAACTGGAGAACCAACTGGCGGTGCATCTGAATCTACTGGCGGTGCCTCCGAACCAACTGGAGAACCAACTGGCGGTGCATCTGAATCTACTGACGGTGCCTCCGAACCAACTGGAGAACCAACTGGCGGTGCATCTGAATCTACTGGCGGTGCCTCTGAACCAACTGGAGAACCAACTGGTAATGGATCTGAAACTACTGGTGGTCTGTCGACACCTGGATATTCAGTTCTGACAACTACTGATACTACCACCACCACAGAAACAACAACTACAACTACGACTACCACTTGGACAGTGACTAAATCAGATGGAAGTGTGGAGACCGAATCCGGTATTGTATCTGTATCAGACAGTTCTTTGACTACCATCACTACGTTTGAGCCACCGTCATCTAGCTCTGGATCTGGAACTGAGTCCGGATTGATCACTGACACAAACAATGAGAGCTCTGCTGGATCAACTGGCGGTGCTTCTGAGTCATCAGGACAAGCTACTGGCGGTGCAAGTGAAGCCACTGGACATTCAACTGGTGGTGATAGTTCGTCATCATTTGATAAGCTGACAGCCTCTGATGATTTCTCGTTCAGTCTTCTTGGATCTTATTCATCTGGTGTTGAGAGTGCAACTACTGGAGGTGGTGCTGGCGCTGGACAAACTACAGACTCCTTACTTAGTATGACAACCGATTCCCCTAGTGGATTTAATCCTGGACCTGATGGTAATAACGGATCAGGCTCTGGTGATAATGGAACTGGTGCTGGAGACAACGGAACTGGATCAGGTAACACTGGTGACAATGGAACTGGATCAGGTAACACTGGTGACAATGGAACTGGATCAGGTAACACTGGTGACAATGGAACTGGATCAGGTAACACTGGTGATAACGGAACTGGTGCTGGTGATAATGGAACTGGTGCTGGAGACAATGGAACTGGATCAGGTAACACTGGTGACAATGGAACTGGATCAGGTAACACTGGTGACAATGGAACTGGATCAGGTAACACTGGTGATAATGGAACTGGATCAGGTAACACTGGTGATAACGGAACTGGTGCTGGTGATAATGGAACTGGTGCTGGAGACAACGGAACTGGATCAGGTAACACTGGTGATAATGGAACTGGATCAGGTAACACTGGTGACAATGGAACTGGATCAGGTAACACTGGTGATAACGGAACTGGTGCTGGAGATAATGGAACTGGTGCTGGAGACAATGGAACTGGATCAGGTAACACTGGTGATAATGGAACTGGATCAGGTAACACTGGTGATAACGGAACTGGTGCTGGTGATAACGGAACTGGATCAGGTAACACTGGTGATAATGGAACTGGTGCTGGAGACAACGGAACTGGATCAGGTAACACTGGTGATAATGGAACTGGTGCTGGAGACAACGGAACTGGATCAGGTAACACTGGTGATAATGGAACTGGTGCTGGAGACAATGGAACTGGATCAGGTAACACTGGTGACAATGGAACTGGTGCTGGAGACAACGGAACTGGATCAGGTAACACTGGTGATAATGGAACTGGTGCTGGTGACAATGGAACTGGATCAGGTAACACTGGTGACAATGGAACTGGTGCTGGAGACAACGGAACTGGATCAGGTAACACTGGTGATAACGGAACTGGTGCTGGTGACAATGGAACTGGATCAGGTAACACTGGTGACAATGGAACTGGTGCTGGAGACAACGGAACTGGATCAGGTAACACTGGTGATAACGGAACTGGATCAGGTAACACTGGTGCTGACAACGGATCAGGAGCTGGAGATAATGGAATCGGATCAGGTAACACTGGATCAGGAGCTGGAGATAATGGAATCGGATCAGGTAACACTGGATCAGGAGCTGGAGATAATGGAATCGGATCAGGTAACACTGGATCAGGATCTGGAGATAATGGAATCGGATCAGGTAACACTGGATCAGGATCTGGAGACAATGGAATCGGATCAGGTAACACTGGATCAGGAGCTGGAGACAATGGAATCGGATCAGGTAACACTGGTGCTGACAACGGATCAGGAGCCGGAGACAATGGAATCGGATCAGGTAACACTGGATCAGGAGCCGGAGACAATGGAATCGGATCAGGTAACACTGGATCAGGAGCTGGAGATATGGGATCGAATACAAGTGCTGGTGCTACTAGAGAAGGATCGACATTGGCTACAGCTGTCACTGATTCGACAGTGCCATCACAATCAGTCGAAGCCACTTCGTCGCCTTCATCAGTTACTACATATGAAGGTTCAGCTTCAACCACCAAGGTATCTACGATTACTGGGTTCGTTATGTGCGTAATGGTGATGATCTTCTTTTAGAATCTAAAAGAGTATGTCGATATTGTTGAATCCAACCTTATGGTCAAAAAAGAGAAATAACTATCATTGTTTCACGATGATGTTTTTGATATTGAGACATTTTTTTGCCTTTATTTTTTTATTCATTCTACTATGGTTTTGTCGGTCGATTTTTTCTCAACATCGATGGGTTTTTGCGATCGATGATGTTTATTACCAAAGTGCTTTTATTTTATTTTCGGTTTACCCAGTTCAAGCTTGGAGGTTACTTCTACATTGGAATCTAGGGTTACTATTATTATCAAAATTTTCGGTCAATTTATGAGTTCTGCTATCCTTTTATATGTTATTTTCGGTCTTTATTATTTATGAAGTAAATATATGTTAATTATTCAAAAAGTATTTCGAAGTCTCGAAAAAAAGTCTCCGTTCAATGTCAATGACCTCATTCAAATACTTGTAAGCGCGTACAAAGTTGGGTAATCAATAGTTCCTAGCTGAATACATCATCAACCTGAACGCAAGAAAAGTAGTGTTCTGCTACGTTCTATTAGTTCACTTCCAACATTGTAGTCAAACGTTTCGAATGGGCCAATCTCACTACATTTAAACTAGATGATCACAATACTCAAGTATGTAGCTGATTCTCTCGAGATCTCATCAGGCTTGTTTGAGTAGTGTTCCCGGTGTTGCACTCATATATGATGTAAAGATCTAAGATATCGTCATGAGCAATTGAAATAGAGTTTCAACGCGAGAGTTTTGAAATCGGGACCTTTGGAAGGTTTGAGCGTAACAAAAGTTAACTGAACACTGTGGACCTTCTTTAATGGAACGGGAAATTCAATTGTTGCCACTGCGGTTGAGCCATCAGCATTGCGAAATTGTATGACATTCGCAGTAAGTAAAGCTTCATAGGTCTCTCACGTGATGTCCCGTTTACTATGATTAAACTTGCACGAAAATCTACACTAATTTCATGGCTAAAGATGCAATTTAAAAACGACAGGAAATCTCTACCTCAACACCAAATTGCCGTTGGAATGTGTTTTTGTATGGTTTAATAAAACATTTGTTACTATTCCAAGACGGGAATGAAATGTATATTATTTCCGCAAAGAAAGTTGTGTATTTAGTCTTTTCCCACTGGCATAATAAGATCAACCCACCAACAAGCAATCACAAAACCAAAAGAGTAGATGTACTCGTCTATCTCTATCAATAGAAAAACGTGGAAACAGAATGCATTGGCTTGTGTGAGACCATTGTTTAGTGTCGACTCAAAAAGTAGATAGTATTTCAGTGAGAATGTGGGCGCTTACTGGAGAGCTACATGAACTTCTTAATCCTTACTGATGTTGAGGTATTTAGATGACCCAACTTTTGCTTCAATAGCACCATTGCTTCTATTTATGGTTATAGCCATCTCAATACAAAAGAATTGACTAGCCATCCTGACCGGACTTAATGCAGTTACTACGACTTTAGTGAGGTGATTTTCGTTAAGTGAGTTGAAAAAACGTCCAAAATAAACTAAAACGGAAATTGATCAAAGCATCTATGAATCTTAAATTTTGATTTGCTCTTCGTCAAGCACTACCGTTTGATAGATTAGCATCAAGGTCTTGTGATTTTTTGTTCGTTGACACTCTGACACCTTGTGTCCTGAACTTAAAGAATAAATATAGATAGATTAACTCTCTACCACTCAAACCGATTCTGTTTTAGATCCCTCAAATGAAATGTTAACGTTTGCTATAGACAACTGAATATAATTGTACAAAATAATGTCACAAAGCAAGAGCGCAAATCTTTTTTGTTTTTTCGTGAGTTGGATTTGTGGTCGTTTTATCACCAACAATGAAAAAAGAAAGTTCAAAAAATAGAAAAGAGCAAAAGATCAATAGTCGTGTAATATCGTTAAAAAACTTTAAATCATTGTACCAAGTAATAAGAAAGTAGTAGAAGTAGAAGATGTCAAAAAAAGGTTCAAAGATATAAAAATGCAATAAAATTGTGCGATATATTATTAACTCCAGAGTAAATCCTTCTATTTGAGATCCTTACTATCTAGGGCTAATGAGGAGTAGATCGTACAATTTGTATTATTTTCGTCATCATTGTTATCAATCTTGATCTTTTTAATTATAACGAGGCATGATCACTATGTTGATCTCGAGTTGTTGTATTTCGTGTTTCTTAGAAGTCACAACGCAGGACCCTTCAAAGTCAAACAAGGTCTTTGATATGGCCCCTTTTTTAAATACAGAAGCTTTAACAATTCCCTGCTCACCTTTATGAAACACTTTATTTAGCTTTTCCCTCTTCTCTAGATTTAGCCAATCGAACCATTTCTTTAAGCAATAGGGGGGTCCTTAGTTGTCTATGTGTAAAAATCTTCACATAAAGCAGAGAGTAAACTTTTTGAAGCCCTGAATTGCAAAATTTAAAGTTGTTAAATTTAGTTGGAGAGTTAAAGAAAAACCCGTGAGCAAAGAATCCGTTATAGACGTCAGTACCGTTTCATATTGTTATTAACCAATCATATGTCACTTACTCAATAAGACACTAAAAGTAGATGAATTTTGATTTGCGGTTTCCATGTCCAATTTGCTTTCCAAAAGCTATCCTCCTAGTACGTTTTTAAAAGAAGGGTAGATCCCCGCTCTCTGTAGAATCCGCCGCACATACACACGACTCGGTCATGACCTTATTATTCGAGGGTTAGTTTCAAAGCCTCTATGTAGGTCAAGCTTTGAATCAACTAAAAGATGGGGTTAAACTTGGAATTGGGGTATACACGGAAGAGTTTCAGAATCGTACCATTGCTGATCGATGATGTTGTATCCTCAAAAGTACAAAATCAAGCTCAATATTTTGTGTACTCTAGAAACTAAATTTGAGTGAAATAAAACTCTTCGAGAAAACAACAAGTGAGAGTCAGAAATGAAAACTCATTTTGTTGATCTTCGTCTAACCATTTTTCTTGGATCAATGCTTCCGACTGTGGTAGCTTCTTTTATGGCGCATAAAAGTAAAGTCCACACCTTTCTGCCGATGGGATCATCATTTAAGTTTATGGTCTATATGGATCCATCTAGTCTAGTGAACTTTACCCGAAGTAGTCTAAACCAGAAATACTTTAATAGGCAACTTGGTTATGAGAGTTTAGAAAATAACGTATAAAAGCCCTTTCTTTTATTTTCAACCTAATTCAATAAATCAAAAACTTAAACCTTGAAAAGATATTTCAAAAAAAGTTCGGTTGAAGGTAAGCAGACATAAACACATGCGATGTTATTGAGAGCTCGAAATTGTTTAATTTTACAACCAGTTTTTTTCGAATCGATCCCACACGAGCTAGAAGTGTTCTTGCACACTTCCAGTCAAACTATCGAGTACTTCGTTAATATATTTTGGGCTCAAGAAGATCTCATTGGTGATCGAATATAAGATGCATCAACAGTTAATAGAGCTTACATAAAACAATTTTTTCCACATCAAACGATAAAGTCTCGCGCCGAGAATGTGTTTTATCTCCAATATATTGACCGTGTAGTGGTAAGGTGCATTCTTGGATTCGAAACTAAACTCTATAAACGAAATTTAGATATTGGAAGAGCTAACTACAAACGGCACCTTCAACTGCCCAAACTTCGATACAACACTACCTCATTTGATTGACTTATTGATCATAATATTGATGGTAAAAGTGAGATAGTCATCCAGAAAATACGGACCAATACCCACAAGTAAATCAAGACCATGTAAAATTTTGAAAATATTTTTCTAGAATTCTGCTATCAACGGTGTTAAGAATTAGAATGGATAGAAGGTCTTTGTTTATGGGATTCAATTCTGTGTGCTGAAGTTTAAATGAGAAAAAGAAAATAGAAACACTTGAGTTTGTGTCAAAATGACACCCTCTAATCGCCCCTTTAATCCCCTAAGGGCTTTTCTTGTCTTACTTTTCTTCATCCCTTTCATTGCAATACAAAACTAAGGTTTATTACTGTTGGGGTAAAACAAAATGAGATTTTGTAACTTTACCGGCTTCAAACTTTGATCTGCAAATTTTTTTCAAGATTAGTTTACTAGGGCGTAAGGTTTAATATCTGTTTATAATCTTCCGCTCGTATTTGTGACACTTACGTAAGATTTTTGAATTTAGGTTTTGTGAAATATCAGTTTGCCCTGTGAAAGTTTTTCTAGCCCTACGCCCTAGACTCAAGCACCATTTATTGGCCAATGTTAAGACCCTTTATTAATAGCAAATACTTAGTTTTACAATAGAATTGGAAATTGCACTAGACCGCTGACGTTATATTCCCAATGTCATATTTCTTATATAAATGGATATCCTCCCCCCGTAGAGTTCGCTCTTTTATAAAGTTTCTTTCTTTCGCAACCATCAAACCATTCTAGTCACAAGCTATGATGATGCTTCCCAAATTAAGCTTGATAGTTTACCTTTATATCTCAGTGGTTCTGGGTCTAAACATTGCCACTAACACTATCGACAGAGGTGCTATATCTTTGAATGTTGGAGATATTACAATCAATTCAGGAGCTTATTGGTCAATCATTAACAACGCTATTTCTGCTTTTGTTTCAAACTTAGAAGTTGCTCCCGAAGCCGGTTTATATATTTCAAGTACATCATCATTAATTTCTTTGCAAGTCACTTTATTGGGGTTGTTAAACTCAATCACAAACAATGGAATTATTTCTTTCAATTCGCTTGCTTCCTTGACTTCTTCAAACTACAACCTAATTGGTTGGTCATTCCAAAACAATGGTGAGATGTACTTGGGTGCTTCTGGAATCGTAGCTAGTACTATGAGTATTACTGCGGCTAGTTGGAAGAATACTGGGTTACTTGTGTTTTATCAAAATCAGAGAAATGAAGGTATAGTTAACTTGGGCGCACCTTTGGGTACAATCAACAATAACGGTCAAATTTGTTTTCATAATGAAGTATATCATCAAACAACTTCTATTGCCGGTACAGGTTGTATCACTGCTGATAGAGATTCTAGCATCTATATCACTAATGCTGCTTTATCTGTCTCAACCGGGCAAACATTTTACTTGGCTGATGGTGCATCTTCAATGATTGTACAAGCCTTGTCCACGCCACAAACATTCAATGTGCGTAATTTCGGTCAAGTTAATGGGATTGCAAACAAAATTGGTTTATCAATTCCGCTTTTTGCATTAATTGGCAGCGCATGGTCATACAATTCAGCCACGGGAATATTAACATTGAGGGGTGCTGGTTTATTACTGCAATACTTCAATATTGGTACAGGATACGATTCATCCAAATTCCAAGTTGTTACCGATAGTGGAGCTGGATTACCATCAACTTTGTGGGGCTCTATTCAATATAATGGACCAGTGCCAAACCCGGGGCTACCAAGCCAATGTCGCGTTTGTAAATCTTTACCAGACATTCCTGGTGCGCAGCCTACCGAATACACAACAACAATCACTACAACCAGTAATGGAAACACTTTAACTGAAACAGGGATTGTTGATATCACTACAAATACGGCAGGGTCATGGTATACAACCACATCAATATTCACCACTGGATCCACATTTAGGACCGAATACACCACTAGCTGGACAACCACAAAACCCGATGGAACTATTCAGACTGACTCTGGAATTGTGTCGGTGTCAGACACATCGCTGACTACGATTACCACGTTCCCACAACCCACTCAAACCGAGTACACCACCACCTGGACTACAACCAAGGATGACGGATCTGTTGAGACTGACTCAGGTATTGTTTCGCAAAGCGGAGACTCATTGACTACGATTACAACATTCCCACAACCAACTCAAACCGAGTACACCACCACTTGGACTACAACCAAGGATGATGGATCTGTTGAGACGGACTCAGGTATCGTATCGCAAAGTGGAGACTCATTGACCACGATTACAACATTCCCACAACCAACTCAAACCGAGTACACCACCACTTGGACTACAACCAAGGATGATGGATCTGTTGAGACGGACTCAGGTATCGTATCACAAAGTGGAGACTCATTGACTACGATTACAACATTCCCACAACCAACTCAAACCGAGTACACCACCACTTGGACTACAACCAAGGATGATGGATCTGTTGAGACGGACTCAGGTATCGTATCACAAAGTGGAGACTCATTGACTACGATTACCACGTTCCCACAACCAACTCAAACCGAGTACACCACCACTTGGACTACAACCAAGGATGACGGATCTGTTGAGACTGACTCAGGTATCGTTTCGCAAAGCGGAGACTCATTGACCACGGTTACAACATTCCCACAAGAGAGTGTTGCTGGCCCTGTGACCACAGAGTACACCACCACCTGGACTACAACCAAGGACGATGGATCGGTTGAGACTGACTCAGGTATTGTTTCGCAAAGTGGAGACTCATTGACGACGATTACCACGTTCCCACAACCAACTCAAACCGAGTACACCACCACTTGGACTACAACCAAGGATGACGGATCTGTTGAGACTGACTCAGGTATCGTATCGCAAAGCGGAGACTCATTGACGACGATTACCACGTTCCCACAACCAACTCAAACCGAGTACACCACCACCTGGACTACAACCAAGGATGATGGATCTGTTGAGACTGACTCAGGTATCGTATCACAAAGTGGAGACTCATTGACGACGATTACCACGTTCCCACAACCAACTCAAACCGAGTACACCACCACTTGGACTACAACCAAGGATGACGGATCTGTTGAGACTGACTCAGGTATTGTTTCGCAAAGTGGAGACTCATTGACCACGATTACCACGTTCCCACAACCAACGCAAACCGAGTACACCACCACTTGGACTACAACCAAGGATGATGGATCTGTTGAGACTGACTCAGGTATCGTATCGCAAAGCGGAGACTCATTGACCACGATTACAACATTCCCACAACCAACTCAAACCGAGTACACCACCACTTGGACTACAACCAAGGATGACGGATCTGTTGAGACTGACTCAGGTATCGTATCGCAAAGCGGAGACTCATTGACGACGATTACCACGTTCCCACAACCAACTCAAACCGAGTACACCACCACTTGGACTACAACCAAGGATGACGGATCTGTTGAGACTGACTCAGGTATCGTATCACAAAGCGGAGACTCATTGACTACGATTACCACGTTCCCACAACCAACTCAAACCGAGTACACCACCACCTGGACTACAACCAAGGATGATGGATCTGTTGAGACTGACTCAGGTATCGTATCACAAAGCGGAGACTCATTGACTACGATTACCACGTTCCCACAAGAGAGTGTTGCTAGTCCTGTGACGACAGAGTACACCACCACTTGGACTACAACCAAGGATGACGGATCTGTTGAGACTGACTCAGGTATCGTATCACAAAGCGGAGACTCATTGACTACGATTACCACGTTCCCACAACCAACGCAAACCGAGTACACCACCACCTGGACTACAACCAAGGATGATGGATCTGTTGAGACTGACTCAGGTATCGTATCACAAAGCGGAGACTCATTGACCACGGTTACAACATTCCCACAAGAGAGTGTTGCTGGCCCTGTGACCACAGAGTACACCACCACTTGGACTACAACCAAGGATGACGGATCTGTTGAGACTGACTCAGGTATTGTTTCGCAAAGCGGAGACTCATTGACGACGATTACCACGTTCCCACAAGAGAGTGTTGCTAGTCCTGTGACGACAGAGTACACCACCACCTGGACTACAACCAAGGACGATGGATCGGTTGAGACTGACTCAGGTATTGTTTCGCAAAGCGGAGACTCATTGACGACGATTACCACGTTCCCACAAGAGAGTGTTGCTAGTCCTGTGACCACAGAGTACACCACCACTTGGACTACAACCAAGGATGACGGATCTGTTGAGACGGACTCAGGTATTGTTTCGCAAAGCGGAGACTCATTGACGACGATTACCACGTTCCCACAACCCACTCAAACCGAGTACACCACCACTTGGACTACAACCAAGGATGATGGATCGGTTGAGACTGACTCAGGTATTGTTTCGCAAAGCGGAGACTCATTGACGACGATTACCACGTTCCCACAAGAGAGTGTTGCTGGCCCTGTGACCACAGAGTACACCACCACTTGGACTACAACCAAGGATGACGGATCTGTTGAGACTGACTCAGGTATTGTTTCGCAAAGCGGAGACTCATTGACCACAATTACAACATTCCCACAAGAGAGTGTTGCTAGTCCTGTGACCACAGAGTACACCACCACCTGGACTACAACCAAGGATGATGGATCTGTTGAGACTGACTCAGGTATTGTTTCGCAAAGCGGAGACTCATTGACGACGATTACCACGTTCCCACAAGAGAGTGTTGCTGGCCCTGTGACCACAGAGTACACCACCACTTGGACTACAACCAAGGATGACGGATCTGTTGAGACTGACTCAGGTATTGTTTCGCAAAGCGGAGACTCATTGACGACGATTACCACGTTCCCACAAGAGAGTGTTGCTAGTCCTGTGACGACAGAGTACACCACCACCTGGACTACAACCAAGGACGATGGATCGGTTGAGACTGACTCAGGTATTGTTTCGCAAAGCGGAGACTCATTGACGACGATTACCACGTTCCCACAAGAGAGTGTTGCTGGCCCTGTGACCACAGAGTACACCACCACTTGGACTACAACCAAGGATGACGGATCTGTTGAGACTGACTCAGGTATTGTTTCGCAAAGCGGAGACTCATTGACCACAATTACAACATTCCCACAAGAGAGTGTTGCTAGTCCTGTGACCACAGAGTACACCACCACCTGGACTACAACCAAGGATGATGGATCTGTTGAAACCGATTGGAATGTTGGGTCTAGCCCCATTACAACTTACGTTCCAACAAATACATCGTCATCTATATCAGAATTGATACCTGGTTCTTCCATTGTTTTGGAGGATAGTGCTGGTACTATTTCGATTTCGGAGGTTGACGCACCAGGCCAGCCTGATACTGGGTTTGCAGTTGGCTCCTCTATGGTATCTTACTCAACAAGCCTAGTTGCTATTTCAGATGTTGCCCGAACGAGCACTTTGGTACTGTTGGAACCGCTGGTGTCTTTAGGATCTCCAGCCGTCGAAACTACTGAGGTTTCAAATTATAGTTCAGAAACGAGCGAATCGTTTTCGACAAGAGAATCAGCACACACATCTAATGTTAGTTTAAGTCAAGCTGGATCAGATGAGCAATACAAAAGTCACACAAGCCGACCAAGCACATTGGCAGAGCATACTAGTGGTGTCCAATCAACAGCTACCATACCTGCAATATATGAGGGCACCGGAGCAATTACAAAATATTCTACCTTTGTTGGTGTGCTTGCTTCCTTAATTTTTGTCATGGTTTAATTGGCTGTTAGGTTTTAAAATGTCGGGTGTCAATCCAGTTAGATTAGTTCTTGATTTGCGATTTTATCCATTTTTCGTTAAGAAATTCCCATTAGATTGGTAATTTGTATTTACTTTAAATTATTTCGGTCTTCCATTGTGTTTATTTTAATTTTAATATTTAATTGTTTTGATTGGTGAGTTGAGTCTTGTTTACATAGAAATGGTACGATAATCAAGCCCACAAGAAAAAAAATAATTTTAAATATTCGTGAAATTTGTCTCGACTGCATTAAGTCGATCTTGTCTCCATAATAGCATTAATTTTGTCCTGAATGCTCAAGTAAAGGGCCTTTATATCTTCCGCATCGTCTGTCGTTTCAAAAGAGAATGTGTATGCTGATAGGGTATTTGGACTCTTTTCTTGTCGTAACTTTTTAACACACCAGCGCTTAGTCTGATCATTTGCGACTGATTCGCGTAAATAGGTCGTCGCATGAAGTTGGATCTTAACAAAATACCGTTTTTGACCACAGGTAATATCTGTCTAATGATGGGATTTCGTCCTTTCTTGACATAGTCGGACTTTCAATCACAACCGAGCAGCAATCTTGAATCCGTACATGTGAGCAAGTGGATAATGACCTAGTAAGCAAGGACTCAAGGAGTGATGAAATTGCGCTCTGACAGGTTTTGAGTCAAATACTCATTTGAAGTTAAGGTGAGTTGTAAAATTCTACATTCCAAGAATTTGCATGCACTGTATAACGAAGAATTAAATAATCTGAAACCTCAGTGAATGCATCAATTTTTAAAAGAGCAGGGTCAACCGACTAAGAGAAAGATTTATAGGATCTTTTAATTGGCCAAAATTAGATCTGTTATTTGCTTTGATCTTTGGAACAGTAGACGAAGCAATGTGGGCATACGTTATTCGACACTGTTTTGGATGAAAGTGTGCTAATTTTAATTAAATCCAAACAAGAGTCGTTTTCCTGGATGTTTCTTGCAGGAGATGGAAGCAAAAAAAATCAACAATTGGGGGATTTCTTTGAGACCACTTCCTCATACTCGTGGCTAACTGATAATGATGTCTCAACCTTAATTATATAGCGGTTGACAAGGTTGTAAACTGTAAACAACTTAGTTATACTTATCGCGCAATATAAAACAGTGGTCAGTTATATGGCGAGATCCAATAACGTATGCAAAGTAACAGAGATCGGCACGACATTGAATTGATATTACTCGAAAAATTAAACTCTCTCAAACCTTTTGGCTAAATAAATATGCGAATGGAAATGGCCATGTATACAACAAATTCGTGTACAAACAAATGAAAGAAGACACCCCAGAGTTCAAACGAGTTCTACGTTTTAGAATGCATGCGTCTGGCTCTACACGGGGTTAAGAAAGTTTCCATTGTTGTAAGCTAGTGTCACTTTGAAACCCTTTCATAGTTTATGCAGGGATCGCTTTCTGAAAAATGCCATTCAACTGGAAAGCTTATTCACTTGGATAACGCAAGCTAAGACAACATTAAATAGTGTAGTGTGTTTTTTTTTTTTCCATCTCAAACTACACATATCCAAAGTGTTTGGCAAGACCGATGAAGGTAGAAAAGACTTTAGGTCAACACTCTTCAATTCAATATCTGTATAATTTGCTTCAATAATTCACTTTGAATGTCAAGTAGGTGTCGGTCTACCTACGTTTTGGTTTCGTTTAGATTGAAAGAGCAAATACATGGTCTGAAACAATTCTGATTTGGGAAAGATAAATTTTGATCAATTTAAAGTTTCTGCGTGTGGTTGTAAGGGCGGGGCTGGCACCTGAAACTTTACGTTTTAAGTTGCACCTTCTGGAACACCTTGTGAAGAATTTCTTTCCTGTCCTCTGGTAATGCATCTGAGGGGGGGAATGTATTGAAGATAGAGAATTCCATGGTAGCACTGAAAAGCTCACCCAAAAAGAAAGTTCCGAGTCTGGTACTATCTACTCTTTGTAACTCATGTCGCTGTTAAAACCGGCACCATTTGTTCTCAATTTTCATTATTTGAGTTTAGACTGTGATTATCACATACAGAGGATCATCAATCTCCAAACACATTTTGGGAAGATTTGCTTCCTTTTTGGTATAACTAAGTCGGGCGAGCAATACTTGTCGAACGAATTATGACCAGACCTTTCTGTCTTCGCTTTTGAGAAGAACTAGTAATAAAAGCACGTGTTTTTACAATAAATTTTGAAGTCTATCAAAAAATCAGGGGCTCAAATAGCAAAGCTGTAATAAAACAAAATGACCCAGCTCTACAGTATTATCTTTGTCTTTTCTTTCCACAATAAAAAAAACAAGCTGATATACAGATATCTTTTTAGTATTGGGATTTATCAGGCCATTTGGACCGCAACCATCCGTTCCTTTATTGGGGAATGTGTTAACCCCAAATGGAATGGCAAGTATTCAATGCAATGATCGGCGTTGTTTCTCGTTTGGGTGGAAATCTGACAATACAATGTTTCAGAATGGCGAATGTTGAGCACTAACACCAGTCCCTCCTTTCAGGGATCCATTGATTTGTTTACTCTTTTGGAGCTCCACTGGCTAAAAACGCAGATCTTCATCGACCCCAATTTTTAGCCTTTCTTAAAATGAATACAGGGTTTTTTTTTCAACATTAAATTTGCAACATTGGTTTTGTGTAGCGAACCCTTTAATCCTTTGCAATCTTTTTTCTCAAATTGATTGGCGATAACTTAGATCTGGTATATACACGAGTATCGAGCACCATCAATTGAATAAGGTGATCTTTTGAATTAAAAGCTGTAAAACTGAGAATTTGGCCAACTCTCTTGGACATTGTAACTTATAAATAGGACTTGATATTCCCTACGTAATCCCTTCAACTGTAGCTTCACAACTACAATCACTTTTCCATCCTTGTGACTACTTAATCATACTGAAACAAAAATAAAGGATGTTGAAAAACGTGCTATACACAATATTCTTGTTTATAATCCAAGTAATATCAGCTTATGATGTCTATGGTTTAGATGTATCAAAAGGTCCTATCAATCTTTCCATAGGTAACATTCATATTCATACAGGGGGTTACTGGTCCATTATTGATAACACAATATCTGCCCTTGTTGGAGATTTGAAGGTTGAGAGGGGCGGTGGATTCTTCATTTCCACATTCAACGAATTGATAGGTTTGCAAGTACTTTTGTTGGGTTTATTGAACTCAATTGAGAATGATGGTATCATTGCATTTAATTCTTTAAAAACCCTCATACCACCTATTTACAATTTAATTGGATTGACCTTCAGAAATACTGGTGAGGTGTACTTGGCTGCTGATGGTACGCTTCCACCATTCATTGGTTTAACTGCACCTACTTGGACCAATAATGGCTTAGTCGTTATTTACCTTAACAAGAGATCGACTACTTTGGTTAACTTGGGGGCTGTTTTATCCAGAGTTGAAAACGACGGTACCATTTGTTTCAATAACGTTGTTTATCAACAATTGACAAGTATTCAAGGTAATGGTTGTATTGTTGCAAACAGAGATTCTACAATCTACATCACCAATGCGTTGCTACCAATCCCCAAGGAGCAAACTTTTTTCTTGGCAGATCATAAAAGCTCAATCGTTGTCGAACCTTTGAGCATTCCTGCAAGGTTCACTGTTAAAGGTTTTGGATGGGGAAACAAGATTGGTTTGAGTATCCCGCTTTTGAAGATACCAATTTTGGGAAAGCGTGCAGTTGACTATAACCCATTTACTGGTATATTGACTTTGAGAGGATTAGGTTTGGGCCTTTTATCACAAGAGTTTGACATTGGAAGGGGTTATGATAAAAGAAGGTTTCAAGTGGTGACTGATAATGGTGCTGGTATCCCTCTTATGCTTTGGGGGTCTGTCGAGTACAATGGTCCTATCCCTAACCCACATAGACCTGCTATCTGTATGTGCAAAGATCCTCCAGAGCCACCAACGACTGGTGAGTCATTAACATCTCTACCAGCACCTTTGACAACGGTAACATCAGTTTTAGTCACGCTGCCAACAATAGAGACTCCTAGTGTTACTGACATTCCTGTGTCGCGTGATTTATCGTCTACTGACGACGAGACAACTGGAAATGGTGGCCAGACTTCTCCAACTGACGGCGGTAATGGTGGTCAAACATCTCCAACTGATGGTGGTAATGGCGGTGAGCCAACTGACGGCGGTAATGGTGGTGAGCCAACTGACGGCGGTAATGGCGGCCAGACTTCTCCAACTGACGGCGGTAATGGTGGCGAGCCAACTGACGGCGGTAATGGTGGTCAAACATCTCCAACTGATGGCGGTAATGGTGGTGAGCCAACTGACGGCGGTAATGGTGGTCAAACGTCTCCAACTGATGGTGGTAATGGCGGTGAGCCAACTGACGGCGGTAATGGTGGTCAAACATCTCCAACTGACGGCGGTAATGGCGGCCAGACTTCTCCAACTGACGGCGGTAATGGTGGCGAGCCAACTGACGGCGGCAATGGTGGTCAAACATCTCCAACTGACGGCGGTAATGGCGGCCAGACTTCTCCAACTGATGGCGGTAATGGTGGCGAGCCAACTGACGGCGGTAATGGTGGTCAAACATCTCCAACTGACGGCGGTAATGGCGGCCAGACTTCTCCAACTGATGGCGGTAATGGTGGCGAGCCAACTGACGGCGGTAATGGTGGTCAAACATCTCCAACTGATGGCGGTAATGGTGGTGAGCCAACTGACGGCGGTAATGGTGGTCAAACGTCTCCAACTGATGGTGGTAATGGCGGTGAGCCAACTGACGGCGGTAATGGTGGTCAAACATCTCCAACTGACGGCGGTAATGGCGGCCAGACTTCTCCAACTGACGGCGGTAATGGTGGCGAGCCAACTGACGGCGGCAATGGTGGTCAAACATCTCCAACTGACGGCGGTAATGGCGGCCAGACTTCTCCAACTGATGGCGGTAATGGTGGCGAGCCAACTGACGGCGGTAATGGTGGTCAAACATCTCCAACTGACGGCGGTAATGGCGGCCAGACTTCTCCAACTGATGGCGGTAATGGTGGCGAGCCAACTGACGGCGGTAATGGTGGTCAAACGTCTCCAACTGATGGTGGTAATGGCGGTGAGCCAACTGACGGCGGTAATGGTGGTCAAACGTCTCCAACTGATGGCGGTAATGGTGGCGAGCCAACTGATGGTGGTAATGGCGGTGAGCCAACTGACGGCGGTAATGGCGGCCAGACTTCTCCAACTGATGGCGGTAATGGTGGCGAGCCAACTGATGGTGGTAATGGCGGTGAGCCAACTGACGGCGGTAATGGCGGCCAGACTTCTCCAACTGATGGTGGTAATAATGGCGAGCCAACTGACGGCGGCAATGGTGGTCAAACATCTCCAACTGATGGTGGTAATGGCGGTGAGCCAACTGACGGCGGTAATGGCGGCCAGACTTCTCCAACTGATGGCGGTAATGGTGGCGAGCCAACTGATGGTGGTAATGGCGGTGAGCCAACTGACGGCGGTAATGGCGGCCAGACTTCTCCAACTGATGGCGGTAATGGTGGCGAGCCAACTGATGGTGGTAATGGCGGTGAGCCAACTGACGGCGGTAATGGCGGCCAGACTTCTCCAACTGACGGCGGTAATGGTGGCGAGCCAACTGACGGCGGCAATGGTGGTCAAACATCTCCAACTGACGGCGGTAATGGCGGCCAGACTTCTCCAACTGATGGCGGTAATGGTGGCGAGCCAACTGACGGCGGTAATGGTGGTCAAACATCTCCAACTGACGGCGGTAATGGCGGCCAGACTTCTCCAACTGATGGCGGTAATGGTGGCGAGCCAACTGACGGCGGTAATGGTGGTCAAACGTCTCCAACTGATGGTGGTAATGGCGGTGAGCCAACTGACGGCGGTAATGGTGGTCAAACGTCTCCAACTGATGGCGGTAATGGTGGCGAGCCAACTGATGGTGGTAATGGCGGTGAGCCAACTGACGGCGGTAATGGCGGCCAGACTTCTCCAACTGATGGCGGTAATGGTGGCGAGCCAACTGATGGTGGTAATGGCGGTGAGCCAACTGACGGCGGTAATGGCGGCCAGACTTCTCCAACTGATGGCGGTAATGGTGGCGAGCCAACTGATGGTGGTAATGGCGGTGAGCCAACTGACGGCGGTAATGGCGGCCAGACTTCTCCAACTGATGGTGGTAATAATGGCGAGCCAACTGACGGCGGCAATGGTGGTCAAACATCTCCAACTGATGGTGGTAATGGCGGTGAGCCAACTGACGGCGGTAATGGCGGCCAGACTTCTCCAACTGACGGCGGTAATGGCGGCCAGACTTCTCCAACTGACGGCGGTAATGGCGGCCAGACTTCTCCAACTGACGGCGGTAATGGTGGCGAGCCAACTGACGGCGGTAATGGTGGTCAAACATCTCCAACTGATGGCGGTAATGGTGGTGAGCCAACTGACGGCGGTAATGGCGGCCAGACTTCTCTAACTGATGGTGGTAATGGCGGTGAGCCAACTGACGGCGGTAATGGCGGCGAGCCAACTGACGGCGGTAATGGCGGTGAAGGTACACCAACTGATGGTGGAAATGGTGGTAAAGGTACTCCAACTGACGGCGGTAATGGCGGTGAAGGTACACCAGCTGATGGTGGAAACGGTGGTGAAGGTACTCCAACTGACGGCGGTAATGGCGGTGAGCCAACTGACGGCGGCAATGGTGGCGAGCCAACTGATGGTGGTAATGGCGGTGAGCCAACTGATGGTGGTAATGGCGGTGAGCCAACTGACGGCGGTAATGGCGGTGAAGGTACACCAACTGATGGTGGAAACGGTGGTGAAGGTACTCCAACTGACGGCGGTAACGGTGGTAATGGCGGTGAAGTGCCAGGTGACAATGGAGCTGGCGCTGGTGACAACGGAGCTGGTGTTCCAGGTGACAACGGAGCTGGTGTTCCAGGTGACAACGGAGCTGGTGTTCCAGGTGACAATGGAGCTGGCGCTGGAGGACCAGGCGATAATGGAACTGGCGCTGGTGACAATGGAGCTGGTGTTCCAGGTGATAATGGAGCTGGTGTTCCAGGTGACAACGGAGCTGGTGTTCCAGGTGATAATGGAGCTGGCGCTGGTGACAATGGAGCTGGCGCTGGAGGACCAGGCGATAATGGAACTGGCGCTGGTGACAATGGAGCTGGTGTTCCAGGTGACAATGGAGCTGGAGCTGGAGGACCGGGCGATAATGGAGCTGGCGCTGGTGACAATGGAGCTGGCGCTGGAGGACCAGGCGATAATGGAGCTGGCGCTGGTGACAATGGAGCTGGCGCTGGTGACAACGGAGCTGGTGTTCCAGGTGACAACGGAGCTGGTGTTCCAGGTGACAATGGAGCTGGTGTTCCAGGTGATAATGGAGCTGGCGCTGGTGACAATGGAGCTGGCGCTGGAGGACCAGGCGATAATGGAACTGGCGCTGGTGACAATGGAGCTGGTGTTCCAGGTGACAATGGAGCTGGAGCTGGAGGACCAGGCGATAATGGAGCTGGCGCTGGTGACAATGGAGCTGGCGCTGGTGACAACGGAGCTGGTGTTCCAGGTGACAACGGAGCTGGTGTTCCAGGTGACAATGGAGCTGGTGTTCCAGGTGATAATGGAGCTGGCGCTGGTGACAATGGAGCTGGCGCTGGAGGACCAGGCGATAATGGAACTGGCGCTGGTGACAATGGAGCTGGCGCTGGTGACAACGGAGCTGGTGTTCCAGGTGACAACGGAGCTGGTGTTCCAGGTGACAATGGAGCTGGTGTTCCAGGTGATAATGGAGCTGGCGCTGGTGACAATGGAGCTGGAGCTGGCGCTGGTGACAATGGAGCTGGAGCTGGAGGACCTGGTGACAATGGAGCTGGAGCTGGTGACAATGGAGCTGGCGCAGGTGACAACGGAGCTGGAGCTGGATCTGGTGATACAGGGGATAATGGAGCTGTCTCCGAGTTGGAAAACGCTGCATTCTCTTTCAAACCCAACAAAGTTTTGATCTCAGTTGCTGGTATTCTTGCTGCATACGCCATGGTATAGTGCGGCCAAGGGTTCATTCATCTATTGCCGGCCTGTCAACAACAATAATTTGACAATTTATTGGACATTTTTTAATAATTCGGTTACTTCAAAATTTTCTTATTTAACAATTCACCAGATGATATTGGCTAATACGCTCATGGGTTTGGATGAGTTTCAAATTTTCGGTTTTTAGGTTGGTCATCCTTTGGTTGGCTTACATATTCATTCAATTTTCAGTTCTTTGGCTAGTGTGTGTGTATATACTACTATAAAGAACGATACTTTCGTTTTTAATAATTCGTGACAATCAGTATAGAGTATCATTTGCTTGAGCCTTACAGTGGTGCGTCTAGTTTAGGTATGAGAAGCAATATGTGAGTACGCTACTACAACTTTATGGTTACTTTTAAAGGTTGTAGAGAACACGAAAACGTTATATTGATGTAGAAGAAGGGGTTTCCATAATTGCTCAACTTCGTGCTGTTGATATCCATTGTGATGTTGTAGTTATCTCTAATCGATATATGGTACCAAATTCTTCATACTGCCATTGTGATTAATGCCACCTATTTGATCACGAGCAAGTCCCAATTTGACCCAGTCCTCTTTGCAATTCTTGTATATTGTTGGTGGCAACTTGTATCTGTTCATCAAATTGCAAATCGCACCATAGCTTGTCGCCAAGAAAAACTGATCGATAAATTCCCCACCAAATCGTGCTTTAGCAACTTCACATTCATGCATAATCCATTTCAACAAATATTCACTTGATCGTCTCTCGAATGGACAAACAGTTAGTGGTAAATGAATATCGAAATCTTTGGCTTTATGTAGTTTGATCTTTAAAATCGTTTCAAACTTTATCGAGTAGAATTTACCCGAAGTTGTAAAACTTTGAAGGTGAGTGATTGGTAGTCCCTCTGGTATTCGATCAATTGTTTTATGGGTTGCGATATTTGCTGATTCGATGATTGTTGTATCGTTGTCGAATGAAACTTCGTTTTCAATAATGTAGGGTTCATCATTGTAGAATACTTCCAAATTGTCATTGATTTTGGGGAATTTCACATCAAACAGTTGAGTTTCCCCTTGTGTGTTTAGTTCTTTCGTCAATTGCAACGTTTTTGTATGTAGCTTGTTTTCCTTCTTTGGAGGTAGTCCGCCATCAAAACATTCTAGATACTCTTTTACCTGAAAAGTCACTTGCTTTACCGCTAGGTGCTTTTTGACTTTGTTATTAGATGAATTGATCATCAATTTACAATGTAGCTCAAACTGATCACCAGGACCAACTGATGTCGTAGGAATTGTCACTTCCCCCACAACTTGATTATCGGGCGACTTTTGTTGTTCAATCACCGGCTCATTGAATTGTCGATATAGTGGTAGAGTATCATATGTCTTGATGACAACGGGGAAGGTATCAATGAATGATGATTCGCCACCACTGCTTTCCCCAGTAACTACTTTCACCGCAAGATAATGGGTAGTAGATGCCCCTAGCGTCGGCAGATACCCACTGGGTATCACATCCTTTGGCACTGGTATCATCACCGGCAAGTCTATCCCTAATACATTTTGAGAGAATACATTCACGGGTTTGAATGCCAATGGATCTTCAAATATCTTAAACTCTTTGAACGCTTCAGTACTTCCAAGTTTTGCAGGTACCGTTACTTTTTGACGAGTTATCAACACTACTGAAACCGATCGTATCAAAAAGGGTGAGCCATTGGCTGTTCTGACGTGGATGATTGTTTCAATTCGTGGTATACTTCGAGGGATCCCGGGACAACCAAACACTATCGTTGATGCTGTTGGCTCTAAAAAAATAGTAAGCGGGTACTCCTGTTTCTGAGAAGTATTTGATGAACCTTGAAAACGCATTTTGGTGGGGGGATACAGAGTTGAGGGAGTGAATGCTCTATGTTGTGGAGTTTTTGAATAGACTAAAGATGTTTTGCGTCTTCAAAGTTCTCGCCTCTTAGTTTTCCACATGGATGAATACTCAACTTGATAGCTTACATACTTACTTACTTACTTGTATTAGATATCAGCTCCTACAATATACCGGGAAATATAGCCCACTTCAAATCGAACTCCTCTCTGTATTTGTGCTGATAATAACGGTACGTTTCAACAGCAGACACAGATAGATTAACCACCACAAATATCAAACTGGATATAAACATCAAGGATGTCAAGTTGATGCCATTCTTTACACTGAATAGCATAAATACAGTGTAAATTACCACTTCATAGAAATAGTGAGGAGACGCAACAACTTTAAACTTGGGTAACGAATATTTCACCAAGTGAGCAAGATGATAATGAGCTCTAAATTGTTGTACAGAAGCAATGCCAAACACAGCAATAAGGACGTAGTCGATTATAGTTAAAGCAGCACTTGCTGAACAATTTCCCGACAAGCCCAAATACGTGGCTAATGCAATCAACACATAATGTGACATACCAACAATATAATGAGTAATATTCATATATGAAGTAGGGGAAAACTTGGTGACAGCAAAACTCTCAATCATTCGTCTTGCACCTTGTATAATGAGGATAGTGTTGATTAGTCGCATGTTCTTATAAGTTACATCACTTGATTGACCTATTATGGATTCATGACATGCTCTAAAATATGTAGCTGTAGACAATGTGAACAAACAAATGTAGAAATGAGCAAACCACAGTTTCTGAACCACTGCGTATTTGACTATGATATCAATAACTTTAGAAGGTGGAGAATGGGAGCCTCTGTTTTCATTGTTGTTATCGTTATCGTTAGTTTCGTTGTGGTAATTGACTGTTTTCCCATAGTTTAATAGTTTTTTCAATGGAGTAACATATTTGACTAGCAATACACCTAATGTTAAAGCAAAGTAAACTAGCGAAACAAGTAATTGTAAGTTATAAGTTGAAGTAATATCCATGTGAAAGGTGTATGGTGTATATGCAAAAAAGAGTTGAAAAGAGAAAAGAATATCAAAATGTATCAAAGAAATGTCCCCATTATTGTACGATTACTATCTACCACAGAAATAAAATAAGAAAGAAAACGGCGTCTTACAAAGTGCTATATGTCACATCCACCAGAATACGCCCCAACGGCTTCAACATCATTCACCATCTCTTCAAAATCAACCCAATTCAACCAAGAAATAACCCGCTCATCATTAATCAAATCACCATCAAATAAACCAGTTTATAACTCATTAGCTGAAATCAGTTCAATATTAACGTCAATTGAAATGTTGGAGAATTCATTCTTGAAAGATTACACTACTGATAAGGAGAAGTATACATCAACAGCGTATCGACTAATTTACCAGTATCAAATTATAATAAAGGGGTTCGATGAATCGAAATTGCCCGTGTTGAAGAGTTTATTCTCCAATTTGAATCCTGATTTATCAAATTTTTTGGCATTATTTACTTCCAAATTTAATATAAATTGTCCACAAGCAGTGAATCGACTACTAAGTGGAGTACCGTCAACAATTGATCATCTAGCAATATCCACGAGTGGAGGTGGAGCTGCAGCAAATGCCGCCACAGCAAACGCCACCGCTACCACTAGAGCCAATGCTAGATTGATTGCTGAGATTACCGGAAATTTTATCACGTGTATGGATGCAGTGAAGCTCAACTACAAGACTAGGGATCAATTGCATCCGTTATTGAGTGATTTAGTGGTGAATTTAAATGAGTTTAATGAAACAATTGAGTTTAATGGGAAATCAAAATTGATCAACTGGCTAATTAAGATTAACAATTTGGAAAAGGAACTTTCACAAGAGGATTCAGATTTGTTTTTGAATGATTTGGATACTGCGTACAAAGGGTTTTACGAATCATTGGAAAACCATTAAGAATAAAAGGAGAAGAACGGTTTTTATGATTGATTTTGTACAATTAATCCAATTCGTTCAACATAACCTAATATATTGTAAATGATAGTTTTATTTTATACAATTGACTCTATTTGTTCAGCATAACCCAACACATTTTTGATGATTGCTTCGTTATCAACAGTCTCTTCATTCTCAACTTTAGTGAAGTAAATTACCCCTTGATCAAATTTCCAATTGGTCAAGTCCAATGATTCTTTCAAAGTTTGTTCAAATGTTAAATCACTCAATTCTTGAGGTAAATATAACAAGCTTTTGCAATTGGAAATGGCGATTGAATCATATGTCTTTTCCAAACTCTTAGCAATTTCAAATCTCAACGCATTGATCAATGTATCAGCAAAATGAGTAAATTCTTTACATGGTAAGTTTGAATCTTCCTTCAACAAATTCCAAATCTTGATATAGTTTCCCTCCATCAAGTTTCTTTCCAAATCAATGGGGAATTTTAAGAACTTATCATGTTCAACGTCATATTGTTTTGAATTGCAGATCATTTCTAATTCAACATTGAATTTAGAAATTGAACCCTGACTTAAAAGATATAATAAAAACAATGATATAATTTTGGTTGAGTCGGTGTTTAGGTGAGGTTTGTTTAAATTGTGAATTTTACCATTGGTGTAAAAGGGCTTCAACTGGGCAAAATAGCTCTCAAATCCAGAGTAGTTATTGGTGAGCAATGATGATAAAGCACCTATCTCCAATATTCTTTGGGCGATTTTAAGATCATTGACTTGGTCTTCAGTTTGAGTGTTTGAATCCAATGGCACCAACAAGTTGTGTTTGATCAATTCAATTTTGATGGGTGCTAGGAGTTGTTGACACTTTTGATAGTCTTGTTTATCATATACACTGTATATTTCAGCAGTAAGTTTTTGAAGCGACATGGTTAGTGCAAGTGTATGATGGTTTGGCAAATGTAAGATGGTTTGTGATTGCCACCAAAAATAGAATTTCTGACAACACTCTTTACGAAATATAACCAAAGTCGTGTCGCAATAATATACCTTGCGACACTTTGTAACAATACGTGAAAAAACGAAAAATTTCAAAAAAACCATACTCATCACCCAGATCACGAAGATCCTTCTCGCCAGAATAAACGATTACACCCTCCGAAGAGTAGCAAAGTTTCCACGTTGTCACATAAGTAACAGTATGAAGTTCTTGACAACAAATTTCGTACAATGCGCAGTTAAAAGCTGTCAATCATCATCAGACTCATTCCCATTGAAATACGAAGAATGCCAATTAGTACAAGAAGAACAAGAATTTAAACCGGAATTTATAGTACACATGTTGGAGAAGCTTGATTGGAATGCAGTAATATCAGTGGCTAAAGACTTGGGAAATGATTCATTACCAGCAACTAAACCTGAAGGTTTAGATCCGATTATGGAAGATGATAAAGTTGTGTTGAAAGATCTACATATATTGTTAATTGAGACTCAGTTGATTGAAGGGAAAATGATTTGTAACAATTGCCATCATATTTATTACATCAAAAATTCGATACCAAACTTTCTTTTACCACCACATCTTGCAAATTGAGTGAATCAATAGGAAGTCAGTAACATAGGAGAGAACAAGAGTTATTGCTTGGTTTGTCTGTGAGATGTGATGTTAGAGCTTTGTTCGAAGGTGAAATTGAGTGGGTGTTTGCATACAGTTGATAAGGGAGTATGTTTGCATATCTAGTAGTATATTAATGGTTGTAGGAAGCAGATTAAAAGCAGAAAAGAAAAGGGCAATGATGGTGACGTTAATTGTGGCTTACAAACTTTATGACTATGTAGGCTATTCTTTGAAGTAACGCTTAATATGAGCTTGTGTTGTAAGCTATAGATGACGTTCCCATGTTTCAAGTTGATGTCTTAATTTAATGTATTGCGACATGACTTTGTTTTTTGCGACATACTACGTATGTACTGTTGATTAAAGTAACTCAACTTAAGAAAGGTAAACAAACTGCAAAACTAACTTTAAACTGATCTCTCTATGTGTACTATGTATTACTATTGTACTCTATTGTAGCTATCGTACTGAAAAGTATAACCATACAACAACAAAACTTTATCAAGGGAGGGATGAAGAAAATGGGCTCACTTGAAATGTAGAAATGAAAAGAAAAGATTTAACTAAATACTAACACTTAATCCCTTCCCCCTTCTTTTCATTACTTACATCTACTACTATCTTTGTTGCTCATACTCACTCTATTCTCACTCTGTTTGTTACTGTCTATCTCTTTAGGAGTTTCACCAAATGTCCGTTTTTACTTTTTGAGTTTCAACTTTTTTTTTTTTCTTTTGTTTTTTTTTTTTTTTTTGGGCCAATTCTCAACACCACCACTACATTCCCTATAAACCGCCTTGACTTTTCTACAACTTTAAACTGGAAATTTCATCGAAATATCAATAAATTCCAGCTGCCTATTCATACTAGAGTAGAGTCCTATACACTAGATTCACACACATTTAAAGCATACAACTCCATTTACCCTCCAACTTACCAAAAGCAATAGCGTTTGTTTGCAGGTTATGGTTAATTTAAACCTATTCCAGAACATCACTAGTACCAATAGCACCAATACAAACAATGACAAGTCCGAAGTTTCTACTCACAACACCGGTCCAAACGATGCAGGGCTGTCTTTAGTAGCAGAGCCCCTGGATGACTGCTCCAATCGAGATAGTCCAGAGATGCGTCCACTGTCACGTACCAGAAACAGATCAATATCAATATCTCGATTCTTCTTCAATAGAGAGCATGATACCCCAGGTACACCACCAACTGGTAATACTGCATCTGGTAACTTTTCCCCGGAAAACAGCTCATCCAAATCAACGGTGTCTGGGGCACCTTCTGACCAAGCAAGTAATAGCAATAGCAATAGCACCAGCAACAACAATACTGGAATGAACAAATTGAAAAACATATTTCGTTTCCCTTCAAATTCTGTATCCTCATCAGAAAATAAATCACTGGGACAAAGACAGCGGTCTTTATCATCACCGTTTCGACAAAACAGCAAAGACAATAATAACAACCACAAGAAATCATCAAGTATCAATCATTTAGCAGCGCCACTGCCACCACAAGTACCGGAAATAGTCACTGACTCTCCAGAATCTCATGATTTGGCAGAGACGTCCACTAGTCCAGTTGTTAATTCAAACCCTTATTTTCAACACCAAGGACTTCCTCCACATTTAACAACATCTTCACCACGTCAACCAAATTTGCTAACAACAAACAAGTCTGAACTTTCCGTTTCATTAAGACATAATGACTCTATTTACTCATTGAATGAACATGGAGTATTGCAACCACCTCCAAAGATTCACTATAGTCAGTCTTCATTTTCTGGTGATGATGAATCAGATGATGATATTACCAATGTCGCCACCAAGAGTGGCACGGATCAATCCACGTATCTTGAACCACCAAAACAGGAGGTGTCACCAATGAAACAAGTTGGTGAAGAACCATCGGCCCTAACGCCACCGCCATCACCATTCCAAAGAGCTCTCAGACGTGTTGCGTCTGCACCTCTTGTGCACAAATTGATGAATGACAAATCAACAGCGGGAGATGCATTTTCACCCCCCTTACTAAGCAACAACAAAGAACAAGAGCCATTTGATCTTAGTAAGCATATTGGAGAAGTTACAATCACTGGTCGTCCACGCACTTTAACCCAAGATCGTACTTATTCTCATGCAGCTACTCGTGTAGTTGATGTACAAGTTGGTCCCAGCAGTTTTGAAAAAATCAGACTCTTGGGTAAAGGTGATGTGGGTAAGGTTTACCTTGTACGTGAATTACAATCAAATAGACTTTATGCCATGAAGATTCTTAGCAAAAAGGAAATGATTGAACGAAACAAGATTAAACGGGCATTGGTTGAACAAGAAATTTTGGCAACATCAAATCACCCATTTATTGTTACATTGTATCATTCATTCCAATCAAAACACTACCTTTACTTGTGTATGGAATACTGTATGGGTGGAGAGTTTTTTCGAGCTTTACAAACTAGAGATACAAAGACCATTTCTGAAAATGATGCCAAGTTTTACGCCGCTGAAGTGACGGCAGCATTGGAATATCTTCATTTAATGGGATTCATTTATCGTGACTTGAAACCGGAAAATATCTTGTTGCATCAATCAGGACATATCATGTTGAGTGATTTTGATTTGTCTAAACGTAGTGAACGGGCGAAAAACCCCGAGATTGCTTTCAATAAAACCAATGGACTATCAATTACTTCACCAGGAGCATATTCCCCTCATCATGGTCCAACATTGGATACCAAAGCGTGTATTGATGGGTTTAGAACCAATTCATTTGTGGGGACTGAAGAATATATTGCCCCTGAAGTGATTCGAGGTAAGGGACACACTAGTGCTGTTGATTGGTGGACGTTGGGAATATTCATTTATGAAATGTTGTATGGAACAACTCCCTTCAAGGGTCATGATCGTAAAAAGACATTTGCCAATGTCCTTAAACGTGATGTTAAATTTGATCTTGTACCTACACAACAATCTGTGTCTTCAAATTGTAAAAATTTGATTAAGAAATTGTTGATTAAGGAAGAAGATAAACGATTAGGGTCCAAGACTGGGGCCTCTGAGATCAAGAATCATGTGTTTTTTAAGAATACACAATGGGCATTGTTAAGGCATCAGAAACCACCTATGATTCCTGTATTGACCAAATCAAAGAAACATCGTGGTGATCAAAAGAGTGGGGCCAAAGGGGCTACTGCAGACAAGGAAAATGGCGGTGAATTACCCGAAGATGCCATGAAAGAAGTACAATCAGTTCTGGAAACTGATCCCAATGATCCATTTGCCAAGTTCAACTCCGTAACATTGCGATATGGTGATAACGAAACCACGACATTTGAATTTAATGATCCCACCAACGGCATTGGCGGTGGCGGTGATGATGCTGGTGGTGGACTCGTTAATGGTCTCGCACTTGATTCATCAGTGGTTTATAGCCAGGACCAGGCTACGGCATATACTAGTGTTGCTTACACTATGACGTCCCCTGATAATGTAACTACAAAGAGGGGTTTTTTACGAAGGTGAGTGAGCGCACAAGATATTGCAAGGTTGGATACATTGATTACAATTTATAAGCATGTATACGAAAAGTTTAGAAAATGATATATTTTTATTATACACGGATGTAGTCGATCATACATTCGTTATGTCGATATATTGGAACCGAAGCTATATTGGAAAAAAGGCTGTGTTGGATTTCTCTCCCCTCGACGGGCTGTGTCCAAGTCCCATTCTTGTTTCTGTAGACACCATCAACAACGCCGCATCGAAGACAGTCCAATAATGAAATGCTGACTAGGTGTGTGTTGTGTGTACTTCTGTGCCTCAACTCGCTCGTACACTCACTCACTCACTGCCTCGTTGATATTTGCCATTGTACAAATTTGTGACATCTTTCCAATCGCTCGTTGTCAAATAAAACACAAAACTAAGGAAGTGAAAATCCAGGAACATATATCCTGCATTTTAACGAAATCCGTAACAAAGCCCCAACATCATCTTGAGCCGCACATTAATATCCCCATTGGGAATCGTCATTTACTACATTTTTATTGAAATTTCTAAACTTCTTAATCTTTTTTTCCATTTACTTTATTTAATTCGCTACTTTGAATAGCTAACCATGTTTTATGCAAGATAAATAGACCGAAAATAACTTTATATGACGTTGTAAAGCAATAAAAAAAAGCCATCAAACCCAACCAACCAATCCAATTTTTTTAAAAAGTAAGCTAAAAACGAAGCTCACTAGCAACGAAACGAAAATAAGACCTCTTCTTCAACCCCTCAACCAACCTCTTCTCTGTGACTATAGTTTAACAATCAACAAAGTCGATAATCTTTAACTTGACAGCATTACATTGAGCAGCAACATTTTCATCATACAAATTGTAGAAATCACCACTCAAACATTGATAAAACACCTTGGAGTCACCAAGAGTCAAGTAACCATCTTTGGAAATTGACCAACCAGCAGCAAAAATGGATCCAGCTTGTGGTGGTGGACCATCAAATTGAAATTGTCTGTTAGCAACAATAGCACCAATTCTACCCTTTGAATCAGTCAAGACACCATCTTCCAACTTCATAACCAAGTTGTTTGAAGATGAGCAAGCTTTTGGAATTGATGAGGATGAGTCTTCGTCGTTGGATGAAGAGACACCTGATTCTTGTGGTTGACCATCGGAAAGTGTGGTGGCAGCGGCTCTTGATTCAGCAGCAACGGTAGAGTTTTTGTGTTGGATTTGACCATCAGAAATTTGGGCAGCAGCAGAAGCAGTTGGTTCAGCTGTGGTTTGATGTTGGATTTGACCATCAGTGATTTGGTTAACAGCTGAAGCGGCAGCAGCAGTAGTTTGGTGTTGAATTTGTCCATCACCAATCTGGTTGATGACGGAAGCAGCTGAAGTTTGGTGTTGAATTTGTCCATCACCAATTTGGTTTACCACTGAAGCTTGAGTAGTTTGATGTTGGATTTGACCATCACCAATTTGGTTTACCACTGAAGCTTGAGTAGTTTGATGTTGGATTTGACCATCACCAATTTGATTTACCACTGAAGCTTGAGTAGTTTGGTGTTGGATTTGTCCATCGGTGATTTGATTTACCACTGAAGCAGCAGCAGCAGTAGTTTGGTGTTGAATTTGTCCATCAGTAATTTGAGCAACTGGAGCAACTGATGACTTTGATGCTGAAGAAGATGAGGATGGCAAGATGGAATATGAACCAGACCTAACATTTGGTTGACCATCCGATAACGCACTCACAACAGCTCTTTTACCCAATGTGGCAGAAGCAGTTTCCAATTTACTAGAAAGATCAGTAGCCGAATCAGTAGACAATGCCGATGCAGCTTCAACAGTCTCAATTTGAATACCAAAACTTGATGTATAGTCGGTAGTTGCATCAGTTGGAATTGATGCTGATGGAGTTAATGTGGTCCATGGCGCTGATGGAACTGTAGCAGCCAATGCCGTGGTTAGAAATGCAGCAGATGTAGCGATTGTTGTGTACTTCATTATTTTTTATGTGTGTGTGAATGTGTGTAGAAATATTATTATCAACCTGTGTAATGTGTATGTGCCAAGTAAAATATATGTAAGGGTGTGAAATCCTTTTGACAGGTTGCTTGGAAAAAGTAGGTTTTTATATGATTGATGAGGAAAGAAAAAGAGTTCCTGGAGACGGATGGAAAAGGGAATTTCAATGCCCTTTTATAATGATAGAAAATCAAAAGGAGGGTTAGTGATGTTTGGTTGTTATTGTGATGGCTGTATTAGTTTCAATTGCGGTGTATACTTCTTGATATGCTATATTGCATCATCAATCATCATATGAAATATGTAGGCTGTGATACAAAACATATTACACAATGCATGATTGACTAAAATTTGAGAAAAATAAATAAATAAATAACAAGCACATATATAGATGGAAAAATAAAAACTGTAAACAAACCAGGCTTATCATTATCATCATCATTCAACTATCTTCCACACCTAATGGCTCCACTCGTTTCACCTTTGTCGTATTGTCTATAAACAGAATTCTTCAGGTCTCTCTATTCTTGTAATTTAAAAGAGCATTGGTGACGTATAATGGCCATCAATATCCAACCGAAAAAAAAAAAAAAAAATGAGCAAAAAAAAAAGAGGACTAAACAATAGTATACATTACCCCTATGTTGTTTTTGTTCTTCTACCTTCTACTTTTGATATCCGAGTTCATCCAATTCCATTTATGTTTGTGTATGTGTAAGCAGGCTCAGTTAAACTCTCATTTGAATTGTGATAGCTTATTTGTTTTTTATTTTTGCTGTATAGAAATTTACAATTTGACCAGCTGGGAAAATCAAAACAAAAAACAAAAGGACTAGTTTGATAGCACAAGAATATAGCATAGCCCAACTCCTAATGCTCCCACTCCCCTTTTTGATCTAAACCCTGATGACAGGATCTCAAAGCGAGATCATTCCTTTGTGATCTGTGCTGGCTCTTTTAACCTCTAGCTTGCTATGGAATACTGTTTAATAAAGATATTGATCCGTGCTGGCTGTTGATGATCTGTGCTGGCTGTTTTGAAAATTAGCCACAAAACCAAAGGAAAAAAATATATATATTTATATGCATAAAGTAGTGCGCTTTTAACCAAAAGACAAATACACATAATTTATATGCAAGCCATTAACTCGCCGAAAGGGGGAGGGGGGAAGAAGGATATCACGAAGAAAAAAGAGGTAGCTTTTCCGACAAAAGTGCGGAGGAAGACAAGTCTCAATTGGTACGAGGAATCTCTCCAACTGTATCCCCATAGACTTATCTTCTACTATGAGCAGAATGATGCTTCTTCATCACCACTGCTTTTCAGTCTGCCATTGATTTCATCCCCATGAAGGCGATCTTCATGACTTCTTACAACGTATACGTCGATGTTTTGTATATTTACTTGAAGCAATCTTAAGCTGAACTGAGATGTGCATTTAAAAGTTTAAAAATAGAAACACATTATAAAGATTTTGTTTTTACAACCAGCCATCTGTCTCTATATTGTTTAACAAAAACCCCACTCAATTGAAAATTTCATCATACACAATACACTACCTACCACGCACTTATGATGTCACACACACAGAAACACACCGAGACAGGATATAGAGTCATTCTTTCTATCATCCTAATTAGTGCAAACGACAGCACACATGTGTAGAGATCTTTACACCTTTGCTTGCAACAACCAATAGATGACAGGCAATATTGACGATAAGTACTTGTACTTCAATTTACCCCTTTCATTCGCTAAGTTGTACATATTTTGTTTTCTATTCAACCGGCAATAACGGTTGTCCAATGGATACCACACAGTTTTGATAAGCTTTGAGTTTGCGTTGAGTAACGTGACTTAAATTACATGCATCACAATCGTAGTAAGACGAATTGTTCACGCAAAAACAAGTATAAAGCCACCAATAATGTGCTTTCAAATACCTTACTGTATTACTATCTTCCAAGCTCCTCTTGAGCCTTGTTATTGGGATCATTCATTTCATTTGGACTGACACATTGTCATTTCCACATTGCTGATTCTCTTGGTAATTTATGAAAGTTCAATACTCACATCTTCTCTCGTTCAAAATGACAAGATATAACCGATCGATAACCATCCGATTGGCTGCTCTATGGTTATGTGGCATTTCATTCAACAACCAGTTACCAACTCTACACAAAACAGTATTGCTCTTTTCACTGGCTCTAAAACAATCGAAACTTTTTTTCATGATCTTGATAGGGTTTTATCTTCGAGATAACCCAGTCCCAATTAGGAAGGAGCTCTATCAAATTTGGCAATATGTTTACAAATTCTGCAAAGGGGGGGGGGGGGGGGGGGTGGTAGACCCAGGTCACCGACACATTACAAACCACACGTGATACCATAAATTGAGATATATCGTAAGTTCAAAAGTATGTTCAGTCTTTTCTCTACATATTTTTTGCTTTCGTTTCAGGTTCTGCTGGTTTTGAATCAAGTTATGTAACTACTTCATATACAATTGGGCAACTAGGACTGGTTGTAATTGGTCCTTTGAGGAAAGGAAAGGTATTAGCATTTCCAATTGCTCTTTACCGCCCAATTTCCCGCTAAGTATTTTCCTCAACTCTATTCACTCTGAGTAAGCATTTATCTATTATTAGCTGTCTGGACGTGCTGCCACAGCAACAAGACTTGGAGTAAACCAATGCGGCTCAAATGGTCTCCCAATCGCGTAATAAATAAAAGCGGGAGTAAAATCGTCACAATTTCCCAATAGGGCCAAAAAAAAACTTATTATCCCGCCACACACTCACCGATTTCTTGATTCTTTTTTTTTTTAGGCATAAAGTTGTCAAACCAGATGTGATCTTCATCACAGACAATCCTAAGATTCGGATCTTGCTCTGCTTGTCTGCCTGTCTGTCTGGGGTGTAACTGACTTTAAGACAGGCGGGTCTAAGAAACAGTTGATGAGATCGGCTTTAGTTAACAGTAATTGTAAGAGAATAAACAGTTTTTGCAACAACTTTGGTTGAAAACTTTTACAGCGATGTTTACAAAACTCGTTGTTTGAGACTTTGGTAAATCTACAAAAGTATGTTTACATGGACAAACAGAGATAGGCAAGGGAATCGCTTCTTGAAATATGCCTGACCTTTTCGGGAGTCGATGAAATGGCAATTTGTATACATGTATTTCCATCCACCAGGAAAGGAAAATTGAGAAGTAATAAACAATCATCTGAATGTGATTTTCGGGTGACATCAAACTTTGGTCAACGGAAGCAACTGCACCGCTCAGACCACGGGAACGAGCGGGCTCATATAATCAGGTCGTTAGATTCTCGGCCCATCTTAAAAGAATCTCTTGATGGTTGAGATCCACGAAAAAGATTGACATCGTTGAACTACTCGCTCTCTGTACCTTTCCATAACCCAGACCTCAGATCAGGTGTTCTAGACACAGCCAATGCTTACTAATCTATCAATAAGGTTTCCGCATCCAACTTTAAAGTTTTAAATTGCAAAGGGGACACACACTATAAAACACGTTTTGATCGAAAATCCTCCTTTTTCTTTTTATTTTTTAGAGAGACTTTTGAAGCAAACCTGTCCTATTTAAAAGTCAATATTTAACGAACTTTTGACTTAAAACACATTCTAGGGTGCTACATATCCCAAAGTCCAGGATCGACAAATGCAAGATGAGGGTAGTCGAGGGGGAGAAACACAGGGTGTTTTCTAGATCTGGACTTTGACTTCAACACCAGCCACCGAGATTCTCTCTCCCTATCAAAAGATATAAAACATCTATGCTTAGCCACACTTTTGTATCACCTTTTATCATTTTCTATTGTACTTTCTGGGGAGGGAACAACTTTTGTCTAGATCGCCATGTAACTGAATCTATTATTGCTCTATTCTATTGTTTCTTTTGCACGGCATGTTTAAACGCCCTGGCATTAGTTGTGTGTGTGTGTGTGTGTGTGTGTATGTGTGTGTAACGGGATCGGCATTGATCAGCGCTCTTTTCTATTGTGTGATTAAAGTTTCCCTTTGTTAAATTTTACAATCGAATGTTCCTTTTCCGATCGAGTGGAAATTTACTCCAACTGTTTAAAAATTCCCATCTTTGTAATTTATGGTTTAGATCATTCAATCAAAATAGAAAAATGGTTCGATAGTTCGAGACCAAATTGGTCTTGAACAGATAGATAGAGTTTTTAGGTGCTCGGATAAAGAGCTCCACCTTTGGTCTCTCCAAACCTTAAAATAACCAAATAGCTAATTCCGATTACCTTCTCCCCACTTTAGAACGTCATTTAATGCACACGTCTTTCTAGAAGAGCGCTAACCTTGGAGAAACTAATTTTATTGGTTGGTGCATTTTATGCTCTCTTACATGATTTCCCCGCTCTTTGCTCCTCCATACTCTCTAGGTCACTTTGCAAAGCAGTTGCACCCATCTGAACAGCCATCATTCAACAAGCAATTGACTCGTTGCACTTCGTGTTCCCTGAGGCGGGAAAAGAAACGTATGATCAGCAAAGAGCCACACAATTTGTATTCCTATTGTGTTGCAAAGATGATACAAAATATCCACGGAAAAGTATCCTCTTTGTGCTATAATCACCACTTTACGAATCCTCCTCCATAATGAATTTTGGCACTTGTATGCAGTTGCATGGTGAGAAATTTGTTCCATACAGTCGATCTTTAGCATGCAGTGCCCTGCCCAATTCTCATACGATTTTTTTTTTCTTCTCCTCTCTTTTTAATGTTTGCGAATTGCTCACAGATGTTAAAGCGAACATGTTTGATTGAGTGGAAAGAAATATGCGGTCTTAGCAGTTGTATTGGGATAAAAGTAAGTTACTGCAAGGAGAAAGTGTAATCGTTATACACATGATAAACCCTGTAGATTATTTTGAAGCAAGATTGATGTAAGTGGTTTCATAAAAAGGTTATCCTTCTTATGAAACGCAAACCTTTTTCGGTTCACAGGAGGAGGTCTTGCCTTTACAATTCGTAAATTGACAAAAGGCGCTATCTTTTTTGCAAATTGCAATTCAGTGACCACAATACATTCCACAATTGAGAAGTTCGGCTAGCGTTTGTAACTAATGAGGTCGTGTGTGAAGCAAAATAGTTCTTGGGAATCCTCTTTTCATTGTCTTTTTACAACAAATGCGTCGAAAAACTAGTTACAAACACAGCGAATTTAAATTACGAAGATTTTGCAAACCAAAAATTGGCAGTGATCGAAAAGACAAAAGAGTGTTTTATTTGCCAAGAATTACCTTAACTACCAGTAGAATCACGTTTAAAAGGCTTTCAACTCATTTCGGCGACAAAAGGCGGCCACGTTCTGGGACACGTTTGGTCAAAATATGCGTACCGTTTTAATCTAAGCCTCTACTTTGAAAGCGGCCTTTGCTCCACTTGTTGCTAATGCCTGTGAACAACGACGCATGTAAGAAGCAGAATGCATGACCAAGTGACACACGTCGTAATCACTTTCGTGGCATCAATAACATTCTCAAAAGAAATAAAGGAGTGCTTCACCCGCTATTTGAATTCCTAAACAGCTAAAGCTTTTTTTGCTTTTCTTTGCTCTGGAATTTAGTTGCACGCTAAACATTGCAGACGGACTTAGGAGAATTTAGGTGAGCCCTATATACGGTTTCGCTATTGGCTTGGCTCCATATTAGGCGTTAGTTGTACCGCGGTCAAAATCTGAGTGTAAATACCTCACAATTCAAAGACCCGTTCATTACTGAAAGGAGAAAGTAAAGAAAGAAAGTTAAGCTTCTGCAATGGTTAAAACGATATCTTTTGAGGATCTGGAGAGGGGAAGTTGGGGAAAGCTAATTTTTTACATTGATCAAACTGCACAGTATTCTCACCTAAATGAGGATATCGAAATGGCCATTGAAAGCGAAAGGTGATGGCGCAGGAACTGTTCACATTGTTGATGAATATCTTAATCATTGCTAGTTCAGGGCATTGAGGTACAGTTAGTGGATAATAATCGCTTTGTTTTGTTAAAAATTTAGCACATGAAAAAAAAAAGAAGAAAAGAACTTTCTCTGATTCACACACACACACACACACACTCTCTCTCTCTCTCCTTGTTTTTCCCTTTTTCCCTTTTTTTAACAACTGCTGCATGTACAATTACATAATTAATTACCTAATCAAACACTACCCTTCTTGCATTACCACTTAACAAAAAGCAATAAAGAATTATCACAAAATAGAACGAAAAAAAGAAGGCTAGCTATCAGCACAATAAACATTTCCTTTGTACCGTGCAATCTCAACAGTATGAGTGAAAAACAATAAGATCATAATATGTATAGTTTACTGTTTCTTTGTTTATGGGTTCAACTGTATGGGCTCCTAACCATACAATTCTTTTCTCCATTTCTACTAAGTTTTATGAATCGTGCATATGCGTTCCAGCCAAAATCGTTTATAAAAAAGAGAAAACTTTACCTCTTATTGTTAAACTCTCTCTCTCTCTCTTTTGTATGTTTGGTTAGAGAATTATAAACAATAGATTTTATTCCTATCCTCTCCTTGTCTGGCAAAAAGGGTCTTTTAATCTTTATTTACACATGCTTTTTTTTTTATAATTTTTTTTTAAGTTCTGAATAACCAAAAATAAAAAGAATAACAGTCATTCTCGTTTCGATTATAAATACCCAAGTTAATCTTGTGCAATTATTGAAACAAAGTTGAGGTACAGTTTTGCTTTGACCCCGATTCCTTTCAACAAAAGAAAAAAGTTATGCCCTCCCAAATCTGCTGCCACTGACTTATAGCAGCTCCCCTTAATCGTCAACTCGCTTTTTCGAATATCAATTATCAATCAAGTAGATCGAAATCTCACAACAAAGAGTGACTCAATAACAAAAGCCTTCAGGATTTTTCCAATCTTGAAGAAAAGATATGTCAAATAGCTCAAACCAAGATAACAACAATAATAAACCAGTAGACCAATTGTCAGTGATAAACAATCACCCAGATACCCCATCCCAAAGTACACGAGGATTCAGGTCAACACCAGCTTCATTTGATATCGCCATGCCAGCTCAAATTCAAACCAACTTTGTTACTCCACACCTGGAGTTCCCACATCATTACAACCCTTCATTAAATCTTCATTCGCAACAACTCCAATTGCATGGTATGGGCTTAATGCAACCACCTGATGTTTCACAAATGTCGATCCAAAATGCTTTCGGGATTCAGCAAGCACTTGCACTGAATGAAGTTTACAATTCACAAAATCAACTCACCACAAATGTTTCAGATGCTTATGTCTACAGTATGCAATCAAATTTACTTGGACAAGGAAGCGTATCATCTCACAATCCATCTTTCCCCACCACTGCCTCAGCGGACAAGGTTTCCGTTCAACAATCAAAAGTATATGAGAATCATCCGCCTACGTTAAATCGACCAGTACATCTTCCTCAATATGCACCACCCATTCAGTCCACAATCCAATATCAACAAGCTCAGTCCCTACAGTCTTATGATCCTTCGTATGTGTCCTCAACATCAGTTGCTCCAAAAACAACCGACTCCACTGCCCTCTCAAAGAGCACCGATGTGGCTTATTCGACTAGCACCTCCTCCTCCATACAAGAGACAACCAATGAGCTTCCCTCGGAATCTTCTTCTTCTTCATCCCCCTTTGTACAACTACCATCGCGTAGTGGCAAGAAACAACGCAAATCCCTGTCAACACTGCATGAAATGACACCAGAAACAGCATTACGCAATCGATGTCGTATTTGCAACAAACAATTTAAACGTCCTTCGTCACTTCAAACCCACTATTATTCTCACACAGGTGAGAAGATATTCAAGTGCCCTTGGCAAGGATGTGGGAAAATGTTTAGTGTCAAATCAAATATGACGAGACACTACAGATTACACGAGCGAGACTCTAGACGGGCACAAGAAGCTGACTTTCAGAGTAGGAACCCTGAACTTATGAGGGCCTTGGGATTGTCTTCAAATTCGAGCACTGTGCGGCAATACTTTCAACCAATGCTACATCATAACACTCACCACCACCAAACCCATCACCAACAACTCCAGCAACAACAACAGCCACATCACCAGCACCAGCAACTAATGCCACTGCAGTTTCAACAGCTGGATCCAGTCACTATTGGATCAGCTCAAGCTCAACCGAGGGATTTGAGTCAGCTTGATGCATTTCATCGCCCGCTTTATCAATCGTACTCACCCTTGTCGTCGCAAGTCCCTTCATTAATGCAATCCCAATACATGCTAACTCCTATAGTGGTTGATGGAAATATGCAAACTGAGCAGCTGAGAGTATCAGAAGCACAACAATCACCAGTACAAACAATAAATGCTAGATTGCCGTGAATAGCAGATCTCTAATTGTGTACATAAATTACTTATCATAATAAGCTGAACTAACTTTTCGTCTCAAACAAGATGCTGCTACAGAGCGCCCATATGGTGTTTTTCTTCGGCTACTTATACCTCTTTGATACTCCCATCGGCTTTTTTTGTCCGTGAGCACGTGTACTTTTTTTTGTCACTCGCACGACTTTTGAGCCAATCAAAAGACCATCAAAAAAAATTACAACCAAAAGCCAACAACAATATTAAAACATTTTGACATTACAACATAAACACACAATTCAACAATGGCTGCTGGACATTTAGCTAAATACATACGTCACGCACCGGTTTCTGCTCCACATGTTGCTCCACATGTCTACTGGGGTGCGAAGCTAATGGGTGCTACTATGTGGTTTTGGATTTTTTACAGGATCAAGGAAGATGGACCTGTCATGTTTGGAGTTAAGTTGCCATTTGAACATCATTGATTGGAGAAAGGAAACCAGAAGGAGTTGATGCGTTGGGGAAGTGTCCATCATAAATAGAATGGCCGAGCGAGTTTTTTAGCGAGGGATTATCACAAATATCAAAACGCAAGACAATATATAGATTTTATGTCTTGAAATACGACAGCCATCGAGATGGTGTACCGAGAGGGAGGATACAAACTTCGTCGTTCATTGTAGGTATGTGACTCCAAGCTCTTCAACTTTTTCGTCACTATTACTTCTTCTCAATTTGCTCACTCTCGCGAATTATCAAACACATTGGCAATTGCAAAAAGCACCAGATGGTACTACTTGCCTCGTGTCCGTTGTTAGCATTGGCATTGGCGTTGTCTTACTTCTGTTGGGTTCTAAGCCAACTAGTATGCAACGCGATTTTTCAACAATAAACCCGGTTTTCCATTTCATACACAAAATTGTGTCCTACATATAGATGAAAATTTCAGGTAAAGAAATGGCTTCAAACTAGTAAATCATAATCGATGGGACTCCATAAAATGGCTTTCGGAGTTCATCCAAACTAGAACAGGTGCTTTCTCTTTTTTTAGTTGGCTTCAACCAAACTGAATTCGAAAGAATGACACTGATATGCAGGCTAAAAATTGGTTATGCGTGATATTCGCAAAAATATATGATGCACAATAATGCCATGGAAGGAATGGAAGTTCAAAAAGAAAAAAAATATAATCTGCTTTATTATAAAGGATAAAGGCGAGACCGTTCTTTTGATAAAAGGGGGTGTTCGTAACGGTGGTAGTTTCTCTTGTGGACTTGCACAGAAGCTATACAATATGTAGAATATTACTTTTCGGGTAACGTGACTTTTGGTGCTGTAACAACCTTTGCAAAAGTGTGCACTTCATGCATAAGTTCTTCGTACACGTCTAATACTAAATGGAACAAAATTTCAGTAGTAGAACAATAGAATTATAATTTTTTACTTCTTTTCTCTCTTTTTTATGTAGATTCGAAAACTTTATTTAAATTACATCCCATTTTATCAACACCGAGAAAGAAGCGTCTCAACTACTAGGCCAAGGCATAATTCATCTTTATCACCAACCAATTCTCAATCTAAGAGGCAAGCTATTCGCCGATTTTGAAAACTCCGGAAACGAAGTCACCCGCCAATATCACCAGTTTTATTCTTAACCGCTTAGATAACGTTGCAACCTCGATCCTTTATCAAATAGACATCATGTCACCATGCTAGATCCGTCAGCAAGATTAAGAAATGCCGTGATAGCCGGTAATCTTGCCATAGTCAAACGAATACTATCACGATTCCCTGAATTGTGGCTCAATGCCGACCCGAATCATCAAGGTTGGTCCAATCTACATTACGCATCTTATCATGGTCATTACTTGATATGTTTCCATCTAATCACATTCATCAATAAAACATTGGGGAACCTACAGAACGAATATACTACGTTGGATCTTTTAACATTTGATAATTTGAATGTCTTACATTTATGTATGGAGCATCATCATTCACAAACTTTGCACTATCTATTACAAGAGTTTCCTGGGAAATTGTGGCTCAATTCTATGGGTGGAGAACACAACCAGTCGCCATTGCATTATAGTTGTAAATACAACTTTAAGGAGGGAACCAATTTGTTGTTGGAATTTGGCGCCAACTACAAATTAGCGGATGGGAACGGAGACACCTGCCTACATTTGTGTTTCCAGTATGGAAGTCTAGATTGCTTATGCGCTATTGCCAGCTACATCATTTCACAATCAAAGGACAAAGACTCGGCAAAGGAAGCCTTAGATGCCCTTGAAAAAGTGAAAAATACAAATGGGTGGATTGCAAAGGATTTTGCCTCCAGTTTTGAATTAATTCAACAATATGAAGTAGTAAAGAGTCGAAGCTTAGCCAATTACAGCTTCATTACGCCACAACAAACAAAGCGTCAACTCTGGTTGGATGCTGAAAAAGCCAATAGCTCATCACGCGTTTCACTTGAAGAGAATAAGGTGTTGACGAGTCCAATTGTTCTGATGTCTTTGCAAAATCAAAATCTGCCATTACCTGCGAGACCTCAAAATCGAAGGCAGCATTCACGATCCTTACCTATAGAGCAAAAAGCCACTTCTTTCAGCCATGACTCAATACAGGATACTTCAAGACAAAGATCCAACACATTACTTAACAACAAACCTACGCCACTTAGCATTTCCAGTAAATCTTCACATACCTCGCTACATGGCAACTCGCTAGCGCTGATTCATGGAATGGTTGCTCCACTAACCCCATTGAATCCACCAAAAACCCCATCCATCAAGTCGGTCACTATATCACCAGTGGGAGCTGATCCTGTGAATGCAAGTATCGAAAAAGAAATGGAGTTGGACTCTCCACAATCGGTGTCTAGTGGCTCATCTTATTTTGCACAATCTAGTGATCATCACCACAACAGTAATACCAAAGCACGCAAATCTTCAGTATCCAAAGCAACGACATTGCCTTCAATTAGCTCCCCTACGGTAACATCATATGCAGAGGTTATATCTCCGCAAATCCCAAATACTCAGCACCTGCAACTGCAACCCCAGCCGCAACCGCACGAACCTAAAACAAGCCGTACTTCGTCATCCTCATCAATTGCCGCTAAAGTTGCATTCAATTCAAGCCGATCATCATTACACAATGTCTCTGATACCAGCCCCATCAAGACAAGACCAAGATCTTCTTCGCGACAACATTCCAATCTCAGCAATAGTCGAGTCAACAGCTTCAATAGTACATCAAGCACAAGCAGTGCAACCTCTAGCATCCCTCCTCAGGGTGGTTATTCTATCTCAAATAGTTCCGGTTCAAGTTTTGAAACTGTGCATCGAACCAAAGATGGTGATGAAAATAGTGAAACAAATACAGGAGCCTCAAAATCGAGCATCAATGATTTTGTGTTGAGGAAATCAAGGTCGTCTGGTACGTTACCTTCGGGGGCTGTCCCTAAAAATGGTGCGCATCATGTATTTGTGAATCCTGCCGCCAATACAAGTCTTCATTCATTGAATAGCAACAATGATTATGATAAAAAGGCATCAATTAGTAGCATCACATTTAGTCGTGTTAGATAGTTTATTGCATAAAAATTAGTGACTATTTCTGGTCATTCTTTCAAATTGATGCTCTTCCCGTCTTTGGATGGTACTTGAGTAGGGAAAGCGGTAACTTCAATCGCGTGCGATATGTCGTTGGCTCAGTTGTAGGACGTCTCTTTGTTACACCGTTGCTGCAAAAAGAAAATTCGTGTTTGAAAAATAGAAAACGCGTTTTGGAAAACTGACAGTGAAAAGGACTCTTCACCCAAAAACAAATGACGCCAAAAAAGCAACCGTCAATAAACCAGTTCTTTTCAAGTCAGAGGCCAAAGAGCTCAAATGATGATGATTCATTAAAGTCGAGTCCAGCGCAGCAATCGTATTCCAATGGTATAGACAAGTTTCAATTTGTTGAAGGCCAAGTTGCACCTGAGGTGTCTAAAGTACAACATCAGTTAGGTGCTCCAATATCACCCACTACCGGAACAGAAACACCCAATACGTCCCCATCGCCAGCCAGTCCTTCGACTTCAAATATTCTCGAGAGTTTCCACTATGTTAAGAATTCCACTGTGGCACCATCAACTACTAAACGCGAAGCAGCAATCTCGTTGACCAATCACAAACCTAAGAAACAGCGTGTCACCAAGCTCACACCTTTGGAAAATCAGATTTTGGAACTCACTGAGCTTCACCCTGACAAGATACTTCTAATTCAAGTAGGTTACAAGTACAAAGTTTTTGGTGAGAATGCAAAACACGTTTCGAGGTGTTTAAACATTATGTATGTACCTAACACCGATCCTCGATTTGCATACTGCTCTTTCCCTGATAACAGACTCCATATCAATTTGCAACGAATATTGAATAGCGGAGTTAAGGTTGGAATTGTCAAACAGATGGAATCAGCAATTATCAAGGAGATTGACAAAGTTGGCAAAAGTGGTGACTTGATGAGGCGTGAAGTGACTGGAGTATACACGAAAGGAACCTATATGAGTGATGAGTTTGTTGGAAGCAATTTAATACCAAATTCTGTTGAAGAGGAGCATAACAATTACATTGTGTGTATCAATGAAGTGACGGATCGAGAATTTGTCGTTGTTGCTGTACAACCCTTGACCGGTGAAATCATTTATGACGTTTTTACTGATGACGTAAGTCGAGAGGAAATGGAAACACGATTGTTATATCTTCGACCCAGTGAAGTTGTTGTCATCAACAAGGAGGAGGAGATAAATGCAACGACAATGAAGTGTTTGAAGCTTGTAAACCACGAGCTTAAAATTGAACATCGCAAAGTCGAACATGTACGATTTGATGACTATCTCAACTTGGACATGATTGACTACTATCTGCAAAATTTCCCGATGCTGGTTCAGGAATGCTTTCATGAACTTTTAGTATACTTGGCAGAGTTCAAATTGAGCAATGTGTTTACGATCCCACAAAATATCACTACGTTCAAGGATGCAAGAAAGTACATGATTTTACCAGCAAATACGCTAACGGCATTGGAGATATTCACCAACGAAACTGACCCAAAGTCACCAAGAGGAACGTTAGCATGGCTTTTAAATCATACGAGATCTAAATTCGGGCATCGGTTGTTAAATAAATGGATTTCTAGGCCATTGGTTGACCGAGAAAAGATTGAAGAGCGATACGATGCCGTAGAGGAACTAGGACGGGGATTTAATCACGTAGTTGATTCACTAATGACGCAATTGGAGAAGATTGGCAAAACGTTAGATATGGAAGAATTGCTCATCAAGATACATTATTCTGCGACAACTCAATCAACGAGGGTCAATAGAAAGCAGATATTCCTCTTGCTACAAAGCTTTAATGATTTATTAAAGATGGTGAAACTGTTTGCCAAGACAATACGAAGCCCAAGTTTAAATTTGACATCGCCATTAATTGTCAATATGTTGAACGATTTGCTTGAGCTGGCGGAGACGGGCATTGTAGAGAAATTCATCAGCGTGATTAACCCATCCTATTTGTTTAATGAACTGAAGGATCCATTTGAGCAAAAAACGAGCTTTTTCGATTTACGTCACGGTTATGACGATATCAATCACGAGTTTGCTGAAATTAAAAATGTGGAGCATTTACTTGATGAAGAATTGGTTAGAGTTAGACAATTGTTGCAACGACCTCAACTCAACTATGTCACCAGTAATCGAGAGCCATATCTCATTGAAGTGAGAAATGGCAAAGCTGTTAATTCATTGCCGCCTACATTCATCAAGATTAATGGAACCACTTCAGTGAGCCGATTTAGAAACAAGGAAATTTCAAATCTATACAAGCTAAAACAATATCATGAAGAAATGTTGGTGCAGCGATGCGATGAAGCATTTGTTGAATTTTTACAAAATTTGGATTCACAATATGGGTTTCTCCAAAAAATCGTCAAACATTTGGCAACTTTGGATTGTCTACTTTCCATAACTGCTGCCAGTGTGCTCAATAACCAAGCAAGACCATTATTGACTGATGATTTGGTAATTGATGTTAAGCAAGCACGACATCCAATTATTGAGCAGTTGAGAGATGGGTATGTGGCCAACGATATTGATATCCAGTACGACACCAATCGTGCATTGATCATAACTGGGCCAAACATGGGTGGAAAGTCCTCATATGTGAAAATGGTTGCCTTATTCACCATCATGACTCAAATTGGTTGTTACTTGCCTTGTCAATCGGCAACAATGGGTATCTTTGACTCGGTGTTTATTCGTATGGGTGCTAGTGACAATATTCTCAAGGGTAATTCGACTTTTATGACGGAAATGTTGGAGTGCAGCAATATTATTCACCGTCTAACTCCCAGATCATTGGTGATTTTGGATGAGATTGGAAGGGGTACAGGCACCACTGATGGGATTGCATTAGCGTATGCCATTTTGAAATACTTCATTGAATCGGAATTGAAACCATTACTTTTATTTATTACTCACTACCCTTCGATTCACATTTTGGAACATGAGTATCCGGGAGAAGTTGTCAATTATCATATGGGATTTGAAGAGGTTGACAAGGGAAGTGGTAAATTCCCTGAAGTTATATTCTTGTACAATTTGTGTCGTGGTGTCGTTGGTAATTCGTATGGGTTAAACGTTGCTAAATTGGCAGGAATCCCTGAACAAGTTATTGCCAATGCATATAAAGTGAGTGAAGACTTGAAACATGAAATTGAATTGGATGATGATTTGGAATTGCTCAAGTCGGTGCAGTCAGTGGTCAAGGGGGATGACGCTGATGTATCTAATTTATTAAAGTATGTAAATTGAAAAAATCTAGCACAAGCGTATTGAAAGCTTGTGGATTGTCTAAATATATATGATGGCCAGCATCTTTAACCACTTTAAACTGGGTTTTAGCATCATTGTTTTCGCGTATCTTTTTACAAATGTACTCGCCACCTTTAGAATTCATCCAGTCCTTTTCACCGTACAACCACAACGTACTGATGTCATGTTCAACAAGGAAATCAACAAATCCACGATCGCAAAGGGGCAATTTGGGCAAGATTTCATGATTTATGAGTTTGGTAATTGCCAATTCGCCCGACGCTTGGTACTGATTGAATATCGAGAATGAGTAGCTGTGTAATTTATAAATCAAATCTAATGCTTCATCGTTGTTGTTATTGTTGTTGTTGTCACCACCACCAGTATTCAAGTTTCTAAATCTTGCAAATGACCAGTACGAGATCAATTTAGAATAAAATGGACCGGTTTTCTGTAACAAGTCAAATGGTGACTTGTTATTTTCCCACAACTTTTGCAATACTGAACTTTTGGGGAATTTGGGTTTACCTACAAGTTCCCAAGCTTTGGTGAATTCGGGACTAATTACCACTTGTTGATCATCCTCATCTTCAAATTGCAATTCTCGTAATGGGTTACTTGCATAGTGAAGATTTACATTGAACCTCTCGTCATTGATTAAACTATGTTCGTTGGACTCTGTGCCCATAGGGCTCACCAAGATCAAATCAGACACGATTTTTGACCCATCCTTTTGAATATTATACTTCATCAAATAACAGCAGGACAAGTATGCCCCCATTGAGTGAGCAATGAGTTTGAATGAGTTGATGTGTCTTTGCAATCGCCAGTTTTCAATCTTGTCAATAAACCAATTTTCAATTTCCAAAATCTGTTCAATTTGTTGTCGTTTCTTTGGTGGAGTTGTTAAAAATTGTCGTGGGAATTTTGGTCTGGCAGAGTTGCCAAACCCAGGCAAATCTATCAAGTGTATACGTATCCCCGGGATTCTAATCATCAGCTCAATGTTTTTGATGAAATAGCCCAATGCTGCCATATAACCATGAATGATGACTATATGTTGGTCTGGTCCTGGATCAGTATTCTCCAAATAAAATTCATGAATAAATGAACCGTCACTGAGTTCAACGTCTAGTGATTTCCCTTGCATGGAAATGGGTCCTGCCTCGTTAGCTGTTTCCCCTGCCATGGGTGACTCAATGTATACATCGTCTGGCAAAAGTGCTCTAAATAAATCATACTCTATCTGTCTATTCTTTAATAATGCTTCTTTAAATTTAGGATCATCTTTATTCACTGCCCCATGCTCCCGTTTAAGTTCCAGTGAAGACGACCACCAATCTTGAAATGATTTCAAAATGGGGATTGATTTTGTTGTTGTGGTCTTGGTAAGCTTTTGCTCTGTGGTCGAGTCTACTGAGAGCTCAGATGAAGATGTCGAATGTTCATTTTTGGTTTTGTTGGGGTTCCCCATTGCCTCGATTGAGGTTTGTATCAATGAAGTCATGGTGATGTTACTGAATGTTAAAAGCAGATAGATTAGCTTTTGCTTATCTTTATTTTTGATTTTCGCACTTCGGGCTTTATCATAAACTGATAGCAATAGCTTTTGAGTTATGATCAAGAACCACGCCAAATTCGAAAAAAAAAGCCCAACCAGAGACCAGCTAAGCCATGCTATGTGAATTCCCACATTTCTACAATGCACACATTCCACTATCACTATCAAAACCTCTGTATATTAAAATTAAAAAAAAAAATTATTACTATTCAACGACGATAAAGAAATAAACCGTAAGCAACTATACTGATATCCACCGCTGTTATTGACTCGTATATATGTAGCATCAATGCTGTACTTTATTATCAACTTCTGAGTACAAGGGAGGTGCGCTTTCCCGATATTGATCTGCTTTTGCAGTACTACCATTACTGCCTCCTTCGACAACTGAACCGTAACCAAAAGCAGGCTGAGGAGATGGCTCGTCTGCAATGTGCCCATTTTGTGCCTGGTTGTGCTGCTGATGATTATGATGGTTATGATGATGATGATGAGGGTGTTGAGGATGATCTCTTGGAGTTTGATTCTCCAAATCATTTCTGTAGACATAATACACCTTTGATTCACTTTGATGGTAATAAGGTGGGTATTTGGCAATGATGTACCAAGCATGGATCAAACCGGGGATGAAACCAAGTATACAAAGAAGGATATTAATGGCTGAATCTTTGGAGCATACTCCACGACGAATCCATACTGGCAATGGTGGGAAAAACACTGAAAGAACGATTAACAAAAGATCGGAAAGGCAGATGCACATTGTTTTAGCCTCTAAAAAGGGGGGGAGGAGGTGTTTGGTTGTATTCTATAACTCTTTTATCAAGACCAGTGATGGTTTGTTCAAAAGTAAGTGTAGATAGGAGAGCTATAGTTCTGTAGTCATGTAATTTCTTTTTTCTACTCCTTTTTGCCTCTGATAGAGGGTGATGATGTAATGTCGTAAATAGAATGTGTCGCATTTTTTAATTCACGACACTTCTATTCCTGACCTTTTTTCTTGATCTCTCTCTCTCTTTGTTTTTTTCACAAATCGGTTCAAGTGGGTTATACATTTTTTCATTTTGCCATCAAAACAATACCAAAGTTGATCAAAAGCCATGGCTACAATAGCATTGAATGTAACGTATCAAGGACAACCAAAAAAGTTCACTGTTAATAAATCACAAACCATATCTCAATTTATATCACAATGCTTAACGAGCTACAACATTGATGGTAATACATTTAGTGCTGAATTGTATCACAACAACAACCACAAGGCATTGGACTCAGCATCACCCATTAGGTTAACTAATCTTTTGAATAATGCCAAACTTACACTCAAGGTGAAGAAACTTGATCTTAACAAGGAAATCAATGTCAAATTTATCAGTGACAAAGGCACGGTGGTTAAGAAATTCACTGTAGCTACTACTTTGCATGACATTGTTGAGCAAATAATGGGTCGGTTACTGAAACCAACCCAATTGAGAATATTGGATTTGGTGATTGGGTATGAAAAGTATCTCACGACTACATTGGGGTCTCTTGTTGGGAATGCCAACAATGTTGTTATTCGATTAGAGTATCAGAAACTGACAAATGAAAGGGATGCATTGTTTAAAAAACAACAAGAGGCCAATAGATTACAGTTGCAAGAGATGCAGAAACGAAAGGAAATGGAAGCTCAAAAGCGTCATCAGGAGGAGCAAGAGAAGCAAAGGCTTAAAGCAGAGGAAGCAAAGTTGAAAAAGGTGAACAAAAACGTGTCAGAGGTTCTGGAGCCTCAAGAAGATGCCGAAATGAAAGACGCTGATGAGGAAATACCCTCAACAGCTACTGAGTCCTTGTCGGATCCCAGTACTAGTGATGTTGGCGCGCACCCTGGCCTTGAACCTGCTTCAGAAAGTGCAGCATCTGATTCCGATTATGTCTATCAAGAAGAACCAGTTGATGAAACACCCAAATTGTACGTTCCCTCGAGTAAACCACAACCAACGTATCAAAATCCCGATGAAGATTACAACATGACCATTGACCAAGCAAAGACTTATCAAAATGTGATTCGCAATTCAGCCAAGAGACTGAAAAAGATTGGAGTTGACACGAAAAAGCCAAGCAAGTATTTTATACGTGTTAAATTCCCTGATGGAGCCATACTACAAATCAATTTTCTTGAAAATGTCCATCAAGTTAAATTTGGCACATTGGTTAAAAAGTTGGATGAATTATTAATTCCTGAATTTATCAATACCTATAATTTGAAAATTGGGTACCCACCATTTACCAAATTGAATCAATCATTTGCCATGAATAACGAGTTACTACACAATTTACAAGATTTTCAAGCAGAACAAGTTGTTCTCATATGGGAATTGAGTAAAGAATCAAACAAGGCAGCGCATAATGGTCCATTTTTGAATAATGAATCAAAGGATTTAGTGATTAAACCAAGTGACGAATTGCCAGCTATAAAATTGGCCAAACATCGAAATGAGTTACCACTGAATGAACTGACAAAGTCAAAAGGGGCAAGTGGTGGTGGATTTTTCAAGTCCAAATCAATGCATAAAGATGGTGGTGATGAAGATAAGGATGGTGAAAAAAAGAAATCCAAATTACCTAAATGGTTGAAAATGAAGAAGTAAAATATGGCTTTATGTAGGTACAGTAGTAGTGGACAGGGGAAGAACGGTTCCATCAATGTCTATTATCAAGGGCGCCGTTTATATCTTATTTTGGAGGAGGAATCCTATAAGTTCGGAGTTTATGCGGACGGTCTCTCCGTTAACGGGTGAAAACAAAGCTATTCGATTGGCTACCTATTTAGGAAGTAGGCGCTTACCAATGATACTTTAGTACACAAAGTAAAGAGTTTTTCTTCTTTTTTGGTAGATTGATCCCAAATAAATCACACAAATTACGAATTGCAAAGGTTTCACATGCGCCGTGGTTTTTGGACGGAAGGGGGGAAGGGAAAAGGGAAAAGGGGAGGAAAAGTTAGAAGAGTGAGACATCAGGGGGAAAACACGAGTATGGTAAAAGAAGATTCCAATTGAATGTGTGTATTTTATCAAGGGTTAGATCTACGAAAGTTTCAGTTGTCATTTAATTGAGAGTTGGCGGGAGGGGGGTGGAAGGGGAACGAAGGAAGGGTATATCTAATCCTTTTGTTGTTTACACTTTCAACCCTTTTACGTATTATGATATGAGTCATAAAACAAAGCATTACAAAAGAGATTTACCTACCAAATGTACACTACCTTTCTCCTTAGGCTTAAGTCTTTAGTACACTGAGTATCCAACCAATCAGATTGCGGTATTTACTTATTTTGTGTGTTTTTGTGTATTTTTGTGTACTTTTGTGTGTTTTTTGAAATGTTGTTTGTTGTCGGTGTGGTCGTTGGTCGTGTACTGTTTTACAAATTTGAGTTTCTTGCCCTAAACCCAAATCAAAACTACTCCAAAGCTTGTGCTATATAAATATTATCACCAATTCCCACCAATTCTCACTGAAGAACCAACTGAAAATTTTTTTTTCTTTTCCCTTTTTTACTCTATATTTCCAACAAACAAAACAAACAGTATACACACAACTCTTAATTACATCAAAGACTAAGACTACTATTACAGCTAATTACTATTGCTTAAATTTTCATTCACCTTCCAGAGCCTACAGAGATTACTAATATCACAATGTGTGCTTAAATATATCTACTACTACTACCTTTTACGTTATATTTAAAACCCTTTATTGTTATTTATCGATTATGTCATAAATAATATTTACTTACTTTACTTAAAGAGAGTTTTATTCATCATCAATTTTTATTTTGAAGATTTGATCGTTTGTTTGTTTGTTTGTTACACTACACAATCAGCTCCCCCCCTTACTGTTTATTTAAAAATGTTGAAATAGAAAGAGATTTACTTTACCTGACCTGTTCGTCATGGCGTTGCTACCACTACTACTACTATAAACTTATTCCCCACCAGAGTTATTAAAGAATTAGGATACTGTTACAAGAAATTACTATACTACTGTTTGAAGAAAGAAAATTATTAGATACAAATTACATTTATTACTACTACTACTACTACTACTGCTGCTACTACTACTACTATTACACTAAGATTTAATAAAATGTCTGCTGCTACAAATACTGCTACTACACCCATTGATTTCGAAGATTCCTTGTTTGAATCTCACGAAATGATCAATGAAACAATGATTGAACCAAGAAAAAACGAAGTTGCTGCAGCTGCCGCCGCTCCCGTAGCTACTACTGCTCTGGCTGCTCCAGTTTTATCAGAGGTTGATCAGAAAAAGGACGTTGCATCGCCTTTTCAAATCCACTCGAGTGTATTGGAATCTGTTTTCAGTACAAACTTGGATGGAAACGATGCATTAATAGATCATACTCCTATGTTTGATGAATTGGATTTCATCATGGATGGTGCCAAGGTTAATTCCAAGGAGGATTGGGTTGCTCTCTTTGGAGGCACCGATGAAGAACCAGCCATGTTTTCCACTGAAGGTGAAGGTGAAGGTGAATGTGGAAATGAAGGTGGTGAATTTGGTCCAATTCTTTCCTTGGATGATGCTGGTATCCATGGTGCTAACGGTACTGATGGCGCTGTTGATGACGACTCAATTGTCCCTCATGATGAAGTATTGGAGGCTTTGTTGATTGAGGCATCACCAAATGGATTATCAGATGATACCATTTCCGCAGCTACTACTTCAGCATCGAGTCCTGATTTAATCAGCACTGTTGCTACTAGTGTTGCTGCTTCAACTTCACACAAGAGGCCATTTGGAGAAGTTGACTCTGTTGGAACTGCCACTGGTGCTGGTGCTGCAAAGAGACACCACCAGTCACAGTTGTTTACTCCTAACCCATCATCTACTTTACCAACACCTCAATTGGATATGAAGAAACCTAGCTCCACCTCTTCTTCAAAGAAGGTTAAAGTTGATCATTTGGGATGCGTCACTTATTCCAAAAAGCAAAGATCACAAACTTTGGAACCAATTTCTTTTGAAGGTATTGAGGATTCTGCTGCTTTGAAACGAGCCAAGAATACTGAAGCAGCAAGAAGATCAAGGGCGAGAAAGATGGAAAGAATGACACAATTGGAGGATAGAGTTGAAGAATTGTTGGGTGAGAATTCCAAATTAAGTGATGAAGTTGCTAGATTAAAGGCGATACTAGGAGCTAATGGAATTGCTCATTAATTATTTAGATGCTTTTGTTAATGTTTGAAATTTTTTTTTTATATATAAGAAAATAATATACATTGGTTACCAAAGTATGATTATAATTGAGTCTAGATGTGAATTGTAGGTTTGTGAATCGGAGTTGCGGGAGCGGGATAATCACCCAATGTAGTAGTTTCTTTGCTCTAGTTGATTTTGAGTTGGTTATACTAGTTTGTTGAGTATTGGCAACAATTTTGCAACAAAAATAAAATGACAAAGGCAAAATATCATTTTTCAAGAATGTTTAACAATGAAATTACTACCCTTTTTGGAGAATTGATATAATACTTCCATGTGAGTAATTTCAAATCTCGTAGGGGAGAACCATATATGTGATCCAACGAGCCCGAAATTTTAAATTGGATAACCTCACAAAATCACAATCTTTACAAACCACGCGGAGTGGACACGTCCAATATTGTCAACGGTTCAATGCTTTAATCGCCATCTTCTCTTTTTGGGAAGTATGAAGGTCGGGACCTGTGAATGGCATGAAATGAAAGATCAGTGAATGGGAAATTTCTGATTTTTGATTGCAAATTTCCGCTTAAAAGATAAAAACCCTTTGTTTATCTCGTCCGCGGAATTTGTTGATTTTTGTTGGTGTGGGGTCACGAATAATGAAGTTAGAGATTAGATACACTTGCATCTTTTCACAATATTTATCGAGCTCGTATCTGGAGATATCCGAGCGACGTATAATAACATACTTTAATGCAAAGATAAGCAAAAGAAAACACATTGTAATCTTTGCAGTCTTTGCAATTTTCTCTTCAAAACTTGTAATAGGCTTAACAATGTCTTCATTAAAACAAAAATCTATCGAATCGTTTCGGCAGATGATGTTGTGATCATACACTCTTTTTGGGGGTTATCGTTGTCTAATATGCAGTAAAAATATTTGAGGTTTAATCAACACAACTAGATCTTTCGTAAAAAATCCTTTTTAGTTTGAAACAATGCAAATGTAACCACAACAATAGAGTTATCTACACAATGTGTTTTCTAAAATTTATGCACGTCATGTACAGATAGGAACGATCAATGTGGATCTGGATTTGCTACCACCTTTATGGTCCCTCCTTCACTCTGGAACCTTTGTGTAGTAGACGGCATTTTTTTTTTCTTTTTTGGTGAAATTTTTTTTTTTTTCTGCACAAGAAACAACCATGACCTTGCATTAAACTAATACGATTCCAACCTTTAAAAAAATTGAAGTTCCAAATAGCAAACTAGTTGTAGCAAAGTAGCTCAGTATCTCAGCGGTTGTGACAAATGGCTATCCCCGCATTTGGAATTTCAAGTTGAAAGGAGTGGAGTGGTTGTTGTTATCATGAAATTCAATTGTAAATCTCCTCTCTCTCTCTCTCTCTCTCTCTCTCTCTCTCTCTCTCTGTGTATCTCTTATCAGTTGGTAATTTTGCCGTGTCACTCCTTCGGAACAACCAAATCCAAATTTGACTTGTCTGTTGTTTTTTTTGGGCTCCGTTGCACTACCATTTCCAATGCAACACAGGGTAAAATAAATGTGCGTGAATGAATCATATGGTCCGCAGAACAACAAGGCACGAGAAGCTAGGGGAAAGAAAGTTCATCAGTCAATTTTGCAAGATAGCTTTGTTCAATTAGAAGTGCATTAGACTGCTCGTGTCTATCTATGGCCACTCTAGTAAACACTATAAGTTACGCTTCTTGATAGTGTGCTCTTAATTTTTAGTTGTGTTTTGTGTTTCTTATCTCAATTTGCGGCAAAAATCTTCAACCCATTAAGAAAAAATTTCTTTTTTATTTTCTTTAGTATACATCCACACTGCAATACTTTGCAACTGACACAAAGATTGCAATTTTGCATTAGGGCTCAAGTTAGCTCTTCCCGATGGAATACTGTCACCAAAAATATTATATCCACCTTCTTTATCAATGATTATTTCTAAATTAAAAATTTTTTTTTTTTTTCAATAGACTATCTTTATCTTTTCAAAAACCACTATCCTCTTATCTGTAATAGCATCCAGATACTTTTTACTATAAGTACCACATCCAATCCACCCACCCACCAGCCCACCAGGTCACTTTGTTCAATTACTTTTCCACCCAATAAATATTAGAAACCAAACCTAACCTAACCTAACCTACCATTCCCCTTTCTTTCCAAAATCACCTCCTATATATTTCACTATTACAACCACCCCATCAGTGAAATATAAATTATCCATCTCCAATTTCTAATATTTTGAAAGAATAATAAGAACAAGAAAAAGTTTTTTGAACTTTTACAAAGTCAAAGCGACAAATCCCACTTGATCCACTAGGAAAAAATCTTTAATCACATTTCGTTTCATTATGTCAAAATTCGAAGAAGAGAAACAAGTTGGATTGGCCCATGAGAAAAGCATCAGTTACGAAGATGATTTCGCCCCCAGTTCTCAAGCTTCAAACACTGAAGTACAAGAAACCAAAATCAATTTTGTTGATCGATGGGCTCATAAATTAAAAGCTGAAACTAAAGGCATTGATTTAGTTACTGACGAAGAGAAAACTGATACTTCAGTATGGAACGCAGCTACTATGTGGCTAAGTGCTAATTTAGTCATTGCTACATTTGCATTGGGTGCATTGGGTATCACCGTGTTTAACTTGGCTTTTGGTCAAGCAGTGTTGACAATTATCTTTTTCGCAGCCATTGGTAATTTCACCGTGGCTTATTTCTCGTGTTTTGGACCAGTATTGGGGTTGAGACAAATGATTTTGTCTCGATTAATGATTGGTGATGTAACCGTTCGGATATTCAGTGCCATTAATGTTGTTGCTTGTGTTGGTTGGGGTGCGGTAAATATCATGTCTAGTGCTCAATTGTTGCACATTGTTAATAATGGTGCCTTGCCGCCATGGGCAGGATGTTTGATTCTTGTCTTGTGTACCATCTTGGTTACATTCTTTGGATATCATGTGATTCACCTTTATGAAAAATGGTCATGGATCCCCAACTTGATCATTTTTATAATCATCATTGTTCGATTCGCCATGTCGGGTAACTTCAAAAGTGCAAATTTTGTTGGTGGTGAAACTACTGCTGGTAATGTCCTTAGTTTTGGTAGTACAATTTATGGTTTTGCTACTGGTTGGACAACTTATGCTTCCGATTACACTGTTTACCAACCAAGAAACACTAATTTACTCAAACTTTTCACAGCAATTTTCCTTGGTATTTATTTACCAACGGTATTCATCTTGATTTTGGGTGCTGCTTGTGCTACTGGTATCAAATCTGATCCTCAATGGGCTAGCATGTACAATGAATACTCAGTTGGTGGATTGGTGTATTCCATCCTTGTCACCAACTCATTACACGGATTTGGACAATTTTGTTGTGTTGTATTGGCATTATCTACCGTGGCCAACAATATCCCCAACATGTATTCAATGGCTCTTAGTGCTCAAACCGTTTGGACAAAATTCCACAAGATCCCACGTGTGGCATGGACAATCATAGGTAATGGTGCCACTCTAGCCATTTGCATCCCCGCTTACTACAAGTTTGAATCAGTGATGGAAAATTTCATGAATTTGATTTCATACTATTTGGCAATTTACGAATCCTTATTGTTGAGCTCCCATTTAATTTGGCACAAGGGTAAATTTAGAAGTTATGATTATGAACGGTATAATGATAAATCATACTATCCAATTGGATTAGCTGGTACGTTTGGATTTTGTTGTGGTGTTGCTGGGGTTGTCTTGGGTATGAACCAAACTTGGTATAGTGGTGTTATTGGTAGACAAATTGGTGATTTTGGTGGTGATATTGCGTTTGAATTGGCCATGGGATTTGCGTTTATCGGGTTTAATGTCACGAGATATTTCGAAAAGAAGTATATAAGATGATTCGATGATCGATGGTGCAAACGGTTCTTTAATTTGTATTATTAGTTGATATTTATTTGTCCATCATTAATAGATAGATGTTCATGTGAAAACGGAAAAAGAATCACAGTAGTAAATGTAACGTTATAGCGTGAGTGCTGGCGCCCTCTATAAGAATAAACTTCCTCTATATGTGTCCTCTATTTGGTATTGTCAAGTATGTCCTCATAACTCTTCAACTTACCTTCGAGATTGAAAAATCGCAATGTAGACAACAACTGCGCTTGCAATTCGTCATTCATCACACCAACTTCGACAATATACTCATCAATAAAAGGCAAGAGCCACACAACACGACCCAAATCATTCGATTTTACAGCAGCATCCAAAAGTATACCAAACAATGCATCATCAAATACTTTTCCTTCAACCAATACATCCTCGACATAATTGAGTTCAATCAGGCTCCTGTCACGAGAATGCAACACAATCTTGTTGAATAATAAGTCAAGGTACTGGTACAATTGAAATTCAATTGCCATTTCCATAATTTGATACATGCTGGCTCGTGATATTGTTAATAATCTCTCATCAAGATCGAGACCAGGGACATATTTCGGCATTTTGTATTTTGATTTTGACAACATCGGTGATTTGATAACTTGCATTTCACTGGCAATCTTGTCCAATGTCAAGAACGACAATAGCTCCAAAAACATTGTTTCATCTTTACGAAGTAGTTGATACCGAAGTAATGGAATTAGCATTTCTGGATCCTGGGCAATCAAATGAACAAAATGATCAGCCATCAAAGGTGCAAATATGGAGTCAGCAGTTGGTGGTGGATCAGCAAGAACTGTTGGTTGGTGTTTGTATTGAAACAATGACAAATAGACAATTTGTTGATAGTTTATTAACTGGCAATTGCCGAGTTTGTCAAGTAGGTACAGCCATAGTTTTATCGTGGGTATATTGTCATGAGGAGAGGTCAAGATATGAACAATTTGCAAGGCCAATTGTAAGTGAGCTAACTTGCTTGTGGAAGATGCATAGTGCTCAAATGCAATTTCAAGTGATTTTATTATTGGACCAGAACTATGTTTGCTCAGTTTGAATACAATGGGGTTGATACCATTGCTCGTATCAGCATTTGCAGTACTCAACCATTGTGAAGACTTGTATGCATGGAAATTCAAACGATACTGCTCCAACGAAATAAACTCAGTGGATGATTTAATCTGATTGAAAAATCCATCACTCTCAAGATCAACCCTAACACATCTTAATTTCATCTCAGAAACCACATTCTCCATGAATAAACTCGCAACCAACATCATCGTGTTTCTCATTTCAATGTCATTGTACGCCATATAGCCCTGATTTCCTCCTATATCTTTACACATCTCTTCATAAGTTGACATTTTGCATTTGGGATCATGGTCAAACATGGCACCAATATTGGCCCCATCCAGAAGAATGTCTATCAAGTTCAGCCGGTGTTGTTTATACTGTTTGGACAATTCAATAGCATCTTCGTATTCTCTTAGTCGTCTTTCATTTCTTTTAAGAGCTTGAGAAAATCTTTTATCGGAGTCGAAATTTGGCACAGGTTCATGAGGTGGGGTTTTTTGGTGTAGGCTCGGTATTATGGAATACTTTCGTATTTTAAAAGGTCGTTTGATCATGATTTGAAAGTGTTATTGTTAAATAGGTGTGTGTCTTAGTTGAGATAAAATGTAGATCGCGCAATGGCCTTATTTTCCCAAAATTTCACCAGGAGAAAAAAAAAACAAAAAAACAAGCAGTTTGAAAAATTATCAATCATTCAAGAGCAACCACTTTAGTGACATCCACAAAATTTACTCCTACCAATCATGAGATTCTTCAACATCATCGCGGCGCTCACCGTCTCAATTGCATCTGTTGCTGCCTACCAAACAACTGGTAAAGAAACCGTTGACATTTTGGTCGACTACACCATCAAAGAAACTCCGCAATTGACAAAAAATGACGTGGCCAGTTGGACCAATGGTGAAGCAATAACTCTCGAATACACCATCAACAACAATGAAGAATCAGATGTTACTGTAATTGGAGTTACTGGTCAATTGTTAAACCCGGTCACTAGACAAGTGGTTACCAATTTAACTCAGGGAAGAATTGGTCCTGTTGCTGTTCCACCTGGTGAATCGGCCAAATTTGAACAAACAATCAATATCAATTTAGTTCCAAATAACTATGAATTGGTTCCACAAATCTTTATTGTGCAAGGCGACCTCGTTAAAGTCATTCCATGTCGTAGTCAATTGGCTTCTGTTCTTGATAGAGCCATTTCATTTTTTGACCCAAGATTGATCTTTTTGGAACTTGTCTTGTTGGCATCTTTTGGTGGATTGATTTATTTGGCGTATCAAATTTGGGGTAAAAACTATGTCAAAGGAACTGCACCAGTCAAAGTTAAAAGTGTCAAGTCTCCATCTCCTGTTGTTTCATCTTCTGCTGGTTCATCTACTGGTGCTGGATATGATGTCAATTGGATTCCAGAAGGTCACTTGAAGCAAAAGAGGACCAAGAAGGTGGCATAAAGAGGGTGAATGTGTCAAGAGAGGGGACGATTTGATAGTCAATGTACATTTATATTTTAACCAATTGCTTCAGGTGTGTAAGTGAGTAATACCCTATGCTTAGTAGTAAAACGGGCTAGATGTTCCAGTATATACGAGGCTTCTGCACTGCAAAAACCAAGTACTTTGTCGAAAGCATCAATCTTTTGTTGACTTCTCGAGCAAATCACATGACTGTCTCGATTTGAATTTTCTTCTCAAAATCATTATTGTTGTTGTACAATCAATTCAAATACTTTCAGCCCCATCATGTTAAAAGCCCACAATGACTCACTTGTGTACTGCCCGTTTGATGACACTGAGCTGGAAGTAGATTCAAATTTTCTATTCCCATCAGGTGAACTATACTTTTGTCATTCTTGCAAACAACATAGAGCACCTTATCAAACGTACTTCAAAATAGAATCCAGATTTTGTTCCAGTTGCCTGACTGAGTTTGCAAAAGAGTCAAAACAGTATACATGTTCAAGAAATTGTTTCGTTTGCCCCGAATGTGATTCAGGTTTGAAGATTACGGTAAAGGATCACGACAGAGGAGCAAAGTCGTTTAAATTCAGGTGCACCAGCTGCCCGTACATCTTTCAAACATCCATTATTCGTCTGCCAAAGCCGTTGTACGATATCATTGAGAATGACAAGAATGATTCGTTTTCAAAATTGTGCAATGAGATAAGAAATGGAGTGTTGAAGGGACAAATTGAGGAAAAAATTAGCGAACAGACAAGAAGAAACTTGGAGCTAATGAACAAAGGAGCAAGACAGAAGAAAGACGTAATCTTTATGAAGAAGTACCCATTCCCAAAGCGATTAACAATGAAGAAATCCATCTACTGCGTCAAGTGCAGCTCCAAATTGTCTACTGAGTAGGCACAAACCAAATCGAAATTTCGAGAATGCGCATTGGCGCAAAGCACGACTGCACTTGGTTGAATGACCACATTCACTACTACTCACAGAGTGACTAACAACATAGTCAATCCTCCCATCTAGCACTTGCATGATGGTGGCATCGCAATACCGAGCAATCACCATAGTGTTTCCGTATCATGAACCCGTTCCAACTGTTCAACAAAGCATACTCGACTTTGTGTAACGCATATAATCCGAGATATTATATTTGTATGCAGGAAAAGTGCACTCCGCGTTGAAAATTATTACTCCGCGTAATAACCTTTTGCTGCACAAATATCGCTCACAGATATTACCGCAAACTATTCCATGCAATTCCACTCGGAATGAGCGATATGCTTGACATCGATTGCGGTTTCAAAAGTGAATATAAATAGGTGAGGAAATCCTCCTTTCTTAGTGACAATTCCATCATCTATATCGGAATCATCTCCTATAATCACAAACACACACTTAACAAACAATCAATCGAAAATGGCTAGACCAAAGGTTTTATTAGTTCTTTACGCTGGTGGTAAACACGCTCAAGAAGAAAAGAAATTATTGGGTGCAATTGAAAACGAATTGGGCATCCGTCAATTCATCGAAGATCATGGTTACGACTTGGTTGCAACTACTGACAAAGACAGACCAGGTTCTGCTTTTGACACCAACTTGGAAGATGCTGAAATTGTCATTACTACTCCATTTTATCCAGCATACTTGACCAAGGAAAGAATTGCCAAGGCACCAAAATTGAAGATTGCCGTTACTGCCGGTGTTGGTTCTGACCATGTTGACTTGAACGCCGCCAATGAAAGAGGCATTGCCGTTTTGGAAGTCACTGGATCCAACGTTCAATCAGTTGCTGAACACGCCGTCATGACCATGCTTGTTTTGATTAGAAACTACAACATCGGTCACTTGCAAGCTACATCTGGTGGTTGGGATGTTGCCGCTGTTGCCAAACAAGAGTACGACTTGGAGGGTAAAGTTGTTGCCACTGTTGGTGCTGGTAGAATCGGTTACCGTATCTTGGAGAGATTGGTGCCATTCAATGTCAAGAAGTTGTTGTATTACGACTACCAACCATTGCCAGCTGAAGCTGAAGACAAATTGAACAAGGCTTCCAAATTGTACAACGATGTTGACACCATTGTTGAAAGAGTTGAAAGCTTGGAAGATTTGGTTGCTCAAGCTGATATTGTCACCATCAACTGTCCATTGCACGAAAAGACCAAAGGTTTGTTCAACAAGGAATTGATTTCAAAGATGAAGAAAGGTGCTTACATTGTTGACACTGCTAGAGGTGCCATTTGTGATGCTGATGCTGTTGCTGAAGCTTTAGAATCTGGTCATCTTGCCGGTTACGGTGGTGATGTCTGGAACGTCCAGCCAGCACCAAAAGACCACCCATGGAGAAAGATGCACAACCCATACGGTCCAGAATATGGTAATGCCATGACCATCCATGTTTCAGGTACTTCATTGGATGCTCAAGCTAGATACGCTGCTGGTGTTAAACAAATCTTGACCCAATACTTTGACAAGACTTACAAATACAGACCACAAGATGTCATTTGTATTGATGGTCACTATGCTACCAAAGCTTACGGTCAACGTGATGCCAACAACAAAGAAAAGTAGATACTAGGCTGTTTATAGGAATTTAGTTACAGCTAAATAACTGATACAAACCTTTTCTTCAAGTAAGAAACAAAACATTAATGGCACTCACAAAAACAGATCCACTTCGATTCAAGAGATGAGTAAATTCCACTAAAACCCTATTTCAAACTGTGAAAGTATGAAACGCTAGAACAATCGAAGCTGATGCAAGTTTTCACCAACAGACAACAGAATAAATCTTGACTCAGATCACTACCTCTTCCTCTTTTTCCCAGAGCCCTTGTTCGCTTCCAATTTTAAATCCAGTTTTGACTCTGGCAACATGATCCCGATCTTGTCTCAGGTTCTGTTTGTCGCTCAAGTTCATCAATCAACCCCCTGACTTCTTTCAATTCTGAAGCTGTAAGAATTCGAGGAGGAACGTTATCGATCATCGAAATCCAACACGAGATCAAGCTTTCCAGAGAGCATGTATTAAGATCGTAATTATCAACCCTCATAGTTGGTTTCTGCGCTTCTGCACCATTATATTCTGCCCCAATGAATTGAATCCTAGTGATAATTAACGTCCCCAAAGTGCTATGCGTCATGGATCCTAGTTTTGCAATAGAAGAAATACTTCTGGTCCTTGCATTAAGTCTTATACAAAAATGACTGAGCTGTAGGTATTGATTGGCCAAATTTCGGTGGGAAAAGTGGGAAAACGTTCCATAAAACTTGAACGATCCCCGTACAGCTACTTCACGAAGCGCACTGGTGTCAAATGAGTCACTCAACGGTTCACAGCGAAAACACGTGAAGTGTATATGCAACTTGTGTAATCGCGAATTGCATCGATGGCCACGAGGAAATAGATCATTACCGATGACAGTTAAGGCAGTCAAATTTGGTAGCGAATAGTGGAAATCTAGTTCTTTTCCTTGTTTGAGAATGAGATTGAGCGAAATTGCAGTCACATCGTAAAACCACTTTGATTTTGAATAAATAAACGTGGAGGGAGTGAACTTGGTGTCGGAGTTCAATTGAAGAAAATATTGTCTCACACACAAATTGTCATCTCTGTCATAAATATTATAATGAGGGCGGAAGTTAGTGATTTCAAAATGCCGAATCGATTTGAAATGATCGAAAACAAAGCGGAAAAGTGTACAATCAAATCTGTATAGTTCAAAATGATAAACAATTACAACACCAATCATTTCACTGATGTGGTTCATTAACGTCTCTGAAGACATTATTGTGTATGAATTGGTTTTGTCGTTATTGACATCTTTATGGTATTGAAATTTTTGATGAGGGTCGTCATCTTCCAATAGGGGCTCTTCCCCCAAAGAAAATGGCTCATAAACGTGAATGTTTCGTATAACTTTGCTTTTGTGATGAGGCAAAATCTTGAATGTAAAGGAGCAAGATGCAATGCCCGGTGTTGATTTAATTGGCAAAACACAACTTGTAATACTTCACAAGGCAAATCTGATAAGCAATGCATTCGACGAAGATCGGGCAATTGACGCACTTGTGAGAAACCGACAGGACTGAATACCTTCAAGTTGATGTTGATGTGTCTCTTCTTAGCATTGCGCTTCCTCTGTTATTGTACTTCTCACGCGTGCTGAACGGTCGTCAATTGTTCTTTCCTAAAGCCAAATTAGAGTCATGTCGAGCCATGCTTTGTCAAGCTATATTCCACCGCGCTTTCACCATAATTAAACCACTATGAGCAGTGAATCCCGGCGTCAATTTATTACTTTGCACAAACAAAGGGTGTGTGTACTTTTGTAGCAAAATGCGACGCAATGTCGTATCAATTACTTTTGAGACACCTACATTAACACACAGCATTAGTTAGATCGAGCGTGCATTCTTTTTCTTTCTGTTTACTTTGCATCATAATTGCAACAGAAATCTCAAAAAAGATAAATCGGGCTAGCCTCTATTACAAAACATTCACGTGGTATTCCTGATAGACAACCACCGATAAAACGATGCGATTGTACCTCAACGACAAACCGAGAACGTTTGTTTTGACCACTTCAACACATGCATTAATTATCAGACATCCAAACCCAACATACGAACAAAAGGGAATACGAAGTCGAATCCTTGGCCATAAACGTCATCATAGTGAGAAGGATGATTGCAAAGTTTTGGTTGAATTTGTATTAAAAGACTATATCAATCTTAGCTCTTATCGTGATGTAACTCCAAAGCGAAACAAGCTATTGGGGTTCATCGGATTACTTCCATTGAAAGGTAAAGTTTTTTTGGGATTTATAACTCAACATGAACTTGTCGCTTCACCTACGTTGGATGATAAGATTTATAGAATTACTGGGACCGAATTCTATTGTTTGAATTGCGACGAATATGATTACATTTTCGATAGAGAGTTTGATGAGTTACGATATCAAGACAATGAAAAGGTCAAATATCCTGGATCTTCAGTGAGAAAGCTATTATCTAGCGGAGCGTTTTTTTACTCAAGACAATTCGATATTACTTCGACGATTCAAGAGAGGGGTATAGGCTCTTCCGATTTCAGATTGATTGCTGATGCTTCGTACTTTAGGCGATTCCTGTGGAACATGTTTATGATTGAGGAGTTGCTTGAGTTTAGAAACCGATTGACCTTATCTGAGCAGAGGCTTATTGATGAAACGGGGTTTCTTATCATCATTGCTCGAGGGTATGCCAAAACTGTCAATACAGAAGTTGCTGGTCAAGATGCCCTTTTAACTTTGATTTCGAAGCAAAGCAGTGCCAAAGAAGGACCAATTTTTGGTCATTGGGGGTGTGACGGAAATGGCTGTGTTGCCAATTATCTCGAATCAGAAGTTATTCTCTACACTGAGCATTTTTGTTTATCGTATGTCATTGCAAGAGGAAATGTTCCAATGTATTGGGAATTGGAAAACAAGGTTTCAACAAAGAATATAATTGGTGCTAGTAACAAAAGAATTATCTTTCCTAGATCATTTGAAGCATCTCAGGAAGCATTCACCAGACATATGGATAGACTTGCTGCGCAATATGGAGATGTTCACGTGATTAATGAACTCTCAGATAAATCTTACAAGGGAGTCTTGAATGCATCATTTGAAGAGCAGATTAAATATTTTTTGAAAAACCGGGACCCGGCAACATCTGACTATAAATTTCAATATACTCACCTTCCGATCCCTGCTGCCAGGATCAAGAAGATTGGTTATACATCTCAAAACCCATCCGAAATACTGTCGCAAGTTGTCTCCTCTGCAAGGGATTTTGGTGCATTGTTTTACGATGACGCCACCACCAGCTTTGTAGGCAAACAGTTGGGAGTTTTCAGAATCAATTCATTTGACAGTTTGAGCAAAGCCAATTTTTTATCAAAAGTAATCAGTCAGGAGGTGATTGAACTAGCATTTGGAGAGATTGGCATACATTTGGACAGAGAGTTGTTTACTTCACATGCCAAGCTCTGGAAAGAAAACGACATTATCGTGACCCAATTGACCCTCAATTTCGTTTCCTACAGTGACAAGCTTCACACTAGTAAGAAATCGAATGCATCATCAGTGAAGTCACACATTACTAAAAAGTATTTGAGTGGGGTGGTGGATAACACTAAACCGAATGAGTTGGCATTGCTCAAGTTGTTGGGTCGATTGCAAGACCAATCACCAATAGCTTTGCACAATCCATTGCACGACTATATCGATAAAGAGTTGACAAAGCGAAGCAAGGAATTTACATCAGAACTGGACATATCCGTGTTTGCATCCACATTCAACGTCAATGCGACCTTCTACGAGGGAGACATAGACGAGTGGATTTTACCTCATGGTAATTCTCACGACTTGGTGTTTATTGGACTTCAAGAAATTGTTGAGCTCAAGCCTAATCAAATGATGGCACAGGATTTCAAAAACAAGACATTGTGGGAACGTAAGATATTAAACTGTCTTGCTAAAAAGGATAAATATATGGTCATGTGGAGTGGTCAATTGGGTGGACTCTTGTTATTGTTATTTGTCAGAGAGTCACAAGTTAAGTACATTTCCAACATTGAGATTTCATTCAAGAAAACCGGTCTTGGTGGTATGGCTGCGAATAAAGGCGGAATCGCTGTTAGTTTCAAATACTCCGATACCACAATGTGTTTTGTATCATCTCATTTAGCAGCTGGTCTCAGCAACACCGAAGAGAGACACAATAACTACAAAACCTTGATCAAAGGTATCAAGTTTTCCAAGAATAGAAGGATACCTAATCATGATGTTGTGATCTGGCTTGGAGACTTTAATTTTAGGATTGACTTGACAAATGAGGAGGTTAAATCTTTGATACATCAAAAGCAGTATGGTAAACTTTACGAGCATGATCAGTTGAATAGACAAATGGCAAATGGAGAAACATTTCCATTTTTTGCTGAACAGGAAATTCATTTCCCACCTACATACAAATTTGACAATGGCACTAGAAAATATGATTCAAGTGAAAAGCAACGAGTACCTGCATGGACTGACCGGATTTTGTACATGTCGCGCAAGAATCTCATCAAGCCAATGGATTATGAATGTATTGATAACATTGTGTTTTCTGACCACAGAGCTGTGTACGCATTGTTTCAAATTACAGTCAAGATTGTTAATCAAGTCATCAAGAAAAAATTATCTAATGAACTATATGAAACGTACAACTTGAAAGATGGCGGTCTTCAGGATTTATCAGCATTAAATTATGATCTTGATAAAAAGAGCGCCAATTTTGAAAATGAAAAGTTGCCGCCACCTAGTTCAGATAAACAAAAATGGTGGCTTGATGGTGGGAAACCAGCTAGAGTGAACATACCTAGATTGAATGAGGAAGGGAACGATTTGGTTGTGAACCCCTGGCACCCAATAAACCCATTTGTTGCAACCACTGAGCCAGAATTTGTATCTCGTAGGGAAGTGGAGAGTATGTTGAATTAATTAGTTCTCAGTTTCTGTCAGTTGCACTCCTTGTGATGTAGATTTTTTCTCTTGTGACTCTTGATTGGCGCTTACATCTCCCGTTGTGGTACTCGTTTCATTATCCTTTGTTGTGGTTATATTTTCCGCATCGTGTAAAATTGAATCTAGCTTTGCTTCGAATGAGTCCAACATCAGCTCCAACTTTGATGCTTGTTTTTCTGCTTCGTTGAGCTCTTTATAGGTATTAGCTATGTCGACTGAAGGTTCTTGTGTCATTTCGGTGTGTAACTGGTTGCTGTGAAGGAAGTTTTCCAGAAGTTGTCGCGAATTTAATTTTTTCTTCATTGCATTTGATAAATACATAAAAACTATACACGCTTAAATATCTTTATTCCTCTTTAAACCGTTGAGAATGGAAATCAATGAAAGGAAGGATGCTTGTGACACATCGGTGTTGATACCAACACCCCACCTGGTGATGCTCTTATTTACCACGACTTCGATATAAGTAGCAGCTCTAGCATTAGCATCTTCACCCAAAGAGTGTTCGTGATAATGCTTGACATCAAAATCTATACCCAAGTGTTTTGCTAAAGCATCATTGAAAGCTGATAATTGACCATTACCTTGACCCTTCACAGTCACCGACTTTCCATTAATTTGGATTTCAGCTTCGATTTCCTTAACACCTTTACCTGGAGTCTTGATCGAGTAATCAATCAATTTATAATGTTGATCAGCCACTTCCTTATCATCTTCATCGTAATCGATAAAGTACTCTTGTTTGAACAAGTCGCACAACTCTTCATTAGTGAGCTCTTGACCTTTAACTTCAGCTCGCTGTTGCACAACTTTTGAAAATGCAACTTGCAATCCTCTTGGTAAATCCAACTCCAAATTGCGCAAGATAACCCATGCTGAACCACCTTTACCCGATTGTGAGTTGACACGAATGATTGCTTCGTAAGTACGACCAATATCCTCCGGGTCCAATGGCAAATATGGCAATTGCCAATGTACATTCTTGCCACCAGCAGTCTTGACTTTGTCGTGATGGGCTGCAAAACCCTTTTTGATAGCATCTTGATGGGATCCACTAAATGCACAAACAACTAAGGAGCCACCATATGGAGTTCTGGCGTGCACTGGGATCTTGTTGCATTTTTCAACGATATTAATCACCGATGTGATGTCGGAAAAGTCCAAGTACGGAGAAACCCCCTGCGTGTACAAATTTAATGCCAATGTAACTAGGTCAACATTTCCAGTACGTTCACCATTACCAAAAAGACATCCTTCAACCCGATCAGCTCCAGCCAATTGGCCCAATTCAGCTGCAGCAACACTACATCCACGATCATTATGAGGGTGTAATGAAATACAAATTGTTTCACGATTAGTGATGTGGGTTGCAAAGTATTCAATTTGGTCGGCGTATACATTTGGAGTAGACATTTCAACCGTTGCTGGTAAGTTGAAAATTATTGGTTTCTCCTTGCTTGGCTCCCAAGCCTGTTTAACTGCTTCGCAAACTTCAACAGCATAATCCAAGTCAGTATCAGAAAAAGTTTCTGGCGAGAATTCGAAATCCCAATCCGTGCCCGCAGTGGATGGGTCATCTTTTGTCAACTTTCGAACGAGCTCGGTACATCTCACCGCCAAGTCCTTACTTTCTTCCTTGCTCAAACCAAAAACCACATTTCTAAAACAATCCGATGTGGCTAAATATATGTGCACCGTGGCACGTTTGGCTCCTCTAAGGGATTCCACAGTTCTCTTGATTAACTCTTCACGGCAAGGCGAGAGGACCTGAACGGATACATCTGGTGGGGCGGTTTCAACCGCAAATCTCGTGAAGTCAAAATCAATTTGTGAGGCCAGCGGGAAAGCTACTTCAATTTCTTTGAAACCAATATCGACCAACTTTTTGAAATATTCTTTTTTTTCCTCAATAGACATTGGATCTGGAAGAGATTGATTACCATCTCTCAAGTCTGTAGAAAGCCATCTTGGCGCCTTGTCCAAGGTTTTGTTTGGCCATTGACGATTTGGTAAATTCACTGGTGGGAACTTTTTGTACTTAACTGATGGGTCTTTTAACATAGGCATCTTTGCTGTGGATCAGGGAGTCAATTTAGTTAATACAGGATACACTCGACTACTTATATGATGCAAAGTATGACTGAAATTTTTCAAAAAAACCGAGTGATGCAAGTTCCCAGGTTCTTTTTGGTAGCATTAGTCATAGAATAGAACAGCTCCACAAACAAACTTTGTTTTGTGAAAACTTTTTATTTTTTCTTCTTCTTCTTCTCCGGTACAGGACCTGTGGTTACAACATAGAGCCGAAGTGTCCCCAGGAACTGGATCTATTGTTAGACTAGTGAGAAAATCACGGCTAGAGGCGGTAGTTGGTCAAAAGGGGCTTGTGTTAATTTTGTGAGAGGTGAGCTCCAAATAGGGTTCACGTGGGTGCGTTCGTGGACATTTCATCTTTTGAGTAGAGTTCTTCGGAGCCGGGATCATCCTGTTGACGTGCACGTATCCTATGGCGATTTCTGCTGAGACTGACACCATGATACGCTTCTTTGAAAAGCTAGACAGAATGGCAGATCTATGGGCCATGTCACGTGCCATCATTTGTTGTGCTCTTCACGCAGTGAAAGATTTTGGAAAAATTTTGCAAACTAACTTCATCTTGCTTCTTTCGTTGACACCATAATTGTATGTATCACTCCTATACTGCTTTATTTGAATCCAGATGATTAAAATTATATATGCGTTATCGTCATGATTGCGACCACTTAACAATGTCTTCGGGCGTAATTTGAAATCAGCCAACACCTACATGATAAATATTCAATGAAGCTAAGAGAGATCGATTTAGTACTAACTAATCAGATTTAATTCTACGAATAAAATTATAAAAATCAACGATGGTATTCATACATAAACTATAAAAGAAACATTGTTGAATCAGACAAACTGAGCGTTTGTTCTGATTGGAAATTAAAAACTAAACGAGGGAAAGTAACAATCCAACGATAGCAGCAAGTGCTGGAATATTCACAACGCCAGATCCTTCATAAGTAGACGCAATAGGTGCTTCTGGGTTAGCAGATACTACTGGTGACTCTTTTGAAGTGTATACCAACGATGTCGAATCGGTGATGGTTGTAATAGTAGCCAAAGTCACATCCTCTGGTATGATACTCTCTTGTGGCGCATACTCAGGAACAGACTCGGGAGTTGGCTGAGGAGCATTTAATTCAGTACCTTCAATGTGGGATGCAGTTTCAATTGTGGAGGTAATTGTGGTAGTGCTTTCCTCTTCTGTGTTGTAGAAAATAATTGTTGTAACAGGTGCTTGAGGCTTTTCACTAGTAGCCACTTTGATATCCTTTAAAGTTGTTTTTGTAGTTGCTTCCTCAGTTGTGGCCACTCTGCTTGATTCAGTAACACTTTCAATTACCTTAGCTGAGTGATCTTTAACAAACAGCGTTGTAGGAGCTGCAACAGAAGTCATCACTTTCAGAACCTTAATTGGTGATGTACTTTTAGCAGTAGAAGTGCTCTTTTCAACATGAGATTGAATGGATGAAATGCTTTCGGAGCTAGCAACTGTTGCAGCCAACGATGTGGAATATTCTACACCACTATATGACACAGTTCTCAGCTCTACCACGGAGTATGGCGCTGGTGGAATTGACAGTGAGAACTCCACACTAGATTCAACTGGTGATAATAGCGTTGAAAACGAAACCACTTTTTCAGCTTTTGATGAAACTGAAGGTTTTTCACTTGAGGCAACCTCAATGGATGTTGGAAAAGAACAGTAGGTTGTGTAAATAGTAGTTTCTTCTGTAACAGTTGTGAGTCCAGTTGTATGTACAACCTCTGTACAGCTATTATCTTCACATGATGTAATAGTGATGATGGTTGTATGGACCTCACTCTTAGTGGACACTACCGGCTCCAACGATGATTCACTTGAAGTAGCAACTTCTGTAGAAGAAACATAAGTAACAGCAGCAATGGTTGTGTATGTAGAGCTTGACTTAATTGAGGAAGAGCTTGCTTCAGTTGTGGAGAAGCTTGATTCTGCTGTTACAGACGTTGTTGACTCAACCCCACTTCTTGAAATTGCAGATGGAGAAGAATAAACAGTAGTGCCTTCAATCAATGTTGACAAGACAATTGTACGACTAGCTTGGGAACAAACATCACTCGAACACGAAGAGAGAATAATCACAGTTGTTTCAACATCAGTAGTGGTTAAAAGTGGCGGTGTTGATGTAATATTCACTAATGGAGGAATTGAACTCAGGTAGTTCAAAATTGATTCATCAAATGATATAGCAGTTGTTGTTGTGCTTTTATCCTTAAGCATAGAACTTGAAGCGATTGATGATTGACTCGTAGTGCTGACATCAAAGATGACCGGAAAGCTAGTTGTGACACTATCGACAAGACTTGGACCTTCAAGGGATGTGCTATAATCGAAACTTGAAGATTCTGATGTTGAACTTGTGTTTTCTGTGGATTCAATAACTACTGAGCTCGACTCAACAACGACGATGGACGACGAATCGCTTCTTGACAAGTCTACTGTGGAAGTTACCACCTCCGATTCTAATGCAAGACTGGAAGAGAAGTATTCTGATGCGCCATTCAGAAAAAGGCTACTCACGGTGGATGCATTTTCACCTTCCGTGGATGAGGTCAAAGGACAAAATGTAGTGTAGGCCGTTGCTTCGTCAGTAATCGTAATCACTCCAGTGACAGATACAACCTCTGAACATGAATTGTCCGAACATGATGTGATGGTGATTGTGGTAGTACCAATTTCTGTTGTAGTTAAAAATTGTGCTTCGAAAGAGATTTGAGTAACCAGAATTTCATCCAACGAGGTAGCTGGCCCCTCTAGTGACAGTGAATACAGGGTTTCCTCTGTCTCCGAGCTAGTAGAAATTGATTCAGAAGCTCGGATCTCTGACAGGGTAGACTCACCAATGGATTCGACAGATGAGCTGCTTGTAGCAAGTGATGTGACCAAGGTGCAACGATTCTCCGAGCAAGACGTAATGGTGGTCCAAATTGTTCTTGGGGAAGTCGTGGTCAGATAAACAGTAACGTAGCTTACTTCTTCATCATCTTCTGAAGTAGAAGGGGCTGATGTTACCACGAGGTTGGTTGATTCGTCGACAGTGGAAGTGAATGAGAGTGAGATGGTATCTTCGGTTGATTCACTAGGAGCGGCTATGGATGAAGTACCGGTGGATTCAACCGTACTGGGACAATACTCGATAATGTCCCAATCTGTGTAATAATTTGTAGTTGTACTGAAAACAGTGTAGGTGGTTGTACGATCAACCACATCTGAAGCAGCTGGAGCCATACCGGTACCAGTGGTTAACGTTGCGACTTGAGAGCAAACATTATTTGAACATTTTGTTACTGTGGTCCAACTAGTCCAATAAACTGTTGTTGTTCGGTAGTATGTGATGTAGATAATTTCGTCATCTTCAGTAGGTCTTAGGTCGTATTTTGGACACCAACGAATCGTGGCTTCTTCAATTATATTGTCGGGGACAGTGATTGTCGTGGTAGTAGCTGCAGCAGACACTAATGAGTGAAAGATGTATATGGGAAATAATAAAGTGATCAACATGGCTTTTCAAATTATTTATGACAATTGGATTTCGCAACTTCATATTTATCAAGCTGATGTATGGAATTTTCCACAACTTTTGTATTCCTATGATGGAAATAAAGTTTTATTCACCTCAATGTCATATCTGATGTTTCATGCCTTCATAACCGGATTATCATGGTCTGGAACTTGTTTTAGGTTTGTAATAAAATTAAAACAATACTTCTCAAACAAATCACATTTTTGAATTCGGCAAGGTTTGTGACAATCCTGAATCGCAAGCGTGATAGTTGCCAAGTTTCAACCCAATAACACGCAAAGAACTAGTCATAACATATCCATAGAATAATCAATACTAATTTGGCGATAGCATTCCATTAATCTTCCGTCTAAACACCTCTCAAGTTCACAAATTACATAAACAAATGCAACTCTGAGTTGAGCAACTCATATAGAAGTTTCTTTCTTTTAAAACCCCTGAAATTATTACCAAATAATTATAATTTTGGCGAGGCAAATATTATATTTTAAGCTTATATTATATAGCTTTTCTGGCAACTATATCGTTATTCCCGTTTCTATTTACAGTATGCTACCACAATTGGTCGAATAATTTACAAAAAAGCGATGAAGGAAATCCAGAAATCCATGTCATCTTTCAAGCTACAGAAAATAGTGCTTGTTGAGCAGAGATTTTCCAGCACAGTCCGAGACTGGTTGCCACTGAGTGCCTTTTGGGAGCTTTTTCCCTACCCTTCAAAAGTATTCAACAGTAATTGGGGTTTTATAGTTTAACCCTGAAACTCGAATTGTTTTTATATCTGCTATCCGATTCTCTCAACACTTAGGATGAATGATAGGGGGAACAGTAGGGCTACTTTTGTGTACTATTAGACTGATAAGGTAAAAAGCAAAAAAAAAACTAAGTTGCTCAACTAGTTAAAATTTGTGTTTCAGGTTCTGTACTTACTTTCTAACCCCAGTTAAAAATTGAATCAAAGATTTGATACATGCAAACGTAAACGCTAATCCATTGAAGGCTCCCCAGAATTATTCACGGTGAAGGTGTATTACAAGACATTCATACAGATGACGTGGTGTTGCACATGTGAGCTTTTGTTAAATTCTATTCAGGTTTATGGCTGAAATTATGAAGAAGAATAATACGCTGGAAATAGGACAAAGAACATTCAACAGCGAGCATCGCCACCGAGAGAGTGATTTTTATTATACAACCAACTATACAGCTTGCGGGTGGGGTGGGTTGAAATGATTATCACTGGACAGTTCATCTTTCTTTCAGTTGAAAGTTATTATATCAAGAAGTGTGTAAGGCACTGAATATAATTTTTTGCAGATAGTGGTGAAAACTTTAAACTTGAAACAAGTGATTTTGTGTTACACGATTAGAAGCGAGTACTGTTTCTTCGTGTTTCATGTTGATGCAATTTTTATTTACACTTCTTGATGATAAGTAGTGTCTCTTCTAGAAATGCTGCCTGCGTTGCAACTTCTGAGAAATGGTGTGTGATTGCAGCTATGGAAATTATATTTCCTGCTAAGCAAATGAGTGCAAAAGGTAAGAAAACAAGAAACAGAAATCTAACGCATGCTGATCTCTGCATCAAAATAGTTTCTGCGATTTTTGAAACTACTGGTTTCAGGACTCCAAGTCTCTTTGATGGCTCTCAACTCTAGGATTCTAGAACTTTCTCAAGTTTCAAAAGAAGCCAAGTCGTCGCATCTGTTTCTCATAGAGCTGTCTACAATTATCAATATCTCAATGATTGATCGTCGTATATGCAATTGGCAATTTACCCCATATTCAAAGCATGACACACTAAGTTCAAAAGACTATCTTGCATAAACTTAACCAAATCTTTATATATGGAAAAAAATTTCAACTGACCGCCTTATGCACAATGCATGAGAGCATATTTTTGAGGATTCTGAACTTCTTAGAGTTCATAGCTTCATTCGGGGGCATCTCTTAGGGTGACCCATGACTTCCTTAAAGTCGTGGAAGTATATAACGAGTATGCGTATCCTTTGGAAAGAGAAGGCGACTTAAGCTTTCAGCGAACAATAGCTGATGATTGGAAATGAACCACTTTGGTTTCTATGATGTGATACTATATCAAGTTAGCCTGAAAAAGAGTTGAATTTACTTGATAATGTAGCTGCTCCTATGGATGATACTGAATTTGGTTTTGATTGTGAATCTGCACGTGCCAGTTCAATTAGAAGATTGTTTTATTTGCATTCATGCCAGATCGATTGTGAAGCTCATACAGTTTCATTACCGAACTATCCATGACAAATCCTAAGCTATTCTACATTGATGTTGTTTAAAAAAATTATGGTGTATCGAAAGTTGTATCTATGGAAAAAGAACTGAATATAAAGTGGATGGGGCAAAAATAAAGTGGAACCCGTAGAAGACTCTAATATGTAAAGCAAATGAAACGCCAAATTAAACAGCACAAGCATCAAATGTGAAACAATTGTGATGAACGTCCATGTGTCAACCAATATGACATCGAAAAAATTATAAATGCGAAAAGAGTATGGCACCGTGTTGTTTCTCAAAGCACGGGTCAAGGAACCTAAACTGAAGGTTATAAATAACCGAAAGGGATTCTAAGTATTTTGATGAATGAGGACAGTTTGTAGATGTCTTCATCTAAATGAAGTAAACCAATGGGACTAAGGCTAATGCCAAGTAAGTAGCTCCGTTGGAGGCAGCAACACCTTCGTAAGTTGAAACGGCAGCAGTTGAAGTTTCACCTTCAGCAGCGGTAGTTGATTGACCAGCAACAGTAGTTTGAGTTTCAGCGACTCCGGTGTTTTCGCCTTCTGCGCCAGTGGTTGGTTGACCAGCAGCAGTAGTAGTTTCACCTTCGCCTTCACCAGCAACTGTTCCATAAACAGTTGAAGTTACGGCAGTACCTTCAGAAGTGTAGGTGGTGGTTCCAACTGGGACAGATGATGGAGCAACAGAACCTTCAGTAGTTCCATAAACGGTTGAAGTAACAACAGAACCTTCAGATGTGTAAGTGGTAGTTTTAACTGGGACAGATGATGGGCCAGCAGTACCTTCGGTAGTTCCATAAATAGTTGAAGTGACAACTGTACCTTCAGATGTGTAGGTGGTAGTTTTAACAGGGACAGATGATGGGCCAGCAGTACCTTCGGTAGTTCCATAAATAGTTGAAGTGACAACTGTACCTTCAGATGTGTAGGTGGTGGTTTTAACTGGCTTGCTGGTTGCTGGAGGGGCACCACCGGCAGAAGTTGAGACTGGGCAGTAGGTGACATATTCGGTAACGGTACCTCCAACAGTCTCAGTGGTCAAAACGGGAACGGCGGTGACAGTTGTTGGCTTACCTTCGTGATCAGTAGTGGTGATAACCTTGGTTGATTCAGGTGTTTCAACTGATGATAATGGACAGTAGGTAGTGTAGATGGTTTCAATACCAGAAACGGTCTTGGTGGTGGCAGATAAAGTAGCTTCAACGGTAGTCTTGTGGCACAAATCTTCGTGGCATGAAGTGATGGTGATGACTGAGGTAACATCAGCAGTGACAGTGGACAAGATTGGTGACGATGAAGTGAATGTAGATGTTTCACCATTTGGCAAGGTAGTGGTACCAGTTGTGGTTGAGCAATCAACAGTTTCAGTCAACACGGTAGTTGAACGAATGGTTTCGACACCGGTTTCACCGCCAGCGGCACTAGATGAAGAAGAAACATCGGCAACATCAACAACTTCGAAAGCAGAATTTGCAATAAAAGTACCATCTTTGCTTTCCAAAGAATCAGCCAATGATTGAGCGTCTCTTTTGTTGAATGGAGTTGGTGTCAAAGCATTACCTTTCATCAATCTCTTTCTAATAGCACCGGTGGAGTTGGAAGCTGGTTCTTCTTGTGCTTGGACTTGGTACAATGGAGCACCTGACGTTCCGTACAATAACCTAGCTGGAATACTGATGACAGTACCAGCATTGACAATATCGGTAAAATATTTGGTAGATTCGACAAGGGAGTAGTAGAACAATACATCGTAGTCATCGTCAGCAGTGTAAGTGAAAACTGGGGCTGGTAAGCCCGATGGGATAGTGAATGGACAAACACCAGTGTCTAAATCAACAACAGCAACAGACTGACCATCAACTAAACAAGCAACATCTTTTGACACGACAGCAGATGACAAAAAAGCTAAAGAAGTAGCTACAACAGTTGAGAATTTCATTGTAGTAGTAGTGTAGCGAGTGTGAGTGAATAAAGTTGTTAATTTTCAAAATGAAAGGAGATTGTTAAATCAAAAGGGGGGGACATACATGCGGATTTATATAGTCAAAAAAAGTAAGTTTGCAGCTTTCACTGCACTGTGCGGCCACGACGGACAAGTCTGTGCAGAAGATGGTACAAAGACAAGTGAATGCAATAAAGAGTAAAATGGTATCAATGTGTTCTCTGCATTGTTGCTGAGCTTCGATGTAGCAATGCTTTGCTACAAGAACATAGAGTCATAGTTAAAGTTTTTGCAATTGCAATTTTGTGTAAATGGCGCCACTCATAACCTTTCCATGACTAATATGCAGTATGTAGTACAAGACCAGTACTAACATAAACTTTGACAAAGAAAACAATGCCAAAACTTGTTTAGTAAGAAGTTTAAATCTTCGAAACAATAGTACAATTGTTTCCCAATTGCTTTGTCTTGATGTGAGCGATTTCTTTTGAAGAAAAAGGCACACGTTTCTCATTGAATAATGCATTTACCCAACAATAGACTTATTGCTTTGTTGGGTCGGCTTATGTCAAAGGGATTTAAACAATGAATCAAACAGTCAATGTTAGAGATTTTCAAAGTTCTTTGATTGGATTAATTTAAAGGATGCTTTATCTTGTGCAACTTTGTCGCCATCTCAGGAAACTCTCTATTTGTAGCGTAAAGCTGACTCCATGATTCTGCTGGGGAGCTTATCTCCAAGAGAACGGAAGCCACATAGATGCCTCCACAGTCTCAGCAGCAAAGGAGGGGTGGCGTATCTTACATTTGTCTTGGCCCAAAGTGGTTTCCAAAACGTTTGTGTTTAAATCTGTTTGTTGACATTTGTCCATTTTGGTCGTTATTTCTGACTAATTTGTTAGGATTGCTCTTAATTTATCAATGCAAGAGCAATGTAAATGTTTGTAATGCAATCTATAATGGTTTTGGTAATACAGTGGGATGACTTTTGAGTTTGGTTTTCGGAATTGAAAAAGTTTGCTTTTGTAACTCCTTTAAAACAATCTAGCCAGCAAAAAAAAAAAAAAAAAAAAAAAAAAAGACTTGAGCAAGGCTTTTCATGGAGAGTATTATGAAAGGCACTTCATCGGCAAAGGTTGCATCTGTCAGAGTATTGCGTCTTTAGCTCGAACTGGTCCCCGTTGTAATCCGTACTACCAGCATACCAATGCTGGCCGGCACACCAATGTGATATTAAAGCAACGTGTTGCAATCTGGTTTTGCGCTAGACACGTTCAGTGGAGAAAGGAGTCAAAAGTGGCACTAAATTCAATACGAATTACAAACAGCTACACAAAGATTGGTCCATCGCATTGCACGTCATCAATTATATCTTGAATATTAGTTAGTGTTCGTGCAGTTGGATCACGGAATACCCGCTGCCGTCCTTTTTCTTTTCTTGTGTTTCTCCCAAGCAGGAATGCCCTCAGTTTTTTCATTGCGGTGCAGTGAGATAAATGTCTACAATGGTTATATGTGGGTATGTCTCCACCAATTTCAAATTTTATTCGCCCACATGTATCATAACCATGGTCATTTTGTGACATAATTGACCAATGAAATTTCGGAAACGTTTTTGGGTAGCAAGAGGAAGCAGGAGGTGATAATTACCATGTAATTCTTTATGGCTTAGAATGTGGCTTAACAGCATTTACCAGAGGTAGATGCAGCTCGGCGTTTGTTTTTGTTTTTTTCTCCGTTGAGCGGTTTATTCTCTATGGATCTGGATTTAAAAAGTAGTTTGGAATTTAATCTGTGGCTCTCACCAAGCAATTTAGTTTCTAAATTGTGCCATCGAAAGGACGGGGGGGACAAGGAGATTTAATAATGATGTTCCTCGATACGAATCCGATTCCATCAAATCATATCCCTCTATCACTAAGGAACTTCATCTACAACACGTATAGCTCCCCCAAATATCTTTTCTATTAGGTAGATAGTGGATGGAATTATAATTACAAAGAGTCAACGCGTTACTTAGAAAATCTTTTTGGCTACATAATAGAATAATCGATGCATCCTGTAAGATTTCGCCCACATTCCTACAAAAGCAATAACAACGATTACAAGTTGTCTTTGTCTCTGTTCACCTTTTTTCTAGGCATCACAATCACATCGACCGCAGAAGGAGTGACAAAAAAAAAACAAAACATCGGTTCGGGTTCGGTGATCTTTTATTTACTTTCGAAAATTTTTATCTTCGTAATTGGTGCCGTATCAAACGTTTCTTGTTTGAGTACAATAGTATCTGGATATTGTGGCGGAAAACTTAAAACCAAATTCATTATCTCACCTTAGACAGAAACAAAGTATCCACCACCCCTATTTCGAGTGGCTTCACGTTTGAATGTAACAAGCTGCACGTGGTTTTGGACTCTTTGTTGGAGAGAACTAAATTACCTATAAGTTTCTGCCCTACGGTTTTACAACATGTGGTGGCTTTCGGATACGAAGATGCGACACTTTGGTTTTTCCGTAACTATCTTTTTTTCCCCTTTTCCATAAAATGTAATATCGTAGATGTATTATTTGTAAATATTTTTCTCCACGAGGTTCGAAAGTTCAACAACAATAATCGCTTTTAGAGAGCGACACTATTGTACAACTAAAATTCTGTTTATGACTCCGCTCGTGATGTCAGATGCATGGTTATCAGCAAAGTTTGGTGATGATTTTCATGATCCCCATCTACATCGAACTTACCTACTTTTTTTCGGCAACCACAAAGCCATCTAACACTTTTACATTACTCCTCATTGCTTTGGAGATTCTTCTTGTAAACGCCGGCCTCAAACTAGGGCAATTCATTTCATCTATAACATTACCTAAAACACTTCCAATTTTGCATTTACGGATTAAAGTCAGCCAACTTCTTATCACTCTTCAACTTGGCATCGATATCAAAATCATCAGAACCTGACCAATCAACTTGAATCTTACGATACTTTGACATATCAGTATTCTTCAAAAATTTAGCCCGTTCTTTACTCCATTCGTTCTGAACATCTTCGAATGCTTTGTCCCATACTTTGTCGTATACCTTTTTAATTTTAGCTTCTTCTTGTTGTCGTACCTCCTCCAATGCCATCCATTCCATATGCTTCAAATCGTCACTACTTGGTTCATAAATGTGCCAAATAACATAATGTGGTAATCCAACAACTGAATATCCCATTCGTTTACTTAATTTACCAAATGCTTCAGTCTCAGCATGCTTTTCAAAAGAAAAAGCGGGGAAATGAGATCCAGTACGAAAAACTTTGGCTTTAGTCAAAATGGATACTCCACCAATTCCATCCAAATCCATTTCCACTTCGGGATCTCCATACGGATCACGCAAGTACGCCAAATGAGGTCTCCAAGTTTGATATTCAACATAACCTTCCACTATACAAGCATCTTCATCTAAAGTTTCAGCCAATTGTAAACCACCATCACTTTCCTGCCATGAGTTCAAATCGTATGGCTGTTGATTTCCTAACCAATCCGGCAATGGACGCCATACATTGGGCACAATTACATCTTTATCATGATGCATCAAATCCTCCAAAATAGTAGGCGGTACAGTCTCAACATCGGCATCTCTCCAGTACACATACGAATGATATGGTTTCAATGCAACTGACCACAACCAATTTCTTGCCCTTGCCATCAATTTTCTTCTAGGACCTTGAGCGGCAAACCCATGTCGATCACTAAAACTTTGGCCTATGATTTGCCCAAAATCCTTTTCAAATATTTCAATTTCACCGAAATGCATTTCAGTGTTGAGATCCAGCTGAATCTCATTCAAATGTCTCATCAACTCTCCCATAGTGTCATCTTTCGAATCACTGACCAAAAATGCCAAGTCTATGAGATTATGTGGATAAGTTAATTTCTTCATATGGTTGAAAAACATTGGCAAATGTGCAGCGGCATCTCTCAACGGTACGCAAAACAATACTCGTTCATTGTATTGCCATCCATTTGGGGAGCCAGCATAATTTGCCAAGTCAAAGAACGAGACACTATCTAGTCCATTCAAGTCGGGCGTGTAGTGTGAAGACTTTAAGACATTGCTCGTTATGAATAAACATAGGAATATAAATGTCACAATGGATATAAGTATATTTCGACCCTGTCTCGATAGACGAAGAAGAAAATTGTCTGTCTTTTGTAGTTTCCCCTTTGTTTCATCATGATAGTCGTATGGCGTAACTTGCACTGACACTGGAGTAGAAACCCTTGATGGAGGCATGATTATGGTTATGGTTATGGTCTAACGAATGGCAGATTATGGATGAGAAATGGGATCGATACGGTACGTGTATGATGGCTTTCTGATGAGCGCAGTAATATCCTCTTTTATTCAAGTCTAGAGCTGTATGATGGATGCTATAATCAAGCTAGGTTGTACTTTATTAAAAAAGTGCTCTTATTAAACACGTTGTTTTGTTTCGAGTATGATCTGTTGACAGTAAACAGATTAAATTTTTTACCTTTTTTTTTTTTCTGTCGTTGATGCAGAACTACCAAATGCCGTTCCAATAATGCTCGCCCTTTTTGACACAATAACGCTTTCAACTGTAACTTTATGCAATCTGTCAAATTTGTAAAATAGGGGTCTATATAAAATCTAGCCGACTCTCTACATAATAGACACAACTGAGGTACCATCCTGGAATCTTGTTCTGAAAACACGGTTGGCATTGGTAAACATCCCCTCTTTCAAAGATACAACAATGAATTGTGATCCTTTGAATCTGGTTTTAATCAAATGACCAATGTTTTGAGTATGCGAGAGATCTAAGGCAGCATCGACTTCGTCCAAGATATACATTGGTGCCGGATTGAACTGAAGCAAAGCCATGATTAATGACAACGCAATAAGTGATCTCTGACCACCGGATAGTTCTAGTAAACTGTTTTTCCAAACAGGTCCAAGTTTGACTTTAACTTCAAGACCGTCAGTAACGTCCATCATGTTAACTGGAACCAATTTGGCAAATGATCCCGGCAACAAGTCTGCAAAGATTTGTCCAAAATCCTCAGACACTTTTTGATACGTTCCATTCAACGCTTTTCTAATTTCTCCGTTTAATTTTTCAATGGTTGATTCAATCTTTGTCTTGTCTTTTTCGATGGTTTTGATTTTCAACTTTAATGACGCCTCTCTTTTCTCATTTTCCTCAATCATACTAATCACATTGACATTCACTTTACGTCTCATGGTTTGAAATTTGTCCTCCAATTGGGCCAACTGTTCTTTTGCCTCTTCCAAATTCAAATTTTTGTGCTCTGATACCTCATGTTCCACCGCTCTCATATCCAACACCCATTCGTGATCACTCATAATCTGGTCCAATTTTTTACGCAAATCAGTTGTTGCATTTCGTGATTTTTCAAGTTCGAAATCGATAGTCTTGATCTTGACCTTCAAATTTTCAGCTCTTTTGAGTTTGGAGGCAATTATTTTCGTCAACTCATTTAATTCTTCATCTAGTCCTGCCAAGCTTGATTTCTCTTCTTCAACTTGGGCCTTAACTATGGTCAACTCTCGTTCCAACTTTGACTGATTATTGTCGTCTTCTCGATCTTTTGCCCTGAGCTCAGAGATGTTCCTTTCGGTGCTTAAAACTTGTGATTGGATTTCTTTGAGTTCATTTTGTTGTTGTTCGGTCTCCCATTGTAACACCTGGAAATTTTCAGTCTCCAAAGCCATTTCCTTTTGTTTGCTTTCCAAAATCAATTTCAGTTCCCTTATTTCCTCCTTTAGTTGAGAAATTTTACCACCCTTGTCACTGTTGAACTCTTGCATATCCCTTTCAATTTGTTTGATCTCCTTGGTAAACTGAACGCAATCCTTCTCCAATTGCAGTATCTCATTACTCAAGTTTTCCATCTCCTGCTTCTTTTCTTCATTTGATTTTAAAAAGGATGACGCTTGGTTGTTCTCTAGCTTTCTTTGGAGCAAGGACAACTCATACTTTTTCATTTCAATAACCTTTCTCATTCCACTTGTAGCTTTCATACTTTTCTCCCACTTGTCAACTTCTTCCTTGACTTGATAGAGCTCATCGTCAACAACGTTCAATTGTTTGAGCACCTTGTTGTAATCCTTCAATGCAAGTAGCAACGCAGTATTGTTTCGACGTGACCCTCCAGATATGTTTCCCTCAGGATCATACGTGTCACCCTCAATTGTGATTGACCTCGTTCTAACTTGAGGGTCAAAGGTTACTTTCTTTGCTGCGTCTGGATCCGCACATATAAACGTTGTTCCAAACACATATTGCATAGCTTTGTATATATTTTGGTCATATTCAATCAAGTTTAAAGCCAACTCAACTTTTCCTGGAGCAATCTGCTGCGCACGTTCAACAACTGCCGCTCCCAAAACATTAGGGTTAATTTTGTCCAATGGAATCATGGTGACCCTTTTTCTCAATCTACCGCGCTCCAACAATTGTGATGCCACTTCGCTTGTCTTGACAACAATATTGTACAACCTTCCACCTGCACATGTTTGCAAAGCAATCGCTTTGTCGTATGAAGATTCGGGCAACTCAAACAACTGAGCAACAACACCTTGTACCAAGCGGTCATCAAAATTTGGGTGTGGTCGCTCGTAATAAAAATCAAGACCGCGTAGATTTTGTTTCATATAGTTCAATTCTCGTAAAAGCTTTTCCTGCTGAGCCCTGAGCTCAGATTCTCGGTCGCGGATCTGATCTATATTTTGAGATGTGGATCCCATTTCTTTAGTCAACTCCGCCTCTTTTTCCGCTATGTCTCGTTCAAGGTTTTCCACATTAACCATAAATCGGTCATACTCTTCCTTTGCCTTGGCTAGCTTTGGCTCATCAGTTTTCAAGCTCTTGGAAAGATGCTCAATCTTCAACTTGTTTTGTTCGATTTGACTCGCTGATGAGCCATGTTTGTTTTTAACGTCACTAAGCTGGGAAACATAACCAGTGGAGGCACCACCTTTGGAAGATAACCCTGTACTCAATCCTGCTAATAGCTCTTGCCTTTTCTCAAATTGTTCTTTCAATATTGAGAGCTCTTTCTTGAATGCCTCGTGCTTGCCCTCGTGAACCTTGAATGATGATTTACTTTCTTTCAAAGAATTTTCCAACTCATGTTGTTTCTGTTGCAACAGTTCCAATTTTTCAGTTTCATTAGTTAGTTCCTCAGCAGTCAATCCTCTCTTTGTCCTCAATCTTTCCAACTCGTTTGTAATTTTGACCTCTTGATGCTCCAACTCATTGATTTTACCGTCTTTTTTCATATTTGCCTCTCTTGCTTGTCTTACTTGTTGCAAGTCTTGGTTCAAGTTGTTTATTTCGTGAGTCAATTTATCAACTTCCAAGTGTAATTCGGCAACTTTGTTCTCATGTTGCTCGGTGAAATCAGTGTTGTTCGTGAACAATTGTGTAAGTTTTGAATATTCAAATGCTGTCACAACACGTCTATGCTTTTCCAAAGCAGTTTCGGTGTTTTTAAACTCAATGTAGACGCGTTTGTCATTCCTAAACTTTTCAAACTTGGGCTCGATTTCTTCCAGCAACAAGGTTTTGATCTCCTTAAGCTTTGAATCCTTCTTTGCCATAACTTTCTTTGCTTTACCCTTTTTCTCTTCAAAAGTTCGAGTTCCTGCTGCCTCTTCAATCAAAGACAATATTTCGTTTGGCCGCATGTTCAAGACCTTGGTAATTTTACCTTGCATGATTAAAAAATTGGGGTTGTTAATGTTCAACTGCACAGATTGGAAGAGGCTTAGGACTGTTTGTTGCTGTGCTTTATGTCCGTTTATCAAGTATTTGGAGGTTCCACCAAGTATAATCTGCCTTGTGACACTGATCGTAGCACAAGTCTCGAACCCAATAGGTGATTTCGAGATTTCGGAGTTGTTGAAGACAATGGTGACACTAGCTTTGGTAACGCCTGCTTGTCCTCTCTTGTAAATCAAATCCTGCAAGTTGGACGCTCTAACTGTTTGCATCGAAGAAATACCAAGCACAAAACAAATGGCGTCGAGAATGTTCGACTTTCCCGATCCGTTTAAGCCAGTGATAGCATTGAACAGTGCATCCCAGCCTGATATCACAGTACGTGTTGCATATGACTTGAATCCATCAATAATTAGTTCCTCAACTTTCATTAGTGCTGAATAACTCTGTAGGTGATTCCTTTTAAATCTTTTGTTTACACATTCTTTCTGTTGTCGCATTTAGAAATCGCGTTTGAAATAAGACACTGGAATTTTTGTGTGAAATCTTTACCTCATCTCTAATTAGAAACTACATGGAGAATGATACGTCGTTTCAATGCAACCGGTACATTGGCTAGAACGACTTGTCCAAAAAGAGGACTACATTTGAGTGAGTGTCTAAGGCGAAGAGCATTGGAAAACAGCCAATCACCCAGACAACCGAATTATCTGAAAGGTTCCAAGTCTCGAGGTGGTGATACACAACTCGATGATTTTGATGCTAGAAATAACCACTCGTCATTGCGAACACAGATTAGTCACTCCAGCAAATCTCACACATTGCCCAAACAATCGCACAGTGGGATCAATGAGACCCAAGATGATTCACGTTCCAAAACGATTGATATCAGTTCAATGAGATCGTTCATCAAAGGGGGTCAAGAGCTTGCACGTGCTGAAATTGTGACAAATAAAAGGCCAAAAGAGCTGGGGAATGTCCGAAAACATACGGTACTGCCTGATTCAGCTGTTACCACGGATAATGCGACTGACTTCACAAAGCTTGCCGGGATAATCAAGTCGAAAAAGAAGTACTTTGATATCGAGCAACCCCATTTCAACCTTGATAGACCAAATAAAGAAATTCTTGCGGATATCAAAAATCGGTCAGAGTCCACAAAAAAGCTTCAGTATCGAGGACCGTCGAGTTCGTGGAAGAACGGACTTGACAACTATAACGAACTAAAAAGCTTTTTCAAGCAACTTCCCAAATCGGCCAAGATTAATGGGAGAGTTATGAATGATCCTGTGAGAGTGGGCGATTTGGTCACTTTTGGTCACGAAAGTCTTCGTTTGTATATTGTAGCTGAAACACCCAAATCATTTGATTCACGAGTTGCCACGTTTCTCTCTGATAAGGGGGAGATTGTGTTTTCCAGCTTTTCAAACATAGCTTACCGAATACCACAAGCCATACCTGGAAAGTACATCCAAATGATTCAGCGCTTTGTTACTAAGGAGCAGAAATATTTAGATAGTCCACCCGTGGGTATACCCGACTTGAACTTTACTAGATCTGCAAAGTCATTGCCGTTAGAATTACAAAGTTCAAGTAAAATGGAAGCAACCAGTGAAACAGAAGGTGAAGTGTCAGAATATGATTCCAATGATCTTGTCATATCTCAAGCCTCGTCACAGCTATTGACCAATTCGAATGTCCAGACATATATTATACCGAATGCTGCACGGGAATTATATCATGGGGCATTAACAGAGATATCAAATTCTGCTTTTCAAAAAGTACATGAAACCAACCAAAAGTTGGAAGGTTTACATAGGGTTTTGCAAAACGATGAAACCGGTGAGATAAGTGCACCACGTTCGATCTCAATTTTTGAAATCTTGAGCAAATTGAATGCCAATCCAACGCTCACATCAACCTCAAGTATAGCACAATTGGGCATCCTGCCCAATCAGCTGGTCGACTATGATGCAAAGAATTTTCCAGCAGCTGATTATTTGTCGGTCTTGTTTGCGTTAAAGAAACAGAGTCGTTTGTGGACGATTCAGCGAGACAAAGCATCGTTCTCTCCAACAAAAGTCATAATCTGGCCGTTGGCCCAGATATCCCACGAAGATCAAGTGATCAAAATTTTACAGGGACGGGGTGTAGAGCAAATCGCTCAACATTGTGTTGCAAAACTTGTTGGCATTGAGGACTTATCCAAATCTCAACTTTACAGCGATGTGGTAGGCATGTTGAAGGAATACGTTAATGGAAAGTTTGAAAATGATCCTATGGTGTCAACGACTCTTATATCGTTATTGAGACGGGTTGACCAATTACTTGTTAAAAGAGGGAAACCAATTTCAAATGATTTGTACAAATTTGAATATTCTTTTGGAAAGGCATATGATTTGTTGACGCGATTGAATGAGGATATAAATGTCAACCCTGTCAAATGGTCAGCTGAGTCAAGTCTACCAGGGCAAAAAACTTCTTCAAGAGCCGATGCGCAGGAAACTTACTTTCAGTATTTTGACAAAGTTTTAGAATTGCAAAGGAATGAGAGAGATGATGTCGCTCAAAGGACATTGAATGATAATTTGTACCACGATGATCCTCTTGACGATAAACGAATTGATATGAGAGAGGTACCAATATATTGCATCGACGACCCAACAGCACATGAAATCGACGATGGGATTTCAATACATGAAGAGAATGGCCAATATGTAGTTTCAATTCACATAGCCGAACCCAGTTCGTACATCAAACCAGATTCAGTGGTCAGTAGAATCGCGTTTGAAAAATCATCGACCACCTATCTTCCCGAAGTTGTATTCCCGATGTTCCCACAAATGGTATCGAAACTTGCTGGGTTGGGTAATAATTTGATAGACACAAGAACTTTTGTCGTGCAGTACAAGATGAAGAAAGAGGATGTTGATGACTATATTAGTGATGTGTTGAAAGATAGACTGCAAGCGCCCGACAGTGCTCTCCTAAATAAGATCAAGACTGATATTTACGATAGCAGCGAAGTCAAGTTTGCTATTGCCAAGAGATTTCGTCAAGGGTTCACCTACGATGCGGTGAATAAATTACTCCAAGATGATTTTAAAATCAACCAGTACCGAAACCAGTCAGCTTCTGGTGATTCGGATTTTGATAATTTATTCAAATTGCAACACATTTCCTCCATTTTGTGGCGGATCAGAGAATCAAATAATGCATACACAAGTGGCCAAAACAAGAAATTGACAGTTGGACCACGCACAGCTAATGTTGTGGACGTTGATAAAGAAGGGAGTTACAGAATCCAGCTCCCCAATAGTGACAACCACATTGAAATTTCGTCGGAAAGGTCAAGCAATATATCTACGCAATTAGTCACAGAAAACATGATAATAGCCAATCACTTGACAGCCAAGTTTGCTACTGATAAAGGCATCAAAATTTTGTACCGGACTTTGGATCCAAAGTTCAATAAAGAACTATTAGACGAGTACAAGGAGCTAATTCAACAAGGAGACATCGATGTTGATCAAGAAAAATTGCTAAACCTTTATGCATTTTTGACAAGAGGAATAATTTCAGACAAACCAGAAAGGCACTTTATGATGGGGTTGAATATGTACACAAACATATCTTCACCGTTGCGACGATTTATTGATATGATTAATCAATGGAAAATCCAAGACTATTTTCTTAATAGAGTTACTGTTTCTGATGAAAGTATAGTAGGGATTGTTTCTCGGTTGAATGCCAAAAACGACATTGTTAGGAATGTTCAAAGACAATCCACGACATTTTGGCAATTGTTATTCTTGAAACTATTTAACGATCAGAATGATGGCAATTTAGCTGAGAAGTTGGATTTGAAATTGTCACTCCGATCTAATCCAAAAAAAGGAATGACTGTTGCTGTTAACTTGCAGACATTCTCTAGTGTCAATGCCCACGTTGAAGTGAGTCAAGAGTTGTTGGAAGATGTGAGCTCTGGGAACCTCGTTGTTGGGGGTTTGTTTGATAACTCAAAACTACACTTGAAAAAGATTGATGTAATTGAAAATCAAGTGGTGTTTGAATACAAGTGATTGCATTGTTGTAATATAGTTACTGTACATAGTTGCAATGTAATCTATAAATTGGCTCGTTGTTTTAGGACTTTTCATATCTCTTCTTCCAATCTAAGCCCACTTTCCAATGAATGCCATCGCAAATGCTCCCAAACTTAAATAGATATAAGCAAACAACAATTTCTTTATAGGTTTATCTCTGAAATCACCAGAATACATAAAATCAAATGCCATCAACTCCGCAATGCTATTGTAAATCAAAATTCCAGCACACGTAGCATCAAAAGTACCTGTGGTAATCAAAGAAGTCCTAGATCCGGCTGGGTATGTTTCACGAACAATCAATCCTATTCCACAAGCAAAAGGAGTGGTCAAGCTGTAAGCAAGAGACATGAGCCAAGGAACGTACCTTTTCCCCTTAGGCCATTGAGTGGTTGCAAATCTTGTTCCAAGACCTAAGCCTTCAAAAAGCTGATGAAAACCAATAGCAATATATAATGTTACGAATTCATCTCCTGCTATAGCCAAAGATAAACCAACAAAAATAGAATGCAAAACAATACCACATTCTAAAACAACACAATTCAATATTTGTTGGTATAAGCTTTCAAGTTTCGAAAGATTACGTTCGTTAATCTCTGTGTCCGATGATTTCCGTGACGCGTTGGACTCTTGATCCTCCTCCTCTGTTGGCTCCCTTGATTGATGAATGTTAGTTGATGCTTCTCCAGTAACTGATTCAAATCCAATTGGGAGGTTTCCATGCTTGTCGTTGTCAATTCTGGCTTTTGCCTTGTTGGACAATTTGTAATGAGCAACAATATCGAAGAAGAAGATGAAGAATACGGCAATTAATGCTATACCCTCGGCAAAGGGGTAATCTGTAAATGGTGGACCTAAACATTTGTTGCTCAAAGCGGCAGCTGCCTCAGCCATCAAGTGTATAAAGCCTGTAGCGATAATCACTCCGCTTCCAAAGTACCTTATTCCAGTGAAAAGCCAATCAGGTAACTTGAATTTTTTCGAATATGCAGCCACCAAGGGCGAAAATGAGCCCACGACTGAAAGGGTAAACAAAACAGGAACGGCTGACACCCTGGCTGCAAAATGTTTTCCATTGTAGAAATTTCCCTCGAGACAAGTATCGGGGGTGTTTTGTCTAGAAACTAAATTATTCATGGTTGATGATTGATATAGTAGGCCATTTGGTGGAGTCAGTTTATGTTATGTGTGGCATTGTGATGGACTATATAGCACAAGGTGTATACTTCTGAAAAGAAATTCATAGGAAAAGAAAAGGAAGGATCCAGTAACCTTAGTGTATTATTACAACTTTACTTTGAACTCAATCGTTGAAGGATTTTTGGCATGATTTACCTTTTCTTTTTCTTGCTCTAGAAAGTGGGGGTCATACATTCTCGTATGCTTATGCTTTGATAAAGTAGTAGATTTTCACAATTTGATCGTATGTCACTTTTACATAATGTAGGATGATGCAAGACAAGGCTGTTCGAAACGTGGTACAGGTAGAATGATTTAAATTTATCTTTATTATCCAACAGAAGTTTCTTTTTCGGTTAGGAACTAGAATTGATAGTTTGTTCCACTTCTACAAGGTTTTAAAACCTAAGCTCCAATTAAACGATTCCTCTATCAAAAATAGTTATCCACTGCCATTATGCCCATTTACTAATTAGCGCCATTGCAAACGCACCCAAAGTTAAGTATACGAATGCAACCAACAAATGCTTAATCGACTTGTTTTTGAAATCTCCCGAGTACATGAAATCGAACGCCATTAATTCGGCAATACTATTGTAAATCAATATACCTCCACAAGCAGCGTCAAAGACACCTGTAGTTATCAACGCCGTTCGCGATCCCTCAGGGTAGCTTCTACGTACAATTAACCCAATACCTGCTGCAAGTGGTGTAGTCAAGCTATAGGCAAGAGACATAACCCATGGCACGTACCTCTTCCCCTTCGGCCATTGAGTGGTTGCAAACCTTGTTCCAAGACCCAAACCTTCAAAGAACTGATGAAATGAAATAGCAATGTAAAGTGTGACAAAATCGTCACCAGCAATCGTTAACGACAACCCTACAAACACCGAATGGAAAACAATACCACACTCTAGTACCACGCAATTCAAGATTTTTTGGTATATGCTCTCTAGTTTTGATAAATCTCGCTTATCAACCTCCTTTATTTCGGTTGACTCATTTGTGTGTTTGGAAAAGTTTGTTTCTTGTTCAACTTCTTTTGGGATCTCATTTTGAAGGCGGCCGACTGACTCGAATTCCATAAGAGAATCGCCGTTCTGTCCTGCCTCTAAATACTCCTTTGCCTTGACCGATAATCGTTGGTGAGCTATGACGTCAAAAAAAAATATGCAAAACACCCCAATCAATGCAATGCCTTCGGCAAACGGATACTCAGTAAATGGTGGACCCAAGCATTCATTACTAAGATTTGCAGCTGCTTCGGCCATCAAATGGATAAACCCAGTTGCAATAATCACTCCACTTCCGAAATACTTTATAGCATCGAATATCCATCGCGGTACTCTAAATCTAGTAGAATATGCTGCCAATAAGGGTGTAAATGATCCCAAAGCTGAAACCACAAATAGAACTGGGACAGATGAGACTCTGGCTTCCCAGTATTTCCCATTATAGGAATTGGTACTGAGACAAGCGTCCTCGGTTTCTTGTCTTATAAAAATTGTATCCATTGGAAGAAGGCTACCAGATGAGGTGCAAAAAAGAATGTGTGATTGCCGCAGGCAAAGCCGAATTAAGGTTTTTGTTTCAAAAGGTATGTGTTATCTGATACTCTTTATATTCATTTTTTTGAATAATTAAATGAATACCCCATGTGGAATAGTAGTAGATTGGCGGTTTAAAGAAAAATTTTATATACATTAGTGATATTCTTTGATAAATTCTTGGCTTCTTTTTTGTTTTTGTGAAAATGCTAACAATTGTCAAATAAATTAGAGAAAAACCTGTTTTAGTTGTCTCAACCATGCAGTTAAAGATCGATAGATCCGTTCGTTTGCTAATAACTATTATTTGAGGGGGATATTTGCTTCGGGCACCTCAGCTCAACGCGTGCTCGGAATAGAGCGTAGGTTGTTTGCAGCAATACCCTAGTTATTGAAAAGCAGCCGTGAAGTTGAGCAAATAAACAGCGCTGATCTTGCACCACGTATCTGCGGGGCTTCGCAGGAGAAAAATGGTTGCAGCCTCAGGGTTTCTAAAGTAGTTATGGAAAGGATGTTCCGATTTATTCCGGTGAGCCAAGCAAAGAACTATAAAGGAAGAAAGGGGGAAGGTAGAAGCAAAGTGAAACGCGAGGCTTCACCTCGTGAAATGTTTACCCTGCAAAGGGGCAGTGCTGTCACTTTATTCAATCTGAATTGAACCGTTAGAAGCAGACCGATTCCGGTTTCCAAAAGCCTCCTTTCAAAGCGCAAATTTTATTTTATTTTTTGAACAAAAGTGAACGACTCTTCAGAATCGATAACAAAAATAAAACATACAATTCATTTACCCAAGTTAGCATATTGATTTAACTGCACATATCATGGATCAAGAAGAAGTGGAAACACATCGGTTTCATCAGCTTCAAAATTCCTTCTTATCTACGATCGATCATCTTCCATGCGACATTGTCCGATCACTTTGGTTGATCCAATCGTGTAACATTCAAATTGATAAACTCAAGCACCAATTGCATACCCTACTACAGAAATACCAAACCACAACAAGTATCGTGCAGAATGAAGTTGACCAAATATTTGGGCTAAAGCAACGCATACGACATTTGTTCAATGAAACGATACAGGAAGGCAAAACATTGAATAATCAAATGATCATTCACAGGATACATTTAGAAGATGAGGTTAGTCAGTTACATACTGTCAAGGACAAGCTGGTGGTTCTAATGGATGATCAAGAGTCACGCGACACATTGCGTAAACAGTTGAAACAGCATTACAAAGACCATCCATTAGTCTCCCAAGTTGAGGCAGTTGAGCAACAAAAATATTCCCAAAAGGAACGAAAAAGCGTCTCCGCTAAATCGGGTATTAAGTTGGTGTTACGAATACCAAAACAGGATGAGGTTGTGAAGCCAAAAGGAAAACACGTGATAAAAACGGTTGCGTCTCAGCTGAAACCTAAACCAGCAAATGTAAAGAATTCAGACGTGGTTACAAAGAAACACACAAAACGTATGCGAAAAGAGGAGATTGTTCCACAAGCGGAGCCAATTGAAGAAGGTGAGGATGACGACGACAAAAGGTACTGTTTTTGTAAGCAGCCTTCTCTTGGTGATATGATTGCTTGTGACAATGAATCATCATGTCCCAACGGTGAATGGTTTCATTATAAATGCGTTGGATTGTTGAATCGTGTAGATGCTTTGAAGTACACGACGGGAAAAATACCGTGGTATTGCTCAGAAGGGTGCAGAAAAGTAGGCGAGGCAGAGAAAGCAAGGCAGAAAGAGATGAAAAAACGCAAGAGAAGACGCAAGTGGTAAGAGGAAAAAGAGAGAAATTGTTTTTGATCCGTGATTGAAAACTTGATACAAATCTATACTGTTAATAGTTCCAACATACCATTAATTTCACTGGCTTCTTTGCATTTACCAATTTCCAACTCAATTTTTCGCAAAAGGGCATTGAAACTCTCTTCTAGCACGACACTTTTATCAATCATTGAACCATACATTTCCAAAATCACGGCAATATAATCACTTATAAGATTGAAGGATCTCACATCCTCAATATTTTTGGTGAACCATTGTAGCATAGGCAATAATGAAATTTCATCTCGTTCATACAATCCAATTCTCATTTTACCTCTTGTTTTCAATTCATTCAAAATGGTGATTGTATGCTCTTTGGGTAATCCTGGTGCAAAAGCACTATCCAATGCTTCGCTCCATTTGAAACTGTTTAAATATTTTTCAAATTGTTTCAACTTCCTAGTTTGAGGACCGCTGGTATTATTGACTATCTCGTATTCTTCTTCTCCCTTGTAATCTCTACCTTTCATCATTCGCGCATAGGCATTCGTTGTCTCTTGCTTTATGCCTTGCTTTGCTTTTGGTTCTGTTGTTTTGGTACGTATGGATATCAAACCGGATGTCAACCCGGCAACAAAATGTTTGTAATTTACTGGTGATACGGCACAAGTTAATACACCACCACTGCCAAACTTCCATCCAAACTTGACATCCCAGTTTGTGGTATTGTAGTCAAACACTTTGACATGGCCATCCAATGAACCAATTAACAATCCCTTCTCCTTTGTATCGTATAAGCATGTAGTTGATTTGGTGAAATTGTTCAATTGATGAATTTGTGAATTCCTAGTCAAATCCCAAATCTTTGCATGTGGGCCCCCAGCACTAACTATAGTGCTTGAATTAATGGCGAGTACATCTTCAACAGGGCTTTCTTGATGAAAAGAAGAGATTGCGCCTGATGGATCTCTGGTATCGAACAACCGTACCATACCATCATAACATCCAGTTACTATCAAGTTTGAATCTCCTGGAACGAAGTTTACACTTCTTATATAATCACCATGATGCAGCTCATCGAATGATTGGACGGGTCCTTGTGACGTTTGCGAAATATCCCACACTCTTAATATACGATCATCAGATCCAGTGATTAAATTGGAGCCAACAGTTGGATGAAATTTCGTAACATGGGTAGGATGCAGTGATGGGTTCAAGCTGACTAGTAAATTTCGTGGTTGATAACTGTCGTATATAGATACAAGACCACTAGCATCTGATGCACAGAGCAATTTCCCATCGTATCGAAAGTTGGAAGAGTAAACCACATCTTTAAACCTTGAAAATGTTTTGATTATTTGTCTTGTTTTTGATGAGAATATTTGTATCCTAGTGGACGACACAACTGCAAAATCATACGGCGATGCTGGATTAAATTCAATGTGGTTTATTGAATGATTTTCTTTGATTAATTGTGGACTGATATAACTTCTCCAATACCTTTGCTCGGGCGTGGTTTGTGAGGCTAATGTTGGGTTTCGTACCTGTAGTACCCCTTGCCTAGCTGATGACATGATGAGGTTAGTTTGGAGAGCCCTTTTGATGTAGTTGATGGTCCGAACTACTTTTTTTTTTTTTTTTCCTTTAGAAGCGAAGACCTTCACGTGATCCAATGAAGATGATGCAGCATACAGATTTTCTTCGAATTTTGCAACAAGAGTCGCCCAGAAAGGGTGTCACTACTCTAGGCACTAGAATGAGCAAATTGAAAAAGAAAGGGTGTCACATCCACTTTCTCGCGCCTGTTGCTATTTCAATATATGATCGAAATTTTGAAAACAATGATTTTCAACAAAAATTAGTATCGTTTTCAGTCAAAGAGTTGTATACATAAGGCATATTTGTTACAAAGTAAGGAATTGATCCCATTTTTAATATTCATTTGCAAACTTGCTGTCACACAGTCGAGCAACTATATACACCAATAGCTGAACCATTGCTATACGAGATGTGCAACTCTTTGCGAATCATGAAATTCATCACGGACTAACAAAACTTTCCTACGTTGCGTGCGCAAAGTATTTGTTTTACACAGTTTCCTGTAAAGGCCTATTTTGTAAAGGGTGTCTCACCGCGGATTCCACTATTACGAACATCAAAGAGCGATGGAACTATTGTGATATGTTCCCAGTGGTAGTGCAGTGGGCCCAAGTATACAAATAACACAAATTGTGGCCAATTTTTGAAATACCCAACAAAAGTTTGCAGCTGTTACTTGTGAAATGCCTAAAGAATTTATCGCAACGGTGCACGCTTGAAGTATCGACTTTCTATAAGGTATAAGAAAGCGAGCTCTTTTCCCTCAACTTTTGGAATTTATTCCCTAATTTATTCACGCCCCCTTTTCACAAAGACAATACAGCTATTTATCGAGTAAGGATAACACCGATACCTACACCGTCAGTGGCAACCAAACTCAATGCAGAAGTTGAGCATTCTTTATTTCCTTTAGTATCGTCTTAGTAATAATGTAGTCAGACTGTGTATGTCACGATATAGAATTAGACTGTGCGTGTCCACTTTATCAAGATTACACAAATCTCCTTAACAAATTGGTACATACACGATCTCTAATTTGCCCTTTTCCTTTTCTTCAAGAACAAACACAAAAAAACACAATAGTTAACCAGGGCGGTTGTACACATTGTATTTCAATCTAGTGGCGCACGGCCGGTTAGCCACGGGGGGCAATTTTTACAACACAAAGTGAATTTAGATGGCATGATAATTTGATTTCACTTACAAAGGTGATACTACACTGAGGATATGATGAAGATGGTACAATCTTCTTGTGAAAAAAACACTTTCGTTTACAGGTGCTTCAACCGTCGGGCTCTCGCATTCAAAATTCGTTTAAATTTGACGTGTAAGCTCAGTGGTAATGCAAATACGATACTTTAGTTCAGTCTGACAAAGTTTAGCTTTCGTGCATGAGCTGTGTACATTTTACTATTTATAGAAAATCAAACATACAATTTAGTTTTACCAAATCAAAAAAATAATTGTCAACACACAAACTATACGATTACTCCGAGACCACTGTTGGAAATACCTCGTTTGTGCAAGATTCTTAAATAGATTTGCATCGAAGTGCACCTTTGTAAAATTGAGTGATACTGGGATTGGCGTATAGTCGAGCAACCACTGATCACACTAGGTAAGCCTCCAATGCCTCTTCGACCCCACCCACTTCAATTAAGCAAACAAGAAAGAAACGTTGTGTTCGCAATGCATTCACACTTGACGCAGGAGGCTGCGAAGGGCATTTGGTGCATCTGCAAGATGTTGAGCACTTAAATAAAGGTACACAAATGCAAAATCTTTTCAGGGCCGTAGGCTAAACCAATGCGGAACAAAGTGAAAGGACCTGAAAAGAAACAATGGACGAAGTAAGAGACGTGTTGTTGAGTCCGTTTAGGTAGAAACGTTTTGAACTTTAAACCTCGAGGAATGTGCATAAATTAATATATATATATATATATGTATCACAATTACTCTTTGACTTGAAAATCGGTCGTAAACAAAACGAGGTAACATAATATATATTCATAGTGTACGGATTGTGAACCCCTAACCAATATACACAAGAATACGATATCAAAGGCAAGACAGCATTTTTCAATTACCTTGCCCATAGGAAGTTCAACACCAGCGGAGTTGAACAGTCCAGAAGTCTCAAATCCACGACAATTGATTACTAACTGAGCACAAGCTTGGTAATAAAGAGAGAGTTGAAGAGAGTACCACTTTATTTCTACTTAAAGACAAGAAAAGGCCACTTTTACCCTAAGAAAAGACTTAAACTGCAAAGGCGACTTACTGAGACCTATCCATTGCCTGCAACGCAACCATATTGCAAAATACTCACACAAACTTGCACTATCACTGCTACTGCTACCACTAGTACCCTGCCACGCCTTTGACTACTGATCAAGTGCAGATTCCATCAGTTGTCTCAAACAAGCTTTTTTGTGTATTACAATACACAATACAATACAATACAATACAATACAATACAATACAATACAATACACTCTCCACCCGCCTGAGGCACACCATAGAATAAAAAAAAAAAGCAAAAGAAAAAAAGAAATACACACAACAGAAGAGCAAACTACGAGGGAGAAAAGCGGAATCCGAATTTATAAATATTATACAAACACAGTTGGCATCAAACACATACGGAAAGACACCCCTATTCACCACACACAAGTACATATCATCATCACAGTATGAGTGAAGGGTCAAGCAAAGACGACACGCAACAACGATTTGAAAAGTTGAGTCTAGATCGGGATGCAGATGCCAGAAGTGCTTCAGAATCATCCGTTTCATCAACATCAACATCAATAGCTTCCGCATCTGTATCTGTACCTGCATCCGCCCCATCTATGGCTCAACCACCTGTATCTTCTCCACCTATAGCACCTTCAACAGTACATACTCCATTGAATAGTGACATACAAGCCAGATTATTGGCTTTTCAGCAAAAACGATCAAAGCCAGCTTCGGAACCAATGAATGTTTACAAACAACACAATGCAACGGCACCAAATGTGTCAATGGCATCACCTACACAGCTGTCACTTGCACCACCGGCACCTCCTCCACATGCCACCGAATTCAAAAGTGACTCAAAATTGGAAACTTTGTCCAATGTTGATCAGGAGATTGGAACTACTTCAACTAGCAAAAACCAACTTGACATCCCATCGGCAACATCTAGCAATCGAGATTTTGCATTAGACTCTAAGAATGCAATAAATTCAGTTAATTCCAATTCTCAACTTGCGAATGTGCCCCTTAGGAATTCAACTACTTCAAGTAGAGGTATTCCAGGACAAACTCACGGCCAGATATCGAGCCCCAATCTGAACCCTGCACAATCTCCAAACTTCAAGCCACAAATGAATATACAAAAGAAACCGTCGCTATCCCAAAGACGAGGAATGAAGTTAAACACCAATGCGTTTCCATTTGGTAGTCCACCAATTTCATCAGAATCACCACCATCAGCCGCAATGTCACCAACTTCGCTAGATGCATCACTCAGCCTTGATACAGCAGTTGCCAGAACACCAGACCGTGAGCAGCCACTGTTGGGGACTACAGGTGTGGCGTCATCCACTTCCACTACTGGTGGTGACACTTTAGCAACATCTAATGTAAACTCCTCCACAGCACCATCTTCCACAGCACCATCTTCGACCACATCAACTCCATTTGCAAGCACGATCAATTCCAAACTAGGTACACCCAATGAGTTATCGAGACGATTATCTGAACGGAAAAAGAAGCCCAATTTCAAGCTTAATTTGGATTCACCAGGAAGCAATATTCCTTCAAGAAGTAGTAGTTTGGGCAAGTCCAATTCCTCCGGCCCATCGAGCGATAATAATAGTCCTCAACAGCAAGAGAAAGAACCGCAACTACAAGGTCTCTTTGCCAATTACTCGAAATATATCGACATCAAATCTGGTCAATTAAACTTTGCGGGGAAAGCGTCGTTACATTCCAAAGGTATAGATTTTTCATCAGGTTCGTCTTTCCATATTTCTTTAGATGAATTTGAGTACTTGGAGGAATTGGGACGAGGAAACTACGGATCAGTCTCCAAAGTTTTGCACAAACCTACGGGCGTTTTAATGGCCATGAAGGAAGTGAGATTGGAATTGGATGAAACAAAGTTTACCCAAATTTTGATGGAATTGGACATTTTACACAAATGCGATTCGCCATACATTGTCGACTTTTATGGTGCTTTTTTTGTTGAAGGTGCTGTTTACATGTGTATTGAATATATGGATGGTGGCTCACTCGACAAGATTTTTGGTAATGATATTGGAGTGCAAGATGAAAGTGAATTGGCATACATTACCGAGTCCGTCATACGTGGCTTAAAGGAACTTAAGGACAAGCACAACATCATTCATCGTGATGTTAAACCAACAAATATATTGGTCAATTCTCAAGGCAAAGTCAAACTTTGTGATTTTGGTGTTTCGGGCAACTTGGTGGCATCAATGGCGAAAACTAACATCGGGTGTCAATCGTACATGGCGCCAGAAAGAATCAAGAGTTTGAAGCCAGATGAAGCCACATACTCTGTCCAGTCCGACGTGTGGTCGTTGGGATTAACCATTTTGGAATTAGCCGTGGGCCACTACCCTTACCCAGCAGAAACTTATGATAACATCTTTTCTCAATTGAGTGCAATTGTCGATGGCGAGCCTCCCAAATTAGATGCATCTCGATATTCAAAAGAAGCACAGTTTTTTGTCAAGTCGTGCTTGAATAAGAACCCCGATCTAAGGCCGTCCTACGGTGGTTTGTTACAACATCCTTGGTTGGTCAAGTATAGAGACCAACCCCAACATTTGGACAAAACAGTACAAGAAAGATTGCACCAGTTGAAACATGGCCAGGCACCTGTATCCGTATCTGAGTCAAGTACAACAGCATCAGCATCAGCGGTAACGCCATCTGTATCCAAAGCCAAACCAGCAGCTGCAATCCCACAGAGAGCAAACAATGCCGAATCAGTTCATTCATTATTGAAAAAGAAGGTACGTGCTCCAGCATTACATAGAGGTGGATTACCTCAAACTAATAATAAAAGTTTCCTACAAAACTTGAATAAAGAGACCAAGGGTGGTAAATAGTATAGAAGAGGATGATTTTATAGAGCAGTATATAGAAATTGATTTAATTAGATCGATTAAATGCGATCGAAGCAAGACTTGCAATTTGAAACAGTCGATACGTTACGCACCTCTCCAAATCCTCTAAATTCTTATAAATATAAACTAAATATCAAAATTGCAGCTTATAGCATCTTTGACATAAATGGGCCATCCAATTCGTATCCCAATTTAGCATAATAGTTTCTTACACCCACCCCGGAAATAACACTAATCTTCAGCGATCCGTGCTCTTCTTTCGCAATTCTTGCTGCTTCTTCCATCAACAAAGTTCCAAAACCTTGATGTTGAAATTTCCTTGGATCTCTTGAATGCAAAGGAACAACAGATCCATAAACGTGTAGCTCCCTCACTATTGACGTCTGTTGTCCGGTAAATTCTTTTCTGTAAGTGTATTTTTTACTAGCTTTTCTCAACCGTAACAACCCAATGAGGATATCTTGCTTTGGATCTTCATAACTTAAAAAGGTTTCCCAACCACCATTAGCATAGTAGTCACGACGAATCAATTCAACTTGATCGGGCACCACTTTGTGATGAACTTCTTGTATACCAACTTCACGAGTACGTACATCACGACATGATGTACCGAAATCCTTCATTCTTGCCAATGCCAACTCACGTAGATTACCATTTTCAACACCAGAAGTAACCAAGGGCATGGGGATATCTCTTTGTACACGATAGATACGAGTCCATGGAGGAACCAACGCCAAAATTCTAGCGACTAAATCAATCAATGCATTCGCATTGTAAGATTTGTATAACCCTTGCTTCCACAACTCGTATAGCCCAGTACCTCTAATCACCAATGTGGGATACAATTTTAAACCATCAGTTCTGAAAGCAGGGTTTTCGAAGTACTCCTTAAACTGTTCTAAATCACGTTCCATTCCAACATTGGGCAAATCAGGCATCATGTGACTAACAACTTTATAGCCAGCATCTTTGGCCACTGCAAATGTTTCACACACAGCTTTAACCGTGTGTCCTCGGTTGGTGTCTCTAGCCACATCCTCATAAACACTTTGCACACCAATTTCCAAACGTGTACATCCATATTTCAACATATCACTCAAATGAGTTTCAGTACAATAATCCGGTCTAGTTTCAATTGTGATACCAACACATTTGGTTTGTGATTGTTGAGAAAATTCTATCGCCTCATCAATGCCTTTACCATTGAATCCAGTAAGGGCATTATGCAATTGTGTGATGAAGTTCTCTCGGTAATCAATAGGTAATGACATAAAAGTACCCCCCATGATGATATACTCAACTTTGTCAATTGAATGTCCCAACAGCCTCAACTGATCAACTCTACCTCTGGCTTGCTCATAAGGGTCATATCTCGCTCTAATAGCCCTCATTGATGTTGGCTCATAACCAGTATAAGACTGTGTTGAATATTCAAAGTCAGAATCGGGACCACCAGGACAGTACACACATATGTTACCGGTATATGCAATATGGGGACATCTATGTGGTTTACACATGACAGCAACAACTGCGATTCCTGAAGCTGTACGCACAGGTTTAGCTTTCAATTTGGGTATGAGGTATTTCTTATGCTGATCAGGTATTGAAGATATGATATCCGTTAAGCGTGGCTGACTTTTAAGCTTGTGTTTTTTGGCATATCGAGTGATGAGTCCATTTAAGTTTATATCTTTTGATGATTTCAATGACGCAACCAAATCGAGAGATATATCAGCACAACATTGAATGAACCTTTCCTTTTCAGGAACCTGCTTTGTCTTATTTTGAGATGGCATGTGAGTAGCTTTTTGTGGATTTTGTACACCGGGTGTTGGGGAGGGAGTAGGGAATGTGATATTGTTAGATTATTGTTGATTGAGACTCTATTGGTCATCGCAGATGACTTAAATCTTTTTTCTTTTTAGATTGTCGCAAAATAATTTCATTCAATTGTCGCAAGATAATAATTTATGTCATTTGGTAAATTTTTCATTACGATTTTTCATCAGTTGTAAAGAAGCCAGGCACACAATCTTACAACTTGAAATATACTTACGATGCTAGGTTTGAGGAGAGTGACTGACATTGGTGCTATTAAGCCACTTCATATTACGCAACGGATAACTCCCATACTTCGATTATCCCCACAGGTAACATACTACTCCACCAAAGCAAATGACTCTGATCCTCCAGCTAAAAAGAAAAAGCAAATGAATATTGCGAACGTTCCTCTTGCTTACATTGGAGTTATGTCGGATTTGTACATTCCACCACGTCTTTTCAACTACTCCCCATTATCATGGCCCAAATTGATGTTGCGTCGATTGCTTACGTTTGCATTTAATACTTATAACGTCATCAAATATAAACGAGAAATTGCTCAACCATTACAATTCAATGAATGGAAAGACAAAGCTATTGAGAATTATGTCAAGACGAATAAGATTTTTGCTCAGGCTTGTAACAATTTCACATCAACTACGTCGTCACTGCGTGATGCTTCCAAATTTATCAATTTGAAATTAAATCAATGCTGTGGTAAACATTTGATTGATGTGCTCAATTTAAGAGCTGCTAATTTTCAACCGAATTACAAGATTACCTGGGACTTGAAATCTATTGATGCCAACCCCAAGATTAGCATGTTTAGTGTTATTCCCGATCAAGATGGAATTGGATGTTATGTACAATTTATCATGAAATTGAAAACTACCCAACATGTAACTGTGTCAGAAAGGGTTGGCGGTAAGTTGATTCAAGATGTTGAAAGTCAAAGTACTGATTACCTCGTGTACTCCATGAATCCATTCAATGGACAAATTTTGTTGGTGGGTAAATTATTTGAAAGCGATGATAAACGAGGATTGAAGCCTGAGTTGGATGCTTTTGATGCCCATGCGATGCAAAAGTTTGTTTTGAAAGCTGCTGATATCTATCGTGATGCTCCAAAGTGAAGAGAGAAGAGAGGCACAGTCTACCTTGTAAATAGAAAAGGAGAACCAATTGGGAAGGGGGGCGGTTCACCAATTTGATTCCGACCTGTAAACAATTTAAAGTAACACCTTTTGAATTGAATCCTACCTAATCAATAAACTCTAACCTATAAAATAAAAACCGAAAATGAAATCAAACAAATTTTTTTTTTGAAACCCCTAAAGTCTCTAGCTTTATCGATAAACGGATAACAACACTTGCAAATCAGCTCATACTGAACCTCAAGGACACGTAAAGCCACCATGCGAATATCACTCCATAAGGAAAACATCTTCATGAGGCGTTCCTCTTGGCTTTCCATCGAAATCGCTACGTTCATTGATTTCGCTACACTCAATTCCTTCAAGCAAACCACGCAAGCTTGGCCGACTGTTTAATGTACCGCTTTGTGATCTTGAATCACGTCGTTTCAATTCTTGTGGGGTCAAGATCACATCAGCTAATAAACCAGGTAAAAAATCTCCCTCAAACACATCATCGGTGAAAAGTTGGTGTTGGCGATGGCCGATATCGAGGCTGCCATTGTGATTCCGACTGTAATTGTGCTCGTCACTCGTTGCCAACTGTTCATCTTCAACTCCCTCATCTTCTTCATCATCAAAAACTGGCGAAGTGAGGGACATGTGCTGGTACAGGTATTGCGAGATATTTGGTTTTACTGGCAAGTTACAATCATTGGTTTGCGATATCGCAGTTGATTCAGCAGAGTTTAGCGAAAACCGGGACGTTGGTGTGGTTGCTGAAGGCGTTGAAGATTGGATATTGATGCCAGAAGTTGTTGATATCTTAGGAGGTGAGATAGTTGTCTTTACCGTGGGAAATTGTCCACCAGTTGAATAAGACCGGCGTACACCACTTTGCAGCTGAGGCGCTGGTACGTTGAACGCATTTGCTTCCGTAAAAACGTTTGAAAATGTATCGGATCCTAAGCTGTGCGGATGATTGTGAGAGCCCACTCTTCTATGTTGGACACCCCATTGTGCATGATAATCAACTGGTTTTGCGTATTGCTCAACTGGTGACCAAGAGAGAGGCTCATTTTGAGAAGTTGTTGGGATCCCCTGTTGCGGTTGGTTGCAAAATCTCGAAAGACTGTCATCTGTTAGAGAGTCGAAGGAAATTGGAGCCTCTTTTTGAGAAATGTTGCGTGGCTGGGTATAAGTCTGCTGTTGCTGTTGACCGAAATAAGAAAACACAGGTTGGTGTGGATGCCCCTGCTGCTTTCCTTTGTAGCTATTATAGTATCCAGGGTTTTGAAATGCATTAATTTCAGCTAAATTTGTATCTGGTGGAGAAACACTGCTATAACGTTCTCTGGTTACGGTGTCACCTTCCAACCCTCCAAGTCTTCTGTAGTCATACTCAGGTGAGGTTTTTCCATGGCCTTGGTTTGTAGGGTAGTGCGAGCCATGACCGTTATTGAACTTTTGTTGCTTGGCCCCGTAGTTGTGTTTAGGGTAACCGTCACCCCCATTATTCCAATTATGGTCCATAATGTTCCTACCGTTGACTCTAGTTCCATCAGGTAAATAGTGAGCCAAAGCACATTTCAAACCAAATTTGCAATTACCTCGTAAAAAGTACTTACAAGGCAATTTATCAGCAGCCAAAGCTCCTTCAATATTATGAGAAAACGGACATGAATCACCAGCTTGACAATTTCCCTGCTTAAAGAATTTGCAGGGAACATGACTCAAATTTTTATTAGCATTTGACGACGATCCATTTGTGACAGGCACAGTACCCGGTGGACCAGTATTTGGAGGTAAATCAGCACCTAATGAACTGAGATCAAATGCATGACCAAGTGGTTGGCGTGGTTGTTGTTTATCATTAAAACCGTCAGTTGTGGCGTTGGGATGCTTGTGAAATTTGAAGTTATTATTGTTAATGTGACAGTGATTGTCCAGTCGAAACAGGGCAGCCTTTGATTGGGGCATGACCTAATGGGTGTTACTATTGAAGACTTTGGCAAGCTTGTGGTTAAAACAGGCGGGGGAGGAAAGGGAATAAGTGAATAGGAGTTGGTTTTGATCTTTTCTTTACTCTTCCAATTTGTCCCTTATCTATGTATATATACAGAACTATTATTTAGTTTCATAGATAGGGAAGGGGGAGATCACAAAACCGTTTTAGAAAAAGAAAAAAAAAAACTGTGGATCAACTTATGAGCAAATAGTAGTTGAAACACAATAGAATAGAACAAAAAGTGTGTATAGAGAGCATAAAGAGGTAGTAAACAAGAGAGATTGATAACTCCCGTTGAGCTATGACTTAGCACTGATATATGTTAATTACACAGTTTATGATACTTTCATGAGTCACGTGTTGTTTGTTCTTATTTTGGTTATCAGAAAGTGATAGTTGCATCTAGACTAAAGTATCAATGGCGGCGGTGGTGGAGGTGGCTTACCTCTCATAAATCCCTCAACTGATTACCAATAGGAAAAACAGAAAACTTTTTATTGTTGTGCACTGCCTTTAGCGTGCATTATGCATATATGGCATTATATTCTTGCATATCGAAGGCTCTATCTCAATACCTTCGGACTACGAGTCGAAACAATAGTTTTGTAAGACCAAAACATCAAGTTCCAATCCAGAGAGCTCAAGATGGACGAAGATATTGGAATAAATTGAAATTGAAATTGTTTCATGAAAGCAATATCAAAACATTTTTTTTTTTACATAATAATTGTACCATAGTATTATATAATCAACTCCTTTCCCTTATTCACTGACCTTATCTTGCTTCAATTTATTACACAAAACCACCATGCTCCAGCATCAGCACATAAGCTTCCACATCTTTACTAGTCGCTTTAGCTTGAAAATAAATGTATATTGTGGTTTTTCCTTTCCCGTTTTCGCTTATCAAAAAAGCCAACAATAACAGTCTTCTTCGATGTGATGTAAACCATTTTTCGACTAGTTTTGAAACTTTGGTAGGAGGTCTAGATGCGCGTCAACAATATAGTTTATCTCTAATATCATAGATTAGGCCATTCACCAAAACTAAAATGCCAATTCAATAGTTAAAATGAAATAAAAGAAAGAGTGAGTTACCACCTTGGTGGTATTTGAACCGTTACACATCTATTCGACTAATTGGGTTAAAAGTGGGCTCTTCCCAGGTAAAAAAGAGGGGCGGAGAGAAAAAAAGAGGGAGGGGCTGTGGATGCACGCTCAACTGAATACTTTTTTAGGCTTCGTCTACACTCGTTGTCATGACAATTTAGTCAGGGGCTACAAACAATGGAAATTATATGGACAACCAAATTTCAGTTTCGGAAAAACACAAGATCCAAACAGTACGGAGTTTACGAATCAAATGAGAATAGCTCTTTCCCTTTTTTTAACTTACACTAACTAACAACAACGATACACACACACTCCCTCTCCCCTTCCTTAACGACGATCACTGGATCCAATACCCCTCTTACCACTAAACAAATGTTTAGGTAATGCAGCAGTTGAATGTCTATCACCTTCACCTTGTCTAGCCATTCTATTTCTTTCTCTTCTTTGGATCTTGGCCAATCTTTCAGCTTGTGATCTCATTGCTCCATCACTAACACCATCATTCAATCTATCAGATTGTGAAGCAGCTTGCTTCTTCTTGGCCAACTTCCTGGCTTTAATACCTTGGTTCTGTCTTAATATATCGACACCTGATGCTTTACCTTCATCAGTGGCTTTCCTCTTTTTCCCAATGGTATCACGCAATTTGTCAGTATCATAGCCAATGTTGTACATGTGTTCCTCCAAATCACCAAATGATTTCTTGACTTGATCTCTTGGCATAATCGCCTTATTTTTCAATGATTTTCTATTTCTACCTTCAATTATCATTGTCTTTTGTTTATTCCTGATCCATTGTGCCTTGTCTTTGATGTCTTGTATTTCTTCTTCAGTCATGTCCATGTTGGCATCATTGGTATCATCGTCATCAGAATCATAAAATCCCTCTTGTTCTAATCTTTCTTCTTCTTCTTCCAAGGCTTGCAATTTAGCAGCGATATCTGGATCCAAGTAATCATAAACATTTTTACCATCCAATAACTCAGGCATGGTGTCTTGCTTCCACTCCTCATCGTCCAAAATATACTTGTCTTTCAAGTTAATGTTAAAGACACCAGCACCACCGTTTTCAGCTTCATAGTCTCTAGCCAATTTTCTTCTATTTGGATCATTTGGATCATATTTGAGCACATCTTTAGCTCCTTCTGGTATATATGGCAACCTCTCGACATCGTCTCTTTGTTGCGGTTGAGCAACATGAATTTTATTCAATACGTTATTGACTCTAGCAGTTCCCTTTAATTTTTGCTCAATTCTAGCCGTCAACAACTTCTCACAAGCATGGTTACGCACTTGCATAACATTATCCTCTTCATAGCACGAAGTGTACATGATTTCAACACCAGGTACAGTTTTCAAAGTATCCAACATTTCTTGCTTTTCAACATCTAAATCTTCAACTTTGATAATATCAGACTTGTTCATAACAACCATGACTGATTTATTAGCAAACAAGGGCTTAATTGAGTGGAATAATTTCACTTGTGCTTCAATAGAAAATCCACACTGTTCACTCAAATCCATAAAGTACAATACACACGACCTCAAATGTGCAATAGCATATATACTCTGCATTTCGATGTTGTTCATTTCTTCGGTTGGACGGTCCAAGATACCGGGAGTATCAATAGCTTGGAATCTGAGATATTTGTAATCAAAATGGCCGACATACAATGATTTTGTAGTAAATGCGTATGGCTGCACTTCAACATCTGCCTTGGTTATACATCTCAAAAATGATGATTTTCCAACATTTGGATAACCACAAATCAATAATGTACGAGTGTTTGGGTCAATACTAGGCAATCTGCCCAAATGCTGTCTCACTTGTTCCAAATAAATAAATGGGTCCTTCAATTTTTTAGTTATAGTGGCCATACGACCCAAAGCTGCTCTCTTCAACTGTTTACACTGATACAATGACTGGCCAAATTTCAAAAGACGAACATAATCTCTGCTCACTTGTTCAATTAAAGTTTTGGCCTTGGACACTGCTGCTAATGAAACTTTATAATGATTTTTTTCATACAATGTATCCATCAAATCACGATGAAAAGGGTGTACATCATTAATATTGGGGAAGCCACTTAATAAATCGTTGAACTTTTCAACAAAACCTTCTGCAGTGAATTTGACTTTTCTCATGTAAAAAGCACGAATACGAGTGATTTTGAACCCTGGTCTAATGACCGTGGGTGTTTTTCTTTGGGTACGGTTCAATATTATATCCAACATATCGTTAGATGTTGGTACCGGCGGTATATCCTTCCACGACAACTGCATCTTGAGTCTGTAATTGTTGTTGATAAAAGTGGTATATCTTGGATGAGTTTGAATTTGAGGATGAGATGAGGTCTCTATTTTTTTTAAAAAAGGAAAAGAAAAAATCTTTCTCAAACCCAAAAACTGTCGTGTCTGAAAATAAATTGTTGAGACATTATTGGGTTTCAACTACAACAATGCTATTATATACAAATTCTATTACATGTAACTTTTACTAAGATCAATCTCAACTCATTGAAAAATCTACTTTGAAGGTTTCGATTCAGTGGCTTGTTCAATTTCCTTTATAGCAGGTTCAGCAGTCTCCAAAACTTCATGCTCAACAATTTCAGTACTGTTCTCCTTATCATCATCATCATACAATTCCTCTTTATAGTGTTCCGGGTGCTTTTTGAAACAAGTTCTCATGTTTTCAAACTTCTTGATACAGTCGATACCTTTAGGTTCAGTGTCTGAGTAGATAAAACAAGAAAATGCTTCTTTAAACTCCTCTCCACATGGTCCATGTGCCATACCACCCAAGCAAGGGCAATCCCAATTGATTTCACCAGTCTCTGGATTATAAGCAGCACCTTGGTAATTATTTTCCTCAGATGATGATGAGGAGTTATTGTTGCTGTCATTCGACTGATTTCCTGATTTGTTGTCATTCAGCTTAGAATCGCTTGACTTTTCACTCAATTTTTCCTTCTTTTCCTTCTTTTCTGAAGCTTCGGCCTCTGGTTTATCAGCAAGCGCGTCTTTGTTTTCCTTAGTTTTTTCCACCTTTTCAGGATCACTGGCTTCGTGTCTACTAGTATCGTCATCCAACTTCTCAGCGGCTTGTTTGCCAGTTGATGAGTCTGATGAAACATCTTTGGTGTCAAGAGCTCCGGCTTTTTTAGTCAAATCGGTTTTCAACTTTTCAATGTCCGCAACTTCTTCGGAGCCTTTTTGCTCTTGTAATTGCTTTTGCTCGGTTTTGAACTTTTCTTGATGCTTTTCAGCAGCGGCAGCTCCTTCTTCGAAATTATCTTGAATGCTTTCGGCCACTCCTAAAACTGTTTCATTCTGGATCGAGCTAGACCAGGATAAGTATCCAATGGCAACAGCCATTGGCACAATCATACCAGCTGCTAATTTTGTATTAACATTATTACGTGTGGCGGAATTTCTTGTAGCATAAGTTCTAGTAAATCTTGCACTTTGACGAGCAATTGCAAATCTTGTAAATTGTCTAAGCATATCTGTTGCGTTGAGGCGACTTCTCTAATTCTATGTGTCTTAGTAATGGGGATTCGATGAAAAAAAAAAAAATCACTCTGAACAGGAAATATAATTGCGGAACAGCAAACGTTCTCGGTCCAAAGGTTTTTGCACAATCCGGTGATATATCGGAGATGGAGAAAGTGAGATATACGATCACTTGTTTTGTCTCCTTCAAAGACATGGCATACACCTCATAGAGCTAGTACGTCCACTGCCATCATTTTTTAAAGCCTACAGTTATCTGTACCTACACCTGTGTTACCGTTTAAATTATTCTACTCTTCTCTACCTTACTCTACTCTACTCTACTCATTGTGATGATACACCAAGTAATTGGGCAATCCAACGACTTCATAGCCCAATCTTTTTGCCATTTTAGCAAATCCTTCCGTTTCAATCAAGTGGTAAAATGGGAACGATGGGAACATCGCCCCATCCCTATGAACATCGGCTTTCACCATGACCGCTCCGCCACCAACACCATCCAACGCCATTTCAGTGTTAACATCTTGATTCGGGTCGTAAAAGTGCGCCATCAAAGCTCTGTACGTGGCCATTTCTGAGTATCCCTCAACAATGATTTCATCATCACTCAAACCAGCAGCCAATTTCAAACCTTCTTCACTTTCAACCCAGTTGTTGTAGTCATATGGTCTGATCGACTGCTGTTGTTTCTCTTCGTCATAGTATCTTTGGTACACATTGGCTGACAAAACTGGCTTATTATGGGCAACCAAATCTTGAATCAAGTTTGGAGGGGTCTCAACTATATCAGCATCCAACCACAAGATCCAAGATGTCGAAGGCGAAATGGTGGAAAACACTAATGAGTTTCTTGCCAATGCCATCATTGATCTCCTTTCCTTTTGCACCTTGAAAGCATGTCTATCTTTTTCCAACTGACTACCCAATGAGTTTGAGTCTTGTCTCAACAAAGTAACCTTCTTGAAATTCAATGTCTTATCAGCTTTGCTCTTTTTCAATGCCGTCTCCAAATTCTTCAACGCTTCATCCCCTTCTTCAGTCCTTGGAAATATAAATCCCAATGAGATCAACGAGTGATCATACGTTAACTTGTTCAAGTTTTCCCAATACTCAGGTAAAAACTTTGTCATTGGTGTCAAGATCAACACTTCTTCCTTCTTGGCCAATGCATCGGATGACGAAGTCAATTTGTTCAAGTCATAGTGGGATATGTGATTTTTGGGCAAATTCTTCACCATTACCGAATCCTTGTTATTGGAGCTAAACCATGACTTTGATTTCTTATCGTAGCTGTATTTCGGAGTTGATTTTGCCGAAGATGTCGATGAGAAAGATCCAAAGAGAAAAAAATAGATGAATAGAAAGACGGTGATTGGTGCTAAAAGTGCCAACGGTTTCCTTCGTATATAATTGATGTATGGATTTCTATAATGCACCATTGTTGTGATTGAAGGTGTGGAGATACTTTTAATGTGCGCCTATTTTGGCCCCTTTGACAAAATGTGGATCCGTTGCTACTGTGGTGGGATATATCAACGCAATGTGGTGAAAATCCCAGAAATGTATTCTTGATCTCAAGCTTTTCTTTTCCAAACACGTTACGGGTTTACTTTTTTTTTCTCTCTTCAAAATTTTCTTTTACATGATGAAGGATTTTTTTATAAAAAGAAAGTCATACCAGGTTTCGTACAAAGGGGGGGGCATATTAATTGTAGAACATATATAAAACCTATCAAAGGCAGCAGTATACAAATATCTACTTGAAGACTTTACCGTCAGAGATTTCTCTCTTTTCACCATTAACAACAACTGGTTCATCCCAGGCAAGCATGTTATCAAAGAACTTCTTATCTTCATCCTTTGAAGCATCCAATTTGGTGAATTCGTATGATTCCCAATCTGGAGCAACATCAAATGCTGGAGCGTAATCTTGACCTCTAACCAAAAAGGCTCCAGTAATACCATTGTTGTTGTTTTCACCATAAACAACCATACATCCAAACATGTATTTGGTTGATGCTGATAATCTGTTGAAGAATCCACCAATCAAGTTGTTGGACATGAAGGTCAAAGTCAATTCATCATTGTATTTGTAGTCAACTTTCCACAATGACCATTCTTCTGGATCGTATTGGTTTTTCCAGAACCATGGAATGGCAACTTCTCTGGTTTCTTCATTAGAATAAGTTCTCTTCCACTCATCCAATGGAGCTTTTGGCTTACCCAAAGCTTCCAATGGGTGCTTTGGCTTTGGTGCAGCAGCTGGAGCAGGTTCTTCATCGGCAGCTTTTGCAGCAGAAGCTTCCTTTTTAGCTGGAGCAGCAGCAGGAGCTTTCTCCTTCTTTTCCTTCTTTGGAGGTACATATTCAATTGGCTTCTCAATGAATTTGTAATCGCCCAAAAATTCTACCAAGATGGGGGACTTGATGATAGTCTTGTACCACCTGGTGATTCCTGGATGTTGCTTTCTCCATTGTTCACCAAACAAGAAATCAAACCCTCTGACATACAAAGTAGCAGCTAAGATGTCGGCAAAAGTGATTCTTTCACCAACCAAGTAAGTGTAGTTTGACAATCTTTGTTCAAAGACCCCATTGACTTTTTCCAAATAAGCAGAACCCTCGTCAATTTGCTTCTTGTTGTATGGAAGGGTACCATTCAATGGCTTGAAAACTTTGGCTTCTGTTGGTAACAACTCAGTGTTAGCCAAAGAGGTCCACTTTAAGATTTGAGCATATTCAGCAGCATTCTTACCCAACAATTTAGATTTTGGATCACCCAAGTTGATGACTAAAATGCAATGTTAGTAAAAATTAAAATTAAATCTCAACTAGACCACCATATAAATGCTGAATTCTTCAGATTAGGTATTCTCGACATAGTTTATTAAGACAGGGATAACTGTTTAAATAAATTGAAAAAAAGTTTCTCATCACTTTAAAGCACTGCTGTGGCTAACCAATTATTGGTCAAGTTGGTTGATACATACAATAAAGACAGATTGCAATAACTTCAGTTAAAGTAAATCCCTTTGGACCAATAAAGGCTGGAATCTTATTCAATGGGAAATTCTTCTCATATGCAGCATCTTTATCGCTAATTTTGACATCCAAGTTGAAGTGCTTGACCAATGCTTTTGCAGGAAGACTCCTGATTTGCTGAGTAGCATATAAAGTACCCAATGACATGATTTGAGTCTGTTGTAGAAAAGGGAGAAGAGTCTTGTTGATGAGCGGGATCGAAAAAAAAAAAGAAAAAAAATTTCTACTTTTCTAAAATGAAATGGAAAATTTTTTTTCCGCATCGAATTTACACATTTCCGATTGTCACGTGCTATGTATTACTTTTGCGGTAATAGAGTCTTTTTGGGTTGGAGCTGCTATAACGATTGAAGAATACCATTACAAGTGAAGAAAAATCTCTATCTCTGCAAACGGTATACAACTTTAATTAATGTTGACATACCTTAGGGTCCACCCAAAGTAATGCATGCACTGCAGGCGACTCATTTCATCCTCTGGACCACTGTGTTTAGACATTTCGAGGTACAGCTGAATTCTCAAGTTTGATTGCTGAACAATGATTCCGTTGTTCATGTTTAGCAACTTGAAAGTGAAATTTTGTAAAATGGCACGAGAAACACGTTTTGGATCATAAGAATGAGACTGAATGAAGAGTTGCTCGGGGGTAACGATTTGTAATTGTGGATCAAGTACTTGTTCGGCACTGTTTATCGTTGAGAATTGTGCGGCATCGTCAGGAAAGTTGATGACATAATCTAGCTTGATTAAATACCATAACAATTCCTTGAGTTTCGCAGCTTCAGTTAATTTAGATTGCGTCAATTTGTTTTCAAAGCCTGGACCTTGAGATGACGTTGCGAGATTGACGTTTTGCAGTAATGCATTCGATGATTGAAAATTTGCATTTTGAAACCGTGATGTGATGTCAACGTTGTGGTACGAAGTATTGAGAAAATTGATTTCATACGAATTGAATTTGATAAAGCTGGAATTGTCAATTTCATCAGGTGCAACGCTATCTGCGTATTGTGTGAATTGCTTTTGTATAAATGCTAAGTCATAGTACTTGTTCATAAAGAACTTTAAAATCGTTATTGACTGAATGCATGAGGAGATGATTAATGACTTTTCTGAACTTCCGGAATGCATGAAATATATAAATAGTTTGGACAAAAGTTGATCAAACAAGTTCGATTGGTGGTTGAGTATTTGTTTATGAAGGGATGTGAGTTTGCCGTGAGGTATTTTCAAATACATTCCCAACAAAATCAAACAAACACTAATCAACAAGGTCTCAAAGAGTGACAAATTTGACGTTTGAATAATTTCAATATCCTTGACCTGATTGTACTTGAAATTTTGAAAATCAATCAAAAGCCGTAAATCGATAGCATCGGAGACGTTGTGGTCTCGAGAACAGTTCATTAAACATGAAAATAGAAAATTGTCACTCTCTTTAATGCACACCACTGGGATGATGGTTTGCCATATGTTAAAATCATTGAATTGATCAAGCAACCAAAAGTATTGCTCTTTAACCAATAAATTTATGTAGTGCTGAGGATCATAACTTAAGGGGTTTGTATTGTAGACCACAAAATTGGTGTATTGTACAGGAGATGTAACTTGCATTGGAGGAATTGTAGTAGGGTAGCTTAAAGTGTGCAGCTGTTGTTGTGTATTTGTGAAATGCAAAGAAGGTAGAACTGTCTCTGATTGCGACTGTTGCAAAGAATTCATGACGATCTGGTTGGGGTAGGCAAGAGGAGGTTCCGGATTCGGAGTTGCCCGTGTGTACTTTGATATTGGTGCCAAACGCTCTAATTGTGTGTTCATCGAAATAATTCCACTCTTTTCATGATGTACGGGTCTTCCAACCATTGTGTTGGATTGCCCTAACAGCATTGAATCATTGGGCGGTAAATAGGTCTCGTCTTGATATTCTAAATCTGAGTCCCTAAGATCTTGCTGAGAATGCAAATGCATATACGGTCGGTACTTCTCCAATCCATTATACAATGCCGCTATTGTGATTGATTGATCTAATATTCTGTGAGGTTGCGTTGTGCTCGAAACCTCCCCATAACAATGTGGAATATCTTTTCGTGGGTCATAAAGCATGTATTGTGTAAAGTTTAGTCTCAATCCTCTATAACACACACGCTTCAGTCGTAGACAGTTGTTGCAGACAGGTTGCGTCTCGTCACATTTTATGTGTCTATCTCTGCACGTAACACACCCTGACCTTGTTCTACGCCTTTTGAATGGTTCTGAGTCCCCAGAAGACTTTGTAGTCGACACCGACGACGATGTCGGCGGAGGGTGCAGTTGTGGTTGTATCTTGTCCATTTCCGTTGTTTCCCTCGAGGTATTCGAAAGTACATCAAGGATTTAACTTGCAACGTGTTGTACTAACAAGAAATTTCGTGCATCCAAAGACGTTAGTTGGATGTAAATATGTTCTTTACCCAAACTAAACAATGTTTCGTTCCAGAACGAAAAAAAATTAGGTAAAATTGGATTATAAGGGTATCTATTGTAACCAATGCTTGGTGGAGGTTAAGGCAATGGCAATGTGAAACTAAAAAGAATGTTGTGTTTGTTGAATTTCGGTGTAATTGTGGCTCCAGAGTGATCAACTGTTTATACGTTGGTGATAATTTCGTAGTATTCAATTTGCAACAATCTTTTTCTCATGGAAAAAAAAGCAATTGAAATCTTTTTTTTTTCTTCCACCTTTTGGTTATTCCGAATAAAGCGCCAAAAGATCCGATTGTAGGGTTCGCCCTCAAGAGAAAAAGATGTTGATGCTAACGCAGGAGGTGTGTAGATGGCTGTCTGTTTTCTGTTAGCGGGTGCGGTGTGCAGTTTTGACCCTGTTTTCAACTCAAAGCGCGAAATTTTTCAAAATAAAGTAAACATCTGTCGAGTTTGATGATAACTTAGGGTTTATTTATACGAAAAACAACAGTATTACGTGAAAAGGTTTGCTTTAGTGCTATAAGTAAACTTTAAATTCAAATTTCATTACAACCAGGTTTGTCTAATGCAACTAACTGGTGTGAAACCCAAAAAAAAAAAAAAAGAAAAAAAGGAATTGTGCATAAAATGTAACTAGTTTTAGTAACCCTACTTAAAAAAAAATATAATATTTATGTGATCCTTGTTTAGTCTTACTTTTGTTCCATTTTCTTTAAATGTGTAATCTAAATGACTTTTCAATTACGTTACCATAGTTAGCTGAGGCATTCGCGGTGTTTAGGTACAACGGAAATACATTCCAAAAATCTACATAGATACACCTCATTTGCAGCTTCGAGCTGATGTTATTCGATGAACTTATGGGAGAAGACCAAACCTTTAATGCAGTGTTTCGGTGAAGAAATGTGTAGAAATGTCTAGTGGTACCGAGCGTCATCCCCTATGCAGCACCTAAGTGGCTATCTAAAAAACTCAAATTACAACGCCTGCATTATTTATTGGTGGTAAACCTTAAAATGTAAAACTTTAATTCGCACCTTTATTCTTAATAAGGGAGATAAAAGTAACAGTTGATCATTCATTCATTGTTGTAGACCTCCCGTGACTAAAGGTTGTACTAGACCCTTTATTTTTTCGCATATAATCAGGTTGTGAAAATTTACTCAAGGTTTAGACTGTTGCTATAAGAGTGTTACTTGCCACATTAAAGTTTCCACAATGAAACCAGTGTTTCTCAAACGTGACTTGCACATTCGATCAGAAGTTGGCCAAGCGTTCCTGTGGTTTCCTTATACGTGGCAATCCTCCCGTATCCTTAATAGGTTATACTCAATTGTTTCTGGTATAATGATGTTGCAAGAATAAATTAAAGCCAACTTTCACATCACTCTATACTTTTTCTTTCTGATATCAAAGATGAATGCTAGGAGTCAGCAACAAGCAAGATCAAACTTAAATCAACCAAATCACACAATCGTATCAAAGCATAAAGTTAAATTGTAACATCTTTTTGAAAAGTAAACTTTTCTAAACAAAACACTATTGTGAATTCTTCAACAATAACCGAGAAGTATCCTCAAAAACATTTTGATTAGTTAATGAGTACAGCTCAGTGAAGGGTCTCGTGTGATCCAACTTTCACCCTGTTTATTATATGGACTTCGATGTGTACTTAATGACACAAAATTGAGCAGTCCCTTCTGTTGTGTGAGAATGAGAAACAGGCGGAAGAGCTCCAAATTCAATAAGAGCTAAATGACAAACTTCCTCAAGAAGTATGACTTGAGGAATGTGGGCTTTCCCCAATCACGTGAAACGAACCTGAACTACACTTTGCAATTTGCACCCCTTGCGGATCTTTGGTTGATTCAGAATTATAATACTTGAGCTACAAACTGCCACAAAGTTGAAGTTCGGCTATTGCTGCCCAAATCTTTTGATTTACCACAAGGTGCTTTAATAAAAATCAAAACAAACTCCCTCAACCAGTTACGACAGAGGCGCGTCGGAAACAAAAATGGTATTGGATGTGGAGCACTATTAATTTCCCACTTTTTGAAGACTGAGATTCAAATGAAACGGAAGTAGAAGACCGAATCAACGGGATATTTTGATTGTACAATTGCAACACACCTTATTTGGCCTTTCATTTTAGTTGCAAGTCTTGTAGCTATAGTTCCAGGTATGGATTACTAATCTACCCTTTTTATAAGCAACGACTCACAGGGTGGATTAGTAAGTGATTGGGCTCAGAGTCAACCAGCTTTTGTTATAATCATTTTGTCACATAATTTTTAAAAAAGCTTATTTGATACACAAAACACAAGAGTTAGCAAGTGCAAGCGACGGGTGTTCCCGAAAGAAATGGCACCCTCACTATATGATATCCAAGGTGCAGCTGCATGCAGCATGCAACACGCGCACCTGTGACGTAGTAACTATTGCATTCTACAATGCTTGCGCAATGCCCTCCACTTCCCATGCCCCACCCCACAAATTCATAAACGTAATTTCTGCTTCGGCGAAACCGGGGACAAAAATCAAATCATTGGGATCAATCAGCTGTCAAGTGCAAAGCAAAGATTCTCTAGTTCAAAAACCTGTGAGCTTGTACGAGTGCTTTTTTGGTCACATCACATAGAGAACAAGTATCACAGACTATTTGTAACTAAAGACGTGATTAGTATTTTATTCTCATCACATGCACCAACAAGTTCGCCAAGATAGTAGAGCTTTAGACAAGGGTTTAGCTCCAGAACTATGTAACAATCACCAGATAATTCGCAAAGAGCGAGTGGAGTTGAAGTCGGGTTCCCACCACGAGTAGCAAGTTATTGTTAAAAACAAAGCAAAAGTACATCACTCCCAAAAAAAGGAGCAAAATTAATGTCTCGAGTGACATGAATAGCAAATATAAAACTTCCACTATTATACAAATCATACTTGCTTTGTGCTCTCCATTTACCTGTCACTTCCACACTCTGATACTAGTTCGGCATTATAATTTTTTTTTTTAGTTTTGTATTCATTGTTGTCGCAGCTCGGAAATGCTCCACCTGCAGATCTTCAAAACTTTCAAAATTTATTGTACTTAAATAATATTTTATTATAACTCTGCTTTGTACGTTATGGTTTCACATTGGGTAATGTGATGGAAAAACTGTTGAATTGTTTTCAGCAAAACTTTGGTTTAACCGCGGTACTGTTTTCTTATCTGAAACAACAACGACATTTACAAATCCGTCTCATAATCAATTAGGTCAGGGTGCATAATGTTTCAGAAGATGGTATTTCCGTGGTGTTGATGTTGATGCATGTTAAAAATAAGCAGCAGCTTTAGAGACTAACTCATACCTCTCCTTTTACCCCACTTTGATTCTCTTTAAGAATTGTTTACAAAGTTTTTCTTTATTTCGCACGAATTTTTAACAAACTTATTGTTTTCTGTTTTTTTCGATAAATGATATTTTAACACAAGATTGATGCAAAATATGAATGTCATCGCCGATTAAGATCATAATAGGATAACTCCTTCAAAACGCAAAATGTGCGTTACTATTTTAAACCATTGACTGGTTGAAACTTCATTTGTTTAATAAACCTTATTTACTCTTTTTTTCTAAAAATTTTGAATTAAGAGTCCTCATATTAAGATTCTTAAGTTAGAGATGAGTACTACATACTTTCACTGGTAATCATAAAAGCATCGCAGCAAGAGTCATAGCTTTGTATGGCCAACTCACATTATCAATTCAGATTCGCCACTAAACATCCAGTCCCACGGAATCTCTTTTGACTGAGCTTGTATTGTCTCAAATGAGCTCGATGAAAGGAGAACGGATAATTGGAGGGTAAAGCACGATTATCACACACATAATGTTGTCTAACGCCCTTTATATATCTCACCAAAAAGTTGTCGTTAGAACGCCAGAGGAACGCAAAATTCTGGTATTTGTAGGTCCAAAAACAAAATAACACATACAGGCGAAGTTCCTAACCATAGGTAGCGTAGTACAATGGCTTCAAACAATTTTGGGCAAATTCACGAGCCTTGATTGTGAGATCGGAAATAAGATCTCATCATTGGGGAGCTTCCTCCATCATTTAGGTTACAACAATGGGGCCCAACCAGGAAATAAGATCACCCAAGCTCCTAACTCCTTCGAAAAAATCTCCAACAGATCGTCGGTTTGTTTTGGTGATTCGGTTGCTATTTATATATTTTCTTTATTTTTGGTCGTCAAAAAATGTGAAAACAAAAACAATTGAAAGTATCACAAAAAGGAAGCGCTGGTATATACTCATCGTCAAAAGGAACACCGCAACGTCGAGCGCGCACACACACACACACACACACACACACACACACACCTCAATGATCTAATCGATGGTTCAGTGCCTTGCTAAATTAGTGAAAAATAGAGATCCTTGTCGCTTGGGACAAGTACAATTATCAATTGACGCATCAACATATAAGAAACACAGTGTTCTCGATCGCTTTTTCATAAAGCAAGAAAAGAAAATCTCCGATTGTGCGCAAACAAGGCAATATTTTTGACTATTGCCATCATCATCATCTTCTTCCTCCTTCGTTTTCTAAGACTGTTTGTGTGGGTAATTCTCAAATTTGTGTAGACTTCGCTTTTGTTCTTCGTAAACGAGCGCTTAATGATGCATCCACAGGCGTTTGCACAGTTAAAGGAGCTCTTACTAACACAATATAAGGAGCATACACACTTTAATTTTTTGTATTTTTTTGTTTTTGTTTTTTGTTTAAAATTGCTGTCAGGGACACAATGGAAAATTATTATTTATTAAATTATTTGATTGTATACATTTAGTACTATTTTTTGTAAGCCTTTGGAAATTGCAATTTGAAAAAAAAAAAACATTTAAAAGTCTAATTAGCTAAAGGCAGTCCAAAATTACTATAGAGGACCATCTCATAAAATTTTCAAAAGAAAGATCTTGTGGAGATTGGCTGTCTTCTTTTTTTTTTTTGGGTTAGGTTAAACTAAATTTGATAAGAAAGAGATAACGGTATGAAGAAGCAGGAACCTCAACGAGAAGCAGCAAGTGCAAGCGAGAGACCGAGAAAACAACGGAGTCGAACTTTTAATTGTCACGCAATTCCGTCCTCCGCAACCTTCCTGACGCAAGATTCAACAATGCATCGATCAACCAATGAACCAATAACCAATGCCAGACACCCATCCAATTCAAATGCTAGTCGTACGTCACAATTGGGCATGAGTCAAAAGCAACAACAACACCAGCTGCAACAACAGCTGCAGGCGCGTCAACAACAAGCACTGCTGCAACTGCAACAACCACTACAACAGCCACAGCGTCAGAGGCGAGGGTCATCGCATTTACCTAGACTGTCGCGAATAGAAGAAGCAATTGCCTTGAGCGACTCTCGGCCATCATCATCTAACTTTATCAAAAGAAATACCAGCTCCTTATCGCCGGGAAACTCAGAAATTAAACCTAAACCATTTGTGCTTGAAATCACTAATGTCGCTCTGATTACCACAGAAGATGAGATTGAGCAGTTGCTACTGCAAACTGTTAGTACTGAAAGTTTTAAAGTTTTAAAAGTTTTCAAAACAACCCCAGCGAAAGTTATTGTGAGAATTGAGAGCATAGTTGAATGCAATAACCTTATACGAGTATTGAATGGGTCTCAGTGGAAGGGCCGAACTCTCAACGTTCAACTCAACCTCGATGCAACCGAAAAATCTTCAGTACCAGGGGACTCAAATGAGACATTCAAGCCTGAGTTCAATCGGTCTTATGTTCCGCCACAATATCGTCAACCATCATTACTGCGGAAAAACAATTCATTCTACAGGTCACAAAAGTCAACGGATTCGACAGCATGGTCATCATTTGACTCTCGCAGATCAACGGGGAGAAGCTCCACAATCAGTAGCCACGCGAGTTCTATATTTTCCAGCCATGGACATCGACAATCAAGCAATTTGTCAACCATTTCATCAGACGGCCTGGTTTCAGGAAAGCTGTCTGTGCCACCATTGTCGATACCTGAACGTCAACAATCGGAACCATCTGTTGATAAGACGGAAGAGGTGGGGGAGGGAAGGAACGACATACAGCAAGTTGAAGATCAACCAGACACAAATGCCACAAACCCAATAGATGGCGATCTTATTGAGATCCCTATTGGTGAAGGCAATAATCCAGAACAATTGATAAAAGTTTGCCCCACACGTTTGTTTGTGGGCAATGTGCCGTACACTTCGAATTGGGCTTCATTGAGAAAGTTTTTCATTGAAAAAGCCAATGAGCTTGATCCAGATAATGAGATATCTATACTTCGAGTTGAAATTCCCATTCAACAAATGACCTTAAATGAAGGTTTATTTTATGGACAAATTGGCCAGCCTCAAATTGTATCCAGAAGTAGGGGATTTGCAATAGTAACAACCAAAGACAGAGCTTCGTCGGAAAAGCTTATTGAGTTGTTTAACAATGTCGAATTTGAAGGGCGTCCTTTAACGATACGATATGACAAGTTTCCTCAGTTTAACAATTACGTTATACAACAACTTCATCGTGGACCGAGACAAAACTCAGCTATGTACGGAAGACCATACAGCAGTTCTGACCTTACAATGAACAATGATCCATCTTCCCCAGGGTACCAACAGATGCCACCACCACCGCCACCACCAACACAACTACTACCTGGGGGTCAATACATTCCCCAACAAGTGTTGTCTCCATACAATGCACACCAAAAATTCTCAACCAACCCAACCGGTACATCGTTATTGAGTAACTTGGCCTTTGAGCGAAACCTGTTACAACAAAAGATTTATTACGGAAACCCCGCGAGCCAGCAGCAACCACCTTACTCAACAAATGCCCCAGTCATTCAACCACGCCCACCACCACAACCATCAGCAGCACAGCAACCATTCATGACGCAATCGCAAAATCCTCTACCATCATCAAATTCGAACCAGAACGTTCTTGCTTCAGGATACTATTTCATGCCATATTATTACCAAGCTCCACCTTCGCATCCACCGACTCTACCAGGGTCAAACGCTTACCAACCCCAGCCATATGGAATCCCGGTTTCCGCCACCCCGTCCCTGGTACCCGTTCATGTCCCATTTCAGGCGCATTCAGCCTCCACATACAATGAGCGACACAGCGTAGCTGCTCAAGATAAAGTAAAGGTACAATCCGGAAATTCAGGAGTCAATCAGGACTCACCAGAGCTGCGCCAACTGCAGCAACAACAACAACAACAGCAACAGCAACAGCAACAGCAACAGCAACAGCAACAGCAACAGCAACAGCCCACTAGCGAGCTTTTTCAAAAGATGACACTCAATGAAGATTGATAGAGTACAGAGTTATTAGCTTACATAGAACAGAGACATATATTTGAGACGTTGTAGTAGCTGTAGTAGGTTTGATCGGGAACCATACGGTTGTCCTTTACTAGAAGAGAGCAATGGTAAAAGCCCTATGTAATAATGCTTTAGTATGCAGTACACAGTGAGAATTAAATTTATGTCGTGCCTGGAATGCTCAAAAATAAAAAAAACGGAAACAGAAACAGTAATGGAGGAATTTTTTGCTTCATTCTCTTTACTCACTTTCTCACTCACTCAGTCTCCCTCTCTGACATCACACACTTTACTAGAGGAGAAGAAAAAAAAAAAAAACATTCATTTATGGCAACTGCGAGTAGTAATCCACATTAAAGATCAACACTTGTTCCACTTTACTTCCAATACTTTATAACTCCACTTGTATCATTATTACTACCATAGTCGGCAAGTCTGTCGCTGGGTGATTGAATTGTCCACGCTTTTTGCTCTTGTGCACCCATAAGAAAGGAAAAATACAAAAAATGCCATCAAATCCCTCATCCAAGGAGAAGAAATTGCAATTGCAAGCTAAAACTGATGATGAAGAGTTGCCTCCTTCGATTTTATCGAGGAATCCATCGTCTCCACCATTAAATAACCAAATACCGAGTGCCCAGTCTGAACCTCAATCTCGTCCTGGTATCACGCAATCAGCTTCATTTCAACTGCTGTCTGCGCAACCAAATAATAAAGTTGCTCCCCAGTTGCAACCAACGTCTTCGCCAGAGAGTGACCAACAAAAGAAGGAAACTGTTATGGCTGGAGGTGTTTATTTGAAAGAGAAGTTGCACTCTGATTCATTGGTGAGTACGTTAAACTCATTGAATTTGAAAAACTCGACTGGATCTCCAACGATACTTAGTGACAACAATGAGTCAGTCACAAGCTTGGATTATTTATTACAACCACCAGCTGACCCGCAACACCACAAGACTCCATCTGTACACGCTCATTTCTATGTTGATGAGGCTGTAAAACCACCCAAGGTGGGCAATAGATCAAGAAGTGGGTCGGGATCAAATTCCAACTCAGCAGGATCCCACGCAGCTTTACAATCGTCCTTCTATCCCTTACGTGATGGATCCAAAAGTCATGATAGCATCAGAGATGCTGTGTCTCTTGGGTCAGCAACTTCATTGACAGCAGCATCGTCATCAACTCAAGCGCAAGTTCCACATCAAGCCTCGCAAATTACTCGTCAACAATCACCCAGAATTTTGGAACAAAATGCCAATATTGATCCAAGACTACCACAAGATGATGGGAAAATACACGTTTTGCTTGGTGTATGCGGTGCACTTTCTACAGGTAAAATCAAACTCATTATCAACAAATTGTTTGAAATTTATACACCAAACAAGATTGCCATTCAGCTCATACTTACCCGATCGAGTGAAAATTTCCTTCTACAAGAAAGTCTTAATGTATTGGAAAATGTAAAGGGAGTACGAGTTTGGCGAGATGCCGATGAGTGGACGACTTGGAAAACGAGGCTGGATCCAGTTTTGCATATCGAACTACGTCGATGGGCGGATATATTGGTTGTATGTCCTTTGACTGCAAACACGTTATCCAAGATTTCACTTGGCATCTGCGATAATTTATTGACCAATGTCATTCGTGCTTGGAATACTTCATATCCGATATTATTGGCACCAGCAATGGTTAGTTATTCGTATAATGCTATAACTACAAAGAGGCAATTGAGGATGATTGCCGAAGAAATGCCATGGATTGAAGTGTTGAAGCCACTGGAGAAGGTGTTTGGAAGTTATGGGGATATAGGTATGGGTGGAATGATGGATTGGAATGAAGTTGTTAACAAGATTGTGTTGAAGTTAGGTGGATATCCAGAAGTTATTGAGGAAGAAGATGAGGAGGAGGAAGAGGAGGATAGTGAGGCAGTGCTGAAGAAGAAGAAAGAGTTGAAGCTGAAAGAGCTGGCCGACAAGGAGTCAAGTCTGGCTATTGTAGATGAGGACGACGATGAAGATGAGGATGACGACGATGAAGAAGAAGAAGATGATGATGATGATGAGGATGATGATGATGAGGATGATGATGATGATGACGACGATGATGACGATGATTACGACGATGGGGAAGAAGCAGAGAGCACTGGACAAGGGCAACTACAAGTGGAGCACAAGGTAAATGGAGATCAACATTTGTACAAACCCAAGCCTCATTCTCACCAAAACGGAGAAGCCATCAAACCTGTCCCAATATCGTTGGATTCAGAATCCAAATCAAGCCATCCTCATTAGCGGATGTGTTCAATATGGTGTGTATATGCGTGTACTGCTATATAAGTTCAGCGTGAAAATTGTGTCATCAGCAGAATGACATCTCATATTACCTGGTGCCACTCATTTTATCACATTGTTAATCGATATATTCACAAAGATCTACAAAACATGGGCTATTCTTTTAAAATCTATACCAGACACGATTATACAAAATCATAGCTCGTTCAATTGTTTAATCTTTTCATCTCGCCATGCAAAATAATCATCACCAATTATAGTTGACGTGTCATTCCCTGCACTTGTACATGCACTGCTGACCCCTTCGCGCAGATTGGTAAAGTTGGATTGCGTCTTTAGTGGTGGAAACTCGTTTAATTTGGCAACATCATTGCCATACATGATTGAATTATTTTCCTTGTTTTCAGGAATCTCATCATTGTAGTGGTGGCGATTAGTGGTTAATCGTTCAACTTTGCAGTTGTTAGGGGCATTCAATTTCGTTGTTGACAATTTGAGAGGTGACGTTAGCGGTTTCAATTCAACTGATGGTGGTTTCGACGTGAATGAAGTAGTTCGTGTTGCCAACACGGGACTGTCCATCGTCAATGTTGACGAATTCACCTGGCTACTTGACAGCGAACTAAGAGATGGTTTGGTGACGTGGTGGATTGTGGATGCCAGCGATTGATGAATAGGTTTCATTATAGTTGCTTGGCGGGTATTGGTTGTTGGTGACTTCACAATCCGAGCTCTGGTTGCAGATGGAGCTGGTGGTATTCTAGTTGACATGAATCTCAGCTTGGGTTTTCTTTCAGGTGAGACTTTCGATGCACTGATTGGTCTTTTCATAGGCGATGTGGCGGCTGATTTGGATTTGACTCTAGTGCCAGTATTCAAGTGTTCAGATTCAAGACGCAAAACTTCTTCAAAAAAATCTTTCCCGTCAATCAGCATTGGTTTTTTGCCCTCTTGGACAACTCTGTTGTTGTAATTTTTCACTTCTTGCTTTAATGAGCCAATGACATGAGGCATGGTTTTGTTGATTCGTTTTCTGATTTTCTCCTCATGAAGCAAAATCTTGCAAGAATTTTTACTCAATAATCTTGACGAATCTTTGGAGCTTTCTTGAAGAAATTTTTGATCTTTGATCAATTCTTGCAAGTCGTTGTATACCTTCAAAATGGGAGCTTTCTCTTCATACTCTTTATTCAATCTTTTGATCTCCTCCTCATGTATATTCAACACTTTTTCTTTGTCCCCATCATCATTCTCAGGGTCGTAATGAAAGTATTGAAACTGGCTCCTCGTTTCCTGGGGGTAAAACATTTTGTCCCAGAGATTTTCAATTTCGATCCTTGCATCTGATATGAAGCTTTCAATGTACTCGGATCTTCTAATGTACAATCGATTCAATTCCATCTTGAAGTTGAGAAGGGCAAGATCAGACAAGTTGTTATTGTTTTGCATAAAATTGTTGACATACTCTTCACTTTCACCTAATCTATCCCACAACAGCATACACGACTCTGAATAGTATTGCCATTTCTCACGCTTTTCACTTATTTTTGCTTCAACTAGATTTTGAAATTGAATTAAATAGTTTATGTTGTCATCATGTAAACCAAACTCAAGCGGATCGCGTAGTATCAAATTCAATGTCTCCCTATCCAAGCAACCTTCGCTTTCTCCCATTTCATTCTTTTGCAAATCAGTTAAATGCTCATCTGAATACTGAAGAAATTCAATGGACTCAAGGCATTTGTTGATGATCTCCATAACGTTACTCTTTCGATTATCCAACAGCTCTCGGCCCATTTTAATCTCCTGTTGAAGTGCTTGGACCAAGTCGGGGGATATTCGCGTGAATTTTAAACTTCTCATTATTCGCACCAATTGATAATTGGTTTCTCTCAAGCGCTTGACATTATCTTGGTTTAATCCGTCGTTGGAGTACGATTGACCTCGCAGTGACGATTTAACTGGACTTGCTAGCACAAATACATCATTGTCGCTTTGGTCGGGTGTTTGATTCGTGTTGATCGACAGTATCAAGCAAGTAAATTCTTCGATAACCTGTCGATGCATCTCTGCTTCACTCAAGGACGGCATCAGACTGATGACCTTGTCGTCAAATTCTGTAGCTCCAACAGAAGCTACAAGTTTAGCACATTCTATGTTCAATGCGTTGTATTGTTTGTATAATCTCACAAAAACCTTCAACACTTCGACAAATATCATATTCAATCTTGATCTTTGCTCAAGAAGCGTCAATTCGGGAATATTCTTAACCATGTAGTCGTATTGTTGTTCCACCGTTAATTCATCTCCGAGCTTAAACAACCTGAAACTTGTACTCGACATCTTGGAAAGAATTTGTTCTTTATAACCATCGATGTACTGTTGATGATTGTTAAATACGAGACCCTTTTGTAGTAGTGATAAAGATTTATCCCCTCTAGCATCATTAACCATTGATAAAATTACCTGTATCTGTTGTTTTAACCATTCACATTCGTTTTCTAGAGTACTTTTCTTCCGTTTTAGACTATTGGCAAAGTTATTAATTGTATCTTGAACAATTGAGAATATTTCCGACTTTTTCAGTTCGACTTCAGACAGTGTATATCCGATTACTTTGTATATAGATTCTAATTCATCTATGGCGTTGTTGATTCTCACTTGAATGGCATCAAATTGGGTATTCATATCATGGTGTGTTGGGTTGTGATCCTCGATTGCTAAAGTCAGCAGCAGTATCGTGCTATCCCTTTCTTCGAGGGGAGATTTGGAGTGTTGACTGCCAAATTTTGTCCTCGATTGGTCTCCGCTGAATTGGTGTTTGGGTGTACTCTGTAGCGATGCCATCACTGGTTGATCTGGTACATCATGTTGAAACGAGGAATGTGTTTGCAGTAGATCAGTGTCGAACATATTGTGAAAGCTCATTCTTCGGTTTTCTGATAGGTGGATGTGATGAGTGGAAGCAGTTACTTCTGGCTGATGACAATCTAACTCTGGTATAGATTTCGTTCTGAGCCTTTTCTTGATATGCTCTTTCATTATTATTTACATTTTTCCTAATTGGTAATAAATGTAAACACAAAACTCACGTAGCACAAAAATACAAACTGTATGAGAATCCCACATCATATTATCGTAGTTAGATTAAATTTTGCACCTTACGCGCTCAATTCCACACAACAGATACATCCTACATACTAAGAGCCGTGTTGCACAATCTCCTCAGTCACCTTGTCCAGGGACAGTTTCACTGTGGAATTCCCTACAGTTGTAGGCAAAAAATCCTCGCCCAACCGATCCAACGCCTTTCTGTTGTCTCTTCTACGCTTTGTGATACTCCACTTGTATTTATATGCATCTTTGGCTGGTCCAGGTTCTCTGCAAAATTTGATAAACTCATTCAATTCTCTTGATGTCGCTTTCACACCCATCTTGGTCAACTCATTCATCCAAAAGTCAAACCTTTTTGTGTCCCGATTTTCATCTGCCTTCTTGATAAATGGGAATATTTCGTAAAAACTGAGCATCTTGCCGTTCTCTTTCGCAAATCGCATTACTTCTGTGGCAAATGCAAAATCATTGAACTTTGTGATTGCTGTGTTCGATAACTTTCGCAATGTCGTAGATGATATCTGATTCCCTTTAAAGTGCATTGTCTTGTAATATTCAAAGATTGTTCTTGCTAGATAGTAGTTTCCCGATGGAACAAGGGACTTTTGTTCGGCATTTTCGTCAACATAAAGCGAATACTTTAGAAAGACTCCCAATGGTTTATCATCCGGTTCATCTACTGAGTTGTCAGCCATGTAATTGACATATAATTGAAAGTACTTATTAATGACAGTGGGATCATGCCTTTGAGTGACGTCCATTGAATTGAATAGCACTTGATACACATATGATAAGGCTCTACTTGTCAATTTTGAGTTCGTCAATGCATTGTCAACTGTTGCAGCTTGTACGACCCCGGTGGATGTGATTTTTGCAGCAATTGTAGATTCATAAGGGAAACTCAATATCCCAAGCTCGTTCAAGATGTAAAGACCAGACCCTTGTCGTTGAGGAGCACCAAACAATGCACTTACATATCCGATGATTACTTTGGGAGAGGAATGAAATTTGTCACGCATTAGTAACATGATCTCATCGACAATAGTATTCCTCTCATTCCGTTTAAGCGTATCAAGCTGAATTCCTGCTAGTATTGTGATAAATTGATCGTATTCCTTTGCTCGCCTCAGCACTTTAAGTAACAATACAAGACTGTCGAGCTTTACATTGAAATGTTCATTTTTCATAAACTTGAGAATCTGCGTTGCACTCGAAACACTTTTAAACTTTATAATCAAGTTGAGAACACAGTTGAGAATCACCAGAACCCGATCCTTAGTATAGGACTCGGGCTTTTGAGTCAATTCATTTTTACCTTCCTTCTCGAGTTTGGATACCATAAAACTCAAAAACAACGATGCTCTTGCAGGGTCATTTTGATTGACGTAGTGGTTATGAATTGCATTCAATTCAGGAAATGAGTAAAATTCAATTATTCGTGATGCGTGGATTGGGTTAAATTTGGTATGGTTTAAATCGTACCATTTGGGGTCAATGTATCCTGTATTAGCAATGAACTGCGATCTTGGAGATGTTGTCAAAAGACTACCACGAAACTTTTTAAATACACTTTTTGATTTGGGCCTTATATTTAAGTGTAAAAAGTATGAATATAGATCTGAATGGTTGCTTTCACCGACAATGTCAAGTAGATTGCGGAAGATGTTGACATCGAGAAAGATAGGTACTGAATTCACCATTTCAGTTTGAGCTATCCTTTCAAAGAACCCAAACAAGGTTCTTGACTTTTGATTTGGGGCCACATCCGACTTCAATAATTTCAAGAGAGTTTTGGTGAAGTTGGAACGAGTTTCATGAGATTTTGGCTGTGCAATAAACTGCATGTACACCTTGGCAGCGTCATCTGATTGAACGGTGTCAATTACATGTCGAAATACTACATGTTTCATTTCCTCGTCTGTTAGTAAATGATATATGTGACTTGCCTGCTTAACGTCTGAGTGTAGAAGCTCCCTCATGGTTGTCGATACGATAAAGCATGCATCAGCTTTCTCCTCCATTGATCCAAATTCAATCGAGTGAAGATGTCGGAGTTCCCTCTTTGTCAAATGCTTTAGTGTTTGCGAATCCATAGTTCGTAATGGATGTGGAGTGACATCAAGTGGAATATCCAAGATCGACCGTGCATAATCAACAGGAGTGGCCACAAGTGACTGTATTGTGAGTTGGCTTGGAGAATTCTGTAACACCGGCGCGATGGCAGTGAAGTGACGTCGACTACTACCACATTGCCAATGTCGTATTCTCCCTCTACCATAGCTAATGAAGTATCGAGATGGACGTTGCATTCGAAGCATTTTTTGTTGAATCTGATCAAGTCTTATGATCTTGCACTGAGTTTTTTTTTTTTTTTTTTTTTTTTTTCAGTCTATAACACAATACACTCTAGATATATTCATTTATACTCCTTCCGTCCCACTATGCTCTATCTCATCCCATGGCTCCAACGTCATCGTGGAGGTGTTACTTCCGCTGTTACGATATATATGTTTTTGGTAAAAATATGCAGCATCAAATACAATTGTTCCTGAACTGCCAATGATATATGGTAACTCCTTGTAGATGAAATTGGTTCGATCATCACCAAGTACCAAAGCACAGCTTGTTAGGATCGACAATGTGTATATCAAATTGCCCAATAATGCCGACCCAAAAAGCAAGGGAGATATCCCTTCAACTGACTTTCGCTGGTAATTCTTGTACAATTGAGGACATCTTGAGCTGCAATAGACTAATGTGCAACCCCATGCTAAAACAAGTCCCCATGAAGTTATTGCCGTATCATTGGAGTCTGAACTTATCAGTAGAGCATTTGCTTGACCACTGTGGAGAACCGCAGCAACTGCGACATTCTTCAACATTGAGCTAGACTCTTCGGTGGAGTCATAGCTACTTGACACACTATCATCGTTGAGGGAGTGATGCTCTCTGCCATGTTTATGCTTGATATGTACTCCCTCATTGTGTATTGAAACGTCTTTGCTATTGGTTAGTGACTCTCGCACAACTGGGTCAATAGGATGATAGATGGAAGGCATTGTTTTTGGGTACACACTGTTGTAGTAGTAGTATTGAAAACACAAGGTCACATCATTACAAAGGAAAAAGATGCTCAAGTATAATTGGAAGTTCAAAACGGCATCGTTCATCAAACAGCTAGTGAAACTAAGAAAATCACCGAGAAACCAAAGTAGAAGAAACAGTGGAGATATTCCTTCGGCTGATTTAAGTTTGTAGTTTGTTATAATTTGTGGAAGTTGAGCAAATACCCAGCTCGTACATGATATGAAACTGAAAGTGCTTGAAATGAAGGAGAAGGTGGAGCATGTAGCCATGACGTATCTCTTCTGCGAGTGGGAGTGAACTGGATGGTAACTGATGCTCTACTGTTTTACGTTGTGTTTAATTGGCATATTATTTTTTATTTTGTTCTTTTTTTTTTTTCGTGCCTTATCAATTTTAGTCATTACAGCGGTTAGTCATATTTGGATTACCTAATTGGGAAGAAACATCCGCACTCATTTACCATAAAATTTGTATCCTCCGAATTCTACGTATATATACCAGAAACGTCAAACGATTCTACGTTTTTGATCTATCTATGTTTTGTACATGGAGTCTAAAAATGCCGCAATTAACTTATCAGCCAAACCAGAGGTGTGAATACTTCCTGCAACACCGTACATTGCCGCTGTGTCGCCGGTAGTTTTACCATGCTCCTTTACATATGCAACAGCTTCTTCAGTAGAGGAGACAAGATCAGCAATCAATTCATCAATGACTGGTACCGTTAATCGTGTAAGGGCAAAATGTAAGGCAGCCGGGTGTTGTAAAGTAGCGAAATGCCATCCCTTCTTTCCCAATAAATCACCCAACTCGTAAATGGACAAGTTATTGGATTTACTTGATTTCACTTTAAATGAAATGACCGAAGCCAAAGGATCTCCTATAACTTCCAAGTATTTGGACAAGACTGGGTTGGTTTCAATGGCCTTTCTAAGTTTCATGGTCGCACTCACTATATCGAAACAATTCTTTTTATATCCATCTTTACCAATGTGTACCAATGTAGCCCAGCAGCCAACCATCAATGCACCAGGTCTTGAGCCAGCTAAAGTAGGAGAACCGTACATACCACCAGTCCAGTCACTTGAAATGTAGTATTGACATTCACGCATCTTGGGAGACCTGTACATAATAATTGATGAGCCTTTTGGAGCAAATCCGTATTTGTGAGTGTCACAGGAGATTGAAGTAACACCTGGTACTCTGAAATCAAACAATGGTAACTCCTTTGAGCCGTGGACTTTGGATGATTCCAAAAACGTGACAATAAATGAACCAAGACACGCATCTACATGTAGAGGAATATCATGCTTGACAGCCAATTTTGACAATGCTTCAATGTCATCAATGATACCATGGGGGTAGTTTGGGGCCGAGCCACAAAGAAGCACAGTGTTTTTATTAATCAATCGTTTGACTTTCCCAATGTCAACTTTGTAAGTCTTTGGATCCAAGTCAACTTTATGAAGCTTCATTCCAAAGTAGTAACAGGCTTTTTCAATACCAGCATGGATCGTAATTGGAGCAATAACTTCAGGTGCAGTGATCCCCTTATATTTTCTTCCATATTCACGGGCCGCTAACCCTGTCAACAACAACGATTCTGTTCCTCCTGAAGTGGTGCATCCGCATGCCCCCTCTGGTGCATTAAAAATGTCCAATACCATTGCTACAACTTCTGCTTCCATCTTCCTGACACCTGGGAACACATCAGGATGCAATTGATTTGCCACACTGTATTTGTGGTAGGCTTCCAGTTGTAATTTCAACAAGTCATCTCCGCCATGGTACACTGCACCGCTGACTCTACCGTTAACCCAGTCAGAATGTTTCAAGCCCTGAAGTTTGACCAATTCCTCAGTCACAACGGAATCATCCAATCCTTTATTGGGTAATTCAGTAAACTGCATCAAACTCTCATCATTTTGAATAACTTGCTTTTCGATTTTCTTTACAGTCTCGTTCAATTCCTTGTCAATCTTACTTTTGATAAATGGTAATGACATAAACTTTTGTGAAATGGAGGAAAATACTGAGTAGTAAATTTTCTTCACGATTCCGGTGATTCCGTAGCTCCAAATTGCGTGCAAGATCTTCACCACAGCAGTGTAGATAAAAAGCACAAAGACTATGTCTCTAGCCAAGTGTACGCTACCCCATACTCTATCGTTATTTGAAAAATATTGGACTAAGATTAAAAGTTTGAGTTGGTGGTAAATGGTTGATGCCACCACGGGGATTTCCTCGATACTTTTTGGCCAATCGAATGAGATTTCAACTGGGGGCATTCTGGAAATCAAGTGTATTTAAGCCGCAATGAAAAGGGAGTGTTTAGGATAGTGATTGGTGAAAGTGAGCGGAAATTATCCCAATTTTGGATAGTGTCAGTCAATTACGTGGTATTTATAAAAGTGTGAACAGAATGTATTTCGATTTGATTGTGTGGGCGGACTTTAGTCGTTTTTGAGATTTGAGCCAGATTGCACGACTGTGATCGGTTGGAGAAGAAAAATGTGTCAATTTTGTGTACTGTTTCTAGCTTTACATATGCCCCATTTCTTACAAGACCCGACTGTACAGAAGAAGCGCAAGCTGGGGAAACAGTCAACTGTTGCACTACAACTAATGACGAGCCGCCAGTTAACGAATATTGCTCCGTCACTACGAAGGAGTACCCTTCTCCCTGAGAACACTTAAATCGCGGATAAAAAAAGAAATATAAGGAATAAGTGGCAAGAAAAAATTCAATAAATTTATCCGTACATTCTATGACACAATGTAGTGGGTAAAACCTTCCCGATCGAGTAACTAAGAGCCTTACCGAACACTGAAATTAGAATCTATTTTTGGGGGCGAGGGCTCTACACAGGTGTGAGATTACCTCGACTAGAAATTCAGGATCAAAAGAAATGAAGGAGTTCGTTTCATACAAGGTGTTACTTAAGAGCCGGCTCATTATATTCAAAAACAATGTCTCGAGAGATACAAAAACACTACACACTCTAATCTAAAGACAATCCCAAGGCTTCTCTTTGACTCTTTGATTCAGGATCAAAATAACCGGTATCAGCCAAAGCTGTAACTCTAGTTCCATGACGACCATTGATACTCTCTTCCGAATGAATAACATTGTGGTTGGAAATTCTGTTGTCCCAAAGAGCTGAAGTACCTCTGTATGTTTGTTCACCTTCTGGTTGTGACTTCAAGCCCGGCAATTGTTGTTGCCAGCTAAAAGTGACTTGAATGTCTCTGTTCTCTTCAATGACTTTGAACAAGTAATTCAAGATAACGTCAGACTCAGCCTTCAACAAACCAACGATTCTATCAGTCATTGACCTGTTGACAAACAAATACTTCCAACCAGTAGCAGGATGAGTTCTAACAATTGGGTGTTCTCTCTCAACATGTTTTGGACCTCTCAATGGATTCTTGCGGTCCAAATACACATGTGCACTCTTGTAAATGGCAGTTTTACCATCTAAGAACTCTTTCAAGGCAGGCGATAACTTATCATAAGCACCGTAAGTAGAACTCCAGATTGTCTCCCCACCAAATGGAGGAATAGCATCAAGATGCAAGTGGGTGATACCAGCAGTTTGGTGTTCATGAACCAAGTCACTGTGCCATTGTGAATTGCCAATCTTGGAATTTTTGAAGCTCAAAGGGTAACCAGCTCTCTCCTTTTGGTACTCTTGCCAAATGGTGGTAACTCCTTTAAGATCACGACCAGCTCTTGCTGCTTGTGGGTGAACCTCAACTTGACCCCAGTAATGGCCCAATTCTAATTGCTTTTGGGGTGACAAGTCTTGATCTTTAAAGAATACAACTACTCTTTCAGCAATCAACAATGCCAATTCATCCTTTTGTTGATCGGTCAAGTCACTCAATTGCAATCCAACAATTTCAGTTCCGATGTATGGAGTTAAGTGAATAACATCTTTAGCGGCACCGAACAATGCCTTCTTCTCTGGATCCGCATTCTTACCACGTTCGATGAATGGATAATCTTCACTTCTAATTGCAAAAGCTTCGTCAACAAATTTAGGGATCTGATCGCTTTCTGGAATATAAGGGTATCCATCCGAAAGATCGACTCCGTATTTTTCAAATCTCTCCCTGGTTGTCTTTGGCAAACGATCAACCCACTCTTTGTCACCTCCAGTGACAATATCCTTGGAGGCTTTTGCAAATCCGATTGGCTTCAAATTGGCTAACTTGACAACGATTTCATTGAAGTCATCGTCATTGCTCCCGGCAGCGGATTTAGCTTTCAATGGTGTTTGAGCTTTTTCTTGGTTATTGATAATTGAAGTTGGTGCCATATTGTTTAATCGCAGCAGCTATGAGGTTTAGCTTGTGTTACTGGTATGGAACGATGGAATTTGATGGCTTTTTTATATTCAAGACTTCCAACGGGCTCTATTGTTTACTAAGACCTCCTTTGATTATTAATACAAGTGATGACGAAGGGGAGGCTAGTATAAAGGAGGACGCCACAGTTTTCCAATAAATTAGACAATCATGGATGCAAAATTATGACAAGGTAGTGTAATTTGGTAAATTAGTTGCCCTTTTTCCACATGCAGGAAAATATACATCAATATAAACTGTGGTTCACTCGCAACTAACCATTTTTAGAAGCCTCGTTCAAAGATATTAGGTTAATATTGCAAAATAATCTAATTAATGACTACAGAACTCAATAGTTATCGTCTTCAAAGTGCAAAATGGCAATCTTCTTGGTGCAAAATTGGGTTTTTAGAGGAACTGTGGCATCAAATATGACTGAGCTAATCACTTTTTTATTAGGTCAAAGCTACAGGGGTATACTAGAAAGTTAAAAACGCAACTCTGCCGAACAACTAATCCTCTCCGAAATCGGTAAACACACATACTTCTCAAGTCTGTTTAACGTAGTCAAACTTAGGATTCAACGCAATTAAATCCTCTACTTCTTCATCCATCATTTGGTTCACCTTTTTATAACTAGGAATATTTTTGATCATCCGACTCCACTTGGCCAAATTGGGCCAAACTTTCCTCAAATCTCGTTTATCATGAGTGATCTCCCTAACTCCATCCAAATTATCAAAAACATTTTCAAAGATAGGAAAGCTCAACATAACATCGGCTGCCGTTAATTTGTTGCCCACAAAGAATCCAGTTCCATTTTGTGCCAACCTATCGTCCAAGTATTGCATACACAACCTCCACTCATGAATATAGTATCCATTATTCAACCCCTTTGTAACCAACTTAGCCATACCTTTCAAACCAAATGGTGCAATATGTCTAGCTACTGAGTTGATCAACAATGTTATACTAAGATGCTGTAATGAACCTTCACTGTAATGTAGCCAGTAATCAACTTCTAATTGTTGGCCAAGCTCGGTTGGATTCAAGATATAATTGGGGTCATAAAATCGTAACAAATATTGCATAATAAATCCACTCTCGGCGAGTTTCATACTTGGTCTCCCGTCACCGAAAATAATTTCCAATACTGGTGCTTTCCCCGTTGGATGAGCGTCGAATAACTGAACTGGACCACGCCATGTTTCCGGATGTCTCAAATATATCTTCACTTCGTAATCAAGTTGAAGAATTTCCAATAACCATAGTATTCTTTGTGACCGAGAGTCATCAAGCCTAAAAATACGTTAGTAATACGAATCATTATTTGAGGTTGGGCTTCATACATACCAATGTAAAATGAACCTATCTTCTGGGTGTCCTGGTTGATGTGCCATAGTCATTCTTTGTGATAAGAAGGGATATTGCTGTGAAAAGTAAAGTCTAGTTAAGCGAAACCACGAGAAATGCTTCTGTATTTATAGGAACAATCAAGAAGCGTATCCAAATCGCGATATAGGGATATACGAATAACACAAATAAAGTTATATACCTTATTCGGAATGTCTTGATGAGGGTATTAGAAATCTTGTGACAAAAAATAAACAATCACAGATTAGGGCTACTAAATTTTTTTTTTTTGTCCCTCTTTATCATATTCCTTGTTTTACCTAATTAGGAAAGTAACTCACTAAAAATTTGAGTTTTGTGGCCGATCCTTCAAAGACCAATTCAGTAATGCACAGGAGTAGTGATGCAGATATACGACTAACAACGAAAGTGAACCAAGAGTGGGGTCAAGACCTGTTTGGGAAACAATGTTATCCAAATAGGTGACAGATTAATTACAAGGTTACAAAATACAATGACGCCACTAACTAAGCGATTGTTTTCAACTAAACCTGATAGCTTGTGTTATCGATCACAGTTCATATGTGTGGTCATAAAGGTTTCCAGCGAATGAGTAGTCATCATACTCCGTGTTTACAGCGTTTTTGCATCGATGGGGACCCTTCTTAAAAAAACAGTTTCTTTTTCCTTTTTCTTTTTTCTACAATTTCTTCACTAAACCTATAGGAATCTACGATCATGTTGAATCAAAAATTTACTAACACAACCAACGAAGTAACTTGATTACAACTTGAGTGGACTACGCTCATGTTTGGCGACCTTTTCATCCACATCCTTCAATCCCTTCTCTTGACTCAAGTTTTGGTAATACTTGTACAACTCGGGGAATTCCTGAATAACTGTTGGATGCACGCTTCTACCTGTAGTAAAGATTGAAACAATGGGGAATGACAAAATGATATCTGCACCAGATAATTTGTTTCCAACCATATATTTACTTCCCTTAGCATGTTGAGCAGCAGCAATTCCATTCAAATACTTTAAATTCTTTTCCAATTCTGGACCATAGTACTTGGCATTAATTCCTTTGACAACAGCACCGGCAATCCAATTGGCTGGAAATGGTGGAACTTTAGTAGCCATTTGATTGACCAACAAACCAACCAACAAAGGTTGTAAGGTTCCTTCAGTGTAATGAAGAAAGTAGTTGACCTGGTTGCTATCTTGAGCATTAGCTTGTTTGAATTTTCCATCAACGTCATAGTTTTCGAGCAAATACTGGACAATCCATCCTGATTCTACAAGTTGAATGACTTCACCATCTGGCTTGGTGATTTCAACAACTGGCGACTTGCCCAAAGGATGAACTTCATCCAATTCTTTTGGAGCTCTGTACTCCTTTGTTCTTTCATAAATCTTCAACTCATAAGATAAGTTCAACTCATCTAATAACCAAATAATTCTTTGGGCACGGGAGAAGTTCAACCTAGGTTTAGAAAGTTAGTATTGTATGCAATGCTCAATCAAGGTGTATTATTACATACCAATGAACAACGATCTTATCTTCTTGTGGCATGGCTGTAGTCTAATGAAGTGAATGCAGTTTTGTTATAATAAATGCTCGAGTGACAATTGTATCGCTTTTTATACTCGGTTTCACATCCAGGGGGAAAACGCATATGAAAAATATTCTTTCTTCTTGTTTGCTACGTGGGGGGCTTACATGCGCCACTGACGTTATTTTTTTTTTCTCATTAACGCCGTGAAATATAAAACGGGACCCCAATTACGAACGAAAGATATGAGGTACATATTGTTGTGATGAACACAACCGTTGATCTTGCAATCACTTAATGATCGAGAAACTGTTGTACATTAAAACTATGTGGTTACAAATAAACTCATTTTTTGTAAGGATTTCTTATAACTTACCATTGATAACGACATGATCACGACCTCTCACCTTTTCAGCAGCTCTAATCCATGCCGGTTCCGACGTAATGTCTTGGAAGTATTGATACATGTCAGGGTAACTCTCTTTAACTGGTTTAACCGTGGCACCACCATTTGCAACAATCACTTTTTGAACTGGGAATGAAAGCATAATATCAGCTGCTGAAATTTTATCACCAACAAACCATTTTCTACCCTTGGCATGCTGGGCCTTTAAAAAGTCATTCAAAAATTTTACATTCTTTTCCGCCTCTGGAGCATAGTAACCCAGATTGATTTTCCCAACTACCGTCTTGACCAACAAGCTGACGGGGAAAGAAACGGATTTAGCAGCAACATTGTTCACCAACAAACCAACTAGCAAAGGTTGCATAGTTCCTTCAGCGTAATGATTAAAGTAATCAATGAGATCCTTGTCATCCTCTGTTACTGGTTTGAACTTGCCTGTGGTGTCATAATGCTCAATCAAGTATTGAACAATAAATCCCGACTCACCAAATTTTTTCACAGTTCCATCAGGTTTCTCAACATGAAGAATTGGTGTTTTACCCAATGGATGAAATTTTTTGAAACTTTCTGGTGCCCTAACATCTTGAACACGGTCTTCCATATGTAAGTTATACTCAACCCCCAATTCTTCCAACAACCAAACAATTCTTTGAGCTCTGGAATGTGGTAACCAGAAAAGTGTGATTTTATCTTCTTGGACCATTGTTGAAAGTAGTACTGTGTGATTTTTTGCAAATGGGAAAAAGATTCATCAGAGATGACTACACTCAATCAGGGGATACAACGATTTATATATCTCCCCATCCCTGTCGTTCGTAAAGCACGGCGGATGTTTTGCGCACCAAAGTCATCTAGAGTTAAGCGGTTGCTTATTGTGACAAAATCGGAACGGATAACCAAAAAAGTGGAAAAATTCTTTCGCATTTATCCACAAAACCCCAAGTCTACATAGAGATAAACATATGAAAGTCATGACTTCCTTGGACAGTACGTAACAAATAAACGCGGTATCATGGCAAGCACCAAAGAGTTGTCAATGTTAACCCAGTCCAGGGCATCATAGTATACATTCCATTACAATTATACACATCCATCTTTTCAATCAAGGCAATCACAACTTGCCGTTAATGACAACTTGATCGTAATTCTTCACCTTTTCAGCAGCTCTAACCCATGCCGGTTCGGACGTGATGTCTTGGAAGTATTGATACACATCAGGGTAAGTTTCCTTAATTGGTTTAACAGTAGCACCATAGTCTGTTGTAATCACACTTTGAATAGGGAATGAGAGCATTATATCGGCAGCGGATATTTTGTCACCAACAAACCATTTTCTGCCCTTAGAATGCTGTGCCTTCAAAAAGTCATTCAAGTATTCCACGTTCTTTTCTAGTTCTGGTTGATAATAACCTTGGTCGATTTTGCCGACCACGGTTTTGACCAATACACTAACCGGGAAGGGCATCGACTTTCCTGCGACATTGTTTACCAATAAACCAACCAATAACGGTTGAATTGTACCCTCAGAGTAATGATTGAAATAGTCAACCAACTCTTTATCATCTTCCGTTGTTGGTTTGAATTTGCCAGTGGTGTCGTAATGCTCAACCAAATATTGTACAATAAATCCCGACTCACCAAATTTTTTAACCGTACCGTCGGGCTTCTCAATATGAACAATGGGGACTTTCCCCAAAGGGAAGTATTTTTTGTAACTTTCTGGTGCTCTGACCAGTTGCACAGATTCCTCCATGTGTAAATTGTACTCCAACCCCAATTCTTCCAACAACCAGACAATTCTCTGAGCTCTGGTGTGTGGTAACCAAAAGAGGGTAATCTTATCTTTTTGAGGCATAACGACGGTAGTGATAGGTGGAAGATTGAAAGAGAGATCAAGCGAGGAAATTGTAGTGGAATTTAAACATTTATATAGGAGATCGCTTTCTATAAGACCCCGCGAATTTAGAATTGACACAAAACTAATATAGAATAAAACGGAACGGGTGAGACTATTACAATATTCATTATGTACCCGTTTTTGCATTCTCAACTACATCTTTTGACAAGTGTTATTCGCAGGATTTTTGGAAAGTTAGATGATATTTTACAAGCCTAGAGGAGTCTACAATGGAAGTAAAACGACAGGAGAGGTGCAACAATAGGATGTGAAGTGGAAAGTCAAACGAACGCTGTTCGAGCAACCAATTAATCAATAGTGATAGAGTGGAAAATCGACGTATCACCCCTCTGTCACAAGTGTCTGCTGCTTTATGAAACAGGAGTCCGTTGCTTAGCTTGGTTCTGTTTTCTAGATAATTTGTGGTATCTGGTTTGGTAGCACTTCTTCTTGCATATACTCATCTCATCTTCTAGAAAGTTTTTTTTGTATATCAACGGAAAGTGTGTCCTCCTCTGACATTATCCGCATAAGATGGCTACTACAAAACACGTGAAAACGGTGGTTTTAGATGCCGGTCCATTAATTACTCAACCGGCAACTACTTTGCAACAATATGCGCAAGAATTTTACACCACTCCTGGTGTTCACTCAGAATTAAAAGACGAATATGCACGTCAGCAATTGGTACTTTGGGGAGATCAACTAAATATTAAACAACCTTCACAGGGAAGTATTGACAAGGTGATCAAATTTGCAAAAATGACTGGTGATTACAGTGTTTTATCGGTCAATGATTTGCATATCATTGCTTTGGCACATGAATTGGAGATTCAAAGTGGAGGGAAGTTGAGAACTTTTCCTGGTGAGGTGTTGGAAGGTCAAGAAAGGGATGCACAAGAGACATTAACAGAGAACAATAAAAATGACGAGGATGGGTTTGCTCCGGTGAAAAAGGGTCGTAAGAGAGGCGGTAAACGACAGAGGGAAAAGAGAGAAGCAGAAGCAAGAAAGTTGCTTGAAGAAAAGGAAGAAAAGGAAGGAAAGACTACTTTTGAGGATGCTGAGAAAATTACAGTGCAAGCGGAGCAAAATAAAGCCACTCCATTGGCTGAAGTTCAGAAACCTTCTAACACCGCTTCTGAATCCGAACCCGATACCGAAAAAGATACTAGTATCGCGCCCTCTCAGGAAGTTAGCGAAGAGTATAACGAATCGGATGACGACGGTGACTGGATCTCACCAGAAAATCTACACGATGAGATCATCAAAGATCAAAACGAACAGATACAAGATACACCAATTGAGGGTAAATTAATCAGGGTTGCATTAGCAACTGGAGATTTTGCTTGCCAAAATGTATCCATACAACTAGGAATTAATTTGCTAAATACAATGTCAGGCAAACAAATCAAGAGAGTACGTAACTACATGTACCGATGCCATGCATGTTTCAGACTCACACCAATTAATAAAGATGGCAAACCCAAACATTTCTGTCCAAAGTGTGGTGGTGATACCTTGATCAGATGTGCAGTTTCTGTCGACAACAAGACAGGTAAAATCACTCCTCATTTGAAAGCTAATTTTCAATGGATCAAACGTGGTGAACGTTATTCTCTACCTTCCCCATTGAGTAAAAACCAGCAACGTTTACAAGGAAGAGGAGGATATCAGCACAATAAGGAAAACAGACATAAATCTCAACAAAACCCGTTAATACTAAGAGAGGATCAGAAGGAGTATCAACAGGCACTAAAGAATGATGAATGGGAAAGGAGACAAAATGAGAAAATGTTGCAAGATTGGATTGGTGGTGGTAGTGCAGACAATTATGTTAGCCCCTTTGGTACTGTCAATACTATCAGACCCAGTGGTGTGCGTGTTGGAAAAGGTAGATATGTAAACACCTCCAAGGGTAAAAAGTAAATAGTGTGTGTGAGTGAGGCTATATCTTTGTGTAATGTTAATTCGCCATGATTTTTAGAGATTTCGAAGGAAAAGAAAAAAACAAAAGAGAGAGGATCAGCACAGTTTTCCTATTCTCTTTTTCACGTATGCTTAATCATCAATGAGTAACGCCAACAACGCGGCTAGCATAGCTGCTTTAGCGGCGTTCAACGCAGGGAAGAAGAAAGATGCTGTGGTGAATGCAGCAGCAACGCCAAGATCGACTACACCTCAGAGTCAAAATAAACCTCAAACACATCTTCTGCAACCGCCGCCACAGCCCAGAAGAAGTGACACAACAAAAACGGCACCCAAAAAATCAGGAAACACACACACGGAAGTGCCATCACAAGTATCACTTCAGCCTGCATATATACCAGATAATCAACGACCCCGAAGCCGTGATGGTTCTGATTTTGAGGACAGAGCTAGTGTTGATAGCAATGCTTTAGATTACTTTGCTCAAACACCTCGCCAAGTTTCACGACGACACTCATCTAGGCTGTCCCACTATCTGCCAATGTTACTGCCACAATCTCCGAGAGATATGATCAGCAACGTAAAGAATTCAATTGACTCGAAAGCTATCAACAACGATGCCAACGCTAAGCGATTGTCACTTGATTATTCACCGCACGAAATGTTGAAAAATCTCAAGGATTCGCTACACAGAAAATCACAAGCACAGAATATCCCCAAGACAATGGATGCCAGAGGTCAAACTATACTTGATGGAGTTAGGGAACGTATTGATGATAATATGAAAGAAACATCGCATAATTTGGCCAATCTTAGTCTAAAACAGTATGAGTGGCTGAAGGCTAACTCAGACGCTGAATGTGGGGATAATCGAGATCTGAATGATTTACAGTCCTCATTTGAAACATGTCCAACTGATGTGGATCCGAGAAGGAAGTCGAGTCGTCAACTGACACCTACTAATGGACGCGAAGTGAGAATTGACGTGACTGATCATGATGCAGAAGTTCAGAATGGGCAAAACGACATCAACGATGCAACTATCAAAGTACCCGTCACTGTGCCAGAGCCCGACTACTTATCTGAGGCTGGTCTGCTGCTGCCAGTGGCGAATAAAGGTGCAAGAAGGAAACCACCGCCTCCATCTGACGAAGAGCTGGACACGATAGCTCGGCACACAACTTCAGATACAGACAATAACGACGATTTGTATTTTAACCTGAGTGATGGGTTTTCCGGTGATGAGCTAAGGAAACAGATGCAACTAAATGGGGTGTCGCTGGAGACTTTTTCTAGTGGAGAAGTAGTGCTACCACAAGATGACATGGTATCATTCACCGATAATGATGAATCAAGTCAACCACAGGCGATCAAAGTGAAGGACACCAAGTTTCCTCAGTTCCCTGATGTGAGGAAGCATCATCAGCATTTGTTCGGTATGAGGCGCCACAGATTGAAAGAGGGTGACAAGTATCATCGATATGACTCAGGCGCCAATTCTGATGATGAATTGCTGGAGTCACCCAGCCACCAACTCAAGCCAGCAGCGCCATTGCCACAACAACAACTAAAGGCGCAAGTGCACACCAGCACGTCTAAGAGTAATCTGCAGCCAGTACAATTCAAAACAACCATGCGGAAGACGAATAAACGTAAGGACCGGAAAACTAAATTTGATGAATTAAAACCTTGGAAAACCCACGATGAATTGAATTTCCCCACTGATGTTGAACGTAAACGATATGAAGGTGTTTGGGTAAGTAATAAGGGGCTCTATATGAATTCGGTGGTGACTAAATTGACTGGTGTTGATAATGATGGAACCGATGGGGGAAAATCCACTACCGAGCATGATGATTCAATGAAGGCGGCTTTGATATCAACCAATGTTATCCAACCCGATGTTAAAATTGAAGTTAGTGACAAAACAGACCTCAAGAAGCGATCACATGAAGAAGATGATGATAATGGTCATGATGATGACAATAACGAAGAAACACCAGTATCCAAAGCTGAAGAAGCGGCGAACAAATTGCACAGTTTAAAAAAAGCTGACAGAAACCAGTTGATACTCGGCGCAGTGGTGAAACGAATCTGGAATCGAAGTCGATTACCCGGTGACATCTTGGAACAAATTTGGAACTTGGTTGATTTTCGTCGCGATGGAACATTGAACAAAAATGAGTTTCTTGTAGGTATGTGGCTTGTTGATCAGTGTTTGTATGGGCGTAAATTACCGAAAAAGATTGAGCCTATTGTCTGGGACAGTCTAGGTGGAATTGGAGTGAACGTGAATTTGAGTCTGAATTCAAGAAGATGGAAGTAGAGGGGTGGGGAGGAAATGAGGATTTGATAGATTAATTTATAGAATATGAACCTAGATTATAGTATAGAGAGCGAAAGGTACTACCTGTACGCCTTGTAGTAAGTTTTTTGTCGCGCTAAAAAGAAAAAGGAACACCCTAAAACCGGAAAAACTGCAAGACATTAAAATTGGAAAAAAAAAAAAATTGAAAATTAAACAATAGACGAGTTCGGTTCCTCACAACACTAGCAAGGTGGATTTTGCAAGATGAATTTGATGGATATGCTTTCGGCGGATCCACCGTCTTCAATATATGGCAACGAATTAGGTCAACCAGCACTATACACTGAGGGCGAAGGAGCGGCAGCAGCAGCAGCAGGTACTGCGACAGCCGCAGTGCTAGATGATGGGATAATGCTGCAACAAACATCGAACAAGATCAATAATAACGGGTCAGCCTCTGAAACAAACTCAACTGGAGTATACTATATACCCACATCATTAACTGACTCTCAAATTGTCCTTGCACGCATCTTGTTACACTTAATTAGTGAGACATTGATCACAGAGGTGAAATCAAGACGGAAAAAGACAAGTATTGATAGTTTACTCGAAGTGTCATCAATGTCAACCACAATTGGGATAGGTGGTGATGGTGATCCCAACGTTGATAGTAAGTTACGAAACTTGCAATTAGTATCGACATGTTTGGATAATTTGCTAATCATCGATAACCACCCTTCATTATTGGTGAATCATTTCATGCCCAAACGGCTTTTACTACTGCAGCCTACGTCCTCACAGGCTTTGATGTCAGGGAAATTACAATTTTTTAACCATGTGGTTGATTCAATCTTGGATAAGAATCGTACGAATGGAGATGAATTTTATCCTATATTGGTTGTAGCTAGAAACAACAAGGAATTGGAATTGATTGAGGGTTTAATCATCGGTAAAGATTTAACCTACAAGAACACGGGCAACAAGATTAAATTGTATGACGATAAACGAGGCATGAGCGCGCATGATGCCGATAACCCCAAAGGTGGTGTGTATCTCAATTTAATCCAAACACAACAATTGTACAATAATTATATGAACCAATCAACTTCATCAAGCTATAAATTTATTTTTTCATTTGATTTCAAGATTGATGCAACTAACCCAAGTATTGAAATGTTGAGACTGAAACATGTATGTCCCATCTTTGTGCCTATCCCTGTATATTCAATCGAACATTTGATGTTGCAAATAACCGAGCCTAGTGGTTCAGGATTTGGAATGGATGTTGATATCAATGAGGTTGACAATATTGCTGCATTGAAGACGAATCCGAAACAAGTGTGGAAATTGAAGTTGTTGAACACATTGGCGGTCAATTTTACCAAATTTAGTCATAATGGTGGTGGTGGTGCGGGATGGAATAGTGAGACTTTTTATTATGACAACTATGGAATTATGATGACGCGATTTCTTGAAAATGTAAGTCACCCACAACGAATCGCCAACTTGTTTTCTAAATTTGATGATGAATTGGTGTTGCATTTCTCTGATGATAGGTTGTTGAAAAAATTGAATCTGATTTACGATAAGCAAATTTTTGGTACTATGGAATTAGGCCATCCTTTAACGGTTGATAATTTCCAATATCAATTTGCTGAGTTATTAGCGTTCAAATTGCGTCAAATGAGTATAGAGATGGAAAATTTGCAAGGAAAGGAAGAAGAAGGGGATGCTAAAGAAGATGGAGAAAAGGAAGTAAGCATTGGACAAAAACGATTACTTACTACTTCCAAACAAGTCCATTTTGATGAAGATGAAAACACAATAGCTGAAAGCTATCATAAGTTGAGAAGATTGAATGATGATGCTAATATAATTGATCGCAAATTAGCTCGAGTAGAGAATGATTTACACAAGAGTTTAGAAAAAGATGCAGAGCTTGAAAATAAATTAAAGCAGGTTCAATCAATTACTGAAAATAATGTTAGTCAGCTGTTGTTATCTACTCAATCAAATCAGATTTCCACTTTACAAACAGAATTGAAAGATTTACAACAAGAATATGAAAGATTGAGTAGAGAAACTGAAGATTCAAGAGTCAAATATCAACAAAGCTCCTCTGAAGCTGTTATTGAAATGCAAAAGCGAACCAGTTTACAAAATGAATTGAACAAGATCAACAATCGTATGCAATCGCCAGGAATGGCATTGTTACCCGATTTGATTCACAAGGATACGATACTTACTGATCAACATAGGCTAGACAGGTTACGACATCAAAACAAGTTTCTTGAGCTGTTTGTAAATGATCAGTTGGGTAAACTATTGGCCGAACGACAACTGATTATGGAGTCAACTAGTGGTGGTAGTAGTGGAATGGGTGCTGGTGCTGGTGGTATATCTACCGGGTCCAGTAGTCGACCTAGCAATCGAATCAGTCGGGACCCAACACCATTTTGAGAAACGGACCGAGTTTGATGAGAGGTTTCAACTATATAGGATATTTGTGGTGATGTTGCAAAAAAAAAGGATCTGCAGCAATGTCTCAAAAGGTAAGCGATAATATGTGCAGAGCTTAGAAGGACAAAGAAGTGCACAGTGTTATGCGATACGCCTACAACGCTGGTTTACAAATTCCTAGTACAGTACTCCTTCTACTTATTGGCTGAGCTGGTTATGAGACACCGCTAAGGCAATGGTTTTTTTTTTTCTGCTTCTTCTGGTGTGTTTTTTGTGTGTTTTCTTCTTAAAAAAGTTTAATACTCTTCCCCGCATTACAACAGTGTTGAGGAGAGGAAGGGGGAAGAGGGTGTTGGCTACTCCTTTTACAACGCCTAAAGTGCAGTTACATGAGCGGGGAGGAGAAGACATCGATATTACACGGAATTATGGGTATAGAGAAATTATTGATTAGAAAAATTGATTGGTAATCAACCACCACCATCAAGAGAAGAGGTTTTTCTTGTAGTAATGGAAAAGAATTGAATATGATTCACCAGTACGCTATTTTTTACAGAGTAGATTTTTCTTTACAAAGGAACGAAATCAGTTCCTTTGTGTACCCTTCTGTGTTTGTCATAATTGAGTATTGTTAGTAGTTGCAAATGACAAATGGCACTCCCCTTGGTCCCCCTGTAGCAACATGTGGATTATGATCTAACTTACATACATTATGGTACCAAATCAGCCACCTTTCTGTAAGAGATTGTAGACATCCAGGATGTCTGCATTTATACCACCTCCTTCTTATGTTGTCGTTGGATGCTGAAATAATAATAGTGGTTCATTTGGTAGCTCTAAATTAGAAATTAGAGCAAAAAAGAAATTTTTAAAATAAAAGCAAAGACAATAAAAGACAGAATCTCAACATCCAACAATCAATCAACAATCAACAATTAAGTGAAAGAAGAAAAAAATTGAACACACCACACACACACACACACACACATATATACACAAACTCAAGGCTATTCAAATCAACTAAATCCACTGAGAGGTACTACTCCACCACCGACTGTTACTACTCTGCACCTAATACACATACCACATTACGAACACATCACTTTAGTTTTTCAGAGGAACCTGTTTTTCAATTTTTGTTTGATTTTCCAAAGTTACTGTGTCATTTTTGGCTTCTTTTTAAACAACACGATTTTATTAACTGGCCAGACTCATCTCATTCACCACTACAGTTCAACATCATACATACAACTAGAATAGATATATTCACAACCTATTACACACTTGGTATTTGATACATTTCAGTGTTGCTTTTGATATTTTCATACCAGCAGCAAACTCAATCATTAAATTTGATTTATTTTTTTTTTCTAACAAACACCATTTAAATTCAACATCCACACAGAGGAGAAGCTTTCAAAGTGCCAAAGAACGACCTCATACGAAAAGTTTAACTTTACACTGGTTTCTGCCCCCGCACCTACATGTCCAATCGTGTAGCCTCACCAACTAATCCAGCCGCATTAGCAGCTGCACAAGCATCGCATAGTCCAGTTATCAATTCTAAAAATTCAGCAACAGCAGCAGCAGCAGCAGCAAAAGGAGCAGTAGCCATGAATCCACATCATCATCACCACTCACAAGCTAATGGTAGTGGTGCACCAATCAATACCGCAGCCGCAGCTGCGGCATCTTCATCAAGCAACTCCAATTCATCAGTCGTTGGCTTGCATTACAAAATTGGTAAAAAGATTGGTGAAGGTTCATTTGGAGTTATATTTGAAGGTACAAATATTATAAATGGAGGACCGGTAGCCATCAAGTTTGAACCTAGAAAAACTGAAGCACCCCAATTAAGAGATGAGTATAGAACTTATAAACATTTACAAGGTTGTGCTGGGATCCCCAATGCATATTATTTTGGTCAAGAGGGTTTACATAACATTTTAGTAATTGATTTGTTGGGTCCTTCGTTGGAAGATTTATTTGATTGGTGCGGAAGAAGGTTTTCAGTAAAGACTGTTGTTCAAATTGCCATACAAATGTTGTCATTGGTGGAAGAAGTACATCGTCATGACTTGATTTACAGAGATATAAAACCAGACAATTTCCTAATTGGACGTCAAGGAATGCCAGATGAAAATAATGTCCATTTAATTGACTTTGGAATGGCAAAACAATATCGTGATCCAAGAACAAAACAACACATCCCATATAGAGAAAAAAAATCATTGAGTGGTACTGCTAGATACATGTCGATAAACACCCATTTAGGAAGAGAACAATCTAGACGTGATGACTTGGAAGCATTGGGTCATGTTTTCTTTTATTTCTTGCGTGGACAATTACCATGGCAAGGTTTGAAAGCCCCCACTAATAAGCAAAAATATGAAAAAATTGGTGACAAAAAGAGAACAACACCAGCAGTTACTCTTTGTGATGGATTGCCTACACAATTTGCTGAATATTTGGATTCAGTAAGGTCATTGCCATTTGATGCTGAGCCCCCTTATGAAGAATATAGGATGTTGTTGGTTTCAGCATTGGATGATTTAGGTCAATCATGTGATGGAGATTATGATTGGATGCATTTGAATGGAGGTAAAGGGTGGGATGCCGCAATTAATAAAAAGCCTAATTTGCACGGATATGGACACCCTAATCCACCAAATGAAAGAGAAAGAAGACATCGTGATCAAAGAAGAAGTAGACAACAACAACAGCAACTGCAACTGCAAGCGCAACAACAGCAACAACAACAGCAATCACAACAACAGTATCAGCAACAATCGAATCAAGCACAATTGAATCAACCACAACTGCAACTGCAATTGTCTGCAGCTCAATTACACCAACAGAAATTGCAACATCTTGTCAATAGGCCATTACCACCAATTAAACAAGAATCAAATTCAGCTTTGCCTACAACTAGTCGGAATGATATGTTAGCAAACAATGGTGGTGGGAATAGTGTTGCTGATGGTGCTGCCGGTGGTGGTAAATACGAAGGATATGGACAATATCAACAACAACAACCACACCAACAACAACATCATCATGATGAAGAAGAGGAGCACAGGGGTTTCTTTTCAAAATTATGTTGTCATTAGTAATGAGTGGAGGAGAAGGAGGTACCGTTCGGTTTCAGAAGACCAATGTTACGTGTTCATCAATGTGATACAGTCTCCCATTTTAATAATGCTGCATTCAAAGTGGGGTCTTTTGTTAGAGCTGAATCAAAAAAAAAAAAATTTAGTTGTTTTTACAACGATATACAGAGATATATTATAATTAATAAACAATGTTTTTTTGAGTGCAATTTCTTTGCCGTGTCATTTGTATCTTCTAATGGGTGTTGAAAATGAGAGGATCTCCTCTTCACTTGCTCTACTCTAGGTTCGGGGTTTTCAAAAAAATTTCCAACCTCGTTTCATTGAACCAAAAAAAATTTCAATGTACCGGCGGATGATAAATAATGGGTACTGACAGCACACAACATTTCTCAAACCGTTCAGTTTCGAATCATGCCCAGCAAAGAGTGAATCATTTCGAGTGAAGTTTTGTATGAGAGGTATATTACAATTGTTGTTGTCGAGTCTTACAAATTGAAGTTAGCTTGTATACTTTAAATGTGCTTCGCTGAAGGAGTTTTGCAAAACAAAGAAGCAAGCGCCTTTCATTATTAAGTACTGCTCTATATATTTAAATTTGGAAAATGCAAGCAGATGCTAAAAAGTAATGGCACACGGACCTATACTCCAGATTGAGGAAGTTCTAATACTATTATATACATTTTTAACCAAATTGAGTCATGATAAAACGATGAAAATTTCATTGCTTGATTTGTCGTTATCTATCAAATCTAGACTACACATCTGTATAAACTTTTCCTTTGTATTCTACGGCTGTTTATATACTAAAACGTAGCTTATCTATCGATTCTATAAAAACACTCTTCGTTTTTGTGTTTAGTAATTGCCACTTTCGAATTGGAATTTTGTGTAATTTTGTCTTTATTTTGTCCTTTTTAAGTATTTCGCAACTATTGTTTCATATTAAAAAAATTTAATAGATAAGTGTATCTTCTCATGGGGTTAGGAAATTGTAGTATAAATAGGGGAGAATCCAGTAGAGGTCACCCACAGTCCTTGTCTTTCTTGTGTTACTTCTTTGCTCCGTACCCTTTTCTCAACTAAACATTCTATTCCCCTAACTAACGAAACTTATACACAGAATTAACGATGGCCACTGTTGCTACTACCAGTACTAAGACTGTTCCTAACTATCAAGATATATTGGACGGTAACATTCATAAAAAGGTTCCGCTTGAAACATATATTTCCCAATTAGAACCACTTTGCAAAGCAACAGCCAGCAAATTTCCAACAACATCAACACCGATTTCAACTTCTTATTCCATCACCGCAGTCAACCCCGAATTTGATCCATTGGTCCATTTACTGTACTATGCCAATGGAATAACTGGTAGAGATCAATACAACAATACACGTAGATTATCATTGGAACAATTGAGACTTTCAAACCCACAATTGCAAATTTCGCCCATAGGAGTATCAGATCCATTCCCATTATTTACTAAAGAAGCAATCGATATTATGCGTAGTGAACTATTGGCGAAGGAGAATTTCTTAAAGTATGCTCGTTATTGTCATAGTTCAACCACTGGGATGGATTGTGTTGTGAGAGGATACGTTAAGGATAACGAAGGACATGTCAACTGTCAATTCATACACGATGCTTGGACTCATCCAGCTACAATGGAGCTTGTTTCGAAAATGGCTGGGGTCGATTTGGAAATTGTTATTGATTTTGAAATTGCTCATGCTAATATTTCAATGAAGGCTCCTGAAGAAGCTGATGCTGAAGTTGCTAAACACGAGGCGAAGGTGGAGAGAATGAGTGAAAGAAAGGAGTCTACATCTTCAACCAGGTCAGGTGATGATATTCGTGCGGTTGTGGGTTGGCATCATGATTCTTACCCATTTGTTTGCGTGTTGATGCTCAGTGACACCACAAACATGATTGGGGGTGAAACATCGCTCCGTATGGGCAATGTATTGGACGATGAAGACCAAGAGATTGCCATTGTTCCTGGTCCAAAGCAAGGTTCAGCTTGTGTATTACAAGGCAGATTAATTGAACACATTGCACCAGCGCCTCAAGGGTTGAGTGAACGTATCACCATGGTTACAAGCTACCGTGCTCGTGATCCAGCTTTACCTGATACTAGTGTTTTAGATACTGTTAAGCCCGAAGTCAATTTTGGGTCTCGGTATCATGAATTTTATCAACAATGGATCAATTATCGTTGTGATTTAATGAAGCGAAAGTTGGATTTGATTAAGCTCGGCGCTATGGCTGAAATAGACGGTGGCAAAAAGGTGTTTGATAAAGACAAGATGGTTGAGAACTTGAAAGACTTGGAGGAGTATGCTAGAGTAACTTACGCAGAAATGCTTTGTTGAGGAACCCGTTTGTACTAAAAAGGCTCTCGCAACTTCTCATCTCTTTTATGTACAATTTAAAGTTTTGATTCTTCGCTGAGGCTTTATATAGTGTTTTCGTTTCTGGTAAACTTCATAGCATTATTGTTTAACAATACGTCTTCCATTGCTCACTTCTCTTCTCTACCGAGGCTTTGATGAACAAGTATACCAGCTGGGACTTATCATGACCTCTAGCGTGCGTAAGCTCGTATTCTTTGATTGTCGTAAAATTTATAGCCTCTATCGGGATGTACGTAAAGAATTACCTGATTAGGTATCAGCCGATTTCACACTATGTTTACGTAATATGACGGGAGAGATGTTGAGTATAAATAACGAGTCAAATTCTCACAACACGGTAAAAGTCAATCCAGCCCTACACTACTTCAATTGACGACGAGTGCTATCTGTTAGACACTTTATTTGTCATTACATTTATTTCCTACCATAGCTTGTCGTACAACCAGACTATATCAATTACAACATGACAGGTGCTGAAACCGAATCAACGCAGGCCCATCAACATGCGGTTGAGTTAAACAGGCAAGCTTTTGACGAAGTACTCGCCAAGAAATATGACAAGAAGGAAACGCAGATCTTGATGGCATACTTATTCGTCAAACATATCTTGGAATTCGATCTCAATGTTCCAGTGAAGAGAAAGACTCTTGAGGAATCGGAGCCATTGTTGGGAGATGCTCACTTACCATTCAGTGGATTTAACAAAGAAGATACTTTACCTGATCCAGCCACGTATTTGGAAAAATACCCACATTCAATTTTCCGTCCTGGTATGAAGTTGATGGATTTCGCATGTGGGACTGGTATGGTTACTGAGTTGTTTGTTCCCTACTTAACTGGTAATGATGATGGAGTCAAGAGTGAGATTGTTGGTGTTGATATTGGAACTACATTTTTGAAGTACTTTAATCAAAGAGCCTCTAAGTTGAGTAATGATAAGGTGTCAATGAAATCATACGAGTACGATGTTCTTGATTCAAATATACAACCAGAATTGACTAAGTTCAACAATTACTTTGATTTCATATTCTCCACCATCTCCTACCACCATATTCACAATTATCAACAAGTTACCAAAAAGCTAGTTGATTTTTTGAAACCTGGTGGATGGATGTTTATCATTGATTTCTACAACGAGGATGTTGAAGATATCGACGAGACAGATGAACGTTCCTTATCCAATGAAGTCCAACACATGGGGGGTTTGAAAATTGATAAATTGAATCACACATTGGGTGAATATTCTGGATTGGTTAACGTTTCTAGTGCTCGTGAATTTCGCGCAAACTTGTGGCAACCTGATGTTTTCATTCGCAGTCATAGTACTAAAGCTATGGTGGATAAGATGAATGATGGCGAGTTGGAAAGTAAAGAGATTGAAGGGCAGATGAATTACCTTGTTGAAACTAGTTTTATTTTCGCAATTGGTCAGAAACCGGGAGCTACATAAAGAGGAGGAGATGCGGGTGGAAATAATGGGCACCAGGGGTGATTGCCCTGGATGTGCAGATGCTGTAAATAGAAGCATGTACACGGTACTACAGTCACTAGAAACGACGTTTTTACATTTGTAATCTTTTCACACCAAGAAAATTTAACAACAACTCTTGATTCTTTCTTAGACGATAGCTTTTAGTAAATGAATGGTAAAAATCTCAATTTTTACTCCTTTGCTCATTCCACTGGAAGTGCGACTCCTAGTAACTCGGACAAACTTGGATGGGGCAAAAGTGTTCTACATTAAAGTTGACGAGCAGACAGACTTTACGCGCAGCATAGATGAAGAGAGGGTGTCGAAGATGCAAACAACAAATACTCATGCAAAGCCCCCGGTTCCAACCAATTCAAGTATTGTATTTCGCGATCAAAGTGGGTTATATAACGCAATAAACCCTTACCAAATTTGGAAAGTCCGAAATGTCTCAAAATATACAACCGCCATAGAGTGTTGAAAAAGAAAAAAATCAGACAATAAATAGATTATATACCCCACTAAAAAATTGGTTGAAACAATTGCATATTTGACTTCACCAAACATCGACTTCTTCGCACAACAATGACTACCTCCACCTCATCATCTGGTGATGCCCATCAACAAGCAATTGCCGAAAACAAACGCGCATTTGATGAAGCGTTTGCTCAAAAGTATGAGAAACGAGAATCGCAAATCTTGCTCAGTTATCTATTTGTTAAACATATGTTGGAGTTTGATTTAAGTGTGCCTGTCAAGAGGAAGAGCTTGGAGGAGTCAGAGCCAGTACTAGGCGATGCTCATTTACCATTGAATGGATTTACCAAGGAGAACACATTGCCTGATGTCGATACTTATTTGGACAAGTTCACCAATTCAATCTTTCGCCCTGGTATGAAAATTTTGGATTTTGCTTGTGGGACAGGAATGGTTACTGAGTTATTAGTACCTTATCTTACAAATAAAAGTGGCGATGATGTCAAGAGTGAGATTGTTGGTATTGATATTGGAACTACATTTTTGAAATACTTTAACCAAAGAGCCTCTAAGTTGAGTAATGATAAGGTGTCAATGAAATCATACGAGTACGATGTTCTTGATTCAAATATACAACCAGAATTGACTAAGTTCAACAATTACTTTGATTGCATCTTTTCCACAATCTCCTACCATCATATTCACAATTATCAGCAAGTTACCAAAAAATTGGCGGAGTACTTGAGACCTGGTGGATGGATGTTTATTATTGATTTTTATAATGAAGACGTTGAAGAAATTGATGCATTGTCCAATGAGAATAGAGACATAGCTCATGGTGTGCAACACATGGGTGGATTGAAAATTGACAAGTTGAATCATACATTGGGTGACTTGGCGGGGTTAATCAATGTCTCCAGTGCAAGAGAGTTTCGCACATATTTATGGCAACCCAAAGAGTTTATATTGAATCATTCGAAACAATCAATGGTTGATAAAATGAATGCTGGTGAGTTGGAACAAAAGGATATTGATGGAGAAGTAAATTATTTGATTGAAACTAGTTTGATTTATGCAATTGGACAAAAACCGGAAAAGAAGTAAATGGCAGTGGCGTTTTGTTGAAGGTTAGGATTACATAATGAGGTTAGCTTTCGTCGTTTATATTAGATATGAAAGGTTTAGATAGAAGTATGCTTATATGAAATAAAGTATTGCAAAAGTAGTGTCGTACATTGTGTGTACTTCCGACATTGGTTATAAAAAGAAAAGAAACAGTTGCGACATTCAAATTGCCAACGGAAAAAAAAAAAAGCAATTTTGTGTTTGTAATAATACACATAATACCAAATTTCAAAATCATCAAAATTCTAAAATCACACTACCATTACAATCCACACAACATACAACCACTACATTCTTCTTTTCTTTGCTCCAATAGAAGAAGAAGCTATACAACAACCTGCTTTTGCCCGTGACTTACATCCAAATATATACCCTTCTAGTTTTCAACTTATTACCACTATATCGAACTCCTCCAACCTGTACCCCTATTTCTTTTTCTAGTTATGGCCTCAAGACAATCACAAAGACGATTAACCAAGGAATATAAAGCTATTCAACTAACACCACCACCATACATCACAGCCAAGCCCAACGATGAAAACGTATTGGAATGGCACTATATCATCACAGGGCCACCCAACACTCCATTTGAGCATGGTCAATACCATGGGTTATTGAGATTTCCCCAAGAATACCCATTCAAACCACCTTCGATATCAATGATTACTCCCAATGGACGATTTGCTTGTAATACAAGATTATGTTTATCAATGAGTGATTACCATCCAGATACTTGGAATCCTGCTTGGAGTGTAGCGACAATATTGACAGGTTTACTTAGTTTTATGACTGGTGATGAATCGACAACGGGGTCAATTACAACATCGGAGAATGTGAAGCGAAAATTGGCTCGTGATAGCAAGAAGTGGAATGTGAGAGAGAACCCCAGGTTTGTCAAACAGTTTCCTGATGTCGTTAAGCAAAATAAAGAGGAAATTGCCCGTGCTGAACAAGAACAAGAGGCAGAAAGACAAAGGCAGTTAGCAAATGGTGATGGTGGTGTTGGTGTTGGTGCAAATGGCGCAAGCGCAGGTGCAGAGAAGGCTATTGATTTGTCTCAGTTGGACAAGTTGGATCCTGAAGATAGAGCTAGGTTGTTGATTGAGCATGAAAGGCAGTTGTCGGTAGTCAATAAAGCGGGTGCCAAAGGAACCGTCGGTGGTGGTGCCGCAGGAACAGGAGGAGCAGGAGGTGGCGGTAGCTTTGGTAGCTTGACTGCTCTAGTGGGGATACTAGTTGCCGCTTTATTTGCTGCTTACTTCGGTATCATGAAGACAGGTTGAGAGTAGTCAATAAGAGTATGTTAATATAGAAATGCTTGCACTTTGAAGATAATGTAGTTGAGATATCGTGGCGTTAAAAGTGTCTCTGTCTCTGATTAAGCTACATTCTCGGATTCCTTTTTCTATGTGGATTACTTTTTGCCGGAGTTAAACCAAATATTTCTCAGCTCCGATCTACACAGCCCATTGTCACATGTGCTGATGTTGTCGCAATTTTACAAAAGAATGCGACAGAATTACGTAGATAGGTGTGCTACTTTGCGTTGTTACAGATGTGTATTTTAGCCACTGAAACACGCTTTTACTTTCGTATATACTGAGAAACGTAACTAAACGCCTTGCTTTCTGAAAGTACCTCTTACTTCGAATACGAAATTATCGGTTTCATCATAGATGGCGGGAACAGAGGAGGGCACAAAGAAGTAGATTTTACTTCAGCCCAACATAACATAAAAAAAAATAGAGAGAAGCAGATCCACTATTGAAACTTGGTCTTTTTGTTTTCGTATCGTTTTGATTATACTTGTACTTAACTTTACTTTACTTTGCCTTCATCTTTTTTGACAGCCACATTGCTTTACAGAACAAGACATTAAAAAGACCCTTTCTTTTCTCACGTAGTTTTACAAATAAATGTTCATTTATAGAGACTATGACTAGATACGATCAAGCTTACAAGTTGTTCTGAATTTTTCGTTTCGATTCTGGTTCCATTTTCTCTTTTTGCTTGTTTCTTGTTCTTTTTATATAACACGTTGTACGTTATACTTTGCACTTTGCACTCTGCACACCTTCCTTACTCGAACAAATTAAAAACACAACTAAGAAAACACACAGTTTTGTATAAACTCTATCATTGATTACTAAATATTAACCACTGACTGCGAGCTACTACTGGTGCTTTAATACTAACTGCTACTAGCTACTACTAAGTACCAACTACTCACCTTTAACTACCGACTACTACTTTCAGTTTTAAACTTAGTTTGATTCTTTTTTTGTTTTAACTTTTATATTTTTATTTTATTTTTATTTTTATTTTTTATTTTTTATTTTTTTTATTTCTTTTGGCAAAGGAATTTTTTTTCGTCTTAATTGGAGAAAAAAATCCTTTTCCTTTCTCTCTGTCTCTGTCGTAGAAAGCCAAACCTTAGAGCAATTAGAACCGGCTAACCATTTCACCCACCCACGTTAGGCTTATTCTATAGACCATAGACTAGAAAGAGAAAGGCTTTAACAACACCCTCCAACTTCCCCGCTAGATGTTACACCAATAATGAGTTCTGGTTCCTCACATCCTTATCGTCAAGTTACATCTTCCAATAGTAGTGCAACAACAACCGCTACAACTGCAACCACAGCCACTACTACTACTCCATATCCACTTCTGGACTTCAATCAAGCTAGTCAAAGTGATCCTTCTGATAGTTCACCCAGTATGACTGAAGTTACTTCAGGTATGGAGGATTTGCATTTACCGCCAAATCATAATCCCAAACCATATATACCGCACCAGCAAGAGCAGATGCAAATGCAGCTGCAGCTGCAGCTGCAACAGCAATACGGACAAGAACGGGCTCAGCAATTTCAATATGAACCTATTCCTCCGCCACAGCATCAGTATCAATACCCACAGCAACCTCAATATCAACCGCAATACCAACAACAGCAAAATAATGCGCGTCATGCCTCAGCGCCACAGCATCAGCCACATCAGCAACCACAACAACAGCCACAACAGCACTCGTCGGCTCAGAGACAAAAGTATAGAAGTTTGTTGGCCAATGATGATGGCTCTGAGAAACAACAACGGTTATCAAGTTTACCCACTCACTTGATGCCAAATCTTTCTCATTCATCTTCGGGAAACTCCTCGCCCAAGCTGGGAGGGCAATTGTCGCCAAATGAGCAACATTTTTACCAGCAGGAGGAGCAACAGCAACAACAATACCAGCAACTGCACTATCAGCAAGTCCCTGACTCAGCAGTATATGAATCCCCAAAGATTGGCGTCACATCACCATCTTCGGCTCCATACCCAGTGTATGACTCGACTCCTGCATCACCACCGCCGGTTTTTGCATCCAAAGACAATGGTATAACGTCCCCACCATCAAATCCATTATCAGCCACCTCATCAGTGGTTAATTTCAATCTCAACAACAATGCCAATACCAACAATTTGGATCATCAAGTATTTAGTAGGTCGGAAAACAACTTGAGTGCACCATCACTTGCCGTATCTACTTCTAAATATGGACATAATCGTTCAGTTTCATCTACATCATCATTCTTCTATGATCGTAATGATAACTCGTCAATGATTGATTTCAATCAAAATGTGATTCAACTGTACCTTGGCTCAAACTCGGCAAATTTGATGCCTAGAATCAAGACTTTGGAGTTGTATCGCAAAAATGCCAAAAAATCAAATGATCCCAATGTATTGTTTCAATACGCTCAATATATGTTGCAAACTGCATTGATGTTGGCGGCTGAATCCACAAACAATACAACAACATCGACATTGACTAATACTACAGGGTCATCGGGTGATAACACGCCAATCAACAATAGGTCAATTGAAAATTCACCACGTAAGCCCGACACCTCCAATAAAGACAAACACAAGAAGAACAAATCAATTGATTTTTCATCTATTGAAGTGGAAGGAAATGAAAAAAAATTACGCAAAGCATTCTTGAAGGAGGCGGTGTACTACTTGAAAAAATTATCCGACAAGGGGTACACTGAAGCTCAATATTTATTAGGGGATGCTTATAGTTCAGGAGCATTGGATAAGATTGATAATCGAGATGCTTTTATACTTTTTCAAGCAGCTGCCAAACACGGACATATTGAAAGTGCATATCGTACTAGTTATTGTTACGAGGAAGGGTTAGGCACGGGTAGAGATGCCCGAAAAGCGGTTGAATATTTGAAAATTGCTGCTTCAAGAAATCACCCGGCAGCAATGTATAAATTGGGTGTTTACTCTTTTTACAATCGAATGGGATTACCTAATGACATGAATACTAAAAAAATGGGGATCAAATGGCTTACGAGAGCTACTAATGTTGCTACAGAATTGACAGCTGCAGCTCCATACGAATTGGGTAAATTATACTACCATGGTTTCAAAGATATCGTGTTACAAGATGTTAAATATGCATTGGAATTGTATGCACAAGCGGCATCATTGGGTCACACACAATCAGCAGCGATATTGGGTCATCATTATGAAGTTGGCGAAGTTTTACCCCAGGATTCCAACTTGTCCATCCATTACTATACACAGGCTGCATTGGGAGGTGATCCTAATTCAATGTTGGCCATGTGTGCATGGTATCTTGTGGGATCAGATCCATATTTGCCTAAAGACGAGCAAGAAGCGTTTGAATGGGCCAAACGTGCGGCTCTGTGTAATTTGCCCAAGGCGCAATTTGCCTTAGCTAATTTTTATGAAAAGGGTATCGGATGTATCAAGAATACTAAAGAAGCACAGGCTTGGTATACTAGAGCCGCTGAAAATGGTGATGCCAAGTCATTGACTCGATTGACTGATAAAGAAGTTGTTGCTAGGATTCAAAAAAAGTTGAAAAAGAGACCTGTTGTTAACCATGCTGATGGAAGCGCGGCTCAAGAGAAGGACTGTGTTATTATGTAGGTGAGAAGAGGAGTGAAGGGGATTGGGGATGTCGGTGTTGTGAAGGACGAGTGAATCTGTTTATGTGTAAGTACACTGTTGAAACAATCTTACATGTTTACAGAGCAAAAGCTTAGAGACGTAGGTAGATAAATATTTGGGTTCAAACTCTAATTTCTAATCTCGCTTGGGATCGACCGGTGATGGCATAGTTGGGCGTTCATGATCAATGGTGCAAGGCTGATGTTAAAAAACACGATGCATATACACTGCGCCATTACGTATCATTCAAAGATACACATTTCCGTAGTGTATAAATGTGGCCCTTTTAGTGTTGAGTTTTTGTGATTCGATCGAACAATTAGAAGGACTGCCAAGACAGGTGCGTGTCGTACTCAAAAAACTGAAAAGAATAAAACAAAACCAATCTGTCAATTACATCATTCATTTATATAAAAACATTGCAACCAATGAAACTAAGCCATTCCTTATAAAGAGCACATCGAACTAACAAAACAGTGGTGATAATTCTCTAACAAGCTGACGTCAGCTTAGCTACAACTGTGCATAGACGTGACGTCGATATAAAACTACTCTGAATGACTTTACAAACAATGTGAGCTACAAATTAGATCAGGTCACGTGTAGTTCTTTTCTTACCCTTTAAAGTTGTGCATATAGTGGAAGTTACTCTCTCCATGTACAGGAATATTGCTGCAAACTTACACAAAGCCCCTTTATTCTCCCCCTTTGTCATTTGTAGCAATTTCATTTCAGCATTCAATCACCGAAAATTTCAAAATGGAAAAAGCCTCCCCATATTCATCAAACGCCACGTTTCAAGTTTTGTTTAAAAAAGTATAAATATCAATTGAAAGTCTTCAATATTTCTATAATTTTCACAAACTTATATCCTATTATTCAATAAACTCAATTGGTTTAGATCATGTCAGCTAACGATTTCTATTCATCAGGTAACCAAGGCGAATATACCCCACAGGGAGGTAACAATAACAACAACAGCCAAGACAATCGTGGAAGTGGTGGCAACAATGGCGAACAACAAGATAGAGGATTCCTCGGTGGTGTTGCCGGAAGTGTTCTTGGCGGCATTGCCGGTGACAAAGCCGGTGGTCAAAATCACGGCACATTAGGTACTGTGTTGGGAGTTCTTGGTGGTGCTGTTGGTGGAAGCAAATTGCAAGATGAATATAAAGAACACAAGGATGAAAAGAAGCATCATAACAATAACGGCGGTGGTGGATTCTTTGGAGGTAACAGCAGTGGCCGTAACGACAGTGAATATGGTGGTGGTCAAGGTGGTTACGGTGGTGGTCAAGGCGGTTACGGTGGTGGTCAAGGCGGTTACGGTGGTGGTCAAGGTGGCTACGGTGGTGGTCAAGGTGGCTACGGTGGTGGTCAAGGTGGCTATGAAGGTGGCTACGGTGGTGGTCGTAATGAAGGTGGCTACGGTGGTGGTCGTAATGAAGGCGGTGGAAACTTTGGTTACGGCGGTGGTCGTGATGAAGGACGTCACCATGGCGGTGGTGGTCATCACGGTGGCTTTGGTGGTCAAGGTGGGTACGGAGACAGAATGGAAGAAGGTCGTGGAGGTAGAAGTGGTTTCGGTGGTGGATCAGGTGGACCAGGTGGGTACGGAGACAGAATGGAGGAAGGTCGTGGAGGTAGAGGTGGTTGGTAAATCAAATTGTGTTGTGTACGATAAACCCCACGCCTTAATGGTTGTTACGATTTTATAGTTGATTTGGAATACTACAACAAAATCTAATGGAATAGTTTCAGATATGTATGGTTAAAACTCTATTCTCTATAATCACTTTCTTCTAATCAGTATTTTGCAGCATCACCTTAGAAGCAGCCAGTCTATTTAATAATGATGACTTCAGCTCAGTCAAATTGAAACTATGTAAAGGTGGTGGATGCAGATGCAGCTGTGGAGGAAATGGTGGTGGTGGTTTTACCGGAGTCGCATCACTCGAAGCTTGAGTGGGTTGCAGTTTATCACCACCACTGTATTGGTCGTTTCGTGTGAATGAGTCACTTCGCATCAATGGTACTTTTGGTAATGGTGGTGAACTCATTTGTAAATCATCATCTTGTGAAATATCGAAAAATTGAACTTGTTTATTGTTACTCATTGGTGAATCCAAATCTTGATCAATTAGGATGGAGTTATTACCATCTTCTTGAAACATCAATCCCGAGTTGTTTTGAAAACTAGAATCATTCATACTGATATCTTCTGGTGCTGGTGCATCGTCGGGTGCGTCAGCCTCTTCCTCTGCCACCACCTCTGCCTCTGCAGCAGGCGTAGGCAACGCTAGTTGGTTCCTCTTTTTGTTATAGGTGGTGGTGGACGACGAAGTGGGTAGTCTCAATGATCGTTTTATTTTACTGTTTGGTGATGTCTTTGATCGTTTACCCAATGGTTTGCGTGCTTCGCGAGGAGGTGATGTCATCAGAGTAGTAGATCTTCCATTGGTTCGTGGCTTTTTAAATAATTGAGTAGGGTATGCGTTTTCATCATTGGCAAGACGTACTATATCCCCACCATCATTGTACTCCTTCCTACTGGTGTTGCCATCGTCATCCCAAATTTTATTTCGTAGATAATCCAAAGCAAATTTTTCAAAAACACCATCAAATGTCCCATTCACAAGTTTTTCCAACCCATCAAGCAAGTCTTGTAAGATTGCATCATCTTTATTGGCAGCGCCACCCCCACAATGACTTGCCAAGTGAGTAGCCACGGCCCACGGTGTACGATAAAATTGAGCAAGTGAGTAGATCAAGTGATCATATAATGCCGATGATTTCACCAATATTTCCAGCTGCAAATCATCACGTATAGATTGAATTAGCTGATCATAGATCACCGAATGATACACTGTCCAATCGGGCTCATCATTCACCAACCTTTTCAAAACTCGTTCTGCAGATTCGCCCAAAATATGATCAATTTCTGTATGTTGTCTGTATTGAGATTCAATTTGCCAGATTTGATTATCAATTTTGGACAAAATCTGTTCACACAAATCGTAAATATTGGAAATTAATTGATCACTTTGCAGTTTTAAAATTGATGATTGTCGTGTTTGGTGAAATTGTTGTTTCCCTTCAAGTATAATTTCAATTTCAATTTTTTGCCGCAATAGCACTTTTCTCTTGGCCAACATGAATATCTTTTTCGATTTGTCAAGATTGTACTTTGAGATGTTTCGTTTGACTGATGTGATAGTATCTTGAAGTAATTGGAAAATTTGTACTTCGACTTTTTTCCTCTTGTCCAAGGTGACATCAACAATTTGATTCTCCCGTGCCCGTAACTCCTCGATTTCTTGCTTTTGCTCGGTAATCATCTTCAAATAGGATCCCACATGACGATCCAAGTTATGTTGGTTCCTTATCAATTTGGTCTTGATCTCTTTAGCTCTATCGGCATATTTTAAAGTGTTCAAAGTTTCATCATAATGCTGACTACTGGGTGAGACACATACAATCATGACAGTTTTGCAATTACCTCCAAGGGAAAATTTTAACAATCTCGTCAATTTTGAATCGCGATATGGAATATGATTACGACGCCTTGGGTCGCATAATGCATTGATACAATTCCCTAGAGCCAACAACGATTTGTTGATGTTTGCTCCTTCGTTCAATCTTGCTCCTCGGTTTTTGGTAGCTGCTGCTCGTTCACTTCCTGCCAAATCTATAATCGATAACGTGGCAAATGTATGCTCCTCTTTGACATCACCAGTGCGGTTCTTTTGATCGATATTGATTTGCAATACTGCGTGTGATCGACTTGACGTTGCATTGGCTTCAGTCGGACTTGATGTACGATTGGCATTACCAGCCATAATCAAATGCATCACTTCTTCCACTGATTCTGGTCTATGTCGCGATAGATTGGATACAGAAATCTTGTTGTTTGAATCTTCTCTAATTATTAGCTTCTTAAAATCAGTATCTGGATTGAGTAAATCACGAATGGTTTCGTTGTAAATTTCTAGATACGATAGACTAACATCAATGATCTTGGTATCACTTAGGTCCCCAATTCTTTCATACAACTCTTTCATTGTTAAAAAAATCACCCCGGGATAGTCAGGTGTGCCGGAAATGGTATGCGTTTTACCACATCCTGTTGCCCCATATGCAAAAACAGTGGCATTATATCCATCCAAAACTGAATCTAGCAATGGCCGCGTAGTGCTCTGATACACATCATTTTGAGATGCATCCTCATCGAATAATCTATCAAATACAAACTTGTGTTCCCTTATTCGTGATCCTTTAAAACTATTGGGAAAGGCATTCTTTTGCATTTTTGCCAAAGGATTGGTCTCAGGAGGGTCGAATATCAACATTCGATCATCAACAACATTGACAATTTTTCTTATACCTGATTGATTAAGAAATCTCTGCTTCGTTGGGGTGTTATTAGTGGAGGCATTGTTGTTTATATTATTCCCATCGGTAAAACATCCATCTCCAAGAAAGAAGTCATCATCATCCGGTTTCACAAGACGATTACTTTCGTTATCTGTAAATGGTCGAACCCTAACTGCAACTGAGATTGAAGATTGTTTAATTCCTGAGGAGTATGTGTTTGTGGACGCAGACGTAGACGTTTTCGAATCCATAACATTTATACGTCTTGTGAAGGGGGTGGTGCTAGTAATAGTGAGAAAGGGATATGTATGATCGAAGTTGTATAAGATCCAGTCGTTTGATAAGAATGTAGTGTGTGGGGATACGTGCTTCTACTTTTGCTGCCGACTTTTGCTCTTGATTTCCTCTCTTCTATTGTTTACCTTTTTTTTTTTTGTCCTTCTGCAAAAACCAAAAGAGGAAGGATCTCTTCACGCGCGTCGGATATATGTTTCACGGTCTCCCCAAGTAGGGAAAATCTATATAGTAGAAGAACAGAAGGTGGTCATTTGAACATTCTGTTTTTGGTATTGATTGCTACACACGAATTGCAGTGCAGTTCAGTCTGCTTCATTCTCTCTACTGGTACCTCCATTTCAGTAGTGCGATATATCCAGCTAGATTATATATTAATTTCAATGCGCCGATACTTCTATCATTGTAGCCGCGCCTGAGTGGCATCTTCCAAACTAAACTCACCTTCTCCCACAATCACAACATTCCCACTCTGAAGCTCGTTGAAATGAGTGTGGATAGTAATGATTTTTGTTCATCATAAGATGAACAAAGTGAAAGCCCAGCCAGATTTGATCAAGCACATCATCAATGCACAACCTACCAAAACTCAATCCTACTTTGGTCGGCATTCGAAAAAAGTAAATGGCCAAGCTTAGTGATGGTTATGGTGAGAGTATAATATTGTACCCCAAATTGGGTGACATTATCAAGATAAAATATATCAGTCACCTAATCTATAGGGAAGTCTTTGGGATACACAACTGACTCATCATAAAGTCCTTCCATTTCTAAGCTAAAGTTTTATTTCAATTCAGTTGGTCCTAGAATTGCTCTCCATCATATGTTCTTTAAAGTCAAGATATTGCTCCATAGTCATGTAAAAGTGTATGCGTCTCAGCATTAAAAAGAACCCTTGTCGACAATTTAAAATACAAACGTTGGCATTATAATCTGACAAGCAAATAGAAAAATCACCGTCGTTTCTCATCACTGATGCATGGAAAATACTGAGGTGAAAGCCATCTGTGCATTGACGTGAGAAAATTAGGAAATGCATGCTGATGGGTATAAGACAATTTTCGACAGCAGTCCAAATGTTTAATAAATGTATGAAGCCAATGTATTCCAATACCAGGTCCTTAATGCATTCAAAATCAAGAATCAAGAATACATCAGAGGTATCTTTTGGAATACTTGCGTTTAACCTGACGAAAAGTAAAATGTTAAACTTGGTTATCAACTTCTTAATGTGTTTTTAACCAATTTTTATCTTGCACGGTTTTCATACAAGTCGAATAAATTTTGCGACCCGAAGCGGTGGTAATAAGCAAGTTTTCGCTATTGTCTTCTCTCTATACGTCGCCAATACCACTTAAAGCAAATACTTTAAACAGTTCCCGCTAGGGCATTACCTTGAGCCATTTAATAACGGTGGTTCTTGGCACGGATAACAAGCTTGCAGATATTCGAAGCACTCTACACAATATATCGATTGGCAAGTCCCTTTTCCTTCAGCTCGATAGTTGGGGGAGGGGAGAAACTATAGTGCAATGAAACTTTTTCGAATGAGAAGCGAGTCTGTGAAGCAGCGGTAATCATGGAGATATACTCCAGGCTGTAACGTAATCATTTTAGTAAAGTAGACTCCGGTCCTGATGAAGTAAAAAAAAAGGTGCTAGTAGACAAAATTTAAGGAAGGTGAAAGACTTAGTTTCCGGTATACAATAATAAAAGAGTAACTACCAAGAAATAAGCGGGGCTTTTAGTGTATTCATTGAGTAAAGGTTATAGTATGTTCAACTTGTTCGACAGTCGCACCCATGTAATTGCTTCCTGTATTCTTGGTATTTGTTGGTGAAATCATTTTGCTTCATCCAAGATATTGCTTTTGTCAATCTACACCATAGTCTTTTTGGTACAAACTTTTTCAAACTTTCATTCCTCTATTAAAATCACTAGCTTACATCCTCTTTTTCTTCCATTTCATATACGCTAACTTCACTTTCAACATCTATAACAATATCAGTCGTGTCATTGATGTCCAGCTCGATTTCCTTTTCGTCTTCTTCGTCTTCGTAATCACCATATGCATCTCCATAAAGTTCCCCCTCGTTTTCTTCAAACACTCCAGTCTTGTCCTCTTCACCTTCTTTTTCAAAATCAGTATCATCTTCATCACTTCTGACATCTTCGGCACCAACTCCAATGACAACTTTGTAAGCAACTTTAGAAATCAAATACATCCAAATACATGTAATTATTTGTAAACCACCTAGCAACCCCATAAATGTATTGATTACAGTTGGTGTCCAGCATCTTTTTTGCACGGATCCAACCATGCATTCGCCATCTTGCATCAAATGGACAGACTTATGCCAAGCGTGATAAAAGATGTAGTTGTATACCCCATGTCGTAATGCAATCCAACTAACCAAAAATAATACAAACATGGCATCACAAGCAACCAACCTACCAGCGTATTTCAACATCTTGGCCGCTGCTAAAAAGATATCAACAGAATCCATGATCATCAAAATCAAATGACCAATTCTAAAATAATAGTAATAGTATGAACCAATAATCAAGCAACAAGTAATAATATGATGACTAAACATTTGATAATGATCTTTCCTGGGTTTTTCCACGTGTAACACAAATATCTGTTGTAACCAGAACGCCATTGAAATCAAATAATAACTTTTAAATCTAGCATCCATGACAAAATTAGGCCAATTTATGTATATCTGATCTAAATTGTTATAGTATGGAGCATCCAAATACAAGTATACCCCATACATGAATGAAATACTATAGTAAACAAAAGACCAACTTTGTTCAGCAAATCTTATCTTGGCTTTACGTGAATGAATGCTGCAAAATTTAGCAGCAAATGGGCCAAAACAATACTTCATCAAGAAAGATCGAAGAAAAGTGACGGTAATAACCCAATTGATGACAAAGTAAATGTCATCAATGTGAATATCATAAATTGGTTTACCTTGCAGATTATATCCAACTTGATTTTGTAAATGTAAAAACTTGCTTGTAAAATTGATTATGTTGGCATTGGAACTCAACATGTTCAAAGTGTATAGTAAAATCATCAAGTTTCTTGATAATGGTATCTGATTTCTTTCAACTTTGGCCCAGAGTGATCCATGGTACGCTTGATCTTGAGCTGCCTCAACTGCATTGGTGGCAGTGCTGCTGTTTTGTTGCACTGCACTCTGCAAACCATCGCTGTCTTCCTGTAGGTTATACGAAGTGGTGTTTATTTTGAAAGAATCACAAGTTTCGCCCAGTCGACTGGAACTACGTCTAGTCTTTATCTTTGTCAGTGTAGCCATAATATCAATGTGAGATCTTTTGTGTTGGTATAGATCTGATAGGTAAATAAATACGATTGGGTGTAGTAATGGCAAGGTATTGGCCGATTCAAGCTGGGGTGTCTCTTTTTTGCAACAGAAAGATGAAAAGTTAGGGCAATTGGCTTTTTTTATTTTTTTGTTCTCTGGTGAGTCTATTACCCCCCTTGGTGGTGATGCTATGTGGCAATACGTATTCTTTGACAACCTTAATTCGGATCTAAAGAAGAATTTTTTCTTTCTTTCCTTCTCTCTTTCTTTGTTGTGACTTGTATTCCCAAGGGCCGTCTCTTACTGCCTGTCTCTGTTTGAATCTCTGCCTCCTGCTTGTTGAGGTGGGTTGTCTACATCTCGTTGTTGTAAGCCTCGGTCGCCATTTTTTTTTTTTTTGTGCCTGTCTCTCTCTCTGTCTCTACCGTAGACAGCGAAAATGAGAAAAAAATTTTCTTGCATTCGTGGCTTGGGAAGAGACCATAAAAACATCAGATCCGAGATTACATTGAATTATTGGTCTACATACTTTACCTATTGTACATAGTGCGTGTCTGTCTAACCATGTGGAGACCTTTTGGTACTGCTTATACTAAAGAAAGCACCATTGGGATCTCTTAATATGTAATAAGAGGGTCGTTTCACATATTGCGCGTCTCATCCGCGAACAAATTAGAAATGAAAAACCAGACACGTTGCCTGAACTTACGCTTTGCAATAAAAAAAAAAATTGAATTTAATTGCTACTACTGCAACTCACATAAATGATATACACGGTGGTTATACAACTTTACGGGGGGGGCATGTCGATACGTTCTTCAAATCTCTTTCATGTTTCTACATCTTTCATGCATAAATCCGTCTGTATGTATTTATTTTTAGTAACATCAAAAACGGAAAAAACCGAATCTAGGTTTTCACCCAAAAAGGGATCCCTCTCGGAACGGGTGGGAAAAATGCAGTAAACAGCTTTTCAATGTAACGTAAGCACAATGCAAACAAAAGCTGAATGTGTATGTATTTGTAGATGCGGAGTGTATATCTCTAACTTGGATCATCTCTTCCAAAGCATAACCTGTAACGCTTTCCTAACGGATTGTTCATTATATCTGTTCCACAACACGTACACGTTGATCATATCTTGAACGGCTTCAACGACTTCATCGAGATTGATATGTGAATGTTCAACAAAATTCATAAACTTGTTGATCCTTATTGTGTCATCATCTAGGATATCTAGATCGAAATTCACCAAATCTTGGGCTGTTGTGTGGGTGGTTTTAGTTGACAGTTGCTGCTGATTAGCATCGCCTTGATGATGTTGCGGATTACTCACCTGTGTACTGTTGTTCTTCAGTGGTGAGACTTCATTTGACTTCGCTTTACTTGCATCCTCTTCTTGGCTATTTGGTTTCGACAAGTTGATCAAATCATCAATATTTAGCTCTTTGTTATCGGACACTGTTGATCCAGATTTAACACTGGCACCAGCTGTGTTTTGTGTATAACTCGACTGTGGATTGTTTGAATCCACATTGTTGGCTATACTATTGTTCGAGACTCCATTCTCTTCTTTGTTCTTTAGCTGTGACAAGTTCTTTTTCAATACTATGGTGATGTATATAGCAGCCACGGCAATTATATGTGGTGGCAATAACAAATGTAAATCAGTAATATAACTATCATTAATCAAACTCCAACAATTTTGCATCTCTTCATCAGACAACTTGAATCCATACACATCGTATTTCTGTTCAAAGTAATGTTTCAATTGTAAAAGCGACTTATAAGGATGATGCAATAGCAAGTACAGATCCATTTCTTCAATCAAGTAAAATTCGAATTCAGCCAATTTCGTCACATCTTGGGGTATATACTCTGGCCACAAGTTTCTTGCCTCCAGTACAATCAATCGAATATGTTGCGGACACTCTTCAATCTTGCAAGCAACATATAAGCAAGTTGTCACTAGTAAATAGACATTAATTTCTTTTAAACTGGCACGAGTTAAGAATCGGGTGCAATAAACTTCTGCAGTGGCAATGGCAACTTGTCTTACATTCATTCGACGACCTAGCTTAAGCACCAAGTTGTGGAGATATATTCGCATATTGTAATCATAGTTGATGTGAGGGGTATCTTTTATTAGTCCATTTTGAATCATTTTACGTTCAAGATAAATGATTTTCCTTCTGGCTTCGAGTAAAGAATATCTTGTGAGTTGCCATTGATTTCGTTGTGATGAGTTCCAGTAATCTGCTGACATTATGCGGTTTAATATGGCTTAAAGGGGGTGTATAGATGGTTTGTGGACTGTGTACTATATCTTTGTCATTTGGTGGATTTAAAAAATGCAACCATTAATAATTGGATCACCAAACTTTTTCGTGGTTCTTAGTTAATATCGCTACCGCTTGACTCAGAAAGTAGAGAAAGTGTTCATAAAGGTCATATATACATAATTACAAGTTGAGTAATTCTAGTCTTATAACGTATCATTTAAGGAAAAAGGAGTCTAATAGGGATATTAGAAAGAAGTGAATACATTACATGTATCATCGAATTCGTAAGCAAAGGCCCAAACCACACGCATTGTTTGCCTCTCTCATTTGACCAACTTCAGCATCACCGTCTCAACATCATAAACAAATATCTTTTCATTGGGATCATTGATGTCATCAAGTACTTTTCCATTGGGGTATTTCTTGAACAAGCTCTTGACGTCGGTTTTCGTGGTGATTAGCTCAAACTCATCTTGATTCTTGGGAATGAATAGTGACTGAGCACCACTTATAGCCATGAGACCAGCTAGACTTAGTTGTATTAATTGCATGTTGAAGCAGAAATATTGCTAATGTGTCTTGTGGTAAATGGTGTGGGGTGTGTATCCTTCTGATGTGTTGTATAGTTTGGTTTGTGGAATGGTTATGAGAATTGATGAATTATATATAAGAAACAAAGTGGATTAATTTCACAGAGGCTGGGGTGGAGCGTCTATATATAAATATACATATTATGGTGATGTATCAGTTGCAAGTTGACTCTTTATTCTTCGCGTAGATTGCATCATTGCTATACGTGATAGTTTCAGAGTATTTTAAATAATTACCCAATTAGGAAATTTATGGGGAAAAAAAGAAAAAACTAAAACGGAAAAAGTTCCAATGAACTTTTCAGATTTTCAGTGTCATGAAACTGAAAAGATAATTATGCTTTGCTTTTAGCCACATGAATCAAAATTGCAGCCCAATTCATTCTCTTGTAGATGAGTCGAACTTTCAGTATGCAGCAGTCAAGTGTGTTATCTTATGTTACCAAAAACTGATGAAAAGCTTGTGAGAAGAAAACAATATAAGAAGCAACTGTAACTATTTCTTCAACTTTGCAGCAAAATTGCTCACAATCGGAAGACAAGTCGAAAATGGCTCCCCACAATTGAGTGAGTAATTGAAGTATACCGTGACTTTTACGAAGCCTCACCTTTGTGTTGCCCTTGAAGAAATATTGCTAGTGTTATATAATATACACTGACGTAGAGAATGTATTTCAGAGGCATCTTTACATATTGTGAAACTGTACTGCAACAAATGTATTAGAATCCGGAATGCATGCGTGATGATATCGTGCTACAACCAACCATTTTACAAACGAATAGTTGGCTATAAATCATTTTGTTATTTAGCTCAGTTACATCTCACACAGTAATCCCTTCAATTTACTTTTGTTGAGTGTTGCAAAATAAAGAAAAGTCGTGTCTTGCGGCGCAGTGTATTTTGTCCTGCATAGCGTACACCCGCCAAACCGACCCAACTAAAATAATTGATCACCCAATTATTTGAGAAGACCTATCATCGATTCGAATTAGAAGCAAAGCTGCTACACCACTCCGTTCCCCCCAACACCCACCGACTCATAATCACTAATGTCACCACCAGCTCAGAAAAACTTCCATACGGCAAAACCCGAGGAATCCACTGCCATTGATCGATCGATACCTGAATTTGCAGCAGCACAAACTTCCGATGAGGATGATTATTTTGCCAGCCATAAACCACCATCGTATTTACCAGAAATAGAACAAGAGCTTTCAAAATTCATCACCCACCACCAAAAAACCACGCAAAAAAAGATTGCATTGGTGACATCTGGTGGTACAACAGTACCCTTGGAAAACAATACAGTTCGATTCATTGACAACTTCAGTGCCGGTACTCGAGGAGCCACATCAGCCGAGTACTTTTTAGAAAATGGGTATGCTGTAATCTTTTTACATCGTGAGTTTTCATTATTGCCATATTCAAGACACTATAGTCATTCAACCAATTGTTTTCTTGATTTTATGATTGAACGTGATGGTAAAATTGAAATTAATCCTAAATTTAGTGATGAAATGTTGCAAGTTTATCGTAAATACCACGAAGCACAATCAACAAATTCATTATTATTGATTCCATTTACCACCGTAAACCAATATCTTTATACATTGAAAACCATATCTGAGTCATTAAAAGTGTATTCCAACAAGGCTGTTTTTTATTTAGCTGCTGCTGTATCTGATTTTTTTATTCCTCAATCAAGAATGCCTCAACATAAGATCCAAAGTTCGGCTACTCAAGATGGAGAATTGGTGATTCGATTAGCTCAGGTGCCCAAGTTTTTAAGTCGTTTGGTTCTGAATTGGACTTCAGGAGCAATGATTATTAGTTTTAAATTGGAGACTGATAGCAATATTTTATTAAAGAAAGCTAGAAGTGCATTGGAGAGATATCATCATCAATTGGTGATTGGGAACTTGCTACAAACTAGGAAAAAGGAAGTGGTATTTGTTAGTCCTAATGGTGAAGAACAATGGATTAGGTTGACTGTTGAAGAGGTACAAAGGGGTGTTGAGATTGAAAGTAAAATGATACCTGCTGTCATCAAAATCCACGATGAGTGGATCAGTAAAACAAAGTAGTTTCAGAAGATCTAATTAGCATTCTATACTTATATATATATACAAGATTAAACTCCTTATAAGAAAGACACACCGATTCCATATTGTATTCCCTTTCTTATGGAGTCCCGCTCATTAGCCAAAATTGGTAAAACAAAATTCAATTCAAATCTAGCCATTGGGTGATTGTAGAGTATACCAAACCCATAACTCAAACAATAAGAATGCGATAATTGCTTGACATTATGCAACACGGATCTTTTTTGATCTAATGGTACCAATTTACCCCAGTTGATAAAATTGTGAAACTTGAAATTGGATTCTTTATACTTGGGAATATCCGTAAACAACGAAACACCACCATTGAGGAATAAGTCACCGCCAATAAATGAATTCTGATCTCTTGGACCAAGTCCGTTCAAAGTAAATGATCTCACGTCATTGGGGCCACCTATAAAGAACTTATCTAGTATCGAGGACTTGCCAGCCAAAGGATATAAAAGTCCCATTTTGGTACTGCACAATACATGCGAATTGATCAAGGGCAAACTCCATGCATGCTGCAACTGAGTCGCAGTTTTCACAAATGGATACTTGTTGAACTTGAATAGCCCATTGTATTCAATCCCACATTGAACAAAGACTCCCTTGAATGGCAAATGCTTACTATCTCTTGTATCGTAGTTGATGTTGTATGCAATTGAAGATTTCACATTTTGACCACTTTGTTGCAAAATTTCAAAACTTTTGGAACCATAATTGTCCAACTCACGTACTGAATTCTCCAAAATCACTTCATGATTCAAATTGCAACTGTTAAACTGGGTGTAGATTTTGCTGATTAAACTCTTTGTGTGAACTTTACTCTGAATCCAATCGAGGTTCCTTGTGTTTAAACTTAGACAATTTTCCCAAATATAGTTACAGTTATTTGCAATTGGTTGATTATAGTTTAGTAAATACGAACTAGACGTTTTGGTACCAGTTACGGCATCAAACACAAGGTTCTCTCCACCACCAAATATGTTTCGTAGTTGAAATTGAATGTATCCATCACCTTCTCCATTCCCAATATTGGTGCCTGTTTTAGCGAAAAAACGTTTGATGGGTATAGTATTGAAGATGGGCACTACATGTATAGCACCAGCTCCCATGCTGAACCCACGTCGCATCCCCAACATGGGAGAGTTGGGAGTCGATGCCACTTGATGCGTATTACATAGCACATTCTCAACAACACCAACTTTAATCAAATTTTTCAGAATGTTATCCACAATGGACAAGTATCGATGTAAGGGAATTACATGACCAGTAAGTAAAGGCTGAAACTGTGACTCAACAAACGATTCACGAAACTGAGCACCATTAGTCAATTGAACATTTCGTATCTTAATCGGTTGAGTTGAATTTTCTTGAAATAGATTTTGCAAAAACTCTTTATTCTGATCTAAAAGCTGTTGTTGTTTTTGTTGTTGCAAGTTCTCCAATTCCTTTTCTGCTTTAGTTAATGCCTTGTCTGATAGTTGATCAGGGGTGGCATATTTCATATTATCCATAAACTCTTCATCTTGGCTTAGGATTGACATTATTGTCACACCGAATGGAGCAGAAGATTCGAAAACCGATTTTTTTCCTTAAATTTTTACATCATCAACAAAACTGCATCTTATCAAAAAACATAAACAATAATACAACTTTAGAACATTATGTAAACCCTATTTTCTTTTTGCTATACACCCTTCAATACCATATCCCCACATAGGCTACTCTGGCGGGGAAATTGCTACTTGAGGCACGGATCCACGTCCTGTTGACGAGGAATCTGGACTCAAGAAATCATTACCACTGCTTCCTATTGTATCAACAGAGGATAGCACTACTCCCCCATTCCGTTTCTCCTCCTCTTCTTCCTCAATCAAAAGCCGTATGCACTCTTTACCAGCCTCAGTCTGGAAATGCCGCCTCAATGCATCAGCGCGAGCAAATTTTCTTCCACATCCATAAGGCTGACCATTTTTCAACATTCCCTTACATTGAAACTTCTTTTCACCAGAATGTAAGTCCTCATGTCTTTTCCGATCATGCTGTCTAGCAAATGCCTTACCACATTGACTACAAATGAATGGTCTTTCATCAGTATGCGTACGCAAATGCGATTTCAAATTGTACGGTCTAGTGAAACGCTTCTCGCACAAGTGACATGCATAAACACTGGGGTGTTTTTGTGTACGTTTCGATGACTGATTTGGCAGAGCCAATTCCAACATCTTCTCACGGGAGGACACTTGCGAGGAATCATCATTCTCGTCATTCTCATCCTCATCACTATTGTCATCATTATCACCATTGACACTTTTGGTTGATACTGGTGATTTCGATCGCGGTCTTGGAGATAAACTGTTTGAAGTCTTGGACGCATGGCTCTTTCTCCTTCCACGTTTGATTGACTGATATTCGGGATTTAGCAAATCCCTTGAACTCTCTTCACCACTAGCTGAGTTTGGTGACGAAGGGATAATTTGCGAGTTCGGTACAAGACTGACGCTGCTCTTTTTCTCGTCTTTTGCGTCACCGTCATTGCGACTGTTGGTTCGGGACAAGTTTAGTGAAGAGTTTGCGGACGAATTACTAAACAATGATGGCGTCCTTGCAGCCATAACTTCAGGAGCTTGATGGATTGAGATCACAATGCCTGATGAGTCTTTATGCACTGTTGGACCTTGCTCGTCATCTTGTTCTTTCATTTGATTGTTGTAGGTAGACAAGTTGTTTTCTGTGAGTAATTGATTCACCTCTTCACTGGCGTCCCCTTCAATATCTTGTGCTTTTGACTCTCCTGAATGTTCCGGAGGGGTTACCTTTATATCGAGGTCAAAATCCATTTGTGGACTACGGAAAGTGAAATGATTTGGGTCTGTTTCCACTTGGGCATTGACGTTATTGAGCTGAAGATTCTCTTCAAAACCTCGGGGCTCTTTTTGAACAAGTGGTTGAGAGTCCAACCGGAACTCACGCGGATACTCCGTTCCAGCGCCAAATTCTAATCCATTGTATTCCTCTCTTTGAAGATCCGCTTCAACGGTTTGTTGCCATGCATTAGAAGAAGAAGACATTGTTGGTAGGTTTGTCGAGCTAATCGATTCCCCAAATGCAATATTAGTGTTTAAGTAATCGTTGTTGTTCCGAGTGTCAAAATGATTTTGTACCAAGTTTGTAGACGAATTTCCCCCATGTATCGATCCTGCATCGGAAAATGCAGGTCCAGGAGCCTGTGGAGGAGCCAAATTGGTGTTACTGAAATGTGATGCTGCGTCAAGATATGGGGAAGCTGGTTGAGATGAATTGTCCGAGTACAAAGATTGCGAGGAAAAATGACCCGGTGAATTAGGATTGAGAAAATTGTTATCCATTTGGTTTTGTTGCACCTGTAAGAAATCATTTTGTGGGTTACTGTTAGTTTTGTTGACTGGAGAAAGGTGACTTAATTGGGATGTTGGTGATAGGAAATCGTTGTCATTGAACTGAGGTAGGCTTTGAGTATTCAAAGAGAGTCCATTGCCTGTTTGATTTTCCGGGTATTGTTGTTGATCTAGATTGACATAGTCATATGAGACTTGAGTATTGTTTGGGTTATCGAACCCTTGATAAGCTTCTGAGTAACCTACTTTGATGTTAGGTTCCGACATACCCTGATATTGGTAGTTAGCCCCAGGGGTTTGAATAATTCTCTGTTGGTAATCTTGTGAGTCCATTCCATTCTGTTGTAGCATACCACTATCTATCTGGAAGTTGTTGATGTCAAATTCTTGAGGGGATGTGCGTAGCTGGTGGTAAACCTCATCGTCTTTTCCTGGATTGTACGACATGGTACAATTCACTTGTATACTCTTTGAACTGTTTTTCTTTTTTCGAAGGATAGATATATATATATATTAGTAGTTTCTGTCAGGGCGAATGTAAAGCTTGAGCTTTAGTAGCAATGGGATGATGCAGTAGAAGATGCTATGTTACACACGTCAACAAAACACTCTGACTATTAGTACTTGTTTTCCCACACACACACTCTCTCTCTTCAAGAAAAAAATAAGGGAATAATTTTTCCTTTTTTTTTTATTTTTTTTATGTTCTCCAATGTCGTAAGTCAATGTCTCAAAAGCCAAAATGACACAATCTGAATTTTACCACACTTTGGACCTAGGAGATAGACAACTGTCAATTAAGTAGTGAAAAAAGTAAACGACTTTTAAAATTGAGATAAGGCTACTCAATTGAGATGCAGTTGGAGGCCAACAATTGGTATTTAGGAAACCACTCGTTATTTATAGACTCTACAATATGGTGTGACGAAAACTTTTTTAAAGCCGATCAGATGACTCTCGAAAGCGAATGGCGCTATAATGTGTCTAAGATAGCTCAAAAAGATAAAAGAGTAGCCGGCCAACAACAGTTGTTATTGGTGTACAATTTACCTGTTTGTGGAAAACGTCTTTGCATACCACAGTTTCTTTGATCTCAGTCATCTTTGTTGAAACAAGGCGCAGTTACGAGGTACAAAAAATTTGAATTTGCAGTTACACAAGAACGGATCTGCATAACAAATCGGTCACAGAGATCTTTTTAGGAAAAGACTTCTAGCTTGGGTGGAAAAGCCTATCATGAGTTTTCTCAAGCTCACAAGCAACCAAAGCCAAGTTAATCTTGGAGAGTTTTCCTGTCAAACATTCTCTTATTTCTTGAGCCATGTGATGACTAGGGCTGGCAGGGGCACAACAAAGATGCACAAAAGCTGATATATGTGTGTGGCTTACACCGAGACCTAAATTTGTCTTGAGACACAGATCTCGTGACTATTGGTATTAATACCGACGATCACTCTTTAGCACTTTGCTCATAGTGCACATAGACATGGGGTCAATTCCACCTTAGTCAGGCTAATGGATTCATTTTGGTGCGGCATAAAGTGTTCTTACCACAAACACCCAAATGTTCATGCTGAAACGACACATTTTTTCACGACAAAATTTGGTTTTCTATACAAAAGAAAAATTACGATAAGACGTAATGAATCTCGAGCTTGAGTTACATACAGATAGTTATGTGAGTGGTCATGAAAATTGCCTTCCTTGGGCTTTCAAGTAGTTGGTTACATTTTCTTCATGGATTGCCTTGACTACAAGAGAAAAGTGTTGGTTGGTGCAGAAAAGAAGTTACATCGAAGGTTGACTTCTCCGAGAGATGCACAGGTGCAATACCGGCTGCTATTAAGATTTTTCGGTATTTGTGAACTAAAGGAACTTGTTTACAAAGTCAAAGACCAGCTCTTGTTTTTGTACTGTACCCTTATTTAATGTTTAACAAATTCATGTGATAATAAGTATACAAAACAATTTTTATAGTGTATTAGTTTCATTAACTGATGGTGAAAATATAGTTCGTGAAAAAGCTGTTACACCTGATTATTTAGAATCTGATAATACAAGAGAAACACGTGATTCTGATTTAGATTCAATCTTATCTAAACCAGAACAATATCATAGGTTACGATTTGGAAAAATTTCAAGCTTCGAAATGCTGAGTGTTTTAGATATTTCCACTCACCTCCCACCCCACTCCAGAACCTATCATGAACCTTTCAGACTTGCCCATTGAAGTCTTTGCTAGAGTTCTCCCTCTTGAAGATCACCTTTTAGATCTCCCCGGAAAGACCATTATTGCATGGTTGAATATATTGCCATCAATGAAACTGTATCAACTATTAGGAGGAAGCGGGTACGGTTTTGCCCTCACCAAAGGATATTGGCCACTGCCTTTTACAGCTTCGGACAGAACTTTGGACAAGTATGGTCAAGATTTTAGATCAGCGAACGTGTGCGTTCAAGAATTGAATCCCAAATTTGAAAATAGAGTTTACATCAAAGCTGGGCCCTATGCTGAACCCAAGTACCACAAGAAATACATAATTTTTGATATTGAAACAGTTGGAATTTAATTTTAGTGCACTGGAAACCACTGCTTCGAATTCATCTTTGGATAAGCGATGATCAACTGTTTATTTGTTTCTAGTGGCGATATGGCGATTGAAATGTTTCTACGAAAAGCAGAAACGCCACCCTTATTTATTATTTAAAGTTTCATTATGATCCAGGGTTGACGACACTAGCCAAGGTTTGGTTTACCGGGGTTGCGTTTTCGATTCAAGCTACTTTGAGAGTTGTTCGTCGTTAGCTTCAAATGATTGAGAACATCGAGCTTAGTATGTCTGTGGATGAATGTTTGGAAATGAGTGTTCACTATTCATTCCTGGGTAAAAATTTGTGACCCAAATAATTGAAAATATACTTGAATTTAGTCAAGAGCAGTTCAGGAGAAGCAGTGAACAGGAAATGCCCCTCTTTCCTATTAAATGGGTCACTGATATATTTGAAGTTAGCCAGGTGCAAGTATTCGCTTTACACTATTTTAGACCCAACACAACCATCGGAAATCTTGATCTACTGCTTTTCAAATTGTTCAACGTTATAAAATTCGATCTAAGCTTTGAAAAATTGGATTTTGAAAAAGTGGCAAGGTTGTTGCCAACCAACAATATTAATTATCACCTCTAAATCAAGGTTGACAAAGATTTCTTCAAAATTTATCAATTCGGGCATATCCAATCCGTCTGGAGGATTTACGTTCAGGATACATTTGGCTATATCAAGAGGGCGATTGTGTGTGACTCGATGTTAGCACTTGATCAGTTACTCGGCACTTGGTTTCGAAACGGGTGGAAAATGATTCATGAAAAAGTTATATCGGGTAAGGAGTCAATAAAGCAATTAATATCAAAAAAATAGATTGAAACTCCGTTCGAACTGATAGTCAGGCTATACAAATTTTTTAGACAACTCTGGGAGTATTCCTCACTCGTTCTTTGCGCGATATTTCCACCTCAAACATTGGTATTGTTCATCGGGTAAAAGAGTAGAGTAGTTGGTCGTATTAACAGTTGTTGTGATTAATTTATATATGTAGCACTCTACTTAAACTAAATCAACAATTTCTTAAGTATCAACATCGAATTCGTTATAACGCTGAATTTTGCACCAAAGGATCTTATCTCTGAGGGAGTAGAATCAAGCAGCTATTTCCAAAAAAATAATACACAAAACAAAATCCACTACCAAAGAAGGAAGAGGTTTATCAAACCAACTAGAAAACGAAGTAGGGCAAGCCAAAAAATTTCTTTCCTAGTTGTTGGCTTAGCCCTATAGAATTTTCCAAATGGTTTCTAACATTTCGTGATCCAGTTGGTGTACTTTCGCTTCTTTTTTGCGTCTCCCCTCGAGGCAATTTTCCATATTTTCTTGCAACATGCGCTCATTTTGAGGAGGGGTGGCAGCACTTTATATCCCATCTATATCCGACTAATGGGACCCGGATGTTGCAGATCTGGAAACACAAACTACTATCGAATTGCCATCAACAGAAACGTTGGAGCTAGTTTGTGGTTGTTGGTCAGTTTCGAGTGAGAATGAATGTTGTGCGGAGTCATGTTGTTCTGGTTTGGTCACTTCTTTTTTCGAATTACCCCTTAAGCTATTCAGCTTAAAATACCAGTAGAAAGACCAAAATAATGAAATAAAACCACGAAAAAGCTTATATTTGTTCTGTCCACAGATGGCTGAGGAGTTTCACAATGAGTTCGAAGAGACCACGTGCGTCAGGTGCACTTGTGACACAAAATACCGTTTCTACCGAATTTACTAGTATATCAGCACCGAGGATTCGTTTATGAATCCAACACAAGTGAGTTCTGAATTTGGTATTTGATGTGTTTGAAAAAGGTGTTGCAGTACATTTTGTTTCTTCGTAGAAACGAAGACTCACTTAGATAAAGCTTGAGATTTTTAGAATTTTACCCTTATTTATAAACAGTATGAATCATATGGTTCCGCCTCTTCAAGTGTTGATAACTCAGGCAACATAAAACAACACATGTTACTTTATACTACAAACACGTCACATAATACGCATCCCCTTCCTCCCCTTTCCCTTTGTCTTACCTTAATCACATCAGAATAGGCATGACTCACACGCATGGCTCTTAACAGTTCCTTATTGGGAAATGAAACGATACAAATGTCTTTTGTTAAACCTAGTCCTTTCTTTACACTTCGATTATCTTTATTGTGGTTTTGATCGTTGTATACAAGACTCGTCAACTCGTCATCAAGTTGACCCGTGAATGCGTTAACGATACAGTTACTGTGTTCATCACAATGGTGACTTGTAAGAGCTACATAAATTACTGGTTAACATAGCTTATTCATGAACGACTCCTATGCATTCCACTCTTTTATTTCCTCTCTCTTTTTATGACGACATCGAAAACGACATGCCACACATCCGGTGCAAATGTCTTTATCTTTTCAATATGCACAACGGTGCTGTTATCGTACTTGAATTCTATCTCTTCTTTCATCTGGTCAATTTCGTCAACATGCACATTTTCATGCACATGAATCACCGTGGAGGAAGAAGATTTTCGTGCTACGAGGGTATTTGCAATTGGCCAACTTGGTTTCGAAGTTGGTAAAAGTCCCAAGTTGATGTGACTTATATTTAAGCCCTGACTAGGCACATGCTCAAGTCTCAGTGGTATTGCTTCATTACTCTCTAGGAATAAACAAGCATCGTAAAGTTTGAGATCATCAATCGTAAAAGCATCATCTTCCCCGTAGATTTTGTATTTGTATCCAACTTGTTTCAAACTTCGCCTAAATCCTTCTATCGACCATGGATTCAACTCCCAACATAGTACCTTTGCACCGTTTCGTAGATAGCTCAACGAAAAATACCCAATACCACAATAAAAGTCAAACACGATTGTTCCTTTTAAATCGTTGCAATTGTCTAGAATCCGCTTCTTCTCTTTTATGTTGCCTCTTGAAAACATTGTGTACCTTGGTGCCCACGTTTGATATATACCATTCTGTACCACCAGACACCATAATGCATTTTCAAAATCGCCCACTGTTGGCACATCATTCACCTCTGGTCCAAAATCGCCAAACACCGGAACCAAGTTTGTGGGTCTGCGAAGGATGTCCGATTCTATGATTGGCCTATTCAATGCCACATGAGTGATGTTTTTATTACCAAACATTGCTTGATGATGTTGGAGTAAGTAGTTGCAGAATTCACTCGGTAGAGTGTCGTCGGTATTGGCGCTGAAAAGTAGCATTGGTGGATACACCGTCCATCTTTTTGGCACATCAAAGTAAGGTACATCATGGTCACTACAATACCTATCTCGAATAGATGCTAGTGACTGTTTTGGTTTTTCTTGGTCCTTGTAGCGATCCCATCGTAGATGTGACAATAATCCTGGAATGGTTTTCAATGTAGTGTAGATGTGAAATGTGCCATCCGCTTTTTCAATCTTGAAAGATCTATTTAGCCATTGGTTCTCCTCGAGTAGGTCCTTAAGGGGTTTTATATCCTGTGCATTGGTCACTTGCAATCTGATCATTGGCGAAGAACGAGATGGGCTTCTTTTCACGATATTGATTTACAATTGAAGGTTCACAAAACGCGACACACACTAAATGTTATTGACAATGAAATTTTTTTGTCAATCGAAATAGAAGGCTTTTTTTTTTTTTTTTTTTTTTTTTTTAATTTTTTTTCCAACGAAATTGGAAATTGACAAAACAACCACTCGTGGTCTAATACAGAACTCAACAATTGAACAAACACACACATATACGGTTTGCCAATCTGCGCTGCTGAGACACATATTGCAAATCTCATCTATTTGTTGTACAACCTTTTTTTATTTGGTACGCACATATTCCAAACTATCCATTAACCACGTTCCTTTAATCAAAGCATATGTCAGAAAACGAGAAAATTGAGGCGACTCAAACTAGCCCAGATAATGCTGTACCCGAATCCAACCAACAGGAAAATGAGGTGACTCAGGATGAGAGTAAAGAATCTACTCCAGTAACACCCGCCTCTGCTACAGAAGGAGGACGTGAGACTTCAAACAAGATATTGTACGTGGGAAACTTACCTAAATCAGCGTCGGAAGAGCAAATAAGTGAACTATTTTCAGTCTCCAAACCTATAAAGTCGATAAAGTTGTTGAATGATAAGAACAAACTTGGGTTTAACTATGCATTTATTGAGTTTGACGATAACCAAGAGGCCGATATGGCATTGAGCACGTTGAATGGGAAGTTGTTGAACAATTGTGAAATCAGGGTCAATTGGGCATATCAGTCTGCAACGATTGCCAGTAGTAGTACTCCAGAGGATCCAACATACAACCTTTTCGTTGGAGATTTGAGCTCTGAAGTTAATGATGAGGCATTGAAGAAAGCATTCAACAAGTTTGATTCGTTCAAAGAGGCGCACGTTATGTGGGATATGCAAACTTCTAGATCCCGAGGTTATGGATTTGTGACTTTTAGTAAGCAAGAGGATGCTGAATTGGCACTTCAAACAATGAATGGAGCCTGGTTAGGAGGTAGAGCAATTAGATGTAACTGGGCAGCGCATAAACAAGTTAATAACCGCAATTCGGATTACCATCTGAAGAATAACAACCGCTACAATCAACGACAATACAGACCGTACAATGGGAGAAACTACAATTCATATCATAGTAACCAATATTCAAACAATGGCCTGCAACATATTGCCGCTCCAGGGTTGATCTTGCCAGAGTTGAACTTGTCAAATGGCAGCTTGCCACTAGGATCCCAGCAACTTCTCAGCTCCCCGCCAAATGGTCTCAATGGGAACGCCCAACAAACGGGAAATATAGTAATGTCTCCCCAATCATATGACATTGTATTAAGGCAAACTCCGTCCTGGCAAACTACAGTCTATTTAGGAAATATTGCACATGCTACACAACAACAGGAAATGCTTCCATTATTGCAAAATTTTGGGTTTATTGTGGATTTCAAATTCCACCCAGAAAAAGGGTGTGCTTTTGTTAAATATGATTCACATGAAAGAGCTGCATTGGCTATTATTCAACTAGCTGGATTTAACTTAAATGGTAGACCGTTAAAATGTGGATGGGGAAAAGAGAGACCGCCTCAGTTTCAGAATAGAACCTCCAACTACGGACAAGGTCGTTGAATGTAGATGTAAAATGAAATCAGTTTTGTTGTAGTTGTTTCCTGTAGAAGTCTTTGTCTCTCTTGACGAGAAAAAAAAAAAAAAAATTAGAAAACTACGCTGTACTTGTCATCGAAAGCTTAAAACTAACCAGTTGAGAATCACCTTTGAAAACTGTTATTGCGTATAGCGGGTTAGCTCAACGCTGTTCATGTTTATATCTACCCGTTTAGTGTTAATCTTATTGCTAAATTTCATCTTTATAAACGAACTCGTCAAGTTGTCGTTATTCAAATCCAGCAAACTATTAGCTACGGCATCTACTTCGCTTTTAATATTAGTTTCATTATACTACCTATCGACATTGAATTCTGAGTCTGAAATTTGGCAAAAATACATTCCCTTTAATATCCCACAACTACTCCATAAAGCCATGAACTCGTCGTCCCGATTCGGAAGAACAGGAATTAATCGTTTTAATAGAAAAAAGAGTAAAGAGCAAAAATTTGCTATTGCCAATGGTGGTGAGGTTGGTGGGATAAGTAATGACGGAAACACTTGTTTTATGAATTCAGTGATACAATCGTTGGCGTCGTCGAGACAATTTATAAAGTTTATTGATTCGTATCTTTATTCGGAAATTGAGATTGATAACAAAGGGGAAAAGATTACTATGAAATCAAATCAACCAAAGCCAGAATTACCATTCACAACGGCGTTGAAAAAGCTTTTGGACGACGTTAATGGCAAATATGGATCTAGAGGGAAGGAGTTTAGCACAAAGCCGTTGTTGAATAGGATGCCCAATGGTCCTAGACAAAATTTCTTTAGTGGATATAATCAAGAAGATGCACAAGAGTTTTATCAGTTGATTATGAACATTTTGGAAAAGGAGTTTAAAAAAATCACTCAGAGCAGGTTGCCTACGCCGGAGCCAGAAGGAGAGAAAGAGACCAAATTTCAAGATGTTCGCAATTTGAAGGAGATTATTTCTGGGTGTAATAAACTAGGTAAATTGGGTGTCGTTTATGTCCCAGCTGCACAAGTCGATCCCAATTTGGATGACGCAGGGCACAAAGTGATGCCCTTGGAGTTGATTACCCCAGTTGATGGAATTTCTTGCGAACGTATTGGATGTTTGACTTGTGGAGAAGTTGGTGGTATACGATATGCTGTAACTAGTGGTTTGAGCTTAAACTTGCCACAAAACCAATCTTACTATTCCAGTTTCAATTTGTCACAATTGTTGAATGAATGGATAACCCCGGAGATTATTGATGATGTGAATTGTAATCGATGTGGGTTACTACAAACTCAAACTTTTCTCCTTAGTACTATAGAAGAGCTCGAAAAGAAGGAAAATAACACAAAACTTATTGATCAGATAAAGACTAGATTATCCGCCATCGAAACAGAACTAGCTAAACCTCAAGTGACTGATGAAGCTTTTGAGAAGCTCACAGTTAAAAAGCAAATTAAAAAGAGCAGAAAGTCTAAGCAAATATTTTTGGACAGACCACCGCCATTGCTTAGCGTGCACATCAATCGTTCACAATTTGATCCAAAAACGTACATGGTGGTGAAGAACCCAAATAATGTAACTTTTCCCGCAGTGTTGGATTTATCGCCGTACATTGTTGAACCAAATCAAATAAACATGGATGCAAGATTGCCCTTTAGAAAACAGGATGAAGATTTAAAGTACAATGACGTTGGTTCGTCTGTTGACGAAACTGCACCAACATCTGTCGATGAAACGGTGCCAACATCTCAAGAATCTAATGATGGCCTACTTTCCCCTAATGGCACAGCAATAACCACTGCCTCTTCTGATCCTAAACTATTGTATAATTTGAAGGCAGTTATTGTACATTTCGGTACTCACAACTATGGCCATTACATTTGCTATAGGAAGTTGAGAGGTACTTGGTGGAGGATCAGTGATGAATCAATTTACGTTGTTACTGAAGCCGAGGTATTGAGTGGACAGGGTACATTTATGTTGTTTTATGAGTATAACGACGGATTCGTTGAAATATTGCAAAATGTATCTGATGACGAGGTAGAAGAAAGGTCTAGTCCCGAAGCTAAGGATAGCAGTGATGAGGAGAAGGAAAGTGATGAAGACAAGGGGATTGATGCGCAGAAGCTGGATGATGAGGAGAAACAAGGTGATGAGCAGAAGCAGAGTGACAGCAACAAGGAAACAAAGCCTGCTGTAGGCGACAGTGATGACGAAACAGGACAGACTAAGGATGCCGAGGATTCAGCAATGTCAACGTCAGTCTCTGACGTGTCAATGAAGGACGAATCGGAGTTCAATGTCGCTGAAGCTCAGGTGCATTTGTAGAGCTACCTAGTACTTTTTTATTATTCGAATTTTAGAGTTTATCTTTTTGCGATGAGTAGGTATCTTTCCATGGCACGTAAATTAAAGGGAAAACACACTATCGCTAAGGGTCTCAAAGGATCACTAGCGAGGCTCAAGGTTCAAGAACAGCTCAATACCAAAGCTATCAAGAATGCCGAGATTGAGAAACAAAATCAGCTAAATAAGCAGAAATCAGTTAATAAACAGAAGAAGAATAACACCCCTAGAGCTAAGGGGTTTATGCCATTCAAGGTTGATGATACAGTGCTACTAATTGGGGAGGGTGACTTTTCATTTGCTAGATCACTAATAGCACAGGGGGTCGTCCTTGCTGAAAATTTAATTGCCACAAGTTTCGACTCATTTAATGAAGTTGGACAAAAATACCCCGGAAGTGAAGATACACTAACGCTATTAGAATCAGAGGGTGTACGGATAATGCATAATGTAGATGCCACTGATTTGCCCAAGACTTTGAACTTGCATCTTAATGCGAAACAGCGTCGTGGGAATGAGAAAGTAAAGCTCTTTGCCAATGGACGACAATTGCGATACATCATGTTTAATTTCCCTCACACTGGAGCAGGAATTAAAGATCAAGATCGAAATATTAAGCAACATCAGGAATTGATGGTTGCATTTTTTCAAAATTGTAACAAAGTGTTTGATTTGGTGAATGCGCAGAATTGTAAACATAATGATTTTGGCGGTTACGATGACGACGATGATGATGAGGGGAAGATCCTAATCAGTCTTTTTGAAGGAGAGCCGTACAACTCATGGGGAATCAAGGCGCTTGCCAAAAGTGAAGGATACAAGGTGGAGCAATCTGGCCGTTTTGAGTGGGCAATGTTTCCTGAGTATCACCATAAGAGAACCAACAGCACCAAAGATACAACAAAGCCAGCTGATGAAAGAGATGCCAGGCTTTACAAGTTTGAAAAATGGTCGAATCGAAAGAAGGAGAAAAAAGATGACTCCGATCCTGATTAAGCTCAAGCAGGAAACACTCGTATACAGTTATCTATAAAGAATACCTCGTGGGTTAATGGATCTTTGACCTGTCCTTGACGTAATAAAGTGCTCCGCTCTGGTAGTAACTCTCCCAGAGACAATAGCTTATCAAATTGGTAAATGTTCCCATTAGGCAAACGGAAGGGGTTATTGAAGATGCTGGTGATTAATTGCGCAAACGGAAGATTCCTACTTAGTTGAAACATTTCTGGTGAGCAAACGGGGCAGTTGTTGACTTTGTGGAGGAGTCTGTAGTAGTAATCGGGACCTCTGTATTTTCGTACCGTCAATGGAGTTACGGGAGCCGTATATGAAGTAAAATTTGCTGGTGTTATAAGAGTGGGGAGTACCGGAGTCGTCTCCAATGGTGTAGCCTCTTTGAATACTGTATTTTCAGTGTTGTGATAACATGACTTTGTTTTCAAGCCGGATAACCCAGCTGACAAATAAACAAATAATGGATAGTTTGTCGTTATCCCAAAAAGCTTTATGAAATTGTCAATAAAACAGCGTCCAAGGTTTTCCCACCGTTCATTGGAAAGTAGCTTTTCATATTCGCGATACGGTTGTGATTGAAACATCAACTTGTTTGAAAATAACATATTGGGGAATGAGTTGTCCATTGATCGATAGACCAATAATCCACCCAATCCTTTCAATCGTTCCAGATTGTGCTTGTAATTTCCCATTTCTTCAACGGAATAGTTTTCCTTGTTGCCGTAACTTGACAAATTATCCTGTGAAAACTTTATTGCTTCATTAACATCACCACTCTCAATCAAGGTTAGGTACTTGCAATAATTGATTTCAAATTCTAGGTTGGAATGAATCTTTTTGAGTGAGGACTTGTTGTCATTAAACCAGTGGATAATCAACGATAAATCATGAGCCTTTGTAATTGATAGGTAGACTTTATTGTAATCGAGATACAAATCATGGTCGATAAGTTTGCTGATCTTGGGATTAGTTTTAGCCAACGATTCAAGCAATTTATTACCAAGATTCTCTTCATGGGTGTTGGACTTGATTAGATAATCAACAATGAGCAAATTGGTCTCATTTCGATACCAGTTGATCAAATTTGGATTGTGAAAATTGAGCATGTCTTGGGCATCTGTATACTTGCTCAACTGCAGTATATTCTCCAATCGTGCAACCAAGCGTGATCTATACTCTTCATCCTTTTTTATCAAAGTCTGTAGTTTTTTCTGAAACGTTTCAAAGCTGCTAATCAGCTTCCGTATCATTTCAAGTTGAATCTTTTTTGGCAAGTTGACATTCTTCTTGATCTTGGCTATTTCGTCACCAGTTTGTTTTTTTTGCTTTTCAATAAGTTTTTGAATCAGTTTGAAATTCTTCTTAATTAGTTGGATAGGTATGTTGAATTGAGGTTGATGCGTTTGTATATGGAAATCTATGGTGGGTTCGGTCATGGAGGAAGGAGGAGTGGGTGGATACAAGGGGCGGTTTAAGATGTGTGGGGAGGAGAGTTTAACCACAAAACACTTTTGTCTTTCAATCCCATTCTACGTTGCACGTGACAACCCTTTTTTACATAAAGCTAAACTGGAATATCAATCTCTCAAATTCAAACTCAAATTAAATCAAAGTATAAAACTAGCTAAATAAAAAGTTGGGGAACAAGCCCAGAATCACAAACAAGAAACTGCATGGTCACTGTTTCTGGCGCCAAATCTAGCTTCTTTTACTAAACTGAAACCAATTCAGCTTTTTCAACACTAACCACAACACCAGCAGGTCCCTTCTCATTGGAGATTGCCTTGTAAGATGGGTTAGTTTCTTCAATCCTAATCTTGCCATCTTTCAATCCATAAAACAATTTCTCCAAATAGTCGAAACCTTCATCAACTTCTCCCACCAACGCACCATCGACTTCAAGAGGGTTGTATCTTTCTGTAGGAAAATAAGGGGCAAGAGCATCAACATACTCTTTAGCTTGGTGATGATTATAGTAGTGGAAAAGTAAGGAGTCTCCTCGTTCAGCAACCAGTTTCTTTTCCCACTCTTGTTGCTCCTCCAATGATGGCAAATTTTTGGCACCTGACCAAACGCCAGCCAAAGCAGCAGCACTAGCTTCAATAGTGTGAAAGTTCAATTGAGAAACAGTGATCCCAACGGCTCCCAAAGTGGAGTCTTGTTGATCAAACGTATTGAGAAACAAACCACCAACACGTGACAAGTTTCCAGGGTTGATAAGTTTCAACTCATTTCTCAAAAAAGGGAAATGGTAGTGATATCCAGTTGAGAATATGATCTTGTCGTATTTGCCAACTGATCCGTCTGCAAAATGAACCTCGTCTTTCTCAGCATCAAAGTGATGGATTGGTCCTTTTGGTTCAATACCTTTAGAGACCAATGCATCATTAATCCAAGGAAACACCCCGTGGGGTCCCCTTTTCGAATTTGTCACACTCTTTGCAATGGGAATGACGTATTGAAGAATGTTTGTGGTTGAAATGCTACCGCCAACAACCAATACTTGTTTATCCTTGAACTCTTCCAAGTTACGAAAGCTTTTTGCGTGTATCAAACTGGTGGGAAACTTTGCATGATACTCAACCAAACCATCAATGTGAGGGATGTAAGGGACGGTGTAGTGCCCGTTTGCAACCACAACAAAGTCAAACGATTCCGTATACCAGTGGCTCTTGTTTCCCTGTTTCTTTCTAATGGTGATGAGCCACTTGCCATTAGCTTTCTCAACCGATTCAACTGTTGATGAGGTTCTAATGTATTCATTAAGTCCTTCCTCTTCAATGAATGTCGAAAAGCGTTGGCTCAATTCCTGTTGAGTCAAAAATGGATAGATTTTCCTTTCTTTGTTAAGATATTCCTCTTCATTTGGCAAATAGCTGTATCTAGTGAACCTGGTGGGAATATTTGTGAACAAGAATGGAAACACACCTGATCTACTCCACTCCAATTCATTGATCAATTCATTATGCTCAACAGCAACAGAATTTTCTAATGTGGCGGTTTCAATACCTTGTGGTGCTTGGTTAGTTGGTCTGATCTTGGCTGGGTTATGGTACTCGGCAATTTCTTGAGGTGGAAAGTTGAAATCAGCGGTTTCACTTGGTGCCCAGATGCCTCCAGCTTTATCTTTTTGCTCAAACGCGATAATCTTAGTAAAGGCGGGCTCTTTAGGTTTGGGAACATCTTTGTAGGTCTTGGATGCATCAGTTAAAGTTGATGATCCATCTTTATTGGTATGTAAAAACTCGTAAAGGGAAGCTAATCCAGCAGGGCCAGCTCCGATAATGGCGATTGATTTACTAGTCATGGTTTGGAAAAAACAATGTCAAGTTGTTTGGAGAAGTAGTAATGAATGGTGAAATGGTCATAAATCAATCAAACATTCTCAAGCAAATTCATTTCATGACGTGATGGGGGGAGTTGGCACGATGAGCCACAATTTCAACGTCTTTGGCTTTGTTCAATCAAAAAGTTACACAATACTTAGTTGTAATGCCAAAAGAAATTTATAAAGTATGGGAATAACCTCCACGAGGAGGTGAAGGGAATCAGGATATTGCAACGAGTGACAACGTAACACCGTGGTTTGGTGTATCCTTGGTGTTAGGTCTCTCTCGCTGTCGCACGAGGCTCTCCACTCTCGTGGTTAGTAAGGGCGAGAGACTAACATGTGATCAATGAGTATGTCCCAATTGGCGAGAAATAGGTATAGGGTCTTGTAAGTTCCACTGTAATTCTCCGGTTTGAATATTTGTGTTTTCGTTGGCCCATCTTACTGGTGACAGTATCCAAATTACGACGGGTAATCCACCTTCAACTCGTGTTTACAATTATGTAGTTACCACGAAATGCATCTGGTTCATTCTCCAAACCAATGTTGCCCTGGAGAATGAACTCAATTTGAACTGTTGCTGAGTGTGGCTGTCTCTCTTTGTGTGTTTCCTATTCACCTTTGCAACACGTTTGTAATTGCCCGAAAAAGGGAATCAGTCCCTATGAACCTCAGTTTTTTTATTTTTCTTTTTCTTCTATTTTGTGTAATTGAAATTTTTATATAATTTCTAGTCTTGTGTAACAGCCACAGCGGATCAACTCTATGCGAACCGAGGAGTATGAGTAGAAAAAAAAAATAGCTTTGTACTCGTCGGCTGTGTACCATGTTAATCAATCAAAACTTTCTGTTTGTCAGAGTTGATTGCAAAGAATCTGACCTCCGTACAATAAGCGGAGCTGGAATGAGTTGAGTCAAAATTGTAAAAGTGATAATAGATAATTTCTTTGCAATGCCTTATTTGCAAGAGATTTTTGTAGCTAAATTTTGCATAATGGCAAGATACCACCTTTTCAAACCTTATTCTAAAGTATTAGTTTGTTTCGTATCATCAACTTTTTTCGATTTTCTTCAATCAAAATTCCATTTCTATAACCTTTTCTAATATACACTATAACCGTTTTAAATAATATATGAAAAAATATCTGAATATTCTAACATTCGTGTAACAAACTGTTTTTGGGGAAACTATACCCACCATCTTCAAATGAAGTGATATTTGGATTTGAGTAAAGATTCAAATGTTGTTGAATATAATCATAAGTGGGGTAATCTTCTGGATCACAACCAACATTAATTTGATCTTCTGGTTGGTATATTCTAACGTAATCAATGTGGAACGATACCGGAAAATGGATTGAGTTCCAATCGATATAAGCCCAGTTATTTGAAATACCAAGATTGAGAATCATTGACATGGGTTCTTTGGACAAGGGTCTCCAACCTATATTTCCATTTGGATGCAATGCTGTAGAATAAACTGTAAGCGTGGGATCTCTTCCCACATACCATCTCAAGTAACCATCACTATCATCGTTGAGATACTCAAACCCGAACCGTTGATACTGGTGTTCCAACCCTTCTCCACGCTCATACCAAGTGATATTTAATGTTGTAGTGGCAGAAAATGCTTGTTGGAAGGGCCCACCAGCATAAGTATTCATTGTGGTTACTGACTTGTTGTAAATTTCAATAAAATCGTAGTCTGGCATGTACCAAATATCCATTGGTGCTAATTGAAGTGATTGTGAAGCTACACCGTTATTTTGTTTGTTTGGGTCGGTAGTGGTCATGATTTCACCTTCAATGATATCAATTTCAGGTGCTCCCCTTCCAACTCCACGATTGGGGTGTGACTCGCCAGGACATGTGCATTTGTTCAATCGTTGTCCAGGAAGGTATGAGATACCATCAGGAGAAGACTGGTTTGGGGTAATTCCCGCATCACACGAGTCATAAGAGTATGGCCAGACCCCCTCAGTAGAGCCCAAGTACCCTGGACGACCAAGGTTACCCATTGTCCATAAACCAGGCCACAAACCAGAAACAGTACCATAGTTTGGTAATCTGGCCGACACTTCAATTCTTCCCTGCGTAAAACACATTTTGTTCCATGATTGAACCATTCCAGAACGATAAAACAAGTCGTGATTTTTAAAAGCATCCATTCGCAAGACTAATGTACCATTAGCAGTGGTGACAGCATCAGGATCGTACCATTCAAGATCTTTGGTGGCGTCATAATGAATATCAGGAGCAACAAAGAATTGATCATCGTCGTCGTAAAATGTTCTTCCTTCAGCATTAAACTCATCAGAAAATACCAACTTCCATTTGTCACCACTTTTCGATTCCAATGTTAATGCTTCTCCTGGGGTATCTGGATCAACCAAGTCTTGACGTATAGCACTCAACATTGGATACTCATAATGGGTCAAAATTTCATACGACTCTGGACGGTAGTGTTGTGTTGCTCCTGAGTATGTCAATACCGGCAATAAAACAAACACAACAAGGGCAATAATTGCCAATGCAATCAATCCTAATAATCCACCAAGTGATCGTTTATCTATATGCTTTAGATCGTAAAGAAATCGATTCTTTTCGTATTCTGCATCAACAACTGGGTCCGGGTTATGCAAGTAATCGTCTGGTTCTTTATCTTCAATGCTCAAAGGGAAAGATGTGGCAGGATACCCACCAAAAGGGGAAAAATCATTGGGATAAGGGCTTGAAGCTTGTGAGTCTAAATCATTTATTGAGTTTGATGATGACGATTGGGAGATGTGATAATTATTTGTAGCACCACTCTTGTCCTTTTCTTGATACATTTGTGTTGCTAGTGAAGCTGATGATACAACTCTTGATCCTGCCATTGATGGATACCTATCAAACTCGGCAGGGCTTGAAGGATTTAATCGATCATAGTCTCTGTTAAAAGCTCTAGATTCATCTGATGAAGATTCATTCATAAGTAGATTGGAACTACCACCATTAGTGTAGTAGCCTCCATGCGACAGGAAAGCATTACCATACTCTAGTCCATTGGCATTTGCTAGTCTTTGCAGTTGTGGATGCTGAAAGCCGTCGTATCCGTGATTTGGTGAGCCAGTAGAATGTGATGAAAGGTCTGCTTCATCATCAGCAAATGGGTTCCTATTTACCTCATCTTGTGATACATTGTCATAATCAGGAGTGCTTATGCTGAAATTAGGAGGACCGTTGGATGTTAGGTTTCTATCGGCTGCCATTGTAACGTAGCAGTAGTAGTAGATCCCTTTATAATAACGTCAAAATGTAAGAAAAATAACCAAGACAAAAATAAAATATTACTTTAAACTTCTTAGGTGTACTATAGATTTTCTTGATCGATAGGGTAAAGGGGTTTTCCTTGTATTTCTTGGTTTGTAGATCTCTCCTGGTGTTTTGTAAACGAGTGTGTGGGTTTCGGTTGTCTGTGTGATGTTGAAGAAGAAAGGTATGTGGTTTGCTTGGTGTGACACTGATCTTCTGTCTAATCTCCTTTCTCTTTTTCTTTTTTTTTGCTGTTGTTGTCAGATTCTACCAAAAGGGCTTAGTCTCTTACTCAAAGGTAGTGTATCTCATTACAAAATAAATCTGATTTATTTTTTTTCTTGTGTATATATGCACACAAATTTGTGTAATGTTATTAAAAAAACTAGAATTTCTTTTTTTCTTTTTCTTTTTCTGATGAGATTTTGAATGTTTTATTTTTTCGTGTCTTGGCCATTGGCACACGACCTAAACTCAAGTGTAGAGAGGAGGAGACATGATGGTAGTGGTGTGTGTGCGTGTGAATTGATCTAATCAACTGAGCTGTATGTCTAACAGATCAGACCAGCTAACGAGCTAAATTTACATATCTCAACAAATACGTTGGGAACCACTAAATGCTTCAGGTTGTAGATCATGTAAGAAATACGCGAGTAAAAGGGATACAAAATTTGCAGACTCTCTCTTTATTGTTTATTGTGTGCCTGAAATTTCAACTGATTTGTGGAAGCAAACAACAAGAAATCATGTATCTTCTGTTGTGCTCCCACGTAATAGGTCGTCTGCTAGAAACATCGTAGATTACGCTATATCGAAGGATATCATCTGAGATCCGCATCATTTGCTCAAAAGTTGTCACTTTTTCTCTCTCTCTTTACGCAAGTGGCCCCACAGCACTATTGTTCGTCTTTGCAAAACAACACTTCTTTTGTTTGTGTTTGTTTGGCATTGAACTTCCAAAAAAGGGGGGCGAAGTTTATGCTCCATTGTTTTCCTTCTCACTGCCTGGAGTAAAACACCAACCATTTCTGTCAAGGATACAATGACGTGAAGCAGGTAAAAAGACAAAGAAGGCATTGAGTTGTCCTAAGCTTAGACGCGTTTTAGAGAATGAGAGGTAAAAGCCACATCAATAAAGCTAAGTTACACAAGTGGAAGAAGCTTATTTTGATCCAGCATCATTACGATCTTAGTTGCTTTTACATTTGACTCGATTTGGATTACTTCTTTCCGTTTTCAAAGAATTATTATTACGCAATCTATTACATAAGCGGTCTCAATTGGGAAAGGCGGTGCTCGATACAAGTACACAAATACTAAAGTAATTGTAATGAGTGTCAACCATTACCACTGAACTCAATTATAGCAACCAGCTTGCAACCACAGAACAGAAGTCCACTTTTTCTACTTACACACCTTAATGTACCTTTCTAGTGATGCTGAACGCCAACCACATCTGCTCACCATTCACATACAAGGAGAAGCTTTACGAGCTGCATGATCTTGCCCCATCTTTGATCCTACTATCGCCCACAACAACCAGCTTTCACCAAACTCAGTCTACAAAGCTACTGAAAACCTAGGTTGCTGCTTCATTTCGATCCATGCGATTACAACTCTTGGTACACCCAAGATCTATTTAATAATAGAGCCTTCAAGAAAAAAAAACTTTTTGCAACCCAAGAAATTTTTATTTGGTATACCAAGAACTTTAAACTGTAAATCCCAGAAATGCACTATTCTGCAAGCAAGAACTTTGGAACAGGCAAATCTTATATATAATTTTGGGAAAAAGGCATGATTCTGGAAAATGGGGGTTTTCAAAAGGTGCTTGTACGCGTTTCTTAGAAGCAGTGCTTTCTTTCCAATAGATCACCTTTATCATGAGGCGTGACTTGACTCGACCTAGTCCTTCAATTAACTTGATCAATGATAATGAAGGGGAATTTGAATATCAGAGGTTGCATGAAGGCTCACAATCACCAGTAAATCCATTTGAACCAGAAGAACAACAGCAACAGCAACAACTGTACCATTATGATTACTCACCACCACATCTGACTGACTCAGATTCGTTTCATTTTCAACGAGGGAGGAGCGATAATGATAATAACGGGTTTGACGAGTATCAAGCGCAGGAGCAGAATCAATACAATAATAGCTCTCAAAATGTACTCACCTACAATCAATATGTACATCGGGGTTACCCTGATTCAAGTGATTCACAATCACTATACTCACAATCGCCTATGCTTCCTCGAGCTCGATCATTTCAGCCACTGCTAAATGGAAGAGGCACTACACCACCACCTCCTCGAACAAGACCAACCCTGGAACTTCTTTCAACTACACCAACCACAATCCCGGCTTATGATCGATATCCAAAGCAATATGCCACTTCAACACAATTATCGAGCTCGAGCTTACTTTATGATGATGACATGAACAATTCAATCTCGTCGCCATCGTATGATAATGATTTCTCCCCTTTTGGTGGGTACCCAGCTAGTCAGTTCCCACTAAGTATTGATGAAAAAGAACCAGATGATTATTTGCACAATCCTGATCCAGTATTGGATGCTGATTATAATCGTAATCGATTCATTTACGATTTGAAACATATGGATAGACGATCATTCAATGGGGCTCTTGCTTTAATAGTAATGGTGTTGGCGGCAATCGGTGTGTTTATCATATTGCCAGTATTGACATTTACAAACTCCAATCCAAAAGTTCGTCCTCAAGTTTTTGAAGTATTGACGCATTATGAGTATCCAATGTTGAGTGCTATACGTCAAGATCTCGTTGACCCAGACACCCCAGCAGAAGCTTTAACTAATGTGGGCCAAGATGGTCGAACTTGGAAATTGGTATTTTCAGACGAATTCAATGCCGAAGGAAGAACTTTTTACGATGGTGATGATCAATTCTTTACAGCACCTGATTTCCACTATGCTGCGACTCAAGATCTCGAATGGTATGACCCAGACGCGGCAACCACCGCCAATGGAACTTTAGAATTAACTATGGATGCATTCAAGAATCATGAATTATTTTATCGTTCGGGAATGGTTCAATCTTGGAACAAAATGTGCTACACCCAGGGTAAATTGGAGTTTTCAGCCCTGTTACCTGGTTATGGAAACATTTCTGGGCTATGGCCTGGGTTGTGGTCGATGGGGAATCTAGGACGGCCAGGTTATTTGGCGACAACAGAAGGTGTGTGGCCATATACATACGATACTTGTGATGCAGGAATCACACCAAACCAGTCTTCTCCTGATGGTATCTCATACCTTCCTGGACAACGATTGAACAAATGCACATGTCCTGGCGAGTCACACCCCAATCCCGGTGTTGGAAGGGGAGCACCTGAAATTGATGCGTTGGAAGGTGAAATCCATGGTATAATTGGTCGTGTTTCTCAATCATTACAAATTGCTCCCTATGATATCTGGTACATGCCTGACTACGATTTCATTGAGATTTATAATTCATCAGTAACATTGATGAATACGTATGCTGGTGGTCCTTTTCAACAGGCGGTGTCTGGAGTTACCATGTTGAATACAACTTGGTATCAATTTGGTCAAGATTCGGGTAGATTTCAAAAGTTTGGTTATGAGTATCTAAATGATGATGCAACTGGATACATCACTTGGTTTGTTGGTGATGATGCTACATTTACAATGAAGTCAACGTCACTACATCCTAATGGAAATGTTGGGTGGAGACAGATTCCAAAAGAACCCATTAGCATCATTATGAATTTAGGTCTATCCAACTCGTGGGCATATATCGATTGGCCAAGCTTGGTTTTTCCTAGTAAAATGAGAGTCGATTATGTACGAGTGTATCAGCCAGAAGACGAGGTGAATATGGGATGTGATCCACCAGATTTCCCCACTTATGACTACATCCAACAACATTTGAACATTTATCAAGATATGAATCTCACAACGTTTGAAGATGGTGGCTATAAATTCCCCAAGAATAAGTTGACAGGATGCTAAAAAATAAGTGTATATATATTATTAACCCTGGTATATAATTGAATGTGGTTTTCCCGGATAGATCTCATCCAATGCCTCTTTGTTGAATTCACAGTTGAAATCACCCGATGATAAATTAACAAAGTTTATCACTCCTTGATTAACAATTGCAAGAATAACTGGTGAATGGCCTTGTTTGAACAGGGAATCGCGTCGTTTCCAATATTCATTCCGCAATTGAATTGATTTATCTAGTTTTGATTGTCGTTCTGCTTGTTGTTTGGCTCGGATTTGTCGTTTTGACTCCACGCGTGGTGGTTTCTTTTTGGGTGTCGGTTTGATCACTAAATCAGACTCGCTTTGACAAAGCTGCAGTTGTAGATGTTGTAGTTGAGATAGAGTTAGGTAAGACGGATCCTTGATATCAAAAACTACTAATTGGAAATCCGGATGAGGTGGCGATTTCTTTGCAAATGATGGTGTTGGTCTCCAAACATTGTAGGTGATGTGCAATGGCTTCGTCGGGGGATCGGTTACAATTTCTTCAGTGTTTAGCGTAATTGCTTTGTAGATGTTGGTGTAATTGAAATACGTCTTTGTTTTGAAATGACTAGTATGCAATGCAGGATACGCAAGGATGCCCCATTTTCGAGGCAACAACCAAAATGAAACATTCAAGGTAGAATTGTAAACTTTTCCCTTATCAATTGTCAGCTGCAACTTTGGAGCTTGTAATATATACCCCAATCGTTTCAAGTACGAATAAACTTGATACTGCGGGATATCCACCTTAACAAGACAATACAAATATTCCAAATCCAATGCCCATAGCTTCGATCCGATATCAAATTCAATCTCACTCCCGTTATCCAACCAATCTTCAAATTCTTCACTAGACAAATATGCAATCAAACTGCCCCTTTCTACCAAGTACACAGTTTCATACTGGTTCAAATACATTATCAGCCCACGAGCGACACCCATATCTCTAAAGAAATTGCCTCGTATATGTAAAACAACACATTGGTTCAATTTGGGCACCCAAACTCCCGCTAACTTGTGTTTGACATGATGACCACGAGTATTCGACAATGCATCAAACATTGCCTGTTGGGATTCCTTTAATGATTGGTTTTGCACTGAAGTTCCATCAGGCTCAAATTCCTTTTCACCACGTTTAGGAATAGCTGATGATGATGATGATGATGTGGTACGGGTACCCAATAGTTTCCAGTCCTGTACCTCGTCTTCCATATCATGATGGCTGTTGGGTTGGGTATATGATGTTGCAGTTGGTGGTTCATCCTCGTCGATATCCATCATGAGTGGCGGAGAAGTAGGGTTCAAAGCTCTTGTTATTATTTTACGCGATGGGAAAATGCTTTTGTGTCGCAACTTAATGCGGATTTGATGAGCGAAGAGGCATGTTTCTAAGGGTTGGAAGTTTGGTGATAGAAAGGTTTGCGTGGATTGTGACTCAGGTGAACTGTAATTTAGAAACCATACGTATGTGATTGTGGAAAGCAATCCTTTCATCCAATCATATATATATATATATACAATCTGATGTAGCCAGATACACATGTCTTTACTGTGGTGACCACGAAACACCAAGTATTCTCACCCAGAACATCTATAACTATTTTGACAATTGGAAATCAATAGAGTGTCCTATATTTCTGTGGTAAAGTGATGACCAAAACTCTGCATTGGAAAGCCGCAACTTGTTGATCCAACGAAAATCGCGACTTGGAATAGATTTCGTCATCGTGTACACACACAAACATATATACATATATATATCTATAAGTTGCACCATGACCGAGGCACCTGTGACAGTTGGCACACTAGTATGTTGAATAAAATTGCCCTCTATGAAACTTTTGTAAACTATAACTAACTGTTTTCAGACCGAGTCATTATTCAATGACATGATTTCCAAACTCATCAAACAACAAATTGTCAACACCTATAGCGATTACATGATAATAGAGAGTACTACAGTTGCAGATCCCCAAGTGGACCAGCTACTAGCCAATTTTAATCAACTGAAAGACATTAATAAAGACATCTTTGGACAAGATAAAACCAAATTGAAAGCCAATGAGACGTCACGTTATTTCAGTTGCGAGAATTGTGGACGTAAAATAGCAGGAGGAAGGTTTGCCCAACATGTGAATAAATGCTTGGAGAGGAAACGAAAGACATGAGAGGAGGGCGGGAGCATATTGCTGAGAACTTAACATCAGTGCAACGAGTATATTAAGACTCGCTATACACGAACTAGTGTGTTTGAGTACAGTGTATTGAATCCAAGACCGGCTGTGGATTCGAGGGTATCTTCATCAACCTAACAAACATTCTTAACCAAAACGATGAGCAAGATCAATTTGCAGCATACGAAAAAGATATGAAGATGAAGGGGGATAGGAAATTCCAATGCCATTTCGTTCATCTTGGATACGCCAGCGTATAGGAAGTGATCTGAATGTGTTGTTGTTAAGGGGAAACAAATCTGTGGAATTGAGGAAGCGTCGGAAGTGACTGGTTGTGTGAAGGGACAAGAATTACGAGCTAATCAAGTGGATGGATTTGTTGTGAATATATATGTCTACTATAGCTATAATTAACCTTAGAATCTTCCCACTTAGTTACCAAGATTCCTTAAAGAAGCAGCAGTTGCAAGTAATACATACACTGTTGAAACACCTCAATCTACGACCAATAATTGGATTTTCAAGTGGGTTTGCAACAAAAATGGCAAGCAACCAGCCTTTATCACGTGATAAACATATTACGTATTACATTCACTTTTGATTATATAATATATTATGTAACAATTAATGTGGTGGAGAATTCGAAAAACAAGAAATGATATTGCAAGAAGGCGGGGAATATGAAATCAACAAAAAGATTATAATCATGAAAGGTTAAAACAAACGTGGAGATTATTCGGAAAGCAACGGCAATCATCGCTCAATCAAAACTATAGTGAATACGAAAGTTTAATGTAGTCGAATGATTACATATGAGAGGGGGTTGAAGAATTAAGTCATTTACTATTGCCTTACAGCATCAACCACCATTGCTTTCTTATCACTTGTCTGTGATTATTTGTCGTTGTTCCAACTACATCTCATCTACCAAAAGTCTACCGTTTGAAAAGGTTCTATTTATGATGTAATTCCTCATTGATTTTAAAAGAGTTAGGCTTCTTATTCAGCGTCGCTTATGCCTATCACATTTCGACCCCCCCCCCTTTTTATTTGAGGCGCAAAAGTTTTACCCCGAGTTCCAAAAATAAAATACCCCAGTTTCGGTTTTGTGACATCGAGCCTTTACGGAGTTGGCACCGATTTAGAGATCACTTTTGAGGGGGTAGCTTTTGTTCATTCCTAAAAGTATATAAATAACGAGCGCTGTCGATATTTTGACAGTTGCAGGGTGTGACACTGCTCTTCACTTTTACCGATGTCGTCTAGCTTATTCTCATCAACAGATTGTTCGGCTGATATTGCTTTCTCGAAATTGCCCTTTGGGGAAGAAGTCAGTAAATCAATCCCATTAGGACCAGAGTCCAACAAGTACAACAGTGCCAATTATTCCCAAACCTACAGAAATAAAGCATATTCAGAAAAGTTGATTGATTCAATTCACCCTGACTTGAACACCCATGCAAAGTTATTCAATCATGCTGCCAAAGTTTATGCCGGTCGTCCATGTTTGGGAGCCAGACCCTACGACTACGTGCACAAAAAGCTGGCTAACCATTATGAGTACATCACTTATGCTGAAACCAACACAAAGAAGAAACATATTGGTGCTGGAATCATCAAGTCACTTAATGATAACCAATATCTTAACTTGGAATTGAAATCGCATCGGAAAGTTGCCAACCATTTAAAAGATTGGAAAACTTATGGCGTTCCCAACTACCTCCGTGACAATAAAGATCACATAATAGAAAGAAGCTGCTCCTTTATATTGTCTATTTTCGCTGTCAACAGAATGGAATGGTTATTGACTGACTTGGCTTGTTCGGCATACTCAATCACAAACACAGCTTTATACGACACATTAGGACCAGATGTCTCACAATATATTTTGAACTTAACAGAAAGTCCTATTGTTGTTTGCACCGTTGACAAAGTGAAACCACTCCTCGATTTGAAAAAGAATTACCCAGGTGAGACAAAAGCGTTGATTTCAATTGTTATTATCGATCCCATAAAGTATCTTGACCCCGATTTGATGGATTTGGCCAAAGAATTGAAAGTTGAAGTCACTGATTTACAAGCCATTGAATCTTTAGGAGAAGCAAATCCTCTTGAAGAATTACCACCTACTCCAGATGCTATCTTTACCATATCTTTTACATCAGGAACCACTGGTTCCAAGCCAAAGGGGGCTATGATTCCACACAGAAGTGCCTCATCTTATATTACATTCATAGCCTGTTATGAACCACAGGCAAAATTGGGCGATATTGCTTACATTTTTCTCCCCTTGACACATTTATTGGAAAGGGAAACCAGCGCTTTTGCATTCTCTGGTGGATACGCATTGGGCTTCCCTCAAACAACTGTTGGACAAACTGGCCTCAATACATTTTCAATCATGGTTGATGACTTGCGGGTGTTGAAACCAACATACATGTCTATTGTTCCAAGATTATTGACAAGATTGGAGAGTTTAATTAAAGAGAAAGTTAGAGAGCTTAGCTCGGATGAACAACATAAAGTGAATCAAATTATCCAGTATAAGCTTCGCGAGCAAGCCAAGTTTGATGGGTCTGCAGCCTATGATGCCACTTTCGACTCGTATCCGCCTTATGAGAACTTGCGAAAGTTTATTGGGTATGATAGATTGAGATGGGTCCAGACAGCTTCAGCACCAGTCGCGGCAACTACTTTATCTTACCTCAAAGCAAGCTTGAATATGGGTGTGCGTCAAATGTATGGATTGACGGAATCTGGAGCTGCTATTACTTGTACTGGTGCATATGACGCACAAGCAGGAACTTGTGGATCTATTGCGCCAACAGCCGAGTACAGATTACGCAGTGTCAGAGATATGGGATACGATATTGCCAAATTGCAAGGAGAGGTGATGTTGCGAGGACAACAAATGTTTAAAGGATATTACTACAATCAAGAAGAAACTGACAAGTGTATCAACGAGCATGGTTGGTTTCATTCAGGAGACATTGCCACAGTTGATGAGAATGGAAGAATCACAATCATTGATCGAGTAAAGAACTTCTTCAAAATGGCTCAAGGAGAGTATATATCTCCAGAAAAGATTGAAAATCGTTATTTGTCATCAAATACAATCATCAATCAATTATACGTCCACGGAAACTCCTTGAAATCGTATTTAGTTGGAATTGCCGGTATTGATTACGAACAGGGATTGAAATTCCTCAACAGTGAATTTGGAATCAACAAGATTGGCATGAGTGAAGAGGAATTGTTGAACCATTTGAACAAGATTGAAGTCAAGACAAAGTTGTTGACAAAGTTGAATGATAATGTTCGTAATCAACTAAACGGGTTTGAGTTGCTACACAATATTCATATTGAAGTGAATCCATTAACGGTGGATCGGGATGTGGTTACACCAACATTCAAGTTGAGGAGGCCAATTGCTCAAAAGTTTTTTGCCAAGGCCATTCACAAGTTGTATGAAGTTGAACAAAGCTTGTTTTCTGAGGTAAAGATGGGAATTGCCAAATTGTAGGCGATGGGTACTTTTAGAAGTGTATGAATTTTAATACAGATTTCGATTATCCATCCGGGTTGTAGTGTTTACGTTAGCCGGTAAGAGTACAAAGATAAAACCTGTCAACGGTGTTTCGAAAATTCACCGATAGTTATATGCATCGTAGTAATTCGATGTCACTGTGAACCTCCGCCTCGGCTCTATTGCAAAGTGGAGCCATCGGAGTGCAAACAATTCCAAGTTGAAACCTTTTATCTTACAATCTCCACAGTTTAGTTGGGTCAAGACGACCTCTATCCGACTACACGGTGTTTAGTGAGTCCAACAATACCCAGAAAAAAAAAAAAAGAGAAACGAAGCTACTAAATACCTCCACTTACTTTCCCTGTACTATGTATATTCTGCACCAGCTCCTTTCGACCCACTTTTAGACCAACATGATGCACTGCAGGACGTCTAGTTGCTTTGTACATTACCGTGGAAAACCTCATTATTTTAAAAGTCCGTGTGTCGTAAAATCTTTATTTCTGCGAAACCCCACTTTTATTTTTTCTCTGTTTTTCTTTAGATAGATTATTCCCCATCACATAATACATAATAATAATAGTTTACCCCAATCAAAATCATGCAAGTACCAATTTTGTGCACTCCATAGTTTGCAGATCTGACGATATCGTGAGTCTCAATGTTTGAAAAATATTCATATATTATATTTAGTAATGAAATGTAATGAAATTTAACGGCATTTCATCGGTATAAATAGGAACTGTCCACCTTCTTTTAGCAACTTGTGAATCATAGACCTCCTCTCACCCCGTTCATAGCCAACAATGTCAAGTTTGTATTCATCGTCAGATTGTACCGCTGATGAAGCATTTTCAAGAGTACCATTTGGTGACGATGTCAACTATTCGATTTCTTTAGGGCCAGATTCAAATAGATACAACAGTGCCAACTATTCAGAAACTTTTAGAAACAAAGCTCACCCTCAGTCGTTAATTGACTCCATACACCCAGATTTGAATACTCATGCCAAATTATTCAATCATGCTGCAAAACGTTATGCCAACCGCCCCTGCTTGGGAGCAAGACCTTATGACTACGTGAAAAAGAAGCTGGCTAATCGATTTGAGTATTTTTCTTACAAAGAAGTTCACGCAAAGAAGAATAATATTGGTGCTGGGATCATTAGATCACTCAATGCCAATAAGTATCTCGATTTGGAATTGGAAGCGCATCGGAAGGTTGCTAACCATTTAAAAGATTGGCAAACTTATGGTGTCCCCAACTATCTTCTCGATAACAAGGACCACATTATTGAAAAAAGTTGTTCATTCATTGTGTCAATTTTTGCCGTTAATAGGGCAGAGTGGGTCTTGACTGATTTGGCATGTTCTGCTTTCTCCATTACTAATACAGCCTTGTATGATACTTTAGGGCCAGATGTTTCCCAATACATTTTGAATACAACTGAAAGTCCCATTGTTGTTTGCACTATTGACAAAGTAAGGGCTGTACTTGAGTTGAAACAAAATTTTGCCAAGGAAACGAAGTCACTTATTTCGATTGTTTTGATGGATCCAATTGAATTCTTGGACAAAGACTTGATCAATTTAGCTGAAGAGTTAAAGGTTGAAATCACTGATTTGCAAGCGATTGAAAGTTTGGGCAAATCCAATCCGATTCAAGAGTTGCCGCCACGTCCAGATACTCTTTTCACCATTTCGTTCACTTCGGGAACCACTGGCTCAAAACCGAAAGGTGCCATGATTCCTCACAGAATGGCCTCCTCCTACATTTCCTTTTTGGCATGTATCGAGCCACAAGCAAAACGAGGAAACATAGCCTATATTTTCTTACCATTGACCCATATATACGAAAGACAAACAAGTGCATATGCAATGTCTGGTGGTTACGCATTGGGTTTCCCTCAAACTACCGTGGGACAATCCGGTGTCAACAATTTTGTCAATATGATTGAAGACTTGAAGATCTTGCAACCTACCTACATGTCCATTGTTCCTCGATTATTGACCAGATTGGAAGGTTTGATCAAGGAGAAAGTCAAGTCATTGAGTCCAGGTGAGCAGGCTAATGTTAATCGTATCATCGAGTACAAGCTTGCCGAACAGGCAAAAAGAGACGGACCTGAGGCTTATGATTCTAAGTTTGACTCGTACGCCCCGTACTACAATTTGCGTAAATCCATTGGTTACAACAGGTTGAAGTGGGTGCAAAGTGCCTCAGCACCTCTTGCTGCGTCGACATTGGCCTATCTTAAAGCTAGTTTGAACATTGGGGCTCGCCAAATATACGGTTTGACGGAATCAGGTGGTGGTGTTACATCAACCACTGAGTACGATGCCACCCCAGGTACTTCCGGATCTATTTCACCAACCGCTGAATTAAGGTTACGTGGGGTGAGAGATATGGGATACGATGTCAGTAAATTGGAAGGTGAGGTGATGTTGCGAGGACCGCAAATGTTTAAAGGATATTACTACAATCAAGAAGAAACTGACAAGTGTATCAATGAGCATGGTTGGTTCCATACTGGAGATATTGGTCACATCGATGAAAGAGGAAGGTTGGCGATCACTGATCGTGTAAAGAACTTTTTCAAATTAGCTCAAGGTGAATACGTCTCCCCGGAAAAGATTGAAAACCGTTACTTGTCTGCCAATCCTATTATCAATCAACTTTACGTTCACGGTAACTCATTGAAGTCATACTTGGTAGGTATTGCTGGTATCGATTACGAACAGGGATTGAAATTCCTCAACAGTGAATTTGGAATCAACAAGATCGACATGAGCGAAGAGGAGATGTTGGCTCATATGAACAAAGTTGAAGTTAAAACCAAACTCTTACAAATCTTAAATGATAATGTGCGCGGTCAATTGAATGGGTTTGAATTGTTGCACAACATTCATATCGAGATTAACCCATTGACAGTGGAAAGGAATGTTGTTACACCAACATTCAAGTTGAAGAGACCCGTTGCGCAAAAGTTTTTCGCCAATGCCATTCATAAGTTGTACGAAATTGAGCAAAGTTTAATTGTGGGCGCAAAGTTGAAAATGGCGAAATTGTAAGGAAAAAACATATTTACTGTATAGTTAAAATACACCTTGTCTTGAATTTTAACTAAATCTGACATCTCTTTTATCTCGTGAGGCACGAATTTGATCCAATGTCTCTCCCAATTTTGTGTCTTGCCGCTTTTTTGAATTGACTCATTCCATTGAATGACATTCTTTGTACGGCGCTTCCTAATTTTCTCCAATTTTTTTTTTTCTTTTTTTCTTCTCGTTTTATTTGAAATTGCAACACCGATTTATCATACCAAACATCTCCCAAGAAGTTTTCCTTTCATTTCCACTAATGACTCCACCATTAACGCCGATAATATTGGATAAGCAAGCCGTTAGCGGGATAACGGGCTCAATATCCTTAGCATGCTGGATTATAGTTTTTGCTCCACAAATTTATGAAAATTTCACGAGAAAATCATCGGAGGGCTTATCATTAACATTTATCATTCTATGGTTGGCCGGAGATGTGTTTAATGTTTTAGGGGCTGTTATGCAAGGTCTACTACCAACGATGATCATATTAGCGGTGTACTACACTCTAGCTGATATTGTTCTTCTTTGGCAATGTTTAGTCTATGGAAATGGTGAAGATGGTAAAGAGAAATTTAATCCCGACTTCACTCATTTGTCGCCAGCCACACCCATAAATGAAGACGTGTTGGAATCTGCATACTCAAGTGGCAACCAGGATTTTTTTGTAAATGAAGATGCAAGTACCCGATCGAGAACTAGGACATCAAATTTACAAACTGCATTACTCAATACGTTGATGGTTTCATTGGTTATTATATCAGGCATAGTCGGATGGTACATTTCCTACGTCAAAGATTCACATCGCAAACATCCAGGTGATGGTCATCGTCCCGAAGATCTTGTATTTGATCCATTGGCACAAACTTTTGGATGGTTGTGTGCCGCGTTATACTTGGGCTCTAGAGTACCGCAAATCGTATTAAACTACGAACGTAAATCATGCGAAGGGATATCGTTTATGTTTTTCTTGTTCGCATGTTTGGGTAATTTAACCTACGTTATTTCCATTCTATCAATCGATACAAGCTGGAACTATTTATGGGTCAACTGTTCATGGTTGGCGGGTTCGTTGGGTACTTTGGCTCTAGACTTTACGATCTTTATCCAGTTTTTCATATACAATGGAAGTGAAGATGATATTTGTGATAGTGGGAGTGAGTATACTTCGTCTTCAGCTAGTGAACGGTTACTTGCGAATGATGATAATACGTATGGAACTATCAGGAACTAGAACGGTGGTGCTTATGTTTAGAAAAATGATGATGATGACACACACATTGGTGATAGAAAAAATTGAAATAGACCTCTGTATATTGATACTCTTTCATGATTAACGACTTCCACTTCACAAATGAAAGAGTATGTTGATTTTCTATCACATCGGGCTACTCTTTAGACACGCGAGTCATTTTTGAGGTACCATATTCGTAAATTGCTCTCACTACTTGCGCTTCTAGACTTTTTATCCTCGGATATAAAAGTAAAAATTAAGTGCGAACTTGTCCGGATATAAAAAATCCAGATTTGCAACTCTTTTCATTTCTTTTTTTTTTTGCTCCCTTTAAGCAGAAACATCCTAAGAAAATAATCCGAAAAAGCATATTACTATTTCAGTATCTTGTGTGGCGGAGATAAAAGCAACGCAACTGAATTTGACGTTGTATACACATTACATACTTCGCCACGCTAGAATCAAGATATGTCCGAAATCACATTGGGCAGTGAGCCGTCAACAGCTGTTCCTACATCTCCGGATGATGGATCAAACGAGACTCATAAAACACCAGGGGGTAGTCATACCGCAAAAAAGAGAAACAGGCCAAGTTTAGTGTGTTTCCCTTGCAGGAAGAAGAAAATCAAGTGTGATAAAGGAAAGCCATGTCTGATGTGCGTTAAGAATAACATTGTTGAGCATTGTGAATATGATCAAAGACTATTAGCCAAGAAGGAAGGTAAGGGGAAGAAACCTAAGAGTGAAGCAAGAGCTGCGAAAAGGCGCAAGACGCCAGCTCTGGATGTTTCGATTGAGACGACTGAGCCACCATTAGAAAGTGCATATCGTGAAAAAGAGCCAAAAAGCAACGAAGCAAGCCTGCCTGTATCATCAAACGATGTTTGTGTAATAATGAAGAAGTCCGACCTTGAAGAACTCCAATCGAAATTGAAGCAATATGAGTCAATGATAACGTTGCCAGTGAGTAGTCGGAAAAAACTAGGCATGGTTACACCAAAACACAAGAAGGACGACAACATTGTCTACAATAGATCCATTAGCTCTTATCGAGGAGTGATTTTCACCAAACATGAGGAGACTCGACCGGGTTATGTGCCTCTTACTGATGTGCTGTCTGATCAAAATGACGTTTATGATTTAGAGGAATCAGTGACCAATGAGATACGCCTTGACCAAGTTTGCAAGCGTGAACAATACTTGGCAGGTATCAATCCCTATAATGATCCCAATGACGTTATCCCACTATATTCACAAGTTTATTCAAGCAATGATGGCTCCAAGACAAGGAGTTTGTATCCGTTGTCGTGGTCCTATTCTGTTAGAAATAGTGCCTCTTTAAAAGCGCTCAAGGCGTTTGCAGCAAAGCAAAAAGATAAAAACAGGCTTAGTGGGATCAATGTTGGCATCACTTATGATCCAATAAAAAGATTGATGGAGCCAGTAGATGAGAGAATCAAAAGCACTTTGAATTATGACGAAAGTTCTGTGTCTCGGTTTGAGGCAAAGACAAAAGACTCGGAAGATGACAAGTTGATTAGAAAAAGGTCTAAAAGTACGTCTCTGACTTCAATCCCAGTAAACATGTCAACCTTGGCGTTAGAGTTAAGTGTCTTGGGTGGACCAAGAGACCATGAGATGACTTTAATTGAACAAATCCAAGCGGTGATACCAACAAAAAGAGTGATATGGTTGCACATTAATCGATTCATGTACCTACTATATCCTTTCTTCCCCTACGTGATTGAAGATGACTTTAGAAACTCAATTGCGAAAATCGTTGGTAAAGAATCGTATGAAGAAACAAAGCCAGAAGTTCAAATCCTACACAGAGTTGATTTTGCTGAAATTGGAATCCTATTTATAATGCTAAGATTATCATATTTGTCACTTTTCCACAATCGAGGTTTCCACAATGAGAGACTTCTCGCCAAGACTGACCTTACGCCTGAAGAAGCAGAAAAGAAATTTCTTTTAATGAACCAAATAGAAATTGGCGCTGCCGAAATTGCCCAAGCTTGCTTCCGTCATTTGGAAAGAATGGGAAGAGTGAGTATTGGCATGTTGCAATGTGGAGTATTCTTGAGATTATACAGAATTTACGCTCCAGAAGAAGGTGATGGTTTGGAAGGTGGATATGGTCAGATTCAAAATAGTTGTTTGGTGTCCATGTCATACATGTTGGGTTTGAACAGAGAACCTGATAAAACACCGGATTTCAAAGACGACAAGGTGAAAAACTTGTACAGAAAGATTTGGTATTTTGTTATACTGTCTGAATATAATTCAGCTATTTTGTTTGGATCACCAGTGCTGGTAAAAAAGGAAAGCTATGACACAAAGAAGCCTTTCTTCACGTGGAAGAACTCAAACCTGAGACACAAGGAGACTGACCAAACCTCCATTTTCGCTTTCATGTCTACAATGATTGGTGGACCTATACAACGCGTCATTTCATTGTACTCGAACGTTCAGGGAAATGTGAAGGTAATGGAGTTGGCAACGCACCTCAATACAATTGAAGTAGGTATGAGGAAGCTACTTGGTAAGTTGGAGGACTACTTGTACACATTAGAGGAACTGGATACACGATATCACACGAATAAAATTTCCAAAGTGTCGAGCTTATTGAAAGTTTACTCATTTTTGATGTTGAACTATTGCTTTTTGTTCAACTATTACGAAAAAGTCAATAATCCATTGAGTTATTATTACTTGAAAAAGATGTTGACCTTGGCCATGGGTGAAGTATTGGTGTCTGGCTTTGCATTGATAACAAAGAGTCAAGAGATATTTGGAGAAGGTGCTGACTTGTTTATTAACCCCATCATCATTCAAGTATTGACGAGAATAAGTGATATATGTATCATTGGTATTGTACGTTCCAACTTTTCCCTTTATAAAGCACGTGCAGATATGAAGAAGGGCGCGCAACTGACGGCGGAACACAAGAAATTTACAGCATCTTTGAATCGTTTCATCACTCTTATGGAGAAAAGCTGTCGTATATGTTTAATTGGCATATCGATTCTTAGTAAGAGGTATTTTTTCGCTTGGGAAGTTGTGAGGACCCAAAATTACTATTTAAAGTTAGTGACCAGCTCGGCTTTTTATAAAGAGATAAACATTGATGGTTTGGACTTCGCACAACCTACGGCAGAGAGGATGGTTGAGGTTGTTGATTACGTGGAGGCCAGTTTGGAGAAATTGGGGAAAATTGTGGACAAGTATTGTCAAGAAGTTGGTATTGATTCAGCATTTAAAAGAACTGATGCAGAGTACCAAAATGATCCAAAAGAGCAGTCTCCTTACGAGAGTCGAGCACCATTTCCAGCAGAAACAAACACAAGGAGTCAAGAGCACGTATCACAAAGCCTAGACACTCCTACTAGTGTTGACTCAACTGGATTATACTTCTCTGGGTTTGAGGATTTACGGTTTGATAATAGTGAGCAGATTGATTCAATTTGGCTACAAATGTTGTCGCTGAAAACAAGTAATCAAAACACGGGGATTTTGCTGTACAATACACTATTGCAAGAACAACCTAGTTTGTTGAATAATACAGGAATCGATGATTTTGGACGTGACAACGTTTCCTACAACAATATTGGTGCGCCTCAGATTCAATATTCCAATCCATGTTATGCAAGTCCACAGGTACCTCAACCGGATACAGGTATACGGACGAACTCGGTAAGTTCAAACGTACAAGGTCAAGCATACACTACTGATATGCCTGACGCCACTGGGCAGCTACAACAACCACAAGTCTCTGGATCCAATTTGTTCAACTATTCCGAAATGTTTGATGATTTGCCTTTAGATAAGCTTTTTAATAGGTAGAGTAAGAGCTTGACTTGTAATTAATGTAATGTAATAGTTATTTAGTTCAATAAGTTTCCTGTATGGAGAGTGAGATTTTAGGTTACTAATGGTCGCACGGCGCACTTTTTCTCGCTCTTACTTAAAGCGGAAATACCGGGATTAATTTTCAGCGATATTATTTTTTTTGGTTCGTTCATCTGTCTTTACTTTTTCTCGTTTCATTTTCAAGTTGATGATATAAGCTACACCCGAAATCTGTTCGTCTTTTTTTTTCTTCCCTTTCTTCCGCAGATTTCACATTCGCCCCCTCGAATATAGATAGATTGCCCTTTGGATTTCATTTGAAGGATAACCCAGCCTAGAATCAAACAGCCATGTCAGCAGTATCAGCGGAATTTGCGCAACCTCAAACGAATGAAATAAAGGAAGAGGCAAAACAAACAATGCAACATCAACATCAACGCCGGAGAAAAAGACCGAGTTTGGTTTGTACAAATTGTAAAAAGAGAAAAATTAAATGTGATCGACAATTACCATGTTCAAACTGTGTAAAGGCTAGAGGCAACATTCAATGTTGTTATGACGAAGAAGGTTTTATTGATTTAATACAAAAATCAGAGACAGAAATTCGGCCGTATGAGCAAAGTGCTAAACAACCATTGCTGTTTGTTAATAATTCGTCTCCGACTAGCACTGCTGGTTCAAGTAGTAGGAAGAGAGGCAACACAAGTCAAGAAGAGTCCGGTTCCAAGAAACTGAAAGACACAACATCAGACCAACTTTCTAATTCGTTGCTTGAGATCAAAATGTTGAAACAAAGATTAGAATCGATTGAATCAAATCTACATCACAATGGTCTGAGCAATGAAAACTCCCCAAACTATCAAACACCACCGGCTAATAAGCATCTCCAATTAGCTCAAACAGCACCATATTCAATTCCATCACCAGTATTGCCTCGGCCAACGATTCAACCTCTGTTATCTACTATTTACAATTTATCAAACACGAGATCCCCTTCGTCGATACAGCTACCTTCGATAAGGGACCACATGCCACCACATGAGTCCCCAATTAGTAGTTCAATTACGGGGCAACTGGTGTCATCCACAGCCACTTCTCCCAATTACATCCCCCCTGATTCAAGGACAAATTTGTTAGGAGTTAATCCTTACTTGAACGAAATGGAGACCATTAATTTTTTTGACAATTACTCATCAATATGTTGCAAAGATTTTATGAGAGTTAACTACGGACCTTTTGCTTGGACATCAATGATGAAGCGTGATGACGGATTGCTTACGCTTTGGGAATTTATAAGTAAACAAAAGGAAAGTTCGCAAAATTTTGTTGTGTGTCCTGTGAGCAATGAGGTAACCAAGGAAAACACACAAGTTGTCATTAGTGACAACAATGAGTCTGATATGCAATTCCGTAAGCGAATGTTGGAAACCAATGGTTATAGTGACGTTGTGCCTTACAATATGTTGAAATCGAAATTGAAATCGAAACCTAATAAGGAGACGTTGCAATTGGAATTGACTTTGTTTGACAATCAGCTTGGTTGTGAGTTGCTATTGATTGATAGAATAAGAAGGACTCTTCCAAGCAAGAAAGTAGTATGGAAGTTGATTGATCGGTTTTTTGAATGGTGTTACCCTTTTATGCCATTTTTAATTGAAGAAGAGTTTATCGAGTGGACGGAAAAAATAATCGGGCCTCGATCCTACGAAGACGTTCCATTTAAGGACTTGAAGATCGAGAAAAGACTAGACTTGGCATTGGTGGGGACGTTGTTGATTACAATGAGATTATCATACTTGTCTCTCTTTTCAAACAAAACGCTGGAGAATGAAGAGAGATTAAACACAACTGATCCTAATCCAAAAGCCCAAGACACCAAGTATCTTATGCAAAACCCTATTGGTATCGAAAGTATAGAAATTGCTCGTTATTGCTTTTACCAATTTGATATATTAAGAAGAGCAAGTTTGCCTTTGATTCAATTGGGATTGTACATGAAAATTTACTATATGTTTGCTCCAGAAGATGGCGATGATGGTGATGGGGCTGACTCAAATGGTTTATCAGCGTTGGTTGTTCAAATGGCATACTCTTTGGGACTTAATCGCGAGCCTGATAATTTTCCCGATGTGTTAACAGATAAGAGAAAGAATCATCTTGGGAGAAAGATTTGGCAAGTCATAGTCATGTCAGATTTGTATCAAGCGTATTCCTATGGTAGCCAAATGCTTATTAGTCCCGACAGCTACGACACTAAACCTCCATTTTCCACTGAAGAGAATTCAAATTTGAAGGATAAGAATTTAGACAAGTACATCACTGACTTGTATTTTTCAAAGGATACAGGAATGACAAATGTCCTTAGAGAACTACTAAAGAAAATTCTTAGCTTAACTGGAAGAACCAAACTTAGTGAGTTGACCAATTTGATTAGTGAATTAGAAGTACGGTTGGGTCAAAGTTTTGGTTCATTAAAAGAGTGCTTGCAGGCAAATACATACAACACCCATGTGTTTGCGAGAAATTTCCCTGCCAAGCATTACATTTCAATGAAGTCATTCCTTGTGTCGACTTTTTATCACATATTTCTTCATTACGAAAACAAAGATGTGCAATTGACGTATTTTTACTTGAAAAAGATTATTCAAATTGCTGCTATCGACTTGATGCCTCATTATTTTGAATTGATGGGAAACAGTGCCGTGATTTGTGATATGTTTATCAATCCCAAATTGCAACACATTATTCATAAATTGAACCAACTTAATATCGCCGTGATTATCCGCGTTAACTTGACCATCTACAGATTAAAATCTCAGCCTGACCATGAATCAAGGTGTTTGTCTGATAATGCATACTATGAATACTACAAGGAGTTGTGCAAACTTTCCTCGTGTTTAACCAGGTCAGCTGAAGTTTCAATTGCCGCTGTGTCCAAATTGAGTTCGAGGTATTTTTACGCATGGAAATTGACAAAGAGTCATTCTTATTTTTTAAAAGTAGTCACTTCGATGGATTTTTACAATGATAATCTTGTTAAAGCTAATCTGAAGGTCAGGTTCCCTGACTTTTCCACGGCCCAGATCAAAGAGTTGGTCAATTTGTGTGAAGGTACGTTGCGTAGATTGGGTAAAGTTGAATTAATGGGTAAGGAATTTTGCAAAGATGTTACGTATACGCAATATGCAAATAATAATGATGCTACATCTTCCATGTCATCGACATCAAAGGATACCGGTAATTTATCCACTCCGACTAGTGATACATCAATTGGTGAATTCACCAAGGAGTTTGGGTTGGATTATCTCAATAGTGAAGATATTGATCGAATTTGGTTGCAAATGTTGTCACAGAATCAACAACAGCAACTGAATCAGCAGTTGAACTACGGCATCTCGCAGCAACAACTGCAACTGCAACTGCAACTGCAGGAGCAACATCTGCAACAGCAACCGCAGCAGCAGGGTTCATTCCAGAATTATCTGTTGCAGCAGCTGCAACAACCACAACTGCAACTGCTGCAGCAGCGGCCCCAGCAACAACAGCCTATAGGGAACTCGGGCCAACCACAAAGGTGGTATGGAATATCGTCAGGACCAAATTGGCAAGGTGGAGCTGCCTTTAATTCATTTGATGCGCCCGTGACACCCGGTTTTGTTACGAATGGCGGCCTAGATGATATCAATCTGTTTGATTTTTTCAATGATTTACCTCTTGATCAAGTATTTTCAAGTTAGATTGTATTGTACTGTACTTAACTTAGCGAATAGAAAATATGGTTTTACACGACTCTGTACCACGCCATCTTTACAACGTGGCATCCTTTCTTCTTTACCAATTAGATTTTAGTACATTTTACTATACAATGATTTTTGTGTTGTCTCCCACTATACACCTGTAACAATAGGTTTTAAGCGGCAGCAGCAGCAGCCTTGGCCTTCTTGGCCAATTTGTCATTAGCTTTAGAACCCATGATACCACCACCCCAGTGTTTCTTGTTTTCTTCGTATTTTTGCAAGTAATTGGCATCAATAGTTGAAATCAATTTTGACAATTCACCTTCATCAGCAGAAGCAACTTCAGTCAATGCAGCAACTGATGAAGTCTTTTTGTGAACCAAAGTTCCCAATCTAGCTTTACCCTTGACGATAGCGTATGGAACACCCATCTTTTTACATAAAGCTGGTAAAAACACAACCAATTCAATTGGGTCAACATCATTGGCGATAAGAACCAATTTAGCTTTCTTGTTTTCAATAAGAGAGACAACGTGGTTCAAACCGTATTTGACAACAACTGGCTTTGGTGAAGCATCCTTAGCGGATTTACCTCCAGCAACAGCAGCAGCTTCTTTGGTCAATCTCTCCTTCTTTTCAGCTGGGGTTTCTGGTCTGTACTTGTTGAACAATTTAAAAGCTTGAGCAGCAGTGTTCTTGTCCAAAGTTTGGTTGAATTGAGCAATAGATGGTGGGACTTTCAATCTGAGAGACAAGATCTTCTTTTGTCTTTGTAATCTAACGTATTCTGGCCATTTAACAAATCTTGACAAATTTCTCTTTGGTTGGATAGATTGTCCAATACCAAAGTTCTTTGGGGTTGATTCGAGTAATGGGTTCTTAGATTCAGCAGATTTGCTTGATTTGGAAGCAAATGGGGCTGGTGCCACCTTCTTTCCTTTTGGAGCCATGGTTGTGTTGTAGATGTCTGTAAAGGGGGGGGTTGGATTAAGGTGGATAAGGGCATTTCCTGAAAATTTAATTTTTGTTCTGTTTGAAAGGTGCGAAGATTCCATTGTGAGCAAGAAGCCCAAGAAAAGGTCATGTGACTGTGTGAGACTGCTTTTTTTAGTAATGTCGCGATGCAAGCAAGTGTCGCAGAAATATAAATCAATATGCACTCCTTCTATCCAATAATATCTATAAGATTATACCCTAATTAAATGATTATAAAACGAACTGAAAGCCCCTCTACGATGCTCCTCGTTGCGGCTATTACCAAGTTTTAGCAACCCATCTGCTATTACACCAACCTTTCACTGTATACTGAGTTTTAGAAACTCCCAGGTTAGGAGCTAGACCATTCAACTCACACTTACCACCAGGCAATACTCCTGCAGGTTTGATACTAGGTTTTAAATCCCATGGCAAGTATTTGCTATGTTTTCTCGTGAGTGATGCATGAGTAATAGCTGCGCCATCGTCTACACAAATGTAATCTTCGTAATCGACACTTTGCTGTGGTGAGTTATCCTGTCTTGGTTTGAGTACTACTGAGTTCCATAACTTCTCTCTTGACAAGTTGGAAATGTGATATATATTGTGTCTTCTGTGGAATTGTTTCAAATGTGGGTTTTCCAATATAATGTTGATCAATTCCTCTTGAGAAAGAGAGTTTGGAAGTGTTTTTGAGTTTGTGCGAGCATTGTAATCGTATGCATATAATCTAAGGAATTGAGAATTGATACGGTGGTCTCTATTCTTGAAAGACGACTTGAATTGCTCTTGAGTGGTGTCGTGGTCATGCTTTGCTTCAAAAAAAGTAATCAACTCTTGTGAGGGAAGCTCCTCTGATAGTACTGGGATCTGACATATTTCCTCGCTTATCACTGGTGGTGTTCTGACATCACCGTCACCCACAGCTTTTGTTACAAGCCTATCCTTTAACGCCCTCAATGAAATGGTAAGATTGGAATATAGTGATTTCTTTGGTTGGTATTTGTCAAGCACTTTACTCAAACATTTAGCTGATGTTGTTCTGCGAAGATTGTGGGTGGAAGTTACATCAGGTTGCTCATTTGTCGTTTCAAAGGAGACAAAAGTTGAAAGTGGGGTTGATGATGGTGTTAAATATGGTGTAGTCATCTTTACATCAGTCTCCCTTATGCTAGAGCTGGAAGTAGCTGATGATGTGGTGGTGGTTAGCAAAGTTGTAGTTGTTGATGGTGTACTTATCAAGGATGAGGGTAGAAATGTAGAATTGTTTAACGAAAATAAGGAAAGTCCCGACTTGCTGCTGGCTACACTGTTACCAAGGTATGAATCGTTGCGATTTGACGAATTAAACCAGTAGCTTTGTGAAAATTGTGGTTCCTTGAATTGGTCTGATGAGGTTGAGCATGAGGAATATGAAACATCATCTATTGAATCATACTCTTCGTCTGAGCAAACATCATCGTCATCAGGAGATGTGTCATGTGGGGTATCACCCAAAGGGTGGCTCAAAGGTTGTACTGTATTGGGAACTGATGTAGGTTGTTGTTTCCTTGTTTTTACCTTTGATAGGTTGGTTTTGAATCTCTGAATCTTGATAGGTTTAGTTGTTGCAAATGTGATTGGTATGTGCTTTTGATCCTCTAACTCTTGTGTGCGCTCTTGATTAAACAATGGTTCTTGGTCCATATCGATATACATCTTTGGCGATAGCTGACGTGTTATATTTGCATATCTGAATGTTGAAAAAATACCTGTTCCGATGGGATAAAAGTGTGGTACAAACAATAATGTAAATGATTCCACTTGACAACTGGTGCAGAAGCGATGTTACCTTTAACAAATTGAGAACCCTCCTTACAGAATAGATGGTAACTGAGATATGTTGTCAGTGGGTGTATTATAAAAAAGTTTGTTGGGAATCTTTGGTTACTTTTATAACGGCATTTTGTATATTTTATTTATTTTTTATTTTTTTTTTTATATTTTATTTTATTTTTTTTTTAACTTAATCGTTTTTCTGGGAAACTAATCGTCTAATCAAATGCAAGTGAAAGTGTCAATTACGTGGCATAATAAGAGACAGAGTATGGAGACAATTCGTTAACCTATTGTCTTAACAATCTATAGAGTGCAAAGCGGTGGAGAGATGTCATCGTTTTGTGGAAGTAAAAGAGTACCCACAAAAGAGCCAAAACTGTGTAAAAGAATCCCCATTCCTTTTGTTTTTTGATGCCGTATGGAAAGTAAAATCAGATCAAGTACAAAACTCTGTATTAAGCAATCTTGGTGCTATTTGTGTATAAGAAGAAATCAATGATCTCAACAAAAGATAGATAGATACATTGAGCCACTCATTTTATCTATCCATTTGTAAATAGCAAACAAATGTGAAATGGGTTAATTTGTAAGTATTTTTGCAATTGCGCTTTTTTGTTTGTTCAATTCTTTTTCTCTTGGTCCTTTATTGTTCTTATTGTTCTTCGGTTATAAAATTTTAGATGAAATTGAGTGAGAGATAACGAACAGTGAGTTTATTCAACCAACGAGAGATAAGCCAATAGCAGAAAAGCAACGATTGCTTCAACTGGATGTAACGGAGCCCAATAAAGTTCTTGTGACGGTACATAACTACAATCAAGTATTAATAGCGCGGAATAGTCATGTGTGGCACATCTTTTTAGACTGTATGATGTGTCAGAATGAGTTTGACTTCTTTTTTTAATTTCTCATAACCATATGTTGACTCCTTTCGGGAAAAGAGCATCTTTCTCACCAAAAAACTCCTTCAAACTCAAACCATTTCTGAAGCAAAGTTCTTTTCGAACCGGAAGGGAGCTACAAAGCGTAACACGGGAATGTTGAAAAGTCTAGATTCTTTTCTTGAATTAAACTCCGATGCAGTAGAATCCACACACAAAAAAGAGATAAAATTCTTTAAAAACACAAACGTCACGGAAATCCGGGTGTTTTTGCATTCTTTAACTTTCACGGCAAATTGGACATGAACTTTTTCTAAATTTAGAGTACACACTAACAGTAACTCATAGAGAGTCACCTCAACTAACCGCTCAATCTGATTAATCTCTTTTTTTTTTTTCTTTAACATTGACCATCTATATATCTGGATTCTCATAATCCATTTCATTCAAAGCTTGTAACTCAAATGTATCATCATCATCTTCACCACCACCACCACCACCACGATAACCTCTAGATCGGTGGATACTTCCCTGATGTCCATCGCTCAATCTATTATACTTTGCATGTAAGCGTCTACTTTGCTTATCTCTAATCTTTCTCCTCTTTCTCAAAATCATATCAAAACTACCCACCACTCGTTTGAATGGATTAATTGAATAAAATTCATCGAAAATCTCATCAATTTGTTCCAATTCAATACCTTTAGTTTCCGGATAAAACAAAATGACGCATACAATACTAATAAAACAGGAACCAGCAGGGAACAAATACATGGCCCATTTAATATTATGACGCAATATAGGGGCAAATAAACCAACAATGAAATTACTCAACCAGTTGCATGCCACGGCAAGTGATACACCTTTTGATCGTACTGAAAGTGGATATGATTCACCCGACAACAAGAATGGGATGGGCCCAAACCCAAATCCAAACGATGCATTGTAAATGATAACAAGAACGGCAACGACTGATGCTGTGTATGATCGATTAAGTAGCATAAACACTGAAACCAATACCAAACAAATACCCATTGCTAACCCACTACTAATCAATATTGGACGTCTACCCCATCTATCGACAAGAAACCATGGTGGAATGGTTGATAGTAAGTATATGATACCATTGACACCGGTCATTAATAATGCACCAGCATCGTCAAAGCCAGCTTCTTGAAATACCAGTGGTGCATAATATGAAATAATGTTTATCCCGTTCAATTGAGCAAAAATCAACGAAGAGCAAGCAACAAACACTCGTTTCTTGTAATGCTTTAATAAGTGTCTCCAAGTACGTTCTGACTTTGGAGTCAATTTCCGTTCGCGTAAAATGGAGTTTTTGATCATGAAAAATTCACTCTTGGGTTTAGTCAATGATTGATGAGAGTCGTATAATAAACTCAAGACATTAAAACCTTGTTGATCCATATCATTGTCCAATAACCAACGAGGACTTTCAACAATGAAAAACCCACCAATAAACAACACAAATGCAATAACCACTTGAATAAACAACGGTAATCTCCAACTTAAATGAGCCAAGAATGAATGTGGCTTCTGCCTAGTATCACCGATATTTTGTATGAAATAACAAAAATAATCCACCCAAACACTAAGAGCATAACCAGTAATATTACCAGTAAATTCACCACAAACTAGTTTCCCTCTTTCTTCACTAGGACTAATCTCACATTGATAAGATGGGACAATTGTAGAAAGGATCCCCACACCAATCCCACTAAACACTCTGCCCAAAGTGAAAACAAACATGTTGGGGCAAAATGATTGTAGAACACCACCAATCATAAACACAAACGTACCCAACAAAATTGTCCTTTTCCTGCCAAAAGTATCAGATATCTTGGCAACCAAAATAGAGCTAACCATGGCACCAATTTCCAAAATTGAAATAACGAATCCAATCATTGCTGGTCCTGGTGTATTGAAAAACCCATTAAATGTGTCAAAAGCGAGTATACCGCTACATACACCTTGCTCATATCCAAATAAACTTACAAATAAACTGACAAACGCTGATGTGAAATAAACTAATCTGTTGCCTTTAAAGGTAAGTTTCTGTGTATAAGCCTTGTTGTTGAAATCGATTGCATAATGATTACCAAATTCATCAGTAAATGAGTCAGTCGAACTGCGCTCCAACTCGTTGTCGTCGCCTCCATTACCAGAGTGTTTAAACTGTATTGGGTCAAACCTGTCATAATCGTCATCATCATCATCATCGTCGTATCCATCTTCTTCCTCCTCCTCGGCGCGTTCCAGCAGACTACTGCCAAACTCACTATGTTTGAAATTCTTACTACTGTCAGCTTTTAGGTCGTCATTGAAGTGAGATGGCCCCAGTTCGTGTAAATGTTCTTGTGTAGATATCAACAGTTCAGTAGCATGAATAGCCGCTGGCTCTTCTATGGATAAGATATTTTGGTCAGAAAATGGATCTTGATTATCATTGCTATTGTTGCTTAGTGGATTGTATGACATTTTCCCACCAGACTCATTGAACTTTGTTTATTAACTAGAATAGGTGCGTGTAATCAGATTTGGTAAGTGGGCTACTGTTATTATGTAGGACTATGTTTTCAATGAAAGAATAGATTTAGTGTTGAATTGGTTTTTTCTTCTCCAATTTGTTCAACTTTTTAGATTCTATTTTTTGTTGTTCGTGTTTTTGTTCTATTATTGGGTGTGTGTGACGTAATTTTTGTGTAAAGATTGAATTGGGGCTTATTTGTGGGATGGAATTGCTGGTGGGATATACTGTATACGGAGTTGTTGTTATATGCTATGCTCTGTCTGAGAATATTTATTGTACAACACTCAAAGTAACGTGTTGACCACTCAAACTATAGATTGCTTAACTTGTTTATGCAAGAGTGTAGCTTGCATGATGTAAGGCCCACATGAAAACACAAGGGGAGTTATTCTCCCCCACTAAAAGATAATTTTTTTTTTTCGTCTCTTTTTTTTTTTTGCAGCAACTTCAAACCTAAATTTTGGGAAAAGACCCCCTCTCATACAAGAATATCAAAATTGAAACGAGATTTGTATCAACTGTTTTATATATATACGAACATCTACAAACCGAGACTACTATACAAGAGAGATTTCCTTCATCTAAGTACTTTTTGATTTGAAATAACTTTCAATGTAGAAAGCAGCAAACAATGCCGTCAAAGGAGTCAAATATGCAACATTAATCAACAATGGTAACGCCTTTTCTGGTGTGCTAATACAATTAATTAACTCCATGTGTTCAGCACTAACCATTTTACTAGTATCAATGATCCAAACAAAACTGTGCAATACAGCAATACTACCACCAAGTACAAATTGTGTAATTTGCATTGATGTCAACAGTTTCTTGAATGCTTGTGGGACTTTGATGTGAAGGCATGATAATGTGAAATAGAAATACATTAATGAATGAATGAAAGAGTTGAAAACAACGAAAATCCAAATTGGAGGTGATTGATATCTGACACCAGCCCACATACACATCATTGCTCCAGCATGATGATAACTTTGCAATAATGAAGATGGACGTCCTTTAAGAAGAATAACAACTGTGTCAATAACTTCATAAAATTTGGAAATGTAAAACCAGAACCCCAAAATCTCCAAATTATGCAAACCTTGTGATGATGTAATTACTCTCGAAAAAATACCGCTCTTGGGGTCACATACACTTTGGAAAAACACATCCAATTTTTGCAACGTATAGTTTTCGACTTTCAAACTTTCATAGAATGAAGGAATCAACTCCAACTTGAAAATATCCATAGTTTGAGCAATGGTTGTCGACATGCCAATAAATGTCCAAACTGAATATGCACATAAAAAGATATTGTGTAATATGACAAAAAGTTTGAAAATTGAAGTTTTGGCAATAGGATAAGGAGCAGCAGGTAACCTCTTCTTACTTGGCTGTTGTTGCTGCTTCTGCTTGTACTCACTCAACTTTTCCATATCTTGTTGTTTACGAATCTGTCTATTTCTAACAACTTTATTCATAAGATGCACCGAGGTGAAATAAATAATGGCAATGGTCAATGGAGTAGATCCTCTCATTGTGAATTCATACAATTTGGTTAAATATGGTTTGGTGAATGGACTTGGTGGGATTGGTGTTTCGAGTACTGGCACTTTACTCCAGGCTTCAGCACTAGGAAGACCAAATTTCATCAACATCTTTTAATTGGGATACGGGTTTTTTACGTGGTCTGACTCTCTTTAAAGCAATAAGTAGTTGACAAGAATGTCAATGATAAAGACGGGAAAGAAGGAGGGTTTTATACCAAGTAGGAAGTTTTTCATGCATTTTATACAAAGTTGAAAAAAAAAATTAGCGCAAAGTGTAAAGCAAAAAAACGATGTCTTTGTCTTGTGTGTCTTTTGTTTTGAATTATTTTACATTACCGTTTTGTAACCATTTATGAAAAGAGTAACAGGAACTTAGTAGTTCTAAATTGTTGGTTCTAATAGTAGTTGCAATTGTAATTCCCACCCGATTTAGGTATTGTTGCGTTTGAGTTTCTTTCTTTGTTTTGCTGGTTTATGTTGTTATTTTTCTTTGAGTTCAAACTTAATCACACAAAGGTAGATTGTTGGGTAAACTAAAAACACCAAAAGAACTTGTGAAGAGAAAAGCCCCTTGGATATGGGAGAACAAGAGCACACGGGATGAATAGAACAGGCCTAAAACTTAGTCCTGTTGGTCACTGTGAGTAGATACTACAGAGCTAAAGCCTGTCTTTTCTCTACCTGTTCTCCCTCCCCGTCAAAGATACCATGCAACTAAACCGAACAGTTCTCAACAAAAAAAAAAAAAAGGACTCAATTCTAACCTCGGCTAAAAAGTGAAAAAAAAAAAACCAAATTTGGTAGCATCGCAACAGTTTTTAGAAACGTTTTTTTATTTTTTCTTGATGAAAGAACGGATCGGCTGTTTCCAAGTTATATCCCGCACGTCGCCGGCGGAAAGTTACAGAGTAGTGAGTGTGAGAGTGCCCGTGAAGAAGGTTGCCTCGATTGTTCAGCTAAGATGGATCCGTCTCTCTGTTACTAATAGACTGACTTCATTCACTACATACATCAACCTTAATCATAATTTTGACAGTTTGTGTCATGTTTTGTCCCCTTTTCCGTACGAACCGATTGGTTGCAAAATTACTGTCTGAAGGGTTTCAGGTGGCAACATGAATGTGACAATTCATAGAGCAAACATGAATTGTGCGGATCTTTCGGTTTCTCATTTTTTGATATATTCATAAATGCCTAACTCTACTACTGTGGTAAATAATTATACATTGTATACATAATTGTTGTTGTCTAGTGTTGGCTCCAAGTTAAATTTAACCGGCAGTAATCTAATCTGCTGTTGTTGATTCATTCTATTTCTCACTGGTGATTGTGCTTGTCTCTGTTGTTTGGTTGGTGACTGAGGACCGATCACGGGCAGATACATATTGTTTCTAATTGGTGATGACATCATCAACTGTTGTCTTGATGGTGATACCATAAAGCTTTTGATCGGTGATGATGCAGTAATTGACGGTGTACTTGGTTGAAGTTTCCTCAAAGGTGATGAAGTTGGCGTCATCATATTGATATTGACATTGGTGATTGATTGTAATGGGATTTGATTTGAGAAACGATGAAGCTTGATTGGAGATGATAGCGATGACTCTAGTATCGAATTGAATTTCATTTCGGTCTTTTCATAAATGAGGAACCCGCATTCTCTTAGCCAAAAAGTCATTGATTCAATTGCTTCGCTCAACTTGAGGTCACAATAATAGGACATGACAATTTGATAATAGGGCAAATCCGAATTTAATGGTGTATCATTGACAATTACGTCAAATCCAAACATAATCTTAAACGGAATGACAACTTCATTTTGAAATGCTCTTGTGGTTTTAAACACTTGGTCAAATTTGGCTGAATTACCAGCAAATTTGAATTCATAAGTTGATGGAAGGACAGTTTGCAACTGTTTAGCACATGACTTAATTTTCGATTCTGATCCTTTGATATTAAACTCAACAACATTGCTATTCTTGAACGCATCAATAGATATAGGAAAATCAATAAATGAATTATGATCATGTTCAAATTGATTAATCAAATGTAGTTTGTTGTTATTCACCAACATCAAATATTGACTCTTCAAAATTTGAAATTTTAAATTATAATAAATTGATACATTTTGTTGTTGAACATCATTCATACAATATTTCAAAACCAAGTCATCAATCTCTTGTTTAACAAGGGGAATGCTTGCCATATTCTTTTGTGGACATTTAATCAAAACATTGGATTGACGTGATAAAGAATACACATTGGTTGAAGTGTCAAAATTGGATGAAAATTTGATAAACACGTTGTGTTTTTTCATTATTGACTGAATCATTGATCCACCATTACCAATGATTGATTTATGGAAAACTTCAGGGATGTTGAATTTCAACTCCAGTGGTAATTCCAATTCAATTAGATCAATAACTTGACTAATTATAGATGATGATGATTCAATGTCAATGTAAAAACGATATTCATTGTATACGTTGAACTTTATTGATGGAATGTTGTTGACTTGGTTGAGGATTTTAACCAATTTACCATTCTTTTTACCACTGATAAAATCTTTTTGATCATTGTTCACCTCAATACGTACATTCAAAGTTGATGCAAGCACTGATAACTGATGGACTAAAGACTTAATCTCTTTACGTTGTCCATTGATTTCAAAACTATAGCCGGTGAATTCAGCTGTACATGTCTTTGTATATTGACACAATTGCAAAATTTCGTCCTTGTTGGCATATATGCCTGATACTGAATAATATTGAGTCACAATCGATCCAATGTCCCTGATACATTCGTCAATAGCATCAGTGTGCAATCCTTGTATAATGATTGACTGATTTGCTTCTCCCAAACTTGGTAACTGTATAAACACCCCATGTTTCAACATCAAATCAATCATATCTTGTTGATTATGCAAGAGGATTAAATCAAGTTTCGATTGGCTCATGGCTATCCGTTTGGAAATTAATTGACTCCTCTTATAAAATATCTTGTCCAAGATTGATCTGGTCAAAATCAAATCCATGGGATGCTGGGCAGTGATCCATACTGTCATATCAAAGTTGCTAGTAAGTACATTTGAATTGAATATGTTGGGTAACAAATCGGGAATATAGATGTTGACATTTGTTTGCTTGGCTATTTGCTTGAAGTTGGATAAGTTGACACCACCAGCCAATGGAATCAAACTGAGCGGTAATGAATAAGAATCAATGGTATAGTTATTCAAGTGCAGGTCAATCAAAACTTTTAGCGAGGTATCAAAAAATGTTATATTGTCTTGATGGCCAACTATGTGAATGGAGTATGCTATTTCAGATACCTTTTTGCTAAATGATGATTTTTCATTATTTATAATCACCTCAACTTGATATCTTTGACACAATGCATTCATTTGCTTGATAAACTGTTCATCAATTTTCATATACTGGGATTCATCAAGTACCACTGTCTTTGAGCTAACATAATTGTAAGAGTGGAGCATCTTTGTCCTCGACTTGGTTATAAACAGTTCTTCACCATGTATGTGTACAATAATGCGATGATTGTTCAACAGCGGGGGTACCACCTCAATATAGTTTACCAAACTTTGCACCAGATTGATCTCATCACAAACTGACTTTAACTTGGACAAGTTGTCCATCACCTTGTATGAATCTCCAGTCAAGTCATTCCAGTGTGGTTTCCACAACCCCGTATTGGTCTCGTAATATGTTTGGTAATTAGGTGATTGTCTAGTTGCTTTTGGGTCAATTCTGAAGCTATATGCTAAATTCAATGTAATAGTGGTGACTGTCATTATTGAAGAATTTGAAGAGGAAATGGATTTAATGACTGTAACGGTCAACTAAACCTTTGTAAAGTTGCTTATCACGAATTCAGATAATCTGTGAAAAAGAACCATGATGCATTATATATGATCTCCTTCTCCCCAATTCGTATCACAATATAAGCCTTGATATCTAAGCACTCCCATTTAAACTTCATCATTGCAAAAATGTTTTAATTTTTTGATTTCGCTTGCCTAATTAGGCAAATTGATGATAATAAATTTGTCCTTTTTGTACAACTTTCCAATGCATTGCATATTTTCGATTTCGACTAAACAGGCAATACACATACAAATGAAGATGCAATTCACCACTGAAAGAATATGTTTCCGTGGCAAGAAGCAGAGAGCAGCTGCGTTTTGTGTGTCATAATGCAAAGGTCATTTATTTTTACGAGAGATCTATTCTATATCATTTGCCTTTTTAGGCATAATGTAAGCTTCCTCATAGTCTCTTTGAATCCCATACATACACCATTTCATCCCAACCAGTAGTGGCACACCATCCGGGCTCTCCCCATAAACTATAATCACAGCCTATGACAAACTCCCTATGCTTATTAAACACACCCATCAAACCACCTGTTTTGGTATTCAAAAATCTTGCTCGTTCATCCAGTTCATCTCTCCATACTCTAGCCGTCATATCATAGGATGTACTGAGTAATTCTTTCCCATTATGAGGAGACCATTGAACTCGCCTTACGGCAAACTCGTGACCCACAAATTGATTCAAAGCACTAGGACCTCGATGATGATGCAGTGGCATTGGCGAATGAGCTGATGGTTGGTCTAAATTGGAAACCATTCTTAGATCCCATACCCTAACTGACTTGTCAGTTCCTCCTGATGCAATAACCGTTGACTTGTATTTATTCCAATCAACTGAAAGCGTTTCTAGCCCGTCATGTGATACAAAATGCAATTGTAGTGGATGTGGGGTTCGAATGTCCCAAATTTGCACTTGTGATGCGCCAGTACATGAAACAAGCATTGAGGGCGAGTGTGGAGAAAACTGGGCTGAATAAATACAGTTCTTTGTACTATTATGTTGGTTTCGTTGATGGTGTTGTTGATGCAGAAGTGGTGGTTGCGCAGTTGATGCAATTGGTGCAGCAACAGTCGTATAGTCAGTGCCAGTTGGGTTCAAAGTAAGTAACGACTCCTGTCTCTGACTCGCCCAGATCTTTATACTTCCGTCCCAGCTAGATGTAACAAAATTTGATTTATCTACTAAATTCCAATTCACTGAAAACACCTCTCGTTGATGTTCCTTCCATTGCATTATAGGAAATTGAGAAACCGTTCGATCAAACAATTTAATCAGACCATCTCCACTAGCCACCACGCATTGGTTTTCGTGCATTTCGCTCCAAGCTAAATCAAATAATCCATCTTGCGTTTCCCATGATATTGGACTCGTAATTTGGCCATTGGGTCCGATGTCTAAGATGAATAGTCGTCCATTCCCCACGAGACCATAGTTAGCAGCTGTAGCTACGGCGAGTTTATTATCGAAAAATGGTGAGTACTGGACACCATAACCGTTGTATCCCTTTGTACGGAACGATAGCATCAAAAAGTGGGTGACACTTGCTTGTGGTAATTGCGTTTTGCTAACAAAGTTTGTCTAAATTTTCAAATCGAGGTGCTACCTATCCGTCAAATCTAAAGAAAATTTATATGCAGTACTAGTATACAAAACGCTATTTACAAGTCATAAGTTTTGAAACTCAAGTACTTGATATCTGCGTGATACTTGGAGTCCACTTGATCTTTATCGAGTAAGTTGAACTGCATGGCATCGCCCACAACAATTGCTAGCTTTTGGTTGCTATACTTTAAATAATCAAAATCATCATCACTTGAAGTAATTGCATCACCAGTGGTAATCTCTAAATCTTGAAGTCCAAACTTCTCCATTTCAACGGTGATATTATATGTGCTTCCAACACCCTGTTCACTTTCGTTTCTATTCAACTTTGGTTTAGGTTCAATGGGTCCATTTTGAATCAACCCCCAAAGAGCCCAAAAAATTTGCACCGATGAGCGCCAGTAGACACATTCATTGTACATTTTTTCAATTTCATACTGGATAATACTGACTGCTTGTTTATCCGAATTGTTCAACAACTCTTGATCTGATTTCGCTGATTTCAAATTGGACGATGGTAATTGAAAATCATACTCAATATAAGCTTTAATGAAATTTAACTGCTCCAATTGAGTGGGGAACATTTTGTTGTTGACAAAATATGACCTCTCTGCATCATGGTAGTTAGACATCCACTCACTGAAATGGTTGACAATGTCATATGCCGGGAAATTAGGTCCTGAGTATTCGAAATCTATAACCACCAAATTGGAATCCTTTTTGTTTGAGGTAGATTTAATGGCAATTTCAGGTAAATTTGCACTCGAGCCAAGTGGCGTATCAATGATAATCTCCTCTGGTTCAAACGAGTTATGGAGAAGCAAATTTCCATACTGGGTGTCGTTGTGGCAGAATTTATAATTCAACGAAAACCCTTCCTTTTTATACTTGTCAAAAAGCCAATGTTTATATCTAAATACCAACTTCTTAAATTCATCAAAGTCCATCATAAAGATATCCTTGAGGTCAATGCCGGCTTTTTCATACCCCGGTTTGTACTCATTTTCGAAAATCTTTAGCCATTTTTCAATCAATCTCCAGCATGTGGGAACTGGCGTTTGTGACTCCTCTTCCGTCAAGTCAACCTTGTAATGCAAATCCTTCATTCTCCTTCCAATCATTTGTGATATAACTTGATCTCTAATCTGATCTTTTGTTAATGTGACAAATCCTTCCAAGAATTGCTCAAATCGTCCATTTGTGAAAATACCCAATAATCTAGGACCAATACGTTTCTGTGATAGCTTGATTAATGTCATTAATTCACTATCTCTGTCGATCAACTCATCAACATTCTTACCATATACCCTCAACAACAAAGAAGGTAAGTGGATATCTTGTTCTTCATCCACATAGTCAATCTTGTAGATTGAATTGGTTAGTGCTCCCGAGATTCTCGTTATTTTTAGCTTATGCATATTCAAGCTCTTCTTGTGCCATTTGTGAATTTTCAAAGCCTTAGTCAATGCTATTATATCTTGTTTGAAGAAATCTGCTGGTAATGAATTATCCAAGACTGCTTGTACTGATGGTACTGAACGTTCATCATCAATTTGGGTTGATGTAATGGTCAATTTGTTCAAAGAAGAGCTAGACAAGGACTTTCTCGTCCCAGACAAGCTTGGCCTTCTTGTCGCCGAAGTTGACCTTGAATTGGCTGTCGAATTTCTGGTCCTTGACCTTGATCTTGGTCGCGGCGTTAAACTTGCTGGTGATATTTCCATTTGTGGATAAAAGGAAGTGTGCTTTTGCGAGGTTTGAGTTGCAGTTAAAACAATTTGTCAATTTGATCCACTATGACGAGTAAAAAGAAGCCAGGATAGTGTTGGGCTGTACTACAGGCTGGTGTTGCTCAGCTATAGTTGAAAAGGAAAAACTCCAATAGTAATAAGTTTTTGGTATAATTTTTCCAGTGCGGACAGTTTGTACTCCCCAATTAGGTATTAGGTCACATTCTCAACAGTATTATACATGAGCAATTACAATAAAAACGATCTACACAAAATTACAAAACTTCTTGTATGACGACTGGGGTGCATATATAGCTGCCAATTCATGGAATACTAGAAGGTAGATTTGATTAGAACTTCAAGTAGATATTTTATAACGTCGACGCTAGTAGTGCCAATTAAATATCCAACCTTGAGTGATGTAGACCACAGAGCGGGCTCTTGAAAATTCTCTTGTGTAAGGAAGCTAGAAAGTTGCCCCCTGCAGTTGCTTTACAAATGCGTACTCGATCAGATGTAAGCTGCTATTAAATGACAGCTCTCCCCTAAAAGGATACTTACTGAACCAAAACTGATCCAATAGCAGCACAACCCTTCCTCCCTTCATCTCAATCAATACAACGTTGAAGTCCACTTTTAAATGGTAGCGCAATCACGCCGTTGGAAAAAAAAAAATTATGTATGTTTCTGTTACCGTAAAATCAATCGTTTATCACTAGCCACCATGTCGTTCTCCAGCCTTCTAACTGCAGTAGCTTGCGTTTTACTAGTGGTGTTTTACAAACTATATGAATCGGAATCAAGGAAATTACAATCAGTGCAATTGGAATATGACAATTATGTGAAATCATCAAAATTATCCCAAGATGAGCAAAACCTGTTGCTCAAGGAAGAGGTGGAACTTTCAAAAAAAGATGCATTTGGAAAACAAGAAGAGAATAGAAAACTCATTGAACAGCTTGAGTCCCAACTCAAACAGTATAAATCAAAGAAGGAAAGATTGACAGCATTGGAGGACAAATTGACCTCAGAAACATTAAGTTTGACGAAGAAGATGGCATCCAAGGAAAAAGAAATCGCGGAGTTGAAGCATGAGTTGAATGTATCTCGACAGCATGGTGAAAAGTTGGCCCGGGATTACAAATTTCAACTAAATACCCAAATTGAAAAAGTGTCCATTGAAAATGGTTTGAAAATTGCGGAGTTGGAGGAATTGGTTGCTGCCGCAAAACGAGAAACACTTTCACAGAGGGAGCTACTTAGAACAATTGAGAGCGGCAAAGAAGAAGTAATAGTTGAACTTCGCCAGTCTTATAATCAATCACAAAAGAAATTAAAAGAGTTGGAGCATAGCAACGATGATCAAATTGCGAAAAACAACCAGCTAATTAAGAAGTACGATCAACTGCAAAAGAGTTTGGAAGAATTGAGACCCGCCTACAAGACCATGCACGAAGACTACGTCAAAGTGTCTAGAGACCTTGATGATACAAGACAGCGATTAATTGATCTCAAAGAAAGAGCAGAATTGCTCGTACATTCTGAAGAAAATTTGGGCAAAGAACTTGAGAAATCAAAAGATGCAAACAAGGAACTATCAACGGAGCTTGACCATAAAAGCAAAGAGTTGCAAGTTTATCAAGCATTTTTTAAAAAATGTGACATTTTTATTGAGGATTTGAAACGCTTTGACGATGGCTTTGACAAACTTGCCAAGCAACTAGAACAAGCAGGGACAACGTACGAGGCTGCCTCATCGGGTGAAGATTATCACTCAGATGAAGGTTATTTATCTGACACAAAGCTGGGAGAGGTTGATCAACATGAATTCGCCATTTTGACCAAAAAAGCATCAAAGAATACATTCACTTTGATTCAAAGATATATTGAAGAGTTGAGATCAAAAGTAGCCAGAGAAAAATCTGTATCAAGTAAAAACGTGACAGAGAACGCTGATTTGAGAAATAAGATTGTAAGTTTGAAAGAAAAGTTGAGCAAGGCTGAGTCTAGAAATGTTGTGGTGTTGAGTGCTATCCTTGAATTAAGAAAGCTTATTGAGGATGAACTTTCACACAGTCCAGTAGATGAAAACAAATTGAAAGAAGTCTTGCATGCCGCATATCAAAAAATCGAAGAGAGTTTGAAGACAAACAGTCCTTCGAAGATTGCGCAGCAGAGTGAGAATGAACATAAAACTAAGGACAAGGACGTGGCCAAACAAGTGGTTGGGCATTCCAGCGATACTGTCCTGAAACCACAAAATTCGGAAGGAAATGCCGATGCCAAAGACGATGAAAAAGACGATGAAAAAGACGGAAGAGACAACGAAAATGTATCAGCATCGGCTGGCACTGAAACGAAAAACCATGAAGACGGTAAAAAGGGGTCTTTGGTAGCTGATAGCGATCCAGTTCAAAACACTAAAGACAACGACAAATTTGGAAAATCACACGGTGAATCTACTAGGGAGACTGTACAAGAAAAAGAAACGTTGTCTAACACGCAGCATACTGATGCGCCAACTGCAAAGAGCGCAGCTCCAACCAGCAACGTGAAGCAACCCCTTGCATCAATGTGGACATCTAAAGATGCATCTAATGCAAACAGTGATGTTGATTCCGACTTTGCACCGCCAACCCCAATCTTTAAGACTTTCAAAAACATTTCATCCACGTCTTCATTTGCTCCTACTTTGAATGTTAAGGAGAATGTTGACTCTGATACCAAGCGTGGAACATCTGATCAGATAAAAAAGAGTAATGAGACAAAGACGAAAGAGCTAGATGGGGCAGACAAGAGGGAAACTAATGAAGCTGACCATTACCGTCTGGCTGAAGATGGCTCTGAAAACTCCCATAAAAACAAGAGTGCTGTTGAAGAAAAGGAGCCAAATCCTCATTCAGAAGCTAGTGTGTCAAATCAAGGTGCTGAAACTGAAGATAGTAAATCAACGTTGGAGAAAATTGATAAGAAACTTCATGACGATGTGATTGCTGAAGAAAAGACTACGCAAGATGAAAAATCATTAGCAGAGGAAGAGGCGCAGGACGATAAAGAAATTTTGAATCGATACGATCTTCGTGTTGCTGAGAATGAAGGAGATGAAGAGAAGAAGCCTGATCCATCAGTTGATCCTCTCTCAGAAGAGCCCGAAAGGCATGTAGATGAAAGTCATATGGAGACAAAAGAGTCTCATAATGTCGCTCAACCATCGAGTCAAAGTCAATTAAAGTTTGATGCATTCAAAAGGGACATCGAAAATGCCAAGAATGGTGGTGCTAGTGCTAGTGGAGACACTATAAACACGGAAAACACTAAGGGTGCTAAGGATAATAAGCGCTCAACTGAATCTGATTATAGGAGTGTTTCTGAGGGAAAGTTCAAGGCATTTGCAAGTGATATACAAGATGCTAAAAATTCGAAAGATTCGAATTTGATAGCAAAATCGCAGGAAGGACCGGATAGAGAAGAAGAGCCTGTAAATGGGCGGGATAATTTAAGATTAAAATCACATTCAAAGGATAATGATCACGATGAAGAAGAGAAAGGTGATGTGAAAAATGAACACTCGGGAAGCAAGGGGGTAGAAAAGCAAAATGAACCGGAAGAACAAGTTGCCATGAGTAAAGCTAAGAAAGATGAAGAGTGCAAGCAATCATATGAAAAGGATAAATCTGAGGAGGCTCTGAGAAAGAATGAAGAGGTCAAAGGCGTTGAACCGCGCATTGACGACGCTACGGAAGCCGGGGAAAAAGCGGTTGAAGTTAGGGAATCTAGCATTGAACATGATGATGTCAACAAAAATGATCCCACTGAATATGATAAAATGTCGCATAAGCATGGGAAATCGGGGCTTGAACCTGTCAGTGATCTAAAGCTGACAAAAACCTCGAAGTCAGACACTAAGGAAGATTCATTGGCAGCAAACAGCTTGAATCATACTGAGAATGGACCTAGTGTTAGTGACGATGGAGACAAGATTGATGAATTGGAGGCATCCTCGAAGGCTTCAAACAATAACGAAAGTGTTGTGGACACCAAATCAAATGAAACGACAGTTACATCTGCGTCGAAATCTGTTGAAGATGCAGGGTCATCAACATTAAAATCAGACAAAGTTTCACAAAATGGTGCTGGCGCACAAGCAACAACTGTTGATGTTGATACTGAATCCATTGGCACTGAAACTGCAGAGAAGATTGTACAATCGCGAAAGCATGCGGAACAAGTGGCGGAAGAAGGCAAAGATGATACTGAGCAAGAACTGAAACCAGAAAATCAAGGTGAGGAGAAGGGTGGTGATAAAGAAGCCAACTCTACAAATGTTGACAAAGCAGAACTGGCGCAGCATGTTGCTGAGTTGGATAATAAGGGAAGCAATAGACGGGACACTAATGAGACAATGCCACCTTCACGAGAAGATGACTATGAAGAAGAGGGAAAGGACGATGAAGCGACAGCTCAAAGTAGAAGTTCAATCGAGAGTGAAGGTACGACTGACGTTAATGATACTTTAAGTTTGGGGAAAGAAGCAAGTAACGATTACAAGAGTAATGCTGGAGATGATAATATCCACGACAGATCAACACCAACTCCCAATGTCAATGAAGGTCCAACAAAAACAATATCCAATCTCAAATCAAATTCGAATTCACCAACAAAAAAACTGGAACTGAGAAAAACTAAGAAGAAAAAATCCAAAACTGGTTTCTAGACATTGGCGTGAATTTATATGTATATATTGATTGGGGACAATGTAGTTAAACCCTGTATTTGGTTCACTTATTGACTGGTTACTTGCTCATTTTGTAGAAACTGATTTGCAAACTCTTTTTTGTGGGGGTGTGGGGGAGAGAGAGAGAGAGAGAGAGATGCACAATGTTTACTTGAATCGTCAGTGTTTTATTTTTGCGTTTTTTGATCAAAAATCTACAACGCGCAAAACAAATTGCGCACGGTTCGCTTACCAAGTCTCTTTTATTATTTATTTTTAGGTTTAATTTCATTTCTCCGATACTTCCGACAAAAACTAAAAAAGCAAGAGAAAAACGAAAAAAAAAAATTAATAAGAGTACAAACAAGGTGAGAATTAGAAATTTCTTGAACGTGTAGTAGGCCTGTCGAATGGTTAGATTGCCAAATTGGGTGAAGTGATTACCAAAAATAGATAACTGAATGATTTGGAATGGCTTAAAAATGAGCGGGGCTTCCATGTGCGTGCTTTGGCATCGAGATCGAGAGATGACGTAATACCTAGCGGTAAGGAAACTATACGACATGTGGTGGTGGTTGTGATGGTGGTGGAACAACATAGCTACGTGAACGTGAGTGAGATTCAGTACTCGTCAATCAAGGATTCTGTGCTAAGTCTAATTCTGTGAATGTGGAGAATGCTTTTCACACATTCGTCATCAATATGTTTAGTTTATTTGTGCCAGGGCTCATAACGCATAAACAATGCACGAATTTACAAAAAATAAAAAAAATCTCGAGATAATGGTTTTAATTTTTTTTTTCTTGTGTTTGCTCTTCGATTCAAAATTGTGTTTTCTTCATTTGTAACAAACGAAGGAGCTAGATACAGCAGTGTTCATGGGCCCTAGTCCAAGCAATGTATTTTGTTGTTAATTTCCTGTTATTTGACGAAAATGATGCACGGGCTAGAGCAAGATGACGTATCTCTCTACATTTGTTATGTTTTGTAATATATGAAAACAGTACAAAAATAGAAAATATAATACAAAAGGGGGCTTTTTCACTAAATTCGAGTTATAATAAAGGTGAAGATATTGTTTAATCATCAGCATCCTTTTATACTCTTGTTCTCGATGAAAACTTTAAACAAGTGGTGCATGAGTCAAAAGTCAGAGAAAATTGCGGAAGTAGAGAGTCTTCAATGATGATGAAGTCGATGATTTTCGATGCTGTTCGATGCTGATCGATGCTGATCGATGTTGTCGATGAGGGGATACGATACCATTCATCATTGTAAAAACGCTTGAGTTCTTTGTCCAATCATTGAAAAAAAAAAACGATTTCCGTAGAGGTAGGCTTATAGTTGCCATTTCTGAAAATTAAATAAAAAAAAAAAAAGGGATAAACAAAGAACAAGGCTTCTGTATCATAAACAAAGTGTGTTTCGATACAACTAATGAATGAGGCTCGGGTGAGTAGCTACTGTATCCAAATGTGTATAGTTTCAATGCACTCTTCTTCTTTGTATCTACACCGTCTACGACCAAATGTTGCGTGTAAGGTCTTCTTCCGTTTTATATCATTGTTAATTATAAAACAAACCACGCTTTTTGTGATTGCTGATTTGAAATTTCAACTGTATTGGTGGTAAGTATTGTTGTGTCTTCTTGTGTAACTTTGAACAGAATAAATTTCATCTGTTCTTATATTCGAGGCAAAAAAAATGAAACTCAAAACACAGAACAGGACATAATACATTCACATTTGGTGGAACAAATTTAAAATCTCACAGGTCAAATTGCAATAGCTGATTCTGAATAAGCTCGTGCGCACAGCAGATGTGTATCTTCAACTGATGAAATTGAGTATGATCTTAAAAATGTGAGATAGTAAGAGGCAATTCTAAAGAGGCTTTTTCTTACCTCTTCGGATAAAAAAAAGAAATGCGATATAATTACGTAATTTATTATGTAATCATACTATAAATAGTTGTTACCCTAGCTATATGCAGTACTCCGAATTATAATACCACTCTTTCTTTTCTTTTTTTTTTTTTTATTCTTTTTTTTTTCTTGTTGTTGTGTGTTGTGTTGTTGTTACTAACTCTTGCTACACAATAGAATACTTTTTTGGTAGCAGCACAACACAATAGTGCACATTCATTAATAAAACATATAGAGACACAGGATTTATACACAAACCCACAAGCACAATAAGCACAATAAGCACAATAAGCATAATAAGCATAATAAGGCATACAAGTATATATCAACAGACACATATACACACACATTTATCAAGTTTATTATTCTATTTTTTCTTTTTACAACCAAATTACAACCATATCGTAACACAACATAACACCACCACTTTCACTCATCTTCATCTTCTTCTTCTTCATCATCATCATCATCATCACACCATTACCATTTGACTGCTAATAGCCTGCACAATACCACCCAACCCATCATCCTTCATCCTTCATCCTTCATCCTTTATCAGTTTGCAACAGTCACTAAGGCACCACCAACCCACACTCACATCCTACCTACGTAAAAGATAGACAATACACACAATAAGAAATCATCAGTGTAACTCCAAACTGCCCTCAACCCCCAACTGTTCCTGAAATTACCTAGTTTACGATCATACACACGTTGGTCAACCCTAGTTACAAACCATATATACGCGCACACACAATTACACACTATATCCAGTCGAACCATTGCAACATCAGACAAACGTTTGTTTTATTTTGATCATTAGGAGAAAATCAGCAGCAGCACATTTTTTTTTAAGAAGGTTTACAGAAATAGAAACTTTTCAACAATCACGGAGCAAAGCAAACAAAATAGTAGCAGCAGCAAAAGGCAACAACAGTATTTGACATTTGAGTCCGTTCCCCTCCTTCTCCTGGAAACAATTGGCTTCCCTTTCCCCCACCCTCCTTCCCACAAGACAAACAATAGGTCACTGCACTTTCGTTAGCATCAAATACCACTGGTGCCCCGATCCAATCGTTTTTTTTTTTTTTTGCAAGCCAAATTCTTTTTACAGAGTTTTTGAATAACTAACTACCCCTTCGTTATTCCTAGTTTTTGCTTCTATAATAGATCAAGTGCGTGTCGCTGGGATTTTTATTTATAAGTTTCACTCGTTGAATTTTGCATTAGACTTACTACATCATGACCAATGTGTTGTCTAGATCATTGGCTGCTCGAGGCGAATCCAACATAGGTGCAACAAATGACGAAAATGATGATTTATCTACAGAGTCTACACCATCAAAGACTATAACAAAGTCGAAAAGTTTTATAAGCAGAAAGTTTTCTTCAAATTCACTATTTGCTCAAGCAAACTCACAGAGCTCATTTTCACAATCACCACCACCTCCCCCACCAAAACCTGCTGCTGTTTCGATACTGCTGCCGTCAAAATTACTAAGATCATCACCCGTTCCCCGTCAAAAGAGTGCAATTGCATCCTCATCATCCTCTTCACTGTCATTAAATGCATCAACTTCGACTCTACAACCTTCTCCCAAAACCAAAGCTTCGCCAAAAGTTCCTGCATTACAACAACCACCTCCATTGACACCACCTTCCGCCGGTTACAGACTTCCGAGGTCAGGATCCTCGTTTGTGTCATTATCGTCTTACTCCTCGATACCAAGTGCAAGTTCGGTATCTACCACTGCATCAAACAATAGCAACGGTAATAGCAGCAATAACACCAACAATGATAAACTTATACAAACATTGCTAAAGCGATACAAGAAATTGGAACTAGCATTGAACAAGTTTAACTCAAAGAAATACAATCACAACTCCAATGGCACCAAAACTGTAAATGGATCTATAATGAAAGGAAACTTACTAAGAACGTCTTTGATTCCCTTTTTAAGAAGTGCAAACCAATTGGATCAATTTTTTGCCAAAGACTCCAAGGTGTATAAAAGTTTAACTTGTGTTGTGTTGGCTATATTGATAAAATGGTGGAATGCATTGATTGGAAATTTGCGATATACTGCAAACTTGTCGGCCACTGCATCCACCACCTCCGCAACCACCTCTAGCAACTCCAAATCACCTTCATCGCACACGTTGTCACATTCCATATTATCCAGTGTTGAACCCATACATTTCACTAGTATACCTGCATCTGATCGCAACGCGTATTTGGAATGCGTTTCGCGAATTATTTCACGCGATGACTGGATTTATTATGATGAGTTTAGTGATTACCAAATATTACTTACAACAACGTTGGATTTTTGCATTGACAAATTGACTACATTGAAAACTTTGTCCGGACCAATGGCTGCATTTATTGGAAAAGTTTTTGCATTTAGTTTCTTTAAACTCCCAAATGTTTCCACTGCATTGTTGTTTTTGCTCAATGTAAAACAAATCACTTTGGAGACATGTACCAAGAGCCTACCCAACACTAGCACTCATGATTCTCGAGAATTGTTCAATGTATTTCCTCAGCACTTGCATCACTTGATTGATTTCAAAGGCTTGCCGAATTTAGAAGATAGAGGGCAGAAATGCTTTATGAATTGCACTCCACCACCTAAGCATCCTGTTGATGGAATCAAAAACCCTAATGGTGATTGGGTTCGTCGTTGGTGTGGATCAGACTCGAGCGTTTTCAACTCATTTTTGCGTCATTATATTGAAATTGTGCAAAAAAGCTTACTACCGATTATAGATGATGATGTGATGATTTTGCTAAAATGTCCTGGATTCAGTGTTATTTTGAGTCATGTTTATCAGATTTTTCACATTGCAATAACTCGAATCACTAGCTCGTCAAAGCCAAATTTCACTACTGCAGGTGGTTCTGTAACTAAGAGTGCCCCACTTCCGCCAATACCAGCAATGGCAAATCGCAAACGGGAAAACGATGATTGTGGTAATGGTGGCGGCGCACCTGCACCAGCACCAGCGTCAGCATCAGCAGTCCCTCCACCATCTCCTCCTCCGCCTCATACTACATTCAGCTCCAATGGTCAACGATGCAAGGCACCAGCTCCACCCCCACCTCCTCAATTTAACATTAACATCAAGCAAAGTGACATGTATTATAACTCAATCATCAAAATTTTCAAGACTGTGCGTGATGTAATTTATTGTGCTACCCTTGATAACAAGTCTATTGACTGCATCAGTGCAAGCTTGGTCAAGGTTATTGACTTGTGTTTGATTTCAATTGCAAAAGAGGTGACGATTTATGATTTTAACAAGAATGGATTGATTTTGGGCATTGTTCATGAGTTTATCAATCACGTTGAAAACAATATTTCCAATGAAGTAAAGTATCTCATTAGCTGGGAGTTTTGGTTGAGTTGCAATTATATGATGATGAGCCACTCGGATCATGTACAAAGTTTGTTGAAGAATTTCCAATTTCTTTTCAATGTGTGGGATATGATTCCTGATGCATTGTGCTCATTTGTTCAACCGCAGCGTCTGGAATATGGACCCATTGGTGATATCCATGATGAAAATTACAAGTGGATAACCAATGTTGAGGATTCATTCAAGTTAAATTTCACAAATTATCTCATAAGTGATGATATGTTTCGCACAATGTTTGTTCATTGGAACCCTCTCGTGAGGTCGTACTATATCAAGTTTTTGGTTTGGAGAGTAATTGGAATCAACAACTCTCAGTCATCAGCATCAATACAAGTGACAAGGAATTTACAATTCAAATTGGACCAATCGTTTGACGCGTTGCAGAGGTATACTATGAAGTTGTGTAATGAGCACAAGCCAAAGGAATATAGTGAAACGAGTGATGTTACTTGTCGTCCAATGTTTACCCTAAATTTCAAACCAGATAATCCATTAGTTAATCGTAAATTTGGTATCTTACCTGCTAGTGTACGCGATGATTACTTGTCAATTGGAAATAATGGCAGCTATGATAGTCAACAATCGGACATGTTTCAAACCTCAACTGCTGTCACTTCAGTATCAAAATCATCTGAATTGAGAAAAACCCACGCATTTGAAATTTTTGATGAGGCTATTTATACTTGCGCCACTGTTGCACCAGCTTCAAATGGATCAAACACTCCACGAGAAGATGAAAAGAGAAACGGCTCATCATCTTCGGGTTCAGTTGCAAGCTCATTTGGCTCAAAGGGAACGTCGTTGGTTAGTTCCATTGGAAGATTATTACGTATTGTTGCTGATGCTGGTGACGGCGATGGCGAAGACAAAGATGATGGTTCTGATGACAAATTTGTTGATCCAAAGGAAACATTGGCCAAGCATTCTGGTAATGGCAACATAAATGCCAACGACATTACACGAAACTCGGAGTCGTCCACTTCACTATCTACGACTAATTCCTTCAAGTCAAGGTCGTCGTCACCCAGTATCATGTCATTCAGATCCACCCCAACATCATTTACCGAGTCATCATCTGCAAAGTCGGATAATGAATCAATTTACTCGCTTGATACGATTAAGTTGAATGGCCCTTTGCAAGATGCAAGCTTTGGCGCACAACAAAGAATGCAACAACAATCTGGTCATGGCAAACTGTTGACCAAGAAGAAACTGTCTCAATTGTATAACATTCAACCGCCTGAGTTAGCGCGATTACCACCAGAGATTGTTCGTCCAATTTTCAAGTTTGATATTATTGTGTGTCATGAATCAATTAATGAAAAGTTTCAAATAATCAATCACAAAAATGCATTAGTTCGTCAGCAATTGTTTTATAACTCAGATGGTCATTTGCCGTCAATGTCATCGAGAACTACAACTGCAACAAACGCGTCATTCTCGTCGACGTCTACTGGGTCAGGCTCAAACATGGGATCATCCATTAAGTCTTCGGTGTTGTATTTCCCTCATCATCCACAACTCCCTTATATCTCGATATTCATCAATTCTGATTTGTACAATAACAAGATTGTTTATATGAATGAAGAAGAGGATGGAATATTTCTTGAGCAGTTTCACCCACAAGATGTGTTAACTTCGGCCACCGATTCCACGAGTGCGACCACGTCGCAATCGGATCATATGAGGACTGCCACTGCCTCGAGATCTACTCCACTGAGGCAAAATTTGAGATCAGCCACAATGTTCCCATACGAATCATCATCCATGACCACCATGATCAATTTGGGTAAATCGATGAATGAGATGAATATAATCATTGATGGGTTTAGGAAATATTTGAGTAAACGGATTGAAGCTGATGCATTCTACCTGAATGCCGGTTATGATTTTAATGAAGATGGAGATAAGCTTGGCTCTGCAAATATCGGATTCCCTGTGTTTAGTGGAGGTATTGAAGAGGAGAATGATGAAGGTGGTGGAGAGTCAAGTGGAGTTAGATCTTTTACTGTTAAAGGCAAGGATTTTAATGAGTTTGTTTATTTCAAACGAATTATACCGTTTTTGAGTGTTGACTCGAGCAATGAGATGAAGTTGTTGAATGCAAGTTGACGGGGCAGGAAAGGTGAGAGGGGTTACTTTTTAGATTAGTGGTTAGGTTTTTCTTATGTTGTTACTTTAATTAGTGATTGGTGTTGGTGACTCTCCCACGTCCTCTCTATATTTATCAAAAGTCGTTCACCTCACTTGAAAAATGTCAGTTAGGAGATGGTTGCAGACAAAACTGCTTCAGTATCAGAAGCAGCCTTACAGTCATGCCAAGTCTGAGATTTTTTTTTTTTTTTTATTTGCACTCTTATCTATGGGTGCTGCACCTATAATGAGCTCTCTCTGTCGTCTTCAATAACCATACTGACAAATTCTTACCGCGAAACAGGTGGTTAACAGTCTTAGTTCATCATCATCATTGTAATACTCCTTGAGTTCGACAACAATCGTCATTTCCTTTATTTTCTACCGTGTAGCTCAGTCTCATTGCTTGAGTTTGACTCATGGATTTATGTAACCACTGTACCGCTATACAACCAGGTGGCATTCGCGAACTAAACATATGTTATTGTTGAACAACATATACTTGGTAACCCTGGGCATAACGACAATTCCACCATTCCACCAGTTTATGCTTGCCATTGGAAACTGCAACGCGAAATCGCGGATTCTAGTAGCTACAGCGTCACTCGTAACCGCTGTAGCAATTGTCAAAAACTTTAACGATTTATATGTTAAATGGGTAATTAGTAGATGAGTTTTATCAATTTGATGAGTTAAATACGATATGCCAAGCAGAACTAAATTTGGATCTGCTTCATCATCAAATCTACAATTGTCAACTACGTGGCTAGATCCATACAACAGTGTAATCAAAACATCTCGAAGTGAGATTGTAATGAAGTTTTCTGAAATTTTAAACCCTATATCAAAGTCGTCGCCATATATCAAGTGCAATTTTTTTTAATGTTGGAGGACATGATAATTTCTTTTAATCCCAAAGGATATCGAAATACTTTAACGACGAAAACATTCCTTCAGCAACAAAACTAAATGCACCAGACAATTCGAGTGTGTATAATTTCGTATCTCCAATGTGAGTGTTGCTTCGGTTTTTATGACTTGATGCTGATTGTTATTGTCGTAGATTAGCTCTATGACATGTTCTGGCAAATCGGCAGGTTGTATCCTGATAGTCTGTGGAAAAGAGGGGGGGAAGGGGGAAGGGGGGAGAAAAAGAAACCAATGGGACCCAACCCCAGTGGAAACGGCTTTATAGTGCACTTGATGCTTGGTGTACCTTGTTTTCTCATGAATTTTATACCTTCTTAATCATTTGGGGGGGGTTGAGTATGTCAAAGTTGCGAAAAGATAAAAAAAAGAATTAAAAGTGCAGCAATGGTAGTGTTTTAAAGAAGGAGAAAATTGATCTATATGTTCCTGTCGTAATAAAACATTATCGTACACATTAGTTCAATTCAATAGGATTTGAACTAAACCTCTACATAGTACTAGTAAGAAATAATATATAGCCACAGCGCTAGAGCAATATCTATTTATCCTTGTTTTCAATATACACGATCACCCCTCAAGTTCGTAATTATACATCTCTTGGCCTGATAACAACTTACTCACGGTCTTTTACAATTTTTATCCTTTAAAATAATATTTATTTTTAACTTCCTCGTACAAAGATCTCGTAGACCTATTCATTTGCATAAACATTTTACAATTATTAGTTCATGAGGGGATCCAGCAGTAGTTGGAGCTATACGTGCAGTTATAGTGAGCATACTTCACCTCCAAAACCGCAAAACTCGTCTCACTCCTTTACTGCTCCACTATACCGTGTTTGCAAGTCTCCTTACTTTATTCTACCTCGTTCTAGCAGTACCAGCTGGATTAGTACCTCTTGCGAATAAGATCCCAATCCCAGTTACGAAAGTAACCACACAACAAATGCAGTAAAATATCAAACTACCAATGAAATAAAATGTATAGAAATATTTTGCCATGAAATATCGAAACCCAGTTAATTTCAATGTAAATTGGGCAAAACTTGCATTGACGTCAATGGTAAATATGCGTTGGACTTTTTTTGATGAATCTTGAGGCGATTGCAAGATCAAACTGAATGAAGAATAGGATGGGTCATTGGTATTGCCTAGTTGTGATTCATGTTGTTGTGGTGGTGGTTGATGTTCAACCGAAGTTAACCCTGTTCCGTAGATATCAAACGCGTCAATTTCAATTGTTTGAAATTTACGATAATCAATCAAAAAAGGAGGCACCCAGTTGCGTAAGGCCAAGGGGATAAATTTGTTATGTATGCCATAACTCAAACTGGGGTCACAGTCTAATATAAATGATCCACTTTTGAAAACTGGTTCATCACTAGTATACACCTCAATGTCATCATTGTTATTGTGTGGTTTTGTCACGGGTCGCAAACTCAGTTGTAGACTATACTGTATTGTATGTATACTTGTATCATACGCAAATTGATGATCACAATAAAGTGCCAAATTGAGTTTAAAAGTGTATAATGAATCCTTATCAAATACAAATCTCGATTCACTAACCTCTGGTTGTGTTGTTATCGATTGTGGATCAATTGGATTCGAAAGCATCAAGACTCGATTTGGATCATAAGTGTTGCCAAAATGGGTCGATTTCACCGGAGATTCGGATGCAATTTTTGTCACAATAAAGTTTAATGGGATTGACGGCGATTGTGAATCGGGAATCAAAGTGGTGTAGTATACATGATAAGCAATTAATGAAATGGGGACAAGTATGAAAAATGAAGTTAGAGTGGATGTGAAGTAGAGCCAAGTTCGTGTTGCAGCTAGCGGTACTGTGAACCCCAATGTTGTGAATAGTTTCATCTTTAATGGACCTATGGGGATTTTTCTTTGCTTTATGAAAATGCTGATGGGTTGGGTTACACAATGGATCAAAATTTAATGCATGTGTGTAATGCGGGGGGGGGGGGGGGTGGTCACTTCGAGAAGGCGCAATTTCAGTAACACTTTGGTGGTGATTGTCCTGTGAAATTTTTAGCAAACTTATTCAGAGTGTCAATTGACTGAATCGAAGCTAATTTCGATCTTTACTCACTGGGTGAATCGTTCTTTGAAGTTTTGAGATTTCACTAGCGTCCTCCTTTTTTTTTTTGCATGTGTGAAATTTTATTTTGTTTCCAATTTATGAACATCGGATAATCTTTCAAGTGGACATCCATCCGCTACTCTCACACTCCTTGACATCTCCACAATTCAAACATATCGACAAGATAAATAAATTAACTAAAAACAGATGAATATAAAAAAAGTGAAGAAAAAAACATGTATATACGAAAAGAATGAATACAACCGTACTAATGAAATGCAATATGAATGAAATCCCATTCTTATCTTACCCCGAGTTAAAATGAACTCCAACATTGTCAACGACGATAACAAGTACAACATGAATATGAGTAAAAAAGAAAATAATACTAATAATGATAAATGCAGTGGATAACGTCTAATTTGAATTCAGTTTTCTTAAATCAGCTTCGTCATTGCCTTCCTTCTGCTTCTCCTTCTGCTTCTGCTTCCCCTACTCCTTCTCCTCCTTCCTTAATGTGTAGTATGACCACGATGATACTTCAACCCATTCAAATTCTTATACCTCTTTCCACAAACTTCACAACGATACGGTTTATCCTTTTCCAAAGCTGAATTATCCAAATAAGGACTATTCGATTCAGGATCGATAATGGAAATCGTTCCATCGGGGTTCTCACGTAATCTTTGTCCTTGATGACCATGAGCGCGATGATATTTCAATCCATTTTGATTTTTGTATGTCTTGTCACAACCAATGACTGGGCATTTGAAAGGTCTGTTTTCTTCATTTTCCATCACGTATAAATGACGCGCTGGATCATCAATGTAGATATCATCTTCATCTGTTTGCATGGGTGTACCTTCTCCGTTTGACGGACTGAGTGGAGATTGTTGGTTTGTAAATTGACCATTGGCAAACTGCAGTTGTGATTGTTGTTGGTTTTGCTGTAGTTGAAGTTGCAGTTGCAGTTGTTGTTGTTGTTGTTGTTGCTGCTGCCGTTGCTGTTGTTGTTGTTGCTGTTGCTGCTGTAGTTGCTGCGTTTGTTGTTGTTGTTGTTGCTGTTGTTGATGTTGTGGGTCTAATTGTTGTTGATTTTGGTGTAATTGTGATTCTGAACCACTATTGAATTGATAATTTCCACCATCATAACCCTTGCTTATATCAACTCCTTGATTTTGGTGAGTATTGAGGAAAACATCAGTAGTTGAGACTGTTTCCAACACATTGTGTATATTGTTATAGTTGTTACGATTGCGGTTAGTGTTTAGTAGATGTTGCGTGGTATCAATTGGTGGAGACGCCAGAATATGTGCCTCTTCATAATGTCTTAGTAAATCATGCAATGTAGGCAACAATTCGCCACAGCAATTGTAATCTTTACAATAGTCAGCTTCTAAGTCTGGCAAGTATGATGTTTGTTGCTGTGGGGACATACCAGGATGGAAAGCAGTACGGAATGAGCCTCTACGTGGATTGATTAAATTTTGGTGATTTGCATGTGCCAGTTGAAAATTCTGATGATTCAGTTGTTGCTGCTGCTGCAGCTGTTGATGAGTATTGTTATTATGGTGATGCTGATGCGGGTTTAGGAAATTATTCAGCCCACTGCCTATATTAACCGACATTACTTCATCCTTTAACCAAGACCCTATCGTTACTGACCCCCAAGAAATTCCACCCATTCCTTGTGAATGTGCTACTGATTCCCTTCTGAACCTAGAGTTGTTAAAAATAGATGGTCGGTGGTTGAATGTGATATCTATCGGCTGTGGGTGATCATTATTGTGCTGTTGCTGTTGCTGTTGTTGTTGTGGCGGCTGTTGTTGCTGCTGATAATGGTGATGTTGATGCTGCTGCTGTTGCAGTTGACCAAATGTTGTGTTTGGCCCTCCTGTGTCGGATGTATTGTGGTTTAGTGGGATATTCACCGCCGTAGCTGTAGCAGACCCTGTGCTAGAGCCACTGTCAAAAATCTTTGTATTAAACATATTGTAAAGTATGCCGTTTGGACTGTAGTGTAGTGCTTGTACTAATGGCAATAGTAATGAGTGCAGTGGCAAAGTATTCGATCCTAATCGGGAATGTATATGTGTGAGGATTGTGAAAATGTCTGAGTAAATGATTACGTTATATTTCACTCGTTTGTCAGGTGGCAATCTAAAAGTGGAACGAAAAATTAGTAACCAAATGAAAAAGGGGACACCCGAAATATCTTCCTAAGTTTAGATAAGTTTTGTGCTTGGGTATTTTGATCCAGTATGAAGGTGTTTGTGGGGGCGGATGGATGTACAAATGGATTGGCTGTGTGACTACCCCTGTGCTGCTACTTCTGGACTATAGAAAAGAATATAATGAATAGGAATTACACTATATGGGGATGGGGGTGGGAAAGTGTCAGTGTATATTTTAGTAATGTGATTTGGTAGTGTACTTGTGCACAAATAATAATACAACAATACAATTGTGAAAAATTACACAAACTCAAAACGCACACAATAACAGCATATATAAAGCCAACTCTCTTATTGCTTCATGTTTCTGTCTACACTCTATACCTCTTTGGATTATAAAAATAGTACCAGTATATCAAAAGAAAAACTTTACAAATGAGATACTCTTGTCAAAACCCGCTTGTAAAAAACAAGCTTGTTGAGGGAATCAGAGTGGATGAGAGTCAATGCTAATAGTGCTGCTGCTGCGTTAGATGATTGTTATCCGTGGGCTTTCCCATTTCAATTGTATCCTGTTACAAGAGTTATGCATCCGCAGTGTAACTTGCACCAAGGGGTTAACGACCTCTACTTGTGTTATATATACAGCGTCGTGCGTATTCCAACAGTACTTCCATGCACGAATTCCAGAATATCTTTTTTTATAGAAACAGAGATGGGTGTAGGAAACTTCCGATAATTTGACGATTTATTATCTCCCAGGTTTCTAAATGAGCTACAAAAGCATAAAGCTAAATTGTATACTATGATGTTCAAGCGTAAAAAGTTCATACACCCATCTTACGGATGTAACCTCATTAGCTTTCCATGTATGTGAGACATACCTCGACATCTCTCTGTGAGTAATTATACAATTACTGTAGATCTCTTGCATTTTCTTAATAGGCCAGACCGATTCAGTTGATGTCTACCATTGATGACTTAAGTACACAAACGTTTTCTCATTGATTACTATAAACATACTTTCATACTTATTTATCAAAGACTTTAAGCGGATATAAAAGGAAGCTCGTCCGCTGGTTATGTTATGCTCCCCTCAAGGATTATTTCCTGTACTATGTACTATGGAACACTCCATCCACAACTGCTCTTTTTTTTGCATTGTTCTTTTTCAGTTTAAACCAAAATTGATGTGGGTATCTTTTGTCTGTTTTTAGTATCTGTACTAGCGGTTAAATTTAATCGGAATAAATTTCTTTTTTTTTTTTGTTGTCTTTAACCTTCCGGAAATTGACTCTTTGTTGTACTGCATACAACAATAACAATAAAGGCTTTAGTTTGGATTTGGTTATCTGTAACCGGAAGTGTGTTTGCTTGCTTGTTTTATAGCCCACCCTCTTTTCATTCCTCCTTGTATGTCTCTCTCTTTGGTAGTATTAATGTAAGTAACGGTACAGATTGAAAAACACAAACAATATATATGTATGTGTGCTTGGATATCATTGTTGAGGGTGTGATACTTTGTAAAAAAGGTAGCGTCGTTTTTGTTACTACTTTTATTACAGTAGCGATGGGCATTTTGATGCATTTTTTTGTTTGTCTTTTTGCAACACCATTAAACGATATGATGCTTTTCACAGTCTGAGGCAGTGTTTGCTACCTTGAATATACGGCAAGTATTGTAAGATTTGCGTTGTCGGTCAGTAACCATGTTGAGGTTCACAGCTATTTCACTACTGTGTATGCTTTACAAGATCACTCGTTGTGCCCAATATCGCTTGAGCGAACTCGGTGCAACCGTCGCTCTGCTCAGCTGAGCCCGGGTCAGCGTCATTCGGTTCAGAAATTTCGAGAATGTGCGTGCAAAAGAAAAATAAAATCTTTACATCTGTCGCAGGTACACCAACGACTTTCAACACTAATGGTGTGACAGAAGTGTATACACTACTCAGCGCCTTGTTGATTCTAGTAACATAACAGCCGAGGTAGTCTTCACACTTCGCAAGATTCACCATAATGAATGGTTTCACCCAAAAATCTGAGTGTTTCAAAAATGAAATGTCTAACGACCTCAATACCTATGCTGCACAAAAGAGACCAAAACACAAAATTGGCTCTTCATCAATTGAGATGTTTGTACTTAGACCTAGATTCATATTCAAAATTGCCGTTTGAATTGTTTAACCACTTTTGTGCACAGCATTCAAAAACATTTGTGATATCAAACATCTATGTCAGCTTAATGTTTCAATACATACACTTGCAAATCTGTGCTTTGCTTGTAATAGTTGCTGTGTTGAATACAACTTTTGTGATGTCAAATAGTTGCACGAAAAAGGCCTAGATTGATTACTAAATTTGAAACAAACATGAATGACTCGAGCTTTGGAATCACTTACCGTTCTTCTTTATGATTTAGAGAAAGAAAGAAACTAATTTCTCAGATCACCATTCCAACAAGCACTGTAGTATAGGTCATTTGGGACGAGGATAAAGTAGCTTTCACATCTTTGACCAATTGTATACAAAAAAAATGAAAAACATTCTGGATGTTACTTGTATTTATAATGTTCAAACTTTTTCACTCAAATTGGGTGCTAAAAATTGGGGAAAAAAATATTTGCAAAAAATTTGGTTTCCAAACTCTAATCACACAACAGGGCAACAAAAATGATCCACGAGTACATTTCGGGGGTACTTATCTTTCCACACTAATAGAGAGACACACAGCTAAGGGAGGTAAACTTGAAGAAAAAAAATAAGCCCAACGCGGGACTCGAACCCGCAACCTTTCGATTACTACTGTATTTAAGAGTCGAATGCTCTAGCCGATTGAGCTAGCCAGGCCGGTGAAAAACAAAGCCCAACGCGGGACTCGAACCCGCAACCTTTCGATTACTATGGTAATTAAGAGTCGAATGCTCTAGCCGATTGAGCTAGCCAGGCTGTTTTCGACGAAGTTGGGGCGCCAAAAAATATCTCCGCAGCAGAAAGTGGTCACGTTTTGCCAATTACGGGCTGTTTAAGGTCATTTCCACCAACATTTGGGTCTACAACAACTCAGTGAAAAATATACAAGCTCTTCATTAAATTCAAGTACAGTATAGTTTATAAAAGAGTAGATAAAGGAAAAATGGCAACTATATCCATACTCACGGCCATTCGTCCCGCGTTTGAGGATGGCTCATACGCTACTACACCAGCCAGAAGCACTAGTGGGGTTAGCACTAACCTTAATAAAGTTTAAGTAGAGCATTCTAAGCCTTGAAAAATGGCATCTAGTGTCAGGACTTGAGCAGAATCAAGATGTCACAAACCTTTATATTTTACATAGTTATTGGGCTATTCGTATGAGATGGAACAAAATGCAACCAGACTTCTTATCTTTAATCAATTCAGGTAGGGAAACTTCACTCTATCGCCTCCTCAGCTACTAACCGCTATGTGGTATATACATTTCTTGAGGTAATTTTGACCCCATGGTGGACCAATATTTTTCACCATTCATGACAACAGAATAAGTCGTGTTCCCGGATACTCCCAAAGCAGTACTTACAAACTGTCATTCAACTGAAGCCATTTTTCTCCACCACTCGTCGTTGTCCCAGCCCTGGACTTGTAGATCCGAAAAGATAACTTTTTTCTATAGTGAATGAATGAAGTTTTGTGTAACAAGTACCTAATCCGAAACGGATTGAAAATTGTAGAATTTTTAGCATATTGTGACACCTTTGACTTTAAAACAACGTAAACATGTTTTCTCTTTTTCTTTCATTATTTATACCACCAACACTCTGGATGGTTTTTCTCAGCTATAGAAAAAGTATCTTCCACCGCTAATGTTGCTGCTTTTACCACTGGAAATCATTGAAAAGATCGGTTCACAATTACCACAAAATGATTTACTTTCCTTAATGACAACCAATCATTACTTTCGCAACCTTTTGCATCCGCGATTATACTCAGTGATTATATTTGACTCATCACCACATTTATTTGATTTTGATACCAAGTCATTGAATGCATTCAAACAACATCGCAATGATTACAAGATAGATGGGAGATTTGTGAAAGGTGTGAGGATAAGATCAGTGTTTGCACTTAAAACATTTATAAAGAGTGTCGTCAAGTATTCCCATCATGTAAAGGGGTTGTTGGTTATGAATTTACCTGATATATCAGACTTGGAAGTGTTTGAATACTTTAGAGCTATTTTACCATTAATGATCCAGTTGCAAATCTTTTCATGGAACCATAGCGTGTCATTTCCATTGAGTTACTTGAAATACAATACACTGATTCGTATGATGAGTGGGATGATCGAAACTGACTGTTGTGCTGAGTTTCCATACATGAAGGAGGGAGTATACACCAAAATAAACAACGTCCAAAATCTTGAAACAATAACTTTCAGAAACATAGATTTAACTGATTTGGTATACGATTTTAGTAAAGTCAAGACCTTGGCATTGGATAATTGTAAATACAAAAGAGACTATTTACTCGCTCAAGACTTTGCAATGTTGGAAGAATTGTCAATCATAGTTGAAGACGACCCGTCCATAGTCAAACTTTTGACAAAGTTGAACCTCAGGACATTGTCGTTGAAGACAGAGTCGTCCGTAGCTGGATTGCTTCGCAGATTGAACTCCAGAATCATGCGTTTGGAATTGCACTCCCAATTAGATATAAATACATTGAAACAATTGACAAGATTCACCAATTTGAAATATTTGCAACTATCCATTTTGGAGAAAGATATTCTTGAAGTGTTGCCATTTATACCACAACATATTCAGTTCCTCAAATTAGATGTAATGGAGACAACCGAGCGTAACAATTGTTTGATTGCCGATGAGTACTGGGCATGTACCGTGGATCAAAACCTTTTAAAATTTCAAGACTTTGTTTTAGAGTACCACCGTCGTTTGAATAACTTAGAGTGGGTAATGTTTAATGGAAACAACAAAAAGTATGCGTTTGAGTGTGCTGAACTGGTCATATATAGAGAAAGATTTAGCTATTACTTTGATGAAATTGTAAATACATTATTATGAAGGCACCTAAAAAGAAGACAACTCGGTTCGATATCACGAAGAAGCTCCAACTTCACACAATATTGGGAAAGGGGGGCACATTTCGCAATACAAAACCCGAGCCAGAAAAGTGTAGATCATTTGTAATAGTCCCGAAATAAAACTAATAAAAACCCTCTATCTTTGAGAGGTTCATTTCAGGGTGGAGATGATCTGAGAATTCTTTCTCCCAACATGCAAAAGTGTTCTCTCGTACCATTTTAGACTGAACGTAACCGAATACACTCAGGGTAAATGAGAAGGCATTAAGCTTTGGTGTATTGGGAGAAGAAGAAAAGTAGTTCAAATTTGATCTTTTAAAAAAGTCTTTGACGAAAAAATTTTCTGTTGTATTTCTTTGGAATCTAGTGTCGTGTCGCATCCTTTTGCGAGATAAACTGACGCGCGACACTGAAGATAGCTCAACAAACACAAAAACTTTGGACTACCTGCATATAAGTATTTTTTTCTGTTTGTTGGTTGCAATATTTTGTTGGGAGTGGGATAACCAAAACACACATCGAGAGTGTCGAAAGCTATCCACACTTGGCTAAAGGGAGAGCAGCCAGATACACGGCATTACTAGGAACTGCCCGTACATGCCCATCACACAATCCGCTTTCTATTTTAGCGTCCACTCTTCTTCCTCCCTTGGTAGACTGGTTTTTCAACGATTTTCACTTTACCTTCGGAGCTTTTTATCTTTGTGTAACATGTACCACGGACTCATCCAACTAAAAAAATTAATTTTTGGGTAAATGCAATGTGGCATTTAAAAGAGATCCCAATTCTCTTGAATTCTAGCTGATTTTCTTCCTCTCAGCATCATCATCACTTACCTACGCGCTTTTCAAGATGAAGCCGGAAATTGAACAAGAATTATCTCACACATTGTTAACAGAGTTGTTGGCATATCAATTTGCTTCACCAGTCAGATGGATCGAAACTCAAGATGTCTTTTTAAAACAACACAACACAGAAAGAGTTATTGAAATTGGACCATCACCAACTTTGGCTGGAATGGCTTCAAGAACAATCAAAGCAAAGTACCAATCTTATGATGCAGCTTTGTCGTTGCAACGTCAAGTTTTATGCTACTCCAAGGATGCAAAGGAGATTTACTATACCCCTGATCCTGCTGAACCACCAGCTGCTGAAGAGCCAAAAGCGGAAACTGGCAAAGAGTCAGCACCCGCTGCTTCTGCTGCAGCTGCTGCTGCCACTCAACCTGCTGCTGCTGTTGCTCCACCACCACAATCTGCTGGTCCTGTTGAATCAATCCCCGATGAACCAGTTAAAGCTTCCTTGTTGATCCACGTATTGGTTGCACAAAAGTTGAAGAAACCGTTGGATGCTGTTCCAATGTCAAAAGCAATCAAGGATTTAGTCAATGGTAAATCTACCGTTCAAAACGAAATTTTGGGAGATTTGGGTAAAGAGTTCGGGTCCACTCCTGAAAAACCAGAAGAGACTCCATTGGAGGAGTTGGCAGAGCAATTCCAGGATACATTCTCCGGATCATTGGGAAAGACTTCAACTTCTTTGATTGGAAGATTGATGTCATCCAAAATGCCAGGTGGGTTTTCCATCACAAATGCAAGAAAATACTTGGAATCCAGATTCGGATTGGGTCCAGGAAGACAAGATTCGGTTTTATTAACCGCATTGTGTAATGAACCAGCCAGTAGATTGGGTTCTGAAGGTGATGCCAAGTCATTTTTGGATACCATGGCTCAGAAATATGCATCTCATGCTGGAATCTCATTGTCGTCACCTTCTGCAGGTGGTGCAAGCTCCGGTGCTGGAGCTGCTGTTGTTGATAGTGCTGCTTTGGATGCTTTAATTGCTGAAAACAAGAAGTTGGCCAGACAACAATTGGAAACTTTGGCTAGGTATCTCCAAGTTGATCTAACCAAAGGAGAGAAAGCTTTCATCAAGGAAAAAGAGGCAACTACAGTCTTGCAACAAGAATTGGACTTGTGGGAAGCTGAACATGGTGAGTTTTACGCAAAGGGTATCAAGCCAGTGTTTTCACCATTGAAGTCGAGAACTTATGATTCCTATTGGAATTGGGCCAGACAAGATTTATTGTCGATGTGGTTTGACATCCTTTTTGGAAAATTGACATCTGTTGATAGAGAAACCATCAATCAGTGTATTCAAATTATGAACAGAGCCAACCCAACCTTGATCAAGTTTATGCAGTACCACGTCGAACTTTGTCCTACGTACAGAGGAGAGACTTATAAACTAGGAAAAAGATTGGGTGAACAGTTGATTGAAAACTGTAAGCAAATTTTGGGTCAAAGTCCAGTATACAAGGATGTCAGTAGAATCACTGGTCCAAAGACTACTGTTAGTGCCAAAGGTGACATCGTTTACGAGGAAGCTAATAAAGAGTCAGTCAGAAAATTTGAGCAGTACGTTTTTGAAATGGCACAAGGTGGCTCAATGACCAAGATGAAACAATCTTCAATTCAAGAAGATTTGGCTAGAGTGTACAAGGCCATTTCAAAACAAGCTTCAAGAGATAGCAAATTGGAATTGCAAAAAGTGTATGATCAATTATTGAAGGTTGTCGAAGGATCCACCGAAATCGAGACAGAACAAACAACTCAAGATGCTTTGGCAATTCCAACTGGCTCCAACACACCAACTGAAGAAGATGAATTGTCAACTGCTTCTGATGATGATGAGATTGCATCGTTGCCGGACAAGACATCAATTGCTCAACCTGTTTCCTCAACCATTCCAAACAAGACAATTCCGTTCTTGCATATCCAAAGCAAATCTGAAAGTGGAAACTGGGAGTATGACCGCAAATTGTCATCAATTTACTTGGACGGATTGGAGTCTGCAGCCATTAATGGGTTGACTTTCAAGGACAAGTATGTATTGGTTACTGGAGCTGGTGCAGGATCTATTGGTGCCGAAATCTTGCAAGGTTTAATCAGCGGTGGTGCCAAGGTGATTGTCACTACATCTCGTTACTCCAAAAAGGTTACAGAGTATTATCAAAATATGTATGCTCGTTACGGTGCCGCTGGATCAACCTTGATTGTTGTTCCTTTCAACCAGGGTTCTAAACAGGATGTCGATGCTTTGGTTGAATACATCTACAATGACCAAAAGAAGGGCGGATTGGGCTGGGATTTGGATGTCATTATTCCATTTGCCGCTATTCCAGAGAATGGAAATGGTATTGACAACATCGACTCGAAATCGGAATTTGCTCACAGAATCATGTTGACAAACCTTTTGAGATTGTTGGGTGCTGTAAAAGCCAGAAAAACAACCGACACCAGACCAGCGCAATGCATTTTGCCATTGTCACCAAATCATGGTACATTTGGATTCGATGGGTTATACTCTGAATCAAAGATTTCGTTGGAAACCTTGTTCAATAGATGGTACTCTGAAGATTGGGGAACCAAATTGACCATTTGTGGTGCTATAATTGGTTGGACAAGAGGTACTGGATTAATGAGTGCAAACAACATTATTGCCGAAGGTATCGAAAAGTTGGGGGTTAGAACTTTCTCTCAGAAAGAAATGGCATTCAACATTCTAGGATTGTTGACACCGGAAATTGTTAACTTGTGTCAAGAAGAGCCAGTCATGGCAGATTTGAATGGTGGTCTACAATTCATTGACAACCTCAAGGAATTTACTTCCAAATTAAGAAACGATTTAACTGAAACTGCAGATATCAGAAGGGCTGTTTCTATTGAGTCAGCTATTGAACAAAAAGTTGTCAATGGTGACAACGTAGACTCAAACTACAACAAGGTTACCGTTCGACCAAGAGCCAACATGAAGTTTGATTTCCCAACTTTGAAATCTTATGACGAAATTAAGCAAATTGCTCCTGATTTGGAAGGTATGTTGGACTTGGAGAATGTAGTGGTTGTTACGGGTTTTGCTGAAGTTGGTCCATGGGGTAACGCAAGAACTAGATGGGAGATGGAGTCCAAGGGTGAATTCTCTCTCGAAGGTGCCATTGAGATGGCATGGATTATGGGCATGATCAAATACCATAATGGTAATTTGAAAGGAAAACCATACTCGGGATGGATTGACGCAAAAACGCAAACTCCAGTTGATGACAAGGACATCAAGGCTAAGTATGAGGAGGAAATTTTAGAACATTCTGGAATTAGATTGATTGAACCAGAGTTGTTCAATGGTTATGATCCAAAGAAGAAGCAAATGATTCAGGAAGTAGTTATTCAACACGATTTGGAACCATTTGAATGTTCCAAGGAAACCGCTGAACAGTACAAGCATGAACATGGAGACAAGTGTGAAATTTCAGAAATTGAGGAAAGCGGTGAATATAGTGTTCGAATCTTGAAAGGAGCCACTTTGTTCATTCCAAAAGCTTTGAGATTTGACAGATTGGTTGCCGGTCAAATTCCTACTGGATGGGATGCACGTACATATGGTATTCCTGAAGATACCATTAATCAAGTTGATCCAATCACCTTGTATGTTTTGGTTGCTACGGTTGAGGCATTATTGTCTGCTGGTATCACCGATCCATACGAGTTTTACAAATACGTTCACGTTTCCGAAGTTGGTAACTGTTCAGGTTCTGGTATGGGTGGTGTTAGTGCATTGAGAGGTATGTTTAAAGACAGATATGCTGACAAGCCAGTACAAAATGATATTTTGCAAGAGTCATTCATCAACACCATGTCTGCTTGGGTCAATATGTTGTTGTTGTCTGCTTCAGGTCCCATCAAGACACCAGTGGGTGCTTGTGCTACCGCTGTTGAGTCAGTTGATATTGGTATTGAAACTATTTTGTCAGGTAAAGCCAAGGTCGTCATGGTTGGTGGTTATGATGATTTCCAAGAAGAAGGTTCTTACGAGTTTGCCAACATGAATGCCACTTCCAGCGCTATTGACGAATTCAAGCATGGTAGAACTCCAAAAGAAATGTCGAGACCAACCACCACCACAAGAAATGGTTTTATGGAAGCCCAAGGTTCAGGTATTCAAGTTATCATGTCAGCAGATTTGGCGCTCAAAATGGGTGTTCCTATTCACGCTGTTTTAGCCATGTCGGCAACCGCAACAGACAAGATTGGAAGATCAGTTCCTGCTCCAGGTAAGGGAATTTTGACTACAGCTAGAGAACACCACGGAAACTTAAAATACCCATCGCCTTTATTGAACGTCAAGTACAGAAAGAGACAATTGTCCAAGAGATTGGACCAAATCAAATCTTGGGAATCCTCAGAGCTCAATTACTTACAAGAAGAGGCTCATTTGGCAAAGGAAGAGTTTGGTGAAGAATTTTCTGAAGCTGAATTTTTAAGAGAAAGAACCGAGGAAATTTACAGAGAGTCAAAGAGACAAGTTGCAGATGCCAAGAAGCAGTGGGGTAACGCATTTTACAAATCTGATCCTAGAATCGCCCCATTGAGAGGTGCCTTGGCTACATTTAATTTGACAATTGATGACATTGGAGTTGCTTCATTCCACGGTACTTCAACAGTGGCCAATGACAAGAATGAATCTGCAACCATTGACAGCATGATGAAGCATTTGGGTAGATCTGAAGGCAACCCAGTATTTGGTGTGTTCCAAAAATACTTGACTGGTCATCCAAAAGGTGCGGCTGGTGCTTGGATGTTAAATGGTGCCATTCAAATTTTAGAGTCAGGTATTGTTCCCGGTAATAGAAATGCCGACAATGTTGACAAGGTCTTGGAGCAATACGAGTACGTGTTGTACCCATCCAGGTCTATTCAAACTGATGGTATCAAGGCTGTATCTGTCACATCATTCGGTTTTGGTCAAAAAGGTGCCCAAGCAGTCGTTGTTCATCCTGATTACTTGTATGCCGTATTGGACAGGTCAACTTATGAAGACTACGCCAAGAGGGTTACAGCCAGAAACAAGAAGACTTACCGTTACATGCACAATGCAATCACCAGAAATACCATGTTTGTTGCCAAGGATAAAGCTCCTTACTCTGATGAGTTGACCATGGATGTGTACTTGGATCCATTGGCTAGGGTTTCAAAGACAAAGAATGAATTTGTCTTCACGAAGAAATCAGTTCAATCTGACAAATCGTATGTTAGCAATATTGCAAACTCAACTGCAAAAGCATTGTCATCATTGAACAAATCATCCAAGGGTGTTGGTGTTGATGTTGAGTTGTTATCAGAGTTGAACATTGACAATGAGACATTTTTGGAGAGAAATTTCACTCCTGAAGAAATCAAGTATTGCCAAAACTCAGCCAACCCCCAGGCTTCATTCACTGGAACTTGGTCGGCAAAGGAGGCCACATTCAAGGCTTTGGGGGTCAGTTCTCAAGGTGGTGGTGCAAGTTTGAAAGAGATTGAAATTGTCAGGGATGGCAATGGAGCACCACAAGTTGTTTTAAATGACAATGCAAAAGCAGCTGCTAAAGCAGCTGGTGTCAAAAATGTGAATGTGTCAATCTCGCATGATGATTTCCAAGCCACTGCCGTTGCTCTCAGTGAATTTTGAAGTTTATAGAGTTGTCAGGTAGTTTAATTTGATTTGTGATTTATGATTTTATACAAAATTGTAGTTACGATCCGTGTATTGTCACAAAAAGCCGTGGACAAAAGAATAACAGAAGAACGAAAAAAAATTAAAAAAAATCAACAAAGCCTCAAGGAGACCAACAAAATTTGACAAAACAAGCTGTGAGAGTCAATAAGTTATACAACGAATTAGAGAATCATCACAACAAATCTCAGAACTCAATTAATGGCAGGATATCAACAAGATACTGTGAATGGGCCTAGCGAAGAACCGGTCGCAATCAATGACTCACATGAGATTGATGATCTAAAAGCGAATGATGGGAACAGTGAAGTTGTAGACATCAACAAGGATAACTCGCCAAATGAGAATGGAACAGACGTTGACCATAATAACGGGTCAGAAAAAGATGTGAAACCAAATGGGGAGGACAAGTTTGATGAAACCTTTCACAATCATCAATTGGAACCAAAAGATAACCTATCAGAAGATAACAATGTTGATGTAACCATTACACAGTCAACCCCAGTGGCTACTGCAGCAAGCAGCCCTCTTGTCAGTCAGTCTCCCGCAAACACCAATCATAGACGACAGACCTCAGTATTGTCATTTGTATCAAGCGCAACGGTGGACAATTCTCAGATCTTCAAAAAGAGCTTTGATTCGATATTGGAGTCCAAGGAAGTTAAAAAGAATGAGCAATTTAAAGCTACAATACAGCGGGCAGTTGATTATTTGAATAGTTCAGAAGAGAAAGAGCCATACATCATCTTCAATGCATTGAAAGCGTGTTGTGATTCCAATAGTGTCGAGTTAAAGTCCAAAGCCGTTGATTTATTTGCCAAGCTATTTGATTATGCTCAATTTGATGACGCTTCAGAGAAAAAGAAGCTCACCGATGATTCGGTTAATGTCATATCGTCTTGTTTTGAGGGCGAAGGAACAGATCCCGAGTTGGAGTTGCAAGTGGTTCGTGCATTGATGCACTCAATACTCTTGATGCCGTGTCACGGGGCGTCATTGTTGCAAGCAGTCAGACAAATTTACAATGTGTTTATTTTTTCGTTGACTTCTAGAAACCAGGCCATTGCTCAAGGTATCTTAACTCAAGTGATTGGAGCAATTTTTTCGAGGGTTGAAGAATCAAGAAAGTCTCGAAGCCAAAGCACAAATGCATCGAAGTTGAATTTTGACTCTGTTGAGAATGTAAATCTTCCGGATGGTGGTGAAGAAGAGAGGTTGACGTTGTCTCAATTAGAAAGAATCAACGATTCTATGAATGATAATGACAGAGTAAATGAAGCAAGCAGTGCCACCGAGGATGATCAGGATTTGGAAGTGAAGGACGCATTTTTGGTATTTAGAGCTATGTGCAAGCTTTCAATCAAAACCTTGGACTCCACTACTATTGACATGAAATCTCACTCAGTAAGATCGAAACTTTTGTCACTACACATTATCCACACCATTTTAAAAGAGCATATTGAAATTTTTTTAAGTCACGATGTGGTAATATTGTCACCAACTGCCAACGAGAAAGTGCGCTTGGTAAATGCTGTCAGACAATACATCAATCTCACATTGTCCAAAAACGCTGCATCCGACTTGGCACCTGTATTCGAGCTCTCATTGGAAATTTTTTGGATCATCATTTGCAACTTGCGATCTGAATTCAAAAGAGAGATTCCCGTTTTCTGGGATGAAATTTATTTCCCGGTAGCTGAAATGAAGACTTCTAGTCCCCATCAAAAGCGGTATTTATTGGCAATCATTGAAAGAATTTGCAACGATTCTAGGTGCATCATTGAATTTTACCTTAATTACGATTGTGACAGCAACATGCCCAACATGTGCGAAAGGATCATTGATTATTTGACCAAACTTTCGTTACAACGCGTTGAAGTTACCCCTCAACAAAAGTATGCTTTTAGGGAGAATAGAAGGAGTGGTATAGCGGTGTATGACGCAGGTAAAGTGGCCGCTTTAACAAGCAGTACAATGTCATCCAAGCCACCAGAGCCAACTATTTATGCTTTGTTCCCCTTGGAGTATGCTTTGAAGATGACATCCATCAGCTGCTCTGTTGCGTTTTTACGCTCCTTGCATTCATGGGCCCAAAAGGGAATACTGAATTCCAAGAAGATGCAAAGTTTGGACCAAAGTAGCGATTCGTATTTGTCATTGAATCGTAACCGCTCCGATTCAAATAACACATCATCGAACGTCACCAGAAATACTTCTTTTGTCAACGGCGATGAGCTCCATAAAACTGAGTCAGACAAAATTGAACAATTTGAGAATCAAAAGCAGAGAAAGAAGGCGCTTCTTGAAGGAATAAAACAATTTAACCAAAAGGCTAAAAAGGGAGTAAAATACTTCATAGAAAAGGGGTTTATCAAGTCAGACTCTCCTGAAGACATTGCAAAGTTCCTTTTGGATACAGATGGGCTCGACAAGGCTAGTATTGGTGAATATCTCGGTGAAGGTGACGAAAAAAACATTTCCATCATGCATGCGTTTGTTGATCAGATGGATTTCGAAAACGTCGAGTTTGTTGATGCAATGAGGTTATTCTTGCAAGCTTTCAGATTACCTGGTGAAGCTCAAAAGATTGATCGGTTCTTGTTAAAATTTGCTGAACGTTATGTCAAGGGAAACCCTCGCATTTTTGCAAATGCTGATACAGCGTATATTTTGGGATACTCGGTGATTATGCTTAACACTGATCTACACTCGCCTCAGGTCAAGAACAGAATGAACATTGATAACTTTGTAATGAACAACTCCGGTATTGACGATGGAAAAGATTTACCAAGGGAGTTGTTGCAAAGGATATATGACGAAATTTTAAATAATGAGATCAAGCTACAATCAGAGCAACATGCGGCCCTCATTGCCGGCGACATTCAAATTGCACCTTCGTCTCAATCTATAGGGTTCTTTGGTGGTCGTGACCTAGCTCGCGAAGCTTATATGTTTGCCTCGAAGGAAATGTCAACAAAGACCGAAAAGTTAATGAAAAGTCTTGGAAAGAGGGCAAAAGTTGATGATCAAGATGTTATGTTTTACGCGGCTACTAGTGTTTTGCATGTCAAGTCCATTTTTGATACATTGTGGATGTCAATACTAGCAGGATTGACCCCGCCATTCAAAGAATATGACGATGATGTGGTGACCAAAGCATGTTTGGAAGGTATCAAGTTGTCAATTCGTATTGCTTGTATGTTTGATTTGGACTACGCAAGAGCATCATTTATTGGGGCATTGGTTCAATTTCAAAACTTGAGCAACTTTGAGGAGATGAAACCAAAGAATGTTGACGCTATATATATCATGTTGGATTTGGCAGTGTCAGAGGGTGATCACTTGGGGGCAGCGTGGAACCAAATTTTGACATCCATTTCACAAATTGAGCGGTTACAGTTGATTGCCCAGGGAATAGACCAAGATTCCATACCTGATGTCACTACCTCAAAACTCATTTCCAAAGGATCAACTGAGAGCGTAAGAACAAGCACGAGCTTCTTTAGCTCGTTTGCTTCGCAAACCCCAGCGCAATCAGCTGCGAATAAGTTTCATAATCAGCATTTATCCCCCGAAGTGGCAACATTGTTGGTGAAGACGGATTTGGAAGTTGCAATTGACAAGGTTTTTACAAATAGTGCCAATTTGAATGGAGGCAGTATTGTTGATTTTGTCAAGGCATTATCAGAAGTTGCCAAGGGAGAGATTGATTCATCGGGACAAAGTGCAAATCCAAGAACGTTTTCTTTGCAAAAGTTTGTTGACATTTGTTATTACAACATGAATAGAATTCGTTTGGAATGGTCGCAACTTTGGGCCACTATGGGCGAAACATTTAATGCATTAGGGTGTCACTCTAACCCTTCAATCCTGTTTTTTGCATTGGACTCGTTGAGACAGCTTTCAATGAGATTTTTTGAAATTGAAGAATTAGCGAATTTCAAATTTCAAAGGCAGTTTCTTAAACCATTTGAGTATGTGATTATACACAATAGGTCGCTAGAAGTTAAGGATATGGTACTTGAATGTATTAATAACATGATACTAGCGAGAGCTTCTCAAATAAAATCAGGGTGGAAGACGATATTTAATGTTTTAACAGCTGCTGCAACGGAGAACAAAGAGACGCTAGTGATGAAGAGCTACAAAATGGCCATTTGGATTAACAAGGAGTATGTGGAAGAAGTTAAAAAGCAGGATTCATTTTCAGACTTGGTTGTTTGTTTCACCACTTTAACCAAAAATGAAAAGTACCAGCGTATTAGTTTGTTGTCTTTGGATGTTTTGTCAAAATTGATTCATCAAATTGCTCAATATAGTTTATTTGACAATGATGGCGATTATGCCGACCATCCTGATCGTGCCGAGTCATTGCAAAAGCTTTGGTTCCCAGTTTTATTTGGCTTTTATGATGTCATAATGACTGGCCAGGAGTTGGAGGTTAGGTCGAGGGCGTTGAATAGTTTGTTTGATTTGATTATGAAGTATGGAAAGTATTTTGATCAAGAGTTTTGGAATTTGATAAGTCGCGAGTTATTATTCCCCATGTTTCAAGTTTTAGGAAATCACTGGGAGTTAAGTTTGGACGAGTTGAATGATAACTTATCCGTTTGGTTGTCTACAACTTTGATTCAAGCTTTAAAAAGCATGATCACATTGTTTACAAACTATTTTGGAGAGTTGAGTCATATGTTGAATGAATATTTGAAGTTGATCATTTCGTGCATCTGTCAAGAAAATGACACCATTGCAAGAATAGGACGAGAATGTCTCACGACATTGTTGATTGACAATTCAACTAAGTTTACTTTATCACAATGGAATGAAATTGCGGAAGCTTTTGCAAGCTTATTTGAGCTCACCACAGCCAAAGAGTTATTCACATTGGACCCATTATATGAAGGCAACACTGACAACCTTTCAATCACAGGGAATGGTGTAGAGGATTCTGAGTTGAAAAAGGAGTTACTTGATGATAACGAAATGAGATTGAAAAAGTCTAGAGAAAAGTCGTCGATAGTTGTCAAGAGTGTTTTGCAATTGTTATTGATTCAAACGTTGTCGGAATTGTTTGAGAATGATTCGTTTTACGATAGCATTCCTATTGATCAATTGATGAAGTTGGCTGACTATTTGAATGGATCTTATCAATTTGCAAAATCTTTCAATGATGATTATGATTTGAGAGTCCGGTTATGGAATGCAGGTGTTATTGAACGTTTGCCAAATCTTTTGAAGCAAGAATCGTCATCATCCGCAGTGTACATCAATATAATGTTTCGCTTATATTGTGATGATGAAAAGGCATCACCTGGGGCCAAGAAGACAATATTGACGAAATTGCATGCTTTGTGTGTTTCCATTGTCGAAAGATATTTGAAATTTGATGAAACAAATCAACAAAGAAACATTAGCACTTGGAAGCCGGTTATAATTGAGATTTACGAGGGTTATGTTGAATTGGATGACGAAGATTTTAAGCAGTATGCTCCAGCAATGTACAAGTTGATTTTAGAATTGATGACCAAAAATCTTTCGAGTGATATGAGGGTTGCCCTTCGAGCCTTTTTAGCTAGAGTCGGAGTTGATTTTGTCAACATTGAGGTTGCTCTGGCTTAGGGATGTGTCTATGTTTTTGGAGGTAATCAATTTATAGCAATTGTGAATGGTTTGTAAAGGTATAGATTGGTTGTTATATCTGAGTTACTGGTAGCGTTACTGGTAGCAACAGTGTAATATGTATTGATATTTTCTAGTCTGCATATAATAACAACAATAGTACGGAGAGAAGTCACAGAAAATTTTTCAAAATTTCAACAAAGAGAGAAAGACAGTAAGACAGAGGCACTACAAAAAAATTTTTTTTTTTTTTTTTTACGAAATTTTTAAATTTTCAACATTGACCTTAGAAAAGAGTTTATCCTATTATCACTTCTTTGACTGGAAAAATACTAAAGAGTTTCGATTAATTCGACATCATGTCATTTCAAAACAAAGTATGTTTTGTTCATTGAATTCCAAAGGTTGGGGGAATTGATTGTCAATTGGCAATTTGAAAAATAGAGCAATCGCAAAAGGGGCGGTTCCTACTATCTAGTCAGCCTTGCGCCAATCAGTACACACAGATCAAAACAGTTTAAACAGTTGCAACTGCATCAATTTGTTATGCTTAAAGCAATGTATTTCGCAGCTTAGCATTAACTCACTTCCGATTTGACAAAAATCGACAATGGACGAGAAAGAGAGCAATTGCTCGTGTGAGCTCCTCCCCCCAGATATGCGCGTGAGAGACATCAACACGATTATTCTCCCCCCCTCCTGTCCCTTACATTAACCTTCATTTACTAACAACAATTTAGAACTTATACGATTTGTTGGGTAACGACGTCGAGGAGGACAATGCCGCTGCTAACCTTCCAATCAAGGAGGTTGTAAAGAAGAACACCTCTTCTAAAAAGTCTGACGTTCCACCACCATCTGCGGATCCAACAAAGGCCAAGAAAAAGTCCAAGCCAACTGGTAATGAAGGTGCTTTGAAAACCAAAAATAGCAACAAGGATGTTCCACCCCCACAATCTACTGCTACCAAACACCAAAAGAAACCTTTTGACCGTCACTCTAGAACAGGAAAGACCGATTCCAATAAAAAGATCAAACAAGGTTGGGGTAATTCTGAATCTAGAGAATTGGAAGGAGAAGTTGAAGGAACTGAAGATGCTGAAGCTGATTTGGTAGAGGAAGCTGAGGAGGAAGTTGACACTACCCCAAAGAAGTCTCTTCAAGAATACCTTGCTGAACAAGAGCAAAAGCAAAAGGAATTGGATGGTGCCAAGAAGTTGAGAAAAGCCAACGAAGGTGCCGAACAAAAATGGAATTCCGAGGAAAAGATTGAAAAGACTCAAGAAGCATACTTTGAATCTACTCACCAAAAGAAGTCCAAAGCTAAAGCTCCAAAAGAGAAGGTCTTTTTGGAAATTGATGCTGTTTTCGCTGACGAGCAACCACAATCATCAAGAGGTGGTTTTAGAGGCGGAAAGAGAGGTGGTTCCAGAGGCGGAAGAGGTGACTCTAGAGGTGGCAGAGGTGACTCTAGAGGTGGCTCCAGAGGCAACAGCAGAGGCAACAGCAGAGGTAACAGTAGAGGTGGCCTCAGAGGAGGTAAGTCTTTCAATGAAAATGACTTTCCATCCTTGTAATCGACTTTGATAATGTATTGTATATTTTTTAGGAATTGTATCAAATCCAACGAAATGTCATACTTTGCAATAGCTGCAGCTCAAATGTTGAATTGTGTTCACTGTATCGTAGTCATTTGCGCCATTTGAGAGATTTGGCTTGCCCAATCTGGACTCTGTTACATCAACAGATCCTTCAAACATCCTGCATGTCTAATTCGAGATCCAAACACGTATCTCCGTAGACTCGAATGAAAGGAAGGGGGGGAGTACTTAAATACATTTTATCAGGCATAATCTACAGCGCGGAAAATTGTCATATGCGCTCTCTATTTCTACGTTTGTAAATTTTTGTTTGTCGATCTTTTGCACCCCACATATTACTTTCTTTCATTACGACCAATTGCACCTGCCTTTCCAACTAAACAAGGAAACCTTAAATCACAAGACCAGGGCTTTATAAAATGGCTAAGGAAGAAGAGCAATATCAATCAGTTTTTTCTCCCGAAGCAAAAGACGATTCCTCGTCAAAGCAACATTACAGAGATCTAGCACTCAACTTGGTTAATAGCGCAGTTCAAAGAGGCAATAATCTAGCACAGCAAAAGCCAGGTAGTAAAAGAGCTCTTGCTGCGAGTACTGCATCAACCCTTTTGGAAATGAGTATGGAAAAGCTCAACAACAATGGCAGAGGATTGCCATCCAATTTGACAGCTGAAGATATTCAACATATAGCATCTATGCCCGATTCTGCCGAGGATAATGAGAGCAAGGCATCATCCACCCAGAGTCACTTTGCCGATCGAATGATTGAAAAGTTATTGAGGTCCACGTTACCTGAGGATATCCCTGAGAGAGAAGTGTTTGAGAAACGGTTACGTGACCCCGAAAGAAACAAGAGACCAGGATTATCCATTGGAACATTGGCTTCCAATGTTAAGAAATTGGCCAGTAAAATGACAAACTTTTTTGCCTTGCAATATGCATTGATTTACATTGTTACTTGGAAGCAACCGACAAAGACATTGAGCGTCTTGGTGCTATACACTGCAGCTTGTCTTTGGCCACATTTGGTTATTGCCTACCCATTGATGTTTCTCCTTTTTGGCGTGCTTATCCCTGGATACGTTCACAGACATCCACCAAGACGTCTCGATTTGATCAAAGTCAAGAAAAGGGGACAATCTTTGTTGAGCTTTTTCAACTCTACACTGGAGTCCAGTATTGTAGAGGATATGGTTGACGAAGATTACATGAGGGAGGACGCCGAAGTCGCTTCATCTGGGTACTCGATTTCTGACGAGGCGTCGGAAGTAACGATTTCATCAGCTCAAGTAACTTCTAGTGAGGTAAAGAGTAGCTCTGCTCCCAAAGAAAAGAAGGAGACTGCCAGACATAGGAAATCCAATTTAGACCTTTTGATCAACTTGCGGGATTTTCAAAACTTGACATCCGACTTGATCAAAGGGATGGACAAAAGTGAACAGTTTTATTTTGAAACTGCCGGCTTTAAAGATGAAAGATTGTCTACTTTTATCTTTTATGGAGTTTTACTTGCTACATTTGCTACGTTGTTCGTAGGACAATATATACCTTGGAGAGCCATTTTCATTCAAACTGGTTGGGTAGGGTTAATCTTGTGTCACCCCAAAGCCAAGAAGTACTTGGTCGATATGAGCAACACCAGGAAAGCCAGAACTAGAAAGGCAAAAGAGGAGGCAAAATTTGCTCAACATTCAGAACCACAAGAATCAGACCTGAATGGCAAACCGAGCTCATCTTTTATTGATGAACTACTCAATGATGGAAAGAAATTTGATCGAGACGACATTATTGTTGATGATGCACCAGAGGTGAGAGTAGTTGAGGTTTTCCAGTTGCAAATCAAGAGTATATTGAAAAACAATTGGACCTTTTACAGATACTCAACTACTATGTATGACACTGAGAATAAGACACGGGTATCAGGTAAAAGACCGCCCGGGGTTGAGTACTTGTCTGAGGTATTGCCACCTCACGATTGGAAATTTGACATGGGATTCGTCAACAAGTGGGTATTGGATACAGATCCAAAATCTTTTATCGAGGAAAGATCATTGAAACCTGATTTATTCGTAGTTAAAGATAACGAGAAAGAAGGGTGGATATACGACAACATGGAGGGAGTCGTGCATCTGGATATTGTCTATGAATTCAGAAGAAGAAGACTATATAGGGAGTGTTATAGGTACGCCAGGCCGCACAAAAGGCCCAAGAGTGCGTAGATTAATTGGTTTTTTTTTTGCTTTTTCATTCATCATCTTCGATCCCAGGCATTCCAAAAAATAGTAGCTTGTAGCAAGGAGATCTTGGATCTGTAAAATGATCATAACTATTATCGGTTTGCGTTCCACAATTGAAGCAAAAGCAAGTGAGGCACTCACTGCACTTCATTTTATTACACCCTTCAAATTTTTCAATAACTGCACCACACCCGGGGCATTCCTTGAGATCAGAACCCTGTCTCAACATTTGCTCGAACAACTTGTCCATTTGATATTCATCAATAGCTTTCAATATCTTATTTCGACCATACTTGGCATTCAAAATCTTCTTTTCATGCGATCCCTGTGGCATGTGATTGTAGGCTTCCAAATCATCAATTGGGATGCCTCCATATTTTGCATCATCACCGCCAACTTTCACACATGGCTTGAACCTTGCATGATACGATTTCCGACAATCGTTGCAAAATGCATACTTGCATCTTGGACACATGACCAACTTTTCATTTAAATCTTCACGGAAAATTGCTTCGTCGCAACCTATTCGCGGGCATTTGACAAGCCTACTCGGTAGTAACTTTCCAATAATTTCAAACTGATTTTTCTTGAACAATGTCTGATACCGTTGTATTAAATCTGGTGAAAGAAACCTTTTGAGCTTTCCTGAAGAGACTGGTGGTGTCAATAATTCTTCCACAATGTTTTTCACTCCTGTGTCTTTCATCGTCCAAGTTTCCAACTTCATAATCTCATCTCTAGCAGCCAAGTGGTCCTTTGTGCATTGGTAATCAGGACAATGCACTTTATCGACTTCTCCTTGGACTATACTGCTTGTAAAATAACCCTCTAAACATTCATTGCAAAAAACATGTGAGCACTTGTCAAATTGTGTACAATTTACTCCTCTGTGTACCACCTGACATATATCGCATGTAAATGTTTGGTTACTAAAGTATTCCTCTTTAGCATAAACATCAAAGGCAAGAATATCATTGTACTCCTCAAAGTTGGATACTTTAATGACAGAGGGTAGTAGTTCATCGACAAAAGATTGTGATTGTTCTTGTAAATGATCAATGAGACTAAATACAACCCGATCTTTGTAGTCTTTCCATAGTTGGAGCAACAGTTGCTCTAACTCTTCAATCTTTTCTTGTTTCAATACGGAACATTTCAAGTCGATTAAAGGTGGGCTATCAGTGGGGTACCCACGCGGCAAGTTGAATTTGAACTTCAACGGAGACAAAAACCTTACTTTCTTGGTGGCTAGAGTTGTAACAGGTTCTTCCTCGCCTTGTTGTATCAAGTCTATCTGTTTCCCTTCCTCCACTTCCAAAGGCACTTCGATTGATCCACTGAGATTGTCATAATCTACTTTGAGTTTATCAAAGATAAGGAAGCATGATTGTAGCTCTTGAATATTTGGATCTTCGGAAAACTCGATTTCGTTATTCGATAACGCCTCGTCTTCTTTCATTCTTCGAAGTTGTTTTTTGAACTCAGAGATGATGAGTTTTGGTGATGGCAATGCATGAAAAATGCGGCCATTACACAAAAATATTGCGATCTTACGTGCGAATCCTTTAACCGAAACAATAGTGGTATCTACCAACTGGAAAGATTCTAGATGCATTAGAGCTTAAACCGGTAATACTTGCAACCATTCTTACCTCTCTAGAAGTCCTTCAGATTACCAGTTTTTGATCAATTGGAGTTCATACAATGAATCACCGGAAACTGGGTGCAAAATGGCCAACAAACTTCACAATCAATTCAACAGGTTACAGAAGTACCCCAGAGCAATAAGGGATAGGACCAAACAAAGCAGAATAGACTTCTCTCAGAAGTGGAATACATTAATAAAAACCTCGAACAACGATGTAACTCACTGACAAGACTTCTAACTTTTTTCAAACGCTAGTTCGACATGTGGCTTGATCATTCTGTCAATTCTACATAAATTCACTGATATCTAGACAAAAGATGCCAATTGGCTGTGTGACTCCTACCACCGCCCTTCCCTGTGCGCTACTTCTGCCAATGTCGTAGCTATAATCAGATTGTATGCAGATCGACCAAAGTTGACCAAAAAAAAAAAAATAAACGAACATCAAGAATCGTGTCAATTTTCCATTGCGAATCACATATAGAGACCCTTTTCTTTACCACACTTTCAATGGACTCCTTCTCCAAGCGTGTGAAAACTTTTGATGCATTTCCAAAAGTAGATCCTCAGCACCAGGTACGATCACAAAGGGGTGGTCTCTCCACTTTACTTACATACTTTCTTGGATTACTTATATTGTGGGTCGAGGTTGGAGGCTACATAGGTGGATACGTGGATAGGCAATTCCTTGTTGACGATGTTTTGAGATCTGACTTGACCATAAACCTCGATATGATTGTGGCAATGCCATGTGAATATTTACACACGAACGTTGAGGATATCACAAGAGACCGTTTTCTTGCTGGAGAGACATTAAATTTCGAAGGGGTCAAATTTTTTATTCCTCCAAATTTTTCCATAAATAACCCCAATGACTTTCATGAAACACCAGATTTGGATGAGGTGATGCAAGAAAGCTTGAGAGCTGAATTTAGTCAATTGGGGAGAAGAGTTAACGAAGGAGCTCCTGCTTGCCATATATTCGGTTCCATACCTGTCAATCAAGTCAAAGGAGATTTCAGGATTACAGCAAAGGGGTTTGGATACAGAGACAGACTGTTTGTACCATTAGAAGCACTCAATTTCAGCCACGTTATACAAGAGTTTTCATACGGTGATTTTTATCCATTTTTGAACAATCCGTTGGACGCCACGGGGAAAGTGACTGAAGAAAACTTGCAAACCTATCTATACCATGCAAAAGTTGTACCTACTTTGTATGAAAAGCTTGGATTAGAGGTTGACACGACTCAATATTCCTTGACAGAAAACCACCACGTTGTAAAAGTTGACCCACATTCCAAAAGACCTCAAGAGATACTGGGGATATACTTTGCATACGAATTTGAACCAATAAAGTTGATTATAAGGGAAAAGAGAATTCCATTTCTACAATTTATTGCAAAGTTGGGGACAATCGCTGGCGGAGTGGTTGTGGCTGCAGGATACCTTTTCAAACTATACGAGAAGTTGCTACTAATACTTTTCGGTAAAAAGTACGTTGAGCAAGGCAAGGAAAGAAAGGAAGGAGGGTTGCTAGACAAGGATACAAAAGTTACTGAATAGAAAATTGCAAACAAAAAAAAAAAAAGAAAAAAGAGCAATACAGTGCAAGAGTTTTGACACACTTTATAGGTTTTAGATAAATTGAAACTTCAATTGCAATTGCCCTTCGAGTACAGCTTCATTTATTATCTAAATACGTAGCCAATTGTAAAGACCTCCAATCAACAATTTCGTACGCGTCTGAAGTCAGTTGATGAGCTTTTTAGGTAGCGATCGTAAATCACCATCTCTCACAATTTTTTTTTTCTCTATCTACAAATCATGATCTCTTGAATTCAAACTTCACGAAACGCTTACAGATCAACCCTTCTACCGAAGATCGACTGACCTACGGCAAGTGAGCGGCGTCATACTTTTGAAAGGGATACTTTGTTTGATTTGAAAAAGCAGTTTGAATAACACATCATTCGATATTTCTAAAAATGTCGAGCATGCAGCTGACTACTACAAGTGACGACAAAGAATATAATGATCTCGTATCACTTATTGAAAAGTCTCTTGATGGAGTCCGTGATGCGTCGGTGCATGAGCAAGCCATTACTCGTAGCCATGGTTATTTAATGCAGCATACATCGACAGATCACTGGTTCTGCAACCAGCATTATTATCCCATTGCGACTTACTCGTTAATCCTATTTTCATTCCCAAATAGCTCATACGGTCCCGATCTACAACCAAGCTGGGCCAGATGCTTGTCTACTTGTGAGGAATGCCTACGTTACTTCAACAAGGGGAAAGCTGAGTTGAGGCTAAGTTTTGCGACAAAGAGAAGAATTTCTATACCCATTGTTCAGCAATTCTTGAACACTATTACTTCATGGGAGTGCACAATCTTGTCACCTTTGATAAAAGCATCGTATCTGAACATTGGATTACTACAATCGGCCACTGATGAGCAGCTCAAGATTGCAATCCATTGGTGCATGAATAATCCAGACATCTTAAGGCAATATGGAGCAATTAACGATACTTTCTCAAACATAATTTCCACAATTATTAGCCAGCTGAATGACTACGTACCTCAAATTTTGCTTCCGGGGTTGATTTATCTTTTGTTTGAAGGTACAGGGGATGAAACGTCGTGGGCAACACGATGGGTCATGAACTTGAGACAAAATCGAGTAATCTATGACAAAGCTGGACTAAATGAGGCAGTTGTTCAAGAATTCAATTTTCAATTGTACAATATTCAAGACCCTTCATTTTACAATGACAAGAATGCGATTGGGTTTTGGAAAAATTTCAATATTTTGGTTGACTTCATTGATAACGATGCATTCGAAACAAGGCTAAGCATGCCAATTGACATTGAAGTTATGAGTCAACACAAGAATTTAAGACTTTACCCCATTATTAGACTTCTTGCAAACAGTTTAATGTCAAGCTTAAGTGACCCGCTACCGATTTTATTGAAAGTATTTGGGAAACTTTTGCGTCGATTGAACTCACGATTTTGGTCATCAACTGGACCTATCAATCATCAGCAGATCCTTGACTGCATCAAATTTAATCCCGCATTCCGAAAATATTTGCTACAAGCTACTATGGAGGAGCACACGCTCGATAGTTGGACTTTGAGTGATTTGTTACAATGGATGCCTAGAATGATCGAGTCTGTTTCTCTGCTTGAAAGAGAGAATGTTTGTTTGAAGTTGGGTGTTTTTTTGTTGAATTTTTCCGTAAGCGGTACAATTAATGATTCAGGGACCAAGAGAGAGACATATTTGCGTGAATTTGGCTGTAAATTGTTTAATAAAGTCTTTGATTTCAATGACGAGGGTGACTTGAGTGACGCAAACTATACAATAAAGCTACTGGCACACAGACAAGCTAGAGCACGGATTGATTGTGTCGGTGAAGCATTGGTTGCGCTAGTAATCAACTCAAAGAGTGAATCTGCTCTTGAGCTTATTTCCAAATGCATCAAGTATGATGTTGCCATTTTGTGTCACAATAGTGTTCTATTACTCGAGTACAAAATTCCTGTTTTGTTTGATACATTTCCCATGCTATGGGAAGCATTGGCAAAGTCAAGAATCAATTCCAATGTGAATCTTGCAAAAGAAATTATAAAATGTTTCAAAAATTTAATAGTCGCCATAAATTTTCATCCCACGAAAGTTGAAGGTGTAAACAAGCGCTTGCTGGCGGCAAAAGAACAACACGAACGATCTTTGGGTATTGTTATCAAGTTTGTGAATCTGGTCTTCGGAAATATTAGTCTTGCACCTCAAACTGTTCTCAAAAAAATCATGGACAATGTGCAATGTGTTGAAGCCATATGGTCTTGCATTTTCTCACCCCTGTGTACTCAGTCGGCCCTAGAACTTTTGAGTCAAGTATATGACGGGAATGGTAGGCTTGAATGCGTTACAGAAAGCTTGAGTCATAATTTGAAACTAACATTGAGTGCAATCAATTATAGTCTCTCGGTATTGACGAACTTGGAAGCATTTGAGCCAACCCTTAAGGCAGTAAGGATTGTGATGGATGTTGTTGATGCATTGGCAGACCCTATAACCTCTATTTTATCAATGCCAGATGTTGAGGGTGCATTTAAGGAAGTTGAACAATTTTGGAGCTCAAGTTTGTCGTTTTTGGTAATGATATATCAGAAAACGATGTTTTGGGCGAGTAAGTACCACATGCATGAGTTGGTGGACTTTACACGAGACACATTAGACTTGAGCCTTCTTTTGTTGAAGTCATTTCGTTTATTTGCCGACTCTATTAGTCCTTATGCTGGTGAAAATTCGGCGTCTGACTTGTTTGCTGTATTTATGGACGCGTTTCAGTTCATGGTGTCGTGGCTAAAATTGGGAGATACGCCTCTTTTGAATTCTTGTGTTGATCTTGTATTCAAAGTATTTGACTTGGCCAAGGACAGGAAGTTTGTAATGGGCCTGGAAATTATTCAGAAACTTGCAAGCTTTGGTGTAAAAGCTAAAAAATTCAACAACAAACTAACGGACGAGCAAAGAAATGAGATCATTGCGCGCGCCAAGTCAGTCGACGAGGATTTGGTGAATAAGATTGTTGAGGAATCAACCTCGAAAGAGAAGTCGAAAGTTGAATTCATTAAGGAAGTGTCACCATCCGTCGCGGCGAAATCCTCGACAGGTACCAAGCAACAGCAAACATTGGCAAAGTTTGGACACATTTCAAGCGAGCCTCCTGTTGCGCCGCCGCCACCGAAGGAGGTTAAAGGGTTAAATAGTCTCGACAACATTCGTCGAGAACTCAACAATTCACGAGTTGCTGCCAAGCCTGCTAAAGTACCAATTCACGCACCAGCTCCTCCACGTCCGGCCGGTTTCAATTCAAAGAAGGCATCTCCAGTGATTGGCAGATCCTTGAATACTCTAAGAGCAAAGAAGGTGACATCGGACTCGTCCGATGATGATGATGGCGGTATTGATACTAGCGACTTGTTCGTTACCAAAAAGAAAGTTTCCAAGATAACCGAGGTTGACTTGAACGGAAAGGTGATTAGTCTGATTGATAGAATGCCAAGAAAGAAAGCACAGACAGAAAAACTGGAGAAAGAGAAAATGAGATTGAGATTGAATGTTGATCTCAAACCATTATATCAAACAATCTTGCCGTGGAATTACAATCTTCGTAACGATTATCCGACTCATGACAAATCAGCATACTCGAAAGTCAAAGACACTTACAAAGACGTGAAAGAGTATGTGTCGATCATGGAGCCGTTGTTTATGCTTGAATGTTGGCAACAAATACAATCGGCGAGAGACACTATTGACGAGGATCCTTTTGAGATTCTTGTGGGGACAAGAACCTCAGTAGATGGGTTTTTTGATATATTCACGTCAATGAGCAAGAAGACAATCGAGAATAGAAAGTTGACAGATAATGACTTGCTAGTAATTGCATGTGACAACGAATCAATCGTGCAACCCAAAGAGAGAAGACAATATATAAAGTCTCCCAATACACCGTGCTGTTTGGCAAAAATTAGGGAAATCAAGCACGTCAACCCTGAGTACTCCGATGTGACTTTAAGAATTGCAAAGAGCTCGCCATTAGTGGGAATGTTAGCACCCAAGGCAACCATTCTTGGTATGAGGGTGATGCAAATGGTAACTGTAGAAAGGGAATTTTCTTCCTTGCATGGATTGCAGTACTACGACTTGGTCGATTCAATAATCCTGGCTACTCCTGCTATTCCTAAGCAAGTGGATGACAAAGACGTGGAACAAATGTATAAACATTTCGATGTCAACATGTCGCAAGCGAAAGCCATAATTGGCTCTTACCAAAGTGAAGGATTCTCATTAATACAGGGGCCACCGGGTACGGGAAAAACAAAGACTATTTTGGGTATTGTGGGGTATTCCTTGTCTCATGGGGTCAATGAGAAAGCTATCGAGGCACCATCCAAATCAGCTTCCCCTTCTTCGAGGGCCAAAATTTTGATATGTGCCCCCAGTAATGCAGCTGTTGATGAATTGGTGGTGAGATTGAGAAATGGTGTTCGGAATTCGAAAGGGGAGAATATGCCGTTAAAGGTTGTTAGACTTGGACGAAGTGATGCCATAAATCAAGCAGTGAGAGACTTGACATTGGAAGAATTGGTTGACAAAGAGTTGCAAACTAAGCAAGTCGATGTTGCAACAGATCAAAACTTGAGACCCGAACTTAACAAAAAGACACAAGAAAGAGATACGCTCAGATCGAGACTTAATGATGAAACTTTGGATTCAAAGGAGAGAGACGATGTTCAGCAAAAGTTGCGAGAGATCAACAAACAAAGAAGCGAATTGGCTAAAAAGCTTGACGAACAGAGAGAGCGAACTTCTATCGCGTACCGAAACAAGGAAATTGATAGAAGAAATATCCAAGCTCGTATATTGTCGGAGGCCAACATTTTGTGCGCCACTCTATCTGGATCAGCACACGATTTGGTTGCGAATCTAGCCGTAACTTTTGATCAGGTGATTATCGATGAAGCTTGTCAGTGTTCAGAGCTGGCTGCAATTATTCCACTTCGATATGGTTGCAGAAGGTGTATCATGGTTGGTGATCCGAATCAATTACCACCAACAGTGTTGTCTCAGACAGCAGCGTCACTCAATTACGATCAGAGTTTGTTTGTGAGAATGCAAAAAAATCACCCCGACTCCATTTACTTGTTGAATACCCAGTATAGAATGCACCCAATGATTTCAAAGTTTCCAAGTGCTGAGTTTTATCAGTCAAAATTGATTGACGGTCCTGGAATGCAAGAAAAAAACACACGACCCTGGCACCTGGTTGATCCATTGTCTCCGTACAGGTTTTTTGACATTGTTAGTAGACATGAGAAGAATGAGTTGACCCGTTCATTGTACAACACAGAAGAAGCCAATGTCTGTTTGCAGTTGGTGCAGAAAATGATGACAATGGTTCCACAGAAAGATATCGCTGGTAAAATTGGTATAATTTCACCGTATAAAGAGCAAATCAAAACAATCAAGAGGGTGTTTGAGCGAGCCTTTGGGAGACTTATCTTCAACGAAATAGATTTCAACACAGTTGACGGTTTTCAAGGCCAGGAGAAAGAAATCATCATTATGTCTTGTGTTCGAGCTAGTGCTAATGGAAGTATTGGGTTTTTAAGCGATATACGTCGTATGAATGTGGCACTTACTCGAGCTTGCACAACGTTGTGGATTTTAGGTAACAAAAATTCTTTAGCCAGAGACGAGGTGTGGAAACGATTAATAGAGGATGCTGAGAAAAGAATTGCGGTGACAAAGGCTTACTCTGGATTTTTGAGTACTTATGCATCTGCATCATCGTTCAATCCCATTGATAGACCATCGAAAAGATTTCAAAAGGATGATGGACAGTTCAAGAATAAGAAACAAAAGACAAGACCTCAAGAAGGGCTTCCAAAGAAACCGAATGGTGTCCGAAATGGTGGCCATCTACCTCCAATACCTAATCCAGAAAGCTCAGCCAATTCTATACGTCCAACTTCTAGTGGGACGCTTCCACTCAGACCCGGAAACTCGGTATCAGTGGCCACTGCTAATATACAAACAAACAAGTCACCAGGAACAGTTGGGCTACCTGTGCTGTTGCTCCCACAGAATCAGCATGGAAACAAAACACAAAATAATTTCAACGCGACCAAAGAACCCAATCCATCTCTGTCGGGTACGCTTCCAAAGCGACCTCTTGGTCCAACGTCATCGGGCATTGTTCTCCCACCAAAGCCCAAGACACCAAACTTGTTTATAAAGAGGAGACCACCCTCGAAGAAATGAGTTTAGCATTAAAGAATAGAAACTGCATTAATTTACGCAAAATTCCCATATATACAATACACTTTTCAACTCTGCTTCATTTGTTTGGACCTTGTATTATGTCCTTCTTTCGTCACAACTGTGAAGGCTTCATTCACAGCGTTGATTTCATCACTTACTAATTGCAGCAATATTCCTCCCAGATGTAGTAGCGAGATAGATGTGGCGGCCAGCTCTAATTTATCACGCGTTTGCATCAAGGTTTGAATAACTGGCATAGTGTCCGCGTCGACCGTAGACTCTTTCAAAATTGATTCAACTTTTTCCTCCTGTGACGCCAATATCTGTTGCACTAGATTCCATTGGTTATCACAGCCATGGTAAGATGCAGCTGTTTTAGATGTGCTCATGACCAAATCGTTTAAGGCGTCCACTCGTAGCCGTAAAAAAGTGGTTATGGGCTCAACATCCAATGTCGTAGTTAGCGTCCTATTTGGTTGTATCTGAGGCAATTGGCTCCTTTGCGGAACATGCAGAACAACTTTGTGAATGAGGCTCTGAACTTGACTTTTAAAGATTCTTGAATTTTGAGCACCAATAGCGTACCCTTTTTCAAATGCTGTAGGACCGTGACCATGATTTAGTAGGGAGTCATCATTTGTAAGCAAATGAGCCGGTTCCAAAGGTGGTTCGTAGGGCTTCATCCCTATAGATGAAGCTGTTTTGGAATCGCGAATAGAGGTAGAATGAGTGGCGGATTGTGCAGTAGCATTTTCATGTTCCATCTCAATTTCCTTTACGTTGTTTAACTCTTTAGGAAATTCAAATGAAAGGTCTATAGCTTGCTCCTTGATCAAAGATGTAAAGTCAGACTCGGGTAAGCCGTTGTTCTGTAAATACTCGAGCAATACTTCTTTCCCTCTCAGTTCCAAGTAGCGCAAGTTTTCTCCATATAGAGCGGTTCGACTTTCCAAAACACTGGTAGTGTCCTCTATCTCTTTGGACAAAAGCGATTTCTTCTCATTCAATGCTGCTATTCGACTTTGAAGCTCTTTTATTTCGTTATCAACACTAGTAGACTCATTTAATAATCCAGCAAGCTTGGCACCGTGCTTACTTTCAACACTCTTTGTCCTCTGAATTTTTTGTAAAATCCTATCTCGTTTCAGTCTCCAGGTGTCAAAGTAGGTATGTACAGACTTTGTATACGATGCATCCCTCGAGTATAGCTCATTTAATGAAAAGTAGCACTCGGATAATTGATGAAAGATTCGCAGAACTTTTGACCTAATTTCGGCCACATTAGAGTCTCCTTCTCTCAAAAGTGTACTGTACACTTGTGAGTATTCGACCAAGTTGTTCTCAAGTTCTCTTATTTGTTCTGAAAGATGTTTTGTTGGTTCATCGAAGTTTTGGTTTGCTAGCGGGGGCACAAGCTCGGATAGATGTAGCAGTCCCAATGTCAAAGTATTATTCGATTCCGCCAATTGTTCGTCTGGTTTATCGTAAAGCAATATATGTTCTCGATGGATATGTTCGTATTTTATGTCATTGTGGTTATCTGTTATAAACTCTTCGGGATCATGTTCAAATTCGTCATCATCGTAGCTTTCACTCTCTGAAACTGGAACCTTTTGATGATAAAGGGAATGTCTACTCGGCGACTTTGCATTTAGCTCACTTTTGAGAGTTGATGCTAGATTTATTGACTCATAATCATTATTGTCCATGGATGCGGATATAGTGTAAGTTGATATTGGTTATCATTTATCTTTTTTGTTTGATTTCTAAAGGATCCACATTTGTAACACAAAAGATTTCCCTGGGATAGATCTGTGACTTATTTTGCCAATACAAAATGTATTACCTGTGTGACACTTCAAGAGGTTTCGAGGCATGGGTTTACATAGCTATCGATACGGATTGGCGAAATTGAGTGGTGTCTCTAAGGTAAAGGGGGTTTGAAAACAGCGCAGGAATCTAAATTAATAAGTAATTTAGTCTTCTTTTTTTATTTCACCACTCTCAAACAAGGCTGACTTCGTATCACATCAGATCACTCTTCACTTATTCGATTGTAGCTTTGCTCTGGTATCAAATAGTCCATCTTCGATGATCCATGTAAACTTTGTGGCGTACGCGTTACCAAAAAAAAACCAAACAAAAAATACCGTAACGCATCAACCCAAATCAGGATATCCTAGAACCAAAAACCTACCAACAGTCCTCAAAGTGTCGCAACCAACTTATGAAGATTCTATGTGTGGCGGAGAAACCATCAATTGCGAAGGAAGTGGCAAATATTCTAGGAGGAGGCAGAGTGCAGGTCAGAACTTCGAAAAACAAGTACATCAAGAACTACGACTTCAAATTTGCTTTCCCCGATCGTGGCCTCTGTGACGTAACAATGACATCGGTTGTGGGTCATATTACGAATCTTGATTTCCCACCACAGTACCAATGGGGTAAATGTGCAGCAGAAAGACTCTTTACAGCTGAGATTGTAACAAAAATAACCAAACAAGACGTGTTTGACAATATAGCAAAGGAGGCAAGGAATGCTGACAAATTGATGATATGGACAGATTGTGATCGCGAAGGTGAATTTATTGGCAAAGAGATATTTGATGCGGCAAGGAAGGGAAATAATAGGATTTTACTCACTGATGTTTGGAGAAGCAAGTTTTCCCACCTTGAGAGAAATCATATACTACGGGCAGCAAAGTCTCCCATATCACTAGATATGAAAGCAGCATCTGCAGTATCGTGCCGTATGGAACTTGATTTTAGAGTTGGTACCAGTTTCACGCGACTTTTAACAGACAATTTGAAACTCAACAATATTATTGATAAGAAGGATATAGCATCTTATGGTACATGCCAGTTTCCCACGCTTGGGTTTGTTGTTGATAGGTACAAAAGAGTAAAGAATTTCAAACCAGAACCATTCTGGTATATTGAACCGATGTTGCGAAAAGAAAGTAAGAGAACCACGTTTAGCTGGGTCAAGGGTCACATTTTTGATAAACTATACGTCTTGCTTATGTATGAGCGATGTCTCAAGCACGAACAGGGCGAGATCACCAAATTGGAAACGAAGCAAACCACAAATTACCGTCCTTTACCACTCACCACAGTTGAGTTGCAAAAGGATTGTGCCAAGTATTTCAAAATGTCTGCAAAGGCCACCCTCGAGGCTGCCGAGAAGTTGTACAACAGAGGCTTTTTATCGTATCCTAGAACCGAGACCGACAAATATCCTCCCACGATGGACTTTAAAGGCATATTTGAGAAGCAGAAACAAGATCCTCGATGGGGGCCATACAGTGAAGGATTACTAAACAATGGTCACGAGCAACCAAGAAACGGATCACACGATGATCATGCACATCCGGCAATTCATCCTGTAAACTACGTTTCTATTGATTCATTACAAACTACCAATGAAAAGAAGGTGTATGAATATGTTGTACGACGATTCTTGGCTTGTTGTTCCAAAGACGCTAAGGGTATGTTAACTCTGGCTACATTGAAATGGGGAGATGAGTTTTTCACTACAAGTGGATTAATGGTTACCGAGAGGAATTACCTTGACATATTCACATACAAGAAATGGGAAAGTTCTAAACTGTTGCCCGGCTTTCATGAAGGTGAAAAAGTGAAAATCTCGAGTGGGTTGATGAAAGAAGGTCGAACCAGTCCACCACAATTAATGACTGAGCCTGAACTAATTGCCTTGATGGATGCAAACGGTATCGGTACTGATGCAACAATTGCAGAACATATAGATAAAATTATGTCACGGAAATACGTCACCAAGATGAAACGGAACAAAATTGATTACATTGAGCCTTCACCGTTAGGGATTGGACTTATTGAAGGCTTTGACAAAATGGAGTTTAACGGAATCTCTCTATCGAAGCCATTTCTTCGAAAAGCGTTGGAAAACTCGTTACAGGATATATGTAATGGATCGAAAACCAAGACCGAGGTAGTGGAAGAGATGAAACGAATCTATCGTGACGCGTATGGCATATGTTTGCAAAAAGTGTCACTTTTAACAAACGAATGTAGAACTAATCAAAATAGAAGGTAGAGAATGGTAGAATCGAATACAGTTGAGTAAGTTGACGTAGATATATTTTGTGTGCGCAAAGAGACAAAAAAAAAATAGCATAGAGAGAGGGAAAGCGAAGAACCTGGAAGTCAACCATGTTTGGATCATCTCGCGCATTTGGGAACCAATCAAACCCATTTGCAACGAATTCGAAGTCATCGAACTCTGCTTTTGGCTTGGCCACAACTGCAAATTCGGGTCAAGGGTTTGGAAACTCAGGGTTTGGAAGCTCCGGTTTTGGAAGCTCCGGTTTTGGCAGTTCAGGTTTCGGCAGTTCAGGTTTCGGCAACTCGACACAGGGACGCTCGGGATTTGGCAGCTCAGGGTTTGGAAGTTCGGGATTTGGTAAATCAGCACCGACAGCCACTGGCAATGGAGCAGGATTTGGTAATGCAGGATTTGGTAATGCAGGATTTGGTAATGCAGGATTTGGGAGTTCAGCATTTGGCACCAATAACAATAGCAATGCCAGTCTGGCATTCGGAACTCAAGGCAAAACTCCGTCACAATCAAGTCCCTTTGGTGCATTTCTGAATACCAACACGGGATCGGCATTTGGCAATAAAACTAATGCAACTACATCAGCATTTGGGTCTACACAAAATCAAGAAACTGCCAGTGGGGCGTTTGGTAACATCAGCGCCAATAATTCAACGAGTTTAGGGTTTGGTAATCCTTCGGCATCATCTGCGTTCGGACTGGGCAATAAAGCAAGTACACTGTCCGCCTTTGGTGGTAGCGGGTTTGGAAGTAGTGGATTTGGAAGTAGTGGATTTGGAAATGATGGGTTTGGAAGTAGTGGATTTGGTAATGCAAAATCATCTCAGCCACTGGCATTTGGAAATGCTCCTTCTAACACAATTGGACAAACGTCTGCCCTCAATTCTTCAACCGCGCCCAATGCCTCCACCGCTTCCCCATTTAGTGCTATTGCGTCGAATCCATTTCAACAACAGCAACCATCTGCTTCACCGTTTGGTGCGGCGTCTACATCAAATTCCCAAACTTCATCAACTAGCGCATTCAAACAACCAAACATAATGCTGTCTCAACCACCCTTTGGACAGGTGAAGCCCGATCTGACAATGCTGTCGCCATTTGCCTCAACAGCGGTACAGAATCCATTCGCCTCAAATTCGGCAACGAATCAGCCAGGACAGCAGGGTACTTCTCTGCTGGTATTTGGCATTACAAGTGTTGGGAATACTAATGGCTCATTTACATCGACACAAGCCAGTGCAATAGCGAAGCCTGGTGATGTGTCGACTCTGCTTTCTAAGTTGAGTTTGGCAGCACAAGAAGCATTCAAAGCACCTGCATTCGAGTTGGGTCATATTCCAGATATACCTCCTCCCCCGGAACTATGTGTTTAGGGATAAGATATAGATAGGGATACATGGATATATATTTATATTTGCATATATCTTAATCTCTTATCTAGTCTATATAGTATTTATTTACTATTTATTATTCTTTATGTGTATAGATAGAGTTATTTTAACGATGTTACGATTTTGCATCAAAAACGGCCTAATGGTTGCGACAAGTGTGCAATATATTAAAAGAAAAAAAAAATGGTAACTAGGATACACATTAAACAGTTACGCTTTCTGCAATATATGATTTGTATTGAATGTGGAAATCCCAATATACCGGCTTTATATTCTAAATACAAGAGTCAATATGTTAAATTGACCGTTTGTGAATCATGCAACAAGATTTGCGATAAGTATATCGAATACGATGCCGTCATTTTGTTTCTTGATATTCTACTTTTGAAAAAGGCAGCTTACCGACATCTATCATATAATGTGACCGAATGGCAAATCAGAAACCATACGGGTTGGAGCTTAAAGTATCAAAATTTGATTCGATTAGTCACTTTGATTATACTATTTGATGTGTACTTAACTTGGGCAACGTATGAAAAGAGTCAATTTGGTCAACAAGATGATGATTATGGGATGATGCAATTGATACTACGACAGAGTTTGATTGATCAATACTCGTTTTTTATTGCTGTCATCAGTTTACGTCATGTGATATTCAACGTCATGATGCAATTGATTTTACGATGGCAGTATGGATTTGGAAATGAGCAAAACACCGTGATATCTCGATATGATCAATGGGGATACACAACTGCAGTACTTCTATTAACAATTATGACGTCTGGGTCGGTAAAATTATTTCGTATATTGACATTGATTTGGCCGTACGATATTTCAATACCATATCGAACATTTGATGTCATTGGATTCATCTATGTTATTGAAGCGTTGCGTGTGGTGACAGGATTGTCGTATACGAAGGTAATAGCAACGGTGCTGGTGTCGTCGTTAACGCTGTACCTAGCAATCGCGTGGTTCAAGCAATTTTTGTTAAGGTATTTAATTTGAATGAGGGTCCCATCGAATGTATATATGATAAATATGTCGTTTGAATGTGTACTATCTCCGCCGCAGCCAAAGAGAGATAAACATTGTTGCACAGTCTCAGATTAGTCCTGTCAAGAAGAAGTTGCTGCAAAATTTACTGCTCCATTAAGTGGAATTACATCAAGCTGACATGCGCAGATGCCTCGAAAATTTCAACCGTATCGGTTTGTCTGTGCCCCATTTCGAAAAAGGAAATCTCGGGGAAAAAAATAAATTGGATGAGGTGCCGGCGGAGGATAGCTTAATATTTTGCGTCAGTGACTCTTACACAAAATTCGAAACCATTAGTTCCGAAATATGAAAAAAAAAAAAAATTGAGTGACCGTGGATGGTAAAGAAAGCTGAAGAGTCACGTAAACGCAGAAACGGAGTTTGTAGATTTCTGGAGTAAATGAGTAATGTAGATTCCACAGCGCAATCTACGCAAAAGAGTATTAAGAAAATGTACCTGAAAAGAGTTACTTCTGGCTTCCCCGCCTGGGTGTAGTATAAGCTGAAGCCGTAAACAAGAGCTATGGTTTTCAGGCTCCAATACAAAGTAAGGTCAAAAGAGCAACAAAATAGTTGGAAGCGAATGCTGCAATTCGTGTAAAACAATCCACTGCCCTTAGTAACTGCCAAGACCGTTGTACTTTCAAATGGATACGTGCATGGAGGATGACTGTAACTACAAAGTCTAATTCTCAATTGCCGAGTTACAATGTTATACACTGCGCAAAAGCGTGGTCTTTTTCAATTTGAGTGATTTTTTTGAATTAACAATGTATGTGATACATATACACTTTAGTCATCGTATGCTGATGTGCACACAAAAGGTAAACAATGTTTTCCTGTATATAAATATCAATATAAGTTGATTAAAATTTCCCTAATGAACAACAAAAAAATTAGAAATGAATTCAACGAAACCATCGAGAGAATACAAGTTTGCTGGATTACACACATATAAGTGCCCCTTCGTCCATTCGCCAATTCGAGTCAACAACCTCTTACTACTCGATAGAAGTTCCATTGCTGAAACCAATTGACACACATAGAAAAAGATACATTATATACACGTTGTTCTTACCGTAACCTCCGCTAAGACACAAGCTAGCTTTACTCAAGACTGCCCGTTTTACATTACCAGTTAGACTCAAACTCCATAAAATATAAATAGTAAACCATGGATTCAGAAAAGATTGTTGCTATTATCCTTGCCATTTTCTTACCACCATTGGCCGTTTTCATGAAGGATGGTTTGGGACCTTCCTTTTGGTTGAATTGTTTGCTCTGTATCTTTGTTTGGTTCCCAGGTATTTTACACGCCTTATACGTTGTTCTTAAAGATTGATTTTTGTTTGAAGAAATATACAATAATTACTTTGGAAAATGCGCTAAAAAAGTAGTCGTTCCTGTGACACTGCCTAGCTCCGGAGAGTGGCATCGCCCTCAGAGAACGCTTTGTAGACAATCTCTGTTCTGGAAGAATCACGGAATTGTTGAAAGTGAATGGCTTGACGTTGACTTGATGTACGTCACTTTTGTACAACGTGAAGAGGACAAAAGCCACATCAGTCCGTGGTTAAGCCGCTGTCATTATGCAACGAGCCATTGCTTCAGGTTAAAAAGCAGTGTGAAGCCCATTCTTGGTATCTCCTTCGCCTACTAGACCCCACTTTGATTAAAGGCTGCGAAAAAACTTCTTGAAGTCTACAGTAAGGGGAGATCGACAGGAACTCTAGTGGCTCCATCAGATATAGAAAATTGTGCATATTGCATCTCAGAACACAGATAGTCCTACCGGAGAACTCTAAGGACACAATATTGCAAAAAAGCTTTTGAAGTACCAAGAGATGGAGTGTTAGAACCCTCATCGTGGGTTTTTTGTGTATTTGATTGTACAGAAGAATCTGAATTGTACGTGTGTACGTTTTACATCCTTCTCTTGACCAATCAAATCTTGTCATTCCATTGACTTTTATCTCTGTTACGTAATATGTTACTAACTCATTCTTTATTTTGTGTAAAAAAGCATATCTCGATCTTGAAAGAATTTTGTGATACACGGTGAAAAATTTCTCGACCTAAGTTTGTAGTGTTATCATAACTATATTGATATGATATAAGTGTGTTGCTAGACACACTGGACTTGAAAATCAGTCAGCAATAAAGGGAATGGTGATAAAGATTTTTTTTTTCCATATCAGATAAAACCTTGATCAAGAAAATAAGATAACACGGCCCCTTAATGGAGTTGGAAAAGCAAGGCATAGCATGCTACACAGCATCTCGTTTTCGCCAAAAAAAGATTCAACAGCGTCATTGTCTGGGAAGTTCGTCGAATCGCCTTAATCTAGTTGTGGTATGCACTACCGAGGAGTTCTGGCCGCCTCAAATTTCGGTCTTATCATAAATTGCCAATAATTACACAAAATTGGTTGATTGATTAACTAACAACATCCAAAAGATAATCTTAATCAAACTTCGTTTGCTATTGTGACAGATGGTCAGTTGTTGATATAAAGAGTGCAAAAAGATATATATCCCCCTTATTTAAACTTCCTAAAAGAGAGAGCTTCCTCAAAAATACATACCACGATGTTGGAAACAAGTACCCGATCGTCTAATACTATGGTCACGTCACCATCTCATCACTCACCAGCACCAACCAACAAAGTTGGAACCAGGAGGAAATCACTGATTGTAATTACTCCCTCGCAAATTTTATGCGGCACGTTTGATGGCCATAGCCGTCTCACAAATTCATTCGGCACTGGAGCCACAACGCCCTCAAGTGAAGAAAAAGGTCATGATCCATTAAAAGATCCTAATCGCAAGAATCTCGATTTGGAGGAGCTTCCACCATTTTCGTTTCTGAAGAAGCCCATAGATGACAGGAGATGTTGTGAGGGAGAGATAAAACTGAATATCACTACCGTCATAGGTGGCAATACATCAAGAACTCAAAGCAGATCAATCACCCCAAGGCAATCACAAATTTCACTTTTGTGCCAACCACAACAACAGCAACAACAACAACCAGAGATCATACTACCTGATGATTATGATGAGAGGATACGGTTTCCACAAATGAGTAGTCATTACATATATGAGAATAAACCAGAGGCCAATCGCAGTGAATCATTTGAGACAGTAGTGCAAAGCCAAGAGAAGTATTCTATCAATGAAAATGCTCCTAACGAGGATGTGGAATACACCCCAGCTGTTTTTGATATCAATCAACCAACTAGACGCTACTCCACTCCGAATCAAATCGTATCCAAAAACGATGAGACTAAACTACTTGAGGAATTTACCCGTAATAATTGCATTTATGAAGTTAAACAAGATCAGTTCTTTACTCACCAGATTTGCTCTGACAATGAGAATAGCACGTCACAGTGTGAGGAAAGGAATTGCCCTAGACTTAAGAATCAACCAAGTTTTCCCAAGGTGCATCATCGAAAAGACTCTAACCAGAAATTAAACCAAGTGTATCAAATGAAGAAACCAATGATGACGCCAGCAGTTCTACGAGTGGAGCCTCAGAAACAACATCATCAGGTACAACTCCAATCACAGCAGCAACAACAAGCTTTATACGTGAAGCAGCACAGAGCTACTTCTTCAACTTACACAGTTTTCACCATAAATGAACATAACATCAATATATCCAACGAGCCAACACACAAACATTGGCAATCCAATAGTGCAACCGATGCGTGCATGGCTTGTCTTCGACCGTTTCATAGTCCTCTCGTTACAATGATTTATGATGTTCCAAGGAGACATCATTGTCGGTTTTGTGGGTTGGTCTTTTGCAAGCTGTGTTTGGATATAGGAAGCGGTAGTGATGAATGTTCAATGTCGTCTTCATCGTCGTCGTTTACCCCCACATCAATATCTTTTTCGTCAACAACTACCGCGTCGTCGATTACACCTGTGGCAAAATCAGAAAGGGGAAGCAACCCAGTAATGACTCCGATTATAGATAAGAATGCCAACTTTGTTGTGCCGATTGCATCAGCAACAGCGACAGCTAGTGGGATCTTCTCCTCAGCTCACACTACAAAGACATGTCATAAATGTACGGCCCTTTATGAGACACTAGTTATTGAAATCAGCAAACCAGCAAATATTGCAAGTTTGCTAAATAAAGTCGACACAGAGCTGACCAAGATTGATTCCTGTGTTGCTGTTGTTGAGAATCCCTATCTCAATGATGCCAAATTATTTGACTATGAAATTACAACACACGCGTTCAAGCGATTGAGTATACGTAGTGTTACAAAAAGAGGTGATGCTAGAAGAAGTAATGGTGGTGTCGAAGTGGATGATTTAGGTGCTCAACCAGATGATGATGATGATGAACGAAAAATGAGCGTTGTTGGCGAAATGCCAACCGATTGGACTTGGAGTTCATTTTGAAGAGAGAGCAAGTCTGATGCACTATGTGTTGAAACTGTAGCTCCACATACTACCCATTCCAAACGGACCGGTTTCTATGAGCTTGTAATAATCGCCTCTATCTCTCCCCCCACGTTCGAATCAACTATAGCTGCTCGTTATGGCAATACTGTTGATGGTCCAACTACAATCAATATCGTGAAAATGTATTGCGTTGCAATAAAACAAAATAACAACCCTACAATTATATAACGTCTTACGTAATATTTAACAATATAGAAATTAATTTTCGAGACTGACGCGTCATGTCACAAAGTTAAATTTCCAAATTTCATATTTCACTAGTGCAATTTTGACCCAATCTGGTTAAAATTTTCTCTCTCTAATTGACATAGTTGTCAAAATTGAAACAAAGACAGGCGTTTTTAAACTACCATCAAGCGAAAAACAAGTTTAGTTTTGTTGGAGGTATGGGTAAAAGATTTGTGTGTGAAAATTGAAGCATAGGTCTAGATTCAATTTGTCCCAAAAGAAAAAAAAAATAAGAACCCCCCCCTATTTAAAGCGCGTAACGTTCTAAAATAACTGAACGGCTATCACTAGATGCTTTGTTGCGAAAGGTGGCGTTAATTGGGTAGATCTGCGCACAGGGTGCTTTATTTCCAGCTCGAATGTTACTAAATTGTGCTCAATGAAGTGAGGTATCTATTAAGCCAAAGTGTAATGGGCACACAAGAGCGACTGTAGAGTCTCCAGAAACATCACCTACAGCAAAAGTAACCCCGCCGTCATAGACAGTATCTGAAGCTTTAACAGTGTGCCTCCCCTGTTTACATTCGTGAATTGCATTTATACAGAGTCAATTGGCGTTCGTTAGATTAACTACATCCCGGTCCCTCTTCCTCTATTTTGGATAAACTAGACAGAATTTTTCTAGTTGTAATCGTTGATAGATACTGATTGAACACACGGTGGGTTTTCTTTTGAATGTATTACTGCATACGAACTTTTGCTTTCACAATTGAGTTAAAGCTTAAACAAAATTTAAAAATAATAAACAATACAATGAAACAAAATTATATAATTTTTTTTTTTTTCTTCGTCTGTTTTTGAAATCTGCTAATCCTTTTTTCTTCAAGATCCAATTTTCAGTTTCCAACATTACACGTCTGATTCATCGTTCTTAGTCATCAAGTGGTAATCAGATAGATCATTAAAGGTTCAACGTTACTAGGTTGAGACTATAGGGAATCAGAAATTTACTCGCCACCTTCCACTATATAATCCTGCAACACCAGTAGATAATATTTTTGACTCCACATCAAAGTATCCCTCAACAACAACACCTTATCAATCAAAAAAACTGTATCATATTCTACACCCTTCTCCCTTGAACACAACGGATGTATCAACAACCAAATCACTCCTACTCGTCAAGCGACTCATTGCGCAGATTGTCGTCCAATAACCCATTCAGACAATACCAGCCATCTCCAGCACCGGTACAACCTCAGTCTTCACTGCTGCTGCTTCAGATACCGCAACATGGATTAGGCTACCAGAATACAAACAACAGTCATAACAGTATACTAGCCAAGCATTATGCTCACAGCCCTCGTAAGGCATCAACCTTGAGTAACCAATCAACATCATCAGCTCATTTTGATGAGTGGGTAGCTAAGAATAGACAGTTTGTCGATGGTAGTGATGATGATGAAGAGCTATATGGTGAAGCAGAAACTGATTCACAAGTCAGCCCCAACAAGATTCTTAGTTATTATCAAAATAATAACGCATCATTAGATAGCAATATTGGTGGTTATGGTAAGAATGCTAGAAGATATAGTAGAATCAACAGTGGCGGTAGTTCCAACGGTCAGGGGTCACATTTCATTGGCAATTTTAGTGACCATCGTCCAAGCAATGGCTATTCTAGGCCAATAAAGCCGCAAACTATAAGATCAGATAGTGACTCAAGTGTTAGCTATTCCAACAGGTATGTACTAGTTCTTACTAACTGTTTTTTCTGTCTAGCGTTTGTTTATGAGAGAAAAAGAATCACACCAGTGGGTTGAATGAAAGAAGTCGATTGGTAAAAGTTGTGCCTACCCCCTATCCCCTGCCCCCCCCCCCCTCACCGAGTGCTACAAAATCGGCTACTAAGGAAGCTCACGCGACCTGATATTTCTCAATGTTAACTCCGGTCGATCCAGAAAATGTGTCAACTCGTTCCTGTTTTTTCTTTGCGTCTGTGGAGTCTTTTTTGTTTTGAAATGCATAGCCACAAATGGGCGATTCTATTTTCATTTTCGTTCATTGTTATCTTTTTTTCCTTCCGACCCATTCGACGCATTTGTTCGGCACTTAATTGACAGGAGAGAGAGTGAGTGAAAGAGAACGGACAGAAGAAAATAATAATTAAAAAAAAAAAAAAAAAAAAAGACAAAAAAGGGGGGCGCGGCACATTTATTGCGTACATGGTGCATATAAAACTTACACTTGCTATTTTACAGTTTAAGCCATCCAAAGTAACAGGAAATCAGTGGTGGGCTGCTTTTCGTCTTCAATCATTTTCCACATTATAAAGGCACTGGTTTCAAATCCGACTGCAGCAATCTTACTCTGGTTGTGCTTTGTTTCCAATGGGAATTTTGTGATTTTACAAAAAAAAAAAAAAGGAAGAAGAAGAAAAAAAAACCAAAACAGAAAAATAAAACATCAACAGAATACAATCAATTATCCTTTTCTTTTGATAGAGAAACCTTTTATTGGAAAGAACGATACTTCAAAGGCAATCAATTTCTTTCTTCAACATCAAGGGCATAAACAAACGCAAGACTACACTTTTGTTAACACATAGATACTAACTATATATCTCTTTCAGAGCCATGAAGTCAAACAACCCATTCGTTAGTGAACCTGAGGAACAATTTGTAAGTCAACATCAAATTCACCGCGAACGCGAGCCGCAGTTTTCCCCACCTAGACATTCAAATACACCACCAGCACGTCCACCAAAGCCACCGGCAGGTGATGATTTCGCACCGCCATCTTATGAAGAAGCTGCAGGCCCGGAGGCAGCAAAGAGGGAGTACAGAAGAGAAAAAGAACCAGGTTCGTCGTCACATTCGTCATCAACCAGACAACATCGCTCGCACTCTGATTCACGTCATCACAGAAGCCATCGCAAATCATCCTCGTCACGTCCACACAAGTCGTCAAGTTCAAGAAACAAGTCACCTAGTAAGCGTAAATCAGAAGCAGTACCAGCTAAAAATATGGATACTATTGATAAATTAGACGTCACTGGATTCTTTGGAGGTGGGTTCCACCATGATGGGCCATTTGATGCTTGTACTCCACACAGAAACAAGAATGTAAAGAAAGCTCCAGTCATGGCTTTCCCTGCTGATGGACCTAACAACTCCATTGCTGGTGGAAGCAATTTTGACAAGGATCAACAAATGAACCTTGCTTTCGGTTATGATGATGTTGATGACAGCAAACTCGATGGTGAAAGAAGCAAGCTCAAGGGTGATGGTAAAGAAGCTGTGCCTGTGATCAAAACCAATAGAGTTTCAAATGACCCACAAACAAGTATCTACACTCCAAAACAGAATCCCTCAGTCATCAATTTTGACTCAACTCAAAAAGCAGAACCAGTTCATGGATCCACCACAGCTGGTTTGGGCTCTACTACGTTTCTTGATGGAGCACCTGCACCACGAGGTGCCGACGACTTTTTGGCGCCACCAAATGGAGGCTTGGGCCGGAAAAAGTCGTTGGTGCAACGTTTGAAAGGTAATGGATCATCGAACAGTTCGAGAAGAAACTCGAATGATGACAGACACAGCGGGGAGAACGTTAGAAGAGGCTCATTGAATGCGTTGGATATCGATACTGGCAATGATGACGATTTGAAGCCACCTGGAGGAGGCAATTCATTAATCAGAAGAGTCAAGAGTTTAAAGGTTAGGAGGTGAAGATGCTTGGAAGATCTTTTGCCAGAGAAATATTATAGACATTCGAGCCGCCTCCCCTTTTATTCACATCAGACCATCCGTTAGCTATTTATGACATTTCGTTAAAGCTTTAGCTTTTCTTTATAAAGAATACCCCCTCCTTTTCCCTAGTTTATCATGTATGAGTTTTATATTGTATAGGTTATTTTGTTATTAATTAAGAGATTGTGAGAGAAAAAGTGAAGAAAAAAAATAAAAACTTGAACAAGGAAAAAAAAATTGCAACAGAAGACGTCACCACCACAAGTAAAAGCTTTTACACTTATGATTCAAAGAGGTCTAAGGATCAAAAGGGCACCGGCGGTACTACATTCTACCAGGCTGATATCCGGCTCATTTGCACTTCCAGTTAACAAGACTCTTGAAGTTTTGAAAGCCACAAATGCCAACTTTGATGGTCTCTTTTCTCATTCAGCTTTGGATCAATTATGGTTCAAACAAGGTAATCAGTTGATCCAGAATTTGAACCAGTATTTGATTCAAGCGACAAATTTGGAGGATAAACCGTATACTTTACCTGAACTTGTTGCTGCCACCATCAACAAACCTGACTTATATCATATACACAAGAATGCTTCCAAATTGCATAATCTTCAACAATATTTTGAAAACTTACGACCTTTACAACAACAGGGGGGGTTCTTTGAGGTTGTTAGACCAAATGCCCTGAGTTTATTGGAAACTCCACAAGGTGCATCTTTTGGCAATGTGCCCACTGATGAAGTTTTACTCGACTGGATAAATCATTCTTTTGGTTCTGTGGTTGAGTTTCGTACATTGTTGATCAACACGGCAAAAGCCATCAAGGGAGATGGATCAGTTTGGTTAGTTGCTGAGCTGACAATTGGACAAAATTATTTGAACAGGGGTTCAAATAATGCAGCTATTTCGGGATTCACTTCAACGCCAGCATTTCATAATTTGGCCATTGTTGTGACTTATAATGGTGGTACTATTGATGATTCAGAAAGGTCTGGCCAAATTAAACGTATGAAGAGCATGTTGCAAGGTGAAATCGAAGATGGAGCTAAAGTTGAGGAAGAACTTGAGGAAGGTGAAGCCCAGCAAGAAAAATCTATAAATGAATCCGATGTAGCGGGTGCTTTAAAGTTGGGAACTGTTGAAGAGGCTGAATTGGAAACATCTTATTTGAACAAGAAATTGATTCCTGCATTATCTATTGATGCATCACCAAGAACTTATTTATTGGATTATGGGGTTTTTGGTAAACAGAAATACTTGGAAAACTGTTGGGAATGCATTGATTGGGATGTTGTGTTGAGAAGATTGCCCAAAAGATCAAAACAAGCAATCTCCGTGTAAATAGAGTTGATCTAAAGAGGACCTTTTATACAAAAAAAAAAAAGAACAATTAGTTGTCTCTATTAGATGTAGCAGCTGGCTAATATTTATTTACTCTTGATGACTTTGGTTACAATTTCTTCAACTTCATCCCAGTCATCAGTTGGCACTCTAGTCATCTCAATACCTCCGAAATACTCTTGAATGGCTTGTAAAACTTTCAAGTCATGTTCACTAGCAACGAATGAAACCGATACACCAACTCTACCAAACCTACCAGTTCTTCCAATTCTGTGCAAATAAGTTGAAGGATCAGCTTCTCTCTTAGGTCCCATTACTGGTAAATCGTAATTCACCACCATTGAAACCGAGGCAATATCAATACCTCTAGCAAGAACATTTGTTGTAATCAACACTTTTGATCTACCTTCTCTAAAATCATCAATCAAACGATCACGGTCATTTGCATCCAAACTACCATGTAACAACGAAACCTTGTGTCCTTCTTGCTTCATCTTGTGCCATAATTTCTCCGAGGTGTCTTTTCTTTCAACAAAAATGATTGAAGAGCCAATTGTCAACAATCCATATAATTCACATAAAACTTCAAATTTATGATCTTCCGAACGACAATCCATATACAACTGCTTGATACCGGCAACATTTAACTCTTCTTGTTTTAATTCTAAGGAATTTGCATTGGGGACAAATCTTTCAGCATACTTTCTCACATCAGCGGGGAAGGTTGCACTAAACAACACTAATTGAGTAGACTTTGGTACTCTTTTTCTAAGCCTAATACATTGATCACCCAAGTTTTGTGCATCCAACATATTATCAGCCTCATCAAGTACAAAAACCTTGAGGTTACTAATGTTAATCAATCGTCTATTAACCAAGTCATTAACCAATCCGGGAGTTCCAACAATGATCTGAGCATGTACTGCTTGTCCTCTAGGTACCAGTTCGGGTACGACCAATTGCGTAGTGATGGATGAAAACTTGCCCATGGTAGTTATAACTTCCATTGTTTGTCTTGCCAATTCTCTTGTTGGTGCTAAGCATATTGCTTGTGGTTCTTTAATATTTTCATCGACACGAGACAACATTGTCAACGAAAATGCTGCTGTCTTACCTGTACCTGATTGCGATTGTCCAATCATATTTTTTGGTGGATCAGAAATCAACAATGGCAATGCCTTTTCTTGAATTTTAGAAGGTTTGTTGAATTTCATAGCGTACAACCCCTTGAGTAATTCCGGCTTGAGACCTAGTTCGTCAAATGATTTGACTGAATATAATGGTGAGTTTGGATCGGCTTGTAAATCAGCTAATTTGACTTGAACTTCATATTGACTGGTTATTAAATTGGATTCCTCTGGCTCGGATTTGTCTTTTTTGTCACTAGAGTCGGTTGATTCAGCACCGGCTGTATCGTTGGTAGCCGAAGTCTTACTTTCAGTGGACTTCTCTGCTTTTGATAAAGCGTCATCAACTTTCGATTCTTTCTTTTTGTCTTCTGATTTAGTCAATGAAAGACTAGAAAGTAATTCTGAGGCATCAGCATCAACTCTCTTTGTATCTATAGACATGATTGGTGTGTAAGGAGCTACGATGTTGGGAGAGATGTTTTCAAACACTGATTTTTTTGTCGACTAAAATTTCATCGCACGTTGGATCAATTATGATGATCTACAAAATATATCCCGCCAGATATCATGTTTACTTAGTTTGTGTTGATTAAAACCCCTATTGACTATAAATTACAAAGTTTTAAAAAGGAAGAAAGTAATGAATCGCTTTTAGTCGAACGATACACTAACTTTTCGAGGAAAGAATGGCTCGCCGCAGTATATTGACAACCCTCTTATCTCAATGGCATGAATCTGGATGAAGCGTTACCTGCTCTACCGTGTCTAACTGGAGTGTATGAAATTGAGAATTCACCCAAGTAGTGGCCAACCATTTCTGGTTTGATTTCAACAGTATTGAAAACTTTACCATTGTAAACACCAACAACGGAACCAATCATTTCTGGAACAACAATCATGTTTCTCAAGTGAGTCTTGACAACAGCTGGTCTTTCGTTTGGTTCAGTAGCAGCTCTGGCAGCTCTCAATTTTTTGATAAGACCCATTGGTTTGGAGTCTAAACCTCTAGAAAATCTTCTTCTTACTCTAGCACCACACAATTTGGTGAATTCTTCGGTTGGCATTTCAACCAAGTCTTTTAAATCAACACCCTTGAAGGAGAATTGCTTGAATGTTCTCTTCTTTTTTTCAGCTAAAAAAAAAAATAGTTAGTACTCAAGTTTTACGTTGACTGGGAAATGCAGTGACTCATGGGTGGTAGTGATTGTGGTGGTGAAGTATCAAGCAAATCTTCTAGATGGATCGCTGTAAGAAGCTTGATTCTGATACGAATATGCATTGCGATATATTATTCCGAACCTGTTATGTGTTCAATCTATTCTATCATGTCTCACTGAAATGCTTCCCCTCAGGGTCCACTATTGATTCATTTCTCCTCGTCATATAATCACAATCGTTTGGGTATAAACATACTTGCGTCAACCATGTTCTATGCTGTCGTTGTTGGTACTATCAATTAAAGGAGGTTTCTCTGAAATTTCAAAAATTAAAAATCTTTTTCTCTCACCCAAACTCGCAATGTCAGTTTAGGCACACGTAGTAAGTACTGCACATAAAGCAAAATCATGATAAATGTTTTAGCCCTATATGTTTTCACGTGCATCTCGTATTGTAAATCTAACATATGCCCTAATCCACAAACTCCAAAGAAAAAAAAGTGTGAAAAATATCACCAAACAGGAAACCACACAATTTCGTCTTTTTAACCAAGCCAAAGGATAGTCTGCATAACTCTATTTGCTTAAAAGTGATTATTCTACTCATCATACAAAAATGAAATACTTAGCTGCTTACTTATTATTGGTCCAAGGTGGTAACGCCTCCCCATCTGCTTCAGACATCTCCTCATTGTTGGAATCCGTTGGTGTTGAAGTTGAAGAATCAAGATTATCTACCTTGTTGAAAGACTTGGAAGGTAAAGACATCAACGAGTTGATTGCTGAAGGTAACACCAAATTGGCCTCAGTTCCATCTGGTGGTGCTGCTGTTGCTTCCGGTTCTGGTGCTTCTGGTGCCGCTGCTGGTGGTGCTGCTGAAGAAGCTAAGGAAGAAGCCAAGGAAGAAGAAAAGGAAGAATCTGATGATGACATGGGTTTCGGTTTATTCGATTAAGGGAAAAGAAAGTAATGTACTAGTATATATACATGAACATAATCAATTAATGAATAATAGAACTGAAATTATAATTGTAGCCAGTTTATGAATTTTGCAAATCGCTCAAGCTTGACTTGTAAGCCATCTTTTCAATAAGAATTCTAAACCTGTCGATCTCAACTTGTATATTGCCGAGCTGCGCATGTCGGTTGTTCACGTTGGTGTCAATTGTGTCGTTCCTCATACTAAACGTTTCATTTAACTTTGTATTCAACTCTCGTAGGTATTCCGTTTTATCAAAGTTGTATCGCAAGGCGGTATCCAATGAAATCAACTCGTTTCTAAGATTGGTGTAAACTTGCAACAACTTATATGTGTCAACCTGTTTGACATTGCCATCAAGCTTTCTGTGTAACTGACGTGCCCCATCGTGATCCAGTATTATTAAATATCTTGGCTCTGGTAGCTCATGAACAATCTCTTTCAAGTTTTGAAGCTTCAATTTCATTTCATCTTTAGATAGACAGTCGAAGCACGATATGTCAAACCCTTGTAGTGTGTGGTAAACTTTAAATACTTGCTGATTCACTTTGCTGTATTTTTGGGACTCAGAGTCCAAAACTTTCTGTATTATTTCATTGTTTCTCAGAGGTGTAAATCTTTCGTCGTACTGCGCAGTCAAAGAAGAATTGACAGTGTCGAGTATGTTTTGTAATTGAACTTCGCTTATATTGTTGTTTTCATCAGCATTCGCTGGACTTGATAATGTCTCGACAAGGGATTCATCAATGACTAATGGGCATTTTAGTACATCCAATTGATGATTTAGTATGTCTGCTAAGTCTGAGTCTGATTGATGCAGTTGCATGGAAGGGGCTATCTCATCACACTAAACTTGTTTGACTTCAAAGTTCGCATTTGTCAAATAGTAAGATTTTTTTCTATTTTTGTGCAATACTTATTAGTTGTGTGTCAATCGCTACTAATCGCACATGTCGACCAGATCAAAACCCTTCGTGACTATAATGTTTGGTTCGGTATTGATTTACATTTGATATTGTATAAGATAATTGTCAAGGATCGTTGCGGAGCATAAAAACTATGAGACTACACCTAAATTGATAAACCTATGACAGCTTCTTGGTTGTGGTCACATTACACTCGGTAATTTGATAAGACGAACCAACAGTGTGAAGACTGATGCAATACGAAAGTACGTCATACCGTTCCACCAGATTCAGCTGCGGTTTCGGTACCCGTAAATCATTAATCACGAGCTTTGATGCAACACTAGATCAAAAGCATACGTAAAACATCACGCCTCGTATTCAATGATTTGCATTACAGGAGACTGACACAGAACGGCTACCTCACACAGCGGTTATACGATAATTATAGAGGGCGGGGGTGTTAGGTATATGCATGCAATCGAATTCAACTGTAAGCGGTGGTACATCTCCGAGAGAAATAAAGTTATCTCCGGTCAACGCGCGACGTTTAAAACTTCACAAAAAGTGTGACCTCCAAAGTAACTAGAACTTATAACAATTCCCACAGAAAGAACTAGAACTTTTCCTCGTCACTAAAATCGAACAATACCGTGATAACAATAAGAATACGGTCACCTTTGTTTTAGGCAGGTCTAAGTTGTCATACATTTTTCTTTTTGTTTCATCTTCCTTAACCGTTTCGCTTGCGTTATATCATAAAAAGAAAAACCGCGGGGACCAAGCAGTAAAGAAAAAAAGGAAGACCCTGAGAAGAAAAAATAATATCAGTTAAAAAAGAAACAAGTGATGTCTCACTTCACAGTGATACACCCAAGAATGATTGATACCTCCCATGAGACAAACTCATCTCGTAAAATTAGCTCGGGTATTACACTTTTAAAGTCTTCCCTTAAATCTGATTTAATCTCGTAGATTCTTGCAGTCATTTGGCCCCCCTCCTATGGATAGTGGTACTGTTCCAGAAAGCTCTCGAAGCTTCTATTCAGCGCTCTGTAGTATTCGCAGTTTAGGCTTTTACTTACACAAAAGTGTGAGTAAGTCCGGCATACTTTATTCGGCGCTTATTCCGATCGGAGAAAAAAAAAAAGAAATAATAATAAAAAAGCTGACTACTTTGTGTTATGAACACGATAGTCCATATCAAATCTAGTTGCTAGTCATCTCTTATTTCAACGGTTAGGAGTCTGCAGAAAATAGGAGAGAGAGTTGCTTCTTAACTATGTTGGTCTGCAACTGATGCAATTGTGCGTCTGAAATACAATAGCATCACATGGCATTAGATAAATAGAGCAAAATTAGTTGTCCCATTTTTTAATGTAGAAAGTTGTAAAAGAATTTGGCACCTTGATTGTATCTTCGAGAATATTCTAATTATGCCGGATATAACTCAACAATAGAGATATATATTAGCGGGTGTTCCCAAAGAGGAGTACTTCGAGTTCAAATGGTGCAAGATTGGGGGATATTGTGGTAGTAGAAGTTCCCGCGAGATTTTACACTAGCCACATAATTAAGGTCTTGTATACTTATCAAATTCATTCATTTCGTATGGGACCAATTTGCGTGAAGGTAGCTCAGCTCGAAATAAAGTCGTTGTCACCCCGATAACACAATGGCCCTTCCAATTTCGTTGCGAGTAAATTCCACTCTTTAGTAGAAGAAGATTGTTGAATGCGTTGCCTATGTCATTTGCAAACGCTAACTTACACAAAAATGTATAAGATTCTACTCTCTACTTTTTTATTTTTCTATTTTTTTGCTATTGTTTCTGTGTAATGTTTTATGAGCGTGTGATTAACGCCCATTACATGAACGCATATTCCATTATATTCCAAAAGATTTAACGCTGAATACCACAAACAATAGATCTCATGGAAGCCAATCGGTTTTTTCATGACTTTGTGAATACAAATTACATGTGAAGCTGTTTCCAAGAAAGAATTAGACTTACATATTTGCATCCATTGAAGTCTATATTGTGTTTTACTTTTATTTTTTTTGTTTTTTTTTTTTTAATCCTCACTTCAGATTTCTTGCACATAATAAAAATTAAAAGCACTAAAAAACAAATATCCATTTTAGAACGCTTGCATAATACATGATACATACACGCACGTATTTATACCCACCAGAATCATCTAATGAATTTTTCACCAAGTGACTTTTGGTCAAAAAATTTTTCATCTGAAAGCCAACTGGTGAATGATTCTATCTACAAAAGGCTATAAACAACTATCACACAACCTTACCACTGTCATTTTAATAAATTGTTGATTCACCAACTAATTAATCATCGTCTGTCAAATATCGCATACAAAATACGACAATTCAGATCTCTAAAATAAGTCAAAAATAAAAAAAAAACATTCAAATATTCTGATATTCATTCATCGAGTGATCATAAACTATAGAAAAGTTCAACAGGAAACACCCGCAACAAGAGGAAAGAGAAAATAAAAGGGCAACCCTGATTATGAATCAAGAAGACCCCCCTCAACAACCCCAATCACTTGTCTCAAAGCAAAACAAGAGAAGTAATTTCCAGTTCACATACGACTCGGAGAATTTTTTGTTATCACTAATACATAAATACAAGGAAGACATTTTCACTAGAGGCAATAGAATTAAAACTTGGGAAACAGTATTGTCTGAATTCAATAATAAATATAAAGCCAAAATTATACAAAGTCGAACAATAAACCATCGATTCCGAATGTTGAAAAAAAATTTGGAGAATAAACTTGTGCATGAAAGTCAACCTATTCCACAATTGAATCTAAATGAAAACGAGAAGTTGTTGATTGATATCATGGAGTATATGTATAAAAACAATTATGCATCAACAGATCCTTATTCATTGAGCACAGGCGATACGGGTGTATATTCGGAAACTAGACCATCGATTGAGCCTCGCGGACTGGATCATTCAGAAAGAGGAACTGTGGGTGCTAGCTACAAGACTGGAAGCAAAAGTGGTTACACAACCGGCACTTCTATGAGTTCGATCGCATCGTCAATGATTACACCATCGCATCAAGGGAGTCATGAAACCAGTGATTATTCTAGTGGCGAGTTATTAACCACCAACCCCCAAACAGCTGAAAATCCAAGCATTATAGGTGCTGGCTCGTTGTCATATTCCAATAGATTAAACCAAGTTCGAGACCCTTACATTTTACTGCATGAAGTTGCAGCCGCTCACCAATTGCTGTATCAACCACAACCATTGTTTCAACAAGATCAACCACTGAGTCTTTCTACCAATCAATTGAACGAATCAGCGGAAGTCATACATTCAGGGCATCATTCTGCGATGTTTGATGGCTTACACCAGAATGCTCATCAAAATCTCCAACAGCAACAGCAGCAACAGCAGCAACAGCAGCAACAGCAACAGCAACAGCAACAACAGCAACAGCAACAACAACAGATAAACCTACATTCAGACTCCATATCGTCACATCCCATTTTCCCCCAACATAATTTGTATTCACAGGCTGTTGAAGAATCCTCAAATGTGTTCAAAACGCCGTACTTCAAAGGTCCACCCACGACTAATCCAACATCATCTGCTGCTTTTTTGCAACCCACTACCACCCAACCACGTACAAGAGCTAGACATATGTCCATTGCCACACCACAAATTGAGCATGCCAGTTATGACCAGAACCGGTATTCAGTTCACCAGGATTTGCATCAATCAGCACCTCAACAAGATGGACTGCAATCTCAGTCTTATGACACGAATTTACCACAGACTCAATCATCAAATCAGCCGCTGAGTTTGGCACAATCTCAACAGGTGCGAGTGCTCATGCAACAACAGGCTCAAACACAAAATTCAACGCAAGCATTACTCAAACAAATATTGGCACTGCAGGCACAGTACAAGTCTGAAATATTAACAATGAAAGAGGAAATCAAGAATCTACGAGCAGAAACGACAGAGAAAATTGATCGCATATTGAGCCATTTGAATCAAAAGGCACTGCTGAATGAGCTTCTTGTTGGTTCGTCTAAATTACCCAGTCATCTGCTGGAACATCGTTCTGGGAGTAATGATCTGTCGCTGAAGCAATCACAACAACAGCAACAACAACAACAACAGAACCCAGTACAACCTAATGCAAGTGCAAGTTCAAGTGACGAAGATATGCTGTTTGAAAAGCTACAAGATTAAATCTCGGAGAGTTGGAAAACACAGCCACGTCCCAAGAAAATGAATTTGTGAAATCCACCAATTTACCCCGCTACTGTATATTGTAGTTGTTGTTGTTGTTCTTGCTTTGACTTAGTGAATTGGAACAAGAGTATGTAAAAGTTACGAAGTGTTTATATTTTCATGAGCACCAATTTTCGAGGCTCTTTTTATCACATTGTGCAGCTTGCATGAGCGAATAAAGTATGCGTAAGAAAGCATCACAAAAAGCTAAGTCTTGTTTTGATATATGCGCGACGTTGTTGGTGGGACCAAATATGAATAAGCGTGGTTTGCAGCTAGTTATGCGATTTATGGCAAGTGTAACAGAAAAGGGGACCCAAAGTGTAAACAATAGTAATTGGTTTTAAAGGTGTACCTGAAATACAAAATAAAAGTTTAAAGTTCTTTGAGACTAAGTTTGTAGCTATGTTTTGTCTTTTATTGAATTGGATTCTTGTAACCCAATGAAGAAAATAGTTCCATGAGAGGAAGGGGGAAGTTGTAATAATCCTTCCAACTCAATTGCTTGTAGTCTTTGAGGGGAAAGAAATGAAATACCATTGAACGGATAAACTATTAGACAATCTATATGAATGGACCATAAATTAGTGCGTGGTCAAACGTGAAAAAGAAAAAAAAAATCTCCCGGGGGCGAGTCGAACGCCCGATCCCAAGATTACAAAATCTGGAAATATTTACAGTCTTGTGCTTTAAACCAACTAAGCTACCAGGAGAATATATTGAAAATGTGTGTTCTGAATTTACAAAGCAACAAAATCTATTACTGAGTTGGGAATTTTAGCGGAATTTTTATACCGAAAAGGCAAATTTGTGATTGCTCTTTTTTGCACCCAAGAAAAAGAAAACGAGAGAGCCTGAGTTGATTTAATTCTTGAAAAAAAGGGCTACAATGCTAGTACCTATAATATGATTGTTAACCGCGAACTGGCTATCAACTACATTTTCTGTTTTGTTTTGCAAAACTCATTTGAGTTTTAAAGTTCATCTTCAAAATTTGTTCCACTAGTATATTGTATTGAATGTGAAATTGAATTGATCCGTTACCTCAAACTAATAGTTTCTATAGTTGTATGCGCTGGTAAACGTAATTCTCCCTCGACGCGTGTTGTGCTGGTCTCTAATTGAAAAACGTTGATTGTTGCAGGCTTAATCTTTTACCAAATTTTCTTGCCAAAAAAAAAAAAAACAATACAAAAACTCCTTGCAATAATTTGCTTCACTCTCTTGGATGATGTATTCATCGCCCTTAAGAGGGTTTATGTTCTCCAACAGGAAAACCTTGTTGTAAAAGCTGGTACAACTGATGTTACGAAACAACTTGACGAAAGCGATACCGTACAAACTATTACTGGCCATACCCACAACCCCAACAGGCACAAGAGACACCTCTCCTACCGATCAAACAATAATCGAGCTTGAAGTTTGCAACACGTACCATCATTTGCTGCAAAATTGAATGTTTGTCACATTCCACTGATTTTTTTTCTCGTTTTACAACCGAGGAATCAAAGCATGCTAGCGTTTGAGACAAGCAGGCAGCGATTCCAGAACAAACTGTGGGGACAATTTCAGGGTTATGGAAAAAAGGTTGATCTATAGACATGGACATAAGAATCGTATGATTCATGGTAATTATTATCATACATTGAAGTGATGTTTTTGGTTATAATTGAAAAAGATGTCGGCATTAATTTACAAAATGTCTACAATGTGTGGGTTTTCATTTTCTGTCTGATCTCACCCTCCTTACTCTATTATTTTTTTTTTAATTTTCTTTTTAATTCAGACAGACATTTTTTTGCCCCACATTTTTTCACAAGTTCTTTTTTTTTTTTTTAAAAAACTCACTTAGCCGCTGGATAACATCCGAATTGGAAAATGCGGATTTCGAAGGCAAGACAAGGTGAGAGGTTAAAGCTTTCAATAATGTCAACAACAACGATTCCTAATATGTACATATTGATATACATTATTTACAACTAGAATGTTTGTTTCTTGCATTCGCCTTTCACTTTTCCAGTAGTTCCTTCTCCATCTATCACAATTATATAATCCAACATTTGATGATTTTCTTCCACGTTGAGTTCCTCCCCAATTCCCACCTCTCCTTTTGACAATCAAAAAAATAAAACATGATAAGTTCACTTTTGCTTTGAGTCTGCACTTAATTATCTATTAATCAAATACCCATGGAAATAATAATCGTACAGATAATTTAGACGCCTGATTTTGGTAAAATACACATGAGAAAAACCATTTTTGGGTCGGATTTAGATGCTTTGAGCCTCTTTTGTGATTATTATCAACTTAACCCTTTTTTGGGATACATTTTTTAGCTGCCTCTTTCTCCGTGTTTTATTTTTCTCATAAACACTTTCATTGTTTCTTTATATATATAATCCAAATCTTAGTCCTTTTTTTTTCCTCTTTCTTTCTTTCTTCCTTCTCTTTTCCATTTTATTTCAATCAAGAGGTTATTACGATTCATCATTAGCTAGCTGCTTTTTACATTTACATCCTTCCCCATAACATACAACAACAAAGAAAGAAAATTTAGTTCAAAATGGCTATGGCAAGTTTACCAGACTTTGTTCAAACCAACAAGGAAAAGAAAGAACCCGAAACTGAACCAAGAATAGTCAAGGATATTATTTCATCACGCCCAGCTCCAGATCCAGCTGCAGATATTGCCAAGGAGAGAGCCAATACTAATTGGGACTTGAAGGAAGTTCATGAGTTTTTGGAAGGTAATGAGGCTAAATCAACTGAGATTTTACGTCTTTACCAATCAATTGAACGTGATCCAGTTTTGCAAACCAGACCAGAACATTTCGACATTACTCAAAAAGGAGAAAGAGAATTGGTTGCTGAAAGAATCAACAAGATGGCTAGATACATCGAAATAGAACCATATGCCAAGTTTAGAAGAAGATTGCAATTGATGACTGTTATTGATCCATCAATGGGTATCAGAATTTTGGTCAATTTGGGTTTATTTTTAAATTGTATTAGAGGTAATGGTACCCAAAAACAATATGATTTCTGGGCCAAGAAGAAGGAAAATGGTATCATTAAGCAAATGTATGGTTGTTTTGGTATGACTGAATTGGGCCACGGTTCCAACGTTGCTGGTTGTGAAACCACTGCCACTTTTGATCCAGAAACTGACGAGTTTATCATTGATACCCCACATATTGGTGCTACTAAATGGTGGATTGGTGGTGCTGCACACTCAGCTACACACACTGTCTGTTACGCCAGATTGATCATCAAGGATGTTGATTACGGCGTCAAGACATTTGTTGTGCCATTGAGAGACTCTCAACACAACTTGTTACCAGGTATTGCTGTTGGTGATATTGGTGCTAAGATGGGTAGACAAGGTGTTGATAATGGTTGGATTCAATTTACTGAAGTTAGAATCCCAAGATTCTTTATGTTGCAAAGATGGTGTAAAGTGGACCGTAAAGGAAATGTTACTTTACCACCATTGGAACAATTGAGTTATATTTCACTTTTGGAAGGTAGAGTTGGTATGGCTGCTGACTCTTATAGAATCGGAGCAAGATTCACCACAATTGCTTTGAGATATGCTGTTGGTAGAAGACAATTTGACAAGTCTGGTGGTCCACAGGAAACTCAGTTGATTGACTACACCTTGCATCAAAGAAGATTGTTCCCATACTTGGCCTTGACCTATGCCGCCGCTGTTGGTACTGATAGATTAGAAGTTGAACATAATGAATTGTTGGAAAACTTGGACAAGGGATTAAAGACAAACGACAAGTTGTTATTGAAGAACACGATTGCTGCTACCAAATCCATGTTTGTTGACTCTGGTTCATTGAAATCCACTTTGACTTGGGAAGCTTCCAACTTGATTGATGAGTGTAGACAAGCATGCGGTGGCCATGGTTATTCTGCATACAATGCTTTTGGTAAAACATACAATGATTGGGCTGTTCAATGTACTTGGGAAGGTGACAACAATGTCTTGGCTATGTCTGCTGGTAAGAGTATCATCAAGACTGTTCAGCAAATTTTGAATGGTAAAAAAGTCAAGAACTCAACCTTGGAGTTCCTTAATGATGCTCCGGAATTAGCTAAAGCTAAAAAGGCTGTCATCAGGGTCAAGGAACATGTTGATGATCCACAACGTGTTTTGAAGGCAATTGCATCTTTGATCTCAAAGACCTCAATGGACTTGATTCCACAATCTTATCAATCGTGGGATGCTATTGGTGCTCAAAGAGTCATTTTGTCCAAATTGAGATGCCATTACTACCTCTTGGAAACTTTTATTGACAGATTGGAAAACCAAATCAAAGCCAACTCACCAGCAAGACCCCACTTGGAAACTACTCTCAAATTGTATTATGTTACCAACATTTTGGGTCCATTCATTGGTGAATTTTTAAGATATGGTGTTATTTCTCCAAATGTTGCCAAATACATCACCAATGTTTACCCACAAGGATTGTGCTGGAAGCTTAGACCATACATTATTGGTTTAACCGATTCATTCCAACAACCAGACAACTTTATCCACTCATTGATTGGTAAGTACAATGGTGATATCTACACAAACTATTTGTCGGCAGTTAAAACGGTCAATGATCCACGTAATACTAAAGCGCCATACAGTGAAGCCCTTGAAGCTATGTTGAACAGAGGTACGTTGGATGAAAGACAAAGAGGTGAAAGATCAAAGGAAGTTGCAGCTATATTATCCAAGTAAAGATGAAGATATATATACATATATAGTTTAGTTTTATATGAATGTAAAAATTTGCGTTTTATTCTATATCCTTTTTATGTATCTCAATACAATGTAGTTTGCACTACTAATGGCCCAAATAGCAAGCATCCATACAAATCTTCCAGAGAAGGAGTACTTGTTGAGGAATGGGTACGCAAATTTACTCACACCGGTGGAATCGGTCGCCACAATTAACTCAACATATAACGAATAAATGATAAGTATCACCCCAGACAAAGCTACTCCGTTTATACTACTTCTCTCTTTCAATACGAGTAAATACAAGTATGGCCAAAGATGAATTTTGAAATCCAACTGAAAAGTAGGTGGGAGTGTCTTTGTATTCAAAAGATGTGGAAAGATGAGAAACAACATCCAATAAGTCACGGTCACTGCAAATTCCAAATTAGTCACGGCATTGTAGAAAGTTGGACACTTGATATGGAACATCGATAGTATAATGTATGCCATTGTGAGCATTAGTGAGATATTAGTTAGGAATTGGTAATGGCCTCCTCGAAGCAAATGTGAAGGAAGTTGTTGATGAAAGCAATCCCATAATCCACTCGAACATATAGCCAAAGAAAAGATGTGGAAAAAGTGGATCCCCATAGCCATTGAATATGAATGTTGTTGGTGTAAGTTTGATTGAAAAATCAGGAGATGCCTTTTATTAGCCGAGGAAAAAAAAAAATTTGATAAAGGAGTTTTGCAATTGTTGCAAATTGGAAGAATCTTTTACCGTTATATACTATTGCTTCTGATACTTAATATAAACCAATTACAACACGCAAGGATAGCAAACACAGAAATGCACTTGAGTCTCTGCCATTTGTTCTTGCCCTTCAAGAACGGATACGGATACCCGCTAACTCCATCAGCGATATGTTTCCCACACTCCCATTCTATATAAAACCAGTAACCAAAAACAAACCCGCCTGTTAGCATGACTGATGTAGCGAAAGACACTCTTGGTTGAAAGTCAATTATCAAGTAGATGTAAGGGAATGCATGCACTTGTAAATCCATAAACAAATTGCGATCAACCTCATCTTCAGCCACCATTTGTGGAAACAATAATACCATAGTCCAGTAAGAAAAAATGACATTGAATTCCAAATTGCTGGCTAAGTTGTAGAGCCAAATGGATCGAAGACCGAGTATGGTAAATGCAAGGTTAATCACTGCGAGCAGTAATGAACAATTTGTTATAAATTGGAATTGTCCTGATTTGACCAAATGTGGTGGTAATTTAGTTGTTAAAGAATTGTATAAGCCATTACCAAGAAGGAACAAGTTTGCAAGTCGAAATATAGCGAGGAACATGCTTTGGTGGTGTACAGAAGGAGACAGAAATTGAGTCTGAGCCGAAAGTGAATTGCTTTAGTTTTATAACTGACTTTATGGATATGAGCCCTTGTCTGCGATTCGGATTGGAATTTTCCTTTGCGCCCGCTGGTCCCGTTCCCGTGGTGACCAAAAATAACCTTATCTGAACTTAGTAATTTTCTCAAACATGGTTGATCGGTTGCTTGGAGAAAAGAGTTCAAAGCTCAGTTGTTATAGCCTCTGTACATCTACAGCATATGCCTTATCTTTTTCTGCGTGTGGAGAGAGTCAGTATCATTTGATTCGGTGGACCCACGAAATTTCGCTTTTCACATTTTTTTTATCTCATTTTTGTGGCTCTCATCTCATCTCTTCAACCAACGTCTTTTATTCAAGTACCAAAGATGGCACCAAGACAATCCAAGACGGCTAAGAGAAATAAAACTCAAAACAAAACGAGGGAAAATGAATCGGATATCGTATCTGACTCAGCAGCAAGAAATCTTCTCGCTGATCAACCAAAATTGACTCCCAAGTCAAAAGTTAAGAAGCTATCGAAATTACAGGTGAAAAAACAACAAGCAAAGATAAGGCTATATGGTGCCAAGAATGGTAAAGAGTATAAAGAAGAACAGTTGGATATACCGGTGTTGAATAGGGCTATAGTACCCGGGGTAAAAGTAAAGAAGGGTAAGAAGGGAAAGAAATTTGTAGATGACCATGACACATTGACCTTGACTAGATTGGTAAAGAGCATAAATGACAAAAATGATCTTGTCAATGAAAGTAAATTGGAAAAGTCCAAGAGATTGGAAGAAATACGAGAGCTAAAAAGACAAGAAATTGAAAGAAAGGAACAGCAAAAGAAAGACAAATTGGATGGAAAGAAAGATGAATTGAGAAACAAGGCATCGATTGCCCGATCTACTAGAAGAAAGAACGCAAAAGCTAGAAAAGCGGAAGGAGAGAACGAAGAGACCAAACCAACGAAGAAAAAAGTGAGTTTTGCTTAAGTCTAAAACATCTATATACAAAGCAACGTAGTCTAAACCAATCTTAAAAATCCAATACCAACCTTCTTCTACGAATCTGCTCTTTTCTCTTTTTGTTAAAGTAGTAGCCATAAGCAATTCCAACCAAACTGCCCCCTAAATGTGCAGCATAATCAAACGTTCCCCACCTCAAAGCACACCCAGCGGCGTTCCAAAGCATAGTACCTAAAAACAACACCCAAGCTCCACCAGGAACGGGGATAAAGAATATACCAACTGGCGAAGCTGGAAACAAGTATGAGAAACAACCGAATACACTAAAGATTGCACCCGATGCACCAAGTGATGCAACCGCCAACGAACTACCCAAAACCATTGGAATTGCAAGGGATGCAAACGATGAAAGGACAGCAGCATTTAAATACATAATGGTGAAATTGGACACACCAAGTATTCCCACCAAAGACACAGCAAATGACTGGAAACAAAGCATGTTGATAAAGAAATGGGCAAAGCTTTGATGAGAGAAAGCCGACCACAACAATGTCCATGGTGATTGGATATTATCCTTGAGTAATATGGCATACCGCATTGTGAATCGTTGTAATTGAGGCACCCTCCACATTAAGAAAACAGCACCATTTATGGCAATGATACTCCAAACTAAGGCTTGAGGGTGTTGCTTGAGCACAGATAAAGGTGTGTAGTTGTATAAATAAGGTGTTAAAAGTGTTGTTCCCACACAAAATGCCACTGTGAATAGTAAAGGTTTCTTCAACTTGTCCCAGCTGGATCTATTATAGTACAGATTATAGCTCTTCCAAGTTGGACTTCTACTTAGTGGTGATTGTTTCATTCGTTGGTTCATAAACTGTTTAAGAAAATTTCTTTGCCATGGGTTCATTGATGATTGTAAGATTTGGACATTGCTGTTGAACAGAACATTTTTGGCTTGCCGTATATTCTTTGGCGCTAGTGACAAAAGGCTGCTATTGCTAAACAAATAATTACGACCTAGACTAGGTCTCATGAGTCGTAACGATTGGAACATAGGTGGTGGAAGTGATAAAAGGTCAGTTCAATTTATAGCTCGATTTCAATTTTTTCTTTTCTCTTTTTGATAATTTGTTCTAAACTCTTCTACTTAAACCTACTCAAATTCATCCTCCTTTTCTTCCAATTCAATCTTTGATTTACCTGCTAGCCTTGCAGCAGCCAAGTTCTGCGTTCCCACTTGTTTCTTTACCTTCTTTGTCATCTTTTCAATTTCAGCCTCGGCATCCTCTGAATCCTGCTCTGCGTATTGCATAACCAATCGTCTTCCTAGTAAATGTACCCCTTCCAATTGCTTCATGGCATTTTCAGTCTCTTTTAATAAATTGAATTCAACAAAGGCAAAACCCCTTGCACTTTGATCAAATTTCTTCGGTACTCTAACCGATTTCAATTGACCGAAAGCCCCAAACAATTCCAAAATGTCTTTACGAGATGTTTCAAATGGCAAGTTCTTGATAATGATTTTGCTAGTTTTCGAAGATTTTGACGGTGCCGTGGATGACGCAGCAGATCCTTGCTTATGTGATATCTTCAATTGTAATTTGTGCCCATCCAAGACGTGTCCATCTAATGTTGCAATTGCTGCATTTGCTTGAGCAAGCGACTTAAATTCAACAAAACCAAATCCCATACTCAATGTCTTCCCAGTATTTTTTGGATCGGGCTTTGTTTTCACCGTAGCCAAGACAAAGCCATGTAATGGTTTGAAAAGGTCAGACAATTGTTGTACTGTTGTACTGAAATTGAGGTTCTTGACAAATACAGACACAGTAGGACCTTGAATTTCCTCTTCTTCAACTTCTGGTTCGCCTAAAATATCACTGGCAGATACTTTTGCTTCAACAACTGATTCCAGCTGTGAAACTCGAATGCTCTCATTCTCAACAGGCTCACGAGTGAACAAATCTTTAGGACCTTTCTCCAAGTAAAGAATACTTGAACCGAATCGTTTGTATGCCAATTTGGTAAATGCAGCTCTCGCGCTAGGAGCATCGTTAAATTCAACGATGGCAATTGTTCCTGATGGGGGCATGATTATCCTCTTGATTTGGCCGTATTGTGAGAATAGCTCACCCAATTGTTCTACGGTTGTTCCAAATGAAAAGTTCTTGACTAGTATAACCTTGTCATCTTTTTCCTTTTTGCTGAAGCTTGCTAGATCTACACCTCTGTCTTCGAAAAACTTTCTCACATCACCAATTACGTGAGCTTCAGCAAGTGCTTGCTTCACTGCCGAGCTCGAATTTTCTGGGTCAATCAACTGTGATTTAGTGACACCTAATTTTGCCGCCATAGATTCCATAACTGCGTCCGTATTCATATAAAGAGAATTCCAGCTGAATTGACTTTTCGAAGCTTGTGCCCTCTTTTTCAACTCCCTCTGCTTCTTCAAAGGTAAATTTTTCAAGTCAAATTCATCCAATCTGTGACTTTTCTTCTGATCTGCAGCAAGAATATGCAAGAGTCTACCTTGAAAAATTTGTTTGTCAAGTGCTTCAAAAGCATTGACAGCATCCTCGGTGTTGACAAATTGGATGTATACGAAACCTTTTGATTTTCCTGTTCGTGTATCAACGGCAATGTGCACTTCCTCAAGGGGTCCGTATTTCTCAAACAAATGTTTAAAGTCATCTTCAGTGGCTTCGTACAGAATGTTTCTAATAAATAATCGTCCAGTTTCTTCAATCTTATCTTTTGCTTTTTCTTCTTCAGATTTGTGTTCAGCCACATGATGAGCAGGGTATTCTTTTTCAGGTTTGCTTTCTACTTTTTCAGAAGTATTCGATGGCACTTCACCATCTTCTCGAATACGAATACTTCGCGACTTTAACCAATCAAAATCTGAGACATTTTCATCCTGGGGTAGAGGAGCAGTTTCAGTCTCATCGACTTCATTTAATGGCATCATCTCTTCATCCCCTTCGTTTTCCACTGGCCCATTGAAATCGTTGTATTCATCATCACTCTCTCCCGCTGGAGCCTCTACCACTTCCGGCTTAGAAAGTTCAACTATATCACTCTGATCACCCTGTAGGGCTCGTTCCAAGTCGGTATTTGAAGGGCCACCAGAGCCATCAGCTAAGGTATCATTTGCCCAAGACTTGACTTGATACGATGGTTTCATGACTTCCATGTATTCTTTAAACTTTGGATCGCTCTCCATCTCTGCTTCAATTAATGATTTTCGTTCCACCTTCTGCTTCTTTGCATTGAGCCTGTTATTCTCCTCAATCAACAGCTCCTCCTGCCTCCTTAATCTTTCGTTTTCCCTCTTTCTCTTTTCTCTGAACGAGATTGGCACATCTGGATCAGAAAACGACTTTGCCAATTGAACATCTATCCTTGAAGTATCAATGAATGATTTATTGAAAAATTTTACTGCTTTCTGTGCTGCATCATCCGATTTGTATCCAATGAATGCAAATCTCCTTGATTCTCCGTTTTTTGATTTCACCAACTTGACATCAGTCACGTCACCTTGTTGACTAAAGTGTTTTTTCAAGTTGTCCTCAGTGTAATACTTTGGGAGTCCCTTAACAATCAATCTTGACATGGATGTACTTTTGCTGTTGTTATGGAAAGTGTCTGCTGAAAGATAAGTGTTAGCGATGAGCTTTTGAAAGAGAAAAACTCCAAATTTGTGACTAGTAATTTTGTGCAACAAAGTTCATGCGGGAAGATCTTTCCTTCCTCACCACTTTTGAAGAGGATACTGTCACCACGAAATAAAGAATGGAATTGATTGACCTCGTCGGACTCCGATACTCTAAAGACAAAGATATACCATTAAGAGTATGGATCAATGGAGTGGGTAACTTACTCGCATTGCTATTCTATATACTATTCTATCATGTGGTTTCTGTTTTTGCAGCAGCGTTGGCAATAGTATTTCCAGACACAGCGAGCTTGGTAAAAAACAGGTGCGGTACATTCTTCTGGGACTTTGGTTTATATCTAATGGTATGTAAAAAGACATCCACTTTGGATGAAAAATTGAACTAATGCTAACTTTATTCTGGAGCACTGGAACAAGGTCAAGATCAAAGTTATGGGAGATGAACTCAATCCAAATCCCGCAGTTGTCATCAGTAACCATGCCTCATTGGCTGATTGCTTTGTACTCCAGCACTTGTCAAGACTCTCAACAAAATCCGAAAGAGATTGCAAGGACGGATTCCCACACAATAGAGATCTCAAATTACCTATAATCAACTTTTTCTCATGGTTTTTAATATGGAGAGTGCCCTCGTTTAAAATCTTGACTCATTTGTTGAAAACTGACGAGAATTGGGAACTTGAAGAGAGTTCAATCTTGTACGTATTTGCCAAATTGCTCAAGAGCAAATTTTGTGAATGGATTGTGTTATTCCCAGAAGTGAATGTATGGACCCTTGATGGGTATAATTTGCAACAACAGATTGGTGAGAAATATTTCCTACCCAAATTAGAGCATCTACTCTACCCACGCTACTCGGCTTTCCATAATATAATCACTGCCATGACAAAATTCAAACCTCATCCGTATTCCAATTTGTACGATTTGACTATTTTGTATTGTCGTCGACAACATGGCGATGAAGTAAATTACCAACCGCCTACTTTATTAGAAATATTCTCATCAAAAGATCCCATTACTGTACTCGTTTATGTCAAGGTTAGATCAATTGCTAGAATCCCCAATAAGAGAAAAAAATTGGAAAGGTATTTGGAACATTTGTGGAAACACAAGGATAAGATAATAACACAAATTAAGGAAGAGAATAATTTGCACCAAATGAGAAACTTCAATCGACACACCACATTCAGCTCCTCCATATCTGGTGTGATCTAGGAAGTTCATCACAATTTTGGAAGCTTTACCTCTTGTTTCATTATAATCATGCTAGCTATTGTACTGCTAGCTACCTTGTTGCAAAACTCATTCTATAAATTCTCGACTTGCTCTTTTCATCTCTGTCAATTTTATAATAATGATCAGTAAAGCCCCGCAAATGACTCAAAAACATTTCATCGTGGGTAATCACAATCAACTGGAAATTCAGTTGTCGTTTCCTGTAATCAATGACTCTATTCAATGCCGTTGCCAAAGCTTCAGCATTCTCGCTATCCAAATTGGTCGTGGGCTCATCCAATGCAATTATACCACAGTTAGATCCAAAACATTCAGCCAATGCCAATCGAATCAAAATACTGGATAACACTTTCTGCCCTGCCGAACAACGTCCTCTCATATCTAGCTCGCTAGAGTCCTTAACCATAACCACCCGATAATTGTATGATCTATTACCTTTAGCTTGGAGGTTTACGTCACTTTTGATTGCAATGGTGGAAATGTCTGTTCCTTGGTAAGTTTGTGACCATAATTCTGTCAATATACGATTAATGTCTTCCATTTTTATACTATGGTACTTCATAATTGCGTTGTCCAACGCTTTTGAGTAGTTTTGAATATCATTGGACACAAGTAGATTAGTTTGCAATTTGATCCATTCTTCGTGGTACATTTCATCAACATTTTTGTATTCAGTTGCCAATTCCTTCTTCAATGTCTCAATTTGATCCTTGATTTGTTTGACTTCACCAACTTTCCCGGCATGTCGTGACGATAGATCTGATATCTCGTCTCTAATGCGTTTGGAGTTTTGCTGGTATTCCTCTTTTTGCAACTGTGCATTTTCAATATCCATTGAATTCAATTGAAATTCAGTTTCATCTAATCGGCTAACTTGCGCACGGTAGTCGATATTAGCAACAATATTGTGCTCAACTCGTGACGAGTCCATCACCAACTTTTCAAATTTCTTAACTACATTTGAGTTTTCCGAAATTTGCGCTTTTATAGAGTCAGTTTCTTTGACAATGGCTTCCATTTTGGCAAAATTTTCCTCCAATTTGGGAAGGTCAATAGTTTCGAAATCAGTCACTGCAGTCAAAAGCGTTTGGAAGGTGTCCACTATTGAACCAATTAACTTGACTCTTTTCAGCATCTTTTCTTCAGCCAGAGATTGCTCCATTTGGATTTGCTTCAACTCAAGAAATGCCCTGTCCCTTTCTTTTCTCAAACGCAGCAATCTCGATCTCATTTCTAGACCATTCGATTCCAAACCAGCTATGTTGGTTTCAACATCCTGAATCGACCTCTTGATGTTCTGTACTTCAGCTAATGAACGCTCGAGGTTACTAATGGTCAACCTAGTATCCTTAACTTTATTTTCTAATCTTTGGATATTCTTTTGCACTTTATACTTTTCGTCATTGAGGTCGGTCACATGCTGTCTTACTTCACGTCTCTTGACACTAATTTCTTGTTGCTGGTTTTGCAATTCTTCGATTGAAGTTATAGTAGAACCAAACTCGTCCAACTCGTCATTCAATTTATCTACTTTGAGATCAAGATCTTGTACTTCAAGATTCAACCTGGAAGCATCGTCAAGCGGCTTTTTCAAATTGACCGCAAATTCAAAAGAATGTCTCATACCTTCAAGAGTTTTGGTTTCGGTTTTCAATGTGTCGCTTAGTTCATTAATTTTGTCGTCGAGAACATTTAAATCTGCCTCAAGTTTGGGCTTCAATGTGGCACATTCGCGATAATTGATCACTTTCAAGCTGATACGCTTTGTAGCATCAAGTTCTTTACCAATTTCTTCGGCATTCCTCTTCACCTCCCTTATTTTTTCTTCGTCAAATCCTTGTTTCAATTCTTTGACAAACTTTTGCAAAGCCGGATCATCAAACATACGTTTACACAATAAGCAACATTTGTTCTTTTCTGCCATTTCCAAGGCTGATTTGCCATAACTTTTGGTCACTTCAGATGTGTTTACATCTTCAGTCACATTTCGGTAATCCTCCTCCAAATCATACAATATATTTTCATATTCATCAATTTCCGATTCTTGAATTACATCAGTGATGTCGGATTTCAATTTATCAATTTTGGATAGATTGTCGGATATGTTATTTAAAATGCCCTGCCTAGAGGACTTCATTGAGTCAATCTCGCTTTGTATACCATAAACCTTTTTCTGTTGAGTCTCCACTTCTGTTTTCAATTCTTCATATCTTTCTTCAAGTTTTGCTTCAGCAAAATCCACATCAAGATCAATTCCAGCCACTTCCTTGTACTCACTATTGAATTTTTTGGCAATCTTTGTAATTGACGCATTTTTCAACTCTATTTCGTCTTGCAAGTATTTGATCTTGGTTCTCAACTCTGATTGTTTACTACTCTTCAGCAACCTTTTGGAAAGTTCGTCTGCTTCAAATTCAAGTTTGACATTTTCGGCATTTGCCTTTGTTATCTGGATATCTAGTTTGTCCACTTCCTTCTTATTTTTTTTTGCATCAAGTTCTTCTATAGTTGTTGCCAACTCCCCCTTTTGCGAAACCAAATCAGATTCATCATTTGAAGTTGCATCCAACTTTCTTTTCAATTGCAACAAACTTTGCTGAGATTTCTGCACGTCGCTGTCAATATATTCCAATGACTGCTCATCCTTGATTATTTTGTCCTCCACCTCCTTTAGTAGTTTTTGTTTCTCAATTTCAATGGACTTGTTAGTCGACTGTAAATCTTTTTCTTGCTTCTGGAGGTCTACGAGCTTCGAAGTAACTGCATCTTTAAACTTTGCCAAGTTTGTCAACTCGTCCCCACCAAGTTCTTCAACCTCAGCTGCATTGTTCTTTATAATTTGAGTCAATTTGACTTTGTTTGAATCATAATCTGCCTTCTTAGCCTTGAGTGACCCGTCCAACCTAATCAATTCATTATACTCCTCCGTCTTTTCGTTCAAGCTAGAACTCAAATTGTCTCCCACATTTTGTAACTTGCGAATAGACTCCTTATTTTCCGCGACAATAGCTGCAAAGTTTTCTTGCTTATGAAGCAACTCCTCGTCACTATCAGGCAAAATTTCAATTGAACTTTTAATTCTATCAATAGTCTCCGTAAGCGACGTTCTTTTCATCAACAAGTTCTCATAATCACTCAACGTCTTTTGAAATTCTTGATTAGTGGCAAACAACTTCTCCGCCTCGATATCCTTTTGTTCAATTTGAATATTCAATTCACTAATCTCCGAAGCAAACGTTTCAACAGATTGATTCATCTCTGTTAATCGATCACGTACTTTCTTTGCTCGATCCTTGTCAATTTTCAAATGGTTAACACTTTGTTCGATCAATTTTATATCAGTTGCCATATCCTTTTTGATACTTTTCAAATTATCAATCACTTTGGTAAATCTAGATGCCTCAAATATATCATCAAACTTCTTTTTCAATACTGATGCTTCACTCAATGGCCACAAACTTTCATCTTGATGACAGAATATTACATTATCCAAGATGGCCGTCGATGCACCGAGGAAGATGGGAATCTGCGAGTCAAGCTCAGCATTCTTGGACGATATACTTGTTTTTTTGCCATTTTCAATATAGGCTAATTGCCCCTCCATTGATTTAAACGTAACGGTGCTGGCATTGGCAGTCTTCGTATTCTTGATGCTTGCTTGAACTGACCTCGTCGTGATCATTGATTTGCCATTGGCATTCTTGAATGCCAATTTTACTTGTCCTGTAACTGAAGTTCTGGAACTGAGGCTTGGATCATGAACAAATGCCCCACCTTTTGAATTTGGTGGTAGATTACCCGTGGTTGCGTATCGTAGACATTCAATTACCGTTGTTTTACCGCATCCATTTTGGCCACAAATCAAAGTCAATGGAAACCCAAACTGTATCGTTTCATCGGATTCAGGCTCAAATGATCTGATACCTTTAATGGATAGTTTGTATATACTGGACATGCAGGATCCAGAATAAGAGAGGTAAAACTGTAGAAATGCCATCTTTTTGAAAAATCGCGTCTACTGTGTATAACAACACGCTACCCAGAAGCTAAAAAGTCAGTTTTATTTCTATACACATTTCTACTCAATATGAGCCTTTGACAACTCATCAGCAATATCATCCACTGCCGCGTCTTTGTCTTCAAGCTTAACACCAGCAAGCTCTTTCTCTAATTCCTCCAAATCGAGATCAACTTCTAATGAGTCTTCTTCTTCTTCCTCCTCTTCTTCTTCCTCTTCATCACTGTCCAACTCTTCCAATTCGTCCAACTCATCGATTTCTCCAAAACCTCTTTTCTCAAATACTTCCTTGATGCTTTCTATATGCTTTGAATCCTCCTCGAACCTGTTACCATTCAACTCTAAAAGCTTCAAGTTGGGCAAACATTCACCGATCAAGTCAGCCAAAACTGCTAAACTATCGATTTCCAATTCATTGTATTGCAACTTGAGAACCATCAAATTTTCCTTCTTGTCTTTACTGAATGCTCTCACAACTTCTAATGAACCTTTATTTTTCAACAATGAATCATTCAAATTCAATTCAACCAAATCGGGCCAGTTGGATATCGATTCAGCCAATTTTATTGCACCTGAAGTGGTGATTGTGTTGTCTTGTAAATCCAACACCTTCAATTTCTTATTATGGCTCAATCCTTTCTCCACTAGCTTAGAAATACCTGCAGGTCTTATACCATTTTGGTACAATCTAACCACTTCCAAATCGTTGTGGTTTCTTAACCCAACAACCAAATAATTGACTGATCCATTCTCCAACCTGTTTCTTCCACAGATAAAAGTCTTTAATGACGACGACTTTTTAGCTGCTGCTTTAGCTTTGGCCAATTTGAACAACGAGCCACCGATTCTTGAACCAGCAAATGGACCCATTCCATTATTTGACAAAATCAAATGTTCCAAAGACACAGCTTTGGAAATGTAGGCTTCAATAGGGTCAATAGTTTGCAAGCCAAAGGCGTTATCGCTTAAGTTGATCAATTTCAAATTGGGGAACTTCAATAAAGCAGGCAATAAATAGTTTAACGATTGTGGAATCTCCGTCTTTAAACGTCCAGTGTACAAATCCGAAAAATTGATTTCAACAACAGTGTCCTTGTGGTTTAAAAGCGCTTCACTTAATGCTTTAGAAGCTTCGATACCAATGGTGTTTCCCGAGAAATCAATCTTGGTAACATTTTCAATAGTATTTAATTCTTTAAGGTATGGTTCGATATCAGCTTCGGAGTTGAATTTGATTTGTTTCCCAGCAATTGAATAAGTAGTCTCGGGCGTGACCCCCAACTCAACATTAACTGAAGCCATTCTTCTTTTTGAAATTGTACTTTGATTTATGGTATAATCCAGAAATGTAGTCTTGTATGCTTTCGGTTGATGCACCAGCGATCAAACAAAAATAAAAAAAAAAAAAAAAGAAAAAAATCTCGCTCCAACGATGACAAGACGAAACGAAAAATTTTTGATGTAAAGACACGGACGCAGCAATCAACTTTTATCATTAACATCATCATATCCTACAATATATCCAAAGATGAACTTTCAAACAAGAGCATCACCAAAGGCTACAGAAGAAAAATCTACTTTTCAAAAGATTAGAGAAACTCCTGCTTTCGCTGTAGGTACACAAGTTACTTTATTTGGTTTAGGTGTCTTGTTCATTCAATCACCATTGATGGAGATGTTGGTGCCACAATTATAATCAAGAGGATGAAAAGAGTGTTCATTGTTGTACATAGCAATTATTGGTGAATATAGAACTGTTTTTATTAAGGAGATTGTTGTAAATGATCGATGAGTATACTTTTGGGAGTACTTTGGAGTTTCAAAATCTGTACATGAATTTCGAGTTGAACTTGATTGGAATTAATCAAGTAATCTGAAGAATTGGGTTGTTTTAACATAGACTAACCCAAAGTAGCCACAGCGCAGACAGATAAATTACCTCTTTGCCTTCCCTTTCCATGATAGCGATGGTGACGTTACACCTCTCGAGTCTTTTACGCTATAATTTGTAGTAGAGTGTGTCGATGACATCATTGAAGTGTAGTCATATCCAAGAGTGTCCAAAGAACAATCACACTAACTTCTCAACACATGTCAATTCCGTCATTTTAGTTCTGATGGTTTTGTTTATACTAAGTGGTCTTCGAGAACAACCTTTCAATACTTCCAGTATCGTATGTTCGAGCTGCTCCTATATTTCGTTGAGAGCTATACACTGGTACATTATACTCATGGTCTGAGGAAATTGATCGTATTCATTGGTCAAAAAATGCTAGATGCAACAGCATATACGCAATGAGCATAGCAACATAAGCAACCTTTTGCCCTCTGTGTTTTAGATCTCAAGGTCAATGCAATGGGCTCCTTAATGTTGAAATCTCAGGTTGCAAAATAAAACCGTTCCAGAATCAATCTGGCGAAACCTTACTACTGTGCCTGCGGGTCTGTTTTGACAATCCCAGAGATAAAGCAACTTACACTCTTGGAGATGTGAATTGTCTACATGGTACTTGTTCTGGATCTTTTGCTAGATCCGTAGGACAAACGATGTCACAAGGACATGGTAGCTCATCTAAGTAGCGGATACTTTCCTCAGCTAGCCTAGCTTTAAGACTTCAACAATTACCCCACATTTTTCCCCTAGATCCTTACCATTCTAGGATACGCATAAACATTGACTTAATCCACGGTTCAAGTATCATCAATACACTCTATTTTCAGCTTTTGTTTTGTGAATGGTATATGACATGATTTTTTTATCATCATATTATCTATATAAAATGCAGCTCAAGCTATTTCCGTGTGGTTATTGTGTAATTTTAGTATCAGCATATCAACCGCTAACTTACATATATGAAATTCCTATTAGCTTTTACTATTTTCAAAGTTAAATCAGGCCACGGCCGGTATTATCAATACATCGGATGTTTAGGGTTAAAACAGGTACTCCCCCGAGGAAAAGAAAGAAGGATCCTTGCTATACACAAAGAATATGGATAATTCGAAATATCCACGGTCAGAACGTATCTTTTATAAAGATTTCGGATGTTTGCTAGAGGAATGACATTTTGAAAACCGCTATCAAATAAATGGAACGTTGCAAATCTTCCTTTTCTCTCCTTAGCACAAGAGGGCGTGCGACACCTCTATACTTTGCAACTGTTAAGAGAAAACGGCACCTTCTTGTTTCTCACTTAATAAAAAGCTGTCACGTGAATAATTTCTTTTCCCTGGCCTCGGTCGAAAAACTAAAAACAAACGACCTCGGCACAAAAGAAGAGCCAGTAAATGCAGTACAAAGTGGTCATTGGCACACGAACTTTTCACCCCTCTTTTCTCTGTCTACACATATGCACATGTATGTTTGTTTGTAAAAAAGACCCTTTAGCTTTGTACTTTCAAAAACTGTTTTTTGGTCAAACAAGAAGATGCCGATGATACGATATCAAACATTTAAAGAAATCTGATGATCTAAAAACGAAAATAATTAACACAAGGGGTTGCAAGAAAAAAAAAGCACCTGATGTGATGGTTTTTTATTGTAAAAGAGCCACTCTTAGTGTTTAGTGTTTAGCGGGCTTTAATTTTCTCCATTTGAAAAGGGGAGGGGCAAAACGCGGGGTACATCATTACATACGCAGTATCCGAAAAACTGTTTTTTTTTTTGCTTTACAAACGAGGTATGATAGCTACAACAATTTAACTAAAGACTGAATGAAACGAGAGAAAGCGAGGGTAGACGTGGTTTGAAGAAGATGTTGAAAGACTTATCTCCGACTCCGAAGAATTTTGGAGGTGAAAAGGTAGAAGTGATAAGTTGCATTGTCTTCTTTTTACTCCGTGGATGAAAACCTCCATTTTGTGACGGAGTTATAAAAAAAAAAAAAATTGAGGTTTGTGTAATTTGTTTTTTCTCAGTTGTGGAGTAATAGGAGAAATCAGACACAAGACACATTATCAGACATCAGACACAAACAAATATGGTTAAATAAATTTTGTGTCGTATAATTACAATAAGTCAATGGGAGAGAAAGAGAGAAAGTAACCGCCGGAGTTTAGCGGTATACTCCACCTGGACAAGTGAGAAAGAAAGGTTTCTTCCTGATACTGCCGCCAACAGAACAACCACCCTATAGTAAGCTATACAGTCTCTCATTCTCTCTCTCTTAATAAGGTCATTTTACAATTTACATTTTAGTGCTCTCTGTTTTCATGCATAACATAAAATAGATAATGCATAATAATACCCATGGGCTTGTGATTAAATAATATTTACTGTATGTATACCTCTCTCACCAAGTTTCTTACCAATCTTTTCCACCTTTCTGAAATTCTTTTCCTTCAATTATAAATATCATCAAACATTTCTCCTATTTACTAATTTACTTCACTTCCATCCCCCTTTTTCCATCAGGTAATATACTTTCACGTATTATCCAAATTCATTAAATATCACAACTAGTATAGCTACTTGAATCAAAACAAGTTTACTGTTTACGCCACTAACCTCAACCCCACACACAAATACACTTTATTAAAACACACACACACATATATAACAATGTCTGTTCCTTTCACCACCAAAACTGTCAGTTTAAGCAAGGGCCCAGACCCAAAGACTTCTATTCAAACTGAGAGAAATGCTCAAAAGATTGACCCTCAAGCTATGCATTACTTTTTGGAAGGTTCTAAAGAAAGAGCAGAATTGCTCAAATCATTGACTCAACAGATGGAAAGAGACCCAATCTTGTTTACTGACGGGTCCTACTACGACTTGACCAAAGAACAACAAAGAGAATTGACTGTACTTAAGATTAACAGAGTTTCAAGATACTTAGAAAATGAAACCATTGATGTTTTCAACAAGAGGTTATCTTTGATTGGTGTTATCGACCCACAAGTTGGTACCAGAATGGGTGTTAACTTGGGTTTGTTCCTTTCATGTATCAGAGGTAATGGTACTAATGAACAATTAAAGTATTGGGCTTTGGATAAGCATACTGCTCAACTTAGAGGTATCTATGGTTGTTTTGGTATGACTGAGTTGGGTCATGGTTCAAATGTTGCCGGTATTGAAACCACTGCAACTTTTGACAAGGAGAATGATGAATTCATCATCAACACTCCACATATTGGTGCTACTAAATGGTGGATTGGTGGTGCTGCTCACTCATCCACTCACTGTTCTGTTTATGCTAGATTGATTGTCGATGGCAAAGATTATGGTGTCAAGACCTTTGTTGTTCCATTGAGAGACGCTAACCATGACTTGATGCCAGGTGTTTCCGTTGGTGACATTGGGGCCAAGATGGGAAGAGAAGGTATTGATAACGGTTGGATTCAGTTCTCATCCGTCAGAATCCCAAGATTTTTCATGTTGCAAAAGTTCTGTAAAGTTTCTAGAGATGGTGAAGTTGTTTTGCCACCATTGGAACAATTGTCTTACTCAGCCTTGTTAGGAGGTAGAGTTATGATGGTTTTGGATTCATACAGAATGTTGGCTAGAATGTCCACTATTGCATTGAGATATGCTATTGGAAGAAGACAATTTAAAGGTGACAATGTTGATCCAAATGATGAAAATGCTTTGGAAACACAATTGTTGGACTATCCATTGCATCAAAAGAGGTTATTCCCATACTTGGCTGCCGCATATGTCATATCTGCAGGTGCATTGAAGGTCGAGAGAACCATTGAAGATACCTTGGTGGAATTGGACAATGCTGTTGAAAAGGGTGATAATGCAAGCATCATGAAGTCCATTGAGGCTATGAAATCATTGTTTGTTGATTCTGGTTCTTTGAAGGCCACCTCTACCTGGTTAGCTGCTCAAGGTATTGATGAATGTAGACAATCATGTGGTGGTCACGGTTACTCAGGCTACAATGGTTTCGGAAGAGCTTATAATGATTGGGTTGTTCAGTGTACTTGGGAAGGTGACAATAATGTTTTGGGTATGACCACCGGTAAGCCATTTGTGAAGCACGTTATGTCTCTTGAAGACACTGGTAAACCAGTCAAGGGATCATCAGATTTCTTGAACCAGTTGAAGGAATACACTGGCTCTGGAGCCAGCAAGGTTATCTTGAACGATGCAAATGATATTCTCGATCTCAAGAAGTTCATCAAGTCTTTGGAAGTTGCCATCATTAGGTTATCTTCTGAAACTGCCAAAATTGTTAGAAAGGAAAATTTTGATTTTGTTGGTGCTGAATTGGTTAACATTTCTAAATTGAATGCTCATCGTTACGTATTGACTGAATATGTGAGAAGAGTTGATGCTCATGATAACGCAAGCTTGAAACCATACTTGTATGACTTGGGTAGAGTATATGCTGCCACTGTTGTTTTGGACAAGTTTTCGGGTGTTTATTTGACATTCAATGTTGCATCCACCAATGCAATTACTGACTTGATTAAGATTGTTATTCCAAAATTGTGCAAGCAAATCAGACCAAATGTTGTTGGATTGACTGATTCATTCCAAATGTCTGACATGATGATCAATGCTGCTATTGGTAAATACGACGGTGATATTTACGAAAACTACTTTGATTTGGTCAAGACCTTGAACCCTCCACGTAACCACAAGGCTCCATACTCTGCTGCTTTGGAAGCCATGTTGAACCGTCCATCACGCGAGGAAAGAGAAAGATTTGAAAAGAGCGCAGAGACTGCTGAAATCTTGTCCAAGTAGGCCAATTTCCACTTTCAACGCTCTTTTTGTTTTTATTATTTGTGATGTATACCTATTGTTAATGAAAAATTTAAAGTTTGAGATGATCAATGTAGAGCGAAATTTGGGTACAGTTTAAGTAACGGAGGGCTATCTAGTTCTGTCGAATTGTCCCTTGTGGTAGCCAACGAAACACGAATACAAATCGCTATCGGTAGACACTATTTTGGAGATTATCATCCCTTGTGCAACTGCGGCTCATGGTTATCAATTATTTCCTTTCTCGGACATTTTGTGGAGTAAAACTAAGTCGGACATACAAAAAGAGAGGAAAAAAAAAAATGGAAAATCAAAAACAACGGACAAAAAAGTGAAACAATAGAGCAACACAAACACACGTTTTTTAAATAAGGACTCTCTTTATTGAGTGACAATGACGAATATTTCGGTTCAAGTATTTTAATGTCGCGTATGGAATATTTGCGACACTGGGTATTTTTATATTTAGCCGAGGGAGAATTGGCGATCGAAAACAACGTTTTAAAATACAAAATAAGTTGAAGAATAGAAGCGTTTGAAAAGTTGTTAACACCCCCAAGTTCGTGCCGAGTGTCTGTAACGAGCCTGTTCCCTGCTCCCCACATGGTGCTAATTTGATCCTTCGGTTAAACGAAAAGAAATTGCTTATGAAGCGGATTTAAAATTTTGTTAAACAGTGTGTATTGATTCTGTGGGTGGGTTTATTGTACAATAAAAAGAAAAAAGAAAACTAGGATTTATCCATATTTACTTTGTGGCAAGGAATTTGTACGAATGACTTCGGTGGATTTTCCCACTTTGATTCTTCAAAATATAAATATCCACAAACTTTTCCTGTCCCCATATTTCAAATCTTTTTCACTATTTCTTCTATTTTGAAAGAGTTCAACTTTTTGATTTATTAAACACTAAATTTATTTGTTGTCATCAACACTTTGACATATTATATTTCACATTGTTTACAAAGATATTTATAAATCAAAAATGTCGGTTCCATTCACAGCTAAAAATGTTAATTTGAGCAAGGGTCCCGACCCACAAACTTCTATTCAAACTGAAAGAGCTGCTCAAAAGTTTAATCCACAAGCTATGCAATATTTCTTGGAAGGTTCTAGAGAAAGAGCCGAAGTAATCAAGGCCTTGACTCAACAAATGGAAAGAGATCCAATCTTGTTCACTGATGGGTCTTTTTACGATATGAACAAAAACCAGTTGAGAGAAATGACTGCAGTGAAAATCAATAGAATCGCCAGATACATGGAAGTTGATTCGCCTGATGTCTATGCTCAAAGATTGTCATTGATTGGTGTCTTTGATCCATCTGTTTGTACCAGAATTGCTGTCAACTTGGGTTTGTTCGCTAATTGTATTAAAGGTAACGGTACTGCCGATCAAATCAAATACTGGACTTTGGACAAGCACACAAATTATCTTAGAGGAATTTACGGTTGTTTTGGTATGACTGAGTTGGCTCACGGATCCAACGTTATGGGTCTTGAAACTACTGCAACTTTTGACAAGGAGAACGATGAATTCATCATCAACACTCCACATGTTGGTGCTACTAAATGGTGGATTGGTGGTGCTGCTCACTCAGCCACTCACTGTACAGTATACGCCAGATTGAAAGTTGATGGTGAAGATTATGGTGTCAAGACCTTTGTTGTTCCATTGAGAGACTCAAACCATGACTTGATGCCAGGTGTTACCGTTGGTGATATTGGAGCCAAGATGGGAAGAGATGGTATTGATAACGGTTGGATCCAGTTCTCATCCGTCAGAATCCCAAGATTTTTCATGTTGCAAAAGTTCTGTAAAGTCTCAAGAGATGGTGAAGTTGTTTTGCCACCATTGGAACAATTGTCTTACTCAGCCTTGTTAGGAGGTAGAGTTATGATGGTTTTGGAATCATATAGAATGTTGGCCAGAGTTTCGACCATTGCATTGAGATATGCTATTGGAAGAAGACAATTTAAAGGTGACAACGTTGATCCAAATGATGAAAATGCTTTGGAAACACAATTGTTGGACTATCCATTGCATCAAAAGAGGTTATTCCCATACTTAGCTGCCGCATATGTCATATCTGCAGGTGCATTGAAGGTGGAGAAGACTATTGAAGACACTTTGGCATTTTTGGACAAAGCTGTTGCTAATAATGACCAAAAAGCTATAATGCAATCCATTGGTGCCATGAAATCATTGTTTGTTGATTCTGGTTCGTTGAAACCAACTTGTACTTGGTTGGCCGCTGAAGGTATTGATCAATGTAGACAAGCATGTGGTGGTCACGGTTACTCAGCATACAATGGTTTCGGAAGAGCTTACAATGATTGGGTTGTTCAATGTACTTGGGAAGGTGATAACAACGTCTTGTGTATGAACACTGGTAAGCCGTTTGTTAAGAATGTCATCGGTCTTGAAGATAATGGCAAGGCTGTTAAGGGAGGTTCAGAGTTTTTGAACCAATTGAAAGATTACACTGGCTCTGGAGCCAGTAAAGTCATTTTGGAAAATGCAAATGATATTACTGACCTTAAAAAGTTCATCAAGTCTTTGGAAGTTGCCATCATTAGGTTATCTTCTGAAACTGCCAAGACAGTCAGAAAAGAAAATTTTGATTTTGTTGGTGCTGAATTGGTTAACATTTCTAAATTGAATGCTCATCGTTACGTATTGAGCACTTACGTTGACAGGGTTGATGCTCATGATGACGCAAGCTTGAAACCATACTTGTATGACTTGGGTAGAGTATATGCTGCCACTGTTGTTTTGGACAAGTTCTCCGGTATCTTTTTGACATTCAATGTTGCATCCACCAATGCAATTACTGATTTGGCAAAGATTGTTATTCCAAAATTGTGCAAGCAAATCAGACCAAATGTTGTTGGATTGACTGATTCATTCCAAATGTCTGACATGATGATCAATGCTGCTATTGGAAGATATGATGGTGATATTTACGAAAACTACTTTGATTTGGTCAAGACCTTGAACCCTCCACGCAATGACAAGGCTCCATACTCTGCTGCTTTGGAAGGAATGTTGAACCGTCCATCACTTGAGGAGAGAGAAAGATTTGAAAAGAGTGCAGAGACTGCTGAAATCTTGTCCAAGTAAACCCGACTTCTTGACAAATGGGAGTAGAATCTTGTTGTGTATAGTTAGAGATTTCATGAAAGTAAAGTTATTAGAGAAACAGAAGCTGTACAGAGAGAGCCTGAGTGTAGTTGTGTTGCAAGAATTGATGGTTTCCTTTGCGAGTTGTTGAAAGGTACGGTATTCCGGATTGGGGTTCACCCACGAAAGGCAGTTTGTTACACAGGAGGTGACAACTCGACTAGAATGCAATATTATCACACTTATATTTTGCCTCGTGAAGTAGCACAGGGAATACGGGAATTATTCTCTTACCTTCTATTAGTGGTCTCCACTAATAGCGTCTTTCTTTCGATCCATCGAGTTTGAGCTATGTACACTACCTTCACTAACGTTGTACGAGCGATTCTCATTTGTGGAAAGTATACACCTCCCCCCCAACTATTCAATCACCTGATAACAAGTACCCCCAAATGATGAAGGGAGAGTCCCTTGAGAATAGAGACTAATTGTTTACAAAAGCTTGTTTTTTATTAGATCTACCTGCATAGCGAAACCACAAAAGCATATGGTGTTATAGACACTGTTGTTGTTGTTGTTGTGGTTGTTACATATGATTTTTTTTTTGTGTGTGTGGAGTAAGAAGACAAAAAATGCGACACAGCTTGTAGTAGTACAGTTCAATGTCGCTCCTGAGGCGACGCGACATCGTTTGTCTTCGAATGAATGAGAGGATGGTTTATTTTATAATGCCGAAATCTCCAAAGACTGTTTGTCGGCTGAAACCAAAACGGTTTTCTCATTTGGGGGAGAAGAGGGGAGGGGGGGGGTGTTATTTGTATAACAAATATGCTAAGAAGGATATATGTCATGTGTATCTTGGATAGATTCCTCTGATTTTTTTTTTGCCGTCTGCTTTTAACTCTATGACACCTCGGTTGTTTTTGTTTTTGTCTCTTGTCTCTTGTCATTCTTATTTTAATATTTTTCTCCGTGCTATATATGCACCACTTACGGAGTTAATCCTAATTGGGTAAGAGGTATGCATTTTAACTTAAAAGGCAGACAGAAAAGAATGTTCCTTCTTTCACTTTCAATTATCTTGTGAAAAATTCAAGTAGTATCGAGAGACACTTTTCTTTTTACCCCATCAAATTTTTTATATTTTTCAAACTATATAAATACCCATTAAAACGTTTCTCCAGATTTTTATCATTTCTACTTTCCTTCTTCATACTTTTTCAATATATCGTATCAGATTTTTACTAGTTTTACACACTTTTAACATTACTACTACAACTACAACTTTACAACATATTGAAATAAATTATCATGTCTTCCACATTCACAGGTAAAAATGTCAGTCTGGCTAAAGGTCCAGACCCAAAGACATCTCTTGAAACTGAAAGAGCTGCTCAAAAATTCAACCCACAAGCTATGCAATACTTTTTGGAAGGTTCCAAAGAAAAAGCTGAATTGATTAACGAATTGATTCAACAGATGGAAAGAGATCCAGTCTTGTTTACTGATGGTTCCGTTTACGATATGAGCAAAGAACAATTGAGAGAAGCCACCGCTGCCAAGATCAACAGAGTTTCAAGATACTTGGAAACCGACCCAATCCATATTTTTAGCACAAGATTGTCATTGATTGGTGTTTTTGACCCAGCTGTCTTTACTAGAATTGGTGTTAACTTGGGTTTGTTCCTTTCTTGTGTAAGAGGTAATGGTACTTCCTCACAAATGTTGTACTGGTCTTTGAGTAAAAACACTGCTTATGTTAGAGGAATCTATGGTTGTTTTGGTATGACTGAATTGGCTCATGGTTCTTTTGTCCAAGGTATTGAAACCACTGCCACTTTTGACAAGGATAATGACGAATTCATCATCAACACTCCACATGTTGGTGCTACTAAATGGTGGATTGGTGGTGCTGCTCACTCAGCCACTCACTGTTCTGTTTATGCTAGATTGAAGATTGATGGCAAAGATTATGGTGTCAAGACCTTTGTTGTTCCATTGAGAGACGCTAACCATGACTTGATGCCAGGTGTTTCCGTTGGTGATATTGGAGCCAAGATGGGAAGAGATGGTATTGATAACGGTTGGATTCAGTTCTCATCCGTCAGAATCCCAAGATTTTTCATGTTGCAAAAATACTGTAAAGTTTCTAGAGATGGTGAAGTTACCATGCCTCCAATGGAACAATTGTCTTACTCAGCCTTGTTAGGAGGTAGAGTTACCATGGTTTTGGATTCATACAGAATGTTGGCCAGAGTTGCTACCATTGCATTGAGATATGCCATTGGAAGAAGACAATTTAGAGGTGACAACGTTGATCCAAATGATCCAAATGCTTTGGAAACACAATTGTTGGACTATCCATTGCATCAAAAGAGATTGATTCCATACTTGGCTGCCGCTTATGTCATATCAGCCGGTGCATTGAAGATTGAAAAGACTATTGAAGATACCATGGAAGAATTGGATGAAGCTGTTGATGAAGAGGATAAGGAACGTATTGACAATGCCATTACTCTCATGAAGGCATTGTATGTCGATTCTGGTTCGTTGAAACCAACTTGTACTTGGTTGGCTGCTCAAGCCATTGACGAATGTAGACAAGCATGTGGTGGTCATGGTTACTCAGCATACAATGGTTTCGGAAAAGCTTACAATGATTGGGTTGTTCAATGTACTTGGGAAGGTGATAACAACGTCTTGTGTATGAATGTTGCTAAGCCAGTTATCAGAAACGTCATTGCAATTGAAGACGAAGGTAAGGTGATCAAGGGAGGTTCAGAGTTTTTGAACAATTTGAAAGATTACACTGGCTCAGGAGCCAACAAGGTTATCTTGGAAAACACAAACGACCTTTCCGACATCAACAAGGTTATCAAAGCATTGGAAGTTGCCATCATCAGATTTGCCTCTGCCACTGCCAAGACCGTCAGAACGCAAAAATTCGACTATGTTGGTGCTGATTTGGTCACTTTGTCCAAATTGAACTCACACCTCTTTTTGTTGAAGGCATTTGTTGACAGAGTAAACACCCATGATGACGACAGTTTGAAACCATACTTGTGGGACTTGGGTAAAGTATACGCTGCCACCATTGTTTTGGATAGATTTGCCAATATCTTTTTAGCCTTCAATGTTGCTTCATCCGAAGCCATGATTGACTTGTCAAGAGATGTTATTCCAAAATTATGTAAACAAGTTAGACCAAATGTTGTCGGATTGACTGATTCATTCCAAATGCCAGATATGTTTATTAATGCTGCTATTGGAAGATATGATGGTGATATTTACGAAAACTACTATGATTTGGTCAAGAAATTGAATCCACCACGTAATGACAAGGCTCCATACTCTGCTGCTTTGCAAGCCATGTTGAACCGTCCATCACTTGACGTAAGAGAAAGATTTGAAAAGACTGATGAAACTGCTGAAATATTGTCCAAGTAAGCAGGTTTGCCTATTGATTCTTTAAATTGTGATGTATAGTTAGTTTTAACGAAAAATTTAAGTTATTAAGATGAATTGAACGAGTAGTAAATATAGGCGTTCTCTTGTGGCCTAGCCCGGTTTTTGATTGGATGATAATTGTGGCTATCGCGGCTAAATTTTTGCAGCGATAAAATATACTATCAAAACTCGTTTACAATTTTATTACATCAAAACCTCCCATTTGACCCTCTTTCAATGCCTTGGAAAAGACTACCGTTGCGACCTATATTAGCTGGTATAACTAGCACAGCTTTAGTATCATACGTTGCTTACAAGTACGGTCGATATGAAGTGTTGACCAATCCACCACATCACTTGTTTCCCAAATCTTCAACAACCAAATTAACTCGTCTTGACTCACCAAAGTACTGCCAAGACGTATCTCGTGTCATTCCTGAGATTACAAAACTTGGTATTGAAGTTGTCAATAGCAAACCTGAAATTGATCATCATACAGGCAACGAGTTTACTACGCATAAGCCATTGGAGAATGAAGTACCACTTTATGTCGTTTACCCCAAGTCTACTGAAGAAGTTTCACAAGTATTGAAGGTTTGTAATAGGGAACTTGTACCCGTCGTTCCATTTTCGGGTGGTACAAGTCTTGAGGGCCATTTCCACTCAACACGGAGAGGGATTGTTGTTGATACCTCCAAAATGAACAAGGTCTTGGCTATCAATGATAATGATTTGGATGTGGTTGTCCAGTGTGGAGTCAATTGGCAAAAACTCAACGAGGACTTGGAACCATATGGGTTAATGTTTGGCACCGATTGTGGACCACTGGGATTGATCTCGGGGATGATTGCCACAAATGCGTCTGGTATCAACGCATCGCGATATGGAGCAATGTCTGCAAATGTCATCTCTGTGACTGCAGTACTTGCTGACGGTACAGTAGTCAAGACTCGTCGAAGACCGAGAAAGACATCAGCGGGATACAATCTAACCAGTTTGTTTGTTGGCAGTGAAGGTACATTAGGCATTGTTACTGAAGCAGTGGTTAAAGTGTATCCCAAACCGAAAAGTGAAACGGTTGTTGTTGTACAGTTCCCACTGATATCGCATGCCACAAATACCGTAGCACAAGTGTTTCGTCTGGGAATACAGCCTAGTGCCATTGAGTTGCTAGATGCAGATATGATGCATTGTTTAAACTATGGTGATTTCACCAGTGAACCAATGTTGGAAGCACCCACAATTTTCTTCAAGCTCGGTGGAATTAATGACACAGTTGTCAATGAAAGTGTCAAAATCCTCAAAACCATAACGCAAACCAATCAAGCATCCAATTTCAAATTTGCTAGAAATAAACAAGAACAAGAAGAGTTATTTGCAGCCAGGAAAAATGCATTTTATGCCATGATCAATTGGGGTCGTAATGAAATTGATGAAGATGTAAGAATCTGGGTCACTGATATCGCAGTTCCTCTTTCTCGCTTATCACACGTCTTGGATAAAATTAACGACTGGATCAAAAAATCTCCCTTTGAATCAATAATTTTGGCTCATGCAGGTGATGGCAATTTCCACGCTGATATTTTCTATAAAAAGGGTCAAAGAGCAGAAGTTGAAGCAATTGTTAACAATATGATTCAATTGGGGATTGATAATGATGGAACTGCCACTGGTGAACATGGGATCGGCAATGCTAAACGAAGGTTCCTACAATTGGAGTTGGGTGAGGATACGATTGATATGATGAGAAAGATTAAAATGGCCTTGGATCCAAATAGAATTTTGAATCCTGACAAGATTTTCAAAATTGACCCTACTGATGGAGGTGAGTATTGAGGAAGGTATCGTTTTTGTTTTCCTGCAACTCATATTTATAGACTAGTAATAGACATTTTGAATAAACTGAAGTTGAGACAGTAGTCACATCTGGGATTACTCTTTTGCGCAGTTCCACGTGACAAACTTTGGGGTAAGCGCGCAATTATTACTTATTTAGGAATGCACTCGTGATCCTGTATGTCAAAAAAATTTCACAACTTCGGCACAATGTTTAATAAAATTGACGTATTTCCCCAACCATTTGTCAAGCGGACACTGAGTCATGTCTTGGAGAAGATTGTCTTTGAAACCAATCTTGTTTGGGTTTGCCAGTACTGCCGTTGTATCATACGGTGCATACAAATATGGTCAGTACAAAGTGCTGACTAACCCACCACTTGATTTGTTCCCCAATTCGTCAACCACGAAATTGAAATCACTTGATTCACCAAGATACTGCACTAACATTTCTTCAATTATGCCTGAAATAGTTGATCTTGGTATCGAAGTTCTCAGTTCTAAACCTGTTATTGATCATCATACAAGTAATGAGTTTACAACACACAAACCATTGAAGGAAGAAGTTCCTCAATATGTAATTTATCCAACTTCCACCGAGCAAGTATCGCAAGTACTAAAAATCTGCAATCGTGAACGTATACCCGTGGTTCCATTTTCTGGAGGTACTAGTATCGAGGGGAACTTTCACTCCACTCGTCATGGTGTCGTTGTAGATACTTCCAAAATGAACAAGGTCTTGGCTATCAATGATAATGATTTGGATGTGGTTGTCCAGTGTGGAGTCAATTGGCAAAAACTCAACGAGGACTTGGAACCATATGGGTTAATGTTTGGCACCGATTGTGGACCACTGGGATTGATCTCGGGGATGATTGCCACAAATGCGTCTGGTATCAACGCATCGCGATATGGAGCAATGTCTGCAAATGTCATCTCTGTGACTGCAGTACTTGCTGACGGTACAGTAGTCAAGACTCGTCGAAGACCGAGAAAGACATCAGCGGGATACAATCTAACCAGTTTGTTTGTTGGCAGTGAAGGTACATTAGGCATTGTTACTGAAGCAGTGGTTAAAGTGTATCCCAAACCGAAAAGTGAAACGGTTGTTGTTGTACAGTTCCCGCTGATATCACATGCCACAAATACCGTAGCACAAGTGTTTCGTCTGGGAATACAGCCTAGTGCCATTGAGTTGCTAGATGCAAATATGATTCATTGTTTGAACTACGGCGAATACACTAGCAAACCAATGCTAGAAGCACCCACAATTTTCTTCAAGCTCGGTGGAATTAATGACACAGTTGTTAAAGAAAGTGTCAAAGTGCTTCAATCCATCACCAAAGAAAATGATGCATCCAATTTCAAATTTGCCAAAAACAAGCAAGAACAAGAAGAGTTATTTTCAGCTAGAAAGAACGCTCTATACGCCATGACCAACTGGAGTCGTAGTGAAATTGATGAAGATGTGAAAATGTGGCCGACTGATATAGCGGTTCCGTTATCTCAATTATCGCATGTCTTGACGATCATTAACAGTTGGATTAAAGATTCTCCCTTCCAATCTACTATAGTTGCTCATGCGGGCGATGGTAATTTCCATGCCAGTATCTTTTACCGCGATGGCCAAGACGATGAAGCTGAGAAAATGGTTAATAAGATGGTTGAATTGGGTATAGCTAATGATGGGACAGCTACTGGTGAACATGGGATTGGCAATTCAAAGCGTTATTTTTTGCAATTGGAATTGGGGGAGAATACTATTGATATGATGAGAAAGATTAAAATGGCCTTGGATCCAAATAGGATTTTGAATCCTGATAAAGTGTTTAAAATAGATCCTAATGATAGAGGAAAGCATTAAAGGAAATGCATTTGCTTAGAAATATTTGTTGGGGAAATACTCCCCATTGTTAATGTTATAGATATGTTTAGCTGTGTATGTATGATTAAAGCATCTGTAAATGCTTATGACTCATGACTCATGGACCATTGTTGTTGTTGTTGTTGTTGAGCTCAAAACAATTCCACCGTAATGTGACTGGTAGCATTTATCATACTGCATATAAACCTGGTTATCGTAGTTACTCCTATTTCATCAACAACCGATTATTTAAACATGACCTCCCTTACTCCCACTAGGCGAGATAAGAATGACAATTGTATTCAGACAAGAGTTGTACTGCTAGCTTTCGATTCATATTCGAATTCACATCTGATCAGTGAATAAGAGTTTTGTATGAATGTAGTCAAATTTCCAGTAGAAGTGTTATCTCTAATATATGTTGCAAGAAAAGAACATAAAAATTTTTTCTTATCATTAAAGAAGCATAAGGTGTAACAACAATAATCTCATTTACGTTTTTTTTTTTTCAACTTTTCTCAACAAAAACTCAACTTAGTTATATGCATCTGCAGGATTCTAACAAGATACATGCATATATAGACACTCATATCACTCAGACAATATACCATCATGAATAGTCACACTAACGCTCATCAGCAAAGGCGATCGTTACTTTCAAAAGGTCTAGCGGGGGAGAATAGCACTACCGCCACTAGTATATCACAACAACAACACCAGCAACAACAACAACAGCAACAAACAGAAACTTTTCCTCATCACCAGCATCACGTACAGAAATACCAGTCGATGTCACAAGAGCATCCCATATTATGCATAAATGAAGTCATAAGCGAAGAGGACGCAAACAATTTACAATATATAGAACATCCAGAGCCACAACTTTTGGCCAGCTCAGTGGGGAAAGATCTAGATGGGAAGCTAATACCGTCATCATCAACCATTTCATTGCTTTCGTTGAATCAAGATGTACCGCCGAGGAGTAATGAGCAGTCGCAGCAACAACAACAGCAGCAACAACAACAACTGTCCTTATCGATGACGAAAACATCACGTACCACGTCGTATTCGAATTTACAAAGATTACAACCATATCAAAGAGCAGCCACTACGTCACCACCATTTCAACAACACCATTCACAACAATCTCAAGTTTCAAGCCGAAGTTCACCCGAGGTTGTAGGCTTTCAACCATTTGCGATGCAGTCCAATTACAACACTAATATGCTGTTATCGATTCCCGGAACCATACCTAGCTCACCAAATTTAGATCCCGTTTCTTTGGGTGGCTCTCCTTCTCGCTTTTGGTTATCTGCACAAACGCCTCCAACACCAAGCACCAATATGAGTAGAATTCAAGCCAATAGTCAAACGGTACTGCTACAGCTGCTGCAGCAGCATCTGCATTTCCAGCCACAATATTTTGTACATAAAACAAGAAGGGGGTCGACCAATAAAGTAGCAACGGGTGATGATTCCCCCGTGCTAAACCCCGTGCAAACGCCGATCGAGGATCCGCCCATGACACCGTTGTTCTTGAGTAATACAAACACTGTCAAACATGTTGACTATTTTACGCACTATCATCCAAATCACAGTGATTTGAAAGAAGAAGCACTGGAAGAGGAGGAGGATATAGAAGATGGCTTATTGGATAGAGGTGGAGAATCATATAGTAAGAGGTCATTGAACGAACGAATGGTTTCGGCAAAGGATGTTTATAGTTAGTGCAGTATATTAATGTATGAACACGCTCGCAACAGTAGTTGCAATCTTCGAAGTGTCGTGGTCAAATCTTGTTCCCTCGTAATTGGCACTTCGGTATGAATTTTGCCGTCAAAAAAAAAAAAAAAAAATACTACCCCAGTTTGACAGATCTCTTTGATTCGGCTCAATTTGGCGACATTAAGGATGTCTACTTACGAAGGTACGTAAAGCAATATTCTCATCCAATAATCCTTGTACTAACCCCTTAGACCAGAGGAACACAACATCACGCGTACACAACCGCAAGATACGCAACGACGAGGTAGGAATCATGACACATTAAGCGGAATCATTGATTCATTTATCCACTCACATCGAACGAATCCCGATCCCACTGCCGTTGTTGCTACGCCCTCCTTGGATGACCGCTTCACCGAGTCAGCTACATCGCTTGAATCATTATCTGCGGCATTGAATCAATTGAGGACTTTGGAACACTCTGAAATTGCTGACTCGTTGTTGAATATATTGGACTCAAATCCTAAACAACAAGGTGTCAATCTGGATTTCTTGGACACTTTGGAACGAGTGCCTGTTTCTCAATTATTAGATGATGAATTTTGCCCCATATGTACAAATAAGTTTAAAGAGGACAAGTATCCATTGATTGTTAAATTACCTTGTGGTGTCAAAAATTCCAAACATTATTTTGACTTGGAATGTATTGGACCCTGGTTAATGACAAATTCAACTTGTCCCATGTGTAGAACTAATGTTTTGGAAGTGGAAGAAAATAGAAGAAAACGGATTGAAGAAGAGATTAGGAAAGCTAAAGAAGAGGATTCAGAAGAAGAGGCAGAAGATGGGTGGGATGTTTATGGATAGACGATTTGTCAAAATAAAGCTACACCTATATACAAGATATGTAAACGATTATAAAGTTTTCTTAAATTCATCTGATTGTAACAACTCCTTCACTTTTTGAGCAACTGGATCCTCCAATCCTTCATAGGCTTGAGGAAATTCAAAGTCATCCAAATTAGCCACTTCTTCATTATAATTCAAACCTTCTCTCGCTACAACCGTAGCCTTCATATCAACAGTTTGCAACTTGTACTTGTTAACATAACTCAACCACAAATCAACAACTTCTGGATTAGCATCATAAGCAATCAACTGCTTGTTATACGTGGTTCGATGGAAATTTTGTTTCGTCTTTGCTTGGGCAAATGGCGACTTAATCACGGTATACAATCTCTTTTCAGTCTTGAGAGAGGCCAATTTCGACATGGGAATACCCAAGTAATAAGCTGCTCGTAATGCAAATTCACCCATACGAATCAAGTCATCGTCATTGTATCCACGTAATGTCAACGTAGCTACTTCATCGCCATGAGTCTGGGACAATCTCAATGGTTTGTATTGTAATAACTCAACATTGAGAGGGATGGGACGTTTGTTGTTTTCTTGGAAAGTGGTGTGTGAACTAAACGTCCTTGGTATATATGGTAATTGATCTTGACGCAATTGTGATTGAAATTGTTGATTTTCAAGTTGTTCTTGTTTGGCTTTAGAAACTACTTCATTTGGAGTGAGAAACTTTTGCAGTAAAAAGGCTCTTTTGGAGAATGATCGTATGCTACCCTGTAGCCTGTATGGTTGCAACATGAGAGGTTTAACTGGTGGTGTTGTAGCCAGTTGGAAAATTTTCATTTGGTTTAAGCTTGGAACAATAGAAATTTTTTTTTCCTTCTCTTCAATCTCTTGTGGTAGTCCCGTAGCGAATTGATTGCAAAGAGTTTGCAGAGAGTTTGCAAAGAGATATCACCAGCACGATGGGGAAAACAAGCAAAGATAAACGAGACTTGTATTACCGACGAGCGAAAGAAGATGGCTACAGAGCAAGATCTGCTTACAAACTACTCCAGTTAGACCAACAATTCCACCTACTAAATAACATCACTCGAGTCGTTGATCTTTGTGCAGCACCAGGGTCTTGGTCTCAAGTGCTTAGTCATAAGCTAGGATCTAATCCAGATGCGAGGATTGTTGCTGTTGATTTACAACCAATGACTCCAATAGACCATGTGACTACTTTACAGGCGGATATAACCCACCCAAAAACATTGCAACAAATCATGGACTGTTTCAATGATGATGACGGTGGTAACGGTGATGACGAGGGGTTGGCTGATTTTGTATGCAGTGATGGTGCTCCAGATGTTACAGGAATGCATGATTTGGATGAATATGTGCAACACCAACTTGTATGGGCAGCGTTTCAACTAACTACATGTATCCTAAAACCAGGTGGATCCTTTGTTGCCAAGATATTCCGTGGTAAGGATATTGATTTGATGTATAAGCAATTGCTGAAATTTTTCACAAAGGTGTATTGTGCCAAACCTCGTAGTTCGAGGGGTACCAGTTTGGAGGCGTTTATTGTATGTCTAGGATACAAACCTATACCGAACTGGACACCCAAATTGGATGTAAACCAACTGACGGATGAGTTTTTCGAAGGCGCTGGAATAAAGCATAACGACGATGTGTTTGACAATAAAGAGGACGACGAGAGGTTGGTTGTGGAGTTTGTGGCATGTGGCGACGTCAATGATATTGATTCAGATGCCACCTACTCATTGGATCTGGATTTTGTAACTTTAGATCCTGTTCAAAGACCAACTGCACCGCCATACAAAAAGGCACTCGAAATGAAACGAGATGGTAAGTTAACGAGGAGGTAATACAGAGCGATTCTTATCTATCTTTCCTCTATTTAGATAAAACTATATATATATTTACTAATCATCATTCTTTAATGGCTCCTCTCCTTTCAAAACTAAGGCATCTGGTTTCAAAGTCGGGAACAACAAAACTTCTCTAATGGTATTCGAATCAGTTAAAAACATGGCTAAACGATCAATACCACAACCCCAACCAGCAGTTGGAGGCAAACCATACTCTAAGGCATTACAGAAAGTCTCATCAATCATTTGCGCTTCGTCATCACCTTGAGCCTTTTGTCTAGCTTGCTCTTCGAATCTAGCTCTTTGATCAAATGGATCATTCAACTCGGTGTATGCATTGCAAATTTCCTTGGTGGCAACAAACACTTCGAATCTTTCACATAACCCGGGGATTTTTCTATCCTTTTTAGCCAAGGGGGACATCATTTGTGGATGTCCAAAGATAAAAGTTGGATTGATTGATGCATCTTCCAATTCACCAACCAATTTGTCCAACATTCTTGCGTTAGTCAATGGTGGTGAACACTCCAAGTTGTTGTCTTTCAAGACTTTTTTCAAAAATTCACCAGTTTCAGCAGTGTGTAATTGATCACCAGTGGGGAATTTGACATTGTAAACTTTCTCCAACTCTTCAATCATATTAACTCTCTTCCATGGCCTTGAAAAATCCAAAGTCATGGCTTCTCCTTCAGGGCCATCGGGGTGATACGTGATTTTGTAATCACCAGTGATTTCCTTAACCATTTCTGAAAACATCATCTCAGTCATGTCCATCAAATCATACACATCAGCATAAGCTTGATAAAATTCACAAGTGGTAAATTCCGGGTTATGAGTCATATCAATACCTTCGTTTCTAAATTGTCTTCCAATTTCATAAACTCTATCCATACCACCAACAACCAATTCCTTTAAAAACAATTCTGGAGCAATTCTCATAAACATTTCCATATTCAAATCATTATGATGAGTAGTGAATGGCTTAGCAGTGGCACCACCAGCAATAACATTCAAAATTGGTGTCTCAACTTCAACGAAGTCACGAGCATCCAAAAACTTTCTAATGTATTGAATGATTTTTGATCTAACTCTAAATCTTTCCCTACTTGAATCATTCATAATTAAATCCAAGTAACGTTTTCTGTACCTGGCTTCTTGATCTTTGAATCCATAATGTTCAGTTGGCAACATGTGCAAGCATGGTGTTAATAACTGAACTTTTTGAGCGAAAACTGACAATTCTCCTTCACCACCTTTAGCTGGAGTGGTTCTTCCAGGATAACCAGTAACACCAATGATGTCACCTCTTTTCAAAATATCGTGCATTTCTTCAAAGGCTTCTGGTGAATCAGCATCTTGAGCTTGAGCCATGACTTGTATTTCAACTCCATCACCTTTCAAAACGTAAAATTTTAATTTTGAACCCGATTCTCTTTTGGTCATGATTCTACCAGTAACTTGAAGAGTAATGTCTTTTAACGATTCACCTCTTTTCAAGTGACTATACTCTTTGACAAAATCGTGCAACCTTTTAGTGACTTCAAACTTATGAGGGTAAGGATTGAATGCAGAAGGATCGGCATTGTTCTTTTCTCTCAATTCTTCAATTTGACGAGATCTAATTTCGTGGAATTGGTTGGGGTTTAAGTCAGCAAACTCATTTTTCTTTTTAGATGACTTTGCACCTCCAGCAGCTTTAGTATCTTGAGCAGAGGGTGCTTTTTGAGCTTTTCTAGCCTCAATAGCTCTTTGTTTTTGTCTCTTTTTCAACTCGGTTTTGGAAACTTGTTCACCAGTGACATCATCCAAGTATGTCTTTTGCACTTGCTCAGCAACTTTATCAACTTCAGACATAATGATATAAGGCAGGGGTTTCTTCTTACAGTAGAAATGAGTATATCTGCTAATAAATTTCGGTTTTTTTCTTCTGTTCCATCTTTGAGTGAAAAATTTTTTTTTTCAACTGAAAACAAATTGATAAGAAAGTAGTATATTCCACCATTCAGTCATGCCATCAAATAAGTACACCCCACCTACTGTGAGTACTGTCACATTATCTTCCTCGGTATTGTTGTCGTTGCTTAGGCACACATCCGAACACTACCCTTCCATCTTTTCTGGCGCGTTGTTGGGGTTTGAAGATGAAAAAACTGTTGATATAACTCATGCATTCCCATTTCCTTATCCAGATCAATACGAAGGTGGGTCGTTCAAATCGAAAAGTGGAAGTCAATACCAAAAGGACTTGTTGGAGAATTATAAAAAATTGGGTTATGGAGTCGAATTTCAAGGTTGGTTCCAGTCAACAGTTTCTGGTAGTTTTGTAACAAGTCAATTGGTTGAAGCCTTGGCGCAACAACAATTACAAAATCCAAACATTTTCATCTTGATTCATGATATGTCTAGTATTGGTCAAGAAATAAATTTGAAAGCACTCAGGTTATCCAATGGATTTATGAATGCTTATGTTGATGGTAAATGGAGATCAAGAGACTTGGAAAAGAACAAGATATCATATTTGAATCTATTCGATGAATTGGAGCTTGATGTACAGAACCAAGCTCTTGTCGATTTATATTTGGCGTCATCTAAGCCAGCATCAATAACTGAATCCGATTACAATGTTGTCAACTTGTTATCAAACTCCAATTCAACCGCTCACTTGTTGGAATCGTTATACGGGCAAGTAGATTCATTCAACTATGACCAAAACAACTTCAACTACTACCAAAGGCAATATTCAAAAGAGCAAGGTAAAATTCAACAATGGAAACAACAAAGAAAATATGAAAATTTGGAAAGAGCAAAGAATGGGGAGAAGGAGTTGGATACCGATGAATGGAAATCACAATTTAAATTACCAGTTGAACCATCAAGACTCAACAACATGCTTTATAGTCATTCGATTGATGTATTGGCTGATGATATTTTGAAGAAATGTGATGAAAAATTGCAAAAGAGTTTTGCTATTAATAGAAAATTGACTTCATAGGAGGTTCGTATTGCTATTTAAGAAATGATGTATTAGAGGAGATTGTATGGAAATGTAGATACCTCTTGTGGGACCATGGGGGGGGGGGGATCAATGACTCGTGCCCCGTGGAAACAAGGTATGGTTTTGGAAAGAGACTGCATATAAACCACTTCTGTCAGTGTCGAATTTTTTTCTTTGATTGACTCAGCTTGCATATGAGAGATATTTGATGCTTCCATTGCAGCTTCTCTACAAACAAACCTAAGCACACCACTTTTCCAAATGAAGTGGGTCCAAAATGTTTCATACCTGATTAAGTCGTACTTGTCTCAACACATCTCAATCACTCACTTACGAATAGCTGCATTTGTGGTTGCGTTATTTTCTTGTCTTGTATCAGGATCAATTTTACTATTTACATTATTTGGTCCATCTTTCCACAATGTACTTGGACTTTCGTATCTTGAGATAAATTGGATTGCGTCATTGTCAGCTGGTGGGATGTACTTGTGTCTTCCTGCATTAGGCTACTTATCAGATTGTTATGGACCTTCGATTCTATCATTTTTATCAGTATGGTTCTTCGTCCCCAGTTATGCCTTTAATAGCTACTTGGTGCAAACGGGATGCAATAAATTAGCATTATACTGTGGCTCATTTTGTTTTATTGGGCTAGCTACTTCGTCATTGTATTTTTCGAGCTTGTTAACTTGTGCAAAGATTTTTCCCAAGCATAAAGGGTTAGCTATTTCCTTACCCGTGACTTGTTATGGACTTAGTGCATTGCTTGGCTCACAATTGCTCAAGCTAAACTACTTCAAAATGATTTATAAATTGGATTCAGAAATGTTGGATTTAGTAAAAGTGTTTCGATTTTTTGCATGGTTGTATGCGATAATTGGGGTGTTGAGTTTTATATCCAGTTCAATTGTCCTTGTGGAGCAAGATGTGATTTTCGACGTTAATGAAATCGATGTTGATGATAGGACTCCATTGTTGAATGACGATTTGACGCCTCAACGATCAACAAGATCCATAGATCCACCAAACCATAGGAAAAGGTTTATATCGTTTTTGAAAGATTTATCCTCGTGGGTACTCCTCGTTTCACTTATCATGAACATTGGTCCTTTAGAAAGTTATCAAAACAACTTAAGCTCTATTGTTGCCATATTAGAACCAATAAAATCAAAGTCCAACCTTTCAGACAAGGTTAGCGTGTTGGCAACGTCATCAACAATTGCAAGGCTAGCATTTGGTGGTTTGAGTGACTTGTTGGATATTAAAGGTTACAGCTCAGTACCACTTCTAATGGTTTCAGTGGTGTGTGGTATCGGTGGCCAGTGGTTTAACAATGTCGTTTTAAATGGTATCTCATACGGAGGCATGTTTACGATTTACCCCACTTTAGTTGCATCAGTTTGGGGAATTGATATTATGGGATCCACTTGGGGGTCATTTATGGTTGCACCGGCAATTGGGTCCATTATGTTTTCATTATTCTACGGTAAAGTTGCCGATGCCGGTAAAATGGGAAACGAGACAGAGAGATTACAAATATATTTCAAGGCTACATCGCTTTCATTGTTTGTAAGTTGCATTTTGGTGTTGGTGGCTTATAGAATATGGCGCAAAAGAGGCCAGTGATGTTGAATAGAATCGTATAAAAGGCAATAGAATTTTTTTTTTCAATTTGAAAATAAATTTGGCCCAATAACGGGCAAATCAAACCCGAGGTTGTAACTCAATCCAAGCTTCATATCCTCAGCAAATTTGTTGAATTTCTTCGTCTTCTCAATCCATGTGCTAGTAACCGTCTCTTCGGTTTCAATTGTTTTCAATTGGTCCCAAAGATTTCGCCTATTCATTTCAACAATCAAACCTTCATCGCTAAAGTCAAATAACTCGCCAGTCTTTGCCAATTGGTAGACGTCAAGCTTTTGACTAAATTTCTGCAATACTTCTAGTGGCAACTTTATAGCTGCTTCTCTAATCGATTGAGCATCATTGGCTTCATACAAGTACTGGAATTGGTCACACAATTTTATAGTTATCATGTGGACTCCCCTTAACATTAGCGAGTACCTATATTTCTTTGCTAATTCACCAAGTTTGACCCCTTGAGCATGTGTATACATTTTCAATTGATTCTCTAATTTGTCGAGTATTTCATATTCGAGATCTTTATCTTCCTTTTCTGAATTGGCAAATTTCAATTTCATATAGCATTTCAATCTCAATCGGATACCGGTAAATACCATCAAGGTTAAATGCAAGTAAAACTCGGTCAATTTAGCCACTAGCAACACATTGCTACTTGAATTGACACTCAGGAAAATGTATGTATTCAAATCGCCCAAATCTTGTAGCAAGATAGTTGTCGTTTTAAGAAAATACTTTGACAGCAAAAGATGATTCTCTTGGCTCTCATAGTACAAGTGTAGACAATAATACGTGTAAGCCATGAAAAGCTTCATCTCCAGGTAAACTTGCATCTTGAAAACACCCATGAAACCAACAAGTGGCTCATTGAATAATGGTTTCACATTGCCACACGTTTTGATTATCACAGTCTCCAAATTCTCGAGCAACCTAATCACCAGCTCTACCGGGAACATATCACTTGCGATCAAATGATAGTCCACCAATTTTCTGCACAATAAGTAAACATCGTTGCCACACCGAAATGAGTCAATGATTGCCTGTTCTAATTTGAGATCAAAACAGTTGGCAGCATCAGCCAGAAATTCTGGTAATGGACAGTCGTATGTATGCACATCGGTCGATAACACTGTTCCGAAAATTGCCGAACAAGCGAGTTCCGTTCGAGCCACAAAGTGCCATATTTTTCGACGCAAGTTTTGCATCTTGGGTGATTGACCATCAAAACAAGATGGATCTCTGTTTAATCCAAGGGCATAACAAAGTTGAATAATAGGACCCAGTTTCACTTGGGCGGCACTCCCGGTAAAGAATGCTTCTGGTGCAACAATGGCGTAGAATCGAAACATTAGCCCTGCTTGTACCACCGTCAAGCTTTGTCGGCAAGTCAAATCAAACTCCTTCATGATTGTCTCTGCTGCTCTCACGGCATCATATGTCACGGGGTGCTGACTAAGGGTCGACGGACTTTTCCCATTCAAGTCCCATAAAGACAAATAAGTCGACCTAAGTATAATCAAATATATCACCAAAGTTGCCAAGTCGTCAGACGAATCCACGTTGGGGAAGGTGTTGATATAATCATCATTAATTTGAGGTCCCAAAATTCTGCTCAATGCTGCCCTAAAGTCTTGCTCATCAATAATTGGCATGAATAAGTACAACTTTTTAAAGTACATATCGAGCAACTTCTTACACACCCACGCAGGAGGAATCAAGCTAAAATAACAAGCTATGGGATCCCTCAAGTCCACGTCCGGCCCAGTGAATTGCAATCCGTAATGATTCAATGCCAACTTCTTTTTCAATTCTTCTGTGTTTGTAGTTTCTTCTCCTGATCGTGGAATATGATAATCACCAAGAACCAATCGTGACTTTTCTTTGATCTCTGCAGATTTAACAGAATCAAGTTCACAAAGCAAAATAGACGAGGTTAGCAAATGACCATCTTTTTCGCCATCTCGTGCAAATAAATTAAACAACAATTTAGAACCCCCATCACGTCTCATCAAAAGCATATACGGAAATGGTCTGTTTGACAAAGGCAATGGCTCACCATTGGTAAAACTGTAATTGAAATTCGTTTGACCTGGTGCCGGGTTAGATCCTCTTGGCCAAGTTGTTAATGCAATGGCATTTGGTCTACTCCATTTGGATAATTGCTCAGCCTTTAATTGGGTCTCCAATTCTTGGATCCTATTTCTAAGAGCATCAACTTCACTTAACTCCGAACTAGCTGGGGATCCATTTCGGTACAGCTGGGCTAATGGGGAGGTATTCGAGCTGCTGACAGAGTTGTTCTGCACTTTTCCTGGTGTTTCATAACCTGCTGATCTCATTTCTACCCAAGATCCAACTTGTCCAAAGTCCGACTTCACTTGTGGTATTTCAAAGGTTCCCGCAGCACCTGCACTTCTTTGTCGAGATTTGGACTTTGCCGCAAGTTGTGATTCCGTTGCTAAAGTGTACAGACAATTTTTCTTGAGTCGACTGCAAGTTTTACAAGGCAGTTCCCTGTCGCATTTGATCTTTCTTCTACGACACCTGTCGCAGCTTAACACCTGTCTGTTTCTTGTTTGCATGGCTGTGGTTGTAAAAAAAAAAGGGGGAAACCAGAATGTGGTAAATGAAGTTCTTAATTGTTGTGACTATTTCACTTTGTATACGGAGTGATTGTTTTTCTATTATTTTTTTTTTGTTCGGTTTAATTTTCTCTCTGTGTTGAAAACGGAATTAGGTGATTTTTGTTTGTTTCAAAGACTAAAAGTTCAATCCACCCAACATCAAGAGAGTTGGAAGAGAGAACGTTAGTTCTTACCAACGAGCTTGGAAACTGTGACAAAGCTTTCGCAGACTTATTCCCAGTACATATGGCTACCACTTGTGTGATTGTTTTTATCGAGCAGCCCATGCAGACTATTTGCTTTCATGCTTGTTGCGGAGATTAATCGCGGATCTAATGGCAATCTCCGCAAAAAAATATGTCAAAACCCTCAAACACCGAGGACTTACAACAATCATAGCATTATAACCAAAAAACTACAAGACTACTACTGTTATAGCTTTTAGTGACTATGGTGTGTTAGATATCGTAGAAGCCCTTCAACTTCGCTTGTTCGTTCTTGATAATTACTACACCATCTCGAGCTAAAATGCTAATGATTATGCCAACGTTGTCGGGAACACGAACCCACTCTGAAGTCAATAAACTGTCAAAAAAGCTGGTCAAGGTGCGAACCGTCTCTTTCACTTGATCCTTGTTGTTGACGGAACCTGAGGTACGATCAGAGATGGCAAGGTATTTGATCAAAACTTTCTTTAAGTAGTTAAAAAGTGCCTTTCGTAGCTCCAATGACTCTATCCATTTCGAGGTCAATGGCGATGTGAACCCTTTATCGATCAACTCACTCAACTCTTTGATTTCTTGTAGTCGTTCTTGTTTTTGATTCTTCAATTCCTCAATATTTTTAGTGAAATCAAATTCCACACTTGGATCATCCTCACTCGCTTGTGATATCTCTTTACGCTTCTCTTCAATCATCTCTTCAAGTATAACTGAAGTAACTGCTGTTGCAATGGTGTCATTTTTGTCAGGGATGTATGGAATATTGCCATAAGTGGCATACAAGGCTATGATTCGTTTCTCTAGGGAGCATGACTTAGCTAAATCTTTATCGAAAGAATTTATTGCTTTTTCTGCCTGCTGGATGTGACATTGAACACGTTCAATGTCTTTAGTTAGTCGATTGATATACGCTTCGTCTAATTCATTCTTCAGTGGCTGTCGATTCAACACTTCAATGAGCTTATCCATTGGTGCAATAAAGAAGAAACCAAAAAAAAAAAAAAGGAAAAAGAGAAAAAGTTTGATATTTCGCAAGTGAAATAAACCATCTACATCAAGCTTCATCACCAACATGTCGAGTATTTCCCCATCAGCACTTCAAAATCTTGATCCAGAAAGCAGAAAAGAGATGATGCAATTCATCGAAGCTGAACAATCAAAGTCAAAAGTCCAATCATCGATACATAGCTTCACTGATATGTGCTTTAAGAAGTGCAACAAAGACAAGCCTTTAACCTCACCAACTTTGGATAGCAAAGAAGAACAGTGTTTGGTAAACTGTTTAAATAGATTTTTGGACACGAATATCAAAGTTGTTGAATCTTTACAAGGGAAATAGAGGTTGTCCTTACGTTTATTATTTAAATCTTGTTTATAGAATCCTGTATATCTTCGAAATCAGACAGTTTATCGCATGATATAGCCAACTTTTTCAATGAAAAGATGTTTCGTAATATGCTGTTGTGCAATCCTTCAATATTATACGTCTCGACTCTTACTCTAAGGATGTAGTATGCTCCCATAAGATCATAGACGAATGAATACACCATCGGTGATTCAAGTTGTAGGATATCATTTTCCACATCCAATGCATGCAGTATAATTGACGGCAGTTGTTCCAAAATCCCAATATTTGTGATAATCTGATTCAATGTGTAAAATACTTTAGAAATGCTTATTAGGGTACTAATGCCAATGTGGCTGATGCAAATTCTTAGCTGATCTAGGAGAAACGTTGCTAGCTTTGGGTATTTTATAACATGGGTTATAGAAGACAAGATTGTTGCAATTGTTTCAATGAAATTCAAATCGGTGCCATATTCACTATCAAGTCTGTAGATGCATGGATACGCCACAGACAACAACAGAAGTGAATCTATCTCTGCGGTTATACTCGGTACGTGATGCAAGCATTTGGCCAAATTTTGTCGCAAGGGAGCTATTAAATTCATTATGGATGGTGTGTTGTCGATTTTCAAATGTGTTAGCAATTTACAAGCTTGAATTTTGGCAGGGATGTCAAATTGTAAAGTGTCAATGATGAGCAATAAGATCAACTTGCATACTTCTTTATCCCCATTCTTTGTCACTTCTATCAAAAACCATGCCTGAGCTAAAGGGATTGCGTCAAAGTTTTGCTCTTGGAAAGAAAGACGAGGCTTTAAAGCCAGCTGTTTACCTTTACCCCATTGCGCCATTTTCTCTATCTTTTTCAACCTTGTACAAAAGTCGTCTTGAATAAAGCTGTGAAGATACTCATCAAATTTTCTCTTATGCACAATTGACTCAACAATTTGTGCATTGGCATCTGAGCACCATGTTAAGTTGGGATTTGCATGTAATGATATTGCCCGTACAACATCTAAATTCCAAAGCGTTGATGTTTCGAGATTCATTAAATCTTGGTGATAGTTCTCTGGGGGTTGTGGTATATTCTGCAAATTTCGTAGTATTTTCCCATAGTCTATATCCCTTGTGTCTGGTATCTCTTCAATCTTCATGATAGACTTTGATGCAATAAGAGAAACGGAGAATAAGAAAATTGGGAAATCTGGAAAAATCCAAAATAGTTACTCTCGAGATGAGTGTGTTACTACAAAATGAGAAATGCTATCCAATTGTCCAAAGAAGTTCGCAATGCCCTCAATCTCAAGAAACCGATAGTCTCACTTGAGTCAACCATCATCTCACATGGTCTCCCTTATCCTCAAAATCTCGAAATGGCTAAATCTGTAGAAGAGATTTTACGAGATTACAAAGTGACACCAGCAACTTGTGCATTCATCAATGGAGTACCTCACGTTGGGTTGTCCACATCACAAATTCAACAATTTGCTGAATCTCCTCGACATTTGATTACAAAAGTGTCACGTCGTGATATTGGATACGTAATGGCCAATAAGTTGAATGGTGGAACAACAATTGCCCTGACAATGATTTTATCACATTTGGCAGGTATAAAGTTTTTTGCAACTGGTGGATTAGGTGGTGTGCATAGGGATACACCGGGACAATTTTCAATGGATATATCGGCCGATTTGACGGAGTTGGGACGTACTCCAGTCAGTGTGATTTGTGCTGGACCTAAATCAATTTTGGATATTGACAGGACATTGGAGTTTTTGGAAACTCAAGGAGTGTTTGTTAGCACGTATAACGAGGACAAGAAACCAGTTCCGGAGTTGAAAATACCGGGATTTTATTGTCGAGAGTCCTCCGTTGCTTCGCCGTTTGCATTTGATACTTTTGCCAATGCAGCGGAAATCGTGCATAGTCAAAGCTTGATGGGTTTACAATCGGGGAATGTGTTTTGCATACCACCACCGAAAGCTACTGCTTTGGACTCTGGATTCATAAATGAGATTATTGATCGAGCAAATGAAAAAGCTAAACTACAAGGTATTTCCGGTAAGCAGTTGACGCCATTTTTGCTTAGTGAAATTGCCCAAAAGACAATGGGGAAATCCGTTGATTGCAATATCAGTTTAGTAAAGAATAATGCTCGAGCTGCGGCACAAATTGCATTGGGGTATCACAAGTTGGTATGTTGAAGGAAGAGCTAAAATAGAGAACAGACATACTGACTGTATATTTAGGTGAGCTCGTCCAAGGACAGCACTGAACTGCATGGAGATGTAGCTCATCAACCAGTAATAGCAAACAAAGTTGATGAGGATATTGACTTATTGGTTGTGGGATCAGTTGCATTAGACACAATTGGTACAATCATTACTCCAACAAAACTCAAAGATTCAAACATTGGCAAAATCTCCAACTCCATAGGTGGGGTTGGGTATAACATGGCACTAGCAAGCAGTTATGTTTCTAAATCTACCAAGTTTTTAACTCGTATTGGAAACGACTTTGCTGCTGAAACAATAATTCATCAAATTGCAAAGCAAAGGGTTGTAGACACCAGGTTTACTAGAGGTTCAGGAACCAGCGCCCAGTACTCGTGTATACATGATGCCAAGGGTGATTTGATTGTAGCTTGTGCTGATATGTCCATTATAGAAGAACCTGATTTCCTGAGCCAAGTCATTGATGAGATTGACCAAGTGCAACCGCGACTTGTTCTTTTGGATTGCAATTTATCAACAGAGTCAATAAGTAACATAATTGAACGTTTCCAAAGCGAAACGGGAAACGGTCCAGATTTCATTATTGAACCTACATCATACATCAAAGCCAAGAGGTTGGCTGGAATGAAATTGGCCACGTTCCCGCACAATGTAGTAAAGCTAGTGACACCAACAATTGAAGAGCTAAACACCATGTATGAATCTTTGGAAAAAAGCGGACAGTTTGACCTTGATCATTGGTTCCCCATACTTGATGCAATGAACATCAATGCGTCAATGAGGGACAAATTGATCAAACTTGATGCTGAATTGTTTGCAAAAGGGGTGTTTCAACAATGTTTTCATCTATTACCATTTTTCCAAAACCTTTTGGTCAAATTGGGTCAACGTGGAGTCATGTTGTTCAGTTTGGTGACAAACCACAAGGACTTAAAAAGTATCCCCACGACATCACAGTATAAACCCACAGCAACAATCGTCAATGATGTTGATAGCAAATTGGGGGTGGTGGTGGAGTACTTTGACATTCCAGCTCAAAATAAGAATCTTTCAGTCGTCAATGTGACTGGTGCTGGTGATACAATGGTGGGGTATTTGGCGGCAAAATTGGCCAACAGTGTGGATGGGAATTGGCTAAATTGTGAAATAAAGTCGTGTGAGCAAGTATGGATGAAATGGGAATGTATATATAAGGCACAACTGGCTAGCGGGTTGACTTTGATGAGTGAGAAATCGGTTAGTGAAGAGATATCAAAATTGTGAAGAAAGAGAGAAGGCAATGGATAGTTTGTTTTCTTTATAAAGTCAATTACATCAGAAATGGTGGCGTTGATCTCTTTTGCACTTCTTAGTGGATACGGCTGTTTTGCTCTACTCTAGCTTATACTTGTAAGTACACACCCTTGCAATGCATGCATGGATGCGCGATTTTAGAAATGGTAGCAATCGGTCGCAAAAATTAAAGTCTCGCTCTTTCCACACTTTTCCCCGGTTACCAACTTCGCAATCAAAGTAATCATCATCACCTGTTTTTTCTCAAGCACATACGGCCCCCTTTTTCTTCTTCCCAACAACACATAATATGTTTAGATCCTTTTTAAGACTCAAGCCGGTAAGATACGTGCCTGCATTAGCCGTATCTGCTTATGCCATACACTACCAATTGAACCAATTTCAAACACACAATCAAGGTAGCAACAGTAACATCATCCACTTGGATACCCAACCACAACAGCAGCCACCAGCAACCTCCGCGATTGAAGGCGATGACCCCATTCGAAAGCCATTTGCTACATATACCAATGAAATAGACGTTGACAACTCCATATCATCCTTCCCCACCGTGATCCCCAAGGCTGAATTTTCTTCTGAACCATTTGAATTAGTTGGTCACGGAGTCCGATCAGTGACATTTATATCGTTCAAAGTCTATGGAATTGGAATTTATGTTGCTCAAAAGGATATCCCTAAATCCATCGACATTCTTAAGCAATTCGCCATCAATAATCCCATTTTGCCCGATGATGACAATGCTGTTGGTGTTGCGAAAGCCATTATAGATAATCCTTCAGAATCGGACCAAGTGGCTTATGATTTATTAGATAATGGCGTTCGCTTTTTAGCGAGGTTGTCGCCAGTTAGAAACACTGATTTCAATCATATGAAAGATGGATTAATCAAGAGTATATTATCAGGTTATAACAATGCTGATTTGAAACAACAATTGAACCAAGGTTTAGATGAATTACGTGGTGTTTTTTCGGGATATAGAGGGTCAGTACCCAAGAATGATGTTTTGGTATTGGAGATGTTGCCCAACGGTGGGTTGGGTATATGTTATGTCAATCAGAAGCTGGGTGAAGTTAAAAAGATGGGGGTGGTGACTAATCCATTGATTGGAAAGACTTTGATGTGGAAGTATCTTAGTTCTACTAAGCCATTGAGTGAGTCCTTGAGGAAGAGTTGTACTGCCGGAATTAGTGCCATGTTGGATCATTATGGAAATGGTAAAAGTTAAGAGGAAAAGCGTAGTTTGAAAACATTTGCTTCTTTCACTGGGACTAATCATATATACAATTTAGTAGAAAATAGATTTGCTTTAGTGGATATGTATTACATTACAGTTTGGTACAAAGCAGATTTTGTATCATTTACTGCATCTCATCAATCTGATAGGATAGTCCGTGTTTTGTATGTACGTATGTATACACTGTCCCTTGGAAAAAAAAAATTAACTCATCTAAAACTCTTTGTTTCCAATTCTACATAATGATTGATTCTTGTTCAACGTTAGCTGAAATGGACTTGTGTGGCAAGACTTTGGCACCATTAACGTAAATTTCATTTTTAACTTCAACATCATCTCCCAATACAGTAACACCATCAGTTCTGGCCCATTTACCAATTCTTGAGTTCCATCCAACAATGGTTGAGTTAACCCAAGCATGATCATTAACTTTTGAGTTGGCCAAGAGTACTGATCTCTTGATTCTGGCACCTTCACCAACAATGACATTAGGTCCAATAACAACATTTGGACCAATCAATGCACTTGGGTGAATCTTGGCAGTGGGGTCGATAAGAACGTTACCATCTTTAACAAATTTTTCAGTTGATAATCTTTCTGGATGTTTTTTCGACAATGAAGTCAAGTATAAACAGGTTCCACTAAGGAAATCTTTTGGTTGACCAACATCCATCCAAAATCCTTCCAAGTCAAATGAATACAATTGTTTTTGTTCAACAAGGATGGGGAAAGTTTCCTTTTCAATTGAGGTTGGTTTCATTTCAATTAAATCGATAACTGATGGGTTCAAAATGTATAAACCAGCATTAATTCTATTACCAACAAATTCAACTGGTTTTTCGACAAATCTGTCAATTAAATTGGGGGTATCTCTGTCATGAACAATAACACCATATTTACTTGGTTCGTCAACTTTGGTAGCAACAATAGTACCAGCTGCACCATGAGCTTTGTGGAAATCAGCCAATTCCTTGAATGGATATTCACAAATAACATCACTGTTTAGAACGAAAAATGGGGAATTATCCTTCTTCAATACTTTTTCCGCCAATTTCAAAGGACCAGCAGTACCCAATGGTTCTTCTTCAACACTAAAAGTAATGGATACACCATATTCTTCTTCGTATTTCTTCAAAGTGGAAACCATAACTTCTGGTCTGTAATTGACAGCCAATACGATATCAGTAACACCAGCAGCAGCCAAAGCTTCAATTTGATGTAAAATCATGGGTCTATTACCAAATTCAACCAATGGTTTTGGTAATGTTAAAGTCAATGGTCTCAATCTGGTACCGTAACCTCCAACTAAAATCAATCCTTTCATTGTGTGTGTGTGTGTGTGTTTTTTATAATATAAATGAGTGTGTTATTGATATAATCAAAAAGGTAGGGTTAGTATACTTAGACTCGATAGAGGTCAAAGAGGAAAAGAAGAAGAAGCAGAAGAAGAAGAAAGAAAGGATGAAATCGATCGGTGGTTTTTTTCTTCCCACTATATACGGAAGAAAGTGTTGAAATTTTTTTTTTTTTTTTAATTTTCAGGGGACACACAAAACGAAGTAGTACACGTACACGTAGTTTACTATAACCAAAAACACGTACAAACCAACAACAACACCAACAACAACAGCCACAAAGCATAGAGACTAAAAGATCCAATATATACAGGACTTGTATCACTATACAAACACACAGAGATATACACGTTTCTTATACAGATCGAGATCTACTGTTACTAGATTTCAACGATATTCCAAAAAGAGAAGAAAAATAAAGGAAGGCTAAATGAATATAGAGAGTGGGTTGCAAGTACGAGGTGTGGGAAGCTAAGACGGTACTAGCCTTTGTTTCAATCATTGGTAACTTCAATACGCCTCAAATGAGGTGTATAGAGTGTAACCTAACGTAACCTAAAGTAACCTAACGTAACATAACGTAACATAACGTGTTTTGTCTTTTGTATGGTTTGTTTTGTATATTGTTTATTTATTGTTATTGTTTTATTAATAGTAGTAGTGGTAGTAATAGTGGTACATTTATTTTTGTGTGATCTAAAGAAGAAAAAAGGTAGTGTATTTTGACCTACAAAACATTTCCAACCTTAGCCAGAAGGCGCTTTTTTGTTTTCTACTTGGGCAGAGTGTATTTTGTGTTGCAGCACTAACTTTTTTTCTGAATACGTGTCATCTTTCTCATAGTGTGAATGAGCCCATACACTGTACAAAAAAAAAAATATAAAATAAAAAAGGAAAAAGAGAAGCACACGTGTGGTACATGAGTCTATGTATATTAATATAGTAGCTATATTCAACCTTGATTGGAAAGTGGCTTCACTTCACTTCGCCAACCAAATCTTACAAAATTTATTTCAGCTTTGCTGCTGGTCATGAGAAAAATTATCAGAAAAGGAAAAAAAGAAACTAAAACAAAGATCAACACCCAATCCCCCTCTCACAACCAACCAGCCCCATACACTCTTTACTCCTTGCCATACTTATTGTACCGGTATGTCTTATAAATTTATCCCCGCCTTCCCTAATGCCAATCAATTTGTCATTCGATATATTCATAACTACGGCGGAGAAAGAGAATGAACTGATTCAGTGACTGATGCAACCCCTATTCTTTCAGCACATCTCTCGGGGGGACGAGTAACTCTCACCTCCTTAGACGCCCGCTCTCTCTTATTGTTTGTTCCCCACCACCTGATTTCAAGGCACACACATTTACATACATGCACATATCTGGTACAAACTTCCTCATTCGTACTTTCCAACTTGAATGTGCTGGTTAAAGAGTAGCTTTGTACACAAAATCTTACATACTGCATATAAACATATTGAAGATTTTAAAGTTTTAAGGAAGTTAATCCGATCTGCACAAAAAAAAATATTACATTCCGTAAATGAACAACGGGCAAGGAAAGTCATTGTGATGATAATATCATCTGGGAAGCATTGCGCATTGCGAAGGGTAGAACACTGTACGTGGGTATCAATACGAAGATCCTTTTGGAGAACTCTGATGAGTCGCAAAATATCAGCACCCATTCTCATTTTGATATTCGACGCGTCTAAATACTTTCTATACATACCACAATACCGCCCCTCTTTTGAATAATTCAGTAAACGTGCTCATCAGATCCGGCTAAAACAACAATGTGAGATTAAGCTGATCTTCTCAGTCTAGCTTGCATCAGTTACGCTTTCCTTGTTTTATTCTTTGTGATCTTGCCACACAAAGATACGTCTGAAAATTTGTAAACAAGATTTCAGAATTTGAACTCTAAAACGAAGTTTTTTGTACTCCAGGCGAACCAGATCTAGAGATCTAATAGATGGTGGATCACACAACTCCGAGATTTGAAACTAGGTAAATCAACATTCTTTTTACGAGGAAAATTTAAAAACTGTGATGGTATATAAGCTTCTAAGGTTTACCAATTCCGCAGTTTATGTTGCTATATTCATAATGGGAAGCCAGTTAACAGCTTTATACACGAGCCTCCGGAGACATTGAATAGAATGTAAAAAAAGTGTTTCCAAACAGTGTCATTGCCTTGTCTTCGTCAATGTAATGACAATATGCAGCATTTCGTCTAATTCAAAGTGAATGAGTTATTCCGTTTGGGCAAGGGGACTTGTTTGTGGCGATAAAAAACTATTGCACTTTCGGTAGACAGTATGCATATTCCAGGACGAGCGTATATAGCGTCAAATTCACATGTATAAAAGCAAGTGTATTGACAGTTTTTTCTATCATACAAACAATCTTTTGGTTATTAGACAAATTTTTACTTCAATACTTGCGCAAAAAAGAAAGGAATACTAAAAAGTTGCAAGCACGTAATTTCTTCATAATGAGTAAGCTTTTGTACTCTACTGAAACTCATATTGTAGCTAAAATATTGAAGTGAAAAATACTACATCTCAAGTAATTTTGTTAAGAAGAGATTTCCCTGTTGGTCCATATTTGCGCTAAAAATAGATCTCCATTAATTTTTGACATAATTACACAAATCCAAGAGCACTAAATTCAAGACACATTCAATGAAATTGGCAATTAAAATGCGTCATCATATTAGCTTTTCCCCCCATTGTTTTCCTACACGCTAGTACATTGCACGTGAAATAAACTCTTGTCAATCATTAATTTAGCAAAATAACAATCAACTGGAGCGCCACAGTAGAATGAATTGTGTTGCCATATATCTTTCGAGGCGGGTTCCTATTAGCGGTATTTTCTCATTTTCCGCTAAAGGAGATAAAAAAAGTCCAGTTCGATTTAGCGAGAAAAGTTTGACCACTGATGTTCTTTGAACTTATGTAATCCCTGAATATCAGTACTTGTGCTTTTACCCGTTGATCGTCTTGCCCCCTTCTTCATCATCAGATAAGGCTTGGCTTGGGTGCCGTTTACACAATTCTGGTAAAAAAAAAAACGGGCAAAACTTTGAAGGGGGATAAGGAACTATTCATGACAAAAGCGTAGGTGTAGACTTTGTTGATTGCAACGATTGTGTCAAGTATCCACAATTTTTGTGCCGTGAGTAGAGCTGAAAACAATAGCATTGAACTCAGTAATTAGTTGGTCCTTTGTCTCTTCTTTTTAGCGGCAGTTGCCAAAATCGGATAGTGACAGCGACTTGTACATTTTTGCGTTGTTTTCAAATATACTTTTGGTACCTCTTTGTAGGATTCTCATTTTGCTATCTTATCTGTCAAGTGAAGTAAAGTTGTGGATGAACGAACAAAAAGTTTTAGCGGTGAGTTTTCCATTTTAAAGCGGAGTTAATATTTCGCCGGATAAATTTTTTGCAACCAAAAAATGCGCACTTATATATCCCCTTAGCGAAAAAGACATTTGGTCCAACTTGTTCAGTGTACTGTGTATGAAAGCCAGATCGTGGTAGTAAGGAAGCCACAGCTCTTTCTTTTCAAGCGCCTTACTCGCGTGATCAAGTAAGTACATTTCGTTATATTCAAACAATAGGCGTAACATTGAAAATAATTGAGTTCTCTATTGTTGAATGTAGACGATGTTAAATTCCATTTCCTGAAAAAAAAAAAAAAAAAAGGAAAAACGCCGTAGATATGACAGCGTAGAAACTCTTCTTTGTACTCTATGTAGTGTTTATCGATGTTGATCTATGGCTGCGAAAGAAAAGTTAACCCACATGAAATAGTCGAAACAATGAATGCACCACACCTTAGTATCAAATGATATAAATTGGGGACAAAATATTTGGAAAATACCGTTCACTTAAATCAGTCTGTGTATCCACACCCCATTAAAATCCCACCATGACCAATAAAGATCTGGATGTGTTTCAAATAGGCAGCGTCACAAGTCACACAAACTTGGAGGATCATGAGGTGAACCTTCAAGCGTTACAATCTCACCCTATATCAATTGGAGAAGTGGGTACAACTTTAACCAATGCCCAAAAGGATTTCGTTTTACACAGATTGCATTTTGATGCATTAGATACATTTGAGGATTTGCCGCCACAAGCAACATTTGTGTTTGAGAAAATTGAGGAAATGTCGATTGAAGAAGCGGTCAAGATCTTGAAAGAAGCAGTGAGGGAGCATATCGATGACGTCAATATTCTTGGGTCTGATATAGAATTGTGGAAGAAATTAATCAACTATGAGGAACCAAAGCAACTGTACAAGGATAATTTGAAGCATATGTTTGGATTGAAATTAAAGACGGCTTCGGTGGAATCAACAAATGAGATTAAACCACAAGAGGAGTTTCAAGAAAAAGAGCAAAAAGTGTTACCACCAGTCCCAGAAAAACAAACTCTTGCCAATGAAAGGGAACCCAGAGGAGTTTCGCCAGTAGTAGGACAATCTAGTGTCTTGAGCGACACTGAAGAACACAAACTCGATTACCACGATGTTGTTGACTGGGAATTACAAGTCAGGTTAGAAGCTGTCATTATTGCTTATTGGTCCCCGTATGCACAAGTGCGAGCTGTCACTGATCCATTCGATGATCCTACAGTCCCGGCAGAAACTTTGCGAGTATACATCATTTCATTGATTTGGATTGGTCTTGGTGCGGTCATTAATCAATTCTTTAGTGAAAGATTCCCCGGTATTGGTCTCAATATGTCTGTTGTACAAGTGTTCTTGTACCCCAGTGGTAAACTTTTGGAATGGATCTTGCCCAAATGGAAATGCAAAGTATTTGGTTTTACAATCGACTTGAATCCAGGTCCATACACTTTTAAAGAGCAGATGTTAGCCACCATCACATGTGGTGTGTCATCGGGAACCTCGTATGCTTCGGTGAACATCTTGATGCAAAAATCAGACAAGTTTTACGGTAACGAATGGGCTAATTTTGGGTATCAAGTTTTATTGACAATGGCTACGCAATACATGGGATTCTCACTTTGTGGAATCCTCAGATCATTTGCAGTTTATCCAGTTAAAGCAGTATGGCCACCGATTTTACCAAACATAAAGTTGAACAAGATCTTGACTTCACCGGAAAAGAAATCAATCATCAATGGATGGTCAATATCGGGGTACAAATTGTTTTTCATCACTTGTGCTACTTCGTTTGTCTATTTCTGGGTCCCCAATTATTTATTTGCTGCTCTTTCCACTTTCAATTGGTTAACTTGGATCAAACCCGATAACTTCAGCCTTGCCCTTGCTACTGGATCGTTTGGTGGACTTGGTGTCAATCCGATCCCCACTTTTGATTTCAACATCATTGGAGCTGATAGTTTCTATATCCCATTCTACACTAACTTCATCGGGTATCTTGGCTCCATTGTTTCCATGTTTATCATCATTGCAATCTATTATAGCAATTCAGCTTGGACTGGGTATTTGCCCCTCAATTCAAATAGTTTGTTTACAAATACTGGGGAAGAATATGATGTGCTGTCAATTCTCAATGACAACGGGTTATTTGACCAAAAAAAATACGAAGAGGTTGGCCCACCATTCTACTCAGCCGCTAGTTTGCTATGCTATGGGGCATTTTTTGCCTTGTATCCATTTCAGCTTGTTTACGAATTCGGCACGCAGTGGAGACCAATGTATGAAGCAACGAAATCAGTGATTAATGGATTCAAAAAGATCAAGAGGTCGGTGTATCGAGAATTAACAGATCCACATTCGGTGATGATGAGAGCGTACCCGGAAGTTCCAGATTTATGGTATGTTGGTATTTTGATTATTTCCTTAGTGTTGGCAATCGTGTGTGTTGAAGTGTATCCAACCGAAACACCAGTATGGGGTATATTTTTCGCTTTGGGTATCAATTTTGTCTTTTTAATCCCATTGACATCGCTTGCTTCAAGAACTGGTTACCTGTTTGAATTGAATGTGTTGGTAGAATTGATTATTGGTTACGCAATCCCCGGTAATGGGATCGCCTTGGCTTTGATCAAGACTTTAGGTTACAATATTGGTGGTCAAGCAAACAATTTTGTCAATGACTTAAAACAAGGACATTATGCAAAGATCCCCCCTCGTGCCATGTTTAGAAGTCAATTATTGTCCGTGCTCGTTACAATGTTTATCCAATTGGGTATTATAAATTACCAAATCACTGGCATCAAAGATTATTGTGACTTGAACAATAAACAGAAATTCTATTGCTATGGTACCAGAGATTTTTACAATTCATCAATTCTATGGGGTGTAATTGGACCAAGAAAAGTTTTCAGTGGGTTATATCCAGTCTTGCCTTATTGCTTCTTGATTGGACTTGGGGCCGGTTTATTGTGTGTTGCTTACAAGAAACTTGTTCCAATAAGGTACTCATTATACTTTGAACCAACTATTTTTTTGGGGGCATTTCAAAATTGGGCACCAAGCAATCTATCGTACTATACTGGTGGTCTATACCTTGGATATGCAATGATGCATTATGTCAGAAGGAAGTACGAAGCTTGGTGGCAAAAATACAACTATCTACTAGGCTCAGGAATTGATGCTGGTATCGCTTTTTCATCGATTATAATCTATTTTGCTGTGCAATATCACGAAAAGAATATAGATTGGTGGGGCAACACGGTACCATATGATGGCTTGGATTATCAATTGAGGGATACTGTTTCTAGGTTGGATATCGCTGATGCTCCCGATGGATATATAGGTCCGAGAATAGGACACTTTCCTTGAAGGTGGTTACAAAATATACAAGTTTGAACTTTTTGAGTAGATTCGTAGATAGCATGGGGTAAACAAGGTTGAAGAGGTGGTATTGCTGATGCCGAAAATACGTTTTTCGATTTCAAAGTGGAGATATTGGTCATGCAAAATATCGTTTTACTGGTCATCCCATCAAAGAAGTAACTGTGTAGTGGGAGAGGGGGGAACATCTTACAAGAGGAAGTATTTTTGATTCACCTTGTCGGCGTACGGCACCAGATATTCTACTCCTGATAAGCAGGTGGTCCAAATTGGACATACATTTATCACCCACTGCATAGTAACACAAAGAAAATTTTAGAACCAAAAGTTGTTGAACATTTCCGATGATTTTAGGCTCTCATTTCAGCCGTCTCTGAAACACCTTCCGAAGTCTCCATTGCTGAACGAACGTCAACAGAGAAATGTAGAAACTTGAGCCATGACTCAAACATACAAGTAAAATCGACTCCATCAAGAATGGTACCATTTTGCATTGATGATACTTTTAGCCGCCGTAGACGAACAAATATTGACGTATTACGTAATATAATAGTTTTTCCCGCATCCGGAAGCAACGATAAAAAATACAAATTATTAATCGTGCTGAAATCAACTGATAACAAGCAATTAATTTTATGTCAATCGACGCCAAGGCGGAGGATTTCAAGTCCATCGATTTTTTCCTTAGAATAGAACACAAATAGAAGGTGCCTTGGTCAATGACGCAATTTTACGAAGATCTAACTTTTGTTGATGTTAAGCCACGTGCTTGGCAGGTTCTATCTGTGTGAAGCTTGGGTGATCTAATGACCACGGCTGCTTGTTATCTAACATACACAAATGATGAAGTTTGAGGTACTCTCAATTTGTCGAGGGAAGAGGAGATAAAATGGTTAGGAGCCTTGACACTATTGTCCATTTTGATGTTTTACTAGTTAGAGAGTATGCAGCGTCGACTATTTGAAAACTCGCGAGATAAAAGTCAGACTTCAATTGTGTTGGTACAACGTGAATTTATGGCATGACAATTTGACTCCTTTGGTACACTTATCAGTCTATGCAGTGCAGACGCTGGTACAAAGGCATCCATCCAATCAATCTTGTTTGAATGATAAGAGATCTTTGGCTTGACTCTGGTTAATGACCTCCCCACGGCACCTAATCTTTAATCTATTTTTGGTTGCGAAACTTAACAAATGTGAAATCTCAACATTCTGTACATTCAATCTATAAATTTGGATGGAAATGGCACCATATTTGATTGAAATTTTCTATTTCTTGCAGTGATCAACAAAGATGTCTCTGAAGAGCCAAGACAATAATCAAGTCACAAATGTGTTGAGTCATACACAGATACAAAGCCATGAGGTTGATTTACAAGCCTTGACATCGCATCCATTATCGATTGGAGAAGTTGCGACAACGTTGACTAATGCTCAAAAGGATTTTGTTTTGCACAGATTGCATTTTGACGCTTTGGAATCGTTTGATGAGTTGCCTCCGCAAGCTACTTTTATTTTTGAAAAGATTGAAGAAATGTCCACAGAGGAGGCGGTTGAAATATTGAAAAAAGCCATTAAAGAGCATGAAAATGATGTGAATATTTTGGAGCCAGACGTGGAGTTGTGGAAACAATTGATCGATTATAGGGCACCTGAAAGTGAACTCAAGAAAAAATTGGGCAAGGTTTTTGCAGAAAAGTCGAGTAAGCCAGAGTCAGCTGATGAAACAGAACAATCGCATGGCTTCGCTAATAAGTTAGGCTCAATTATTCATACCGTTAGAGGTATTCTGGATAGAGAAGAAAAGCACTCCTTCGCCTCAGAAAGAAACTCTTCATCCTTGAGTGAAACTGATGAACATAAAGTTAACTACTATGACGTTGTGGACTGGAGCTTACAAGTAAGATTGGAAGCTGTCATTATTGCTTATTGGTCCCCTTACCCTCAAGTTAGAGCTGTCACTGACCCATTCGATGATCCAACAATACCAGTGGAGACATTCAGAGTCTACTTGATATCGTTAATCTGGGTTGGTTTAGGTGCAGTCATCAATCAGTTCTTTGTTGAAAGATATCCAAGTATTAGTCTTGGAATGTCTGTTGTTCAAGTGTTTTTGTATCCAAGTGGAAAGTTTTTGGAATGGGCTTTACCAAAATGGAAGTTTAAGTTGTTGGGATTGGAAATTGACTTGAACCCAGGTCCTTATTCATTCAAGGAGCAAATGTTGGCCACCATCACGTGTGGTGTTTCATCAGGTACTTCGTATGTCCACTACAACATATTGATGCAAAAGTCTGAAAGGTTTTATGGCAATCAGTGGGCAGACTTTGGATATCAAGTGTTGCTTACGTTATCCACTCAATACATGGGATTTTCATTATGTGGGTTGCTTAGATCTTTTGCCGTTTACCCAGTGAAAGCGGTGTGGCCACAATATTTACCAAATATCAAGTTGAACAAGATTTTGACATCACCAGAGAAAAAGACAAACATCAATGGATGGACGATTTCAGGGTACAATTTGTTCTTTATCACAAGTGCAATATCATTCTTGTACTTTTGGGTGCCTGACTACTTGTTCACATCAATCTCACAATTCAATTGGATGACATGGATTAAGCCTGACAACTTCAACCTCGCTCTTGCTACTGGCTCTTATGGTGGGCTTGGTGTCAATCCAATTCCCTCGTTTGACTTCAATATAATTGGTACTGCTGGTTTTTACTACCCCTTCTATTCCACCATAATAAGCTACCTTGGTTTGGTTGTTTCAATGTTTGCAGTTATTGGCATATACTACAGCAACAAATCTTGGACAGGGTACTTGCCCATTAACTCCCAATATCTTTTTACCAACACTGGTGAAAGTTACAGTGTGAGTGCAATAATAAATGAAAATAGTTTGTTTGATAACAAAAAGTATCAAGAGATTGGTCCACCATTTTATTCCGCTGGAAACCTAGTTACTTATGGGTCTTTTTTCGCCTTGTACCCATTTCACTTTGTTTACGAGATTGGAACACAATGGAGACCAATGTACGAAGCTACAAAGTCAATCTTGAAAGGATTCAGGAATATTAGAAGATCTGTCTATGAAGGCTTAACAGATCCACATTCAGTGATGATGAAAGCTTATCCAGAGGTACCAGAGTGGGCTTACACTATTATCTTGGTCATCTCATTGGTGTTGGCAATCTTGTGTGTGAAATTATACCCTGCTGAAACTCCTGTCTGGGGTATTTTTTTTGCTTTGGGTATCAATTTTGCATTCTTGATCCCTTTGACGAGTGTTTCTTCCAGAACAGGGTTCAGTTTTGGATTGAATGTGTTGGTCGAGTTGATTGTTGGTTACGCAATCCCCGGTAATGGTCTCGCATTGGCTTTTATCAAAGCATTGGGTTATAACATTGATGGCCAGGCAAACAATTTTGTTAATGACCTAAAGCAAGGACATTATGCAAAAGTGCCACCTCGCGCCATGTTTAGAACTCAATTGTTGTCGGTATTTGTTACTGCTTTCATCCAGTTGGGAATCTTGAACTATCAAATCACTGGCATCAAAGATTATTGCGATCCTTACAACAAGCAAAAATTTTTTTGTTATGGTACAAATACATTTTATAATGCTTCAGTGTTGTGGGGTGTCATTGGTCCAAAGAGAGTGTTTGGGGGATTATACCCTATTTTGAGATACTGTTTCCTTATTGGGTTCCTTGCTGGTTTGGTTTGTGTAGCCATAAAGAGATTAGCTCCAAGAAGATACACCAAATACTTTGAGCCAACGGTGTTTTTAGGTGCATTCACTAGTTGGGCTCCAGGAAACTTGTCGTACAGTACAGGTGGAGTGTATTTGGGTTATGCAATGATGCACCATGTGAAACGGAAGTATGAAGCTTGGTGGCAGAAGTACAGCTATCTCTTGGGTTCTGGAATCCAAGCTGGTATTGCCTTCTCCTCCATCATTATTTACTTTGCTGTGCAGTACCATGAGAAGGACGTCAATTGGTGGGGCAACTCAGTAGGAACATCCGGTTTGGATTACCAAATGAGAGTATCTGGATCAAGATTAGATATTGCTGATGCGCCTGATGGCTATTTTGGCCCAAGAAAGGGTCACTATCCATAATCCTTGCTGCATATTAAGGTACTTAGTGAGTAGTGTATTGTGTATGATTTGAAAACAATTATGCAGAAATCTAATGCCTTCTCAGTATATATTCTACAACTACTGTACAAGGCCGGTTATTCACAGCTAATTAATACCATATTTCGTAAACTATCACACTTGCTTAACTTTGAACTCATAATTTTGCTGTCTTAACTTTTCATCAATCGCAAGAAGAGGAAACGGGCATCGACCAAATGCAATACAAGAATTTCTTAGGGAGTCAATCCGCCTGTGAACAACAAAACTTGCCCATTGTTATGTTAAAACAATAGACCAGAATTTCTTTGTACTTTTTGTCATTTGATGAAGGTTGTGTTACATGAAATTGTGGCTTTCAAGTTGAGCTCTTATCACAGTAATACAAAATGTCATAGAACAATGCGCAATTTATTTATATTTTTCTCGTGCCATACAACCTCATGTGTCAAAAAAGCTCGAACTTGACACAAGTTTAATGCCGAGGACACTGAGAAGTAAGCACTACAATCCACGCTGAAGTTATGCAATTGCTATCAATACTACAACAAAAGAATACAAGGAGGATATTGCAGCGTCGTCTGATAACAACACGTAGTAACATCGTCCAGATATAGGTCCCCCACAACAACTTTGTAAACGAAAGAAGTACTCGGAATCATGCAATTTGGGTGAACATATTTTGTGGCTCTTCTCTTTGCCGTTTCATGACTGGCTCTAAAAAAAAGGAAAGAAATTCACTTTCCTGTTGTCAACTGATGCATCGCGCATTGTGTATTTCAAGCCTTCAAATTGAAGTATTTCTCAGATACATGCAAGTCCAATTAATTGTCCTCTGATAAGATCGCCGGGAGAATTTGAAGAAATGAATTGTGTAAATTGTGTAAGAGATAAATACCCAAACGGCACCAAATTTTTATTCAAATCAACTTGACATGAACTATGCCACAGTTTAAGGTATACATAAACGAAACTGATGAGTGCAAGCAATAGACTTCCGAGATAAATTGTGGAAGTTTGACAACTTGAAGTGAGAGCACACACCTCGTATAGACTAATAAGAAGTTCTAAAATTGATTGATATTGGCAAATTACAATCTCCAGAAGTCTTATTTCCGTTTTTTCATAATTTTTCAGGACTTCCAGATAAGCGTGTTCGTAATCTCAGGTCACCGCTGTACTTGCTTTTTGTGTAATTACGGGCTTCCATTGTACAAGAAAACACTATTCTTGTGCATTTGATGCAAATTGTGGTTTTTTAATTAATAGAGATTATGAACATAATGAATTGGCACCATCTTTTATCAATTGTGGCTATTGGGTTTTATGGGTTCTGCTACCACGGCCATTGAAAAAAAAAACTTTCAAAAAAAAAAAATTTATGGCTGCAAACAATTTGATTGATTCATGAGACATATAAATGGAGCTCCATCGGCACCTTTGACAGATTTCATTATGCATAGTAACATTTCCAGCAATGAGTGAAAAGGATCCTAATTCCGTCTACGTCACCAGCGTAACAAGTCATACGCACTTGGCAAACCATGAAGTTAATCTACAAGCAATCACTTCAAACCCTTTATCAATAGGTGAAGTTGGGACAACGTTGACAAACGCTCAGAAAGATTTCATTTTACGCAGATTGCACTTTGATGCTTTAGAATCGTTTGATGAATTGCCTCCGCAAGCTACTTTTATTTTTGAAAAGATTGAAGAAATGTCCACAGAGGAGGCGGTTGAAATATTGAAAGAGGCAGTCAAGGAGCACGATGATGATGTGAACATTCTTGATTCTGATTTGGAATTGTGGAAGAGGTTGATCGATTATCATGAGCCACCTGATGGGTTGAAAGATAAATTGGGCCAAGTGTTTCACCATCACTTCACGCCAGAAGAGGACGAGTCTAAGAAAGTTCAACATGCACACCCGCATAGTGGTTTTGCTGAGAAATTTGGTTCCATTGTCCACTCTGTTAAAAACATTGGCAGTGATGACGAAAAGAGCTCATCACCGCGCAAACAATCCTTCTTGAACGATGGTGACGAGGAAATAAAAGGTGGCGATGAAGTTGTGGATTGGAGCTTACAAGTAAGATTGGAAGCTGTCATTATTGCTTATTGGTCCCCTTACCCTCAAGTTAGAGCTGTCACTGACCCATTCGATGATCCAACAATACCAGTGGAGACATTCAGAGTCTACTTGATATCGTTAATCTGGGTTGGTTTAGGTGCAGTCATCAATCAGTTCTTTTCTGAGAGGTACCCTAGTATTGGTCTTGGAATGTCCGTTGTTCAAGTGTTTTTGTATCCAAGTGGAAAGTTTTTGGAATGGATCTTGCCTAAATGGAAGTTCAAGTTGTTGGGATTGGAAATTGACTTGAACCCAGGTCCTTATTCATTCAAGGAGCAAATGTTGGCCACCATCACGTGTGGTGTTTCATCAGGTACTTCTTATGTTTCTCTGAATATCTTGATGCAAAAATCTGAAAGGTTTTATGATAATCATTGGGTTGATTGGGGGTATCAAATATTATTAACCCTATCTACTCAATACATGGGATTTTCATTATGTGGGTTGCTTAGATCTTTTGCCGTTTACCCAGTGAAAGCGGTATGGCCGCAGTTTTTGCCTACTTTGAAATTGAATAAAATTTTGACATCACCAGAGAAAAAGACAAACATCAATGGATGGACGATTTCAGGGTACAATTTGTTCTTTATCACAAGTGCAATATCATTCTTGTACTTTTGGGTGCCTGACTACTTGTTCACATCAATCTCACAATTCAATTGGATGACATGGATTAAGCCTGACAACTTCAACCTCGCTCTTGCTACTGGCTCTTATGGTGGGCTTGGTGTCAATCCAATTCCCTCGTTTGATTTCAACGTCATCGGCACTTCGGGATTTTACTACCCCTTCTACTCAACAATTATTGGCTATGTCGGTTTAGTTGTTTCAATGTTTGCAGTTATTGGTGTATACTACAGCAACACTTCCTGGACAGGATACTTACCAATCAATTCAAGTTATTTGTTTTCAAATACAGGGGAAAGCTATAGCGTTAGATCAATTGTGAGTAAAGATAGTTTGTTTGACGACAAAAAGTACCAAGAGATTGGTCCACCATTTTATTCCGCTGGAAACCTAGTTACTTATGGGTCTTTTTTCGCCTTGTATCCTTTCCACATTGTCTACGAAATGGGAACACAATGGAGACCAATGTACGAAGCTACAAAGTCAATCTTGAAAGGGTTTAGAAATCTCAAACGTTCAGTGTATGAAGGCTTAACAGATCCACATTCAGTGATGATGAAAGCTTATCCAGAGGTACCAGAGTGGGCTTACACTATCATCTTGGTCATCTCATTGGTGTTGGCAATCTTGTGTGTGAAATTATACCCTGCTGAAACTCCTGTCTGGGGTATTTTTTTTGCTTTGGGTATCAACTTCGTATTTTTAATTCCTTTAACGACAGTTGCTTCGAGGACTGGATTCAGTTTTGGATTGAATGTGTTGGTCGAGTTGATTGTTGGTTACGCAATCCCCGGTAATGGTCTCGCATTGGCTTTTATCAAAGCGTTGGGTTACAATATTGACGGTCAAGCTCAGAACTTTGTAAACGATTTGAAAATGGGTCATTATGCAAAAGTGCCACCTCGCGCCATGTTTAGAACTCAATTGTTGTCGGTATTTGTCACTGCTTTCATCCAGTTGGGAATCTTGAACTATCAAATCACTGGCATCAAAGATTACTGTGACCCTGAAAATTCACAAAAGTTCTTCTGTTACGGAACAACTACATTTTATAATGCTTCAGTGTTGTGGGGTGTCATTGGTCCAAAGAGAGTGTTTGGGGGATTATACCCTGTTTTGAAATATTGTTTCCTTATTGGGTTCCTTGCTGGTTTGGTTTGTGTAGCCATAAAGAGATTAGCTCCAAGAAGATACACCAAATACTTTGAACCTGCTGTTTTCTTGGGTGGTTTTATTGGCTGGGCTCCGGGAAACTTGTCTTACAGTACAGGTGGAGTGTATTTGGGCTATGCAATGATGCATTACGTAAAGCACAAGTATGAAGCTTGGTGGCAAAAGTATAGTTATCTACTTGGTACTGGTATTGACGCTGGTATTGCCTTCTCCTCCATCATTATTTACTTTGCTGTGCAATATCATGAAAAAGATCTTGATTGGTGGGGGAACAATGTTGCATATTCTGGTTTGGATTATCAAATGAGAGTGTCAGGGTCTAGGTTGGATGTTGCTGATGCGCCTGATGGCTATTTTGGCCCAAGAAAGGGTCACTTCCCTTAATTAAGATATAGTTATCGGTTTTAATTCTAGTTTAATACAAAGGGTTGGATTTGTTAAGTCGACAGTTCTTGGATGATATGTGATAATGTAGTAAAATATTTATATCAAATTGATACAAAATATCAAGTTCAGAGAAGAGCTGAAAACATTAAGCCAAACAATAATGAAAACCTCCTCATCACAAGAAGACAATCAAAATGCATTGTTTATGCAAATGCAAAGTGCCATCGGTCAGATGCAGTTCAAAGTTTAAACAACCAAATTCACGTGTTTGAAAGTTCAGAATCCCTTCCCTATATAAACTAATTGAAAAATTTTGGACCTCGTTGGCGTATTGGACTATGATAACGACATCCATTTTGGAGAACGTATGTGGCTCTCGCTAAATTGATGGGTTCGATTCGCCATACGAGATCAAATTAATCTCAGAGAAAAATTTATATTATGATGAATTAAAATGGATGAGTGAACAATCTCTGAATGTAATCTATGTCAAACGATATAGTTACGTGGATTAAAAAATCCTGCCTTCCTACTGATATATAAATTGTTTGTAATTTTCTTTTTATCAAATTACTTTCCATTGATTTTCTATGAATTCCCCGTTTATTGTATAGAATCTACTTCAATTATGTTTAGCTTTCCTCCTTCGACTTCTTTCCAATTTTGAAATCTTTTGCAAATCATCTTCACTAGGCTCATAAATGTGCCAGATGGTGTAATGGGGTAACCCACCAACACGGAACCCCATCTTTTTGGCCATTTTGCCAAATGCCTCCGTTTCAGCATGGTTCAAGAACGTGAAAGCAGGAAAATGGACTCCTTGTCGGAAGATTTTCGCTCTGGCAAGTATCGACACCCCTCCAACCCCATCCAAATCAACCACTTCACGAGGATTACCATTAGGATCACGAATGTAGGCCAAGTGCGCGCGCCAAGTTGGGTATTCGGCATACCCTTCAACAATGACATCGTCTTCAGCCAAATTCTTGGCAAGTTCAAGTGCAGCATCAGACTCAATCCACGAGTTCAAGTCATATGGCTGTTCGTTCCCCAAGAAAGTGGGCAACGGACGCCATACGTTGGGAACCATGACATCATAATTATGCAGCATGAGTTCCTCAATTACATTTCCAGGACATGTTTCTATATCCACATCTCTCCAATAAACCCAAGAGTGATCTGCCCTTAGTGCACTGGAAGTTAACCAATTTCTCGCCCTACCCATTAGTTTTCTTCGTATCCCTTGAACTTTAACTGCATGTCGATCACTGAAACCCTGACCAATCACTTGTCCGAAATCCTTCTTAAAGATCGTGACTGACCTAAATGGGGTTCTATAGTTTTTGTGGTGTGTTTCTGGATTACTATAAGCCTTCTTGACACTTTCCATGTACAAAGGTTCCATATAAGACTGGTATAAATCGTTAGAGCCTTTAACTTGGGCTCCGTTTTGTTGCTGTTCTTCCTGTTTCAATAGGTCAACTAAAGTACCATTCTGCAATGCCATTGAATACCGAAACACAGTTTCCAAGGTGGTGTCATCCGGCGAGCAATCAGAAACAAGGAATGCGATATCTATCAACAGGTGGTCATAGGTTAAATTCATTAGATTGTAGAATGCCATGGGCAACACGTGTTCTGCATTTCTCAATGGCATAAGAAATAGTACAATATCACCTTTACTGTTTCCATCGGATGACCCTTGATAATCACCCAAGTCAAAGTACTCGACATTACTTTTTTTCAAATCTTCGGTTGTAATTTCCATAGGATCTGAAACTTCTTGTATTCCGTCCTTAGTGACTTTAAACTGCTGATGATCATCATTGAGTGAGTCATTTTCTTCTTGTTGTTGCTGTTGTTGTCGCTGAATTTCGATCTCTTGTTCCAGGTTGTTTTCTATATCGGATTTCGAAAATGTAGGAAGTCTCGGACTCTCACCAACAATAACTTTGGAATATATGGTGTACGTGAGTAGTAAAAATACAAGTGTGTAAAGACCTCTCTTGAATAATAAACGACTTGAATGTTTCTTTGGTGTGAATTTGTTGAATCTGGGTTCAAGGTTAGTATCAACATGGGCACGGCGAGATAAGGGAAAGAAATTGACGTACATTGGTAAATCGGTATTCTTTTTAGTGCCATAAACATCAGGCGTCAAACTTCGTAACGACATCGAGGGTAGATGATATGGTTGCCCGTGTGGTGTATTGCAGTGAACGGATGCCAATTCACGTCTATAGGTAATGACGTTGACGTTTGCGGTGGTTATATTGAAAAGTACCGATGATCACTTCTATTTTCGTAAAATTGACAACTGAGCGTTTTTCTTCGATTTTTTTTTTTTTGAAATTCAAGAAGGGACCTGACGCTACCATTGAGTGCCACATATTGCAATTCAATTTAATACCGCAGAGTTATCAGTGAGAATAAAGAACGCTATTGTGACTAATGGTTGTATCGATAATTTTTGCGCATGAGATTACGCCTGATGGTCAAAACAAAACAATTAAAACCCGGCCCTCTATCCAAGCCTCTATTTAGGTAAATACTCGTCACGACTTTTATCTACTGCTCTTTCTGCACCCGCAATCTGCATCTATACCCCAACTCATTCAACCTATGGCTTCACTTCCACCAAGCCATATTCTTCAGGCTTGAACCATTCTCTTTTCAAAGTTTCCCAACAATCGTCAGCTATCTTTAAAGCGTCAGATTCACTGGTACTCGATTTCCCTTCAATATAAACTTTCAACTTTGGCTCTGTTCCTGATCCACGGCACGTGAATCTTACTGATATATCTTTATCATCTTGTGACTTTTCTGTTGGTTCAAGTATTGCAGTAATCATTTGAGAATGAGGATCAACCGGTAAAATAGGCTCATGGTTGGGAGTTGATGAGTCAAATCCAATAGTCAAGTCGCGCCAGTACGTGACTTTGAAGTCACCAATATGTTGTGGTTGATCATGGCCCGAATACGACGCTCTAACCGCTTTAAATATCTTGGGGGTGAGGCTAACATCTTCTAATCTATAGTACCCATTCAAGTCTTTAAACCATCCATATCTCTTATACCCTTGCTCTAGCTTGTCTATGACATCCAAATCACCTTTACTGAACCATTGCTGATACAACTGCAAGAATACAACAGCTGCTGAAATTCCATCTTTATCGTGCACCAAGTCAAACATGAATCCAATTGCTTCTTCGTACCCAAAGGGGACAAAGTGACCTTCGTTTTCCAAATCAATGGCTTTGTTCCCAATCCATTTAAACCCAGTTAATGTATCAATGAAATTAAAACCATCTTTCTCAGCCATCGATTTCAACACTTGAGATGAAACTGTTGAGTTCAATAGATAAGTATTAGACAATTTTGCCTTGTCCATGTTTTCAATCACATACATGGCGAACAAGAACCCAATTTCGTTACCAGTCAATTGTTTGAATTTGCCTTGCTTATCAACAACAGCAACACTGAAACGATCAGCATCAGGGTCGCTTGCAATGACCAAGTCGGATTTGGTCTGTTGTGCTTGCTCAATAGCCAAGTCTAATGCCCCTTTTTCTTCTGGGTTGGGGAAACTCACAGTCGGAAATGATGGATCAGGTTTGCTTTGCTTTTCAACAACAATGAAACTCTTGGTGTCAAATAAATCAATGCATTGCTCAAAAATCTCCAACCCAACGCCATGCATTGGAGTATAAATAAATTTAAAATCAAGACGAGTTTCCTTGACAAGCTTTTTCTTGACAGCTGCAACGTATTGCTTAACAATTTCAGGTTTGACACATTTCAACTTATCTGCCTTTAGCCCCTTTTCAAAATTTTCAATGACACGCCAAACATCATCACTCCATGGATGTAAATTTTTCTCTATCGACTGAGCAATATCGGCATCTTGAGGTGGGATGATTTGACAACCATTGGCATAATACACTTTATATCCGTTATCATTAGCTGGGTTATGTGAAGCAGTTATCATTACACCACCAGATGCTTTCAAATGATCAATTGCAAATGGAACCAATGGTGTATGGACATATTCTCTACTGGCACCTTCGTTATTTTGGAAGCCTCCTTTGTAACTCTTCAAAGATTCAGATGAAAAGTTATTTATAGACCCAAGATAATAAACAGTGAAGCCCCTGAGCAATGCTACACTGGCTAATATTTCGGCAAATCGTTGTGAATGAAATCTGTGATCGTACCCGACAACAATTGATGGATTGGCAAATTTAGTCAGAAGGTATTCAACGAGACCTTGTGAGGCTTGTAAAACAGTCACGTCATTCATATGAGCAAAACCAGACTCCATGGATGACCTCAATCCAGCAGTTCCAAATGCTATACGAGGGTACAATTTGCGTTGAAGTTTATCGTATTGTTTGTCATTGATAAGGTGTAGGATCTCTGCTTTTGTTTTTTCGTTTGGGTCAATTGCCACCCAATCGTGAGCTATTTTTTCTAACTTATCATTTGTTATAGTCGACATGGTCAATCAGTGTTAGTTGTGGTTGTGATGAGAAGAATCTGTTTGTGATGATGAGATCTTTCTGTGCAAATGTCGGATAAATCCAAATTTGTAAACGCGACACATCGTAGTCAAGAGTATTTCAGTTACAAAACATTTCCTAAATCAAAGCTTAAACCTATATAGTTTCCTTTTCAATCAACTTTTCTATACTCGAATTATCGGCATCCATATCGTAGCATATAAATCTCACTTCACCATCATTCACCACATCCTCACCATTTGAATAAAGAAACAATTCTCCAGATGTTCCAAAGCCCAACAGTTCAATCTCATTCCAACTACGTGTCTTTTTCAGATACGCAAACGTCAAACAATTGGAGTTAGTTGCAACAACAAGCAAATTCGATGACGGATCAATTATGAATTTGTACACTTTTTGTTCCTTCGACAACTCCAACCTATTAGCCTCAACGCTTTTTCTCAAGTCAAAAATCTGTATTGTGTTTGCGTCATCGGATGTAGATAGTACTAGAAGCCAGTATCCATTAGCGGCAAACGAAATCTGTTGCACATGTTTGCTTGCAACATCAAACGCAGCGAGTTCATCTCCAGATATCAAGCTCAACAATTTAACTTTTTCACCATTGTAAGCAGCAAAAATCTCCCCATCTCCATGTATGTCGCCGTGAATTAGGTCGGAGTCCGTTGGATGTGTCGCTATAATCTCATTGGTGTTAGACACATACCAATTACCGGCACTAGTTATCACGAAAAGATTCAACGAAGGATGGGAATTGATGGATAAAACCTTTCTCTTTATGGTTATTGTATCACCGGTTGAAAATGATATTTTGGTACCCGCAACGGCCGCTAGGATACCGTTATTGTTATACACGACTTGACCAATTGTTTTCAATTTTGTTTTCCACACGTCCAATTTTTCATCTACTACATTGTAATGCAAAACTTCACTCTTGTGAGTACCAGTTAGCACTTTGGCCAAGGAGTTAAATTGCACAAGGTCAGCATGCACGCCGAATGTTTTATAAATGGTCTTGTCCTGCACCACAGTAAACTTATCCAGCTTGTACGGGAGTTTAACTTTCAAAGCTTTATGTTTCTTGAATAGCTCATCTCTTGCAGCATGGATGTCGCTAATATTATGAAGATCATTATCATCCTCCATCTTGTCTCCATTATCACCATTACTCTCATTCTCATTAACTCCTCCACTCAATTTCCCTTTCAACGAACCACTCAAATTCTCCAATGCTTTCTTGGCCTCATCTCGTTCTTCTAAAGCTTTGGTCGCCACATTGATCGCAGCATCTACTCTGTACAAACTGATGCTCAATTCCTCTTTCAAAGTATCGATGCTTTTTCGAAGTGTGAAAATTTCGGAAACCATGGAATCGTACTCCTTTTGTAGCATGGACAATGTGTTTGGAATAGATGTGAAGTTCGCAGTTGGTGAAGTAGTATTTTCTGCTGAGTAAGCAGTAATTTGCAATGGTATAAGTTCATCTAACGTCAATGGCTCATTGCTGATGGGATCAGTGCCCTTCGCAGTGACATATTTTTCAATGTGTCTCCGTTCAAATACAGCCCCACTCTTTGGCGATACAATAGGGTCACTGATCTCTTCCCTCGAGATTGCGCAGATCATGGTAGTAAGGAATGTGATACAAGTAGTTTTCCGTTTGCAAATGAGGACAATCACGGAGATGTTTATTTTGTTTACAATTTAATTTTTTTCTTTTCCGTTCGAGTACAAGATATAAAACAGATTAGTGACTAGGCCGAGAAAGCTTCTACAATATCAAACAGTGTGTCTTGTAGTGTTTTCAAATCAGCCAAAAAAAGACATCTTACAACCCTCCTTCTTTACGGTAGTCGTCCGAAAAACCCAATCTTATATACTAAACAAAAGAACAAAAACGAAAAAAAAGAACACTCATACTAAGTAACACTCACATCGTGATTCTCCCTTCAATATTCACCTTTATGTTCATAGGCAGCAACTTGTCTATACCTTCTTCTCTCTCCACTAAAGCAACCACAACAATGACCTACTGCACTAAATACAACAACCAAGAAGGCAGCAACGGCAGCCGACCAAGCAAAAGCATAAAAGTTTATTGACAAGAACGACTTGATACCGTAATCTCCAGTCTCGTCATTAACTTTTCTTCTCACAAATACGTAGGCGCCAGTTGCAAGACCAGCGGCTAAAATCGATGCGAGAAACGTAACCAACTGTAAGGCAAAGTTGAGGAAGGACAAGCAACAATTGTCAGGTGATAGACACATAGCCATAATTTGAAAGACAATTGAAATAAACGAGAACACAGCAGCAATAATCATCATGGCAAATGAGGCCTTGGTGATATTGTTCAACGTGCCCAAGTTATTTTGCAAATCACTAGGTAAATTCAAGTATTCATCTGCAATGTTGTTCACTAAAACTTTCAAGTCGTCGACATACTGAGAAGACAATTCATTTATCAACAGCGACTGCGAATCAATTTGCTGTCCTTCAATAGTTCTATTCAACTCTTCTCTTATAACAGTCGCAGGGTTGAAAAAATATCCAGCTTTAGGAGGTGAGCACCAAGTGTAGTCAACATTTGAATTATCAAAATTCTCATCAACCAATCTCCCTAAATCACCATCAAATACTGAGGATTTATTACTTTTCAAATCTCCACGACAATAACCCCAATAACTGACAGAGTAAACATCAGCAATGCCCAATTCTTCCGGTGAAACATTGTTCAACAAGTTAGCAATAGCGGCGGAAATGGTCAGTTCAACATCACCAGTAGGAAGACTCGATGGTAAAACCGATGCTAGATCACTAGGTACAGATGAAGGCAAGTTGGTACCTACGGCAGAAGCAATACTAGAAAAATCTGAAGGCAAGTTTCCAGCAATACTACTTGCAACATTGATCCATTGTTGAGCATTGGAAGGAATTGATCCAGTGCTTGTTGTTGTTGGTGTAGAATCATTGTCATCGTCAGCTCTTTTCCTCTTGCTACTGTTGTCACCTATACTTGGGCTGATAATTTGTCGTAAATCCAATTTATTCAAATGGAAATTTATGAGATAGGTTGGAGTCAAGTAGGATTTGTTTTCATATGACCCAGTTATTGCAAACGCAGTAAGAATTAAACACGCGATGGAAAAGAATACAAGAATAAATCTGTAGCAAATGTTGGCCATTGTGGTGGAATATATTGATAAGTGAAGAGCTGTAGTCGTATTGAGTATACCGTTTCTTCTTTGCTTGAAGTTGATTACAGCTAGAATGGAGATGTGCCTTTGAGTAGTTTTAATTTAGATGGAAACGTTTTCATTGCACTTTTATACTTTAGTTCATTACAGTATAGTACACAAAATCAATTTATATTTTTAGTTGGAGAAATTATATATTTTCCGTCTTTAACACAATGTGTTTCTAAAGATAGAACATCAGAGAGAGAGAGAGAGAGAGAGAGAGAGATAGGAGAAGATATGTCATTAGCTCAAGGCTATATCTTGTACAACCTATGCAGGCGTGACGCGACTCTGCGAGGTCACCCACTTATGGGAGAATGGTGTGTAGATCAGCAAATGATACATAATGCTTCGCCTTCTCCAAACTAAACTTAAACATTTTTCTTGTTATTGCAATAAAGCTTAACTTACTAAACATCCAGTCATACATTTTCCCTATGGAAGAAGTTAAGGTATTACTTTAACACAAGATGGTACTGGTATGACGAGAGGACCTTTGAAGACATCACCCCAAGAATTTACGGATTCTCAGGTACGAAAGTGGGGCTTTATTACGTCAAGTGCGACCTTCACAATCAAATTGATTGATTTCCATAAACTCCGCGTCTATACACTCCCTGGAACAACGGAAAATCATTCATCATATCACTGTGATGCTGACAGAGAATTTGGCCCCTTTCGATGCGTCTTTTACAGGGTCCCTCCTCTTCTTAGTTGGTGATCTCTTAAGTCCTTCACGATTGTCACTCGAGGGAAGAAGAGGCGTGGCTGGCTGCATGTACTGCATACTGAGACCCCAAATTTTTGTGTGATTAAATTACAGCCGACTTCATAAAGATTTTATGGCTTCTTTTTTTTCTTTTTTTTTTTTCGTTCACAATTATATAGACCCAAATCTTGTAATTATTACAGTACCATTAACACTACCTACGAGGTTTTCACCCTTATTCTCTACACACAAAACAGATGCGTTTCTTTTCTTTTCACCCTTCAAGATCATCAAACCCATCTAATAATGCCTGTTCCAAAACGTCAATCTCTTCGTCATCAGCATTATGCTCATCACCACCATTTGATTCTATTTTGCGCTTTTTGTTATCATCGACATCCATTGGGTTTTCTTTTTCTTCGTCATCATCTTCTTCAACCTCAGTAGTGGTTCTCTTCTTCCTATACATGTCTCTTATAAAAGAATCATGACCGTCAGAGGTAGCTGTAACCTCATCATCTTCCTCTTCTTCGTCATTGCCATCGTCACTATTTTCGTTGTCTTCCTCATCATCACTAAGTCCAGCAAGAAAATCATCAACTTCCTGGTCAGCTTCATCTAAACCGTAATCTTCAATTGAATTGATGGAATTGGATCTTCCAGGGTTCCATTCATCACCGTCACCGGTTAATGGGTCTATCTCAAAATCAGTTGTTTGCTTAGCTTCCTCTAATCTTTTTTTGTATTTTTCAATCTCATTTGGTTTGACAAACCATAACTTGGGATCAGAAGTTGATATTAAATAATCTTCTTCGTCAACTTTTGTCCACAAACTTAAACAAGAAAATAACCAATCAGGGTTGACTATCTTGATAGAATCAGGGTATAATTTATGTGCAACTCTAGCTTTAAAAGTAGGTCCAGCTTCTGGCGAAACATCACGACAAACCACATGCGTCACCTCAGGATATACTTCATTTACAACTTTAACTCCAAATTGTTTGCACCAAATGACTATATCAGCAGAATCGATATTGACTCCAAGTGGAATGATCCCGGAAAAGAGTATCGTCACCCCTTGTAAACATTGACTCTTCATACGCGGTATTATTTTGGTCAAATCAGGTTTGATACTATGCAACTTGGCTTTCGTATCATCATACAAGTTATAATACTCTTCATGAACATTATCTAGTACCTTCATAAGCGAAGTAAGCTCATTGTCGTCATCATACAACAAATTCTCCTCTTCTTCATCCTCACCATCTTCAGAATGCGATGATTTCTCACCATCTGATTTTTCTTGCAATTGTTCCAAATCGTGTTGTAGTTTAGCCAAAGGTCGGTCATGTTGTTGCTGTTCAATAGACTGGTTTCGCGTTATTGATTGCTCCAATAATAAATCGGTATTTCCCTCGCCGCCACCCAACTCAATAATTCTGTCAACTGTATTGGGTGGGTTTTCTTGTACATGCTCTTGCACTCCATTGGTTTCACCTTTTCGTAGTTTGGCTAGCTCTTCCTCTTCCTTGCTGAGTTCGGCTGCTGCTTCTAATTTAGCAACTGACTTCCTCTTTTTGATTGGTCCAGTCAATTGTCCATTCTTTTTCGGCAAAAAGCTGGAATTAATGTCACCAATACCAACGAAAAAATCATAAGGAACTACTTTTATTAAATTGTTTTCCCATTGCCAAACATCACCTCTATCATCGATAATCACCACCATTGATTGATCAACGGGGAACAATCTTTTTAAATTCTTATGTGTAAGAGACCCACTTTCATCACGACTCAAGATTCGGTCACCAAAATATTTACCATCTGGATCAATAATTTTTGCAATTGCCAAAGCATAATTTCTTGTTGCCATAGTATAGATATGCATTTCATATTTTGTGTCCATCTTTTCTAAAAACTCCGATAATCCTGGTCGCACTTTAACATAATACCAACACTTGGTTGGTGCCAATTTTGGTCCTGTCCACCCGGGAGGCACTATTGGATCCTCTTCCAAACAAAATGTTTTCACATCTTTGACAGCGGGATAGTTTGGATTAGAAGGATCCAGTTGCCATTCTCCAACCGTTGGATCAACTGTTGCGTGAATCACCGTTTGATCTAAATCGACAACCAAAATCAACTTCTTTTCATCATTCAATCTATCGGTGGTACTATGTTCAATTTTTGCAGCTTCATCAAAACTAATCTTTAATCCCGAATTATCATGCGACATAGCTATCGTTGCTCTATCTTCGTAGTCATATCCTGAATAATCGCGTTCTTCTTCTAGCGATTTGCCACATAACGCACACAACCCGCCATATTGCACCGTATGAGCACAAGCTTCCCTTATATGTAATATTTCCACATCACTATGGGTAACTTCTTCCTGAGGCTGAATATCGATCGATTCAACCGTTCCTTCAATGGGACTTTCAAAAGTACCAATACATTCAGCACGCATCTTTTTCGGTGGGTCTTCTTTTGAATTGGGATCGTCTTGATATACCCAGTACTTGTATTTAAATATAGTTTCGTGCTTTGCAATCGAGTCTCCCTGTCTGCATTGTATTGATGATATAATAACTGGAAAGGGAGCAGATGAAGGTAGTTTAATTGGTGTCAGATCCGACATTTCGTGTACGAAGGAGGACAATTATTTGTAGCAGTAGTATCTGTTTCTTAGTTCGACTTGCAATGAGGGTGTGAAAATTTTGACTAGTATTATGCTCTGATGCAAACGGATGGTTCTCTTGTTTGAGGTTCGATTTTTTTTTGCTTGTTTTTGTTTTGTTTTGTTTTGTTTTGCTTTTTTGAGTTTGTAAGGTCTGAGCTTATTTTTTTATTGAACCAAGGGTCCAGAACTATTGAGGAAAGATACATTTAATGATGTAATGAATGCTCCGTAACCTCGGAAATGTCTCTGAGTAAGAGGATTCTTAGTTTGCCCAGATTGATGCAGATGCTGTTTATTTTTTTGAACGGTAATACTATTGAGTAATGGAACACATCGCGTTCACGTTCCATCAAACAGCTTTAAAGAGAAGCTCGCACATTGAGCTCTCTTCATTTCTATCTGCTGGTTTAAAGCCGGTATACGTAGGAAATTGACTTTTCGTGTTTTTATGCTGGTGGAACGACTCAACTTTTCGTTACATATATGTTCCTCCACCAAGTCTCACAAAAAAATCAGAAATTTGGAACTATTGCTGCACACATCAGACGATGACCAAGAAACAGTTGCCTGAGCCATTGAATAATTTATCTGACAACCATTGTCACTTTAGTCCTGAGGCGACTCGTGAAGATGCGTACAAACTCGCAGATACCTTGAATGGTCTCGATATTGAGTTCCCCACCAAGTTCTTCCACTTGATGACTACGCAACATATCGATATAGATTGTATTGATATTTTGTTGACACAATTGCAGAAACCAGATATAGTGGTACCGTATTTTGGAGTACATCCATGGTTCAGCCATTTGTTCTACATAGGCGACAAAAAGCCGAATAAGAGTGATCATTATCGTCATATTCTCAAGCCAGAACCTAGTGAGGAGTTGATTGACACTTTACCTGAGCCAATGAGTATGGATGCACACACAAACAAAATGAAGGACATCATAAAGAAACACAATTTGACAGTTTATGGAATTGGCGAAATTGGATTAGACAAATTGTTTCGAGTTCCAAAACTGGGCTGGCTTGGTAATCCTAATCATATCACAAAGGAACAAGACAAACTCACCAAATCGCGTGTCACAATCGAGCATCAAATGGATGTTCTCAGACACCAGCTACGACTAGCAGAGAAACTAGGTAAGCAAGTATCTCTTCACTGTGTTAAAGCTCATGGTGCACTTTACGAGGAAGCGATACAGTACAAAAACATAGTTGTTGTGCTCCACTCATACACTGGCTCCACGGACCAAGCAAAAAGATGGCTAAAGATGGCTCCAGTAAAGCTCTATTTCTCGTTATCGGATTGGATTAATGGTGAGAAAGATGAGTTGTTGAAGCTACTAATGGATCACTTTGATGGATCGGAAATATTAACAGAAAGTGATGTGGGAATCGAACGATATTTCCTACAAGACAAATCATCAGAGTATTTTCGCCATCTTACTGGCATCTTTCAAAAAATAAACTCTTACAAACATATAGAACCGTCTCAGATCAAGTCAAACATGTTAAATTCGCTAAATACAACTATAATCTAGACTTGATAATGTCAACAAACTCTGGTTTCAATGAAGCACCACCAACCAAGAATCCGTCAATGTTGGCCTTATCTCTAAACTCTTTGGCATTCTTACCATTGACTGAACCACCGTACAAGATTTGCACTTTTTCAGCTTGATCTTGACCAATGGTCTTGGCTAAGTGGTCTCTGATTCCCTTGTGAGTTTCCTCAGCGTCATCTGGGGTAGCAGCTAAACCAGTACCAATTGCCCAAACAGGTTCGTAAGCAACAACAATTTTGGACCAATCCTTGATGATCTTGGATACAGCATCCAATTGTCTAGCACAAACTTCCAAAGTAACACCACTTTTTCTTTCATCCAAAGTTTCACCAATACACAAGATAACGCTTAAGCCATTGTCAATAGCGTATTTGGTCTTTTCAGCAATAAATTCGTCGCTTTCCTTGATAATGGTTCTTCTTTCAGAGTGTCCGGTCAATGTCCATTTAGCCCCGAGATCAACAACTTGTTCAGCAGCAATTTCACCAGTGTAAGCACCAGTACCCTTGTTGAAAACATTTTGGGCACCAACTTCAACGGTTGGTTGCTTGTTTTCCTCAACTGCTAAACCGAGGTACAATGATGGTGGAGCAATGACAACTTGTACATCTTTTGGTAAATCTTGCTTGTTCAAGTTATCAATGATTGATTTGACGGATGCTTTAGTTCCGTTAGCTTTGAAATTACCTCCAACAAAGAATTGACGAGCCATTGTGTAGTTTTTATTGATGTGTTTCGATAGGGGAAAAGAAAATGGTTTGTTTCGTTGGAAAATTGGCAACATTTTAAGTTTGGAAAGATTTCGGCCCTCGGGGCATAGAGAGAGAGGGAGAGAGGGTAGTGCCGTTACCAATTTATACGCCTTCTCGCAGCGTAGTTTTCCGGGGGATAAATTGTGATGCGAAAAAAGTTCGCTTGACGGGAACATATGATTTTTTTGCGACACAACAAAGGACAATAAGAGAATACACATTACATTAATGACTTTCATTATAAATAACTCTATCTCTAAGGTGACTGAACTAAACTCTCCATGCTATTTTGAACACTTTGGTTATCTACTTTAAACTTGGAGTCTCCATTTATGCTCAATCCCCTGGCTCGCAAATTTCGATATGTTTCTTCAATCTTTTTGTCCTTCAGCTTGGTCGAGTTTATGGCATTCTTTTGAGCTTCAACTAGTGCATCAATCTCAGAATCGTCCAACTCTTCTCCTATATTCTTGCAATCAAGCTCATCGCCAAACTCCTTCACAACTTCATGTTGCATCCAACTATCATCTGTATCTTCCCATGTGCGAAGCTTTGTTTTTAGGTGATACTTTTGTGTCTTAACATCCTTCTTCATGATCAAATACTGACAATGAGGAATGTTTTTCAACGACTCAAACTCTTCATAAGTCCATTTAAACCACTTCATAAGAAACACTCTAGACCAGATACCATGAGTAACCAAAACCAAAATGTTGGGGAAATCTTCAGACTTGAACTGACGGTATAGAGTCTCATTAAATGTCGCCACTCTGTCGTACACATCAGCTGCACTCTCTCCATGCGGTATTCTATAAAAAAAGTGTCCATAATGAGCTCTTTCTTCCCAAATTTGTTCCATTTCTTCTTTTGATTTTTGAAAATTGCCAAAATCCTGTTCTCGCATTCGTGTTTCCTCCTGCACACGATATTCAATCCCTGGCTCATCTTTGATCCCTTCGATGATATTGTTGCAAGTTTGTCTCGTTCGTAGATACGGTGACGTATAAAACATGATTGATTTTCGACTGCGTTTGCTGCTTGAGTCCTTCATGGCTTGATGCTGTACAAATTTGGCCAAAGCTTTACCTGCCTCAAGAGACTGGTAGTGGCCCTTTGTAGTTAGTGGGACAAGATGATTGGGGGTATACGAGTTGACTGATTTGTCACAGTTGCCCTCAGATTCCCCATGTCGTATGATAAGTATGTACTATAATGTAAAAGTTAGTATGGTGTTTATGGTACCCCGCAGAGATATACATACAGTTGGTTTACCCATGTTTAGTTTTCAACCTTTTGCTGCTATAAGTTTGCGTCTGCATCGAAAACAAGCTTTATTTTTTTTCTTTCTCCTTTCTATTGTCGAATGCAGCGCCGCTCTATTTTATAGCTTTCTATCGCGGAGATGGGTGTTTTTTTGGTTGAGTATAACCGAGTGAATTAATGGATTTAGTGTCGGGCAAAAATGATAAGTGACCAACTCTATTTGACAAAGCTAACTTTCTATACTAGATTCTATTTATTAGGGGAGACAGTGTGTTCCCATATTTACAAGACATCATCCTTCCTCTTTTTAAAATATGTCATTCTCAAAAGGACAATTAATGGAACTGTGGCCATCTCTTTCACATAGTCCACACCAGTCAGATCTTCCGGCACTTGGATCCGTCAAATGGGATGGCTTGTACACTGGCAAATCCTGTATGCTGTCAGATGACCCATCATCTGTAGCTGATTGCATAGCTTTTGTTGTATCATTTGTACCAGACGGAGCAAAATTCGAGGACACCGTCGACAAGGATATCAATCGCTCCAATTTTATGGGAGGAGCCAAATTTTGATCAGAGGTGGTCTGGTGCATTTTATCCATACCTTGTTCTTCCAACGCTTTGATTTTCCCATTCGCATCACTCAATTGTTTGCGTAATTGTTCAATTTCGCTTGAATAATTGGAGCAAGTTTTCTCTAACGACTCAATTTTTACATTGGCTTCTTTTATTGAGCCAGTTGCTTTAGTCTGTGATCTTATTTCAGCACATTCTTTTTCCAATTCTTTCAGTTTCTGATCGGATAATTTCAACTTCTTTTTCAAAGCTTCAATTTCAACTGATTGATTTTTGTTTATATCCTCCAACTCTTGAATTTTTTCCTCAAACACGGTTATACCATCCTGCTGCACTGCAATCAAATCATCCATTGCATTATGCCACTCTAATTTCTGCTTGTTGAAATTTTCCAATTTACGGTCCTTTTCCCTAATTAACTTGTTCAACTCCTCAATCTGTTCTCTATAATCATGTCCGTTCTCCAACTTGTACAGTTGTTCATCTAGTAGATTCAATTTTGTCTCGCGGTATGTGTTTGATGGTGTTAATGGTGACCTAAGCGGTGTTGTAGATACTTCACTGCGATGTTGATCCAAACTCCAACTTGAAGTCCGACGATGTTCAAGATCGTAATCATGTTGCTGCTGCTGCTGCTGCTCTGAAATGATTTGATCATTACCCGAGTGGTAGATCTTAGCACTGCTTCTGTGAACTGAGTGATATGGGGGTTGAGCCATGGGGCTGAAGCGAGAACTTGGTGTTGGTCTAATTGGCGTTGTGAAATTCAATGATCCATTTGTTTCTCTTTGTCCGTTTTGAATCAGCTTCACATCTGGAAGCAGCTGCATGTTAACGCTCCTCAACCTGTCATATGGCAAAAAGAGACCACTTTTGGGCACACTAACTGTAAAGTACTGTACTCCATCAACAGATCCAGAATTTTTACCTCTTGATGATGCCAATGATCCTTGAAGTTCAAGCCCAACGAATAACCCAGACTTATTTCTTATCGGTCCAATATATCGTATGTACCCATGACCACTTGCGTTTGGGACAGAAACGCGTAAACCTATAAGGTCAGACATTATAAGTGATGGTGAAATGTGGTTATGTGTCCTGGAAATCAAAAAGAAAGAATGTATCAAAAAAGATAAACAAAGATGTTTCATATGCAGGATAAAAAGTACATACAACACATTTTTGAACCTACTATGTAACTACTGGGTGATTCGTTTCGCATTCATTTCACGTAACCGATTCCTCAATTCCAATTTAGCAGCCCTTGAATTTGTTGTGAGACTTTTCGAGTTTTCACCCAAATTCAACTTCTTCATTTCATCTTCTAACTCATTCAAAGCAAGTTTCTTGTCTAAAATCTGATCACCCAATTGCAGGATGATTGTTTCAATCTTGTCAACAGTAGACAGACCTAGTGAGCTTTTTGCCTTTGCAGACATGAGCAATGTACGCAACTTTGATTCTAGCGACTGGACATTAGCCAATTTTTTTCTCAATCGATCTCTCATCTCTTGTTTGCGAGGTTCTAGTGGCCGGTTTTTGAGAAGTTTCAAATTCTTGCTCGATGCTTTTTCTAACAAGACCAATTGGCTAAATGATTTTTCAAGCAACCTTTGATGGCGTTGACTTTGCTGTAATTTCAAATTCAATTTCTCAATCTCGGTCTCTCTTTCATGCAAGTAATGCAATTTACCCTTGTACATTTCTTTATCATATTGCAAGTTCCCCACTTCGGTAATTTTATGCCATTGCTTTCCTGACGTACTGTGAGCGTCTATGTACCCAGTGACTGCAGAAACATTTTTTGCCAAAAATTGCAAATTGCCCTCGGTATTGGCAATTATTGTTCGTATTTTATTCGTGATTGGATCATCACTCTTTTCCAATGACTCTGAAAACCCATCAAATACCAAAAATTCGACAGGCTTTATTGGATCATCAGCTGGTTCATCAACAGGCTCCTCTACCACAACATCTGCTTCCTTGCTTTTAATGGGAGCACCATCATGCTCAATATCCACCAACGATTGTGCCAAAACGCGACCAGTTGCATCCTTCTTTGAAATATTTATCCAAGAAGAATCATTCTTTTCAGACTCATCAACGAACTTTTGATCATCCACTTCATCTTCTTCGTCATCTTGAGAAAGGTCATAGTTTTCAGTAGCTTCAAATTCATCCAATGAATCAGACACATTTCTTGTGTCGTCCTTAGGTGCCTCGTCGGCCGCTTCTTCCGAGTCTTCACCTTCATCGGGTGTATTTTCACTAATTTGGGACTCATCTTTCATGTCTCTTTGATTGTCGAAATCTTTGTGCCATTTTTCCTCTTCTTTTGTGAATGATGTTTTGAAGTTTGCAAAAGGTGAAGCTTCTTTGGGTTTTTGCAACAGTGCGAAAGGTGAAGATTCTTTGGGTTTTTGCAACAGTGCGAAAGGTGAAGATTCTTTGGGTTTTTGCAACAGTGCAAAAGGTGCAGGACTATTGCTCTTTTTCAACCCACCAAAGGGAGAGTTAAAAACTCCACTTGGCTTTTCATTAGTGCCTATGGCACCAAAAGCTGCTGCCAAATCATCTTCACCAGTCTTGTTGGATACAAAGAAATCATTTTGCAAACTTGGCAGGGAAGCTTTTTGCGTCAATGGTTTCAACTCATCTTTTGTCACTGAATCTACAGGAACTGGCGCTGACTCTTTTGTAGATTCCATAAAATCAGCATACGGAGTTGGTCTCGTATTGTTAATGCCTTCAGTTGTGGCATTCTTGCCCAAAGCAGCAATAGGTGAAGCGGTTGTCGTTGATGCACTCGTTTGTCCAAATATCAGCTTCGCCTGTGTCAATGGCTGATGAGCCGAGCCTGTTGTACTTCCCAATTTTCCGAATGGAGATGACGTGGTTGATGATTGACCGAATGGCGATGAAGTTTTGTCATCATCGTTAAATATGTTTTTTCCGCTAGTTGTGTTTTCAAAGGTTGCTGGCTGCTGATTACTAAATTTACCAAATCCTGAAGAGAGATTCAGCTTTCCGGAAGTTGCGGTAGTCTTTTGTATTGAGCCAAAACCCCAAGAGCCAAATCCAGTGGCAGGAGCAGTAGAGACTCCAAATCCTGTTGATCCAAAGGAAGATTTTGCAGCTTGATCAGTGGCAAACCCAGTTGATCCGAAGGAAGATTTTGGAGCTTGTCCCGAGCCAAACCCGGTTGATCCAAATGCACTAGTGGAAGTTTGTCCTGAACCAAACCCAGTTGATCCAAATGCAGATTTGGTAGGATAATGAGTAGCACCATCAGTCTTAGAGGCTGCTGCTATTGGGCTTTTGAAAGCACCAGCGGTGGATGCACCAAATGGATTGTTTACAGCTTGAAATGGGTTTGCCGGCGGTTGAGCATTCGTATCAGTTGTAGATGAATCCTTCTTGAAATTTTCAACTTTATGAGTAGCTACTACTGAATCTTCTACAGCAATTGCTCTCTCCAAGGACACTTTATCCTTCAAAATACCATTTTTGTTAAAAACCCACCACGATCTCAATTTCCCATTATCCAAAAGTGCATACATTTTGGGCAATTTGCCAACCACTTCACCTTCGACTCCAACACATGGTGAATCCACTTTTGAGTTCAACTCGTGCACCGAAATGGCAAATCCAATGGGGGATACGTCAAGCAGTGTTTCATCATCGATTGGATAGTTTGCTTTATTTGAGTCTTCAGATGGCACGATAGATTCAGGTGGTGTATTTGTTTGATCGAGAATACCAATCTCCAATGACAACGACGATGTAATAAATTGAAGTTGAGTTGATTCCAACCAGTTGGTGATTGATGCATAATAGTATGTCGTGGTTCTATACGCTGCTCCATATGGTGATGCAATTTCAATAGCGTAAGGTGTATATTTCTCATCTTTCTCATACTTGAGTAAAAAAGTTCTTATTTGATGGTCATCGGATGGCTGTTCCTCGCTGGAGTCGTAAACGAGGAAAATGTAGTCCTTAATGGAGAAGAGTTCAACGAGATGAAGGTCTGATAAATCTTCTTTGGTTGCTTCGTCATAGCCGATGGGTTTGCCCATTATTTGAAATTGATCAGACTTGGTGACATATATCGGTGATGACGACTTGTGCCAGATGAATCTGATCACATTTGATGCGATCTTGGATGAATTGTGGTACAAGTTGCCATCTTCATCCAAAGCCAAGTAAACTTCATCATTCAATGGCTTCAAATTGGTGTAGTTGCCCTCCAATGACAAAAACTGATAATCTTTTCGTTTTATTTGATCAAGGGTTAGGGTTTGTATGATGTTGTTATTCAAGATGTAAAATTTGGATTCAGTGAAGTACAACTGGGTTATACCAAAGTCTCTTTCAACGGTTCCAATTTCCTCCAAAGTGTCAGCTGATATAAACTTGAGTGATTTCGAGTTCGATGCGGCAATGATTCTTTGTTTATCATGAATAGCCAATAATCGTAATTCCTGTCCATTTTTGAACTGTTCCAAATCTATTGGTTCTGAGACTGAGGTATCATCAATCAATTTGAATCCATAATTATCCGATACAACTTCTTCAATCTCGTTCATCGCTGCAATGATTGATGGCGGGTTTGTCAATACGCGAGGTTGTTAGATGATGTCTACTGATGAACTTTTGATCCGAGTTGTTTTTAAGAACGATGAATATATGGAGCTACCAATCGAATTTAACCTGGTGGTTGCGAAACTCTAAAAGTTTAGGTATTAGAAAGCGACGGCTGGAGTTACTACAACATGGTATATACTTTCAGTCAACGTACAGTCAGTCTAGTCAATGGTATTGGCGCAATTTGAAGTTTCTTGCACACTCAGATTCAACACGACAACCTAAACAAATTTGACTGATAGGCTACTTAAGCTTCTCACTTTTCTCAGCAGAGTCATCGTTTTTCAGAGAAAAAGCTCAACGAACAGTAAGCTTCCATGCGTATCCAAGTGTGAGCTCATTTTTCTCCTCAAAGTACAGCAATTCCGAAAAGTAAACGCTTGGAAAAGTCTTGTATATACAAATTGTTTGTTTTTCCACAAGATGCACACTTATGAAACTAGGAACCCGAATTGTTGAAATATGCATTTGTCCAAAGCTCAACTGAAAAAGTGGTTCATCTGTTACAATCTTCGTTGAAGAGATATATTGCCCCACTAGATAATGTGATCTTTTCGTAGCCTCCAGGGTGGAGATCCCGAGTATGTGTGAAACGAGCAAGTCATGAAGAATGATGTTGAAGTTTTGAGACTGGTGGGTTGACGCAAGCGCCCATTCTCATTGGTAAGGATCACTTTCGCGGAACAAGAAAATAGCGAAGCAAAAGATCACTAAATAATAGCACTACCGAAAGGGCATTAGCATTTAATTGTCTGGCATTTGTGATAAAATATCAGCCGTACATATTTTAAATTCCGGAGACAGAAGAAAACGAGAAAACGGGAAAACTGGGAAACGCCTCAGGTAACAACGCATTTCGAAAGAAATGGCAACCATGTTACAGTTTCTTGCATTTCGTTTTTGCAATCAATTCCATAATTCTTCCGAGATTATTAGCGGAAAAATAGAAAAAAAAAAAAAAAAGAAATTCAACAAGCCACCATGGATGGCACAAAAATGTCCCTTTTTTTTCCGATGTGTGTGTATATGAGGTGAGTTATATTAAGTTGCTCCAAATTGGGGGAACCCCCAATTTCGGAAGCCAGAGACTAATATAATGTATACATCATCGAACATTGACTGTGTATTTAAAAGATAGTCCATGAAATGGTCATCCTTGGTGCGCTTGCCTTCCCGAAGAAGCCTGGGATAATTAGAGCAATATACGAGTCACGTGAGAGCTCACGTTGTGACAAAGCCATGGAGTTGCACAAGAATGGCCAAAACAACAAGAAAAAACATTGGGGTATGTGTGTGGGGGAGGCAAACTAAATGCCGCTCACCGTTTGTTACAAATGTTACACAAGCAAAAGGTCTAGTCTCAATGTATTCGGAAAAACCCTCAAAGACAAGTACTTTGATATTTGTCTGGTGATAATAATTAACTATCGTGCATATGAAACTCGTTGAATAGGGGGGGGGGGGAGAGTGGTTATATACGTTCGTGTATTTTTTGCATGACCAGAAATGCTATTTTACCGGATTAATTGTATATGCTTTAAGTTTGTTGTTAATGATTAATGAAACACCAATGCAGCTGAAGCAGCAGTAGCTAGATATCTCATGGCTGATAACAATAAAACCGGTGACCAACCTAGTATATAAGATTAGAGGGATGGATACAGGTAAACTCTCTCGTCAGATTGTTTTTTGTTTGAGTGTCGGAAGAATAATTAATTGCACCATTTTTTTTTTTCCTTCTTCTTTCTTCTGTGTTTTAAAAATAAAAGCATATGAGTAGTGTACTATTGCACAAAACCCCAATTATTTTTATTTAACAAAAGATTACGGAAGGCACAAGCAAAGTTTTACCGAATCAAATGCAATGGGGGAGGACCAGTGTTGAAACCATAAATAATAACCCGAGAATCAGAGTTAATTATCGGAACAACATCCTTTTAAGCCAACAACTTAGCTGACACGCAGGGAGTGTAGAGTGAGATTTGTATCTACGGAGTATAAATGTCTTTGTTTCCCATTCCACTTGGTCTACTTTGTGTAAGCCCGGCACAATTGAATCTTTTATTATTTTTTTTTTTCTTGTCTTGGCTTTTCCTTAGCTTGTAATACCACCCAATAACTTTTATACTTTATTCGCTAGGTTGACCCAGTTATATATATATATATATATATGCTTTTGGTGTTAGTTAGCCTCCACACGCTACACTACACTCCACTTCCTGCTTCTCATAGAAATCAAACTCAATTAAGACACGGCACATACTATATCAATTTAAAAAAGTATTATAGCCAAACACAAACAATAATCACATTAAAAATAATAACATTTAAAATTAATCCCACACTATTACAAAAGCTAAACAATAGTAGAGACCGAGACAGACTGAAAGAGAAGGAGAAAATATTTATTTCTCCAAAATTATAAAAACTACAAAAAAAAAAAATTAAAAGAAAGAAAAGAACAAGAACAAGAACAAGAACAAGAACAAGAGGAACAACTAGAAGAAGAACAAGAGTAAAGCAATATTATCAATCTTTCTTGCACATTCTTCTTGTTGGATACCTACTATCATCAAGACATCACCAAGTTAAAAAAAGAATCACCAACCATCAGTTTCGAAACTCAACTTTAACCTTAACCTCAACCATCACTGCACGCACAATCGCGCTTACTCCCCCCCCCCCCCCTATTTATCAAAGACTCCACCACTTCACAGTTTTTTATGCACTAGATAAAGAAGCAACATCAAACAAGAGCCCAGATAACTACTATATCCTCCTTTCCCCTTTTACAATGTATGCTTCACCATTTTCCAACAGTCAAGGGAAACAATCAGCACCATCCCACTTTAAAGAGAATGCCAGAAACGAAATTTACAACAAATTGCACTCTGTCAGTGATGGTAATGCCTCATCACGACTGCAGCCCATATCAACACTAAAATCATCATCTTCCATCAGATCAGCACCACTGCAGTTTTTCAAAAAATCATCATACCAACCACTGCATCGATCAGCTCACACCACATCATCTTCTTCTTCAGCATCAATCTTTTCTTCATTTGGTAAACGTTCGGTACGCTCAGCTCCATCAATATACTCAAGTTCGACCGGAACTATACCAGAAGACCTGGAACCATTGACTGTTACAGTTGAGCAATTGGTTAATGATATTGTTCTTCATGAGACGCATTTTGCCAAAGTGTATGAATCGTCAAAGCAGCAGCAACAACAACAAATGAATGTATCTGACCCCGAGGAGTTGTACAAGATTTCCCTTGGTTCTAGCCTAAATTATCAAAATAACAATGAAAATTTAATCGATTGGAATTTAAATGTCACTAGATGTAAACTAATGTTGACACAATTACCTTCAGTATCAACAGTACTGGATGAAATCTCATATAATCAAAATTTTCCACCACAATTGATTGGCGACTTGGCCCAACTTTGTCACATTATCATTATACAACCACACATTTCTGATACTGAATTAATATTCACCCTAATACAGTCCAACTTGTATGAAGAACACAATTTGGATTTGGCTTTCAAGAAACTGGTTGCTGAGATTTCAGTTAAACAATCACGCTTGCTACAAATTAATGAAGTACGACAAATGCATCGACACACCAATATGCAATTTAATGAACATGATTTTCTTAGATTTAAGTTTAAAGAAATTGCCTTGAGAAATTACTTGATCAATTTAGCCGCTGCTGCTACGACTGCTAATGAATATAAGTTGAAAGTTGATCAACTAAAACGTGAATTGAAATTGGAAGGGAAGAAGAAGTTGGGTAAAGAGGAAAAGAAACAGTTGTGGGAACAAGTACGACTGGATGTTTTTAAACGAGCAGGTCTTGAATAATACACACATGTATACAATATACATATTCACATAACAAAGTGTTTTGTATTTCATACATATATATTCATTTTTTTTAAAACTTTTTACGATCACTTTTAACTTTCTTGTAATGACTCTTTTTACCACTGGTCTTCTGTTGTTGAATCTCATGATACTTTCTCTTGAAATATTTCTTGGTATTATCATCATGCAACAACTCTTCAACCAAATTGGTCCCTTGTTGTTTCTTGGTCAACTTGTTAAAATACCCAGTATTTGATTCAATAATGGTACCCATTTGGAAAAATTTCGGCACTTGCCATTTCTCCTTCTTGTAATGACGCTTAGGGTCGAGTGCTTGCCTTTGCTTGATTATTTGTAAATCACGCTTGATAGAGGGTGTAAGTTCGGGACGTGACATGTTGAACCATTTGGTCCCACTAGTTTCACCTTGTTTGTTTTTGGATGTTGCACTCGCAGCTGCAGATGACACTGGATCATGTATCCTGGCAACTTTGTAATCCTTTCGTGTCTCTGTGTTTGGTGCTTTGCCAAAGTTTGATTCTAGTTTGGGGAGTTTTTTAATTGATGCTTCTATACTTTTAAAATCATCATTTTTGGAATGGGTGGTGGGATCTTTATGTAGTTCTTCCAGTAGTTGACTCAACAACTCATCTAAAGTTGTATCTTGTGTATTATTGGCTATCTTGTCTGAAGAGTACGATTCTGTTTCTGAGCTGTCCATTGCTACGACGAGGGATGAGGCTACGATGACGCTGATAGATAAAATTTATTTCTTTTTTGTCTTCTTCTTCTTCATCTCTCTCTCTCTCTCTCTATACAAGCGGTAGCGCATACTCTCCTTCTAAATACCATCAGAAAATCCACTAACTAATGACTTGTTAAACCCACCTTCCTTGACAGCTAACTCGTAATATCCATAGATGGTAGTCACAGCCAACAATATCGATGTACCACTTCCCAAAGTTCCCATCAAGTCACAAACAACCGACAATGCACCAATAGTGGCACCACCAAATGCAGCAGCAATGGGGATAATCTTTTTCAATTCTCTGTAAGCTGAAGTTTCCCTATGACCAGCAATAACTAAACCTTGTTCTTTAAATTGCTTGGCAATGTCTCTTGGTGATGTACCACTAATTTCAATCCAAGTGGTGGAAAACAAGGCACATGATCCAAGTACAAAAGCAATGTAAATGGTTGTCTTGATAGGATCCAATAAAGCTTCAGTAAAACTAAAAGGTGGTTGAATGTAGTAGGCCAATCCTCCGTTTGCATACAATTGCGATGATCCGGGTCTAGCATCCCAAGTACCCAAAAGTTTAATAAACAAGTTATTTGGCCATCTGATAAACAACAATTGCGAAATGATGAAAATGTTCGATGCAAGTGCACTCTCCAACATAATTGGAATATTTGAAGTGTAAAACAACCGGATTGGGTACAATCCGTATGGTCCTCTTTGTCTTGTAGACTTCATTGGCAATTCAATTCTGAAACCTTGCAAGTAAACAACAGCAAAAAATACCAAAATGGTGGCCAATAATTGAAACATGTTTGGCAAGTTTGGTCTGTAAAAAGATTCAATCAATGCTCTCTTCTTATCCTTTCTTGAACCAAGGAGATGGAACATGGAAACAACAGCACCATCAAACTCAGTACCTCTTGCAGATGAACTTGTAGTTGGAGCAAAAGCTTTCCAAAATACTTGTTCACAAGTATTTGTGGCGGTAAACAACGACACACCAGAACCCAAACCATAACCCTTTTGCAACAATTCATCCAACAAGATAACAATAACACTGGCAAATACCAATTGCAAAATCAACAAGAGACAAACACCAACACCAAGTGCTTTTGGTGGTCCATAAATACCAGTCAAGACATAGACAGTAGCTTGACCAACTGCCAACAATATAGCCAATAATTTTTGAGCCACCTGAAAAGTCTCACGATCGTGTTTGTTTTGCATATCAACATGAATCAATTTAGTTCCTTGCAACAATTGAAACAACATACCCGATGAAACAATTGGTGAAATACCCAATTCCATCAATGTACCTCTGTTGGAAGCCAACATCATTCTCAACCAGAAAAGAGGATCACTTCCATCAGTTGATGCAATTCCATATAGTGGGATTTCTGACATAACGAGGAAAATCATCAATGAAATAATTGTCCACATGACACGTTGCTGGAATGGAACTTTACGTTCAGGAGCAATTACTTCAGGCAAGAATGGCCCAAATGGTTTTACCAAATCCAACACACGGAACCCACTCATATTGTTATTTGTAGTTAGTTAGTTGTTGTGATATCTATTTGGAAAGATTATGAATGCTGTTGTTAAAAAAGAGGAAAAATGAAAAATTGTTAGAAAACACGTCAACTGAAAAAAATTGTACGAAAAGAGACTAGCACTGTTGACTTCCCAAATAGGAACACAGGAAGAGAAATTTGTCAAGAGAGTGGAGCAGTACCCAGAAAAGATTCTGTGCAAAAGGACAAAAAAGAAAGAAAAAAATTGAACTGCGTTAATGCAGACTTTATACTACCATTACAAAACCAATGGCTACAGACTGGGCAGCAAAATTGGCTCAAGCAGCAACACAACCAACTAACTCAACACAACCAACACAACCAACTCAACCGAAATTGGGTCATGACCGTCAAGCTCAACCGAAGCCAGATAAGAAGGTGAAAACATCAAGATCACCATCAAGATCACCCCCACCTACATTCAATGCTCAAGAAATCAAGCAATTCTTGCACACCAACTACCAATCATACTTGACAAAAGCACGAGAAGATAAAGATGGGGAACAGTATAAAGTTTACAAGTCGCTTGAATCATCGAATCAATGGGAAACACAAGTTGTTAATCCAAGGAATGTATTGAGGAATCGACCTCAGAGTAATACTGTTGACATAATTTTTGAAATAAATCGGTCTATTTACCAACAAAGGCAAGGGGAGAAGAAGTAATGAGAAGAATAGCAAAGCTGAACATCGAACCATTCCCTCGAGTATAAGAGTCCAACACGTGATTGTTCAACTTCACTTATGAGAAGACAAGTCACGCTTATGGCTCAGTTCAAAAACTAGTAGTAACAGGCACAGGGTAAAAGGTTTCAGCGCTTCGCCAGATAAAGTCAGCCAGTGCGACAGCCTTTCAAACTCTATTGCTTTCTTTTCAACGGATATTATATCCACCTATGTACTCTTTTTCTATTTAGGAATATAAGATTCAAATTTCTCAATTTCCTTTGTAGATCCTAACCAAACACTGGATTTGTCATGGATTCCTTTAGGTAAGATTTCCAAAATTCTTTCACCCTTGTCATTAACAGCTTTACCACCAGCTTGTTCCAACAACATGGCCATGGGGAAACCTTCGTAAAGTATTCTCAACTTACCATTTTTGGACTTGCTATCCCCAGGATAAGCGAAAATACCACCATACAATAAAGTCCTATGGATATCAGCAACCATTGAACCAATGTATCTAGCAGAATATGGTTTGCCATTTTCTTGTGGTTTTTTCAAGTCTTCGAAATACTTCTTGACATATTCTGGCCAGTAATACGAGTTACCTTCATTAACTGAGTAAATGGCTCTACTTTCAGGAATACGCAAGTTTGGTTGAGTAAGAATGAATTCACCCAATTGAGTATCCAACGTGAACCCATTGACCCCATTTCCAGTGGTCAACATCAAGTGAGCTGATGCACCATACATGGTGTAACCGGCACAAACCAATTCAGTTCCCTTTCTAAGAACATCGCTAATTGAGCCAGATGAATTTTCCGCAATTCTGTATACACCAAAAATGGTACCAACTGAAACACCAGCATCGATATTGGATGAACCATCAATTGGATCGGTACAAACAGCATAACGACCACCTCCTGGGAAAATAATCAAATCCTCTTGTTCTTCAGAAACAAGAACTTTAACATTACCAGAACTCTTCATGGCATTGATGAAAATTTCATCACCAATAACATCAAGTTTTTTTTGAACATCACCAGTGGTGTTGGCAGTGCCTGAAACACCGAGCAAATTAACCAATTCAGCTCTTCTAATGTTGTGGGCAATAAACTTGAATGCAAATTGCAACGAGTTCAACAATAAACTCAACTCACCAGTGGCATTGGGGGCCAATTTTTGTTGTTCTTGCAAGATAAACCTCGTCAATGTGACAATATCGGTTTGGACGTCCATTTGCTTGGAGACGGAATCGTGTGCGCTACTCATGATGATGTAGTGTAATGTAGTTGCAAGTTGTAGTAGTTTGTTGATGAAAAGAAGAAAGAAAAAGATTGAAATAGGGTTGTATTTTTTTTTTTGAATTGGGTCTATACCCCATATAAAAAGTAACAGTGAATAAGAAATGTCGTGTTTTATCGAGAAAGCTGGTACAAAACTTCCGTCGTTGAAAAAAGACACATTCCGTCGACGTCCGGGGTGAACCGCCACGCAAATCAGTGCAATAGAGTTTGTTTTTCCGCCGCTTTGTGGTGCAGGACATTCACGCGTAATCAACAGCAATTGAAAAACGTACGGGGGTCAGACACAAAAAAAGGTACCGACCGAGGGACTTCCGGGTTTCCGAGGTTGAAAAAAAAAAAACAACAGAATCAACTGCTGACTTCAACAAGACCAATTAAAACGTGGCTCTTTTGTATGTGTGAAACGCTGGGGACCAACTACGAAATGCAGAGACTATCAATGTTTCCGCGTCGCACACACACACGTGTGTATGTGATCGTGTGATGTCATAACCGAGTTGCGATCACATATAAGTGCTTCCCATGTTTAAAAAAGGGAAAAACGTTTTGGCAATATCCTCGTTTGAAGAAGGGGCCTGGGCTCGCAAAATGTAACATGGTTGGATATTATCAAGAATCTTTATTAAAGATGCACAAGGGGTCGAAATTTTGTTGACGAATGACTTCGCAATTACTAAAGCTGTATAGATATGCAAAAATTGAGGGAATCTTCAAAGTTTATATAAATACGAAAATATGCCATCAAGAAGAGACCACTATGCTCCCAAGTAACCCAATTTCAATACAGATAACTTTCCCTCCGCTTCTTTTCGAAATTTCAACAACTTCTTGGTGTTGAGATCCATGTGAAATATTATCTCCGCTCCGTCAATTTTATCACAAGCATATTAAAACACAATATAAACTAATCACTCTCCCCTCCAGGAAAGGATCGACTAACGAACCCCATTCAACATATCGGAACCACCCTTGTTATGTCGTTAAACCAGCATCAAATCAAGCTTCACAATGATGGTAGAGAATTCACCACATTGAGCAACTTGCCCCTCTCCGCAATTGACGCCCAAGATTTCGACCGTGTCATCATTTTGCTTCACGGATTCCCTGATGTCAACACCACATTTAACAAAGTATGGCCATTGTTGCTCTCCCACTTCAAGGAAAAGGTTTTACTCGTTGCTCCCAAATTGAGAGGATACGAAAAGTCAAGCATTGGACCTGAACACGAGTACATGTTACCTTACCTTGCTGGAGATGTTAAAGGTTGGATCCACGAGATCAATCCTCAATTGGACAAGCCTGTGCATCTCGTTGGTCATGATTGGGGTGCTATTATTGCCTTCAAGACGGCAAATTTGTATCCGCAATTGATTACATCAATGGTTACATTGGCAATTCCTTATTTAGCCAATGTTAGGGGTTATGAATTGTTGTGGCATGCACCTGAACAATTGTACTTGTCAACCTACTTCTTCACCATGCAGTACCCATGGCTATACAAGTCAAAATTGACAGAGTCCAATGATTACTTGACATATCTCTGGAAATACTGGTCACCAGATTACAGTGTGTCTCAAGAGGAAATTAGTGAAGTCAGAGATACATTCAAGAGAGATGGCGTAGTTGATGCAGTAACGGCATACTATCGCCACTTGTTCCGCCCATTGTCATTTTGGAAGTCAAGATGGCCGGTGGATTTTACAAAAGTGCCCACATTAATTTTGAATGGAGAAAATGATGGCTGCATGTCATCGAGAATTGCTGTTTTGGAACAACAAAAGTTGAAAAATTTGTACCCAAAGGCACAGGTTAAAGTTGTTCCTCAGGTGGGACATTTTTTACAAAGAGAGGCACCAGAAGTCGTTGCGGGATTGATTGCTGATTTTTTAGAGTCTATTTAAATTTTCGTCAACTTCGCCATTTGCGTAAATCATTGTCTCATCTTCAACTGTAGTGGTTATGTCATTATCGACGGGTGCATCTTTGATTTGTGATTGTAATTGAAGTAATTGAAGCTTGCCTTTGATTGCATACAAATGGGGCATTGTTCCTACGTTTGATCGAAGATCCTGTTGGAGGTCCTTGACTGAAACCGATGATTTGGCAATCAGATTCCCATGTATTAATAATATCCACTTGAGCCAGATTGGCATATTTGTAGTTGTGATTTTAAATAGCTTCTCGACATCCTCATATGACAAATCTGTCACAAGTTGTTTGACGTCGTCGTCGTTGTGTAGTGATAAACAAAGTTGGCTAATTTTTTCCTCATTGGGCTTGTCTCGACTTAGTTGCTCGTGTAATTGAGTTTTGACATCTTCCGCATCCCTTTCTTCAGTATTGTTTTCAATGTGAATCAAAGTGGATCTTTTTGGCGTGATGGAAGTGCCATTTTGGAAAGAGATGGTGTTGGTATCCTGAGTAATTCTCTGGATGTGAATGCCAGCACCATCGTGCCAGCTGACATATTTTGTATCGTCTATTGTGAGCACATAGTCGATTGAATGCGAAGTCTTTATATCCTTTATGAAATCCCCTTCTGGTGTGAATACCTTCAACAAGTCATCGCTTATGATATATACATCACCTGCGACTTGAACTTTCACACCATTTTCTCCAGCAGCCAATTTTTTGGTGACGGCTCCGTCATGCACTAGTACTGCTTTGGATTGTGATGCAGCAACAATGGAAGAGCCTAACACTTCTACCGATAGAACCTCGAACCCCGTCTCTATATCCATGTCTTTATTAAATGTATTCTTGTTGATTTTACCAATGAGAAGCCCTGAAGATGTACCGATGTAAACAATTCCACTCTTGACCACAATACTTTTAAACTCCGGAACCTTGACCTTAGTGCTCTTTCCATCTAATTCAACTTTATATACATTCCCTTTGGACAATCCCCATATCGTGTTGTCCTCAACCGCAAGTATATGAGACAACTGTATCTTGACATCATGTCTCACCACTGTCCTCGAACGGGAAGAAATAGTGATGACATGTCCAGACAGTAATAACGCAACCACTAGGTCATCTACAGCCTGAACCTTTACGGCTCCATTAGCCTCCCTCTTTTTTGTTGAGCTTGATGCTTTCCCCCAAGTGAAGTCAATTACAGACTCATCCAAAAAAACGGATCCCTCTAGTGATAAATCCCCTAAAGTATCAACTTTATAAAACTGAAACTCATCCTTATCATTTCGTGATATAAGCTTAGCTACCAGGTCGTTATAGATGCTGTACTTCATGATGGTTTTCGTTTATAGCCCTACTCTTCTACATTTTTTTACATTTTTTTCACTTCTGAGATGAGATCGCGCAAATTCCATCGGTAAAAATATCAATTCTTTTTATTCTTTTACAATCTATCTACAAGCCTTGCATTTCCACCATTTGTTGCACTTGATTGCGGCACAAATCTTTCAAGTCAGCAACATCTGCTTTCAACTCTTCAACTTGCTCCGACTTTTCACCAATCAACTCCAACATCGTCAGCTCCTTCGCATTCTTTTCCTCAATTATCTTCTCTAGTTCCTCAATCTTTGACTTTAACTCGTTTACTTGCTCATAGACCTTTATTGACTCAAGCAATTCCTGCTCCCTCAATTCCTTGACATCTAATAGCTTCTCGTATTCATCCTTGAGAGTATTTAACTCAATTTCCAATCGTCTAATGTTTGAACTCATTTTATGAATCAATTGTAAATTATTGCTATTACTTAGAGATGTTGGTACACCAAGTCCACTGGTGCTTCCGTTGTTCCCGCTTGCGGCAAAACCCAAACCAGGTGCCAAATAAGATTCTCGTTCCAGTAGCTCACCTTCACCAATCTCAGTGAAGGACGCCAGCGAGTGATTCAGAAACATGGCAAATTCTTTATTCAATGCAGGCGTGTTTGATGATTCGCCAAGACGAATTTCGTTCCAGCTCAAATCGGAGCTTATTGAACTGTCACGATTCAATTTGGGAATTGATTCTTGTGGTCCTTGTTGCTCCTTGAGTGATTTAATTGTTTCATTTAAAGAGTCAATTTTGATGTTAAGATTCGATCTTTCTTGTATGTATACTGATTGTAAACGCTCTAGTTTTTCATTGACGACTTGTATGTCATTGTCTTTGAGTTTGATTGATAGCTGCAATTCGTTCACCTGTTCTTGCAACCTTTTCTTCTCATCCTGTAGGATTCTTATATCGTTAGATTGCGACTGTAAAGCGCCATTGGCCTTGATCAAATCATTGCTCAATTTGTGTTTTGCCCGCTTGGCTACATCCAATGCCGAATTCAATGTATCTACTTTCAAAGAAAGGTTAGACTCAATCAATTTCCAATTCTCTTGCGAAGACAAGTACAGTTTCTGCAAAACATGATGCGCATCAGATAACTTTTTGAAATCGTCAAAGTCAATTTTGTCATCACTATGAGGTATTGTCGGTACCTCGTGGTCCATTCTCAACGACTCAACTTTTTCTTCCAATCGTGCTATTTCTTCTGAATAATTTTGTTTTGCTTTAGAAAGTTCATCCTTTTGGGACGCAATAATGTCTTGCTTTAATTCAAGATCCAACTCAAATTGCTTTTTTGCCATTTCATGCTCAACTTTGAGCGAGTTTACCTCTTTGGTTAATTCTTTTCTCGTTGCAATAAGCTCCTCATGCTGTTTTGACAATTCATTATAACGCGTCTCCCAATGCTTCAAACCTTCACACTCCTTCTTGCTTTCAATTAATTCCTGATTCAATTGAGAAAACTTTTCAATTAATTGATCCACATTTTTTAGTTTATGAAACTTGACTAATTCTTGGAGTTCTTGAGAGGAAATTAATACAGAATCGTGCTTCTTAGCAAATTCAGCCATATCCTCCTCCAACGTTTGGTTAGCTAACTTGAGCTTCTTTATGCTCTCATTCAAAACGAGCTCCTTGCGCGACAATGACTCTCCTTCCTTGAGTAATTGTTCAATAGTTTCATCTTTAGTTTTGAGTTTCTCTAAAAATTGTTGACGTTCCTTCGCAAACGAGTCGGGCTTTGCTTTCTTTAAATTCGCTATGTCAAGCCTTAGTTTCTCAACCTCGGCTTTATACTTTGAATCACCATCGTTGGTCCCCTGGTTGCCGGTTACTTGGGGTGACATGACCGGGGAAGTTGATTGAGCGTGGGCTTGTGTTTGAGCTTGTGTTTGAGCTTGTGTTTGTGTTTGCTCACCATCTACCAATGGCTTTGGGCTCGGTTTCTTTATTCCCTTTGCAGCTAGTGCTAGCCTTTCTTGGAGAGTCAATCTTTTTTTCAGAGGTTTTGATGTTGGCACCTCTGATTGAGCTGGTTCGATGGTTTGGTTCTCAAACGAATCCTGGTTTGTCTCGATTTCACCTTTCAGAACCCCACTGGCATTGTTCAACTCTTCCACAGATTCTTCCTTTCGGCTCGAATCCTCTGTTCGATCATTTGCGTCAGTCATGCTAGTGGAAAGCTCTGCATGCGCTAGGCAAGGCTATCTTCGCCAGATCACGAAATACAATGCGAAAAAATATATGAAGAAAAATCGTGCTACCAGTTACAAAATATAAAAATCTCTTTTTCACTATAATAATACAAAATACAAATTTAAAATAAAAGCTACTGTAAGAAAAGAGTTCGAAGGGAACCCTCTTTCAATCATTGTGAACAAGCATATTCCATCTAAGGACGGTTAGTTCGCTGCTGTTGAGGCAGGGATTGTTGGTTAGCATAAATACCTGATCCTAGAGCCAGCTGCTGTTGTTGCTGTGGTTGAAACTGTGACGCATACAAAGTTTGTTGTGGTGTAGCCTGGTAGTATTGTGGTGTAGACGTGGATCCCCCTGAGCGCTGTGGTTGTATTTGCAGAGTTTGTTGTGGGACTAAAGTTGATGTGGGCTGTAAACCCAGGTAATACAACCCGGAGCCAGAGACCGGTACCAGCGATGAATCATTCGAAACATTTGGACGTAAGTTGGGTGGAGCAGAATAGCCATAATAGTACCCAGAGTAATCGTTTGGTTGTGTAACGTATTGTTGTGTAGGTACAGGCATTTGTGATTGTTGTGGAAGCAGGTACTGTGCTGGCTGTTGAACGTGCGGCTGTGCTGCATGGTCTTGTTGGGCAAAATTAGGCTCAAGTTTGTCATCCTTATTATGGCCCCCATTTTGGAAATCGAGCTTCGACTTCCGAGGTCCATGTTTCTTTGTAACAATATGAGTATTCAAATGGTTCAACGATCCATAGCTTTTCAGACAACCAGGAAACGAGCACGGGTATTTTCTAACAATTTGATTGTATCTTCTTCTAAAACGTCTGCTTTTCTTCTCTGGCGGTACATGTGTATGAAGATCTTGTTTTGATGTGGATGCTGGCACCGCCGACGCACTATTACCAGAATACAGAAATCGAACAGCACCAGATGCATTAGTAGAAGGATAGGCTTGTTGAGTGTACTGGGTCATTCCAGCATACGCATTCTGCGGCTGCAAACTGCTTTGTCTCTGGTACGGGTCGTAGTTCGATTGTTGATACGATGAATATATAGAGGGTTGAACGTTGTACTCGTAAGGCTGTTGCTGTTGTGTTTGGGTGTACAGTTCTGGTTGTTCTGTCTTCATTGTTGAACCCAAGGGGGGTAAGGTTGTCTTATTATCTGTCCCATATCCACTAGCGGTAGCCGCGCCTCTTTGTTCACTTTGGGTATTGATCTTGTCCGTGGAAGACATTTTTGTTTGATGACCCGCTTTCTTATCGTATATTCTACTTCTTGTGGTGATATCTGAGCTCTAGTTGCCCTTTAATTGATGAATGAATGCAACACACTACTTAAATCTTTTAGATAGATGTCTGTTTGAATATTTCACTCACTTCAAATTGTTATTGAAACTTTAACTTTGCAAAAAAACCGCCTTGTAAAATCTCAATAAAGTAACACGATTTTGGAAAATTAAATACCACACGTGTAAAGCACAATGAAAAGTTTGAAAAAACTGGTGGTATGGCACAAATAGGTTGCTTTGTGAGGTACTTTTTAGGTTTTGAATATTCGTGTCGAAAACTGTGTAGCTAACGGTGGGGCTCCTAATATGAATATTTAGCTGCTCAATGAATGGTTTATAATCTGAGCGTTTGTTGTGTCCAGATGAATTTATGGTGACAGAACGGATGTTGATCTCGATAGTGCCGTTGTTTACTTCAAGGTCACTCTTCAGCCCTTTTCAAGTAAAATTATCTAAAACAAATGAATGTAACAGGAACACGGTGACCGTACGTGGATGTTTATGCTTTTACCCTTGAATGTGAGATCTGATTCTCCTTTGGGGGGTAGAAGTTGCCAAAAGTAATAATTCTGGAGTAAGATAATAATTAAAGAAAATAATATTTGACATGTAATATATCCTTTATACGAAATCGGTTTTTTTTTTTATATATTTTTCAAAACAAATGGTTCAGTATTGTTTGACGGTGTTTTTGTGAGAGAGAGATACATACAGTACATCACAATAGAGTGCATTGTACACATAGTTTAAATTTAGTTAGTAAAAAAATCCTCTTGTGTTTTAAAAGTTGTTAAGTTTAATGGAAAAAAATCAGACAATAAACTGCATCTTCGAAATTTTAATTTTAAACTCTGGCGCGTGGAAATATAATAACTTCACAAAGTTTAGTGTAATGTTCATGCAGTGGAATTTTCTAATCAATTTTAGTAGTAGTCGCACGGAAGCACACACACAGGGTTTCAAACATTTAATAAATACAATAAGGTTAAACTTCATAAATGGGGGGGCAAAAAGGTGGGAAAGTTCAACTACAAACGACCTTTCTCTTTTGGGCTCTAAAAAATCTTCTTTTCGAAAGGAAAAGTTCGAGTATTTGTAGTATTTGATATCGGTCAAGTATAGCCGAGTATCTTGCGACCGTTTCACAATTATTATGTATTCAACCATAGACAAAGATTTCGATTTCTTTGTACTTTTATGGGGGATATCAGATGGAACAAGAATAGACGTTGTGCAGTAAAAGCTGTTAGATCCTTTTTTTTTTCATTGTACTTAATGAAGCCACCAACTTTAAGCAGTAGTTCCAACTTGGAACTAGCGCCCGATAGAGAAAATAATGGAACAAAGATCCAATTTCATTTAACAATAATATGGTGTTAGTGATCAACGACTAAATGGTGTTAGTAGAGTTGCATCACTAAAAATACTAGACTAAATCCTTTGTTAAACTAGGTGATTGAATACGTGTCTCCTATTGTTATGTATAATCTAAGTGAATTTTTAGTGTATTGATTCCAGAATTGCCCTCTCTACAATGCTTTGCTTTGTGGACTTTAAAACCATCGAGGTGTTCAGATTGGGCGTTGTCCGTAGAAAAAACAAAACAGAAAAACAAAAATCAAACCATTAGTTCACACGTATATGCATCTTGTCCTAAAATAAAAAGAGGACAAATGCTTTGAGGGGTTGATTTTCTTCACTGTATCATCAGTGAGCCCTGGAATGTATAAAGTTTGTCAAGAAAAGGAGAGTGTGAGCATTTCGTGATTGGCTCTAAAGACAATTCATTTTTGGCGCTAATCGTGAATATTGTCACTAAACCAAAAAGTGAACTTTAGGATAATCAGACCAAACTCGGCCAAGGTTAAATTCACATGTATAAGCTGGTGGAAAATGCACAAAGCTTTAAATTTGTAATATTAATAATCAATTGTTTGTACTAGAATAATATGCAAGTAAAAGCGCACAAAGCTCTATCTTTCCCCAACAAATCACGCATCAAAATAACATTAAATGCATGGGTTGCCCAACATTCTGAAGATTGTTTTTAATAAATGGTTACTAAATGGAAGCATCTAAACAGACAAGAAGAACTGCATAATTACAAAATCACCCTTTTCTTTAAACTCCGTCTATTATTATACATTCATCCTTCGGAGTGGCTTGTTGTATAAAGTAAGGCACGAAAATAAAGTGTGTATCAGAATTAAAAACTTACTAACACTTAGATGGCAGACAGCCGTGTCTTTTATGGAAAATTGACTATCTCCTCCGTTCAACGATTTGTTGATTCTTTCCTACGTTTCAGCTGTTCAACAGCGTTTTGTATTTGTTACTTCTTTGCAGTGTTTACACGACTGGTGATTCCAGTTGGTTTTGTGACATGTAGGTTACAAAAGGGAAATAATTCGAAAGAAGAAACACTATTGTGTGTGACTTGCTTCTATGTGATTTCTAAAAAACCTTAATCTTTACCAAGAAGAAGATTCTGGTAAAACTTCTTTCTAAAATCGCATCGCTTCTGCTTGTATGCTTTTCCCCGTGAAGAAGCTTCGATAAGTCCGTAACGGCACCGGCAAGTTATACAATAGCATCACAATGACGTAAATCTCTAAATCTATAATGAAATTCATCGCACAAATAGAACAAAAACAAAGACTTTTTGTCATTTTTTGATCGCTTTCGCATATTCCAATAACCGTGTTTATTCAATTTTATAAATCCGAGCGCTTAAATCCTATACACCGAAACTAAAACGTAACTAAAACAGAGATTTGGGCTATAGATAATTTGCTCAAATTATGGAGTTCCGCATGGGTCTCTAAAGGAGTGTTGGTGATTATTTTAAATCCTTTGACGTGTGGTCTAAAAATGGTACAGAAGACCCACAATTTGGTCTTCATAACCTTATTTCAAAGTACTTCAAGTGCAAACAATAAATGTCGTTCTTTTTTTCTTCTTTTCGTTGACATGTCACGTATTGTGCTGTGCATTGCGCATAGAGTGTGAAAGTAACGACAGTGAAATGGGGGTGGCACAATCAACTTCAAAGACTCCACACCGAATATGAGCAAGGCTACTTGACCCGAATGCTCAATTAACGCCAACCTCATTATATCGTTTGCATTAGTTACGCAAACCTTTATAGAAAGTTTACAACTGCCACCTGTATTGAAGCAGGTGAAACCAAAGTTTTGTGGCTAGAACCTAAAGTCAGTGTCACCGTGTAACAGTACGTGATAAATCAAAGCGGGGTAAAAGTCTATTGTGGTTGAATTCAAATGCAGACCATCCCGGCGATGCGCGTGAGAAGTGCACGATCGGATTGCTCCGTGTTGTTGAGTAGTGCATAGACGAGAGCCATCAATTTGCGTGAAAAATGGTGTGATACGCGACAACCGTCAACAAACTTTTGAAATGTGGCGTCATGGGTACAATGATGTAGTTCTCAAGTTGCAACAAAATCAGAATTGCGTTACAATTTAAAAGAATACTTAGATTGCGCCATTTCTTTTGTTTGCGCAAACTATACATATGGGTAAATTAAGGAAATGTTAGTTGACTTCTTTTTTGCGTCCTTTGTATTTCTTGCGTACTGAAAAGCTTTTCTAGTGTGATTGTCTTCAACTTTTACGACTACTATTTGAACTCGCCAGCCAATCTAGATTTTTAAGGCCCAAAGGGGTGTTTCCGAGAGTAGTCGATTAGATATGAACTTAACAGTGATTAGCATTTAGAGTGGAGGTGTTTGCAGATCGCATATGATTTTGCATAAATTGTGGTGCTCAACTTTTAGCTGGCTGATCTAAAAAATTGTCAGAGTAGTGTATGTTTGTGCTAATCTGCAAGAGCTAAAAACCCTATTTCCGGGCCGAAAACTAAAGAACACCAATGCCGCTTCCGAAAAAAAGGAGATGAGGGTATGTTTATCTTGGTGTTGTTTTTAAATGGCATGTTGCTGAAAAAAACTGTGATTAGGTTAAGTGTGGATCAAGACTATGGCATATAATGATGTGAATGAAAATGCTAGAGTTCTTTTCGAGCAGAAAATGGAGTTGTTTTGGAGAAATCATAAGGATTTTCAGCACTCCCCGTTATTTCGCCTCATTCGCTGCACGCAACTGTATTTGCTCACTGTTATTCAGCAAGTAACTGCCTCAGATTGGAACTTTGCCTCCTCCAGGGCGTTAACACTCACTGCAAGCAGTGATTTCGGGTATCTGATTTTCCGAAAATGCATCGGAGTTATTGTAACCAAGTAAAGAATTAAACGCCGACGTGGATTTTAAAATCAAAAATAAAGTAGCCTGATAATTCTGATTGAACGACACATTGAGATTACCATACACAAATGGAGTCACCTGTCTGTCTGTTGTAAAATTCTTAGGAAACTAATCAAGAGCTATAAGGGGTTTTCTTATTTGCAGCAGCTGTTTACAGCATTCCAAAATCCCCCTCAAACCAGCGTCATTAGAGTGCTCTCTTTTACGATGGTACTTAATTTTTAGATTGACTCACCCAATTTTTTGTTGACCCTTGAGATTATCACACTAAATGACAGCGTCTATTCGGTGATAGCACTAACCCATCAAATTTGATCACGTGGCACAGTTTCACCACAGCGAGTCACTTCATGATAAAAAAAAAAGGAAAGGAAAGATCTAACTATTACTTAGTTATTTTTAATAGGGACAATACTGAATTTATACATAAAGAAGCTGATGCGACAATTGTAAGTACACGCGTAATTATCTCAGGGTATATGAGCAGTCCGTGGGTATCCCAAAGTTGCAAATACCTCAAGCCAAACGTTATGGTCTCTGTTGCCTTGAGCAATCCTGATGTATTTATAATCAGTGTATACTAAAAACAACACTAGCCCACACTCCTATGTTGGATTATGTGGATCGTAAATGGGCACTTTTCTGTACATGTGGGCTTTGTGTTCGTTGTGTGATGTCATTGCACTCGCAGATGAAAAATAAAATAAACCACTTTGTGGTCTCTTCCAATTTGGTGTTTGAAACTCTATTGTGTTTTTTTTTCCTATTTTGTTACCTGGAAATAAGTAGCTTTGCAGACTGTTTTGTAACCACTATCCAACAGCTGTAGTTTACATTTCGTAATAGTCGTCCAAGCCTCAAAGCCAATTGGATCGATTTAGGCACAGCATTGGTTGCTGTGTGAATTCACTCCAGAAAGACTTCTTTTCTAAATCTAGGGTCCATATAATTGCAGTCTTCTCCCGGAAAGCACGGTTTGAAAATAATATATTGCCTCATTCTTGTTGAACAATGTGCTTCGCTCTAAAGAAGTGCAAACTTGGACCTGGTCTACTCAATGGTGAAGTTTTGATGTAGATACTGTTTTTGGTAAAAAGTTGACGGGAAGGGTGATTGCCGCTTGGAGTTTCAGTATGCTCTTATATACAAGAATTCTGGACCTCATGAAGATAACTTGAATCACCACCCTGAAAATACAGTATTGACTAAAACTGTCCTAAAATTTAGCTGTGAAGTTTAGCATCGAAACTTTGGTTGTACCGCTAGAGCAGTAGACTAAATTTTTTTCCCTTGAACGCTGCACTTAAACTCGTATAACTATACCTTTACATTAGATCAAACTTTAAAGTCATCTCACAGCTTTGTGCCTTTCAGTCTCAACAGGTTTTGTTCAATTCAAAATGCATCACTTGAATATTTAAGCGACAATTTGACTCACAAAAAGTCGCGCTGCAGATTCAAAAGTAAATCAGAGTTGGCCCTATCAGATATAATAAAGATACAAAAGATAGAATATATAGGAGCACCAGAGAATATATTGAGTTGACGCATCAAAAATTTTGTGTAACAGCCAAACAAGAATCACGCCCAAACTTGAACACGTTCATAAAAATCGACCCTTTTGTTTTCTTTATTAAAGATATTCTTGCTGCAATAGTATCGAACTTGGTCAACCATGCTGGGATTGCCGCATGTAACAAAAGAAATAGACCCATCTGATTCACGTAATTCTTGAGGAATAATCGCGCCGATATCTGGCCTGCCTTCTTTGAACTCAATATGGCCAAGTTCAGTCTTAATGTCATTGACAATCTCTTGCATAGTTGAGTCGTTATCTGAGGTTAGAGAGTATTGTAAAACCTGGTCATTTAATCCGAGCTTGTCGGACACCAGTGATTCATCAAGATTGAGCTCTTCCTTGTTAAATTCCTTGATCCTGGGACGCGTCACACTCTTGAACTCGTCAATGTTTGCTGGATTTGTAGGCTGCGAAACATAGACTATGGTTTCAATCCCGGTGTTCCTCAATTGAAGCAACTCCTCGTAGAACCAAATCAATGATTTCCACTCTCTGATCACCCAAATCAATTTCAATTTGTTGCTTTTGCTCTTGGTTCTTGAAGCAATATCAACCGCTTCCGAATACATTCCAGGAATTCCGTTACCTCCAGCAATGAAGACAGCTGTATCAGCATATCTAGCAGGTGTTGGCTCACCGTATGGACCTTCGCAACTCACTCTTATTTTGCAAGTTCTTCCTGGTGCCTTTGCCAATGATTGATACAAACTGTGTGTTACTCCTCCTTTGACTTTACAGTATAACACAATACTGTCTTTGTTGTCTACTGATTCGGTGAAGGTGAACGGATGTGATTGCCAAAAGTAAGTTGGCTTTATGAAATGAATAAATGCATGTCGACCAGGGATAGAGTGCCAGTAGCTTGGCTTGGGAACAACTACTTTCAATGTCTCATCAGCCAACAAAGTGACATCAGCATGGGGGAAACCAAATACAATCAAACGCCCAATTCTCACCACCCTATCGAAACACCAAACAGCAATGGTTGGATAAACCAAGCATAGAAAGCCAAACTCTTCAACGTGCACCCAAGTACCAGCAACATAAAGTGCGGCCAATATGATGTGTAAGAACAAGAAGATTTCATACCATCTTCTTCTCAAGTAAAGCATACCTTGGACCAACATAATTGCAGCAGCAACGGTTGCAACAACCCCCCAAATAAAGTAAGGCATTACAGATTCTGCGGCATACCTTGCTGCCAAAACATAAGTGAATGTCACTGCGTGTACAACAACCAAGGCAAACATAACTCTTGCTGTATGTCGATGGTACGCCATAAAAGTTGAGTAGTTCCAACCGACCAACCATTGTAGGAAATTGTTTCTTCCCGCATAAAGGAATACCAATGGCATCATCATGGTGGCAATGATTCCTGTCCTATCAGCTACGTATCTCATTTCAGCATTGTACTTCGAGAGATAAACAGGATCGTTTTCCAAGGCTTTTGAATTCATAGCGTGCAACCAAATAACGGCGCAATAAAACAAAAATATAACCAATGATTCCAATCTTGAAGGGATCAAGTAGCTAAAGTACTTTGAAAAAAAGGTTTGCTCTTGCAGTTTTTTAACCCTGAAAGTAGCTGGAATTGAAACATTGGCTCTCCAAAAATTAGTAATGGGACCAGTCATCTTCTTGGTGAAGCTTGGGAACAACATCTTTGTCCAATGCGACATAGCTCCCAATAGTAAAATCAACAACCAATAACCCAACAACCCGGCACCATAAAGGATCGAATTGTCATAGTTGTTGTAAAATCTATTGAAGGATTCTTGAAAGAGTTCAGTATTAGTTTTATTCATAATAATTGGAATCTGTACAGGCATCGATCTGTTATAGTTTGGAATGTCTCGAGGTGATTTAGCATACTTGTCAAAATATTCGATGGCTGTTTCGTACCAATCTGGTGAAACTTTAGCATGAGAGCGTTCACAGTACTCCAACATGGTTTCTGCTGCTGCATTGACAGACTTGTTGACACTTCTCAAGCATCCGGCAATTGTAGCTAAAGCGTTTTCATTCACGCATTGACAAGTAAGGTTACGTGGAGGGCATATTGTGACTTCTGACAGCATTTGCCTTGAACAACCATAAAAGTATTTCTTCGCTCCCAATGGCTTGTAAGATGGATATTTTTCACTTGCTTGTACCCATGAAGTTAACCCGAGCAATAAGCATGTAAATTGTAACAAAATTTTCATAATAGGTGAGGTTTAATGATTGGAAAATTGTGCTGTGATTGCGAATGTAGGAGAGCTCAATCCATTTATATATTGCTCATGGAAGTATAAACACAATATTAGGGTTTCACTTTCAATACTGACAGCGCTAAAGACTGAAATTACGTTCTCCCACTCATTCAATTACATGAAATTTTAAATGTGGCCTGATGTTAACCACAGCCCTCCATGGTTTGCAACCCTATCAATTTCACCCGCCTTAGTCGCAAATCGTATAATGGATGCCTGGTCTCCCCGGTCTAGTATTTAAGTTTGAATTTGCATGAACAATTTAACTGATCCAATCATATAAGGCAGATGTAAAATCGGGTAAATTGCCATCAATCACGGTGTATTGATCATCATAGTCATTAATGGGGCCATAACTCAATTTTTATCTAAAGGATCAACTATTGATTTGGTTTATTAATTATTTAGATTTTTCTGAAACTTTGTCTCTCCTAAACAGAGCAGAGATAACACAAAATTGACCCTCATGGGAGTTTCCATAGGTACGTCAAAAATACAACTACTACTGCATGGAAAATTGTTTCCCAACTACATAAAGTGAGCGAATGTTGGCCGATACTTAAACCTGTAGCTCTAGTATAATACGTGGAGGTGGAAAAGTGAGTGTGTGAAATATATGCTGAAATAACAAACCAATGTATGCTGACAAAATTAAGGTTCAAGAGCTCATTAAGCTTTTCAATTTCCGTAATACCGACGCCTGAAGAGGATAAGAGGATACGAAGTATAAATCCCAAAGTTGTTGCCGCTGGTGGAAGTGTATAACCATGAATGCTATCTTTCATTGACACAATTGTACCAACTTTCTACACTATATTGGTCCTTTCAAATTAATTAAAAAGTTTAAATAAATCGCTAGACTCTAAATAAAGCCACGGGCGTTCTCTTTGGTTTCTTTTAGGCCCATACTTGAATCTGCTCATAGAAGTAGACCCTTTTCCTTTCCTTGTTTGATACATTCTTAGCGCAGTAGTAACGTACTTGATCAACCATGGCAGGATGTCCGCAAGTAACAAAAGCAATAGATCCGTTTGATTCGTGAATCTCTTGTGGAATGAGCTCCTCAATGCTTGGTCTGCCTTCAATAAATGTAATGTGGGAAAGTTCACTCTTGATAATATCAATGATTCTATGGTAAGAACCATCATCTTCACGAACTGGCTCGTCAATCCTAACCATCTCATCAGTTGAGCTTTGTTTCTCTGAGGCCGACGACTCCTCAACCTTGACATCTTCCTTACTGGAGTCAGCTTTAAGATCATCCAGTCCATCCATTGACAACCTCTTCAATCCTGCAAATCTATTGTTGAATTCATCAATAAAAGTGTAGCTTTTTGGTTGTGAGATGTAAACAGTTGTTTCAATTTTGGTATTCTTCAATTGAAGTAACTCCTCGTAGAACCAATATAACGACCTCCACTCTCTTACAACCCAGGTCAACTTCAACTTGTTATCACTGTTTTGTGTTCTTTCCGCAATGTCAACAACTTCAGAATACAATCCAGGAATTCCGTTACCTCCAGCAATGAAGACAGCTGTATCAGCATATCTAGCAGGTGTTGGCTCACCGTATGGACCTTCGCAACTCACTCTTATTTTGCAAGTTCTTCCTGGTGCCTTTGCCAATGATTGATACAAACTGTGTGTTACTCCTCCTTTGACTTTACAGTATAACACAATGCTGTCTTTGTTGTCTACTGATTCGGTGAAGGTGAACGGATGTGATTGCCAAAAGTAAGTTGGCTTTATGAAATGAATAAATGCATGTCGACCAGGGATAGAGTGCCAGTAGCTTAGCTTGGGAACAACTACTTTCAATGTCTCATCAGCCAACAAAGTGACATCAGCATGGGGAAAACCAAATACAATCAAACGCCCAATTCTCACCACCCTATCGAAACACCAAACAGCAATGGCTGGATAAACCAACCAGATGAAACCAAAATCTCTGACATGTACCCAAACACCTACAACCCAAATTGCTGCAAGCACAATGTGTAAGAACAAGAAGATTTCATACCATCTTCTTCTGAGATAGAAAAGCCCCTGAATCATGATGAGACCACCAGCGGTTGTAGCAATGATACCCCAAAAGAAATAAGTTTCTGCAGCATCTTCAGCGTAGTAATCTTTAACAAGAATAGTGTACCCAACTGAGTGAATCACAGCCAAGGCAAACATCACCCTTGCAGTATGTCTGTGATAGGCCATAAAGGTACTGTAATCCCATTGCACCAACCATTGCAAAAAGTTGTTTCTTCCAGCATACAAAAATACCAATGGCATCATCAATGTTGCAGTGATACCCGTTCTATCTGAAACATATCTCAATTCCGCATCATACTTTCCACCAAACACGGGATCTCCAGGGAGAGCTTTACTATTCATTGCATGGAGCCATATAGTAACACAGTAAAACAAAAAGATGACTAACGATTCAAATCTAGAAGGGATCAAAAAGCCAAAGTACCTCAAAAAGTTTTGTTCTTGCAGCTTCTTCATTCTGAATGTAGCTGGCATGGAAACGTACTCTCTCCACCAGTTCACTACAGGATTTGTCATCCTTTTGGTAAAGTTGGGGAACAATATCTTTGTCCAGTTGAAAATAGCACCCAAGATCAACACCAATAACCAATAGCCCAACATACCGGCACCATAATAGATTGAGTCATCATAGTTGTCATAGAATCTTTTGAATGATTCTTGGTATATACCAGTCATGGACTTGTTCAATTTGAAAGGAACATCAATTGGGACACTCATATTAAAGTTTGGAATCTCACCAGCAGACTTTGCCTTTTCATCATACAACTTTATCGATGTATCGTACCAGTTGTCAGCCACGGTGATATTATAGTAGACACAGTTTTCGTGCATGAAATTTTTGGTAAAGTCCAACTCCTCGTTAACATCTCTTAAACATCCAGCAATGGTGGCCATGTAGTTCTTGTTTTCACATTGACAAGATCTTTCCATTGGTGGACAAAAGGAAACTTCCGATGTAATTTGATTGGTACAAGCATAGAATATTCTTTTCTTGCCTAGTTTCTTGTATGGTTCCAAGCTGGCACTAGCTATGGAAAAGAAGCCAAGCAAAATGCATGCAAAGTATCCTAGATTCTGCATGAGAAAAGTTTAATGATTGTTGGTGATGGAATTGACAAACTTAATTGTTAGTGACAGCTGAACTAAGGGGGCATTCAACTCATTTTTATACACATATTCGTTTCTGATACCCAATCCAAATTCTTTCAATTACAAAGTGATTTATTGGGGCTTTCTATGTCGTAAGTTGTTGCTCCTACGGTGTTGTTATTGTACTTGGTATATACATACATGCACGATGCTTTTTGCTATTGTCATTGGCTACAACTTATTGTTTGCTTAACCGCCTTTGACGACAGTCAGAACAATAAAGTTGCAAATACTGCAGATCATTTACAGTGTCAACATTACACAATACCTTCACTGATCCAATCAGATAACTTTTTCATAAAAACCAAAATCATTGCTGTATCCAATCAGCGAATGGCAGAACTAATTGATGCTCCATAATTTTTATCTAAAGGATCATTGTGTTGATATTCGTTCCTTACATTTTGCATTGTTTGCAACTAACAATTCAAATTCAAACGAACACAAAGCTTTCAAACAATAAATTGGAAATTCTTTTTTAACCTAAAACAAGCTTAACATCTGATTGTTTTGGAGGAAAGAACAATGTCTATTCTTCTTCACAAGCGAAATCTCACCCATTTTACGATGAGAAGATATATCGAGCAACTCAGTACTTCCCTAGAAAAGTTCAACATTTGACAGGTACCTTGGCATGCCTAGCGTCTTTGCAAAATAGACAACCCTTCAAGAAAATTTTTATTTTCAACGTCAATTATTAGTTCATTAAACTAATTTGTCACAAAGACATATGGTAATGAAAATTTGTACATTAGCTCAAATATTTTATTGACTGTATGTTGTGGTTTTGGAAAGAAAACTTTTGCATTGATTTTCTTGGCGTACACAACTTTTTACTTAAATTGGGTAGAAATTAAGAGCCATAGCTGAAATTTGATGCCGCGGATATAATGTATATACTTGCAAACGTTCCAATAAACTCAGTAGGACCGAGCTTACATATAGCGGATAAAGCTCAAGAAGGGTATAGGTGGTGGGAATAGTAAGAAAAAGCACCTCAGCTGTAAGTTGGCAGTGATGACTAGGTAAATGTTTTTGAAGTTTTGTGTGGTTTTAACACCGCCTGCGTTCGTTATGTACGCCTCAATTAAAAGAGTTTGTTTTGGGGGGGAGGGGGTACAGAATTAGTGGAGGCACTAAATGTTAAATCACATTCTAGAAGCAACTTGAACTATTATAGACTTTGCATATGTGTCCGATTTACGGAGAGCGAATCATTTTAATTGACATTTCAAGGTACAGCCGTTAGCTAACTATGGGTTTGGGCCTGGTATCAACCTGCCAAGTCCCTACACCTTCAGAGAAGACCCCTTACATCGTATATAGATCTTATTACAGAAATATGGATATGCAGCGCTAGAGTACAATGGGAAATAACAATGTAATACACCCCGAAAGGCTGGGAAGTACTTATTGACCCGAGACCTAGAAAATTGATAAAACAAAGAGGTTTATTGTTTAATGATATTTTTGTAAGTCCTACAAAACCATTGGTGGATTGTAAATTCGATTTTGTGATTGCTTAGTCCTACACGTTATGCAACTAATGGAATAAATTCTTGGCATTGATTTTCAATACCTCTTCTTAACGAAATTAACATACGAATTGGAACACCATTGATTGGATGGAAAAAGCAGTATCTGGTTCAAAAAAAAAGGAGCTAGCTTAGTTGTGCTTGTGCAAATATGTGAGTCATTCAGGTTGAAGATGCTATTACAGATACACGAACTCTCAGTGGCATGATTGTCTTCTAGGTGAAGGTTTTATGGGTTGTGAAAATGATTGCATCCCAGCCCAATCATCTTATATTGACCCAATGTCAGTGCCTCGAAGCAGATACTAGCATCAAAAGGCTGATCTAATCAACGACAGCCCCACCTCTTTATCCAACCTTTTCAAAAACAAAGCCAATATAAAACCCAACTGCTTCTTTTTCTTCACCTTCTGCTCCATACTTTCCGTCATTACGTTTCAACCCATCAATCAAGTTCTTATTCAATTTCGCAAAATAGTTGGGTATTTCCTGGTTGAAGATGTCAATAAAATTCTTTTTATACTTTAACATTAGATTATGTTCTTCACACATTGCTCGAAGAATTTCAAATGGAACAACATATTCTGGTACGTCATCCACTGCATCTTTCAACCAATAACTATATCTATTTCCAAAAGGGGGTCTAAACACACCATCTTCCGGTGGTTCTTTATCAAAAGTAACGGAGTATAACCCATTTCCAAACTTGACTTTGCCTGTTTTGGCATCTTTAAAGTATTGCTTGTCAACAATTTTGGACTTGATAAAATCGGATGAGGGAATAGTACCTATGAAACGACCGCCTACTCTCAATGACTTGGAGACATTGGTTAACAAGGTGTTAACTTTATCTTCTGATTCGAATGCATAGTGTAATGCAAATTGAGTAGATACAGTATCAACAGGAAATGTTTTCTCAATAATCCCTGGAAAGTTGGGCTCTAAAATATCAGGAACATATTGAGTAAAACAATCACCAGTGGCAAAACATGCTTGAAAATTGTACCTATTCTCAACTCGAGTCCCATTACGTGGCCTGAATCTTGCTTTTTGCTTTGAGTATCTATCAAAAGCTTCACGTACTGATAAATCGGAGATGTCGATGCCGATATATTGGTCAATTTTGATAAACTCGCATTTGTTCAAATCCCCACCCTTTCCACAACACAAATCTAATACTGAAAACAATGGTGATGAGCCAGTGTCATGTTTGGCCCAATTGCCGATCAAAATGTACTTGATTGTATTGTTGAAATTCCTCAATTTGTAAATTGGAGAGCTGGTCCTTGGACCTTGACGTTTAGACTGCTGAGTTCTTTGATTGTAATGTTGTCTGACAATACTGTTGATATCACGATTCTCCTTGTCCTTGATTCGACTGTGAAATGTATGATAACTGTCATTGCTTCGTGCACGAGTCGATGATGGATTCGCCACGTCTAGATGTAAATATGGTTGAACAGACTCATCGTCATCTTCTTGTTCTTCTTCTTTCTCTTCATCATCTGGCGTCTCATCTCGTCGTGGAGGGACCTGTCTCTCAACAGTTTCTCTTGCTCGTTTCAACCGGTTTAATCGTGAGTCTTGCTCTTCATGTTTTTGTTTGTATGTTGTAACAGAATTTGATGACTCAGTCAGTCTCCTGACGTATGACGTAGATACTACATCTGACCTTTGTCCATACATTTCATACTTTAAGTTCTTTTTCTCATCATTTTTGAGCCATGCTGGTTTTTGTTTGATATCCCCGTATGCTGATGCTGGTTTGGCTGCAGGAGTATACTCTCTTCGGGAAAATCCCTCAAGATTGGCCCCATTATCCACCCGACGTCTTTTCATCTCTTGCTCTTTGGCAACATGGGGTGGTTTTGGCGGTAGTGATGAGTTTGCTGACATTGCAGAAGTGTCGAAAACGTACAATAGGTAAGCAATTGTAGTCATTTTTCTGACCACTTTTGTTGATACTCTCATAGCTACCAAGTGCATTTCAATAATGAGAAGTCATCACAGCTTATATTATTTTTAAAGCATGTCTATTCTAAACGTTTATACTATAACTTACCATTGACCTTTCTATCAAAGAGCTCTGCGATCGGCTGAACTATTTTCTTATCATTTGGGAAAAAGTGGCCACCATCATGAGCAAAATTGTGTACTTGTTTAGCATTGTATAAGGTACTGACATATTCGGACCTTATTGGAGGAACAATGCTATCATTGAGTCCATAAAGAAGAATGACTTCTGTAGGTAAATGCTTTCCCATACTCTCTCCCTTTGCGTCACATAAATATTTGGCCGCTTTCTCTGAAATTTTTACTTCGTTAGCATATTGATCGAGATCAGTAATTTCCAAAATCCGCTGCTTATTTTCGGCACTGTGATCGTCATTCCTGGGCACAGTCAAACAAAATCCCGACACAATTAAGCTTATTTTTAGTGGCGGGTGTGTAGGTAGAAACTTTTGTAAGCAATTGGTGATCATAGCTGCCATTGCTGCGCCTTGCGAGAACCCAATAATCCCGTCGTATGGTCCATTTTTATCAATATGGTCGATTATAAACTTTATTGCATCGTCTAATCCGACGTAATTGTTTGCACTTTGTGCGTCAAACCATCTAGCATTACTTCCATTTTCAACAATTTGAGTCCAAACCTTGTCACTCTCTTCATCCGTTGGGCCTAGTGGGAAACTTAATTCGTGTCTTGACTTAATTTCATGACAAGGTGTAAGGTAATCAACTTGGATGTTTAGCTTTTTTGAAAGGATCTTGCGCAATCCAGATGATTTCCTTGCAAGGGTGCTCCCGCTTTGCAAGTACCCAGGGAGACAAAGAACCTTTGAGATGCTTGACATGAGTGTGTAAAAGAAGGAGTGTAGATTGATACAGCTCAACACAACTTTAGTCTTTTCTTTTTTTCGACCCGTTTATTTGCATCAATTCTCAGAGAAAAAGTGGGGCACCCTCCATTTTCAACAAAGGAGCTATACTAATCTTTGATGTAACACTGGCCGAACCTTTTCGACTGTTCATTTACTATTGCATGCATGCCTTGTGGTTGTAACTCACTCCCGTTTTCGTTGGAGGAGAGCTAGCAGAGCCTCATAGATATATATGCCATTACGGAATCTTTTTGTGCGTTTCTTTCTGGCAAAAATGCATCTCTCTCTTCACTCACTTCCACCGTCACCAAATACTTACAATGGCAGATTTAGACGCATTTTTCAAAGATATAAGAGAGGAAATAGCCAAGGAGTATGTACTCGCAGTCGAAGACGTTATGCATGTACTAACCCCCTTGACAATAGCGTCAACAAGAAAACTTTGTTGCAAGAGTTGGAGAATCAATTTGACTTATCACTCATCCCATATCAAACCACAATCAATTCTTGGACATCTATTAGTCCAAATCAATTGAACGGAGTATTCCAAACCACAAATAGTTTTGAGGAGTCGATTCGTGGAAACGTTGAGAAATTCACGCTTTCATTGTCACAATTGGATTGTAAATTGAGTCAAAAGGAAAGATTGTCAAACAAATTCATCGAGGATTCCATCTATGTAATTTTGGTCAATCGGTACTTTTGGATACTTGCAACCGCGTTTGGCCATGACACTATAAAAGTGAAGTTGATAACCACCGAGAACGAGTCGGGTATAATTGCTACACCACAAGAAATCTTCCAATCTCTAGGCATCAAGGATGTAAATTACCAATTGTATCTACTTGCCCTATTGAAAATGATTGACGTTGTCGTTGAATACACAACGACTACAGTGATCAATCAATCCATTGGCTCAACTACGTCCCAATCGTCAAACTATTCAATTGCGCTCATAAATCTGAAAATTGTAGCTAAGATACAAAACGGGTTTCTGTTGTTGGATTTGAAAAACGACATCTTAAGAAAGAGGTATGATAGTTTGAAATATAACTCTCAAAGGTTGAACAAGATAGTGTATGATTTATCGCTTCGTAATTTGGTGACAACAGAAGCCGAGGTAGAATAAATACACTCAAAATATACGACCGAATCTATTTGCTTCTCTTTGCGGGCCTCTCATCAACTTGGGAATTGTCATCTGAGGAATCAATGATAATCATTTCATTATTCGAGGGATGAAAGTGGTCTTCGTGTGGTCTTTTACCTCTCTCTTCAGCCTCGGATGTGGATTGAAGAGGTGCACCGTTCCCTTGTTCCTCCTTATCATTATCATATATTGGTGGAACTTTTGAACCATCCGGGTTAAACAATCCCATGTTGATCAAATATCGCTTGGCATTATCATCACCCGATCCCGAACTTGATTGATTCTCTTGCGTCGCCTCTATCACTGATACAGTAGATTCCTCCTTCAACTTACTAGGTGTAGTAGGAGTATGCTCACCATTGGTTGCTGCCGTACCTGGTCTGCTTCTTTGTGGAGTTCCTTCAGGTTCCTCCGAGGTGTCCAATTCAATAACCTCATTCTTGATCTTTTCATCGCACTGGGCCATTAGTTCATTCAAGGCGATATTGTACGCTTGATCTGAAGTCTCCAATTTGGCATCAATATCCTTTTTGCATAACCTCAACAAATCATTCGTTAGTGGAAAAGTATCCTTTTTAGCAATCTTCTTTTTCAAGCCAGGTGAATTAAACAGGGAATAAAAATTGGTGTCCCTATAGTAATGTGTATACACCTTGAAAAAGATTGTCACTAATGTGTCGTCAATCATCGACGTTGGCCCATAACCATTATTTGACTTTTTCATATCGTTAGCACCCTGTAAAAAACACAAGTATGGCATTATTTCTGGTGGAACACCCTTCTGCTCCAAGGACTCAAACATTGACTTTACATTTGATGAAAAAGTCAGATACGGCAAATTGTTGATGAAATGATCAGTGTATCTAAATGAGTCTCCAACGCCAAGAGCGGTTCTCATCATCTTGCAAATCGTGGAACAAAGAAACTCCCAAGCATTGTATAAGTTGACCATTATAGAGCTAGACCGACGAATTTTTGGAATCATTGTGATCAAGCTATTAATGTCTTTCTTTGCCTTTAGTAATTCAATGTAGAATCGTATGTACTGGTAGGTGTACAAAAAGTGTTTCCCCGGACGTTCCGCTTCTGGTTTCCAAATCAGAACCAACTGTTTGTTGACAGATTTTAATGAGATGAAGCTGGACATTATTGCAGCGGGTTCCTCGATGTCCTCGTATTCATCATAAAGAATTCTTGCAAGTTTATACTTGGCTCGATGTTGCCAGTTCTTTTTGTCTGCAGCATCGAGCTGTTTTAAAGATGAAACTATCACGTCGTAGAACTGCCTTTTTGAAAGTCCCTCCGTAGTTTTGACTTGTATTAATGGAATCTGGTGTAAATGATCGAGTCCTTCTTTGGGTGAAATTGCATCCAGTTTGACGTATTTCAAGCAGAGTGACACCAAAGAATAGTAAGGCTCGATGATGAACTCAGATTGCTTCGCCTTGGACACCATCGCACATGCATTTGCCATGACATCCAAAACGTGGTTAGGTGGGTCATTCAACTTGCGTTCTGTCTTTGACAAGTAGTAAAAATCGGTCCAGTCGGCATCCTCGGTTTTGATAGCTAAATGCAATGACTGTTTAATCAACTTCAAACAAAAACTCTTTGGCAAAGTTGTCTTCTCCGACACGCTCGAGAAAGTTGCTCCCGCAGGTTGTTTAATAAACCTTGGATGTGACTGTACCTTAAATGCGAGCATATTCATAGGGCCGGATACAGCTCCAAAGAGCTCTTTGGCAAACAGCGACATCAAGCTTCCTACAACTGGCTTGATACGCTCCTTAGCCAGCTCATCAAGAGTGCAGTTTATGGCCATTAAATAGCAAATTAGCGACTTTCTTTGCAAATTAGCAGTCCCAATCTTTCTGTCCATCACGGTCAACTTATCTGAAGTCCATATCAAGTCATCCTCCACCAAGAATCCATATGCCTGACCCATCAAAAACCAGCTCTCCATTCGGTTCCCACCGCAGATTAGGTCATTTCTAAACAACATAATTGCGTTCTCGATTTCGACTGCCCTCCCTTGCATATTTTTCTTCCGCAACTTGTACGATGAAAAAATCAATAATCCCTGAAGATAATACAACCCACTCGGCCCAAATTCAGATTTAGTCAGATCAAATTCTAGTTTCATGAGTCCATGAAACGTATCACGCACGAATTTTGGTGTTATGCGCGTCGTGTCCAAAAAATATTCAATCATTGCTTTATTTCGACTCAAAATTACGTCGGAGTCAAAATCAGGATCACCTATGGCCTCGTACATCTCCTCGATCATCACCTTCATATCATGCTTGGGCACATTCTTGATCGTATTTGTGTGAAAGCATAAAGGCAACACAAACTTGGACAAATCTTTACAATCGCCTTCAGCCAATTCTTCTTTAACCTGGGTGCCATGATCAAAGGGAACAAAGCCATCGATACCAATATTGTAATGGTACCTGCACTTTATTAATTGGCTCATGTCCTTATCGGTTCCATTCAAAATACTAAGGTATTCTTGCGCAGCTCTAAGAAAAACACCATTAGCAGCATCACAAATTCCGCTAGCGCCAAGTTGTGCATGAAATAATTTTATGGCTGCGTACAATGCAAATTTTGAGTAATGGGATCTCAAAATCGCCAAAATAACGACAGAAGTTTTCAAAAGCATGTCCTTGAATGTATCATACGATTGGGGCGAGTTCTCTTTTATTGATGTTCGTAACGAGGAGATGCTGCACGCTTCTTCGTGTACCTCAAAAAGCAAAGAAATCTCAAGTATTGACATGATTGGTTTCATATTTAAAGGTTCACGTAGCTCCCAGTTCAGTGCCTCCAAAAAGTGGACAATATAATTTAAATTATTGTTGTAGAATCCGATAACCTTGCATAGTATTGTAAATCTGGCGTTATTAGGAAGTTTTATGTATTCTTCGCCAGCAAGATAATCGTTAAATTCCTCGATACATTTGACAAAGCCGACAGTTAGCTTAGAAGTCACACCCAGCAGCTTGTAAAACTGGAGCAATATGCTCCACAAACTTAGTTTCATGTCTATATTTCCTGTGTTTAAGAAGTTTCTAATTGACACTATAGCCGCATTCTTGCCCTCGTCCAGGTCAAGTAGAATGTGTTCCAATAAATAAATCGCTTCGGAATTACCCCTAGTTTGGTTTGAAAACAATATTTTCCAAAAGACAGCGAGCACTGAAATGACTGTCAATTGTGATTTCACATTGATAAGATTCAAGTCTGGGAAATTTTTATAGTTTGGATACTGAACATTCACATTCAATCCAGATGTAGTTAAAAAGCTGAGAAGCTCCTCGAGCGATGCCTGGATAGACTTGTTAGTGTCCCAACTCACCGTTTGTGATTTTTGTTTCAAAAGTTTACACCACATGAATCTTGCCGTGATGGAAGCCCAATCTTTATCTGCCTGCTTATCCGGTGATAAATTTGTACTAATAATCCGTATCCACTTGTTAATTTTATCATTGAACTTGATCAACTCCAAACACATACCATTAGTCACTGCTTTGTTGAACTTTTTCGAGTTGATCGACCGCCTGATATGAGATTCCAAGCTAATTGATTGATCAACCAATAGCTCAAATACCCCAACGGCTGCCTTTGCATCTTCAAGCAGTTCACCAATGTTCTGGACCAAGAAACCCTCGAATTGCAAAACCCATTCACTAAATTTCGAAAGCATCGATAAATTCCATTTGTATTCAAGAATAAACGGGCTCTCACCAGCACTAAGCAATTGCTTGATAACCCTGGTCTTTAATGTTGTGTAATCTGGATTTCGCAAAGTAAGTTCCAGTATGACATTGCTTTCCAATGCTGGTAGAGCACGAATGCTCTCCACCGATGAGCTCCTTTGTATATTGTTGCTAAAATTGTTCAAAATTTCAAGCAATTTAGTGTTACCATCCGCCGACTTGGATTTACCTGAATTGAATGAGTTGAATGCTGCAGTATAGTTTGGAGTCCAGTCATTGATGATGGTCACAAAATCATTCAAATATTGCAGCGCACTTGCTTTTTTCAAGTAAAGAAGAACAATGTCAGCAGTATTTAGCGACGGTTCTATTTCCTTTAACTTGGTGGTGAAATAGTCGATACCAGTAAAATGCTCTTTCTCCACAACAATTTCTGGTTTGTCGGGGTTTGAATCGATTTTTGCCAAACGCTTTGATGCACGATGGTTCTGTTGTCTAGTCTCTTGGGATTCGTCCTTTTGTGAACCATCTTTTTTCTCCTCTACTTCACAATTGTTGCTTATGTCGATTTGTTTACTTTCACGCATGTCACATTTCTCATCCTCAACCACCGCTGGTTGAGACAGCTCAACGTTTTCATCAGGCTTTTGGTCAATGATTTCGATTGATATAGTTTCGACAGGCTCTTCGGTAAGAAGGTAAGGTTCGGTGAATCGAAGTTTCGGTCGGTGAATGTCTTCAATTTTTGTTTCATCTTGAAGGCCCTTAACGGAACTATCGATGGCATCAATCAAATCCTCCCATGAAGTGGGCAGACCTTTCAGGGTCAATTCAATACGCATTTTGCTTTTTTTCAGCTGTCGCTCCTGCTGAGTTTGGATATCTTGTTTCATTGGTTCTAGAAAACCAAAGCGAGCATTGAGAAAATCTGATTGCAATTCGCCGGATAGTCCTACTGAAAGCTTGCTTTTGAGTGCCAGTAAACGTTCCTCAGCATCCGAATCGATGGGTAAAAGGCCAGAAAGATCATCACTCTCAGACTTGCTTTCGACAACATATTCCATTGTCGATTTAGCTAGTTTAAACTCCTTCAAGTATATCCATAAATCATATAATACTTCCAACAACTTTTCATCCGCCTCATTGTAAAATAGGGCCACAGAAAAATCGTCTAGCATCGAGTAAAACATCTTTTTAAACCTCTCTTGTCGATCTTCAGTTTCATCTTTCAAATGGTCAATAAATGAATCGTGTCTCAAAATATCCATGAATAAAAACCCCCTATTTCTGAAGATTAAGTATCTCAAAGACTTCAAGTTTGGAGACAAGGTAGATAATGCATCAGACGCACCATTGGCGATACCATTTTGAACACCTTTAATGTAGTCTACTTCATCGTAATAGTGATTGGAGATGATGTCTATCTGGAACAATTGGTCATATACTTTGTACGCTTCCAAGTAATCTCGTTGTTTCTGTAATTTCAAAGCTTGCTGGAAAAGTTTGAATGCTTGTTCAAATTGTAGTTCTCGTGTGTGTTCTTCCTCTAAATCCTTTTTTGAAACAGTATCTTCGAGGATATTCAACGGCTTGAAAGCTGACTGTGGGCTGTTAGTAGGTGGGTGAGCTCAAGACGAAGTAATAGGTAATACGAACCATCAGAGAGATAGAGGAGGATTTGTTAATGGTGGGATTGTTTTTAAATGAAAGCTGTTTGTTTTTGTTTATTCAGTAAACTTGCGCGACAAAGAAAACAGAATCCAGTTCATATGCGTACGTATTATAGAACTATATTAAAGTTTGGAATCTAAATGATATGCTGAACGGTGTCATACATTTTCGCCCGAAGTTAAGGATTCGATATCCATCTCAACATCCGACTTTGGTTTGTCATCCTCTATGATACGTCCCTCCTTTGCTGCTTGTATCCTCGCTTCTTCCTCCAATAACTCAGATTCCTTGGGTGCATCCTTACCGAATCTTAACCACCATATCAAATGACTCGAAAATATCCCGAGTTCAAGCACAATAACTACGGCATACAATACGCAACTCAAGACGTCGAATTTGCCCACAACAATGCTTAGTAAGGAAAATATAGCACCGAGAGAGTCCATGGTGAGAAATACAAAATTGATTCCAATCACTCTTCCTTTTCTCTTTGCCAATTCAAAGTAAGGTGGTATCAATCCAATGGCTAACAATATTGAGGCAATGATCCCTATAATCAACATCGGCCACGTAATCCCACGTCTATGTAAAGGTCTTAACCACAAAATAAACCCAAGCTCTAGGCCAACACTGACAAGGACAAATGCTGTAACAACCAGCCATAGTTTCTTCCTGGGCATTTGTACTGGAGGGTAATACAAAACTTGAACCCATGTGACCAAACAAAAAAAGGTGAATAATTGTGGTTGAATACGAAGTGGTATAGATCCATCGATTCCAATAAAGTAGATACTAAATGGTATCCCACTTGCAGCCCATAAGAACATCATTGTAGGCGGTAATCCATGGCAATCCTTGACCTTGAAGTTTCTGATTATTTGTGGAACAAGCTGTATGCACCATAAAATAGTTCCTATCGTTCCCAAAACATTCTCAGCAACAGCGTTATGCATCTTTCAAAAAAAAAACTATTCTGTTAATCGATACAACAAGCCATTGATTGCGTCTTGTTGCGAGCCAAGAAATGAAGGTATATATATTTGACACAAGTAGATCTCTAACGATGCAGGTGAAAAACTTTTTAGTGACTCAATTAAGAGAGGAAGCTTGAAAGCATCTTGTGATAGCAAGATAGGGAAGAAAAAAAAAAAGAAAACCAGTTGCGCCTTGCGCTTTAACGCGCCATGCGATGTGTGTACGACATTGGAATTTGAAAAAAGCAAATGCGCATTTCCTAAACAAGAGCACATCAAGATCCATAAATCACGTGCTGCTACCAAAAGTGGTAAGTCATTGCCGCTTAGAACGAATGGTCTAAATTGCCCTTTATAACAAAATCTCTTTAATAAGTAATTGTTTCCGCTATGTACTTTAGTCACTTTCATACTCAAATTCTAAACTTTCATCGTCATCATCGGCTTTGAATTCAGAGCCCGAGCTGCAGCTGGAGTATTCAACACGTCTTCGACTCTTTGTAGGTAACACGTCAGCATCCTCGTCTTCAACGTCGCTATCACTCAACTCTTTGTACGCAGGATTATTTTTGGATCGATGCTCAGTTGTCACTTCAGTGTCGCCAAACCCAGGGGCTGAATTACTTCCTTCGTCTTGTATTAGTTCTCCAACTTCCGTATCCGACACAATAAACCCGCCACCAAAATCGTCGTCAGACCCGTCTGCAACGTTGTGTCCCGAGTCAAGAACACTTCGATTAGTATTATCATCCATGAAGTGTTCTTGTGTCAAATTTTCATCCTTCACAATCCCGTGTGTCCTATTCAACCGCTGCTTCAATCTCAACTTCAATAAAAAGTACTTCCAATTCTGTAACGCATTCATTTCATCCATGACTCTCCTTTCCTCCTCATCTTCTTGAATCATATGATCCAAAGTGAGCTCTAGAGCATCCCTGTTATCTTTGTGAATTACAATTCCTCCTTCCTTTGCAATGGGCATGCCTTTTCCTTTTTGCGTGAAATCGAATGAGGTAATTGCTTTAGCATAGTCTATCCCTAGTAAAGTTGCAGCCTTTTGTAACATCTTTATGGTTCTCGGTCCACCAATTTTTATCAAAACCCCGTTTTCAGGAATCATGGTATCGGTGTAGACATCAATATTGCCATACTGATTCTTTGGAACTTTTCCGTTTTCGATTTTAGGTGGAATGTAGAGTTTGGTTTGGAACTCCGCGTATAAACGAGTATCTTCTTCTCCTTCGTCGTTTCCTGACTTTTGCTTTGATTTTAATGAAGATACACTAATTTTCAACACTCTACCTTTCATGTACCACGCCCTGGCAGATTTGAGCTTCTGCACACAAGATCTGCGATAAACTGGTAGTAACTTTCCTAACGCATTCTTCGGCCTAAAAGTTCCACAAACACTGGTATCGTCTTTTGGGTATATTTCCTCATTTTGTCGAAGTTGTGACTCTAGTGCATATAAAGGGTGATTTTTGAATGCTTGGATGTTGTTGGGCATCCCTTCAGCCAAATCTCGTTCGTGAAATTCCTTTGCTTCCAAAATGTCGGTTACACTCCGTGATTGGGTTTCCTGGCATGACTTCAACACTGACTCATACCATTCCTTCTCCTCGTCTGATTTAAACTCAATCCTTTTCCTGATAACACGAGCATTGTAGTTGATTGAGTAGCGTCGCGTCACATCTCTAACTCTACCATACTTGTCGAAAGCCACCACATAAAGCAACTGATTTCTCTCGTCGCTTGATGGTGGCTCAAATGGGCTTGGCCTCCGTTTGGAGCAAATTTCAATTCTTTTCTTCACAATCGGATCAACGCTAATCCAATGTTTTGCAAATTTATCCCACACTTCAACCCAAAATACCGGATAGTCGGAATCTTCAAAGTTGGTTTTGCTTTTGTGGAGTCTAGTGCTGATGATCTCCGATGGATCTGTTGTTTTCTCCTTTGCCTTTTGTATCCTCTTAGATGATATATTTTCCGTAATAATTGTAAAGTCAGGGGGTTGCAAAGATACAACTAACCTCGCATTCAACCCCAACCCTCGTAAAAGCGTAGCAAAACCTTGTGCAGCAATATCTCGACTTCCTCGAAAATTTGTAACCATCATCGCAAATTTCTTCCTTGTGACCACATCGGAATCTTGCACTATGCTCAACTCATTCCAAGTTTTCCTCAACAACCCCTGGGAGGTAATTCTAAACTTGCTTGCGTAAATCTCCATCAACTTTCTTATTCCGTCTAGCAATCTTCTTGATTTGACATTGTCCTTACCACTATCATCATTAAGCAATTGTGTAATCTGTCGAGTTACACACGCCTGTTTTAGTGACTTCGATATTGATTTATTGCTACACCATGAATTCCTAATAGCAACATGTATTAGCATTAATACGATGTATATTTTGTGGATCAATACACGTCGTGTTCGTTCCTCTTTGCTTATGAATTGTACCTTTCTTTTACTTTGTGTCTCTCTTTGTGTTGTATCCAATTTAAAGGTCATTACCTGATCAGACTCCAGATTAGGTTGCAAATTCGAACCGCTTGGAATATCGTCGATATCGAAAGAGACCTTCTCGAAATCATCAGAATTATCAGATTCCCAACCTTCTTGATGTGCTCCATCCAAATCTACGTCTTCAAAATCGGTTGAATTATCCGATTCTTGAAAAGCATTACTCATTCCGGTGTCAAATGCCCTACTAGCGACCTCTGGCAGCGCCCTCTTTCTTCTCTTGATCGGTCGGTTGCTATCACTGTCCACGCGTGACTCCTTCAACAATTGCTTATGATGCTGACTTGGAAAATCACTCATGATTTTCACATCAATTCTCTCTTATTTCAAAGCGTTGCTGTTGTAAGTTTTAGATTGTACCCTTTGATGTCCATCAACTTTTTGTACTAGTTGTGAATAAACTTTTACCAAAGATAGTTTGTGGCAAAAGAGATAGTGGAACGTGATGTTATGAGCCTCACAAAGCAAAACCCTCTGAAAAAAAAAAAAAAAAAAAAGGGAAAAAATCCATCCATCGAGAGGGTAGACTACAACTGGATCTCCAAGACATGACAAGAATATGACAACATGCTTCAAACGACGAGGGTATCATTTTCTATCCACGTTTCACAAAACTAATCTTCAATCACTACGAAGTAGTTCAATATTGAGCCACCGAGCGAGAGAACGACTACCGGCCAAACTTTATCAAAAATTAACTCAGTATGGTCAGACCGAAGTAAAGTTAGTCCCCAAGATTGAACATGCCTCTTTATACTCAAAAGTCATAAACTCTGGAAAGCCATTTCTGGTAAATGGGAACCTTCTGTTTAAATCGTCACAGCATAGACTATATCAACTTTTAGAGGCAATTGTTTTTCATATTATGTGTGTTGTTGAATGCTTGAAACAAGACAAGGACGTGCCACAATTACACGGTGAATTTTTTAATCAAGTGAGAAACCGATTTGGCGAATTAGAGGGAAATGTGGATTGGGACAAGTTCAATTTGAAGTTTAACGTCAAGCCCAACGTGGAGCTCAATTTGGGTCTTGAGTGTTTTTCATTGATCGCAATGCAAATAAAAGAGTCATACACGGTAGATGACCTTGTCATCTGGATCGACTCTTGTAGCTCAAAATCAGCAACTTCAAGCGTGTCCTTGTTATCAGACAATACCCCAGCTTTTGTCTTGTTTGATATCTTACTACGAAGTCCCAGGTTCAAAGAACTGTTCCTTGTGCAATTAGACTTGTGGACGCACAACATAAATTACGTGATGATGCAGTCTCGAAAAGACCACGGGATTCTAAAATTGATGTTGGACAATTTGACTTATCATGCGGTAATGTTTGAACCTAATAGCCTTGTGGTTCTATACCAAACCACTTTGAACTTTGTCAAGTCACCAAATGCAGGACTGTTGACCCAGTTAAACGGTACATTTTTTGATGATCTCATATGGAGTCTAGCTGTGTATTCCCTTCGCTATCAGCAAATTGATCCCACAGGGATCGCCAATGCGCAAGAGTTGCTAATGTCGCACATTAAAAATGTTGGGAGTTCTTTGTCCTTAAGGGGTTACCTAGGTATAGCTATTGTTTTGTCTAGAATCTCATACGACAAGGGTGTTCAGATATTTGATGTTGCTCAACGAAAGTTTGCAAGGGAAACAAGCTCAAAGAAAAATGTGTTGGCTTTTTATATTGCTAAAATTTATCTAGCTAAATCGCTCAAGGAGGCTGTTGATACATTCAAGACTGCGAGTAATCAATTTGATCATTCATCGACCTTGTGGCTATTCTTTATTCGAAAGTTAAAGTATCTAAATGTAATGGATGAAAAGTGGGCAAAATTGTTGTACCAGCAGATATCCAAATCAAAGGTAAAGATTACAAGCGACATTATTTACGAATTGTTGCACTTTGTTGGTGAATTTGATACTCTTGAGGACATGTTTAATGCTTTGTCAAGCGAAAAACTGGTTGCTGTTGACAATATATTTCGTGTGAAATATATACAACTTATACAGCACCACAAATCGGAAATGGGGGCTCTCCCTTCGTTATCGTGGGAGTTCCATGATCAAGCACAATCGAGTCATTGGAATTCTATTGACGAGTGCATATCTCACGTATACACAACATCACCTGTCAAATCCCTTCAACTTGTTGTTACATATCTCAGTTACATTTCCGATATTGATGCAACAAAGTTTTTTACATTATATAAGAAGGAAGTCATAGACAGAGATCATTTGCCAAATGCTGCATGTTTAGGCCTTCTTTTGAGAACAGCCAGGAGGTCCGAGAACATTATAGTAGGGGAAAACTTGTTTGCTCCCCAATTAGCAATTCGTGAGTTTCAAAGAAATGTGCAAGCTTCTGGGAGGTCGTTTGGTATTTTCCCACGTGACGGTTTGTGGAAACAGTACATTTTGCTACTTGCCGAATTTGACTACGTTTCTGAACTTTCGAAAATCATCAAATGGTGGATCGATCTTGATTTTAAGCCTAAGAAGAGCACCATTCTATTGTTGTTAAATGCATTACCTGAAGAATTTGCTTTACGGCACATAAAACATCATCAAGTAGCAAAACTGAGAAAAGATTGGGATTGGCCAACTACCCGAGAGTTTAAAAAGTTCAAGTGGCTGCAAAATAGATCGAATTAACATAGATTGGTTTGTGAATTTCCCCATGGTGTGGTGACGCTTCTCGCTCGGGTCCAAACTGACCAATAATATTGAATCCCTGAAAGATCCGAGCTCAAAAGTACACAAAGCTGTTGACGCTACCTTTTCTCCGGATATATATAAAACATTGAATGAAAAATTAGATCAGAAAAAACCCCAGATATATATATTTTAAGCTGTAAACTGTTATCTATTCAATTACTGTCAATTATGTTGAGAACATTCACAAAAACTGCAATCAACGTGAGATCAACCTCACAATTGAGATTCTTCACTGCATCCGCAATTTCATTAAAGGACACTAGAACTGAAACGGATGCTTTCGGACCAATTGAAGTACCCAATGACAAGTACTATGGAGCTCAAACTGCCAGATCCAAGATGAATTTTAAAATTGGTGGCCCAGCTGCACGTATGCCAATTCCTGTTGTTAGAGCTTTTGGTATTCAAAAGAAATCAGCGGCTCAAGTGAACGAAGCTTTAGGTCAATTGGATCCAAAGATTTCCAAGGCTATTCAACAAGCTGCCACCGAAGTTGCTGAAGGTAAATTGGATGACCATTTTCCTTTGGTTGTTTTCCAAACTGGTTCAGGTACTCAGTCCAATATGAATGCCAATGAGGTAATCTCCAACAGAGCTATCGAAATCTTGGGAGGTGAATTGGGTTCCAAAAAGCCAGTCCATCCTAATGATCACTGTAACATGTCTCAATCATCAAATGATACTTTCCCAACTGTTATGCACATTGCTGCTGTTACCGAGATCAAGGATTCTTTAATTCCTTCATTAACTAAATTGCGTGATTCCTTACAAGCAAAATCTGATGAATTTAAAGATATCATCAAAATCGGAAGAACTCATTTGCAAGATGCCACTCCTTTAACTTTAGGACAAGAGTTTTCCGGATACGCACAACAAGTCACCAATGGTATTGAGAGAATACAAAACACCTTACCTCACTTGTTGTACTTGGCACAAGGTGGTACCGCCGTTGGTACAGGTCTTAACACTAAAGTAGGTTTTGATGCCAAATTTGCTGAAGCTGTATCAGCCTTGACCGGGTTTGAGTTTCAAACTGCTCCAAACAAGTTTGAAGCTTTGGCTGCACATGATGCAATCGTTGAAGCTTCTGGTGCTCTCAATACTGTTGCCGCATCTTTGTTCAAGATTGCCAATGATATCAGGTACTTGGGATCAGGTCCAAGATGTGGATACGGAGAATTGGCCTTGCCTGAAAACGAACCAGGCTCTTCAATTATGCCTGGTAAGGTGAACCCAACTCAAAATGAAGCCTTGACAATGGTTGCATGTCAAGTTTTTGGTAATAATGCTGCCATCACTTTTGCTGGTGCCTCAGGTCAATTCGAGTTGAATGTCTTTAAACCAGTCATGATTGCTAACTTGTTGTCATCAATTAGATTGATTGCTGATGGTGCCAACTCATTTAGGGAACACTGTGTTGATGGAATCGTTGCCAACAAGGATAAGATTGAAAAGACTCTTCATGAATCTTTGATGTTGGTTACGGCTTTGAACCCAAAGATTGGTTACGATGCTGCGTCTAAAGTTGCTAAGAATGCTCACAAGAAGGGATTGACTTTGAAGGAATCAGCTTTGGAATTGAAAGCTTTGAGTAGTGAAGAGTTTGACGAGTATGTCAGACCAGAATTAATGATTGGTCCAAAGTAAAGGATATTCCATGTATTTAGATGAATTTGAAGTTTAGTGAAAGCGATACTGTAGATTGTATACACCAGTTAGGCTAGTTCATGGAAGCTTTATACTTTGGTAAGTCTTGGTAACATCGTGTGCGTATCGACACAAAATTCAAAAGAATTTTTAAGTTATCAAAAAAGTTCCGTCAGTACATCACCGCAACATCTTCAACGCATGGGGTTGTCTTCCTTACTTCAACAAATTGAAAAGAGAGGTAAGTTACCAAGCAAGCCTCAACCTCAGCCAGCAAAGGATGAGGTGAAGAAATCAGAATCGAATGTGAGTCCCTTGAGAAGTAGTGGCAGTGACAGATACGTCGATCCAGTAGTTGCTCGATTGAAAGAGAAACGGCGATTAGAAAGAGAACAGGCTGAAGCAGCAAGGGCCAAGCAAAATGGAAACAAGAGTACCAAATCTAGTACGACCTCGAGACCAGCTGTTTACAAGACACCATCTAACTCAGTCTCACGGCCAAAACAAAACGTAACAAAAGTTACTCAATCAAAGTGGGACGACGAGCCGAAACCACCGCCAGCTAAGAAGAAAATGAGTTTCAATGAATTAATGAAGAAGGCAAAGCAGATCGATCACGACAAGTTGTCAATCAAATTTCCCCAGAAGAGTGCATCACCAGAAACAGCAATATCATCTAAGATAGCTCCTAAAAAAAATACAACTGTGAATAGACAACCGGTTGCTACGAAAAACTCATCATACGGGCTACAGCACAATCGACGACCTACAACAGAAAAGAATGAAGTGCAAAGGAGATCTGATCCACCGGTACGAAAACGGTTGCCGAAGGTGCCAATGCCCGCAAGACAGCCAAATGCGAAAATTCAAGAACGACTCAAACAGAGGCGATCAAAAGCTGCCCAAGATCGCGGGTATGCTTACAATGAAGACGAAGACGATGATTTGAGTGACTTTCTCGTTTCTGATGAGGAGGAAGGTGTCGTTGAAGATGGGTACAATCGAGACGAAATTTGGGCAATGTTTAACAAGGGTAAGAAGCGCAAGTATTACGAATACAATGATTATGAAGACGATGACTATGATATGGAAGCGACCGGTGCTGACGTTTTAGAAGAAGAATTGAGGTCGAGATTAGACGCAGAAAGAGAGGATCGCAGAGAGATGGAGCAAGAAAAACAACGGGCATTGGAAAAACAAAAAAGAAAGATGAGGCGATGATAAGTAAAATCTATAACGAGTGTATACACGTAGAAAATGAACCTCCTCTTTAATCAAAATAACGATATTAATGCCATAACTAAAGAACTCAAGAAATCGCTGCTTTCATTCACTAATAGACTCCAATCGATAATTCATGACGCCAAGTTTGTTGACCTCGTGCAACAGGAATTGCAGCTACCTTTGGTAGCTAATGAACGATGTGGGTTGTGGTACATCCCACCAAATAAAAGGACCGACACCTGCTACTTTAAATCAACCGACGGGCACACCAATGTTTGGTCCTTTTCACTACGACGGTTGAATTTACATTTATTGCCAATAATTAGTGCCAATAAAGGAATAATTGTTGTGGATTCAACTAGGCGAGGCAAGCCAATGCCCGACGCTTTGTTGAAAACAATCCCTATTTGGTGTGCCGTTATAAATACTGTTGTTTTTGGTGAGTCGCCGACTGGAAGCTGGCTAAGAACGCCATTGATTGTGCCGCGAAGCGAGCACAATGCGATTGAGAAACTAATACCAGGGTTTGTCAAGAATGTGAAATGTTTGAATGTCTTTGACCAAAATCACAAGCTAGATAAACCTTTAGTTCCAAGATTTTTCTATCCTGGCTGCGCTAGTGAAGAATTGGGTGATGATGTTTTCAACATTTGTTGTGTATCAGTATCGAAGCAAGTTCCAATTCACAAAACAATATCTACTAGAGGAGATGATGGAACAGTAGTTGGTTTCGACTACGTGCAAGGATCAGCCGATGATCACGAGCTCTGGGTCCCGAAACCTTTACCAAAATTTAACGCTGATGTTTTCTGGCAAGTTATCGATAAATTGGTAGACTCATCAAGTGGTTATATCCCGTCATGGAGAGGTGATGAAGAGTTGGTGGATATCATCCTTGAACAGGTCAAAAGCGATTCGTCTACGGGACTAGCATTGCAAGCAGTGGGCAAGACAGGGATCCATTTTGGCTCTTTGAGCCAGGATATAGCCTTCAACGAGCTCCCATTTGATACAATTATACTTCATGACGATGTCAAAGTTGTCAATAAGGATGACAAATCTAGTAAAAAAGTACACCAGTTTTCCATCCCCAACAACAAAAAGGGATCAAATATGTTGCGCTCGTTATTGCCAGACATTATCTCAAAAATTGATTTACAATCACCCATTCTTATCTTGTGTGGCACTGGTAAGGATTTAAGTGTGGGGGTAGTGTTGATATTGCTTTGTCTCAATTTTGATCTTGACTGGAACAAAGTTAATAAAGCACCGCCCGTGACCAAAACTTTGGTTAAACAACATTTGGGCAAACTATCCAACTTGTACAAGGTCAATCCGCAAAGAAGTACATTACAAAGTATCAATAGTTATTTATTTGCTCAAAATATAAATACTGATAACTCCTAAATATTTGCACTGTTGTAGAATACAGCAAAATTTTGCTTAAGGCCATTATGATACTGATTCCAAGCATCAAGCAAACCTGCATCATTGAGCTCGGACAGTATCGCTTCAACGACCAAATTAATCTTTTTCGATAACTTGATTATAGACTTGATGCGTTCCTGATGGTTTTCAGTCTCTTGTGATGATGCTTTAGCTGATAGCTTTTTATTCAACTGAGCATTCAATCCATTGATAAACTTACTCATAAACTCTTGATTGGAGTTTTTGAGCAATTCTTTAAATTGTAATTCATGCAAATCGAGAAAATTCAACAAATTCATGCATGCGAGTACAATGATATCTGATTGATCATCAACTAACCCGTGTTCAATTATATTCAGTGCAATCAGTTGAATATTGATGTCGTACTTGGCAAGTGTTGCTTCGTCAATGGCCAAAATCGAATATATAAATTCATAACAAAGTTTTCTGATTTCTAATCCTTGATCAAGAACATACTTGTATGGACCCATGGTAATGATTTTTTTGAATGCCTTTTCTGCCGTCAACTGTTTGTACAATTGAGGCAAGATTAACCTGTTCAAAAGTGGCAAGATAATGTTTGGTTTACTGTGTATACCAGTCAACAAGTTGCCGACAACAATCTGTCTAATATCAACATCGACTATGTTAAGCCAATTGATAGATGCAGTGACCAAGTACGTTAATAATTTTTCGTTGGTATTAGACATATCGAGACCACTAATCAACGATTTAGAAATGACCAACACAAGATAAATCTTCCTTTCATTCGATTGGTTATCGGCAACCTGTCTAATTTCGGATTCGCTAATTGAAAATGCAATTGAGCCAAGAAGCTCACCAGATTTTCTCAATTCAGGGATCAAGTCATGGTTGTATTCGATCTGCAAGTTGAAAACTGTTTGCCAAATTTGCAACTTTTGTTGTTCGTCACAGTGGTCAACAACAACTTTCAAGGAATCAATCAATGACCCGCGCACTGTTGTTGAAAGGGTGTCCACGTTGTAAGTGTCAAGGATTCGGGGTATTGCATAAGCAGGATCGCTTTCTGCTACTAACCCCAATGCAGTTGATGCTGCTTGAACATTAGCATCATTGGTAAAATCGGGCTTTTGCAAAAGATCAGTTAAGGATTCAACCAGTAAGTCAGGTACATCGCCATGTGAGAAGGCGAGGAACAAAATGACAAAGGCAAATTGCGAATTGTTGTAATCAGTGGTGTAGTAATTGTGAAACTCACTCAGTCTCTGGCTAACCAATTGTTGTCTCGTTTCATCGTCAGCACAAACCGCCAATATTTTTGGAGTAATTTCAAGATTTGCAGGCAAATTTTGTTCCAATTGAGGGTAAACAGACTTGTCCAATTCGCAAGCGGCAGAAACTAATTGGAAAAACACTTTCTCGTTGGCGTTTATCTTTTTATCGTTAACCAATTGTATCAAAATTTGAATCAACTGTTTTCGGTATGCATAATCATTCATGATTTCGTTTGACAAGTGGCTAAAAATCAGGAAAATATAGTGGTAATTCAAGGAGCTGGTAACTTGGAGCAATTGTAACAAGTTCGAGATAATGCCATCATATTTTCTTGGTGGTAACAGTTGGATAATCTCACTTAATAATGTCAAAGTTGCTAACGAAGTTGCTTCATTGCTTGAAAGAATGTAATTGGACAATTTGTCAATGATAGACAATGAATAATCCTGAGAAATTGACTTTGATTTGTACAAGTTTCCAAGTACATCGATGGTAACTTTGCTCGTTCCTTCGTAGCTAATGGATGTTTTAAAAACTTCCAATATCTTTTCTTCTGATGAAACCAAGTTATTAGCTAATGCTTCGCCAAGACAAACGATAGCATGACGTACCAAATCACTAGGGTATTGTTTGCTATTTTCTACCTTGACCATCAATGATGTCAATATTTCATCCATCATTGATATACTTGATGCGTCTTTGTGTTTGAGAAGTAAGTTGAGACATCTCAATGTTTCCAAAATCAAATTAAATGACTTGTCCTCGAGATTAGTGGCAATATCCTTGGATATACGCTCGATAATAGTGGTATTCAAATTATCGTGAAACTTTAAAACACTGGTGTAAAATCGCAAATAGTCCAATGAGCTACTAGAAACAACACTTCTTTGGCTTAAAATACTAAAAGTTGTTTCAATCAAAGACAAGTTATCAAATCGGTTTAAACTCTCAACAATATGGAGAAATAATGGCAATTGTTCCTCCTTGACATCTTCCAAACGATCGCGCAATATCAAACCTATGCATTGAACATTTTGTGATTCACGTGGTGATGTTGCTTGGATAATTGCAATGCAAGATTTTGCAGCTTCAATTACAACTTGGTAATTTGAGTCCTTGAGAGGCAATATAGGCAACACTTGTCTTGACAAAATCTCCAAAGTATCAGGAAAGCTTGCAAGTAGTGAGCGAACCAACAAGGTCGCTTTTGATCTCAACTTCCATGAGTTATCGTAATCCAGATCGTCGGCTACTTCAATTTCGTCGTCACTGAAATCTATACCATCATCGCCATCGGAGTCGATTTCCTCATCGCTATCATCATGCAATGGATAATACTTGAGATATTTTGTAATTGTTGCAAGAACTTCACCTTTATACGCTACCGATAAAAAGTTTTGATTCACCAAGTCAATCAATGTCGTAAATGCCTCCTCTTTTAAAGCATTTTGTTGTTCAAGGAGATCATAGTCCAAATCCTCTTCGTCATCACCCGTAGTGGATGCTTCTAGTTCTGATTTAACGATATTGTAAATCTGATCAGTCTTTTCCGGTTTAATTCCTCTTTTCAAAATCACTGAATACAATTGATATAAAACAAACAGCCTATTGTTCGACCTTGATTGTTCAACTTGAACCGATATCTCGTCAACCAATTGATCAATTGCATTAGCTGACCGAATCAATGCGGTTACCCCTTCAACGCCAACAATTGCTTTTTTGCCAATGATTCCCAGCTCGTTGAAGCCAACATTGATGAAATACTTTCCCAATTTGATCAAATCTTCTTGTGAGAGAACATAACCCAACTCATTAATCAAATCAATCAACAACTCAATATTATCAATGGAGGTGTCATTTTCCAAAATCAATGGTATAAGATATTTTGTTATAGATTCTGATACTTCACGGTCATACTTGTAATTTGATATAGATAACTTGTCAGAAACAAAATCAGATTTCGCCCTTGAGTTAGATTGTGCAAACAATGATCTCAATGCCATATTTGGAATTGAAATGGTGAAGCTTCTGAATCCAGTTGTTGTTCTTGACGAAGTTGAATCTTTGCTGTTACTCTCTTGCACCAATGCAAATAATTTCTTGACTAATTTAACAATAGAGTCATTGGTCAAGTACCTCACCATTGGTTCAAACGATTTCACGGCTTGATTTTGAACATCGGGGTTGGGATCATTCAACATTTTCAAAAGTATTGGAATCATGTCATTTAATGATTGATTGATGGCGATTCGACTGGTGGTGATGGTATCATCAGTGAGATATTTACGGAGATCCTCCAAAGCCATAAACCTGATGTCCGGGTCAACATCAATGGCTCTGTCTTCGAGTGTATGGAAGTTTATATCAGGCATTTGTTTTTGTACCAGAGGTGATGGGTGTTTGAGCTGTGGAAATTGGTTGTTGAAGAATGTTTTTGCCGCACAAATTGACATTTTTTTGGCAACTACAAAATGAAGACCGTATCACATGATCTGAAGGCAACAAACTGGTGTATTTCAAAGAGATGAAAATTATATAGCGGTAGGGTAACGAAGCTTATGATACTTCAACCTCATTTATGATCAAGTTGGAAGTCTCACTCGACCCACTTGGAGATTCAGATTCAGATAGGGACTTGGCTTTTTCCTTTCTATGCTTTTTGTCTTTCTTGTCTTTCTTGTGTTTCTTTTCCTTCTTTTCCTTCTTTTCCTTCTTTTCCTTCTTTTCCTTCTTCTCCTTCTTTTCCCTCTTCTCTATAGCCTTCTCTATAGCCACCTGATCCGTATTTTGATTGACATCTATTCCACCTTTCTCCTCGGACTCATTCCCCGACTGCTCAGCTTCCTCCTTTTCTATGGAGCCCACCCCTGGCGCATCTTGTTTATCGTTTGGCTTGCTGGTATCATTTTCATGACCCTTGACTTCTATTATTTCATCAACTAATGAATCTAGTATGGCTTTGCACCTAACCACATATTCCAAATTCAAGCCATCCGAGCTCTCCCCTTTCTCACTCTCTTGATCTATGTTCTTCAGTTCATTCAGTTCCTTCAGTTCCTTTTCTTCCTCCTGTTGCTTCCCTTCATTACCTCCATGAAGTAACTTTTCCTCAATCTTTTTCTCCATTTCTTCATACTTCACATTCCATTTTGCAATCACTTGTTTCAATTCATCAACTAATCGATCTCGTGATCCACCTTGTAAAGTAGCCAAGTACGATATCAACTCCAGTTCGTAATCATTCGGTATATGTTTCAAATTTTTCAAAATCCAATTTTGTTTCAGTTTATTAAATTTCCAATTGGGTTTATCATGGACAAATTGTTTTAAATAAGTTAATTGATCCTTGACTGGTGGTGGCTTCCTTTCATTCTTGGGTAACTTTATTCTCTTGGGTGGTTTTTTATTAGCACCGTCATCGTTCTTGGTGGTAGATGATCCAAGAGCTTCTTGTAGTTTACGTTTGTTGCTAACCTTTTTCAATTGGTTTTTGGTTAAATCAGCAGTATCGATTCTTCTTGTTTCTAGTAAATCATTCTCTTCTTCTTCTTCTGGTTTTGTTTGTTGAACACTAAGACCGGCTCTTTTCCAAGCTGGGACAGAGCTCATCGTAAAGGGCGTTATTCAGGTTGTGTTAATTGCGTTGGTTATGATGTCTGAAAGATGAGATGCGATTCTTCAAATCCATACTCACGCGATGAAGTTGAAGAGAAAATTATTTCCAAAAAAAAAAAAACCCATTGAACCAACTTGTCTTTCTTTTTACATAACATATACATAGAATACTAATACACATAAGCTAAATTCATCTACTGAGGTACCACTTTCTAGGTGCATATGTAGAATTGGCAAAGACTCACATTGGTATGAAAAGGGGTTCAGATCATTCCATAACTGAATCCAGCTTCAATGTTGAAAAATAATGTCTTTTTGCTAGATTGAACTTGAGAATACATGGTTTGAGTCTGTTACGAGATTTATTTTCCCACTCGTAATGGATATAAGGATTGTATACATTTTAGAAAAAGAAGCTGCTATATATATACCTTTTTATTTACTTCTTCTCGTCATTTTCAGCTTGCCCATTGGTTTCCTGATTATTGTTCTTTTCTCGTTCTTCTTTCCAATGATTGAATTTAGCAGTTAAATCATCAGCAATTTCCTTAGCTGTAGCATCTTTGTCATTAGTGGTTTGCATCTTGTACAACGCATTACCAATATATGACATTGTTGATCGAATATACTCGTTTATTTGTGGATGTTCATTGTTGGGGTTGAGGATCTTTTGAGCAACTTCTTGGATCTTGGTTAAATCTTGTTGGCTTAATTGATCGTCTTTGGAATAGTTTCCATTTGTGGTTGTAGTGGTTGGTTTATTATGGTTGTTATCAGACATGTTGTGAATGTTGGCTTATGTTGATTTGTGGGAATAAAATAATGGCAGTGGCGAATTAGAAATGTTAGGGATGCAGTCTCCTATTTATACTGACAGCTGTTCTTTGTGGTAATTTGAAAGGACTGCTTGTATGTCTTTTGGTCATGGAAAGGCAAGAAGAATGCAATATGCACCCTTTTTCATTGACTTTCCGTTTTAGGTAATTTTTTTTATTCAAATGGTTTATGATCATAGAGTTTATTTAGCAATCCAGTAAACATCGACAAGGAAAATGGCAGAGATTGTGAAGTGAACCATGAGAGACCAAACAAACAGGACACTACAAAGTCAATTCAATCAAGTGATCAAAAACTAATCAAAACTATCCATTGAATATTATAAACTTCAGTCACAATAATTTACTTCTTTCCAGTATCACCACTTTTACCTTCAAGTTTGCCCAATCCACCTTTGACCAAGTCTTCTTTCTCCTTATCCGACAATTTTTCAAATTTACCATAGGCTTCAGCAGCTTGAGCTTTCAAATCCTTGTCATTCGTGTTGCCACCTTGTTGTTGTTGTGTAGATTCCAACTTTTTGGCAATGTCACCTAATTGGCCAAATTCTTTATTGTTTTGTTTATCTGAACTCATTGGTGGAAATGGAAAAGGGGGCTAGTTTGCAGTGAAATCGATTTGATTAGTGATTTGATTGTTGGTTGTTGGTTGTTGATAAAAACCCTGAAGATGTGTGGCTGACCGGAATAAAAAAAACCGAAAAAAAAAAATTAAGATTTGGACTTTGCGCTTTTTTTTAAGTTTATGCATTTTAGTAAAACAAGGATCAGATTTATTCAATCGCTTCAGCACCACCATATGCATGCATCGAAGACTCACACACCATCTAACCAAGACGAACTTCCCCATGACTAAATCAATCTCATCCAATTCTTCACCATTACCACCACCCCACACAATCATTATCGATTGGGACGAAACATTAACCACAAAAGACACAATTCAATACTTGGCTCAATTACCCTACACAATCAATAGCCACAACCGACAACACTCTCCACCCCGCTTACCATTCTCTCATTACACTGATATCTACATGACCAATTACACAAACTACAAATCGCACCATTTTGGCAAAGACTATACAATATTGGATGATTATATCCAGTTCCAAATGGGCATGGAGCCTATTGAAATGAGTTCAATCAATGCACTTGAGTCAGATGGCGTTTTCCAAGGATTGACCAAACTGCAAATTCGCAATCAAGCTGATTTGGTACAGTTGCGGCCTGGCGCCGTGGCGTTTCTTGAACGATGTTTGTTGTTGCGGAAGTCAGTGGTGATTTTGAGTGTTAATTGGACAAGTTTGATGATTGATGAAGTACTACGGCGCAATGGCATCGCTGTAAGTGATGGTGAAAACATAAAAAACAATGATACAATGGAGGAGGATGGGAAGCGGGATGGGGATGGGGATGAGGATGAGGATGGGGAGAATGGAGTCAAGATTGTCACTAATGAATTTGAGTTTGCAAGTGATGGAAAAACAACGGGGTTCTGGTTGTCGTATCCCAAGATACATACATCACTCGACAAGTTGAATTATATAAACCAAGTCAAGATACAAGCCAATTCAAGCAACAATGCGAATGGTGAACGTCATGGTGATGCAAATGGAGATGGTATAATGTACATTGGAGACAGCTTAACGGACTTGTTACCAATACTCAATGTTTCGTTCCCCTGTGCAATCAAAGATTCTAAATTGGACTCAGTCTTGACTCAATTAAGCATCAATCATGTGAGTGGCACATGGTTTGATTTTATTAAACTCATTGACTAATCTAGAGTTTAAAGCCTACAAGTAGATTGTTATGATTCTTTCTGTATTAATACAAACTATTACATAAATAAAAATTGAATTCTCTATATGTTTTTTGAAAACCTTCACAGACATGTCATGGTACGATATACACTAGAACACTTGATCCCAATTTAAGCCTTCACCACCAATGCTAAAAACCTATTCTACCTCACCTTCTCCAGTTGGGTGACGCATATTGCAGTTGTCCATTACTGCCCGTGGCACCACCACCACCACCACCGCCATTGCTGATCCCGGGTATGGGCAAATACAGTCCATAACTAGCACCTTGCCCGGGAGCAGGTCCATGTCCGTACCCGGGAGCACCGGCACTTTGATGATGAGGCAGTGGCAAACTTCCAGGTGTTGGTGGAATCATAGAGTATTGAGTTCCCGGAGGTGGAGGTGGTGGTAATGGGGGTCCTCCGGCGCCATTTCCACTAGTTGCGTTTGTACTTGTATTTACATTTGTATTAGGTGGTGGTAATGGAGGTGGGCCATTGGATCCACCGGGTGGACCACCGCTGTTTCCATGAAGCATTTGAGAATGTGAGAGTTGCGGTGGTGAATGCTGCTGTTGTTGTTGTTGTTGTTGTTGTTGTTGTTGTTGTTGTTGTTGTTGTTGTTGTTGCTGTTGCTGCTGCTGCTGTTGTTGTTGTTGTTGGTTTGGTGGTGGTGGGGGTGCGTAATAGTACTGTTGTTGTGATTGTGGCGGTGGTGGTGGTGGGTAATAGTATTGTGGTTGAGCTATTGAGCGATATTGTGGCTGCGAAGGAGTTTGTTGTTGCGATGGTGGTTGTTGCTGTTGCTGTTGCTGCGGTGGCACGGGTGGTTGTTGTTGTTGCAGGTGTTGTGGTTGAGGAGTTGGTTGTTGGTGTGGTACGGGTGGGCCTTGATATGGAGATGGGTGATACAGTGGCTGGTATTGTTGTTGACCTGGAGGTGGCGGTCCATATTGGGATTGCTGGTGTGGATGTGGTGGAGGTTGTTGTTGTTGTTGTTGTTGATTTGGTGGTGGTGGTGGTGGTAATGGTGGTCCATAATGCTGTTGTTGGTGTTGCAAAGATGGTGTATGATGTGCTGATGGAACTTGTTCTTGCTTCACTGGTGGAGGTTGCCGTTGTTGTTGTTGTTGTTGTTGCTGCTGCTGCTGTTGCTGTTCCAGCTGTTGCTGCTGAAGTGATTGAGTTGGCTGAGTTTGAGGCTGTGCATGTGCTTGATAAGGTGACTGTCTTTGAGTTTGCGTATAAGCAATTCTTTCATTTGGCGCCAATGCCACCAAATCTCTCAACAAGAAACTAGGCACATCAGGTGGCTGTCTCAACTCAGGTATAGGTCCAGCATTCTTGGCGGCTTTAGCCAATTGATCAGCTCTAGATTCGAAATAATTGTAATTTTTCAAATCGCCAATGGCTTTATAGCACAATGCAGCTCGATTGCACGCATCGGAAGCATCCATCAAATGATCATCACATCGTTCATAAACGCAACTAAGACCATCCCATGCAGTTGCTGTTCCTTGAGATCCATCATCCAATTGCAACTTTAATGCTTGTGAATAAGCCGCCAATGCATCGGGCAACTGTTTCAATTCGAGGTACAATTTCCCCACTGCTAGCCACGTTATTGGTGAGTTTGATGCACATTTTAATGCCACTTGATATGAATCGTATGCTAATCGTGGACGATCCATAAAAGAATGAGCTCTTCCTAGGAGATACCATGGTAAAAAATCAGTGCCTTCATTAATTAATGACTCGTCGGCTGGTAGATTGACAATTTTATTCAAAATGGCAATGGCTGCATCGGCATTATCTCTAGAATTCAAAAGTAACAAGAGGTATGCATTTGTCATCAAGATACGTGGTGAATCACCCACAGCCAATTGGGCATCCTCGCATGCTCTTATTGCACCCACAATATCATTTGCTCGTTCTTTAGCAGTTGACAACGCACACCAGAGTGCAATATGCTCATCAATTCTTGATAATGGTGGTGGTGGTAATGATAGTGTTGCTGTTAATTCAGCAATTGAAGTTTCGATATTGCCATCAGCACCAGCAATAGCTGCCAATTCAGCGTGAGCAGCACGAGCAGTTTCAATATCCTGTTGTGAGTAACTTGAGTCTTGTGGTGGTAATAATGATAAACAATGAGATAGTGAATTAGCTGCATGACTTCGAGCTCCTGCGCGTATTAAAGTTTGGGCACTTAGTAACCATAATGATGCATCTTGTGGTGATAATTGTATAGCTGATTGTATAGCTTGATGAGCTTGATCATTTAATCCAATTAAAAGATAACATTCCGATAATTCTTTGAAAATATTCAGATTCTTCAAAAGATGAGGAAACATTTCAATTGAAGCATTTAGCTTTTCTATTGCCGATTGTGAACCAAATGTTTCATTTTGAGTTATATCATTGACTCGAAGAGATAGACTTAGACCGCATAATGCAGTTATATTTGATGGATCTCGATGTACGGCATTTTCAAATGACTTGATTGCCGCTTCTGTTAAACCAAGGGTATTGGCACATTCACCGCATTTGACCCATGTTTCAATGGCTGTTGTGTCGTATGAACTGTTTAATGTTGGTTTTTTAACCATTGGCGAGGATGTGTCTGTGTTTGTTACGGTAGTAGTGGCACCTGTTGCTGTTCTTTTGACCATTATTGCGAGTATATAAACAATGTGTGTGTGTGTGTGTGTTTAAGAACAGTTATACAAAATGGGAATAATCAATCAATCAATGCGTAATTCAGGAAAGAAAAAGAGCCTTCGGTGATGGAAATGGTAGGATCTGTGTGTCCTTGGGTTGAGATGGGTGTATTGTTTGATGCCGGTTTGCCCTTGGTATGTACGTGATTCAGATAAATACCTTTTAAATTTACACCCGGTTTCCACTATTGTGTGTTAGTGTGTGTGTGTTAGTGTGTGTGAATAAGTGTGTTGGTGTGTGTGTTGTATGGTATTAGCTATTTTCTGTTGTTTTATTTAATTTTTCTTTTCTATTGCTGCCTTTTCACAAAAAAAATTAAAAAAAAAAAAAAAAAAAAAAAAAAAAGACACACAACACGAAATTGAGGGCGAGTGTTATCTATAAGTAATCTGTGGATGTATTGACAGAATTTGATAAAGGGTGAGTAAGCAATTGTGGTGATGGTTAGTCCCCCCCTGGAGTGGTATAATGTGGTGCTATATTTTTTTTTTTTCTGGTGTGAAATCTTTGGGTTATTTTCCTTGCAAGTATGTGTCTCAACCTATATAGAAGTAGGTTTTGAAAAGAAAAAAATAAAAAAAAAAAGGAAGAAGAAGCCTGAACTTGTGTAGGTGGAATGATTGAGTGGAATGTAAATAATATGTTGGTTTATTGAATTGAGGCAAGACAAGTCGATGGATGATATGAAAGAAACGATGTAGAAAGAAAAAGAGTGATGGATAGAGTAAAGAAAATTTTAAATGAAATATGAATCACCCAAAATATTCAAAAGAATAGTATAATAGTAACAAGAACAAGAACAAGAATAAGAAGAATAAGAATAAGAATGAGAATAATAAAAACCAAACAATTGTGAGTAAGTAAGTAAGTAAGTAAGTAAGTAAGTAAGTAAGTGTAAATAATGTTATTGTGTAAAGGCTATTTTAAATTGAGGTGCTTTTTGTTTTTTTGGTTTTTTTTTTTAATATAAAAAACTTCACACAATATTTATACTTACATGTGTATGTACGTATGTATGTATGTATGTATGTACGTATGTATGTATGTGTATAAATGTATTACGGGTTATTTATATATCGGTACAAACTATTTGTGTTATGTGTAATATGTTATGGTATATTACTCTCGTAATGAGCAAAAGTAAAAGTCATGTACATACATATATACATATGCACACACGCAGAGACAATAAACACTAACACACTATTCACTAAAACACTAAAGTTATAAGTGTGCTGAAAAAAAAAAAAAAAAAAAAAAAAAAAAGAATTAACCATTGAGTATAGAGTAAAACAATAGCAAGAGCTATATGCCATGTACACCAATTGTTACACTAAGTAGCTAATGTAGATCGGTTAATTGACGGTTGTTGTGTTTCCCTTTTTTATGTTATGTCTTAGACTGTATGCAAGTTTACGTATGTTGTTGTTATGTTATTATTATTATAATGTACAATATTACCCTATTTGCATGTCTTCTAATTTGAATAGTAGCTTTTAGTGATTGCTTTCAATTGTGTTTCCACGGGTGTAGATCTAACTCGCTCTACTATTTGTATGAAGCAATCGAGTCTTACTTTTAGTAGTTGACGCTAATTTCTCTTTCTTCGTACTTTATTTCACACTAACACTAACACTAACACTAACACTAACACTAACACACTAACACACTAACACACTAACACACACTAACACACTAACACACACACACATGTACCTTTTTGCCATCACCATCAGTTGGTTGTCACTTTATTCTATAATGTGTTATATGTTATTTTATTGTTCTTATTAGGAGAAGAAAAAAATACTACTGTTTGTGTAATTAATGCACAATCAGTAGTATACTAGCTTAAATTTTATGAGTACAGAAGCTAATTTATTTATATAGATTTTTATTTTCAAAACGTTTCATACACAATGCCAAAATTAAAAATATTAAAAGAATAATAAAAAAACAATAGAACAAGAAGAAAACGAATAATGACCATTAGAGAACAAAAGACTAAGAAAAAACTAACTTACAACCAGGAGTAAAAGTAAAAGTTACAAACCCATTAGATTACCAGCACAATGTATGTTTTATGTTAAAATAACCATAACAAAGCCAACACACAAACCTACTACTACTATTAAAAAAACCAACTTTCACAAAATTACAGAATGCTATATTATTGTAATGTGCATTTTTAGAATGCACGTTTTAAATCAATACACAAAATCAAAAAAAAAAAAAGATTTAGTTTAACAAAAAAATATAAACCATAAACTATAAACTATACACTATACACTACATACTATAAACTATAAATTAAAATTAGAAAGAAAGCGTGTATTACTAAAAATCATCGAGTCTAAAAGATTGAAAAAAGTAAGGGTTAGCAAATGCAAAGTGCAAAGTGCAAATTACAAAGTGCAAAGTACAAAGTACAAAGTGCAAAGTACAAAGTACAAAGTACATGTACACGAGGAAAGGGAGACTCTAAACCTGCATACTACTCTCAGTTATATATGTTTCCTGTTGTAGATGTAGTTCCGTTGTTATAAAACTTGAATCAGCTTGACCTGTTTTAATCTTTTCTTTTTTGACCATGACGGGAGTGGTTTTGCGAACAAAGAAAAAAAAAATAACAATGAAAAAAAAAATAGTAATAACAATAGCATTTGTGTTTGTGTAAGTATTTATTTTGTTTTTCTTTTACGACAAAAGAGACAGCAATTATTATTATTTAAGATATTTGTATAAGTTTATTTTATATTATATTTTTATATTTTATTTTATATTTTTATATTTTTATATTTCTTGTGTGATGGGGTGGGGAAGGAATCAAAAGAACTGAAATGAAATGAAATGAAACGAAATGAAATGCAAAAACAAAAAACAAAAACAAAGAAAACAAGAAGACACGTAATCTGCTTTTAGATTATAGAAGAACAATAAACTAAATAAGATGCAAGATTAAGAGACAGAGAGAGATGTATAAAAATATACTAATATACATTGGGGGTGATCATTGACTACTATTACCATATCATAGAAGAGGTATAATTTTACAAAATGCATACACACAACCCATCCAACAACAAAATATTGTAAGCTTTCCTTCTGTCTTTAAATGTATGGTTAGATGTTATGTGACATGTGGAATAATAATAACTCTAAATCAGTCTTTAGATCATACATATAATACATACACAATGCAACGATTCTTCTTTCCTCAGTACAAGGTACATTTGCAGGATTGTGTTTAGTGTGGATGTTAATGATGATCAAAACTAGCATATAGGTGTGTGTGTCTGTGTGTGTGGCTCCTACATTATTGGTCTAGAACAATAGAAGAGTAATATAGAACTCATGAGCATATATATATATATATATATATATATATATATATATATATATGTAAAAGATTACTAATTAGTCATTCTCATCGATGTATTTGTTACACACACTCTGGTAACATCACGATTTAAAGTTGACAAGCGCACCTTTGGATCTTTTTCTCAAATGGGGAAATTGTTAGAATAGGAGATAGTTTTCACTATGATCTCAAAACGGAAACAGTTAGAGAGATGGAGAAATCAGAGTGTTATGTATATATGTATATAGACTTCACCCCAGTGGAATGTACAACAGCAGCAAACCCGCAGCAAAAAAAAAAAAAAAGAAGAAGAAGAAGAAAATGCATGACCATAAAAACTCCTAATTCGTTATCACTCTGACAGTTACATGTGAATTTGTTATTGTGTTTTTCTTCCGGCTGTTCTACTTCTTCTTTTTTTATAGTCTTTATTATCATCAGGCCATTACCATGTTATTACCATGTTATTACCATGTTATTACCATTGAGTAAATGTATTTATACTCTTATCCAATACCTCTTCGGGAACAGAGTAGTATTCGTAGTATTCTTTTATGTGCGTGATGTGTGCATTGAAAAAAAAAAAGCCCTGGCAAGTACAGAAGATGTGGTGGGTTTAGTGTGCAAATACGTCATCATCATCATCATCCATCAACAACACACTTGGGTTTTTTGTGTTATTAAAGTTACATTGTTATTCTTTTTCTTTACCTTCTCGTTTGCTATTTCCCCTTGTACCAACAAAAAATAATCAATTATTATTATTATTATTATTTTCAAGAATTGATTAGAGTTTTTTGTGTTATATCGTAACCTTGATATTGCTCTCCTTTTTTTTTTTTTTTTTTTTTTCTTTTTTTTCCCTTCTATTGTTTGAATTTATTTTTATTTTATTTTTATTTTGGGCTCCTTGTTTACCCGATGAGGAATTTTTATACATGTGTATTATATTATTATATTATTAAAAATTTTTTTTTTTTTTTTTTTCTACTTCTGTAACTAAAATTCCTTTACTACACAAATGTGATGGAGTTTAATTGAAATAATATTCCTTTCGTTTAATCAATAAAATAAATAATAACTTATAATAATAACTTATAATAATAATGATGATGATGATAACACTAAATATTTATCTAAGACAACTCCGCTTAAGTCCGATACTGCAGATCAAAAAAAAAACTGTTGACCATTTTAACCGAGAGGGGGGAGGAAATAGATTTCACTAGTTGATAAAAAGTCTAGCTTTTATGATATGTATAAAAGTGCCTCTTCTCAAATGTTATGTAACTGACTCTAGCCCTATAAAATCACATTAGAACACTACTCTTTCTGTATACTCATTGGAAACAAAATCATCCAACTTCCTTTTGTCCTTCCCTACATATATGTATAAAACCATTGCATAACAAATAAATAACCAAAATGGTTATGAGCCAATACAAACCACAACTAAAAGCCCATAGACAAAACAAAACAGTGCACAACGACGACTTGAAATAGAGATGCCTATGTAACACCTCCCCTCCTTTCTTGACTAGTAAAAAAAGAGCCAATCAAACAAACTACTTTGTGCCAGTATTACACTGTTGCATAACTTTTTAAAACATGTTTACACAAGACACGATATACTTTGACGTACCATTCACGAACCATGATCAAGTTTGACCACTTCTACAAATTACTCTCTCTATTATGAATCCCCCCACACATAAAGGGAACAGTTTCTGGAAACGTGTGGTTGTTGAAAAGCTCCCTTACAGATACACACTACCTTGAAGCACATGTCTAATGCATGCAAATTAACTCAACAGTTGCATGTTATTTTCGCAGTATTAGACCTGTGTCACTACCAAGTCTTGCGACATTGAATATTCGCGACAACGCATAGATTTCAAAGTAAAAAATAGAAATTGTGTGTAATTAGAAGCGATGCCCATCAAAGGTATACACACTCAACAACGGCAATGATGCTACGACTGTTATTGAAAACTCCAGTTTCCACTTCCTTTCTTCATACATTCATAAGAAGACAATCAAACATCGCATTACCATTTTTGTACAAATTAGAGCCAAAGTGTCGGTCATGTGGAATTCGATTACAAACTACTGATCCCACAAAGCCTGGTTACTTTATTCAACCAAAGAATGAAGCCACGTCTAAATCAAATGATAAAAAGTATATTAAACACGAGAACCAAGTGTTTGATAAGTTGAAAAATGAATTACCTCCAGAGGAGCAGGAATTATTACTAAGTAACACATTTACTACAAATCCACCAGAAAAGAAGCAAGATGCTTTCTCTTGCTCCTCTTCTTCTTCTTCTTCTTCTTTTTCCTCCTCAGTTAATCAGGATGGTGAAACTGTACGTCAAGTAATTGAGAAATTGTATACGGTTGAACCAGACGAAAATAGCCATGATTGTATTCGATGTCGACAAATGACATACAATTCCAACTACGAAATGGATTCGAAAAATTATCCCATTGATCAACTAAATCATGTTCTAAACAACATCCCCATTGACTCACCAGTGGTTTATTTATTCAGTGCTAGTGATTTCCCCATGGGTATCAATCCCGATATTTTCAATTATCGTCAACCTCAATATGTATACTTCATCATGACCAAGACTGATAATTTAATTGAAAAGACTAAAGAGGCGTCACAAAATTACACCAAACAATTTATTCAAGATTATTTATACATCAAATATGGAGTGCCTCGCAACCATGTTTTCATATCACTGGGTAAAAATAATTGGTCATGTCAACAATTGTATCATTTCATACCTAATGGATCCTACATTATAGGTAACGCCAATTGTGGTAAATCAACACTAATCAAGAGCCTTTTACTTGATGAAGAATTGCAAAAGAAAAAACAGTTGCAATTGAATAGTAAACATGAAAATGTCAAATTGCCACCAAGTTTGATCAATAAAGTGAAACAAAAATTTGTCACGTCATTTATGAATAAAGTCGGTCCTGGAATTTCATATTTACCGGGGTTCACTCGTGATATCATCCCCGTGGAAATCGGGTTGAAATTGGTTTATGACGTACCAGGATTCAATTCGGATTCCAAAACCATGCACAAATTATACGATTCATTTAAATCTTCAAAAGATATTCATCGGTTAATTAAAGGCGCATCAACATTTACCAAAGGATTGTACAAGTCACCTTATGTGACCATCAAAGGACCTCAAGTTGTCAATTTGGAAGGGTTGGGGTTTTTACAGTTACCTAGAAGCGCCATATACCAGTTGCGTAATGTCACCAATATCCAACCACATATATTCAGTAATATACACAAAGTTGACACATTATTGCAGAATGGAGTACCACAACCACTACAAAATAAATTCGCCATCAACATCAATGGCAAAACACTTCTAGACTACAACAAGTTTCTAATCCCACCATTTTATGGAACTATTGATCTAGTGTTTGAAAACTTCGGATATCTCAACTTGAAACCAGTTGGCGGCAAACATACCAATGAACTAATCAAATTGTACTTGTTCCCTGGTGTTAAAGCAATTGTTCGTGATCCTATAACTAATTATATTGCAAAGACGTTTAGTGGATTGGACAAATATGGACAACCGGTGCCCAAGCAAGATTATTTTAAAAAGAGTAGGTTTCGATTGACACGATTCAAGAATGAGCATCCGATTTATTCACAATTGTGTCCCGCGGTGGGGAAGAGCGATGAAAACGGAGGCTCTGCTATTGAAAGTCCTGATGAAGATGATTATGATGACGAGTACATGAAGAAAAAAGTTCGTGATGATGAGTATAGACAATTGAATGAATGGGTGGGAAACAGTAAAAGAGATGATGGCGATGATAAGTTGAGTCTGGTGCTGTATGATGATGATTATGTTATGCAGGATCAAACAAAGTTTAACTTTTGGAAACAGTGAGGTGGACCGATGAGGTTTAGGAGATGTTATTGGATATTCCTTTTTGGATATAAGACACACTTGAATAAAGTAATTAATAAAATTGAACAGAGTAAAGAAGAATAACATAGTTGAGTCTGTTCTAATATGAGATATCATTGAACCCATAACTCTGAAAGTGAGTGCCAATGACGATATACTTGTGCCACTACGTTCCATACATGTATTGATGCTTACACCACATTTGTGAGATTCTTTAAAACAAAAAAGAAAAAAAAGAAAAACGCGCCACGCGTATCCTTGAGCGCATGTTATTTTGTTTTTTTTTTTTGTCAATTTGGTATTGTTTAAAGGGAAAAAAGGATTCTTTTGTGTGATGATAACCCAAAACCAAAAACTATATTGTAATTCCATTTTACAAATATGGTGAGAATGTGATACCGTAATGCACATATTGCTGCCAAAGTGATTGCACTTATAAAGGTGAGTAATCAAAAGTTGGGTAATTTGATTGGTCATTAGTTGATTGACGATGATTTTGTAAAGGAGATTTGTGTAAAGAGTAAAAAGAAAGAGAGGGTTATAGCAAAGATTAGCCTCATGAGGCTTTAAAATGAACTTGTTGTTCGTCATATTACTGGACTGAATGTTCTTTTAAACGCTCAAGAGTAGCTACATATAATTAATTGGCTCGTTTAAACGAAATCGGATAGTTCTTTTTTAGGCTTGTTCTAAACCATTTAGACCAAAAAAATTAAAAAAAATAAAAATGCAGTCAGTTCAAAGGCGTTTTTATTGATTGTATTTCTCTTTTGAACTTCAGACAGTGGGAAAGATAGTTGGATTCAGTAAAGTGTTAATGAAGATGGATGCGTTTATGGTATTGGAACAGGGCGATGGTGTCCAGTTGATTGCGGGGGTATCACGTGATGTATTGGTTAGCTGTTATTGTTTGCTACAAACCGATGTATTTATAATTATGACAGAAGTAGTAATTGGAAAATTACGATTGATTTTTCGTGTTTTTGTGTAATATTCTACATATTGTATGTAAAAGTACATCGAAAGGAGTTACATTATGCCTTTTGTGTAATCAATAAAAACAATGTAAACAAATCAATCAAAGAACTGACAAAAAAGGAAGGCTAAAGAAGTTGAAAGGAAGGAGACAGACTATATATATATATGTATATATATATATATCACAACTCATTCGACTTGATACTCTTGGGTAAACACTGTGGAGAATTAGATCACTATCAACAAGAAGACACCAATCATTCCTTCAGAGCTGCTAGTTTGAAGTTACATTTTGTTCACGATATATAATATTATACAAGGCTGAAAATTATAATTAGCAACTGCCTTTTTCCTGTTCAAACTCGTTCGATAACCAAAATCACACGAGAAAACTGTACCACCAACTACACCCGACAACTGCAACCACAGCTACTGCCTCCTGCCCTATTTCCCTTTCCACCACCTTTTTCTCCTCCTCCGCCTTCTAGCCACTATGTTGCGCAGTCAAAGTATATCCGATATCAACGAGAAAAAGACCTCATCCACTTCGAAACTATTCAGTGCTTTCAAAAGACTGAGTAATAACGGAACTGGATCCACTGACGTACAAGAAAAGAGGAAATCACGTCCCTTGAGTACTAGTATATCTGCACTTAACTTGAAAATATCTTCACCTATAATGAATCAACAATCAGATACCTCCGCCACCACAACTGCTACAACTAAAACTTTATTGGAATCGCCCGATTGTGATGATAAAGAAAATATGTACCAGCGACAACAAACCCATCATCAAAACTCCAAGTTGAAGACTAGATCGAGCACGCCTAATTTGAACCGTCGTTCATCTATCATTTTCTCGAATTCGGAATCTAAGGCAGCAGCGGCCACCAACTTGGCTGCAATGGCAACTGCAAGAATGCTTAGAACTAACAATAGGTATTCCTATGTTGCTGGTAACAATGTCCAAGTTCATAATAACAAAACCATCACCAATAATCATCATGCAAATGCAAATGCGAATGCGAATGCGAATGCGAATGCGGCTACGACTGCGACTACGACTGCGTTTACATCTACCCATATCAGCCCGGTAACGATTTCATCACAATCAGACTCCATTTTTGACCAATCTTCAATCAATTGTGTTGATGATGATGGCGGTAATAGTGAAGATGGTACATCTTCAGACCTTTCATCGATTCACACAGCAGAAACAAGTAACGAACATTCAAACTATACATACCACACCAAAAATTCCAAATTTACCACCAACAATACCCAAACAAGGCACAAATCAAATTCAATCATGCCCGAATCACCATCCTCATCCATCATATCCACATCAATCCCTAAAAAATTGCATCGCACGACAAACTTGTACAATTTGCACGAATTCATCAACAAGTTGAGCATCGACTCTGCATCATTACCAATTTCGCAATCACAATCACAATCACAGTCGCAAATGTGTCCAATGAGTAATCGACAATCGATTGAATTTGAAAATCAAGAAATCAAACAATTGAATCAACAATTGAACCAGGAGGCAAACTATCAATGTCATGTGAAACTTGTGGAGAACATCTTATTCATGACCACTACTGAAGTATCCACCACCACCGTTGGCCTGGGAATGTCTGGCGATAAAATTAAATTAGGGTCCAGTGTTGACTTGGATTGGAATGATGATGATTTTTTAAATATTTTACAAAATGAAGATTATAACCACTTTGATTCCTCTTGTTCAATGGAGAGCTGTTTTGAATCTGATGGTGATCAATTATACCTAATGTATTGAACATGGAGAAGGAGAAGACTGTATATTTCGTTTTATATACTTATTTTGACAATTTTATTGGTGACTTTGATGGTACCTGAACAAAACTCTGACTACTGGCTCCCCACTCATTTCTCTTTTCTTGGCCTCTCTTGTCCAGTTAAATGCATCAGCCAGAATTTTGTTTTCAAAACTAACCATTCCTTACTTTCTGCTGCAAAAAGAGAAAAAAAAAAAAAAAAAAAAGAAGGAACAAACAAAGATACTACAGATAATACGACAACACTACTCCATCAAACACCACCACACACGAAGTTTAAGAAAAGAAAAAAAAAATATGCGGCTTCTGTGGCTCGAACACAGTACCTCCAGATCTTCAGTCTGACGCTCTCCCAGGTGAGCTAAAGCCGCGTTAATAAGTTGAAAGAAGAACCCACGCCGGGATTCGAACCCGGAATCCTTTGATTAGAAGTCAAAAGCGATAACCATTTCGCCACGCAGGCTGATCTTGCTGATTGGGATCTACGTGCTTCTCCCCACCTTGTAAATTCTGTGACTTTCTCGCTTTTGAATTATCCTTGAAATGTGCAATTTGAAGATATTAGTCAGTTTATTGGTCTCTTTTAAGCTTGGTTGGTAAGTAAGTTTTGGTCGTTTTTTCTTGAGTTGTGTGCTTAAGAGATGCGCAAGTTTTGTAAATTTTCACAAATTTTTTGCACCAAGTTGATTGCAAACTGTCGTTGAAGAACGCTAATATGTTTAGCGAAACATTTCAAACGTGAATGAAACTATGAGGTACTTTGATTCGGGTTTGAAAGATAGTTACTCCTGATGCTGAATAATTACAAGTATTGCCTCAAATGTCATACGGAAGTGACAACTACCAAACGCAAAGCAATACAAGGCACTCAACACGAGCAGAAACAAAGTATGTTGCACTAGAGGCCAACCTAGCTATATAGCGTCTTATGGCTTCATTGAATACAACGACGACCTAAATCAACACAAACTAACAAAATACTGCAAAAAGCATCGACCCTTTTCACAGAATATCACTCAGAGTCAGAGAAGGAGAGGGTTGCAAATAAAACTGTCCCAGTAATTTCTCCACAATTCTGACAATGATGTAGCTCTAATCAGTGTGAACTGGCCTAGTGTTGAAACTTCCACTTCAAAATTGTTTAAACTTTGAAGACGCATTTACACAAATATGAGCAACTGAGGAGAGGTTTTCAGTACTAGTAAAATTGAAACAAAAAGTATGTTTGATATATACATAGGCAAATAAATGGAAGTCACGACGAAATAAACTGTATTTAAAAATAATGGATTTCTCGCAAATTGGATAAACCGAAATGAAAATAACCTGAAGATATAATTGATTGTGTTTGTGTTATTTTTTGCCTTTTCTCTCTTTTGTTGCACCTTTCTTGTTACCTTTCCTATGTGCCTTCAATCATCTAACACAACGTTTACGATGTGTGTGACCTGCTAGTGAACCATAATATGACTTGCACTTAGTACAGTCATACCTGCAATGAAAATAATAGTTGCAAAATTGGCTGCATGATGAGAGGGCAATTTTAGGGAAATTGTTATCATTGTCCGTGCTTGTTGTCGATGTTCCAACCGCTTCCACATTACTCAGTTCCCAGGTAGCAGAACCATCGTTGGAAGCATCTTCTGAATTCAACTGGGCGACAACTTTGTTCAACCAATCATCTGCATGTACTGTAGTGTTTAATCTGATAGAATCAGTAACAGTGCCGTCTTCTTTCATCGTTTTGATTATTATTTCATAATCGCTTTCACCAGGTCCAACGAACTCGTATGTGTAAGGGTCAATTACTTCTGGCCATGAGCTATACCTCTCTAATGATAACGGTGTTAATATCCTATGGAGATCTGCCATATCTGTCGTATCTAAGTTTATCTAGTATACTCATCGAACATTATAAAGCACATTGGCGATTCACTTCTATTTATACTGTGGTAAGGTTTAAGGGCTTCAACAACCATTAACTTCAACCTCCACAGGGTTTAAATTGTGTTTCCATATGTGATCTATTATTTTTTGCGCTCACGTGGAGTGCGTCTATTTTTAGTTATCGCATTTTTTTTGACATTTTTAATTAAATTCAAGTTTGTGACATACCGAAAACCGGATAACCAGTCCTGACCATGTTGGCAAATCACTGAGCAAGGTTCGCGGAGTTTAGTCAAGAGCACGAGCAGCTTCTGATTACCTTTTACAGAATTTAGTTGTAGAAAAGTGGCGAGATTGTTTTATTTTCCTACAAAATAACAATTACTTTATAGTCACTGCCTGTTGCTTTCGTAACTACGTAGATTGGTTAATTCGAATAGTTTTGTAATTGCTGCTGATTCTTGATTGATTTGATCCGATACTTGAGCACCGGTACTTATTTGATTATTTAGTATGCTGGATTGATTTCGGTTGTAGCAGTAGACAAAGCAACGCCAAGTTGGTGCACATTGTTAATTTACACAATAACAGCTTTTTCACATACTTTTATTGCGTCTCAATCTTTCTTGTGTAATCTTTTGTATATAGCGCTTAATTTCATAACACCCTAGGATTTGTATACTTCAAACAATCACGTCCAGAGCGCAACTCTTGACCAACAAATATCAAAATTCATCGTGTCATCATGCTTGTTTTCTCTGAACTTGATTTGATTGGGTAAAAATGTAATCAGTCTTAACTAACCATATATCCAACAAAAATTCAAGTTTAATGAATTAGCATTTTTATTGTTTAAAAGGTCGGCTACAATATGATTGAAGGTATCTCCGTGAAGTGTCACCTAATAAGACTAAAAGATAAAGTTATTGTTTCAAAATAATCGCCCACAGATTGCCAACAGATAGCAAGAAGAACTCAATTCAAAGAGTATCAATGAAAAGAAAATGTTTTATTTGTAAAAGAGCTTACACGTGATAATATGAGCTCAACACAATTATAACACACATACTTCCGTACTTAACCCAATTTAAAAAACACATGGAAATGATATCTTCGACGTATTTCATTTGTCACCAACATTCAGCTCACATGTAACATTTTCATTGCCAGCGTCTTCTGAATTCAACTGGGCGACAACTTTGTTCAACCAATCATCTGCATGTACTGTAGTGTTTAATCTGATAGAATCAGTAACAGTGCCGTCTTCTTTCATCGTTTGGATTATTATTTCATAATCGCTTTCACCAGGTCCAACGAACTCGTATGTGTAAGGGTCAATTACTTTTGGCCATGAGCTATACCTCTCTAATGATAACGGTGTTAATATCCTATGGAGATCTGCCATATCTGTCGTATCTAAGTTTATCTAGTATACTCATCGAACATTATAAAGCACATTGGCGATTCACTTCTATTTATACTGTGGTAAGGCTTAGGCGCTTCATTAATCCCCGTTCTGCGTGAGGCACGACTAAATTTCAAAGTTTTTGTGATTTGATGTTTATCCTACAGCACCCACCAACAAAGATATCTTTCTATAGCTCAAATAGGGGTTACCACGAAGCGTTTTTACATAGCCAACTTATAGCAAGAAGAGTTGCATGCACGACACTAAATAACGTTGCTACTTTTGAAATAAAAAAACATCATCAATCATATTAATTTTACGTCTTAGATATCTCCCTACTTGGTTGCAATCTTTTGATCATTATTGGACGCATTCTTATCACTATCCATTTCCCCTTCTTCAAGCTCCTCATCCGAGTCAATAACATGCATATTAGCATGAAACCTTTCAGGGCCCAAAAATATACAGATAATCATGTAAATTGAAACAGCTGCTGAAAAAATGCACATGACTTTACCATAATCATAAACTCCATTTTCAAATCCTTCAAGTGGGAATTCTTCACCGAGACGAGCTTCAATTGTAGCACTAGCTGAACTGACCAAATTACCCAACTGATAAGCCAAGCCTGCTAATAAAGTTCTGTTGGCTTTGTTGACCATTTCCAATAAATAAATTGGACCGATTCCCCATGCACCCATAACACCCACATTCAACATGACATAGGCCCACCAATTTTTGTCGGCATTGTAAAAGGAAGGGTATACAAATGCACAACACCAGACCATACAGATAATCACCGTCAATCTTCTCCCAAGCAATTTGGAAAGCGAGCCCATCACGATACCACCAACCATACCACCAATGTTGCTAACGACAACTATAATTGTTTTCAAATCCAACCCCACTCCAAATTGATTGGTAATCATTGTCACATACAAATCTTGAGCTCCATGTGTGGTGAAGTTCCAACCACTATACAACAAAACAAGATAGATGAATAATAACCACTCGGTCTTCAATGTTTGAAATACACTAGTATCAATATACTTGTGTTTAACTTTATTCTTTTCATTGAATCTCTTCTTTTTGGCCTTCATTTTGAGAAACACCGGTGATTCTGGAAGCAATAATCTCCAAACAACCAACAAGACACTCAACCCACCACTAAACCAGAACAAACTTCTCCATCCTTCCCCTTCTCTAAAAGTACCCGAGAAAGCACGGTAGAATACCATTGCTAAGATATAACCAAATGAATAACCAGGTAAGAAGAATCCCGACAATACCGATCTAGCCACAACTGGTTGTACTTCCAATGAAGTAACCATGGTCACTGGCAACATACTACCCATCAATATTCCAAATAGTGCTCTGACACCAAGAAACTGGTGATATGTCTGCACCAACCCAGTGCCAATTTCAACAACAACAAACAATGCACAAAGAACAATAAATGTCCATTTTCGACCATATCGATCAGAAGCAATACCAAATATAACGGCACCAATGGACCTAAACATCAAGACCAAAGTCATACCCCAAGTGATATCAGTAACACTAACGCCTAAAGTAACAGCGATTTCAGGAACAGCAACTGACACACAAAAGAAATCCATAGCATCAATTGCCCAACCACAATATCCACACAAGTAAAAATTCCATTGCATCCATGTCATCTCCTTCAATGCTGGGATAGGGTTGATTACGTTATACCACTTCTCATCTGTGTGGCGCCATGGTATATCAAGCAAAGTAGGCAACCGTGTTGAAAGGTATTTGGATACACCTTTGGCTGATAAATCGGGTTTATCATTGAACAAATCATTTTTGGAAGGACGGGTTGAACCATTACTGGCACTATCATACGGAGTCAATTCGTCCACCGTGGCAGTGGCCGTATCTTTAGGATCATTCATATTTGTGATGGTAGAAAATTGGCGCAAAAACCCATTCACTCTTGCAAGGGGTGACTCGTTTTTACCTCTTTTTATACCCTCAGTCAACTTCAATTGCAAAGACTTCTGAGGGGGGTTGTGATTGCCAAACTAAAGAGAATTGCTGCTTTCCCCTCACCGTTTTCTCTTCCCCTCTTGGTCATGACACCCATTCCGGAGCTTTTCTTATTGGACGTGCCTTTTTCTTCGGCAAGATGTTATCACCAAAACAAAGTTTCGGAGGGCGGAGATGAGGGGATGACGTGTGTGTGTGTGGGGGGAGGGGGGGAAAGGGAAAGGTGTATAAAGTTTGTGGAGTTGCACGGCGTTCACATAAACTAAGTTATCGGCTTCCCACGGTCAAACTCTAAAGAGTTTGGGTATTTTCTTGTATCAAGTTCGTTTGTTTTCGTATTTTTTTTTTTGTACGTGTTTGCAGCCAAAATTCTAAAAGATCTATTTTCATGTTACATTTATGTGCTTTTTTGCTTGGTTCAAAATAGCGCAAGTTGTGAAAACTGCGGGGATGCAATGTAGCGCAAGCTGCCGCATAGACGACGCAACCACAAACGTTACTTTGCGACGCATGACATATATCACGTCGTTCGAATATTATTTATTGTTAAGCTCCGGTGCGCAATTCTTGGCAGAAATATAGCAGTTATGACGTACAATTTTGTAACTGTATTTTACAAAACTGAATAGATAGATAAAGTTTATACATTTTATTATCTTGGAATGCACATTCCCGGAGTATCGATTAAGCTAAGCGACATCACCAAAAGTGGTGTTTCTAGTCGTTGATCGACTTTTTAGTCACAATTTGCGATGACTTATTACATACAACAAGACAATAAATAAAACATTCATTCATGATTACAAATCTGTTACTATCGTATGTACTTTCAATTTATTGAGCCCGTAAAAGAAATGGGAAAGCCAAAAAGCTCTATTTTGTATACTCCTTTGCCTCAATAGTAAACGGAAATCCGCCTTTGAAATTCCCCACAATGACGGCATAGTTGTCTCCAGTATTTGATATATGGAGGTGCAGAACTGCATGTAACTTGTCACTACCATCAAAAGTTACTATCCCATCTTCACCAATATCAGCTTTCAATGGAGTTCCCAAACTCAACAGTAAGATATCCCCACCTTTTGTAAGGCCAAGTTTCAAATTAGGAGTAACTTGGAAGTAAAATTCTTGTTGTTCATCATTATACGTTAAGATAGAAGCGGGGGTTGAGCCATCATTTTGAACAAAAAAATAGTCAATTGCATCCCCTTCAGGAAGAAAAGTTAATCCATGTCCATTAATCTCGTCATATTCAGATTTTGCAAAGAATTGATAGCGAGTCTTGGCAGCCAATGTTTGAGCAGCAAAGGCGATGATTGAGATGTATTGGAATAGTTGCATATCCGATACAAATTTATGAGTATGATACCAAGAAGAGCAGAAAATCGTTACTTTGGGGTTAGTTGGTTTATATAATGACCAGTGCACACAACACATACAGTATGGTGCTTTCCTGTTAGTTTATTTGCTTTCGAGAGAGTTATATTTGTATTGTAAGCTCAAAACTGTGGCATCGCCTATGTTTTGGTTTTATTTTTGGAAATCAAAAATATACCAGTTCGGATTTAGGATAAACGGTGAAAATCGAATTCTATTCACAGTAAATCTTAAATAGAGCTTTTCCGGTATTTAGGAGTTACGATCGAACAAGCTCAAAAGTTCTTCATCACCAAAAATACGTTAATATAGTGAAGCTAACCCCATACGCTCCCTCACTTCGTGAAAGATGTTCATTGCAATAATTTTTCTTGAACACTAGATTGCAAAATATAGAAGCCATCACTACATTACTTCAAATCAAGACGCAATGTTTTTCGTGTTTTCGACTATAAAATCTAATAAGAAATAAAAGAACACCTTAAATAACCTGCGCCACTCCTTGAGCCCCTTCAGTCAGCGTATTCCCTTGCTTCAATAGTGAATGGAATTCCATCACCTTGACCGCCAATAAGAACAGCAAAATTGTTCTTAGAGTAGTCGTTAGGGTCATGAATGTCCTTCTTTGCGAACAATGAGTCACTACCGGTGAAGGAAAGAATACCACCGTCACCGATTGTAGCTTTCAATGGTGGTCCTGGTCTAAACTGCAAAATGTCTCCCACATTTCTAACAAACTCTTTGATACCCGGCTTTACTTCAACAAAGAATTCTTGCTGCACGTCATCGTACTCAACGACAGAAGCAGCAGTGTCAGCGTTGTTGTTGGAAATGAAATAATACTCAACAGGATCAATCTCTTTAATGTGGTACAAACCGTGACCATCAATCTCCTTGTTATCTGACTTGACAAAGAACTGGTATCTAGTGACTTCAGCTAAGGCTTGAGTAGCAATGGCCAAAATGGAAAGTGGCTTGAAGAATTGCATAGCGTTAAGAGTTGTTTGGTAATTTCTAAATATTAGTTTCGATTGATACAATCATGAGGCCAATGAGGGCTGCAGTTTGTCGTTTATATATTCATCGGACTGGAAGCTTTACTCACTCCATGAACTGTGCAAAATTTTACAAGGAAGACGTGTTCACTGTCTCTACTTATCAAGAGAAGGTATGTTACTAGTGTTTTGATATTCTTGCAACTTAATCCCGAAACTTGACCCCTTGCATACTCTTATAACCGTGTTCTATTTTTGGAAACAAACAGTCCCATAAAATAAGATCTAAGGCTTGCAATGCCATGTAGTAGCATTTTGAAAAACACTATCTGTACACTAAACAATGAAGCTGAACTAGAGGAGACCTTATCCCCCTATTGGAGGGCAAACGTTTTTAAATTTGTTGCACATCCTTTTGTGGTTACTCACAGCGGAATTAAGAAGTCGGAGTAAGCAAAAGTCATCTGGTGTCTACAGTTCACAGCTTCGATGTCAATGTATCGGTTTAAAGCCCGAAATTTCTTGGTAACGTCACATAACTGTACTAACTTGGAGCTTTGCAACTTGTTCCGATTTATAAAAGGAGTTCACGTTGTTAAATCCGAAGATGCTCATTAAACTCCACATTGTCCAAGCCCTAATGTAAGGGGGCATTGAACAATGCAGGAACAATAATACATCGAACAAGAGTGAATGTTGCTATTTATAGTTTGGATTGTAAACACAACGAAGGAGTACATATATGAGACAAAAGTCACACTCTTGTGAGTTGTTACAACTTCACCAAACACTTCAGAATCCACTTAAAATGCAATTCTTCACGTCAGTTTTCATTTTGGCCTTTGCTGCACAGGCTTTAGGTGCTTTAACTCAGTATCAATTCTTTGCCCAATCAGACAACGATGAAGTTGATGGTCACGGGTTGTATTTCTATAATGAAGGGGGTGTCATCAATTATTACTTTATTTCAAATGACACAGATGCATCCTCAGTATCAATTGTTACTTACGATAATGAAACTCAAGAGTTTCACCGCCAAGTTAGCCCACAAGCCAAGTATTTCGTTACTAACACAAACAGTATTTTTCAATTGAGCGGACAAGGTGAGCCATTGAAGGCTCCAATTAGTGCAAGTGGCGAAGTTTACTTTGGAAGTGGTGTAAAACTTTATGCAGCAAAAAACTATGGTGATCCAAAAGGCTATTCTGACTTCAATTATGGTGTTCTTACAAGAGATGTCGAGAATTCTTTTGCGATTACTATTATTGCAAGAAAATATGAATCGTAATAATGTGAGACAATGGCATATATCTAGAGTTGGGTATATAGATTCTTGCTAGAATACTAGTTGAAATGCAAATGACAGTGGTGGTTCCTGAATGTAGAGCTAATTGATCCTCTAAGCTTCAAACTTGTGTTCTTGTAGATATGCCACGGCGACAGTTTCATATTATGAAATATATGATATAGTAAAACAACAATGTAATTTCTGTTAATCTCATTAGGTCCCTTATGCATAATACGTGAATCTACAGCTCCAATTCACTACATTTCGATACTCTCAAGGACTTCTCTTTATAATAGTCTACTTACTCTGGCTCCACAATGGCTAGCCAACGAACCTCAATCTAAGAACTTTCGTACTTTCTTGCTTCAATGCTGATTGGAATTCCACCATGGTCATCTTTAACAGTAACTGCAAAGTTTTCTTTAGAGTATCCATATGGATCATCAATGCTCTTCACCACACTCAACAATTCACTGCCATTGAAGGAAATAATACCATCATCTCCAATTGACGTCTTTAATGGTTCGCCAGCACTCAATTGCAAAATGCCTCCCAGGACTGTCAATACAAACCTAATTTGGGGATTAACTTGGTAGTAGAACTCTTGAGTCTCGTCATTGTAAGTAACAACAGAAGCTGACGAAGTTTCGGTATTGTTTGCAAGGAAATAATAGTTGATAGCAGCACCTTCATGAATATAGTATAAACCATGTCCATCTAATTCTTTGTTACCCGTTTTGGCAAAGAATTGGTATTGAGATAAACCTGCAAAGGCTTGAGCAGCTAAAGCTAAAAGTGATACTGATTTGAAAAATTGCATTTTTTTGATGATGTGATTGTGGGTTTTCAATTGTTGATAACTAGATGGAGTGGACTGGAAAGAAGGGAAACTTCAGGTGCTTTATATATTGATCTATGTCCCTCTCTGGGTACCCTTTTCGTTCATCAGATGTTCAACTATTATTAGTAACATGGTAACTGTTGTTTGTTTTGAATATTGTCATACAAAGCAACTGATTGGTTACACTCTATTGTGATACTATTGTTTGCTCCTGAAACCTCAGATCCTGAAATAATTTGTGTAATTGGAATCTTCATTACGTCATCGAACTGCATGGAAGTTGCAAAAATTGCAACACAAAACGCTTTTTTTTACCAAATTATTTTTGGAAACAAACAAATAAACAAAGCTCACTGCCCACCTCCAAGCTCGCACTACAACAGATCTACCCCTAAAAGGTGTCAACTTTATGGCTGCAAAAGAGGGGGATAGTAGCACAAACGGAAGTTATACATCACACCCTGCCCCTATTTTCACTCTTCCTATACGACAACTTTTGTGTCCGTGAACATGACCTTTGTTGTTACACTTACAATTAAACTAGCTTCTCTTGCCTAAAAAATTACGTCAATTCTTCTCAGAGATCTCTAAGCCACTACACAACCAACAGTTCACAACGGAATACTGTCAACCATAATCTTCAACAAGGAGTCAATCACCGCAGTTGCAGCTAAAGCAGTTATCCCACTATTTGTATCATACGGTGGGCTGACCTCAACAACGTCAGCACCCACTATGTTACAACCCAAATCGGTGTCTCGCAAGCCATCTAATATCGCTAAAAGCTCTCTTGTTGTGAAACCGCCAACTTCCATTGTTCCAGTTCCGGGTGCATAAGCTGGATCCAAAACATCTATGTCCACAGAAATGTACACAGGGGTGCCTTCTTTAACATCCTCTGCTGTATAACTTTCAACCAACTCTTTAATGATGCCCTGCACTCCAATCCTATCAATTGATGTAGCTTCAATGATTTCAAATCCGCATTCAGCATCATGCCTCAGGTCGAATCCAGGATCAACCAATGGTGCACGAATACCGACATGGTAATTACCTTTATCAACAATGAACCCCTTTTCATGAGCATAATGCAAAAACGTTCCATGATTCAAACTCATGTAATTGGTGATGCCCCCACCTAATTTTTTTGGATCCCAGGTGTCAATGTGTGAATCAAAGTGGATGACCTTGATTGGTTTTTGCCATTGCTCATACAAATTGCGTAATGCCATTAATGTAATAGTATGATCTCCGCCCATTGTGATTACTCGTGGCACTTGATACACTTTACCTTTGTGATTATTGACAATTGCTCTATGACCACGATAAAGTTGATTCAATGCAATCCTATTATCAAATGGATTCATTGCTACATCTCCACAATCAACAATGGAGTAGCTGTGTAGCTCATCGCTTTTTCTGTGCCTATTCTTTGGGCCTTGCTTCTTGGTAGATGATGGGTAACTTAGTCTTTTGGCGGTTGATCTAATTGCATCAGGTCCAAATCTAGCACCGGGTCTAAAGGAAACACCAGTGTCAAAAGGCGCACCAACAATTGCCACGTCTATTGGCTTATCTTGGTTACCCTTGAAACAATTGATATGTGGGAGATGTGCATATGTGACAATACCTCCAAACATATTTTGGTCCATTTCAATGTCCGAGACATCGTCCTTATCAGGGTATTTAACTTCAGGTCTTGTTTTTAAATGATTACGAACAATGTTTTCATAATAAGCATCGGGGAGTTTTTGCTCTTGACTGGAATACACATCATAACTCTCCTCCTCTGTAAAAAAGGTAATTTGTTGAAAATTGGGTTGCTTATAATTTTCATGTACCAAATCACCGTACAATTGATCGAGCAAGGACGAGCCAGCAAGGTAATGAGCAGCTGCTGCTGAAAGTATAAACCAACAAAAATGCATCAAATGATCTACTGATTGTGTAGATGCACAAGCATCTCGTGTCGGGGCTATTCTATTTATATGGTTCCAAATATGAGCGGAATTTTCATTTTCATGCCCCCAACATTTTTTCCAAATTTCGCGATTTCCAAAAGAGGTAATAAATGTTGCGCACAGGTAAAAAGCTCCTTTACACATTATACACAACTAATCTAAGCTTTTGAGTTGGACTTTCTCCTTACTCTCTGTATCTTCCATCCCCACGCTTTCCTTATTTCCAACGTCTGTGTTATTGTGGAACTTTTCAGGTCCAAGGGTGATGCAGACAATCATGTAAGCAAAAATAGCACCACAGAATATGCACATGACTTTCCCATAATCGTACATGTCTCCGGCACCACCTTCAAGTGGGAACAGTTCCCCGAGTCTAGCTTCAATTGTAGCACTAGCTGAACTAACCAAGTTTCCCAATTGGTACGCCAAACCTGATATTAAAGTTCTATTCGCTTTGTTAACCACCTCCATCAAGTACACTGATGAGATGCTCCAAGATCCCATATTACCAGCAATCAAAAAAACATAGGCCCACCAGTTCTTATCCGCATCAAAGAAAGATGGGTATAAGAAAGCACTACTGAAAAGAATACATATGACAACAGTAAGTCTTCGGCCAAGGAGCTCTGAGGCATTTCCCATAACGGAACCACCAATCATGCCGCCAATGTTACTCACAACAACAATCACAGTCTTTTTGTTTATACTCACATTAAACTGCTTGGTAAGCATAGTGACGTACAAGTCTTGCGAACCATGGGTAGTGAAGTTCCACCCGCTGTATAACAATACAAGATAGATGAATAATAACCATTCAGTTTTCAACGTTTGCAAAACACTCTTGTCGATAAACCCAAACTTGGGTTTACTCACCTTGTTGTAACGCCTTTTTTTCTCCCTCGTTGCAAGGAAGTCAGGAGATTCAGGTATCAAAAATCTCCACGCAATTAGCAACACACTCAACCCAGCACTGAACCAGAACAAGCTCCTCCAACCTTCACCTTCTTTGTAAGTGCCCGAGAAAGCCCTATAGAACACCATTGCCAAGATGTATCCAAAGCAGTATCCTGGAACAAACAAACCAGATAACGCAGACCTAGCTACTGTCGGCTGACCTTCGATTGCCGTCACCATAGCTATAGGATACATAGCACCCATTAAGATACCAAAGATAGCTCTAACTCCCAAGAACTGCTGGTAGGTTTGTACAAATCCAGTACCTATTTCAACGGGGATAAATAATCCACAGACCGCAATATAGCACCACTTTCTGCCGAACCTGTCAGCAGCAACTCCAAAAATGATTGCTCCTACTGATCTAAGCATCAATACCAAAGTCACACCCCAAGTTATATCAGTCACACTTACTTTCAAAGTAGCAGCAATTTCAGGAGCCGACACAGAAACACAAAAAAAGTCCATTGCATCCAATGACCAAGCAAGGAAACCCAAGAAATAAAAATGCCAGTCCAAAGTTGACATCTCTTTTAAGCCAGTAATAGGATTAAGGACTTGGTACCATTTCTTTTCCTGGTAGTACAATGGTAAATCCAACATCTTTGGAATTCTTGTGGCAAGATAGTTTTTGATAGATGGCCAGGATAAATCAGGCTTTTCGTTAAATAAATCATGATGGTCATCCTCAAGAACCAGCTGATGACTCGATGACGAGTAAGGTGATATGTGTTCAACTTCAACTTTATCTTTCATTTTGTTTGGGGGAGAGACTAAAGATCAACATAAATCAAGGAGTTACTGTTGACTTAAATACACGAGATTTGGTTTGTATTGTTGAGGAGCCGTCATCACCAATTGTTCTGTGTTGCCAAGTTTTCATCAACTGCCTTACAGTGAAATCCTTTCCGCGAATGCGGAGAGAGAACGATTCATCAGAAAATGATAGTGTTGTATCTCCGTCTGATTCATTTCCCAGCAACGTTTTACTCGATTGTTTTCACATTGTTGCGAAATGAGATAAAATGATAACTGAAGAGAGATTTTTAATCCCTTTTGCAGCCACTACTTGCTTTAAAAGGTGTATGCTCTCAAGGTATCACAAAAACAATGTCAAGAAAATTTGTTATGAAATTTATTTTCTGTGGGGAATATGTCCATTTTGTGCGACAAAGTCTAATTCACAGTTTCAGATTACGTTGGGTAAAGACGCAAAGTGGGGAGGGTATTCATAGTCCTTCCGGATAAAGGAGATGACTGTGGAAGCTTGGCTAATTTGAAAGTTTCTAGAAGAGTTGGCTTTGAGAAGTCAGACACGTTTCATCACAAATAACCGGTTCCTGACCCCCCTTTTCTTCTGTCAACCCGCTCATCCTAATACCAGCGGGGATGAAAGTAGATGTATATTTTTATCCGTGATTACCGAGTTGAGAAAGTAATGAAGTGGCTCTTCTAGAGAGCAGTTGATAAGAGAAATTCATGGGGAGTACAGCTGAGCATAAGCTCTTGTGTTATCAAACGAAAATACAAAACTCGGACTTGCTTTATTGCTCTCTATTAACCTCTTCAAACACAATATCACTATTTTCTTTTACAATTCCTGGTCAAATCAGGTACCCCTAAGACATACCATAGAACCCACTCACTTATTTTTCTTGAAAATGTCCCCGTAAGACGGAACACTTACTCTTTCATACCGAGCTTTAGACCAACGCCTGATAGCCTTTCCCTTCCAAATCATAATAAGATACGTTGCATTAACTGCTACTGAAAGTGCAAACATGGTAAAAGTGGTTTTCATCATTCCTTGTGCATCTATCCAAGGGGAAATGGCAAAGGAAAACCCCATACCAATCATGTTTCTAATAAATAAGATCAACACAAGACTTTCACTTGCCAACTTTTCATAACACTCCACAGCATAAACCAAGCAAATTGCACCCGATGAACTCATTGCAAAACCCATGAAACCGAGCCCAAGTACAACAAGTATTGCCCAGTGACTACCGTAGTAAGCGCCCAATCCATATGCCAAAATTCCGGCTGCATTCAAGATAGTAGGAATAAGCATAGTGTGTAATCTGTGCTCTGGCTCCATGATACCATTATTACGTCTAGCCATTCTGATTGCAAACCAGTCCACAAACTGTCCTCCATAAAACATTCCAATCACACTGCCCACAAAGAGCCCCAATGTTGTCAATCCAACATTATTGATACTGAAATTGTACGGGGGAGCTGAGAATATTGCTGATTGTGTATTCACAGTTAATGACAACCAAAACATTTGAAAACCGTAAATCATACCACTCCAAACAATAGCTGGAAATGTTAGTAGGTACAAAGGTCTCAAGAAGATGCACATCCAAGATCTTGTGTCATTTTGCTCTGTGTGATACAATTTGCGCTTTTGCCAGTAGGTCAACTTAACTTGATCCTCGTCTTCAGGTTTGGACTCAACAACAACATCAATGGTGTCTTTTACTTTGTTAGTGGGGGAATTTGCAGAAATTCCAGTTTCATGTGATTTGATTTGAGCAATAATCTCATCTTCTAATTCCTCCTCTTCATTCGTAGACCGTCTGAATGTAGTTTCTTCCATCCAAAAGATTTGAAGTATCAACAATGGTACGAATATAATAATTAGAATGTAGTAGCACCAACTCCAATCCATACTATCTGAAATATAACCAGCTGCAACGGGACCCAAATCTGTTCCCCCATATAAGGCCAAGATTAATGAACTAAATGCAGTAGACCTCTCATGTTGAAAAAACAAATCGTTTGCTGAAATTTCCACCAAAGTGTCTACAGGAGATGCAGCCAAACCAGCCAATATTCTAAAAGCGTGAAAGTAGCCGACATTCTTGGATTGGGAGCCAAAAATGCATGTAATAATGGCGAGAATCGTTCCCAATCGATAAACGAAAACCTTTCCCAATTTTAATGCAGTTGGCTGAATAAATAATACACCGACTCCCAATCCCAAATACCCAAGAGCGATAGCAACACCTAACTCAAAAAACGTGGTTTTGAATTCCACTACCCAGTCAGAAAACAACGGTGTCATGAAATTCATATTGAGAGCCAACATAAAAGACCAGAACCAAAGTAATGCAAACTGCAAGTTTCTTTTGGTCTTCGACCATCTTAATGGGTCATTGACATTAGATGATGGTTGTGGATGCAAAATGATATCACCATCGCCTTTCTTCACATTTAAAGTAGATTGCATATCCACAAGATGTACTGTTCCTGGCGGAAAGTTATAATCATCGTGTTTGAATTGGTGTTTCTCTTCGTCAGACATGGTTGAGACTCAAGAGATTAGGGGTACTCCCAAGGACTTGGTAATTGATCCTACTTTAAATAGATATCATCAGGACATTGCACTTGGGGGCTACTTACGAGGGGGAGGGGGATGAATTTGTTGGTCAATTTTAGATGCGCTTTTAGTCACCGTGCATAATCTAAAACCAAAAAATTGCATTGTATCCTCTCTAGAGCACACATTGAATGATTACAACATTGGTTAATGATTCTTCGAACTGAAGCGGTAATATTTTCCGCCTTCCACTTCAGACAGTGCTAAACTAAAAAAGCTTCTTGCTTGCACAAAATGCGTAGATTAACAGGTGTGTTTCACACTGTACAAATGAAATGGTGACCCAAAAACCCAAACACAGACGGGTAATCCACCCAGTCTCCACCTGCCAATCCTTGAAACACAACATGACTCGATGACCAAGTTGGTTGTGGACTTTCTGGAGCTGCCACTGCTGTCATCATTCATTGCAAGGGATGGGGAAAATTAACGCAGTTATCATTTTACTTTGAACCACTGGTGACTTAACAACGTCACCTTCTGCTGGGTAATTTCATGATTTGCTTTCCAGTTCCTGTTACTGTCTACTAAAGAGGGCAATTCCCCACATCAACAAGACTTTTGGCCACTTTTAAGTTCAATTTAGACATGTAACACAATAACAAATTTTTGCATCATTGCCCCATTTTTGAAGCGGGTATCTCCAACCGCAAACTCAAACATGGATGAACTAGTTTAGTTCGAGGATGTATTGAGAGGGGACAGCTTCCAAAAAATGACCAATCATTTTAGTCTCAATGGTGATCAAAGATACCCCTCTCGTAGAAGTGTCAAGCCAAATTTTAGTATTGGATTCCACAGGCTTTAACTTCTTTATGAACTGCGCAGTTTAGACATACGCCAGTTTTTCGAGATAAGCATGTTTTAGTTTGAAATTAGTGGCACTAGAATACTTGTGGGGGTACACACTTTTGCACTATCATGGAGAGATATCATTCATGACAGCCACCAATTTGTAGAAATTCCATAGGAACATGACATCCTTTTAAATTGGGGTTGCCTTTCATCTGAAAATGGAAAACATTCACATCAAGCTCATTGGTGCGAGCTTTGAATGAAACAACTGCAACATCTAGACCACTGATTGATTCTAGTGATATTGACTTTGGAAATCCCTACACTATACAACAACTTGTTCCGCGTAAACATGATCTCTTTCATTATAAATAACTAAATCTTTTTATCTGACCTTACATCATCTTCAATGCTTCCTTCTTCGAGCTGCACTTCATCATCGTCAGTCACATGCAAATTATTGTGGAACTTTTCGGGTCCTACCAAGACACATATTATCATGTAGCCGAAAACCGCACCACAAAAGATACACATCACCTTACCGTAATCGTACATGTCTCCAGCACCACCTTCAAGTGGGAATCTCTCTCCAATACGAGCCTCAATGGTGGCACTAGCTGAACTGACTAAATTACCCAACTGATAAGCCAAACCTGAGATTAATGCCCTATTGGCTTTATTCACAACCTCTAGCAAATAAACTGATGAAATACCCCATGCACCCATAACACCACCATTCAAAAAAACGTAAGCCCACCAATTCCTATTTGCATTGAAGAAAGATGGGTATACAAAAGCTCCATTCCAGATCATGCAAATGATAACCGTAAGTCTTCGTCCAAAAAGTTCTGAAGCTGAACCCATTATGATACCACCAATCATTCCTCCAAGGTTACTCACAACAACAATAACCGTTTTGGTGTTTAAACTAACATCAAACTGTTTTGTCAACATTGTAACATACAAGTCTTGTGAACCATGTGTAGTGAAGTTCCACCCGCTGTACAAGAAAATAAGGTAAATAAACAACAACCACTCTGTTTTCAACGTTTGTAAAACACTCATGTCAATGAGTTTATGTTTGACTTTATTCTTTTCATTGAACCGTTTCTTCTTTTCTTTTAATTTAATGAAATCGGGGGATTCAGGAATAACAAGTCTCCAAGCAATCAACAACACACTTAATCCAGCACTGAACCAGAACAAGCTCCTCCAACCTTCACCTTCTTTGTAAGTGCCCGAGAAAGCCCTATAGAACACCATTGCTAAAATGTAACCGAATGAGTAACCAGGTAAGAATAATCCCGATAATACCGACCTTGCAACTGTTGGTTGTCCTTCAATTGCCGTCACCATAGCAATAGGATACATTGCCCCCATCAAGATACCAAACATTGCCCTCACTCCAAGAAATTGCTTGTATGTCTGCACGAATCCGGTACCTATCTCAACAACAATGAAAAGGAACAATATCGTTATATAGCACCATTTTCGACCAAACTTGTCAGCAGCAATACCGAAAATGATTGCTCCTACTGATCTAAGCATCAATACCAAAGTCACACCCCAAGTTATATCAGTCACACTTACTTTCAAAGTAGCAGCAATTTCCGAAGCTGACACAGAAACACAAAAAAAATCCATTGAATCTAGCGACCATGCAAGAAATCCTAGCCCGTAGAAATTCCAGTCCAATGCTGTCATTTCTTTCAAACCAGGTATTGGGTTTACTACTTGATACCATTTTTTTTCTTGATGATACAAGGGCAAGTCTAACATGTTTGGTATTCTTGTGGCAAAATAATGTTTGATTGATGGCCAAGACAAATCTGGTTTTTCATTAAACAAGTCATTGTGGTTGTCATCTTCTACCATATGATCATTGTGGGATGAGTAAGGGGATACGTGCTCCACCTCTGTTTTGTCTTTCATCATTTGTTGTTGTGGAGCTGCTTGAAGATACCACACACATGAATTCAGAAAACTGTGCTGTTTTTATAATTTGCCTATGAAAATGGGGGGGGGGGGGGGGGGGGAAAGCAAAACCCACTGAACTCAAAAATCGTACGTTACCCTTATCTGCAATTACTCCGAGAAACAATAGGCTTTAAAGCTCAACAAAAACGTTTTCCAAAAATGTGGGGGAGGTAGACAAATAAGGTGATTGAAAACTTTGTTAATGTTTGCATTGTTTGCATCTCTATAGAACAATACCAGACTACCATGTTCTGAAACTTTAGTGCCTTTTGCAGCCTCACACATGTATAAAATAGACCACAAAAACAAGATTAATGTTACTCTTTCTTTCTTTCTTTTTCTTTTTTATGATTGCGGGGGAGATATGACGCGGCAGCGTCCGGACATTAATTTAGCCCGAAGTTTAAAATGTAATGTAAAAGTGGAGGATACTTGATGGGAGGGAAGGAGGGGAAAGCAAAACTACATTGACATAAAAGCCCTTCTACATGATCTGTTTCTTGGCAATACATAAGGTGTCCAAAGTTTTTTTCCAAAATGCCTCAAAATCGACATTCCATAACCACAACTTTTCCACCATCAAACAAAATCGTAAAAAGTGTAAAGTTAAACAACCCCGCTCTTTTCGTTATTGAACCATATCTGTATATTCGTATCAAAATAACACGTCCAACAGGTTGGGAACTTCGGCAATCGGGTTCCAAACAGTGACATAATAGAGACAAGATTGACAGCTTTCGGGGGATCTTCTCTTTTCTTTTAATACATATAAGGTTTGTCGAAGTTTCAAAAGTTGTTCCATATTTTGCTGGGCGCTGTCAATTTTCAAATTGAAAATCGGGGCCACACAGTAATGGACATTACTGAACTAAACAGTGCAGGCAAAATCATTAGTCAAGTAGTTGTTAGATAAAGAACTCTGATGCAGCAGTTTTTAGTTAGGGTTACTATCATCCCTATCTAGACAACTTACAAGTTAAGTCACCTCTTGAGGGTTGAGATCAGGGTAGTGTGCACCATACCATAACGAAAAAGCTCCCTCACTGCTTTATCAATATCTCGCTACCATTTTGTTCCCCGCTGAGTCATAATTTTTCGCTACCACGGCGATTTTTTTTTCTTTTCTGATAAAAGCGCTAATAGAAATTGCGTGCAATCAGGCTCAAAATGAAAAATTTAAAGAGAATTAACCGCCGACAAAATTTCTACAACCATTTTTCCACCAAAAGATATCTTTTCTTTCTTTTCTACAACTCAATTCGTACCCTCCACAATGGTTCAAAAAGTTTTACTATTAGGTTCCGGTTTCGTTGCTAAACCAACAGTTGACATCTTATCGCAAGACCCCAACATTGAAGTCACAGTTGCATGCAGAACATTATCCAAAGCTAAAGAATTAGCCGGTGATAAAGCCCAAGCTATTTCATTAGATGTCAATGATACTGAAGCTTTAGATGCTGCAGTGGCTAAATTCGATTTAGTCATTTCATTGATCCCATACACTTTCCACGTCAATGTCGTCAAATCCGCCATCAAGAATAAAAAACACGTTGTCACTACATCATACATTAACCCACAATTGAAGGCATTGGAAAAGGAGATTGAAAATGCTGGGATTACCGTTATGAATGAGATTGGATTGGATCCTGGTATTGATCATTTATACGCTGTCAAGGCTATTGAAGATGTTCATAAGCAAGGTGGTAAAGTTAAATCATTCTTGTCATATTGTGGTGGATTACCAGCTCCTGAGAACTCCGACAATCCATTGGGATACAAGTTTTCATGGAGTTCAAGAGGTGTATTATTGGCATTGAGAAATGCTGCCAAGTATTGGCAAGATGGACAAATTGTTGATGTTAAATCGGAAGATTTGATGGCTACTGCCAAGCCATACTTTATTTATCCTGGATTTGCTTTGGTTTGTTACCCCAATAGAGATTCCACCACTTATAAACAATTGTACAATATCCCCGAAGCCGAAACTGTCATTAGAGGTACTTTAAGATTCCAAGGTTTCCCTGAATTCATTAAAGTGCTTGTTGACACTGGGTTTTTAAAAGATGATGAAATGGAAATTTTCTCCAAACCAGGTCCATGGAATGAAGCTACTGCTAAATTGATTGGAGCTAAATCATCTTCAGCTGAAGACATCATTGCCAAAATCAAGAGTTTAACCAAGTTTAAATCCCCTGAAGATGAGGAGCGGATTCTTGATGGTTTCAAATGGTTGGGATTGTTATCAGATAAACAATTGACCCCCAAGGGTAACCCATTGGACACATTATGCGCCACTTTGGAACAATTGATGCAATACGAACCGGGTGAACGTGATTTAGTTATTTTGCAACACAAGTTTGGAATTGAGAACAAGGATGGTTCAACTGAAACTAGAACTTCTACATTGGTTGATTACGGTGACCCCAAGGGATATTCATCGATGGCTAAATTGGTTGGTGTTCCTTGTGCTGTTGCCACTAAACAAATTTTGAATGGAACATTGAGTAAACGTGGGTTATTGGCACCAATGAGTTCAGAGATTAATGATCCTATTATGAAGGAGTTGAAGGATGATTATGGTATTTACTTAGTTGAAAAGACTCTTTAGATAGGGTAAGAATCTAATATGAATATATATATGTGTGCATATGCTTTAGTCATAGTAGTCGTCGTCATCGGATTCAAACCCTGATGAATAACTCAGAATTATGTTGCTTATATCTTCGATTAATTCTGCTTTATCTTCCACTAAATCATTAAAATTCAACTTTAATCTCTCAATTGTTGTTTTGTAAGGCTTGAGATAATCTTTGATACCATTGTGTACATTAAATTCAATATGAAACTTGTCATTTTTGCTTTGTAAAATGTTGGGAAATGTGTCAGTGTTTGTAATTTGTGTCATGTAGGGGTTGGTGTATACATTTGTTGGAATTCCATCATCATCATCAATGCTCATTGCGTTGCCATTTGTATTGAGATCCTCCTTGTTTCTGACAATGTAGTTTTTATTTATATATCGAATATTCTCCATCGATTGAGATACACCCAAACTGATCTCAGGTTTACGTGCCTCTTGAGTCAATGTAGTCAAGTCACGCACTTTGGTCAAGTCAATATCCATCAAATCACCACCAACACCAGTACCAACACCAGTACCACCGCCAGAACCACCACTATCTCCCTCCCCGACAATCTTGACTTCGTTAACAATCTTTCTCGCTTCATCTCCACGTAACAAATTCTCTTGCATATGAAACATACTCACTTGATCAACATATTGGTTATTGACTCCCCAAATCAGATTTATGAAAAGAGCAGGAATGCACGATGTATGCCAAATAGAACTCGTATCTAACAGCGATAACATTGATGAATTGTAATTGGGCAATAAGGGGATAAATAAACTCAGTGATTTATAAAGTTCAATAAATGATTTGATTTGGGAGACTTGGTAAAGTATAGACTGTCTATGCTGCTCCAGGTGGTGATGCTCATGATGATTATATTGCCCATAGATCCATACATTCTCCTTATTATTGAAAAACTCATCTTGAATGACTTCAATCATGGCAGTGGTGAACCCACTCCAAGAATCATCAATGGTGGTACCTAGTTGTAAACCTTGTAGGAAGTCACATTTCTCTAACCAGTACCGAAAATCCTCCACCGATTCCGTTCCAATTGATTTGAATTCGGTAATCCCAGTGGAATACAAGTCAAATTTTTGCCGTGGTAGATTGAAATTTAATCCATACAGGTTGTACTGGTGTTGATAAGAAGGTAGAGTGATGATTGATTTTGGGTTATATATGAGTTTATTATAATCAGTCCAATACTTGGTATTACCTGTATGTAATAATGATGCATCAGCTTTACCTTGATCCAAGCTCTTTTGATATTCATGCTTTTGCAGTTGAGTAGTTTGCAGTTGTTGTTGTTGCGACTGGTTCAAGATGGGTATGTTCAATTGGGGTATTTCTTCGGCATACTCGTACTTGTTCAATGCACCTAAACCGTTACGTAAGTCAAATAAAAGTGCTCGTGGATAATAGTTTGCTGTAGTGGATCCATATGGTTTTGATTTATATAGAAATGTTGATAATTGATGATTGAGTTTGGTATCTTTAGTGTATGGTATTTGAGACTCTTGAAAGTTGTATAGATGGGTAATTGTACTGTTTGAATATTGACCGTAGGAAAGATTGAGAATCTCACTCATGCCTGCTGTACTGCGGGAAGGGGGGGGGGGGGGGGGGAAGAGCCACTCGTTGAATGGGAGTGGGGGGCACTCTTTAGCCATTTTTCTGCGATGAAGTCACGGGATTGAAGGCAGGCGCTACCACCCGATGTTTTTTTTGCGAAAGTTTCTATCATGATTCCTGAGTATACACCACAAAGATAAGCTTTGCTTTGCTTTGGAAGCCATTTGTGTACTGCCTGTATGCAAAGAATGTGTCACTGAGTGTAGAAATGTAAATGTGTTACTTGATGAATGTTGTGGCTTATGAACAAAATACGGAAAGTCAAAAGATTTCCTTCAGAGAATCTATCTGTCCAACATAAAGTTGGATTGAGAGGGATATGTTATTTACCATATAAGCCGCCAGCGAGTGTCGTTGTAAAGTTCTGTTTTAGTTCTGCCTGCAAGGGTTGTGGCTTGTCCTTTGCTTAAGATCATTTCGTTTGAGTGTACAAGTTTTTTATAGTACATTTGAGAGTTTTAGGAAATGACGCGTCTACTTGAGTTTGTTTTTTTGGAGTGACTTGACCAGAAAAACATAAAATATTTATTATGTAATACAATAATAAAAAAATCGTGTAAGAGAACGAAAAGAAAGAAAAAAAAAACATCAAAATAGGAGACAGAACCAAAGAGAGAGAGAGAGACACTCACACTCACACTCATACATAAATAAACATACATATACACATGGAAAAGGACGATTCATTTGATGTTGGTAATACCACAGTTGTATCAATCCCACGTAGTGATTTAGACACAGGCTTACAAGAAGAAGTGGGAGGTGTTGTCACTAGTAATGTTGGATCAGACCAAAAAATATCAAAGCATACTAAAGAAGAACAACAAGACGGTGGGAAAGTGGGGGAAGAGGGAAATATTATTTTGAATTCCGACTCCCAAACAACAACAATACCCACCACCACTACTAATAAGAATACTGCAGAGATATCAACAACAACAACAGTGGCAGCAGCAACAACGCAATCTCCATCAATTTCATCTATTTCTTCATTGGATAGTGACAGTTCTACTGGTAAACTTATAAAATCATTTTCCAAGACCAAGCTTACGGATAGTAACAAAGAAAATCAGCAACCATCATCAACAACATCCACCACCACTACAACCAAAAGTATAGATTCTGATAGACCAGCACTAATGGCTACATCTACTGAAAACAGTGTCAATACGTCAACCACGAAAATCACCAAACTCCCACAATCAGTTGCTTCTAAAACCAATTTCTACAATGATTTGACTACCAAAAACACCAACAATACTACCGCTACTACTCAACAACCACAACCACAAAAGAAAAAACCAATTAAGTTTACAGTCAGAAAAGTCTCTCATGAAGCTATTAGTACGCCATCGTCGCCATCGCCAGATGCAATGACTCACGGACATACTCGTAGTCACAGCAGGCACAGCAGTGGTGGAAGTAATTATCATTACCATCATCATAAATCACCAGTACCAACCTCAACCAATGGAACGTATACATCTACTAAACCATACCAATCAACAACAACGTCTTCATCAACATCACCACCAATAGGAACTACAACTAACCCTTTAGTAGACCCACACGAGGTTGAGAACCGCAAGAAATTATCAGCAGCACAACATAAATACGATCAATACGAAGCCAGAATAGTTAAAATTGATAAAGAAATTCAATTTTTAACCAACTTGTTACCACCGTATAATGTTGATGTTGATTACAATACTCGAGTTAAGATACAACGTGCAATTGAGAAATTAAAGGGTAAACAAGACGAATTGGCGAGAAAAAAGTATGGATTGGGTATAACTATTAGTCGACTTTGGCGTGCTAGTGAAGGAAGTGAAATATGGGTTAGAAAAGTGGATTGAAAGGTGTAGCTAACATGAGAGCGTTGTATACATAGAACGTTGTGTTTTTCTTTCCGATACCCATAGATATGCCTACCTGTATGTATTTAAAAGTAGTGATAGATAGATAGACAAATAAAACTCAATGGTAGTTTGTAAGTGGAGTCCTTTTTATGAGAGTGATATGGTACTAATCACGTGAACGGAGTAATAAAACCGAGAAATTACTAGATTTGAGAATATCACACAATGTCTGCATTTTGTGTGATTTACTGCATACACAACACATATGTCTTTGTAATTTTTTTTTTCTTTTTTTCTTGGAGTTGTGTGTGTATGTTATGGTGTGTGTGGTAACCACAGTCACCATTGATTGGGTGTACAACCTTGTCACATGATCAAGTAGAAGGAAGTTAAAAACGATAGTCATGGATGGCTATCATTGAAAGACTGAGAATGTAGCTCTTGGTTTTCGCAAAGCGTAACATAATTTACCCTTGTGTCAAATGACACATGATGTTTCCATTTAAAGTTTTCACTAGTCAATTTTGGCACTTTAAAGTGGGCTTTTATAAAGTAAGCTCTTGTTTCTATAACTAAAGAAGAAGTGGGTGCGTCATAGAGCATCCTCTTCTCTAATAAAGAGCTCATGGCTTACAAAATGCGTGTTTATTGTGCTGAGTTTGGATCGTGGGATGTGTGCGGTGTCAGCCTTGCCATTAGGAAAGAAGACGGTAGCATCTGTTTGTTTTTGGTATTTAACTAAAAGTTCCGATTACCCATTGCATATCACCCCATCTAAAATAGAATTACTCAGGTAGTAAGAGCTACAAAGGATTTACTTGTTACAATATGAGTTATGGTTATGTAGATTACTAGATATGATACTGTGATTCTATTGGTTAGATACTACTATTACTACTACTGCCACTACTACTACTACTACTACTACTACTACTCCTCTTTGTATGGGGCTATACTAACTAAATTAGATTTAAGTAAACAATGCAAAAAAAAAAAAAAGAAATTACAACCAGAAAAGAGAAAAAGAAAAAGGAGGTAAAGAGGGAGAGAGGAGTAGTATCCAAAGTAATAGTTATAGTTATAGTTATATTAGGGGACAAGTGGGAAAGGAAGAAATTATCAACTCTTCTCTTTCTTACAACCAAACCAATCATAGACTTCCTACTAAGTAGATACTAGACTACCACTATTCTTATAGAAAAAGACAATTGCAAAAGAAGAATAAAAAGAAACATAATAATACTTCAGTTAATATACTTTGGTAATAATACAACAACAACACTTACAACACTAACAACACTAACAACAGTGTTTTCACAGTTTTAGATTATTTTGTTTTATTTTATTTTATTTAATTTTTTTTTTTTTTTTTTTTTTCTTTTGGTTTAGAGTTCACAAGATCTCCTTTACTCACTAGGTCAAGATCAACTTACTACATTAATATTACCACCACAATACGACACAGCACAAGAAGCATACACTCATAGATACCATTACAATAGACTCCATAGCACAGCACAAGCTATCATACCATCACACTACAGTACTTTGAAACACACCCATCCACATCCACACACACACACTAACACACCTTACACACCTTATACACACATTTAGATCTAGACAACGCATTCTTTGTCCTATTTTGAATGACTACTACATCTAGATACCACTCCTCAGATAACTCAGATCACTCGTTAACAAACTCAATAATAGCTGATGAAAACAACTCACTAACTGATTATTGCAACGATGATGATGATGTAGGAGGAAAAGAAGATACTCCAATGACTACCTCTTCAGCATCAGCATCAGACTCACAGACCGATGAGTCAATACACAACAACAACAATAACAACGACAACAAAAACGAGAACAGTAAAATGCATAGCCACTACAACCTCCCGCTGACTAAACCACCTTATTTCAAACCACCTACATTCACTTTAGGAGGAGAACAACCCAATAGGCTATACCCTTCAATATCCACATCCAATAACAAAAGAGTGGCATCGCCACTATCTCGGTCACCAGTAATCAAGGCTGTGCAGCCACAACACCCACCACCACCTCACCCTATATGTCCATTACCACCACACCCACACAAGTTGGAAAATAACAAAAAGACCCCATCGTCAGAACAATTTGCACCATCACCTATTCCTAGAATAGATAACAACAATACCAACAGCAACAGGGATGTATCTCAACAAAGAGACGCCAATGACAGCTTACAAGATCTTTTAAAATTCCCGTCAGAGTCATCACATGCTTACTCATATGCTCATTTATCCCCCAATTCATTAGCCCTTCGACTCAATGTTTTAAAACGTTCATTGGAGATTTTGAAAGATCGTCCAGAATTGTTTAAATCTATAACTAATCAAGACCATTTTGAACAAGAATCAACACCTTTACAAAGATCCATAACCAACACGATCATTGATGATACTTCTATAATGGATGGCGACGAAGCAAATACAACAGACGTAGCAGCAAGTTCAATTAGATCAAGTGTATTTTCACATCCAAATCATAGTGCTGACTATATACATGATGTTTCATCACCAACAACTGCTTCCAAGACCATGGATAAGAAAAAATACAAACTTCAATCAAATGCATCATCGGCAGCTTTGGCAGCTTTGTTTAAGCCATCACTCCAAAGATCAGATAGCCTTCCTATAGTTAATAGAGATGCAAGAAAAGTTTCAGCACCATCAAACTTGCAGCAAGATGCCATTGCCGAAAAGAAGAGACAACAACAACAGCAGCAGCCGAAGCAGCAACAGCCAAAGCAGCTAGGCTCCACCGATGACTACAAAGACGTCATTGATTTACTTGAACACGACTTGGATTCTTTAATGGAGAATACTCAAGTTGCAACATCACTACATGATTTGTCGCTTTCAACTCATGACGAACAGAGTAAAATCAAGTATGACTTATTGAAAAAAAAGTTGATTTATGCATTGGCTATGCCATTTGTTGAAAACTCAGCAGCAACTTCAGAGATATTAGAGAATAGCATTAAAGAACCAATAACAACAACAACAACATCTACCGCATCGCCAATGTCAACTACGTTTTCAACAGTTGCATTGAAGGAGCTTGCCAGGATAGATCAAATGGGGGACAAATCGCTGAATCAATCACCAATCACTCCAACATCTACAAAGCAAGAGAATTTTAATGCCAAACGACCATTCAATTCCATGCTCACGAGCAAATACTCCTCACCGCAATCAATCTTTACAGTTGAGGCGGATTTGCCATGGTCAGTAAAAGCTGCAAACGATTTAGCATGTCTCATGTTTGGAATATCAAAAACAACTATAAAGGCATTGACATTGATGGATTTAATTGCTCCACAATTTCGTGATTTTGTCTTGTCAAGAATCACTGAATACACTTTTGAAAATAGCCGCAAGGATTCAATATTGTTTGCCGGTGAAATTGTGGCCATTGTTCGACCTGGTGATCAAAACTACTCATGGACTTCACTTTGGGCCAAGAAGAAGGGCAATTTGATCATTTGTATGTTTGACCAAATACCATGTGATGCTTTTGATGTGATTATACTGGGGGTTGGAGGTAAACAAGATTCAGGGTTTTTTGGCAACTCGTATAAGATTGACAATTTTCATGAAATTGCTGGTGGTATGTCATCAGTTTACGGGTTGGATAAAGTTGGGTCATTGACAGAGCTTAGTGAAACAATGAGTAATGAATTGATGAATTATGGCTCAGGCAATAATGAGGTGAAAAGCGCTGCGCGTGATAGTGAATTTATCAATCACACAAGGTATTTCACAATACAAGTTGATCAAGGAGCTGAGAATATCCCCTGCGCTATTACATCAACTGCACTTCTGTTGGATGATGACGATGATGGTGATGCTGAGCCACAAATCAAATTGAAAATCCACACCATGCCGTATATTGCAGGTATCTTTGTGTTGAATGGCACTGATTTTACCATTATGTCATGCAACAATGCCATTGCCAAAAACTTGTTTGGCCGATCAGCCAAATACTTGCGTAATCGAAAAATTGATGAATTAATACCTAATTTCACCAAAATCTTGAGTGTTGGCCTTGAAAAAAACATGGAAACTTTTCAAGTTGTTAACGGATTAGTATTGCCAGAACATTTTTTCAGGAAATACGATTCAGTGATCAAATATCAACAACAGTCTCCTGACGAAATTGAATCTGAGGAAGATATATTTTTCAAATGTCCTGGAATTGAAGGTAAACATCGTGATGGCAAGACACTATATGTGGATGTACAAGCTCGTGTATCAACAAATAATGCATTGATCTTGTGGGTGACGTACTCGCGAACCAAGAAAGATGTTAGTTTGACTTCTGAGCTTGAAGCTTTGAGCTCATCAGCATCGTCAATGTCATTGGCTTCTTCTACCGATGATCATTCGGTGGTGTCAATACCATCGCGGACACAAACACAGTCGAATTTGTTGAACCTGGGAGAGGCGGCACAAATTCATTCTCAACAACCACCACAGCCGCAACAATCATCACAACAGCCTCCGCAGCCACAACAACCGCAACAGCAGCAACAGCAGCAACAGCCTCCGCAGCCACAACAGCCACAACAACCACAACAGCCACATCCCAATCATCATTACCTTAACCAATTGGCTCTCACCCGTACTAGAACTCAAACAGGTGGATCAGCAGCGTCAGCAAACAACATCCCCTCACAACGAAAGTTGTTTGAAGATGGTAAAGAAGAAGACTTGTTGGAGTTCTCGCCGAGGGAAGTTACTCGCTCACTGAGCACGCGTCGAGTAAAGACGTCGTCGTTTGCTATGCCCATGACCAGCTTGGACAGCTTTATCTACAAAAAGACCAAGGCAGATGAGATTAGAGATGGCGATGCTGCCAATAAATCTCAAGATATCGATTCGATTGATCTGAAGGATATAATGATGACTCCTGCTGATCTAGACTACAATATCCCCTCCACTGCATTTTCCGAAGAGGAAATTTTGGCATTGGAAAACCAATCGTTATCCACAATCAAGGCTGAATCTACCCACTGGCCCAAAGATGTTGGTTTAACTAGACGCACCAAAAAGTTTTCTGAATTCAAAATCATTAAACAAATGGGTGAAGGTGCATATGCGAAAGTTGTGTTGGCTCAACATAAAGAAGACCCAGTATACAAGATAATCATCAAGTGTATTGACAAGGAAAGAATTCTTGTTGATACTTGGGTTCGTGATCGTAAATTGGGCACCATCCCTAGTGAGATTCAAGTTATGGCATTTTTAAACTCAGAACCGCATCCCAACATTGTTCGCATCATTGATTTCTTTGAAGACCTGAAGTATTATTATCTTGAAACTCCCATTTTTGGCAACCCCCCAGCAATTGATTTATTTGATTTCATTGAAGTTAAAAAGGATCTTTCTGAATTTGAATGTAAATTCATTTTCAAACAAATTGTATCAGCAGTTTATCATTTGCATAAAGAAGGTATAGTTCATCGTGATATCAAGGATGAAAATATCATTGTTGATGAAAACGGGTTTATCAAATTGATTGATTTTGGATCTGCCGGATATGTCAAACAAGGTCCATTTGATGTGTTTGTGGGAACAATTGATTATGCATCACCCGAAGTGTTAAGAGGTGAAAAATATGAAGGTAAACCGCAGGATATCTGGGCATTGGGGATCTTGTTGTATACGATGCTTTATAAAGAGAATCCATTTTATAATGTTGATGAGATTATGGAGGGCGATTTGCGGATTCCTTATGTTGTTAGTGATTTGAGTTTACTGTTGGTTAAACGGATCTTGGTTCGTGACGTGGACAAGAGACCGACAATTACTGATATTTTCGAAGATGATTGGTTAAAGTTTTGATTGAGAGTGGAGTGCAAGTAGAGGAAATAGTTTTAGTTTAAGGTAGTTTTTCTTTTTTAGATTTTATAAATAGAATGTGTGATTTTTGAGAGAGCATGGTTTACTTTCAATCTAAAGAGTCCTCTTTTATTATAATTGGAATTTTTCGTTGTGTGGAGATATTCCAATAGTGTTATCAAATTGTTGAAAATTATATTACTAAGAAGAATTGAATTAAAAGCATATCATCTTGGTTAACAGACGGGGTGCAAAGCTTTATACACGATTGGCACAACCAGCTGCAATTCAATCTCTACATCTTCACATCATTTCTTGTGGTACCAACACCTGCCTCTTCATCACGAGAAGTAGGAGTAGCATCACCACCACCACCTCTTTCTTTACCCGCACCATTACCAACACAATGTTGTGGATCTGAAGATACTTCAGCACTAAATAAAGCGCCCGCATAATAAGTTGTATTTTGCAACAAATGTTTACCTCCGAAAGCTTTCATTTCAGGAGCCAAAGTATAACTATAAAACAATCCCCATTCAGTACTGAGCACAACGTAATTCAATATCGAGAACGGCATGATTGCCTGATAGGCACGACAAGTATCTGGCGAATTGTGCTTATAAAACGACTCATTATTATTACAGTGCTTGGGGAAATTAGCAACAATAACCGACCAACCAGCAAGATAAAAGACCCAAAGCACAACTTGAACAGCAAACACTACTGCAGTGGGTGTTTTATTGCGTAATACACTCGGGACAATGAATGCAATGTAAGCTAACCAGATGATGTCGAAGATGGCAACGACCAAATTGAAAGTAACGCGGGGGATGTTGGTGTTGTAACCAGCTAACACACCGGCACTGAGACCCAACACAATCACAGCGAATACAAATTCAGCTAAGCGAAATATGATGCTGATTGTTGTTCTAGTGATGGCCATTGTTTACGACTTTTATTGATTATTGTCTTTATGGGATGTACATATACAGGTATGTGAAGATTATTGGTTATTGAGGGATTCCTGAAAGGGTGGGAATACATGGGCTATAAATAAAAAAGATGATGATAGATCAATCATTTCGAATGGAATTGATATCAACGAACTGAATAAAGGAGAGGCTGGAGAAATCGTTGTTCATGGCTCCAAAAATAGGAGTCATGTATGGCCAACAATGGGATTTTCACACTAAACATTTAGTTAATTGAACAATAAGCTTAATTGTTTATTAGGTTACACGGCGTTAGGCATTTTAATTCCGATTTTGATCCCCAAAAAGAACTGTGGATCTTTCACAAACGTATACACTAAACTCAAAAACTCAAATGAACGCCGTACGGAACATGATAATGCTTTGTGTTACACGGCTAGTTAAATAGACGGATAAGAATGCACTTCTTTTTTTTTTTTTGGCAAGATGTTTAAATAAAATATAAGAGGGAATGGGGGGGGGGAAGGAGGCTTAACATTAATAAGTAGACATCGCCTATGTTTTGGAGAGCTATTTTTTACACTTGATGCAGCTCTACTCTATATATATACATATATATGTACGTATTATTGAACCATCAATTTCTCCTCAGATAAGCTAAGTTAGTTGGGTCCCACACACGTGCACCAAAGTGTGAATGCAATTTAATTACTTTTGTGTGACGTCATTCTTATCTTTTTCACAAAAAGTTTTCGAGATACAAAGTCTAGCATAGTAGAGATTCCACTTGAGTTAAAGTACACGACTGCGTGGATATATACTAGCGAAGACCAAAGAAGCACGACTGACCGTGGATACACCAAGAGTATTATAAATGTAGTTAATCAGCAAAGCACAGACACTTGCGATTGAGCTAACAAGTGCACTCAACTGAAATGGGGATTCAACATGAAATGTCGCAAGTGTAATCATAATTGGTGAAATTAATATAACACGAAATGTTAGTCAAAAGGTTCAAGTGGACATCAAATGCGCAAAACGGTCTTCTTTCATTCTTTATTTCTGCTATTTTGAAATAACTCTATTTTAAAAGGAAATTAGAGTGAGTCCTATTTAAATCATTCAGTTGAGAACGAGAAAAGTCGTAAATGTAAAACCTGCGACAATGCGACTTCTCAAACAATTGAAACCGAAATTTGCAAATTTAAGATGGGTCAAAAATCCTTCCCCTACGCGTTAGCATGATTCGAGAGACAGGGGAGCAATTCAATGATGTTGTTACATTGACAGATACATTCAGTATCCTAGATCCAAGCACCAATATCGAAATCATCATCACCCCCATTTACATGATCAAATTACAATCAATAATTGATCTAATACCGAAACAAACATCACTCCAATCGCATCAGAGCCTATTATCAGAGCTCTCAAACGACAAGAGTACCAAATCTGTAGTCGAACCTGTTATGCATATTTTTAAGAGCAGTACATCAAGACTACGACGCAATGGATATTGGTTGTGTAAGTTGAAATTTGGAATCGATGACAAGTTTAACCACTGGGGAGTGGTGTTTCCCATGATGGATGTGGGTACCACAGGTGGTACTTATTTGGGCGTTTTCAAAATCAATGGACCTGTTGCGGAAGATAAGAGGGCGGGTGAATTGTATCGTGTCGCTAATGAGGCAGATTTGATAAACGTTGGAGAGGAAACGCCAAAGTTTGAGGAGAATACTGAGTCGACTATGGCGTCCGATGATGCTATAGAGTCATTTTCAATGAAACCGCCAATATCAATGGAGACAAAAAAGGGCAATTCACACAATGTCGAACACGACACCAATGATGCTAATAATGCACTCACTTTACCCAATTTTACATCGCCTTCAAAGCGCGACGAAAGTCAAGATCCACTTCAATTCCTAAATAATCGATACTACCATTCACTATACTCGTTGAATGAACCACTAAGTTACTTCCCCAAGGCTTCATTAACAAGATTCAAGAATCTTTGTCATGGCGATGTTGATTCGGTTGCTTCTATTCTTGATTTGTTGATTTCCAATATGGAAAAGTTTGATTCACGATATGATGGGAAATCAAATGGTGAGTTTTTCTTGCATGACAAGGATGGTGGCGACGTGGCTAATTGTGAAATGTTGCATCAGGAGAAATTAAAACAAAGAGTTGGATTTACTGTTAGGAGGGAGATGGAAAGTGGTGGTGAGATGGAGAAGGAAAAACTGATCATACTAGATGGGATTGATAATGATAAATTACAGAGGCTAATGCTAGAGTTGAAGGTACGCGAAGCTCAATTACAACTTATACTTTTGTTTGAAGTTTTCCAAAATTGGAATATCAACGAAGATGATTTCTTGAGCCACAACTTACAAAAGTTAAGTCAAATGATGTTGAAACAAAGTCAAGAGCAAAAGAAGGTGAGTCTTGTTCGAATTCGCAAAAGGAGGAAATTACAAAAGGACAAGGGGAATGAAGAAGAAGCAGAAAGTAAAAAGAGAAAACGTGTTAAACCGACAACGTTGCTGGATCAATCCACTTTGAATGGGATAAAAAATCGGGAGTTTGCTTACTACTTGTACTTGAATAAGTTGATTGATAGGTTGAATTTATGGGAAGTCTTGTTGGCACCTGATAACAAACAAATTGGTTCGCCGGGTGTGTCTAGCGCCAATGATTCCACTGGTGCTCCTTCATCATCATCGAGTTACGGCTTCTTGGCGTATGTTTTGGTACCTTATTATGGCAAGACATTGCCGGTGTTGATGAAATATGTTATTCTGAATATGAAGAATACTAATATGAAGTTAATCAGTAACCACAAGAAGCAAAAGAAAGCGAGTCAGAAAAAGAAGGGCCACTCTGCGGGCTTTGACAAAGTTGATTCTAATGGCAAAACAAATGGTAATGGGGAAACAAAGAAGCACGGAAATTTTGAAAGAAAACCTTTGTTCAAGAATGATAGTGCAAGTGGTGAATTAATTAAAGACATTTCAATTGCGTCTTTAAAACGATCGAAATCGAGTCTTGGAGGTCAAACATCACGAGAATTGTTGGATAAGCGACAAGTTGATTTGAATTTTAAGCCGCCACATTTGAAAAAGCAAATTAGTTCAAATGCGGATAGCAATGGCAATCAATCATCATCTTCTTCGTTGGCATCGTCGTCGCTTATTTTTGGACAAGCACGGCGAAGCAAGACCTTGGCTGGTGGTGAGACCCTGATGCTGGCTCAGTCAAGACCAGGACCAGAATCGCGATTAGGATCAACTTCAATTGTGAATGTGGCAGAAACGCCAATGAAAGCGGGACAACGAAGCACATTACCGCTTAGAGGTGCTGGTAATGGGACCGTTGGCGGAGGTAATGGTTCTTTGGGTGGAAATATGATGAAGTCAGTGTCACAAATTGAAGCGACACCAGCTAAGCAAAGAATCATAGATTTGGAAATTTTCACACCAATAAGCAAACCCAAATTAAACTCGACCGAAAGCACTGGAACCCGACAAGATCAAGCTACTGATTCCATATTCACCAGTCCCGTAACCGGCGATTATGTAAATGAGAGAAACGGTAGGGCATCGCCATTTTTGAAACCGGGGTCTAGTCTAATGACCCAGCGACTACATTCGGTAGCATCTGGTGCTGTTGGTGGTGCTACCTCTGTGAACCAGGGACAACAATATGATGTGGTTGCGGCAACACCGAAAAAACAGACAACTGACAAAGCACCTTGTGTTATAGCTGTGACGCCCAATGATATGATTGTTGAAGCTACACCGGTACAAAATGAGCGGAAAAGTCCACAACTACAAAAGCTATTAGATGTACAAGCTACCCCAGTACAAGACATCTCCAAACTTCAATCTTCCACAGCTACTCTCATTGAAGCTACACCAAACCAAGGTGCGCAGCAAAAAATTCAGTCTCCCTTTGTTCAACATTTGAATGAGACTGATGTCGAATTCAAGTCGCCGGTTGTGCATAAAAATGGAGCGTTTACAACTCCCTCGGCTCACAAGACCAAGCCCGGTGATGCTATTGCTATTTCTGAGTCACCTATATATAATGCATACGCCACTGCTGGGTTGTTATCACTACGAAACAAAGATGGAGACGGAGATGGCCATGTTGGTGGTGATGATGAAGGTTATGATTCGGATGAAATACTTAATCCCAAAAAAAAGAAAGCTCGGGCTACATATTCACGACGATGAAGATGATATAGAATAATTTCTTCTGATAACTTAATGAATTACAGTATTGCACTATTTTATACTGCGACTTCGCCAAAGAATATACCTCTTGTTATATCTTTAGCATCTTGCTGTTTTAGCACCAATTCAGCCAATGGCTCGCCAATCCTTTGTTTCAACTTGTCCTTGATTTCATCAGATAAACCAGAGTCAACATCAACATCATCCACATCCATGTTATCTCCATTTGCACTAGATTCAACCTTCACACTGAGTTTCCGTAGTATATCAAGCACGGTATTTATCAAAATATCGCGTTCAAATTGTGATTGATTTTGCTCAACTACTGATTTATACCAAATTTTCAAATTACCAACAAGAACCAATTTCAATACTTCATTACCGAAATTTCTCAACCCCAACAATGCACCGTATTGAGTCCCCACCGGTTTAGTTGAATCAAGTAGCGCTCGTAATAAAGTACGCGTTACTCTTGGTCGTAATGTTGAATATGAAGAGCCATGCACTTTGATTATATGTTCGAGTAATATAGCAGCAAATTCACGTATAGTCAATTGATCTCTCAATGCTTCTTGATAATTCTCAGCTGATTTATTAATTATGGGTCCAATACGTTTTGCCAATAATAAAGTCAAGATACATGGCATTAATGCATGGACATAGGGATCAAGGAAAATCGTCTTGTTATCAGCCAATGCCGAAATCACTTCCAACATGGTTGATAAAATTTCAATGTTTCGTAACTCATTGGTGATTTGTTCAGCTACAAATTGAATAAAGTAGGGAACCAATTGATGTAAACCAGGATCAGATTTCAATGATGTTAAAGCGGCATTTTTCAAACTTTCCTTTTCGGGATCAGTTGAAATTAAAACTTCAACAACTTTATCAAAGTACAATTTCAATTCCTTGGAAAGAACATGCTTGACTAATGGTTTAGTGTCAAATTCTTTATCAGTTGGGTTCTTATTCTTTGATCCATCTTCAGTACCATCCTGTCCATCAACTCCCGAGGCAGAGTTACTTCCCAATGTCAAGATGTCATTACCCAAATACGATGAAGTGGCACCTCGTATCGCTGGTGGTAAATTCTTTATATCTGAAGGCAATGGATTTTGAGGAACCATAGGCTGAACCCCTTCAATAGCCAACCAGTGAGCAGTGAAATTACATCTTCGTGGCACTTTTGGTAACTCTTGATTAATCAATTTCTCAAATTCAATTTCTTGATCATCGAGATAATACAATGTTTGACCACCAGCTCCAACCATTGTTTCTTTGAAATTTATTGGTTGTGAATTATCGTAACCGTATAAAGGCTCAACATTGAGGATTTTCAAAGCATAGTCAATATCACTAGTCATCAATAGTTTTCTTTTGGAATGGCGCATGAATTTGATTGCCAATTCTAAGATCTCATGGATACGATATTCGACATCCATTGCTAGGTTTTTGGCGGCTTCATCAGGGAGATTGATCCCTAAAGAGTCTGCTGAATCTTTGACTGTATCATATGGTGACCATAACGAGTGTGATAGCGGGACTCTTGCGTCCATGATTGTAATGATGTGGGTTCGGGTGGGAAGAGTTGGTTTGTGTATAGAAGTGGTGGATTTGTTTTTTTTTTTTCTTTTTTTTTTTAGTTTCCGCTTTTGCTTTCTTTTGCGACAACACAATATGAGAAGTTGAAGTACCATTCCAAATTCATTATATCATACTAGACCATCTCTATTTACATTGATATTAGGTATTAATAAAGTCTATAAAAAATAACGCTGCTTTACATGCTTCTCCTCATCGCTTTGCTCTCCCTTTCTAATCAAGTAACCTTGGATTAGCATCGGTCACCTTTTTAGTTACACTTCTATAATCAACATTCTCTCTCAAATTTTGAAACTGTGGGACATCAATGGCAACTTCATTTTCGAAATGAGGATCTTCTTCAACTGTAATTCTTGAAACTTCTTTGTATACATTGGCGTCTCTAATCCAACCTCTAATGAAGTTAATACAAGCTCCATTATGTTGCATATAATTCTTGTATGTTTTAATAAGCGACAAGTACAAACCCAATCTTTCTTTTGTTTTGTAATTTTCAGAAAACGCAGTTGCTGCTCGAAGTGCTGACCAATCGGCATTGGCAATGTATTTGTAGTGTTCAGCATCCAATTTAGCCAACAAGTTATTCCATAATTGCAAAATCTCTGGTACTGAGTAATCAACTTTGCCTGCTTGTTTCAAAATAACCCGACGAGAAATAATACTCTTGTCGACATTGAATCTTTCAAAAGCATCAATTACATCCTGAACCAAACTCTTTTCTGTCCACTGCATATTCGAGATCAAAGTATTTAAAAACACCTCATCAATATTGGGTGACTTGGCGAATATCAATTTCAAAAGTTTAATTGATTCTTCATTTGGTTCAGGGTACTTATCAAAGAATAATTTAAACAAACCAGCATTGATTGTGGCCAGCTTGGACGAGTTTGTAGCAGCACTAGTCTCACCATAATGAGCTGAAATACGACTCCATAAATCAACAACTTCCTCCATTGAGTCACCAGCGTTGATACAATTTTCCAAAAATGAAACCATATAAGGAGCTTTCAAAATAACAACATAAGGTAATGAATCAGCACTATCAACTGCCTTGTCAAAGAATCTCTTGGCAATAACAACATCTTTACATTGTCCAATAAATGATAAATGCAATTGAGCCAATCCTCCCAAAATCGATTTCTCTGCTGGTTTTTGTTCATACAATGTCATCAATTCTTCCAAAGCATCCAACCCTCTAGCATGATCACCTTCCATAATGGCAACTTGACCGATTCGGTCGGACAAGAATGGATGTACTGGTTCATTTTCATTAACACTCATGTTATAAATCAGTTTAATTTCTTCATAAGTGAATCTCTTTGTCTCATAGGCCACTTGAAGCACGATGGATAACACATCATGACTCAAGTATAATTGTCCTACACCATTGTCATTCGACTTTTCCGATTGACTAACTCCATTTTCCCATAAACTCATAATCTCGGCATTCAATTTAAATTGTAATAGTGTTCCAAATATCTTGAATAATATACGACTTGACAAGACATTGTTGAAGTCTCCAGCTGCAACTAACTCCGTTAAGTTTAATATAGCAGTTTGATAAATGACATCTTCCTTAAAAGCACTGGCTTGATCCTTGTCTCTATTTCTCGAATTACCCAATCTGGTTTTTCTCAGCGTTATTGTGGCGCTATACAAATTTGCCGCATACCTGTATAAATCCTTTTCGGACATCAGTTGTCTAAATTTTTCATCCTGGATTAAATTGGAAATCTCTTCAATATCTTTGTAAGTGGATGCATTTCTCGAACTCCAATTATTGGTATAATTGGGTTGATGATGTCTATGTTCATAGTAAGGGAATTTCTCTTTAAATTCAGCAGTGAGTGGCTTTTCTTGGAATGAAGACGACAGTAAGGTGCTGCCAGCTGTTGCAGAGGTGGTTGAGTTGTTTCTGAAAAAAAGCTTTGAGTCGAGTGGAGAAGGCTGTGCCGTGGTGGAGGAAGTAGTTGTGAGTGGTACACTAGATCCATTTTTGGCTAGTTTGATCTTCAGAATCAATGAGGGACGTAACCCTTGGGAAGTATTTATTAATCTAAACATCGTGTGTTTTGCACTAGTATTCAAGGGCGAAGATTTACTGGTGTTGAACTCCTGAGTAGTTTATATATAAAAGGCTTTTGTTTGATGGGATGCGTCGTATAAATTTTCTTTTTGGTGGACAGAGAGAGACAGAGAGAGAGAGAGTTTCTTTTTCTTTTTCTTTTTCTATTGCCACTTTTTATATACAGGAAACACCAAATACAAAGCACAGAAAACAGGTGATATACAGCACAATCTATGAAGTACACACACAATCAACAATCATCATCGTCAGCCACTCTTTGACTGTCTTCCGTATAGATCACCCAATCCATGTGCACCGTATATACCCCTTTTCCCGATAAGCTCCTTTCTTTTTGTGAAAAGTACGCGATATGACTCAACAATTTCCAAAGCAAATTAGATCTGTGTTGGGTCGCCTCTTATACAATAAAACGAGTGCACAACAGAAACCCATTCTATCACTATACACTAATTGAAATTACTAACCTACTACTGATTGAAATGATAAGACCTCTTTTGTACTGATACTTTTAGATAGCTCTTGACCTTTCCTGCCCTTTTGTGTTTGTTTGTGCACAAGAGTAGCAAAAGGTAGCGATAGTATCGCTACCATATTACTTTAGCCTTTTTTTTCTTTTTTAGGCAGCCTTCCCTCATCTGTTGTAAAACACCTTGCTTGGAACTCTTACTATACCAAAGCAAGTACTTTTCCTGTCATCACATCGACAAAAAGATAGACAGAGAAAGAGAGAGAGAGAGTGTGTGTGTGTGTGTAATAGTATAATGCTGGAAAGTGCTAACAAAACCAATCTGGGCATCAATACTAACCAATCAAGTACTAAAGATTCAAAAGATGAAGTTTTGAGAAAACGACGTGAGCAATTGGCAGCATGGAGGGCGAAAAAGCAACAAGATACTAAACAGGTATCAAAAGCTCCGCTTCATGATTCCCCCGAGGCTAATGACCCATTAGATGCAGAGAAGAAGCAAAGACAACAAAGACTTGAACAATGGAAAAAGTCACGTTCTCAAAAGGATGGCAGTTCCACACCACAAATTAATACAGGAAGTACCAAGATTAAGATCTTGAAGAAACCATCAACAGCACATCACAAACCACAATCTCGGCTCAAAAGAAGGATTGATGAATTCGACAACGATGCTGAGGAGAATCAACAAAAGAAGTTGAAATTTGTGACACCAAAATCTACTTTTGGTATCGTAAATAATCCCAGCAACGTACGACAACTGGAAGTTGAAGAAGAAGATGAATTAGATGCTTTCATGAAATTGATTGATACAAACGATAATCAAGTTGAGGTTAATGGAGCTGTACCAGAAGAATTCACCAACTCAACAGACGACGAAAGTATTGAGGAGGAGGATACAGATTTACAGAGTTTGATAGACTTAAAGTTGGCCAAGCTTAATAACACCACCAAGGAGTTGAAAGATATTGACCATTCACAAATATCTTATTTATCGTTCAAAAAGGACTTTTACAAAGTACCCTTTGAATTACTGTCAATGTCTGAGGATGAAATTAGCTTGTTGCGAATGGATCTTGATGATATTCGAGTCAAGGGGAACAATGTTACACCACCATTTACTAAATGGTCCCAATTGTTATTACCGGAGAACATTATATCCGTAGTCAATGACAAGCTTCGATTTGACAAGCCCTCGCCCATACAAGCGCAAGCTATTCCAGTCATCTTATCAGGAAGAGATTTTATTGGAGTTGCCAAGACTGGATCGGGCAAAACACTATCGTATGTCATACCAATGATGCGACACATTCAAGAGCAAGCACCACTGGCTAGTGGAGATGGTCCTGTTGCTGTGATACTCAGTCCTACCAGAGAATTGGCGCTACAAATTGAGCAAGAGGTTTTAAAGTTCGCCAAGGCACTTGACAAACGAGTGACGTGTTGCTATGGCGGATCAAAGATCGAAAACCAAATCAGTGATTTGAGAAGAGGTGTTGATGTAGTTGTAGCCACACCAGGAAGAATGATTGATTTATTAGCTGCTAATGGGGGTAGGGTCACCACCATGAGACGTACAACCTTTGTTGTGTTGGACGAAGCTGATCGAATGTTTGATTTGGGGTTTGAGCCTCAAATGAAGAAGATTCTTTCACAAGTGCGACCGGATAGACAAACTATATTATTTTCTGCAACTTTTCCCAGGAAATTGGAGATTTTAGCCAGGCAAATCTTATCCGATCCAGTGGAGGTCATTGTCGGTGGTGTTGGTGTAGTTGCCAAAGAAATCAAACAAAACATTGTGCTTTTAGATCTGTCAGGTGATAAATATTTTGAGGAAAGACTCAAGATGCTTCGTGAACACGTGGAAAAGCACATTAGTGCAAACCAGGCTAGTAAAATACTAGTATTTGTCGAGAAACAAGCTGACGCAGACAAATTAGTTCTCAATTTGATTAGCAATGGTTTACCTTGTGTGGCTATCCACGCAGGTAAAGAACAAATTGATCGAAAGTACGCCATTAAGGAGTTTTCAGCTGCTGATAGCGGTGTTAATATTTTAATTGCAACATCTATTGCCGCTCGAGGGCTTGATGTGAAGAATTTGGGGTTAGTGGTAAATTTTGATCCTCCTAATCATCTTGAAGATTACGTTCATCGAGTAGGCCGTACAGGAAGAGCTGGTGCCAGTGGAGTTGCTATAACGTTTGTCTCGCGGAACCAAGAGAGGGAAATCAATGTTTTGGTGAAGGCGTTGAGGTTGAGTTCTAATGAAGTTATTCCTGAGTTGCAAACAATTGCTGATTCATTTAACCAAAAAGTCAGGTCCGGAGGTGCTAAACTAGGGTTTGGGTTTGGTGGGAAAGGATTGGATAATCTTCAAGAAGTTCGGGATAACAAACTACGGATGGAGAAACAAATGTATGGTGAGGAAGCAGAAGACAAGGAAAAGCAGAAGGAGAATGGTTTATCGACAACTAAAACCAAAGAAGGTTCACCAGAATCTACCATGACCCTCCCTTCATTTGATATTGTTGAAGGTAATTCACCTGAAACTGCTGGACCTGACAAGTGTAAATTTTTTTGTCGAATTACAATCAATGACTTGCCACAAAAGGTTAGATGGGATGTCGTTCAACGAGAGCAACTATCCAAGGTTATCGAGGGTAGCAGAACATCAATTACCACAAGGGGCAAATTTTATCCACCAACGCATAAGTTCGATGCGGATAAGGATACCGAACCAAAACTTTATCTTTTGGTTGAAGGATTGACTAGGAAATCAATTGAGGATGCAGTATCACTCATCAAAGAGAGAATGTTGAAGAGTATTGAGTCTATGGCTGCTGATGATCGTGGTGCTGCGTCTGGCAGGTACACTGTATAGAACGACTGTGTAGTGGAGAATGCACGCTGAAGTATGGTTGCAAAATAATCGACTCTATTGGGGGGTTTTTAGTGGATTATCGCTGTTTTTCTGTATGGAAAAGCGGCGATGAAAATAAATCCGCACAGAATTTTAGATTTAGTGTTTTGAGCTTTTAGTGCCGAGGAAAAGGTAGCATATTTCCGTTTGTTTGACTATGCAACTGACCTCATGGTGTTGACTACTGCTCAGTGTAGCTATCGAAGTTACATGAAGGGGACCGATATGGTCAGTGGTATATACATCAAAGCTATAGCTGGTTTTATTGAGTAGAAGATCAAGTATCAAAGTCACATGACAACGATGAGACAGTACTACATTCTCTATTCATTCAGTATGGTTTTCCTCTCTTGTAATTCTTGAATTCAGGTTATTGAACATAGACGTCTCTCCGAACAAGGCCATTGATAACTTCTCTTGCTGGCTAAGTATATCTCCGCTCGAGTAAAGTGTTGTAATCAAATTTCAAAACCCCACATTATTTTGCTTTCTTTTTTGCATACTCGGTTAAATTGAAACCAGTGCGAATATAAATTCCATCATTGTATAAAAGGGAGCTAAAAAGTATTTTATTATTGACAAAGAGAAACTATACAAAAGCAACAATATCTTACTACCGCCTGCCAATATGCCATTTGATCCAAAGTCCTACGAGAATTACGAGTTCTTTACTGTTACCACTCTTAGTAAAGGTGTTGCACATGTTCAATACACCAACCCAAAGACTCTTAACGCCTACACTAATCAAAACTGGAAAGATTATGGTGAAATCTTGACTAGATTGGACAAGGAAGATGACATTCTTGTAATTGTCATTTCATCTGGTGTTCCCAAATCATTTTCATCAGGATTGAATATGAAGACCGCCATGGAAATGAGCAAAAATACACCAAAAGATGATAAGGAAAGATACAACTTGTATCATGACTACATTAAAGATTTCCAAGATGCTTGTACTGTTCCAGCACGTATTAACAAGCCAACTATTGGTATTTTGAACGGTATTAATTACGGATTAGCTCTTGATCTTGCCAGTGCTTACAGTATCAGAATTGGAGTTGAAGGTGCTCGTTTCTCTATCGCTGAAGTCAATATTGGAATTTCTGCTGATATGGGATCGTTGCAAAGAATGCCAAGAATCACCAACAATGCTTCAAAACTTATGCAACACGGTTTACTTGGAGACGTTTTTGATTTGAAAGAGGCTGTTGAGATTGGGTACCTTAGTACTACCGTTAAATCGGTTGAAGAAGGTATCAAATTAGCTGGTGAATGGGGACACAAGATGACGCAATTCCAAAGATGGGCCATCACTGGTACTAAGAAGCATATTCAAGATATTTTGAATGGAACCACTCATGAACAAGGATTGACTGATATTCGTGAACACAATGCTGAGAATTTCACCCGTGGTACAAAGTTATAGATATGTAGCTTTTTGAATAGATTGGCTTTGTTTACTTTAGGCTCTGGTTTTCGTATACACTTTGTTGTTGTAACTCACTATGGATGTTATGATTAATTGGTAGCGTCTGGTAATTTCTCTTTCTTTTTGCAATCCCGAAGAACCAACGAAAAATTGTTTGGAAAATTTTCAAAGTTCAAAGCAGGACAAAGTCATATACATACTGACGACTAAATGGCACACGTGTTGAGATATGGGTCAAGGCAAAGGGAGTTTTTGCATAAGATTTCTCGTAACTACTCATCATGTGCCATAAGTGTCAGCGATACGGTTACTCGTATTCGAGATACCCTGGACTCCCATTCATCAACCACAAAAACCATAGATAAGAATATACATACAAGAGTACCGTCCAAAAGTTTAACAGAGTCGTATGAACTTAGCTCAGTATTCGCATCCAATGTACAACAGACGAGAGAATTACAAATCAAGAACGAGTTGATCCATTTGATTGAACGAAAAAGTTTTGACAAATTGGTTAGCTTGTTGGAAACTTGGTCCCTTCATGACCTAGATGGCATGGTTAAAACATTGGATAGGGATTCAATCACCCGGTATTTGAGATTGATAATCAAAGAGAATAGGAAACGGCATGTAAACAAGTTTAACCTTTCGCCAATTCAAAAATCGAGTAAAATACAGAGTATGATACAAAAGCTGACACATACGAGTGATTTCCATGTTGGAGACAAGTTAACAGAACAGATAAGAAATGTTTATCGAAATTTGATATACAATAATCGAAATGAACATTTTTACAACAAGGAAAAGTGTCAGAATATATACAGTGGAGACAATCTAACTGGATACAAGTTGACTCCAAACGATTATGAAAATTTGATGCAACTTGAGTTGGGAAACTATAAACTTGATTTGGCATCGAGATGGTTTTACCTTTTTCGTAAAGAATATGGTGATCAATGGAAGCTAATGATGACGCCAAAGTTATGGACATTGGCATTCAAAATTGATGGCATGGGAGATAATAGATACTGGACAATCAAGGGAACTGACTTGTCCAGTTTTTACAAAAACCCACTTCGATCAAAGTTCAAGCCAGGGATGAATATGAATTTGATGGATGTACAGTACGACCTTCAAGAACTTGATTTGGGGTTTCATTCAGCTGTCATTCAGTCGCTTGCTCACGCCGGCCGTATAAATGATGTGAAATCCTATGTACTGAGGATTTGGGGCGTTGATGAGAATGGCAAGTTGATGCCATCGTTCACAAGTATTAGCCGGGAGAGCCACTTGTACCCAACTATAGATCTCATAACTGCAATATTTGTGTCTTTGGCATACAATGGTGAGTTTTATTCTGGAATAAAGTATATCAATGCATTTCAGATTGCCTATGGTGATATAGATGCTACAAATGGTAACAACAAAGTGTTTTGGGAACAAGTATTCAAATGGGCCAACATTTCCACCATGCTTGAGGAATCCCAAGCGTTAAAGTATTTCTTGACAAAGAGCAATTACTCAAGGGGGAACAATGTCGATCTAAAAGATGCGCAGAATGATGCCAGCTTCGATTATGAAGGATATTTGCAATTCATTAAAAGCTTAAAATCTGAAAGGGTGCAAACATTTGATCAGTTGTGGAGGATTGTTCAAAATGAAGAACAATTGCCATTTTCCAATATCATTTACAAGACGTATTTGGATGTATTGAAGGAACAATCGGTTGAGCAAAAGTTGTTTGATTACTTGTCAAGTCTTTTAAAAGAGTACAAGAGACACTACATTGGACCCAATTCATTTACGAGCCGTTCCGGATTGGGCTTTTACCCAACCAACGGGAAAAGCAAATCAATAAGAGTATTATATAAAGAAGCTTTGAAAGCGCTAGTCGAGATAAAGGGAACCACGACGTACTTGGCCCAGATCAACCCATTGATTGAAAAATGGAGTCTTGATGAGTCAATGAAGAAGGAATTAAAAACTTGGGCTGAGTCAAAGATGCCAATTTATAGAAAGGATTTGGAAGCTAAACGTGAAGAGTTTATGAATAACTTGACTCAAGATGATGAGTCCTTGTTGGAACTTATGTAATGGCATGAGGATAGAGTATAACGATTGAAATGAAAGAAGATTTATAGCTTTATGTGCTTGATTTTATGTAGAATGAAAGCTCCAGCATATTTCTCAAATAATAAAAGGGCGTGTAACTTCGCGAAAAAAAGAAAAAAGCTCCACGTAACTGGAATTGAAATTGAAAAAAAAAAAAATGAGTGTTCCAACTTCAGCAGTGTAACAACAACAACTACCAAATAGATCCCACCAATAAGATACAATGGCCGCCGAGGGTGTTGAAAAACTCACAGAAATTCCAGTTGAATTCTTCAAAGATGGATCAGCATTCATTAAGAAATGTCAAAAACCAGACCAAAAGGAATATTTTAAGATTATTAGAGCTGTTGGTATTGGTTTCGTCATGATGGGTGTTGTTGGATACGCTGTGAAATTGGTTCATATTCCAATCAGATACTTAATTGTATAGAGATGAGGAGGGTTAGAAAGAGTTATGAATTAGTGGTGATTTGACTTAGTGTTGATTAGAAAGAGGAATTAAGTTCATCAGTGATGGATTAAACGGAGATCGAAGCTCAGTGATTGGGAAGGGGAAGAGAGCCTTGGATTTTTGTATAAAAGCTTTGAATGTATTGTTCAATTTTGAAATGAGAATGGGGAGTGCAGTTTCAGGTGTCTAAGTTCTCTGAGTGTGTGAGTTTTGGAATTTTGTTGAACGCCGAAACAATTGTAGAATCGATTCAACCAAGAATGTACAAAACCTTTGGTAACTTTCGCTCATAATATAGTAACTTGTTCCTTGTTAAGTGCATTATATACGATGTACTTTATTGACTTCTTTGAACATTTATTTATCTTGTTGTCGCAACATACTTTTCTCGACACAATCTCATCTCTAATTATGGAAAAAAAAATTGAATTTGCAGAAGTTAATTTCACACCCAAAACCACCACTCTCAACATAGGTTAACTCATTTCCAAAATGTCTCAAGCTTCCAACTTTGTTAAAAAGTTAGCCTCCAATGACAAACCAACAAGAGATGCCGCACTTGAATCTCTCAAGAAATTTCTTATTTCTAAATCGTCCAAAACATTTTCAATATCACTACTCGATGCAGAAAAATTATGGAAAGGGTTATACTATTCAATGTGGTTTTGCGATCGGCCAAAAGCTCAAGAACGTTTAGCGGAAAACTTGGGAAAATTGTATCTGGAAAACATCAACTCAAATGAAGTTTTTCTTCGATTTGTTGAAGCATTCAATTTGATCATGATTAAAGAATGGAGTAGTATTGATCAATGGAGAATAGATAAATATTACTTGTTGATTAGACGAGTGTTGAGACATAACTTTAAGTATTTGAAACTGCATCAATGGGATGAAACTTTGGTTAACGACTGGGTTGATGTTATGCGTCGAACGATTTTGAGTGGAGATGCCAAAGCACCTGTCGCTTTACCATATCATTTGTGCGATATCTACTTGGATGAGCTTCAGTTGATTTTGTTTGAAGAATTGGAAGAAGAAGAGTTGGATAAGGAGGATCCAGGGTATTTGCAAAAATATGAAAATTTGATGAGACAAAAGATTGAGATTGCTGATGGTGTACCGGTATTGAAGCTAATAGGTCCATTCCAAATCTTGAATAAGGAGGCGAAATTGAAACCATTGAGGGAGAAGTGTAAAGAGGACATTTTGGATGATGAAAGATTGGTTGATTGGGCGGTTATTGAAGATAAAAGTGATTCAGACCTGGATGAAGAGGACGATGGGGTTGCGGAGAAAGATGATGATGATGAAGAGGAAGAGGAATGGAAAGGTTTTTAGAGAGTGTATTAATGTGCATAGTGATATGATGGCTACATTGTAAATTGAGCGTTTGATCTCCGCGCATTGAAAAATTATCTTCACCTTTTACGAAACAACCTTATGTCGAAACAAGATAACAAGGAGTTGAACCCTTATATACCAAAATATATCATCTCCAAACCATGGTATAATGAAAAGGAAGCTGCTTCCACTGATCCATCCGAAGGTCAAACGGACTACCTTTCCCATCAAAGAAAGACATCGGAAATTGTTGATCATAGCTTGCCACAAGTTGGCCAAGGGATCAATGATGAAAGGCAAAACGGTGTACGAAATGCATCAAATGATGAGAATTATGATACCAAAAGAGATCGATGGTTTGGTTACTCGACTGAAGAATGGCTAGCTAAAGTAAAGAATTGGAATGAGAAGAACGACGTTAAAGTCATCAATGCTCGACACAAAATAGATGATGATAATGATGACTCCGATGACACTGATTATGAGTTGGAGCTAAATGAATTAGGACTAGATAAGAAAGATGTCATGCAAAATATCAAAGAAGATCCCATGGAAAAGATGTTGCGTGATCGTCAAGATGTTCCAGCATACATCCACAACATCACTTCAAGATTGGATGCCAAGATACGAATTGAGTATGATCCTAAATCGCGACTTGCTAAAGACCCAACAAAAGGGATCTTGAATGATAAGAATCAGTTTGTCAAGAAATTGGAAGGTGATGCTAAGGATTTGAAAACATTGCAAGCTTTTGCTTGGGATTTGAACAAAAAAAATGAACAACAGAGGTTAATGAGCCAAGTTGAAGGGGCTGGTGCTGGTGCTGGTGCCATTGATGAGACGGGTGCTAATGTGAATGTGACTGATGTGAATGATAGTCTTGAAGCCAATCCAACGTTGATGCTAATGAGGGAAAGGGAACAGAAGGAAGCGGCAAAACAAAAGTCGATTGCTAAACAAAGAAAACTTTTTGAGATGTATGGAGGTGGCGACGAAGAAACAAGCATAAAAAGTCGAAACTCATCAGATGGGAAGTGAATGGCAATTGTTCTTATGGTATTATCCACTTTTGCCAAGACTTTAATCGAATATGTCTGTTACCCTCAAGTACTTCCAATATGGAAATTTCTTTAGCTGCTTCCAATACTAATTCAACATACTTTCCATCATGTGTGAGAACTTTGAGCCTATTAAACTCAACCAAAGCTTTCACAGCGAGTTTGCCATCAGATTTGTCGAACAATGACCGAAGGTAAGTATCCTTGCAAAGATTTTCCGTGGAGAAGTAATATTGCAATTGTTTTTTAATCTTTGCCTTGAGGGTATCCCTTTTGTTTTCTTGTGATATTGGCGTTACCAATTGGGGCAGCAGATGTTGAAGAAGTGGCAAATGCAGATACATTGGCATACCATAAACCACCATGGGCTGTTGTGGCGAAAGTATTCCTCCTGGGGATTGGGGGAACATTGATGAATTCGACGATGGTATGAGAATAGGAGAAGGTAGTGATGTCGACTCAACCAGTGATTGATCTTCTGCTGAATGAGTGAAGACCCCTAAATCTGGCCTAAAGTTGTACAATGATGTTGTGGCTGTAGCTGCTGTTGTCCATATATTTGATTGTGACTTGACAAGTGATTGGCTATCGTCATCTGGAATTTTGTATTTGAACATCCCATTACCACCTTTTATGTCTCTTGTTCTAGGAAGTGATGGTTTTTTGATTCTAACCGTTTTGCCAACTTCAATGAAATGGTTCAGTTTATTTGTTATTCTTGCAGCCACTTTTGGTTGTGGTGATTCTAGGGACAACGCATCATTTGATGGTAGAGTCGCAAGAGATTGCGTTGTTTCGATAGCTGATTGCAATTGCAAAAGAGGAATGACCAACGTACCGACTTCTGTGTCTTTCTGGCATCTTGATATTTCGGCTGCCACTTTTTTAGTCTCTTGTTTCGGTACCAATGTATTCAAATCCCAGGCATTTGTAGGAGGAGGAGGAGCAGGAGTCAACCGTCTTATGTTTGCCATCTGATAATGAAATATAGTGTTTCTTTTGTACTTGTTAGCAGGAGTTTTGAATATATATGGGTATGCAGTTGTTACAACTAAAGCACTGAGAAATGCTGCTACAAAATAAATAAAAAAACTAGTTGGTTGTAAAAATTACAAAACTAATCTTCATCTTGAGCATTGGAGAAGTGATAGTATTACACTAGTTTTCTGTTCTGTTGGTCGTTGTTATATATTCAGTGATACCATGGATGTGGAACTAAGAAGGTAGAAGTTTGACAACAATGTTTGAGGATGTGAGTTGTGGAGTTAATGGAGATCTTCAAAATGAGGGTTTGACAGTCTAGGTTTGAAAGAGAAATAGTCTTCATGGCAATTGTCAAAACTGTTTTCGTTCACGAGACTGGTGTGTCAATGGTTTGAGATGCTTAATCGTGGAGTTCTACATGGTTTAAATTGGTTAGTGAAGGCTTAGACTTGGCACGTTGCACAAAAGTAGTGAGTGGGTGCCAATAAATAAGTGTCTTGTGAGCGAAAATTGTTTCAATAGAGAAGGAGGAAAAGGGAAAAATTGTGGATGCTTAGATTTGCCAAAGTTAATCCAAGGCGAAAATTCATACACTAAACTGTAAAGTCAGATGAATCAGGCTTGGTTCAAAGCTTCCACCACAGGTTTTGGCTTCAAATGGTGCAAAGAGGGAAAGAAATGGTTATAGGTTTTTGAGAAAAAGTGAACTAAAGAAAAAGAGGCCCACATGGGCCCCCAAATAATTACACAAAGCAAAAACAAGAAAAAACATCAAAAAGAATATCAAATATGTAACGTTGATAATAAATTGATTTCAGTCACACGATCATAGACACTTTGAAAACAATCATTTTGCTGAAAAAGGCAGTATCTTTCAATTACATGATGTAAGGTTGGTCGATTTTTGTCATGGAGAACTATAGCTAGTGACTCTTTTGAAGTGTGGTGTCAATGAAATTGAGACATATGAAGAAAATATTTTGGTAAATTATGAAAGAACTCCTTAATGCAAGATATTGAAGCACACACATACGCACATTGCATGGAGACTTTTTCACAGGAACTTCTCTAAGCTAAAATTAAGAGCTGATAGGCAAACATAAACCGTCGAAGATATGAACACGAGGCGACATGTGGTGTCAGTACTAATGCTCACGTGTGCTTAGGGGCGTGTGTGTCTATTGTATTCCCCACTTATATGCAGTCTAAAGTACACAAACGCAAGGTATTACAAAACGAAAACATTAATTTCAACCCTCGTGGGACCTTTAACAAAAATACGAAATGCATTTGTTATATCTGACCAAGGTGATATATATATACAAGAGAAAGTAATTCTACTTTGTATTTCTAGATTTACAATCTATGTAATCTGCAAATACAAAACTAACCCCATTTACCATAAACTATACACACATACCTCACTATTTAATTACACACTAGTCTAACTCCTACTTTGTGACTCGATAATACGATTTTGCAACTATACATCACCTTTAAATGTCTTTCCCGTCCCCACCAGTGTTAAAAACTACCATCATTCAGTTGAACAAAGAGCTAGATTCTGATGGTAATAATAACAACTATGAAATATTGACAAACAACTACAATAATAATCCCCTGGACAAGAGTCCGATTGGCAATAGTGATGATTCGATGCCAACATCACCAAATTTGGAGGCATTAGGTCCTAGCAAGAAAAAGAGAAGAAGATCAACAGCAAATATTGACGAGGAAGAGCTAGCTAAAAGGAAGCATGAAACCAAACAATTACATTCAATCATCGAGAAGAGAAGAAGAATCAAGATAAATCGTGAGTTTGAAGCTTTGAAATACTTAATACCAGCTTGCAGGAATTGCAATACTACCCCACCTGATCAAGAGTCAAGCTCATCCACAAAGAAGTCTTCAAATGTGGGAGGTGGTAGTAATGGCAACAAGATTGATGGAATGTACAAGTTGACTATATTGAAAAGTTCAGTTGAATACATTTTGTACTTGCATCACATCATTCAAAAACAGCAGGAGCTTATCAAGAATGATTCAAGTATAAATTTAACCGCGGCAAAGGAATTTAACATCGACTTTGCTAGAATACCACTTGATGTTAACCAATATAGAAATATCGATGTCAATTTCAACTTTAAAACTTTATTGAAAGAAGTGCAAAGTGTTGAAGGGCAGATACAGCGTCGATCCAATGAACCTAAAATGAACAGACCCAGCTGGACTCCGAATCACAACAAAATATTAGAGGAAGAGGAAGAGGAATCACATGAGTTGGGTCATAGTGGTGATGGGGATGGTGATGACAACGACAACGACAACGACAACGTAATCAGCAGCAGTCGTTCCTCAAGTGTTGCGCCATCGCTTCCTTCAATACCTTCTCAAACATCTATATCTGCCACCCATAAACCGCTGCTTCCAACACCTGATTTCACCCCAGATATGGCACCAATATTCACTATGCTCAACAAGTATTCTGATCACAATACCGAAAGACGGAACAGAAAAGCATCATATCCAATCTCACCTCAAACTTTCGCCATACGATCAGCCAATCCTTCTCCGTTCACCAATCCATTGAAATCGACTTTATCAACGACAACGTCACCAAGTATGCGCAACTATGTCAATAAAAACAACTCTAATATTAATTGCACCAATAATAATACGTTTACTTTACCAGATCCTGCTATAACGCCATCGAATTCAACGCCCAGAGATCGAGTGAATGAGGAATCTTCAACTGAAACGTCAAGGAATCGAAACACTCCATCCACAGAAGTTCAAGACGAGGTAATGGAAGATGGAGAAGAGGAACAACTCAATGATAGATATGCTTCGAAGACGTTATTGTCTTTAAGAAAGTCGAGTATTGGAAATTTATTAAATTAGGGTTTGGAAGAGTGTATTTACTTCGTTTTTGTATTTAATCTGTTTAGTGGTGTATCAATAGTGTTTGATTACCAGTACTAGCTTTTCGATAACCACTCTATAATTCTTTATATCAAATTATTATCCGACAAGTATTCTACATACTCATCCATTTTGCTTGGCCACGCTGCCATTTCGTCATAATTTGAAAGCTTATATGGATCTGGGATTATCACTTCCAAAAAGAATAAATAAAACATTGACCATGTATCGAATGTAATGACGGGTCTTGGGTTGCTATTGGATAAAAAATCATACCAATTTTGAGCTCGTTCGTCTATTTTCGCTTTGTCGTCTTCGTTACTATCCGAATTATTTCTGGCAAAATGTACTGAGGTGATCAAGGGTAGCAATAGTTTCCAATACGAAATTGTTAAATCTATATCCAACACTTTTTGATTTTCCGACTCCTTCAAAAACCCAAATGTGAAATCATACAATTGTTTAAAATCAATAACTTCATTGGTTTCCAAGTCCGAGTAGGAGCCTTTATCATGTAACACGTTTTCGTGGAAATGGTTTAAAAACTCGGCCATTGCTTTGACATCATGAACCTCGTAATGTTGCCAAATAGTCAAAAACTTGTCTTTTTTAAATACACCAACCAGCGGTGACTTTAGTAGAAATGCTAAAGTTAGAGATTTCGGATCATCGGGGTCTATACCTAAATCCTCAAGGTATTTTAAAGTACCATCAATATCTATCACTTCCGGATTGTTGGCATCTTTATATTGATCAAATATTGCAATCAAATGCTTGGCAAAGGAAAAGGGGGAAGAAGACTTACCGTTTGATTTGGAGTTAGGACTGGATTTGGATGCATGTTTGGTAAAATAGGCATCAACAGCTTGTTCTAAGTTGTACTTGCTTGCATCCAAGTACCTCCCTGCGGTCGTGGTTGATGTACCTGTCAATTCACAAAATTGATTTTTCAACGCCGATTTGTTAACCTGTTGGAGTTAGTACGGAACCAGATGTAGGTGATGTGGTAGGGTCAAAGCACTATTTTAACATACCATGGCTATGGATGTGCTAACTCCAACTTGAAATGTCCTTTCTGTCTGAAGAGTGAAATTTTGACGTTTTTTGTCAGAGATCGCGTGAAGTGATGTATTTTGAGGAAACTCAAGAGAAACAAACAATCTATACCACACTGTAAAAAACTCACCACTATATTCCTTCAAACAAGTACTAGTATGTTGACATGAATGATGCTGCTTCTAATACATTGTCTTTAGACCAAATACGAAACGTAATTGGATTTCCTTCCCTTGAAGATCTTTCCAGTTCACCTTCTGATATAGATAATGATATACAGATATTACTTGATTGGATTCTGCCGATTATTCCTGAGAAAAGTTTAGAACTTTGTTTTCAGTCAGGTTCCATGCCGCAATCCGTCTCCACTGCAACCAACCTTTTGAGTCCTGTTGGCCAAATGTTGAAGAAAGAAGAAGCTATCGATCCCAAATTTTTGTTGCCAAAGTATGCTGATCCTTCTTATAGAGTCAAGTTGGCCATCAAGAGTTGTTTCAAGAATGAATCCGACCAATCCAAATTTATTGATCTTTATGTCAACTCTGTGAATACAAAATTGAAGGCGTTGCCACAATCGGTTGTTGCTAATTGCTCATTTATGGAGTATATCAACATGATCAAGCTTATGAAGCATCATTACGAAACACACATTGATCATTTCAATCTTTCCAGTCGTATAAATATGGCATTCGCCACAAAATACAATTCGATTCTAACGTCATTCTTATTTGATAATACCAATTTCCGTAATGAATTGCACAATTTTTTTGAAAAATCATTATTCAACAACGATGCCTTTTCAGCTCCCCTTTCATCGTCAATAACATTGAATGTGATTGATATCATATCAACTTTAGTGTCTGTCAATTTGTCGGAATGTCTAAATGAAATTCTCGTGGTTTTATCAATCGAGAAAATTAAGGCGTATACCAATCAATTGTGCAAAGGGGTGTGGGACAAACCATTGTTGGACTCCATTGAATCCTTTATTCAAAATGAAATTTATCCCAACTTTTCTATCATTGTGAGTTACACCACTCTGTCCAATTTGACAGATACAATGAACAACGTATATTTATACGAATTGATGAAAATTGCACATATGGAGTTGACAACATTGAGAGTAGATGAGATTTACTCGCTAGTTTTGGGATATCCAAGTAGCGAAATTGCACTCAAAGAGCTCTACACTTGTTTACTGAGAAATAGAGTCGAGCGACAGGATGTAACAATGAACTCAACAGGGATTTTTTCCTACATGGGAGATATCTCAACTCATGCACAAGCAGAAAAGAGATCCAAATTGGTCGACCATTTTATTCTAAGCTGTCATGAGAACTTGCTTCATGCAGGAGCAAATACGATTGATGTTATTACATCATACACGAAAACAATCAAATCGTTTTTATTGATTGATCCCAGGGGCGTTCTTCTTGATAAAGTGGTGAGACCTATACGTCGATATTTAAAGACAAGGGACGATGTGATAGTGAAGTTGGTTCATGGAATGTTGGATGTATCAGAATCAAACAAGTTGCGAGATTTGGCATTAGAGTTAAACTCCACTGAAAAGTATAACGCAGCAACCCAAATTAAAGATGGCGTCGAGGATTCTTTGGATTTGAATTGGGTACCTGACCCTATTGACGCGTTGCCAGACTTTAAACGAGAAAGAATCAGTGATACTATCGAGTCGTTATTGTCGATTTTTGAGTCAAAGGAAATCTTTATTGAGGAATTTACCAAATTATTTGGCCATCAGTTGATTGCATCAAAGAATTTCAATGTTTCTAGCATTGAGTCAAAGTTGAACTTGCTCAAGTCTAGATTTGGGAAGGACAACTTTACAACGTTGGATATCATGCTACGAGATTTTCACACCAGTAAGCATTTGAACACAAAAGCTTCTCGTGATGTGGCTATCTTGTCGCATCTATATTGGGAGAGTATCCTTGACCAAATTGATGAGGAACGAAAATCGTTCAAATTGCCAGAACCGATTGAGCTGGAGTTTGCTGAGTTCCAGAAATACTATAGTAATCATAAACAAGGCAGAAAATTAAAACTTGTTCCTAGTTTGGGAATGGTAAAACTAAGACTTGACGTGGGTGAGCAAGTGCGTGTTTTTGAAGTGAGCACTGATAAAGCAGCTATCATTTCCATGTTTAGTGGCATCGATCACGACCTCCACATAGAGGATATATCGAAATCATTGAAAATGCCGTTATCTATGGTTAGAGATGGCGTATCATTTTGGGTTGAAAAAGAGGTGATTTGCGAGTTGAGCAAGAAAAGATATATTGCTATTGATGCCATGGAGTCATCACGGGGTAGATATTCCAAGTCACAGTTTAGTGATATCGAAGTAATTGAACCATATGTGATGAGAATGTTGCTGAATATAACGGCACTTAATTATGACAGAGTGAAATCTTTGCTCAAAATGATGGTGCCTAAGGATGAAATTGATGTTACCACTGTAGAGGATGCCTTGTTGCAATCTTACTTGGATCATTTGGTTTCGAGTGGAAGGATCAACTTTACTGAAGGTAATTACAGCTTGTTAAAGGGCGGTTAGCTTATTTGGAGCCACATGGATGTCTTTTTGGCGATACTTCTTATGTAATGTTATACAGTAAAAACTAGTTCTTATGGTCTGGTTTCTTTGGCCAGCGTCTTGCTGGCTTAATTTCATCTGGCATATATCCCGGTACTTTGATCCCCCAGTTTCTCTCCAAATTCAACAGTACATCCCTGATATCAAGTTTATCCAACTTCCGATGTTTGGCCAAATTACAAGAAAATCCCATAACACTGCGAACGAACTCATCAGCCAAGTCCAAAAACAACTCCTCGACATCGTTGTCCACTGAGGGCTTTGTGTCTCCTTGATCAATGGATAAATTAGTTATGAGTTCATTCAATTTTCGTTTAGTGAGAACCCGACCATCGTTGTCAGGAATGCTTGTGGAAACTGTTGGCAGGTTGCCAAATGCCCTGAGTGAGTTGACAAGATTTGTAGAAGAGGTGGTAGTTGGATTTGTAGAGATCTGTGGTCTTTTTGTGGTTGTAGTTGTATTTGCAGTAGATGGTTGTGATATGGCTGTAGGAGCTTTGGTTGCAGAAGACGTTTTCGTCACTGCGGGGGGCTTTGTTGATGTCGGTGATGGTGTTGGCTTTGACTCGTTGGATATAGGTGACGGTAATTTCTTATTCACTGTAATAGCTGACGAATTAGGAATGGCTTGAGGAAGGGTCAGTTTCGGATGACTTGATGACTGCTGATCTGCATTGCTGATTTTAGGTGGTGCAGGCGACGTTATTCTCTCGATGGAAGAGTTTTGTTGGTGGGTAGTGGCGCTAGATATATCCAGAGCTATTGGTGGTGCTGCCGTTGTTGTTGCTGTTGTTGCTGCTGTTGTTGCTGTTGTTGTTGCTGTTGTTGCTGCTGTCACTGGACGAGGACTTGAAACTGGTGTTGCATTTGCTGCTAGCCTTCCAGAATCCATCAACACCTTCCTCATATACAATGCTCCTTTGTGATACTGTTGTAACTGTACTCGACTTTCAGTTAATGTCTTCTCCATGGCTTGGATTCTTGTAGGATCAGTTTCCCTCTCCTTTGCCAGAGTTAGCGACTGCACTTTTTCCGCCAAGTCTTTCAAAACGCTCTTGACTTGATTGTACTTTTCAACTGTTATTTTCTGAGCATCAGGCGAAGCGGAGTTTGGTCTTTGCGGAGCTGGTGATTGAATTTGTGGAAATTGACTCGTTACATTGTCTTGAGGTGGAGCATGTGCTTGGCTATGTGAAGAAGGCTGCAAATTTACTAAAGGTGATTGCACCGAGGATGTTGCTGCTGCTGTCATTGCCACTGAAGGATCGGTACCTGACTGAGTACTTATTGCCGGTTGATGACTTGTTTGCTGGCTTTGTGCATTACCCGAGGCCACATGAGCCAAATCCCCACCTTGACGCTGCTTTTGTTGGTCGTGATATATCTTCAAGACCCGTTTGATCTTATCCACCTTGGCCAAGTGTTCTTTTACCTTAATTGGATCTGTTTCTGTCTTGCTGGCATTGAACTCCTCATGCAATTTGTTCAACAATGCTTTCACTCTTTGAGGATTCAATTCCGCTTCGGGCGTTGGAGTCGTATTCTTGGTGATGCTCTGGTTACTTGATCCCTCCATGATGGTTTTCAATGCGTAGAGTATGAGCGTGAAATATGCTAATGTAACGATTTACTTTCCGTTTTGGTTTTAATTTTTTATTTTGGCAGTGGTCGTGCAATGACTCAAAATGTTTCAACTCGCAACTAAATCTATAACATCTATCTATTAACTGGTGTCCTATAGAGAGACAGCTTTTTTTATAATTGCAACAATATCGTCGTTGTTCTCGGCTTTGTCAAAGCTTGATAACAGGGAATCCATATAGGTATCCAAAAGCTTCCTCACTTGTTTGATTAGGACCCCATTTTTACACCAGGTTCTTACAGGTAACCATGTGTCCAAAATGATACCATTCGAAGGTGTACCACTTGTAGGATGTAAATCATACTCAAAACTTCCACCAAAGAGCAACGTCGCTAATGTGTTTGAAGGCGTAATTCCATTCACGTAAAGCTTGTTGGATAAATGAGATGACCTGTAGGCGATGAATGTGTGTTTGGATGCCGGTAATGGTTTATTAAGTGGGATCATTTGTCTCGCTTTGTCAATATCTATTGAGCCATCCTCTCGAGTGATGTGGGATTCAAGTTCCTCATCAATTTCAAACCCCGTTGTGTTTTTGCCGAATAAGACGGATGATGGATGGATAAATACTCGAGTTGCAGCTAATGAAGAGTCCTGGTCGGTACGATTCTCCTTTTTGATCCAGTATTTGGTCAAGCGAGCGTCTGTATCTGCTTCAATTGCTCCCAGTGATGATTTTAGAAATTTCTTTGGTGGATATTGAACTCTAGCGATGTTGGGATAAAACGCGCCGATAATTATGGCTCGAGTCATATCATAATTTGGTTTCAGAACCTTCCTTGGTACAGTTGGCAGCTTGATGAATCCCATTTCGGACAACAATTGGTAATATTGCTGCCTTGTCGAGGCTACGTCTTTAAGCATGTTGAATGACAAACAGTGATCCGACATAAACTTCTTGTTAAAAGAGTCCGAATATGCGAGGTATAGATTTGCCATTGCAATAAAGTCACCTTGTTTATCGCTATATTTCATGGTAACATCCTTGATTTTGTCCCTATTTTCCACTGAGTGAACAAATATACTACCGACCGAGCTTATAGCTGCCAATACTGAACAAAAATCAAGACACCCAAAAATACAACTCAACAAAAGTAATTTGCCCGTATGGGGATCTGTAGGCAAATATGACAAGTATTGACCCAATGTTGTCAACTTTTCCCCGTCTAGAGCGCCAACGTCTTGCAAAAATGTTTTTGCCGATAGTAATGCGGATTGGTCAGGAGAGTCCAACCCACTTGCGATGAAACTTTCAACATTCTTCACCCCCATTGATTTTACAATCAAGTACAAATTTTCCAAGCGGACACGCATGATTTCAGGTATCGGCTGAGGGAGCATCGAGTCTTCAGTATCCTTGGTGTACAAGTGGTAGCAATCACCAGCGGCAACACGACCAGAACGTCCCCTCCTCTGTTTGATCTCAGCCTGAGAACACCATTCTTCAACTAGCTTAGTGGCATTTAGGGAAGTATCAAAAAACATCGACTTTGAACGACCAGAGTCAACCACTGCTACACAATCAGGAATTGTGATAGAGGTTTCCGCAATGTTGGTCGAAACAACCACCTTTCTTTGTCCACGAGCTGATTGAAACACCTTCTTTTGCTCTTGTGGTGATAAAGATGAATGGAGTGGTAATGTCCAGAAATCAGCAATACTGTTTATTGCCTTTATGACACGATTGATTTCTGGTACACCAGGCATAAAGATCAATATTGAACCACGGTTATTCTCCGAGGTCAACTTTTGGTGTATATGCTCCACTAGCAGAGCAATTAACTCATAATTTATGTTTCCATTCTTGAAAAATGCAGAGTCCGCGCGTGGTTTAATGATTTCCCCTCCAACTTCCATCGAGTAATCTAGATCGCTCAATATGTTATCCAAATAGTGATCATTTATAGGGAATGTCCTACCCTCCACATGTTCATGGATCAAAGGTTTTTTGAAAAACGCATTGAACTTGTCAATTTTTATGGTGGCTGACATGAGAACAATTTTCAATTTTTTAAACTTCTTCATCACATCCCTCAAAATAATGAGTAGAAAGTCACTATCAACTGATCGTTCGTGTACTTCATCAATAAATATATACCCAAGGTTATCAAATAAAGCATGGTCTTCCTCTTTAGTTATGTTTTGAAGCATCCTTAGCAAGATACCGGTAGTCAAGAAAGTGATCCTGGTGTTGGGGCCCACTTTGTTTTCCCCTCTGATCATATACCCCGTCTCTTGTCCCATGATGTCACCCCTCTCTTCAGTTATACGAGCAGCTAGCCCAATGGCAGAAATACGTCTTGGCTGTGTGCAGAATATAGTTGTGGTGAAATCGCCTTTTGAGTTCAAATCATCAAGAATATACTGAACAATTTGAGTCGATTTACCAGATCCCGTCTCACCAGTAACTAAAGTGATGGCGTTTCCATTTATGACTTTTACCAAATCTTGAGCTTTTTTCCAAACAGGAAGTTCTTTTCTTTCATTCATATTTTGTTGCAACACTGCTGCTCTATTTTGGTAGGAAAGTTTTATTTCATTCTCATTCTGTTTCACTTTTTTCCTCCCTTTGATAGTAGCGTGAATTTCCCTTGATTTCTTGGCATAATTTGACCGTTTTTGACATGTGACGAGTGGGCCTGGGTTATTGACAATAGTGATCATATTCTCTTCCAACCACTCAATAATTGAAAAAATCATACACTCTCCTACGTGCAAAGTCTTGAGGAGATTCCTCACAATAGATAGTTTCACGTAGTTGGCTAGATTATACTTTTCTGCAACAATCAACAGTAATCCAGGTATTTCGTTGGGATAGTTTCCGCTTTTGGAAATTTTCAAGGTAATGACTCCTTCACTAATACCACTCGGATTTAAGGGAAGCGTGATGCTTTTGTCGTCTGAGAGCGTAACTTCTCTTGTAGACTCAATTGCTTCAACCTCTTGATCCCATATTTCTTGGCTTTGCTCCTCTTTAGTAATCTCCGTCGCCTCTGGTGCTAAAAGCTTGGTAAGTTGAACGCTCGTCTCAATTTCATCCTCCCCCGTCTCCTGATATACCCGCAATATTTCATCTTCATCAAATCCAGAATTTCTTAGTCTTTTTAAAACCAACTCGGTTTTCAAATTTTGTGAAATTGTAAGCAGTACTTCCGAGTCCTTACGAGATTTAGCAAAAAGTATCGGCAAGTCATCCTCAGGGATATGAAAAATCAACCATTCAAGCGCGTCAGTGAATTCTAAAGTATACTGAAGTGCCTCCCTTACATGGCTCTCCCTGAATCCCAACCCAATCAACTTTTTTACAATTGACTCGTCAGCAACTCCATTTCCTGCATTCCAATTTGAATGCTTTTGCACTGATTTTTCAATTTCAACTCTCATATCAGAAGGTATGTCCATCAATGGCGCGTGTTCCCATGCACCTTTGGGTATAATGCTTCTTGTGATTGTTGGTTCCGAAGTCACTATTTTTTGTCCAATATTGATCACTTGCTTATGAGTCTTTAAATCTTGATTGTCCTTCGCTGTCTTCTCCTTCTCTTTCTCGGCTTTTGCCTTTTGTTGTTCCATGACCACGACGAAGGGATTAATATTGTATCTTTTATCATGTAGTGATTTGTCTTCTTTCAATAATTGCAACCTTTCTTTCTCTAAATCTGTCCAATAATCTCTGAAAATGATTGGAAGCAACATCTTCATGTTTTTTATGTAATTTATCCGATGTAGAACAAAAGTTGCGACCATGTGTCTAGCCTCGTTGCTTGTTTCACGAGGAGAATATGTCGGCGTATACTTCACTGATAAGATCTCTTTGGTTTTCGGATTCTCCCAAGATAACGTTACTATTCCAACATATCCATTGGACTTCCGCATCATATCATATTGACATTTGTTCCACTTTTGTTTCTGGCAGTGCTCATTGAGTAATGTTACAGGCAATTTTCCTGTCCATCCAAAATTGTCACCCACAACTAATCCCCGAGCTGGTTTCTTTGAATCATCGGGTGCGGTCTCCTCGTTTATCTTTTTCTTCGTCACGCGTTCCACTACTGGCTTGTTCTTGCTCTTGGCCATCTCCAAAGAAACATTTTAGGTGAATTATTTTTTTTTTACTCTTTTTTTTTTCAATTTAATTTTATATAAAGCTTGAGAGAGGAGGGGCATGAGCCGGATTGTTATTAGCTATCGGAGAACTCACTCACAACTTATCGAGACTGTAAGGGATAATTAAATTATTTCTGATGCATTTTTCAAAGACGATTTGTTTTCGTTTCCACAGGTCTAATATCAACTACTGCATACTTTGCAAGCAATTGCAACCAAAAATTTAAACAGAAAACATACTCACCAACATTAGCATTTCACACACTGAAATGGGGCCTGTGCAATTCCTTATTTACGGAAGACTTCCACCGATAAGCAGGGAGGTTAATGGTCAAAAAAAGAAGAGATAATTACATGTCATTAGAACATGATGTAAAAATAAGTGAGATAGACAGGACTCGAACCTGCGACCGTTGGATAGTTCACATACATGATTGGAATCCAAAACTCTACCAGCTGAGCTACTACCCCCAGAACACAGTCTCATTAGTGGGCTAAAACCTTGAGTGTGGGACTCGAGTAAGTCGTAACCCAACCAATGTGTTTGGATTGACAAGTCGTTGTCACGGAAAAGTTCATAGAAATTAGGTCTTACAATATTGTATTTATTTGGGGGTGCTTGTCATATGAGATCATGTACTTCTTGATTGAAGTCAGACCAAGACTTGACGATATGTGCATAAATACTTGTAAGTATTGAATGATTGATCAGTAATAGCGTTGTAGGTTCGATCTATAATTTGATTATTCATTATTCTTTATTGTTATGTTCTTCGTTATTCTTCATTCTTCTGTTCTGATTTTCCATTTTGCTTTTCCTTGTGGGAAAGTCCAATCCTTTATATAATGCTGCTGGCTGATAGCTCAATGCAACACGCCTAATTGAATTTATTTCCTAAATGAGAAATCCAATGTAAAGGCGAGCGGGGTCATACCCTTAACAAAACTCTTCAACTTACGACTCAAAAAACCACGTATAAGCGTGAAGCATGAGATACTTTTTATACCTCATTGTTACCTCCTATAAGTTGTCTAGAGGAAACTTTAAAGTTCTATGGTGTTTGTTTTGATTACCTGGTAAAGTCAGTGAGCAATTTTGGAACCTTGGGGTGCATTCTCCAATTCGAATCGTGGTAGGTCGAAACCACGAGGTTACTATGAATACTGGCTGTTGATCGTGACCATACAATGATAGCATTCTTGTTGCAAAATTTGAGAAGCCGTTTATTATCGACCAAAAAACGAACCGACAGAATGGAAAGAAGCCTTAACGTAATTAATGAAAGAAAAGGCCGACGCATGATACCACTAACCTCAAACGTATGATTTCTTTCCTATGTTCAAACACTCAATCAAGAAGATTGCAACTATAGCTTCTATATCTTCATTGAATTATTTATGCAGCCTGCTCTGTGACGTTGACACGACCCTTCAAAACCAGGGCGTACTGAACAACGTGACCCCCGCCTGAGAGTGTTGCTGGAGGTTAATGCAACCAAACCTTTATGCACTTTTAGTTGAGTACACAAAACTAAAAATAGAACATACTAAAAGATGATACAAAAATCGCTTCGACAGACAAAATTACGAGCTATTACGCTTGGCGACAATATGTCGGCTGCAAACATGATGATGAAATGTATATTGCTTGTGCGGAAATTTTCCTCTTCTTCATAACAGCAACATTGCCAGAGTAACTATTGACGAATGTACCCCACACTTTGAATGGTGCTTGAGGTTAATGAGTGCAAACTGGCGTCATCCGCCACCGTTTCGATGATGGAACAAAGACCAAGCATGTGCGGATAAACCTCGATTGCTATCTCAAATAGTTGCAACGAAATAAGGTTTAGCTACCGTTTTTTATGCTTTTTATTAATTTTTATTTTGTTTATCTTTATAGCAAACTTATGGACTGGTTAGAAGAGTCTATTTGTTGGGCGCACTATACTTAGTGTAAACTTGTTAATCTGCCAGAACTGTAGTCTTGGCTTTGCGAACGCAACATGGAAATTTCTTGTCACCGATGCATGACTGTGGAAAAAAGTCAAAAAAACGTTGCCGATCGTTGTTTTCTCGCGCAACAGCGCAGTTAAGAGCTTTCGCTTGACTGTGGTGTCATGCATCAATAATGAACAAGCTAGTATGAGAAAATTGTTTCCCAATGTGGTTGCTGGTGGTTTGCATTAGCCCAAGCCCTACAACCAGTAGTAGACCCATCTCCATACAAATGCTGCATAAGAATGCCCTCTTGTATGCACAGTCAAACTTGAAACATGTCAATTTATTAAATGCAGAAAATGCAAAAAGGCGCTCCTACAGAAACCAAAATACGAGAAAGTGATTTTACGAGCGCTTTTACAAAAAAGTCGGTCAAAAATTTTCAATCTAGATGCACCACACAAGAATCAGAAATAATGCAACCTTTGTTAAAATTACCTTGATGAGTTGAAATCAGACCACAAACGGGATTGAGAGGTTGCAGGCAAGCCAAGACAAATTGTGGGAACAATAACAATCTCTTTTGGGTTTTCAATCCTGTTGTTTAGTCGGCTGTAAAAAAGCTTTCCGAGAACGGCTGTTGTGTACGTAGGGGGGGGAATATCCCTCATCCTGTTTTGAGCTTCAGCTGCCAAAACTTGAACATCCATTTACAAGTCTCTTAATCGGAGGCATAATTCCGGAAACTATTCTGTGGGTTTAGTTTGTCTTCAGCTATTATAGGAATTTGATCATCCACCTCGAGTCAATAGCCCAATTCTGTTCTTATACAATGTAATTTACACTTCTAGAGGGCATTGTTTCTTTGACTTAGCTTATTTAAAACAATGAATCGTTTGTAGAACAATATCCATTCACAAAGAGATTGATTTCACAAAAGAGAAGGGTACACATTTCCGCAACTGGTTATCACATGGGTATCTATTAATATATTATAAACAATTCACAGTAGAACTAAAGAAACACAATAAACAAAAAAATTCACAAAACGAAACGGAAGGATGCCCAACAGATATACTCAGCACTACCAACGGTTGATGATATCTATCATAGCAAGAAATGAATGGAAAAAAAGAGCCTCGAAACAATAACCTAATACTTTTCCAAGAAGGATCTGTTGTTCATAAGTGAATCCTCGTAAGCGCCAATTAAAACTTCAAATGCACCAGGACCTTGAAAGTTTAGTGGTCCACGAGCAACTTCGTTGTAGAAACCGTCATCCATTGCCCTATCCATCAGCTGATTGGTGGGTGATGATTCAAATGAGGGTTGAAGTGCTATTACGTCACCCATTGCATCGTAATACCTGTCATTGGCAATGAACTCATCAGCTATTGACGCAACTGCCGACGAAGGATGGGACGATCCATCTTGTATCGAACCGGTTGGAGACAATTCAAAACTGTTTGATCTCTTCTTTACTTCCAAAGAGCTGTGACGGCTATGATGAACTGGTTTATGTACGTGATGGTGATGGGCAATACAGCTTTTCAATTTGTTGTTCTGGGGCTGTGAGAGTGTTGATGATGATCTGCGTACAGTCGACAATGTGATGGGACTATTGGTTGTGAAAATGGATGATGGTGGTGTAGTTTCAGATGACGAGTTCGGTGCTGATGACAAAGTGTGTGCTTCATACTTGTTGCTCAACGAGGTCAAGGATGGGTTCTTGCTTATTGGCTGGTGACGAAGATTGGTGTAGTTGTTGGAAAAAAGTGAAGCAGTGAGTGGAGTTTGGTTGTGTCCATTATAGTCTCCGTTTCGCTGTTGCTGTTTGTGCTGTTGGTTGTCATTCATGGAAGGTGGAGACATTCCACTGTTCCTTTCAAGTGAATCACTGCCTAATTCTGACAACGCTTGATCATTTGCAACCCATTGCTCGTCACTGTTGAGGTTGAAGTTACCCGAAAAACTGTGTGATGAAGCTGGAGAAATTGGCTCTTCCTTAATCATTTTGCGAACCTGTGACCTTGAAGATGATGTAGAGCATGCTCTATTCACTGGCCTCATGACTGGAGGTGAATGCAAGTCAAATGAGTCTGATCCTCCCCCGGTAATCTTTTCTGACTTGTGTTCAGCAAATGCTTGTGATGATGATTGTAAATTGTCGTTTCTAAAATTAGCAGCTATCAAAGCACCCTCTTCCCAATCAACTGGAACATTCTGTAACAAACCACGTTGTTCAATCAAATAAGATACAATTTTGTTGATGGGGATACTGTCAACCTTGTTGTCTCCTTCACTTGATTCTGGTGAAGAAGATACATTGTCATTGTGGCCCTTCTTGGAAGCTGATTCCTCCTGCACAATTTCATCAATAAATGGCAAATGGGGTCTCGACAATTCGATCAATTTCTCAAACAGCTTTGATAAGATATCCAATCTTGTCTCTAATAACTCAATGTACCCTGGTGGATGAATCTTTTCCTTTACTTTCCGCTTTTCTGTGAACACACAAATTTTGTTGTCAAGTAAGCACCGATTGCAAGGCTTTTTACCATCACATTTAGTTTTCTTGATACGGCACGAATCACAAGCCTTGCCAACTCTCTTCTTCTTAACATGACAAGCGTGCACGGAGTTTTCAGATTGCATTTTATCTCGGTTCAAATTTGGAAAAGAGTCGCGGATTTAAGCGGCGTATTAGTAATGTCTGTTCCGAAATTATATTTTTTTTCGGAACGCCAATGAGTTTTGAAAAATGTGTAGATATAGTGGTGAGGACTTGGTATGGCTTTATTTCAATGGAATTATGGGGAAGTTCCAAACTTGGGTCAGTGTGTATATTTATATGCAACTTCAAATGACAAAAAATGGGCGTGTGGTCTGTCTCAATGCCTATTCCGTATATTGGTCTTCTTTGTTTTTGTGTTCAATCCGGATATGAAGTCGGTTATAAATCAACTCTCAGTTAAGACCGCACCGAAAAAAAATGAATGAAAATTGTATCGACTGCAGAAAAAGCTTTTAGTTGTGAATTATTAATATTAATAAAAGTCCCCTTTTCCTATTGTTTTTCTCTCTTGTTTAAACTGATGCAAAGTTTAAAAGTAAAATGGTGGAAAGTTTTTGCAGATGAATGACCTACTTCTTGCTTTAGTGTAGTGTGTGTATCTGTATGTGTATGTGTATATGCGTTTATAGCTCTCAACAATGGTATCAAAAATTTAATAACCACTGTCGAAGTTATTAGTAGTGATGGAGTTCCGAGTTTAAAATTCAAAATATAGTAGCTTAAGTAGTGTTTGAATATTCTAGATTGTATGTTGTGGTAATTAATTGGGGATGAGACTTTTACTTTCAGTTTTTTGTTGTAGTTTTACTCTATAAGGATCAAAAGAAGACCATGAGCCCAAATTCGAGGGTGGTTTGGTCTGTATTTATACCTTTCTGTCCAAAGAGTATTTATTCGCATGGGATATACAATAACCACACTTTTTACCAACGTTGATCGAGAGAGTCAATTGAAATAGTAGAGGGACTGCACATGTATCTTTCACAAATTTACTTCTCTTCTATTGTTTGGTTTGAAGCTCTTCCAGTTTCTTTTATTATCTTTACAATGCAAAGACTCTTCTTCATTTTCTTGATTGCACTCTTCTTTGTGTAAGGCTTATGTGTAAGTGCCTATTGCATAGCACATAGTGAAGTACTGTATATATTCTAGACTTCCCATACATAATGTCCTATTTCCGACAATAAAAGAAAAGGCTTTCACACAGCTAATGCAACGTGGTTATCACGAGTGAAACGTATGATTAAAATCAGATGTACTGACTCAGACCCCCTACTCACCGCCTCTCGTTTTTCTTAGCACTTTTGACTTACTAAACAATGAGTAAAAAAACTAACCCTAAAGTGAGCTTGGATCAAAGACCACGACTCTTCTAGACTTACAAAAAAGCAGGACCGCCTAACAACTAGTCTCAACAATAAACGTTTTTTTGTCTTTGCTCGCTTGTCACATGTTGCTGTCTTATTTATTTGACCTTTTCGAGCTCAAGATGAGTTGGTCAACTAAAATGACTGATGTCTCATTTTCTTTTCCCCCCTTCACTCTCCCTCTCCCAAAATTAGAGAGTGCATCAGTGTCCACTAGCTATACGGGCACGTTTTACCCCTCTTTGAATTCCGGCTCTAACGTTACTGCACTATGTTTTGGTAAAAACTGCCCACACACTTTTTTTTTTTTTACTGTAAGCGCTTAGCACAAACTCGCTATCAAGTTTTCAATTGTTCTAGATTGTTTGAAAATAAAAATATACTCAACAAAGCTCTTTGTGCGCCCACCATGATAATTTATTGTTTGTTAATATTTTAGTAATTGCACATTATGCATAAAGTTTAAATATCATGATATGATACTGTTGTTTCTTGCTCTCTTTGCAAAAAGAGAGAAGAAACTTGTTCGTATTTTTCTATTTATTTTGCTTTTGCTTTTGCTTGGCTCTTAAACCTCTCCAAATCAGGATCTTCAAAAAAGAAAAAAAGCGGTATGGGTTAACGATAAACCAAGGGAAACATAACCAACCAGATTTTCAAACATAATTTACAGCAAGCAACAACAAAGTGATTGCTATCCTACATCCCAATGATTACTAAACTATTTTTACGCTCAGTAAAAGATGTTAAAGATATATTTTGTTTTTTCCGGATCATTAGTGCGATATGAACGAAACTTGCGATTCTCTTCTAACACACGACTATGTCAAAATAATCACGACAAAAGTTGTTTTTGTGAACTATGTTGTAAGCTCACACTAATGGTTGGCTCTGTGAAACTTCCACTTCCACCCTTACCTGAGGCTAATGTGAGTGGGAGGCCCACACGCACAAAGCAACATTTTTTAACAAACACAAGATAAAGAAGACAAGATTCATGGGAAGTTTTGCCGGTTTGTTGTTGGTAGCATTTAGCCTTTTTCGATTTGTGATTTTTTAATTGTGGTGAATCTTGTTTTGTTTCGGCGATATTGTTTGACGCACAAGAAATTCAGCCAAAGGTTTTCCTTGGTAATTGGGGACATGAAAAGACGCATGGAGAAGGCGTGATGGTGCTATCGAGTGAGTTGTAGATTAGTTAAATAGCCTAGTGGACACACTTGCGATATGATACTTTTGCTAGCATTATTGCGTTCGAGGAGGATGTCTTATTGACTTGTTTCACCGCAAAAACAAACAATATTACAAAAGTCGGTGTCAACACAAACAACTTCTGGGTATTGTGTACAACTAGTTCGGCTTCACGCTTTGAGAAAACTATGTTCCGGAATAACCACTTTCCGATCATATGGTAAACAAACTACAAACTGCCTAAAATTCAATTGAGGCGACGCACTTTGGGTCAAGGGGTATGAAAATAAATAGTTATTATAGTTTTCGCTTAGTTGGGGAGGGTAGGGGACAAATATTGATCAGGATATCGAGTTTCTGGTGTGGTAACATGGTGCAGTCGTGTCCCTTTATGGAGTGAGTCGCAAAAAAAAAGATTGTGATTACACAAAATGCTGTATGTAATTTACACCAAAACATAATTTTTTGTAATTACGTAGCAATGCATGGCGTGTATTTTTCATCATTTCACTGCAAAGCATAGAAGGGGGGTAAAAATGGCACTCTTCTTACAAAATACATTCGGATTAGTGTACCTGCTTCACCATCTCGTGAGACAAAATAGAAGGGCTATATTAAACTGGAATACTTTTTTTTTCAAAATTTGGTACAATTGTTAGCCTAGAGGTAAGGTTTATTTCTGTTTATTTTTAACATTAAGTGGACTCTCTTGCTCTGATACAAAAGTAGGCTATGACATAACTATACGTCTTGAAATTGTGTGCCAATTAGTAAGACAATGCTGTTCCAACATTGTGTTACTTGAAATTCATCCATTGCTTTCTTTATCAGAGAGAACAAAAATAGCAGTTCTTATTGTAACTTGAACATCAACCAAATAAGAGTCAGCAGAAGGTTAAGCATTCTTCTATGATACAAATCACCTGAGGTTGAAGTTGTTGCAATACACAAAATACTAATTTGGCTTGCCTGTTTCCTATTGGGGAAGGTGTGGTGAAAAGTACAAAATGAAGAATTAAGAGCTTCAGTGGCAAAAAAAAATCACTTTTGCAAATGAAAAGTTGGTTCTTGCATTTGCGAAATGAGTTGGTGCTACTGCGAGCGAAGCTCAGCCGAGCTGTTCGGATAATGGCTCACCAGAAACGATGTAAATTGCCAGAATTCAAGAGGAAAAACGACATGTAAAGATCTACTGCATGGACCCAAACTTACAATGTGTGACATGAAGTAAGCGTTATTCCTCTCGTGGCAGTACGTGACTAGCAGATATAGCAGTTGCCCAAGTAAGTAGTGCAAGGGAAAAAAATTCCCTCACCAGAGCCTTCCGAACGGATAAATCATGGCAGCACATAATCCGTGGATGATTGCAGCGCATATGCGAATTAAGAACTGTGCGCCATGCTAATTATGTCACACCAAAAGCTGCTTTGTTATGTATATAGGAGGGAGGGAGAGATCTTTAGTGTATGCAGAGTATAAACTATTCGTGTTTTTTGTACCTTTCATATTTGGTAAAAAACGAGGTAGAAGCAACTTGCAACCAGAGTGGTTGTGAAAATGTCTCAAAACCAATCTATTGTTTTTGGTATTATAGTGAGCACAAACTTTGTATTTTTCTGTCTTCTGTCATTTAGTTTTGTGTTGTTTTAAGTTTTCTGATGTGTAAAAAACAAATATCTTTCAATCACATTTATCATTCGTGACGCCTGAAAAGAAAGAAAATTTCAAATAGGCTGTGTGAGTACTCTTGGATTAATGCATTGTAGTAAATGAGTAGATACTAGCAGGTACCTGGGGTTATTGCGAGACAAATTCCGCAATGGTGACATTGTGTAAGGTTCAAAATTCAAGAATTTGCTGGTATGTGAATGACTTTGATTGGTACATCCCCGTCGATTTTTGTGTACGGAATAGCCAGAATGGGAAGGGAATGTAATCACATTCCCAACATTCTCTAATTTATTTGTGCCAAAAATAGAAGGTTTTTGCTGGAAATTTCCAGAAAAGGAGGTAATTGTACCGCATATGAACGAGTACATACACGGTACATAGGAATAGAGCCAAGGTAATGTGCACTGGTATGACTTTCCGTAATCAAGATGCAACAGGTTTGTGTTATAAGCACTCTTATATTGACCAGCCTGATGTTGACACTCATATACGAAATTGTTTTGTAAAGTATTTATGAGTGTCTTCGATGTTTAATTCGCATTCAATAGGAATTGTAGCGCTTTGAAACCAACAAAAACACACCCAGCCACGAACAAACTTTTGCTTTGTCTCAATACAAACCAGCGTTTTGGGTTCAATCAAGAAGAAGACGTTCCAGAACCGATCCAACCCAACGCCAAAGTGGGATGTGTAATTACTCCATCATACGATATCCTCCACACTATTCTATGCAGTCGCTGCAAGCTAAACCTCTCTCTTCAAGAAAGAAGTAGTTCCAGAACTGGCTTACCTGTTTGGACAAACTAAAAGTGCATAGTTTGCAGAACCGCTTATTTAGTTCTCTATTGTTCCCTCGGAATTCGAAATTACACTGGAATTCGGACATATTACACCTATTTTGATTAGCTCGTGCTGCATATTTACATAGATAAGCACCCTCGGAAGTGGTAATTATTTGCATATATTCCAGCAAAGACTCGTTGCTTTCTCCATATAAATGCAATTCCGGTATAGGATTTTAAATAACTTGCATAAATTGCCCTCGAAATTTGAAGCCTACGCCTTAGTATCCACGGAATATGCAAAAGGCGCTAAATCCAAAGCTCTCTAGTACTTGGAGTTGCTATTTGGGTGTGTGTATGCGTAGATGGAACTGCAATTTCAGGGGGTGCAAAAAGACTATAAGAACAGCTTTGCTCCTCTACAGTTATCATTGGTTAAGTGGCCGTTTCTTTTGTAGACTTAACACAAATGCAGCTCTCTTATTTGAGTTTTTGTTTCTTTTGTGTGGTTGTAATCTGCTACTTAGATCCTGAATTTTTTTGTAAACTTCGCTTGGATCTGGTTGTCAACGCAACCCAAAATGTGGTTGCAAAAAGGGGAACAAAAAAAAAAGAGAAATAGAACAAACTAAGTGGAATACGAAGGAAACAGATTTCAAAAAAGAAGCAACAAAAAATTGAGACAATATTATTGAGTCAAGGCTGCAGATGAGGGGTGAAGCTAAAACCCCAGTTCCTGGTTATAATGTAGCTAGATTATCATGCCATGTAGTTGTGGTAGGATAAGCGCCTCGCCGATAGCGGTAATAGCAAGTGCAAACAACACCACATGCATACTTCGCTTTTAGCATGCACGTAATTACCGCAAAGCGAATAGGTTAGCCTATCAACTCTATCCAATAGATGAGCAAGAACAGCCGGTACTTTGCTGTGACACTATGCATCAAACGTATGGTTTGATCCATTTTCCCCACCGTCGTTGTCTGATTGTTTTTGTCTAGAACCTCTGTCTCAAATACAGCAACAGCAGAAAATTACTTTCCACTGAAACATCTCTCAAGTACCTCTTAAGCATCCACCTAATGATACCATGACAATGCCAACACCTCGCAATTATTATATTGTCGGTGTAAACTGCGCGGAATTGATGCAAGAGAAAAAAAATATTATGTTAGCGCGGGATTTGCGTTTACAAGAACTTTTCCGAAAGAGCAACTGATGCGGCTTTGCCTCCACGTGTAACCCAGTCTAAGAGGATTTACGTCCAATGATTGGGTCCGCAGACAAAACACGTTTTGCGCTGTGCTCTGTTGTTCCCAAAGGAGAAGGCGATACTTAATTATCGAGCCGGAAATCTAGCCTGAGTCGTGTAATGCATTACAAGATGCGAAGAGATTATTTCTCGCGGGAAGAAAATAAACTTGCGATCACAAGAAAAAAAAACTGAAAAAGGGGCAACAAAATTGGAGCGGATAATTGTATGCAAATAGACAAAGCAACAATTTCAAGATAATCTATCATCTTAACCAGTTTGGACCGCGTTGTTTTTTTATTTGCAATAACAATAACAAAGTTTCAGATGACACTCAACGACATTTTCTTTAGCCCTTTTCTTTTTAAAATAGCCGCTCTCCGCTTATATTCACACATCCGAAATGAGCCTCTGGCACTATGCGCAGCACAGTCGCATTCAATATCCTTCTCTTTGATCACAAAACATGGGAGAAAATATATGGGACTCTGCGCAACAACACTTTGTGCGATATGGTGCGCTAATTTGTGATCAACAGGCGGTTGTAGTTGCCTGGCATTTATATAAATAAGTCAACATATCGCTCATGTTGTTTGAAGTAAAGTTTACTTAATTAAGAATAAACGCAATAAAGTTTTAGAGTATTTTATCATCCATTGTTGATATTGTTGCTAAATCAAAATCATGTCTAGCGTCAACACTACTGTATTTGCTTGCGATTTCTGCAGCGACGCAAACAATTCAAAACAAACTCCTGATAGTTTTCTATTGTTCATCAAAGTGGAAGTCGATGGAGAAGTTTTAAAGTTTTTACATATTGCTAGCAAAGGTTCTATGACTGTTTGATCAGTGGTTTCGTTCGTATTCCAAATGCTTGATGTTTCTACTCCCTTTTTCAATTCATTGATACCGTTGTCCAGCAACGCCACAATTTCTGCTACAGCCAGGCTTGTGATGAGCCAGTGACTTGCATATCGTCGTTTAGTTTTTTAGATAGTTTTCAATTCAACATTATAAATAAATGTACAATTCAGTGTAGGAGAAAACTCTATACAAGTGGTGGGCACAAACAAAAAGCGAATTAATCAGATTTTTCGAACGCCGTTGTATACGATGGGAGGTGGGGGGGGGGGGAGCACATCTATACTATCGTAGGAAATGGGTGCAAAAAAAAATTTGAGATAGACAGGACTCGAACCTGCGACCGTTGGATAGTTCACATACATGATTGGAATCCAAAACTCTACCAGCTGAGCTACTACCCCAAAATTTCAAAAAATTTGCCTATTGCCTTGAGGCACCAATAAAAGTTTAATTCGAGGAGGAAGTCTAGAGCGGCATTTACAGTCTGGTCCAAGCAAACACTACACAGCAGATACAGTTAAGTCACTCTAAAAGGAGTTATTCAAATTACTGGAAGTGCTTGTCAGTTTTATCATGGAACTTTCGAGGAAGTTGAAGGGGTTTGAAGACGCATTTTACAAAACTCATAAAGATGACGTATTCCTAGTAGAGAGTTTGCTGATGCTGGCAAACAGCACATTCCATGAAAAGATTCAATGTGCCACATCCTGGCCCCTATCCCATTCTTCAAAGGATTCTGTAACATCAGATCAATTAGCATCAACTGTGTACCGGCATCTGGTGCAATTATTCCTTATCTAAGACCAATTTAAATTACGTCGCGGAATTTCATATTTCCGTCGTCGTGAATTTCCTATTCGGGTGAAAAAAAGTGCTAGATCAAGCCGAGAGAGCAAAAAAAAAAAAACACAACCAAAAATCGAAATATGTTGCATTGCTCTGTGGTGATCAAAATCTCATCTTCTAACCTAACTTGAAAACTACATCATCCCCTCCCCCCCATCTTGCACGCTTCATCTTCAACGATGGTCAGGGCAACAATTAAATCAGGGACAATCAATATACTAAACACCATTATTGGTGCAGGGATCTTGACGATGCCGTACGGTTTACGTGCCAACGGATTACTATTTGGATCGATTTTGATTGTATGGTCAGCTTGTGCCTCGGCATTTGGACTTTATTTGCAAAATAAAGTAGCAAGGTACACGGGACAACGAGGTTCAGTATCGTATTTCAGTCTTGCGCAAGTAACGTACCCGAAATTATCTATTGTGTTTGATTCGGCCATCCTGATCAAGTGCTTTGGAGTTGGTGTTTCTTACTTGGTTGTCATTGGCGACTTAATGCCCAAGATTATGGAAACTTTAGAAGTGCATCCTGATTCCGTTTTCATGGATAGGAAATTTTGGATTTCTGCATTCATGGCATGTATTGTGGCACCTTTATCGTTTTTAAAAAAATTGACTAGTTTGAGATATACTAGTATCATGGCTTTATTTTCTGTGGCTTATTTGATCTTTTTGGTTGTGAGTAGTTATCTTGAGATTGCCGCTGGTGTTGAAAAGGCACATGATGTCGATGTTGCAAAATTTCATCCTTTCCCAGCCAAACACATTGATTGGTATGGACCATTGAGTTGGAAACAAACGTTGAGTTCGTTTCCAATGTTTGTATTTGCTTATACTTGTCACCAAAATATGTTTGCCATTATCAATGAGTTGCAGCCGGATGAGAAGGATGGTTCACAAACTAGGCAATCCAATTTGATTATTAGAAATTCGATTTTAACTGCATTGGGCAGCTATTTGATTGTTGCTGTTTTTGGGTATTTAACTTATGGTGACGAAGTTGAACCAAATATCATTGCTATGTATCCTCGTGGGTCGATAAGTACATTAATTGGAAGGTTGTGCATCGTTGTGATGGTAAGTTTGTCCTTCCCATTACAGTGTCATCCTTGTAGAGGATCCATCAACCATGTCATCCATTTTATCAGTCAAGGTGTCGAATCAGCAAAACTTAGACATTTGCATAAACGTAATCGTTTATTAGATGGTGATGGAGTAGGTAGTGGTTACTCATCGACAGTAGCATCCGACGCCGAAAGTGTGAACTCTTTCGCTGACCTTACTGCAGTCTCATCAATCATCTCAACTACACCAATGGAAGGCGCTCGTGACACTGCTGGTCATGCGCCAATTATAATTCCTATGTCTACTAGGAAATTTTACATCATTACAACCACCATTGTTGTGCTTAGTTATATAGTTGCACTTTCAGTCACTTCATTAGCAACAGTTTTGGCATTCGTTGGAAGCACAGGCTCAACGTCGATTTCATTCATTTTGCCAGGATTGTTTGGTTATTTGTTGATGAAACCATTGAATCCAGGAGCTACTCTTTCACCATTGGAGAAATTTTGCAAATACGGTGGATTATTCATGGTTATTTATGGGTTTTTTGTCATGATTGTGTGTCTTGGCACAACCATAATCTTGGGTTAGACAGACTTTTTTAAAGACATTGTAGGTTTGGTTTAGTAGGTTTGTATAGAAAATCGCAAAATCGCAAAATCACAAAATCGTTGAAGAGCACGAAGGAAGAAAAAAATTTGGTTAAAAGAGATATGTACACATTCATCTTCACAACAACTACGTCCACCCACTTTCGCGAATGTCCTTTTTGAATAGTTCTCCATCTACGTCAAGCGCATCAAGCACAGCTACGGGACAGGAGTTGGTCAATGACATTCTAGTCAACAATCCACCTGAAGACTCAATTGAGGATATATCCTTCTCACCACAGCAAGATCTACTTGCTGTTGCTAGTTGGGATAAAAAAGTCCGAATTTATGAAATAGACCCTAATACAGGAAACAACCAAGGCAAGGCACTTTATGAGCACAATGCGCCTGTTTTTTCTTCCCGATGGTCTACTGATGGGACTAAAGTAGTCAGTGGTGGTGCTGATAATCAAGTCAAAATATTTGACCTTGCGACGCAACAACAACAACAAATTGGACAACATGATGCGCCAGTGAGGTCAGTTAGGTATGTGGAATGTGGGCCCACCAATACGCCAGTTGTTGCCAGTGGTTCATGGGACAAGACTTTAAGATATTGGGATATGAGATCGTCCACGCCGGTGAGTACAATCAATCTTCCTGAAAGATGTTATTGTATGGATGCATCACAGAAATTACTTGTCGTTGGATGTGCTGATAGACACATTACTATAATAGACTTAAACAATCCTCAACAAATTTTCAAAACTACTCAATCGCCATTGAAGTGGCAAACGAGGACAGTTGCCTGCTACCCACAAGCCAATGGGTTTGCCGTAGGATCTGTTGAAGGAAGATGTGCAATTCAGTACATTACAGAAGCTGAACAAAAAAAATTTGGATTTTCATTCAAGTGTCATAGAAAATCAGGCAATTCATCTACTACAACGTTGCCACGTACAGCATCATCAACCAACTCCAGTGAATCGCAAGCATTCCCAGTCAATGCAATCTCTTTCCATCCAGTGTATGGGACATTCAGCACTGCTGGGTCTGATGGTACTTTTTGTTTTTGGGATAAAGATGCCAAGCAGAGATTGAAACTGTTTCCCGAATTGCCGGGTACTGTGTTATCCACCGCCTTCAACAGGACCGGATCTATCTTTGCTTATGCTGTGAGTTATGATTGGTCGTTGGGAGTTCAAGGTAATAGACTGGATTATCCTACTTTTATCAAATTACACCCTACTAAAGATACTGAGATTAAGCAAAAGAACAAGAGGTAGGGGAAATAGAGTGTATAGATGAATGGAAGAGCACTTGAGCATTAGAGACCTGACTTGAGATTGTAGTTGGACAATGCATACTAAAATTGGATCAATTTCATTGGGTTGACTCCCAATTGGGTTGACTCCCAGCGTGTAGATCTTGCAGGTGTGGAACTTACAACCACAGGTGGTTAATTATCAAATCTTTATCTTAGGCCATAAGGCGAAAGTTGGTGATGCTTTTTCAACAATTGCCGTGTGCACGGTTTGTATCACACTCACAGGATGCCAATTTGGGCTTTCACGTCCTCGGTTAATTGTAGAAAAGGGTCTAGAAGCAGCTACCGAATCGAGAAGAATTAAATTGTGGTGTATTTATTGTTTTAGTTTTGCTATATCCGGGTTTAGCCGTACCCCACATAATCTCAATTCCTGTAATCTCCGAGACGTTACTGCAGATGCAAAAAAAAAGAGATACACCGATGATAGATTAAACATCAATGAGTTACCCTGAACAGTTATTTATCAATTCTCTATGGGGCATTGGTACATTCCCAATCAGTTGGTTCATAGGCATCAGGTTGATCAACTAGCACCATTTCTTCTGGAGTCAATTCAAAATCATTTACATCCAAATTTGATTTCAATCTTGATGGAGTCTTGGTCTTAGGTAAAGGAATGTACCCCTTTTGTAACGACCATTTGATCAAGATTTGTGCTGGTGATTTGTTATACTTCTTCATAATTTCTTGGAAATTAGGACTATCTTCTTGCAACTTGTAACCATGAGTTAATGGTGCATAAGCTTCGACATGAATGTCTTTAGCTAGGCACCACAGAGCCAAATCTTGACGCATACACCAAGGACTGATTTCAATTTGATTTATAGCTGGTGGTGTTTCAATTTCCGGGTCTTTTAATATTTCTTCAATGTGATGTTGTCCATAGTTTGACACACCGATGTTTTTCACTTTGCCTTGTTTCAAGGCTTGTTCCATGACTTTATAACTTTCCAATCTCTTTTCTCTACCAGGCAATGGTGAATGTATCAATAGCAAGTCGATATATTTCAATGGTCCAATTTGTTGCATCATTGAATCTATGGCTTTTTCAGTGTTTGCTGTACCCAATTGACTATTCCATAATTTGGTGGTGTAAAACACATCGGATCGTTTAACTTCAGGATGATCTTTCAAGTATTTTGCTATACCATCAATAACTTCTTGTTCGTTGCCATAGAGTACAGCAGTATCGAAATGGCGGTATCCCACATCCAATGCTTCATAGACAATTTTGCTTGTTTGAGTTCTTGGGATATCGTAGCATCCTAAACCAATTGATGGAATCTTGTTACCACTGTTTAATTGAATTAGTCTATATGACATAGCTGGCAAGAAAATATATGCAAATTATGGTGTCGTGTGCTTGGGGTGTGGCGAAGTTGGAGTCGGAGTCCTCAAGTTCATATATATAATATTTCTCCTCTTATCTAATGTTAATTTGATTGCTGTCAAACGGATACGAGGAGAAGAATGTCCGAAACCTCCACCTCAGGAGACAAACAACAGACAATTAAAGTTGACTCTGGTTAGGTTGTGATTGCTTTCATCCCAGCTTAGACATCCTTGTCACACTTACGTCATTGAGCATATAGCAAACCACATTCGGAGTTCCTTCTAGGGGTGATATTCCTGCATAATGTATGGAATAAATGAATAAAAAAAAAAAAATATGGGGAGGGGGGTGCTGGTGGGCGGGAAGTGTAGCGCTGTGTGCTGTGTTTACTGAAAGATGCACGTGAACCAAGCACTTTTTGCCTTAGCCCAGACAACCACCAAAGTGGTTTCCTTATGTCGTCAACGCAAATAAAAAATTCGATACATTACATGGCGTGATATAAGGTAAAACAAAAACAAAAAAAAGTTGTACTTTGGTGTAACTGGGGTATTTTGCCCGGTGATAAAATAGAAGGGACGTGGGAATAGTTGTGAGTGGAAATTGTTGATCCGATATGTTGAGGAAAAGTCCGATGTGAATCGAATGATAGAGGTATTACTTTAAATAAGGAAAAGGGTGTCGGTTGGGTTGTGAGTTTGTGCGTCTAAGCATTGTCAGTCGTCCGTCATCATTTGCAGACCGAACCCCATTGAGCTAGGGTCGTAGAACCACGTAGGTAGGGTGAGATTAGCAGTGCTGTATATCCGATGGACGATTATGACCCGGCGGTATGACTTTGTTGCAGCGCGAGTGTGCACTATTGTACAAAAAGCAAAATTAAAAATGAATATATGCTACCATATGATTTTTAACTACATACGTTCTACTCTCTTCCGTATTACAAACAAACAACTGACACAAAAGAAGACAACAACTAATGAGAAAAATGTCACGTTGACCCGAAATCTTTTTCTCCTTTCTTTGCCATTTTCTGATTATTTAACCAATTGAAATTTCTCAACAAATTTTTAAATACAATTCTTCTTCCTTCCTTCCTTCCTTCTTTCTTTCTTTCTTTTCCAAATTCAATTGAGTTTATAAAACTAAGACAACAAAGGAATAATCACACATCTCACACAATGGCTATCAAAGTTGGTATTAACGGTTTCGGAAGAATTGGACGTTTAGTCTTGAGAATTGCTTTGCAAAGAAAGGATATTGAGGTTGTTGCTGTCAATGATCCATTCATTGCTCCAGACTATGCTGCTTACATGTTTAAGTACGACTCTACCCACAGAACTTACAAGGGTGATGTCAAGTCTGAAGGTGACACTTTGATTATTGACGGTCACAAGATTAAGGTTCATGGTGAAAAAGACCCAGCCTCAATTCCATGGGGTAAAGATGGTGTTGACTATGTCATCGAATCCACTGGTGTATTCACCACTCTTGAAGGTGCCCACAAACACATTGAAGGTGGTGCTAAAAAAGTTGTCATCACTGCTCCATCAAAGGATGCTCCAATGTTTGTTGTTGGTGTCAATGACGACAAACTCAATAAGGAAGATGAAATTATCTCCAATGCTTCATGTACCACCAACTGTTTGGCTCCATTGGCTAAAGTTATCAATGACAAGTTTGGTATTGAGGATGGTTTGATGACCACTGTCCACTCCATGACTGCTACTCAAAAGACTGTTGATGGTCCATCCCACAAGGACTGGAGAGGTGGTAGAACTGCTTCAGGTAACATTATCCCATCATCCACTGGTGCTGCCAAGGCTGTTGGTAAGGTTATTCCAGAATTGAATGGTAAATTGACTGGTATGTCATTGAGAGTCCCAACTGTTGATGTTTCCGTTGTTGACTTGACTGTTAACTTGAAGAAGTCAACCTCTTATGAAGAAATCTCCAAGGTTATTCAAGAAGCTGCTAACGGTCCATTGAAGGGAATTTTGGGCTACACTGATGATGCTGTTGTCTCCACTGATTTCTTGGGATCTTCATACTCTTCAATCTTTGATGACAAAGCTGGTATCTTGTTGACCCCAACTTTTGTCAAGTTGATTGCTTGGTACGATAACGAATACGGTTACTCCACCAGAGTTGTTGATTTGTTGGAAAAATTTGCCAAGGTCAATGGAAATTAACTATCCGTGAAGTTATAAGAAGGCAATTAAGAGCTAGCTAGCTAGTCTTTGGTTTTCTTTTGGTTTTATATATTTTTCGTATATGAGTTTATAAATAAAGAAAAATAATTTTGCCTTGAAACAACTGTAAACACTCTGGCACTTAATTTCAAACTCCACCTGCAATGGATCAATTGGTGAAATATCTAACTGGAAACACGTTTAAAGTATACAGAGCAAGTGGGTTACCCTTTACAAATCCACTACTGAAGCAAGACAGAGACACGATTTCAGTACAACTTGCAAAATGTTTGTATCAGATCTACAACCGAAATAGATCCAAATATGACGAAGATTTTGTGGTTCGTTACAATTCATATCGAGCTATCCAACAAGAGATTGGTATAACGAGTGGATCGTTCGATGATATACAGTTTGTAAATATAAAGTCGAGAAATGGTCGGCTTTTACCACGACAAACGTTGGTGTTTTCACGGAAAGGTGACCAAGAAACCATTTTGCTAAACAGAGTAACATCGAATCGAGAGATTAACGAGTGTTTGCTTCATACATTGCAACTGTTGACAAATACCTTGTTTGTTGATTATATCTTTCCGCCACATTTCATTCCACTGCTCATTAACAAATTGCTGCCTTTTTTTGAAAATGATTTACGACTAGTTTACGAAATCCACCAAACTGAATTACTCAATAATGTCGAAATCGATATCGATTATCCTGACGTGAAACTATTGCGACTTGATAGTAGTGGGGATCATCTATATGAGAGTATATGTCGCTTTATGTATAATTCGTCCAAGATCAGATTTGATAGGTTGTCGATAAAAAAGTTTGTTAGTGATGTAATGAATATTTGCAATGATGGCAGAGTCAGATTCAACACTGTTGATGTTGACAAAAATGAGTTGTTTATATTGGAATTGATTGGCAAAATTCACTCGGCGGTTGGCGAATACAGCGCTAAATGGACTGTATAAACATAGAGTATGGTGATGTATGTGCTTTTAATTTTTAATCGCATGTATATTTCGGACTTAACGCATATCTTGTAGATCTTGTACTAAAATGAATATGATTGGGTGTGGGTGGTTGAGTGGTACAAATGTGTAAATTTTGTTACGTGTTTTTACGTTTTTCTTGACCTGTATCCCTACTTTGTTATTGACGTGTCTTCTACCAAGAGAGTTTTTTTTTTTTTCGACTTTGTTTTCCTTTTTTTTTTTTTTCAATTGTTGAAATCCCTGTCCCCCTTGACCAGAATACAAAACTCAACCGTTCAATAGTAGTTCATTTCTTACTCACATACATATTCATAACGGGATCAAAAATCATCTAACCGTATAACTTGTCTCAATGTCATCGTCATCTGCACAACCACATGAGACGCAGGTGAAACCAACAAGACACTTGGAAAGGGATGATATCACCACCACGTCCACCTCAATTGACTCTAAATACGAGTCAGAAGATGCTGAACTTCTCAAAAGAACTCAATACGACGAAACCTCCGAAACAATTGAATCATGGAAAAAATTAGAATCCATCTTAGCACCACTCTTGTTTACATTATTGGCATTTTTTGTTCGATTTTATCGTATTTCCATTAATGACAATGTTGTTTGGGACGAAGCTCATTTTGGTAAATTTGGCTCTTACTATTTGCGACACGAATTTTATCATGATGTTCATCCACCATTGGGTAAAATGTTGGTTGGATTATCGGGGTATTTAGCTGGGTATAACGGATCATGGGATTTCCCTAGTGGTGAAAAATATCCTGAATATATCGATTATACCAAGATGAGATTGTTTAATGCGACATTTTCAGCTTTGTGTGTTCCATTTGCTTATTACACAATGAAGGAGATTGGATTCTCTATTTGGACCACTTGGTTGTTCACATTGATGGTGACTTTAGAAAGCTCGTATGTTACTTTGGGTAAGTTTATTTTGTTGGATTCAATGTTGTTGTTTTTCACAGTGACTACGATTTTCTGTTTTGCTAGATTCAACAATTTCAACACTAAGCAACGTGAGTTTAGTAGGAAATGGTGGAAATGGCTTATGTTGACTGGTGTTTCTATTGGATGCGTGTGTTCGGTTAAAATGGTGGGGTTGTTTGTCACTACCTTAATTGGTATTTATACCATAGTTGATCTTTGGAACAAGTTGAATGATCGGTCAATTACATGGGTTAGATATGGGTATCATTGGGCTTCGAGAATTTTTGGATTGATTATTATCCCAATTTCCATTTTCTTGCTTTGTTTTAAAGTCCATTTTGATTTATTGTACAAGTCAGGTCCTGGTGATGCCAATATGTCCTCCTTGTTTCAAGCCAATTTACTTGGATCACAAGTTGGTGGTGGACCACGAGAAGTGTCCATTGTTCATTCAATTGTCACGTTGAAAAACCAAGGGTTAACTGGTGGTCTCTTGCATTCTCATGTACAAACATTCCCTGAAGGATCCAAACAGCAACAAGTTACCACTTATGGACACAAGGATTCCAACAATAATTGGATTTTCCAACGTCCAAGAGGTCAACCAAGCTACGATACTAGTGGCAACAATACAGATATTGAATATGTATTTGATGGTATGCCGATTAGAATCATGCACCCACAAACTGGTAGAAACTTGCACACACATGAGATTCCCGCTCCAGTATCCAAAACTGAATTGGAAGTTGCTTGTTATGGAAATTTAACCATTGGTGATGCCAAGGACAATTGGATTGTTGAGGTTGTCGATCAAGCTAGTAATGAAGACAAGATGAGATTACACCCATTGACAACCTCATTCAGATTAAAGAACGAAGTTATGAATTGTTATTTAGGAGTTTCAGGATCCACTTTGCCACAATGGGGGTTCAGACAAGGTGAAGTTGTTTGTTTCAAGAACCCATTCAAGAAAGACAAGAGAACATGGTGGAACATTGAAGATCACAGAAACGAGCATTTACCTCCAGCACCAGAGGATTTCAAGTTACCCAAGACGAGATTTATTCGTGATTTTATTCAATTGAATTTGGCCATGATGGCTACAAACAATGCCCTTTTGCCTGATCCAGATAAACAAGATGATTTAGCTTCTTCGTTTTGGCAATGGCCCACTTTAAACGTTGGTATTAGAATGTGTGGATGGGGTGCTGACAAGCCCAAATATTTCATGATTGGATCTCCTGCAACCACATGGACTTCAAGTGTTGGTGTTGTGGTATTTGCATTGATTACATTGTACTATCTCATTAGATGGCAAAGGCAAATTGTTGATTTCCCAAGTGATCAACCAGCAAGATTACAAAAATTCATAATGGGTGGTATTTATCCCATGTTGGGCTGGGGTTTGCATTTTATGCCATTTGTGATTATGGGAAGAGTAACATATGTTCATCATTACGTACCAGCATTATATTTTGCCATGATTGTGTTTTGCTTTGAAATTGAATTGTGGACCTCGAAATTGAACAAAAAAGGTGCTTCGGCAGTGAGTAAAGTTGCTTATGTTGCCTTATACTTGGCGTTGTACTTTATTGTTGGTTTTACATTTTATTATTTGAGGTTTTTTTCATTTGGTATGGAAGGACCCAAGGAGAATTGGAAACATACTCAATGGTTACAATCATGGAGAGTTTCTGATGACAATTATGTATAGGGAGACAAAGACTGAGACAGTTTTGGCGCTGTAGAGAGAAGAGTGGCATATATAAAAATACAAAGAGAGATTTTAATTTTTGCGAACAAAGAAAAAAAAAAAAAAGCGGGACCGAATGTAAACCATTCTTTTAGTAAGCAAAGTGATATAACCCAAATGATGAGTTTGAGAAACGTAATTTTGAAAAACAAGGCGGTACCTATGGCAATGAGGCTACTATGTACCCCACAACCTTGTATGTCGCATCTAGTTGCAAGCAGGTGGAACTCGACAACATCATCATCATCATCAGCAAAGCAAAAAACCCTCAAACCGTCATCATTTGCATTCCCCACTGATCCACCGCCACCCCCACAACCATCAGCAAAGAGGCAGCAATCTCAAGATACAGCTACAGTAACAAGACCCGATTCAGACGATTTCAAGGCCACAGTTTTAGTCCATGGTCAAACTGACAAGTCAATAGCCATAACTGATCGTGCATGCTCCAAACTCCAATCAATCAAGCAAGAAAATCCTTCTGACACAGCACTCCAGATCCAAGTTGAAAGTGGTGGCTGTCATGGATTTCAATACAATTTACACTTGATCAACCTAGATCAGTATCTTAATGAGCATAAACTGTCATCTGATGTGTTTGTATTTGAACGATTGGGGGCTCATATTGTTCTTGATGATTCAAGTTTAACGATTTTGCAAGAGCTGAAGTTGGATTATACTAAGGAATTGATCGGGAGTCAGTTCAAGATTGTTGATTCGCCGTATACTTCGACTGCTTGTGGATGTGGAGCTTCTTTTGATTTTGATTTTGATAAATTGGAACAAAATAAGAAGCAACGGGAGTAGGAGAGAGAGAGAGAGAGAGAGAGAGAAAGATTGTGTATAGAGTGGTTAGTTTAGACAATCACAATTGAAAATCGTATTTAGACAAAGAAATGTAGATGTATCTTACCCACCCCCTTTTTTTCTATTGAGCTAGTATTTCATTGATTCCCTTGATGCTTTGAGTCGAATAAAATCTGACATCGACATCTTCATCACTTTCCAATTTCTCCAAGTTGGATAATACTTGCAAATTGATCAACTTCTTTAATTCATCTTCATTGGGAGCTTGATTTCTTTGTTGAATTAATGATTGAACCAATGTTAAGTACGACTTGGCAACGTTGAATCTGATATTGGGCACGGAATCAGTGATTAATCCATTTATAAATGGCAAAACTTTATCAACAAGGACTGAGTAGTTGATAACTGGGATTAATGAAGTTATAGCAAATAAACAGGTGATTCGAATAATGAAATTTGAATAGTCAATCTTGTTATCATCATCATCGTCATCATCGTTTTCATCACCAGTATTATTGCCGTTTCCAACTCCAGAACCATCTTCATCCATCTTGGAATTTCTTTTATTCAATAACCGAGAAAGAATCTCTTCAGTAGCCCATTGCGATCCAAATATTACGGTTAAATTCTTCAAATTCTCTACTGCTGCTTCTCTAATGGCAAATACCGGATCCCATAACCATGACATGCACAACGACAACAATTCATTGTTGAAAAAAGATTGACCCAATTGATCAGCCAATTTTGGGATATATTCAATAATCGCCAATCTTACTCTCCATTTATGATCCTGTGCCAATTCAGTAATGGCGGGAAGTAAATTTGTTGACAAGAGGTTAATTCCAATCGTTTCATTAACCACCGATAAGTTGGAAATGATGTTTAATCGAACATCGGGGAACTCATCTTTCAACATTGTCAAGAAAATTGGTAATAATTTATCAATTGTTGGTTGTCTGGTTAAAATGGGGGATAACTCAGTAATGGTGGAAGCTAATGAAGCACGAACATTTTCTTGGGGATCTTGACTCAATTCATTAACAACGGGGACAATCTTGTTCAAGATGGTGGCTTTAGTAGGTGGATATTCAGTAAGCAATTTACAAAACCCAGGCAATTGTTTAGCAATGGCTTTTCTCACTTCCCCCTCATGATCCTTCATTAATGAAATAAAAGGATCAATCAATTGAAATAAATCCAGTTCATTGTGAGTGAAATTGATGGCAATTTTGCTAAATCTATCAGCAGCAGTATACCGAACCCTCCAACTATCATCTTTAATCAATTTTAATGCACTGGACAAGAAATCGGAATTAAAACTATACTCATGAATCTTTTGGAAAAATTCCAAAATAGCAATCAAGACATCAACACTAAGGAATTTGACAGAATCTTGATCATCATTAATCAAATGTTGAAACATCTTGGATATGATTTCCCAATCTTCATTGTTAACCTTGTTGACATCATTGGGTGACTCCTCGGTGAATTTAGTTAGCAAGTCAATCAAATGAGGTAAATTCGTCGCTGCTGCTCTTCGAACCATGGGATAATCATCAGTGACCAATTTCAAATATGTACGCAACAATTCCTTTCTGGTATTTGCATCAACACGAATAATCACCGCCTTGTATAATCCGCACGAGGCAATCTTTTTCAGAAACCAATTACCTTGACTTAACCCAGTAATTAACCCCAAAAATACATTATTTATCTCATCTTGATTCAATTCTTGACTAATTTGATTCAACGACTCGATAGCTTTATCTCTAACAAGTGGTTCTTCCATTGATGCCAATATGGTTAATATTTCAATTAATGGTTCACAATATTCATGACCACCAATTAAAGGTATAAATTCGCCCAATTTGGCTCCCAATACTGTAAACACTTCTTCTTCATCGTCTTGAGCAACATCGTGTAAAAATGGCAACAATTCTTTACGAGTTCTTTCGGGACCCAATGCTATGGCAATAGTGTCTAGTTTTTGCATGGCTTCGACTCTATTGGAAACATCATCGTGTTTCAATTCGTCCATCAATAATGCAAGGGGATATAAATCGTCCATATTGTTGAAAGTGGGATGTGGAAGGATACTATGATAGAATTATGTGGCGTAGTTAGATTTATTGTATGTTTTGATGTGTATGGGTTGTAGTCTGGTTGATAAGTAATAGTCCTGGTTGTTTGGTTATGATTATTGGTGTTGTTTTCGATTGTCTTTGTCAATCTATCTGTTTGTCTGTCTCTGTCTCTGTCTCTGTCTCTGTCTCTGTTTCTCTATTTGTTTTGTTGAAAGGTTTTTTTCGACTTTTTGTTTTTTCTTTCTTTGAGGAACGTCCACAATCAATCAATCAATCAAAATCAAACTTATACTTATTATAACTAAATCTACAATTTACCATTTAGGGGTGGACTGAACATATGTATATGTACAGTTGAGACTTACCGCCACTGGATTAATGAGTAAGTACGATCTTCATTGGCATACAATGTGTATCCTATTATTAATGTTGTCATTATTGGGTACGTCGTTTCCCTTCAGCAAGGGTTTTTCTGTGCAACTCGCACGACTTTTGGATCATAGTTTCCATGTTGTATGAACGATTTGACCAAGTATAGCCAGTTCTAAGTGATCTTTATAGAAGGTTCCAATGACTATGAAATACGGGTTCTACACTTAGTAGACGAGTTCAAAAATAAGCACCCCCTTTTCTCTCTATATCAGACCCGTTGAAACTGTGAAAAATCACTTCCCTTCCAGATAGACTTGAAGTATATACCTCTTTAAGCTTCCGTTTTACGTGATTGTGCTATTCTTCTGTCCCAATTACATCTTGGAGGTACAGTTTCAATGGCTAAGTAGATTATGTAGTGGGGGGACGGGTGTGTCACTAGAAGCAAGCAAACACTTTACCATGCATTGGCTAGAGAAGAAACTAGACTATAGCAAGGATGAAACAATCCCATCCATTCAATAGCATAAACTGTAAATCATGTTGTTCGGCAGATTGGCTGGCGGTTGCTGCAATACAAGTTCGACCAAAACCAACGTGAACCTCACCCAGTGACACAAAAACTCGCTCAATTATTTTCAACAAAAAACATGTAAAGTTCTTTCACCTCCACGTTTTCTACAAAGCTCTATAGATATGCCAGCTGAACCTACCAAACTCGATATTATCGACTCGAAAATATCACCTGAAGTGAGGGCCGCTTATAACGCAAAGCTTGCCCAATATGAAAGTAACGCTTATTCATATTGGCAGTTTTCTATCGTATCTAACAAGTTTGTCCAGTCACTAGATGAAACCGATGACACAACGTTCAACTACCTTGATCAACACTTTGGTAAAATTGGTGAATGGGATGACTTGATTGAAGAGCTTCACTTGTTGAACAAACAAGCTGATAAAGATACTCAGTACAAGATTTTATTCCTAGCTCGTCACTATACCGGGTACCACAATATTGCCCATGCTAAATACGGTGATGATGCATGGAACAACCACTGGTCAAAATTGAATGGTGATGATGAATATATTTGGGGTCCGGATGCTGAATTAACCCCTGAGCTGATTGAATTAGCCAAAAGAAATAGTGGATTGATAGCTAAAGAGTTGGAAAACAACCGTCAGCATAACAAATCATTAATAACTCCCAAAAAGATGTACGTGTCACCATTGAGAAGATCCATTGATACTTTATATTACACTTGGAACCCAATCATCAATATACAGCAGATACAACCCTACATTCAAGAAAACTGGCGTGAAACTACTGGGGTACACACTTGTGACAAGCGATCAACAAGATCAATAATTGCTGACAAATATGAACCATTAGGATTTGTGATTGAGCCTGGATTCACTGAGAAAGATGAATTGTATCAAGATGATTATCGAGAACTGTTTGATGAACAAGCAGCAAGAATGAATGTGGCTTTACAACAATTGTTTACTGAAAACCATGGAAATGGAGTTGATATTGTTGGGATCACTAGCCATTCAGGTAGTATCAAGACACAATTACTAGTGTTAGGTCATCGACCATTTGCAGTACAAACTGGAGGCATGATTCCTGTGTTCGTAAAGGCAGTCAGAAGAAAAGGTGGATCTGTAAGCAATGGAAATGAAAGTAAATGTAGAGTTGTGTAGATAAGAGTATCATTGAATAGACTTCAGCTAATAGAACAACATTGGAACATCTTTGGGTGAGGGATATAGCCAAAGAAGCTTGATCTGTTTTGTGTTGATCTTTTGACGTCGAAACAACCGAGGCACAAGAAATCGTGCTATTCACTTTCGTCTTTCTTGCACCATACGGGTAGCAAAAAGTATTTCCCGTGCTATGAATCCGTCTTGCTTAAAGCATTGTTCCCGCTAAGTGTCATAACCATACAATGAGTACAATAGGTTCAAGCAATAGCAATCTTTCCTCTAATCAAAAGTGAGAGAGGGGAAGGGGTGTAAAAAAAAGGAGATTCATGCTGTACATCTGCTTAAAATTGTAACCATTCGTTTCAAAAGAGTTATAATAAACGGTGTCAAAATGTTGCAGCTTGTAGTAAATGCATCGAAGCACATAGCGAATCTATATCTATACCTCTCATGCTGAAGTGCTGTGCTGTACTTTTCTTTAGTAAATCTCATGATCTCTCATGATCTTTATGAAATATGTCAATACGAAATTATGCTTGCGTTTCTTTTATCCCCTTTGTGCCAAATCTTTTTCGATTCTCAGGGCAAAAAAATAAAGCGTGGCTCTCTCTCTCCCTCTCTATCTCTATTGTTTTAGTTGCAATTTGCAGAGTGCCACGTGGGCAGATGCAATTTTTTTCCAGGTTTGCAAATTTTCTGGTTACAAACTTATTGTTCTTTCGGAATAGTATGGCGCTTCGGTTTTGTGAAGGAATCAACCGAAGCAGCTATCAAAAAGATAATAAAGCAAAGAACACAGAGTACGAAGTTTGAGAGCGGTGAACTGCAAGCTTAGCTCCATCATGGAAATTGACACGTTCCTGTCCTTAGACTTGGTCCGTAGTGTTGCTATGGAAGTTGATCTAAGTAGTTGTTAAGCGAACAGGGACATCTCCCCATCGCAACTGCCTGTGAAGATTTGTAGAAACTCGCTGTAATTTCTTTTCTTACACCCGAGGATCACAACAGGCTGAGTGAGGGAAAATGGCAATAGAAAAAGACAAAGGGACTACTGCCTTCTCTAGTATTCAAAAGGTTACCACTGCATGTAAAAATAGGGATCAATAGAATGCTCTTTTGAGGTGGAGGAGGATGCTGATTAATGGTCACACGACAATAATAAGTAACTAAGGTCACACGACAACATAGAACTTTATTGTCCCCAAAATATTATTGGTTTTTTTGAGGCCTTTTGTTCTCATCTTCATTTGTGAACCGACTGCAAAATATAATAAATGAATGGAAATTATTACTTAGTAATAGTTACACAATCACAATATCCCAAACCATCACATGTTTGTGTTCATCACTCTCGTGCCTTTTGAAAGATCGAGGCGTTGTCGAAAAAACGAGATCGGTTTAAAAGAGAGACAAGATGTCAATAGTATGAATGTGTTGGTGCAAAGAAAAGTGTAAAGTTTTTTAAAGAAAGAGGTATCTTTTAGAGTAGTCTATAAAATGCGATGAGAATTATAAACAGAATTAAACTTTTTGTAAATACGGAAATTAAGCTTTTGAGCTCTAAAGCGAGGTGTTAGCCATGTTCTTTTTTTTGATGTTGAAGATAAAAGGGAACTAGTTTTCAACTGAAACTCTTCCTGTGAAATTACTGAATCCAGCTCTTTTATATCGTTGTTTGTATCTAATGTTATTTCAGGACCCTGGTGTTTCGAATGGTTAATGTGAACTCAAGTTCGTTTTCAGAAATATGGGAGGTGCAAATGCAAGATGCTGCCACAGTCTACAGTCTTTATTATTTTACGAGATTGACCAGCTGAGGTAGGCATATATAGCCGAATGTCAACAAGATTAGTAAACAATTACTACATGCACCTTTCAAAACCTTGATTTCGGGTGATTAGTTTTGAGCTTTTGAGGGTTATACGCAATTAAAGTATTAATAATCAACCGAATCTGAAACGACGTTACATTCATCTATGTTTACACGTTTTAGGTTTTTCTTCTCTTATTTTCTTCTCTTATTTTCTTTGGGAAATCAACGTTTGCACATCTGTTTCTAGAATTAGAAAACTGCTGCAGAGAAACTGAGGAAGAAGTTCCCCTCATAAGTAGACGTTAATTTACTCCAACAGTAAACAGACCAACTCAACCGTTGAAGCTGCCTTTTGATGAGCCGTTGGTTTAAGTAAAAACGCATAAAAACGCATTAAAACGGGTTATTAAATTCACTCCCCCTTGTGTATATCGTTATTATATTTAATGTCTTTGACTCCTGTAAAATCACCACTATAATATTTAAAAAGGGCTTAAAAGGTATACCACTAAAAGGGAACCGCATATTTCAAATATGCAAAACTTCGTAAATTATTATCTCGCATACACACAGTTGCAACTGACACTTTTTTTGACTTATTTATGGATGTCACATCTTATACTGAATATAACTACATTTGCATGAAAAAGGAAAAAATCTCTCACGTCTTCATCCTCCTGTCAATACATTTCAAAAGACAACGACTATCTCTATTCTCAAGAGGGCTTAAAAAGTAGAGGATGAGTTTATCATTGTTGGTTATTCTTAAAAGGTAGTGCATTATGGTAAATTCCTATGGGCTGTATACTTTTTGTGATGTATTATTTATCACTTTTTGTTTTTAAGCGTCTTGCATAGTTGAATAGCTTCCTAGACTTGACAGTCTTGTGACCTTTATACTGAAACAGAAATTGAGCTGTAATACATAATGACTGTTATACACAAAAGTGAAACCTGTGCTCTGACTTATAGTAAATTTCATAATGGATGGTTGACACTGGCCCCTTCAGCAGGTGAAGAAAGTTTATGTTTTTTAAATGAATATCAATCATACGACCAAGAAAAACTCTTAACTTGGTTCCCCCCTTCCTCCTCTATATGTATTGTAAATCCCAACTATTCTATCACACTATTGTTTTCTGTGCTTGATGATGGTTAGATTACTCTTTGGTTTTTGTGTAATTATTAGACTTTGTCGGTTTTAATCACTTGTACACTACTCTTTGCATAATCAATTTTTTAAATCTATCCCAATCAATCAATAAATACTCAAAAGGGAACAAAAGCCAAATATAAAAAAATAAAAACTCTTCTAAAACTCAATAAATTCACAAAAACCACTTTGACTTTCTGGTCCTCTGTTTATCTGAGAGTCTCCTAATACACATATATATATATATATATATATATAACCCTATCCACATGTTCAGCAACTTATACAAATAAAATTACGCCCAATTTTCTATCATTCGAATTAAATTAAGCGCCTGATCAAATTTCGACTACATCATATCTGCTAGCAACTACGATAACAAACGCGCCACCACTCCACTTTGACACAACAAACGCTTGAATAATATACTTGCAACATCGTCATATACGTCGTTAAACCGTCTCACACACTCCTTTCATTCTGCATTTTACATATTTCAAAGTAGGTTTATTCAAGAGCAAAACCAATTTGATTCTGGCCCATATTTTGCATCTGTTTTATGACTCAGCAACTTTAGTACCCAAACAACTGGAAACCACCAATCTAAACAGAAAATCCTTCTCACCATAGATGAAATTTGGCAACAACTTGCAGCATCTATCGGTACCCGAATGGAGAAGCTATAATATTGACTATAACGACTTGAAGTATAAGATCAAACAAGTCACCAAACAGGATTCTAAGGACCTTTCGCAGTTAAGATTAGCATTTATTGAAAACATCGACTATGTCAACTTGTTCATACAGACCAAATACGGTGAGTTGAGCCGTAAATTTGCATTTCTTGAATCAATATTCAACAACCTACAACATTCGAAGGATAATATAGATGGTTACGACTCGCTACGATCGTTTCTCATTGAAATTGATGAATTGTTTTACGAAGCTATTGAGTTGTCGATAGTGTTGAAAAATTTGTCCAAGTTTATTTTGATTCAAAAGATTGCCATCAAAAAGATATTCAAGAAATTCCTCAAGTATTATCAGTATAAGAAAGTGGGCACCAAATTCGTGCTTGATTTGAAGGATGATCACCTAATCAACAACCCACAATCATTTGTCAATTTTGACCTAACTAAATTGACCCTAAAATTGACAAACCTAATCAATTTGATCAAATATGAACGGAAATATGTCGAATCTTTTAACAGTGATCTACATCGGAAAAACTCCTTGTTTTCGTTGGCATCGTCTTTAAACACTACTTCTGATTATCAAACTTCGATATTAGCAAACAATCATAACAACAATAGCTCACAACTAGTTCCCAACAAAAGTTGCACCTTCACCGCAAACACCACCGCCACTGCCACCACGAATTCATCACCAAATACCGCCATCACTACTGCATCAAACACCACTAGGAACTATTATAACTCCAACCCACAACAGATTCCGACATCGCCTGAATCGCAATTTGATTTAACCGTGCTACTAAAACGAAATTTTCAATGTCATTGTCTTATACCAAATGAGTCGACTAATGACGCCATTCTCAATTTCAACGTCTACTTGAATCTCAAATGTATTGAAGATAATCTTGTTTCGGTTATATACTTGAATCAAGACTTGTTGAAAGATCCTGCACTTATTTTGTCAAGTGATACTAGTCAACTATCGCTTATTATGGCTCCCACTGGTGGTTTAAGAAAATACTCGTACTGCATTTTGCCTAATGAAGTTGTTGAGGTGTTTTTGTTGCATTTGCAAGATAGATCCAACGAAGAATACAAGAGTCAATTGTATGGTTATTTTCAGGAATCTAGTCAATTGACAAAAAAAACCATCAATTTCATCATAGCCAATGACTACTTGCCGGTGTCGAAAGCCTTTTGTCAGCGATCGAGATTCAAAATTGATAAAAGTACTGGTGATACCATCATCAACAATGATAATAGCATGCTCATTGATCAAGCAGGATCCTCTTGTCAACAGCCTTCACAACCAGATGAAAATGATTATTATCTCACATTGGAATGTAATATATCCACCACCAATAAACCCAAACACATCAACACCATTGCCTTCCCCGACAACTACGATGATATGGATTGTTTCCCTCACAGTCATCTTGGTATATTCTCCAATGATTTGAACTTGTCGGAATTCGAATCGTCGTTACTGACTGAGGTGGATTCTCAAACTGGTGTGATACGAAATAGTTATTCTCCTTCATTTGCTCGTCGGTTCCCAAAGAAATTGCAAATGATTTTGCAAAACAATGCGGTATCTTTATACAAGGGCTTCAACTTTTATCAGTATCAGTTATCATGTTATTACAATATTGTCCCCAATGGAGAATTTATCAATAACCACTACACCAATTTACTCAACTTGAACTTGTTGAAAGAATTTGAAAATATTGATGCTTGTAATCAACAATTGAACCAAGAAGAAGATCTCATTAAAGCCAAGTCGGATGGTATAATGAAGCATAAGATGTCCATACAAAATCTTCAACAGGAAAACCAAGTGATTGAACAACAAGATCGACAACAAAAACAACTGAGGCTTTTGCAATCATCACATTTGCACCATCAACATCAGCAAGATAGTTTTGGTTCGAGCATATTTGAGAATGTGAGACGTGATTCTGGAAGCTTGTCACCCAATGACGTCGTCAACTTAAGTGATGAAGTAGCTGATTATGACGTTGTGGATTTACAAAACAATCAAGTTACTAAATTCTTAACTTCACTTTTCAATTTAAAGGATAGATTTTTTAACCAAAATTCTGAACCAAGATACAAAAAACAAGACAAGCAACATTTCATTTATGAAAACCCATACTATTTTCCCAAAGACGATCATGACGAAACAGATGAGCATCAACACTTGCTTGACCCTTATACCAAGCTCCTCTCCTTCTACAACCAAGAGGATGTCAACAACTACTCAACATACGATTCCATCAATGAGGAGCCAATGTCATTTTTTCAACGTAATGAGCACCAGCTGAAATATGAAGCCGATTATGATCAAACTCTAAGCTACATATATTTCACATTGACGATTATTTCCCTATTCCTTTGTGGTATTCAATTAGGTACCATATACTCAATATTTACAAATATTGATGATATTGAAGATTCAAAGTTTTTGATTCGTGATAATTTGGGAATTTTCATTGTATTAGTATTGGGAATGATTATTCTGGTGGGGTTTAACTTGTTGGCAATCAATCTTCTTTGGTTTAGGTATACTTCACCTGTCAAGTTCCACAAGTTTGTTGTTAGTGGGGCATTGATCATCAACGTGATGGGGTGTATTTGGAGTTGTGTTTTGTTGTTGCATTGTTTTTAAGAACGCTGTGAAAGGGTTGCATATTTAGTCTGGACTTTTTTCCTCATTGTATAAGCATTTAATTTTACGACTATAGCATTCAGATAACATGCACGGGATGTAGATCGAGAGTTACGAGGTGTGATCACTTCTGGGGTGTCAAAAAAGAAAAAATCTCCCGGGGGCGAGTCGAACGCCCGATCCCAAGATTACAAAATCTGGTATAGTAAATTACAGTCTTGTGCTTTAAACCAACTAAGCTACCAGGAGAATTTCACAAAGAAAACTTGCTACTGCCAAAGCAGAGAAGACTTTAATAATCACGTTTTTGGTAATTACACAAACATTTATTGCTTGTATAACACCCAGTTCAAGGGTCTAGAGCCTCCAGAGGATATTCTAGTGGCTATTACCATTAGTTCCTAAGTACCCGTAGAACACGAAATATATGATTGTGAGACTATCGAAATGTAAAATTCACTATTTTGCACCCAATTTGTTGCAAAAATGTAGCATTCTCATTGGTGATTCAATAACACTTAGTACGTTACGTCATTTGAAAAACGTCACAAGTGAGCTCACTCAACCACGAAATGATATGTTGACTTCCTATTGTAGTACTTGGTAACCATTATGAAGACACATTGTATTTTAATTCTCATTGAAAAATTGAGTAAGGGGCGTATTCCTGGATGAATATAATTCAACCAAATAATACAATCAGCTTCAAAATCAAATTTCATTTGGAGTTTGGAAGTACCCCAAGAAAGGGGATATTTTTAATTGGTATAGAAATGACTCCTGATCTAATTTTCTACCATTGTTATTACAGAAATCACTGTAGAAACCAAAAGTTATACCAATCATTATAATCGGGACGCAATGGCATGATTCAAATCGAAAAAAAGGGAGGCATAGATATACATCAGGGAGGAAACTTCATGCCTATCTTATAGCTGATAATATCATGATGGTTCAACGAGTTAAATACAGGATTAACTTGTGAAACATTGCGTGGATACATAAGCGATCACATTAATCTGTTATATATCATCAACTTTGACACAGCATTGAATAAAGTATTGGTATTCATGAAAGTTGAGTTTGCTATCGATTACAGTTCAATAATACAAACTACTACCACGAATGCAACAAATTGGTCGACAATCTGAACACCGTGCATAATATTGAGTTTATTGTCAAGGAGTTGCTGAAAGTTCAGAGTGCAGCGGACTTCCAGGAGGCACAGAAGTTGTTCAAACAACTCATGAGGAGTACAGAAAATGTGAGTCAAAGAAGCTTGAGTCGTCACCTTAATAATCTGTGGAAGTGGCATGAATACTGGCTTCGTTGTTACAAGTCATTTAATGATATTTCATACAGTGTTAACGCCTCTGATTGTCCTTTGTGCCAATATCTTATGCCTACTACTCATGCTGATATATTATTTGCCCTTCAATGGCTTCAGAAGCTCCTCAAAATTGAAAGGAAGCCAGAGGACCCCGGTGATGCTATCAAAGAGATGGACCTAAGCAAATCTATATTACGGGTAAAACTCAACAACTCTATATCATGGGTAAAACTTAACAACTTTATACAGTTTCTGATAAAATCGCGAGCTCTCAATGTGGGAAAAGCCATTCGATGGTAGGCGCAGCCGTCTAGTTGAGCGGCAAGAGGCTTTATGAAAAATTAAAACCTAAGTTGTAGACGTTAGTAAATTTTGTGAATCGGTTTATATTGAAAGACGAAGAGTTGAAACAAGAAATGTCTACCACGATTCGTTTTTAGTACATGTGGAAAGATGGTTTTGAAGTGGATGCCATGCTGTAAAGTGATTTCTTGAAATCATGTAGTATCTTACGAATGATCTACTGCTTCCTTTTAGAGTAAAACTTTTCCCTTACACTGTGGCTATTGAAAAAAATCATGCTATTACATTATTTACTTCATATTTCGTCTCTTGTTAATGAATGATAGACTATTTGTATTGTTGTTGCTGTAGTATAAATCATTTTCAATTAACTTGTTATTTCCTTGGTAGAATATTTTGAAACAGTTGCCAAAATTGACGAGGATTGATTTGAAACCGTATTTGGCGGTTGAGACTATGTGGACATTTGATTGTAGGTGTAGTGGGTACGCTGTCTTTTTCCCGTCACTAAGGGAAATGATGAATCCTTCGTATGATTCTCTTGCGGCGGCATTTGATTTCGTGTTTCGTTGACGAAGTGAAGTGAGCCCTTGATTCTCAAATACTGCAGATGATGCATTCGGCTTTGTCGACGAAGCTTTATCTTGACATTTGATCTTTTCGAATCCGATAACCATATTCACATCACTAACTTGCCAACACTTTATATCTTCATACCAATATTGACTTTCACAAACAGCGCTAAAACCAAGACATCGAATCTCTCTCGGATCTCTTTCAGCACGAAGGCATATACTGTTCTTCGATCTTTGCAGGTCAATCTTGTATGTGTGGGCAATTAAAATGCCAGAGTCATCCTCGTACACCAATGATAATGAAGTAACTGATACACAACCGCAAAATTTACAATGTGTTGGTTGTGAATGTGCAACTTTGAACGTACCTGGTTTGAAATGGCCAATGTTGAACGTTTTCAACACAATGCCAGTTTGAACATCGATTAAGCTTGCGGTAAAGTCACAAACAGACACAATCATACCAATAAACTCAATCGGGATCATCACAGGTGGGTTGAGCTTATGTGATTGCTTCATTGTTGTCACCATGTAGCTCCCATTAGTAAACACTTTAACAGGAAACTCTCGAAACACAAAGTTGTTGTTGACCACAATTCCAACAATGAATTCTCCAGTGGTTTTTTGACAAACAATCTTGTCATTAACTCTGGGTGTTTTAACTTTAGCAGCAGCGGTAAACGGTTCAAAAACTTGTTCATCCACAGAACCCTCATCACCAGAGATGACCAACACCGTACCATTATTGAGCACCAACACAAAGTCTTCTGGTATATTTTCTAATTTAGTCTTTGAAGCTGGATTTGTACGCGATGACGGCGAAAGTGGTGCAGCAAATGGCGATGTTTGGGTGGTTGTTAGTATAGGGGAATCTGGACAACGAATTATAGCGCTATGCGATTCAGTCGCTAGCGTGCTTGAGCTCCCACGCTTGGCCCTAAGTAATTTCCTCGCCAAGAACCCGGGAACTGTTTTATGCCTGAAAAAGGACTCCAATACTTTTGTACTTCGATTTATACTAGGATGCTGTTGTATCCATTTCAATTGAAAGTTCTTGTAGCAATAAATTGAATGCTTATTGAAACAGATTAAGATAATATACACTCCATCATCACTGATGGCAATGTGGTTTACCGGCCATATATCTGTTGCGAGGATGTGCTTTTCATTAGAGCTCGGCGACCACGCAGTAACAGTATGGTTTAATTCAAATGAAACAACAATTGGACAACTGGGGTTCGTTATCACATTTAGTATATCTGATGATTGAAGGCTTCGTAGTTCAATTGAATTGAGTTTTTCCTTCTCGGGACTGATATGGCTGTTACGATTGATGGAGGGAGATCTTAGATTAAGACAAATTAGTATGACTGAGGCTATGAACACAAGGGATAAAATTGCTTCCACGTAAAACAAATTGATAAACGATTGATCCAGGGGAATCATATTATGAGCATCTCGTTATGTGAATGGCTATAAATTTGGAGGGTGGAATTGGGTTGAAACCAACGATCGTTTCGGATGTGCCTAATCTCTCTTCTCTGTCGTTTAGATCTCAATACGAACTGTGTTTAAAATTTTTTTTTTTGGTATTTTGTTGGTGCACAAAATTGGTCACAAGATTTAGATCACACAGGAGTACTTTGAGTCGGGATTAAAACAATTACCACTAGGCTTTAGCGCTAAAAGCTGAGACAGCCAGAGGGACACCAAGCAGCACGAAATTACATAACAATACGTGTATAATTCTATCATCTATACATCATCAACGCTCTAGTCATTGAAGTTGTTGAAGCCTGGATTACACGTTCTAACAACACCATCTTTTTCGGAAAGCTTGTTCAAAGTTTCAAAATCTTCCTTACTCAAAGTAAATGTCTTGATGTTGGAAATGATTCTTGAATCAGTAACTGACTTTGGTAATACGACAGTGTCTCTTTGAACAGCCCAAGAAACTAAAACTTGTGCTGGTTCAACACCATTCTTTTCAGCAATATCAGTGATGGTCTTGTTTTTGAACAATGGCGACTCGCTCGAACCCAATGGTGAATAAGCTTCCAAAATAATGTTTTTTGATTTCAAGTAGTCGTACAATTCAGGTTGAGTCAACAAGGGATGTGCTTCAACTTGGTTAGCGGCTGGGACAACATCAACACCATCAGCATTTAAAAGCTTTTCTAATTTCTTAACAGTAAAGTTGGAAACACCAATTGCCTTGACTTTCTTACCTTCCTTGTATATTTTTTGTAAAGTTTTCCAGGTGTCAACGAAGTCGTGGTCCGAGTATGGTTTATCAGTTTCTGGATCAGTGGAAACAGGCCAGTGGATCAAGTACAAATCAACATAGTCAAGGCCCAACTTTTTCAATGATTCATCCAAAGCAGACTCGACGTCTTTGTGCTTCTTGTTCCATAATTTTGTAGTGACAAACAACTCGTTTCTAGGAATTCCAGCAGCAGCAATCCCTCTACCTACTTCTTCTTCGTTTCCATAAATGGCAGCAGTATCAATATGTCTATAACCATTCTTCAATGCTGTCAAGACAGAGTTGTAAGCAGCGTCTTTTTCGCTAGCACGCCATGTTCCCAAACCAACAGCTGGGATCTTGGCACCTGTGTTTAAAGTGAATTCAGTAGTGTTTACTTTCAATTGAGCTGACATGATTTAAGATTGTTTGTATATTTGTTGAGTTGAGGAAAAGTAATGAGTGGTAGCATGAAGAAAATGTTGGCAATGGGGGCGAAATCAGCGACTATTTATATTGTTGCTGAATGGCGTCTGGTGCCACTGATTTGTGTCAAAATCTGACAGCAAAAAAAGAAATGAGATTTTTGACGCCACACGTTGGGCCGGAATTGCTAAAGTGGGTACTCCGAGCCCCCGAAAAAAACAACAGAGAATGGGGGATTGGTGGTCCCCCCCACCTGCATAGAATGACGCATTCAAAATGACATCATACAATTAGTGAAACAACCTTCCTCGTACAGCTACCACCATGACAAAAAGGAGATGCCGATTAGAGTTATCATTTGATAAAGCAACTGACCAGGAAGCGAAAGCGCAAAAAAATTACACAACACATTCTAGTGATAGCTCAGAAAAAGCAGGTCGTTGATATAGGGGGTAGCCAGATCAACACTATCCGACTATCAATATGAGCTGCAGATCGAAACGAGAAGGGCACGGAAAAGGACCAAGTGTTAAACGAAATCTAAAAGCGGAATGGTCGTGCGATAAAAAAGGAGAGCATTTTCAGTTTGCTTAGAGTCAGTCGAGGATGTAATCAATTAATGACACAAGTATTGTTCAACTATGAGAGTGAAATATTGAACCAGCAACTTAGACTTTACGAGGGTCCCAACAATTATGTGGATGAAATAGAAAGAAGGCAATCAATTCAACAAGAATTTGTCGCTAGTTTGCAAAACTTGGTATTCAGTAGAAGTCATTAAATCAGCAAATCGCCACGAAGCTTAGTGTGAAGGTTCTTGGAATAGTTTTTGACTATACGCCATATCAAAGAAAGAGGATCATACCACAAGAAAACATCGTATCTAGAATCCCGTAGCTTCCCTTGTTCGATAAAGGCCTTGCATCTCTAGTAAGGCATTTTCAGTACTCTTCTTTGTTACATACTTTGAAAGTGTCGTGTGAACGTCGTGAAATTGAAATTGAACGGGAAAAAAAATTCTCAACTTCGACTACTCAACGGATTCGGATTATTCAACTGCAAAGATGGAATCGGCACTTAATACCACTTTGGGGGCACGTTTGAGTGCGTACTTGGTTACTGCCGACGATTTCAAGAGACAAAGAACTAGAGTCAACAAGAGGATCCTCAAGCTACGTCGTGATTTAAATTTGGTAACCAAAGATACCAAAAATTACGGCGCAAAGGAGCAAACATCGAAAATCACACCTCAACAGTATGATGAAAATAAGGATTATGGGTTGATTGAACTACTTTTAGCTGAAAGGGACATGTTGTATGCCAGTGAGATTAAAGCAAAATTGGATATCAATAGTGAAAAATCGTCATCATACACTACTTTATTGAAAACCAAGATGAAGAGAGCCTTATTTCACGTCGACAACTTGATAAAATTGACGGCAGGCGAGGTCAATGATAAGATTCGCATTGAAGTTTACATCTATGCTGCATTGGTTGCTGGTCAATTATCAATAACGAGAAAACAATGGTTCAAAGCATTGAATGCAATTTCGATAGCCAAGTGCAGTTTAGATTACTTGAACGCACAAGATAGCAACAAGGAATCTTTCAACAAAACATTGTGTAATGAATTACTTGAAAACACGGTTGATCCTTCATTGAACTTGGCTGCTTCGCAATTGGATGACGTGCCATCTACCGATTTGAAAACGTTATCAAGAAGATATTGCCATGAAAATTGTTTTCCAGAAATATCACCAGTTCTTAAGTTGATTGACCCACTGTTTACCAAAGATATCTCATCATCGGTAAAGTTGCAGAAAGAGGTGGATTGGAGGGGTCATGTTGCAACAATTTACAACGATGAGCTCGCTTACAAAATTCAGGAGTTGACAAGTGATAAAGAATGGGAAAAATACAATGATGCAAATCAATTTGACCATGTGATTGCATCTTGGATCAACATTTTGGAATTGCATAAAGAGGATACTCAGAAAAATCAAGATGACGATGACATGGAAAAAGTTCAAGATAGGGCAATCTTATCAACCTATATAAACTACAATTTGTTATTCACGAAACTCAAAAGGGATTTGTTGTTGGTGGGTCAATTGGCCGCCCACAAGAATGTCGAAGATAACAAGGATATAATCAGGATTTATTTGGGTATAATTAAACTCGTTGAGGAGTTGAAAGAGCTTCCTGGTGTTTACAACGACGAGGATTTGCATTATTCGCTAGAAAACTTGGGGAAATTTTACGAAGCTCAAAAAAACGTTGTCATTGCCGAGTCTTATCAATTTAATAATAGATTTGCCGAAAGTTTGAAAATTTACAACTATGTCAATCAGCAATTGCAAGTTTCTCATGACTATTACAAAGTCGGTTTTCCATTCAATGTGAGCACGAATACAGAAGTTGCATTTTTCAAAGTGCATTTGGAAAAGAAGGTATTACAAGCTCAAGTTAGTGCCCAATTCGAACAAGGAAAACGAGCAGCTTGTTCGAAATACACCATCGAGGATATGAAAAAATTTCCTATTGGTTTGAATGTGATTAACCTTGATAAGATTGAACCAGTCATGTGTAAACCAGTTTTGTTTGATATTGCATTCAACTATATTACACCTGCGATTGAACCTGCACAACCTGTTCAGGCAACAACTCCTGCAATTGAAACCAGCACAGAGGAAACTAAAAAGCGTGGGCTTTTTGGTATCTTTGGTGGACGTAAGTAGATGTAAATCACCGTTTAATACGTAATGAAGCACAAGCGATTTTGATGAGTTGGCATAAAGCAGACAAATTTGTAACTGAAAAAAAAAATGAAGTCTCAAAGACGAGATTAATTTGTTCTCACCACGACACCTATGAAGAAAGAAGGACTGGCATTATCGTTAGCGATATGTGTCTTGGGTCTATATAGCACATTCCTCACATGGTCCGTCTTACAAGAACGAATTAACACAACACCATACGGTGATAACGAATACTTTCGAGCACCACTAATTATAAACATTGTGCAAGCTTTTCTTGCATCGATAGTAGGATTGTTCTACACTGCGGTGACATCCAAGTCGTCTCCATTTGATGTGTTTACTCAGAATGGGAAGCAAGGATGGCAGGTTTTCAAGTCGTTAGTGCTAATATCCATTTGTTCAAGCGTAGCTTCACCAATAGGATACAAATCATTGGCTCATTTGGATTACTTAGCTTACTTGTTGGCAAAATCGTGTAAATTGATTCCGGTGATGCTTGTACATTTCATATTATACAAGACCAGGTTCCCAATGTTTAAATATATTGTTGCACTGTTGGTAACATTGGGGGTGACTATTTTCACTTTGGCTCATTCAAAAGAGAGCAGAAAAGTTAATGATGGAAATACTGCATTAGGACTAGCTTACTTGATTGGAAGCATGTTGCTAGACGGATTGACAAATTCTACGCAAGATCAATTGTTCAAGATTCTGCTAAAGAGGAAGTTTACTGGTGCCAACTTGATGTGTGTTTTGAACTTGTTTATATTTGTGTTAACCACGGCATACCTTGTCCTATTTCAAAAATCAGAGATTAGCGAAGCTTATCAATTCATTCAACGATACCCTCAATTGTTGTATGATATTGTTATATTTGCCGGCTGTGGTGCTATTGGACAAGTGTTTATATTCATCATCTTGGAACATTTTGACTCAATTGTGTTAATAACTGCAACAGTCACGAGAAAGATGTTAAGTATGATGTTAAGTGTGGTTTTATTTGGTCATCATTTGAATATCAAACAATGGATTGGCGTCGTATTGGTGTTTGGTGGAATCGGGTTTGAAGCTTTTACCAAGTTTCAACAAAAGAAAAAGCCAAAAAGTGATTAGGGGTGGTGTATATATACGTGAATGGCTATTAATAGAATTTTGTATTTTTAAACCCGTTGTTTATTTCGTATTCATTGATTTAACTAGCAATAAATGCAACTTTTAAATACCAACTCTTAAATACCAACCGTGTCTTTCCTTCTCCAATCCATGAATGCTCAGGCTACTGTATTATCCCATCTAAGTACTCTTCAATCTTTTTCTTAATATTTTCCTTTACTTCCAGCGGTACTGATTCTTCAGCTTTCGGCCTAACATATGCATACAAATCACTCAAGTTTTTTGTTTCTAGTTTCTTCTTGTCCCCACCTTCATTTAATCTGTCATTAGCAATTTGCGCCACTTTGTCGTACCATCCACTTTCATACAATTGTAGTTTTAGTTGTTTGTTGATGAGATCATAGTTCCCCGATGTCACCAAGTGTTGTTGGATTTTTGATTTTATTTGATTTAGTTCATCTTGCTGGGTCATGTTCTATTGTGTTGTATACTAACGTATGATTAAGCTGACTCTATGGCTTGTCGCAGAGGAGGTCGACCTGTGTTGTCAGTGATACTGGTGATGACGTCGGTCTTACTACGGCGGTTTTTTGTCTGTGCTATTTTTTCTTTTTGCAATTTTTCAAAAAGCAATCCTCAACTCACACTCACCCCTTTATGATTAAAAGAGTACTTACACGAGCAATGTCAACAAAAGCTTCCCCATATAAGTCTAAGGTAACTGCAGTTGAACCATTGCAACAAGGTAAATGGATCCAGACAAGAAGGATAGATTACAACGATCCCAATGGGAAACCCAAGCAGTGGGAAATGGCAGTAAGGACTACGAGATCTGAAACGACAAATGTTGATGCAGTTTCCATAGTCTCAGTATTACACCATGAAAACAAAGCTAAAGAGTTGGTATTGGTGAAACAATTCCGTCCGCCATGTGAAAAAGTATTGATTGAAATGCCTGCTGGTTTGGTGGATCCTAAAGAATCAATAGAAACGACAGCTGTTAGAGAGCTTCTTGAAGAGACTGGCTACCACGGCACATTCCGTAAACAATCGCTGATTATGTTTAGCGATCCCGGGTTGACCAATGCAAATATGGTGTTGGCTCATGTTGATATTGATTTGAAGGACCCCAAAAACCAAAATCCAGTACCACAATTAGAGGAAAATGAGTTTATAGAAACGTTTACTTTGCCATTGGATAATTTGTTGGAGGAAATGGAAAAGGTTTGTCAAAAGGAAGGATGTTCTGTTGATGCTAGGTTGTATCATTTTGCTAAAGGTATAGAGTTGGCCAGAAGCTTCCAATTGTGAAGGAAGAGCTACGTAATTGAATAGAACAGGCGGTCAGCTAAACGCTCAAACTAATTGGTGTTATCTTCTCTGACTGTTGTAGTACTGAAGTTCTCCTCTCACTGGTGAATCCCCAACTTGTCGTGGGCAACATTCAAAAAATTTCATGCTCACTTCCAAAATATCTCACTCCACCCCCAGATTTCATCAACGCTTTTAATAGTGCAACCACGTCATGACGAATATAGATCCCACAACCCCTACAGATGAATCCGACACATGCTGTTTTTGCTTAGGCACTTCATTGGATATTCCTTCATTCGGCACAGTTCAAGATGCACAAGATATGTTAAAACCATGCTCCACATGCTCATTAGTTTGCCATCGAAGATGCTTGTTGGATTGGCTTGATACCATTCCTCCTGATAAATTGCGGATTATTCACTTAAGAGCTACATCTACTTCTTTTTTGAGAAGGATGGATCGAGAACACGCTAGTGACTTTGGGTTAGGACAAGCACCAAACACAAATACTACAGTAAGACTTGATTTAACAACACTGGCCCTTGAAAGTTGGTTTTACAATATTACCAACTTTGCCGCAAATGAGGATGGTGATACTGATGAAGACTCTCAGAATGGTTCGTTTGCTGATGATGAACATGATTTAGCTCATGATCAAGTGGTGGCGCGTAGGACTTCACATGGTAGTCATGATAGTCATGACGATAAAGCTGTTTTTCGCGACAATGAACACATGGTCTACATACTCGCCCCATGTCCGCAGTGTAAAAAATGGATCATGTTTTCCATGAAGAGGTCATTACTATTCACAATTCATTCAACCTTGAAATCCGCAGTAACGAAAGTGGTTCGATACGGTACGGTTTTCCTTGGGATAACTTCGGCACTCACGGGAGTGGTATCAATGGGTTACATTGGATTAACTAGTGTGGGATTGAAAATGATGGATAAAATTATTCCCGCACCATTGTTGATTCGCTTATTGACACGAAAATCATTGCTCCAATCACAAGGCACGTACTCTTCGTTGTCGAAAATACTATTTGGTAACTCATCAACATATGCAGTTGACAATTTAGAGCAAGCCTTAGTTCAAGGATTGATTGATCCCTTGAAATTTTCCCGTATTCCTGTTTTACCAATTGTCATGTATCGAGCAAGATCATCGTCTATTTTCAGGTTGATTTTTGGTCGTCGTGATGATGCGTTTCCTAGTGCATTAGTCACTGAGTTTATGATTAGTGCATATATATCCTCCATTGGTGACCATGCTTTAGTACGTGCTATATACAGAAACGTCAAGTCTGACTTCATCAATGGACTTCAACACGGGTTCAATTTTAATATGAATCCATTGAAAAACATTGATTTTCTTTCCACCAACAATATCATATCAATGTTGGTTCCATTGCGTTGGACTTATGATCTTCTTTATCGGCTTTCATTCAATCGTGCCTATTTCAATTTAACTATGGAGTCAAGACCAAGAGCAGTTGCAAATAGTCTAAGTGAAGCGGAAATCGATGAATTAGAGGGCTTGAATAATCAATTGAATGAATTAATCACCAAGCATAAGAAATTGTACCAAAATATCAATAAACGTGTTGAAGCAGACTCATCATCAAACATTCCCTTGATATCATCCTGGATCAAATTTGCCCACAAACAAATGTTGTATTTGCATGCTTTACGTAAGTCATGGCCCAAGTATATCAAGTTGAAGTTGATATCAAATGTGAAATTCACTTGGGCATGTCTTCGATATGACTACTCTTCTCCGTTAGCTGCCAATGGAGCCGTGATCAAAGTACTAACAACAATCTTTTGGCCGTATCTTGCATCAAAAGTGGGTCTACTTCTAGCCCCGTTATTGAGCAAACAATTGGACGCTTATAATAAACTACACATTGATAAAAAACTCCTCGTGGCAAACATTGTCGGGTTGGTGATTGTTGCCATTTGTAAGGAGATACCTCTGCTTTACATGGCGAGGGAAAAAGCGCAACAAATGTCACGTATTAGATCGGTTGATTCCCGTTCTCGCAATTTATTCAAGGGCTTGGTGTCAAGTATTGTGCATGAAGGCAGCAACGGATCTGATGGTGATGGTGACAATGACAATGGGGTTGGCGATGGTGCCGATGTTGATGATGGCACATTGGGAGAAGTGAGAGATGTCTTACTAAATGATCTTGTTGCTCTACCCGGTAATTTCCCAGAGTAAGCGCAAACTAAATTCAACAGATGTACTGTATAGTAAGTAATACATGTCTTATAATTGTACAAATTGTAAATGACTGTAAAAAAAGAATAACAAACAAAACAGAGTAGAGTTCAATTGCAAATGTCTTACTTGAGACAAAGTCTTCCTTTATTCATCATCATAATCCTCATCCTCTTCAACCTGTCTCATTGGAGGCTCAGGATCTTCCTCCTTCTTCGCATCAGGTTCCTCATTTTCGTTCTTCTCATCATCTGGTTTACTCTCCTTCACTTCAACATCATCCTTCTTGGTAGCTTCGGTAGCCGGAGCATCAGCACCAGCGCCAGCTGGCGAACCTTCCTTCTTCTCTTCACCACCTTCAGCCTTCTTTTCTACATCATCATTAACTTCAGACCTCTTGCGTTCTTCTTCATGTTTCTCTTCTCTAGCAGAAGTCTCACCTGTATGATGATGATCCTGCTCAACTGGTTTGCCATCACTACCGCGGTCACCGTTGTCCTTATTACCAGCAGGTATAGCCCCAGAAACGACTTCATCGGGATCATTGGGGTTAGCTCCATTTTCTTGCTCCTCTGCGTCATTGTTGCCAGTCACATTACTTGAAAAACGAGGAACTGAAGACTCTTCAGCTGGCACTGGTGGGACTTCAGCCGAAGAAGGAGTTCCTGGATTTGGTTGCTGAACTGACGCAGCTTCAGAAGTCTCAACGCTAGGTTTCAAAGAGACTGCAACTTCTTCCTGGATGGGCTTCGTCGAAGATTCATTTTGATGCTCAGGTTCGGAAGCAGTAGTTGCTTTTTGTCCTTCGGTATCCTTCTTTTTCAAAATCTTTTCCGAATCATCCTTTTCATCCAAATCGTGTTTCCCATTGTTTTGTGGGGCTGGAGATGCAGTTTTGCTATTTTCAGGTGCTGATTCTGCCGGGGCTGCTGCTGGTGCTGCTGCCGGTGCCGCCGTTGTTGCTACTGGTGGTTCTTCGGCCTGTTCTGTTGGCACAGATGGCGACTCTGGCTTGCTTTCAGCAACTTCCAGTGTTGGTTGTTTTTGCTGTTGCTCTTGTTGAGCAGATACACTTTTCGCCTCAGTGGCTGCTTGCTCTTGCTTCAAATTGGTTGCCAGTTCCTCAGCATGCGGAGTGGTTTCTGGCGTTTCCAGTTGTGCTGGTTGTTCAACTTTTGCAACATGAGGAGAGCTAGCACGCTCTGATTGTTTCGTTGAACTTTCAGACGTCAACACAGCATCATTAGGCTTTGGCGTTCTCTTTGCCTCCTTTTGTTTCGAATCCAATTGTGGTTTTGTTTCAATGGATGGATTAGAATTGTTTAAAGTGGGTAATGCTGGACTAGCCTGCAATGGCTCACTTTGATTCACTTGGATAGGAGGTTGAGGTTGATGAGAAGTTTGGCTGTTGAATTGCGATGGAGGTGGAGCCTGTTGGGGTATAGGAATTTGCTGGTGATGCTGCTGTGGTTGTTGATTGAGATTTGAACTTTGGTACTGAGCAAGACCTGCTGCAGTGCCTGGTTGTCCTTGTGGGTACTGGGGAATTTGTTGATGTGGTGGTGGTGCTGGCAATTGTGATCCATGTTGACTAGCTGCTGCTGTCAATTGCTGAGGTGCTGGACCTTCATTGTTTGGGGGAGGTGGAGCTTGTTGGGAATATTGATGCTGCAGCTGTTGTGCTGGTTGTTGCTGTGGATGTTGGTGCAGCGGTTGTTGTTGGTGCTGCTGGTGCTGTTGGTGCTGTTGGTGCTGTTGCTGTTGTTGCTGTTGATATTGTTGTTGTTGTTGTTGTTGTTGCTGCTGCTGTTGCCCGAAAGGTTGACCTGGCGCCGGACCACTTTGCAATTGTTGGCCTGGCTGCGGAGGCAGTCCTTGTTGACCTGGTTGCGGTGGCAGTCCTTGTTGACCTGGTTGCTGGTTACTCTCCAAAACCATTCCCTGGGGTAATCTTGGCTGTTGAATAGATGGAGGTGGTTGTGGAGCATGAGTATTACCCTCTTGTTGATACTTGATCAATTGATCTAATCTTGCCTTTATATGAGGATTCCCTGGATCTAATCTTTCTGCTTGTCTATAAGCATCTAATGCATCACTAATTTGATTATTACAAGTTTCATACAATGTTCCCAAATCGTACCAAACTTCACTAATGTATGGATTCAATCTAATGGCTCTAGTATAAGCATCCAAAGCATCACGATATTGACTGATTTGGTAATACAAGACCCCAATAGAACACCAAAAAGTTGGGTTTCTGGAGTCACGATTGACAGCTTGTTGGAAAGCTTCATAAGCAGCATTGAAATCACCTCTAATCATGTGGACCCTGCCCAAGTAATACCATGAATGAGCATCAGTCGGATCAATTTCCAACGATTGAGTCAAATATTTCAAAGCAATATTCAAGTCCTGTTGAAATGGTTCATGTCGGTGAGAGGATCCATTACTTTGACCTGGTGTTGGCGGATTCAGTTCAGCTTGAGAGTAAAGACAACCCAATTGTTGCAAGACCTTGGCGTGTTGAGGATTAACTTGCAATACTGTTTCATAAGCTTCTTTAGCTCCATTCCAATCCTTTTGTTGTTCCAAAACTGATCCAATTTGAAACCAAACATTAGGTTGAGTCAATGGCGGAGGCGGATTGTTCAAAATGTACTGGAAACACTCCAATGCTGGTTGCAATTTCCCCTGGTGTTTATAAATAATCCCCAATCGAAAATAAATTTCAGTGGCTTTTTCAAAATTAGGATCCAATTCCAATACACGAACAAATGCTTCTTCAGCATACTCCAATGACCCATAACGATCATAAAGAATACCAATACCATGCCATAATTTCGGTACATTGGGATTTTCCAAATAATACAATGCACGCTGATAAGCAGCATATGCTCTTTGTAAATCATCCAACATTAAATAACAATGGCCCAATAACCCCCAAGTTTCACCATTTTCGGGATTGAAATTAAGTGCTTGTTCATACAATTCTGCAGCCTTGAAAAACACATCTTTTGAACGGTAAACATTGGCTAGTTTGGTCAAGATTTCCGGGTTATTAGGGGAATGCCTCAATGCAGAGTCATATGCTGACATTGCACGATCGAAATCTCCCAAACTTTCAGCTAAAGAACCAATTGCTAACCAGGTAGATGCAGTTGTCTCACTAAGTGCATTTGAGGTGGGGTTGCCTTGACCAGGTTGTTGGGCTTGTTGGGCTTGTTGGGCTTGTTGGGCTTGTTGAGCCTGGGCTTGAGCTTGGGCTTGAGCTTGAGCTTGAGCTTGGGCCTGGGCTTGAGCTTGGGCCTGTGCCTGGGCTTGAGCCTGAGCTTGAGCAGCTGCTTGTTGGTTGGCAGTAGCTTGAGCCGCAGCTACAATCATTCCCGGACCTGTTGCATGAGGTGGTTGTTGTTGCTGATACTGGTGTTGTTGCTGTTGCTGTTGTTGCTGTTGCTGTTGCTGTGGTGGTGGTGCACCCGAACCGGATTGTGGATGAACACCTCCATTCAAAGTTGGTGGTGGGGGCTGTTTATTCCCAACAACAATTGAGTGTGCTGGATTATACATTGCAAGTGGAATCTAATCGGTCAGGATGCGTTTACTAATCAAATGTATACCACTGTCTCTCTGTGTTTATATGTATGGAGGAGATGTAGTCAAGTAAGATTGGTTGTTGCAAAAAGAATGCCTTTGGGGCTCAATTTTTGGTTGTCTTCCTGTTTTTTTTTTTCTTTCTTTCTTTCTTTTGGGACTGTCTTTGGTTTGAGTTTTTTCTTCTTTTTTTTTTTTTTTTTTTTTTTTTTTTTCGTTCCTTTTCTTCTTCTTAGAAGTCTCTCGTTCTCGTTCTTGTTGTTGTTGTTGTTGTTGTTGTTGTTGTATGTTTGTTTTAGCTTTCTTTTAGTGTTTTAAATAAAAAATAAAAAGTAACTACTTTGGAAATTGACACAAACATAACATACAGTGTCACAAAAAATAAAAGAATTAGATCACTTGACATTATTTACGACATTTGCTTCAAACCCCAGTGGCCAGTTACATCCAACCAGATTACCAAACAGCTTATTCGAGCACTGAGAAGAGATGAAATAGCTCAAGGGGTACATACACGTCCAGCTTTGAGCGGAAGATTACATATGCAGTAAACGTTGTTGTGAGATTACCAGTCGGATCAATGATTATCTCGTAATTTTTATAATCTTGTTTAGTTTTTGTCATCTTATTTGCCATTGGCTCTCCTCTATTGACTAAAGATCTACGAATACCACTTTCACCTGAAGCAAGAAATCACCTCCCATCATAGCCTTCGTTCTCAACAAAGGTGGTGGTGGTGTATTTGTTGAGTGTGTGCAATTTTCCAAAAGTCACATGAACACTTACGTAATAATTGACACATTAACTTACGAGTAGATTATGTAATACAGCCTAGGAGCCGTTTTTTTTTCTTTTTTTTTTTTTTTTTCCCACTTTCTGTGAAATGCGGGTTGAAAGACATTATGTGTTGTTTATTTCTTCCCTTTGTTTTTGTTTTTCTGTTATGGAAGATTCACGTTGACTCGTTATACACTACCAATTTTCTTACACCCCCAATATGCACCCCCATCAATACCATTTTTACGAGTTGAATAGAAAACAAGAGTGGTAAGTGGACTAATCTTTTCCAAGTTACAGGAGCACTAAATTTGTACCAACAATACGCATCAATCCTATTCACTGCTGTCTCATCACCTGTTCTAAAAATATAACACCCCCTATTTTTCTCTTCACCAAAAGAAATGGAATTGAAAGCAGTGAATGGGACACAAAGAAAAATTTTCCATTTTTATTTTTTTCCATTCCATTTACTAGGGGGTGTAAAATGTTACACCCCTTGTTACATTTCTGTGTGTCGTTTAAATTTAGATTTGCAGACTATGTTATATATGTATGCACTTATAGCTACCCAACCCCCACATTTAATTCAAAACAATAGTTTTGCAGTTGAACCTATTGGAAGTAAAGCAAGCTACTGTAGTGGGGGGTGGTGCTACTTCTAGCATATCCACTTCCAAGAATTGGTTTTTGTACAAACCGGTGATATTGCTTCTGCGGTTGTGCGGCTGATATTTCAAACAAACCTCGCACGACACTCTCACATACACCTTTACATTATCGATCACCGCAACTCCAATATAAATATACATTATCATAAAGCTTCACCTATAGATGCAGTTTCTTGCTCTTTTGTCCTCTAAATGAACTGTTGAATCCCAACAAACTGTTTAAATCTTTTGACCACTGATTTTGATTAGTAGCTACACACCATATTCCATTCTTATCATTATACTCTATTCCATCACCATTACTACCCGACACTGATTCTCCATTATTCCGTTTCTGCTTCTTTATCTTATCATTGGCAACAACAACAGTTTCTGAAGTAATGTGCAATTCATCACCTGGATGTAAATCTTTTTGACTTATTCCATCAACGGTTAGCTCAATGAATGAACTACGATTATTTTTTGATAATCGCACCATGATATCTGAAGTACAAGGTAAAATCAATGGACGAAATGAAAGTGATCGAGGACAAATGGGTGTTAGTAAAATACATGCCACTGCTGGATGAGTTATCGAACCTCCAGCTGATAATGAATATGCAGTTGATCCTGTTGGTGTAGAGAAGATTAACCCGTCAGCATACGTGGTGGTAAAGAACTCATTATCAATGTAAATATCCAATGATGTCAAGTTGGGAGAGCTTCCACGGTGTATTGTGATATCATTCATGGCATGAATCATTTCTTGTTTTTCCACAGTCACCACTTTGTCATCTGCCTGGAGGGCATCTTCTTGACTTTCAACTTCAACATACAGTCTCTTCTTATTCCTCACTAAAGCAACTTCTACTTCCTCTTTTTCAGCTCTTTCACACGTTTTGGGATCGGCATTTCTAACCACATGGCATTCCAAACGATTTCTATGCAATGCCTGAGCTCTATTTTCGTAAACCAAGGCAAAGCACTGCATACAGTTTTTGAAATCAAACGGTAAAAGGAACCCCAAAGTACCCATTGCAAATGATAAAACAGGAGGAACTTGAACATTGGAGAACAACGAAACACCACGTAAAATAGTTCCATCACCACCAAGAGTAATCAATAAATCAGTCTTGGGAATAATCTCCTTGGTAGTCCCCGTATAAACTACATGTTTCACTGATGAATCCAATTTATCATCAATACAAGTTGTTTCATTAGCCAACTCATCAGCAACATTTTCATCAACAATAACATTGACACAGGGGTATTGTACATGTAAGCGATTAATCAATTCAACCGTGGCATCACGAACACTGGGTTCCCATGGTTTCTTCACTATAAATACATTTGAAGGGGGATTTTCACTCCATACGATATTGTATAATCGATTATGTGGTGATTTTATATACTCGGGAAATCTCGCTGTTGGCAAGTCACGACATGACTTGATGATTAGTTTAGATTTGTCCAGTGGCATAGTTGTCAGATGAGAGATGAATTGTCTTTGTTGTAGAAGAAGTAGTCTGTGATTGGGGAAACTCGGTAGATGATGTAACTTGATTGTGGTGGATGTTAGACTATTATATAGTTTATGTGGTGATAACCTTGGCAAAGTAAAATAGCGGCTGATAATCATTCGATATTATATGCAATTTTGAAAATCTTTAAAATAATGCAACGCCTTTTTCCATGAATGTATTGGTCTCCCGCAATGTGTGCCTGTTGTGTTTTGCCGGATAAATCCCTTCCTTTTTTTGCAATAAAATCCGCTTTCTTTGTCAATGTTCTTTTGAAAGAAGAAACGCCGCTCCGGGGCGCTAAACTTTTTCTCTCTCTGTTCAACTTTTTTTTTTTTTTTTCTGTGCGCAAATTGTGGAGTGACTTCGTGAAAGTTTTATCGCAATGAGTAGGGGAGGGGGAGATTTAGAAGTTTGGCTCTACGTCTAAATTGGTCCTAATAATACAGTGTATACTTTTTCTTTTCTAAACTACAAATTCACCTATTCTACCTGCTTCAATGCAGCTTCATTCATGGCTTCGATTTCCTTCAACTCTTCCTCCGTCAACATTGAAACATCAACAGTTTCATCTTTAGTCTTGTCATCCTCAATAGTGTTATTCTGCGTGTCATCTTTGTCATCTTCATCCATTTTGACATCTTCATCTACGGCAACAGTAGTCTCACCATTATTGCCCCCCTCGCTTTTGCCATTTTCCTCAATATTCTTTTCCCCAGCATCTTTATCATCCTCTTCATAAAACTCATTGTCTGGTTGGATTTGTGTATCTCGACTCATTTCAGATCCACCTTTAGTATCAATTGCTTCGGCATTGTCTTCCTCAACATCACCTAAATCTTCAGGATCATTAGGCACATTGTTCATTTGTACCGATGGTGCATGTTTGGTGTTTTCCAAATTGGTAAAAATACTCGTCATGATCTTGTCTAAAAATTCGGGTGAGTTTTGATTATACATGTTTGATGGACGCACCTCCAATGTATAGTTTGGCGCATAATATTCATAATATTCATTGTATGGCAACTCTGCTGGCAACTTCACATTGTTTAATAACCCCGATTCATAAGCCCATGTTCTGGCTACATTTCTCATGGTGTATCCACCACCACCCAACACCATCAATGGAATATTCAATGATTTAACAAAATTGATACAATTGGCATGACCTTCCATTGAAAGGTTGAAACATCCCAATCTGTCACCACTCAAAGAGTCACCACCACATTGTAGAACAATGGCTGATGGTTGATACCACTCAACAATTTTAGAAATCACTGGTTCAAAAATGGACTTGTATGTAGCATCATCAATTCCGTCTCTTAAAGGAACATTAACACTGTGGTATTTCCCCTTCCCCACTCCAATATCTCTCAATTCACCAGTACCGGGGAAAAACTCACCATACTTGTGGAATGAACATGTCATTACTCGATCAGTCGTATAAAATGCCTCTTCAACACCATCACCATGGTGAACATCAATATCAATGTACAACACTCGTGGATGATATCTCAACAATTCAATTATACCCAATACGATATCATTCAAGTAACAAAACCCTGAAGCTTCTGATTTCTTTGCATGATGCAATCCACCAGCATAATTGATGGCAATATCACACTTGCCTCGATTCAATCTTGCGGCACCTTCCATTGATCCACCACCGCTAATTCCACAATACTCAAACAACCCATCAAATACCGGACAATCGTCACCTACATTAAATTTGACGCTTTCTTTATTAAACATGTCCAAATTATCAGGAGAAACTCGACTTATGAAATCGATATACTCGTCAGTGTGGAACTGGCACATTTCTTGCTTCGTGGCTGGTTTAGCACGATAGATCTCCATCTTCTTGTAGAGCCCATAGTTCATTATGAGTGAGTGGGCCATTCTTATACGATGTGGCTTCATTGGATGCCCAGCCCCATAGGCATAGTTTCCTATATCGGCATCGTAAAAGTACGCTATTCTTTTCTTTTGATTGGGATCCACTTTAAGCTCGTCAAAGGGGAGCTGTGTGTACATTACGGGGACAGGGAGAGGCTAGCTAGTGCAGTGTGTGTTCGTTGATGGGGGTTATGCTCTAGGGTGATTGCTGGCGTGAAACTTTTTTTTTTTTTGTTTACCAATTCTTCGATAATGCCGACTTCACGAAGATTTTTTCGAAAGAGAATTCCCATTAACACATCTATACCTCTACATAAGTTTCTCTCTCCCTTCTTACTCTATCTTTGAAACTCAGTAATTGCTCATTCAACTGATTCTGTAGCTCAGCATTATGACACCATTTCTTATAAACCTCGTCATTGATTTTGAAATTGATGCCATTCCTAAATCCCGCATTGGCAACTTTTTCAGTAACGGATACCGGCAACAACCACGTCCACCATCCATCACCAAACACTTCCTTGAAATTTCGCCGTTTACCAAGATCAAATATATTTGACAATTTCTTTTGTTTCCCATTGGCATCAAATTCATAATTGTATCGATCAATACCACGATAGTTCCATCTCTGTTCTTGAAATTCAATCGTTGTGGTGTTTTTGCTAATCATGTATAAGGAAAAAGCAGCGAATAATCCTAATGATATACCAAATGTTAATGATAGTACACATAGGAGGATCAAGTTTATAGAAATGTAATCTTCTTGGTATTTGTCAGTAGCGAAAATATCATACAAGATCTTGAAAGTAATTCCGAATGCAATCCAACAATATGCTGCTGTATAATACAAGAACTGAACGAAAAACTTATAGTTGAAGTACCCAATACATATGGAAAACCAAGGACAATAATGATCCATTTTCAAAATACACTTCCCCGATTTCGAACAATGATGAGTGCGATCAGGTTTCCAACAATTACATTTACCGCAATACCGGAATCCCTGGTTCCCTCCAAGTTTCAATGTATGCACAGTCATGAACTCAGGCGGTTCTTGATTTGGTCTTGGACCAGTGGTGCCGTTCAAGCCACGACTATCATCAAATGGATTTTCCGAAAAATGGTCAATTTTCAACTGTGGGTAGTCCAAGGGAGACCCAGGACCTGTATGTATAGTTCTGAAATACGCAATCATACAAAGGGTAAATAGTAGTATGGCTATGCTTGACTGTATGTACAATGCGAATTGTGATTCAGTGTAATTGGGCACAATCACCAACATGACATACAAAGACCATGCCATGGTTCCTGATACGAATAATTTGGGGAAAAGCGAGGCAAATATGCAGCAGTATTGCTCGCATGACATGAGGAACGTATTTTGTTTGAGCATCCTCATGTGGTGGTTGACTTCCCCAGGTTGCTTTGAATTACACGGATAAATCATAGTTTTCTTTTGTTTCCGCTTTTGGTGTGATTAAACTTTTGTCCGAGATTGCCAATGTCGTGAATTTCCTCACGACATTAAAAACGCCACACCACTAATGAACCCCATGCATAAAGTTATTGCAGAGATATCCACGCAGTGAATTGATCCAATAGAGTATCATTCGAGTATAGACGAAAAAAAGAGAATTCAGTATTGAGAGCAATATATTAGCCCAACCACCTTTCCAGCAAACTCCAAAAGTTAAACCTTCATGGAAAATAATTCAGGTGGGACCCACTTCACAAACAACCCATCAGACTACTCACTCTGCTTTACATATGATTGTGTGATGCATAAAAGTTAATCCATCTTTCAGTCGATCGTAAATACTTGACAGATGGGCGCAATAATGCCATAAATTGATCCATTTTGGTTTCATTTATGCAATCATTACCAATTAAAGACAATTCACGCAAGTTATTGTGCTCAACTCCATTAAAGACGTGACCGATGGATGCCATTGAAAACTGAGTCAGTTTTTTATCTTTCAAAGAAAGGGCTTTGAGATTTGTGTTTGAGCCCGCTGAGAATGTTAGTTGAACTTTTTCAATTTCTTTGCTTGATAAATCCAATTGTTCAATTGCTGTGGTGATGAATTCACAGGTTGCAACTTTGATTGGATTTCCGCTAATTCGTAAAACTTTCGAGTTTTGTAAATACCCAAGCATCAGGGGGGATTCGAACAAGTTCACGTTTTTTAATCAGAATTTCTTCGATGTTGTTTTCCGTTTTTGCAACCAATGTCGTAAAATAGAATGTTTTGACACGCTATGCTACACTCTATTGTTTTTATTTTTCTGTCCAATCAACAAATTTTGAATTTTGCTTAACAAACAAAACAAAATACACAATCCAAAAAACAGAGAGAGAGAGAGAGAGTTGAATTTTTTTTTTCTTTTTCCCTTTTGCTTTAAACAGTATCATTAGCCAACACAGTATTACCCCCGTGGTGTTCTTTAATTGCCATTTACTTATAGAGGTTACAAATCATTAACCAAGCACTTTACTGGAAACAGAAACCACGGCACTTTTAGCTTATTACCTTACACATATTCCAGTACCCACAAGGTCTACACCAACTACAAATAATGTACTCATTAAACAAAACATCCATGCTTAGACAGTTAGGTCAAATAAGGCCGATCAGATCAGCATCTCCATCCATAAGACAACTCCCATCTTTATACCAAACTATATCCAAACGTAATGTATCCTCGAAAGAGTTGACTCCTAAACAATTACCAACTGATTTCCCATTAATGTCAGAAAAGACTGCATCAAGTCCAATAGATTATGCATTAACTTCATTGGATGCTATAGCAAATTGGGCTAGAAAATCATCATTTTGGCCCGTCACTTTTGGGTTGGCATGTTGTGCAGTAGAGATGATGCATGTTTCAGCACCAAGATACGATCAAGATAGATTGGGTATTATTTTCAGAGCTTCGCCACGTCAATCAGATATTATGATTGTTGCTGGAACATTAACCAATAAGATGGCACCAGCATTGAGACAAGTTTATGATCAAATGCCCGATCCAAAATGGGTTATTTCTATGGGTTCATGTGCTAATGGAGGTGGATACTATCATTACTCATACTCAGTTGTAAGAGGATGCGATAGAGTTATTCCCGTTGATATATATGTACCTGGATGTCCTCCAACTGCAGAAGCTTTGATGTATGGGGTTTTCCAATTACAAAAGAAGATGATGAAGACTAGAATCACAAGATTGTGGTACAGAAGCTGATTTTGGGAGAGGAGCAAGAGTTGTAGCAGTATATAGGTTAATACTATATCATATTTAAAAGTCATGGGATTAATGGAGCTATTTGTAGAGGAAGCCTCCTTGAGGATTCACGTGATTGAACTTAGGTACTTTACACGACCTTGTATTTTTAAAAAAAAAAAACACATGACCAATATTGTCGCAAATGTATTTTTCGACACACTACAGAAAAAAGTTTAAGGACATGAGATAACGCAACTTTCAATTTTTATTTTTTTTGTGTGAGGGTGGGGGGGTAATCGCTTGTGCTGCCACATGTGATTCTCAGTCGGAATGACTCGCACACACACACACACACACGCACACACACACACACACAACATACACACACACACATTTAATTTTTAAAACTTTGGCTTGTTGCTTGTTCTGTTTGTTACAACAACAGAAAAAAAAAAAAAAAAAAAGAATACTACAAGAATTTCATAAGCAAGACAACGTCACACACTCCTTTACTTTTCCGATATCGTTTTTTTGTCTATAGTAAATAGTAACCAATTTCCTCTGTAGTCTCTTTTTGTTTGCACACAACAACATAATAAAAAAAATTTGCCCTCACACCCCCTCACACCCCTTTTTCCCATTACTTTTCTTCTTTTGGTCTGATACAACACAACACAACACATCACAACTTAGTAAAACATGGCCAGAACTAAACAAACAGCAAGAAAATCCACTGGTGGTAAAGCACCAAGAAAACAGTTGGCTTCCAAAGCAGCTAGAAAATCAGCACCAGTTTCCGGTGGTGTCAAGAAACCACACAGATACAAGCCAGGTACCGTTGCCTTGAGAGAAATTAGAAGATTTCAAAAATCTACTGAATTGTTGATTAGAAAGTTGCCTTTCCAAAGATTGGTTAGAGAAATTGCTCAGGATTTCAAATCTGACTTGAGATTCCAATCGTCTGCTATCGGTGCTTTGCAAGAAGCTGTTGAAGCTTATTTGGTTGGTTTGTTTGAAGATACTAACTTGTGTGCTATCCATGCCAAGAGAGTTACGATTCAAAAGAAGGATATCCAATTAGCTAGAAGATTGAGAGGTGAAAGAACTTGATTGTGAGAGAAAGCTATTGCGACAGCGATGCTGTTTTATACATTCTCCCTTTTCTTTTTCACTTCTCGTTGATGGGTTATATTGATTGTATAGGTTAATTTGATACCTTGTTCTTTTTCAAAAGAAAATGTGTAGAGATTATTGAAATGAGCAACTTTTTTATTGTAAATGTATACCCTCCTTGTGCCTAGTAGTAGAGTTTTATTCCATCTTACCAATACCCTATCCCTGTTACCTATATTTATCCTTTTACGTCCCTTATCTTGTCTCTCTCTCTCTCTCTCTCCCTCCCTATGATCCATCATCAGTATTCAAGTTTATCTTATTCATTGAGTTGATCAAATGCTCATCTTCGTTCTGCTGCTGTTCCCCATGATATCCATACAGAAAAGATTTATCACCAGGTGGACCACGTCGACTTGCAACTTCATCTTCCTTGCCACTTCCCTTTACGGGAGTACTTGTATAGGAAGGTTCACTCTCACCGGTCCCCACTCCCGCTCTTGTGCTTGATGTTTCTATAGATTCCCCTTCCTCCGATGATTGTGGTGGAATGTTACTATCATATGAAGGAGCATATTGATGTCCTGCAACATGTATACCCATAGACGGCGGAGGCGGAATCGGTGGCATGTTTATTTGAGGACCAGGACCAGGGCCAGGACCGGGACCAAGCATATGTGGTGGAACCTGATGTGGATGTGACTGAGGCATCACAGGAGGAGGAAACCCACCAGCAGCGGCAGCAGCAGCAGCGGCAATGGCTGAAGCTGGATCCATACCCATGGACAATGCCGCCGCTACTTGCATTTGGGCAGCTTGTGCAACCTGCTGTTGCTGTCGTTGATACTTTTTGTTATTCACTGACACTTTACCCCAACTCAATCTGACTCTATTGCCACCAATTATAAACCCTTGCATGGCTGCAATCGTCCTCTCTGCTTCTTCTCGTGTAGAATACTTGACAAACCCACAATTTTTACCTGGAGGGATCTTAATTTGTTGAATAACCCCAAAAGGCTTGAACAATGTAAACAATGTTGCTTCTGTAACCTCCGATGATAACCCACCGACAAAGACAGTTGTATTGTTTGGATCAGAAAATTGTGGTTGCAGTATCTGTGGGTGTTGCTGTAGTTGCAGTAGTTGTTGCTGCTGCTGCTGTTGTTGTTGTTGTTGTTGCAGCAGCTGCGGAAGAGTTTGGAGAGGCAGAAACGGTAACGATTGAGGCATAAAAGGCTGTCCTTCACTTTGTGGATCATGGACCGAAAAATTATTGTCAAAATCTGGTGGCAACTGCATTGCACCAGGAGATCGATCATTACCCATTGAATTGAAGTAACCAAACAACGGACTACCTCCAATTTGCGGTTGTGGTGCGCCAGGTGGAATAAACATCATTTCTGGTGGCATTGCCACCGCCGCTGCCGCCGCCGCAGCTGCAGAACCAGGGTCTGGACTATAATAACCACCATGCAGGGGCGCAAATGGGATATTAGTACTGTTGTTGTGGCTATTATTTGGTTTGCTAAACTTGCGATAATTTGTGCTTCTGGGTGTGGCAAGAGCTACACGTAAAGGTCTTCCAGCAAACCAAACCCCATTCATTTCCGTCAATGCTCTTTGTCTTTCCAGCTCTTCAGTGAATCTAACAAATCCAAAACATCTTGATTTCCCTGATATCGGATCGGTCATAACCCTCACAGTTTTGATTGAATTGGGGAACCTCTTTTGGAAAAACGCCAATAAATGAGCTTCAGTAGTAGATGCTGACAAATCACCAACAAACAATGAATATTCTGGCATTTGAACAATGGGCGCACTCAATGTTGCACCACTAGCCCAATTCAACCTAAAGTACTTTTTCTGATTATCCGGATTATTCGGGTATAGTTGTTGTGAAGGCATGGCGATATCCGGCAACAACTGTCCATTCAAGCTCAATGCTTGTTGTGCATCTTCAAATGATTCAAATTCAACAAAGCAATAACCCGAATTGGTCAATCCTTGCAATTGTGGATCAAGTTTCAATGCTTTTGGTTTAATAATTTTTACACCAACTTTCTTTTTGAGCAAATTCCACCAAAGATCGGTTATTTGTTGTTCATCTAGCCACGAGTCCAAATCACCCATCCATAAAGTTCTAGGTTGCTCTATTACGGCCCCTCCACTACTACCACTTCCACCACTTCCACCACTTCCACCACTTATCAGTTCTTGCTCCGCCGCAACCGCATTTGATTGTGTTGTTGAAACTGGCGGATTGGGCACCGTGTATTCCGAAAGTAGTTCTTGTTCTTGTTGATGTTGATGGCTAGCGGTGCTTGATATCGTATGAGGGTTTATCGATTGCGTATTGGGGGTAATGTTGTTGTACATTTCTTCTTGTGTCAGGGGAAGCGCGGTGGTGGTGGTTGTGGTGGCGGTAGTAGAGCTGTAATTTACCGATTGGGGTTCAACTTCTTCGGGCTGATAGCTCTTGTTGTCATGGGAATGAGGAGGATGCGCCATGCTATAACTCTGCTTCGTTTATAAACTCTCCCGATTCTTTTTTTTTGGCTTTATTTACTGGTGGTTAGTGTGTCAACTGCAAAGGTGTATATCCGTGAAATAAGTTGCGATTCAAGGGATAAGGGAAATCTTTAGAGTTTTGGAGTTACAAATTAGATTTTTGTGTGTGTAATTTTTCTGTTTCTTCGGTCGGGGTTTACGAATTGAGTGAGTGCAAACCAATTTTTTTTAGAGCCGATTTTGAGCTTGACCCACTTTGTTGTTACAATAGCGAACAGCATACAAAGGCAAGAGGGAAGCCAAAATTACCATTGCAACTGGCTTTTGGGTAAAGGGGTGCGTGGTTCACGCGATTGGTTTGCTCGACTAGATTTGTAAAATGAGTAACTGGGGTGAGTTGAGATGATTTGAGATGATGATAGGGATATTTGATAGAATTGATCAATTAGATTGCAAAAGAGCTATAGGCACACTCGAGTGAGCTACTATACATGTGGGACCTTGGTGGATCATTGAAGCTTTGAAATGATTCATGCTTAATAAAAGGTGTCTTTGCTCCTAGATTGCACCAGGGATGTAATGCCTGCTGTAATCTTGACAGAGTGATCCAGCAATTGTACATAACAGCCTCTGTCCCATTTATCTATTATGATTCTGCAACTAACTCCGGATATCAAAGTGCGCTTGAACACAATTCATATCTAATGCTAGGTTTAACTTATGATTCTATCAAGTGCTATACCACCCCAATATCACGAGCTATAGAGTGATTCAATGGGCTGCTCCAACTATAATTGCCCACCCTATTGTGAGCTCTGGGGTTGGGTGGTGATCGATAAGTTTACTTTGATATGCTTAGTTGCGAAAACAAGTGACTGCTTTTTGTGTCTCTTTTTAATATGATCTTCTTCTGCTTTTTTAAAAATGTAAACAAAAGACCAAAATCAACTTTTACAACCAAAACAACAATTGACGTACAAAGAACACAATGGTTCTCGATGACACCAGTGCAGTTGATTTGAAAATGGGAGACAAAGTTAGAGACCAACGGGAAGCTAATTTGAAAAGAACTGTAAGTTCAAAAGAGTCCATGTCTAAGGAGAATCAACCAGAGGCTACTTCAAACCACCAAACCTCACAACCCTCATTTTTTAACCCTCGACAACCATCAGTATACCAAAAACAGTTAAAGTATGTGCCAAATACAAACTTTTCAGGAAATAAGAGCTCACTTTTGGTACATGACAATGAAGATTCTCCCCAACCTTCTGTCCCAAACACATTTCATCACAAATCTCATCCAAATGCAAGGTCAAAAGAATTGGGTGGAAGCAGACTTGTTGATGATGATCAGCATAGTTCGCTGCATCAGAGTTCACATTTTTCAAAAATTTTTCCTCAGGGGGTGCCAGAAGAGTTGAATGAAAAATGGACTCAACCTTCAACCACCGAAAACCCAAGCACCAATTCAAAGGACAACTTTTTAAATCAAAAGATTAGATCCATGGAGTTTCAACCTAGCAGTACGGTAATTCACAATTCTGATATTCAAATGAATGAAAATCTTCCATGGCGATCAGCAATCGAAAGTCCAGCTGGGAAAAACTTGCAAGATAGGTTTCACGACTCCAAGGAGATGTCAAACAAAGAGACAACCGCATCTTCTGTAACCTCCACGCCAGTGGGTACAACCCGAAGAGTTTCATCCACACTGTACCCAGTGGCCATTGATTTGAACCAATTCAAGCCAGTATCTCCCTTGAAACTATTCAAAGAAAACTATGATACATACACAAGGGACAAGCTCGAGGGAGTGTTACAGGGCGTTTCCAAGGCAAATACCCCAGCGCAAGCTAATGTCCGACCAGACTCTAGAGAACCCAAGTTACAAAAACCTGCATTGATTGAAAATTTGCAAGCGTCGAATATACCGCCGAAACTAAGCATCAAGGATTTCACCAAGACAGATTCCTATACTACCAACGCATACAAAGAGAATGCAGAAAATCTATTCTCCAAGCTTGTTCAAAAGGGTCACAAGTGGAATATTGAACGAATGAGGAGCGTTTCCAAAGAGACGGCAACATCGACCCCAAAGAGGACTCCACTGCAACCCGTTGATGATCATGATAGCCACTATGCATCATTCAGTACAGGGTACAGCTCTGAGGGAAACAGTGTCCCAGTTGATGCAGTGAATGAGAATAACCGGCTTTCCAACGAATTCACTTCCATTACCAATGACTCTGAGAGCCGCAGCGAAATGAAGGTAGATGAGATGAATTCAGACGTGACATTTGAATCACAGTCTGAGATGGTGGAGGAATTGAATGACATGCAAAGATCCATGCATACGCAGGACTTTGAACTGGGCGGTGGGAAACTTACATCATCGAGGACTCTTGAAAGCGACCAACTGGATCAACTTGAATCGTTGAACATGGATGGAGAAATAGAAGATACGATGGGAACCATAAAATTGAAGCCAATCAACAAATTGCGAAGCGACTTCATTACACCTCTTGTGAATGGAAAAATGGAGCCAGATATATGTTTATCTCACGATTACCCGGGTATGTTTTTTGATCCTGTCAATCTTAAATGGATCAGTACGGACTCACAAAATAAAACATTGGATAATATAGCCGACTTGACTGACAATGAGGTGGAATTGCCGGGCATTTTGAAAAAAGAAAACTCAAAAATGAGAAAGAACAACTTTGAAGTATCATTTCAGGAGCCCAATTCATTCAGTCAAAGCTTTGACAAACATGAAGATGGAGTTGTTGTGGGTGATGTCACAAAATTATCCCAATTGGTTGACACTTCCTTTTCCGAATCTCGAAAGAAGCTAGTGTCTACCTTGAATCGAGTTTTGGAATTAAAGCTAGGCGTTTCTTCTTGGCAAGATGTTGAGGAGACAGATTTGTCTCGCTGCGAGTTGAGCTCCCTCGTGGACTTGTTTGAGTTCTTGCCCAAGTTGAAAAAGTTGAATGCAGCAGGCAATCACATAAAATATTTGGCTGGTTTACCTCATAGTATTGTTGATCTTGATTTGTCTGGAAATGAGGTTGAAGACAGAAGTTCGTTTCGTGAATTGAGAGATTTGCATCGTCTCACGCTTGACCATAATATTTTGACAGAAACAACGAATTTTTCCCGAAACATCAACTTGACGGTGTTGAAGCTATCGCATAACAAGATTGATGATATAAGCGGCTTGCAAAAGTTGTCGAATTTGTTTTACTTAGATTTGTCTTTCAACAAGCTCAAAAATTTGAATATGAAAAGATACGAGTTGACCAATCTCCAGGAATTGAACGTGTCTAATAATTTGATTGAAACGATAGAGAGTATCGACCACCTTCTTGCTTTGAGGATTTTGAATTGTAATAAGAATCGAATATCAAAAGTGGATTGTGCTAATACCGGATTGAGAAAATTGTTGATCAACCAAAACAATTTAAATTGCTTGGATCTCAAGGGTATGAGGCAATTATTATGTGTGAAGTTTGATGGTAATGTGATTACTCAGTTGGAGTTTCCCCGACGTAACCTTATTGAGCGGGCATCTATGAAGTCACAGCCATATATGAGCCGAATTTGGGGTGAATCTGTTCCACTTTGTGATCAATTGAGGTCGTTGGATTTATCAGGTAATCGATTGTTGCCAAACTGTGCATTCCCGTTCATAAATGAGTTGACTTTATCTGCCATGAATTTGACTCACTTGCCAGCTAACTTTGCCAAGTTGTTTCCAAATGTACAATACTTGAATTTAAATTTCAACAAGTTGGAGTCTATTGAACCATTATCTCCTTTGGCAAGTTTGAAAAAAGTGTGGTTAGTGAGCAACAACTTGACTAACTTTTACCTCACCTTGAAACATCTCAAAAATTCGAGTGACAAGTTGGTTTTGCTTGACCAGAGATTGAATTCATTCAATGGATCATTTTATGACTTTGTATTCACACCTAACGAGGCTGAAGTTGAGATTGATTTGGCAACAGTGGAAGACATAGAGGTGTTTACGGAAAGGTTGGATGAATTGAATTGTACCCATGAATGGGAGGCACGAGATGAAGCATTTCAACAACAGTTGGAAACCAGGAGGGAGATGCGTACCATAAAGGCAAGAGAAGTATATCAAAGTTCAACGATTATGTTTTTCAAACGGTTGAGAACCCTTGATGGCATCCACATCTCCAATGCTTACAGATATGATGCTTATGTTTTATATAGAAAATTATTTCCCAAGGGTGGCTGAGTAGAGAAATATGGATAGAGTTGTGAAGGAATTTTAGGGCGAGGAACTCTGCTGTAGCTTACCCTGTGTCCCTTCATGTGGAAAATCGTCGCATCACCAGCGGAAGCAGGTCACATTATGCTCGTGTGCCATTAAAGAAATCGCCCATGGCTAATCTGCAAACACGAACTCCCTCAAACTCAACAAAGATGGTAATATCCGTATTAAATAAAGTATCTCTCCTAGTCCTATGTATCCCGCAACCACTACCTCTCTCCCTCTAAGCCCATTGCTTCTGTCCCTCTCGTCTATGCTTATCAAAATTGCGCTCAATGACAGAAAAAGGCACAAGCAACAAACAATCGTCACAGAAGAAAAAAAACAAACCAAAATTAAAATCAAAAATGTTCATCGATGTCAATTTCAAAAAAAATCTTTGCTAAAAAAGTTGAAATTATCTCCTTAAAGATCTACTGCAACAATGAACGGTGAAGGATGGTACGTGATACAAAACTATACTCCCCCATTCCTATTTCGAGCATGGAACTAACAACTGAGAACCTAGGTTATTTATTCTTGCGGTTGTTGTCAATGCCGTTAACTTGTTTTCCCAAGTGTTTTTCACAATCATGTACTCTGATTTAGAGTGTGACTACATCAATCCTATCGAATTATGTAACAAGTTGAATCCTTGGTTTATCCCTGAAGCAGGCTTGCATGCTTTCATAGCATTGTTGTTTTTGGTCAATGGTTATTGGTTTTGCTTTTTGCTCAATTTGCCATTGTTGGCTTACAATGTCAACAAGTTTTACACCAAAAATCATTTGTTGGATGCTACTGAAATATTCAGAACATTGTCAAAGCATAAGAAGGAGAGTTTTCTCAAGTTGGGATTCCATTTGGTGATGTTTTTCTTTTACTTATATAGAATGATCATGGCATTGGTCAAGGATGACAATTGATCGAGAGACGGAATAGCGTTAGACCAGTAGGAACGTCCGGTGATGTTGCTGGTAGTGGTGGTAGTGGTGGTAGTGGTGGTATTTGTTTGTTTGCTCAAGGGGTGGAATATGTTACAAACGTGTATTAATACATCAACAATTTCGAGAGATAAGTGTAGAATCTCAGCTATTCACTTATATGGCCAGTGTATATCACTCCTGGAGAAACCGTCTCTTCTTTCTCGTTTCCAATTCAAAGTTCTGCCTCCTTTTCTTTTAATTTTTCATTAACAACATTCAATTTCGAAGCAACCCCTACTTCGGGGTTAAGAAGCAATCTTAAATTGTTCAATTGCCCTTCAACGGTATCCAGGTAATTCTGCGTTGGAGGAGCGCTCTCCTGTACTTGTTGTTTCAAAGTGTTCATTCGTTCGTGTATCGACGTAATCCAATCATGTTCGAATTTGCTTTTGCTCTCTTTCTTTTTCATTCCAGCCAATTCCGTTGCTATTTGTTTGCTTTGACGCTTCAGCTCCACAATCATTTGTCGTAGTTTAGCTTTTTCCTTTTGTATCTTTGAGATGTACATTGCTGTTTGATTGAGGTGTGCCGTCTTGTCTCGAAGTTGATCAATTGCTTCTAAGACGTGATTCTTGAATTGATCAATATAAGGAGCATCTGTTTTGAAATCATCGATCAAGCTTCGTAGAATTTCCAAAGCACCAATTGCTTTTTTGTCTACAAGCTGTTCAATTCCATCTCCTTGATGATGACTTTCACTAAGAATGAACTCTCGAATTGGATCCAAATCAATAGTGAATGGCATTGCCAGAAACTGGCGAATTTGTTTCAGTGATTCACGGGCCAAAACTGGAATTTCAGTTAATACAGCATCAAGTGGTGTCTCAGAATCACTGCTGCGCAATGATGTTGAATCATGCATTGGCTTGACCGATGAACGTCGCTTGCGTCCAGCTGCTCTATTCTTCTTCGGCCTACCTCTTTTACGTCTCTGTGAAGGAGTGTGAATATCCAGTTTCACTTCAGATGATAGACTTTCATGCTCTGCTTCAACATGGGGAGCTCCAGTACTTTGAGCACCCGTGTTATCATCCTCTAATGTTGATTGTGGGTCATCAACAATTTCCAATTTTTGAGCTTGAATCACACGTTTCCTTTCGCATTGGTTAGTAATTACGCGTTAGGCTAATATACAAATTCGATAACATACCCTGGACCCCTTATTCTTGCTAGACGCTGAATTTGTCTCTCATAATTATCAAAGCTACTCATCATATTAAGAGGTTGAATGGAGTAGAGCAAAATGCGCGTCCGGTTTCGAAAAAATATTTGCATCAGTAAGTGCCACCAGAGGTAGATGTCAAGTCTAGATTTTTATTAAACAGAAAAGGGTATCTAGTATAACGTATCAAAAGAATGTCACAAGGTATGTCATACACAAGTGAACGGCAACGATAAAGAAAGAAGAAGAAGAAGAAGCTGCTCTGATTCCATGTCCGGTGTAAGAGCTTGGTGGAGTTGATGTTGTAGGTCCGTTCGAAGTGGTGGGTCCGTTCGAAGTGGTGGGTCCGTTCGAAGTTGTAGGCTCGTTGGTAGTAGTTGATTCAACCGGAGTTGTGGGCTCAATTGTGGGCTCAGTTGTAGATTCGGCAGGGGTAGAACTGCTTCCAAGATTTGGTCCACCAATAATCACTATACCGCCTCCGGTAGCGGTAGTGGCTGAAGAGTCAGTGGTTGTAGACAGTGAATTGCTAGTTCTGGATTCACCAGCAATTGATGAATTGTTGCGTTGACAGCTTGAGGAGACAGTTGAACTGGAGGAGACGGATGAACTAGATGAGCTACTACTCAGGCCAGATCCAAAGGCTGATACTTGAGGAGCATCTTCTGCGGTTCCCGTCCAGCAATATTCTTGGAAACATTTAGCACACTCTTCACTTTGCTCTTCACCCAATCTTTCTTGTTGTCTTCTGATGATGGCACATCCCACACAAGTGGCCCAATTGGAGTCCTCTGTTAAATTACCTCTCGACATAACTTCATATCCATTACGGATAGTTCCAGTTTTTTCTGCATTGTCGTAGGCTAACTTAAAGGTTGAAAAGTTTGCTAAATAAGATTCGTGGTGATTGGACAAGTAAACTATCAAAGGAACATCAGTTTCATTCAAGTCCTTTTCATCATGAAACTCAATAATGTTGGATAAAGCAGAGGCATTGCAACCAAAAAAAATTGGCTTCTCTTTCAAGTCTTCACTTAAATATGTGTCAACTGTTGGAACATATGGGAAGGGGGTCCCTTTTCCTTGATTGGTAAATTGCCATTTGTAAGTTTCTGTGAATGATGTTCCGTTGGGCCAGTTTTGTTCAGTGTCTGCACTATTGTCGAAAGCAAAGATGACGTCAACGCCACGATCGGTTTGAATCAATGGATAAAATGGAACATTTTGACCGTTTTCACCACCATCAACTAACGACAAGGTATTGTTATTGACAATAGTATCAATTTGTGCATATGATGATTGAAAGAATGGATTGGGTTTGTAAACTGCTACATCACCCTTGGTGTCAGTTACCACGGACATTATTTGATCGAAAATGGGTCTAAGAACAGTGCTAACGTCGTAATCATCCAAGTTAGCAAAGACCTCATTGAATACGGATGACGAAGTTCCCATGATGAAACCTGCGTTATCGTAATTCCTAACACACTGATGTGATTCTCCATCTTCAAGGCTAGAACCCAAGTATTCGGTATCCACAAACGCATTCAACGTGTCAAAGTTACCCAGCTCGTAAGGTGAAATCTCCACAATAAATGTCAGATTTGAGCTAATCTCTGTATCCTCAATTGTTTTACCGTTAGCGACTAATATAGAATAAGGCATTGAATGGTCTTTGAAACTAGTCAAGTTACGCACGCTGGACCAAGTAAGGTTGGCACCACCACTGGAATCATCCAAGAATTGATGACTCAAAGCCCTACCCCAAATGTCAGTTGCGGAAGTGTTGAACCCAGCCCGGTTTTTGCTAACGATAGCAGTGCCAACTCCAGTGTAAAATCTAGCCAAAGTTATCAAATCGCCAGAATTTGGATTCAAAATGGAAGCCTCAAGGTCCCAGATTTGCGAAGATCCGTTCAATATATTTTCAACAGAAATCCAATCATTCAAAACTAATGTGCCAACCATCCATGATCCACCTGAAAGTCCAACTAAATAGGTGGACGCTTGCAAAAGACCACCTAAGGCATTTGTGTTTGAATCTTCAAATCTGTTATCAAGAGCCAAAATCGATCCTGCACCTGCTAACATAGCTCTGTATCCGCCACCTGAAAACGACAAACCAATTGTTATATTGTGTTCATCTGAATTATCGTTGATGAACGATTCAGCATCAAAGTTACTCAAGTTGGCTCTGTTGTTTAAAAAGCTGATCAAAAATTTGTTCGTCTGCTCTTGCTTAGCTTCAATGTAGTTCTTCTCCCCCTCAGATAAACCGTCACCTTCACGAACAAGAACGTCTGCAGAACATGTGACATTCACCGGCGAGTACGGATTTGCAACACCGTCACCATCTGAATTCAGCTCTGTCTCATCTGTGGATTGAGCTTGAGATGAGCTTCCACTCGACTCTCCTCCAAATATACCTCCGAGCCAACCCCCAAATGGTGATTCTGAATTAGTCGATGCTGCCGGTATCGATAATGACGCAGATTGCGATGAGCTTCTTTCACTTTGTGAGGTAGAAGAAGGCGCCGGTGTGCTGCTTGCTTGAGTTGAACTGGTTGATCCTCCCAATAAACCAGCATACCATGGTTGACTAGATGATGTGGGTGTTGTGGTACTAGAAGCCTCCGTTACGACACTTGACAGTTGTTGTTGACTTTGTTGCTGCTCGGTAGACGAAGATTGAGCTGAGGTGCTGGTTGCACCTCCAAAAATGCCTTCCCACCATGGTGTCGAAGGTGTGGCACCCAATGTATTCTCCTCTTGTTGAAATGGCCATACTGCAGCAAAGACCGTGGCGAGTAAGTAAATGTATAGTAGAATATAGCGTTGCATTGGTTGATTGATGAGAGAAAGAGAAACTAAAAGTAGGTGTCAGACGTCCATAATATATATTTATATATTCATTCTTACCGTTGACAGAGCCGTGCCATTAAGATTTTCTTGAATTGCGGGTTCCTGTATTTTTGTTTAGAAACTTCTTTACCCCATTTGGAGAATTAATTCAAAGATTGCTGCTTGAAGAGATGCATAAAATACACAAACTGCAAAATGGATTAACTTTTTAATGTACGAGAGACTAACTCTTTAAAAAGACATGCCTCTTCCTGAAGAGTTAAAGAAAGAGGTAATAGCTGAAACAATCACGAATAGCCGCCTCGTATTCTCGTAGGTTGCTCTAGAATCAAAAACCCTATGATCGATTTCGAACTAGAGTAAACTTGCATTATAAAAATAGACTTGCAGAAGGGATAGATCGATGTCCAGTGATGTGCACTTTTAGTTGTACCTCGGTAATGTGCCACATGTCATTGATATATACCTATCGGTTTGTTTATCCGGTTAGACAATTCCAAAAACTAGCTCGTCATTAAGGGTTAGTTTTGAAAAACGTTAAGGGGGAAACACAATAACACTATTCTTTCCTAATTAGGAAAGATTGGTAAAAGTACAATAATGTGGTTTTGTGGCACATATCAAATCAGACAGAAGTTCTGGAACAAGCCACCAAAGAGTCCATTCACAGTCACGGGTGTTGATCTTAGTTGTAGTTGGAGTTCCGCCCGAAATGTGACATGCTTGAGATTGTTAGCGAAGTTTCCTCGTCGGAAACAGAAGTCTTTGTGAGACTAAATTTGTCTGCGTAGCGCCAGGCTTCGTCGGAGATACACCTTATCGAGAAACCCCACTTCTCTGAAGAGAGCCCATCTGCAGTAGAGATCACTCTCGTAGTATGATGCAACACAGGGCTATCGCTATTCATGCACTACAACTTTACTCCACAGCAAAAAATCAACAAATTTGCAATTAATGAATCAACTATAAATCTATTGAGAAAAACTTTCCAACAAAATGTTTCTTTCGTCAGAATCTTGTCCCCAGTTCTTAATGACAACACATGAAGCACCAACAACTTTTCTAGCGTTTCCATCTTGGTCCAATTTGCATAAACCAGCCCATTCACCGAGAAGCTTGGCATCAGAAACCTTGATAAGTGGAATCTTTTCTTCTGGTTCGTTACAGAGAGCTTCAATCAACTTAATGATAGCCTCCTCAGTAACTGAGTCACAAAGGACACAGAGTTGAGCTTCACGCTTGGACAAAGCTCTTGAAGCTTCACGTAAACCTCTAGCGAGACCATCGTGGACCAATGAGTTTCTCAAGACAACCTTCAAAGCGTCTTCAATTGAAACTGATGATTCAGCAACAACTTGTTCGGTTTCAACTTCAACTTCGATATCAGACATTGTTAAATTCCTATGTTTGGTGTTTTATGTGATAAATACTGCTCTGAACCTGTTGGTCTTCGTCGTCAAGTTTTATCTTAGTCTGAAAATGGGAGAAGGGGAAGAAGCGTAGAAATTGTAATAATTTTCACTCGAGAGAGGAAAGTGATGTGAGAAGAAAAAAAAAAAAAAAAGTAGGGACACAGCCCTATTTTGTTTGTTCTCACGTGATTAGGTCAGTCATCGATTGAGACACAACCAAAACTTGAAGTTTACAACTAAAATACATAATACTTCAAAGCCAACTGGGGTGATATTATTAAGCGTTTGTCTTTTGAAGTTCTGTGATGTGCATTCGTGTCCAGTGCTTGTCTAATCGAAGGATGCGGTTGATTTTTGCATACGACTGGTCAAGCATGGGATCCACCTGATTCGGACAACGGAACGTATTCACATGGATATGACAACTCAGCAAACTTCCTGACTAATTATTTCCTGGTTGGTTTTGAAGTGATGCTAAGTTTGCTGAAGATTGGTTGCAAAATTCGAAAAAAAAAAATATCAAACATCGTTGACGCTATTTCTATACACAATGATTTAATACTAACCCCCTCTACAATATTTCTCTTTTAAACTGAGTATTAGATATTACACAAATTACCGTTTTGCAAACAGTCATTCTCTCTCTCTAAATAAGTTACAATTCCATTTCTTCTGCGCCAAATGGAGCATGGCTGTCGTCCATGTCTTCGTCACTGTCAATCGCATTATCACTTATACCTTCATCGTGTTGTTCACGTAAGGCAGCCAAGCTAGTTCCAGACCCGCCACCGACAATACCTCCTATAACAGACGACCTTTTAGGTGGTATCACCGGTTGGTTATTCCTATCGTATTCATCTTCCTCGTCTTCAAAATCAACATCAAAGAAATCATCAGTGGTTCCAGTTACCCTTTGATATATTGACTTGACGTCTGTTATAACTCCGTCGTATGATAATTCGGCGCTTGGAGTGTTGGTGAAAAATATTTGATCTTGAGCGTCGGGTGTGTCTCTATACACAATATTGTTTTCCTTACTTGGTTTGAATATGTTTGACAAGTCATTTGCAATGAAAGTCTTTTCAACGTACCCTACTTTGCAAACTACTTCCAACTTCTCTTGAGGAAGGAAATTTTGCAAATGAGATCCCAACTTGAACGAATTTGCCAAGACTGGAGTTCCCTCTTGGTTGACAACAAAATCAGTTTCATCTAGGATCTCGTCAATATCATTTGAAGATTCTCTTAGCAAGGACGACTCCATCTTGGTGTAAGCAGACTCCAAATCCCTTTTGGCACGACTCAAGTCCTGTTCAACTGTTTGACTGAACCAGATGGATTGACCCTCAGGACAAACTCCAGAACTTCCATTTTGTATCATAACTTGAACTGAGTATTCATTCTCTGTGGGTAAAGAATGAGGTGGGAAAACCACAATAGCCAGTGATTCATTGTGTGATATCCATTCGTTGCAATCGCGGCGCACAACAGTGATTAATCTGGTAACATAGTGTGGTTGTAAACCCTCAGTTACTTGATTATAGCTCGATTGAAGAAACTTGGGCAATTGAGTGGGCGAAATGATAACCTTCTCATTAATTTTGATATGAGAACCATCATCAAAATGAGCGATCCTGGACATCGGGTCAAAATCAACTAAGCTTGTGTTTAGTTTGTAAGTTGTACCTGCAACTGCTGCACTACGGCAAAATCCTTGAGCCAATTCGCCTGGACCTCCATATTTGGAAACCATGCATGGGAATTTACCATAGACATCAAACGACGACAAGAATCTTTTGATTTTGATAAGTGCCTCTTTTGTATTGATATCTTCCTTGTAACTCAACCCAATGGAAAAAACCAACTCATTGATTTGAGGATCTTCAAGTTTGAACTCCTCCTTTAAAAACTTCTGAATAGGTTCATTTGCGTACGGCTTTACCCTTTGCTTGTAATCAGAGTCCAACAAGATAAATTTCAAAAACTTCATCAAATATCTTTTCGTTATGAGCGATAACGATTTGTCGGTGAATATGTCCTGCTTTGTTGTTGCATTGACTTTCTGTTGAAAGTCGTCATTTTCAAATACATGAAAGTTGGATAATGATTGAAACTCTAGGTAACGGTAAACACGTGATTTGACCAACAATGTCAACAAATCTGATTGGCAAAACATGATCTTTGGTGTTAAATCGATACCATAATCTCTAGAGTTGAACTGATTACTCAATTTACCTCCTGGTATATAAATCTGCGCATCCTGAAAATGGGGAATTTTTCCCTGATTGACGTCAGCACACCATTTCTTCAACTGCTCAATGGTCATGGTTGAGCTCGAATCACCATAGTATGGTTTGTTGTCAATATGGAGCACTTGAGTACCTTGCCATGATAATGCAGCTGCCAAGATACTTTCCTGAAGCCCAGTTCCAACCACCAAAACGTCGCACTGATCAATTTTGAGGAACTGGTCTTGTGGTTTCTCCAACCCCGCCAAGTGCGGAATAACTGGAGGTGTGTATGTAGTACTTGGCCTCCGCTCGGCCATGGATTTCCTTCTCTCTGTTCTGCTGTAGTTCATTATAATGCTTTCGGTTTCCACTGGGTGTGTTCAATATTGTCTTGGTGGAGTCTCAAGTCATACACCTTGGATGAAATGACTCCACTGGGGTGATACTTTCAGGGAAATGTTCTCAATTATTTCAAATTGAACAGGGGTGAGGAGTAGCTTTGGTCTTAAAAGAAGCTAATTCGGATACAGGATGGCAATCTCAATATAGTTATGGGAGTTGTTTTAGCGTGTTTCTAGTCAACACACTTTAAAGCCAAAATTTTTGTTCTGTACTTTAAGCTTTGGGTATTCTGTTGATAAAACATGAAGAGAAAAAATTTTTTTTTTCTCATTGTTTATAAATGAGGTGCGTCAACACGTTGCATATGGGGCGAATGACCGAGACAAAGGGTTCACTACTTTTAGCATGGCAGGTGAAGGATAAACACTGTCTTGTAATTGGAGCGGGTGATGTTGCACTTTCCAGGATACACCATTTGATCATAGCACAGGCAAAAGTAACAGTGGTAACCGGCATATCCAAAGATGTACATCCGGAGATACTAGATCTCAATGCACAGGGCAAAATTCACAAATTGATTCAAAGGAATTACCAAAGTGAAGATTTGCAAATGTATGAGACGGCCAGTACACAGTTGGATTACACAAAACTTGTTTTAGACGATTTCAAAGAGGTTGCAAATCTTGTTAATGAATCATTTGCATGCGTGTGTTGCTGCATCGATGACTACGCTTTAAGTACGAAGATCTATTATCAATGCAAGCTTCTTCGGTTGCCCGTGAATATAGCAGATAAGCCTCCATTGTGTGATTTTTATTTTGGAAGCATGATAAACCAGGATAATCTACAAATTATGATTAGTACAAACGGGAAATCCCCAAGACTATCAAAACTCATAAAGGACAATATTGCTAGACAGTTCTCTGGCGTGGATGTCAATAAAGCCATTGAAAATTTAGGGTTAATAAGATCGAGGCTTAGAGAATTAATTTTAATAGACGATGATTTGGTCACTATTGATGCACGAATGTCTTGGATAAAGGAACTCACTGATTTTTACACAATCAAACAATGGAGCAGTATCACGCTAACATCAGAAAATACAGACTCACCATATGAAAAAGTTGACAAGATAGTAAAGTGTTTCCCGGAATATCCTCCTTGTGATTTTGTTGATTTTGTAAAATTCATAGATACATAAACTGCTACAAGTCTTCATGGACAAATAACTTGGTACCACCCCCACCTACGTAATCGCCAACAATATGACCATCACCTTTCAATTGATATTGATAACTCATTAACCCTTCTAAGCCAACTGGGCCTCTCGCATGAATTTTGTTGGTGCTAATTCCCACCTCAGTTCCGAACCCATATCTGAACCCGTCTGCAAATCTGGTAGAAGCGTTCCAATAAATACCAGCGGAATCAATGCTCTTTAAAAACAAGTTTGCCGTTTCCTGATTCTCTGTTATTATACACTCTGTATGTTTGGACGAATGCTGATTTATATGATCAATTGCATCCTTTACGTTATCAACAAATTTCACCGATACATCCAAAGAAAGATACTCCTTATCGAAGGAATAAGCATCAGCATCGACAACATAGTCTTTGTTAAGCTCTTTGGTAAATGGCTTCAATTCAGGTGTAACATGAACAGTTACCTTTTGGTCTACCAAAGCTTTAATAACACTCTTTACATCATCGTGTGCAATGTGTTTATTAAGCAACAACTGCTCAACAGCGTTACAACCTGCAGGATAATTTGTTTTTGAATCAATGATTACTCTCTTAGCTTTTGCTAGATCAAAGTTGGAGTCAACATAAATGGAGCATATACCATCGGCATGACCTAATACCGGGATTTTTGTGTTTGATTTGATATTACGCACAAGTTCATTCGAACCTCTGGGGATAACCAAGTCGATGTATTTATCTTGGTCCAACAAATCTGCAACATCTTCTCTGCTCTCAATCAATTGGATGGCTTTAGAGGGGACATTTGTGTTTGCCAATGCCTTGCTAACCATACCACTCATGACTTTGAATGTTTGGTAGGACTCTTTTCCTCCTTTCAAAATGGCAGCATTTCCGGATTTGATCGCCAATGCTGTAATGTTGGCAATCACCTCTGGTCTACTTTCAAAAATGATCAACAAGACTCCGATTGGAGCGGTGATTCTGTACAAGTTCAAACCTTCGTCAATCTTCCTAGCCAATGTGACCTTCCCTACTGGATCAGGTAAATTAGCCACATCCAATATACCTTGAAGCATAGAGTCAAACTTTCCTGGGTTGGACAAGTCTAGTCTTTTGATTAAAGAAGGTGAAAGGTTTTTGGCTTTGGCATTTTCCAAATCCAACTTATTAGCTTCAAGTATGGAGGATTTATTCTCCTTCAAGGAATTGTGGATATTCTCCAACGCTTGTGATCTTTCGGCATTTGTGAGCACCTTGAGCTGTGCAAATGCAATGTTCGCCTCCTTAGCTATTGTTTCACCTGACATTGTAAACGTCCTATAATGGTTTCAAGTTTGAAATAGAATTTGAGTCACCCTCTGTGAAAATTTCGGCTCATTCGCGCTACCCATATACATGCAAATTACTGGCTTCGTCATAAGCCAACACTACAAAACTTCCCGGTTCAATAAAATATTTGTGTATTGAAGCCATGGTCCAATAATTTTAGGCCTTACGCTGCGCTCTCTTATGCCACATAGCAATCCTATACAGCCGAATAAATGCAGCCCTCGAGAATGCCCTACAGAAGTATCTTCCCCAATGGCACAAACACACAGCCAAATAATAAAAAAATCTTTTCGTGTCCTAAAACCTGAACAACGCGAAGTCTCAGAAACATTAAACCACTCTTGATTACTACCACACTTTTCCACGATATCAAATCAAAAGACCAGTGCTGACAGTGCTGACATACAGCGTTATGCCCAACCACAAGAATTCAGCGAATTCGCAGAAAAACAACAACCCATTCTCAGATGACGAGAATGACTTGATAGATCTTGATATGACGAACCCATATGCGGATTATAATCCACAACATGAGTACCCACAAGTGCAAAGCTCAAGTCATGGTGCTTCCACATTCAATCCGTTCAACGACCAATTTGTGATATCGGATGACGAAGAGGAGGAAGAAGAAGCGGCTGTGCCCAATGGTAAGCCCGCAAAGCCCACCGTTAGACGTACCTCATATCTTAGTTCACACAATGATTTACTGTCAACTACCGATTTCATGGGAACAAACAATACTGAATATGTAAACTTGAACAAGGAGCAACCCAGAGATTTTGATATAAGGCACATTTTCCAGAAACTCAGGAGTAAAATCACAGGACGAAAGCTGGCGACTGGGGACACGAAATCAAAAGAACCTAGAGAAATATTTATAATGGATCATGCAGCAAATTCTGGCTATGGCTATTATGGAAACCATATTTCAACCACCAAGTACAATTTTGCCACTTTTTTGCCCAAATTCCTATTCGAACAGTTTAGTAAGTATGCAAACTTGTTTTTCTTGTTTACATCAATCATTCAGCAAGTGCCACATGTTTCGCCAACAAACCGATATACAACTATTGGAACATTGATTGTAGTTTTGTTTGTATCAGCAGTGAAGGAAATTCTGGAGGACTTGAAACGAGCCAATGCCGACAAGGAACTAAATAACACTCGAGTCTTGGTTCTCGATCCAGTTTCAGGTGACTTTGTGTTGAAAAAGTGGGTCAAAGTTCAAGTGGGTGATGTTGTCAGGGTAACTAATGAAGAGCCATTTCCCGCAGATTTGATCTTGCTCAGCTCTTCTGAACCAGAAGGTCTTTGCTACATCGAGACAGCCAATCTTGATGGAGAAACAAATTTGAAAATCAAACAATCAAGAACCGAAACGGCGCACTTGAAGAATCCAAGCGACCTTATACGAGGATTTTCGAATGCCAAGATAATGTCTGAACAACCAAATTCGTCATTATACACTTACGAAGGTATTCTCAAGGGATTCGAAAATGGTAGGGATATACCATTGTCTCCTGAGCAACTATTGCTTAGAGGAGCTACATTGCGAAACACGCAATGGGCCAACGGTGTAGTAATCTTCACAGGGCATGAAACAAAGCTAATGAGAAATGCCACTGCAACACCTATCAAGCGCACTGATGTGGAGAGAATTATAAATCTTCAGATCATTGCTTTGTTTTGTGTATTGATTGTTCTTTCATTGGTCTCGTCCATAGGGAACGTTATCAAAACAAAGGCTAACAGCGGGGACTTAAAATACTTGCATTTGGAAGGAACATCAATGGCAAAATTGTTTTTCCAAGATTTGTTAACTTATTGGATTTTGTTTTCCAATTTAGTGCCAATTTCTTTGTTTGTAACTGTTGAGTTGATCAAGTACTACCAAGCATTTATGATTGGAAGTGACCTAGACATGTATTACGAGGAAACCGACACACCAACTGGGGTAAGAACATCCTCTCTTGTTGAAGAGTTGGGTCAAATTAACTTCATATTCAGCGACAAGACGGGTACCTTGACACGAAACGTAATGGAATTCAAAGCTTGCTCAATAGGTGGGAGATGCTACATAGAGGAAATTCCCGAAGATGGGCACGCGCAGGTTATCGATGGCATTGAAATTGGCTACCATACATTCGATGAGTTGCGATCAGACTTTAACAGTTCATCCCAGCAATCAGCAATAATTAATGAATTTCTCACTTTGCTAAGTACGTGTCACACTGTAATCCCAGAAGTTAATGGACCAGATATCAAATATCAAGCAGCTTCTCCAGATGAGGGTGCTTTGGTGCAAGGTGCTGCTGATTTGGGATTCAAGTTCATTGTACGTCGACCAAAGACTGTGACTGTTGAAAACACATTGACGCAGATGAAATCTGAATATGAATTGCTAAACATTTGTGAATTCAACTCTACGAGAAAGAGAATGTCGGCTATATTTCGCTGTCCAGATGGAGTCATCAGGTTATTTTGTAAAGGTGCTGATACGGTTATTTTAGAAAGACTTTCACAAAGTGAACCACAACCATTCATCGACTCGACGATGAGACATTTGGAGGACTTTGCAGCAGAAGGGTTGAGGACTCTTTGCATAGCGTCACGCATAGTATCAGAGGAAGAATATCAAGATTGGAGTAAGAAATATTACGACGCATCCACTTCGTTGCAGGATCGTGGTGATAAGATGGATGCAGTTGCAGAACTCATTGAGACTAATTTGTTTCTATTAGGTGCAACCGCTATTGAGGATAAACTTCAAGATGGAGTTCCAGAAACTATACAGACGTTGCAAGATGCCGGAATCAAAATCTGGATCCTCACCGGTGATAGACAAGAGACTGCTATAAACATTGGAATGTCGTGTAAATTGCTAAGCGAGGACATGAATTTGTTGATTGTTAATGAGGAAAACAAAACAGATACAAGACTAAATCTCCAAGAGAAGCTCACAGCAATTCAAGAGCACCAATTTGACGGTGAAGATGGATCCTTGGAGTCTTCTTTGGCGTTGATTATCGATGGCCATTCTTTGGGGTTCGCATTAGAACCTGACTTGGAGGACTTATTTATAGAGTTGGGATCACGATGCAGAGCGGTTATTTGTTGCCGTGTTTCCCCTTTACAAAAAGCTCTTGTTGTTAAGATGGTTAAAAGGAAGAAAAAACAATCCTTGCTTCTTGCCATCGGTGATGGTGCGAATGACGTTTCCATGATCCAAGCTGCTCATGTTGGTGTAGGAATCAGTGGAATGGAGGGAATGCAAGCAGCTAGAAGTGCTGATGTCTCCATTGGGCAATTTAAATACTTGAAGAAATTGCTATTGGTTCACGGGTCTTGGTCCTACCAGCGTATTTCGAATGCCATCCTATACTCCTTTTACAAGAACATTGCCTTGTACATGACGCAATTTTGGTTTGTTTTTGTCAATGCATTTTCAGGTCAATCGATTGCCGAGTCTTGGACGCTAACGTTCTACAATGTGCTTTTCACTGTGCTTCCCCCGATTGTCATGGGGGTATTTGATCAATTCGTGAGTGCAAGACAATTGGTGAGGTACCCCCAATTGTACCAATTGGGACAACAGCGCAAGTTTTTCAATGTCGCTGTTTTCTGGAGTTGGATTGTTAACGGGTTCTACCATTCGGCAGTAATCTTTCTTTGTTCATTTTTCATCTACAGGTATGGTAATGTCATGTCAAATGGGTTGACCACGGATAATTGGGCTTGGGGAGTTGCCGTGTACACGACGTGTACCTTGACTGCTTTAGGTAAAGCCGCGTTGGTAGTTACATTGTGGACGAAATTTACTTTAATTGCAATCCCAGGGTCTTTTCTTTTGTGGCTTGCCTGGTTCCCCGCTTATGCAACCATCGCGCCTTTGATTAATGTTTCCGATGAATATAGAGGAGTGTTGGCGGCTACGTATCCTTTGCTTACCTTCTGGGGGATGATCTTTGGAGTTTCTGTGTTGTGTTTGCTAAGAGATTTTGCATGGAAGTTTTACAAAAGACAAACCAGTCCTGAGACGTACCATTATGTGCAAGAGATTCAAAAGTACAATATACAAGATCATAGACCTCGCATGGAGCAATTTCAAAAAGCGATTAGAAAAGTGCGTCAAGTGCAGAGAATCAAGAAGCAAAGAGGGTTTGCATTCTCACTGGCCGAAGGTAATGACCAGGAGAAGTTGATGCGGTTGTACGATACTTCGAAGCAAAAGTAGGTAAACATTAGTTGTGGTGTACATGAATGATTCTGACGTTTTATAGATGAAACACTCTTGGTAGCACTTCCAAAAAGAAAAAAAAAAAAACTTGCGTCTAATGATTCATTCAATTTAAATCTAATAACAACAGAAAATGACGGACACAGCAGCTCCAGTAAACCCTACAGACCTTGGAGGGGATAAGAAATTATCAAACAAAGAGCTTAAGGAATTGAAAAAGAAGGAAAAAGCCGCCAAAAGAGCTGCGCAAAAGGAGAAAAATGGAATTTCAGTAGAACAACAACGACAACTAGCCGATGAGAAAAAGAAGCTCTCACAATCTGCAACGTCTAACACTGCTTCAAACTTGAAGAAGCAATTGAATCAAACGCTCATCAGGACAGACAAAAAGGTTCCTCATTTGTTTGGACATTTGGAGACTCGCGAACAAAGGAATGCCTCGTCGCCAGCTATTTCGCATATTGTTCATCCGGCAATAATCGCATTGACATTGAAGTATTCAAGTTACATCATTGTGGGGTCTCTGTCTAGATTGGTTCATATGCTTCGCGTTTTCAAACAAGTTATTTCGGATTACAAAACACCGGAACATGCAACACTCACAAGACACTTGACCGGTCACTTGTCGCATCAGATTGAGTTTCTCAAATCTGGTAGACCATTATCAGTTTCAATGGGGAATGCCATTAGGTGGTTGAAGCAAGAAATTTCACATGTTTCAATAGATACTTCCGAAACTCAGGCTAAACAATTACTCTGTCAAAAAATTGACGATTTTTTGAGGGAAAAGGTTGAGCTTTCCGATCAATTGATTGTTGAAAGTGCTGCAAAACATGTCACCAATGGTGCCACAATCTTAACTTATGGGCATTCTCAAGTTTTGGAGGATCTTTTCAAGTTTTGTGCTTTGGAGCAAGGTAAAAAGTTTAACCTAGTGATAGTGGACTCAAGACCCTTATTTGAGGGGAAAACTTTGTTACGAGATTTGCTGCAAACAAAGTGTATCGATGAATCAGGAGAGGAAGTTCCCATAACGCAAAAATACATTACTGTGCAATACGTTTTGCTCAATGCGTTATCGTCAACGTTGTTGGATGATGTTGATTGCGTTTTCTTGGGTGCCCATGCAATGCTCTCCAACGGTCGTCTATTTTCAAGAGTGGGCACGGCGATGATTGCCATGATGTGCCACACAAGGAACATCCCCGTATTGACGTGCTGTGAATCAATAAAGTTTTCGGACAAAGTGCAATTAGATTCAGTAACAAATAATGAGCTTGCAGACCCCGATGACTTGATAAACAACGACAACAGCGCTAGGAAGCCACCACAGAAAAAGACATTTGCTTTGGAACAGTTTTTGAAACAGTCCAGTACGGAAAAGGCAAAGGACAAGAAGGAGGGAATTGATGAGAAACAAAACCAAGACGAGCCATTGCGTGATTGGAAAAGCCTTCCTGCGTTGAACATTTTGAACATTATGTATGATTTGACACCCCCAGAGTATATCAATAAGGTAATCACTGAACTTGGTGCATTGCCACCATCATCAGTGCCTGTCATCTTACGAGAATATAAAAGTACATAGTTTGATAGCTTTTTGTAACTGCAAAAAATGGATCAAAAAAAAAAAAAAATTATCGCGATTTACTTTCTTTTTGCCACTCTTTATGACCACTGTAAACCTTCCATGGCTGAACAAGAGATATCGTTATTAAATAAGGTGGAGCTACGAATTGCCTTGGCAGAGAGTAACACGCAATTAGAGAATGCATTAAAGATTTACTTACCGCCTGTTTTGTTAAAGCTTGCAAGTCCAGATGCACAAGTACGACAATTAGTTTTCAAAATAATCCAACATGTGATCCCCAGAATATCTGCAGCCAGAAACCTTAAATTACCAGTTGAAGCATTAATCGACCAGGTAAAGGATCCCAATGTGAACGCTGGCCTTGACTCTACATCAGTGAGATTGTACTCGGCTTTGTTTGTTTCTCGAGGTATTGATCGAATTGGAGACGAAGAGAAAAGGTCTTTGGTACTATCAGTGAGTAAACGAATTTCAGAATTACCGGAATCCATTGCGGCGCGTATGTTTGGCATTTTATGCAAATTGCTCAAGACATGGAAAGCTTATGATCCGGATTCTGAAGAGTATAAACAACAGAGACGAATTTTGGCATCAGACAAAAAAAATGAACAATACTTGGCTTTTAAAATAGCTAAGGTGTTGATGTTTACCATGGAGTCATCGACAAGGGCTACCATTGGATTGACTAGTGAAGACATAAAGTTTTTCACAACTGATGCTGGGGTGAGTTTCCAAAACAATCAGGAACTTTTTTCCACAAAGCTTTCACTACTTCAATTTTTGAAATCTGGGTTTAGTAATGATCAGCTTGTGTTGCCTTTTTTAATCGCATCAGCAAATCCTATCTCGGCAATTGGGGACCCTTCGGAGAAGTTACTCAGAGGCTTGGGTGTAAATGTTGATCATGTAACCCTTTACACTGGTGTGGACCTCATCAGTTACCTCGTTGGGATATTTTTGGATAACAATAGGTCAACACCATATGATTGGAACCTTAGATTAAAGATTATGCAGCTATTTTTAAAAAGCAATTCAATAAAGAATCATATAGATATTGCAGAGGTATGCAAAATTGGGCTCAAATCACCAGCATTAAAGTTGAGGAAACTTTCAACAGACCTCATTGATAACCTTTTAAAAGCAAACAAAAATGAAATTGGGTTCCAGAATTTCACAACTGGTATAGCGAACGATCTTCGCGTGAGTCTTGCTGACGAAGTCGCATCCAGTGAAAATTCATTCTCAAATAATTCAATGCTTAATGCAGAAAAGAGGTCAAAATATGAGACTTTAGGAAGTATTCTACAATCAGCACAAAGCATATTTGTCAATGATTGGTCATACATCACGTTTTTACTTGACCGTCTAGACCACGAGGATTCAGAGGTTAAGGTGTCCATTCAAAATGTATTGTCAGGTTTATCGAGTCACTTAAGAGACATAAGCGACTCGAATATGGCCGCTTTACGAGAATTGGCTCGGGAGTATTTCCTACAGCCATCGACGCACACGAGTATGGGTAAGTACATCCTCGTAAAGTATATGAATTTGGCTTTTCCTTTCAATGATACGTTTGCCAGGATGTTGTGCATCATTGGTACTGGAAAAGAGAATGGGCCTGAAATTTTAGAAGAGGCGAATAAAGGATTGCATCCGTATTGGTTTAACCTTTTACAGGCCAACAATACAAACGGATTTGCATCTACATCTCATCTATTGGGGAACGAAACAAGTGTGACATTTCCAAATTTCAACAATTTTGTAACCACTCTTGTCACTGAACTAGAGGTTTCTCACTCACCATTATATCAAACCTTGCCAAGAGCTATTGAGTTTGCTGTGCAAACTTTGGTTATGGAAGCCATGGGTGATAGCAATACTGTGATTTCGTTGGATGAGAATTGGTCAGTACGTTTAGACAAAGCTTTGGAACTGAACGATACTGTGAGGCTGTTGGTAATCAAAAAGATGAGTGATTGTGATGTTGCAAGTGGAGTGATTAAATTATTGACTATTTGTTTTGATGCTCTTGTTGCACAATCTAAAAGCGATTCCAAATTCACTCGCAGCAAATTTTATGCTCAAGCTATCAGCAAATTGCTCTCCTTCTCATCGTCTGAGGTTGTTGATTTATGCTTGGATAGACTAGACGAGGTAGCTTTACTAATTCGTGAAACCCACATACGTGATGATTCTATGAGTGAGATTTGCAAAATTTTGGGGATCTTGGGAAGTCATCCGTCAAACAAAGAGCAAAACGTGAAGCAACTATTGGGAAATGTTCATACTGTTCAAAATAAGTCTGTTTCCACATTAGCGGAAAGCTATATCTTGTCGAGATTGTCCGCCAGGGGAAGGCACAGTCTTATTTCGGTGCTGGAAATCAAAGCATTACTCGCATCTATTGTGGAGATGTGTCAACACCAATCAACTTATCCAATTGCAGTTGAGCTGATCTGTCAATTATCAATGTATGGTACACTCAAGGATATCATGAAGGAAGAAGTGGAGCAGTACACAAAGAAAATCGAATTAAGCGTTCGCGCAAAACTGAAAAAGTTTGACGAAAGAAGCGTGCTAGCTTTGGGATATCTTTCGTTATTATACAGTCACAACGGATTCAAAGACTTGACTGAAAATGAAAGAGCAATTTACGAGTTCCACAATTCCAAAGAAATAGAGTCGATTTTTGGCTCTGCAGAAGCATTCGTTATTACATCATCAGGCTGGAAATCCAAGCTTTTGCAGCATAAGCTCGACATACCCGATGTGGATGTAGAGCAATTACCCAATGACACAGCAAGGTTACCTATCATTTTAAATGCAATCATTGCAGCTTGTAAGGATACAAAGCCTTCGTTGAGACGAGCTGGCTGTATTTGGGTTTTATCCCTAGTACAACATTGCGGGCACTTGGAAGAAATCAAACAAAAGTCGATTGAATTGCATTATTGCTTTATGAGATTTTTGGCAGATAAGGATGAGATAGTACAAGATTCTGCATCAAGAGGTTTGGCTTTAGTGTACGAAATGGGCGATGCAGAATTCAAGGAGTTGTCAGTTAAATCTTTGTTAAAGTCCTTTACTCAATCCGACGCAAGTTCATACACAGCAGGAACTGTCCAAAACGACACAGCTCTATTTGAGCCTGACATTTTAAAGACCAATGATGGTTCTGTTTCGACGTATAAGGACGTGTTGAATTTGGCGCAAGATGCTGGAGATCCCAGCCTTGTTTATAAGTTCATGTCTTTGACAAAGTCTTCTGCATTATGGTCTTCACGTCGAGGCATAGCTTATGGGTTAGAGTCCATTCTATCCCAATCCTCATTGGACCAGATGTTAGTAGATAACCCAAGATTTGCACAAAGACTTATCCCAAAACTATACCGCTATCGTTACGATCCATTTACTGGTGTTTCTCAGTCGATGGAGTCTATTTGGACCTCATTGGTGAAGGACCCTACGCGAATCATAAAGGATAATTTCGATCTTATTTTAAGCGAATTGTTAACAGGTATGGGCAAAAAGGAGTGGAGAGTTCGACAAGCGAGTGCTACTGCTATGAGTGATTTATTACAAGTCGTAGACTTGAATCGCTATGAAGCAAAGATTGAAGAAATTTGGACAATGAGCTTTCGAGTTATGGATGACATAAAAGAGAATGTTCGAAAAGAAGGTTTGAAATTGACAAAGTCTTTGGTCACGATTTTGACCAGAGCCTTGGAGAAGGAGTCAAATGCTTCTAGTCGGGAAATATTGGGCAGGTTGATACACCTCTTACTAGGCAACAAAGGTATTCTTTCCGATTCCCAAGATGTCAAAGATTTTTCCATCAAGACCTTGTTAAAACTTTGCAAGACAAAAAGCAAAGCATTGAAACCATATATCGCCGACTTGATTGAAAACTTTATCAATCTTTTTTCTACAATGGAACCAGAGATTGTGAATTATTTAGCACTCAATGCTGGGAATTTCAACATTGACAACCAAGAATTCGATGCGAGACGATTACAAGATGTTGGGAAATCTCTGTTGATGGATGCTATTGACTTTTTATTAACTCAGTTGGATGAGGAAGCAATGCCTGAGTTTTTGACTAGATTGGAGCATAGTGTTAAACATAGCGTCGGGTTGCCTTCAAAAGTTAGTGGATCAAAGGTATTAATGACATTGGTTATGAATTATCATTCACTTATGAGACCATATAGTTCCAAACTTTTGGAAATTGCTTCAAGTCAAATCAAGGATAGGAACAACACAGTTGCGTCTTGTTATGCAGCTGCTGCGGGGTATATCTGCCGTATATCTCCTGTGGAGGCAGTTATCAAGTATTCCGACAAGATTGCGAAAATGTACTTTAAACCCAAGGAGCCAGGAGATGAGAGGTCGAGAATATTAGCATCTAATGCCAGCAACTGTGTCTCTAAATACTCTGGGGATCAATTTAGTGTTGTTGCTTCAGGATTCTTGCCCTTGGCGTTCATTGGTACGTTTGATCGGCTGGAACAGGTGAAGCATAATTTTGATATGGAATGGACAGAACACACGGCTGGTGATTCTGCAGTCAAGTTGTATTCAGCCGAGATACTTGACCTCGTGAAGAAGCATTTGAAATCGAATGAGTTTTCAGTCAGAGCAACGTTGGGAAGGGCCATGTGCCACCTCTGTGTTGCATTTGGCGACTCAAGTCATTTTTCTGACAACTCTATTAATGAATTGATCCAGTTGTTGATCGAGTCTAATAAAGGTAAGTCTTGGGAAGGTAAAGAATACGTGTTTGGTGCTTTGATCGATTTCGCAATTTTGAATAGAGCGTACTTGTTGCTACATCGCGACTTACTTGATGCGGTTGAGAAAACAATCATCACGGAAATCAAAAGGAGGAACAAGAGGTATCAGCGATTGACGGTACAGAAAAGTGGTAGGTTCATTCACGAAATCCATGACCGCGAGCTTGTTGATGTATATGTGCATGTAATGGAGGACATTTTGCGACGTGATACTGGTGGCAAAGATGATGACAGTGATGAGGAAATGACCGACACTGAACGAGGACCCAAAGTTGATACTGCAAAGGAAGAGAGAGTTTTGGAGTTGTTTCATAGTTTAGGAGTTGCATTTTATTACAATGTGGATGGTGACGTCAAGTTATCTCATTTTGTATTTGAAGAAATGCAAAAGCTCTTTCTGTCTGGTATCGCAATAACGTGGAGGTCTAAAGTCAAGATAACTGAGTTGTTTAGAAAGATAGTCAAACAATTGCCAAGAAACAGCAAGCTTGAATTTGATTTGATAGAGACTTGGAAAGTTTTGAATGAGCAGTGTTTGAATGTTGATGCTTTGGAAGCGGTTAAATTGGAGTTTATTCGGTTATCTAAAGAGTTAGTTCCCGTTTTGCACAATACAAACCATCGATCACTTATTGAGCTGACTTTACAACAATTTGCCAGTACAGAGATGTCAAATGTAGTAAAAGTTGAAATAGCAAAATAGAAAATACATTGTTAGAAGATATATTAGTAGACTATTAACTTTTATCTAAATCTTAAAAACCACCTCTCAATCTCAACACCAAGTGTAATGTGGATTCTTTTTGAATGTTGTAGTCGGACAAAGTTCTACCATCTTCCAATTGTTTACCAGCAAAAATCAATCTTTGTTGATCTGGTGGAATACCTTCTTTGTCTTGGATCTTGGATTTGACATTGTCAATAGTGTCTGATGATTCAACCTCTAAGGTGATGGTCTTACCAGTCAATGTTTTGACGAAAATTTGCATACCACCTCTCAATCTCAACACCAAGTGCAATGTGGATTCTTTTTGAATGTTGTAGTCGGACAAAGTTCTACCATCTTCCAATTGTTTACCAGCAAAAATCAATCTTTGTTGATCTGGTGGAATACCTTCTTTGTCTTGGATCTTGGATTTGACATTGTCAATAGTGTCTGATGATTCAACCTCTAAGGTGATGGTCTTACCGGTCAATGTTTTGACGAAAATTTGCATACCACCTCTCAATCTCAACACCAAGTGCAATGTGGATTCTTTTTGAATGTTGTAGTCGGACAAAGTTCTACCATCTTCCAATTGTTTACCAGCAAAAATCAATCTTTGTTGATCTGGTGGAATACCTTCTTTGTCTTGGATCTTGGATTTGACGTTGTCAATAGTGTCTGATGACTCAACCTCTAAGGTGATGGTCTTACCGGTCAATGTTTTGACGAAAATTTGCATTGTGACTTGGTTGATTGTAAATACTGTAATCTATTAGGCTTGCTTGATTGTATGATTAGTGTATAGTGTAATACGTTTTATCAAGAAGGATACTCGGTGGCAAAAGGAATATATGTGGTTCAACTTTTTTTGTCGTTCAATTGCCTCCTCTTTTATATTCACACAACACACACACAAAATTACTCTTTTGCTTTTTGTACAAGAGCGCACTACCTCTTACTATGTGGTTATCATTTTTTAATTTCTTTTTTTAAGCACGTGAGTGACGCATTTCTTCTATTTCGCCTTTGCCCCTATTTTTCATTCGCGACATTGAATTTCTTTTTTTTTTTTTCTTTTTCTTCTCATTATCGTCACTTTCCGCATTTAGTCGACACAAGTACGTTATTGTGGTGGTTGAATTCCGTTTTTAAACGAGGCTGAATCAAAAGGTATCTACACTGGTAATGTATTGAAGACAAGACGTTAACGTTAGGGGGGATGATAATATGAGTACCTACTAGTGTTTTTATAAATTAATTCCGACCAGTAGGTCTCAGCTGAATATACTTCGTGTAGGAGTCTCTCTCTCTCAGATTCAACAATTTTGGTAGTTTCATTTCACTTTTCCAACCTGGTCTCTAGCTTCGTGTTCCTTGGGTTTTATTGGTAATTTTTGTCGTAATGGACAGGTGTTTAATACTCCAAGAATGATTCAGCTTATGGAGGTGATACGGACACCAATTCGCAACCAAACACATTCATACTAGTACGACATATTTATTCAAACTATACAACTGGCCAACATATTTTCCCAAATTTATCCTGACTGACAAGTCGGTGATATTTGCTGTTAAGCTGAGTTGGAAAGCTTGAGGGCACTTACTAACTGGTTGTTATTTTTATTTTAAGTTTTTGAGTTTTATAACTTCGATAAGCATCATTTATAATTTTTGATGTTTTGGTGGAAACCTTAAATTCGTTTCACAACATGGTGAAGTGGCGTGGTTGAAATCCATATGTCGCCATTCAATTGTTTGAAACAATGCTAGCAGTATTTAGAATTGAATTGTTTCTCCACTTCAATCAAACTTTTAGTGATTGTGATACCAATTGCATCAAAAATGGCGCAATCTCATAAAACTCACATGATGAATCATTAAATTTTTGGAACATAAATATGAGAGAAAAGCCCCTTAGAGAGATAAGAGTAGTGAGGAGTTTTCTGATAACAAATCAATTCACAATGATGAAGTCTAACCAAATGGGTGTTTATTGCACAAATTCAAAAGGCCAGACTGGGTATACAGGATTAGCACATGAAACGCAACATTGGGCATGTGTCAACGGAACACCATACGTTCCTGCGAGTACCTACAAGGCTGGTACAAGTGGAGGTATGTTAAGTAGAATTCTTATCTTGGTAATGTTGCTAATTAATACGGTTTTCGGTATCTAAATTCGACAAGAAAAAAGTGGGGAAGTCTTTAAAAGCATTTTTTAAGAGAGACAATGGACTAGCTAACGTGAAAGCATTGAGAGATACTGGAGTGGAAATAGTCCTGATTGTTAAGCAGGCAGTGGCCTGGCCAATGAAGGTAGTGTCGGTAAGAACTATTTCGTACGTGGAGGGGATGTGTTAGCAAGGGTTTTTAGACGAGACAATCAATGGAGACGGTCTGTATAAGATAAACCGAAAAAAAAAATAATAAACGCGATAGTATAGAGGAAGGATGAGGCAGGCAACTTTAGTTATATATGTTATATATTGTACATTTCTTGATTCGCGTGATCTGTCGGGATTTTCTATGGATGAACAATAAGCGAGATATCTCTTTCTGAGTTCTTCAAGCAAGAATAAGTTAATTAAATGCATCTCGAGAAACCAAGTTTGGACTATTCATTTGTCTGATAGGTCTATTTGTATACTTTATTATATACGACGCAAGTAAAGTCTCTTGTAGTATGGATCTGCAACTCCTTAGTAACGCGTTCAAACTTAGACTTTTATCTATATAAGCTATCATAACTTTTAAATCTCTTCGTAGTTTCAGTATCACCATACAAACACCCATAAAGTATGGTCTCACTCTAAAGGAAGTGATTTGCAATCGGAACAGAAATCGGTTTAAATATATGGAACATTATTTTGAGTAGTGTTTTGTGTGGATAATCATGTCGCTTTGGTATGATGAATCGTATGTCGTTTCATTATAAATAAAAATGTCGCATTAGCTTTGAGTAGTTGTGTCACTTTGCTATAAAAATATTATGTCGCACTCGTCTAGAATGGGAGACTGTACACAATATAATTTGGTTTAACTTGCACACGACTCTTTCTCTTCTTTAAAAAGACAAATTGTATTGAACTGAACTGAACATTCAAAAAACCATCCTGAAATTCCACCATCTTCAACTTTTACAGAAAGTCGACGTTCAAGTCACAACTTACTTCTTCCCACTCTCCTACATTCCTCTGGACAGGCTATCTTACTTTTCAACTTACACGACAATTACGAGCTTTTTACTTAAAGAAACTCAACAATGTTTTAATTTTGAATACCTCGCCCATTCACAGCATACCCAACCTGTAGAAGTCATCTTTGAAAGTGATGAATTTCTACGCGTTGATTACCTAAAATAGAATACATTACCCTGTTGATTTCACATATTTGCAACAGTGATATTCACTTGATAGATAAAGCAAATTATTTACTAGCACCTTGACTCCACCACAATTCCTTTCCAACCTCATTTACACCACACCTCGTTTTATTTTTACAAAATGCTCTCCCTGATGATGGAAAAGGATTTCTCCACGAGTTTCACCTTACCAGCTGCTTCAACAGACTCGTCAGAGCTATCTAATGAAAAGTTCGCTGAACTGCCTACCGAAAACACCACATCAACCAAATCCATCAGCGATGAAGAACAACCTGAAGCGGATTTGAAGGACAATTCACCATACAATCAATCTGATGACCACAAACCATCATTCAACTACGATTTGGAAGTCTTTAACCTATGTAAGGAATACTTGAACACCAAAAATCACCACGGATTAGCTTTAATTGCTAGACAAAAGGGAATTCCACCATTTCTTCGATTCAAAGTTTGGCCAATTTTGTTGAAATATCACCCATTTGTGTTGGATCCATTTATACAACCAGATAACGAAATCATCAACGAAACAAGCGATGTCGAAAGCACCTCGAGTAAAGAAACATCGTCGTCGTCATCAAAAGGGTATCTAAGCCAGTCTGAAAGTGATTATGAAGTCCGATCGGAGAGCCGTAAAGAATCAGATGCTAGCACAGAGATTGAAAAGAAGATCAAAAAGGACATTGCTAGGTATATTCAACGCCTTTATTACTTGAAATCTCACGATTTGACACCAGTCGAGAAAGAAATTATCCAAACATTGGAAAGTGCAGTACTCAAATTTACCCTTAAATGGTCCAAAATTATCAAGTATGACACCTCTCTTTCATGGATGGCTTTGAATTTGGCCGAGTGGTTCCCGCCAATACCGAAAACACCATGGGTTTTAGTCGGAAGGGATCAGTCACAAAAGGGGTCCTCTTTGATTGCCAGTGTTGTTGACGATTATTCAAACTATATTGATCATATCCCAGGGTTGGACAACTATCTTGATGAGTTGATATACAAGAATGAAACCATTTCAAACATGAAATTTCAAGATGTGTATGAGAGATTGGTGTTGGTCTTGTTGCATTGTCCTGAACCTGAATCAAAAGTGGGCACAGAAACAGAAACAGCTCCTAACAAGAATGACCAAAAAGATGAGAGAAAACAATCCAAAATGAACAAGACGACATTACCGATTACTGGAGGCACAATAGAACAAAGAGTTTCCTTCTTTATCTTTTGTTTGCGCAAGTTGCTTCCTGAGCTTGCGCAGCATTTCCATGAGGAACAAATTTTGACCAAATTTGGTTGTCTGGATGATGAATGGTTGATATGGTGGCTCAAATTTTGTGGCACCAAAGTGTGGTCCAAACATGACCGGGGCCGAATTTGGGATTTCCTTTTAGGTTGGAGACTTAAGAATCCCAAGCGGAGTTTCAACTATTACTATGAGAAACTAAACTATGTTAACAGAAACACATTGCAGAAATTGGGCCCCGATGTATTTTGGACAGTTGGATCTTCTGAAAATGAGCAAACATCAACCATTGATCTAAGAAGAAACTCGTTCAGGGATTTAATTAACGAATTGAACAATGAGCTTCACATTTCAAAATCAGATTTTCTACTGACATCAGCGACTCCGTTGTCGGCCAATGAGTCCAAGGAGAATGTTAGTGGCCCCAATCTATCTATTCCATTTTCAAGAATTGACCCTCACATTGCATTGATATTTATTTCGATATCTTTACTCAAATCGAAAGAGAACACCTTGGTTGAACTTGATCAACATGAGATTAGGCAGTTTCTTTCGAGACTTCCGTCAAAGTCTTACAAGTACAATCAAAAATCGAGAAAACGATCAAGCCAAACTTTTAATTCGTCTTCAAATTCGCGAACCGCATCTCCACCTTTGCTGCCTAATGAAGAAGCACCAACTAGTAACATCATTATATCGAATGATATGCGAAACGATAAACACAAGATTAATTTTATTGATAATATCATATCGGAGGCTGGCGAGTTGTGGCGGAAATGGCTATGGTCTGAGTTTGTAGAGGATAGTTGAACCATGAACAATCGATATCTCTAAAATCATCTTTAGGTTAGCTTGTAAATGAGTGGCTTGTAAATGAATCAATCCTCTTTTTTGTGTTTACACAAAAAATAAAATTTGAGATGCGAAATGGAGATGAGATGTGATGCTTCTTCCACAGCCATGTCCGACCAAGACACAGATACGAAGCAAGTAGACAGGAAAAGGAAAGCTGAATCCTTTGATGAGTTAGAGATCGATTTAAATGCATCCGTGCCCTTGTCCAAAAAGCAAAAACGTTTAGCAAGAAAGGGGAAATTGGAAGAAGAGCCAGCTCCAAAAGTTACAACAGTGCAAGAATCGGAGCAAAAGGCAGAAAAGTCAAAGTATGGTGTATGGATTGGGAACCTATCATTCGACACTAGTAAGGAAGACCTCGTTAGATTTTTAGTGGCAAAGTCCTCAATAGCGCAAGAGGATATAACGAGGGTGAATATTCCCAAAAAGGGTAACCAAATTAAAGGATTTGCCTACGTTGATGTGCAAAATGACGAGCAAGTTGAACAATTGATTGCAGTGAGTGAGCAGAATTTGAATGGGCGTAACTTGTTAATCAAGAATGCCACTTCATTCGAAGGTCGCCCAGAGAAGGAATCAAAGTTACCACCAAGTCGGATCTTGTTTGTGGGTAATTTGAGTTTTGACACAACTGAAGACAACTTACGAGAGCATTTCCAACATTGCGGAGATATCGTTAGAATCAGAATGGCGACTTTTCAAGATACAGGAAAGTGTAAAGGTTTTGCATTTATCGATTTCAAGTCGGAAGATGGTGCCATTACTGCTATGAAATCAAAGCTTGCTAAATCAATGTTGAATAGGAAGTTGAGGTTGGAGTACGGAGAAGATAGATCAAAAAGAAGACCAAAGAGTCATATGCGAGATGATGTGGAGGCAGGAGACGCTGCTGATGGTCGAAAGCAATATAGAGAGAGACCGCAAGAGAATCTGCATAGAGAAAAACCACAAGACAATCTGCATAGAGAAAGACTGCAAGATAATCATTATAAAAAGAGATCACAAGAGAAACCTCAACAGAGAGAAAAATCGTCAGTTGCATTGGCCACTGCTCAAAGAGCCAGCGCTGCTATCGTGCCCTCATCAGGTAAAAAAATTAAATTCGATTAAAAACGTAAAACGATATAAAAAGAAAAGAGCGACCAACAACAAAAGCTACTAAAAGATTTTATCAAGCAATGTAACCTTTTTCTCCTTCTCCTTGTGTTTCTTGTACTCCTCTTCATTGACGGCAAAGTAGTTGGGGTCGTTCTTGTTAGCTTCATATTCGCCATCGGAAATAAGTTCATAAACCGATTGAACTTCCCATGAGGCATCATCTCTACGTGGCTCACTTGCACCAGCTGCAATAGCGGCGCCCGGCCTGTGATAATCCTTTGATTCAATATCATTTGCATTCACACCACCAACAACAGTTTGATTTTCCTTGGGGACTACACGAGCAAATCCTGTTTTGTTTTCAGTGTCATTTGCATTGAGTCCACCAACAGTGTCGTTTCCTTTAGGTGCGACACCTAAACCACCAATGGTGTTCTCATTCCTGGAAAAAGGTTTAGGCTCTTTGGTCACGCCACCCACGACATTCTCCTTCTTGACGTCCTTAGAAACTGGTTTCTCAACTGGTTTCTCAGCTGGTTCTTTGGACTTTTCAGTTGAAGTCCTTGAAAGTCTTCTTCCCCACCCCTTGAACCTATCGGAAAGACTGTTTGACCTCTCTTTAGTTAAAGGCGTGGCGCTATTAGATGAACTAGTGGCAGCTCCTACAGCGGCGCCAGTTCCGGCGCCAGCTGCACCACCAGTAACAATTGCTGATCCCAAGCCGGATTTCTTCTCCTCGGGTTCCTTCTTTTTGATTTCATCTTCGTTCCTTTCAAAATTGGGGACCGATTTATCTTCATCGTGAATAGCACCCTTCTTCTTCAAATCATAATCGGCACCTGGATTTTCTTGTGCACTTGGCAATTTTGATTGTTCGTTAATCAAATCTTGTCCAAATACAGTACCGGCAGCAGCACCAGTGCCTGAAGTAACCAAGTTTTTGCTTGATGTTGGTTCTTCAGCTACTGCCCGCTCATTTAAAGAAGGTTGAGCCTGCTTGTTTTCAATCTTTTTGATCGCCTTTTGTCTCTCCTTGATTAGCTTGTCAAGTTCATCAGACTTGGGATCCTCTCCAGTGTAAGTGGCCCTTTCTTCTCTCAATTCTTTGATCTTTTGCAAGTTTGTGATTTCGTCACCTAATCTTTCCTTTTGAGCTTCATGGTACTCTGACTCACCACCGGTATAAGAACCCTTTTGGTAAAGAGAATCATGTCTGTTTCTCTCCTCTTCCAAGTTTCTTTGTTTTGCCTCCTTCAGCTTGAGCTTTTCGGCTACAGCCGCTTGTTTCTCTTCCTTTTCCTTTAGTTCTTTCGCTTTAGCCTCCTCTTCAGCCTTTCTTTGTCTTTCCTCCTCTTCAAGCCTGGCTTGTCTTTCCTTCTCTTCCGCCTCTAATTGAGCTTGTTTTCTTCTCTCCTCTTCTTCCAACTTGGCTTGTCTCTCCTGCTCCTCCCTTTCAAGTCTCTCTTGTTCTTCCTTTTCTCTCTTTCTTTCCAACTCTTCTTGGTGCTTTCTAGTTTCATATTCTTGAGTTGCTATAGCTCTTTGGCGTTCGTGCTCTCTTGCAGCTTCTTCAGCGAGCTGGTCCTTTTCTTTCTGCCAAGCGCTGTGTTTATTCTTGGCTTCGGTAAGTCTGTTTGGCCTATCCGCTTTATCTGAATTAACATCGCTCAATTTCGCAGCAAAAGCACCCAATAAAGCTCCCAAAGCTCCAACTTCAGCAACCAATCCCTTGTGGGTGGTTTTTCTGTCGTCAATATCCTTTTGGTAACCTCCAATCTTTTCATTCAATTCTTTGCTTTGGCCTTGGTTTGTTTCTATTGCTTCTTGATGAGATTCATGTTGAGAGGTCAAGTCTTGCAATTTGGCTTTTTCCTCTTCTAATCTCTTTTTCAATCTCTCAATTTCGGTATCCAACTCAGAATTCTTTTCAGTCAAGTCGATTTTTTTTTGCTTCAAATCTTCAATCTCTTGCGTAGCCTTTTCTTGCCCCTCTTTAGAGTCTTCCAATTCTTGTTTCTTGGTTGCAAGCAACTCCTCGTGATTCTTTTCAAGAGTTTCCTTATCAGTGACGTGCTTCTCGGCTGCTTGAGTTTCACGTTCTTCGTATTCCTTAGCTGCAGTCTCGATCTCTCCTCTAGTCTTTTTTTCAAACTTGTTTGCATTCTCGTCTGAAGTTTTAACCAAGTTGGCAATATTGGTCAACTTACGTTCAATTTCTTGATCAACTACCTCCTTTCTCTTGTTGACTTTAGCTGCGTACTTGTCAAAATCAGTTTTCAACTTACCCTCGTGCTTCTTGACTTTTTGATCCAAGAGTTGTTGCCTCTTGATTTCATCCTCTTGTCTGGTTTTGGAAACCTCATCATTGATGGATGTAATCACAGGAGCTACTCTTTTTGCTGCCATATCCAACAATTGTTCTTGAGTCAATCTCAAACCTGAACCCAATTCAATAACCTTTTTGGGGTCATCTAAATCGTGAGCTAAGGACCCAACAGCGGTGGCATTAAGCTCCTGGTAGTGTCTCAACAAAACTGGTTTGTCCTTCAATTTCTCCAAAATTTCCTTGTTTGGTCTATCAACTGGTTCGTACTTTGTTTGAGATGGAGCTGGGATGTCAACGGGATGTTCCTTGATGGTATCGATAATTTCATCATCACCCTCCAAATGGTTTTTAGCGAGGTCTTCTTGCTCTTGACCCACTTTCTTGGCATCCTCAATATCAGCATTGGCAGCTTCGATATCTGCCTGAGCTGCTTCAGTATCTTCCTTGGCCTCAGCTGCAGGTCCTGTTGGTTCACTTGTTTCTTGATACTCATCCTTGAGCAATGTTTCTCTAGACTCATTAGTTGCTTTTCTTTCCAAACCTTGGTCGGTGGTCAAATTATCCTTCAACTCATCTGCTGGTTCTTTTGTGGTTGATTCACCAGTAATCAAATTATTCTTCGAGTCATCTGCTGGCTCTTTCGTGGTTGATTCATCAGTAATCAATTTCTCCTTGGATTCTTCTTCCAATTTTTGTTCCTCTGTGGTTGGTTCATCAGCAATTAATTTCTCCTTGGACTCTTCTTCCAATTTTTGCTCCTCTGTGGTTGGTTCATCAGCGATTAATTTTTCCTTAGCTTCCTCATCGAGCTTTTTCTCCTCTGACTTGACCCTCTCGTCTGTTGTTGTTGTTGTTGTTGACTTTGTCTTTGCCTTTGCATCATCAGTCTTTTTTGCTGGTTTTGTTGACTTTGTTGACTTTGCTTGCTTCTTCTTTTTCTTTTCTTCAGCTTCCAATGTAGGATGATGAGCAAACTTGGCAGGAACCTTGATATGTTCCACTTTATTGTCTTCTTTAAATTGTTTATACAAATTGACCTTTTTCTTTGAATTGGCAGCACCTTCTTCATCGGGTTGACCTCTAAAAGGGGAAACCCATGTCGATGCACTAGTCAATTGCTTTAATCTACTTTGTGGAGGCTGCTTTTTGGTAGCAGTTGAATTCACTGCAGCAGACTCTGACATATTGGTTGTATTGGTTGGCGGTTAAAATCTGTGGGAAGAAGATGTGGATAAAAGAGGAAAAAGTAATGTCGACAAAGGTGGAATTCAATTGAGTGGGTTTTCCCTTTTGTTGAAGTTTTCTTTTGTGAGTGACTTTTTCTTCTTTAGACAAAATTTCATATTCTTCTTTTTTGCTGTCACAAAAAGAAAAACAATACATATAGTCTTTTATTAGAATGCAAGAGAAGAGAAGACGACACAACTTCACATCCACGTCCAAACCACTCATGGGTATACAATGTAGATTCAAAAAATGAAGGAACTAGTCACGTTTGGGAACAGCAACAAGAGGAATCGCAAATGTAGAAAATATGAAGAGAATAATAATGGGAGCGAATACCAATTTTGGTCAATCTGCTCCTAGGTAAACTTTTATCCTAACATATGTGGCCACCAATTTCAGCCTCAGGCTGGTCCGCCAACTACTGTTTTGGTGTGTCAATATTAGCAAGTACAACTACCGCCTCTTGCAGAGCCAATTGACTGCAACACCCTCAGAAGCTATTGTCGTGTAAGTGACTACAACGACAATGATAATAATTCTTTGGTTGTATATCGTGCTTATAGTGACACAAACATTAAAACAGAACTGATTTTTGATTGCTACATGTGTGTGTTTGTGTGTGTGTGTGTGTGTGTGTGTGTGTATGTATTGTGTACATTGCGTTTGGTTGTGTACATTGTTAATTGGTAGTTGTGTATTGTTGTTTATTATTATTTGTTGCCCATTGCCTAATTAGGACAATAATTATACCAATTAGGAAATAGACACTATTGAACACCAAAGTTGTTCATTTACAACCAGACTTCAATCTGATATCAGGGTACAAAGTAAGTACATTGATACAAGCGAGTGACGTAATACGTTACCACCGAGATGTATTAAGATAAGACTTGCTGAAGATAACTGCAACTAAATATACTATCCCCATTCATCTTTCACATGATAAAGAAAACAACAAACGCCCAACAACAAAACCAATGGATCATGATTGTGTTTCCATCTCATTCATACATACCTTTCTTTCAAACGATTCGTATGCGAAGATGTATATCTTTACCAGTTGTTCATATAGCTATTCACTCTCTGTAGTTGGCTCCAAAGCCGCACTTGTGAAAAAAAAAATAAAAAATAAAAAAAAAAAAAGACTTTCCTTTTTATATCCCCGTAATAGGTTTATACCGTGCCCTATTCTGTTTACATCTGTTATGCAACAATCAACACATACACAACCAGCAATTACGTTTGATGACTATGTGCACTATGCTGCTCCCAAATCTTCCAACATAAGAACGGTTTTCTCACCAGCTGCTGTAACTTTGGGAAGAAATGCATTTGATCGAAATGGAGATCAAATATCTGACTTTGAAATTATATCTTGTAATGGAGACCGCATTCCTGTATCCATGGCGGTCTTAATTGACAGGTGGGGTAAATACTTTGTTACCCTACTTTCAAAAGGATATGTTTCAGCGGTTGAGGACTTTGAATCGGAAAAGAATCAAGAGGTAAAATCAAAAGCTACAACCACTTTGAGAAAAGCTGATGTACCACGGTTCAGGATACCATTTCAAGAATCTACCGAATCCTTGGGCACACACTCAACAAAATTGAAGCAAAGTTCTATTTGCTCGATGTCCACAGAATCCCAAGCATCAAGAAACAACTCCAGCAACGAAAGCCGCAAGAACTCAGTCCCCACTTTTCAACATGATGTTTTCACATCGCACATGGACGAAGTACCGCCTCAATCATTACCACCTACTGAACCAATTCCTCCAGTTCCAGCAGTCCCCGCGTCCTTCAAACCCTCGTCACGTAAGGGTTCACAAGATGCGAGCTCACCAAGGGCATCATTGTTAAACACCCTATCGGTGTTGCGAAACATTCCGTCCTCAAGATCCCCTAGAGAATCACCGTTTTCGTCCCCACGTGCTTCATTGTCGGCATCCAGCTCAAATTTGAGTGAGTTGCGCAGTTCTCCATTTCCAAATCTAAGACCAAATTTGGGTAGGTCAACCTCGGATTTGAAACTAACGTGCACCGAGTCAGGCGGGGAAACCAAGTACAAGGAAAATGAATCTGGAAGTAGTGTTGGTCACGGGTCAGTACATGGAGACGACGAAAGAAGCGATAACAATGATGACGACAAAAACGATAACGATGATGATGATGATGATGAAGATTATCACCCACTTTTTGGATTTGAGGAAGAAAGGTTCCCCCTTGAGCCATCATTAATACCACGAAAGTTGTATATGCCGTTCTCAACAAACACGGTAAAGTCTTTCTGTGAGTTTTTCTACACAGGACAAGTGGGGAACAAATGGGTTCTTGCACCAACATTGTTGGATAACTTTATAATTGCCAAATTTTACAAAGTTCCGTTGTTGTATGATTTAATCTATGAAGTGTTGATTGATGTAATACGACGTAAGGAGAAGGTGTTGTTGAAAGAGCTGACCGAGGATTACTCGCAGGTTATTGAATCCATAGAAAATGGCGTTGTTAGCAAGACTTGGTTGAAGAAAATTTGCGACGAGTATCAAGACGAACTGAGTGAGGAAACCATGGCCATTTTGGACGTTGATGATTTGAATTCTGGAACTACTCCGAGATTCAAGTCTGTTTTTGATAGACCAATGATTCCACTAGACACTAAAAGTGAAGAGGCTGATGATGAAGCGAAGAGTAAAACAAACACGATGACTGTTGAGGAGTTGGTGAATCCTGACTCTCCATGTCCATCTGATGAGGTGATTGAGGTGATTCACGAAGCCGCTTTGTTGGTAACTGAGATTAGAATTGTTTTGAGAACAATGTTGTTGATGAAACTACAAAAGGAAAGAAGGATAAAGACGTAGTTTATTTATGTCCAGCCCAAGTTTTAACAAATTCTTTGTAAGACTCATTTTTTCCTCGTTCGCCTGTTGCAAGCATAACCACGATTCTCTTTGGTTTCGACCGTGCAATTTCATTTACGAACTTGACAAATGATTTTAATCGTGGAGGATTGAAAAAATATACCGTTTTCATTCTTTTTAAAATGTTGAATTTTGTTGAAATGATCATTGCATGTTGTGCTCTTGCCTTCTGTAAGCTTGGCTCAAGATTGTTTCGCTTACACTTTTTCACATTCACAAGCATCAACCAACGGCCAGGATAGGCCAACCGGCAATACAAACTTTCTGCTCCTCTATAAGTTTCAACAAACGTTCCGACGTTACGCCAATGGCCACACTCACTGATGAGTTTATCAGCTTTTGCATCAAATGAATCAAAGTAGTACAACTCGATATTCACTGACAGCTGAGTCGTAGTAATTGATCTTTTGGTGATGTAATCTACATGAGTAAATGGTCTGATTTCACGCAATTGTTGATATTCAGACGTTGAAAGCAGTTTCTCTCTAATTATAATCACTGGGGTATCTTTTTTTAGTAACTCTTTGAAACTGCTTCGAATGAGGTCATTGTAGTCTGTCACTATCACCAATGTATCCTTTTTGGGGTGCATCGACAAGAATTCAAATGGCGTTTTAATATCAATTTCGGGGTTTTCATGCGCATTCTTTATGTAATAGTTGATCTTAACACCGCATGGGTTGAGCTCGCCTAGTGCATAGAAAACGCTATGTGGTTGCTGTGTCACATATATGACTTTATGATTTCCAACTCTCGTCCTGTCTCGAAGCACTTTGTTTAGAACGCAAAGGTGAAGGACCCGATCAGAGTCTTGGTTAGCGATTATGATCAAATCCTTCTGCTGATTAATTGCTTGCACCATATACGAAAAATACTTGTTGAATGGTATTTCCAATCTACTCATGATGGTGTTGATTGAGTAATGGAAGAATGGTTTTAATTGTTCGCCATTTTGAATTGGTTTGATATGGCAATTGTGAACGGTTATGTTATTGTCTTTGTTGAAGGCATCTCTGGTAAGCGGCGATTGCTTTAACTCTTGTGTCTGGTGCTTCATTTGTTGTCAAGGGGGTTAGTTGTGCGTGAGAATGTAGGTTGCGCGTGAAATGTAAATTGCGCGTGAAATGTGGGTTATTCATGGAACAAGGCATTCTTAAGTATATGGTAATTCTTTTGCTGCAGACAAAAGTTGGTCAATTGGTCTTCAACCCTGCGCTATCGTTTCAATGAAAATTTGGTAAAATCAGAGTTATCTCGCTGTAACCTCAAAGAGGTGAGCTTGGTATTTGGCGGCAACTCAAAAGTTGAAATCGTTGAGTATGCTGAAATGTAACTTTTCATAATTTGATTTTAGATTGCCCCCTTTGCTTGAAGAATTGAAAGCACCATTCAACCAACTTACTGAAGTCCCATCTCAACTAAGCGGCTTGAAGCATTTAATATTGTTAGTCATGTTATGAAATAATACCCAGTCAGTAAACATGAAGTTTGCATCCACGACACTTGAGTCATTGAACCTTTCTTTTAAGCTGATTGGGAAAATTAAATTGGTGTTTCCCAAAGCAGAAACAAAACTTAAGTTGATCAATTTGTCTGGTACGCAATTGAAAGAATTTTAATGGAGATGATTGGTCACAAAGGCAACAATTTGCACAATAGCTTGTATAAGATAGTGTTGTCTGGTAACCACGAAGGAGACAAGGACAAGGTATCGGCATTGATTGCTCAATAAGTAAAGTTTAAATGGGAAAATGGTGTATTACCAGAGCGTTCGTTCATGCAAGGCTCTTATGTCAAGAATGAGTTATCGGAGAAGTTGCTTTATTCGAGGAGTTTTCCGCTGTATGCTTTTGGTGTTGAAATGGATTATGAGAACTTTGATAATTTGTATGACGATGAGGATAAAGATGATGATAAAGACGAGGAGAAAAGAGATGCTAGTGAAGATCCTCTAGAGCCTGAAGATGTACGCAATTTGATGGAATATGCTAGTAGACTTTGGGATGAAGTTGTCAAAACACAATCTCCGCAAGGTCGATGAATACTAGCACTTGTAGTTTTTTATTACATACTTTACTGACCATAGGACCTTCAATCACCTTAATCAGAGACGAATAAGTTGAATTCTGAGTACAGCAATACAAGCTATATAATTGCCCAAAATGCTCTCAACGAATACGAACTTTTATTGGGTATCTATTTGAATGTACTTAGACGGGAGTTTCCAATTGATTCGTCGATCAAGAAAACGTCTGCCATCTACAGGGACGAATCAGGTGACACCAGAGTTCACACTAAACGTGTTGTGTTGAGAAAGTTTTGCATTTATATACCACGTGGTATAGAGAAGGCACTGACGATTTACAAGAGTTGAGAAAGCTGGCTGACGTCGATAAGGCAACCATTGAGAAAAACATGGCAGCATTATCATCACAAGGATTGAGGGTTTGGGATTTTGCTACGAGATACGTTGATTGTGAATGTGATGATCCTGAAAAGGTTGAATCCAATTTGACTTTCCAAAGCCAAAAAAATTGTCTGCTATATGGCTGCAAACTTTGCTATTCGGCCCCACAAAACGGTTGACACAAAATTAAGGATTTGCTATTTTTGTGATTGTTTTCATGCTTTTTCTGGTCGCACTATTACAAGGTTACGCTACTGTGTTTTCAAATACACCGTTCATACTAGAAAGCACTGTAACCATCATCCAATGGTATTCATTATTTAGTATCTATGTTCTATCGAATAAGTTACAGGTTGTTTGTTATTTTATATTTTGTAAAAAAATTAAAAGAAACACCTTAAACCTCAAAACTAATTGCACACACAATCAACTGGAAAGAAAGGTGATGAATTAGTATGCTATTAGATGACTCAAATAGACATTATATACTCCAACCAGTTCATAGTGGTGTGTGTAAGTGTAGATAGATGGGGTGGGGGTAATTTGATTATACTGAGGTCCGGATGTTGATTATACTGAGGTCCGGATGTTGATTATACTGAGGTCCGGATGTTGATTATACTGAGGTCCGGATGTTGATTATACTGAGGTCCGGATGTTGATTATACTGAGGTCCGGATGTTGATTATACTGAGGTCCGGATGTTGATTATACTGAGGTCCGGATGTTGATTATACTGAGGTCCGGATGTTGATTATACTGAGGTCCGGATGTTGATTATACTGAGGTCCGGATGTTGATTATACTGAGGTCCGGATGTTGATTATACTGAGGTCCGGATGTTGATTATACTGAGGTCCGGATGTTGATTATACTGAGGTCCGGATGTTGATTATACTGAGGTCCGGATGTTGATTATACTGAGGTCCGGATGTTGATTATACTGAGGTCCGGATGTTGATTATACTGAGGTCCG